GGTTTTCTATTTATCTCCTTCCTTAATACGGATATAATAGTAAGTATCCTAGATATTAATCTTGCTAAAGATCTTCGATCTAGTAAGCTAGTCTAAAATCTCTAAAATCAGGGGTAAAGGGTAACGATTCTTGATCGAAACCTTATTAAGACCTCGGTAGTCGACATAAAGGCGTAGTCCTCCGTCTATTTTAGGGACAAACAGGATAGGAGCTCCTGTAGGGCTTTTTGATTCGCGGATCCGGCTATTCTTAGCGTCGGGAAGAAGATTAATTGTATAGTCGTATTCGCTTAATGAAGGTAGGGTCTTCGAATTCTGTAAGGAGAAGATATTATGAAAGTCTGTAAGTTCGTTTAGGAGTCGGTAGGGGTCCGGTATAGGTTCGTTTTCGTCGCGATCTATTAGTAGCTATATTTCTTTAGGTATCTTGACTATAGCAAAGACGTATACGTGATTCCTAGTTGCCTTGTTGAATCGTTCCGGCGAGAGTATCTTAACCGAAGGGGTTCCGAACTACTAAAGACCGCTTCTTCCTATAAGGTAGATATTAAGGTCGTAGATAGTAGTTATTAATAGGAGTAGTAGGCTCCCGCTAAGTCGTAGGTCTCGGTTAATAGCTATATATACGCGGTTAAATCGGTAGGTTATCCCCCTTAAATCGGTAGTAATTAGTAGGATATTCTATACGCTGTAGGTAGGTATTCTATATTAGTTAACTATATAAATTAGGAGCTTAGTAAGCTTAGTTGCTTCTAACTAATAGGTTTTAACGAATATATAGCTAATAAGATTAACTTCTACTCTACTATCTAGATCTACGTAGGTTTCGATATCGTTTTAGATAGTAATCGAAATATAAAATCGAGTTCGGGTCCCTACTAAGGGAGATAGAGATAAAGGCGTAGGGTCTACTCCGTCTCTAGGACTTTTCCCTACTATATCGCCTAAATTATTACTAGTTTAGGGTCTTAAGCCCTAGGGTAGTAGGGTAAGTAGTACTCTTCGCTTCCGTATTTAAAATATTAGGTTTGTTTTCTATCTTCCCTAATACGATTAAGTCTTCCTCGTAGAGGTAATTCTTTAGATTTATCGTTTTAGGTTCTCTTATCTTAGGAATCTTCTCTTTTAACCGTAGATTTATAGACCGCGGAAGATATTAATTATTTTCGTAAGGGTTTCGTTAAGTTATTAGTTTATTTCCTTTTACGTATCTATTCTAATTTTTCTAGATCCTAGAAGTAGTAGGTAATATTAATTATATCTTCGTAGGATTCTAGAAGTTTAATTACGTATCGCCGAATAGTTATTTATAGGTTGTACTATAGCTTAGTAAAGTAGGAAAGTGCTCTTTCTTTCTTAGCTAACTATAGAAAATACTATTCGAGAGTATCTAGTTATATATAGAACTCTCTAGGATCCTTATCTCTTCGCTAAAAAACCTTTTCTAGCTATCCTATTACTTCCGATTCTAAGCTTATAGCGTTTTTAATTAGAGTAAGGGTCTACTCCTTGAAGTAGGGCTAATCTTCCTTTATATTTTATTAGGAGGTCGGAGCTTTTTCTTTAATATATCGATACTATCTCTACCTATATATTTAATCTATATAGCTAATCGCTTCTAGGATCCGAGTTCGGTTATTATAATATTTCTTAGGGGCTTCTTTAAATATTTATTATAGGTTAAGGAGCTACTCCTAATATTATTAAAGTAAGAAATTAAGTGTAAATTTTAGAAGATCTTTAAATTTAATTTCCCCGTCTAAGGATTCGTAGAGGTTTCGGCTAGGATTTATAAAGGATTCTTAATTACTCCGTAGTATAATCTAAGATTTTAGAATCTCTACTTACTCCTATAGTTCTTTAAGCTTCTATAGTTTTTTAATAGTATCTTAGGTTACTTAGAGTCTAGTATTAAGGTCGGTCGGTGCTATCTATTACTCCGTAGGTAGGCTTAGAGGATTAGCCGTTTCTTCCGTCGAAGAAGTAGAGCAAGTTCTTAGCGCTATCTTCCTAGGTAATCGAAAATAGAAGAAATAGAAATTATTAGAGAATAACTACTTATATAGAGTAGAAAGCCTATCGACTAGGTAGGAAGATAAACGTTAAGTAAGGAAAGCAAAACACTATTTCTTGCTATTATAGATCTCTCTATAATCCTTAATTTATATATAAGCTTTAATACTTTTCCTATATAACTAGGTAAAGACGATAGATTATATTATAATATACAGTCTAACGTAGCCCCTATATATTAGAGATAAGTAAAGGCTATAGAGAAGAGGGGTCCACGAATTCCTAATAGAAGGGTACTAAACCCTTAGGGTCTTATAGGTTATACATCCTTATTAGGGAGACGTAGGGCTGTCATAACGAAGCCTGACCGATAAGGTGTCGAGTTAATACCTAAGGCGTGAAGTTGGGAATAGCTTCATATTGCAATATCATATAACAATAAAGGATTAGAATAATAAGTAGTATATATAATACTAATAAAGCTTTAAGAGCTTCCTAAAACTATATTAAGACTATCTAATAGCTTAATAATATTCCTTATCTATCTCTTAGGGATCTCTTAGAATAAGCTTATATCTTAATCTCTTACTTAATAAGCGAAAGCCTTAGTTAACTAAACTAAAAGATAAAGTTATAGAATATCTTAACTCTAGTATATTATTAATCCTCTACTATAGATAGAGTACTAATAGCTTTTATAGATCTTCTAGACTTCTTACTACTTAATTTCTAGAAAGCTTACTAGTAAAAATACCTAGTAATTACTATCCTTATAAGGGATATACTTTTAGTCCCTATAATAAGTACTAGTATTAAATAACTATTTAATACTACCCGAGATATCTACTATTATTATTAAGGAAGATTAAGTATAGTAATAATCTAAGAGCTTATAATATTCCTCTATATATCGAAATTCGATATAGATATAGAATAGGGATTACTTCTATCTAATTTATTCTTTTAGAATAAAATTAAAGTAATAAAAGAGGAAAGGGAAGAGATAATAGACTAGATTAAACCTAATCTAATTAGTAATAAAGAAGGTAGTATAGAAGAAGAAGAGATAGAGAGAGAGACGAGTAATCTTACTAAAGAATATAAGGATAAAGTTCTTTCTCTACTAGTCTCTATAGAAGGAAGTACTTAAATATATTAGTCTATTTAATTATAGAAGTACGCTTAATAGGAGGATAATTAATAGGTATATTATTAGTACTTTCTATAACTAATATACCTCTTTTCTAACTATAGTTAGAATTATCTCCTAGTATATAGAGACTCTTTCTATAACTAATATACCTCTTTTCTAACTATAGTTAGAATTTAGCTATCTTATATCCTTCTAGTATATAAGGGCCCTTCCTATAACTAAATATACTCCTTTTCTAACCGCTAAGAATTTAGCTATATTATATCTCCTAATCCCTAAGAGATTTCCCTTTCCTATCACTAAATATATCTTTTAGTAAGCCTACTATATAGATACCTTTAAATTTAGGCCTTTATTAGAGAGTAATATAAGGGAAATACGTAAAAATATAAGCGAAATCTATATATTTTATATAGTCACGAGATACTACTATATTTACTTTTTCTAGAGCCCACGGAAAGCCTATAGGCCTACTATAGGCCTAAGGACCGGGCCTAAAGCCTAACCTATTCGTAGGTTAGGTTAGGTTAGGCTCGGGCCCGTGTAGGCTTTGGCGATGTCTACCTCTATTATATATAGGCTACGTTAGACTATATTTTATAATATAATCTATTATCTTTACTTTAGTTATATAGGAGAGTATCAAAGCTTATATATAAATTAAGGATTATAGAGAGATCTATAATAGCAAGAAATAGTATTTTGCTTTCCTTACTTAACGTTTATCTTCCCACCTAGTCGACAGGCTTTCTACCCTGTATAAGTAGTTATTCCCTAACAGACTATATATTATAATATAATCTATCGCCTTTACCTTAGTTATATAGGAAGATATTAAAGCCTATATATAAATTAAGGAGTATAGAGAGATCCAAGATAGTAAGAAATAGTATTTTACTTTCCTTACTTAACGTTTATCTCCCTACCTAGTCGATAGGCTTTTTACCCTATAAAAGTAGTTATTCTCTTAGTATATTAGTAGATATTTCTTGCGATATAGGCGATTTCCTCTATCAAAGAGTAGTTGTTGATTGATAGCGACGCTCGGTCGGCCTACTAGTTAGTAGTTCGCTAGTCATTTTGCTAGTCGGTCCGCTAGAATTAGGTTTGTACGTTCCGTGGTTCGCGAAAATTTTGCACCCTGTCGGGATGCAAAATCCCTGATTCGGCTATGCCTACCGCTGCTATCGCCGATATAGCCTCGATACTGGTATCAAACAAGAGAGCGGGAAGTTAGATAGTTTTTGAACTAGGTCTAAAGATCCTAGGACCTCTGGTTGACGAGATATCGCAAGAATTCGATTCTGCCAAGAGATAGTTGTGTTCTATCCTCTGATTTCCACAGATTCTATTGAGAGATATTTATTTAATCTTATACAAACTAGCCAACAAACTGGAAGGCGTAAATTCCTACGTAATACATTGTAAAGAAAGGGGGCCTTAACTAGAATAAACAGCATTGATTGATTGGTATAAGAGCGGCAGTTTCTTACATACATATCAGCATCCCAATGAAGTCTTGGCAGATCCACCCGCCACCGTATCCTCTAGGCCGAGCAACGTAAACGGCTTTGAAGACCGCGCGACGTTTCCCCTTTAATTTCCGGTTTGCAACCCCGAAGGGGGTTTTCTATCATTATATCCTGGTCGAACTAGATACTTTCTTGAGTTCACTTCGGTACGATTCCTCCACCCATCCCGAACCCTCGCTGTGCCGTTGAAGCGATTTTATCGTCCCCCCTCGGCCCCTCAACTTCTGAAGATGCGATTCTATGGCGACCGACTCTTCCAACACTACTAACTAGTGTCTGGTCACGACTCAACAACTCAAGCGATGGGTCGGCCGCCACCGCCTGAAAAGCATCCAAACCCCCCTATGTCGCCGCTTGGCACGGTCGTTCCCATGAATAGGGAACAAAGCAATACGTCCTCACCCGAAGTGTCATCAACATCGTCTGGTATTCGTTTAGATGTTGAATGCCGAGAGCTCACGACCGAGCCGGTTGAGCATCCTGAAATGTCTGTTCGCCCTCGAAGGTTCCTAGCACAACCTGTCGAGACCACATCCCGTAACTCCCAGCCTCGGTCATCAGCACCAGCTCACCACACAGAGAAAGATCAGAATGACTCGCTTCCCCCCTTAACTCCAGAGACTTCGCTGGCAGTGGAACGGCCTCGGCGTATGCTCCCAGTGCCAATCGAAACATCCAAAGCCCATAAATCTGGCACTGTAGAACGAAACCGGGACCAGGATTCATCACGGATGGCACCAGGGGTTCCAAGACGTTTCAAACCTGAAGTGCTTGAAACTGACCGTCGCTCAGTCAAAGGAAAATCAAGCGAGGTTGCTCGTCAACTTACACTCCCCACGGCCAACGAGGGGTTGATTGGGCATGTGGAACCCACACAGCGCATTTTTCATGCAGTTCCCACCATTCCAACACAAACCCCATCTGCAGGCGTTGTCGAGTCACAGTTCTCATATGCAAACCTACTTCGGCGACAGGAGACGCGAAGGCATTCGTTTCGAGTCCCAACCCTACCGTCTATTCCTTCAAACAGCAGTGAGGACTCCGATGAGCCTTCTGAATCGCGCTTTGCACGGATATTCCCTGCCAAGGTATCGCAGAAATTTGCATTCCACGATAATACGCGGAATCTATTTCGAGAAAGCTGCGACGATGAATTTTCGGAGTACCTGTTGTCCTTGGCGGCTCGATCAGCCCAGAAGCAGCTGAAGGAGCAAGCCTTGGCTGCCTTTCCTAATGAACAAGTCTACCAGCCGGTAGATCATTTCGCCATTGACGAGGAAGGCAGAGACTCGGATGGAGATGCGGAATTGATAGATACTCATCGACACCATATCAAGTCTCGCCGGCAATCATCGGCTGACCTCTCCTGGGAGCTTGAATACTTGCGTCAGCACAAGGAGGAAGCACAACAGCGTCTGAGAGCGATGGTTTCGTCATCAAAGCGCGCTGATCTCTCATCGCAGGGCTTGAGGTCGACACCCAAGAATAATGGTCCAAGCCCACCAATGCTCGGTGCCGATATCGTTCTCCCGCAAAGCTTGTCTCCAGATGGTACTCTGTGCGAGGAGACTTCGGCCGAGAATTATGTCTCTCGAACAGCTCAGGATCCCTGCACTGACTGCGGGGGTCTTTGGTGTGCGACTAATCGCGCAGAAGATGGCCGAGGTACAGGGCTCTGGATGGGCACCTGCCGGAAGAGCGACGAGGGCCTTGAGCGGAGTTCACTAATAATGACAGGAATTATGACACCGATGCTCCAAAGCGATGATTTTGAAGAAGGTCTGTGTGCTCTGTCATCAACGGCCCCAGCAAGTCTAGAGAGCTTTCAACCGCCACGGAGTGGTACGAGTCCAACCTTTTCTAAGGCATTCGGTGATGAATTCCATGATGGCTTCGTGACACAGATCTATAACTACTTGTCCCTGGGTTACCCTTGCGTGGCTCGTTTTTATGATCATGAACTCAGTAAGATCTCAGGAATTGCCATCGAAGATCTTCGACGAGATGACCTCTGTACCGATGCCCGAGGGTACGTGGCCCCTGCCGCTAGCATTGTTGTAATCTGTACTCGTTGGAAAGCTCTCCGTCTCTACATCCATGAGTGGGCCCGGCAGCAACCAAATATGATGGAAGATGAAAATAGCCTCGAGGCCTGGGGAATGCCAGAACGAAGAGGGAGCTGGGCAATCTGAGGCCGTCTTCATCGCGGGGTATTGTTGGGTCTTGAGTTGTTTCTACGACTGATTCATATGTAGGTCTGGTGAGAAGATGAGAGGGACACATAAGAGAACCGCATCTTTTTATTTATATATGTTATATATATATATACTAATCTTGCTCTCTCTCCCCCCCTCTCCTCTACGTCTCTTTGCATATTGCGGCCTATCTGCCAGCCATGTCTTGGCTGTCACATCCAGTCCTCCAAACTTTGCCCACTCCATTTTTTACCACAGTGATCATATCAGATGAAATGAGACGAGAGGATATAATCATCGGTCCTCGATTCCCCTGCCCACATACAGTGTGCTAGTCAAGAGACGTACGTACTCCGACTCTAGTGAATTATGGATTAACTAGCTGGAGCTGTCGAAGGCAAGATGCCCGAGCAACGAGACACTTTGGAAGTTTCACCACTGCATGCCCGCCCCGTAGATCTAGCCAGACATAGGCTTGAGATACCGGTTTCGCTGGAAGGTTCATCATCATCAACGGACAGAGCGAATTGGCTTATTGTTCTATTCATAGGCTTTTAGTTTTGACTAATGATCATCGCGTACCGGCTGAGCGAGCATACTTCCTCTTCGGACTGTTTCATGAACAATCCCTGGAAAAATTTTCTGCCCCAGTAATCCATCTGAACTTGTATTCGATGTACCAGCAGTATTCCTACTACTGGTGGTCAACTCAGCACCCGACAGACTAGACGACAGAGTGGTTGGCGCAGAAGGTGCCAAGGATGTTGAAAATCCTTGCCCAAGGCCTTGTGGACTCTCGGTGGAATCGTTAGCCAGAGGAGGAAGGTGGCCCTGGCCCACAGGCATGCATGGCCGTGCAGTGTGGGATCCGGTTGAATCTATGCCAGAAAATCCAAGCATTAGCTGGTTGGAATGTGCTGGCTGCCATTGGTAGGCGCTGAATGTGAGAACATACCGTGGTTCATGGCTTTTGCCGACGTTTGATTAGCAGTGTGGAGTAAACCAGGTGCCAAGCTAGTTCGATCGTCCACACTAGAGCTCTCGGAATATTGATCAATTCTAGTATATCCATCCGTTGTTAGTATTGATCACATTGTAGACGGCTGCTTTTCATTATTGAGCATACAGAGCCAATTCCCCCATCAAGGTTTCTTGTCGGAACGCTTCGCGAATGTCCGGGACATTGCTCTTGGCAACATTGTTGCCAGCAACTCCGGGGAGATTACAGCCGGGGCCCAACCATCTCCGCTTTAAGGAAAGCTCAAATCCGCTCTGATCGACAGAGTGCTTAGCAAGTTCACACATATCGACCGCGCTGAACTTGTAAATCTGCGCCGCTACTGAATATTCTTCAATCAACGGCTCCTTAGTGAAGGCAAATTGAAGTGGATCATCAGTAGAAAGGGAAACATTAAGCCCACGCTTGAAAAAGCTGGCACATGGGTTCTTGTCATAGGTGAGGAACAACGCGTTATTGCTGAGCGGTGACATGGCAATGCCGATCTGGTCAAGGTAGTAGAGATATTGTAGCAAGGGCACTTTCCGGAGTAGAATCCCATGACTGATGCTATGACAGCAGAGAAATCCCACGGCCAGGTGATCAGGATCTCCTGCCTCACCGCAGTGAGGCCGAAGGACGAATGTGTTAAACCCCCTATGCTGTCGCCAGTTATTGAGGGATGCAATATTGGCAAACATGAAGTAAATCCAATAGCTGTAGGGTGGATTTTGTTTAGTATCCCACTCCCGTGGGATCGGGTACTTTCGATAAAGCCTGCGCTCGGCCTTGCTCTCATCATCGACACTGTCGAATCCTACCACACGTTGCAGGAAGATATGAAGCTTAGGATGGCTTGAAGGGTCCTTTGTTACTTCAAACAAGGGCTGAAAAACATTACTTATGACCTGTTCAAAATTCTCCATCATGCCACTGGATTTGTACACATCGTACAAACGAGGCACCTGAATGAGCCAGCGAACATTCGGTGAGAATAGCTTATTGTCCACAACCCAAGCGGCAAGCTTGTCCCACTCTTGAATAGATCGTCCATAAATGGAGATCCGCCACTCAACCATTTGATATTTGCTGGATTCCAAGTCGGAAATCACCTCCTTTGTGATTTCTGCTAGATATCGACCTTTGATATAGTTGTCTGTCTTCAAAAAGATCTCGCGAAGTCGGGATTCGCCTACAGGGTTATATTTGAGATTGAATTTATCGAAACGATGGAAAGAATCCGTGTGGGCCTAAGAACATGGGTTGTTAGTTACGAGAGAGCCGGGCGGTGTCATGTCGCCGCAGGAGAGAAGGAGGGGGCGATTGGAAGAAGAAGAACAGCAAGATCGGGGTGGAAGGCAGGGCACTGACATGCATATCGAGTGTATCGATGCTGAGATCATAGGCAGTTAGATTGATACTCTCAAAAACCTCCCGTAGAGTCAGATGCTTTCCGTCTCGAAAGAGGACAACTTCATCGGGGGACTTTCGCATCTTGCTTTTGATAAAGCGAAGTAAATGTTTCTGGTTCATGCAGGCGGAATGATGGACGTGAGTGTCCACCTTACGCACATTATAGAAATCTCGATGCGGTACCTTCTTGCTATCGGCGATCTCCTGGTACTCATTCAACAATGCATACAGCTGGAACTTGCCCTCCAGATAGGAGAGGCGCTTGAAGGCAAAGCTCTTAGTGGGCCCGTCCGTCGACACGTCGACCACGGCATCCAAGTCCATGTAAAAGTCACGCAGGGATGGAATCTGGACCACTGGCTTCTGTTGATCTGCTGCACTTTCCGATTCGTACACCTGATAAACGCTGTTGCTATCCAACCGGTACATCCACGAAGAGGACGGCCCGGGGAGGGGCATCAGTTCTTCCATGTCGAAATCCTCCCCGATATCTTCTCCCATCTTCCTTTTCTTACCCACCAGGTCGGATGCGCCACCCACATTTCCTGGTTGGTATTCCTTCCCCTCGTCCCATGCAGGTTCGGGGGGTGGGGGTAGATCTCCCATTCAGGTCGATCGCGGGGGTCATCTGCCGGCCGCTGCAGAGACAGTTCCATATATCTAGACCGTCGCTCCAGCAGGTTCTTTATTTTTCGATAAATCGCATTCAATTCAGATGTCACGGTGTCCCCACCGGGAGTGAATCCACTCGCCCCCGACAACAGCCCCAGACCGACACCGGCCCCGGTCCCGAGCAGGTTTTCAGATCCAGATGGACCCCCGGGATGAGACAAGCCCAGGGGCACTGTTGGCGGGTGCGCCGTCCACGGGCTTCCCGGACCCTGGAAAGTCTCCCCTGGCGCAACCTGATAGAGGGGTTCCAGTTGGCCTTCCGGCTCCAGCAGCATCGACCCTTCCGGGGTCGTCTGGCTATGTGGGTGTCGCGGAGAGGTTGGCCCCGTCGCGTTCATCCTTATTTCATACGCTTCGGCCGCGGGGCGAGCCGCAGGCACCGGGCTGGCGGGCGCTGTGTGATCACCACCTTTCGACGCAAGCTGGTGATGCTGGTAGAAAAGCTTCGCCTCGGCGTGACTCATGGACTTCTCGTACGCATAGTCGTAAGTGGCCGTCTTCTGTTGTTGATCGCGCGGGAGAATATCGGGAGGCGTGTCTTCAGCCCGGAGGGTTTCATGAGGGAAGCTGGGCAGGTCCTCGACGGAGCTTCGGGACGGCGTAGATTCGTCGTTGGAGGATGCGTTGGCATTCGGATTGAGACCGAACCTGTCGGACTCGGAGGGTCCCATGACTATCTCGGTGGCGGGGATCTTCTGCTTTGTTTCGTCGTCTCGGGTGGGTTGGGTTCGCCGAAGCGCAGTGACACCTTGCAGAAGCGAGAGGGGAGGTTGTAAAACGCTGGCAGGAAGGTCGATGTAGCAAAGGGGAAGGGAAGAAGAGAGAGAAGAAGAAGAAGAAGAAGAAGAAGAAGAAGAAGAAGAAGAAGAAGAAGAAGAAGAAGAAGAAGAAGAAGAGCAAGGGGAGGCACGTCGATGGGGGAAGTTGAGAAAGCTTTGGGGCGATCGTTGTTTTATCGGCGGGATATTTTTTTTTTTGGGCTGGTTTTTGGTTCGATAAGAAGATGAAGTGGAGCTTCAATCGAGCTACAGTAGTCGGGTCTCCCTGGCCGAGAGATTGACAAATGAGAGAATTCGAGCCCGGGGCTGATTCTACCTACGGCGACCCAAGCCATATCACATATACACATATATATCACCATAGCACAAGCGGTCAGCACTGGCTCTCATCGTCCGTGCTATACTCCGACCCTACTCTGTATTTCTCGGTATATACAGGACGGAGGGGGTTACGCTTTGATCGACCCGGTGAGCGCGAGGATCCACTGTACCCGAGCCTCGTCCAGATACACGATCGTATTGTACTGTCCGTCCAATCCCTCGGCGACGGAGCCCTCGTTGCCTTCAGCGGTACATCATGTTGTATCTGCACACGTCTCGGTCTCTGCAGGCCTTGTAGTGTCCATTCAAATAGAATATCGGATTCCCGAACGCGAGGTCAGTCCATAGTTTTAGAGGTCAGTTGGAGTTCGTCAGGTATTTCTGTTAATCCATCCAGTTACGATGGTCTCCCTTCGACTATCCAAATGATGGTCATTAGATTATTGGACCCTGCGCGGATGCGGAAGACATCTTCATACTTTATGCCTCGAGAGATCAGAGTATCCTTCCACACTGCTCAATAAAGGCGAGTGGATCCCCGCTCTTCCTCCGCTTTCCCCAAAATAGTCCTTTCTTTAACCGCCAACCGCCGACCGCCAACCGCCGCTGACGCGCCCAACCTGCCAACCTGCCAACCTTCCAAAACACCCAAACACCAGAACACATCGCATCTTTCACCTCCCCCCCCCCCCCTCCTCCTCCCCTTCTACCCTCCTTACACCTGTTCCAATTCCTCGATTCTCCGATCTTCCGATCCTTGAATCCCAGGCTTACTTCATCGGTTTATTTACCTCCTTTTCTCGTCTGCATCTGGGATCTGGTCGTCCTCGTCTCCTGCAGGTCAGTCTCACCTCCCCCGCCTACGTCAACTCATCTCGAGTGGCTGCTGGCCCACCCCCGTTCCCCCCTCTCCGCCAGACTGATAATCTCTCCTTCTCCCTTGGGACTTTCTTTCTGCTCCTTTTCCTCCTCATACGCCAATCCAAACAAGGCAACCGGAAAATGACTGATTGCGAACAGCTGCTCCTCTTTCCCCTTCCTTCTCTGCCCTTCTCCGGACTCCCGATCCCATTTGACCATACCCCGCATCCTAATTTTTTTGATCTCTACTCGGCTTGAAACCCCCAGAAGCAATGGCCTCTTTGAACCTGTCCTCCAATGGCCCCTCGATATCGAAGAGTTACCAATCCGTGGTGAACGCCTCGCTCCCGACCGGATCTACAGCCTCGTCAACCTATGGCCAGTGGGCGGTCTTTTCCGTCTCAACCCCGCTGGTGAACGCCTTTCAGCAAGATGCAGGGAACAAAGAGAGCATGCTGAAGGTCCAAAGCACAGGAGGTTTGTTATCTCGCCGCTTCTGCTCGACCCCATTATCTTCTCATCCCACTCAATGCTAATGGGGCTCTTTATCCGATAGAGGGTGAATTGATCGATCTCATCGAGGAATTTTCAGAGGGCCGGGTTCAATTCGCTTATTTGAAGGTCACGGACCCCAATTCCGGGTTACCGAAAAATGTTTTGATTGCCTGGTGTGGTGAAGGCGTACCGGAGCGGACCAAAGGATATTTTACCAGTCACCTCGCCAGCGTTTCTAAAGTCCTGCATGTGAGATCTGACTTACCTTCCCCTTTGCCCTCTCCCTCTCCCTCTCCCTGCCGCGTCACCTGATCGATGTCGACTTCGGGAATGTCAATGCTCACATCACTGTAGGGATATCACGTCCAGATCACTGCCCGAGCCGATAGTGATCTATCTCCGGAAGGGATCATTCAGAAAGTGGCCGACGCCTCTGGCTCAAAGTACTCAACAGAATCGCAGGCTCCCGTCACATCGACACTGTCAACCTCAACCGGCCCGAGACCCCCGGTTGCAAGCAAGCCGGTATTCACTCCGAGCAGATCCGGCGGGATTGCTCCGAACCCGGTCGCTCGCAGCAAGATTTCCGCTCCGTCAAGCACCAAAGTCGATGACGATGGCTGGGGGGCCGATGCCCCTCCCGTGACTCGCACTCAACTTGAGAAGGTTCAACCTGCGTACCAACCGACGAAGGTGAACCTGCAACAGCTGAAGTCCGAGAATCAGTCTCCTGCCCGCCAACCGGCTTTGTCCAGTAATACCTACGAGCAGGAGGATGTGGTGCGCGGAGGCTATCAGCCCATTGGCAAGGTCGATATTGCGGCCATTCGTAAGCAGGCTGCCGAAGCGGGGGAACTGAAGGATGACAGACCCGCTCCCGTGAAGGGATCCTACGAACCGATTGGTAAGGTAGACATCGCGGCCATTAGAGCCAAGGCGCAGAAACCAGAACCATCCGATGTCAACGCCCCCCCAACTACCTCTCGCGTGGTCCCTCGCTTTGAACCTTCGCCCGTCTCCGAACCACCAACGGGTCCTCAGACCGCCGAGCGTCTGACCAACCTTCCCAAGCCCAAGGTGACGAACAAATTTGGTGGTGGCCCTCCGTTCCCCGGCACCAAGCCGCCCCTTCCAGCTAGCCTGGCTGGGCCCTCAACAAGCGCGCCGGTTCAAGTGGGAAGCGCAAGCCGGACGTTTGCGGACGAGGGAGGGAAAACGCCAGCTCAGATCTGGGCGGAACGGAAGGCCAAAGAACGTGGAGGAGCACCTCCTTCCACGAACAGCGAACCTCGCCCGATCCAGAACCAGAACAGCGGCTCGGGAGAGTGGAAGAGCGGGTATTCAGGCAAGAGCTGGGCTCCTGTTCAGACTGTCCAGGATAAAGCCATCTCTCCGCAGGTTGCCGACGCGCGCGCATCAGAACCCCAGGAAACCGAGAATGAGCCCGCTCCCCACGTGGAAGACATCCGTAACCAGCTGGCCCAGGATGCTCCCCCCCCACCGGTCCCACAAGCCAGTCGTCCTGTTCCTGTCCCCGGACTGCCCACCAGACCCTCCGAGCCTGAGCTCGAGCCCGAGCTCGAATCAGAGCATGATGCTCAGCAAGTTCTACCTACACCACCACTACAACCTCGCTCTCCAACACCCCCCACCCCTCCTATGCGCGAGAGCTCACCCATTCGGGTAGCGATGCCGGTTGGTCGTAGCGTGACTGATGTACACGAAGAGCAGCAATCTCCACCCTCGATCATGCCTGTCCAAAGCATTCAGGAGACCATCCCGGACGAGAAAGACTTAGAGGAGGACACACATGATCTTGGCCGCGCCACCGCCGAGGCTCTTGTCCCAGAACGGTCACAATTCGATGGAGGGTTGCGTGCCGTGGCGCAATACGATTACGAGAAGTCTGAAGACAACGAAATTGACTTGCGCGAGGGAGAGCAGGTTACCGAGATTGAAATGGTGGACGAAGACTGGTGGCTGGGTGTCAACGCCCGTGGTGAACGCGGTCTGTTCCCTGGAAACTACGTTGAGGTTGTTGAGAATGACCAGCCGGAGCCTGGCCACTCTGTACACGAATCTATCCCAGAGTCTGAACCGGTACTCTCGACGCCTGAGCCTGCGACTACTGCTACCCCTCTGCAGCCAGCTGATACATCTAATGGAGGCTCCAAGGCTCCGACTGCAACTGCACTATATGATTATGAGGCGGCAGAGGACAATGAAATCAGCTTCCCGGAAGATGCTAAGATTGTGAATGTGGTATGTGCACCCTCTCCTTCATTTGGCAGTGACTATCCTACCTCATTCTTTCTTCCCACCTCCCCCAATGCATACTAAATGAGACATCCAGGAATTCCCCGATGATGACTGGTGGATGGGAGAGTATAATGGAACCCGAGGACTGTTCCCGGCCAACTATGTTCAATTGGACGCGTAACTTAGGTACTACCAATCATGTCGCGCTCCGGCCTTCTGGTAAATGATTCTTCTGTGCTTCAAAACTAGCTCCGTGGAAAGAAAGAGTGATTGTATCTTTAATTTTTCCTTTGCCATATTCTCTTGAAATCCTCTATATTTCAGCAGCCCCTTGTAGATAAAATAGGTCGGCTTCAGATTCGATTTACTGCAGTGAAGCAATAATCTGTGGACGACGTCATAGAACTGACGCTGACATCGTGTCCTTATGTCAGCATTTCACGTGACAGCCAAAAAAGCGTCCATAAACAAGTGTTGCTCCGACTCCCGTCCTCGGTTCTACGAGGGATCTTCGTTTCAACCTCGAGGGCAGTTTGATCCTGCCGATATCCCCTCCTTGACCACCGTCTGCCTTCGAAATTGTCTCGGATATCGGCTTCTATCCTTCACGATGGCGTCGTTGGGCGATGATTTGCTTGTCACTGTGAACAAGCTCCAGGATCTCGTCTTCAACACCATTGGAAATGATTCCCTAGATCTGCCCCAAATTGTGAGCCTTTTTGAACCGATCAGACCTGTCTCGATCAACAATCGTGTCATATACTGACTCATTCAGGTTGTTGTTGGCTCCCAATCCTCGGGCAAGTCCTCCGTCCTGGAGAACATCGTCGGACGGGATTTCCTACCTCGCGGCAGTGGCATCGTCACCCGACGTCCGCTGATTCTCCAACTTATCAATATTCCCAGTGAACGTGACGATCGGCCCGAGTATGATGAAGTTCACATCCCGCACACCCCCGCCAGCGTGGCCGGCCAGCACGAATGGGCTGAATTTCACCACCTCCCTGGCCGCAAATTTGACGATTTCTTGCAAGTGAAGCAAGAAATCGAGGCAGAAACAGCACGTATTGCGGGCAGTAACAAAGGCATTAATCGACAACCTATCAACCTCAAAATCTTTTCCCCTCATGTCCTGAACTTGACCCTGGTGGACTTGCCGGGCTTGACGAAGGTACCCATTGGGGACCAACCGTCCGACATTGAGAAGCAAACGCGCACATTGATTTTGGAATATATCGCGAAACCGAACAGTATCATCCTCGCGGTGTCTCCCGCCAATGTGGACTTGGTCAACTCGGAAGCCCTGAAGCTTGCCCGGCAAGTGGACCCTATGGGTCGGAGGACCATCGGGGTTTTGTCCAAGCTAGACCTCATGGACCATGGAACCAATGCAATGGATATCTTGTCCGGTCGTGTATATCCACTGAAGCTGGGATTCATTGGCGTCGTCAATCGATCGCAGCAAGATATTCAATCTGGAAAATCACTCGCGGAGGCCTTGCGAGCCGAAGCGGAGTTCTTCCGTCATCACCCGGCATATCGCAACATGGCCAACCGATGCGGCACTCAGTTCTTGGCCAAGACGCTCAATTCGACTCTGATGTCTCATATTCGCGATCGTCTGCCAGATATCAAAGCACGCCTCAATACCCTGATGGGGCAAACCCAGCAAGAGCTGGCTAGCTACGGGAATAAGCAGTTTAGCGGCAAAGAACACCGCGGATCTCTGATCTTGCAACTGATGACTCGCTTTGCGTCCTCGTTCATCTCGTCCATTGACGGAACGTCCTCGGAGATCTCGACCAAGGAGCTCTGTGGCGGAGCCCGTATTTACTATATTTTCAACGAGGTGTTCGGAAACTCATTGGAAACTATCGACCCCACGCACAATTTGACGGTCTCGGACATCAGAACCGCTATCCGCAACTCAACTGGACCCCGACCCAGCCTGTTTGTCCCAGAACTGGCCTTTGATCTCCTGGTGAAGCCACAGATTAAGCTCCTCGAGGCCCCTGCTCAGCGATGTGTGGAGCTTGTATATGAGGAATTGATTAAAATTTGCCACACTTGTGGCTCACAGGAATTGCTACGGTTCCCTCGTCTTCAGGGTAAGCTGATCGAGGTCGTGTCTGATCTTCTCCGTGAGCGTCTGGGGCCTTGCGCTGGTTATGTGGAGTCTCTTATCTCCATTCAAAGAGCATACATCAATACCAACCATCCGAACTTCCCTGGTGCGGCCGCTGCCATGTCTTCGATCATCCAGAACAGACAGGAAGAAGAGCGAAAGGCCATCCTAGCCGAGGAAAAGAGAAAGCGTGAGAAACGACGAATGAAGGAGCTCGGAAGTGCTAACGGTGCTCCTGGCGCCCCAGACGATGATGACGCACAATCAGAATCCAAATCTCACAACCTTCCCATTCGAAGCCAGTCCGCCAAAGGTACGCGGAGCATGTCGCCTTCCGTCAGCCGAGCAATGGAGAATGGCATCACTGCAACTTTGAACGGTTCCAATTCGAACCACCCCACCGGATTCGGTGGCTCGCACACCGCCCGAGATTCATTCTTGAACTACTTCTTTGGGAAAGATGGTGGCCTTCAGAGTGTGACTGCTCCACAACAGCCGTCGCTGAATCGGCCAGCTGCTCATTCAGGAGAGCCCAGTATCAGCCAGAGTATTCGCCGCGCCGAAGTGCGATCCCACGCCTTGCCCGCTGAGGAATATAGCATCCCTCCACCTGAATATGGAGGTGATATGTCTGTGTTTGTCCGTACTTCCCAACCCTTTGTTAAATCGATGTTCTTACACTAACCTCTATTCAGCCCCATGATAATGCAGAACCCACCCTCACTGACCGTGAGATGCTGGAGACAGAGCTGATCCGCCGCCTTATTTCCTCCTATTTCAACATTGTGCGTGAGACTATTGCCGACCAGGTCCCTAAGGCAATCATGCACCTCTTGGTCAATCACAGCAAGGACGTGGTGCAGAACCGACTGGTCAGCGAACTCTATAAAGAAGACCTTTTTGGTGAACTGCTCTACGAAGATGATGGCATCAAGGCTGAGCGGGAGAAGTGCGAGCGGCTCTTGGAGACTTACAAGGAAGCGGCCAAGATAGTGGGCGAGGTTTTATAGAGTGAAGAGGGCGTTCGGACCTGCAGATGGCTTATGCGTACTTTTGTTTGAGTATCGGGATGTGGACTTTTTTTTAAGCTATGTGGATGTACAATTATTGGGGTCTTTGATGCACATGCTCTCCTATTGATATATTCTCATCTTCCTTTGGGGAATTCTTCTTTCTGCCCCTTCTCTTCTTGCTAAATTAGCTCATCCGTATGTCGTTCTATGAGAATCCAACTGGGGAGATGTATATAAACGAATCTGTTTCATGGAAGGATTTGATATGCCGAAGAAATTAAGCCAGTATATGTACCCGCTGGAGTTCACTGAGCCTTTTTCTTCTTGCTGCTCCTTCTCAAACGTGCGCCCTCAAACCCATATAGACCCCCACCAATAAAGACGAGGACTGCCCCAACAAGAACCCCTGGCGATAGATGATTGCCAAACAAATAGATTGACAGCAACAGGGAAACAAGTTTGCGAATGTTTAAGACAACCGTGACCGTCAAGGACGAGGACTTGGCCGATAGTAGATGGACTCCTCGAATGCAGACGTATTGCGTGAGCGCATTCATCAACAGATAAGCTACCTGGATGGGGATCTTGCCAAGGATGGACTTAATGGCGATGCTCTGTTGAGCGACGGTTGATATCGAGAGGACAGTGCTGCTTACAGCACTGAATGAAAGACCAGAAGAAGAAGCTGCAGCAGAATGTGCAACAAATCCAGTTTCAGGAATGACCAGCGAGAGTAGCGGTGGTGTATTTGACACCACTCGCCATTGCGATAACATCTGCGGGTAATTGGTCAAGAACAAAGGCAGAGAAAGAGAATGCGAATAGAACAGCGCCTCCTTCCAGTGATCTCGCCCGTAGGTTGCATATAGTCGGTCAGCGTAGATGCCCTGAAAGGCAGACAGGATCATGGCTAAGGCAAGAATGGTAAACCCAGTTGCCGTGGTCATCATCGCTACATCTTCTCCAGATCCAATCTCGATGGGCTGACCTTTTGCCTGCGCATCAGCCAACGCTGCAGCCACCACGCCGGCCGTCAACATCGCCACGGCAAGGATCTGGCCACGGGAATATCGACGTCCATTGGTGATATATCCTACTATCATTGAAGCCACTGGACCACCAGACCGTAAGATGATATGAAGAGGCACAGAAATCTTGTAGGCAAAGGCCCAATTATTCAAAACATTGACAGTCACAAAGAACCCGGTATAGATCAGCCATGCGCGAAGCGGGATGGCCCGAGGACTCAGAAACAACGCACAAGGCCCCGCGGAGAAGGAAAGGAAATGCGGCAACGTGAAGACGGCACATAGTACGAACTGGGCGAAGGTAATCAATGGGCCTATATGGAGGTTGATTAGAACCGGATCTCAGGATTGAATGATCGAGTTTCTCGTTTTGAGGCACAGTGAGGCAAGCTTACCGGCGGTGGGTTGTTCTCTAAAGAGTGAGAATTGTCAGTTTATCTGGTATATGGGAATTGTATTACTCTCTTGAGGACAGTCAACTTACTTAATAATGGCTTCCAGAGCAAATACCTATCGCCGCATGTTAGCCAACACCCACGTTAGACACGGGCCACGTCGGCCAGATGGCAGGTACTCACATTCGCACAGCACCCTCCGAAGATGAGCGAAGACATCAGGACCATGTTCGCCCAAGTAGGTACTGCCGCATGAGCCGCAGCTGCAATTACGCTGGTATTGCGCTCCTTCGTTGCCTCATTGGCCTTGTTGGAGCTTCTCCGACCTGCCGTGGCCACCAGCACATCGCGGTCATCGAGGATAGTCGAGCCGATTGAGGGACTTGTCGGCGGAAGAACGTATTTATCCGGACTTCGTTTCAAGGTATCGCTGTCATGGATCATCCTACCGTGGATTGGGATCAGTGGAAGTGTTCTTGGGTTTCTGGGAAGGGAAGGTCGACCTACTCCGCAACCCGCAACTCGGACCCAGTCTCTCTTCTAGCGTTCTGCGGAAGGGGTTCTCGGCCGTTGCTCTTCTTGTTTCTCGGTAGTATTATGGGCTGTATAGAAATATCTTAGCGATTGAGACACATCAAGCTGCGAAGAGGAAATGGTGGCCAGGCGGAATGGAGGCCGAAAAGGAAGTCGAGATCTTGCCGGGGGGCGCAACTCGCGTTGGACGAACCCCACATGACAACAATCTCACACTTCCAACTCCAACCTCAACTTCAACAAGATGAACAGCGAAGTGGGAATTTCGATGGGTTCAACCTACAATGACTGCTGCACATTAAATGGATTCATAACGCGCACATCATCACCATCATCATTATCATCATCAACAATTACATCTCTCTACCGGGAAAATGCGGCGTTTATTTAGTCTTTCACATTCGTATATATGGCAGTATAGTATAACAAACAATGGTCAATCATCCACAATATCATCGTCACTGAGGATCAGTTTTTCCTCAAATTGAGATGCAGAGAACGCCATCCCGTTACTGGTAGGCTTGGGTTCGGGTTGTGAGGGGAGTAACTCATCCTCCTCGGCATCAGGATCGAGATGACCGCCGCGGATGCTGGTGATTTGATTTAATTGCCAATTCTCTGGATCGTTGTGACCAATCTGGGCCATATACGGAAGCTGGTAGAGCAGAGCATCATGGCGCGACATCATGGTCACACCCGTTCCGAGGGGTTGGTCTGCTTCCCCTGATGATGGAGGACCCACTTGAAAGGTATTCCTCCATGACTTGACGCCAGTGTTCCTGGCAGAGGTATCCATACCGTGTCGAGGGATATGTGAGCTACTCAAAGGGTCCAGACCACGTTTCATCCAGGAGTCCACAAGTCCCTCAATCTCCTCCGTTTTTCGCCACAATCGTAATAAAGCTGGAAAGAGCATCTTGTGCGTATCCCCAGCCCGACTGCGCCTATTGCCCAAAACTAGTTGTCGTTTCACGGGGTAGGGCAGGGCAAACAGAAGACCACGCGCGGCCACCTGAAAACTGATTTCCTCCTGGCGCAGTACGTCCACGCCGGCGCTGAAAGCAAATGTGTTGCCGACCCCAATGCCCGCCCGCGCACCCCGGCTCGGTTTCCGATCGGCACTAAGGAGGTCGCTGTCCGAAAGCCTCTCAATGCAAGCGTTTAGATGGTCGGTAAATAGGATTCCATCGCAGGACGGCGGATAATTCTCATGAAGAGCACAGATGAAGGTCGGGATATCAGTGCCAGTCTCATCCAGCAGTTCATTGACGGCCACTTGCGAGACCTTCGGTCGACTATGATGGGCTAAATGGCTCGGAGGTGCGGGTGGAATGGAAGTTTCGCAAGAAATCAAACTTGAGTCCTGGCGTTTGTTATAGACAATCTTGCCCACAGCGTGGAACATCCCGAGGCTTGCCTCGCGGTGTGAAATGATCTCTAGGGCCTCCTGCTCCATCGGGGTCAAGACCGTGTCGCCGCGGGACCTTTTAATCCTAGCCAGAGTACCACCCCATTTTCCGGTTTGGTCACCTTGTACACAAAGAAACTCTAGTGAAGACACGGCACTGCGAATGTCTCCAACCTCCGCAATTCGGTCCAGAAGTGCGGGCCCAGGGATGCGAACTCGCCGAGAAACCCGCGCCTCTTTTTCGAGAACTGCTCGTAATGCTTTTCGCATGAAAGTCGGGGCAATACTGTTGAAGTCAATGATTGCGGTACCGGGGTGATTGTACAATGTTGGCCCTAGCAAGCGATGGACGGTCAAGTTATCTGAAATTGATGAAGCAGAGCTCAGCAATGTCTCCGATACAACCATAACAATTGGCGGATGCATCCACCCGCCGGTGGCGTCCGATGCAGTCGCCAGGTAGCGTTGTAGAGAGGATCTAAACGCCGAGAGACTTGAGGAGTTTCGCGTTAGGACAGTAGGAAATTCTTCAACAAGGAGAACGCGGCGATTATTAGGATTTGGATCCTGGGTCTTCTTCGTACGGCCATCATTTTCCAGGTCAAGACCTCCAAATAAATCAACGCGTCCGAGAAATTCCTCAAACTGGGCACCCACGGACACGTAGTCAGGAGCGTTAAACTCGGTGACTGACGGATTACGCCATTCGATGAGGTCAAATCCGACGGACTTGGAAAGCAGTTCAATCGTTGTTGTTTTGCCGCAGCCTGCAGGACCTCGAAGAACTAATAGTCTCTGTTCTTGTCAGCCAAAAAGTGCTTGCGATGATGTCTGATAATTTCTCAATACTGTGAGCTATCTGGCTCCGTTTGAGGCACGGGCCGAGCACTCACCTCTCTCCGTCTTCCTGAAAACGCCTCCTCCAGCCAACTCTGCACATCAGACACCTTCTTCTTGTGTACCGCGATTTCATCGAGAGTAGACGGAGCGAAACGCTGCGCCCATGGAAGGTGACACCCCTCGAATGGAGAAGGAAGGGCAGCCGGTAGTGATGGAAGGGTAGATGACTGTTGAGTGGTATCTCCGCTGGCATCGAATGGCATCAAAAATCGTTTCGAGCTTTGGCGCTTGGGTCGTGCAGCGAGTGTCTTTTTGGACGCGGCTCCCCACGCTTCGTCGGAGGCATGAGAGGTCGGTGAGCCAATCCCTTCCGTCTGTTTTTCGGCCTTCGACACGCCTGCCAGGTGTTGCGTAAAGATTTCATCGTAGGAGTCATAGTCATCTTCAATTACATCGTCATCGAGGGAGGCTTCGGAGACCGGGGCCAGCGGTCGTTTTGATTCGAAATTCTGCGAAGACCATCGCTGGCGTTCTGTTGCAGGCCGGAAAAAGCTATGAAGAGACTTGGATTTGATCGGTTTAGGGGGCGTTTCAGATTTCTTCGGCGAGGGGGAGGAAGTGGCGGCTCGAGACGGTTTGGTCTTGGAGCACAATGAGAACGCGACGGGCTTCGAGTCCGAGGGACCGAGATAGCTTGCTCGGCGTTTCTGATCCTCCTGGGAGTCGCTTTCTGGATGAACGGATCGGCGTTGTCTCTTGGGGGGGCGACCGTTCATGATGGGCCCGTCGAAGGGGTGGGGACAAAAGAAGACGAGGTGGGATTGCTGCGTATCCGATAAGCATAAGCTTATTGCCAAGCGCACGCGAATCCACTACGGGGAAGGGGGAACGGAGGAGCCCAAATTGATATTAGGTTGGTTTTTTGCTTTGCAATGAAATTGCTGGCTTGAAATCTATGTAATAAAAATGCTTGCCATTTTTGCACAAAACTTGCGAGATATTGTACATTGCCTTTGTTGTGATCCATCCTGCAGACTCGATTTTCTACTCCTTTCCTCGGCGTGAATGATGAATAGTATATGCAGAGTAACAATGGCCCAAGACAAAGGTGTGAAGTGACCGAGGAAGGAGGTGGTGAAGGGGGGGGCGGGGGCAAGTCATAGCTATAAACAGTGTTGCAAAAAGGAGACAATGCATAATATTTCTATACAGCACAGAGGGAGATGGGTCTTTGTCGCTAGTGGTTCGAAGCGAGATGTTCACCCATCTCGAGGAAATTAAAAAAAAGAAGATATGGGGATGGAGAGTTACAAAGTTGACTTTTTGCTTAATTTATGGACACAACTCCCTTTTGAATTGTAAATCAGCAGGATCCTAACACACCTCCGGCCATCAGTGGGTATAAATATATCGACAAGTTTCCAATAAAAATGACAGAAGAAAAGAAGAGACGGGAACGACAAGCAGACCAAGAGCTCAACTCCAGGATTATACACCACCAAAGACGTCATAGTAATAATCTTCATCTAGCCCGTCTCGTACGGGTACAGGAGGCGCTTCGCCAGCGAACGTAGCATCGTCAAACCGAACATTCAGGAGACGGATTTTCAGCCCGTAGTTACTGACTAAATCGATCAACTTAGTGGTCTCCGCAGTGATAGGCTGTTGGTTGAGTAGCATAAGGAGACCATCAAGCCACTCAGAGGCCACACTATGGGAAGCAGGCCGAAGGATGAGGAGAACCACCTCCTTCTGGGTAGATCGGCTGCCCGTGCGGGTATGGCCATGGCCCCTCGAATGCCCCGTGGTCGAAGACGATGCATAGCCATGGATGGTAATTTTAGTGGAGGCCTGACGAGGAGCCGTCTTGACGGTAGACGACGAAGAATAATCGGGAGTGGTGGAGACATTCGAAACCACCGAGGAAACGATGGAGAGGTCAACTAGTGTCCTCTTTGTTAGTATGGAGGAGACACAGACCTAGTCAGAAAAGGACCCTAGATGCAGGTATTTAAAATGCTTACTCTTGTCAGGGAGTTCATCTAGCTCCGGAGCACGGTCATCCATCGAGTCGAACTCGCCAAAATGCAGGTATCGTCGGTTGTGCGATAATTGGATATATTGATAGGAGGCTGAGGATCGGGGAATCGGCCCGGAATCGGACTTGGAGTGAGATTCGAGGGAAAACCAGGCGCCCTGAAGCAGACAACGAATCCGTTGTTCCTTGACAAACTGCAAGGCTTCATGGTGAAGCTCATCACGTACCTGGCGCAAGTGTTGGCCCCAGGCATCCTCGTACGTGAGTTCCAGAAGTTCCATCTGCAGCTCTCGGAGTCGCGGGTATTCAAAGTTCGCGAGCTCCTCTTCGATATCTTGTACGTCCTTCGTACGGGCGGCACCACCCACCACGGATTCGATCAGAATACGGACCAGCTCGACGAGTTTGTCGAGATCCTCCGTTTCCGCCGCGGTTGCTTTCCAGAGGCGGAAGAAGGCCTGTAAACCTGACACGTGGAGTCGAGTCCAGTGGAGCAGAAGGGGTCTGAACAATTTGTCGAGACTGGATCGTGATTCCAGAAGCATATAGCTCTTAGAATCTTCCATTTCCGACTTGTCCACTTCGAAATGCTCATACAAGATGGATGTCACAGCCAAGGAGGCTTGGGCAATCGGACAGCGTTGGCGAGAGGGTTTTGTCGATTGTTCGAGAAGCATCTTCTGGTATTCATCCTGGTGACTGCGGACATAGTCGGCCAGATCCATCATCCCCAAGAATCCGACCTCGTAGAATTCCGCCACGGGGCTCTCCGATTCGAATCCCAAGCGACGCCACTTCTCTGGGTGATGTCGTTTGGACCGCCGGGCCTCCTCTCCATTTTCGAGAGTCTCATCAACACACTTGCTAGGGTTGCTGGCGAGATAGATTCCTTTCAGGGCTCTGCGGTGTTCCGGCTTCTCCTGATTCAGGGGGATGTCTCGCCACTTACGCAGAAGGACTTTGGTGAGGGATTGGAATTCAAGAAGAGGCGGGGCGAGATCCTGGAGAGCCGAATCCTGCATCAACATATAGACAGCCCGAATCACGCCGAGGTCTTGCAGTTTCTGAATAAACTTGGGCCACTCTGCCTCCGAGTCGTGTGTAATCGAGTCGCGCATCAAGGAATTGATCAACTGCAGCGCATTGGCGCACAGGGCATGGTCTGCAGATGACAGTCTGCTCACGAGCATCTCGAGGAATTGGGGAAAGATGGCGATGGCCGGTTTCAATGCACGAAAGCCATATTGGTCCACTTGCGACGCGCGAACCCCAGTGTGTGGGTGGGACACGATCGACACGAGAATCGACATCGCGCCACGGAGGATGTTGACCAGCGGATGAGTGACGATAAGTTCCACGATCTGATGGCAGGCAAAAACGAACCCAGGAGCCCATGGTTAGCAGGCGAATTGGGGAGGTCGAGCCTTGGGTATGGGGAAACCGGAGCTCTTACCCGTTCAACCAACTCCTGGTCAACACACTCCCATCCTTTGTCCACCTCCAGCAGGCGAGCAAAACTGGTCAGACTGTAAGCCAGTGTATTCCCGTTAGCATGCAGGGTCAGGTATCGCAGGCGGGTCAGCCCCCCCTCAATAATAAACAATTCAGCGAAAGACGGGTCGCCGACGTTGCCCTGAAGCTTGAACACGGCCATTTTGCGCACGGCATCCTCATCGCTACCGAGACGCTCGACTAACTCGGCCACATTGAGGTTGTCCATGATGATTGGTTTGCCCCCAGTCGGCAATAGGCTAGGGGGAGGAAGGGGAGGTTGGCTGGGATTGTCAAAGAAGGAAAAGGTGCGGAGAGGCGAGTTGGGGGGCTTTGGGGGTTCATTTCATTAGGGGCGGGAGCTGTGGGGCACGCCGGCGGTTGGCCTCGATCCTCTGGACACCATACCCTTGCGAGCCGATGGCCTCTTGAGACGGAAATGCATTGTCCGCTGAAAATCTGTCGAGCTACAAACTAAAATTAATGACTTCAAATACAAGATCCAAAGAACCCATGCACGTCTGAACTGTGTATATTTTCATGGAGGGTCTTCGAGGATGGAAACCCGGAAATTAGATACTGGTATGTTTCGTTCGTTTCATACATGAGAAAAAGCAGGAGAAAAAGGAAATTAAAACAAAGTCGCCTCCCCAGAAAGGGAAAAGAGAAGATGGGAGGTCATCTAAGGAGTCAAATCGCAACCCCTTCTCAGGTGGGAATCTATAAACCTGAAATTCATCAAAAGTCCAATTCATGCTCGTCGCAAACAGATGCTTCACTGTACGCGACCACTCAGACATTTGCGATCTCGTTAACTGCGGGAAAATTTTCTTCTCTTAGGGAACTGGCTGGGAAACCGGCCGAACCTAGTCCTCTAGAGGTGAAACAAGAGAGGGAGGGAGGGAGGGAGGGAGGAGATGGAGAAGAAGATGGAGAAGGAGAAATGGCCGGCAAAGGTCAGCGTCGCCACCCGACATTCCAAATAACATGGGCGATATCACGCGCCGTATTGACGGTATCGACAACTCGGCCCAACAGACCATTGTTGGCTGGCTCTCCTTCACCGTCACCATAGGGCATGAACATGCCTGAAGGAGTTAATCGCAAGGGACGGTTGGTGGCCTCATCCTCGGGTACGAACCATGGCTGGTCTCGGTTGATATAGTGTCCCGTGAAGTCAAGGGATGGATCTTCGTCCTCGTCGTCAAGGAGGAAATTGGCAGAGGATTGGAAATGGTGTGGGGATGGAGAGGATGGAGAGGATGGAGAGGATGGAGAAGGTCGGAGGGTCTCAACCGAAGGAGTAGGGGACAAGGTAGAAGAAGAAGGGAGCGAGGCCCAGCGATCCAAAATGGATTCCCGAGGCTCGGGGGTGTCGCCCCGGTATTTGAGGGTGGTGGAAGGGAGAGGGGCAATCGTTTTGCTGTCGCTGCTGAAGCTATTTCGCGGAGTGCTTCGACTGCTCAGTGAGGCGCCAGGGGCTTGTCGCATCATGACCACGCCGTCATCCGAGGAGGAGCCATCATCCAAGGCGGGCGGCCATCCGTCTGCCTCGTCCCCACCTTTGGCTTCGACCGCAATGCATTGGACCACTTCATTGTTGAAGTGGATGTGCCGTCGTTCACTTGGTGACGTCAAGCCGGAGGAGGACGAGGTGGTGAGCGTCCCGCCGAGCGAGTAGGTCGAGCTTCCCGTCCGGTGGTGAATCTGGTCCAGGTCGGTGTTGGATCGGGGGAAGGGGGGACGCGCCCAGCCGCTTTCGGCCTCCTGAGCCTGGAGAATGGCCCCCGCATGTTGGAGCAGGGTGTGCTGGGACAGCGATCGCTGGAGGATGGTTTCCGAAGCAGTTTTCTTCTTCAAAATAGGTTTCCGGTCCAGATACGAATTGGGGGTCTCGAGACGACTCGGGGGCGGCGATACATCCGACGCGACGGCATCGCTAGAGCCGGACGTCTTAAGGGGGCCATATAACCATGTCACATCACAGTCCTTCAACCTACATCATTCCAATGGTGAGCACGCCTTGAATCACAACAAACATGAGAGGAGGGACAAAAGATTCCACCGGCACCAACCGGTTTTATCCAGAGAGAGACCTACCAATTCAATGTCTCGGGGGAGATGGTCCCCAAATTGTTTTTAGCCTTGGCCCACGTTCGCCAGGACGCGTTCTCGAGCCGTACCCCATTGCTGTAAGATGTTTTGCGCATGGTGACATAGCGCCAGGAGGCCCAGATATCCTCTTCCTTCCAGTCGTGGGAGAGATAATCGACATGTCTTGACGGTTCCACCTCCGCGGAAGTGTCATCGGCCGCTGGGGTGGTGCAGGCGGACCAGGCGGCGGTCGAGAGGTTCGGGAGCGCATCGGCCGACGCGTCGCTCAGGGCCTCTTGGTCGTCCCTGGAGGGCACGGAAGACGCTTTTGGATCAAACTCGTAGGTTGGCAGGATGAGATCATCGGTCAAGGACACACTGCTCAGGGTAGCCGGGGTGAAACTCGGAGACGGTGGGATGGAGGAGACGGTTGAGGCCACGGGGCTGGGGCACTCCCGAGCCGTAAATTCATCTTGCATGGGTGACTTGAATGGGATATCGGGGTCCTCGAGGAAGTATCGTTGCGCGGTGGGTGACCGCCGTGACCGCGATTGTGGCCGCACAGGATCCGGGGAAAATTGCGACCGCCGTTCGCGGGGGGCCACCAGCACCTCCGTCATTTCCCCGTCTTGGGAGGCGGGCGGGGGGTTGCTTGCTTTTGCTATGAGGATAGCTTGATATGCAGACTGTCTTCTTCTTCTTCTTCTTCTTTTTCTTCTTTTCTCTTTTCTTCTCCTTTCTTGTGTCTCCCCGAGACGAGCGACGAAGGAAGGAGGTGGAGAATGGGGGAGCAGCGCGGTGGGGAGGTTAATTGGTAATTGGTGCCGGGGGCCGGGTGCCCGGAGCCAAGCGCGGCAGACGAGTGGAGAGCGGAGGAGCTCGCGCGCGCGCACCAAAAGGTGATGGAAGTGGAATTTAGAGGGAAAGCAAAGTACAAATCACTGATCCATCAACTTCAAACAGACGGAGAGGATGAGGAAATGAAATAAAAGGATGGAAGAAGGGGGGAGAAGGAACAGAAGGCGAAGAAAAAAGAAGAGGAAGATCCCGGGTGGCGGGCTTTCTTGGTGATGGGAGAGTCCGGGGGAGAGGAAATGGGGTGGCGGCTGGAAGTTTCACAGGATGCGGGGAGGAACCAGCACGAAGCAGAAGTAGGAGCAGAAACCAAAGCAGGAAGACGAAAGAGGGAGGGCAAGCCAAGAGGATGCAGGAGACTGCAAGTCAACCCTGGGACGAGAACAAGAACAAGAGGAGTTTGAAGCGGAGCCAACGGGCAGAAGAGCGCCTCCCGTGATCGAGTCGTTGGGGCGGGAGTATATGAAGTTAATGCACGATACTTCACATTCAATCCACATAAAATTCTATAATCAGGAATCTCGATTTGAGGAGGCAATGAAAGGGTGCTCGGTGTCAAGAAAGCCCCAGGTCAGTTCAGATGGTCGGGAGATAGACAGGAGATGATGAGTGGTGACACAATGAGAAGAAATAGGAAGCCCTGCTACGATGGCGATAGGGGAGAATCCGAGTGATTGGGGGGAGAAATTGAGACAGAGGAAGAGAGAGTGAGAGCGAGAGAGAGAGAGAAAGAGAGAGAGAGAGAGGAGGGGAAGAGGGAGAGAGAACATATAGGGAGGTCCTATTCCGATTCATTTCCCATTCTCCTCCGCTCTAGCATGGATTGCGCACTGGGAGGGAACGGGTTGGGCCTGCATGTTGTTGCCACCAGTGGGGAATCGGGGGTCGGGGATCTCGTAAGAATGCAAATGTTCATTCTAATTGCGGATGCTGTGGATTTGGGGAGGGGGTTGGACTTTGGGTTTTGGAGTTGGGGATTTGGGTTATCATCGATCATCGATGCGCACCGTCGATTCCGTTGTCTACTCCGTATATCGTCTCATTCGGCTATGTTCCCAAGGGCTAGACCGGACGATAATCCTGGGGCTCCACTTAGTCGATCCCAGTGGAGTGTGAGGCCAACGGTCGTTTCACACGCAGCTGCGTCTATCAGGGCAAAGAGGGATGTTTATGGACCATCCAGGTCCACTAGACTCTGGATGAAGATCGTCCCCTCTTCTCAACCCCATATTTCCTATACTTCCTATACTTCCTATACTTCCTATACTTCCTATACTTCCGATACTTCCTATACTTTCGATATTTCCCATGCTTCCTATACTTGACGCTTCTATAGATCAGATCCCGATCCTCCCCCTCGACTTCCCCATCGGAGTGAGTACAATCCTCCAATGACCCCGATTAATACGATTACGATCGCTCTCTGCTGCAGCCTCTGGGACAAATTGAGGAATATCGCCCCCCATCCACCACCTCTCTCCCTCTCACCCATCCCCCCCCCCCCCCACACACACTCCCTCTCTCTCTGAAAATCCGGATCCTGGTTCGTTCCGAATCGCCTAGGCGTGGCCGCTGCAGCTACAGGGTCTGAGCACCGTTGGACTGGGAAGAAGGCGGGTCGCACATCGGCACACCTTGTGTCCCTCTTCCCTTCTCCAGTCTTGGTTCCATCTCTTGTAAAAAAAAAAAAAAAAAAAAACCAAAAGCTCACCGAGCCCATAATGATCTTAACAATAATAATCAATTATTTAAAATATAAAATATGAATCGAATTGAACAGGAGTCAAAAATAGCAGTCATTTTGACTAGTTATCGGAGGATTACGTGGGTTGTTCCATGTTTTTTGATTCGCGCTCCGATCATGCAACTATCCTATCATTCCATTATTCTATGACTGATTTCTATCATGGCTCCAGTTAACAGATTTCCATGATTCGTCTCTTCCTTCGATGTTTGTCCCTCCACCCGCCTCCTGCACCCCCCCTTCCCTCTCCATCGTCCGAGCCCAGAGCGGCGAAAAAGGCTACAGAGGCGGCCACTTTGGGGGATCAAGAGTCCTTGTCGCTGGCTGCTGCAGGTCGACGAGGCCCGAGAGGCCCGAGAGGCCCGAGAAGAGGCGACCTGAATGGGCATTGTTGGCGGTCCACGGATATCTCTGACCCGACCCAGACCCAGTTATGTAGGAACTCTTGAATAGGTCCGAGTGGATCGAGGGGCAAAAATCAGAAAGTTCCGTACGAGTTGGAACCAGATCAGAGAAGTGTGCAATCATCCTCATTCGAATCGAAGTGGCTAGGAATTAGTCACATTATGGATTCATAGTCCCATAGTCACCGTCCAGGGCGTAGTAGTGTACACTCCTTGATCGTCAATTGTCAAAAGCGAGGACTTCCCTCGTTAGAAACTACAATCCCTATTTACCTCGCTAGACTCGCCATTATTCGGAGAAGAACTGGAGGAGGCCACAGATTGGTTATCAGGGATCCAACTTGCCTTCTAGTGTCTCTATTGTCAATGACCGTTATCGACTGAACTTGGCATACATTATATGTTATATCAATGCGGGATATTGCATAATACATGTTCTATGAGTGGGAAACAAGATGATCACTCGCATCATGCATCTGCACAATGCGTATGTTCATCTCTTCCCGGGTGAACTGGCTCTAAAAGAGTATTCGGCTTTGTTTTCTGATTCTTTCAACTTTGCCTGAATGAGGTTCAAAGTTTTCTATTCTTGTTTTCTCTCTCGTCCTTCTAGCGCCTTGCTTTGCACGACCCGGCTTCTCGGATGGCAAGTTCCGGGTGACACGCCTTGCCCAAATCCTTTGGAGGCCGTACATTTCCAGAACGAGATGCTGCACCACCTTGGCCAACAAGAGCCATCAAGGTCGGAGCTGTCCCCTCTGAGACCTTCTCATCCTCCCCCTCTCTTCTAACGCAAGATGGCGGCCCAGAATGGCTGACCTGACACGCCGACATCCCAGGGGACCCCGTTGGCCAGCCGCATCTAGCGAAACCTCGCCTCGCCTTCGTCACCCTCGCCATGCCTCCACGAGCTCCGGGCCGCAGGACCGTGCGGCTGCAGATACCCAGATCTTCCGGCCAGCACAGCACAGTGGGGATAGATGGTAGGATCCTTCCCGTACCCTCTGTACCCCGTCCATCGCTCCCGTAGTCCCATCTCCCCCTCTCCCATCCGGGGAGAGCGTAGCCCCCGGATAGATCAACGGGCCGATGGGCTCGATGTAGCCGAAGTCCCCGCCACTAGCGAGTAGCACGGACCGTACAGGGGCGAGGGGTGGCGGCCAATGTTCGCTGGCCTGAGGAAGGAGAGATGATACCCTCTTCTCCTTCCGTCCTCTTCTCCTGTCTCGACCCGGTCATTGCTGCCCCCTCTCCGAGACGGGAAGAGCAGATAAGCGTATCGAGATTCAAACGATTCGAGCGATGCGAGCGCGATAGTCCAGATCGGGGAGTCCTGGAGGCGTCTGGGCGAATAATTAGGGCGGTTGGAAATTGGGTTTGCGTTATTCGCTCCATTGCCCCCGATGCATTGCTGTTTCTTTGGTATCTTCCACTTCCCCCCCCTCTATTTCTCCACCGAGATGATCTCTCGGCGCGCAGTGATAAGACTCAATGTATCCGCAACCCCTCCACGATGGGTTCCGGTCACCTTTCGTGGCTGCTGTTGATGCTACCGCTCGAGCAGGACAAGGTTGCTCCTCCCAGCAAAGCTCTCGCTCCTTGGCGTCGCACCTCGAGAATTTGCCTTTCGTCCGTGCGGCTGCATCTGAACGCCGCCGGGCCCGTGATTGGCCCCGGCTTAAACCCTCCCATCAGCGGCGTCCGCAAGAGAACGGGGACACTGGACGGGATCGTCTCGCCATTGGCTCTGAAAGGAGCTCGTCGCATCGCTGCAGGTTGCCGCCAAACCCTCCGGAACCTCCTGGGCCCCTCTGGACCTGCCGGGCAATGCTGGACAACCTGGACCAGGCGCCTCTTCGACCAGGGACACCAAAGCAGACCTGTTGGAAGCGGAGACACTCGAAGTCAGTGGAACGGAGGGGCCAACGGAAGGGAAGATTCTAGAGCCGGGTCTGGCCCCCGCTTCCACCCTCTCGTAGATTTTGTACATCACCACGGAGTAGCTTTGGAAATGGAAGGGGGGTTGGGAGGATTGCGAATGAGGAGTCGAGGACGAGTCGAAGTTTGCCCCGCGGAGACGTAAGCACCGTGCCTCTCGTCATCTCATCCTGGCGAAAGTTCTTCCCAGCCGCCATCCCATTGGGGCTTCTATGGAGGACTATGAGGAAGTCGAGCAGATCGCCTGGGATGGAGTCGCAGGGACTCGAATTGGCCAATGGGTCATGCCCCGTGCATCATTCTGATGCATTGGCGCATTTTTCTGTTCCTCCTGGAACAGCCGTTTTTGCCCATCATCGTAGTATATTTAGCGCATTTTAGTTGTCTTAGTTGCTGAATTAGTTGCTGGGTTAGTTCCCGAACGCGTGAGTCCATTCGTTCTTAAAACGGGCCCTAACGTCTGTCACTATCGTCGAGCCTGATTGGTGCTGCTACTGTCTCCAATCGCACGACCTTTTGTTTTTTGGGATTCTTGAAGGAGTGCAAGGAGAGATCGAGACATCCGAGTCCGCGTACTAGCGTCGTTGATCGGTGGGAACCTCTGCAAAACCTACCATTTCCCGAGATCCCCGTGGTCGAAGGATGTTGGAAATCTGTATACGTGATTCCGACATCTGATCCTGTGCCGGAGGATAGAGGAAGATGCCCTGTGTACCTGGACCTGAAATTGGAACTCCACGGTTGACCCCGGCCATGTTTCACCCAGGACAGCCAAGCCTACTGCGACTACACCCGTCAAACGTCGGATTGGATGTCAATCAACTCATGCTCGCGGCTCTCGCGAAAGACCCCGACAGCTTGGGACATCCACCTCTCTCCTTCTCCACCAGACGCCGCCCGGTTTCCACTTTCCACTTTGCCTGACAGCTCGCGTACCTGTCGCCCAGGAGGTATACCACACGCCCACACGCGGCGGTGCAGCAGAAGAAATGACCCGAGTCAAGAAGCATTGGAAGAATGGAAAGGACGGACGACTTCCAAAGCAGGAACCGGATCCGAGCTCTCTACCTCTTCCTCTTTTTTGGTCTCTTATCGCTGCACCCTCCAGCTTCGTCCACCGGTGCGCCCCCTGGTCAACGGGCCGTGCGAGGTCAATGTTCCCTCTCCAATGAACATCGCGACAGTTCACTGTGCTCCCTATCACGACGATCGCAAGCTAGCCTGGTCCCTCTGTCTCAACTCCGCAATCCTGTTGGCAATTGGCCCGGCTCTAGGTCGCCCTATTCTCATGCACTACACCCTCTCCATCCCGTACTTTTTTTTTTTTTTTTTATTTTTGGCCCCGTGGGCCTGCTGCATCTTAACGGCCCGGCTGCTGCTGCTGCGGCGGCGGCTGCGAGGCCACTTCTGCATGGCCCCAATGCGAAACAAACAAGGCTCCTCAAAGGGCCATGATAACAACGGGTCTCCACACGTCTTTTCACGTCCCCCAAGCCTCCAAAGTCTGTCCGAAGGTCTGTCCTTGCAAGGGCTGTGTTGGTTCAGTGGCCCCGCCACCGTGCGAGCGGGGTTGCGGACGAGCCCACGAGAAGCCATGCGAGGTTCCAAGACTCTTCGATCTCGCTTGCTTTCTCGGCCTACAGAGTAGTACGAGAACACGCTGGATCACTCCCTTCTGCAAACACCCGCTTCTTTGTCGCAAGTCATGACGTCTCCATGCACGTGACCCAATCGACCCTCTTATACTCGTGATGTCACATGATTGTGATTCCCAAAGAGGGTTAGTGCGCGTCTCTGTGCCCCGCGACCGAAGTCCAAACGCCGACAACGATGCCGCGTTGTGATTGGGGTTATCCCGACTTTTGCACCTTTTCTGCTTCACGTTGAATCCGGAATCATACCCAATGGCCGAGGCAGACTCAAGCTCGGTTGAGCCCCAGGCCCGGCATGTCGTATACTGTGGAGGTAGGTAGCCTCCCTCTCCTCCCCCTCCCGGTGGCCCGCCTTCACTCGTGAGGGGACCCGGCTTGCTCGCGTGAATGCTAACAAAAAGTGCTGCTGGACACAGTCTGTACTCTACCCCCCGAGGTTCGTGATTTACCTCCAGCTCTCACCCGGATGGAAGTCAAGGCTGGCTCTTGGTGGCTCAATGCCTCTGACGAGAATTCTGAGGTCAAGGACCCCCTCGGCGCAATAGTAACCCAATTTTCCCCCTCCTAGTACTGCGAATTTGGAGGCACTGCCAAAAAATGTGAAGACTGGCTGAAAGACGAACACGAAGATCTCTGGACACGATTATACTCGGATGGTACGTGGACGTGGTCTATATGGACGTGAAACACCTCATCATACCCGGGGGCCCGTTTTCTTTCTCCCTTCCCATACCTCTTCCAGATCAAATCACCCGATCTGACCCTCCTGCGACCAGATGCACTCAATGCCAATCTCTCCTCCCTCTCCGTCTCCGCCCAGGAACGTGCCGCCAAGGATGCCGCGAAGAAGGAAGCCAAGGCGGCTCAGGTGGAAGCCCGCGATGCCGAGCGCAAGGCCGCCTCTAAGGTCCAGATCAAGCGCGTGGAGCGCAATAAGCGCAAGCATGTGACGGTCATCATCGGCCTGGAGGTCTTTGGGCTCGAGAATAAAAAGCTGGCCAAGGAGCTCGGCAAGAAGTTCGCGACCGGCTCCTCAGTCACCCGATCCCCGGCCGGCGCGGAGGAAATCACCGTGCAGGGCGACGTCAGTGACGATGTGCGAGACTGGCTGCTGGAGGTTTACGGTAGCAAGGTGCCCGAGGCGAACATTGAAATGATTGAGGATAAGAAGAAGAAGAGTACAACTACTTAGGGGAAAAAAAAGACCCCGACGACTGAGTGTGAGGAAAGAAGGAGACAGAGACAGAGAGAGAGAGAGAGAGAGAGAGCTCTTAATGACGGTAACGAATCCATAGCGGAGAAGTGGGTATCATGACATGACTAGAAACAAAAACAGACCAATACAATGTGAAGCTGAACTCCCTACGGGAGATGAAAAAACGGCCAGAAGTGATCATGAATCCCACAAAGAGATACGAGAGATAGCAAGAAAGAGAGAGGATCTTGAGTGTAGATGTGAGAGTGCCGCGTGAATTACAGCTCATCCAGCAGCCTGAGAGGGTCATGATCATGCACCGTTTGCTCTTGATTCAAAGCAATATGGGAACTGGTTCTGGTCTGTTCCAGATTCGTTGCGTGGCCTTGCACCCGGGCTAGACTCCGTCGACGGTCTTCCAGCGTCGACGGGTACCATGAAGCGGCAGAGTCACCGGGGGAATCTCGAGCCTCCAGAATAGAGTCCCACGTCTCTGATGAATAGCCAGACTCCCGGAACTCCCCCTGAACAAGCTTCACAACCTCGGTGGGCAGCGTCGGGTCCTCGACTCGATGTGATAAATGCATGGCGGGCCAATTCTGGAGAAGCAAAGCCAATATCAGCACTACCAAAGCGCCGACCACAGTGGCCCAGAAGATGCGCAGCCGACGGCTGATGCGCGATTGCCATTCGGTTTCCCGCTGCTCCCAGCGATCAATCTCATGTCGGACTGACTCTAGTCGCTTGCTGAGGGTCTCGACTTTTTGCCGCCCGTTCTTCATGCGCTCTTCCAACGCATCTGCCTTCCGAATCTGCGGCTCAAAACCTTTGAGATCATTGATTTGCTTACGGATCTCCTGATCCAAACCGGCCGTCTCGCGCTCGAAATTATTGAGGAGGGTGGAGGCTGACTCCGATAGTTCCTGGAACGATCCAATTGTGGAGTTGAGAGCGGTGATTTTCTCCAGTAGGTTATAGTATGTGTAGTCGAGTCGCCGCGTAACATCCGTAGCAAGAGTCCCAATTGACGAGAGCGCGGAGCGGAGATACCTATGATGGGAATTGTCAGTCTGCACAGTATTCAAACAGGGAGGAATGCTGGGGGATATAGAGAAATCTTCCATACTCTTCACCCTGTTTGCGCCGTTTCTTGACCTGCTCCAAGTCATTCATGGACTGGATCTCTTGCCGCCGAATCGGGCCCAGCCGCTCATGCGATTCCTGAGTATCTAAGAGACTGCCCTTTCGGCTGCTAGAGCCCACCCCGCTCGTGGAATCTGATCCCCAGCGAGATCGTGGCGTTGTCTCCCGGGTGATCGGCCTCAGGAGCCCATCATCCCCCTCCCGGTCCCTTTCCCGGCTCCATGTGGGCAGCAAACCTCGCGCGCTTGCGGATGATGCTAGTTGACTCATGGGGCGCGGGAGGCGAAGCTCGCGGGACTTGCTATGCTTGTGTCGGTGATGTGGTTTCGGCGCGTCTGGCCCGAGCGGCTCGAACAGTGGTTTGACAGTCGATCGAGGTCGTGAGTCGGGGTGAGCACTATCAGGCGAGGGTGGTTGATCTGTCCCATGGTGAATATGGTGAGGGTGTCGAGAAGAACGGCGGTCGGCTCGGGCGCTCTCGCCTTGCCCTGCAAACGGCCCCTGGGACGTCGGTTGGTCATTTGGTCGTGAATTGAGGGCGGATCCATGGGTCAAGGGCAAGGTGGCCGAGGTCGCTCGAGGTGGGGTGGTTAGGGGCAGCTGGGGCTTCAAGTGGAGGTCCATGTCAAAAGCATTCTGTCCTTAATTGGACATAGACTTTTGGAATGCTGAAACACTGAAGAACTGGTGGTGATGGTGGTAGTGGTCCAAGACGGTCAAAGGTGGAGCTCGGGGCAAAACCTATGACGCCAAGCCCGACAAGCTTACAGGACGCGCGAAGCCGATCGGCGGGCGACTGCTGACTATCAAGAGATGCAGTGGACAAGCTGATCAGTGGATTGTCTGGGGCCGAGATCTACGGGGAAGATCGCGGTCAATTGCTGTCATGATCTTCAAGTGAGAATCGAAATATGGCATCAAGATATAGAATATAGTATGCAGTTGTCTTCTAGCTCGAGACCTAATTGTTTTGAAATCCAGTTGGAATCCACGCCCACAGAACGCCAGTAACCCAATCACCCACGCCCATGAGGTTGTATACCCAGTTCTCCTTGAATCCGAAAATGCAGCGGGCCAGAGGCCCCAAGAAGAACTGGCCGGGGTGATTATATGTACATGCAAGTTGATTGTAGTTAACCAGGATGAAACTGGCTATCGACGCTTATGAGCTGAGCATCTTGTTACGCTTTTCTCTGCGCTTCAGACGCTCGACTCGCTTGGCATGCATCTTCTCTGCCATCTTCTCATAGCGAGCCTTCTCTTCCTTAGCTGCTCGTCGGTCCTTGATGCGTTGGATTTGAGCCTGGGGAAAGGTGAGAGTCAGTAAAGAGATCCAAGAAGTGAAACAATGGCAACAATATCAACACCAGAGGAAAGGAGGAAATGAAAGGCGGATGAAACACAAGGGTATTCAACTACTAGAAGCGACCGGATAGATCAAAAAATTGAGCAGTGCATGCAAGCAGTTGCGAGAGTAGTAAAGGAACGTAGACACTTAGTAACTCACTTGACGCTCGGCCTCCTTCTCCTCCCTCATTTCACGTTCCAGTTCCTTAACAGCTTGCTGGTTCTTATGGGCCTCCTTGCGCTTCGCATATGCTGTTAAGCCCGCGGTAGGGCGGAAGGCCTTCTTGGTGTCATGCCAGTTTTTACCTATAATAGGGGGCAAGTTGGGTCAGCCGGAAAGCCGGGAGATGAAGACCGACAGCAGTGGAGAATCTCGGGTTCGGTGGAAATGGGGGGGGGAAAATGGAGTGGACTGGACTGGGCTGGGCTAGATTGGACTGACCGTTCTTGCGCATGCCCTTGGCTGGTGGGACCGTCGCGGTTGTCGCGGGCACCGTAGGAGCATTGGAGGACATGGCGAGGGGAAATCAGATCCGACGAGTCTGGAGGAGTACGGCACTTCCAAGAAGGAGCCAGGAAGAGAAGGGGGGAGGGCGGTGGGAAGGGAAACAAGACGTTCAAAGATGCCCGAGAATTTGGAACTGAAACGGCGTGACTCCGAAATTTTCACGAGATTATCTGATCGATAACCGGGCTTGGCGGGCGCTAGCAGAAAATGCACTCGGCCTACCCTCGTTCCGCTCCACTTGTCTGACGCATTTCTCTTCTTCCTACTCCATCTAGGCCGCACGTCCGCGCGATTTGTCCCTGCCAAACGCGCCAAACCCGGGTTTCTTCAGGCTCGCTTCTGCACAGCGGGTCTTGGCTACAGCAAATCGCTCGTTTACACCGCCCCTCCCCCCTCGCACCCTCTCGCACCCCCACCTCGAGTCCTCTTCGATTGAAACAAATCGCTCACTTAAATCCCCTCTGACGCCCCCTCCCTCGATCTTTTGCAAATCATGCTTCAGCGATAGCACCCCTACCTTGTTCGACTTGTCTTGGGTGATTGTTGGAAGCCTTGATGGCGGCTGCCGAGCATGCGGTCACGATTAGAGATGAGCCAATGGAGTTGCCATCTCTCCCACCAAACCAGGGAATGGAGGCGATGAAAGACATTATATTTGGATCCGTAAGTGGACTCTGACGTTTATATGTCTCAAGAATGGCGAATATAACTGACCTTTTGGTACTCTTCCAGACAGCGGGAATGGCGGGGAAACTGATTGAATACCCCTTCGATACAGTTAAAGTACGACTACAATCTCAACCAGAACACCTTCCCCTCAGATACTCGGGTCCATTGGACTGCTTCCGCCAGTCCTTCCAGGCAGATGGATTTCGGGGGCTGTACCGAGGCATCAGTGCCCCCATGACGGGGGCTGCTGTGGAAACCAGTTGCCTGTTCTTTAGTTATCGCATCATTCAAGATGCGCTGCGAGCCACAGTTTTCCCCGGAGTTGAACAGTTACCCTTTGCTGCTCTTGTAGCTAGTGGTGCTGCATCGGGCTCCATTACCTCGTTGGCTCTGACGCCGATAGAGCTCATCAAGTGCAAGATGCAAGTTCCCGCTGAGTCGACATTGGTCGGGCACAAGGCCCCCGGTCCTCTTATCCTCATTACGTCCGTATTCCGCCAAGAGGGGATACTGGGATTCTGGCGGGGCCAAATGGGAACACTGATTCGAGAAACTGGCGGAAGCGCGGCCTGGTTTGGTGGTTACGAAGGAGTCTCATCGCTCTTCCGCAATTACTTCCACTCCCACTCTCAAAATCCCGCGGAGAGTCTCCCTGTCTACCAACAGATGATTGCCGGTGCTACTGCCGGTATCAGCTATAACTTCCTGTTCTATCCGGCCGATACTATCAAGTCTCGTATGCAGACCGAAGATATCTCCCGTATGCCTGCCAATGGACAACGTCAGACTTTCTTCGGCGTCGCTCGCGCATTATGGAAGCAACAAGGCTTGAAGGGCATGTACCGTGGATGCGGCATTACCTGTGCTCGTTCTGCACCCAGCTCCGCCTTCATTTTTTCCGTCTACGAAGGATTACGACACTACTTTGGATGATTTCCGCCTCAATCGCGCCCTGCACATAGCACTCCGTCGTTGATCTATATGCTTGGATTTTGACATGCATATATATCCGCCCTGCCCTCTTCCTTGGTTCCTTTTGTTTATACCCTTTTATATCATCTGGAAAAGAAATAAGAGAAGAGGTCCTGGTGCCTTTTGATTATTCATTCTACTTCATTGAATCTGCTGCCCATTCGAATGGTTTACCAGTGGCAGCGCCACTCTTGATGGAGTAATAATATTCAGCCGATGCAAGAGTATTGCAAATATGCTATCACGTTGTCTGTCATATCAAAATAAAAACCACTTTTGACAAAGAATTGCAGCCACTGGTCGTTGTCATTCTGCTGACTAGCCTCTTGGATTGACAAGGGCTCTTGAGCCATACATCCTTATTCCCGCCCACCATCGACATGGCATCTAGACACACCATGATTTTTACAGTTTGTTGAACCTGTCTATCCTGTCTATCTCAATTGACTCATCTCACGGCCCTGTTTCACCGCTCAATGATATTGAGGCTACATGGGTTTCTACAAAAATTTCGATTATAGAATTCAAGCGTTGCACATAACGTGTTTCACTAGCGTTCCGGTCACACTAGCATTCCGGTCATTCTACCACCTACTACTTTTTTTAAACACTATTTTTCCACCAAAACGCTATATATTCAATTCAACTATCTAGCATTACATTGATTAATCTTATGCCCTATATTCCCACATCTAGAACACTGAAATACACGCTTGGTAGTAGGCTTAGCGCCCTTAGTAGGCTGCTGAGCAAGCTCTACATTATCGTTTTGAATAGCTTTAACGCTTGCTAGCAATGTTGAAACTAGAGATATAGATTCGCCGACAGGAGGATCTTGCTGCCTAGATATTTGGCGATTAGACCGTGTGCATTTTTGACGCTTCTTCTCGTTGAATTAGCGTAAATCCCTATTCTCCTGCGCTAGAAGCGCTCCGCTATGCATCGCTAATTAGCACCCTTTGATTAATTGATCTAGCGCTCTCTCTGTAGGGCTTCCTGGCGACTGTGAGCGCTTGCCTAGTAGAGCTTTGATAGATGAAGCTTGCTTGCTAAGCTGCTTAATCGTATATGGCGTAGTAGGCACGAAAGCGCTACTCCTACTACTAGGCCTACTAGTAGTAGGTGTAGGTGTTCGAAGCGATATATTAAGCTTCGATAGGACTCGGTCGGTATCTAGCGGAACTAGGCCGGCGCTAGCGAAGCTTGATTGTATAGTGCTAGGTAGGAAGGCTTCCTAGCGTGCTAGGGTATAGGATTCTAGGAAGTCGAGCTTGTCGATATAGTTATATCCTAGGCGAGCTTAGGCCTCGATTAAGCGACCGTATAAGCGCTTTAGGATAGCAAAATATCCTATATCTAGCGGCTGTAGAAGATGTAACGAATGCGGCGGTATACAGAGTGGTATAACGTTATTTTGCTAGCAGATTTGGTCGAATTGTAGTGTTAGATAGCTTCTATAACCGTCTAATATTAATAACCGATATTTGCCTTGCGTACGACTAGTAGTCGCTGGAATAAAGAGCTTTTCTAGCTAGCGTAGGCCTATATCGTCGGTAGTCTAACTATTCGGTGATACTTCGATTCGCTAGTCTTTCGGTAGGTTATCAAACTAGCTAGCAATATAAACCTCCCCTTTGAATACTATACACGGCGGAAGCGAGTAGCCGGTTGCTGATATAGATTCAATTGCTGTTACCTACTCCCGATTTCCAGGTTGTAGTAGAGGCTTCCGACTGTATAGATCCTTCCGTGTAACGATTCTAGTAGTAGATATTAAGCCTATTGCAAAGCCTATTTTATCAAAGTTATAGATATCGTTAGGAAGGATCCCGTTTTCATCAATTGTACGCTCTACTAGTCTAAACTACGCGCGTAGACTAGTAGGATCTTCGTTTTGCGCACGTTGATAGTCGTAGCGTCTAGAGAAGCGTGTGCAAAGCTCTAGTCGACGTTTAATATAGCGTGTTACCCAGTTAACACCTATATTAGGAGGTAGGAGAGGAGGGAAGATATTACCACGCGCTACTAGTAGAAGATTTGCTATATCTTTAATATGCGAAGGCCTAGGGGAAGCACCACGCGTATCAAGCGATAGGATCCACTGGCAAAGCGAATCCTCTTCTTCTTGTGTCAGTTTAAGACGTGGTGATCGTGTATCCTAGCGATAAAGCTTGCCAGCAAGCCTATCGCGTAGTGTTGACCGAGGCACGCTATATAGCGCTGCGGCTTGCGCAGTTAAGCTTACTGAGCCATTTTGAATAGCTTTGATAGCGAGTAGTATCCTACCCTCCCTATCTGGCGATTTAGAGCGCTTTTGGGAACGTTTTGGTGGCATGGTAGGTGGTGGAAGATAATAGGTGACGCGTGGGAAGCGCGTTTTGGATGGGGTAAACGGAATGCTAGTGTGACCGGAACGCTAGTGAAATATGTTAGATGAACTCGACATCTAATAGACAAATCAAATATAATTCACTAGTAAATTAGTCGCGCAACAACTGATTTTATTTCAAAGTAGCTTCTGGGCCAGTAATGGCTACAATGCTCATCTCGCCATTCCCTGTCCGTTGTGCAGCATCCAGGAAGTCGTTTACGGTGATCGCCAAACCTCTGTCACTCAACAAATCTTCGTCGCCACCTAAAGCGCCTCGAAGTAGAGGACCATTCAGACCTCCATTCAACTCCCACACTTGACTTTTCTTTTGGACAAATGCCACAAAATGATGGTGATTATCATCCTGAGGGGAAGGTGGACTGGATGATCCCTTTGATGCTGCATCCATATGGGCCTGTTCGATGAATTCTGAATCATACAGCAATTGTGCTCTTGGGGACGGTGCAAGTTCGACTAATTGCTGAAGTATTTCGTACAGTTGTAGCCCTGGAGTAACATATTTCCCACCGTCGAGATTGAAGACCGAGTGTAAAAGAGCTATCAATCCACAGGCATGGCCGATCGTCTGCCTCATCCATACGACAGGCTCTTCCGGCCCCAAGCCATCGTATTCCGGGATTGTAGATTCTATGGACGAACGGGCTGCCTCATAAATGGGTTTATCTGCGAGCAGAATAAGAGCATGGACAGGACGTGGGATCCAGGCGAGTAACTCGGGCGATGTGGACAGGACATCATGGAACACAAGATCCCGAGAAATACCAAGGTTCTGACACAGACAGGACAGAACCTCGGGGTTGTTTTCTTCTCGGCCAATTACAATCAGTCCAAAACTCTCAGAGCAATAGAGGGGCTTGACATAGATCGACACCCACCGAGAGGAATAAATGTCTTGCGACCATTGACGACCTGTGATGTGAGGGCGGGCATTTCTAGCAATACCTACAGCTGAGATACAGTATACAATATGACTTGAGGCTAGGCCCTGTTGAATTGGCCCTCAATGGTTATTAAAATGGAAAGGAACCACTGAATATTGATGTTCAGTGGAAGTTGTCGAGAGAGGGAAAGCGGAGAAGTCCAGTGACTGTGTCAGTGACTGGCGTAGGGCTGAGGCACTTCCCCACTTCCCATTCCCCTCGTCTTTCTTTCCTCGTGCAGCCTCCAGTCTCCAGTCTTCTCCTTGCCAAATCTTCCATTATAGATAACGATGCGCTTTGACCAGATCAAGTGTTTAACTCGATCAGAGTCAATGTGGTTGAAATCCCTGGTCAGTGAAGAATGGAGTCATCCGTCAACCAAAGCAAAAGACTTGTGTCAACTTGGTCTTCCGACTAAACCCGGCCGAGTCGCCCGAATGCGCTAGCTTTTTGACTCTCCGATATTCGACTAGAATGCGCCTTGCGATTTATGTAGAGGCGAATGACGCCCTTTGAGGACCACTACGCTGTGTTGGATTCAACGTGGCAGAAGATGGAGACCGCTAACTCCCCGGGTCCTCGCCGGATCACAGAAGCGAGCGGTTGTCTCCGCTTCAAAAGCCACAGTGTCGTCCGCCATGAAACACATCGGCTGTTGAAATAAAGTCTTTTCGCTCGACAATCGGCCTTTTTAGCACCCAGAGTACTCTCCAAAACACTTGCCTCCCTACAGGAGCTCTCCCAAATGCAGGGAATCGCCATTTTCAAGAGATGCCCCAGTTAGAACAAAAGAAATTGACCGTTTCACGACAAATCACGACCGCCAATGGCAGGTCCGCGAACAATGATTTCATATCATTAGATCCACTCTTTTCAGCCCTACAGACCCCATTGCACGCGTGCTTTACCGGGAACTGGCGTGCAGTGGAGCACCCAGCCCTATATGACCCGTTTTCAACCCCTCTTCAAAGCTTGGAAAAAGCTAGGCAGCAGGCACAGCAGCTCATGGAGATTGAGGTCATGAGAGAACCTGGATATCGGCTTCCCAAGGTCCTCAAAAGCCATGGTTATAAAATGAACGGGTAAGAGCCTTGACATAAACCTCCATCGGCATCTTCCATCTTCGTAACCAAGAAGAGGGAACTTAACAGCCTGAGGATGTCTTCGTTCGATCCCACCAATGTCAATTTGAAGACCGCCAGCAAGGAAGATGTCTTATGTTACCTGGCTATTGAAGAAAATGATTACAATGGACATTTGGGGGCGCGGATCTCCTCTATTTTTGTGATTCTATTTGTGTCGTCGGCCTTCACAGTATTCCCGGTCATCTCCAAACGAATGCCCCGATGGAAAATACCCTTGAGTGTCTACATTTTTGCTCGATATTTCGGAACTGGAGTCATTGTGGCTACTGCCTTTGTTCATTTACTCGATCCAGCCTACAAACGCATTGGACCCAAAACCTGTGTGGGCGAATCGGGATATTGGGGTCAATATTCCTGGTGTGCGGCCATTGTCCTGGCTTCTGTGATGATAATTTTCCTTCTTGATCTGGCCGCAGAGGTCTATGTTGAGCATAAGTATGGTGTCCACAAAGATGAAGGGGCCACAAGTGCCTTTATTCAACATGAACATCACCTGGATGTGCAGCCACTGGACGCGGAGAAGACCGTTCAACACTCCGACAACGAACGAAAACTCGGCATTTCGGGGTCCGATGGGGATTCAACCATGGCCGAACGATCCTTCCGTCAACAGATTGCAGCTTTTCTCCTTCTGGAGTTTGGCATTATCTTCCATTCCGTCATTATCGGCCTAAATCTGGGTGTCACTGGCTCCGAATTCTCTACGCTCTACCCGGTCCTGGTCTTCCATCAGTCATTTGAGGGACTGGGAATTGGCGCACGGATGTCTGCTATTCCCTTTGGCAAGCATACTTGGCTCCCATGGATCTTATGTGCTCTGTACGGCCTGACGACACCGATTTCAATTGCCATTGGCCTCGGTGTGCGTACAACCTACAGCCCCGGGTCGAAGGTGTCTCTTATTATTCAAGGTGTGCTGAACGCTGTGTCTGCGGGAATTTTAATCTATAGCGGCCTGGTGGAACTGCTTGCCAGGGATTTCTTGTTCGACCCCTGCCGGACGAAGCGCCGGTCTCGACTGTTGTTTATGGTTGCCTGCACTCTACTGGGCGCAGGTATCATGGCTTTGATAGGAAAGTGGGCTTGATGATTTTCAAAATCAATTTAATCAAAATCCAATGGTGAACATATAGAATACAAAATGGGGGAACGAAGTGTTATCAAAGAAATCAAGTTTATCATCTTAATAAAAGGATCGGGACACATGCTTCAAGACGTTATAGGTTGATCCTAAGAGCATCGCGTGATATACCTTAATCATTATCATTAATACGTATATCTTCTTTTCTCTATTCTGTCAAACATCCAACCCAACGTCCAATCGGTGAATGTCTCGGCTTTTTCAGTAACTGAATCGCCAAGCCCCGATGTCCGACTTCTAATGGCCGATGGTCACTGTAAGTCGTCAGCCCACTTGGATCCCCGTTGATCCGTCGAACCCGCGGAGCCTCCGCGGAATAGTATATAAAGACCGTGCCGATTTTCGGACCCGACTAAATATACAGCCATCGCAGAAGCCAGACCAGAACCTGACATCCAAACATGCTAGGCCATGTCTTCCTTCTCGGAAAAATTGTGGCCGTCATTTTCCGCCAGACTTGGGCCCAACTACGATTGCAGTGGATTTCACGAATCCACCGATGGACATATTCACCGGGATCCCGGCCCAAGAACATCGTCGTCGTTGGCGCATCATTCGCTGGCTACCATGCAGCTCGATGTTTGGCAAACTCTGTACCGTCTGGCTACCGAGTGGTCGTGATCGAGAAGAACAGCCATTTCCAATTGACATGGGTATTGCCGCGATTCTGCGTGGTGAATGGCCATGACAACAAAGCCTTCATTCCATACGGCCACTACATCCAAGCTCCAGAAGGATCCTGCAGCTGGGTTAAAGACACAGTGAAAGCTGTCCTACCGAATAGCGACAGTGCGACAGGAGGCCGAGTGCAACTGGCGTCAGGCGAATATATTGCCTATGAATATCTCGTGTTGGCCACCGGTGCCTCGGCCAGCCTTCCATCAAGAGTATCTCAGACAGACAAAATCAACGGCATGGAAGCAATCGGAAAACAGCGACAGGCATTGGAGCGTGCTCAAGACATTGTCATCGTCGGAGGTGGTGCTGCGGGCATCGAATTGGCAGCCGATGCCAAGGTGCAGTTTCCGCAAAAGAATGTCACTTTGATCCATTCAGGTAGGACTTTACTCCACAAGGGCTTTGGAGTGAAGATCCAGCATTCTATCCGACAAGAAATAGAGGCTCTGGGGGTAACTTTGGTGCTGGGAGAGCGACCAGCGCTTCCAGACGATGCAACTACTTCAGGCGTCATTACCCTAGCAGGAGGAGAAGTAATCCACTTTGACTGCTTGGTATGGCCAATTTAAACCATTGATAATACTCAATTTGCTAAACTTAGTCTTTCAGATCAAATGTATTGGACAGAAACCCAACTCGAAGCTATTACACTTTCTATCACCAGGGGCCTTTACGGCCTCCGGACATATCCGAGTAAAACCGTCGCTTGCAGTTGAGGACGATTCATTTCACCATATCTATGCAGCAGGTGACGTTATTGACACTGGTGCAGCTAAGAACGGGCGAAGTGCCATTGAGCAAGGCTCGTATGTCGCGCGAAATATCGTCTGTGCGATTGAGGGCCAGCCTCAGATCCAATACGAGCCAGAATGGTGGGAGAGTTCGACTAAACTTACGTTAGGCCTAGTATGTGTTTATCAAGAAGCAAATTTCTTTGTTTGGTCAAACACACTGACATTGTATAGAACAAAGGCATAATTTACACGTCTGATGGACGGACTGAGTGGGTAATCTCATCGGGCAAGCCGAAGATTGAACTTGATAGCCCTCGAGTTTGGAAGTATTTCGGCGCAACGCCATATGTTGATCAATGAGTTTAAGGCTCAAATGAAAGATAGTCTGTCATCCTGCTCTACATGTCACTGAGATAAATCAGGAGAGGTTTTGGTCGTATTAAAAATTTTAAAAAAGATAGGCAATAATAGCCAGTTGAATACGATGGCTGATCATCGACTTTTATTCCCATTATGGTCCATGTTGCTCTGATTCTCCCCCATCAAGCTGAGAGAGACTATCAACTGCCCAGATCCAAGCTTGCTCTTGCATGAGACCGCTGTTGTGCGCAAATGAATCCATGGAAAATTGCTCGACTGGCACTTCCAAATCCTGTCCCAAAATTACTAATGGCAACAATTAGAACAAAGTTTCTCAAGTCTCTCGTATAGCATACCTTGATCAAAATCACTGAGCGCCTGAGACATGGCTGGATCCTCTATATAGTCAAATATACTCTCCTCGTTCAGAGACACTTCAGGGAGGCTAGATGCCAAAATTTGCGAGTCGGGCTCAATATCATCTCTTGGGTCTTCATGAAGGTCATTGTGAGGGTTCGGAGCCAGCAAAGGTCCTCCAGTTCCAGGCGATGTCAACATCTCTTTCAGTTCCTTTTCCATGACCAACTTGGTCAGTCGTTCCATTATTTCCACTCCCTGTACGGCAAGGGTCGATTTGGACCTGGATTTCAAATGCACTTGCATATTCAATAAACGACGCAAACCCATCTTAGACTGATACGACTGTGGGCTTAGCGGCTCTATGCTGATCAAAATGCAAAGCAATACCCCAGCGGTGAATGTATGAATGCCGATGAACGAGGCTGCATATGTATCTACTGCGAGAGGAAAGATCGATTTTGTTCCCATTTCCGATGTTTTTAGAGCGGCATCACGGCAAGCCTGAAGAGACGTATGAAACGAATTCGGAGCGCAAGACTCGCCGGAGCTCTGGAGATCACCCTCTGCTCGAGGGATAATTTTGTACGTGAGAAGAGGACGGTGGGCCAGAATTCTTGCATTTTGATAAGCAAGTTCCAGTGAAAATGCCTGAAGTTGATAGATATGAGCTTCGAAATCGGGCCCGGAAGCGCCAATGTCTCGATCCATCTCTTCAGTTGAGCGGTACTTTGGAACACTGGCTTCCGAATTGTCGATATTCAGCGGGGCAGGTATCTTTGCTTTCCATTGTCTTAGACGTGCGTCCAAAAGCTTAACTTGACGAACAAGGTTTTGCAAAGTAGAAGAGGAGTCAGACCGGTCCCTTTCAGTAGCTCTTCGATAGGAACCAATCCCATATAGATCTGTAAGAATGTCTTTGATGAGAACCGATAGTCTTGACATCAGATACTTGTATGATAGTAGACTGGCCGGGCATTGATGTGTGGCATCAAATGAGGCGGGAGACTGCCCGTTCATAGATTTGGCCAGTGGATCAATTAGGTCCACATCACAGTCTGCATCCCTGATGCCATGCGGGTACCCGTATGCCATCGAGCAGAACGTTTCTATCTCATAGATGGCCCACCAGCAACGTTTTCGTGTCTCATTCTGGCGGTGCAGTCTAGGGGAAATCTGTTCCCTATTGGATAGTCTTCGATGTAAGTTCATTGCCTGAGCAATACGCAGAGCACAGCCACATACTGGCCACGCCAATCCAGGATTTCCGTGGTACAGATAATAAGTGCCGAGCAGGACGCAGGTTTGCACGGCCTCCAGAGAACCCCATGACACAATATCCAAGATTTTATCGCGAATTTTCGAAAGTATCTCATCCTTGAAAGATATTTTGTCTATATGGTAGGTCTGTAGTAGCTGCCTCCGATGTGTTCCCGTATACTGAAAAGCAATTGCCACGACAACGAGGAACAAACTAATGAAGCCTGGGTTGGAATAATTATTGGTAATGTATTCCCGAGGTGAATCGTAGAGCTGCTGCCAGTTCTGCCGAAAGTCATCTTGTTGGAAGATAAGCATGAACCAATGGACTCGGTCAAAGTACGTGTCCACCAGCAGGGTTGCTATTTCACGCGAGGGGAGCAACGAGACAAGTTCGGCATTTGTTGATCGAAAATCTTGCAATCTGAGACTCAGAGCAGGTGATCTAAACTGTTTTGTCTCATTTGAGGATTGATGTATAGTCTCGGTAACTGCTGACCGACGTCTTCGCTGACCATCAGGCAAGGCAGTGGTCCGGGTCGTGTCTGGCGTGCTCGAGTTATGAAATTGGAATGCCTTTAACGGGTATTAGCCATGACTTAATGTACCATATATCTTGTTATTCCTTCTTACTCCCTCTACCAATGACATCGTAGAGCTCGACCATTGTTGTTCCTCAAGGCCCGGGTCACCTGTCGTCTCGGTAGACAAGTCCAGGAGAACTTCGGACTCGTCGTGAGGCTCAAAAATCCGTCTTCGCTTTCTACTATGATAGCTGGGATTGGCAGCCTGTCTCTGCGGCTGAAATGACCGCCATGAATCCGAAGATCCCATGTGGCAGTCCACACCGGCTCGAACACACAGAGTGCATGGGCGCTGGATGTCGCACTATATACTGATCAGCGCGGACTGCCAAAAGCCGTCAAAAAGCACTCACCTTGAGCTTCTGCCGACGGCAGCGCTGACATGCTCTTCCCACCTTACTACGTTTTGTTTGAGGTGACATTCTTTCTCCCTAGGCAGCGCATCGTCCAGTCCCAGGTAGTTGTCGTCATGTGGAGATGTACAGACTGAACGGAAATTTAGCCAAAAATAGAAAAGATTCCGGTGGGAATGATGACAAATCTGATTCCGTGGGCTCGTTATCGTCCATGAGAACCAACTAGCGAACAGACATTCAGCGTCTGAAATTGTACACCGGCTGTGTTAAATCTATGAGCCTTTTTGTTTTTTAATGTCTAGGAGCTATATTGAAAAAGGAAGGGATTATTTCATCATTGGCAATTTGCAAACAATAAAAGAGCGGAAACCAAAAGATGGACTTCAAAGATGCGGCAGGACGTGCTGTACGGGCACCAAAGGAACCGTAAACTATAAATCAACTTGTAGATTAATTGACGTATTTGAGAACCCATTGCACAACTCTAATAAGTTGATAGACCCGCTTCTTATTGCTGTTTGTCGTAAAAATATTTGCTGGTGTCTAAAAAAGGCAATGATTCCACCGGATCGCCGCCAACTTTAGTATAAAAAACGCCGCAAACCATGTCAGATTTATCCTCATTTCTGCATCCATACACTTACCGAGACCCAAGAAATAAAACCTCAGGACTTATCGAAAATTCAACGATCTACCATCATGTCTTCCGACAACACTATGACCGTAACCCTGCACCAGCTAGCTAGGATGATTGACCACTCACTCCTGCATCCCACTATGACAGACATGGAGATCATCGCGGGACTGAATATTGCCAAAGAAAATAATGTTGCCACGGCGTGCATCAAGCCCTACTTGATTCCGCTGGCCCTGAAGGAACTGGCTGGCACGGACGTCAAAGTATGCTCGGTCATTGGCTTCCCTCACGGCAACAGTACCACTGAGATCAAAGTGCTCGAAGCCACCACGGCCGTTGAGGCTGGCAGCCAGGAAATTGATATGGTCATCAATGTGGGCAAAGTCCTCAGTGGCGAGTGGGACTATGTGATCCAGGAGATTGATGCGATCAACCAAGCCGTTGTGCAGCATGGAGCGCTGCTCAAGGTCATTTTTGAGAACGACTACCTTGAGTCGGGGCACATTGTGCGGCTGTGTGAGATTTGTACCCAGCTTAAGGTTGCTTTCGTGAAGACTTCCACAGGGTACGGGTTTGTCAAGCAGAGTGATGGGTCGTACAACTACCAAGGTGCGACCGTACCGGATCTGAAGCTCATGCGGAAGCACTCGGGCCCCGATGTGCAAATCAAGGCTGCTGGAGGAGTTCGAACACTAGATGATTTACTTCATGTAATGAGTCTGGGGGTGACGCGCATTGGGGCGACGGCTACCGTGGCCATTCTAAACGAGGCGAGCCGACGGGGAATCAATGAAAAGCCAACGACGGTGGAATTCAAGCCTATGCTAGAGCAGTCAAGCGGAGGATACTGAATTGGCTGGTGTTCAAGGACTGGATTAACTAAGCGATATGTTTTGCTCTAGACGATTGGAACTATATGTATGTATATCTGTCGGTGAACGTATAGCTAGCAACTTATATATAGCATATAGAGTTAAGTCATTCATCCTATGCTCCTCGGCACTCATATTACATCCCCAAGAAATATCTCAACTTCAATCAATTATGCTAACTTTATGAAATCTGCGTTTAAATAAGAAAAAGCCCTTCCAGGACTGCGGCCTCTAACAGTCCTGCACTGGGCTGATAAACGATAAGCGGCTAATCGTCTCCCGCCCCGCGTTCACCTTTCAACGCCCAAATGCAACATCCCCTCGTTCTTCCTCCAACTTCACTTTCTCACCTTTTAAATTCCACAATGCCTCCAATCAGCGCCCCCGTGACCGCCCAAGAGCTGGAGACTCTTTCAAATAAGGCCATTGCTGCAAAATCATCAGCCTATTGTAAGAAAAAAAAAGGTCATGCTATATTCTTTTAATTGACCACCTTTTCCAGGCCCGTACTCTAAATTCCGTGTCGGCGCTTGTATCCTCACAGCGTCGGGGGAGTTTGTCGTGGGTGCAAACGTTGAGAATGTCGCATACCCTGTTGGCACCTGCGCAGAGCGTGTTGCCTTTGGCACGGCTATTGTACGGCCCTCGATGCGCTCGGGACTCATATCGTGACTAACAAACGGACTAGGTGGCGGGTCACAAGGACTTCAGAGCCATTGCTGTTTCGACAGATATCAAGCCTGGCGCGTCGCCTTGTGGAATGTGCAGACAATTGTATGACCCTAATATCGATGCCCTTGAATTTGCTTTGTGAAAGGTGGTCTTTTTCATTGGCCATCGGCTTATATTCTACCTTAGTATGCGCGAGTTTACGACTCCCTCGTTCCCGGTGTATATGTATGACGCCGATGGGAACTATACCGTCAAGACCATGGGTGAGGTATGTTGTACACCTTTCTTCTAGCGTTTTGCTTTCCTTGTATTCCTCTCTCTGTTTACTGACCCTCGAACTAGCTTCTGCCGGACTCGTTCGGCCCGGATGATTTGCCCCGATGAACGCCAAATTTTATGTAGCGGAGTAGTAGTAAATCTTGAGGTAGGATTTACTATGGAATGAATGAATCTATGAAAAAAAAACCAAGTACTCTAAAGCCAAATTTCCAGTGTTGGCTTTCAATTCTCTAAACCGAAGAACTAAGCAAATGAAGATCTCTGACACTCTATATCTTTAAGATCCGAGAATCACATCAAGTGCAGGCCATGAGAAGCAGCTCCCTTGGCTCCAGCGAGATATGCAGTACATGAAAAACATGGGATGATGAATAAGCTGAGAGTGGAAAGGGCGAAAAAGCAAAGATAGAAAACAGTACAAAAAAACCAAAATCCTGGCAGGGCGCTTTCATAATGTCACATCAAATATTCCAATCAGATTTTCTCATCCAATTCCAATGAGCCCCCGGGGAGCCAGGATACACATTATACAATTCTGTGACGACGGAGAGAAGATGCTTACTCCTCATCGTCATCGAGATCATCCGCCCCCAGCAGCTCATCCTCATCATCCACAACATGAGTGTAGTCACCGCGGCGCGCGGCAAACGAGCCCCGGGTGGCATACGGCCGCTGGTAGCCACGACTGCGACCGCGTACAAGACCAGAGACACTGCGCCATAAACTCGAAGCCAGAAGCGGCAGGGACTGAGCGACGGCTACAATGCCTGCGATGATGGCCACAGGGATCGCGACTAATATCGAATCGCGGGCGAACCAACTCTCTGATGAGCCAGAGCTCTCACCGAGACGGATCTGCCCGAACTTGCCGTCCCATCGTGTGTAAACGAAGTACCCAATGCCTACCGCCGCGGCAATTGGGGTCACGATCGCAAAGAAGAGCCCAACGCCACTGATGCCGTGCTTTTTCTCGAATTCCTTCTCCTTGTTGGGACAGGGCAAAGGTTTCAGTTTATCAAGAGCAAGACCTCCCTGGCAGGTCGTCTGAGGGAGACGTCGGTATCCAGTCGGTTCCCAGTACTCAACCTGCTCGGGATCGTCCTGGCACTGGAGACTGTGATCCGGCTTCTGGAGCCCCGGCACAAGTTGGCAGCTACCATCACTCTGGATTTCATAGTTGAAGTCACTGTGGGGTTGTCATGTTAGCCATTCAATTCTGTCCATAGGGGGCTTGCCTTTATCCCAGTGTTCGTTGATGAACTTACCATTCATAGTCTGCACGAGAGCAGGTGCAGTTCGAGCCTTCTACTCGGTGAACATGTGGCTCGCGCCAATCGACCCAGCATTCCATACCGGGCTTCTTGCGATGATACTGCTCAACATGTCCAAACAAGCAGTTGTCCTCCTGCAGCGGGTGCTTGGGAGTCCACAGATAGTAGTCGTCGCTCGGCTCTTCCCCATCAGGTGGGGTGCATACGCGGTCCCAGAGACCACTGAAGTCAAGAGGAATGGTGAAGTATTCGTCATCAGAGGCCTTTGATTTGGCCCATAGGAGGAAACGCTTGGAGGTATCCGAGGGGACAGTTGAGATATCGAGAACAAAGACCGGATCCTCCGTAAACTTGAAAGGTTCCCATTTCCTGCCCTCGTCGAGGCTGTAGAAGATCTCGTTGGTTTTTTCAAACTCGCGGACAAGTACGATCACGGATCCGGCGTCGCCAAATTCGTACATATACCGTCCCTTCTTGACATTGGTCCAAGTGATACCGCCGTCATTACTGAAGAAAGTATCGGCATCTTCGCCGCTCCCGAGATATTCGCCCACGTTGCCAACGCCGATGATCATTCCGACAGCAGAACCGGAGTAAAAGGTATCCCGCCAGTCGACACGCTCAGTATATGCGTGGAGATGCAGCGCACATGCCTCGGTTCCTTTGCCCTCGGTGACGGAGCAATCGAATTTCTTGTCATCGACATCACGAGAGGGGGGCGGAAGGTATGCCCATTGACCACCATCATTGTGAGTGATAGCAGTGCGGAGCTTCTTGGCTGTGCCCTTGTCCTTCACATCATCCACATTTGCAACGATATTGGCAATGATGACACCCTCAAGATGAGCCATCTTCTCGTAGTCGGTATAGCCCGAGTCGTCCTCATTCAATGCTCCGAGACTGGAGACGAAATACGTACCGTTACTATTGCTCTTAACCAATGAACCGAACCGGCGGCCTTTCTCCGAGCCGGTTTGAACAAACATGAATAGAGCATGATCGGACCCTGGGAGTGCCGTGTAGCTGGGAACATCGACGTTGACAGGCAGGTGAGCCTCTGCCCAGACGCGGCCATCCAAGCTGGTGCTGAGATTCAGGAAGTCTTGCCGCTTCTCGCTCACAAACTTGGTCGCCACGATCACGTACTTGTTCATAGTGACAAAGTGGGCGATGCTGGGATTGATCACCTTGCGATCAGCAAACCAGCCGTTCTCTAATTCGGTAGAGACCAGCTGAAGGTTGTTGTTTTTGCTCTCCTTTTCATACTGTTCACAGATGACGAGATTCTTGTCATCTCGATCAGGGCTATGATATGCAAAAGAACACTGTCCAACTCCACGAAGGTCGGGACCCTCCCAGCTAGCACCGCGATTCCGAGACAAGTAGGCACTGGGAAGACAGTCGTCCGACTTGCATTTATCCTTGCCAATCCAGATGATCCAATCCATTTCCTTTTCATGGAAAGCCATAGGGGGTGGATCGTACTTCCCTCTGTCCAGAATAGACGTGGGCACCTTCAACTTATTGAATGTCTCTCCCCGGTTGATTGTCGAGTAGGCGGTATCCTTGGCTGTCAAGAAGTAGGCCGCATCGCTGTAGTAGGTATGCGGGATGATTGCCACGAATTTCTCGTCCTTGAGGGCCTTTGGTTGTTCCCAAACATTACCATGGTCTCGAGAAATGAACACCTCACCCTTTTCGGTGATCAGGAAGACAGTTTCATCATCTCCGGAGTTGCTTGTCTGGCGATCCAGATAGTAATAGTCTGGCCTCTTGCCCGCAAAAGATTGAGTTTTTCCAACACGAACCTTGCCGTCAGAAACGGGAGATCCTGTGGAATTCCCACAGGTGCGTTCAATCTCATCGTCAAGGTTCTTGCCATCCTTGCGAATGCAAGCATTGCCAGGGATCAATCGCCAGCCCGAGGGACCCACATACTTATCATCGGAGTTCTTGCATTTGCCAGCAGGAGGAGTTAGGGGCACAGCCGGTACACAATCCTTGCCATCTTCGGAGCGCTTAAAGTTGTAGTCACACTCAAAGTCCTCTGCCGAACATTCGCAGCGATCAAACGTGGGTGGCTCCAGTTTGTCCTCTTTAATAAAGCACTCAGCATTTGCTTTTCGGCGTGTATATTTTTGCTTATGGCCCATAAGACAATCAGGTTTGCCATCTTCATCCAAACGGGCCCACCACGGCTCAAGGTCGTCCTTCGAGCATTTGCGCTCATGGAGACCCTCGAAATCGATGGAATACATCATAATTTCTTTTTTCTCCGAAATTCCAACTAGCAGGAATTTCAAGCTCGTAGCCTCTGGGGTCGTGGTTATATAAACGGGTCTAATCTTGTGCTCCAGCTTAATGGGGTCCTCCCATTCCTGGCCGTGGTTGAGAGAGTAATGAACCTTGTTCGTGTCCTCCTTGTCATCCTTTATAGCGACAATGATTCCGCCCTGGTCACCAAATGCGAAGTGATGCGGTCCTTCAAGTGCACGGCGCCAGGTGAGGCCAGCATCATCGGAGACATAAAGGTCGCCGTCATAGTAATCCTTCAGATTGTCACCGGTGTTACCCACGCCCATGACGATGCCGGGAGCGGGGCTGGAGAACATTCGGCCGGTAGGGTATTCACGGAGGGCATTGTATGTGGTCATAGAATGGATATGAAGCTTTTTGTCATCCGCCTTGAGCGGCTGGAACGTTCTTCCGTCGTCAAAACTGATTGCGCTGACCAGTTTCTTCTCCGCATCTTCTGAGCCCTCGACCTCTTCCCAATTCTTGACGGTATTGACAATGACGATACCCTGGATATCGGCAACTTTCTCAAAGTCTACAAATCCGTTGCGACGATTGGTGTGCTCGATGTTGGGGGTGAAGTAAGTTCCGTTCGAGTTGGACGAAAAGAGCACACCCATGCTGTTCTTGTGCCATGATGTTTGCACATCCACTTGGATGCTGTAGTTGGTACTCTCCAGCACTGTGTATGCGTCTTCTTCGATTCGGTGTCCACGAAACTCAGCACGATGCCATTCCTTTGAATCGTCACTGATGTAGAGAGCTTGCTCGGTTGTTTTCTGCGACTGAAGCCCGACTACCAGGTACTTTTTCACAGAACGAGCAATGATCTGTCGACCAGCTACAGGTCTTCCTCGATCCAGATTAACATCAGTGCCGTCCACTCCGTCGCGGAAGAAATTGTCAGAGTAAATCAAGCGTTCGGAATGTCCTGAGCCAATCTGACCAGGAACCACACAAAGAACACGATCGCCAATGGACTCCGACACATCAATGTCCCGCGCGAATTCTGGGGTGCCCGCGGCCCACATGCACGAGTAGAACCATTCCTGCAAAGGATTCCAGGTTTTGAAATCATCGGTGGTATACCAAGCCTTTGGTGCACATCCAATGATGGAAGAACAATCCTTACCTATGAAGATAACCTTTTTCGAATCCCAGCCATTAAAAGCGAGCGGCACGTTGCCCGGATCCATGTTCGGGAGAGCAGGAATCTCAAACGACCGCCAGCTCTCTGCTCCATCGGTTGTTATCCAGTGCTGGCCTTTCTCGCCGAGCACGTAGGCGCGCTTGGGGTCATGAGGGTGCGGCCAGATCTCCAGAACGGCGTGCTCCATGCTCCCATCCGGGCCTTTAATGGCATCCCATTTCTTGCCTCCATCATGAGACACGTGTCCGGTGCGAGTATTGGGGTCGCGGTAGAGGATGGTCTCGCTGCCTTTGAAGTAGAACAAATCGTAAGGGGGGTGGTCCAGCTTCTCTGAGGAGACCTTGGGTTTATCCCCCTTGGCCGTGGCTGGTTGCGTGGACCATGCCAGCAGCAAACCAACCACAAGCAACAGCCACCGAGATATCATGACCACCGACTTTCCGGCATCTGAAAGAGGCGAGTTTGCAGGTGGACTGGGGGAAAGGATGCAGCAGCGCTAAGCTGCACCTGCGGGCCGATCCGGGATACGCGGGTGAATCTGTGGGCAACGAGGAGATGGGTGGAAGGCGGGGTGGGAGCGAGAGGTTAGAGGTGATACCAGGCCGCCTTTAGCAATCTAGGCCCAGCGATGCTCAATGTTCGAATGGACTCAGAGAGTTAGGAATGCGAGGATGACGGAGCTGCGTGGCCTCAGCCTGGGGAGCTCCTCTGTCACGTGAAACGGGGCTTATCGCTATCGCGCAATCGTATAGTTCTGCCTGAAAACAGTCTGTGTCTTTTGGTGGTGGGGGTGATCCATTGACTGACCACGATAGAGCATGATACAAGCCCTAGATTCCGTAGAAATAATAAGCAAGTGTCTTTCATCAAGGCTAGATTCACCCATCATTTATTTCAACTCTCCCGGGAAGGGGATTTCTGATATCTATGATGGGTACGAACATGTTCTCGGTTGATCCCCAATTCAATACTCCGGCAATCATCAAGCGCTATAAATTTACGAAATTCGAAACAATGCGATTTGTCACATCGCAAGCATGAGGATAGGTGAATAATAACAGCTCATTGGGAAAGAAATGGGAAAGTGATATATATATATATATAGTTGGAAGACATCCAAATAGGTTCTCGCACTCTGATGGCTCGGCAACCTAAAAGGTGACGTACGTATTTACAAACACCCCAAAAATTAATACAATCCACACCCGAATGGTGGGCAATCGGGTCTCAAAAGAATCCTTCGTCCCAAATAACCAACGCTGAGCTCCAATGCAAAGAACCATTCTGTTCAGATAACAAGACGCCCCCAAAAAAATAAAAGAATATGCCCCGGATATCAATAAGCGAATGATCAACGCTAAAGGAAAGATTGACAGTAATGAAGACCTAAAAATGGAAATCTCAAAAGAGAGCCAAGCCCTATTGTAGGAGAATGAGGTCCAAAGGGAAAGAAACAGGGAAGAATAAGAACGGGGAAGAGGAAGAGATAGACGAGGAGGTTAACTTCCCACGTCCACGCTTACGTCCGCCGCCGGAGCTTGCGCCACATCTTCTTCACCATGCCTTGTTCATCCCAATCCGATTCCCAGATCATCTGGGCACGGTCGGCTGGGGGCAGTGCAGCGAGGCGCAGGGGGTCCTCCTGCGGGGATGGGGTGGGGGACTCGGTCCGCAGATCTGGTCGAGTCAGGGTCATTTTGAGAGTCATCTCCCGATTTCCGAGTAAGCTTTGGGGGCCGGAGCGGGAGCTTGACAATGGCAAGAAGGATTGACGCCTCTGGAGTAGAGATGGTGGGTTATCGACGGACGGCCGGGGAACTTCCTGGAGCTGAGAGGCCATTCGGAGCGGCGGCGATGGTGCCGGGGGATCCTCGATCGAGCCGCCAGGGCTGCCAACCATGGTGCCGTCATCGTCTTCAAAAAAGGTGCCAGTCCACTCAGAGGCTACCGACACCGGGTTGGGCGACCCTAGGGGCTTTTCCGGGGTGATGTTCTCTTTGTTCTGATCCAAGGCTGGGAAACCAAATTCAATCGCCTCGTCAAATTTCTGCGGCGAGGCCAGATAGACTCGCAGCTTTAGTCGGGCATCGGGGTCGTGGTAGTATTGTGCGGCGGGGTCGATGCTGGAGGTCGACGACTTAGGGGCGTGGAAGGGTTGTTGTTGGCGCGAGGAGGGTCGAGAACTTGACTGAGGGTTGACCAGCGGGCTGAGGGGATGCTTTTGTCCCAATTGTTGCTGGTGCTGCAGGGGAAAACTTTGGCTGGCAGGGAGCGCTCGCGTGGGCATTGACGGAGAGGGGCGATGCTGTTTCAACGAATGCGTCGAGAAGGACAAGGACCGGCGAAAGGACGGACGACGGCGGGATTTGGATTTGGCCGCGGCAGCATCGGCCACATGGGCATGATACTCGTCTAGGGACAAGTCCAAATCGCCGTCCTCGTCCAGCCAGCGGAAACTATCGTAAAAGGAGGGGTCCATTCTGCGGGAACTGGCCTCGTCGGCCTCCTCGTCGAGATCGGAGTCTTCTGAGTCCCAAAAGACCGTGTCGGGCTGAGCGACGGGGAGGGTGACGTCCGACGGAAGGCTGTCGGTGGATTGCTGATGTTGCGAGAAGTAGTTGGGTCGACGATAGAAGGCCTCGTCTGCGGCGTCGTAAATGACGCTCTGTCGAAGGGCACCGTGAAAACGGCGGCGTTCCTCGGGGGAGAAAAGCTTTTGTTGGACCTTAGCGGGGAGGGAATGAAAGCATTGCGAGTCGGCCTGGGCGACCAGATAGGCCAATTGCAGCGAACCGGGTTTGCGGAGTTTCTTAGGGGTTGAAAGCGAAGTCGACGAGGCCGGCTGCGCTGGATGTTTGTGAAGCCCGCGACCCCTGGTCAGCGACGTTGTCGAGGCGTTCCGCAGGGCCCGCGAGTGGGAGAAGTGGAGGGGACCAGGCCCAAGACGAGCGTTAGGCCGAGTAGGTCGAGTCTGATAGGCAGACTGGGCATAATTGGCATGATAGTTTGGCGTGGAGCCCGCAGGGAAGCTGGGATCGCTCTGCGCTAGCCGGATGCGCATGCGCTCGACATTCGAGAAGAACTGGTCGGGTCAGCCATTGAACACCTAGTGGAGGCCAAGTGGAGAAGGGGGAGTGGAGCAACAGGCCGATGAGGTTGGGAAGTTGGGGCGAGGACGAGAGTTCCGTGCGTAGAGGAAAGGAGACTAGCAGATGGCCCGCGAATGGGCGGTTCTCCAGTGCTTCTGGGACGGGGAAACGAGTGGAGCGGACGAGAACAGTGAAGCGCAAGGGGAGCCCAGGGAGCCCAGGGAGCACCAGGGGACAGGGGCACGGCCGTTTAGGGGTTCGGGGCAGTTGTGGCTATTCGATAGTGCGAGAGGATTCAGGGGGCGGGGCATCGGGGCATCTCTCCAGAAAAGAACAAGAACAAGAGGCGAAAAGAGCCGGCAAAAATAGAAGAGAAAAAAAACCAAAAAATCAGCCGTTCAGCTTTCGAGACGAGCACAGGGAAGTCCGAGGGCGATTGTGCAATAGTCTAGCTCCATAGTTCATAGGCCACAGTTCCGTGTCGCATGAAACCCCAAAACTATAGGACTATACCGTGCATGGCCCCAAAATACATCGGATTGATGCTTCATGAAGTATACAACGTATACAACATACTTCGAGTATATCACCACGGATTTCCATATCGTTGGACCCCCCCTCCCCCCCTTTTCAAAAGGGACATGATTAAACCAGCAAAACAAAAAGAAGGCAATGCAAGAAATGAAGTGAAAAAGACCAAAAAAAAAAAATCTTACCTTACGTCGTACGGCGGGCGGCAAAGACTCGAAGTCCTCCTCACTGGCTGCAGGCAAGCGCATCCTGTGTGGGAGCTCAAGATCCTCGCGTCTGCTAACAGGTGGAGGGCCGCGTTGATGAGACGAATATAAAAGAAACTGTTTGAGGTGGCAGGCACTTTTGAGTGTCCGATCGATCCATGAAACCAAGGATGTAGATGTATCAATGTACAAATCGAGGGGTCTGGGGCATCCCGTCGGATTCGGCCGTGGGAAGTAAAAAGTCGTCGCCGTGAAGCAAGGAGCAAGACAAATCAAGGAAGCGAAACCTGGCAATCCAACGACTTTCTCTCATTGGATTGAAGTTTGAAGTTCGCGGGGTTGTGGTATGCGACAAAGTCAACCGAGGGGGAGGTGAGGGATAGAGCTGGGACTTCGATCTATACGCCGCACATGATGGCCGAGGATGGCCGAGAATGGATGGATGGAGGAGGGTAGCAAGGAATGATGAACCCCTCAAGGCAAAGGAAACCAAATCACGAACCGGAGAGATTCTCTCTATTTCTACGCGGACCTTTCGAGGATCTGCTCGAGGGCTATATACTGTAGGAAACCCCGATCGTGCAGCCGTTCCCGTCGTGGCAGTCGACGCAGTTCAGACGAAGGCTCCGTGATTGGAGCACGCAACGGGGGTTCCCCTCATTCTGTGGAGCCACTCTTGTTTCTTTTTGAGAGAGGGAAAGGGTCATTTTCTCTTTCTTTATTTTTCTCTCTTTTTTTCCCTTTTTTTTTTCCCCTTCCCCCTCCCTGGTTTCTATGATTGCTATAGGTGGAGGGGTATTAAGGAGCCATGTCCGGTTTGCTGTCAATCTCCGATCACCCTAGTCGACGAGCCAGCGCTAAACCGAAAGCCTGCAGCGAACCCAAAAGCAAGACTGGGCGCACAGACCGTGTGTGATGGGAGTCGAATCTATTTCGAGACCTGTCACTTTCATCACTTCCCCCTCATCTTTCGGGATACGAGCAGGGCGGTTGGGCTCCTCGAACAGACCTCCTGGGTCCCCAACGGTCCTCCTTGAACAAGACGGCCTGACGTGCATTCAAACAGGATGTGACCCGTCATGAACCGGTCGATGAACTGGTTTGCAGGGGATTTGGTTTCAGATGAAGGGGGGAAGATTCCGTTAGGGCCTAGTTCTGGAGATTCCCGATTCCGCCCCCAGATCATTTAAGATCCCGGGTGATTGGTGGTTTGTGTGATAGGTCGATCATTCTCCTAATTATCGGCCTCGTCGTTGTCCTCTTCGGGCGCTAGGGTCACCCTTCCAGAGGGCACAATTCTGATGCTGAACAGGCAATTAAACTCGCTTTTCCCTTGTGTGACCCGCGCCTCCTCTAGTCCCCTTTCGATCTTGACCGGGTTGCACGATGGAGCAACCAGCAAGGGAGACAAAGAGCAAAGAGGTGAGGGGGGGCGGTGGGTCCTCTTGGAGCACAGACGGGTTTCATGTTCCAGGTACTCTGTAATCCGTTCACATCTCGAAGTCCCTCTTAAGGTCCATCTGAAAGGGCTATCTTGAGGCGATCCCTGTCGGGGCGGGATGTGGGTGTCCATAATGTTATTCCCTGTGGAGTCGGGCAGGATCGACTATCTCGATCGTTGCTGTTCGCACTTACAGAGCGAGTGTCAGTGGTTCGATTGCTCCACGTCTTCGACTGGTCTCATTTGCTGGCCCCGATCGGCTAGCCCTACTACACACCGGGTGTATAGAGTACGGGTCCCTGTCCACGGTACCTGGGCGGAGTACCGAAACCTCCCCTCGCCCCCCCCCCCCCAAAAGCCTTGGAAATGCACCCATCCATGGCTGACAGGGCGGTCTACGGCTAAGCTGGCCACACACCTGAAAACAATGCTTTTCCTGGCGAATCCATCGAGATCATCGGCGCCTCCGATCAATGCCCAAGCGGGTCCAAGCGGTTCACAACTATTCCGGGGCCAGCGCGAACTGAAACGCGCGGAAACATGGCCGCCGGGATCAGATACAGTCTCCCAGGGTCCCTCCAAATGGTCCCTGGCTAAATCCCTAAATCCCTAAATCCCGAACAGGCTTTCATTGATCTGGAGTGGCCGACGGGATCAGGGTGTGTCCTGGGATGGATTCTCTTGGGAACGGAGATATGCCCTGCAATTCAATAGCAATAGAAGTAGAATCATAATACAAACCCAGACCTATATCTGATCTTTCTTTTCCTTTCTTCCCCCTTCCCCCAATTGACTCTTCTATACTATTGCCATCATTTTGACAACAAGATGTGTTCAAAAATTATGACAGGCAAGAGGCATCGCCATCTTCACTATACGATGTTTAGACGGAGGAATAGCTAGCGATCATCACATTCAACGAGGAAGAAATACCCGAGGAATCAATCCACGGTGAGTTGAGCTGTCAGCTACGCCACAAAAAACGCATCGTCGACACAGAAAATCATGCCAGAATAAATCTCTGGCAAATCTTCAGACTGCCCGCTACGTCTGCAGGGGAGAAGGTACATACGTCCTGTGTGCGGGTTGTACTGTACTCTGTACAAGAAGATACAGCGGGGACATAGATGTAGCCAAATCAGAGTGGGGGGGGAGAGGAAGCGGGCATAGATGCCGTCATGCCGGGCAACGCTTCATCGTGGACGAGTCACAAAAGCCACATGTCCAAAGCGAAAACAAACCAAAAGTGGAACCCTCCAAAGCTTCCAGAGCATACTATCGAACGATAGAACCATGCAAGTCGGGAGGAAATCTATGTGTCTGGGTGGAAGTGATCGATCAATTATGATGCCTTCCTGCATAATGGGCTGCCACGCGGTCAAGTTCGATGGATCTCTAGTGCAATGCGAGCAATGAACTGTCAGAGAGAACGCCCCCCCGGGAAACATCTCGTCTATCATCTTTTTCTTTTCTCTATCTTTGGTTCTTCGGTCTATACTTTCCTGACTCAGCCGGCCTTGGACATTGACCAGTGGGCCTGTTCGGGATAGTCTACAAGTCCGTGAGTTCCTATAGCTCCAAACTCACGACGGCAAACGAAGTCAACGCCAACGCAATCAGCGCGATCTCGGACAGACAAAACCAACAGGCATAGAATTCAGAGTGGAGAAACAAGCCACTCTCTCAACAGGGGGTCTGGACATGTCTATTCAAAGAATCAAAAAGGATTCGAGGATCGAGTACTGGTACTACTGACCGACCGCATATTGTCTCTCTCGTACAAGTATTCTTCTCGTCAGTCGCGAGACATCAGGTTGGCCAAGGGGGAGGAGCAAGCAGAAATAAAACAAAAAGTGAAACAAGGGTCGAGGTCTATCATTCGCAAATCTTCCGTGATTCTTACAAGGCATTCAGCACCTGCTGCATGGCCAGCGTATTCGAGTCCTCCCGGCGCGACACATACGCCCGCACCTCCTGCACGCTCAGCTTGGCCTCCATCTGGCCGCTGGTGCCTCTGCCGGCCCCGCCAGGTGCCCCTGTGGCACCGCTGGCCGCGCCCCCGCGGATCCGCTCTCGCAGCGCCTCGACGCCAATGACAAACAGACTGCCCACCTCCAGCAGCACGTCCAGCGCGCCGCCCGGTCCCTTGCTCTCCTCGTCAATGTCCCAGGATTTGAGCAGGTCCGCGTACTGAGTCATGTCCTTGGTGACCATCAGCCCGCCGGGTCCGCTGACCGCAAACCGTTTGAAATGCTCCAGCAGGAGGCCGCGGGTTCCCAACGCGATCTCGGTTAGGACCTGCTTAACATTGGCGCCGCTCGAGGGGAGTGACGTGCGCGCCATGTTGTGTAGCCGAGTGAGAAAGGCGCAAATCGAGGCACAGGTCTAAGAGAAAAAGAAAAAAAAAGACCTCGTGTCAGACGTTGATCTTTTGGCTACTTGTTATTTCACTTTGAGGGGGTGGGGTCTTCTCGTTTCTTTCTTTTTTCCCTTGCTTTTTCATGGGCTCGTGGACGCTTGCAATGTCACACGACAGGCAAGAAGAAGAGAAAACACAGATAAGAGGGAGAGAAAACAAAAAGGAGGTACGTACCGGGGTTTGGAGCATCTCCAGCCACGCTGCGTTGTCACTATCCCGAGGGCGGAAGTCGTTCTTCTTCTGGCCAGACAACAATCGACCAACCCACGCAAGAGTCGCGTCAATGGTCTTTTGTTGGATGGTGTTGATCTTGTCCTCGATCCGCGAGGTGGTCTGGCTGGTACGTTTTTCCATGTCACGCCGCGTCGTGATGCTACTGGTGGCCAGGGGTAAGAGAACAGCGTTGACACACATCACCATTAACGTCGTGATACTGATCGTGGTCCGAACCGAAGGAAGATATCCAAAGTCGGGCTCGGTCTTACCTGACTCCTGCGTGGTGGCAGCCTCAAGGGCGGCGTCGAGGCACACATCGATATAGCCATCGCCCATTGTCACCAGTAGCAGTGTCAGGACGGCCGAGACATCCTTGTGGGTGTCTGTGTTCACGCTCAGCTCAAGTCCGCGGCCCACCGCTTCCGCCAGCCACTTCAGCATGCATTTGGCGTCGCTGAGGTTGGGTTGTCCGTCTTCATCGGTGAGTTTTATCTCCGTCAGGCGCATGCTTTCGGGGATGTCGCCGACCTTAGCTACATGCAACAACATTCGACGTTGAATTGGGGACATCTCAGGGGAGTCGAGATGGCTGATAAAAGCATCACGGGTGGTTGACAAGAGTTCGGTGCCAGGACGGGATAAAGATGCCATGAATGTAGTAGCCGCCTTCTTCCGACGAGCATGAAAGGAGGTAAACTTGAAAAGTAGAGCGCTGAAGAGTTCCTCTAATGTGCGTTTCTCTCGTTCAATGTAGGACGACCCAACAAAGTAGGGCACAAACAGCTCCTCCAATTGCTGATCCAGCAGCAATGCGGTTTGGGAAGAAATAGTATCCGGGTGTTCGGTCAAGCCATGGGCTTTCAAGTCGTCGACAAGAGCACTGATGTAGCCTCGTGAGCTCTGCAAGCACCGTAGAAAGGCGAGAGATGACACCCCACTGGCCTTATCCAGAACCATCTCCAGACGTTGTTGGATCGACTGCTGGAACACGCGCTGTAAAAACTTGCCTAGCACTTGTTCGTGGTATGGAAAAGCTCTCCGGATGATGGCCGACTCCTCCTGGACCACCACCTTGACTTCGTCCAGCAGTGACTGCAAACTGGGTTCGACTCCAGGAAGCTCCGCGTCCGGATCGGCCATTTTCTCCCAGGATTCGGCATCACCGCCAACTTCCTCGGTTACCAATTGGCTGCGATCAATGAAAAACTGATGCTGATTGACAAACAGGGCAATCACACTGGCCCCGCCGTTGAAATCCTGCAATACCGTAGCGCAGTCCTTCATGCCATCGAAGTTAGCCTTCCGGTAGAAGTCATCGAATTGCTTCAGCAGATCCTTCTCCAGTGTCTCCGAGAACTTTTCAATGATTTCCCGGGTATTCCGCCGTGGAGCACTGTGCTCACTGCTTGAATCCTCGGATGGGGAGTTACCGCCGTAGGTACCATTCGTGGTTTTCGAGCTCTGCTGCCAGCTTTGCGGATCCAACCGTTGGCTGATGCGGAGGAGTTGTCGTGCAATATGGGCCGAACGTACTTTGGCCTCGCCCGTGCCAGACCGTCGAAGATTCTCCAAGAGGGAGATCTCGCCTCGATTGCAGACCCCTTCCCAACACTCCAGCAAGAAGTGGGCATCCAAGGCTCGTCGTCGCTGCCGGTCCAATTCCTCGAGTCGCCTTCCGGTTTCCACGGCCATGTTCCCTGTTCCTCCAGCATTGGCTGCGTTTTCTAACCCTCCACCATTGAGGGATGTGTCGAGCTGCTGGAATGATTCGATCGTTTGTCGAAGCTTCCGGCCGAGGGTGGTCAGGTTCTGGGAATGCTGGGCTTCAGCACGTCGCACGGCGGCAGAGAGCTCGTTTTCCCGGAGTTCCAAGTCTCCTGAGAGCTCACCGAGTCGTCGCTGGGCATGTTCGAAAGTGCGGATGAGGGGTTTCGGATCGAAGGGTTGGTTGGCAGCGCCAGGGGCTCCTACAGTGGAGCGACGCGCGGAGATGGCTGTATCGGAGAGGGACTCGATGAACTCCTTCACAATGAAATCGCGGCCGGAGAAGTCCTCGAGAGTGAAGCTGGGGCCCTTGGGGAAGACGGTGCGCGCGGGGTTCGTGGACGCGATCGATGCATTGTCGGGCATCATGGCGACTTACAGGACCGGAGGCATGGGCCGCCTCTCAGGACCGGCACAAGAAGTTCGAATTTGGCTCCACGCCGTGGTCTGAGATCTCTTGGTCCGACTGGGGGCAAATTCAGGAAGAGACTGGGAGGTTGCGAATTGGAGGAGAATCCGGGGAAAGCTGGAATGAAGGTTGAGCGCCTGAGGCTATTATTACCACGCCCAAGCTTCTATTGCCACCACACGTAGATCATTGTCGACAAGTATGAGGGAGCTATTTCATGTATACAATAAGCATCGAATGGAAGGAGGGTTGAGGGTGTATTACTATATAATTACTGTTAATCAATCCTCCAATTTCTCCTTTGCCCTCCTTTCGCTTTTCATGACTCTCCTTCGTGCTACTGGATTCAATATTCAATGAACACTTTGGCCACAAGAAGACGAGAGGCAGTGCAAAAAAATGACTCTCACAGGCAACCGAATAGACGCTGTTATCTGTACTTGGTACAATATACCTACTATGACCACCTGTCTATCGACTTATGTGTTACTTCAATTATCGCTGTATAAATAGCATTGCTTCCATCCATTCCGAAACCAACAGTTTGCATGTGGCCGAGGAGCCACGGCTCTCCGCTTCGTACAACCCAAATCCTCATCAACCTCTTCCACTCTTCCTCATCCTACAACCCGCGCAATCCAACCCAACCTCCACCAATATGGTCTCTAAGGAAGATCGCGAGATCCTCCGGGCGGAGTTGCGGTCGCGTGGCAACAACCTCAATGCCACGGACCGCGAGAACTTGCTGAAGCCATATTTGCCAGATCCGTCCGAACTGCCTGGCTCGACACGACGATTCCGCGCCTCAACGGCGTCCTCCCAACGGCGTTCTAAGCCGCGCAAGACCCCAATTCGCACGTTCCTTAAGTCGCAAATGCACCGCCTGGTCTATGCCGTCACCCATATCGTTTTTGGTATCGTGGTACGCCTCCTCCAGGCCTACCACGCGGTTGTCGACCGAATCTTTGCCATCGTTTATCACCACCACCGCACCCCCGAACTGATCCGCAAAGATGTGCGCGGCTTGAAGCGAATCCCCCAACATCTAAGCGTGATATTGTCCCTGCATACAGAGGAGGATGCACTGGCGGTCTTGATGGACGAGGTTGCCGAATTGGCTGCCTGGAGTGCCTGCGCGGGCATTTCGCAACTTAGTATATACGAGAAAACAGGTAGGGAGACTTGAGCTTCCGAGCTGCTTTCTTCTCTTTCTTCTCTGGCAATCAATAGCTAATTCATAATTTCCCAGGTGTTCTCAAATCCTGTATTCCGGCCCTACATCAAATAATCACCACAAAGCTAGCATCCTACTATGGCACACCCTCACAACAGCCCACTCTACAGCTATTTGCCCCCCACCATCCTGTACACGGGGCCGCACCCAACCCCAAGTCTGACACCCCTTCCCTCGCCATCCTCCTGATATCCTCCACAGATGGCCGTGAAACCCTGGTCGACCTGACCAAGACCCTGGCCGAAATGTCGCAGAACGGCAAGCTGTCCCCCGAGGACATTACGCCGGAACTGGTGGACGCGGAGATTAGTGAAATCACCACGCATCCTCTGCAAGCCGGTGGACGCGCGGCCAGTATCCTCAAGCCCGAGCCGGACCTTCTCTTAGTGTTCGGGCCGTTCCTGAAATTGGATGGGTACCCACCGTGGCAGATTCGCCTGACTGAGATGTACTGTACTGGGGATCGCAGTCACGGTCTGACTGGGTACGGTGAGGCTGTGGAGTACCAAGGGTTTATGCGAGGGTTGTGGCACTACGCCGGGGCCCAGATGCGGTTTGGCCGGTGAAGGAGGAGCAGGAGTTTTATGTTTCGATTTCTTTTCTGCCCTATTATGGACTTTGTCTTTACGCTAGTGCGGGCGGAAGTTTGCATGGTGGATTTCCCTCTTGTCTTGTTATACCCTACATCAGCATGTGCAGTGGAGGTCTATATTCATATCTCTCTGTAAATGGTGGATGTTGCATTGTCACTCTATTTGTCAAGTAACCCTCGCACTGGAGGATGCATTAATTACTATGCTAGGTTGGTATCACTATGCCATGTCATGATGAAATAAAAATACCTTCGGGAGAATGCCGAGGAAGGGATAGGATCGCCATGTCGAACTGATGCCAATGTAAATGATGAAAAAAGAAGACAAAAAAGAAAAAGGGAAGGCAAAAAAAATAGACCCATTGTCCAACGCCAAATTGAAGTAAGAGATTCATTAAGTGCTCCCCGAAATCAACCGGTGGGAGATAGTCATAGGGCCGTAGGTCATGTTCGTTCATTGAGATAGAGATTTTCCGCACGACCGGAGCCCGCTTACCCGCCCATGATATCATGATTCATCGCATCCAGAGTCCATCCAGATGGCGTGGAGCTGTTGGACCACGGCGTAGGATGGCCCTGTACGCAGTCCAAGCATCGTACGATCTCGGCCCCGGTCTCAGTGATACCTTCTACCGCGCAACCGGAGCAAATATTTCGTCGTCGGGCCGAGCTTCCGTCGAAATCTTCACTGGGGCTCAATAGATGGGGTTCACCTCGGCTTGCAGGGAAGGAGCCGGGACATTCGATAGCATCGCATTGGCGGAGACAGATAAAGCAAGCCCGTTCGCCGCAGAGGTCACAATCTGCATAGGCATCGAGAACTTGTCGAGTGGTGGGCCGTCGGTGGCAGATATGACATGGACGCAGCGCAGATGGGGAGGTTGAGGGGTATGAAAGTGGTAAGACGGTCTTGGGCGACACTGGCGGTGAGTAAGGGTCTTGTGGCGAGGCATAGGCGTTGGGAGAGAGGAATGATTGCTGGTGTGTTGGCAGAGTGAGATAGGGGGGTTGGACAACGTGTCGGCGTTTGCGAGGAAGACAGCGGGGGCGGAAGGACAGGTCGCCGGCCTCTGATGGGTGTCGGGCCAGGGGTAGAGAGCAGTTGCTGTCACAGTCGGAGCGTTCGATACGAAATGGAATTAAGGCGGACCTGAAGACAGAGCCGGATGGTCAGTTTTTGGTCACTAGATCAAATCATAGAGTCGGGAATGACTCTTGGTATGCCGAACGACTATACTTACGGCCGTGTCAATGCTGTGCTATCCTCATGGTCCCGCTTGCGTTTCCTCCAGCTGGCCGGAAGGGAATCGGTTAATGATTGTGAGAAGCTGAGCATAGAGAAGTATAGAAATCAAGTCTCTGAACAAAACAGGAAACCCCCGACGGGAATGATCCGTAGATGTTGGCAGAGGCGGTGTTGATGTGATGAGGTCCAGCGCAAAAGAAAATAAAGCTCGGGCCCACTGGGTCACGGTACTTGCGAAGAGGTCGGGCGTTCAATGGTCAATTTGGTTGGAGGCGGCCCCACATTGTTCCAATCTGATACTCAACACAAACTTGAGTCCAGAATGATGCATTTTTAGGTCATGATATTTCCCATACGTTTTACAATATTTGCTAAATTTGGGTACGGAATCGCATATACACATCTAAAATTTTATGCCTGGCAGCCTGTAATACCTATAGATTTCTCTTTCGCTTGACATTTACGGGGTAGTTCAGGTACGGGAACTCTGTTTCTATCCCACTTGACTAAGAGGAATCCCAGTATATCACTCGAATCATGGACAACAAGGAGACAATGGTCCTCTAATTTATATGTGAGTACCGATATTGAGTCATAAGTAGAGGTGTAAGAAACAAATAACGATTAGATTGAACGCATAATCGGAGTTGAAAAGCTAGTGCTTAGATTTTGTCACGTTACCGTTCGTTAGTCAGCAACTATTTCTATTCCGTAGCGACTACGTACACGAATAAGACACCTTTTTACCTCCTATCATAATTTCCGTAACAGATTTTTACGAGTGGAAAGCACCATTGGGACAAGACAACTCATTCAGCACGAGGAAAACGACCCCCTGTCTACCCTGCCAACAATAATTCAACGCTACACGACTCATTCAACACTAAACAGCCGACCCGCGTTTACCTTAACTATAAATCAACTCCGTGCAGCATCATTAGTTTCAACAGCAATATTCTTCCTTAGTAGAGACAAACTTCGGCATTGATATATTATTGGCACAGACAGGTCGATAAGCGTATCTTGAAAATGATATTTGTCTCATGCAAAAGCGAAATAGACGGAAAGGCCGTACCAACGCTGCACCATAGTGCTTCCACACTCAGGGTAGATAACGGAGTTTCACTCTCCTGAGTAGTTGCAGTCAGAGCAGGTCATCCATCGGTGGTCCACTGGTGCTTGGATAGTGTGATAGGCCATTGTGATCCGTCTTTGAGGGGTGACTGAATAGCGGAAAGAAAATAGAATCTGAATTAAATCTAACAATTCGAGTGTGAATGATTTGAATAATCTATGAGGAAATTATTCGGTCTTATATAGGCATGGATTGTTCAGAAAAAGAACGGGCGGAGTTTGTCGATTCCGATCGTAATAGCCATTGATAGTAACCTTATGCTGAATCCCAGGCACTAAGATGAGGGGTTTTGAAATCTAAACGAATTATCTAATCTGGGGTGAATGTAGGTTGCAGTTTGAGAATAACAGAGGGCGCTTATGCAAGTCCATCACGCGCTGAGGCGAATTCCTGAACAGGTTTGGCAAATTTCTTCTCGGACAAAAGTACACTATCACGCATTCTAAAGGGTGAAATACATGTAGACCCCTGCAAGTCACCCCTATTGAGCGGCTCATAAAGCATTGGAGGGCATAATATTATTGGACCCCGCCTTAGATGCATAAGCACGTTATAGGTTATAACCGAGATTGGCAGGGGAGAGAGGGTTCGGTGGCAACTGTGGGCAACTGTGGGCAAAGTTTCAGAATTGAGCTGTTAGTCTCATCTATCACTTTTGAGAGTATTTGGTAGTTATATTTAGAGTCTAAAAATAGTGGTCATAGGCGTTAATGAGCAAAAATATGCTGTTTCTAACATAATATCCGAGCCCGGATCATCTAGCGTTCTATGACTCTCCAGGGTGATGCGGTTTAGGCGGTGAGTTACGTTTCAAACTGGAACAGCAAGGCTGATTCTTATAGCTTGTAAAAATGAGTTAAGACCAGCCTAAGACAATCACACTATCACAATGCTCGGGCGCGAGACAAGAAAAGGAATGATCGTTATGAGGTTCAGCCAATCCGATCCTCCTACAGTCAAATCAAGTTTCTACTCCATTTCTAGGTTGACGTATCCCAAGCTTGAGTCAAAAGTCCATGTAGTATCAAAAAATATTCAGCCTCCTCTGTCCTCATTTTCGTCTCATTCAACAGCGCTTAGACAGCGAAGTCCCGGTCCCATCTACGGGCATTTATAACTGGGATAAAGTGAATGTCTTTTCAGGCCCCCACATTTGTTCAGAACAACTTACTTCATTGTTATTATCCATAAATGCAACTGCCCTGGTTAGGCTGGAAGGAATTGCGCAGATCAACGAGGGGTGGAACTCGACATATAGATCGAGCGCAGAGATCACCCAAACTCGGGCCCGTGGAGAATAATTAAACGATCCACCACTAATATCAATCACCAGAGATGCTTCTCCCCACGGAATTACTTAGGTAGTCAGGTAAAAGCACACCCATCTGATTTGATACAGAGTACAAGCGTCGCAGTAAATGGCCAGATTTGGTTCTAAATCTACTCAAATTTGAAAAGAAAAGGTAAAGAGCAGTAAGAAAATATTTCTAACATGAAACGACGATTTAATGATTTAATGATAGACGTAGAGAGGAGAAGGGCAATTTTCAGCTACAGACATTTTCCAAGGCATATATCGCTGGAACAAGCTTTCAATCACATTTAGGCATTGTGTAGGGGTTTGATTAACTATCAAAATCAAAGAATGGCCCGCAATGGAGTTGTACCCGGCGGGGCAATCTAACCCTGCATTCGCGACACCTGGCTATCTAGGAGGGCGCTAATCAGTCACACGGCACTGTCGTATCGCGTGCAAGAAGACCTTTCTATTTTTTCAATTCCTTCTTTGCTGCTGCTTTGGCACTCTTTGATGCTTTCTTTGCCGCTTTTCTTGCGGCATCCTCTTGCTTAACAAGCCCCGCCACCCCGACCCTTTCTCCGCCTTCAAGTTGCTGAACAGGAAAGCCACCTTGCCAATCTCATGGCCAGTTTTGATGGAGTCTCCTTTCCAGAAGTCGGGGATTTGTAGAGGTTCCGAGCGGAGCTGCTCGTTCATCGTCTTTGCAGTGTCAGGCATGAATGGAGAAATAAGGGAAGCCAGCAGATGAATTAAGTTCACCGCAAGCCCAATAACGGCCCCGCACTTCAAGGGTTCGTTTACCGCGAATTTGTTGTCAAGACCGTTGGACTGAAGGAACAAATTGCCTTGCTGAGAAATAGACAGAACGGTGGAAAGTCGCAGCATGGATTTTAACGGCTTCAAGATTGCGATTATAATCACCAAGTAAGCTGTTGATTTGTTCTTTGCATGTATCAAATGAACTTTCATGGTATTGTGTGTAATCCGGCACGATGTTGTTGAAGTTCTTTGAATTAACAAATTTGATAACACGACTGACAAAATTGCCTAGATTCTTCAAAAGAATATTATTGTTGGCACTGATGAATGAGTCCCAGTTGAACTCAGTGTCACCGGCCTCAGGGCGATGAGAGATAAGATAATAGCGCCAGACGTCTGAATGAACGCCAGTTTTCTGTGCAGAATCTCCAAACACACCAATTCCCCGGGATTTAGAGAACTTGCCGCCTTCGTAGGTAAGATACTCAGTCGTAGAAAGATGATGGAGTGTAGTCCAAGTATCTCGAGTGCCAATCGGGCTGCCTGGAAAGATAACCGTATGGTAGGCAACATTATCTTTTCCTAGAAACTGATAGAGCTGGACATTGTCAGGATTCTGCCACCATTTCTTCCAATCATTGGTATAATTTGCAGTGATGGATATGTAACCAATGCACGCATCAAACCAGGCATAAATTACTTTGTCTTCATAACCTGGTAAAGGAACAGGTGTCCCCCACTTAATATTTCTGGTGATACTGCGTGGCTTTAATCCCTCCTTCAACCAGGCCGCGGTGATTTCTTTGCCGTTGCTAGACCATTCACCGTGTGCCGAGCTCTGTTGGAACCAAGTTTCAATTTCCGACTGTAGCTTGTCTAGTTTGAGAAAGGTATGTTTGGTATCTCTCATTATTGGTGTAGCGCTATCGACCTTGCATCGTGGGTTCTTGAGTTCCAGTGGGTCTAAGAGCTAGCTGCAGGAGTCACATTGATCACCATAGGCCTCTGCGTAGCCACAGGATGGACACTCTCCTTGAATGAATCTATCTGCTAGGAAGGAATTCTGATCCTCGCAGTAAAGCTGAGTTGTCATATCCTCCTTTAAGAAACCATTTTGTTGGAGCTTAAGGAAGATTTCTGGGTGATCTCTGTCTATAGCTGAGTGGTAGTGCGACCGAAAGTATCGAAACTGATATTGAACCACTTGTAGACATCGGAATGTATAGCGTGATATTTATCGCAAAGTTCTTGTGGCGTGCACTTTTCAGTGAGAGCTCTTGCCTCAGAGGTTGTACCATATTCATCAGTGCCTATATGATTTAAATTAGTGCGAGAGATATCAATAGAGTCGCACAAGGCCAAACCTACCACATACATAGAGTGTGTTGTACCCGCGCTGTCTGCAGTATCTGGCAAAGACATCGGCGGATAGCGTAGACCCGATGAGATTTCCGAGGTGAGGAACATTGTTCACATAGGGAAGAGCACTTGTGATGAGAACATTACGTTCACCGGAGTCTGGGACATGAAAGGTAATCAGAGTAGATTTCTCCGATAAATTCTTAATTGAAGAAATGTCTCAGTGTTAGCGGGCTGGAAAGCAGAGAGGTTTTGGCAGCTGAACCGCGCAGATTCTGAGGATGACTCACTTGAGGGCTTACGGAATATAGTATAACTAACGTAAATCACTAGCTAGTCGGACACCCTACCGGCTACTACTTTTTAAAACACAATTTTTCCACCACAACACTAGATATCCATTCAATCTATCTACTAGGGCAATGACTAATCTTATGCCCTATATTACCGCATCCAGAACACCGAAAAACACGCCTAGTAGAAGGCTCAGCGCCCTTAAAGGGCTGCTGACTACCACTAGTCTCCTGTTGAATAGATTCAACACACGCTAGCAACGTTGTATTTATAGATATAGATTCACCGACCGTAGAACCTTGCTGCCTAGATATCTGCTGTTTGGACTGTGTGTACTTTTGACGCTTCTCCTCGTTAAATTGTCGTCAATCCCTAGCTTCCTGCGCTAGGAGCGCTCCGCTATAAATCGCTAATTAGTATTCTTTGATTAATCAATCTAGCGCACGCTCTATAGAGCTTCCTAGCGACCGCAAGCGCTTGCCTAGTAGAGCTTTGATAGATAATGCTTACTTGCTAAGCTACTTAATCGTATAAAGAGCTTTTCTAGCCATCGTAGGCCTATAATATCGCTTGTCTAACTATTTAGTAATATTTCAAATCGCTAGTTGCTAGGAAGGTTATCGAACTAGCTAGTTATATAAATCTTTCCTTGAATATTATATTTAGCGGAAGCGAGAACCCGGTTGCTGATATAGATTTAATAGCTATTACCTACTCCCGATTCCCTAGTTATAATATTTAAAGGAAAGTTTGATTATAGGAATGCAAGAATCCTGGAATATCAAGGTGGAGATTGTAAGACAAATCAAGCGATTGCATATCGTGGCAAGTATCCGTACCTTGCTCATGATACCTGCCTGTATCTATCAGGAAGATATCTAAAGATATTCATTCCGTTAGGAATGAATCCTTCCGGGGTCTGGCCTACATGCACCGCCACTCACGATCATTATGAATAGGCGATATCGATAGGGAGTACTGCTAGGGAGGGCCCTAGAGCCAGGCTACTTTGACCTCTATCCGTGAACACACAACTTTCCCATGGGATCTGTTGTGATTCAGGCATCAGAAACGAATCGGATGCTGCATCATTCATTAGCTGGGCAGGGGGTTGGGATGTGGGGACCATCGCAATTCTCCTAGAATCGGATGCTTCCTTCTGACCCGAGAACGAAATCCGGAGTACGCAGAGGTAGGCCATGCTGGAGGTCAAATTCAGGGAGGAATTGGAAATTTGGAGACACTGGAGGGTCCAAAGGGAAGATAGGGAGGGGGGAGGAAGCATTTCAATTAGCGATAGGCGCACGATGGATCGCCCGGACGATGACGGAATTCTTGTGTGATCACTGTCCTGGACGCAATCAGATTGAACTTGATTAGTGAAGGGACCAATGGAGGGACCAGGAGACGAAACTATTTACATAGTGGGTTTCTGAGATCTCCGTACATACTTCTTCGAGGGACCGATGCATTTACTGTAGTGTGTGCTTTGGCCCCGGGGAAAAAGTCTTATCCCCGTCGCACCCGCTAAAATTAAACTTGGGTCTGCGACACACGTCCTCGGCTACATCCCGAGTGGGGGAGCAATGGAGCAATTATTTGGATTCCTGGTCTTATTGCATCGAGTCTCGCTGTCTCTAGTCCCAATGGCCGAGGAAATATATAGGCGTGGATGACCAGAGCCACTTTGCTTTACCGCGCCTGGGGAAAGAGCGGCATCGATTCCGTCAGCGGCCGGAGTCCTTTCCGAAAAGCCAGGGTACCGTCGAACCAGATGCTCCTATCATGTAGGGTGAGACCGGAGGGCGATCGGGTTGTCGCCCGTGGAGAATCGGGATGCCGGGTCCGAAAGGGTGCTGGCCCGTCCTGCTGTGAACACAGCCCCGGAACACGGGATCGCGTGCTGTTTTTAGGTTCCTACACTCCGTCCTCAGCACTCAGCACGGAGCATGAAGTACGCGTGATGTCTCAGTCGACTTGGAATGACATCGTGGGATTGTGGGGCAAGAGAATTGGATATCAGGCTCGATCACGTACGGAGGAGGGAAAGGTCATGGAGGACAATTCAAAGAAGGGGAAATGAACAGACAGCACCTAAAGATTTGCAGGCTCCGACCGTCGGTAGATGCAAACTAGGCTAATGTATTTGATAGAATCACTGTCTCTATCTGAAGGGCCAGACAGAATGGCCTGTATAGATCGGATTGCTGGACAAACTTCAAGGTAGAGACCCCATCGATTCACCTGTGATGACGATGACGACCTCGTACATGGATCTATATGGGGATTGTCCCTTATTGACAAGAAGCTCTCGGAAGCTCTGAGAAGCTCTCCTAGCTGACTAGATTGTCGAATTCCCATAATATATTCGAGAATATCGAGACCTATACATAGATCCCATAGATCCTGACGTTCCCGTTGCCGCCTTCCCACACCTTCGCTTGTCATCGTGGGGACGTGGGGAACCCCGATTAGCCGGCAACTCCCTAACATTCCCTTGGGAACACGCTCGCTCAGGAAACAGACGCTCAGCCCGAAACCTTGGTCGCCACGCACTCAGCCTCCTCTCTTTCTCTCTCCTCTCTCCTCTTTCCCGATCTTCTTGATATTCTCAAAAGGAGGGCCCCCAACTCAGAGTGGATGCGACTCTCTAGTGGTTGACTAAGCTGTCCTGATCGCCTCTGTTGCGTAATCCACCGTCTTTCCGATTGCGTCTCGGCCTTTCTTTTATACCTGGACATGCATCGCGAGCCTCTGGTTCTGCACGATTGCTATTGCTGGACAACCCCTTGAATTGTTGTTTCTGTTCCCCACCGATTGCCAGTCGGTTGCCAGCGAACGCTCGAGCGCATCGCAAGAGCGTCACCACTGGGTTCACCGGGCTCTTCCGCCTCTCCTCCAGCCGGGTCGCTTCATGGCATGCCATCCTGCCCCATCTAACCCTCTCTATGGATGAGGGCTCGGACAAGGCCCCTCGGCGGAAGAGGGTATCCAGAGCCTGCGATCGGTGTCGCAGTAAGAAGGTGAATCGAACCCCTGTCTGGCGCATGTTGAGCTATCCAGCTCTTGAGCGTGGATTGAGCTGTCGCCCCCTCCCCCTCAAGTTTACAAGCTGACCCGCGCCCCTCCGAATCCATTAGGATAAATGCGATGGGATACGTCCCACTTGCTCCGCATGTCAGGCTTCAGGCCAACCCTGTTCCTACGACCCCCACGCGAAGAAGCGTGGTCTGCCCGAGGGCTATGTGCGCGGATTGGAGAAATTATGGGCGCTCTCGGTCTGTAATATCGACGGGTTCGAAGATACCATGCTGGCCATGTTGGGAACCACCGCCGAATCCGCTAGCCGACGGGAGAAACTGATGTCCGTGTGGTCGGACGACAGCGCCTCGGAGAGCCTACATGAAACATGGAAGACTAGCCGATTATATAGCGCCTTGGAGAAGATGCTCTCGAATTCCGAGTCCTCCCCGACCGTGCCAGGCAAACGATCGCGCAACCCGAATGACGAAAAACTAGACGGCCCTGGCCAATGGGGATTCCGAGTCGCTAGAGACTCAACACCGCTTGGTGCGGACGCGCCACGTATTGTCGGTCCTGTAATGGCGTCGCCGAGCACCAAACGGGCCCGAATGTCACAGGCATCGGACAGCCGATCAACCTCACAACCCACCAATGGCACCCGGGCACTACAGCTGCCGCCCCAAACATCGCAACTCCTTGATATCTATTTCGCGACCACCCATTCCTGGTTTCCTGTCGTCGCCAAGCATAACATCCTGCGCGCCTCGTATCTCTATGCCAATGCCCCCTTCTCCGTTGCGACCACTTCGCCAGGATCGGGAGATCATGCGGCCCTGTGGGCGATTCTGAGCTATACTATCACACAGTCCCGAGCGGACACCCGCGCCAATCCAGTGGGTGCTGTCTCGTTGGCAAAGGAGTACTATGCGGTTTCTCGAAATTTGATCCCATCCGAGAAGGAACGTTACGAACTGGGCCATATTCAGGCATTACTGCTGCTGACGCTGGTGAACACGGGCCTGGAGGATTGGACGGCGGCATGGCTGCTGAGTGGCCAAGCAGTACGAATGGCTATTGCTATGGGTCTGGATACCTTCGCTGATACCCGACGTTCTGATGAACTTCGACAGGGGCAGGCGGTCTTCCTGGGGTGTTTTGTGATCGATTCGTTACTGTCCTTCCGCCTCTCACGATGCCCAGCGATGTCGCCGAATGATCTTGCCAACGTGGGCCTTCTGGAAGAGGATGGGCTGGAAGAGTGGAATTCATGGGTAGACGTCCTGCCCCCAGCCGGTGTTTCGCATGGCAAGAATGCGCCACGCCGAGGCCCGTTACTCGCCTTAAGCTGCTTCAATCGGCTGGTGGAACTGGCCAGCGTTCTCAACAAGACGGCAAGGAGCCTATCCATGGGGTACAAAGCCGCCACATTTGCACAACAGCTGGTGCTCGATCTGAAACAGTGGGATGATGGCTTGCCTCTGGGGTGTCGTTTAATTGGACCCGAGAGTATCTACCCCGAACGGCACTCGGCTTTGCTGCCGCACCAGAGCTATCTGGGATTGACCTACGTGGCCACTCTCCTCTGGCTTTACCTACGTCTCATTCCTGGTGAGCAGGGATTACATCGATCGCAACGCCCAGCGACAGAAGGGGCGAAGAAGCTGCTCTATCGCGGACTTTCGATGATCTCCCAGCACCTGGAAAACTTTCCTATGTGTGGATTACCTCCAATTTTTGAATTCGGCTTGCGCACTATTTCTGAGCAGGCCTTCTCATTGCGACAGGCTGTGGAATCGTCCGATACATTCCCCTTCACCCGGTGGGCGGAGGAGTTCCGACAGAAAACAACTGCGTTGACAACGACCTGGCCAGTATACGGCTCGTTGATCTCCGCGATGGATCGTTGGCAGCAGCCTGGCGGTTTCCCAGAAATTCCACTCCAGCCGTACCCTGGTAGTTCGGCTCCCCCTATGATTCCCGGAGCAGCACCTCTACTAGGCACTAGGCACGGCCCTAGTGTCCCTGATGCGGTTCCTCCTCACGACCAAGGCACCTATGCCTCATCAATTCTCGGGATAAGCATTCCGGTGGACGCACAGTCCATGACACCGAAGGACACAATTATGGAGAATACTGAGATGTCCATTCGGGACGCGGCTTTGCAGCAGCCCATCAGTGCCCACCCGATGATTCCGGACCAAACTGCTCCACGCAGCGGACCCGACACAATATATCCATCAGGGGGTGGTCATCCACAACCTCAAACCCCCGACTCGTCGGCTTCCAATCCTATGATGGCAGGGAAGCCTCCCACGAGCGATCGATCAGTTCCTGCAGGAGATCCCATGGGATTCAGTTCCGCAGGTACAGGCGATCTTGATGCGATTTTTAAAGACCTGGCCTACCTGGATACCACCGAGTGGTCGAACAACCGTGAGGCTGGACTCAAAGACTTTGGATTCATGGATGACAGTACGTTTCAAGCCTTTTGTCATGATCCGGATCGGTTAGTGGGCTCTCAACCTCTGGTGCATCCGCCATCAATCGCCGATATTTGGCCACCGCCTGGATTCTTCCCTGAAACTTTCCAAGAAGTCCCGGAGAAGACAAGGAACGGATGAAGCATAGGTCTCGTATTTTTTTTCAATGCTCGAATCGAGACGATTTGTCAGACTGACAGGTCCCTCCTGTCAGTCCGAGTAAGCACCGCCCGGGCCCACATTGTCTCACTTGTTTCAAAGGAAGAGTCAAGCGGCAAGGAGATGTAAGAACCTACTTTGGACTTTGCTTTCGTCTATACGGAGCAGTCGGATCTCAGCTAATCTCCCTCCCACCGTCATCTCCAAAGACAGAAGACTTTCTTCGCTCTCTACCATAACACCTGGCGAGGGTGCATTGCGTCATATCTGACAATGGAGGCCTTCCTCTGGCCCGTCCGGTGTCGCCGCTAATCCAGGGGGATTTTCCCTATTTCCTTCCTCAACGAGGGATCATCCTCGATTGACCTTGGAAAGGGCGATCTTTCTGAAGCACCTCATCGATCTCCTAGATGATGTATACCCTCCCAATGATGCACTGTATACCCGCACGCAAGGGTCCATACCCCATCCTGTGCTCCTGTTTCCAAAAAAGTTGATAGTTCTGAATAATTGAAAAAAAAAGATTCCGAGGACACTTCCTCGTCATATATTTCTTCTGGACATGTCTGTAAGAGTTGCCATTCAGGTAGTATAAGTATAAAACTTGGGCATTCTTAAACAACCTCAATTGATGCAAACATGCCCTTCCCTTTTACTGAAGGACGCGCAGCCACGTGACCATGGATGCCTATTAATGCCCAAGTATGCAGGCAGCATAGTCTCGTGATCGGCGATCCACATTTCATTGGTGTCCTTAAATCCTGAAACTTGGAGCAGTTCACCAATCACCGTTTCTGGGACTCCATGGCAACCCCATCCCCAGTTGTGCGTCATTGCTGCAGACCCTCAACTATCTCCCCATTTCTGAAGCCTGCAGCTTGCAAATTTTACAAATTTTGCAAAGCCTGAGGTTGGCACGGACCGTAGTCCCCGTTTGCAGGCACCAGCGAGAAATAAGATGACGGCCCCCGTCCCTGAGCCCGCTTCGGGCGATCGCTGAGCCACTTTCTCCTGAACCCAACTCCACATTCACGTCCACCAGTCGATCCCTTTCCTCCTCTTGACGCAAAACCCGGCAACCGATGACGCCGACCCGTGGGGCCTGCGGGCTCGCGAAACTACCGCCCACAGCCTCGTTGGTTGATGGCCCGCGTGGTCGATGATCCAACCCCCATGCACCCCCGGCGGTAAGCCTATCACTTTCTCGCTACAGACAGGTTGACCGAATCATAGGTGCTTGTGCTGCCCAGCCCATGGATCATCGTTCGTGAGACTATGGGGTTCGAACAATCCCGTTTGCGTTCATCTCTCAAGTCGATCACGGTCCGCCATCCCCTGTCCCTTTTCTACACGTTTCATCAAGCGCCGTTGCTGCTTCTCTTCACTCCCGCTGCTGCCACGGCCTGATTTTCTTTCTTCAACTGCTATCTCTTTGTAGCTGGATCCGGCGGCTACTGATCCATGGCTGCTGGTCTCTCTTTCTCGACATTCCTTTCTCGGTATTGATAATCATACCCTCTTTTCACTTTTCGCGTTCTTTTCGATCTTTGTTCTTGACCTCTACCTTATCCCTTGTTGGTTGGTGACCATGTTAACCTCACCGCGACGATGGATCTTCATCGCTACGCCATTCATTACCTTGTTCCTCGTCTACCACTTCTTCCTCACTCCGAATACCACCCCGGTCGGCATCACTACCCAAGACGAATGGACGCTGTCTGAACAAGACCCGATCATGATGGAGGGGACTCGGCAGCAACTCGCCAACGGAAATAAGAATTCGAAGCCCAATCCCTCGGCGATTACGACCGAAGAAGATCGATGTGGACATATTCGGCGGGATATGGACGACGTCATGGTTATTTTGAAGACTGGTGCTACGGAAGCCCGCGAGAAAGTACCGGTGCAATTGCGTACCACCCTTCAATGTGTCCCGCACTACGCCATCTTCTCTGATTATGAAGAGACCATCAACGGCATACGCACCTATGACGTCTTGCAGAATGTCACTGAAGCCACCATATCAACGAAGCCCGAGTTCGAGTACTATCAGCATTTACAAGAAGTTGGCCGCGAGGGACTGACCGATGCGGATGTGGGAGATGACACCAACGGACCGTTCGGAAAGACCAACAACCCTGGGTGGAAATTAGATAAGTGGAAGTTTCTTCCCATGATTGATGGGGCGCTGGAGGTGCGACCGGACGCCAAATGGTACATCTTCATCGAGGCCGATACCTACATGGTGTGGCCGAACTTGGTAAATTGGCTGGCCCATCTCGATCACACTCGAAGCTACTACATAGGCAGTCCTATGCAGATTGGCGATGTCCTTTTCGCCTATGGTGGAGCTGGTATCATCATGTCCAGCCAGGCAATGCATCGTCTTCATAGTCATCGGGCGAAACACCTGGAGGACCTGGAGGAGATGACGGCCCAAGAATGGGCAGGAGACTGTGCCCTGTCCAAGGCCCTCGAGGAAATTCACATCCCACTGACTTGGGCTTGGCCCATGATGATGATCTCTCGACCTACGGAGATTGACCATTTTTCTGAAGCTTATGGCCGCCAGCCTTGGTGCTATCCTGCTGTCTCGTATCACCACATGACCCCACGTGATATTGAAGAGATGTGGCAGTTTGACCGAGGATGGTTCAAGAGCGGCAAGAATGCTCTCCTACTCCACGCAGATGTTTACCGTGAAATGATTCATAATGGATCGCTAGCCAAACGTGAGGATTGGGATAACCTGTCACCGGCCATAATTGACTTTGACCCGCCTACCACCCCATCTGCCGATGCCTGCTCAGACGCCTGCTCGCAAAACTCCGAATGTTTGCAGTTCTCGTACAATCATGGGGAAAAGACCTGCAAACATGCATCCACCACCTTTGGCGGTGTTGCCACGAACGGCACTTATTCAGGCTGGATGACCCACCGCGTCCAGCGACTGTTGAAGAACTTCCAATCATCATGCCCGGAAGTGCAGTATATTTTTAACTGATTTGATCTTGTTTACGTTGGGGTGAGCCATTGAACCCGCCTACCCCTCCACTTTCTTTCTTTCACCGCTTGTATATATATACCCTTCGTGCACATACTTTTGCATCTCGTATCGTTGGTTGATCGAGATCATTGGCGAGGCGTTATGTTGGAGGACTTATTCGCTCGTTTCAATTGTTATTTTTTGGTTTGCCATGTCTGCTGCGCAGACGACATTATTCTAGGCGTCTACTGACCCCTTATTGCACTCGCTTGCATATTCCCACCGGGAGTGACTGCTACTATCTCGTTACCGTGAAGACTAAGAAGTGTGCTTTGAACGCTTGTCTCTGAGCATAGCACACTATTTATGAAAAGAAAATTATAGTTCATTCTATATATTATTTTGTATGTCGTACTTTGGAACCCGTCTCTGTTAGATGTATACAGACAGTTTGCACCCAGAGAGTCATGGATCTCGTCCAATTCGAGCAACCGGGAAAATTGAAGCTCGCAGCATCCAGAAAGGGAGTGGTGAGATATGCCGCAGCTTGTCAAGCCACCTTTGACGTGTCTATATTCCAGTATATTTAAATATGTAGATAGGAGGGTGAGGCTGTGTATATGTAGGCACAATAAAAAATATATGCAGAAATTGAATCGATATTACAGTTCCAAATTGACCAAAACTTCCTGGTGGTCTCTCGCAAACATTGCAGCCATCTCTTAGCTCATCCTCAACCGTTTTTGGGATGGGAATATTCTCTCCGGATCTCAGGCTGCGCCGACGGTCCGCTTGCGCCGCTCTCGCAGCAACACCGGCACGATGGTCAGAATGACCGAGACACTGACGACGATGGCCTGAATACCAAACACCAGACCTAAACCGTTGCGCGTAATCCAGGCCGGCTGGAAGTAGCCGACAGCGAAGCCACCGCAGGTACGCCACATGTTCAAAATCGCAGAAACTACTGTCGACTGCTCCGGGTACTTCTCCAGGGCGTAAGCCGTGATGGCGCTGTGAATCGTCAGCGGATTCATTCTCATATTGCCTCTGAAGGGCATGACTTACACAATGGTCCCCACCATGCCGATATTCACCATGATCCAGCCAAATGCAATACCGATCCAGTGCTTGGCAAAGTTCATCGTCAGGCCATAGGTCAACAGACCGCAGACCATGCTGCTGATCGGGAACCAGACTCCGTGTAGTCGGTATTCCGTCCACCAGTTGTGGTGGTGGCGGCGGTAGATCCATTTATTGAAGAAATAGCCGACAAGCCAGCCTGAAAAGAATCAGTATACGGATCAGACAGACATCAACGACCGCAATCCACAATCGGCAGAAAGCGGATTGACGGATGGGGGCAAATTTACCGCAGAGCGCACCGATGACGCCGGCAAAACGCATGGACGATGCCTGGATAGTGTCGAAGTTGTAAGGCGGGCTATGCAGGAACGAGTCGATAGTGGTAGTGATGCCTGATGTAGGTCAGCCTTGTGTGCTTGGAACATTGCAACAAATGCCACCAATCCCGGCCAACTTACCAATCGGCCAAGTGAAGGTGACGAGAATGGCGATTCCTGCATGCGTGTTTGGTCAGCCTAGTCCCTGCGAGAGAAAAAATGACCAAAAAGTGAACACTATATCGTGCCAAAGGGCGCGGGGGCTCACCGGTCATAAGCAACGGAAACTTGAACACATAGACAATCATGATCTTGCACCAGTACCCGAGCGTGGATAGCTTGGGCAGTTTTGTGTTGCCAACGCCAAAGTACGATCCCAGGCGCGAAGTCGGAGCCTTATTGGGAGCATAGTAGGTCTCGGCCCCGAAAAGCAGCACCATGAAGGTGGATAGGCCATAGATCGCCGTGAGCACGCCGAAGGAGTCCCGCCAGTTGGTGCCGGCACCGATGTAGCCTGCAATGGCCGGGCCTAAGAAAGGACCGACCATGAAGGTGGTGCCCCAGATGTTGATCATGCGAGGCCATTCTTGATTAGAAATGACAAGTTAGCCTGACGGACAAACCGGGACTCTTTCTCAGACGAATCATTTTGGCATCACGATAATAGGAGGACCTACCTTCCGGGTTATACATGTCATGGATGATGGGCAGGCCAATGACCTGAGGTACCGTGCCAAACAGGCCCTGCAGTGAGCGAAAGGCCGTGAAAGTCGAATAGTTGTGAGACAGCGTGGCACCGAGCACCATAAACATGGTGAGAACCTGCGGCCAGATCCAGATGGGGAATCTAGATCGACATCGATTTGGTCAGCGGAGATGGGCTCTCAGGCGATCTTCATTCGGATCTTGTTGAGCCTCCGGAGACTATATATCCTCCATTCGACGTACCGGCCATAAGCCTCAATCAACGGCACCGCAAACATGCCACCAAATCCTTGTAGCAGAATGCCATAATTCATACTCGTGGCAGAGTGATTCACCGTGATACCCCAATCCAAGGCTTGTGGAGTGACCAAGGTCCCACCCCAAACCATTGCTCTAGAGTAGAAATACCGATTAGTTTCAATTCGGAGACAACGGATTCCAGGCTCTAAAATGTAAACCATGTCTACACTTCAGGCTCGGGCCATGCATACCCATCTGCCAGCAGGGAGCTGCCCATGAGGGACACGAATAACAGTGTCTTCCGCGTTGAGCTCCAGTTCCGTGGATTCTTCGGGTCTGTCGGGTCGGCATTCTTCAATTCGGGATCAGGAGTCTCTTGAGACCGGGTTGGGCTGGTTGCCTCGTCGATTTCACGCATCTGATCCTCGGCAGTGAGTTTCTCCATTGTGACCAAGTCTCCCTAGGCGGGATATGCTTGAGCGCGCAATGCTGCAAGGCGACGATGCGAAGAGATTTAAGAGAAGAACGAAACGGAATGAATGAAAATCAAACCCAAAATGCAAAACCCGATTATTATTATGATCCGATTGCGAGTTTATCTCAGCAAGGGGCAACAACGAAGATTTTATGTGATGGTTCGGTACTTGAACACATGGGCCAGGCCCCGATGGGTCTCGCGTGGCTTCTGTCGCGCAGACCAAGAGGCTTTCTGATAGAAATCCGAAAAGAACCAGTGACCCAGCTATCGGAAGAAAGGGGAAGAAAGAGAGGAAGTACGAAGTCAAAAAGGTTAAAAAGAGTTTACCAACAGGTCTCATTCCATCCACTCGGCGCTATCAGCGTGTCTGGGGATGATCCATCAAGCAGTAGCCACCAATTGGCGTGTTACCTACCCCTCTTTAGATTGGATATTTATTTTTGCTCTCACACCTCGCTTCAATTTCAAGACTCCGTCTCGGTGGTTAGCGTTTGGCTTTGAGACTTGTCCATGGCTCGGGGATTCCGAGTCGCAAGTCTAGACGCGGGATTCGTCCCTAGCTTAGTGCTATCTAGTGACTGGACGCTTGGATGAAGAGCGTTTCATTTTCAGTGGTCAAAGGTACGAAGAATTCCGTAGTCCATACAAACAGCTGTATACCCTGGCTCCATTTGGGGGCTAAATCCAAGTGCTCCCGCTTCCCACGTCTGCGCGGACATGTTGCGTACATCCCTGAAAGATCCCTGTCCAAATATTCTTGGCAACCGGTTTCGAGACTGTATGCCGGGCCTCTGGCCGAGAGGAATCAACAGGCTCTTCGCTTGAGGGCGTGGCGTTGCCAAATCCTTCGCGGAAGTGAATTTCGGCTGAGACAATGTCCATTGTGTGGCTATACTGAGGCTTCTCAGATTATCTCCACATAAGTACACAACCCCGGAGGATCAGCTCGAGTCCACTTCGGTCAATTTAGCGTGGACCGATTTGAGCAATGATCAAAGTAGCGCCGCCCAATGTCGGTGGGCCAGGATTTTGAAGGCTTGCGTGACCCGGCCCGCACCCATACCCCTTGCGCATCATGGCTGTATGATTCGTCGCATGGAAAATGCGGCACTACTGTAGTCTGCTTTTCATACGATTCATGCGTCGCGCGGGCCACAAAGAAGCCAAGTCGCGCTAAATACGGAATACGCTCAGGCGGACCCAATGGAGTTGGCGACGTGGGGACGGAGGGCTTGGTGGCATTCTAGTTTTCGGATCAGTACATGGCACATTTTAGATTTATGTGATTGATTTTTATCCTAGTACGTTCTAGAGTTCTCCTTCACCCACTCGTCGACTATCTTGTGTGTATCCGTAGGTACTATACTCGGTTCGACTAATTCCGCTGTGCATCGTACGGCGTATCCTACCACGCCCCTTAGGTGAAATTGCCTTTCTTGGCATAAAGGGCGCCCCGGAACGACTAACCCGTAGACACATCCGGTTATTTCCTTCGCCAAACCTATAGACTTGCTCGGGGCTAATTGTGATTGAGAATTTGTTGCTATACTCTCCTGGTTCAACTAAGTCGCCCACTAGAAACGCCTTCCAAGGCGGTATACACTCCCTGTTACTTCAAAAAGAAGCAAATTTCGAGCCCTCTCTAAGCTTTTCACTGTCAACAATAATTAATATCTAATCTACATAAGACACTGCGGCTAGAAATCAACCAGAAGGTCATTCGAGAACGATACGCTCTTGTTGGAAATTCGTTTCATCCTCGATTATCAAACATGTCATTACTCAATCGTCTTGCCAGCCTGACGCCCGCACTTCCTCCGGGTGTTGTGCTTGCCGGGACCATGACTCTGGTGAGTGGCTTCTCGTTAATCTAGTTCTTATTTCCCTCTAGTCCCTCAGGATACAAGGGGAGATTTGGGGAACTGATCCACTGAGATGAACATAGCCTGCCTCACTTGGATTTGTTCCGGTGGCCGTGCATTTCGATTTGTTTGGCGCGTTAGTTCGCCATGGAGGCCCTGGAACAGCCGAGCAAATCGCTCAGGCAGTCAACGAGGGCATCCGGGGCCGGGCCAAAGATGAACCTGAGATTTGTACGTGCACTGATTTGTTTTAAATGATCGGCAAATGATATTTCTAGAAGGAGCGTTGGATAATATTCTGAATTTTGTGCCACCACTAACGATGGAGCCCTCGTGTAGCTGTTCTTCTTGCCGGTATGCAGACCCTGGTCGAAGGTTGAATTCCATATGGTCCTACCCATGTGTTTGTCTCGTGGAATATCTCCGCATTGTTTTGTGTGTTTTTTTTACGGCTGGATTATTGATGATTGACCTTGGCATTTTTCGTTTCACAGCGGACACACTATACATCATGGCTGGGTTGGGCCTAGTCGAGCGTGTGAGAGAAGGCTGCTTCAATGCGAATGCCGTTACTCGCCACATGGTTGATATGCCATCCGCTCAACATGGCGCAGTGCATTTGTGAGTGATCCTGGTTTCTGAACTGGTTCTCTTTTTGATTTATTACAATGTGGGTTGTTTTTAACCCTGCCCCAGAAAGGGCAATTGGGGGATATTCAGACCGGCAGGTCTACCTCTGCGACTATATGGCGTTCTTTTTATCTCTTTCTTTCGTTTCTAGCCCGATTCTGACTAAGTCATGCTTACAGTACCACCGAAGGAATGATGGCGGGAGCTTTCCTGATGAAGAAACTCCAGGATACTAACTTTGCATATCCCTTTGCAGAGTGTGATGGCCCGTTCCAGTATGCCTATCGTCTGATGGGCCAGGAGGAACTATCGCACCAGCACACGTACTCCATCATGGGAGCTCAGGGGCGCATGGACAGCTTTAACCACTTCATGGTCGGGAAGTTTCTGAAATTCGGCACTTTTCCCGAGCGCATGGCTGCTGCAGGGTACGACCTCGGGGCCGCTCTTGGCAGCCTAGGCGACCCCAACGATGTTGCGATGGTGGATATTGGGGGTGGGCGTGGCGAGCTATTGCTCGAAGTCCAGGCGGCGTATCCCAATCTCCAGCCACGCAATCTGGTCGTGCAGGAGTTCAACACTGACATCGATGCAGTTCCGGGAGTTCGTCTGATGGAATGGAATTACAAGCTGGCCGCCGAACAGCCCATTCAAGGAGCCCGTATCTACTCACTCCAGCACATCTTGCACAATCTGCCGGACCTGGATGCGGTGGCGCTTCTCCAAAAGTTATCGCGGGCCATGGAGGCCTCGTCACGGCTTTTGATTATTGAATATGCCAAAAACTTGACTTATACTAACTTGCACTCGAGCATGATTGCTTTGTTTGGTGGCCGAGAGCGTAGTTCGGCCGAGTGGCGGCAGCTTGCGAGTGTCTGCGGTTTGAGGGTTAGCTTCGAAACCTATGAACAAGCTGGAGAGTCTCTGGTGGAGATGCGACGAGTGTGAACACATAGTGTTTAGCCAGTGGGTGATATCTATGCAATGCGATTGGCCGGAACCTCACGGGGAGTCCCGATATTCCTTTTTGACGGTGCTATCGCGACACAGAATAATAGATCAGACAGTGGAATTCCTGGAATTCCGAATAGACCAAACAAGGTTTCCCTTGGAGCGAATTGGCTTTTCCATCACCGATTGAGTTGAAGAAGTGGTTGACACTGCATGAACACCTGGCAAAGTGATCAGTCCAGTGTGAAAAGCAGATCACCGTAGTGATCGGTCACATTTGGGAATGTAAATCTCCTCTCCACATTGAACGCAAGGATCCACTAGCTGTAGCAGGATCAGCCAATGTGCTAATCGGACCTTCAAAAGGGCTACCCCTCGCATCGAGAAAAGTTAAAGTGGGCCCATACCCTTTCCAGGCAAAAACATTTGGTTCGAACTTGGGGGCGGGGAAAGAAGCGGGATGAATATCATAGACTATTACGGTGTTTGAATAAGATCATTATCCTCGAAAGTCATCAATTAGTCCCCATATACCGGACGTATCCACGCTATTTGTGGCCCTCCAATCGGCGATTCTCGAACCTTTTGATTCTTTCTCTTTTTAATTTCTTTTTTTTCTTCCTTTACTTTTCCTTTCGCCAAGCTACTGGGCGCAGCTATTGAATGCATGATGCGTTGTTGGGCTAATCTGGTCATCATCCCTGCGCAACTAGGCATGGTCATTGCATGGCTGTACTACCCCCAGCCCCGCTTGAGGGATGGGAATGTTGTGCTATTCCCGTCAAACCACATGGACCTTGCAGGGCGCACAATGGGAATGAGGGCCCGGTTCCAGAAAGCAGAGGATTCAGCACACTCCGCGACATTGTTTGGATGGAGCAATACTGTAAGTATCAGCAAAGCAAATCAACTAAGAAAAACGCCGAATCTTGGCAAGAGTCATCATCCTTGGGTTCCATTACTACTTTCTAAAATGGCGAGTTACCGAATCATTCAAGGAGGCTGGAGCAGGGATCTAAATTACAGCCCTTCTAGACCATTTAGCCGTACACTTGTTCATTGATAGGGGCAATTCAAAGGATCAGATTAATCTAAGACAATCAAACTCGAATTTTCCATGGAACCACCAAAGTAAGAGGGCCCCCATCCCCATCCTTTGACGCGTTCTAACCGAAACTTTGCGCATCCAGGTATGGATGGACTCAATCCAGTAATGGCGCCGGTGTGTCAATTCCTTAAATAATAATTACAATTATGATTAACGTGATTTTTTTTCTCCCCTCCCAAAAAGAAGGATCATTTGTTCTCGGTTTTTATCCCTTGTTAGCCCCCTTCTCGCCCTACACCGACATCGAGCAAGTCTAAGCCTAGTCAGTCCACCAACAGGCTAGAATTGCTAACAGGACCTGTAAACCTTGTGCGCATTCGTATAAGCCTATTATTCTGGTAACTTCTTTCCGAGGGGATATCATAGTTCATCGGGGGTCGGATCTTTTAGTCCTTGAGTTTAATTTCTGACTTATCCATGCGCTCTTTATGCCCATCGGCGTGCGAATCCATCGTCTACATCCTCCGCACCCAATACTGTGAAAGTATTTGAATTGTTGTTCCCCGCATATGCTGCGATCCTGAGGATCAAGATCGACGTCCCTCTGCTCTATCCTGTCTTCCACCCCCGTTTCCTGCTTCATTCTGGCCCTCGCGGCCCTTGCGTTCCTTGTCATTATGAGCAGTATACCTCGACCTTCGGAAGGAGACACGAACATCGGTACGCTGCGTGTTACCTTTATGCTTAAAAGATCGAGTTTATCTGACAGGCTCTTGTCTCTTGCGTTTCTAGGGACGAACACATTTATTGCTTGCTGGGTATGTGGCATACGAGCATTCTGTTAGAATATGTTTTCGGTAAGCTAGTAGATCTGACTCTCGCCGTCTCTATAGGTTCTCACCGGTATCGTGGGATTAACCCTACTATTTCGATATGGTGTCAAGTCTTGGGTTCGCTTTGCCTTGCCCCAGGTCACTGCTCCTGAACGTGTATGGGGTGTCGAGGACATCTTCTTCCTCATCGGATATTGCTTTGACCTCGCCCATATGAGTATGGTTCAATTGAGGTAAGTACTTGGCTTTTATTCTATTTCAGCTTCCGATCACTCACTGACTTTTTGACTCATGTCCATCTAGTTATGAATGGGGCCTGGGACGACACTTTTACTACTTAAGTACAACTGAGCGCTTCTATGCGATGAAGTGGGATTTCATTTCCCAGCCCATCGCCGTCGCTGCCGCTATGATTTCTCGCACGGGCATGATGTGGTTCCTATTGACTTGCTTCGCGGCCAGCGACAAGAAGATGCGTGCAGCGATCATCATCTGTGCTGTTGTCCAGGTGCTCGCAAACATGGTCACTATCGTGCAAATTATCGTACAGTGTGGACCAAACCCATACCACGCAGTAAGATTGATCATATCCACTGTTGCTCTGGAAGACCTGTTGACTAATCGGCTCTTGACAGTCGGATCGTGTGAAATATTTCAAGTATATGTGGACCCCGTTACCTGCAGACGGGTCAGTCAAATGCCAGTCGTCGAGTGTTCAAACCACTATCGGTTACGTCCAAGGAGGTATGTCGAATACCATACCTAAATACTTTTCATACAAAATACTGACGCGTATAGGCTTCAATACGGTCATTGACTTTGCGCTGGCTATCATGGCAGGCGTGGAACTATGGCAATTCTTCCTCCGAACGCTACACCGTGAACCTAATCTGAGCTTCTGGAAACAGTTCAAGAAGATTAACAGTACAATTCGATCGCGCCGGATATGGCAAACAATTACTCTTTGTGGACCGCTTGTTTTATCGGGCGCAGCCTCAATAGTGAAGACATATGCAAGTCCTTGATATATCCGAGTCCCTAGTCATGAGTTTGTGCTAATTTACCACTAATATATAGAAACTCAAGTCACTTGGGGACCGACAAGATTTCACTCACAATATTGTGGCATTTGTGCTCTGGGTGAAGTATGTCTGCCCTATCCACACATTTTTTTCGACGAATTATATATGCTAACTTAAAATAGGATTGAAAATTATAGTATTCTTCTGGCATCTTGTGCCCCCGTTGCCCGGCTATTCCTGCGTACTGTGGTTGACTCTAAACAAAGTGGTCACCGTGGTTACTGGTCTAGCTCGAGGTCTGGAGGCCATTATGCTACCCATGACACAGAGCTGAAGAACCGAAGTCGAACTGGATGGATGGACTCAGCAACTGCAACAAACTGGAACGATGAGACTCACGGCACTGTTTGGGATGCGGCACCTGAGCAATCATTGAGCCGTATCTCGAAGGGTCAACACGAAAGTTTAGACGAAAATGGTGTCACAGTGAAAACGGATATCATTGTCCAAGTGGATGACAACCGATCGACTTCCTCGGGAGATGCCCGGCTGCTTCCTGGGGGAGGGGAGCCTCCACAGGGGCCTGATACTTACAAATACCATGCCCGGTGAGGGCGACGACGATGAGGTGACTGTTCATGGATAATTAGCATTGTTTATAGATCAGGATTAGTCCACCTCCATGTATATAATATGGTCACCTTGTGGATAGTTCTAACTACAGGATTGTGCTTTTTGATATAGCGAATGTTGGTCGTGGTCTTAGAATGGCCTGGCTCTGAAATTTCACAAGCCGTGAGCAAGTCTAAGGCTTGATGAGACCAAAATAATAAAGAGTATCTTTGATGGCAATGCATTATCTGGTGAATTCATTCGGCTCGATTTAGATCCAGAATACAAGATTTTGAAAGAAAAGTGTGAGATCTACCTTGCTGGTATCGTGAGCCCAATCTGTACAACTTATTCACTTCTTTGAGGCTCACCTATATATGTATGCAATTCTTGTTTACTACCCCACTAATAACATATCGTACATCTATTTATCGGTCTACTTTCGAACATCGAGTTCTGGAAATATAGAGACAATCTCTGTCCTAGGGCAGAGAGCGACCAAAGATTATCTATTAACCTACGTAGAACCTGGATTCGAAGGGGAAATTTTCGAGAGAAATACATTCTCGGAATCGAGACGTGAAGTCTCACTGGTGATAGCATTAACACACGAGAGCGGATAAAAATTGAACCGCCAAGAATGAGGGAACCATTACGGGAGTCAGAACGCGAGTGCAATAGTATTGAATTCAGATACTATTATAGAAATAATTGCTAGTTGAAAGAAGAATAATAATAATTGATCTTCATGTTGGAAGATTTTGAGCAAAAGAACCTTCATGACGCCCGCTTATGCTAAAGAAAGAGGAATATTTCCCCGGAATGTTGTAATGTTGTTATTGCCCATCAGGCATATCCCATGCCTTTTCTCCACCAATTCCATACCCCCCGTTCAGCCATGCAGCTTCCAAACTGCTTCACACTCTCCACCTCCGATAGTCCCATATTCTGCGTCTTATGGGTTCGCACGTTTCCTGTCGTTGGACTCGAATTCTGTGGGCCAGCATCTTCACACGCTAACTGACCCGGCCGCGTCACTAGCTGGAAGTCTTTGTAGCGCAGTTTGCGCACAATATCTACCCATGACTCGACATGCTCCTTATCTCGGCCCTCGACGTACATGATACCTGGGCAGCCCCCGGAGCGTAGGAGCACATAGCATTGGTGTGTGTCGGCGGCACGTTTCAAGGCTGCGACCTTTTTGCGGGAGGTGATGTGGTGGGTACGAATCAGGGCATTGTAGAGCATCGTCAGGGGGCAGGAGGTCATTGCTAAGTCCACAACATCAAAAGCGTTTGGGAAGAAAAGACCCTCTAGGCAGAAAGCTCGTGCCGATCAACACAAAAAAGTAACGAAACGCTATCAACCTCAACCTGAAATTTCATGAGATCGCCGATGAGCTGACTAATCCTCCGGAGACGCGACCGCGAAGAGCGTGTTGAACCTTCTTTCTCTGAATTATAGTGATAGAGCCCATTAATAACATGGACTATCAACTGGTCTCTTGTTGGCAATATAATTTGTTCCTGAGAGAAGATAAAACAGAATGAAGCCACGAAATTATGACTTCTCGTATTATTCCTATAGATCGATAGTGCTTATCTAGCATTCCTACTGGAGGGACTTCATAACTCCGTTCTTTACTTTCACGACATGGATGCACTAATAGACTGAATGGGACCGCTGTTTGATCTTTTCTGTTCTTCTTCAATGACCCCATGGATTACATATTAGCGTGATCCGATTGAAGAGGCAAGAAGTGGTAAGTTTGTTTGATGCCTGTCTGCCTCAGGCTACCCTGCAGGTGTCATTTTGACTCGATCTTACCCTCAAAGAAGATTTCTCCGAAGCCACTATACTCCACCACATGGAGACTGCAGAAACAGCCCGAAGAAGGAATTATGGCGGATTCTAGGCGGATATCATAGCTCGATCGACAGCACCACAGAGTACGACCAATTTTTTCTCATCTACTCAGTTTGTGCGGACCATTGTGGCAAATGAAGACAACCTCCCGGACCAAACTCGTCGACAAGGCTCGTTCACGATCTGATACAGTCCATGCTACCTATGACAGCAATGCGATTAAAAACAGCTGTTGACGAGCTAGCCGCCGCCATGATCATGGCTTGCCACCGCCAGATGGACGGAGTAGCCTGTCAGCCTGTCAGAACTCGCTGTTGCAGGGCTCGGATCCGCTTTGCCGGCTTAGTTGTGCCGAATCTTGGCTCACCAGTGGTTGACCTGATGGGTCTCTCGCCTTGGCTTCCCGATTTCGCTAATCTTACGCCGCGGCGCCCGCGGGGTGCGCCGGCCTTTTTCTCTTGTTCCACTGTAGTCCCGCTTGTGGTGGATGGTTTTTGGACCCGGAACTCCAGCGAACTGCCAGACTTGGTGAAAGTATCGCAATGACCTGGTTATTCCGAGGTCGAAACTCGTGGCCGATTTTTACCCGAGTTGCTTATTGGCCACAATGGGATCAGAGTAATCCGATATCCACCCGTTTGGGTGCCCCAGAGTTATCTGGCCCACTTGACCTTCTTTTTTTCCGGTAGCCTGATTTGCTTTCTTTCTACCACCGTATTGGTTAATTTAGTACCGAAGGGTCTTCTGTACGCCTTGGCTTCCCTTCTAAGAACTAAACTGGCTGATGCCGTGGGTCTTGTATAAAAAGAAGGCTATCCGGAAAATCGCTACTTTTGCCCTCTCCTTTAAGGTGATAAATTCGAAAGATGCAGAGTCTTGTGTATCTCAATACATCATAGTCTCGACGTTTGATCAGGGTGCACGATGCCCGCTCCTCTTCACTCCCATTCTCATGGTTCCTCCTTTGCCCCCAGCCAGGATGCACCGCAGCCCAACGAGCATGGCCCGCGGGTACATGTCTCTCATGAAGATGAAGATGCCATCGCGGATATTCATCGGACTCTGACGGAGAAGAGCCAGCCGCGCGTGGTTCAGGAGTACTCCGAGCCGCACTCCTCGTTTGATAAGTTCTTGGAGGAGCAGGCTCAGGGAGGCAAGAAACGCTCCAATCTCGGAGTATGCTTTCAGTCAGTCTCAACTTGGGGCGAAGGTGATGGCCATGCCGATGTAAAGACGCTTGGGACGGCTTTGTGGCGTACGCTTACCTTCCGAGACATCTACGAATGGACTTTGCAGCCATGGCTGTCGGCTAAGAAGCCTCAAAATGGCCGTCCGCTTATTCAAGACTTCTCGGGTGTTGTTCAAAGTGGAGAAATGATGCTGTGAGTAAAGCAAGCAATGATTTTTCAGTTTATGTTTTGAATCTACTGTTTTTGAAACCCAAGGTCTAATTATTCTGCGTAGGGTCCTGGGCCGACCAGGAGCTGGCTGTTCAACTTTTCTTCGAACCATTGCTGGGCAACATTCGTCCTTTCTTGGGGTGACCGGTTCAATCGACTATTCTGGATTAAGTCCCGAGGAAGTCCGCAAACACTATCGCAGCGCTGTCGCATACGTGCCAGAAGATGATGTGCATTTCCCGACCTTAAATGTACGCCAGACTCTGGAATTTGCCCTGCAGAGCAAGACTCCCAAGCGTTATCAGGATCGGATTCCGAAATATCTTGAGGTTTACGGCAGAGTTTTTGGCATGACTCACACGATGGATACACTCGTGGGCAATGAGTACATCAGAGGTGTTTCTGGAGGTGAAAGGAAACGAATTTCGATTATAGAATCACTAGCAACAGACTCATCGGTAACGTGCTGGGATAATTCGACTCGTGGTCTCGATGCATCTTCGGCGCTGGACTATGCACGCAGCTTACGCATAATGACTGACAATTGTGGAAAAGCAACCCTGCTCACGCTCTATCAAGCCTCAGATGCCATTTACGAGCTGGTAGATAAAGTGCTGCTCATCGACGAGGGCCGAATGCTTTTCCAGGGACCAGCTCATAAGGCAAAGAGCTACTTTGAAGATCTTGGCTATGAGTGCGCTGAGATGCAGACTACGTCCGATTTTTTAACCAGCATCACCGTTCCCGAACGACGACAATTTCGCGCAGGTTGGGAAGACCGTGCTCCTAAAGGTCCAGTGGAACTGGAAATTTCATTTAAACAGAGTGCGGCGTTCAAGAATATCCAACAATCTATCGACCAGTACGAGGATCAGCGATTTGGTGGCAAATTTAATGGAGCCTGCTCAACTGACTCCGAGGCCGGGAGCGTGGAGGAGTTTAAGCGCACTATGCAGAGTGACAAGTCTCGATTTGTGTCGTCAACATCTTCATATACCATCTCACTCTTCCGCCAGATTGCCCTATGTGCTCAGCGTCAATTATGGCAATTGAAAGGACATATGAGTCCGCTTTATATCAAGTTGATTTCGGCTGTGGTATACGGACTGCTCGTTGGGTCGATGTTTTACAATCAACCGCAGACTACCGAGGGAATGTACTCTCGTGGTGGCGTGCTCTTCTATTCTTCCATTCTCCTGGCTTGGTTACAGATGTCCGAACTGGAAGATGCAATGCAAGGTCGCGATATCCTCAGTCGTCAAAAGAAGTTTGCTTTTGTGCGGCCAAGTGCAGTCTGCCTGGCCCGAGTGATGCAGGACATGGCGATTACGGCTCTTCTGACTCTATTATATCTGATCGTTCTATACTTTCTGTCAGGATTGCGCTCTGAGGTTAGTGCTCTTATTACTTATCCTTTCCTAAAATCATTATTAAATTCTCAACAGGCAGGTCCCTTCTTCATCGATTTTCTCTTTATCTACACCTGCACTATTTGCCTTACTTCACAGTTTCGTGTATTTGCCGCCATGTCGAGAAATTTCGAGGTTGCACTGCGTTACTGTGGTGTCTCAGTGCTATTTTGCATTGTATTTGGTGGCTATGTTCTATCCGTCGATAAAATGATTCAAGATGTACCCTGGGTTGGATGGTTGGCTGTAAGTTTTTTTTTACTATTCCTCAACAGTGCTGAGCTAATTTCTCGGCTCCAGTATACTACCCCAGCCCTTTACACTTATGAGGCTGTAATGGCAGCTGAATTTCACAATATGAATTTCACGTGTGCCGCCTCTTCAATTGTCCCATCTGGATCTAACTATACCAATGTTGCATACCAAACCTGTGCGTATGCGGGGAGTAAGATTGGTAGTACGGTTGTGAATGGTGATGATTACCTGGAAACGCAATTCGGATTTTACTACAGTCATGTGTGGCGCAACTTCGGAATCCTTTGCCTCTTCACCGTGGTGTTCATTGGCCTTACGTGCTGGCTAAGTGAAGTGAAGGAATGGGAACTTGACGGTGCAGGCCCGATCCAGTACAAACCTGCTCAGCGCTGGTTCAGCCTGAAGAAGAAGAAGGCCGCTTTCTTGGACGAAGAGAAAGCCTCTGTTTCGACTAATTTCCCGGTACCGCCGGCTGGACCTGCTATGGAGAAGCCCCAATACAGCCTTGCCGGCACAGAGTCCACTTTCACTTGGTCCGATCTTGAGCTCAATGTGCAAGTTGGCAAAGAAACCCGGAAATTATTAGATGGAGTATGTGGATACTGCAAGCCTGGTTCATTGACAGCGCTTGTGGGAGCTTCAGGTGCAGGGAAATCGACTTGTAAGTCCTGAAAGACCATCTGTTTGTCAATAATCAAGCCAACTAACTTGTATGTTTCATGAAGTGTTGACGGCACTTACTCAAAGACAGAGTGCTGGTGTCCTATCGGGCTCCTTGTATGTTGATGACCATGCTGTTGACAGTTCATTCAATCGGCAAATCGGATACTGCCAGCAGATGGACATTCACGATGAAAGCAGTACTATTCGCGAAGCTTTCGAATTTTCTGCATTACTTCGTCAGAGCAACGACATACCTAAAGATGAGAAATTGAGCTATGTGGAAACCGTTCTTCATACCTTGGATCTGGTGGAGCTGCAGAATGCAGTGATTGGATCATTGGACATTGAAAAGAAGAAACGTGTGACTATCGGTGTGGAGCTCTGCGCGAGACCCAGAATGCTTCTGTTTCTGGATGAACCTACAAGTGGACTCGATAGTCAGGGAGCAACCAGCATCGTGGCGTTGCTTCGTCGGTTAGCTGATCAGGGATTGGCAGTGCTCTGCACCATTCACCAAGCTAATCAACAACAGTTTGAGGAGGTAAGTTGTAGCTTGTCCTCTCTGTTATGTGTTTGCTGTGAATGACAACTAAAACCTATCTCTAGTTCGACCGTGTTCTTGCTCTTAGCCCCGGCGGTAGCACTTATTATTTCGGCCCTGTCGGTGAATCAGGCCGAAATATCTTTGATTACTTTGAGAAAAATGGCCACCATCCCGAAAATGTCACCAACGCGGCCGACTTTCTGATCGAAGTAGTTGTTGAGGGCATGAAATCCTCGGGAAGCCATGTCAACTGGCCTGCCATATGGCGCAATTCCCCAGAAGCCGAGAATGTTAAGAGAGAAATTTCTACAATTCGCTCACAACGGAAAAGCAATCAGGTCATGGGACCATCCGGATTGCCTTCTTTGTACGAACAAATCATTCTCCTCACACAGCGGACATCTCGCCAATTCTGGAGAACGGCTGAATATCCCTACTCACGTCTCTATGCATCATTTCTACATGCTCTTATCAACGGCCTCACTTACCTTCAGATTGGAAATAGTGCGACGGATCTTCAGTCTAAGGCTTTTTCCTGCTTCTTGGTCCTTATGCTGGTTCCGGAATTCATCAACGCCATTTCTATGCGATTCATTTTAAACCGTGACATTTGGCTGGCGAGAGAAGGCCCGAGCGGCGTATATAACTGGGCCGCATTCAGCACGGCCCAGATAATCTCAGAGATCCCATATGCTATCGCGGGTGGAGTGATTTTCTATGTTTTATACTACTTCATGGTTGGGTTGCCTCTCGGATTTGCGGCGGGATATAGTTTCCTGATGTTCTTCCTTTTTTTTCTTTTTGCAACATCTTGGGGTCAATGGATTGCTGCTCTAAGGTAAGTATCAGCAAATCAAAAAGTACAAAAAAAAAATTAACCACCTCAATAGTTCCGACTCAATGGTTGCTGCAACTCTAATGCCATTCTTTATCATCATGTGCGAGCTGTTCAATGGCATTCTTCGTCATCACGATCAGATGCCTGTTTTCTGGAAATACACCATGTACTACGCGACACCGTTCACATACTGGATCGGTGGTGTCTTGGTGGCTGTTCTTGACGGCACTTCAGTGGTCTGCAAAGAGCACGAACTCATTATGTTTGAGAGCCCCTCTAACCTTACTTGTGCTGAGTATGCTGGTCCGTGGCTTTCTAACAAGGGTGTCGGATATCTTTCCAATCCGGAAAATATGGGAATATGTGGATATTGCGAGTACAGTCGCGGCGATGACTACTTGTCTAGCATCGGTCTTGACAGCTCTAACATCTGGCCTTATTTTGGCATTTTTCTTGCCTTCACCATTGCCAACTATATGATGGTGTACTTGCTTGTTTATTTCCGTTCTGTCATGAAGCCTTTCTGGCGCTCAAAATGATTGGGTTTTTATTTTGCTTTGTTGCATATTGTCTTTCGCCTGCACATATCATTGCCCATTGGATCTCATGCATATTAGCCAGGATTGAGCGTGCATATTTGATTTGCTTTTCTTTTAAAATTAGCCTACAACTCCACTGCATTTACAAAATGAAGACGTATTCTGACGGATATTCTTGAGCGAGCACTCTTGAAGTCGCAATCATACCATGTTAGATACCAGCAAAGGTTACTCAATAATCAATCATTCATTCAAGGGAATATTCAAACATGGAGCGTAATCTTTTGAGTTACCCAAGCTCGGCTCGCCAATTTCCAGGACCACACCGGTAAACATCCATTCTGTTTAATACGCATAGCGGAAAGAAGGATTCTCTTGATCTGTGAGTCCTGCCCATTTAGTCTCGTCGACCATCGCCTCGTCTACTGTACCCCGCGCTTGATCGCGGCGGCGATTCTGCCATAGATAGTAGAAGAAGAGGACTACTGATATGACCGCTGCAGCAGCTTGGGTTGCGAGGACGGCAATCTTGGCGGGTTGATACTCTGGCGCATCTCTTGCTTGGAAAGTTTGAGGGCCGATGATGTTGCCGACTGAAAAGGAGCCCGCGACCAGGGCACTGGCAAACGCGCGCTTGGTGTGGCCGGCGCAATTAGTCATAGTCCACTGGTAAAGGATTGGAAGAGTTGCTACGATTGCATTGACCAGGTATATGCCAATCAGCACGCCCGCAGTGTTGCTTTTGGGAAGAAAAGACAGAAGACCGCCGCCAATGATGCCTGGGATAGTGCAGAGGACGTTCCATGCCCAGCGGTGCGAGGTCTTGCGAATCCCATATCCAACGAGCAGAGTGAAGAAGATACTGACGATACCGGAAGGCGTGTTCAATAATGCTGAGACCGGGCCTGAGAAGCCGAATCCTGAGATCAAAGTTGATGAATAGGTGGTCACCACGCCGCTTGAAACAGAAATCTTGAAAATGACGGAGGTAAGTATGCGATCAAACCATGCCTGGAAATAGAAGAATAGAAGTCTGCATACCAAAATTGTCGTCAGAGTCAAGAGCCAAAGCTGGATATCCAAAATCGCCTCTCCGACCTGCTTCAAATTCACCGTATTGCTCCACACACCGGTTTGATTCCCGCTTACATGTTGTAAGAGTGCGACCTTTTCAGCCTCGCTCAGCCACTTGGCCTTGATCGGCGTATCGGGAATGAAGAAGAACGTCAACGTGCCCACCAGCGCAGTGACAAGTCCAAGCACGAGAAACATGATACGCCATCCGTCCATGGCTGCATGGTGGACATGCTGAAAGGCAAAAGAAATGATGCCTCCGAGTATTTGTGCGACGCCGAGCCCCATATACCAGAATGTAAACCGGGGAGCTTGTTCGCTTCGGGTATAATACTGGCTGCTAAGCAACATTAATGATGGACCAACGGTGGCCTCAAAGATGCCAAGAAAAATACGCGCAGCAAGTAGACTGCGATAACCCTGCGCGCCCGCAGAAGCTGCCGCAGCGATGCCCCAAAGGAAGACATTAATGCCGAGCCATTTAGCTGCAGGGACTTTCTGAAGGCAGAACACTATGCACACAAGTCAGTACTAGAAGTCAACATACAGTGGGAGGCTGAGCAAGGGGTGGACGCAAGTGAGATCCTGAGAGGAGATAGACGGACCATTGGGGACCTCCGCAATCAAGTACGCAATAAAGAACCAGGTTGCAGTGTTGCTGAACTCATTACCGACCAAATTAAGGTCTGTCTTGAGGCCCATTACCGCCGCGTACTAATTCAAACTCCGAGATCACGTTAATGCGAACTGTTGTCTACTAAACGGTCACCACTTGTGTATAAATAAATCACTCACATTTAGCATGACTTTATCCAGGAACTGCAGCACGTAGCAGCAGAACATGTACGGCATCAGTCGTCGATCAATTTTATGGCGTAAGGCCACCAAATCGACGTCGGGGCACATATCTCCATGGCCTTCAAGATAGACCGCGGCCTCATCGTGTCGATCGACCACAGCATGGGGCTCGGCCTCGGGCTGTTTTTCCCCCATTTTGCGACTGGCGACCGCGTCGACAGAATTCTGAGGCGGTTGAAGGAGATTAATGAGTGGACGCTGTGCAAGAAATAAATAGGTTAAGATGTCAAAGTTCAAAAAGAACAAACGTGGACGAAAGGAGTTGGGAATGAGGGGCGGCCGTCGATCTATGGAACTCGTCAAATAGGAGTAACATAATGAATACTGAACAGGAAAAGGAAACAGAAATTCCCGGGCCCACACAGATAAAGGCTGCAGTGGATGGTTAGAAGAGGGGTGACTATAATTACAAGGATTATAAATATTTTGAACGAGAAAAGGCCTCTCGGCAAGCGGAACAGTGGAGAGTGAGTGCGACGAAGGCTGCAGCAAAGGTTACCAGGGGAAAAGCCAAAAAATTATCGATCCAACCCCCAGTCCCCAACCCTATCGACGTGCGTCCATAGGTTCCTAGGTACGATTCTGGGGCCAAATGGCATTGGTCGAGGACTGGTTACCTCGCTAGATGCGTTCATTTGCTGCTTCGCGGCTTCGTTTCACGGTGGAGAGTCCGCGGGAGGTTGAATGGTTGGCCTGGGCGCATGCATTAAGTTTCCCTTTCGTTGTTTTAGTAATTCCTAAAGTCTCTCCTCGCCGTAATTTCGTCAGTGCTTGGTCAACGGACGCGTTATTGAGTTCCTTAGTGGCTTTGAAGGTTCCAACAGAGTCTGAGCTTTGGTCGGGTCAAGTACCACCCAAGACCATGGATTTATGAAAGGTTTTTTGATGCCTACAGTGTGGAATTATCGGGGAGATTATTCTTTCAAGATCCATCCGTAGACTCGGGGATTTTTGAGTTGGCAATGAGATGAATCTCCGCTACATACCAGCAAGGGGGCTTCCAAATTAAAAAAAGGTTTCTTAGTCTTCAGAAGTTCAAAAATTAAAGCGAAATCCCGGTAGATCCTTGCAATTGGTTCAACAAGAGACCATCGGATCTGGACATCCTGTTCCTTGCCCGAATTTTGTATCTCATGTCTTTCTTTTTCTTCCGTTTTCTTCTCTCGTTTATGGTTTATCCACGTGGAATTTAAATATCAAATGCTGTTAATTCCTTCTGTCCTCGTCGTCCGCTGTCCCACGTCATTCCCACGATCATGGGCTGGGTATACAATGCCACGTCCGAAGTTGAATTGGTGTCCGACTACCGACTCATCTTGGGTGTTTGTTTGAGTCTGACTGCTTTGATGGTGGTTACGGTGGGATTACGGTTGTTTGTGCGGGCGCAGGCCAGTCGCTTGGGACCGGCGGACTATGTAATGATTGTGAGCATGGTAAGTGAGGATCTCGACTATAGATCGTTGAATAGTTGCTGATAAATGGTTGTTGACTTCTTCATCAGACTTTTAGTATAATTTACAGCGCGCTCTGCATCTCTCGTGAATACCGGCTCCTCTTACCTGCTGGTAAACATATCTAATTCGAGTCGCAGAAAGTCGATACGGTCTAGGACTGCCTTTGAAACTGCGCCCTAAGGCTGACCTTGCAACATATACTAAAGTGAGTAAAAAGAAGCATTTTCTATTATTCTCTTCTCTTTGTACTATTCAGCATTGAACTGACAACCATTGTACATGGTAGCTTAATTACGCTGGTCGCCCGTTTTATCAGCTCGGTATTGCAGGCTTTAAAGTTTCTCTCTGCCTCAGTTATTTGCGCCTCCTGTCCGGAACGTCAAAGACATTCTATCGCGTTCTAATTTGGATCGTTATTGCATTGTCGACGGCAGGACATATCGCCGGGACGCTGGTTCTGATTTTTGATTGTACCCCGGTAGGCTGGGTCTCTGTTGAACTTCATCTCCGCATGGTAATGAAGGTGCTAATTATTAATTTTGAGAATAAATAGGTCCAAAAAGCCTGGAAAAGCGATGTTTCTGGCAGCTGTTTACCGGTGGGCGCGACCTTTTACGGGCTGGCTATCTTCACCATCATTTGTGACGTGGTGATTATCTTCCTCCCGATTCCGCTCCTGCTGAACCTAAACATCAAACCGGCCCAGAAGGCTGGTGTCGTGTGCCTCTTCATGTTGGGATTGTTCACCACGATCTGTTCGGTTCTCCGATTGACTCAGATCCACCGGGTCGCCTTTGGTGATGGAAACTCGACTATGCTGGTTCTGTGGGGAACTATTGAATTCAATGTCGGAGTAGGTAATCCCACGCGACGTATCACAGGCCCCCGAGGGGAAAAAGAAAGCCAAAAAATTCTACAGGCGAAGAAGAAAGTTTGATGTGAGAGAGAAAAAGCCGGATCTAACCTGACTTTCAAACCTAGAACATCACAACTTGCGTGCCCTATCTTGCTCCTCTCCTTAAGGGCTACGTTCGCGATTTTCGATCGTCCAGTGGAAGGAAGTATGGCTACGGCTACGATAGCCACGGTAGGGCTTATGCAATGGAGACCTGGTCGAAGGATGGGCGATCCCATCTCCAGTCGAATGCATCGGGCCCCCAACCTCCGAAGCCGAAACGCACGCCTAGTGAGGAGTTGATTCTGGCGAGTAGTGAGCCTTCGCATGGAGGAATCGAGATGACAGTGGAGTACCGGGTGTCGCTCGAAACCGGGTCAACTCGAACTGGGTAACTTGAGTGATTTCGTTTCTCTCTTTTATGGTTTGGAACCCTTGGAAGTGTGGGCATGATGAGATTATCATTCTCTCTCTCGGCACCAAGAATCGATCTATACTGTCTGTTCTGATTTGTTCCTATTTTTCACGGGTCACTTTCCACTTTCCTTCTACCAGGATTATTTCCTTGTTCCTTGTATTTTCTCAAAATCTCGATGAAACAAAATGAATATGCACAGGTAGAAATGAAATCCACGTATACTGGCTCACCCAGCATCTCTGTTTGTAGTTAGGCTGGACAGGGTCGTTCGTGTGAGTCTGGGATACTCGAGTGGAAATGGACAGGAGCGGGCCGGGACCGAAGTTCTCTGCATACACTTCGCGCTAAACCGGGGGACATGGCGCCACCATAAACTTTCGTTCGGGTGTGGCCTCCGGGTGGAAGGCGTGGTCCGCTTTAGTGCTTGATGCCCTTGGTTTCCGGTGAATGTTCCCCTGTCCGGTGGGGACCGGGCGATCCGCTAGGGAGCCATCTCATTCCCGCAAGCCGATCCTGAACGGATTTGGGGCCAACATTTGCCCGCCGATCTTATGTGCTTTCGGACCTTGCTGCACATTGAGTTCACGGCGGAGTCCGAAGAGAAATGAAAAAAGAGAGAGATAGAGGAGCCCAGAGGAGAGATGAGAGATTCTCGAAATGTGATCCGATTTGCCTCGAAATGGTTCAAACTAGTGGCATTGCACCGTGCGCGTCTCGCATCGAGGTAAAGGAAATCCGCCATGGGATATAGTATTAGATGTGGTAGTCCGTACGCTACGTCCAGATGCGTGGCGTTGGCGACCGATCCTCTGATACATGTTATAGAAGACTTAATATAAGAGGAGAATAATAAGGGTGCCAAAAATATCCATACCCCTTACATCCACACCCTTTGCCAGAAAAGGAAATAGCAGCTTCCAATCGAAAGCATAGTCAAATTGGTTTCCAAACTGAAGCCGCATACAAATGCCTGATTGGGGGAGCGCAAGCGCCAATTGTCGCGGCGTGAATCCGTTAACGTGGAGGCTATGGCTCCTCTGGAGCTCTGTCCTGTGTACGGAGGACTCCGTACCGGTCATTGATCCCCACGGTGTGCCCTTTCACGCATGGTCGGTCAATCCGGATGCCCGATCATTCACCGTCGGACAAGTATTGACCCCCTTCTGCGCTATATGAATCGTGGTAACAAAGCGCATCATCCATGGTATGATTTGGGTCACTTCTAGTACCTCAAGTTCCTAAGAAACTACCGCTAGTTTAGTCCTGCTTGATCTTTCTTGAGGACAATGCATCATGCTGATTTCCGATTACTCATCGCCAATCCCTCAGTTCGGATTCGAGGGGCCCAAGAGAGCCTCATGAAGGCCCAGAAGGCACACATCGCGGGCTATCTTCACCCACTTCCACCACTCGTAAGCACTGTCTTCGTCGATCTCCCACACTGCCTCTCACTCTCCTTATTTATTTCCCCCCCCCCCCCCTCTTTCACGCCGACCCCTGTGGCACGCTTCGCTTGATCTTCCATGTCAGACCCTCCGGTTCTGGTCGTCGGTGCTGGCATCAGCGGCCTCGTCCTGGCCCAATACCTCCAGAGGCATCGCGTGCGCTTCGAAATTTTTGACCGAGACTCTGCCCTGGACGCTCGCTCTGGGGGCTGGGGTTTGACGTTGCATTGGGCACTCCCGGCTCTACGTGAGCTGCTTCCGGACCATCTAGTGCAGCGCTTCCCCGAGACCTTTGTCAACAAAGAAGCCTCCGCTCGCGGTGATGTAGGCAGCTTTCAGTTCTTCAATCTCCAGTCAGGCGAGGCATTATACAGTGTCCCTGCTGAAGAGCGTATTCGAGTTAATCGCGGACGGTTGCGTGAACTTCTCACAACTGATATAAAGGTCCATGTGGGTTCTCCTGCCTGTAGGGCCTCGGGACCTTCCCAATGGGTGTGGATCCTAGGTGACGCTAATGCCACTCACACAGTGGAACAAAACATTCCGGAGCCTAGAATCCTCCTCAGAGAGCATCACGGCACATTTCGAGGACGGTACTTCATATTCTGGTCGCCTGCTAGTTGCCTGTGACGGAGCTCGGTCACCTGCCCGTCAGATACTATATCCTCATGGTGCCCAGATGAATCCACTGCCCGTACAACTACTCGGCGCATCGGCTTTCTACACGGAAGAGGAGCTACGCGGAGCACAGTTAATTGACCCGTATATCTTCCAAGGGTCGCATCCCGACACCGACGTGTTTCTATTCTTCAGTTGTACGTTTCTGGATGGATGTTTTGAGCGTCTCCATCCTCTCACAGGTCATTCTTTCTAACGACATTCTAGTTCTGGATACCCCCAACAACTTTGATGAGAGCAGCAAAGACCGCTACCATGTTCAGATCATTGTATCTTGGGCTGACGAGAAGGGAATCGCTATTCCAACGGAAAATGCCGAACGCATTGTTTTGATGAAGAAACTGACAGATAATTGGGCGGAACCCTTTCGCACCTTGCTACAGAACCTTTCAGACGAGACCGAAGCTCGCTCAATCCGCATTGAAGACTGGATCTTTACGCCCGGCCAATCTCATGCCCACCCCCGGGCAGTCCTCATGGGTGATTCGGCACACACGATGACAATGTGTAAGGCAGCTAACACCTACTAATGGATGACTGGAGCTAATGGATCTCAAACCCAGTTCGTGGCGAAGGGGCTAATAATGCCATTGTTGATGTTCAAGATCTCGTGAAACACGTAGATATGACAAATTCGCAGTATGTTAACCGTTGCACAAGAACCAAGAAAGATATGAATGCCGCTCATCCTCTTATCCAGGTCCTTCAGCTCCGAGACTCTGTCAGTCTCATTGGCAGCTTATGAAAAAGAAATGTTCTCCCGAGTCGAACCTAGTTTTCTCAATTCGCGACAGGCCTGCCTAGATGCACACGATTTTTCCAAAATTGTAGCAGACAGTCCTCTAGTCGCTGCGCGAGTGCTTAAGAAGGGTCTCTAAACCAAACACGGCTCTCTTTTATTTTCCTATCTACTCTAACGAGAATCCACAGCATTCCAACTCAGGATCAGGTCATCGAGCTCATGGTGGGAGCTTTCTAGATGGCCTTGTAATTATGATCACATTGGTTGATTGGATAGACCCTTGAAAATTTTCACAACTGCTGTCTTGAAAATCAATAGAAAAACCCTCATCCATGCTGCCAAGAAGGAAGAAGCTCTTCTCAACAGTCCTTTACAGTTGGTTGCTCAGAAACTTTTGTTACAAACTCATTATCCTCGCCGTCACTGAAAAGGCAGATCCCAAGCGCATTCTATCACTGTAGTTTCCCCAGCGTCATTTTCTCACTTCACCTAGAGGTATCCACAGGATATGGTCAAAAGATCGGAATAAATTATGTGAATAAATTTTGAATAATTCTTCCTGTGTAGCGTATATTACATATCTCAACAAGCCAGCAAATAATATATGTTTTGATAGTATCTAATCCCGAGACAGTGACATTATCAACCTGAATTATGGTTTGAAATGCACCTGCTTGGGGCTCACTATACAACATGATGATGCTGTCACAGCATTCATTAGTCGATCGAATTGGATAAATGTGCGGAGAAAAGCAAGCGTGTTCAGGAGAAACTCAATCAAGGGACGGTAGTGATTACGAGTCTCGAGAATATAAAAGGATATAAGAATTGGTAGAACCGCACTTTCCTGATAATATCGACCCAATCGATGGCACTATATCAATTCTACCTTATGACATAATGCTTAAATTACAAGGTTCCAGTATTGCAACAACTGTCCAAGATTGCTTGTCTCCCATCCAATATGTGCTATTCTGAGCTGCAGGTATACCTCTTTGATTTCAATCTAGAAATTTAGCCTTTCATGTCGTCGTAAGATATTACCAGTGACCACAAAAGGATAAGAGTTCTGTATTAGGTGCTCTCTATTAATATCTGAGAATTCCAGTATATTGGCCTGTTCGGCCGAAATGAACAGGTCGACTCCCGGGCAATTATTGAACAGATTAGATAGTAACTCTCCACAAGTCTGACGTTGCCTCTGAACTGATAAGATATCTCATTCAATGAAGATAAAGAGTGAGGGGTAATGTTGGTTTGTCCTGGTCGGTGAGCGAGGAGGCATCATATAGTATAACTTATTCATCCTTGATCCCTTTGCATAGCGCAAGTCTCCACCGCTTTAGGCCACTTTCACATTGCACTAATAAGATATTCTACTTTCTCATAGTCATAGAATTGAGTCTATATCTAGCCATTCTTATGCTTGAATCGTCTGAACTGACAAAAAATACGAGCTTTATTGGATCGAACGATTTGACACGCGCAAGTACTTGAACCAGTCTGGGGAAAGGTGCAGTAGTTTCAAAATGGAGAGGGGGATTAAATGAATGAGTCCATCAGACCGAATCTTCATGTTTCCTATTCTAGCCATTCTCGCTAGTCCGTCTGTTCTGTTTTGATCTCCGGTGTCGCAGTATCCTCCTTGGCGTCTGACACGGGCTTCTGAGCCCATACTCGCTTCCTGTAACATTGTCAGTAGAACATCTCAGGAGCATAAAACCCGCGAAATGAAAACTAATACTTACGCTCTATGATAGACATGGTGACGGGGATTAGCCAGATCCTTCCTGACTTTTGCAACGTAGACCATAACTTCTTCTTTCGACCATGGCTGCGGCTCCCCGTATTTTGTCAGCAGATACATAGCATATCCCTCCATTCCGGCTGACCAATGAGCAAGGTTGACCGTTCCAACTTCTTTAAGCACCTTGTCTCGTGCCCAAGGGCCAAGTGGCCATTTGCATTCATGGACATGAACGTCAGTGAACCCGGCTTTCTCGATCAGTTTTTCGCAATTGTGGTATAAATCCATTGTGCGGCCAGATTTCTCTGCAGCTTCGATACAGAGTTTCCCCAAATGAGCGGCAGGACTATCCGAAGGAAGACTTCCATCGTCGCACATGAATTCGGGTGACAACTCCAGTTGTTCTATCCAGCCACCAGGGCGGAGATTTCTGTAAAAGATTTAGTTTCAACTACCCACAGAATTCAAATTTACGGAATACGAACTTGTAACACTGTTCATATAGTCTCTCCCGCTCTTCGGCGGTAAAAGCCGCATCCATGATACGCATGTGAATCAAGTCAAACGGCTGTTGCCAAGTCCACTCTTGTAGCACGTCGTCAACCTCAAGAATGCAATTCGGGGGCATCCAAGTGACAGGGGGCGGATAGAGGTCGACGCCTCTGACAGTTGCTGGTTCCATTAGCTCGAACTCAAATCTCATAAGAGGAGACCATCTGCATAGCAAGGCGGGGTTTTGTACCACTGGGGAAAATATCGGCAACATCGCTAAACAAATTTTAGTATATCTCTCAGACAATGGCCCATAATGTACCTACATTGGCCAAGAACCCTTTCCGGTTCCGATATCCAGAATGTGCTTGAAAGCATCAGTATCATCCAGAATTAAGCTGGATATCATACTATCATACCTGTGGGTGAGATCCTACTGGCGCCCTGAATAGCGGGTTGGGCCGATCAGACTCCATGAGCATAGCCGTGATATGCCTTTTTCAGCGTTAACAACATCATTGAATTCAGGTGTAAGGAACAAAATGATACCCGGCTTCGTATGCTTCGAATTGCTGCTCATCCGAAGGAACACTGGACAATAATGAGTTTCTCTACTAAGACTGGGAATCGGCAGTAACCTTACAAAGACTCGGTCCGTTTCAGCGTTTGGTATCTTAGAAGGCTATTAGCTTAACTCAGATTGGGGCGGCGGTTGATTAAGGCGCAGTGGTCACCTTCTCCCATTTTCCATCAAACCTTTATACATGGAGGAGGCAATTGATGTAGTCTCTCTATTTTTCAATAAGCAATTGTGCGATGACATCGATATCGTGAATGGTGGAATAGTGAGCTTGGGAACCATACGACTGCCAGTCAGGAGTATAGTCCTGTGTCACCAAAAACACATCCGGATCCTGCGGGCGCACATTAGAATCGCGATCAAAATTATGGCAAACAAAACACACGCACGGGAACGATCGTCTTGTCCGCCATTTTGCTTTACTTGGTAGATCAGGATTGCTGGAGAGCTCAAGATAATCGATTTGTTTGGATGCAAAAGGAGGAGAGGCCGGAGGAGTCGGAGGGGTTAAGTGTCACGTTGGGGGCTAACAGAGAACGCTTGTCCCAGATAGGTGATCGCTTCTTCGCTTCCTGTTTAGTTCCAATCCATGGATGCCTTTTTCGTTCACATACCTCTGCCTATGAAAATACTTCAAGACTAGGTCTGCTTTTCTTTGTCTTTGTGGAGTCGTCCAACCTTTAAAATGCTTGACAGCCCGCATGAAGCAAGTCTGGTCGATATTATTCTGTGGGCGCTCGGACTGACCCGTGGCGTCGTGTTTCAAGTCATTGCTATGACAAGCCTTGGCATTACTACGATCCCTTGCATCGTCAATCTCGACTTTAACCTCGAGTTTCTCTACCGTCTACCGGAAAAACTCATCTATATCATGTTGACATCTTTATAACTTCTTGGTCTTTCTGTCACGACTCTAATTAGAGGTTTTAGCATTACCAATCGCGCAGCTAGTTTTGTTTTCCTCTAGCATAATTTCATGGCCATGTCCATCCCGCTTAATCAACCAGACCAAGGCGTGCAAGCTGCAGGGCATGGATTGCCGGACACGAAATCTATACTATGGTATCAACGAGTGTGTCACATCATCCCCTTTGCGAATTGACCAAAACGTTTCTGTTTGAACTCTCTTGTCTCCAATAAATTATTGAAGAATTGAAAGACCCCAATCGTACCCACTAAAAAGATGCCAACCAGGGGTCCGAGGATGGAGAAAATTGTAAACCCCGAAGACGCATTCTGGAATGAGGGATTGCCTTCTAGATAGGTGGTAGCCAGTCCAACTTGCATTGCCGTCAGAACCAGTGCCATGTAAATGGTCGCAGCAGTGATTGGGGTGAGATAGTCGCGGAATAGCTCCCCGTATGTCTGGTAGGTGAATTGGTACCCTCTTAATATTTCACCATACCGCAGAGCGTATATCTTGTTAAGTTGCGATAGTCTCAGCTCGCCAAACAGATACCGCGAATTGATATTGTTAGGTTTGGGAGCTTCACCTTCCAGTAGCTCGTGGGCGAATGTAAGCCATTTCTCCCATGTGATCTCCTTCGGCAGCAGATGATAGGTATGCGCAATTGCAAGGTCACATTCAAACTGAATTAGCGCAAGATAGGACAGTAGGAATCCACATGCACATTTATATAGTTCTTTTGTACATTTGGTAGTTGAGATTGGCACAGAGACATCAGGGTAGTGCTGGGATCGTTGAGGGACACAGCATGATTTCATGCAAGTTAGAAGATGAGACTCCCAAAATTTAGGACTCAAGAGGTATCGGGGGATGGGTTTGAGATGAAGGCGCCGCGAATATTCCCATACCAGATGCATGTCAATTCTCTCGTCCACCACGATCTCACGGGAGGTGGCAATTTGATAATTCAGAGGCCTTGGAGGCATAGGCCGACCAGCCAGCCATAAATACTGGTCAATCTTGTTGAGTTTATCTACACAGAGATCCTTTTGTAGGAATGATTCCGTGTCGTCCGTTGGGCGAACAAGGCCATGTTGTAGGGACCTGATAGAGGCTGGTAACAAATGAGCCGCGGTGTCTCTCGACCTGTCATTCGGGCTCAGCATCTCTCCGATGAACGGAGTATTGAGGGCCATTGCGTAATATCCAAGATTAGAGCTAGAAGCATGGTTGCAGGCTCAAGGGGAGTCTCGCGACTGATGTGTTGGTTGCTCGCACAGTAACACGGACCCCGTTACCCGCCTCGGTTGTCTAAGGCTCGAGCGCCTCCCCCCACACCCCGTGTTCCCAACCCAAGAGACGTGGAACATTGCTTTCAGACTGACTTAATTTAGACTCGACACTTTCGTCATGATTGGTGCTTTTTTAATCTAGTTGATTTAGCTATGGAGTTCGTGTTCGCTGTCGCTGTTTAGGCTCCAGGAATAAAAAAAGTCCCTTCTGAACCACAGACGATCCTTTCAGTCAAATTTCACGGTCGGGTTTGGACGAGAGTGGAGCCACTATATCGCAGGAGGGGAAGCTAGATTTCTGCCATTAACTGCAAGATTAGTGAGTAAACTCAAGAAAACGTAGCTGTCCCATGGTTGCTGGAGCATGTTACTGGAAGGATAAGCTTACGCAAATATGCAGTGCGGGCAAAGAGCTTAACCTCTTTTAGAGTGCCAGTCGCAGAAAGAAAAGGCCATGTTGGACTCCCTGCTATGACTCATAAATAGCTTTCAATTACAGCAGCCTTAATCTCCTTTATCACAGAATGGATTCTATTGGCCTGAAGTTGATCCTTCGAAGCGTCCTGCTGGATCATCCTGCATAACGCCATGCCTGATGTACGTATATAGGACCAAAGTACTCAATTATATATCTGTGTTCACCGTGGCTTCTCCGCGGAGGAATGCAATTCTCACCGATGTTTGTCAATTGAGATTGCTTCATTTCCTATGGAAACATGTCTTTGAGAGCCCTTCTGTGCCTGCTCTACTTGCATCAGCTTCAACTCGAATGCAGAACCCCAAAACGAGAATCGACAAGATCGAGACACGACAAGCATTTTTGGGTTGGCGGCAAGAGCCGCTTATCAATCAGGCATCCCAGTCCGGGGCTTGGCAGTATTGCCGAAAAGAGTATCTCCGACGTCGGACAATTCTGAACTCTGCTTAACTCCTTTGCGCGTGGCATATCAACTCTAGTCTTCGTTCTCGTCAACTTCAAACTTCGAGACCACCTCGATGCGCACAGGCTGCTGGGTTCTATCAGAAAACGGCCTCCAAGAATATAAAAAAAGCACACAGCTTAGTCTTCTCGATTCCTTCAAAGGGCGATTGGGGGCGATCCTGTCATCGCATCATCACTGCTACCACGCCTACAATTCAGCAAGATACACCTTCAGTCGCAAATTGCGCATCCAGCCGGTTAATGCAAGTCACCTGAGCTCATTGCACAGTTTTTAAGAATGAGTGATTATCATGACGATACGTCTCAAGACCATCCCGCAGAGTCGACCAGAGTAGTTCAAAGGCGGCGTCGACCGCCACTCTCTTGCACGGAATGTCGTCGTCGCAAATTGAAGTGCGACCGTTCTCTGCCGTGTGGCCAGTGTATTAGATCCAAAACTGCCGACTCCTGTGTTTTTGTTGGCTCTCATCCGGGAGAAATATCGGGATCTTCGCGTCGCATGTCCCCGCCAGTGTCGCGAATGCGATTACCGGGTAGTCCTGATGAGCAGCCAGCAGGAACAGCCGGTGGAATGTTTGTGTTCGACTCGAAGATGGGTCCTAAATCAGATTCAAATCGTGTCTCCAAACGCAATAATCTAACAGAGCTCAATGAGCTGCGGAACCGCTTACGTGCATTGGAACATGCGCTGGCCAAGCCTGGTTCCATGCACACACCACCAGAAACATCTGTCTGTGACATATACTCAGAACTTGGAACCTCCCAAAATAGTGTTGAGGGAGCTGGTGTTGACGACCGTGTGCGATTCTTGCCCGATTCGAGTTTTCGGGGAAAGAAGGCCAAAACGAGATATTTTGGTCGCAGTCACTACACAACGACCGTATCATTTGTAAGTCTACAAAATAGCTCTCAGAGCCAGAAACAGAACCATATCACTAATACGACACAGTTTCAGGATATTGGTACCTTTATGCGACGTAGTCACAAGAAGGTCAAAGACAAAGAATACACTGACATGAAAAGCTTCAAGTGCGAGATGTGGTCTCGTGAAAGCCAAGAGCATCAGCGAGCTTTTCGAGAGCAAGCCTTCAAATTGGACGAGATGGTTCCATCTCGAGCGGTAACAGATAAGCTGGTTCAGTTATATCTTGACACATTTGAAACAACCTATAGGATCCTGCATGTGCCAACCTTTTTGAAACAATACGCCGAATACTGGGCCAGTCCTCAAAATCCGGACATGGGGTTCATCGCTCGGTTACTGGCTGTGATAGCGGCAGGAAGCCGGTTTTACATGCCTTCGCTGGATCGTGATGAGCGGAATAGTTACCTAAAACCCGCCATGAAGTGGATTATGGCGGTCCAGTCCTATATTTCCTGCACTTTTGTCAGTCCTGATATTGATCTAAAAATGATCCAAACACAATGCCTTCTTCTTGTCGCTCGCCTTGCAGTCGCTAGCGATGGCGATGTGGCCTGGGCTTCATCAGGGTCACTCATTCGATCTGCCATGACAATGGGATTGCATCGTGATCCCACTCGCTTCCGCAAAGCGACTACCCCATTTTGGTCAGAATTGCGTCGTCGACTCTGGACCACAATCGTGGAACTAGACCTCAAAATATCTCTAGACCGTGGGGTTACACCATCTGTTGACTTGGATGAATGTGATTGTGATGCTCCCTCAAATTGGGATGACTCTGAGTTATATGAAAGCATGGAAAGCAACCCGGTACCTCTCAGCACTGCGACATATACTCGGAACTTCTACCAGACTCTGTTGACGAGGACTTTGGATCTACGCTATCGCATTGCAAAGAAGATCAACACTTTGAGATTTAACTTGTCATATGATGAAACTTTACGAATGAGCGAAGAGCTAGTTCGGGCGATGAAGAATGCTTCGGCACTTTTTGACGATAATGCTTCTGAAATTAACCCTTCTGACGCTGCCCGGCACCGGTTTGCTCAGTCACTGCACCTTTTCATTATGCGAAAATTTCTACTCGCATTACATCGGCCTTTTTCACTTAGTGTTGTGCGACTGCCCAAATGTTCCTACTCCCGAAAAGTATGCCTGGAGGCGTCCCTCGAGGTTTTAACGCAAATGGAAATTCCCTCACCTGCAGATGCGATCTTATATCCACACATCACACAACTTGGAGCCGGAATGTTTTGTGATGAAACTTTCCATGCCGCAATTACAGTCTGTGTTGAGCTTTCCCTGCAAGCTCAGGAAGCTAATCAGCCTGGTAGCTCTGGTATGGATGGTATGGGGTCAAGTGTTCTTATGAGCATGATTCAATCTCAGCAGAATGTGATGCTACAAGCAGTTGAGCGTACTCTGCACGATTTTGGTCACCGAGTTGGTGTGGGCAATGGAAAAGGGACAAAACCATATTTTTTCTTGAGCATCATTCTAGCCTCAGTCAAGTCTCGAATCAAAGGAGAAGATCCGTTGGTCAATGTTGAGGCAGCATCTAAAAGAGCTGTTCGAGTTGGTCGGGGGATCGTTGGCGGGCTTTCATATACAGAGGCCCTCGCCAACGCAGATCGCCAATCTCTACAGGTGAGCCTGTTTTTCCCTCCTTTAGGAGATGAATTGTTATTAACATGGGATATCAAGCCTCCCATGGCCTCTGAGGGGATCATAGGAACCACTCCCATGTCGAACTCCTCTAACGATTTTGATCTGCCTTCTTTGCTCTCAACAGACTTTGGAGAATTTATGGTAAGTCCGCTACATTCTTACACTTCTGATTTGCCTATACTGACAGGTGTAGCCACTTGACCTTGGTGGATGGTTTGACACCCTAGACCCCACCGGACAAGAGCTCTGGGACAATAATCTATTCAACAACTTGCCCCAGATTCAATGAACGACGTGAGGTAACGCTGATACTGGACATCGGAATGAATTTGACGACAATATAATATTTAAATGAATATATAATCTCCACTTTACCATAAATGAAATTCAAAGCTCCTGAAAATCATCAAATATGACCATTTGATATGAAATCCATTCTATCAGGCCGGCTTATGAAAACCAAAGTCTAGCGATGTTCTACATGTTCATGCATCAATACATTCTGTCACCGACAACTTCTCTTGTTTTAGATCAATCGTTTGGCCACAAGCATTATCAATGCAAATGGTTTTTGGAGCCAATATATGGTTTGAATTAAATTAGTATAAAAATTAGCAAATGATAGGTATTTAGTAATTGTATACTTACGCCTGATAGCGTTCAATACTGAGAACTTCCTGCTTTGCAAGAGCTTTCAACGCCCATTTGATATCATGCACTAGGCTGTCGCATCGACTTTGACTGAAATCTTCGCGCACAACAACACGCATCATGCTCATGGTCTCACAGTCCGCTGCCATGTTGTAGGCTGGAACAATCCATCAACGCTCACGGAGCTGATGCGACAATGCAAACTCATCGAAAATAATGTGCTGAGCCGAACCGAGGCGAAATGCGACAACAGGGAGGCTTTTCCCATTGCCATCGCTCATAATGGAGAAACCGAGATCGCTGAGTTGATTCGATAGGTAATCAGCTGTATGAGTGAGATTGCTCATAATGGCACTATAACCTCGTTCTCCAAGACGGATCATTTGATAGTATTGCGCAATGATATGAGATGCGGGCTTAGAGAAGTTGAGAGTAAAGTTCATCTGATCCGCACCAAGATAGTTGATGTTGAAGATCAATTTTCTGGGTAAATAGTCGGCCGATCGCCACAAAGCCCAACCGATACCAGGATACACCTATAGTAATATCAATTAGGTGAATTTCAGCTTATTGGCTCTTTGCAATACATACCAAGCCGTACTTATGACCTGATACATTAATAGACACAACATTGGGAAGCTTGAAGTCCCACACCAGGCTCGGGTTGACAAAAGGAGTTACAAAGCCACCGTTAGCAGCATCAACATGGACGGGAGTATCAAACTCTCTTTGAGTGAGTAGGTCATTGATGGCTTTGACATCCTCATACTGCCCTGTATAAGTTGTGCCGAGGATAGCACAGATGCCGATTGTGTTCTCATCAACCATATTCACAGCTTGGATTGGATCAATGATGTAGCGTGTCTCGGTGCAAGGGACAAGTCTCTCTTCGATTTCAAAGTACACTGCAGCTTTTTCCCAACACACTTGCACACCGGTGCTCATGATGATATTTGGACGAGAGAAATCTTTACCTTCTGCTCTCCGTTGATTCTTCCAACGCTTCTTCATAGCAAGGGTTGCGAGCATGATGGCCTCGGATGAGCCAATGCAGGCTGTTCCCACAGCGGTAGTTTTTCCATTTTGAGTCGGGGAATGAAAGAGATCTCCCAGAATGTTGAGATAGCGGTGCTCAATTTCAACGGATTTGGGGTATTCTTCGTGGTCTATGATGTTCTTATTGGAAGACTCGGAAAGGAGTTTCTCGGCCTCATCCTCCTGTGAAATAGAATCAGCCCTGCTCACGAAATTGTATTGAATATCTTACCATATAAGTGGTTACAAAACTCGCTATACTGGATAATCATATATCATGTTAGAAGTCCGCTCTTGTCGACGGACTCATGAATGCACCTTTCTTTCAAGAGAATACTTACTTTAGCATGGGATTGCCATCCAAAACGAGATCATCTTTGATTATGCGATAGGCAACATCTTTCGGGAACTCATCGGTCGGCATATGCTCTGCAGCAAATCAAGAGCCGTAGATATTCGTGCAGCCCTTGTCCAAGGCAGTTTCTGACGACCGCTTTGACCTTTTCTCCATCGATGCCATATTTTTGAAAATTTAGGACTTGAGAATCTTTTAGAGCCGTTAAATTTCTTTCTTAAATAACGATAGAAGGTCTTGGTCTCGATATTTATTTCCCATATTCTGTGCAATTTTCAATGTCTCTGCCCAAAAAATAGCTCATACAAGACAGCGGAAATGTGATGAGTATGAGGTATCTTGGCTAGGACCGTGTTTGAGAATGAGGCTAGAACTTTTGCATTAAATGGGCCGAGTCTCAATCTGAAGATTTTGTGTTATTCTGATTTAGGTCCATAGTTTGATTCAACACTTTCAAGATCTATAACTTCATTATTTTAATGCGCCTCTAAGTTTACACTCCCGTCAAAGCCAAGCTTTCTAGAAGACTTAAAATTTGCATTCAGATTGTTCGAACCGTCTTCATTCTGTGCGCCCCCTAGGTATGGTAGTTTGAATAATTGAATTTACCGCTACCTTAGAAATTCACCCCTTGATTGGAAAGCACAACATTCCGATCCTATGTGAATGATGGATTCGAAAAGGACGCACTCAAATGTCAATATATGCATACCGCCCGCAGGCAGACACAGCTCATTGCATAAATGCGATGTGATAGGTTTGTTCCTCGCGGGTGCGCAAGGAGCTGGAAAGATTGCAACAGAATTTCTTCAGAAAAGCCGATCCTAGGACAGGGTTATTTGAGGCTTCTTTAAATACGTCGTATAATGCGGTCCGCCTTATACTGCTTGGAAAATGCTATTTGCCAAATTGTCTTACAAGTCCTCCCAAGTAAAATGGTCGCTTGTTTTCGGCTTCTTTGAAGTATGCAAGGCAACTCATGATATGCCAGGTAGCTCTTTAGCAGATTCAGGCCTCTTATCGATGAGTAATTACCAAAGAATACGGTTTGGTTTTGATTATCACTCTTTGAGTCAATCTTCTCATAAGCATTTTATCTCTGATAAGTCAAAACCTAACCCCTGAATGAAGGGGCGCATGTAGCCGAAGCCCACTGGGCCTTCGTCATGACAGGAGGACTTTCGACCTGGTTTTGAAGAAAGAGTGCATTCCTTGGGTTCGGGGCCACATCATCCTGGCATCTGCACTCACCCAGTTGCTGACTCAATCGGACTCGGCGATTCACATCGAAGAGTCGATCAAAATCCTGTGTAGATTTACCACTTGACACTTTCCTTTCAGAACACAAATGAAACAAGTTGAGAAATCTGCTGAATCTCTTTAGCTGTTATGGTTCCTCGCTGGGGATTTTAACCTCTCGTCATTGGAGAAACAGGATGCTCCATCCTATCCTCGACATTAGCAGCTTTAATGTGGCTCTTACGTTCTCAGGTAAGCTGATCCTCGGTGTCACCATAATTTAACAAAGTATGGAGTGCCTCAACTCTCCCAGGAATATTCTTACTTTTTTTCGGATTTATTTCAATCAAAATCAAACAGAGATGGTACCTTGGCGAAGCATGTATGTTTCAAGCACGTACCTTCAACTACTGAGCTAATATACCTAGTGCCATCTTTCATCTTTGGGGCAATCCTTGGGCCTTTTTGTATCAATCTGATAGACGCCAGTCGCTGGAGCAATAGCAGTGATGGAGAGGCCGTTGGAGGAATTGCCTATGTACGTTACATGGAAAAAGGGTTCCTACCACTTTATTGCCGGATCCACGAACTAATGATCACAGGCTCTAACGCGTATGGTCATTGGTATTCAAATGGTCAAAGTCGGCTACGAACTACCAAAAAGATATCTACGCCGGCGGTTGGTTGAGCTTACAATATGCTTGCTTCCTCTGATGACAGTGCAATGGCTGGTAACATCAGCATGTATCAGGCTGATGATACCTCATCTATCCTTTGTGAGTTTTGCTCGAGTGAACTACTTGAAAACTACTTATTTTATTTTGGATCAGTTGACAGCCTGCATCATCGGATCCTGTGTCATTTGCATCGACCCCGTGCTTTCCCAAGCCATTGCAAAGGGTCCATTCGCCGATAAATATGTTCGAAGACACCTGCGCGAATTCATATCAGCCGAGGCTGGAGGGAACGATGGATTTGGCTTCCCGTTCTTGATGTTGTCAATTGCACTGCTACGCTATGATGATACGCCAAAAAGTGCAACGGGTCATGTCAAGCGGGATTGGATTGGAGCAACGGATGCTGGCCGGTTCGGGGGAGATGTTGGCCGAGCTTTGGCACATTGGGCTGTTGAAGGAGTCTTATATATGATTATTATGGGTGCAGGATATGGACTTTTAGTTGGGTTTGTCGGCCGGAAAGGGCTTAATCTGGCCTCGAACAAGTGAGTTATGAACCGGTTTGAAAGATTACCATCAAGATGTGACGCACTAAGAAAATTTTGCCTATCAGGAGATGGATCGACAAAGAGAGCTTCTTTTTATTTCCAGTCGCTATCGGCGTGGGTGTCTTATTCTTCCTTACTTTTGGCGATACACTGCTTACGACCTGTTTCCAGCTTTTTGTTGTTGGTACATGTGGCTGCTTTGGAACTGATGAAACACTGGCCTGCTTCATCGCTGGATGTGCCCTAAACTGGGACGGTCGGTACCATTCCGAAGCCGAGGCCCGACATGATTCATTCAACTCGTCCATCGAGACCGTACTCAATTTTGGGACATTCGTCTTTCTCGGAGTTGTCATGCCCTGGGACCAGCTTCACATGCCACATATTACTGGAATAACCATAGCACGTTTAATTGCCTTGGGTGTATTGATAGTTTTGTTCCGACGCATTCCTGCGATTATGCTCGGGTATCGTTTCATACCCAAAATCTGTGGTGACTGGAAAGAGGCACTTTTTATGGGTTATTTTGGCCCCATAGGTGAGTCCTATCCAGTATTGCCATGAGGAATCGACTCATAGGGCTAACCATCTAATAATTATTGAAAAGGTGTCGGGGCCGTATCTTACGTTGAGTATGCACGTCGATTGCTGCCAGATCCTGGGGAAAGTGATGCCGAGATCAATCATTTGACAGCAGCCATGATTCCAGGTGGGACCCACCCTTGCTCCAAAAATCTGTGAATGCGTCCTGACGATTTTAGTGGTTTATTGGCTAGTATTCTTCTCAATAATCGTCCACGGGCTGTCGATCCCGGTACTGAACAGCATTTACGAGTGGCTCCGGGTCCCTGCTATTCGCGATAACCCTGTGGAGATTCTCTTGTTATCTGAGAATGAGCCAGTGCCCAATAACAGTGTCGTAGATCGACAGACGCATTCAGTCACAGTAAACAACAGATTCTCATGCGTCTCTCATCACACAAATGGCTCCACTGTAAGCTGTTCTGTACCGGAAGAACCAAGCGCGATGATGCTACGATCCAGTGGGCAAAATCACTATTCGGCATCTTTAGCACGGACCTCAACCAAGGGGTCAACATGCCAGGCCGAGCAGACCGCTGCACGGGAAGTCGTGTAGTTTTTTTTTTTTTTTTTTTTTTTTTCCCTTAGCTTTGTTTCCCTGGAAATGTCTTGGCCTCTCGTTCTCGTTTACACTGAAGTGTCGTTGGTTAGATGGCACGACAGTTCGAAGTGCTTGTGTATATTGTGCTTTTGCCTAGATGGGTTAATCAAATAGCCTTCTCCTCTGCAATCGCTCAATTGTGTAAGGTAGAACAGGTTGTCCAGGATGGCTCTCCTGCTGATTCGGTTAGCTCTGAGAAATCACCTTCTCGTGGTTTCTTCAGTGTCTCTTGGTTGGCAACGGAGTATACATCCGCATCGTTCGGGTTGCACGATCGGAATTTCCTCGATCGGGTGCAGTGCCAAGTCCATGAGTAGAACTTAATTTCCGAAAGAAGACTCGCATGAGCAGAGCTCAGTGATCAATGATCTCATATGCGTTGGCCGACCTTAAGCCACATGTGTGCCGATCATTTTCAAAAAGTTTTGTATAAATCGTATCCTCCCCGTGGGCAAAGGCAGTTTTCCTGAATTTTGAAGCAAGGAAACGACCACTTCTGAGATGTTCGTCATGTTGTATGTGGATATCTGAGTTCCTGTTGTTAACTCTTACTGATCCTCCACAGCTCTCTTTTGACCACACTGGGCTTGCGTGATGCTCCTGGCGAACAACCACCCCCTAACCACGCTGCACTCCTCCTATTGGCTAATTGGGCGATCGCATATCTCTGGATGAGTACTCGAATTCCCAAAATTCTTTTGGGAATCGATAACAATGTTGCGCCGAGAGAGGATTTGACCAAGTACGGCGAGGAAGCCGTGAAACTAGGCAAAATCAGCCGATATACCCTGAACAAACTTAAACGCGAGGAAGCCGCACATGCAAATGCAATGGAGGGGTATACTCTATTTGTAGCAACAAGTATGTATTTCCTTCCAGCTTGGGCGATCCGCCCTGAATCGATCCAGACTTATTTCCAGAGCGTGCTAATAGAAATAGCCTTGATCGCAGTGTTTGCAGGAGTTCCCAATAGGGATATCAATATGTTCGGTGTTTGGTATACGCTTTCGAGGATAGCATTCAGTTTGTGCTATTCATATATCGAGACGCCTGCTCTGAGTTACATGCGATCCCTGGCCTGGTGGTCCGGCAACATAAGCTGTATCCACGGACTTCTCATGGCCGCCAAACGACTGCAATAATCTACCAATGCCGTTGTCAGAATGTATTTCATGTGATGATCTCAATGGCATAAAACAATAATCAATGAAGGATGTGAAAGCGGCACTGAAGTAGCTTCCCTTTCTGGACATAATTCTCATAATCAACATATTACTAGTAATAGACCACTTTGGGTTGACCATGTGCATCAGCCAGTAAGCAGATGAGTAAAAAAATAATTGAAGGCTTTGACGAAACAGAAGATTCATCCTCAACTTTTAATTCCAAGGACACTACTTCATAGTCAACAATGATAGGATGCTGATTGGTGGAACATCACTTTTAGAGCATGCACAAATCACCGATTCCAAGACGGCGGAATCTACTCCGACCCACAAACGGCTCCGCCGAGAAGGTTTCAAGCTTAGCTTTTGAATGCTCACTCTCTCCGCATCCCCGCGCATTTCTCTTGGCAATTTGCGGAGAAATCGCCTCGTAAAAACAGCTGATCTTCAAGGCAATGAGAAGACTGCTGAGATACGTCCCTGTTGATCGTTTCCAAAGATGATGTTCGGCCATTGTGCATTTTTATAGGAGGATAAATCTAGTTTCAATCCCCGCTTGCCAATGCTGCATCGTATAGACATAAATGAGGGAATATTAGTACAGATGAACCACACTGGCAAGTTAAATAAGACTGGACGATTTCATCCTCTACCCAGAGGCCTGTTGAAACGTGATAGCAGATGCGTTTTGTTACGGCCAGGTGTCACCTAATTGAAGTTGTTGTTTAATTATTTTCAAGATGAAACTTCTTGCGTTGGGTACCTTGTTCATTAGCGTTGTCAGCGCCTTGACGACCAGTCATCTACCTCCAGGGGCCCATATTATTTCTGCTGGCGACAAGGCGTCCCTGCGAAGTATTGGTGCATACCATCAAAAATATCCTGATCGCCGGACAGTCACCATCCGAGCGTCTAAAAATGACACAGACGATGTCTCTGCAGACTTTCTCTGGGGCATGAAGCAGGCAAATCATGGTGGGAGGTTACTGCTGCAGAAGGGCAAGACCTATGTCATTGGGAAGAAATTGAACCTCAGTTTCTTGGACAACATTGAGGTTCAACTTGAAGGTGAAATCAAGGTGATTCCAACTACCTTCCCTGCAGGCCTTCGTATATGGCCCTGACCCGTATAGTTCACCGACGATATCGACTACTGGCAAGCCAACAACTTTTACTATTCGTTCCAAAAGTCCATCACCTTTTGGGTCTGGGGTGGTCAGGACATCAAGATATTCGGTCACGGCACTTTGAATGGCAATGGACAGGAGTGGTACAATGCTTTTGCTGGCTCAGAGATCCTGGTATGTCTGGAGATCGATGAGAATGGAGGGAAAAAAAGAGAAACCACGCGATTGAATTCACAGACTGACTGCATTATAGGACCCGGACAACACTTTCTATCGACCCATTCTTTTCCTGACTGACAATGCGACTCGAGTCAGTGTGGAGGGTATTACCCAGCTGAACTCTCCGTGCTGGACCAACTTCTTTGTCCGTACGAATGATATTTCCTTTGACAATGTGTTTATCAACGCGTATTCGACGAATGCCTCGGTAGGTTACTCTCTTAGTTGATGTGACAGAGCGAGCCACAAGCTAAAGGAGATCTTTGAAACCAACAGGCCCTACCCAAGAACACCGATGGTTTCGACTCCTATAACGTGAAGGGTCTGCGCGTAACCAACACACGGGTCGACATCGGAGATGACTGCTTCTCCCCGAAGCCGAACACGACCGATATCTTTGTGCAGAACTTATGGTGCAATAACACACATGGCGTGAGTATGGGAAGTATTGGACAGTATGCCGGTGTCCAGGACATTATCGAAAACGCGTATATCGAGAACGTGACTCTGCTTAACGGCCAGGTAAGCTTCCATTTCCCCAAGAAATAGAGGGGAAAAAAGACTAACAGCGGTCAATCTGACAGAATGGAGCTCGTCTCAAGGCTTGGGCTGGCCAGGATGTTGGGTACGGGCGCATCAACAATATCACCTACCGCAACATCCACATCGAGAACACCGATAACCCCGTGGTGCTGGACCAGTGCTACTTCAACGTGAATACTACCGAGTGTACGCAATATCCGTCAGCGGTCAACGTCACCAACATTGTGTTTGACAATATCTATGGCACGTCCTCGGGGGCAGAAGGCAAAGTAGTTGTGGACCTGACGTGTTCGCCCAACGCCGTCTGCTCCGATATTCACCTGTCGCGAATCAACATCACCAGCCCGGCGGGAAGCCCGCCTGAGATAATTTGTGATGGGATCCAGGGGGATATTGGAGTCAACTGTACTAGCTCCACCTAGGGTGATAAGAAGAGCAGTGGGACTGAGTCCGTAGGCTGTGGAGATTGCCTAGTCAATGGAGCTTAGCTGTAATAGTTCGAATTCGAAAGAATACGTATGCTTCCGACCATGAAAAGAACACCGCTCGCGCGTCTTATTTTCTTTGCTCCATGTCAAATGAGAGAACCCCAAAAGACAACGAATCATAGAAAGTGTTAAGGTAAGCAGTTGGCCTTCTCGAGGAGGACATGTCTAATCACGACGAAAGTAATAACCGGAGACCCCCTGTTTCTGATCATCGACATCTTCTCCAAATGTACAGAATTCAGCTCTGACTGTACGTGATGTATACAAATTCAGTACCTCAATGTCTCGAACTGGACAAGAAAAAGGAGGTACAGAGCTATCAACGGCTGTCGAAGATAACTATTCTGCGCCATCATTCTTCGCTTCAGAATATGTCGGAACACGAGAAAAAGACTCATTTCGGAACTTTCCGTCTCTCCACTACTGTTCTCCGCGGCAATAGGCCCTCTGCTTGCGTGCAGGAGAGCAGAGGCAGATGCGTGGACTGCGTCGTACTTCTGTGAACCGTGGAACGAAATCCCACTCCTCGTGTGGCCCTCCCCACAATCCCGGCCTCTTTGCTTGTGCATCCAGGCGTCCGAGATATCTCAGGCATCTCAGGCGAATCGCTTCGACTGGTTCGAGATCTAGGAGCTGACCGGGATCCTCACTCGATAGGTAGGCTTTGATGACAGTTGGGAGGACAATATCGCCTCCCCCACGCGGCCCAACGGAGCTTGGACCATCTGGATGAGGATTCCCATGCGAGACGCCCAATGAAATGGATCAGGCCAAGGCTGGCAATCTCGTCCGAGCCTATCGAAATCAGGAGAGATAGTCCTTGACCTCGCTTGCCTCCGGTCTTTTGCTGGCCGTATTGTGAGCGTGGAGAGCTAGAGACGCCACCCACCACGCCCGGTCGCCAAGCTGGAACAAGCCTTATGCGCGCCCATCGGAAGAAAGGAAGCAAGCCCTCCAAGCAATACCCAGAAGTATCCCATTGCTTGGGTTGCTTGGCTTTTCTGTGGCCGTCGGTTGAAAGTATCTGTCTTTCGCTCTCCCGGAGATCTCCAGGGGATCTGGTCGATGCCCTCCAGGCGACTCCACAGACTCCGCTCGATTTGTCGCTCGACTTGACGCTTGACTGGAGGCTCCCCACAATCCCCCAGGCCCCTCCCCCACAAACACCCCCACAATGACAACCATGACAACCCAGCTCTGCCCGCGCGGGCAGAACTTATACCCGCCCATTCTGTCCACAGCCAATCGCATCCTCATCCTGCCTCGATGCGTCGTCCCCCCGGCCATTCTGGAACGCAAATCTTCAAGTCAAACTCCATCAGGGCTGCTTCAGGTCTGGGGGTGGATCCTCCCCAACTTCTCCTTTCTGTCCCCGCCCCCAGATCCGAGGGATCCAGTGAGGGTCTCCATGCCTGGCCGCGTCCGGGGCAGTCGTGGGACGGGGTTTTGAAGCCAACCCAACACGCGCAGGGGCCCTATAAGTACAGTTGCATCGCATCTCCTCTTTTCTGAACCGTGCTTCTGCTTGTACTTGTGCTTGCGCTGGACCCTCCCCGGTGGACTTCTTTGCTCTCAATTTCCCGTTGCCTGGTGTCCTTCCCCCCCCCTTTCTTTGCACCTGTTCTTCGTTGTTCTCGCGGTCAATATCTCTCCCGGCCTATTATGGAGAAGACCGACAGCAACTCGCACCATGTAGAGGGCCAAGATGTGAACCCCCGTGTCGTCGAATCTGGCAAGCAAGAGGCCTTCTATGTTGAAGATCGGGTCGCTCATCTCTCCGAGGAGCATCGCCAGTACCTACTTGCTCGCCATGGCACTTTGGATCTAGATCCAATTCCCGACATGAATGATGCCGATCCGTACAATTGGACAACCTGGAGGGTATACCACCCATCCCATATCCCTTAAACCCTTAGTGTTCCTCACCAGAGTGGGAGAGAGAAGCCCAGAGACTAACGGATTATTCTTTTTGGTCCCTATAGAAAACGGTCAACCTGACGCTGGTCGTCTTCCACGCCATGATCGGTCTGTTCACCGCTGCCTCGATCCAGTCGGCCTTTGTTGATATCTCCGCGGATTTGGGCGTCAGTATGCAGCGCACAAGCTACCTGGTCTCGTTATTCATTGCCATCCTCGGTGGTGCACCGCTGTTCTGGCGACCTCTCTGCAACCGCTTCGGTCGACGGCCCATCTTCCTCATCTCGCTGATTTGTTCGTTAATTGGAAATATTGGATGCTCGCAAAGCCACTCGTACGCAACCATGGGTCTGTGCCGTGCTATCACATCCTTTTTCATTAGTCCCGCAGCCGCCATGGGAAGTGCGGTGGTTGCAGAGACGTTCTTCAAGAAGGATCGCGCGCGCTGCATGGGATACTGGACACTGATGGTGACTCTTGGCGTCCCGATCGCCCCGTTCCTGTTCGGGTTTATGGTTATGCGAGTAGGATACCGGTGGATTTTCTATGTCCTGGCAATTGTGGGTAGCCCTTTTTTTTTGTCTTCGTTATCCCCCTCACCATTCCCGCCCGGGATATGGCAGTACCCGGCCTTCCCTACCCCCATATCTCGCAAGACCTAACTCATGCTGTGAACAGACGAATGGGATTCAATTCCTACTGTACCTCTTCCTCGGCTCCGAGTCGCTGTATCTGCGCAAAGAGGGTGCACCCACCCAAGTGACCAGCGTGAAAGAGAGCATTTTCAAGTTCCGCCGCATCGATCCCGCGCCATTGCGCTTCTGGGACTTTATCCAGCCTCTGAGCTACTTGATGAAGCCCTGCGTGATCATCCCTGCCGCCGCCTACGCAATGATCTTCCTTTTCGGCAGTATCATGTTGACCATCGAGATTCCGCAGATCTACCCGGAGCAGTTTGGCTTCAATACGCAACAGGTCGGCATGCAGTTCATCGGCATCGTCATTGGATCTGTGCTAGGCGAGCAAGTTGGTGGACTGATCTCGGACCGCTGGATGATGATGCGTCAAAAGCGGACTGGCCAGCCTCCGGCGCCGGAGTACCGTCTCTGGCTCAGTTACATTGGCCACGCTCTGACCATCTGCGGCGTTGTAGTCTTTGCCGTGCAGCTGGGCAAATCCGGGGATACATGGAATGTCACCCCGATTGTGGGTGCGGCTATTGCGGCGGGTGGAAACCAGATCGTCACCACGATTAATATCACCTACGCTGTGGATTGCTATCGGCCAGATGCCGCCAGTGTGGGCGTGTTCATCACTTTCATCCGTCAGACATGGGGCTTCATTGGACCCTTCTGGTATGCTTACATCTATTCTTTCTCCTTTTCCTGGATTGTTTTCGCGTGTGCGCCTTGTGATGTTTACCATGCTAACCCTGCTTTTCCTTTTCTTCCAGGTTTCCTCAGATGTTCGAGAACGTGGGCTGGGGCGGTGGCGCCGGTATCGCGGTGGCGCTGATGGTCGGTGTCAGTGTGATCCCGACCATGATGCTGCAATGGCGTGGCTCGACCTGGCGTTAAGTGACCACTCGTGTGCTGTTGGACGGCCCGCTTGGTGGTTGTATATGTTCAGATTGTACACCGGTTGTTTTCGTGATAATTTAATTCACTGCGTACCGCAGCCTTCTTTTTACATATTGCCTTCACCTTCCAGGGGTGACATTCCGATCTTGTAGATGACTATTTATTTGTATACAATCAAGAAAAGGAGTCACTGTTTGTATATCGGATCATCGTGTTCGGCCACATTTTCACGCAGTTTGTCAATTCGGGATTCTACGATTCGCCGAGCAGCCTCGCTGCCATCACCTGATCGCCCCTGATCTTGCAGCTGCTCCACCCTGGGCATCTCGTACCTCCACCGCTACACCTCCAACTGTACTCTCAAAGACATTATTTAATCCATTTACGTGCACACTGTCCTATAAAAATTGGGGGAAAGCAGCCCAAATGTTTCCCAAAGCATTGGTCTATGGGGCTGTATGGTGGTTATTGGCCCTGTCCCAATCGGCCCACGGCACTAGATGTGTGATGTATCTCACAGGGTAAGATGGCCCAATTTGGGACCAGTGCTTGGTGCTTGAATGCTCAACATGATTAGACAGCACGACGTCGTTCCGGAGGGATCTCTAATATCAGATGTGACACACGTTGCCCTGGCATTCATGCGACCAGGCGCCTTCAATACAGATGATAACTCCTCAAACTGGTCTCTGTTTACTACCATCAATGAAGTACGACCCAAGTTCTCGGATGGCACAGCGATCCTGGTGGCCATTGGTGGATGGGGCGATACGCAGGGGTTTTCTGATGCGGCGTTGACCGACAAGAGCCGTAAGCGATTCGCCCATAATGTCAAAAGGATGGTGGAGGACACGGGGTCAGATGGTATACAACTTCTATCTTTAAAGCCTCCAATTAGCTACCCTGAGAAAACTGCTGACGGACATCGCAGGGGTGGATATTGACTGGGAGTACCCTGGGTATGTTTCGTCCGTTCTCATTAACCCAGTCTCTTTACTTTCTGTCATCTCTTGCTGGTCGTCCTTCAAGTGCATTTCTAAGTCACCGCAGCGGAAACGGCGAGGACTATAAGCAAATCCCCAACGCAGAAAAGTCCTGGGAACTTGACGCATACCCGAAGCTCCTCGAAGAGATCCGTAAGGCCCTCGGCCCCGGGAAGCTGATCACCGCCGCTGTCCCAGGTCTTCGACGAGACATGATCGCATTTACCAAGGAAAAGATGGCCGCGATCACCGCCTCAATTGACTTTTTCAACGTGATGACATATGACTTGATGAACCGACGAGACACCGTCACCAAACATCATACAGGGATCCAACTCTCTCTTGCTTCGATCAACGCGTACCTGGAAAGGGGCGTGCCGGCCGAAAAGCTTAACCTTGGGCTCGCCTACTATGTCAAATGGTTTAAGACGTCAGACCGTCATGCTGAAGTGTGCGCTGAATTTCCGATCGGATGTCCCGCCGCTTTAATGGAAGATCCGGCGACGGGCGCTGATTTGGGCCAGGCCGGGGCGTTCTCATGGCACGACGATGTTCCCTTAGAGTTAGCCGCGTCCTTTGGGATAGCGCAGTCCCAGGGTGAGTATGACCCCGTCGGAGGTGGATACTATTTTTGGGATGCGGATGTAAACATCTTCTGGTCTTGGGACACGCCAGATGCCATTCAGATGAAGGTACCTGCAATCTTGGAGGAAAAGCATCTTGGGGGCGTATTCGCATGGGGTCTCGGGGAAGATGCTCCGGAATTTACACATCTCAAAGCTACGATTGCCAGTCTGCAGCCATACTTGCCAGATCGACTGGAGAAACGGACAAATACAGTAGGTGGTAGGCATTCCAGGGATGAATTGTGATATTTGTACTGGAAGCCTGACGGGTCAATTATCACATAACTTTTTATCTTTACGAAAAAATATATTACAGAAAACTACTCAGTGAAGCAGATTGATTTGCCGAGTCCGTAGATCCAGCACAATTCTCAAGTAAATGGGAGAATATGTCAAGCGAGACCTATATGTAGTATACATACTCACGTACAAAAAAGAGCATACAAGAATCATTTCATCACATCATCACGTCATCGGGATTGGCCCCGTTTCCAAACTAATTTGAGAGCTCGGGCTCACCACTCGCCCACCCGACGCATGCGGAGATGCATACCCTCGACCGGCTTGGTAGTCACCGCGCCCGCGATATGAATCTCCTGCTTGGGGTCCTGCATCTCAAACGCGAATCGCCCGACCACGCCGGCCACAGCACAGCGCAGCTCAGCACGAGCAAAGTCCTTCCCAATACACGACCGCTGGCCGTGGAGGAAAGTGATCTGGGCAAAGTTGGTTGATGCCCCGCCGTGGTTGTTGGGCACCAGCTGGCCATGCTTGTCTGTGTCGATCCAGCGCTCCGGCACGAAGTCGTCGCCAGAGTCGCCCCAAAATACCGGGGCTCGGTTGATGGCGTAGGGGCACATGATGATGCGTGTCCCCTTAGGGACGTGTTTGCCAGCAATCGTGGTATCACGCACCGATTCACGGATGGTAGCAGGCACGGTGGGATACAGGCGCAGGACCTCTTGACAGACGCCGTTCAAAAGGGGCAGAGACTCGAGGTCTTGGTGGGTAATCGGGCTGTCAGCGGATGGGATTTTCTCGCGAATCTCGGCACGCAGGCGTTCCTGGACGTCGGGATACAGCGTGAGCAGGTAGCAAGCCCAGGTTAGGGCACTGGCAGTTGTTTCATGCTGTAGAAGTTGAACAAAAAAGGAAGTAATGCATGGTTAGAATGAATTGGCGAAGTTTAGAACGACAAGGGGGTTGGGGAAAACTCGAACTTACCCCGGCAGCCAGAAAGGTTAACATCTGGTCCACGAGTTCGGTATCGGAAAAGTCGCCGCCCAGCATCATTGTGCCGAGAATATCAGCCTCGAGGTCCTGGGCCGAGGCCTGCGAGGTGGCCAGGGTCTGGCGCTTCTCACGGACAATGTCGTTACAGAGATTGCGAAGGAAGGCGGTCTCATTGGTGATGACCTGGTTCAGATGCCAGGGCACGCGCTGGGCGATCCACTGGGGCAGGATGAAATTCATGGCCAGGAAGGCCATTTTTTCGGTAGTGGGCTCTAATATGCGGAGGAAGCTCTCGGCGACGGGGTTGTCGCTGTTCTGCAGCGAGCGGAAGTCTCGGCCCATGGCAGCAGGACCGATGATATCCAGCGTGAGACGGCTATAGAGGGATTGACATGGGTCAGTATGGTTTTCTTTTCCTCTCGATCTATCCATCTGGCGAATGCTGGATCACGGAACATACCTCCCCCACACGCCCATCTCCAGCTTTCCGACCCCATCAGCAGGATTAGTCCCCTCCATGGGGTTCTGGCTCAAATCTTTCTCCATCTCCTCCAGGAGCTGGTTCGTTTTATCCCACATGAGGGTGTACATGGAGCGGATGTTCTTGATGTTGAATGCCGGGGTGAGGGCTTTACGTTGCTTTTTGTGCGCGGGACCTTCGGACAGGATGAGGCCGAAGCCCAGGATACGCGCCAAGAAGTTGCGTGCGCGCCATGGTTTCTCGAAGTCGTAAGTATTGGTGCTCATAACATCAAGCAGGGCCTGGTGATTAGTGACAAGTAGATAGCTCTGGCTGATGCTGTCGCGGAGGTGGATGAGGCCTTCATTGGGGATCGTTCTCATCCAGTGCAACGGCCGGCGGCCGCGGGGGAGTCGAAGATGATTTTGGCATTGCTCATCAAGCCCTAATTATATCAATCAACATTCCTTCAAAAGAAACGTACACGATGCATCGTTGTGGGCTTAACATACCGGGACCTTGGGGAGATGGCGGAGGGGATTAAGGAAGAAGGGCCAGATGATGAGACTGTAGAGGCCTTTGAGCAAGATATTGACGCTCAAGGTCCCCAGCACGACGGTGCGAAAGGTCTCATGATTGAAGATGGTGCGTTGGAGGAAGTAGGCCTCAAGCAGCGTCACCGCCAGCAAGGCTGGGAAGCTGTCGCCCGCGGCCATAATGCGAGTGTCCGTTTGCAAAGAGATGCAAGCGCCCTGAAATCTGGGGGGAAGAAAGAGCAAGGTTTAGAATGGCTCTTTAGAACCGCCAAAGACTGGGGGCAGACCCATTATTTGGGTGGGTCGCATTGGAGACATCTGTCATCATCATTCATGCGACTAGTTCACTGTGCTCTGCTACATCCGAATCACATCCTGGACTAGCGGGAGCGATGATGGCAGGATGAATCAGGATCGTAAGGATCGGCAGTCCCTATAGTCCTTGTTGGGGCGACAGTGGAGCCTAGCCGAGGTTTCCATGCCACTTTTTTTGGATTCTTCTAGTCCGTTTTGATCCTTTTTGTGGGGGGTTTTGTTATCACATGAGTGCAGTGCAGCCCGATCGCGAAGCAGACTTCGTAGATTGTTGAATTGATCGACAATGTTGGACTCGTTCTGTTCAAGCGAGTCACCTAGATGAGGTCGGAAGAATCCGCAGATGTTGTTTTGCCTTTGCCTTCTCGGTGCATGCTGTATATGTATGACTCGGTCCAGTTTGTGAGTATCGACTGATCGACTTGGAAGTTGCGATGGTTCGGAATTTCGATGAGATCATCGGCCCCAGATTTGACTCCGAACCCCAGACTCCGGCATCCGCGTTGTCGTTCATAGTTCATCGTTCATCGGTTGTAGTCGCTCGTCCCTATATTGCGTCGGCCTGTTTTCTGCCTATTTGGTTCCTCTCGCGTGCCTTGCATGTGAATGGGCTCCACTGATAACCTTAGACTCCCCTTTTCCCATGATTCGAGGGTTCTGATTGGCCTCTCACGGACCCCGACTGTAGACTCCACCGCGTGGCAGATGAGCGGAGGGTTATTCCCCCATTTGGCCTTTCTTCATCTGCAGACTCGCCCACCTCCACACGATGATCTGATCTCCACCCGAGCCCGCTTAATCCTTTGGATGCTTGAAGACTATTGAGAAAGACCCCTCCAATGGATCGATGGATTGCTCCCTGGCCTGCCCCGGTCGGCGCCTGCTCGCAACGCTTGCCATGTTGGCGAACGAAGACGTAGGCCCCTGCACGCGGTCCTAGCTGCCTCGGTTGTGACGCGCGAAATGCCGACTCCTCAGTCAATCGTTGCTTTCGGAATCATGGGGAGAAACATGGGACTCAAATGGAGACTCGGCGTGTGGGGCCTGGCACGCAAATATCTGGGAGGAAAGCTCGTCTATGTTTAAAGACTTCAGTCCTCGAGGCACGACCTTCTCGAACCTCCTCTATTCCATCTCTCAACCCACCTCTTCACTCTGTTGTTTTTTTTTTCCGTTGAGCTTTCCTTTCCCTCCTTGAACCCGATCTAATGGCCGCCTACCTTGATCTTGCCCGGGAATACTCCCAGACGGCCCTGGCGCAGCTCCCCGCACCTGCCCAGCAGTGGCTGTCGAACCCGCTCACCCAAAAGGGTCTGACTTTGGTGCTGGCTCTCGGTCTGCTGCGATCGCTGAATATGTCGCTATCCCAATGGACCTTGAACAACTGGACCCGGAGCGGCAGCTGGGATCCCGCGTGTGAGCTCATTCTCGTCACCGGCGGCTCTAGTGGCATCGGCAAGCAAGTGATGCAGGACCTGGCTCGCACTGGCGTGCGTGTCATTATTCTTGACATCACCGAACCCTCATTCCAACTCCCCGCCAATGTCTCCTTCTATCGTGTCGACATCACCTCCTCGGCCAGCATCGCCGAGGTCGCGAAAACCATCCGCAATGATCATGGTGACCCTACGGTGCTGGTCAACAACGCCGGCGTCGGCCACGACGGCACCATCCTTGAAGAGTCCGAGGCCAAGATCCGCCAGACCTTCGAGGTCAACACCATCTCCCACTTCCTCATGGTCAAGGAGTTCCTGCCGGCCATGATCCGCGCCAACCATGGCCACGTCATCACCATTGCTTCTATGGCCAGTTTCGTTGGCTTGGGCGAGATGGCCGACTACTGCTGCTCCAAGGCCAGTGCCCTGGCCTTTCATGAGAGTTTGCGTCAGGAACTGAAGTCCTGGTACAACGCACCGGGTGTGCGGACCAGGTGAGTGATATATACATACGATCACGCTCGACTCTACTACCCAAACCCAACAATACTAATTTGGAACCGCAACAGCATCATCCATCCCATGTGGGTGCGCACCCCAATGATCAAGCTCCTCACCGATCACGAGGCCCACTTCCGCCAGCCCATCATGACTGTTGAGTTTGTGTCGAATGCCATCTGCAAGCAGATCCTCACCCAGAACAGTGGCCAGGTTATCCTGCCCCCGAGAATGTCAGGCACCAGCCTGGTGCGAGCGTTGCCAACCTGGATTCAGGATAGCGTGCGGGTCATTGCCTCGGGTTCGCTACGGCGGCTGCGGGACGTGCAGCAGAAGCAGGGGCTGTAAAACGGAGGAAAGAGAATTAAGTTTCCTCTCGTCCTTGGAGTCTATTTGTTTGAATCTTTCTTTCTTTCTTTCTTTCTTTTTTTCTCCATATTTCCCCTTTTCAACTTGACTGTATATACGTATCTACCTGTGTGACGACATGCCATGAAAATGTTGATACCTGCCACTCTGGCCGATTTAATGCTTTTGATATGAAAACTTGTGTTTTCCTGAAAGAACAAAATAACCTCTCTCGCATTTTAAAGAACACACACACACATACACAAATTGATGATATTCAAAACAAATGCACTTATAGTCCTAGACGAGGTGGGACGGCATATCACATGAAACTTAAAAAATTCTCCAAACTTCCCGGTCCTGCGGGTTGTCACAGTCACACAAGATCGTCGATTTCGAATGATTCAAGACACATTAAGAGATGAAGATTGTACAGTACGGACGTCTCATGAAAATGTCTGGTTCATGCTATGTGCCACGTAATAATATAGACCACCCGTGTCCCCCTTAATGGAGTGAGTGGAATGAGTAGGCAGAAGAGGAATTGGAACTACGTATATACTATATAGTCAGGAATTGATATGATATTTACCCGCCTCGATCTCCCCCTTGTTTTACCGCGCATGTTCCACCAACCACGTCTTCACCTTCTTACCCTGCTCGGTCTCGGTCTTATCGCCCAATTCCAGGTTATAGACGGGGGCGACATGGCACTCGCGCAAGCCGACGAACAGCTCGGCCGTGGGGAAGCCAGCCTGCAGCTTCTGCGCAAAGTCCTGGATGATCGGCATCATGATTTCATTGCCGCCGCAGGTCACCAGGATTGCCTGGACTGGGAAGCGTGCGAACCAGTCGGTGGGGGCATTGGAGAGATCGGTGTAGAAGTCGCGGGCGGGCTGGGGCCCCAGATAGGCGCTGGACCATGGCCCCGCGACGGCCGTGGTGATTATGTCACCGCCGTGATAGATCTCCTGGCCCGGGAACTCGGTGTCGAGCAACGTCCAGGGGGCGATCATCACGGCACCCCCGAGCTGGGCGTTTGCGCCGGTGAGGTGTGCGATTGGCTCGATCTGGGGGTGTGGGTGGGCGAGATGTGACAAGACACCGCCGACAAGGTTCCCACCGGCCGAGTCGCCGCCCAGGAAGACGGTGGCCGGGTCGCGGTCGGACTGGGAGAGGATGTAGCGAGTCGCGGCGACGGCTTGGCGCAATTGCGTCGGGTATGCGTGCTGCGGGGCGAGCGAGTAGGTGAGGCTGAAGATAGCGAGCCTCTTGCCGCCGCGGTTACAATGTTGGATGAGCTGAGAGAAGAACTTGAAGTGGGCTATACTGGCGGGCAGGGCGAAGCCTCCTCCTGCGTAGGATCAAAGTGACCCGGTTCAGCTTCACCGTTCTTCGTCGTCGCGGGAATATCTCACTCACCATGAAACCAGATCAACACGTTGGTTGCGTCGCGGTCACCGACCCAGTGGCCCAGCGCGCCGTCGCCCAAATCCACAGTCTGCGCGGAGAGGCCAGTCTGTTTCGCATAGCGATCGTAGACCTTGTTGGTCCGGGGCAAGATGGCCTGCATCTGCGTGGGCGACAGGCGCGCGGTGGCCTGGCGGAAGATGGCATAGCCGAAATGCAGCAATAGCGATTTGGCCTGGCGCTCGGAGCGCCAAACGCCCGTCAACAGCGCGTAGAAGCCGGCCACCACGATCGTGGCCAGCGCAGGAATGAAGTCGAGTCTCTCTGTGAGTGAGAGACTCACCTTGGACAGCGACATGGTGTATGTATATGTATATGATCTTCGTTTTTTGGTTTCCCGTATTGCCTTTTTGATGGGCCACGTCTCTGACAATGAACCCCGAATTAGGGGTGGGAGGAATCTGCAGGGTCTGGTCGAATATCGACTGGTCTCGTGTGTCGGTGTCGGATATAGATCGAGCGTGGACGTGTGGATGTATGGATGGCAGTATATAGTATCGAGCCTGCACCATCCCGCAAATAGAATCCTCTCTTCGACACTACCCCAGGTCTTTTCCCCCCGGCTTCACGTTCATTCCCTTTTTTTTTTTTTTTTTTGGTCGCGTTTGCGCCTTTCTTCAAACCGCGCTGAGGCCCCACTGGATCCACAGGAACCTCGGGCCTCTCTCGCAATGCTATCTCATTGGAGTAAGGATCTTCGTTTGGCGATGTCGGAGGGTTTTGTCTCTTTTCAGCTAATTTCCTCCTTTAGGCTGGTTCTTTTGTCTTTGGTTCTGGGTCTCCAGGTTCATCGACACCGTGGATGCTCGTCGCTGGCCCTGATCCGATTTTGTTGGGACCGAGGATTCAGAGTTTGTCCTCGGCTGCTCAGCAGCACGCACGAGCCGCATTCATGACGTTTTTCCCTCGGCGGAGGAGAGAATAGCATATACTGTTGAAGTTGGCGACCAGTGCAATTCCTTGATCCATGGATTCATGGGGGAAGAGAGCCCAAACAAGAGGAAGAAAGAGACCGACCGAACTATCCAGCACAGGGCAACAATCCAGAGATATAGAACTCCCCCAGCGAGACCGCCCCCCCCATCACCGTCCAAGAGATCCCCGATCACGATTCCCTGTAGAGTCGATGCCTGGACTCCGTTTCGGGCATACTGACAATAGACTCGAGTCGACTAGTATACAACTAGTCGATCTGCATCGTCATGCCTCCACGCTTTTCGTCGTGATCGTCGGCCCCCGCACAGACGCTGGGCTCCACTTGTTGAAAGGAAAAGAACCAAAAATAAAAATAAAAAAGCAGAAGAATCCTGCCACATTAAAGCCGAAAAAATATCACCCCATAAAAAAGAAGCCCATGATCGGAACCCGAGGCATGTGAAGCCTTTTAAACGGTGGTCGCTGCTCGTCTGTTCTGTACTCCGGACTCTTGTCTCTCGTGTTTGGCCCCATCATTGCTCAATCGGGGATGCTGGATGCACCCTGAAATACCTGCAGCTGCTGCCTTATCTTGTCTCTTCTCTTCTCCCTTTCTTCTATAAACCACAGCCACGGAGTCACCGAGTCCTCGCTTATCCTCATCGCCGTTCTTCACCTGATCGGAATCTGCTCCTCTCCTCCATTCACTCCACGCTGTCTCTCTCCACGCCCCGCACCAGCACCACCAGCACCACCACCCATCACGACCCTTCAAGACTCTCAGTTTCTCAGAATTCCATAAAATGAACGGCCACGCCAGCGGGCCCGCAGAGCACCGCTTCGACGTGATTATCGTCGGCGCCGGCATCTCCGGTATCAATGCCGCCTATCGCCTACAGAAGCAGCTGCCCGGGTTTAGCTATGCGATCCTGGAAGCCCGCTCGAGTCTGGGCGGTACCTGGGACCTGTTCCGCTATCCTGGGATCCGCTCCGACTCCGACTTGTACACGTTCGGCTTTGCCTTCAACCCCTGGCGCCGCAACAACCCCATCGTCGAAGGGGCTGACCTCAGGTCCTACATCGGCGAGACGGCCGAGAAGTTCGGGATCGACAAGCAGATCCGCTACCGCCACCGTCTGCAGTCTGCGGACTGGTCCTCTACGGACCACGTCTGGTCCCTGGCCGTTGACGCGGATGGCCAGCCTACCACGTTCACCGCCCGCTTCGTCATCTTCGGAACCGGCTACTACAATTATCAACAACCATTGCAGGCCAACATCCCGGGGCTTGAGAATTTCCAGGGCCAGATCATTCACCCTCAATTCTGGCCGGAGGACCTCAATTATGCCAACAAGAAGATCATCATCATCGGTTCCGGAGCCACCGCCGTGACGCTTGTCCCCAATCTCGCTCCCAAGGCCGCGCGCGTCACCATGCTGCAGCGGAGCCCGACCTACATTATGTCGCTCCCCAACCGCAGTTCCAGTCGCTGGATGGCCTACCTGCTCCCCTCCGCCACCTTCGAGCGTGTCCAGCGCGCCATCTATATCATCGCCACCCGCATTTTCTTCCTCTTCTGCCAGCGCTTCCCCAATTTCTCTCGCTGGATCATCAGGAGGAACGTCTCGCGCCAACTGCCCGCCCACATCCCCCACGACCCGCATTTCAATCCCCGCTACAACCCTTGGGATCAGCGGTTCTGCGTCTCTCCCGATGGGGACTTCTTCAAGAGTCTGCGCTCTGGCAAGGCCGACGTGCGAACCGATACCATCAAGACAGTCACCAAGCACGGGATCAACTTGAATTCTGGCGAGTCCCTCGACGCCGACATCATTGTCACTGCCACTGGTCTGCAACTGCAGATTGCCGGCGGGACCCCGCTGTCCGTCGACGGCCAGAAGGTCGATGTCGGTTCTAAGTACCTGTGGAACGGCGTGATGATGCAGGATCTGCCGAATGCCTCGTTCGTCATCGGCTATACCAACGCTTCCTGGACCCTCGGCGCCGATGCCACCGCCCACTTCATCATGCGCCTCCTCAGGACCCTCGAGTCCCGCAAGCTGATTGCCGCTATTCCCCGGATGAAGCCAGAAGTGGCCCAGGTGGTCCAGGACCGCCCGCTCCTCAATCTCAACTCCACCTATGTTACGGTTGCGCAGCAGTCACTGCCCAAGGCTGGCGATCGGGGCCCCTGGAAGCCTCGCGACCATTACCACAAGGACATCAAATTTGCACTGAAGGGCAATTTGGATGAGGAAATGGAGTTTGTCCAAGGGCCCAACATCCATCTCCGCCCCAAACTGTCATGAACGGAATCTTTGTTATGACTGACCTTGTGCTGCGTAAAGGGGGTTTTTTCTTCTTCTGTTAAATCTGTTTTGATCTTTTTGTTTTACTTTATTGTGATGATGATACCTCTCTTGTGTGACGACTTGCCACCTTCCCTCTTCGTCTCCCTTTCTTTTTCTGTTCTTTTTGACCTCCTCATTGACATATTTTGCGGATACATACTGCGGCCGCATTCAGGGATATCTTGAGCCATATTCCGTACATCTTCCAACAGATATCATGACTGTGTTTCCAACGAAACCCAATTGCCATGTAAATAGAACAATACCTGCGCTTTCTTGAGAATATACCACAAACCCCCCTTCTATTAAAATAACCGGATCCTGCATTGACCATAAAATAATAAGTCTAATCAGAACCCTCCCCCACTCCCCCCGAAACGTCGTGCAGCAGCAGCGGCGCGCATAGGGCGCCGCAAGTCGTGCATTAGCTCCGGTCCGATTCAAGACAGACGGACCCCGGATCCCAGGAGCGATCTCTCGATCGAAATCAAGAAATCAAGAAATATGCACAATTGACCCCAGCTAGGCTCAAGATTCCTAGACACTTTATTTTTGTCTCTCTGCCGGCCGGAGTCTAGACCGATGAAATGAAATGGGAACGGTGCGAAAACTGGATTTGACGCGTTGCGAGAACATCCGCATTCCGCGGTTGCATGATGTCACTTGGCGACAGCATCGAGATGTCATCTTCGATGAAAACGACCGCGCTGCCCACGCAGAGGAAATAAAAAGGTCAAATATTGATTCTGTCGCCTATAACACTAGCCAGGAACTTTCAATTAGATTTCTGTTCAAAGGTATCCTTCCACGTTGTCTATCTACTTTTCTTTTGCGGCAAACGCCTCCGCAAATATGGCACCCAAGGATAAATACACCGACCCCAAGCTGCGCGACAAGGTGAAGAAAGAGGTCCACAATAGCGATAAAGGAGGCAAACCTGGCCAATGGTCTGCACGGAAGGTATTTTTTCTTCTCAATTATTCGAGGTATCTTGATCCGATTCTAACTCTGCTAGGCGCAAATGATGGCTGCCGAATACAAGAAGCGCGGCGGTGGATACACCACGTCCAAGGAAGATGGGCAGAGCGAGTCACAGCGGCATCTAGAGCAGTGGACCAAGGAGGACTGGCAGACGAAAGAAGGGTCCGGCACGGCGCGTCAGGACGATGACAGTCGCAAACGGTATCTCCCCAAGGAAGCGTGGGAGCAGATGAGTGAAGAGGAGAAAAAGGAGACTGAGAACAAGAAGATCAAGGCCTCGAAAAAGGGGGAGCAGTTCGTCGGAAATACCACCAAGGCTAAGTCGGCCAGGAGGAAGGCCAGTCGTGATGCCGAAGAGGGAGATGAGCAGGAGGATAAAGAGAAAGGAAAAGACGACACTGATCGAGCTAGGCCGCGGACACGACAAGCTAGTGGACGCCAGAAGAATGGAGATGAGAACAAGAATCCTTCTTCTGACGAGGAGTCAGCGAATGATCAGCAGAAGAATAGCAAGAAGGGTGCAGGGGTAAAGAGGGCATCACAGCAGACACAGACGCAGTCATATACCAAGAAGCAGAAGACTGAAAATGAGAATCAGAACAAGAAAGATGACAAGGAAGAAGAGGAAGAAGAGGAAGAAGAGGACGAGGAGTACGAAGACAATGAAAATGGGAAAGAGGAAGCAGAAGCAGAGGAGGAAGCGGAAGATGAAGATTAAGAATAGCTCGGTTTATCTTAATATTAACCGGAGATTGTCGTCAAATATACGCAATTTTAGGAAACAAAAAGTCCTCCTCGTGTAAAAGCGTTAAATCGTCTGAAGCAACAGTCACCAAACGAGGTGCCGTCATGGTTTCATCTTTCATTATATATACTGCTATTCCATCATTTCAGCGCCTCCTGCCGCCCTTCTTCGTCGACCTTCTCTCCTCGGCCCTCATATGCACTTGTAGGCAACATGTTCAGATGATCTTCTTCGCGATCCAACTTGTAGTTGGTCGCCCAGAAGCCGATACAGCCGACAAAGGCCAGAATTGCGACCACGCCGTAGTTCCACACCAGGAGCGGATCCGCAGACAGACCCACCATCGCCTGTCCGATAGCCGATGAGATGGCGTTCATGAACAGCGCAACAGCCTGCACCAGGGATCGCATGTTACGTGGAGCCTTAGTGAAGGCATATTCCAGCGAGGTGACCGAGGCCAGAATCTCGGAAATGCCACCGAGGATGTAGGCTAAGGCCTGCACCCAGACCGAGATGTTGGTGTATTCGCCTTTCTCCTCCAAACAATAGTTCGCCTCCTTACCGCAGGGACCCATCTTATAGATGTAGTACTGGGTAACCGTGGCAGCGATCATACCACACCCGGCGACTGCGAAGCCCGCGGTGATTCGTTTCAGAGGGGTGAAGTTGAAGCCCATCCGACGCAGGCCCGGGTACACAAATCGGTCAAAGATGGGGATGAAAATAATCAAAGCGAAGGGGTTGAGATTGTTGACCACATCATTTGGCACACCTCCCAATTTCATGGTAGCCGCCTGGGAAGTCAAGTTGTTCAACATCTGATTGTAGGCCAGCCCTAAAATTTGTTAGCACGGAGTGTTTTGGGATAAAACCTGACATCGAAAGACGGCGAGAGAGTCTCTTACAGTACAGAGGATACCACAAGAACACCTTGCAGGCCTTGAGTCCACGACGGACCTCATCTACCCACTCATCGTCAAAGGTCATCCATTGAGGCTTGTTTTCACCCAGCCGGCTGGGCTTGACATGGTCCCAGAACTCGTGCTCAGCAGATGTTTGTTTAAACCTTAATTTATTGTCAGATGAAGCTTAGGAATATGGTTAGTTTTTAAGAGGGCGTCATCGACTTACAGTCGAATGGGATTGAGCGACCACCGTCCGTTCATTGCAAGTTTCCAGAGACGGAAAGCTTGTGTATAGACAGAACCAGTTGGTGGAACCAGATAGTACTTGTTCCGGCAAAAATAGAGCACTGTTGGGCAGCAACAGAACATCAGGGTGGGAAGGAGGTATGAAAGCCAGAAGCCAATATATCGCTCGGCATAGACCATGCTAATCTGACCGATTAGGGAGCCAACATTGATCATCAGATAGAAGTAAAGATAGATTCGAGCCACGGTAGCGGCAGGATCCACGATAACACGTTCTCCACTGGCTAGAACGCGAATGATGGGCTTTTCCTCGCGATACTGTTCGGCGATGAGAGGAGAGATGTTGGATCTATGGTGGTAAGGGGTCAGCGATCAGCTTCAGCTTGCCAGGGAATTTGCTACCATGGTTGATCATACTTAAAGCCACCGGTGCCCACGCCCATGATCACAAGGCCGATTGAGAAGCAGGCAATCGAACCACCGGGCTTGGCTATAACACTTGGGATGGCGGAGATAATTAGAATGACATGACCGACAAGCGCGCAGGCAATTGAGGCAAAAATGGTGCGGAATCGTCCCCAATACTGATCGGCAACATAAGCGCCAGCAAGAGGCATCACGTAAGACCAGAATTGATTGACTGGCTGGTCAGCAACCGCTCGGTGTCTCTCCAAGAGTATTCTTCACTTACACAAGGTCAGACCAGTTGACGCACGCTGACCCATGCCCAGGGCTCCAGGGACACCGTTGCTGAAATCAGACCCTGGAGGAAGATTGCCCGCGGTGGATCCTGCTGGGAGAGGGCGTTGAATGAAGTTCACGACTGGCTTGCATAGTTAGAACCCGTTTTTTTTGAACGTGCGCTTTCATTTTTCTTTTGCTAGGTAGGGGGTTGCGCTTTGTTGCGCTCCAGTACTTACAGACTGCGGTGGTGCCGTAATAGGAGAATCGCTCGCACAACTCGACGAAAGCCACAGTGAATGTGATCCAAGGAATATGACCGGAGACACGACGCAGGGTTCGCAAGTCTTCATCATTGGGATATACCTTCTGCAGCGCCGCATCATCATTATCATTGTCTTCGTCGCGACTCAACGACGCGGCTGGTGCAGGTTCAATGGTCAAATCCTGGCTTAGATCAGGTTGCTTTTCGCTCACGGCGACATCATGCGCAAGAGCCTTCGCCTTGGCTGCCTCGGCGACATCGACAGGCTCCGACGCATTCATGGTTCGGATTGAGGGCAAGTAAGAGCCAGGAGAAAGAGGAAGGTGACCGACGGACAGGAGGAGGCAGAAGAGGAGCGGGGAAAAGGAAGGAAGCGGTTGAATTTAAGATTAAATAGTGAGGCCGGGATTAAAATGCGAGAGAAAATGCATGGAAGCACTAGAAGTTGACAAGAGGACTGGCTAACTGACTATCCCCCAGTCGCCCGTTAAGGAAGGTAGTGCTCGTGTCAGTTTGCCTCCTCCGCGCCACTATCTCTTTAGCCCTTTCGCTTTTCCCTTGCCTCGGACGGTTCCAGTGCTCGTGTACTTGGTTAAGTTTCTGATATCTCAGGATTGCACCGGCGCATTGACTGGATCCAGCCAGGAACCGTCGGTAGCCGGAGGCCCGACGCTGCTTGGCTCTTGGGTGGCTGTTGGGGGCGCTAAGCTAATCTCGAGGACCTGTTCAAGACACTCAGGGTCCTGAGGGCGGAGGATTCGTGCAACATGATCTGTATCTCTTGTTGTATTTTGTCTTTCTGGAAAGATTCTTTAGTGGCCGGCCATTTGAAGATTGCAGATGAAATTGCACGAATTGTACCCCAAGGGACGGCTGAACCCGGTCCACGGAAAGAGACACCAGCACGCGAGATAGCGCCATGTTTGACAATAGGAGGCCTTAAGCTGATAACATCCCAGTAGCCCACGCGCAAGATGTTGTCTCCGGGTCGCAATCTTTCAAATCTCGCCAGGGTCCTTGGAATCTTGGCACTTGATTTGAATCTCCGCAGAAGCTAACCTTGCCAAGTCTGCTCGTGGCCAATTGGCGACGTTCAAGGGGGCGGTCCGAGTGTCTTCATCCTGGCCCTTGGCAAACATCCTTGGCATGGCCAGTCAGCTTGGCTGGAAGGTTGCATTGCAACCCTGGTTCTTGGCTCTGTCTGATGCAGCGTGCGCTGGTAGCGTGTGGCAAGGGCTGGCAGAGATTGGGACAGATTGAAACTGGATTGGTCGGGGATGGAACAGCATCGGACCAACATGGTCGGCCCTCGTTGATAAACGAAGCGGGCAGTCTTCTCACTGGCTGTTCATTTCCAGATGACCCGGCCAACAAAGCCGGTCCATGAGGGAGGCTTGAGCAAGCAGAGGCTCCTCACCACTGACACAGTGAGTAGCTTGGCCAAAGTCCCCCCCCCAGCCCTCATCGCCGATAGTGGACAGGCTCTCGACTCATCCACGAATTGGAGGATGGCGATTATTTGGTGAACTCACGAGTTGGTGGCTAAAGGAGGGGTAAGAGGGGGTTGATGCATGGGAAAGGACAAAAGAGGGAAAGGGGGGGACGCAGAGAAGAAAAAGAAAAGCAAGACTATACTAACAATTACAAGCTGATCTGCACTTCATACGGCCCGCAGAAAAGCATCCAGCCCAAAGTCTTTATTACTGCTCTTTGCCATCCTGCACTTATTATATTGTACAACCGATAATCAACGCCTGAAGGAAGGGCAAAGCTATATTGTTCGATTGTCGACGGACCTATATGGGGGTTCCGCTTTACAGAGAGCCAGACACGAAGCCCCGAGGTTGGATACAAACGGGGATCTAAATATCCTCGAGAAGCTGTTTACCAGATTGACTTCAAACCAAATGGTCTGCAGACCGACTCACTTTGGCGCTTTATGTCACTCTCCACAATCTGTTGTCATTCAGTGACTTCCAGTCATGGGACATTCCGCAACTCACCACTATGATCTAACCTGACAGATACGGGCCCTTGTGTCCTTGACTCACAAAATATTCGAGCAGGTGGTAGATATGAAATCAGAGGGGAGCAAACAACAGTAACAAACAACATCTTCCCAACTCATGAGTACATAGAAAAACGATTAACTTAATCATGGGGTATACCACGAAACATGTTAAATATCCGGGGCTAAACAAATGGTGCTCACAAAGATGATAGTCAGCACTAAAAGTCAATTGATATTCTAGAAGTCTTTAGAGGAACCTGGGCAACTCCCGGAAATTGACGGGTCGGGTCCAATTGGCCAAGATCCCGCCCAGAAAGAGCAAAGAGAAGCCTCGGCCAACCAGTAATCGTCCATCTGTACAGGTACAAAGTACTCATATATGGTAGTACTGCTATTGGGCTTTTCACTTAGGGTGGCATGCCTCATGCTCTAGGTTCTTGATATTTTTTATTCTCTTTGGCATGCGAACATTCATACTTGTACACTCGGCTCTATCTCACAGCTCGCTCTCTGGGTTCTTGCATGAGACCTCGCGGTTACGCTTTGCACTGCCCTCTAAACCATACAGGACATCCTCGGACATGCCCGGGATCACCATCTCAAAGGTATTTTCAACCACTGTATACTGATAGTAACCGCAGCGCGCGATGGGCTTGGTCTTTTTAATGTCCAAAATGCCGTCTGTCAGAACCTCATCATTGATATGCACGGCGATCACTTTGCCGATCACGATATCTACCGTCCCCATGGGGGGATTTCCCGGCAGTCGGACGGTCGAATGATATTCGCACTCGAACTTGACAGGCGACTCCTGCACCATGGGTACATCCATTAGGGTGGCGGGCTCCTTGGTGACCTGAGCCCGTTCGAACTCATCCACGCCATACGGGACCTGCTCGGCAGAGATGTTGACGGCTTCGCGCAGATCCCAGGTAGCCAGATTCCAAACAAAGTGACCGGTTTGTTCGGCATTGATGACGGTGTCCTTGCGAGATCCAGTCACGGTTTGATTCGAGGAGAACATCACATAGGGTGGGTCGAAGGTGAGGTTATTGAACTGCGAATAGGGCGCTAGGTTGGCCTGTCCGTCTTTGTTCTGGGTGGAGATCCATCCAATTGGACGCGGCACCACACAGGCCTGCAACCAGTCAGCATTGTGGTCTGTTTGCTATAATGCTAATGCAAATCTGCCAAGGGCTGAGGCCAGCATGGGGATAGTCGTTGACTATGAGATACGGACCTTGAACGGGTCGTGTGGCAGGTTATGCTCGGTGACTCCCGGTTGGTAGAACATAGTGGTGAGATCCTCGTATGTACAGGGCAGTCTTTGCTAGGAGCGAGATGGGAGTTCCGTGGTCTGGTGCAATTCAAAGGAATCAATCTATAGCGGTCTCTCGGTAGTCCGACCAGGACGTGGAGTGGCCCCTCTATTTATTTCCCCTCCCCTGATGCCTTTGCTGGCCCCACAGTTGAGTGAGAGATGCCGACCTTCAAGCCGGATGGCGCCGTTGCTGGTCAAGAACTCTCTTTATTGGCGATCAGCAGCCTACCAGAATATGCGGTCATAATGTATCTTCCCCGAGAGTCCGATACCAAGATGCCTATGAACCGAAAGCTAAAAGACTGGTAGACTGGCAACGCCGGTTCGGCACACTTCGGGAGCTCGGCGAAGCGGTGGCTCGGTGGCTCGGGTACTCGGAAACAGTTCAGAGTCTATTTCGGAACTTCGGGCTCGACATCTTTTCAGTGCGAGCCCAGTTAGACATTCCGAATCGATGTTTGGAGGGCCGGACACGGGATCCCGAGTGGAAAACATGGTGGATCCGAGTTTACCGTGCCGATTCAATTGAGGATTATTTAAATCGCAGAGCCCGGCTGCTGAGGATCATCCCGGACAACTAGATCGCACTCCATCTTATCTTACATATCATCATAGCAAGCCTCGCCATAATAAGCACTTCCAACTCGCCTCAAACAGAGACACTAATTGGCTTCGCTTCGTCTTTCACAATGACTTCCATCGCGCCCCATCTCTGCTTCCGATCCTTCGTGGAGGCCCTCAAAGCCGACAATGATCTCGTGGAGATCGATACGCCCGTGGACCCTAATCTCGAAGCCGCCGCCATCACGCGTTTGGTCTGCGAGACTGACGACAAGGCCCCTCTGTTCAACAATGTCATCGGTTCTCAGAATGGTCTGTTCCGGATCCTCGGTGCTCCCGGCTCCCTACGCAAGTCTCCCAAGGACCGCTATGGCCGCCTGGCCCGCCATCTGGCATTGCCCCCGACAGCCTCCATGAAGGAAATTCTCGATAAGATGCTTTCCGCGAGCGAGATGCCACCAATTCCTCCGCAGATCGTGGCCACTGGCCCGTGCAAGGAGAATGTTTTGGAAGAGAGTCAAATCGATCTAACCAAACTGCCGGCCCCGCTGATCCACCAAGCGGACGGCGGCAAGTACATCCAGACATATGGAATGCACGTCGTCCAGACCCCTGATGGCTCATGGACCAATTGGTCCATTGCTCGAGCCATGGTTTCCGATGAGAAGCATTTGACTGGCCTAGTTATTGAGCCGCAGCACATCTGGCAGATCCACCAGATGTGGAAGAAGGAAGGCCGAGATGTCCCATGGGCGCTGGCATTTGGTGTACCTCCCGCCGCCATTATGGCTTCTAGTATGCCCATCCCAGATGGAGTCACAGAAGCCGGCTATGTCGGAGCCATGACGGGCTCGGCCTTGGAGCTCGTCAAGTGTGACACCAACGACCTCTATGTCCCAGCGACCTCCGAGATCGTCTTGGAAGGCACCTTGTCTATCACTGAAAAGGGCCCAGAAGGGCCATTTGGAGAGATGCATGGCTATGTTTTCCCCGGAGACACTCACCTGTGGCCAAAGTATAAGGTCAACCGCATCACCTACCGGAACAATCCGATCTTGCCCATGTCCTCTTGCGGTCGACTGACCGATGAGACCGTAAGTCCTCTTTCCACGACCTTGTTACTAAATTTCCCATTTCTCATGCTAATTGATGGTCACAGCACACTATGATCGGAGCTCTTGCAGCTGCGGAGATCCGCAAGATCTGCCAGCAAAGCGGTCTCCCCGTAACTGACGCCTTCTCCCCGTTCGAGTCCCAAGTGACGTGGGTTGCGCTGCGCATTGATACCGCTCGCTTGCGCGAGATGAAGGTCACTCCCATCGAGTTCCGGAAGATGATCGCCGATGTGGTGTTTAAACACAAGGCCGGCTACACCATCCATCGCTTGGTCTTATGTGGTGACGACATCGATGTCTACAATGGCAAGGATGTGATGTGGGCCTTCTCCACTCGGTGCCGTCCCAATATGGATGAAACCTTTTTCGAGGATGTGCGTGGATTTCCCTTGGTCCCGTATATGTCACATGGCACCGGCTCGCCCACGCAAGGTGGTAAGGTTGTTTCGGATGCATTGATGCCCAGTGAATATACCACCGGACGCGACTGGGTGGCAGCTGATTTCGAAAGCTCCTACCCCGAGGAGCTGAAGCAAAAGATCCGCGCGAGCTGGACTCAGATGGGGTTCCGGGAAGAGTAAACAGTCCATGAGTTCCGATATACAACATTTTCTGTTTGGCAAATACATGAAATAGACTTAAAATCATATGACAGCATCAAGAGCCCCATGTCTTGCATACATATTGGAGGGTGTTATCAGCATCAGCCATGAATCGTAAAACCAAATCAGTCAAAAGATAGCTCTCTTGTCTCTCAAATCAAAGCCCCAGGAATCCATAGACCGACCTAACGCATCTATCCCTTGCAATCTCATAAAACTTTCCGTCCACCGAAGCACTCTCCGCGAGCCGTCCGTCCTGGTCTTTGTTTTCCTCAACAGTGCTTAGTTTTAATCGTGTCCTGTTTGTTTTATCTCTTGTCTCTTTGTTCTGGCAAACAATGCCTTGTTAATAAATAAAGACAATGAACATTGCCGAGATTTTTGCTCTTCGGATCCCTTATGAAAGTCCATGAATATATAAAGCATGTCAATCCCTCGGATGTTGGTTTTTCTCCAGGCCATTCTGCTCTTTGCTTTTCTTAATTAATATCCTTTGTGCCCTTTCTGCTTTCTTCACTTGAATTTTCTTCAAACCTTCGAGTTCTCTATCTTCCTCAATTGATTCGCGTGACCACCTTCACCATGTTTCAATGGGCTCGGACAGTCATTCGATGGGCTCATGCTTTCGTTCGTTGGTTTCTCTGCCGTGCCCCATTGATTTCGGCCCAGGATGAGGAATTGGAATTGAGTTCCGAGGTTCCTGCATCAATTCATGCCCCTCAAGAGCTCTCTGTATTACCACCGTTGCCTGTTCCCGAGGATCCTGCTGTGCCTGAGCCTCTTGTCGAGGCTTCTATTCTCCCAACGCTCCCCATCGAGACTTCTATTCCATCAGCGGTCCCCGCCGATACTGATCACGAACTCGAGTTCCGGGATCACACTCAAGTAGTTTCCGAGCTTGCACCCCAGGCTGATGCCCCGATTCAGACCCAGGAGGATACTTTGGGGGTTTCAGAACCGTCTACTCAGTCCATTATCACCCGAATGCCCACCGGAATTCTCCTGCAGGTCGCTAATATGGTAGACCGTCAGTCCCGTTTTAACTTGTCTCGAATTAGCCGACAGGTCTATCGTGCCCTTAGTCGCTCTCCACCTGGCCTCGGCGATGTCCCTGTAGAGCTCTTTCTGGAAATTTGTTATCGTGTAGACAACCGCGCACTGTATCATCTGGCACGGACTTGTAGAAGTTTCCATACCCACCTCATTTCATCTGTTCGAAGGAATACCCTCAATACGGGTCTTACCCCACCAGAGGCTCTCCAGGCCACGTATGGGTATCAAGATGGCATCAGGCCCGGAAACGTCGAGCCTGCATATGCGGACGTGTTCTGGGGCAGGCCTAATGCGCTTGTCCAGGCAGTTATTCGGGATGATACTGACACTGCATGGGAATTGCTTCACCACGGGGCCGACCCGAACTTGCCCAATGCAAGCGGGATGTTACCGCTGCTCTTCAACGCTTACATGGGCTCGTTACCGATGACTGAATTGCTCCTAGAGTTTGGAGCTCATCCATGCCAGATGAATCCGGTGCCTCCTGATCGTCCTATGGACTACGCCGTCCGGGCCGGGCTAGAAACCATGGTTCGGCGGTTTATTCGGGCCGGAAATATCTCTCCGTGTATCTCAGATGTCGTGGGAGACATCATCCGTAATAGCGAAGTGGAAACGATTGAATTAGCTATGGAGGTGGGCGAGATAGATTTTGAGCATGTCGACGCTAAGTGCCTGCAGGATACCCAACAGGGTGTATTGCATTGCACCGCCGTCCGCAACGATTCTACAATCATGAACCTTGTCCTGCCTCACCTTCCAATCAGTGTCATCAATACTGAGAATGGGTTGGGAGAGAATGCCCTCCAATTTGCCATAGAGATGAGCAAGCTGAACGTGTGGAGGATTGTGGCCCAAATTCCTGGCCTTAACATTAACCATCAAAGCCACAATGGGACATCGGTGCTAATGTCGGCGATCGAGAGGGGAAATTTAGTCGCAGCCGACTGGCTACTTGATCACGGAGCTCAGGTCAATAAGCACAAACGGACAGGTGAGAATGAGCTCCATTGTGCAATTGCGAGACACCAGCTTGCAATCATCCCCCGTCTGCTGGAAAAGGGTACTGATATCAACATGTTAGCTTTCAACCGAGGAACGCCATTGCATTATGCAGTTCGGACAATGGACCTAGAGCTGGTACGCCTTCTTTTGTCGACTCGTTTGCAGACTGCGGACTTGACAATTGTGGATGAGTCTCTGGGTCATGATGTGATCAGCGAGTCAAGATTTTTGGCCGAGTCAATGGCCGATGCGGTAGAGATTACCGATCTACTGCTTGAATATGCGAACTCGGCTGCGGAAATTAATGAGTAGGAGAGCATCGAACTACCTCCCAGGCTATTCGTTTTGACCGATTCTTGTCTCTTTTTCTAGTTAAAAAATACTGCGAACGTAAACTGGTTTTAGTTTTGATGGCGAACGAAAGCGCCATCGAATTTTTATTTCCAAAAAAAAAAAAATCAATAATGAAATTTTGTGAAGTATACACTCCCTTTTTTCATGAATAATTCCTAAATAAACCATCAACTAGTAAACTACGGATATTCTCCTAACTTACCAGTGCGATAGTTCCACATAACGGAGAAATAGTTGGTCCGTGGGCCCCGGACGGCCCGGTTACTTGACTACATACCGTAGGAGCAGCATTCATTTCATCTTTGTGAAAGAGCCCCCAGTCAGGCTAACAGGCTAGGAAAAATTGCTTTCGATCAAGAAAATCGAGATCTCAGACCTCTATTTGATTAGTCACTGTCATAAATTGGCAAAATTAGCCTGAACTCGACGCTCCGGCCGCCTCGGGGCTTCTCGGCACCATGAGTGCTGTGAGCCAAGACGAAGCCGACCGCGTCCTGCGTCTCAAGAGCCGCGAACGAGAAACGCATGCTTGCTACCCATGCAAGAAACGAAAAGTAAAATGTGATGGTAATCGCCCATGTCGGACCTGCCAAAGGCGAAACCACCCACAGATATGCACTTACAACCTGTCCCGGCACTCGCGGCGAAGATCGTCCGTGTCAGCCCGACAAAACATTTCACGCTCGGCGTCCCCTACTACAGCACCAGCGTCAGAAAATGGGATCACGGGGATATCCTCCAGACCCGACGATGGTTTAAAAAACTACGTGTACTCTGGTGATAATTCTGTGGTTTCCATTTTGCGACTGCGGGCATCAGATGCAAATGAATCCGTCGCCCGAGAACTGGGCTCCGTCCTCGGCCTCCAGAACACCTTTAGTAATTATCCGTTTATGGACTCCAAAACTCCCCATGAAAGATGGAAATCGTTACTGGGCGTGTTGCCTCAGAGAACGGAAGTCTTGAAGTATGTTACCTGCCACCCACGAGAAGAACCTAATGCTGATTTGAACTAGATATTTCCATTATTACCGGGTCACAGCCTATCCGTTCAATCCAATATTGGCCGACATGGACCGCTTTGAATCTGACCTATGCACCTATCTCAATGCTCATGCAATGGGCGAGTTGCGAGACACCGACAAGATTACCGATCGGTGGGCAACAGACAAGTCCATCGGCCACATCAGCCTTTTGCTGGCTACCCTGGCAGCGGGGGCCCATTATTCGGATGTCACTTACCCCCAGCGGCTGAAAATATCCACCGAATTTGGTACTTATACCGCCGTGTTATGCCTGGTGAAGTTTCTTGCTAACAATCTTGTAGCCCGTCGGTCGTTTCACGCTCTTAGATTGGCCAATTTTCTCTTCCGCCCGTCCTTGGACATCATACAGGCGCTTCTTATCCTAGGTAATACTTTGCAGAACATGGGCCAATCTGATGCTGCCTGGGCCCTTCTTGGCACAACTGTACGACTAGCTCAAACGATGGGGCTGCACACAGAGAGAAGCACAATCTATTGGCCAGAGTATGTGCAGACTAAAGCTCGGGCACTCTGGTAAGTTCTACTGGCTGCGCATCATAGGTCAACTTCTTGGGAGTTATTCCATTTTTTGAAGCAAGTGGCTCACACGATATGACATGCAGGTCGACAATAGTCTGGCAAGACAGCCTCCTTTGTCTCTGCTATGACCGCCCCCCTATTGTATCGGTGACGGGCTGGTCCCTTGATGACTTCTTCTTCGAGCGACAAGACTTGTCCTATTCAGAAGTTATGCATCTTATATGTCGACTTGGACTGGACATCATGCGACCTGACAGTATTGGTGTCGCGGAGGTTGATCAGGCAATTGAAGGGCTTCAGCGACTAGACAATGCCTATCAGCGTGCTCAGCCATACCTTCAGCGACGAGAAAATTGTACAACACTCCAGCAACACCTTGAGAATCTGGCTTTGAGAATGCATATCTCGTTCTGTGTCTCTGTTATTTGTCGCCCAGCAATGAAGCAGTCACCCCCGAACCCAGTTATTCCTTCCACAGATATTCTGCGAGCCCGGGCCAAAGGGAGCCTAATGGACGCCTCAAGGGCTTTTCTTGATTTTCAAGCCCTTAGTGTTGTACCCCTACGGAGTTGGTCGATGGTACATACCGTTTTGAGCTCGACACTGCTGCTTTGCATCTGGGAAGAAACACGCAATGACCCTGAATGTCGCAGTTTGCAGGAAAGGGTGATCGGTGTATTTTCGTCATCTGATTCTCGAACATCTGATGATAGCAGTGCAAATTCAGATAGTGATAGCCAATGGCTATCAGCCCGTCACATACGAGCTCTGGTGACCCTGCGGGGCGCTTTGGACCGAGAATGGGAAACAGGAGCTGGCGAGCACGAAAATGGGGCTGCAACGGGTGTCAATGCCGGGCCTTCAGCTGGTGCTGGGTAAGTCCAATCGCAAACCCCCCCTCCAGAATATCGACTAATGTCTTCCGCAGACAGGAAGGGTATTTGGATATGTTGAATCCTTTTGACATCTCACCTGTTACGTACCTAGACTCGATTATGAATGGTATGTGGAACCAGAATGAGCACGTCCCGCAGGCCCTAACATGTGATTACAGTACCTTTATTCGATTTTACCCAGGAAAACGGGTTTTTGTGAGTCCCGAATCATAGTTATCTTTACATGATTTGGAATAAGCTTGTACGTCGAAGTCGATGATGCTCATTGATTAGAAAGAGTGTTTCAGATGGACAAAGACAAGAATCAATAGCTTAGCTTTGATGATCACGAACAACTGCATTGTAAATAGTATTGTTACCAGACAAAATGTTTCCAAAAGCTTTTCATATTGAAAACTGGAGGAAAGGAAACCCCCCTGGTGGCGTCATTGTTGCTCTTGGTGGATCGACTCGGGAGCGGATTGCCGGTATTTCGAAATCTCTCGGAGGCTCGGTATCGGAGGCTCGGGACATGCTTTTCGGAGCATTGAAGATCGGGCCGATGAAGATTTCCTGCCCTGCCGTTATTCGCTTGGTCGCGTGCTAAAGAACTTTTAGTCAATCATTAATTCTGAAATTGATGGCTCTTGCCACTGCCTCAAATATAAAGAACGAAGCCTGGCCAAGAGTTGAAACATTTACATCTCATCAACACTGCTTGACTATAATCAACACACCCAGTCTTGTGGTAGCTGCTGCAAAACGAAAATTAAAGACCACCACTTGCGTCATCAATCATAATCAATCATGCTCTCCCTACTTTCTGGAACACAAACTCCTCAGTCAGGACATGCCTCTCCACACGGAGCAAGCCCGACCGAGAGCACAATGGCTGTAGAGAAGCCTAGCTCTGCGCACCAGCAGCCACCAGCCCAGCGCCGCAAACGGATTGTTGTCGCGATGACCGGAGCGACTGGAGCAATCCTCGGAATTAAGGCCTTGATTGCCTTGCGTCGCTTGAATGTCGAAACTCATTTGGTTATGAGCAAGTGGGCCGAGGCGACTATCAAATACGAGACGGACTATCACCCGTCGAATGTCAAAGCTCTAGCCGACCATGTTCACTCCATTAATGACATGGCCGCTCCAATCTCCAGTGGCTCATTCAAGGCCGACGGCATGATTGTAGTCCCTTGCAGCATGAAGTCATTGGCTGCCATCCACAGCGGGTTCTGTGATGATCTGATCTCCCGCACCGCCGATGTTATGCTCAAGGAGCGACGACGACTAGTACTAGTCGCCCGCGAAACGCCGCTGAGCGATATTCATCTGCGCAATATGCTCGAGGTGTCCCGCGCAGGGGCCATTATCTTCCCGCCCGTCCCAGCATACTATATCCGAGCTGCCTCGGTGGATGAGCTGGTCGACCAAAGTGTAGGGCGCATGCTGGACCTCTTCGACCTAGACACGGGGGACTTTGAGCGCTGGGAAGGTTGGCAACAGGCCGAGCGTTGAAGACCTGCAGATGCAGGCGCAGGGGATTCGTATATCTTGCATTTTTAGTGGCATGTTTCATCGGCGTCATTGGCTTAAATAGATTGGATACCACATCATCACATGAATAGACTAGATACTCTTGATCTCAAACGGAAAGGCGCCGCAGGCTTCGCGTGAAGACCACTATATTTGGGTTTAAAATTCATTCTAGACTTTCTGCGGGAGAAGAACCTTGGTGGTATTCTCGACCATGACGTAGCATTTGTCCATGGCCTAGAGTTCTGAGGTCGGAATGGTAAACTGTGAGTAATTCGGAGTATAACACCGACCGCTATATTGCGGTTGCCACATTGAGTGAGGATGTCCTGCACTAGAAGCAGAGGGGCGCTATACTTTACGATAGAATGTATTTAAACCCGGTACTTTGATTTGAGCACTTCCTGGCGCATCTAGAAGTACATTCTTTGCTATGACTATGTTGTGTCTCTGCTCCAACTCCCACTGGTGACGTTCCAATCCGAGCGCTGCCAGGGACACAGGGGCAATAGCCAATCACGGGTAGCTAGACGCAACAGCTTCAACCATATGCCTGCAAAAATTTCCATTCCGATAATTGTCCTGCAGATACGGCCAGATGGAGCGACTGGGTAGGTCTATTCGAGAGTTCTGCATGAAATGCAACCAATTTCCCCCGCAAGATCGTCTTCTAGACCCACTGGTTTGTCCCGAAATGGTAGGGATCTACCGCTTCAAGGATTCGCCTAGGGCCACTGGTGTCATCCTACAAGCCAGTCCCATCGCATTCCTGGACTTCCCAGTCAGCCGACTAGGGCAGCATTTCTCTGGGCGAGTCTGCGACCGCACCTTCTACGGCGCGCACGGAGGACCCCGAAATGCGCCGGCTTATGCCCAGTGTCAACCCCCTTCCCCCCCTCCCCAAAGCCCAGAATAGACTTTCCGAAATGAGTCCATGATTCTCAGTCGGTTAGTGACAAATGTTGCTCCGGGCTTCATACCGCATGACCTTGTGCCCGGCGGATATTCCTTTTTGAGTCAAAGCACATCTTGACCAAGACTTCGCTGCCCCGCCGCGGGGTTGTCTACAAGTCAAAGATGATCGAGCAAACGGATCTCAGTTAACCGTCAACCGAGGAACCACATGTTTTCATCTGCTCCCATGGACTGGAAGACGCTTCAATCAGAAGATGGCTAGCGAGGTTGGGATAGGTTTAAGACCATCCCTTCGGCGCCTCCCTTGAAAACTGGAATGTTGCGGTAGGCAGAGATAAAAGAATTTGCCATTGCGGTGACTCAAGTCGGCTTCTATCTGCTGGATACGGATATCCAACATGCTACTCTTCCTACATTTTGTTATACTGGCCCTTACGCCTGCTGTTTGGGGTGTCCCGGCAAAATATAAGAGAGCCAGCGCTCCGACAGTCACTATCAACCAGCCTCAAGCCACAATCGTGGGCTCTGCCGGGTCAAACAGTGTGGACAGTTTTAACGGAATACCATTTGCCCAGGCACCAACGGGATCTCTCAGATTAAAGCCACCTCAAGCGATTCAAACTTCCCTAGGAACCGTTAAAGCGACTGGGACTGCAAAATCATGTCCTCAGTTCTACTTCACAACTGACACGAGCGATTTCCCAATCTCCATTCTTGGGGAGCTAGCAAACATCCCATTGTTCCAAACAGTGTCAAATGCAGGGGAAGATTGCTTGAGTGTGAGTATTCGACGTCCATCTGGAACTGAAGCAGGAGCCGATCTGCCTGTTCTGGTTTGGATCTTTGGTGGTGGATTTGAGTTAGGTTCAACTGCTATGTATGATGGATCCAGTCTCGTATCTGCGTCAATGGACTTGGACATGCCAATTGTTTTTGTGGCCATCAACTATCGTGTTGGCGGCTTTGGGTTCATGCCAGGTGCCGAGATCCTCCAAGATGGTTCTGCGAATCTGGGCCTTCTTGATCAGCGGCTTGCTCTCGAATGGGTCGCTGATAACATTAAGGCGTTTGGGGGCGATCCATCAAAAGTCACAATCTGGGGCGAGTCTGCAGGATCTATTTCCGTCTTTGACCAGATGGCTTTGTACGATGGTGACCATACTTATAACGGAAGTCCACTCTTCCGTGCGGGAATCATGAACTCAGGCAGTATTGTGCCCGCAGATCCCGTCGATGGAACCAAAGGCCAAGCTGTCTACGATAAAGTGGTGGAAGAGGCCGGCTGTGCTACTGCAACAGATACGCTGGAGTGCCTGCGTGGTGTGGATTACACGACATTTTTGAATGCCGCGAACTCAGTCCCTGGCATTCTATCGTACAACTCGGTGGCCTTGTCATACCTTCCCCGGCCTGACGGTACGGTTCTCACGGATTCGCCAGAAAATCTTGTGAAGAGTGGAAAGTACGCGTCGGTACCCTTCATTGTGGGCGATCAAGAAGATGAAGGGACTATATTTGCGTTGTTCCAATCCAACATTTCAACCACTGCTCAAATTGTGACTTACCTTCAGGAACTTTTCTTTTTCGATGCTTCAAAAGAGCAACTGAAAGAGTTAGTAGCAACTTACCCTGACACGACCACGGATGGATCTCCCTTCCGAACAAGCATCTTCAATAACTGGTATTCCCAGTATAAGCGAATTGCAGCAATACTCGGCGATCTCACATTCACCATTACCCGAAGGGCATTTCTCTCACTAGCAACCCAAGCCAAGCCTGATGTGCCTTCTTGGTCATATCTGTCATCATATGACTACGGAACCCCAATACTGGGTACATTCCACGGCTCAGATATCCTTCAAGTCTTCTATGGCATCTTGCCAAACTATGCATCTAAATCAATTCATTCGTACTACTTATCCTTCGTTTACAACATGGATCCTAATACCCAATCCGCAGATTACATGGACTGGCCACAGTGGGGTACCAATCAGAGTCTAATGAACTTCTTCAACGACCATGCGACTTTGCTGGCAGACACCTTTCGACAAGATACGTATGACTTTCTCTTGGAAAATATCGCATCATTCCATATTTAAATGATCACTCAACCAGAGTTGAAGGACAGGTGAAGAATAGCTGTCAATATTCTTATCAATATGTTTATATTCATGAATAGTATGATTTTCAAAGAATTTGATAGTACTCTGGATATCCTTTCCTAATTTGAAGAAGATTACAGGTCATATATTTTATATGTCCTCTTCAAAAGCTTATTTGTTTTGTTAAAAGGCCATTCTTACTGACCAATTAGCAAGTGATTCGCCCTCATTGACGAATCTCTTGTCCTATAACCCCTATCTTTACCAGGATCTCTTGTTATTGTGGATATAATTTTATGAAAATATTATAGTTTTGATTTTCAAGTTAGAAGGCTCTGCTTAAGAGACATCAAGGAAACTATAATATGATATTCGAATACGACTAATATCAATAAGCCACGATTGCGTATGAAAAAAGCTACCTCCATGTTGCAGTCACGGTTGCGGTTGACCCTGAGCAGCCAGTTGGGACCGTATATGATCGGTTGGGATCACTCTCCCACTTAATCGAAGTAGTACCGTCCGTCTTCTCGATATACTTGTATTCGAACGAAGTACCCACAGGGATATTTACTACCACATACCACAGGTGGCTTGACGAAGTATATTTGTCCGCAGACAAAGCAACTGCATCGTCAGTGTCCCAATCACCAAGTTCGCTGATAGATCCTGAGATGTAAATGTTCTCTCCATAGGTAGTAGTCACATATTCCTCGAAAAGAACTGGAAGTGCGGTGGCCTGGGTGCAACTAGTACTTGTAGATGCTGTTGATTTGCTGCTGGTGGTCGTTGTCAGAGTGGTAGCTGATGTTGTCTTCGTGGCTGTCGAAGTAGTGCTAGTCGTGGACGTCGTTGAGCTAGATGAGCTACAAAGAGAGCTGGCCGATGAAGCAAGCATGAAAACACGAGGCAGCCCAGAAACCATGGATACCGCGATCGCTCCACTTGAGTCCACAGTAACAGATGTACATGTGAACATTTCCATAAGCTTGGTACCAGACGAATAACCACTCCCACTAAGGGTGAGAGTATACGAACTTCCAGATGCTCCATAATTTGAAAGAACCGTGATGATCTGCGATCCGCTTGTACCCTTCTTCATCGCAAGCGTATGGCTGTCTGTATAGAAAGCGTTGTTCTGGAGCGTGGTAATGGTAAGCTTCGACTCGTTATATAGACTAAAGGGATAACCCACCTGAGATGTAAGGTATGATGAATCGGACGAAACTGCTAACGCGCGAATCTTATTTGCAGAGGCAATAAACGTGTATAGCTCAGCAGTGGTGGAATATCCGGATAGCCAAGTGGCCTCACGATTGGCCGGGTCACTGCCACCACTATAGTGTTGTTCTTGGCCAGCATAAATAATTGGAATTCCATCAGAGAAGAAGAGGAAAGAAATGGCATTCTTAGCCTGAGAATAGTCGCTAGTGTAGCTGAATGACTAGTCAGTCAATACTTTATTTGTGTAATGAAGGGAGAAATACTATGCAAATCGGGGATTGTCGTGATTTTCGATGAAGTTTCCTAGCAATGTAGGATCAACGCAGTCTGATGCGACAGAGCTAATCATATTATATAGATCACTGATACTTCCACTGGATGACTCAAAAGCATACAATAATTGAAAGTAGCTGTTTTTGATTAGAAAACAGCTCAAACGATTTGAATGTCACATACATTGGGTAGTTTAGAACCGCATCTAGGTAGTCCTGATAAGGGCAGGTGTATGAAGGATCTCCATCATAGACTTCACCGACACAATAGACTCCGGCGGCTGTATTATAGTCAGGCCAAAATGACTTCTGGACGTGTTTAACAGTGTCAATGCGTAGACCGTCGACTTTCTTGTGTCAGCAGCAGTACCAAAGGCAAAGTTAGAAAAATAGCCACTCACTGGAGTAATTTGATACTAATTCAGCAACCCAATCATACCATATTGTTTGTACTGATGATAACTCTGTATTCAGATCAGGAAGGGAGACGGTTGTATCACCAAGCCAGCAGTCCTCGACATTGGTCTGATTTGAATAATCACTGATCAAGCAGTATGAATGGAAATATGAAGAAGAATCAAATGGGCTGAAAACACTATAGTCCACAGTGTTGCCAGCTCCGTTGTATCCCTATTCATTCATTAAGAAATGCCCTGCGATATGGGAGATTTGCGCAGCTGACCATATGATTCGCCACGACATCGACCATCAAGTACATTCCTCGATTATGCAAGGCCTCTGAAAGAGCTAGCAAATCAGCAGAAGTGCCATAGTTTGAGTTTATGTTGTATCTGTTAGGTTCAGCTTCATTCTAATTGACTTGAGAACTCGAGTCTGACATTTCCTGCTGCCAATATCCGTGATAGGCTTCTCCATATCCAGTATCTTGTGGCAATTGCTCCGTCACAGGCGTGATCCAGATAGCTGTGAAACCCATGCCCTGAATATAGTCCAGCTGAATCGAGTTAGGGCTGGGTTTGAAGAATTGAATTGATAAAATGGGCATACATGGTTGATAATTCCCTGCCAACTACCGCCACAATAAATCTATCCAAGTCAGAATCTGATCGGCGTAGAAGGGCCGCTATGAGACTATACCCGATCGCTAACATCACAGGAAGCTGTGGTGGAATTATCGGTTCGACCAAAGCGATCCGTCAGGAGAAAGTAGATGGATTGACTTCGCCATTCTGCTGGGGTGAGGCCAATGACGGCCTTCGCCAGGAGAAGGGGGAAAATGAATGCCAGCTTCTTCACGCTTCCCGCCATTTGTGCTCAGGAGTCGACGGCTTTTGAGATGAAGTGCGACTTGCTGTGCCAGAGATTGAAGGCTGTGTTCCAGCCCTAGGTTTATACATGGGTTCTCCACATCAATAGCAAGCCTTATGGGCTCTATGACCACCTCTAACCCCTGATTCGAAACCTTCCACATGGGCTCGGGCCGCATCTATCGGACTCGTGGACGAATGAATTCAACTCGTGTCCGCTGCCCAAGTTCCTCGCGGGGGATTGTTTCAGGTCTCTGTGCCACCTTTTTCTTCGCAGTATTTGACTTCACCGGACCGTCAGTAGGAGGCGAGCGAGCTTTGCCGTACGGAAAGCTAGGAACCCGTAACTCCGTCCAAAAAAGAATCAACTCCGGTGGTCGGCAAACCCGACGCTACCTTGGAGGTAAACGCTAGCAGGCAACGCCATTCTGTAATTAGTAGATTCTCCGGCGCTGGCGGTCACAGTGGATCGGGATTCTTCACGGCTCCACATTTTGCAGGGTAAAATATCGGCTCTTGACCCCGGAAGCCGCAGGTCCGGAGTAGTTCACATGCAGATCGCCTTTTCTGACGAAACGCCTCCTTCGTCGACGGAGCAGACGCTGCCAGGGACGGAGGCAGAGCAATCCACATGATTGGTGGCCACATTCCTAGGGGATCCGGAGGCAATAGACAGGGGACGGAGAATCTGCGGGGTTGTCGACTCCTCTCTCGGAGATGCAGACAGTCTAGTGCATGCCATCGTTAGTCTTGCGTACGCCATTCTGTGCTTAGTCCCATACATCCATAATGTTCTAAATCCTGAATGAATCCTAAATGGAGGAGAGGAGAGAATATTGGTATCACGGCATAATGAACACGATCGTCAGGTTCAGGAAAAATCTCAAGATCAACAACGATGTATAGAGGATCCCCACTGCTGCTGAAGAGGGTAAAGATATTCAACTTTATTTATCCGCCGATCGCAGGTGATTCAACGTGATAGGAGGTGCATCCATCGGATATTGAATTCGTCCAAGCTAGGTGCCGAAGGGCGCTTTTGAAAAAAAATGCAGGAAACGCAATGAAGTGCACCTGATGGGCTACGCCACAGCCTGTCGATCTCCGCTTCGCTGCGTTTCTCCACCCCTGCACCATTCGCGGCCCCTGCAATCTGCTCCTTAGTGCAGCAATTACCAACTCACTCCAAGCGAGGCTGGCCTCTCTCGCCTGCGTGGACATAAAAGGGCTCAAATTTCCTTCAGGAATAAAGATACCAGAACGGAAAACCTTCTAAAGTCGTGAATGATGGCACCTCATCTCCGGGCTGCGCTATACGCGCTCGCCTTCAGCCAGGCCGCAGTTGCCGCAGTTGCTGCACCACAGCTGGCACCCCGGGCAACTTCTAGTCTGGATAGCTGGCTTTCGTCCGAGACAACCATTGCTAGACAAGGCATTCTTGATAACATTGGATCAAGCGGTGCCTATGCAGCAAGTGCAGATCCCGGGATTGTGATTGCTAGCCCAAGCACAAGCAGCCCTGACTGTAGGTTTTGTGCCTTGCAATAGATTAAAATTATATGCTGATATTAGGAAGATTACTATACATGGACTCGTGATTCTGCCTTGGTCATGAAGACTTTGGTTGATTTATTTAAAAATGGCGACACAGACCTACTTGATGTCATTGAAGAATATATCAGCGCACAGGCATATATCCAGACCGTTTCGAACCCATCAGGAAGTCTATCCAGTGGTGGTCTCGGGGAGCCCAAGTTTAATGTGGATGAGACAGCCTATACAGGCTCTTGGGGGCGTCCTCAGCGTGACGGTCCTGCATTGCGGGCCACAGCATTGATTGCGTTCGGCCAGTGGTTGATTGTACGTCCTGCACTTTCTAGTACTTTATTTGAACCTAACAATGATATTCCAGGACAATGGTTATACCACTGAGGCGACAAATATTGTCTGGCCAATCGTGCGCAATGATCTCTCTTACGTGACACAGTACTGGAATAGCTCTGGATATGGTCAGTATTACACCCTCGATCTATCTAAATGTCTGGCTTCCTAACAAGAAGCAGATCTCTGGGAAGAAGTCAGTGGAGAATCATTCTTCACAATTGCTGTTCAGCATCGTGCTCTTGTGGAAGGCAGTAAATTTGCCAGCCAAGTGGGCTCATCTTGCTCTTATTGTGACTCCCAGGCACCACAGGTGCTCTGTTTCTTGCAATCATTCTGGACTGGATCTTATATCCTGGCCAACTTTGGCAGCAGCCGCACTGGGAAAGATGTCAATACCATTCTGGGCAGCATTCACACCTTCGACCCAGAAGCTGCTTGTGATAGTACAACTTTCCAACCATGCTCCTCTCGAGCATTGGCCAACCACAAAGTGGTCACTGACTCTTTCCGTTCGGTCTATAGCTTGAATTCTGGTATATCTGAAGGTGTTGCAGTCGCCGTTGGTCGATACCCCGAAGATTCTTACTATAATGGCAATCCTTGGTATCTGTGTACCTTGGCTGCAGCTGAACAACTATATGACGCGCTTTATCAATGGGATAATGTCGGCTCTTTGACGATTGACTCAGTTTCCTTGGCTTTCTTCCAGGATCTATACAGCTCGGCTGCAACAGGAACATACTCCTCCTCGAGTGCCACATACTCGACTATCGTGAGCGCTGTGAAAACTTACGCTGACGGATATATGAGTGTCGTTGTAAGTAGCAGATGGGCTTCACTTCTTTCAACGAATAGAGCTGATGGTGGATTCATTTTCTTAGGAAGAGTACGCGATGAGCAATGGATCGCTCTCCGAGCAATTCTCCAAATCTGATGGCTCGCAAGAATCAGCACGCGATCTAACATGGTCTTATGCAGCCCTTTTGACGGCTAATATGCGGCGGAACTCAATCGTTCCTCCAGCATGGGGCGAAACATCTGCTAGCAGCGTGCCTGCGACCTGTAAATCGACCTCAGCAACAGGCACTTACAGCACTGCAACAAACACAGCCTGGCCAACAACTTTGACTAGCGGATCCGGCTCAACTACTACCACGACCTCAACAGGCACCAAGGCTACAACAAGTACTACAACTACCAAATCCACAAGCACAACGTCGACGACGTCATGTACCACTCCAACCGCCGTAGCGGTGACATTTGATCTCATTGCGACCACCTACTATGGTGAGAACATTAAACTTGCAGGATCTATCAGCCAACTCGGTTCCTGGGATACAGATGATGCTGTGGCGCTCAGTGCTGCAGATTATACCGACAGTAATCATCTTTGGTTCGTGACAGTCACCCTGCCAGCAGGAACCAGCTTCGAGTATAAGTACATTCGGATTGAGAGTGATGGCACTATTGAATGGGAAAGTGATCCGAACCGTTCTTACACCGTGCCAGCCGCGTGTGCGACTACCGCAGTTACCAAGAGTGATACTTGGCGATGAATCAGGCTTTGAACAGGAATACGTGAACTTAGCTCTTTTTTTCATGGAGATGTGTCATAAATCATGGCTGAATGATAAGAAGGGTCCATTTGAAATGAATGGGTTTTGGTCGAATGAAATTACTCTATTTTGCGGTATCCTACTTTTTTCTTCTATATTTGGTGGTGTCGAATCAATAGTCCAAACAATGCAGCCACCAGAGAACACCCGAGAGAGAAGACTGAAAGACTTTAGGGTGATTCCAGCAAAGTTAGGGAGGCGGGCGGCATAGAACTTACGGTACGTGTGCTTAAGACCTGCGAGGTAACAATCAACGACAATATCTCGAAGACGACCAGAAAGATTTGCAATATAATTGGTATCTGCCATGGCACGTCGAATGACCTGGTATAGTTAGCAAGGGCAATGATCTTTCAGACCGGAGTGGTTTTCGAAATATTTACTTTTTCTGAGCCTGGTCCTTGGAGATTCTGGCGAAGTTGGCGATAAAATTCCATACCAAGGAGAGTGTTGCATGTTGTGACTCCAGCGGTCATGGCAAACCCAATGATCAGCATATAGCCGGCTGTTGCCATCGCCACTTCCTCCGCCGGTAGACGAGAAGTTATTGCAATGAATGATGACGCGGATGCAATGCCGGTTCCCATGCCACCAGGGATAATGAACAGAGATTCCCAGAAGCCGGTCGTCCCGTTCCAGTACAGATAAAGAAGTGCGTAGGTAATCGATGCCACCAGACCTGCAAGAATGAGCAATACTTTATAATGACCCGTACGTCTGATAACTCCACCAGCAAGAAGGCCACCCAAGGTGTTTCCGATGACGGCCGGAACCAAATGTCCACCTGAAGCTGTGGTTGAGGCGCGCTGGGTGACCTGGAAATAAAGTGGAACTGAAAACATCATCGCCAGTTGTGCTGTAATTTGGAGCGATCCTATTATATAACCTGTGGCCACATTCGATCTCCGAAGAATGCGCAAATTAAAAATGGGGTCCTTGGCGACGTAGGCTTCTACAAGCACAAACACGACAAGTAGAAGGACTCCGCTGACCGCAAGAACAACAGTCACCCATGACCGCCAAGGAAATGATTTGCCTCCTTGGTCGAGCAAGCCTGTTAGGGCGATGATTGCCGTACCAAGTAGGGCGGTTCCCAGGAAGTCGACGTCACGAAGTCGTGCCAGCGTACCCTTTGTAGTTGTGGCAGATGGGGGATAGACAACGTTGAGCTTTACGATCACTAGGAGTGCCGCCAAGGCAACGAACGGAGCTTGGAGAAGAAATAGCCTATGTGCCAGTAAATTCGCACATTAACGGAAGTCCTCTCAAGTGCTCAGATTTCAGGATTAACTCACCATCTCCATCCAATCGTATCACTGAGCCAGCCACCCAATGGGCCGCCGACACTCCGGCCAAGAGTCATTGAAATATTGACGTATGCCCTCCACGTAGCGACTTCACGCTTGGGAACAATGTCTAGATCCGGTCAATTGATGGGTTCGCGAAACTCGTAATTCCAAGTTTCGTGCATACCGGTGATGATCACAGAGCTTATTGTCATTGTTCCAGCGCCTCCTAGTCCACTGATGGCTCGGCCGAGTATTACGATCCACATTTGGGACCCGAGACCACTGAGCAGAAGAGAGAGAATTAGCAAGAGTTCACTGGGCTTTGGGGCAAATCCCCGCATTGCAACCTACCAAATTATGCACCCCACTGCGAATAACAAGTATGAGATCAACAGTAACGGTTTACGACCGTAAATATCACTTAGTTTCCCGTACTATGCACTGTCAGCATCGATTTTCTTCTCCATTCATCTGGAATGGACTTCGCATACCAACGGTTGTGCCGCACAGAGGCCCAGAGTATATCCCGTTGATAACCAACTTGCATCGCGTAATTTGTTGAACTCGGAGGATACCCGACCAGCGGCGGCCATTACGAGCGTGGCATCAGCATTTGATATGAACTCGCCTAGCATAAATGAGCTCGTCAGCGGAGTCGGTTGCGGGGGTTTCATGATGAAATTAGTCTCATACCCAGCAACAGTACCGCAATGATGGTGCCCACCCCAGTTAGGGCCTTAATTTTCGTCTCTGGAGAATCTAAGGATGGGAGCAGAGGGCTTTCTTCATCTTGAACATCATTTTCATTGCGTTGGATTGTGCAAGGCCTTGCGATGTCTTCGGAATTTTGCGGGGCAGCTGTGGCCAAATCGTCGGTCCCGTATGGTGAATTGGCGGCCATGATGCAGATCGAGGACAAAGTATGTACACCCTCGATGCGCCGAATCGAGAGTGAGTCACTCAAGCGATGTCTCCTTATTACAGAGAAAGCAACAGATCCAAATCCCCAAAAACAATAAGGCACGGTGTCGGTTTGCAATGGATGAAAACGGCGAGCTTCTTATCTCGCGTGGCTCAGGGAACTCGACCTTTAAAATCAAAGGAAATTACATTATTGCACCATAGGCCCGCACTAATCATAATGCTCCGTGATATTGCCAGATTAAAGACAGACTGGCTATGCAAAGACGCCTGTGTTATCATCGCGATCTCAAAGCACGCCATTGTGGGTGTAAAGTGGGTCAAGAAGGGGTAGTCGGGTGTAAAGGAATACAGTAAGAACTCGATTTGTTTGCCATACTTAAATCAAGAGGTTCGAGTGGAGTCGAAACAGACGTGCCCGTGGGGGAAGTATTAGCGCACCTTTGAACATATGTCTTCAACCTTGTGGTAATCTAATCTATGCTTTTTCTCATTAACAATTTTCCGACTGCACGTGGGTAATTGTCTAATGCTCGCCTAACTTCAAGTTCCGATAACTACAATATGCAAATAGTCCCCATCACAATAATAATGCCCGCGGGCGCATTAGAGAAATCTGTTGATCGCCATCTGCCGCCCCGATTGCATCATCCTCGCTCCACTTCAGGCTCGATTTGCCGACCGCGCTAAGGCAAACCTGGTGATCACTAAGCAAGCAGTCTTTCAAGCCGCAGCAAAGTATTAACTAGTGTTTTTTTCCTGTCCAGCTATTTATCGATTCTCATACGCCTTCTGGTCCATTTGATTACCTTGAATAATTTCTAATACTTTGCAACGTATGCTCCTTGTGATGAGATATACATATGTGACTATGGGGTCATATATACGATGCCAATCTACACGTACTTGCGGCACACTTCGATTGCTAGAGATTCTTCAATATTACAGGTTCGTGTAGCACACCGATCTGCTCAATATCGATACGCTATGAAGACTTAAGAATTCGAACCACTTTGATTTGTTGGAGTGTCCACCACGTGAGACAATGCCATGTCGCGGCTCAACAACCCCAAATTTGGATAGATCACGAATGACAAATCAGATGTTTGATGGCCAATGGACGAAGACAGTCGACCACATTAGATATGGGTACTTGCCCTTGGCAATAAAGACAGGACCTAGGTGGGTATCGTCCCATGAGGTGCCGTGCCAGCTTTCTCCAAGATACTGACAGCCTTTAGTTTATCAGTCTGCTAGCTCAGCATAGCATTGATGTCATCAGAAATTCAATTCGGATGGTGCCTGTGGCTATCTCATGTTTCATTTTGGGGGGTGGGAACATGTTTGGTTCATTTGATCAGATGTTAAAAGGGAGGACCATCGATCTGATTCATGGGTCTGGCTCACTTTCGAGCCTTACGCCTTCAGAAGAACTTCCCAGTTTCATAATAGAATGAGCCCAGCATCGAACAATCCTGCAAAGTCCGGATGACATTGTGCTACCCAAACTGCCATTATTCATCACAGGAGCCAAATTTGCAAAAATTTGGCGCTGAGTAATGTGCTTCCGTCTGGTCCGGTCTCCACTTGCCCTGAAAACCGGGTTCCCGGGCCGAATTCTCTCGGGGATAACTAACTGATGACTGTCAGCAAGACCCAGGGACTGCCCTGCAGAACTTTAAAAATCTTAATGCGCCACGCTTGTGGCATCGATCGGCCAATAAAATTGGTTGGCTAGCACTGAAATCCACGGACTTATGCTGTCTTTTCCCGTTATGTCTTGTCATCGCCACCAAGCAACGAGAGAGATAGCGTGTCGTGTATCGAGAACGGACATAAACTCATTAAAGCCGTGATGACTTTCAATCAATGGATCAAGTGGAGCGTTTACAGCCGCTGACCGAATCTTGTTTTGCACAACGGGACCCAGTATGGAATTGTGCGAGAATTTTCCATGGTCCAGTTTGAGCGATTCGATGAGAGTTGATAGGTTATATAAAGGGCACGGCGAGACCCTGAATCAAGGAAGCCGTTATTATATCTCAATCCATATCTTTCAAACAAACTAAAGACAACCTTTTCATCATGGGATCCACCGATTACAAGTTTGAGGGCTGGATGGGCCTTGACAAGGAGGCGGCCAATGGCAAAATGGTTTGGCAGGAGTTCGAGCCCAAGCCTTGGGAAGAGACCGATATTGATATGAAAGTCACGCATTGTGGTATTTGTGGCTCGGACATGCATACGCTGCGCAGTGGATGGGTATGTTGACAGCCTAGTTTCAACTCGGTTGGATATATGACACTAATTCATGCCGTCCATTTGTATAGGGTCCAACTACTTACCCATGCTGTGTTGGGCATGAGGTCGTCGGCATCGCTGTTCGGGTCGGCTCCAAGGCCGAAGGAAATATCAAGGTCGGCGACCGGGTGGGTGTGGGTGCACAGAGCGGTGCTTGCCTGAATAAGGATGGTGATTGTGAGGCTTGCGCAACTGGCTTGGAGCAACACTGCAACCGCATGGTCGGCACATACAATGGAACATTTGCCAATGGAGGCAAGTCCTACGGCGGATACTCGTTGTATAACCGATCACCCTCGCACTTTGTCGTCAAGATTCCCGACGCTATTCCCTCCGCAGAAGCCGCGCCCATGCTTTGTGGTGGTATCACGACATACTCCCCTCTAAAGCAGCATGGCTGTGGTCCTGGCAAGAGGGTCGGCATCATCGGTGTTGGTGGACTGGGTCACTTTGGTATTCTCTTCGCCAAGGCTTTGGGTGCCGACTACGTCGTAGCAATCTCTCGCAAGGCCAACAAGAAGGCAGATTCGCTTAAGCTTGGAGCGGATGCCTACATCGCGACAGATGAAGATGTAGACTGGGCCCAGAAACATGCGCAGTCCCTTGACCTTATCATTTCGACGGTGTCCTCCTCCAAGATGCCCATTATCCAGTACTCTCAACTGCTCCGGACCCGGGGCACTTTTGTACAGCTGGGTGCTCCCGAAGACGGCGGTCTTGAGATTCCAGCATTCGCATTGATTATGAAGGGAATCAAGTTGGGCGGCTCACTGATCGGTAGCCCCGAGGAAATCCGAGAGATGCTGGAGCTGGCCGCGATTAAGAACATCCACCCATGGGTGGAAGAGCGACCCATGAAGGAGGCCAACCAGGCCATCCAGGATATGGACGCTGGAAACGCTCGGTACCGCCTGGTCTTGGTGAACGAGTGATAGATTAACGATTCTGTGGCCTGTGGATAGCATTGATGAGGCGACAGCTGTATAGAATTTAATAGAATTGATGATCTGAAGTTATGAACAACTAAAACCATCTTGGTCGATATTAAGAAGATATTTCTTGCTGCTTGGTAACCTAATCTTGCTTCCGTACAACAAGACCAACCAGGTTCTTAGCGGAACAGAATTTCGTCACTCTTACCACGACTACTTAATCGACCTTTCAAGTTTGGGTTCGCATCCAATGTCACGTGTAAAAGAGGGGTCGAGTTTGGATCTATCAACTTCTCAACTTTCTAAGCCAATAGGCCTCAAACTCACCTACTCTGCTCGACCGCAGTCTGGATTGTTTCTTCTCGTTCCATTCACGGGTGTACTGATCTGCTCCTTCAATCTTCTGCGGCTTATTTACCAGCCTCTATCTTGGTCTGACTAACCCCCTACTCATCCCTTCGATATAGCCGACGATTCCATAATCCTTCTTTCCTCTGCTTCTTCTCACAAAACTCCTTTTTGCTCCGATCAACATGCCGATCAACAGCAAGGGATGTTCATACACGTACAAAAGCTCGGGAACTAATACTAGTGTCAGATATCTATCACTCCCTCGGCCCATGCGGATAGAACTGAATAATTCATGATATACTGACCATAGACTCAGGGAAACCACTACTGTAGCCGCAACTACGGACCTGATGCTCCGAATCAGAATAGCTACCATTATTCAAACTGGTATGACCCGCCTTGGTTCGGTTGAGACAGACGACGTGAAGGGGCGAGAAAGATTAGGGTACTGAGCAGTCTGACAGTGACGGTTCCTACTATTACTCTAACCCGAACGGAAGCACCTACTACAATAATGGCAAGGGTCAGGCTACCTACACGCCGCCTTCATCTTCCTCGTCCGGTCAAAAGTGATGAGTTTGATATGTCACAAAGGGTTTATGTCTGAATGTTTCTTTAATGAAATCCAGAAGACTTCCTCCCTACTTAACATGACATACGATTCTATCAAGGATCTGCGAATCTGCATTGGTGCCTCTAGTCGATGAGACCAGATAAAGTTGCAGGATGGGCCTTTCGGGTTTTTGGATTAATGCACTATCCAGCTTGGCATTCTTAGTCTTTCTTAGCTATTCAATGCTATTTTTTGCTTTATAGTCCATTCTGGCCCACAAATGATCTAGGTTGTCGAACGATATTCAAATATAGGGGGATATGCTGCCTGCCAATATGATAAATGATACAGTACAACACTCCATTAAATCAGTACAACGAACATCAGGTTCTGCTTCGGTCCGACTGAATTCGGCCTGCAAAATGGCTTCTCAATCCCCGTCAGGATCCAGATACCCATTTACAGGAACCACCTGGATCAACTTCTCTTTGTTCGAATTCCCCCTGTATATGAGTGCCAAATAGGTCTATCGCCATTTGAACACCTGTTCCTTTCTCTCATCTTTGCTTTTGTACTTTTATCCTTACCTCCCCAAAATGACCCGCCTTCGGTATTCTTTCCTTCCCAACATTCTCTACCATCCCAACCTAGCGCTCAATAAATTGCCACAACTTGGCAAGCTCGAGTATTGCAAATACTCACAGTGACGGGCTCTAAAGCTCCAGTAACTACCCAGGACAGCAAGCCCTCGGTGCACAGAATTCATGTACTCGCCCGGGCGCGGGGACGGCGCGGGGACGGCGCGGGAAACACAGCGGAGTCAAACACAACAAACCCCCGCACTGGGCGGCAATGAAGCCGAGCTGTGTTGACCTCCACTGGTCTCGGTTGACAAAGGACAATCTCCAGCTTAGCCGTGTTCGGTAAAGGATAGGCGCCACAGACCATGTCACTTCTATTTGAGGATTGGCCTGGTTGGCCTCCCCTCGCCTCTCTTATCAAGGCGCCGTCGGATCGGATACAACTGATAAGAGGTCTAGGGGGCTGAAAAGCCCGTCGCTTCGACGACTTCTCCCCGCTTCTGCTCTTATCCTGAAGCCGTGGACTGCTATCGCTGCCGGCTCATGTCCGCCATGAACCCATCTGGTCGAGTCTGTGCCCGTTGTGCTCGCATTGTTAGTATCATACCCTGACCCTCGATCAAGGGCCCATTGCTTATCACACCCATATGCACTAGAAGCAACGCTGTGACGGCAACGAGCCCTGCTCCCGGTGCAAGCGTACGACATCTCTTGCCATGATGGCCCGAGTTATTCACAATGGCTTCAATCAATTTACTGATTGTTTCTAGGCCTGGGTCACGATTGTAAACCACGCAGTCCCTCCGCAAAGGAGACCGTCGATCTTTCATTACCCGTGGCGGCGCTCCGGCGACCCCGGGCATCGCGCTCCCGTGGCGGATGTCTTTCCTGCAAGGCGAGGTAAATCCGATATCCGCAGTGGAGCTGCCCGGTAGGATTGCATCCGAAGCTGGGCTGACTATGAGGGCTCATTTAGGAAGAAGAAGTGCGATGAGACCCGCCCACGATGCAGCGATTGCCGACGCTTAAATCTCCCCTGTCAGTGGCTAGCGGATACTAGACGACTGTCTCGTGACAGGGCCGCTTCATCAGAATCATCAGAATCATCAGAATCGCATGCGACGGCCTCTCCCGAAGATCCGATTGAGTCTTCCGACGGACATCCGCAAGTGCTTGGGTCCATCACCCCGGATGACGACGATGAGTTTATTGCCACGCTCTTCCCTCATCCTCTACCGGAACAGAACGCCGTCATACTACCTCTGGATCGCTCCCCAATCTCCACTAACCCATTTCTTCGCAGCAACGAAGACCGGTCGCTATTCAACCACTATATCCACGTGGTGGCACGGGCTTTGTCCCGTTCACATGATCCCGATCGAAATCCATTCCTTGTGACACTTTTACCACTGGCGGCGGCTTCCGATGCCGTAACTAGTATCATATTGAGTCTCAGTGGATGTCATTGGAGACGCGTCTACCCCAGTATTTGGGGATGCGCTTTGAAGCACCAGGGCCAAGGTACGGTCGATATGTATCAAACTTGTGAGCCTAACATCAACTGACGTCATGAATAGCACTAGCCCATGTCAACACACTCCTAGGTCGATCAGATCCTCAATGCATCTTTGAAGCCTGTGCCACGGTCCTTCTGCTCTGTTTGACAGAGCTATTTGACGGCACTTCAAAGGTCTGGAAATGGCATCTCAAGGCGGCGAGTGCAATCCTTAAATCTCCCGCATTCCAATCTCTTATTTCAAACGATCAGTGGACTTTCTGTATCAGCCTTTTCCACTATCTAGACTCAATGTCGACAATCTCACGGTGCAAGGCTCCCCTCCTGCATAATGGCGACACCATGGCCGAGATTACTACCTCTTTCCGACGAAACAGTATGCCTGAGCTAGGCCGGAATCAATCCACCGATGCCATTTACGGCATATCTCCCGCGTTGTTAGACTATCTGGGAATGGTCAACTTGCTGGCCAATCATCGCAGCAAGCGTATTGATGAGCTATCCGAAATTGGCTTCCGGGCTGCGGCAACCCAATTGGAATGCCGTATCAACGAATGGAGAGTGGACCACGACCAGGTTGCAGAACAGGAACCCGACACGGAGCGCGCTACAACTGCGTTTGAATGGGCGATCCGACTGCGCTTGCACCAGGTGGTGGAAGGATACGACCCGCTCCATAAATTTGTGGAGCAAGCCATCACAGCGATTCTTGATGCGGTTCAGAAGGTTCCTTACGCAAGTCGAGTAGAAGGCTGCCTTCTATTTCCCTTGGTGATTGCTGGGTCTAGCAGTGTCAGCATTGAACGACGCATGATGGTAAAAGAGCGCCTGATGGTGATGGAAAACACTCTGGGATTTGGCCATATCCAATACGCGCGACAGCTTCTAGAGACGGTCTGGGATGGCTGTGCATCAGATTTCAACTGGGCTGCAGTACGCTATAACAAATTCCCAGGGGTGGTATTTATTTAAGATAATACCGTGTAATACCGGATATATATGTGATGATAAAAACGAGATAATTTATGATTTCAATTCCATGCCAGATTGAGATCCACTTTACAATTCTTTCTTTCTCCCCTCTGCCAGCAAACTTTCTAAATGATCCCTCATATTATATCCACAAACCTCCTCAATAGTCAACTTCCCCGGTCGGTCGGTGGAAGAGCTCCAACCAATTCGCTCGCTCAGATTCTCGCGGGCACGGAAACTTGCCTCCTGGACGCGAGTTGCTCGTTCCTTACGAAGCTTTTCATAGAGCGCCAGCCCTTCTGCCACGTTATAATCCTCGCGGAAATTTTTATTGAAAACAAGTCCCAAAGCACCAGCGTCTTCAAAGGCCATGCAAGATCCCTGAGATTGATCAGGCATCATTGGATGAGCTATCTCCGGTCAGTCAATTGGTAGGGTTGAACTTTCGGACATGATACATACCGGCGTCACCCAAGAGACAGACCTTCCCTTTAACCCAGTATGGGTATGGTTGGTGTCTGTATACTATTTTTCTAGTCAGAAATATCTTCTCCCAAGCCGGGCACGGGCGACATACACCGCCACATCTTGATATCCTCAGCGTTGAGCATCAAAGTTTTCATTCTTGGGTCGAGGTCTGGAAATGTGTCGACTAATTGCTGCGGCGAGGCACTGATATTCCAACCGTCTTCGCGTAGGTTGTTGACAGACGCTGGGTAGAAGCAGTAACAACTCACAACCTCGCCATTGCTGCATGGCGACATGACAATCTTGTTAATCCCAAACCCACCCCAATATTCAATTGCTTCGTTCGAGATATAATCCTCTAGCCCTAGGGACCGAAGCTTGTCGGCCCCAATGATGCACCGATAGCAGCAAGAGGTCGACATCTCAAAATCGGGGGTGATTCCAATCATGCCTCTTGCCAGAGACTTCACATGATTTCATTAGCTTCCGTACAGGGGTAGTTTATATGAGGTATGCGCTTACTCGTATTCCATCCGCCGCAACGATAATATCTGCAGTTGAAGTCTCTCCATTCTCGAAGCGAAGAGTTCCTTCATCTGGATTTACCTCGACACATTTATGGTTCACCTTTAGCTCGCAAGGAGAGCCTTCGCCGGGCACCTCAAAGGCTGATTTGAGAAGCTCTCTGTGGATATCAATCCGATGGAAGTTGTTGTAGTCCTGTGAATGTTAGAATATTAGAGTGAGATTCTGGATATGTCGCGGACTGTCATCGTACTGTGCCAAATTTGGATTTGTAGTCTCCTAGTGGATACGTGCTTTGGACTTCTCCGTTGGACCAGTTGTGCATAATCAACTGCTTTAGAATCACCTATTTCTGAATTAGAGTGCTATGACAGAGCATCTCCGGAAGCCTATCTTTCATACCGGTTTTGCAGCTTTGACATCCACGCCCCATTCCTCTAGGAAGCGCGACCCATTCGAGGCAGCACTGAGCGAGGCGCCCACCTCGCCGGCAAAATCGTATCTTTCATAAACCGTGACAGCATGGCCCTGGCGGCGCAAGGCAACTGCAGCTGCTAAGCCACCGAGACCGGCACCGATAATGGCGGCTTGAAGCGGCGAGTCGGTACGTGAAGGCATTGCTTAGGTGCAATATCAGAGAACTACAGACGTGAGGAAGCCGTGAGATAAAAAAAAATAACGATAGCAAGATTAATACTAGAAATATATACTGAGTCTTCTCTCCAAAACCTGAAGCTATTTTGTTCACTGCGTCGGATGGTACCATCTTCCACGGCTTTCCAGCGACGGCCGCTCTTATCTTGGGAAGCGACGGCGCCGAGACCGAAAGCCAGGGGTCGTTTATCTATCCGACGGCTGCATTTCTTGGCTTCTCCGCAGCCGATCCTTGCCCAATTCATTTCGCCTCCCCCCAATAACGAGTCCAGGCCAATTAAAATCCGGGGAAAGCAAGCTTGGGGCGACTCATGCTGGTCGCTATCTTGTGCTCGCTGGGTTATCGGTCTTTGTCTTAAAAGTGCCACCGGCCAGCATCATGCAACACCGTGTTCTCTATACTTTTGTGAGCACCCACATAGGTATTCGCCAGTCATGGACAAGAAGGACGAGCTCTCAACAAAGGAAAGCCTGCCTGAAGACTATGCCTTGGGCAGTATGACCAGCGATGACAAAAGGCTATTGCGCAAGATCGATTGGCATATCTTACCGATCATGTTTTTGACCTATTTTCTTCAAATGATCGATAAAATTTCAATTAACGTACGTTGTCTGAAATCTTTTCACTAAAAGGACAATTGGCATCCACTGACAAAAACAGTACGCAAATGTAATGGGGTTGCAGAGTGACTTGGGAATGTCAGGAAACGATTTCTCCTGGCTTGCAACCGCATTTTTCATTGCATATGCCGTGGCGGAAATTCCGCAGGGAACCCTCTTACAGCGGTTTCCCGTATCCAAAGTCCTTGGAGTGAATGTCTTCTGCTGGGGTGTCATCCTTTGCTGCTCCTCTGCCGCGCAGAACTTTTCCGGAATGCTGGCATTGCGAGTTCTCCTCGGGGTTTTGGAAGCGGTCATTGGTAAGCCAACATCGAATGACTAGCGAGGATTGGATTTCCTGACCATCATTTAGCGCCGTCCCTTACCATGTACACTAGTATGTGGTATACGCGAGCTGAATCAACCCCCCGATATGGTTTCTGGTATTGCGGACTTGGCGCTGGACAAATGATAGGGGGACTGATCTCATTTGCTGCCCAGCATGCTCCCTCATCTCTATCGTTTGGTGGCTGGCGGATCATGTTCGTGGCTATTGGAGCCGTTAATCTGCTTGTCTCCCTACTGGTTCTTTTTGTGCTCCCTGAAAGTCCAGAGAAAGCAAAATTTCTCTCTGAAGCAGAGAAGCAACGGGTGTCACAGCGACTGATTCAAGACCAAGCTGGTGTCGGCGTGAAGGTTTTCCGATTACGGTCCGTCCTTGAGGCCTTTATGGATCTTCAAACATGGCTGCTGGTGCTGCTTACGATTCTCATTACTATACCCAGTGGTGTGATTACAACATTTTCTTCGATTCTCATCAAGGGATTTGGATATAACAATAAAGAGAGTGCTTTGTTGAACATACCATCTGGAGTCGTGAGTATTGCGTCCACAATGGTTTCTACGTATGCTATTTCTAGGGGCTTTTCCAGATGGTTAGCCATTGATCTGCTCTTGATCCCAACACTGTTGGGATCTTGTCTTATGTCGTTTCTTCCCACCGCAAATAAAGGCGGCTGCTTGGCTGGAATTTATCTTGTGAATACTGTATGTTCTGGATCGTCCTGTGGTCTTGGACCCATAGCTGACATTATAAGACCGTTGCACCATTAGCACTTATTTACGCGTGGACCGGTGCTAATTTCAAGGGATATACTATGAAGGTAATATCCATGTCTTTGTACTGTGAATATTGAACTCAATTCTAATCCATGCAGGTTTCTGGTGCCGCGATCATCTCAGCTGGATTCAGTGTTGCCAACATCATCGGTCCTCAGACATTTCAGTCCAAAGATGCCCCACAGTAAGTTGTGCAATTAAGATCTGTATTGAGCTTTTGCTAATTGGATTCTAGCTATATCCCTGCCAAGATTACTCTAGTTGCAGTAAATGCGGCAGCAATGGTTGTTGCGACCATCTTACGCGTTGTGTATGGGATCCGGAACAAAACAGCAGATCGTCTTCAGATACCTGCACGTAGTTCAATGGAAGCAAGATTCTCCAAGGAGGAAGAGAGTCAGGATGTTTGCGAAGGTGGTAGCTTCCGTTACGTCTACTAGCCAGCTGTTTGGCTTCCTCTTAGAGCAGAAATTACTGAGCCATCAAGGCCATGAGAGCTTTAATTGAAATTTAAATATTCCTGTCATAATTTATTGGTTAAACTTCCGAAAGCAGAATTTGCATACATGATGTTTCATATTTCCTTCATCTCCGCAGTCGCACTATCTATCCGACGGCGGCGGGTTTTGCGGAAGCACGACCCCCCTCTTTCGAATCCACACAGACAGTCGATATATAACCGCTAGTGAAGCAATGCTATACATTCAAATTTCAACCTGATTGCATTCAAAATGAGTCCTATCGACCTTGGATCCCTTGTCCTCGTGACCGGTGGGAATGGGTTCATCGCAGCCCATTGCATCGCTGGTCTGCTGCGCTCCAATTATCGCGTTCGCGCAACCGTGCGCTCTATTGAGAAAGCAAAGGCTACACGTGAAGCTCTGGAGACTGCTGGCATCGAAAATCTCTCCGATCTGGAATTAGTAATTGTGTCAGACCCGACCGACGTCCAGGCTTTGAGCGGGTCGCTCCAGGATTGTCAGGCTGTCCTGCATCTAGCATCAGCATTCAACTATGATGCTAAACCGGGAGAATTTGAAGAAAAGCTCATGATGCCTGCTTTGAATGGGACTAAGGCTGTTTGTGAGGCTGCCAACCGTCATCACTCAGTTCGCCGAGTCATCATAATGTCCAGCTTTGCCAGCGTCTACGACGCTAGCCTCGGCCCCCAGCCTGGTCGCGTTTATACCGAGAATGACTGGGCCCCATTGACTTACGAAGATGGCGTGAAGGCCTTGGCTGTGGTGAGGCCTCTTCATTTTCTCCAGTGCGTACCCAAAAAGATGCTAATCTATTTTAGCCTATCGCATATAGAGCGTCCAAAGTCGTAGCCGAGAGGGCGGCATGGGAATATGTTCGCAACAAGGTCCACTTTCAGTTGATAACCCTTTGTCCCGGAATGGTCTTCGGCCGAATGATTCACCCCATTAAATCTCTATCTCAGCTCAATGCAAGCAACCAAATTGTGTGGCAAGTTCTGAGTGCAGGAAAAGACGGCGAAATGCCTCCTACAAAAGCCCCGGGTACATATTTTCACCTCTACATAGCCCATTCCTATGCTAACACGGTATATCTAGTTTGGATTGATGTTGAGGACCTGGCAAATACAAGCATAAAGGCACTTACGTTCCCAGGCACAGCACACGAGCGCTTTTTAGTGACCCAGGCATCCTATGATACTCAGGAAATCGCAGATATTATTCGTTCCCACTTGCCAGAGAAACATCGCTGCCCTCTGGGAGCTCCAGGGAATCGCATTGCAGAAACCCATTACTCTTGCGACTCATCCAAGGCACAGAATATGCTAGGAGTCAAATTTCGGGGTTTGGAGGAATCAATTGTGCCGCTAGCACATCAGCTATACGAAATGGAGAGAAACTAAAGTGAAACAATCTTCGGAACATCTCCGACGACAACATTGGCACTCCCTTCATGGTTACTTTCAGAGCCTCGGTGCTAGTTATTAGAAAATCTTATTAATATTGTATTGGCTCTTTCAATAGTTCCAATGATGAAGTTTCTTCGCTTCAAAGATCGGCGAATGACTGACCTACCTTATTCATTACACTGTACTCTTCAAATGGAATATCATCGAGGTTTGACAAGACCCACGTATCCCAGTATCCTACAGATTACGATGGAAAGACAAACGAAGGAATGGAAATGATATTGGGGACTTGGCTAGCTATCAGTAGGTGAGCCATGGTGATTGAATGAGTTGGAAGTAACTACCCACGACTCGCTCCTCTAGACATCTTACTAAGAGCGCATGATTACTACTGCAATTCCCAAGGCCATGGGATATTTCAAGTTGGTTAGGCTTTTCTTTTACTCGGACCTGGAATGCTATTTCTTCAGTATTGAATTTTGCTCCAGTGTTAGTACGCGCACCTACGAGGTTGATGTAAAGACATTTACACTGCAAAATTATAATTTTCCAGACGGTCTATATTAATCATTTCTAAATTTGCTCATACAAGAGAGTACTTCATTCTCAATCACGATGCTCAATCGGTTATCGGTGTAATGTAGTCTTGATATGCTCCGCCGTCATTTCAATGAACTCCTTTGCCTGCCATAGATCTGTATGAAAAGTTAGTCATGTTACCTCGGTTATCTCTGACCGAGATACTGACCTTTATCCATGTGCATGAATGGGTGTGGAACTCCGACGAATCTTTTCTGAATCACTTCGTTTCCTCCCTCGATGAGCTTTTGTGCATACGCCTCACCCTCATCCCGCAACGGATCACACCCGGCTGTGTATATGACTGTCTTGGGGAGTTGAGTGAAATCGGGGGCCTGCAGCGCATTGGCATACCATTCAACGGCGGCTAGCTGTTTCTCTCGAGTTGGACCTTCGGCAGCTAGGCTCTGCCACTTTAGATTATCAAACCACTTTAACCGTGCCCAGTTCAAAGTCGGCGCATGCTCCATATCTTGCATAGATACCCAAGGCGCCTCTGCGGCTGACTTGTATTTGGAGATATCGTCAATCGTGGGAGTGCCTACTGCGACAAGCTGGAGAGGGAGTTGAGCATCTCGGGCTAGATGGGCGCAGATTAAGGCGATATTTCCGCCGGCGGAGACACCCCCCAACGAAATTCGGGTAGAGTCGATGTTGAATTTCTCAGTTCCGCTAGAGTAGATATACTGGAGAGCTGCGAAAGAATCCTGAATGCCAATCGGAAATGCGTATTCTGGTACCAATCGATACGCGACGTCGATAACACAGACATTTGCTTTCACGCAGATGTGCTTGCAGATATGTGCTTCGGTGTCAAGGTCACCTAGCCCCCACCCTATCGACGAAAATGAGTTCCTCATCTTGCAGTAGAATCGCTTTTGATGATCATACCTCCACCATGGAAATCCACATGTACAGGCCATGGACCCGGCGAGGCCGGCTCGTATACTCGAACCGGGATCAGATCGCCATTGTGACCTGGGACCTCGCTATCGTAAACTCGCGCGCAATCCGGAGCTGGTCCGGTTCCATAGGAGTAAAGGACCGAGTATTTGGTGCGCAACACGGAAAGATCAATTGGCCCTGCTGGGGTACTTGCAACATGTTCGTTATAGAGGCGCACGAAGACAGGGTCCAGATGCGGGAGAACAGACGGATGAATAGGATTCAGGGCCTCGTGGGACGACATGATGGCGATTGAGATCTATGTCAACGAAGGGGGGAGAATTGTCTGAAAATAACTCTGATTGCGATACTATAATTATATAGTAGCTGGCATGTTCTTTCCCATTTCTCTTCCATCGATCCGCGGCAGTGAAGATTCACGTTAGCGCGATGCACCCCGCAGCCGTCGCATTGGCCGAGTCTGATAGCCGACGGTCGGAAACCAAGGAATCGCGTAGGAAATCCAGGATGCTCCAGTTCAGCCGGATAAGCCCCGCACGTTATCTATGCGACGGGGAGCCCGATTGAGTCCGATACTCTTCCGCAACGTATCCTCTCAACTGTCATTCAAACGAACACAAAAGGAGCAGGTTGGCGACGATGTCCAGGCCATCATCACTATGGATCCCGTACGTATTGTCGGCGCCGGCATTGTCGGCTTGACCTTGGGTCAAGCCTTGAAACAGAAAAATATTCCCTTCGAAATCTATGAGCGCGACGAGAGCCCTGATGTCCGCGGCCAGGGATGGGCCATCACTCTCCATTGGGCTCTGGAATATATGTGGCAGATGCTTCCAGAAGAGACACTGGCGCGCATACAGGCAGTACAAGTGGACCCCGAGGTTGCCCGTCACGACAATGGCAATTTTCTGTTCATCAACTTGCAAACAGGAGAGCCCAAGTACAAAATCCCCCCAAGTGTACGATGGCGGGTGAACCGTGAAAAGATGCGTCGCGCATTGTTGCACGGGATCGAAGAACATGTTCACTGGGGCCGACAAGTAGTGGATCTCGACATTCCAGTCGCCTCAAATCAAGTGGAATTAATTTTCGCAGACCGAAGTACGGTTAAGGGTCTAATCGCCGTGGGTGTGGAGGGAAGCCGGTCCATGGTGCGTCGGGTTCTGCGACCTGATGCCTTCAACAACTCGCCCCTAGAGATCAAATTCACTGGCGTCGCAGTGGACCTCACATCTGAGCAAATTAAGCCATTACGTGACATGGACCCTCTCTTATTTCAAGGCTGTCATCCACCGACAGGGGCTTTCTTCTGGTTTTCGATGCTGGAGACGCCACAGGTGAACGGGACAGCGGGGACGGACACCGAGCACTACCGCGCTCAGATATGCATGTCTTGGCCGGTCAAAGGGCCAGAAGATGAGGTCGCAGCGTCAAATGAGGCTCGGCTGGCCAATATGAAGAGCCGAGCGCAAGGATTTGTGGCATTCCTTCAGGAGGCTGTCGAACGCATCCCGGCTGGGACGCCTGTGACGGAGATCAGGTTGGCAGATTGGGAATGCCTTCCATGGAACAATCATGGAGGCCGGGTAACCCTAGCGGGGGATGCTGCGCATGCAATGACAATGTGTAAGTCGAGTAACTTGTCGTTGCAGAAGATCGAGTGCTAATGAAAGTGTAGATCGAGGAGAAGCCGCAAACCACGGCCTGCTCGACGCATACTATCTGGTCAACGCCATCGAGGCCATTTATAATGGAACGAAAACAGCGCCAGAGGCCATTGGTGAATTTGAAGATGAGATGAGAGCACGCACCAGCCGGGCTGTGCGATTAAGTCGCCAAGCATGTTATGATGCTCATGATTGGAACAGATTAGATGAAACGTCAGCTATCCTGACCAAAAGATCCATTGTAGCCAAATGATTGTCCCTGATTATCAAAGCTTGTCCATATTTTTATGCAAAAGAAACTTAAAGTCAAGAGAAAAATACTTCCATGGAAGACACCTACTTGAAAAGAAATGATAAATACGCAACATGGCCGTAAAAATTAAATCGCCATGATCAATACAACCTATTTCCAAGTAAAAGCGTTCAAAATATAACGTTGAGAAGAAAGAAACAGAAGCTGCGATCCCAAGAAGTTGTAGATTGAGGAAATGAATCTAGTAGGGAACTATAACTAACCAATCTCTCAAAATCATGGCATAGCAAGATGAAATCAGTCGCGAAGCAGATAGCAAGCCTCTCCGTACGTCAGATCAAAGTGTCTACAGAATGATCATACCCAGACCAGTCAGGAACGCAGTCGCCACGTAAGCACCGATCTGGAAGTAGCCAACAGTCACGCTGGAGTGAAGGTTGATGGGAGCAACACCGCTCGACGCGGTTGAGGAAGAGCTGGAAGACGAGTCGGCAGTCGCGGTCGCTTCAGTAGTGACAGTGCCAGTACCAGCAGTTCCCGCCTCCTTGATCTGGGACGAGCAAGTACCAGTGGCCTTGGTGGTGGCCTTGGTGGTAGCAGAGCTAGAGAAGTCGCAAGCAGTGGCCTTGCTGTCGTTGTCGGTGTAATACTTGTTGAGAGCGAACGCAAGCTTGTACTTGATCTCACACATGCTGTATGCACCATACTCGCCGGTAGTGGCATTGCTACTCACACCCGAGCAGTCGATGTCACCGCAGACATCACCGAGAAGGGTAGCCATCTTGGCAGACGTAAGGGAGGAGGAAGCCACGCAAGCCATCTCTTCGTACATGCACTGACACAGTTCAGAGTCTGGAGTTGGGGGGAGAGGCGAAGCCTCGGCCCTCCAATCGCTACCAACAGTCGGGCAGCTCTGCAAAACAGTGTTGGTGGGGGTATAGGAGGCCTTGTTCGTGCCAGTGGGGTCGACGCTGGCGATCTCGCTAGAGTAGTACTTGAAGTCGGCCATGGTGCTAACGCTTGTGCTATCAACAACAGAAACAAGACCTGTATGTGGTCAGTACATTCATTCAAAGAAGGCTACGCATGGCAAAGGTCAAGAACCTACCGTAGTTGTTTGTCTCCTGGAAGTACATGTAGACAATACCTCCAGACCAGACCTCGGCCATAGTGTCGCCGTACAGGGCCTTCACCTCGGTAAACTTGCGGGGGGTGACATCGTTGCATCCATACTCAGCAAAGAATACGGGCACAGTGTAATTCCGGAACTCTTCAGTGCGAGCCTTGTAGCCAGACTCCGAGTAAGTAGAAGTACCGCACCACGAGTAGATGTTGTACCCCCAGAAGTCAACGCTCTCATCCTTCGTCTCGCAGTCGAAGTAGTTACCCAAGTTCTCACGGATAGCGGAGACATCAGCAGTGGCATATCCAACACCCATAGACCGATAACCCTTTTCCTTGATGTATGCCTTCATGTCGCGCACGGCGGCCTTGACGAAAGCAGCGGAGTCGGTGGTGGCAACGCTGTTGGCGACTTCATTGCCGGCAAAGAAACCAATGGTGTTGTTATACTGAGACAGTTCATCAATGACGGCAGTGTACCGTGAGTACAGGCTGGTCATCCAGGTGGGATCGCTGCGGTCGATTGACTGGTTCGGATCAGACAAATCAGAGATCAGATAGATGCCAGCTTCGGCCAGCAACTGCATGCATTCCGAGTGGTCGGCGGAGGCGTTGATCGAGTAAGTACGAATGACATTGGTGCGCAGTTTCTTCATATAAGGGATATCACGCTTGCAAGTGGTGACATCGGCAAGGGGATCCTTGTAGCCGCTGCTGTCGCTGGTATCCTCTGCTTGGTGTTAATCTCGACAATCTTGGCCATTCATTTACCTCTTCATGACGATTGACTTACGCTGGTAAGCAACACCGCGAAGGTAGCTATCCAAAGACAATGAGCATGAGCAATCTTCAGGGGTATGATAGGTATCCTTGCTTACAATTGAGTGTTGTTACTAGAATAGAAGAATTTAGAGCCCTGTAGGACGTCTTCGTTAGTATACAACATCTTGGCTCTTTTCCGTAATGCCCGACCTTGATAACAATGGGATCCAAGTCAGCCACGGCGGCTGTGATCAGTGTCGCCAGCGACAACAAAGAGAGCTTCATGGCGAAATTGGCTTGGCGGACCTAATCGACACCGCAGATATTATGTAGCGAAGGGAATGGAGATAGCCTCCGTGGGTTGAGAAAACGAGGGACTGCAATAGAACGAGAAGACTAAGAACGAGTGAATGTCTCCTCGCAGAACGAAATGAGGAGAAAATAAGAGCAGATGAAGATACACCCTCGGTGGCTTCACCTCCCGGGCCATTAATACCCTCCAACGTTATTCTGGTCTACCTGATTTGCCATATTCCCCTGACCATTTGGGGAGGGACGCGTACAGCAGCCCCAGCTGGCATCCACCGAGATAATGACCCTAAGGGCTCAGGGTACTTGGCCAAAGCCTGGGCAAAACCTGGGCAATTACTATAATCAAGCGGTACCCGGCTGTCAATTCTTCCATGCCGGAGTTGATAGACCGCGTCAACCAGCGTTATTAGGGCTAGATGATGAGCATACTAGCTTTGAGCGAGTCGCAACGACCAATAGCAAGGATCCACACCCTAAAATTATCCCAGTATCTGCAAACTAACTCTCGTTAGCGCCACAAAGAACTTCTACTTGGCGTTCGGAAGGTGGCGGCCATGAGGTATGCGAGATGGTGAGCCACCCACATGAGCTGACCCCAGGGACCACTTGTCTCTGATTTTTCATCCGCTAAAGCCTCTTGAATTCATCTCTAGAAAACTTCAGATGTTGATCCTGTCGCTTGGGTAATTTTTTTGGAGGAGTGGCTGGTGTGGAGTGAAAATGTTCACAGGCTGACGCGGTAGGTGGGGCGAACTCTGGGAATGGCGTAGACAGTGCGTGGCCTCTCTCGCATCGGCGGCGTGCACTCCTTTTTCTTCTTTCCAGGCAAAATATCTAATTTTACCTTCTATTTTATTCGCTGATAGGTCCTAGCAGTGCAATATGGGCTTGAAATATAGATTTTTGGTAGATAATTCACATTATTGGAAGCGGGACGCCTGCGCGGGCAGGCTTTCTTAGTGCGATTTAGTTAGTTTTCGATCGTTTACTAATTTGCACCCCACGATCGTGCTGCATATAGGTAGCGAGCACTCGTATCTTTTTTTGTGACTGTCAGGCAGTATTCCAAACCTAGTCGCCCGTATTCCGTCGTTCTGAGCGTAGTAGTGTTTGTAGAAGTTGGTTGGTGGCCAACAGCCCTAGGAAGAACGTACCTGTTCATCGAACAGTTTCTGCCAGATACTCCTCCTTATGGAGTACTCCTTCCTAAATAGGGCCTATTTAATCACTCAGCAATAATGATTGGGTCCATAGAGTCCACGTCCTAAAGATGGCCCGATAAAGTGCCAAGCCTCGCAAATCTGGGGAATGTTGATCAGCCTGCCATGCGATCTAGGACGTATTTTTTTCCCTTCCAAATTGAGCTGGGAACTTTGATTTCATCAAAGCCTAGTCTAGCCATCAGCTTTCACATTAGAAATTTTACATAATATGTAAGGTAAAAGGATATAATATGTCTCTTTGCTAATAGGCATGTACATTCAATGTTTCGAATAACTCCAAAAGAAAAAAAAAAAAAACAGGATCGTCAATTCGTCCCGAGCCTTTCACGTGCTTGGACCAAAAAAACAAGATCATAATACCATCTCCTCATTTGCATTTTATATTCCGACGCCGCGTTTCTTTATCCATGATATAAATTATTCGATCACATTCGATTCTGTTTGCCATGAGCCTCGATGGCCGCTTCGAAGGAACGGATGGTGTCCAGCGGTCGCTCAAGGCGATTTCGGGTTGGGTTGGAGCGATCCGGATCAGCTATGGGAACATTAGTTCTCTGGGTCTACCTCTCTAGAGCAAGATAATTGTGTAGCTCATCACAACATACTAATTAGCTTCCCGTCACGATCTCTGTGCTGCATGCTTCGTAAGGAGAACATATCACGTAGTCCTGGTTCGTTGATCACAGCAACTGCAAATTACATAGTGTCAAATTTTGCGTGAAACTAAAATTGGTTGCGACATTGGAGCTTACTGGGTTGCGCCTCATGTAGGGCTGTGTTGGGATCGGATTTTGTATTCAAGGATGTCTTGGGGCTTTCATGCGACTGAATGGAGCCACTGCGTTCACTGGGCGACCGAGATGCCATTATTTGACGTGTCTGTTGTCTCGAATAACTATTATTAAGAAATAGAACAGTCGAGTCCACTATAAAATCACTGTGATGAAGGTGTAACTGTTGGGAAGAATGACAGGTGGTGGGGATGTGCCTGAACTTGGCCTTACCACTTGACCCTTATATATCAGGAACATTCCCCCAGACGCGGCGCCTGACAGGTCATGTCTGCCTGTTCTTGCGTATTCCGGGCTAAGAATAGATCGCTGTCTTCCTGGAACCTGAGATCACGCAACCCATGGCAAGGGTTACGGATCATGCCGGGTGGTGATTGGAACGATTTGGATTGGCGTTCCACGGATCGTTGCAAACCAGCATCCATTCCATATGACGTTGCACACACACAGACGTAGTGTTCCCAGTGGCTAACGAAGCTTCCCCTGCATGATCGTAGAATGCTTAGCATGCAATCGACCCAATCAGAGACGGTAAGACACGCAATTGTCGGTGGCTGAAGGGGTCTCGGGGTTCCGCCAGGCACCACACAAGGTTTCAGGTCCTCGGCCCCCGATGGATTCTGCCAGGCACTGGAAGATCTTGCGAGCAATCAGTACTCCGTAAGCGTAAGCCAGACAGGATCGGGCGCTGTACGCCTGTGGAGCATGGGTCCAGCCCCATCGCCCCGTCACATGCAGGTACAGTGATTATGTGTACAAACCCGGACAGCCGGGAACCGCGTTATGGTATTGTAACTGGGCGGCCCCTTGCGGTAGGGCGCGATGGTTTCTTTCTGAATGCAACAAAGGTTCGCGTTCATGACATTCTTTCTCCATGATCTTACCCTTAGAACCAAATAAGATCATTGTCTGGCTAGGGACAACCAATTATAATGAGTCTGTATCGGGATGTCTCTCGCATGGAAGATTCTGACAGCAATGTCATTCTACTCCACAAGAATGTTCTCCAGAGATGTTTCACGTTACCACCGACTTGTCGGGATACACATCATGTGTGTGTAAGCTGTCATACGTATATCATAGCAACACGGCATTATCTATAGGCCACAAGTCCCTGGCCCCTGTACGCACAGGCCATGGTTGAAATTTTGCCTGTCTGTTACTCTGAGGATGAGCTGGGGAAGAAGCGGGACACCAGGCAACGAGATTTTCGAAAGATCTTGACATTTCAGATCCATACGGGATCCCAAGCATCAGCTATCTAAGTACTCCGTGGTGTATCTTTGTACTTTCTTACCTTGTGGCAATGTCAACTTCTTGTTGCGACCGTCCGGAAACGGGTGCCGTTACACTTGTTGCATCAGAGTCCGCCACGCTTTTTTGTTGGTTTCCTCCAACATTCCAGGGGATCTATCTCTCTGCTGATTGGAAATATTCTATTAAACACATGCTCCGAAGAATATCTTCCCGGGGCTCTGTAAACAATTTTTAAACCAATTTGGTAGTTACCCGGATCGACACCATCACGTAATCATCATCCTTTTTCATGTTCATGGTCCTTTGGTTCATCCTGGCACACCACATGAGCAGAGGAAGAGTTCTTCGTACTTTATGCAATACCTAAAATACATTGCTTCCCTCAAATCCTCTTCCATAGCAACAATTCTGCTTCTTCAACACCGTTCAAAGAATACAGATCCTTTGTATTCGCTGCTTTTTCGTCAAGCTTGCTAAGCCTAGTATCCATGGTGATTGACTGTCCTGAAAAAATTGTACATATGTGTATTTGCAAGCCACCTCCCCTTTTGCCAAGCCGCTGCTTCATTCATCTAGGGGTAGTTAAGATGCTGGTAAACCCTAACCCGATCCCAACGCATACCTTCAATTGAACCTGTTGATATCGTGATGCCCCAATTTAAGCTTCACTGGATTTGACACGATGGCCTTGTAATCAAAGATTTTCTAAATTTTTCTTTGACTCTTCCAAGCGCCAGCTATCTGGGGTTAAAATATGTACCTACCCGTGATCGCGAAAGATTCAATTTGGCGGCATGTCTTTCATCATGCCCATCGACATACACAAGCGATCATGCCAAGTGACCATACTTTCACTATCTGGCTTTGGGGACGTACGCGCGTCCTTCTCTGGCGTGATTCCTGTTTTGGCATTGTTGACCAAAGCCAGAGGGTCCATCAATGACAAGAATTTCGATCTTGACGCACCAGATTTCCTCAAGGAGTCATTGGATCTGATGACTCTCAATAATTGATCTAGCAAGGCGACAGCCGATTCGATTCCCTGCAAGCAAAACTTTCCCATCTTACTGGCTGCCGTATTAGGGATTGACCCAATGAATTCTTTGCTATTCCCTTGGGGAACTTGATTGACAGCATCAAAATGGGCCAGCATATCAGCTTGGATTCGAGACAGCCCCTCTCGACAGAGAGATATGCGATGTGTCAGATCTTTTTTCTCACTCTCATCTTCTTGGGGGCACATAACGATTCTTCTTGTTTTGGCCAAGAATCCAGGGCAACAAGAAATATCATAAAATGCATATTCAAGCAGCTCGCCGAGGGGAGAGGACTTTCCGCGCCGTTCTTCATCTTTAATAATATCCGGAATAATATCTCGCCATTTCTGATCTTCTAGAAAGCACCTTTCGCCGCGCATAAAAGCATCGAACACTAGAAAGCTGCGAAAGGACACCAGCAAGGTCCTAGCAAACCCTTGGACATGGGCGTGTGCTCCTCGAAGCTGGAAAAGGCATCCAATGCCCCCTGAGTGCAGCATCCAGGAGTTTTGATCCATACCACTCACCGCTTCGTATAGGCCAAGGAGAATTGATGCACCGAGGGTTTTGTCCGCCCGGACTAAAGACGGGGTGTTGAGTGCCCTGACCAGCTGTTGCAGTGCACGGCCATACATTTCGCGACTTTGCAAAACGAGCCGCTCATCGCTATTCGCTTGCCCGAGCTGTAGACTCCCAAGACATTGTAGAGCGATGTCAAGTGCCTTATTATCCTGCCCTTGCTGTTGACGCGCCACTTCGACCCAGTTGACCTCTACTCGTGTACTAAATCCATAGAAGATGCCTGAGAAACGGGCATCCACAAAGGCACAGAATCCTTCCCGGTGTTGTTGTCCAAACGTGCTACTCACGAGGTTTGGGACCACTCTTTCATCGATAGAGGCATAGGGCAGTGTAGGCGGTCTCATAAGCTGCTGGGATCTTGAATGTATGGGTATGCAGACCGATGTTTCTCCGAAAGGATCACCTTCCTTGTCAGATGGGGCTGATGTCCCAAACTGGTGGTAGAACTTCCGCTCTCTATTATAGCCAGGACATGGCAATCCCCGCCGTTGACATAACGAACATTCTGGACGCGTTTCATCGCACTGTCGAGTTTGCTCCATTAGACCCTGTCCGTGTTGCGAGTGCATCTGGGGAACATATGTGGGGCGGAGGGAATATGTACCTTTACTCGCCGTCTCAGACAAGCCAAGCAGCCTTTACTGCGGGGAACACCCACCATGATCACGTCCACATTACTTTTCAATCAGACGTGTCCTGCAGAACGTGCCTGGGAATCAAGAACGATTTTAGGTCTCAAGACGAGAATACGAGGAAGTGCGACCGCCTTCCCCGCTGCTGGGGTTGTACCTGCTCAAGCCACTAGTCACAAACGAGATTGGCGCCACGCCAAGTTAAGCCGGGGAGCTCTTGGCTCTTGGCAATGCCAGATGGCATGAAAAAAGGCCTACTCGATGATTTTTGGTTCGGTATATGATCTTCTATGGCTCATGCAGCTATTTCAAAGGGTTCTTTCAAGTTGCTATTATACATTTAGTCCTCCAGGCTTCTTGTGGAACACGAAACTCCTCCATCGAATATCCAATCCCCTGTTCTCCGCCTCTAATAACTTCGAGGAAGCTCAAGAACTTTCTCACTCACGTAGTTCAAGATCATTTCCCGGCTCACAGGGGCAATCCGGGGGACAAGGCATTCACGCAGATATCGCTCAACATCATATTCCATGGCGTAGCCCATTCCTCCATGTGCCAGAACAGCGCGCTCACAAGCTGTGAACGCGGCCTCGGCAGCGAGATATTTCGCGCTGTTGCAGGCGACGCCGATGGCTTGGAATGGGACAGAGCCATCGTTCGTATCGTAGAGTCGAGCGGCATGGTAAGTGGCCAGTTTTGCCGCCTCGAGCTTCATGTAGGCATCTGCCAGTGGGTGGGCAACGCCCTGGTTCTGTCCAATGGGCCGACCGAACACCACACGATCCTTTGCATACTGGGACGCTTTCTCGAGGGCGGCATATCCAAGACCTAAGGCTTCGCCGGCCAGCAGACAACGCTCAGCATTCATGCCATGCAGGATGATCTTGAACCCTTGGTTTTCTTGGCCGATCAACGCACTCTCTGGAATCTGATAGTTATCAAAGAATACCTCGTTAGCATCCACGGCACGGCCGCCCATCTTTTTAATCTTGCGCATGTCCAACCCGGGCTGGTCGCGGTTGAGGTCAATGCAAAACATAGACAGACCATCGGTTGCCTTCTGGACCTCTTCTAGCGGTGCAGTCCGCGCCAGAAGAATCATCTTTGAGGCGACCTGGGCGCAGGTAATCCAAATCTTCTGACCCGAGACAGAATAGCCGTCGGCTGTTTTAGTTGCCAATGTTTTGAGCTTGAGTGTTTCCAGCCCTGTATTTGGCTCGGTGACGCCGAAACAGGTTCGCCAGGTACCATTGATGATGTTTGGGATCGTGGTCTCTAGCTGTTCTTGTGTCCCGAACTTGGCCAAGGGCTGTGTAGCGTATACATTTGCATGAATGGCTTGGGCTCCCGCCATTCCTGCCCCGGACTGTGTGATAGTGTGCATCATCATGGTGGCCTCGGAGATACCTGTCTTGCGAATCAGCCTGTGCCCTCTTCTAGTGATTCTTCGACCATCTTAAGTTGCGCTCATGTACCTAATCCTGCGCCTCCGAGGGATTCGGGCAGCGCGATGCCCAGCCAGCCATCTTTAGCCAAGGCCGCATGGAATTCCTTGGGATCTTTCTCCTGCTGGTCCCTCTCCTGCCAGTAGGTATTTGGAAATCTGGCGCAGATATTGGAAATAGCTTCGCGAACTGTGAGCTGCTCCTCAGTGAAGCCCGTCATCTCCATAAGATCCCTTCGCGCCGTGGTCGAGAATGTGGCTCGCGCTGACTGAACGCGACGAGGCACGCCACGACAGTTGCCGAACGATGGGGCCTGCCATTGCGACCGGATAAAACGCTGCCAGTGAGGTCGAGACATGATGTTTAATTTCGTTGGATTGCTCATTTGCCCGAATGCTCGGCCTTAAATGCGTCTACCAGGGCTCCCCTCCAGACGAGGCATGTAAGCATATAACCGAGGTTGCCGAATTCCCCCCTTCTCGGCGAAGCGGCCGACTTCAAAATGGCTGATCAGGTATTATCTCAGCAAAGACGCACTGCAATAAAATCCAGCCATTTAAGATATTGTTGATCTTGGAACCAAGAAACCTTGTTCTTGCCCTTTGCTTTTTATCACGTTGACAATTTGAAATTTTGACGTAGAGCAACCATGTTGCAGATGGTCTCTTCCCACACCCGTGCGCTTCGCGTGCCCGGCATACTTCGCACCCCGACTCCGTCAGTTCGCTTTTATTCACATGCGAACGTCAATGGCCATCGAACGCCTCCGCTCGCTGGAATTACCGTTATCAGCCTGGAACAGGCCATTGCAGCACCGTTTTGTACGCGGCAGTTAGCTGACCTCGGAGCACGAGTCATTAAGGTGGAGCGACCGGGAGTTGGTGACTTTGCCCGCCAGTATGACACTCGCGTCAATGGAGCAGCGTCCCATTTTATTTGGACCAATCGATCCAAAGAAAGCTTGGCGCTTGACCTCAAGAATAAAAAAGACCATGCAGTCCTGATGAAGCTCCTGCAAAAAGCGGACGTGCTGGTACAGAATCTGGCCCCTGGAGCAAGCGCACGACTCGGGTTATCTTACGAATCTCTCAAGAAAGATCACCCTTCTCTCATCGTATGTGATATCTCAGGATATGGCCAAAACGGTCCATATCGTGACAAGAAGGCGTATGATCTACTCATTCAAAGTGAAGCGGGGATGCTCTCTGTCACCGGCACTGGAAAGGAGCCGGTCAAGGTGGGTATATCCATTGCCGATATATCCGCCGGCATGTACGCATATACCAACATTCTTTCTGCATTGCTGCAGCGAGGGAAGGACGGCCAAGGCTGTCGCATTGACATCTCGATGCTCGAGAGCATGGTCGAATGGATGGGCTTCCCAATGTACTATGCATTTGATGGCGCTCCGGGGCCTGTCCCTGCAGGTGCGTCGCATGCTGCCATCTACCCATATGGTCCGTTTGAAACCAGCGACGGACAGGTAATGCTGGGAATTCAAAACGAGAGAGAGTGGGCCAGTTTCTGCTCTGGTGTTCTTGCGCGTCCAGATTTAGTATCGGATTCCCGATTTGCAAACAACTCCTTACGTGCTCAAAACCGAGATGCACTCAGAACTATCATCTGCGATACATTCTCAAATCTAACATCGAAAGAGACCATTGAGCGGCTTGATAAAGCTACGATTGCTAATGCGAACGTAAACGACATGCACTTGGTTTGGAAACACGCTCAGCTACAAGCTCGCGATCGATGGCTGGAGGTCCAAACCCCCGTCGGTTCTGTTCAGGCTCTCCTTCCACCAGGTGCCACAAAGGCAGCTGAGCAGGGTGGCTATGGAGCGCAAATGGGGCCTGTACCGAGCGTAGGTGAGCACAACAAGGCAATCATGGAAGAGTTGGGGATGGAGGAGTGACTGTTTCTGGAATATTGAAAATAACTCAATCTCCAAACAAGATACTACGCTATTGAACCGTTGTACATAGTACTATATAGACCAATCTGGGAACTGATAGATGGGAGTTATATTTCATCAAACTAGAGAAAGCGATACAGAAACTCCAGATTTTGAGCGTTGAGATAATCCGGATTTGTCAATGTATCTGCCAGTCCCACAAAGTCATTTCCTTCGACATTGAACAACTCATACCAATCCATATTCATCGATGGTTCATCAACTGGGTTTGAATCCAATTGAGCTGTCGTTTGCACTGTAGCCAGTCCGCTAGTGTTCGGATTTGGAGAGATTGGTTGGGTCATCGGGCTACCTGGAGCGTGGGCAAATGCCGCTTCTAGTATTTGTGGCTCCTTCAGTGAAGAGGTCGGCATCCCGACGTCACCCAGTCGAAGATTTCGGGCCGTGCGATCGTCTAAACACCGAAAAAAGAGATCTAAGACCCAATTCTCCAGATCCCAGGATTTCTGAAGCTCTTTCAACCCAAGCAGACACAGCTTGGCCCGGTGTTCCGCCAGTTTCTTTGCAGTACTGGTCATTCTTCCAAAATGAATGGTGTGAATACACAAAGCAGAAAATGTATGAGTGATGCTATCTCAAGTCAGAAGAAGTCATCTTGTGTCACCGAAATACATACAGGTGAACTGATCCATGTTGTACCAGGTTCTCTGAGAGCATATCCTCAAGAATTCGCGTACTCCGGGTAGCTGCTTCCAAAGCGATATTTCCGTCTGAGCTGGATGATACGTTCGGCGGTTGTAGAAACATGGGTCGATACAGCAAAACATAGAGGTTACTGTAATGGTGTCAGTCTGATGCGACTTCGCACAGTCTGTTAAGGAGTCTTCACTTACTTGTATGCCATGTGGAGCATGCCAACAAGAAACATCACATCCCTGCTCATGGAGGGTTGGAAATGCATTTCCGGGGGTAACCTTTCTTCCCAGTCTAAAAGTCGCTGGTGGAGGTTCGGGCGAGAAGGGTTGTCCAGTTTCGATTTTCCTGGTAAATACTGACTGCAGACCACCGCTCGTACTAGAAGGAGTATTTCAGCTTCATGATCCTTGTTTTGGTTTTGTATGTCGTTGGGTGTCGTCTTACATAATTTCGCCAATTGGGCCATCCCAATGACATACGATACATGCGCAGAGGGAGGCGTTTTAAAGATATTCGAAGTGTTGACAGGGTCGTTTTCCTTGAAATCTAACTCATCGAGCTCGTCGACTTCGCAATCTTCATTTCGGATCCTGGAGGGCAATCCCAGTGCCGCCGAGGTTTGTTGATCACGGACCTCCAGCTTCATGAGCTTGGAAATTGAATCACCCAAGGAAGATGTGCTTACATATAATGCCCACCATATCCTTTTCCACAACTTCTGGTCTCGGACTCTCAGAAAAGGCAATTTTGACCTATAAGCAATTAGCCAAATCTCATTTCATGATGGCCTTGACAACTGACATCACATGCATGCCCTTCTTTTGGGCCAAATCAATAGCTGCACCAAGCCAATACCGTACATCTCTTTCTTCAGTCGGCCCTCCCCGCCAAAAGCTCAGAAGAAACAACGATTGGAGCTTGATAACTGTGTCAGCCTCCCATCCAACATCATATATCTCCTTGGCGCGGTGGTAAAATAAGCCTTTGGCCTGGTATCGATTTTCAAACCCCGTGGCGCCCAACGCCACGTCGGAGCATAAGCTCACTCCGATAAAAAGCATCCCTTGCAGAAGTAATGGCGATATTGTATTATCGTGATAGTCATTTTGGACCTGAGCGCGATCAATAATTGGAAAGCAAGGATGAAACCATTCGAAGTATGCTTGAAGAAGAACTTCGCAGATGGTTGGCGACGGGAAGACCAAAGCACTCTCCTGAATGAGACGCTCTTGAAGAGATTTCCGACGCTGGCCAAGAGATTCCTCATTCGAATCTACAGAGGCGCGAAGTTCGGAGATGGAGTAATGAAGACGGCCTTTCTGGGGTCCGCGTGCGTATCCTTTGTCCGGAGACCGTTGGCCCTCATCTACGACGCAAGTCAAGGGACTCGATTCGCCGAGGAAGACGGTCTTATGGATAGGATTTTCGGGCCTAACAGGATGCGTTGACGGAGTATAGTGAGAGGAGCGATCTTGCGGGGTATGATGCTGCGTCAGTTGCCCTACCAGCCCTGTGGCTGGCATGCTGCTAGGCTCATCGGTAGTTCCTGTGGAGGCCTTTTTCTTTCGGCGCGGGTATCTGCCGATCCATGTTGGCACAGATAGCTTAAAGGAAGATTAGAGGACATGCTCACTTTCCCCTTCGGGATACTCCTAGCTCACAGGAGAGATTCCAGGCCACGCAGTTGCGACATGGCTGCATCTCAAGCACATTACATCGCACGCGACGAGCGTTGCATGCCAAGCATGCCTTCTTCGCGCGTGTGCGCGGCCGATCTGGAGTGATGGTCGCCATTATAGGTACAAGATAGGCTGTTTCCCAGCAACTATACTTTCAAGTTTAGAAGCAGGCATCTGGTGTTGGACTTTGCTCGGCTATACAACCGTTCTATTCTCTACGTTAGTGGGGACGTCTCGGCTTTCGGTTATATGCTTTATCGCGGCAAAACGCGAGGGTCACAGAGCCGAACTCGTCGCCACTGTCCACGTGACGCCAATGAAACCGTGCAACGGCCTCGTATGTTCTAACGGTGGTATAATATGCAGTTGAACGCTACAGCGCTTGTACCATCTCGCGCAGCCATTTGCCGCTTGACTGCTTGTCTCTCCGGCGTGCTTCACACCCTGAGCTTCGAACTTGGGCAGATCTCGACTTGTTCCGCCTTTCGAATGAGGAGCGTTGGTTTCATTGCCATTGCAAAGGTTGCATAATAACACCTCGCTGGGTTGCTGTTTCATTAGACTTTTTGGCATCGAAAGAAATACGTAGGCATGATCTGTAGAAGGATTAAATTTTCCTCAGCCATGATGTTGCAATTCCCGACAAATGGTCTGTTAACACAGATCTAATTACATGTTCGTGCTATATATATCACGGTGGGTAAATTACAATAGCATCCAGGAAAAAGAGTTCTATGGTCTTTGAAGGCCGATTCCAATGAGATAAACTCCAGAAAACTTATTCATCATTGAATTCCGAATAGACTTCTCCCCCACCGGAAGCTGAGGAGCAATTCAAGTTCATTTCTACCGTTTTCCCCCACACAAACCTTGGCACACAGATGGTCATGAGCCTCAGGCAACAACCCCCACCATCAGCCGAGATGTACGCTGCATTCCGAGGGGAAGAGAAGACCCTTAGCCTAGCTGAATGAAATGTAGTGAATCGAAGCCCGGTTTACACGAGGGGTAGGGTTTGATATGCAGCAATTCTGCAAATTGGGGACGAAGGCCACTTTCGACAGACTGGGGGATCCACGGCAAGTTGTGGGGTACCGCTTTCGCCAGGAAAAAGGTATTGTAGCGATCTGATAAAAAAAATTATGGATTCGTGGCAAACAGAAAACGAGAGAGGTCCGTAATTAGACACTAACGGCAAAACCCATCGGATCTGGAGGATGCCGGTGAGTGAACAAACCCAAAATCTCTATACTCTGCGTGGCGCGATCGGCTCTGGCGACTAACCACGCCGGGAGTGACCTTCTCCGGCATTCGGCATTTACCTAAAATGGGCAATCCTGCTCGGAGTTAATCAGATAAGTCGGGAAAACTAAACAATAAATCCCACCCGGAAAGCCGGGCCCGATTATAAGACAGGGCGATCCTCCACATATTCGTTTTTGCATTCAATCCTTTTCACACACATCAAAATGGCGGGCAATGCTTTGAAAAACATCATAGTGATCGGAGGCTCCTTCGTGGGGCGAGTAAGTGCTTCGCCAAGCAATTCTGGCCACGATCTACAGCTGACCTGTATAGTCGACAGCTCAGGAGCTGGCACGGATAGTGCCACCGACGCACAGAGTAAGCGGATCTCCATTTCCTGTGAAGACATGTGCATATCGTGCTGACTATCTCTATAGATTCTGCTCACTGAGCCTCACAGCCACTTCCATCACCTGTTCACATTTGTAAGTGAAGCCGTTTTGGTCTCACTGGTGATACGCGATGGAGTGTCTGATTTGACTAATTGGCATCAAACAGCCCCGATTTGCCATTGTTTCAGGCCAAGAGCATAAAGCTTTTATCCCGTATAGTGGCATTTTCTCTGCTGCCACAAATCCCACCTCCCACAGCGTGATCCAGGCTCGCGTCACATCTGTTCAGCCACATCACATCGAGCTGGATCGGGAGTGGCAGGGCTCGAAACAAATTCCATTCGACTATGTTGTAGTTGCCACTGGAACTCGTCTCTCAAAACCTGCGGGCATGGAGTTTGACGACAAACGGTCGTCGGTCGACTACCTTCAAAAGCATCAAGCCGATGTGAAGCGTGCTCAATCAATTCTCATCGTCGGCGGCGGTGCAGTGGGGGTACAGATGGCGACAGACTTGAAAGAGTGGTATCCGGAGAAGAAGGTCACCGTGGTCCAGTCGCGGCCCCGGGTGATGCCGACTTTCAACCCTCAATTGCATGAACTCGTCTCTCGGCGCTTCGATGAGCTGGGGGTAAAGTTGATCACCGGTTCTCGAGTTGCCATCCCCCCAGGCGGATTCCCAAATAATGGCAGTCCCTTCAATGTGGAATTGACCGATGGAACCACCGAATCTACCGAGTTCGTCATTTTGGCGACGGGACAAACACCAAATAATCAACTAGTGGCCAACCTAGAGCCATCGACCCCAGATGGCGAATCCATTGTCAACCCTGAGAATGGATATATCAGAGTTCGGCCGACCATGCAGTTCTTGGATGCGAAGTATTCGAATCTGTTTGCCGTGGGAGATATCGCCGACACGGGGGCCCAAAAGGCAGCTCGCCCTGGCGCCGCACAAGCCGCGGTGGTTGCTAAGAATATCCAGGCATTGATTGAAGGTCGCAACCCAGAGGAAACGTTTGTCAAAGGTCCAGGGGCGATTCATTTGACTTTGGGAATGGTACGTTCGAAATGTTTTGAAACTACGTCTTTCATGACAATTATCTGGCGAAAGATCTTGTGAAGCTGACGAGAATTAAAGAAACATAACGTCATTTTCCGCAACCCCAACACGGCGGAAGGGCAGACCGAGCCCTGGATCAACGAGAAGCACGAGTAAGTACCTTCCTTATATATCTCAGCAGTCAAGCAAAAGTTAACGATGATTCTAGTGGTCAAGAGGATATGAACGTGGAAGCTATGTGGGGGAGGCTAGGTATCTCGGTGGAGAATCCACGACAATTCCACCTATAATTATATTGAAGTGACAACGAGATAGAAAGAAATAACGGCGAAACCTATCATTTCAAGACTCAGTGGTTGGGAGCTTCTGTACTTTGAGGGGTTAAATCAAATGACTCAAATTCATGCAACCAAGTTCGATCGCATTGCCTATCTGTAAATGATTTTCCAGACCTACCTTGCACAGCTTAGCGCAGCTAATCGGCCGTGTAAGCTGTTTTCAATGAACTATTGAGAAGGATTATCAGTGAATGGACTCGTGCGTCCGATTTCGGGTTCTCTTGAAGCTTCGTAAGAGCTTATCTCCGCGGGACCTGGTGATGATCCACCGCAGTGGGTCTGTCGGAGGTCGACGTAAAAGCTTTTAGCGAAACTTTTGACCAACAACGGAGAGGGACTAGGCCTTTAGCTGCAGGCGTAGATAAGAACATGAAGGAAAAGCAAATAGGCTGGGTTTTCAACAGACTCGGACCCTGCTGAATTTGCTCCTGATCAAAACTCTTTCATTATGTCGACCACCTTCGACCCGAGCGACGATGCTCGTGCCGACGACCAAGCCCCGAAAACCAGAATCGTAACGACATCTGATCTCAAGGGCAGAATAGTGGATTCGTATCATCCCACTAAATCGCAAAGTACCATTACTATTCTGAGTTGCGTAGGTCATTGAATCCCTGGAAAGGAAAGGAGTCTAGGAGCTTGTTGGCTTACTCTGTCCAGTATATTGCCAACTTCAGCGACGGGTTCCAAAATACTCTTGCCAATCCCACAAATGTCATTTTTAAGCAGCTTCTTGGCTCCAAGGGCTATTCTTCGGACATGAAAACCCGCATTAGTGATTCGCTCATCATTGGAGCGATTCTGGGTGTGGTGGTCCTGGGTTATACCTCGGATATGTTTTCTCGACGGGCTGGACTGCTCTTCACCTCATCTTTGGTCGCGATTGGGACTTTGATGGCCACGCTTGCTCTTCAGGTGCATCCATCGCAGAACATGCTGTGGTATTTTGTCATTGCTCGTGGGATTGCCGGCTTCGGTGTCGGAGGGGAATATCCTCCAAGTGCAGCAGCCGGAATTGAAGAATCCGAGGAGGTGCGTATGTAATTTGTTCTGGGTGCATCCATGAACAATACCCGAGTGACTCAGATCCGGGGCGAACTGACTGGATTATTGTTGATATAGTTGGTAAAGAAGTACCGGGGCCCACTATTTGTCTCCTTCACCACCCTCATGGCCACCCTCGCCAGTCCCATTTTGCAGATCATCTACCTGATCTGCTTGGTTGCTACCGACAACAACCTCACCGTTGCGTTCCATGCGATCTACGGAATTGCAACGATACTGCCCGTAATCATCATGGTGCTCCGGGTATTCATGGTTGATTCATCACTGTTCCATCGTTCCAACCTCACTCGTCAGCGCCGATCCTTTCGACTATATCTGCTGCTTGCGCGTCGCTACTGGCGGCGCATCGTCACGACTTCTCTGGCTTTTTTTCTGTATGACTTCATCAACTTCCCCAATAGTATTATGTCCAGCACTATCATCGCATCCCTGGTGACGGACAATGATATCCGCAAGACCGCGATCTGGCAAGTGGTGCTGGCGGTCCTTCCGGTGCCGGGAGTGATGATTGGAGCGTGGCTAAGCAATGCCATCGGCCGCCGCAACACGGGTATCCTCGGCTTTGCCGGGTATCTGGTTCTTGGGTTCATTATTGGCGGGACATACATTAAGCTATCCAAGCACATTGCGGCGTTTGTAGTGCTTTATGGTCTGCTGCAGGCCTTTGGGCATATGGGCCCCGGAGCCACGATTGGCCTCATCTCTACCGAGTGCTTCCCCACGGCCATGCGAGGCATGGGATACGGCATTGCGACTGCATTTGGTCGCACCGGTGCGGCCGTGGGCACGGAGTGCTTCACTCCGTTGCAAGAACGGGCGGGGGACAGCTCGACATTCTACTTGCTGGGCGGGGTGGCCGCCGTGGGGATTCTGGTCTACTGTTTCCTCCCGGAAAGTAGTCGCCTCGACTTGGCCCAAGAAGATCGTGCCTTCGAAGAATTCTTAGCAGAGCATGGCTACTTTATTGAGACAAGCCGGGTCGGTAATACCGACGGTCCGTCGAGGTGAGGAAACTATAAAGTTGACAGAAGAAATAGACGTGATGTGAACGACGAATCGACGAGAAGGTAAGAAAAGGCATAGAACAATAGCAGATCAAACGATGATAGAAGGATTACAGGGGTTCGGACCGACAAGATTGGTTAATTGATTGAGGCTGTGAACAGCAGAGTATCTTATGACCCATAATGATGAGCTATAAACAAAAGTATGTTGGGGTTTCACGGTTTGTCCTGGATCTTTCCACCGTTTCCCATTATGTCCAGGTCCAGTCGCCAGACTCGAGGAATGAACACCGTATGTACACGATTTGCGTAGATTCGTCATGCTGTTAAATTTGAAGCCATTTACCGCCAAAACCCCTGGAAATCGAATGCACAGGCCGCTCGTCTGTCACAGGCACGTGACCAAAACGCAGATTCCCGGTGGAGCTTCTTTTTCGACTCGACGTTTCAAGTTCCCCCTTTGCGCCCAAGTGCCAAGCGGGAATTACGATGGACCTCAACGCGGCAGACCTCCTCGCTGCAGCTGTGGATAGCTCTCCGAGTCCGCTTCTCCGTAGTCCGCGACACACCACATTCTTCCCCAACCAACCGTGAAGCATGGGCCCACCCCGGACTCGTCCAGCGGGACGGTACGTCAGCCACACGCCTCTATTGAAAGCTTTCGGGTCCTGTGCAAGTTGTACAGGAAAATGAACCCTAGCCCAGGCTCGAGATTTTGCACCATCCCGGGATGGGGAAACTAAGTGCGATGAGGATGTCGGCCATTTCCATTTGCTGATTGGTAAAGGTTGCCCTTTCAGCCCCGCCAAGCACGCTAAATCCGTCAAGAGCAAGCCTCAGAACGCCCTGGCGGCCCCCCAACAACGCCTTTGACGTCGCGATTCTCTCTTCTCCCAAGGCGGCCGCCGGCCAAAGCGTCCCTCCCGCAGAAATCCCGCCAATGTAACACGGGAATGGCCTCGTGTCCGGATGCGGCTAAGGCCCCCCCCCCCCGGGCGCATCTTGGCTCTCGATGCTGATTTGTCGTGCCCAGTTCTCAGCGAGAAAGAAAACCCCATACCGCCGGGTAGTCAACGAAGCCAACGGTGCCTGGTCGAATGGGAGTCGTCTTGATCGCCCTCCAAAAAACGTGGCTTTGATGGCTTAGACCGCATCATTCGCCTTTATCGGGCGCATAAGGATTGACATGGGAGAACGCTTGAGGCAAAAAATCGGCCTTCTGATTGGTATGGAGAGACACCATACTTTTTTCCTCGTCCGAACAGTTGCTTTTTGATTTGGCAACACCGGTACCGTCATTTAACGTCGTGCTTGTAACTCAACCAGGGTTGATGAGGGCGTTTGAACATGGTTGACCTTCGGGACAGCGAGGCATTTCTAGGAAGACTCTGAAGGGCAAATGGGCCTTCACGATGGACACTTACGGTGCACAGATACTACGGGACAATGATGGAGTCTGGAGTCTGGTGCACCAACCAGACCGTGCGGGCATGAAGACGGGGCCCCTTCCCGTCTGCCCATGGAACCGTGGAATTGCGTACGGCCATCGAAATCCTACAATCAAAATGCAGCATCACTAGTCCCCTCACTTGCTGGATTGGTTCGTTTCTTCCACGGATATCGGATTGCCCTGAACGGGGCTTGGCCCGTATCTTTTTCCCTTATTTTGCTCTTATTCCCCGCGCCGCCCGGCCAAACCGCGACTTGAAATTTCCCCTCCCCCAATTCCCCCAATTCCCCCAATCACGCTTGTCACCAGTTACTTGGAATTTAGATTCCAAGTGGCAGACAGTCGTACATTGAGACAAACAAAGAGAAAGATCTTCGTCACCTAGTTTGATCCTTTTCTCTTTTGTGGGGTTTCTTCTATTTCGTGTATAGGTGGAGGATTACTTCGGTAATCGCGACCAAATCTCGATTCCTCGTTGCTGCTTCACGATTTCTTACTTTCAGCTACTCTGCTTCACAACCCTGCTGCAAGCTCCTTTTTGAAGGGGACCCAGTGTGCCATCTTGCCCATTTCGCGCCGGAAGCATAAGCGACTCGCTCTGCGAAGCGCTCGACCCCATTTTCCCAACATTCGTGATCACGATCTATAACAGCCTATCCACCCACGCGCCAACCGACTCATTGAGATCCATAGCAACATAGCAACACCGAGCGACACTCTAGCAACATATAACAGCACCCATTCTTGCCTGCAACTCACCTGCTCTCCAGCAGTCCCTAGCAACCACCACCCTGGAGCGCCCGCCATTTCCGCAGAGAAACCCGGCTTCACCCATGCACCCAGTTCCCACCACCCTCTCCCCGTCACGACAACCTCCCATCTCGTCGTTTCGTTGCGCCCTAGCTCTGGCTTTCTCTCGCCCACGCCCTTCTGCCCATTTTCCGTCCGTATCTGCTACCTACTAGATCCCTTAAAGGCAATCCGATTTTATTTTCAGAATGTCGTCTGCCCACAAGAAAGACGAAGGGACCGTCACCGGAGTCTTGGACACTCTGGGACTAAAACCTGAAGGAGGCCCCCACGATGTCCAGGAAGGAATGATGGCGGACAATGCGGATAACCTGCAGCGTCACCTTGGCAATCGTCAAATTCAACTGATTGCTATCGGCGGCTCCATTGGTACGGCATTGTTTGTGAGTATTGGCACTGGATTATACCATGGAGGCCCCGGAAGCCTGTTCTTGGCTTTCGCAGTGCAGTCTATTTTCCTGGCTATGGTCAACAACTGTCTTGCAGAAATGACTACAGCCTTCCCCGTCAGCGGTGGCTTTATTCGTTTAGCAGGTAAATGGGTTGATGATGCCCTTGGTTTTATGGTGGGCTGGAACTTCTTGTTTGTTTCTCCCGAATATTTGCCTCTTTTATTTTCTTTGAACCCCGGATTGGACTGACATCAAGCGCAGTTTCTACGAGGCTCTTCTGATTCCCTTTGAAATCTCTGCCTTTACTTTGGTCCTCTCATTTTGGAGTCCCACTGTTTCAGAGCCTGGTCCCGTTGCCGGTATCTGCGCGGGCATTATTATCTGTTATGCGTGAGAGCCCCACTGTTCCTGATGCTCTTGCTCTCTCCACCGTCTCAAGTGGGGAACCTCGGGAATCTGGCAACGAGCAAAATTGGCAAACAAAGTTCATGCTAGTGCCCCAGGGTTCATCGTTCGAGACGTGTAGAGAGCACGTTATACCATTCTCACGGTCTCATTTGCTAAACTTCATGTTCTAGATCATTAAATATCCTGGCGGTTCGTGCATATGGCGAGGCTGAATTTTGGCTCTCCGGAGGCAAAGTTATTCTCATCTTCTCCTTATTCTTTTTCACGTTCATTACGATGGTGGGCGGAAACCCGCATCATGACGCCTATGGGTTTCGATTTTGGAACAATCCTGGTTCCTTCATGGAATACCTAGACACCGGAGCTTTGGGTCGCTTCGAAGGATTTTTGGGATCGCTCTGGTCGGCTTGTTTCGCCGTTGTGGGCCCAGAGTATATCTCCATGGTCGCAGCCGAGGCAAAGCGCCCCCGGATTTATATCAAGAGCGCATTTAAGACCGTCTATGCCCGATTTGGAATTTTCTTCATTGGCGGTGCTCTGGCTGTAGGCATTGTTTGCTCAGCACGAGACCCGGATCTGGAGAAAATTGTCATGGGTGATTCTAGTGACAGCTCCAGTGCCGCCGCATCGCCATACGTCATTGGCATGAGCAATTTAGGCATCAAAATCTTTCCTTCAATCGTCAACGCGTTAGTGGCCATCCATTCCCTCTATACCGATGAATCTAAAAGACTAACCCCCCGCACCGCAGCCTCCTTCTGACGTCCATTTTCTCCGCTGGTAATACCTACACCTACTGTGCTATTCGTACTTTGTATGGTCTTGCATTGGAAGGACGAGCCCCAAGGATTCTCACATACACCACCCGCAAGGGCGTCCCAATCTACTGCTTCGCCATCGTGATGATCTTCCCGATCCTCTCGTTCTTGCAGGTTTCGAACAGCTCTTCCATTGTGATTACATGGTTCGCCAACCTGGTCACTGCTGGTGGTATGTACCATTTCTCATCCCGTACCCAAATTATCACTTGTCTTTTGCCATCGGAAGTTTCTAACGTTATGCGTCCAGGACTTATTAACTATATCACCATAACATTGACATATATCTGTTTCCACCGCGCTTGTAAAGCTCAAGGTATCGATCGCAGATCGTTCTCCTATTTTGGCCGTCTCCAGCCATTTTGCGGATATGCTGCTCTTGTTTGGATGATCTTGGTCACAATCCTCTACGGATACCCTTCTTACAAGCCTTGGTCGGTATCTACGTTTTGGTCGGACTATACTATGCAGATCGTGATTCCCCCACTCTATCTCATCTGGAAGTTCATCAAGCGCACCAAGATTGTGAAGCCCCATGAGGCCGATTTGGTTTGGGAACGACCTCTGATTGATGCCTATGAGGCAAGCTTCACCTCACCACCGGTTGGCTTCTGGCGGGAAATAGGCCAAATGTTTGGCTTCAGACGAATCAAGGGTGGTAATGACAAGCGTCGAGATTCTGTTGCCCCCGACTTTAACGGAATGGCCGAGGGCGTAACAGTTTGAAGGCTTTGCCTTGAGTGTTGCTGATCGCTTGTCACCACATCCTTCGTATGAGATGAAAGCTATAAAATGATCACCATTCATAATTCCACAGTGCACTTGACGGTGATGGCCAGTTTTCCAAGGAATGCTGTGCAACATTCTGCGTGCCCTGGGTGGTCGAATTACATTGTTCATAAGATCGCATTAATCGATTCCCTAGAGATATAGTAAATAAAATTCTCTTGCATGCTTCAATCACGGTCCAAGAATTTTGAATCTGATTCTGGAGAACGATGTAAACACCCTCTTTCCCAGTCGTCTTTATTTCTTCATTAAGGTGGGTAAGTAATGTTTCGCGAACACGGCAATGGAGAATTGAAGAATGATTTGATGAATTAGTGAGGTTGCGGTCTTTTTCTAAAAAGCCCAAAAGTTGAGCCTCCCGATAATCGTGCTGTTTACAGATGTATTCCTTTTGTCAATTGGTATTTGGTGTGGAAGAGGGCATAAGCTGATGCTTATTTTTAGACTCGGGGCAGATTCCTTATCCGATTAGCAGTGCAGCGACTGATTCAACCAATGATTTTTGTTACAAAAAATGGGCAAAGAACGATGTCTCATCAGCGCTAACAATTGTTGGTTAGTGATTTGTTAGAAAGCTGCAAACACTAACTAACTAAAGAGAGAAAAATTGTCAGCTGAGTCAGACATTAGCACGCTGGTCTGTAAGGCACGCCGGGGAAATCTCCTTCACCCAATCGCTAGATTTTTGCCATCTGATTGGAGCTTCAGATACCAAGCACTGTCCAAGCGTGTATGTATGATCTTAAATCCGTTTGTGTGCAAAAAACCCATTATTTGATAAGTCAAGTAGATAGGCAGGACCTGAATTCCAAATCACAGCTATAAATGGCGCACGAATCCATCTCCCGCAACAGAAAATCATTTGAAAATCCCATTACCGACAACCCCTCATAGAATCGAGATGTCTTCCGTATCCCTTGATCTAGCTCGCTCTAATCTGTTTAAGACACCCCTAGACAATTTGACCCAAGATGAAAAAATATCACTTGGCTATCAACAAGCTCGAGCGGCCGCCCGTGCCTTCGGTAGGCTTCCATTTCCGTTGATCATCAATAGAGTCAGGCTATTCGACAGATTCTTAATCCAACTCAAATGCGAGATAGGCCTCTAGCAACTAATTTTATTACTTCACTATTGCAGGTATCACAATCGACGACATTCTGAACCTCACACCTAAATTCTGGGCCTACCATTCAGACCCAATTCATGGGGTTAGCTATGCATCCCTAGTATTGGTCACAATTCAATATAATTTGGTCGCTGGGACGATAGGACCGTACCTGGCACAGAGGCCTGATTTGAAGGGATTAATGGAATCTGTGATGAATTTTGATGTAAAGTAAGTTCTAGACAAATCACTGGGAAATCAATAGTAATTTTTTCAGTGGGCAATTTCTTTTGACAGAAATCGGTCATGGATTGGATACTCAGAGCATTGAGACGACAGCAACTCTGCTAGATGACGGATGTTTTGATCTTCACTCTCCGACCCCAGAGGCCGCGAAGTAAGTCTTCTTATCCAAGGCGGCGTACAGAGCACAATCGAATTAACTGAGTAGATATATGCCACCAACAACCCCAGTAAAGGGCTTTCCTCGCTTTGCATTGGTCATTGCACGGCTCATTGTTGCTGGCGAGTTTCATGGTCTGAGAGCTTTTATTGTGTGGTTGAATGACGGTGAGAGAATGAACAATGGAGTGACTTCAAAAAGGGTGCCGAATCGCCTTGGGGCGAAACCTATCGATCATTCCATTACTTTCTTCAATCATGTCAGACTTCCTAGTTCTGCGCTCTTGGGCTCCATTGAGAAGCCAAAAAATATGCGAACTCAATTTCTGTCTGTGATTTGGCGCGTTATGGTTGGTTCACTCAGCCTACCAACAATGTTGGTCCCCTTAATGAAGCGTGCCGTTTATGTTGCCGGTAAATACAGCATTCGACGCCACATTCATGATAATCATGGGGGGCGTGTTCCTATTATCTCCTTTCGAACCCAACAACAGCCAATATTGCATACCCTGGCCAAGACAAAAGTCTTTGAACCATTCATTCAAGAATGTATAAGAATGTTCAGGGATCCGAGCCTAGACAAGAACGTGCGGCATGGAATTGGAGCTATTGCTAAGGCTGTTCTTTGCTCAGCATTTCAAGAGAGCTTGTTTGGCCTTGCTGAGCGATGCGGGTCACAAGGACTATTCCATTACAATCACATCATTGAGAACTACATGGAAGGATGGGGTGCATCCATTGCGGAAGGGGATGTCTTGGTGTTGTGTATAAGTGAGTCCCTCGAGCGTCACCCTTCTAGACAAGGCTCAACCAAAAACACATAGGACTTGCCACGGAACTTCTCCTCAGACGCTACAAGATGCCAGAATCACGTCAACCTACTTCACTTATAGCTCGGCATGAAAATGGGATGTTTGAAGAGTGTGATGCATTAATCAAAGGTCTCAGTGGAAGCCATCGTGGTCCTGAATTCAACAACGCCATCCTCCCACGATGCAAAGGCTTGATAGAAGCTATAGGGCAAAGAATGGCTTATGAGGCTGCCTCTGAAGCCCAAGTTGACCCCAAAATTCTGGCACTATACGAAGCAGGCGTCATATTGCACGATTCAGGTTGGTACATTCAAAACGCTGGCCTGACACGAGAAGTTCAATTTGAGAACGAATCCCGAGCACTCAGCGACTGCCTTCCTCAATTAGAAGATCTACTTGACGAAACTGGAGTAGCTGAATACGTCAATGCACCGATTCTTTCCAAGGAGAGCTGGGATGAATATGTATCGACGTTGGTAACATTTGAGTCTCCACCGGTGACTCATGCTGTCAACACTCAACTCCAGTGCCGTGCTAATCTATGAAGAGCCTGTGTCAATTGAAAGGCTGAATCTTCGAAAGGTTTTGACAATTATATTTTGGTGTATCTAGACTTTATTTAGATGAACTTGAGGATTTTATTTCTGCGAGTAAAGGCTCTAATCACCTATTTGTCACCTTCAACTAGCCCTTTGGTCTATGAAAGATTGCCGATCTGGAATTGCCAGGATATCAACTTAATGTCCTGTGATAAAATCATGCCTTACACTCAACTATCTATATCGACAAGAGAAAGAGACTGAATGGTCCCATTATCCTCGCTCTCAAGAAGTTACATTTGTCGTTAGTCATGCAAATACTTGTTTCTTAGTCACATTTTTGCGTGGGGATCTTATGATTGCACTTCGATCGAACGATTACTGTCTAAGCACGGACTCGTTAGATAGTTCTGTCATTCAAAGCTATGCTATACATGGCCAAAATTTTCGAAGCTTAAACAGTACTATGCTAATTGTGATACGGATCATGAATATTAGCTAAGTGAAAGAAAGCGATATCGCTATCTTTGCCTGAGAGATTTGGCTGGCATTCAAGAATTTTGGTTAATGTGCCTTGAAACATCGTTAATAGATATAGCGAAAGGTCAGGTTTTGCTAAGATGGCGTGATTAGTATGAAATTCACACAATGGGTAAGATTGCAAGGAGAAGGAAATAACACTTACACGATCTGTGACATCCTCAAACGAGTGAGTAAAAGCTGCATCTTCAGAAACCTCTCCATGCTCAACCTTTTTATCGCGCTTCCTGTTCTGGCTGATATACCATGTACGTAAGGCGAAAAGGACGACTTCCAAAAGAATGAAGCAGGTTAAGACAGTTGCCAAGGCAGGGAAATAACGAGGGGCGTCGTTCGAACGAAATGTTTGTGGGCCAATAGCATTGCCGACTGCCCAAAAAATAAAGTTGCATGCAATAACCACGCTTTTCTTTGTCTGGCCTGCAACATTACGGGTCACAAGGGAAAGAGCGAGACCCGCACAGCCCCAATAGGCTATCATAATATAGTAAGCTAACAATAGGCCAACACGTTTATCGTATGTAAAGGGAACGGCGACAAGCACGATGACTCCTGCAATGGTTGGAACTACCGACGCCATCATAGCGAGAATTGTTTGCTTAAAACGCCTATCGACCCAGACAGCCCCCAGCATAGCAGTAAGCTGGACAGCACCAGAGACCATCTGAAGAAGCTGGGTCTGCCAGGTAGTGAAACCAAATGATTTGACAATGATGTTGTTGAATGCACCCAAGCCGCCAGAAGGTATGGTGAGGAAGAGTTGAATCAGGACAATTGCATAAACTGGAAGAGATTTAGGCATGCTTTGAGGATATCTCGGAATTAATAAGTTGGTTACCTTGAGGGTCTTTGACGACTTCCCAGACCTGTTCTTTGCGAAATTTTCGATTCTGTAGTCCGGTTCTGTTGCGACGAACCCGTTCCACCATGAGCTTCTTGTCACTTTCAGTAAAGCAGTGGGCTCTCATTGGAGAGTCTGGCATCCACCATGCAACAAAAATGCCCCAGAGGACAGTCAATATACCATAAGCAATAAATAAGGCTTGCCATGAACTGATGGGAGAAGCTGAAGGGATAAATGAGAAACAGAAAGCTAATAAGCCGCCTAAAATTTGGTTCAAGCCGTTCATCATAAACCTGAAAATTTGAGGTTAGCTTAATCATAGTATTCCAGTAACTTGGGACTCACCAAAAGGTAACCGCGGCTCCCTGCTCTTCGCGGGTGTACCACATGGAGGATAAGAGGGTAAAAGTGGGCTGGCTGGCAGCCTCGAACAAGCCCAGGAAAGCGCGAAGAGCGATCAATCCTTGGAAATTTTTCATTGCTGCTTGAAGTGCGAGCGTGATACCCCACAAAATAATGTTTCCAGATAGCCATTTTGCGATGGGAACGCGTTGGATGATATAGTTTTCCTATCCACAAGTTAGCTAGAAAGAACACCAGGAAGTGTAAGACTGGCAAATTTGTAATCCTTACCGGGAACTCCACCAAGAGAATAACCATATATAAGATCGTCGTTAACCAGGAGTACTGTAGGTATGAGACGTGTCAGATGCTGTCTTCCAAAATGCGATGTGCATTTAGGTTTCCAAAGCCTCGCAACGGACCTGCGGGACGTCATACAGGCTCAAAAAGACAAGTTATTTCGCTTGTAGAGACCTCTTATCCATTGTTGCGCATTGCGAGTGAGCCAAAAAGGGGTCTCATGAAGCTATTTTGCGAAAAAAAAGAAAAGAAAAGAAAAGGGCCAAGCTTCATCAATTACTGACCTGTTGGCCCACAAGATGAGTGTCCTCTTCGATTCCCATTATGGATGCGTATGACAAGGTCCCCTTGTCCAGAGTTTGAACCAAGTAAGTGATAACCATAACAACCATGACCCTCTTGTCTATCTGCTTCTTCAGTCGACGGCTAGTCGCTTCATCTATTTCCACGATCGTTGCATTTGCGTACTCTGCGACTTCTCGGTCAACCAATGAATAATTCATCTGGTCTTTTACCACATCCATCTCCACCGCTTCTGGAGCTTCATTGATTTCATGAGTTTTAGCCATGATGGTGTCTTAGTAGACACAGCGTTCGGCGGATATCAGTGATCCAGGAGTTCGCTGGTGCGTTTCGCAAGCCGAGTGTCAGGGTCTAAGAAAAACGTGGCCGACAAGTTTAATTTATGCCTTTGTGCCCCCTTGCTTAGCCGTTAAGGTGGTAGCTTTCCTGCCCGCCCAGGACGACTATAACCTTTTCTGTTTCTATCAACCCCAGCTCCACTACATCAAGCATTCCCAGCGTGTGGGGAGCGGGGAAATTGTGGAACTTTCTGGGGTTAGCGTGCGTGGAGTTCATAGCTTCTTCTCTAGTGTGCCGAAACCGTGCTGTGACTGGATAGCCTCGAACGCCTTCGGTAGATGAACCAGCCATTTAGAGGTGAAATTATCCTATTGGATATCTATCTCGCTTCCACTGTCTTGGTTTTGCTAATGATCGGAATTCACAGTCCGAGGACGAATAGAATCCTGCTCACACTTGTACAATCGCCGACGGTCAAGATAGATTGGGCAAAAGAGTTACCGATCTTCACCAGAATAAGGCCTTAGCTTACGTATATGTGGATCTTCCTACTTGAATCCTGTCGGTCCTTTGGCCGTTACTAGACGTATCGGCTAAAGGTCGGGGATTAGAGTACTACTGCGGTCGCAGTGGACGTTTTCTTTTATGTCCCTGCACGATGCACCGACTTGAAAAATTAAATTCTACGATTCTTTAACTCTCTTGTAAACACATTAAATCATGTGCTCCAACAGGGCTGATGACTGCCCTCAATCATACCCGCTCCGGCCCTCGCGACCGGTGGGAAAGCGGATTGCGCGCCTTGATAAAGACCGCCTTGCGCAGCTTTATTCGCCCGGTCAGTGGGAGAAGGTAAATCTTCTCGCGTAAGTATACATAATCAAAAAATAGGCCATTATAAATGAATGGCTCTTATGGAAAGCTAACCAGGATTGACTAGGATGTTGAACGAAGGTGTATATTCCGGCCAACCCCATGTAAGACTCTTCGTTTGGCATGCCCCCAATGGGGCACGCCCAACATTCAACGAAGCTACCCATACATCCATCGAATACCAAGAAACAATGACTGGTGAAAATTTTGGCCCTTCTTGGTCCACACACTGGTTCAAAGTTTACCTTCAATTACCTCCTGAAGTCTGCAATAAGAAGCATGTAGAATTTCACTGGGACTGTAACAATGAAGCAACCCTATGGACAGAAAACGGACGACCTCTCCAAGGCCTCACTGGTCGAGGAGAGAGGATTGAGTGGGTAATTCCTGAATCATTCAAGGATGGAAAGGAACATATGATCTTTATCGAAATGGCTTGTAATGGCATGTTTGGTAATGGGCCCGGGAGGCCAATATTCAAAAATAATCCCGGGGGCGATTCTATTCAACCCCCGGACGAGACTAAGCATTTTGTTCTGTCAAAAGCAGAAATTGTTGCTATCAGCTGGGATGCAAGAATGCTTTACATGGATATCAGAGCTATTCATGACGCTGCTGTCGAATTTCCTGAGGAAAGCTGGCAGCAACACAAAGCATTGAGTGTAGGCACCCAAATCATGAACGCTTTCCGTCTTGGAGAGAATGACTCTGTTATACAATGTCGCAAGATTGCGGAGGAGTTTCTTGGATCGCAGATAAACTCTGGCGATATCTTCACAGCTCGGCAAAAAAGTGATGTTGATATTTTTGCTATTGGCCATTGTCATATTGACACCTGTTGGTTGTGGCCTTGGGCGGAAACAAAGCGAAAAGTTGTACGATCATGGATGAATCAGTGTGACCTCATGGATCGCTATCCAGAGCTCACATTTGCATGCTCACAGGCCCAGCAATTCCAATGGCTGCAGGAAGACTATCCGAGTGCTTGGGATCGTGTTAAGACGAAAGTGCAGTCAGGGCAATTCCAACCAATAGGTGGCTGTTGGGTCGAACACGATACAAATATTCCAAACGGCGAGTCACTAGTGCGTCAATTTCTCTATGGTCAGAGATTTTTCCAAAGCAATTTCGGCTTCCGGAGTCGTGTTCTCTGGCTCCCGGACTCATTCGGCTTCAGTTCCCAGCTCCCTCAATTATCGAGACAGGCTGGGATGCCATATTTTTTGACGCAAAAAATTTGTTTCAACAATATCAATCAGTTCCCACACACGACGTTCAACTGGATCGCCCTCGATGGAAGCCAGATACTAAGTCATATGCCCCCAGTTCGGACCTACACTGCCGAAGGCAATGTTGCTGATGTTCAGCGATGTGTCTCAAAACACCTTTCTCTAGACCAAGACCGTACCTCACTTATGGCCTTCGGCAAGGGTGATGGGGGTGGTGGCCCAACATGGCAGCATCTCGAACGCCTTCGGCGTTGTCGCGGAATCTCGGATACGGTTGGGCTGCTACCTCGAGTGCACGTTGGTAGCTCAACCGAAGAATTCTTTGAAAGGCTACAAACCAATGCCGAGTCCTTTCCTACGTGGTCAGGTGATTTGTACTTTGAATTGCATCGTGGAACCTACACCACCCAATCAAAAGCAAAGTACAGCAACCGGAAAGCGGAGTTTCTACTCAGGGATATCGAGCAATTGGCGACAATTGCATCTATAATTGACAAAAACTACAAGTATCCAAAAGCTGAGCTTGATAAAATGTGGCAGGGTGTTCTGCTTTGTCAGTTTCATGACTGCTTACCAGGAACTGCAATCAGAATGTGTTATGACGACTCAAATCAAGTAAGTAAGCAGAAATTCTAGGATACGGTCAATTTTGAGGCTAATATCATACGTTCAGCTGTACACCAATGTGTTCAATACCGGCCAAGAAGTTCTTCAATTCATCTACAAAACATTGGATTTAGAGCCTTTAGAAAAGTTTCCTGCAGAACCCGAGACAATACTCGCCCTCAACACGTTTTCTTGGCCACGGAATGAGATTGTCGAATTAGTGAACGCAGAGTGTGTCCTGGCCTCTGGTAATGGAAGTGCTCTGACACTCTCCCGAATCATGCCTTCATCGGCAGCTAGGCCTGTAACTGTCCGAGAGAAATCTCTTGGGGTTTTTGAACTGCACAGTGAACAACTGTCAGTCACAGTTGATAATGGTTGTATAACTTCCTTATATGATATTAAAGCTGATCGGGAAATTATTCCACCGGGTAGCCGAGGAAATCAATTTGTTATCTTCGACGACAAGCCAATATATTGGCAGGCTTGGGATGTCGAAGTCTATCACCTGGACACACGTCGGGAGCTGAAGAACACCAAGACATCCATCACTGAGGATACATACAATCGCGTGGGCGTGACAACGGTGACACAAATCAGTCCTCAGAGTTCCATCCGCTGTACAATATCTTTGTCAACTGCATTCGCAAATACAGACAGTTTTGTCGAATGCACAGCAGTGGTTGACTGGCATGAGACCATGAAATTCCTGAAGGTCGAATTTCCGGTAGATATTCGAAGCACAGATGCCACATATGAGACACAGTATGGAGTGATCAAGAGGCCGACACATTACAATACGTCATGGGATATGGCGAAGTTTGAGGTCTGCTGCCACAAATTTGCTGATCTTTCTGAGCATAATTACGGTGTCTCTATCCTCAACGATAGTAAATATGGCTTTGCAACAGCGGGAAATGTGATGAGGCTCTCTCTTCTTCGCTCCCCAAAGGCACCAGATGATACTGCAGATATGGGAGTACACCGTATTAAGTGGGCTATCATGCCGCATAAAGGTGCATTAGGCTCTAGCACTGTGCGGGCGGCGTTCAACTTCAACAATCCTCTTCGGCTTTTTACAACGAAATCCCAAAATCCGGTACTGAAAAGCTTTCCCATCGTGATTGATGGTGACGATAGTATAGTTCTGGATACTATAAAGCGCGGTGAAGATGATGAAGATATCAGTACTGGCAACCTCCCAGTAAGGAACGGACGAAGTGTGATACTTCGTGTCTATGAATCACTCGGTGGGCTATCTCGGGGAACAGTGAGAACAATTTGGAATATCACCAAAGTCTTCAGAACAAATCTACTAGAGGATGATGGTGAGGAGGTTATATTAAACGATGGGGCCTTTTCCATCAGTTTGGGCCCTTTCCAAGTCAGCACGTATCGACTATGCTTGGCCGAGGAAAATTGAAATCGGAAATCGTTGTGTGTTTTCAAATATCTTTCACAACTCTAATTTCATACTTCAATGAGATTTTGAATCGATTCATGGTGCAATATGCTGAGCTAGACCTCAGACGTTAGTCCCTTTGAGATTAAAAAGAACATGCTTCTAGATAAGGTGCAGTCTCCATATTATGATAAGCCACGACCCTGAGAGGATTACCCTTATATTCAATGAATAAGGGTTCTATCTTCTCAAAAGTTTCCTTATATTATCATACAAATTGACATCATTTCTCCATCGAGCCCAGACCTAGTTGACAAGATTTCTAACATATTAATACGTACTTAATCAGTACACGTAATCAACGGAAAGAGAAATGCTATTGATTATTGTCATCTAGCTGCAAACCGGGTCCAGCCTCTGGGGATATTTGGAGTGCTAGGGGGGGACATAGAACTATATAGAAGGAATACTGTTTAGTTTTCTGCCCTATGAGAGCGGGACAGTCTTATATACATCAATCTCGGGCCAACCTGCCGACAATTAGGATCATTTCAGGTAGTGTAGGATTAGAGGTAAACCCATTCAACGTTTTGGCATTAAGTCGTTTCTGGATTATTGTTGCTTGAGATGCATCTTACTCTGAAGAACTTCATGTCATTTGTACTAGCTCTGTATAGGCCGCTTGCTCAGCTTCTCCAACACTCGAGATGCTTCTTGCAAGAGCTCCCAGCGGCAGTCAGCCAACGCATCCCGTGCTGCAAGTAGTAACTCTGTTATCTTAGCGGTATTAAGTAATTTATGCATGCCGTTTTGAGGTATACTTGACAGATATTGATCCTGACAGTCCAGAATTGACAAATCATTTGAAGGAGAAGCCAGCCGTGTAATGGAAAGCGACTCTTTTGCCACCGCACCTTGGGCCCATAAAGTTAGTACGGCAATATATAGGCACCAGGGTCGCGGAGCAATTGGATCCAGACATGCCCTATACTTTCCTCCAGAAAACAAGGTCTCTCGAACAAGTAAGAGAGAATAGCGAGTTGCTTGGTGGGAGGATTCGGTAGAAAACCAGGACACTAGCCTGGTCTTTATATCATTGTAGTCTTCCCAGACACCAATGCTATCTAATTTTGATGGCTGAGTAGAAAGTGTAATGAGGTCAGTGGCCCTAACGTGTAGAGTAATCTGAGCCATTCGATAGAGGGTGCAGCCGCCGTAAGGCATAGAGATGGCTGTAGAGAGACCAGACATTCCGCCCAAGATTCAAGAGCACGACTTAGGATTGTCGACCAGGATGACGAGAAGTTCATCAAAGAATCCTGCACTTCAAACAAGCCCCCAGCTGGAGAATACGAGCTACAAAGCCTCGGGATATTATGTCCAATCCCCAAGGTCGAAAGTGATGTTCGTTGAAAATGGACTTGGAGAGATATCAATCCATGTAGAATGATGAATTGAGAAAACTCACTGTGTGAACCTGGCACCCAGACTTCCATGATTAGATATTTGAGAGTTGATATAAAATCTGTTGAGGACGTATCTTCTAAGTAATAGCATTCAATCCATGCCTCCAGGGAAGAACACTCCCAAAGTTCTTCTTTGCATGGAAGCGCCATTTTCATATCATTGACAGAGAGTATAGGGCAATGACCGAACATGCACGCATGTTGAGAGTCCATGCAAAATGCGAAAAATGCTGTACGGCGCCAGGATTCCTCAAAAATCCATTGGTTCCATCGCTTTGCGATAGAAGCTTCTGCATCAAGCTTTTGGGCGGTTAGATCAACATCGGGCCAGCTTTGCTTCATTGACTGAATCAGCCTGTCAGTGAACCATAACAATTGCATAGTGCAAATATTGAGCTTGTACCGTTATAATTGCAGCATGGAAAACTTGCGTCAACTCGAAGCTTTTGCGAGATGACATCATTTTTCCTTGTGCCTGGAGTAGTAGCAATGCTTGAAGGCACCACAAGGGCAATGGAGGATTGAAAGATTCACACTGACAGTTTAGTACTCAATCCATAGAGAATAGGATAGAACCTCCTTTTCCGGCGTCTTACATTTATGATCATGAAACGCAAATCGTCACTGACTCGCTGTCCGAGTAGAAAAAGAGTGTCATCTCCTATCAGTGTGGAGCCCAGGGCAACCAGAGCACCCAACAGAATAGAGGGAGTATTTTCAGGTGTGAGTGTTGATTGATGCAAAATAGGAAAATGTGGATGATAATGCTGGAAATATAATCCATGGAAAAGTTGGATATTCTTCACCTCAAAGAAGGCAGAATTCAACAAGCCGGGATCAAGCTTACTGAGGTCCTGGAGGAGACGATCTCTGGTGGCTGACCAAATATTTTTATTGTGATTCGACATGTTTACTTGACCGAGGTCACACAGAGTCGTCTTATCTCCAAGATGTTGATAGTTCCGAAATGCGACGTCTACCTCGGAGAATTCTGGCCACCCATCGACGGGTGTCTCTAGAAAGGATCCAAAAGTCCAGTCAACATTATCATCGGAATTTTGGATAGGTGCTGGTTGACTAAAAGTGCCCGTGGTAATTTCCTGCTCTTGGATAACAGCAACCTCTGGTAGAGGACTGCTGCCCGGAGAATCATGTGTCTCTAAGTGCTCTTGATCAGGCTCATCACAATCAATTTTGTTCGTTTGTTCTTCACTTGGGCTTGGATTAGATATAGCGACTTCCGATATCGCTGATACGTCGATTGTTTCTATCGGCGGACGCAAGGTGTTTCTTTCATGTCGCAATTTGTGTCGTCGATATAAATCTCGACGAACAAACACCCGGGCGCAGATGTCACATGTAAATATTTGCTCAGGCGAATCTAACTCACTATGAGTACTTATCCATGTCTATCCAGAGCCTCTAAAAGCTTACGATTTAAGCCATGACGCCGAAGGTGCTCTTTGCGCAAGAACGCACGGTCGCAACCAGGATGTGCACAGATATGAGTACGAAGATTCTCAATATTTGCATTCATCTTTGAGAGTTATATAAGCTTGGTACCGTGGCATGGTGTAATCAAATGCACTCGCAAAAGTGGAAAGAATAGTATTTAATAGAAACCCCCACTCCTGGAATCCCTGTTCGCTTAGCGATGATTGAGTTGTTATTTGCTCCTCAATATCAACTATCGAACGCCGTGGCTGAGCACAGAACTTAGTAAAGAATTTCCCGCCAATCACAGTGAGATCAAATGTTCCTGCTTGAGATAGGTGAGATAGGCGAACAGCCTGGTATTCTGATTACCGAAAGATACTTTCATTTCATGGATTACTTCCTTCCTCTCTCTGTTCTTTGACGTATTCAGTCTCCTGACCAGCATGTGCGGGGAGGTCACGTATCTTCCATGCGAATGGAATGGCCCAGAGAAGCGAGAAGACAACAATCGACCAATCGACTGCAAACTCTATGTTGTAGTTCGTCTTATCCGAGTTGACTTTTGACGCAATAGCTCCTCCAACGGCTTCCATGCATTTGAAGGCACCTACATACCGCGCCGCTTGCTCTGGAGACTCGTGGGACAGATACCCAATAGTCCAGTAGACCAAGGTCTGCCATATAGCATCGAAGCAACCGTAAAAAAAGTATAGAAGAAATGGACCTGCAAATTTGGCTCCCGAAGAAACCAAGTCCATATCATTTAGAGCGTAATAATCACTGTTAGGAGCACGTCGAAGTTGTGCAGCAAGACCCCCAGCCCAGACAATCATTGATATAACAGCAGTGATGGCGAAGCCCCAAAGGCCGCGCTGCCGTCGATTCATATACTTGTTGTCAAGGAATAGGCCGAATAGATAACTTGAGAACATCTGAGCAAGCCAGTACATTGCCCCATTAAAGCTTCGCGTGCGGATTGTGAATAGTTTAGCATTGTAGGTGTTCTGCTGGTAGTTGTAGGCATCTAACAAGTCACGTTAATATACAAGTATTCCTTGATTTTGCAATTGAATCATTGACTCACAATTTGCTGTAATCCAAAATGGGATAAGCGAGATGACTCTCCAGTCTTTGAAGACATTTATGACAGCCTTAAGCTCCCCCCAGACGTGTGGCTTACGCTCAACGGCAGCACGAGAATTGTCTTCACGCACAACATCTTGAGGCCTTAATAGAGCCAGGGAACAACTACACCCAGCGGCCATGATGCACATGAAAGCGATGTAGGTGCCATCAGATACGGTCCCTGACTGGGAATGAAAATTGAGACCAAACGAAATCATCGATCCTAAAAAGCCACCTAGACTATATTCACGACTGTTAGTGAAAATCCACCTCCCAGTCAGTAGTCAAACAACTCACTTAAAAATAATCCAGAATATGCCGATCATCCTTCCTTGCTGATGGGGCAAGGGGTAGCCAGTCATGATTGCACCTTGTGCGATCCATAAAAGAGATGCTCCGATACCTAATAAAGCACTGCTGCCTATCACGAAACCTTGGTTTCCAGTATGGCTGTAGGCTAATAGAGACCCCGCGTACAATACATATGGCAGTCCCCCTATGAGTATGGTCCATTTTGGTCCCAGTATATTGGTCAAAGCTGGGGCGACGAGTATATTTCCAACAGCGCTCACTGACGACAATGCGATATGACCCTTAGCTTGAGTCGTCGTGTCAAGTTGACCTCCTCCCCCAATTCCAGAAAGCGCATTGTACATGCCAGGGCAGCTGGTTAGCTTTTTAGCGGGAGCTCTCTCGGAGGGATTCTTTTAGTATGCGTACCCAAATGCCACAAAGCTGACCATAATAACCTGCCAAAACGGGGAATTATACCGTGAATACGAGATTTTTCGACTCGAGCCGTCAGTCATATCACTTGGGCCATCCTCTCGGGAGACAGGATTTGTACTCTTCATTCTATGCACTGATTCCATAACGAGATGATTAAAATCTGTGTCAATAATCCGAACATACTTTTTTTTCCTCGGCTCATCTCATCTTAAAAGCATGCAAGTCTCATTTGCCGAGAACAAATCTCCCCGCGCAATTTGCGGGATAATCTTATTTCTTGGTCCTTCAAACACGTTATTTGCTCTGGGGAGATATGAGCCAATCATACTTGGGGTGGGATGATAATAAGATAGTGGCGCAGACTAAATGAACCCGCGGGAGAGGCCTAAGCACTTCCGAAATAGGATGGATATTTGTTCTATATTATATACGAAAGTTGTTGAATCCATTTTTAGCACCAAGCATTTTCAAAATGTATTTCCTATCGACAGTCAAGAAGCTCGTTATTTTCGGATCATTGGGCACAGCGTCGGCGGCATATATCGACTTTACAAGTCTGCCGTCACATCCGAGACTGTTATTCACCCAGGAACGTGTGAAAGCGGTACTATCAATGAATGGAAGCGACACATACTACAGAGGAATTCTTGCATCATTGAAAGATACGGCAGATTCTGCTGTGGCTTCTCCTTTATCTCTTACCTCTGCAACTGCCTGGTCGAGCACTATTCGAATGAATGTTGGTGCCGTGGCGGGCACCTTTCTGCTGACCAACGATACCATATACTCCGATTGGGTTGCTGATAGCATAATTTTGCTTTCAAAACTTTCAGATTGGGATACGTCAAACTTTTTGACCACCGCAGACATTGCTATGACTGTATCAATTGGCTACGACTGGACCTATGATGTATTGACAGCAGATCAACGCAAGGAAGTTGAATCTGCTATCGCCACGAAATCTCTTGTACCAGCTCTAAACTCCTCGATTAATTCGTGGAGTGAACACACCAACAACTGGGCTCAAGTCACACATGGGTGTTTGATTATTGCGGCTCTTGCGATTGGAGATACCGATACCACCGTTGCGGACAGTATTATGGACTTCTCTTTCCCCAAGCTAAACGTTTCTTTGGAACAATATGCCCCAGATGGAGGCTGGATCGAAGGTTATTCATATGGAACATATGCCGGGATATTTTTGGGGCTGATGATGGGGAGCTTGGAGACGGCAACGGGGGACGATCTTGGCATATCCAAGCTACCAGGAATGAGCAACCTCGGGACGTGGCTTACACATGGCTTCGGTCAGACCGGAGGATTCAGCTGGGCTGACGGTGCTTGGACATTCTCAAATGCTAACAGCCTATGGAGTGTCGGCTACTGGGCGCAAAAGTTTAATTCGCCTGAATGGCTCCAGGGGATGTTGTCTCGATTCAGCACAAAAGAAGCGGCGACATTCCAAGCTTTTGTTTTCTATAACTCTAGTTTTATGAGCCCCAATATCCTACCTACTATGCCGAGATACAATCAATTTGCTGGTACAGCTGGGATGACCTACCGCACGTCATGGGAGGACTCCAACGGATGGTTTTTTGGTTTCATGGGAGGTTTCAATGGACGTTCTCATGGCCATCTTGATGCGGGATCTTTTGTTATTGACTATCAAGGCTATCGATGGGCGGAACTATTGGGCTCAGACAGCTACAGCTTAACGCAATATTTTGTTGGTCCTCGTCGCTGGACATATTACCGATGCAGAAGCGAAGGTGCAAATACTCTCAGCATCTCGAATACAACTCAATCTGCTTTGCACTTTGCCAACCAAATTCCTTCAGCAAACAATTCTTTACGCTGGGTAGGTAGCTTTGATAATTCGAGTCGCTTTGGAATTGCAAACCTCTCTGAAGCGTACGCGAATGTGACTTCCTCTGTACTTCGAGGAGTGGCATTCTTAAACGGCTCACAGATACTTATTCGTGATGAAATACATGCTTTAAAGGCAGTTGACATTGCAACGAGTTGGCACACCGTGGCTTCTGTCAACATCGACTCCAATAATAGAAGCGCAACGCTCACCCAGGGATCAGTGGTTATGAATCTCACTCTGCTATCACCTCCTGGGGCGTTTCTGGAGTTAGAGGATACGAATCCATGCAATTCATATAGCCCTTGTGCAGAGGCAACTAATACTGGAATATATAACCTAGCGGTTAGGCTTGCCAGTTTGACGACTGAGGCGAATATCTCGGTGGTTTTGATGGAAAGTGGAAATGAAATTATACAGTTCAATAGGCCGTTAAGCCAATGGTATCCCAGGTGTGAGGTAGATTGCTGGGATTCCGCAAATATCGATGATCCATATTGGCTTAGAAACTCTGAAATTTACTATTGAGAAATATACTTCTTTATCTTCAGATGGCTTTTTATCAAGTGGAAATGATCATTCTTCAATTGTAATCCATGACCTCTTCTCAGCCGACTCGTACAGTTTCTGAAACAAATGAAGCACATTAAACGCAGCCTTTTCATTGCAATTCGTCAACCCTTCATCTCGCGACTGTATGCGTCGAAAGAATGAATCCATTTGTTTAATAAAGGCGGCTTGAAGCATCTCACCCTTCTTATGGATTGTTTCAGGAAACAAATCGTTTCGGCCCTTTTTCCACTCACCCTTTGCATCCTTAAGTAGGAGATAGCCCCCAGGGGTATCAAAATTCAGGTGCAGAGCCCCCTGCACACCGTAGATATCCATTGTCCAATCATCGAGATATCCACTAGGCTCCCATGCTGTGAAGTCAAGATGGACATTTTTTGTCTTGTATTCCAGAATAGCTGAGGCAATATCTTCGTATTCAAGTGTTCCGATTGCTTTCATAGGATTGAGCTCCTTCTGTTCAAAAAGTCCCGGGACCCAAGAGTATCCAGAGTGGGGTTTCTCCTTCGGTAGCTTTCGTATCGAGGCAACCACCTGGGTCGGGAGGCCGAAAAGATCAGTCGCAGTCTCTACAACATGCCCACCTAGACTATAGAAAAAGCCGCCAATATTATGAATATTTGATTGCCAAGCTTCCGCTCCGGCGCCTCCAGGGCAGCCACCATGGAATCTGGCTTCAGTGATATGGCCCAAAAGCGATGTTCGCAGAACGTTGCGGGCAAACTCGACGATCTCGAGGTAATGTAGTTCCCAACCAACTTCGAATATAACTCCGTGGGCCTCAATCTGTGGGATCAGCTTGTTGAATTGCTCTGGATGAGCAGCACCAGGCTTCTCTACGAAGATTCCCTTGGCACCACTTGCAATAGCTGATTGAATATAGCTTGGATTCTGAACATCTTCACCATGAATGAATACGGCGTCAAAGTCCAAGCTGAGAAGCTCCACTGGATCAGTGAAACGTGTGCAATTGACATGCTTTTGCATTTCACGTGACACATTTTCGTCGCTGTCGAAGTATCCTAGAATAGTCATATGTCGGTCTTGAAGATATTTAATGCGGTGAAAAATATGAGGATGGCTTGTTCCAAGTAAAATGACTTTCGAATTCATGATGAGGCAATGTTTCCGTTACTGAATTTCATGCTGAGCCAGGGAGCGACTATTTGACTATAAGATTCATCCCGCGTAACAGTAACTTCGCCAGATACATAGTGAGATGGGCTTATCATGATAAAAGTGCGCCTGGAAATAATAATCATTCTGTTAGTTGGGTTTTTGTCCAAATTGCACGGATAAGAGTTATATTGTCTTTCTAGTCTAATTTTGTCTCTTTTGAGGCTCCAGAGCAGGATTTCTCTTGTATTGAGTATTGGTCAGCTTAGAATATGTTACATTTCGCCTAGCTCGGATAAGATAGAACTTTGGAATACCCTCCATCCACCAAATATGTCTGAAGAGAGGTTAGCTAGTTGCTATGAAATTTCTTTTTCAATGAACTCACTCCTCCAGTTGTAAAGCCTCCTTCGGTAACTGATAAGAACTCAATCCATCTGCGAGTACAATGAGTCTAAATATAAGATCATCAATCGAGGTAGCTTACCGTGCAATGTCTTCTCCTTTTCCGATTCTACCTACAGGGTGCGCATCGTGGAGTGCTTTGCTTTTGCCATATCCCCATTCCGGCGCATACTCGCTCTGGAAATCTCTATCTAGGCTCTCTCGAATCGTTTTGCCATCTGGCAAAGCACTTTCGTCTCTTTCACATCGAACATCAACCATCCCAGGACTCACCACATGGACTCGAATCTCAGGCCCAAGACTGACTGCCATGGCCATAGAAAGGCCTTCGATTCCTGCTTTTGACGCCGCATACGCTTCACCGTGCTTGCCTTGCTGTATGGCGCGACAGCTGGAAAGGTTGATTATCACCCCACCGCCAGAAGCCTTCACAAGGTGGGGAATTGCTTGTTGAGAAACACGATATGTGCCAACAAGATTCACTTGAAGAATGCGCTCAAAATCCGATGTTGGAACCTGATCCATTCGAATCCCAGCACGCATAAACTGGCTCTAGTCAAAAAGTCAGCGTATATGAAAGAAGGCAAATATAGAAAAGGTAGCTAGAATGAACATGCGCATACATTGATTCCCGCATCTTGAAATCAAAACAGGTTAGTAATAGAAATAACTCAACTTCAGAATCAGGCCGTCATACTATTGATGAGAACGTCAAGTGATCCGAACTCTTGTACACATTTCTCAACAGCCGCAATGACTTGATCCTGGTCTGATGTATCCATCAAGGCGAATTTTATATTATCATGCAAACCAGGACTTATGGTAGACGGAAGATGTTTCGAACATGTCTCGTTGAGAAATAAATCATTGTAGTCTGTCAGAAAGACTCGGTGCCCTTTCATCAGAAGATACCGAGCCGTGACTCTCCCAAGACCACTCCCAGCACCAGTGATGAAAAATACCTTGGACATAACTATGTCCTCAATGCTGTTCAAATAAATAAGCCTATTAAATCTTTGTTCTAAAAATAAAGGAAAAGGCAAGAGTAGAAGCAGAACGAACAGACAAAATTGAAACCCATTTAACGTGAACATGGGTTGAGCTTAGCTTCATTACCGAATCTTAAGCCCCTCATTTCATATCCCGCGCAAGAACGCGGGATATTTGGTAGCGGGGTCTTTATCAATTGATTTAGCTTTCAATGGTGCCGTATTTTACTTGCGGGGTAATCTTGCGGTCACAACCAAGATAACTATCTTTAATTCTGACTCGTGGATTATTATATGCAAGACTTTGGATGGTTAACCGTCAACCCCTATCAAACCGTCATGTACTTGAGGGCTAAAGCTTTGCTCCCAATGGCCTTATAATCGCATCGCCCTTGTGATTATTCGCTCCGAGATATCTCTATTGCTTTCAGAGCCAATGTTCTCTATTATGAAAGCTACAGAATTTTTTCAAGGGGATGAGTCCCTCCAAGGCATTATGATAATAGGGACTACGTAGAAATATCAAGGTAATCACTGCCCTGAGCCATGCGTTAACACTGATAGTTCTGAGATGCTAGCTCCGTAAGGCACAAGATAGACGATCATACTTTTTGAATAACTCATCCTTGGAATTTCCCTTATATATCGCCGATGTGCTTATTTGCAACCGGAATATTTGATTTTGTATTAATAAATAAGTTAGATGGTTAACAAATCATAGGCAGTATGATTGGTGAGGAATACATAGAAGAAGCTACTATTAAGGGGTGAATATAGGGTGAGGCTGTATGTGGTCGGATCGACATGACCCGCGAACTCACCAAACACTGAATATTTTTTATAGTAGATACATGATTTCGTCAGGTCGTTTAAAGCCCTTATTGAAGAGTGCATAGCGGTTGCATTAACAGTTTCAGTTGATGATTGTGTGTTAGAGATCTCCGAGATTGTGCAACATATAGTATTATTACACTTCATGTGTTACATAGGCTTAGTGCGGTACATATAGCGTATCTATCTGTTTCAATAGATATATACTGGAATTACTTCGTATGTAGGAGATTAATGGGAGAAGTCGAGATCGGACGGAGGACTATAGCGGATATTCGTTCATGAAACTAAAACCCACTCCCAACAGCCGCAATGGACCAAGAAAAGATATACTGTACTATTTATTTAGAGACGCAGAACGGAATACCAATCAAATAGCAATCAAATAGCAAGCAAATGGCCAGCAAATGGTAAAGCAAATGGTAAGCAAATAGCAATCAAGAAGCTCTCGAGAAGCAATAAATCAATCAGAAATCAAACCAACTCAAACATCATTTGAATACTTAGGTAGTGAAAATCTTTGGTGCTCAAATCTATATGGTTTTAGTCATTATAATATATTCTTGTGTTCAATGTTCAAGGATGACTGACCTTGCCCTCTCTAGCAATAGATCTTGTCCTCAATGTCATCACAGATCCACTGATCCCCAGACTGGTGCTGTTCGCATTGAACGGGGATATCAAATTGGTAGCTTGAGAAAATTAGACCAAAATTACTTCTACAATAATGATTTAATTCACTTACCGATTACCGGCCGTGTTCACGTACGTGACCGGGATATTATACTTGTAGTTCCGATCTCCGCTTCCCGACTGTTCTCCATTCTGGTTATCCGTCCAGTCGTAATTCAGAGAACCCGATGTAGAGCACTCTTCAAACCAAGTTAATAAATAATAAGACCAAAGAATACTTTAGAGTGAGAACATACGGAGAGTACCACTGTCAAGTACCACGGTATTACCGAGATTCTTATCTCCCTTGAAGATATTACCCGTGCATATCTCGACATCGTTATCCGTGACAGTCATCCAACCATATGCAGTGCCAAAGTTATCCACCGAACGGGTATTTCCGTAGAGCTGGCCAGTGAATACAATGCATCCCAGAGCAGGAGATAGAAGGCCTAGAAAGACAGCCGAAGGCAAAGCTTTGAGACCGAAGGCAACCATTGTGATGAAGTGAAAAAGAAAGATCGTTTTGTCTCTAAAAGGCTTTCGATGAAGGCTCTGTATTGAAGAGATTGCTGTGTTGATGATGATGATTTCATTTGAGGGGCAAATATGACTCCTTTTATATACACTGGCCTGCTTCTAATCTTTGATAGTGTCTTGTAATCACTTTTTGGGCGAGAAACACGCCTGTCTCTAACGATTGTTACCAAACATTCCTACAATAGAACTTGAGTCTCCAAAAATAGCTCATTTGGATAGTTTGTACATTAATTTACTATTATAGTGGAATATTTGGGAGACCGGAGACCGCCGGTCAGCATCGAGCCCGGAAGAAGTTGGGAATAATGAGAATATCGGCATTAATAACTTAAATATAGTAGAAATAAAGGAGCCAAGATCAGTTGAACCCTGACCCTAGACCTCTTAAGTCCGTAGTTCAATACTACGCAAATCTATTTTTGTGTTTCTTCGACGATTCCACCTATCCAGGCTGCATGACAGTGTAAAGCGAGACACGACTGATAACTGTCAGGCCGGTGTGGGCGAATCGCGCAAGTCAAGTATAGTAATCCAGGCCTTCCATTCTGAGTAGTTTGGAATGAGCGCTTAACCTGCAAAGGCTATTTATCTCGAGGCGCGGGAAGCTCGCACGGATGGGGAAATAGTCCCCTTGGTTTCAGCCTGGCATCTCTGAACTCCAGGCATCGCCCTGAGAGTGATATTGTTACGAAACAGGTCAACTAGGCTACTCCTGGCTATATACGGGAGAAATATACGGGAGAACTATTAGTGGCTATCTAGAAAAACGTCTCCTAGATCATTACCAGAAGTGTTTCAAGTTAGCTCTCGACCATGACCATGATGACTTGCTTCTTTGAAATCGTGTTTCATGTTCCTGCACTAGAGTATGAAGCGAGGAAGATATCAAATTCAAACTTCACAGTGACCATCCGGGTCGAAGAAGAATATATTTTAAGCCCATTTTCAAGAAAACTTTCAACTTTCTGTTGCGAATGACTCGCTAGCATAATTCAGAGAGAGCAGATAATTGTGGATGGAGATTGTTCCGAGGTAGAAGAACCAACAGATCAGAAAGTACATAACGAATTTTCCCCCGCCCACGCCCGTACCCTTGTTTCCCTTGTTTCTCTTCTTTCACCCAACTCGGGATATTCTCCGATCTCGACATTCTCTCTGACGCCCAACCGCTCTCATAATTTTCTGATTAAGACTCCGAGTCGGATTATTGGTTGGTTTGTTGGATCTTGATCTATGAATCAGCTCCAGAACTATCTTTTGAGGTCAGCTCATCCCTCCCCTCTCAGTGTTGGTTGGCTGGGTTCTAATTAAGGTGGGTTTGGTCTTTGACAAGATGTTGCTTGCCTCGGTAAAAAGCTCGATCACCAGGTCAAAATGAGACGAAAGATTGGATGAATTACTGGAGTCATGAGAAGGCAGTAGACTCTATTTTACCTTCATCGAAAGTTCGGTTCCGATCGTGTAGATCATTATAATTTTATTTTTGCCTGTAAGCAAGAAACCTGGATAACACACTAGCTTCTTGGCTTCTCCTTGGCGTTCGGCACGGCAGCGTAGTCAGAGGCCGGGCCCCTTCAGGCTGACCATTAAAGCACACGCGCTTGACTTCCTTCCAGCAGCTTTCTCCGTGGCTGGTTGATTGGGCTAGGTGGCTTGAGTTGGGCTGACCGGGAGGGTCGGCGAGCTTGATGGTTGAGCTGATGCCGGGTGCCTTGAAACGAGGACCAACGTTCTTTACCCCTGCCAAGTACGTTTTGTGAAGAACATGGAGATTGCTTGAATGCTAGTCTGATGAATTGGAATCGGGAAACAGTAATTCAAGACGAACTGTAGTCCTGTTGGTCAGACAATTGTCGCGAACCGCTACCTGAGTACTCTGGAGAGATGGTGAAGATGCTAGTAAAAAAAAAGGTGGCGGGCCCCATCCCGCCAAGGGTCTTTAGGGTCCTATTGAATCCACTGTGATCCGGTAGCAAATTCTTTGAGAAGAAACAGCCAAAGACGATAGCCACTAGAACGATTTCTTTTTGCTATTCACCGCATGAAAAAAAAATGAGATAAATAATATCCATCTGTCTCTTTGCCTCTGCAAAACGCAAGATGTGAGGCATCGTCTTGGGGGTTCTAGGGGCCAACATGGGTTCGCCCCCATTGCATGTAACGTGTAACCCTCAGCTCCACTACTAGGTTGATTTCCAATTTCTCACTTTTGGCCCCCATCGTTAAGGCTCACAGCTAAGTCACTCCGGAGAGGGGAGGAAGCAAATCACAGGCTAGTAGTAGCCGCTTTTCCAGGTTTCCATCCGACCTGTCCGGTAGGTCAAGCATAGCCCCTTTGCAAGTAGACCCCTAGGATCTGCTCAGATCATTCGCTCTTCTTCCTTCTACACAATTTCTCCAAGATGATGGCAAAACCGCACTATCTATCCTGGCTCAACTTCAAACGAGTCCTCGCCTTCTTTATTGCCCTGGGTGTGGCTGATGTGCTCTATTTGACACTATCAACCCGTCTGGGATCGAAGAGCCGTAGGGAACTTTCTATCTAGCCTATACTCGATTTCTTTTTGACCGTGTTTTTCGATGCAGAGACAGATGCCGCTTTGAGTACGGAGTCGACTCGCCGCAACTTAGTCCAGGGTCTGGTCGACCTTCGAGACGCCTATACTTCGCATTCCGTCAACTCCAGTGTGGGCTTTGCCCTCGCGACCGTACACACCGACGATCTGAAATGGCTACTCGACTACTGTCGAAATACGTAAGTGTGGAATGGAACTTGTCAGTCTGGGTCTCCCTTTTAATACCAAACAACGGGTAGAGGCAGCACGCCGTTCGTCTATTCCACCGAAGAGTCCCCCGAGCCCGGCCTGCTCGTTCCGACGACACCGCGTGGCCGTGAAGCCGCGGCGTATCTCTCCTACATCGTCGATTTCTACGACGAACTCCCTCCCTACACTCTCTTCGTCCATGCAAATCCCGAGCAATGGCACAACGATCTGTTCGGGCCCTTCACCGCCAATACGCTGAAGAATATCCGATTCGAATCAGTCGACGCCCAAGGCTTCGTCAACATCCGCTGCGACCTCACTCCAGGCTGCCCAACCAGTGTATTCCCCCTGAGTCCATCGGATACTGACATCAAGAACAACGATATTCGCGCGTATTTTGCCGAAGAGTACCAGAAAATCTTCAACGTGTCCTTCGAGGAGGTGCCCTCGGCGATCGGGAATGTGTGCTGCGGCCAGTTCGCCGTGAGTCGAGAGCGGATCCGAGCGCGCCCTAAGGCGGATTACCAGCGCATCCTCGACTGGGCCGCAACCACCGACAAGACCGATAATTTTGGCGTCGGTTGGGTGCTCGAAAAACTATGGCATATTATCTTCGGCATGGAGGACATCTAGTAAGTGAATCGCTTCAGGCGCCGAATTGTATTATCGCACTAACAGTCGTCATCCTAGCTGCCCTCGTGTCGAACAATGTCGCTGTGATGTCTACGGGTGGTGCGGCCCATTGCCATATACTGGCGAGGTATTGCAAGCAGTGGCGAGCGACAAAAAAGCGAGCTAATCGTGACCGATTGCTGGTTGACGATATGCGTTGAGAATCCGATGTTCCAAAATCATGCATAACGCCTCTCCCCCGATCTTCTCGATGCTCGTCTCACCGAACGGTGGGAGAGAGGATTTATTTTTTTTTTTAAATGGGTATGTGGCCCTGCACCACATCCTACTTTCATGCATCACGTCTTTTGTTTCGGCAACCTGAGATGCCGGACAGTTACATCCCCAACAAGCGATACCCAATTACTTTACCTGAGCAAATAGCTCCCTGTCCAAGCAAATGCACAGCTCGAGTGCGTCTACATGTACATTCGTCCCATTTTGTTGCTATGTTCTGCAGATCGCCCCCTCCCCCCAACGATTTACGGAGGGGGAGAATATACATTGGCTAGCACCATTGACTGTGAACATGGAGTCCTGTATTTATATAGTTTTTTTTTAAAAAAAATATAGAAATGATTAATACTCTGTCTTTTATTGTGATGCTATGCTAAATATTATATTTCAAGGCGCCCGCAGATGCATGAATGCACGAGGAAAGGGAGAATGAAGGAGGAGGATGCACCGGAAGCCTCATGATGTTGGCTCAAAGCTCCATCTCATCGTCATCCCAGCCAAGCTGTTCGTAAATTGACCTGGTCTGAGCTTGCTCCGGTGTCATGGGTACAGCTGCCGCTATCTTGACTGGGGTCTCCATGGCAGTGGGGGAGGAGGGAGCCTGGGGTTGGTTGACGGTAAAGGATGGAACAGATCGGGGGACGGTTGAGGGGTTGGGGTCCCGCTGTTTGGGCGGTGTTTCCATGATTGCCGAGGAGAGATTATCATAGAATGATCGGCTCAGGTGAGACGACGAGTCTGGGCCAAGGGCTGGAATTGGCTTGTGCCGGGATGACACTGGTGTAGTGGGTCCCGCTGGGAGGGAGGTAGGGTCGGTAGTAGGTCGAGAGGGTGGGAGCGTAGGTACACGGAAAAGGCCCTTGCCTTGGCTGGAAGAAAACGACGGTCGATGCGCCAAGTCTGTGCTTCGACTATCGGGGAAAAGCTTCGATGAAGGTCGGGTTGGTGTTTCTTGGATCGAGCCAAGTTCCACCGGCTGTGTCTGTGGCTCGTGCGCTCGTTTCTTCGAACCACGCTGAGAGCTAAAGGGTGTGGAATCGGGCCCAGCAAATGATATAGCCCGCCGGGTGGAGGAAGGAATCATGAGGGGGGATTCGGCCAGGGAGTGGTCCTCGGTCTCGCCTGAAAATGATCGGGAGGGAGCGAGACTACGAGGCAGTGGCGGCAGCCCGATAACCACATCCTTCTTGCGGTTTCCTCGAGGAGTAGCCATTACCTGCACACCTTCGCCAAATGGATTGCGGACGGGATTCTTGGGCTTCCGTGAACTGCCGCCGCCAGTAGTCATCCGCTTGGCCGCATCATCGGCGATATCCTTGGCCACCATTTCTCGATTGGGCTTTCGCAAGGCAGTGATAGCCGCGTCAAGTTCTTTTTTCTGCTCTGAAAGCGCCTGCACTTTGCGCAGCTTGTTTTCGTGCTGCCTCGCGATAGCAGTCAGATCAACCTCGCGTTTTTCCACTCGTTGGACAGGGATTCCACCGCGTACACTGCCTCTCACAACTGTGGGGAGCATAGGTTCTAACGAATCTGGTCGTCCTGATGGAGCGGTTATAGATCGCTGGAGTAATGGTACGCGGCCCTGGGATGCGCTGGCCTTTTCGTCTGTCAATACACGATGCAATGATCGTCGGGTCCTCTGCTCTGGAGGCTGGCGTTTGACTTCAGAACCAGGCTCGGTGCGGTGCGACTTGCGTGAAGACTGCGTCTTCTTGGTGGTAGGTGAGATGCCACCAGACACGCCGAATTTGCGGCTAATCAGCTTGCACTTGTCCCGAAGTCGCGAGGCATAGAATGGAATAATGACTTCAGTGCAGAAGTCACGCATTGCATCGGTCTCAACTTTTTTCCAGACATATGGCCATCAGTGAAAGACGAAGTCTTGGCGGATTCTGCACCAGTCGACTCCTCCATGGTGACAGCATGCCAAATGCACAGGCGATCAAGATGCAATTCCAGCAATACTGTGAGGTCTTGGGGTTTTTTGATTCTGGGCTTCTTGAGTGCTTCTGTCTCCCCGGTGCCCGCCTTGTCGTTACCAGGGTCGGTCTTTTCACCAGTCACAGTCGATTCCAAAGCCATCACTTCCAGAATCAACAGAATTTGCAGTTGTGTCTCGCGTAGCCGGAGGTCAGATATGTGTTTCTTAGTCTCCGCCTCACGAGAGGTCTCTTGTACTGCCGATTCCGTCATGGTACGTTCTTTCCACCACTTGCAGATAAATACGTCTTCTTCAGCGTAGAGACCATTTTTGCCCAAAGTCTTCTTCTTGCTCTTACGTTTTCTCATCTTCATACCATTCTCATCATCAGAGAGTGCAAGGATTGCCTCACGAACAGAGGCAGGAAGGGTTTCCCGATATTTTAGATCCATCTTTTTCGCAGCAAGAATAGCTTCACGGTAGAATTCAATGAGATCAGTTGCTGATCGGTGCCCTCCCGGGGTAGAGCACTGGAATGCAGTGCGACAGCGTGTTAAAGGACCTTTGGCGAAATATGCTAATGATGTCTGAGGCCATCATGTTAGAGACAAGATTATGATGGACAGCAACACCTCTCACCTTTGATATATAGAGAGCTTGCAAATAATGCTCTCTCATTCCGTCCAGCAATTCCTCCGGTGATTGTTTTGGATCTGCACCATCAACGCCGGCAGCGCCATCCGCATCTATGTCATCCCTACCACCATTTATGAGCTGGGAGTCCAAAGGTCCGAATGAAAGATCTGTATCCACCAAGTCGCCTGATGGAACAGGCGCAAGAGATTGACTGCGGTGCTCAAGGACAACTGGAGGAGGCACATGCTCTGGATGACTCTCTGACTCTGTGGATCCAAATACAATGTCCACCCGCAGCCCAGGATGGTCCTCCCCCAGACCGAGATCCGAAGCCGGCTCCTCAATCTGGGCAGTCTGCCACCAGTTCACGTCATCCGATGGGGTGCAAGGTTTCTCTCCGGCATCCACGTTCATGTCTACGTCCCGCAGTCCTTGCCATTCCTGAGCAGCGACGACGTAGCTCTCGTTCACCCATCGCGCAAGCCTCGAGAGAGAGTAAATACCCTGCTTGACCCGCTCAACCACATACAGTCCCCCAGTCGCAGTCAATCGCACAGCGAGAACCGTCGGCTCGGAACAAGTGCGCAAGTCCGTTTCCAGGGTGGGGATATCCGCAGCAAAAAGACCACCAGCGTGGGCGTCCGAACGCGACCAGCCCGCATCATCCAGCCATGATAACGGGAGGTGAGAGCGAGGAAGGGCGACAATCGGATCGAGGACTAGCGGTTCATCTGATAACGACGCAGCATGGGCCTAGATGAGCGGCAAAGGAAGTCCCTGTTAGACAAAAGGGTCTACAACTTCCCGGGTGCGTTCTGACGCGTCTAGACAACCATAGACTTACTCGAATAACGATTGAAGACGTGGCAAGCTGGCCGGCAGCATTGTCTGTCCCGCGCTTGCGCTTTTTCGAGGGCGGTTGGTCCGCTTCGTGCAGTTTGTTCAGCGAGGAGGAGCTGAGGGGATCCAGAGCGCTAGGAAGAGGGCACGCGGTCATGGTCGCGTTTAGAAGGTCGTACGCATCGTGTCGTCAGTCGTCTTGCTAAAACTCGAGTTCACGAAAGCAGGAAGTCCTCGGAAGGCAGATAGACGCTCATGCAATTGCCCGTCTGGAAAGTGGTGGTAGAGCACGAATCAAGTGCTTGGCGATTCTGGCGTCACGCGTCGGCGGCCCCTGCGTTCCCCGCCTTTGATAAGATGACCCTTCCAAGTGTCCGTCCAGCTCCGACATGTCTAGGTATAGAAGGAAAAAATCTTCGGTTACAAGGGGCGAAAAAAAAAGGAATTCATGTACAAGTCTACAGATTGATGGAAAGCAGAATTGATCAACTAAAAAATCGTTGAAGTGGTTGGAATATTATTTCTAGTTGCTAATGTTTAGATTAGCAAGACCCACGGGCCATTAGGGTAGAGAGTCTATAGGATGTTGAAGAATAAGGGGGAAAAAAAGCGGATGACTCTCTTAGCCCGCACCCCCCGAACTCGAGCGCTCGTCCCGCACGCAGGACATATCCGACTCGAGAGTGATGGGGGGCTGGTGAGGTGGTGAAGGTGGTATGGTTGTTGAAGACTTTCGCTCCAGAATAAACGCCAAAAGCATCCCGTTCCCAGCCGATGAAAGTGGTATCATGTTGAATTTTGTCTTCGCCGAAAGGCCCGTCTGTTTGCAGGGCGACCATGCAGATAATGAAACAAGAAGGAAAAAAAACAGAGATTGATTTCTTAGGTCCGAAACCAACATTTTTCGAATTTTTTGTTGGCTTTGGAGTTTTTAGAAGAAAAATCTATGCATGTGCTTTGAGTTGTTGAAAACAAAGCAAACTCATCACAGTCGTCAAAACGTCTCCGGGGTCACCGGACGGAGGGATCCGTTTAGAACTTAAGGGCCTTAGGCTGCTCCCAGGAGAAGCTCTGGTTGGTGAAGTGACCGTTCTTGGCAGTCTGGGCGTAGATGGGCTTGGCAAGGTCAAGGTCCTTGACAATGACACCGGGACGCAGATCGAAGTTGTTACGGATGATCTGGACCAGCTCGTCAGAGGACTTGGTCGAGGTGCCGTAAGTCTCGACGAAGATGGACAGGGGCTCAGCAACACCAATGGCGTACGACAGCTGGACAAGGGCACGGCGGGCCAGCTTGGCATTGACCAGAGACTTGGCGATCCAGCGCGCAACGTAGGCAGCCGAGCGGTCGACCTTGGAGTAGTCCTTGCCAGAGAAGGCACCACCACCGTGGGCACCCCAGCCACCGTAGGTGTCGACAATGATCTTACGGCCGGTCAGACCGGCATCACCCTGGGGGCCACCAATGACGAAGCGGCCGGAGGGCTGCATGTGGTAGACGGTGCGGTCATCCAGCAGGTTAGCGGGGATGACCTTGCGGACGATCTTCTCCTTAAGGACATTACGGAGCTCCTCAGTGGAGACATCGTCGGTGTGCTGGGCAGAGATGACGACGGTATCGACGCGCAGGGGCTTCACAGCACCGTTGTCGTGGGCATACTCAATGGTCACCTGGGTCTTGGTATCGGGGAGCAACCAGGGGATAGAGCCGTCGTTACGGGCCGCCTTCATGGCAGCGTTCAGCTTGTGAGAGAGCAGGATGGTGAGGGGGAGGAGCTCAGGGGTCTCGTCGGTAGCGTAGCCGAACATGATACCCTGGTCACCGGCACCGAGCTTCTCAAGAGCCTCATCGTAGTGAAGACCTTGGGCGATATCGGGAGACTGCTGCTCAATGGCAACCAAGACGTTGCAGGTCTTGTAGTCGAAGCCCTTCTCGGAGGCATCGTAACCGATGTCCTTGATAGCGCCACGGATGATCTTCTGGTAGTCCAGGTTGGCCTTGGTGGTAATCTCACCGAAGACCATGATCATACCTGGAAGGGATGCATGTCAGATTTGAAAAGGCCAGATTCTCGTATCGGGACGGGGCTTCCGACGGGGGTCGGAGGGAGGCGGAATGGAAAAGAAACTTACCGGTCTTGGTGGCAGTCTCGCAAGCAACCTTGGAGAGGGGGTCTTCAGCCAAGCAGGCATCAAGAATGGCATCGGAGACCTGGTCACTGAAGAGAACAAAACAACTTCGGTTAGAAGAGGACAGGGCCAGCGAGAGATTTCTTCAGGGGCAAAAAAAAACTCACGCAATCTTATCGGGGTGACCCTCACCGACCGACTCGGAGGTGAAAAGGAAGGTGTTAGGCTGCGAGCCGTTTGCAAGGGAACCCATTGTGAAATTGTTTGACTGGGGAAAGTCTGAGAGAGGATGAAAGAGAAATATAGAAGAGAAATGGAGAGGGGGGGATGAGAAGAATAAGAAGAAGAGAGAAGAGAAGAGGGGAAAAAGTGGTGGGGTTTTTTCTTTTCTCGGCCCAGTACACCGCAGGTACCGGGACAGCCATTATTTGGTAGCACGACAGGTGGGTACCGTGGATGTACAACATGGATCCGATAGCCTGCACGTTCTGCACTCCTAAACCGCCTGCGGCTGCCAGCCCCTCGATGGCGCCATTTTGCTTATGTTTGCACGGGGCATTTTAGGTATTTTGCATTTTGGCCGCTTTTTGGCCCTTTTTTCGCCCGATTGGGGGTTTCAGTGGGGAGGCGATCGTTCTGCCGGGCGGTCAAGATGTGGGACAGGCGGTCACCACAGGCAGTTTGCAGCCCCGCCGGCAAGTGCGAAAATCTCGTTTCCCGAATGGCCCGATAAGCTGCTGATACCGGAGCTTTCGAACTTTTTCCCTCCTTGACGACTCCATACCCCGTCCAGCGCCTACCATGTCCAAGTTCGGTGTCCTGGTCATGGGCCCCGCAGGGGCGGGCAAGACCACCTTCAGCAATTCGCTGATCCAGCATCTACAAAGCACCCGCCGCAGTTGTTTCTATGTCAACCTTGACCCGGCTGCCGAAACGTTCGCCTATCAGCCCGATCTCGACATTCGCGAGCTGATCACCTTGGAAGATGTGATGGAGGAGCTGGGCCTGGGTCCCAACGGTGGCCTCATCTACTGCTTCGAGTTTCTCCTCCAAAATCTGGAGTTCTTGTCCGAGGCCCTGGATCCCTTGAGCGAGGAATACTTGATTATCTTTGACATGCCGGGCCAGATCGAGCTCTACACACACATCCCTCTCCTTCCATCATTAACGCAATTCCTGTCACGCCAGGGCCCCCTGAATATCAACCTCTGTGCCGCCTACCTCCTCGAAAGCACCTTCGTCGTCGACAAGGCCAAGTTTTTCGCGGGCACCCTCAGTGCCATGTCAGCCATGCTGATGCTAGAGATCCCGCATGTGAACATCCTTAGCAAAATGGACCAGGTGCGCGAGATGGTCTCTCGTCGCGAACTCCGCCGCTTCGCCAATGTGGATGTGCAGCTGCTACAAAAGGACGAGGAAGAGGACCTGGCTGCGAGCGCCAACCCCATGGCCACGGACGCGCTGATGAGCGGCGGCTCCTTCAAGCAGCTGAATCGGGCCGTAGCACAATTGATCGATGATTTCAGCATGGTCTCTTTTTTGCAGCTAGATGTCCAAGATGAGGACAGTGTCGCTGGGATCTTGAGTCACATCGACGATGCAATCCAGTACCATGAGGCTCAGGAGCCAAGAGAACCCAAGGATGAGCAGGAAGTCAATTATGAGGATTAAACTTGCCACCACCCACACCGTTCAGGCTGCTGTCCTCTACAAAGTCCCTCCGATCCTGCGACTGAGACTCGAGAGCTTTACATCTTCCAAGGGCAACGCATCAAAAACCCATCATTTGATGTCTTCTGCTACTGTCCCACCCCCCGCCGTCTTTTACCACCAAATCGACTCGTCATTACTCGGTTTACACGGTAGTCTGACACTCCCACCTCATAAATACAATTGATAAGCCGCCTTCTACGAAGGTCCGGAAAATTCCGTGGACTCAGAATGACGATTCTCGGCACAAAAACTATTGGAGGCATCATTGGAGTTGATATCTGCAATTTTCTACGATACCAAACAAAGGGAAGCAGGCACAAATGCCATGAGAGAAGATAAGAAGCGGAACAACCATATGCTATGAGAACCCATCCTAATCCATAGACGCCAATAATCCAATTTTCACGATTTATGACCTGTGCAGACCAATCCATGTTCGCTAAAGCAGCCGCGCAAATCAAGAATCCCCGTAGACATCCCAGTCAAAGAAGAGAACAGGGGCGAAGCGAGAACCCCCAAACTGATCCCGCTCTTCCTGTTTCTCCCTGCTATCTGTCCCCTTCCCTCGGAACCCATGTGAAGAAAGAACACCATGAATAATCAGCTCTCAAACGAACAGAGCGAAGCAATCTACGCTTCCATGCCGATCTGGCCCCCTTTACCACAGGTTCATATACCAACTACCGGCGCCGGCATTCTCATTAGCTTTGGCGTTAGCGGCTGCTGCCGCACTGCGCTTGGAGAAATCCTCTACAAACCCTTCCGCTGCGCCCCAAACCCAGCCCAGGTCGCGACTGGCTCGCTCGAAGCCAACTTGGTAGATATAGAAGCCCAGGCCAATGAGAGTGCCCCAGAAGACGAGGCGAAATGCGAGGGTTACCCAGAACATCACGATGCGGCGGGCATAGTCAAGGATTTTGAGCGAGAGCAGAAGGATGATTGCGAGGAGGAGGATGGTGACAAGGTCGGGCATGCCGGTGGAGACGAGAGAGGCGAGGAGCGTGGAGAGTGGGCTTATCAAGTACGGCTGGACGAAGCCGCTGCGCAAGTGCGTGAGTTGCTCAGTGAGGTGGCTTTGTGTGGAGTTGGCGAGGTGGGAGACGATTGGGTGTTGGAGGATGGACTGAATATTTTCTGGAGTGGGGAGGTTTATATTAGTGGATCGAGAGAGTTCTCTACATCTTTGACCAGCTGAGCTGGTGAGGTACATACCCGGGAGGGCGTCCATGTTTTATCAAGTGTACAAAAAGCCGAGGAATTTGAGCGACAACTGATGGCGCAGTTGAGGTTTTGCGAGGCAGTTTGCGCCGCGATTCAGGTTTCTTCAGGTATACTGTCCGAAGAGCACGTTGAGGATAGGTAGAATATTGATTCTCTCGGTAGGATTAGGCAGATGTCAGGCGATGGTTAACACAATATTCTTTCGTGAAGAAAAGGGACAGAGCAAGAAAGTCATAGTCAAACGAAAGTTGCGAAAGAGAAGTTGACACTTCGCGCAGTGTCACGGGCGATAAGCTCCCTGCAAAACAAACAAACAGCGCGGAATTTGGGGCCGGTCGGAAATGTGGATGGATGCGCTGGGGTGGATCGTGGTAGATTGGCACACCCGCAATTAAACAAGAAGAAATTGTGGAGAACCATAGATTTAAAGAGAGTTGATCAGAGAGAAAAAACCGATGAGGTGCTGGATATGTCTGAGTCTCGCCTAGGGCGAGTGCTGTACAATAGATTATATACTAGGAGAAAAAACTAGACTGTATATACAATCCCCATGGGGGAGTTCAAGTACGCCCAATCAAAGACCACAACTCCCAGTCCGAGCAGGTCTGCACAAACAACAATAATATAACTCCAAAGTGAAGACAAAGAACGCCAGGACACGAGCGACTCGACCACCGAGCCAGCCGTGAGCCTCAATGCAGATGCAGATACAGGGTGGTATATGAAATAGAAAAGAGACAAAATCCAGAAGACCGTACGGCCAATCACATCAAACCGCGGAGCGTATCCCGCTCTGTTTGAATGTCCGCCTGCAGGTAGTGAGTCTGGCGAATAGCTTCATCTCTGTGGAAGAAATTAGGGTTAGTCTGAGATCTGAAACACGATACATCGCATTGGATGCGGGATCGGAGGTTTTCGTGGACGCGAAAACAAGGGAAAAACGTACCTGTCAGATTGCAGCTGGGCCACATCAACCTGCGCACGGTTCATCCGACTCACTACTTCTTCCATCTCCATGTCCGCATCGCGGAGGAGTTTCTCCAAATCCTTGACTCGTCTCTCCAAGACTTCGGCCTGGACAACATCGGCCAGCGGAACACCGTCACCGCTGGTAGTCTTATCGAGGCGCGGCGAGCGTCCGGCAAATGGCGTATTCGGTGGCCGGGGTGAGAGGCTTACGGGGGTGCGGCCACCGTTCTTCATCCGCATCAGCTGCGCACTTTGGTTTTCCTTGAGCTGTCGGATTTCATCTTCATGCTTGCCCATTTCATCCTCGCAATGCTGCTGGGCGAACAGCAGATTATCTTCTGTTTCCTTCAACTGGTTTTGCAGAACATTGATGCGTTCAACCGACAGGTGCTGGTCCCTCTCACCCTTGTCAATGGCATCCTCCAGGCGACGACGGAGGGAACTATTCATCTGCAGCTGCAGGTTAACACGGCTGCCCAACGCATCTGTTCGAGTGATGGCGGCAGCCAGCTCATCTGACTGAGCCCCATCAGCTTCAGCCTGTTGCCGGTCTACCAGAAGTTGCTGGAAGATGGTTTCTAGGGAAGTGGATGTTGCCACTACCTTGGCGAAGCTTTCTGGGTCGGTGTCTATGTCCAGATCATCTGAGGTAGACGTATCGTGCTGCTGTAGAAGAACCCGCAGAGAGCCAGTCTCCTGCTCGGCACGGTCAAGGTCCATCTTGAGACCTGCCAGGTTTTTCTCGCATTGCCACTTGGCATCCAGAGCATCTTCGGCACGGAAGCGGAGATGGTTCACATCCTCCCGTAACAGCCGCACTTCTCTTTCATATCCAAGCTTTCGAGGAGGTCCAGACTCCCGTGCCTGCGCAAGCTCGATTTCCATAATTCGAGTGCGCTTCTCAAAGTCGCGTGCCTGGTACAGCTGGCGATCAAGAAGGCTCTTCAGAGTACGGTGCAGAGCATCTCGCTGAGCTTCGATATCCTTGACCTTGTCAAACAGCGATTCGCGGCTCTCCCGGTCCTTACCACCTGACACGGAATTAGATCGAGACAATGAGCCTGATCGTGCCAAGCCACCAGCAGGCTTGCGGGCGAGCGAATTAGACCGGGAGAGACCGAAAGCCGAATTGCGCTTCGCTGAAACGCCTTCCTCTTCAGCAATGGAAGCAAATCGCGAGCCTTGCAGCTGTGCCAATGAAGCATTTTCAATTTTGAGGGCTTCTATTTCTTCTAGTAGCCGTTGCATTTCAGACGAGTCCACTGCCGGTGCTACGCCTTCGCGGAGGACATCTCGTTCGTTTCGTAACTGCTCGAGTTCAACTCGCATGGCAGTAAGCAAATCTTCAAAATTATCCTTCGATTGCCGCTCCTCGAGTAATTTACGCCTGGTGTTCTCCAGAGCGGTTTCTAGTTCTTTCGTCTTCGATGACAGATCTGATACATCGGTTCTATCCCGTCGAAGCTATCAAGTTGAGAAATATTAGCACAGAATAAGCGGATCAATTAGCTCGGGCTTCATCTTACCTGCTGGACCTGATTTTCCAAGATCTGAACGTGCGATTCAGAGGCAGTTCGTCGTGTCCGCTCTTCCTGCAGCCTTTGGGACATTTCAACCTTTAGTTGAGCACGCTCCTGCTCCGCGGCCCGACGGATCTTTTCAATATCCTCCTGTCGGTCAGGGGCATATCGAATGGAGCTGGTACCCGAATCGGAGAAATAGTCACTGGTCCTGCGATTGACTTCGGGCCCCTCAGTTTGGAAACGTTCAATGAGATCTTCTAATTCCATTTCCCGACGGATGGAGCCTGCCAGTTCAGAGCTAATTTCACGCAATTCATTTTCCAAATCGGCAATCTTGGAGGTAAACATGGCGTCGTGAGTACTGACACCTCCGAGGGAAGAGGTGCGGACAGGAGGTCCAAAGCCAGGGGCCTTGGTGTCATAAGGAGATGAGGGCTTCATAGCGATGGGCACATTGGCCAATGGCGGCATGGGGGAGGGCAGTGGTGACCGGCCCGAGTCAGAGATCTCGGTGCTCGAGGACTCTGCACCGGGGGAGGTGGCGGTGGCAGTAGCCGCCTTCCAACCAAAGAAAGAGCTGATTTTGTTTCCAGGGGTTTTAGGTTGTCGGGGGTCGGTGAGGGGCATGGACATTGACCGGCCATCTATATCGATATGCAGGGGCGGTGGCCGATTTATTGGTGGGTGGAGGGCCATGCTCGTTGGTCGCCGTTGGGTTGGGGGAGGAGAGTTCAGGATTGGTATGAAAGGCTCGCTCACTAAACGACTGTGAAGGGGAGTTCCGATTCCATGCGTGAACTGGTGTTCGTAAGCTTCGTCAAAGTAGTCGGCAACTTCGTCGTCGTCGTCGTCGTCGTCGTCTTCGTCCGCGGTAACAGACCGGAGAAACGCGCTGGAAGCTGCGGTATCTATGCGCAGGGGGTTTGCGGGATGCCGTCCGCGTGAGTATCTGAGGAAGCGCGAGGTAGGTAAGCGATGATAGGTCTTCCAGGTCTTGGGGAAGCGGGACAGCATGTATGGGCCATGATACGATCCGCAATCCCCCACCCCTCGTTCAACCGTTCTTTGTTTCACGGCAGCAGGCCGGTTGGCTGAAAGACAAAGCTCGATTGAGGATCGATAGGGGGGAGGGGGAACCACGTTGGGTGAGGGGGCAGGGGAGTATAGGAATAGGTGTGGGTTGGTGGGTTGGTGGGTGGAACAGGGTCAACATCATGTTGGCGCATACCTATTGGGATTCCTTGGCACCGATATGAAGGAGTTATCTCCATCCACATGGAAAGGGGACTGAGGCGAGTTGTTGGCAGGAGGAAGAATGGGAGAGGAAGGTTTATGATCCTCGATTGAAAGGGGAGAGGACGGGTGGGCAGGATTGGCAGTCGCTAGGTTGGCATGCTGCGACGGGACGGGTTTGCGGCGCAATTGGACGTGGTGCCCGGACACCGGGGAGGAGTGCTGCTCTAGAACCTGCGACGAAGAGGAACGTGGCGGGGAGGAATAATAGTTGTAGTCCAACAAACTGGAGCCCAGTGTCGAGGTTGAACCAGTCGGGCTGTCTGGGGGGGATTGGGGAGGAACAGTCGAGGCCGCGACAGGGCCAGCAACGACCTCAGGAGCGGGCGAGCCGCCAGGAACAGCAGGAGACGCCATGAAACCACCCTGGTCAGAGGGATATCAAAAAATAGCCATCGATCGACAGCCGCTCATACCGATTCACACGGCTTGGGGGGTGGCTCAATGGGGAAAGCGATCCAAAGCGGGAGTTAGTGGAATCTCGAGTTTGGCGTATCGCGTATAGTGTTGGTATAGTGTATCAGGATATTCAGGATTATCGGGATAATCGACATGGAGCAAAGAGAGAAAGAGAGGGAAAAAAAGGGGAGAAGGTTTCAATGAGTTTAGTGCTGGGGCGATTGGCGCAGAATCTCGCCCGTGGGCCTCCACGACGGGCTGGGCGTTGGTATGGTTGGTGTGGTTGGTGTGGTTGGCTTTGGACCGTAGCGCCAGCGTCAGCGTGGGAAGTGGAGTTCGCGCTGGGCCAGGGGGAACCCAAAGGCAAAAAAAAAAAAGAGGGGGCCACTGGGTCCATCGATGCATTCGATTGGCACTGCATACAATTGTCGCGCTGATGGCGGCCTGCCAAGGAGCGCTCTGGCCGGCGGTGATCGACAGTGCTTAGGGGGAGAGGAACGTGAAGGTTCGAGGAGTTCAAGGAGCTGAGGGTATTCCCGTGATGTTGACGGCCGCTTACTCAACACTCTACCAACCTCCTACTACGCCCATCTGCAGTTCTACCACTCATCTCAACATTAATCCAGGGGGTTGACCAGAACACAACCCTTTTCCTGATTCTCCATTTCCTATTGAAGTGTTCCAAAATAGAAACTGAATTTCAATAGTCCCACCCAAACATCGACCACCCCTTGAGTCGTGGATCTGGAGAGGTTGGGTCCGACCTGCACTAGTCATTGGCAGAGAGGGGGGCTCGAGTTCAGGGGTAGCAGGAAGTTGCAGCCGAGTACCGACCAGGTACTAGGCCCGGCAACCAAGGGGGGCGGATCCCTCAGACACCCTGACATCGGTACTTCCGCGCTACTTCTTGGCGACTCCTCCCCCAGGTCCAATGTTCCTGCTGGCCACGCAAGGCCGGTTGGGTCAGTGCCAAACCCGCACAACAGTGCTCGATGCGCATTACCCAATATATGGAATTTTATCCTCTGATCATTATCATTCCAGATTACGATAAACCGGAAATCAGACTCCGCCTGCATTGTCTGGTTTCTGGTCGTTTCTGCTCAGATGATTTTCTTCACAGGGGCAATACTCAAGTGCATCAACGTCATGGGGACTGCACAGTATGTCCGACATATTCTACGGAGTCTAGTTTCTAGGATTATGACTGGATGGCTGGAAACAGCACAGTGCAATGGCAGGGGGACCTGTTGTTCAGTTCGAAGTTCGACACCTCTTCTGTGTACGGATAAACAGCATAGCATGATTGATTGTGAAGCAAACACCCCCCATACTCTCTATACTCGGTATAAAATATCATTTCGGAGCACGGATGACCCAATATGACCTCTTTCTTATGGTGTATATCTCATGAGCTTTGTGTATGCTCATGAACTCAGTATTTTAAGTCTCCCATTATTCAGAACCTGGAAAACACCCTGAATCATCCGACGGCAACGCCACGCCATCCCAACTGCGGACCGGCATCCTTCTGGCCGTGGTCCTCCACTTCGATAGATTAAGGGGGTTCTCCGTCGCAACCACCCTCTGTCCAGCTTCAAGTCGTCGTGGACTCCGATCGCATCTCACATCTCGACCCGTCCGTGGATCTCCACCGCTGGCCGAAGTGGAGTCCGATCCTTGCCCCCTTTTTTTCTGTTCCTCTGGACTTTGCCTCTTCGGCCCGTGCATAATTCTGGCCCGTTTGGTTAACTCGTCTCCTGCGCGAACTCCTGTTTCGAGTCTAGTGACCCCTTATCATCATGGCTAGGCGCCGAGACCTGCGAAACGTGCTCGTTCGCCCGTTCCTGCAGGTTACCCGTAGCGCAGGAGCGAGTGATGCCGTGTTGACCACATCCAATCATCAGGTCGTTTCCTGGACTCGCCGGCACTCGGGCCAGCGCGCGGCCGCCGGGTACTTTCTGTAATGGGCATGGCGGCCATCAGCGCCCAATTTCCTGCATGATCCTGTCACATCCACCCTCAACGGGCCAATCTATGGCCGCTGCGAGGCACTTAGAAGTGCGCGTTGCGCTCGGAACTCTCAGGGCGCGACGCGGGGGCAGCTGTGTTTGAGTAAAAGTCCAGGAAGATTCCTATTTTGCCTCACCCGCCCATCATCCCACCCCGGATCGGGGAAATCTCGCTTTCCAATGGTAATCCTTGTCGGAAAGAGTTCAGCCCCTTCCCGTCCCCTTGATCAATCTGCGTATCAGAGAGGTGTTTAGGGCAGATGCGACCCAGGGATGGTTCATGGTTCCTTTCGCGGGTCGGGTTAGATCCAGATTTCAGTCTTCAAGACCTTGGGTTTCCAAAGTCTGACGACAGGACCCAAGTTTAAGACATGGGGTACATCGGAATAGCCGCCGTGTCTGGGAACTAGGACCGGGTGAAACATGCAACAAGCATACTGTACTGACCGTCTCTTCGGGGTGTATACATACATGCAGAGATCCGAAGACTCCTAGCTCCACTCGACCCTCCTACATTGACTCAAGCCATGAGTCTGGACCTGTCTACCCGCCATTTGTTTGGTTTTCAGGTTTTTTTCCCTTCTTTCCTTCTTTTTCTACCGATCCACTGTTTTTTTGCCTTCTCGTTGACCGGACTTGATCCGTGTGAGCTCCACTCTCCCCTGCCACTTTCAAGCCGAAAAAGAACATCCGAAACTGTGTGGTACCGTCCCACCTCTAAGGGTAGTATATCCCAGGACGCTGTCGCGACGTTTGAGGAATAAATAGCTTGCCAGCCTACAGTGGCGTATACTATTGTTACACCATGTACGCAGTGGACGCCCGCTATTGATCTCGCATAGGGCTGCTCTATATCTCAGGGTCCACTTGTGATATCTATATATATTGGCTGTGTAGCCGCTGGGCGTGAATTGGAACATAAAAAATACATAGATTAAAAACGACTTGGCAAGGATCCTAAATAAATTGCTTTATGTGCATGGAAGAGCTTGCACCGGATTTCGGGCTCGTAATTATTGATTCGAGTGAACCCATGTTTGCTTTCCTACGCAATTTATTTACGTGTCGCTCGCCATGCTCCTCACCATGCTCCTCGCCTTGAGAGAAGAAATTAAGAAAATTAAGACCCATTCAAAGTGAAGCTTTATATGAAACCTAAACAATACATACTCTAACATATACTAGTATCAATTTATATATTCTTATTATTTTCCTGTTGTTACATTCTGCCTGTGCCTTCTCTTCGTCCATGTCCCTTTATTACTTTTGGACAAGGCCAAAAAAAGAAAACGTAAAACAGCAAAAGGTACGCCTCAATTTGAACAACTAGTGATTTTGCCTCTAACGAGAGTTAATTCTAATATTCAGTCATAGTCAGTAATTGACATATCAATGTCACATACCGTGCGTTCTGTGAATATATAACATTGCGAGAAACCATTTCCCCTCTCCCCAACCCTATGCTATTTTGGGAACCAACCTACTTTTTCCATATGGGAAAAGTTTTCTTTTATTTGTCAAGGAGTCTCTCAGTTGAAAAATATAGTATCAAGGGTCATCATGGGATGAGGACAGGGAGAGGAGCCAAAAATAGGGGGAAGAGCAAGCATTGCGATAATTGGATCAATATCTCAATGAGATATACTGATAGTAATATGGCCTCACGTTTTTGGGGATATGGATTTCAAAGATGTATTGAAGTAGGGATTTGAATTGATAGTTGATGGACTGTCAAGTGGCATGTTTATGGCGTAATTGGCGATACGATGAAGACTTATAATGGGAAAACAGTTTGTGCACGTTCTCTCTCTTTCCTCAAAAATATATATATCTTGTTTTTGTCTCACACTCAAGAATATATATCCCGGTGTTACATTCTGAGCCATTCGGGATGCCACTGATATCTTCCGGAATCAGATCCTCGAAGTTTAATTTTAACTAGATACAGGACTCCAATTCGTTAGTTCTTAATGAGGCGGGTGAAGAGAAATAGTGTTTCGTTTTTTTCAACTGCCGACAGGATGCGAATGATCGCGAGAGCTTTTTGGTGAAAGTAAGAGACGCTTTAATTTCATCAACTACCACAATCAACACTCATTCAATTTTCCCAAACTTCTATTCTCTCACCGCGTTACATACTCAACAAAAAACCGGATGCGCGTTTCTCACCTCGGCTCCAATCAAGATGTCGTTCCAGGCTCCAATTTCGAAGGTTACAACCAACGTTTCAGGACTGGGCGTCCTGGAAGGGTTTCACTATGCGAACGGCGTAGAACAATTCTGTGGCATCCCATACGCGACGTTGGCCCAACGCTGGACCCGATCTGTTCTAAAGAGTTCATGGGACGATAATTATCATGACGGGACTCTACTCGGGTTGGTCATTGCATCCAAAGGGAATTCGAATGACTCTATGTGCTGACCATTTTTTACATATATATTTTGGCAGTAACAACATGCCCCGGCCTCAAGTTCCAGGACAGGATGTTCCAAACATTTTTATTCCTGTTCCTCAAAACCCTTACTTTCCCAATAAGCCAAAGGCCGATGAGAAGACTGCACTGGTGATGAACATTGTTGTGCCAATACATCCCGGCCTATCTACTGAAAAGTTACCTGTCCTTGCATGGATTCATGGAGGCTCCCTCTTGTTTGGCAGCGCAAACTATGGTATCTACGATGCAGTAAATTTGGTCTCACACTCACTCAATATTGAGCAGCCGGTTATCGTGGTCAACTTCAACTACCGTCTTGGGCTTGGTGGGTTCCTCGCCAGCAACAAAATTGGTAGAGAATTGAAGAGAAATGGCTTTCAAGGCAATGGTAACTTTGGCTTCACTGATCAGAAGGTCGCGATGGACTGGATTCAGAAATACATCTTACAATTCGGAGGGGATCCGAATAATGTCACTGTATTTGGCCAATCGGCTGGTGCTATCTCAATCGGTCACCATATGTCAGCCGCCGATCCTATGAAGTTCCAACGCGCAATCTGTATGTCCGGGTTGGGAAGTACTCTTGCTCCGCTCAATTTGGAGCAGCATGAGAAAATCTTCGAGGCAACTTGCAGGTACTTCTCCATTGATCCATATGATCACAACGCCTTGGATCTGTTGAGGAAGGTCCCGGAGCAGGATATGGCGAATGCCGACCCCATTATCCAAGATGTCGCATCTGGAACCGGCAACCCATGTGATGATGGCTGGTTCTACGCATCTGAGCCGCAACTACAAGCCAAGTCAGAGCTACCAAATTGGCTGGAGTCACTGCTCATAGGCGACGTACATGATGAAGGGGTTATCTTTATCTTGAATCTTGAGAACAGTACATACGAGACGATCCGAGAGACTCTCCTGCGCCATGTGAACCAAGTATTCGTTGACAACGTCCTCAAGGAGTATAATATCACTCCAGGCATCTCAAAAACAGAGCTCATAGCACGAGTGTCCAATATGGGTGCAGATGCTGTGTTCAGGATCCCAAATTGGGAGACCGCGAATGCTAACAAGCGACTCCTGGAGAAGAATGCATTGTTCAAGTATCATTTCGACCAACGCTCTCGTTTCGAAAACATCTTGAAAGACAAAGCTTATCACGGCTTGGATGTTCTCTATCTCTTCGGCAACCTCAAGAACAAGCTCTATATTCAAGAACGTGAAATGGGTCAAGACATGGCCACGGACTGGATTAAGTTTGCATGGGGCCAGGAGCCATGGGAGGTTAGACCTTGGAAGATTTGGGGTCCCGATTCATTGGAGAGACTCGAAACGGAAGAACAAGACGAGTCTGTTCGTTTCTATTCGCGGTTTAAGCGTCTTCTGGAATGGAGCTCTGGAGGAATTTGGGAAAAGTATATCGACGGGCTGGGCGAGGTTTTAATGAAGCGAGGGGCTGTGAAGAGTCTAAGGTACAAAGATCTAGAATAGATTATGATGATGGAGCAGGGTTTGGGAAATTTTCCAGCAAAATTTCGACTTGCGCAAGTAATTAATCCAGGTTTATTCGCACGACGCAGTTTCTGACAATCAACATGTTATTATCCCAATAGCTTCAGAGAACAAAGATACAAAGAAAAAGCCCGAGAAGCAAGCGTAGAGAAAAGAATTTCACTTGGGAGATCAAGAAATCGAAGGAAGGCAATTTAAAAACAGAAAATTCCAATGTCAACGTGCCCCGACAAGCCTTGGTCGAGCAAAAATATAGCCTCCTGCCATCGCAAGCACACTAGCGGCGGCCCCAAATAGAAGCGAAGTGTTGCTGAGATAAAGCTCCTCATGAACCCGACCGATATAAGTAGAGTTTTTATTGAGAATCGTATCCTGCCCGGATCCTTCAATAACATAGTCTTCCCATTTGACCTTGGATAGCTCTCGTTGATAATCGAAAACAGTTCCAGACCAATTATTAGTGATAATTCCATCGGCTCTCTTATACCAGCTATTACATTTAGGATCAGCAAAGCTGCTATTCCGTAAGAGAGCTTGGATTCTTTCATTATACTCCTCGACCACATTTGGCGCTGGCTTTAAGGAAAGTGTCTTTCCCATCCGTCGAGCGTGGATGATTTTGCCGACCAAGGCATTCAAATATCGAGATTGAGCTTCAATCATAAGGATGATAGAATTATGTCCTGCTTATTTATTAGTGAAATGATAACAGAGCCAGGGAAAAAGAGGCTCACCGAGGTTGGTATTCGGTCCATAAAACATTCCAAAGTTGGGTAAATCTTCCACCGTGACACCATAATAGGCTCTCGCTCCATTTTTCCAGATCTCTGCTAGTGGGCGGCCTCCTGATCCATACACTTGAATCGGGTACATGAAATCGACGGTTCTAAAGCCAGTGGCCAGCACAATCAGGTCGTACTCCTGTTCACCGGCTCCCTCAACCTCAATACCTTTCTCCGTTATGCGTGTGATGGGGCGCGTCTCAAGATCAACATTTTCACGCGCAATGGCAGGATAGTAGTCATCGGATAGAATCAAACGTTTGCAGCCTGGTGAATACTTAGGCGTCAGTGCCTCCCAGAGTTCAGGCTTGTTGGGCAATTGGCTTTTGAGCATTCCCTCGCACCAGTCCCGAACCATCTGAGCGTAATCCGAGTCACTGTCAAAGACGGCGCTGTGAAATGCCTCGCGGTATTCCATTTGTAAGGCACGTTTACGCCACCTCAAAGGTGGAACATAGGTCAATAGAGCGCGTTGTAGAGACGAGACCGGTTTATCAAGACGGGGAATTAACCAGTTCGGAGTTCTTTGAAACACAGTCAGATGAGAAGCTATGGGTGCGATGTCGGGGATTATCTGAGCCGCCGTTGCCCCTTTCACGATATTCAGCCTCAATAAGTTTTGAGAATTTGCAGGATTACAAAACATACCATTCCCAATGACTGCAATTTTTTTATTGGCAAGGTCATAGCTCCAGTCCCATCGTGCCGAGTGCATCAACTTTCCGTTGAAGTCATCTAATCCAGGGATATTTGGTGTTTGGGGTGCGTTGAGCTGGCCGACAGCCGAGATGAGGAACTCGGAAGTGATCAGGTAGGAGTTCGAGAACTCGCTATCTTTCTGACCGGTTACTTTGACTGTGGTGTTCCACTTTGACTGGCTGTCATCCCAACGAGCTTCTTCAACGGTAGAGTTGAACCGGATGTGCTTGTAAAGCCCGTGCTTTTCGGCGATGTCAACGAGGTATGCCTATTATCATTGGAAGAGTTATCAGCCTCCCAGTCTACGAATGGTATCATCCTATAGCCATCCCGATCGGACTCACGTATATTTCCTCTTGACCCGGATACTCTCTTGACCAGTTGGATTTCTGCTCAAAAGAATAGCTGTACAGAGCGCTCCAAACTAGTCAAGAATCTTTGATTAGTGATGATACCTGCGTTTAACCTCAACTCGGCCATACCATCGCAGCAACACCCAGGATATTTGTTATCGTTCCATGTGCCACCTATGTTACTGCTCTTCTCTAATATAACGAAGTTGCGACACTTGTTTCGTTTGATGAGGTCTATAGCCATATTCATGCCTTTTTCAAAGTTAGATCATGTATCTCAACTGCTTCTCTTGAGTCAACAATCTGCATACCGGAGATACCGGCTCCAATGATGACCACCGTTGCATTAGTGAAGTCTTTGTTTCCCACCGGAAGACGTGAGCTATATGGTGTAGTCATGATGACAGAGGGTCTAGGACTGGTCGTGTTGTGAATGATGATTGCTAGAAAAGAGACATTGAAAAATGAAGACAAAACTATAGTAAAATCACATCTTTCATTCGGCAAATGTAGGTTTTATCCACTAGTGTTACCGAGGCCCCTCATTTTTGAGACAGCTTTTGTTTGCTGATTGTCACTTGTCCCCGGTAACTCTCACTAGTTCTGCAAACACAGCCTAAAGTTACGCATGCAGCCATGTTTGCCATCCCAAAACCCCAGTAGATTCATTCGATAGGCTACCTAGCCGTATTATATTATTGTTGAACAATTTGATAATCATACTATGATAGAAAAAGTCACCTCATGGGAGTTGTGGACACGATAGTCGAGCGCCACCCTTGGTGCTCGGCAACATGAAAGAGATGCGGGGAATGTAGCAAAGCCGCCGAGGTCTGCAGAAGTATATGACAGGTGAACCGTTCTCCGCCACAGACTTTTACTGCAGCTAAAAATTACTAGTACAATCATGGCAACTCGATTCCTTCCCTTTCCGCAGTCTGCAGAATGTACTGCTTGACCTATAAAATTATGGAGTTTCAAGTTAGCCCCGCATAAAATTTCCCTGATCAACATCCGGCCCAAAGGAGCTGCATGGGAACGTACCTTGGCATCCGGAACCAAATCGATAGCCAGCCTGCCGTCTGCATCTCGTTTTTCCGCTTCTGCTCCAGATTTGAGCAATAGGATTGCAGCATCGCCATGTCCTTCGGAGATGGCATGATGCAACGCGGTGAGCCCATCATTATCAGTGGCATTCACAGGACTCTTTCCCTCCTCGAGAAGGATTTTCAGGATAGGAACAGAGCCGACCGCCGCTGCTCGGTGGAGTGGCAGCTGGCCACGAACATCTTTGACCCGGGCGCTACATTTATGAGCGACGAGCGTTCGAACAGTGGAAATATTAGACTTTGAGCTGGCAAAGTGCAATGCGTTCTAGGCAAGGATTAGTTTATTTTAAAACTTATGTTAGTATCCATGCTGCTACTACTTGCCTGGCCCGAATTACTTTTGCCATTGACATCTGCGCCTTTGCGAAGAAGCAGGTCGATGATCGGATCGCCCCCGGCATCCTTGAGACTGGCAGCAATCATGAGCGGAGTCCAAGCAGATCCATCCTAGTTGGACTTGTCAATCATTCCGTACTCAAAGATCGACTGTAAAAGACTTATTACCTCAACATCTGGGTCGAAATTCTTGCTGGCCACCAGGAGCTCCACAATAGGTAGCCGGTTGTAGGCCACAGCCCAATGGATGGGGAGCCGTTCATCATCATCTTTAACAAAAGCAGACTTTGGATTGGCCTATTTGCGTAATCAGAAGCTGGGCTGAGTGTATCACACACTGTACTGGAGAAGCGCCATCCGTGAGCTGCAAATGGTGGGTTCTGCGGGGCAGGTGGAAGCTCTACAGGCTGATGATCACTCACGTTGAGAAGCGACTCCGCAATTTCAGCTATCACCAAACAATCAGACTCAAAATATTCAAAGGTACCGAAAATAAAAACTCACTCTTGCCCTCACGGGCAGCCTCATGCAGAGGAAATTTGGCGCTCTGTTCTGGATTCATGACGATGGTAGAGTAGAAGATAAAAGATAAGAGCTGCGATAAGTCAGTCGATCGACACCTGAAGTTTGGGGCCTCAGGCATCAATAACGCCAACTTCGGCCCATCAGAAGATCCGCTCCCTCATCCAGTTCCACCTCAACAATTGACAACACCGCGCCCTTGGTACTAGGTCTGACCACCATTTGTCCTTGAGATAAGTGTAAATTATTATACGACACATCCGAAACTAGTACCTGACCCGGGGTTTTTGCCGCGCGCCTGACCCATCGAGGCTCCGACGCTTCTGCGAGCGGACTTCGTTGAAACTTTCTAGCGCCTCTTTCACGCAACGACACCCTCTCTCCATTCCTCAATCTCATAATCAAAATGGATATTATTCCATCTCAAACGGCTGATGAGGCTGTTCGGACATCCGCGAAGCGCACAGCTGACCTCTTCGGGGCGGAATACCTGATGGTCACCCCCTCGACCTCGACAGACGGCTCTATCGGCGTGTCCTACCGACGGAAAGTTGAATACCAAGATGTGCAAGAATTGCCTCGAGCTCTTGCTGAGAAACAAGCGAAGGCGGCGGCGGGACGCTCCAAAAGGCCCAAAATTCAACCACTTGCTTCTGGTGACGGAAGCGGCGCGTCGATGTCGCTGGTGAAGAGGCCTGCGGCAGGCGCAGGCTCAACTGGCGGAGATGAACAACCTAAGAGTTTGATCCAGAGACCTTCAGCGACCATGCAACAACCACCAGACTGGCACGCACCATGGAAGTTGATGCGTGTAATTTCCGGCCACCTGGGTTGGGTGCGGGCTTTGGCTGTTGAGCCGAATAATGAGTGGTTTGCTAGTGGCGCAGGCGATCGCACAATCAAAATTTGGAATATGGCGACGGGTGCTTTGCGACTTACTCTCACCGGTCATATCTCGACTGTTCGGGGCCTGGCGGTATCTCCGAGACACCCGTACCTATTCTCGTGCGGCGAAGACAAAATGGTGAAGTGCTGGGATCTGGAGACCAATAAGGTTATTCGACACTATCACGGTCATTTGAGTGGTGTATATACGCTGGCACTGCACCCGCGTCTTGATCTACTGGTTACTGGTGGTCGTGATGGTGTTTGCCGAGTTTGGGATATGCGCACACGAAGCAATGTCCATGTCCTGGCGGGCCACAAGGGGACCGTTGCCGATATCAAATGCCAAGAAGCCGACCCGCAGGTGATCTCCGGCTCTCTCGATGCCACGGTGCGGTTGTGGGATCTGGCGGCCGGCAAATCCATGGGTGTGCTGACACACCATAAGAAGGGTGTTCGTGCTCTGGCAACTCACCCAAGCGAGTTCACCTTTGCCAGTGCAAGCACTGGTAGCATCAAGCAATGGAAGTGTCCCGAAGGTGCTTTTATGCAGAACTTTGAGGGCCAGAATGCAGTGATCAACTCTCTTGCTGTCAACGATGAGAATGTCATGTTCTCTGGCGGCGACAACGGCTCCATGTCATTCTGGGACTGGAAGACCGGTTACCAGTTCCAGTCCATCGATACCATGGCTCAACCCGGTTCCCTTGAAGCCGAGGCCGGCATTATGGCTTCGACATTTGACCGCACTGGTCTTCGTCTCATCACCGGTGAAGCTGATAAGACCATCAAGATCTGGAAAGAGGACGAGCAGGCTACCCCAGAGACTCACCCCGTCACCTGGGCTCCTGTCCTGGGTCGGCAGCGGTACTAGGGTGGGCTGTGGTTACCCACCTCATGTGTACTAATACCCTTATTTTCCTCGCTCCTGGTTTTTCTGTTTTCTTTACGGCACTGTGCGGAGTTCAGCGTGATTTTGTGTCATTATCATGAGATATATCTCAATGGCACCGGGCTTTACATATCTGGAAAAGAGGATTTATGTGTTTGGAAAAGAATCATGTCGTTCTGTACCACCAGTATTATACAATACGAATCTCCTATGGAGTATATCTACCCTTGAATGTTTTGAACTAGTAATATTAAGGAACGGGTGAAAAATATACGCAGGGATGTGTCGATCACCAGAAGGGTATCATATGCCATATGGTAGCTAATTGTTGTACAAATACAAAGACTCAAAAACACCAAGAATGCAATTACGGCCCAGAACGCTCAGGGCTCACTGGTCAAGACCCAGCCCAAAGCCCCTGGCTTCCACATCCTCCCGGAATGCAAGCTTGACATCCTCAGCCGCGACACGAAGTCGAATTTTGCTGCTCCGATCCCCGCGAGTCGGAATCGTGAAACCACCCAGAAGGCTCTTTGATCCTGTGCCTTGCTCCAACGCCACAATACCGGAGTTCATGAGCTCCATAGCTGCAGATCCCAAGCTTCGTACTCTGGCATTGGCACCCCCACCGAGCAGAAAATCCTTCACACTTGTGCCAGCGATACCCGCGACGGCAACGGCAGCATCAGCGATACGACGTGCTTCATCTAAAACATCGCCAAATGTAGACTCAGTTATGCCGGTGCGCTGCACACGTGCTAATAGCGCGGCTAGGAACAGCTTTCCGGAGAGCGGTAGACAGCGCAAAGATTGCTGGAGGGGAGTGGACGTCGCTTCCTGGATGGCTTGTTTGATAGTTGCAATAGTGACACGGCCGGGCTGGCCCTTGGTTGGAGCGGGCCTGGCGGCAGGTGCTTCACCTATACTGCCTTTAGAGAGTGCGTTGGCCTGGCGCCCGGGGGTCTTGCTTGGAGTGGGAGGTAGAGGTTCGGCTTCATCATTCAAAATAGATGAAGCGTTAGCATCCTCGTCGGCTTCTTGTTCCGCAATCTCCACAGCACGTCGACATATATCCAGTGCTCGTCGCGCATCACCGCTGACAGCCGCGACTTTTCGACTTGCGAATTGAATGGCATCTGGGTCGACAATGTTTCCAGGAACGTTTGCCAGGCGCGTGCTGATGATCTCCATTAGATCGGTATGACGATATCCGGGAAATGTGATACGGGTGAGTCCCAGGCGACTGGAGATCTTGTTGCTCAGTGTTCGCTCAGGAAGGTCCATAGTATTAGCTACGGCCAAAACAATGAGACGCGAGTGACGAAGAGCAGGCCAATTGAAGAAATTGTACATGACTGACTGATTCTTCGTAACCAGTTGATCCAATTCATCCATGAGCACAACACAAGAAACCTGACGAGGGGAGGGGTGGGAGAATTCGTTTTCAAGCAGGTCAAGAGCATGAGAAGGGGATACTCTGTCACCCTTCAAGGCTTCCCAGAGCAGCGAGTAGGATTGGTGCGGATCCGTGACTTTCATGCCATTAATTTCCACGAAGATGAAGTCATTCATCTCTTCCGCAAGAACGGCAGCGTTGAGTTGTGCGACCACCTCTCGGACCGTTGCAGTTTTGCCAGTTCCTGGCGTCCCGGAGATATAAATACAGGCGCCCGTACCTTCCAGAATGGCCGCGCTCAGGTGATTATAAACTGTATCGAATTCATTCTTCCGACAGGGCAGAGACTCCGGGACAGCTGATACGTGCAGCAAGGTACGCGCTTGTCGGTATGGCGAGGCGAAATGAGACGGAGAGAGAACGCGGGTGCCGAGTGGTGTAAATTCAAGGGGCTTTTTGACAACGATTCTGAGAAGTGTGTTAGCTCATGGCTAAAAGAAAGGCAACGCAAGATACATGGCATACCGCTTATGTGAAGGTGTTGTCAATGGCTTCTTGCGCTGTGACTTGGGAGTGGTGTTGGTAGCAGCCATCCTCTGCCGTTTCCTGGGAGTTGACGGTGCTGCAGTCTCGTTCTTTGCTTCAACGTACTGTTCAGGATAAAATCAGGTCAGATAATCGAAGGTTATGTTTCTCCTGTCTACAGCGTACTCACGTCGGTGTCCACGGCCTTGCGCTTCCTGGCCGTTTTCAAGCCTTCCTTGACCAGACTGATGAGCTGATGGATATTATTCTCGTCGTAGACCTTCTCCCACACGAACTCATCGGTATAACGACCCTGTAATTGGCTCACGCCTCGGCGACAAACAATGCATTTATTGTAGTCGGCGAGTTGCGTTTTATCCTTCGGTGGAGTGCCGTTCGGATACTTGGCGTAAAAGGCATCCTTAGACATGACTGTGGCCTTTCCACTGATGGACGTCAGGGGATTTGTGTTGAAGTCCGCAGTTAGGTACTGTTCATTGGGCAACGCATCTTTTCTTCTCTTATTTCTCGTGGAGATGAACTCGTCCGGCGACGCAAACCACATGATGTGCGCTGACTTGACGATGCCTCCCTCTTCCTCATCGTCTTCCTCCTCCAGAAACTCGGTGATTATGCCAACCCAGTCCTTGCCTGGCTCCGGAGACTTCAAAAGCACCACCTGGCCGACTCTGCACTCGAATGTACCCATTTTTGCGCCGACAATGGCCGGTCTCTTCCTTGCAGGGCGCGAAGAACGCCGGCGAGAGGACTTTTTCTCGGGGCTCTCATTCTTCACCTTTTCTTCCTCCGCTGGGTCTGTTTCTGCAGCAAGGATCCAATCCCAGGGGAGGTCTTCGTCGCCCAGTTCGTCATCCGAGTCCTCACGGACGAGAGCCCCCTTGGTCGTCCATTTCTGGGCTCGCTGCCGCACATTGGGACGTTTCTCGGGTTCGGAGTCACTTGAATGATCAGCATGAGGGACCATGACGGGTGATGGCACAGGCAATGCCAAGTTGGCGTCGATTGGGGCAACCCAGGGAGTGGAAAGATGAAATCGCGTTGCTTCTCACGCGTTGTCCACTTTACTCCTGTTTGGGCTTAGCGCGGCTATCACCGCTCCGCCAATCACATCTTCCGCGTCCGAGTATTGCCCGAAAAGTTTCAAAACAATCAGCAGGTTAGCGCTCGTTCCTTGATTCTAATTTCGTTTACCCTATCGTCCTTCTCTATGGCAATATCATCGCCAATTACAGATAATCTGCTCATCGCCACACTCAAATCTGCTTCTGTCTGCCGTCAGCGACCTAGTGCGCTTTATCCGACCAAGGGAAAGCTATGTACGATCCTATTCAAATAGAGACAGGTCCCTGTCACAAGCGTAAACCGCATATACGTTTCTGAAGTTCTTCATCCTTCGAAAGCACCACCATGGATATCTTACACTCTGACAGTATTCTCTACCGGCATAAAATTCCAATTTGAAAAATCCACTATCACTATCATTAGGGCCTACAACGCCCTTCATTCTCTAGAATTGCCAATTTATGATTGGCATAGTCTGTTGACGTTTGATATAGGTGTTCAGTCTCTCCGTTATTGCACGCATGATAGTTGAACATGGGATTCAACGGGTAGTTATTGGGAAAGAAGGAAATTGAGGATGTTATAGGTGTATTTATATCGAAAGGATGATTATGGTCTTGCGAGTGTTCACGGGTATGTTGCCAGATTGCCCTGACGCTCTTTTCTGGGGTTAGTTTGATATCAAGGCTAAGTGCCTTTGTTTTGATTTGTAGCAAGCAAAATACTGCATTTTGAGATATGCCATAGCCCAATTTTCTGTCTACTAATTTCTCAGGTACTCTCAAAAGAGTGGCGTATACGGATGTCTTTATTGGACCACTTCGTCGGGGACATATGATATTCTGACCAAAATTGGACCTTTGACAGGCGTTAACAATGTACATCTTTCTCGTTAATTTTTTTTTCGTAGTATCACATCCAAGGAATGCGCAGAAAATTGACATCAACTAGTACCGCCAGAAATCCCAGATTTGAAATTACCGGTCAGCTCTTGACTCAACCATGCCTTACCGTTATGATCGTGATAGGCATTGCAAGGTACAAGATGTTTAAAATGAGGGCTGTTACTAAGTTCCGTTGTGTGGGCAAAGCTAAACCAGTGGGCTTGTCCAGCAGTATGTCGGCAAATGAAAGCATCCCTTCCGATTGATTGTCGGTCTATGTTGTTCTACCTTGAACGATATTATTTGGTGGTATTAGTTTACAAATGACATATGAAACGTCGAACTCCATCTGCCGTAGTTAACCTGTGGTTTAATGCCCCAGAGCGTGATAGTATCTCAATGAGTTAAACAGGTTAACCGACGGCTTTGACTCCAATAACTAGTCGAATGATATCCAGCAATAGACAGCAATGAGAGAAATATACGAGACCCCTTGCGTTAATAACTAAAGCTAATCAATAGAGAGCTTCAAGATCATGGCGATACTGTACTATTTCGCAGCAATTGACTGATCCATATTTTCGACCAATTTCGCGGTATTCCTTGACTACCTCCGGGCCGAAAGAGTGGATGCCGTCGAGGTTGCAATCGGCTAAACGGATAACACGCTGCCGATCTCGGGTCGGGTTCGTAACGAGGTCCGCCTCTATTCGCTCTATTACGAGAACAATGACGTCTAAAGGCGGGATACCGCGGGGACAAAGAACGGAGAACAGAATCAAGTAATTGGTGGCACTTTTCAGGCACCTTCTCTACCGATTGGCAGCTCTTCAAGTGTTCACTTCTATCATTGCTCCATGTGAGAAAGATAGTATCAGCATCTCCCGGAAACACAACAAAAATTCCAATATAACGATTGGGGATAATAATGGTCATGAATGCAATTACCACAAATAATGCCCAAGGAGAGAGTGGTATTGGGAAAGTTTGCTAAGCCTTTTGCCATCAAAAACCCTGGCTACGGCAGTGGGGTATAACTCCACATACAATTTGAATCTCGGAGAGTTCCCGACCCAACCACCCCGCCTTATTCGGCTCGGCATTCGAAATCTTTGATCCCCATAAATATTTCGTCTTGAATAACATTCTCCATATAGACAGCCAGTCTCCCCGTGTCGTCGGCTATTGCTTGACCCATGCAGAATAGGGAACATGACGTAGCAAGAACGCTCCACCCATATGTGTGGGACATGCGTGGAGATTCTCATTAAAAAAAATGACTCATACCCTCGAGTATATATAGGGCGATATCGAAAAATGTCTGTTATTATACCAAGGCCACAGTTTCTCATCTTTTAGCAAAGCGACATCATGAAGTGGTGGCTTCTTGCATTTTGGGTGACCTTTGTGAAAGCCTGGGTTGTCAACGAGGGTACAACATGTGTTTTATACCCAGAGGCTCTTGTCCATAATGGACAGGCTGTTGATGATTCGCCATCTATTCAGCAGGCATTTGAGATGTGTGGAACTAATGGGACGGTGATTTTCTCGAAGAACTTGTTTCATGTTAACACCGTCCTCAATACCACCAATCTAGAGAACTGCGATGTTCACTTGCGCGGCGAGCTTCGCTTCTCTACCAATATCCCCTACTGGAGAACTCATGCCATTAGTGTTGTTCTGCAGGATCAAGTCACTGCTTGGCTCTTCGGTGGTACAAACGTCAGCTTTTTCGGCGAAGGTGGCTTCTATAATGGACAGGGGCAGGCTTGGTATGATGCGAACAAAAACCAATCTAACCAGCCTGGCCGTCCTATGAGTATTACTTTCTACAACTCGACCAACCTCCTCGTTGATAGACTGAGAATCATTCAGCCGCAATTCTGGGCCACATTTGTCTGGGATAGCAAGAATGTATCGGTCACCAACTTGTTCGTCAATGCCACAAGCAACAGCAAATGGGGTACAATGAATACCGATGGATATGATTCGTGGAAGAGCGACCAGCTTCTTGTGGAAAATGCTACTATCATCAATGGCGACGATTGCATTGCTGCAAAAGGCAACACTACCAATCTATACGCCAAGAACATTTACTGCGAAGGCGGCACAGGGATTACGATTGGATCTATCGGTCAATACCCGAAGACGCCTGACTACAACCTCAACACCACCTTCGAAAATGTGAAGATTAAAAATTCGATGGACGGTGCTTATATTAAGACATGGCAAGGAACGCGGATCTACACACCGAGTAACGGAGACTGGGGCGGCGGTGGAACAGGTCTTGTCAAGAACGTCACTTTCCGCAACTTCGAAATGGAGAATGTGGGACTGCCAATTCAGATGTCGCAGTGTGTTTACTCAGCCGATAGCAACAAGGGCTGTAATACATCTACGCTGCAAATTGAAGATGTCAAATGGCAAAACATTCATGGCACTTCACGCTTCAATATCGCCTCGTCCATCTATTGCTCGGATGAGCGTCCATGCCCCAACATCACTTTCGACAATGTGAACATCACAAGCGTGAATGCCACACTTGGCCTGCCTTACTACGGCACAGACATTCAGCATGAACTATTCCAGTGCACAAACATTATTGGTCAGAACAGCTCTGGAATCCCATGCAACCAGGCCGCCCCAAGCAATTTCAGCCAGTGGATCTATGGCAATGTCGATAGCTCGGGCTTGGCTACTTTGAGCTAAGTTTCGTTTAAGCAGTCAGCAGAAGGGATTATCGTCTCTTAGTTTTTAGTTTAATTCACCTACAGATATCGCTGTATGAATAATTTTTCGATGCAATGAACAAGGTCAGGTTAACAATTTAGAAAGTATGTTCGCTAGGGATCTCTTGAAAGACATTTCAAGTTCTCGGATAGCGATAGAATAAAAAATGAACTTGTATATCGTAGACATGTATACAGCGCACGGTTATAAACAGGCGTTACTCACGTGGATAACATCATATTATCCGATTTATGATGAATTGGAGACATTGAGCTAATTTGAATCAGCTTTTTTAAATACCAAGGTAAGAAGGTATTGAGTCGGCGCTTGAGAAAGGACGTAAATAAGGATAATATTCATCTGAATGGCTAAGCTAAGAGGATAGGTAATTGCCAGAAGAAGCCTTTGTGATGTGTCGCTGGATTTTTCAAACTGGACTTAATTCTTTGCATTTTTATTGAAATATTGAACTATTATGCGCAAAACGCACCACTGGATCCTGCAAAACCATGCGCTGAAAAATATTTAGTTCTACTGATTTCTCCTCGTCATACAACTGGCCGAAGGCGGGTTCGGTTCACCGTCTCAAAAGAGCGATCCAACGTCACCCTCAAGCAGACCGGCAACTCTCGTGGTTCGAGCTTGTTCAGTCATTTCCACTTCCGGGCCTCCGAGTAAACAACCGATCTTGTCAACAATCTGTAGAAGTTCCTGGAAGCCGGCATCCTCCCGAACCCCTGCGTCTTGGGTAGACGGGAAGAAGCACTTGAGGCCTCCTCTCTTTTGGGCAATGCTGTGTGCATCAGGCTCAGCATCTTCTTCCAAAATGATATCCCATTCAGGATTAAATAAAACTGCGCCCCATGAAATGTTGGGAGAGGACGTTGTTTTCTTGCCAGGAACAGAAAGGAGACGGTACTCGTCGAACCGAATCACTTCGAGGATCAGGCTAGTTCCTTTAACTTGGAAATTCAGGGCAGTTCTCTCAACATAGCGAGTTATGGGTGCGTCGTTAGGAAACGATGTTCTCTTTTCAGGGTGGGAGTCAAGATAGCCCGCGATTTTTGTGCCAATGAACCGTACACTTGAGGCAAATTCCCGTTGTGTTTTCTTCACGTCTTTTCCGTCTACAGCTTCGAAGAATTCGATATCGCACTGCCAATCCGTTCTAAAATAGCATGTCAGCCATTTATCAACGGGATATGTGAGAAGTTATCCATACTTGGCAAAATCAATCATGGCTAGCTGAAGGGGCATCCGACAAGTTTTGTCATCACCACCGCTCGTTTTGAGCCAACGACGTCCACTAACCTCGATCTCGTGGGAGCCCGATGCCTTCGCGAAGTCAATTTCAAGGTGTAATATGGTATCTGCTTTGCTTGAAAATTCAAACCCGACTGAAAGAGTTGGCTCCATCTCGGCCAGAGAGTTTAGAGATATGCTAGGATCTAGAGACTCTATTAATTCCTCGGCCTTCTGAAGCCTGCTGAACAATTCGGCCTGGGTAATCTTGAGTCTGGATATATGTGTTATTCCCATAATGCTTGATTCGGGCTTGAATTCTAATGCAAAAAAGCAACATAGCATACCCAGGCACAATCCTCCCCCTGGTGTTGTCTGAATGAACCATCGCTCCAAATTCCTCAAGCCCGTAAGTGTATTTATTGGTCTTTGGTGCCATATACCGGTGAAGAACAAATGTTCCGAAATGGATTCGCATTCTTAGCCTTCTGGCAAAAAAGGGATCCTCGAAAGGGATTTCTGAACGCGTATAAGTAGTTCCCTAGCATTCGAGTTTCGAATTATTTCCATCTGCTGGCCAAAAGCACGTTGGCTTTCCGGGGTGGTGCTGATTTTCTTCCCTTGTAGGAATGGCTTATGGAGCATTCCCATCTTCGTGACACACACGGTATCTCGGGCGATCTCTTTTGATGGCAAATCCATGAAATAACCCGCAATCCGAATATCAAGATTCCCCATGGCTCTTTTCCACATCTCACGAAGCCTGTGGGTAATTTCTTTGGCATTGAAATCGGAATTTTTTGCCACGTGGAGCTCGTCCGGCTTATGATCGAACATATAGACGTAAACTCCAAATTCTTCGCGGATAGCGTCCAATTCTCCCAGATCCTGTCCAAAGCATTCGTTAAGGGTTGGGCCGTTATCGTGCAGGAGAAAAGTCAGCTAGGATTGTTTTATTAGAAGCTATTGCAGTGGAAAACGATGTTTGGGGAAATTCTTGCCTGGTAAATCGGGAATAGGAGCCTCTCGCGAAGGTGTCTGATCCTGGAGATTTTCTCGTGCTGCTCTTGATATTCGGCCTTTTCAACGGGAATATAAGAGCTGGACTCTGCCCAGTTGATCAGAGTCTTGTGTGGCTTTGGAATCTCCTTCAGGTTCAAAGGAAGCAATTCAGAGCTTCTGTTGGCCGAGGATTGTTGGCGGTATTTGGCTGCCAGACCCTTGAGTTCCTTTTTAGCGGCACTGACCTGGATCGGAGTGCCCCAAATAAAGAGGTGCTTCTTGACTGGTTAGTTTCTGGCTATCAGCTTCGGAATTTAGTATAGAAACTACCTCGTCGTTCTCTGCAGGCGGCTTGATGAAAGCCCCGGTCTTACGGCAAAGATCTTCAAATACCTCTGTCCTGCCCGGCCTAGGAGGACCTCGGCCAAATAAATTGGGTAAAGAGATCCTCTCGGTGTTGTCACTTGAACCAAATTAGTGATTCAAAAAGAAATGAAGGAAAGAAACAACAGGGACTTACATATCGAAGTCGCTCAGTCCAAGGATGGCTATGTAATCGAAATTAGCATGAAACTCATCGTCCTTGCCCTGGCCACATATGATCCTACCATCTGATTTCATTCCGGCGCGCCATTTAGATTTAGCGAAATGATCTGGATAAGGAGGGTCTGCGTTCCAGGAGTTTGTACTTTGGGCTGTTTTTCCAGAGACAGATAGGACTGGGTCTGGCCGAGATGCGGTATGCGTCAAAATTGTCTTAGGACCGGATTCACTCGAGCGGCCACGATGTTTATTCATCAGATGGAGACCCAAAAAGCTGGAGGGAAGTTCATCTAGGCGCACTCCTTCAGCTGGAAAGGGCTCTTCGGGCGTCACAGGCGGCCGAGGACGCCAAGAATATGAAGCTGATTCGTTAGTGGATAATGGGGAAGAGCGGTCTTGTGAATCCCCCTTCAGAGGGAGTTCTACTTCTGAGAAACTGTGACGACCGTCAATCCCAGGGTAGTCTGCCGTGTATTCCTCGGGGTAGTCATCGTAGTAAGCCTCATCATCTGAGGTTGGTGCATGGCGGTCTAAATCGTCTAGATACTCATAGCCTGGGAGCCTCCAAGCTATTAGGATAGTCAGTCATGTCCAATAGTCCCACGCTTCCAAGCCGGCCCATGAAGGCTGAAGAGAGTTCTCACCCTTGGAACCTTCAATCTCGTAGTGGTCGCTGTGATGGGGTTAGCATTGGCTGGTTCGTGGTGAGTAACTGTGATTCCAACCATACGCCATGTTCAATTGTGGATGGATGAGACTCTAACTCAGTGATTCGTCAAGATGAGCAAGAACTGGATTGCGAGTGCTGATATGCAGGACTTGACCGAGCGCCCAGTGGGTGAGACGTTGGTAACGGGAAATGGGGTGGGAGAACCAAAAGATGGGCGAGTAAATGAAAGCTTGAAGAATGAAAATCAGAGAGATGCGTTGGAGGTGGTTGATAGTGGTTGTTTACCTGAAAATCAAGCGTGTCGCTCGCTCACGAGGAAGCGAATGTCATCATCTCCAACGGAAAGAAAGACGGGGCCCAGAACAAACACCAACTACATGATTAGTTACACTACGGCTAGGAAGGAAGAGCCAAAAGAAAGCCAACAAGCAGAGAGCAGAAGAAACAGCATAACGCCATCATGGCTCAATATTTTTCGTCTAATTTCCCAGCAGGCTATTCCACTTAACATGGTTCCTAGAGCTGGCATTCGCCGCCTTGGGAGTATTTGAAGCAATTGGAGCAATAGACATGCTTCTACAAGAGATCTCAAACTAAGGGAAGGTCCTTCAGCAAAGGGTCTGGCATATGCCAATACGGTGGCTCTCCAAAAGATGCTACTTGGCATTACACCAAAACGATCAGGACTTGGTGCTTCTCATATGAAGCAGCTCAACTTTACCGTCGTTCAATAGAGGAGGGTCGAGAGAGCAACTAAAGACTCAACTCATAGTGGCCCTTGCTAGATAGAATGCACCACGAGAAAATGCCGTTCGAAATAATTAGCCTCTAATGCCCGATGAATTGCAGTATAACCGCTAACATACGTTTATCATTGCAGAGAACACGATGACTACAACGGGCTCGTTGTGAATATCACTGGCTCTGATATGGACGAGGTACAGACTTAAGCGAAGCAACTTCACCGAGTGTCCCTTTATTTAACAGGATTAGCGTAGTCAGAAAATATATAACCTCATTGTATGAATGTGAGTATGGACTCAGTTAATATCATCGTCAAACTTGCCTACAACCTTCTCGTCCTCTATGGCTTACTCAAAGCGCTTAGTTTCCAAAACGCCATGCAGGCAACCTAGAAATATAGAACCATTGAATACAAGAGTGAGAGGCTCTGATACCTTCTCTTAACTCAGAAATCAGATCCTTATAATATTTCTGAGAATTTCACAGCTCACAGAGACAACTGACTGAAAACGGATGACCGTCGGACCACGACCCCGACACGCATACTGGGCAGTGAACCATGTGGAACCTACAATCAAGGACAAGACAGGCCCACTGATGGTATACTGTCATGACCGCCACGTCTATAACTACGAGGATTCCTCCTGCTGCTGCGACTGCTCCTTTTGAAAGCAATATGGCTCAGTTAAGAGAGCTTTGCCCCAGCACAACGTGGGCCTTGTTAAAAGCTGCATGCTACTGGATGGGGTTCATAAACGTATTTATTCAAACACCAGTGATATCATTTTGGGGGATAATATATCCTGAATATCTTTGTACAACATCCAGCAATGAAACTGTTAGCCCGCCGACGCACCGGCAGTCTGCGCCGGGACTGCTTCGCCACTCAGCATCTTCTGTCGCAAGACTAGAGGAAATCAGTTATCAGTCGTTATTCTTCCTCGTATACCATAAGATCAGCAAACTCACCTTCCTCGACAATGCGCAGTTGCGAGCTCTTGCCCTGGACAATCTTTTCCAGTTCCTGCAGGTTGTCATCCAGGCCCTTCACCTTGTCATTATAGAAAGCAATGGCCTTCTCCGTGGTCTACTCACCACCAAACGACACAGTCAGCTTCTGCTTTGGTCCCCAAAATTGATCACAAGTTGTGCAGTACTCCCACATTAAACCTCCTGTCTACATACCTTCTCAACGTAGAAACCAGTTCCAACATCAACAAGCACCTTCTCTCGATCCGTCAACCGGCCCTTGACATAGAGTGAGCTGGTCAAAGGCACCAGGAGCTCATCGCAACCGTTGGTGCCTTTTTTCTGGGACCCGACCACGCCATCGTTAATCGAGTTGACGCAGTCGCGGAACTTAGACTGCGCGGCGCGCAGCTTCGCGTGGGAGGAAGTCAGGTGTTCCAGCTCGGAGGTAAGGCGGGTCTGGAGGGAACGGAGTTGGGGGAGGGAGAGAGAAGCGAGGTTGACTATAATCCCACGAAAGAGAAGGGCATGTTGTCAGTCTGGTTGTTTGGCGACGAGGGGGATTGGGTTGCGGGCGTCATTGCGGGATGTCGGCATACCTGTGCCCGGGGGAGCTCCGCCAGAGCCTGAGGACCCGGCGCTTGCCATTGTGATGTATGCGAGGAGCGTGCAAGCGTGAAGAGGAGGGGGAAAGTCCGGCCAAGGAGGTTCCGATCAGAAAATCATATGCCCGGTGAAATCGGCATAGGACTTTGATATGCGGGCGGAGAGTGGTGGGGTGGCTTGAGCTCAAGAAAACTCCAGGAACGGGCCGTGGCAGCAGTGGCATTAATAATATGTGGTAGGGCGGGGAACAAGGGGCCATATGCACACGCACCACCTTTACTACCCGACAAGCAAGAAAGTATACGAAACGGGAAGTGGTGAGAAGTTGATGGTCGATGGGGAAGTCATTGTCAGAAAAGACCAGTCAGTATAAAGAGTGAGTGGATTGATTTGCTATGTTACACTCGCTATGTCATCATTCAAAGCCATCCCACCATAGAAATACAGGTTATATGCTACAGACCAGCATTCTGCTCAACCGAAGCGTTTTAAAGCTGGGAAAGTAGACCTTCAATGAAGGCCGGTAGCGAACCGAGCGCCACATCTTCCTTCACACCCAAGCGGCGGCATTGCACCTCCAGGGTCTGGTTCTTCTTCCAACCATTGCCAACAACTACAATCACTGGGTAGCCGATCAAGTCGGCATCTCCCAGCTTCCAGCCCATACCCTTGTCACGGTCATCAAGAAGGGTATCAATAGGCCCCGAAGCCCCGGATGTAAGGCCATCATAGACCTGTTCTGCCACAGAGTCCAGACCCTTGCCAGGGACGATGACAACTTCAAATGGAGCAATAGCACGAGGCCAGTTGAGCCCTTTGGAATCTGCCAAGCGGTTCACCACAGCGGCTATCATGCGAGAGACGCCGATTCCGTGGCAACCCATCTGCATTGGCACAATCTGCTCCTTGGCAGATTTGTTTCCTGACTCTGCGGTGCCGTCGAGAACTGCTGAATTGACCGAGACCATCGCATTGAGTGGTTCGCTATAACGAGTTCCCAAGTGGAACGTGTGACCAAGTTCGACCGCTAGGTGACTCGTTAGTAGTCCCTTTGCGCAGTGTGAGCAGTGATCCCCGTCATGGACGCGGACCAAACTCAGCTTGTTGGATGTGCCAGGGAAGCGGTCAAGCATCGAATACTCAATATCCGCGGCCGTGCAGCCAACTTCCTGGAGTAAGTCGCTCAGCGGAGGACGCTGATACACTCGCACTTCTGAGTCGTATAGATCAAGCACACGCGGTTTCTCTGACGAGTCGCGGGCTTTGACGTGCGAAGCCCATTTTTCTAGGGGGTTTTCCACACTGAGGTCCAGGTCAACGCCAGCTGCAGTTGCAACGGCCTTGACTGCATGTGAGTTGATGTGTCGCTCGGCCGGCTCCGAAGAACCATTCTGCATCGAGAATTTGGGATACCAGCCCCGCAGGAGAGTAGACCCATCATGTGAAATGGCCATCCACATACCATTTGAAACGGTTGAACCGCCTCCCACATGCGCATCGTCTGTCTGGAATCCGGGAACAGAGCCCTGGTCGGAGGTTTCAGCGAAGCTGTGTGTTTTCCCATCCGCAAGTTCTTCATTGTATACATGGTCACAATTAGAACAACTGACAACGCGATCTTCTCCTTTGTTGCTAATGAAATGGAACTCGTGGCTGAGGGTACCACCCATATTCCCTGAGTCTGCGGCCGCAACCAGATAGGGAATCTTCAGTTCGTCAAAAAGCTGTGTGTAAGCATGCTTTACAGCCGAATATGTCTTCAATGCTTCATTCACGCTGTAGTCGAAAGTATAAAGGTCTTTCATGATAAACTCTCGCCCGCGAAAGAGGCCTTGTCTTGGCCTCGGCTCATCGCGGTATTTTCTCGCTTTGAGGGCATTAGAAAGGATCATACGGCATCACAGTTGAAATTGAGGATGCTTACTTATTTGGTACACTCGTAAAGGAAGGCTCTTGTAGGATGTGGTGAGGCCTCCTACCAGGGTGGTGATTTCTTCTTCATGGGTAGGGGCGAGCAAGAAACGAGCGTCCCTCCGGTCGTTAAAGCGGAATACCTAGACTCTCCATTTAGAGCAATCCTTTTGAGGTTCAGCAAAGCATAGTTTACCTCTGAGCCTTCGGTCAATCGGCCAGACTGCTCCCAGAGCTCCTGCGAGGATATTGAGGACAGGGAAACCTTGGAGGCACCTAATCAAACCATCAGTAAATAGAGAGGAACGATTCAAGAATACGAGTCTGACCTAGTGAGCGCATGTGTTTGTCAATAAGACCTTCCAATTTGTCCTGTACTCGCAGTCCGAGAGGAAGTAGATGGAACAGCCCAGAATACGCCTAGAAACCAATGAGAACCCAATTTACTACACGATGAACAAGCAACTGACTTGTCGGAGGAATCCTCCTCTGATTAAAAGATCATTTGCGTCTTCTAGTGCTTTGTTAGCAATTGTCAAAGGAAATTCTCGTCGAGCCATGATCCGTGCACCTTTTTCTCCAACAACAGCTTTTTTCGATATTCCACCAGTGGGAATCCAAAAATTTGAGACTCGGCTTCGCCCATCATACTGCGCTTTGTCAGTATTTTGCAATTGGGTCGATCCGGGGAAATCGAATTGTCACGGGGGTTGCCGTACATGAAGTCCGCAACGCTGGACAGTGAAGGCTGAGACTAGCCGTCTGCCTGAAAGGCGAGCAGTAGCGGGACGGGGCCCAGAAATCATGGAGGCCAGAAACCCAGAACAATGTATGCAATGGAGCAAATTCCCAATGGCCGGGCGTCCAACGGGGAACTCGAGGATTCCGTCGCGGTCGCTCTGGCAGTGTTTCTTATCGCGTTGGCCCGAGCGTCTTGATAACCGGCCCGCCGCAAAAGATTTCTCCGTCCAATTTTCTCTCCATTCAAAAAAGCATACCCCGACCCTCAGACACGCCAAAATGGTCAAAGGGAAAGGCAAGCGTTCTTCGAGCGCAAATGAGGGCCTCGCCGATAAAGAGGTCCCAGTTTCTCAGCCTCAGGCTGCATCGGTACTGCCGCAGCTGGACGAGAGTGCCTTTGCGGGCCTGCGACAGAAAATCGAGCAACGATTGAAGACCGACAGCTCGGGCAAGGGAAAATCGAAGAAGAACAACAAACCGAATGCTTCCATCGAGACTACTCCCGCAAAGAAAGAGAAGAACGCCGGCTCCAAATTTGACAAGAAGCAAGAATCCGGCCTGGGCAAGAAGCGGGATCGCAATGGCGATGTGATTGCCCGAGACGAGAAGATAGGCGGAAAGGAGAAACAGAACAAGTTTGCAGGCTCCAAAAATAGCAGCAACGATGATAAATTACGCGAAGAGATTATGGCTTTGGGCGGCACTGAGGAGGACCTGGATCTCCTAGCTGGTGTTGACTCGGAGTCGGAGGTCGAGGGTACCACCTCCAAGGGCGACGATGATCTACGGAAAGAGCTCTCGAAGATGTTGGAAGCGGCCGGGCACGTTGTGCCAGAGGATCTAAAGGAGGATGAAGTTGAAGAAGAAGAAGAGGAGGAGGAAGACGACCAAGAGCAAGGCTCCGAGGGCGACAGCGAGGACGCCAGTGAGCCGGAGGAGGATGTCTCTGATGTTTCTGATGTCGAGGAGGCACCCCCAGCACCAAAAAAGTCCGATGCGAAGGCAAATGAGCCAAAAGTCACTATCCCCAAAGAATATGCCAAGTTGGTGAGTTATCGTTTGTCCTCGTAGAACCTTTATTCCGTGACTAACCTGTGATTTTCAGATTGTCCTTCCTCGTTCTGATTGGTACGCCATTCCTCTCCCCTCGGTAGCCACTGCGAAGCAAATGAACGCCTTGCCTCGGCACTTGATCGATCGCGTCCATGAACTCGCCAAGTCCCTGCTGCAGGAGGAGAACGACAAGTATGCTGAGGCCCAGCAAGCCTCGGCGTCTTCCTCTCATAAGTTCTACACGACTATCATGTCCTCTGGTACCCTCAGTGATAAGATTTCCGCCCTGACCCTTGCAGTACAAGAGTCGCCGCTGCACAACACCAAGTCGCTCGAGACTCTCATCAATCTTGGAGGAAAGCGGAGCCGCGCACAGGCTGTTGAGGTTTTGCGATCTTTGAAGGATATGTTTGCGCAAGGTACACTTCTTCCCAGTGACCGGCGGCTCAAGTCCTTTGCCAACCAACCTGGACTTGTCGCTGCATTCCAGGGTGCTGGTGGGCGCTGGTCTGACCGGGACCCGCTTCCTGGTGGCTTGCAGAAGAGTCATTTGATTTTCTGGGCTTTTGAAGACCTTGTCAAGGACAAGTTCTTCGAGGTTCTCAAGATTCTGGAAGTCTGGTGCAACGACGAGATCGAGTTCTCACGGTCTCGGGCCGTCAGCTACGTTTACGAACTCCTCAAGGAGAAGCCCGAGCAGGAAGCGAACTTGCTCCGTCTTCTTGTTAACAAGCTTGGCGACCCTGGCAAGAAAATTGCTTCTCGTGCATCCTATCTTCTCCTGCAGATTCAGCAGACCCACCCCCTGATGAAGCCCTTGATCATCAAGGCTGTTGAAGAATTGCTGTTCCGACCTGGCCAGAGCCAGCATGCTAAGTACTATGCCATCATCACTTTGAACCAGACAGTTCTGAGCACCAAGGAGGGCAAGGTTGCTGAGCAGCTTCTGGATATCTACTTCTCGCTCTTCGTCACTCTTCTCAAGCCCACTCAGCCCACTAAGCCCGGAAAGGGCAAATTCCATGGCAAGCATGGCAAACACGGCAAGGGTAAAGGTCGGGACCAACCTGTCAAGGGACAGGCCCAGGACGATGAGATGCGCGAGAAGCTGACTTCGGGTGTCTTGACCGGTGTCAACCGCGCCTATCCTTTCACCGATAGCGATTCTGATAAGTACGCTTTTTCTTTCTTCTCCCCGCTTCATACGTGTGCGAATCTTGTTTTACTAATATGAAACCTAAAGGCTCTCCAAGCACCTCGACACTCTATTCCGCATCACCCACTCCTCAAACTTTAACACCAGCATCCAGGCTCTGATGTTGATTCAGCAACTTACTGGATCTCACCAGGTTGCTAGTGACCGCTTCTACCGCACGCTCTACGAATCTCTCCTGGATCCGCGTGTGGCCACGTCTTCGAAGCAGTCTCTTTACCTGAACCTGCTCTTCAAGGCCCTGAAGAATGACCTGAACGTCCGCCGCGTCAAGGCATTCGTCAAGCGTATTGTTCAAGTCCTTGGATTGCACGGCCCCTCGTTCATCTGCGGCGTCTTCTACCTCATTCGCGAGCTGGAGAAGACCTTTACCGGCCTTCAGTCCATGTTTGATCAGCCCGAGGACAACGAAAGCGACGGCGAAGAAGTCTTCCGCGATGTTCCCGATGAGGACGATGAGCAGCCCGAACCGACCCCTGTCGTCCAGCCGTCCAAGGCCGCCAACGGCTACGACCCCCGGAAGCGCGACCCCGAGCACAGCAACGCCGACAAGACCTGTCTCTGGGAATTGGTACGTTCTTGTAGCGCCACTGGCGCTCACATCCCCGCCCAACCCCCCTATGCAGCCATTGCTCATTGCTTATTGCAACCGCTAACGTTCTTCCTCAGCTCCCCTATACCACTCACTTCCACCCATCCGTCTCTCTCAACGCTGCCCGCCTGTTGGAGCACGAGACGATGAGCGGCAAGCCCGACCTGACCCTGCACACGCTCACGCACTTCTTGGATCGGTTCGTGTACCGCGCGCCCAAGGCCGCGGCTGCGGCGCGTGGCGCCTCGATCATGCAGCCGCTCGCTGGCGGTGACGCGCAAGACCGCCTGGTGGAGGCGTACAAGAGCACGCAGCACCGCCAGCCGCTCAACTCGGAGGCCTTCTGGAAGAAGAAGGCAGACGATGTCGCAGCGGAAGACGTCTTCTTCCACGAGTACTTCACACGTGTTAACAAGGAGAAGACGCGGGGCAAGAAGGGCAAGGGCGCTGACGCTGATGAGGAGGGTGCCGAGCTCAGCGAGAACGAGGACGAGATCTGGAAGGCTCTCGTGGACTCGCGGCCGGAGCTGGAGGCGGACGACGACAGCGACGACGACCTGGACATGGATGATATGGAGTCTGCATTTGATGATGACGATGAAGACGAAGTCGAGGGCGAGGGCGAGGGCAGCGACGACGAGGTCATTTTCAACGACGAGTCGGACGGCCCGTCGGACGAGGAGATGGCCGAGGAGGACGACTTCGGCTTCGACGAGGAGGAGGAGGAGGTGCCTGCGCCTCAGCCTGCCACCACGTCGAAGAAGGCCACCAAGAAGGCCGCCAAGGTGGACGAGGAGGACGAGGATGCGTTCGACATGGATGTCTCGGACGACGAGGCGTTCGTTGACAGCGACGAGGACCTCCCGTCGGACATGGAGCTGGGCGGCGTGGAACTTGCGGCCCTGGCGCCAACAGCCGAAGCGACGCCGGCGGAGCGCAAGAAGCGCCGCAAGCTCAAGCACCTGCCAACCTTCGCCTCCGCGGACGACTACGCGGCGCTGTTGGCGGACGAGGACGAGGGCATGTAGAGGATGGTTTGGAGAAAGCCTGTCGCATGTTACTGTTTGGGACTGGGCGTGTTGTGTTTTGTTTTGGTTCCCCCCCCAAAAAGAGTTTCTTTTATATTATATGGGAGTTTTTCTTTATTTGTTTGTCTCTGTGTGTGTGTGTGTTCTATGTTCACCGGACCCTGTATGTTGGTCCCATATTTCCATATCTGTATCTATGCGATGGCGGAATCGATCTGATATGATTCTTACGGATCTTGTCAATATACCAATGTCACTCTGGCCCCAACTATCCACCTTAGGTCTGTGAGTCTGTGCATGTTTCACTATGTAATCGACATCTCCGAAGTGGGTAAATGGTCATCACGCAATATCTCCCCCATCCCCGAACGTCCAAGGCCCGCTGCCGCTGCAGGGCCTCTGCCACGGGCCCGTTGCCCGAGTTTCTTCTAGAACTTGTCTTTTCCCGAGTCGCCAGGCAGTCGAAGCTCCCGACTTGGCCGAGCGGAGGGAAAGTCCCTGGTTGACGTGCCGAGACGAGGTGGGTTCCGGGATGGTCTCATGGTGGAGGACAAGCACGCGAGAGGCGGGAACACGGCCATGCCGCGTAAACCACGCGGTCTCTGGTTCGCTCGGATCCCTCCCAAGCCTGTAGTTTGGGGGCGTTCTCGGTGTCTCGGCACATGAATCAGGGGAAAATCAGCCATGCCGAGAAATGAGGACTTGCTAAGGTTGGTTGTTGCAAGCTCCCCAGACGGAGTGGAGGAAGGGAGACGCGAGCGATAGTCACAGCCCACGTGATTCTAGCACGGGCAGCTCGTTCGCGATGACTCAGCACACACGTGGTGCCATGGGCCTCGCCTCGACTCCAAGTTGACCTTCATGATACTCTATTGATGCCCATGACGATGTTGCACCTTCTCGCCGGGTGCTGAGCGATGTGGTCAATGGCGGCGGCCCGGGCGGCCGATGGCTGACGGTGGCTGAACATGGCTGACAGGCCCCGGACGGCGCTAGGCCCAGTGGCCTCCAGCCAGAGAGCCTCCTTAGTCAGCACACGCCTGGTCCGGTTACGATAGGTCGGGGTCGGACCCTCCCCCAAGGATCCGCCTGCTGCATCTGGTTTAGAAGAGGCCCACCGAATCGAATCAGCAGGCGGTCACAGCCCAGATTTCCATGTTTTCAGTGGCTGCACCGGGGGTTCGACGGCTGCCCTGGCTGGTCCGAGCTGGCCCTGCGCCGAGTCCCATTCGACGCTTGCGGGGCCTGTCCAGGCCCACTTTGGTAGGTTGTTGCACCACCGTTTTTGTTGAGACCAGGTCTGGTGTGGGTGCAACCGGTTTCTGCTCTTTTTTTCTCTTTCATTTTCTCTTTTTTCTCTGTCTTTTTTTCCTTGGTCAGGAAATTGACGAATCATGGCAATGATGTCTGGAGTGCACTACGTACTACGCGAATCACCATTGGATGGGAGTGGATTGATCCCGGTATAGAATCCTAATGGCGCAGCATCTCGGAGCGGCCGTTACGATCTCGCTGGTCTCCATGTGCACCTCTCTGCATGCTGCAATTCGTTCAGGCTGATTGGAAAATTCAGCAGTGTGGACTGGCACGTAGATACATAACGTGGCCTGTTCGATCACGCTCGTCCTATCTACTTCTACTAATGCATTGGGAGATCTCATGTCGAACCCCCCAAGGGATCTAGATCTTCGAGCTAACTTTAGTTCACACATGGTGTATGACATGATTCTCTCTATATCCACCTTCTCGTAGGGGAATTCCCGCATTCTCTTTCCTGTTCTCCTTCCTATTCTTTTCCTTTAGTATCATAGTTCATCGTGATTGTTGTCGACTGCATAATCCTCTCTCCCTTAGGGCTGATCGCACCACCCTCAATTCGCAATCCTGAAGCTCATACCCTCTGTCAAATTCACCCGCATCCTCTTCCTACGGAGTATCCATCTCCGTTCGCCCATTGCGGCATGGTGACCTGGTCTCCATCACGTCATGCTTCGTCCACGTCCACGGACCGGGATCGACGAGATTTTCTCCTTTCCGGCGCCCGAGTGGAGCCTTGGCTTCGAGCGCAACCAAGCATACCCCCGTTCTCCCCCTCCCATACCGAAGCCATACTCGGCCCATACCCAGTCAATTCGTCCATCGGATACATAGAATACCACTCCCCATAATTAATCGTAGGAACTAGCGCCGCTCTTCCACTCACGGCGCGCTCCTGCATCGCCGGGCGCAAAAGTAGATTACCAGATTACCAGATTGGTTCATTGCTCACCTTTTTTTCTTTTTAATTACTCTCGGTTCACTTCTTGCCTTTTTCTTAACCCGAGTTCTTCTCCTCTTTATCGTCTTTTGATCTATCGATCTACCCAGCGATCACGGTTTGTGTTCGCCAGGTTTCCGTGCGCGCGCCATTGATTGATCTCATTATCGTCAGGCCTGGTCTGATCCGATCTGGTTTTTGTAGATCCGACCCCCGTTGCCCTAACGAGAGCGTGCTGCATTGCTTCTCTCTCTTCATAACGCCCATTCCTTTTCATCGCACGGTGATCTGAGATCGCTTTCTGTGCAGGTTAGTGTCGCATTATACCCCTACTTCTCCTGCTTGCTCGCCCAGGCCAGGCAACGGTGTGCAGCCAATAAAACTGGCGGTTTCAAGCATCAACCCGAACCCAGCGCAACTCACACTTCTCCAGACTCGTGTTTCTTTTAGCTGCTGCATCTGCCCCTCCGGAAGTTATATGTATTCTCCGGTTTTCACGACCGCCACTCTCCTTGACTCCGCCGAGTACCGCCAGCTGCGGTTTGCCCGCTCATTACGCTTGAAATGGCTCGGCCAGAAGACGACCCCGTGGGCGCCAGTCCCGACGGCACTCACTCCCCTGATCTGAGCGACAAGCTGGAACAGGATCCCAAGCTCAAAGATTTTGATGTGGAAGGCCAAGGCCGCCGTCATTCACAGCATCATGTCACGGCGGTGGACTCATCCTCCACGACCGAAAGCGTCGGCCGCCAGATCGAAATGGAGTCGGAGAACACCATTAAATATCGGACATGCAGTTGGCAGAAGGTAAGATCCCAAACCCGCATGCCCTCTCCTGAATGTGAATGCATGAACTTTTTTTTTGTTGCGTGTTTGCGCAACATGCGCTGGTGATATTGCGGCATGGACGTGAAATGCAATCGCTGACCATGGGACATTTCCCCTCTCTAGACGGCCGCTCTGCTCTTCTCTGAGTACATTTGCCTGGCCATCATGTCATTCCCGTGGTCCTACTCTATCCTGGGCCTGGTGCCCGGTTTGATCCTCACTGTGTTCATTGCGGGCGTCGTCCTGTACACGTCGTTGACTATCTGGTGGGTCTCCCGGTCACCTTAGAGGGTTCGACAATTGGCGATATACCTCGTCTCTTGTGCCATGGCTAACTTTGGATTGAAAAAAACTAGGAAATTCTGTCTGCGCCACCCAGAAGTCCGAGATGTCTGTGATATCGGCCAGTATCTCTTCTGGGACTCGAAGATCGCCTGGTGGGCCACCGCGGTCATGTTCCTGTTGAACAACACCTTTATCCAGGGTCTGCACTGCGTGGTCGGTGCCGAGTATCTCAACACCATGTCCGGTGGTGCGGTCTGTACGGTGGTCTTTTCTCTGATTGTCGCCATCATTTCCTTCGTCTTTTCCCTTCCCCGTACCTTCAGTGCTTTGTCCCGCGTCGCCACTTTCTCCGCCTTCTTCACCTTCATCTCCGTTCTCCTGGCAACCATCTTCGCGGGTATCGAGGACCATCCCGCCGGCTACCCTAAGAAGGGTACCCCGCTCGTGCTGGCCATTCCGGCCAAGGGCACTACCTTCGTGTCCGGCATGAATGCATTCTTGAACATCAGCTATACCTTCATTGGACAAATCACTCTGCCCAGCTTCATCGCCGAGATGAAGGAGCCTCGCGACTTCTGGAAGTCTGTGACGGCGGTGACCATCGCCGAGGTGATCGTTTTCAGCCTGGTTGGTGCGATTGTCTACGCCTACACCGGCACCCAGTACACCGTTGCGCCCGCTTTTGGCTCCCTCTCGGATGAGGTGTACAAGAAGGTGTCGTTCTCGTTCATGATCCCGACCATCATCTTCCTCGGGGTGCTGTACGCATCGGTGTCGGCCCGCTTCGTCTTCTTCCGCCTGTTCGAGGGCACCCGCCACAAGGGCAACAACACCGTCGTGGGCTGGGCCGCCTGGGCCGGCATCTTGGCTGCCCTGTGGATCGCCGCCTGGATCATCGCAGAGGTGATCCCCTTCTTCTCGGACCTGCTGTCGATCATGAGTTCCCTCTTCGACTCCTTCTTTGGCTTCATCTTCTGGGGCGTCGCCTACCTTCGCATGCGCAGTAACGACTATGGACCCGACTTCTACAAGAAACGTGGTCTCCGCGGCTGGCTGGGTTTCCTCTTCAACGTATCGTTGATTTTCATCGGTCTCTTCTTCTTGGGTCCAGGCACCTATGTAAGTTCTCTTCGCCTCTCATCCTGCTCACCTCTGATTCCATCTGCTCTTTCTTTTGATCCTCTTCTGACTTGATTCTCTCTCTCTTCCTAGGCGTCCGTCATGTCCGTCGTACAGAGCTACCAATCTGGTAGTGTCGGCGGTGTGTTCACCTGCGCGAGTAACGCGCTCTAGAGCGGATTTTTTCTTCACTCCGCAGGGCGGAGTGAGACGTTCTCTCTTATCGCAGATCCTTTTCCCACTGTGAACGGGTTCTAATGACGTTGATGACCCAATTCAAGAGGAGACACGCTGCTCGCATTCTGGATTTGTGGTTCACGGTTCTTTTCCGCGTATCACTGCTCTTGTTCTTCGCATGCGATTGATATCGAAAATGGGGTGGGTGTATCGAACTTCGAATTTGTGTTAGGATTATTTTGCATCATGTACTTTCAATCCTGGAGGGATCACGGGATTTGGGATGTTATCCCTCCAGGTTTTGGGATGTTGGGAGTTTGAGTTCCCCGTGGCTGTTGCTCGTTCTACATGCGCGCCGTTCCAGCATTCCTTGCACATAAAAAACAGAGCGGTCTTGAATGAATCCAGGTGAATGGCATCGCGGGCAAGTTTCTTGCTTCCTGAATAGATGTTCCGCCATCACCAAAGCCCACTTTTTTTTTTTTTTTGCTTTGGCTTTCTATCCGTAAATCAGAGATCTGCGTTTCCCGAGGAGTACAAGCAGCCACTGCGAGAGCCTCCTCTATGTAACGGGCCTTTCCCTTCCGAATCGGGAAATCAGCTCAGAGATGACTCAGCCGGCGTCTTCCTATCTGCACGTGATTTTCCCGCTGCGCTTCCCCGACGGCGGAGGGTCGACTTTCTCGCGGCCATTTTCTCGTCTCTTTTTTCTTTTCATTCCTTTTCTCTTGCCAATTCCCCTTTGACAGCATTCTCAATTACAATGGCTGGCGTCCGTAATTTCAAGCGAGGCATCGACCTTGTCGCTGCCAGAGCAGCTTTCCCCCACGCACCCCGCGCCTCTATCGGCTCCACACTCCTTCGGCGGGAGCTCTCCTCCGCGGTGCGGGCAACTTCGCGGACATCGACCGCCAGGATCACTGCGCGGGCAGCAATCCCGCAGGTGCAGGTTCAGTCTGCGCGCTATGCCTCAAGCTCTAGCGAGCCTCTGCACAAAACACAGTTGTATGCTCTCCACGAGGCGCACGGCGCCAAGATGGTGCCCTTTGCTGGGTTCTCCATGCCGTTGCACTATGCGGACCTGAGCCATGTTGAGAGCCACATGTGGACTCGTGAGAAGGCCAGTCTGTTCGATGTGAGCCATATGTAAGTCAATCGCTTTCTCCGGACTTGAATGGAGGTCGAATATCAGTTCTATCAATAGCGCATCCAATGCTGACCGTGAATGTCTTATCTAGGGTGCAGCACACTTTGAGCGGACCCGGCGCCCTTGAGCTGCTGATGAAAGTGAGCCCCTCGTCTCTTGATAAGCTGGCCCCGAACACTTCTACCCTGTCCTGCCTGCTGGAGGAGGAAACCGGCGGCATCATCGATGACACCGTCATCACCCGTCGCGGCGAAGACAGCTTCTACTTCGTCACAAACGCCGGCCGCCGCGCCGAGGACCTGGCGTTCCTGCGGGCCGAGATTGATGCCTACCGCTACCGCCACGGCACCGACAGTATCAAGTGGGACATTCTTGAGGATCGCGCTCTGGTCGCACTCCAGGGCCCGCTCGCCGCCAGCGCCCTCCAGCCCCTCATCAACACTTCCGCGTCCAGCGACTCCACCGATCTGAGCACCCTGTACTTCGGCCAGTGCCGTGAGCTGCACATCACCCTTGCTAACGGCTCTGCCTCGGCCCAGCCGCTCCTGATCTCGCGTACCGGCTACACCGGCGAAGACGGCTTCGAGATCTCCATCCCCACCTCCGCGGACGCGACCCTGCCCGACCAGGTCGTCAACCTGCTCCTGCAGGACGCATCCACTGTGCGCCTGGCCGGCCTGGCCGCCCGCGACTCGCTCCGCCTCGAGGCCGGCATGTGCCTCTACGGCCATGATATCACCACAGCCCAGACGCCCCCCGATGCGGCCCTGGGCTGGGTTGTTGGCCGCGAACGCCGCGACCCCGCCACGGCCACCTTCAACGGTGCCTCCGTCATCTTGCCCCAGGTTGCCAGTCCTAAAACCCTGCAGCAGCGCCGGGTTGGGTTGACAGTGGAGAAGGGCTCTCCTGCGCGTGAGGGTGCTGTTGTGGTCGACCTGGCGGACCCGGCCAATCCAGTCGAAGTTGGCGTCGTCACATCCGGCCTGCCTAGCCCGTCGCTGGGTGGCGCCAACATCGCCATGGCGTACGTGAAGAATGGCCTGCACAAAAAGGGGACTGAGCTGGGCGTCAAGGTTCGGAACAAGGTGCGCAAGGCGACTGTCGTCGGCATGCCTTGGATTGAGAGCAAGTTCCACCGTCCGTCGTAGAGGACGGGTATACTTCAATATGCTCTCCCCCTCTCTCCCCCACTCCGTCTCTCTCTTTCTCTTGAGTATTTCGCTAGATGTGTCGATGTGATTGTTTATATTTTTGTTTCCCCGATGGGTTTAAATCATTGACGAGAAGCGTTGTTTTGTTTTGTCTGCTTTTCCAATTATTGGACTTACGAGATCATCTCTTGATACGGTTGCTCCTGTACATACAAATCCTGCCTTTCACACCTTTCGCAACCTCTTTCTTTTTCTATGATTCTTCATATATTTCCTCCAGCATGTTCGACTTCAACAGTTCAGAACGAACAGACCTCATTGATCAAAAATTTCGCTTTCCCTTCTGTAGTGGAGCTCTCGTAAACCCAATCCAACATCCCCATATCCCCTTCGTTACGACGTATATCTTCACCCCCACATCCTCTCTACTATCGAAGTGTTTCAGATTTGCCCAATAAACTCCTTCAGAACCAGCAGAAGAACATGAGCGGAGGAGGAAACGAATTAAATGAAGAAGCGCCAGATAAGGCTAGCAGTCTCACCTCCACAGCAGAAACAGAAAAAAAAAAAAAAAAAGGCCAAGACTCATCAATGAGAATTCAATATAAAATAAAACACGTAAGAACGGTGAGCCCTTGGGCTCTCTGTGCCCTCTTTTCTCCTCAAGCCCTAAGACCCTAAACTAACCTCTTAGCCCCTTCACCCCATGATGCACCCCACCAAACCTCGCCCAATGATCCAGATGCACCCCGTGCCCCGAATTCCGGCCCATTGCAGCCCCTGCCGACAGCACACGCTCCTCGAAGCTGTTCACGCCTGCAACGGATCGCGCGCGCATGGCCGTGGCTGGGGCATCCGACATGGAGGGCGGCAAGTCCTCTGGCGCAGTACCCCAGGCGCTTTCATTGCGGCCGAGCACGAGGACGAGGTCCTGGCCCTGAGTGAAGAAAGAGTGATCAACCCAGCTTCGAGTATAGGGGACGCCGTTCAGGGTAGCGGACTGGATATATCCGGCGGGCGAGGAGGAATTTCCGGTAATGAAGGAGTCCCAATTGGCGACGCTGATGGTGGCAGTGTTGCCGGTAAGCGGGGAGACAATGCGGACGGCCTCGAAGAAAGGCACAGTGATTAGATAGACGCTCTGGCCCGGGTTGGGGAAGAGGCCCATCATAGACATAGCGACGAAGGAGCCCATGGCGCCGGAGTCGTCATTGCCGGGGAGGCCGGCGGGCGTGGGGGAGAATGAGGATGGAATGTAGGTGCGCACGCGTGCGGTGGATTTGGCCGGGCGGCCGGCGTAGTGGTACTGGAAGACGGTCAGGAAAGAAGGCTCATTGCCGATGTAGGTGATCTTCCGGTCATGCAAGTAGTCGAGGCGTCGGACGAAGCTGGCGGGCCCACCGAGCAAGGTGATCAGGGCGGCCATGTCATGAGGGACGAAGCTGGAGAGGGTCGTTAGTATGAGGTTGAAGGAGATCTAGGTCTAGATCCAAGAAACATACAATTGGTACTCCCAAATGCTCGACTCGAAGGTTTCTCCGGCGGTGTTCTGGAGCGAACAGATACTCCCACTGTTATCAATATTGGAGCACTTGAGGGGATCCTGAGAGCCCCAAGTGCCGTTCAAGTACTTGGGCTGGAAGAAGCCGATGAAGCCCGTGTCAGTAGCGTTTCGAAATGACGTCTGGTCTTCTTTAAAAGGTTCTTCCAAGACTCGGAGCTGCGTTCATATCGCTCGGCGTCATCTGTCATGTTGAGACTCCGCGCCATCTGAGAAATAGCAAAGTCATTGTAAGAGTATTCAAGGGTCCGTGAAATGCTGCGGGTCATAGTGCCAAACCCCCAGTAATCGAAGTCTTCGACGGGGATATAGTGCAGCTCCTTCCAGCTTCGCAGACCACCACGACCTTCGTTGGACCAGTCGAATGGTTCTTCGTCGGCGTCTTTCTGAACTGCAGCATAGCCGGCATCCCAATCAATGCCGTCTTGGAGGCCTTTGACATAGGCGTCAACAAGGACAATGTCTGCATTTGAGCCACCTTGAGTATATCCTAATCAACAATGTTAATGACTCGGACAGATCATGCTTTTCGTTATCAAATGCCGAACTTACCTTTGCAGAGTGACATACGGCAGTCCGGAAGCCATCCCAGGTGACGTTGCGTGTCAATCAGCGAGCGGACCATCTGAGCAACGGAGCCGGGATCGAAGATCGTCAGGAAGGGCAGCTGCGAACGAAACGAGTCCCACAAGCTGGCTAGGGTCAGCAAAGAAGCCTAGGTGACAGACAGATGATTTGAGGTGTTACAAACCAATAGAATGAATCGAAATACGGTTCCGAGCTCGACCAAAGTGGGTTTTCACCAGTGTAGTTCTGGGGATTCACCATCGTTCGATAGATACCACTGTAAAAATTCGTGAGAACAGATGCATTTACCCCATTTCGGGATACCCGAATCGGTTCAAGCTTTTCAGTCCACTGATCTACAGCGGCCTGGCGTATAGACTCGAAATTAAAGCCCTCAATCTCCGATTCGGCATGAGAGCAGGCTTGCTCAGGGCTAATAAAACTCACGCCCACACGGGCAAGTACGCTGCCATCCGGTGGGGTTTCGAATCGAACAAATCCACCACCCTAGCAGAAGTCAGAATAAAATGATTCGGTAATTATTTGGAAGCTAGGACCGCTCACCGGAAGAGGATAGCCATTGATGCTGCGCGATATCGTTAAATCGTGGACATCAGTGCTAGCGCGGGCATCGACAAAAATGCCACTATCTCGAAGCTGACCAGAACTCTGGAAATCGGCGCAAAAGTGAAGCTCGTACTCTCCACTGCCAAAGCTGGGCAAGAACTTGCCACTACCCGTCATCCGTCCGCTAGATTCATCAATGGAAATAGACGCATTGTCCTGACGAGAGTCGGACAGATCCGATAGGTCTAACAAAATCAATGGCTTGCTGTTCTCGGGGAAATTAAACCGAAAGAGCGAGGTATGATGCGCGGCCGTCATCTCAACGTGAACATTGGAACTGAGGGATAGTGCAAAATAGCCCGGGCTCCCCTTGACAGAGTTCGGGGTATACCGTGTTTTGCGGGCTTTCTTCGGATATACACAGCCATTCACATCATCATCTTGGCATTGGGCATATGGAAAAAGAGGAAAATTGCCCAGTGACGGATTTCCGCCAGTGCCGGAGTCGTGCATACTCGAGAAGCCAGTAACATTGCTTCCATCGTAGGCGAAACCGCCCTGGTTGTTCTCAGAATCGGTGTCCGCTCCGGCTTTGGCCATGCCATACGGGAGCGTCGCGCCGGAAAAAACATTGCCTAGGTGAATCGCTTGTTAGTATATTCAATTTCAGGTCCACGATATGGGCTTACTCCATACCCCCGTTGGCGCTGCCGATCAGCGGGTCTATATATTGTAGTACATCGTAGTCCTCGACGGGAAGGGGTTGGGCGGCATCGACCAGCGCGCGGCTGCTGGCCAGAAAGAGCGACAATAGTGAGTACTGCGAAGGCATACTCGTAAAGGAGTGTACTGTTTGAAAAGAAAGACTGGCATGGAAAATCGTGAATGAAGCGTTCCCCCCGCTGGTATTTAGGGCCGCTCTCGCGCATCGCGTCGTGCTTGCCTGGCATGCGGATCCACGCCCCTGTCGATCATCCCCGCGTTGCTGCGTTGCATCAAGTCCCTTAATATGCAACAATCCATGCATAGTTATCTCACACTAGTCATGCATGATAAGATAGGTTGATGAGAGATTTGCCCAGTCGCTGGTGCTGCTTGGGTGCTCGGGCCGGTTTAGCATGGGTCGTCTGTCTGGGGATCCTGGTGCGTCGAGGGCGGGGATCTCCTGCATTCCGACTAGCAATGCTACGGTGATAGTTACGGAGATAATGGTAATGTCTGTTGAGTCCATTCAGCCGATGAAACTCAGTCATGAAAATGCCCAAGGGCTTATGATGCTTCTACGAATAAGAAGTTGATTAGCTCAATTGCCCCCAGTTTTCGCTCCCCCGATCCCCAACATTGACGCCCCCACCATGTGTTTACCGGGTGGTGATAGTAATAGGAGGGTCAATCGGACGCGTTATAGGAAGAGTAAAAGGGCTAAGAGGACTAGGAGAGAAAAAGGGAATAAGGAAGAATACATATATTAGAGCAATTTCGAAAGCTAAAAATTTCATACTACTACTAAAGGCACAATTTGGGCTTGCCTGGCCTGGCCTGGAATTCAGGTTTTACACTGATCCAATTCAAGATCTCTACAATGAGAAACGGTAGAGTAGATGAGGGGGAAGAGTAAAGACTTTAAGCGATCTGTCATTTACTATGTCTGCCACATACGTATGTCCTTTTGCAGCGTAGTATGCGACTATTTTCATATCTACCCCAAAGCGGCAAGTTCGGCTCGATGTTCCCAATTCGAAGTCTATATTTCACAGGTACAGTCGCCCCTGAGACATCTCATAGATATTCATTGCAATCTAAATACACAATAAAGTAAGAAATAAATCACGATCCATATCGTTTTGGACGATGCTCCGGCAGTCTAGTTGAACTGGCCTGGAATGTGTAGCTGTCGTGTTAAGTTCTTTACTTTTGGGTTCAGATATTTGAGTGCTCCGGGGGACTCGGCCCAGGCCCAGCAGCAAATCTTCAGGATTTTTTGAACCTCTGGGTAAGGACCGACGGCCGGATCCCAAGAAAATGAATATGGAGCGTGCGGGTTCTCGTGCATTGCAAACGCTGTAATGGGATTCACGAGCGCAGGGAAGAACCAGCTGTTCTTCGCGTGTATTGCATCAATTAGAAAGCGGACGTCCCTCTTCAAGTCGATCAAAAGCCATGTGAGCTTGACATGTGCGACACGGTGCCACCGAACCACTTTGAGGGTACTCGATGAAAATATATAATCCTCGATCGTACGGAGGAACTCAAGAGGAACCCTAGGGCCTAATGGAATTTTGAGGGCCTCCAATTTTTCCAGTATCATGATTTGCCTGATCTTAAGTAGCAGAAGAAGAACCAGATGCGCTATACCGGGATATGAGGGAGATATGATATACCGTCAACGGAATCGGTGCGGTCGAGGAAAGCAGTTGGTGGGTTCCGTGAGGAAGGAAACTGATTCAAAGGGATCGGCATTTCAGGTGTCCAAGAATGGGAGATCAGCATGGAACCAGCTATAGTCCGGATTTCTGATGGCTTTGGCCCACCATTTCAGGAAGTCGTAGCATCTCTGGTCTTCTTTGAGGCGCAGCAATAATGAAGGAATGAGATTTTGGAGCTCCATATCATTGTAACGACGATAAAGCCATGGGAGATTCGTGGCATGATATAATTGTGCCCGCAGAGATTCAGAAGTTTGTAAGGCCTGAAGAGCCTCGACCAGTGACATTGTCCGGGTGTCGAACCCTCGCGCTTCAGGGCGAACCAACATGACTACTTCAAGATCCCTAAATGGAGAGCGGAAGGGATCTAGGGGAGGTAGGGGTCTTTCACAGATACTGTTGCGGATATGATTTTCCTTCTCTGCGATATCTCGATAGCAAGATGTGATGCCTTTGCAGTATATTTGATGTTCTTGCTGATGAAGGTTTTGGTGATGAACACTGCAATATCTCTCTAGATGGCACTTGGGGCACAAAATTGGTTCTAGTGGATCCTGCGGTTTGAGACAAAATCCGCAGCGATTGAGCACATCATACGGTGGTAAATGACCCCGAGAGGCCATGTTATCTCAACAAATTTTCGAATTCTGGATATGGAGAGAAAGTTCTGAGTTGGAAATACCAGCGAGAAAGCCCTGGCCGGCAAAAGAACGAGGTCGCTTATAAGTTGTCTCGGATTTCATGGTGTGGCTCTGACTAAAGAGTGATTCACAAAGAAGTAAATTGGTCTTTAAGACGGGAAGATGCTTGATCGTGGAGACTGTGAGTTGCCGGGCTCTTTGTCTCTCTGTCACGGTTAGGAAATACAAATTCCAGCGAATGCAAAGAACACCTTTATAGTCACTCTGGTTCAAAGACAAACGGAAATATTGGTTGATGGAAACTTAGAATTCTATTCTACCATCGCGCATGTTTTCTATGTTTCTTTTGAAGGTGTGCAGTCCAGCCCGCCACGCTATGCATCACTGACAAACGGGCAGGAGCATCTATGAGCGGCCGGTGAACTGTCAATGAAGTGTCTTGACTGACGTGTCCATTTCAAACAGATTTCGAGACGACAGGAGTGTGTTTGTAAGTTTTATCATCATTGCTTCAAGAAGCCTGTCAGACAATGATGATATAGATGCATAGTAACTAACGAACCCTATTTGTATACCTTCAACTGTCCAATTAAGCGTCAAGGGAATTTTTCCAGTAAGTACCGTGAATCAGATTTTATTTTTAAAGTTCATGACGCACTGTCTTGATCGAGTATGGGTTGGTTCTTATCGCTGAGATGGCTGATACATATTGTTCCCGAGTACGATGATGGACTGTATTCTTTCACATCTACAAATCACTATTCATACCGGTCTATTTTGGCTACTTGTGTTCACTAAGGCTGAAAATTCAACGGTATCAAGTATGGGAAGAAGTCTCGTTGGGGGATATTGAGAATTGTTATTTGGTAGGCTAAAATAATATCCATCAAGCCTTGCTTTCCATTTTCGCTGGTGAATAGAAAAACCAATCTAAAGCGCTGAATAGAACAGAAGCCAGAATTTCCATAATTTCATAATGTCGTAATGTCATGTGTTCTCTTGTAGGTCATATCGGCCTGTGTGAATAGTAATAAGGTGGTCCAAACATTGGGATTCTTGCCGTCTGCCATATATGAATATGTGATAAGTGCCACAGTGGTCAAGAAGAACCACTCGGGCACTCCAAGCTCAAAAGCCGCCGAACAAATACAAGAGCGCCGTCCGTTTCAACCCATGACCTATAGTTCCATCTCAAGAGAAAATAAGTCTCGGTCTTGCTGCCAGGCTCCTTCATCTTTGCCACGTGTGGTAGGTTCCCAAAAAAAGAGGCGGGATCAATCATTGCAGACCAGAAATGCGGATTTCTATCTTCGACTTCCTTGAACAATGAGACTATCTGGGCCTTCAATAATTTTATATAGTCCAGGCATGGTCTCCCATACACGACAGATCTATTATCTGCAACAACGAGACTCTCGGGGATGTATCGTTGGATCATGCACAGAATCTCAGGAGGGACTTTTGGTGCCAAGATGGCGAATGAGAGATCCAACCTTTCAAAGTCATGGAGAAGCTTGATTTTCAGGAGCATCAGAGGAATGGTGAGGCCGACATCCGTTCTTCCGCAGAATTGCTCGATTGGTTCTAGAGCGTCGGCATCTCTGATGTCCAGGTACGGGAGGTTGCGGATGGAAAGATCTTGCAGGCCCATGTGGTAGCTGCTTTTGGGCAGGGCATTCCCCCACCATTTGATGAAGTCGTAGCACCGTTGGTCTTTGTTGATGCGAAGCAGGAGGGCAGGGATCTGATTTCGATGGGCCATAAAGTCACTGCGGCCGAGTCGCACAATTTCCAGGAGCAATACCGCCTGGGTCTTGACTGAATCGACGCTTTTGACCAACGAGAGGGCGCTGACCATCTGCACCATGAAAAAGATATAGAAGATCAGGCTAGGTTCATCCCAGAATAGTGACACTTTCGTCTCAAAGGGATGTGTCGGGTCGGCACGCAGCGCCTTCATTTCTCGAAGGAGAAGCTTTTCACATCGTCGGATGTGAAAGCAGGAGCTCTCATGGGCAAAGTCATCCTGTTGATGCTCTTTGGAGCAGTATGACACGACATGACAGCCCCCGCACACCCATGCGGTCTCTTCTTTGCCGCAGATGTTACAGCCCGACTGTAATATCGGTGGATTGGTGAGGGTTGCCAACACCGCCATCGGGGCGAAGGATGACGGGGCCATCTGATGGCTGGTTTGAAACGAATGTGGAGAAAATGATACTGGGTTTGAGAAGGAGTGTCTTGTGAGAAAAGAGTTGAAGGGTACAGAAAACCAAAGAGGAGAGAATTTGCGGGAAGTCAAGGAACGAAGAGAAGATGCGAGACGGTGGTGAGCTTTTAGATGGAATGGGAGGTGCCTCCCTTCCTATCGTGCGTTAGGACTCCCATCCTAAAATAGGATGGGAGGTGCCTCCAAAACGAGGTCGGCCCAATGTCAAATGGAGTCCAATAGTCAATGATCACGATTAGTTAAAAGTTTTGTTCTATATTGGTTTTCCATTATTCAAATGGTTTCACATCCATGTCATCTGTATCCTCTTCGGAGATCCGCTTCGAGATAGTACATGGATACATCTTGAGAGAACCGGGTCGGCATGATATAGTAGAATGCACCATCTTAGAATGCTCATTTTTATTCCACTTGATTGATTCATGACCAGGATAGAGTAAGAATGATCTTTCTCCCCTTTCGAAAGGGGCAGTGTGGGAGATGTAATGCCCTTGCCGTGGTCTAAACGTACATACGTCTTGTCGTGATATAGATCCGCCATGACATATATCGAGGTAGAGAGTGGAGATGTCGAGACTCATCTAAATGGAATTTCCTCGCCATAAACCCCAGGCTACGCAGAAAACTATTCTGCCTGATGCATGTTCACAATTAATAAACATAAAAAATCGGGAAATTATCCAGATGTGCCGATTCGCAGGTATCCATGGACCCGTTCCGCCGAGACGGGGCACTTCCCAAGCGGGCATGATGCCGAGGTAAACTCATCGCCGGTCCACCATCCTCAACTTTGCCTCCCAACAACTTGACCGCGACTCGTCCGAACGGATCGGATTTGGATCATGCTCCGTCCGACTTTTCCTCCTTCTTCTCTCTCCTCCCTCATCTCTCCTCGATCGACCTTTAATCCTTCTCGTTTGCGTCCTCGCTTGGCTTCGTCACACCCGCCCTCCTTCGCCTTTCCTCGGTGTAATCGTCGACTGTACTCCACTGGTAAGTCTCCGCGCAGTTTAACTGGGCCTCCACTGCAGTCTCTACGAGCATCAAGGTCTCTAATTTACTCGCAATCGCAGAGTTCAATCCTTCCGTTCATTCCGCCCCTCCCCGCTCGCGACTACGCCGCTTCGCAGGCTTCGCGTCAATTGCTGTCCTCGCCTTTTCCGCCGGCCTTATCTACCAGACCCAACGCACCGTTTCGCGACTCATGGCGACCCCAATCATTTCGGACGAGCAGACGCTCACCGCGTATACCCCTGAGGATGAGATTGCCCAGGAGATTAACGAGCGCCTCCGAACACACCCCGAAGCCATCCGGTTGCGCGAGGACCCTGAGTTCACGGAAGCCCGTCCGCACCTGAAGATTCCGGAGACTCTACGCCCGCGCAGCCTGACTGCCGGTACCTTGGCTGGCCCGAACAAGATTGTGGTCCCCCCGTACGTGTTCAGCGAGCGCGGGGGCAAGAGCATGGTCTCGCTCATGTACCTCGGCTCTGATATTTGCGGCCACCCCGGTATTGTCCACGGTGGTCTTCTAGCTACGCTCCTGGATGAAGGGCTGGCGCGCTGCTGCTTCCCCGCGCTCCCCAATAAGGTCGGTGTTACCGCCAACCTGAACATCGATTACCGGGCCCCCGCGATGGCGAACTCCTATGTGGCTCTTCGGGCCGAGACCGTCAGGGTCGAGGGCCGCAAGGCGTGGGTGGAGGGTCGCATCGAGACCCTCCCGGAGGAAGGCAAAGAGCCGGTCGTCTTAGTGGAGGCCAAGGCACTGTTTATCGAACCCAAGCAGGCGGCTGTAAGTGCACACTTCCATACATCGGAATCTCTAACATTTGTTTTGGGTGGCAAACGTGGCTAATTTGGTTCCCCAGGCCCTGTCGAGCCTGTACCGTGGCGTCACCGAATGAAAATTTCTCCCCGGCTCAGCATCTGGTTCCTGGTTCCTGGCGTCTCTGGCTTTGGCCTCTTGGCCTCATTTTGGTTCATTTGGGTGTATAAATCCTCGATATAATTGGGACTGTATAGCATAGAGCATAATTCATTGAGTTTCACGGCCTGACCGACGAGATGAAGAGTTAGAACCCGTAAGAGAGTCCCGGGCTCTTCGTATACTTTGGGGGCTTCGTATCGGAACGTGCCAAGCCCGCAGAAACCCCGCGATCAGCGCTCGTTTCCGCTCTTACGCGGCCCGTTTCACCGTCTTTCCCCTGCCCCTCCATCCCTGACTTTCCTCCTTTCTTTCTGCACATATACGCATCATCCCCAAAATGGCCACGTAAGTGCAATTGCAGCCTTTCAAGACCCCCAATTGCGCCGGTGCCAGCGAAGAAGACAAGGAAAAGAGTCATCCTGCTAACCCCGCCTCCAGTAACATCACCTTCCACGCCGCTGCCCTGACCCGCAAGGAGCGCAATGACCTGCGCAAGCAGCAGGGCCTGACCATCTGGCTGACCGGCCTGTCCGCGTCCGGCAAGTCGACCCTGGCCGTCGAGCTGGAACACCAGCTGCTCCATGATCGCGGTGTGCACGCCTACCGCCTGGACGGTGACAACATCCGCTTCGGCCTGAACAAGGACCTGGGCTTCAGCGAGGCCGACCGCAACGAGAACATCCGCCGCATTGCTGAGGTCGCCAAGCTGTTCGCCGACAGCTCGTCCATCGCCATCACCTCCTTCATCTCGCCCTACCGCAAGGACCGCGACACCGCCCGCCAGCTGCACGAGGTCCCCACTCCCGGTGAGGAGACCGGCCTGCCCTTCGTCGAGGTCCACGTCGATGTCCCCGTCGAGGTTGCCGAGCAGCGCGACCCCAAGGGTCTGTACAAGAAGGCCCGCGAGGGCCTCATCCCCCAGTTCACCGGTATCAGCGCCCCCTACGAGGCCCCTGAGAAGCCGGAGGTGTACATCAAGAACGTCGACCTGCCCGTCAAGGACGCCGTCAAGCAGATCGTCGACTACCTCGACTCCAAGGGTTACCTGCCCCCTAAGCAGGAGTAAATCCAGTCCCCTTAGATTTTTCTGAAAGCGACTTCTTTTTTCCTGGAGCAAAATTGAATGAATTGTACGAGAGCGGGGACATGGGTGGCATGAATGAAAGGCCGTGTGTCATGTACAGCGGGAGTGGATCTGGAGCAGCAGTGGTTTTACCTTGATTCCCCGCATACAGGCGCTGTAAATACCGGAACACATATAGATCGCTTTGAAAAAGATTTGATCCATAAAGAGAAAAGAGCGAGAGATGGAACCCTAGAAACCCTTGAAATTCCTCCCAAAGTGGAGGAAGTGTATTGTAGGATAACTGGAAAAGTCTCGTCCCGAAGCTAGACAGAAAACATAGAAGAAAAAGACACAGAAAGATAGAGAAAATAGGAAAATAAGACAAAAAAAATTCAATGCTAGTTTGTGCTCAATGTACCGGCTGGTATATGTACGCGATTCCTTTCCCTTAGCAGCAATGTCACCCGTCCTCTACGGGGGGTTACTTTAGTTGAACTCAAACTCGTAGAACACATATGGCGTGTACTCCATGCTGCCCTCAGCCCCATGCATTTCGTTAGGGTCGTCCTTCTTGACGCGGCCCTTCTTGTCTCGCCCAAAGGCATTGCCAGCCAGGTATGAGTACTTCTCCTCGAGGTTTTGCTTAGCACGGTCTGCTTGCTTCGATGACGGGGTCTGTTCAAATAATCGTTGTTAGAAGGGATCATCCACAAGAGACCGAAGAATAAAGGGAATAGAAGGACAAGAAGGCGGTCGCATACCCGGATCAGAGCGCAGACGAAGTCCAACGGCAGACCATACCGCAGCACAGTCTCAACAAACACCCGCAAGACCAGGACATGAATCCAAACCATAACCGCTTCGCTCCAGGCAGTGCGGCCAAGCCGCAGCGTCTCTCCCCACAGCTTGCGCTCATCGCCACCAACCCGCTCGACCTCCTTGCGCTCCTCCTCTTTGCCTCCCTCGACATACTTGAAGTCGCGCGGGATCCACTTCTGCTCACGGCACTTGTGCACAAACTCGGCGCTGTGCTTCTTGAAGCCGGTCACGGCATACAGCGAGAACTCGCTATCTTGGGCAACCAGCTGTGCGGATCGAGGCACAACCATCGGCGCGACAGTCTCGTAGGTCTTCAGGAACTCCTTTACTTGTTGGGATGGCACGGCGACTAGGTGGGTTTCGAGGTACTCAGAGTCTTGAACGATGGATCGGGGGTCGACAACGGAAGCAAGGGATTTGGTAGAAAGGTTCCCTCTGTGTGCAGATTGTAAGGTCAGCTTCTTGGAACAGGTTCTCGGAACGTAGGGAGGAAGCCGCACGCTTGTTTCCGCTGCAGCGTCGCCAGCGTGTTCTTTACTTGGTTATATTGCGAGTACTTAGACCGGATATCATTGTCGATACTGGCGGCTTCCTGAAGTGCATGTATAAGCCTGACTTGTACGATTCAATGCTCCTAGAGGGAGAGAGTAAGCCCACCTTGTGTAGCAAGTCGATCAACTCCGCCAGCGGCTTATCTGCGCGATACTTGACCTTGTTCCACATGAATGTCCGGAGGTACTGGTCCACAGGCTCTGCAAAGCGTCAGTCCTCGAGTCACAACCCTTCAAAACAGCCCCATCGTCTGTCCCATCGTTTAGATCACATACTGTCATTCACCACTTTCATGCGCTCGATCTGGGCCTCGTCCCCGTCTAGGATGTTCCTCAACGCATCCCCAACCTTCGCCACGACGCCCTGGCAGGAGCTCTCGAGCTTGGCCAGCTCATCTGCCTGCTGCACTAGCGCATCTAGCGTGCCGATCTTGAACTCCGGGATCGAAAACGAGGCTGCAGAGCCATTGTCGGGGGAGACGGTGGTCGATACGGCCTCGAGGGCGTCGTCGCGGTGATGCGAGGGGACGATGGAGGTCGGGAGGGAGAGAAGGAGGTACTGGCTTGGCTTGGACATGATGGCAGCTGCAACTCGAAACAACAAAAAGAGCGGCCCTCAGCGCGGGGCAAGAATGAGGGTTGGAACAGGAGCTGCGGGAAGCTGGCGAGGTGATGTCGTAGGCGGTCGGGGCGGTGATTGGTGCGGGCCCGCAGGCGATGCTCCATCCCGGACAAAGTACAGATCTCGACTCTTGCAGTCGGTCACTTTGATACTGACAAGCAACGGACGCGCAAAAGATTGGCGTCAGCAGGAATGACCGGATCAAAGTGACTGCACTCGTATTGCGCAAGGTGATTTTATATTCCCTCGCAGCTGGAATATCATCTGGCTACATACTGACTACCTACTTGTTGCCACTATCACCGCCATACATTAGGCTGGAGAGCCTCAAATCTGCTGCCAACCATCTTCACATTGGACAGAAAATGGGACTGACCACTTCCCAGGAACTGGTCAACTGGTCCAGACTATTAGCCGGAGCATGAGCTAGTGTTACGGACTACCGCATTCAAAATACAACCATGGCATGCGAGTATTTGCCATATCTCAAGAGCCAAATGACGCCGGTCATTCAGCATCAAGACCCAGAATGCTTAGAACAGAGTTTGTGACACGGTGAAAGGCTTCCCTCATTCAATCTACACAAAGATCTGTATTCGGCCTGCGATAAAGATGCATAACGCTAGAGACACGATCCAATGCTCGCTCAACAGGAGGTTAGAAGAATGATGAATAAAAAGCGAGAAGCAAAATAGACAGAGCGAAGAAGACGCAAAAAACCACCCAAACAATACAAAGGATTTTTGTGAGCCTCCACTTATGCAGCAACGAGGCACTAGGAGAACCCTTCGAGGGCCCGAGGGAATGGGTTGACTAGCTTCGAACCTGCGGAATATGTAAAGGGCGGCGCAGAGAAGAAAGAACTAACGAAAAACGAGGTATCGACGTGGCAGGGTATCTGTATCAAGCGTGCAGCGCTGATCGTGAACAGAGGGGTGTGCAGAGTGTGGTAATTGTGGAGTGGTGAAAGGGAGGAGAATGAGACGAGAGGGTGGGAGCGGGTGCGGACAAATAGCCAAAGAACAGTTGGTATCTGTACAAAATTATGCCGGCATAACAAAGGCATCGAAAAAAGCGATCAAAGAAAAATCGCCAATTCCAAGCCACGAAGTATTCGTCGAGGTGAATCGAGCGAAACTAATTGGAGCAACAGACCACGGAAACCGAGTGCAAACGTGAGGATAAAATGACAAAAAAACAGTCAAAGTTAGCCTTGCATCCCCATAAAGACCTCCTGACAGTTTTCAACCAGGAACTTGAGAACTTCATTCTTCTTCTGCACATCAGTCATCTCACGGGCCAGACTCTCAGGCCGCATGATAGTGGGGGCGAAGACGACGGCAATGTTCTGGCTGGTCATCAGGTTCTCCTCTTGACGTTCCACGACGCGTTTCAGATGGAACACAAGGAATTCAAGAACATCTTGGTGCACTCGGGGTAATTCAGAAAGGCTCTTCTGAAGACTCTCTATACGTGCAGCGGTGTTTGGGATATCTGGGGTCTCAATGACCTTATCGTAAACTTCATATGTAATCAGGGGGGTGGGCAGCTTGCGGAAGTACTGCTTCAAGGCAGAGGTGACAGCGTGAATGTCAAGATCGGGGTCAGAGATGTCGTAGTCGAAAGGAGAGCGCTCAAAGCCCTCACGAATGACCTGAATGACGGACGCGGCACCAGATTTACGGTAGATACCTTCCATGTCCATGCCTATATACTGTTAAAAATGAGCTCATGGAGTCGGTTGAATACAAACTAACCTCGTAATTCAACCTCTTGAATGCAGCGAGTGACGATGGAGGGAATGATGCTCTTCTCATGTTCCATGCGCGCAATAAGATCAGTGCCAAAAAGAGCTGAGATAGATGTTAGCTGATTCAATATGTGTTGGGGATTCAATGAGATCGTACTGGTTCCTGAAACTTCAGCCAAGACCGGCACACTGTCGGCTTGCGACATCTTGCCGCCTTGCTTGTTTCTCTGGTTCCCGAAGAAACCGAAGCCCTGACGACTCGGGTCTTGAGTTTGTGAGCGCGGAAGACCGCCCCCGCCCTCTGCATTCTCGCTGGACATGAATGCGCCCTTGAGACCCTTGACACCCTTTGCAACGTTCTGACCACCCTTCTTCCAATTAAACTTGCGGGGTTGGCCTTTGCGAATACTGACAACCTGCGGCCCGGGAACGACAGTGGCAGTAGCTGTGGTAGTCTCGGTATCATCTATCATGTGCGCTGTGGAAATTGAGGGCGCAAGGTCGCTGATGGCAGGTTTCAAAGCCTCGATCGAGGCGATAGACTTTTCCTTGTTGTGGGAGATCCCCAAACCGTTAGGACCACGACCATCTGAGCTGGTCTTGTAGAGTCCCTGTATCTGATGTACCAGTTGGTTGTTGAGCTCCGCCAGTTGGGCATTCTTCGATGACAATTGTTCGAATTCCTGGAACGTCTTCTCCTTCTGTCGGTTGAGGTTCGCAAGCTCTTCTGTGAGGTCGTTGCGCTTTTGAATGAGCTCCTCGATCTGTGGGGCGTACGAGTCCTTCAGTTTTTGAATTGCTTCGGCAAGCTCACGCAAGACGTGGTTCGAAAGCTTTGCAAGATCCAATGGGCCACCAGCAGCACCACGCTTTTCCGCTTCCAGGTGTTCGGTCAGCACATTAAGCTCACGTAAAACAATCTCTCTTTGGGCATCGAGCACAACCATAGTTGAGCGTTTTTCCGAGAGTTCTGTATTAACCTGCTTGACATCTGCAGTGGCACGCAGAGTAGCCTCCATCTCCGCCATGCGTTGGCGTTCCTTGCGTAATTCGTTGCGTAGCCAAGCAATTTCCTCAGCTTGCGAGGTGCTGGCGGTGGGACTGCCCAGTTCAGACCCGATAAAGCTTCCATTGGGGGGAGATCTGGGATACTTTGCATCTTTTCCTAGTCGTACGCTCTTATCGCTGAAAGACCGGCCGTGGCGGACGGAATTGGAGACGCGGCGCAAGAACGACTCACTTGTCTGGTCGTCACCTGTGAAACGTGCTAGTTCGTCGTCAGGGAAATCACCAGTGCTGTAACGTGGCAAGGACGGCGAGCCAGCGCTGTCCAGCTGTCGCTGAGAATCAGATAGGGCATTGGGGACTGAGGTAATATTCTGTTTTTGCAGCTCTGAACCACTGTCAGGTAACCTGGGGGAGCCGCCAAAAGTTGAGGATGAAGGGGATGCTGGGGCTTCCTTCCGAGGAATCTTGTGATGCTTGCTCTCAAGCGAATCACCTCGCTTCGGTAGTTGGTAGCCGATACTGGAAGTAGGTTGGGAGCGATTTGAATCCACAGAGGTATGTTCATGAAGTCTTCGCAGCTCGTGGGAGGGGCGGGTAGCGCCTGATGCGGCACTGTCCAGACCACCAGAGACGGCAGCTTCCTTTGATAGATTGCTGTCAGGGCTGGTAGCACTCGAGAACGTGCTGTGTTCTCTCAGCGCCAATGGCAAATCCGACCTGGAGCTGCGGGCCGATTCAGACTTGCCAAGCTTAGCTGCCTGAGAATGTGTAGTCGATGGTCTGTCTTCCATATTTCCATTTGCGTCTGCGTCACGACGAGCAGGCTCTGTCTCGCGAGTTTCCCAACCTTTCTCCTGGTATGCAATATGGGGCGAAGGGTACTCAGAAGAAGTACGGGAGGGGAGTTCTAGGTTGTATTCTCGGCCGTCACGGGAAGCCCTTACAGACGACTCACCAGACCGAAGCTGACCGAAGTAGTCATGAGTAGGCTCCTGCGATTGTGCGCGAGAAGAGGCTCGCTGGGACTCAGAAGGATCGAAGGCAAGAGGTATGAGAAATTCTCCGCCAGCATCTGCGTCGTTGTCGCGGGGTCCGCCAATTTGGCGGCTGCTTCGGTAGGTGCTGGAGGGAAGAATGAGGTTGTCTGCACGGTGAATCTTTAGTCAGTCACACTGTTCTCGCCTTGTTCAAGGGGCCATGATTTTCCTTACCCGTTGCAGCAGCCTGCTGGCTGGGGGAGGTCTCGGTTTGACCAATCTCGCCAGATCCGTCTCCCCTGCTCCGCAAACCATCTCCAGGCTCCACATAGGTCTCACTGGGGGTCTCATCAAGCGATCGGGTTTCTTCCATGCTCGGGGGCAATGAAGGCAGCGACTTGTCCAGTTTGACTCCCGGCCCACCTGGCCGTTTGCTTGCTGCACTAGCTTTTTTCTTTCGCCTTCGTTGCATTAAAGATTCATGACAGTCCATGCAGAATATACCCTGTGACGTGCGGGCGTAACGTAGGTTCTCGATCTTTCTCTTGCAGTTGCGGCAACGGAAACACTGGGCGCAGAAGGCCTGGTCGCCTGTTAAGATGGCTAGGTCCTCGATTTTATTGCCACATGAATTACAGCTGTAGGTACAGTTGCTGCAAATAAGGGAGCCATCGCCAAGGAGTAAGAGGTGTGCATCGGAGTCGAGAAGAGTCCCGCAGGTGCTACAGCGGAAACAATCGATATGCCATCTCTGTCCGGCTTGAAGGAGGTTAGCAGCGAAGTAATGAAAAGAGGGAGAAGATCATAGCGGGCATACAAAGTTCAAATGCCTTTCCTTCCTCGAGAATCTGGAGGGGGTAAAAACGTCAGTCTGCATCACAACAAGTGTTTTCCAGCGGGGTGTTTACATCTCCACAACCCATACAAGGGAACGGAATATCCTCCTGCTCCATAGGGGATTCCGGATGTATGCCCGGGGATTCCATCTTGGATGATCTTTTTCGATAACCACAAGACGTATGCCAATGACCTTCTTTGTTGTCTCAGCTCAGCGAATGCGCGCAGCGGAGAGCAAGTCCGGGTTGTAGGTCAGTAAAGGCAGAGCACGCGTTGCGCGGACATGCGCTCCCTCGAGGAAAATTGTCAAATGGTGGCCGAGGGAGAAGAAGAGGTCTTTTCGATGTGAATCGTCACGACGCTCAGCTTTTAGAGCGAGGATGGTTGCGCGGGACCGGGGAGGGGAATGCGGCAGGGGTGGGCTGGTGAAAGAAAGCCGTGGCTGAAGCGGACTGCTGAGGCGTTAGTCAACCCTTAGCACCCATGATCGGGTTCAACGTGAGAAAGAGCTTCGTCTCCTCCCTGGGGGTTCCCGAGCCACGGATTCAGCTGAGCACGGACGAGCCAGGGCCGCGGTTGAAGCTGAAATTGATCGCGGAGGACGGAATCCACCAAGGGATGGGGGAGTTTGACCATACAGAAATGATCGTGAAGGACCTTAAATGATCGTACATACCGAAAAGATGCACCGCCAGCCCAAGTGCTACACGGTGTTTCAGGTAGATAGGCGCGGGTGTTGTGACAAGCGCTTCAGGCGAAGCGAAGGGAATAATGAGGAGGGGGTTGCCCCTCGCAGGTGTTGCAATTAGACAGGCGAGAGAAAATGAAGGCTCCAGGAAATTCCCGTTGAATTGGACGGGCATTCAACCGGGAAAGGTCAAACAAGAAAAAGTTGGGGAAGAAAAAAAGGAAAGACAAGAAATGAAAAAAAGAAAAGCGTTAAGGTTGGAGGAAGCAAGTCGTCGCAAGTTAGGGGAAGGAGGAAAGGAGGCCGAGATGAAGTGGCAGAAACGTAGCTGGAACTGCCTGCCCACACTACGAACCGTCAACCTCACTCAACCCTTTCATTTCGTCGTCCTCGCGGCCGCAATTGGTTACAACTATTATGCTTATGATTGATTAGGCTCGTCCGCTACGGTCTTCATCTCCTGGTCACACCTTACGCATCCAGGCCCCCAGGCCGACCTGGATACTCGAGAAACTGACGACGCCGCCAGAACGTGCGGGCCGCATTGCTGCCCATGAGCAGTCTGCACGGCCCAATAGGATCGCCCAAGCCCCAGGGGGAGCATTTAATTAGAGCGCAGCAGCCCAGACGAAGATCCCCGAGCCCACCTCAGGTTCCGAAGAGGGGAACAATACAGCCCAGACGCTCTTCGTGCGCCCTGTGCGCCTCATCATGCTCGGACGGCAGATGTGAGATTGGAGACTTCACTGGCCCCCAAATCCCCCCTCACCCCGGCATGCCTTTTGCCTGGGCGAGAACGGGAAATACCGAACAGGCTGGACGAGATGAAGGCGGGCTCCAACTCCCGAGTTGCGATCTGAGTGACACGGCACTTCGACTCACGAAAGGCAATCTGCTCCGGATCTAACTGGCCCGCACCCAGGTTTAGGGGGAGAGGTGACCAGTTTCGAACTCCGTCGTCCGATGGCCGGCGAGCAACTGCACCATGGAACGGCTCGTCTGTCTCAAACAGGCCCCCGCTTCCAGCGCTCCTCATTCGCCAACCCAGATGGGTCCTCCTCCCCTGAAGGAGGATACGGTCACTATCGCAGGCTAAGGCTGAAGACCACGCTTGAGTTTGACTAGTAGCAGTGCCAAAAGAACCCTGAAATAAACAACAAATCTTAAGGACCCAACGGCAGGATCATGCTCTCCCTTTCCATCATTTTCTCCCTGGCGATTCGTCCGACCGGGCGGAATTTCTGACCGAGACACTCAACCAAACCCACTCACGACCAACCGCGCGCACCAAACAATCGATCGAGCGGAACGAGAACGAACCAACCAACCAGCGCAGCTCAGACCACCTTGTTTCAGCTCCTGAAACGCCTGTTGTGTCACGTGGCCCGCTCCGCTTGTAGGCGGCCGGGGTCTAGCCTTGACCTCCCGAGAACCCGAGAGAGAAGGTCTGGACGACAAAGCCAACTGTATGTAGTAGTAATGGAGCCTTACTGCAGGCGATCGCAGATCGTAACTGCCCCAGTCCCGATCGCCGCGGCCCCCGGGGGCTCGCGATCGCCACCCCATGAATCTTGGAGTCCCATACCAACGATGGAACCAGTTACAGCAGGCACAGAACCCTCAGAACCAAAAAGAAAATAAAAATATCAGCCATTCAAGCCATTCATGTACATCCAAGGATGAACCGCTTGTCTTCGGCCCGTCCTTCAGCAGCTCCCAATGTTAAAAGACCCTTGCATAATTCTGCAACTAGGTGGAAACTAATCGCCCTGCGCGACCAGCGAGCCAAGCACAAGAGATCAAAGGACCATTACCTCTTCACTGCCACAGCTGGACCCTGAACCTATCGTGGTTTCAAAAAGGCCGTGCCCTTCCAAGAAGAAACAAAGGGTCTTTGCTGAACGGGGCCAGGACTCAGCCAAGTCTTTGGGAACGGAGGGGCAGCGGCGAACTACAAGGCCCAGTGCGATTTCCTGAAACCAGACTAGATGTTGTTTGTGCGGAGCTGTTCCTTTACCAGCTCGGAACCACGCAGATCGTTCTATATTGCTCTACGGGACGCGGGTCGATTTGGATTACTTACGCCGATGGGCGCCGTGCCGGTCAGAGACATTCTGGTACCAATAGTGACCAACCAACAAGGAGACTACCATCTGTCCTCAAAGTTCGAAGGTGCCACTAATCGCTAAGGGGCTGAAAAAAAGCTTCGTCTTGTGTTGTCCTAAGACAGGTAATATTGTTTAGCTTTATTGTTTATACCCCGTTTCAAACAGAAACAAGTCTTCCGGTTTCAGCCGGCTTGAAGGGCCACTGGAAGTTAAAATCTCCAAAGAGGATAATGAGCACAATCGCACGCGATGGGCTATCGGAATTTGGAGGCAGTGTGGTAGAGCTGCTAGAATAGAAACAACTATTTCTAACCTTTCCATTATACAATTGGGATATAGCACGTGACGTCTTGACATCCATTTCATATATTCGTATCATTTTTTCTTACTCTTCGTTGATACATTAATGACAGTGAAGTTAAGTAGAGTTTCCGTCGCCAGCGAAGAAGCGTCAACTATGAGCCGTCGCGAGGAAGGATGGCAGAGGGAGGTTCGAAATGACTCGGCCCGCACAGCCGGATCGAGGAGTTGATCCTAGCTCGATGAGTAACATCCTAGGAGCTACCCCCACTGTTCTCAAACCGTAACTAGTCGAGGCCTATCGACACGAGTTGTAGATCCGGGAAGCCGGGTCAATGAATTCGGCTCAACTCAGGGTCCTGGCAGTAGTGCTTGGCGGCAGATCATGTTTTAGGGTCCACCGTCGCCCACACCATGCGCAAAATGGAAAATGGCCCATTTTCAAAGGGCCTTTAACTGGAAAAAATTGCCTCAAGTGGGCTGTCCATCGAGGTTCTGAAGGCGGTTCCGTATCGCATTGCGGTCATCATGCGCCTCGTCGTCTTCATATTCCTGTAGAACGATGGTTCGCATTATACGGCGTGGCGCTCGGCGGCCAGTGAAGAGCTCGAACTGGGCAAAACCTTGTTCTGGGAGAACGTCGAGACCATCCAGAGCAACCCAGCCTCGGTGGGACATGGCTCGAATCTGCTTCATGAGAGGCGTGTTCAGAGGTTTGTAGGCCAACTAGAAAGGCAAGTCAGATTGGAAACTGCAGCATTCAGGAAGGTGGTATAGAACTTACCTCCACGACGACACCACCGGTCGGGCTTTCCAGCCATTGAGACGGAACGGTAAAATTGGGTGCGGGCTGACCACCTAAGCTATGTGCTGGGATACCGGACACAATGATGGTCGGTTGTTTGTATTCTGCTGGCCATGGGTCGGAGAGCGAATTCAGGGTACCAACTCTGGGATGTGTATCGGGGGTCCGATCGCCAGAGAGAATATCCTGTCTGTTGTAATGATGGGCCAGCTTTTCCGCGTTTGCCGTCGTGCGGTTGTAGACAAAAATGTGTTGCACCCCTAGGTGGATCATGGAATACACGGCAGCACGCGCCATACCGCCAGAACCAATGACAAGGCCAGTCGTCGAGGGACGCACGGCATTAGCAGGTGATAGACCACGGCGGATACAGTTGCAGATTCCGATCCAATCCGTGTTGTCTCCATGTAAACCTTTGATAGGACCAGCACGGCTCTTCTCAAGAAAGATGGAAGACTCTTGTGACAGGCGCGGATCAGAATCGTCGTTGTTTCGAATAGGAATGAGAGTGTTGACAGCGCCAATTGCTCTCGCGTGGGGTGACATGGAATGGAGAAGAGGGATGACTTCGGTCTTGTAGGGAAGGCTAACACTAGATCCACCAAAAAATTGGTTTTCGACCAGCTCATTCAAGCCTCGAAGAGAAGGCGATTGAAAAATGGAGTAGAAATGTGGCATTCCACAGACCTTGAAGGCAGTGTTATGCATGGCAGGTGACATGCTGTAATTCACGTTGGCACCAAAAACGAAGAATTGCATCGGATCCAATGCAAATGAACTATAGAGTGCACGTTGAGCGTCACGGGCAGTTATGGTGGGACATAAGAGTGAAGAGCTTCCGGGGGTGATGGAGGGATGGGAGACGGGGGTGAGAGTAGGGTTGAAACAGCGGGACATGCGTCCAAGTGGACCGGTATTATAAGCAATGAGAGGAAGACCAGGCACAGGGAGGTTTTCAAGGCGATGCCGGAATCGCTGCACAGCATGATTGTCTTCCATGGACTCAGCTGGCTGACAAAGTCGGACAACATTGCATCCCAGTCTCTTCGCTCGCTCATAGATCTTCATGTATTCATATCCATCCCATCCGCCAGGGAGGGGATGGAAAGCCTCAAAGTGGCCAACGATCTTGGTGGTTCCTCTGCAACTCACAATCTGAGAGATGACGGCATCATCGCGAGTTAAATCAACGGTGAGAAAGGTGGGCCCCAGACGCAGGCCGTGCCGAACAAGTTTAAGATAAACCTCGTCACTGGAGCGGGATGCTTGACCAGGTGAGCGGGAACCTTGGGGTGTACTATAGCTCTCAACATGGTACATCAAAGGCACGATGATATTTCGACGCAGGGTTGCCACCACCTGACTGATCCTGTCGGCTAGGTTCGAATCGGCACCTAGCTGGTTGGACGAACTTGTAACGTCGATCACCAGCTCGAACACATCTGCGGTAAACTCGAGCTCTTCGATGTCTAGGTTCATGTCACAGAGTGCGGAGAATGGCACTGATATTGCGCATGTGTTCTTCCTAGTTTCAGGGGGCAAAAGAGACAATGGGAACGACGCATGCTGACGGCTCATCTCCGGGGTGTCGGCGGTCACAAAAGCAATAAAACTCAGGAAATCACGCTGGACTTGCTTCAGCATGAGAAATGGAGTGGGTGTCTGTGATCTCTGGTCCAGCTTCGGCCCTGGTGATTGTTTTGGCCCCGGTGAGTGATCGTGGCCATCCTCGGCCGTGCGGTCGCCGCCGTTGGTAGCCTCAGAGAGATTGAAGAATTCCAAATTCGAACAAGCTCGATATATTGGACCGGAAAGTTCGAGAAAACGTCGCACCTTCTGGGTATCCCACGCTTTCAAATAGGACTGGATGCTGTCTGGGTCCCGAATAACATGGACGACGGGATGCGTCTGCGCATATTCCCGAAGGAGTCTCTGTCCACTGCGCTCCATCGATCCGGCTCCGCACGCAATCACACATCCTTCTTGGTTGTCCGATAACATCGACTCGAACACCCGGGCTTCTTGTTGGCGATACAAGGCGTGGTCATTGTCTTTTTTGAACGCTGCACGCGAGCACCCGGTTATTTGTTGGAAGTAGCGGTCGGCATCAATCAAGCGGCGGCCGGATGTGGCGGCTAGAATAACTGCCAGACTCGATTTGCCCGTCCCACGAATGCCGATGAGTACAATCGAAGCCTGCGGACTGAATTTGCGGGGAGTCTTCAAAGGACCACTATCGAAGAGAACCGGCGATGCGCGGTTGGAGTGCAACTCCTGGAGGGAGTTCGACAGTGTATTCGATTCGCCATGGGCATCTACCTGCTCGCTCGACCGTCGTGACGTTGGTTCCGATCGGATCGCCGGCGACCAAGAAACCGGTCCGCTCGAACTATGCTTTCGAGGCCCATCGTCGGGATCGACTTCGTGCAGTTTGCGCTTGGGCGGCCGCACCAAAATGGACATGATGTCGCAGATGAGGTGGTTAAGAAGGGAGGGAAGGGCCCATTGCCATGAGAGAAAGGATCGTAGAGGTTGTGGGGTTTGGCTGAACGGTTCGGAAGGAAAGTCCAGGCCGGAGGTGTGGGAGGCTAGTCGCAACTTGAACCATTAGGTAACCGCGGTGAAGATGAGTTCACCGAAGTGGAGGTTTTGCGGGGGGAAATTCTGCGTTACGCTGGTGCGAGCGGTTACCGTACGTGACCGGAGACCGGACAAGCCCTCTGCCGGTAGTGGTTTTCCCCGCGGGGTACGGCTCGGTTGCATGCAGGCACGAACCCAGCTGCGAGTCTCGGAGGGAAGCGAGAAGAGGGGGAAAAAAATAGAGGAAAAATTGGCGGGGATTGTATAGCAATTTTCAGGCTCACATCGAAATCAAGCATCCTAGGCATTTCGTTGTGTTCGTAATTCTGCCCAAGCTTAAGGGAAGGACACCCAAGGTTGCCCCATATTACTTTTTGCCCAATAGCGACTGGCTCACCGACTTAGCGGGTATCCGTATCCTTCCCCGGAACAGCGAGAATCCTGCCTCGCTGGTGAACTCGGCTGCTCGGCTGCGCCATCTCTCCTTCCTGCACTCCCCATTATTACCTGCCAAATCATTGCCCGTGTGGCCTCCCGCATTTTCCGCCTTTCTCGCACGGCCCCTGTCTGATTGTGGGGCGGCCATTCATGGCGTAAGTCGCCTGTGCGAGATCTGTGTAGCCGTGGTCGGCAAAAGATTCAACTCCCTCATCGCACACCGATCGCATCGCAGGAACATGCGCCCGAAATCGCCTAGCGGATCCTCGACGCAATCATCATGAGCTCCGAACCTCGCCAAGCCACCGGAGGGCACACCAAATCCAAACGGCGATGGACCGATCCCGATGAAGAAGGCAGGGCCAATATGCCGGACGATCTCGCTCAGCCCAAGCGACAGCGGGTGTCAAGAGCCTGCGATAGCTGCCGCTCGAAGAAAGACAAGTGCGATGGGGTACAACCGGTGTGTTCCACATGCGCATCGCTATGTCGGCCCTGCACCTACAAGGCCAACCCGAAGAAGCGCGGCCTGCCGACGGGCTACATTCGATCGTTGGAGCTGCTGTGGGGGCTGGTCTTCCAGAAAATTCAAGGCAGTGAAGATGTGATGCGGGCATTGATGCGATCCATCAATCTGCCCAGCCATCTCGCCACGATGGGCAAAGAGGCCGAAGGGTCGGATACACTCCTGTCGTCGTTCAAGAATAGTACTGTCCTAAGAGACATTGAGCGGATGCTAGTCGTCCTGGAACAACCGGAAGAGGAAAGAGAGCGCAGTCTCCAGGCCTACGGGGATGGAGACACTCCGCTGGACATGGATGGAATCCTCGCATCCACCGAGGCCCAGGAGTGGCAAATACCAGAGGGATTGGAGCATCGCGAGACCCCGCTAGGCGTGTCACCGTCCCGAGTATCAATGATCAGTTCGGCCACGAGGCCCTCTGGCTATCGCACCCGAGACTCCGCTGCTCAAACCATGCCCGACGAAATGCAATCGCCCTCGCTCACCATTACTCTTAATCCCGACGACCCGCGAATAATTTCGACCAGTCCTCCCCTACAACTCCCTTACAACGCCTGGCCCCTCCTCGACATCTATTTCTCATACACGCAATGTTGGTTTCCCATATTGGAGAAACATGACATCCTCCGGACGGCTTTTCAGTACACCGAAGGTGATGTGTATATGACTCGCTCAGCGCCTGGGTCTGGTGATCATGCTGCCTTATGGGCCGTCCTCACTCTCGCTTCCCTTCAGGATGCATCCATCAACCCTCACCAACCAGGCGATGACCAGTCTGCTTCCCGAGCCAATCCTTTGCGATTGTATAATACCGCAAGGGAGCTCATCCCGTCCGAAATTGGCCCCTACGAAGTAGGCCACGTCCAGGCTCTGCTGATATTATCCTTGATCAAATTTGGCCAGCAAGAGTGGACTGCCGCTTGGATGCTGGTTGGACATGCGGTACGAATTGCACAGACGTTGGGTTTAGACCAACCGGCCTTTGCGCCACCTGCCCGATCTCCCGAGCAAGGCAAACAGCTGGGACGAGCCAAGCACGTCTTCTTGGGATGCTTTGTTCTCGAGACTTTAATTGCAGAACACACATCACAGTGTCCCTCTTTGCGTAAAGACGATTTGGCTCGAGTTGGTGCCATCAATGAAGATGGGCTCGAAGAATGGCATCCTTGGGAAGATCAGACCGGCCTCCGACCTACACAGTCTTCTCGAGCCTCCATGCAGCGCGGGCCTCTCCATGCACTAAGCACATTCAATCGGCTTGTCTCTTTGGTTTCCATTCTCAATGACCTCTGCTACTACAAGCAAGACCCCACTATTTCACGCTCTCAGTTTGAGTCACTGGAACTTCAATTACATCGTTGGGCATCGAACCTTCCCAAGAGCTATCGAGTCGATCTGCAGAGCCGCCCAGTGAAGCTGGCATCACCACACATCTTCGGATTAGAGATGACCTATCAGAGCATTGCTACCTCTCTGAGCCTGCAGATCGCCTCTCGTGAAAGCGACCAAAATATTCCCGAGATGCCTCATAAGGCAAAGGCCATTGAGAGCTCGAAGCGACTTCTGCATTTGCTACAGGTATACATGGAAACATACAGCTTCTCCGCAACGGTACCGACGTTTGGCATGATCCTTCGATACTGTCTCCCGCGGTCTATGTCTCGAGATCCCGTATCCGATCTAGAATTGGGATTACGGAATAAGATCCAGTCGTTCTCCATGCACTTATCTCAACTTTGGCTCACGATCGATCGACCCGATCCAGATCAACACTCGATGCAAAGGATCCATGGCATGATTCTTTCCCCCGTCATCATCCCAGCAACCGGATAGCACTGCACCCGACGATACGGCATTACACCATTTACCACCTACATCTACTTCCCACCATCTCGTCCCTTCGACTGACCCTCATCGTGCTCCAAGTACTACTCCCCATCCTCCCTCCACATCTGACCCCTTCCTCTCCACTCCTTGGCTCCGTGCCACCCAGGGGATTGATGACGGCTCCTTGCTTCCTACTCCCACTCCATCCATGACTACTCTCGGGGCTGCGCCCGAAGTATCGGCCCAACCGAATCAATTGGAGGGCTCCTTGAGCGGCGGGGTGCGCCAGACGACTTCTACCCCCTCCAAATCTCACCATGCCATGATTTCTGATCTTCCCCCGTCTTTCCCACCTGCTGGCCAGTATCACACTGCATACCAGGATCCCGCAATTGGGCTCGGGCCTTTCGTCGACATGGATGGTTACGGGCCCCCTCGGCGGCAGCAAGGACAGCCGCAGCAACAGCCGCCGCCGCAGCAGCAACAACCACAACAGCAGCGAATAGCACCAGACCTGGATGCGTTGTTTGATGAGCTTGCATCGCTCGATGGAGCCGAGAAGTAAGTCCATGAATCCCTTATTCTCTTATACAACGAAAGAGACAGCATGTTAATCTCATATCTCATAGGCCTGATAATCAACCCGAGTTCATGCAGAACCTAGGGTTTGTAGCCGACCCGGAGATCTACTCCCTTTTCAAGTCAAATCGAGCCTTTTCTCCTCGCCCAGACACAACAGATGCCTGGGAACGGAACTCCGTCCGTCGTACGGCGCGAGTCGCAGCCCCTTAGCATTTCCAGCACGCCCAAGAGATGATGTGATTTCCGATCTTCGGATTTTTTATATTTCATCGCCGCTGGTCGGCTAGCCCCGCCGAAAGCCAGGCTACCCTGGAGGCCTTCTACGCACGCAAGACTGGCGAGCTCCCTCACGTGCTGGTCCAGCAAAAGCCCGGGTTGGAGGAAATGAACGAGTTTAAATCCTGATCTTTATCCGTTCGATTGGATGCTTGTATCTTCTTCACAACGCCGATCCCCGTGGTCCTTTAAGAGGCCCTTTTCCCGTCATCTCGTACAGAAGAGACTATATAGCTAGCCTATTGTTCGAAGGGCTCTGTGCAGAGCTAGAATCAAATACACTTCACCAAGCCTTTTGGTTAAATAATTCAAATGACACCATCTCCACACTAACGGAGTAGGCACCTTGAATATTTTGATCTTGAGAGTAAAGGATGGATGGCGAGCTCGGGATGACCCGGAGCGCACACGTATTCATGGTACTATATACAACACTTTATATACACAAGACCCCAATTTTTGTTCGAGCGATCATTCCAGTCCAGAAAAATAACCACCCCCACATCCCGTTCTCCGTATCTCACAGGCCATTTACAACGCCGCCTTCTCCAGCTCCTTGAAGTTCACCGCTACGTGCTCCACGGCAACCTTGTAGCCGTATACACCCAAGCCGACGATAATCCCCGCCGCCTTATCGCTGAAGTAGGAGTGATGGCGCCAGGGTTCACGAGCGTGCACATTGCTGACATGCAGCTCGATGAAGGGGATACCGACGCCGAGCAGGGCGTCCCGGATGGCGACGGAAGTGTGGGTGTAGGCGCCCGGGTTGATGATGATGCCGTCGACGTTGCCGCGGGCGGCCTGGATGCGATCAACAATTGCGCCCTCATGGTTGGACTGGAAGGCATCGAAGGTGCAGCCATGCTTAGCGGCAATGGCGCGGCTGTCGCTCTCGACGTCGGCGAGAGTCGTGTGGCCGTAGATGTGCGGCTCGCGGGTGCCGAGCAGGTTCAGGTTCGGCCCGTTGATGAGGAGGATAGATTTGCCCATTGTGAGTTTTGGGAGGTGGTGTCTGTGAATTGGTCTCTTTGTGTAAATTGGGTCTTCAAACGTGGGAAGGAGGGAGGGGAAGAGACTGCCACGATGGAGGGGTGTCTGATAACTCGCGGACTGCCTCGGGTTTGTGCCCGTCGTGATTCGCGCGTTGATCTCTCCGCATTTGCCCCTCCGCGGCTGAGCCCTTTGCCGGCTGGGGGCCCACTGTGAGAGGTGCCCGCAAACCGGGTCTTTGGACTTGTCATGCTCGTTTCCAATGGGTAATTTTTCTTGTTCTTTCATCTCCCTCGTGATTGGACCTTCGAAAGCCCCTCGTCGCTCCTCTGGCCACTGTGGGGGACGGATAATTGCTGGTGAAAATATGCGGCGCTATGCGGCATCATCCGGGGGTGGGGGCTTCTGCCCTCGCTGGTCTGCCTTTGGCGCTATTCACGATCTCCTATTTATTCGTAGTCTCTGTCAGTTCCCCGGAATTTCAACTGTCAAATACTATCTTAGCCTCGTTCTCTACCATTGGACGAAAGGAAGCGATAGATAGAAGAAGAGAGAGTCATCAGGAGCTAACATGAACTATACAACTCGAATCTCCCAGGAGCTCAGATCCAGGAGAACAGCTTTGGGGGAGCACATCCTAGCACCACAATTATAAATCCCCGATACAGTGTTTTCTGTTAGAAGTATAGCTTCAAGAATTCTCATGCCTAGAATTGTTCTTATCCACTGCTTTTGAGTCGCTCACAGCATCGCCTTAACTCCCGCGTAGGCGGGATCCAACTTGTAGCAAATCTCCCACGTTCGCCAATTTTCCGTAGACAAGAACCAGTCAGTCTCAACATAGCTATTCCAAACGAACTTGAACCCATATAAATTACATAAGCCGTATCTGCCAAATCCGTTACCTTCCAACCCCGCAAGGAACATGATGCGCGGCAGTATCGAGGTCACTGCGACTCCACCGCAAGTGGAGAAAGCCCGCCGATAAAGCAACCCGCTTAGTGACGGTACGCTCTCGACCTTTTTTTCTCACCGTGACTCAACGTCACACCATCTCCCATTTCCCTGCTAAATCCCTTGGAACATACTCATCCACCCACTCTCGACCATCAAACCGACCTCTATCAACCCTCCCGTCTTCGCCCGACCTCCTCCTGCATACCCCCGTCCCCGCCATGTCTGCCGCACCCCTCTCCCAGGCGGACCTGGACGAGATATACGCCTTCGCGGTGGACTTAGGCCGCAAGGCCGGCGATCTGTTGATGGAGCGTGTAGAGCAGCGCATTTCCGGCAGCGATGGTCACTCACAGAAGTTTGAAGAGAAAGAGAATGCCGTTGACATTGTGACTCAAACCGACGAGGGTAAGCTCTTGGGGATTTGTCCATGCGGGACTCCTCCACACGGCGCTCTAGCTTCAGACAGACTGACCAGACACTCTCCCAGACGTCGAGGTATTCATTCGCAACAGACTGCAAGCCAAATATCCCTCACACAAGTTCGTTTGGCGCCGTCCCCGCGCAGCCGGCAAGAATCATGCTAACCGCCCACCAGATTCCTGGGCGAAGAAACCTACGCCAAGGGCCAGTCGCGCGACTACCTGATCGATGAGCAGCCGACATGGTGTATCGACCCCCTAGACGGTAAGCTCCATTCCCTTCTCGAATCCCTTCCCCAGCTCGAACGGCCCCACGCTCCATAAAATTCAGCCTTGCTAACCGGTACCCCCGTCTTTTTAGGAACCGTCAACTACACGCACCTTTTCCCGATGTTCTGCGTGTCTATCGGGTTTATTGTGAATCACCGCCCAGTCATCGGCGTCATCTATGCGCCTTTCCAGGACCAGCTCTTCTCCGCGTGCAGCGGACGCGGCGCCTGGCTGAACGAGAAGCGCCGCCTCCCACTTATCCGGAATCCCTGCCCGCCGATGCCGCCGAATGCTCCGGCGCAGTGCATTTTCTCCTGTGAATGGGGCAAGGATCGGCGCGACATCCCCGACGGCAATCTACAGCGCAAGATCGAGAGCTTTGTCAATATGGCATCCGAGCTGGGGTCGCGCGATGGTAAGGGCGGCATGGTGCACGGGGTGCGGAGTCTCGGGAGCGCGACGCTGGATCTGGCGTATACGGCTATGGGGTCATTTGATATTTGGTGGGAAGGTGGTTGTTGGGAATGGTAGGTTTCTTTTCAGCATCACTTGTTTTCTGTTTTAAATTCTGGGGGACTTCGCAGGACTTCGCAAACTGATGCAATCCAGGGACGTCGCTGCGGGTATCGCTATCCTCCTCGAAGCCGGCGGTCTCGTCACCACTGCCAATCCGCCCGACAACCCAGAGACTGCGCCCATCGAGGACGTGAGACTGGGCAGCCGGCTCTATCTAGCAATCAGGTTCGTTTTTCAATCCCGCAAAGCATCCCTGCATGACCTTCCCACTCATTGACTTCATTCATTAGACCCGCAGGCCCATCAGCCACCGAAACAGGCCGTGAGTCGCAGGAGCGTACCGTGCGGGAAGTCTGGCGGCGGGTCCGCCATCTACCCTATTCCCGGCCAGGGGCATGATAGATACCCTCCACCCTATCACATCCTCGAAGAGGGTGTTACGAACTGACACATTTACATTGATTTCGTGATTTCGTGATTTCGGGTTCACTCTAGTTGTCCCTATCTACCAGCAGGATCTGGCGGAAGCCGTCTTATCTGTAGATTCAGAGTCATGTATTCCACAACCGACGCCATCCATCTATAATGCCAGAATTTTAAAGCTCTATACAAATCGTTTCATGACATGAGGTTATAATAATCAAATGAAAGAAAAGAAAAATGCGCAAAGAATCAAGGGACGTGTAGAAACGCTCATGCCTTTACAGGGTCGAGGCCTTCTTCGCGGCCCGCTCTGCGACAGAGCCGTTGACGACGTCCTTCACAGCCTGCACCACGCCCGGGGTGCCGACGACATCGCGGCCAGTCCAGAGACGGGCCTGCTCCAGACCCTGCCAGATCAAAGCCTCGGAGCCCAGGATGACCTTCCAGCCAGCGGTCGACGCCAGCTGGGCAATCTCAGTCCAGGGCACGGGGTGGTAGCACATCTCCAGGATGACACCCTGCTGGGTGGAGGCGGTGGCAGCGGAGCCGAGGAACGCGGTGATGACCTCGCGGGAGCGCAGCTCCTCGGGGGTCTTAGGCGGGTAGTTGGGGATACCGGAGACGATGGCAGCAGGGGCCTCGAGGCGGGCGGCCTCCTCGGGGTCAGTGACGTGCTGGATGGGTGCCTGGGCCGTGACATCGGGGTTGCGGGAACGGTCCTCGGCCAGGATGGTCGCGACCTCGTCAGCGTCGCGGTTGACGATGTAAATGCGGCTCGAGCCAAGCCAGCGGCGCATCACGTAGATGGCGGTGCGAGCGGTACCACCACCGCCGATGATGAGAGCGGGCCGGCCGCGGAAGCGCGAGGGATCGGGCGAGTTCTGGATGAGAGCCTCGCGAATGCCGTCGCAGTCGGTGTTGGTACCGACGTACTGGCGGGCACCGGTCTCAGGGTCCTTGCGCAGGAAGATGGTGTTGCAGGCGCCGGCCTGGCGGGCGTGCTCGGTCAGGTCATCCAGGTGCGGCATGATAGCGACCTTGTGCGGCATCGTCACAGACGAGCCGACGAACTTGGGGTTGGCGCGAATGGAGGCCAGGAAGGTCTCGATGGCGGGAGACCGCGTATAAGGAGGAGGGTAGGTGGCGGAGGTGCCGGTCACGCTGGACAGCGGAATCTGCGTCCAGTTGAGGCCCAGGGCATTGTAGACAGTCTGGTGCAGCGGGGGCGACAGTGAATTCAGGAGCGGGTGTCCATAGAGATAGGCCACGCCATCCAGATGCGCGGGGCTGGTGATGGGCTCCTCGGGGGCTTGACTGGCGGGGGGTAACTTGAGGCGCGGCCATGATGAATGTTGTCACAGGGAGGGGGAGGAGAATTGATGGAGGGGAAGGGGATCAGGGTGCGATGAGGGGCAAGAGATATTATAAGAGTGTCAATGAGTGGGCCGGAGCCGATCGGGTCCGTGTTGAAGCTATTGCGGACAGGATTTTACCAAGCACAACAGCGTAAGAGTAGAGCCGCGGAGGGCGGAGAAACACTTTGCTCCCTCCCCACAATTGCCAAATATCCACCACACGTCGCCACTTCGTTTCTTTCCCTCCCCACGTCCCTCGGCTAGGCAGCCCCTTCATGGAATCTCCGAGCCCGATCATTACAAGCCTGTATTATCGGTTGACTGTATGGCCGAGCTCAGCTGGTCTCATTCCTTGTTTGCTGGTCCCGTGCAATTCATCCTGCAACCCCTCCCCCGAAGAGGGCGGATGTCCTGTCCTCTATCCGTGGGCAGAATGCTTTGCCACAACCGCTCCGCCTCCCCCCGTGGGGATGTCAATCTTCTGGGCATGATTCGAGGTACAGAGTTTATTGAAAATAAGGAAGCCAATAAGAGCATCAAAGTTACCAGATCAGCCAAGACGAGCCAAGATCCAAGAAATTCGCAACCGCGTTTGGTCGTTCTTCAGAGCCCAGAAACGTGACTTTGCCTCAACACCCAAACGGCGCCGGGGGATCGCTTTTCCCCGCCACCCACTCACTCTCCATCGTCCATTGGCCGCTCTCTTCCGCGGTCTCGCGTGGCTCCGGTGGGTTCCTCGAATCAGCGAGAAGCAGTTTCATGCTCGTGCAGTCGGCTTGCAAGACCTAGAACGTGCGTTTGCCCTGGGGTACCCCGTATGGAGCTACGATGTGCCTATGCGGAGGATAGCACACTTTGGGGTCATCTCCAGAACCTCCCCGGGAATGGCTCCACTTCGTCAGCGGCATCGGAGCTCCCCACAATCCACAACTCGTGGCCCAACCAGCAGAGATTTTCAGATCACACGCCCAATACCCTTCCTTCACCAGGCCAAGCCCAAGCCTCTTTTCCTTTGTAGAAAAACTTTCTTGGGGCCAAGGGGCAGCCACACGAGTTTATGCTTCTCGGCGGCGCACTGTTCGCTTGCCAGCCAACCGTAATCTCTATATCGTTTTGCCGGAAGTTAACCCTACCCAAGGTTGTCTGTGAAGGCAAAAGGCAATTTTGCGCTTAACTTTTCTCCGCCTCCACGACACATGGTCTACTCGCCCCCCTAAACTGCATGACCCCGGATTTCCTCTTTTCTTCCCCAAGTTTGCAATCTTCCGTCTGGGGTCTGGCGCGACTATTTAGGTCTCCCCCATCCCTCTGTCTTGCACAGATCATTTCATTTCCTCCTTCTCACTCCAGACTTCACTTCCTCTCCCCTTCCCCCTTCCTCCATCTTCCCAACCTTCAACCTTCAACCCACCACCACCACCCACTTGTTGATATCGAGTGTTGATACCTGCACTTGTTGGTGCTGCAACACAACTTATCCCTCGACGGGATCGATCTGACCTCCTACTTGAACATTGCATCAGTAGGACAGATCTTGGTGCCCATCGCGTAGTTTTACCGCGTTTTCCATCTTGATACCAATTTCTCCCTCATACACGTTCGCCACCATGTCTATCCTCAAGGTGGTCGAGGATCGGCCCACGCCCAAGGCCGTCTACAACTGGAGAATCTACCTCCTGGCCGCGGTAGCCTCATTTACCTCGTGCATGATCGGCTATGACAGCGCCTTTATTGGCACGACCATCTCCCTGCAATCCTTCAAGGATGAATTCCACTTCGACACCATGAGCGACAGCGCGCAGGATTTGCTGAGCGCCAACATCGTGTCTCTCTACCAGGCCGGTGCCTTCTTCGGCGCGTTCTTCGCGTACCCCATTGGTCACTTCTGGGGACGTAAGATTGGTCTGCTCGCTTCAGCATTGGTTTTCATCCTCGGTGCGGGTCTCATGCTGGGTGCCAACGGCGATCGGGGCCTGGGCCTGATCTACGGTGGACGAGTCCTGGCTGGCCTGGGTGTCGGCGCCGGCTCCAACATTACGCCCATCTACATTTCCGAGTTGTCACCCCCAGCTATCCGAGGCCGATTGGTTGGCGTTTACGAGTTCGGCTGGCAGGTCGGTGGCCTCGTCGGCTTTTGGATTAATGTATGTTTTCTCCTCCCCACGGGGAACTCACAGCTTGGCTGCCCCATAATCTTTTCATACGCACAAATAACTAATAATCACAATTACAGTATGGCGTTGACTCGACCATGCCCCCTAGTCACAAACAATGGATCATCCCATTCGCTGTTCAGCTCATCCCCGCTGGTCTCCTGCTCATCGGCGGAACCTTCATCCGCGAGTCGCCTCGCTGGTTGTTTTCGCGCGGTCGCCGGGAGGAGGCCATCAAGACTCTTTGCTGGATCCGTCAGCTGGATGAGAACGATATCTATATGGTTGAAGAGATCGGTGCCATCGACCAGGCTCTGGAAGAGCAGCGTGCCTCTATTGGACTCGGCTTCTGGAAGCCCTTCCAGGCCACTGCTACCAACAAGGTGGTGCAGTACCGTCTTTTCCTGGGAAGCATGTTGTTCTTCTGGCAGAATGGCTCGGGCATCAACGCCATCAACTACTACTCTCCGACCGTGTTCAAGGTAAGTCCTCATAGAATCTTGGTCCCACCATACCACATCCAAAGTAGCCAGCTACTAACGCCATTGAATCACAGAGCATTGGTCTCACCGGTACCAACACTAGTCTTTTCACCACTGGTATTTTTGGCGTAGTCAAGACAGTCGTCACCTTCATCTGGATTCTGTGGCTCATCGACCGTGTCGGCCGACGGATGTTGCTGTTGGTCGGCGCCTTCGGTGGCTCCGTCTGCCTGTGGATCGTTGGTGCGTATATCAAGATCGCCAAGCCGGAGCAAAACAAGAGGTCGTCGCTGGACGGCGGCGGTATTGCGGCCATGTTCTTCTTCTACCTGTGGACTGTCTTTTATACCCCGACCTGGAACGGCACCCCATGGGTCCTTAACTCTGTGAGTACACCCTCTCTCTCTTCGCAAGCATTTTCAAGGAACAGCCGGCTAACAATTGGGCTCCCAGGAAATGTTCGACCCCAACATGCGTTCGCTGGCTCAGGCCTGTGCTGCCGCCTCTAACTGGCTGTGGAACTTCCTCATTTCCCGCTTTACTCCCCAGATGTTCGACAAAATGGGATACGGCGTGTACTTCTTCTTCGCGTCGCTGATGCTGTGCTCCATCGTCTTTGTCTACTTCCTCATCCCCGAGACAAAGGGTGTTCCGCTGGAGAGCATGGACCAGCTGTTCGAGATCAAACCCATCTGGAAGGCCCACGGGGAGATTCTTCAGAGGCTGCGCGACGAGGAGGAGCGGTTCCGCCACGATATCGAAGAGTCTGGTGTCGGGAACAAGGTTGGCGCAGAGCAGGTGGAGTACACCAGCCACAGCGAGCAGAAGCAGGACTCCGCCGTATAAAGGCTCCACAGATGTGTAATCTGGCGTGTTCAGAGAGGTTTTTTTTCCCATGATATCATGCTTTAGAGGCCGGGGCACGTTTGTTGGTTGTTTTTTTTCCTTTTTGATGAATTCCTTGGTCATGAATGATGTAAGGCGTACGCCCTGGAGAACTGGAATAGTGTTTGAATAAAGTGACGATAATGAACATTAAGACTTTGAAAACTTTCCGCTCGTTGTAGACGAAAAAAGCTCGCATGCTCCTTCCAACAAAGGTTGTTCGGAGGTATTAAACATTGATCTGCGACCCCATTTCCATATGCACATAGTGAAGAAGTAGCTGAGAAAAGAGGTTGATTTGGTACCGTATGCTAGACTACCAAAATTTCGCCAAGGCAGAATAAGGTATAATCGAGCAAGACAGCGCTTTTACACCCGACTCGGAACCCAAAAAAAGAAGAAGAAAAGCGAGTTCATTGGGTTAGAGGATCAACAGGGATATCCACGGGCTGGCCCGTCTGCATGGCTGTTTCAACCGCCTTGCAAACAATCAGGGCCCGCAAGCCCTCCTCACCTGAACAGCTAGGCTCCGCATTTCCGCGGATCACGTCCACAAAGTGCGCTAGCTGGAGATCAAAGGGCGCAGCCTCGTCCGGCAGAGGAATTTTCTCCGTGCTCAGAGGATTCGACCAACTCTTCTCCGACGACCCATCGTAGCTCCACCGCGTGAGATCGGGCACGCTCAGTGAGGCATCTGAGCCAAAGATGCGGTAAAAGTCCGAGCCCTCGCGAGAGGCCGCGATCATCGGGTTCTCGCCAGTGCCGGTTTCGAAGTTATGGGGGGACGGCGTCGCATCACAGACGAGAAAAGTGCCCACAACGCCGGAGGCAAAGCGCAGCGTGAGCGCCGCGCCTTCATCCGCATCGTGGGGCGGACTCGGCCGTTGCGGGAGAATCTTCTCTGCCTGGATGCGGACGATCGGGCCAAAGAAGTGGTGCATCAGATCAATGTCGTGGACGAGGTTGATCGGAATGACGCCGCCGCCGCGGGCACCAGATGCGCGCCAGTCGGTCGGAGGCGCGAAGTACGGATCAGGCTTGTAGAGCGTCCACAGGCCGTTCACTGCAATCGGGCGGCCCAGCGAGCCGGATTCAAGGACGGATTTGGTGGCCCGCACGTAGGGGTTGAAGCGACGGTGGTGGCCGACGAGAAGTTTGAGGTGGGCTTGTGCCGGCTCCTTCGCGAATTTCAGGAGGGATCGGCCCGTCTCCAGAGTGTCACTGACCGGCTTCTCGAGCAGGACATGTACGCCGCCGGCAAGCAACTCCTTGGCCACAGGGACATGAGTATGGTTGGGGGTGCAGACAATCGCTGCGTCGGGTTTGTGCGGAGACGCCAGCAGGGCTGCAACAGAGGTATAAAAGTTGGTTTTCAACTCTGCGGCAGTAGTAGGGCCCGTTGGTGCTGGGTCGACGAGAGCAACCAATTCAGTTGACGGATTGGAGATCACGGAATGAGCGTGACGCGGGCCGATGAGCCCGGCACCGACAATTGCAACTTTGACAGACATTGCGGAGGACAAAATGACCAGATAATTCGATTATTACAAGATTCAGCAAATCGGAGGGATGAGCACTTCTAGAGAAGTTCTAGAGAAGGATTTTGTGGGGTTTCAAGGTGGTAGATATGAAGGAGTCGGATGGACGGTCATCGTCGAAGAAGCTGGGGTAGTCGCCATGTCGGGCACCTCGGGTTTGACAGCGGGCTTGGCAATGGCGTTAAGGTAGGATAAGTCCTAACCGACAGGTCCCAAAAGGATAGAATATAACCGGGTACCCACGGTCATTATATCGAGCGACCCAAGGGACCTTCCCCCCTCTGCTTTTCCGGGCAAGTTTCAAGAACCTGTTGTGCGAGTGGAGGAAGTGGAGCGGGTAAACGCAGAGCGCGGGAACGCTTACCCGGTCAGGTGACCTTTCTCGATCGCCATCGCGCAAAGTTAGGGAAGGCAGAACGCAAAACCACCAGGGTGAGGGGGAGAATGTTTTCTCAGATCCATTTGAATCCAGACGGGAAAAAGAGGATAGCCCCGGCTAGTTGGGCTCGCCAAGTTGTTTTTACTATTTCGTTGCGCTTTGTGGCATTGATCATTTCTCCTTGTCAAAGATCCCCAGCACGCGACCGGATCATCATCATAAAATAAGTCGTCCTTTCTGGCCAGTATCGATATTTTCCCCGATTTCAACGGTTAAGATCATATCCTAGTCGCCAAGATGTTCAACCGCCCAGGAATCGCGTCTATGTCTCTGGGCCGGCCGTGGATCCACGACCTCCCTGGCAAGCTGATGCAGGCTGCCGCTCACGGCTTTGAGGGCATCGAGCTCTTCTTCGATGATCTCGACTGCTATGCCCAGCGAGTCTTCAATGGCGACCACCTCGAGGCTTCCCGTCAAGTACGCCGACTCTGTGAGCGTCTTGGCCTGACGATCATCTGTCTTCAGCCGTTCTCCATGTATGAGGGCCTGCTCGACCGGGCAGAGTCTGACCGTTTAGTGAATGAAAAGCTTCCCAAATGGTTTGCACTGGCTCGGGCGTTGAACACAGATATGATTCAGGTTCCTTCAAACTTCCTCGGTCCTGATCCCAAGACCGGGGCCCCGCGGACCACCGGGGACCGGGCCGTCATCGTTCGTGATCTTCAGCGGCTCGCTGATCTGGGCGCTGGAGCTGGTTTCCGCTTCGTATACGAGGCTCTTTGCTGGGGCGATCACGTCAACACCTGGGAAGCTTCATGGGAGGTTGTCCGTGATGTCGACCGTCCTAACTTCGGTCTGTGCCTGGACTCGTTCAACATTGCTGGCCGTGTATATGCCGACCCGGCCTCTCCCACTGGCCAGACCCCCAATGCTGCTGCAGACCTCGCCGCGTCCCTGGAGCGCCTGCGCACCGCAAATATCGACCCCGCCAAGATCTTCTATGTGCAGCTCGTCGACGGCGAGCGCCTCACGGCCCCTCTGACCGAGGACCACCCCTTCCACGTTGACGGCCAACCCGTCCGTATGTCCTGGTCCCGCAATGCCCGTCTCTTCCCATTTGAGGAGGACCGGGGTGGCTACTTGCCCATTCTCGACGTTGCCCGTGTATTTTTCGATGACCTTGGTTTCCGTGGCTGGGTCTCTCTTGAGCTTTTCAGCCGCACTCTCGCTGACCCTGATCCATTCACTCCCGCTGAACATGCTCGTCGGGGTATCGACTCATACTACAAGATGGGCCGCGTCCTGCAATGGGAGGGTCAGGCTCCCAAGAGCACCGCTACTATTCCGGAGCCGTCTTCTCCTGTGCAGCACCGTCTGTAAAGCATTGATCGGGTGTTGAGTTTTCTTTTCCCATCTGGGATCTGTATATATTTTCTATGTTTTTATGATTGTCGATGATATAAATACCGCAGAGGTGATAGTATAGATCAGATGTATGAGGCATCTACATAGCGATGGCAATTATTTGCATAAGACCGTCAATACAAAATTTCCATGAATCTCTCCAGTCTATCATGAGTACCACTTGATTGCTAAACACGGCTCACATCATCAACCCCCAGCCAAACTGGTACTTCGGCGCGAATATATAAATGGCAATTAGTGCAGCGTACCCGGCAGGGGTGGAGTTGGTCCCAGCGGCAGGAGGATTAAAATGAATGTAGCATCCAACACAAAAAAGATTAAGCCCCTATTTCTAGCGTGAGACATAGTATATTGAGATATACATATTAAGAAAGCGGAATGTCTACTTGGCCTTTTCGATGGGTTGGACGGCAGTAGACGCTACCAGTGTCTCCGCCTACCCACACCGCTTCGCGTTGTGGGTGTGCCACGTATAAATGGTCACCCACACATAAATGGTCACTTTTTGCTATTTCCCCTATCTTCTACTGCATACTACTAGTATCTATAAAGAAACCTAGCCCGTTCAGACGTGCTTCCTCTGCTCTATCTAATGATGCCTGGGATTCCTGTGTAGGATCTGGTGGTGGTGATGTTCTATACGCTTTCTTCCACTGCTTCCTTACCCGCTTCCGCTCTGCCTCTGCTTCCTTCTTATTTCTTTTAGCAATAGAACGATTTGCATCTCTAATAGAGAGCACCCCTGTTTTGCTAAGCGGCGTTTTAACCTAGCGCTTAGTGATTGAGCGCTGTAGTGGTTGTTGAGCTTCCCTAATCTTGCGAATAGTATCGTTCGCTAGATTTAGGTTCTCTATAGCAATCTTGTTATGATGAAATAACCGGTCAAGATTGCGTTGCTGCCTAGGTGTAAGACCTTCTTGTTGATATCTAGCAATCTTCTTTTGATTCTTCTCTAGATCCTGTATAGATCTAGGCGGCGATTTATCGATACTAGAAGAAGATATAGTGGTTTGTAGTGGCGGCGAAGGTGTTGAATGAAGCGGTTGTAGATCTAGCGCTATAAGACCGGGGTAATCTTGGATAGGAAGGCTATTAATAACCTTTCTACTATCGACTGGATATATCCTACGATCTTTAAACGATTCACGAATAATTCGCTGGCTAAACGCTCTATTCCGAATATTACCGATTATTCGAAGGAACTCTGATCTTCCGATAGGGCTTCCACCCTAAAACGCGTGGTCGTTATTCGCTAAGCGGAAGTGTTGCTTATAGCTTAGAAACGGCTTACCGTCTAGCGGCTAGCAAAGATGTGTTGTATGTGGTAGGAATCCTATTGGTAGGATATCGTTCTCTTCGCAAAGATGTAGGAATTCGAATGTAAGATGCGAACCGTGACTGTCGAATATTAGGCTGTGTTTTTCACCTGATTTCGTACGGTCGTATGTTGATTCTATAAAGAATCGAAGCTATTGAACTGCTATACTATCGGTTATCCAACCGTTTAGCGATATAGTAATAGTAGTTCTTGGTGGTAGGTCGTCTGTTTGATTAAACCAAGATTCTATAAAGATACCGTTGCCTTTAAAGATGAACCAGGGTTCTAACTGCTACCCGTCGGCAGCTATACACTCGATAGACGTAATATTTTCGCCTTAGTCTGGCTGAGGAAGGTCTACTATCTTCCTACTACTACTACTAGTAGTAGTAGTAGTAGATATAACGTTTCTAGACCTTCCTTCGCCTAGTTGAAAGCCGTATTCATCAAAGTTATAGACTAGACGTGCAGGCGTTATCTTCTTGATCGTTTAGGCTAGTAGATCGTACTAGTGCTGTAATGCTGCTGGATCCTCTGCTAGAATTCGCTTTGACTCCTTCGTATACTGCTTATTTGGCCCTAATTGAAGATGTTTAGGAAGCCTATTAATAAAGCGATACGCCCACATCTTGCTAACCGACGGCTTCCCGACGCGTTGGCATGCACGATTCGCCCACGCTTCTAGTATCCTAGGAGTGATAGGCATATAGCAATCGTTCATATATTGTATCCAGCGAATCAAAGCCTCTTCTTGATAGGCTTCTAGAGCGTGTTTAGCGTTACGTATAGCTGTTTTAGGCCTTGCTCTCTTTTTAAGCCGATTAGAGAGCGTCGTTCTAGGCACGCCAAATTCGCGTGCTAAACGCGCTATATTCGGCTTCTCCTCTCGTGATGCAGCTAGGCAGGCCTCAGCCATACGAGATTCATCAAAATTAGGCATATTTAGATAGTGGTGTTGGATAGGGAAGCAAAAAATAGGGTAGTAGAAAAAGTGACCATTTATGTGTGGGTGACCATTTATACGTGGCACACCCACAACGCGAAGCGGTGTGGGTGGGCGGAGACACTGCTAGCTCCATCCCAGACTTTCCCCGCTCAAGTTAAGAATACTGGAGTGTACTAAGGCACCATACTTTCCTTAGATTGTCGTTGCACCACTCAAGGTTCTAGCCTTACCCTAGTTCATTACGGAGTGTTTAACTATGACAAGCCGGGGGGATGGCTCTCTCTTACATGTTGCCAAGATTGAAATTACCCCGCACTTTCAGCCTCGAGTGGACTCTCCTCCCCTGGCAAACGCCAAACCAGGGAACCACTACTTCTTATATGATATAAATCGATTTGAACATGCCTAGCTTAAGCCTAGAAGCTTGAACCCGATGCTCAGATCTACGGTTCGGCTCTGTTCTTAATATGAACCACATTAGCTAAGCGTCTTGCTTAACTATATCTTCAGCCCTTGTCGTGCAACACACATATCAGCGCGATATCTTCCGCGGTTGCCAAGAAACCCAGATTATTATGGGCCGATATCCTCAGTGGCTATGATGAAGCACGCCATGACGTCCCTGCCCTGCGAGGCATACACAGTGGCAATGATCTGCCCACTAGAAGTGGAGATGAGTGCCGCCAGATATATGCTGAATGAGGAGCACACAAATACGCCATGCGAGCAACTAGACACTAACCAGTATATCCTGGGACAGCTGAGTGGGCATAATGTGGTCATTACCTCCTTGCCATTGGGCTCCCAGGGAACTGTCTCGGCGGCCACCGTCGCGATGCGATTGACCCGAACCTTTCCTAATATCAAGCTGCGGCTTTTAGTTGGCATTGCAGGAGGAGTACCTAGCTCCAAATATGATATTCGATTGGGTGATGTGGTAGTGAGCACCCCATCTGGCACCTTTGGGGGCGTGGTGGAATATGATCTAGGGAAGCAGACACCCAACGGCTTCATACGGAAGGGCTTTCTTAGTCCACCTCCTACAGAGTGGAGAGATGCTATTTCCAGAATGAAATCCGATCATCGGGTTCAATCCAATAAGGTTAACGAATTTCTGGCGGAAATGCTGGCAAGATCTGCTCGGCTGTCTGAATATGCACGGCCGAATCCCCAAGATGACGTTCTATATGATTCAGCCTACGAACACCAGCCAGAGGAACCTACATGTCTGAGATGTGATCCTTCAAAAATCGTCCCTCGTCAAATAAGAGAATTTCATCATGAACCAATTGTGTTCTACGGACTAGTCGCCTCTGGAAATCATGTCATGAAACATGCTAGTGAGCGCGATCGAATCAGCACGGACTGCGATGGAGTCCTCTGCTTTGAAATGGAGGCTGCTGGACTTATGAATGATTTCCCTTGCCTGGTTATTCGTGGCATTTCTGATTATTGTGATTCTCATAAGAATGACATTTGGCAACCATACGCTGCGGCCGCGGCAGCAGGGATCGCCAAAGAACTCCTCAGCTACCTAACACCTATCCACGGTCCGTTGATCTTCATATTTATGGAATAACCTTTTGTTTTTTGATCTCTCCCCCAGAGCGCTATGGCTGACCATTTTCTTCTAGCAGCGCCTCGTATCAACGATGAACGGTCTACCGAGTGTCTTCGACACCTCTTTGTGACAGACCCGGAAAAGGACAAGCAGCGCATTGAAAGTGATAGAGACAATCTCCTTAGGGACTGCTATTCATGGATACTCTCAGATTCCAAATTCAAAGCCTGGCAAGAAGCAGACCAGGACCAACTTTTGTGGATTAGAGGCGATCCAGGTAAAGGAAAAACCATGTTAATGATTGGCCTTGTGCACGAGATTACGGCCCACTTGCAGAGTCGGCCAGGCCAAGGAATTCTTACATATTTCTTTTGTCAGAGTAATCTTGTAACACTGAACAATGCTATTTGCATTCTTCGTGGCCTAATTTGGATGATTGTTGGCCAAGATCAATCACTGATGCGACACGTCCTGGTGGAGTATGATAAGTTTGGAGAGAGACTATTCGAGGGCCCGAATGCTTTTTTTGCTCTCCGCTCAATCTTCGTCAATATTTTACAAGATCCAGCGCTTGCCATGGTTTACGTTCTTGTTGACGCAATCGACGAGTGCAGCACCGGATTGGATAAATTTTTGAATTTGGTTGTTCAAGGAACTTCAGGACTACCGTCGAGGGTGAAATGGATTTTGACCAGTCGTCACAGACCAGATATTGCACAGATGCTTGGACAAACTGCCGTTCAGCATCGCATAGACCTGGAAGAGAACCAAAATCCTATTGCCGAGGCAGTGACAACGTTTATTGAATACAAAATGAACTTACTTTCACAGGACAGGTTTTACGATCTCGATCTGAGGAATCATGTGGGGCAGATCTTGCGAGAGAAGGCGGGAAATACGTTTCTTTGGGTGGCCCTAGTGTGCCATGAGCTCGCAAGTGCTGAGAGCTGGGAGGCCGAAGCAATCGTCGAGGAGCTACCATCTGGACTTGAGCCGCTGTATGATCATATGCTCTCTCAGATCAAGAATTTGCGCAAGAGTCAATACGAAGTCTGCGAAGGAATTCTTCGTTCAATGGCCCTGGTATTTCGGCCTGTCAACTTGAAGGAATTGCAAGCGATTACCTTTCTCCCACCCCGTTTGGCAAGCAATATAAACGGTATGAGGAGCACGATCGAATTATGTGGGTCTTTCTTGACAACTCAAGAAGGAGAGATCAGCTTTATTCATCAATCTGCAAAGGATTACTTGGTCACTGGTAGTGGACAGCTAATATTTGATGGCGATCAGGCGGAAGAGCATGCCAAAATAGTGACACAATCCATACAGACCATGTCCAATATCTTGAAAAGAGATTTGTTAGATCTGAAACACCCGGGATATTTGATATCACACTTGCCAGCCAATGAGACACTCGCTGGAATGTCATATGCCGTGTGCTTTTGGGGTCATCACCTCCTGGAATATATTGGAGGATCTGGAAATCCCAAAAATCATCAGGATCTTTTATTGGTCGTGCATAGCTTCTTGCAGTCGCATCTTCTTCACTGGATTGAAGCTCTCAGTCTCCTCGGCAAGATATCAGATGGGTTATCAATCATTACGCAGTTGAAGTCCTGCATCAAGGCATGCTACTTAAGCATTCTTAAGAAGATTAAATACTTACAACCTCTAGGTTTCTGTGAATAGTGATCTATTTCACCTGTTACATGATACAACCCGTTTTCTTCTTCAAAGCCGTTCGGCCATTGAAGAGACACCGTTGCAGATCTATTCCTCATCCCTGATTTTTGCCCCAAACCGGAGCATCATCCGAAACCAATTCAAACATTATATACCCGACTGGATCCGCCGGTTACCGGCTGTGCGAGACGAATGGAGTTCACTCATTCAAACATTTGAGGGCCACAAAAACTGGGTAAATGATGTCGCCTTCTCTAATGATGGATGTCTTGTTGCATCTGTGTCGAATGATCACACAGTTCGTCTATGGGATGTTGTAACCGGCTCTACGCAAACATCATTAGAAGGCCACACAGATATAGTGAAAGCAGTCGCCTATTCTCCTAATGATCGACTTCTGGCGTCTGCTTCTAACGACTGCACAATACGGTTATGGAACCCGAGTACAGGGGATACGTGCGGTATTCTCAAAGGGCATACAAGTCTGATTAACGCAATCTCCTTTTCGCCAGATGGAAGATCTCTCGCATCCGTATCAAATGATCGTTCCGTGCAGATATGGGACACCACCACGATGTCATCACGACATATTCTTCAGGGCCATAAGAATTGGGTAAACGATGTCACCTATTCAACAGATGGCTGTCTTCTCGCGACGGTATCCGCCGATGGAACCATCCGCCTGTGGGATGCTGATTTGGGAGTGCTCCATACCCGATTTCGGGGAGGCATGGGCTGGCTCAATGCCGTTTCAATGTCCCCTCAAAACGTGTTAGCTGCTGGTTCTGCTAATGGGAATATCTATCTATGGGATATCTCAACAAAATCCCGACTCGCTGTCCTCGAAGGTCACAGTGGCGGCATCAATGATGTCATATTCTCATTAGATGGACATCTTCTAGTATCTGGCTCCAATGACCGTAATGTGATGATATGGCAACCCGCAGAATTCCGCGAGCTTGCAACATTTGAAGGTCATACGGCTGCAGTTAAAGCTATTAGCTTCTCTCCAACTGAGAACATTGTTGTCTCGGCATCGGCAGACTGTACAGTTCGGCTTTGGGATACTGTAAAGCCGTCCAGGTCTAGTGGCCTGCCGCGACATAAAGACACGGTCACTGCGGTTGCTGTCTCACCAAATGGCGAGTTGGCGGCCTCGATATCTACAGATGATACTGTTCGTTTATGGAGCACATCTACAGGCGCACTAATATCTGTAATTGACAGAGGCCCCATTTTCATGGACATTGGTCTGGCGTGGTCCTCTACCGTTGGATTCTCATCTAACGGTCAGGAAATAGTGGGAACTTGGGCCGATGCCGCAATATACCACTGGCAAGCTACGAATGGCAATTTTACGGAGTGGTCATGCTGTAAGCTCGAAAAGGGAAAAACATTGAAGATTGATCATGTCAGTTTTTTCCCCTAATAACCAACTCCTTGCTTCGTTATCCGATGACAGGATTGTGCGCATATGGGACGTTACATCGGGTTGGATACGCACGACATTTATTGGTCACCGGGAGCCTACGAAATCTCTGAGCTTTTCTCCTTGCAGTCAGCACGTGGCGTCTGCATCTGAAGAGGGTTCAATCTGTATATGGGAAGCGACAACAGGGGTCGTACAGGCCACTTTCAGGGGTCATGGTGCCAGTGTGAACAGTGTTGCATTTTCCTCTTGCGGCCAGTATATTGTATCAGGCTCTACCGATACCACAGTGCGGATATGGAGTCTGAGGGATAAGAAAGTCCAGAAAATTCTGAAAGGTCATGATACGCCTGTGAATACCGTGGCTTTTTTCGATAACGACAGACAAATATCTTCAACATCGAGCAATGGGGGGGCCTTTATATGGGAAGTTGCTACTGGTTCGGTACAGAAAAAAGTCACAGGGCCACATGCTTATGAGGTCTTTGTTTCGCCAAATGGCCGTTTCGCCGCCCGGAAAGAACGGCATGACATACTCTTTCTCGATGATTTGGGAACACGAAGCAAACGAGAACACCGAACACCACCTGCCCCTCCAGAAGAAGCTGTGTCTTTCGGATCCGTCGCTTTTTCAAGAAATAGTCAGCTCATGGCATTGATCTTAGGGAACGGTACCATTCAGGTTTGGCACACCGCCAAACTCCGTAGGTATTGTACTATCAACATGAATCGAAGCAAGATCAAGGAAATCGACGCCCAAGGACCGACCCACCAAAGGCACGCAAGAACCACAATCATTAAGTTTGTCAAATTTTCACCCCACAGCGACTTCCTGGTCTGCGCTTTGGAGGAATCTATCTACGTTTGGGACGTTGCAACAGGGGGACTTCTCAGTACCTTTGCCCATATCGACAAGGTGAATAGCACTTCAATTTCGTCAGACGGGCATCTTATTGCTTCCGCATCATCAGATGGTAGCATCCGAGTCTGGGAAGTCATGACTGGTGTGTTGCGCAATATGATGGTAGTCAACGGTAGCAAGTCTGGTGTATTCTTTGGAGATGGACTGTTCAAGAGACCAAGGCGGTCCCGAAGAATCATTTCAGGGCAAATAAAGTCTTTGCGCCTGCTCAGGAATCGACGGTCCTTGTTTGTCACCAATCCATGGATAACATGCCACATGGACCGTCTACTCTGGCTGCCTGCTGAGTATCGAGCTACATGTATGGCCGTCTATGCTGACACTCTTGTCTTGGGCCATGCCTCTGGGGGACTTACCCTGCTGGAATTCGATGTGGACCGTATTCCATTGTCTGCCCGTGGCAGTCAAAGCTGAATATGCGTTTCTCATTATTCATTTCTGTGAAATGGTGGCGAAAAACATATTTAGAGGGGAATTAGTATCGTTTTGAATGTCATTTATAGATCAACGAAGTCCCCTCAGGGACTCCACAATGTATCAACATTGTAAAAATGAGATTATCACTACACTTACCCATACTAGGGCATTTCTGCCTCTTGTTTGGACATTCTTTGTCGGCCTCGTTTTCTGCTCTTTCTTGGCGTTCCCACTTCTAACTCTGACATAATCTTAGGCTCGGATTTCTCCGACACCATCGAGCGCAGGTCCGAGTGACAATAAATTAAATGGTCTGCCCTGTCTTTCGAGATAGTGATAAGAAATTTGATCATAATTGATTTCACTCACGATAATGACAGTTAAACATACCCCTTGTCGCCACAAGTGGTAGAGCGAGATAGCTTATCTCTTTGTGTACAACAAGTAGGGATAAGCTTATCCGAAGCCTTCTGGGCAAGGCTTGTTCCCAACTTATCCATGTCAGCCAAGTCGAATTACGACCTTTGTCCTCCGCATGACCAGATGAGCCCATAAATTCCAGCCCAAAAGTGAAATAGCACATCCAATTGCATCTTGTTTCCTGCTTCGAAAATCTAATGTCACCTCCCTCTACGATTTCTGGATTCAGTTCCCCTAATCCACATCCACGTGCACTGTTCCATGATCTAACTTTGTAGAAGCGGAGTCCGTAGATAGCCCGAGAGCCATCCAATCGACTGTTTACGTGGCGCGGCCTTGGTGTGAGAGGCGAGTCCGAAAGGGGAAAGGGTATATCGGTCTAATGGACACTTACCTCCCAACCAGCCACTCAGCTCTGCGAGGTAAAAAAGGCCGTCTTATTAGAATGAAAGAGTGGCAACAGTGGAATGACCTGCCCGGGCACGCCTTATCTTTCCCCGCGACCAGCCTCCCGCGTTAAAATGGCCCCCCACAGTACCGGCTCCGTACTTTCCAAGTCAATTGCTCTATTGCCCTCGTGCGATTCTTTTCTCCCATCACGAGAGTGAATCTGGCATATGGCGTTCGATCCAGAAAAGGGCCCTAACAGGGTCTACTACTCTTCCGAGGAACAGAATTCGCTCGAGGCCGATGCGAACGACAACAATGCCGCTATTTCTCACGAGACCGGCACCCTAGCCAAGCTCCGAGCCCTGGAGGCTCGCATGGACAAGAAACTCGGGATAGAGTCCGAAGCCATTACTCGCAAACGACCCGAAGACAAGCGAAAGGTGCATTGGGTGGAAGAGCTGTCAATGGCATTGTTATGGGCAAGCGGCACAATGAATACGTCCTGCTTTGCGACTGGGTTTCTCGGGTGGGAATTCGGTCTCAGCCTAAAGCAGTCGATAGTGATCACTATTTTGGCTTCAATTTTGGCTGCATCACTGAGCGGATTTTGCGCGACTTTTGGCGCCGCCACTGGATTGCGACAGATCAGTGTTAGTCGCTATAGCTTCGGTTGGTGGCCCAACAAGCTTGTCGCCTTGCTCAATAGCATCCAGCAGATGGGCTGGGCTGCCGTATCATGTATCACTGGAGGTCTGGCTTTGACAGCGGTCTCAGATGGACATGTGTCCTTGATTCTGGGAATTGTCATCTTAGCTGTTGTGGCGCTTATCATCTCGTTCGTCGGATTAAATGCCATTCTGATCTACGAGAGATGGGCCTGGATTATCTTCTTCGTCATCTTTCTTATTTTCTACGGCGAGACGGGTAAGTATGCCGACAATACGGCACCACCCACTGTGACCGGCCTCAATCTCACGGGGGCAGTTTTGAGTCTGATCGCGGTTGTCTATGGCTCAAGCGCGTCATGGTGCACCATGGCCAGCGACTACTATGTTCATTATCCTACCAATGTGAGCCGTGTCAAGGTCTTCCTCATGACAACCTTTGGAATTGCAATTCCCACCTCCATCGGCATGGTCGCTGGCTGTGTCGTTGCTTCCGCGTTGAACAATCAAGGTGAATGGCTCAATGCGTATGAGGATCAAGGAATCGGCTACCTCATCCAAGACATGCTCTATCCCCGGGGATTTGCGAAATTTCTTCTCACTCTGCTCGTCTTGTCTGGAATCAATGTCAACGTCATCAGCATCTACAGTGCTGCGATCTCCTTCCAACAACTCTCACGACCCTTTGCCCGGATACCTCGTTTCATATGGACACTATTCTGCTTCGCCTGCATTCTCGCATTGTCCATTGGTGGTCGGCAGAAGCTGAATACCTATCTTCAGGATTTCCTGAGTTTACTGGGGTATTGGTGCACAAGTTATGCGATCATTCTTTTCGAAGAGCATTACATCTTCCGCAAGGGCAACTTTGATAACTATGACTTGGAGGGGTGGAACGACCCCGCCAAGCTTCCATTGGGCATCGGCGCGTCAATAGCATTTGCACTTGGAGTTGTGGCATGGTGTATGGGCATGGATGAGACTTGGTTTATTGGCCCTCTTGCTGCCCTGATTGGAGATTATGGTGGCGATGTTGCGAATGAGTTTACATTCGTGGTGACGGCGTTGTCTTATATTCCAGCGCGGTATTTGGAGCTCAAGTACATCGGTCGGTAGACAGTCGTTTGATTATGTCGGTTATCACTGATGGTCTGCATTAATACATATCTTGTGTCTTTTCTTGTATCAAGATAAAGACTCCTAAATTCATGCGAAATAAAAGACTTACTGTGGTTGTCACTCATCTCAATGTTCAAAACTCAATGCGCTCAAAATCAAAGTAACAATCAGGTATTTCATCCAGGATCTGAGGGGCTTGTTTGGTATATCAGCTACTTTCTTTGCGCTCAGCTTGTCGACTGATCTTTGATTCCGGAACAAGTCCTCTGAGAGAATGAGAGATTGTGAAATTCAGCTTCCCTACTGATAACAACTGAAGCTTGGAGAGTCTAGTATAATCTACAGCCTCTCCAATCGCCGCCATAATGTCATTCATCGCTTGGTTTTGTTGGCAAAAGTGCAGCCCGATGATGAAGAAAGACCCACATGATCATACGGTTTTTCAGAATGAACGACCCGCAAGTCTGTGACAAGATGAATCTTGCTGTCAGGATCCTTGTTCTTGCAACTAGCATGCACCATCATTCAAGTTCTTGTTGCACGCGCGGGATCTCGAGACCAAAAGATGCTAAAATACTATATAGGATTAAATACTGACTTGTTGATGCACTAAAGACAAGACAGAATAAGCCAGAACAAACTAGTTGACCTCGGCGACCCAGGTATATGCATAGCCAGGCTAATACTACGACAGCCTCCTCCAAAAAAAAAAAAACCGGCACCTACCTCTCAGACCGCCAGATCTCCATTCGCACCGGACAGGCCTCTCCGCACGCCTCACAACCGCCGACTTCCCAAGCCTCGATCCAAAGCCCAGCCACCGGGGACGACCTCGTTTCCTGGCTATAGAAACACGACATCCTCTTCGCCTCGCGGAGGCGCTACACTCGGGCTGATCGTGCGGCGATTGACGCGGGGATGGCACTGCTGCGCGTTTTTGTGACGGAGCTTGATGCGGCGCGCGCTGGTACGGTTCCTACCGGCGCAGGTTTGATCTGTAAGTGTACAGTCGCCATTTGTTCAGTCTCTTCTTTTCAAAATTTGGTTCTGTCTAGCTTAGCTTAGGTGGTTGGGCGAGGGCAGGTATGAGATCCATGCGGCGGCGTTTCTATTCAAGGCGCGGGGCAACTAGGCCAGGGCGAAGAGTAGTCACGACAGTGCTGGTGCGGCGGTTCATTGCGCAGTTGCGGGGTGCGGTGGTAGACGGCGCGGTATGCGCGGCTGTTGCAGTGGCTGTGGTTTGGGGAAGAGGAGGGCGGTGCGGTGCGGTATCGGACGAGGCCCGGCCCGAGGCGAGTGTGGGAGGGCGAGGAGTATACAATGCAGTCTCAGAGGGGGAGATGCAGAGGCCGGTGGGGCTGGGCTGTGTCCCTGCTGGAGGAGATCGGGCTGGGACTGGAGGGGAGAGAGAGGAGAGATTCATCGCGATACCGCCGATGTCTCCGTAGGATCTGTCGGCGTTTGGGGGTGGGCGGGGAGGGGAAGGGCTGTCGTCGGCTTCGTCGCCTTTCTCGTGGGCAGAAGCCTTGTCTAGCAGACATGATGGAGGAGAGAAGAGGGTGAGGCGGACAATGTGTGTGCGGTCTTGGAAAGTACCGAGGACATCCACCTACCGGGTCGATTTACGCCAGATTAGCGGACTCTCTGCTTCACTTAGTGGCGTCTGCATCTGCGAGCAGCGACTCTGCAGCAGTGGAACCCAAGTGCATACAATGGGACAAGCGGTAACGGGGCACGCCGATTCGGGAAAATCCACACACGATTAGTATTAACCTAGCTAGCTCTGAACAGCCCGTGCTATCTCCGATCCACGGGCCCCCCAAAAGGAGTGGTGTAGATGGAAATTTGGGGGAGACATGGGGACTATGTGCAAGATGGGATGAGAGAAGTCATGATTTTAGCACACCCAACACCAGAATGAAACAGCAGAAAATGAGAATGGACACCGCAACAGCAAGAAGAGAGAAACACAGAAGACGTGAACAAAAACACCATGACGTCGCAATGCAGAGGGTGCCTCAGGCTGCCTCGGCACGTGGTTCTCCTGTCGGGCCGCCATTGGACATTCGCTAGGAAACCATGAACGAGGCGAACGTCATCCGCTTCATCATCCGTCCCTGGCCCAGCGGCAAAAAAGAAAGTCAGACTAGAAGAGCGATTTCTCTTTTGCTGGAGCCTGTGGAGCATGCAGATTATGACGATGAGGACCAATTGGGTCCTGTCGGTAGCCCTAAGAAGAGGGGCGCAGAATGCAAGGAGCGATACGGGGGTGTCGTCGACTAAGAATGCGCCGTCAATGCAGTGGGAAGAAAAAAGAAAAGAAAAGAGGGGTCGCTCGCGGCCGACAGAAGAGACTGGCTCTCCCGCGGGACAGAGAACCTGCCTATGCCTCCTGCGCCCAGCGCTCCTCACGGAGGGGCATGCTCTCGCCGGCCAGTTGTCGGCTCCCGTCAACCTCACGCTTCCACGCCCAGTACTCGCCTAGGCGGAGCTCAGCGTAGCTGGCGTAATCGAAGTCAATCTGCGAAATCTGGGCCTGGATCAGAGCCCACACCCCCCTAAAGTGGAACCAAACGTTAGCACACGCTAGATTTTGACGGCCCCCCATATGCGAGGAAAAAGAAAAAAAAATGTGGGTGGTTCGGATGGAAACCCCAACGAAGATGGGACAGAACTTACCAGTACAATCCAGGAATGCCACGGAACCGATCAACGTCCTGGTAGAGCCGGTCGACGATCTCAGGCTCCGAGGACGGCTCAAGGCCACGGTGCTGGCAGTAGCTCTTGGTATACTCGGTCAGGAATTCCCGGCGCACCGATTTGGTAGGGATCATGTTGTAGTCGCAGTCATAGCCGATCCACTCGGCCAGGTGGTTGGCAATATCGAAGGCTGCCGGTGCGGGAACGGCGTACTCGTAATCGATAAAGTTGACCGGGGCAATGCCATCGTCCGAGATTTGTGGACGGGCTTCGTCGCTCGGGAGGACAATCACGTTCGCGCACAGGAGATCACAGTGCGAGAAAACCAGCTGTAGAAAAACACCCCGAGGTCACTAGGGTTAACCAGGCTGCCAAGAAAAGGGAAGGGAGAGAAATGCAGCCAAGAGAGCATTCGAATCACTTACACCGTCTTCACCAATGCCTTGCCCATCATCAAGTTGGCCCACCGCCCACTGGAGTTCCTGCTGCAGGCTCAATCGCCGGGCCCGCTGCTCTGGTGTGGCCACGGGAAGAGCGAGGACCCATCGCTGGAGGACCGCCCACATGGACGAGCCGGCGCGCCGCGGTTGGATGACAGTCAAATCGGACTGCTTGTCGGCCACAGAGGCTTCGTCTGAGGGAGCAGAGCCTGCCCCAGTGGTAGGGAGTACGGCGTGCCAGTGTGCGAGTTTGCGCGCAACCCCACGGAAGATCGGAGGGGTGACCAGGTCTTCGTGACCGCAAGGCTTGCCGCGAATGAACCGGTAAAGGAGGCCATTCTTGAAGCGCGCAAGAAGGGGCGGAGCGAGGCCTCGGCTGGCGAGGAGGGCATGGGATGTGGTTTCTCCTAGAAAGCGCCGAACGGGTCTACTATTAGTATCACAGGTCGCACTGGAGCAGCTGCGGAGGGGAAAACCCTCCCCTGGAAAGAAAGAGCGTCGGAGAGAAACCAGTCCAGGGGAGGAGGGGAATAAAGGCTGCAGGGAAGAGGATCGGCGCGGGGGAGGTTCGTACTTTCACGGTCAATAAGAATCTCTGTGCCATTGCCATATGCGCGCATCAGTACCGCCTCATTGTCAATCTGCTCGTCCGTCAAGCCCTGCTTGCGGTTGATGATTTTCAGGAGCTGCAGGGTGATGTCAGTAAACCGAGTCCAGTAAGGGCAAGGGCCCAGTCCCCGCAACAGGTAACGGGAAGCCAAAGGGCGGGACGCACAGTATTGGTGATGCCATCGGTGAATCGCACGAACTCGATCTTGTTGCCGGGTCCCTCCCAGTCGGGGAGAAGGGTCAGGATGAGGCGGAGGGCGGAGGCTTGCGAATCGGCGGGACTGTAGGACAGAGGGATATATCGGAGGGCCGGGGGGGCACCGTTTGGGCTGGAGGAGTCCATGCTGGCGAGAAGGAGTAGGAGGAAAGAAGCGTGTCAATGCGAGAATGCCGAAGTTGGGGCAACGTTGGCCAGGCGCTTTGTCGCGGAGGTCTGAACGAGGAGGGGGGGCGGTTCTGTAGTCCAATGACAGAACTGTTGGAATGGCCGGCGCGGTTGGATCAGGGGAATTTAACGCTCGACAATCTCTCGTGGTCGCAGAGAGATCTGCAGGGTGAAGTGGTGTAAAAGAGAAAGACAAAGGAGTGGGGAGGGCAGAGAGAGAGAGAAAGGAAGACGGGGAACTAAATATTGGCCGCAATAAAATGGAGGGGGACTTGGGGTCTTAAGGGGCAAGTGGTCGCATGAGGGACTTCCAGGGTTCGGCAGCCCATTGGACTAAGGCAACGAAGTTTGGACCCGAAAGACCTAAAAAAGGTAAAAGAGCGCCGTTCAACAGTGGAATGAAACACAGAGTCGTGCTGCCCGCTCCTTGATTGGGACCACTGGGTGAACTAGCTGCACTACCAAAGTCAACTGGTTAAACGGGCGGCAGGTACTCCGTATACCTGGCATACCTCGACTTATACCTCCTATCTAGGACGTCGTGGAGGCTGTCACCGCTACGGACCAAACCATGTGAGTCGAGGCATGTACTAGGACCCAGTTTCGGCTAAGGGTATTTGACATCCTGCTGGAACCCGCATGGAGCAGCAGGGAGAAAAATGGGACTCGGTGGCGGCTCATGTAACTTCAGTGCCTGGCCCCCAGGACCCTGAACCCACGGTCGCCCGTCGCCGATCGGCCGGCAAATATAGATAGATACACGGAGTCCAGAGTACTGCGTGGATACTTCGGGCACGATGTCAGTCCTGCTGAATCGACCCCAATGGCATTGGAAGACCCTAGACGTCTCTTCGATATTGTCCAGGGTCTCACTCCATAGTTCTATGACCTGGAGTCGAGAACACGATATATACATATATATATATGGGCATGGACTTTCGGGTATACTCCGTCCAGAGGAGAAAAAAAAACAACCTCGAACTTTTTCTATAGTCAAATAGAATAAAGGATGGGGTACGTGGTCATCATCATGTCGCACTGTCACGGCAATGCGCTTGACTGCGACCCCTCTCGATTGTGAGACTCGTGATGGAGGATGATGACACTATTCTGCTGAGCCATTGTTCAAGACATTCCTATTCTACGGCTGGGCCAGACTCCACCCAAGTGGAGGAGGCCTCTTTTTTTTTCTCTTTCACATGCGAGGCTGAGACATGGAGCAGGTCACATGACCCAATTACATAATTGGGATCACGAGCGGGCCCACCTTTCGGTACACCGGCCAAACTATTTCTCCTGGTCCCCAATCGGCACTAGCGCCATTTGGCAAGATTTTGTTTAAATACGCCGCCGGCCATCCCGACCTTGCTTGTTTTTTTTTTCTTCTCCATCATCAGTAGCGGTTTACTACAAATGTAAATCAATCCTGTGGCTCCACAAAACGTGGCTTGCTGAGGGTTATCCTCGTGGTTTTTCAACCTTTATGGGTTTCCTTCCGTTCCCGGCCTCAGAGAACAACGGTCGTCTCTCTTTTTCCCTTCCAATTATGGCTGTGCTAGGGTTCCCTTTCGGGAGCTCCATGCGCTCTAGCTGTGGAGGGGTCGATATATTCCATTTTTTACAATATCTGTTCTGCAAGATAAATCTCTATGCAACCGTATTGCGTAATTGGTCTGGACAAGGATCTCGAGCTTGTTTTCTTATGTGGGAAGAAGCGAGGTCCGGATTGGATTTTTAAGAATGCCAAGCATTCGATCCCATTCCCCTGCTGCCAACGACCGAGCAGATCTCCGTCATGGAGGGGCTCAACAGCCGGCGGAACGTCGTATGTGGTCAAGAGTGCTGCGGCCTCGACTGTTTACAAGTTGTATACATGCCCATATGGGAATTGCCGGGTTTTTTTTTTGCCATTCGAAAGACCCAGAAACCTGCGAGATTTGCGCGTGCGCGCCCTCGGCGCTCGAGTTCTTGCATTATAATTTTGATTTTTGCGGTTTCGTTGTAGGCTGCTCAAGCTAGCCCCGGTCATCACCATCGTAAAGCGGCCTCAAGAGGGATCCTCCAAGAAATACTTCATCACGGAGCCCAAAATTATCATAAGCTTTGACAAAATCGCGGCCTATTTCGAGGATCCAGGGCTCCCCTTCCTGTTTCCCTCTTCTATGCGCCTAGGCCAAGGTCCAATTCCTGCTTGTGCCATTTATGCCCGTCCAGCATTGCCAATCTGAATCCGCTGTCCACTCCACTTATCGTCGCTGCGCAGTACCGGCCAGCTAGTCCCATCGGCCTTGACCAGCGACAGCTCGAGCTTGGTGCCCAGGACCCGGAAGGATGATTTCGCCGGGTCGATGGGAGCAAAGAGCTTGTAGGTATCTTGGAATCGTTTGTTGTCAGTGGTGGGGAGGTCAAAGGTGATCGTGTCGGCGGCGAGGTCGACGCGGGCACGCTCCTTGTCAATCTTCTTCAAATACAGCGAGACATTGACCGAGGATGAGGTTTGGTAGAAATCATTGCTGGCGGAGACAATACCCTTGAGTTAGCATGGCGGATCATTTTGAGCTACTTCCACAAGAATGTAACAATGGAAATGCGGATAGCAAGTCGGACTGGAACCACACGATCGAACTTACCGAACCGACTCGACCTTCTCCTCGCCCTCGGGCTTGGGCTTGCCAACGAACATATGCCGGACCTTCTCAGTACAGCCTGGGATTTTCAGGAATTGATCGAACTCCAGCACGCGACGCTTGCAGCAGGACCATCCTTTGCTGCCCTCATGGAAGACAGGCTGACCCGGGTGGTGCACGCACTTCTCGTCATCGCGGGCAGCCGACCCCGTATAAGTTGTACCGCAACCTCGCCGGCGGCAGGTTGCATTTGCGGGGATCTCGAGGGAGGGATCGTCCGAGTCGGGCTCCTCAATGGGTTTCGCGGGGGGTGTGGGCGGCGGGATGGCGGGGGAGATCGCAGTGCGCTCAGGCGCCTTCACTTCGAGGGAGGCCGAAGGCACCGGAGGCTCCTCGGTGACCTTGGGAGGTTCCGGGGCCGGTGTGTCATCGACAGTCGAGTGTTTGCCGGTGGTGCAAGGTGGGATGGCGAGGAATTCCTCAAACGTCAAGACGCGGGGTTTGCAGCATTTCCAGCCTGGCCCCGTTAGCTTCCAGGTTGCGAGGGGGCAATGCGAGGGGGAATCGCAAGAGAAATCATAGAATAGCAGATTCCGACATAAACAAGAGAGGTCGAGGCAAGAAACGGATGGGGAATAGCTCTAGCACCAAGGTCCCTGGACTTACCTTTTTGCCCTTCGTGGAACACTGGGGGACCCGGATGATACACGCAATCCTCCTCTGGGTCGGAGAAGGTCTTCCCACATCCCTTGTGGACGCACTTGCCGGCCATGGTGTGTAACAGGAGAGTCGTCGAGGATCAGGATCGAAGACGGGGCGAAAGATCTGGAGGAAGTCCTAGAATCGAAACGCATGAAAGCAACCGGGCCCAGCTTGCCTAACGCGGTTTAGCCGGCGAAGCTCGAAGGTTCCATCGATTTCACGCGGAGAAGTCGGTCTGACCGCGTTGATCTCTGTCCTTCCGCAACGTCACCACTGTCCGCGCCCGGGTCTTTTTTGACTTTTGACTTTTGCCTTTCGAGCTGGCTTTTGAGGTTCTTCGTCGGTTTGATCCAGTCGTTTCCTCGCCATGTTTCCAACCCGCGTTCTTTTCGATCCCGCGCGGTTGACCTTGTTCACCCGCGCCGGGTGTGGCCTATGCGATACCGCGAAGCACGCAGTGATCCAAGTCCAGAAGCGTCGGCCCTTTGACTACGTCGAAAAGGATATAATGGATTCAGAAAATAAATCTTGGAAGGATGTCTATGAGTTCGACGTGCCCGTTCTTCATGTCCAGTCCGTGAAGGGTGGCCAGCCGGCACAAGCGGACCTCTCGGACCCTCGGAAGCTGTTTCATCGGTGGACCGAACAGCAGGTTGAACAATTGGTCGATGAAGCTGAAAATTGAACTCTTTGAAGATCTGTGATTGCCAACATTGTGCTCCTGTAGCTGCCCGAGACACGACGTGCCGACGGAGTGCATCTCAGACGACGACAAACTGAGGCATCTTCAAGACCGTGGGGTCAGGTAGGCCCTCGCGGTCCACCCGTCATCTAATAGGGTGCCCAGAGATTAATTGGAATCTATATCAACATCTAATCTCGTCTCGCCATCTATGCCTCGAAGAGGCTTGTCCACCTCTTGTCTCAACCGGTCCGGAGGGAATCAAACAGCTTTTCGTGGGCCACGGCCTCACCCTGGACCCCTCTATGCAATAACCTGCATAACACACTACTCAGGAGAGAAACTTGGAACTTTGGCCTCAAAATATTCCTGAACAAGCATGAATACAGGGATGAGTATAGCACCTCTTGGGCACGCTGTATATTCTATTGAGCTGCCATACTGCATTGGTGACGCCCGTGAACTTAGCGTCTTTGGTCCTGAGATTATATAATTAATCCAGAAACTGCATTCGAGCAGCACTAGTCCAACAATAAAGCCTGACTTACATATCTGTTATGTCCTGTAGATTGAGTACTCGGTTTGCTTTTGACAGCTTCCCCCCCCCCCCCCCCCCCCCTCCAAGCGGCTAGTGCGATTCCGGGAGTGTGGCGGCGTTTAGAACCTTAATCCCGAATTCGTATTTCTCACGCGCCACCGTCTGCTTGATCCTTCTCTTCTCACCCGTTACACCCCAGAACGACTAATACGTCATGGAATCACAAAACATATCAGAAAAAACATCCAGTGCTATATTACTCGAAGAGAGCTCGGTTCATTTAGATCCAGCGTCGAGGCGGAAGCTTCAAAATCGGCTCAACCAGCGAGCTAGCCGTGCGTAGCATCCCTTGATACCTTCCAAGCCCCAAGCTCCAGCCCTCGAATGCTGATCATCATTCTACATGCAGGGAAAAGAAAGGCTTTACAGGCCGCAGGAGAGCCCAAACGTCAGGGAAGACGATGGGTTGTCTACACAAATGAGGCCACGGCTGCTACATCCTCTCCAGAGGATACAGGCATCAGCTCTAGCGCTGTGGCAAAGAAGATGCGGCAAGAAACATGCCAATCTATAAGTCAAATAAACGACAAAAGCTCATATCCGGTTGCCCCTCACATGCCACACGACGAGTCTTGGGCTCAACTACAACAGCGAGTGAATCATGCCGTCAGCAATGGTTTTCTGACCCCTACCCTAGTTCCTCTGTTCACCCAATATAACGTCATGCTCGCGATGTTCAACAACGCTGCAAGTATGGGGTTGACGGGAGAAGTACTATGCGAAGACATCGCGTCGTTCTTCAATATCCCCGGGCCATTCTCAATTAAGCTACCGCCATCTTTACAGCCTACTTCCGCGCAAAAGCAAGTCATCCACCACCCCTGGATTGATTTACTGCCTATGCGGTCTCTCAGGGATACTCTTTTGTACAGACTGGGCACATACGATGAAGACGAATTATGTGGCGATCTTTATGGCCTCTGTAGTGCCTCTCCGAGTATTGGGCTGTTTGTTTGGGGCGAATCATGGGATCCGGCAGCATACGAAGTTTCCGAGAGTGTATTACGCAAATGGGAATGGCTCTTCAAGGAATGTCCTGACCTCCTCGCTTCTACAAATCACTGGAGAAGAAAACGTGGAGAGAAGCCTTTGAAGCTCATAGAGTTTCGGCACTCTTCAATCGAGAAAATAAATCAATAATACATATGCAGTTTCCTTTGGAAACATTTTATAAAGAAAATTTCTCTTGGATCATATCCTCGCTCAGTTCCCAAAGTCGGGTCCAATTCTGCTCATCCCGAGATTGGCTGTGCAGCTCGTCATCAGCGACGGCGTTCTGGTTGAGCAAGGACCCAGTCGATTCTGGAATATTCAGTATTGGACCTTGTAAAAAAGCCATGGATAATGATATATCTTCTTACCTGCGATGGTGGGGTCAATCATCCCAGTAATCATTGTGGCTGCGCCTTCAGATCGGCTCGCCCATTTAGACATGCTGAACTCCTTTCCATCCAGGTCTACCAGACCTGTATTCTCATTAGTATAGCCATTCCTTGATCAACGTATCAAAGTACTGCGGACTTACTGCCAATTTCCCTCCACTCTTCAATTTGTTGAAGGAACTCGGGCTTAAAGTGCTTCTGTAAACCAGAGCGGACCGCTAACAAAGTAAGTTCTCAATCTATTTCATGGGATAGACAAATCTGTACATACCACCGGGATCAATGCTGAATACCCGGATGCCTTGGCTCTTCAGTTTCTCACCAAGCTTCTTGGCAAACATGATCCGTGCGACGTTGGACTGTCCATATGCAGCCATAGGCTCGTAGGTATCTCCATTCTATATGTAATGTTGATGTCAGAGGATGATTTATACTGAATGAGTAATGAAAAAAAACCTACGCTGAAGCCAATGTCTTCAAAGTTGATCTTGCCCATTCGAGCAGCAGAGCTCGACACAATGATAATGGAGGACGATGGGCCCGCAACCTGCACCTTAGGCAAGAGCAGCTTCGCAAGCAGGAAGTTTGCCAGGTAGTTGACGCCAAATTGCATCTCAAAACCATCCTTGGTCTTGCTGTATGGGCAGGCCATCACGGCAGCCACACAAACAACATGGTCAATCTTGGGAACATCAGCAAGGTCGTTTTTCACTGCCTTTCGAATCCCATCCAAATCACCAAGCTCCATGTTGAGGAAGCGAGTCTCGATATTTGGCTTCGTCTCTTTGATCTTGGTCATAACAGACGACACCTTCGATTCAGCGCGGGCACTGAGGATCAGGAGCTTGGGGTTGGCGGTTGATAGCTGGATGGCGAGTTCGCCAGCAATGGACTCATCGGATACACCGGTTATCAATACTATGGAATTGAGGCAATCATCTTAGTTTGGGATTATTGAAGAAAAGTTGCATATCAAAATACCTGTTCTGCCGGCAAGGGCCTGACCATACTTCCCCAGGACGACTTCCGAACGAAGGATCTGCTTTCCAGACATCTTTCGAGGCAAGGAAATAAAATAAGAATAAACTATTGATCGGATATGAATTCTTGTGCGAACTTATTTAGAAAAAATAATTGTAATGGGTTCGGTGCCCCTTCTTATATCGTTCCTCTGAGTATATGGGTCCAGCAAGTCCTTGGAGATAAATGAAATATTAAGTCCGAGAGAGCTGGAGAATATACAATCCGGAAATATGAAGTCTACAAAATAGGCTAGTATCGTGTCATCACGAGGCACTCAAACCAAATCTTAATTTATGCCCTCAGGTTGATGCATTTTTCATGTCTGGCATTCATCATAGGTAAGGTACTTGGTCATATTTGAATGGCGCGAGGAAGATTTGTATGCATATATGATATTCCGGTCACTTAAAACCCGAAGCCTTGCTATCTACTTGGACTATAATTTGATGTAGTTGCCTTTTTGACAGTCGGTTCGAGTCGATGCTTGCCTGTGTGCAAACCATACAGTATACAATTAATGCCACTGTAGAGCGAATCATCGGTCGCACCCGGGTGCAAATCTTTCCATATTGGGTTAGTACATTGTCATCAATTGATCCACGCCACCGAATCCAAAGGGCGACTGAACCGTCCGCTGGAATCACCTTTCTGATCGGGATTGCTTTTATTCGACTCAGAAATAATTCAGGAATCTAGAGATTAATTATTGACTTATGCATATTACGACCAGAAGTCTAGACAAGGCGCAGGCTATGATTAGGTAATTTCGTAATCTCGCTGAGCCTTAGGCATTTAACCCGAAGGCACCATAGCCGGACTCCGAACTTCTGATGACATATGATATCGTTGAAGCAGGTTTGACATAAGAGTCTCTATAGAAGTTTTATCAGAGACATCCATAAACGTGACCGAGCAGCGTTGATGTTGTTCTATCTGCACCGAGATCGTTAGCTTACCAACTGTGCATGATCAGTCAGCACTAAGGTAGTTCCTGAAGTTAGCGTCCAGCTAACTTGATACAGTACTACCCAAGGCGACTAGTTTTGTCACCACTTTTTAGTCATGAATTTGGACCCTGGCATGCCGGACCCTGAATGCCGGACCCTGGTGCTTCATTTGACTTAAAATTGATAAGTGGAGCATTTGTAGAGTATACCTGAAAAAAAGGATAGCCAGACACCACTGGAGGCCAAATATAGGGCAGTTTCCCGCTCTTTCAACAATCTTCATTAGGGCTTACAACACTGGTCTAGACGCATCTAGCCATCCGAATAATCAAGCTAACCTATAGTCAGATTGCCAAGCAACAGGGGGCCATGAACTGAAGAGAAACTGGACCAACGGGACCCCTGCTTATCAGCGGAACAAACTCATTGGCATCAGATGGGGTCCATGAAGTTACCCTAGTCATCAGCATCAGATTTTATCACATGAATCGCTTTATAGCCCCCAATTTCCCATTCATTTGCTCTTCCCCTTTCTCTCAATTCAATTGTCCCTGCCTTTGCTAGGTATTTGTCTTGCGCAAAGATGCGTCTCCTTTTTCTCTATCCGGCCGTCGCCAGCTTGGTATTTGCTGGCCTAATTGAAGCAACATGCTACAATCCCGATCGAACCACTGCCACCAGCGCGGTGCCTTGCACCAGCAATAGTACCACTTTTTGCTGTGGGACGGACGCGATTTGTCTCAGCTCTGGATACTGCCTCAGCGCGACCTCCCAACCCTTTACGCTGTATCGGGGTTCATGCACAGATTCCGGGTGGGGCACCTTCTGTGCCTATTATTGCGGTTGGTTGCCTGTCTCCGCTCAAGACCAAGACGTGACCTTGATAGATTAGCTGACCCTCCACAGTCAATTATCAGACAGGCTCTAATGCCCCGATCGTGAGCGTGGGATTGAACAGCGACAGCCGCGCAATGTACTGCTGTGGCTATCAAAGCGCGAACAGTAATTCTACTCGATGCGCCAATGGAGATGCGCCTTTTGTCCTCGAGGATGGGGCGATGATCTTCGGTCGCGCCGCACTGTCCAACGCTTCCACGGGTTCTACAACCGAGACTACCAATACTACATGCGCAAGCGACGGAAATGCAGAATCCTCCTCTTCACACAGTAGCGGCAACAACAACAGCACCGCAATTGGAGTGGGAGTCGGCGTTCCTCTGGGAATTCTGGCACTGTGTGCTGTAGCTTGGGCTTTGGTTGAACGACGACGTGGGAAACAACGCCAATCGATCATGAGTGGGGGCGCGCAAATGACTGCGCCGGGGTTTATGTCCCAGCGGCGACAGAAGGGTCCGACAGAATTGTATTCGCCGAAACACACAAGCTCAGATTCTGCAACGCACGAGCCGGCTGTTGCGGAGATGATGGGACCTGAAGCGCGACATTGAGATACTGGAATCTTTGAATTTTCTCCATTGGAGAATTTCGCGTATACGTATTTCTACCATCCTGATCATCTATACAGAGTGATGCATATCGTCGTTTTCTTTGCTTTGCTTTTCTTTGAATGATTAGAGAGATATCCAAGCTGCATTCCCAATTTATGAACGTAATAATTTGTTGATCAATCAATCCAATGCCGATTTATTTTTCAATGGAGATGGAAAAGGTAGCTGTCCCAATCCATGATTCCATCCCTGGGTCCTATCTTATTGCTGTTCCGACAGAAAACAGATGGGGGCTCAAATTTGAGTGCGGCTCCATTGAAACTTTCGGTCGGCTTCACCTGTCGAAGTCAAGGGCAAATCATGCAAATGGCAGGAATATAAATCGAAGAGTTTGGTTGGTATTCGACTGTTACTGGTTCGATCGATGAATATTTGGATCCATGAATTGCTGATCCCTTGCGCGGATCCCCCCTGCGGTCCCTGTTTCTTTACTGCAAGTTGTTTACAGCAATGAATACATCGTTCTCCGTACACTACATTCCATGATGTGTTCGGCTTCATAGAAACGACTTTCGATAAAAGCCGAGAAGAGACATTCATCATGGCTTCCGAAAGACCTTCCCTATCGCACGACAATGATGCTCCCGTGAAACCTGCGATTGTGGCTGGCATCATTTCCACCTGGGTTGCTACATTCCTAGCGGCTGCGGACAGCACAATAACCTCGACTTTGTCTGCTACCATCGCGAACGAGTTCCAGTCTTTGGCCTTGATATCATGGCTTGGAACCGCGTATCTCATCGGCATGACGGCCACACAACCGCTCAGTGGCAAACTGACGGATATTTTCGGTCGTCGTATCAGCTTTTGTTGCGCATCTGGCTTGTTCACGGTTGGAAACTTGGTAAGCGGACTGTCTCACTCGAAGCTCATTCTGATCGTGGCGCGTGTTTTGTCTGGCATTGGTGGCGGGGGCTGCATCTCCATCGCGACATTCATTGCGTCTGACCATATTCCCCTGAGACGCCGTGGCCTGTGGCAAGGGATTGGCGCTGTGAACTACACGACCGGAATGGCAGTAGGTGCGGCGGTAGGAGGTGTTGTGAATGACGCAGCGGGCTGGAGATGGGCGTTTCTTGGAATCGCTCCTATCTCCTTCGCCGCCGGTATTGGGGTTGCGATCTTTGTACCAGAACATCGCAAGTCATACGAGACTCCGAGCGAGTTGTTCAATCGCGTCGACTTAGCCGGGGCGGCGACTCTTGTGGCCTCTTTGGTCTTGCTGCTAGTTGGTCTCAATCATGATGGTCCCCAACTCGTCAATCGTGTGTTCGAGATCACGATCCCTCCTGGTCTCGCCCTTTTTGCGGCGTTTCTCCTCATTGAGACGCGATGGGCAAAAGAGCCCATAATCCCACTATCACTTTTCCGCCGACGCACAGTTGTGGCCACCTGCTTGACAGCCTGGTTCATGTCGATGTCGTACTATGCGCTGAGCTTCTATATTCCCCTCTATTTCCAGATGCTGGGGTACTCCACGGGCCAGATTGGACTCCGTTTGCTGCCTGACTTCATCGCTACCGCGCTTGGCTCTTTCCTTGTGGGCTTGCTTATTCGGATCACCGGTCAATATGGCTTTTTTCGATATTCCATGCCCGTGCTTTTGGTCGGGTCCGCGGCCGGATTCGGGTGGATCTCAACACAAACACACTGGGTTCTTCCAGAATCCTATTTAGCCCTCAAAGGCTTTGGCATGGGCGGCACACTGACCATGCTGCTACTAGCTCTCCTTCATGAGGTGCCACACGATCGACATGCAACCGCCACGTCAGCTTTATATGCATTTCGTTCGACTGGTGCGAGTGTGGGGCTCTCAAGCGCCGGTGCAATTTTCAATAGCCAGATCAGCCAGAGTGCCTCCAAGCTGGGGGTTCCCTGCAAGATTGGAGAGCCCTGCTATATGGATGCTCTTCACCGCACCTTCAAACTGGCACTTGGCTTGGCTGCTGCAGGACTCGTGTCTGCACTTTTTATTAGGGCCCATAGTACGCATGAAGCGAGAGAAGCTGGGTCGGGTGGGACTGAAGGGGAGCAGTAAATAGCAGGTCTCTTTTGGCAAGCGCGGAACTGAGTGCTATAGAAGCTAGTAATGAACTATCTACTCGAGCGAGAGCGTAAGATCTACCTTTCGCTTGCTCACACAATCATTCCTGGAACCAGACAGGTGTTCCTCGGAACTCCTTAAGTTCAATTATGTGTGTGATATTGAACCAACGAACTCTGCTTTTGAAGTAAAATGTTATACTTGGCTCCTAGGAGTTAAGATTGGATAAGTCAAACATGTCGTTGTTGGCCAATCTAAATGAAGATACAGATTTTAGCAAGTTATTGCTCCGTCAAGGTTCTTCAATGAACCACATGTAAATACATACACACTAAATTAAGCGACGTTCTCGACCTAGCATGTATGAGAGGAAAATTTCTTTCAAACTTTGGTGTTGGATTACACGAGGGTCAAATATAATAATCTAAATAATCATTTAAGCCAATCCTTGAAAAGGTTCACTTATTATCTTCAAGCATCTGCAGCCAGGCTATTTCGAATAGCCTCCACACAGCCCTGGATCAACTTGACCTCCTGCTCGATATAATCCTTAGTCCACACCTCCAGCTTTTTGAGCGCTTGGAGGTCGTCCAACTCTCCAGGGCTCTCATAGTTGTCTAGCACTTTCACCAGATGTTTCTTCTTCCACCACAGATATCCCTCCTCGATCACTTTCTCTTCTCCCGGAATGGGCCTGGAGACGTTCAGCCGCCAGTACTTTTTCTGGCGAGCTGCGGGGGCGAATGCGTCGATCAGGGTGCGGAACATGATATGTGTGATCTCGCTGTTCGTGGCTACGGAGATATAGCTTTTTAGAGTCTCCGGGCCGGGTAGTTTGATGCGCTCTACCTTGGTGTTACTGGCAATGGCTGTGCCAATGCTGAGGAAGCAGTCTGTTGAGCGGGCCGGCCCAAATACGCCTAGGACTTCCGTCCAAAGCCTGTTTGTTTGTTGTCAGTGAATGATTAATCGAGTTTACTGAAAAAAAAATAAAGTTAGTTGTAACATACCATCCGAGAGGATTGTTGGCCCCAAGGCCACCATCCACTAGCGTGTATCCGTTCACCTCCAGAGGCTTAAAGTACGCCGGAGCGGCTGAAGTGGCACGAGCAGCTTGCCACAGCTTGATATTAACCAAAGTCTGATCGCCCATATCATTCGGATTCTTGTACGAGCGCAAGAAGCATGGGGCACGGTTGTTCCCCGCTTGATCATTTACGGCCATGAGAAAGCTGCCGAGAGAAACAAAATCAGCTTATAACCTTCTAGGTGGATAAAGAGATAGCCTGTGACTGAAAATCGTTGAGGAGTAGGGGGGCAGTTAGCGCTTACATCTTGCAAGGATTGCTTTCGTCGAGCAAGCTGGCATCCGCATCGCCCAGCTTTCTCTTGATCAAATCCTGGATAATCTTTTCGAGATTGGACGAATCATAGTATTCTCCATTTTTGAACAGCTTGATATTCTTGGTGTATTTGTCCGTTGGGGGAAAAACCTGGTCCATGACTTTGTTATACTCGTCGATGCAGTCCTTGATACTCATTTTCAGACGGCCTAACATGATCGCAATCAAGCTAGAATAATATCAGTCAGAAGAGAGTGCAAAAGAGCACAGAATAACTAGCGAAAGAGAAGAAATACAAGACCACTCACCCCCCAGTACTTGTTCCACCGATCATGTCAAAGACTTCCCATGGCCGCTTTCCGGGGGCAGCCTTGTCCAAAACATTTTGTAGAAGCATGAGGCTAGATAGACCCCGAACGCCGCCACCATCTTTCACAAATCTTTAGCACACTTTCAGCTAACTAGATAGGCGTACATACCAAGTGAAAGCACCCGGAGCGGGCGCTCAGATCTCGACTCGTAGGCATCAGCGCGGGTCACGTCTGATTTGATTTCTGGCAGAAATGCCGGGTTAGAGGCGTCGACTACCTCGGAGTCGACGAGCTGAAGATTCCATGCATTCACTTCGTTAATGGTATCCTGGACTCTATTGATCTCACTAATCACTTCCGCGTAGGAGGGGGGTTCCGGGAGAGATTCTGTTCCTGATTGTTAGTACATTTGAACCGGATAGAACGCGCGAGCACAATATCACAAACTTTGCTCGGTTCCAATGTCGAAAATCAGATATGCGTCTCTTCCAAAAATCTCCCAGCCATCGAAGCGAGCACAGGCGCGAACTCCAATCACGTTCCCGGGCTATGAATTTGGGAAGAAAGTTAGATTCTCTCTTATAGTATGCTTTTGTCATATCATTAAGCGAGGAGGAACTAACTTGCAAGAACTTCAGGAGATCATGGCGTCGATCGAAAATGCGACCCGCAAGCTATTGTAGACAATGATTAGTATTTTCTTCTCTATGCAAATGACGATATCTGCGACCGGTATTGCTAACCCATCCGAAGTCATTTCTCTTGAATCGGTTCTTATGACTTTCCCAAACCAACTGGACCTGGTCAACCTTCAGAGGCTCGTGAGAAGAGTCATCCTCAAAAATAGCTAGCTCCAGCCAGGTCCAATTTCCGAGCGCTTCGTCGTCTACAAAGCCCTGATCATGAGTTTCGGCAAAAAGCTGGATACTCTGTAGGCTCTGGATCGTCTCTGTATCGAATCCCTTTGCCCTTTTTAGTAAAAGTAAAAGAGAGAGGAAGAGGAAGAAATTGGAAGAGAGGGTATCCTACTGGGGTTTTAAACCATAGCGTAGAGTCAATTTCAGGGCCCTTGGACCATGCCAGCGGTTCATCTTCCTCGTTGATAGCAGGCTGAATGGTATATTTTCCCGCTGCACGGGTTGAGCTATCATCCAGCTCAAGGTGAGGCAAAGTCTTGACGAATTTGAGAACGGGTTGGACAGGCATAGTGTGTAAAGAGCAATAAGAAGCTAAGCAGATGAGTTTTGTTTCTTAAACTCAAAATTTGCGAGAGATGACTGCCATTCATATATCGCTCTTTCTGGCTCTTCCCTTGTTATTTTTCTCGCTTGTTTCTGATGCCATGATGAGCTTAGTCTCACCCTGCGTCTAAATAGGTAACTTGAGCCCATTCGCTCGCGTTTTTTTCCCTTAGTCGCCTACATAGTCCTCCAGGTGAAACAAGATAATCACTGTATAGCTCCCCACTCTATAGTTTCTCCATTGATTGCTAGCTGAAGTCTCGGTCTAGATCGTTCGGTACGAGAACCTAAGCGGCGGGGCGGGGGGCGCTAACAGGTTGGGCGTGGGGAGCGAGGATGCTCTCATGTGGCGTTCACCAGTTAAGCCCCCTTTCTGGCGCTAATGCACCTCTGGTTGTTCCATATCCGTTCATAGTTCCGGCTCTTTCTGCCCTATTTGAAGGCAGCTAGCTGGTCGGGAGCGAGAACTCCTCGCTCAATTTCACTTCTTTCCTACTCCGTAGCCTCGTCACACCCACCCACCCCCACTTCCCCTCTGGTCATTCAGCTATAGGAATTCCGCCCCCGAACTTGTGTATTTTAGTGTGCCTAGATTTGCAGTGGCATCGAAGATCTATATTCACTCTCTACTAGCTTCTATCCTCCTCTAGTCGAGATTTTAAATCATGGGTTGGGTATATACGGGATAGGACTTTACGCTATCTATATTACTTATTATAACTTATCAATGGGGCATTCATTTGGAATGAGTTGTTGTATCTCTGGTAAGACAGCCCAAAGAATTTCTTGTATATTTTTTGTAGATACCCAGTGGCTCTCTGGACTGCAGATCCCGGCCCTAGCTCATCACATTGGCAGTGATCCCGGACAAATGGCATTTATCGGACCTCAAGCCGCGGCTGGGCTAACCTGAGATTGGACGTGAGAGTTATCCCAAGGAGTACAGCCAGTCAATCTCAAATGTGAAATGTGACTGCGGAGAGTGGCTAGCGGAGGATTGCGCGGCGATCGGAGTCCCCGAGAGCGGTATCAAATTTAAAGGGCAAATCAATGCAGACTAGGTCCAAATGCAGGGGCATACCATAAGCTATTCCACGTCGCAACCCTCTGAGCCGCGCCCCAAGCCCTGCACATATGCAAGAATACGGCAAATTGCTTTTTACCTCGTTATGTGCCATGCTCATTATGAAGAGGTAACAAATGCAATCATTAACCAAGAATGGGTCGGAAGTAACGAGTTCAATGTTAAGTGTTGTGTACATTATCCAAAATCTAGTCTGACATAGAAGGGAGCAAAGTCTGTTAAGCCCCTTGTAAAGACTTGTTTCCATCTCGGCGGTGAAGGAACACCATGAATTCTAGCTTTGTCGAATCAGATGCTGTTTTCCTATCTCTGGGCTATATAAACCTGCCCAGTTCCACTTGAAAATCAAGATTGTTTGACAGTCTGATCATCATCACTTTCTCTTACTAATTAACTCTACATCTTATCATCTACATACAACTCTGGTACTTACCATTTGCTTTATACTTAGCTATATTTAACTCAGCTTTGTGAAACATTTTAGTAAATATTCAGGCTCAAATCCTGACTCTCATTCCCTAACAATAAAACTAACCATGTCTTCTATAAAGGGTCTCTGAAAACAAAACCCAACATGTCCACCGAAAATGGCGTCACCGAATGGGAGGCTTCCTTTGAGAAGAATATGGAACTCCTCCGCCTGGCTTCTACCTCGGGCAATGTTAAGTTCCTGTCCATATATCAGGAGAAGATGGTGGAGACGACGGCCACAGAGGCTGGCTTCCTCAATCATGACCTGTCAGCGATGGATGTCAGGACCATGATCTACCCATCTGACATCGTCGAGCAACTGCGAAAGAAGAACGAGACGGCCGTGAAAGAAATTGAGACGAGTTGTACCGTGCTTCGCAACACCCTGCAGGACTTCAAGGAAAGCTACCCAGATGCTGCCGAGAGCGACTGGAAGTCGTTTCTGGACGAGGAGGTGAAAAATCAAAAGAACGAGGGTAATAAACGCTGGGACGATCTGAAGCATTTTGGCGTAGATAAGATCAAACAGCTGCCCGAAAGTTTACGCTCTGCGATCGTCCAAGTCTACAGTGCCATGCTGGTCGCCATTGCGAAGCTGACGGGCAACATCGTGGACTGGCTGAGGGATGCCACAAACAAGGTCACCCAGTTTATCCGCATGATTATGGAGAAGATCAAAGAGTTTGCGGGCAAGGTTGTTGAGTGGTGTTCCAACACCTCGAATTTGATCACCAGCATTTCCGGCGACATATTTTCCCTTACTGTCGGACCACAAATGACAAGTCCAGCGAGCTAAATGCGGATAGTCTGAGCTCCATTTGTCCCTCCATCTCCGGCGTGACCCTTGGGCAGGTCAGATCATTCCTAGATCTTTCCTCCCAGATGAGCCAGGAGAGGAATTTCAATAGAGGGACACCCGGATTTCCCTCTGAAGACAGTCAAGTCTTAGGTTAGAATAAGGGATACGTTAACAAAACTCGTCTTGCAGCACACTAAATTGCTGCTGCTCAGTAGTGAAAATTTAATTTTACTCCCCAACTAAAACCCTGGATTTGCTATTTGACTTCTGACCTATCAGTGTCATGCAATAGTGTCTTTTCTTTTCTTTTCTTTTCTTTTCTTTTTTTCCTTTTTAACCACCGTCCGCTCCTTTTATATTATCGAGTAAAGTTAAACATTACAGAAAGTTCCTATATTGATGTCACTAATTACCTGTGATAATAATTTCGCGAGATATTGCCAAAGTAGTTATGTTACTCTGAGCGGACATGTAGACACAGTGAATTCCTTTTCTTTTCTCTTGACTCGCAGCTCGAATCACTTAGTCGGAATTTCGTAGCTCTACATGCCAGGGATATGTCAAGAGAATTCAATTCAGATAAAAAGGGCTTGCGTGTACCATTCTGACCCTGTTTTATGTCGTCTATGGCAAAATTAATGGGTCCTGTATTCCTCTTTCTTAAGAACTTAACAGTTTTTCAATTCATCATAGAGAAGTTGCAGAACCATAACATGTATTAGAGAACTTTTCTTACAGAGAATACCAATACGAGAAAGCAAAGTATACAACTTTAATTTCAACTTCAGATAAAGTCATCACCCCGGGGAAAACCAACATCCAGCAATCAATGCAAAGCAAGAAATCAGCGTCGATTACACTGTATAAGTATGGGGGGTGAAGAGACAGTCTACTTTCTAACAAACCAGAATGTACAAGAATTATAGAAGAGCATGTCAACTTTAGAGCTTGAGATCAAATTTACATGTTCAGTTGAACAACAGACCTCATGTCATGTGTTTTTGTCCAATTCCTTCAGCGGTAAGTGCATTTTCTAAAGCTTCCCTGCCTCCCCATCGGCCATTTTCCCACACCTGCAGGTCGCATTAGGAAAGAAGATTGCTATAAAATGAATGGTCAGGATTTTTGATTCAAGAGTAAAATGAATCTGTTAAGTTCAAGATTTCTCACAGACCCACTCAGAAAAACCGTTTCCATTTTGTCCACTTTCCTCGGACGTCTCATCCGAGGCTACATATATGATCTATAAATCCTGTGGCCACCTTTTCTTGGCTCCAAGGGTCCATTTTTGATATAATAGGCTTCTCGTGACATCCTGGTCCGGCAGACCCGAATCACACTGTCCAGCGCCTTACCACAATTGTACTGCATTACCGAGGTGGAATCAGGAAAATAGCCCGAACTCGAGAATCGACCATCAGAATGATATTGAATTCGATTATGCGGTTACCACATAGCAGTGATTTCAACCTACACATCCAACATTAGTAGTCGTTACCAGCGAACATAGTGTAATATCGAGACCCGCGGAAATACGTACTCCTGATATGGAAGCGTGCCAAGCCAAACATACTTGGCCTCAAGTCAGCTCTCCTCAAGCTTGCGGCCGAGTCACACAGCCTTGTCCGTACCGCCGCCAACTTATACTGCTGCACCCGAATGGTCGATTGTCGAAAACCATCTATGACGCAACGAACTAGATTTTCAATTAGAGATTTCCCCCTAACGACTACAATATACTTCAGTCGAACATAGAGTTGATTCACACAATAGATATAAGCCCTCTACCTTCGCGCTACTCCATATACAGGTTTTCTCTTCAGGGGTCTCGTGCCTACATACGCAATGTGGGGAGTGAACGCGGCATGGGTGGTAGAATGGCGCAATTTTCCAGTCTAACGAGTACGTATGCGGAGTAGTGGCGCAGCAATACCTAGTTTTTGCTCCTTCCGTAGCCTACCCACCTCGCCGTCCTTACCGCCTAGCAGAAACGCATGGTAGGAACCACGCTGAAATTCGAAACGCGTATGCGAATCTATCTTAGACCATGCAAAATCGGGTGGCAGCGATTTTTGAGAGCAGGGGTCATCTACATCCTTCTAGAAAAATGGATAGTATTAGTGTACTAGTGTTGAATGAAGTTGGCAAGATTTTATGACTGGCAGGATGTTATATAACATGATGGGCGTGCGCACCTCTCTTAGGCGTAAAGGCTTTTGCTGTGCCACTAGAGGTCCACTGGTATTACCATGTACTCCATTATAGTGGGCAATGGGGGAAGGGGAGAGGTTCTACATAATGAAACTCTACTTGGAGAGCGGCAACCGACGTTCCGGTCCAGGATTGCTTCGTCTGAGTGGGGCACAACCTCAAATTATCTTAAGTTTTTCACCCCACTTAGGTTCTTCAAACTTGTATCTATCCAATCACATTTCATATTGACATCTTTGCTACACTCTACTCCACCCATCGGGACTTTGAGATACCCGACGGTATCTGTACCTGTGAGAATATTTCCGACACCTGGCTTGACTTTGGGGAATCTGCTGGATTCATCTGTTTTACTGGCCAGGTCAGACAATTGGCTCTGGTCAGCTGCCTGTTGGCGGACGTCAAGTGGTGTCGGCTTGGTGGTTGGGCTTGCTAGTCTAGCCCCAATGCCGACGATCCTATCTAATGCAACTCTTTATGACCAGATCCTCCTGAGCCTGTTGTAACGAATAATATGGCACTTTTACGATGACAGTAGATTCTTGGCATACTCGCAATTATTTCTGACCAGATACTCCTGCACCTATTGTATCGAATAATAATATGGGATCCCGGGCGCTGGGTCTCCACCTATACGCAATCTAGTGGGCCATAGAAAACTGAGAAATACCCTCGAACAAGATATACGCGGCGTATGTTTCCAGATATCCAATGCCAAGCAATAATAATGAATACCATCCAATTTAAGATACCGCCTGCTATTTTCCTTGGAAAAGCTATCCACAGGCCTACTGAGCCGTTGTTCTTGAATTTATTTTGTGCAGATCTATGGCTTTATCACTCTCTGCTCTATTGGGCTTGATATGGCAGAAGCGAAGCTTGCCATCGTCACAATTCTCGTCCATAAGCCTCGGCACCGTAATCGATGACGGTGATAATGACCACACTGCCATACCAGCTTCACGACTTCATCGGCGGAAATGTAACTTCCGGCTAAAGAGAGCGCTCTGTGGTACTCTTCTCATAATTATCCTTTTGTTGGCCTACAAGCCACTGATCACCCAACTTCGCCGGTTTCGCTTTCGCCGGGACCTTAACCGATATGACATTGGTTTCGAAGGGTTTGCTCCCTCACGGGACTATCACAGTTTCCAACTTGATTCACCCAAGCTAGCATTTATTCAAACCGATGCCCGTTGCAATCGCGACTATATTTTCCTCGCGCCAAACGGGGCTTCTATCCCAAAACCGGGACCGGTGATCCTTGATGCTGATGGAGAGTTGATCTGGCGGATGTGGGAAGGATTGGAAGGAGTGACGCAGGACTTTAGAGTGCAGCGGTACAAGGACGAAGACTTTTTGACATTCTGGGTGGGAAATGAGATTGACGGGAAGAAACAAGGTCATTGGTACATGGTAAGTGACCATAGTCATCAGAATGACTGCAAAGTTAACAGCTGTGGGTTCTTGTTTAGCTTGACTCGTCTTACAAAGTCCGATATACCCTCTCCCCTGCTGGAAACTTCACCACGGGGGATATGCATGAGTTCCACCTCACCCCCGAAGGAACGGCACTTGTCGTGGTTTATGACGCAATTCCAGCCGACTTGAGCTCGGTTGGAGGACCACTTGACGGCTGGATTTTGGACGGAGTGGTTCAGGAGATTGACATTGAGACTGGAGGCCTTCGCTTTGAGTGGCGCGCATCGGAACACTTCTCCGTTGAGGATACGTTCCATGGCCTTGCCGGCTGCCAGGAAACAGATGCTGCTGCCTTTGCCGGATGTGGCAACTCGCCAACGTCCAGTTTTGACTTTTTTCATTTAAACAGTGTGGAGAAGGACCAGTTAGGAAACTATCTAGTCTCGAGCCGGTATACTCACACTATCAGTGGGGTCAGCGGGAAAGATGGGAGTCTTCTTTGGACATTAGGGGGGAAATCCAACCAGTTTCAGGACCTTTCCGCTAATGGATCAGCAACCTCTTTTGCCTGGCAGCATCATGCCCGCTGGTATGGCAGTAGCAGTATTACGCTGTTTGATAACGCCGTTGAGGATAACTCTGACACGTCAATAGAGAGTCGAGGACTCATCATTGACCTGGATATCGAGAAGCGACAAGCCAACGTCCGTGCAGAATTCCTGCACCCTCAAAAGATGGAAGCCGTGTCTTTAGGCAGCATGCAAATCCTGGAAGGTAGCGAGAACATTTTTATCGGATGGGGCCATAGTGCCGCTTTTACGGAGTTTGCTCCCGATGGAAGTGTGCTCTGTGATTTCCATTATGGCCCATCGGCATTGAATACATTTGGCCGATTAAAGTCATACCGAGTGTTTCGGGGCAGGTGGGTCGGATATCCGACTGAGCCGATAAACGTTGCCGTTAACAAAAACGCGATGTACGTCAGCTGGAACGGGGCGACAGAGGTAGACCGCTGGCAATTAGAAGTACAGCGGGATGACAGGGCCGGATTTGATACTGCCTCTCAATTTTTCAAGACTGGCTTCGAGACAAAGATCATGATTCCACCTTCACTCCAACTGGGATCCTTGATACGCATTCAAGGGCTGGATTTCGAGGGTAACGTCCTCGGGTCGTCGGATGTTGTGGAAATTGCGGCGCAAAAAGAGATATCATCATTCTCTGTTAATGTTTTGATAATTTTTTTTGGAGCGATGATCCTGGCTGCCGTGATTTATTTTGTGAGAAGGCGACGAATTGGACGGCCACAGGACCATGACCAATATCAGCTACTCCCAGTTTCGAACTAGAACATTTCATTTGCAATATGTATATATATTTCACTGTTTTACCCATAGATTAGGCCTAGGAAGGCACTCTATGTTGTTCAATCGTATCATAGTCTTTTTTGAAAGCCAGAATTCCCTATTTGGATTGCTGAGAAGCTGTAAGCTATTTTACAGCGCTGCAAATTTTGTTGAACATCGATAGCTTGGTCAGCCACGAGAGAACAGATCACATATACTTACTTTGATCTTTCCATGCTCCTTTAGTTTTGAAGATAGAGGTGTGGGATTGAGTTTTTGGTTGTTGCCTATAAAATTGTGTTCCACTTAGCATGTTCAATAAGGGCCACTCAATGTGCTTCATGCCCTGGAGGGTTTCTTGGTCGATTTCAAAATGGCCCACGATGGCTTTACGCTTGCTGAAGCACAGCTACAGCTCGGACGCTATGCTGATGCCTTGCCCGCGGGCCCCATGCTCGATGCGTGCCATGCCGGTCACTGTCCCCTTATCAGGCCTGAAGAACTCCATATTTTGTTTCTCGAGATTTCCCTCCACCCGTGCATCTGTCATCTGCGGCCTGGCACCCCGCAGGTCCCTGGCCTCTTTCATTGTGTACCCGCCGCTCCTCTCCCCCCACTGCTCTGCACTCTCTCTTCTATCGTAGCTTTTTGTAACCCTGATTCCTGTCTTACGCAGCCTATGTGCCCGCTTCATTACCTTAACCCCAAGGGCGGCAGCTTCTCGCCGTATTAGGCGGGGATTTTAGGGCATGATGATCAGCTATTGCCCTTGTTCATATTACCTAGCTCCTGCATGAGAAAAAGACACTTTACCGCTCTCCAGCGTAGCTACATGATAGGTTTTGAATTGGGCTACATATTGCTAACCGGCCGCATGGTCGATCACTGCCTATGCTGCGTCCAAAGCTTCATCACATTTGTCTTGAAAACATATTGTCAGTCAAGGAGATACAACATGGCCTAATAATTTAGAAACTTTAACTTAATGGGGGAATTCACACCAGAACATCTCTGCTCAAAGCTCATCGAAACTGTTGACTGCAAGCAATATAATTGTGCCGTTCAGATATGCACTTCTAGTTCGGCTCGGTCGGGGGGAAAACAAGATGTCGCCAATATGGCGAGGACCCACATATTCCGTTGTGTGTCCTGATATTACAGGAATAATCGACTCCCTTTCTGTTTTGTATGCTATCCCAGGTACAATCGGAACTCGAAGCCATAATACGCTAATCAGTGGGGCTAGGGATATTCAACACTCCCCGCCAGCAATCCTAGATAGTGAACCTGGGCGCTCGTCGGCAAGTCTGGCAAGCAGACAGGGTGAGAAGGATCAACCAACAAGCCAACAAACCACGACACACCACCAAGATGGAGAACAGCTTCTCAAAAAAGAAAACAGATGCTGTTTGAGGGAGAATTGTACCAGTTGAATTTCTCTATCTTTCTCCATCTGAGATATGAAGATATATTCGTAAAGGCGCTGTTGCTGTACCTTTGAAAAAAAAATCATCCAATCAGAAACAATATATCGTTAGCTATTTCCCCAGTCCATTACTGAATAGCGGGTGTGTATGTTATTGAGAAGTATTGTTTGTAACAATAAAATGATAGACTTGGCTAAGTAGTGATAGTAGCCATGTTGGATTGAAATTTTCATCTCATGGTAATCCAGGCCAATTAAGGGGTGAAACATTGTCTCTACACATGATTGATGATGCAGCCTATCGGTTTAAGATCCCTTGTGCAAGTTAGTACTAGCAATATTTACATCTCGAATTCCAAATTAGGAGTGTACCTGAAGTATCCCTTGTTTCTAACAGCATAATTAGAAGTCTTGCTGCCTCGTTTCTTGTTTTTCCTATTTCATAATGACAAAACACATCTGCCACTTTTGCACACCTAAATACTGCCGATAAGAGTAAGAAGAATGATCGAGAAATTGTTCCTCTCCTGTGTGCTGATCGTATTCTTATCTTGCACTCTAGTTTCCGGGTGCGTATGCAATAATTCTACCACCAAGCACACTTACAGAAAAGCGCGTCTAATATGGTGCTGCGGATGAGATTTAGATTATGCGATCCAGATTCGACATACAATGCCTCTATTGTCCGTTGGGAATGGGAACCATACCCAGGGCCTCTATCTAATGGAGATAAGGGTAGCTATCTGAACCTATCCTCCGGAGTTGATCTCTGGTACACCGTGATGGGGCCTAGGGAGTCTAAACATATTCCCGTACTTATCCTCCATGGGGGAACCGGAAATAGTAACCAGATGTATCTGCAAGCAAATATGTTAGCACAAACACGTCCGGTAATATTGCAAGAGTATGCTTTTTGCCTGCCCTTTTCTGGAAACTGTGAGATGCGGTCACTGATAATGAAGCCTCACAAAGTACTCGAGGGGAAGGTCGCAGCCCCTATGCCAACTTTGTCGAATTCCATTATGACGACTTTACGCGAGACGCCATCGCTCTGCTTGATCATTTGAATATTGCACGTGTTGCCGTCCTGGGCTGGAGTGATGGTGCGATCACTGGCCTCAACTTGGCAATGAAGTACTCTTCACGTATTGACCGTGTCTTTGCCCATGGCGCTAACCTGCAAGCTAATATGAGTATTCCTGGCTCTAACGACCCTATCATTACTTCCAAAACTGGCAGTCTCGATTCCGACATTGCGACCAATGGTACGACATTTTCCCAAAATCCAAAACTTCAAAGGCGAGCGGATTGTCATCACTACGCTTGTGAGGATTTAAGCCCTCTCCCAGATCGTTGTGGGGCCATGGTGAATGGCGTGAACTAGTCAGTGACCCACCTGGCTATGACCTTTTTGCCTAATATAGCTAACATACCAACATAGCATGTGGAAAACAGAACCTGCCTGGGATTCCAAAGAACTGGCGAAAATCCAATGTCCTGTCTGGATAGTGGACGGAGACCATGATGTCGCGGTCAAGCGAAACCAGGCTGACGCACTGGCAGCTTGGATTCCCTATGCTGGCGAGCTGATCCTACCGCAGGTTGGCCATGTCGCTCTCCTCCAAGACCCTATATTGTTCAATTTTGCTGTTAAATACTTCATGGATATGCGATTTGACGGGGTATTTCCAATATATTAATCTTGTGTCATCCTGGCTTTTTACATAGAGCTTTTCTATATTCATCGTGGAAAGACGGACTAATTTTCGCTCACTCGAGATGACAAAATATGGTTGGATCCGTCATGACCAAAAACTTCGCTAATTATCGAGCATCAGATACTGTACCTTTCCTACAGATACTTTGGGCTCGTCTTTGTTGAGATAGACCTCCCTTATCAGCCGCTGATGAGAAGAAAACAGATCTACGCCAAGTAGCGCAGTCTCTACTTCGGCCCAATCCACGACCCCAACTAGATTGCAAAGATCTTTCGTTCACAATTATTTTGCAGACACTAAAGTTTTTATAAACTAGCAAGCACTATCTGAAGAGAAAATTCAGCAGGTAATAAGTTGAGAGATTCCTAGATTAGTAGGTGAAAGCGATCTAGGAGAGAAGCAAGCAACGAACTAAGCTTGTTTTTGTATCGACTATATAAATCATCGCAGTACGATCAACTGACATCTTAGGAGCGTTTCCACGAAAGAGCAAAGAATCTAATAAAGGCGTCTAGTTAGTTATTCAGTATATTGGCAACGAGACTGCTAAGCGTAGTCTGCGATGGCAATTATCAGATTCTTGCACCATAAAGGAATCCCAGTCGAGTTTTCGGGCACTTGGCTATCATGTGCCAAGATAACATCCAAGCAACTAATGCCTCGGAGTCGACTCATAACGTAGATAGAAGGAGGTTCTTTCCTCTCGATAACTTCCCCAATCTGCCCTATAAAGGTCATTTGAGGGTGCAAAGTGACCGTAGATACTTCGAGTGAGTTTCCCAACCTCTTCTTAGTTGGCGGAATGCAAGGCGAAATTGAACGATGAATTCGGCATTGTGCCCGGCATAGACAGTATAGCTGCACACACCCTGGACAGCCATCGGAACGATGTTGCCACAGACATGCTCCCTCGCAAAAGTGTCACAGGCTGAACGAGTGGCTGTCGTCTTCTCGAACAATTCAGCAATTTCTTGGTCAACAGAGTACGGAAGGCCACAGGTAGCCATAGCGGGCACGGCCTGCTTTTTCCAATATGATGAATTGAGAAATCAAGCAAGAGGTTATAGCCTAGACAAGACTAGGAGGGAACGCATCCGTAGTATATAGCCCCTATTCAGAAGGGAGTTCGACCTGGATGTAGAGTGACAGAACATCGACACCTAGACGCCTGCCGGTTCTACTCAGAGAGACTGTCGCCCACCGCCGTTTCGGGCAAACAATTTTCCTGAGCCTATTCTCAGTAAACAATTATGTAACCCTCTCCACAGGGTCCAGCCTTTTCTAGTGATCAATTCATCTCTTGTCCGGCAGTAGCCAATGGACGTATAGCTGGCATCCTCGGAAGAGAAGAAGTATGTTCCTCCTTTTCAGTCTCATCTCCTGTTCATCGTCGACGAATCGCAGATAGTCATTGAATGATCGGGAAGTAAAGGCAGAGCAGAGATATGAAGAAGGGGGAGCAAAGGCCAGAGAGTCCTGCCGAAATAACACGAGTATTCCTTGCAGAAGGTGCGGGCTTGGCGCCTCACCACTTGACGCTACTTCCAATGTGTCCGCTTGGATTGTTGACCCAGTAATCCAGCTAATTTCTTCTGCTCATCCTCTTAGTTCCATCAAGTGAGTCACAGTCTCCGCTTCCATTGCTATCCGTAGACCTCGTGACTCTCCAGGAAGATGGCGCTAGAAAGGTTTGTCCGAGAGTCGTGTTTGATTGTTCGAGACAGCGTCGATAGAATGGGAAAGAGGACGGTCGCGGCCACTACAGTCTCTTAGGGGCTGGGCTCTGTCCCGGACGAGATCCTAGGGCCGAAAGATCTCCAGATGAGAAATCACGATCGATATATAGTATGAAAGAGATCGGCTCCCAAAAGGGATTACGTGACCATGTACATTATTACCAAGAAAAAAGAACAACACAAGGGTTGAGAACGGTCTCCACTGGCTCCACTTGGCCGTCATCGGAACCTGACTTGAGGACCCCATCGCTCGGAACTGACTGCCTAAACGATCTAAGGATGGGGAGTTTCAGACCAGGTTGAGCAGGGAGGCCTGGATGCAAAGCAGCATTCGCTCTGACTTACTATTGCCAATCACATGAAGTAGTTATATCGGACCGTATCTAGGAACTCTCTTTCTACACCGTCTGTTCCACTGGGGTCGTTTACGGTTACACTGGGACCTGACATCATCGATCGGGGGGTGCCACCATGGGACGCCCGTGGTCGACGACCCGAGGTCGACGACCCGACTACATTAATCAGAACGAGCGCCTGGAATTGTTGGGCCCTGGAGCAAGCAGGATCGTACGATGGGTGCATCGGGTCTGGCGCAATAGCCCTCCAACGTAGTCGGCGGCCTCGGCAAGTTCGCTCGCCTTGCTCGATCGTGCTGCAAGGGTGGTTGGAATAAGAATAGCGAAATAAGCATTAAGCAATCCGAGCAGTACGGACGAGAAGCAGGATTCTAGGGACTTCGATGGCGTTGGGCGAGCTCGAGCCCCGGCCGTTCCCCTGGCGACGGATCGCCACGTCGGAACTGGTCGGTTTCTGGGAAAGGAGGACACGATGAGACGAGGGACTTCGGAAACGTGCCAAGTCGTGCTGGCGAAAGCTGCACCCCGAAAACACCATGAAAACCCACGGGGATCGCCGGGCGTGCTGATTCGTAACCGCCATCCCCCGCAAGGCCAGCTCCCCGCCCCCCACATTCCGTCGCGGCGGTCTGGCCCAATCGCAGAGTCGAGCTTAGGAATCAGCGGTGGCCCAGACTGCACAGGCTGACAAAGTACCTTTCCCGAGGAGCTCGCAATGCGGTAATCCGTTTTCCGTCATTCGCTGCAGAAGTCCTTAAAGAGGTGCGGGGTGCCCCCCTCGGTTCCGGGCTCGTTTCTCTCTTCTCCCCATTACCTCTCCAAATCACATCCCCGAGATTCATCATGGGTGAATGTCCTGTACACAACACGTCCGCCAACGTGGCGGGCCACGGTACCCGCAACCGTGACTGGTGGCCCGAGGCATTGAAGCTCAACATTCTGCGCCAGCACACGGAGGCGACTAACCCGTTGAGCAAGGACTTTGACTATGCCACTGCCTTCAAGAGCCTGGACTACTATGCGCTCAAGAAGGACCTGCACGACCTGATGACTGATTCCCAAGAGTGGTGGCCCGCGGACTTCGGCCACTATGGCGGTCTGTTCATTCGCATGGCGTGGCACAGCGCGGGCACTTACCGTGTCTTCGATGGCCGTGGCGGTGGCGGCCAGGGTCAACAGCGGTTCGCGCCGTTGAACAGCTGGCCCGACAATGTCAGTCTGGACAAGGCTCGCCGTCTGTTGTGGCCCATCAAGCAGAAGTACGGAGATAAGATCTCCTGGGCCGATCTGCTCCTGCTGACCGGCAATGTGGCCCTGGAGTCCATGGGCTTCAAGACCTTCGGCTTTGCGGGTGGCCGGCCCGATGTCTGGGAGGCGGACGAGTCCGTCTACTGGGGTGGCGAGACCGAATGGTTCACCAATAATGTTCGCTACAAGCCCGAGACTGAAGACCAGCAGGCCAAGCAGAGTGATATTCGCACTCGCGACCTCGAGGACCCCCTCGCTGCCGTCATCATGGGTCTGATCTACGTCAACCCCGAGGGCCCCGATGGCAACCCCGACCCCGTGGCCGCGGCCCGCGATATCCGCGTCACGTTCGGCCGCATGGCCATGAACGACGAGGAGACCGTTGCCCTGATCGCCGGTGGTCACACCTTCGGGAAGACCCACGGTGCGGCGGCGGCCAGCAATGTTGGCGCGGAGCCTGAGGGCGCCGGACTCGAGAAGCAGGGCCTTGGCTGGACCAACGCCCACGGCAGCGGTGTTGGTACCCACGCCATCACCTCTGGCCTGGAGGTGACCTGGACCAAGACGCCCACCAAGTGGAGCAACCAGTTCCTGGAGTACCTTTTCAAGTACGATTGGGAGCTGACCAAGTCCCCCGCCGGGGCCAACCAGTGGGTGGCCAAGACCACTGACGAGATCATTCCCGATGCCTTCGACGGCAGCAAGAAGCACAAGCCCCAGATGCTGACCACCGATCTTTCTCTTCGCTTTGATCCCGCCTATGAGAAGATCTCCCGTCGCTTCCTCGCCAACCCTGACCAGTTAGCTGATGCCTTCGCTCGTGCTTGGTTCAAGCTGCTGCACCGTGACATGGGTCCCCGTGTCCGCTGGCTCGGCCCTGAGGTCCCCAAGGAGACTCTCCTGTGGGAGGACCCCATCCCTGCGGCCAACCACCCCTTGATCGATGTTGAGGATGCTGCCGAGCTTAAGCGTTCCATCCTGGCCTCCGGCGTCGAGCCCACCAAGTTCATTTCCGCCGCCTGGGCTTCCGCTTCGACCTTCCGTGGCGGTGACAAGCGTGGTGGCGCCAACGGTGCCCGTATCCGCCTGGCTCCCATGAACCAGTGGGCTGTCAACAACCCCGCTCAGCTGCGCGAGGTTTTGAACGTCCTGGAGGACATTCAGCGCCGCTACAACGGCTCCCAGACCGGTAACAAGCGCGTGTCCCTCGCCGATCTGATCGTCCTCGCTGGCTGCGCTGCTCTCGAGAAGGCCGCCGGTATCCCCGTCCCCTTCACTCCCGGCCGCATGGACGCCTCTGAGCAGGAGACCGATGTCGAGTCCTTCAGCTTCCTGGAGCCCGTCGCCGATGGCTTCCGCAACTACGGCAAGTCGTCCATTCGCGTGCGCAGCGAACACATGCTCGTTGACCGAGCTCAGCTGCTCACCCTGACCGCGCCCGAGATGACCGTCCTGGTCGGCGGTTTGCGTGTCCTGAACGCCAACTGGGACCGCTCCAACAACGGCGTCTTCACCAACCGCCCCGGCCAGCTTACCAACGACTTCTTCGTCAATTTGCTGGACATGAACACCGTCTGGAAGCCCACCGACGGCAACAACGAAACCTTCGAGGGTGTCGACCGCAAGACCGGTGCTAAGAAGTGGAACGCCACCCGCGTGGATCTGATCTTCGGTCACCACGCCGAGTTGCGTGCGCTGTCCGAGGTGTACGGCAGCCACGACGGCCAGTCCAAGTTCGCGCGCGATTTCGTCGCTGCCTGGGACAAGGTCATGAACCTTGACCGCTTTGATGTGGTCTATTCCGTTGGTCAGGGCCGTGCTCGCCTGTAAATTCTCTACTCCCATGTCTTTTACGCTCTCCATGTTACCAAGCACTACATACTGCTTATGATGTATCCCAAGTTGATTAACGAAATTTGTTGAAATTATGAACAACAATATAACTTATTTTTTCTATTCGATTGTCCTGTCTCGTCTCGTAGAATCGTGCCAATTATTCTCGACATCATCAGTCTCTGTCCCTGTTTTCAGATTGCCTCGACACAGCACCAAACCTTCTTTTTGCGCGTTTTTTTTTTTTTTTTGGGGGGCTATGGAGCTCCTCGCGCGCGAATGTCCAATGATTGACGCCACCTCCGCAAATCTGATTCTAACCAAGATTTGTCATCCCAAGCCGAAATACCGCTTCCGGGAAATCTCACCGTACTCGTATCCTTGTAAACCCTTTGGCACGAATTCTCCACGTCGAAAAGGACAAAAATAGCTCCACGCAGCGCCTATCAAGCCCTCCACTAACTGCCGCCGTGTCATTGAAGCCACGGTCTAATGCAGGAACCATACGCCGGTGAATTCGCGCTGTGAACAGGCTGCAGCCTTAAGTGGCATTGAAAAGGAACGAATACGACCTTCTTTTGCGTCGCCACAATGGATCTCTTGGGGGAGAGGCCTGTGAGATCGCGCCGAACGCATCGGAAATCGAGGCACGGCTGTTCTAGCTGTAAGAAAAGACGTATTAAGGTGAGTGGGTTGCTCCCATGTCCATTTGCGCTGCTATCCCTGCACTCCGTGTTCCCCAATACACGCATTTCCCTGTTTTCTCAAAAATGCGCAGCTTTCTACACTTTTTATGTTGCTTCCCTCGGAAGATATCGACGGACAGTCTCACTCTAGATACTGACGATGAAGACGATCTTCAGTGCGATGAGAAGAAGCCCACCTGTACCAACTGCTCAAATCATGAAATCGAATGCTCATTCTCGAACAATGCGCCTGTCACACCAGCATCTGACTCACACTCTCCAATCACTACAATCTCTGAACCCTCCCCAGAGCAAATCAAGACCCGCTCCTCACAGCGGTATGTCCCATACCATTTTTCGGCTGGAGGCGTTCAGCAGACATTCAAACTAGCCAAGCCAAAGCGGAAACCTGAAATAACCTCACACTCAACTGGAACCCAATGCGACCCTCCACCTCTCGAGAACATTTCCTTCTCCGACCTCCAGCTTTTTCATCACTACACCATATCCACCTACCGAACGATGAACGACGATAATGACGAAAACGGCGTCTGGCAGAACCACCTTGTCCAGTGGGGTATGGAGTTCCCGTCGATCATGCATCTCATCCTTGCCCTTTCGGCCTTGCACCTGGCCCACGAGCAGCCCACTGTGCGAGATTACTACGTTCAGAAAGCCGACGACCACTTCACCTTCGGCGTACGCTCTGTCACCGGCGTGCTAGCCCAGCTTAACGCGAACAACTGCCAGAAGATCTACATGGCCGCTGTGCTGGTTTGCTTCATCTACTTCGGCCGTGGGCCGCGGCCCGGCGAGTACCTGATCTTCAGCGACAGCGGCCCCGCAGAGTGGAAGGTGCTCATGGGCGGGGTGAAAATGATCCTGGCGAGCCACCATAATCGCGTGTTCAGCGGGGTTCTCAAGCCGACGGGCGACGCGCGGGAACGCTTGCTCAGCAGCTCGATGCGGCTCGCACTGAACGAGCACACCGTCCGCGTGCAGATGCTAGAACGCCTGGTCGAGCAGCATGGGGATCCCTCCGCGCGGGAGATGTACGCCGCAGCGATCGAGAATCTCTTAGAAATCATGATTGAAGTGTATGAGCAGCGGTCGATGGGCGATGCGGGCGTGGCGCTGATGCACTTGCTAATCGGGTGGATATATCGACTGCCGGATGAGCTGGTTAGCCTTTTGGAACTGAAGGACCCGTGTGCGCTAGTAATTCTCGCGTACTGGGCGCTTTTGCTGAAGTATATGGAATCGACGTGGTTTATGGTGGGCTGGTCCCAGCATGTGCTGTCTGGGATAATGGCTTCGCTTCCGCCGGAATTCGGGTCGTGGATTGAGTGGCCGTTGACGAAAGTGCAGACATGAAGCTTAATATTATGATACCCAAATGGAATGATTTACAATGAGTGTTATTATAGATTGTCACTGTTTATAACTAAGTAGATGACCTTCAAGTGCTATATATATATATGTAAAGTTCGAGGCCTTTGAGTAGAGCAGACGGGGTGATAGTTCTCGATGTGTAATACGTGGGCTTGGGGACATCACGCATTCCTTAAATTTGAACTTATATATCCTAACTCTTATTTTGACTAAAACCCCGATATGTCACTGCAAATTTTACAATAAAAGGTTCACCGGCCTAAGGCAACAGTTTCAAGGCTAATCTCTTTTCTGATTGTGAAAAATTATCTCTTTTTGATAAAAACCTTTCAGAAGTTCTGGTGGAGATAGGTAAATTAAGCTTTGGTTCTAAAAAAGGGCGTCCGAATATCCAAGTGGAGCATCCGGTATGCATTTTCATGGTCCAGCTCCTAAAAATACTTCCCGTCTGCCTAAATGCTAAATGATGAAACCAGAGAGGACTCATTAAGCATTCGGTAGCAAGACTAGAAGAGCGAAACAGGGTCAAAATGTGGACGCACCACAATGTGTCCCCACTGGTCTCCACCCGTATTCGTTCTCTATATTTCCTAATTCGGTAAAGAACCCCCCCTCCGATAGATGTACCCAGGAACCAAGCTTCTGTGTCTGAGAATAAATATGGTCGTCAATTCATGCTTGAGAATTACAACTTTCTCTATTTTTCGATTGAGAATTGTCTACTTCTTGGATATGGATATCGTGTATCATAACGGCACCAATGGATCTAGTCCTTGGGTAGAGTTTTATCCCTACACGCCCTCCGCAACAGCGGGATATGCCTTCATGGCGATTTTTGGAATCGCAACTGTCGTGCACCTCATCCTCACATTTCCATTCCGTGCGGCATATTTCATACCCCTCCTCCTAGGGGGCATCTGTACGGACACCCCCACCCTTCAAATCCAAGCCTCCAAGCCCTAACACAAGACTCCATGTCCAGGCGAAACATTTGGCTACTACGGCCGAGCATGGTCTCATCAGTCCCGGACCGAAATTAGTTCCTGGGCCTTGCAAGAGATGCTCATCCTCTGTGCGCCGCCCCTGATAGCCGCAACGATCTATATGGTCCTCGGCCGGGTAATACGCTCCTTCGATGCCGAGCACCTCTCTAGCATGCGCACCAAGTGGCTCACCCTCGTCTTCGTCCTCAACGACATCCTCTGCTTCTGCACTCAGCTTGGCGGCGCCGGTGTACAAGTCACCGGCGACGCGAACATCATGGCCATCGGCAAGAAAGTCGTGCTGGCCGGTCTCATCTTCTCGCTGGTCGTGTTTGCCTTCTTCGTGCTGATCGCGGCATCATTCCATACGCGGCTCGCGCGCTCGCCGACGCCACTGGTGAGCATGAATCCGGACCTGCGCTGGCGGCGCTACATGTGGGCGATGTACGTCGCGTGTTTTGCGCTGATGCTGCGCAATCTGGTGCGGACGATTCAATTCGGTGCGAATCGGCTGTCCCCATTGAACACCAAGGAGGCTTATATCTATGTCTTCGACGCCTTCCCGATGTTCTTGACGATGCTTGTACTGATCATTTATCATCCGGGACGGCTGATCAAACAGGCTCGCCAGCGGGCAAAGGCCGCCGAGTTTCACCAGCCTTTGACGAGAGATCGCGATTCGGGTCAGCATGTTTTGTTGACGGAGTATGAGCCTCGGTCGATGCCGTAAATAGAGGGCTGTGGCTTCTATGCCTGCTGCTTATTTTGTAATGTCCTGGCAAGTGATATTTGGAGTCACGGATCTTCAGGTGTTTTTTTTGTTCGGATCTTTTAGATGGCATTCACTTTTCCTGTTTTTTCTTTTTGGGTCATTTGTGGGATTTTGGTTTGAACTGGTCAGCCTGTGGTATTTTTTTAAGGTTGTATTCAAGGCGAATGGATTTGTCAAATTACTATGTTATATTTGCTGTCACGCCTCTCATACATGAGGACGATGCTTCAAAGCATTCCGTGTCAGTAGAGGAGACGCAAAGGAAGTGTCAATGTAAATATCATTATTAGATTCCACTGGAGGCTAGACCAGAGCCGTCCATACAAAGTGCCGTCCAATCCATACTCGTCTCAGCGGACAAGGAACAAAAACTCATTACAGGCATCAGGAGACATAAAATGGCACCACAGGTGACCAGAGGAAGCCACGCGATGGAGCAGGTGGCATACGAAGGGAAAGAAGAGAAAATGAAACAGAGCCAGTCATATCCCGCACGATATCAGCGGACATGAAACTTCGGTTGAAAGGGAGAAGGCGGTTGCCTCGCAGGGGCATGAAATGTCGGCCTAGAACCACATAATTCCGGCGACCAGGCCAATGACCACAGCCATGCAGCTGCCGCGGAGTTCGACTGCATGCCGACTGGCCGCATCTGTGGCATCATCACTTGGAGCTGTATTTGACTGTTGGGCGCAGGGGAGGGTATCGAGGTTGCTGTCCGCAGCGTGTGAATTGTCTTTCGAGATAGCTTTCAGAGGACTGGATTGTTCGAGTGTTGTATTCTGAACACAGAGTACGGATTCTAGGTAGCTTGAACCCCAGCTGACTAGCGGTGTTACTCGGGCCATGAATGGAGAGCCTAGTGCAAGGTCCCAAAGGTCGATTGTCTGCCGGCAGGCCTGCTGCCACATGTTGCACAGGAACGGGAGCTGCAGTCCCAAATCTTCCTTAGGCGGTGAGGACGAAGTTGGTGGATAGTTCTGAGGAGGAATATCTGGGATGTGTTTGCCGTCAATTGATGTCGGGAAAGGGGAGGCGCTGGAAGGCGTGATGGTCGGAGGGAGGTTCGTTGGGGTTGTGAGGAGACTCCGGTTAGAAAAAGGGGTAAGAAATTGGTAATCGTCAAAATGTCGAGCGAAGTAGGTACGAAAAGCGCGGGCTCGTCGGCCGAACATGGTCGATTCCGTAGCGGCGTGGAACAGCCGACTTTTATTCTCGACAGGGGCGATCTCGCTGGGTATCGTCGGGACGCCAGACCCAGCTCGCGAGGATCGCGGCGCCCGGTTTCCTCGCGTCCGGTACTGTGCGCTCATAATCCATGACTTTTGTGGCTCGATGGGGAGTCCTGCTGGTGGGAAGTCGGCTCCCTCCTGAATCAGGGGAACCTCTGTAGGCAACGGCGATTAGCTTCCATGTTGGTACTTCGGCGCAACAGGGTTATCAATGAACGTACGAGGAGCTCCAGAGATATGATATGTCCAATCCGTCAATTTGATATTGTAAAAGCTCGCCAGGGAGGGGGCGAGAGTCAGCAGCGACAGGACCGCCAACACTAGGAGTGGCAGCGCGCCCGGTTTATCCAAGCCGGGGCGCATCATCCACGCTCGTCGGTCAGAGCCGGAGACCACTGGCCAGAGAAACGAAGCTGCAGGGAGATCCAAGGAGCACTAGACGCGGCAACCGGAAGGCCATGGAGGGGTTCTTGGTGGGTGCTTCTCGGGCAATGCCAATGTTATGAAGTGTTATGGACGGGGGTGCAGGAGCGGTTGGCTTTCCACTCGACTCGACCCTTGGCAAGCAACAACGGGGTCACAATGAGCTCGGAAGGGGAGGAGAATGACAGGAAACTGCCAGGCCCGTCCAAAAAAAAAGTAAGTTCGAGGGAGGGGAACGGGATCCAGAGATTGGTGGCAATCAGTGGCCGTGAGGCTGGCGGGTGTTGGAAGGTCGATCGGGTTTTTCACCGGCCCGAATGACGTCGATGACCAGGCAAACGGCCGCAACCGTCCTCCCCTCTTCTTGGCTCGACGATGACTTGATTCTACGTGCAGATACTCTGTGCCGGAGAATACGCGATGGGATATTCTCGATGTTCCCTTGATATATACTAGATATATGGTTGAGCTCTGGAATGTGCCTCTCCGCCAGCCGTTTTTCTCCCGTGGCTTCCAGGAATGCTGCCTCAGGCCGCCAATTTCTGCGAAACCGTAGTTTCTCGCCGTTTTGGGAAATTCCGTGCTTAAATTCTTGCTTTGCGAGGGTTGCTAAATTATGCTAGGTCGGTTCAGCCGGAGAGAACTGCGAGAACCGGATATCTTTGAGCGACAAAGAATCCGGGCACTTCCCCAGAACCCTGACGGGCCAGGAATTCCCCTCCGAATGGTCATTGGATCCACCAAGCAGAAATGATGCTGGCCAAGCTTGATCTGACCAGGCAATTGCCGTCCAAGCTAGGCGATCGGCACGTTCAGTCTTACCTGCATCGCCCTAAAAAGCCATCGAGGCCGCTGGGGCCAATCTCCTGTGGACAATTTCCGTTAGCCGCAGATGGCTTAATATAGAACACTGGGGCGTGCGTGTCCACTTCCTGCTGACTTAGGATGGGAACAGGAAAAGAGCACAGTAACTTCAATCCAACACTGTAAACCCTTCTCAGATAAGATGGCATCGAATCAGAGCGTATGCCGACCCGGAGGGCCTCCACCCGGGTTGACATCAGTGTTTACGACGGCGTTTACGGAGTACAGCAGCGTGAACGGCCCCGTTGGATGGGAAACGAGTAGTCTCCGCCCCTCAGCAAAGAAAGATACGCAGCATAGAAGACATACATCCCATCTAGACCAATATCTCAAATTCTAGTTGATAGACAATAATAACAACATGATCGTAATAAAGAATATATACAATGATAATAACCATACAATGCAGGGAAGGGTATCTATACCAATTCTATCATGTCAACGGCCTCTTCTCACATGTACCGTTCTTACCAACCTCATCAATTTTAGTTTCACCAACCTCCTATGCCAGCAGATTTCTAAAAACCGCCCCATCCTGGAATAGCCAGGATCGACTGGGTGATTCGAGAAAGCTTGCGAGCCACTCCGGGGGGGAAACACCGTGCGGCCATGGAAGTCTTCTCCACTTCGACCATGCAGCGACATCAGGGTATGTTCCAAGCCGAAGCTAGGCGCGCTCGTAGAACCCGCCCCAAACGGCTGCTGGGCCCCGCTGGCTAGTAAGTCTGGGCTACTGAGTAAGGCGTGCAAGGTGCCGTGGAGCCCTTCCAACACTCTGAGGCCCCGTTTCGCAAGTCCATACTGCGGGGCCTGCCGCCCGAGCAAACTATAGGCCTCAAAAAAAGTGGTGAAGCTGTGTCGCAGCTCTGCATCTGGACTGAGGTGCATCCCTTCCACCGCGAGTCGCCGCTCGTCGGCCTGGATTGAAAGAAGACACACCCCGAGGCCTGCGAGGGCATCCACCAGCCACACAGGCAGCAAAAAGAGTCGCTCCACGGCGCCTCCCTCTTCGTCGCCTATCAAGTCGTACAAACGGGTGATGGCCGCAATGACTTTGCATGTTGTCGCCATGAGAGATCGGCGGTGCGAGAGGGTCAACAGATCCGTACCATGCTGCTGGGGGGTCTTGGTTTCACGATGGAGCTGGTTACAGGGGTCGGCGAAGCCGCGGTAGAGAGTGGCCTTGGTGGACCAGAGGAGCAAATAGAGCCACTCGCGCTTGCGGGCAAGGGTGGGTTCGACGACATCCATGGAGGTATCTGGAGTCTCGAGCCAGTAGGGGGGTGGCAATTGGTCCACAATGACTTCTTGGAAACGCTGGGCGAAATCTGCGACAGTGGACGCATTAAATTGGTCGCTTTTCCACGACGGTGGGCTCAAGAATGCGGTTGAAAACCGCGCTAATTTGATATGGAAGACGCGATCGGTAAATCGAGTCAGGGTATAGGAGGACGTGGTAGTGAGCGTGTCAAGATTGTCATGAGGAGGGTCGAGATCGAAATAGCCTTCGGGGATCAGTGGCCAATGTCCGAAAAATGTATACATGAATCTGCAGAACGAATAACGATCAAGTTAGACCCAGTATCGGGAAAGAGTCATGATTTGACAGTTTCCCATCAATTCACCAGGAAACACACTCACCGATCGCAAACATAAAGGTTCCAAAAGGTTCGCCTTCGAAGTTCCATCTCGAGGTCACTCAGAGGCAGACCCGGATCCTTTAAATGCAGCCCTAACTCATGTGCATCCTTGACGGCGGTACTGAGAATGGCCCAGCTCTGTCGAATTTTGGCATAATTTTTGAGATAGCAAACATGTAGAAATCGGTGCTGTACCGTCACCAGCGAAGGTTTCTTCTCCAATGGCAGGAGCTTCTCTAGCTCATCCGCTAGGTTGTTAAACCAATATTCCAAGTGGTCTAGATGCGTGCTCAATGCACCAGTGGTCGGATATTGTGAATGTGGAAGGTTTTGGATGCCAAGGAGACAGATCCGAAGTACAAGAATGCCGAAACTCAAGTCGTCGTCGGATATGGCTTCTCCTGAACTATCATTGCGTTCTTGTGCCGCCCACCATAAATTATAGGTTGATTGGAAGGAGGGCGGGTGGATCAGCTGGTATATCTCATTGATCTCTTGCAAGAAAAGTCCAACTAGAAAGTCAGCCGTTGGCCGATCCGGCCAAGTCTGACGAGATCTCGATTGCAACGCAGTGGGACTGTTACCCGTGCTACTACTTCCTAGCATAGGTGAAAGGTTTCTAAGAATTTCCAAACAAATAGTATTAGAATCAACCCTCTTAATGTGCAGACAAGCCTTCCAAGATGGAATAAAACGAACAGGGTTTCATAGGAAGTCGGGAGGCGGTTACTTGACCCGGGTGAGCCATATCGCATAGTCTCCAGGGCATCGACGCCCATTTCATTCGAGTCAGACTCATACGAAGATAGGGTGGCAGAGGTATCCCTCTCTTCACTGAGGACGGAACTGGATCGTCTCCCGGTTGGGTAGTTGCTGCGCCCTCGGCTGAGGCCTCTCTGCGGGGGCATACTGGAATAGATACACAGATGTTCTACCCCTCGGCCTGTGCAATGATTGCATGGTCTTTCGCGGTTACACTTGAAAATAGTTAGTATCCCAGTCTCGTCGAATAATTATGGATCAATGCAGGTTTCACATGCCCGTTGCTTTCTTCGATTGCATTCCAAACACGACTTTATTGGCTTACGCCTGGTCCTTTTCTCCGCTTGCATGATTCTGAAATAAGCACAGACGGCGATATTGATTGTCTTGAACTTCAATTCTTCAATCTGACAATGCTGAGGTTGATCGCGGCCCTTTTAGTAGCTTTTTGATAAGCCGCCAAGACCGAAAACGCCCCCATAGAGTATCCATCAATTATCCCGGCGTACTTTAAACCACCAGTGCATATCATCGTCAGAGAGTTTAAATCTTACTTCAGATTCCATTTTTTCTGATTATGGCCCCAGAGTTGGCTCGGTTTCGTTTGATTATCCCAAAGACGTGATATCAAATTAGAACACCGTGGTCTGCGAAAACCCCACAGCTTACGGCCCACAACCGAGTACTAGGAGTGATGGGCGAGGCTAGTCCAGGATGGGGTCCTCCGGTCGGATTTTCTTTTTGGCGGTCGATATGCATTCACTCACTATGGATTATACTTTCTCTGCCGTTGTGCCAAATCGCTAATAATAGAGAAAGCCAACACGTCAAATGGTACGCGCGCATGGAGCGTTGGGTGGCTTGATATAGTGGGCCTCCAATCGACCTTTGAGCGCTAACAGGATGGGGGCCGTAACCCAACCTCCCTAAAGCTCACAAATCAGGCCCTCCTCAGATCCTCGGCCCTCTAATCGCCGACGCAAAACCCGCTGGCCCTATCGACACCTCATTCTGACCTACGATAGTGCTTCTAGAGCGGTCCTTGCTCGCCGGTAGAAACCGCCCACATGTCCGCGCTCAAACTCGGCTCGACAAAATCCAACATGTTGGTCAATCTGACGTGAAATTTCTAGAGAACGTTGGTTTCAAATGCCGCTCTTGAAACCGCAAAGGCAATAAACCTATAGCATGTGGCAAGCAGGCTCGGGTTGGAAAGATTAAATCATTCAGGCAATGTTGATCATAGAAGTCTGCGCAAATTTCGGGCCATGTTTGGGAGCTTCTCGAGCCATGTACTCCACATTGCGTGTGTTTCGGCAACTGATCAATTGAGAGGCGAGTAAGATGAGATAACTGGAGGTTCTAGCCGATAGCAATGAGTGATTTGGAAGATCAAGATGATATATATAGTTACCTGCAAAACGACGCAGAGCCGGAAGAAAACCATGGTCACCTCGACCGTTGGCATCCTTCACATTAATCAAACAAAAAAGAATCCCAATTTATACATGTTGTGCGCAATAAACATGCGCTTCTGCATATTAGAAAATGCTTGGACACAGCATGCTTATCCGAAAAGTGTCATGAAACAGAGGCCAAAGTGAAACAAGAGCATATCCCCTTTCGTCGTTATTTTTAATTTACGTTGCCAGGATCTCACTGACCTACCTTTTAAGATGAGAACTGATGAATTAGGTGAATTACCAATAAATAAAGGCGCACATCTTACAACGCTTCCACGCATTGATCCCTTTACTAAGCCTCACAGTATTTTTTTGAAGCGACATCCAATAACATAGGTACTTTCTGTGAACATGCTTGATCATGAAAATCAGTATGTGATCTACTTTACGTCATAGCATTCCAGAATCCCTTGTGTAGCATCGGAAGTAGGATCGAAGGGGAGCGGGAGGCTATCTCGATGGTACAAGGATTCCCTGCTTCCCACTCCTTTCACACCCCTACACGCGAAAGATTCAGCACATCATAAACCCTCCGCTAAGTAATCCTCTCTGATTGTTTTCGATATTCATTATGACCAAATTGTGAGCCCGATAATGGCCTGCAGCTGGGATACATGCTAATTCTAAAAATTGGGACTAGGATTGAATTTTATTCCTGATAGGATGAATCTCTTCATGGGAAGAAAAGAAACTAGCTTCTCGCCACATATGAAAGAATCATGTCATTTCATATTCGAGATGAGAGTTATGGTTCCGTATCAAGCTGCGTACAGATCTTGCTTTATCTCTGGAACTCAAAACCAGGCTTGTCGCCGACAGGTCATCCAATGACTTGATAAACAAAGGTGCCGTGTCTGAGAATTACATCAATTTGGAAAAAGGATGAATATATTCCAATAGTCGATGAGTTTTCATCAATTCATCTTCAAAAGATCTCCTTGTAACATCCTGGACCCCTTGTTGTCGGCATCCCTTGATGGCACAATCCTCCCTTGAGCCTCAGGAATCCTGGCTAGCACAGACGCCCTTTCAAGGTTTCTATCATCCCATCATTCCCTAATCTTCTTATACCCCACTAGATTCCTCATCATGTGGACCCCCACACATAGCTATTCATAAACTGTCTTTAATTTATTTTTGGGTGAACACAAAAAATTCCGGCCATGCCTTCTTTCTACCACTAATATTGACGACTTCACATACACATACGTATAATCCGTTAAGAGGCCAACGCTGATTATCCATCGCCAAATTTGGCCGGAGAAAACAGCAAAACACTGCCAGTAATGGGACATCCTGCCATATTGCAAGAGACATTTGGCCTTGAGTCAAAAACCAACCCCGACTCCCGAGCAAGCGTCCACAGCACCGAAGATGGATCGCCTCACCCGGCGCTGGACAGCACTTTCCAGCTATTCGAAAGCGAGCCATCTCCGGAAGAACAACAATGGCGACCCGGCGTGCGTGACTGGCTGGTATTCATCAGCATCGTCATCCTAGCAATGATGGACTCATTCGATGCCACTGTCCTGATCCCCGCTCTACCTGTAGGTCACTCAATATCTGCCCCTGGAAACTACGACCCCAACAAAATAGCTGACGAGAAGACTGCCGCAAGGAATTGGCAAATACATTTGATGAACCCCTCGCCAGCACGCTGTGGGTGAATACCGCGTATTTGATTATGAGCGTAGCCAGCCAGCTCTTTTTCACTATGATGTGTGAGGTCTTTAGCCACGGACCAGTGTGGATCGTCGCCGTCGTCTTCACAACCATCGGCACGGGGGTTTGCAGCGGTTCGATGAGCCTAGTCGAGTTGGTCATCGGGCGTGTCGTTCAAGGTATTGGCGGCGGCGGTGCAATGGCACTTTGCTTCGTGATCATGGCCGAGTCAGCGCCCGAGTGCATCCACTCCCGCTACTCGTGCTATATCCTTCTTACGCGGCTGATCGGATCAATTATCGGGCCCGTCGTCGGAGGGTTATTCGTGGATCATGCGAGCTGGACGTGGGCGTTCTACTTCAACTTCATCTTCTGTGCCCTAGGCCTCATGGCCATCCCGTTTGCCGTGGATCTGCGCGTCTCCAAGAATATCCCGCTCCGTAAGTTGCGTATCCTGGACTGGTCTGGGGCCTCAATGGCTTTCCTCGGACCCAGTAGTGCCATTGTTGGGCTGAGTTGGGGAGGCATCCTGCACAAGTGGACGGAGTGGCAAACACTTATGCCCATCGCGGTCGGCGCAGCAGCCCTTGTGGCACTGGTGTTCTATGAGTCGAAGTGGGCGCTGCATCCCCAGTTTGGCCCTCGAGTATTTCGATCAAGAGCGACGGCAATGACATACATCGGGTGCTTCTGCCATGGGTTCGTGGTTAGTTTAAAGCATTCATCCCTGACTATAACACCATCTCCGCTCCGTACTGACCACTCCATTTCGCATAATTTAGGTCTTCTGCCAAATGCAGTATTTCACTTTTTACTTCATCTCCGCCAAATATTTCTCTACCACCATCTCAGGTCTGGCTTTGTTAGCGTTGACTGGCCTTGCACTCACCCCAGCAGCCGTGGTCGGAGTTGTCCTCGCAAGAGAGTCTCAGTGTTCTCGATGGATCATCTCTGGCGGCTGGGTATTAACAATCCTTGCTTCCGGATGCTCAGTTCTCCTTATTAGCACCACACCCACTGTCGGGTGGGTGTTTATATTTTTCTCGGCTGGTCTAGGCCACGGCCTTCTCCTCTCCAGTTATAATATCCGCATTCACAGCGTTCCCACAGACGACGGCGTGTCGTTGCCATTGAAGCCGATCACCATGTCAAACTATATGCGGGCATGGGGGATGGCTGTGGCCGTTCCGGTTGGGGGTGTGGTCTTCTTGAATATCCTCGGAAATCAGTTTCAGAGTTTAGGTCTCAGGCGGGATCTTATAAACACGGCTCGGGGATACGTGGTCTTAATGGACCAAGTTGCGATGCCTGATGGCCAAAGAGAAGCTATTCAAGGTGCCTCCTCCATGGCGCTAAGGGTGGTTTGGGAAATTATCACTGGAGTCGGTGCCATTGGAGGCATTTCTTCGATTTTTTTGTGGACTAAAAAACAATAGCGTAATCATTAATGCCACTATTGGGTGGTATTTTGTTTGATTGTTTTTGAGAAGAGTCCTCAATGACTAAAAGAATGACTAACAATGAAATAACAATGGTAGCAAGACCGGCGTGGGAGAAAGGCATAACAGGCTGAACACCCCACCAGTAATAATAATAATTTGTGGCTGTTTAGGCTGAAGGACAAGCACAGCAGGCATACAGGGATCCTTGTCACATTAGGCCGCATCGGTCGTGTCGCCGCGCCTTGCGTCCCGGCTTTGTATCAACGGGAACTGGAGAAGCGGAGACAGGGGCTGAACTTGATGCCTTGAGGCGTTCTAGTTCCTGCTCCTTCATTTTTTCCTGAATTTTCAGTCTCTCAGGGATCACCGGCGCCCGTTCACCTTGAATTTTCCAGTCTTGCAATCGATCTTTTCCGAGATCCTGGAGGGTCTTCTGTTCTACAAGACTGTACTGGCTTGGATCATCACGGTTGAAATTGAATGGTTCTTTGAGAGCTACCGGGGGGTTCGTGATGATGCGAGGGATTCGTAGGCTGTTGACCGATGCCGAGTGAACCATCAGTGGGTGAAGCAGAATCACGTCGCCAACATTCCCGGTCATTTCGTAAAATTCGTGACATGATTTGACGACATCGTCGTAGAACTCTCTATCTCGGGGGTCGGGCAAGCCACGAGGAACCATGTACGGCGAGACGCCCTCGGGATGGTCATACTGAGAGCCGGAAACCAGTTAGCAAATTGGCTACCGCCACTGAATGAACACAATACGATTCAGCTAGGCTGGAACTGACAAGGTGCTTGGCAATCTTTTTGATTGCATCTGGACAAACCATCGTGCCGCCCGCATGCTCCTGGATGTCAGTGAACAAGGGTATGACCAGCAACGCCTGCTCAGGAGAATCGAGGAAATGGATGAAGAAGTCCCCGTCGACATGCCATCCATCTAGATCTGCCGGATGAGGCCATTTGCCTTCAGACTCCGCCGTGCCCAGATTAACGATGAAGGCATCATTCCAGGATGCCGCCCACTCGGCGACACGGTCCTCGCCACCGAGGAGCTCACAGATGGCGGCCCATGCCTTGGGGGCGAAAGTCCGCACCGACTCCTGCTTATGGTCGGGCATATTGGTCCGTTCGGCAGCCCAGGTGGACTTGTCCGTAGGGGAGTAGCCGAGTCGAGTCCATACGTCGGCAGTCCACTCGGCGGCCTTTTCTCGGGAGAAGCAGTTGGTGAGGCAGACATATCCATACCGCATGAAATGATCCTTCTCTTGCTCAGAGAGTCGATAGTGCTTGTCGGATATGGTGGCCATTATTTCTGATGTCGCCCGGGGAGATCCCAATAATGAAGCTTTTGTGGATATACTCGATGAATCTGGGGTATACTTGCAACTCAGGACGCTGACAAAGCATGAACCATCTGAAGATCCCGTTATTTATCGATCAACCTGGGGCTGGAGATCGAGGCAATACTGGCGGCACTGGATATGGCGTTCTTTAGATCAGCCGGGGTGTAAGAAGCAGGCGCCAAGGAGACATTCCGGCTAAAATGCAAGTTGCGCATAAGCGTGAAGACTGAGCTGGACAGGCTGTCCAGCGCTGAAGTCCCGTCGCGCCTGCCAGAGGCGAACCCGGTTAGGGTTTGGTGGTTGTGGTAAGTCGAGTGGCTTTCGCTTCCCTGCAACCCTTTCACCACTCGGGCTAGCTTGTTTTGGCCAGTTTCTAGGCTAATATCCCTTCCTTCTTCGGCCACGGAGCTTAGCCTCCGAGTCGCTATGCTTGTTCTTTGGCCACTCGCATGTCTGTCTATTGAGTTTAGACATCCAACCTGTCTCAAACATCTCCAAACTTCAATACGAACCTTTTAATTCCTTCTCAGTCGACCAAACTCAGAGTGGTCCCCCAAAAAAAACGGGGGGTTGTCCGGTACGATCGTCTGATGGGCCTCGGCCCGGCCAACCGACTAAGGACGTGTGGGGAAGCAGAGCCGGCAACTCGTATTCATCCTATGTAATGGCATCCAGGGTGAACTAAACGGGTTCGGCAGCGCGACGTGATCAATGGGGCAAATATACGGTTGAGACCCGAAAGGGAAGCCAGAGGAACTGTCTGGCCGACGAAAAATAGCATGTTTACGGGCTGTTCTCTTGTCATCCTCGGGGCCAATGAACTGCAAACCTTCTCGGCTGGGGGGTGAGTGGGTGCAGTCGGCATGCTTGGCGTCCCGGAATGTTGCGTTATACCTTTCTCGTCCAAGCGAACTTCCTCGGCGCCATAGTCTCGCTTTCTTGATCACCTTAGTCGCCAGAGTCCCCCAGAGGGCGAGGTTGGGGATGACAGCACGCTAAATTAGCCAATTTTGTGCACCAATAGCCGGGTTCAAACCCTACGGCGACTTGCACCAGATTGGTCGTCAGAAGACCCCTTGGCATCGCGTGAGACCCTTTCATATCAATTTTAATTCGAACAGGCTAGCCCCCGCGGTCCAGAAAATGGAAAGCTGGGGTAAAACACCATGTACGAAAAACGCCACGCGAGATCAGCCGGCTAATATCACAGTTCTTGTTATCCTGCGATGGTCAGATTTCATGGGTTTAAATGCCTGGGGGGTCCCACGGTGGAGTCTGCTTCCCCCTTCTGTAGGACGGACCCTGACCTTGGATACATATCCAAAATCACCATTGATTGATTGTTTGACATCCCAGCTACCGCCCTGAATCATACTCGGGCACCATGCCGATCGCTGTTGGAACATCCACCCTCAAGTCCGAGGTCGAGGTCGCCCAGGCCGAGACCCCGGAACTGGAGCAGGTCAAATGGTGGCAGGAGCCGGGTCTCCGTAGGCTTTACTTCTGGGCATCTGTCCTGTGTGTCGCATCGGCGACCACTGGCTATGACGGGTGAGTAACTCCAAGAGACTTCTGCGATATTCAAGAGCTGATCGACAGGAATATAGAATGATGCTGAATACGTCTCAAAACTTGGATTCATGGCAGAAATATTTCAATACTCCATCCGGCTCTAAGCTGGGATTGATGAATGCGATCTACCAGATTGGCAGTCTGGCCAGCTTTCCCTTCGTGTAAGTGAACGCATGAGCACTGCAGAACTCACGATCAAACAAGAAAATTAAGAAGCCCAACTAACCGCTGCTTGGCGTAATCAGTCCATACATGGCTGACCTGTGGGGTCGAAAGGTCCCGATCATCATCGGCTGTCTCCTCATGATCCTCGGTGGCTTCCTCGGTGCATTCTGCAAGGATTACGGAAGTATGTGGTGTCCTTCACCCCATCAATAAACATAGATGTGCCACTTTATTGGAAACAAGTACTAATTGAATCTCTTAGTGTACGTCGCCGGTCGTTTGTTCCTCGGGTTTGGCAACAGCTTGGCTCAGATGGCCTCCCCGGTCCTTTTGACCGAGATCTGTCACCCCCAGCACCGTGGCAAAGTTACTACCATCTATAATTGCTTGTGGAACTTGGGTGCTTTGGGTATGTCTTACCATTTTAGCATGAGTGACACTACTGACTGATCTAGTTGTCGCCTGGATTGCGTGGGGTACCATGTACATCAACAACGATTGGTCCTGGCGCAGTTTGACCCTGCTTCAGGTGTTCCCTGCTGTGATCCAAATTTCTCTGATCTGGTGTAAGTTGTTCTCCTAGATGCCTATGTGCCCTGGCTAGCATACACCTGTCTGACTGTTCATTTCCTCTAGGGGTTCCGGAGTCTCCTCGGTGGTTGGTGTCTAAGGAGCGATACGAGGAAGCCCTTGACATTCTCGCTTACTACCACGGGAACGGCGATCCACACAATAAGACCGTGCAGTTCGAATATCGCGAGATCAAGGAAACTATTCAGTTGGAGATGCAGTACCAGAACAATAGTAGCTATCTCGACTTCATGCGAACCAAGGGCAACCGATACCGTCTGGCGCTGCTGGTTTCACTGGGTATCATCTCCCAGTATAGTGGCAACGCGTTGTTCAGCAACTATACAAGTTTGATCTATAACAGTATGGGTATTACAGAGCAGAACAAAAAGATCCCGGTAAGTAGTCTCCTATACATTGCTTTGGTTTCGCCCTTCCTGACTAACTGCCCCCGATATTTAGCTGAACGGTGGGCAAACGCTGCTGAGTTTGGTTGTGAGTGTGAGCTCGGCCTTCTTCGTGGATCGCGTGGGACGTCGGCCGCTGTTCCTAGTGGCCACCGTGGGGATGGTACTCATGTTCCTTGCCTGGACCGTCACTTCTTCCGTGTATGAGCGGACCCAAGATGTCAAAACCTCCGGGTATCCCCAGGTTGTGTTCGTCTGGCTCTTCTCGGTTTTCTATGCGATCGCGTGGTCTGGCCTCCTGGTGGCATACTCGCTGGAGATCCTCCCGTATCGACTGCGTGCCAAGGGAATCATGATTATGAACCTGACTGTCCAGGCCTCCCTAGTCCTTGGAAAGTAAGCAGCCCCAAGTCCCCAGCCGGATCTGGTACACTCGTTTTCGTTTCCCATTCTGACTGTCCTAGCTACACTAATCCGATCGCCTGGGAAAAGCTGCCCCACCACTGGAATCTTTCGCTGATCTATACGGTATGTGATGTCACCTCCCCAGCCTCGTTGGCTGCTTTGTCCAATTACTAACGATTTATGTGTCTCGTTTGGCTAGATTTGGATTTTCATTGAGCTGCTCTTTGTCTACTTCTTCTACGTGGAGACCAAGGGTCCCACCCTGGAAGAACTGGCCAAGATCTTTGATGGTGAAGATGCGGCTGTGGCCCATGTCAGCCTGACCGAGGTGGAGAAGGAAATCGAGGTCAATGAGAAAGGCGCGATGTCTGAGGCTCGGGCCGTCTAAGTGAAAGAGTTCTCGATGTCGCTTGGTGCGCGATGGGCTTCTTGTTCGCAGTTTAATCTATATTCCCCTTTCTGCACTGTTATTTGTAGTATTTCGAATGAACGCATGAAAATTCCACCATGTATGTTTCAGGCAATAGTGAGTGTAATAGCATAGCATTAGTTACCATGGAAAGCTTGCATGACTAAAACCTCCCGGAAGATTGCCATTTTCCACTCTCTGTTTCTCGCTTTCCCCTGTCTATCAACTCGATGATCAAGTCCGTGGAAGGCATGGATTATTCTTCCGGGCCTATTGAAAGCGTTAATTAGTGCTCTCGTCCCCAGGCCGCCCCCACTCAGCTGATGCGCTTCGCGCAGGGTCTGCGGACCCTTTCTCCACGCCCTAGAAGCTTATTCGGCATTCGGGCAGCTAAGCCTCCTTAGCCTCGAAGCGTCTCGGCCCTGTCAAGCAGCCAGCGTCCCGACCTCTTTCGCGATCGGGATATTGCACTGCCGCACCCATAATATCCCAGAGGCTTGTCCCCTTCGCCCTCCTCGTACCTACCCAAATATTCCAAATGGAGGCAATAGATGATCTGCCAAAACCCTCGCACATGTATGACAGCCGGATCTCTTGACCAAAGACGCCACAGCGCCATCTCGGCCAACTAAATATAGTTCCGCTGTTGTACAGCACTTTCAACCAACAGAGGAATCTATAGTGTGTGATGCTCTTTCCAAGGCGGCTGTCCGCGCCTGCAGCACCGAGAGGCCAACGCGCCTGCCCGACAGACCCGAAGCTCGATATTTTGAACACTCGCACCAGGCTGCCGTTATGCTTCCCTCAATGCGTCCAACCTACCCTACTTAAACCCTGTCCACCTCCCACGATATTCATTGTTTTGTCCATCCTCTCTTTGGTTCCTCCTCCTCGCAGGTACTTTAAACTCTTACCAATCCCACTCTCTGTTACACAACCATGTATCGTCTCCTTCATCTCTTTTTCGTGCTGCTAAGTGGGACGTTCCTGGCCATTGCGGCCCCGGTTGAGCTTCCAGATGGCATGCCCTTTCCGAGCCCCAGCGAGCTCAAGTTGATCGAGAAGAAGGCCCATGGCACTCTTCCCAATGGCCCTCCTCCTCCGGTGATCAGTCAGGACGGTATCATAAACCTCAAATTGATTGCGTTCAACGAACTGTTTGAGGTCGCCTTCTTCAACGAGTTAATTACCAACATCACCGAGGGGGTCGAAGGATATCGCTTCACGGATACTGAGGATCAGCATCTCGTCCTGGAGTCCTTGAAGGCCATTCTTGCCGTAAGTTCTTCTCCATTAAATTTATCCATCGGTCTCCGACTAACGCAAACTCGTCGTAAAAACAGCAAGAAGAGCTCCATGCCCTGCGGGCTAACGATGCCCTTAGCCACTTCAACATCAATGAGATCGAACCCTGCAAGTACACATTTCCCGTTCAGGATTATGACTCGGCTATCGTTCTGGCATCCACCTTTACCGATGTTGTCCTGGGAACCCTGCAGGACGTGGTCGAGCGTTTCGCACTGGGACGAGATCCCGATTTAGCTCGCGAGATTTCTTCCGTTATCGGCCAGGAAGGCGAGCAACAGGGCTGGTTCCGAGTGATGCAGGGAAAGATCCCCAGCGAATTACCTTTCCTCACCACTAGCGACCTCAACTTCGCCTTCACAGCTATTCAAGGCTTTGTTGTTCCAGGCAGTTGCCCGAACATCAATGAGATCCCACTACGGACTTTTGAGGCCTTGAATATCCTCACTGCGCCAGGCCCTCAGAGCCAGAACATTACCGTCACATTTGAGGACCCCAACCATGAAGCTGAGCATCTGCTGTGGATAACCTACATCAACCAGCAGAATGTGCCCGTCGTCGAGCCTCTCGATATCCTCTCCCGAACCGGTACTACTGTTCAAGCTCAGGCTCTGTTCCCCTTTGATGACCATGAGATGAATGGCCTGACCATTGCGGCAATCACCAAGAGCGACGGTCCTTTCAATGATGCCAATTCGGTGGCCAAGTGGACGCTCGCAGGACCAGGGTTAATTATCGTCAACTAATGCAGATATTAGGCTTGGCTACGGCTCTCTGGTCTCTATGCCCGATTTACGACATGACGTTTTCATGCCTGCTGGGAGTCAGTCTTTCTTTCTTTGTTTGTTTGTCTTTTGTTGTTAGCGTTTCCCCTCTCCTTTAGTACCGTTAATATGTGACTTCGTATGAGCACGGATTACTTTTATCTTTTACCATGAAATCCTCGTACATACCCCTCACCTCCAAATGAAAGTCTTCAAGTCCATGTCAAAGCAACCATCAAATAGACAAAAGACAAAGGAGAAGAGTAATATTTAACGATTGCGTTGCAGGATCATACAATAAATTCCACATTCAGAGTATTTTCCTACGTTATGTATATAGTACATGACCCCTCCCTTCCCAATCACCTTCAACCCCGTCTGACTCCCTCTTTCCCTCCCCTCCTCTCTACCTCGAAAACTAATAACCAGCTTGTAGAATTTCTTGCATTTTACAGCTTACCCTGGCCCGCGTTCGAGTTAACACTCGAAACGACCGATGTATAAGCCGTTGCAGACGCAATGTTCTGTCCCGAGAACTTGGAGAAGAAACCGGTATCCGACTGAGAGAAGGTACCCGAGCTGCCGAACCCGTTGATCTGGCACACGCGGCCGAGGTAGCTGCTGCAGGCCGTGTTGGCAGAGGTCGACGGCGCGGTGAACAGCTCGCCATCGACGGGAGACTCGACGACGGTGTCGATGTTCTGGAACACGTTGCCCTCGGCCAGCACGTAGCCGCCGGAGCCGATCTCGAAGGCGTGGCCTGAGTTGTCGTACCAGTAGTTGTTGACTGCGTGCAGCAGAGTCGAGCCCTGCACCTTGGGGCTGCGGCCGCTTGTGTGGTAGATGTAGTTGCCCTTCAGGGTGACGTAGTCGTTCGAGCCGTCCAGGTAGATACCCCAGTAGTGATAGGTGTCGCAGGTGGCGGAGTACGAGCTCACACCGTTGATGTAGCTGTTGGAGATGGTGACACGCTTAGAGGCATCGGTGCCAAGAACGATGTGTTGCCGGCCGATGCGGGCAGTCTGTCCAGAGGTCAGCGATTCGGATGGTTCACTTTTTCTTCTCTACTGCCTTTCTCTTTTCTCCTTCTTTTTTTTATTGGTTTCCTGCGGAGGATGGAGTGTGTACTTACGGTGACGTGGTCGATCCAGACCATGTCGCTGTTGTCGATGGTGATGGCATCACCTCCCCAGACGTACTTGGGGTTAATATCGGTAATGGCGATGTTCCTGGGAGATGTGTTAGAGGACAGGCTCTTCTGTTTGACCTTGCGAGAACTGGGCGGATATTGACATACTGGATGATGATGTTGCTGGCACCGCTAACAATGCGAAGACCCTTGCCCTTGATCACACCGCTGGAGCCTTCACCGAGAATAGTCTTGTCGGAGGCAACGGTGATACCCAGAATACCAGCATTGTCACTGGAAGAATAGAGGTCAGCAAAAGAACTTTCGGTCCTCAGATGGAGAGCAAGGTCTTCTCACTAAGTGACAGAGACAGATGGAGCGCTTGACTCGTAGTTATCACACCAAGAGTTCTGGTTAATGGCAACCTGACAACCGGAAGCAGTACCCCAGGGAGCACATCCAGTGGCGGTGGTGGTACCCTCGCTGTTGGTGAAGTCAAAGGTCTTGGACAGGACAATAACCCGAGCCTCGTCGTCGCCAAGGTACGAGACCAGCTCGTCAATGGTATCCGGGTACACAGCAGTGGCGGACCCGCCACCAGTAACGCCCTTGGCGAACCCCTCCGCAGCGCCGGAGACACTCACGGCAGCAGCGTGGGCAGCAAAAGCTGCAAGAAGGGCGGTATACTTCATGCTGAGAAACGGTATCCCGGAAAATGAAGGGTGAGGAAGAGAGGTTGAAGAGGGATGAGATGCAACAATTTGGGGCGGGTGATCAGCGTATTCTTATATCTACCTCGGAAATATCGAAATAAGCCCGAAGATGAGACGACAGAACTCGGAAGGGCGATCATTGCGGATACGAAGAGCTCTTGGCTTCGCCATGCGCCCACCAACTAACTGGGTCTGGTCCTGTTCGTCCTGTTTTCAAATCCCATCGGTCACCGGAGCTGGAGGTGAGGTTGATACCGCAGTCATGCTTGGCGAATCAGAAACGCTATGCCCCGACAGCTAACCCCACGAGGGAGCATGGAAACACTCGGTGCAGTATATCCACTAGCCACCATTACGGAGCAGTCGCCAGGGGCACGTTAGCTTGAACCAGTCGGAAGGAAGCCCACAGTTGTCCAGAAGTTCGGGGATATTGGGAAACAGAGCGCCTGCGTCATCCACGCTAGCTTGTATCGGCGGGCAAGTCATGGATTTGCATGAATCAGGGCTCAAGCCAGCATCCGCATTCGCAACAGAAACGGCCATCAGGCCCGGCGAACAAATATTCCGCAAACTAAAATTGATTAAAGTATGTGCCGGACAGCGCCACACGTGTTGGAGGGATCAGCTCGGTGCATGGAAATGTTTCAGTCTGCGCTCCGTCGGCGACCCACTCTGCTCGATTTAGTAGGCTGGTCCAGAAGGGGCAGTCGGGCGCTTTACTCGGACGAGGCGTGCTCCGTGGTCAGCGTGGTCCTCTCTTTAATTTGAAGGGGTGAACAGGCTGTGACGCGAAGAACCTACACCAGATGTGCAATTTGCGTCGGAACAATTCCGGCGTTTCTTTGACGGTCAGGATATGCTGGAGTAGCTTGTTGGTGGTCTCAGGACGTGCGGGCGGATTTTGGAAGAACAAGACATTCTTCCGTCTTGGCGGTCGCCGACGGTCGAGCGGATTCAACAGAGTGGTGTTCTCGCCTCCATCTGGATCATCCGCGCAGATCAAAGTTTACAGTCATTCGAGTCCGGGGAAGTGCGTAGGGAAATTTTGCATCAATGACATCGAGCCGTCAGCGATGCAACCGTTTGATGTTCGCGGCGATCATCCATGGTGGGAACCCACTTGCTCTTGGGCTCCTCGACGAGGCGACAAGAGGGGGGGAAACACCATCTAGTGGGACGGAGTAGGTTTCAATATTGGGATATAGATATAGTAGTCACGGCCACGAATGCCCCTTTAGGCAATGCCAATGTGAGGCACCTCTCTATCATTGCCTGGTTTGAAAAGAGAAATGGGTACAATGTTGGGAGATTCTTTGTACATATTGCATTATGATAGATGCAGCTATATGGACCACATAATTTCTGGCGGGGCTTTCCTATTCTGGCTGCCGCCGCTTTTATCAGAGTGCTTAGGCTCAGGCGCAGTGAGTAGATTTCAGCACGGGCTCAGACTTGGTGATCATTTCAAGAAAAGTCATGTGAGAGATGATTAAAACTCAGATCACTTAACTATAGTTAACATACACGTCGCGCATGTTAAGTACGACCGAGTGGACGGAAAGCCCTATTCTCCACACGCTGTGCTGGTATGTGTTGAAAGGCTCCCAGGAGCTGTTTATCGAGAAAAATATTTCGTGAGATAAATCAAGCCATTTTAATCGGCTTTACTGGCATAGTGAAAAAAAAAAATGAATTAGTCGAATTCTACTGAAGAGGAGATAATTTGTGAAGATCATATAACTTATATTGTGACGGTTCTGAGCTCTGCTTTTAAATGTACAAGGTCAACCAGCCTTCAATCAGTCATTGGATAATACTGCTCTTTTTTACCCTCCCATAACATCCACAATCATCGCCATGCCACCAGCTAGATGCCAGACTATGTGGCAGTGTAGAAACCACAGACCAGGATTATTTGCCTGGAATCGTAGAACAGCATATGCTCGGCGAGGAATATAAACCGTGTCTCTCAACACTGCCTTCGATAAATCATAATTCGGGAATTCTGGGTCAAGGCCGGGAGGGAACGAGTCCTTGAAAGGATTGTATGATCCCCAGCCAATAGCCGCTTGGTAAACATGCAAGACATAGAAGTTATGGCCGTGCTATACAGAACTGATTAGCTATATTTCAACTCTTTATTGTGCGTGGAGGGGGGTTGTTTTCACTAGATGGAAAGGATGGCCCCCATCATCCAGATTGTTGAGCACAATATCCACCCAAATTGGCTCAGGGCCGGTCGATATTGAAAATTGATTCTTGTCCCATTGGGCCCGGGGAAGATCGATCAAAGGAACGCGTGGTTGTTGCTGAGGTCGCCAGGAAGTAGAGTTGAAGTAGCCCCATGGTTCATTCTCGTTGATGGCCATTTTCTGGATTTTGGTGTAGACCACATGAGTCTCGTGCGCCACCAAAGGTAGCAATGCTAATACTGATGACGCTGAAGGGATCTTATTGACATCAACGTGCGTGGGATTTAGCAAATCGATAGATTCAACTGAGCAGTTTTCAAAGTCAAAGTACGGCATCATGCTAAATGACTGGTTCAGAGTCAATGCTAAGTTAGGGAGTTTGAAGTCTCTGTAAATCCGCCCACAAGGCTTTATTAGAGAATCTGAAACTGCAAAATTTGGAAGCGGTGGGTCACAAACTTGGTATGGAGAGCAACCATCATATTTGATTTGTCTCTGTGAAGGGGCTTTTGAGAGGGGCGTAGGATCAAATCCATTCGTTGGCCGGGAAAAAGTATTCCAGCAGACTGGGCTTCAGAAGATTGTTTTTGCACTTCTACACCGTCCAACGCGATGACTTCCAGAAACCAATCTGCAAATTGCAGAGTAAAACCAGCCATTGAACTATTCCCCACGAGTTAGTTTCTGTCTCCGAATTAGATCAACTTCAATATCATACCCAGTATTAATCACACGAATACGGTACGTTGAATCCCTTTCCAGTGCCAAAAATGAGAAATCTGGGCATTGAGAAATGCAGTCCACTGGTCGCGCAGGTACTGCCATTTCACATTCAAACCGACCAACTCCATTTATGAGGAGCGAGTCTGGTACTGGCTGTCAATCGCATCAGTATGAATTGTAGCTTCAAAATCGAGACGGCAATGGCATAACAAGAGATATACCTCATTTCCAAAGGACGCCGCAGACATGTAATGGGACATGAGTTTTGCGGCTGGTTGATGGTACCAGTCACCGATCTGGAGAAGGAGCTCTCTATCATAACCGAATAATTCCTTCTCGACAAGCTCTGAACCGGAAGCTGGTTTATGAACCACAATTGCCCCATAAAGACCTTCCGCATGTTTTAGATCTGTGTGAGCATGGTACCAAAAGGTTCCCGCTTGATTTAAGGGAACGACGAAGTCATAAACAAAACTATCACCAGGTTGAATCTCTAACTGTGTTACGCTAGGCATCCCATCCATAAAATCTGGATCCTTAGAACGTTGGCTATTATGTAATAGGATATTAACTTGGACCTACTAGGGACATTTAGACCATGCCAGTGAATGGTGACATTCTCCTCGCTCAGATGATTTTCAACGGTGATGATAAGGTGATCACCGGTCCGGGTTTCAATAGTGGGCCCGGGAAACTGACCTAAGGAAGATTCAGACCAAGAAATGAATTAGAGAGGACCCTGCTCTCTTCATTTTACACTTACTATTGATTGAGTAAACGGACCTTCGAACCCCATCAGGGCGCGCGTCCAGCTTTGATAATTTCCAATTTAATCTTTGCAAAGTTGGCTTACGCGAAACATGGAGATCTGGTGCCAATTCAAACCGATTGGTGGTGTTTGAGAGAACAGTAGAATCAATACCCACCCTTTTCCATTGAGAAGAGATCAGGAGTGACGGCGAGGAATGATTTAAAGTAAGATAGGCAAGAGCAACCATCACACAAAAGGTTGAGAGGAAAGTCCACGGGCCATTCGTTGCCTTTTTCTGACCTGCCATCCCTTGGAATTGTTGCCGAGATCATGAGATGGTCTCATTCGAAGCTTAATTCAAGAATACCTCTCTTCCCACGCCACTTCCCCCCAGTTATAAGAATAGAAGGGCATCCCAAGAAGTCCGAGAAACCAAGAACAACACCATGTCACCCGATTCGGCAGTGATTTGCATGGTGTGATCATCATGCCCCTGTATGCAACTCGTGGACCAATCGGTCCCCTCCATGGACCACGTGAGCCCCAATTGGCAGCGATTTAATTTGGTTTGTTGATGTCGCACTCGATCGTCCCTAAACTGATGTGGGCTTGGTGAGGGGAATCGCGACTGTACTGGATGCGAATTTCAGGGCATCTTCCTAATCGCCCAATGCCTTCGCGAGGCCCCTACAAACCGACCTATTGGGCGATAGATCCTTGCTCACAAGGTACAGTCATTGTCTGCAGTCTGCAAGACTAGCACAGAACTTTGTTTGCAGAAAACGTAATATTGCTCTAATTCAAGATAAGTGCGGCGCGCATATAACAATTATTATCCTCATCTTTCCTCCGGTCGGGGTGATGTCCACTTCCCGTTGGAAGACTGCAGGCTCATCAGGCCCAAATATCGTTCCACGGCTTTAAGCGAAGCCCGCTAAAACACTTCGGAGGCTAGTTCTCCCGAATTGAAGTAGTTCGTCTGTCTTGATTATTGAAACAACATCGGAGTTCTCCGAGGGCCATAAAAGACATCTAGGTACATGCTTGTGAACTTCTTGATGGGAAATTACGAGAACTTCATCCGTATCATTGCAGCTTGATCGCTAACCCAATCTATCAACGCACCATCTGCGAATGAACCTGACTGGTAATTGAACTGTCAAGATACCAGTTCAAATAGATCGCTTCCCAGCATTTTCACTGGGTTTCTACGTTGCATGGTGCTAGCGCTACTGCAGGTGTATTTCTTGAAGCTTATTTGATTAAATCCGGTTGCACATCTTTCTAATTGCATCGCTTTCGTTGGTTCGTTCTCCAAGGGAACCCATCCAGTTCCTGAGCTGCATTCATAAAGCCAATAATCGGTCCAGTATCAGACACGTGAAAAGATTTCAACATCCCCGCATCGACGATGTTACGAAGATTGGGCACTTCGTCCGTCGAATATATCTTGGAGTTGGAATATATAAAAGAAGCAAAACATGACATACTGCATCCTTCCTTTTATGACACATTTCAACCGTTGAAATTGGCGCATCGGCCATAAACAACAGGAAACCACCAAATATGATCTCAAAGGCCGGAGTTCTGACACTCCTCTTGAGTGCCAGGCCTATTGTTGCCGATTCTTTATCCACAATCAAACATGTGGTTATCTTCATGCAAGAGAATCGGTCATGGAATAGTGTCGGTATTCCCGAAAACCAAATAGATAAGGCACTTTCAACTGACCACGGGATATTCCAGTATTTTGGGACTATGGCTGGCACTCGTGGGTTTGCCGACCCTAATGTTCCAGTCAACAGCGCCACAAATAAGTCTACCTTTTACCAGTAAGTTGATTTGAGTGTGATACTTGGGGAGAAAGAAATCATTCCGCATAATTTCTGCGAGCTCACCAATAACACTCAGAGTGGTCGACTCTGATCTCTCAACCGCAACCGATTGGCTTCTCCCCTTTTACTTGGGTTATGAAGGCGGCACCTGGCCCAATGCCATTCAGTGTATGACCGCTGGGAGCAATAGCTACAAATCCAACCATTATGCACTTCATGGGGGACTGAACGATTGGTGGGCTATTCAGAACACTCCTTGGAGTTGGGGGTATATGAAGCGTAGCGACATTCCCGTTCATTTTGCCATTGCTGAAGGATGGACGGCCGGGGACATGTATCAGGTAAATAATCAGTTCTCCTCTTGCAACTCCCACTCTCACACCTCTCATAATTCCACAGGAGTCGGTCATTGCATCTACCAACCCAAACCGTGTTACTCTTGTCAGCGGAACAATCGGCGTCAGTGAAACTGAACCATATCTCGACAACTATGAGACTCCTGGTGAGTGAAAATTGCAGTTTATCAGGAGTGCCAAGCTAACTGGAGCTCTACAAGGCTGTGAGAAGTCTGACATGAGCTGCTATCCCCTCACTTGGGAAACAATTTATAACTATTATCAGGAGGCCGGTGTTACCTGGCAAGTTTATCAGGACACGGATAACTTCGATGACAATCCTCTGGCATGGTTTGAGAGTTTCCAAGACGCCTCGTCGACTTCAGAGTTGGCAACTCGGGGCCTGTCCTATTTAGGCTTAGATGCATTCTACGAGGCAGCAAGCAACGGAACTCTTCCCATGGTCTCTTTCATTGTCGGGCCCACTGAACTGTCCGAGCATCCACCATACATGCCCAGTGAGGGTGCATGGCTGCAGAAGCAGGTTGTAGATGCTGTGGTAAATGGTCCGGATTATAACACCACAGCATTGCTCATAAGTTATGACGGTAAGAAATGTCATCTACTGTTGCTACCATGCAAATCCTCGGAATTTCAAAAGGCTAAGGATGACAGAAACTGGTGGGTTCGGGGATCATGTCACCCCTTTCCACTCCGATAATGGTACTGCGGGAGAGTGGATTGATGATCCTTACGATCTCTTCGGATACACCTTTACAGGCCCTGGTTTGTCCCTCCTCCACATATGTATCTTCGTCTGCCACGAAACGGCTGATTGAGGCTATAGGTTTCCGTGTTCCGTTTTACATCGTTTCTCCCTGGACACGCGGTGGCCGTGTCTTCACTGAGCGATCCGATCATAATTCTCAAATCCTGTTCTTGGAGGCTTGGCTGACAGCCTTGGGCTATTCCAATATCACGACAGACTATATGGAGCCGTGGCGTCGGGAACACATGTCCGATCTGGTCAACGCGTTTGATTTCTCCAAGGTATGAAAGGACTTATCACATCTCCTTAGACAACTGCTAATATCAAGCTCTAGCCTGACTACACAATTCCCGATATTCCAAGTGTGAATACTCCTGCCACCGATTCCAGTGGGAGTTACACAGGTACAGCCACCTGCGAGTCCACATATAAAGTACAGCGCCCCACTGTCCCTTACGGCGAGCAGAATGAAACTTCAGCACTTTACTTCGAAGACGGATATAAGGAGGTTGTCGGCTACTTGACTGAGGGCCGGTATCTGACCTTTGAAAAGGAAGGATATGCTCTTACCAACGAGGGCAGCTCTTCCACTCTGACCGTTACCAGCTCTACTTCCGCTCATGATTCGATCAACCAGCGTTGGGTTATTTCCTATAATAGCGACGAGGAAAGTCAGATTTACTACATTGCTAGTGCTTACGATGGTCGCTATCTTGGTGCTGATGGCGCACTGACATCTTCCAAGTCTACAGCCGCTGAAATTGGCATTACCTTCCTTGGTAATGGAGCTGGGTATACCTTGAAGTATGAGTCTGGCTCTGAGTATATTGATGTGAGCGACGATGCTCTCAAAACTGCGGCTACCTCAGCACCATCTCAGGGTTTCACAGTTTACTCTGTCACATACAATGACTAAAGGAGATGAAGGAATTTTACTCAGCCAAGGGCCCAGGGGTATGAGAAATCATATATAGGAAAATTTGTATCTCTTCGATCTTTGGTTTGGCCTAAGAATGGTTTATGACGCCATATGTAGGCTCACTACATCAAAACAAAGCTTTGAATTAAACTGTCAATGAGATCCGGCTTATCATTTGATAATCGCCAGCCATCACTATTGATATCGTACAAGCAGCCAATAACCCAGTTTTGTAGAGACCCCAAGCGGACAGTGTGGCGAAAGAAGTGATTAAGTATCAACTACTATTGCAACCCCTTCAACGCAAGGCAGGGACTGCACAGACCCATGATCAGGCTCAGCGAGGCTGATCCGTGTGATTACATAATGATCACTGGACCAGCTCAGGTTGATCAGGGGCGTGCTCAATTTTACTCAGTGATCAAAAAGCGGCGATGGGCGAGCACTAGAACGGAAGGGGAAGGCCAAGAATTGCCATATAGGTGGGACAATGGTATCTATAGAGAGCTTCCAGAAAGGCCCAATGATCCACTTTCGGTCGCAATGGCCCCATGTGGCATATTGCTTGTTCGGCATGTCGGGATCGAAAATGGCGGTCTGCAAGGTAAGTCATATATATTAGCTATTGCACTTTCATCTACTCGTCAGACCTAAGCAAGATGGGGAAGGAAGTGGAACTGCCGGCAATATCACGTCTCCCAACGGAATCCGTAATTTCCCAATAGGTGATATAGCGCAGTAGTTTGGCGGACAGAACGGACGGGCATTACACAAAATAGGAAGGAGAAGAAAGAAGGTCTGTGGAGTATCATCTATTAATTTGCTCTCTATTCATACATGATGCATGGTATTACAGTGTATAGATGCGACCAAGTCCCTCGCCTCCAGGCGAATTCAATGTAACAAAAGCGTCGCTGGGCTCCGCGTCACTTACATGATCACGGGCAGGTTGCGCTCGAGGTAGCCGCGCCACTCAGGAAGAGTGCGCTGCCACTTGGTGCCCGAGGTCTTCTGAAGATCCTCAATGGCGCTGGCGTACTTGATGAGGGTAGGCTCCGAGAAGGCAGTGTTCATGATTGCCAGGCCATAGGGCATGCCGGACTCCTTGCTGGTACCAGCGGGTACGGTGATGACAGGGTAGCCCGCCTGAGCAGCAATCTGAATGCTCTGGGCAACATCCGGAGGCACCAAGAGACCATCCAGGGTGCGGTTGTGGTACTTCAAAGCGGCGTCGATGCCCTCCTCGCGGGTGGTACGCTGGCAGAAGGCCAGAGCCGACCAGTAGGTCTCGTTCATGATACCCTTGCTCTCCAAGGAGGCGAGGAAACCGTCCTGGCCGGAGCCAAAGGCGGGGTGGATGCCGGGGAAGCCACCCTCAGAGCCGTAGTTATCCTCATTGTACTGGACAAGATCCTCAAGGGTCTTGATGTTGGTGTTGTTGACCTCAGCGAGGTAGTCGCGCAGGTTGTTGTAGAAGTCAACCTTGATATACGAGTACTCCGACTCGTTGGCGTAGCCACGAGTCGAGCCGTAGTCCCAGTTCCAGCCATCCGGCGAGACGATCTCCTTGTAGTGAGGCAGCTCGGTACCATTGATGATGGTAGCACCGGCTGACTTGATCAGGTCGAGGAGCTCCTCCAGCTGAGCGATCTGGTCGGCATCGCCCAGCGCCCAGAAGGACTTCCAGGGCAGGCCAAACACGGCACCCTTCAGGGCATCCTTGTTGGTCAGGAACTGAGTATAGCCGCCCTTCGGGGTCAGGCCTTTCTGGGCAAGGGTGTAGTTATCCCGCGTATCAACACCGTAGATGGCATCCAGAGTATACACAGCATCTCTGACAGTCTTACCAAAGGTACCGATGGTATCCTGGTGCAAAGACTCGGGGATGACACCAGCACGGGAAGTCAATCCGACAGTGGGCTTGATACCCACAATAGCGTTTCGCTGCGCGGGGTTGATGACTGAGAGACAATTAGTGATTGGTGGACAAAGGTTTACAAAGTTTCTCCCTGTTGGAAGATTTCACATACCACTTCCGTCGGTCTCGGTGCCGAGGGCGATGGGGATCAGGTTAGCACCCACAGCAACACCAGGACCAGTGCTGCTACCACCGGGGTTGACGGTGAAGTTGTAAGCACTACGGCACTGACCACCACGGGCAGTGAAGCCCTCGGAGTAATTGTTCGAACGCATATCCGCCCACTCACTCAGGGCGCCCTTGCCCAGCAGCAGAGCACCAGCCTTGCGAAGACCGTGGACCACGTGAGAGTCACGAGGCACGACGTTACCAAGCAGGGCCCAGCAGCCTGCAGTGGTCTCCATGCGGTCCTTAGTGGCGATGTTATCCTTCACAATGAAGGGGATGCCATGCAGAGGACCACGAACTTTGCCCTTGGCACGCTCCTCATCCAGCTTCTGAGCAATGGAGAAGGCATCCGGGTTGAATTGCAGAATGGCACTGCGTATCCAGTCAGTCCTGTCATCGGAATCAAGGGGCATTCGAAACGTACTTCAGATACGGCTGAGTCTGGTGAATCCGGTCGAGATAGCACTCGAGCAGCTGAACGCTGGTGAGAGAACCATTGCTCATGCGCTGCTGGATGTCATCCACGCTGGCCTCCTCTAGCTTGAACCCATGACAGTGGCGCATCGGGAACAGCGAGGCACCAGGGGCACCCAGGCGAGGGAAGTCGAAGGCATAAGGGTTCGTCAGAACCTGCGAGGCGACCAGAGTATCAACCTCCTCAGCCTTGTAGGGCACAGCAACAGCAGAGCCGGCCAGAGCCAGGCCGCTCACGAGAGCCTGCAACAAGGGCGACATGGTGTGAATGACAACAATCAGATCGCGAATCCCCACCAAAAAACCATGTGGCAAAGACCGGAGACCGACGATCTCCCAGGGGAGCTTGGCTTCATATACCGACCCGTGCAGGCCGTTCATCCCGCGCAACATTCATGGAGCCGTGACTAATCGAGCAATGTCGCCCCGCCCTTTTTTTCGCGCGACGGCCATTCCGCCCCATTGAATGGATGCAATGCCTGATATTCAACCAATTCACCCTTCCTCTCGACTCCTAGTCCTTCCTAGTCCCTCCACAGTTGACACTTGGGATCGGAAGGCTCGGATGGAAGTCGTGTATCAACCCCCGACGGCCTGACAAGGCACTCCAGCGAACACATCGCCAGCGAACCAAGAGAGACTCCTTGCGCCCCTCGGTGCCATTGTCGCTTCCGAGATCCTTCTGGATCAATAAGCTTGCGACGACCCCGTTGGAAAAAGTAACCTCCTGCCTAATTGCTCATAGCTCTCCAGGTGCCGAAGATTCTGCAGGGCTGTCCACGGTCGGCTCCGGGTCTCTCCCGAGTTTTCCTTGATCGTAACCACCGATCTGGGCCCACCTCTTGGGTTGGTGGTGAAACTAGCGCCTATCATTACGCGTTGGAAACGCCTGATAGGCTTGTTCGGATCGCTGGATGGATCGATGGAGGGCTACCAGATGCACATTCATAAATGCCTCGCAGGAATATGCTAGAATATCAACGGTTCTAAGATTTTAAGATAGAGACGCATTGACCCTGCATAGGATCAATCTTCCCTGAGATCTTTGGTTCTTGGGGTTTCCTTTTCCGTTGAGGATACTCCGTCTACGATGACATCAACATGCGAGTTTCTACCATCCATCGGGAGATTTTTTTTTTGAATTTTCCCCCCGAACCTTGAATCCAGATCAGATGGCCAATCCGACCGACGGAGCCTGGGAATCCCCCATTAGGGCTAGAGAGTTTGGAACACAATCAATCTAGACTCCACTATTTCCTTGACGCAGTGGTCTCGGCAGAGTCCCGGCGTGCTAATACTCGATCTCGTTGGCTGCTCGAATGAATTAAGAATTGGAATATATGAAAACCAAAGACCCGCATCTGCGTCCACTTTCCTCTACAAGTGAGCAGATTCCGCGATTTTCCTTCGTTCCGGCCTCGGCGCTGCTCGTTCGTTCATTATAGTCAGGGCTTGCGGTCCCTTCACATTCACTTAGATCTTTCGAAACAACGAGCCAACATGGCTTTCTAAAGCACGAAATTAATCATGCCATCATCTTGATACTATCTGCACCATCTATCATGACAATTCCCGCCGATATCCTCGCGGCCAATGCGTCGGGGAGAATTCCCGACGGTGTCTCGCTCTCATATCTTGCACAGTCTCGCGATGGCTCGGCCATCGCAGGCATCCTGTTCCTCGTCTGCTTCACCGGCGTGCTCATGATTCTCCGTCTCTATGCGCGAGTGTTTTTGGTGAAAAAGCTTGGTTCAGACGATGCATTGGCGATCTTGACGTTGGTAAGTCATCTCTCTAATTCCATGTTCATCATCATCGAGAGAGAGGCTCAGTCAATGGGCATTTCCCATCTCGATGAATTTTATCAACCGCTCCTTGGTATATCTATAGTCACATGCTAATCCATTATCATTTACAAACAGATTATTTATATTGCTTTTGTGATCCTGTCCATCGTTCTCATCCACCTCGGCAGTGGCCGCCACATTGATTACATCGAATATGTACTTTCGTTAGCAACCGTCCGCAAGACCGAAGTCCTCGACTTCGTCGCCCACATCCTCTATACGACCGCCCTTCTCCTTTGTCGACTCTCCGGTCTCGCATTCTATTTCCGTCTAACGGCGCGCTCCAGCAAACTACGTCTCGGTATCACCATCGTCGCCGGGGTGATTACCGCCGCCTATCTTCCCCAGCTCTTCCTTCTGATCTTCCATTGTAAACCCGTCACCGGTCTTTGGCCATATGCCTGGCAGTCTGAACCCATCACCTACAAGTGCTTGTCCTGGGGATTGGTATATTCAGTCAATTCCGGCGTCTCTTTGGCATGCGATGTGATGATGTTTATCATTCCTGCCATCCTCATCAAGCAACTCCATATCTCGATGGAGAAGAAGGTCAAGCTTTCGCTGGTCATGTTCCCTGGTGTCTTGTGCGTAACATTCATATCTTCACTTGGTCGAACATCCGTCTAACAGTCTATACAGCGTGATTGTGATTTCCGCCGTCCGCGTCTGGCTCGTCGTCCGAGGCCAATGGGCCGCCGATGGCAGCTGGGCCTACAACCCCATGCTGTGCGTCGAAAACGCAGAAATCGCTAGTACCCTGATCGCGCTATCGGTTCCCGCGCTGAAGCCTGTCTTCGGCAACCTCTTCTCCCACCTGACGGAGTACACCTCCAGTCACACTCGCTCGCGGTCTGCCGGGCGGCTGCGAAGCCACTCGAAGCCCATCAGCGGCCTAGGTTCCAACACCCGGGACGACAAGAGACTGATCCGGTGGTCCGAACTTGGCCATGATGACTACGAGATGATGCCGTCCGAAGTGTCCGTGGTTCGGGATATGCATGGCCCGACCTCCAAAGCGCCGGGCATCCGCGTGACGAACGAGGTTAATATAACACGGGGCGAGGAACATTCACCTTCTCAGCCCTCCTCGCGAGCTACGTCTCGCGCCTCCTCACGAGCAACATAGAATAATTATTTGCATATAATACAAATAGACTAAAAGTTCTTTCTTTTCTTCATTTCTCCTCACTCGAGCTACCTTCTGTCGAAAAGCGCTATGGGAAAAGAATTTCAAATAAAACAGAAATATGTCTATCTTGGAAATCGTCCAAGGCAGCTGGGATAAGTCTATAAATTTAGTGGTGAATTCCATCCGAATTTGCGATCTTGGCCCCACCATATATTGAAAATGGCATTCCCTATAGATCTTATAATCATTCTGATCGAAAGAGAGGATACATATGACAAAATTAAGACCATCATGGAATTTTATACTTCAAATTTGTCATGAGTATGATAATGACTGAATGCTGACGAACTTTCTGAAAATGATCTGTGCGAGGGGCCCGGATGTCAACAGCGAGAAATCCGTCTGTCAACCTTTCCCCGTAAGAACCGGCTACCAATAGCAGTTGATTTTTGACGATAATGGTGCGATATTATCAGAGAAATGCTCTATGAAAATTTGAGTTATTTCTATCAATCCCCCTGAAGGGGTGGAGCAAACATATGACAGGATTATAAGCGTTCTTGTGTCCACAAACGTTGTAGGGATGACTTTTTCCGACAGGATATTGGTGCACCGCATTTTGATTTACATGTATATATCGTCTCATTAAGTTGAGCCACACTTATTGTAGAAACAAAAAAAAATAAAATATAAGAAAAAGCAAAAGAGTTGTACACTATTTTGCCAGAGCTGCCCAGAGGTGTTGTTTTCTGAAACTTGTTTTTGGGGCAAAAATGTTTCGGGTTTGTATCTAACATTCTTACGCGTAGATTGCATAGGAAATCTCGTTCTTCTTTTCGACAATTTGTCAAAGCAAAAATGCGAAAAATCTCCCGTATTTCGGCCCGTTATCTATGAACGATTGTCAGTTCCCTATAATCATTTGAGCGATGGTGTCCACTACTCGCTTCTCTCATGAGCAAGATTGCGACTGGGGAATTATTTCCTTCCCAGATCCATTCTACAATACGCCCCCGGGTTTTGTGTCCTGCAATCTTGCAGCCTAGGCTTTGAATTCTTTTGCGCATACCCCGGAGAGGGACTTAATTTCTTGACAAATACATACAGCTTCAGGCTTCAAAATTACATAATGATCCCCATGGTCTCGTACCCATATAGTATTGCCTATATGTACAACGCAATGGTGTTGATCCGCTGCGGTGAAAGTTTTGAATTACCCTCCAGCAATGCAGAGCTGACAGGCATATGACAATCATTTAGCCCCTGTAATCATCGCCTTAAAGTTCCCTTTTGATATTCCTGGACCCTTGTTTTTCGGTTTTCTGGCATTGCGAACTTGGTTTCCATACGAACACGTCCCTGCAGCACGGCAAACGAAATGCCCAATCCCTCACAATCCTCGATAAATTTCTTTTTTCAATAACACGATAGTTGTTCAATTTCCGACTGATCTGGCATACTAGATGGTTTCTAATAGCTTCAGGGAGTTTGGTAGGTGAAAATGCGTTCTTGCGGTGTGAATTTTTCTTTCTGTAAGGTGCACCTTCACCGCTTCGTTGCTAAACGACGCAGCTCGTACGTACATATTCATACGAACTGGGCATTTTTGGTCCCTTCATTCTCAAGACGCTGGAGACCTCCTCAATTTGAGATCTCGGTCTTTCGGGGCTTTTCATTGGGACCGCTCTTCTTGACCAGCCAGTAGCAAAGCGAGTGTCGATCTCAACACAGCCCCTGATTGGCTCCAGTTCACCTTCCCATGTTTGCTTAGCAATCGTGTATGCTTACCAAGGCATTCGGTTTCTTGATTTCGACTTTCATAGAATGCATCATAGAATGCATTTCAAATGCAGAATAGAAATTGTTAACTATTAAAGACATGATTTTTGCCATGCATATGTTCTGCAATTTCAACCCCCCCCGGAAGGTGTGGCTCTTGTTGCCTGACTATACCGAAGCTCATATCACCTACCTGAAAGCGACATATATATATCTCAAGTTGACCGTGAATTAAACACCTCGTATATCTATATTCTAACCAGCAACGCTACTTGACAGCCATGACTCTCAAGTACCTCATCACAGGAGCAACCGGCGGCCTGGGTGCCCAAGTCCTATCTTACCTCGTTGCCAACGTACCCGCATCGGAGTACGCTGCCGCATCGTCGAACGAGGCGAATCGTAAGCGATTCGAAGATCGCGGGATTGCTTTCCGCGTCGTCAACTATGATGACCCATCGAGCATGGAAACGGCTTTTAAAGACGTGGAAAACCTTTTCTTCGTGAGCACCAACACCTTCGACGTGGAGAAGCGACGAAAGCAGCACCAAAGTTTTGTGGATATAGCCAAGAAGTCCAATGTCAAACATGTACGTTCCAGAAAGAACTCATTACTTCAAGAGGACCCCTAGAACCACCCTGTCTAACCTCCTTGACATTTCAGGTGTGGTATACATCGCTGGCATTCGGCGGATTCAGCTCCGACTCCAAGGCTGATGTGCAACAAGCCCATTTGATGACCGAAGAGATGCTACGACAGTAAGTGAGAGGCCTGGACAGGGCCAACCAAATTGTGCTATTCCCTATTTCCTCCACAGTCTCTAATGTCGTGAGCTAGATCCGGGGTCAACTTTACGTCTATCCGTGAGGGTATCTACACTGATGCCTTCCCAGTATTCATGGGTTGGTACCCAAGTACTTCGACAGTCTATCTCCCGTCCGACGGACCAATCGCATTTACCCTGCGGGACGAGCTCGGTGAGGCGACCGCTCGGCTGATGGTTCGCGGGGGCCACGACAAGGAGATTGTGCTCTTGACGGCGCATGAAACCATCACGTTCTCGGAGATTGTGGATGTGATCAATGAGACCACGGGCCGACAGGTTCAGGTCCAGTTTGTTTCACCCGAGGAGTTTGTACGATTGCAGGCCGCCGACGAGGGAGGTAAGCCGGAAGCATTCTTTCGGAAACTCTTGACCTGGCACGAGTCGATTTCCCAAGGGGGGGCTGGTGTGACCGATCCGCTCATGACGGAGTTACTGGGGAGAGCACCGGTGCCCGCCCGGGAGGCAATCCGGGCCTTGTTGACCGAGAATCGGGAGTATGAGTGGCATCAGAACTATGTGAATCGGGGTTAGTGTAGACAATGAGCAGACATTGGCGCTCCACATGGGGATTGACTCTGCATAGAGTGAGGGTCCTCCAAGTCTGTTGATCATGAGTTGCACGTGAGGGCGGAGTCCTGGACCCAAGCAGCGCCTCGGCCGGGGGAGGAAGAACGCAGCCCCGTTCGGCACGGGGACCGGGAGTGGGTGCCTGACAGCCTGAGGCTGCACAAGTCATTCCGATGCGATCGATCGAGGCAAAAGGAGCTCAAGAGACAGGAGAAAAAACAATAGAAATGAAATGAAGCATTTAATACAGACATAGACCCAGACACTAGGACCCTATTATGTTTGACCCAGACCAATTGCCCCCGAGTCCTACACTGCTCCCTGGCCCGGGATGCGTCGCGGCAATACTCACAGCCAGACGACGCAGGAAGGGCAGCACAGGCGAAGCAGCCGACGCCGTGTCCGCCCGACGCTTGCAATTAGGCGTCGCATGATTGGTCCCTCAACGCTGAGTCAGCGAGTTGCCGACGCTCAAACCCGAGGTTACTAACTGGATGCCGGACTCCTTTGACTTCATTTTGTCGCCATCAGTTGGTTCTTCCTTGCGATCCCAGGCCTGATCTCGGCTCTGCTTCAATCTTGAAACCTCTCCCCTCCCCCCGCTGTCGTTGTCGTCCCGGCCAGTCTCCGCCATTTTTTCTCGACAATTCCTCGGTGAATTCATTTTCACCCTCCCCGTCCGCCATGGCCTCCCTCCGCACCACCTCGCGCCTGTTCCAGGCCTCGCGCCCGCTGTTCCGGCCCGCGACCTTCGCTCGCTCCTATGCGACCGTCGAGTCTGCGTCCGTGGACCCCGCGGCGTCCGAGAACCCCAAGATGAAGACCTTCAAGGTCTACCGCTGGAACCCGGACACACCTAGCGAGAAGCCCACCATGCAGAGCTACCAGCTGGACCTGAACAAGACCGGCCCCATGATGCTGGACGCCCTGATCCGTATCAAGAACGAAATGGACCCGACCCTGACCTTCCGCCGGTCCTGCCGTGAAGGCATTTGCGGTTCCTGCGCCATGAACATCGATGGTGTCAACACCCTGGCCTGCTTGTGTATGTGTACCTCGGTCTACCCCCCGGAATCTCGTCTCGACAGGCACTGGGAGATCGCAATTATGCCGCAGCGACTAACCTCCCATATTTAGGCCGTATCCCCACCGATACCGCCTCGGAATCTCGCATCTACCCTCTGCCGCACACCTACGTCGTCAAGGATCTCGTCCCCGATCTGACCCTCTTCTACAAGCAATACAAGTCCATCAAGCCCTACCTGCAGCGCGATACCCCTACCGCCGACGTGAGTTTCCTCGCAAATTGACCCCCACCGCTATGCCCGGTTTCCCTTGGCCTGCAATCGACTAACTCATTCTGTTCTTTGACATAGGGCCTTGAGAACCGCCAAAGTCCCGCTGACCGCAGAAAGCTGGACGGTCTTTATGAATGTATTCTGTGCGCCTGCTGCTCGACCTCCTGCCCCTCATACTGGTGGAACAGTGAGGAGTACCTGGGCCCCGCCATCCTGCTCCAGTCCTACCGCTGGCTTGCCGACTCGCGTGATGAGAAGACTGCCGAGCGCAAGGCTGCTCTCGACAACAGCATGAGCGTCTACCGTTGCCACACCATCCTGAACTGCACACGAACCTGCCCTAAGGGTCTTAACCCCGGTCGCGCCATCGCGGAGACCAAGAAGATGCTGGCCGCGTAAATGTGGTGGATATAAAAACGGAGTTGAAGATTTTCTTTTCCTTTTCTGTCCAATGTCTTGCCAGCCGCGTTTCCTCTGTTTTCATTTTTTTATTATTATTTTTCCCCCGACCTTATCACGGATGTTTTCATAGGTGTAAATTGTGGTCATTTGATTCTTAAAGGAATGCACTGGTGATCCATTTGATTGATGTCGTGCCCCCGTCCACTTTTATCCTCGCTCCGGCCCGGACAGATGCAATTGCCTCATGATTCGGCTATATGGTTGGCTTTTGGCTATCTGCTTTTGTATGGGGGCCGGGCGGGATTATCTTTTTTTTTTCTTCACCCAAAATACCCATTTTCAATCACCAATCCGCGTCGTGATAGTCTGTAGGCTCTCTATGATCTGATTAGATCTCTCGATGTCCATTAAATCTTCCTTGAATCTCGAGAAACCCTTGAGGTGCGGGCATTGGACTTATGCGGGTCTGCCAGCATCGGCTATTTGTTTTCCCCATCAACCGTGCCCTGACCAACTCGAACAGATGATTATGTCAGCACCATGTTCATCACTGGCAGTTGAGTTTATGTAGGAGCGCATCCACGATGGAGTATCGAGTACGTAGAAGTCGGCACCCTCGAACCCTTCTACATCGACGAGCATAACCATTCGACCTAGTCATGATTTTATTTGGGCCTGAGCCTCGATCACCTGGTCTCTGCCGCTATGGTGTCTTTGTCATTTATTCTTTCATTTATTTAATGCAACATTATGCATGGATCGGTCACTTTTGTTAGTCTCCTGCCGTTAAGAGGTAATAAGTAACCACCGATGCATCTCTGGTCACAGGTTCAGCGCTGGTGATGATCCTTCTGGTAGGCTGAGCGGGCAGGGATTTGTCTCCACCAAATCCAGATCTCGCTCAAAGGACGAGTAATCAATCGACTATTGGACTACTGGATAAGGCAGCGCTTAACAAAGCCCCTCATCGTGCATGTGCAGTGGGGCTATGTGTGCCCACATAATCGGCCTGATCTATAGGCAAGTGCCTGCATCTCTTTGATGCCACAACTTATTGCCATGCAACATGTTCAGACTGGAAAAGACGGACCCCTCCCCCTGGGTCGAGTTCAGTGATGTACTGGTTCATTTACATCTCTCCCAAGCCCATCACATTTTTGTCTCTTCTCTTTATTGTACTGTCTTCCCAAAGCCCCGAGCTTTTCAAATATCTTGTCGAATTCCACGCCATATAAACCCTTCACTATGGAATATGCTATCATTTTAGCAACCCCCGTGGCCTCTTTTCTGGTCTTCTTGGCCTTACGCATCGTCATCTACCGTCTTAACGCTCACCCACTTGCGGCGTTCCCCGGTCCTAAACTCGCCGCGGCTACTTTCCTCTACGAGTTCTACTATGATGTGATTAAAGGAGGCATGTATATCTGGGAGATCGAACGCATGCATGAAAAATATGGTCAGTGCATCTAGATAACCATCTGTCTTTCTGCGCCCCAAATCTTCAGAATACTGACGTCCCAGTCTCCAGGCCCCATTGTCCGCATAAATCCCAGAGAACTACATATCAAAGATCCTCACTACTACGAAGACATCCACGCCGGTGGCTCGCACAAACGGGCCAAAGACCCTCGGTATGTGGTGGCGTTTGGAGCTCCAAATTCTCTCGTCGCAACCGTGAATCATGACCACCACCGCCTGCGCCGGACTTTCCTAAACAGCTACTTCTCCAAACGTTCCATCGCTCAATTGACACCGTATATCCAACAAAAAGTTGACTTTCTGACTCGCCGTTTTGAGAATGCTTACAAACAAGCGGCTGTTTTGCACTTGCAATTGGACTTCGCCGCGCTGACCGCGGATGTAATCACACACTACTGCTACGGCTGGAGCTACGGCTATCTAGAGGATGCTAACAGTGCCAGGAGCAACAATCTTGTGAACGCGGTGGCGGGCCTTATGAGCATGTTCCACATCAACCGCTTCTTCCCGTTTCTAGTCGCTATATTCCGAAAGGCTCCAGCATGGGCTGTTCGCGTGCTACAGCCTAAAATGATGGATCTCTTCAATATGAAGGTTCAGTTGCGCCAACAAGCTCGTAAGAGCCTGCGAACGAAGAAGGTGGAGGATTCAGACCTTTGTCTCAATGATAATATCTTCAACTCCTTAACCAGCCCCAAAGTCCCAGCACAGGAGCGATCGCTGGACCGCTTAGAAGACGAGTCTGCTCTCCTGCTAGGGGCAGGTACAGAAACGACGGCGCGAGCTATCGCGATGTCTATGTTCCACGTGATGAATGACAAGGAGATCGCAAGGAAGTTACGTGACGAGTTGAGGACGGTTCTCAAGACCCCGAAATCCACGGCTTCATGGACAGACCTAGAGAAACTGCCTTATTTGGTAAGCAAATCTGATGCGCAATCATAATTTGTATCATATTTCGCGATGCTTACGGTACCAGACTGGCGCTGTTAACGAAGGCCTCCGCCTCAGCCATGGCATGACGGCACGACTTGCTCGAATCTCGCCTATCGAGGATCTCCGTTACAATGAGTGGGAGATTCCTGCTGGAGTAAGTTGACTATCTGGCCGCTCCTTGATATCATATCTCATCAAGAGAGATCTTAACCATATACAGACACCAATCAGCCAATCAAACTACTTCGTTCATATGGATCCGAAAATCTTCCCCGAACCGGAGAGGTTCAACCCTGAGCGATGGGTCCAAGCCGGTGAGAAAGGCGAATATTTGAACCGGTTTATCGTGGCATTTACCAAGGGAAGCCGACAATGCCTTGGGATAAAGTATGTTCTTCCTGCGTCACTTCGGACTGAAAGACGAATATAGCAATCGATTTTGTCCTAAAAAATCTTATACAGTCTCGCCTATGCAGAAATCTATATGACCTTAGCACACATTGTGCGCCGCTTCGATATGGCCCCTTATGAAACCACCACTGCTGATCTCAAAATGTACCGCGAACTCGGCGTTGCGATGCCGAAAACGGGCTATTTTGATGTGAAAGCTACAGTGGAGGCCATCATTGATGATTGAAGCAGGCCGCGGGCGCGGTATCACTTGGGAGAGCTTGTTTGACCAGGTAATTTAATTGACATGGGTGTTGAAACCGACTTTATTTTATTGAGGCTTCATGCAGGGCGTTAGAATTTAAATTATCTCGATATGATCCATAGGGACTCTCGAGTTTACTCATTGATTGTATGGACTTTTCATATGGGAATTAACATAATATTATTGGCATTCTAAGAAAAAAAGAGCCCCCGATGATAATCCTTAGTACCAGATGCCTTAGTGGTAAAATTTCATCATCGCCACCATAAAGGTCCACTAAGGTCCTCATCGTCTAGAACCTACAGTGAATAAACTGCCGCCCTTACACACCAGAAGTTATAAGAATAATACGGGCCAACTCCCTGGTAATTAGACTTAGTGCTCAGATCTGCGGCGCCAAGAAGATAGATGCAGAGTAGCTATCCTGATGGCCTAAGCCGCGATAGTTTGCTGTGACACCTTGCCGTCGCTGTTTGTTGGGCTGGTGTTACAACAAACAACAAAATAGTCGATTAGCGGGTTGATTGGTTTTGGAGCAGTTGTTATTGCGTCTATTCAACTAACAGTAAGCTAGTCAAGAATAGAAAATATCTACTATGTTACTTCTGGAGAAAGCCATGCCCTAGCGAAGTCTCCTTCGTCGCGAATGGTTATGAAATAAACCAGTATTGATTCGGCTCGCCAGACCTATTTCAATAAAACTCCTGCCTCTTCTCTTTTCGCATCTCTTGGAATGCTGTGAATTTAGATTTTCGAAAGACTTATAATAGGGAAAATATTCCAAATTATTAGTACAGGTTCGGACACAGCTGAGGAAGCTGTTCGTCCGTGTCCAATTCCAAGTCATTCCGGTCCAAAATTTCCTCGTGCAACCAATGAGCGATAACATTGCATGCCTCTTGTCGTAGAATTAGATTCATGGAATCCTTGATCATGGAATCTTTGATCATGGACTTTATATACCAAAGCAATTCCGTGGAGCGCTTAGAAGTCATCCTTCCATCCGTAGCCCATTGTCTCAGATACTTTGCGCTGTCCTTGAGATTTTTCAATAAAGAATCACTCATGATCCCAATCAACTGTGCTCTCAGATTTTTGAAATATTGTATATTTTCAATTATCAGGTCACTGTCCAACATTCGATCGACCAAGAACAGTTGACGCAAAGGTATGTCTTGATAATCGCTTTGTTCAAATTTACCAAGCTCTTCAAAGACATTTTTTTCTAGCATCTCCTGGAGTTCTTTGACCACAAGCTCGTTGATATAATTTGTAGCTCTCATTTTCTTCAAGTTTATGCCCCAGGTGAGAAGGCTATTGCTTCGCTTCTCAAGTATACAGAGACAGACGCTAAAGATGTCTCCGAGGGACTCATAGAATTTTGGGATGTACCATGTGCTGTCCTTGACCTTCAAAACGCTCATATCGTTGCAAAAATCTTTGTTGTTCAAGTCTCCATTCAACACGAAGTTAAAATATACCTCATTATGCACCAGGCCATATTTCCTCCAACTGGCCACCTTATTTTTAACGTCGAAAGACGACCACGGAAAACCGAGCTGGTCTTTTTCCGCGTACAGCAGGATCTCTCCCGTAATTGAATTGTGATAGACCACATCTTTCCAGTTGTTCTCGCAGAATGGCGACTGCTGGATAACTTTGAGTGCGGTGATCAGCAGTGTGTGCGATTGGGTAAATTCTGCGTGGTTGATGACACGTTTGATGAAGGGGCCGAACTGGCGAGACATCGCGTCAAGGTACATGAGTAAGGCTTCGCCCTGTCTGTCCAGTTTGATTTTATTGCCTGCTATGATCAGACTTTATCTTAATTTCCCAGGAACTTTGTTTTCTTACCGTTGAAGAAAGTCAGTTTTAATCTGTTGAGTTCGGGGGCGCCCACGCCAGGTTGGCCTGATGGTTGAAGATGAGGCGCAGCAATGACAGTGTAGTGAGAAGCGTCTCATCGCCTTGCACAATCCCTGCGTTTATCGCCGCGACAAGTATGGGCCCCGCAAAGTGAACCTCGAGAAAGTGTTCGATTTGCATTGGGTCTTGACGTGGATTGAAAATCTCATCTGCGAGACCCTGACGCTTTAGCGAAGTGTAGTCGTATTCGACACCGGGCATGCCCAGAGAGTAGTATGCAGTAGATATATAGGAGCGGTAATCGTTTGCATTGAAGCTGTTGACCTTGTTCTCCATCCAAGCGTAGATCTTTTGTCTGAGAAAGACTTCGCTCGTGGAGATGTCTCGCATCGCATTGGCTAGGGCCCGCATCGACGGCTATATACCCCGAATCAGTCTAGATCAATTAAGGCCAAAAGGTGCATAGTTTGGAGGAGCTCACATCAATGGCCTTGGTGTCCAGGCGCAAGTAGTTATCTAGATATTGACCTTTGCCTCCAAGTATCCCAAATAGAAGCTCACTCTGTCGTTGCTCCAATCGGTTGCTGTCTGTCGCTTCACCATTCAGGTCGACATCCAGTGTACCCCGGTAAGCTAGACATAAGCCTGCATCCATCTAGGTGGGAGTTTATTGACCAACATACTGAATATAAGTCGCCAGGAATCAGGATCGATCTCGGTCGTTGTCCAGTGCTGCGACTCGCTGCCTAGCTCATTCTTTGCGGGCGGGAAGTTGTACTCGGGCTTTGCCACTACTGGCAACCACAAGAGGGCCCATTGAAGGACATTCTGCCACGGAATGCGCATCTTCAGAGGACTTAAGAAACATAAACGGAGCTGCCTTCTTTGCTCGTCTGTTTGGTCATCTTGCGACCTTAAAGGTGTGCGTGCGGGTTGGTGTGTATGTGCTCCTGCCCCCGTCGGCCCATTTTACCTTTGAAGCCCCAGAACGACTCGGGGCGGCCGGCGCTCATGCATGACGAACACGCGCTGGTGGCGTTTGTGGCGCGTGATATTGAAGCTCAAGCTTCGACAAACATCCTCTAGATCGCAATCCATAGCAATTAATGGGATTTGTTGGCTTTAAGAGTGGCAGGCCGGGCCGAATGCCCTCAATTACCATTGGAACAGACAAAGGCTTATCAACATGGAAAAAATTAACGAGCCTTTTGTTTCCTTTTTTTATTGCTGGCGTATCACAAAAAATGGGGGATTAAGCTGATTGCCGCGTGGCGACGAGAAGGAGTACAAAGAGCATAAATAGTAGGGCTTCCAGTCTCGAAGTTCTGCCTCTTGATTCTAGCTACGACCACATCTACATAACATGGCGCGGCTGCTGTTCTTAATAGTCTTGGTGACGATCTGTCCTTTCTCTTGGGGTAAGTTGAGCGTTGATACAGCCTGATCTAGCCCTTTTCTGATCCTTGAAGCGAATATTCTGCCTGCTCATGAAGGCCAGGTCTGTCCTGCTGAGATCCAGTGCGCACAACCCCCTGAACTGCGCGAGAAGCCAGTCTACGAGCTCGAGCCGTCGATCGTCACGCACAGTAAAACCCATGTCGAGGCTGTGGTAGGTTTCATTCCTCTCTACCCCCGCTATTGTTTCTGATCAGGCCCTAGACGCACACTATTGTGTCAAAAAAATATCTTGCAGTTGTCAAGACCGTCATTGGGGGCTACCAAGGTACGCGCTATCGGCTCTTTACAATGTTCCCCACACGCATTGACCCTCCGTAGGCCTCTGTGAAAAATATGTCCCGACAACAATCAAGCAGCGGCCTACTGTGACCGTCTGGGTGGACACGACCACCACGGCGCATTTCTATAAGGATGTTGTCGAGACGGAGGAGCTCACGCACACGTATACCGTCACGCCGACGTCCGCGTGTATAAAGGAGATTGACAGCCTGCCTACACCCGCGCCAAAATTCCCGCCGAAGCCTCAGGGGCAAGGAAGTGGCCCCCTCGGCAAATCATTCAAGGATGTGATCAAGGAAGGCACCAAAGCAGGTGCCAAGGCAGGCGCTGTGGGATCTATGGGCCCTCTTGGTTCGTTTGTGGCACCGGTGGCAGATAAATTGTTAGACGATGTGGTGGACGATGTGCTAGGTGAAGTGGTGGAAGCAGTGGAAGAGGCGGCCGATAACTATACGGACCAGATTCCTCTTAGTGAGATCTTTATTGAGGAGGACGAGGATTATGACGAGTAATCTGAAGTATCGCCGGGGTTAGAATATCATTCAACGCCCGTCAAAGGGTGTACAATAGGAAATCGATCTTCAGGGTAATTTAACTTTTTTTTCCATCTTCCGGGCAGGTGGGGGATATCTAACACAGATGGCGATACCGCGGAAAGTTGAAAATGATCTTTTGCTCAGTATTTTACTAGTAAAGTAGCCTGAATCTAGGATCCAATAACAATATAGTAGTCACACATAACATTGAGTGGGTACGCTTAAACTGCACTACGACGTTGGGTACCGGTAATATAGGCAGCAAAAACGTCTACTCTTGACGCCACTTGGAAAATCATATTTAACTAATAAATTACGCTACAATCCTTCGCATTACAGATATGTCCATATCTGAGCCAAAACGTGGGATTAAATGCAAAAAAATTACATACACCTACAAAAAAAGTAAATATATGCAAAATGCGCGTTCCTTGGATCCCTAGTCCTCAGACCCCTGCATGCCTTTTTCTTGTGCAAATTATGTCCACTGAAAGTTCAAGCCAGTTTTCTAAGCAGTTTCACTTGAGTATAACACGGATGATCAAAGGCGAATCGCCTGAAATGGGAAGGCTTTTGCCTACGCAGCAGCTCTTGCCTGTGTCTCCACCGGCAAGCCTAGCCAAGCAACCGCCAACACGATCCAAAGAGCCCCAGAGAACCAAATAGGGGCACCACCAGAAGTTTCTGTGCTCTCAAAAGTAGTGATAATATGCGCAATCAGCCCAAATAGACCCCAAATGCACCCCATGACGCCGAGGCTGAACCCTCGCGTGGGAGTTGGAACAACCTCTACGGTATAGAGTGTAAGTGTCGCGAGACCAGCAAGGTGCAAGAAGCTCAATATGCACTCAAAGGCTAGTGCAGCGTCCCTTGACCTAGAAATTGCGGAGACCAGCATGAATAGCCCTGTCAAAATAGCAATTCCAGCGCCGGTACGCTTACGGCCAACACCTTTCGCCTCGACCAGAAATGAAGCCACGAATGGACCTGGAATTGCGCACAAAGAGGTGTATAGATAGCGACTGTATAGGTAGCCTCTCGTCACAGTGGTCGCATTGACCTTGCTCACGCCACGCACAGCCAGATAATTGCTGATATAGGTCTGATAAAGAACAAAGTTGAGACCCATTGCAATCCAAAGAAGGACAAGACTGGCCATGCCAATGTTCCCCAAAGAGGCGATGAGGGACTCAAGTCGAGACTTGGTGCGCAATTCATCTTCTGATGCCTCAAGCGTGGAATCAATTCGCGCGAAGGACGCTTCGGTTAACCAAGTCTGTCGCTGATTGTAGAGAGCAATGTCCTTAACAAGCTGTGCCGCTTCTGCATCGCGACGACGTGCAAGGAGAAACTTTGGGGTCTGGTAAAATGACAGTCCGAAACGACAAAGATACAGGAACAGAGTGATGCACCCGAAGGTCCACCATACGTAACGCCATCCCTTGTTGCTGACGTAGTGACAGGAAGAGTCGCTGCTGCTGGATGATGATGTGCTATTTGAATGAGCCAGAGCACGTCGACTCATTGCTTGTGCGGTACTGATCTCATCAGGACCAGTGCCACATGTATATAACGCAATTAAGGCCCTGTTAAAACCCCAGATTTAGCAAGGGATACACAACCCATGGAAAATACAATCCGCTTACCATCCAATAGCAGAGGCAACCAACTGGCCCAAGCCCCAGAAAACCCCCTGCAATGCGACCAAAAATTGGTGTGATGCTGGGATGGACTCAAGGAGAGTAATCGCATCAACAGCTTGATTTCCCGCAACAGCGAAACCAACAACAGCTCCCACTACGCAGAGTCCCGTGAATGAGGGCATGCCCGCCCCAACCAATCCACCCATACCCATCACTATGACTGTGCTTGTAAACATCTGCTTCCGACCGAGGATATCCGACATCGAAGGCCAGACTAAGCCTCCGACGGTGAGGCCCACAAACAAGCTCAGGAAGAGATAGTTGGTGTTATTGCCAGTGAAGAAGAATTGGGCCTCGTTGCCAGCGGATGGGGCAATAATTGTGAATGACATGATCCAAAACTGCATCACATTCACATTAGTGCTCTGTTGAAGCAAGTAGGAATATTAGTCCAGTGGACTAGCTCACACTGTCAAGAAACCACCCCACGCCCGTCATCAAGAAGATCAGCCATTGATACTTTCCCATGCCAATGTCCAACAACGCCTGATTCAGCACTTGCACCTTCGCGGCAAAGGTAGCATCAGTACCTGCATGGTTGCCTGGGGTTGCAACATTGAGACCAAAGAGACTTTTATGCTGCTTCTCGGATTGAAAAACGGCTTTCGATGGCCCTGCTTTCTCCACATCGTCCACAAGAGTAGACGCAAGGACACTTTGTGCCTCGCCCCTTCTATGTGGGGTAATAGAGTCGGACATTTGACAGAATTATATGCCACCCGTATCTGAGAAGCAGAGGGGGGATTTTATTGGAATTATCAAGGTCAGAATAAGTTTCTTTTCTCATCTGCCCCCGTGACGGTATCCAAACAGTCACATTTATATTCTTGCCAAGCTCGGCTCGTCAAAAACGCGATGTGATCGGCTGCGAGTCGGCATTTTGCCAATCAGCAAGAAGACCAACGATAATTGAACATGGCATACTATCGGTGTATCCTGAATAACCCCACCCAGGTATTAGAAAGCGGAGAAAACGCACGGCTAGTGGGGATTTCCGCGGAGATATTGGTTCCCCAAGGGCCTCTCGCTTCAGAGAGTATCAGATAAGATCTCATTTGAACAGGCTCACAGCGTAGTATAGACCCACTAGCTTCCGCGGAGTATTGAAAGAAAACACAATATTATTAATAAAAATTCGAGGCTCTCATGATTTGTCAAAAATATTTGTGCCAGTATCTCTTCCTTTTGTGCCTTCGAGGGTAGAAAAAGCAGCACTAAGCTAACCAGAGTAGCATAGGCCGAACGAATGTCAAGGAGATGGAATGACTTGGCCAGGGGCCTAAACATATATCCGGTTCAGCTTCATGATTGGGTCAAGCACGACCCACTGTATAGCATTATGGATTAAAATCAGCATGATTGAGAGTCTCAATGTTCACGGCTCATAGGCTCGAATCACTTGAAGCAAGGACAGAAGTATGACACAGAGCCACGATTGGCTTCTGAGCCAAGAGCTTGGAAAGCTTATTGCGTTCCCTTCATTGTTACAACTTCTCCGATACCTCTTTCTGAGGCGTCTGACTGTCGGGTATGAATCCGAAACTACGTAATGCAAAAACGCGGACGAGTTGTCTAGATTGGGACTAGGTTAGTTGTGATTAGAAGCGGACATGAGACCAGCTCGCCCGCCTGAGGATTGAGTAAAAACCACGCGGCAAATTATGTAACTAGTGTAGTGGGGAAATGGCCGACGATAGTTGATCTTTTATTGGAGGATATCTTTCCTAGTACTTGGTCTTTACAGAATATAGCTTCGCATCTCCGACTATCGGAGAGAATGAATTACACATCTTTCGTTGAAACATCTTCTGTTTCCCTTTTGGGAAGCTGTCCTCAATCCTGGGGTGTGGCGGTTTTTTGGTCTGTTCGTTGATCCATCTCATCCAGCCTGCTTTCCAGGCTTGCTATAGAGCGCCCTGGTTCACTAGTAAATAACCAATGTGGGTGGGTACCTTCACTACCGAGCGAGACACTGTATCGAAAACGCGTTGTCCCGCATCTCTTACACTCTCCAGCACAATCCATGCCTAAAATAAAGGTCCAACAAGCCTATGCGAGGCGTGTAGATCTGGTAAAGCGGTAATCAACACTAAACGATATATATACTTTTAACCAAATCGGCCTTGCAATAAGCTTAATATCTATCGCTTATGGTTATCATATGTCGGAATTTCCACGGTCAGAAACTTCTTTTACAACCGAGAACTCTGGAATAAGTTAGGCAAATAAACTATCACTAGCTAAATCAACGATGCCTTATACGGTTAAAGATTTAAAACGTTTCAAACAACCGTCAAAATCCCAATTAAGCTATTCTGCAAAGTTCCTCCACCGGTTCGAAGCATACGTGAGGGATATAGTTACCCGAATCCGTTACTAGATTGTCCTTTTCTTGGGACCAGATTTTATCTCATATATAATAAATAGCTGGGTTATATTCTTCGAGGTTACCCAACTGATCTACTTTAATAATACTCGCGGTGACTAAAGTGGTTAAAGATCAAAGAAGACTGTGCTCAGGGAACCGATGACTTCCCTAGCGTCAGTTTGATTGTCACCTCAATTACGACTACAATTACGAAAAGAGTATCTGCTGATGGAAGCCATTAAACATATATCGTACAAAAACTGTGATAAGTGGTAATCGTTGAAGTCAAGTATAAAATGAAGGTAAAAATAATATTGAATGATCTAAAGCTACTTCAATATTTGAGAGCAAAAAAATGACTTACCAGTCTGTTAACAAAAGAACAATCAGTCAGGTAAAAGGACTCATGAAATGAATAAGGGCGCAGTCTCCAGAAGGTGGAGAATTCAAGTTGCACCATTATTCAGGAGCCATTTAACTACATCTTGGTGACTTCCGTCTCTCGCGGCAGTGAGAGCAGTTTCACCATAGTCGTCCATCTGGTTGATACCAATCGGCGTCTGCGCAATAATCTCCCAAACTCTCATTTTTCGCCTTTTAATAGCCCAGTGAAGAGCTGTTGCATTTGACATCTGATCCACGGCATGAATCAGGCGATCAGGGAGATGGGGCAGAATCATTTTCAGAAGTGCGGGGTCGTCACGGTCAACAATGCAATGCAACACGGGTAACCCCATTGCGTTGAGCAGAGCTTCGTTTGCCTTCATTAGATCTGCACCAAACTGGATTGCGAGCTGGATGTTTTCCTGAGTGCCGTGCTGTAGGAGATAAGCCATTGGGGTGCCTCCTTGCGCATTGACATCACCGCCCGCACGAATCAAGAGCGAAACAATGGCGTGACGTCGAAGCCTAGCAGCCTCATACATCGGGGTTTCGTTTCTAAAGGTATTCGGAAGATTCGGATTTGCCCCAAAGGCTAATAGTACATCCACCATTGCGACCAGGTTATGTAAGATAGCTACTATTAGGGGCCTTAGCCCAAGGCCATTGCTCGAGTTGGGGTCTACTCTATGTTGTAAGAGTTCCCACACAACATCATCATCTCCTTGGTTTGCAGCCTCCAGTAAGAATTCTCCCATTCGGCCTGCATTTGGGCTATTGTTATGCCATGCCCTAGTCCAGGATTGCATAACCGAAGCAGGACGTCGGCCATTTACGTACCCATACAACTCTCTGAGATCATCCGGTGGTGTCAGACCAACATTCAGAGTGCGAGCTCGAACAGATCGAGTCAAAAAGTGGTAAAATCCTCTACAGACTACGGCCAAACGGTATAAAGACCGATTATCTAGGAAAGGGGCTATCATGTGAAGAAGCTCGGGTGGGAGACTACTGAGACCAACTTGGACAACCGTACGGGGAACAGGCGCTGGAACAGGTGCAATAGGAAGTTCCGGAAGCTCCTGGATTGGCGGAAGGGGGCTTACATAGACTGACCGCGACAAATCAGTAGTTGATATCAAGGGTTGCGTGACTGGGGGTTCCGGGATCGGGGGAGGGGCATTGGCAACGAGTACAGGTGGAGGAGGCGGCGGGGGAGCCCGGCCCGGGGCCGGAGGTAGCTGTGGAGACTCGGCGGCAGCCGAGGGAGGCGGGGAAGCTTGAAACTCTGCCTGTTCGCTATCACTCTCATCCTCATGCTGATCAGACTCAGCACGAAGGCGGCATCGGCGGAGGCGGAGGCGCCGAAGGAAAGCTTTGAATTGGCGAGGCATGGTCTGGAGCAAATAAATTCAAGACAATGATGATTGATCTCATGAATAAATCTTGAAAGGTGTGTTTTCTTTGAGGGGACGGGCGCCTTATATACCTTTGAGCTTGCTACTGAGGCGCTTCCGAATCTGAAGATTACATTGTTAGAGCAAAGGGCTACTCCAATGAACAAAGAAAGTGATGGCAGAAACAAAGAACACATCCCTTTATCTCCCCTGTAAGTTCTGTCGCTAAGATGAAAACACACATCAAGCAGGAAATTGGCACTCTCAATGAATACGGATACAATAAAAGTATACAGAGCTTCGTTAGGCAAGGGGTTTGATCTTTGAATGCCAACTTAGATCAAATTCTACAGCGTCCAGTCAATCCAGAAAAAAACTACCTACCATTGATTCATGGAAACGGGAGACAGTCCTGTTATTTACCATTCAAAATGGCAATGGTTCCCAAGTGGATGTTCTTGTGCCAGCTCTGGTCACAGGTACTCTCAGCTCATCTGAAATCAGCAATTCTGTTGAATAAGTTTCCAAAACATTGTATCAGTATCAGATCTCAGATACTCTAAGCTCTGCGTTGCCATCACATAATCCTACTTCCGCGTTCAAAGGCTTGACACTTTAATTCTAGATAGAGCCAAGCAGTTCCGTCCCTATAGAACACTTGGCACTGCAACCTCAGCCTTCGCAGTGCCAAGTGCCGTCGGGCTTCCGCCTATCGCTGTAGCATTTACCATCAGCCGGTCCTATGAACTTCCTTTGCTGTCTGCCAAGGATAGGCCATCTCTTGGCCTGTCTCCCTTCCTCATGTCGGTGCATTCCATCACGTACAATCGCACAATGTCGCGGGGTCTGGGCTCAAATTGAGGGGATGAAAATTAAGTATAAAATGAGCCTTCATTTAGCTGACAGCTCTTCATTGTCTACTGTTGGATTACATGATAATGAAGTGGTTTAATCTGGTCTGCCATATTTCTATAGCCTTAGCTGGGCATCTCAATCCTCCAGTTTCAACGGTATGTGCTCACGCTGTATGCCCAAATGTTATCAGATAGACTGACAAGCTAGGTTGACTTCCCTTCTATGATAAAACTGGAGGATCTATTAGAGGGATCCCGGCAACTTGAAAATTTTGCTTATTCCTACCCGGAGCGCAACCGTGTGTTTGGCAGCGCAGCGCATAACGACACTGTTGATTTTATCTATCGCGAGTTGAAGAAAAGTGGCTATTATCATGTCTGGAAGCAGCCACAGGTACACACATGGACAAAATCAGAGTCCTCTTTGATATTCAATGACGATTCCATTGAGGTGGCTGCCATGACCTATAGTCCAAGCGTCGATGTTACTGCCGAAATTGCTGTTATCTTGAATTCTGGATGCAGTGTGGCCGACTATCCCAATGATGTGGCTGGTAGAATTGCCCTGGTCAAACGGGGAGAATGCACTTTTGCAGACAAGTCACTGCTCGCCGCGTCTGCCAATGCCGCCGCTGTCCTTGTGTTCAACAATGTTGCAGGGAGCTTAAGTGGAACACTCGGCGCAGTGTCTAGTGACAACGGATCCTTTTCTGCCATTGCAGGAATCTCCAAAGCCGATGGTGAAATATTACTCGATGCAGCGGAGAAGAATACTGTGGTTGTGGCTCTTGAGATAGACAGCCAAATCGAGAACCGTACTACGTTCAACGTGATTGCTGAGACGAAGGGCGGGGATCACAACAACGTTGTCGTTCTGGGGGGTCACACCGACTCGGTTGAGGCTGGCCCGGGAATCAACGATGATGGCTCCGGGATAATCAGTAATCTTGTGGTAGCTCGAGCGTTGACAAAATTTTCTGTCAAGAATGCTGTGAGATTTTGCTTCTGGACGGCAGAAGAGTTCGGCCTGCTGGGTAGCGAATTCTATACTGCGCAACTGGACTCCAAAGCCCTAGCGAAAATCAGGCTTTACCTGAACTTCGATATGATTGCCTCGCCCAACTACGCGCTTATGATATATGATGGCGATGGAGACGCTTTCAACCAGACCGGCCCAGATGGCTCTGCCCAGATTGAGGCTTTGTTTCAGGAATACTTTACTTCCATTAATCTACCTTACATTCCAACCGCGTTCGATGGCCGTTCCGACTACGATGGGTTCATCTCGCGCGGAATACCTGCTGGTGGCCTCTTTACCGGGGCTGAAGGTATCAAGACTGATGACGAGGCAAAATTGTTTGGTGGTCAGGCCAATATATCGTATGATATAAATTATCATGCTGCTGGAGACGATTTTGCCAATTTGAATCACGATGCATTCTTGATCAATTCAAAAGCCACAGCTTTTGCCATCGCGACGTATGCAAACAGCCTTGCTTCAATACCACCACGGACTCAGACATCTACTAAGCGAGAATGGATGCGAAGGGAACTTGTATCGCATATTCATTCTAAAAATACTGGGTGTTTCCACTTCCACGTCCTCAGATAAGAGGGTCGTTGGTATGCCATACTAGACGCGCCTTGGCATAACAAGCGTGATTCTAATTATTCCATCCCGATTAAAAGCTTCTACTTCTTCAAAGACAGATGCTGCATAATCTGGTACAGGGTAATTTCCCGCGCTACCATGGGTATATTATCACTTTCGTTATGAAAGAATACTGGATCGTTGGACAAGCAGGAGGAGAAATTTGGATTTGCAAATACGACTTCCACAACTGATGCCTATTTTTGTTTCTGTGCGATTTCCAGCTCATGAAAAAATAACCTTGATACTAAAGAAAAACCATTCGGGATATATCCCGACTCTTTAGTTCATGTAATTATTTCCTCAATTCACATTTGACAAGCATCTTTCAGTGGGACATCCATATTATTTGATTTTACTTTCTGGTTTGAGAGGCATGTTACTATGAAATTCCATGGATCTTCAAGAAGTTTTTATATATACTATTTTTACTCCTATCGTCGTGGTCTACTGAGATTGTCTAGTTCTTTCTTTCCTACAATGTAACCTCACGCTTATTAATATAAGATTTCTTGAGTTTTCAGTTTCCATCATTAATAAAAGTTAATTATTTAGTTAAATAACTAATGCCAAGGACTAAAATCATAGAAGCAAGCTCCTTCAGAAATCTTATTAGGTGATTTAGCTAGAGTCTCAGCTACTTTCAAGGATTAAAGACTCGCGGTCCCCCACTATAACCTTTGCCTTCTCAACCAAGACATGGTCACAGCCAGCTATAATCTTGTAAAGAGCGGGCGTCAGGCCCCATATGACAACTTCATCGGAAGAATATTCTCCAAAGAACTTGATCATGTATTCATCACAAAATGGCGCAGCAGGTGGGATCCATCGAAAATAATAGCGATCGGTTTGATGTTCTAAGTTTCTTTTGAATTCCACAAATCTTCTCAATAATGTTTCCAGCTGCTCGATTCGCTTTGAGGGATCCGTAAAGCAACATTGGGAGCATTTGCCTTCCCAAATTCGGACAAATTCATTAAGGCGTAACTCAATGTTTTCATTCCCGAACAATCGTGTCGCAGTACTTAATGCCGATTGCCAATGTTGACTGACATGAATCGGGCCTTGGTTTATCAGCTCAACGGCGAACGTTCCATTAATAGAGGCGATCAGCTTACATGTTTTGCATATTTTAGTGTCAATCTCCCAAAGCGCATAATTTAAAGGAGCGTCGTCAATGTAGGTCATGAATCGGTCTTGAAAACTGACGAAAATGAGCCATGAAATATCCCCATATATCCTGCAAAGACTGAATGGAACTTTTTCTCTTTCATTGAAGCCCCTACACGCATTATGAGGCAACAAGTGATAGAAATGATGTTTTACCCATTCGTCTAGATTGTGATAAAGATGGTGCATAGCCTGTCGAGCCTCATCGTCGTCTATATAGTCTATCCTCTTTTGGAACTTATCAAGCCTGATGGCAAGCTGAGAGTTCTCCTTGATAGCTCTTTTCACCTCTGTTTGGGCCTCTTCGAGTAATTCACTTTGTCGGCGAAATTTTTCCTCCACAAGAAGCTGAGCTTTTCGCCACTTCTTCAATTCTTCATCAGCTTCGTCAAGTTTTCGTTGTAAATGTTCCTCGGAACGAATATGAACTTGTAATGAACTTTCGGCTTCCTTGAGAGACCGGGCAAGGTCTTGCTTGTATATCTGTCTGGTATGAGCTATAATTTCTTCATTTTCTCTGTTCTCGTGGACAATTCATTGATCTGTGCAAGGCCGCTCCAATTTATCACATCGTTTCTGGATTCTTACATGCTGATTCTGCAAATTTTGCTGATGATCGGGCTCTATGTTCGTAAGAAAACATGACGCAGAGAACTAATATACATTATCGCTCACCGAAACTAGTTGTGCACGGTATAACCTGTTGAGACCCCACATAGCCTTGGCTCGGATCGTTTCCTATCAAAAGTCGACGAAAGCGCAGTATTAGATAATTCATGATGATGAAGTGTTTTAATACAAATTCCTATAAGATTTTGAAATTCTACTCACTTATTGTCGTTGGCGTCGAAGTGGTACGCCTCCATTGCAACCATGACATTTTTGTGAGTCGCTCTTCCCGAATACTCGTCATTACTGATGCGCACACTTGTAACAAGCGCGCGGTGAAATAGAATAATAGACAACATCAATAATCCATAAAATTGTTTTCAGTGTTTCTTTTCTTTATCTTTTATTATTTTTCAAAAGAAACGGTTCCATAGTGACAGAATGGTGGGCCGAAGTTCAGATAATATCGGCACACGCCCCATATTTTGTATCGGCATAGACTTTGGTACAACTTTTAGCGGGTACATACTCTATTTCAGATCAAAAAATATATCCAGCTTACCAATTTAGTATCGGTTGGGCGTGGGATGATTGTGCTGATGATATTGAGGTGGTCCAGGGTTGGCCTGGAGCAGGTAACAGTAAGTCACCTGTGAATATTAAAAATGGTTCAAGTCTCAAGACCAAAATAGAAACCTCGCAAAAGGTTCCAACCGTTCTTTCATACTGCGGCGGCAGGCTTAAATGGGGATATCAGGTGGATGATATGAACGAAGAAGCAGTGAAAAGAGTTAAGCTTCTTCTGGAAAGTCAAGGAGATCCGATCTATGGCCCGGCTGCTCAGAGTAAGGCGGTTATTGAAAGTCTCAACAAAACACCAATCCAGGTAGCTGGCGAATACTTAAAGAAGCTTGTATCCCATGCTAGATGTCTCTTGGATAGGCGAGGGTTTGGGAATGCACTGGACACAATGGACCTCCAGTATATACTGACCGTACCGGCGGTGTGGTCAGACAGAGCTAAGGATGCGACAATGCAGGCGGCGTGTCTTGCTGGTATTCCAAGGTCCAATCTGACACTACTTTCCGAGCCAGAAGCAGCAGCAGTGTACACAATCCGTGCAATTCAACCTAATTCAATCGCTGTAAGCGCCCAAGAAGCGTGATCGTGCAATGCTAATTTTACAAGAAAGGAGATTGTTTAATTATCTGCGATGCAGGGGGAGGAACAGTGGTAAGTGTGATTCTATAAACACGTCTCAAAAGAGTTCTCATTGAATATCTTCTTCCGTTTACATAGGACCTAATCACCTATCGAATTACACACACGGAGCCTACCAGATTTGAAGAAGTAACCGAGGGGAAAGGCGAGATATCTTCCATTTCTGCTAGGGGACACAGGATACTGACTTCATTTCAGGAGCACTCTGTGGTTCCGTGATGCTGGACCAGTTATTTCAAGAATTTCTCACAAAGCAAATTGGTAAAAAGAAATACCAAAGCTTACCTGGAGCAGCAAAACAGATCATCATGCATCAATGGCAGAATGAAATTAAACATGAATACTCAGGTCCCAATAACTGTGACGGATTTGACGCGGGTTATTACCTTACTATACCTGGCCCGAAAATCCCAGGCACGCAAGATGGGATGCTTTACATTGAGAAGTATTTTCCATTTGACCTGAATTTCTGGAACGCCAATTGATTGTATCACAGCAATGAAATTCAAGAAATTTTCGATAATGTCATCGACCATGTCAGGTCTTTGATATCCGAACAGAAGAAAAATCTGGAAAAGACCGGGTCGTCTGCTAAGGTCAACCAGCACGAAGCAAGATAGATTTTTAAAGGGCTAACTTTCTTTAGGCTATCATTCTCGTCGGTGGGCTCGGTTCGTCTGAGTACCTTTACAGGAGCCTTGAAGACCATTTTGAGGGAATCAAAGTACTGCAACCTCAAAATGCGTAAGTAAATCATGATATGATATATAATCAGAGCTTTGAGGACATCATTAATATAGTTACTCTTCCTGAAGGTGGTCGGCTGTTGTACGGTAAGAATAGTCACCGATGCAGAACCAGGCCCTTAGGTAAAGAGACAAATTAACTTGGATAGTGGCGCTGTCATTCGTGGTCTCCAGGGAAACTCTGTTCAAACTCGAAAATCTCGATGCCATTATGGTATAGCGTGTTCAGAACGCTTCGACCCCTTCGTGCACTCCAGAAAGAACAGGATATGGTGTCAATACGAAGAACAGTGGATGGCATCTTCTATCATGCGATGGTATATTAATAAGGTAAGTCACCACTTCCCCATGATTTGGTAACGTTTCATCTATTTGTCTAACGAATGATCTAAAGGGGGAATCCCTTGCCGAGGAAAAACCTATTAGGTTTTCTTGGTATCGAACTGTTGGGTTACATGAATCTCTAGTATTCCACGAACCTTTGAGATTCAGCATTGCCAAAAGTGCCCCAAGTGAGGTAACATCGGGTAAGCCTCTTGCTGAATTCGTTGAAACTAAACAGCTGACAGAAGTCCCGGAGATGTCTCTCAATTGTGCGAGTTAGAAGCAGACCTGAACAGGATTCCCAAGGAGCTTTTTGATAAACACAGAAATAGCAGAGGGGAGGAGTATTACAGAATCCACTTCGACATGGTAATGACACCTACATCCGCGTCGCTACTCTTTGACTTAGAGTTCAACAACATTTCCTATGGCACAGTACGTGCAAAGTATTACTAGCTACTTTCAAAACTATATGAGCACGATCTCGTTATACTTGCTTACTGGCAAAAAAATCGGCTGATAAATATCATCGCTTCCGCTGGATATTTTAGCTAAGCCAATTATTTATTTTATCTCTCATCAAAAATTCATCTGAGCATCTGCGTGTATTCTTCAGGATAGAATCGAAGCTTAAGATTTGTGTTACCATCACAGCTTGCTTACGTTAGTAGTTTAGCTTAACTAACTAGTTGACTATCATGACCTCTACTGAGGAGAATGGAACATCATCTTTACACATACCCATCACGCTCGTTACCAATCCGGGGATCATTCAATTGTATGGAAGCACCATCGGTGAAAATTCATTGCACTAGTAATGAATATAAGCACATACAATCGTCTTCAGAGATAAATTAAACACATATGACCATAGCTTCTGGAGAACAGGGCTGCGGGGCGTGCTTTAGCCACAAATAATGCCGGCCAGTTGTTGATGCACCCTGAGCTTGAAAATAAGCCAAATGTAGTCTATGGGTGACAGAATGAGTGGTATGATGAGAATTCTCGAGACTGGGGTGATAGAACGCAGCATCGAGTGAGCAACCACTCTTTCACTTTGGCTTAAGCCCGGGCCATGAATATGGGCCTTAGGGCGCCCATCGGCTTGTTGCTTCAAACCCCTATTAATGTCTGAATACTGAATAAAATATGAAGGATGAATATTCTATAAAGTCATTACACTACTTTCTCCAAAGGCGATCTAGACTGTTACATCGCGGACAGTGCTCCAGTCTAGAGGGTTGTACCACACACTGAAAATTTTCAACATCGTATGCGACAAATAAAAAAAACGTACACTGCGCGCACTTTTGATAATTTTTTTTTCCAAAGAGAATCAAGTTCATGTACAGTCAAAGCTCAAGTAAATTGGTATGCCAAGACGCGGGCATATACCAAAGAATGCCCGTTTCCCATAGCTTATCGAACTTCCTATTATGGCAACTCGATGAGATACCCCGAACAATTCCACGAAGATATGAGAAATGCAGCATGGAATAGGAGGACCAATAAATTTAGAAGCTTCGCTTTTGATTCAAGTTCACATTAATTTTTTTTGTATCATCGAGCGACTCAAATTCAAAAATGGAGCCTAAAGTGAACTTTGATGCTAAGAGGTTTTTGGGCCAAACATTTGACTATATTGTGTGTGGCGGAGGTACTTCAGGTTGTGTCATTGCAGCAGAACTTGCTTCAATTCCTAATGTCTCCGTTCTTCTTGTGGAAGCTGGAAGAGATTCTGGCCTTGCGCCAGATGTTCTCGTGCCCGGAAAATATGTGAAGCAACTACAAGAGGATAAAGAGGGTTTATGGGAGCTGGAGACATTCCCACAGGCACAATTAAATGCGAGAAAGCTGAAGTTTTTGAGAGGCAAGCAGCTTGGAGGCAGCTCGTGAGTTATCCTTAGTCGATAGAAGACTGCAGCCGAGCTCAGACTTGATTCTAGGGCCGTCAACTACATGGCGCTTGCACGGGGCCCAGCGGCTGATTATGACGAATGGGCAAAAGTTGTGGGCGACGACGGGTGGAAGTGGAAGAATATTCTACCATTGATGAGAGAGGTCTGTATTCCTTGTGAAATATTGAGTGATCCAAATTAACATATTGCGACAGCTTGAGGAATTCGACTCGAAAGTGCCTGCAGATCTGAATAGATTTGCTGCTCCAAAACCTGCAGATCATGGAACCTCTGGGCAAGTTTGGAATGCTCTTTCTTTTTATCAACAATGTCCTAATATCGCAACTGCAGACCTTTGAAGATTGCTTTCGGTGATGAAATGGTTCCTGGAATCGAGACGTTCATCAACGCGTGCTCCGAGAACAAGATTCCATTGTGTCCAGATATTAACTCTGGAAACCCGGTGGGCGTTGGATTGGCCCAATTCAATGTTCGTGATGGACAGAGAGATTACGCCGCCAATACTTTCCTGGGCGAGTCGGCTCGCGCATCACTAAAGAACTTAACCATTCTGTTGGAGACGGAGTGCGACAAAGTTCATTCCAAAGACGGAGTTGTTACTGGGGTAGATTTGTATCACAGACCAACTGGAACGCAATGTGAGCTTTTAGATTCATTGGCAGGGCCCATTACTAACGAAGGGCAGTCCACGTCTACTGCCGTGAGGAGGCTGTTCTCTGTGCTGGCACCTTTGGCTCTCCTAGAATTCTCATGTTGTCTGGTATTGCATCCAGAGATACTTTGGAGCGGCTGGAAATTCCAGTGCAAGTTGACCTACCAGGTTTGTGAACAGCTCGAAGACTCTCAATCATTCCGCTCCTAGATTTTTGACTCTCTTAGGATGTGGCCAAAACATGCGTGATCATTCAATCATCACTTGTGAATACAAAGTGAATAACTCCATCCCGGCACACAACCAGCTATTTCTCAACCCGGGTCTTCTTGCAGAAGCAGAGGCCCAATATGCAAAGAGCCACACTGGGCCTCTCGCCATGTATGGATCCAGTGGTACTTTGGCATTCCCTAGAATCCAACGCCTATTGGAATCGGAAGAATTCTCCAACCTCAGTGACGAGGAAAAGAAATTTATGATGGAGCCCACAAGGCCTTCAGCTGAAATTTGGCTCGGATCAGGGCCTTCGGTCTACCAGGACAATTCACCGGAACAGAGCTATATGACGCATGAGCTTCTGCTACAGAATAACCTCTCGCTTGGTACAGTCATGATTCGTTCCAAAAATCCACGGGATCAGCTGATTGTCCACCCGAATTTCATGGCTCATCCATTTGATCGGCGAATTGCGATTGAAACCGTCCGTATGGCGCTGAAGATTGCTAGCACAAAGGCCTATCAAGGTGTCATTGAACGAATGGTCCACGGTCCTAAAATTGATCTTGCAACTGCCGATCTTGACGCCATCAGTGATGAGGTGATGCTGGATTTCATTCGCAAGAACTTGGACCAAGGATACCACAGCATGTCTACTTGTCGCATGGGTAAATCTAGTGATCCTGAAGCTGTTGTCGACGTTCATTTCCAAGTCATGGGAATGAAGAACCTGCGCGTGGCAGACCTGAGTGTCTGTCCGATTCTCACTTGGTAAGTCACTGAAGACGGCTTCATTGCGGATATTGTGCTCACCATAACAGCAACCATACCCAGATCAACGCTTACTTGATTGGTCTTCGATGTGCAAGGGACATAATTGAGACCCATAGGTCTCGTAAACAGCTTGCGAAGTTGTAGTCTAGACAATTCCATCAAAATTGAAAGGTATCATGTTCATAATCGAATCAGACTAAAAGTACAGTCCCGGTTCCACGTCCTAGCATCAGATCAATATAATTCGCTGGTCTGTGTCCTTTCCAAGCACCCTCTAGTAAAACAAGCGCGCTTTGCACATTACGAAATCCACCAGAGCTCTGCATACACCTTGCTCGTTCCCGAATCCATTCTTGGCGTCTTGCATCTTTCAACTCAAGACCAGCATGAAATAAGGGCCATAGTAACTGATCTGACCATCCGGAGGCAGGTGGTGTAGCTCTCGCATGATAAAGAACACTGCTAACAAGCCAATCCAGCTCAAACTCATCAATATTAAAAGAGAACAACCGTTGCAAATAGAGAATAATAGCGAAGCGATATGCTTCCGTCATGTGAAACCAGTTTTGACCCTTATCAGAATGAGCTGGCTGTTGTAATAACCGTTGTTTGATCTCTTTGGCTTGACTCAACGCCTGGATTGAAGGATTATCGGGATCAGGCTGATTTTTAGACAAGGCGACAATTTCGCAAAGTATTTGGAATTGATCCGAGGGACAAGGTATTGTATCGAAACTCCATCGATCTCTGGATTCTTCTAGCAAGGAAGTAATTTCTTGTGATGAAAAGACCGTGGTTCTAGAATGCGAAGCGGCAGCCATCACGTCTAGCCTGAAGCATGAATCATCAGTCAGTTAAAAAATACAGGTATCTGGTATTCAAGCTCACCAAGCTAGATATTGTTCTACAAAGCAGCCGGTCGTCCGCTCTTGGCGCAGCTCGATGAGTTTTCTAGCCCCGTGGAAATGCGACTGGAAGTCCGATACCTCTCCATGGCAAAGGTCACACAAGCAAAGCATGAGTATTGTCGCAAGCGTTCCCGGGTGTTTTGCTCGGATCGGAGAATACAGATTCTCCTGCAATCTTTTTATGGCTTTTCCCTTGAATCGGAAGAATTCCTTCTCGAATTGGTTTGTAGACAGGCGTACATTGAAGTGACATGCTGCCAGTGCCGCACAGGCGTATAGTAATGATGGCTCCTCAATGGCAAGAGGTAGTACGTATTCGCGATAGGGATTTTGCGGAGATAAGTTGTCCACACATAATTTCGGTACAACTTCACAAATATCTGCGTGCCCAAGTTAGCGTAGCCGACGAGCTGTCACGGTGTTCGCACTGACGGTATTGCATGATAAATTTGAGTTCATCTGGGATGTTCAAGATATCAAGACTTGGGCTCAGAATATAGCTGAAGTCCAAAGAACCGGTCAGCTCCTTAGAATCGCTCCGCAAAGGGGGTTCGATATCGGGATCCGGTTGAGGTTCAACAAGGTCATCAGAAAACAAGTTCATTAAAGAGACATTATGGGGCCATGACGAAGAATCAGGCGGTGTTTCAACATTGGTAATCTCCATGAAGAGCTGCACGGGGTCAAGAAGATTCTCCAATGGGCTTTCTGTGGGTTTAGCCTGGTCATTATTGCTGGGGGGCTCTGGGGTGATTGTGGGAGTGTTGGCGGGGGTGGACTTGAGATAGTCGTTTTTTGAGCTCGGCATGTTCGTCGGCGCTTTGTCGTGCCTGGAACAGGAATACTTTTGCCCACAAACTGACCGCGGCTTGCTAAGCCTGGCCACTGCAGCAGATAACCCTCGCAGGTCTGGCCACTAGCCTCGCAGGTCTTGCACGAGGGCATGCGCCGGTCGCATCCTCGTCCTCGGCGGCGACATGTTTTGCATGCTCTGCCAAAGTACCGTTCATTCGCCATGGGAGGTGTGAAGAAGAATCTAAAATGCAGGCATCTGAAGCGGAGGTGAATCGGAGTGGCACCGCTGCTATCTCCGGTTGATAGCGGGGAAGCACGAAACCCGCATTCCGCTATCATCGCTATCTCTACAAACTTTGGGCTTTCATTCGACTCATGGTTCTTCGCGATTTGATTAATCAATTGGGCATGATCGCTCACAAACAAAAAAAAATTTAAAAAAAAAAATATACAAAGCATGCCGAGTTCCCTAATCAAAGTCTTTAACAAAGATTCGACCCTGTCTAGGGCAGATTGCAATGAAGCTGATGCTGCCTATCAACGGCAGTTCGCAAAGCTAATCGCTGCCCATTTCCCCGCATGATCACCATAATTGGAAAATTCCACAATCATGGGGAACCCGGTCATTTAGTCGAAGATTTGACACGTGGAAACTCAATAAACACATTTTAACAATGCGTCATAGGACATCTTTCGTTTTATTTCAGACGCGATAGGTTCACTTGTTCCACACTTAGAAATTTTGTACGTAATGGTTTGCCGCATTCTTCGGTTCTGGGGATGTTAGCGCACGGGCTTCTTATCAGTTGTCCATTTTAGGAAGGCCCCTGAGCTGACCAATGACAATCTCCAACTGTAGAGCCCTGGCTAATTGCCTCTTGAATGTTCAAGAAGTGAGTCTATGGTAATACGGTTGATATTTGGTTGTTTATTCTTTGGTGGCTTTCGGATTTTTTTCTTCTTCGAGTCCATTTTGGAGGCAACTCGAATCTGCATCATGGTAAAGCGCGTACTTGTAGGATATGGCATCGATGTGGATGCAGTTAGTGGCTGGTAAGTTTGACACAATATTTTTGGTTTATATTCATTTTTTAGTGAGACTCTGGGCCAGGAAGCTCACTCAGATCTAGGATCAATACGGAAGATGGCCATATACCTGACATGACTGACATTTCGCGTGGTATCTTCGGCGCGACCGTGGGAATTGATCGACTTCTAAAATTGTGGGATAAATACAATATAAAAACCTCGTGGTTTGTTCCAATTCATTCACTTGAGTCGTTCCCGGGTCAAATGGTCAAGATCCGCGATGCTGGACATGAAATGTAAGCGATTCCTACAGTCGATGGGCTGTGAAGCACCTTTGGCCCTTCAACTAACACCGGGATCACAGCGGCCTGCACGGGTATACACACGAACATGTGGATATGTTAACAGAGCAACAAGAGCGCGACGTGCTTGCCAAATCAATTGAAGCAGTGACCGCTCTCACTGGAAAGCCCCCGAAAGGATGGACTGCACCATCTTGGAGAACCTCACCTCGCAGCATCAAACTATTGGAAGAGTTCGGTCTGGTAAGTAAATTTATCAAGCTCCTGTAAATTGAGTAGTCTAACTCTTTGATCAGGAATATGACCACTCATTTATGCACCACGACTCACAACTCTACTATGTTCCGTACAACTCAGGGGAACTAGTTCCCACTGACCTCTCCAAGCCTGCCGAGCACTGGATGAAGCCAATGGGCAAACTCAACCCCAGCAAAATCGTGGAAGTACCTGCAAATTGGCATCTGGATGACTGGCCACCTTTTCAACTTGAGAATGGCCCATCCCATGGATATGTGGATCCGGATGTCATTGAGCGACTCTGGAAGGCCCAGTTCGACTTCTTGTATCAAGAATATGATACATTCGTTTTCCCGATATCAATTCACCCCCAGGTTAGCGGAAAACCTCAGGTAATTATGCTCCATGAGAGGCTCATTGAGTATATCAATTCGCACGAAGGAGTGGAATGGTGTACATTTGAGCAGATGGTAAAGGAGTTCAAAGAGGGTAGAATTGAAGGGTTTCAGGTGGAGGGTGGAGTTGAATAATAATGAGGCGTGTGTGTCGCATTAAATCATGTACCTTGAGAAATAAGATTCATAAACTTGAAGACTAAATTTTCTAAGTTCAACTCAATTTGTACCTGCCAGGTTGAGGTAGGAAGCTAGACCAAGTGACCGTCATTAATTCAAAAGAAGCAAATGTGCGAAACATGGAGCGTATAGAGCTTTATAGAGAAGATTCCGTAAGCGAAGTTTCACTTAACTCATACTGGAATTTATGTGTCGGAAAAACACCTAAATATCCAATTCTGGTAAATATTTGACTGTGAAGACAATCCAAGCTTTGTGGTCATTTTGAGACGCAAAAAAGAAATCATCGCCTATTTCTAAAGGTCTCTCTTTCATTCCTCATGTATATATATTTACTATTCCAGAAGATGAAATTTCAGTTCCAAACGGTGACCTTTCGGACCTGCAAGGTACCCATCACTTGCTTCCATATCTCCGTGGTCGTGAATAGTGGTAGTAAAACTGGAATAAATGCTGGCAAAGAAGAATTTTATCGCTAAAATCCCCGTTAGAATGATATCATATCACAAGTAGCTAGAAAACTCACAGTAATAAGCAAAATGCATTCCAAGGCACATCCTTCCACCGCTGCCGAACCCCCAGAACCATTTTCTCATAAGAGCCAACTGTTCTGGAGATGAATCGAGCCATCTCTCCGGCTTCCATTCCAAAGGCTCAGGGAACACATCAGGCATCCGGTGAAGTACGGAAGCGTATGATTGCACAGTCGTTCCAGCCGGGACTCCATCGTAGCCACCCAAGGTACAAGGCCGCGGTACTACCCGGGGCTGACCACCAGGCACCGAAGGCCACAGTCGAAGGGTTTCCATCAAGACAGCTTGAAGGATCGGCAGCTTGTCAATATCCTGGGGGTTCGTCATATTCTCCACTTCAACCCTTTTTCCGGGTACGTGGCTCAAAGGTGGGCTGAGTCCGAGCAGCTCTTGGCGAAGTTTGGTCTGCCACTCTGGGCGTCGACTCAACTCGTACAGCAGGTAGGTGGAGGTATTACCGCTTGTCTCGAATGCTCCGGAGTTCAGAGAAAACATGTCACTTGCCAGCGGAAGTCGGTTAGGGTACATTTTAGGCTTCGCATGAACCTCGCTCATTCCTTTCAGTGCTGGTTCGAATGCGATGGGTTGATCATCCACTGACAAATCTTTCTCACTTGCCAGGAGTTCTTGGGCTTGATCGCATTTCTCCAGATTCCACTTCTCAACCCATTCAAAAGCAGCCAAGACGCTCTTGGGGATGAGATGAATACCAACTTTCTGGAGCATAGCAACTAGACGAGGAAAGTGGTATTGCCAGAATGTATATTCAGCCACACCAAGGAATCCATCCAAGTAAAATCTCCTTTCTTTTTCATTTTCAACCAAGTTGCTGGCAAGGGAGCGCCCAAACTGCCAATAGACAAACGTGTCGAGTAGGTATGAGTAAGTGAGGTCCATCATCTCGATCGGCTTATCTTCCGTGGATGCTTTGTAAATCATGGGAAGAATGCGATTAAACAAGATATCTCGTGATGCGCTGCGGGCAGTCTGGGATGACATGACAGACGACTTTGTGAAGCAGCTTGCGAGGGCTTTCTTGTGTGCGGCATGATTTTGATTATCTTTGATAGTAAACAAATTGTCGGTCCTATTAGCGAATATTAGCTAGCGTCATTTCATTCGTTGGAAGAGCGAATCGCACATACCCGTAGACGGCAAATCCGTTGAAATAAAAGTCCGGTTTCGGAAAACCTCCATGATAGATTTTCTTCAATCCATCATAAGAGTTAACACTGAGTAAGTTCGGAGCAAGTCGAAGTGTAGGGCCCTTCTTCAAATGGAGCTCATAAATCCGATTGTTCTCCTGCTTCGACCATTTCATCCAGAAAATCCAGATAGGACTGAAACTGCAAGACCAGTGTGCATTCGGAATCTTTGCAAGAGGAGAGAAGAATGCGGGATACAATAGGAACTTGAATACACCTGCAATTATGCCAATCAGGATGATAGCATAGTACAAGTGAAGTTCCATTTTGTCAAGTTGGTGCTCACCCAGGAGACTTTATTTAGAAATGAGTTGAACGTTACAGGTAGCTCATGAGTGCTCTGAGGGCGGACAGTATATATATTGTCTTCTTTAGCGGGCTCAAGAAAGCCTAAAAAAGCGTGATCAAACTTCAGTCCAAAAGACCCATTCTTCAAGTCTTGTTAGTAACGCTCAAATGGAAACAGCGTGATAGGAAAACCAGGAGGCAACATTCAATCAGTGTTGATTCTCATTTCTTGAAATCTCTCACAATGTACACTCTGGTTCTGTTAGCGGCCCGATTACAGGTCCATGATAGGCCATTATTCGTTGAGCGCAAATAGTGACCGAATACGGTAAATAAATGAGCTAGGCTCTTCATAAATGCGGAAAGTGTATCTATGCCGGTTCCATAAAGCCACGGTGATTTGAAACCAGCAGAATTAATTCTACTCAAAAAAGCATTCAAGGTTTCATTCATATCGGCCACTCTTCTTCTTGGAGGGGAGGTGAATGAGGGTATTCAATAGTATGTATTAAGGTTAATCCAAGATCACTGGATTTTACGGCCCTCTAAGAGGATTATGAAAGTATCTATGATCCATTATTATATACATATAATCGAAATTCCAGGGCTACAAAATATCAACGGCAGAGGAAAGGCCTGCAGTATGTTCTAAGTGAAGTCATCCTTAACTGGGCTCTGGAGGTTGTGCCCGATCCTCTAGACTAAAGGAATAATTAGAAAATTACTTCAGCATCGGTATATATTGCATCTTGTAGGATCATCGAGAGCTTAATTAAATTTGAGAACTTTGCCTCGGCTTCAAAGATTTGTCTAGTTGTTTCCCTTTGATGGTATTACTGAAGACAGACCATTATCCTGCAGCACAACATCGAGTCCCTGAATCTCAATTGCCTGTTAAAATTAGCATGATAAAATCCAAGCATGCAAAGAAGATTGGACCTGATAAGGAAATGCAACGGAGACTTACAGGTCCACTGAACGTGTTTCTCTTGCCTCCCCACCAAGATAGCAAGATCAAAAATGAGATACCGACAATAATAACACTAACATAGTTCATACCAGCGACTGTGGTCGGAACAGATGTAGGGAAGCAAAACATGATGGTGATGAATAGAACCCATAGGATTGAAAATGCATTACAGATCGATCCCAGGTAACGACCCAAAGTAAATGGGCGTCTTGGGAGGATAGATTCTCGACCTCTGGCTAGAAGAATAGCCTGGGGTAGGGCGTAAGTTAAATTGAGCGACAGGATTGACATAGATATGAAGCTGTTGAAAGCTGTCGAGGAACCAATGTAGATTAGGCCGTAGATTATCACGACGGCAGCACATGCCACGGTCGCGTTGATAGGGACCTGGTGCGTAGGATGGACCCTTGCAAAAATCTCCGAATATGGAAGCCCTCCATCACGAGCAAAGGCATATGCAAGTCGCCCAGTTGTTACAATGCATGATACCAGGGCCCCGAAATAGACAAAGAGAATCCATACAGTGAGAACTGTAGCCGCAGGTTGACTTCTCGTGGCCTGCAGGTAAATCGTATAGATTGGAATCGATGAAGAGGCGACCGCATCTGTATCTGAAATGCAGAAAAGGAACGAAATTGTCCAAGGGATGACTGTAATCATGCCAATGATAATGGTAAGCCCCATAGCACGAGGAACATCACGGCTGGGGTTTGGCAGTTCCTAATCATTCCGAGTGAGCAAGTAGATGAGAGTACTGTGGGACACCTCGGCTTCTTTACCTCTGCAATATGACACGCTCCATCAATAGCCAAATATGCATACATGCATGTGCCAAGCCCAATTATGAAGGAGGTACCATCGCTCCAGCCACTGGTATTTTCATAGTCGACAAATACTGCATTGGCTGACTGTTTATTTGTCTGCATAGCCAAGACCGTGACAATGCTGACAAGGAATCCCAGAAAACTGCTGGCGAACATCACCATTTCCCCTCTAGGAAGGGATGCTGGCAACAGACAGACAATTGCGGTTGCAATCAAGACCAACAAGGTGTATATCATCCATGTCTGCCAAGCCTCTGCAACGTAATTCGGATGGTATAGGCCAGCAATGCTTCCAGCCATCTGAGCTGTGTACAGTTGTTAGCCTATGACTTCGATGAGTCTTCTGAACCTAATCAACAAAACATACCACAGACTAGAGCGGTGGATGCACTGGTGAGGGCCCATGCTACTACACTCAACCATCCCATGACAAAGGCTACTAGAGCACGATATCTCGGAGCGGAAACCATGTAAGCAAAATGATATTGTCCGCCGCTAGATGGATACGCTGAGGCGAGCTCAGCCAGACCCGCCGCTAGAAAGAATAGTCATGTCAGAGGGCGATGGGACATAGGAATGGGGCTCTTACTGATGAAGCAACTCGCGACCGATGCAGCAATCAGCCCAAAGAATACCATTGGACTCCCTCCCAGCAATAATGGCGTAATGAAAGTGGCAGAGTAACCGAGCCAGGAGTTTGTCATGCTGAAACCAAATGCAAGAGTGGACAAAAGAGAGAATTGTCGAGGGAGTTCATTTGGCTCCTGGATTTGGGGTGGTTGAATATGGTCGCCATCTCCACTGGCGTCATCAAATTGATCTAGTGGTTTGATCATTGAATCGGTTGTAAAGTCTGTCACCATACGAATCCAAGTCACTTGAAAACAAAGTCTGCCTAAGAGCTGGGGAGTGAGAAGGTGGAAATAGCAGCAATATATTTCCTATATCATCGTTATACCCTACTTGCCAGATACACCAAAGCATTAGAGTTAGCATCAAGCACAATGAGCATCAGACCCCGATATCGATTCCTGATAGGGCGCTCGCCACTGCCAATGGGGGTTGAATGATGTGTGGCTCAAATTATCCCTGAAAACTAAAGGACTGCATAGGTCAGACCTATCTTGTTTTTAGCCAATCCTTAATTGTTTTTCTCCAATGATCCAACACCGGCTAAGCCTAATCTGGCTCGTTATCGAACCTAACTTCGTATCTCATCTATATGCCAAATTAGGAATAGTTGGCGGATAGAGGCTTTTGCCACAAGGCGCAACACAGAGGTATTGCTCGTTGATCATGCCTGATATTTCTTAATCTTCTGCATCACATGGCCAGTCATATATTTTCCAGACGTTTCTAAATGAGTTCCGAACGGCAATATTCCGATATCTGGGTGAGTTTCATTTACCTACCTAATTGAGTCGCTATCTCTGTAACTGTATCTGCCACTACATAATATTTGATATCTTGACCATCTCAAGGTTATTTAAGGGCGACTCAGAGAAGATAAGGTTACTGAATCACAAGAAACCTGAAACTCACCACTTGATCTCTCAATCTGCTCCGCATTTCCCCCTTGCTTTTTTCTGACACACGCGGTACCCAACATGTCAGTTGTTACTGGATCCGATTACGAGGGCTATGAACAGCTGGGGAATATTTTCAATATCTCGGCAGCCGTTTCAATTCCCGCCAACGCCCGCATTGTAGCCACTTCTGGCCAAATTGCCGACAACCATGATCCAATGTGGGGAACACACGCTGAGCAATTCGAAAAGTCAATGATCAATATTGAGAGATCTTTGGCCGTCGCATCTCCTCACATCACGGATTCAAGACAACTGTGGGAAGGAATATTCTATGTCACGTCATTTCATGTTGGGGTTTTGTCAAGGGAAGAACAATTGCAAATAGCCGAAATTGCCAGAAAATATTTTGGAAAAAATAAGCCTGCGTGGGCAGCTATTTGTGTCAATGCCCTCTTCCCACCGGAAGCTTTGGTCGAGATCCAGGTTCAGGCAGCTTATCGCGACGAGAATTGAATTAATAGGCGGCTATACCGTGTTTTTGATTCTAACAATATCTGGAAGATGTCAAGAGCTGTCTTGCACAGTTTTCATCCATTTTCTCTCTGGTCTTCCCCTCATTATCTCTATGACTCTTCTTATTTTGTTTTTTTGAGCCTCCCTAGGATGTCATACTTCTGTTGAGTTGTATTCCAACTCAACAATTTGGGCTCTCTGCTCTTGGTACCCACTTAAGTTCAACAACAGTCGCCTATTACGATAGACATGAAAATAAGACATTCTTTCAATTCCGCAATTCATAATATTTAACGGTTAAATACTACAACGCACTACGCCATGACATGTTTTCCGAGGTTTTACTTGTGAGCTGAATCCTGGTTTTCGTGAGCGTAACCTTTCGTTCTTGAAATTTGTCTCCTGTCTCTCTTCCTCTCCTGCGAGGAATTTTTTGTGCCTACAATGAGTTGTCTGAATGGAGGATATTTATTCATAATCCACATTCTTGACAGATATAGCCTCGCATCTCCGACGGGGAGAAAGATCACTCCTGCACTCTTTTTTCTCAGACAGTGTCTATTTCCGCTTTCAGACTTCCTCTTTAGGAGGCTGCTCTCCATCGAGGTATTTGATAGTTTGTCTTCTTGTTCAGTGATCCATCTCATACTACGTGCATGTCAGGTTTGCCGTCGAGCACCCTGGTTCACTATCTAAAAATGGAGAACTCAGGGCGGAGGTCAAGTTTTGTTCTTGGCGCAACGCTGAAGATGGCATTGACAAGTTCAGATCACGTAATTTAAAGATCTAAAACTATTTTCTCTGCAGACTGATACGGTCGTTCCAGGTACGATGTGCCTATTTTGCCCCCAAGCTCCATAGTCAGCGCCGAACTTCCCCGTAACGACATATCGTGTATGAAAATCCGTCATGGTCATTCAAGATGCTTCGTAACAAGCTTGAGCCTTTCCAGCCATCATGGCCAAAAGAGTCCCATTGCCCATGGCCCCCGTAGATCACATATTTGAATGTCGGATCTGGCCATTCTGCATTTCGTCTGCGTATTTAGAGAAAAAGACAAATATACGGTAGGACACATTCTGTCGGGGCTCGAAGACTATATATGCGATAGGTAGAGTATGATTGTTATGTTTGCACTTCAACCAGGTATTTCGAGCTCTCGAGGACTCGAAGTTAATGAGATTACCAACTCATTTGTGGTGAGCCAATTTGCGGAAGCATTTTGAACATTTCATTGAACCCAAGTCCCACGCCACGGAACGTGCTTGGGCCAAGATCATGGTCATCTCAAATTTTGTTTGAACAAGCGACGGCGTAAAGATAGGGGTAGGAAGATGGTAAAGTATCGGGATGGCACGATAATTTTAAAAACTATTTAATTCGTGGTCAAGACGCTAATAAGGGGTATTAAGTATTGAAGTCGAATCAGAGGCCTAGAACGAGTGGGCTGATTGATCATGAACGCCGGCCGATGATATAGTCCGGACCACTCGGGTATGTTCTCAAATCTACCGAGCGAGCGAAAAGCATCGACGGACGCTCAAACGGGCCGAACACGCCCAGCGGTGGCATGAGCGGCCCCACATGTAGGTATTCCCCGGTAGGTATCACCCGCGTAGGGAGTATCCGTGTAGGTAATTCCCAGATGTAGGTGATTCCCGCCTGTGGATCATACCTGCATATAAGGAGCCAAATTCCTTCACTTGTTCTTCGAATAAACGAAGCCAATAACTGTTTTTACTTGGAACTTCCAGAATGGACGTTTTTCTTGATGTTCTCGACACGTTTGTCTTTGACCGACTGTATGCATCTATCTTGCCTGATGCAAATATAGACCCAGGAGCTTCCACAACACTTTTAAATCAGCATGTGAAGGTTTATTTTCCCTTGGAGCCATCTCAATGGGCACAAGCAAGTCTCTGGAAACGAGACAACATGGTCCGGCAAACATTCTCATTGTTTTTGATTACATGGTAGGCTCTACTTTCGCCGGGGCTATCCATAGCTGTCACTGACGTCTTCATCGCTTGCTAGGATATTTGGTCTTTTGATGTACTTCATTGGTAGCTTCGTGATGTACCACACATTATACGACAAACGACTACTCAAACATCCTCGATATCTCCCTAATCAAATGCGACAAGAAATAAGCCAAGGCTTATCGTCGATGCCCGTCATGGCCATTCTTACGGCGCCTTTGTTCCTTGCGGAAGTGCGTGGGTGGTCTAAACTATACGATTTTGCTAGCGAGGCCCCATTCCCCGGTTATACCTGGCTACAATATCCTCTCTTCATCTGCTTCACAGATAGTGGAATCTACTGGATCCACCGCGGCCTCCATCATCCCCTTGTCTATCGATGGCTACACAAGCCGCATCACAAATGGGTTGTCCCAACCCCCTTTGCGAGTTACGCATTCCACCCACTGGATGGCTGGTCACAGAGCTTGCCTTACCATATCTTCCCATTCCTTTTCCCATTGCAAAAAACCGCTTATTTGGGGCTTTTCGTTTTTGTCACAATTTGGACTGTTCTCATCCGTAAGCTTCACCTTCTCACCACATCAGCAGAGCTATCCCGATATAATTTTCTAACACGAATCAGATGATGCCGAGTATCTTTCCTCATCCGAAATTATCAATGGCGCTGCATGCCACACAATGCATCACCTTTACTTCAACTATAACTACGGGCAATATATCACGATTTGGGACCGCCTTGGTGGGACATATCGCAAGCCCGAAGAGGACAGCTTTGTGCGAAGCCAGAACAAAACTGTAGAGGAGATGGAAAAGCAAGAATAAGGAAAAAGAGATCCGGATATCATATGGGTATATAACGTATAGCTTTAATCAATAATACATATTTTCATCACGTACTTCGCTGGCACCATTGGATGAATTCGTTCAGATTTCCCAGCTCATCTGTTGCAGTATTATCAAGATAGGAAAACGTCTTGTCTTGATTACCGGTCGCATTCAAGGTGGCGTTCAATAACCACCAAAGCTCTTCTGCATGTTTTGGATACCCAAGGTGCAGAAATTTCTGTTGATCGAGGGAATTGACCGCAGCATCCCAAATTCTCTTCCAGTTGGCAGCAGCTTGACTGATTGTTTCCAACGATAAATATTTGAACAGCCCGGACCTTGCTTGGAACGCGAGTGAGCTCATGGCTAGAACCGGTGTCAGTAAGAAATGATTTGGAATTCTTTTTCGTAGTAAACTTACCATAAATCAAGATCAGGAGATGCTCCGGTGAGAGAGACGTGCTCCATGACATTGAAGCAGCTGTCTTCGGAGTTTCAAGCAGCTGTTCAATCACCTTCTTCAAAGACGGCAGGGCAGGCTGGTTCAAACGCGCCGCAGCAATATGACTGAAGGATGCAGCATCCTCGGCTTCCCATAGCTCAGAACTCCAGGGAAAGTCACAATCCATCTCGAACACCGATAAGGCAGGGTGATTCTTGAAGCATACCGTAAGAAAACCATCTGCGAGAAACACCCAGCAAGAAATTCTTGGAAAACATTACCAACCGTACCCAAAAGCGATGATGTCAGGCCAGGGAGGGTCAGAATAGCGTACCTTATACACATCTCTTCCGCGACCAAAACTTTCCAAGTCCATTCGTCACATTCTTTGGGAGCCGTCCGTCTTTTCAGCTTGAAAATTCCAAAGGACCGGATGGTCGAAACAAGACAAGGATGTCGGGTGATCCGAATCCGGCGTCTAACTTGCATATCATCTCGCCCAAATTGAAGCATTTCCATGATCAAAGCACTTTGGATAAGCTGCACGGTTGGTATTAAATGACAAGGATCGGTAGGAGAGGAGTTTGCAGACAAATTCGATATTTTTCTGAAAATATACTCCTCTGCAACATCAAGAATCCAAGGCGAAAACGATGCTCCGTCCAGCGGAAGAGAATAGGCTGCACCGGCTAGAGAAATTGCGAGCAGCAACGGACTGGAAACGTTTCCGGGGTCAAATGTTGGGAAGTGGACAACTGGTAAATGCCAGTGAAGAGATTGGAAGAAAGCTGAAATGAAATTAGAGATGTTCGACGCTCCAAGCATTGTAGCAAGATCAGTCATATCTAATGGTTGCTGTGTCTCTCCGTCGCTCATTGATCGAGAGGCTTCAACTAGTTCCTCCATCAATTCCATTAGTTGATTGGAGAGTTTGGATGGAAACAGTGCTTCATTTGGATACTCTGAAAGAAGATAATCAGTGGAAGATGTCAGCCGCATGGAGAATTCGGCTATCCGCGGATCCACCATGAAGCCTGACATCGCATTCGTCGGTATGAGGGCGTCTTCGAGATGAGAATGGAGTGCTTCAAGATTCCTGCGAATCGAGAGATTGGCCGTCTCCCCAATTGCAAGCCTATCGATCTTTACAGAAGGACTGGCAAAGTGGCGAAGGAAAGAAAACAGCCCATCCCCCTTTGGCAAGTTGCGTGGATTGCCTACAACGGGGGGGGACAACACTATTGCCGAAGGTGATACTTCTTGGATTTGTATCCCTTGGTCGGCCAATGTGCACTGTTTTCCTAAAGAAAAGCATCGTGAACATGGCGAATTCCGGTCGCAGGCTGCTTTAGCTGCAAAACACGCTTCGCAAGACAGCCGTTTCCTGCCTGGTTTGTTGGCAGGCGGTAAAGGCAGGTTGTGTTTTTTTGCACATCCTTTGCTATGTCTTCGAGTAACCTCCCTAGTTTACGGTGGGAAAAGAGGTTGTCAGGGTTAGGCTTTGTTGGAGAAATGATTAACATACGGTTTCTGGAAGGATTTCTTGCAGAATGGACAGCTGGAAGAAAGTTGACTGGTATCTAGGAACATGTCAGCCAAAGATCTAGGATACAGATATACCTAGAGACTCACGGGTTGTCTGGTGACGGAGCAGGTGCGTCTTCCTCTGATAGGATTTCGAGCACTGGGAGCACTGAAACATGGTCTTGTGAATGAGAATAATGCATGATGATTGTCGCTGCCATCCAAGTCCCCCGGGCGCGAAGTGGGTCACGTAAGCCGCGATCTCGGCTGTCCCGATGCCGAGCCGGCCGATTCCACTTGTGCCTGCACAACTTAACAGCGTCTCGCGGGATATACACCTGCTATCGTCATCAAAAAGTCACTTGATCAAATGAAACATAAATGATTAAGTCGCTCTATTGTTTATTAGCCCGAAGAATTTCATCTGTCTAGACTGCCCTGCTAGGGTCCACCATATCCGCGGACCAAAGGCGGCAAATATATATATTCCGTCAAGGACTATTCGGACACAGAGGCACCCCTTATCAACGAATCGAATGTTTCTATCACGTTTTAGCCCATTGCATGCATATATAGGAAGTCATATCTTACAGAATAAATATGTTTAAATTAAGATTTCTCTACTACTCATTAAATGGGTACCTGAATTCTAGAGAAAACATTTTGCTCTACCAGTCCTCGCAAGGATGAGATCCGGTTGTAGGTGCCGTACAACCGTCTCACTTATTATGATGATAATTTTTACATGCAGGTGACAGAATGATCCGAAGGGCATCATCGGGCTCTAGGCATATAAAATAAGCCATTGCAAATCCGAAGCCGGGCAATCCAACTTCAATATTTGTGATTTGCGAATACCTGATCACCTTACAGTACCTCGGGCATGAGATCGCATGCACCGAGAATAATCCCTTGCAAAACTGGACAAGATGTAAAATTAACTTCCCTTGAAACACAGGGTACAAATTCACATGATATCAGGCGATTGGCCCATCACATTGAAGCTGAAACTACGCAAGCACGGCACTGCGCTTCAAACCGAGGATCAAAACACATTCACCAAATTACAAACAAGACTGTCAAGAAAAAGATTCATGGCAATGACTAAGAAATGTTTACATCTGTGGGTAATTCAACTGGTGGCAGACCAGCACTCGGGGGCGGGGGTTGCAAGGGGTTGCCAGGGTTTTCGTTGGAATGGGCTTCCGCGTTCCTGGGTATCCCTACATAGTAGCAATGGTTTGGGAAGCGCCCTTCAATCAAGTGGGAAGCGAGGCAAAATATACCTATCTGATGTGCTTGCAATATATAATCCTTGTGATGGGACACCACTACAGAAGCACACACTATGGCAAAATCGATCCGCTTGAGGTTACTCATTCAATACACAATTACGCGTTACACAAAAACAACTGGTGTCATAGTGAATAATGAGCGGTGCAAAGCACGTCAGAATAGTAGCCTTAGTTTAAGCTACAATTGATATCGGTCACATCGCCTTTGTGACCTAGTGGCTTCAAATATAGCATCCTAATATTCTCTACCAGCCAACCACCAAGAGGGAAAATAATTGGCGCCTGGTACTAAAATCAAGGACTCCCAACGGTGAAGACCTGTGTTAACGTCCGAAAAGCTTATCCAGGTAAGCATCTCGGTGATCATTCCGCAGGAGCCAACCGCAATGCAATTATAGAGCCCTGGAATCCAACCGTCTCCCATGGGTCTCCATGCCGATAGGGCACACCTCCCCCTGATGCTATGCAACACTCGTCATTTCATCCGCCTAATGCTGATCTGTTATCGGTGCGCGTATGAGGCATGGACGGCGCGATCATACATTATCATAACAGAATGGAGATCAATAATTCGCCTATCTCAGCATAAAAGCCTACACATCCCTTTTTTCCCTCTTCCACCTGCAAATCTTCTTTCCGACCCAGTACTCTCCTTTAAAAATCCCCGGCCCGAGGCAGACCTTGCCCAGATAATAATCGCAAGATGCACACCTCCTATCTTTCACTGGCGGTTTTCGCCATTAGTGCTGCTGCCGCCCCGTCTTTCCCTCGTCCCAACGGCGATCCCTTTGAGGGAAGCTTCCCCTTCTTCCCTTCCGGAAGCTCCAGTGTTACAGATGATGATGATGGTCTCTCTAACCCCGTGCCTGCATATATGGCCGCGATGCAAGCTGTTGAATCCGCACAGGCTGGCTCCTACAACACCCCTCAGGCCAGCCCAAGCCTTGATGTTATGGCTAAGCCCCAGAAGCAGAACTATGTTCCTATGGTCTCGCAACCGGTGCCTGCTCCGGCTCCAGCTCCATCTCAGGCTCCAGCCCCGAAGCCTGCGCCAGTCCCGGCTCCGGCTCCAGTTCCTGCTGCTATGGCTGACCCTATTCCTGAGATCCCAGAGCCTGCAGTTCCCTCTTCTGCCTCGCACATTGTGGCACATGTCGCACCGTCATCGATGGTACCCGAGGTTCCTGCCTCGTCTGAGGTTCCTATGATGATCGAAGCCACTCCGTCGTCAATGGCTAAGCCTTCATCCATGGCTCCTATGATGGTTCAGGCTACTCCGTCTTCTATGGCTACTCCATCCATGGCCCCGAAGATGTCCGAGTCGTCTCCGTCTTTCATGGCTCCTGTGACAATTACTCCTGAGCCAGCCACACCCGTCGTGTCGACTCCATTTGCTGTGCCATCGAGTGCCTCTCCTCATTCCGAGCGCCCCACCAAACCATCGGCCGCTACTACCTTGAGCACGATGGCTGCTGTTCCCAAGCCTCACTCGCACGCTGCCAACATTCACCAGCAGCACATGGCCTCCATGTCTGCCAGCATGTCGCACGCTGCCGCCAGCTCTGCCACACCATCTCCAAGTGCTACTCCCAAGGCTGATCCCCTTAGTGATCTGCTCGGCTCCGTGCCCATCGTGGGACCCCTTGTCGGCGGTATCCTCTAAACGTGTATGTTGGCATTATCACTGAAATTCAATTCGTCAATCCACCGTCACCACTGACACCTCTCTAGGCTTCTCTGATTCATCTTTCACGTTTGCACTTGAATATATTTACCAAGGGATGGGAAGAACTTGCTTTTTGACCGGGCTTTCATTGATATCCAAGAAATTTTAATTCGGAAAGGCGTCGGAGTTGTATCCGGGTATTTGGGCCATTCTATTCATGAACTTTAGCCACTTTGAATAGTAGTCTAAATACAAATTTCGTACACCATGCTCCCTATCACACCGGTCCCCATTCTTTTTCTCAAGGGTATCTGTTGCCAGAGTTCAGCATATCAATGCACTTTTCCACGGCCTTCTGCATCGCATTTGTAGCTTCCTCCAGCAGGGTGGTCAGTGGCACCTTTCCTGCCTTCTCCTGCTGCACCTTGATATACTCATTATTCAAGACCTTATTGATGTTGATCTTAGACACGCCGCAATCGATACATTTTTGGAAGATCTCCTTTGTAAACGGATCCGCCCCGTGCAGTACCAGTCGTACCTTCTTTCCAACCGCCGCATTGATCGACTGCAATCGCTCATACTCGAGCTGGATCCCGCGCGGCCCGTACTCTCCATGTACATTGCCGAACGCCGGCGCCAGCCAGTCAATACCGGTGTCCACAAATTCCTGGCTTTCCTCTGGCGTCGTTAACAGGCCTTCCAAGTCCGCCGTATCAGCTACACCATCCTCGCCGCCCTCAATACGCCCGGGCTCGGCCTCGGTCGCGATGCCCCGCGCGTGGCAGTACGCCACCAACTCGCTAGTCAGTGCGAGATTCTCTGCCTTTTCATAATGCGACATGTCGACCATGATGCTGTCGAATCCGCCCAGGTCTGCGGCGTAGCGGATGATCTCTGGTGTCTGGGCGTGGTCCATGTGAACTGTGACGGGGACAGAGGCTTTGCGGGCCGCCTCCGCGGCCGCGTGGACGAGGATTCCGTCCGCGTAGTGCACCGCCCATGGGAAGAGGAGGATCATTGCAGGCGAACGCTTGGCCTCAGCCGCGCGAACTGTGGCCAAAATACCCTCCACATTGTAGCAGCACATTGCGGGCACGCCATAGTGGTTTTCGGCGGCATGGTCGAGGATGCGCAACGCGCGGTTTTCTGTGAGAGGCATTGTGGTACGAAGATGGAAGATGAAGGAGGGGGGGGGGGAAACTGAAGATGGAGAGACAGGATGAGGAACAATTAGATGTGGGGTTTTATTTGAATGCTTGGTTGTGCTGTTATAGGCAATTGTTGTATTGGCGGACTGTTGCGGCATGATCGCATGTTGTCCGAGCCTCTCGGAGATGGGCCGAGAGTCTCGCCATTACGTCAAGCTGACTTCTCCGCGCCGCACTCGGATTCGATGGAACAAGTGGGCGGCTTGGGACTTGGCCGAGGATAACGTGTATTATGTCTTTGCCGCTTCTGGAGAACATTTGACTTTGTGCTGAATGATTCTTGAGCAGCCTTGGCATACGTACAAGACAATGGGCATTATGCCTTTGGTGATACCCTTCCCCTTAACCATTATCTAGGACATCTGAAGGATATCTCATGTTTTTTGGCCCTAGGTAAATATTTTCTCCCTGAAATAGAAATATTCTGAGTTCCAAATACTAGGCACCTCTTAATGGAGTACTATATTACTACTATGAATGGAGAATGCAATCAATCTTAAGTTGTATCACAGAACATGAAATATGTGCACAATTGAATGGGATATCTACACTACTTAGTTGAATCCAAAGACTTTGACCACCCCGGTACTTCCTTCAACACCGAACCCTGCCCTTTTAGCCAAAAACAAGGTATTCATTGCCGCATTACCCAAATGCAAAGGGCAGTGCAAGTCTCTCGCCTTTTGCACAGCCTTCTCCAAGCGCACAATAGCCTCGTCGACTGTCTCGGTATTTTGTCCGACGCGACCCTCAATGATCTCCAACCCCTTGGTCATAAATTGTCGGCTAGAGCCCGCAGCATCACTGACAAGGGTGAAGAACTGCTTCAGATCAACGCCAAGATAGCGAGCGAAAGCGATAGCCTCAGCGGCAGCGACCAAATTGGTCACCTCCATCATATCGAGAACTAGCTGTAGAGCCTGCGCAGTCTCCTCAGGGGACTTTTTATTTGAGACCTTCATGACGGGCTCAGAGTAATACTGGCGGACCATCGAGGAGTCATCAACAGGGCCATAACCTTGCAGAAGAGCAGAAAGATACACCTGCTCAGCAGTTGAGCAGAGAGGGGTAGGGAATTGATTCTGGCGGGCGGAAGTGGTAATGATGCCCTATTGACAAGCAGTCGTTAGTATTGGAAGTCATTTTAGGATCATGCAAAATAGAGTTCAACCCACCACGTCCTTCAGAATGATCGTCAGAGCACTAGCACCGGGGTGCCAGTCCTCCTCCAGCATGCGCTGCAAGCGATTTTCGTGCATCCAGGTCCATGAACCAGAGGACTTGATTGCCTCTGCGGTTTTAGTTGCATCCAGACCTAATTGAGCAGCAAAACCCATCGCCTCACTGGCGCCCAAAATGTGTATGCCAGCCAAGACCTGGTGCACCATCTTCATGTTGCTTCCTGCACCAATTCCACCGGGCACCAGGTACAGCTTGTTCGCGTCAGACATAGCTTCAAGCAAGAACCGGCCGCTCTCGAGCGCGGCGTCTGGAGCTCCAGCCATGATAGATAAGGTACCGTCAGCGGCGCGCTTGGCACCACCAGATACAGGGCAATCAATGAATTGAATGTCGGCTCGACCTATAGACTGCAGTTCGGCCGCGACAGACTGGGCATAGGAGGCGGCAACGGTTGAGCAGAGGAGAAGGGTTGCATTTTGTGGGAGGACTGGTATTCAGGAACAGGGTGAGTAAGTGGAAGAAAAGGCAAGGACCAATTATTTGATAAAAACATTGGTTTTCAATTGCACCTACCAGAAACAATGCCTCCTTCGCCAAAAAGTACACTCTGGACCTGCGGAGCCGATGCGACCATACAAACATAGTATTGCTTTCCGCGAGCAGACTCTTGCAAAGACGAGGCTGGGATTCCACCGGCCTTCTCAAATCGCTCAATTGAAGCAGGAAAAACGTCGAATCCGTGGACAGGGTATCCTTGCTTCACAAGCTGGGTGGCCATGCCGAAGCCCATAGCTCCGAGGCCCACAAAGCCGACAGAAGGCTTAGACATTCTGGGTATATTAATTTGATAAAGAGAAAAAGGGAATCCGCAATGAGTATCAATTATTCTCGGCCAAGCTGAAGGGGAAAGCTAGAAGAAAAATAAAAGACAATGGGCGTGGGGGTTTCAGAGGGCTTTTCTGGGGAAGACCCGAGTGGGATGATCGGGCCAAGTCCGACTGCCCTGGCCGAGCTCCCCGCGCCAAGCACCCGCGCTGTCACTCCCGAGTGCGCGTCGCAGGCTTCCCATGGCTCAGTGGAGGTTGGTGAAATGTGATATAGGGTCCGTCCAAGAAAACCTCGGAACAGAGTAGTCCGGAATGGGCTCCTTCTATTAGAAGAGCAAGAGAATTGGAAATGGACATGAAATGGTATTGTTATTTGAAGTAAGCAGAGCAGGGAATAGACCTAGTCTCCCTAATCCTATAGCTTTCTACCACCTACTACAGCCTAGGCTTAAACTTCAACGTTATCGCAAATATACATACAGTGGTGAACATTACTGCATTCCATGTGTACACACATATGCTGTTTCAAATCCTAATCACATGCATGATAAGCTAAACCCAAAATAGATTCTGCGCCAATTACCCAATTCTGCTATACATCGTAATGATATCTTCATCTGGGAACTAAATGTACAGTACAAGGTCGAGAATCAGGACTAGATGGATCCATGAAAACTGAGCAAATTAGTGACCGTTGGAGAAATATTGCCCGGAGAGAATTGGCGATCGATGTGAGTGGTTGTTTGTGTTGCGAGCTCATTATGCTGCCGGCAGAGCAGGTTATAAACTGGCAAGAGACTGGCAAGTATGCACTAATTCTTTAGTTCAAGCCGTTCATCACTTGTCATACTACCCTAACACGGAGGTAAGGTTAAGGCAGAAATACTGGATTTTACTCGTGTGAAAATATAGTAATAGTCAATTGTTCCAATGTCCACCAACAATATGCAGAGTTTTAGTTCACTTTTATAATGCCTTAGAACTCCAGAACACGCCTTGACGGGCTCTTGCTTGTTATTAGGCTCCTTATCGCTACCTAATTCCATCACCCCCGTGCTAAGCGTGGTCAGAGAAGCAGAAAACGCTACCAAAAGGGCCAGTCTGTTAAATTGCATTACCGTTAGCTATCTAAGAGGTAACGCGGGAGGGGAAGTAGCATACTTGAGTATCAGAAGCTGTACAGCATATGCCGTGAGGCTGAGACGATGCCGCGTCGCAGCTTTGAGTGTCAGGGATTTCTTCTGCGAATGTGGGATCAGTAGATAACAATCTAGCAGGCATGGAACTTGTCTAACTTACTACACCCAAGACCATACACGAAAAGGTACAGGTTAGGTAGAATTTCTTTATTCGGGACCTCTTCCACAGCACAGCAGAACTGCCTGCCATAAGATGCACAGGTTCTTTTCTGCAACACCCCTGCAGATGCCACGCTTGACATAGTGCTTGTAAGAGTGAGAATAGTTAGCAGAGCTTTGTACTGCATATTGAAAAGTGATTCAAAACGTTTCACATTATTTTGTTATAATTTCGACAATACAGGATTGACGTTGTCTAAATAGTAAGTGAAGAACGAATTAAGGTTTAATTTATTCAGCTAACTAGGTCATAGACTAGACACTCTGTTCGATGCGAACGGAAATGCAATCCCCAACTCAAGATTAGGTTCACATACCTTCTGAATGTAGACCAGGCTATACTTGGCTAGACAGACAATAGCGCTTTGGTGCAAGCAGGAAGCTGAGTAGTGGTAAGGATGATGTTCCATTTCTTACGAGGAGTATGATAGTTAAGCTATGAAAGGGGATGACATAAGCATGCGTTAACACACTTGGTTGAGTTCTACCCAGCTTGCAGATTCTATTATACAAGGGGGATAGGGCTAAAAAATTCATTATTAGCATTAGATGCCAGGGCCTTTAGCAGCAAATATAATAAGACAGAACGGAGGGTAGGTCAATCCTATTTCGGAGGCCGATAGAAGTCTTCCATGCTCCGTGCATACCGACATTTAGCTGATAGCTCAAAGTTTATGGAAGTTCGAATAACAAAAATATATGTCACTTACTGCTTAAGCATGATTGCTACGTATTGATGCGGATTATCAAACAGCGAACGAGTCTGGCTTGTAGCGTGGCAAATTTTGAGCTGTGCCGTCCTCTTTCTCCGAGGGGTTAGTGTTACGAACATCGGGCGCGCAGAGAGGCTGCAGATAATTGAGGAACCAGCGAGAATCAGTCCTCCTACAGGCGCAGAGTGGTGTTCAAAGTAAAAGAGTGGTGGAGAGAGAAGGGAAGTGGACTTTTTTGGCGATTTTTCGTTGGTTTATCTGTGATCCCCTCATAGAAGATACCGATCACCCGAGAAATCCCGGATGATGCCATGGTGGGGAGGCTTTTTTTTGGGGCTCCTGATAACAAGGACGAAAGTATTTAACCATACACTGAAGTACTGCTACAAGCCCTACAATATCCACTTTTCCATGTCCAAAATAACCTCCCCCTTAACCACCGCCCACCCCCAAACAAACCACTATGGCATCGTTTGTTCACTCCTCCTAACCCAACAGCTGCATTCCTCGAAACCACTAACCAAATAGCAAGAAATATCGAGACCTGGCAACGTAAGATGATTATCTATATAATATACAGCAAGAGCAGACTTACTACATCGCAAATGGCAAAGGTAGCGTGGTGCAGTGAACGCTCTATCACTAATATCCGCAAGAACTTGCGGTTATTCGGTAGTGTCAGATCCCCTCCAGTTTCGGTCGGCCGACAACGAATAATCGCCTTTATTATGCTTGACGCCCTCTGTGACTACCTCATCGAAAAGCCTAGCCTATACGTAGAAGAGATAGCTATCTTCCTGTAGGATAAGTTCAACAATTTACTATCGTGATCTAGCGTTAAACGCGCTCTTTCGCGGGCTAGCTAGACGAAAAAGAAAGCACAGCAAAGAGCTAAAGAATAGAACCCTTAACTACGAGATTTCTACTAGCATAAGTTATCTAAATTTCGGTTATATTACTTTGTGTTTATTAATAAATCCGGATTCGATAAGAGGATTAGATATAGGTGAACTAGCTAGTTACTACTTAGCGCGACGCTAGTCTAAGTGTTAAAATTTTATCGCGGCTAACGCTTCTAGATACTGCCTGCATATACTCAAGACCGGCATTACAATGTCTCGTGTTTACAAAGGTTCAACGGATGCCACCTTCTTCGAATCGTTTAACGAGCAGCTTATTCAGCAGTATAGAAGATATTCGGAGCCAAAATCCCTGCTCGTTATAGATAACGTATTATCCTATCATTCAGATCGAATCAAGACCTTATGTGCTGACGCGGGAGTCAAGTTGCTGTACCTACCGCCGTATTCGCCGGACTTCAACCCTATTAAGGAATTCTTTGCCGAGCTGAAGGCCTATATCAAGAAAAAAAAAAACTTGGTCAGCATACGAAGAGAATCCCGACCAAGGGTTCTGTCTTCCTTCGGCGGTGCGTATATGAAGTAGGTGCGAAACAAGATAGTGCCGAAGGCCATTTCCGACATTCAGGTATTTCTATATAGAAGATGTGACTGACTGTCGTATGTAAGCCCACCGTTTCTGCGCAATACAGTCATTCCGGAAATTGGTATCACCACCGACGTTCTTCGATTCATTCCCGAACCCCAATGCCAAGACCGCCAGTCTATATCTAGGATAGTGTTGGAACATTGCGAACTCCCGAAACATAACCTATGCATCTACGGCCTGTAATATTACTCCACATTTAGTATTTGTGCAAATGCTTTAGTCAGAATATTTTACAAGGTCTACTGAGGCGATTCTACTTGAAGAACAGTGTAGGTATAATTACATCAACTCAATCAGCTGTCATTTTATGTATAGGTAGCTTGGCTTACACTCAATATTAAGGGGAGCACCGCGATTGAGCGAAGCATGCGATGAAATTTCTCTTCGGATTTTTGGATGATGCATCTTGGTTTCCCGTGGTCTTCCTTCTAGATAGCGTGGAGGTAACTAATCATCTCCTGTTAATAAACAATCCATGAATTTTTCCATATCAAATGCTTTACGTTCCTCCTCTTGCTTCAGTAATAACTGGTCGGGATGGTATGGCTCTTTTTTCATCCACGCAGACCATTTCTCAACCACCGCAATCGCATCTGTGGGCGAAGACTCGAACCATTCTTCGTGTGTCTTTAAACAGCCCTGACAATAAATAATCGCCTGGCGATGCTTCAATTCTGCATGACATAACTTCTCAACACGGCGGGCATTTGGAACGAGCGCGGCCTTGATAGCAGGTAATGGGTACAAGGGATTTGACTTTCGGTTGCAGTCAAAGACCCACTCCTCGTGACGCTTTCTGATAGAGCGCGTGGTATATCCAATTTTGACAAAACCTTTGTTTGCTTCAACTTCATAGATGTAAAGGTAGCCATTCTTCTGATCATCGACACTCAACCGTTTCATCATCTGCCTTTGTACTCCATAATATGAAGCCTTGTGATCATCAGGCCTACCACCTCTTTCGACGATGTCGAAAGCCGTCGTATCGTACTGGTCCAGCCAATATGTAACCGGATTCTTGACGGAGTAGACAGACTTAGGCAATGGCATCGAATTCTTTTCTAAGCTTGTCGAGGATTGCGTATCATTTTCTTTGGTCGAAATATTTGCCAGAAGATCTGTATTTAAAACCTGTCGTTGGGGGTCATCTGTGGTGTTGCTATGCTTTGATTGGCCGGAAACCAAGCTTGCCTTCACAAGGACATCCTCGATCCTCTCCCTCCATAGTTTCAGCTCTTTAGGTGAGCTCTGCTTTGTATGAAAATAACAAAGCCTATTTGTTGCAAGAAGTTGGATAAAATGGTTCAAATTTTTTTCGTTTAAGTAGATTTTGGCCTGAGAAATTTTCTCGATTATTTTGGTGCAATTTTGAGCCTTTTGTCCTCCAATAGATTTATTGCAGCGCTTGTTCTTCCCATTGGTTCCTATGCACTGAGTGCTAATTCGACCAAAGCAAAGTTTAATTTTTCTTTCGATTGACGTGCTATGCGTGTTCCCGTTAGGTCCGGAAGGTATGGCCTCTATCCATGAGTCCAATCGCATTTGTTTTACGTAACCGCGCCTGTGCTGATAGCAATGCACAAGGTCAACTAACTTCTCCAAGTCAAGTTGAAATTGGGGAGATGACGGATGAAGCATAACCATTGAATCGATATGGATATCAATATCGTCATGGAGCTTTTCCGCTATGAAGCGATTGCATTGCCCCTGCGCTAGTGTGAGGCCCCCACACCGCCAGTTGTCAATACCAAAGAGCTTCTTCAAGATTGATGGTTTTAGAAGAACTGCTTCATTGCTTTGATATGCCTCTGGGTTACTCAAACGAGTGACGAGGTTCGGAGAGTTGATTGGACTAGTAGTGACCGCCGACGAGAAAGCTGCAGAGGAGCAAAGTTTTTGGCCAATATCCTCATTGGTTGTATAAGTATCAGTCTTTTTTCTACACGGCGAGTTTGGAGGGCTTGGATAGGCAGCTGCTTTCCTGATGTCGGGATTATCGGAGATGAAGTTTGTTATCGCATGGAAACGTCCGTGATGATTTGCTGTCCGACATCATGACCAGAAATAAGATGCAGTAATGCAATAAGCGATTAATAAGCCACAGCCCTCGATGAAGTCTTGGTTCTTGTTAAAGCTGTAAGTCGGGAGGTTGTGAGGAGTGACAAAGACAAAGCGGACAGAACCTGGCGATATCAGATGTGATACGAGCAGACTAGTTACGGAATGAAGTAGTGATCATGTGGCTTCAATTTATGTTAATTTAGATGTTGATCGGATGAAGTTTTTTGATGTCAAATTGGAGAAGAAAGTATATCGGGCGGGGATGGTTAACTGGATGGGTGCCCGATGCGAGCCACAAGCTAGGGACAAGGTGGGGCAATGAGGTGCGAAGATTTGTGTTATATATCTTACTGATACAATACGATAACTAACTAACTAGTTACTTGTGTCAATGTAGTAGGATACGGTATCCGCTAGGAAAGCTGGGATCTAATAGAATAAGATACTCGATTTGATAATGTCTTAGATAGCTTAACTATCTATATATTGCAGTGGGGAAATGGCCAATACTGGGGAGACCTCTAATTGGAGGATATCTTTCTAGTACACAGTCTTTACAGGATAGAGCTTCGCATCTCTGATAGGGAGAGAATCAACTTTCACACTCTCTTCGCTTCATCTGCTTCTGCTTTCCCTTTTGGGAGGCTTCCTCTATCGTGGTGTGCGGTGGTTTGTTGGTCTGTTCGCCGACCTATCTTATCCTCCCTGTTTTCTCAGGCTTGCTGTAGAGCGCCCTGGTTCAATATATAGGCGGGGAAATAGCTATCATATCATGTGATTAAAGTTTGGAATAGCATCCATCTGTCCCCCGATATGGAAGGCAATAATGATCGGCACTGTAGTTTTTCTATGGCGTAAAGTCGGGATTTTTACGAGGTTCAATGTGGCACAGAAATGGTATGAAAAACGTTTGATTTATCATTCTAGCCATGCGTTCATTGCAATATTGGCTCATTCTGAAATCGAAAGCAAAGCAGGAATGACTACAGAGAGTTAGCAAGACAGACGGTCAAGGGATAAGAGATAAGCATTACTTCTCGCTCTCCTCCCCAAGTAGGGTGAAAATGGCACGATGAAGCATATCCAGCTCAAACGGGTCGGCTTCGGTGGTGGGAGCCATGGCGAGAAGAAGAGCTTCCAGTTCCTGGCGATGCTGGTAATGGGCTTCTGAAAACGGGAACGGCGTAGGAGGTCGACCTCTCCGCACATGCCAAACGAGAGAGGCCAGAAGGGGGGACAATGTTGGATATTCAGTCGCCCCAGAAGAGGTTGGGAGGGCTTCTCCGTCCAAAATTTCCGATTCTGGGGCGGAGGACAGAGACGGCCTAGAGTCATTGGGGGTGGGAAGACTACGTATCCATGCAACATAGTCTGGTGGGTGCATGAGGGACGATTCATCGGAGAGGTTGGGGCACCATCCGGAGGAATCACTATAATTCGCATGCTCCAGAGCATTCCCTGCGGGCTTGCCCGCAGCATCCGGGGCCTTGAATGGAACCGTTGAGCTAGTTGTTGCTTCGCCTGAGAATACCACCTGAGCACGCTCAGATACATGAGTATCTTGCATCTGTTCCCATGCCCCATAAGTGGTCGTTTGTCTTGGAGCTGGGGCCTTGGTGTCTTTGAAGGAACAAGCAGGACACCATTCTCCAGAAATCTCGGCGAAAGGACACTCGTCATCATCATCATTATTACTGTTCGGATCGTGATTGGGCTTGTATGCCTGATCACGGTCCATCTGAACATAAATCTTCATGATCGGTCTCTCGGCGCCCAAACCCTCAAGGACTGTGTATTTGTGAGGCAAGGCAGTCTGATCGTGCGGAAAGCAGCCCCGATGCTCATTCAGGCACTGGAAGCAGTCGACAGAGGACACTCTGACGGGAAGAAGGTCGTGGACAACTCGAATATTATCACAAGGTTGGGTAGTGCTGGTTTGGGCCCAGGCACGAATCGCATTGGTGAATTGGAAACAGCTGGTCACTGTCCAGTTGGCGATATGGCCACAGCGGGTATAGTGGTGGTAGGCATGAAGACACATGACGGGCTGGTATACGGTAGAATGAAGTGTCTGGCTTTTGGGAGGCATGGGCTTTTTAAAGTGAATTTGAATCCCCAGTCCAAGACAAGGGCAAAAATTGAGTCTGGCACTTCTTTAACGTCACTCACAAAGAGCATCACTCCGGTATCTGAGAATGTCATTCTTGTTGACAAACATGGCTCTGTCCCTAGACATCGAATAAAGAAAAGCCACGGAGAGAGATAAACTTGTGTTTCATCTTGTCTTTGGAGACAATGGCAGATAGCAGACTGAAAATTGCATTAAATTCGCTCCATCAAGTTCCATTCAAAGTCAAGGTCAAAGAAAGCGAAAGTAAAAAAAAGAAAGCGAAGTCCGGCCGATGCCCTTGAAGCTCAGAATCTATACTTATCGTATTTCAGCGCGCCATTGCTTGAACAAAAAAAGAGGAAATCCCCACCGAATTCAAGTGAGGCCCTATTTCAACATCAAGACTCGATTTCGGTCAAACATTTCACGCCAGAGTCAATCAGCCACCAAGCTGCCGTTTCATGCATCCATCGAAGAAGCGGCTTCTCCAGAGGCATGGTTTGTGTCTCATCAGACCGCCTCCACATCAAAGTTTCACTACTGAACACCCGTTCAGTCTCCGATTCATGGAAACTGATCGCCATGCGGCCGTTCACGAAGTCCATATTTTTCATCTTGATCTCAAACTCGACCTTGTTGCCGCTGCGCGCCACGACACGGTACACGCCACCAACCAAGTCCCCGGGGCGGAAGTCCAGGGACGAGATATGTGATGCCTTAAAGCTTTGCTTTTCCTCTGGGGCTCTGCTGACCAGTCGGATCATCCACGCTTGCGGAAAATGCGTGAAGGCAATCATGTTGCGGCGAACCAGTTTCGTAAAGAGCTCCTCGGCGGCGATATTCTGGGGCAGCGAGTCGCGCGATACTGCCTTGGAGGAATGGTCATACAGGGCAAAGTATTGGTCGGTGAAGATGTCTTCTGGAATGGACTCTATCTCGAGGGGCTTGGGGGACGGTGCTGATAGTTTGCCACAGTGGGACTTGTGTTGGATGCGCGACGACAGCCTTTCATGGACTGTATACAAGTAAATCGCCGTGCCGCCGGTGATGACAGCCGAGGCCGTTATTATTAAGCGTAGCATCTTGGTCGGGGATGTTGTTCTACAGGCGCAGGCACGAGAGCCGCGGATCCAGGCGCTATAAGTAGTTCCGGCAAGACGCGATGACCGCATCATCAGACCTTCATACCCTCCAACACGAGGTCTTGGCATCACGCGCTCCCTGGAATCTATCGGCGAAGATAGTCATTCAATAGGTTAATTTTGACAGATAATCTTTGTGTGAATAAATCTCAAGTCACCGGATGTGATAAATACAGAGATATGAGCATGATGTGAATTGACAAAATCTTTCTAAACATCCAGTATGCCGGTTCATAGTCAAAAAGAGAGTTGGTGAGAGAGATAACAAAACACCCAGATAAAAGCATATAACAGAATTGGTATCACTTGAACAATAAGAGAGGAAGAGGGGTGAAGAGATACAAAACAATATTTTAAATAAAAAGAGCCATCCCAAACAATCAGAAAACATGCAAACAATAAGCCAATTATTCTTTCTGCATATTAGTGGGATTCTTTCTGCGTATTCGTGGGAGCCTGGGTTCCGCTTGGCGGCGCTTGAATGCGCCCGCCCTGGAAGACCTGGATGCGACCGCTGTTATGCCAGCATGCAAGCTTCGCACCACATTTTCCGCAGAAGTGGTCGACATCTTTCAGAGACGACATCAAGTAAGGGATGCATCCGAGACAGCAGCAGAAGCAGAGGACGGCAGCCCATCCACTATAGGGACAGTTAGCAAGGGCTATTCTGGTCCGGTCGCAAGGTTTGCGGTTTGCGTAGACGGAGCAATCCCCTTCGCCTTGATGGCCGAGAAAAAAATGATCGAACTCACTGTGTGGTCATTCCTGTGACCGGCTCTGTCCGAGTCATCTCGCGACACCCGCAAGCCGGGCAATCCACAGGGCAAGGGGCCGACTGCAGGGCATGCAGAGGCGTCGCCGTAGCATATCCACTCGGGTGGCCATAGGGAGTGTAGAACGCCTGCGGTTGGAACTGTTGCTGTTGAGTTGGATCGGGAGGAAGCTGCTGGCCAGGATACGCCTTCACATCGGACAGATGCATTGGGTATTGGGAGGAATGGCCGGCTTGTGAGTAATTGGGATCTGGCTGTCCTTGGTACGCCTTCATGGGCCCGGTCGGGGGGTCATTAACCGGCATAGGTGCGTCGTACTCTTGTCGCGACTTCTCGTAGCTAGGCAACATCGTCCCTGTGGGCTCTGAGGGGCTCCTATGGGTGATTTCGGTAGGTTCGGGGTGGAGAGGCATAGGAGAGAGACGGGGATCGCGTCCCAGTAGAGGTAGATTCGAGAGGCTCAACAGGAATCAGGCCTAGAAATTTGATTGTCAGTAAGGTAGATAGCACATAGATGCTAGAACCAGTCACTTACCCTCGCTATCTTTACCAACTGCCATACTGAGGTTCTGGGTGGGAATAATGAGATGGTAAATGGATAAGGTGATAAATGGGCAAGACTTAGTGTCGACGGAGGACGATAATTAACTATTTTTCGGGCTCAAGATGGAGTGGCACTAGACTTTATTTTTCCCCAAGGGTGGAATCGATTTCAGACGAGTTATAAATAGCGAGTCTACGCCGAGAAACTGGAGCAGTCCGGAACAGCCAACTTGGATCAAGATTGTCGATGCACTGCCCTATTATGTCAAGATTGGACCCCGCGGGGATCAATCATGGCCAAGGGTGGAATGGGAGGCCCACAAAAGCCAGCCTTGTCTGGAGCATCTGAACAGCCACAAGACCATGCCAATATTTCCATATTCCTAAGCTTTTCACATCCTGAGCTTGAAATTGTATCCGGTCGGGACGGAGATGAGCATACTAATACCAGGTTCTCATGTAGCCCAAACCAAGGAGGCGATGCAAAGAACTGCGGCTCAGTCTACGCCAAGAAACGCCCCGTCGTATTACATGAGGTCACGAAGTGTATCCACTTCCCCTAAATATTTTGGTGTCGGGCGTTTTCATATTCAATCCCACGACGAAAATTGTAGGGGGAAAAAAAACCTTCTGACAGCTTTGCTACCAGGGCTAAGACTGAGCCAGTGTGCTAGGCAATCATAGTGAAATCAAAAGGAGAAGACTCGTACAAAAGGATTCAACCCTGTCGCGGCTGTTATACTTTATAGTCAGTGGGGCCTTTTCTTCTTTATGTTCCCACCAATCATCAGCTATACTGCTACGCAGCAAAATACTTTTTCATCTCCCGTGCTATCTTTTAACTTTGCCTGCCTGGAAGGGCGAGCAGGGCCACGGCAGCAAGAGAAAAACTCAAACCTAGAGCAAGACAAATCCGAGAAATTTCAGATGATCCTGCATCAGAGCTTGGGCAGGGTCCACCAGCTATGCTTCTTTTAGACAGAGCGGGATAATTGGCCCCCAAAACGGACAAGTATTCTCTGTACCATTTTTATCAGTGGTTCAAAGAGCATGTACACCGCATCTCTCCACTTCCTTCAGGTCGACCTGAATGCACTTTTGTACAAGGTCAATGCAGATCTGTCAAACACCTCTAGTATGAACCTACCTAGAGATGTTTGAAACCATCAACTTGATGGCTTGTAGCACATCCCGGTTTCGTTTGTGGAATCTAAACGCTATGATCTTATCATCTAGGCTGACTACTTGATCAGATAATATCTTGATGATACGTAATCATCCTCTGAAATTTGATATGCTAGGAAAGCGAGACATATTTTCCCTACCTGTCACCGGATCGCACGAAGCTTGCTTGCTTCCCCCTTTATCTCATCCAGGATGCCTCATAAACTCTATTCAAAATTGAGATTGAACTAGGGGACTTGAGCTCAGACCTATCTTAAAGGCATGAAAGATAGGGCTCATCGTTATCCTCAGCTAGAGGTGATTTAAAATCAACATGATAATCGATGAAGATGCTGGCAAGTGCTGATGCTTGGGTATCCTTGTGAAACTAATCCTACCAGACACAAGAACCACTCATATCAAGCTTAGTCCAAAATTTCGATCTCTAGCGATTTCAACCGCTCTTTTGCTTCTAGTCTCCAAGAAGCCGTCACTAATAATACTCTATTGTGGTTTTTTTGAACATGTCAATGGCCGCTGATTGAATTGCTGGAGAATAGCTATCTCTAATGCCGTCTGGAAACACAAAGCCTCTCTTTTATTCGATTACAAACACCATGTTCAGCAATTCAAATCAAAATAGCTCAGGGTACCAACCTAGAAAAAAGAGGTATATAGGGGCGCCAAAAACTATGTTTCAGGCAGGTATTGAAATAAGCGAAGAATTCTTGATTCTAAACTCATCTCCTTGAGCCTATTCAGCCTGCAGTAAAATTTCGTCCCTTAAGTTGGGACATGGAACACCCCTGGATCGATGAGCGATTGGTCCCCGAAGCACAAATGAAGGGCTTCGGACTTACCTAGTTTAGCCCGTTTGTCCCCGACGCTTGACCCAACTCGGAAACATTAGATGACTAATGCCCTATCTACTCCCGCCACCGAAGGAGCTGTACAGTTCCAGCTAAGACAAGTAACGGTTCAAAGATCCGGAGGAGTTAACCGGAGCTAACTCTCAACTATCCCTGATCATTGGGCTTTGTAAGCATATCATCATTATAAAAGGCCCAAGAGAGATCGCTCGTGCTACATACACCCGTCATTTTCATGTGCCAATCCATCCCATCTACCATATCAAATGCGCAGAATGGCAACCACGATCAGCTCAACAATCAAGCTAGCCAGCGGCTATGAGATTCCCCGTCTAGGCTTTGGTGTATGTGGATTCATGAAAACTTGTTGGCAGAAGCGGACTAACAGGTGTCTCCAAGGTCTATCAAACGTAACAACCCCGCCGAGCATCTTTCTCTCATGTTTGTTTCACGTCTTGAAGCCTAACTCAGTGATATTTAGCCCACCAGAAAAAACAAAGAATTGTTGTCTCGAGGCCCTTAAATGTGGCTACCGCCATGTGAGTCGCTCCGTCATGCAGCTTCCGATCCTGCTCACGCAAACCCTCTTCACGCATGTTACTGCTACATAGGCATTTGTCACTGATACCACGCGCAGATCGACTCTGCTGTAGCTTACCGCAATGAGGCTAGCTGTGGCGAAGCCATCCGGGACCCGGGTATCTCGGGTCTCTTACGAGACCAGATCTTTTTCACCTCCAAGGTCATTGACATTAGTTACGTTGGCGCGAAAACCACAGTCGACGAGACCCTCGCCAAAACCAAACTCGGCTATATCGACTTGATGCTCCTCCACAAGCCGATGGGCGGATCAGAGAATCGCAAGGGTGCCTGGAAAGCGGTAAGCAGCATGTGAACGCAAATGGTCTTGTTGCACATCGCTAACTGTTGTAGTTGGTTGAGGCTGTAGAGGCCGGGAAGGTGCGCTCGATCGGAGTCAGCAACTACGGCGTGCACCACCTCGATGAGCTAGAACAGCACATCGGCGAGCTGGAGGCCGAGCGCGGCGGGAAGGGCAAGGGAGGGATCGTGAGTATCAACCAAGTTGAACTGCACCCCTGGCTGGGCCGAAAGGACATTGTCGACTGGTGCATGACGCGGGGCATCGCGCTGGAAGCATACTGCCCTGTGGTGCGGGGAGAACGTTTTAAGGAGCCGGCGGTCCGAAAGCTAGCAGACAAGTACAGCAAGACGCCGGCGCAGATTCTCATTCGCTGGAGCTTGGACAAAGGGTTTATCCCGCTGCCAAAGAGCGTTACGCCTTCGCGCATTCGTGAAAACGGGGAGGTGTTCGATTTCCAACTCACCCCTGAGGAGGTTCAGGAGCTAGAAACAGGCGAGTATAGTCCTGTGGCTTGGGATCCGACCGTATCTAAACTGGATGATTGAATGCAATGCAACAGTCGGTGATGAGTCATGAAAATGGGACATATGGACTGTTTTTATTGAAACAACATCCCCCCTTTGATTAGTTTTGAATTGACCTCGACACTGGAATGTGCATTCTGATCCGGGAAGAATCATTTTGATTCAAGATGCGCCTTCGTAGTGACAGATTCCCAAAGCACGCTATAGATCCGCCTAGCACCTTGCCCGGGGACAGTGACCTTCTACGTAATCACATTCAACGCCTATAATAGTGTCAGGCTCCCCTCAATCTTGCTTCCGTCAACCTTCGGGGTATCACCCGGATCCTCATTTTGAGTTTGGGCGCAGATATGAAATCACGCTGATCATCTCGCTCTGCGAAGCTTACTTGATAAGGAGGAGGAAGGATGATACCCTGTCTTAGTCGACGGCCACGCCCATATGAATGAGCATTTGTCGCATCTACTTGGCACGGGAAAAGTCGCAGTTTCTGTGAACTTTAACACGACCAGAATGGGGTAGTCCCGCCGAGCAGGAACTGCGCTGCTTCAGGCCCAAACAGATTTGTCGTAAATTAGGGCTGCAAGGAATCAGCAGTGTCGGCAAGAATGGTTCGATTAGCAACAGTCAATATGAGCACGCCATGGGCAAGCCCAAATCCTAAACGAATACAACTCTCCTTCTCGAAATCCCCTGTAGAAAGGGAATGCACATCTAGAGCCTCTAGAGGAAGAAAGATTGATTGGAAAGATCTCGGAAAGATAAAGCCCCCTCCCGTCCATAAGTCCGACTATTTTTTTTATCAAAACATCCGGCCCCCGAAGTACAGGCAGAAATGCCCGCCACTAGCAACCAGCCCCGTCAGCTGTGAGATGACTATTTCAGCGGCGTGCAGGAAGGACAGGGTTGGGGCGGGGTAGCTCTAGAAGGCCGAGACCGTGGGAGGCTTATGATCTGGCGCAACCTGGGCCTTTTGCAAAACCATCTTGCACACAGGAGGATCATGAGACACAAATTCTTCATTCTTCTCTTCGGTCCCGACAGCGCGGGCATTGCCAGTCCCCGCGACCCATTCATATACTATATTAAGGGGATATTTGTGTCGTAACCCACCCCCCCACGATTATTATCTGCAAACCTCGGATCCACAGGGGCCATGGACAAAGAGAAAGACCGATTTGGCGAGGAAGACTTTAGAAAAGGTACAGTGTCGCCTGACAGTCTCAAAAGCTGGCACGTTGCGCAGGCTAAAAGAGGAATCTGCTGGACCAGGCCTTGAGGTCCTCGACAACGAAATGGGCAACGATGACTGGCTCGTTGCTTTCGCGCCCATTACGCTCATCTCAACCGGGGGGTTCCTGGCAACTAATTTCTTTCGAAATCGAGAAAGCACGGGCGACCTCGACTATCTCCTCGAGCCCCAATGGGCGCACGACAACGACGTCAAGAAACCGCTGCAGGATGCCATGACCCGGGCAGCACGGCACCTCGGATTCATCGACGGGTGGGCGAACGACGAGATGGCCTTTTTTGTACCAGATCAATTTAGGCAAGTGCTGTTCGAGAAGGCCGAAAAGCAAAATATTGTGTTGTGGGGGGGCACGAATCTACGGGTTCTGGCGGTGCCGCTGGAATGGGCCCTGGAGCGAAAGTTGCGGCGAATCCATAATAGTAAGAAGCATGCGAAGCGAGGATCGGATATTGGCGATGTACTGGCAATTCTGAAGCATGTACGGACGCAGAATAATGGCCCCCTAAACAAGGAGTATATCCGGACGCTGAATATCTGCTCCTTTGAGATGCTCCCTGACCAGGCGACCATGAATGACATTGCTGCTTTGTATCGGGACAAATTCAACGAAGAGGTTTTCGATTAATCGTGCTACACCAGGGCCTTGATCCGGTCGCTCTAGACGGTGTAGAAATGCCCGGTATCGGTTACAATATTTCTCTCCGCAAAGATCGGGTTTTCGCCCCCGGGTTCGAGGACGAGTCTGCCCGAGCCGTCGAGTAGCTCTGGCGGCAGGTCGGATATCAGTTGGATGTCGATGGCAGGGACCTTCCTGGTCCAGCCAGGTGGGGTTTCGGGAGTGAAGGGCGGAAGCGGGTCGTCGAATGTCTTACGGAAAATGTGCTTGCTTTTGTCGCGTCGCATTCCAATTCTCATCCGCCAGTTAAACGACCGCGCCAGTTCCTCCGCGATGCAGGCCAGGATGGCATACCGTACCGGGTCTCTGTCATGGGGATCCGGTATGTGATGCGCCGCCCACGACCCCCGCGATTGGTACCAAAAGTATTCCACCTCCGCGCCGATGGCGTAGAACTCGCGTGCCGCCATCGCCTCGTATATCCGGTATAGAGATCGGAGAGGGGTGTCTCTGGCACGCCACAGTGGCACAGAGCGCATATTGGTGAGGTCCGCTGTGGCCTTTCGGGACTGCAGCAGCGAAACATTATTCAGCATCACTTTGTGAGGAACGCATTCGGGCAGCTGGAAATGCCATGTCGGCAGTGGAAGGAGAAGACGAAGAAGCGCCAGGTAGGGATGCTTGTGTCGGTGGCGCAGGCGTGTGAGGGTGCCGCGAAGACGGAGAGGTGACTCAAGGTTGTAGATGAATCTCCGCAAACGCATCCACCTAGTTATTCGGGGTTTCTCTCGACTCCCAGGCGCCATCGTACGGGCTAGCGGACAAGCTCAGCTTTTGTGGTCATGACATAGCGGCCTGGCTGGGCTAGATCGGTGTTTGCTTGTTCAACAAACAACCTTCTTTGGCATTCATGCTGGCGTGAAGTGAGCTCTCCACGACGATCTGCCCGCTAACCTGATCTGGATGCCTTGGTGCCTGTCCAATATGGCGTCAATGCCAAGCTAATTGACTTGGATGGATTTAATTGGGGCAAGGGATATATCGGCTGAACCAAGAGCCTTTTGGCTTTATTTCATGACAGGGCACTTCCGGAACGTTCTGATCCAAGAACGCAGATATGATAGTATGATGATTACCTGAATCATTGAAGGCCTCGTTGTCTCTTCCGACCCAACAACTTCGTTCTTGAAGACAGAACTGTACTGCCAACTTGTACCTAATATGTCAAAACCTTCGATGCTTTGTTCCGTATGAGAAATAATTCCATGGATTAGCTTATAAGCTATTGAACTATTCTTGCCTTCAAAACTATTTCGCTACTTGTAAGGCATTAGAAGACATGCCCAACCACTCTTCATCATGAACGTTTTATAGATCACCAAAGGACAATTTTTGGGCGGAATCCATAATACTATTATGATCGAAAGTGGATTCTCGTCGTCCATTTTAATGGCATTTCAAGGAGTTTGAACCTAGCTCTACCCTTAACAGCCTTAATGCCTGTACTAGGAGGCCCAACTATGTCGCCTTATGTTGGTTTGCGCGTCGCAACACAGCTTAATTTCCGTCACCAAGAGAATGAGTCCCGCTGAGTCCATCATATTCGAGCAATATGACCGACACGATATTCTTGAAACGATTGTGTCTCATGTCTAGGACTCATGATGATTCAGGGCATATCCTATGCTATTCGATCTATAATCTTTTCACGGCCACACATTCTTCAAGCTGGGAGCCCTAGATATGTTTGGTCAGTCTAGTACCGCATTCTTCGAAAAGTTAGTCCTGCGGCTTTTGCAGCATTGTGCAAGGTGGCTGGGATCAAAAGTCGTCTTTACGGGCGATGTATCTATTCCTCATTCGGACCTGACGCGGTTATCAAATTCCTATACTTGCCACCCTATCTCCAGGTTTCAACCCCGTCAAGCATTTCTTTGCCGACCTGAAGATTCAAAACAAGAAGAGCCTAGTTCTTATAAAAGTCGGAATTTTGTTTAGGGGGTTCATGCCTTCCTTGGCTGATGCGTTCCTGATGTTGATTCAAATAGCATACGCAGTGTACAACACCTCTCGTCGAACATGGACCTTGCGGCTGAAAGGCTATCTCTATGTTACCGGACATGGAAGGAAATAACGATCGCCACGAAATTTGGTCGCAGGGTATGATTCAAGTTACTGTGAATGGTGTCTGTTTCTGATCCTAGAGATCCAGGAACGGGCAAACCCAATGTGCCCTCCCTTTCCACAAGCCCGCACGGGTTCCAAATTATTCCAAGGTTGGAGCTTGACCCAACCCGCGGTCAACCCCTCTCCAATCTACGGCCAGAAGGCCGATATCGACCCCTCTTCTGCAGCGATAGTACAGAGGAGCAGAATCTGCCAATTCAAAATGAGAAGTAACCAAAGAAGAAAGGAAGATAGCCAAGGAACACCAACCAACCAAGCCCCACACGTGGAGTTGTCCCTGATCGCCCCATGTGAAGCGGTTGGGGCCGGTGATTCGGTCATGCCGGGACACCCCATGCGCCAAGTACTTCAACAAGTAAATAAACTATACGGAGTAGAGAGTATGCCCATAAACCCCTGCAAGCCACCCAATAGGTCTTCTACATCTCCCACTAATGCTTCTTCTTCGGCGACCTCGCGACTCACAAGCGTCCCTGAGACCAGGTGCCGCGACCAAATGCCAAGATTGGGGGCTAGGATTCGTCAACCCCGATCACTAGAATATCCTTTGGGCCAGCAGGCCGCCCATCATCTCCAAGACTGTTACCGCCGGCTTCTCCTCGCGTCCCTTGCCCCATTTGAGTCTACCATGGAGCCCATTAGACTATTAGGCCCTTATACCGTGGAGATGAACGTACGAATCACAGGAGTCTCCACCGCGGTCCTGGTCTAGCAGAGACGCTACAAAGTCATGTCCAGCCATAGAATGGTGGACCCGGGACCCAGCCTGGTGATGGTGCCAAGCATTCCACACCCTCGCCAGTCTTACTTAGACCAACAGCTTGCAAGAAAGACCCTGAATGCACGGACGATTGGTTGGAAATTGGGAATTTTGTAATGCTCGTGGTTCCCCGACTCATGCATCACCCACAGCGGGCCAATTGGAGGGGAAATGGGTGGACTGGTTGGATTAGTCGGCTGGTTTAAGCAGATGAGCATCCCTCGTTCTTCCCCCCGGCGGGTGATTTGAGTAACATAGCACGAGGCTTGCTTATTTCCCTCTGGTTGTAATTCTTTTCTCCTACTCGCTTTTCAAAAGCCTCTGATCTTCCTCGTACTCGCACGGCTATCGCACGCCTTGCCTGCGAGGTTTATTTTTTGGGTTCCAGCTGATTGTTCTGGGCTTAATCAGTCTTCAAAATTTTGAAGATTGCCCGAGAGAGAGGGAGTGATCTGCTCAAAATAGGGCTGGTGATTGAGGGTTATCTCGTTGGACACTGCTGAGCGAGTGTCTCACCATGCTCATTCCAAGGTCAAAGTATGCCACCATGTTGACAAGCGTGGCATTGTTGGCCGTAACCGCGGCGGAGGACTTAACGCAGCATGTCGATGTATTGTATGTTCCTTATCTGGCATCCGGTCACCAGCGCTTAACTGACATGAACCCCCAGCATGGGTACTGAAGGTGGGGGCAACGACTTCCCCGGTGCGGTCAGGCCCTTTGGTATGGTTAAACTGGGCCCAGATCTGCTCCAGTCCGGCACCGACGCATACTCCGGATACCTGTCCAATGGCGCATTCTCCGGCTTCAGCATGATGCACGAGCAAGGCACCGGCGGAGCGCCCAAGTATGGGACGGTCTCGCAGCTGCCACTGGTGGGCACTATCGATGACCCTCTGTCGAACATCACGGTCTCGCGAGAGGGAACTGATGAGGCCTCAGTAGGGTACTACAAGGCTCACACCGGGGATGGGGTGGAGGTCGAGCTGAGTGCGTCGGCACGGGCAGGCATGTATCGTTACACCTTCCCGAACGACTCGCAGAATCACATCCTGGTCGATGTCTCGCATGTGTTGCCTTCATTCCGGGGCCAGGGTCTTGGACAGAACTATGAAGGCGGGGAATTGAAGACCTACCAGGACGGCCATTATGAGGGCCACGGCATATATAATAACGGCTGGAACGAAGCGCCGGATTGGACCATCTATTTCTGTAAGTCCAATGACTTGTTCTAGTATCCAAGAAAAGACCGAAAACTGACCGCTTTTACCCCTGTAGGTGGCTACTTTGACTCGAAGCCATCAAGCAGCAAGGCTTTTACAGCAACACGCGACGCAAAAAGCGTCGAACAGCCTGACGGTTCGGCATCGTCGACATCGGGGGCCACACGAGTGGGCGGACTGTTCACTTTCCACAAGGATGAAGTAGTGTCGCGCGTGGGTATCTCCTGGATCTCCACAGAGAAGGCCTGTAAGAACGTAAACAGCGAGATCCCGGATGGAACACGTTTTGTCTCCGTTGTTGATGAGGCGGTCTCGGAATGGAACACCAAGGTCTTGTCGAAGATCACCACGACCAACAGCAACGAAAAAAGCCTGAGCTTGTTGTACACTTCGCTATACTTCATGCATTTGATCCCCACCAATCAGACCGGGGAGAACCCCGGCTGGGAATCGTCTGAGCCCTACTATCAGGACATCTTCACATTCTGGGTAAGTGCATGGCAACATGATTCTTTGCTGCTAAGGGCAAATATCACTAATGTCCGCCGCAGGATTTATTCCGTTGCTCCACGGCTCTCATGCAGGTTCTGCAGCCTGTCGCCTACGAAGAGCAGATCCGGTCGTTGATTGATATCTGGCGGTTCGATGGCTACCTGCCTGACGCCCGGTCGTCCAACTACAACGGCCGTACGCAAGGTGGCTCCAACGCCGACAACATTCTCGCCGATGCATACGTGAAGGGCGTGCGTGGCGCCGTCGACTGGGCCGACGGCTACAAGGCTATGGTCAAGGACGCCGAAATGACCCCGGCCAACTACCCCGTCGACCACATGTCCCCGGACTCCTCGACGCATCAGGGCCGCGGCGCACTACTCGACTGGATCGAGCTCGGGTACATCACGCCGACCTATAACCGGGCCGTCACCCGAGCCGTGGAATACGCCTGCAATGACTTCGGTCTGTACCAGGTCGCCTCGGGACTGAAGAAAGACGAGGATGCGCAGAAGTACCTGAAGCGCTCGCGATACTGGCGCAACCATTGGAATTCGGATTTGACATCGCTGAGCTTTACTGGCTTTGTTGGCCCGCGCGATTCGTCGGGCGATTTCATCACCACCGATCCGCTGAACGATGCCGGGTACTGGACCGACCCCAACTACGAGGCCAATTCCTGGGCCTACTCATGGGCGGGAGTCCACGATATGAAACACCTGATCACCCTGATGGGCGGTGCGGCGACGGTGGTCAAGCGACTGGACAAGATGTTTGAGGTCGGAGTCACCGGGTCCAGCGGGACTATCTTTGACTCGACGAATGAACCGTAAGTGATGAGACCGAGATGAGAAAGCAGCCCCCTACAGGAGCTTTCTCCCATCCCCCCCTGAAACACAAGCGCTAACAGACACCGACCAGCATGTTCAACATCCCTTATCTGTACAACTATGTCGGGCGACAAGACCTATCGGTCTACCAAGCCCGCAGAGTTGCCAAGAACGACTACACGACAGGGCCGTCCGGTCTGCCTGGCAACAGCGATGCCGGCGCCATGCAGACCTGGCTGCTCTGGAACATGATCGGTCTGTACCCGATCACAGGGCAGACGACGTTCCTGATCCACTCGCCGTGGTTTGAGTCGATGACCATTGATCTGGGCGGAGGCAAGGCGCTGAAGATTACAGCCACAGGTGGCGACGGTAATGGAGATAGCAACATTTACGTGCAGAGCCTGAAAGTCAACGGCAAGGCGTGGACGAAAAATTGGCTAACTTGGGACGACATCTTTGCCCACGGTGGCACATTGGCATTTGAACTGGGGCCGAATGCGGCGGATTGGGCGACGGGCGACTTGCCGCCGAGTCCAGCATCGGACTGAGCGAGACCGTGATTCAAGGAGTCATTTCGAAGGTTGAGCAGTTGAGATTTTTATTCCTTTCTCTTCGTTGTATATAGAGGTTCGTTTGTGCCTCTTTTCCGCCCCGTATATAGATCCCCGGGTATGCATTGCGTCATGTCTTGATATTAGCGAGTCAATACCATCTTCTTAGTTTGCAACCCCAATCGATGAGTTTCATGGCATTTTTTTTTGGAATACGAATCGCCACGGTTTAAAAGATTTCAAGAATCCAGAATGGAGCCAGGGGGGCTGTGCATGGATGCAAAGTCAAGCTGCTCACCGAGCCGTTTCGTGAGAGTGTGACGATGCGCGCGGCCCGTGATCGAGTTGGTCGGGGCTGGCCAGGCACAGTACCTGGAAGCGCCCGCTCGCAAACAGGCCATGATTGGAGTCCACAGAACCCCCGATGCCAGTATAGGAGCAATGGGATCGGTTATCTGAGCAAAGGGTCCACGTTGAAACAAGTGAGCTTCGCGACGAGCTGTTCCCTGCCAACGAACGGTCCCGGAGAAATCGACCAAAACCGGATTGTCCAGACCAGCTGCTGTTGAGGGGCCCGAGCTCCCCGCATCGCCCGCAATCGTAGCTCCCGCCAATCACTCCTGCGTCGAGAGGGGGTGGTCACCCTCCTCTTCTCCCTCTCTCATTCAAGGAGAAGAAAGAGATACCATGGCATCCTCTCAAGAAGTTGTCGCTGACGGAACAGGTACGGTGCCGCCCGATGTGTCCAGTGAGCTACGGAACAGCTAGCTGGCCGATCTCCCCCCACCCGGGAACAGCTTATGGTAATTCCCATAGCCAATGCTAACCAGCTTCTCTTCACAGGTGTCATCCAACTCGATCCGTGGCTGGAACCTCATCGCGAGGTGCTGAAACAAAGATACAGCTTGGTCGAGAAATGGGCCAAAGCGATCAACGAGTCTGAAGGCGGCTTAGACAAGTTTAGCAAGGTAGGACGGGCCTCGATGGCGACCTTCCGCCTCATATTGGGATTTTGCAAAGAAATGAGACAGCTGACATGTTCCACCAGGGCTACGAGACATTTGGCCTCAATGTACAGCCTAATGGCGACATCACATATAGAGAATGGGCCCCCAATGCGGTGGAAGCGTCGCTGGTCGGCGATTTCAGTATGTTCTATCGGCGCAGAGAGCAAATTCCCTGGTGAAACACATTATTGAGACTTGCAGATAATTGGGACATCAATGCCAACCCCATGTCCAAGAACACATTTGGGGTGTGGGAGGTGATTGTCCCCGCACAGAGTGGTAGCGTGGCCATTCCCCATGACAGCAAGATCAAGGCAAGTTCCCACGGTTTCTCATGTCGCCCGAGCTTCATCCTTGCTAACAGACAGTCCATCATAGATTACAATGACTCTACCCAACGGCGAGCGGATCTACCGGATCCCAACATGGATCAAGCGAGTCGTGCAAGACCTGAGCATCTCGCCAACCTATGACGCTGTCTTCTGGAACCCGCCCGCCAACGAGCGATACAGCTTCAAGCATTCGCGCCTCAAGAAACCCGAGAGCCTGCGTATCTATGAAGCGCACGTCGGCATCTCGTCGCCCGAGACCCGAGTTGCCACGTACAAGGAGTTCACGAAGAACATGCTGCCGCGCATCAAGTACCTGGGCTACAATGCCATTCAGCTGATGGCCATCATGGAGCACGCCTACTACGCCAGCTTCGGCTATCAGGTGAACAACTTTTTCGCAGCAAGCAGCCGCTACGGGTCCCCGGAAGACTTGAAAGAACTGATTGATACTGCTCATAGCCTAGGGCTCGTGGTGCTGCTAGATGTGGTGCACAGCCATGCGTCGAAGAACGTCGAGGATGGACTCAACATGTTCGATGGCTCGGACCATCTCTACTTCCACGGGGGTGGGAAGGGTCGTCACGATTTGTGGGACAGCCGACTATTCAACTACGGCAGTCATGAGGTGCTGCGCTTCCTCCTAAGCAACCTGCGCTTTTGGATGGAGGAGTACCAGTTCGATGGGTTCCGGTTTGATGGCGTCACTAGCATGCTGTATACACACCATGGCATTGGGACGTACGTTTTGATCCTTTTATTTTCATTCTTTTTCTTTTTCTTTTTTGTACATTGCCTCCTTTGTGTCTGTAGAATCGTGCTAACTCTCACACTGCAGGGGTTTCTCCGGTGGATACCATGAATACTTCGGCCCTGCCGTCGATGAAGAAGGTGTTACCTACTTGGCCCTCGCCAACACCATGCTGCACGAACTATACCCCGAGTGCATCACTGTCGCCGAAGATGTTTCTGGCATGCCGGCCTTGTGTCTACCACACTCGCTTGGCGGAGTCGGCTTCGACTACCGACTGGCCATGGCAATCCCCGACATGTACATCAAGCTGCTGAAGGAGAAGAAGGATGACGAATGGGATATTGCCAACCTGGCATACACTCTCACGAACCGGCGCCACGGCGAAAAGACCATTGCCTATGCCGAGAGCCACGATCAAGCGTAAGCCTCTACCCCCAAAACCCCCGTTCCAAACCATGCTCACCTCGCCCCTACCAGACTCGTCGGCGACAAGACCCTCATGATGTGGCTCTGCGACAAAGAAATGTACACGCACATGTCCGTGCTCACGGATTTCACTCCGATCATCGAGCGCGGCATGGCGTTGCACAAAATGATCCGACTCGTGACACACGGCCTCGGCGGCGAAGGCTGGCTCAACTTTGAGGGCAACGAGTTCGGGCACCCGGAGTGGCTCGACTTCCCCCGCGCCGGTAACGACAACTCCTTCTGGTACGCGCGCCGGCAGCTCAACTTGACCGAGGACCACCTGCTGCGGTACCGGTTCCTGAACGACTTCGACCGGGCGATGCAGCTGACGGAGGCCAAGTACGGGTGGCTGCACAGCACGCAGGCGTACATCAGCCTGAAGAACGAGAGCGACAAGGTGCTCGTCTTCGAGCGGGCAGGCTTGCTGTGGATCTTCAATTTCCACCCCACGCAGAGCTTCTCGGATTATCGGGTCGGCGTGGATGTGGCAGGGACCTATCGGGTCGTGCTGGACACGGATGACCCAGCATTTGGCGGCTTGGGGCGGAATGTGAAGGAAACGAGGTTCTTCACGACAGATTTAGAGTGGAATGGGCGGAAGAACTTTACGCAGGTGTATATTCCAACGAGAACTGCTCTGGTAAGTTATGCTCTCCTTCTCCATTTTCCATTCTTTCCTTTTCCGGGTCTTCCTGTTTGGAGACCTTGTCCGTTCTTGATGAAACTGACTGAGTGTTTCTTGTTCTTTAGGTCCTCGCCTTGGAGGAGACACTGTAGGGACGGGGATATGACGAGATCTGGTCTGCTCTGTGATTCAACAATACACAAGACACAGCGCCGCCCCCCCCCCTTCCCCCCACCCATTTTGCATACATAGTCTGGCTTGAAACCTAGTGCAACGTTTTAATTGTTACTTTTAAGAATGGATTGACTTTCCCCTATATCATCACGGCGGCAGCCCATGTCCTGGAGTAGGAAGGAACAGCTAGCTCTACCTCAGCTAGGTGTCTTGTCTTGAAAAGCTTAGATTGCTCTGATAGAAGAAGTCCTTGGTCGCTCTCGTATATTCATCGACAATCATTGCAGGACATGGCCATAGCTGTAAGTATGAATGTATTCTTTCCAACGGACTTGACCATCGTTCTGGCAAACCAGGACGGAAAGGTTGTTTTCTATGTCTGGGCGTAACCGTATCAAGATCAGGCCCAGTCCACGAAACCCTCGAGAAGACGCCTCAGAGACACATCACATCACCTACAGTTCTTGTTTACAAGAGCTAGCTCTCTTGCTTTCCCCGAATCTCAGGCGTACTGCTTTATTTCCCTCTACTTTCATTCGGACAGTCGAATTAGGCCGTATAATTAGTCGTCTTCTTACTCTTCTTTCTACTCCTACTACCAAACTATAAGGCAATGACCAGACTACGAATACGGAGAAAGAAAGAAAAGCCTACAGTCGAGAAACAAGCAAGAAAAAAAAAATGCAACAAAAGAAAATACAATTGAGACACCAGGATATTTAGAATCGCCTCACGGGCCAGGGGTTTTCAACTCTAAATACACAATAATGAAACACAAGCCCGGCCAGGGTGCGTCTGGCCGAGCTTTTTAAATCGGGGGAACTCCACGGAGGGAAGAAGGGATCATGCAAATCTCATCAATCAAAACTCAAGCCGAGCCAGCAGCCCCGGTCGTTGTCACTCTGCTGCGCTGTCGCCATTCTTCCACGTCACCCAACGCTTTCTCGTTCAAACTCATCCTCTTCATTCCCTTCATTCCTGGCTGGTTGATCCTCAGATTCACAACGATGTTGCGAGCTGGAAAGCCCACTCTCCGCTCCACTTAACTCATATCGCCCTGATAGGAGCCTTCCTTAGCCCCATCCAGAGTGGCTCCTTGCGCCGTTTTCACAGGAAGAAGTGTCTAGAGGAAAGAACTCGAAAGGAACTAGGTACTCGAATGAGTTCCCCAACGCGCAACGCCGCAATCCGAGAACACGAGAGCCGGACTCGACAATGACAATCAAAATCCCTTTCTGGTTTTCTTTCGCTTTTAGATCGGAGTACTATACACGCAATCGAAAAGGGAGAGCAGCGTCGGAGTGGAAGACAATAGAAGACACCAGTTGCCTTCAGAGTTCAAGGGGAAAGGGGGCCCAGATCATGGGAAGAGAAAAGGGGAGACACCGACGTGACGGAGGAAGAACCACAGAGGGAAAGAGAGGGAGAAAAAAGGACAAAAAAAAAAGAAAGATTTGGGAACAGAAAAAGAGCAGCGAAAGCTTGACAAAGTTTGTTGAACAGGACCGCCGCTAGCTAGCATATCTTGACAAAAAATTACATTTAGGCCTTGCCCTCGAGCTCAGCCAGAATCTTCTCACCCTTAGCGCGGGCAGACTCGATGTCACCAACCATGTAGAAGGCGTTCTCAGGGAGGTCATCAGCCTCACCCTGGATGATAGCCTTGAAGCTGCGGATGGTGTCCTTCAGGTCGACCAGCTGGCCCTCGATACCAGTGAAAACCTGGGCGACAGCGAAGGGCTGGGACAGGAAACGCTGGAGCTTACGGGCACGCTCGACGGTCAGCTTGTCAGCCTCAGACAGCTCGTCCATACCGAGAATGGCAATGATATCCTGGAGAGACTTGTACTCCTGGAGCATCTGCTGGACGCGGGTGGCGGTGTTGTAGTGCTCATCACCGATGATACGGGGGTCGAGCATACGGGACTTGGAGTCGAGGGGATCGACAGCGGGGTAGATACCCAACTCGGAGATACCACGGGACAGCACAGTGGTGGCGTCCAAATGGGCGAAGGTGGTGGCGGGGGCAGGATCAGTCAGATCGTCAGCGGGCACGTAGACGGCCTGGACGGAAGTGATAGAACCCTTCTGGGTGGTGGTAATACGCTCCTGCATACCACCCATGTCGACAGCCAGGGTGGGCTGGTAACCGACGGCAGAGGGGATACGACCCAGCAGGGCAGACACCTCGGAACCGGCCTGGGTGAAACGGAAAATGTTGTCAATGAAGAGCAGCACATCCTGGCCCTCCTCGTCACGGAAGTACTCGGCAATGGTCAGACCGGTAAGGGCGACACGGGCACGGGCACCTGGGGGCTCGTTCATCTGGCCGAAGACCAGAGCGACCTTGGAGTCACCATCAAGCTGGATGACACCAGTCTCCTGCATCTCGTGGTACAGATCGTTACCCTCACGAGTACGCTCACCGACACCGCAGAAAACGGAGTAACCACCGTGGGCCTTGGCAATGTTGTTCTATTGGAACGAAGTAGTCAGCAAAAGCATATTCCAAGCCCATTCCTTTTCTTCGAGGCATCAAAGTAATTTTTGGAAGCTCTCAAAAAAGAAATCGGCAAGGGAAGAAGGGGAAACAACTTACAATCAGCTCCTGAATGAACACAGTCTTACCGACACCGGCACCACCGAACAGACCAATCTTACCACCACGGGCGTAGGGGGCAAGCAGATCGACGACCTTGATACCAGTGACCAGAATCTCAGCGGAGGTGGACTGGTCAACGAAAAGCGGAGGCTCGGCGTGAATAGGGTTGAACTTGGTGGCCTTGACGGGACCACGCTCATCAATGGGGTCACCAGTGACGTTGATGATACGGCCCAGAGTGCCAGCGCCGACGGGAACCTTGATGGGAGCACCGGTATCGTGGGCAATGGAGCCACGCATCAGACCCTCAGTACCTGGAAGGATGGGCGTTAGTACAGAAGACTCTGGGGCAGAAAATATATCGGGCCGACCGGGTGGGTCCGCTCTCCCTTTTCGGCAGAAAGGGGACGACACGGTGGCTCGACAGGGAAGAGATGAAGCTTACCGTCCATGGCAATAGTACGGACGACATTCTCACCCAAGTGTTGCTAGAAGACGGGCACCAGGTTAGCTATGATGACAGTTTGTGAGGTAGAGCCAATCAGAGGGCACGTACAGCAACCTCGAGAACGAGCTTCTGGCCGTTGTTCTCGGTCTCAATGGCGTTGAGAATGGCAGGGAGCTTCTCGCCGTCGAACTTGACTAGAAATTGGCGAATAGCATGTCAGAGAGCGTCCTGGAGATGGTTTTGGAGTCGATTGCGATGGTTTTGGAGATGGATTGGGACCGAGGAAAAAGATTTTCGCGTCCCCCATTCCGACCAGGGCGTCGATGAACACGTACCGTCGACGACGGCACCAATGACCTGGTGAATCTTGCCGCTCTGAGCAACATCGGAGCTGGCGAAGCGAGCAGACAGGGCCGGCAGGGCATTGGAACGGAGAGGCTGGAAGGCGCGGGCGACGGGGGTCGGCCGGGCAAAAGCAGCCCTCCCGAAGGTCCGGGCGAGACCGCTACAGTGAGAGAAAAAAAGCAGTTAGGGGAGACGAGTCCTAGAAGCAAAAAAAAACACCCCTAAAGTGAGATGAGGGCGAATGGGTGGGGGGATACGTACCTCTTGAACATGATGGAGGTGTTGAAGAGCGAGGTGGTAGGGATAAAGGGTGTGGATTGGAGGGAGGGAAAAGAGGGAAGAAGAGGAATGGGAAGAGGTTGGTGGACTCGCTGGCACGGGAACTGCGCGCCCTAGGCCTTTCCGGGGCGGTTTTGCCGATGGTCCCGTGATGAACCGACGCTCCGCGACAACACTTTGGCCGTCGACGCGGGCCATTGATACCAGAACATATATCGAAACAATGCTAGTTCAAGTTATCTACCCAGTCTCTCTGCTCTCGATTGACTCCCATCTTATGCCGTTGTGGTGGTGGTTGTGTTTTCCCCGAAGTCTCGCACTGCCCTCGTTTTCACCCGGCGGCTTGGCGCCCGGATGCAGGGCAGCCCCAGTGCAACTATAACAACACCAACAGAGCACTGAGAATCCGTCAATATACTTCATAGATGAGCTCAATCTAACCACCAGACCAACCGAACCCATATGTCATAGCCATTGACCCTATTCGCCTTTGGGTGGTGGTAGTCACGCTGTCGCGAGCAGCTCCCCAGCTCCCACGTTTCTCCCCGGTGGAAATCTCTGACGTGTAACTCGGAGCCCTCAACCGCCCATCCGTGTGGTATGAGGTACCTTGGAAAGCTCCCAACCTTTCTTCCAGCCTTCGCTAGCTCCCACCACAAAATTAGAATTTCCCCTAAGATATCACCTGAGAAGAACTATAGAACCCCCATAATGAATTTATACCAATCCCCTGAAGGTCTCTCCAGGCCATCGCGATGGGCCTCCACGGTCGCCCGGGCACGGACAGGGGGGCTCTCCGCACCAGCTCTGCAGGTTCCGAATCCCTCCGGCAGACGCACCACCCGCTACAGAACAGACACATGGACCACCCCCAAGGGCAATTACGGGCGAAAGGACTGGGAAACAAGATATGCAGAACATCTAGAAAGGACAGAACGACGCAACATATTTCTCTATGGCTACAAAAGAGATACATTGATTATAGCACAGTACGGGATACACGCATTTTGGGATGCTTGTGGAGGAGGGGGAAAAACGACAAACTCGGGTGAAGGATTTAGGAGCAGCGTCGGATGCCCTGTCATCTGTCGTATAGACAAGGGAACGACTCGCAGCATAGAAACCATAGCCCGTGACAAGCGAAACCGGGTCAGGAAAGGTGTGCGAAAGAAGATCTTAGAGCCGTCCGGCGCCGATATCTGGATCCTGTTCACCCGCGATCGGGCAATCTGCCCACTTATGACTTCTCGAGAGGGGGCTCTGGACGAAGCCCTGGCCCTCGTAGCCGGGCTTGCTGATGCCGTGGATGGGGTTCATGTTCTCGGACTACAGAGAAAGAAAAGGGTCAGCCATATACTCGGGTCGGGTCGGGATATATCAAGATCTCAGGCGGCTCTTGGGCAGCGCCAGCACTGCTGCGACAGCTGCCCAGATTTGAGACTGTGATCCAGAGAGATGGGTCAATATTACCTTGGCATATTCGTTGGAGGCCTCCTGCCATTCCTTGGACATGGTCTTGGGCATGGGCTTGGCGAAAGCGTGGATGGCGTAGAAGATGAGGAAAGAGGCGACGGTGAGCTGGGCGACCTTGAAGAAGATCTTGAGGCCTTCGCCCTTGGGGGCCTCAGCACGGGGGCCGTGAGGACCGAAGGCAATCCAATAGGCTAAAGTAGAAAAAAAAAAAAGGAAAATCCGATGTCAGTCATCCGAAAAGGGAAAGAATTGAAGGGTGTCTAAAATTTATCCTCGGATCTCACGGGGTTGCCGCAACCTTCCGTGCAATCACAAGAAAGAACATAGCAGGGACAGTACGTACCGGCCTTCTTTTCCTGGAGGGTCATCTGGTGCCAGTCGACCTTCATGCGGTCACGGAGCTGCATCCACAGCTCGGCCTGCTCCTGAGGGGGCATGCCCTCCCAACGCTTCTCGATGCTGGCGAGGGTAGGGTTGGAGATAGCGTGATCGGAGGCAGCGCGGACCTGGAAAGCGTTCAGGGAAGCCATTGGGCCGGCGCGGATGGCAGCCGGGCTGCGAGGAGCAGCGCGAGCGAGAGTGCGAAGAAACATTGTGCGGTAGGTGGGAGGTGGGGGCACCACGTCGAAAACAAGTCAATTGATGGCTGTGAGAAGAGTCCGAAACCAGCAGAGTCTGGCAGCGAGGAGGACTCGGCTGGGGAAGAGAGTGGAGGGGGAGGGTCGGGGATGGAGAAGGACTGAAGTTGTTCTTGTGGTTTGAGGTGGAAAGTCGCGAGGTTCCGGACTAGTGTTGGCCTGGGTTTGTCCGCCCGCTGATTGGACCGTGGCCACTCCCGCCCGCCAGTGAGCATCATCATCATTCTCAGCAGGATCATACGATGAACTGGGGCGAAAATCGGGCATTTAGGTTCATTTTAGCATCTCATCTCGTCAAACACAAGCAATTGTTCTTCGCCATCCCACAAAAAGGGGGCGACGAAGATAGATCTTCATCGGCAAGCGACAGCCATCTACGCTCATTGTGGACTCGGTCGCAGGCCGACAGAGCATGGCTCGTACCACCATCGTGCGAGACATCAAGAGCAAGAGAAGAGGAAAGGGCTATGAGATTGATTGCCATTATTACATTCTACATCAGCACCCAATGCCCTTGTTTTCGAGAGATTTTATCCACTTCCTGCCACAAAATCTAATTCATTCGGTCGCAAACTTTCCAACCCCGAGTCCTGCAACAGTCGTATCAAATCCACCCATGGCTTAGGAGAAAAGAACGGGAAAGGGGAGAAAAGGCGAATGAACAACGAAATCACTATTCCGTGCGAAGAAGAGAGAAACAGAGAAAACGGCCAAGTCGTAACGGTCTTTGCATTGCAACTAGGAAAAAAAAAGACAGAGAATGTTGTGCAGAGAAGGTGATGGATTGATCAAGCCGTGGCATCTCTGAGGCTGTCACCTCGATCGCGCGGCCCGGACCCAGCCGGCGCCATTTATTTAAGCCTTGCCACCGCTGGCTTCGCGGAGGACGGTCTTCCACTCAATATCGGACTTGTCATCGGCGTGGATGGAGGTGGAGATGTTGAGGGCGTTCTTCAGGACCTCACGGGTGGAGGCGTAGATCATAGACCACTGCACAAAAACACAAGAACAGACCGCATTAGCCTTCACTGGTCGGAAATTGAGCATTGCGATACTGTATGGGGACATACCAGGGTGGGGGTTTCGGAGGGGACCCAAGAGATGAAGATAATCTTGCTTCTGTAGGATCAATCAGGTCAGCGGGGCGTCTCCAACACCAAGTACGGTGGTTGGACTCAGGACGATACGCACCTCTTGCCCTCGCCACCACCGAGATCGTATTCGACATCATAGACGGCATAACGGGGCATAGGACGGCCAGCAGCGTCCTTGGACTCGGCGAGCTTCTCACGGAAGGCCTCGTAGTCCGAATCGGTGCCAACGTGATCCACCTCAACGCTCTTCTTGTCATCAGAGATCTTGTAGATGATGTACTTGGTCGCGCCTCTGCTCAAGCGGAAGTTGTTGAACTCATTGAGGCAGTTGTTGTCGACCGAGACACTGTGAGAAAGGGACCTGTCAATACGACGTCTAGAGCGGAGGAGGAGGGGGCGAAGTCCGGCTGAGGGGAGGGGGAGTCCATCGTACCCAGATGCGAGCTGCGCAACAATTCGGTTAGCAACTGAAGATCCTAGATTGGAGGGCGATGGCGAATACGTACCGACATGGTTGCTTGTGTAGGTGAGAGATGACAAGAATAGGGGGACCGGTCGACTACGCTGGGGCACACGATGTCAGTGGCTGAAGGGCCAGTTCGGAAAGGGGAGGGCGGAGGGGTGGTTCATCTCGCGATGCGATACTCCAGAAGCGCCGAAGACATCGAGCAGTAGATGAGCAGATCTGAAACTTACAAATGAACCACTGGCAGGGAGTAATTTAACAAGGAGGGAGGAGGCGGAGGGGTTGTTGTTGCCCAGGTGTTGCGATGGTGGGGGTGGCTGCACGTGATGCTCGGGACACCTCTTTGGAGGCAAACACACGTCCACAGCCCGTTTGTAGAGGCTCTTTATTGTTCAGTCTCGATGCGCTCGCTCGGAGGCTCAGCTTCGTAGGAATCGTCCATGGATCCTTAGGCACCATTCCGGATTGCTGGTAGCCTAGAGATACCATCCAGAGACCATCCCAGCATCCTTCCCCATCCGAGACCCGCAACTACACACCATCCGACTACAATTCCTGCAACGGGATGAGATTCTTGTGGCGTTCATACTGTCGACCGTACATGGGGGCCTGCAGGACATACTTGAGACATAGTGATGGGGTTTGGAGGCTCTATTAGTCTGGCGGGTGTGAGTGTTCCTGCAATCTAAATTTGGACTTTGTCCCTCAACCATGGGACCGGGCTGGTCCCGAACACGTCAGTAGGCCCCAGTGTGAAGTGTCCCCGGCTTTGGCAGGGAACTGGACCAGATTATGCCTACTGTGGATTTTTTTTTATATTCCATATATAATCACAACGAGAGGAGGGTAAGATCCTAGTTCTTGAAAAGATGGGTGAAGGTACGGAAAACTTGAGTCAGAATACTCTAATGCCAAATGTAAATTACTGCAGCCTTCGGAAAACTCTACGGAGTGCTCAGGATAAATATTTAGTGACGCAACTCGAAGAAGGAACTGATACTATGAAGCTCATTGCATTTCCCCTCATTTGCTCACTGCTGGGAAGATGGTGCGATCTATGGCTACTGGCATATTATGCCACCCATTTACTGCCATACCTCAATCCTCATTCAGGCATACTCGTTATGATTCCATGAGAGAGCTACGAGGGAAAAGAAATAGCTCATGGGAAGACCTCATAAAGCCAAAACGTCATTAATTGAGCATCTGATCCAGCCACAAGCTCGCATTCCAGGGGAGAGGGAAATATAGCAGCCTACTGCTTACGGCTTGGGGGCATATCGAGCCCGCGTCCGATCCGCAATGGCCTTCTCATTGAAGATAAAATTGACGCTCTCGTGGGCGACAGTAGCCTCCGCCCAGCGCTTGAATCGTGGTGCCTGCTGCTCCAGCAGGCCCGGCAGCTTGGTGCTCACCAAACCATGCTCGGGCTTAGCGAAGCCCAGGATACGGAGCAGGAAGGATCCAGATTGAACCTAGCCGGAGTCAGGTGAATCAGAATGCTTCGTCCAGAAACAACCGGGGAAACAGAATAAGTTTATGGGCCACGACATACCTCGGCCAAGGTGAGCTTCTCACTGCCGCCAAAGAACGGGCCCTTGCCCTCGGTCGACGCCAGCAAAGGCTCAACCTCCTTCACGACAGCAGCAACCAACTGCTCTGCGGCGGCATCGCGCTCCTCCTCCGAGACCGACCGCATGCTGGCAAAGAAGTGCGGGACAACCTTGCTAAAGAAAGCGTCCACAAAGAATGACTGGCGGGCGCGGTACAGCGCGTTCTCGGCCGGGCCCGACGGGGGTGTGAGATGCGAGGGGTGAGCATCAGCCAAGAACTGGGCAACGATGCCAGACTCGGTGATGACGTTGCCATTGTAGGAAATACTAGGGACCAGGCCACGCTAGAAAAACAAGAGAAACCGAGGTGCGTTAGTCAACGAAACCATGTTATAGTTCAGGTTAATTCCAAGCCCGCGGGGACCCGGGAAACAAGACCGAATGTTCTTCGGCGACGGACAGAGCAAGTGCTTTATGCCAGACATACCGGGTTGACTTCCAGATACCACGGCTCACGGGGTGTGTCTAGGTCAATAGTGACCTCTTCGTATTGCAAGCCGAGCTCTTTCAGCACAATGTGGGCGCGGTGTGCCCAGGGGCAGAGGCGATTGGTGTAAAGGATAATCTTAGGCGACGCCATGACGGTTGAGCGATGCAGGAATACGAGACGGGGTAGGGTAACGGCGTCAGTGAAGGAAGAGCAAAAGGCAAGAAAATCGGAAAGACGCCATTATTTATGCCATCACGGAATCCGAACGAAGGAGGGGTGGATTAGTAAAAGAATGGCGAAATCGAGGAGCTTGCCGGGGTTCCAGTTGCTAAACGCCGAGCCGGATAAGAAATGACGAGAGAAATGTGGGGGATTTTGGGTTTCGGCAGCGTGGATGCTACTCCCCACGGTAACATATCATCGAGTATAGCGTAAAGTATACTGTTTCCAGGATTACAGGAGCCAGAGAGTTGCAAGGCCAACATTTTGAATATTCGAATCTGATTATGTACATACATTAATACTTGTATATGTATCCGATATCCTCAGACCAAAACAATGCACCGGAGGACTCCACAGCACGAGTCACTCAACGGCCGGTTGCCGATGTGTACATAAGACGAAACGATATCAAGGCCAGCATTATATGTGGTCTTGCTCCGCCCGAGTCCGTAGCGCCAGCGTCCGGTTTCACAGAAATGGATGAAATCAAGGGGAGATGAAACAAAACAAAAGGGTGGTGGATAGGAAAAGATATAAGGAACGAGACGAGCATATAGTCGCCGTAAAATGGGGGGTATATCGAATACGAAAAAGAAGAAGAAAAAAAAAGAACCTGAGCACAAGCATCTCACGAGCATCAAGCATCGATCAGGGCCGAGCAACCAATGTCAAATCGTCGGGAGGGTGAAGGCAGCCAGCCTGTGAAAGAACTTGGAAAAGGAAGCACACGAGTGGACCAACTCCGCGCGAAAACTGGCGCAACGGAACAAGAAATGCTGCACACGCTGTCGTCAAGGCGTAAAAGTCGCATGAAAACAATGAAGAAACGGTATTTTCTCCAGCGCTCACATTTCGTCCTCCTCCGAAACGCCGCCATCAATGATCTTTCGCCAGTGCTGCGGAAGACAGATGCAAACCAACGGGAAGGCTTTGATCTCACCAGAGGGGGCCGGCGACAGACTTGGCCGGTGCGAGCCATTGGAGACTCCGCTATCACGCTGCTCACGATGACGAATATCATAGTCCTCAGCCCGCTCAGGGAGACGAACACCCGTGGCCCAGCCATCGTCCCAGATGCCAATTACCTTCAGCATCTCACCCCGGTCCAGCTCGAACTCATCGCCCGCCCGGGGCGAGTACGCCCACAGAGCAGCCACCGTGTCGCCAGGGCGAATGTCGTCTTGTGAGTAATAGTCACGGAAATAGGACAATTGCTCCGACTGGCCGCTCGTCACTCCCTCGGGAGAGGAATATTGACCCACGGTGCCCGAAAGCGGCGAGCTGTCGCTGTCCAGTCCAGCCAGAGCAGAGCTACTCGAGAGTGAGCCGTGACGTTTTCCTGTCACAGGAGGGATTCTGCGAGACATGGCTCCTGGGCTAGCACCCATGGCTTCTGAATCGGAGGAATCGCTATATTTAGCCCCACCGAACATAGCAGCTGATGTTCGTGAGTACGCGGGAGAGGAGCTCGGAACTTCACGCAGGGCAGACATGCGGGCGACACGGCCTCCTGGGACCATGTTGATTCTGGTCGGGCTATCTGGCTGCGCAGGTAGCTTTTCCATTGGCGGCGAAGCACCCTTTCTTTGTGGGTTGGGCTGGTTAAGTCCTGCGTCATTTTGCGATTGGCGGCGACGGCGAGTACAGATGAAAAGGAAGGCGAGAAGAGCACCCAAGATTGCAGCTCCAGCAACGGATCCGACCACAATGCCCGCAATTTGACCTCCTGACAAGCCATGACCCGTGCCTCCATTCGCGGCGGCCGCGGCCGTGGTGGTGGTAATTGGCTGTAAGGTTGTGGTAGGGGTACTGACACCCTCACACCGGCTAGTGGCATTGGAAGTGGTGCAGCATGTATCGGTCGAGTTGGAGGAGCTTGAGTCGCAGTAGGTGCAGAGACCGATAAGGTTGGATGAAAAGCCACAGTTATCCGGCTCGTTAGTGGATCCTTCCACACAGCTTCCAGTCAGCGAGTCGGCCGGTTGCGAACAAATGGTAAAGTCGGAGCGAATCTGTTGGATGTAGTTTTTGTCGGTTTCGGGGCAGAGATCCGTGTTCACCATGATCTCCTCCTCGCTGGTGGCGTAGAGTGCGCAGGTCTCGGCACATAGGGGTTCTGATTGATCGTCCGACAGGTTGCAGTCATCCTTAGAGCTTTGAATGAGGCCACTGCAGACGACACTGGTAGTATATTGGGCGTAGTAGTCATATAATGCACTTGAATTCAGGCCTTCACATCCTAATAGGTCGACATATCTGGAGGGACGCGGTCAGCTGGGTTCCTAGATTCGACGCGTGACCCGATAGCCATGACACCACTTACTTGGAAGTGACATAGGAGCCCGAGACATAATTGCTCAGGGATTGGTCGAATGAGCTCAAATTAGTGACATTTTTGAGCCATGGACTGGTTTACGACGATCAGTATGCGATGTCTCCCGTTGGGTGCTTGATGGCACGGGAGAGCAGCACTCACAAGTCAGCATATTGGCTGGAGTTGGTCGAGACCGATGAGCTACTCCAGGCAGAACAGACAGTCGACCCCGACAGGGACAGACAGGACATCTCCGGATAATGCTCCTCGGCAGTCCTGTAAGAGCTTCCCAGAAGAGCTTCCGAGGGGAATGTCGCCGCGGAATGTGTCAGATCGAACCAAGAAGTTTCCGTCAGACCCGTCGCATGTCGGTGCGAATTCCACGATTGCAATGGGTTTCAAGCCCGGGTTTGAAAACAGTCGACCGTGAGCCAATTGCAGGGTCGTCTAGCTCAAGTCGAGAAGCGAAAGGAAGAGAGAGAAAAAAAACACGCAGAGAGAAGAATTTGGGGGTGATAAAACGAATGACTCTGGTGCCCACAACAAACCGTGTGGACCCGCAGGGAAAAGGCAAGATCAATCGAGCCGTGAACGACTCCCGATCGCGTGGGAATTGAAGAAGGGAATGGATGACCAATCGAGGGTGAAGGAGGAGAGGAGAAAGGGAGAGTCGAGATGCAATGGGGTGGAAGCGATGGTCTGGGCGTACGTTTTGGGGGGGGGGCTTTGCGTGGGTACAACTCAGGTGTTCGGGGGTGGTTTGGGGGAGGAAGCAGAAAGGATTGGAGATTGGATACGGGTGACTCCTGTCAAGTCCAGGTATTGACGGGTTTCGGCGTTTTTACCACTAGCACCTGAACGGGGGATAAATAGGGGGAGGTTGGGGACGAGAGCAGGAATCACCAAGGCAGGAACAGGGGCACGACGAGACGATACCCCGTCAATACGAGAAGTCTGGAAGCACCTGAAACGAGGCTAAGACGAAGCGGGCGTAGGAGGATTTGTATGCAGTTCGAGACTATCAGTATGGGTTCGACCAGACTGCCAAGTTAACATAAACAGTTAGTACTAGACTTAACTATGGGCTGTACTATTATTAATGTTATGATGGCCTTGACCCGAGACTTCGGGAGCTCCATATGGAGCACAATTGGTACGCAGGCGCTATGCAAATGATTATTTGAAACAGATCTAATGGATTCTACGGTCCCTATAGAACCATACACTGGTCTTGTGAAGCGCTGCCCGAGCCAGTCTCAAAAGGGGGGCTGGTGTATCAAAATTGTGACCGGAGCATCGACTCAACTCGGTAACGGCGAATGGCACCCAGCGCGCAGTATGCTAAGCCGTGCCTATCTCAATGCCTTGTCTAGTCCATTCCGGGCCATGCCAGGACCCGGTGCGGTCTAGCATGCGCCGGCCCATCCACTCAGCGTGGCGCTTGAAGACCCATAGAGCCGATCGCTATCATAGCCCGTTGGCCCGCCTCGCAAAAGTTTGGGCGCCAGGGTCGATTCCTCTCTCAGGAATCACCCTCCAAAAAAAATCTGACTCCATACAGAAGTCTCTGTATTGTACGTTTCCAAACCTTGCCTGAACGCGACACCTGGATATGCAAGAAATGTGAGCTGTCGGGCTTGGGCATGAAGCATCCTGCGAGGGACACAGAGTCCTGCGGGGAGAACCCAATTCGATGCGCCAATGGCCGTTGGCCAGCACAAATAATGAACTGCGTAGGTATGGAAACAAGTTCCTGTATATGCATATGAATATTCCCGAGGACCGCAAAACCCACTGCGAGAGTGGACGTGTAGACCCTGGCTCGGGCCCCGAGTCCCAGAGACCCGAGGGTGCCCCCCGCTTTTCTGTTGGACAAGTCTGAACATTTGGGCTGCATGGTCGATCAGGTCCTGCAAGAGCCAAGAAAGAGTTTGGAGTGAGTCCGTTATTAGCAGGAGGCTAGAACCTATAGTGTTCATCGACTTAGAACTGTCGAATGAGAGAAGAATCCATGCTTTCGCCGTCCATGTCATGTGATCAACGTCATCTGATCTGACAACCAGGCTTCCACCTGCAACGACCCCATCGAAAGACTAGAAGAATATCTACACATCAACACCATCAGAGGCGCGGATAAGCTTTCATCGCGATCTCTGTTGATACACACCACCATCCAAACCTTACAGGTGATAGAGCACAACCTACCTTCTCCACCAACCCTCTCTTGCCCCCCTCTGGAGCCATGTGTAGCTCCGATATCTTCCTGGCGGTCCTCGCCGTCTTCTTTCCGCCCATTGCCGGTAAGTTCTTCATCCCTACTAAGCACTTACTTGGGATCAGCCCTTGCGATCAACACGCAGTGAGCCTGACAGTCTTCGCACGCAATAGTCTGGGTCAAGGCGGGGATCTGCACCGCAGATTCCATTATCAACATCGCCCTGTGTCTCCTGGGCTTCATTCCCGGTCTGATTCATGCCTGGTACATCATCCTCAAATATCCAGAGCCGGATTATGATGATGTTGCCTACGAGCCCATCTCCGGTGGCTCCAGCCAGCGCCGCGACCTTGAGAACGGTCGCGTGACTTACCTCTATGTCTCAAACCAGCCTCACCCGCATTCCTCCCAGCGTCCCTCATACGGTGCAGTCAACACGCACTCCCAGAACACTCCTGCCACAGAGTCAAACAATGCCCCGAAACCTTCCGGCCCCCCGCAGGAAGGTGCTGCTGCGAGTAATGGCGAGGGCCACTCCGCACCACCCACTTACGCCGAGGCTGTGAGGGGTGACCACAAGATCCAAACCCAGGATTAAATGGGAAATGACGCGCAGGCGGTGATGGCCAGCGTATTCATTGGTTTTTTCCCCTATTTGCTGCCAATATGCACTGCTCCCCTTTGGATTCATCGTAAACGCTTTGCACCTCTGGATACGAGATCATCATGACTTTGACGAAGAATATGTGTTTGTGTAATTTCTTTCCCTATTTTATCAGTTCGCCTTTTCAGGACCGGCTTCTTCGATTTCAGTTTTCTCTCTTTTTCTCCCTTTTTTTTCTTATTCGTTGCGCTTTGTGTGCAGAATTATAACCTTGTCTCAACATCTCTCCAGCGAGATGCATCTGTGTAATCCCAACACCGGCAGCCATTTTTCGATAAAGAGGTGGTACATTGGGGAATATCCAGGGTTTCATAGTATTTTCAATCAATTGTTTCAATCTGGTTCAGCTGGAGATTTTTGCTGATCAGCTGGCTTGATCAGGAAGTTGCGTAAATGTTGTGAAGAAAGGATGGGTCATTATATATATATATCGTGGACATACGTAACTTAGGCACTATACCTAAAAAGGCATAAACAAACCATTACCAAGTGCGAATAACTTAGAAAGTTTAAAGGCACCCGAAATATGGAACTCAAGAACTCTGAAGTTATCAGCAGAATACAGAGCAGATCAAAATTTATTGCTCTAAGATTAAATATATAAACGGTGCTGCTGCTAGACGGCGGCCGTCCCATCTGATAAGCGGTAGGCCGCAACCCGCCCCGAGGGAGAACCGCTTCCGTACCCGGCGGGATTTCTTTCGAGTTGCACCCCAACCGACCTTCAACAACCCCTCTTGGCCCCGAAGCCCTCATACTGGCCATGCAGTCCATGCCGTTGCTTATTCGGCAATCGCTTCGGTCTAGCATACACCTCGCGCGAACCACTGCCCGACCAGTGCAGTCACGCCGTCTCCGCCCGACACCTCCGAACGCTTTTACCGTGAACCCGGCGTCACGGAGCTTCTCAGTCTGCCTCCAATGCCAGTTCCGGCAGCACCCAGACTCCTCTTTTCCACATGATGACAAAGAAAAGCCCATCTCTGATGCAGAGAGGCTGATCAACGCGGCCAAAGAGGCCAATTCGTCCCAGGCGATCCCTCTACCAGGCCCGAGTGCGGGGAGCTCTGGTGCCGTGAACACGTCCGCGACGGATTCCGTAAAGCAGATACCTCCCAAGCTAGAGGAACAGGTCCTATCGGGCCAGATAGAGCCAGAGAAAAATACAGACCAAAGCCCGAATGCGGAGGGTGAGCAGCGCGGCGGCCTTCCCTCCTATATTGAGAGCCGCCGGTCCAAAATGTCTAAGCAGTTTAGCACGATGATGGACAATCTTCAGTCAAATGTATTTGTTGCGGGCCAACGCCTAAATGATCTGACCGGATACTCCGGCATCGAGGCTCTCAAGAATGAAATCCACACCCAAGGTGCGTGAGAACCGCTCACCCGCCGAGTACCAGAACCGGGGCTGACTATCTTATCCTTTTCTCTCCAGAAAACCGACTTCGAGCTGCCCGTGCACAAGTTCGCAAGGCCAAGGAGGATTATACGACCGCAATCAACCGTCGCTCCGCCTCCCAGCGTGAAGTCAACGATCTTCTTCAGCGCAAGCATGCGTGGTCTTCAACTGACCTCGAGCGCTTTACTCTTCTCTATCGCAACGATCATACCAACGAGGTTGCCGAGACCGAGACACAAGAGGCTCTATCGCTGGCTGAACGCGAGGCCGAAGAAGCTGCAGCGTCACTCAGCAAGTGTATTCTCTCTCGGTACCACGAAGAACAGGTCTGGTCCGACAAGATCCGCCGGATGAGTACCTGGGGTACATGGGGCCTGATGGGGATGAACGTTCTCCTCTTCTTGATCTTCCAGATCGCTGTTGAGCCCTGGCGCCGGCGCCGGCTTGTCAAGGGATTCGAGGACAAGGTAGTGGAGGCTTTGGAGAAGGAGAAAGCCCTGCACCGGACTGGCCCCGAGGGCTATGTTATGGCCTCTACTCTACCCGAAGTGATCGATTCTACCGTTGAATCATCGATCGCGTCGATCGAAACCCCTAGCAGTGATGCAGCTCCCGTGGCAGCAGAGGTGGCCGCTTCACCCGAGTCTACTTTGTCCGAAACTACCACGCTGTCGGGTTCTCCTTCTCTTGACACCCAACCTCTCCTCTCCCGACTCTCCAGCATCTCTTCCCCCCCCCTTATCCCTCGAATACTGGCAACAAGTATTGAACGAGTTCTTCAATGAGCGCACATTTGTCATCTCCCAGCGTGATCTCACCCTAGCGGCTGTGCAGAGTGCTGCAGCTGGCGCGGCCGTGATGGGCCTGTTGATTGCTCTGGTGAGGCCCCGGTAAAGGGATCCGGAATCGAAACTTGTATATTGGAAACAGAACCACGGACATCACACTTCGTGCTGTTCTCCGTTATTTGCCCATCCATCCCAGCACATACTACCCAGCGCTTCTGGTAAATGCCTGTATAGATGAAGAGATACATCTAGTTGGACTTCAATAAATCCATGTGTACTTTTAGCCCAGTCCTCTCCTGATGGCCTGTTATACAATGAAGATACCTCAACGAAATGTCCCTAAATCGAGGCCACGCTGAGAACGTGGAGCTTCTCAATGAAAAAGCAACTGATGTAGTACAAAAGAAATTTCATGACTAGGCGATACACTGGCAAATATAGAACACAAGTATGTACTCAAGGAGACCGCAGGACACACCCTGGAATCGACTGAACATCGCTAGCTCTAAGAAAGAGTCTAGAACGTCGCGAGACCGGGGACACAATAGCAGAAATGGGTGGAAAAAGAGGCTCATTTTTGTCCATATTAAAACACGGTCTCTTAATCTTGACAAGACACACGGCCGCTCTGTCTAAAAAACGGGAAAAAGAAATAACAGATCACACAAGCACATACACAGCGAAGGTTGCCCACCTCGCTCCTTCGTCTTTGCACCTCCCTCTCACAATCAACTTCGGTCTAAACAAGACATGGTTGCCCGCAGAAAGCGAGGTCTTCATTTTGATCCACACAGGAAAGGCGTCGTTTAACCGATGACAAGGGTCTCATCCTCGGGGAAGCTGTATTGGGGAACCTCGAGATTGAGAGGGGCCGGGCCCTTGCGGATACGGCCAGAGATATCGTAGTGAGAGCCGTGGCAGGGGCAGAACCAGCCGCCGAAGTCGCCGGCCTCGCCGATGGGCACACAACCCAGGTGGGTGCAGACACCGAGCATGACCAGCCACTCGGGGCGCTGCACACGATCCTCGTCGGACTGGGGGTCACGCATGGACTCCCACTTGGCCTCACGGGCCTCGTCGATCTCACCCTGGGTGCGGTGACGGATGAAGACGGGCTTGCCACGCCACTTGATAATGACCTGTTTATGCGGGAAAAAAGGCGTGTAAGTTGAGATGCTGCTAATTGGGGAGCCAGGAGAATCAGTAGGCCAGGTCACGTACGTTCTTGCCCTCAGGGATAGCGCCAAGGGCGATCTCGACCTTAGCCTGAGCCAGGACATCGGCGGAGGCGGACATGTTGACGAGGAAGTCTGCAGGGGAAAATCACATCATTAGTCTCAACCAAGGCAAACTTTACATCACCCACGCGCTTAATTTGATCCAGATTATCTGCTCCACGATCCGGTAACCAATCCTCGAGAGAGGATGAAAATGTATAAAAAAACGTACCCTGAACGGTCGCCTTAGCACCGACGGCGGAAGCCAGACCCATGGTGCCGGCCATGAAGTAGGAGAAGACCTGGTTGGAGCGAGGGGACTTGCTCGACTGGTATTTGCTGAAATTGGGGATCTTCAGGGTCGAACCACGCTCATTGGCGCTGGCGAAGGGGCTCTGGAACGAAGCCTTCGCATCGGAGACTCCCCTCCGCTGTTGGCAGGAGGTGACGGCGGCGCGGGTGGTGGGCAGCTGCTGGCGGGCGCAAGTGCGCAGCAGGGTGCTGGAAGCGGAGGAGAGCGACATCGTGATGCAATTGACCGCAGGGGAGTGTATTGACCGCAATTGCGTTGGTCGTTTGGCAGGCGGGAGGAAGAGGGAGGGAGTGGATGAAGTCGGAAGTCGAAGTTGGAGCCAGAGCTTTCGCTAGCGATCGGAATCACGGGGCCTGTCATTGGCTGAGCGGATCCCGGGTGTGACCCCATCCCTCGACCACCAACCCTCGTGTATGATGCCACACGCAAACTATGGCCTCGGGCCATCGGGTTCAATGGAGTTTACTGAGGAGTATCGAATTGAATGTCGAGTGTATCTTGAGTGTGATTTGGTATCTACTAAATGCGTTGAATTCACCATACCCCCGAGCCCGATGCGACCTGAGAGCAAACAAAAAGCACCTTTTGGCTAAGAGACAGCCCGCCAGAAATCCAAGCAACTCCAATGCAAATCGATCAGAAACGGAAAAGAACTGTTATTTTCGATCCCGGACAAATCTTCCAAATTAATCCTTCATCTCTACGTCCGTGTCTTGCCGAACCGCAGGCTCAACCGTCCGGTCCACGATCAGCGCACTTACTGGGACCACAGGCGTACGAGGGAGATTTGGTGACGATGCACTTGCTTCTGTCTGAGGGGGTGCGCTCTCAGCCGTGGCACCATTCGTATTGCCGGGGCCAGCACCGGTTCCATTGAGAGTGCGTTGACCCTTTTCCATCTCGATCTGTTTCGCTGCCTCCTTGGCCTTCTTCTCCTTGAATTGTTTGTATGTCGTAGTCTTGGGAATGACATCGGAAAGGAACTCGAGGTTATCGATGTGTGAAACTGCCGTAGCTATAATTGCATGTCAGCCAGCCCGCCGCTTGCCTGGTTTATGGCGCCGCCAACCATCACCCACCTAAATCTTTGTATTGAACAGTCTTGCGCGGCTTCCTTTCGGACTTGACCACATTGTGACCCTGCTCGGCGAGGTACTGGATGAACATTTCCTGCGCTGTGGTTAGCCGGCGTGCTAGGAAGTGTGAGGCGCGAGCTCCGTACTGTGGCCATAGCAATGACGAAGGTCGCGTTATTGGAACATTGCACAATATCATCGTCAAGCTGAATGATCTTCTTGATACGGGAGACTGGAAAGTCATTAGCCATTGCCTGTCTGATCTCGGAGAGGTCTTTACGAACTGGGAAGTGCGCTCTGCCCAGTGATCTCATCCGGTTCACCCATGGTCTTTGGGGACATATTAGGGGGTGGTATAACAGATAACCAAAGAATGAGTAGTTAAAAGGATATAGGTAGGATGAGAAGCTTTCTTTCGTGTCCAGCAGGTCCGAGGGCGCGAGTGTAAGAGTCGAGAAAGCCAAACGCGTGTGCGCGGGCGTTATCTCAGCAGGGCTCCGTTATCGATACTTGGCGCGGACATACACTTTAGACACCTCAACATCCGCCTCGTTTCACGTTGGAATTACCTGAGACAGCCGAACCCTTTCCGATCGGCCTTGATTTTCTGCGAAGAGCCCATTTGCCATTACTTAGGCCTCGTCGGACAGCTTCCCCCTCCCAGGGACGGCCTGCGATCACCTGTCGCGGCGGAAACGCATCATCGACCGAGCTCGAAGACTATGCTGATTTCACTGCTCCGGTCGATGGTATGACTTCGGCACGACTCTCTTCGGCCTCCTCCCGGTCGCCCTCAATTCTCTCGGAGCGTCGCGACCTGCGCAGACTATCTGGCCTCTCTGTTTCCTCACCCCTGGAGGCCGACCCAACATCCCATGCTCAAGACACCCAACCCCCCGCCATCACAGAAGAAATTAGCGAGATCAAACGTTACGAAGACTTCACAACAATCGACTGGGTTCAGGATGCGGTATATGAGCAAAGCGCTCGAAGGGCCAGGCGACGGACCGGCGGAGGCTTCTGGGACAAGGAAGGCGTATTTGGCTGGAGACGAAAAGTACGCGAGTCCTATGATGCCGGTCAAGCTTGGCTTGTCGTCACCCTTGTTGGCATGGCGATTGGGCTGAATTCCGCTTTGCTCAATATCATCACTGAATGGCTATCGGATATCAAACTCGGCCATTGTACAACAGCATTTTATCTGAACGAACAGTTCTGCTGTTGGGGCGCTGAGGGAGGTATGTGAAATCACGTCAAATACCTTTGAAGTGGCCTTCGTTCTGATTAGCACTAACAAATGAATTTCTCAATAGGTTGTCCCGAGTGGAAACACTGGACATCGTTCTGGATCCTGAATTACGTTGTTTATTTCTTTTTTGCGGTAAGACTTTCCTGCAGTTCCATGAAAAAGAATTCTTAACTAACGTCTGTATAGGTTCTTCTTGCTTTGATTGCAGCGATCCTAGTCAAAACTTTTGCCCCCTATGCCGCTGGATCCGGCATTTCGGAGATCAAATGCATTATCGCTGGGTTCGTGATGAAGGGGTTTCTAGGAGCCTGGACATTGCTTATCAAGTCAATCGCATTGCCATTGGCAATCGCATCTGGCCTGTCTGTGGGAAAAGAAGGACCCAGCGTCCATTTTGCAGTATGTACCGGAAACGTGATATCTCGCTTCTTTGGAAAGTACAAACAAAGTGCTTCAAAAACACGAGAGATTTTGACTGCGTCAGCAGCAGCTGGCGTGGCTGTTGCTTTCGGTAGTCCAATCGGTGGTGTACTGTTTTCGCTTGAGGTATGTCTAACACTATCTAATTTTAAGCCCAGGAAGCTGATCACGAATAGGAAATGGCCAATTACTTCCCACTTAAGACACTCTGGCGTAGCTATTTCTGTGCCCTAGTGGCGACTAGTGTGCTTGCTGTACGTTTCCATGGATATCTAACTCTAGTATGTCACTAATTCCAAACAGGCCTTGAACCCATTCAGAACTGGACAGTTGGTCATGTTTCAGGTTGAATATGATCGTACATGGCATTTCTTTGAGTTCATCTTTTTCGTGCTCCTCGGTGTTTTCGGAGGATTGTATGGCGCATTCGTCATGAAGTGGAATCTGCGGGTAGCTGCATTTCGGAAGAAATATCTTACGAAATACCCTATCGCCGAGACTGTGTTTCTTACTGCTCTTACGGCGATTCTATGCTATCCAAACATGTTTCTCAAGATCAACATGACGGAAATGATGGAGATTCTCTTCCGTGAATGTGAAGGTGGACATGATTACAACGGACTTTGCGAGTAAGAGTGTCTCACCCAAGTTTGAAACCTTTGAACACAATTCTAATCCGAATTTGCTTTTTTATAGGAGTAAGAACCGATGGTCAATGGTTTTGTCTTTATTCATTGCCACAATTATGCGCGTTGGGCTGGTGATTATTTCCTATGGATGCAAGGTGCCGGCTGGTATCTTCGTGCCATCGATGGCTATTGGTGCATCCTTCGGTCGCATGGTGGGAATCATGGTGCAGGCACTACACGAATCCTTTCCCAATTCAGCTTTCTTCGCGTCGTGCGAGCCGGATGTCCCTTGCATCACTCCCGGGACGTACGCCTTCCTAGGTGCTGGAGCGGCGCTGAGTGGAATTATGCATCTCACTATTTCAGTCACTGTGATCATGTTTGAGCTGACGGGTGCATTGACTTATATTTTACCAACCATGGTATGTTCTACGCCTGCTTGCATGCATCGATCGAACTTATCTAACAAAATATACAATAGATTGTGGTAGGCGTGACCAAAGCCGTTGGAGACCGATTTGGAAACGGAGGCATTGCGGATCGAATGATTTGGTTCAACGGGTTCCCTTTCTTGGATAACAAGGAAGACCATGTCTTCAATGTGCCAGTTTCCCATGCGATGACAACAGACCCGCTCACGCTCCCTGCTTCAGACTTCCCTGTTCGCGAAGCAGAACACCTCTTGAGCGATAACAAGTTCCAAGGTTTCCCAATTGTTGAAGATCGAAGTTCCAAAATTCTTGTCGGTTATATCGGACGTACTGAATTGCGGTACGCTATCGACCGTGCACGCAGTGAGGGACTTGTTTCACCTAGAGCACGGTGTGTCTTCACCAAAGAGGCAGCCGAGGCAACAGTTGCGCGGCGTGCATCTGGCCGACGAAGTTCTCAGGCTGCGGAGACATTTGACGAAATTCAAACTAGTGTAGGTGCTGGTGTGGTCAATTTCTCACGGTATGTCGACCACACCCCACTCACTGTGCACCCTCGTCTTCCGCTGGAGACTGTCATGGAACTCTTCAAGAAGATGGGCCCCCGGGTCATCCTTGTCGAGCACCGTGGTCGTTTGACAGGCCTGGTGACTGTGAAGGACTGCCTCAAATACCAGTTCAAGGTTGAAGCCGAGGAACATGCGCTAGCAGCAACGACCTCATCCGACTTCTCCTCTGCCCCGCTAGGTGGACACTTGAGTACTCCTGCCCCGGCGACCCTGGAAGACCGCCTATGGGGTTTCATACAGACTGTTGTCGGGTTTGTGTCTGGATTTGGACGAGCTCATCGCCCCGTCCAGCTCCGTGACCGAAGTCACACTAGGGGAGCACCGGAGTCAGAGGGAATCTTGGACGGGACAGAGGACGATGGATTTGTAGAATTAGAAGACAGAGAAAGGCGGTCTGACGGGCATTAGGATTGTACAATTTATGTTGATATAGGCCGATAGAGGTGTTTGGGGGGTACGCATCGGATGATTGCCCATGACTCTTTTCTTCTTATCTGGGCCGTTGGCCTCGAGTAGATCACCGCGTCTCAGAACTCGGGAATAACCCTAACGATTTTTCATAAAGACGACATGTCCAGCTCACTGTCTTTGCTACTTCCTTGCATTTGGGAATTCTTTTTGAGAAGCGAGTCTCGACACCGCTATAGACGCTAAATGCGAATAAGGCCAAGTTGGACAAGCTCAGACGCCACTGTAACACAGAACCTGCCCGGGAGAATGGTCGACAGGGTCCCAGCCTTAATGAAGCAATTATCTGCCAAGATAATCTGACATTGTTGTATTATCATCACCTTATATTCATCCTATATTCTAATAGACCCGAACATCATATTTATGCCCCTTCGCGCATTCCGACCAAGATACAACCGGCTCCCATCATCGCGGCGCCAAGCCACCAAAGCCCCCCGACCGATTCTTTGAACACAATCATGCCGAGTAGTGCTGTGGCCAAGAAATTGGCTGAGGTATTTGTGATAGACACTTTTGTGGTGGACGGGCCGGCAGTCAGGGCGCGGGTAAAGAGGGCCCACATGATAATATTGCACAGTACATTGAGGCCAAGACAAGCCTGGGACCGAAGTTAGTTTTGCTTTATAGATATATTCATCTGGATTTGTGCGAGGGAGGGGGAAGAGCGACGAAGAAGGAAAGCGAGGGCGTACACCGCGAACGAGGAGTTCTAAGAAAGTTGAGGACTCGAGGCCGAATAGGTGGGCTATAGATTGGGCAAAAGCTGTTGTGTGATTATCTGTTGTTCTATAGTAGTATGTCAGCTGAGGTTCAGGCGCGACCTGTTGCTATAATGATTGTTTATACAGCGGAAGCTTACAGCTTTGCGAACAGTCCGTTCAGAGCGGCGAAGGCGCCGCTTGCCAGCGCAAGGACGATCCAGGGGGACGTGGTGCTGGTGGCGGGTTGCTGTGTCGTTGTCGAAGCCATTCGGGCTATTATATGCAGTCTCCCTTAATATATAGGTGTTTCCCTGGAGCTATACAGCACCTAGATATCAAGCTTGGGGCAGAGTAGACAGAGTGGAGATCCCACGAAGGAAGGGGAAGGTTGGATGCCAAGACTGATAAGATAGTGGTTTCTGGATCTCGAAATGATAAATGACGAGATCAATCGGAACAAAAGAAATGTAAAACATAGCAGATTACTCAATAGCAGGGCAGAATACTACATGAGTAGTTGTTTTGACACTTTCTTAGCTTAGTCACTATTCAGCACCAGTAAGTAAATACAGCGTCTCCAAACTGGAGCGTCCTCATAAGTGGAAGCTGGAGTAGTTTCGGGACGTACTATAAACTACTAGAGTCTCTTATAGAAGGGATCAGATATCACCTGAAGAATAGAATTAAGACAAAGGCTTATCTGCTGAAATAATTTTTTATCTAATTTTTTATCAAAGTCTACCCCAGGATCCTTCAAGAACAAATGCCTTTGGATTAAAATCTTAGACTAGCTACATAATGCTTGCGATTGCGACCAGGTCTGATACCCTAAATAAAAAAAAATGCCTTGCGTTCTAGGCGACTTGATCTCTATAAGAAATTTCAGGGAGAGAGTCGCTGCAATCGCCATTGGACATCCTCTCCCTTGCCGTCTACGCGCACATACCGGAATCGATCGTGAAGCCGGCTGCGACGGCCCTGCCAGAACTCAACAGACTCCGGGACAAGACGCACACCACCCCAGAAAGGGGGTAGAGGGATCTGATCAACGCCTTTAAATCGCTGCTCCATCTCCTTGACCCGTCGTTCCAACAGGGCTCGTCCATCATCAATATCCGTAGCGTCAATATTGGCGAGAGCGTCTGCTCCAGTACCAAGCTCCGCTGATTCCTGTAACTTGGCCACACTCTTGCGTCGCTGATGCTCGGCCAACTGTGGTGGCTCTGCAGACCATAGCACGCGGCTCTGCCAGCTCGCCCAGCCACCAATTTGACTGCCTCGTTCACGGGTGCGCCAGTACAGCTCGCTCTCCTCACGGCTGAGGGGCTCTAGTAGGCCCTCCACCCGGACTTGCCGCTCTGTGACTGCCCAACTGAATGTCAACGCACCCCATTTATTCCCCGCGCTGGGGTCTTGTAGTGACTCGTCCCCTGGTTCGGGAATCGGCCCTAGTGTGTCGGCGCTGTCGGCTTGCTGCCCAAAGACCTGCCCGCCTTTGCCTTCCCGGCTGCCCCAATTGCTGTATACCACCCAGCCACGCTCATCGAGCTCTTTGAGATAGACTACTCGAGCACTTATACGACCCGAAGGTAGCGAGGCCGTGGCCAGTGTGCATGTCTCTGGCGCCGAGCTCGCCGACAACCGCGGGTCGCGGAACCACGAATGGAATTGATGGAGTGGGTTGGTACCGTGCATCTGAGAGACGGTGAGGGGTGGGTTGGTCACGAATTGGTGAGCACGCGCCGGGTGCGACAGAATCTGGCTTTCAGTAGCCGAATTTGGCGTGGACGTCTCGGAGCGCAGAGCATCGGCGGAATTGAGGTGAGGAGGGACTGCAGATTGTGGTTCCGGCTGCAACGGGGCATTGGATTCGTCGGAGGTTTCTGGTGCTTCGATATCTCCGGGAGCAACTGTTGGGTCATACGAATGTTAGTTCAAGATAGCTCACTCGAACTTTCCCCGCGGGGATTTCGCAATCTCTGTTGTCGCGCGCGGCACAGCTCATTTAGGTGGGGATTGAGGTACAAATTAACTTCTTTGGACGCCGTACTTGGGCGTCCGACCCGATCTCGTTCTGCGACATGTCGTGTTTGTGTGCATGCGAGGGTGTTGTGGAGGAATACGACGTTCGGAGGCGGGGTTGGCGGGACACGGCTCCGACGCCGATGTGGAGAAATGAGTCAAGGGCGACTGAAGAGGTCGACGAGAGGCGGGGGATCATTAATTAGCAGCGTGATGGAAACAGAGCACCAGGCAACTCGGATTGAAATTCGGAGGCAAAGGGGACCGGAGGGAAGGTGGGAATGTGGGCACGCGTTCTATAATCAAGTAAAGTTGCAAGCCGTGAGATCTCCAGATCGAGGATCGAACCGCGGAATCTTCCGAAACGTCATACCACGCCGAACGAACCACTCCCGCAGATGCTCGCTGCTGTTTTTCTTGCTTGACCCTTGGTCTGAAGTCACGCCAGTCTCACATCCCATGAAATTTAGTCCAGAATGGGATGCTCGCATCGTGAACCGCCTTTGGCCAGCCACTTTTCCCCTGCGGAACAAGGTTTCACGAGAAATATGAACCAGTAATCTTGCAATCTCCGACACCTCGTGTTCTGTCATTTCTGAAGATCCCGTCCATGGCACACTATAAACAGCTCACATGGCTTGTACTCTCCACATGGCGACTGAAGTACGTATGTGTTGAGTCTATTCCATATTCACCGATAGATCGCATTACCGCCTCCCATTATATAAGTGCCCAAATTGATTTCAGGTCTTTAATTCTAAAACTATAAATTGAAGTTCCATTACAATTAATAGATCAAATCTAGGGTATCCATGCGCCCTCCGTTCCATCGAGATCCATGTCTGGCATGGGAATTCCACAGAAAAGGCTATTAAACAGGGCTGTATCAATATTTTGCAGATTCCAGTCACTCTCTGCAAGTGCGAAATCTTCCATAAGCCAAGGTTGGTCAGTGTATTCCCGCGACTGATCCAAATATAATTCATCAGTGTCAGATTGGATCGAGGTCTCCAAATCGACATGCTTAGTCGTTGTCAAGGCGGACCTTGAAATGGCTCCTCGCTCGAAATTGATCGTCCCAAAATAAGGAATATCAATTTGCAGAGTTTCACCGTCATTGGTCAGCTTGCCGTCACACTGGAGATCATTCCCATCCACCTTGGAGGAGCTCGTATTGTAAATAGTTCCGTTGGCAGAATTAGCCTCAACATCAAGGAGATGAGAAAGGATACGGGTAAGCTTAGAAGCAATCGAATCGGTGCCCGAGTTGGCCATAGATTCAAGGAATCCAAAGGTGCGCTCCATCAACCCGCGGTCGCTGGGACGGCTTTGAACGAGAAGGTGGCAGACAACGCCAAACTCCGAGGCTCGTTCTGGTAATTGCCGATGTTGATTTTGGGCATTCACGTGGGCAAGACAGAGGACCACAATAGACAAAAATGCGAGATAGTCACCACCTCGACAATATAGGTGTGCCCGATCTGAGGCGCGGAAGACTATATAGCGAGAAAGAACTTCGCGACTAGCGTTTAGGGCGCTGATTTTACTGTAGTCGTGACTGGTATCAGATGAAGCTTGTAAGATGGAAGGAAGGTGTAGCCTCAATAGCAAGTGATAGTGAGCGAGTTGGTCTAGCAGGCCAGCAGTGCTCTCGACAAGCTCCGTGCCGCTGCTGTCTTGTGATGAAAAGTTTGGAATCAACCACCATTGAGGTGGCATATCCGCGGAGGCATCCAACAAAAGTTTTTCAATATCCTCGATTTTGAAGGGACTGTCCAGATCGGTGTTGTTTCGTTCCAGAATAAGCCCGGCAACAATGCAATGGGTGCGCTGCATACGATCAACCGGATGACAGGCCTTTAATGCTTTGAGATTCAAATAGCGAGCCTCCAGGGAGCTTTGAGGTAGACCTAGCATAAGAGAGAGATAGCGGTCCATTTCGACCAGACGAAAGCACATATGATCCGGGTCGAGGGTCGCTCGCATTTCAGCCGTAAGAATTTTGAGAGATGGCGAGCTGAGACCTCGATGAAGTGCCATCATTTGTGCCAGAGCCACAGCCCGGTGGACTGCCATCCACGCATGATGAAGATTCCCAGCATAATTGTGATACATGGCCTCGATCATAATGCACTCAATGCCTTCGACTGAGGCGACAAGGCTGTCATTTGAAGTCACAAGCTTAGTGGCCCTATCCATGGCCCGGTCCATGATTTCGCGATAATAGTTGCTTCTGCCATCAAATTCTTGGAATGAAGACCCAAGAGCACCCTGCAGGAATGTAGCAAGCATCATCAGTTTTCGCGCGATCAGTACTGGATGGGAGCCCATTGGAGGTAACTGCAGCATCTCCTGAGGGGATAGTGAGTTGTGGTCCTGTAATCTAGAATGAGGAGTGCATATGTCACGGTGTAGATGGGTCGAAATGCCGACATGGAGTTTCCCAATGAGATTGATATCATCTTGACTGGGCCATGCAGCGATGAGATGGCGCACCAATTCCTCATATTTACTTGTAACGCACTTATGTGAGAGTTGGTCGCATGCTTCTGCACCACTGGGCGGACTATCAACTTGACTCTGGGATGTCTCCTTCCATAATGCTGCTTCGGGAAGAGGTTCTTCATGCGATATATCCCTAGCATGCAGGGGAAAAGGGTCCAAGGAAGGATTGGTGTTCTGAATCAGCAGCTCCAGGAGTTCCTCAACTCGGCGGAGCCTCGCCTCGGTTTGGTTATTGTTGATGGGGAGTGTGGGCTTGTCTGGATATTCCTGGCTGATACATGTAGTGCCACGTCTTGTACAATTGTCGCAAAGTTTATTAGAGGGCGAGGAGACGATGCAGCGAACCTTCCGGCGTTTGCACTCCCAGCAGCTCTGAGTACCTTTCCGCACTTTTCTCCGCTTGGCCATGCCTCTGTCTCCTGGTAGGATCGATTCGGCCATATCCAAAAGCCACCAAGATATGATTTATATTCACCAGTGAGTTATCAATGGGGGCCTTACATCATCGTGGTAAATTTGCGGAGAAAGCGAGTCATCTCGGTTCAAGGACAATGACAGTGCTGACTCCTTTGCCCGAGTTCGGCGGACCAAAGCCGAAAGGGTCACAAGTTGCGCACTAAGACTCGGCGATTGGGTTACTTCGCTATGAAGTTGGAATTCGTGCTCAATTTAAAACCACAATAGGTCTGCTTGTCAAGATCTTGTTCGTTTACTTTACATGGTAACATTTCAAGAAATAAACGAGCAATTTGACAAACAGGTACAGTTATGATTTCCAGAGTTCTTGATCTAAGGTTTACCCTGCCATGCCTCCGCCAAGAAGTCCTCAGCTTGGGTGAACTTGTAGTCTGGCAGCAGCTGGTTCCATTCATCTGAAACAACGAAATCTTTGGCTGAAATACCAAGCACAAGACCAGAGACAATGACTCTCGACATCATGTCAAGCTGACCGGATGGAATAGAGGGGTGCTCAACCTTAGGAAGCCACGAAGTCTTCCATTCTCCACTCAGAAGATCATTCTTCTTCAGCCTCTCAATTTTGAAGGGAGTACCACCTGGTTCGGGAAATTTTAGCATCGTTTAGACTATATTGAGCGATCGACATACCGCGGACGCTCTCAGCAAGTCTAGCGAACTGCCCCATGCTGATGTCTGTGCCCTTGATGCCACCAACGACAGGCCACTCGCCTTCAAAATCAATCGCGCGGGCAACTACATTGGCGAGATCCTGAACCGTAGTGAGAGTGATAATGTGATCATCACTGCCATCCATTACGATGAACCGGCGATTATAGAGGTCCCATGGAGTATCTATCTGCTGAAGGTGCTTGGATGACTTGTGAGGCCGAGTCAAATAGTTCATCATAAAACCAGGCTGGAAAAGTGTGTACTCAAGCACCTATTCGATCAGGATTGTGTGAGATTGTTTTGATAATTGTGATGTCTTTTTAGAAAGACTTACTTTCTTGTCCTTATTCAACTCCTCGAGATACCTGCGAGTTTCTCCCTTATAAGCGTACCAGCTCAAGTGCTCCAGATTGGACCTATAAAGGGTGAGAGATTGAAGGTATGCTTGTATCTAGGGCAACTAACGAGCCCCATTCGCTTGGTGCAAAGCGTTTTACGCCTGCTTGAACTGCTGCATCGATAAGGTTTTTCTGCACTGGACTCAAAGGATCTTCCTGCAGGATTGTGAATGACAGCAAAGTGTGCACTCCCTGTAAAACTTGGGCCAGCTGCTTTGGATCGTTATAGTCAACCTTGACCCATCTCACTCGGTTCAAAACATCCTCAGATGGGGCATCCTTTGAGAAACGGTCAACTTGGCTACCCAAAAATCGCGATTGAGAAGCAAGCAAGCAGTATACCTTTCGCGATAGAAGTAAGATTTCGTGTTTCTGGGTAGCAATAAGTGCATCGATGATTTCCTGCCCAATATCTGCGAAGGAATCAACAATTTGCGAATTACTTTCTCAAAGGTAAAACTTACTTCCAGAGCCACCCGCAACCGCGATTTTGACCATTTTGATAGAAATAAAGTGAATGTTTGATAATAAGCAAAGATACTATTGTTAATGCTTAAGCTTTTGATGCTGCTCGAATGAACCTCCAAGAGTTGAACATGATGCTCCCTATATAGTGCCTTGCGCCGAGAATTCGGCCGACGGTTCTGCCCCCACACCCAGCCAGTTTCCACCGAGCTTGGGGGTTATACCAAATGCCACGAAAAATCTCATAATGACGAGTGCTGCTTATAAATTTATCATGCGATTGAATGTCTCGTTTGGCTCGGATTTCAGAGGGGAACTTGGGACAGGGCGTTGGTTGAATAAGCAGACCCAACGCCGCGCATTTTGGTTTCTCAGGCTCTCTAGACCTCATCAGGCAACTATTCCAAGGCCGATAATCAATTTAAAGAAACACCATGATAATTTATCAGCAGTATTATCTCAGATGAAGGCATCTTTCCTTACACAATCTCATAGATTAAAGGTGAAAATGTGTACACAAGAATAGCATCAATCCACTTTCCTTAAAGCGAACCAGAAGATGTGGTGTTTTCAAATTAGTATACGACCTCACTCGCGAATTATAGCCAATACAGTGGAATGAAATCAGATCTCATCCTACTAAATTAAGATCCTAGCTACGGTGTCGTCATGCCAAAGAGGCGGGGAAGTAATAGTATTCCGTACAGAGAATTCACGACATTGACCCGTGTTGCCAACACGGTTGTAAAGGACCTTTCCCACCATTTATTCCGAAAGTAAACTAGTAACGCCGGTTCCATGGATTTGGTATCTAGTGGAAAAGTGATCTCTTAGACAAAAGCCAGTGCTAACTCCAGAGGCTGTGACTTACTTCTTAGAAGCGGTACTTGGAAAAGAGCCTATCGACTGGCCGATCGGGAGCGCTGAAAGGCTTAGAAGACCGAAAGGTCAGGATTTTACTGGTCCCTAACAAGGACCTCTGTGATTGTTGATTTTCGATACCAGGAGAAGGATGGGGGGTTGAGCTCTTGAAGCACTTATCCGAGTTGGATGCTCGTTTGGGAGGCGAAGGTGGAAACGCAAGATGCATCGTGAGTGAATATTCGTAGAGCGGAGAAGTGAAGCATGAAGATAAACCTAAAGGGCCATTTCGGGTGACTTTAGTCATGGTATTTAAAGATGTCTTTCTGAAGATCAATCATGTAGCGCGGATGCATGTCAAGTGAGGGGGGCCAATGAAGAACTGTTCTGGCTTATCACCCGAGTGCGCCCTTTATCAGAAGCTCGCTGGCTCCTGCCGTTCCTCAAGCACCCCCGATGAGTCCGAGACTCTTTATCAAGTCTGTCACTTGCTAAGACCCGCATTTCAGGAGACAAGTTGGTTTACAATCAGCCTCGAAGCTAATTGGAATATAAATTGAGGAACTTATTGAATAGAGCGCCATATCAAAGTATGCAAGTCAACTGGCAGGATCCAATCTGCGACATTTGATCAAAAGAAATGGCGGGTCTATGCTGTGATGTCCTTTGATTAAAAACCAGCCTTTTTAAAGAACACTTACCAAGGCCAAATCAACCTATCTACCTCGAAGGTACCTTATATCTATTGCCCTCGTATATATCTATCATTTCACGCCCTCAGTAGATGGCCATCTGTGCTAGAATTTCTGCAGCTACTATTGACAATCGTTTTATTGCAACTAATTGAGCGTGTTCTCCTACATGCCTTTGTATATGTCAAAACATAGATCCCCCCACATCAGTTGGCGTTGAATGGGAGTCATGGTAGATTTCTTCCTATGGGCCGTTTAGAAGGTAAAGATAAGACGAAGAAGGCAGTTGATGATTTTCTTTTCATTAGTAATAGAATCCTTAGTCGCCTTCAGGCCATGACGAGACAAATTTTATCTCAAAAATTCGCTTGAGAGATGCGCATTAATCTTACCTATATAAAAATCATTTTTCATTAGGGCTTTGTAAAAACAGACTGGGGAAATTATTAATCGATCAACTTCGAAGCCTCAGGTGTCTTGTCTCGTCACCCTGATTCCAAAGTTTCCAGTCCTCTTTACTTATTTGTAAAGCTATATCCAGACCATTAGACCCTACTATAGAATATATCTCCTGGCACAACATGAACATGTCGTTTTCTCGAGAGGCGATATAGCATTTTGAGGCTTGAGACACTCCAAACAGGACGGCGTGCGCCGAAGACATCCGGTTTTGGGGCTGCATGCAGTATCCCACAGAACGACAGATTTCGCCGGCATAAAAGAGCATGGGTTGAGAATCTGTGTGCTGGTCCATGAGCTTTTCCGTTTCGTAAATTGTACGATGTATAACTGCCAGAGCCAACCAGTAGAGCAGATATATTTTGGCCGTCTCTAGGCTTTTGAAATCGTATGATTGCAACCTTCTAGACTTGAGTACAGTCTTGCTCATATTGAAATTAGAAGGCTTGCCATCAAGATTCTGAGCTGCTTCATTCATCCAGTCAACCCGAACTCTCCTCTCAAGCCTGTGACAATGACTCAGAATGGGTTCGCGTATCTCTCTTGATATGGCATGTGGAAGACCCTTGATCTTGGCTAGATCTGCTCTGAAGTCGATTATTTCTGCAATGAATGCAAATAACTCATCTATGGGTGTATCTTCTTGTCGTATTCGAAGACAAGTCCAATCTAGACCCCATATCTCATGTGTATTCAATATGAAGAATGACTTCCGTCAAATTAGTACTGGAGTCATCGGAAGATGGGAATTTCCTTACTGTGGCCCATTTCTGACGAACAGATAATGCCTTCCCTAGTCTCTCATTTCTCAATACGTCTAGACTATGATGTTTCATCAGTGCAGTGCCTCCTCTTATATGGTTGAAGCAATTTTGCAGTGAGTCATCGCTATTGTGGATTGTCTGTCCAATATGTTAACAATACAATATCAACAATGCCAGGACTTCGAGATCTTATCTCACCTCATATGTATGGAACACGATGGATGTAAAGAGTAGCATGGAAACCGGTGGATTCCTTTGTTGCATTGTGCGCCTCATGGCTTTCAATGCAGTGATATATATTTCCATGCCATGTCTGGTTAAGCATGCATGGTCCATTCTCTTTCCCAGATATACAGCTGCCAATGCGATGACGGCTCTCTCGAATAGTTCTGATTCGGATGCTAGGTGGGGAAATTGTGCCATCAAAAGATACCAACTATCATCATTGGTGTTGACATGCACATTAGGAGCAAAAAACCTTTCCATGAAGGCGGAAAATAGTTGCGTCCGTGCCTCGACACTCGTATTGAGCGTCACCGGCAATGTAGAAGGCTTAGCTTGAGCTTCATGTTCGGAGTTGGTCCATTGAAGCGGACCATAGTCTTGTCCTGTGTGTCGATAAGATCCTGGTCGGAGGATAAGATGCCAATTGTTGCCTCGGCCCAGACAAGGAAGCCCATGCTTCAGACAACTCACAATGTTCGGAGGTCCGAAATCGCACTGGAAGCTGTGTCACTAACAGTTCTGAAAGCCAAGTCATCCTGTAGGGTACAAATTACCTCATTCTTGCACCCTATGGATTTTGCGGTGGATTTTGCGGGGATTGGGCAGGAAGAGGGCTGGCCACTCATCCTTTCAACAGAGCCAGGGTCCAGTTTTGTAACCCTAGGGTGGGCTTCCCCCATCTGAACTCTGAACTCTGAATTCAGGCGGTGTCGGGTTCCAAGTTTCCATTGAACTATTGATTGTTTGATTAGTTTGCTTGTCTTCGCGCGCGGATATTGTTTCCTTGCGTTAGCGCATTAGCCCGGTTGCCCTATTGGAAGAATTTGGACTCCAAACCGGTTGTCTACCACTTCCCCACCTCCCCCGCCCTCCCGTGGCTCTGTTAAGTCCTCGACTGTATCTCTGGTCAGCCCAGAACAAATCTTGAACTTCCCGGTACACTTACGCAGCGTCAGTGGTGGTGGTGGTGGTGGTGGTTGATTTATTGATTCGACCTATCTTTCTATCTCCTCAGACCCAGTGGCGAGCTTTTCTAGTTTCACTATACAATTCCGGTTACATGAGCTCGGCAAACAGTATTTTCTTTGGTTATCACATCTGATAGACGAATAGTGTGACAGCCCGTCGTTCCAATGGTCCCACGAACGGTTGCCAAATGGCCGAAATCCTGAAAAAATGGTCGAGAGGAAAGATGCCCGCTAATTTATTTAGTCTATACAGATAATCCGGGCTGTGACAAAGGACTGGCTAATCTCTCCGTGGCGTGGCGCGTATCCAGGCTTTTTGTTTCTAGCGAGCCCAGCAGCGCCAAATCTCAGAATTCTTACTTTTGATTCGATCAATTTATCATCTCCTGGAACTTATGCAAGGCAATAGCGGTTACATCATCAGTCATGAAGATTTTCTTCTAAATTCTCGATGCTGCTATGATGTTTATTGCTATGGTAGTGATGAACGGCTGCCATTCGTCAGCTATTCTGCAGAGGAATAATTACATCACTTCTTGTTCAACGTTCATCTCAATGAAGGACACGATGAAAGAGGCTGTCTAGGAATTTTGAAATTAGGACGACAAAACATGAGACAAATGACGGCAAAAGTAAAGTACATGGTAATTTTGGATAGACCGGCTATACTTTATGAAGATTGATTAGGTCCCAGATCGATTATCAGATCGATTAGAAAAAATAACGCTTTGATTATTGAATTCTAGCTATCGACTAGATGCTCCACTATGAAGTGCTTATTTTTGGATCTGGAGATTGATACAAGATACTTGGAGCTAATATTATATTACCTACTCTGTTTCCCTAATGTCAATACCGATAAATGAGAGAAAAGGCTTCGATCATAGCAGCAGGAATCCCATACTATAGCTCATATTTAGGAGAGGCGCTGGTATCAAAATCCGGTGTCTTCTTCTTGGCCATCGCCGCCAAAATATCGATGATCAAATCTGCCGCTGCAACTGAGGTCATCTCCGCCGTCGAGTCATAGGGAGGACTGACTTCTACAACATCTGCGCCGACCAAATTCAGGCCCTCCAGGCCCTTAATGTATCGCTTCAGCTCCCGCGTAGTCCAGCCACCTGATTCGGGGGTTCCTGTAGCGGGGGCGATGCTTGGATCAAGTACTACTGATATGTCAGTGGCCGTGTCTCGACAATTCCAAAGAGAAATAACAGACCGTCAATATCGATTGATAAGTAAACTGGATTTTTCCCGACGACATCCAGAGTCCTTTGGATGATCCCGTTCACCCCAATATCATCAATCTCGCGGGCCTCGATCCGGTGAAAGCCAACAACGTCACTGTCAATCTCATAGTCTTTCAGCCCAAACAACTTGGTTCGAAGGCCGCCATGCACACTGGCTCCCTTGTGAATGCATCCTTCTCGGCTCGCATGCCAAAAGAATGTACCATGGGTGATTGCAGACTGCTCGGATGCAATGCCCGTGTACCCTTCATATGGGTCCCAGGTGTCCAGATGCGAATCCAAGTGAATCACCGAGATCGGCCCATAGACGGTTTTCAGAGACCGCAAGATCGGCAAGACAATCGAGTGATCGCCACCCAAGCTGATGATCCGCGGATGGGTCCAAGTGTTGTGCGCGGTTTTGGAGGTATTGGTTGAATGGTATAGAACCTGCCGATATCCCTGTTCCATTTGCTTGAACGCATGAGCAGCGTCAAACGGGGTGATGGGGATGTCTCCACAATCTACAATGCTGAGGCCTTCCTCGAATGGGTCCACACCCCAGACGGTGTTATAGCTGCGGCCTTTCTTCTCACGGGAAGAACCGGCGCGGATGCCGCGGGGGCCGAAGCGAGCACCGGGGCGATAGGAGGTACTTGTGTCATAGGGGAATCCGAGAATGGCAATATCGAGAGGCTATGATGTGGCAGTTGGTGAGACCAAAGACCAGAATTTGGGCTCCATAGGAGAGATATGAAAGCAAAGGGCTGCGTACTTGTTCATGATTGGCCGCTAGACAGCGTTGCCATTCGAGATGGGCGAAGGTCACGGGCTGAGAGAAGGGAAGGTCCTTGTCAAGATCTGGTATGCTTGCCCGTTTAGTCTCATAATTCGGAGCACCTGGATGAGTGCAGGAAATGTGCAGGAGTACAGGAGAACATCGCGAGGTCCTTGCATGTACCAGGAGTATACATACCCTCGATTGGATGTTGATAGCCTTGTCCCACGTTGATCCCCCAGACCGCCTCTAACAAGGAGACGAGTACCACCGACGATACCTTCATTTTTTTCGCTTTTATTTTGATCAAAGCAGTCCCAATCTACTAAATACTTTTCTTTCTCATTCATTCTTTCATATGCATTTATACTTGAGGGGGGTGCTGCCATCCCCTCACGATCACATCGCGGGCTCGCTGGCGCTTGCCTGGCGATCGATATCGATAACCTTCGCCCCACTCGGATTCAATATTTGACCCGCCGGTTCAGAAGTGGAATATTGGACGCCCCACCGACTCGACGGGGCGGCTATGGAGTCATGCCTGAAATGGGTACTTGCGAGCGAAGGCAGATCACCTGCATTTGTGGCGCCTGTTGAAATAATCATTTGGTCCGGGGTAGACCAAAGTGGTATCTCGGTGCGATTCCCGCTGCCACGCAGACGTGCCTAACCGAATGCAGGGCTGTCAGTGCGAGCCCCAGTCGGTCTGTGAACAATAACGCCTGTAGATATTGCATCTAATTATCTATTTATTGAATTCCAGTGTGTTAGGCGAGCTCACATAAATTCGAAATGTCGGGTACAAAGAGTACATGTGCCCAAACTGACGTGGATTTCCAACCCGCCGGGAATGCACCCGGAGCGAAACTTCAAAAACGGACTCTCATGACCTACGATTTCATTATATCGTTATTATGATTGATTAACGTGCTTTACAGGATTCTAATGGCAGCAGTTAAGCAGATCTCCAGAGGTTACAAGGAAAACGCGCCTTCGTCAGCTCTAACACACCGCGAGAAGAATGGTTTCGGAACGCACCGCAAAAACATACATATCGACTCGACAGATCGATGAAACGGCTCAGAAATCGACCAAGTCTACTTGCAAATGGGGGAAGAATGGTTTAGCGATGCACTGACCAAGTTTTCGCGACTCGATCGACCCGCTCGATCGATCCCCTCGTGTGACCGAAAGAGTAGGACAACAAGCTTAACCTTGTTTTTTTTAGTCCCCGGAGCCTCAAAGGCTAAATACCTTATTCTTCCCTCCCCCTTTTGGCCTCTATCATCGTCGAAACGTTCTAGAATATCACCTAGTGAGCCCGAGCCCGACTAGGCGAGAACGCATCTTCCTGAGTGATGGAAAAATGGTACACCTCCAAGACTGTGTACAGATGCCTTTTAGAATCCGAGTTCGCAGCCGACTCCTAGTCCGACTAAGAAGGGTAGGTAACAAGAAATTCTGGGATAAAAACCGCCTGCTTGAAGGTCTGATCCAATCCCAGATTTAATATTTGCTCACTGAATATTCTGCGGAACATGCTCAAGGCTTTCTTTACAGGTTTGTACTGTGTGGATATGACATACTTGACATGGAGCATCCGTCTCAATCGTGTCTGTGTTCGCTCTCAATCCGGTCTAATTTGATCTTGCGGTTTCAATGCGTGGATATCATTGAACGAGGAGTATGACCGGCGTGTCCTGATCGATCCAGGTCTTGTGCTCACCCTTTGAGGTCTCGTTGAACGCGTTGCTAGTCCCTGGTTGGGTCCAACATGGAGTGGTATACTTGCGACGCCGTCCCCTATTTCAGGAACATACTCGCGCACCCTCCCGTCGAACCACGTCTCCCTCTACGCACTGGGGAAAAACCGAACCTCGGAACCAAAGCCAATGAACAGGGCGCGTGCCGCCCCCCTCTAGTGGCCGTGGGATCTACCCGTCCGCCTGGGTTTGATTGGCCTCCTCCGCTTATCAAGTCGGGTTCGGGTGATCCTCGACCTTCTCAACCCCACTTTCTCCGACTCTTCTCCTTATCCCTGATGCAACCTCAGAGCCTTCCCTCCCCTTGAGCCTCGTGGCCGGAGGTTCAGCACAATGAGTAGCTCAACAATACGCCCGCACACGAAATTGAGATCCGGTTGCGTGGAGTGCAAGCGGAGAAAGATCAAGGTAAACAAACCCGACCGCGACCGGTCCGAATGAAAAGATTCACGAGATTCACAGTGCGATGAGGGCAAACCCACCTGCCAGCGCTGTAAACTGCGCCCAGAGAAGTGCAAATATGAATTTAAACTCTGCTGGACAGAAGGGCGTCCGTTCAAAAACAAGAACCGCCAGAAAGACCGGACTCAGAGTGCTCAGGGTGAACCAAACCCACCCAAACCAGCCCTGTCCGATGCATCATCATTGCATCCTCCAGGGCCAACCTTTGAGGTCCCTCTAATTCCTCCCAAATCGGAATTTAGAAAACCAGCAGCCAGTGCGAAACCTGGCCTGAATATAGAAACGCCCGTGGAAATGCCGATTGGCCATTTCCCACGACCTCTAATCCAACCCGATGTTTTTTTCGAGGGCGGGCTTGAAGCATCGTCCGCCTTGACAATGTCCCCCGGCACTGCCTCGGACTACTCGGTGGCGACTCCCCGCCGGATGAGCACCAGCTATGGCTGGGTCGAGCAAATCAGCCCATATTACCAATCCTTCACCGATACCCATGCATTGGAACCGCAAGATCAAATTAGACAGGACAGGGATCAAGCACATGCACAAATCCACCATCCACATTATCAAAAACACCCCCTTCTCTACTCCCAGCACCAATCCCAACCCCTATACCCATATCAACATCAATATCAATATCAAGTTCCCCAGGCCCTCTCCGCTTACCCCACCTATCTCATCAACTCCCCCACAGCCGCTTCTTCCTTGACCACTACTTCCATAAAACGGCGCCTGTCATCTTTCCCCTGTCCCTCAAATCCAATCCCCTTCGTGAAGATCTCCTCCAGATGGCTATGTCGTCGCCTCACCTCCTCTACGCCTTCCTCGCCTGCGCCTGCTCCCACTACGGTCGCCTTCGCGAGGACCTCTCTGGCGACCTCGCCAAAAGCGTCACCAAATTCACCAACGCAGCCCTCAACGGCCTGCGTAAAGCCATGAGCGACCCAAAAAAGGCCAATAGGCCCGAAACCCTGACCACCGCCCTGGCTCTCTGCACCTCCGACGTCATTAACGGTGGTATGAACTCCTGGCGCATCCACCTCTCCGGCGCTAGCAACCTGGTCACCTCTGTCTTCGCCCTGCAAGGCGACGCCGACTCGCTGAAGACCGATGATCCAACCAAGCTCTTCCTGGTGAAGTGGTTTGCCCTGCTGGACATCTTCGCCGGCGTGTCAGGGCTGCACACCTCCTCCAACGCCGAGGGCAGCTACTGGTCGCTACCGACCACCAACGACGCACACGGCTACATCGACGAGTGGACCGGCTACGCGTGGGAGCTAATCCCGATCATGTCGCAAATCGGGCGAATGGCGATCGTGCAGCGCAATGCGATGCAGGTAATCTCGCTGGACGCAGACGCAGACGACATTCCGGACACGGGGGCCGACCCGGCCGAGATCCAGCACCTGGAGGACCAGATCTACGCGCTGTACGACCGCACGACGAACCCAGACCTGGAGCGCAACCCGGCGACGAAAAAGATGGCCGAGGAAATGCAGCACATTCACCGGGCGTTCCTGTACACCTCGCTGCTGCACCTGTACTCCCGCGTGCAGTGCCTGCCGAAGGACCACACCAAGCCCGCGCACGCAATCCACATGGTCATCGAGATGCTGCAGAAAATCCCGCTCGACTCCATGTCCAACATTCTCACCCTGTGGCCCGTGTTCACAGTCGGCTGTGAAACCGAGGACCCCGTGCAGCGGAAGATCATTCGTGGGCGGCTGGCGGTCATGGAGCCGTACGGCATGGGCAATGTACAGAGCGCGCGCAAGGCGATGACGGAATACTGGGACTCGGGCGCGACTGAGCGATGGGATATCTTCTTGGAGAAGCGGGGATTCGACCTGACGATGTTTTGAGTGCGGCAACCTTGTTGCCGGTACATTTACATACAACAACATTTTGAGAGGGAGGGAAGTCTGGGCGCCGGGATCCGGATTTCTGGTCCGGACTTTCTTCCCTCTCGGCACATAATCTCGACATCTTCACATGTCCTCTTACGACTTTTGACTTTGATTCTTATGTCTTTCCCTATCTTCTCTCGGGCATTATTTTTTTCTTTTTTTTGGGTTTCTCTCTTCCCTTCGTGTGCATATGCAAAGCCCTCGAGCATGAACATCGAGACAGCGTTTCTATTATCAACCATGCAAAACTGTCTATATCTGAAAGGGAAATATACGCATATTATGAAACAGCAGTCCGAGAATCACCGGTCATCCCGTGCCAGCCTCGAAAAATGAAGGTCGTCAGAACAGAAAATAAAATATGAACACAAGTCCCACCTATAAAACGAAGTATAGGTAGAACATCCAAAGACTTACACCCTTTTTGAATACACACACATTAGATCTTTTCTGTTGGCACAACCGTCCTCTCAACATGGTCATCAGGCTCCACGCGGCCCAGTCCTTCGAGCACATGTCGCGTCTCACTCGACAGCGTCGGGCCCTTGTAGATACGGCGCCCTCCGATGAACCACCATATAATGACGAGGATAGCCATGCCATACGACACCAGCGAGGTGTAGTTCATGCCTGCCGCCGTCACGGGCGGCCGGTTGTACGGCAGACAGAAGAAGACGTTTGTGACGAAGATGTATACGATGGCAATGCTGTTCACGGCGAAGCCCAGGATGCCGTCGCCCAGGTGGAACCAGCCAGGGGCGACGCGCTTGCGGCCTGTGAAGAGGTGTACGCCAATAGCGAAGCCGTAGGAGGTCGTCGACATGACGGCGTAGGAGGCGACGAGGGCGTTGAAAGCAACTGTGGATGCGACGTAGAGGGCACCTAGGGCGGTGGTAATGGTGGCTAGAACGAACGGGGCCCTGTTAGCTGTTGCAGTTCCCAGAGAAAATAATACGTTCTCCTTGGAGGGGCGAATCAAAGGGCAAGCGGGATCTCAGCATACCGATTAGGATATTAGCGCGCGCGGGCATCACGCTGCGGTCGTCGATTTTAGAGAAGAATTTGGAGAAGGGCAGAGCGCCGTCGCGCGCGAAGGCCCAGATACTGCGGACTGCAGCGATCTGGGCGCCGACTTGGCCGGTGATAGAGGCCAAGAAAATGATCAAGCCGCAGCCAAAGGCCGCATTGGTGTTCTGGAAAGAAGACTCCATGATGCTGGCAACGGGGAAGTTTGGCTCGGCGGACAGGATGGTGTCAAGGGAACCAGCGGCGTAGAAGAGCGCAATCAGAAAGATGAAACCACTGTGATTCCCCGGGGTCAGTTACGCGAAAGGAGATGCGCGCTGCGGCTGAGGGGGGAATTTGGGGATTGTTTGGCTTACAGGGCGAAGGAACCAAACCACTGGACCAAAATTGTCTTGGGAATGTTCTTCGAGGGATTGGGGATCTCCTCGGCCATGTGGGTGGAGCTATCGATGGTACCGATGGCAAAGGCCGGGGCGACCATGCCCAGGATGAAGCTAACGCCAGTCGGCCAGCCCGTCATGTTCTCGTACTCCAGCCAGACGAAGGAATTGGTCGAGTGCGTCTTCGGGAGGGTGGCTAGACAGATGATGACGACAAACCACACACCGATGTTGATACATACTATACGAATCGTTAGATACAGCCCGAGCCCGAACCCTAAGATATAGATGGCACGCATCTAATACCAACGATATGAGAGGAGAAGGAACACAATGAGCGAGGACATACATCCAAACTTCGTATAAAGAGGCAATAACTTGTTGCCAAACTGGATAAACGCCGCGGCGGACCAATTGAGGACAACGAAGATGACAAATACCTGCCAAGGCTGCGAGGTGTAATCAGGATGCCATAGTTGATACAGGCCGGTGATTTCGAGACCGGCGACGTTGTAGAGAGAAGCCAGACCCAGGGCCCATCCGAGGACATTGAAGTAGCCGGTCAAGAAACCAATGGGTCTGGAGAATCGCGGGCCGGCAAGCGCGGCGGACCAGTGATAGACTCCAGCGGAGGTGGGCATGGCGGAGGTCAACTCGGCCATCGAAAGCGCCACAAAGAGAAAGAAAAAATTATCAACGACCCTGGATCACAAACCGACATGGTTAGCTCAGAGGCTTTGGTGGAGAGAATTGTCTGCAGACTGCAGTTTTGTGGTTGTGATTGTGGTTGTCTGTTTTCCGATTCCATATCTCCGATGTTCTTGGGTTCGGTGGGGCAAGGGTTCATGAGACGTTTGGGTTTGGATTTGGGTTTCGGGTTGGGTTTGTTATCTTACCAGGCATAGAGCAAACCCGGCGCACCGCCATTGTAGATCGAGGTGATGATCGATCCCACGATTGCCGTCTATCATGCGATCAGTGGGAAGCTGAAGAGATGGTCCAAGCGTTCTTGCGCGCGGGGGGGGGGAGGTAGATTTCAATTGGGAGAACCCAGAGAATTAAGCCATTCACAAGGTCGGCGAGGCAGATTGAAGGAAAGGAGGTGGGGGATTCAATTCAAGTTACCCAGGCGCTGGCAGTGATGACTGCATTCGCAGCCATCGAAAAGAAGCTGAATTGGCGCTTCAATTCCTGTTTATGGCCGAGCGCGGCCAGGAGGGCCGCATCGTCGCTGGACGTCGACGCCATCCTCGGGACGGGCGGGGACGAGAGGGGACGAGTGGAGGAAGAAGGAGGAGGGCGGAATCCTGCGATCCTGGACGGGCTCCACGGGGCGGCGAGGAGTATAAGATGGGGGGTGGAAGTGGAGGAGGATCAAGGCCGGCGAGAAGAGAAGTGGAAGTCTCAGGGGCGCAATGATAGGGTGCCCGTACTTTGTGCTCTCTCGTGCCCTCGGTGTCTCTTCGCCGTGCACGAGATTTGGGTTTAGCCCCTGAGGCCATGTTTGCCTGCTTTGCTTGCCATCGCGTCGTCGCGAGTCGACTCGACCGGCTCGCGCTAGTCTGCGTTGGGATTCTTCACCTTTAGCGCGGTCGACGAGGCCCTCCACCCCCCGCCAGGCCCTCCCACGGCCTCTCGAGCCCCTCGTACTTTCGTTCGCTCCGAAATGCCAATCGCGTCTTAGTTGCTGCTGGCTCCACCGGCTGCGTCTCGAGCCCGGGCCCCTGATTGGCCTTCCAGGCGGGTCGACCGTCGTTGTTGGCGGTCGTTTATGGGCGTCTTTTGCGGGCAACGGTCGCACCGACTTAGCCAAACTAGCCGCTGAGAGCCACTGACCACAGGCCACAGACCCGGAAACCGCAGACTGCAGACCGCAGACCGCAGAGGACTCCGTATGCATCCTGCATCCTTCATTCGAGATCGTGCAGACTCGGCGAAGTATACTGCAGGTATCTAGCCGGTATACCGCAAGTATACAGCCACTATAGAGTGCGACACGAGGCAGAAGGTGCGAGGTCAGTTCCTTTGTATAGCCCACCCCCGCGATCCCCTGTCACGCGGTTCCGATCTCTAAGTGGCATTAAGATCGGAATATTTCCCGTCAGCCCTGTCCTAACTCGCTCTTTTTTCTAGAAAGGAAAAAAAAAAAAGAAGCTTTGGACAAATTTTGTGTGGAGAGGCAGCTTCTATATAATTATCACCCGCCCACGCGTCACTGCCACTGGTCTTCCATTTCCCTCTTGCAAATTCTTGATATAACCAAGAGCCCAAAAAAAAGAAGAAAGCAAAAGAAAAGAAGGCAGAGAAAAGATAGCTATCACCATCGCAATGGTTCTCAAAAAGGGCCTCACGCAATCGACCACCGTCGACCAGGTGCGAGCAGGATCCATCGGGACATCTGCCGAGTCTCCAATCGATGCCCTCATCATTGGCACCGGGCCATCAGGTATATACCCAGGAAGACCCTTGCCCTACCCCTTATCCAACATCTCCAATCTGGGCGCAGATATATGGAAAGAGATGGCCTCTAACCACTCTCTCAGGCATGGTCTGTCTCCGGAACCTGCTCCGAGATGACCCGCCCCTCGCCGTCATGGCCGTGGACCGTCAGGCCATTCCAGGAGGCATCTGGAACGGCCATATCCCGGCCTACTCGACCCTGCAGGATCTCGTGTGCGAATATGAATGCCACGGCGTTCGCTTCCCGCGACGGGAGCCCGCCCGTCGCGCCTCCCGAGACCAGATCGCAGAGTTCTGCCATGCATACTTCAAGGAATTCGACTTGAAGGATCATGTCCTGTGGCAGCACGATGTGGCCAAAGTCGAGATGGTGAAGCCCATGCTACATCAAGTCACTCTCCGGCCCTTCGTCGACGGGCTCGAATCCCCGGTCTCCCAGACCATCTATACCCGGAGTGTTCTGGTTTGCACGTAAGTGATGACCTCATCCTGTTCCCTCCCGTGCACCAACTACTATTATTTATATCCATTCTCCTGGGTGTGGCATGAACCAGTGATTAACCACTTGCCCCCAGAGGACATAACATGGAGCCTTATATGCCCGAGTTTCTCGGCCAGGAAACCGCCAAGTTCCCTATCAAGCATAACAACAACATCCGCGACGCCAAAGAACTCCCCGAATCAGATATTCTCGTCGTTGGCGCCGGTCCTTCGGCATTGGATATTATTCAAGAAGCCTGTATCACCCAAGATGCTAAGGATGTGCATCTGGTCGCACGGTCTGCCCACTGGTAGGGAACCCTGTTTCCCTTGCTCCCATACTTTCCCGCGGCTAACCTACCTTGACTAGGGGAACCCCCGACCTGTGGTGGCCCTGGCTCTGGCATCTCGGATGGACTGAACTACACCTGATGCGTGTGCTCTACCGAGTTATGCCCATCTTTGTTGTCGACACCATATTCTACTACATTCACCTCATCTGGGCCCTCATCCAAGGCGTGCCCGAGTGGCGCCCTCCTCTCCGTACGTTCCCCGCCCATTCCACTTACCATTCCCTCGCCTAGATACCCTCCTCAAGAAAAGGAGATAGTACGAAACAGTCACAAGAAAGCATCCCCGCCCCCTTGCTAACCATGCATCCACCTCCACAGACGAGCCCCCTTCGGCCAAAGTCGGCCTTATCCTCCGCTCCCACCTAGTCCCAGCCTACCACGCCGGCCAGTTCCGCATCCACAACAACACCAGCATCAAGGAAATTGACGGGGACCGTGTCACCCTGACCAACGGCACTGTGCTGCATCCGAAGCTCCTTGTGGCCGCCACGGGCTGGTCCACCGAGTCCGCCTACCTGCCCGAGGGCGTCGCCGCCGGCGAGTACGACTCACTTGCGGCCGCGGATGCCCCGCGTCCGCTGTACTGCCGCTTCTACGACCAGGACTACCCAGGCATTTTCTACATCTCCGTTGCGGCCGGCTTCATCACCTACACCGAGAGCGCGAACTTCTACAGCCAGGCCGTCAACCAGATCCTGCGCGGTACCTGGACCCCGCCAGATGAGAAGGCCATCCAGAAGAACCTGAAGGAGGTCGTGCTGCATCACATCTCGCTGCCGGGCCTGATCGAGGAGGATCTGGAGGCAGCCGGGTTCAAGGACTTGCGGGGGGAAGAATGAGCGGTAGAGTGGGCAAAAGACTGCAGACCTGCAGCTGAAGCTGGGTATTGCGTATAGGCAGTGGTGGGACTGGACGAATTTCCTTTCTCTTTTGAGTTGATGTCTTTGGGGAGGTTCGTTTCCTCATTTTTGACCTTAACCGTGGCATGGCGGGTGCTTTGAGGTCCGGTGATGATGATGTCCCGGATTCTCTTGTTTTTAGACTTGCGGAAAGTGATGCGACATACGACATACGACATATGCAGGACTAACTAACTCGGGTTGTGGTGGATGTGTATATATTCTTCACCGAGTCGATTTAGGGATTCGACTGTTAATAGTGGACCGCTCTCTTTCTTTCTTTCTTTCTTTCTTTTCTCCCTCTCTTATTCATTTCTTCCACCTTTGATTGAGGTGTGCATAGCCAATTAGACAAATTAATGACAGATAAATGGAGAAGCTTTCTTTTGATTTTCATATCCTATCATTCCATGAAGACGTTTCAGATCCGAACCGATCTCGAATGTCTGCAAGAACGTGAAATATTCTATAGAAGTTTCATTCTCTATATTTCATTATAGCCATTTTGACTTGTGAGTTACTCGGACTTGCAGCCTGGCAATGTGTCAAAAAGTCACTTTTGAGAAACAACAGGGCCTGCAACGAATCCTGGTATGCATGATTAAAGCGGAAACGATGGCAAAAGGCGCCTTCACTCAAGTCCAAATACGCGGATGACAGGATAATCAATCCCTTTGTAAAGCACGCTAGAGGGAAGGTCTACGGTGATCCAAAGGTACTCATCACTTTTTTTGTATTTCCAAAGGCGTCTCGAAGCGCCAAGCGGAGTGGAGATGTGTCTATGAACAACAAAAAAGCCCAAATGGTATACATGCGGCGAAAAGAAAAAAAAAGACCAACCCCTTTTTAGTTCGCCAGAACAACGCCGAACCTTCGCTGAATGCCAAACATATAATGGAAAAAAAGACCCAACAAAATCACAGCATATATCCCCCAGATATCCTTCCCCCAACCAGGTATGTGTCCAAACATACAAAAAGCTGGCTCCCCGTGCATGCGCCGAATCAAACCAGCAAAGCCAAAGTGCTCGTGCCGAATGGGTCCAGCCCTGATGAGGTGCATGTAATGGATGTAGACTGCGGGACAAGAGTGCCACGGCTACCGGATTAAATGGTAAAAGACCTGGTTGAAAACGGGCCCAGGGGCAAACAAACAGAAACATGAGAGTCGGAACAGGAGGAGATAAGGGTAGATAGATGGGATGGAGGCGGTAATAGGGGATTTAAAAATTAAACGGAGGGAGCAGTGGTCGCACCGGTAGCACCCACAAGATCGATAATCTTGCTTGCCACAGCGGACGGGTATCCGCGCGACACCATCTCCTGAACAATGCCAGCGGCGGCAGCGTGGTCATCAGCGCCGAGGAAAGCCCGGGTCATGGCCTCGTAGGTGCTAGGTTCGCGCTTCTCGATGCCAATGCTGTCATAGATGGCCTTGGCCTTAGAGACGTTGCCCTCGGTGGCCCAGCCGTGGATCAGGGTGTTGGCGATGTAGGCGGTCATCTCGATGTTACGCTGCTGCATGCCGTGAACAACTTCCTCAGTGTCTACAACGCGGTCGTTGGCGACCATCGCCTCAAAGAGCGCCTGGTACAAGCAGGGCTGGAGGCGCACGCGGCGATCGGCAATGACCGCATCGAACACTTTGCGGGCAGCGGGGAGATTGTGCTGAACGCAGCCCTTAGCGTGGACGAGAGAGGCGTAATGCACGGCGTCTGGTTGCTGGCCGGCAGCCTGCATGGACTCGAGCACCTTCTCGGCGGCGTCCATGTCGACGGGCTCGAGGGAAGCGTGAGCGTCGATGAGGAGCTTGTATGTGTGCATGGTCGGTTTAATATTTCGGGTCTGCATGCGCTCGTAGTAAGCCAAGACCTTGCTGCGATCGCGCTTGGTGTTGAGGAAGTACTGGATCATTGAATTGTACGGGGCGGGACGGGGCTTGTAGTTGGGCATAGACTCCATCTCCTCGAACATTTCCTCGGCGAAGCGCTCGTCACTGACACGGCAGAGAGCGTTGACAATGGTGCCGTAGGTGACGCTGGTCGGGCGGACGTTGTTGGCGCGCATCTCCGCGAAGTATGCGAGGCAGTCGTCGATGCGACGAGCCTTACCCAGCTTGCCGATAAGAGCATTGTACAGGAACGATGACGGCTCAACGCCCTCGGCAACAGCACGGTGGAAGATCTTCAGGGCTTCGGTGGCCTCGTCGAAGGTCTTGGTAGACTCCTTCAAGGTGGTGATGTACAAACCGAAAGTGTTGGCTGAGGGGGCTGAGCCCAAACCAAGCAGCTCCTGGTGGTACTGACCAGCCAAATGGCGATCACCAAGAGTAAGGCAAGCAGAGACCATAGCATCCAGAATCGAAACCCAACCATACTTGACGGCGTTGTGAGCCTGGTTCAGAGGAACATCGGCGCGGGCCATGCCGTGGATCTCGTTGACCAACTCCATACGACCGACCTTTGCGGCGGCAGTAATGAGCTTAGCGTACGTTATATAGCGAGGGTGGCGGCCAATGCGGCGCATATTCTTCAAGCGAATCATAGCCTCATTCAGATGAGTCTCAGCACGACCGGCGGTCTTCTCAAGCTCATCGGCGATGATAGCAGATCCCCGGAAGTCAGTGGCATGAGCATACGGGTCAAAGGCATCGGAGCCCATGGACGGTGTCGTGATGTTGGTGTCAGCCATGGAGACTGGGCTGTGGCGATCAGACGGAAATGAGGTCTGGGTAGACCCCTCCAGGTGATCCTGCCATCTCTTGACCACATCAGGGCGGCTCGTGAAGAGCTTTCCGACAGCCTGGTCAACAAGACGAGTCGTGTAGGCATCCAGAGGCAGAGCGGCCGACAGAGCAACATCTAGCATGTGCGCAAACCGAATGGGATGGGCGACATCAAAGATCATGGCGCTGTTGCTGGCAAGCATACCGGCCTGGACTTGAAGAGCCAGGGTGAGGTCGGCTGGGTTCAACTGTGAAATGCCAATGGGTCCGAGGTTAGCGACAGCGTGCTCGGCCAAGGGAGACACCAGGCCACCATTCTCAACCATAGACCACAAGAGAGTCATCGATGCTTGGGGAGAGAGAACAGTGGCCGCCTGCGTAAGGACGCGACCAAAGAGGTGAAGTGACTCGGTGATCTGCTCTCGAACAGTAGTGGGAGCGACAGCAATCTGCTTGGCAGAGGCGTTGCGAATACGGGTGAACATGTTGCGGGCCTCGTGAAGGCCCTCCTCAACTTGGCCGCTCTTGAGCATAGCAACGGTGTACATGGCGGTCGGCTGGACCATATCCGGGGTTGCCTGACCCACGGTGTTCAGCATGATCCACAAAGAGCGGGCCGCCGAAACATTGCCCCGGCGGACGTGGAGCGCGAGCAGCGAAATGGCGGGGAGCTGGCGGGTAGCAGGCGAGGTGGAGAGACGATCGTATGCTTCAGAAGCGGTGGTGAGATCACCAGAATCAGCCGCAGCAATGCAGATCCGGGAGATGGCCTGATCGCGGGCCTCATCGTGCAATTGGGCCTTTGCCTGCTCAAGAGCCTTGCTGTAATCGCCAGCATCCAGAGCATGCTGGACAAGGGCATCCTTAATAATTACGCACTCGATGGCAGTCCAGCGACTGTCGCGGTTTTCAGTCACCTCATTGAATGAGGAGCGAATGCGATCAAGGAAATGCATGGCGCCACCCTCCTTGCCACAAGAAAGATAGGCACGGATCACGGCTGCGTAGACTTCGCCATCGAGACGCTTAACAATCGTGAAAACACCATTGTCATCTGAAACGGCCAGGTTGCGGTACTCGTTATAGCACTCGACAGCGCTCTTCAGGTCACCAGTACCAGCAAATGCATCAATCATGAAGGGAAAAATGGCGGCATGGGGTTCAACCTTCTGCATTTCCATGTGAGAATAGATCCGGATCATGTCCTCAACCTTGCCCTCACGAGCACAGGCAATAATCAATTGGGTATACAGCTCGAGCGGGAACACCAGATGTGGGTGTCGGGTGGTGGCAGTGTCGAAGAGTGTGACGGCGATGGACAACGAGTGATCCTCAGCAAGGATCTCACGCTCGAGCTCGCTAGATTGAAGCATGAACTTGCCAGGCTCCTCCATGCCACCATAGCGAACGCGCTCCTGCTCCAGTGCCTTCTTGGCCGTGATTGTGTCGTGAACCTGGACAACCAGCAGTTGGACCAGGGTCTGATAAGTGTCTTCGTCGGGAATCACCCTTCGGCGAAGCATATCGGAGTACACATCGAGGGCTTTAGGGATCGCCTGAGCAGCTTCCGGGTGGAGTTGGATGGCGGCGACCAGCAGAGCGTTGTAGGCCTCGACGGTCGGAGTCAATCCATCACGGAGCAATGATTCGAATGCAGCGGGAATCTCTGTGTATTTCTTGTCGGTGGCCAGTTGCACGATCCACTCCGAAGCAGCCTTGGTCTCAGCGGAAACCGCCTCGGACAGCGAGACATCCTCAATCGTCGACTCTGCAGCGATCTCAGCCTCGGTTGCTTGCGATGCCTCCTCTGCCTGGGCTTGTTCTTCTTGGATCTGGATCTCGCGAGCGACAGCTTCCTCGACTTGCGCACTGACGTTCTCATTCACGGCGGCCTTGGTGGGGTGTGGAAGATCGGGGGAGGCGACTCGCTCGTCTTGGGCGTTCTCGGTCTCCTCTGAGGGCTTCCAGCCAATGCGGCGCTTGAACTCAAACTGTCTCCAGTCACTGTCATCGCCGGTCTGCTGGGCCTGCTGCCAGGCGGCGTAGTAGGCAGCTAAGCCGAAGTCGCCAGAGCTGGAACCTCCCTGGCTGGCCTTGGCGCCAGCGCCAGACGAACTGGACGCGTTCGAGAAGGCATTTTGCAATTGGGTGGTACGGGAGAACTTGGCGGGATGGGAGGCGAGGTGGTTGAGAGTGGTGGACGACGCGTAGGACTGCGACGCCGCGACTACCGACTGAGCATAGCCATGGGTGAAGGCTTTGGTGAAACTCTGGCGCGCGAGATGGGTAAACGGCTTAAAGACCATTTATCTTGCGGGGGACCTCTTCAGAGCGAAGAGGCAAGGCTGCACGAGGCAAAAAAGGGTACGTTAGTTGGTTTCTAGAGCATTGGGAGGAAGGTTTGTAGGAGTTGGTTGAACTCCTCTGGGAAGCATCGAAGCATACCTTGCACTCAGAACGATAATTAAAATGCAGGTTCATTGGACGACACCAGTCGCCAACGAACGCGCGAATCTGCGAAGGGAGTAGATGGTGGTGAAGGGGAGGGAGAGCGCAAGAGACCTGTGATAGCAACAGGGTCTCGTGGGTATGCGGCGCCGATGGGACGGAAGTTGGATGGGGTGTGAGTGAGTCTGAGTGTGTGTGTGTGGGAGCGGGAGGAATTGAGGCGCCTCAGGAATAATAAAATAAGGGGATTATGGATTCTGGAAGGAGATGGAGTCGCAGACGAGTGGGCCTGGTGGTTTAGGGCCGATCCTCTCCGGAGAATCCTCGAAGGTGCTGGACTTGTACTGGGTACCTTGGATCCAGGGTCGTGTGCGCGTCCCTCTACGACCAATGCAAGTAGTGGGACTCTCTATAGTGGCTACGCGGGGGCTCAACCGCCATACTGGATATCCGAAATACGACACGTCAAGAGCTGAGAGCGCTGCCTACATGCTCGCTCGTCAAGGGGAAATCGAGGAGTCGACCAGTCGAGGTATCGGCGAGATGCACGATACCTGAGCCGGAGTCGCCGCGGAGTTTGCGTGGAGTATAGACATTGGACACTGGAAGTCCTTCGAAGTACCCAGTACCTGCCCTGATCGCTCAGTGGACGAGCCACAATCCGTTCCCGCCCGCCTGGTCAGGTGCGCCGCCCCAAGAATCCGCCCAAAAAAACCCCCAAACCGGAAAAACACACACTTCACTGCCCAATGAGACATCGCCCAATTCACGTGCGGCTCCACTAGTGCGCTTTGTCAGCTTTCTAGGAGGTGCCTGGATGACTCACCCCCGTCATCCCCGCTGGTGCCCGCCAATGCCCGCCCGCCCGGACCCGGTTCATTTTCTTCTCGGAGTCTGTCTTCCTCTTCCCCGACGGTTCGGCCTCCCGAACTATCCGACGGCGTTAACGGGCTTTGGCTTAAACAAGGCCTCTCGTCGGAGCGGAGTTGACTTGTGAGACCCCGATCAGCTATCACCGACATGAAACACAACGCAGAATACGCTGGATACGAGGATGTCAGCCTCCGGATAATACCATAATTAATTGGTTTAACTTTTCGCGCGGTTTCCAATATCAATGCCCACGTCACGTAGCCCTTGATAAAGTTCCATCACGATGGTTGCCTGGAAAGTACCATTTTGGAATTAAGGAATGTAGCGATGCACTGCGGAGCATAGAGCAGGGGCACGTCCCCTTTTTATGTATTCTTCCCATCGTACGAGACAACACAACATATGACAATGAGCCAAGACATGGTCCAGGAAGGAGCGAAGGTGATGAAGGATGGACCGGGCCCCCACTTGATCCGCCGTCAGACGATCGATAGACTCCGAGTATGACAATCTATAAGAATTCATGAAGTCCGATTGGCCTGATTAATCTGAGCGATTGAATTACTCCAGGCCAGCTTGCATTATTTGGCCATCTTCTAGAGGCTGCCTCGCCCATTCCCGGCTGTGGTAGACCCCTGGATCACTTGGCCGCGAATCCGAATTGCTTTGAGATTTCACAGAAAGGATGGAACCGGTACCACGGCGATTGAAGATATCGTGTGATCTCCCCCTGTGCGTCTGTCCATTTACGGGAGTCCCCAAACAGGTAAACCTCCAACACTTGCTCAAGATGATCGACTATCATCTTTTCGGGTCCTGCAGCAGCAGATGTATCATCCTCTTCAGGCCCATCAGGACCAAGACTGATCTCCGGAACTCTCTGCATGTAAAGCTTTTGATGTGTATCCTCAGAGCTGTCACGGTCCTGAGATTTTGCAATAAGATGGTATATTCTTCCAAAAAAGGAGTCATTAGTAGGTTCGCAAGGAGGCGGGGGTAAGTGAAGTGCGTGATTGACCGCGGAATCTTTATATTTCGATTTGACGGCCTCCCATCGTGCCCATGTCACACAAGTCCAGTAAATTATAGGCCGCTTGGGTTGTGGACGATTCATCCCCAGTATGGATGCCATTCGGATGACAGAAGCGATCATGATAGGTCGCTGGGTAAAGCTCGGACACCCCAGAAGGAGCAAAAAAGCCTGAAGTGTTGACAGGCTCGGTGATGTTAGAAGATCATCCACGGCCAAGCATTGATAGACCGATTCAGTGAGATCACGGACAACAGCGGCATCCATTTGAGGAAACGAGATGGCAGAAACCAGGCATATAGAACGAACAAGAAGCGGAGAAGGGAAAGGCCGGTAGCTTAGATCTGAAGCATGTACGAGTGGCCATACCGGCGCAACGACCTGGAAATACCTAGGCACTCTCGGAAGTTAATAAACAAGCAGGTACTAAGAAGGTGCATGACCATTCTCCAAGGTGTCTAACCGATCCAATAGTTCCGCTGTTGCATCATACAATGTCGTGTGGACATCCACTATATATTTTTGCGTGCTTCCATCGGTTCTTCCGTCTTCCGACTCTAAGCCTGGTTGATTGGATTCAATTGGTCTTGTGCAAGGAAGACCTCGCCGAGTACATGACATGCATGGAGCTCCTCCCTCACATCTAAGAATATTCAGCTCGAAGTCACATTTTGCAGACAAAACAATACGAGCTACTGCATCCTGACCTTTTCTTGGCGATCCTACATGGATGACAGGCAGTAGACGCGGTCGCTCTAAGTCTCTTGGCAGGACGATTGCTGTCCATCTGGAAACGACCTTGAGACTTCTCTTCCCAGTCCTTCGCCATCGGAAGTAATTGATGGTTGTGCTAGCAGATACTATTCATACCCCCAATTTACTGGGCGGTCCATTCGAACAGGGGCGATTACATCAGCAGAGCTATCCTCACTGCGCCGAGGTTCCGCCGGAACCTTAAGTGCGTCATAAGATGGCACGATATTGCATGATTGAACGGCCAAATGAATAGCCGAGGTCCATACGAACACAACGAGGGTATGGAAACTGGCCCAAGGAATTCAAAATTTTGTAATCGGATTGCATGGACCTCTTCCATATATTACCTTAGACAGAGTAAAAGTACGGGGTAACTGACCTGGAATTTGAACTTACACAGTTCAAGTTCCCCACAAACATTAGATAAGCCATTGCTCGTCTTCGAGCTCCCCCGGGAATCATCCCAATGAGGTCCCTCAGTTCTAAATCATTCTCAGGCCCAGTGATTCCTGACATCTATCCCATTCGCTTCAGGTGTGGAATAGGATGGTTAACAAGGAAACATGTGATTATTGTGCCCAGTATATTCTCACCCTATTCTCCCCTCCTTCCAATGGAGAAACTCGATTAACTCACCACTCGGTGTTGTAGGCTCCGTGTGAAGTGTCAATGGAAATCCACAGACTTCAGTCTCCGTTGTGTCAGATGTACAAAATATGCCCTGGAATGCGTGTTCTCCGGGGTTTCCTGGACATCTAGTTCCATGCGTACTTTCCAAAGCCTAACACCGGACACCAGCTTTCGTAACATCTATTGGGGTCCGTCATCTAATGCGGGTGGACACCCGATGGATCTACACTCTACAGAGGCACCACTTTCTCATCCAGATGTCCCGTCCGGCGGTCGATATCCATCCTTATCTGAGAGTTCATATGGTTCTGCCCTGCATTCTGTCAAGCCAAATGGCACTAAATCAGTTCCGATCGACCTGGATATCACTCCCATAGTGCGTGATCACCTGTTCAAAGTGTTTTTCGAATTTATCCAGCCAGCATGGCCTGTGGTATCAAAGGAAAGCCTCGTGCGTTATCCCTGTAACCCTGTTCTGGAGGCAGCAATCCTCGGTGTGGCAGCTCGACACCACACAGCTATTGTGTCCTGGCGTGACTTAAGCCATATCCAAGAGGTCATTGATGGCGAATTGAGAAATTTATTCAATCTACGAGATCATTGCGAGCACTCCATACAGACTTTACAAGCTCTGCTTCTTCTCTGTCTTCGAGTAGAGCTATGCGCAAAGAACCACCATGACCTACAGCGTCTTCCATTTCGAATTTCTTTCGCATGCCAGATAGCTCAGGACCTGGGCTGTCATATACCTACCACACAGTCACCAGCGGATGAGTGGGATGACAAAGACCTCCGACGGACCCTATGGGCTGCATGCATCTTCGTGGATACTCATTGCTCTGCTATATTAGGCCAAGAAATGAATATTAGCATGAGCCAGAATCGAGAATTTTGCCTTGGACAAGCTGCTGGGGCCACAGAGCCACAACTCGATTTAATCCGCACATTTGAACATCACCGATTTTTCTACACCGCTGTCGGTTTCATGGTCTGCTTACGTTCAGTTCTGTGCATGGGTTACTCTTTTCTTCCCAAAATAGAGGAAGAAATGCACGATCAATTAAATGCAATCCTAAAGGATATTGAATGGCACCAGGAATATCTCAACTCAAACAAGTCACAGTACAGTGACCACGAGTGGCAATGTCTCCAGATGATTCACTCAAATACTCACCTTCTTTTCATTCTCAGCCTTCGATCGACAAAGTTAACGGACGACAAACTACGGAACATCGCGAGTACACAACTGTTTTCCGTGATGACACAAGCGTGCCAGACTCTTGAGTGGTCAACCTCGGAGCTCATTGAATCAGCACCAGGACAATTGCTTGTGACACTTTACAGCACCTCACGTGCCTTAATGGTCATCGTGGATGTATTAAGGGATCCCGAGTCCAAGGGGGGTTTGTCAACTTCTACGCTAGAACGCTTGCAGGGGGCCGTCGAAAACGCGAGAAAATTCATGGCCTTTCTTTCAGTGGACAAGACTTGGGGGCAAAAATGGACTCAATCACATACCCTTAAGGCAATCTTTACGAGATTGGACCAGAAGCAGAGAGATAGATCTAGCTTGCCCCACACCATGGACGACGCAAGCGTGAGGGTGTGCGAGCGGCCTTTGTCCGATGCAGTGGCAAATTTAGAGTCCACTGCTTCTGTGCGAACTGAATCGAGGGTCCAGTCGAGTTTAAGTGGACGAGATGTCGATGCTACAGCCAATGAAGCAGAACTGGAAAAGCCTCCTTTCGACGAAGATATTTGGAATGACCTTGAGAATTCAATGGACTTGAGCAATGTCATTCTTAATCCGGCAGAGTGGGAAAGCTTTTTTGAACAATGTGACCGGGATATGTACGGACCAAGTCGTCTATAGTTGAGCGTAATGAATCAGACCATCTGCTTGCCCATTCTTCAACAGCTCAGTCATTGGCTTACTCACTTGCCACTTTGGCTTTGCTTGTTTCAATTTCCCTTTTGCTTCTATGCTCTGATGATCTAACACTGTCTGGGGTAGAATGAACGAGGTTATGCTACTCTTGTACTAGCGTCTTCGTGTGTCGGCTGGTCGCCGACAAGCCGCAACGTCGGCAAATGTCGATGACTCGGTTCGACTACGAAATTAGCCAATTGGCCAAGTATAAAATGTTTCGACAACGCAGTGTCAAGGGAGTTTAAGCCGCCTCAACTCTCCACCTATTCGTGAATAATTGCCCGACATATAAAAATGACGAACCCGGCGATAGAGCTCATCCTCCAGGATGCAGTCTCTAGTGGCATGTTTCTGGGTGTTAGTTTCATCGCGATTGACAAGACAGGTTAGACGTGATGCTTTTGATCTATTGCAAAGAAGATTCCATGGTCGCTGATTGAAGACTGCCAGGGAATACGATCTACTCTGGCTCACATGGTCGGCGTACGTTTGATTCCGACGAACCAATGACCCTTGCCACTCCAGGGTGGCTGGCTTCTATGACCAAATTGATGACCGCCGTTGCGGTACTGCACACTGTTCAGAGGGGCTTGGTGACTCTCGATGAGGATGTAGCAGATATTTTGCCCGAGCTTCGTGACAAAGAATTGTTGACTTCCTATAATCCGGCAACCAAATGCGCAAAATTTGAGCCATTAGCAGAGAAAATCACCCTACGGTATGGATGATTCGAAGCGACTTCTTTGGACTTGTCTCAACTCTGCTAATACAATGACCAGGCGCTTGTTGACGCATTCGGCCGGTTTTGTTTACCATTTTTTGTCTCCGGAGCTTCAAGCTTGGGCTGTCGATAACAATCGGACAATAGCTAATGTTACTGGTGATTTTGTTCGTGAGCGCCGATTATGAAATCAAAAGTTGATGTGAAAAGCTAACAATCCAAAGAAAAATGATTGGGATCGCCCAATGAGCTTCCAGCCAGGAGCTGGTTGGGGCTACGGTGAAGGCTTAGACTGGGCCGGAAAGGTTGTGGAAAGAGTGAGCGGGCAATCTTTAGGCGAATACCTCCAGCAATATGTATGGAAACCATTGGAAATGAAGGGAGCAACGTTCCATCCGGAGACACGCGAGTCATATCCCATGCTAGAAATGGGGAGACGCGAAAATGGGCCTAACAGCAAACTCGTCCCTGGAGATGGCCGTCGCTATCCTATACCGGCCGCGAATGAAGCGGGTGGTGCTGGTGTATTCGCCAGTGCGGACGACTACGCTAAGCTTTTGGCGGCTCTGCTACGCGACGACGCAATTCCACTTGAAAAAGATATGCTGGAGGAGCTTGTGAAGCCCCAGTTGAATGATGCTGGCAAAGAATCCCTGAAGGCCGAGCGTGATAGGTGGGTCTTTCCTGAGATCCCTCGGGATGTCCCAGTTAATTATGCACTCGGGGGACTTCTTACTGCTGGTGATTCACCTGGCGGCCGTCCGAAAGGTGCTATTGCTTGGGATGGCTTCAGCAACTCAAATTGGGTATGCTTATCAGTTTACTTGTCTTATAGCGTTTTTATCATTAAACTAATCTTTGCCTCTGCAGCTTCTCGACCGTGGGACTGGAGTTGCCTTTGTGCTGATCACTCAGATATTACCGGAGGATCCTGCCTCTAAAGAGCTTTGGAGTAAGCTAGAGAGGGCTGTGTACGATTCATTGAATGGACGGTGACTAGATAATATTAGCAACAATTTCCATACAAATCGGAGGCTTTGATTAGTGCACAATCCATTTTATAGCTTGCATATTACAAGATGAGCACCAGCTCACTCATACAATTTACCTTATATTGGGGCAAGAAATCGAAGTCAAATGGGGTTGTCTCTGCATTGACCATGGATCTCGGTGAGAGGGCCATTGCTGAGAAGCCGATACTCATTATTTTGAAGCGCTTCGGCTTCCAGTGAGATTGGGACAAATTGAAAGGAAACTTTAGAAATTCTTATGGCATTATGTTATACTCCAGAGAAGCTTCACCACGGCCTAAAATAACAATCTTATCCAATAGGCAATGGCAACTACTGCGGTTAATGTTGCGCTGAGTTTTGTGCGATCTGTTGACTTTCATTTGTTTCAAGGTGGAGACTCCCCCCGGATTATGAGATATATGGGGGTTGTCCGGGGCTATGCATTTTGTTGTGTTTCCCTAAGCTTTCCTAAAAGTTTTGGCGGTTCGTCGCCGATATTCCGCCAGAAATGTGGAGTAGTGGATCGTGACTAGTCAGTCCCATTTCCTCCTTATATAGAGATACCTTTCTATATTCCTGATATCACCAATTTCTATTATTGAAATTTTACAATACCTAGTCGAAAATAACAATGGACATTACTGTATCAGCGAATGTACCGTCAAACCCGCCGCGTGGAAGTATGGCAAACATCGTCCTCACCTCTATGGCAGTGATGAGCGGAGCCTTCACTTTTGGAATAGAGTCGGGAACCATTGCTGGATTCCAAGCCATGGAATCGTCAGTACATTCCACCCCATCTGATTATCAAGATTCCAATTGACACGCTGGCAGATGGCTCAAAGATTTTGGATACTATGATGAGCAACTCCATGAGTGGAATATTCACACCAGTACCCAACTACAAATTGGCGCGTTGATGCTTGTTGGCGCTGTATTAGGATCACTTTTATCTGGTCCAATTGGCACAAAGCTCGGTCGAAAACCGGGGTTGGTCGCCATTGCTCTAACAGCCATTCTGGGTGTCATATTTCAAGTCGTTCATGCAAGCCTTACTCTTTTGCTGATTGGAAGATTTCTGCAGGGGGGTATGATAAGCTGCTGTTTATCTCCTATGGGGCTTTATGCTAAACGTTCATCCTGCGCTAGGTGCGATTGGCTTTGCGTCGAATTTCGTGCCTGTATATCAGTCGGAGATTGCCCCAGCTAGGTACCGTGGTATATTGGTGTCACTATATCAGCTCGGCGTCAATATCGGCGGTCTAGTCGGAACATGTATCAATCAAGGCACTTACAACATGAGAACCCGCTGGGCCTATCGTATCCCGTTGTTGGCCTCGTTATTCTTCCCAACAATCCTGTTTATCGTGACTTTTATGTTACCAGAGTCTCCCCGTATGTCAAATTAATATGAAAATTGCTCTCAGTGCTAATAAGGCTCAACAGGTTGGCTCCTCTCTGTCGATCGAACCGAAGATGCCCGCAACTCTCTCCGACGGCTCAGAGGCAAGGAATACCCCGAGGACCAGATTGAACAGGACATAAGAACTATTGCGGAGCATATCGCCATAGAACGCCAATTCGAACTTAACAGTTCATGCATCGACCTTTTCAAAGGCACTGATCGTCGTCGGACGTCAATTGTTTCTATGGTTTTATTGTTCCAGATTCTCTCGGGGATCACCTTCGTCACTTCATATGGCACCTATTTCTTCCAGGCATCTGGTGTCAACAATGCTTTTCTCATTACGATCGTTGGCGCGTTATGCCAACTTGCTGGTCTTCTTGTCTTGTACCCTAGCCTGCGCTTTATGGGTCGACGAACTATACTGCTTTCTGGGGCTGTAGCTGAGGTAGTATGCTGGTTTGTTGTTGCGATCGTCGCCGTTGCAGCACCAAACGCCCCAGCGGCTGCTAGCTGCCTAGTGGCTTTTATTTGCTTGTTCACCTTCTTTTTCACCTGGTCTTGGGGGGCGGTTGGGTGGATTGTAGCATCTGAGGTTTCGTCCAATAAGTTGAGATCTAGGACGCAATCTCTTGGTACGACAATAAACTGGACTACGAGCCTGATAGTCGCGGCTATCTCGCCTTACCTGATCAACACATCTGCTGCAAATCTGGGTGGCGAGGTTTGTTTAAGCGCAATGTCCAAATCACTCTTTCAATAGACTAATGAAAACTCACATATCATAGATTGGCTTTATTTGGGGCTCTCTAACATTCGTTGGCCTTATTTGGGCCTACTTCTATCTTCCTGAAACCGACGGAAGGACTTTAGAAGAAATTGATGAGATTTTCATGAAAGTAAGTGTTTATCAGTCAGTATGACGAATCGAGTAACTCGATATTAATATTTTCTGAAGAATATCCCTGCTAGGAAGTTCAGCACCTACCACCTTGAGGACCATGCTAACTCTTATGGCCGGAGAACATCAAAGGATACCAAATTCAAGGAAGATGTACAGATCACTCATGAAGAGAATCGGGTATGAGAGATCCAAGATCTCACATTCGATAAATACCAAGCTCAATTTCTATAAATACCTCGTGAACTGGCCGTGGCTAAGGTTACTTCCCAAGTAAGAAACAGCGTGCTCTGCAGGTCTCTATGGTCTTTGCCCAGTAGCTTAGAAATTTTCCCTCCAGCAAAAAAAGAAATTAGAGAAATATTCTCTACGCATAGATCCAGGGCCCATACTACCTAATGAACTAATAGGCTTGTAGGCCGATGTAAACAGCTCGATCTAGGCCAAAGAATCAAACCCCAAACCATCTCAGGCGATGTTTAGTCAAAGAAGCGCAAATTGCTTGATTTATGTCTAGGAAGCTGTGGCTAATTTTAGTGACCGAACCAGGATGGCAGATCTACCCAGCTTTGGCGAACCGACCCGGTCAAACAAAGTCTTGCTCGTTTGCGGAGGAGACGTATAGAACTCCTAGGTTTGTACGGTCGCCATGGCCATAGAGACGCTTTTGCTTAATTTTCTCTTCTTCTTCACTGGAAGTCAAGCAATTTACACTTCTTTTCGTGGATTTGGTAAGTGTGTGATTTCTCTCGGCTCGTCTGTTAGGCTAGAAGCTCCTTAATTGCGTTTTTACATGATCCTCCAAGTTGTACCGCCCATGAAAATGTAGATTAAGATGCATCGAACTCAGGGAACCGTGGAGATGGCCAGGCCAAGTACTGCAGCCATCAGGTCGGACTCCATTTCCCCTCCGTACGAATACGAAGCGCTGGCCAGGGAGGAAACGCATCTGACGTCAGACATGGAGCCCGATGGGACGATAGCCGTGTGCTCAGACACTTGGCCCAAGCACCGGTGTCGATCGATTTGCTCCGTGGACAAAAGTGTACAACGTCTCATCTTGTTCCTCGCGGGGCAGCGAAGAGAGGGGCACAACGCCAATCGCGGCTCGCTTACGGTGAACCTTGTCGCAGGGGCGCCCTGTGTGGTGGTCGGTGACGGACCATTGACCCATTTGGTCCAGTTGTTATCAGATCCTGGTCCCGGCAATCTATGAATTTTGTACGGAGGAATGTGGCATTGACCGGGCCGGTCAAGCTGGCTGCTGTAAGTGATAGACATCTATGTAGGTACCCTATTTAGGATATGAAATAAAACCTGGCCAGGGAGTCGAGTGGACCGCATTCGTGGGCACGAAATACGAGAATCTCGAAGTAGATTGTTGCATGGTACCACGCCTCGTCCTGTTCAGGTCCTAAGTACAGCCTTGACTTTGAGGACTATACGTCGATCCTTCAGCTATCCACATCTTCGACAAACTAAGTAGGTCCCAGGAGAAGGTGGAGGTACCGCCAGCAAACCCATGTCTGGGACAGTTAAGGAGGGGTTGGGATTGTTACCACCCTGGAAAAGAACGGCAGGATCGACCTCCTGGCGTTGCCTTCTTGGAATCGGAGAAGTACATAACTGTTCGCGGGGATTGCGGGATGTGGACGAGTCTCATGGTCTTTCTTTTTGTTGCCGATGGGATCTCCGGCCCCGAAATAGTCTCCGAGCAAACCAAACCCCTCTTTGGACGAAATCCTCCTGTGCAGCCTGGATCCTGGGCAAAAAGTATACTATGACTCATTCACGAGTTGGCCAACTAGCCTAATGCCATTTACAAGTTCTGGGGGTCCTAGCTCATCGCATGCTCTGTACTCGACGATCTAGATTGATCTTTGTATAGTGGTTGTCCGAACACATACATGGTTGTATTTCCTATCTCTGGAAGTTTCCCAAGCAGGTACCCGCATAAAACCCTATCAGGAAACAGATCTGCTTTCTCATAGTGGAGGGATAATTGGATTCATTCTTTGCTGATCCTGACGGGTTCTTCAAATTTTTCGTTTCTCTTTCCTTTCGTGGTGGACCGGCTGGACGGCTGGAGTACTCCACCACCTGTGCCGTGGGACGGCATCGTCAGTGATGTCGAAACACGTTGTGTAATGTTGATCACCAGCCTCTCTAAAATTCAAACTAGGTACCAGAAACTTGAAAAATATTGATAAACTATTCTCCTCCAACCACATTGAAAATAGAAGCAAGCCAAAAGAACAAGGGTGTAAAATAAAAGGAGGCGTGTCTACTAGAAATCTACGGTCGCTATTGCAGTCTGAAGCCACGGCTGCACCGGCTCAACGGCGTCCGGACTGTACAGGAAGTTTCGGACATAAGCATGCACGGAGTGCAGATACTATTTCAACGGGCTAGTCCGGACAGCTGTGGAGAGTACTACTAGTGAACAGAGAATCACCGGTGGAAAAGAAGCAATGCCAAGAACCATGCAATCCTACGGCTTCTTCCGCCCTTCTCAATCTCCGAAAAATTACTTGAAAAGTGTACCCGGCTCCGAGTCGCTGAGCTAGTAGATCTACTCATACTACCTGGTAACTAAACGTCCCAGATGACAAAGAGCATGGCGAATGGCGAATGGAGCATAATACTCGATCAGGCGAATCAGGTGACCGGTGCCGGATATACGGACGAGGCTATCAGGGTCCGTGGTCGGGCCATCTTGCCCTATGCCGAGTGGAGTCCGTCAATAGTTAACTAATTAGTCGTTAAAAAATCGAGTGGGTCTCCGCGACAAAGTCCCTCATGGCCTGTCCAAGACTCCTTGACAGTTCAGTTCCATGATTGAAAAGGCCGTGGCCCACTTTGAATAAACCCCTAGCGCCATGGCCTTAACATAGTGGAATCAGAGGGGATTACTGAATTTTCTGGGCTGCTAACCAACTGGTAGTAGTTTTTTTCCCCCTCTTATTTTGTGATTGGTAAGCGGGTGAAGGGTGAATCAAAAGAATGTTTGGACCAAGAAGAAAAGCTTCTCGAAGCGGCTTCCGCGACCTTCCACTAGCCCCACGCCCTATAGGGAATATGCTTCAATGTCAGCTTCCACAGAGCCAACCTCCACCTTTTGGAGCGATAATAGGGCGTAGCGATATTTAGTGCAAGGTAAAGATATTTCTTGGAGTCTGATCGTGGAGGAGCAAAGGAATCAATGACCTTGTTAAAAAAAAGGCAAAGAAAAATGGGATACGGGTTCAAATATTTGATCGGTAAAACGGGCCAGTCGGGCCTCCAGTAGCTGTCTGCGGTAGATCGCACGCTCAAGAGGTACGTCCTGTGATACACAAGCCGGCAAGACCTAATAGGAAGCTCTGCATGAAGCTTCCCGGGGCACCGCATGGGCCCGGTGCTTTATAGATTGCATCCAACAGGGCGCCGGTGCATGTACGATGATGTTGCTCCTCCCCTCTTGCCATGTCATGCCCAGCGTGCGCCACGAATCATTATACTACCTAGTTCCGGCCGTCAAAAAAACAGTATTCATCATCGAAAGCCCAGCAGAGTGGGTCTCGATCGTCGTTCCCATGACGATACTCATTTACCTGTTCGCTCGCAGGGACCCTTCCCGCGTCATCCGTACCTGGCCCAGCTTGTCCTTGAGGCAGACCGCTCCCCAACTCTCCGCGGGCGCATTGGGGAAACGACTAAATGATCACCTGGAGATATCGGCGATGGCAAATTCAGAATCCATTATGTGGTTATCCGGATCTTCTCCATGGTCGGGATCAAGGAGCCTTCGTCCGGGCTTCCTCTCCCGTTCGGCGTGAGCCACTGCCGGGATACCCGGGTTGAGCTTCCATGTCTGGTGATAATCCACCAAAGTGGCTACGGACCGCTCACGGGCTCGTCTTGGCGAATAGATTTCCTTCTGTGATCGTGGAGAATGAGAATCTCGGACTGCTTATAAATTGAGTCGGGCCCCCATATTGCGACGCGACAATGCGCATTCCATATAGTCTGAATCCTGCCCAGCAATTTCTTACCTTGGACCGATCCTTGCGAAGCCACCCTCCGCACCTTTTCTTAGCGCAATTTGTCTAGCTTCCCCCTTCTAAAACCTTTTTCGTGGTTTTCGCAGGCTAGAGCGTTGTCTGGATTCTCTAGAGAGCTCATCCACTCGTCAGTATGGTGTCGCAAACGATCGTCGCAACACCCCAACATCCCGGACGGAGCGAGCGCGGCTCCGAGAGCGACAGCTCACTGGATGAGATTGCGGAGCAGAAGCAGAAGCTGTTTGTCACCGCGCTGGGCAAGCATGGCAAAGATCTCGACAATTCAGCCTCCCCCAAGCGGTGGAAGACCTTCTGGTCCTCCTTCCGCTACCTAGCCAACCTGACCCCGAAACAAGTGGACGACTTTATGGCGTCATACGTTATCTACAACCTTGATTGGTCCGACGAGAAGCAGATGACAGAAGAACTGGGCCCCAATTACCAAGAAAAAGTTGGCGATTGCTTGAAATCTTACTATGGAGTTCTCAATCACCTTTGCGCATTGGGAGACGTGGAGAAAATGTATATCCCGCCGTGGATGAGTCGCAAAGCCACCGTCCTGGAGAACCAAATTCTATATGAACGATCAATTGCGCAGGACATTGGTCTTTCAGCGGGCGACAAGGTGCTCGATCTCGGCTGTGGCCGTGGACGCGTCGCCGCGCACATGGCGCAGCATACCGGAGCTCATGTCACCGGGTTGAACATTGACCCCAACCAGATCGCCCAAGCCAAGACGTTCAATCAAGAGCGCGGGCTCCAGAACAACTTCGTCGTTCAGGACTTCAACAGCCTCCCGCTACCCTTCGCCGACCAAAGCTTCGACGCCTTCTACCAGATTCAAGCCCTCAGTCTCTGCAAGGACCTGCCCGCCCTCTTCCGTGAAATTTTCCGCGTCCTCAAGCCTGGTTCCAAGATCTCCCTTCTTGACTGGATCAGCCTTCCCGCCTACGAACCCAAGGATCCGGAGCACGCCGAGCTTATGCGGCGCGTCAAGCCTTTGATCGGAGCCGTCGGCACCCCCACCCAGGAGAGCCTGGAGACAGCGCTAGTCGAATCCGGGTTCGAGATCGTGCGCTCTGAGAACGCTAGTATCGACGGGCTACAGGCTCCGCTCATCGACACTGTCGACCTATACTTCCGCACCTTGCGCCAAGTCATCCTCGCCCTGGTTAAAGTCCACGTTCTTCCTCGTCACTTCAAGACCCTGATCAACCGTCTGTGTTTGGACGGTCAGGCTTTTGTTAAGATGGATAACATGCGCCTGGCTACTACAAGCTATAGCATCATCGCACAGAAGCCCCGAGCTTGAGTTTTGTGCGGGGCAAGGTGCGGCAACGCCGCCCCACCCAAAATTCCTCCCTTCCCCCAATCAGCAGGCGATGGAGGGAAGGAGGAGGAGGGTGTGAATAACGGATGAGAGGTGGCGAAGCTGTTCGCATACGATCTCGAATTTCGTGATAGGGGCCAATACTCACCCCACACTTAGTCCATACACAAAACATACTGCATATTGCGCATTCCGTCGGTGCTTGACACTTCAGCGCATCGTCTCCATCGCCGCCTATGACCGGCATATTTTGCGCATCGGCCGATCGGTCCTCATTTTTATAAATACCCTGTATCATAACTAAAGGCTTTAGAGGCTTTGGGAGTTTTTTGATTGTGATTATTTTGTCGTTCTTGAAATTCTAATTGCTTTTTCGGGCTTTCGTTTTTGGAGCTGAAGTTTGCGCTGGAGCAGTTTTGGAGTTTTGCTTTTTCATTTTGCTTTCGAAGAGTCAGTGCTAAACGAATTACATATGGATCCTAATTATTTTGACTGCCAGTTTCTAATTATTAGTCTCATGATGAATTTATGTTACTTATTCTCGGATCACCTCATTTTCGAATACCGTACGTTCGTATAAATGGCTAAGTTGGAGCTAGGTCCCGTCATCTGGGTGCCCCAGCTCTGCGACAGAAAACTAGCATGAGATTGAGTCAATTGGCAGGCGAGTTTTTATTGCTACTCGCTGTTACTCCGCGCAGTAAAGAGAAATCTGGCGTTTAAACCTTAACAAATCTATGCTCCCTAGCTGACCAGGTGAGCATCGCCTTATTCGGATCTCCTCCAGCGCAAGCGAGTGCCTTAGCGTATGGACACAAATTCATCGTTCGAATGGCTCTCAAACTACACGCGGATATTCCAATTCAAAAAACAGTATTTGGCACAGTCCCTTTTCGATCCAGCTTTGAAGAAAAGCAAAAGCGCTGTCTCTAGGATTCCGCCGAACGCTCCACCGCAGCGCCCAGCCTCAAGTGCGAGGAAGGATCGACAGTAATATTTGATATGAAGATTCAGACTCAAGGCCGTCTCTGAATGATCAAAATTGTCCCCGGGGGTAAACAGGTGATCTGTCATTTCATACCACGTGAGCTACTTGATATCCTAGATCTATAAGTTGATTGGGTCTGAATTGTCGGTACCAATAGCTGAATAACCAGAAGAGGCGCTGACAATCATCAAATTAAAATCTGAACTGTGGAAATCCCAGAAAGAATTCCGTACCAGAAAACTTCGTATCAATCATGAGCGGCGGAAAAAGGTGTAAGGGTGTAGTCATCGAGAGTGTTATCTGAAGCCTCAAAGGTTTTTGTCAAGGATGTATCCCAATAGTAAGAATACCCCATAAAACGTCCATTCCCCAGTTTTAAACCCACTCAAACAGCGTTGACAAACTCGGTCATTTTGAATTTCCCAGGGTAAGAGATAATATTATCCTTAAAACCATCAAGTGTGTCACAGGTAGCTCTGGCTGCATCTAGGAAAACATCCACGATAAACGCAGCCGATTGAATATTTTGAGTAAAAACTAGCAAAGACAACATATAGTTGCTTGAAGCAAATAAGCAAGGATCCCCGCCAAAGATTATTGGAAATTCCTATTTGTTGAGATTTTGCCTAGTCCAAACAGAAGAGCCTTCTGCTTGAAACCTCCAGAGCCAACGGACGAGAATATTCCACCATTTGCTCAAGCCAGATGATGGGGGGGGGGATCATCGGATTGACCACAAAGCACCATTCTTCACCATCGCCAATACCAATATTACGTATAGTTTCTTTACTGGTGGTGATCGAACCGTTCAGTTTATATCTTCTCAAGGCCGACAAAATACAATCATTCATGGGGATGGGCTTAGATACTAAATGATTCATGACCATCACCAAAGGTCGGCATTTAAATCTACATATGGCAAATTCGAATGGGTGGTTGTTCAGACGAAAATTCACTATATCAAACATCTAATTTGGGATCATTGGGAACATGGAAAGGGCCGCGGAAGGATAAGATTTTGCCTGGCTCCGGGAATTGGCGGAAACGAAATCGACCGTGCCGTAACTCCGTGTATTCGTTCCTATCCCACTTTGCTGACAGGAGGTTCCCTTAATCTGATCGCGGGAATTAGATATACAGGTTGAGGAATTTCACCACTCATTCATTGATGAGTATTTCTAGAGGGATGTGTTGGCCTGAGGCATCCGTCTTTGTCGATCGCCTTGGCCTTGGCCTTGTGGGGTACTGGAAACATCGGAGTATGCCAAGTCATGACGTTACTGATCACCACTCTCCGTTGAGAAGAGAGTTCTAGACCCGATAGACATTCCATGGTCTAGAGCTGTCAAGTATGGACCGAGGGTAACCTTCATTCCTTTTGCAGCCTAAGCCAGATCGATGATTCAAACTGGTCTTCGCCACTATCTCTGATGGTTCCTTCGCAAACAAATCTGATGACCGGCTACTCGTTCGCTTAGGCAATGGTGTAGCAAATAAAGCAGCGAACACTCTGATTGCTCTGCATGTTATTTAACTTCAATTATTTCATTTCTTTTTCAAAGTTTTCTGACAGTTTGCTTTATTTCTAGCAGTTTCCAGTCAACTTGCTTTTCCTTGCCTCTCGTTATTGTCAGCTAGAGACATGGCTATACAAATCCGAGGACACAATGAAATATTTTCATACTGCTCGGTATAATCTATTTCTCCAATAATTGACTTGGTATCCAAAGCGAGAATCCGAAAGCCAACCTCTGATACCAAGCTAATTAGTAAATTCCTTCGAGATTGATGTGCGCCCTAAAGCCCGGACCCGCATTGATCACCTTCATTTTCTGCATAATATACGATAATACTGTCTTTTAAAGCACGGAAATTTTCTTTTCTATGCTTCTCGCGATGATCACAGACTTCTCATCAATAAATCGAGTGAAAAAGTGCGCAATGACAATAATGACACCAGCTGTAATCAGGAAAGAAGCAGTCCACGCTGACCAAAATGGTAATGTATAGTAGATTGCTTCTACTGTACCGGGATATGGTTTCTGCGAGATCAGAAACCACACAAGATCTCGAATCGGTTGTAGTAGCATGAAGTACACACTCGGATGTACTAGGTAAAGTGAGAAGGAAATTTTGCCAAGGTACTGAATTGGCCGTGAATTCAGTGGGTATTGTAAGTAATTTGATTGGCTAATCGCGAAAATAACAAGAACAGCACCAATTGTCTCCCAGCACTCATTTGCAGTGAGAGTGTCGTGCCAGTAAGGTGATTGAATAGATTGCAAGAACTGATACCCTGGAGGCAATACGCTATAAGCGTCAATGCAGATGAAATAGAGTCCTAACAGAAGAAAAGCGGATGTTCGAATTAGGTCAAAGATTGTCGACTTGGTGATATTTTTCCATGCTCGAATGATCGTTCTTGGTGGCTTCGTGGACTCGGCCGGAAGGCACAGTTCGCCATCCCCTTCCGCCATTTCAGACATAATTCGTCTTTCTGCTAGCAAAAGGCCCACCAAGAACGCAAACAGATCCCAGTATCCCAGGTAAAGCCAGAAGGCAGCCATCATTACCAATTCAAGACATCGGTACCGAGGATTCCTGAATGAAGTGGCCAGTATCGTCAAGTACACAATCAACGATCCACGATATTCGATAGACATGGTCCAAAGATGAATGAGATAAATCCTCGTGGGCCTGTTTGCGGCAACCCAATCCAATAGACTAGCCATGTCCGAAAAAAGCTGTTTAATATGCACCCACGGCTCTTTTAACGGGGAAACATTATCAGGGGTTTCGAGATGATATAAGTTGAGAAAGAACAAGACGTGAGAAATGATCAATAAAGTAAACACTGGTATAAATAGGCGGAACGTCCGGCGGGTCGCGGCGGAGGCTAGGCGACGTAAAAACGCCGCTTGATCTATCGCGATGAGACTAGTCTTCCGAACCCTGACCAAGGACATAGAAATTGAAAAGCCGGAGATCACAAAAAATATTGTCACCATTGACGGTGCTGCAAATAATAATTTGATTGGAGGAAGCTGGAAGAAATGACGATTCTCTTCTGGGGGATCGGCCCAAAAGGAGCGAAAAACTGCTGCAAATTGGGGCTCAAGATCGAATGCATGATCAAAGCTCACAATGGCTGCCGCGATGCCACGAAGGCCGTCAAGCCAGTGAAGACGTTCCATATCAAGAAAGCTGGGAAGACCAGATCATGTCCTTGAGCTTCTTTCATGTTTCAATTGAACGGAAATGGGCTAGTTTATATTAGATCTGGATATCCTGAGAAGTTGAGGGCCATGGCCACATGGGAATCTCACGTATGATCGGTTGATGAGTTACACTACTTCCATGAAACCTCTTGGGTTTGACAATAAAAATAAAAGAGAGAAGCAAACGGACCGGCTTTCCAGATCGTCGGCATTGTTAGCTCGTCTTGAAGCCCATCCCTGGGAGAGCCTCTTAGGGCATGCAGTGCCACATCAGGCCCGGCACGCTAGTCCGCGTTAGGATAATTCGATACATCCCTGCTCCTTGTTTCTCCCCCACCAAACGAGGGCCATCTCCTGGGCTCCTTCTTCCAGTGCTGCAGGAGTACGTCTACCTCGCAGCCTCCGCTCCATTGAATCTCTCCGAGCCGTTTCCGCCTGTCCGGGCACCTTTACTTGCCTTTAATCCAAGTCGAGGAATCCTAGATTCTTCCCCTCGCCTCCCCGCCTTTTTCCTCCACAAAACCCACCCTCGATATCTCATGTCCCCCCTACCATCCTCCGTGACAGCCTTGTCGGCGCCGGGCAAAGTCCTCCTGACGGGTGGATATCTGGTTCTGGATCGTGCCTATACGGGCACTGTCTTCGCGCTTGATGCGCGCATTCATGTCGTCGTGCAGCAGTTGAGGAGGGGTCATCGTCGTGGGCAGTCCACATCAAGCACAGATCCCAAGGCCGCCGTGTCCACTGGCGAAGGGGAAGAGTCGGAAGCTGAAGATACCATCGTGGTGCGGTCGCCACAATTTGTTAATGCGGTCTGGGAGTATCGCGCCCAGCGATGCGACCATGGCGGGGGGTCAAGGTGGTTCAAAAAAACGAGGGGTATGCGATTCCCTTTCCGCGAAATATTGGCAACATTGGCTTCGATCACTAATTCCATTTCTCTTTCCAGTCCCCGAAACCCGTTCGTTGAAACCTCGCTCAGCTACGCCTTGACCTACATCAGCTATGTCGCTGACTCCAAAGATTTCGGCTCTCTGTCCATCACCATTCTCGCGGATAATGACTACTACTCCGAGACAACTACCTCCAAAGGTCCTGCGTCCCAGGGCAGGAGTGGACGCTTCGTCAATTTCGGCGTTCCTCTGCAAGATGCCCACAAGACGGGACTGGGCTCCTCGGCAGCCCTGGTCACTGCCCTGGTCTCGGCTCTGGTAATCCACCGAACTATGCAAGCTGATGATCTTGGCGCGGGTCGCGACAAGCTACATAACCTGGCCCAGGCCGCCCACTGCGCAGCCCAAGGCAAGGTGGGGTCAGGATTTGACGTCGCTGCAGCCGTTTACGGATCGTGTCTTTACAAGCGCTTCTCGCCTGCGATTCTCGAGTCGGTGGGCGATGTGGGCTCCGCTGGATTCGAGGAGCGATTATTCGCGGTTGTCGAGGATGCTGACCAGGCACACCCCTGGGACACCGAGTGCGTGGATTTCGGCATGCAGCTCCCTCGCGGGATGCAAATGGTCCTGTGTGATGTGGAATGCGGCTCGCAGACACCGTCAATGGTGAAGAAGGTCCTCCAGTGGAGGAATGAGAATCGCAAAGAGGCCGATATTCTCTGGGCTAGTCTGCAGAACAACAATGAACGCCTGCGACAGGAGCTCAAGCGTCTGGCACAGCACCCGGACGCCACAGCCGATAATGACTTCTCTGAAATTCGCACCTATATCGAGCGCACTCGACACCACATTCGCACTATGACCCGCCGGACGGGCGTTCCTATCGAGCCGAGCGTGCAGACTGAGCTGCTGGACAGCGTCTCTGAGATCGACGGGGTCATCGGGGGTGTTGTGCCGGGCGCAGGAGGTTACGATGCCATTGTCCTCCTGATTCGGGATGACCCTACCGTCATAACTCGACTTAATCAGCACTTCGCCGATTACAAGAGTGCCGTGGAGGATGATTTTGGCGGCAAAATTGGCAACGTGCGGCTGCTGGGCGTGCGGCATGGGTCTGAGGGAGTGAAGAATGAAATGCTGGACCAGTACGCTGGCTGGGTCTAGATTTTGGGAGTCCGATCTCTCTTTATTTTTTTTTCTTTCTTTTTCTCTCATTTTCTATGGTTCTAAAACCGGCCAAGCAGCTCTGCCTTCTTCGCAAGAGGTCTCCGTCTGCAACGTGTCTTCAGCCGGCCTATTGCACTCTGGACCAGGTTCACCACGCCTTCGGAGACCCGTATGAGATGGAACCGCACGAGCCGTGGCCCGTCAAACGCGAAAACGCCGACGGTCTGTTCTCAGATTCTTACATGGCTCCATGCACTCCCGTCTGTTCTAATGCTTAGCACTCTTCTGTGTGTTGCTTTGCTCTTATGACTCACCTCCATCTGCAGCACGGACGAGTGGTATATGGCGATTATTGCTATCTAGCCATCTATCAACAACGGATTCGGGTAAATAAATCCCAGTCCTGTCTGTGTGCGACCGTGCTTTGTTTGTTGGGTGGTTTCGGTCTGGCCTAGACGGCGTGGAACTTGGTCATAATAGACATCTGGACATGGGTTTAGGGTGCTGGTTTTTTTTTCTTTTTAGGATTACGATGACATGGGATTATCAGCATACACTACGGTTACCCAGTTTCTTCTAGCATCCAGCATTCAATGGATACGGAAAGCATTACGCCTAGCGAGCCTGACCTGTTCCGAGACGATTTCTAGTCCAGATGGCGCGCCCATCTTCATGGCACGTGTCTAAATATGGATTGCGATCGATTCTTATTATTAATTTGCCGGGATATTCTACATGCACCTTCGGCTTACCGGGAAGTGAGACATCACAGGTACGATCCTGGGTGGCAGTCTGCTCGGAGAGTAGAAGGGCCTTGACCAAGTAGATTCAGTAGATCGCCAATGTATCCAGTGAATACCTTCTCCAGGGCGCAGGAATTCAGTACGTCAGATGTCGAAAGGTCGAAATATCGAAATATCGAAATATCACGGTCATAGCTCGGCCATCAGTGTATATACATGTATATACTTCACTACACACTATAGATCGGTTCAACGAGCCAATCCATCACATGAGGCTGGGGTATCTCTTGGCTGTCTTAGTGCTTTTTTCCCCGGATCTTCCTTATCAACGCTTTCTAATTCCTCCATGTTGTCGTTTCCCGGCTTCCCAGATTCTTCTCTCATCTTCCTTTCATCTGTCATCCACTAGATCGGTTGGACTATATCGTAAGATTCTCGTTCAGTTGCGGAAGTGCGGCATTTCCTTCAGCCTTTACGGTTTCACTTAGCTGGCCTTGGTTGTGCCGATCCCCTTACACCCGTCCACCAACAACTGAACCCTTCCACCGATCGTCCTTATAAACGATATCATCTCCCATGTCCTTCCTTTATACTCGGATTCATTCGTGTTTGCTGTACAGTATCGTCTCCGGGTCGGGTGCGATCCCATTAGTGACAGACACTATTCTTGCGCCTCCCGCTTAGGTCGACTCCTCACGTCTGGACCGATCGACCATCTCTTTTCCTGCTTCCTCTCTCCTCCTCTCTTCCACCTCCCCCAATTGCCCCAATCCGCCCATCCCTCGTTGGCAAGACCCCTCTCTAATTTCCCACTCTCTGGGAAAGTTCACCATCGGCCATCGGGGTAACAACTGCGATGTCTTCCGACCACCCGGAGCCCGGGGTGTCCGACCCCAAAGGCCAGCACGAGTCGGGGGCGACCGCAGCTTCTCCGCAGCAGAGCTCCAACCCGCAACCCGTCGCGACAGAGACCGCCGACGCCTCATCCAAGCCAGTGCCCGTCGCTGAATCCGCTACCACGGTCGTCCCGGCCGAACCTGTCCAGCCTGGCGACAATCCAGCCACTGCGATCCAACACCCCGCAACCGGTGGCGAAAGCGTCGCCCCCGTGACGGCAACGGAGACCACTGCATCAACCGACCACGATCATACTACACCCGAAAACGCTGATACCGTCGGCCAGCCTCAGACCACCGACGCACCGTCAATGGATACCGATGAGTCAAAGCCGGGCGCCGAGCTGTCGTCTGAGCCGTCCGAGGACATCTCGGGAAAGGAGGTGGAGGATACCGGGCCGTCGCTAGCTCTGACATTACTGCTGACAACGGGATCGCGACACCCGTTTAAGATCGATGCGAAGTATCTGCGGAAGCAGTCGGTGAATGTGGAGAATCATGATCCGTTCGCGATGAGCGTCTATACGTTGAAGGAGTTGATATGGCGAGAGTGGCGATCTGGTAAGTCCCGGGCACCATCATCCCGAGGGAGCTGTTGCGAGTCAAAGAGTTGAACTAATCTTGCCGTTCATGGGTTAGACTGGGAAGCTCGCCCATCCTCCCCGAGCTCGATTCGGCTCATATCCTTCGGAAAATTGTTGGATGACAAGGCGCCTCTGTCCGGTACGTCTTTGCAGTGCTTATCACCCACATGTCCGCCTCCTAAAGGACAAGACCCCATCAAAACTAACCTCCTCCAGACTCGAAGTTCAGCGCCGATCACCCGAATGTCGTACATATGACCGTCAAGCCGCAAGAAATGATCGACGAAGAAGACGCCAAGGGAACCAAAACTCAGTATAACCGCGAGCGTGAAGCCGGCGAGCGAAGTCCCGGCTGCCGCTGTGTCATCCTATGAATGAGTTTGAGGATGGCTTGACCGCATCTTAGAACTTGCATCCCTTCCACGTGTTCTCCAATTCGAATAGGTCCCGGGGCCATGAGCACATTCTTCTAGGATCATTCGGTTCTTCCTGCACAATACTTATTTTCACCCTTCCCTTCTCCGCCTCGCCACTATTTGCCGTCGTGACTATTCGAGCAAGCCTGCCTGGCAGCAGGATTAACAATCCCGGTGTGGCTACCCATGGCTCCTATTATTGAATATGCGCTCCGGAAGCAGCGTCTGGACCTTCTTCTATCGCCTTGTTTCTTCCACTTGTTTTTCTTTCTATTTATTTCTCGACCTATTGACTCGATGTCATGATTTGTTTTGCTTTTGCTCGCCTGTCTGTTCCCCATTATGCTCAGTCTTCCCTGGATCTACTCGAATATTTACTGCCCACCATCTTGTACATGGGACATGAACCAAGCTCGCTCACCGAAAGGCGCCCCCGGGGTTCTAATTGTTGCCTTCCCACTCCTTGTTGCATTGCTTCCTACTCTATTCCCTACTTGCCAGTTCTCTCCCACCTTTTCTCGATCTACTACCTATATACCCCTGATCCGATCCTTTTTCTCCTTCCCCCTTCTGTCCTCCCTCCTTTCTCTTTCCCTTTCTTTCCTGTCCATTCCCTATATGGCTTGTCTTCGGACTTGTGCATCTACGAGTTTGTATCTCTTTGATTGTCGGTATTCATGGTTTTTTTTGTGTCTCTTTTTCTTTGATTCATCCTCGTAGTGTATATATTGGTTCTAAGAGATATACCTGAAATACGTTTCCATCCGCTAAGACAAGAGGCCCTATATTACGATTTTACACTGTTAGTATTTCTGGAAGTAATTCTCGTCCATAACATGTTTATTCCCTCGGGCAGACGAAGTATTGTAATAACTTGCCGAGTTCATCAACTTAGGATATAAACAAACATTGACTCATCGTGTTATTACCTATGGTTTCGATACGTGAAAAGCTGCTCGAAAGATGTTTCTTGACCATTGAAGCCATCAACGATGTTGTGCACATGAAATGGAAGATCTTCGGGTAAGGTTCTCTCTCCATGCTGGTAGACCACCTCGTAATTTATATAGATCGGAACAATACATTGGATTAGCTATATCGTGCTTTGCCTGACATCACGGCGCGTGCCATATGGACATAGCCTGACACAATGCTTCTGTTCCGAACATCTATCTATCGTTGACGTAATGGGACGTGGGAGGAGCGGAAGGGGGAAAGAGACTAATTGAACATGTCGACCAGAGTATTCGGGGGGGAAAGAAATATTGACCCAGAGAAGCAACGTAAGAAACACAATTCATCAAATAAGGCCAGGGACTGAGTCTTAATAGTCCATCTTCAGTCTCTTCTCCATCTCGTCGTGGAACGAGGGCGGTTCCCGGAACTCGTCGCCTGTAAGATGTCATTACCGTTAGCCAAGTCCCTCGAATCATGTGGGCATACGTTGCGAGGAAGCTCGCAGGGCTAAACTTACCATGGAACACATCCTCCCATCCAAGCTCGGCATCCCGCCCACCGAGGACTAGAATATCCTCGTGGATGTTACCGCCGTGGACGCCGCCTAGCACGGCAGGGCGAAAGGTCCCATCCCGAACGATCTTCAGCTCCATGCCGCGGCGGACGGGCTCAGCGATGCCGTATGCCCGGCGCAGTGACTCCATCTTCATTGCATCTTGGGTGGCGCGCCAGGCGAGGAGTCGGGCCTCGAGCGGGTGGCCCGATGACGGGACATCGCTGGCGGCTGGGCTGTTGGTCGAGGAGGCGGTGGCGCTGGCGGGGAGAGTGATCTTGTTACGGAGGGTGTCGGGAAGACCGGGAGCTGAGGGGGCACCCTTCGATGGTCGCGGGGCGCTATAGGGGGTTTGTTGCCGGGTTGAGGTGTTCGAGGTGGAGGTGCGGTGGCCGCTGGGGGGTGCGATGCGGAGAGACTGGATAGGCTTGGTTAGCTATAGTTTATTTGATGAAAGGTGATTATTTTGTATAATTCAGGTCATATTTCTTTGGAGCTTTTTGACCCGGTCATTGAAGAGGTTCACTGCTGTAGAAGAGCCTTGGGGATTGCCTCGGACATGGGACTTGACGGGAGAATGAGGTAAGGACGCCCGAGCAGCTTGATAACGCACCATTATGAAGGATTTGGAAGCAATTTCCGAGATCGAAATTGCAAGTTAAAGTGGGAGGTAAAGTTTAGAAGGACTGCAGGAGATAGAGAGAGAAAGATGCGAAGAAGGAGAGGTATGAGGGAGGATGATCGAAATGCGGAGGACGACAGCATCAGGCAGAGAGCAGCAGCGCGTCCAGCTCCTCCGGCCGCCCACATGAACCATACCCGCAACTCCATATCAGGTCACGTGTCAGAGTCAATCCTCATCCGCAATTTGGATCCTGAACGGGACGGAAAATCACCAAACTACCAAACCAACACACTCCAACCCACATGCCTCAATTAATATCCTCCTTGGCTCTTCGGGCCTTGCGGACTCTGGTCCAACGCCCTACACTATCAGCGACACCTCTTCGCAGCTTGACGACCTCCACCGCTGGTGCCTTCGCCCGCCGCGCAGCAACCCCGATGACCGCCCGCTTCGCTTTCCACCCCGTCTTCCGCACCCAAACTGCCCTCTCTCTCTCCGCCGCCACTGCCCGTCGTCAATTTTCCAGCTCGCCCATAGTTCGCGCCACTTACAACCAAGTGCGCCGCGGGTGTCGGGGCGGCCAGCGCGCTCGGCGGTCGCGCTCGCCCGCGCTGAAGGACCACCCATCGATGAAGGGTGTGTGCATCAAGACCGGTATCACCAAGCCCAAGAAGCCCAATTCTGGTGAGCGAAAGACGGTCCGTGTGCGTCTGAGCTCGGGCAAGGTCGTCAGTGCCATCATCCCCGGCGAGGGCCACAACATCCAGCAGCACAGCGTGGTCCAGGTTCGTGGTGGTCGTGCCCAGGATTGCCCTGGTGTGAAGTACCACTTGGTTCGTGGCGCGATGGATCTGGTAAGTCTTGGACATTCCTGTTCTTCCCGGGATGGGCTATTGAGCCCTGTTGTCTTTCTGTATGCGGTTTGAAACTAACGGCATTGGTTAGGGTGGTGTTGGAAGCCGGGTGACCAGCCGGTCTAAGTACGGTACCAAGAAGCCTAAGGGTAACTAAGGGCCTGAGTGAATAGGCCATTTTTCTCCGCATCGAGAGAGCTGGTAATGTGCCCATTAAGAGTCTGAGGCCGAATCGAGTTTGGTTGGTTTTGGTCGAATGCTTTATCTGTAGGCTTGGTATTTTCCCTGCCATGTAGCATTTTTTTTCATTTACATCCTGTACTTATTAAATGGCGAATGCGTGACTTATTGGATTGCATGTATTATTATGAATTGAGCTTGTTCTGCTCTTGACTTTGAAATCATTTCCGTTGTAGAAGACCTAAGACTGGAAATAGTGATAATTTCCACCCTCCGTACGTTGACCACTATCGCACGACATGTCATTTGACTGGGCAAAGGACGCTGATAGTTCATCACTGATCTTCAATTTGTCAGGTATAACTCTTTTAGTCTTACATGAACGTTGGGAGATAGACATTGACTGTAAGAAGTGCCAACAAGTAGTTCGGAAATGAAGCCCAGGATTCTTAATTTCGAGATATCCAAAGTAGAAATATAGCCTTGTCAGATAAACTAGAGCAAGCATGAGCCAGAACGTTTTTTTTTTCTCTTCTTTTGGAACCAGATTTAAATCAAAATGTAGAAAGATATGGGAGAACCGCTGCTCATCCGATGGGGATCCTCTTGTACTCCGGCCGATGCAACAAATACTGCAGGAAAAGAAAACCTAAACGCTGCCGACAACCCAGGTAATAAAACATGACGGGCATCGAGCAGAATCTGTCGAGCCATGGAAGAAAATAGAATGAGAGAAAGGAGAATTTAAACAACCCAAATTGAACCAAACAAACTTGTCCTTCAAACGCCCGGGTTTGACGGTTGAGATCTCATAGAAAGGGAAAGGTAGAGTCTTGATTCGATCTCACAGAGAACTTGCTTTATCGGACATGGCAGTGCGAGTTGCCTGTCGTCTTTTCATTTGTCGCTCACCGAGCGATATTTGTAGGTGCCACGGCACGCTTCGACAAAATCAACTAGACACTCAATCGCAAATCGTATGCGCAGCATGGTCCACACCCGCACATCGTGACTGGCAACGAGGACCATTGTACTGATCAGGAGCAGCACAACGACATAACGACCGAGAGCCGCGAGTCAATCCCCCTGGTCCCAACCATCTGGCTTTTGTAGGTTGTTGACCTGGAACCACCGGTTGGTGCCTGGATTGGGCTGTCAGTACGAAGCGTACAACAGATCGGAAAAGGAGTGTTGGGGGGATGGCGTCACGGGGACTTACATGAATAGCCCTTCCAGTCAAAGTTCTCCTCCGGCTTGCAATTGCAGCGAAGGTCCAGCCTTGTTTTCTCATCACTCGGGCAGTGAGTGAATGGGACGTGGTAGTAAGCAATTTCGTTAAAGAAGTGGATTTGCTCTTTCTTGAGCATGGTCGCAGCGGCGATCGAGTGAACAGGAGCGTCGCCCCATCGCTCGTAGAAAAATCCACCGTCCTGGTCCAGGGAAGAGAAGTATTCGATGTACTGCTTGGACCGCAGCCATTCCAGGCTGCCAATCTCAAAGTTGGACCACTGTCAGTTAAAAACAAACATTAGTTCGCTGGAGTTTCCAAAGTTGTTCTGTTATAGATACATACGAAATGGCACTTGTTATACGTCTCGCCGCCATCATCACTGATGAATTCCATGGCGTTGCCGGCGGGAATGTGTTCAGGATGGTTACCCATGAACTTCTGGACGCTGGACCACAGGGTGGGAATGGTCTCGATGTATTCATATAAGCTGATGACAAAGCTGTACTTCTTGTTGTTCTCTTTCATGAAGCGGAAAGGGTCGGAGGGGATGTCACAGAAGAGCTCAATGCTCGGTTCCACGCGCCAATAGTATTCGTAGTTCAGCATGATGGGGTGGCGGAAGAAAAATCCCGATTCGTAACGGCACATATGGCGATAGCTCTCTGAGTCGCCGTAGATGATCTTCTTGCGACCCATTTCTTCTCGCGCCTCGCGCGCTTTGTCCTCATCAATCCAGGAGGGATAGGACCAGTGTTCTTCCGGAATCTTGCCATAGTGGGCGGTACCCGAGACCAGCGACGTGGTGAGCTTTTTGAATTCATCATCGAACTCCTTATCGTTCAAGAAGACCCAGTCATAGTTGTAGTTCCGGTTGAACCGGTCCTCCACGGTGCGAATAGACTTGGCAATCTCCCAGATGTCGGAGTTCCGGGCCAGGGTGACGAAGGTCGCATTGACCTTTTCGCTACTATTGGTGCCCACGATCGGTACCCGGTCTGACTTGAAATCTTCGTAGGAGGGCTCGGGTCTCGGGAAGGAGGCGACGCTCGGGAGGTGGAAGGAAGGTCGAGACATATACCAGACAAGCGTCAATCCCTAGGGAACGTTAGCGGGGCCAAGATCGACAGGGTCTCAAGCGAGGGGTTTGCGAGTTAAGAGCGAAACACTGACCACTGCAGCCAACACGAGATATCGTGCATAGCGCACGTTGAGAGACATGGTGAGGGGAAAGAAGGGCTCTGTCTGGGAGGCGAGGAGAAGGACAGGTTGCGAAAACAAGTCGATGGCGTTCAGGACCGCGGAATTGAGGGCAGTCCACGGGGAGAGACACACATCTGCGAGGGGATCGGACGAGACAGGGAGGGGAGAAACGACCGAAACCCGAAGTTGTTGATATGTTTAGATGTTGCAATGTCTAGGGGGGAGCAAAAGTGGAGGAGGCGAAAGGAAAAGAAGCTAGGTTGGGCGAGGCCGCGCAAGTCGATGGCGACGACCGCTTTCAGCCGCGCGGTTTCACCGACTTCAAGACATTCGAGAGGGGGGAGAATCTTGCGTTTCCGCGCCCGCGTCTTTGGTGGAGATTGGATTTCAGACATCCTGATTGCTGGTAATTTCGAAACAATGCAACCTCAGTCTAGACCGTCAACGATTATCTGTCACTACTTCTGCGTTGCCGCCAAGGGGCGTAAGTGGTCTAAGTGGTCTAAGTGGTCTTAGTGGTCTTAGTGGCAGCGAATCGGTCGTGAGAACAAATGATTGGCCAGACGTTGGCTGGGACGCCGGGGAAATTCCAACGGAATGCGGCAGACGGGGACGGAGTCCGCTCCGGCTGTACCTCAAGAAGTTGAGCTCCGACAATTGCCTGTAGCCGAGACATTTAGAGGTGGTAGAATTGTCGTCTCGACCAGCCAGACAATGTACACACTGTCAATACGCGGACGAAGTCGGCCGGGGATGATTCCGTCCGTGTTTTGAGTTCACCGCCGAGACTCCGCAATGTTCCAAAAATATCGCCAGTTTCAACGGGCCCCGGCCTCCTCTTGGGACGCCCTACTCCAACATCGCCAATTAGTTGGCATATGGTCTTGATCGGGACTCGAGGATCGTTATTCGCGAGTTGATGGGGCGATAATTCGATCAAGGTTGGGGGTGATAGGAGGCTGGCAAGCCTACTAATTTCCAAGTCGTCGCACCAGGACACATTGCAAACATTGTTGAGGGCTAGATGATATTGATAGGGTATGGGCTGATCTACACCATCCAATGCAGATATATGACTGCCAACGTACTTATGATAAAGACAATCAGAGTCGCCTATCGTATGAAATGTTGAAGCCTCACGATCGAGTCAATTCACGAAATCGGTGGTGGGCACGCCACTTACCTCTATGCGCTTCAAGCCCGGAGAGCTAGTAGCCCCGAGCATGGTGCTAACAGCGTTGTGTGAATCAAATTTCTATCTAGACTTAGACAAGAAGAGTCCAGTGGGGTTCTCGCCAATTCAGTCTCCACCCCCGGAGAATGTGCATCGTATTCCTGGGCAGAGGCCAATCGCGATGGACCCAGTTACCTGATGTCCGTATCAATAGAATTGATCGACGTAAAACAGCATCAAAGGTGGCTATTTCCGGTCTCCCATTCACCGTCTCGTTGGATCAATAGCATTATAACGGTCCCCCATGGTCCGTAACATGTTTTCCTAGAGAAAACTACTAGTAGATAATAGAGATCGTTGCAATTTTCTCTGTAAGCATTTATTTCAAGGAAGATTATGCTGCTCATTCGAAAGAAATATTCAGAAACAAACCATAACTTGAATGTTGAACTTTATGCAAGGGTACCTAGCCGCCGTCTGTCCACCAATATACCACGGCGCTATTTTGATATCATTTAGAAGCTAGGGTGCCATTCGCAATTGCGAAATATTCATGTTTCAAACGACCACACATAGTGGCCGGATGTATGGCCTTATTCCTAGCAAGGCAACCCAGCTTTGAGAAGACCTGTAGAACGCCAGGGTAGACGACATATATTTTTATCACGATATAGTATTGGATAGGCCCGTGCAATGGTCCTTGAAATGAAGTCAACACCAACAGCAACACTTTGGCATCCTCCTATATTCATTCAAAGGCGGTAAGGAGCTAGGCATGATGGTCTATTCTCCACCAAGTATTAGCTTATGTTAACCCTCCCAACACCCTTGATGCCAAGACAACCTCTGGGTAAAACAATTGGGCTTGAATGTATGAAACTGCTCTGTCACAGATGCGGTGCTGATCAATAGGGACAAGTTGGACATTGTGAGGGAGTGGTTTAGGGAATAAATGTTAAACGTCGTGCTTGGCATCGAAGTTTGTGCCTGAGGCAGCCGCACTCCCAGAACTTCGCTCCGACCAGAGCACGTCCTCCTCCTCCCCCCCCACCATTTCTTCCTCTGCTCTCTGACCTCTCCCTTCCCCTTCCATCCGCAATTAATCAGGTCAAAGAAGCATGTCTTTCTTTGGCTTTGATGCCACCCTCCCCAGGGACCGCGATCGGCCCCCCGCCGGTGCGAGGGGCTTCTTCGAGAACCCAGATCCCTTTGCGGAGGTCGCCCGTGCGACGGCGCTCGAAGATGACGATGCGTGAGATGCCTTTCTTGAACGAAATAGATACCCCACATGAACCCTGAGACTGATATTTAATCCAGAATCGATTTTGAGGACACCTATGACGGTCTAGGCGACCAGCTTGATGACGACCAAGATGCCTTCAACGATGACACCTTTGGCGGCGGCGGCGGAGATACGGGAGCTGTTGGCCGGGACTTCGATTTCTTCGGAAAAACAGCCAAGGTAGCTGATGCGATTGGCGAGGAGCAGATCCGCTACACCTTGCAGCAGCCCACGGCCGTACCGACAGCCGCTCAGCTCAATGCTCCGGTGCCAGCTCAGCCTGCGCCAGCTCCGACCCAGTCGACCGCCAAGCGCACTGGCTATGAGAAGTATTCGGATCCCGGATACATCCCGGATCTCCAGGCCAAGTCTAGCGTGTGGGGCATTTCTCAGAAGAAGCCTGAGCCGACCCCCGTCGTGATCCCCAGCCGGAAGACGATGATGAGCTTGGAAGAAGTTGAGGCGCAAATGCGTCATCAGTCTCTGCCAGCCGTTACGATGCCCCCGCAGTCGCTTCCTCAGCACATGGCCAACCAGGCTTATCTACCCCCGCCGCAATACCCCCAGGGTGTCCCCGATGGTTTCCACTCCATGCCTCCCGAGCTCTTGCGGGAAGCCCTGGAAAAGGGACTGCTGCCGCCCGGGATGCCCGGCCTTCCACCAGGTATTCCGGAGCTGCATGGCGCCCCTGTCTTGCCTGGCCCTCAGCAAATGCATATGCAGCAGGGTCAAATGCCCCCGCAGAATTTGCCGCCCCAAGGCCCTCGCCATACCGGCCCACCCCAGGGCCAGCGTCAGCAGCAACAGCAGCAACAGCAGCAAGCCCCCCCACCACCGACTAGCCGAGGAGCAAACGGAGGACTGCCTGTTATTACCAATCCACAGCAATTGATGCATCTGACGGAGGAGCAGCGCAATGCCTATTTAGTTGAAGATGCCAAGCGGGCAAAGCGCAACCACAAGATCTTCCTGCTGTCCCGGGGTAATGGGTTAATGACACCCCAGGATAAAAACTTCATCACTCGTATTCAGTTACAGCAGCTCGTCGCGGCGGCCGGTAATGTCGCCGATGCTGACCCTGAGGCTGTCCTGTCTGAAGATTTCTATTATCAAGTCTATAGTCAAATCCGTGGTGCCCCTCGTCAACACCCCCACCAGCCTCTTGGTCACTTTGCTCAGACATATCTCCTTCAAACCGGGAATCGGCTCGGCGGCCACGGAAACCGACGGGCGTTCCAAAGCGCAGACAACCACATGCAGCGGATGCAACAGCAGGTTCAGCGTGCGGTCGAGGCTGCTAAAGCCAAGCCCAAGAACAAGCAGCTCATCATTGAGGGCAGCTTGGGTAAGATCTCATTCAGCAATGCCAAGGCGCCGAAACCGATGCTCAACATCAAGCGACCGGACAGCTCTGATGGGGTCCGCCCGAAGAAGGTCCAATCTGATCTCAGCCTCAGCGACCGCAAATCTATCCTTTCCAACATTGAAAGTGTATACAGTGCTCTGATGGCCATGGAGGACATGGAACGTACCATGCCCCCGCCACCGGAGGAGGGTGATGCGGATGCGATCAAGGAGCATCTGGAATGGCGACAGAAGGTTCACTCACTTAATCAGAAGTTGTGGCGCGCCTTGAAGGTGATGGAGCCAATTGTCCCCAACTCGACGACCCCGCACCCTTTCATCGCATTCCTGTCCTACCCCAAGGGTAAAAAGGCCATCCCTCGTATTTTCCGTCACATCGACCAGGAGCAACGTGTCACCATCCTGACTATGATCGTGGTGCACCTGGATAGTTTGGATGTGGTGCGTCTTGCACAACCCGGTCCTGGCGAGGCCCAGCCCTCTATTGCCGTTCGGGAAGCCATCGACCTCTTCTCTTTGGCTGTTATGCCGAGCCTTCTCGGGTATGTGAACGAGGCGCCTTTCAACATCATCATCGGTCTGCTGGGCCTTGTCATTGCACAGACCCATGTGCACAGTGTAGCTCGCACCAAGGTTGGATTGGGCATTCTCACCATGCTCCTCAGCCGTGCTGAGATCGTCAAGGAGGCTGGTCAGGCGAGCGAGCGGGATTGGGCGCAGTGGGTGGAGAAGTTCAACGTCCTCTTCGACACCCTCGAGCCTGGTTTGGCTGATATTTTCCCTGGCTCCATCAATTCGGGCGACGATATGTACGTCTGGCAGTTCCTGGCTGCCGTTGGCATTGGTGCCAGCCCCGAGCAGCAGCAGCGTCTGGTTATCGCCGTCAAGTAAGTTAATATCTCCTTTCACTGGGGGTCTGAATCTTCGTACTAATCACCTTTCTTTCTTTCAGGGACCGTGTTATGGAGACTGTCGGCTACAGCAAGACTTTGCCGGCCGACATGGCGAGCTCACGGCTGGGTAATGTCAACCTGTTCATGCGTGCCATTGGTCTGGACGTGGAGCTTCTTGGTTAAATTGAGTGGGAATGGGGCCTATTGTGGGGTTCTCAACCACTGTTTTCACAACGTGATGAGTCTTTTTGCCCGCCTGTGGATTTGGTCAGCACCCACTCCGATAGTGGCCGCTCTTTTGCGAGCGTTGATTTGTCCAGACTGCGACTCTTCTTCGGATGGACAGATGGACAGAGGTTTCTCTGATGCGTGCCTGTCATCTACTTCGGGCCGTATGAATGCTCTCTGAGTCCTCAAGGCGCCCCGCCAGCGTCCTCGTTCTCGAGGGCTATCGTCACGGATGTCGCACAATAATCAAACCGCATCTAATAACGGTCATTGGGCTTGGGCCAACAAAAGAAACCTTGATCGGGCCTATTATTTTTTTCAAACCGCCCTGGAAACCTCAAGCATTTGTTCACGTATCTCTTCCCCTTATTTTCCGTCTCTGTCTTCCAATACCAATTCATCTTGCTTTCTTTCCTCTGTCTTCGGTTCTAGCTCAGTGTTTCACGGAGGGTTAGATGGAAAAAGCCGTGTGCACGATTGTCCAGTGGGGCTGGAGAGATGGAATGTAAATTATTCCAGAAATAAAAGAAACCTGGGTCGCATTGGAGTAGTTCTTTCGCTGGATAAAACTAAGTACCTAAATGTCCAGACTACCAACTGTCCTTCATTAGGGCTGAGATGTTTACTTGGTGGATTGTCTCTGTCCTCAGCAGTTTTCACTACTAGTAATTATTCGTAGTATAGAGACCGTGTAGAGTTGGTAACCTAAAGCTCCCCTCTTCCCCCTCGCGCCTACCTCTGATGCCCTCCTATCTCAGCATCCGACAGCTTGAACGGCGGATTCATGGCAGTGCTAGGTGGTGAAGGGCCGGTCAATGTGTCACGACAAGGAGCATGCCCAGGGTGAGAGATAATCATGGTTTATGCGTGGATATATATGTCTCTGCATTGGACAAAGCGAGTTTTGCGTTTAAGATGGACCGGGCCCTGGTTCTTTTTGAGCGTACTTATCCTTTTATAGACCTTTCAAAAGATGGAGTTGGAGGTATATAGAGCTAGGCAACGTAGAGACCATATTTTCGGTGCAAATGGGGGAAACAGTAGAAGGCTGCCTATCAGCAATGCAAAGACCAACCGGGATTATGATCAAGCACCGCCTTCTTTCTCCCGACAAGGATCGTTGTCGCTGTGGCTGAGTGCTTGCAGATTTTCTTACACCTCTTAACCCGCCATTCATATGTGCGCTGAGCATGATCCACAGGCTTCGTGCCTGATCATGTAATTAGTAAATACACAGCCACTTCAACTGACAACTCTCGACAGCCCGTGGACATGATTAAAATATAGTCCATAAATCCGAGTCTTCTCTTGCTCTTTGAATTTTATGAATCGCCCGCTCGCATCCAGCCTCCAGCTTTCCCCAAATATACTCCCAATGGCAGATCAAGGGTCCACGTGTGGGGCTTTCAAGGAAGATGCCGACGGAATCGCTGATGAAGAGATCAACGAATATGCAAGATGCAACGACAAGACATCAGATTCAAACCCCCAGCTTATCTCATTCAACGGCACCGCACAATCCTATCAGATTGGTCACAATTATGGGGTGGTTAAAGCCTATTTCAGTCGTACGGAGACCCTTTTTGGAAGTCTGGTGATCACAGGCGAACAAAAGAACTAATAAGTTCGACGTGCAATACCTTTCTAAAAAAGGCTCGCTTGCAAGCTGGCAGAAGAGTGAGTAGCGTACGTCGCCTTGCATCTTCACGAACCATCCTTGACAGGTTATCAGGATCAACACACAAGCGACAACCGCAGCTACTATAAGCCGTATGCAACAGTCACCAACCGGGTCATCAAAAAGCGTCTGATAGACCTAGCTCGCCACTTCAATTTTCTGGACTGCGGGTTTGCGGAATACTTTCAGTCGGTCGTGCCGTCCTTTGACCGAGACTATGTCCAGCAACGCCTCAATGATATTCGGGAGGATATCACTAAAAGACAAAGGTCGCATCCAACCAGTTCGGAGAGCCCAGAAATGATCTATCTTGGGGATTTGGGCGAGTTCTGTGAAGCGGTGTCCAAGACCTGGAATAACGAATGGTACCGACATGGATCGCCAAGATCCACTTCATGCTTCAGTTCCACTCATGGGCGAGACCAGGAAATTTTCGAATACCTACAAGATGCCTTTGAGACATATTACTGGGAGCTTATGCTGGACATATTCTTATATTGGTCTAAGAACTCGAAGTCTCTCAGCGGGGACATCGTTCTCAAGGTCTTAGGAAGCATGGGAAGAGATATCAGAAACGGTCGAAATCAGCTCCTCAGAGACATCGAAGCACAGTCAGAGGATTCCTTTGAAGATCTAGCTCCAATCATACGAGGAATCGATGAAAGAATCGCTGTCCTGTGTTCTGTGGGCGATCTGAGCGAATGCTCTTCCTTGGATATGCAGGGACTGTTGGCCCTCCCAGTCTCCAAGCCACAAGAATCCCAGTCCACATCCCCAGAAGAGCATTCGGTTGCTAGGAATTCCGCGATACTGATCAAAGAAAGAGTAAGTCTATGCACGTTAATTCATGAAATTCTGGGGCTACTAATACCTATTTAGGAAAATGTTGGGCTCATAGCTTTGATCCTCATATTCCTCATCGCGGCGATAGTTCCGGGATACATAGCGTTCTCAATATCCTGGAAATCGAGCGCACCAGGCTCAGTCCATGATGCAGACTTTCTGTATCTTATCCAGAGCAGTCTCATGTCCGTGCTCGGCAACTTGGTCATGGTGATCCCCCTATTGAAGAAGTCCGTATTTTCACCGATTTACGCCACGATGTGGATGTTTTTCACCCTGGGGTTATTTTTTGCGGTCATCTCAATTATCCTATATCCTCTTTTTAACACAGGTTGGAGTTCGATGGTGGCCTTTTTCGGTTCTATTTGTTCCGTCGCTTCGGTGCTGGTTATGACGCAGGATGCAGCGAGGGATTGGCCACAGAAGATGAAAAACGATTGAATACTCACAGATAAGCGGGTAAAAGCACAAGTGCCCTGACTTGATAAAGTTTAACATTTATATTTCCAGTTGTATAATTTAATTATGTACTTATTGCGCGCATAACAACCTTATACCCAATGATATAGTGCTCTATCACCGCTTAGTAAAGAGGAAGAAGTAACTAGTTGCTCGATGGCAATTTGACGAACGGATGGGTCGAGAAAGCCCTATTGAGACATGCCGCTAAATTTAGCGAAGGTATGTACTGGCTGCTTTTGTGGAATACCGACGCTCCCACGATACCCAGGTATCTGGCAATGTATGCCTCAAGATATCATATATCATAGATATAGATGTAACCTTGGGTATGGATATGGAAACATGGGAATATGGGAATCTATTTATATCTATTTTCGCTCCATGGGTCATGCCATGATGAATGGGATGGTATTATTGCGTCGTCCGTAAACTTGGATCGTCGCGAGGGAACGGCTGCAACCGGGACCACCGTCTCGCTGGACCCTGGCATGTTTCGGGGGGATGGAGCCACCCGGGCCTCTGATTTGTGCAACTGCCCCAACTGGCCGAGTCCACGAATCCACCCCGACCCGCCTGGCCCTGAAATGAAACGGGGGAAGTGTTTGACGGGCCTGGTCTGCTTTAATCGGTGCCTGGCACTGGGCTGGGTCGATGGGTCAATGGGCCCCCCTCGCGCGCCTATCTTTCCGCTTTCGTTTGGTATCGGGACAGTGTTCGCGATGGAGTGGATTGGGCCGAGCACACCGCCAGGACATGAAAGCGATCTACTGTCGCCGACGAGGGCAATTGGTCAATTGGGTCATTGAGCCTTTGGTCGGTCCATTGGACACCGTAGCAACATCGATCAAGCAGGGTTCGAATGCACAAGGCCACTTTCATGCCGGTCTCGGTACAGGCGTCTTCCACCGACCAGGACCGCGGTGTCAAGTAGATAGCATATGCCAAGGCAGATTATTATAAATCCTCTGCCAGAATATTGGCAATTTGATGATCTCGAGTGTAATGGACACTAGTCAATTTCCGGCCGCGTCATGAAAGGGGAAGATGGAGATGGGAAGATGGGGAGATGACGGAGCGGGCTGGGCCCCCCACCAAAACGACCGCCAAATCACCACGGCTTCGTCCCCTTCCAAACATCTTTCCCCTTAAAAGCTGCCCCTCCCCAGTTTGACTCCTCTCTTCACCTCTCCACCTCGATTTCCCTCTCATTCATCATGTCTGCTGGTTCTGTTCTCGTCACCGGGTAGGTCTTGTCCCGTCGCTCTCCTCTCAAGCTCGTTGCCTTTCCCCCGTCCCACCAGCCCTGCCCCTCCGAACCCCGCCATCGCGATCTCAACTAACCCACTGCAGTGGCACGGGCTACATTGGCTCGTTTACCGCCCTCGCCCTGCTCGATGCGGGCTACAAGGTCGTCGTCGCTGACAACCTGTACAACTCCTCCGCTGAGGCTTTGAACCGCATTGAGTTGATCTCGGGCAAGAAGGCCGAGTTCGTCCAGCTCGATGTCACCGACGAGAATGGCTTCGACAAGGTCTTCGAGGCCCACCCCGACATTGACAGTGTCATCCACTTCGCCGCCTTGAAGGTAAGTCTAGCCTCCTGGGCCTCCTACCAACTCAATCGCCCCGATCTGCGCAAATTCAGAATCGCGTCGCGATGGAGGAGAGGGGAAGACACGGACTGACCACAAATACATAGGCTGTTGGCGAGTCCGGTGAGAAGCCCCTGGACTACTACATGGTCAATGTCTACGGCACCATCAACCTCCTCCGCTCTATGGTCAAGTACAATGTCACCAACATTGTCTTCTCCAGCTCGGCCACCGTCTACGGCGATGCTACCCGCTTCCCCAACATGATCCCCATCCCCGAGGAGTGCCCTCTGGGCCCCACCAACCCCTACGGCAACACCAAGTTCGCCGTCGAGACTGCCATCACCGACGTTATCAACGCTCAGCGCAACAACGCCATCAAGGCCGGCAATGACGCCGAGGCCCAGAAGTGGAACGGTGCCCTGCTGCGCTACTTCAACCCTGCCGGTGCCCACCCCTCCGGCATCATGGGTGAGGACCCTCAGGGTGTCCCATACAACCTGCTCCCCCTGCTGGCCCAGGTCGCCACTGGCAAGCGCGAGAAGCTGATGGTCTTCGGCGACGACTACGCCTCCCACGACGGCACCGCCATCCGTGACTACATCCACATCCTCGATCTGGCAGATGGCCACCTCAAGGCTCTCAACTACCTGCGTGCCAACAACCCCGGCGTTCGGGCCTGGAACCTGGGCACCGGAAAGGGCTCCACTGTCTATGAGATGATCAAAGCCTTCTCTGCCGCCGTCGGCCGTGACCTTCCCTATGAGGTCGCTCCCCGCCGTGCGGGTGACGTCCTGAACCTCACTGCCAACGCCAACCGTGCCACCACCGAGCTCGGCTGGACCCCTAAATTCACTCTCGAGCACGCTTGCGAGGACCTTTGGCGCTGGACCAAGAACAACCCCCAGGGTTACCGCCAGCAACCCCCGGCGGAGCTGCTGGCTCAGCTGAAGAAGTAAACACAGTACATAATTGTTAGGAGGGAATTTGAGACAGGCTCCAAAAGTATTTTGGGAATATCTGATGTGTGGACATAGAAATGCTGGTAGAATACATGAAACGAATCTCCTTTTTTATTTGGCTTCATCTTGTTCCCTGGTCTCTTTTGCAACTGCAATATGGCGTAGTAGTCCTATTTGGATACGAAAGTATTGTTCTCAAGGGATAAAAGTAATCCAAAAACTACATGAGTGGAATGGAGCTATATGATGATTTCCAACCCAATTGATGTAAATGTAACACGGTGTAAATTGCCATTTCTAATAGAACGCCGCCCATGACTTTGGAATCCACTCTCTTCTATCAAATATGAATATTTCCAGCTCGAATCACCGCCACCAGTCTAGGACTTATTCTTCCGACTCCGCCGCGACCCTGCTGCCGGCGCCTTCGCCGAAGACGTCTCCTTCCTACTCTTCTTTCCCTTCTCAGCCTCCTTCTCTTTCTTCTCCAGCGCCCTCTTCACCGCGCCCTCTTTCTCCGCCTCCTCGATCTGCTTCTCACTAAACTCCCACAGCCTCTTTCCCAAATCCTCGTCCTTCACGTCCCGCCGCGCGCAGTCAACTTCCCGGCACTCTTTGATCAGCCACCCACCCTCGCCACGCGAGTACGTCTCCTCCATCGCCGCGTGCAGCACGCTCTGCGCTCCCTGGCTCGGCGACTTCAGCACCAGCCACCACAGCGGCCAGGTGAGCAGATAGACCAGCAGGCCCCACAGCGACCCGCCAGTCAGCCAGCGCCGCATGCCTGGGGTCCGCGACAGCCCAGGGTCAACGACCAGCACCCGCGTGCACGGCGGCAGACCGTCAGGCCGAGCGTATGCGTTCAGGTGTCGCTGGAACGAGTGGGCAAAAGTCATCAGGGCAAACTTGCTCAGCGCGTAGATATTTTTGCTATCGGGCTTCGCTTTCTTCGCACCCTTGGCGCTACCGCCCCGGGTCACCGTGTCCAGATCGACCTTGGCGCCGATGTAGCTGGAGCAGGTGGCGAAGATGACGCGGACGTCGCGGTGGGCAGGCTGCACGCGCAACGCGGGGCTGAGGATGCTGAGCAGGTGGAAGTTCGCCAGGTAGTTGATCTGCCATTCCTCGTCGATACCGTCAGGGGTGTTCTTACGGGCGTGCGCGGGCACCGCTGTGCCGCCGCACAGGATCACAGCGTCCAGGCGGCGCGGTGGGGCGTTGTCGATCCATTTCGTGGCGAAGGTCCGGATTGAGTGTAGCGAGGCAAGGTCAACTTGTTCCGCGTATATCAAGTTGTTGCCTGTTGTGCGGCGGAGGTCGTCAATGTACTCGACGAGGAAGATGTCGGAGGGGGTTGTTGCGTGAGCAGGATCACTTGGGCGCCGCGGGCGGCCAGGTTTTGGGCGACTGTTGCACCGATTCCGGACGTGCCGCCCTGATAGGATGCGAAGTCTGATAAGCTCTGGTTTTTTTGTGAACTAGGAGGGTGGCATTGTACATACTGTGATCATGACTACTTTCGAGTGCATCAATCGCTCGGAGGTATTGCGGGCTCCGCCGAAGTAGTACTTCAGTGCTGCAAGCACGAGAACCCAAGGCGCTACCCGGAGAACATGCCAGGCATATGGAATTGATCCAATGCCCTCTTGGATGCCCTGGGCAATAATTGGGATGGGCATGTTGGACAGCGAGCTGAAGGGAAAGAAGATAACACAGGAGAAAAAGCTGTCGAGCTGGCCGGAGGTACGTGGCTTATCGTGCGCTTATCGGGCTTATCGCCACTGGAGCCTCGCGGCCTCTTACTTCAGGGCCTCGACTTCTCTTTTCATGGCTTTTGACCGTATGCGCCTTCTTCTGCGCCAACAATGCCGCCGCTCCCGGATGAAGACGACGAGGACTATTTTCTTCCACTGGAGGACCAGCGCGTCTTCGGAGCTGGCATCCGTCGCAAGCGCGTGCCCTTCGTGCGCTCCTCGGACCACGAACTCAGCACGGTAAACCCAGCTTCTTCGACAGCACCTGGGCCCAGCATTGCAAATACATACCTTTCAATTGTTCTCAAGAAGTCCACGAGCACACCAAGCACCCCGGCGCCTCAGACTCTGTCACCCCCTCTCCGAACCACACACACTGCCCCGCCAAGCTCAGATACTATCGCACCAGTGCCTCCTACGCTCCCTCCGGGCGACCACTGCGAAATCTGCAACCTTCCCTTCGCAGCAAACCAGCCAGCCGAATCATCCTCTGATGCACCACCACACAGACCACACGAAGCCTCCCTCGCTCATCAAGTCTGCCTCCAACATTCCCACCCACCCTCTCATCTCGACCGTACCCGCCCCGGCCTCCGCTACCTCTCTACATACGGCTGGGACCCCGACAGACGCCTGGGGCTCGGAGCGCCCGGTCGTGAAGGCATCCGTGAGCCACTGAAGGGCCGGCTGAAGAATGACACAGCCGGCCTGGGTATTGGACTCGACGCCGACGGGGACCGCATACGGCGCCCGCCGCCCCCGCCGCCGAAGGTCCAGAAGCTGAATGCGAAGCAGATGCGGAAACACGCGGCGGAGGCGCAAAAAAAGCATGATAGGATGCGGAATCTTTTTTTCCAGCGAGATGACGTCCTGAAGTATCTTGGGGAGGATGGGTGAAGCGGTGCGTTGGGGTTGGCAGAAGCCGACTTGTTTGTGTGCCGATTATTGTTATGTGAAGTGGCAATGTTTTAGCGATTATGATACCCATTCTAGAGAATATACAACTTGTGATTTACAACCAATTTGATTACAGCGAGTGAAGAGGATCATGAACTTCCTTGTGTCCCGAAAAGCCGCTACAAGTTGATTGCTCCGTTCCGGTAATACGAGCAGTATCTCCTGTCTTTTCGCCAATCTTCCCATTTTGTATCTCTTTTTAGCTCAACTTGCTTTTCTAGAGGCATCAGACAGGAACGGATGAGATACCGGTCTAATGGATGTATTTGACCATTGCAACAAGCCCTAAATATATTTCAAGTGAGGTAAGCCAAGTAATGGATTTTGCAATGACTACAGCAAGTTCTCGACTAATTTTCACCTAGACCCATAGCGCACTACATGTAGGCGTACTAGATTCTTGCCCTAGTAAGCAGGCCTGTGTATTTCCTGATAATCCTCAGGTAAAAAAAGTTGTGAAACCCAAGACTTAAATCCTGATCAACCCACCTCAGACTCATCACCAAAATAGGCGCCCGACTGTAGGATTGGACCAAAAACAAATTACCGCGTTGAAGAGTAATATATCAACCATCACTCTACCTCGAATGGATAAAGTCATTCCAGGAAACTCATTCGAAAAGTTTTGTGGAATATCAGTCAGAAATGATTGATCGAAATTACTTGATATCTAAATTCAATCTGAATGAGCAGATATACATAGAGCTTGAGTGCTACTGAGCGAGTCAAGGTGATCTTTGACTACTTCTAATGCATTTCTGAATTTCAGTCTGTCTACCAACAGAAATATTTTCTAAGTTCTTATTGAAGTAGAACTTGAGAACTAGTTACATGCCAAGGCACGCCCCATCTCCCCCAAATCGTCTTTGTTACAGTGGCTGAGCATGGGATTGCGAGTAGAGGAATTCACATATAGTTAAGAAGAATAATATGGGACCCATGATTGCGAGAAGCCAGATGACTTCATAGTCGCGGAAAGATACACATGTCTTGGTCAAGTTAACAATATATGGTTATGAGCGTCAGGTTTCAGATCTCTTTCAATAGACTATTCGTGATATACCACAAAAGTGAAGATGAAAATTCAAGCTGCTTATGGAATGGATTACTCTATATTTTTTATTCTCAAAATAAGATGCATGACATTGTTCCTCTGGGAGATGGTGGTCGAGTTTCAACTACTTGCTCCTATTCCCGTACCTTTGACCGGGGAAAAGGTGCTTTTGTAGCTGAAGCGGTAAACCGATGAAGAGGACAGAGTCTAGCCTCATATATTTCTATGCGCCATAAGGCATTTACAAGAGCTTGAATCCGATTTCACATTGCTTACCTTACTAAAGTCCATAAGTAAAGCCTAAATGGGTACCGCCTGGCGCGCCACCCGGAAGATCCACTTTGTTCCCTGCGAAGCTCCCAAATGGTGGGGAACCGCTCTCCTTCAATATACCTCCTACGACCACGGGCCACGTCGCTTGCGCACTGTTTCAACTCTTCAACTCCCTGAGCTTGAACTTCCCGTGCAATCCTCTGCATTTTGCTGTATCTCCGTGGGCTCCGCCTCTTCTGCAGTCCGCGTCTTGTGGACTGCCGGCCAACATGGGCTCCATCATCGACATCCAGCGCGACAGTAAGTGGCTCTCCTAGTGCATGTGAACTTGTGTGTGAGAGACCCTGACTGACCGTTTCTTTTCCTTGAACAGTCATTCTGAACACGATCCGCAATGTGGTTAGCCATGACGTGCGTCACGCCTCTACTCGGTTCCCCCTCCCCCTCCCCCTCCTTGGCCGGCACTGACGACCGGCCGCCATACAGTGGAAAGTTTTGGTGGTAGACGAGGAGAGCAGGAAATTGATCAACAGCGCTGTGAAAGAGGAAGAAATCTTGAACCTCAACATCTCCAGTGAGCATACTCCGGGCCTCCGATAGCGAAGCGCTGGCTAAAAAAACAATCACCCCGCAGATGTCGAACAGATCGAGCATCGCCGGCCACCGAATCCGGACATGGACGCAATATACATTCTGTCGCCGGAGTCATGGATAGTCGACTGTTTGATGGCTGATTTCGAAGCCAAGCGATACAAGAAGGCGTTCTTGGTGTGGACGTCATGTCAGTGGGCGGCAAACAAGCTCTAGCGGAATGGGTTGGCTGACACCGATCACAGTTCTTGACCCGCAACAGCGTGCACGACTGGATCGATCCCAAATGGCGCGGGATCGCATCGCCGACTACCGCATCATGAACATTGATTTTTACCCTCGCGAGTCCCGACTGGTCACTTTCCGTGATCCATACAGCTTCCCGGTCTTGTTTCACCCCGGCTGCAACGGCTTAGTCCGGAATCATCTTCAAGAGCTGGCTCAGAAGGTAAGGAATGCTGATTACATGATCATTCATGGTACCTTCTGAATGTTAATCCTTTGTAAAGATCGTCTCGCTTTGCGCCTGCTTGGGCGAGTATCCAGTGATCCGTTATTACCGTCCTCGAACTCCTACCCATGAAGCCGGTGTCCTATGCTCCCATCTCGCCCGATTTATTCAAAATGAATTAGATCAGTTTGCACAATTCCAGCGTGATTTCCCTCCTCCTTCGAACCGTCCCCGGGGCGTTCTACTAATCGTGGATCGCTCCATGGACGTCTTTGCGCCTCTTCTCCACGAGTTCACCTACCAAGCCATGGTGCACGATCTTTTGCCAATTAAGGAGGGAGACAAGATCACTTACAAGACGGTACTCAACGAGGGTAAGCCAAATGAAGAGACAAAGGAGATGGAAATTGGTGAGCATGATAAGGTCTGGGTTGACTATCGACATATGCACATGAAGGATGTGCTTGGAAAGCTAGGCGAGGATTTTGCCAAGTTCAGAGCAGCAAACCCTCAATTTTCCGAAGAGTGAGAATTCCAAGTCTATCACTTAATTATTCAGTTCACTTTGGCTGACGGGAGAGTCTACAGAAGCGAGAAAATCAACGTGGGCACTCTCAAAGACATGCTCGTTGGATTGGATGAATTCACTGAAGGCAAAGCCGCATATACTCTGCACTTGAACATGGCAGAGGAATGTATGAAATTCTTCCAGGACCGCAAGCTGCTGGAGGTCAGCTCCATTGAGCAATCTTTTGCCACTGGCCTCGACGAAAACTACAAGAAGGCCAAGAACCTTGCTGTTCAACTGGTGCAATTGCTGGATGACGAGACCGTCGTTGCTCCAGATCGACTTCGGCTGATTCTCTTGTACATCATGTATCGGGGTGGGTTGCTGGGAGGTGATATCCGAAAGCTCATGGCGCACTCACAACTCCCTGGGCAAAATGGTGAAGTTATCGCCAATCTTGAACTTCTCGGTGTTCGTGTAGAAAAGCCTCTCAAGGACGAGAAGCCCGCTGTTCAACCACTATTCAACCGACGAAACCCGGCTCCTGAGTCAGAGGAACTCAGCCTGGCCCGGTATGAATTGGCAATGAAGCAGATGCTCGAGGAACAAATCAAAGGCACTTTGGACTCTCAGACCTTTCCCTTCACAAGGCCACACACAGACAGCGATGGGGCGATGGCTGCTCAGGAGATGCTCTCCCAGCAAGCATCATTGCGCAGTGCCAAACCGACCTGGGCGCGCACACGGACTGTTGACCAACCCCGTCAACGCATCATCGTCTTCATGGCCGGAGGGGCCACCTATTCCGAAGCACGCGCTTGTTATGAAATTTCCCAATCCCACAACCGAGATGTTTTCCTCGCTACGAGTCACATGATGACTCCGGCACTCTTCATGCGCCAGGTTGGGGATCTCAGCGTTGATAAACGTCGTCTGGACATTCCTGCCGAGCGACCAAAGCCGAAGGCTCCAGCCCACCTGTTCGAGCGAGAAGCACCCTCACCACCGCCCGCGCAATCACAGAAGAAGCCCATATCTCCTCCCAACCTCAACCCTCCAGTCCCCCCTGGCGATATGATGGCAAAAATGTCTCTGAACAATGGATCAGCCTCTTCGTCGAGTGGAAAGCTACACAAGAAGGACAAGGAGAAGAAAGACAAGGACAAGAAGGATAAGGACAGCAAGAAATACCGATTTTTTAAATAATCAATCTGAAAGGCTTACTGGCCGGGTGCCTCAAGGACTTAGCCCTTACTTTGTCATATCCATTCAGCGCTGTTTGTGATACCATCTTTCCTTTGTCTTGTATTGGTCGGTCTGGTCCCAGCATTCAGAAGCGGCGCTCTTTACATTTGTTGACGAAGTGAACAACTGATTTTTATGCTGTCTGTTCGTTTTAATGGATGCATATTCGACCTGCAATTTGTAGTGTAGAATTTCTCAAACACTGCAGCCTTCTCTTGACATGATAATTGGCGACCTATATTGAATCTGCAATGTCATCGCAGGAGAAAGTGATTGAGAACTGTGCCCTAATTGATTCTTGAAAATTTTGGATTTCTAGATTAAATCATGCTCAAAGAAAACTGCCAAGTCTAACCCAGAATACATCTGTAATCCCTAATACATGTATACGAAGAGACAAAGAGGCAAATGGAAAGGACGTAGAATCAAGTCGCTTGATCCAGCGCTTGACCGAGACACATCTCGTAATAAATTCCCCGGTGCCGTAGCAGTTCTTCGTGAGTGCCCTGTTCCCTGATACGCCCATCAACCAATACAAAAATACGATCAGAATGTTTGATGGTTGACAAGCGATGAGCAATAGCGACCGTAGTGCGACCATCTCTTGCCTTATTGAGCGCCTCTTGAACGACTTTCTCGCTCTCTGTATCCAGTGCAGATGTTGCTTCATCTAGCAGGAGCAGCCTGGGATTGCGAATGAGTGCTCGAGCGATTGCGATCCGCTGCCGCTGGCCGCCAGAAAAGAGGCTGCCTTGAGCTCCACAAGTTGTTTCCAGACCATCGGGAAGAGAGTATACAAAATCAAACGCATTGGCCTGGCGGCAAGCGTCGTAAATTTCGTCTTCTGAGACTTCATCTGCAAGCCCAAGCGTGATGTTTTCCCGAATTGATCCCTGATAGAGAGCGGGTTCTTGCTGGACGAGAGAGAGGCGGCTGCGATGTGAAGCTAATGGTCTGCTAGCAATATCTTTTCCGTCCATTTCTATACAACCTGAGGTAGGGTTGTAATACCGCTCGAGTAGCGAGATTACACTTGATTTCCCATGACCAGACGGACCGACAAAGGCCACAGATTCACCGGGCTCAATCTAGTGTGCACATCAGTACGACAGGCCAGAATCGGGAAGTCAAATTTGGTGGTTACCTTTGTATTGAGATCACTCAGAACAGATCGAGTGGGCCTAGTGGGATATCTGAAGCTTACGTCTCGAAGTGCCACTTGGGTAGCACAGTCAGAGTCTTTCTCTGGTGAGTCGGAATTTCCATCTTGTACAGCAGGCTGAAGTAATCGGAGCCAGAAAATGTAGCTGCAGGCAGCTTGGGATTTCGTAATGCCTGTCTCTGATCAGTCCATCATATCATATCTGGGAGACGGGATTCGTACTCGTCGTAAACAGGAAAAATGATGCTGCGGCCTCTCCCGACAAAATCGCTCCAATAACAACGAGGTATAATTGAAAAGACGAGTATTCCCCGTTAGATAATAAGCGCCCTCCATACCTGGATAGAATTAGATTTGGGAAATGGCCGTATGCGGCGACGTGCCAATGTGATTGAGGAAGGTAACACATACCAGAAGGCCAACGCCATAGATAACAGGGAAAGGGACTGTGTAAGAGCCAGCCAGAACATTGTCCAGATCAAAGACTTTATCGAGCGTCGTGCAATCCCTGACAATTTTGCCGTGTACTTTTGGAGGATCATCCGCTCGACAGCCAACGAAGCAACAGTCCGAATAGCCGCTACCGCTTCTCCTGCAAGAGCTGCGCTCTCAGAAAAACGCGTCGTGGTCTGATCATCCAATTTAAACTCCAATCGAATTCTCAGGTAGCCGCAGGATATAATGGGTATCATGACAGCAGTCAACACGACAAGTCCCAGTTTCCAGCCAATCGCAATAGATAGAATGGAACTGGAGCAGATGTTCACCATCGCAATGACAATGACACCAACGTTGATACCCAGTAGCTCTTGGAGACTAGTGGGCATGGTTGACAGTTTAGATACCAGAGAACCTGTTGTATGTTCCGGTTGATCAAAAAAGGTCATATCCTGTCTGAGATAGTTTTCAAACATCTCCAAGCGGTAGTGATACATAACCGACTATTGAAAGGGTTAAATACGGTACCGAAAGCCCTGAAAAGCAAGCCCACTTACTGTTGCAATGATATTGGTGACCCAGCCAATGACTCCATAGACAATGAAAATCACAAGGGCAATCACGAAAAACATCAGGGCGTAGAAATCACCTTTCTTGACCATTTGGTGCGAATCTGAAATTTGAAACACATCTAATACTCTCGCAAAAATGAAGGCCAGCACAGGATTTGTTGCTCCTGGATTGATAATTTACTGGTTAGCCGCATGAAGAGGGAAGGAAGCGATAGACGTGTTAAGCTTACCCCCAACGACACAAGCAATCAATGTGATGATGAACTCAGGCCACAATTCACGGCGCTCTCCCAGAAGAATAGCCAAACATTGCCAAATAGTCATTTTACGGGATGGAGCTGCCAGCTTTTGCACAGGCCCTGGATCTGTCTCACCCAAAGTCTGTCTTGATTGAATAGTCGTGACAGCCGCAATAGCCTCGCTCTGGTCTTTTTCAGAATCACACTCATCAGTTTGTACATGACCCAGATCCTGCGCTTTGACGAGGCGATGATATGGCCCAGCGGCAAGAAAGAGCTCGTCATGTGTTCCTTTCTCCATGATCTGCCCTTGAGTCAGAACGACGATCTGGTCCGCTCTTCTGATTGTGGACAATTTATGAGCAATAGTAATTGTGGTGCGAGCCGTTGAGACATTATCCAAAGCTTGCTGCACAATCTTCTCTGCCTTGGGATCAAGAGCACTTGTGGCTTCATCTAGGATCAGAACTTTGGGATTGGAAACAATGCTCCGAGCAATCGCAATGCGTTGTTTCTGGCCCCCAGATAACATTGTAGCACGCTCTCCGACTTTGGTGTCATATTTCTTGAAAGGATATTTTTGTCAGTCAAATCTTGGTATCGGAGTTGAGTCTTCGATAATGTTTTCTGAACGAACCTCGGGCAAACTTTCAATGAAGTCATGGGCATATGCTGCCTTGCACGCTGATCTGACCAAATCTATCTGCTTCTCTGGGGATACATTCGCAAGGTCCGTTCCCGCTAGACCATATGCTACATTTTCGAAAACCGAGGCGTTGAATAACGTAGGTTCCTATTTTCGGGGTTTAGGGGTTTAATTCTTGCTGTTGCAAACTTCAAGCAAAACAATTATTTCTTACCTGTTGAACGATGCGAATATTGGTGCGGAGCCATTGAATATTGAGATCCTTAATGTCTCGACCATCGAGTGATATATAACCCGCCTCGGGATTGTACCATCGCTCTAGGAGACCTGTGACTGTACTCTTTCCTGAACCACTCGGTCCAACCAGGGCTGTCGTCTTTTGTGCCGGGATAGATAGTGAAAATTCATCGAGAACGCGCACCTGAGGCCGAGTAGGGTATGAAAATGAGACGTGGTGAAATTCTATATTCCCCTCACAGGTATCGGGCCGTAATCCTTCGTTGGACAACCCATCAATGGTAGGTTCCCGGTCAATTATATCCCAGATGTGCTGAGCAGCAGATGCTGCTCTAGAAATCTGAATGACCTGCGGTGCAATGGCTGTCATGGAGGTAGCAGCCACAATTACCGCAAATATGACGCTAACAGTATCCCAGAATGTCAGACTCGCAGTGGGAACAGGGTAGCTTTTTGAAGTACGTACGTGACGACTTTGCCTGGCTCCGTGATCTCCCCTCTAGCATACATCCGGACCCCTTGCCAAAATGCAAGACCATATCCTGCATACACACAAAAGAACTCTGCCGAATAAATAATTGCCATAGTCAAAGACTGCGAGAGCCTCAGGTCTCTGGCTTTTGACTCACACTCGTCATACTTGGCTCTCAACTTCTTTGCCGCAGAGAATGCGTGCACGGTTTTCATACTCGCCAAGATTTCCTCGGCAAGGGAAGCTCCTTTGCTACTGATATGGAGAGCTCGGTTCTCTTCCTTGATTAGAATCCCGGCACAGACTGTGGTGACAATCAGAATAGCCGGTGCAATGCAAATGGTAATTAAAGTGAGCTTCCACTGTATAGCAAAAGCCACAACAAATGCAGCGACAAATGTGGAGGTGCCTTGTACGAGGAAACCCAACTTCTCCGATATCCCCTGGTTGACGAGGTTCGCATTAGTGGTCACCTGTACCACCACAGAGCCTCCGCGGTTGGAGTCAAAAAAGCCAATGTCTTGCTGTAGCAATCGAGTGAGGAATGCAATGCGAAGATCCTTCGTAGTCCGTATAGCGGAGACGGAAAGTGATAGGGACCAGATGTACACTAATACAAACTTTCCAATAAAAAGATAGACAAAATAAAGCCTATATAACGAGTCAACAAACCAAAATGTTCAACCCAATGCGTGTTTTCGAATCTCCTTCACCTACACATATTTGTTGATTGAAGATTGAAATTGGCCAGCATCGCTGGAGTTGGTGGCCGCATTGTTAAATGTTGTGATCATCTGGCCAAACAGCAGATCCATCAAGGGCAAGGCGCATCCAGCGCCCACTGCACTGACCAAGGCGACGGCATTTAGCAGCCAGCCGACGCGATCTGTATACTTGAATATGCGCGCATAGCTCTTGAAACCTCCATTGTTTTCCTCTTCGGCCCGCTGGCCTGTCTCGGTCGGTTCCTCGGCCATGTCGAGCGGAGGAATGATATGCCGCTATAGGAAGCGCACTAGGGTCAAAGTGGGATGAGATGCACAACCCATTAGGAAACCATCGACCATAGCGTGAGCGTGTTGACTATGAATATAAATTAGGCCCAAACGAGGAAAACATGCATTGATGGAAAGGTATCGGGCTGGAACAGGGATCGGCTCCTCTTAAGTAGCGTATTTGCAGGAAAATCCTTGCCTGCTCCCTCAGGCTGGGATGGGCCCTAACTGGCCAGATCAGGCATACACCCTACTGCATAAGCAGAAAGGATCAAGATTTGTATCGGTTCTAACCCGAATTCAATGATCCCAGACTCATGCCTACCATGTGGCCATGGCACATGCATCCATTATCTCATCGACTAGTCATTCGGGAGCCCGCGTATCCCGAGAACCACGTCTACATCCACCCAGGACCAGGCAGACAAGATACCGAGACACCTGAGTCACATCAACGAGATCTGCCACGATCTTGCCCCTGAGGACCAGGGGGAGGTCGTATAACGTATTCACGTACTAGTGCCTAAAGGAGAATGGAGCTTTTCTTTCCTTTTTAGACTACGAAGTTTACTCGGACGTCTCCTCTCCCTGCGCATCCACCTTAAATCGCATCGCAATTATTTGTTACTCATTAACACTAAACTATAGCCTATCTGTCAGGCGTATGCTTCAATATTCTCCGTTCATTAGTGGCCACCAGCACAGGACAAGTCGAGGCAATCTAGCGGTCGGTAATCACCCGATATGCCCCAACGCAGCTCTCGGGCCGCCTGTTCATGGGTCGGGGCCGTTGGAGCTACATGGCCCCACTCAGTTCCGTAGTGGACTCCGGAGTCCGCGGACCCCGACCATGAACAGAGTCCATGGTCGCCTAAACACCTGCATCTTGGCCACCGCAGAGCGGTCGAGAAGAACCCTTGGCATGTATTCGGAATTATACGAGGTGGCAAAAACTTCCGGTGTTACACACACCGTTTGCGTTTGCTTTTTTTACGAGCCCCTCTGCCCCTTTTTTCGGAGAAAAGTCATCTTTCTTGATGACCACTCATGAGCCGGATACCATACAAAATAAGTAGGGAATTGGATCTACTGTGAGACTTTGACACACATGGGAATATGGGAGTCTTCCTGGTACATATTAGTGGCGATCTTCCTCTCGACAGATTCAAACTGATACTACTGAGCGTGCCCAGCCTATTTCTAAGCGTGTTTTGAGATGTTCTGGGCGTGGTGATAAACGCGCTATCGATACTACGTATTTCGGATTACATCAGATACTCTTAGTTAGTGCTTTTAGTTTTTAATCTTTTCTTTAACTGAGTACTACTACCTTCTTTGAAAAACTTAGGGTCTTAGTCTTAAATCCCTATGCTATGTTCTAAAAATGCCCGTGAGTCGAATCGCTGGGAAGTGAGTTGAATTTGTCTGATGATGTGGCGAGTCCATAATTTGGAGGACCCGGATTCCTCGAGCCCGGTAGAACCTGGTTTGGTGGTTGGCGACGTCTCCGTCATATCGGAAAATCCTCAACAGTCCCCCTGAACATCAGGAACGTTGATCTGAGAAGGGGGTCAAATGGCCGAGTAACTACCAAGATCAATGGCTCTCTTTTTCAGTATTCAAGATATTCTATTTATCAAGTCAAGTTCCATACGCTGGTATTCATGTGGCCTAATATGGTATGTAAACAACTTGGATATGACCAAATACCTGGAGATGGTAGGTCGTCGGCATCGTTTTTACTCCTCGGTGGGCTGTGGGAGTGATAGATAGTGATTCTGGTCTTCGTGGAACTTCAAAGTCAAGCTAGTCTCCTCCCCCTGTTCCAAGTCATAATATTGATTCTCGTGGCAATGAAACTTTATGCTCTCAACTGGTGGAGACATCAAGTTTCGCCAGGCGAGGAGCCATCCAGTAACGTTCCAGGTCACCTGCTCCGCGCGACTTTGGAAAACGGGCGCTTGGAGATTTCCACTTTGGTTACAGAAGATATCGAAGTTCTCGTTCCATTTATCCGTCCACTTTGGGTACATCTCTAAAAACAGTGATGGGAAAGGGTACTCGTTAAGGAGTATATAGGCACCAATCGTACTATGACCCTCATCCTCCGCAGAGGGAATCCGTATTCCAATCCGCCCAGATTCGATACCGACGGGGAGGATCTTCGACCGTCCCAATATTAGGGGGAAGGGACTGAGAAGACATAGGAGAATTCTGGGTCAACAACTCGATAGTTGGCTCCTCTCTACTCCGTCAAGTGATTTTGAGTATAAAGTCAAAGTTCGTTTCTAAGATGAAACAATGTTCGCCGTCTTGGGAGGTCCAAACATCATCCAGGTTTGAGACCGCCTTGAGATATGGTTGCGAGTCCGGATGGCGGCAAATGACCGCTAGAGGGTTAAGATGATCCAGCATAGGACACATACTCACAGGGGAACCTTGCGTCGGATACTTGTCGAGTGCACAGGATTTGTCGACGGGTGTAAACAGCCTCGGAAACTGGACAGGCGGACAAGCTTTTCTTCGTCTGTAGGATTGTGTCGAGAAGGAGAGGTCATTGATTAGAATACAACTAGGACTCCCACATTTCTGTGCGTTCCGCAATTGCAGCAATACTCGATTCCACACTAGTTTTGTATGGTATCCTGGGTAGACCTGGGACTCGGCGCCGTGTAACGCTAGTGAGCGAGGCATGGGATATTCAACACTCCCTGCCAGATAGTTCATACATTTAGAAATTAGCACATTGTGCATCCCGTTACATTGGATCTTACTTTCACATGCCTATAAAGTATCCTACTATATCGACATACTATACTAGTGAAATAGCTAAAATACGGAATTCCGCATATTAGTAAGCATCGGGGTCAACTTTGAAGCCTATCAATACAATATCCCGATAAGCACGGGGAGCTTTGGAATTTTGGATCGCCAAACACCCACGACCATTTGATCTTTCGTCCCATTCCCAATTCTTGCGCCGGTCTAATTTCCCCTCACTGGTACAATCGGTTCCTTCTTCTCTGCCGGTCGGATGCGCAGGGATGCAGTCATGGGCCGCTCGAGGCAGTCGAGCCATCTCCGGCGCAGCGCGATCACTCATTCAGCCTGAACGATATTTCACCACGACCCCAGCCCTCTATCGATCCAAGAGAACACAAAAAGCAAAGGAAGTGAAGGCAGCCAAAGGAACAAAACATGGGGAGGGGGCAGGACACACAATTGCTAAACCCTTATCGCCGAAAGGTTCTTCAAGGGTAGCTACTCGGCAAGGTGTTGCAGCTGCACAGGACTTCAGCCGCCTTGTGGAAGCTGCGGTACGCGATGTACAACACAAATTGCATTCTACGGGCGAGTCGATGGACGGATGGGGTCGCTTCGAGCGTCAGGTCTTGAATGCTTGCCGTGCAGGAGACGCAAAGGTGGGCGAAAAATTTGGCCCATTACGTCAGTTGAAGCTGTCTCTGCAGAAGGCATATCTTCGATATGGAGTTCAAGGCCTGCGGGATGAGTTGGAGTATATGCTATTCGCCGATAATCTTACGGCGAAGTATTCGACTCCGATGCTAGAAGCCCAGCGCATGGTGGCCGACTGTCGCTACCCCGCTGAATGGTATCCTCGTGCTCGCTCCATGCAACGGACAATCCATTTACATGTTGGGCCGACCAATTCCGGAAAGACTTACCATGCCTTGAAGCGACTGGAAGCATCGAAATCGGGGTTCTATGCAGGACCGTTGAGACTGTTGGCGCAGGAGGTATACCATCGGTTCAAAGACCAAGGGGTTTCCGTCAGCCTGGTAACTGGCGATGACATCAAAGTCCCAGAGAGCGGGCAAGTGCCGCGAGTTGTGAGCAACACAGTGGAGATGGTCAATCTGAGCCAGGAATTTGACGTTGGAGTCATTGACGAGATCCAAATGATCGCTGACCCAAAACGAGGATGGGCTTGGACTCGAGCAGTTCTAGGATCACAGGCGAAAGAACTCCACCTCTGCGGAGAAACACGAGCAGTTCCGCTTATTCGCGAAATTTGCGCACTCACCGGAGACAATTTGGAAATCCATCGTTACAACAGGCTCAACCCGCTGGAAGTCATGACGCATAGTTTGCGGGGCAACCTCAAGAATCTGCAGCGAGGCGACTGTCTTGTCGCATTTTCCCGAGTTGGCATCCATGCGTTGAAGGCAGATATTGAAAAAGTGACTGGCAGACGAGCGGCAATTGTATACGGTGGCTTACCTGCGGAGATTCGTACCCAACAAGCGAGCCTATTCAATGACCCAGATAATGACTATGATTTTCTTGTTGCAAGTGACGCGATTGGTATGGGGTTGAATTTGTAAGTGTTGCCTGATGTCCTTCGTTTTGCAGCATAAATTAACATAGTGCAGGAGCTGCAAGCGGATCATCTTCGAGACTCTGATCAAACGTACTCCCAGTGGTCTTCAACGTCTTTCGGTATCTGAAATCAAACAAATAGGAGGTCGTGCAGGTCGATACCGCCCCGCTGGCGCCAAGGCAGGGCCGGACGATGGAACCAATGTAGGCCTTGTCACTTGCCTCGAAGAAGTCGACCTCCCATACATTGCTGAAGCAATGAGCCTGGAACCCCCGCCCATTCGTGCTGCGGGCCTGTGGCCACCAGATTTTATGTTCCAAAAGCTCGCCGGCTACTTTCCGAGAGGCGTGCCCTTTGAGTATCTTATCAAGCGCTTGATGGAACTTGCTCAAGTCAATCCATTGTTTTTCTTGTGTGATGCCGAATCGCAAATGAAAAACGCTGAAATCATTGACACGGTTAACGGATTGCGTACCCAAGATCAGCTGACTCTCATGGCTGCTCCCATGGAAAGTAAAGATCCTTCCTCGCGCTCAGCCACTGGTGCATTTGCCGATTGTGTTGCAGACAACACGCGTGGACGGTTGTTGGATATTCCAGATCTTAACCTTGAGATCCTAGAAAAACCAGTCTCTGGGAACAAGGACTATATGCATCAACTGGAAAGTCTACACAAAGCTATTATTCTATATTCCTGGCTAAGCTTCCGATTTGGAGGTATTTTCACCGACCGGACTCTAGCTGCGCATGTCAAGGAGCTTGTGGAAGAGAGAATGGTCCGCGCATTGACCGAGTTCTCTGCAAACAAGAAACTGCGGAAGGATGCTTCTCTCAAGCGCCAGATTGCTCTGCAGAAGCAGATCCTTGATCAACAACGAATCATCTCTGACGAAGATCTTATATCCCCTCATAGTGAAGAGAGCAATATCCAGGTCAATTTGTCGAGAGAAGATCCGGTGTCCTCATCCGGTAGGGATCCTTCAGATGAACCCTTGGAGGAAGGTTCAGCCGAAGCACCAGAAGATGACCTCACGGAGGATAATTTTCCAGATGCCTCACCTCCCCGTCCCGAGACCACCAGTACGAATACTGGCTGAACAGAGCACAATATTGTAATATTAAACATGTATATTAGCTGTAAAAAAACCTATCTTCTCTTCCAACTTGGAATCCAGTGGAATTCTTCGTAGCGTACTGTATAAACATCTTCTGGATTATTTTCATTATTTTTTAAAGACGCTACAGGACGGCAGAGTAGCTAGCTACCTTTCGGTACGCAGGCCTTATCAAGAATCTTATCAGTGGCAACTTCGGCCGGACTGATTTTCCGCGTCGTTCAACCCTGCTTTGGAACACCGCGTCGGCCGCAAAGCTACCGTTTTGCGCACTCGCTCATTTCGGACGTTCTTTCGATCGCTGTTTACTCGGTCGCCATCATGGATGACCTTGAGTCGCTGGAGCTGTTCTCACTCGTGTCGCGAGTGACGAATGAGCTCCAGAACCACCTGGGTATTAATGACAAAACGCTGGCAGAATTCGTGATTGACCAGCACCTCAAATGCAATGGCGCTTTTCCTGAATTCAAGAAAAGCCTTGATGAGATGGGCGCCGAGTTTCCACAGAGCCTAATGGAGAGTGTTGATCGCCTTGTTCTTACCATGCATCCAAAATACAAAGGAAAGAAAGCGACGGAAAATGGTACCTCGGGCGGCGCAGACGGTGACAATCTAATGGACGAGCTGGATGCTCTGGAGAAGAAATCTCGAGTATTCAAAGGCCTTGCTGTGCCCGATGCAGAGAAACGCTGGGAAGAGAATGATTACCTGGATCAGCAAACAGCGGACAATGCCCAGGCCGGCGCGATGGACGACACATTCGCTATGTTGGAAGGGCTAGCTGGAAAAGCAAATGACGACAAACCCCGCGCCACAAGAGACTACCACGATGATAGAAAGCGGAGTCGAAGCCCCGAGTATGACAGCCATGATCGCGGACGCCGACACAGAGACAAATATCGATCAAGATCGCGAAGCACCCACCGGCACAGCAAACACGATGAATACATTGATGAGTTCGGCAGATCTATCGGCAGGTACGGCAAGGAAGACGGACATCGAAATGGGCACAGCGATCACCGAAGACGGCGGGATCGAGATGACGAGTTGCGCCGACCTCCAGTCGAGTTAGATGACGAACCCATTCTCTACAAGATCTACGAAGGACGTGTCACGGGAGTTAAGGACTTTGGTGCCTTTGTCAATCTACAAGGTGTCAAGGGCAAGGTGGACGGCCTCGTCCATGTTTCGGCGATGCAAGAGGGTGCGCGGGTCAACCACCCCTCTGATCTTGTCTCGCGTGGGCAGCCTGTCAAAGTTAAGGTTGCCAGTATACAGGGAAATCGCATTGGGTTGTCGATGAAAGAAGTCGATCAAGTCACTGGAATGGATCTTGTTCCTCAAAAACGTTTGGCCTCTGGCGCCAATATGGAGCGCCTTGATGGATCTTCGGTTAATGATAGATATGGCAACCTCAGCTCTGAGGTGCCTGTCATCGAGCAGTCAAACGGACGGCACATTAAAAATCGCAAACGCATGACATCCCCGGAGCGTTGGGAGATAAGACAGCTTATCGCATCTGGCGTGGCATCCGCCGCGGACTACCCTGACCTTGAAGAAGAATACCATGCCACTCTGACCGGCGAGGGCGCCTTTGAAGAGGAAGAAGACGTCGACATCGAAGTGAGAGACGAGGAGCCCCCTTTCCTAGCTGGCCAAACGAAACAGTCTCTAGAGTTGTCTCCTATTAGGGTCGTCAAAGCACCTGATGGCTCAATGAACCGTGCTGCTATGTCTGGTACAAATCTTGCCAAGGAACGACGCGAATTAAAACAGCAAGAAGCGCAAGACAAGGCTGCTGAGCGAGCAGCTGAGGTTGATCTTAATGCGCAATGGCAAGATCCCATGGTTGCCCCCGAAGACCGAAAATTCGCTTCCGGAACTTCGAAGTACACAGCAGCCGAAGCCCGACGAAGCAGTGCCAGAGTGGAAGCGGGTGACCATGGGCAAGAATCCGTCCCTGGGTAAGCGGACCGATATGACTATCAAGCAACAGCGCGAGAGTCTTCCTGTATTCAAATTCCGAAAGCAGCTTCTTGACGCTGTCAAGGACAATCAAATCATGATTGTGGTCGGAGACACTGGCTCTGGAAAGACTACACAGGTCACGCAGTATCTTGCTGAGGCTGGGTATGGAAATAATGGCATAATTGGTTGCACTCAGCCTCGTCGTGTTGCAGCTATGTCTGTCGCCAAGCGTGTGGCCGAGGAAGTCGGATGCAGATTAGGAGCCGAAGTTGGGTATACCATCCGTTTCGAAGATTGCACAAGCCCCGACACCAAGATCAAGTACATGACCGATGGAATGCTCCAGAGAGAAATTCTGCTGGATCCTGACCTCAAGAGATATTCCGTGATCATGCTTGATGAAGCGCACGAGCGCACTATTGCTACCGATATTTTGTTTGGATTGCTTAAGAAGACGATCAAACGAAGGCCCGATCTTCGGTTGATCGTCACATCGGCGACATTGGATGCTGAAAAGTTTTCTGAGTATTTCCATGGCTGCCCTATCTTTTCTATCCCTGGACGAACTTTCCCGGTCGAAATTATGTATTCCAAAGAGCCTGAATCCGATTATCTCGACGCTGCTCTTATCACAGTGATGCAAATCCACCTGACAGAAGCTGGAGGTGATATTCTTGTGTTCCTAACGGGACAAGAGGAAATTGATACATCGTGCGAAATATTATATGAACGAATGAAGGCGCTCGGCCCTTCTGTCCCCGAGCTTATCATTCTTCCTGTTTACTCCGCACTCCCAAGTGAGATGCAAAGCCGAATTTTTGACCCTGCCCCCCGGGCGCTCGCAAAGTTATCATCGCCACCAATATCGCAGAGACTTCTATCACAATCGACAACATTTATTATGTCATTGACCCTGGCTTCGTGAAGCAGAACGCGTACGACCCAAAGCTTGGCATGGATTCCCTGGTCGTCACTCCCGTCTCCCAGGCGCAAGCGAAGCAGCGAGCGGGACGTGCTGGGCGCACAGGCCCGGGTAAATGTTTCCGTCTATATACCGAAGCTGCCTATCAATCTGAAATGTTACCTACGACAATTCCCGATATCCAGCGACAAAATTTGTCACATACTATTCTTATGCTCAAGGCAATGGGCATCAACGATCTCCTTCATTTTGATTTCATGGACCCGCCCCCTACAAATACTATGTTGACTGCCCTCGAGGAACTGTACGCGTTGTCCGCCCTTGACGACGAAGGCCTTTTGACTCGCCTAGGCCGCAAGATGGCAGATTTCCCCATGGAGCCCGCCCTTGCCAAGGTCCTCATTGCCTCTGTCGATATGAGTTGCTCCGAAGAGATGCTAAGTATCGTCGCCATGCTGTCGATCGCGTCCGTATTTTACCGGCCCAAGGAGAAGCAGCAACAGGCTGATCAGAAGAAATCCAAGTTTCACGATCCCCACGGCGACCATCTCACATTACTGAATGTTTATAATGCCTGGAAACACTCGAAATTTAGCAATGCCTGGTGTTTTGAGAACTTTATCCAGGCTCGGCAGATTCGCCGTGCCCAAGATGTTCGCCAGCAGCTTCTCGGTATCATGGAACGCTATCGCCACAAAATCATCTCGTGCGGTAGGAATACGGATCAGGTGCGAAAGGCCCTGTGCACTGGATTCTTCCGGAATGCTTCCCGCAAGGATCCCCAGGAAGGATACAAGACGTTGGTTGAAGGCACACCAGTGTATATGCACCCTAGCTCCGCGCTCTTCGGCAAGCCTGCTGAGCACGTTATCTACCACGAGCTGGTTCTCACAAGCAAGGAGTACATGCATCATATCACAACAATCGAGCCCAAATGGCTTGTTGAGGCGGCTCCAACATTCTTCAAAGTCGCACCGACCGATAGGCTGTCGAAGCGCAAGAAGGCCGAGCGCATTCAACCTTTGCACAACCGGTTTGCTGGAGAGGACGATTGGCGTCTCTCTGCTCAACGCCGGCAGGGCAGAGGCGGTGGCGGTGGAACCTGGGGTTAAGTGGCCGAGGAAGCTGGATGTGTATAATTTAATCTATTGTGATAAACGAAAATTGAAATTCCCAAAGGTAGGCGACGTCTTGTCATATTGCGCTGCCGTTTCCATATATTAGATCCTGACATATGCTGGTGTATTGTATTATAAACTTGAAATTTGGAATAAAATATATAACGTTGAATCGACGGATCGTCGCTTTTCAGCTCGATCAAACACAAACCCGAAGGGGGGAAAGCATCTACTTAACAGTCTTTCGCATTTCTTTCCACTGTTCGACTTTTCGTAGGGTCGAGGGCGGCCTGCGGAGTGGGCCTGGCCAATCAGCGCACGTGAAATCTCGAGGACATCGGAACATCAAGACTTCGAAAAAAAATAACACCGTCACGACTCCAACACTGGGAAGCATGGCGCAAGTTGCAGAGCATCCTTTTCGGGCCAAAAGAAGGAGGCTTGATGACGAACAGGCTGGTGATGATGTGGCTATCACGTCTCCTTCTCAGCTGCGTAACCTGCTAGCCTTCCAGCAAAATCCTGTGACTGCCAAGCAAGGTGAGCCTCCATGCTTGAAGATGAAAAGAAAGCAATAGCTAACATGGCATACGAACCAAAGGATTGAATGGATTCAAAGATTTCTTACTCTCGATTGCACAGGTTGAGAAGGAGAGCCAGAAAGCTCAGAAATTGCGAGTCCTGAAGTCGTACTGTGACAAGCAAATCACTCCCGGCAAAGACGAGGAATCGAGCTCCGTCTGCTTTCCGGATATTATCCAAACATGGGCATTCGCAGACACTAATAACAACGAGCCCCTTTTAACCAATGTACCCTCAGTCTTGGCAATTTTTTTGAAGACCATCTCTCGTGAGCTTGAGTTCCGAGATTTCGGTGTTGCTCTCTGCAAACATTTGCTGCAGAAGGACCAATTAAGGCTCTTCAACCGTGGTTTGACTGCCACAAAATCAAAAGAGCATCTGATCTCTCCTTGTCTTCGCTTACTCACGGAGATTGTCACCTTTGATGGAGGAGCTGTGGCGCGTCAACTGTATCTTCGCCGCTACATTACCTTCAAGCGTCTTGAGGTCTTTTTGACACCCAATAAGACTCAAGCTGAGGCTTCAGAGGATGAAAGTCACAAGTCGACACTCAGGAGGAATGCACAGAAATATTTTCTTGCTAATCTCCGAGTCCAGCATGTTTTGGAGAAGGGTGATATTGTTGAACAGCACAAGCTCACGAGAGCTCTCCTAGAGCACGTTCGGAAGGACTCCCGAGAGATGGTTCTGGAGACGATCAAGTCGATTGAAAGGGATATTATGCAGGACGAATCGCTCCCACGCAAGTCCAAGAGCAAGTTTTTCAATCGATGGAACCTTGAAAAGCTGGTCACGCTCTATGGATACGACCGTGAGTCCGACGAGAGCAATCCAGAGGCGATCTCCATAGCCAATGAGATTCATAGAGTCTTGATGAATGTTTGCAAGACTTCTGGCCTTGGTGTTCTCCTTCCCGAAACAGGCTGGTACCCTGTGGGAGCTGATCCCGAAATCTTGCCTGTGGACGATGATGAATGCATCGAGCTTGGCCTTGATTCCCCGATATATGTCGATAAATACCGGGAGTCGATCCCTGTACGGAATGGATCCCTATCTTATCTCATTCAATGCCTCCGTCCAGATGTGGATAGCTTGCAAATTGAGTTACTGGCGACGATTTTCAAGGTGGCACCGGAGCTCATCGCAGACTTTTTCACCAAGAAGACCATGTTCACCTCAGATCCCAAAGCGACGCCGTCATGGATGGCTGAGTCTGCATTTCTCTTCTCAACTGTTCAACTCCCGGTTCCCACAAACTGCGGCTGGAAAGACAAACTACCTGTCCTACCACCCCCAGTCTCAATTGTCATTGAAAATATTTTACCGCGCCCTCTAAGTCAAAAAATTATGACTCGTTGCTTGAATCAGAACGCTGAAATCATCACCTTGTTCGCCGTGCGAATTCTGACTCTGGCGTTCACCAAACTGCGGGCTGTGCTGAAAATATTCCGTGCGGATCATGGACAGGGCCAATTATTTTGGAACCAGGCATGTTCGAAGCTGCTAACTGAGTTTTCTCGTCGATGTCCTGCAGTAAAGGATGTTGTTGTACTCTTTCGTAGGACAGCCAAGGAAGATTTGCAGCAACAAGAGGCTGTTGCTGAACTTTTAGCCTGTTACTACGAAGTGATGCCAGATATCGCATTGGAGGAAAACTTTGATGTTTCATTGGTTTTGGTTGATGTTTTGAAGCGCTTGGAAGAAGAGGCTCTGAGCTCAGATGATTCCGAGCTGCTTTTGAGTCAGCTACAGAGTATCCTTCAGATTGCACAACAGTCTACTTCTATGCGTTGGTGGCAGAAGCCAGGTATGTCTATTCTCCTACCGATATTCTTGATGATATATGTACTAAATATTTCAAGCCACCATGCAATATTCCCCATTCACCTCCATTCTCAAAGTTCTCGTGGGAACATCCGACCGGGACTCCGCACGCCGCATTTCAGCTCTACTCAGAACCGTGTTGTCAGAAAACGCCGTGCTGGAAAACTTGCCACGATCTTTCAATGCGCTTTTATCAAGCCTGGAAGATTTTGAGTCTGATACATTGCACACCCAGCTGCTTTTCTTTGACAACTGCGTGTCTCGTGTTGCCAAGAAACCTGTTCACTATCTTGATTTAATTGGCTCCGCCGGATCCAGTGATGAAGCACCGACAAGTCCTATCGTTGCGGCGATCGTGGAGCAGTGGCCTTTCGTGGTTAAGGCAGGCGATGCGTCAGCTGAAAATGCCATTGGGTCATGGATTGCCAAACTGCTCGGACAATTGAAACAGGTCGGAGAAAATTCGGATGCCTTGAAAGCCGCTCGAGATGCTTTGGTTGAAGCCACGGAGACCAAGAAAACACGATCTTTGATTAAAAAATGCTTCAAGGGAATAGATGAGGATGAAACGGCTGACAAGATGGATGTGGATTCTATCCATAAACAACCAGTTCTATCCAATAAAACCTCATCGGTGGACCTTGATGAGATTTTTGGGTTCCTCCCCACTGAAAGCACAACCCACAACGCCTTACATAAATGGGAGAGGGAAGATATTGAAGCGGCAGTGGAGCAAGGCCATATCGCGGAGTTGATTCTCTGCCTGTGTTCGCAGCACGAAGAAGTCCGCAGGCAAGCATTTGCCAACCTTGCGCGGTTTTTGGTCAAATTAAAGGTAAGACGAGTTCTCAGCCCCTTTCGAAATATTCGCTGATCGATTTAGGATTCCAATTATGCTGAATGGCGCACTGTCTATACTTTGACAGGCGAGCTTCTCGAGACTGTGAATGGCCTCAGTCTTGATAAACCAGTCCCGTTCATTATCGGCGAGTGCGCCTCGAGCTGCTTGACGGTTCTCACAACACCACTGCACAAAGTCTATGGAAAAGTCAACAAGTTCTTGCAAAAGGCACCGTCGTGGGAGCACGAAAAGATTCCATCCTACTGGATCGATAAGATTTTTCTTCACGAGCCCGAGTTAGACGATGGGTACTTTGATGAGATTGACTGGCTTTTGGGGCTATTTGTCAAGGGCCTTGGCAGCGAAGCTGTACGTCTGCTACAATCTATTCCTATCCTGTTTCACACCAAGACGCACTTGCTAACACTGCCTTTAGGATATGGAGATTTACCGGCGTGCCAATGTCTTCGAGCGCATTCTTTCCCTCTACCAGTCCCCGTCGCTTGATGCGGCTGCCCGTCGTAAGATTTTGCACATCCTCTACCGCGCGGCCCAGGTGGGTGGCAGCACCACCCTAATCACTCGTACGGCTGTCATCAGTTGGATCCAAGTTCAAGTCGCAGAAGCTGATGCGAAGGAAATCGCTCTACTCTCGGCCCTGGCACAGACGATGTACGAACGGTGTGATCGGGAACGAGTAGATGCTTGGAGCACTGGGACGATCGAGCAAGCTCTTCGGGAGATTTCGCAGGCATAGAAGAGCATGCTTTGTACAATATTTTTTACCTAGATTTGGAGTGATAATTCATTACTTGTGTCCCTTGTCTACCGTACCTGTTTTGATCACGGTTCTTGTACTGGCCTTGCTCGCGGCTCAGTGTCGAAATGCATGCGTATAACCTCAAGAGGTTTCGGGCTGGGATATTATCATCTGACGGAACGGTAGATAGTTGGCTACAAAGGTGATTTCTTTATATTGAATACACACATTTGTAGACATCGTTTTGTCCTATCGGCTTCCTTGAATCCCAAGAAGCAGCCTAACTAGTGTGCCGATTCCATATTTCCATATGAGTATTCAGTGCGGGCGGCGGCTGACTGACAACTGGCTAGCTTCCCCTGGGCGGTGCAGCACGTTGAAAACTCCCTCCGGGACCGCCTTCATCTCATCACGTCCCCTCCTTAGCTCCGACCCCTTCATAGCCCACTACACTCCTCGCTACTTTCCAATATTTTGCCTACATTGACCATCAGATTCTGCCCAGCTGGGACATCTCTCAAGAGGGGAAAAGGGAAACCAACCCCGATCACCGAATCCGCCCTCACCGACCCCGGCTCCGCCTTAAAGCCTCGCCACAAGGTGGCTTACTGCTGCTTCTCCTCATTCGACCTCTTTTTACCGAATAACCTCGCTCCCCCCACGACCTTCCCCTTCACGACCCTTCCAACTTCCCTTCTGAAACCCTGTGACGCTCCTCCGATCGCCATTTGTACTCATATTTCTTTGATTTGGACCCCCAGTCAACCAATGCGAGCACAATAATCACTTGTGGATAAAGATCGCACACACCTCTCCAGATAACGGCCGTCATGGCGCGCCGGTACGAGATCGATGAGCTGTTATGGCTACGCTCATCGCCTCTTGTCGCAAAACCTCCTGGTCTACCCCCGATTGAAGAATGGATGTATGTTGAACCCTTCACACCGAACACTGGCTGGCATCCTGCTCGTTGACGCCATAGACTGACTGACCCGCATCGGTATCTGCTCTTAACAGGCCTCAACCTGACCCAACAACCCAACGCAAACAACAGACGACTCGCGACCCCAATAACCCATCTGAGACGACTACGAACCGCAGACCCAGCTTTTTCGAAGCTCGCCATATCTCTCGCGGCTCCAATTCAGGTATGCCTGTCACCCATCTTTCGCTGAAACACAGCTCATATTACCTCATTTCCGGATGGAATCCTTGCTAACAGGTCATGAAATCAATGCAGAGGACATTATTCTCCGGGCCCCCCAAGACCGCCTTTGCGTCGTCTCGAATTGGCGGAGGGGGTAAAGGGTCTTTTGATCTGACAGAACGGCCGGTACGAACAGGAGATTCGGATGATAAGGGTGATCGTTTCAACCTTCGAGACAGACTATTCAAAGACAAAGATACTCAGGAAAGAGAATCTGAGCGGCGAGATGGAAGAGCAGGTGGACTGAACGGCCGTCGCGGGGAAAGAGAGGACTGGAATGCTGGCCGTCCTCGCCGAGGATTTGGACCTGATGAACAAGACCGTAAACCAAGACGCAACGGAGAATTTGACCGATGGGAAAATCGCGAGAATCCTCGAGATCCCAATACAGAACGAGGCACCCGGGAGCGTGATGGTCGTTTCCCTGTCCGAAAAGATGGCCAGCCGGGCCGGGCCAAGTACGAAGGTAGCTGGTTTCGCGATGAAAATTCTCACGAGGGCGCTGATCCTGTCGATGACGACAAGCCTGCAACAAGAAATCGCGAATGGCGTCGCGACCGCCACGGCGCAGACCGCGATTGGACCCGAGGCGCCAAAATCGAACAAGAGCCCGAGTGGTTGGATAGCAACGATCGAGATGAACCACGACGAGCACACACACAGGAGGACTTTGAACGTTGGAAGGAGCGCATGAAGGCTGGTTCCGGCGCTGGTCAATCAAACCCAAATCATGAAGAGAAGAGAGACGCACATGATGAACCGAATGTTGCTTCGCAGAAGACGGAGACTAACCACACCGATGGAGAGACATTTAACAACCCTTCGATGGCCGATAACTCTATGGAACGGTTTTTCGGAATGTTAGGAGACCCGAAGCCCTCCGTTCCCGACGTTGGAACGCCCATGTCGGCGGACTCAGGGGCCAAGAAGGACTCTTCGGGAGGAAAACTTGGAAAGTCCTCCCGATTTGCTGGATTGTTTAGTCCTCCTCCCGAGAGCCCTTCCCAGGCTCCTGAGCCTAACCCCTTCTCCAGGCTCACTGGCGGCACACCCGTCAATCCCCAGGATCCCGATCAAGAAGGCTTCCAGCGCATTCTGCAGATGCTGGGTGGAGGTGGAGGTGGAGCAGGCCGATCTCACAATGGCACGCCTAACCAAGGGGAGTTGTCTAACCAGCCGCGCCCAATGATGCAGCTAGAGCAGCCCCGTATGCCTCCCAATATCGCACCTAGAGATGCACTTCCACGCCCGGAATATATGGGTGCCCATGAACTTCCCATGTCACAGAATATTGGGAAAGAACCCCAGTCGCATGAGCGGGAGCATCTCCTGCGCCTGATGCAACAAGTTCGGGTTGGACCTCCGTCGGGAAGCCCATCGCAGCAGTCACCTCCCAATGCCGGGCCCCCACCACCCCCGGGTTTGATGCCAGAGATGATGCCCCGTCCTCCCCCGGGATTGACCATTCAGAAGGGGCCAAACTTCCTAGACGATCCGGCCATTGCGAACATGCAGCGACCGGATAGCGACCAACTCCGTCGGCGCGCTGCTAATGGACCTCCACCAATGGGCTATTTTGACGATGTGCCGTTCCCTCCTCAAGGCGCACAGGGCCCTATGACACCTGGCGGATCTCGTCCACCCCAAGGCCAGCCTCCGATGCCGCTTCAGCGGCCTCCAGGCCTTGACCATATGCCCCCTCCCCCGGGTTGGGCTGGTCAACCTCCTCAACAGGGCAATGGACCTAGTCCAATGGGCCCCCCTCCTGGTATTCCCACTCCAGGTCGTGGACCCCCTCCGAACTTTCCACCGGGCATGATTCCAATGCCTCCCCGCGGCCTTCCACCAGGCATGATGCCTCCTCCAGGATATATGGGCGGCCCTCCGCCTCCTGGCTTTCCTCCTATGCCGCCAAATCCTGAAGCTATGATGGGACTCGGACCTGGTCAAGGACCTTTTGGGCCCGGGAATCCTGGCCCGGGTCTGCAAGGCCCTCCTCCCTCATCCCGCCATCTGCTTGAGATGTTTGGTCAGCCTAATGGTGGCGACGGTCGCGGTGGCATGGTCGTACCTGGTCAGTTCAGGTAAAGCAGTCACTTGTGTCAAATCTGACGTCGCTGCTCCCGCTCGTAAATATTTCATGCTCATGCGAATATGTTGATTCTATGAGCCAAAATATGCAGTGGAGAGATGCGGCGCAAGAACTCCGGTCTGTTTTAACCCGGTCTGGTTACACGGCAACGTTGCATCCAATAGAGAGATCAAAGCACCATTTCCTTGTCTTTTCTTCTTCTTTTCTTTTTCATACTGTATTTGCTGATGCCCATTTTCGGTACTATGATGCCTATGCTTGATGCTGGTCCTTCTACAACCCCGAGTTTAGCCTTTGCTTTGCGAGCTGTGGCTTGCTTGCGCTGTTTATTTTTTTTGCTAAAATACCTCGATGGGATTCAATTTTCGTACTTTTTTTCCATCGGTGCTTTGATCTTTCCGGGAATGGCTTTCTTGGTTCGTGTTGCTGGTGCCGATTGTGCAGATACATCACAGAAGGTGAGAGATATGGTTATGAAATGATCTGGTGCTAAATGGATTGCCATTGATCTATGGTCAACGATGAGGCCTCGGGAGATGTTACTAGTTGTTGGTAGATTCTCGCCCCGTTCCTAGATAAATGGACAGATAAATTCATTTATCGCTTGATCTCAACGGTGACCCTTTCCCTTAGAAACCGACTGGACTTTTTAGATTGCTCATATATAGAACTAAAAAGGATTTACTCCCCCGGGCTATGCCAGATGTAATGTCTCAGCGATAACTGAAAGAATCTTCCAGACTCACCATGTTAAGTTGGAGTAAACTGGGCAATACTTAGATTGCTGGTCAATAACTTGGTAACGAGCTACAATTCAGGAAGCTGGAGACCCTATTCTTCCTCTGCTCGTCCCTTTTAGTGTAAAGGGGCATTCTCCGCAGTCGAAAGAACTTCGACAGGACTTGGCAATCCCCATTGAATGAACGATGACCCAAAAGTGACGGCGATACTGGCTTCTGCTTTTCAGGGAGCTTGGCCTGGTGGGGAATCATTTATAAGTAGACAGATGTGCCTGGTTGAAACGCCCACCATGTTGTACCGAAAGGAAGCCTTCTCGCCTTCAACATGACGCGATTCTTTGGCCTATGCGGCTCAAATTATACTTGGCTATCTGGGTGGAGATCTACTTTGCTTTCGTATCTTCAGCTACAATGAAGCCAGTGCTGGACCCAACCTTCAGTCTGCAACTCCCCTGAATGAACACAATCTCTACCACCAGAGCCGTTCAGAAGGACAATACCAGATCCAAGGTGTATCTATGCGCGATGTCCCAGGCAGGGGAAGATTGGTTCAGTCAGGAACTACTGTCACCTTGTATACTTTGCTCAATGCCTTCGGCGCTCTTGGATGTACCTTCTTCGGCGACAAAATATGTTGTCGAAAGACTAAATTTCTCGCCAGCATTGTTTCAGTGGATTGGTTCTTTTCTTTTACTTCTTTTTCATTCCATCAATTTCGAGTGAGTAAGCTTGTGCTTGGTCTGGGTAAAGGCGGTATCATTACAGTAGTTTCGGTCTGGCAGACAGAAGTTTCTAAATGGACGTCTGGTGGCGGATATCCTCGCCTTCGCTAAGTGACACTTTTGTCCCGATTGACTCGATTTCAAGATGCTCGATTCCGGCATGAGCTACGATTTTGATGGTTAAGTCACAGCAAATTAGAAAATTGATTAAATAGGCAAGTGCAGAAGAAAATTGTCAACTAAGTACAATTCCACGGGCGTAACGGGTGTAGGACATTAGCCGGATGTCGGAAGGTCCTCCGTCCAGCAACCCCCAAAAGTAGCCTTGGGTTCATGACCGCTGTTGGGCGAAAGACACTCGTAAGAAGCCGACAAGTTCCCCGACGGAGGCGTGTGCGAGTCTCCACACCAGGCCCGGAAATCGTAACCGTCCGTGTGGTCGTCATTTTGCCCTTGCGCGACAATCCAGCACCGACCTACCTCGCTGCTGCCTTCCCAATCATCTGGATCAGCAATAATTGTCCCAGCTTGGTGGTCATTATAATTGTTCAATTTATAGTCGCCTCGTGAACAAGCGGCCCACGCGTACCAAATCTGGTTTGGTTTGTTCTTGATGGTATCCGCGTCAGTATAATCGCTCGCCGTACACCCTGATGTCCCGTCATCGATGGTATATGATGATCTTTTTACAATACTATTGTCGTCGCCTAGTTAAGAGATCAGTTAAAGGTGTACAAAAATTTTGAGACTCGAGGTCAAGAGGCACCCACCAGGAATGCCCGCGGCAGTCGAGATGGCCGCGGCCCCGAGAAGGAGGATGCTCGTGCTGAACTTCATTGTCGAATATTTGGATGGAAGTTATTCGTACTGGTGCTCGCTTGTCTCTAGATGGATGTCTATAAGATATCGGAGGAGCATTTGTGGACGTTAAATAGCTATCGAAGAGGCAGTCCATAGGACATAATCTATATTTATCTCATATGCCCATCTTTATATAGATACTCCAGGATCAAGGGTCCAGCTTAGAGACGCTGGGTGTGAGGGTCCTAGGGTCTGGTCAACATGCATAGATCAGGAATGGTTTTAGGAGTTCAAGTTTCACTTATGGATTTGGTAAGGGTCTAGCTTGGATATGTTGGGTGTGAGGACCCTGGGATCTAGTCAACGTGTATACAGATCAGGAATGGTTCTAGGAGTTCAGGTTTCACCTATGAGTTCGGTTGGATCTAAGCCTTGTAAAGCTAGTCTACCCGCAGAGATCAAGATCTAACTTGGGAGTCTAGGGTCTTGCTAACAGATTTTGTCGGAAGAAGTCACATAATGCCGCGAAGACCCACATATTCCGCTCTGCGTCCAGACTCTACAGGGTTACTCGGTTCCCTACTAGTTTTGTAGAGTATCCCGGGTATATTCAGACCGCGCCGCTGCAACAGGCTTGTCAATGAGGATAGGACATTCAACACTCCCTGCCAGCAAGCACACATAATTAGCCATCAACACATAGAGCAATGTGCCCTATTGGATCCCACCTTTACAAGGATCCTATACAGAATCCTACTATATTAACTGGTTTTTATTGGGTCTACAATCTTAACACGCCAACCTTCGCAAAACTACCTAGAACGTCCAGTAGGAGTGTGGACCCTCACACATCTCGCGCCTTCCCAACCCAACTTCTGAAGCGCCGATCTCTAGTATTAGTATTCGGTGGTCTCTACACCTGCTTCCGTAATTTTTTACTCGTTCTGCCTTGAACTTTGACAGAAATGAGTCGCAAATAGAATGCTAAGAAGTTTGCCAATACGACTGCTATACGGCTGCGTACTAGCAGTCTGTGTGTCACTGAGAATCATCCGAGTCGGAAATACGTATATATTCTCTGTAGAAGATGCACTCCGACTGTAGGATTGAGTGCCAGTAATTTGACCCCAAACGCGATGCCCTGGCTACGCGCTAGGTGCAGTTGGCCAGTGCCGAGGGCATCACGGCGCGTAATCCGGTCTCTTTAGGAACTATTCTGGTATATGCCAAGATCATTAGTGCCCAGGGAGCGTTGGCCTATCGGAAATCAAAAATTACGAACTTCAAGCTAGGTGCAGTCGGTTAGTTCCATGAGCCCCACAATAGGACAGGAAGGGGCGTAATCTGCTGTCTATAAGAACCATTACGATATATGCCGGCATCACTGGTGCCTGAGGGCCGTTAGCCCTACAAACTTCATCTTGAGGTCGGCGCATAAAATATATATTTAGATTACGCTCACTATCTTTGCACCATATCACTGTTATACCGAGAATACTTGGAAGATCACTCTCGCTCTTGTTTCTTATCTAGAAACAAAATAATCCCAAACAGCTGAAACGTTTACAAAATGGTTTCTCTTCCAGGAAAATGGGCTACAAATTTAGCACAACAGTAGTAATGATCTAAATACTCTAGCCACGAGACGAGATTATCAGAATAATGAATTTGATTTTTCCTTTTCTTTGGGCTCGTCATAATTTATGATTCGTGTCTTTTCACAGTACAAAGTACAGAAAAAGAGAGAGTTCTTACTTTTCTGAAACAGATCTTCCTATATTTCCTCATAAGGCCCCATAAGATAAATGGATTTCTGTGGTTTAGATACTGTTCTACCGCTTCCTGTTTTTGAGATTCTTGCTTGAAATTGTGGTTCGAGCTGGCCTAGGCTTGTCTTGGTGGCCAATATGACCAAAATGGCCGGAAACAATATTTTAAAACCTAGACGTCCAGGACTATGACAGATATTATTTGAGCCACTTTACGCGCAGGCCGACCCATGACGGTCGGTTAAGTGCCTACTGCTTTTGTCTCGCCTGCCCGCTTCCTCCAACGTCGCCTGGCGCCGGGAAGGGTGAATCCCTTCAACATACCTCAAGTAAATCAATACTCTAAAGAAACTCTCGTCCAACTACGAAACATTCATCATATTTATGATTTTACAAAGCGGCTATATTAAACATTTTTTTTCTCAACCTTATCTCCCCAAGATGTCTATGCAACAAGTTTTTCATGCGAGGCCAAGGGCGGGCCAAGAACCGACTAGGCCGGGAATCTGGTGAGATCTAATGGCTCCTCGCTAGACTTGAGAACTACGTCGGTGCTTCAAAAAGAGGGCATGAGCTGAAGGCATAGAGACTTGATTTTGCTTTGTTGCCGCTAGTTCTATGTCTTATATCTCTCATATTTCTGAGACTCAACATCAAACATGCATAATAAATATGTGTATACTCGAGGACAAGGATGTGCAGGATGAGATAACTGAAGAACAATGGTAGAGACTAGATTATACTGCAACCATGCCAGGTCCGAGCATCCATGTCCAGCCGATATCTATAAAGCACCTATGACTTTCTCCATCCAAGTATTGTTTATGTGAGATGAGGAGTTTTGGAATCAGCTTGTTGAAAAGCTTATTTTTGAGGTTGATATATCATAAAGGAGATAATTTCAAAGGCTCTTTTCCCTTGGGCTGCGTGCATGCATCGAGCACTGTCGCGGAGGTCGAGATCCAGCATCCGCCATGACTCTGGTACCTCTGTATTGCGGTCTGGGAGGCTCAACCCAGACCTTTCCACGCCCCCGAGTGACTTCATTGCCCACATATTTCATCCAGAGCATTCATCCTTTTCAACACCACAGGCCTCATGTCATCGCGTATGTTCCGATAATTCAACATCGTCACTAACTCAGACCAACACATCCAACTCCTGTGATGGAAAGCCAAGAGCTCTCACTGTACCTTAATATCGATGCCGGTGTAAGTAAAGTGAAAAGTAGCCACCTCTGCTCTGCGATCAGTCAGACTAACCACGCTAAGTGCATAGGCTGCTCGAATTCGGGTTGCAAGACCAGTGCCCCCAAGTCGAACACAGAGGCCCGACCCAGAACCGCGAGAAATATCAAGACAACGGCACTCGATGACTTTGAGGTCGCAAAGTCACTTGATATACTCAGCATCCAGCTCATCCTTAAGCGATAGTTCTCTTCTTACTGATGTGAATGCTACAATGGCCCCGGAGCGTATGTAGGCCCCAGCCCCTTCATTATGCGTAGCCCATGATTGATGAGCTTCACTGACATGACCTACCCTACCCTCTTTAGGTATGGCTTTCGCATCTCCGACGGAAGATTACCCTTCTCAGAGGCAGACATATATTCAAGCTCATGACGACAGTCCCACAGACAACATGCAAGGATCGTTCTTGAGCACTCCATGCACCCAAGGCCACAGCCGCTATGTGTGGGGACTACAATCATCCGATCAAGACTTTGTCATCTGGGAGGATCCAATGGCGGATAATGGAGGCTTCCCCTTCGTCATGACGCCAAGGCTCTATTCCGAGACCGAGGAGGATAAGGAGAACACATACGCAACTGTCTCAGACTACGAATCCCCAACAGATTCCGAGCATCCTGCCAGAGTCGACTGGACTCGCATTCAGACAGCGTCACGCGATGTCTTTGGGCTTCCAAGAGATCCATCCTTTGGCCCGGAACTGGCCGACCTTTCCATGACCCCTGCTCGAGTCGGCAATTCAGTGCCCACAGTGACGGAAACAAGTATCAGACCGGCAATTAGAGTAATGGAGAGGGACGAAGATGATCCGGAGGATTGGGATGACTCATTATCCACAGCCCAAATTAGAGAGCTTCAGGAGTTGAGTGATATTTACCACCGTGGAGCAGAGAGCAGACGGCAGCATGATCGACACTTTCCCATGCGCGATGAGAATGTTCAAGGTCAAGCAAATATTTTCCTCGAAGTGCGACGAGTCACTCAATTTCAGAGACATGAAAATCGTCAGAGTCCATTTGCAATGGATGAGGACGACTAGTTGATGAACTGGAAAATAAGAGCTCAAGTGGCACAGCATCAGTATCTGCATACAATAGAATATTTGACCGCAAGACCGTGGAAATTAATAAATTGAACTAAATTTAAATGCAAATAGTGTAAAGTAGCGAAATGCCTCGAAAACTTTTGTGCATATGTAAAATGACCTGGATGCATAGATGCAGTTCCATTCCGGAACGTTTCTGGTTCTTTCTGGTGTAAATTTAATATTCTTCGCTACTGATTTCGTGTTATTGGGCTAATATACAACCCTTTCTTCCACGGTAGAAGTTTTTGACTTCAGGGATTGACCCACAATCATTAAATAGCCAAGTCCAGTCCCCCCAACCGGAACTTGCCGGTTTTTTGTTCTCGGATTTTTGGTAACACTTCGATGTTGCTTGGGTGCTGGATGGTCCTCTCTTCTTGTGACAAGCCTGACCAAATCAAAGCTGTTTTGGATTGAGAGTTTTGAATTGAAAAGGATAGAAAATCACTGGAACAATTTTCAAAGTATTAATGCTTTTGTCTTGTCAAAGAATAAATGCACTTGCAAATTCCGCAGAAAGCAATATAATCGCCCGCACCCATACCAAAGCCTACTGAAGGTAAGCTTTGCGTCGTTTAAAAGATGTAGAAAACAATATAAAAATGTCCTAAAACAGGCCCATGAGCAAATTCAAGCTATGTGTCCCGTGCCGTTTCACTTCGTATTTGGATCTTGTTATGGTTTCCCCTCAGTACGAAGTGAGATCTTGAAACCTTTCCCCCTTTCCTCTATATCAAAGAATATTCTTAAAAGCTCTTTGATCGAGTCACGGTCTTCGAGAACTTTAAAACTGATAACTTCTTGAATTTTCTTAGTCTTCTCTTTCTGGAGATCGAGAAGCTTCTCATCAATTGTCCCATTGGCGATGATCTTTATGTATTCAACCTCTCGCTGTTGGCCGATGCGGAAGAGCCGACAGTATGCCTATGTCTGAATTAGATCAAAATTTATCAGGATCTGGCCCGAATGGAATGCAATACCTGCTCTTGAATGGCTTCATTCCACCAAAGATCAATTAATATGCACTTATTTGCAACCGAAAGATTCAAGCCGATCCCGCCTGTCTTAAGGGAAGCGATTGCGATTTTCATCTCGCTCACTTCGCGAAACTTTTCGATGTTATCATCTCGAGCACTTAGAGACATCTTCCCTGATATCTTTACCCAACTGATGTCAGTAGACCAGTATAATTAATCCAAGAGAAACTTACAATCATATATCCCCATCTCTCTGTGCTGCACATTAACGCAAGTAATTGGATTGTGTCGAGAAACTGGGTGAATAGAACAATTTTCACCTTGTCATCTTCTTGAATCCATGTCCGTATCATCTCACGGACAGCCTCCAGTTTTGCACCGGGTGTTATGTCCCCGATAATTGGGATCCAATCCTTTTTGAAGTCGGTGTCATTTGAAAGGCCATCTGGATCTTCATGCTCGGTAGGCTCGCCATGGCCAAACATGTCTGAAGTCTTGATGCGTTTCCTAAGCCTTTTGCTTTGTTTCTTCGAGATGCCTGGCGCTTTTCGCTTGAATGGCTGCCGATTTCCAGCATTCGGAGGCGAATCAGGTTCATGGCATGTGGCAGTGTGTGCATTGTCAATGCTGTCGAATACTCCACAGTGGGCAGCCTCAGTGATCTTTTCTTCACAGTGCTGACAAATTCGAAAGCCATTTTCTATACAATCCTTATTGTATGGGAGTGAGTAAAAGCACTCTTCGCAATACAAGTGGCTGCAAGAGGTCACGAAGGCTTGTGTGGGAATATTCTCACAGGAGCCACAAAGAGCTCTTCTGTCTACTTCCAGCCAGCTCTCTTCTTCATGAAGCCTCTCCATAACCTCTCGGAACTGCTGTACCAGCTTTTCTCTGTCTCCAGAAGGTTGCTGTCTAACCATGTCATCGGCAGCAGGGTGGGGAATAGGCGGATGCTGAGGGACATTTCCGCTATTCACCCGGAGAAGCATCTTAGTGATTTGAAGGGACGCGGCATCTGTTTCCGAGTTCTCCCTGGCTAGAGGTCGCAGGGAGTCTAGAATACCATCTTCAACCATATTTTGTATCATATCTTGAGCCGTGAGAAGATGGCTTAAAAACATTCGAAGTTTGAGGAACATCGTCAGGATGCACTGCCATTGCCGAGCCTTGAAGTTCGGGCCTGATGATAGGGCTGAAAAAGGAATCAGTTTCAAAGTATCAGTCGAACGATAAAGGTGAGCTAACAGTTGACTTCGTAGACAAAAATGTCGAGTATTCTGGCATAAAGAATTCTTTCTGCAGCACAGAGATTGACTTGCACAGTTTTCTCAATGATATTAGGCAGTTTGATAATTGGCAAGGAGAATAGTCGGCTATCGTGCGTTTTCCGATGGATGATCAAGCGCAAAATATTGATGAGTTTTTTCTTTGCTCTCTCCGTCTTCTACTTCGTCAATTAATATGCCAGGCTTATATAAGGTGTTTAAAAAGACCAGGCATTAAGGAAACGCACATCTCTGTAAGCATTTTCAAACCTGTCCAGCGCCACACTGTCTGGCACATGAAGAAAATTGAAATATGGAAACAATTCCTCGATGCAGCTTAAGAATGGCAAATTATTCGATTATTGAATTGCACCCCGACGATATTAAGCTCTGGGAACTTACTTGTGCAAAGGAGTGCCACTCAAGACCCATTTGAATTGCCCTGTAAGTGCTCGTACAGCGATTGAAGTATGAGTACCGGGGTTCTTAATCATATGTCCCTCTAGAGAAAAATTAACTGTGCTTGACGTCGACGACAGGGGCGTACGTATAATTACCATCAAGAACAATACGATGCCAGCGAATTTTATGCAACAACCCAGCTGCTTTATAACTTTCCATCCACCAGTCCAGAACTTTTTCATTGTCGATACCGCCGGGTAGATTTGGTACTGGATACGAGATACGTACTTGGTCATACGTAGTCAATCTATAGAATAGGTCAGTCAGTTGATTGTTGGTGCATCCTTTCGAGATGGCCTTTCTAACATCACGTCGCATTTCATCACCTTGTTGAGACTGTTCTGTAAGGACCATTTGGTGTGGCTTTTATAGTCATCAGAGACTCCGAAATATTCAGGGTCACAGTACTTATTGATGTGTTCTTTCCTACTAAGGATCAGCTCTTGAACTCGCGAAGTCAAACGATAGGAAACCAATGCGAAATCCAATATACAAATCCATAATGAACGTACCAGTGTGTCATCAGCGAAGGTGGAACAACAATCAGAGTGGGCGCTCTTCGCTGTCTGGAATCAACCAGTGTCCCATTTCTCCCGTCTAAAATGTTTGCCAACGCTGTAACTGTTTTGCCTAACCCCATAGCGTCGCAAAGTAGGCCCCCACGTGGGCCAATGCTGGACCTCTCACGGTTACGCTGGCGGTGTCTTAGAAAACCCGTATCAACAAGCATGCAATGAAAAAACTTCGAGACTAACCATCCACCCGACTGCAAGTACCTGTCATTTCGTTAATTATTAAGAGGTATTACTCGGCTTCGCGGTGAAATAGATACCTGATGATGATGAAGACTGGTGTTAAGGCCCTTGACTTTCCATGCCCCTTTGCCGTCACTTCGCGGTTTGAAATCAAATTGTCTGATTGCATTAAGAATGTTTTGTTTATCTGAGCGAGTCTGCACCATTTCTTCCTTGCTCAGACTCGGAATACTAGCCACCAGTTCTTTGAGGGCCTTTGACTTGTCTTTCTGGGTAAACGAGGGAATTTCCTGCATTGAGGCACTTGTCTGAGCACTTTTAATAGTACTAGTAGGATTGAATATGCTTTTTAATTCGCTCTCTGTCAGTTTCGTTGCTTGGGGTTTTGACTTGCGTTTCCGTCGACCCTTTCCTTCAGTCGTGTCTATTAGTTGAGCCTCGAAGGGGCTCAGCCCGTAAAGCATTTTTGTGAGTTTGTTCACTCCGATCATCTTTTGCAACCCAATTTCCATGGCTGCCTTCAACTCCCGTTCAGATAGATTCACTGATTTTCGAGACTTCGGTCCTTCTCTCCGCCGCAATTGGGCCTCCGGCTCTGGAGGACCAGACGGCTCGGTCAAGAGCCTCTGCCCATTGCTCTCCTCGCTATGCATAAATGCAAATCGACTTTCAATGATTTTAAGTCGCATCTCTTCCAGCCGTTTTGCCTTCGTGAAAATGATCTCATCTTCCATAGAAGGGCTTTCCAGGCTCTTGTACCATTCTTGGGCCTCCCGGAACCTATGAGAAATTAGCTTATGAGAAGCTCTTCAGTCGATGTGATTGAGCAGACTTTGCGTTGCTTAGTTCCTCTGGACTGATATCATCTTCGGCTGGCCATTCATTATTATCAGTATTTTCATTCATTCCCGAGTGTTCCGCGGTGGCATCCTGAACATCATTTTCGGCATTCTCTCCGGGTGTATATTCATGTTCGAGATGCAACTGTTTGATAGCATTTTCCAGATGCTCTTTTCCTCGTCTTGGAGCACCAATATATGAATGTCGATGATCCTCTTCGTCTCCTTGCTGGATGACATCTGGGTTGAATACACTGTTTGCAGACTCTGATAGCCTCTCGACACCTTGTACGTCACTGAGGTTTCCTGGAAACTCCGATCTGACGACTCCCGGCTGAGTTGCGCTATTCTCGAGGAAAATATTGGAATCGTCATCCTCAAGAATTTTTGAATTGGCCCAGTCCGCGAAATCAACTGCGCCACTGCGGTGAGTGGAGCTAGTTGTACCTGACATATCAATATCGCGCTCCATGAAAGCTATTGAACATGTTAGAGAATGCGAAGGAAACTTTGTAATTGGTTAAACAGACCTGCCATTGGAAATATGTCAATTTTGTTGATAAATAGGTAGACCTCACTTCTGTGATGTATGAGTATGGGTGAAGGAGAAGAGATATATTCTGGAGCAGTCAAAAACACGTAGTTAAGGAGCAAAATGGGTTAGAGAGAAATGTACCTCAGGAGGATTGTAGAAAAGGTAAAAATCTGAAATGTTCCAATGTTGGAGTGTAGAAGCTTAGAGCCCTGTGTTGATGAAAGTTAATCTGAATGCTGAAAGAAATAAGCAGAGATCGGTTTGCTTGGGATAGGCAAAAGAGGTAAAGGCAGTCAAGGTATCTGGATGAGATTGTCACAGCAGACTGCGTAATGATTAATGGTAGATGGTGAAAACCCTTAGCAGTCAGGGCTGAGGTTTGTTCAAATCTTGATGGAAGAGGAAGTGTAAGCTGTAAATCGTGGTTATGATGACTGAGAAGGGGAAAGCATATAGAAGTGAGATGTTGAGGGGGTTAAAGAAAAAAAAAAGAAGTAGATAAATTGTAGGGCGAAACCAAGTTTTGAGTTCGAATGTAGAGATGTCTCTCACAACTCAGGATTATTGATAAGAGGAGTATCTTGGTGATTCGGAGTACAATGATTCACATTGACCAATGCCTAAATCAGAAAGACCACAGCGGCGTAGCATTCTCCGTAGTCTCCAGTGAATGAATGGCGGCAGTCATTTTACAGACTAAAGGTGCTACAGAGCTACTACCATGCGAGTCGGTAGGGGGGATTGGATGTGGTTGATTGAGGAAGGATGCGTGGAAAGCCATGCATGCTGAAGTAACAACACAGCGAGTGAACGAACGTTGAAATATCAAACTACAGTGATGGATCATAGGCTTTTCGGACAGCTGAAGCGCCTCTATCTCAACCCCCTACCGCCTACGTGAAACACGTCCGTATCCTGTACAGATGATATGTTTTACATCTCCTATATCATCTCACTTCTTCATCTACTTTCTCTTCAGCTCACCATAGGTAGATAGTGTCATAGGATTGAGAATTGGTGTTTTTTGACTGGCTAGATATTATGTAATGCAGATGCTACCGTGGGGCTCAGTATTCTTAATACTATTTATTCGTCACTGTATGCTAAAAGAGTGAATTTGATTATCCGAGCTTCGCAGGGACTACCTTCAGACAACGAGGAAACCCATGAGCAGGGATCTATTGAGCGCTATTGACGAAGAAGGGTCCGTGAAGGTTAAAGAGTATGTAGAGAGGCTAGCAGCGGCTTTGACAATTGTTATTATCGGGTTAGAGTTGTCAGACCTTTGAGCTAGAACTTGCTCCGCGGACAGATGGTAGATCTTGTGTCTAGTCCCGTTAATACTGCGATACTAGAAACGAGATCGTAATTGAAACCTGACATCTTCAGTTAATTTGATCAGGGCGTATTTTTACCTGAGAGTGGACTCGGGTATCGCTGTTTAATCAGCTTGAAGGTTGCCATGGGTGTCTTCTGGTTATTGAGTGCGACGAGCAAACGGCAGTACATGAGCCCGCCAAAGTCGTAAGTTTAACGCTTAACAGTGTCGGTAAGAGACGTGAGGTAATTGTTGACCCAATCCTGCGTCTCTGGGATGTTGTGGACAGAGGTGATTTTGTCATCTTAATAAGCGTAGCCGATGTTGTAGGTAAAACAAGTGAACGGGCATCTAGAATTCTGGTAAGCGTATGAGCTTTGGGCGCATGAGGATTACGAAGATCATAAAATAGTCAATATACCGCGGCGAAATGTAATTTCTAGCAAACCTCATTTTTATGTGGTATGATCGGCGAAATGAACTGAGATTAAGATAATTGCCTGTTCATCCGCCGTTGTCAAAAAATACTAGGTGAGGGGCTAGGAGTACTAGGATGAACCGCCAGGCGTGAGACTGTGCGGAGAAACTTGTGAATTAGGGCAAAATCAAGAGACACAGAATGGCTCGCATTTGCAGAGGAATGATTCGATTGGTATGCGATAAAAGTACACTGATTGAAAAGAAAAAAAACACACATCAAAATCCAATGTCCAACCAAAACGCCCTCGATGGAATGTGTTTCGGGTATCATCATAATGCGGTGGCCAACTGTGCTGCGGCCCGGTTGCAAGAGTCAGGAATACGGTGACATAACAAGATACATAAATGCAGGGAGTGGAAAGCAACCAACACGGGAGATCACGATGCAGTGGTGGCAGCTGGGGATTCAAGCTCATCCGTAGAGCTCGCAGTGATGTCGACCATATTTGGAAATTTGTGTGACAGTGTAGGGCTGCCACCTATTTCCTCTGTAGAGAATGGAATATGCTCAGAAGCAGAAACGCTGGTGGCTTGAGAAGTTATTGAATCGGCAGAGGTAATAGTAGACCCTGTAGAGATATTCGAGATTGTGAAATTAGATACCGATTCAGCAAGCTCGTAGGGCACAGATTCCGGAGTCGAAGCCTCTTTAATTGGCATAGAAGCAGATGTATCAATGGTCTCATAAAAAAGCATGAAAGCACCACCTTGGGACATCACGTGGCCTTCACTGACCATTTGCACATCGTCATCACTGAGTCGATACCACCTGTCTGGCTTTTCCTTGTCTCCCTCAGCTTGAAGAACTTCATCTGGGACAGGAGCCGGGAAAACAGCAGTTGGATATTTGCGGTAGCAGATGTAGTGCCCATTCTCATGCCGGCCGTAGTGAGTGATGATAGCGCGGAGTTCGTACTGTCTGCTACGGGCATGAACAGCATTGCCAGGTCGAGGAAGCATGGACTCGGAAGGGTTTGTTATCCACTTCTCAAGCACATCTTCCGGTTTCTCAGGTTCGGGGTCCCAGCTTCCAAGGCACCAATCATTGAGGTCTATTGTCTTGGGGAACTTGACCGCTGCATAGTTCTTTTTCAGCATCCCAGTCATTTCATCAAAGAGACTGCGGTTGATGTGAACAACGAAACATTGAGGCGCTCGTGCAATGACTGCCTGTCGGGACTTGGTCGTAGACACGCGATTCTTGGATGGGATGTGACACTTGTTTGCTAGTGTCTTTTCGGAGAAATCGTCTTCCTCGAGAGCTGTTTGAATAGCCTCAAGGCGATCCTGGGCAGAATTTCTCACTGTTTCAGAAAGTTGTGGGAAATTTGAGTTGTCCGACGGATCATCATCTTCTGACATACTGCCCAGAAGATTCTTCAACTGATCTTGTGCACGTAGCAAGGTACATTTCGTGCATTCCACACCCTCGATGGGTTCCAGAGTCATGTACTGATCTAAACATTCACGGATATCGTACTCGAATTTCGCTCCAAGCGGCACTGTGAGGCAATTGAATGGGATGAGTGACAAGCCTTCCGACCATCCGCATTTCATACAGCCCACACGCTGTGCGAGCAACCCTTCCAGCGGGTTGCGTAACACGGCTTTCTCGATTGTTGATTCCAAAATGAACTTGTCATCTGCCGGAATCACATGTGAATCGGTCTCTCTGAGAATGTTTTCCTCCCGTCCAGCCATTTTCAGCCCCATGTTCCTTGTTTGTCCTCTCGACGCCTTCTGGATCTCAATATCGATTTGATCCACCAATTTGGAAAAGTATTCTTGCGCATCTTGTTGTTGCCAGCTGCTCATGGATTTAAGGTCAGATGGAATCCATAGTTTATGTCCATAATTTGAAGCGCTGTTGAGGTGGTCGATGATATCCTTAAGCGCCTGGTGGGTAGATAGTGAAGTCTTATTCCCAAGAGTGTCAACATTTCGCCCAAGAAAATCCGATAGCGACTTCAGTGATGCCAATCCTTGTATTATGCTGTTCTGATAACAAGAGTTATCCCAGTTGCCCAGCCCTGGCGGTATCGCGTTCTTGTTACTTCCTAGCAGAGCGCTTCCGATACCGGATAGGGACCGCGATCGAGGAAAAAATGGGAATGAGGAGCTGTCCAAGCCAAGGATACGTTGCATCGATTGACTTTTTGCATGGAAGGTCATTTGCGACGGACTCGAGGGGGATGATTCGGAGGGCGACATGCGGGAATCTAATGCGACAAGTATCCAGGAAGGTGTCAAGTACACAAATAGATTCCAAAGGGGATGAATAAATGATATCGGGACAAAGCCAAAGCGGTCTAGGAGTAAATAGGCAGAGAGGAGGCCGATAAGCGAGTAAGCTAGTGCTTGGTTGTTCTGTAGCGCTGTGAGACTTGTCTCATGGTTGCTATTCCGGCTTGCGTAATGGATAGGCCCCGTCGAGAATATATCAGCTCCCTCTCTGCGAGCATTCATGGCGGAACAGAAGATCGATTAAGCCAGCGCAGCAGGAGAGAGACCTGATAATCATGGGCTGGAGGTCGTGTTCGTCAAGTATTAGAGGGCCAGGTGAGGAAGGTGGAGAATCGGAGCTGGATTTGTATACAGCTTTCGCGCGGGCCGGGGCTGCGCTTTGGGTCTGTCGCGCCAGCCGCAAATTTTTTTATCGATAGCGGTCGTCCCCACACGAAACTGGACAGACTTTCCCTCCAAACAAATTCCACCATGGCGAAAAGTAAGTGATAGTTGGAAGTAGAATTCTTTTTTCACGATATGCTAATGAGAAAAAAAAGTCAAGAGGAACAACACTCGCGCCGCCCGGCGCGGCGCATCGCCGAGCCTCGACCTGGATAAATCCCTGACATCTTTGCCTCGAGCCGAATCGCCAACCACCCACCGTCCCTCTCTCCTGGCTGAGCGTGCCAGCTCCGGCATTCAAAAAAAGAGAAAAGATAAGAAGATGTCAAGAGCTCAGCGATTGAGACAGCAGAAGGGCATGGACAGAGCTGAGGCGGTCTTGGACCAGTTGGAAATTAAGAAAGCTAAAAGTTTTGACCGAGCGAAGAACATCAAGGCACGAAGTGTATGAAATCTACCTGGAAATCACTCTACCTTGACGAAGAAAAATCTGACAAACTTCTATTATTAGGCTGATTGGAACGATATGAACCGAAAATCATCAACATTCGCTGCTCTTCAACCTGACGAACCTGACGACGATGGCGATGATGATGCGATGACCACCGAGAAAACCGAACCATCCAACCCTTCAGCGAATCCTTTTGTGGCATCCGAACAGGCTACTGCAGACCCTGCCCCAGTTGACGAAGATGATGAAATTCTCTGAACATAATGCATTATGAAAACCAATCATACTGAAAAGATCACCTCCTCGGCCTAAGCTGATTGATCATGCGCTCGATTTCTGTGATTGCGGACCCCGATGCTTTGGTCCGGAGGATTTCGAGGGTACTAATATCCTTGGCCTTTTGTGCCTCTTCTCCAGCCTTGACGATCATTCCACACTTCACCCACATATCGATTCGACTCGCGGCAGACAGGTTAGTGCATTTGGGAACAAATACCGATGCAAGCTTTGTGTTTCCGGCACCGAGAACTTCGTTATAGAAAGGCTACACGCACTTATGTGAGCCTGTATTCAGATAACTGGATATTGAAAATCTTACCTCCCATCCGATAGGGGACTTCTTGACCTTCCCGATTTCTTCCAATTCTCCCCAGTCACGTTTTGCAACCAGAGCTCGAAGCCTTAGCCACCAATATGTCTTCTCGGGCATCTTAAACTCAGCCTGCATCTTCTGTGCGCGTTTTCCGTAGCCATCCCGAACAAGTCTATAGATCGTATCGTTCAAGCTAAGACCCAAGAACTCGGAACGGTCGGCAAGATCTTTGTCCAGGGAATCTTGAGCCTTCAGGAGCTGCGAGGCCTCAGAGATCAATTTTTGCTGCAACATCACATTTGGGTCCTTCGAATCCGACAGCAAACGTGATGCAAGGTGAAGTTTCTCGGTCTTTCGGTGCGGATCTGTCTCTTGCAAAGCCTCCGATAGTAAAACGTTCGATCCATCAATTGGTTGATCGTCTTGGTAGAATAAATCCTTGAGTAATTCAGTATCTTCAACCCGAGCGACTGTTTCGACTAATGCGGAAGCCATGGGGCGAGTGTTGATCATCCGGAAGAAACTTGCCAGGGGAAGTTTAGTCTTCAGGTGTAGAAGCACATAATTCACTAGATCATCATCTCCACTTTCAATCGCCTTGTCTAAAGCAATTTCATCTTCCTCCATGTTCAAGAGTAAAGGAACCTGCTTGCCAGCCCGTGGTTCATGATTGAGGAGTTGGGTTGCCAGGTGGGATCGCCCTTCATCGTAGGCAGTCTGTGCAATGACCTCGAAAGATATTCCTGGCTTTCCTTCCAACCTCTGAACAATGAGCTTACACACGGCTTCATCGTCAACTGTCGAGACTCGGACCTTCTGACTAGCCCAGTGCACATAGATTCGGTCCGCAGGGATCTGCAGATATTCAGAGACTTTGATCGCTAGGAGATATTCATGACGATTTATTAGACGTTCAATAAGGCATTCTGGTGTCAAACGCAAGTACTGCTCATATGAGATCGGAAGACCGATTTGATAGTCGCGGACTGCGGTCAGAACTCTGAGTTTCTCCGTCATTTCCACAAACTCGTCACTATTGTAGAGGTCCAAAACAGATTTTCCGAATGAAGCTGCCTTGAGGAGCCTCTTTTGCCAGTATACATCAAATTCATGGCCAGCGGCTTTGATACATGCGTCGACTGCTGCAGGCAAACTTGATCGAATCCGTTGGACGTTTTCATCTGCCTTAGGGGATTTCTTTTCGAGCTGCTCCACGGAATCTAGAAGTACCGATGCAGGGGAAGAAGAACCAAGTCGAAAGATTTCCTCAGTGACATCTTAAAATGAAATTAGAGACATCTTCAGCAATCAAGTTCTTTACGCTTACCAGTAACTTTGTGTAAAAATTCGCATGTATCATTTGTAAGAAGACGGACTCCATCAAATTCGGGGATGACATGGACTCGGCCATCGTAGTAATACCTGTGAATAGTTAGGCTAGTTAACGAATCACGAAGAATCAGATTGCCTACTTTGAAGCCGCTCCGTTGGGCCCAACTAGATGAATCTCATCCTCCCAGGCGAGAAGCACAGCATCATCGCCACACCAGGTGACGGAACTAGGTGCGACGCGAGATTTGGAATCATATTCACTCAGCTTATTCTGAAAGTCGTTGCTGACAACCCACAACTTCCCTTCGCTGGTAAAGAGCGCAATGAGGCGGCCAGTTGGAGACACAACAACATGCTTGAACGGACCATCCTGCAAAACCTTGTCTTCCGCTTCGGTCGAGTCGACCAGAAAGACCGACTTGTCAACAGCAAGCAAGACTTCCACAGATCTGGAAAGGGTCTGTGCCGGTGGAATTAAAGACCAAGATGAGACCTCGCCCTCGGGGCACGGTGCAAGGAGCCTTGTGCGTGGCTCATCATACCTGGAGACCGCGATCAGCTGATTGTTGGACAGCAATGCCACAAGCCCAGAGGCCCAAAATTGACAGGCTCTAACGCCATATTCTTCCGCGCCCTGTGACTAGTTAGCGTTCGGCGCTAAGAAAGTGTCAATATTTCTTGCTACTCACATGTCCAAGGGAGAAAGAAGTAAACTCTCCACCCAGCCCGAAATAGCGGCGAACTGTGCCATCCTCGGACACAACCAAAAGCTCCTCTTTGTCGGACCAGCCGAGACCTCGGATGGTGGCTTGCTCCCACTAGTATGCCATTAGCGTCGCTGACCTTCAGCCATGGGCAGAGATATGAACAAACATTAATGCGATTAACCTGCTTTCCAGAGCAGGAATAAACGTCAATGCTGGATCGGGAAGCTTGGCCATGCCTCAATCTAAAGGGCTTGCTCTCATCTCGGTAAAGCGCTATATATGTAATGAGCCTATATGATCCCATACTCTAGGATTCAATTCACGTCATACCGATGGCCCCTCCGTAGGGGGCGCCCGCGACGATGTAGTTCTCTAGTTCAACGTCCTCGTCGAAGATAGCGTCATAAACAGGGATTTTTCGATAGAAGCTGTCACCAACTTTTTCCCAGTTGGCAAGTGGGTTTGAAGGTGCCATCACTGGTTTATAATTTGGCGTGAACGATGGCTCTGCAGAAACCATCAACCCATGCCCCCGTGTTGTGGTTGATCTTGCCTAGCGGCGAAGCTCCGTGGCACGGTCATCAACATGGCGCTAGTCCTTTTATGGAATAATTGATGCCAAGTCCTCGAGGCAGTAAGGCATCAACACTGCATCACGGATGTGCGCCAGTCGCCCCCTCCAATCAACAACCCTCTCATCCTAGTCTTGCGAGAAGGCATTTGGTGGCCTATATAGCCTCCTGATGGACGATTCGGACCTAGGAGACATTGCACGACAGTTGTCGGACTTGGAAGTGGCGCTGTTGCTCTCCCTTGTCGCAAATGAACACTGCCTGTTCGAGACTACGGGCGGCTCGATCGATGATCTTGCTAAAGAGTTAGCTCTGGTATTGTGACAGAACTCAAGCGGTCTTTCATGCCTGAAACTGATGAACCCTCAGATATGCTCCAGCACCTTTGACCTATCATATTGCATCCTGGATTGTTCTTTGACCACATCTATTGAGGACATTCACTTTGAAATCCTTACGGCGGAGGCTCGCAAGTCTCACGAGCGCCCCTCGTATTTCAGGCTGAAAACTGGCTCCGTATGTATACCTTTTCTGTTCTGCGTTTATTTCGTGGCTATGAAGTAATTGACAGGCGTAGTCAAATAATCTTTCATCGTACGTGACCCCGACGGAGCGAGACCGCAGCAGGTCTCCTGGTCCCAAGACCCCAGGTGATGAAGGAAATGTCGTAAATGTTATTATTGCAAAGAACTTGAATATGACAAGTGATGATTTTCAAGTCCAAATGTTGCAGGTAAGAAACTCTTTGTCATCAGCTTCGCAAGTTCCAACGCTGACCTTCGCGCCCAGTTAACTCGCGCTCGAAAACTGGCTACAGAATCGGGGGTCTTATATACTCCTGCGAGCTTTACTCTGCTGCCAATAGTGGTTCGCGATGGTGACCAGCTTGATCCACCACTCAAGACACACCTTGTAAGTCTTCTTTCTTTGGACTTTCTATTTCGCCCCTGACCTAATTACGCAGAATGAGCATCTTTTTGTTTCCCATTTCCATGACCCAGCAGATGGTTATGTATACCTTGAGAACGATAGAGGGCTTTCTGATGACCATATATCTGTGTCATCTGTCATCCGCAAACCAAATCCACTTCAAAAGAGTGCAAAAGTGGACCGAACAGTAAGCCTTCGTCTGCGACTTGAGGAATCCCCTCCATCTTGTTGAACTTTTTAGTTCTAATCAGGAGCCACAATTTAGATTATAGACAGGCTCCGGGAAATGAGCGCCACGGTGACAACAAACGCGGAGGTGGTTTGCTACATCCAGGATATCGTTGTATTTTTGCGCCTCAGTCGTGCTGTTGGGGGTGGGATATCTGCGAAAGCAAATAACCAGCTGAATAAATTTGCAAGGTCAGTCCCGTCCAGAAACCTGTCCTTACAGGAGTGAAAGCATTGACTCGGCAATATTAGACTCCTGGCTCCGTTGCATGGCATTGACTATTTGACACCCTCAATTGTGGCGTTGGCCGCCAGAAAAGTGTTTCGCCATCGTATCATCGTTACGACCCCTCGTGATGACCGAAGTCTACAATATGGCAGTGACATGGGGGCAGTCTCACATGTTCTTGTTCATGTTACGCCCGACTCAATTCTCGATGGTGTTCTAGCTTTAGAACCGCCAATTTGAATCACAAGGGTCTGCGCCTCGTCTTCTTTTTGTGTTTCCTTTGGAGCTTGTTCTATTTTAATACCCCTCATGGTTTATAGTTCCGTTAAATACAGGCACTTTCCTTTTCAAGCCTAGTATGTTTGTCATGCTATGTTATAATATTATATACAACACAATATACACCATTGAATGTTCTCGACTAGGATATTTAGTCTGAGGTACTTGGCCGCAATTTCAAAAACATGTCCGTGGCCATATACTTCTGCTCGCCTTGCTCATATCTATTGCTGGTACGCTTGCGATCGACATCGAGGCATCTGTCACCATGGTCTTGGACTCTCTCGCGCTCGTTCCATGTGGTTTCTATAGATTTCGAATACGCACGCCATTCTGTTAGAACGACATCAATCTCCGTCTTCGAATCTCCAACAAGCGCGTCCATCTTGATGTCATTTCGATCGTAGCCGAAGGGGTCTTCAAGCTGAGAGCCAATCCCTTCGATTCCATAAAGAGTGAATATAACCAGGGAAACTATCGGAATTGCCCACCAGCCCATCTCGTCCACCATCGCAAATGGGAGAACGCAGCCGAAAAGGGCCAAAACTTGTTTCTGATGAATTCTTTACTTCAGAGTTAGTGATAATTGAACCCTCCAAGTTTGACTCCATTTATTTCACCAACTTACAGATGTGCCACCGGCATTGGAGTCAACTTGATAGTCTCCATTCTACCATACGCATCCAAAAGTGTATTCAACTGCGCCTGCATCTGGCTCGCACCAGGTGCATTAAACCAGCCACGCACTTCGCCGCGCTTGATGAAGCCGTCTATAAAGAAGGTTAATTGATAAGGAACCCCCAATCCCTCATCTTCGTGCCCTTCTAGCCCAGCTGGCAACAGGCCCGCATAGTCAGGATTATAGGCGGAGGTGCCGTTGTCGTCGACCTCATGTCCTAATGCGCCAAGCGACCAGGCAGCACCCCATTCTGCCCGCAGATTGTTTTTCACTGCGTAGGGGATAGCCATCAGGATTCGGATGGTACGCTCGATATCCTCCCGCTCGGCAGCGTCGGGCGGACCGCGCGTGGAGCTGTAGCTATTGGTGGTGATGGTCCGCACCAGGTTGCGCACGCAGGTGTTCATGGTACTCATCGCATTACGGCCATCCCAGAATCGGTTATAAGAGGTCTGGTTTCGAAACACAAGGATCAAACCAACGACAATGGAGAGGGAGGGGATCTGTTCGGGCAGGGTCAGTGGAAAAACGCTTCACTATTTCACAGAGCACGCACGATGCTGCTCGGTAGGCCGACAGAGTCGAAGACATAGTTATCGAGATAGACAACAAAGGCTGTAAAGACAGCATGCAGGAACAGTGGCAGCAAAATCTCTGCATGAATAGCCCCCTTAATGAAACGAAATGCGAGTGGCCAACTATGGAAACCATTAGATTTACTACTTCTTTGCATCTATGAGCATGGCTTTTACCGTCTGGGCTTTTTTCGCGCGGAAAGAAGATACGGGTGTGTCGTCCGGCGCTTGTGCTGCCGCCCGTGTAACGAAGTGTTCTGGCGACTCAAAGCCGGAGTCGGCGGCTCACTGAAGTTCAACCGCATGGTGTAACGGATGATCGGCAACGGGAAGATCGCTGCACATGTGCAGATGGCGCCGTGGGTCAGTGGTACACCTTGCCAGGCTGGTAGAGGTCGTAGAAAGGGAGGCAAAGTGATGAGGTGGTAAAATGAGCAACAAGTTTCAAGGGGGTGAACCCCGGGCGCTTGAGGTGGGGGACGCTATGATCACCATTATCCATCCATGCACGTTGACATCGTCGATTCTCCAAGCGCCACGGTGATTTTTTTAGCCAATCATCCTAACGCGATCTCCAGTTGGGTTGGAAATTGGCCTGCATGGGGGATTATTGCATACCTCGATTTTTCCCCATCCTATGGTAGCTCACGCCGATGCAACACCGTAAATAAATACTGTACTCGCATGGCTAGCTTCTAGAATTTAGCTTAGGCACTCTTCCGTATAGAATTCGGATATCAAAAAGTTCTCGAGAATATAAAGATTACTTGGAGTGTCTAGAGAAAGACCCTACGCCCCAATCACAAGATTGGTGGGAAATACCGCTTGTTGGCTACAAGCTGGCTTCGCATTTCACATGTTGAGTGATTCCCAACTCAATAAGATTGACTATGGTGCAAAGTATGGTACTATATAGTATGCTCATGAAGATACAGTTAATCGAAGACTATCACCACATTCGCTCCCAGATGCGTCGTGCCAAGTTCATCTGTGTCAGTTCGGCTCTTCGTCGCTCCTCCCATCCACCATCTTCCCAATGCTTGCACTCCTCGTCCACTTCCGCCTTGCCAGAGTACAGGTCGGCAGCAGCGGGATCCACAAACTTGGTCCGATGATAGATCTTCCAGAATGCAAACATAACCACCCAGAAGGCCACTCCGAAATAAGATGTTACAAAACCCTCCACGCTGAACGGCTTGAAAACGGAAAATCCATTGAAGATCGCCGTGAGGACTCCGATAAGGATTGCAAAGATCGTCATATAGGGCTGACACGGTGAGGCCCAGGGAACAAATGACTTTCGATCGATTCCTTGGGCTTTCAAGGCACGATACCAGCCAATGAAGACACACAACATGCCTGTATAAGTCAACACGAAGGCGATTGTCGTCAAATCAACGAACCAGTAGAAAACGGTCACCGAAGAAGTATCGGCCACAAGGAAGGTGATGCAAGAGAGGAGTGACACCGTGAGCACACAGTTTATCGGAATCCCTGATTCAGTGCATTTTAGCAGAAACTTGGGTGCCTGGCCATCTCGCGCAAGGGAGTACAGAGTCCGGCTCGAACTATAGAGGTAGGCATTCCCGCAGGACCAGCCCGAAAGCAAAATAAGCAAATTGATGAGATCCGGAAGCCCGGTAATTCCAAGGTTTTGAATGCCAATCACCCAAGGTGATGCAGCCGATCCAGCAGCTCCAGAATCAATCGCTGACATGAGCCGTGGGTCGCGCGGGCTGCAAATAATACCCACCGCCAGCACTCCGACAACGTAGAAACCAACAATGCGCCAGAATGTCATCTTGACGACTCGTGGAATGGTGTACCGCGGGTTCTGGATCTCACCTGCCGCCAAAGCAGGGAGATCGGGACCTGCGACAGAGAAGGCGGCGTAAACCATTACCGAGAAGAATCCCAGAAACCGGCCGGTAGCCCCATCTGTGTAGTATTCGAACATAACACCGTGTGTCCAGTTGCGAAAACCGTAGACATCGTGCTTGGGGTTGCCACCTACCATTGTAATAAAGGTCAGGAGTACAAGGCCGATAAGAAGAAGAATTTTCGTGGAAGCCATGATAAACTCGCTCTCCCCATAGTATTTGACAGCAACAAGATTCAGAGCTGAACAGACGACCAAAGCCATAGCAACCCACACCGCGGGATTCACGCTCGTGTTCCAGTATTGCATGACGGTAGCGACAGCCGAGTATTCGGTACAGACTAACATAACACCTCCATAGAAGTATACCCAGCCCCTAAAGCTGTTAGTCTGCGGTCTCGGTTGTGAGAACGAGGGCAGTGTTTGGGAGACCTACATCGCAAACCCAAATGCTGGATCGACAAACCGAGCAGCCAATTCGAAGATTGACCCTCGAATAGGAAGGTAGGCACACATTTCGCCAACGCTCAAGTTGACAGGCAATATAAACAAGACTCCCCAGACCATATATCCCAGAAGTAACGAGAGAGGACCGGCTTCCTGTAGATAGGACCCAATTCCGACAAAGAGACCGGTACCAATTGATCCTCCTATAGCCATCAACTGCACATGGCGTGATGCCAGGCCTCGTTTAGTCTGGCCGTAAGGCAGGACAGTGCCAGAGCTAGCATCTTCACTGCTGATGGCCGTATCTTCCGTGGATGTCTTCTTCTCTATCATGCTTGTGTACAAAGGTGACTAGAACATCGTGAGGGGTCTCCTGGCAGGCGAGCGGGGAACGTGGCCTTTGTATGCGCACTGACGATAGAGAGGCGAGTCGTCTGGGAGTTTGGTGCGGAGTCGCCAAGCATGGTGTTGCTGATAACAATGCCATCTCTCTATCGCGGACGGACAGATGTATACGGTGCCCCAGTTGATTACTCTGTAGATGTAGCATCTTGACATAGTGTTTTGAATACGATAAGAAACATCACTCGATCAGCGACGTTATCACGAAGCATCTGAAAGGGGAGGAGAAGGCGACGCTAATGAGGTCGCCAAGTGATAAGCGTATCAGGGATTGGGTGATAGGGGCTTTTACCCCGGGCGGCTTCTGAGCTTGGCTCCATTGGGGTAGGGATTCCCATTCCCCTCACCTCGGGCCTGCTTGCTGTATGTCACAGAGTTTAATTGATGAAAGTATGATTGGCAAAAAATGGTTTCATTGGCTGCTTACACGACACAATAAAGGCGGGGAATACTTATTCATCTGTGTGTATGTAGAAGGATGACCGAACTCGGCAAATATATACGTCTGTTGGCAGGAATATCTAAAAAGGGAAACGACAATGAACAGTACAAAAAGTTAGAATCCTAATTGTCAAAGCAGAATCAAAGCCCAGATGCGGAAAAGCCTCACTTAGCTTTGATGATATTACAGTTAGAGCCCCTCGGCACGTTCAACAATGTCGCTGTTCCGAATGGCCACCCCGCCACTGGCAACAGGGTTCCCAAACATCTTCATACCCGCCCATTGAAAGCTTCTCCAAAGGGTACTTGGACAGCGGCTCCGGGGAGTCGATTTCGAGATTCCACTAGGGGAATTTGGTGTAAGATAATCCGTATGGAACTCGTGGTGAGGCACGGCATTTTAGGCATCGAAAAACTGGTAATAATTGTTCTAGCCCCCAGTGAATGTTCCGGTCTGTCAATGGCCATACTAGACCCAGAGTTAGGCAAGCAGGGGGTTCCGGCTTTGCCAAGCATCATAGACCTATGGTTGACCACAAAATCAATGGATTCATAGCGTGGGCCTGGATTAGCGATGACGCGGATGACAGGTGTGCCGAGGAAATAAAGAGCCCTGTAATAAGACATGAAAATAGTATCGGCAAATCTGGAATGACAACTATATAGGCAAATGAAGTGGGCAACCAGAGGAAATTTCAACATCGATCGCTGCTCACTTTGGATCAGAATATCTAAATGTTATTTTTTTTTTGGTAGCATGTAAAAATGTGTAGTTGTTGATCATTGATTCTAGCGGGTTGAGTTTATTAAAACCCAAAGCACACCGAGTCCCCGTTGAGTCTATGACATACAGCATCTTTCATCTTCCAAAAAGTATATACATATCTAGCCAACAGCCGAGAGTGGACATTCAGAATCACAATGTACACCCTTTTTTATCCTTCATATTGTTTCCAGGATATTTGGGACTCTTTCCTTGGACTGAAGCTCCTCGGATACCTTCGCCCACACCGCCAGTCTTGCTTGTGCGTCTTCACAGAGAGGCATTGGCGTGTCTCGCCATATGCGATTGATATAGTGCCCACCACCGGTAGCCCCCACCGATCCAATCCCTTGGGTTTTGGGATCAGGACCAAACTCAGGACTAGTTGCGACGTATACAATACTCCGACTGCCTTGGAAGGGGGTGATTGCTAGCCAGTGGGCTAGAAACAGAAACAGTTTTGCGTCCAGATTTCCTCCTGTGCCAAAGCTCAGGTGATTCCAGATACTGCTATTGACATATCCAGGGTGCAAACCATTCACAACGATATGTTTGTATTTATCCTGCAGAAGAAGGCGACGCTGCAGTTCAACGATCCACATTTGATAATATAGTTTGTTGTTTGGATAAGGCTCTCCTTTTGAAGCACCCTCTCCATTAAAGTTGTTCAGATCATATTTTCCAAGGTAATGCATGCAAGAGGTTGTGCAAACAATTCGAGGTTCCTTGCTTCGGGCTATAGATTCGAGAAGCCGAAGAGTCAGAAGAGTATGGGAAAGAAAGTTAACCTGGATGTTTATTAGCATAATAACATCGCGCATAAGCTCAAAGGGCATTTGAGACAGACCTGATGTATTATTTCAAACCCATCTTTGGTAAAGTTATTTTTGATGTTTGAAGGGAAACCAGGCATCCCAGCATTGTTGCATAGCAAGTCTAAAGCACGCTGAGTAGAGAGCCATCTTTCAGCAAACGCATCGACACTGCTCAAGTCCGCCATGTCGATCTCCCACCACTCGATGGACGATGAATGGCCAGCGGACTCGGCTATCTCCAGGCACTGTTCTGCGGCAATAGAAGGGTGTAACTCCCACTTTGGAGGGTTTCGGCAACCAAGAACCAAGTTCGCACCCATCTTGGCAAATGTTTTCGCAGCCTCGAAACCAATGCCACTATTTGCACCAGTTATTATGACCCATTTCCCAGTCAAGTCAACCTCTGGAACCTCTTGATCCGTTAATGTTCTCCAGTAAGTCCCTTTAAAAGCCTGCTTGAGGCACCACAAGCCCGAGGGTGCCGGGCTCTTGGAGGCCATATTGGTTCTCTATTCTTATCTCAGGCAAAATTGTGGAGCCGGCGAATAAGCTTATATTGTAAGTTTATGATGTCACAGCACAGGAAATCAGATGCAAGAGAAAGCACTATGTACTTCGATGAAAATGAACATGTCACGTTATTGAGTCGATTTGCCCCTGAAATTAGAAAGAAGCTAACATATTGCCGCCTGCAAAGAAAGGCGGTCTGGGGCGCTCAGTGTATAAGTTGGGGCTTCTGATACAACCCCACCTCCAACCATCTGTCTAGTCTGATGGAACGGTCAAAGCTCCCAAATGAGCACGTCAAGGTCATTGAAGAACTCGAACATATCCAAAGCATCCTGCAGTGACACCCACAACGCGCTCCTTTCTTTTCTAAAGTGCGCACTGCTTGTACGTTGGCGTCGCTGATGATTCCAGTTCGTTCGCAATTCCAGCGAGAAAAATGGTTTAGATGAGTTAGGTGTCTGCTCCAGCAGTCTTCAAGAAAAAAGATGTCTCCAAAGCGTAATTTATCATTTCAAAGCATCGACCAACAACACATATATACCAGGTAGTCGAGAAGTGAGTCCCCATTGCCTTTCCACCATCACCATGTCAATTATATATTCCGGATCCTTGCCGCTGCTGCACCCCACTTCGCATAGTGTAGGGGCTTTATATATTGATTGTCTCAACATCCTTAGATAGTCGGTTTGTTTATCCGCTCATCCAGTTCGGGAGAAGGTCGTTCTAAAATGTTGTATGCGGTGGCCTCGAGAGCTAGTAGTCGCAGAGGCTGCAGTGATAACACATATCTGTACAAGATGATCAAATCAAGAATATACGTATCAACTGAGAATTTCTCGAAGTCTCATTGCAATATGACGCTCTTTAATAAATGGAGGATTTGCCTTGATGAATCCTTGCTGATTATTCATTTGGCAAGAAGATCCTTTCGTGCTCCACGAGTCAACCGTCGCTCGCTTGTCGGGTTTTACCCGCGCATTCGATAGTTAAGGTGGTCGAAGATCCTACTACTTTTATAAACGCATATCAAGAGCAGTCTAACCCAAAGCTACTCTCATCAACTAAATCGTCAACGACTACAGATATTCTATCGGCTCAATAGAGCTCAAAACACCCTCTTACACAGACTCGTCTTGAAACTCCTTCGACGGTCATGGCCATGCTCTGTCCCCTAGCTTCTGCATGAATGCAATCTAAATTAAAAACGGCGTAGTGGGTCTTATGTGCCCATCAACGGCAGCGACGATTTTATTTTATGAAACGCCGAGCCCACCGGCTCTGGGCCGGCGCAGTGCCCGCTGTGGTCCTTGCATTGACTCAAAACCTGACATTCGTCTGGCACCTGGGAATCCGACCGGGCGATTCAATAGGGCCTGGATGATGAACTACCCAGGCCACTGTGGAGACGGTGAGCCAAGCTCCAAACATGAAACCGAACTGTGGACCGTTGGCCATTGCGGCTGCTGAGGCCCCGGGCATCCGGGCTGAGCTTCGGCACGAGTCTGTGCCAATGAGGTCGGGTCAACGGTACCAGATCAGCTGGTCTGAGGATGTGGAGCTACATGGCTTGAGCTGTGCTGGAGCACAGAGCAGGGAAGGTCTTCGCTGGGACACACGGCGGTGACGGTGTTCTAGACTCGTGAGGGGTTTTTCATTTCATTTTATTTTCTCAACTTCTTCTTCTATTTTTTTTTTTTTTTGGGGACATCGATCAGACAAGGTTCAATATCAACCACGGCGAGTATCTGTGTTGATGCAGGGGACTCGATAACCCGAGTAACGGGTGAAACTGACGACAGACTGGGAAGCTGTCTGGCAGCCAGTCCGCATGGCCTTGCCTTGGATGTTTCTCTTAGATGCGTGCCGCATAGTCCTTGCGAGTGGGGACTCCCAGAATTGCGATCGATAGAACCGAGATTCTTCATAGGAATGCTCGAACCCCACGACAGTGCAGTGGCCGTTGCCTCACACGAGAGGTCTTGGCAGCTGATCCACACCATCGGCATGATAGGTTGTGCCAGGGTCAGATAATCTTATTTTGGGGTCGGATGTGCTCCCTCGGCGTTTCTCGTATGCCTCTTTTGCTACTCCGTATAGACCCTGTACTACCTACCACGTTGTCTGAGCAGGTTCGCAACACCAATTTTAATAATGAACGTGTCGATCATGCGCCATCCCGGTTCGAACCAGTTAGCGTCTTTGCTCTCCGGGGCTGGGCGGGACCCCCTCCCCCAATCGAACGCCGCATTCTCCATCGCTAAAGGGGATCGAGGGAATGGAGATTCAAATTCCGGCTGTATGCACGATGGGCAAAATCCAGATCCCCAATTTTGGGGAGGCAGATGATTATCGGCCATGCGAAGCGACAGGGAAACCGGGGGAAGAATCTATCCCTGTTTTTGTTTAGCTACGGGCCACCCGGCCCCGAGCCGCTACTCAGGGGAGAGGGAGGGAGGGGGAAGGGAATTTCCAAAGATCGCAGTCCAGTCCAGCGAGTCTCATTGAATTGTGGGCGAGACTCTACTTTGACCCGGGCTAGACGTTCTACGAGCTTCACCCAACGTAAGGCCTCCAGCAAAGGACACAGTAACTTGGGTCCAAGCAGCATTCTGGCGGACTGGATGGTGGATCGGGATGCCAGGACAGATTACCGGATTGGTCGGCTGGCCCGTCCCTGACTGGCCTGGGTCTCCATTGATGATTGTAGCTGGGCAGCGATCGACATTTCGGAGGTTGTCGCGCACAGCCTGGTCCCACGGATGAGAGAGCAGGCGAGGCGAGAGAGTGGAGGAAAGAGAGGAAGACCGGGGATGGTGGTGATCCGATGGAGATCGACTAAATTTCGATACCAATGGACGGGGACGGTGTGCCGAGGCCAGCGTACTCAGCCACCTCTGCGCAGAGTGAATGTATCCAGCATCCATCCTATCCGAGGCATTTTGGGAGGGTTGATCGGCCGACGTGTCGCGACATATCAGAAAGCCCGGGCATCAAATTAGGGGTGGAGGGGCTGCCCCCCGATGATAATAACCTAAAACGCGCACCTGAAACACAGGGGAAGAACCGGTTCTTCGTGGCTGGACTTTTGGCCCAGCAGCGCTAACCCGGTTCTCGATAGCATCGCCCTTGGGTAATCATAGTCACCGATGTAGTGACCAGAGGAGCATTGCAATGGGAGATGGGATCAGAGCCGAGTCCCAATACACCAGGATGATTCATCTTATTCGTGTACTGAGACTGCATTTTCTGTACCGAGCGTGTCCATTCCCCATTCCATATCTATGATCCAATCCGATCGGAATCCTGGGGAAATTTGACTAGGATAGGGTGACATGGGCCCGGGACGAAGTATGTTCAGTACCGTCGAGGCATGCATTGAACCCAGGGATATGGTTCTGGGCGTGGACCGAGTCAAAAACCCGTCGTGAAGGATCAATTGTCCCGACAGACCTGCAGCATTCCTAGGACGCGCGTGGTCCAGGCGAACCGTGGAACGGCGCGGGTCCCGCCGGACAAGCCGTCAACGTTCAGCGCTATTGACGATTGTGGGCAATAGTGTGCTCGGAAGAATCTATGGTAGGTATATAGTTCCGGTGATATGTCTCGGGAAGAAGTAGGGGGGGAATGGAAAGGGCAGAGAGGGGGGGGGGGGGTAATATGGGATGTTGTGAAGGCGATTGGGGGGAGTTTTAGCTCATGAGGATTGAAGGCCCGTTCGGGCCACGGGTAAACGGGCTCCGGCGGGAAGCCCAGGGGGTTTTTGGGTCGCCCCTGAACGGCCCCCGCCAAACCACTGCGGGCGCCCGGCGACGGGGGAAAACATAAGAGTTTCGTTGTCCAGAAACACCACAGCAAGACCAACAAGCCATCCAGAGGAGATCCATTATCAGATCCATTATCCGCTCATCATTTTGTCATCGCTCATCTCGCCGAGATCCCCCAGCATAGATCCGACGACATCCCCAAAGACGAGCACAACCCCCGTAGAAATCCCGAACTATACTAAGAAAAACACTATACCAACCCCCCTGGGCATCGCCTAACACCAGAGGCTCGCTAGCTCGGAGAGCGAGAGGGACCTCGTTGTTGGTCTCCACCCGCCATTCATCGAATCCTCCTTCATCTTAATCGGAGCTAAGCCCGCCCCAGTCTAGTTCGTGCACGGTCTTCTCCAGACGTTGCGCTTTCACTTTTACTCCCTTTCCATCCCCCTTCCCTGTCGTAGGGGTTTCTATCCTGTCAATTGTTCTTGCGGAGTCATTCCAATCTGTCACCCAAGGTCGGTCGTTGTCTTCGTCGTGGTGCGCCTGTGCAACCCCATCGACGCCCCTCCATCACCCAAACTCCCCCTCTCTCTTTCTCTCACAATCACCAAAAAAAATTAAGGGGTGCTGGAACTAATCACTCCACAATCTAGACAAGTCCGACCTTTTGACCCAAACCTCCGGATTTCCGGTGACGCCTGATGACTGCGACTCTCTAACATCCTCCTGAACGCTCCATTTCTCCGCCCTCCTTGAATCCCTTTGTCTGCCCGTTTCCCACCCGGCGTGGTTTCTCCTGGGGAGAATGACCGTTTCACCGCCAGCATCGCCGACGGGGCCTCCCCCGCGACCCATCAGCGCGGTGATGCGCACGCCGCGCAGCAACAGTCGCATGAGCATGAGTAGTCGCCATGGAGGAAGTCGCGCCTCGGACGAGGATGGCAAGACAGCCGTCAAAGTTGGTACGTGGTCCTCTTTCAAATCCTCCTGCTGCTCCCCTCCCCCAAAGTCGCACGATGCGCAAAACTCCAATTATGCCAGCAACGGGGTCACACCGTCCCACCGACGCTGCCAGGCACCGTCCAGAAAATAGACACCCGGCATCCCATCATCCGCTGACTCCCCCCGCGATAGCTGTTCGAGTGCGACCGCCTCTCAAGCCCGAAGATCCCGGATACGAATTGATCCCCCAACGATTCCAACGTTCCATGGTTCACGTTACAGCCCCGACGAGTGTGGCGGTAGATGTCCCGCAGGGACGCAAATTGTTTGTGTTCGATCGCGTTTTTCCCGAAACGGTCGAACAGGACGGGATTTGGGAATACCTGAGCGACAGCGTCAACTCCTTTATTCAGGGCTACAACGTCTCAATCCTCGCTTACGGTCAATCCGGCGCTGGCAAGTCATATACGATGGGTACTTCGGGCCCGAACGAGCAGAACAACTCTGGTGCAATGGGTAAGTGCGCTTCGGGAACCTCAATTCTGCGCCGCGCAGAACGCTTGGCTGATCGCGGTCTCCCCCTTCTAGGTATTATTCCACGTGCGGCCCAGGCTTTGTTCGACAAGCTGGATGGCCCGAAGCACCACCGCAACGGCTCGACCTCAACCGGCCTTCGTACCCCACAACGTTACTCCATGAGCTCTGCCTCCAGTTTCGGGAAATTGAATCTTGAGAAGAACTGGCAATTAAAAGCAACCTACGTTGAGGTATGTTGTGTCGCAAAACAAATTGAGGAACGACAGGATATTCTGGATAGCTGGCTAATCCTCTTTCTTTTCCGATAAAGATCTATAATGAACAGCTCAGAGATTTGCTTCTCCCGGACTCTGCCTCCTCGACCGATCGTGGCAGCGTCACCATCCGCGAAGATGCCAAGGGACGCATCCTTCTGACGGGTTTGCACCAGGTCAGTATCAATTCGTTCGAAGATCTGATCGGAGCCCTCAACTTTGGTTCGACAATTCGTCAAACCGACTCCACGGCCATCAACGCCAAGTCGTCCCGATCCCACGCAGTCTTCAGTTTGAACCTCATCCAGCGCAAATCTTCGGCAAACCCGACTTCCCCGAAGGAAAAACGCATGTCGATGCCGGTAGATTCATTCTCGAGCGGTGAAACTGTTACTGTTGATAGTAAACTCCACTTTGTGGATCTGGCAGGCAGTGAGCGTCTCAAGAACACAGGCGCCTCTGGAGAGCGTGCTCGGGAGGGTATCTCGATCAACGCTGGCCTCGCAGCTCTCGGCAAAGTCATTTCTCAACTTTCTTCTCGCCAATCTGGGTCTCATGTATCCTACCGTGATTCGAAGCTCACCCGCCTCCTGCAAGACTCCCTGGGTGGTAACGCCATTACATATATGATTGCTTGTGTCACTCCCGCCGAATTCCATCTGAGCGAGACTCTCAACACAGTCCAGTACGCACAACGGGCCCGAGCGATCCAAAGCAAGCCTCGTATTCAGCAAATTGCCGACGATGGCGACAAGCAAGCTCTGATTGATCGTTTGAAAGCCGAGGTCGCCTTTCTCCGACAACAGATCCGTAACGCCGAAGGCTCCGATCGCCGTGAGGCAGTTTCTGCCGAACGGAGTGAGCGCAAGAATGAACGTGAGATTCAGCTGCAGAACCAGCTGCTCGACGTTCAAGAGAGCTACAATGCCCTTAGTCAACGCCACACCAAGCTGATTTCTCATCTGGCTAACGACTCGGGCGCCACCAATGGCGAGACCAATGAAGCCCTAACCGAGGTCGGAGAGAGCTCCATCGAGCGCATTCAACGATCCAAGTCATTTGCGGAGTCTGTGGAGCAAGTCGTTCTAGAATACGAAAAGACCATCCAGAGCCTCGAGTCCTCCTTGTCCGACACTCGAGCTTCCCTGTCCTCTACTGAAAGCACCCTCTTGGAGCGCGAGACCAAATGTACTTATGTCGAGACAGTCAATGCACAGCTCCAATCCCGAGTTCAGAAGCTCCTTGATCGGGAGGCCAGCACCGAGACCTACCTCCATGAATTAGAGGGCAAGCTCGACGGCGCTTCTACGGGAGAGGAAAAGCACGAAACCATCGTTGCCGAGCTGCGCAAGGAACTCAGCCGCGCTCGCGACAATGAAGTCAGCTGCGAGGAATACATTTCCACCCTGGAAGACCGCCTCGCGGAGTCTGACCAGGACATGGAGCTGATGCAGCGTGAGGTGATCCGGTTAGAACATGTCATCCAGCGCCAGCGAGGCCTTGGAACTCTTGACAACCTGCTTCATGACCTTGACAACCGTCATCAGCAGAACGGCGATCAGCACGCTGGTGTCAATGGGTTGGATGGTTCTACCGCTTCCGCCCCGGCCAAGACTCCTGTTTTCCACCGTCACACCCCCTCTTTGGACGTCCTCAACGAAGCAGCGGAAACTGCGATTCCAGAGTCCGATGAGGACCTGGCTGAGCCCATCCCCGAGGCTGATGAGGAGATTGTTGAGGAGACTGAGAAGATTCGTGAGCAGCCTGGTGATGACCTCAAGGTTTTGGAACACGTTACCAACAACCTCCAAGTTCGCCGGATCGATGCCATCTACGATGAGCCCCTTACCAGCCCTGCCCAGTCCCAGTTTGTAGCTGACAAACTTGAGACCGTTACTCAGGAGCTCTTTGACCTGCGTCTCAGCCACGAAAACACCATGAACGACTACGAAATGCTCGAGGCGAAGTATGAAGAGGCACTGAAGGCTCTCGCCGAACTGCGCCAGGACAAGCTTGACGAAGCGCTTCACCCGCCTCCCGCTGTGCAGAACGGCGTTTCCCGCCCGGTTTCTTTTTTAGAGGATGGACCCGCTCCGAGCTCGAAGTCTGGAGCACAACACTCATTCTCACAATCGCTCTCCTCGGAATTGTCCTCGGCCGGGGAATCGCCTGCTTTGCGCGGGCTTTCTGAATACTCTAGACAAGATGGTACAGAGACACCCGCAACTCCGGTTGCCTCCTCTGTTGTCGCCCCCGCCGACAATGAGGAAATGGAGAAGATGCGTAAGATGCTCGCTGAGCACCAAGAGGGTGCTGATCAGATGACCCAGAAATACGCCGAGCTTCAGACCGAACACGAGGAGATTCTTAGCCTCGTTGAAAAATTGAAGGCTGAGGCCGAGGCCCAGCGTACCAAGTCTAGCCCGCCTTCTACTCCTGGCTTCAAGATGATTCGCCGGATGACCAGCCAGAACCTTCTTTCTGGAGTCGACCGTGCCCACCGCTCGTTGACTGCGCTGCGGACTATTGCGAGCGAGGAGCTTGCAAGCAAACCAGACACTCTTCAGAGCTTTGAGACTCACTTGGACGCTACGATGCACGAACTGTCGACCCGTATGGAACGCCTTCAGTCTCTGGAGGCTGAGAACCACAATGTGAAGAAGGAAATGGAGATGAAGGCCACTATTATCTCTGGTCTCACTCGCGAAAGATCCAGTCTGCAGGGTGCCTCGTCTGTCGATATGGCTCTGGTTTCCCAGCTTCGCGATCAGGTCGTCCACCAGGAGAACCAGATCAACGAACTCCGTGAGGCTCACGAGGCCCGCGAGAAGCAGCTGCTTGCCGAAATCGAGAACCTCACTGCCCTTCTGAAGAGCCAAGAGGTTGCAACTAAAGCCCTGGATGCCGGCGCTGAAGAGCAGGATAAGAAGATCGATGCCCTTGAAGGCGAGTTGACGGCCTGGAAGGGCAAGCATCAGACTGCTTTCGAATCTCTGCAGTCATCGGAGAAGCAGCTTGCCACCACCCTGGCGGAACTCGAGATTGCATTAGCTTCAGTTGAGACCATGCGCTCCGAGCGAGTCAACATCAGTGACGGCTCTGCTGATAAGGAGGCTGCGGCGCAGGCCCTTGAGACCGAGCGGGCTGAGCAGCAAGTGCTTGTGGATGGCCTTAAGAAAGATATTGAAGAGCAGAAGGCAACCATTTCGACACACTTGGACACTATCGCTTCTCTTGAGAAATCGCACACTACTGCCCAAGAACAGTTGGCTGCTCACCTTGCCTCGAAGGAAGTTGATACTGGTGATGCCGATGCTCACAGTGCTCGTATCGCGGAGCTCGAGCGGGAAATTGCAAGCCAAAAGTCCTCCATTAATTCCCACAAGACCGGTCTCGAGTCCCTCCAGGAGTCTCACAAGCGTGAACTGGCGGAGCTCGAAGACCGCACTAAGGCTGCCGTTCAAGCCGAGCACGATGCACGTCTCACTGAGAAGGATGCTGAGCATGACAAGTCGATGGCATCCTTGCAGAAGGACATCGCTGATTCTCGTGATGAATTGGTCAATCTTCTCAAGTCTGTTTCGTCTCTGCTTGCTTCCGATGTCACTGCAGCTACGTTGACGGATCAGATCCAGGACGTTCTTGCCCAGAAGCAGCACTTCTCTGAGAAGTATGCTGAGCTCATGGATACCAATGAGGTTCTCCGCAAGCAAATTGATGCTAGCGGAGATATTGAAGAGTTGACGAAGAAGAACGCCTCCCAGGAGGCCAAGGTTAACGAGCTGGCTCTCTTGGTCGCTACCTTGGAGGATACTCTTCGCCAGAAGGACGAGCAAGTTAAGAAGAAGGAGGCATTGGTGGAGGAGATTACCGTTGAGAAGCAAAAGAGCGTCCGCTTGGTGGAGGAGCTTGAGGAGCAGATCACCAACAGCTTCGATCAGCACCACAACCGTCTATCTGTCATCCAACAGGAGCGTGACCAAGCGCTCGAGGATGCCAAGGCGAAGATTGTTATTCTTGAGAAGGACATTGAGACCTACCGTGTTCGAATCGAGCAGCTCGAGCTCCAGCTCAAGAACGGCACTTCGGACGGTTCTCACGACCGCAGCAGCTCGCTTACCTCTAACCTGCGCAAAAGCTCGTCTGCGGCGTCTTTGCCATCTCCTCCGCCAGCGATTCCCCTTCCTCCCCTGCCAACTATTGCATCCGGCTCTAGCAGCGTCTCTCCGCCCAACTCTCGCCATGCTAGCAAGGAGCTGGTGAATGCCCAGGTCAACGCTCAGATGGTTGAAGACCAGGAAGCCCGAATCCGTACCATCGAGAAGCACCTGTATGCTGAGAAGCAGCTGACTGCCACCCTCGAGGAGGCTCTCGGCGATCTCGAGGCTCAGAGCAACAAGGTCAAGACCGACTGCGAGGCTTGGAAAAAGAAGGCCTGGGGACTGGAGGACGAGCTGTCGACTCTCCGCAAGGAGCGCAACTCTGCCCGTCTTTCTCTTCAGGCTGTAGAGGAGGAGCGCAGTGCTCGCAAGGAGGCCGAGGCTGCTCGGGCCCAACTGGAGGAGCGCATGAACGCCCTTAACAAGAAAAAGAAGAAGAGCACGCTCAACTGCTTCTAAGCTCTCGTGACCAACCTTTTCACCTACTCGTCCCCTCAAAAACGCGTGTTGTGCTTTAACGTCTGTCATTGCCGCTTTCCCCCCTGAATGTAAACTGGGCCTGGTTTTTTTTGGATACTTGTTTCATACCCTTTGCCCCCCTTTTTTTCCATATTTCACACTTTCCGTTTCCTTCCTCTCTGATTACGCCCCTCTGCAAGACCCACCTATTACCCATATCCCCGACCAAATCCCCTGTATTATGACATCGCCTGCTTTCTTTTCATCGTCGATCCATCGATACCTCTTCCGCTTCTGCTTCTGCTCCGTGCCTATAGTCGACCACCTTGATGCACAATTTTTTTTTCTCTTCTCGACTATGTTTCCTTTTCTGTTTCACATAATTCTTCGGTTCCCTTCTTGCGCCTGCAATGAACAACCCTCTTTTATGACTGGTAGATCCCAAGCCTCGGTTTTTGTGATCTATCTCCAACTGTACATTCTGTTATCTGTCTCTAGATTGACTGGTGCAAAAGGTTTTCACGCCATTCGGGGGTTCTCTTTGTTTACACTGCAATAGTCCTTGGTTATTTTGCGTCTTGTACCTTCTTTTGATTACTATTGGAACCTCTTCCCCTTTGACGGAAAACTTAGCACGTATATTCAAAAGATGTGCTCTTCTCATTTTGTAGTGTAAAGCACTGGCTGGTGGCGTCGCCGTTGGCATGATGCTGCTTCGCTTTTAGGTAACTTTGGCTGACGTCAAGTGTTCAGTGTCGAGTGTAGAAATAAGCACAAGTCCATAGGATCTCCGTCACCAAGAAATTTTGCATACTTTATTAAGGCACTTCCTTATCCGATTTGGCTAATCATAGTCCATTTTCTGCGTCCCGAAACTGGCGCAACCACCCTCCTCTTGTAGAATGATTCTTTTCTACTTTCAATAACGTAATTATGAGGATTTATCACAGTAACAAGGTGTGCAGATCCCAAAAATTGCGATAGGGAGAGTAAGCTAATTCAACGAGCATCACGTTTACATTAGTCTTCCTTGGACTTTAGTCTTCCTCCCTGGTCCCATCTATAGTAGAAGTCTGGTTTCCACCACCAGAAAATGAAAAAGGAGATCGTGTATATGCCACTCACGACAGACTGGACATAATAAGGTTCTGGGAAGCAAACAATCACTATTGACACACCTGCGCTCAAGAGCCAGTAGGTGAATCGAAGCCAACTCTTTCTCTCGCTTCGGATAATTGCGAACAGTTGCAGTATTATAAACACCCAGAAAGGTATGAACGCAAATATTATCGGCACCATTATAGGTATCACGATGGAATACCTGTAGAAAATCCGTTAGCAATTCGACGCTCTTTCATCATCGAGATTATGGTATCCAACCAGAGAACAACAAAAGCAAACAAAAGGCGCCACCAGGTCCGTCCTTGGGCAAGCCCTTGCAAAAGTACTCGAATAATACTTCCAATAACAAGTGGCACAAGTATTGTGCCAACCATGAGCGGCATTGCAATCGCGAAAAAGGTCACTAGGGACCATGTTTGGTTGGTTCCGGAATCCACGATAAGCTTGTTCGAAGTGGTCCCATCAATAACTGTGGCGTTTCGCCAAAACGGCTGAGGGGTGGTGTACTGGTTGAGATTCATGCCCAAAAAGCTCTGACGAATCAGCTGAGAGATTTTGAAGTAGTGGTATCGAGAACTTACGGTCACAAATGAGAGAGGCAAATATAATGCAGCGAGAATCCCCAAAATGCTAGTGCGATGGATTTGAAGCAAGTCCAGATTTTCTCGAAGATCGTGACGTATATTTGAGATCCTAAGTAAAGACGATTCGACTTCATCGTGCAGGTAGTCTAGATCCTTCATAAACAGTTCAAGATGACGAATCTGGTTCATCTCCTCATCAGCACGAGGCCCTTGAATAGAGTTGATTCTGTCTAGTAGTGACTGCAGAGTTTGTTTGTTTGCCCTGCAGCAAGACTTGGTAACAAGGTGGCAATCTTCCAGATGAAGGAGATATTGCATTTTGCTCCCAGAGGGTCGAAGTCGTCCTTCATAAACCTGAGCAAGTTAGCTCATGCGTGTCATCCATTCTTGCGATCCGTGATGCCTACCAGATAATTAATCTCTTTGCACGCCCGTGTCGTGAAAGTGACAAATCCAGCAATGACCTCTGAACATACAGCTTCGAAGAGGTGGAGGATGTATGAAAGACTAAACATATTATGCTCTAGAACATGTGTGAAGAACTTGCCACTTCGCAACTTGGCTAAGGTATTATGAGAGTTCACAACCACAATTGCCCGTCTCACCTGCTCGTATTGACTGGATGTCAAAATAACATCCAAGGTCTCTGCTTGAGGATGTTTTCCATACGGCCGGAACACGTATACTGAAAGGTCAGTCGCGTAGTGCGGAGCACGAATCCATTTGAATTCAAACTTCAATGGCACGTGAGGAACAATGTTAATGGGTGCATGGCCCTCTATAATGCATGATTAGTGCAAATCCAAATTTGTAAGTAGGTCAGGTGGTGTACGATCAGATGGTAACTTCGGTTGCCACGACGAGAGAGAAAGCTGCTTTGCATGAAGGCTTTCCATAACCTCGGCCATTATTTCATCACTCAGTCTCCATTGAATATGTAATATCCGTATAATCATTTCACTCAGCGAAGAATAAGCTTGTTGCCGGCGGTCATAGGTGATTAGAAATAATTTGTCAATGAAAGAGAACGCACGGCCGATGTTCGTGGTATCAATGGAAATGACGCAGACTTCGAACACAGCATCGTCATTTATTTCTCTAGAAGAAAGAATCCTCTCGAGACACCCGGACCAAGTATCATTTTTGCTGAAATTAAGTTCATCTGTATTAGTCGCTTTGTACATAAAGATACGTTCGGCTGTGCGAAGGTTGGGTCGTCGGGCGATTTTGCGATAGTTCTTCTTCAGTGACTCGTGGCCCGAGAGAATTTCAAAGACCTTATCAGGAATCGTGTCACGCCGAGACTTGGTGTCTTTAGCATCGTTTTCCACTAGTAGAGTAGTGTAAGTGAAAACTCACATTCATTCTGAGACTTTCTCCTATCGATATCTCCAGTCTTCGGTGGCTCTGCTGCTGGGAAGTCTGTCTTCTGCCGTCAGCGGAAAGGCTGGTTTGTCGAGATAGGTTTTCCAAGTCGATTTCAGTTCCAAGAAGAGGCGATTCAATAAGCATTTGTCTGGAAGACGCCGCCATGGTGGCGAGTATCGCGCGAGGTGCTTTTGCGTGCTAACCAAATCGAAACAGCACGGCCGTCCACCTGAATATATGAGTTGAATTATTTTTAGGAGAAGTAAAGATTACTTTCATAATCTCCACTCTCAAAAGCAGAGATGATATGATCTATATGATCTATATAACCTGGGTTCTTGTGATGTGGCCCAACTCGGGGTTCTCGGAGTAGGGCTGAGCAGGTGCAATCCACATCAGCCGTGGCAGAGCCTCAAAGAGGGGTTTTATTGCCCCGTATTATTATTTACACGTGATCTTCAGCTGGAAGTCCGCAGTTGAGAAAAAAAAAGTAGCTGAAGTAATGGTAAGCGAGCAGACAACTTCACAACTCCATAGTGAAAGCAATGTTCTGTAGCTTAATATTCTACTACCCATGATCTGCTGTGCGTTCCGTATTTACTTGATCCTTGAGGGGGATGTCTAGATCCTCTGACAGATTTTCCGGCCGTTGGTACACATGAGAGAATGGGAAATCTGCTTCGATATTATCGCTTGCATCGCTTAGTTTTGTCACTATAGCCTCTGCCATCTGTGACACGGGTAGCGCCCCACTGTGGATCATGTAATAGATAACCTCATGCTTTGAAGGGTCTTAACTTAGCGCCATCTTGAAGATACGTAAGCAACAATGCAAGTGACTACAAGTAACAGGCTTACTCCAGAAAACTCCCAACACGGACTAGTGTCTTTTGGACGGTGTAGACAGAATAATTCGAAGAGTGTGGGTCGTTGCACCAGTTTCAGGACGTACTATATAGGTCGCATAGAAGAATAATTGAAAAGAGCAGAATCAAAGGGTAACAACAATCTTGGAACATGCCTAGAGGTATATAGAAAGCATGATACTCTCTCTTTAATACTATTGCGTTGAGGCCGACGAATTTCCTGGTCCTACGCTGTCTGTCTGTTATAATACTACTTGCTGGGTAGCGGCCTGTCATTTAGATGAAAAAAAATAATGAATTTTATATCACGAATGGACTCATCGCCGACTTTTCAAGGTAGAAGTAGCCCATCCTTCGTATCGACTACCACATGAGCAACTTCTGCGAGCCACTGCTCAAGAATATTCGCAATTGTCTAAAAAATTGAATTGATACATTCTAGGGCATGGTAAATTCAAGATTAGTTGAATGCATGAAAATAGATGAGAGCTGATGCCGGAGAGATTATCAGAGCGAAAGCAAGCCACTGATCTGAATATTTAGTTGGGTGGGTACATATTGTTTAGATGCGTACTGTGGGCGCCGACTCATATGATTGCTATTGCGATGTCCGCTTTTTAATTCTTGCGGACCGTCGTGCAAAACGCCGCGCGAACTTGTAATGATGATGCTTCCACCCCAGCTGGAGTAGATCACGCCCATCTCGATCTATCACCTTCACATTCGCGCCGTTTGCCAACAAACAGTCGATGACTTCCTCTGAATATCCAAACGCAACGGCTTTCTGCAGAGGAGTCATCGCCTTTCCATCAACAGCCTCAATATCGGCACCCTTATCTAGTAAAAGCTGGACGATCTTTTGTATTGGCTTCACAATCCCGCTCCAGACCACTGAATGCAGAGGCGTCTGTCCGCTCCCGTCTCTTGCATCGACTTTAGCTCCATTTTCGAGCAGGAAAGCAGCCGCGTCGAGACATCCCTCCCGAGCTGCCTGATGAAGTGGCGTACCTGAATCCTTTCTCTGCGCGTGTATATCAGCTCCTTTCTCTAAGAGAAACTTAATCACCTCTACATTGCCACTAAACGCAGCCAGGTGGAGCGGAGTAGTGCCGTCATCAGAAGTCAGAGTGATATCCGCACCCCGTCCCACCAAGACCTGCACCATCTCTTCGTCGGGCAACCACGCTGCCTTGTGCAGAGGTGTCCAGCCCTGTCTGCTCCTGCCGTGTATATTCGCACCGCTATCGAGTAACAGGAGGATCAAGCAGCGGTACTCGTCGAGCAAGCTGTCCACGGCTCGAGGGTCAACCGTCCACCCGAAATACTTTCGGCTATCCCATATCCCCCTCGTGCTATGTCGAGCGCCTAATGCTCTGCTCACCACGCAATCTGCTGAGTAGTCGTCTTCCTTGGCATCAAAGTCTGCCCCGGCTTCGAGGGCGTACCGCGTGGCCATCAAGCTGCCAATCCGGATTGCCCACCAGAGGGCGGGTGTTGGGCCTCGGGGTTGGACGGCACGGCGGTATAGATAGGGATTGAGCAAGGAATGAATTCGCAGGCATGTCCGTGCGAGGGCGCTGAGGTCACGGTCTTTAGGTATCTTGTCCGCTATGAGCAGCAGACAGTCTGCGGGACACTCAGAGAGGTAGCTCATTACAAATATTTTTTTTCTCCTCGTTATGCTCGCATGGACTTTTTTTCAGGCTCTTTACTCTGCATCGAGTTTGAACGTCAAAGTGTAAGCGCGGGAGCGTCGTCGAATTTCCGCCTTCTTGGCCAATCACCCTAGTGCCGCCGCAACACGAGCTCCAAATACGAGGCGGTCGATTTTTCACTCCACGCATATTGAAGCCTGTCATGGCGATATGTCAGGGAGAACGGAAAGCTGGCATGTCAAAAATTCCAAGCATCGCTCCATGATGGACACTAGAGGATTCTCTGATAGCGGGTCGTCCTATCGGCGAAGACGGTGGTCGTTTGACCCCAATCTACTTATAGAGGTTCTGTACAGTGAATTTGCCTTGCCCGACTGCGGTAATTTATAGGCTAGCTGAAAACGAACCTGTCGGTGCATAGTTGAAGATGATGTCTTACCACATAAAATTATTCGTAATCATTGGCATAAACGACGAGGCCTGCTGAAAGCGATTGTTGGATCAGACAGTGATCCAGGGAGTATAACACTCATCGGAGCAGAAGTTAGACAGTTAGGACGGTATTCAACGTATTGGTTGGGTGATAATACACCCTTATTAAATTCAATAATACCAATGAGAATGGGGAGCAGAGTTTCTTAAGAGGGATGTTACTTGTTGGTTTGAGAATTAGAAACATCCGCTAGATTATTCAAAGGTATAGAAAATCCCCGTGTTATAGCTCATGTCGAGTGCATTGTCCTCTCCCTTTGATGCTGTTCCACAATTGTAGCATGGATTGCATCTTTCTTCAGAGCGACAATAAGTATCTACGTTGGGATAGTGTCTCGCTCAGCCCGGAAATAACAAAAGATAATATGTGTAATAATCGAACTAGGAATAGGTGTAGGAAAATAAGTTTTTGACTATCAGCATATGCGTTGCTTGTCTCTGAGATTAAAGGAGCAAAAACTTTGGAGCAACATTATAGAGGCGTAACGCTAGCGCGTTACAATTTCCAGGTCCAGGGCTTCCCCGCAGCTCCCTCGAGCCTCACCCAGAAGGTTGCTAAACTGGCAGCAAACAGCAAGACTCCAACCGTGATAGTTGCTCTTTCGTAATTCCATGGAGCTGATAATGCCGACTGGCCTGGCAGCAACAAGCCAGTCAAGGGAGTTCCCAGAAAAGCGCCAATTCCTCGAATAAGGTAAAGTGCGCCGTTTACCGAAGTAAAATGCTGCACGCCAAAAAGCTCGATCAAACTGGCTGGGAACAGTGAAATATATGCGCTACCAAAGCACCCGTAAAATATAGCAAACAAGATGAACAAAACATCGCCCGCAGTACCAGAGATGGCAGTCCTGGCAAAGGTAGATGGGAGCCAGAAAGCGAAGACAGTAACCGAACTTAAAATTGTCGTTAAGAAGAGCACATTCAGTCGCCCAAATTTGTCGGCACAATACCCAATCACAATACGAGAGACAAAATTCGACGCATTGCTTATCGTGATGAAATTATCCGCCATAGTATCGCTATAGCCGAGGGATCGGGCAAATGCTGCATAAAAGAACAGCGGGGTCGCATATCCCGTTGACTGCAAGAAGCAGCCCAAAGCCTGCGCAACAAATTTCTTAGACTTAGCGACTTGCCAGTTCACTAAGGGGACTTTGATCCACCCGGATCTCTTCGAGGTGCCGACTATCTGACCGCGCACTTTAGCTTTGAAGCTTGGTTCCCAGCGCAAAGTGAATCCGGCTATAGGCACAAAGAGAATGACCAGGCAGCCCGAGATGCGCAGCGCGTTGCGGAATCCGATATGGGACGTAATGGCCCGCAGAACCGGCGGCCAAACCATACCCCCACATGCAGAGCCCGAAATCACAATACCCATGGCCAGGCCACGGCGCTTGTCAAACCATGTCGGCGCGACAGACATGGTGGGCACATACGCCATGCAAGTGCCTATACCAACTAGGAGACCCTGGGTCAGGGCGAATTCCCAGACATACTCGCTCAGACTGGCGAGAATACATCCGAGGCCGAAGACTATACCCCCGGACATGATCACGGGTTGCGGACCGTATAGTTTCGCCCAGTTCATTGCAAACGGCCCGCCCATAGACATGATCGCGATAGACATCGTGCCGATCAGACTGATGATAGAAGAGGATGTCCCTGTGAATGGGGTATTGGGCTGATTTGCCATCTCCTCGTAGATGGCTTGATACACGCCGTAGGCAAAGATGATTGCGCAGGTCATGAACATAGTGATGAACCCGGCCGCAACAATCATGACTTGGCGGCTAGATGAGGATAGTCAGTCATTAGTCGGCGCTCGATTGCGAAAGCTTGGCAGTACGCAAAGCAAAGCTGGGGTACCAGATGTGGGACTTACAGTTTGGTTGGCGCAGAGACCTGCTCATCTTCCTGTAGGGTAAGGGCCTGTACAGCGTGTTCGTCCTCGGCTCCATTGGAGGCTACTTGGGTTCTGTCGTGGTCTCCCATGGTGCATAATCTCAGGAGCTCAGCAGGGCTTCATGGAACAGCGAAGGGAACGAAAAAAGAAATCATTGCAATGATCTAATCGCCGAGAACTCCGAGTCAGAGGGCCGAGTGCACGGCATCAGCCGTGGTACCCTTTCCCGTCCCTTGCGGAGATCTCCACCAACCAGGCTGAATTCCTTGAATTGGGATTCCCCGGATTTTGGCCATAGCGAAGGCTCCTCGGAAAATCCTGAGAGGGCTTTTAAAGCTGTTAGTATGCGAAGACCTTGAAATAGTGCTTCTCTTCGAAGACTTGACATAGATGTCATTTTGCAGTCCTCATTACTTGCTCCATAACAAAATAACATGCTCGATGGTGAGGGAATGGCGGCACAATCCATATCCACCGGCAAATGAGGGAAGCCGTTTATCCGAATGGCCCAATCTTGTGCTAAGTTGCAGCGGGGAGTGCCAGAGTAGCGTTCCTGAATGAAGGACCATGGTTGGTTTCATTCGGCAAAAGTGCACGATGATAGCAATAGGCAAACACAATTACATATTTCAATGTTGCTGCGGAAGAAAAACAATCGCAAAACCACCAACACGGCCTGTCATGTGATGACGTACCACCCCACGTGTCTTTATCGAAGCTCTCGCATCCCGCGATTGATGGGCTCGATTGATTGATATCAACACCATACAAGTCAATTCGGAACCTCGCACCCACCATGTCCATGTCGGGTCTTGCGCCCTCAAATGTGGTCATTATACACCCGGATCTAGGTATCGGCGGTGCAGAGCGACTCATCATCGATGCTGCGCTCGCCTTGCAGAGTCGCGGCCACCGCGTGACGATCTACACCTCGCACCGCGACAAGTCGCACTGCTTCGAGGAGGCACGCGATGGCACTCTAGATGTTCGCGTCCGTGGCAACACGATTTTCCCTGCCCATGTATTTGGGCGGCTTCATATTCTCATGGCCGCTTTGCGCCAGCTCCATTTGACCGTTTCGTTGTTAATCGAGCTTGGCTCGAGAAATAAGCCTAGCCCAACCACGAAGAAGAACAAGACAACGGGCGATGATGACGATCGCGATGATATCTTCATTGTTGATCAGCTTCCGGCCTGCGTGCCGATTCTCAAAACCTTCGGTCAACCCCACAAGTCCCGACTTCAACGCATCCTATTCTACTGCCATTTCCCCGATCAATTGCTTGCGCGACGAGACGAGCGAAACCTAATCATCCGGTTGACGAAACTTATCTACCGGTTCCCTTTTGATTGGTTTGAGGGTTGGGCTATGAGCGCGTCCGATCGGGTGGTTGCGAATTCAAATTTCTCTAAGGGTGTCGTACGCGATGTATTCGGATCGGAGCGACTGGGCGACGTCGAAGTTGTCTATCCCTGCGTGGACACGACTCCTTCTGCGGTACCTTCTGAGCAAGAGATTGGTGATGCACTCTGGGGTGGCAAGAAGATCCTGCTGAGTATCAACCGCTTCGAGCGGAAAAAGGACATGGCTTTGGCTATCCGCGCCTATTACGGACTGGGCAAAGAAAAGAGAGTTGGGACTCGGTTGGTAATTGCTGGTAAGGAATCTTTTTTATTTTTTTATCCTTTTATCCAGAGGGCTTATTCCGTTCCTTTCACCTAGGCGGTTACGACAATCGTGTTCAGGAAAACTTTCAATACCACCAGGAACTTGATAACCTAGCGACCAGTCTCGGACTGAAAACAGCAACATCAAAGACTGTGGTATCTGCGCTCTCCATCCCTGATGAGATCGACGTACTCTTCCTCCTCTCCGTGCCTACTACCTTTAAAAATACTCTACTCGCCCAGTCAAAGCTTCTGCTTTATACTCCGATCAACGAACATTTTGGAATCGTTCCTGTGGAAGCGATGCTGGCAGGGCTTCCTGTACTGGCCTCAAATACTGGTGGTCCATTAGAGACAATTGTTGAAGGCAAAACCGGCTGGCTCCGTGATGCACATGCTGATAGCGAATGGACGGCGGTCATGGATAAAGTTCTTTATGGGATGAGCCAGGCAGAGGTTGATCAAATGGCTGCTGCTGGCAAGGCTCGCGCAGAACGAGAATTTTCGTTGACAGCAATGGGTGGTAGACTGGAGGACGAGATCTCGACGATGCTCGCTACTGAAAGACGCCCCTTCCACGGATGGCAGCAAGTTACCCTCGCGCTGGCTCTTTTTGGATCTTTCCTGGCCGTGGCTACTTCATTTTTGCTTCGCTCGTTAGAAATCATATAATTTCGAAATTAATACCCTCCTAGTTTTTCGTTTTCACCATCTTCCACTCTTTCGTGTTTCTGTTTGTAGATACCGATAAGGGTCACCTGACGACGTGACGTCGCGTATCTTCAACTCCGCGCCCCTCGTGTCTCCGCCATCTTTTCAAAATGCCCGATGTGATTGACTTGATCTCGTCAGATCCGCCTCTCCCGGAGAGAGCGCGACCACAGCGTGCACCGGTGCCGTCGCGTCAGGTACCTGCGCGTCCTTCAGCTAACTCGAGGCTGATTTCATCCGACTCAATTGACGTCTCGGTATTCAACTACGATGATTTTCTTGATAAGCCCCCAAAAAAGCGAAGAGTCGGCAATGATAATCGGCCTCACCTGAGAAAGGCAGCCACGGCGCATGATGCAACTGGCCAGAATCCTAGTCATTCCTTTCTTTTCTCCGACGACGATTTCGCCCTGCCACCATCGAATCATGCCGCCCTCAAAAAGCGGCCTGAATATAACTTTGATGCGGAGGAGCTAGATCCAATCTTATTCACATCTTCAGCACCAGAACCCTCCTCAAAATACAAGCTCCTTGGACTGTACAAATCGAAAGAAGCTCAACCCAACGTCATTACCCTCGACGATGACAATGAAGATATCCGGAACCCCTCCCAGAATGTGAATATCAGTCATGCAAGACAAGAAGATATAGAGGAGTTTAGCGACCCGTTTTTGATACCTGGATTTGCTGATGAGTTTGGGCAATCACCACCCAGGAATTCTGCAACCAACTTGGGATTTTCCAGCAAAACAGCGGCATTGCTTGCTGAACTGAATGCAACTACCAAGGATAACAAAAGCCGAACTATAACTAAAGGCGTGTCACATTCTCGACGAAACAAATGTGCTATGGTTGATCTGTCTGCTGACGAGCTGGACGAACCGGCCGAGTCGCGACGCCCGGCTAAGAAGTCGGGCAAGCTTACAGCCGAGGAAAAGGACGCACGGACGAAGGCGCGGGCGGAGGCGAAGGCACAAAAGGACCACGAGAAACAGCTTGAAAAGGAACGGAAGCAAAGGCTCAAAGAAGAGAAGGCAAAGCAGAAGCAATTGGCAGCAGATATTTCCGAGGTCAATAAACTCAAAGTTGACAAGAAGGACTCTACTCAAGAGATGATTCTCGATATCTCATGTTCCTTGGAAGAAAGCAAGGTGGGGAACCAGACTGTGGAATTTATGAAGCGTCTTGGTGTCGAATACAGTTTCTTCACCGGGCCAGTCACAAATATGGTCAAGTGGCGCCGAAAAATGAACGCAAAATATAACGAAGCAGCTGGTCATTGGGAGCCGTGCGCATTTCATATCGCGGAAGAAAAGCATGTATTATGTTTGATGCCGGCACAGGACTTCGTGGACATGGTGATAGCAGGCTCAGACAGCGAGGAAAGAGAGTCGTTGGAAATCCATGTTCTCAAAATCAAGAGTGCCTATCCTGACTGCACAATCATCTATCTTATCGAGGGGCTCACAGCATGGATGCGCAAGAACAGAAACTCACGGAATAGAGCTTATCAAGCGGAGGTATTGAGTCAGTACGAGCCAGCACCAACGCAAAGCTCTACAGCACCCCGTGGCCGAGGGCGGAAACCCAAGAACAAACCGGAGACCACACCACCTGTTGATGACGATGTAGTTGAAGATGCCCTTCTTGCACTTCAAGTGATCCATTCGTGTCTCATACACCATACCAACGCGCCACCCGAATCCGCGGAATGGATCAAAAACTTCACGGAGCACGTCTCTACAATCCCGTATCGGCGTGAACGAATGGAAGGCAACGATGCTGCTTTCTGCATGGATGTAGGCCAAGTCAGGACCGGCGAAGACAAGCTTGATACCTTTATCAAAATGCTCCAGGAAATCAACCGAGTCACTGCCTCGATGGCATATGGGATTTCGGGGCAGTACTCCTGTGTAACGGATTTGGTTCGTGGCATGCGCATGCATGGGCCCACGATGTTAGAAGATGTTCGGGTAAGTATTCCGAGTCCAGCCGTCATTCCTCAACGCATACAATTTTTCCCCATGGGACGCAAATTCAGATCTTCAGTTTACTAAGAGGATGTCTACAGAAATCTGCCAACAGGAATGGAGGACTGACTGATTCGCGTGTGGGCCCTGCCGCCAGTAAACGATTGCACAAAGTGTTTACAGGGCTTGACCCAAACTCAACAGACGTGTAGCTGTGGGATGCGGGTTGCCGGGGCTGCCATTGGTCCATAATCCTTTTCTTTGGCAACCTTCACATATTGCTATTTGCATAGAACGTAGCTAGATCGCATACCTAGATCCAATCATATACGTCTCCAGCAAAGCCCTGACGGGCACAGGACTCTTCCACATTATGTATATTCACGTTTAGTGTCACCGGAATCTGTTATTTTCCACCAACAAAGGTTCAGCGATCACAATTTGGCTGCCTGCTCGGGGCATTTTCGTAAAATTTGTGGACCCTTTGCTTGGGTCAACCTGCGTGGCCGCCATTTGCCGAGTACCCGGCTAAGCTTGCCCAGACAAAGCTTGGCCTTGGTAGGGCTGTAGGGCTTACGAGGTTGAGGGCCCCCGGACCCACCAGCAGGGGAAGGCGTACTGTTGCGAGCATGGCAACCACCCGGCTTTTCCGCCGGGTTTTCTTCGTCTATTTTATCTGATCGATCTGATTGATTTGATCGATAAAGAGCCACTTTGTCACATTCTGTTGCATGTGAAGGGAACTCGCATCGCAAGCATGGCTTTTTCCAGGCTGACCCTCAGCCCAATGCTGATATTGTCCACGGCTCTGTTGGTCATTTCGGCTTTCAATTATGGCTTTAGCGATCAGGCTTTCGCCTCGTGCCAGGCAATGGACTCGTTCGAGCGCCAATTCGGTGTCTATCATGAATCCACAAATACCTGGAAGTTACAGCCGCTGTTCACCTCGCTGTACAACAGCTTGAAGGCCGGTGGGCAGATTATCGGTAGGTCTCCGTTTTTCAATTGACAGTAGTCTGGTTCACCTAAGATACTTTTTTGACACATTTAGCTACTATTAGGGGTATTCTTTGGTGGCTATGTCAGCAACAAATACGGGCGAAGAATGTGTATATCTCTGATGAGTGTGTACGCACTGGGCAGTGCTTCTGTGGTCATCAGCTCCAAGACAGATGTTCAGATCCAAGCCGGCAGAGCTTTGCATTGTAGGTGGACGTTATTCATGGACGCTCTGATGCAGCTCGGCTGACAATATGCGCGAAAGATATCTACCTTGGTATGCAAATGGCAGTGATTCCAACCACTTTAACTGAGCTTGCCCCAGCCAAGGTGCGCGGTGGTATGGGAGTATTGTACTGGCTCAGCATCAAGGTCGGCGGACTTGTGGTGACCTCCATCACACGGGGCACTGAAAAGATAGGGACTAATGCTGCTTGGAGAATCCCCTTTGGCCTTATACTGGTCGTCCCCTTCATGATCAGCTGGTCCATCTGGTTTATCCCCGAAACACCGCGTTGGCTTCTCCTCCGGGATCGCCACGATGAGGCTCTGGTGTCTCTTAAGAGACTCAAGCCGAAAACTGCATCCGAGGAAGATATCAGATATGAATTTGAGATCTTATCCCAGAAAGTCTCTCGTCAACTTGAAAAAAAGCGATTCGGTGACCTGTTCACGCCGCAAAACCGACAACGCACATTTGTTGTGGCCGCTGCCAATTTTTTCCAACAGGCCACAGGGCAAGCATTTGCCTCGCAGTACGGAACTCTCTTCGTGAAGCAGCTCAAATCTATCAACCCTTTCAGCGTCACGCTTGGGACGAATGCGATTGACATCGGTGCTATTTGCATTTCGGCATCACTGATCGACCAAGTTGGGCGCAGGTAAGTCAAAAATGACGAAAATGAGAATTTAATGCAAATTGGCTTCTCTAGGTTAGTACTAGAGCTGACGAGACCTAGAATGCTGTTCCATGTTAGTTCCACATTTCAGACCGCATCATTGATGACCATGGGTGCCCTCGGCACTGCAGATTCGAGTAATGTGGCCGCCAAGCAAGGCATTGTCGCTATGCTTATGCTGTACAGCTTCAGCTGGTCTCTTGGCTGGGCACCTCTCGTTTACGTTCTTGGAGCGGAGCTTCCGTCCTCTCCTCTGCGTGAAATGACCCTGCAGATCGCATATTTTGTCAAACTTGTCACTGAGTATGTACACGACTTTGCCTGACTGCTCGCATTTTGTCTTTAATATGTTCCCTCTGTGCTAATGATGAACCTGATAGGTTTGCCGTGACTTTCTCTTATCCATACATGGAGACCGCCGACACCCCCGGTCACGTTGACCTCGGCGGTAAACTTGGCTTTATCTATGGGTCTCTCTCAGCAGTTGCTATTCTCTTCGGGTACTTTTTCATTCCAGAGACTAGGCGTCTGGAGCTGGAGGATATTGATAGAAAGTTTGACCTCCCTGGCGACAACTCTTTGAAATCTATCGAAGAACCAGCTGCTACTGAAGAAACGACCATCACGAAATTGTGAAACAGAGGACAGCAAGGCTTAGACATATGTATATATGCATACAGTTCAGAATGGAATTCAGTCTTTCTCATACACCGGAGGGAAAGGGGGGTGATGAGCATCTTTATCCTTATCCTGTTCTACAATCTACCCGATTGTCCTAGATCTCAAACTTCACTGCACTACAAAAATATACCGAAATGTAAATCAACGAGTTGATTCTTTATATGCCCGCTCTATCGCCAACTATGCACCAAATATCCATCATAAAGAACTGCGCCAGAAAACAGCAATCAAAATCCAAAGCTAGACAACAATCCCTCGCCGCTTCCATCCCTTCCAAGCAAACCCCCAGACGCCAATGGCGACCCACACGCTAACCGTACAGCCGGCAGCCCAGAAGCCATAGCATCTCCAACCATGGCATTGCCCATCAGGAGTGCCAGTGCCAGCATCGACGGCATTTTGATAGGCGCTGGAGTAAACTACTCCCCAAAGGGCAGCCCCGAGCGCGGGCATCATCGCAACAATGCCCCAATTCGTGGCAAAGTTTTCAACGCCCCACACGACAGAAATGATAATTGGAGTCAAAGAGAATGCACTGCCGTAGCCGAATCCTACGAGGGCAGTGGTGAGGTGGAAGGTTGATGGCTCCTGAAGTGGGATTGGGGATGCGAGAATAAGGTAACCGAGGGAAAGGAGGAAAGCCGAAGGGAGAAGGAATGTCATACGAGACAGGGTTAGACGGCTGTGTGCACTTGCTGGTGCTGGGAATCGGGAATGCGCTTCCTCTGGTATTGGAGGGAACAGATGAGTCGCAGGAGGAGCGAAGAAGTCGGAAAGAGAGCCAGTGAGGAGGCGGGCAATGGTCGAGGTCAATGCAACAGTGGTGACATGGGTGGAAGGGGAGGCCAGCAGGTGGAGATGCACCTGCAGTATACGAACGTGGCGTAAGGGTTGGGATGATAGTACCCAGCTATTGTGATTAGGGTTAGGTCTCGAGTTCAAGCAGTGAACCAGTATTGAAAATACTCACATTGTTGATATAGGATTCTCCGGGACCTGTTACCAGGAAGAAGCCTGCTGCTAGCCACCACATTGTCGGGTCTTGTAGAAAGACCCGCGTCTCGTAATTGAGCAACCAATTCTTCTTCCGGCGTTCTTCTTCTTCCCGTTCCTTCTCACGTCTCCTTTGCCGCCGTTCCTCTTCTGAGATGGTCATGGAGTCTTCATCATTGGCATTGGAGGCAAAGGTGCCATATTCGACTTCAGGTCTGATTTCAGCCCGTGGCCGGAAGAAATCACTCTCCTCAAGCAACCCACTTCGCTCCAGCTCCTCGACAGTCTCGTCGATATATCTCTCTTCTTCATCATCATCAACTATACGCAATGTAAATGTGCCAATTATTCCGATGCCCAGCAACAGAAAAGCGAGAAATAGGAAATATCGGTATACATCCACATCGCCAGGGCTGCCATCCGGATTGCGTTCATATAGAAGATACGTTCCGACCTGTCCCTGCCACATCCCACTGAGACCAAAGGCTGCAATGGGAACTGCCAGCATGATCCCCTTGTGTTTTCCTCGGCCATAATTCTTGGCGCACGTTGCAACAGCGGCGAGATACATACAGCTCGTACCCATGCCAATAGCAATGAACGCCACAACCATCACCCAGAACGGCCAGCCCGACCCGCCAGCGTCCGGCGGAGGTCCGCTCTTGTAGGCGAACGCGGCTAGGAGATAGCCCAATCCAAATACCAACCCCGAGAATAAGGACAATGGGGAAGGACTATATCGATCGCAGAGATACCCGAATAGCGGGACCAACAAGTACATGGCGATCTCTGCTGCAATAGAGACGGCGTTGACTTGAAGTTGGGTGTACCGAAGCCGGGTCAGCAGGAGATGCCCGTATAGGGAGAACGCGGTGATGCTACCTGCCCCAAGGCTGTGAGGGAAGTTAGATAGGTAAGCGGGCACGGAAGATGATAGAATTAAGCGACACTTACCAAGTTATGATTCCCCAGATAAAGCTGACCACCCGAATTACTTCTTTACGGATCTTCTTCCGGTCTCGCTCGACAATTCCATCCACCACGTCACTTAAGAGCCCATCTTCGCTCAGCGCGCCACGCCCTGTATCGCCTGAAAGTCGGGAGCGATGCGACACTGGTCTCGAGAACCGGCGGAAGCCTTGGCTTGGTAGTTCATTATCCGAATTTCCGTCTCTGTCTTGGAGTAGCGGTCGGTTCGTATCGAAGTCACGCTTATCGATGGACTGGTTTGCACTGCCCTTGAAGGCGGGCATTGTTATGTATATAGCTAGGACTCGCTGAAGAATTGGCAATCGGTCGGCTAGGCTGAAATAAAGATAATTTCGAGGTTTTTTGGGTTCTTATGAGTGAGAACCAGCGGGGTTAGGTGATTCAGCGGTGTCAACTTCGTAGACGGAGCTCGTCTGGGTGGATCAGTTGCTCTGTTGTCACAGCTCCACCCCACGTCATTAGGCTTCAGCACGAGCTCATTCTGAGAATGGTTGCAAATATCGAAAGAGGATGAGGGAAGGATGGCAGGGAAGTGCGCCTGTCAGACTGTGAGGGTTAAAGAGTGCGACTAAGAGCACCCTTGGGTGTACAACTCATCTAGCGCCGCAACCAAAGGCGGAGTAGAGCGGAGAGGAGCTGACTCGCACTGGCTTATCGCCAGCACGTGACATCTACCGAGGTTGCACCATTCCGATTAGATCTACTTGGCTGGAGTGCCACACACCACCAAGTACGTGAATAAGCCGACAATGAAAATCAAGAGTATCGAGTCATTGAAAACAAAATACACTACAAACTCAAAAATTTATTGTCTAATCCTAAGGAATATCATGTACAACACCATGGGGTTGGTACCAACCCCTACAAATTGTGGCCTAGCCTGGAAGATCATTCAAAACAACCCGGTAGGGGTATTATCAATAAAACAAGACCGAGAAGTGAACTGATGAAGAGGGAATCAAATGGGCTTAACTCATACACATGGTCATAAGAAGGAAGTTCACAAGGGATATTGAAGAGGTGAAATGAAAAGGAGCAAGAAGAAAAGAACAGAAAAAGAAAATCAGCCGGGCTCTAAATGCATCCAGGCGTTGACAAGGGTCATTGAAGCGTCCGTGAAGCTCGTTAGTCGTAGTGCGCGGCGTGGGGAGAGCACGGCAGCTCCAGAAGATGAAAACGCAAGTTCAGGGTAAAGAATTAACAATTTAACTCCGAAGGGTGGGAATAGATCGTCTATCCCTGGACGCCATGGTGTGGTGAGAACGCCGGGTGATGAAAATCAGGAAACGGAACGCAAGAAAGAGGTTTTCTCAGAAACTGACTTCGCCAATATCAGTCTCCACGATACTTTCATCCCAGTATTGATCAGAAGGTAATTCACGGACGGCAGGCTGGGAGCCTAATGCAATGGCCTCGCCTTCACCGCGTTCAACAAACTCGTCCTGAGTGATCTCTTTCATGATACGCTGGAAATACATTCGCAACGTGCGAAGACCACGCAAGTATCCACGATCAATATCCTGAGGATAGTGTGGTGGGCAAGGTGTGTCGGGGGGTAGCTCATCTTCGCCAGTGACACAATTGGCGAAGTCAACGATCTTCAGCTGGACATCGACATTGTTATGGCCATCATCAGACACCCGGCGCCGTGGGGCAGGCCGGTCGCCCGATGTGTGACTAGGGGTTTGTGGCGGAGTCAAGGGAGTTGCCTGTTCCCCGTCGTACAGAATTAGGAGGCTGCTCGCATATAAACGGTATCGATCCAGCTTCCTAATCATGTGCTCCAGGAGAGAAAGTTTTTCCAATATAACGGGAATTTTCTTGGCCACGCTAGCATAGCTAACCCCGTCGTAGAGAAATCGGGTGAGTGCATCCTGAAACTCGCGTCCAGACTTCAAGTCTCGTCCAAAATACTTGTCTTCGAAAAGGTACTCTTGCTTCTTGACATTCCAGGCTTGCATGCCACAAAGACGAACACCCAGCTGTCGGGAAGTAGTAGACTGGCACTTTCGCCTCTGAGACTTCTTCTTTTTCTCAGTAGCCTCGATGCCATACTGTCGAGTACCCATCTTGAGGTCGAGCACGCATGGCTTGTTCATCCCAGCAGTAAGATCCTCCAGGAGCAGGAAAAATTGGACACGTTCATCTTTCCGCAGCTGCGCCTCTTTGGGGTTGCTGGGCAGATGAGCCCCCACCTCTTGATCGATTCCGGGCCGGGGAAGGAGTTCAGACAGCTTACGAGGGGCTGCCATTCTACCTGCATGTGCCTCGCCGGAGGATGTGCTTTCTGAGGGGGATTTTGAGAGCCTATTCGGAGGGGCATGCTCATGTGGAACAGGTGCATCGCCTTCCATAGAAAAGATCTCATCTTCCCGGTCACCGCCATATCCTTCGTCATCGAAAAACATCAGGTCACCAGTATTGTGGGAATTCAAGCTTCCTCGGCGTTGAAGACCACCACCAGAGTGCCGCCTTCGTACTTGTTGGCCACTATTAAGAGAATTAGATCGATTGATCTGGTCAACTGTTTTGACTTTTGCGAGACGATTTTCATCCAGTGCAGTGGATGCTGATGAGGATAGAGTCGGTCCCTCCTTAGATGAGTGCTGAATGTCCATTGCATTTGTTTGCAAAGCCTCAACCCTATCCAGGGGAGAAGGGCGAATGCTGGAAGCGTGGTCTTCTGAGTAGTTTCCACGGCGACGGGGGATGTCAGATGTTGCTCTTGGCAAATGAATGTGTCCACGAGGATGGCGGCGATGGTGGTGAATAGCTGGTGGGCTAAAAACCTCTCGTAGCACCTGCTCCTGGAGTTTCCGGTTGACAGTGGTAGCACCCCAGATCTTGGCGCGCTTTCTCAACTCCGAGGGATCCGAGTCAGTGGATAGTTTACCCAGGCCATCGGCGGAGCGCGGTCGGTCCATAATTGGATCAGGGGCAAGTCGGGAGGTTTGAAATCGCTTGGGAGGAGAGAAAAGATCCGCCGGAATGATGTGACGGTTGTTCTCCAGGATAACCTTGGGGATCACGCCAGTCACCTGCTTTTGGCTAACAATCCGCTGAGGTTCTGGCGCATCAAGAGAATGAGACTTCATCGAAAAAGTTCCACTGGAGTGTCCCGGTTCAGAAATATTGGTCCCCGTGTGTTCAATATGATTTTTGGAGCGTTTTGAAGTCTTAGAGAAAGTCACGTTGAGGACTCCAATATACCTGTCCTCGATCAAATTAGCATGTTGTCACAAGATTGAGACACAACAGTCGGCCTCTGAGACAACTCGATCTGAGATAGTACGCGCGGAAGCGAATACTAACGTACCTAGGAAGAAACACAAGCATATCAGGGTGCCTCCTTTCAATGCGCTCGTAGAACTCGTTTTCTCGGTTATTTAATTGTTTACACACCGCACGCCTGGAGAAGCGAAATACAGTCGTGTGGCCACCAACTTGATGCCGGTAAGGTTTCAGTTCCACAGCGCCTAGAGGTCCAGCAGTCTTGCGTTTGGGTGGTAATCGTGGCCGCTGAGTAGGAGTCGCGGTCGGAGTCAATTCAGCATCATCAGTCAAGCTGGATTCTTCGTGAAGCGAATGGCCGCTTTCATCCGCTGACACAGCTTCGGATTCGCAAGTGGAATCATAACTGCGTTCAGAGATGGCGCTTAAGGATTTGTCCGCACCCTCAGCAGGCGGTCTGATATCTCCAAGTTCACCATGCAGGACCTTGCTCTCATTCTTAGATCGGAAGGATATATCGACATGGCCGACATTCTGTTCCGGTGAAGGGCTACGTTCTTGGGGCACCAACATCAGCTCATGGCCCTTCTCCAACTGCACTGATTGTGTGCTTCGTGAATCTGCCGCCAAGGGCTCAGAGACGTCAATGTCTTCAGGTACGGTAACACGTTCATGAGGAAAGTAAACTGCAGAAGAAATCTGCTCATTCTCTTCTTCATCATCTTCAGATTGCGCGGATCCCCGCCGCTCTCTTCCTTCCTCATCGAGAGAGCTAAAAGATTCGTGAAATCGTTCAACATGGGCCTCTTTCTGAAAATAGTCGCGGCCGCGTTCGGCATATTGAGTCGGAATACTCTTGGAAAAGGACGATCCACGCCCTCCACCAGGAGTGAGATGAAAATTACGGATCTCCTCCAGAAGGCTGCGTGGGAGTGCTGGAGGGTGGCGCTTGAGCGGCTCCTCTTGTTCCGCCTGCTGGGTCGTCTCAGTCGACTGTTGTGATTCAAAGCTAGGCCCTTCGCCTAACATGGGGAGCGAAATGCTTTTTCGGATCAACCCTTCCTCCTCCGACGCCAGACGTGCTACTTGGGGTTCGAGATCCATGCCACGATCCTTGGAGTCCGGATGCTCATCGTGATGCTTCCCCCGATCTTCCCATCGCTTGCGATCAGGTGAGGTGGTGGTATTTTCTTTAAATAAACCCAAGTAGTGACTGGACTTACGACTGCGCACATGAGAAGCAGGCTCGACGTTGCTGAGATCTGCCTCAATTGAGCTGTCCATGCGGCTGCGACGCCCCCTGCTTGAGCTTCGCTCCAGTCCGATACTCCGTGAAGGGTCCGCGCGTGTGTAAGAGACCCCCTCGGAATTCACCATCGGCCAGTCCGGGCCAGACGTTGGCGTCAAAGTCTGGGGAGACTCGGAGACATCATCTAGCACCGATGGAAGAAGACTGCGTTCAGCCAGAGCGTTTTGTGAGCCACCGGGCTTCGTACCTGTTTCTTCCAGTGTCCCTAGATGTACAGATTGGGCCCCAGCTTCCGCCTGGTCTATCACCGGGTCTGCAGACGAGATGGACGAACGGAGCAAAGAGAGACGAGGAGCATCCGGGGGAGAGAAAAGAGGTGGGGAACGCAATGGAAAGTGTCTGTGGACGTCAACCTCCATGTGGGAAGAGTCGACGTGTGAATGGTGGGGAGAGACCTTGGATCGCGGACTGGGAGACCTGGACACCTCATCCAGGTCAGAGGTCAGATTGACCGGGCGCTCATTGTCCGGGGCTTTGTCGGGGGGGAATTGTGGGGTATTGGCGCCGCTGTCCGAGGTAATATAATGGGTTGCAAAGATGCTATCTCGCTCGGACAGTTGTGGGCTGTGGAAAGAGTCCGGACGGGCGAATTTCTCCAGCGGGATCGTCGGCGTCCTTTTTAGGGCGAACGAGGATGCAGGTTGGGACCATCGATGGGTAGCCGTGGGGGATTCCGCGCGCGATGGGGATGGCGCCTGTTGAGCCCCCTGGGACAAGTGTTGGTCCTGCGACAAGTGGTGACGTGGGATGGGCCAAGCTCTGTCGGCCGCCTTCGAGCAATCATGATGGGCGGGCGCGGCAGGTGTCACCAGGGGGTCAGGCAAGGTGTCTTCGGGAGCGGGCGGCGGATTTGACATGGAGAGGACATTGGTCAGGCCTGCACGGTCGGAATGGAAGGGAAGCGGAGCTGGCGGTGGTTGGTGATTGGGGTCGGGGTGGGAAGGGGGAAGGGGGAGGATTGGACGCGGCTGGGCGAGACAAAGCAGGCACTGGCGTCACGGCGACGAACAGAAGCAAGTTAGTGGAGAAGACGATTGGAAAGCGCAGAGTGCTGCTGGCAGGCTCAAGCAGGAGGACATTTCGAGACGCCGGGGACCACGTTCAGCGAGGGAGGGATCTTACAGGTGGAAGACCTGACCGCAAATCGTTCGGGTCGCCGGGATCAGAGAGGCTCGGACGCTTCTGGAGGAGATAAAAGGATGAGCGAACCTAAATGGCGTTTGGGCCAGGCGGGTTGCACAGTGACGCCGATCGCCGTCACCGCCTTCGAGTACGGGGGGGATTCAAAGGATTCAAAGAGACCTGGTTGTACGGATTTGCACTGAACGGAGCCGTCAACTTGGAACTCCTGGACTTGAATGCCCGGCAAAGGATGGACAAACCCCTCACCGCCTATCTCGGGTGCTCCGCCTTGTTCTCCGCCCATCTGCTCCGTATTCAGACGAGGCCAGGAGGTCAGCATCGGTCACCGGTGGTATTATTCAGACAATACATGAGAGGAGCTTCTACATAGTGGCCACGAAGGATACCATAGGCCAGAGGGCTCGGCATGATTCCTTCAAGGAAGATCCAAGGGCCCTGACTCTCCGTTTTGTGCTGCCTCTTATCTTGATAGTTCTATACCTCCCAGTACCTCCGAGTACTCTGGTGCACTTTCCACTATCTCCACCATGACAATAGCGGTCTATTCTGCCTGTCAGGTTCCCCCCTATCTTGAGCTGCATGATCCTTTACTACGATTGGCCCCCTTTAACTAAGTTGAATGGTTTCTTTTTGTTTCTTACAGGTGGAGACAAGCTGGGGGGATCCAGTCGAGAAGACTATCTTGGCGAGTCCGAGGAGAAGTAGAAGCAGTACGGATGACACAAGGCAATGAAAGATTGATAGGTCCCGACCAAGCCGATAAGAGTCACAGACAGGAGAGGGGTGAAAAAGAAAGAGCAAAAGGTCGGAGATGGCCGGGCAGAGAATGAGTGACAGGACCAGCTGGGGCCCGAACATACGGCAGAACCAAGCATTCCATCCCAGAGAGCTTCATGCCTACCAGCATGCCCGGTCGTAAATCGAGCATTCTGATCCCAACCAACGGAGATCTGGTTAGTTACTCTATTGATGAGGATAGACTTTGTGGCAAGAGAAAAGGTATGCTATTATATATCGACTGGTCCCATTTCATCACCACAGTAGACGCCTATCACCTGCTTAGCCTTTCTATGACATAGCACTGGCTTGTATGATACTACGTTATCCTATACCTGAACAAAAAGGGGTACCCAAACCCCCTCGAGGAACACAGAATTTTGAATAATCGACAAAGATTGTTCCCATCTTATCAAGAGGCAGTAGTACAGTCGAATACTAAGGACTGGTGACTGTGAGGGTACTTAGAGGGCTCCTCTGAACAAATCGTGATCGATAGCACTCTTCCTTCCAGATCAACTCGCTGGGCACCGCCTTGACTAGTCTTCTTATCAGAGCCCTCTCGATAAGCTTCCAAGTTTCAGGCTGTGATCATCCAATGATTACCAACGTCGAAGCGGGGAGGATGGCTGTCATCACTCGATGACCAACCCCATTAAAGTCAACATGCCCTTCAGCATTTCCGTATTCTGTCATTTTCACAGACCGTTCTCTTTCTTAATTGTGATCGATCATAGATCAAATTACAGGAGATCCATCGACGACCGAATTTGTCCTCTATACTTGGCGGGGTTTATGTTCTCATGTCTCCAACAAAGGTCCAAGCGCCAGATATCCTAGGCGTCGGCCGAAACTACAAAATGCAAATACTTGATGAGCTATCTTCATATCCTCTTCTCTATACATCCCAACAGGTTTCTGCCAGCCCCAGTCGGTAGGCGTGGTGTGATCGGCTCAGTGTGATGAACATCGTCTTAACGCCCAACGGGAGGCGCCGAGCGGGCCCTCGTCCAACCAGCGTCGCGGGTCATGTGAAGTAGATGCATTAGGCCCTGACAGGACCAATCCAACGACCAGCTTCCCCAGTAAACCTCCCCCCTTGAAACCCACTCAGGCTGCTCTATTTCACAGAGCTCTCTGTCCTAGCCTTTTATGGAGCCATTTGAATCTCCACTTAGGCGGTTGACCGTCTTCGGACCCCCCTCATCACACGCACCACATCCCCCGAAACATCTTGTACAGAATGGAATCTTTCTCTCTCCCTAATCCAATCTGCCAGGACCTGTCGCCTACCTTTATAGGGCCGCTCAATCTTTGTCTAGCCCTGAGCTACCTACTGATGGCCAGGGAATATGAGTTGAGATTCACTGGTTGACTCTGCGACATCAGCTCCAGCCAACGATTTCCTTCCAGTATTGACACACATATTGAGCTGAAGACTCTAAGAACCCAGACACTCTTGTTCAAATTTCCAAAAACAAGGTATCGGAAAAGGGAAAGTAGCGATCTCGAGCTTGAATATGAGTCAACCTTCGCAGCTCGAGACGTCAGTGAAACGAAATCATCGATATTCGTTCATCGCGACCCCTTTGGAGATGCATCCTCCACAATTCCCACGAGATCCATTATCACCCCCGCCACTTCCCACGGAACCGCATCCCTCAGCTCATCCATCTGTATCGGAACAATTTGTTCCGTTGAAGAGACAGCCAATGGACCATAAAGGCGAACAGCAACAACCGATCCGATATGAGCCAAGTGAAAAAGAGCGACGTTTACAAGAAGAAGACATCATCCCGACATTCTCTAGATATCCACCACCAGAGCAGCACCCTGCTTATTCTGCTCCTTTTGCCAACAGCTCTCCCATCGCTCAATCTCCGCATTGCCCTTCTCACGTAATGCGTTCTCCGCAATATGTTCAAAGGGTTCAGTCCATGCAATGTGTTTCACCAAGTCATTCAGCACAGTATGCTCCCCAAAGCGCCCCGTCTCTTCAACATGCATACACTATGCCTTCCATGACGTCTCCCGAATCTTCGTACGCGAAACAAGATCACCAAGTTGTTCAACGATGCAATACTTTCTCTATCGAACCAGATTCCAATCCACTACAATCACCGACAGTATCTTATCAACATACGCGAGCTCCTGCAGCAACTTCAATAACAACCCCGGCGCCGCCTCATATAGATGATCTGGGCGCCTTTCACCAGCCCGGGCAAATAATGCATCCAGATCAGGAAGTCCAGGGGGGAACATGGACTCATGGACTATGTGATTGCTCGGGTATTGGGACTTGTTGCATGGGATTGGTGTGTCCATGCATCCTGTACGGAAAGACGCAACATCGTCTCTCTATGAAATCACGAAAGGAAGACCCGACCAACATGCTCGGATATGATACATGTAATGGATCCTGTACGGCAATGGGGCTTCTGTGTGGATGTCAATGTATGTCGCATAGCTCTCTCTCTCATCGGCCGCGCCGAATTGGCTCCATGTACTGACCACGTCCCACAATCATAGGGCTTCTCGCGACCATTCAGCGCACCCGGACGAGGAAGGCGTACGGAATTCATGGAAATGTGGCTTCGGACTGTCTTCGAGGCACCTGCTGTACTTGCTGTACTTTGATACAGGACGAAAAGGAGATTCTGAAGCGCGAGGAGAAACGGGATCGTGCGGCTCGAGAACGAGGCACAGTTCTGCTCTCGCAATATACGACTCCGGGGAAGATGACCTTTGCCCCACCACCGAAATGAGACATTGATTGGACATTCCAGAGCGAATTCGCATGGGGCATGTAGTATATAGCATATATAGTTTAGCATTGATTTTTGTATTTTTAATGAAGCACTTTCGGTATCGTTGACTCTCGAATCGCAATCGATAAGGAATGATGGAATAATGCACGAGTGACTGGCTCCAAAAAGAAGATACTGTCATACCCCCGCACGATTTTTCCTATGTATCAACTTGAAGTAATGGCCGAGCCTGCGGTGGCGATCACGCTGGAAGGCCCAGTACCAAGGCCCATTGCAGATCGGTAGCCGGGGACCAGACTCTCGGGCTGACCGGTGCGACTAGTCATAACATCGGACATGGTACGAGGTGTATGACCTCACTGGCATTTAGTATGAGAATCGGATTATCGTTCTAATCCAAGAGAATGATGCAAGCAAAAGTGCGTATCTTGATTTTTCAATAGTCTACAATATTGTAACTTCAAAGAAAGGGGATCCACAAGCGCCTGGTCGCGTGGTACCACAATGGGAGCAGTTAACCCCTTGAAAGAGTTCCCTCGCTTTTCGATTAATGATTCTTGCAAGTAAAAACCACTGGGCCTGAAAGACTATTTTGCGGGTGAACTAGCAGAACCCAAATAGCTTGGAGGATCAAGTGCTCCAGGATGGCTGGGGCAATTCTCAACAACCAGGGATCTCCATTTTGACAGATGGTCTTAGCATTGCTGCTTGCGATAAGTCATGCATCTTTCGAGTACAAAGGAAGCCTGCACTTGTGTAATCATAGGATCGCGCGATCGGACGAACCAGATTGTCGGACTCTTCACGATCTACTATGGCGTCACCTTGCGAGTGCGATCCTTCCACGAATTGGCAGCGCGGATCGTGAAATTGGACCAATATCTGCCATCTCGCACATCATGAGCATGGCACTAGGCACGGAAGTATGCAAGGCCATGTACGAAGGGTCCCTAGTATACGGCTTGACAGTCGCCGCAAGTGATGTATCTGTTTCCTGAGGGTGGAGCTCGGGAAGTTAACTAGCTTTCCCCCAAACTTTGCACCGCCTCTTGGCCTGACCAGGCAAATTGTGGGTGGCAGCTTGACTTAGCCGCGCTGAAGATCACTGGCTATGACCACTTTCTGGATGTAAGGGTGCGACAGGTCTGTTTACCTCCCACTCCCAGTGGCACCGGATGGCATAGTAACACCGATGAATTCCGAGTCGTTGATTGGGTGTCGACTATGGGAAAAACAACTTTGAGACCTATCTAGATAGTCCGAAGTGCACTATTTCCTGGGGTGGCAGCTTTTATTTCACACTCATATATGGAGCTGGTGGACTGCATCCAGGGGGATGGTTATTAGTCGTTGTCACTCTTTCCCTTCATTCACGAGCTTTATAAAAATCGCCATTGAGCGGCAGTCACCCTCTCGTTTCTCCAGCATCCGGCCAGTATGTCGACGGTTTCGCAGAACAAGACGGGATACGACCACGACAATCTTCGCCATGTGGTCATTACAGCAACCTGTTTCGCTTTTATTTTGTCTACCACGGCTGTAGCTTTCCGAATTCTTTCGCGAAAGGTCAATGGGACGGGTCTTTTTATCGACGATTTCTTCATGATTTCTGCGCTGGTGAGGTTGCCTCGTATGTTATCTGTGTAGGGGAGACGATGGTACACTAACTTTGTGAAGGTCTTCGAATGGGGTATTTCGATAGCAGGTGTCGTCTGTAAGAATCCAGAGATTAAGAAGCATATTTGTTTGTTATTGGTCAATATTTTGATTTCCAATAGTGCTTTATAATGGACTTGGAACACACATCGTCTACGTTAAGCCCGAGCAGCTCACGGTATACCTGAAGGTAAGAATAATCTACCTCAGCACCCCTCTATTGAGCTAAAGAAGTTTCTGACTTTGGGCCAGACTCTCTTCACCGGTTCCATTCTCTATACTCTCTGCATTGCTTCGATCAAACTGTCTATCCTCATGCTCTACCGACGACTCTTCCCCGTCAAGGCGATGAACATTGGGGTCAAGATCGTATCCAGCATCGTTGTTCTTTGGGCAGCCTGTGGTATCTTGGCCGGCTGTTTTACTTGCATCCCTACCAAGAAGCTCTGGAGTCCCGAGGTACCGGGTGGCTGTATGGACCTGGGCAAGTTCTATTACGGTCTGCAGATTCCCAACATTGCTACCGACGCGATCATCCTGTTCATGCCTATGCATACCGTTTGGGGCCTGCCCATTTCTCGGGCACAGAAGGTGGGCCTGTCGGCTATCTTCGTTGTGGGCTTTTTGTAGGGCTCCTAGTCGCAATCCTCTATCGACTTGTCTTAATAACATAATATAGGACTTTGATCTTCGACATAATCCGTTTGGTGGCCTTGATCGATCTCTCAAAATCGGGCGATGATATTACTTGTACGTCCTTAAGACTTCGTCAAGGCTGAAACATGTATGATACAACTATACTGACTAGTAGCAGACAACCAAGTCAACTCCAGCGTGTGGACCTGCATCGAGCCTGCAGTTGGTATTGTGGCGGCTTGCCTGTCAAACATGCGGCCTATCTTCAAGCTCATGCACCGCAAATTCTGGCTTCGCTATATCGGGTCGACTGCCCACACCAGCCAGCAGGACATGATTACAACGGGGCCCACCGACCAACATGAAAAGCCTGAGTGGACTCGGGACACTCCCAGTCCGAATGGAGACACTCTACACTCTCATTCCGACTCCCAGTCTCGGTCACCTAAGCAGTGCTCTGTTTGATCATGTTGATTCGTGTCTGGGTGATACTCATATCCATATTCACAAGCGCGGAATTCATACTGCAAATTTTTCAATATAAGAGAGTTGGTGCTTCCTTGTTTGGCGGGCGATATATATATGCTATCACATACGTACCTCCTAGTTCTTTACGCTCGCTAACTAATCACCTCTATTTCGTACAAGATGTACTTTATAATAATGGTTTTTTTTTCAATCAAAGTCAATTCATACTTCTAGTCGCTATACCTTCCTCACTTCAATACCAAGCGGAGTTGGTACGCATTTGAAGTCAATCGTCCGAGGCTGACGGCACGCCTCGGGCCAACACTAAACGGGCCACGACAACAATGGAAGGCTGTCGCGGTTGGCGATCACACCAAGCTCGTGTGATTTGTTGCAGGCGCTAAAGCCTCCCGCTTGTCCTTTCATCACCAACAGATATAGCAGCGACGTCGATCCTGATTGTCTCCCACATCTCCGACACAATCATTGGTTGCGTGGGTGAAGATCGGACGCCCCCTCTCCTCGCCAAGCGGCCATCAAATTAGAGCCCCCGCCGCCCGGGCGCCCACCTGACTGATAACCATGCGCCATGACGCTGGAGACCCTTGCTCATTCAAGATTGCCGCAGGGAATAAAGAACCCCCCTAGGGCCTCCCAGAGAGGTGTCACAAATCCAACCACCATGCGTGGCCTCGATGACAGTACCGACATCATTATTCGTGTGAGCCAGAGTGCGGGAGAGCAGGTGAAACATGGGCTGGAAGCGTTTGTCAATTTCGCAGCTCGGGACAATGTCCTCGAGGTTGCGCTTGGTTTGATGTTAGAGTCTCTCCGCAGTTGTCACCAGCCATAGAGGCTTTCCGAATTACTAACATGAAGCCATCTGGTTAGTATTGGAAATGCATTTACGAAAGTCGTGACTTCGTTCGTGTCGGACATCGTGCTGCCGATTGTCTCCCTATTGCCTTTCCTGAATCGCAACATGGACCAGAAGTTTGCCGTGCTCTCCAGAGGCCCCAACTACGTAGAAGGAACGGGGTACAACACGGTCAAACAGGCAAGGGAGGACGGGGCGCTGGTTTTGGCATGGGGGTACGTCTAGCTTAATTCCTGCCATCGAGCTTCATCCTGCATATTTCTGCATAGTTTATTTTGATTCTAACTGGGCTTGGAAGAATTTTCATTGAGACCATTCTCAATTTCCTCGGGGTCAGCTGCACTCTATTCGCGGTCGCACACATTTATATGTTCGTGTCTCACAACAAAATCATCAAGCCCACCGTGCGATGCAGATATTGCAAGAAATTTATCAGTATTGAGGTGAGATAGACTTCACCATTACCATTTTTGACTTCATAATTGACTGGCAAATAAGGCCAAACGGTGCTTGAATTGCTCCAGCTGGCAGGATGGGAGAGAGGACCAACCTGGCGAGGAGTATAGCGATGAAGAAGAGGAACGTCGAGGCCACGGAGAGAGTTAGATGAGCATCAGAAAGATAGAGATAAAGCTCTGTGCCTCTTACGATGTTGATACCCTCGTTATTCAAGCGTTTCAAGTGTTGCTCAAGTGTTCCTCAATATCGTTTGGTTGTTTCTCGTCAGCCACGCCTTTATTTACAAGTATGGGTATTGTATAGTGGACGGCATAGACTAGTGTTTCAAGCTTCAATATTGCACCATTAACCCCCATTCGCGAAATATTTGCTATCTATTCGATGTACCTTTACATTGCTTTTTCTATCACCAGCAACGTATCGTTTCGAGCTGGATGGGGTCAAGTAATATTGCGAAGAGAAATGAGGGTAATAAGTCATTATTGGGATTACCTTTTACCCCGCAAAAGTTAATATCACGACCTGGAACTGAGAAAAGCAAGGGCTTCTGTAACAAGTCTGTAGATCGGCCGAAAAATCCATCTAGATTTTGCTCAAGCGACCCCCTTTGGAGATTCGGAGGTAAGACGAATTAATGTCCCGCAGACTTGCCGTTCCGGTCAATGCCATGGTGCGACTCATCTCTCGTTCCAGAATATTTATCACTGTCTCAACGCCCTTTTGTCCATTGAATGCAAGTCCCCACAAAATCGGTCTTCCAACCAGAACGAAGTTTGCCCCCATTGCAAGCGCTTTGAATATGTCACTCCCGTGGCGAATGCCTCCATCTAAGATCACAGGAATCCGGCGGTCCACAGCTTCAACAACAGCGGGCAGTGCTTGGATTGTGGATGGAACACTATCAAGTTGTCGGCCTCCATGGTTGGACACAATGATTGCATCGGCTCCATACTCAACTGCCAAAAGAGCATCCTCAGGTGCCATTATACCTTTCAAAATAATCTTCATCTTACTATTCTGTCGCAAAAATTTGATAGTTGATGCCCATGTAAGAGACGAACTGTTGATGCCGTCCCCAACCACTCGCAAAATATCTTTTGCGTCTGCCGCAGTACGTGCATCCATCAGAATACGGTTAGAAGTTGGCTTGCCTGGATTCTGGGTATATGCCTGTTCTATATTGGCTAGGTGAAGGCCTTCTGGAAGAACTAATGGCGTCTGCCGCTCATGAACCCGATTACCAAGGACAGGGGTATCGACAGTCAAAACGAGCGCCTCGTATCCCGCAGCTGTATGAACTCAGCATGGTTTCTTTTTGAACAAACCGAGAATGTTCAGGTGAGCATACCTTCTGCTCGCCTGATAATAGGCAAACTGAGCTCCGGGTTCTTGGCAACGTATAACTGGAACCAGAATGGTGTAGCCGATTTAGAAGAGTTGGGTTGTCTAACTGCTATGACTTCTTCCAGTGAAGTCGTCGAATTGGTAGAGAGGGTCAAATTCAGGCCCATAGAACAAGCTGCACGCGCGACGTCTAGTTCACCCTCGAAACCTGCCAACCTTTGCATCGCACTGGGCGCAATACCCACGGGAATTGGCAATTTGTTATTGAATAACTCCGTTGATGTGTCAATATTAGATACATCGCGCAGCACTCGGGGCAGAATGAAGAGACTAATTCAGGTCAGTCAGTTGTGAACATAACTGTAAGATGGCACAATTTGTACCTGTCAAAGTCAGTTCGATTTCTTTTGACTGTCGTCTCGTCATCGGCGCCACCTGAGTAATAACTGTAAATATTGTGTGGGAGCTTCCGTTTCGCAACAGCTTCCACCTGGCGGAGAGTGATGGGATCGCTGCCTGAAAAATCCTCGGCCATATTGGGAACTTTTTATTCTTTGATCCTCTAAGCTGAGTTGAAAAGCTGGTATTCAGTGGAAGACCGAGGAAGAAGACTGAGAATCTGTCCCGGAAATTTATCCGGATTATAGGTAGGTGTCTTGAATCGTTGACATTTCACCTACCCGAGGTTCACGGGCAAAATGGCTGTATATCCGCTGCTACATGACCAAAGTAATGAGTAGATTACACCGCAATGCTTCATTACACCCATAAAAATTTATCAGAGCTACTACTGGTAAATAAATGATGACTTTGGGCGGTAGCTTTCGGGGCACACTCACGTTCTTCTACGTTTCACCCAGCTGTAGGAGTCATATTACAATATTTCACATTCGAGGATTTTCAGTCTTTGCATAACGCTTAATCTCTTCGATTGATGGCTTTGATTAGACCTCATGAGAAACTCACTAACACATCATGATAATCCTTTCATCACGTGGTGTGGTGGGGTTCTACCCCTCGTCCAGTTCGGCCATCCCCGGCCAGTACCACTGTTCACTTATGGTCTGTGAAAAGTTTTCAATTCAATACTGAAGCATAGAATATCTCCTCGAATTCTCAGCTAAGAGGAGCTATTACAACGGTTGTCGCGATGGCAATCACTCATATTGTTCTATTCCAGTTCAAACCTGGAACTGACGGCGCAGTTATTAAAGATGTATGAAATCGGACAAATCGAGCTGACCTTGGAGATTTGGCCTGCATAGAAAAAAAATTCTAATCACGTAACTCGATAGGTTTGTGATCGAATGCTCGCACTGAAAGATAATTGCATACACCCCTCTTCCCAGAAGCCCTACATCACAGCGTCCTCGGGAGGGTTAGACAACTCAATTGAGGGAATTCAAGCGAGTCAACCCTTTGTTGTCCCATGTTTAGCAGACTGTCAGGTTTTATGAGCTAATTTCAAGGGCTTTTATAGAATGGCATCACTCATGCGTTCGTTGTTGAATTTGCCAGCGCCGAAGACCGCGATTACTATGTTCGGGAGGACCCTGCGCATCAAGAGTTTGTTCGGAGTCTAAATGGAGTAATTGAGAAAGCACAAGTGATAGATTTTTCACCTGGAAAGTTTTAGAAATAATTTCTTAATATACTTTTTGCGTGCTTCTGGAATCCTGAGTGAAACGCGCTTAATGGCCCTATAGAAGCTATGTCTCTTGATTACCTTTAATACACTTACCATCAAGGCGATTGAACAATATATGGGCCTCTGACGTGATACTGAGGAGTATTGGGAGTTTATGTAGCCTGGAAGACAGATCAAAGCTTGGCTAGACCAACTAAAATGCTCTTCAATACTCAATAAGCCTTTTGAGATACGTTGCGAAAGTTGATATGAAAGAGTTCTAAAAACTTGACCTAATATTGTACCTCTTCAGCTCGTTTATTGGCGCATTTACAGCCGTGACTTCGGACGTTTACCAGTGCCTGTAGAACCTGTAAGTCCTCCATCAACAACAAAGTTCTGGCCTGTGATATAACGAGAGGCATTGCTAGCAAGGAATGCAACACAATTGGAAACATCAAATGCATCACCCATGCTTCCCTGAGGTACGTTGTGATCTGTTATTTTTTTATAAACTTCACGGTCTTCCGCAGAGTTGCTGTGGCCCAACATTTCCAGAAACGGTGTATATATCATGCCGGGGGAAACTGAATTCACCCGAATGCCCTTTTCTGCATAAATGATGCCTGTGATTTTCGAGAAATGTATGACAGCTGCCTTGGCAGATGCGTATGCTATTTGTGGTTTACCCAGATATTTCATTCCAGCAATGGAAGCATTGTTGATCACAGATCCAGATCCCTGCTTTTTCATGATGGGTAAAACTGCCTTGCATCCGAGGAAAACAGAGTTGAGATTCAGGCGTATCTGTGCATCCCAAGCTTCCTCGGACATGGTAGCCGGATCTCCCGTCTGCGTGCCGCCGACGTTGTTCACAAGAATATCAATTCGGCCATGTTTCTTCATCACTTGATCAACTGTGCGCTGAACGTCCGTCTGGCTTGTCGCATCGGCGTGGAGCGCTTCGCAAACTCCCCCTTCTGCTTGAATTCGAGCTGCCGTCTGACGTGCTGCGTCAAGGTTCACATCACAGGCAATCACTTTCGCTCCCGAGGCACCTAGAGTGCTGGCAATTGCTGCTCCATTGCCCCAAAACTTTGAACTCGGATCTCCGGCCTGTCCGGCTCCCATAATCAATGCTACTTGACCTTGGATGTCAGGGTAGGTGGGTAATTGCTTCCTAATGAAAGGCGAAGGAGTGAGCTAGAAAGCCCTGAGTTGCCCCGAGTTGTGATCTTCTGATGTTACCTTAGAGCCATCACGACCTTGGCAGAGATATGGTAAAATGTTGAATCGGAGTTGAATGTTTTCAGTCAGTAATGCAGGCGGGGAGTTTTTCTAGAAATATTTGACCGTCAAACAGGGGATTCAGTTATTCCAAGGACAGTCCATTCGCCCCACAATCCTCGCCTCGAGAAGTTACATTAGAATTCCCCCGCCTATTTTCTCGTGCATGAATTAAGATACCTGAAAGAGGGGAAGCACAATAGTCTGAGAGTCGAGATTCGCAATGGGTTTCTACTAGGCATTCCCCCGCTATCTCGGAGTCCCCGCCGGGTTCCCCCATTCCGTGGGGCCGCAAATCACCCTAAATTGATGACATGTGGCAAGGTTTCGCTCGTAATATTCTGCATAGCTTTAACAGAAATTGATGAAAAAAATTAATATGAATGTAGGTTATGATGATATGAGATACAGGGAGGCTCAGCTATTTCCATCGCCCGCAAGTGAAATATTGGTACAACTCGAGGTATTATACGTATGATAAGCCTCGATCTACAGTATACACAGCTCTGTTTAATTTCCTCACATAACTGCCAAGACTGACCGGGATTTTGTTTTGCAGATCCGGTGAGAAAAGCGATAAAAAGGCTAGAGAATGTGTTTTGTAGGTGACATCGCCACTCCCCTCCCCTCCATCCTCCCGAGGATCCCATGATTGGCGAAATGCTGTGCAATGTTGACAATGGCAAGGACAAACCAGTCCACGATGAACGGGCAGTTGAAATTGATCCAGCAGCCGAGAAACGGCTTGTACGAAAGATTGACCTTTATCTGATGCCCTCAGTATTCGTTTTGTATCTGTTTTCCTACGTTGTGAGAATCATAATCACACATATAAACAAAGATTTACTAAGCCTTCGCAGGATAGATCAAATATTGGCCTAGCAAAGATTGCAGGTATGGAGCAAGATTTAAACCTCACTTCTGCTCAATACTATACCGCAGTGATTGTCTGGGTCATTGGCTACACGATTGCTGCGGTACCATCCAAGTATTCTGCCCATGGATCTAAGTCATGTATAAATTATAATATCTAACCATATGCCTAGTATGATCCTCGCACGAACACGTCCTTCGGTCTTCATTCCGCTTATTACGTTTGGATGGGGTAGCGTGGCAGCCCTTTTGGGAGCCATTAAGAGCCCCAGCCATTTGATTGCGCTGCGATTGCTTCTTGGTGTATTTGAGGCTGGTTTCAGTGTAAGCCATCCCGTGCATGTGATGAAAGGGACTGAAATCGAACTAGTGAGGTCCACAACACAACAGCCGGCGGTTATATTCCTCATCTCGACCTGGTATAAGAAGAACGAGCAGTAATCCCTCCCCCTCCCTCCCCTCCACCACCTAAAGTTGAAATAGACAGAGGTATTGACTGATATACAATAGATCAAAACGATTTATCATCTTCCTGACCGCCGGTATTCTTTCTGGTGCATTTGGAAGTGTTGTCTCAGGGGCCATCACATCAACACTTGACGGAGCGCACGGAGTTCGTGGCTGGAGATGGCTATTTATCGCTGAGGGAGTGACGACAGCTGGAATCAGTCTGATCGCACACTGGACACTTCTTGATTATCCTCATAAAAGCCGAGGACTTCGACCCGATGAACAAAAGCTTTCCCAGGAACGACTCATTCAAGATGGCATGGCAGGTCCTATAGGCAATCCCCAGGCGGGTCACACGTCGATATTTGTCTCTTTCTTGAAAGCCATATGTGACTGGCGAGCCTGGTTTCTTGTTCCAGCATACATGAGTATCTTAGGAGCGTTATCCCTCTCCTATTTCTACCCGACATTACTGAATGGAATGGGTTACAGTTCAACCGCTGCCCAGTACATGACGGCTCCCCTTTACTTGGTGTCACTAGTCATAGCGCTGCCAGTTTGTTACCTCGCCGATCGGAGACCTCATTCAAGAGGGCTCTTCCTAGTCATTAACATGGTGGTGGGGTTGGTCTTCTTTGCTCTCACTGCTGGTATCAAGAACTACACAGCGCGGTATATCTTTCTGTGCTTCATCAACATGACAATCTGGACAGGAAATGCCCTTGGACTGTCCTTCGCAACAACAGCACTGGGGTCGGTGAATCAAGACGTCCGAGCCATCATGCTGGCCCTGATGAATGGTCTGGCAGCCTTGGCGCAGTTATATGGAAGCGCCTTGTTCCCAGATAAGGATGGCCCCGAGTACCTCACCGCGTTTTCAGTTTTTGCAGCCACGTTTGCCGTTGGTGCAGTGTTGTATGGAGTGGCTGATGTGTTGTTCAAGAAATATCCCTACCAGGCCTAATAGGCTGCAAATCATCTCTACCCAGACATTTTTGATGACTCGGTTATTGGTAAGAATATCAAGATCGCACTTTAATGCTGTCCATTGGTATATCAAGAATCCGAGGCAAATGCAACACAATCATTAGAACAAAGACACGCCCTGGGGGAATTTGTGTTCGCCTTGATCCATATCCATGAACTCTGGTCTATATCTCCAAATTTACATGCAGACCCCTTCAGTAGAAAAAAAAAGACAGACATCGACTTCTATGGAGACAATTCGAAAGAAATTAAAAGACAAGTCTTTGGAATACCTCGGGAACGTACGCAAGGTATGAAGAAAGCCATTGTCAAGCATATTCTGCAAGTTCACCTTCTTGAGAATAGCGAAAAAAGTTTAACTGATGTGCTTAGTTGGTCAAGTGAGCGGAGGACGGAGCTCCAGTGTACAGGACAATCAGGACGATCGTCACTGCAGCACCGATCGCAATTGCCTTAGCCTGGGCGGGGTTAGCGCGGCGATACTCGCCCACCTGGAGACGCACGTCGGTGGTGAGGGCATTGATCTTCTCAGCACCCAGCTTGTAGTAGACCAGACCAGCCAGGGCAATGGAGTAACCGAAAAACTGCTGGGCAGTGACAGGGTCACGGAAGATCATCATGGAGGCGCAGACCAGAAGGATATCCTTCAGGATACCAGCCATGGTCAGGACGACGGCAGAGGTCTTGCCAATCTAGAAGGTTGTTAGTAAGGAATGTCCCCAATCCATAGGGTGAATGTTCACCATACCAGAAGCACAACAGAGGCATTAAGCAGGAAAGCAACGAGGGCATTGGCGATGAGAGTCATAATGCCGAGGGAGTAAATGTCGTTCATGGTCATACGGGGGAGATCGGTGAAGAGAGTAACAACACCGTTGGTGATAGCACAGGCGGGAGCGTAGTAGTAAAGGGAAACAAGGGGATCCATCTTGAACTCGGCAGAGCTGAGCAGGCGCTGGACCATGACCAGGCGGAGAGCCTCGAAGATGATACCGCCGACCTGGATGAGGAAACCGAGCATGTCGAACTTGATTTCACCAAAGGAGGCAATCACGACACCAACAACAATGATGGCGACGTTTCCGAGGGTCTTGTAGTTGGCCGGGGCAATGCCGAATGCCCAGGTAGCGAAGAGGGTCACGACAGCGTTGGTCGCCTGTTGAGCGGTTTTTCTTTAGTTCATATTCGGGAAATCGAGGTTGACAGGAAAGAAGGCGGGGGGAGGGACTAACCTTCAGCATCTGGATGAAGGAAACACTTAGGTAGAGGTAGGCCAGGTTACCGCAGATCAGAGACAAACTGAACATGATACCGATCGGGACAATGGCACGTCTATGATGGACATCGGCGTTATTAGCGTTTCGTTCGTTCGTCACAACCTCAAGAATCTCCCCATATATCTCGTACTCACCCATAGGTAGCCGGGGTCATAGGGACCTTGTGACGGGAGTCCAGGATGGTGGTGAAACGCGCCAGACCCTGGGTCATCGCAGTGGCGAAGATCATGTGCCATGTCGTCAGGAAGAGCGCTGTTGACCGAATGTTAGATCTGATATTCTCGGCGGCAAAGCCATCGTGGTCGACTGCAAGGGCTCTGGGGAAACTCACGGAAGTCTAGAAAAAGAGGGATGGGTTAGCTGGATCCCGAGGCCACCATTGAACGAGTAAAAGGGGGGGGGGGGGGGGGGGGTATACGCACTGAACTTGGCGGTCGACAAAACCCACTTGTTAAAAAGGATGACGCTGGAACTCAAGGCAATCCACAGACTGGGGGCGTATTAGCAAAGGCCCTCGCAGACCCGAGGGGATTGATGGAGGAGGCCGCGTTGGCGAGGACGCACGCAATGTAGAAAGCCGGGTGCAAACCATTGTTCTGCGGCGCGGGCGCGGGGGCACCGCTCTCGAGTTTGCGATCATCTTGAGACGAGCGACCGTTGGCCATTGTGAAGTAAACAGAACCCGAAAAAGAGTGACTATGGGTGAGTAGTTTGGGGGAGGAAAAAGGGAGTTGGAGAAACACAAGTTGGGGGGGGAGGGTGGAGGAAATCATATTATGCGTAATTAGGGGCACGAAGACGGATCGGCAGCCGTGGGGCGGTGACCAGCCAGCGAGCGTGTTGATTGGCGGTCGCTGTGGCTGGGAGGCGGCCGCACCCATAAGTACACGTCGACGCGTGGACCCCTGGCGGGTTTCAGGTTTGCCTGAGATTCGCGGGTCCGGTTGCTGCTTGGGCTGGGCCCCTGGACCCCCCCCCCCGTCATCGGTCGAGGTCATTGTCTTGGGGACTTTGGTCAACCGATGGCTCCTACTCCCCTTACGGAGAGCCCGCGAGGCGATCGTCAAATTAGCCGTGGACCCTGAATTTGCGCTCTCCCCCCACCCCCTATCGAGAAAAATTCCACTCAGTCTCGAACTTCTATTCTATGTTCTCTTTCTTCGTATCCATCAAACTGAACCATGCTTGTCTTAAGCACTGGTGTTTTTCATATTTACCAACAAAAAAATTATTCAATGCGTTTCTTTCGGTTGAAAGTTCGGTTGAAAACGATGAATTAAGCTGTATAGATAGATGCGCAGCGACATACAATCCCCCTGGTAGCCCAAGGTCTTCTCTCTTCTGATATATAAAACTGAAAGACTTATTGGCTCTTCGGTTACCCCCTTAGCCCCTAGCCCCTGCGCCTCTCGCCACTCTCCCGGACTGGGTCATCCATGGAATGGCGAACCCCCCACCCCGGGCAATCCATCAATCAAACCGCTATGAACTGCTCGGTGCGTCCTGTTGCTGGATCTCCACCAGGTTTCCATCGGGATCCTCAACCATCAGGAACATCTCCAGCCCAATCAAGCCTTGCGCGGCAATCAGCGCCTTCTTGGCAGCGGTATGATCGCCAGCAAACTCGCCAATGCCAAATGCATTCTGAACGGGCCCGGTGAATTTGGTGATTCGTTCATTCACTCTTTTGAGGATGGGCACTCCGTGTCCCTCGAGGTAGGCCTGTGCCTTCTGCACATCAGGGACAATGAGTCCGACATGCCCAAAAGTGTTCGTCCGTTGAGTCGATGCCACCAGGTGGTCATCCGACACGTTAAACTGAACGAGCTCGAGGAGCCCATACAGATTGTTCTTATCCCGAAACAGTTCCTCGCCGGTCTGAAATCCAGTCCCGTTGCGCCCGCCCTGTGCGTAACCCAGGTAAGTCACAGTGTATTCCGGTGTGACATGGGCGTCGAAAAGGAGGCGCATGCCCAAGATGTCGCCATAGAATTGCTTCATTCCTTTTAGATTGGAGGTCAGAAGACCAAAATGATTGATCGCGTACCCAAGAGTGGCAAGCGGGGCAGCCCCATCGTCTCCAATAACGAAAGGGTTGTTGGGATTAGCTGTATCCGAGCGAGGCATACACGCCGAGGCCCAGCGAGCAAGCAGCAACACCAAACACCATTGCCAAAGTGGGATGAAACAGGTCATGAAGCAAGATAGTAGAAGAATAGGATCTGATGAATGCAGGAATGAAGGAATGGTTATTCTCTATTTGAAAAACAGTACGCATATTGACGGGGGAATTGTGTCCGTCTTTATATCTTCGAACCTCTTGGACAAGGCCGCCCATGATTGCATCCTGTAAATGGGAAGGGAGGCGATGAGTTCTCTTTTGGTATCGGCGTAAATGCTCGTGCTCGTATTTGGTTCTTGGCAATATTTCTATGGATGCTCGATTCCTCTCTGGCTGCAAATCAACAAGCCAAGCGGACAAGCGAAATGCGGTGCATATGGCCCCGAGAAGTCTAAAACAGTAGTTGGCGCAACATCCCACTTAATCTGTCGATCGCTCTTGCGCTTTGGCTCCGATGACTTCATAATCTTCATTATGCTGTATTTGGAGAAACAGTATACCCGCGCCAAGAACCTTTCTTTCTGGTGGCTCTGGTGGTTGGATAAGTAAGATCTGACGGGGGTTTTTTGTAGGAGTGGTCCACCCTCGTCTGTCTCCATTGAAGATATTTCGAGCTCAGCTAGAAATGCATTTTTCGCATCTCACTCATCCATTGTTGTTCTTGAAAAAAGACCCTCAACCGAACCATGAAAGTAAAGGATCATACGCTTCAGAATCCAAGGATTCCCAATCATGATGGTGCGCCTCATTGATTCGATGCAATTGGGCCGCACGAAACCCAAAAGGGAACATTATGCGCACGCTGCATTTCGCCCCCATGCATACCTGCTCAGACATTCGACTGGTTCCTCTTCCAGCATACCATCCTCAACCTTCATCTGATAAATATCAATCGAATCTACATTGAATTCTCATTGGCGGTTCGTTAAGCAAATGCATCCTCATAGAAATTACTGGTGAAATCAATAAATTGTGCTGGGACAGATTTTTATTCAGTCTATTGATTCTATTGATTCTATTGAGTCTATTGAGTCTATTGAGTCTATTGAGACTTCGCAGGATTGCTGATAGTCCTCTCGACAACCGTACCATTCTTTTTGAATTGAATTTTGATGCACTCTTTTTCCCCTGGCATGATGAAAAACGCTGGGATTATGGGCGTCTTATCTGAAACCCTATGTATTTAAGTTAACAATCTTATACAGGAAAATTGACAACAGAATACGTACTTGACATTGATAATTGAAGGTTTCTCGTTGTTGACCTAACGAAGTCTGTTAACAGTCCTATTCGTCATGAATAGCTAAAGAATATATCGTCATACAGTGAAGTTGCTCAATACTTGTGACCACCATCCGTCATCCAGCTGTTTGGCATTGCGCCATTCATAAACTGGTCCAGTAGACTGCTTTGTCTTGCCCATTGCGTATGAAGGCTCAAGGAGTCGTATCGAGAGCTATGCTGTTCTTGAGAGGAGAGATATCCGGGATTGAAAGATAGCTATCAGTGCTTGGAGAAATGGTTCCTTATATACAACTGATTTTCAAAGGATTAATAACATGAGAATAATTGCGTATTGGCCTCGGTCGCCATGATCTAATAATAGTTCTGTTGTTCTTAGTTCAAAGTCCTTATACTAAGTTGGTCTTACAGGCAATATACAAGAGAATAACAGTTTCATCGAATGTGGGTCATTTAGTCCGAAAATGGGTTCATAGTTGGTACCAACATGAGATTCAATAGAAGTTTCAGTGCATGAATATCATAAAAACCGAAATAACATCATGAAACCCGAAAACAATTAAGTTAGATCCGGATCTTATAATCTAAACATAGGTTCTTGAACTAATCTCTTTTGCATTCCATGCCTCCAGCAATCCACATCTGGAGCGACCACAAAAACTAATCGACTGATACAGATAAGTTGCTGAATGAAATTAGTAAATTCAATTTCAAGTCAGGCTGAACCGCGGTTTGTTACTCCCTGGTAAAAATTACTGCATGTTTTGCGAATGCCGTGGCGCATCTTACCCACACAAGACGAAAAGAAGTGCTTCCCGCCCGTCAACGCGACTTTCTAAACTTGAGCAATTTATTGGCTAAAACCGAGAAGGCTTCTCATATCATCAGGGCTTAGATATCCAGCAATGAGCTTGATATCCATCTTTCCCTACGGAGGCTTTGGAGCTAAATAAAGTCGCTCAAATGGGGTATCTCAAAATGGGTCGACTTTCCATGCTCGGTATCCCGCTGGGAGATTCATAAAGATATCGAGATTTTTCAATGCACTATTCACCTCAAATTCATATTCTCGCATCATCTATTACCCAGTATTGGTCATGCCTTCTTAAAAACTTGGCGCCTTCCGAAGGCTCACACTCCTTAGACCCAGTAACGTGCCACGCCGAAAGGGACGGAAGACGTATAGACGGGCTGCAGAGCCGAGTTTAGTGACACATATTCTGTGTTAGCAGTGCTCCAGAAAGTGCCGTATATGAGCATCTTAGGCAACAAGTTAAGTACGTCGTCACTGAGAGACCCAAACATCCCTATCAACGACTGGCGCTTACGATGGAGCTGGGCCTACAACTTGGTCAGGTTAATCGCAACAGAAATCGAGGTTCCCACAAGGCTCTTCAAATCCGTGAAAAATATGTACGTCGACAAGGGCATGTTCGATTTTCATTCACCCTGCTCACCCAAAGCATCCTGCTTGGGATCAAAGCTGAGCGTCATCTTTTGTTGGGTCATGTGACCTGTGACCCGGCCATACATTTAACGAGCTAGCAAAGCTACGTAGATATTGAACCAGGGCGCTCTACGGCGAGCCTGCGAATGCACGCCGGATAAGATAGATCAACAAACAAGCCAACAAGCCAACAAGCCACGCTGGAAGGAAGCCTCTCAGAGATGAAACAGATGCTGCTTCAGCGAAAGATGTGTAAAGATTGATTCTCTCCCTATCGGAGATGCGCAGCTATATTCTGTAGAGACTGTGCGCCAAGAAAGATGTCCTTCAATTAGAGATCACCTATTGTTGGCCATTTCCCCACCACAATATCTTCCTCTCTTACTCTCACTAACCAGCTAACGGGTGTTCGCTGCGTTTAAATCATGTGCCAAATATGTTTCACAGATAAATGGCACCAAGAGATTTTGCTTCCAGCTGGGCTTTTCCAACCTCTTTCGCAACTTACTCGTTGACAGTATGACTGATGAAGCTTGGTTACGAAGGCTCCAAAGTGCCGTATCCAGTGGATATGATTCAGTACTTGTTTACTGATTACATATTGGTCACCAAGAAGGTCAATTCAAACAAATTATACCAAGGTTGGGGAATAAAATATTTCCAAATAATCTATCGAGACCATCAATCCATGTTCAGTAAAATCTTGGACTGGCTGTAGAGCCACTGGTTTGATGTTCTCGATAAATTTTCCGATTTAACCTAGAGTTGTTGTTCTTGCCTTGGTGCTCAAATATGTTTAGGAAAGCCATTCAAGCCCTCGCGGAACATCTTTCGATACTCCTCTGCCGACTCGCACAGAGTCGATCGCAGACTACACGCAATTTGGACTTCGAATTTATTGAAAAACTCAAGACAGCCTCCAAATTGGCCAGGTTTACTGTAGCGGGTTGGAAATTGAGCGACATGACAAATTGGTAGTTCGAATTTTAGAATTGAGACAGATGATTATACGTATTAGGTCCAACTTGGGCCCCAGTGTTAGGTCAGCGACGGGTCCTGGCTATAGAACTTCGACCCAGACCTAAGCTGGGTTTGGTTTTGGGTCGAGACTTTTGACTCAAATTGGGCTCTGCGGAAGTCTATTGAAAAATAAAAGCATCCTAGTCGAGATTTTAGTTTTGCAATATATCGACGAGCTTGTTTTCGTCCACATTGTACATCTTCAAAACCAAATCCCGCGCTTTCTCAACACTGACATCCCTCTCTTTCATCAGTATATTGATCTGGCTCTTCAGTAGGCTTTTCCTGATTTCGTCCCAGTTCAGCTGCCTTCCATCATCCGCGGTGACTGTAGTTAAAAAGCCATCCTTTTTGCGCCAAATACCGCCAATCATCACGCCACTCACATCACTGACATCACTATGATTGAACACAGCCACCAAAGGATCGAATGCTGCCGCAGCAGCCATGTTAATGCTTTTGGTATCAAATAGAATTAGATCCGCCTGCTTCCCCTCCCGGATCGACCCAATGATCTCGCCTAGCCCGACAGCTTGGGCTCCGTAGATGGTCGCCGCATTAAAGGCCTCCTCAACAGTCGCTGGCATAGTAGTCGGGAAATTCCCCACTGCGGTGACGGGAAGGGCCCGTTGCTGACGCGCCATTCCGATGGCAAGACGTGCTAGTTGTAGAATTGAAGCCGTGTTGTTGGTATGGCAGTCAACTCCAAAAGTGTACTTAATACCAGGAGTGAAAGAGATAGGCCAGCCCATGGCCATCTTAGACTCGGTATCAGGGGTTGTGGATACAGGGATGCCTGTTTCCCGCAGAATATCCATCTCCTGGTCATTAAGACCGGTGCAGTGGGAGAGCAGGATATCTGAAGGCGTAGTAAGCAATCCATAATCTGAGATGATGTTCACAATAGACCCCGTAGCTACTCTTTGTTAGTGCAAAATATTTTGAGCGTCGCTGATTAGGGGGTAGTCTGACCAAAAATGCCGGTATTAACGACATGGCTAGTAAAGAGCTTGACCCCCGCAGCTCTTAGTCGGCCAAAGAGTCCAACAATTACCTGCTTTGGCAAGAAGTAATAGTCAAAACCAAAGCCGATATGGATTCGACCATCACCTAGGGGCTGCTTGCCCGCTAACTCGACCACATGTTCTATTATCTCCGCGGGAATCATATCCGTTGACGGGATACAGCAATCATGGTCCCATTTTTCTAACCTAGTCGGATTTGCGTATGCAAAAATTGAGCGGAGACCAGATTGGGTTGTCGCTGCAAGAGCACGATTGGCTATTTAAAATATTGAATTAGTTTATGGGCCTTCCACCCGTGCATCTGTCCAAAAGTTTACTTGCCATGTTCCTTAGTCTTGCATCCATGGGCATGGTCCAGAACGAAAGTGGTTCCGGTATTAATAGCCTCGAGAGCCCCAACCAGCTGCCCCCAATAAATGTCATCAGCCTCATAATGGTGACTTGCCATAGAAGCATTGCAAAAGTAGTCAAGGAGGGAATCCTTAGCATGTCGGCCTTTAAGCTGAGTCTGCCAGAGATGATGATGGGTGTCGATCATGCCAGGGCTGATAATTTTATCAAAACAGTCCACGATTTCGGCATTTAACGGTGCCACGAGATTTGGACCGATATCCACAATCTTGCCGTCCTGAATCAAGATGTCGGTGAGTTTGAGTGGAGTGACCTTATTAGCATCATCGTGGTAGAGGATTGTACCCCCCTCAGCAACGTAGTTCGGTACGAGATACTCATTAAAGATAACAGATGAGCTTCGCAGCTTGAGTATGCGGTGTCTTTTGAGAATATTTCAATCTGAGTTTCTGATTCATTTTATATATCTTGCTATCTAAATTCCCTTTAGTCTATAAATATCGGAGGAGTCGGCGCTCGGACTCTTCGGACTCTTCGGACAGCGAAAAGGATTTCATTACAAAACATATCCAGAGTTAGAGCAAAAGCTGACTATTATGATACACAACTCTATGCTATCGGTTGCAAGTCCTGCAAGAACCATCCGTCAGTGAACCTATTTCGGAAAGCAGTTCGGGGCAGTGCTTATTTTTGGGGGCCATAGTTACAGCCCAGACGGCCTTCGGCCTCCACCCCCACCTTGCTTCCAGTCGAAGCGAAAATCAATGACCTCGTGAGCCGCACTACCACATTATTAGGAATCAACACAGTGGGTGAATTAGTTGTAAATGTCGATCTAGTAGGATACGATATAGGCTAGGAAATGTGGGATCCAATGGAACGCGATGCTCAATGTGATGATGTCTACGGAAGAAAACTCACTGACAGGGAGTATTGAATATCTCATCTCGTGCTGACTAGCGTATTACGGCGCTAGGCTCCAAGTATACCCGGGATACTATACAGTACTAAAATATTATAACTTACTATCGACAGCTTCTCTGGTATCATGCCAGAGATCGTGGCGTCTTAGAGCCTAAATTGTCCCGATAGCTAAACTGTATCGCTAAAGGTAGAATAGATAGGAATGTGCACGAAGTAATGGGCGTAAATTCAATATATCTGCTCTTCATAGACCAAAAGAGCCTTGTCGGGTGTAACAAGAGGCATTCCAACCGGAGCAGGAGGGTAGGTGCGAAGATCCTTCTCAATACATGCATTTAGATACTTCATTTTACCCATCATTGCATTACCTCAAGCTATGTTTTAATATTCACTGGAAGAATCCGAGTGAATGAGCTTGTATCTGGACGACGATTTTACCTCTTCTTGGCTGGCTAATTGCTTCATTCTGGGGGAATGCCAGCAGGATAATAAGAATAACATAGTAGATTTAACTTGAGCACTACTTCTCTCCCATTGTTTTATTATCTTTCTTTTCTTGCACAAGAGCACTGATAAAACTGTGATAGGTGATTTTTGGGTCCTGTTGAAAAGTTAAGATAGCGGACGAGGGGTAGCACCGGCGATAAGGGAGCCACGATTACGGCCAAGGAGATCTGTCACTCTCCGCCCGACAATCCTCGCTCCTCTCATCTCGCGTCGCCCCCATACTTCACCATGAATACACAGGTCGACACATCCCAGACAGCCAACTGTGATCAGATTCCTATCATTGATCTATCCAGGTTGCAAAGCCCCAAGTTTGAGGATCGACAGGCACTAGCAAGCACTATTCATGATGCATGTGTCCAGGTGGGGTTCTTCTATATCAAGGTACGTAGGTAAATAAGCTCTATAAGACATACATTGAAGCCACTACTATGCTTATATTACTTCCTGAGGGACTAGAATCATGGAATCCCGGAAGAAATGATAACTGGGATTCATCGTGCAGCGGAGAGGTTCTTCCGACTTCCAGAGCAGCAGAAGATGAGGTTCTACATCGGGAACTCACAGGTGAGCTTATTCAATTATCTCCCAATTCAAAGGCTTAATCCGAAACCCAGGAGAACTGAAACAACCATTAGAAGTTCCGTGGATACAGTCCGATCGGCGGTGAGAGATCTACAGGCACAGATGAAGATCCAATACCAGAGGAAGAAGCGGTAGGAGTTCTCTCCGAAGCATTCGACATTGGTTATGAAACGGCGATGGATTTTCAAAAATCAGAAGATAATACTCTCCCCGCTGATACCTATGGCCTGTACGGGGACAATCAATGGCCAGACGAAGAGACAATCCCAGGTTTCTCACAGACCTACATAAAATATTGCGCTACCGTCTTAGAGCTTTGCCGCAAACTCATGAGAATATTTGCACTAGCTTTGGAGATTCCTGAGAACTATTTCGACTCGAAAGTGCAGTCCCCTGGCATCACGTCCAGAATGATGCACTACCCCGCCCAGTCAGCTAACGCTGAAGTGCAGGAGGGACTTGGGGCACATACGGTAAGTGAACCGGTTGCGCAGTCTTCGTGTAAAAGTTATTGATATATTTCATGTCTTTCGATCTAGGACTGGGAGTGCTTTACGATCTTGTCTCAAGGAAAGGTTCCTGGCCTTCAAGTCTTGAACCATAATGGCGAATGGATCCTAGCGCCCCCTATCCCCGGAACTCTAGTAGTCAATATTGCGGATTGCTTGTCCACCTGGTATGACGTGAAGATTCCGAATGCTTGAGACAGAGCCTTCATTGACTTGTATGAAAAGGACAAATAAGAAGTTCAAATCAACCATCCACCGCGTCACAAATCTCTCCGGAGAAGAGCGCTATTCAATTCCGTTCTTCTTTGGGATAGATTATGACGCCACTGTGTCAGTACTTGAAAATCATGTTTCTTCCGATAATCCTGCTTGTAGAGGGCCATTTAAAGCAGGCGAGGTAAGTAAATTTTCATATAGATATTCACCTGGGCTGACATACCAATCCACATAGTGGGTCCGTGAGAAGATGTCTAGGGCATATCTTGGCTACGAGGGATAGTTCAAAATGGATAAGTGAAGCCCCTTGATAGAATCATATATCTCTTATATCTCTCTATGTTATTCGTGAAATTGATAGTCGAAGCTTTTGTCGAATCGTCTTGAAGATATTCAAAATAGCATCGGCTGTTTCATGGTAACGCGTCCATGGTTTAGTGCACCCAATTGCTATGTCAATCAACTCCTCGAAATCCGGAACAAGATTGGCAAGGGAAGGGGTCCCCTTTGCAATTGATAGCACAAAGACCGCCGCTAGAAGTCTGTTTGGAAAGATTGGTGTCAGTTACAGGAAATTACACCAATTTAAGAGATTACACCATACGCTTGCAATCGCAGCCAGGTTGAATGTGTTCTTCTCTTCAACAGAGGTACTGTTGCATGGACAAACTTCCGACAGCTGTCTATACATATCTCACAATTTGTCATGACATATCCTGACAATTGCTGTTCGCGCGAATGTGTTGCATATACCAAACATGGTCGACAGATGATGTGTTTTGCAGCGTAGTATCTTGTGCGTAGTTGACTATCTTGTAGATCTCGAGGATTCGGATCTCGAAGATCAGGCTTGATTTCATCAGGCAAGGAGTCAAACCAGGTCTTCAGTTGCCGACTGAGCTCAACGTTGACAGACTCCAGCGATGCGATTGACGGCTCTTGATGATATGGCTGTGTTGGCTCTTTGAATTGTCCAAGAAGAGAACCCCTGTCTGTGTCCGTAAGTTTATTAGAGTACATTGTATTGTGTATGCGATTTAAAAGTTTTCGAATGGAACACATGGCTAGAAATATGAGATTGTTTCGATCAGTTTCATCCGTAAATTCTGGGAAATGTAGTCCGTCTACTAGGACTTCAATTCCGCTCCGCGGGAAATGAAATTCGGCAAGGTCATCACTACCCTCATTTCTTTCAAGTCAGCCAGTATCAAGAAGTAAGAAAGGATCTCTGTGAAAGGGATCTAACCATTCGAGAACATAACAGCCCCAGGCGATTCGAACAAGCACTGCATGTTGGTCTGGTGGTATGCTTTTGTCATGCAAGCTACACCAGTAAGCAACAATATTGGCAGCTAAGCAATTCTAGAGGATTAAACCTACTAAGAGAACATCAGTTGAGTCGCACTTGAGGCTGTATGAATCAATCTCCATGCTTGGAGTGGCCGGCCTCTGTATCGGAAATATAGTGAGGCATAAAAGAAAGCCAGGGGGACATTCAAATCTCTTGAGAAGAAAGTCGTCTCCACAGTGCTTAATATTTGATACGCGTGGGAAAAGTATTCTGTTCCATTGCCTTCTGAGGATACCTCTATGTCAAAATCCTCATTGATACCGGAACAAATTTCTCCAAGAGCAAGTACTGTGAGACAAAGAGCCGAAGTAATATCGCTAATTGCAGGATCAGTTAGGAATGTTTGAAACATCTTCAAAAATGGCTGGCATTCAAGAATGGGAAACTGGGTATGGACATGAGTAAAAAATGTTTCGATCAGAAAGTTTGCTGTATGGCGGTTCAAAGCAAGCCTCTCCATGATCGAAGAACGTGAAGTCTTAGGCACCAACGGCTGTATCTTGCGTTCGGATTCTAGGAATAGAAAAAAGTCTTGTGGGTAGTCTCCAATCAAGGTTTTCACTTGTTCCAGTACCAGCAAGTTCCCCGTTGGCGTCTGATGCCCCAGTGGAATAAGTAGCGGATCATCGTCGCTGTATTCATAAGTAAGATCCCCTACGAGAGGGTTCTTGTTGGGCGATGTGTAATGTATACTTTTTGAGCGAGAATTTGATTGTGTGACTGGGCTCGAGTTTGAATGGCTGGCAGTATCTGTTTCTCGTGGTGTAGACTGCAAATGATCGGTCAGAGCCGAGATAGCAGCAGTTTGCTGCTGGAGCAGGCCTTCAAGTCGATTGAGTCGAAGAATAATCTCAGCCGGTGTCTCTGCTTCGGATCTGAACCCAACATCACTATTATGTCAGATGTTTCCCATGTCGACTCCTTACTTCTCGTTTGGGCTTTCCTGGTATTCACATCGTGCGCCTGCGCCAGCGCAGAACCCACATGCAGGCCGCTCGCCATCGCATTTACGTTTCCTAAGTTAATCAGCATCGAATGTCAAACACAGTTCCTGAAATGAACCTTGCCTATGCCTGCAGAAATTGCACGCCACCAAAGCTCTTTTCCGAGGGTAGTCCATCTGGCCCTTGATCCATGCGCTGGCCACGGGTGTTTGGAGAATGTGGGGCGCGTTGTGCGCGGGGAGAAAACCGAGTCCCCAGTAGTATCGGTGCTTACATCCGCCGTCATTGTGGAAAGCGGTGTGGGTGTTTCACACCCAGATTTCCGTTTTCTGCTATAAAACGATTCGCGAATAATTCGTTGGTTAATTAAATCTAAGCGAATCCTGCTGATAATTCGAAGGGACTTGAATTTGCTGACTAGCTCACTTTTCTCAAGCACAAGACCGTTATTCGCTAGGCAGAAATATTGTTTATAGCTTAGAAAAAGTTCACTCTTAAGCATTGGTCAAGATATATATTACGTATATTTAGTACAAATCCTATTGCTAGGATATCATTCTCTCTATAAAGTTGTAGCAATTGTATCAGATAGAAACTCCGTATAATCGTCAAACATTAGGATACGTTTCTCGCCCGATTGAAAACTATATTCATTAAATTATAGACTTATGTGGTAGTAAGTCTTCAAAAATCCGATCTAAAAGATCATACCAATGCATTAATTCTGCAGGATGTGATGCTAGAACTCTGTGAACTCCCTGATCTTCTGCTCAATTGGCCCCATCTGTATACACATAGGAAGCCTTGCTATAAAGCGATATATCAAGTTCTCGGCCACGCGTTGTTTACCACGCGTTAACGCGCACGACTTGCCTACCATTCCATAAGCTTAGGCATCACAGGCATATTGAATTCGCTTATGTTTTGATTCCAGAAAGTCGATCCTCTTCGTCTTCTTGATAGGCTTCTAGAGCAGAATCTGCCACTGTAATATATATATTGGACGCTTTTTTCTTGTTGATTAGATTGCCAAGTGTAAGCCGAGGCATGCCAAATTTACGCGCCAATTACGCAATATTTGGCTTCTCAGTGCGTAACACAGCTTGGCAGGCCTCAGCCATAACTACGAGATTTCAAAATTGGTCATTCTCAGGTGGTGTTATTGATATGAAAGCAAGAAATGGGCTAGTAGGAAAAAATGAAATCCTGGTTGTACTCGGCTCTGCGATTGGCCCACCAATTGCCAGAAAAGGGATTCTAAGCGAAGCCTACAATGTTTGGGGAGCTTCACGAGAGTCAAATCCTATTCTTCTGACAAAATACTATCTCTGGGATCTCGCACTAACTGTGTAAAAATGGGCGAGTCTCTTTTAAAGTAATTTGTTCCAACCACCTAGTGTAATCCATCGGTGTTTACCGGCTTCATCAAGATCTAGAACCAATTGTGCAGGTCCATACGTCTATTCGAGAGATGTAGAATCTTGTCATGAAGAACAATCTTATCGTGTGCCTAATTAGCCGTCTCTTGAAACCAGTCAAAATATTTGCTTTGACGGCACAACATAGACCGAGTCCGAGAGCTTACAATATTGTCGAAGGGCCTGTAGGGTGACTTAGCTATTAAAGAAGATGCTAAGTTTGGCTAGCTTATTGATGTCATTCCTGGTCCATTATTCCGGTGAGAACAACTATTGAGCCAAATCGGTCAAATGGCTAGGTTGATAGCCCGAAACTCTGCGCTGCGCAGGCTGTTAAAGTCCTTTCTATATTGAGTCCAGTTGTCCCTTACGTTGATAAGAACGATTCATTTGGCCTGAGCCGTTGATCAAGTTTACTATATTTTGCCATTTCATCATTAATTGATCGCCCCTTTCTTACATTTTTTACGTCGAAGAGAGTGAGAAAATCTAGTATATACACAAAAAGTTGTCTTTGCAAACAACCCGCTCGAATAATTCAATGCGGGCTCAGGTGATCCCCAAACGTATCGATTTAACCGATTGACAAACTCGGTAGGTAGTATATAGAATTCTGCATGATCTATACTTGATTCAATCTCTTCAGACTAATGTATAATTTATAGTATTATTATCCCCCGGGGCCCGCTTCTGAGAATAAAATAGCGCATGGTAATCGGTTAGAAGGGGAAAACATGGGAAAATACGTGAAAATAGTCACCCAAATCACTCAGTTAACAATATTATATTGCCTAGTGTATTTATCCAGATATAGAGCTTTAAACACGCCTTATGATTCCCAGTCGAGTGCACATGAGATATATTGTCTGTGACATACCAATTGGTGGCATTCAAAATCGCAGTAACAGCATATGTCGGATCAAGGGAATAAAGAAAGGCCGTTGTGACAACCTCTCATACATGCATCACCACGACTCGCCCTGAAGGAACAAGACATCATAACTTTCGTCTTCTTCCTTTCAAAGATTGATGAAATTTCTTTGCTCTAAGGAAATGCCAAGACCTCCCTGATGAGACTTTGTTACGTCAATATACGTATGTTGAATACTCCAATATATGCCAGAGACCTGTCTAACTATGCGCCAAGAGTATCGTGATAAGTAGCGAGGAAGATGAATTGTTTAATAAGCGGGGGATAAGTGCTCCGATCAATGCATTGTGGTGGAATTATTAATCCCTTCTTCGACGGGGTCTGTGGGGGAGGCGGGGTGGCGTCTTGATTCAGGGGTGGATAGTGTTGCATGCTAAGTAGATCCGTTTTCGGAAACCCCACATATAGCTTCTTAATGTCAGCCATGTGAATCACTTCAACCTCTGTTACCCCTGCTTTGCCAAGCTTCGCTACCACTCCTGCTGACGCGTCTAAGAGATTTTGTTTGTAGGACGGGAGTATACAGACACAGAGCTTTAACGTAGAAGTTATAGAAATGTCCGTTTCTAAAGTGACACCCGGGCATTATTCCTTGTTCCTGCAGCCTTGGATGGGCGCTCGGCAAGATGCAGATTGGCTGGAAAATTTCCAGGTCCCGGAGCAATGTCGGTGTTAAACTTCGCTGTTCCCTGTCTTCTGCTGATCATTTCTCTGCTCCTCATTGAGGCGTCACATACATGATTTCGATTTTACTTTAACCGTATCTCATTGGTAGGTAGTGTTCAAGACTGACGAGGGAAATCATATATCAGATTTCAAAAGTATGTACAAATCCTTAGGTGTGGATGAACCCCATTTCCCAAAATCCGGACACCTCAACAGCAGTTGATCAAGTCGTTGCTCAGGAGTCCCGGGCCGAGGTTCCAAGTTAAACTGCAACGCCTTGGGTTGGGAATCCATCACTGTCGATCACCATCCTTCACATATATAGCCTAAGAATGTGGCTGCATGTCAAACTATAAGCGCAAAGCTAAATCCACCAAGCAGCGGACAAGGCTATACTGGCGGGTATATATTTATCACGCCCGTAGCATAAAAGGCAAATTCAAGCTCAGGGAGTACGCGGCCGCGTCCATGGATTTTCTTGGCAACTGCTTGGCTTGTCTCGCCCCGGTGGCCATGAAGATTTCCCAGCCAATGACCAGTCGGAGTTTACGCAGCTGGAGGAACTGGGGTAACTAGCCTTGTGACAACATTCATTGTTTGATATCTCATTTTCGGAATCGAGACAAGAGGTCTGGGTTGTTATGAAATGGTATACATCACCTCAATACGGAGTTGAGAAGTATAAAGAGACCCAAGATGGCCCAGGAAACTCTGGAATCCAGATCATTCTCTTCATCAAACGAGTATTTCGGACGCCTCTTGTTCAACTTCGATTCTTTTTGATTCTTGTTAAAAATGCGATTCACTGCTCTGTGGAAGATTGGCCTGGTTGGCCTGGCTATTCCTGCTGCTCTGGCTCACCCTGGTGAGCACGAGAAATACGATGCTCGAGCTGAGTTGCAAAAGCGCCAGTTCAAACAGAACGTTCGTCGAGGCTTGGAGCGATGCGCGAAGCGATTTGAGGCCAGTGGACTCAATGCTCGCGCTGAAGCTCGTCGTCGCGATCTATACAATATGCATCGGCGCCACGTTAAAGCTCGTGATACCTCCGACGTGCTTAGCACCTCTCACCTGGTGGATGACTCGAGCATCACGTCGAGTACCTCAGCTGACTCGCTCTTCAGCACCAGCTCTACGTGTGTGCTGAACCCCGAAGGCGAGACGGGTCCGTACTATGTCAAGGGCGAATTGATCCGCTCTGATATCCAAGAGGATGAAGATGGTGTACCAGTCATCTTCGATATCCAGTTTGTCGATGTCGATACCTGCGAAGCCATTGAGGATCTGTACGCCGATGTCTGGAGCTGCAACGCAACTGGTGTCTACTCTGGTGTTGTGGCTACAGGAAACGGCAATACGGCCGATACCTCCAACTTGGATGCGACCTTCCTGCGTGGCATTCAAGCCACCGATAGCGATGGCGTCGTATCATTCAGCACCCTGTTTCCCGGCCATTACTCCGGACGTACCACTCACCACCACATCGTGGCTCATCTTGATGTGACTGTTCTGTCAAACGGTACTATCAGTGGTGGTACTGTGGCTCACATTGGACAGCTCTTTTGGGACCAGGACTTGATCGACGAGGTGGAAGCAACTTCACCATATAGCACCAACACAGTGACTCTCACTACAAATGCCGAGGACCGCGTCTTCTCTGATGAAACCGAAGATAGCACTTCTGATCCGGTTCTTAACTATGTTTGGCTAGGAGATTCTCTTAGTGATGGTCTGTTGGGCTGGACCACGGTTGCTGTCGATACATCCGCCACCTATGACCCCAACTACAGCTTTGTGTACACTTCTAGTGGAGGCGTCGCTGAATCTGGAGGTGGCTCGGATACTTCCAGCAGTGGGTCGGGATCATCAGGATCAGGATCCTCGGGCTCGGGAGGGTCGGGAGGCTCGTCTGGTCCAGGTGGTTCTAGTGGCTCACCTTTCGCCTAAATTTCGACTGGAAGCGGGTTGAACAACAGCGGTATACCTGAGTACCGTTATGGCATATGGCACTCGTGCTTGCCAATCCAAGTGGACATTTCTTGTCAACGTATTCTGTCTCTTCAGCAATGTGTCTTTTTTGTCATTAACACCCGTTCGGGCTATCTTTCTGTTTGCTTTAGGTAGCAAGCGCAGCTGTCAAATTCGAAGAATAAGTCCTCCCAATGAAGTTCAGTTTATCTATACATTGAAAATAATCTCCTATGTTATTAATACAAAGTATTCCTGAAAACTAAGATGCATAGAAGATAATTGAATGTAGGTATCATCGATCCACAGCAGAATATCTCGAGCACTTGACAGTATCTCTTATGTAGCTGTAGGTCTGTCCAATATCTAATACCACAGAGCCTTATTCCAGTAAGTGCTCTTAGCGTTGGCCAGGTCATCCTTCTGGGTGTACATGGTGGTGTTGAAGACAAGTTCGGTTGCATTGCTTCCGTACTTGGGCCAGTAAACCTTGTCGCTGCCCCACTTGGTGTTCGGGTTACCGGTCAGAACGAAAGAGAGAAGGTACTTTTGCATCTTGCGCTGAATTGTATTGAAGAGGATTAATAATTGGCATCAACTCAATGGGGGTTAAAACGAGAAGAGGAACATACAGCAACAGTGGAGCTAACAGAAGATGAGCCACTAATAGCCACACCAGCACCGGAGCTGGAGCTGGAGCTGGAGCTGGAAGACAGGGAGTACGTGCTGTACCCTACATTCATTGTTTGTATCAGTCTTTGTCTCGATCTTTTTTGTAGTGTCTTGTATGCTCACAGTAATAGTCCTGGTCGGTGCCGTGGGTGGCTTGGCCCAAAGCCACCATCGCATTCCAGGTGTTGTTGTCCAGGGCACGGGTGAGCGCATAGTCGTGGGCGGTCAAATCGAAGGATTGTCTGATATCGGCAAAGCGGTAGCCGGGGCTGGTATAGTCGGACTCAGGAAACACGTCCATGATCTCTTCAATGACATCGTCGGTAATTGCCGGGAAGAATGCGCGAAGCTCGCTCTTGACATCGGCGGTAGTGTTAACACCAGATGTTGGGGAGCCATTGTTTTCATGCTCTTCATGGGTAATGACGAGCGGGCCAGACCAGTTGAAACGGCCCTGGTACAGCTGGGACTCATAAGTGTCTGCAACAAAGTCGCCGTCAACACGAGGCTGGAATTGATAGCCATAGGTATCGTAGACATCGTTCGCGGAATCAGTGAGGTTGGAGAATGAAACGCTGCGCATGCAGGTTAGGTCGCCGCCAGTGCAGCCAACAGCGGTAGAAACATTCTGCCAGAAAGTCTCTCCCTGGTGGTGACCGGCGCCAGGGACAAATCCGGGAGAAGTGATGTAGGCCTTGTGGAAGAGCTGCTCGTTGTGACCCCCATAACGAGTGATCTGGAAAAGAGGCATGCTACCACCAGCCGAGAAACCAAATGCAGTGATGTCGTCAGGGTTGCCGCCAAATTTGCTGATATACTTGTTCACCCACTTGTAGGCGTGTTCAACATCATACAAGGCAACATTGTCGGTGGCGCCTTGGTGAGTAGCAGTTACTGAGTTGGCAAGGCCAGTGATACCAAGACGATAGTTGAAGGAAACAAAAACGAACTCCTTGGACAGGTCGAAAAGACCCTCGGGGGTGTTCTGCGACTTAGACCCGGCAGTAAAGCCACCACCATAGGTCCAAACCAAGACTGGAAGCTTCTTTCCCTTGGAGTTGGCCGGAGCCCACACATCCATGTACAGGCAATCCTCCTCGGAGGAACAGTCCACATCTGCAGTAGCATAGGTTGTACCATTGTTCACGCCAGATTCGGTGGTTGGCCACTGGGGCTTGGCGAAACGCAGATCACCAGTAGGGACGGCAGCAAAACGGATGTTCTGGTACTTGTAGTAACCAATACTTTCGTTACCAGCGGCAGCCTCGACAGTGGTATAGTCGAGAGTCACCGACGGCATCGTGGATGTGCGCGAGGTGTGCGAGCTCGGAACAGCCGACGCCAGCGAGGCTGCCAGCGGCAGTAAAAGAGTAGAGAAATGCATCTAAACTTCAAAGATATCCCAAGGATCTCAAGAGGATGAAAGTAATTTGATATCTAGATGTAGCATCATAATCAGCGAAGACTTCCACCTTCTTAAGTATATGTTTTTCGGAGCCTTGTTATTATCATGGTCATTACGTGGCGATCCACGCCACTACGGCCCGATTACAGGGCCAAAACAAGCTCTACTGGCCAAATCCACTAAGGAAGAGGCTTCCTAGGTGATCGACGTCTGCCAAGATAGCAACGGTCCAGTTGTTCGCGGCGCCGAGGGCGCCGTTGATTAGGTAGCCACGCGGTTTGGCTGTAGATTCTCCACATACATTCGCGCGGAATTGAACACTAGCCTCGGAATGATGGCTTAGTGTATCAACTTAAAATCAATTGAGTTTGCACCGCCCTCGTACGATTACGAAGGACCTAAGATTAGGAGGCCATGACCAGTGGAACAGCCACGCTTTAGAGTATTCCGACGGCTCGGATTTTCGATCCACATCCACGATGATGACGAAAATCCTCCCTATTCGATGCAAATCATCAGAAAGAAGAATTAGGAGACCCATTTTATAACGCAGGGGTAACCAGTCATCTATTGATCTTGGCACGATTCTGTGGAGTTGCAGCCAGTGAATGGGGGTGGCGGTTGAATTTATACCCGCCGGTGGACATATCCATTTGTGTTACGTAGTCACAGACATTTGAGAATAGGCATCCACCTTGAGCAGCGAGGACCTGCTCTAAGTAAGTTCATGTACCAAGCCCAAGCGATGCAATAATTGCAAGACGGATAACCGCTCAGGACGGATTCCAAAGTAATTTGGTCGGCCAATATGGTGCAAGACTGGCCCGAGAAAAATTATTCAGTTAGCAACTCAAAGTAGAAACGGAAACAGGTTTTCGGATGTGTATCAACGATACCACCATTCTGCCCTTATATCATAATTTGCCGAAAATATACTTCATATACCAAGGCCAAATATAGGTACAGTGTCATATCTAGGCAGATGCACGAAGAGAAAGAGATAGAAAAAAACCAGCAAAGACAATCTCAAAGACTCCCACATGTAAGCTCATCGCACGACTTCCACGCTAAGCACGAAGGTATCGAAACAAATCACAAATCTGGCTACTCCATGAACGCCTGATACCGGTTAAACTTGGAAGAAAACGGATGGCGGTGTATCGTAATTGACGAAGAAAGTGAGGAGAGAGGAGAAAAAAGGGACAAGTGACGCCGGGTGAACTTGATGCAAATTTCGGGCTAAATTTCCTGCGTGTCCAGCGCCCAGATTTCCCAATGTTTCAGGACGTCCCAGCCGGCTCGTTTCATATTTCTTTTCACCAAATAACCCTCGTTCGTCACAACCGGAGGGAAATGGCCACAATTACCCAGGCTCGAGTCACGGAAGTTAGATGAATCCCGTGACTCGGACGCAGAGACCGGCTCAGAGTTTGTTTCATTATCATCATCCCGTGTTCGTTTTCCGAGTGTCGAGGGTGGTAGAGTGGCGGCAGGGGTAGTAGAGACGGTAGGAGACTTGGACAGAATGTTAGGTTGTTCAGACGAGGCACCATTGCGGCTCAGTCCATCTGTGCCAGTCACGAGCCCATTTGAAGTGTCTTCCGGTGGATCCACGGCAGGAGGCGATTGGGATTGGGACTCCACGCCTGAAGGAACAGGTACTTTACAATAGTCGCGTAATTCAAATGCTTTCCAGCCCATGCCGACAATTTTGACATTTCCAAAGATTTGGTGATCTGCCAAGTCATAACTCATCATCTGGATGAGCACATCGTCATCCAAATCGACAAGGTCTGCCAGGCTGCGGGCATTGAGAATCGCATCTTCAATTTCCTTGGAGAACTTGAGTCCTTTGTAAGCCATAGACTCCCCCTTGTTCTTGAAAGGGTAGTCGGAAAAGGAGGTACTCGTTGCAGAAGATGGCGCAACATTAGACGAGCCACTTTGGGGGCCTGGGGAACCAGCAGGTATCAACAATCGAAGAGCTACTAATTTCCGCAGAAATGGAACCAACATTCCAAGAGAGTCCATACTGTGTAAATCGGTAGCAAGAGCCAATTGTTCTAAATTGGGACAACTGTGTACGAGACGCGCAATCATAGAGGTAGAAAGAGGCCACTTTGAAGAGAGGCAAAGGTGTCGTAAGGTGGAACCATGGTTGATGGTGATATTTGCGAGATAGCTGTCCCGCACGCTTAGAGTAAGATTCAACTGAGTGGCCGGGGAGGCGACTGCTGCGGGTGAATTGCTCGCTGCTCCGGTACCAGCCGGATATTCCGTTACCGGGGGTGTGAGCGCCGTTGACGATGGCCCCATACCTGGTCGAGGGGAATTAAGAGTGTCTGGGGAATCAGGAAAGGTGTTTACAAAGTACAAACGCTCTAAGCCTTTGAAGTTGCCGAGAAATTCGGAGTTCCGTTTGGATACGGCATCCATTCGCATTGACTTGATCTTGAGGTTGCGGTGCGGGACCATCGTGGGCCAGCTATTCTCCATGAACGTGTTGACCAAGCCGACAGTATCGGTCCCACTTAACACGGTAACGTCTTCGACTGTCGTCGGATCGAAGGCAATATTGAACTCCTCGGAGTGGAAGGCGTACATATTCTGGAATGAGAGTTTCTTCACCGAAAGGGGTTGCTTTGCGGCAATGCATTTGCGGAAATAGTCGTGGAGGGAGATGCTCGGTTCTTGGGCGATGCGCATGCGGGGCGACCAGTGAAGTTTCAGCTCGCGCAATTTTTTACTTTTCCACAGCATGACTGCAATATCATCAGGATAGCAAAGAGGGTCGATATCGGTGATCTTCAAGCATCGCAGATGCGGCATGCCCGGAAGAACGAATGTAGGCTGTGGATGGCGGGTCGAGGGGAATCGGATCGTGAGGGAAGTGAGTCGGGGGGAGTTGTGTGAGTCCGGAATAAACGGTCTCGAGCATTTTAGTGTTGAGTTCCCAGCTGAAGCTTTCCAGGTTGGTCATCCGATCGACCGCCGCCCGCACCGCAATATTCAACAGCATCGATGAGTCGGGGACTCGCCCAACCTGCGCGTGCTCCTCCAGCTCACGCTCCTTCCAGTCTCCACGTAGGGTGATCGATCGGACGAGTGTCGCGTAGGGTCGAGTGATGACGGCGTTGAGGCCCATAGTGAATGGGCTGGCACTGCCAATTCCTTCGGGTTGTTCGCCGCGATAACGGATTTTGTCGTAGGACATGAGGGTCAAGCTGCGGTAGAGCTGGGGCAACGCCATGTAGTTGAGCACGCGGCATGTTCGGCAGAGTCGCGCAAGGTCACTGGTATCCTCGACCTAGAGTTTCAGGTCAGTACAGATCTCCGAGGTCTGATAAGCCCGGTTCGCGTGGAGTGTCGAGAGGACGAACATGGGACACAATCTGAGCGATCAGGTTCAGCGGGAGTACCATCAGCGAGGCCCCGCCTGGCCGCTCAGTCATGATGCTAGCATCGAACATATTTTGATTGACGGCCGCCATGATGCGACATCTGGAATGTAGCACAGCATCGACGGGGGGGGGTTGGATGTGGCAGTTCGAATATGGGGAAGTTCCGGAGCAAAAAGTTCCCGAGCGCAAAGCCTCTCATTCCCCACTTGGAGACCATCTACGAATGGCACCCGCAAGATTTACCATCACATCATCATCTCCTCCAATCCACATCGAGGCAAGTGCCTCAGAGTCAGAGGGATTCCATATTCGTGATTCTCTCTCTGTCTGAATATATCAGCGAGTTAGTGAGATTAATGCTCGAACTGCAGATACAGTGCAATGGAGCCTCGCCAGTCGGCCCTACTAGACACCCCTACCTAGGGTCTGTGCAGATTAAATGGCTCATTTGATACTAATTAAGTCCTATCTCTCAAGATACTGTCATCTTATAGGATAAGGCGTTGCTTTCTCTTATATATCTGGTAAGTAGCCCGTGTGAAACCGAAATGGTATTAGCTTGGCGTCTCCGAGCGCCATATTATATAAGGCAGCGTTGTAGGCATCGGTTCCTTTGCTGTTTATGTCAATTACATTTCATCGTTTTAAGGCATATGGTAAGGGAATGTAGATCTGGTATCGATTGAGGCAGCCCGGTTCTCCTTGATTATGAACCAAAGCCCTAGAGAAGCGGTGTAGTATGCAGCCGATGGCCTCAGTATATCTTTGGCTCCCTCTCTTCCTCTGTTCCTCGTTGATCCATAGGTCTATCTGTTCCCTATCCATTCCAGTGTATATGAGACTCCCCATGGTTCTTCTCCAGGATCTACGTATAGATAATGTTATAGTGAATGCCAAGGACAACCATCTTGTGGGAGTCATGGATGGGTCGAAACCGAGAGTGGGACCCTTCAGGATCAATCCCCATCTCCTTCAGCTGTTCATGGGTACATGTCGCCTCAACATTAACTGGATCCGACAGTGCAACTATACGATGGGCCGCCTTTCTGGGAAGTCCTTGCTGTAGAATTCGGGAGCTCCTTGTCGGACACGATCCAAACGATCAAGTCAGCGGGTATTGTTGGCCTTCTGCTCTCTTCTGGATTTACGTGCCGACTCGCCAACATGCCAGAGCCCAAGCCAATTCGCGGTGATGGCAGTGGAGCTTATGTATTAAAATGCGCAGTTTAGACAGCTTGTTTTTGGCTCCCGCGACAAAGTTTTGAGCTTGATAGTGTTGATTGTGTGGCCCCCAGGAGTGATCGCACTGTTACATATCAACAGTGGATGAAGGTCTTTGGCTTCACAGCGATCTTGCTTGAGAGAAAAAAAAGAAAAGAAAAGAAAAGAAAAGAAAAGAAAAAAAAATTCGATAAATCAGCATCCTGCAGCCTGTCAGCAGTGGGGAAATGCACCTGGGTGTTCGAACCATCGGACTATCGGGCCAACGCTGATTGACCAGGTCTGGATACGCTCCGAGTGGAATCATACAAAAAAGCATCGGAGATCCCATAATCTCCATGCAGCATCCCATTTCCATCGATACTTCCTTCCTATTCGTGTCGGCAGGTGGAGACCATTTCAAACTACCTAGCATCCTCCGTGTTTCCTTGGTCAAAATCAACCAGCAGTCTCCACTGTATACGAACTTTCATTACGATCGATACCTACTGGCAATATTGCCTACCCTTACCATGAACCTGCTCCTGGTAGGAAGCGATAGGTGCAGTGAGTCTAGCTTTTAGGCCAATCCGACAGACAAGAACTCAGGAGTCGATCCCGATCGAGCGGCGATCGTGGATCGCCCACAATTCCCTCGGGTCTGGTTTGGATCTATTGGTTTCGATCTACATGGTGCATGGTTCTGGCTTGAGACAAGTGGGGAGTTCGCATGTTGGAACAACGACACCCCGCTGATTGGGTATTCGTGGTCTGTAAGGAGCGATGCAAATTCGTTCGAGGTGGATGTGGACTTTTATAATTCGACAAGAAACCCCATCATACCGTGAGGACCCACCACATTGCAGGGATACTCGGTTTCCCTGTTTGTATTGTGTGGTATCCTAGGTATACTCGGAACCCAGCGCTAGTCAGCGAGGTAGGGGATATTCAACACTCCGTGCAGCCAATTTAATTCGTTATACATCATCACATTGAAATTTGCGTTCCATTGGATCCCACATACAGTACTCTACTACAGTATATTGATAAATAACCTCGGCCTCCGCCCACGCAGATTTGTTTTCAGCCTTGAGACGTGGCTCCTACAGCTATATCTTTCGCCAGGGCCATGGAGGACTCCGGCAAAGTCCCATGGGGCTACCAATGGCGCTCATCGCCGTTCTTCATCATCGGTACTGTGTGCGTGGCATTGTTCATTGGTTGGTTGGCCCTCCCTCTGTGCTGGTCTTCTGTTAGCTGACTGATCTAGAAATTTTCCTCTATGGTTTCTTGGTCCCGATTCTCCCGTATATGTTGGAAAATCGGCTGCATGTAGACCCATCCCAGACGCAGCGCTTCACTTCCATTTCACTGGCCCTGCACGGCCTGATGTCTGCCTTTGGCGGGCCCCTGATTGGGCATTTTGCCGACAAAGCCGCGGATCGCAGAACTCCGCTCCTGGTTGCGCTCGTAGGCTGTATCATAGGTACGGCGATGGTGGCCTGCGGGACATCTCTCGTCGTCTTCTTTACCGGTCGAGTCCTACAAGGTATCTCCGGGTCCGGGGCATGGATTGTTGGCCTCGCGACGGCCGCCGACACCGTCGGCCAAGACCGCGTCGGCACCATCATGGGTATCATCATGTCGTTCGTCAATGCCGGCATGATTGTCGGGCCCATGGTATCTGGCTTGATCCTCGAAACCGCCGGATACTGGCTGACATGGACTGTCCCCGTGGTGATCCTGATCATCGATATCGTCGCCCGCCTCCTGATGATCGAGATCCCACGAGACACCACCTCCAAGGCCACGGATGATGCAGCCGAAACGGACAGCTTGCTCTCACAAGCCGATACTCCGACAAAAGAGTCGTTGGCGCCCAATTTCTGGCGCATCATGCTGGGCAACAGCCGTGTGATCACGGTCCTGCTTATAACTATTTGGGGACCTTGTCTTGGTACAACGCTGAATGCAACCTTGCCCCTATATGTGCAGGAAACGTTCGGATGGGGTCCCTCGCGCACGGGTTTGCTGTTCTTTTTAATTGCTGCCCCAGGCCTCTTAATCAGTGCTTTAGCTGGATGGCTTCGAGACAGAATTGGCACCCGATTGCCTGCTACCACAGCTCTCATATTCCAAGGCGGATGCTTGGTTTTGCTTGGCTTTGCCGGTAATGTCCATTTCAAGTGGTCTAGCGCTGAGAATCGCGGCCAGGCGCTGTACATCAGTGCGATCATCATCTTGGGGATGGTTCGACCGTTCTTAAGCGGCATTGGGCCAGTCGAATTGACTTGTGAGTCCCAGCCTTCGTCTTGACTTGGACCTTTGAGAAAGAAACTCTTTGCTAAGTGCATCTACAGCTATCGTAAAAATAAAGGAGGAGCAGAGCCCTGGGGTATTCGGACCTCGGGGAGGCTACTCTCGTGTTTTTTCGATTGTTGAAGTCGCCGCTACTACCGGCATGACTATCGGCCCCCTCATCTCTGGATGCCTAGTCGAGAGATTTGGATATGCAATGATGAATTGGTCTTTTAGTAAGTTCAAGACTGCGCCTGTGTGACTTTATATTAGTCACTAATGTGGACAGGTCTTTCATCGGTGCTGTTTGCAGTGTTAGCATTCATCTTTCTGGGATCGAAAAAAGTAAACAAAGGCAAGAGCAAGCTAGATAGTGCCGATGAATAACTAACAATCCGGCGTATGGATTGTTACTTCCCACTTTACGTTGGATGAGATCGTAGAACCAACCCCTGTCTTGGTCAGAGGAGGGATGAAGACTGCAAAAATCATATTATAATATGCATATTTCCCAGGGTATCTTATACAGGAAACAGATCCAAAAAAACCACACAATATCCAGAAATCCAAGGCGCAATATATAAGTATCCCAAAACATAAATGTCCATAAATCGCCAGAACCTCACGCCTAATATACCGTATAGATCAGTCGCCCAGAACACCGTAGAATGTTGGCCAGGAGTCACAAGATTGCTCAGACCATGTAAGCCCGTGACAAATGTCTGCAAGCTGTATCAAGGGTTGTGGCCGGGGTATGCTTGGTGCGGAGCAGGAGAATCAGCGGGATCTGGTGGTTCCGACTGTCCGGGAGGGCTATCATTTCTGTCCGCCGAGGCAAAGGTTTCGGTCCAACTGGCTTGATCAGCGCTAACGACACGCTCTGTGCGATTATGGCTGACATCTTCGTCGATCAGGGCAGCTGCCTCAGGATCGTAGCGCAGGACATAGTCCCCATTTCCATTTTCCAGGTCTGCATCGGTCCAGGGAGCCGACGCCTGGGGCTGAGAAGGGATTATTCTCACGGGCAAATCTGAGCGGCCGGACTGAGGCACTTGATAAGATCCCAGAAGTCGGTTCTGAGGCGACCAGGTGTGTTGACCGCGGCGCCGAGCTGGAATCACAGTAACCGGGAGAGGGGCATCGGGATTCTGCGAGCTTGAACCAGCGTGTCCTTTCCGATAGAGCGAAAAGAAAGTGGTTGGACGGGGCTGTGGGGCACTGGCCTCGTCCTCATTGTCAAAGGAGACGGAATTCTGGTCATCTGCTTGGTCCTCGACAGCCTGGGCAGAGGCAACTTCCTTGGGCAGAGATGCGCGTCTGCGTTTGAACGGGTTGAGAAGATTTCGCCATCGCGGATCAGAATGTACTATCTGTGGTGATTGTTCTCTAACGTCGTAGGCTGAAAGAGTTTGCTCTGCTGCGTCTGAGGTATGTGTTGCCTCAGCTGTGACGTCTTTGGCTTCATCTATCTCCTCTTCTTCCTCCATGTGCGGCATTGGCACAGGTGGTGTAGGGGTGGCGACTGGATGGTATCGGACATTGTAGACAGTGCTCGCAGCACTGGTAGTGTCGGCGCGGCTGACCGGAGTGATAGCAGCTGGAGGGGGAGTAGGACGAGCATTGTTTGGACGAGGAGGGGCATTCCGATTATTCGGCCTTTGAACGAAGCCGCCGATGCCGAGATGGCGATTTCCACGTGGGATTCCAACTCGCGTTCGCAGCGGGCGATGAGCCAAACCCATCACTCCACCCCATCCCGAGGATGTGCCATTTCCACCACCATTGCCATCTTGTGTTGAATAGTTTGGCCAATCGACTTCTTCCGATGGTGTAACATCAAGCATCTCATCTCCGTCGAAGACCTCTCGTCCAAGAATCCCATCCTTCGTTTCATCTCGTTCGAGCGCCTCGATTCGCTCGACCCATTCCCAGACCACCACACTCGCGGCGGCCGAGCCAACCCATCGGATGTATGTACCCCATCCTGCGATATTAGGTTTCGCGATATCCATCACGAAAAAGACCACTGGAATCAGGATCGCAACCAGTGATAAGAGCGCAACAAAGCAGATGTTGCGCATTTTAGGGTGAAAAAAAGCGTAGCGGTGTTTCGATATTGAGTAGAAAATAACCCAAGCAGCATATAGAAGATTGAGCGACAGCTCAAACAAGTAGCTCAGCGCCGGAATCGCATCGTCGTAGAGCCTAGGGTGAGTTGATGTGTTTTTGACCATGAAGTTCTCCAAGCAACTGAATGTGGTATCCAACACGATTAGCGCAAATCCAGCCCATTTGATCATGACTTTCTCTTTATGTCGGGGGAACAGTCGAATTAATGTCTGGACTTGTGCGAGCCAGAGAAACGTGCTCGAAATGACGCGAACAATGCGAATCTCCGTGCCATCAATCACTTCCTCTGACAATGCCTCGGCATCTGAGTACCCGTAGTTATATTGGCGCTCGGCGACCTTGAACGAATCCGCCGTTGCAATGGTCAGTGAAATTGCGACCAAGATTGCGGCCACTTTTTGCAGCCACGGCCGTCCACCCACGCCGACTACCGACGAGTTTCCGCTATACGATCCACTGATCATGCCATGACGTCCGAGGAAGTTAGCACCGCCGCCAGGACCACCGACGTAGAAAGTGCGAGGGGTGATAAGAAGAATGATAACGAGGACGTAACTGACGACAGTTGCGCAGCCGATCGCATAAAGTTGCGGTGTGACGGAGGAGTAGAACGGATCGCGGGTATCGAGGACGGCAGACACATGGACGTAGTCCCTAGGATCGCCGGTGCAGACCGGCTCGAAAACAGCATTCTCGGTGAGAGTAATGGCATTCGAATTATTTACATAGATAATACCTGCGACGCGGTGCGAAACCGGACACGTTAGTGCGGGTCCGACGTACGGGGAGCCCCTGGAGAAAGGTTGAGGGCGTCAGGCCAAACACATACCATCGCTGGGTAAGACGAACGGCGTGCAGCCTGATGAATACGTTCTGGTTGAGCTTGTTGTCGGGTTCGCCCAAATCTGGCGGGGAGTCACACGAGGCGCATCTCCCATGGTCAGGCACTCCAGGCGGCAACAGTCGCCGGGGGGTTGTTCATAGAGTAAGACCACCAGCCTCCTTCCGGGTTCTCAGCGCAAATTGTCGATTTCGATATATTCAATAGTCCATTCTTGAAGGGCTTCACGCCGCGCGATGCCGGTCCGAAAGGGAGAAGGGAGATCGGGCGATTGTAGGGGGGGAGGCAATGATGACAGTCGTTCGGTCGGCGCTATCGCAGTCGTAGTCGACGAAAGTCGAAGCAAGGAGAGCCGAGTGGCTGTAGCAGACGAGCTCAATAGGGTCGAGAGAGGATGTTTAGTAAGGTGCGCTGTATGGAGTACAGTAGGGCGGGTGATTTAAAGTCGTGAAGAAGTCTGGAGTTCGGCGGGTCGAGATGATCCGCCACTCGGTCCCGGCATTCCTATCATCTCCACTCCCGCGGCGAATGTTTTCCCGATCATGGGTCATTTTGGAGCAACTTTTCTAGAGACATGTCGCGCGCCGATTTTATCGGCCTTGCTATGGATATCTGATATTAGACAGAACTTTGGTAAATAAAAAAATTGTCGATTAATACGTTGACTTTTTCCACGCCGGAGTACAAATTTGATTAAGGATGAATTTTGCAAATCGCGCCATGTTGGCAATCTGCACAGTAGAGAGCGGGTGAAAAAAAAACAATGATTACTGGTATTCCCCGCCAAAAATCAGAGCAGATAGTAGATTTTAGTATGCTAAATCTTGACAGCTGTTTAGCTAATCTAAATAACACAACAATCAGTTAAATCAGTTAGTCTCTTGTTCATTCCTACTTCCTTTTTAGCCATGCTTCACCCCTCAAGCATCACTACTATGTGGCTTTGGTAAAATTGGTATATGATTCCGCTTTCTTGGATCCTTTTTCCGAACCTATTTTAGATCATACCTAAAGCCTCCATAAATATAGGGCTGTCTGCGAGAGGAATTCGATCAACCAAACCACCTAGGCATGATTAGTTACTCTCATTCACTGCAGGGGTCGGAAAGACACATCCAAGTGGGAAAAAAGCAAAACCAAATGAAATAGCAAATAAAAACAGGATCCATGCCCAAAAAGCCCTGATTCAAATTTACCGGTATCTGACTGGCCACCTTTTTCATTGGATTGTGCCATTCAGTCCAGACTTTGCAAACCGTCTCCATGGGTGTTTTTAGACATCCAACAAGCGGTATCCTGGTTACCCAGCAGTGGCTAGATACTATGACATGAAAGCGAGCCTTAAGCCATGCGAACAACCTGGGGTCGGCGATGATGATACGTATATTACCGTTCTACTTATCAGCCTTGGTTGGCAAAGCCGTGATGAGTGTGATCGAATTAGTCTCGTAAGAGTTTTGAGGACTTCGTACCGTATGTATTAGAATCATTTATGCACGAGAGGGGCTCACCTATTATATACTCTCTTGGTAACTTTTTAAACCAGTATATATTCTATATTGGCAATGGTAGCGTATAATTTAATAGGCACAGATGGATATGGATCATGGCGGGGGAGGACGTACGTAAGATTTTTTTTCCCTCCATACTAATAGCAAATACTGCTGTACGTAACATGATACATCTTAATTTTGAATAAATATTCTTTATGGTCGCTTCCCCAATGCAATGCCCGTGCTTTGGGGCTCTTCGGGATAGTAGTATTCACCGCATTCTCTCGATCTCGGCGCTTCATGAAGATTGAGAATTTAGTTCCTACGTACGATCCAGTTCATGACGAATTAATTTACGAAAAAAACCAATATGATGGACTGTTTTCTCTCCTTGTAAAAGAGCTAGAAATCAAAACAATGCGTTGTATTTGTTTATATATTGCACGCATTCTCAACGACACCATGTACAAGCCAAGCCGTGTCAAGGCTTAGGCGAAGGTCACAACGTATACACTCAATCTCTCACCTCTTCAAGCCGGGCTAGCCTGCTAGCCAGCCCCATGTAGAGCGCCATTCCATCTCTCGCACAATTGCAAGTGTTTACTGGTACAATTCTGTCGAGAATGGCACTCTGGTGATGCCACCGACTTAAGCCTGGGCGGCGAAGCCAAGGCGGGGGCCATTGGAGTCGAAGACCACGTACTGGCTCTTCAGGAAGATGTCACCAAAGATGGAAAAGCCCAAGCCAGAGTTACTCTGGATACCGCCGAAGCAGGTCGAGCTGCCGCTCTGGATAGGAGCGTAGTTTACCAGATCACCGGGAACAACAGCATCGTAGCTGCCGATGGTGACAGTGAAGTCAGGCAGCTTGGCGTCGCAGGGAATGGTGTAGCCACCGACGGAGGAATCCTCCTGGGCTCCACTGACCTGCTTGTAGTAGGCAGTGACAACGTCATCGGGGAGCATCAGGAGGGTGGTGCCAGTGTCTGGTGTTTGAATATTAGCCTTGCTATCGTAGCTAGCGCTTCATGATCCATTTCAAATGAGCATATATCAAAATGGGAAAGAATCCACATACCAGCAATACCTTGGATGGATCCGCCAGTGGTGCTGCCAATCTTGTATCCGTCGGCAGTGAAGCTCCAGAAGCCCTGGGAGCTGTCAACCTGGGTGTATTCCAGAGAGCCGGTGTACTTGGACTTGTCGACGAAGCCGAAGTCATAGGTTCCGGGGGCATTGTGCTTCAGGGTGACAGCGAACAAAGGAGAGTCAAGCTGGGACTTGACAGTGTCAAAGAAAGTGGTCTGCGCCTTAGGCTTGACAGTGTTGATGGAGCTAAAAGCCAGACCCAGTAGACCATCATTATTCTTGTCATTGACAAATTGCTGGCTGATCTGCGAGGCAGCCTCAACAGCCTGGCCGGTGGCCTTGACGCCACCAACCGTGACGGTGTCCTTGTAGACATCGCCGCTAGCAGAGCTCTGGTCGCCATATTGGATGGACCAGGTATATCCTGCCAGCTTAGTGCCATTACCACCAGGTTTGTAAACACTGTGGCCTGCCTGCTCGGAGACGGGCAGCTGAGTAGAGAAAACCCAGCTATATGAGATTATTAGTTTGCTTGTTGGTTCTCGGCCATCGGATCCGCTCAATTGCAGTAAACAACTTACAGATCGGCAGAACCTGTGTCAAAATCCAGGTTCAGTATAGTGCCACCCACGTTGACCGGAGTCAGATATTCCTCATCGTTGTTCTCGGGGGTGGTGGTGGCCGAGCCACTTTCAGCAGCGGCACGGACGCTGGCGGGAATTGTAGCACCATACTTGGAGAGGGCGGCCGCGTACATGCCGGGCAAATTGAGAGTCTTCGGCTGGGATACCGGGCGAGCCAGCTGATTGATGGTAAAGCTGCTCTTGCGCGAGGGACCCATCGGCACAGCCGATACAACAGTCGAAAGGCCGGCCAAAACGACCGTGATCTTACTGAAGACAACCATAATGAATGGCGAGAAAGAATGAATGAAAAAGAAGAACGAGTAGAATGAATGACTCTAACACAAGACCGAGTGGTGTTGAGAAGATGGATCTCAGACCAAATCGGCCGGAGATCAGGACCACTTTATAGCATGCTAGATGGATTGCCATCTTCAAATGATCTAGGAAATCCAACATCGGGACGGGTACCCTATCGTCAGATCCAGGAGACAGGAGATGTTGCTCTTCCGGGAAGTGAGCGGTGACGATCCAGCCATTACAGTGACCTCGGGACATAAACTTCGAGATCATCACGGACTCCATCGGCCAGCCAGAGCTGACCGGACGGACTCCGCCCTGATGGGGCACACGGGGGCAGTGGAGGGTGCAGTGGGAGGGGGAGGTAATATCACGGTGGCCATAGAGAACCGGACACCATCATGGCAGCCGGGCGCAGAATGCAGGGGAGTCACTGCGAATGCGACAAGAAAGTACGGATGCTTGGTTTCGACAAGCTATTTGGGCTCCAAAACGGAGATGTCCGGCCAAGGCCAAGACAAACAAGCTGGACGCTCCATACCCATTCGGCAGAGCCCTGACGATCCCCATTCGCGAGTGGGCGAGGGTTCTGGAGTTTCTGGGTTTGGGGTTTCTGTTGCCCTTAGGGGTGGAGTGGAGAGATTGCATGGTGTCTCTGACCACACGATACACTAGGCTCAGGTAGTCGAGACTAAGCGATCAAGCGACAGTGGATCAAAAGTTTGATTTCCAGGGGCGAGTACGAGCAAGTAGAGAGCAAAGACGCAGCATCAAGGGAAGCAAGCGGTTATGGGTGGCTGCAAGTCTCCGAAGTCCCTGTCGATCAGGGCCCGTTATCTTCCTGACAGGCCAATCAGTGACTCGACACCGCCAATCCCTCTCAAAACCAAGGTCACATCGCACCTCCAGGCCGACATGCTTACCATATTACTGATTGAATTGATTGGATACTCGAATCCACTGGTGCGGCAGCCCTGGGGAAGTTGAATGACGAATGGTCGATGGAATTGGAGAGGGTGGATTTAAGACTTGCCCAAAAGGGTCTGGTAGAGAAGGAATTCCTATGGTTTGCATGGCGTGCATAGCATGGAATCCATGCATTCCATATCTTGTCAATTGACGACCTTTGCATGCTGATAGGTTCATATGGTAGATCCTAAACCCCGCCTATTCATTCGAATTAATTGAACCATCCTGATGGCCCTGATCATTAGTGCTAATGCGGAGTCCGACCCATCTCCCAGCAACTGTTCATCACGGCCGAAAAAGATGGCATGTATAATACCCAATATGCAAAATGCAGAATGCAAGTGCTTTCCTGTCCCACCCCTACCCTGAATCATCCTTCATTCCCGGCCGGACTCCGCCACTCGGATCGGCCCTGCAAGTCCGTTAGACCCTGAATCTCCTATCAAGACACACGTTCGATGCGTTATTTTTCATATAGCTGTACTTGGCACAAAAGAGGAAGAGGGCGAGTCGATCGGTCTTCGACCGATGTGACCCTTGACTCTGAACCAGCCAGCCGAGCACGTCTATCGGACGGCGCACGCCCCCATCTGCAAGCCCTATCCCGGCTGCCAGATTCTGGATCCTTCGGGCGCGGCGATCTGCCTCTCGCCAGACATTCGCAATAACCCAAATCTGAAGAGATCTTCGCACGAGGTATAGGCTCGATAGATTGCCTCTTGAACGGGAAAGAGGCCCTGGGGGGTTTGATTCGCGGACGAACGATCACGGCGAGCCCGTGTCCTCGTGGTAGGTGATCGCCTATATGTCGACCGAACCCTCACGACTACGTCCTCGAAAAGGTTACCTGCACGAGTCATTCGGTCCTCCTAGAGAGTTCTATGCTGGATTCAATGAAGTAGGCCAGTCACTGGTCTGTATGCAGAACTCAGACGGGTTGAATGACACCTCTTTGGGGATTCATACTCTTGGCTTCCGAGATCCCTGCAAGGCAGACTCGATATGGCAGGTACCGGGACCCCATTCTACCCCCCAGAGCATCTATCCATCTTTACTCATCACCTGCAAACAAAACAATGAGAGAAAAAAGACCTATAGAGCTGACGCCATTGCCTCACGCAAAGTGAGTCGATCATGGTTCCATCGTCATCATGCTTGGCACCTCGTATAAGCATCAACCCTTAAAGAAAAATCAAGAAACAGTCAAGAAGCATACAAGACATGCAAATTTCAAGCCACCCGCTAGCTTGACATTTGCGAGGCTGAAAAAACGCCTTGGTAGTCTAGGCTTAATCCGCAGGGGCGGCGAAACAAGATAGGCTCCAGTAGAGGGGTAAAAACATGTGAAGGATCTGCCATATCGTACTGAAACCGGGGGGGGGGGGGGCACCCTCCTGAGACCGACGGACGCCGACCGGGGCATCTTAACCTCAAATCCTTCAGCACTGGGGAATATAGGGTGAAACAGGGTCTGCCGGTGACAGGTCGTAGCAGGCAGCAGCATCCAGGATATTGATTATTCCAATGGAACTGACTTCCGCATTGTGTGGAAATGGAAAAGGACATCCAACATGTGAACCAGAAATCCTCCGAGACAGGCGCAGTGTAATAAAATAGAATAATGAATTAGAATTCTCGAGTGCTCTTGAAGGTAAGATATGCGGTGGACCAATGACTACACTTTGTCTATCGCCCGGCTGGGAGGCATTGTGCATCCATCAAGACATATAGTCAGTCATCAACTTGTGGGAACACCCCGATTAACCCTTAGCTTTAGGACCCACTACGGCTGTAACTCGACACATGTCATCTGATACTAAAGCAGAGAAGCAAAATGGAAAGGTAAAGCCACATGAAAAAGGCAGGAGAGAAGCATGTTGATGTTTCAAGCTAATTACTAGGACGGCCAATCACGGCCCACACATACTTCAAATCCTCCAAACGCGACGGACGCCAAGTGCAAATCCCGCAGGGGTATATAGTATAAACGAAAAGGATGGGACGACAGCCAACCAGAGAAAAATAAAAGGAAAGGAAGAGGTAGAAGAAAAAAGGAAACATGAAAAATCGCATGTCACACACACAAGGCGTCGTCCAAGGCACAACTCAAGGAAATTATACCAACTTCAGTATTTGTCACAGGAACTGCGATGTGAGACCTCCACTCCCAGACTCGCCGTCGCCGTGATTGCCGTCGTAGCCTTCGTTCAGTAGCACTTCCAGCATGTCGAACTCGCCTAACATCGGACCTGTCCCACCAAGTCCCTGGTCAACCACGGCAGTGGAACTATTGAAGAATTGGTCCAATGGGAGCGCAAACCAGTCCGACAACCCGCTGGTCGTGGTGTTGGCTCCATTGCTATCTCCGACGGCCTGCGAGGAGACGACGTGGTTAGAAGACGATCTTTCCATATCGCGCGCAGGCACAGCGGAATTCGAGTCGTAGTAATTATAGTAGACGGACGGAGGAGGCGGCATGAAAGAGACGTTCAGGTTGGACGAATTGATCGGCTGCGCGGGGATGCTGGCCAGAGGGTCGTGAGTCGATCCGATCGGCCCTGACGGATGCCCGCCGGCCCCATTGGTCTCCACATAGCTCAGGCCACTTCCGATTGAAGTTGCAGCCTGGCCATGGGTTGAAGACCAAGGGGTCTGAAGGCCATCAGGGCGGCTCGAAACGCTCTCGCGAGGTGGGGATTGGGCTCGTGAAACGGAGGCCGAAGTACGATCCTGGTTGTCGCCATCGACGCCACGGTCGTGCGGTGCGAAACGCAAGAACCGTGTGCGGATGCTGCTCGTGAGGAGCTCAAGTAAACGCGCGACGGTGTTGCTGATGTGCACGTCGTCGACAACAAATGTCTGCAGTGCCTCAACCGTGCGGTCCTGTAGGTCCAAAGAGACCCGCACATCGTCTTCACGAGCGCCCAGGGTAAAAGTCTAAAAGGTGGAGTTAGTTAGCTACCAGCTCTTTTTTGTCACTCCATGTGAAGCGACTCGAAAACTTACTTTGAGGATAAAGATCATGCCGGACAGAATACGGAAAAAAGTCCGAATGGGCGCGTGCTTGAGGCGGCCTCCGGGAACAAGTCCTTCCAATACTGTCTGGAGGATTTTGCGAGAAGAATCTACAACTTCTTGAATGTACTGCTCATTGACGCGATAAAGCTCCATCAAGGTTCGGAACCATCCACTGCTACCAGATGATGTCCCTGTGCCCGTTCGCCCAGACTGGGAGGACTCGTGAGACATTGTGGTCCAACGTTCGACCACAGCTTGTAAAGCGAGGGAATTAACATAGAGCCCTAGAAAATATTAGCACCGGGCGCTCCAAGAGGGCATGCCTATATCCACTCACTGGTGTATTCATATTCAATCAAAAGTATGCTCCGCATAGCCGGTGTAACTGTGTTCTTTCAGCACGTCATTCATACTCTATTTTCTTCATAATTAACTTACGGTTGACACGATCCAAATGTTGCCGGAACTCCCGCAGTTGGGGTTGGAACCAGTCAATCTGCTCGCGGTACCTCCCACTCTTAATCAACTCGGAGGTCTGTTCTGTTGAGGCAAATAACTGGTGATTGGCTTGGTACACGATTTCCGAAATTCCCATCCAGCAATCTTGCATACGATCGAGGTCAAAATCTCCATCTTTCTGATCTGCCGGGGCTGGAGGAATGTCTTGAGCCCATTCTGGCAAAGGAAGCATTGATGGGATGCCAAGACGTCCACTGCTGTGCGTAATGAAAATGAGAATTAATCGACGCAGTCGGCGCTTGCGTGAATATTCTGATGGTAATTCGGTGGTGACTTTTGGTTCACTTCTCTGATCAAAAACGCCTAGCTCGAAGGCCAAGGCTTGCGCCGTACTAAGCAGCATCCATGACATTCGATCGGATCTCCAGGCAGGCTCTAGCCATTTCTGAAAAGCAAGTCGACCCTCCGCCGAGGCCCCCTTGATCCCGGCCTGCTCACTTTCATTGTCTAGGTCCTTGTCGCGACTCTGCGTCTGCGCTTCCGTGTCCAGAAGTGCATTTTCATCGTCGCCAGGAGGAAAGTGAAGATTTCGTGGGTGCCAGTCGGTGAGAATCAACAAGGCTTCCACAGTCCCTAAAGCTCTCAGATTTCCTTTGGTGCTTGGTCGGCCAGGCGCTGGGCCCAGGTCTAAAGACTGAGGTCTCCCTCCTCCGGCATCGAATTTCTCTTGTCCCCAGAAGAGACGTTCAATCATGCCACGCAGATATGACCAGAGACGATCATGTATATAGAAGGCACGCGTGCTAGCCCCATCGCCTTTGGGTTTCAGATGTCGTGACGCAATCGTGAGGATGGTCACAGCCAACACAGGTTCGTTAGTGAGCAGCGCACGATGCGTCACAGGCTGAGAATAGTCGGGGGTAACTACTGGGCTCATCGGGGCCAGGTTCTCATAGTAGTATGCCACATATTCCATGCCTTCTTCCACTGTCATCCACCCGGCGCGTACGAATCGCAGCCGAGACCAGGCTTGAACGGCGTCGATGAACCCTGGATCTGTGACATTTGGAGAGCTCTCGCGCTGGCCTTCATCATCGGGAATCTGCGAATCAACGATACCCGAGTCACCACCTTGATGATAACCATTCCCGATCGCTGAGAGACCTGATCGAGGGGTCCGTGAGAAGGATCCGCTCGGGTTGCCAGGCGAGCCACCATGGGCGAGCGGCGAAGGGCCAGAGTTAAAAGAGGAGACTGATCGTCTAGCATTGTACCGATTTTCAAGGCTTTGGCGGTTCAAATCTTCCGTTCGTCCTGCAGCTTCAGAAAGTAGATGTAGAGCATCATGACTGTTGGTTATGGCTGGCGACAACAACTCGGCTGCGGTCCGGTTCATCATCGGCGTTCCCCCATATGCGGGCGCAGAGCTGCGTTCGCCGGCTGGGTACGCTTGCATGCGAGAATTCCTTGACTCAAGGAACTGTCTCGCCGGGGAAGCGCTCGTTGAAAGGGGAGGAAATCGTTGGGCGGTAGCTACAGGGACAGCTTCCGGCCATCTCTGTCGTGTGCGAAGATTTTCGGCATCAAATGCCGGTTCTGCTGTAGAATATTCTGAGGGTTCGGTCTTTGCGTCTTTCGCAGATGCTTCTCCGATCATCATCCGCTTGTCGCGGCGGAGAACCTCGGTGGTCTCACCATCCTCCTCGGGCGCCTCGGAGGGTTTGCGCTTGCGACGAGTCGCTGAAAATTCACATCGTTTGCTTTCACGGCGACATCGCACACATGGTGGGGGGCGAGGGTTATCAACACCTGGGCAAAAATTTTGTTATCAGTCAGCCACACATGGAGGAGGGGTTGGTGATCACATACTACCTAGATCACATTTCACCTTGCGCTTGCGACACGGATCACAGGCCTGGTAGCCGCGCCTGTGCTGCGGGGCAGAGGACGGCGACGGCGACTTGCCCGAGTCATGTCCCGCGCTATTGGTGTCCTGTCCCATGCTGGGGGATTCAAGAGGTGGTCGGGCAGCAGCAGGGTGGGTAGCGGATGCTGGGGAAAGCCGATGCAAAGCGAAGATAAGCTGGAAGGCGGTGGGGTTCTGCTTAGATGAGCCGGCGGCCGATTGGGTGGGCGGGAAAAGAAAAACTAGATGGATTGGCAGTCGGGAAGAAGTTGGAATAGGCAGGGCAGGGCAGTCAGTGGGAAAGAGATCAGAGGGGAGTTAGAAAAAAAAGGACAAAATAGAAAATTGCCATTACCATGCCCCAATCGTCAGCGGATCCCACGGAGCCTACGTAGAGCCCCAGTGGCCTCGGCCAGCCACCAATTTCCATTGTATAATAGAATAGACCTTGCGGGGTAGCGAAAAGTGTAAACAGTTACATCGCCAGCAAGGGAGGAACTGGACTGGCCTTGTTCGTCTTGTAATTCAGGGAACATTAAAACTATTCCCTTAGAAAGTACTCAGCTCCTGTAGTATAGGGTATGTTAGTCCCCTCGCTACTCTAAGCAGCTTATCGAGCGATTACAGGTAGCTAGCTCCCTGGGTATCCTAGCCACTTACCCTAATACTTAGGCTCATCGGCGAGTAAAGGGCCTATAGGGTTACGGGGTCGCCGGTCTACTACGGTTTTCTAAGTTCTTCTAGTAGCAGGCTTAGATTTTATTCATAATGTGATCCGGAGGATACGAGTGTTCACATACGGGAGTTTCTGCTGCTAATTACCGCCTTTTGTATACTATATCTACTATATCCTTACTAGTTTTTAATATCATGCAACTTCTACCTACTGTTCGGACTATATATAGTAGCAAACCTAAACTAGGGCAATCTTCTACGATTGTCCCCGAGGGGGAATATAGGCCTAGTTTCGTAAGGCCTACGACCCTCTAGAAAAGGTCCTTTCGGACGTCTCCGCTATATTACAGACCCACTCCTAGGGTGCCAAATACGAAGACGCCTGAACCAATGGGTTCTGCAACAAGGCGGTGACAGGGACCTTGACGAACTACCAGGGGGAGAGACTCAGGCAGCAACACATGAGGTCACGTGATATCATATCCGGGAATAAGATATCATAGCGGTGGGTATGATCGGGACATAGCCTAGGGTAGGCCCCGAACAGATCCTAGGATAAGAGGAACTGGATATATAAGGACACTCATTTACCCACATTTATTTAGTTCTTCGCGTTGAATTATGCATTGTTACTTGAGACCAACCAATTGACTATCTTGGTGACTAGATACTTTTCACAGTACAATACAAGAATACACCCACAACTAGGAGGAACACTTAATAGTTATCCAATAACTACTTTGTCGACTGACTAGGCGCCCTTCAACTGCATACGTCTTCGGTCTACTCTAGAGATCCGAGTCCGTGTAAGGCCAGAGCAGGCAACGGTACGATTGCGAGAAAGATCGTCGGAGATTACGAGAGAGGTACGTTACGATAACGCGCATTTTACGTTAACCAGTTAGCAGCGCATAACATATACGTCTTCGATCTACTCTATAGATCCGAGTCCGTGTAAGGCCTTAGAGATTCGGCAACGGTACGATTGCGATATAGATCGTCGGAGCTTACGAGAGAGGTACGTTACGATAACGTACAATTTACGTTAACCAGTGAACCAGGGCGCTCAGCGGCAAGCCTGAGAATACAGGCAGGATGAGAGCTCTGCGAACCAGCCAGCAAACCACCACACACCACGATGGAGGAAGCCTCCCTAACAGGAAGCCGAAGCAGATGAAACGAAGAGAGTGTGTAAGTTGATTCTTCTCCCTATTGGAGATACGAAGCTATATCCTGTAAGGACTGTGTACTGGAAAAGATATCTCCAATCAGAGATCTCCCTAGTAGGCCATTTCCCCACTACACCAGTTAGCAGCGCGTAACAGGTGGCTTGTTATCGCGGTTATCCTCTGCGGAACACTTTGTTGATGCAGGGTTCGTACTACAGAGCACCTTTTTAAGCTCGCGGGGCGGCCCTTGATTCAGTACAGTCATTCTCGAAATCGGCTTGACCAGTGTGGTCCGAACGGTAGGTGGAAGTTGCATGATATTAAAAACTGTCGAGAAGGAAGACCGCATAATACAGGCGAGACCCACATATCCCCATGTGCGTCAGAGTGTTACAGGGATACTCGATTTGCTACGTGTTTTGTATGGTATCCCGGGTATACTTGGAATCCAGCGCCGTATTGAGCATCTCGTTCCATTGGATCCTAGCCTTCCTAGCCGATACCGTATCCTACTATATTGACAAAAACTACTAAGGATATAGTAGATATAGTATACAAAAGGCGGTAATTAGTGGCAGAAACTCCCGTATGTGAACACTCGTATCCTCCGGATCACACCAGTCAACACTGAGACTCTCTTTCTTGGCCCCACCGCCATAGCCCTAGTGCAGACCGTTTATTGAGCAGACCATCTTTAGTTGAGGGCCACTGCAAGTTGCGACTTCCACAATACACTAATCCTTCAGGTTTATCTCCTATGAACACCAGCAAATCAACATGTAGCTAAAGAAATGAGTAAAATATGCCACACATAGAAAAGTTTTGGTGGTACCCGGCAGTGGGGCTAATCAATGATATCATACCAAGATAGATGTAGTGAAGGACTTACCATTATGACGTTATATTATCAACCGCAATATGTATAAATATCCAGTGGAACATTGAAGACACTAATTCTAGCAGAAGATGGGGAGTTTTATAAAAAGGCATTTCTTTACGAAATCCTTGTCGCACCTTTATTCATTACATCAAGTACCAAAATCATGTTCCACTATGCACACAGCAAAGTTTGTCAATGATAACATCACCGTATCGAGCGACTCCGATGTGAGGTTGACACTCTACGATGAGAAGGATGCCTGCGACCCTTTCACTTTACTTTGCCCTGGAGACACTAAAAAACATTTCACTGGAAGAATTGTTTGTATTGAACCCTGTCAGACCTATTCTACTAGGCCCTGGCAGCTTTCAGAGGATATAGAATTTGATATTGATAAGGATGTTACTGTGACTGATCAGAGTGAGTAGTTTCAAATGTTGTATTAAAAAATGATTAATGAGTGACTACTAATAGCTGAATAAGCGATCGAACAAGGAACTAAGGTAATTAGGTTTACTTGAGGAAGGGGGTATATATAAGAAAATCTGTTATCAAATTTGGCTATATTGCGGTTCAAAATGTTTTCGGATCAGCTTAATTAGTACTCTCTCCTGGTCCCACTGCCAAGACCTGCGCAGATTGTTTATCGAGCAGACCATACTTAGTTGAGGGCTGTAAATTGAGACTTAGATTGTACAGTGATTCATAGCCCAGGAATCCAAGCGCAGGCTACAACCTTACACCATCGAATACGATACCATATAAGATATACCTAGGTATTTTACCATATCCTCAACGAAGTATGGTCTGCTCAATAAATTATCTGCGCTAAGGCCTTGGCACTGGGGCCGAGAAAGAGACTCTCAGTGTTTACTGGTCAAGCCAATTTCGAGAATGACTGTACAGCGACCTGGAGGTGTCTTCAATTTCCGCCGTTGGTCATGTCTGACAATTGTGTCATAGACTAGTTAGATGAGACGGAATGCATTGACTTCATCATACTGAATGGAAATAAAGCATCGCAGTGCAGATTCAGTTCAGTAAGACCCTCTACTGAGCAGCATTGAAGGATAGCTCAGCGCTTTGGCCATGAACATTCAGTTCAACTGTACCTGCGTTACACGCACCAGAGCAAGTGATGGGCATGCTGATGAAAGAGCACTTAAATCACGGCGTGTAAGTGAATTCTCCGAGGCTAAGTGTCTTGCTCACATGATCTCTTACCTCACTAGCGACCTTCATGCAAGCATGAGTGCCGTTCCACCTTTTCCATTTAGTGGTCGAGGATAGAGGTTTCCGAGGCAGCGTGCGCTCCCCTATCACCCTCAAAATCTGAACAAGGCCAGGCAGATAACCGCAGCAAATAGTGGAGGAGCTAATTTTAGCAGGTCTCTTTGAAAGCCCCGCTTGTGGCGGGGCATACCGCATCGCAGCAATTATAGAGCAGGTTTCTTGTTTGAGCGACTTTCGTGAGTGCCAGTCGTACAGTAATTCGGTCCTACTGAAACAAATGGGAGAGATGATCAATACATAAGTATTGATGTACAGGGTAGAAAGCCTGTCGACTAAGTAGGTAGATGGACGTCAAGTAAGTGAAATAAGAGCAAGACTAGTGAAGATTAGTGAGAGCAAGATAAGATTATATCAAACCTGGATAAGCTAAAGCTATTATATAATCTCTAATCTATATGAAATATATCTAGTTGAAACTAGTTTATACTAAAAAGGATAGAAATTTCTAGCTTTGATATTTTTTAGAAAAAATTCTATTGACTTAGATTCGAATGTAACTAGATACGAAATAGCAAAAGATAGAAAATCTGTACTAGCAGCTACTAGTAATAATCAGGAAAAACTGATAACCATCAGTCAACGCTAATAGGGTTTGCGCTTGTCTTAGCCTCGGTATTTTCTTCACCGGCATTGTCGTCTTAGGTAGATTCGTGGTTAGTACTAGAAATTATTAGTATAGACTAGAATAAACTATAAGTATTTACTTACACAGACTCATCACCAGAATCGGTCTCGGCAGGAGTAAAGGCACTAGAAACTACTATTAATTCCTAGTAAATATTAAAGAATATTAAAGAAAAAGACTTACAAATATTCCTTTGACTCTCTATTACCCACAATATATAGGCCATAGTAGCCCTGTCCGCCCTAGAAGAGTCTGTTAATTACTAGTAATTACTATATAATCTTGGTAGAACTTACAGAATGCTAGGCTTCGATATGCTTACGAATAATAGAGCCGGCTAGCTTAGTGGTATTACTATCCACTTTAGAGTTTCTAGACATTACTATTAGCGACTAGTCGATACTAGTTATAACTATAGAACTCACGCATAATATAGGCAGAATAGACACAAGAATGCGCATTTTGGAATAGCCTATACTAGAATTAGCTAGAAATTCCTAAAAAAAAATAGAAATTACTACTTACAATTAGACTAGTTCGTATAAAGACATTATAACGATAATCATCTTTATGCTCAGGGTATGAACAAACGGCCTTGGTACTAATTACTATTTAGTACTAGAAATTCTTATTCAATTCTAGGTAAAAAACATACTTTTTCGATCTTTTCTGGATCATACTAGCAATTTCTAGAGTATGCTCGTTATGATTTTTGTCAACCCGCGGTTTTTGGACCTTCTCATTTGGACCGGGAAGACTAGGAAGGTCTGGAAATCGGTGGAATTTTCTAGGCGGAGCTGGTTTTTTCTGGATCTTAGCAGGCGAGACTAATCCAAGGGGTTTGTTGTAGTTTTTTTCGGTAGAGATGCAGACTTCTTCGAGGAACGACGTCGAGTCTGGCTACGGGTATAAGGACCAGCTATTTCTAGAAACGACTAGTTGTTGCTGATATGGTCTAGATAAAGCTATTAAGTAGTCAGTTCAAAATTATATAATAATTTGAGGGGGAATGGTATCTTCTAGTCATATCTGGTTATATCTAGACAAAGTGAGAGAATAATAAAGACTGAACTTTATTATTTCCCTCCTTAGTTTCCAGAATTCAGAGGACTAAATTTGTGAGAGAGACTGAGTATATTTGGTCATGCCTAGTCTAAGTGAGAGAATAAGTGAGATTACGCTTCACTATTCTACTCCTCAGTTTCCAGTATTCGCAGTATTGGGTCTCTGTAAGCTGTGCTTATCGAATCGGGGGGAAATGAGGGCAACTTGGAGGGAAGTGAGCGTTTCTGGAGTTGGCCAGTCGGGGCTTGATTCGTGTGAGGCTCTCGAGGGGGGTTCTGCATCTTTCTGGGGATATCTGGATGATGACAGGTTAGTCTTGATGAAACCACTTACTAATGGAACGAACAGGAAGCCGGAAAGGGGAGGGGGGGGGGGCGCAGCGAAGATGGGGAGTTGAAGAAGGAAGAAGTTGGATAGGGAGCTGAAGAAGTGAGGTGGTATATAAGGTCGAAAGTGGCAGGTGTTTGTAGGTGCTTCTACTAAATTTTGATATCTCTCACTTTGAGAAGACTGAACTAGACAGGACTAGTCATCTCTAGTTATTACTAGCTATTTTTACCATGAGGCAAAATTTAAATTCCTAGAATATACTAGAGCTCCTGTATTATTCATGGTAATTTTAATGGAAATCGAATAACTAGCCATCACTAGTTATATCTAGTCTCACTACTCCCTTCTACTATCTACTAGTAACGACTACTGTCCTACCTCTTCCCTTCTAGTTATGTCTAATTCCTACTACATATAACGGGCTCGAAGCTCACGGGGTCCCGGGGTCTAGGTATTTTTACCAAACGCTTACCTACTAGTAACTACTAGAAAATCATAGTAGTTACTACCTAAAAAAGCTCACGGGGTCGGCCCCGGGACCCCGTGAGGTTCTTATCGCCATGTGGCTCTCAAAGCCCTATGATTATATGTATAAAAAACTATCAATAGCTATAGTCTATTGAAAATTACTAGAGAAAACTAGTAGAACAGCGACCCCGTGACCCCGGGACCCCGGGACCCCGTGGCCCCCCTACTCGTGGCAGCCTAGTAAGCTGCCACTCCTATATGATAATGTCTATAAACCACATGACCTGACCTGGAATCCAAATTCAGCACCGAGTAGTTGAGTAGATATCTGATATCCTACATCTATCCATACTGCACCTCGGTGAATTTGTTTATTCGAAGGCCACGAGCTTCATCGACAAGTCATAGAGCTTCTCTGCCTTCGATCTGTCATACACCCAAGGAGCATAGCCTGGATCAAGCGGTCCTGAATCAGATGCCAGAGGTCCGATAATTTGACAATCCTCGAGAAACAAGCCACCTCGGCCTTCTAGGCATTTTGCAGTGGCCGCCCAGACAGTAGTGGAAGCACCCTGCTCCGTAGACTTAGCGGACGACTCGAGCCCGGGAATTTGTGCCCATTGCTGCTTCAGCTCGTCCGGTACGTGTTTCTGCAATCCAGAAGCGATATTACCTGGATGTAAGCTAAAAGCATGCAGGCCCTGAGATCCGTAACGACGGTCAATCTCATTGGCAGCCCAGATCATAGCGGTCTTGCTCTGACCATAGGCCGGAAAAGGGTCGTAACATCCTGCGAAATTGTAGTTGTCAAGTTGGACCTCGCTCGCACGATGTCCACTTGATGAGACCATAATGACGCGTGAAGACATCTCTTCCGTCGCAGATGCAAGGAGAGTGTCTTTGAACAGCTGCACGAGGAGAAAGTGGGCAAGGTGATTAGTCCCAAACTGTGTCTCAAAGCCGTCAGCCGTCCGGCCTTCGGGTGGGACCATAACACCAGCATTGTTGATAAGAATGTTGAGGGTCGAAGATTTAGCGAGGAAGACTGTAGCACATTTACGAACGCTAGCTAAGGAGTTGAGGTCCAACTCGAGCAAGTGAACGTTGTCCCGGAGAACAAGATCTCCCAAGGTAACCTGAGCCTTGTTCAGATCACGCGCGGTGAGGAATAGTGTTGCACCCGTGGTTGCGAGCGAGCGGGCGGTCTCAATACCAATGCCGGAGGAACATCCGGTGATGAAGATCACCTTTCCAGAGAGCTTCCCTTGAAGACCCTCATCACGGATGATCTGTTGCGCCGTGGGACGACTATCGCTAGGTCCATTGGGAGAAGCATGAAGTGCAGTATATTTGGTGGTTGCATCCATCTTGGAACAATAAGATGTCGAATGTGTATTTAATCGTGTCTGGGTTGAATTGGGAAAGCTGACAAGTTTGAATTGGATCCGCCCAGCAAAAGCGACTTTATATAACTTTACGAAAGCCTTGGGCTGGGGCTAAGTCGGTGTTACCATATCACCGAGGACATTATCCCCAAGGCGTAGTGGCTTAGACTTAGCAGACCTGGGAATGTTCAGACGCTGTTTCGAAGGGGAAGAATCCATAGTTGAATGGGTGGAGCCGCGGCCGCAGACTGTGCCCAATCAGCAGGATTTGAAGATACCAGATTCAGGTTCTATAACTTGATCTGTCACAGTCGGAGTTACTCAATGCAGATGCGGCCGCTTGCTCCTGAACGTGGACTCAGTCTTTGACCTCTGAAAAGTTTTATGGTAATAAGGTAAATAATATAAAAACAATTATGGCCGTCTTACCGTCCTCAAAAAACTGAGCACCTTATCTTGATTTGTTTCACCTTCGAAACGGAAGCCCACTTCGACAGCAAGGCACAATATTGTTGGCGGAAGTTGATTGCTACCACAATTAGGACTGCGACGAGACTGGAAATGGGTGCACCGTCTGCTCCTAGATCTACTTTCGTGTACGTAAAAGATTGGAACCTGAAGATTAATATCTGTCCACAGAGAGCCGAGAAATAATCTTTATGCCTTTGACTTGTTCCCATCTTTCAAATTAATAGCTGCGGTCGAAGGTGTGCGAAGGGGAATGACTTTGAATGTAATTTTAGTGCCCAACGCCTATTCAAGCAGACTTCCCCGCCTGGTCCTTGATTGAGTCTATTCCAATCGCAAATGTAATTTTCTAATAGTAGAATCAAATAAAACAAATATCTCCTTAACCTTCTACGGCCCATGTGGTCACCTCGAAAAGTGGCATTACATTGACATTTACTAAATCCGTTCAGTGTCTTTCCAACAAGTAAACTCCTTTGTTCATCTTTTTGGAATGCCATATATAATCTTCAGATCCAGGTAAAAAGTTTTCTATGGCTTTTTATCATAATATCTTTTACCATTGGCACATATTTGCAATAGCCCGCTTTGGAACTATTATCTCAACATTATCAAGCGTTGAAGTGGAGAATCTCCGGCAGCCAATCCCACCTGTGCTAGGATTCACCGTGGAGATGAAAATCATTGAATTCAAGGCGCATCAATGAGCAACGACCACCTAGCTTCCCTCATCGAGGGCCAGGTCAGCAGTTCGTTGCAGTACCAAGTAAATGTCTGGGTCATGGGATGATCAACTCAAGATGCACAATAATAATTCATGTACAGACCTAGAGAATATATAAACTTACTTGCTGTTTCCCATCGGGCGCTCACAGAACGTAGCATATCTTCACAAGCAATTTTTCCAGTTGTGTATTGCGGATTTCCCGTCTCAAATGCCATGTATGATAGGTTTGACGCACAGCTATACACGCAATGCAATACCAAAGGGGACCCTCTTTCTATCATATGCTGATTCGTCACCTGCAGTGTTTGAATACATGATACAACCGAGTCGCAGACATCCTTCGTGGTCTGAAGAGCTTGTTGCGTACATTCACGGATGCGATGGGCCATATCAGGTGTCAGATTTTGACTTTCTTCGCCGTACAAACCGCATGAGTGGTGATTAGCTAGCTTGAAGAGGGCGCTGCATGCTGTGAGTATCACTCAATTTGAACTTGCAACTTGGGGCGTTACCTGTATGCAATTGCCGTGGCAATATTCAATTCATTTGGTGCCAAATCATTGTTAATGACCCAAAGTTCTAAAAAGGAGTGTATGGTCCTGCAAAGCGCTTCGAAATCATCAAGCATGAAATCACGCTCCATCGACGTGTCATTGCAGTGTCTGATCACACGGCCTAACAGGTTTGATGCCTGAGCCAGGCGTGCAAATCCACTAAGACTTTTATTAATCTGCGATGACAGTGCAACGCGTTCAGAGCAGACCATTTCCTGACGAATAGATGTATTAGTGTGCCGTGATCTGTGGCTTGGGCCAAGTGTAAATGTAAGGTAGAGCAACTCACGCCAGTATCCCAGGCACTGTCACCTGCTGGGAGGAGTGTGTCTCCACTAGGGTCCTCAGTGCATAGTGTTTGAAAATCTGTACCGACGGCAATGTACCTAAAATTATGTGAGTATTGGTCGTGACGAGTCACCAGAGCAAATATAACCTATCAAGAATCACAATCATCCACCATACGCGCTGCCTCTCCTCCCAGTCTACCCAGCTACGGGGGTTCCAGCTCGTTGCGGAGCCAGTTTGTTATGTAGACCAAGGGCGACACCTTGTCTTGCACAGCAGCTGATGGTTAAAAAGGCAGCAGGGTAGATTCCATGACCCACTTCATATACAGAGAGAATAATCCCGGCCTGTATTGTGCGGAGTGTGATAAAGCCCTTCAATTCTAGCTCCTTGCTGAGATTCTTTGCAGAAGCGTAGAGAGTCGATAATCTTGGTCTTTGCTCGCGTGTAACAACGAGCTTCATGCACAAAAGCAGAAGCACCACATCCACTTTCAAAGGCCCTCGTGCATGCTCAGTGAGTCGATTCAGTCTTAGTTTACTCACAATAGGCATCCAAGTATGAATGGAAAGATAGTACCGAGATTTGACTTCATCGATCTCGGCTGAGCTATCAAGAAGCGAAGCGAATTCCTCTTGAGCAAGAATATGGCTAGTGTAAGTGGGAAAATTGCAAGACGACCAGATCTCGGAATCAAGATAAGAGGCCAACGTAGATATGTCTTCGTCAAGTGTAGGTCGTGAATAAATATTTCTGTTAAATGGTTCGCCTGTGGAAGACGCGCTCGGCGTCAAATTGGTCTGATTGGAGGACCGCAAGAAACGTTGTTCTAGCTCGTCAACTCGGCTTCGTAGGTCGCTGATCTCGTCCGAATGACTGTTTTGTGGGGACTCATAATAAACACACTCCCGATTGTTTCTTCCCATTTGAAATCGTCAATTGATAAGCGCAAGACATGGAGAAAGTGGGATGTCGGCTACGAACCTAAGACACAACCCACAACTAGGCAAGTTCTTATCACACCGGCGCTTATTTTTTCTGCACGAAGAACATACATGGGGAGCTGTGCCAGCATACGGAATGTCGCCATCCATAGCAGCGGGTTTAGGGGGCCCGCGATAGTGCCTGAATGGGCCGCAAGAAAAAGGGATGCGGCCGAAATGTCTGATAGGACATACACCGACTCGTGGTAAAAATTCACAGAGGTAAAAATTATTTTCAATTTTCCTTGGATGTCATGAAGTCCACCGGGGAAGCCGATGCAAACCTCGGATTGAATGGAAGTGGCCGTTGCGGCCGCGTCTCAAGAACTCAAGAACGAGCAAAAGCCGTGCCACTTCCATTATGTCATCACTGTCACGGCATTCCAATGGTTGGATTGAAATCGAATGCACCTCAGTTTAGCTGGTCAGAGCCGATGAGATTTCACAAAATCTAGAATATTATGCATTATGTGCACTCCGAGGTTATCAAATCCGACATCGCTGTATGATAAACAAGATATAAAGTGCCCCTACTTTGTGCCTCTGGTTGTAATCCAGTTCTCTTCTACTTGCACGTTGACAATTCATTATGAGTTTTCTGGTTCTCCCAATAATGACCATACTAAGTATATAATGCTTTGAATATTTGATTTCTTCGCAATTACAACGGTAACGAAGGCCGATTTGCAAACAAAGAGTTCATTGTGACGAGCGTAAGCACGGAAATTGGCGCTGTAACTGCTATTTTCCTTGCCGAAAGAAGTAATTGAGAGGGTCGTGGAAGATGCTGTGAACAAAATTGGGGCTTTCCACTACGCTGTCAACAATACCAGTGTCTCCAGCGATAATTGTCAAATCACAGACCTGTCCAACAGAAGCTTCAGACCAGATAATTGCTATCAATCTATCGTCGCTCTTCTGCTGCATGAAAACTCAGCTTGTAGCTGTCGACAAAGCCAGCGGCGGGAACATAGTTAATATGGGAAGCGTCTTTGCGGACCGCGAACTCTCTCAGTGTGCTGCTTACTCGGTTATCAATCATGCTACTAGGGCCTGACCCGTGTTGCTGCTATCAACTGGGCAACTTGAAACATCAGAGTCAATGAGCTGAAACTCGGAGTTATAGAAACTCCTATTGCCTATAAAAACCCGAGGAAACCGTGCAGCCACAATCGCAGCCAAACATGTAGAGAAGGAAAGGAGTACGCAACAGCTATCGCATTTCTGCTTTCCGATGATGCCTCTCACAGCACGGGTACACGGTTTGCTGTAGATGGATGAGTTCTTGTGTAAGGCATTGATTTTGATTTCTCTTCTGTAATGATATTGAGTCAGCTAGCGGAACATCTTGATTGAAAGTGATTTTCCATGATGCCATACTTGATGGTATCGAATGGTGTGAAAGATTACGTGTCAATGAATTTTTTAGGTACAATTGGAACAGCAACTTCCATATGAAGATTACCCACTCGAAAATATGAAGTAATAGTAGGCAAACTTTGCAAATTACAATGAAATTGAAGAGTGCTTGACGTTCAGGTGCCTTCAAACTGACAATGAGTATAAAGGATCCTCAAAGTGCGGTCGTAAACTTGCCAGTTCTTGACCCTTGGGAAAAAAAAAAAAACCAAAATTATCTTAATGTAACGATTCATAAGATCCTATAGCTACTATAAGTTAAGGATAGTATATCGATAGGTTGGGAGATAATGACCACCTAGTATATATGGTATCCAATAGTGTTATTTTCTTCGGATATTACCAGTTTCTTCGATTTTACCGGTATTACTGGGCAAAATCCGGTGATCGTGCATATTTTTATATGCAAACCGATCATACATTTCTCCGCAGAAGAGGAAAGCAGCCTATGTACACTGTGTCTACTCACAAAGTATGCATTCAAGTGGAGATGATGACAAGGGGCTAACTAGATCGGGTTTGTACCAAGCGCAGTTGCGGCCGCTCAAGCCGAAATCGACCTGACAGTTTTTGGTGGCAACCGCCCTGCGGCCGCACGCAAGACCATCGGCATCGGCCCACATCGCCGAGCATATGAATACATGCTGTGATCCTTTCAATTCTCGGAATATTATTTTCCCATCGATTTTCAAGTCGAGAATCACACTATTCTTGTACTGCTTCTTCTATGCATATCTTTCGGGACTATTAACTTGACTTCTTCTTCTCGTGAATAATCAGGAATAGATATGACCTTAAATAGCAGTAATTGTAAGCGGAGAAAAATAGCAGAGCAAGTGAAGAGGGAGACGGATATCAGTAAAGGTAAAGAACATACAATTAGCAGTAAGTACTGATGTCTAATTAGAATCTAGTGATCAACTAGACAAGACACTAGACGGCCTTTGAACGAAGAGAAATGCAGCCAGCGGGAACTACGGGTTGATAGGTCGAGGTCTCTTTTTGTATTAAAATAGCTAATTGAATATAGTCTAGCGCCTAACAGAAGGACCGATGCTGGTATGCAGTCGATGGCTATCATCGGATAACATGAACAACAGGACATAACAACATCCCTAATTGCCTATTTTAAGTACCCTAAGTGAGGGGTGAGCAGATCCCCGAGAAACCCCGAGCAACCATAAGCTCTCAGGGAGTATATCGAAGTAGTGAGCAGGAACAGATCATATGTAAGTTCGGTGATTAAAATTATAGTAAAATTGACGCTCAAAACAGCGTCAAGCGTCGCCATTTTCGGCCTCTAATTTATCGTTGCCTAGCGTTGTCGCGAAATCAAGGGGCTCAGAGAATATCCTACTCAGCCAAGTTTACGATAGGAATCAGCTCATTAGTATTTTTTACAGGAGTTTCTGAAGCTGATTTGAAGCTATCATCTTGATTATTTATATGTGTTCTCATACACTAAACAACATACTTCCCCAACATGAACATGGTAGCCTGGAAGATCAGGAAAATTAAATTGCATTTTCATTGATTTTAGAAGTTCAGCCTCAGAACATGAGAATAGACTTGCTATTCGCCCATGCAAGTGCCTATGTACCGAATTGGCTCTAACTACATTATTGACTTCCGTTCCTGTACTAGCGCGCTCCCCTCTCTCGCTGCTTTTGCTCACTTAGTCGAATGAAACACGGCCCAGTGAGAGGGTCGTTGAGTCTTGCATAAATATATTCTGACCTCAAGATAAATGAAGTGTTCGCAGAGACATTGGCGCAGTCTACGAGGCTTATTCTGAGCTATGTTGTGAGAAAGCCGATTGGTATATGCACCGGAGCATGTTAGTTTTACCCCATGGGGTGTTGAATTCGAATTCTAAAGCAATTAAATGCCAGGAGCTTTAGGTTTTACAAATATTGAGGGGATGCGATAAGCTGGATTCAAAGCTTTAGACAGCCTAGGTATAATGTTCAGTCTATTAAATGATGGTGGTGAGAAATGTAATCCTAGATGTGGCGGTGAGCATGCGATTCCCAAACTAGAGAACTTGAATAAACTGACACAAAACAGGTCATTCTCCTACCCTATAATGATGGGAGCTAAAAGCAACAATCAAAGAGCAACACTAGAGAAGGTTAAATACAAATATTTGAGATCAACTTTTAGCTAGCCTGCCCTCAGGGAAGGAGAGAACAAATAACTTAAAGTTCATCTGTAGCGATCCATGGAGTTCTACCGAGTAGTATTACTAATCTAGATCCTTTTAACTTAACTAACTCCTAGCATGAATTGTTTGAAATCCTACAGCCTTACATTGTTCAGGTGCCCCGCTATGATTAATAATATGATTAGTTATTGTTAAATATGTGCGAAGCTCTCAGAAAATTTTTCAGGGGTATTTAAATCCACCCCTGCTGGCGGAAATATTGCCATAACTATAACAAATTGCTCATCGTCACCTGAAGCCCCCTCCCCCACACTTCACAACAAGCTCACTATTATATTATTCCTTCTATATTGTTACCAATCAAACCTTCTCACTTTCCAAGATGTCTACGTCACTATACAATACATCCATTGTGCCCGCCAAGCAAGCTCTCGCTAGCCTTGCCAATATCCTTCGCAAAGGAGAGCAGCAGTCCAATGCCGCCAACTTCATCACTGCCGCTTTGAGCGAAGACATGAAGCCATTGAGTTTCCAAATCTCTTCTGTTGTCCAGTTGAGTGAGAAAATGGTTGCCAGATTGACCGGTAGCCCGGTCCCAGAGTCCAGCATGGATATCTCCTCATTCACTGATGCCCACACACTCATCGAGAAGGCTCTCAAGGCCCTCAACGACACCGACGAGACCATTGTCAACAACAACGCACAGAATTCTGCAGACATTGGTATGGGGCCTGGAGTTACAGTCCCCATGCGTCTAGACGACTATGCCAGAGCTTTCATCATGCCTAATGTTTATTTCCATCTTGTTACGGCCTATGCCATCCTGCGAAAGGAAGGCGTGCCCCTTGGCAAGAGGGATTATCTAGGTAGCTTTCTGAATCCTTATCTCCCTCAGAGCCAGTAGGAGGAAAAATGGAGAAAAGATGGAGACATCAATGCAACAGGGAGACAAACTGAATTGTTTCAGAGGATCAAAATTTGCAAAATTTAAGATTTATTACTCTTCTCCGAACATGTAGAGCTATGAGTAATAATTGAAAGTCAAGTAGTGTTGTTGGCATCACCAGGGATGTTGGATCAATAGTTAATGACTATCAACAATATCTTACCGAGATAAGTCTATTCAAATTTCTTCAGTTATTCTGTACTAGTTAGTGATCTATGATGATGGGCCATTAGCACAGTAACACTGGACCCAGGTTGATCGACGCAGAGTAAGGCCAAATGACAGACAAATAGGCGATGACTTAATAGTTTCTTTCAAGTATATGTAATCTGAGAAAGGATGGGCGAGCAAGCTACTCATAATTACTGAGTGCTTAATCGCTGCTAACTCTATTTCCTGGTCTACCATGTGAGGGTAATTAGTTGCCCAGTGACTTTGACCGAGTGCCCTCATGAAAGTTACGGCGGTGGGAATAGGAAGCCTTCACTTGTCAAAGAAAACCAGTAAGCATAGTAACCTATTTACGCCTCTCCATATACACAAAAATGATCGCCTGCACTGCCATCCAAGGAAATCACCCTTTCAAGCGGGAGTAGTGTTAGGGCAGAAGTAGGAAACTACTATCTATCCTACAAATGATTCACACAGAAAACGCCTATGCCACTCTAGATGACAGCGGCGGACCAAAAGCTCCTGGCGATATTTTGGTTCCGTCCAAGGAAAGCCCACTCATCCGAGATACCATGTCTATCGCCTTTCGTGGTTGGACCAATTCACCGGAAGCAGCGCTGTCTGTACTGCCGCGGCGAGATAAGGTCGGTGTAAGCCTTCCAGCAAACAATCCCCGAATACCTCCAGCTTTGCGGGCAGGGATATCTGGTGTGCCAGCAGTCAAGATATAGAGAAGATATTTGAGGTTGGGGAGAGTGTGTCGGATGTCCAGTCCACGAATTCCCTGTTTGTTGAGCAGGAATTCGATATTTTTATTGAGAAGGAAGACGCCGTACTCAAATCGATAATGGACACTGACTGGATACAGAGGATATGTGCGTTGTGGAAGATCCTGGGATACTGGGTCTTGAATTAAGGAAGTTGAGAGGTTTGGGCTGATCGGATAGGGAATTGGCACCGAGAGATAAAACGAAAGCAAGTAGACGAGATGTGCAGTATGGCCGAGAGCCGCAGCAACTTCTTCGCGGTCGATGCTTTCAAAAACAGAGTTGGGAAGTGGCAGCCCAACAATGGTAAATGCCAATGCCTTGTCAGGGATAGGTTCAATTGGGTAGATCACCATGAGATCCTCCGCAATGCGTCGGATCTGGCCTTTGCTTTCTTCTCCATTTTGATTGAGCAAATGCTCACTGCTCAACAGTTTGTCCTGGGCATCTGGAAGGTGGCTTCGAGCTTTTTCTTGCGCCATGCGTCCCTTCTCCATGGCGTCTTTTCGAGCCTTTATACTTGCGATAAGCTCTTCCTTGCGCTTCGCCGCGGCTCGAATTTGCTTGCGCTCAGCGGCGATGGCTTGTTTGATTGAGATAAGGCGATCCTGCGCCTTGGCAGCGTTGCTTTCTAGGGTCAATGCAGCCTCGCTTTTCTTGAGAATGTCGCCAATTTGTGTCTCTAACTTCTCTCGTGTCGCCAAGGCATCTTGGATGCACTCGTCCAGATTTGCCAATCGCATCAATGCGTCGTAAGAAGAGGTAGAGACTACAGCCATGTCTGCAGTGGCCTGATAGCTGGCAACATCAATCGGTGGCTCCACGGGTGGGAGATCGGTCAGATTCGTGTAAACACCATCTGATAAATGGAACAAAATGCAGTTTGCGGGAAGCGGTTGGTGAAAGCTTTCAAGCGTTTTGCCCAAAAACTGCAATGAGCGTAGATGTTGTTGTAGTTCAACTAGCAAAACATACTCCTGCATGGTTTCTGTCTTCGCCCAGAGCTTCAGAGTCAACGTATCCCGACGCGTGACAATGGGCCCACAAAGGTTTAGATCAAACGACTGGAAGCTCGGATTGGTCGCTTGTTTGATTATTTCACTAATGTAGATCGGTTCATCGAGATCATCACAATGTATGGAAAAGAATGTATCTGCCATTCGGGCCTTTGTGATATCCTCCAGTCTGATCTGACGGGTTCGGGGGTCGGGGTCGTTCCAAGGCAGCAACAAGCTGCGACGGCGCGACTCGCCCGTTTCGGATCTCTTCTCTGCATGGCCATTCTGACCCAAGCGCGAGTTGAGATTTGTGAACGAGCGCGAGCTATGTAAGATGCGAGTGTCATTCTGAGCCAGGATTTTTGAAGGCGAATTGAGCGTGTTGGGAATATCGTCGTCATCAATCGTCTTACCGCGCGCTCGAGACGAAGAGGGTTGGACCACGAGGTTGCGCACGGAAATCCCATCCAGATGCCTGAGTTTGCGATTCTAGAAGAAGTTGTTAGAGTCCTGAGATCTACCGTTTCGGTGTATGCCTTACCGATGGATAGAGCCAGGACCGCTCCCTCCGCGAGCCTGCGTCATGTCCCGTGGCTGCGTTCGCGCCACCTGGGACGTCCATCGCGACGTCTGGGCAGGTAGGAGTAATCGCTATGTTGGAACAAAGCAGCACAAGCGCAGTGACATCGTCATCACGCGCGGGAATATGCGGACTCCAGAGATTCAGCGCTCATCGGTAAATGACAGAGGTCCTTTGAACGATAAGACGATGCGGAGAGCAGGCGGCGCCAAGACCACGGGAGCCCCGTCAAAAAATCCACCTCCGTCTTCACTTCTCATCAACACCGGCGAGCCTCAAACTCTAGACCTACGATTTCTCCTTCGCCCTTGCGATAGGTTTCGCCCAAACCCCCTCATACTCTTCCCTCCGAGCGACTGCATATAATTTTCGGCCGCAATGGCCTCCACCAGCGCGGCGACCAAGCCGATCCAGAAGATACTGGACTCGACCAAAGTCTCGACTTTGACGAAATTTGTACGAAACCCGCCGATTGATCCGCAAACACCGATCCAGGGCAAGATCCGACACACAGCTTCAAATGCATTCAAGGAGCACGCGAAGCGTGAGGGTGTGCGGTTGCAGAAGGCGCTGAACGCGATCACGCACGGCAAGCACATTTTTGTCTACCACAATGTCCGCACGAAGCAGGTCGTGTACTCCCTGACCCGATATCTCGAGGTGAGTCTTTTGGTGATGTACCCTGTCTAGGCTTTTTTGTCCACTGTTGGACCTTGATCCGCTGGTGTTGGCTCGTTCCCGTCTATCCACCAAGCCTCTAACCAACCATCGTGCTCTAGAAAAACAACGTCCTGCGCCAAATGGTCTACCACGGCAAGAAGACTGTTCCATCTGAGCTTCGTCGTGATATGTGGGTTCCGTATTACTCCGTTCACTTCGGCGACTCGCGACTCGGGCTGCGAGCCTACCAGCTGCTTCGTGAGTTCTCAATGCAACGCCAGCTCTCTCCACCGGCGGAGATGATCACTGTGACCGAAGAATTCCTGGCTGCAAAACGCCCGAAGGATCCGACTGAGGCAGAGGAGTTCGATAGGATGAACAAGAAGAGAATTGGCTGCCCGATGGAGAAGAAGGAGCGTGCCCGGGTCCTCATGGACCAGAAGGCCACCTCTGTCGCCGATATCGCAGCTGTCCTGGCCATTCAAAAAGAAGAGATTGCAAATGGACTCTTGGAGGAGAACAAGCGGGGGTTCCTGCTTCCGGCTGCGCGCCGCCGCCGTCGTGAGGCTCGTGAGCGCGAGGCTGCGCGGGCTGAGGCAAATGCGGCCCGCATTGCCGCGCTGGAAGAGCAGTTGAGCAACCGCAGCGGAACGGAAGTGAAGATTGGCGAGGTGGAAGGTGTGTACCCGAGCCAAACAGAGGATGTCAAGATTCTCTGGCGAGATGTTCATGATGCAAACAATGCCAGCTCGTGGCCAGAGTATGTTCAACACGGCGAGCTGGAGCTCAAGCGCAACAACATCATTGGCTCGGAAAGACAGCATGATAGCTCTGGTGAAGTCATCACAGAGCATGAGTTCAATGAGAAGAAGGCGTAGGCAGCGACTTGCTGTGAAGATGTTGCATATGCCCTTTCTCTTGTCTTTCCTTGTGTCCTCGACACCATTGAGCGATATCCCGGTGCTGTCTTCTACGTGATTTTGGTCCCACGGGATGGGGGGGATTACCTCTGTATTTTGATCCATGTGCCTTTGCCGGGCTTTTGTGAACTATTTATTGCATAAATTGTATTTTTAGAATTTTCCAATCACTCCAGTGATTAGCAAAGATGCTTCAACAAGAATAAAATTGCTGGCTTAAGATACCAGAACATATACAAGAGAGGGATTGAAAAGAGTCTACAGGATACTTGCAAAGTATTCACTCTTCCCTGCCGCTTAGAGACTTTCAACTTGATACACCATCTTTATCTTCAGGGTAAGTTGGAAAGCCATGGCTTCACTATAAAGACCACAACAGATCGAGGCCACTTTTTTACTGTCACCCCAAACAACCCCATATTCCACACTGCGATTGTGATCTCGATTCCGATTTACATTGTGAAGTAAACTCGCCATACATACACAACCCAGCGTAGAAGTAATATTCAAGAACAGATAAAAGTAAGAAGGACAAAGTCTTAATCTCACCAGCCCAGGCTTGTGGGGAAGGTGATAGTTCCAATAGATAAGATGCCGGATAAAAGGGATATTGTGACAGCCAGGCCCAAATCCCTTCGAGGTGACACCGCGTAAAAAAGAAATGGCACAAGATAAAAAGCAGGGTGTGTGGCTACAAGTCATGCCTGACGTCCATGTGCAATGTGAATCAGAAAGAAGGGGTAGGGGAAAGAAAACATGAAGCACTCTCAAGTCCCAACACTCGACCACGTTGCTCCGAGAAGCATCAAAGACGATAAGGAGACAAAACATATGTGCGCGTTCTATCTGGTGGTTGCCCCTTGCGACATCGAGTGGACAGGTGCTTATAAAATCATAAGAGCATGAACCAATTACTGTGTCTTCTGAGCCTTGTTCGACGAGCTTAGAATATCCACAGACGGAAGGTCATTCTGTGGATGAACCAGCTCATCCGGTCCCGGCTCTCCCTCGGAGTTGGACATCTTCTGAAGGATCTCCTCGCCAGCTTTCTCGGCGGACTCTGGATCATTGATACCTGCACTGGCCATGCTTTTCCGAGCGCCTTCGACGATCTTATCGGCCTCGCTCACGCCGTGGGCCACGTTTGTCGCTGGATCCCCGTCTACTCCAATCGGCTCTGTCTTATTGTTCACGACATCCTTGACTCGATTTGAGTCCAGTCGGATGACCATACAAGAGAGATTGTCGGTACTGAATCGTGCTAGGGCATGATCAACGAGAATCTTAGAGGCATGCTGTGCGTCCGGTACGTTTCGGATTAGATCGACTGCTTCCTGGTCACTGCAAACATCCCATAACTACGAAACGCAGGGTTAGCTTTCATGTAATTCTCAAGAGAAAAGTTAAAACCAAAGAACTTACCCCGTCACAAGCCAGGATGATGAACTCATCTGCATCAGGTTGTATGACCGTTTCTGTCGTGTAAGGATGCCCAGTCACCAAGTCTTTGAGATAGGTATCTCCCAGGGCCCGGGTGACAGCGAGAACACCGTTGACGCGGTTGTTGAGGATCAGCCCGCCAGCGTTGGTTATCCTCTTCCCTTCATTCTCATCGCTTCCCTTGTGGTCGTATGATAAACGGAGGGCCTTCCCATTGCGGCATAATACAATACGGGCGTCACCCACGTTGGCTGTATACAGCACCCGTTGCCGCATAGCCTTTTCTTGGAGCTTGGGGATAGACCCGTTAGAGGCTGACTCTTGCGTCGGGGTATTGTTGTTGGTTTCCAAGGTAGATTCGCGCTTCCCGGCCGCGGCCGCTGCGGGGGCGAGGGCAGCCGATCCAGTGGCTGATTGTGAGCTTGGGACACGGTCCTCCCAGCGGAGCACAGCAGTGACCGCCGTACAGCCACTGTTCTTGAGTGGGAGTCGTTCTAGCTGTTGATCCACGCTAGTAAATGTCTGGTCAAGGAGTTCGGGGACAGGAGTATGGGGGCTTCGGCGCATGATTTCTTCCAAAATCAAATGAAGCTTCTTGCCACACCACTCGGCTGCGAAGGTACCCGCGTGTCCATCAAAGATTGCAAAGTAGCCATTATCCGTTTCTACCACGTTGGAATCTCCAGAGTCCCTCTCGGATCCCGGGGGTCGCTCCCATTTATGTCCGGTGGCGCTGTTGGTGCAGGAGTACCAAGGAAGTTGTACAGGTAGGAATGCGTATCCTCCATTGTGCGGCGGCATTTTCGATTCCGATCCTCTGTGACACCCACGCGGAATGAAGAACGCGCGGTGGGTACGGACTCTCCTGCAGAGTTGTTGAACGATCCTTGAGGGACACTCAGCGCCGGATCCATTTTCACTAGCTTCTGGAGCGGACTCTCTGAAATCGATGGACTTGTACTTATGGCTGAATCACGCGTGCCGTTTAGACTGAGGGAATTTTTGGCGTTGCTGAAGAAGCTGGCCGCCTTGGTGACGGTACTGCTCCGACGTTTCTTCTCGCCGGCGGAGCTTTGGTCTTCGCTCTGTCGACGATTGAAAAACCCAGCGCCCGGGGGGAGAATCTCTTGTCGCGAGGGCTGGCGTTTTCAGGCTGCAGGCTCGGAGGAGTCGTATCGATGCCGGGTACGGAGGGGGTGTCTGTCTTGTCTTTGGGTGGGCTCGAGGAGCCACTGAACATTCTGTTCAGCAACCCACCCTGCGAAGAAAAGCTGCGACGCTTATTTCCTGCCAGCTTGATTGAATCCCTGGTGAACAAGGATGAGGAAGGGCGGATTGAGACGGGGTTGTAGATGGCGGGGACGAGGAAGGCAGATGACGAGACTACGGACTGACGTAGGGTTGGGGCGGTCGGTGGAGTGCGGAAACACAGGCTATCGATCTAAAACGTAGGAATGAGGATGAGATCTGGCGGTCACGGTCGCAAAATGCTGACGAGAAAGAAAGAGAAGTTTGCGGGGAAGGAATGCGCAAGACAATAAATGGGAGAAGCAAAGGTCAATGGGGACAGCTGGGGGCAAAGAGGGGAGGGGGGGCGAGAAGCATAGTGCTTTTCGGCGCGGATCAGGCGCTCGGAGGAAAAGGATGAATCATTGGGACGATGACTCGGATGGAGGATCATATAAGACTCCCCCATATACCCCAGTCTGACACCAGGCCGTTGTAGCGTATCTGGACGCTCATCTTGGCCCCCGATCCCCCACCCCACGGAAGCCCCGGGGAAGCGTGATGCAAGGAGTACCAGCGACGGAGAAGGAATGTGCTTACCGAATATCCAAAGTATAACGCTTGGTGGTGAAGAGATCTCTTGGGAAAGAAGTACGGATGATTGGGGAGGAGAAAGGCAGGAATGAGAGAAGTGTTGTAGAAGAGGAAGTTGGAGGAGGTTAACAGCGATGCGATCCGGATGAGGAAAACGACGGGCGTGCTAACTCCGCCCCGTTGCGTCGACGGGCGGAGGAAAGCCAAGAACGGAGGAGAGGAGTGGAGTGGGGAGGATTGTTGAGGAGGAAAAAGATGCAAAAGAAAAGCAACGTTGGAGGTTGTTGGACAAGCTTACTCGGGCTTACTACCACTCCCTTGGCTGGCGCTTAGAGTGCTGCGGGCTACGACGTCGCCGTACATGGGGTTCTATGGTCCTTTTCTAGCCTGCTTCTGGCGTCGATGGCCTCAACATTGCTCATCATGCCGATCGCTGGGTCCGCTAGAACGACCCTCGAGCAGCCACATACACTAGCAAAGCACTATCGACCACCCGAGAATCTTGGGAATAAGGGGACGGATGCCAGGCGAAAGTGACCCAGATTGTCTTGACTCGCCCTTGACCTAGTCACGGTTACGACAAGTCGCCGGAGTCGCTGGGGGAGTAGTAATGGCGGTTGGAGTACTCCGTCGGGCGTATACTTCGAATGAGCAGTTGGTGAATTCCTTCTGCCCCCGTCTGAATGCCATTGGATCTAGTCATATTGATTATCTATTTTTTTTTATTTGCTTCCGGAGCTCCTTTCAATTCCGAGAAGCTCGTCCACGGTAGCTGCTTGATCGGTTGCCAAACTTTGGCGATCGGATACTAATGTGCGGATCATTTGATCCAGGCGGGGCGAATCTCTCGTATACTTCCATGCCCTCCTCCATACTTCATATTTGCAGAGTCAATCTCAGGACGGATCGTTGCAAAATTATCCCTCTGTAGAAGAGAAGCGCTGCCTCGTTTGATAATCTCCCTTCCCTCTCCCTCCTCCCCAAATCCATGAGATGTCCCGAACTCCTCCAAGCACCAACCAGGTGGTCCGCTTGGCGTTCAATACTCAAACATGAGAAAGTACAGACGGCCAAAAAAAAAGAATGAAAAAAAAGGAAGAAAGGTACAAGAATTACATTTTGGATAAGAACCCCCAAGACCCCCCCAAGCGCCAAGAAGGTAGAAGAAAAGAAAATAAATGAAGGCATTGAAGGCAATCGCAATTTACCAGGAGCTGAAGTCTCCAAAACCGCCGGTGCCCTTTGCCTTCTTGCGCGCAGGTTCTGGCTCTGGCTCGTCCACAAACTCCACAATCTCATCCTCCTCGTCGCGCCGGTCGGCTAACGCGGCTTTGAGGTATTTTCCAACCCCGACGGACCCGGTGTCGTTCGACACGCCACCAGCGCCACGAACACGCTTCCCCGTCCAGGTTACTCGGTCATCATCCTCGCGGCGAGTCTCGTCGGAGTCGGCATGGCTAGCATTGGCACCTTGGGTGCCCTCAGAGCGCTTCTGCTCCAAGAAGTCCTCAAACGGATCCACAAAGACGGTGACATCCTTGATGCGAATCTCCGAAGTGGGTCGGTTGGTATTTGCCTCCACGGGGAGGGTTTCAAGAGTGCTGAGGGTCGTAGATGAAGGAGTAGGATCATCGATGAGTCGACCGAAGACCGTGTGCTTGCGGTCCAGGTGAGGCAAGGCACGGTAGGCAAAAAAGCTAGAAGAAAAAAAAAAAAAGAAAAAAGATGACCGATTAGTTGAACCCCAATCATCGAGTATAGCAACAATATTTCTCGACTCACAATTGGCTGCTGTTTGTATTCTTGCCCTTGTTGGCCATGCTCAGCGTGCCTCGCCCATCGTGCTTCAGCGGCCCCTCAAACTCATCAGCAAAGTACTTGCCCCAGATGCTCTCGCCACCTCGTCCAGTACCGGTGGGATCACCACCCTGAATCATGAATCCTTTGATATTGCGGTGAAAGGTCACATCCTTGTAGTAACCCTTCTTGGCCAGTTGGATGAAGTTCCACACGGCCTTGGGAGCGTATTCCGCATACAGTTCCACATTCAGGTGCCCCGAGGTGGTCACGATCCGTGCATAGCCCTTGCCCTTTACCCGGCCACGCTTCAACATGTACTCCTCTTCGGATAACAGCGCGAGCTCGGCCGATGTATGAGGCGTCAACCCAGTACTGGTGAATGAGGCCGCAGCCTTGCCGGTTGTGTGGCGGGCAGCATTGTACGGCGTAGGTTTCCCAGACTGGCCAACCCCACGTTGTGAGGCAGCGGTACCTGCAGCCACGGTCTTAGCGACTGCTTGAGAAGCAGCGGATCCAACCTGCTGTTGCGCCCGATCTGCGCGGGCCTTGGCAACAGCCTCCTTGGCCTTCAAGATCTTCGCCGAACTTCCCAGCGCATTGGTATTGACGCTGCCCGATGTTTGTTGCTGGTCTAAAATCTCCGTCTCGCCTTCCTTCAGGTAGTTGAAGGAACTGAGATTACGCGATTCGATGTTCTGGGGATCCTGTAAGGTGATGATATCCTTGCGACTGAATTCTTCATCGGTGACTAGGTCACGCCAGAGCTTGCCCTTGATATTAAGGCGCTCTACAGTGTCCCAAGCGAAGACATTTCCCGTATTACGCAGTGCGACAATGTGCGTGTTATCGGTCAAGACCTTATAGGTCACCGGGTCCACATACTCGCCATCCTCGTTCTTCGCGATGGTGAGCTTGATCAGTTCGGAATTCTTCAATGGCGATCCATCAACTGGGTTCGTCCCATGCTTCTTGATCCAGGGTAAGATATTGGTCAGGTCGAAGATGGTGCCAGTTGGCGTACAGACTGGGTGCGAAAACGGCTGGAGGGAGAGGGAGCAGAAATTGAATGGTAGGCGCTTGAACGCGGCATGAGGGCCTCCACGTCGAGATTTGGATACGCCAGCGCCCGCGCTGGCTGAAAAGGCATCCTCCGATGCCCACTCAGAGTGTGTGATCTATGTTCGTGCAAAGGTCAGCCGGATTTCGATATGCCATGGAGGGGCGGTGATTGAGGAAAAGCTATGGGGGATGTCGCATACATAGAGCTTGTCCGTTCCTATGGCCATACATGTCAGCACCTGGTTCTTGCAAATGTATCTCTTGCAACTTACCTTTTCCCATATTGCTTGAAGCTCCAGCTTGTGCTCGACGGTCACTTTGGACTCGAAAGGTCGCGGTAAGCTAGCCCGGTTTGGACTAGAGCCATTGTAATTGACACCTAAATATTCAGGTCACAAAGACCGCCAATACATCACCAGTCACCCTTACAATTGTACTGTCAACGATCCTTCCAAGTGTTCATTTCTGCTTAGATTTTAAGAGTACAGTTTATTGACTCTATTTGTGCTTGTTCTCGCGAATTGGAGTAACCTACTAGTCAGTGGTTCATTTATTGATCTGGGTTACTCTGTCTGCTCGATCAAACCAACCCACGAGCTGTGGTTCGTTATGTGAAACCCATTTGTCTAATGATTGCATAAAATACGCACTTTTGAGAGACCAGGTGCAATTGAGTACATAATAAGACAATGTGGTGTGAAAGTCGCTAATGATACATATACAGATCGCACCTATGGGAATGATATGATGGCTAGCAAAAACGCCGAAGGGAGGACAAGCCCGCTCGAATATCCCTCAAATTCCTGGGAAATTATAACGCCCCCGGTGAGGTCGCATAAGATTGAAATAAATCAAGGATATCCTCTTAGGAGATCAGATTATGGTATCGTAGGGGTACTACCCAGCGGTTCCCAAAATCGATCCCATGTCGGCGACGGGTACCATATTTACGCCAGACGATCTGCGGTATGCCAATGTCGGTGACAGTGACATTCCAGGATTGGCCTTCGCCAGAGTTCAGAGCATTAAGTATTCCAGTTTTCGGTGCACCGAGGCATACCACTGACGATCCGTTAACACACAGCCGACCACCTTCGACCATGGTGACGTCGCCTGTTAGAAGTGATCAGTCAAATCCGTATACAAAGTTTCGCAAGGCATTAAACACGTACCACTTGAGGCTGATATCCCAGATGGAATATCAACCGAGAGTGTGTCGACTTCGCTCCGATTGACCCATGAAATCATCTCAAATGCGACAGCTTGGTCGTCAGTCCGAAGGTCGTCAAAGGCAATGTGCATGCCGAACAAGGCATCAATAACCAGATCAGGGGCCAAATCAGAACTAGACAAGCGAGTCGAGAGTTCTTCCCATTTCAGTACACGTCCTCCGATTTTTCTGAAGATCTCCAGCTGTTTGCGGCAGTTCTCGAGCAACTCAATCTCATGCTCCAATCCGAGGACACACACAGTGACTCGATGACCACGATTGCGCAGGTGTCGGGCAGCCGAGATCGCTCGTGCGCCAGTGCGGTGATTGCCAGTAATTATAAGAATTGTAGGAGCAGCCGCATCGTTGGTAAGAAGAGAAACGGCTGCTTCTGCAATGCCCCGTCCAGCATTCTCCGTAATGATGTCTTCGGACAATCCAAACTCGGCCACAGCAATTTGCTCCACTTCCAGTATCTGTAACGGACTCACCGTTGGGCAGCTGCGATTAGTGGTTGTCAGGCGCAGGGAGGCACCAGAAGTGTTAGGACCAACCATTGGTGACCCGGATGACCGTGTTGGCCGAGGGCTGGTGGTCCGAGAGGTGTTAAGTTGAGTGCGGCTGAGCGCACTGATCTGATGAACCATAGGCTGGGCCACGATAGTGCTACTCTTGCGAGATGGTTGAATGCGTCCAGAAGCGTGCGAGCGTTCACGCCCAGAAAAATTCTCACTGCTGTGCCTGGCATCGCTAATCTCTTCCACATCATCACCAGTATCACTGTTCGGTGGGCTATCGAGGACATTTTCAGTCCAATGAAGGTTCTTCCCACCGTTAGTGCCAGGCTTTGCCCTCCGGTTGAAGCTCACCAGACGATCTTCGTCAGCAGTGGTATCATCATTTCGAATCTCTTCGAACACGCGTCGCTTGTCAAACTTTGACAGGTTCATTTCGAAATCAAATTCTCCCAGCTCTTGGATATCAGTCGCATCTTCGGTTGCCCATCCACTTGTATCTTCAACTCGAGAGCGACGCGCCTTTTTCTTACGAAGTTTTGCCCCAGGCTGCACGACATGTTCGGGTGATCCTTGAGCTGCTGGAGCTGCCGGTTCAACAAATGCCGTTTGGCGCCAACCTTTACTCTTGGGATTAGTACTCGCTGCAGCACCGTGCTTGCCCACAAATCCGTCATCGTTACCCCGTCGGTTGCGTCGCGGATTCTGTTTGGTGGGCGTGGTCACGTTCTGTGCAACCTGAAGCTCCTTCTCTTGTGAGACTCCTTGTATGGCAGCTTGAGGTTGGCTCGCATTTAGTTCAAGACTGCTGAATGGTTCCGATAAAGATGCAGCAACAGGTGTAGGACCCTGCTGGGGTGCACTTGACTTTATCAACTGAGGATGGGCGACCAGACTGGCAGGATGCGAGGGGGGCTTCGAAAAGCTTAAGATGGCAGGGTCAACGAGGGGCTGTTGAGAAGGAGTCTGTGGCGCAGCTGCAGCAGGTACTGGAGCTCTTTGCGGTGTATTTTGAAGTTGTGGGGGCGCCAAATTGGCCGATTCCAGCGAGAGGTCGGTAATCGCAGACGCATCAACAGAGTAATGGGGCAGCTGCTGACCGCTCCAAAGGAGAGTCACTGTATAAGAGACAATTAGTCAAGGATTGAGTGAACAGAAAATGAGAGACTAGTGTTCTACCATTTTGAAGCAGCAAGTTCTGCCCGATCACATCAGCAACCTGCCCTTGAAGCTTCCCACCTGGAGGTGCCCGCAGGCTCACAAGCACGTTGTAACCAATGAATTCGGAGGCCATGATCACTGGTTATCACTAGGAAAGAATGGATAAAGCTCAAGCATAGAGCGGGACTTTTAAGGAGTGACTGTGAGGTCAACTAGAGGAAAGGTGTTGCTGTTGGAAAAGCAAGATCAGACAGCTTAATCGATTGCTCGGTGTCGTTGAAGTCACGTGTGATATGTTATCGATAAGAAGTGTGGGGGAAATTTATAGACAGCACGAAGTGAGAGCTAAATCAAAAGAGACCACTTCGCGTTGAAGCAAATTTCATGCTTGATCTGGTTTATGGAGGGGTATTATTAAATGACGATAAATTTTGGACATGAGCGTCTTGGTATGTCAATACTTCTTTATTGATACACATGCAGCCTCAGAAAAAATCACCGCACGAAATCCACAAGGTCTTTTCATGATCCCGCTGCTCCTATATAGCGTCAAAGCAGTCCTCTTCGAAGTCGTCGACAATACCCGAAGAACCAGCAGTCTTGGGCTTAATGACTTGATTGATGGATACCAGGTTGGAGTAAAATTCGGTCACTCGAGGGTGGACCATGACCTTTCGAGGCTCAAACCGAGTAACCTGTAATCCGGCCTGTGAGGTAGCTCGACTCAAGGCCACATAGGCTTGTCCCTTCTCAAAGACCCGTCCAAGGTCAACCTTCACTCTTTGAAGTGTTTGACCTTGGGCCTTGTGAATTGACAGTGCCCACGCCAAAATCAAGGGAACTTGTTGACGCTGGGCTTGGACCTCGCCGTTGGGAAGCTCAATCTTCCAAGCTTCCGGTTGGCAAAGTAAATGTCTTTCTGTGCCATCGGGCTGGACGAAGCACACCAATGGCCATTTTCGTGTCACTGTGACACTACCTTCCTTGTGGCCCATGGGCTTCAGCTTTTTACGCGCGCGCAAAGCGGCATCTTCATCGTCACCGTTACCATCACCGGCAAAATCTCCTTCATTGTCTCGATAGTAGTCAAAGGTTGCTTCATCCATAAACGCGACTACGCGTCCAATAGACCCATTAACCAGTGTGTCCTCCATGTTCTTGATTAACATCACCTGGGCCCCTTTCTTGAGGTGGATGGTTTGCGGCGCCATGCAATTAGATAGGAGCTTCTCTCGGTGTTGGGCATCCTGTATGGTTCCAGAATCAATCGCATTGAATGTCATCATTTCCCCAGACAATCGACTCATTCGTGCAGAGTTGGCATTTTCAACCTCGAAGCGTGTAGGAAACCTATCAACCATTAGATGATGTTATCAGAATATAAAGGAACTAGTGTCATACAGCTCAGTTGCCTCGAGGGCATCGTGGAAGTCGAGGGGTCGAGAGAGCTTCCGGAAAGCGTCAACGGTCTGCGGGCTGATTTTACCCAATCTCATTTCATTGAGCATTGCCGCAAATTCAGGGTCTCGCTGACGAAATACGTGTGTCAGGAGAATAGTGTGTTGGATTGAAGTATTCCACGTGGCCGCGGCGAACGCAAATTTTGCTTCGCGGTTGCTTCCTTCCGGCACCGGAGGTAATTGGAAAAAGTCGCCTGTAACAACAAGCTGGATGCCTCCAAATGCGCGCCCATTATTCCGGATGCGCCGTGCAATCTCCTCAAGCTTATCAAACAAATCGCCATCGACCATGGAGACTTCGTCAACCACGAGAACTTTCGTGCGCAGCCAGCGATTCCGTGCCTTCTGGTTTTTTTTTATCTACTGGTTGTCAGAATCTATGAATATGAGGCTCAGCGTCTGATTGCTTACCTTTTTAACCAGCATAGGGACATCCTCTTTACCAAGTCCAATACCAGCAAAGCTGTGAAGCGTAACACCTTCTATGTTGCAGGCAGCCAGGCCTGTTGATGCTGTGACGGCCACACGATCTGGCTCCCGTTTGAATTTGTTGCGAAGCTTTTTGATAATCTCCCTCATAAGGACTGATTTACCAGTACCTGCTGAACCGGTGAAAAATATACTCTTTCCCTGATCAACAACAGCATCCAGCACATGCTTTTGTTCATCACTGAGGAAAACAGTGGCAACTTTCGCGTTGTCTTTCTGCTTGGGAACGGCATCAACTTTTTGAGTCTTCTTATATTCTCGCCTAAGTTCCTTCTGTTCTTCTTTGATAGCGCTTGCACTCTTATTCCAAGGCTCAGCTGGTCTTGAGCGCTTTGGGGTTATTAAGCTGCTCTTTCTGTCTTGACTTGGCTCTTTCTTGGCTTCTTTGAGCCACGGCAACGTGCGTGGTTCGGGCGGCGGCTGGAAATGGGAGGGAGGAGAAGAAGACCATGGGTACTGAATACTGCTTGCTGGCGCATTTTTCTCCTGCGATCCAGGTGGCAGCTCCGGATAGGCGACATCCGCCGGGGTCCTGCCGGCTTCAGTGGCATTCAATTGGTTCGTATTGTCCGACGTCAGATCGATGGTTGGGTACGTGACAAGGTCGGGCCTCGGGGCTTTGGTGCTGCTCGATGCGCTCGAGAGATTCAACGGTATAGGTTCATCAATGTCGAGGTCCAAGTCATCGTCGAAGTCATTTTCGTCAAAGTAGACCGTGCTATGGAGGGATCCTAATGTCGACTCTCCCCCACTCGTCATCTCAATTTTCCGCTTTACACCGACTGACTGTGGTTGTGCGGATTTGGATGGGATGACCGAGTTCGCGCGTAGGAAGTTGGACTGAAGAGGTTTGGTCTCCCCTCCTGGGTGGTCTTTTACGGCTTTCTTGAACATCGTGGTTTCCTCAGGGACAGGCCAGGGTGCCGAGGAGTATGCGATTGCCGACGGCCTCTTGGCGCAATTCAAAGAGATCGATCGAATTATTTCTGTGCGACGTATTCTGACTCGAGAGGCATGCATATACAGCAAGAACAACAAACTCGCAGGGCAGACAGTGACGGGTGTTGACGGCGAGTCGATAACTTTCTGCCGAACGCGCGGGAGACGCGCCCGCGCCCGCGACCGACAAGCGACAAGATGTAGTCGGAGTCTCAACCAACCAGCGGCCGCGTTCTATCAATAGAGATAAGACCTTTTTGTGTTCTTTCATTAACCCAAATTAGCGATGAGAATTTGCTTTTGAAGAGCAGTTAGGATGGCTATTGAAATTGTCATTCTTTGTCCACACCATAGACAATTACCAAATAGTATAATGTAGGTACCTACCGGATACATATGCTCCCTCCATGCTCATCGACTTATTCCGCATCGGGCCTTGAACAATATATAAACCGTCATCAACTAAGTACTGCACCAAATTTCCTTAATCTATAGATGATGTTCATAACATTGTGTATCGACCATTGTACTATAGGACTGTTGATATACACTATATCTTGATTACAGCTTATTATTTTCTAACCAGTATATCAATAATGTCTATATACATCGCATCTCGTTCATTGTCCAGGCGGCTTTCGATCTTATCGGCCCTTATCTGACACAAACACGTGACCGCGAATGATATTGACGCGCGATGCCGGCGTTGAGATATTTAAGATCTCAATTTCGCATACCACACCAGGGTTGAGCCTCACCAGAGATATTGCTGGCATATCGATGGTGGCGCGATCGGTCATGCAGGATGGCAGGGGCGGAAGACTCGAGTACGTGCCTAGAGAGTTGTGGCTTCAAATCATTCGTGTTCCTGGATTCTAACCAGCTGGGGGTGTAGATAAGGAACACCCGCTTAGGGGCGCGGTCATTTGTTTCACGTCGGTTTCCTTGGAGCAAAGGGTATGTGTCGTGCAATATTATACCGAATGCAGGCCCTCGACCTATACTCACGCGTACATCTGCAATACAGACACACCTCATCAACATTGCGAAGGAGATGGGCGCAATTGAACGTCCAGACTTGACTTCAGATGTAACCCACCTTCTCGTCGGAGCCACTGATTCCCCCAAATACAAGTTTGTCGCACGAGAGCGAAATGACGTGGTTGTGGTGAAACCGGAGTGGATTGAAGCCGTTCGACAATCTTGGATGCTGGGAGGAGACACGGACATCCAGCAGCTGGAGGAACAGTATAAGCTGCCAACTTTCTTTGCTCTCACCATATGCATCACCGGGTTTTCAGAAAGTGAGTTTTCTGAAACAGTCCTACAAATAAACTGGAACCAACCCTTGCTGACGTTATGCCCAGTGGCTTTCAGGATGAAGATGCAGGAGACGGCAATAGAGAATGGAGCTGAATTCCGAAAAGACCTGACAAAAAGCGTGACGCATCTTATTGCGCGGAATACGGAAGGCGAAAAGTATAAATTTGCGACGCAATGGAACATCAAGGTGGTAACAGTCAAGTGGTTTCATGAGTGCCTCGAGCGTGGAATGATCCTGGAAGAAGAAAAATACCATCCAATGCTACAGCTAGAAGAGCAAGGCGTGGGCGCATGGAATCGATCGTTGTCGACTACAAAAGTCCAACTTGGGAAAGCAAGGGCTGGAGAAAACGACGGCTCCTCAGATTTGCGACCAAGGAAGAAGCTACGTCGGACTGCGAGTACAAAACTAGTGGGCCAGAATGAAAACATATGGGGTGATATTATCGGTGCAGGATTCGGTGCTAGTGAGATGCCAGAACCCGGGAACGACCCATTCGACGACTCGGAATCCTTCGAGAAGCCCAGACCGGCTATCCAAGCTGCCAAATCTTTTGCCAGCGAGTCCACATTTACTGAAACATTGGAACCCCGCCGGCAGCCAGAGATATCGGCCAAATCTCTTGAAGGCTTTCTCAGTGGGTGTTTTTTCTTTATCAGCGGATTTTCTTCCAAACAAGTAAGTGTTCGGATCTACGGTTTTGCCCAGTGCAGAAAATTAACTTCCTTCTAGAAAAGCATTCTTCGACATCATCTTGAGTACAATGGTGCTCAGTTTGTCGAGTCGTTGAATGAGTTTTCTCGCCCTAGTATCCCCAAAACAGGCCAGGGTTTGTATGTCATAGTTCCATACAGAACCCCTAGATCGGAAATTCCATCTACAGATGACATGGCATTTGAGTGTGAGGTGGTTACAGACATGTGGCTGGAACGATGTCTCGATGCCAGAGCCTTAGTTCCACCAGAATCCCATGTTGCGAGCACGCCGTTCCCCAAATTTCCTCTTCCAGGTAAGCTTTACTCTGGGCTAGTAATATGGTTGATGCTAATTGAATTAGGATTTTCGGGAATGCGGATATGCTCTACTGGGTTTGCACGCATTAATCTTTTGCATCTTTCTAAACTAGTGGATTTAATGGGTGCGACGTATGACGAATATCTCACACCCAAAGCTTCTGTTCTAATATGCAATGATCCACAAACAGCCAGCCATGAGAAATTACGGCACACTGCCAAATGGGGAGTTCCCTCGGTGTCAGCTGATTGGTTTTGGATATCCATTCAAACTGGCCAAAAGAAACCATTTGAGCCATATGCAGTACGGAGGCCAGTATCTCAAAGCAGTGGCAATCGGGAAAACCTTCCTACAGTGTCTGTGAACAGAAAACAAGTATCTGTGCCTACAGGGGTCCCATCCAAAGATCAAAGCATCCCTAATGATCCACTAAGCAACGACAAGCCTCAGAAGCCATCATCGGGAAAGAGTGAAATTTCGCGAATGATGCCTGTTATAGGTGATGGGTTTGATAACGAAGAGTCCCCGGACAGACCCAAAGCAAGTGTACCTGAGTCAAGATCTGCATCACCTCCCAATGGGAAACATGACCAACAAAGTGCATGGGGACCTTCGAATCAGCCAGAACGAGAGAAATCGCCCGCGCCAGCTGTTCCGTCTGCTCTGGACACTGCATTGAAAGGTCTTCTGCAGCAGGCTCAAGCGGCCAAGTCACGACAACAGACCGAAGGAACATCAACGAGTGATGAAAGCTACCCCCTTCGCCGTAAACGCAAGCCACTACTCGGCCGCGCACCATCACACCCATCTGTTCGAACAGAAGAGACTACCAATGCCCCATCTCGTGCTAGCTCTATCGACACTCTCAATGATGATGGCCTCGGTACAGCGCTCGAGAGCGCGGATCGTACACGAGACAACTCCCTCTCCCGCACAAATAGCCGCAACGAACAAACCTTGTCGTCCCTGTTCAGTGGCGCGAAATTTGACTTTCTCTCCGGTCAGTTCTCTGGCCAGGCCGAGAACGAGGACGAGGAGAACCAGGAGCCACCAATGACACAGCTGGACTACGAAGACCCTGATGCTGCTGCTATGCGAACGGAGTTTCTGCGAAATGCTGGCAAGCTGACTGACAAGCACCAGAAGGCCGATTCTGGTCTCCTTGTTGGCGAAGTCAAGGAATTAGAGGATATCGGATGGGGCTCTCGACGAAGAACGAGAAAACATGCTCCTAAGAACGAAGAATGAATGTCACCTGTCTGCTGCTGGCGTTATTATCGTTTCAAGGCGGGAGTGGGGTTTATTGCATTGCGAATGGCGCGTTTATGGGCCTTTGAAGTCTGTCTAGGGGTTTTTTCTGACTCAGATGGTTGCATCAGTACTTAGTAAGATAAACGAATGCATAATTAATCTAGCTTTTTCCTTTGGTGGTCTATCATCTGTTTCGGGCCGAACTAGAATGATGCTGGTCGTGAAGATCACCTACTTGCCTGGACGCTGTTTGGAGTCCCCAAAAGACCAATATTGTAGTTAAGCCCATAGTCATTTGCAAAGGAGGTCCTCAAACTTCGAGGCTTGACGTTACATGTGCGAATCGAAAGCCAACACAATTTTTGTGAATATTGAGATTGAAAGGATGAGAACCGACCTCTATACATTGAGGAAATAGTCTAATTTCATCATCTATTGCATTCCACATCGCTGATCGCAATGAGCGGGGTTCAGATGCCGGGATATTTACATACCGGGGAAGCAAGTGTGATATTTTTCGACACTTCAGAGAGATCGGAGAACCAAGAGACCCGTGGTGGACTTGGTATTTGTCCGAATACTGTAATTATTGGAAAGTGAAGGTGGGGGGGGGGGGCTTGAAGAACGAGCAGTCAATTCAGAAGGGAATCTTTGGCTAATAGATTGGAGGGACCATCGATGCACGCCATTCACGCCATGAAACAGAGAAAAGAGACTGGAGACAGGGAATACCTTTCTCCAAGAGAAAGGGTATATTGTACCACCAGCAGAAGAAAGAAGAGATATGTCATACATAGTGAAGGGAAGGGATATCAAACGGAAGTCAAAAATGCCAGGGGTAGAGGTGTACATGTCTAGGGAAGATTGAGATGAGGGAATGGCGGACAAAGAAAGGAAAACCATGGTTGTTGGTACACGGTACGACATTTAAGGATCGAAAGCGCCCATGGCTCCGGGAAGAGGGCCATCAAGATCAAGATTTTCGACGGAGCGGCGATTTTCGCCGCTTTCACGGAACAGATTTGAAAAGTACTTGGTAGCAACCTCACTCTCCTGCTTCACCTTGCCCACTTCCTGCTTGCGCCGGGCAAGATCTTCAATGTCTTGGGCCAGGCTGGCCTGGAGGTTATTAGCAGGTAAGCGAAGGATGCGCCGGACTTCCGAAGATATACGGCTTGCATTCGAGTGAACATAGTCCATCTCATCAAGCTTCGCTGCAATCTTCCGCGACAGACGGGGAGGAAGGGTAGTCGGAATTGAGGACAACACGTAAGCAGTGGTTAAGAGGGCTATTGCCAGGTTAGCGATTGTACATGGTCATTTCAAATGGCAGAAAAACTCACCAGCAGCAAAAATACTCGGGAGAAACAGTCGGCGTAGGTTGTTAGGACCCAGGACCTTGGCAGCACTAAGCGCGCTATCCACCCAACTGAATCCACCAAATGCTCTTCCTCCCAGAACAGTGATAGCCGTCATCGCAACACCAGTTCCTGCCATCTTCTCCTGACGCTCCCAGAGGCCAGCAATGTCGAAAAAGTCCCACAGTTCCACTTCGGTGTCGACCTGTCGACCAAAAGTGTGGCGGCGGCCTCGGCGGAACATCAGGTCGGCACGGAAATTGAGAGCAGAGAACTTGTCTTCGCCGACATGTAACAGACCGATATTTTGAATAAAGCCTACGCCTTTCACAGTCTTGTCTCGTGCGTAATCTTCACAGCCAGTGACGGCCGCGGAAATTTGCTCCAGCATCGCCAGTTTTAGATCTTCGGCATATTGGAAAGCAGCGAACAATCCAGGATACTCGACGCCAAGGTCGGCATCCGAGACTTGAGCAATGGTGTTGGCCAGGGTGGAGCGGGTGTGGTTATATACATCCTCACAAGACTCGTCAATGGCTTTGTCGACACCATCAGCCAACTCCCCCTTCTTTTTCTTGCCGTTCTCATATGCAGGCTCGAGTTCAGCCAGCTCCTCCGTGACTCGCTTGAGCTCCGATTCAGCAACGTCACGGTTGACAGTAGCGAGCGAGTTGAGATCAGCCAAGAGGTTGAGAAGATAAGTCCGAGCAGGAGCAAGTTTGGATCTAGATCGTTTCTCAAGGACAAAGCGTCGCAAAGCCCCCTCGAGATTCTCGAAATCCTGGATCTTCTCCTTCTCCTTTCCTTTGCCCTTGTCTTTGCCAGAGTCGTCGTCATCGTCGTGAGGGTCCGAATCACCGCCATCACCGCCTCCACTACCAGACTGCGAGACCGCTCCAGAAGGCGCCACGGGAATAGCATTACTGGAAACAAAATGGACTAGCTCATCCGCTTCCTTGTATGTGCGAGGGCTGAGCTTGCCCACTTGGTCAAGGATCATACGCTCACATCTTTGCTTATCCCGGATCTGATCGAACCCGTTCACTACCATGAAAATATAGGCCTTTTCATGGGCAGCATTCAGAATGAACTCCTTGGCGGAGAGTGTGAAATGATTGGCAGCAGAAACCACAAAAACGACGACGTCAATTTCTTCCTGTCGGGCGAAAACAGCGGTCGTCTTCAAGGAGTCGGAGTTAAGACCAGGGGCATCAATCAAAGCGATATCCACAACGCCGTTGTTGAGGAGAGATTCGTCGATAGATCGAACGTCCTTCACGTAAACTTTGCATTGCATGTACTTGGAGTTGTCGATCACAATATTCTCAAGCTCCTTCAAAGGGAAAACGTCGTATGTGCTTTCGTCGTTTCGGTTGTAAGGGGTGTCCTTGTGCACAGCGTGCACTTCTTCGATCCCACAGTTCTCTCGAGCATCGAGGACCTCACAGAAAATGCTGGTACATGGCTGCTGATCCTCGGGAAGGACTTTTCGTCGCAGAAGGGCATTGCAAAATGTCGATTTGCCGGCATTTAAATCTCCTGTGACCAGAACTTTGCTCGAAGTATCTTCAATCCGGTCTCGCAGCGAAAGGAGATGCTTGATACTCTGGCTGATCTTTCCATCGAGAAGAGAGGCAATTGAAGCCTTCTCCAACGAGTGTACTAGTTCTGCCTGAGATAAGGCGCCGAGTTTCAAATCCAACTTCAAGATCGAGAATTCCTGGGCGATCTGAGGGGTCATCAAGCGAGGTTCAGCGGGTGTTCGACGTTCTGCAGTAGTGCTGGACTCCGCAATGTCCTCTCCTCCCATAGTAGTTGCTGCGCGCTTTAGTTGCCCGGGACGTGGCGGAGTGCTTGGTCTACTGTCATTTTGTCCATAATCCGAATGCGCTTGCTGGAGTTGTGGACGCTGCGAAGGGGAAGACGGAGTGTTTTGTGCGCTTTGCACCGATGGGTAGTGTGCAGGCCATTGGCGGTTCATATCCTGGAGCTCCTTTAAGGTATCAATAGTCCGGGAGATTGCACGGCCAAGTTTTGTGCGGTTCGAATTGCTATAGAGGAAGTGAAGAACCGTTAGACGGTTGACGTTTGGAACAAGGAAATCAAGACAATCGACATACTAAAGAAGTTGATGAACATGGCTGGCCACGATTTGCTTTTCATGTTCAGCTGCAGTAGAGGTAGATTGTCAGAACCGTATGCGCTTACTGTAGCCATCGAGAGTCCCTTAGTGTAACTCACCAGCAGGATTCCATTCACCGAGCCGTGTCGGAGTATGAGCCGGAGTTGGTCGGTCTTCCATCAAACCAGCACGCCAATTTGCGTTTGCATCGCCATCCGTTGCGCTTTCTCCAGTGATACTGCCTCCGTATCCCGAATCCTGATTAAGTGAAGTCATTAAGGCTGTCGCGCTTTCCGAGGTTGAGCCGTTGCCAACAGTCATGTAGGCGGGCGGAGCTTGAGGGTGAAAAGGACTTCGTTCTTCGTCCTCATCGGAGAATCGAGACGAGCCAGCTCTTGAAGAGCCCTCACCGGGAAAGTATTCCTGACTCATGACTGATGCAAGAGAGCCCGAGGAGCCATCGAAGAAAGTTGTTTGTTGGTGGGCAGTTTTCCATGAAAGCCCGTGACGTGTGGACCTACCAGAAAGGATTAGCGGCATGTGACTGGGCGGTAAGTTACCGTTATCTTACCTGATCGGTCGTCCCGCTCCAACGTTGATGTCACAGTTCGTGGTAAATAGGCAGGCCCGCAACCTCCCTCTCCTCCCATACTCGCCCCTCCCCCGACACCCACCATGAATGTGAGTTGAATTGGAATCTACGATCTGAAATTTCTTTGACTGACGCGAGTACAGATTGTCGAATGGGCGTTTGGTAAGCGTATGACGCCCGCCGAGCGTCTGCGCAAACACCAACGAGCCCTCGATCGGACACAGCGCGAACTGGACCGAGAGCGTACAAAGCTGGAGAACCAGGAGAAGAAGCTGGTGCAGGATATCAAGAAAAGTGCAAAGAATGGGCAGGTTGGAGCCTGCAAGATTCAGGCCAAAGATCTGGTTCGGACTCGCAGGTGTGTGCCTTGCTCATTCCCTCTTGGTCGCATACGCAACTTACCATTCTGGCGTTGTAGATATATCCAAAAGTTTTATCAGATGCGCACGCAATTACAAGCCATCTCACTGCGAATTCAGGTATGGACCAGCTGCGCAGTCTTTACACCCCTACCCCTCCCCCTCCCCTCTGGCCCATCCAGACGCACTTAGCTAACTTGGGTTTCTCGATAGACCGTTCGCAGTAACGAGCAGATGATGCAGTCTATGAAGGGCGCGACCATGCTTCTGGGAAGCATGAACCGTCAGATGAATCTCCCGGCTTTGCAACGCATTACAATGGAATTCGAACGAGAGAACGAAGTGATGGACGAGCGTCAAGAGATGATGGATGAGGCGATCGACGAGGCAACAGGAATGGAGGATGATGAAGCAGAAGGCGAAGATATCGTGAAGGAAATACTAGATGAAATTGGTGTCGATCTCGGCCAAGCGGTGAGTATTCCTGTCCAATCCTCCCTCCCCAAGTCGCACCAAATGCTGATTGAACCACCATCCAGCTGGGCGAGACACCATCGGGAGAGATACAGAAAGAGTCGACAGGTGGCGCTCGGGTAGCGCAGGCTATCGGAGGCGGAGGAAATGCCAGTGACGATGATCTTCAGGCGCGCCTCGATAGTTTGCGACGATGATGACCTGTTGTGCCGTATTCACATTCGGCGTTGTTTACCTTTTTATTACCCGGATTGGAGGGTGTCGATAGTTGGCGTCAGCCTCATGTCTCTGTTTCAAATTTTGCTTTTGCTAGCGTTATTTTTTACTTTTTAAATCTACTAACCCGCTGCTGCCTACGCATTTTATCATTTTGATTGGCCTGCACGAGGCTGAGCCTCATCCCGAGGACCAATCTGGTTGCCTGTGTTGATGTATACATCGGACCTGAGTGAGCCGATGACTGCGGTCTCTTTACTCGTTCAATATGACGGGGTGACAAATGAATGGAATCAAGAAATAAATAAAATTTCAATAATAAATTATTTAAAATTGGCTTTGGAACGAATCAGCTGGCCGTTGCAGTTGATCACCCAAACAAAACCCGCTCTTCACTTCGGTTGAATGTTCCGAAATGATCAGGTATATATTTGGGTTGTGTACGAGTCCCGGAAGGCTTGGGAAAGTGGGCGTTCCCAGAATTGGGTCTCATGCACCCACTGCGAGAACCAGGGGTATGCCTCCAACTCTGCAAGTGTGGGCCGGTCCTCTGTGTTCTGGCTCAACATGGCTTGTAGCACGTCCCTGCAGTCTTGTGGCAAATTTTCATTGATGCGCAAGGGCTCGTTGAGGATACGATCCCGCCTGCTGTGGATCCTGCGAGGACTACTGTATGCGCTGGGGCTGAGGAGGTCAGGATGGCTCCCTGGCGCAAGTGGAAAGTCCCAGGGCCAGAAGCCATGAACAATGCCATAGACAATGACACCCAATTTCCACAAGGTTTCTCGCCGCAGATCATGTCCCATATCTATCCCAGAGCAATGATCACCGGTGAAAGTCGACATATGTGAGGCTAATTCGGGTGACATCTGATATTCTTGGAATGGGACAAACATGTACTGGCGGTTGAAGAATTCTTTTTCGTGGAGCCCAAAGGTGACCTCAGCTAAATCAAGGACTTGGACCTATTTTTTTTTTTTAAAAAAAAAGCAACATGTCAGCTCGCAAGCATTCCAGCAAGAATTTTTTTTTTTCCGGACTTCACTTACATTCAGTACCTTATCCACAATAAAGTTGTTGACTGAAATATCGCCATGCCAAAGATTCATGTCAGCCATGTGTGTGACTGCCTCCACGAACTGTGCTGAGACCTTACAAGCACCACGCGAGTCAAGTAAAGGTCTACGGGTTTCAGTTAGCAAATAGTGCCCATTAAATGCAGGAAATTGTCGCTGGTAGTCACGACCTCCTTGCGGAGCTTGGTCCGGGTCATAGTCGGTGCATGGTGACATGACAATCGCCTGGAAGCGGTCGTGGGTGTAAACTGAATCGAGCGTGGGGAATCTGTCACTGTCGGTCAGGAAAAGTAACACGAGAGCCTCACTAGGGATAAATGTTTGGTAATGAGTGTGTGGGTTCGGAACCTGTGCCATTGGCGGGTTCCAAAAGGACTGCTGCAGCGCATCAAGCAGCGTGAGGTGCTTTTCTACCTTGATGGCATAGTGCCGGAGGTCTTCCGGGTTAGCAACCCCTCCATTTCGTTCCCGCCCAAGGAAGACTGAGCCGAAAGCTGTGTTCTGTTAGCATTCTGACCATCGAGACACGAGACGGGTGTCATACTGCCTTCACCGGCTAGACCGTACACGTCGATTGTCTCTTGGAGACTTCCACACATGTTCTGCACGCGACCTCGAGTAGTATTTTGTAATGGATCAAAATGATCAAGATATTCGAGATACTCATCTTTCTGAAAATCAACGCTGTCACTTGGGCTACTTCGGTAGCCGTGACTAAACGTGGTATGCGGACATAGCGAGACAGGTCGGTGCTCCCTAGCAGCCAGGGCTGTCTGTAGACGATCTCGTAGAACTTGAAATAGATGGGGCTGGTTTATAGCTAGCTGGCTTTGTTGGTCGAGAAGTTCATTTATAGAGAAAGCAAAAGACCCTTTCCAATACTCCGGGGTAGACCAGCCCCTCGCGATGTTGGAGTTCCCAGACATGAGAAATATGAGCCTCCGTGAAACACAGTGTGTGGAAAGTCTATGGGGGCTGTGGTTATGGAAGAGAAGTTTGAGTTGAATTAAGCTTGGATTGTTCAGGCCCTCACGGAGACAAGATTATTATATAGTTCAAATCACTGAACAAAGCTAGCCATGATGCCAATGTCATCTATTTCCCCCTCATTGCATCAAAGATGGAAGGAAAGAAAGCGTTGTCAACACCAACAAAGGTAGGACAATGGCCTAACCCCCATTGATAGATGATGGAAGTTTCAGGTCTTTTTTGATGAAGACTTTATTAATAGACCCAACCCGATCAGACGAGGCTATCTAGCCACAACAATGCAAAAAAAAAAACAAAGCCAGAGCGACTGTAGTTTTGGGGTATGCCCAAGACCCGGTCTTTCCATAAACTGATGAGCCTCACCAAGTCTACCCCGCCCGTCGTGGGCGCATTTCTCAACACATTTGGTCCACATTCATCATAAAACGCAAGTCTGGACCGGAACTCTTCGCAATGGATACAAAATTAGCCAACCATAAATGAAAGGGGCCCGCCGCGTGTTGAGCCTCCTGCAAAAACCAAGACCCAAACAGCTTAGTGTTTGAGGCTGATCCAAGGTCGATGGAACCAAAATTAAACCCTTAAAAAAAAGGCGCTAGCGTTAAACAAACGTACATTTTTAAAGCGCGGGACCGGACGAAGTAGATAAGCTGCAAAAAGACTCCTTCCGTCCGCGGTATCCCTGAATAGGTCGCAGGGTGTCAATGCCCTCCACGCTCAGGTAGTTCAAGCCTTAGACCCACACCCCATGACTGGGCGTGTCACACCCGGGCTTAAGTTGGGGCGGATGACAGGGTCTTTCTCATTCAATACTACTGTAGTAAGCCGCCCCCACAACGCCCGACGCCGTGGGCGTCTGCTCTTCAGTACAGAGGTTCGCCCGGGCAAAAAATCACGAATATGCCAGATGTAGAGGCGTCCTTTTGTTGCCTGCTTATAAAAGGACTGAATGTGCAAAACAACTATCTTATTTCTTCCCCATCAACTCTATCAGTTATTCCGGGAATCGTGCATCCTGTATGTACATGATAGTATTCACATCTTCTCTTTTTTTAGAACCATGACGACATTCAAGCTAGATGACCAGGCTACACAGGACGCCCAAGAGAAACAGGCAGTCAACACGTCGGCCAAAAGACAAGATCAATGCACTCCTACAAATGCTTGCAATCCCCAAGTCGACAGCCCGTTACAAGATCTTCATGCGGTGCCAAGTTCGGTGTGTATTGGCGAACCTATATCTTATTGTATGGTGTATGAAGGCTTCATATTTTATAAGGCAGATCCAATTCCAGGGAAAAAGCCAACATGGACCCGGGTGGAGCGCACTCAAATGCATCTTACTCAGGGGGAATTGTATAAGATGGTGCAGAAACGGGCAAATAAGGTTTCTGCAGCACAGCAATATCAAAATTTGTCGGATACTCGCCGTGCTCATGTCAATCAGTTAATACATGAGCAACGACGGATTGAAGCACATATGGAATGGAGCTGTGTCTATGCGAAGGAGCGCGACAGGCCCTCCAAGGCCCGCAACGCTCATCGCGATGACTATGAAACCGTTTCAATGGATATCATTCTCATGAAAAGACCCATGAAGACCAAGTCATACCCAAGAACACCTATGGGAGACTTGGTGGACCTTGGGATGCCATTCCGTCTGAACAGAATTGAAGCACATCAGATTGATAATGTGCGTCCTAACATGGTAGCCTTTCCCAACTATCAGGCTGCGCCTTCGGCAGTATGGGTCCATAGGGACCACCAGCCCTTCATTCCGGGCCAAGTTGTGGCACCTGGATGTGTGGTACAGGGACCATTGCCTCGTCCAGTATCGGTTACCAGTCCATTTACCAGACTAGACTTAGGACAGAACACGTCAGGCCCCAGTGAGCCTTTTCAAAAAACAAGGCAGGAGCAAGTCCATGCTGATGAGTAAGTAATCTCTCAAATATAAAGCACATTGTTTCCCGAATTGAAAGAAGAAATCATGGCTAACTTTTGTTTTGGTGTATAGGGAGCAGGTAAAGCATGCTCATGATGCAGCAGGCTACTCATCCGAATCTAGCGACGACGATGACGATGACGATGATGAATCTTTGATATTCGATCAGTCACAGTCTGAGACCAGCTCTACTATTGGAGATACAGGAATCATGGAGTGTGACTGCGAGGAACCACTCCAGCCAACTCCTCCCCCCGAGGCTCGGTCCTGCAGTCCAATTCGTCGCGACTCTAGCAATGGGTCGCATTACCGACGGAAGTCTCGGGGCCGGAGTTTTGGTCGCAAGGAAAGAATTCGCCATAATCACTTTGACATAATAACTTCAAAGAATGTTTTGCATAATATTATACCTAATAAGCGAGTGCGAGCACCCGCGGGTATGTCCAGTGTCTCCACTGCGGACACTAAGGGATATCGTATCCAACGCATAGATGACGAGGAGTTACGAAATCGACTACTTGAGTGTGAATCTAGGATTGAAAAATGGGAAAGGGCATTTGAACAGCAAACAAGATTTCTACAGAGGATGATAGAGGAATCCTGCCAGCGCCAGCAGCAGCTTGAGAGACGTGGATCCTTTTGGGATGTCTCTTCAATGCGCCACTGTGGATGCGAGTATTCCAAGGATAGCAATATGGATGATTCTAATTGATACATCGAAAGCTATCGGTGTATCTTATTTCCCTCCTTTCTCTATTCAAGTTTATTATGAAAAGGTACCCATTCATTCATTCATTCATCCTTTTCTGTCCTCTTATACTTTTTGTTCTTGATATGTTATTTCTTTTTGGCTCTGTGCAAGGTGGTTTAATGAGGTACAAATGTTTGAAAAGGCCAACAATTTAGTCTACAGAGCATATAATACCACAAGGTAATGCAGGGTCAATTTGATAATGCCAAATGAAAATCTTTATTCGAGGGCTTGTTTTGTCGTTACCTGCTACCCAGAATGTCTTTGCTGTGCAGAGAAATGTGACCCATGAATTGAGAAATCACAAAGCTAGTTCCTATGTAGAGAATCAACAATGAAGAAACAATTTCGCTCGAAAGCAGACAGTTTAGTCCTATCCATATTATCTTGGTCAGGTGTAAGAAGGATGTCGAAACCTATATTATTATTATTATGTAGTAGTAGTAGTAGTTGTCGTCGTAGTAGCCTTGGCTATGGGTGTTCTTCAAATTTTTGATCCATCATTGAACACATTATAGCCTTGAGACACGTCTTCCAAACCTTTAATACGACGGCAACAGGTGTAATTATGTCATAGCGGGGAGGCCCGGTGGCTCAGGCGCTCGGCCCGATTGTCGGGATGAGCTGCCCCTCCATTTCTTTTAATCATCCGTCTCGCTCTTGCACTTACCACTCACGCCCTCTCAAACATTTCATCTTTCAAGTCAATTCAAACTCACACCATATTTCATAATGCCTCGTCAATTCTTCGTCGGTGGAAACTTCAAGATGTACGTGTTTTGGCCCCGGGTACCCCCACCATACCTAATGATTGCCCCTCCATCTCACTCCCTGAATGCACTTCTGCTTCGAGTTACCAAAGAATGCAACTGACAAAATGGGCAGGAACGGTGTCTCTGAGAGCATCACCGGCATCGTGAACAACCTCAACGCTGCTAAGCTCGATGAGTCCACTGAGGTCGTCATCTCTCCTCCCGCCCTGTACCTCACCCTTACCCGCAGCCTGGCAAACGCCAAGATTGGTGTTGCTGCCCAGAACGTCTTCAACAAGCCCAATGGTGCTTTCACCGGTGAGATCAGCGTTGAGCAGCTGAAGGACACCAAGATCGACTGGGTTGTTATCGGCCACAGTGAGCGCCGTGTTATCCTGAAGGAGACCGATGAGGTATGTCTCGCCCCGACAAGAATGGGCAGGCATGAAGGCCAAGCACTTGTGAATGAAATTGACATTCTATATCTAGTTCATTGCCAGCAAGGTCAAGGCTGCCATTGAGGGTGGCCTCTCGGTCATCTTCTGCATTGGTGAGACCCTGGAGGTACGTCATTCCATTTCGGTTACCCGTTTTTTCGTGTCCCTTACCCGGTGTGGGTCATCGGGTTGCGACAGGAACGAGAACCTCCGCTAACACCCGATTCTATTTGCAATCCCATAGGAGCGTGAGGCCAACAAGACCATCGATGTTGTTACCCGTCAGCTTAACGCTGCTGCTGCCGTGCTGAGCAAGGAGCAGTGGGCTAAGGTTGTCGTTGCCTACGAGCCCGTCTGGTAAGACAATTGATCCTCAAATCTATCGACCTAAGGTTTTAATCCATTGTACCTCTAGGGCTATTGGCACTGGCAAGGTTGCCACCACTGAGCAGGCTCAGGAGGTCCACGCTGCCATCCGCAAGTGGCTCGGCGAAGCTGTCAGCGCCGAGGCCCAGGAGAACGTCCGTGTCATCTACGGTGGCTCCGTCAGCGAGAAGAACTGCCGCGAGCTTGCCACCCAGCCCGATGTTGACGGCTTCCTCGTTGGCGGTGCCAGCTTGAAGCCAGCTTGTAGGTTCACGCTTTCAGCCTTTGACCTATGCGTTACTAACCGTATCTTTAGTCGTCGACATCATCAACGCCCGCATTTAAAGGAATTCACTCCAAATCCTAGATAATATGATGCCTGCATAGTCGCATCGAAGGAAGGGTTGACTGATACCGAGGCACATGTGTCAAATAATGCACTAAAAACTTTGAACGTGAGATTTGTTGTCATGAGAATATATGTACAATGTGAAAGCCGTCGGTATTTTCGGTTTGCGGCATATTAAAAGTATATCCGTTGTGGTAGTTGAGATGCCGATGAAGACTATAAGCCTTATCAATCATGTAGAAATGCACACAGAATGCAGGAAGAAAGAAGAAAGCATGTAATCCAAACCCAGTACAATGCTCACGATGAGTACATCACGGACACCCCAACCCCGCGCCAGTATGATGCCCCAGGACTGCCGCCTCCACTTTGCGTTGATCCACTCCCCGAGGACGCGGAGGAGACGCTCGGAGTCAACGAGAATGAACCCGGGCCCAGCCCGACACCAGCACTCACCAGCAACTCCTTGACCCGGCCTTCCCAGAGCAGGCGTACGTTCCAAGACTGGTCAATACGGATCTTAATGACCGAGTCGTTGGCCTCAATTTCATTGCCATCGTCTGCCTTGACGACGGAATCGGGTTGAACCGGGTCGGAGGCGAGTGGAGGGGACGGTGGGGAACCCGGGAGCGAGGCGGAGAAATCATGCAGGCGCATCTTGTGTCGGGCCCATTCAAGGCCGTCATCGGCAGATGTCGCTGATTTCGCGGATCTTCGCCAAAGTTCGCAACCAGCCACCATCTCACTCTCCCAGCTGTATACGTTGAAGCCAAAGCGAGAGCTGAATGCAAGATTCGGGGACGCACGAAGGGAGTATGTGGTGGATAGGGAGCCGGTGATAGGAGTAAGAGTGAGCGTTAAGGTATAAGGAAATGTGGATATTGGGGTGGGATTGCTGGTAGACGAGGACGAGGATAATGGCAATTGACTCGCCGCTGGAAGAGTGCTGAATCGCAGACCTGTTGACATGCCAACCAAAGAGGAGACTGGAGAGTAGTACGCCTCCGCACCGGCGGAAAGAAGTGATAATGCTGGCCGGGTATCGTCGCGGGTGTACCGAGGGTGGGAGCCAAAGTTCCAAAGGCCACGCCAGCCGAAAAGAGCATTATCGGTGCTAAATAGATATTCATTGCAGTATTTGCCAGTGTCATGGGACAATTGAGTCAACATCGAGGCTTGCGGCGCAGACTTTGATAGAGGTTGCCCCTGCGTTGAACAGACTGCAAGTGACAGCTGCATGGTCGGAGATATCCTTCGCAAGAATAGCGCATATAATGTGGTAGGCGAAGGAAGATGTAGTGAAGCATACATCAAGGTTGCTTTACGATGCGCTGCCGCTTCCGCCGATTGGTCTGCATCTTCAGGTACTGAGCGCGGTCCATCTTTGAGTCCGGAAATGCTAACACCATCAAGAAGAGAGTCCCATTTCCATGCGTGCAATGGAGCTACGGGAGCCTGGACCTGTCGATAACCAGGGGATACCTTTCGAAGAGGGATCAAGGAACTCCGACTAGGAGTATTGTCGAAAGGGACGGTGCTAAATAGGTATGAGACGGAGCCATCCAGTAAGCCCACGGTACCTAGAGTATAACTGGTGCCAAAGTGGGGAGTTGAGAGAGACGAAAGACGGACGCGCAGTCGCTCGGGGGTCGAAAAGTCCAGTATCGCTATGTTTGGTCATGTTAGATCACTTGTCGCGCATCCCTGAACACGCTAAACTTACACTGGGCAGTGGTCGTGAGCGATGAGTAGGAATTGTCCTGATTCCAGTTGGTCGCCTCAGCAAAGGCGAGCTGGATATAGTCCATAAAATCCAGCATTGTCCCTCGACGGCGCGGACGACGTAAGAAGAGAGTCCCGGCGTAGTGGATCGAAGACAGCGTCCCGCGATACGACCAGCTGCCGGCCTGATCGGGGCTAGCATGGTCGGATAAGCCTGGCACGTGATTGTTATCAGTGAAAAAAAAACCACAATGCGGCCGGCCACTACAGACGAACCATATTACGCCTTTTCAATTAGAATCCACCATAGCTCACAATGCCTCGTTCAAAGCGCGCGCGCGTGGTTCATGAGTCGAAGACGACCAAGAAAGACCACAAGGAGCAAACTCGCCGGCTATATGCCAATATCCGGGAATGTGTCGAGGAATATGATCACCTGTTTGTCTTTGCAGTCGACAACATGCGGAACACCTACCTGAAGGATGTGCGCACCGAGTTTGCAGACAGCCGGTATGTTTTTTTTCTTCGCCACTGGGAGTTATGGATAGGTCTTGCAATTTCAATGCGGAAATTCCTAGCTATGGTCATCCGAGAATCACCTTGATATCGGCCCACTAACCGTATGTCTCTCTAGTCTCTTCTTCGGAAAGACCAAAGTCATGGCCGTTGCTCTCGGTACAACACCCGAAAATGAAGCTGCTCAGAACCTGCACCGCCTCAACAAATATCTGACCGGTGCTGTCGGCTTGCTCTTCACCTCGCGCGCCGCTGACTCTGTGACCGATTATTTCGAGAACTTCCGCCCCCAAGACTTTGCTCGTGCCGGCACTGTTGCCACCCGCTCCTTCTCCATCCCCAATGGCTTGGTCTATTCGCGGGCTGGCGAGGTCCCCGCCGAATCTGATGAGCCTATTAGCCACACCATGGAGCCTGCACTCCGCAAGCTTGGTGTCCCGACTCGTTTGGTGAAGGGCAAGGTCATGCTGGAGCTGACTGAGGGACAGACCGGCTACCCCGTGTGCCGAGAGGGAGAGACCTTGGATTCTCGACAGACTACCCTTATGAAGATGTTCGGTGTGACTTCTTCCGAGTTCAAGGTTGACCTCAAGGCCTGCTGGAACCGCAACACTAGTGAGATCAAGATTCTGGAACAGGGCGATATGGAAGTCGATGCTTGAGAGCCGTGCTTGTACTGCATTTACCTCTCTTGTTTGACCCTAGTGAGGTTGACCAAAAAAAGATTCTCTATGGGCATCTTACGGAGTTTGGGGTGGGCGCTTATTGTTTCTTCTTCAATATATTGAACGTTATTTTCCCTCCATATATTCTTCTAGAAAGAGACCATTTCTTTCACCTTGATGTGCCTATGACAATAGATACCAAATTGGATGAAAAAGTCTACTCGTACCCTAGAAGCTCAGAACGAACCCAGATAAATGCATTCCTTACGTCAATTCACGTCTACCTAGGAAGATGCCTGCTATCAGGTCATTGCAATTGCTAGCCCCTTACCTGATCTTACCTGAGCATCGTTGATTCCCACCTGCCAAATTTCGACTAAAATACATACTTACCCCCCAAAGAGAGAAAGAGTGTGTGAGGCAAGAGGTCCTATGAGGGCCGAACACACTGAAACACAAATAAAGAAAGGAAATACCAAGGGGAAGGCAAAAAAAGGGAGGAAAAACTTTGGGAAATACAGAAATAGTTCGCCGGATTTTTGTCACCTGTGTCATGCAACAAATGCGCATAATTGATCAAGTGGCTGGGGCACGGTCGGATCACATATACCCGGGGATCATCAAAAGCATGAAGCGAAGGTGTGCATCGAGGATATCGACAACTGGCGCTGATCATCTCTAACCCGTTTTTCAAGTGCTCGAATATTCATCTTACCCCCTTACCATCGGTTTGAAAGGGATGCACAATGAACAAGATCAGGGATACCCACCAGCAAATAAGGGCTGAGAGGCAAAGTGAATAGTTTCCACGGGCAAAGAGAAATAGTGTTTAGTATCGTCTCCTGGAGCGCGGGTCATCATAGCCATCATCCTCACGATGACGCTTGCGGCTATGGTCTTCTCGGCCACCGCCGCCATACCTATCGCGATCACGCTCGCGATCACGGTCCCGGTAGCGATCGCGATCTCCATTGCGGTCCGAGGCGCGGTCACGGTCTCTGTAGTCACGGTCCCGGTCGTCGCGACGATCACGGTCCGAGGGTCCATCTCTGGGACGTACGGGCTCCCGGTTGCTGCCAGTTGCGCCGCGGTCGAATCTGCCTCCTCCTCCTCCTCCTCCTCCGTAAGAACCACCGCCAAATCCTCCGCTTCGTCCGCCCCCGGGGCCAGAGGGGGCGTTGGGTGGTGCTTGGCCACCGAATCCGTTGCGACCGCCTTGGTAACCAATGCCTCCACGGCCACCAAATCGATCACCGCCGCCGCGAAATCCTCCGCCTCGGAAGCCTCGCCCACCAAAGCCGCCTCGGAAGCCACCGCCATAACCTCCTGGTCCGGAGGGGGCGTTGAATCCAGGTCCCATGGGTCGCGAGGGCATTGCCTTGGTATATCCACGTCCTCCAAGACCTCCACCAAAGCGACGTGGCTTCCATCCCTTTGTCGTGCGGCCGCGCTCTACATCCACAAGGACTCGTCGGTCTTTGATCCGAATTCCATCTGTTTCCTTATAGGCCGCTGTGTGGTAGTTGTACTGGGTCAGCAATCAATATTCTTACCAAAATATTTGAGCTCTAGCGGAGTCTCCAAAAATCGACGGCCTGGCAATAATACCTTTCATGTCTTTCTCCCTTTCGTAAACGATGAACGCATAGCCTCTGTTGGGCCTCTTGGCTGCCTTTGGGGACACTGTGTCTTTGACGATGCGAATCTGTAAAGAACCCCCCTTAGTTTTCATGAAATCACAAGGCATTTAAATCTGGAAGCTTACGCGCTCAATGGGGCCGAAGCGGCCAAACTCCCGCTCCAGATCTGCTTCCTTCACCTCATAATTGAGACGAGCAACGAAGAGTGTCCTGAATGGGTCCCCTCGAGCTTGCGTATCCTTCTCTGGGTTGTCTAATGATGATTATGTATGATCAGTAAGGAAGCTCAAAACGCAGATGGCATACGTGACGCATACAGTCTTGCAGGCTGTCGTTCAGCTTTGCGGCTATCATCTCCTTCTGCTCCAATTTCTGGCGCCATTTGCGCTGGAGCCAGCACTCAGTAGCATTGTAAGGTGACTCTTCTTCAAAGGCTTTTGCTTCAGAGAGGTACTGGGCCACTCCGGAAATGGCGCTTTTCTTGCAGTCCTCTGGGGCGCGATCCGAGGGAGGAATATAGCGAAGGGGTGGCCGGGGCTGAAAAAGGGCCAGCAGAGGAGGAGGGAGCTTGTCTGTCATCGTGATCCCTCAGCCCGTTGCTTGCAACGTGAAGATAAGATGACGACTGTTGAAGCTGGATGAGATTCCTCAGGAGTGTCGCGTTCTGGTGTGGTCTCAGTAAGAGAGTTAGCCGCGGTAGACGTTCCAGACGCAGTAAGCGCAGAACTCACCGCCTCACGTGCACCAGAAAATGCCCCGGAAGAACAGCGGCTTCAAGGCGATGACAATTGAAAGGAAAAACCAACAGCCAAAATGCCTGTGCGAGGAATCAAAGCGGTCACGACTGCCAGGGTATGTAACACCGTCAAATACTTCATGCATTGTGCAATATTCCTGTATTCACAACTGACGCGATGCTCATTCAAAGAACGGTGTCGGTGCCTTCATCCTACAATGCAAACGCCTTGACTTCCACTACTGCAATTATGGTGGCAGCTCAAGAGGAATGCTGTGAGTTATTGCTGAATAAATGTGATTTAGTGATCATTCTAACTGAGATTGATCCATAGGAACTTCCTTACGGAAACCCTTCCCGCTTTTGCTCGCGAAAACCCTCAGGTTGAGATCCACGTTTCCCCACGACATTCGAAGCACCCTATGATCAAAGGCCACTATATCAATGGTCGAGAGAAGGCAATCTGTGTGCGAAATATGGAGCCTACTGAAATCCTGAAGAAAGCCATGATCCTCAAGGATGCAAGTGGAGAGAAGCTGAAGTCGCAGAAGAAGCCAATAACAAGTCTGAACGAGAGTGTGCGTGGTATTTGGTCACCATATCATGGTGATCTGCGTGGTGTATAATGTATGTGCGTTTTTCGTTTGCAGGGGTTTGCCTTGTTGCAGTCGCTACAGCCACCTGGCCGATGGCTTCAGTCACTGCATTTATTGTATCATTTATTTAGGCCACCATTTCCTTTCACTGTCACTCCTGTTTCTGCCTACTCACTTGTTGAGAAGCTGTTATCTCTCTGTGGTACCTTTACCTTATGCATTGCAAAGCCAAGCCACTATATCCGTGAATCAAACTCAAAATTCACATGTTCAATAGAGACAAGAAGTCAACAGCCCATTTAACATTCCTCTATCTTTAACGCGATCTACGCAAAGTTGGGACCTGGAAATGGAGAAAGAAGAGGCAGATTGAACAAATATCATGAACGTATGCTAGCAAAGAACCCAGGAGAAAGGTGGACCCGAAAACGCCGCCTTTTCAATGCATATTGGGTATCGACAAGAAACTAAAAAGACATGGCACATGAAAACACCAGCTGCGATGCAAATGAGGACCTCTAGTGAGCCTGAACGGCTTCACAGATATAGATGGAGCATAGCTGTGGGTGCGCTGACTTGTTTACCGCACCCCTCAACCTGGCATTTAGAGAATGGTTTGGTTCTTTGAGCAGTCTGTGCCTTCTTTGCTTTTGATAAAGATCGATTCTCGGCACATTCACCACAGTAAACCTGTTGGGAAGGTGTTAGCTTGTGATTGAACGGGTGGGATATTAGGGAAACAAACATGACCGCAAGGTTTTGCAACCCAAATCTCTTGCCTTTTGCCGTCCCCAGTGCCAAGCTCCCAGTTACAGTTGGGACAAATAGCAATGTCATCCTCCCCTAGAGTTCTGGTGAAGCCTGCTGGGGCAGGACTTGGAGCTTTATACCTATCACGTTGGCGCCGCTCCTCCTGGCGACGAGAAAGGGGGTCCATAGCAAAAGATGAAACGGCATAATCGAGAATGACCTCATTAGTGACATCGATAGGAGGTAGGCCCGCGGAGCTTCCGATGAACAACGAGTCACCCAAATTAGGCATAAACTGCCTATGTGCCCGTTGCAAGGCTCTCGGTAAAGTTCTGTCCAAAGGGGCAAGGCGATGCATGTCATGGGGATGTTGAGACCGAGCGCCTAGAGGGAAATTGGTAGGGAGCAAGCTCAAAGGATCCCACCGTCTGGGTGGCTGGCGGACAGTAGCCCGGACGAACTGAACCTCTGGACTACTGGAAGGACCTTCACCTGTATGGTCAGGCTCAACTTCCAGGTCAACAATGTCTGTTTCCGCCATGATATTCCTACCAAAGCGGGGAAGCCGTGAGGAGGTTGAGCCTTGAATGTCGGAGGAGTGGCGACGGGTATGTTGTGGAGGAGTTTCCGGTTCATTTGTGAGGTCAATCACATCCTCTGTTTGACTAGCTACTTCAGCTGGGCGTCTGAAGTCAAATCCATCTCGGGGTGTTCTCATGGGTGGCAAGCGAGCGGGACGGGAGCTGGATGTGTTCGGACGGGGAGGATGAAAGTGGTGATGCCAGGACATTTGGCTCCCATCACTTGATTCTTGGGACATTTGACGATGCGTGCGCTAAGAAAAGACAAAATTTGTTAGTCAAGAACTGAACTAATTATCAGTTGCCCCGCGCTTTCAACCTTCAGGTTGTTGCTTACCTTGGACCTGGCGCCCACGAACTGGACGCCAGGGTCTTCACTCATATCAGTTCTGGTACCTAAAATACACTGGAAAATGGACCCAGGTGTGTTAACAGATACAGAAGACGACTCCAGTAGAGTCGAGGCAGTCGCATGATCCTTGGTCGACATAACGAGCAGGCCCGAGTCCCCAGGCGGTATTGTTCTGCCGTGATGTGAAAAAGCGGAGATAACTACTAGGCGGTGAAATGATGGCGATAGCGTCCTCGCCATAGAGGGAAATGGGAACAAGATCAAATATACCGAGATCGCTAAGCTTGGCACAAGAGCTACTCTATATACTGATAAATTGCTGCTTCTATTGTTTGTAGACTAATACTACGCCAAGGGAAATAAGGATAAAGCCCTATTTCCTGCTGGTTATAACATGAGAATTCCACAAATGTGAAATCTGACTGCAGATAAAAGCAGGATGCTGAATCGAAGATTGATATTTCAGAGAGAAACTAGCGTATCATCACGAGTTCCCACGTGATTTATTGCCTGGTATACGTATATGCAGAATAATTCTCATCGCCATCTGACTATTGCCCATGCTGTGGTTGGATGTGCATGCATGTTACCGTCCAATGTACGACGTATTCAAGAATGATTCGTATTTATCGCGGTACCCTATGCTCTATCTATATCTGCCAAGATATAGGGTGGGTCTGCTATATAGGACCCATGTAATTCATGAGACAGTCTTGAATGATTAAGTTTTTCTGATTTGGGAATTTGGAATCCACCCCACAATGTACAGCCATGAAGCAAATAGACACTAGGCTTAATGGTGAATTAGAGTTTTATGCTTTGGCCAGAAAAATTGCGAGGCTGATGAGATGAGGCATATGCCTGGTGTATGAGTATTCAGAGCCCTTTACATTCCGATATCGTGCTCGTTACACAAACCCACAGCACGCAATTCAGCTTTGGTCGAAACGAATTGTCAGTTTCTCTGTGAGTTCAACTCCAATTTAAGAAAGAGCGCTCAAACGAGAGGTAGAATTGAAAGTAAACGGGGTAATAAATATGGATTGTATTTTAATTTTCCATGCAAGTAAGAAGTCATAACATCGAAGAACACCGTGGGAACGCAGATATCCGGCTGTAAAATTACACGTTTAAGCTCCATAAGATAATGACTATGCGGCAAGCACGGTAACTGCACCACTCTCGCTCAAGGCCACAATGCTCTGAGCAGCAGATCCCCAAGCCACAGCCACAGCTGGCACGGCACTCCGTAGAGGCTCTGACCACTCCTTCGAAGCCTTGTTAAATTGTTGGACAGTCACGCCGCTGGGACCACCTGTCAAGAGGAATTGACCAGTGTAATCCCAGGATAGCGAGTAAATTTGGTTCCCGGTGTCCAGCACCTTGGTTTCCTTGGAGCTGCGAAGATCCCAGATCGATACGGTGGTGGACTCTGCGGCCACGGCAGCCAAGAACGTACCATTCTCGGAGAAGAAAAGCCCCTTCACGGACCCAGTCATCGCGTATTCGGCAGCAGCGGCTCCGGTCTTGACATCGAAGATCTTGACTTGGCCGTTCGCACTACCAGCTGCCAGAAGGTGGCCATCAGGGTGAAAGTGTACAGACAACAAAGCTTGAGAAAAAGGGTCAGTGTTTTGGCAACTATCGCCCAAGTCGAGAGAATAGTTCTTACCAGCATCAGTGAAAATTTGGTTGATAACAGTGCCAGTTACCAGATCATAGAGGACATAGCTCTTATCAACACCAACGGAAGCGACAATATCGCCAGTTGCATGAATTGCAAGTGCAGTCACCTCGCCGGCATGAGATGAAAAGCTAGCAACTGCACCGCCATTTTCGAAAACCTTGACCGAACCAGTGGCAGAACCAACAACCGCCTTGTCGCCGGCCCAGGCGGCATCGGTCACCGGACCGTCGACCTTCAACGTCTGTACAACGACATTCTTGGAAATGGAGTAGACACCAACAACGCCGTCAACACCGCCGACAAGTGCCAAATCTCCACTGGCATTAATGGAAAGGGCACGGCCGCCAGGATAGAGAGGCTCTGAGGTTTCAATGGGCTTCAAGGCAGAGATAGCCTCGGTGTTGGCCCAGCCCTCGGGCACTGGGCGCTTCCGACGCGTCTTAGACAGACTGTGAAAAAGAGATAAAGTCAGCAAAGCAGAGCAAATCAATACCAAGCAAGAGCACATACGCAGCCTGTGTGTTTTCCACTCGCTCCAATACTGCCTGGGGCAAACCGGCAGAGTCAACCTGCATAGCCTCACCACTGGAGCGGGTAGCGCCAACAGTGACCTTTGAGAGCGCGTCACGGGCCTCATCACGCTCCTTGGTCAGTCGCGCAATCACTCGCACGGCCGCATCGTGTTGGTAAAGCGCCGCACTGAGTTCTCGCCGAGTCTGTGCCAAGTTCTGCTGAAGGGTATATGTTTCAAGAGCAAGGGCATCCCATTCCTCCTGGAAAACACTGAGAAGAGATGGAATTGAAGTGAGGGTGGGAGGGCGAGGTCGAACAACGCGTTGCGACTTGACATCGATTAAATCTTCGGCAGAGAGCTCTTCACCGTTGACGGGGTCTTTGCCATGTTCGGCAATGTATGCTTCAACAAGGCGCTTCTCAAAGACGCTGCCTGCTCTGATGTTAGATCCAGATACGATGTGCGATAGAGGATTGATTAAGCATACCGCTCTTCGGCGAGACGACCGGCACCTGGGGTGCCTCTCCGGAAACTGCGGTAGAAATTTGATTAGATCAATTGATCCCCAGAAAGCGACGCTGATATCATCGAAGGTAGAGCACTCACTTGCGCAGAGCATGATTGAATGGGGAATGGATAGAGGGAGATGGATGAGGAGGAGCTGACGCGGAGCGGCTCCAAAGGGACTTTTCGATGAGTCCCGTTCCGGTTTAGCGCGGCGTCGAGCTGTTTGCGCCGCTTTGGAAGATGCGCCGTGCACTTCAAGCTCATTCCACCCTCACACCCCCTTTGGTGGTGACATTCAATTACTGAAGGGCTTGATGGTTGTTTTCGAATGATTCTTCGTCCGCAGTTCCCGACAAGGCTATACAGCATGATCTAGACTTGAAAAATCCTAATCCCACCGCCCAGTGTCACCCGGCCATGTCGAAGAACTCGAAGCTGGCCTATGGTACGCGCCTCCCAATTCCCTCGCCGAACCTCTCCTTACGCACTATATAGAGGCACAGGAGCCTGCATTTCTTCAGAAACTTCGTGGTCACTACGGAACTTCCTCCGGTCGCCTGGAGCGACCTGCTGCACGGCCGCGCAAGGCCAAGAACAACGATGACGACGATGATGCACCTGTCTATGTTGACGAAGAGAGCAATGAGGTGATTTCAAAGGAGGAATATCAAGCCTTAGTCGGTGGAGGTAGCGCGGATCAAACGAAGGACTCGCCGTCTGTTCAAGGTGAACCCACAGCCGAGGGACAGGACCAAGCGCAAGCTCAAGCAGAACCTGTGGCGAAGCAAAGTAATCTGACTGAAGTCGGCGGCCAAAGGAAACGCAAACAGGCGAAGGTTGTGGGTGAGGATAAGTCTGATGAGAAGGTCGACGAGAAGAAGATGGCCGACAATGCACAGTCCAAGGTGCCAGCTTCTCGGAAACCCAAGAAGGCGAAGAAAATCAAGCTCTCCTTTGATGAAGAGTGAAATTAGAAAAATTTTAAATATAGCGCATATGAATATGAAGCGCTTAGAAAAGCGTCTGAACTTAGGCGCATCCGGAGTCCAGGTTGATTCATCATGAGTCAAATCCAATCGTTACACTCACCCGCCTTCGAGCGCGAGCCCACACAAATAGCACATTCGCGTCATAGTTCAGAATGAAACCGATCTAAATAAAATATCTCCTTGGAAAAAAAAACCCCCATGAAGGACTCTGCGTAGAATTCTGTATTGGTGATTTGTTCTCAAGGTGCCGATATCATTGTCGGCATCGGCCCTAGGCGCGACTTTCTATTCCGCATTTCTCAGCAACTTTTTTTTCTCCGGCCAGTCGGACGACTTTCTCTCTCCACCACTTCTCATCTACTGGACCTGCGAGACACTGGGAGAGGGTCAGCACCAGTCAAGATGCCTGTGGTCAACGTCGACGACCTCGTCCGCCTCCAGCGGAAGCCCGAGGATATTCGCAATGTGAGTTGTGCCCCTCCATCCCACCTGTGATGTCAGGCCCGCGGTATACTAATCCCGAACTTAGATCTGCATCCTCGCCCACGTCGTAAGTTAAGGCACCAAGTCTAATGTTTCCATCAGAACCCATGTGATTGACGAGTCTCTTTTCTTTCCTTCAAGGATCATGGTAAGACCTCATTGTCCGATAGCCTGATCGCGACCAATGGCATCATCTCGCCTAAGCTAGCGGGCAAGATCCGCTACCTGGACTCTCGTCAAGACGAGCAGCTCCGAGGTATCACGATGGAGTCTTCAGCTATCTCCCTATTCTTCTCGATGCTCCGCCGTCCCAGTCCGGATGCGGCGCCTGTCCCGAAGGAGTACCTGATCAATCTGATTGACTCGCCGGGACATATAGACTTCAGCAGTGAAGTCTCTACAGCGTCCCGTTTGTGTGATGGTGCCGTCGTCCTCGTTGATGCTGTTGAAGGTGTTTGTAGTCAGACGGTGACCGTTCTGCGCCAAACCTGGGTTGAGCAACTGAAGCCGATCCTCGTCATCAACAAAATGGATCGGCTCGTGACAGAGCTTATGATGAGCCCTAGCGAAGCTTATTCGCATCTCAGTAGACTCTTGGAGCAAGTCAATGCAGTGATTGGCAGTTTTTACCAGGGAGAGCGCATGGAGGAAGACTTGCAGTGGCGCGAGCGTATGGAAGACCGGGCCAACGCCGCTGCTGCCCGGGACAAGGATAAGGCCAAGAAGCAGTCTTTAGATGATGAGTCCACTCAGAGTGTCAGTGAAATCGCTGACTTTGAAGAACGGGATGACGAGGATCTCTACTTTGCCCCTGAAAAAAACAACGTCATCTTCTGCAGTGCAGTTGATGGCTGGGCTTTCACTATCCGTCAATTTGCCGCCATCTACGAAAAGAAACTCGGTATCAAGCGGGCTGTTCTAGAGAAGGTCCTCTGGGGTGATTTCTACTTGGACCCCAAGACAAAGAGAGTGCTTGGCCAGAAGCATTTGAAGGGTAGGGCATTGAAACCTATGTTCGTACAGCTGGTTTTGGATAGCATCTGGGCTGCATATGAAGCGACTACAGGCGGAGGGAAAGGCAAAGGGTAAGTTCATAGGGACTTTATAACCATTGGACTAGGGTGTCTGATGCTAATGGGCTCTTTTTAGCGATCCGGTTTTGTTGGAGAAGATCACCAAGTCCCTGAACATCACCATCCCGCCATACATTCTGCGCTCGCGTGACCCGAAGAACATCATGACTACCCTTTTTTCCCAGTGGCTACCTCTATCAACTGCAGTACTTGTTTCTGTCATTGAATACCTGCCCAGTCCCCCGGTGGCACAAGCTGCCCGACTTCCAGACATGATCGAGTCATCTCCTGGCTCGGATCACATCTCCGAAGAGATCAAGCAAGCCATGATCGACTTCAAGACAGGCCCCGAGCAACCAGTGGTTGCGTACGTTAGTAAGATGGCTGCAATTCCGGAGAGTGAATTGACGTCGAGCAAGAAACGCAGCGGTGGTACTATGACCGCAGACGAGGCTCGAGAAATCGCTCGCCGCAAGAGAGAAGAGATTGCAAAGATGCAAGCCGAGGCTGGCGCCGGCCAAGGCGATGACTTTGCCCAAATGACCTCGTCATTCGCGAACACATCCTTGATTACAGAGGTAGAGGAGCCGGAAGAAGTGGGCGAAAAGGAAGACAAAGAGCATCTGATTGGATTCGCCCGGCTTTATTCGGGAACTATCTCGGTTGGAGACTCAATTTATGTGCTGCCGCCCAAGTTCTCACCAGAAAATCCACATGCCAGCCCAGAACCAAAGAAGGTCACTGTCACAGACTTGTATCTTCTTATGGGCCGGAGTCTTGAGCCACTGCAGTCTGTCCCGGCTGGTGTGGTCTTCGGAATTGGAGGTCTTGCAGGCTATGTCCTCAAGACAGGTACGCTTTGTAGCCAACTTGAAGGCAGTATCAACCTGGCTGGTGTCTCGTTGAACACCCCTCCCATTGTCCGCGTTGCCCTTGAGCCAGCAAACCCCGCGGACCTCAACAAGATGATCACCGGCCTGCGTCTACTTGAGCAGAGTGATCCCTGCGCCCTATATGAGGTGCTCCCAAGCGGCGAACACGTTATTTTGACGGCGGGTGAATTGCATCTAGAGCGATGCATTAAAGATCTCCGCGAGCGCTTCGCTCGGTGCGAAATTCAAACCGGCGAGGCTATTGTCCCGTACCGGGAAGCCATTGTCGACGCAGCTGAGATGGCTCCTCCCAAGAATCCGGAGCTTGGTCGGGGAGGTGTTGTAGCTGTTTCCTCGTCTAAGCAGATGACTGTGCGCCTTCGCGTTGTACCTCTGCCAGAGGCTGTGACCGAGTTCCTTACCAAGCAAGTTGGAACCCTCAAGCGGGTTCAGCAGGAGAAGCGCAATTCCACAGAGGCCGAAGCAGCCGTGGAGGGTACTGTTGAAATAGTTCAGCAAGTGGACTCTGCTGATGTCGATGCTACTGGCGAAGCCCGCGAGGGTAATATCCTGTCCTTGAAGGAATTCCGCGAGGAGCTGGACAAAGTGTTTAAAGAAGAAGTCAAAGAAGACCAAGAGCTATGGAGGAGCGTCGTCGACCGAATCACTGCATTTGGACCCCGACGAGTAGGACCTAACATACTAGTCGACGCTACCACGGTCAACTCTTGTGATAAATTGTAAGTTGGGCTCTCACCAATGCCAGATATAAGCAACCAGCGCAACTACTAAACACCCTTACTCTCTAGCTTGCTGGGCGACAAACAAACCACCATTTCCCCCGACGACCAAAAGGCGCTGCTGATTCGCGACTTCTGTGACAAGATTGCATACGCTTTCCAGCTTGCGACTGGCCAAGGACCTCTCTGCCAGGAGCCCATGCAAGGCGTTGCTGTCTTCTTAGAAGACCTTTCCGTCGATGTCAGCGCTGGCGACGACCTGGACAAGGGCCGTCTGACAGGCGACTCGATCAAGCTTGTCCGCGAAGGTATCACCCAGGGCTTCCTCGACTGGAGCCCCCGCATTATGCTCGCAATGTACAGTTGCGAGATCCAAGCAACGAGTATGTCCACTTCGCAATCCCCCCCCCCTCTCCCCACCCCAAGGTGAAAATCAACACTAGCTAACCACTCATCCCTCCTTAACAGCCGAAGTCCTGGGCCGTGTCTACGGTGTGATCACCCGCCGCCGTGGCCGGATTCTGTCCGAGATCATGAAAGAAGGCACGCCCTTCTTCACAATCCTCGCGCTCCTTCCCGTCGCCGAGTCGTTTGGGTTCGCTGAGGAAATTCGCAAGCGCACGTCTGGCGCGGCCCAGCCGCAGCTTATTTTCGCAGGCTTCGAGGCTCTTGACGAAGACCCCTTCTGGGTGCCCGCGACCGAGGAGGAACTGGAGGACTTGGGTGAGTTGGCGGACCGTGAGAACGTGGCGAAGCGGTATATGGACGCGGTCCGCATGCGAAAGGGATTGGTTGTACAGGGGCGGAAGTTGATTGATGCGGAGAAGCAGAAGACGTTGAAAAAATAAAGCAGTGCTGGGTGCTGGGGATGTGGTTTGTTCTTATTATGTCGATGCATTTGATTCATGTTGGACGGACATAGAAAGAAAAGAATGGATTGGCTATCTATGGATTTAACTGTTTTTATATAACTGTCTATCTAACCCGCAGATACTGCTTTGCTAGTGCTTTCAATATTTATACACATTGGCATACAGAGTTGAAATGTAACACCCAAATCACTGTCCAGTCACAGAAGATTCAAACAGAAAAGAGTGATGAGAGGGTTCACAGTAGATGAGAGTCCGCCGTGTGATTTCCGAAGGAAATCCGTCATTCTACCTCCATTGACAAACACAGCCCGACATGGATGAGGTCTCGACCGTGTATACTAAGGAGGGGTAAAGGAAGAGATGGATAAACTAGCTCTACTGTAAAAAAAAGGAGAAGACCGAGCCAGGCTGACTCTTGCAGAGGTAGGTCTTATCAATTCCCAGACTCTGCATATTGAATTCACCTATTGAACGGGGAATCAGAAGAATATGCAAGGTTTCTTTTTCATTCGTAATTCAAGGGGTATCTCAAGGTTGCCAAAGGCAAGGCGGGGAAGTCGAAGCCCGCGGCGCAGCATTGCTGAAACATCCAATTCCACCCCGAGCGGGATGGGGCATCGCGTGGGTATGGATTGGTTACCCGGTGTAAATAGTGGGATGCATCATGGAGAACAAATTCTCCGCAGGACACACCCTTGGACTCTGTAGATGCAAACCCGGGGCATCGAGGTTGTGAGCACACTCCTTCGAAGTGGGTGCGCGGGTGCATCACGGAAGATCCGAAAGGATCCCTCAATATCTTCGTGAATGACATGCACGGTATATCTCGGGTGGAGGAAATTACTCATATTTCAGAGTGAACAAAGACCCGGAAGTCTCGCGTGGACAGGGATTAAAAGGCAACAGCAGAGTGCCGAACCCCTCAGTATGGCCGCGCAACCTTCCGCTGCTCACCGAGCCCGGTGACAGGGTCACGCATCTCCTTCCAGCTGATCGGGAACATCATATTTCCAGCCTCGCTGCGGGCCATGACCACGCCGAGATCATTCCGGGCCGTGGTGAGGTAGTAGAAGCTCTGGTCGCCGAGCGAGATCACCGACCCGCGGACAATATCGCCAACGCGGAACATCTCGTCCATAACCACGCGGTCCTTCTCGACAGCACGGACATCCTCCTTACGGATGAGTGCCTGGAAGCGCAGCTCATCCGTGCTGCTATGGTTTTCCGGATTAGCGGCGGAGGTGAGAATGGAGGCGACGTTGTCGTTGTCCGAGGTGGCATGAGCAGGATCGGTGCTCTGTGCTTGGACATCATCGAGAACGACAAGAATAGAGACGGTGGCTTGACGCTTCTGCACGCGAGTAACCCGAGCGAGGACAATGGAGTCAACAGCGGGCAGAGTGTTGTATCTTGTCTTCTGCTTTGCGGCAGGTGTGGTGCCAGAGCTAACTACAGGGGCTGAAACTGCTTGGTTTACACCTGCAGTCACTCGGGACACTCGCAGAGTTGATTTATTTTCTGTCTTTGACTGGGCGGGATCAACGATGACAGGGCCGGCGATGGAGGCGTAGATGTTGGATTGCTGAACATGCGTGCCTGGTCCTGAGAGATATGCAGAGACAGGGCCTAGGCGTTGCCCTGGAATAGCCACAGGTGGAAGAGAGCTTGTCATTGTGGTGGTGGCCCTTGGGGGCTTGAAATTGCAGATATCAAAGTGGAAGGTTCCGGTGGTAGCAACGGAGGGATTTTTCTGCCGGGAAGCTTGCTCGGCGCGGAAGTAGGTTTCCCCGCCACGGCCTGGTTGGAGCGAAATAGCATCTATAGGAAGAATGAAACGACGGTATGTTTTGTAAATTCCTGGAATTCTGATAACCAACGACCACCTAGTTACTAAATAATGCCCTTGCGGCGCACAGAGAGGAATTAATTATGAAGGGCCCCATATCTAGCATGAATACACGGTGTATGCTTGGAAACAATGAAGAGACAGTGGCACCGGCCCAAGAAATTCGAGAATCAGGACGCGGAAAGGAGAGGGGAAAAAACAATAATAGAAAAGGCCCTGACCACTCCAAATGCCCGCTGACATAAAAACGGAATTCAATGGATTCAATGCCCATACAAACACCCAGGTAAGAAAGAAGAAAGACAGGAAGAGATAGGGAGGAGAAAATCGAGATGGCCGACGGGTAACGAAAGGACCGAACAGACAAATTGCCGTGTACACACGAGTAATTAACTTGCATATTTCTATGCCTCAACCAAGGTCTGCTTGGGACCCGCTCCGAGTAATTCCAGGCATCGTCGTGCAAGCGCAATGACTTCGCCTTCGCCATCGTCCCCGTCCTCCGCGTCCGACTCAATGTTCTTGTCGGAGATCGTCCTCACCATCTGCACTACGTCCTCAGACCGGGAGATATATCCGATCAACTTCTTGTCTTCGGATTCGAGAAGCTGCAGAAGGGTCCAGATGGCAATGTGCTGGAATGTGGGGTCTCCGCTTGCAAGGAACCGCTGGAGGTAACCGTGTATCCCTCCATTCGGATCGGCCCAGTCACGGACAAAGATGGAATAATCGCCGACTAGATGATACTGTTAGCGATGGACTCGACGGTGGCTTGAACGGCATCTCAAGGTTTGATAAAAAAAACATACCCTTAGAAGATAGATTCCCCAAAGCTGCGGCACTGTTCCCTTGCACCTCAATACTCTCTGAGTTAGTCAGGGGTATTAAGACGTCAAATACGCCCAGACTAAGCAGATGAGGCTTCAGCTCATCGCTGAGAGCCAGCACAGCGATCGCCGCGGTCATTTCAGATTGGACGGTTAGTGGCACCCGAAGGACCAGATCCTTGCATTTTTGAACAGCACCAGCTTGCAATACAAGTTCCTTGTTGCGATCGGAGCTGGCTGCAAGATTCCGGAGAGTGGAAATTGCGTGGCATTGAATCTCCTCGTTATCAGTTGAGCCCAAGAGGTCGACCAGAGGCTTTAGGAAGCCGGCTTCAATAATAGGGGACTCGTTGAGCGGATGAATAGAGATGTTACGGATGCAAGCCACAGCCGAAAGGATCAGAGGAAGGTAGGAAGATTGGAGGAGACGGAGGAGCGGAGAAAGACCTTTGGCACGAACGATCTCCAGTTGGTATTTCTCATCGGAGGCGAGGTTACGTAGAGCAAGCGCAGCTTGGCATTGAACCTTGGGGGTGGAGGAGTCCATCAGGTGGACCAAAGATTGAACCAGTCGAGACTCAGTTTGGGCGAGTCGCTTGCGATTTGTCGAGTCAACGGCAATGTTGCTGAGGGCGGTTGTGCAGTAATATTGGACATCAACGTCGGGGGAAGAGAGGAGATGCACGAGAACAGGAATGGCACCGGCGTTGACAAGTTGCTGGCGGTTATCATCTGATTCCTTGGGTTAGTGGTTTGCCCCTGGATGTCTCTGCTGGGCGTCGGCAGGGCTTGGACGAAATGCGACTTACCGGAATGGGTCATGTTGAGAAGCGCGCCTGTCGCATTGCGCTGAACGCGCATGTCCTTCGATTTAGCGAGGCGGATTAGGGGGCCCAGTGCTCCTGAACGAGCGATCTTCGCCTTGTTTTCCTCATGGGTTGCCAGGTTCGTAATACATCCGACCGCATTGCATTGTACCTCGACATTCGGCGACATCATCTGGCGGATCAGAGGGGCCAGCCCTCCGAGGGCGACAATCAAGACTTTGTTCTCCGCTATAGCTAGGTCAGCGGTCGGGGACGGTAAGTCGCGGAGCGGATCAGGGGTGCGGTGCATACCATTGACGGCCAGGTTGCCTAACGCCGCACTGGCGGCTCGTTGAACCTCAATATCGGAACTCTGGAGCAGGAACAGAATTGGTTCGAGCGTGTCCCGATCGACTTCGCGCACATCTGGAGACCGGTGTCAGACGAATATTCCCACTTCCAGGGGCCCATTTCCTTGGCCTACCTCGCTCGGTGATCTCCGCAAATGTCAAGCTAGCGCTTCGCTGCAAATCGACATTATCGGAGTAGACGAGGGTGCTGAGCGCTTGAAGCGGCTCTCCCGCAAAGAAATCGGTTTCGGTACGCTATAAAGAGAGAAAGGGGAGAACCCCCGTTGAGTTAGCAGACGTGCGAGGGAAGTGGAAACAAGAACCCGCTCCCCCCGATCGGGGCAGAGGGAGCGTGCATCGCGAATGCGAGACAGCCGCGGACGGGAACATACGTTTTCCAGGTATCCCAGCAAGTCAGAGACTGCTTCTCGTTCATTATCTGCGAGGGTGGTTTCGTAGATGCCATCCCGAGAACGGCCTCCACCTAGGCAGGCTGTGATATGACACCATCGGTCGACCGCCGACAGGCACGACAGACAGGTGGTCACGATTCCACTCATGCCTCCTCAACAGGACTGCATCAGGGCCGTGCGGCTGGGCAAGTGTACGAGGAGTGAAGGTCGAGGGCGTCCAGCGATGCACCGAAGAAATCGGTGAGGGGAGAGGGGGGAGGGGGGGGATCTGCCAGAACGAGGGGAGGCTGGAGGCTGGAGGCTGGAGAAGACGGGCAACGTCGTTGCATACACCCGTGTCAAGCTTCGGGACGGGAACACAGAGCAGGCGCGTGATAAGGGTGAGGAAGTTGAGCTCGGATCGGATCAAGGCCTGTGGCCTTCAAGAAGTAAGGGCGATCGGAGGGAAGGAAAGATGGGAGAGGGAGGGGGTGGAGAGGATGGAGGTTGCAGAAGCTCACTAGCGTTGGCCCCGTCTATCAGGCTATCGGGCTCAGACTATCAAGGCTATCACACCCCGGATACGTCGAGCACTCGACCTTTGTACGGGGGGACACTCGGGCTCGGCAGTGATGAAGAAACTGAGAGATGCGCCCGCGGGTCTCTTTTGAGGTTGAGGTTTGATGTTTTGATGTTTCTTTTCTTTTTCCGGTGCGATGATTTATGGGGTTGCTTTTCCTTTTATTTTTCCTCGCGCCTAGATTATAGGCCTTGAAGGTCCAGGATCCGACTGAGTCCTCGCAGTTCGACCTAGGCAAGCTGCCGGGTTATGACGGGCCGCAAGCTCTTCCCCTAAGCGGACGGTACCCGCCTATTGTGGCGCTTGGGTTTCATTCAACCCAATTTCCCTTTCCCTCCCGGATCTCTCATGTGAAAATATAGATAGATAGGTCGAGAGAGACACGCATATCCATGTCTGTATATGAACTGTACACGAGAATCTACGAAAAATCCAATTTCATGCAATCGGACGTGAATGGAGGTCATGCCAGCCATCCGCTCGTGCTGGAGAAACCCGACTAGGAACTTCCGCGCCCACGACACTGCCACTGGGAAACTTGGCAACACCCGAAGTATAAGAACCGTTGATCCTCTGATCCGTTGTCTACAACCCAGCCTTCGCAAATCCATGCCCAATACACAGCGTCTTTCACTCCATCAGTATGTCGTCGTATCGCTAGTGGTTTGCTAGGATCGTCCATGTCGTCGATAGGTGACATACTGTGCCGTTGTCCCCCCGGGGGGGGGACTATACCGCCCGAACGGTATCTGTGACTACCCCCTATATACATTCTATATTTCGGAGTATAGAGTATATACTGCAAGGGCATGTTGAGTGTTTCTAGTTTCTTGGATTCATTTTCCTCCTTCGCGTCTCTCTCTCTCGGGTCTCTTCTACACAGACATCCAGACCGATCCCGATACATTGGAATCTAGGTACCGGTATACCCCCGATCCTGTCCTCGGTCGAAGCCGATAAGAGGATCTATGGAGGGACAGGAGAGTTTCGGGATCTGGAAACGGGCGATGGAAGCCCCCTCCTGGACCTTTCTATTCTCGGGTGCCGCGATTGCTGTTTCTCTCGTCCCTTTTCACTTGCTCTTTCTCTTTCTGCTTCCCGAGGTCCGTGCAGACAGGGGTCCAATGACGACGGATCGTCTCTGTTCGCCCGTGTGATTCCTCTAGTGACGCAGGTGATCACCGGACGGATGATCCGCGTGAAAAGAGGGCGACGGCAGCGGAGGCGCGGTATCTCGAGGTTTCCCGGTATACATCACATGAAGGGGCGATCCACTCGGGGACTCTCACCAGCGGACCAGACAGACCAAACAGACCAGACAGGCCCGACATCCATGTAAATCTCGACCCCCGACGATATCACCATGTCACTCCATATATATCCCCAGGTACTGGCTGATCTCTTGATCTCCGACATCTACCAGGCACCCGCGGAACCAGCAGGCGAGTGGCGGGCTTTCCAAGATCGGCGCCCAGAGTCTCCCCCAATCATGCGGGCCGGCTAAAACCGACGCAACTCGGGCCGGAAGAGGCTATTTCCCCGCAAAAAAGAAGAGGCGACAAAGACGCACGGCAGCGGCCAAAATCCAAAATCCAACCTCAGACAGGCTCAGATGATCGCACGACTGAACCCGCTGGGAGCCGCGCCGAGTCCGAAGATCACAATGACGGCGCTGTAGATTCCAGAATCCCACGTTCCCCGTCGTCCACTCACCACGCTCGCGACGATTTTCTGACGTAGATCGGTGCTCCAGACCCAACGGACCGAAGACCCTTTGCGAGTCGATGGCCCCATCGCGAACCATGTTCGATGGCCTGCGAAAAAACCGGTGAATCTCCTCGATTGCGCTCTAGCATCCGCCCATTCGAGCCGGGCTTTGGGCCCTTTCTGTAGCCCCGCGCCCTCGAGGAGCCGTCGTCTTCGATTCTGCTTCACGTCCTCGTCGCTGCTGCTCGCTGACTCCCCCGTATCACCGTTTCGCAACTTCGCCTCCGCAAGCCAGAACCAACGCCGCCCCCTCCCCCTCGTTGCCCCATTCCCTGCCCATTCTTCGTCTCGTGCCAACCTTCGCTTCTCCCCCGCCCTCTGCTCTTTTCCACCCGCTTCTTCTTCTTCTTCTTCTTCTTCTTCTTCTTCTTCTTCTTTCGTCTCATCCTCTCCTCCGCTCATCCCTCCATCCCTCCATCCCTCCATCCATCTATCCCTCCAGCCTCCCGCGCTGGGAACATTGCCCGCTATTCTTCTTTCTTTCTAGTATTTTCTGTCTTTGTTCCACCCGCGCTCCACGATGCCCTGGTAAAAGCCGCCGCCGTGAGCCACTTCCTCAGCCCAGTTGCAGATCCCACTCTCCAAACTAGTGACGTCCCCTTTGAGCGCCCCTCTCCTCGCAATTCTGCTCAATCCTTTCCCCATTGCCCGTTCAGCAGCGCCCCAGAACGTGATTCCATTTGCGTTGTGTCGCGTGCTGCAGAGACCATAACCAACCATCTCGCACGCTTCCCAGACAACGAGTTGGCAGACACTCACCCTCATGTCGGCCTCAACCGCCACCGCCTCCGCCTCGCTTGCCGACTCGTCTCGCCCGGGGCGACTCCGCCGCCTGAGCCAGCTTCGTGCCTACACCCAGAATCTTTCCCATTCCTCCCCCAGCAGTGGACAGCGGTCGCGCACTGGCCTGAGTAGTCGTGTGCCTTGGTTGTCACCATCGTCCCCATCGGGCCCAGAGTCCTTCCCGGTGGAGAGCTCCACTCCTCCAGGTCCCGACAGTGACCAACCAGCCCTCTCTCGCTACACCTCTGCACCCACCACGAGCTCCCACGGCCTCGGCGTCGACACACAAACGTCATCGGCCGATTCATCGCGATCAACTCCTCCCAACGAACTAATCCAGTCGCAATCCCACGCCCCGTCCCAGCCCGCCAATGCCATGGCACGACTCAGGAGTCTTTCCGCCGTCCAGGGCCGACCGCCGCGAAATCTGGGGCGCATCACGACCCCGGACGCTCCAACCTCTTCCCCAGAACCCCCTTCCGCCGGGGGCGATGCGCCCGACGTCTCTGGCAGCACCCCGGTAGATGCTCAGTCGTCGTCGCCGCCGAAACCAAAACAGAAGGCGACCATTCGATTTTTTCCTTACCAGGAAACCTTCCAGAGCTCGCGACCCTCCTTACCTTTTGTCCCAATCACTCGCACGCTACCTTCCGAGAGCTGTGTGATTCGAGTCGGCCGTTATTCCGAGCGCGATGGGATTCCCATTCCAAACCCCGTCGAACCATCGGATGCCCCCGTGGGCTTCAAGTCTAAGGTAGTCAGCCGTAAACACTGCGAGTTCATGTACACAAACGGCCAGTGGCATATCAAGGATGTCGGAAGCTCGTCGGGCACTTTTCTGAATCACATGCGGTTGAGTCAGCCGAATATGGTCTCGCGACTGTATTCGATCAAGGATGGCGATATTGTGCAGCTGGGAATTGATTTTCGGGGAGGCGAGGAGATGATCTTCCGATGTGTGCGAATTCGAATCGAATGCAATCGATCCTGGCAGCAGCAGCCTAATGAGTTCAAGTAAGTCACACTCTTCTCAATTATTCAGCACAATCGACCCTTCGGACATGGAGCTAACCATTGGAACAGCAAAAATACCGAAAGCTTAATCAAGAACTTGGGCAAAGGTGATACTGCCGATTATTCAGGCTGTCGAGAATGTTCGATTTGCCTCGGCTCGGTCTTGGTTCGTCTGCCCTTCCTCCTATCCCCTTACGTCCAAAAACAGGTTCAGGTGCTAACTGTGACGCAGCGGCCTTATCAGTGTTTATTCATGGCAGCTTGTGCGCACGTTTGGCATTACAAATGTATCAGTCGCTTGCTCCACTCACCTGACTACCCTATGTTCCAGTGTCCCAACTGTCGTGCCTTCACTGACCTCAGCGCTGAGGTTGACGACACTAATGATGTCGACCACGAGAAGGGAGAGAAGACGCCTGCAGATGGAGAAGCTGATGCCCTAAATGTCTCAGAAGGTCGTCCATCGGAGCCACAACTTGAAACCGAGGAGACTCCTCCCAACGGGACCGGGCCGCAGCAGGTGTCCGCTTCGTTGGGGACCCACGCCGAAGAACCAGACTTGGCGACAGATGTCGAGAATCTGCATCTGCAAGATGACCAACAAACTGGAGCTGATCTGGACGATGGACGTAGCTCAAATTCTCCCGCTCCTAATACGAGCAACGACGATCTTGCCCGCAGTGCCACCATTAACATCCCGGGTTGGCAACCAACACAGCCCCTCAATGTCCCCTCTAGTCGACAGTCACATCTTCGTGCCGATACCCCTGTTCGATCGGAGACTTCTGACGACAACCCTTTGACTCCCCGAAATGACTCCGGTCCGCTTGCCTTCGATGGCCGAGCAGGCATGCCATAATACGCTTGTCACGAGGGATCCCTTGACCCAACCCTTCCCCCAATATTCACGAGGATCTCATGAGCCATTTAATTGATCCCTTTCTCTTTTTGTGTCACACTTGGACATTTATTTACATTGAGCTGCCGTCTTTCATTGCATTCTGCTAAACCGCTCCATTTCTATATCCAAGCGGAACCCCCGCCCCGAGGTGTCCGGGGGGGGGGGGGGGGGGGGTTCAGTCTGGGTTGGTTCCTTTGGTTTATACATCTACTGCATTCTCCGATAGCGTTCATACTCCCCGTCTAATTCCACTGTTCATGGCACGCTGGCGTTTCCATCATGTCCATCTTGTTCATTCAATTGTCTCCTTGCCTAATCGTTGGTCTATCTTGATCACTTATCTCTTATGCATTTTCCCTTACCCTGTCATTTTTGATATACCCTACTGAGCAGGCCGGACTGTCATTGATTCTTGGTGGATCGATCTTTTAGGCGAACTAGGAACCTGCTTTTGGTGGCTTTCTGTGTTTCCTGCCATTCCCGTCGTAGACCAGGTTTGATCTCTGATATACCTTTTCATCTGTTGCAAACATAATAGAACACTGTTGTGCCGAAAACCTATGATTGCCATAATCCCCCCGAACGTACGCAGGTATTATAGTCGCTAGTCAAAAAAGCCTCTTCAATTACTGACTTCTAGTGAAAACCTACATAGATGTTGTTTCTCTAACTCATCTTGCCCCGAACCCTACCGTTACCTCTACTCAGGTTCCGACTATGCATTTCGGAAGATAGTAGAAGATGCGAAATGGTCGGCTCATGATGAGCACAAAAACTTATGGTTAATCTACGTGACATTTCGCTATGTGGGAAAAAGACTGACAAACCAGAGCCGAGACCGGCTAGCAAGAAAATGGGCCCATATCATCACTCCATCGCCTCTCCATCACTTTGCATTAGCGTGTGATGCCTACAACCCAGAAGGGTTGCGCGGGCGGTGTAAGGCTTTACTGGCATAATGCATGACGGCATATTGAAGCACTAATCTGGGAACGGTTAAACTAACCAGATATAGCAATTGGCAGGTCTTGATATCCAACATCAATCATAAAAAGCCTGAAAAAAAAAAAAAAGATGCGCACCAACTATAAGCCACCAGCTACAGCGGCATGCCTCACCTGGTCTGTATTCTAGTCCATTATCTTGGTATACAGAATTTTTAACACTACTATTCGAATTGCAGCCGGGCAGCCAAAATCCGATGCGATGGACGACAACCCTGTAGTCGAGTAGGATCCCGCGCCCCGTATACATGTCTTTCGACCACCATAATCTGACCTCAACTCTAGTGTACCTCGAGAGATTTAACGTGCTCATATCGTCCCAGTCAGCGTGGTGGTATTCGGCGCCGACCGAAACATGCCTTGCAATACATCGTCACCCCTCTCCCTTCAGCTCAGACAGACTCCGTACTCCAGGCTGGCTATAGTCTGCAGCAAAGGCCATCAATTCCCGACCAAAGCATTTCATCCTCAGGGCAAACATCGGAAACACAGAGTATAGAAAGCGTTATCAATTTGCTGACACCCTTTCATGGGATTCAAAATCTGGGTGTTCCCCGGCACCTTTCCCCTGTCAGTCCTTGGACTCAAGCTTCAGACCCAAGTAATGATAGAGCTGTATCCACCTATATACGCTCATATGCCTCGGATGAAGAAATGTAGGTGAAGAAGTCTTTCTGGAACCCTTCATTGATGATACCTAACGACCCACTGCAGAGTGAAAGGGTACTATATATATATCCACTCTTTTTTACCTCTCCTCACATCACCTGAAAATAATTATCTGCATGACAAGCCTATCACGATCAATCTTCAGCAGAGCACAGATGGCTTTCCTGATAGGTCATCTCTGCCACACTGGCCAAAATCCTCATTTACACTGGCTATCTCCGCCATCCTGACATTGATACCGCTACCGACTGAAAAACAGCCATTTGCGGAATCAATCGTATTGTCGCGAAGAAAACTTGCACAGCTCTATGCAGAAGCTGCATTTGATGAGGTAGAAAATGAGCTTGATCGAACCTCTACTGCGAACTGTCACCCAAGCGATAGCTTCGGTGAAAAGATTGATTCCACCACCTCATCTCGACTTTACCCTATTCTCGCACTTACTTTATTAAGCGTCTATGAGTATTGCCAGAGAGGCAATATATCCCGTATGCGCAGCCGAGCAAATCAAGCAGTGACTGCGGCTATGGACCTATCTCTGCATAATCTGGGCCATACAGCGACAGAGGCAGAGCGCCGTGCATGGTGGAGTGCTGTAAGCTCGGTCTTACGAAACTATCTTTGAAAGCTAGCTGACTTTTCCTTAGATGTTAGTGCTTTACCTGTCCTCTATCGATCATCAAACCGTAAGTCCGCTGCTCCGAAAAAACATAATGGTAATATATTGAGTCAGACACTGAGTGATACTAGCCACCGGTCATATCTCTTGCTGATGAAAGGATCACTACACCTTTCCCTTCGTTCCAAGAGTCGTCAGAGGTACTGCGGATTCTGTTTTTCTGTAATCTGTCTCTTTTGTTGACTTTGAATTAGCCTCAGCCATGGCCGTTGCTCCTGGAGTCGGAAGAATCGATCATATCTGTCTCGAGCACTTTGAATGACTGTCTTGTGAACCCTCCGAATAATGCCCTGCCATCCGACCTATCTGAAAATATCATGCAACTCGATTCGCATTTATCAATGCTGCTCAAAAGGTCGGCTCCTCCACCACAGCCCACGTCCAAGACAGGGCCTGATGCCATGGCCGCACGGTCTATGCGCCTGATTTCAAGTCTACTGATTCACTCGTAAGTTGTTAAATCGGCTCCAATATCTCCTTCTTTCAACTCTGTGATTTTCTGATATCTTGGATTTTCTAGCGCGCGGATACGACTGCATCGTGCCCGTGCTTTCATGGATATTCCCATGTTTCTGGAAAAGCACTGTGACCTTTCCGCAATCGAAGATCAAAGGAGAGCAACATTGGTATTTGATCCAGTACAATCTGAGTGCCTTCATACAGACTTCCCTTTTTCAGAACAGGAGTCTTCTCTCATATGCCTCAAATCCTCACTAGCCATAGCCCGCGCTCTTGAAAACTTGTCATTGACAGATATGCATTGGGATAAATTTCAATTCCCAAGAGCCGAGAATACAGCCACAGGGTGTAACCCGGCACCTTGTTTACTACCATATTTTGTTTGCGGAGCTATGCAAAGCTCATATGTGTTGCTCATGTCTTATTATCGCATGCGGGCAGCGTTGTTGTCAGATGCTATTGTGCCTCACTACTACATGCTCAGTCATCCAGAAAATGGCTCGGAAGTCGAAGATGTAGAGCGATTAATGCGCGAGCTTCGACAGGGCCTTGAGTCTATTCTTGGCGCAATGAAAGTGGCTCGGATGTTTGAAGGAGTGGGCGGGATGAGCCAAGAGATCCACGTCGCATATCAATCCGCTTTCATGAGCGACTCGTGGCCAGCGAACAGAAGAAATTAAATAGATTTTCAGCTTCTTATTCTATTCATGAGTCTTTAGATACTTAACTCAGTTCCGAATAATGAGCTTTATCCCGAGCCTCTCTATAAATTAACGAAGCTTAACGAAGCAACTTTGACTTGCATATATTTAAGTGTGAAAGAGCTGAAAATGCATGCTGGGTTGTTTATGTTTGGCTAAGAATGAGCAACAAGAAGGCTTGTTGCAAGTGACAGGAAATTTGTGGTGTGATGATGCGCAAAACTTCAAAGAGTAGTCGCCAAAACTCATTTAGAAAGAGCTTGGAAGCCCTGGAGAAGGTCTTGCTGTAGGTCACCAGCATCCTCCAAGCCGCAGCTAATACGAAGTAGCCTAGGGTCGCATGTTGCATCACTCATGGCTCTCCATTCGATCAAACTTTCAACATCACCAAGGCTAGTCGCATGCTGAAAGATGAACAGCTTGCTGGGAAGACGCTTTGCATGATCAGCACTCTTGAGCCAGATAGCAAAGACTGGCCCAAACCCTCCAGCCATCTGCTGTTGTAGCCATCCATCCTCGAGGTCTTCCTCCTGTAATGAGGCATGTCGAATGCTGTCAACAACACGCCCGACGACGGAGGACGGATCACGCATTTCCTTATGAATCCAGTTCACTAGGCGTTCGGCAGTTTGAGATTGCTGTTTCACACGGAGCTGAAGCGTTCGAAGAGATCGAAGGCCTAGCCAGCCTTCAAGGTTTCCCATTACGTTGCCCAGGACAAGCCGCTCCGAGTAAAGCGTATCAAGCCACCCTTGGCTAACACGATCAGGATGAACCACAAGGATACCACACATCATGTCAGAATGACCTCCTATATATTTCGTACCGCTGTGAAGCACAATATCGGCGCCAAATTGCAATGGATCTTGTAAAGGGGGAGGCCCAAAAGTTGCGTCAACCGAGATGTATGCTCCAGCAGCATGAGCCTTGGCACTATAGAATGCCAAGTTTCGTGCCTCTCCGGTTGGATTGACAGGTGTCTCAATATGAATCAAGTCTCCTGGGCCCATCTGATCAAGTTGGTCGAGGCTTAGCTTTTGAACACCGGTAAGTTTGGCCATAACATCAATGTTGCCATGAACACCATGATATCCATCCCCAATAAACACTCGCTTTGGGTTCAATAGGACCATAATCGCATGGAATGCAGCAAGACCTGTCGAGTATGTCATGATCCCTCCTTTGAAAATGTTCTTGAGAACCGTTTCAAAGCGATTACTGTTGGGTCCGGAATAGCGTGAATAAACGAAAGATTCGTTAGGAGCATTGGGCTGTTCAAAATCAGCAGGAATTTCTTTTTTAAAGAAATTAGAGGATACGATATACGGACATCTTTGTTTTCGCCTAGAACAAGCTGCTCAGGGTCTCTTGAATATCGATAGTTGACTGCGAGGTGTAATGGAGGCGCAATGGCTCGGTGAGAGCTGACAAAGTCATCTGCATGTATGGCCTGAGTGGCCATCGCCATAGTGGGAAGAGCCTCGGAGAGTGTTTCAGCTGTCACGGTGGAACTTGAGTTGGATGCCATTTTGTCTCAAAGGTAAATGGGTATGCACGATGTGCGTGTGATTAAATCCTTTGACAACCACCGACTTTCCAAAACCTTGGGAAATCTTGGGAAACATTGATCTTAAATGTGACTATCTTAACTATTATTTGTTTCATTTTTGAGCTCCAACGTGGCGATGTGGGTCCTTATCAAAATCGAATACTTTTAGAATACACAGGCTACCAAAGTATACTGGGAAGTCAACTGGTAGATTGATGTCGTCGAAGCCAGGATGCCCTGGCGGTAATTAAAAACGGTTCACCGATGGAACCCCGGGATGCCGAAAAATACGTCGTACCGATCTACGGCATTTGCTTAAAATGGGTCGCCGGCTTGGCAACAGAAGGCTTCGACCAAAATGTACCATGGCACTGTGAAGCAGAGAAAATATCACAGCAAGTCCTTCATAAATACTTCGGTGTTCAATTATCCCCTGCCTCAGAGACGGTGCCTATATCAACCGAAAAAAAATTCGATTCGTTCAGGCTCATCCGAAGAAAGCAGGCCACACTTTTCCATTTCCTGACAATTTTTTCTTGAACGAAATTCCCCTCCCAAGAGGCTTTGAACCACATTGCCACAGATATCGTCCTTGGTTGGCTTAGTGACTGACGTCTCGCCGTTGGTATATCCGCTGTGAGATTTCCCTCAGAAGCCTTTCTGTCGCTGTATCCGCATCCAATTCCGGAGCAGTGACTAATTTTGTTATGTCAATACTTGCCAATAATATGGTCAGTCGGCGAATAGCTACACTGTTTCGGATGTGATGTGCCATGTTCTGTAGTAAGTCTACGACCTTAGGACCATGTTCATAAGGATGATCGGTGGGACGCCAATCTCCATAGATCTTAAACCCGTTGTTTATTAAATCGTATGTGGGACCGAAGGCGAAGTGCTCTGTCCGGAGACCTAGGATGGCGAAAGTTCCAGACTTTCCCTGGACCGTCTCATTACTATCAGGTATTCTGCGATACAAAGACATGCAAGCTTTGTAATTTACTCGCAATTGTACCTCAATCATGGCGATTGCACAATTGAGGCATTGCATATAACTGGAATAATGCGATCCTGTTGCCACCATTTATCGCATCTGAGTATCGGAGCGCAAAAGCCAAAAGGGGGGAGGGGGGGAACTAGCAACTGTGCTAAGAGAGTAATATCTCATATCTAGCCTGCTGTAAATGCTTTGCTATGTGGCAATGTCAAGGTTATTTCTTTAAGGCAAGATCCTGAATCTTTGCAAGCCAATGCAACTCTAAATTCTGTTTTCATCCACCATAATAGTATGTGAACTATGTCTATCAACAAACAGCGAATATCTAACATGAAAATATTTGTGCCTATGCGGAGTATATGCGTAACCAAGAGGAATGAGACAAATCACAATGTGACAGCAGACACAGCAACTAGAGAACAAAAGCGCAGGCCTTTATTTCGTATCATCTGTTGCCCCCTTTCAAGCTCCCTGGCTCTGCGAGACGCTTGGAATGTCCTCACCCTTGAGGTAGTTCTCGAACTCTCCAATTTGCTTCCCGCCTTGGATCCAGCGTTGGCGATACGCTTCCCGCCGCTGCTCGGCCAACTGGTTAAGAGCTGGCCAGTAAGTCTTATGATCATACTTGAATTCAACATCACCGCCAACAGACTTCATAAGGTGGCTGGGGGGCACATGTTGACGGAGGTCCTCGTTGAACTTGAGCTTCTGGCGAGTCTGTGGGTCGATGAAAGGGGTGATCAACTTGAAGAAGCCCCAGATAACGAAAGGTACTATATTAGATCGAATGATTAGCAAGAGTATTGAAACAACAAGCATCCTCTACATACCGTTAATGACTAGAGCGCGTCCAAGTCTCTCGGGATAATGGTTCTGGAGAATGTCTAGAGTCTGCTTAGCCTGGCCAATCGACGCATTCTGTCCGGACTTGGTCTCATTGAAGTTCACAAGAAGCGCCAGCGTTTCTTGATCAGGGCCCATGAGATCAATGACTCGTTCAAGCATGAAAACGAGGTGTTGAATCTGGCGTTCGCTCTTCTCCGTATTCTGGTTCGAGGGCAGAAGGTACAGACACGGCCGGCCGTGGATATCAAAGCCCATAATGACTTGCTTTCCCGTCTCATTTTCAATCGAGATATAGTCGGGCGTCAGCTTTTCCATGCCGTATTCTCGGCGCCAGGTCAACGTGCGCTGGAGTCGAGTCTCAGCTTCCGCCACGTTCCACTTTGTGGCTCGTAGGTATCGAAGGAGACATTCGCGGGTCAACCACATACGCTCGTCATCTGTGATCGGAGCTGTTGCGGCATTCTTCTCGGCTTTCGTGGGCACGGCAGTCCAGGAAGAGACCGTCTTCAGGACAGTCTCATACTTGGCCTGCTGGTCCGCAGTGAGTTTGGCGGGCCCTTCGGGTTTGGCGGTATCCAGAGGCTTCGGGAACGGTTTTTGAATCAAGCCATCGGCGGCGGAGGTTGGGAGTTCTAAGTCAACGGGACTGGGGGTTGAGATAGCCGTGGTTTGTACCTGATCGTTCGAGGCCGGCTCTTGCAACGGAGTTGCTGGCTTTCCGGATTCTCCATTGGGTGTCGGAGGCACGGCCGTAGCGACCTCAGCGGAATCATGGGCTGTCATTGCAATTGAGAGGAGTGGTTTGATCGACGGCAGGGAGTATCCAGACAAGTGATCTGATCCGGGGTTCACAATCCCAACAGCTAGCAGATTCTCGCGAGTGCAGCGATTGGACGGGAGGCAGATCAACTGGCCCACCTGGCGCTGTCGCCAAATCGGTTCGCATATTAACTCTTTCCAGTTCCAGCCGCCGCATGTTATGTCAGCAACACGTCTGTCACGCGTCTCGCGCGTCGCAGCTTGAAGTACTCGCTGAACCCTCCGCACTTGACGACTCCTTCGACCACATCGCAGCAACATGAGTGACACGGCCACGGAGCTCAATGAGCTCTTTGCGGCCTCCTACCCAGATGGCCTTCCGAAAGATGTTCTTGCCGAACTCCAATCCATCTTGCGGGTTCATTTGATCACCGCGGAGGAGCTCTTCTACAAATGGGAATCCTACAGCATGAAAATGGGCGAAGATGTCAAATTGACCCTTGATACAGTACGGGGCTTCAAACAAGATGTCCAGGAATCACTGGAGCGTGAAAGCCGCGGAAAGACTGGTCGCCAGACAGAGAAGAGGACTGCAGTCACTGCAACCCCGCGTGGAGCAGCGGGGGGTGATGTATTCGGAATGTACGTTAGATATGGCTGCCATCCGTGTAATCCAGGCGTAAGCCACTAACGATGTGTCGCGATTTTCAGGTTGGACGAATTGACGCCGAATGCCTCCAATGGCCGACCTTTACGGAGTGCCCCCGGCTCAGTCAAGCGAAAATCGGATTTCTCTTCACCAGCTACGCCCAAGGTCGGACGAATCGATAAAAATGGCTCTCCGATGGGCTCAAAGACCCCTGGTTCTGTGATGAATGGCACTGCTGCTGTTCCCTTTGCCGAGCGACCTAACCCTGGACAAACCCTTGAAACACTCAATTCCCACTTGTCATTGCCGGAGACTCCTATGGCTCCATTTTCAGAAGCACGCATTCGACCAACCGCCAATACAGACCTTAAGAAGTTTGGATACAAGCCGATGGGGATGCGGCTATCCGAAGCTTCGGAGATTCTCGACGACCGAATCGACGAATTTGCAGCTATCTTCCAGAAGCATTATGACGCGGAGGAGATCACTTTTGGTAGTGCTGCTACTCAAAGTACAAGTGAAATTATTGCTGTAGGACGAATTGCCTCAGACTCGCTGGAAGGAAAACTGAACCCCGCATCCTTGGTTCTGGAAACTTCCCGTCGTACCGGAGCTGGACGGCGTATTCCTCTCAAAGTTGACTCAGTACCAGGACTGAACTTCTTCCCGGGTCAGATTGTTGCTCTCCGCGGAATAAATCCCTCTGGGGATTATTTCACAGTCAAAGAAATTCTCCCAGTCCCCCTCCTTCCACCTGCTGCATCTTCCGCTGTCACCCTGGACAATATAAATGAGCGTCTCGAAAACGGAGGTGCCAACTCTCCACTCAACGTCATGGTTGCGGCTGGTCCGTATACGGCTGACGACAACATGGAATACGAACCACTGCAGGAATTGTGCCAAAAGGCTGCAGATAGCTATGCTGACAGCCTCGTGCTGCTCGGGCCGTTCTTGGATATTGAGCATCCCCTGCTTGCTTCTGGAGACTTCGATCTGCCAGACATCAAGGGTCTTGATCCGGACACGGCTACACTGACAACCATCTTCCGCCATTTCATCTCAGCACCCTTGACACGTCTCGCACAAGCTGTACCAAGCATCACGATTGTACTTGTACCATCGGTACGCGATCTTCTCAGTCGACATGTCTCTTGGCCACAAGAACAACTGCCCAAGAAAGAGCTTGGCCTGCCAAAGCAGGTCCGCATGGTTTCTAATCCGGTGACATTGTCTTTCAATGAATGTGTGGTGGGCATGTGCTCCCATGACATTCTTTCTGAATTGCGCCGTGAAGAAGTGCTTGGTGGACGGCCCAGCGAGGGTAACCTGCTTTCCCGGCTACCAAAGTACCTAGTAGAGCAGCGTCACTTTTTCCCATTGTTTCCCCCAACTGCGAGAGCCAACCTTCCTAAGCCCGGATCTGACACTGGTTTGGCAACTGGAGCGATGCTCGATTTACCGTACATGAAATTAGGCGAGTGGTGGAACGTCCGGCCGGATATGTTAATCGTGCCCAGCATGCTCCCACCTTTCGTAAAGGTATGCTAGGCTCAACTGCACTCTCTTCCTAAAAACACAACCTCGTGTTCTTTTTTGCTAATTCTAGATATCTATAGGTCGTCGATAGTGTCCTCGTTATCAACCCAGGTACTCTGTCAAAGCGTCGTGCTGCAGGCTCCTATGCGCAAGTGGCAATCCACCCTCGTGCCGTCAGCGATGAAGAGCGAGAGACGAAGCAGCTTGACCATAAACTATATGAACGAGCCCGTGTGGACATCAATCGGATCTAAGGGGGATACCTGTAAAATCATATCGCATTCTCACCTGGCGTTGGAGGCGCAAATGTGAGCGGAGAAGGACATGGACACCCTGCCTCAATCAGGACTTCAATTTGACACGTCGAGTCCCTGGTAATAATACCCACGAAATGAATCAATGACAAAAAATAAAACCACATTAATGATGAAAATTGGTATCGTAAGCCCCCTATGCAAGCCACCATGACCGGTACTCCTGGTACTCTTATGATGGAAACGCTCAAAACAAACCAGTAGACATGACCATCAAGTAACTGAGAGCTGCTGAGACTAGCGAAGACAGACAACTCGCCGCCCGCCCATCTTCCTCCCAGCACTTCGCACCCGCACAGCCGCTGAGCTCGCGGAGGCAGCACCTCCGTTACTTCCACGTAAAGTCACTCCGGGCCCAGAGCCCACTGCTCCTGCACCCGCAGCGCCATTGGCAGCTGTGGCACCACCTCCGTGTCCTTGGCCATTTACCAAAGCTTCGAGTCCCAAGTCTCTCCATACAGCCTCACGCCTCCGGTCCATTGCCCGTGTGATTCCAAACGCAGCATGTTGGTCTGGAACCACATCGTCCTCGTCTTCGGGGTTGGGCGGTTGATATTGTGGCGGGACGTAGATGTCCTCGATCGGTAAGAAAGAGGGGATTGTGGATGGGGAGGATGAGCCATATGTCACGGCCGCATTTGCTCCACCTTGGTGACCTCCGGCGGCGGACATCGAGTGCTGTGGGTTTGCAGATGATGCAGCTGCAGTCGATGTGTGAGGACGAGTGAATTCCTCGAAGAAATCTGCCAGTCGAGGCTGATGCATGTGAATGTGGGTGGCGGAGGAATCCTTGCTCTGAATCTTTGGTCAGCAGAATTCAAGAAAAGGTCGACCATTAGCCCAAGAGAGTGATACCATGGTGTATGAAAACGTTCCAGCGCCCTGAGGAAAGTTTGATGTGGATTTCAGCCGGAGCACCGAAAATATATCAATATTAAGTATCAATGTAGTGCTTGTTGATATGAAGTGGCAGAATAGCAACAACAGACACCGCTCGACTCAAGGCGGTAAGACTGCATATGGTGCTTGACCCGACGGCAGCCATGAAAGTGAAGCTATCCATTTAGATTGAAGTCCTCTCTCAATCATAGTGCATCCTCGACGCCTATAACGACTATCCACTCTTGTAATAAATTACAAACGGCAAATTCTGCCTCCTTTGTACCGCATATGCCATTCAACCAAATTGCCAAATGATGGGATTCAGCGCTGGGATACATGATTAAACACGATAGAGAACAAGAGCGACAATATGATTTCGGCAAACAGCCATCATGTATATAGTACATGGGCATCATTTATAAAATTCATATCAACTCTGCTCTCGGTATTCGGCCCATCTCGAGCTTTACCACTCGAGAGTCACTATCACGCTTTCACGTTTCCTAGGAAGCAACTTGATGGCGATGAAAGAAAATGCTTACAGTATCCAATTGTTCATGCCTAACGCTTTTCATTGAAGTGTTTAGAATGAAAATCAATCTCAAATTCAGGTTCCAACTTTATGCCATAGATTGTTTATCATCTCCGTCTAAGAGCATCGAGTTGTCTTTAGAAGCCCAGTGAACGCCCCTTGTCCCTATTTCACTTTCTTATACACTACGACCACAGTGTTATCCGCAAGCACTTCGTGCTCGGGGGTCAGAGTATATCTCCCGATTGTAGGCAGAACCTTCCGCCATACTGCCCAATATATAATCCCCAGAGCGAGAATGGCAATTCCGACAACCGAAGAAAGCCAGTATGGGAGTGATGTATCTCCTTTGCCCCCAGGAGGACGAATAAAAGGTGCGACCAACTGAAATGTCTGGCCAACCAGGAAGAAAAATGCCACTGGCAGCCACGCACGGAATGGTCGATGAATATGCGGAGCAGACCAGCGAAGGTAGAATAGACCCGCTACAACCAGAAAGTTGATGACAGCGCTTGGATATCCTTCCAGGTCAAGGATAAAGTCGTACGCATCACCAAACGGAATTGCAACGATGACAATGAAGGAGGGAATGAAGTGCAAAAGAAGGCCAGCGGAAGGGGATCCGAATGGCCAGTTAGATGCCCAGAACTTAGGAAATGGAATAACACCCTCCTTTGCCAGCTCTTGATTCACTCGTGCCTGGGCAAAGGTAACGGTCAAAACGTTTCCGAAGGCAGAAATTGCCACCAAAGCACTAGATGTATGTATATTCAGCATCAAACGGATGACTCCAAGGACACAATGGATTCCCCCCATTCTTACCTCAATGCACGTTCAGCTGTGTGACCAAAGACCTTGCCCATAAAAAGTGAAGCTACCGTCGTACCACTATTTGCTACCTCTTCTGGGGTTGCTGCAGCATAGTATGCGACATTCGCTAGAATGTACATAATACCACAGAACGATAGGCCGATTGGGGCTGCGATCTTGATAGTCCTGACCGGCTGACGAATCTCATTCATGACATAGGCCGCATTTGACCACCTGCAACATCAGCCATCGTTATTAACAGTAGCATTCGTGTGATTGGACACGTACCCTGCAAAAGAATTCAGAACTTTATACAATGCGATGGCATAGGGATTACTTGAGGTAGCTGACCCCTCAAAGGCATTGTGGAAGCTCGAATAAGGATCCGGCACACTGGCCACATGTCCGCCAAGAACGACCCAACCGGTAATGACAATAAAAAGCAGAAGGACCACCTTATAGACTCCGAGAACATTCATGCCACGGACACCCCAATTTGGTAGTAGGGTGTGTAGTAATGTAATGAAAACGATAACTGCAATGGCGATGCCCCGTTCTTCCCATTCGGTTGCTTTATGCCCGGCCGCAACGACGATGTAGGAGGCAAAAACAACACATCCGGAAGCTACGAATCCATTAGACAGGCTGGTATCTTTTCCTTGACCCCGAGCGTACCTGTAAATCCCAAAGCAACTGCCTGAACAGCGAAAATGACCGTAATCAGGGATCTTGGCCGCTTGTACACAGCCTCCAAGTAAACTTTTTCTCCTCCACTACGCGGTATCATACATCCCATCTCAAGCCAGACACAGAGACCTGCACCTGCCAGGAGAAAGCCTAACAACCAAAGGAGCAGGGCAGCACCGACGCTACCAGTGCTACTAGTAATGGAGGATGGTGTTGAGAAAATACCAGTACCGATTATGCGACCGATGCTGCTCTCATAATCATTAGAAACGAGAGTATGGGTCGGGGTAGTTATCTGACATTACATTAAAAAAATGGTCGACCATACGCCCAAATGGCGGCCCATTCCACCGCGAGTATACTCCCCAAAGCTCAATTCTCCCGCTCTTGCAACGGTGGAGCCACCGGCCTCATCGGATGAAAGTTGAGCATCATCTGCAGCGCTCAGAGTCGAAACACCCTGTTCAGCTTTGCTGGGGCTGGCAGTGTCTATCATTTTTGTCGGGAGATGAAGAATCGAAAGGCGAGGAGCTTCGTAACTAGGATGGGGAAGACCTAGGAAGAGCAGGAAGCAGGTTTCAACTCGCTGCTGCGTATCTTCTCGGAGAAACACGAAAGATTCCCTATGCCGAATAATTTTCCTGTTCTCTTTTCAGCTTTATACCTGCAGTATTCTACAGCCATAATGGCGTGATTGGCGAATAGCGAGTTCGTCATGAGGAGTACGTATAACTAGCGGAGACGCTAGAAGGCTTATCACATTTGGGTGGCTGATGGTGCTATCTCTGCCCTGTCACGACTGCATAGATAACATCAAGCAACGACGGCGTTTTTTCGTTTCGGAATAAAGCCGAGGATCACGATAATTGGTATAATTCACCCAGAGTATTGAGTACTTGCGTGTCACTGGGGACGGGGGTTGTCCGTTAGCAAAAGTTGACAGGGTCTTGGCTAGGGTTAGTCATCAGCAGTAGTTCCAAAACAGACTACCACTCTTAGTACAGCCTGAGTTGGTCGGAGAGTAGTATTCAACTTCCATCAGGATCATTCCTTATCGACCCCGCTCAAGTCGCAACACTATTCACAGCTCATTGGGCCAAGTCATGTCCCCTTCTTGTGTGATTGGGCTTCCCAAAATATACGCTAGCCAGGGTCAGAAATGCGTTCCTCCTACCAATGAGTTCCTTGTTGGGACCTGGCACGTCACCCACTCAAGCCTTCCGCTGTGGAAGGGCAAGCGGAATGTCAATATTACCTACAAAACACTTTCCGCAGACCCTTCAGGGTTGATAAAGATCGATGATCTCGTTCAATATCAAACCATTGATTCGGACAAGATCAGATCTGTTCATGGCGTGGATACTCCAAGTCCAGGAAACCAAGGGGCTTGGGATTGGCGCGGCAAAGGTTGGCTGATGATCGCCAGCTCACACTGGGAATGCCTTGGGTTTGGCCATACAGACGATGGTAACCAGTGGATTGTCACATACTTTGCCAAAACCCTCTTCACGCCCGCTGGAATCGACATCTATTCTCGAAATAAAAACGGGCTTCAACAAGACATTATCAATGAGATTCTCAATGGCCTCAGGGACCTGGGGGCACAAGAAATTGCAGATCTTGCGAACGCAATTTTCCAAATTCCTCAGAATTAGCCCTGCAAACTGGATGTCAAGACCTAACGTTGTCGAATGTCTCCACACTTTTCTTATGATTACGAGTACCTATAGTCATACATTTCGATATTTGCAAGCCGGCTTTTCTCATCACAATCACAAGAATCTGATATCTATAGCTTATATCCTCAGGAGGACTACTTCTTATCAAAATATATTCTCACATCATCTTGCTTTATATAGGTGCATTGTGGTCGGGGATTCCATTTATTAAAGCTCATCGTAGTCAATATCTAACGAATAGAGAACCTCCTCACAAAATACCGAAACAGGCAAGTTAAAATCCCGATAGACTTTGCATTCTTCCAAGCTCTCCCTCAATCGCCAGGTCTCAGCGAATATGAACTTCCGTTTCCGTTACATCAACCCTTCTGCCTTTATGGAAGCCATTATCTTCTGGTTTTTCGCATAATGGGAATTCATCCTGTTGTCGTTTCCCGGGCCGGCAGAGAACCTTCGCAACCCAAGAAGGGAAATGTGTATTTCGACTTATAAGAAGCCCCATTTCGCGAATATGGTGTCTCCTTTCAACGATACTGGTGGCCTTCCGCCCATCGGTGAACAGAATCAGGTCCGACCTCTCCTGTTCCGTCATCTTAGCGGCAAGCTTCTCGGTTTGCTCTTCTGTAAAATCAAAAGAGGCACCCATAACAATAAACAATTGAGCAGTTGGATGCAAGTTTTGAGAATGCCAGTCTTGAGAGATCCATACAGGTTTGACCTTCCATGGAAGACGTCTTTCCTTCATGAGTGCGGGCCACATGTCTTCAAATAAAGACGAACGGTCCTTTTTCCCACTGACCGCATGGACGCATCCCGTAGTCTCATATGCCAAATGAGCTAGGAGCCGGTCTGTAACAACGTCCACTGGCACTTCATCGATCGTCGCGGTCTTAAATGGATCGGGGCCTCGGGATGCGAATTTGAATTGCCGTCCCGGATACATGAGGATTGAAGCAGCAATTCCCGCAGATGGGGTTGAGGAGGGTCTCGAGAAGTTAGGAAACGGATAGCGTATCGCTGGGCCAAAAACAGAGGGCCTGATGATTAGCAGTTTCTGTGTTGCATCGCTCTGGGCGAAGAGTTGTAGTAAAAGCCTTTCAGTGAGGTGTTTTGCATATGTATAAGGCCAAGGAAAATCATAAGCCTCGTACTTATTTGTGGTGCCAGTCATTTGTACGCTCGTCCACTCCTCTTCTGCCCCCATACCATAGTCCGCAGCTCTCTGTTCCTTGGATGGAGTATGAGTAGTATTCAGCGGATAAATAGATTCCGTCACAGTCACATCCGAATCCCTGTTCAGGCTCCAAAGATGTGAATTGGCGTACGCTGTAGAAACAAATACAAAGCGTTGTAACCCAGGCATTTGAAGAGATATCCTAGCCAAGAATATGCTAGGTTCAATTACTGAGGATGATAGCTTAGTCAAGGAACTTCGGAGGTTAATCGGCGATGCAGTGTGAATGACAATATTCACAGACTCTTTGAGTAGCTTCCAGTCGCTCTCGTATAAGCCCATATTAGTTGACATCAAATCTCCAGCCAGAATGGTAATCAGGGGATTCTGAAGGAGTGAATTAGCCATCGATTCTGGCAACAACCCCTTCCATTTCGCGCTCGCATTCCTAGAGAGAATGTTAGAAATGATATTAGGTCAACATTTCAGAGATAAAAATACCTGTAGCCTCCACGACAAAGCACGTAGACTCGTCTAGGATCTCCTTTGCTCATTAGTCGATGTAAGACTGCAGTCCCCAAAGATCCCGTGGCGCCTGTCAGGAAGATAGTCTTGTCTTGGTAATATTGCCACATAATGAACGAGAATCTCTTGTGTCTAAACAATTGTATTTCAAAATTCGCCAAGGGTTGTTGGTTGTTACTCACGGCGATATTTATGTTATCGAAATTTGTATAAAACATGGACGCGATGTGTTGAATTAGTGCGTACTATTGTTGCACAAAATGTATGTGTCAATCCCTATTGGGTTATGTCTAATGGACAAAAGCATCTACCGGCATATAGGACTCCAAGAAACGATCGACAAATATGATGTATCCACAGGTTATACAAGTGTGACACAGTTTGCCTGTCAAGTTTATTGATGATTCATTTTCGATGTCATTATTGTTCATATTGGTTGCAATTTCGCTATTTACGTCTCATATTCTGTGAATGTACCTCGAAGACTCAGCTCTTCTTGATCTATATTCTTACGCACAGAAAAAGATATCTCTAAACATACTTTCCTATTCAGTTTTTTATTGCTTTCTGTCGAAATTTAATCAAATGAAGGCACGACCTAAGAAATATTCGATCCTAGGATACCTGCATGATAGTCAAAACAGAAAATTCAACGTTTTTGATTAATGCGGTATGAAAAATAAGGATACCGAAAGTCTGTCTACAATCTTCGTATCGGCTAAACATGCGGCATTCTAACCTTGGAAGTTTCCATTCCGAAAAAATATAAAATATAATGGTAGTAATAAGCTTCATCAGCGGTTACTCAAGATCAATATGTATCGGTGTCTGCCAATATAGTTACTCCCAATGACGCGGGATATGTCGAGTGCTACCTTCCCGAACGATTGGGTGTATGTTGTTTCTCAACTTATCTTTTTAGCTCAGGCCAATTGAAAGGAAAGACGTCAATGCCAGCCAGGCGGAGACTGTAAGTGGCTACAAAGAGCCGCTTAGCGGGTTGGGCTTTGGGACAGAAGACTTGAAGAGATAAATCGAGGATTTTAATGTGTTCAATTCATATTTGGTCTACTATTTCGTTTCCAAAACACTCAGAGTAAAAAGCGTTCAGTATAAAAGAAATGGACACCGCAAAATCCTCCCCTAGTAGAAACAGAGAACCCCAGGGAAAGCACCTTGATGAAAGCGAAGTCAAGGGCGTCTGAACTTTTGTGCAGCAGGCTAACAAAAACAGTAATCATCTCACATGTTCGTACTCATCCGGTGGACAATAGGCACCGCGCTAGGCGGCAGACTGCCCATCTCGGTAACCACCATATCCACGTACTCGGCAGGTGTAACATCGTACATGATATTGAGCAGCTGCAAGTTTGGCGTGTCCTTCCATTTAGCCAGGGGAGAGGTGGAGGCATTGCGTGAGGCAGAGGGGTCCGGAGTAGGGGCAAGGGCAGCACCTTTCCCACCCTTTTTGTTATCGGCGGGGGCAGGGGTGTGTGCGGCGGGGTCAGGAAGACCAGTCACCTGCTGGGGGAGCACGGAAGAGACCAATTCATCGGCGTCGGCAATCTCGTTGACGACGATGCTGTCAAGGGCGACGCGATCAGTGAACTTGACAGTCTCGCAGCACACGATGACGGGCACTTCGACGCCACCAGCGCGTTCCTTAGCAGACATCGCCACCAGCGCGGTGCCAACACGGGAGTACAACCGACCATTGCTGGTCATTGCGTGTGCACCCAGAAAGACCTTGGTGGCATCTTTAATGGCGTGGCTGATGCCATGCACAAGAGAGTATTGGATATCCAGTCCGACGCTGGCAAGAGCGCGAGCCAAGTTTTTACCCTCGAACAAAGGGCGCGAGTCGATGATTGATACTCGGAACCGTTTTCCTTGCTTGTGTGCTTTAATGAGAGTCTGCTTGACAATGGAACTGCCGGCAAAGGTGACGATGACATCGCCATCCTGGATCTTCTGTGCCGCGCTCTGGGCGATGACTTCATCGGCCACGGTAATCTTTTCCCGAATAAAGCTATCTATAAATTCGCAGAGTGTGGCTTTGGCACTCGCTTCGGGAGTAGAAGGGTCGACAGACGAGATGGCCAGTTTCAAGGCCCGGATGGCATTGCCTTGACTGATGGATAGTGGCCGACACGTGGAGAGGTAGGTGATCTGGTGGGAAAGGTGTGTTGTCAAATGGCGCGACAAGGAAGTGCCCAAGGGAGTGGCATAGGATTCAACGACCTTGGGGTTTGACTGTTAGCGTCTTTACACACGAAATGGCAGTTCTTAGCATCGCTTACCCGCTTGAAGGCAAGCATGGTTGCCACACAGCGCGCACTACTGCCACAAACTACATAGTCCCGCAGCTGCAGACCCAAAGCCAGGACAGCGGGGTGGACTTCCTTTCCAGCGCCAGCAACAGTCGTGCGACGCTGCTGTCCATAGAGATGACCGAAGACAGCAACCTTTTTGTCTTCCTTCTTTTTCTTCTGCTCCGCAGCCGCATCCTGAGCCAGCGGGCCCGATCCACGGCGCGGCTGCGGCGCACCTCTTTGCCCCTTCTGCGATGCGCCTCCACCGACTGCGTCCTTCTTTGGTGTCACTGGAGACCGAGTCTGGTGGCCGCCGTTGCTACCAGGAGCTGAACCGCCTGCAGCACCAGCTCCACCCTCCCTTTCTAGTCTTTCCTTTGCGCGCCGGGCAGCCTTCTCCGCCTTGGCCTTCTTTTTCAACTCAGCCGGTGTGAGTGGCTTGTCATCTCCAGCATCAGCAGCATGCTTGGATGGATCTTTACCGGTCGCGGAGTGCTTGTCCGAGGGGACGGGGCCCTTTGCGCTCTTGGAATCGCGGATGGGGAGGTTTTGCGTCTGGGACGAGGAGGCGCTCTCGGTCGCGGGAATAGGCTGCGCTGCGCTGGGTGCAGCAGATGAGGTTGAAGTAGGCGCTGGGTCAACGGGGTCCACCATTTTGTATGACTCAATCTCTCGGAGTACGAGGGGCGGCGTCGAGTTGAGACCTTGAAGCGCTTGGTGGGGAGCCGAGAGGGTTGAGTCACGGAAAAAGTGATGCCATAAGCGGCCCACCGAGCGGCGCAGCCCTAATCTCCGTCTCCGCATCTGCAGACTCATTGTGAGGTCAAGTCCTCGAACTTGTTCGCCAATACAAGAGTCGTGAAAATATAATGCTTTAGAGGGATTTCCTAAAGGTTACGAGGCAACCTCCCCTATTAAGATGAGATGGAATCGGAGCAAACAAATAAAGTCTTACTAAGAACTGGGCTGTAATGGCCACCTTTGAAACATGCATTTGCATTACATCAGATTTCTCGTTACTTCATTGAAGGGAATCTCTCGCTACCATAGAAATAGACAAAAAGGACAGACAAGTCAAAGAGCACGAGGAACCCAGGCGCCGGTAATCGCCTTATGAGCCTTGGTCTTTTGTGGCTCCAGTCCGAACAAAAGCAAAAACAAAGAGTGCACCGCCAACACCGAATTCTATACGCCAAGGAAGACCGGAGAATCAAAAGACTAACGAGTATTGCCAACAATTGAGCCCAAGGCACGCCGTTTCCGGCTTGGGATCTGTTCATTGGGACGCCAACGCTCATGATCAGTTGCCAATTTGCGTTTGAATACACTGAGGTCACCGAGGAGATCCTGCATGCGAGCCTGCATCTGATATGCTTCCTGGTCATTCTCGTCCGGTGTTATTGTATCATCGTCATCATCATCTTCCCAGAGATCGGGTTCGGTTTCGGAGTCAGAGGGATCAACAGGAGAGCTATCGCGATTTTCTTGGGTGCAGGGCTGCGATTGCTCTTCTTCCGCTAAAGAGGTCAAACTTGGCTGGCGCTGTGCGATGGTGACAGCGGGGATAGGATTCTTGAGACTCTCGAGGGCCAGTTTCAAGTGCATTCGCAGAGCCTCGTTCTCTGTCTGTAATTGACGGATCTTGCACTCGCTAACCATCTTGGTCTCCTCCATCAACCGTTGCATCTTCTCTACCTTTTGTTGATATTCGTCCAACTTCTCGTCTTGTAGCTCGCTTGCGCGCTGGTGAGCTGTCGCCTGGCTCACGCTCAGTTGCAGTGTTCGAATTGTCTCCGCCATCTCGGCGATCTGTTGGTCACGCTCGGCAGCAGACACATGATCTTGGTTGACACGTGCCCGAGTGCGAATGTGCTTGGCCTGGTCGGCGTAGCGCAATGTTGACAGAGTTTCTTCATAGTCGGCTGGGGAGATACAAGCAATCATGGCCGTCTTGGAATTGCCTCCAAGACTGTCTTTCAAGAGCCATGTCAGGATAGAATCACGGTATGGCACTAGTTCCTTGCCTTTCCTTCCTCCGCGAATTTTCTTGGGATCTGCTAAAGCAGCAATGACGCGACCAAGAGTCGTTAGGGACTTGTTGATATTTGACCCCTCGCGCAGCCGGGCACCTGTTGCCTCCGTAGACTTGGCGCGCTCAGAGCCTGCCAGATCAACTAATCGGATGCGGGCAGTGCGTTCAGTCGTCTCGTCTGTGGAAAGATCATGATGAATCTGCTTGAGTGTAATTGTGAAAACGGCATGAGATCGAGAGGAAGTATCATTCATCTTAGTGCTCGCCGTGGTGCGCGATACATCGCCCTTTCGCATGTACTTCATCAGCTCGGTGTAGTTCCTCACCGTAAGCTCGGTTAAATCCTTGACATATGGTCCTTCTGAAGGAGATTCTCGGATGCGAAGATAATGCGGCGGATCGGTCCGTGGGACCAATAGATCGCGAACGTGTTCGTTGTAAACTTCAAAATAGGATACTCGAACGTTGTAGCTGATATCAGGTGATGGAGAGTCCTCAATGCGTTGAAACAGGTCTTCACAGGTACGAGGAATGAGCCCTGGCTGTTCATGGGTGCCCATCATCGTGTAACTCTTTCCCGAGCCTGTCTGGCCGTAAGCGAATATACAGGTATGATATCCCTCGAAGTTGTGATCCAGGAATTCCTCGCCCAGAGCATTGTACACGTCCTCCTGGTGGGCGTAGTGGTCGTCCTCCTCGTCATGCGACCAAAACGAGTTATCGAATGTAAACGACTTGTCTTCGAGGATCTTGCCGCGTGCCTGTGATTTCGGCTTCCCGCGATCGCCTGGGCTCGGTTTCGGAGCTCTCAAATTGGTCGCCTGAGTGTGCGGGTCCATCGCGATGAGACATGCTGCCTGACGTTCGATCTCTGAAGCATACGGTTAGATATTGCATTTCGAGTCCCCTTCATCCACCGATCTTGAGCCATCCGAGGCGCCTCTGGTGGAACACGTACCTCTGGGGAGGAACTTCCGAACGCGTACCACCACGCGCACGTTACCGCCTGGTGATGGGCTGGCGGTTCCGTCCTGGCGACCGGGTAATACCGCAATACTTTCTCGGGCGCGAAGGGATGGGCTGGATGCGGTGGATCGCATGGTGGCGGCTGATGCGGACGTGGAGATCACACTGGGCGACGTGATTCCGGTCAGGGCGGATGATTCGGACGAGGTGGCGGATGAGATTGAGCCAGGCCCCGAGCTCTGGCCGATGTGTCGAAAGAAGCGCGAATCCAGCGCCATATCCCTACTATGCTCCCTCAATAACTGCACACAAGTGTTGACGGCCTCGCGTCGTCGTTCGACAAGGTAATGGTACATGCAACGAATCAATGGGGGTACAGGAGAAGAGGGGAAATTTCGGAGTTGAGCGATCCGAATAATGAAGAGAGTGAAGAGAGTGAAAGAAGGGACGGATGATAACGAGTGAAAAGGGGGTCGGTACTGTTGTGCGTTGTTTCCTTTGGAGGCCGTTTCAAGTTTCCAGTGTTCGTCGTGGCCCCCGCGGGGAAGCGGAAGTAAACAGTGGTCGGTGGTCGCGGGAGTCGAATCAAACGGGCATTCTGCGGCGAGAGGAGAATGCGAATGCAAATGCGAATGCAACGAACGCAGGAATCGGTTGAAAATGAAAGAAAAATTAAAATACAAGAGAAAGGCGATATGTGTCTAGGAGCTAAGGATGTTGTCCTGGACGGTGAAGTGATAAGTGAAGTGCAGGTTGTGTCTGGTGGTTGCCATAGCAATGTATTGGCCTTAGTTACTAGTACTATACAGGACTACTAAGTACTACTACTCGCCATCACCACAATCACATTGTATTCGTGTCCACCTAGATTCACAGGGTTTTAGATCATAACGACCCACCATTACTCTTGCATCATGATATTCATCAGGACTGAATTCAACATTCACATTAAATATAAATTCGTTTAATATTTTGTCTGATATTTTGATCATATTATGCTTGCACTATAGACACTTAACACTTTGACAGTCTGGCGTTTGAATTTCAACAGCATCACACAAATTTTATGACGATTGTATCATCATAAATTAGTCGAAGTCCGCGGTCTCGGCATTCATTGCCTCGAAGACGTCGGGCTCGTCTGTCAAACTGTCACTCTTCATACGGGCGCTACCGCCATAGGTGACGGGATCAGGCACTGGGTCACCGGCCGCGTTCATGTGCTCGGCGAGTAGCTGGTTGGGTGACAACGTCGTACTTTCCTCGGCCTTTTTCTTGCCTGTGCTTGCCTGGGCCTGCGCTCTTGATGCCGACTTTTTATCCTGGGTGGTGTTGCGCAGCCGGGTCTGCTGGTCAACACTCTCGGGGAAGCGCATCGCCGTGTCTGTTTTTGAGGAAGGCATATTGGATAATAGGTCTGATAGAAGAGAGATTGCAGTCAGTATTATGGTCTTATACTGTAACACCATGTCTCACGCGACCACAAACAACCATCTCTGGTGTGTCCCCGGTCTCATTCTCTTTTTTATACTTCCACAACACAAGCACGTGAGATGGATTAAGAGAGGGAGGACCTACTAGGAGGCTTTGAATACTAAATTTTGATTATCAATTGATGAAGATGGACATCAGAGTGTCTCTGCTGAGGGCTTTAGTCTCTGTATTTATGGCAACTGGGGGGGCCAGTGAGAAGGTGGCGGCCGGCCACACAATGATTCGAGTATGACGACAACAGTTACCACCACCGTGGTCGCTTCTCCGCACTTGCCGTGCCAGGTTCTCACAGGTGGTGCCACTGATTCGCTTTTGTTCTCGAAACCAGTTGAGCGTCGGTACGCCAGTTAAAGCGAGGGCTCAAGGGCGTCTCGAACAAAAAGTGATGGTTCGGTTGAGGGCACCCATGGATACCGCCGGCAAGCATCATGTGGAGTTGCAGCTCGCCACCTAACAGCTGGCTTTGGCTTAAAATGGTAAGATGCTGTCCTATTATCTCGATTCCTGTATGGACCATTGATATAATACCCGGGCTCAGTGGCAATCGAATCATAGCTTACTAGCTGGCGCAGAATCCTTGCTCAAAGCCACAAATTCGACCTCAATCCAATCTCAATAATTGACTAGTGACATTATATGACTTGAACATTTTGAGCAGTAGCGTAATCAATCACATTGAAATCACTATATTTGAAAGCCCTAATCATTTCACATAGAATGACCATCGTGGAATGATTCTCTGACATATATATTTGCGACATACTAGATAGGCGACAGTGTAAATAATTAATGATAGGGGGGTTATCGAATGCAGAAAACCTAGTGAGGCACACATTACGCGGAAAGGCAATGGCGTTGTTCTGTCAAGTTGATCTATAATGTTATAGAGCAGGCATATATTGCACCTATATAGACTGCATACTGTCTGGCGGGTGGGTCTTTTCTATTCTGGCCGCCACCGCTTTTGTCAGGGTGCTCAGACTCAGGCTCAGGCTCAGGCTCGCGCTCAGTGAGTAGTTAACAGCACGGACTCAGACTCGGTGATCACATCAAGCGAAGTCATGTGAAAGATGACTAATGCTCAGTGATTGCTCGGTGACCACCTGGGTATTGCTTAGTCACCTCCTAATTCATAAACTTGGTGTCCAATCAGCGTATATCCGTCACATACTCCCTTGTTTGAAGTGTAAATCAAAATTGGCTCGGGGATGCTCGGAGAGGGTGAGACGCTCCCGAATCTATTGCCGGGCCCATAGATTATAGAAAAATAGCAATTACTAGTATAATTCAACAGTGTGAAACTGACTAATATACTCTACTCCGCACGTAGCTTTGGTCCGTGCGTAGCTTTGGTATAGCCATGTGGATCATTCTATAGAACAATGATTTTAGGAGGTAACGTGTTATGTTCGAACGTGGTAAAGATGAAGTTCCATTCTTTGAGAAGAGATAATGATAGTTAAGCTAAGCTACTGACATAAGCAAGCGGCGATGGTAAGAGTCGTGATGTTTAATTCTTATTTTTCTTATTTTTCCAGCTCACCATCCACTTTCCAAGCCACCTCTTTGATCGTCAGATCATTGTCAATAGTGCTCTTTATAATGGGAGAAACCGTTGGATTAGATATTTATTTGGGCATCAAGTCATTACGAGAAAGAATTCTTCTCAAGGCCATAAATAGTCGTCTCTTATTCGATATCTGACTCGGAAAGCTAACAGATTAACAACTGATGTCGTTTATACTCAATCTATCAACGTTTGTTGATCACTGTATCTCGATCATATTTCCTGTCTCTTGAAGTAACAATGAACTTTCAGCACTGCTCGCAGTTGCCGCATTCCTTGCAGAGGGAATTCTTGCATTCGAACGCAAGCCTGGATTAAATTACTGTAGCAGATCGATCAAGCTCAAGAACCTCGAACATATGGAAGCCTATAAACTATTAAAAACATGTCTATCAAGGACCTTTGGCTGTGTTAACCAAGATCCGTCCTCTCGAAACATGCCACGCAGGATGTATCGAGGCCCCCGACGGCAAGAGAGACTACTGTGCACGTATATATCGCTGCCCCCCCTCCTCTCCTCTCATGTTTTATTACTTCATTTCGTTCGTCGTACTTTTGCCTTGTCCATCCAAATTGGCTTAAGCTAATTTGACCCCAGCGTATGGTGGATTCCAGATGACTCATGCTAGAAAAGAATGCATCAATGGAGCGAAGTACGTTCATAATCAAGCTTCTAGAAGCTGATGTGCGGTTTTCGATCGAATGACTGCATGCGTATGTCAATCACAGTGTGCAAACCCAGGAAGAAGTGAGGCTGTCTGGAAGCAAACATATAAATTCTATGAGGGTACGACAATGAGGCTCACGATCAGCTGAAAGAGCTAAAAAAGCACAACAGAGCTAGTATAGGGCCTGTTCGAAATGGATATAGTGTCTTGGTAGCATATATCCGAGATACGAATGCTGATTCAGGTGCTCATCTTGATATCTGCGATCTTGCAAGAGGTACAAAATTCATCCCAATGGAAACAACATTATTCCTAATTACTTTGTAAAATTTCCTCAATTCTCGGGTTCATACATTCAAGACCAAACACTCAATCAGCAGCTGTTCAACTGCGGATATAGAGAGGTGAAAAGAAGGCTACAATTAGAGCATTTTGAGCTCTCTTCTGGTAATTTGAATTTCGAATCCTATAAATCGAATAACTTAACCTCAGTGATTGCCTTTTTGCTTTCTTCCCGAGGCCCTAGGCACCTCCATTACTGTTATTTGTGACACTGTAATATATGGGCTTGAAAAAATTACAATACTTGTTATGGGGCGACAAATGAATTTTTAATTTATGTCCGCGATTTCAATTGGTCGATCGTGCGAATGACTGATGTACTAATTTGTCGATTCGGATAGGGGAATGCGATGCCTGATATTTAAATCTGACAACTTTTCTTATCGTCTTAACAACCCCCGCCTAACTCTGAGTAGTGTATCTTATCTTTCTTAAAAGCACTCCCTAGAAGATTTTGTCGGTCAGTTCGCTATCATGAGTAGCTGCTGTATCAAAGGTTTCAAGTGGGACGGAGAACCCCAGGGCCGGGAAACAACTCTCGCAGAGAACCCAGCCTATATCACAGGCTCCAACAGCGATGTTGCAATTCTCGTCATCCACGATTTGTTCGGATGGACATTCCCAAATATCCGCCTACTTGCGGATGCTTATGCAGAAGAAGCCAATGCGACAGCTTATGTTCCTGACTTGTAAGCCAAGACACGTGCCTAGAATTGGAAATATCGCTTCCTGCTCACATACAAAACGCAGTTTTGGAGGCGAAGTTCTTAATGCAGAAATTTTATCTAAAGATCCTGTCGAATGGGGCCCTCTCGATATACCCGGCTTCGTGGCCCGTAACAGCAAAGATGTGCGATGGCCCGAGATTCTCGCCTGTGCTAGGACTCTGAGATCGCAATACAAGCGAGTAGCCGCTATCAAATTCTGTTTCGGTGGCTGGGCTGTATTCCGTCTAGGGTCGAAAGACAACGAAGACCTTGTCGACTGTATTTCGACAGCACATCCGTCTTGGCTTACCAAAGAGGAGATTCAGAATGTCGGCGTCCCAGTGCAGATTCTTGCACCGGAGCACGACCCTGCTTTTACACCGGAACTGAAGGAGTTCAGTAACAAAGTCATTCCCACGCTAGGAATTGACTATGATTACCAGTATTTTCCTAATGTGGAGCATGCATTTGCTGTGAGAGGTGATCCTGGCAACGACATGGAGCGAAAGGGAATGGTGAGGGCCAAGAAAGCTGTGGTATATTGGCTTAACCAATATTTGCATGGCAACTGAATATTGATACGGGAACAAAGGAGAATTCGTGGATGAAACTTTCAGGAACGGGAGTACATAATATGTTGAGTCGCGCCTGGTATGTGCCAAGGCTGTCGCCATGCGTTCTCAATCCTTCACAGAAGCTTTTGGAAACAATATCCGTCTCCTAAATTCCTCGTATGAGAACGGTGCATAGAAGCTCACGCGAGGACTTCATAAACATGCTCGAATTTGTAATACCGTGAGTTCCTGTTATAGGTTGCGAAGTATTTATCAATCATCGATCAACACAAGTAGCTATTGCGATTGAACGGGGCGGACCGGCACTGGAATGTGGCAACTGAGGAGGCAACAGACATTCGCCTGAGAGTAAAGCTTACCCACCCGATCATCTATCAGATAAATATAATCTGTGTTTGGTATGGGGTCAATTTCTGCAAGGTCAGAACATTTGGTTTTTCTTGAGTATGCGCAGTTAGCGAGAGGCAAGCCCAGTGGTATTTGTAAAGAGCAGATCCTTTCCCATCCAGAGGCGGCTAACCCAAATCAGTCAATTTCGACAATGATGAGGAATTCAAGGGCTACTAAGACAGTTGGGCCACATCTGGGGAAGAAAGAGGCGGGTTGCGTATACACCGGATATCTTGCCTAATGGGTTACCACAACAGTAAAGTCTCCCGCAGCCAACAGTACTTAAAGTCATGTTCAACCCACATCTTCGTCCAGAGATATTGGCCATTCGGTTCAATGGATATGGTGGTATGCGTGGGCATTACTTTGTTCGATCATCGACCAGTTCATTCCAGTCGAAGCAGGCGGCCGCTTCTGTACTGCCACAGCCCATCCAACCAGTGTTCTATGGCATCTCGAGCATGACACTCCAATTTCCGGTCATAATTCCGTTCGGCTACTTTCAGCCCAGTCCGGCCAAGAGATTTGTGTCATTAATACAAGCCCCGGGAGTTTCTGGCTCGACTAACATCGATGATGTATTTGGCGAACTGAAGCCTATTCAACCTGACCAGTTGATCGGAGAATGGGATGGGTTTGTCCTATCTGAGGGACACCCATTCGAAACCGAACTGGACGAGCTGAATTGGGCAGGAAATACATTTGATTCTACTGAAGATGTTGCCCCTCTCATCATTTCGAAAAATGGAGAGCGAGTGCGATTTGAAGACTGGGGGAAGGCATCGGTAAGCTTTTTGAGATTATGATCTAGAACTCATTGAAATAATCGCAAGTTGAGACCTTATTTCTGACAAATATTTTATAATAGTTGCGTGAAATGAAATATCGTGGTGTTGTGTCTGCTGCTTTGGTCTATGACGAGCGACCAGTGATTGTGTATTATCGGACAGTACAAGCAAATCTAGTGGCTGGAGTCATGGAGAGCAAGAATTGGGGTCAGAAGTTCTATTTCTACCTGAAGAAGTAAGATACCCTTTAGAAAAGGAGATTGCATATACTATGGCTATAGAAGCGAGCGACCAGGCAAGATAAACAAGCAAGGATGGCCGCATCGTCTTAATTTTATTTCCAAGTAGTGAAAACCTCATTGTCCACTTTTTCGATCGTATCCCACTGTAACGAACTCCATGTATCAGGGTTCTCGAGAGCCTCAACATAATGTTTCAGAGCCATCACAGTCTGTGCTGACCAGCGCTCCTTGCTCACTCTTCCTATCCCTGCAGCCAGTGGGGTCATCAGAATTGTGTTGATTCTTTTCTGTTGATCGTGACGGTTATGCCCCTCTACCTGGCAAAGCAAGCTCCAGACGCACTCGTAGACAACCTCGCGGTCCCAGTTCACGTTTTGTGGTTCTCGCATGGTCGGACATAACCCAATCCAGCTGCAACCCCGTGGGTTCCCTTTCAGACGCTCAGGAAATTCAACCAGCGTGCATGTACCTGGTGGGGCGAAACCTCTCCATTTTTCGTACAATACCTGCTGCGCGGCTCGGGTCAGCGCATGGTAATCCTCATGTGGGCTGAACGTTTTGGAGATAGCGTGGTCGAAAGCCCCATCTAGCCGTCCAAAGGAATTTGCTGGCGAGACGACGAGGTCAAATTTGACCGATGCAGGGAGGCTGTTGAGGCGCTCATTGAATTTGGTGATCTTCACTTTATTAGGCGTAAAGCTGGGCCATATTGTCCTCAGTGCTTCCTCAAAGGCGGTGATAAATTCTGAGTCTTGACAGAGGAGCACAATCTCCGGGATATTGGCAGTCATAGCTGAGGGAGGGACTGGCAGTTGAGTATCGTTGAAGAAGTGAAGACGCAAGATCTGGCCTTCCGACGTGTATGCACGCCAATAGCAGTGTCTCCGCCCACCCCCACCGCTAGGAGTTCCAGATGAGGCTCGGCGGGCCAAGTCCGCAGACCCAGGGAAATATCTAGGCCCCAATCTACCAATGCTAGACCTCCGGAATAGTTACTCCGCCACGCAAAGTCATGGCCCTTGCAGATAATCAAAGGATACATATCAGCTATCTAAGCAAATTACATATTATGTGCAAGAAATAGGAGAAAGTCAAAAGCAAAGGGTATAACATGTGTCCACTGGGCCCACAGTGATCCACCAACGCTATGTAAAACCAGAAGCATGTTGCCATACTCTGTCCTATGACACAGTGCAAGTCATCAAGATGCTTCTTCAATCCCCAGATCTCTCTCCTTCTTCAGTGTAGCCTCTTCAACTACCTCCTCATTCAAGCCTTGAGCCGCAGCTTTGGCTTGCTCTTGCGTCGATACGTACCGAATCAAGCTTTCGCACAGACGATCCAGAATCCACTCAGGCTCAGTCTGGTGGGCAAGCATGGGACTATTTTCGCCAATCCAGTCCCAGTTCAAAACACCAAATTCATCCTCGTCGACAGACATGCTCCCTCCGTCGATAACAGGGGGTTGACTCGTGTCAACGGAAGATGGCCGACTGTGCGGATCGGTGAATTGGATCAGGCGAGTAAATTCGACCCATTCCTCGTATTTATATCGTTTGCGTTTGCCGTCCCGAGCATCCTGGGTGGTACGACGGATCGCAAAGGCCAGTTGCTGGGCAAGTTCGAAGGGTGACGGGTCAGTCTCACGGGCGAGTTCTTCGATGGTGCGGTGTGGGTGACTTGAGTCATCAGATCGACTGCGGACACGCCCTGGTTGCTCAACTTCTTTTGAAGCTGAGCCAGATGGCCGCCGGTTCTCAATTTCAGCTGCCTCGTCCGCCTCGTCACCAACCTGAAACCCACGCTTCAAGTTTTTCTTTTCTTGGCGGACTTGAATCCAATTCCTGATGAAAGGGAAATGGTCAAGAAAGTTTTTGTATACTCCTGCTCGAGGCATGACGAAATAGTCGCTGAATTTCTCCGTCGAATGCTTGAATCCGGCAACAATTGTATCACTCATCTGCGAGATGAGCATCGTCATGGTCGGGATAGCGATCAGCGACCACATCACAAAGAATGGTCGGCCCGGATTCGACTGCGGTGTGAAATCACCGTATCCAATCGTCAACAGGGAGCAGAAGCAGAAATAAAGCGATTCAAAATACGACATTTCTTCTAGCTGCCAGAAGACAACTGCTCCGCATGTCCACACTATACCAAAGGCAATGATGCTGATGACAAGGTCGTTCCAGCGACGGAAGCGCATAGTGTCATATTGAATTGCGCGCATGGCATCGAAACGGTCTTTCTCCTCTCGCATGACCAGGAGTCTAGGCCGGCGACCAGATGCCAAGGCATTGATTGTGCTGCGAATAGGTTGGTGTTTGTGATGCCGGTGGTTAGAAGCATGGGAGTGCTGACGAGCAAGCTCCGGGGTTGAAACATTCTTGTCTCGCGATAAACTCGGTTGAACAGATTGAAGCTGGTCTAGAGTGATGGATCGCTGGAAAGTCGACTGTCGCTTTTGCTCAATATGCTTCCGGACGACATTGTCATAATGAACCTCACGAGCAAATTGGTGGATACTTCCAACTACCAAACCGAGCATAATAATTCCTATTACTGCATATGGCCAGATAATCCCCCTTCCAACTGCTGTTTGCGCAGTAACGTCTCCAAAGCCCAATGTGAGAACCGTGATGTCGCAAAAATATAAGGCGTCAGCGAAAGATATGCCCAAAACTCGTTGGAAAATTGCCGCGCCGATGAGAAGCCAGACCACGAAGGCTGTCATTTGAAGAATGAGGGTCCGCTGATCATCTGTGAGTGAAAAATGCTGCGGGTACTTTCCTAAGAAGTACCCCAGCATGTTGATCATCAACATAAGACCCAAAAGAAAATAGAGAATGGCAGCAATAACAGCACTCCAATAGGCTTGCGAGTATACATCGTTGGGCGGAATCGGTGGGCTGTAGATTGATAGAGACGCTGTCAGCCCGCATAGCTGGCATCCTGTCAGTCACCAACCGTTAGAGGGAGAAAAATATTGCACGTACCATGCCTGTTGCAAGGAACCATAGAATGATCGTAACCGGCAACGCGATGATATAGCGAACTGTCTGGGTAAAATTCAGAAGCAAAAAAAAGTTCCCGACCACACCGCAAAGAAGGGACACTGCGTTCAGCGCGATCGCCCTGTTGATTCGATCAGCCATCCGCTTCAAGTCACGTTCTCCAGTCTCGATTTGAATAGACTTACCAGTGAGGGTCAGGATAACCTTCCTGTACCCAATTTCCAGCTGGCCCTTCCACTCTCGAAATAATCTTACTTCGCCATGGCATGACCAACGCAACGATCGACATCACATTGGCTAGCGGTCCGGCCGCCGCCGCCACCAGCGGAATCGCAGTGGACGCAATCCACCACGACTGTGGCTCATCATCCTCAGGGGGTCTCATATGAAACTGACTGCAAACACGATCCCATAGCGACGATTTGGCAGCGTGATCGCCGATTCGGGCCTCGAGTGGTTGAGATCCATTCTGCATCGTTCATGCGGCCGCGCCATGCACTGGGACCGGAAGCGAAGGGGAAGAACGAAGGGACTCGAAGATAGTACTGTAAGTGTACGCACAAGGGGGGAAAGACAGATAAGCGTTCAGGAACTGAATTTTTGACTGGATCGAGGTGGGGATGCTCTTGACTTCATCCCTATTGCGGCCCAGCGTGTAGCCGATACGCGGCAGATCGTAATATAAGAGGGTAAATGAAGCGGCACCGAACTGTCTGAACGTCTGAATATTGCGCACTTCCTTCCGTGAGAGCGCCGCTTTGGTAGAATGAGACGATGGGGTTCAGACAAATTTTCCCAGAGTGCAGGCCTGACCTTTGGAATCCTATTGTTTCTGCGGATGATGTCAATGAGCGTGTCAAAATCCTTGGCTTCGCTGGATCTGCAGTCCCGTGACTCCCCACATGCGCCCGTGGGTCATGGGGCTTCGTCCAGATGTCGATAAACAGCCAACTGTGGTGTAAAGTTCAGATAGAAGGATGGATGGGGATGAAGAGCCATATCTGACACTATCGGATCGATCTTGATCGGAAGATTATGTCGTTTAAAATAGCGTCTCGGCCTAAGCCAATTAGCGCGTCAAGGTTATCATTTTGTGGAACTTCACTTCCTCCGCTTCAACTTGGCAGCGGACTCCCTAAATTGCGATCGGGTCCATAGAACTAGAGCGAGAAAAAGGTTGAGATATTGTTAAATCTTTTCCAATCCCATTGACAACGACTCATGACTTGCGAGATTATGGTCGTTGAGACAGAGTATATTGGCAAGGTGCTGTGCGGCATGGAGTATTGCTTGCGTCACCTAGCACCTACCCGCTACCTCATTCCTGTAGTCATTGAATATATCTTTTTGAAAAATCTCAAAATATTCTGTCATCATAATGAATTAGCTCTTTTGTAAAGCCTCGTATATTTACAATGAAATGGTATTATTATCACAATATAATAGCGCGCCCGCTGAAACCAGTACCCAGAAGAACCCCCGCAATCAAATACAAGTGTGTTTCTGTGGCATCGTTATATCAATTTTTCCAGTGAGTCGATCCATCGAGCTCTGCTCTCATGTTTCCCGAGCCGAGTTCAGATACCCCAGTCGACCCTGGCAATTCGCGCAGCCTCTGTGGTGAATATATAGGCTGATCTGATGTTTGGCTAAATGTTTCATTGGTGAAGGCTTCGCTGCTGAAGGCTTCACTTGGGGAAGATTGCTTTGGCTCATGGACTGTGGAAAGCTCGCTCATTGTAGGCGGCCGTTCGTCAGGGATGCTTGTCAGTCCTGTTCTCCTGCGTGGCCGCCACCACAAAAAGAAAAGCAGGATTCCGGCAATAGCGGCGGCTGCTAAAACGCCTACTATGATTCCCGCAATAGCACCACCTGAGATTGAGTTCGACGAGTTTGTGGCAGCGGCAGTAGATGTGGTTTCAGAAGCGGATGTAGGGGTTGCGGTGGCGATGGAAGAAGTGGTAGACGTTGTCATTGTCGAAGAAACTGCTGTTGAAGAGGTTGTCGTGGAGTCAGCTTCCGTGTTGTTGTTCACTATGATATAGGATCTCATATAGGATCCTGCTTGATGGTTGCTCCAAGGCCAAGGTTTGCATGTATAGCCCGCCGATGGGTCGGTGCAGTTCTTATTGTTATAGATGTAGAAGCAGAAGTTTCCGCCCTTTGGGTCCCAGTCGAAGATATTCCCCTCTGGATTATCGATCGTCTTGCAGGAAGTATTTGTCTCGCCATGGTCCGTCAGAAAATTGCCGGAAGAGTTCGTCCAGCTGAAGACCCATGCTGTAGTTGATGGCAGACAGGCAAGATACAGAGGTAATAGAAACATTGTGAAGGACACCATGGTGGAAGGAGAATAGCATGTAATGCGGCTCAAAGAGCGTGATCACGCATTTCAAGAAGGCATAAACTCCGAAATTTGCGACGCATGCCATTATATGTCCAACTCTTCATCCCCACACTCCCCCCGTCCCTTCTCTTTCGTATTCTAGGGAGATTAGTGCAGGGTTAGTCGCTGTGCCAAGAGTTTGAAACGGGATGTCCTGCGCCAGGAAGAGTAGTTAGCAATTTCTCGCTCTCACCCGTCCAATAAGATGTTTGCGATGGGCAAATCTCGGGCGGGGCGCGCAACCACTTGCACATACGAGAAGACCATAACGCTAATCAGGGTCCGCCGAGGCTGAAGAACACGAGATGATCGGCAGCGTACCACTCACTCGAGCACCATTCCACGAAGCCCCTCCTCTTCTCCAAGTATTTATGGCTCGCTCACCCCGAACGAGCTTTTCCGATCGTATCAACCCCTGTCAGATTTTTGTTTGACCTTCCGAAAGAAGGGGTCACTCGTACGATCCTGGGCGATCCTACTCTGACTATGGTTTACGACCAGCCTGAGCACCTCCGAGGTGCCAAGACTCTTGGAAAACTGAGGGCCAAAGCGATGAGAAGTTTCCCATCGGAGAACTCCTTGATGGAGGAATGAAGCTGGACTGCAGTGTCAATAATGAAGCAGAAAAGGAGGTATACATGACATGTCAAGCAAAGCAGAATATACTACGTACACTGTGTGATGCTTCTTATTTAGCGACCTCTACTTTGAAGTTTAACATAAAAAATGTCCTATCTGGGATACACCATCTTCAAGTGCATGGTTGGGCGAATTATCACCAGGCCCTGTTACGATGAGTAGAGCCCAGCCTTCACGCACATCTATCTCGTTCAATCAACTGTTAGACAGCATCTGAATGGCCATCATCCGCCCAATAATGCAAGGACAATCACCAATCAAAATGCTCCAATGATGCGATGCCTCTGGCATGCCGCTCAGTGCAGTGTGATCGTTGTTTCCTTCACTAGTCAAAAATGGGTTGAGGTCCTCTCCTAGATCCACTGATATAGTTTGCTCTTTATTCTCACAAACTGCCAATTGAACTATCTTTATTGGTGAATGTTGTTTCTTCTTTGATCTGAATTATTTTCTGTATCGCGGGTTTTGCTTCAGCTGATTTAAACCTTTTTCTTAAAAAAAAAAAAAAAAAGCTTCATTTGAATAAAAGATTACTTGTGCGCTCTGGCCTTGAACTTTTGTGGTTGAAAGCTGTATATGCTTACCATTATGTTAGTTCGGCCCACCAGCCAAGTTGGCAACAATTAATGTATATACGGGCCTAGTACCAGTTTCAATCCCAGAACAACAATGGTGAGCCCCCCCTGTCTTTATCTTGGACATTTCTATGTGGTATCATGCACACCCTAGCAGAGCCGGTCCCGACACCCTCATTCCTGGTGATCGATTTTAGTCGCATAATGAAGACCAATATCTTAGGCTGTAGTGTCTATCTCCTTCAGCCCGTGGAACAAATTGGATTGGCCCATGGCTACCAGCCCAGTCTCCAAATGAAGTTCCTCGATTCGCTTTTAAAATGAGAAATCCTAGAAACACCAATCAGAGGACATTCTTTCTTAGCTTTGTCAAAGCTAACAAGATTAATTGTGTATATAGCTAGCAATGGAATCCGAGGCCATTGCCCTCAATTTGAGTCGTAATTGGTTTCTGTTCGTAACTTTCCAATTCATTGGTATGATCATCATCTCCATTATATTAAATGCCTCCTGTGCACGAGATTAAAAAATCAATAAAATTGATGAGGCTCGCTTCTACTACTCGAGCATGGTTGTTTGACGCACTGCCTACCTCCCAATGCCAGTTGTAGCTACTCATTTCCGTTGCGTCAATATATCACCTCAAAACCCGAACCATCACTGAAGAAATATACTTCCCTCAAGACTGCTTAGGCCGCGCCAATCCCCGCCTAAGATTCAACCTGTCAGCGAAGACCCCGTCCAAAGACGAGTCTGGTCTGAACAGATCTCAACAGACCCGTGAGCGGGCTTTAATTTGTGGATAATGTCTTGGTCACTTGTCGTCGATCTCGGTACAGATTAGAAACATAGTGGATTCATTTACATTTATTTGGATTTTCTACAATGAGTTTGTTGGTCTGATTAAAATCACAAGCATGTTGCCTACCCACAAAGAATCTATCCTCGACCCGTTGCCAGTCAGACTGACAACAGTGAATATCCTTGGATATTTTTGCTATGGTAATTTTTTGAGTTGAGTAATCACCCAGAAGACTTCGAATGCTAGAGATTGTGACCGCGTAGAATCTACTCCATTGATTTTAATTCGAACAATTTAATCCTCTCAAACTCCCAAATGAGCCCCTTTCCTCAATCTAGGCCCTTTTTGGAACTGGCGAAAAGCCAAGACCGTCCAAATTTGTTAGCGATGTAGGAACACTATGACTTTTGAGAAGCCATGGCGCTCAGTAGCTGTCAATCTGTTTCAGTCTTTGGTTGGAAAACGCGAATACCTGTTTTTGAGCGGCTTATGATAATTGCCTTTACCGCCTTAAGCTTGAGGCCCGTGTCTGACAATGTGCACGCATCAACGTGGATGAGTTATCACTTCATATTTGCAAAGGAAATATATATAATGCGCTTTTCTGCCACTTGAAGCATTATATGTTAAACATCTTCTTCTAGTCAGATTTACCAGCAGGCATAAAAACGCAGTCTAGTTCCAGTGCAGGCTTGACAAGAGCCTAAGATGCCCACAAACAGGCTTCTCTCTACCTTCCAATTCTATCATGTCCGGAAATCTCAATCTTGAGAAAATAGAGGAACTAAATTGAAGAACAATGATCGTTACATATCGTACTCATTCAACGCATCTAATGATATTCTCAATAACAGATGGGCCATGGCTGATCCTCTATGAGAAGTCTAAGCCAGATTGAAGCCCTCAACGTTCCTAGAACCCATCGCACCAAGCTTGTTAGACGGTTTTATATCGAGTGTTTGGTCTTTTTTGGCCTCGGCTCTATTGTTCTTGGAATCGCGCATGGTGGCACCCTATCAATTCATATTGCAGAAGAAGACCGGGACATTCCCCAATCGGGCCCTCCATTCTCTAACTTGGTCACAGTGGAGAAGTCGCCTCGCCCTACCCCGCATTCAATCTTGGTTTTCAAGCCATTCCCACCCTTCAATGTGGAAAATTTGAAGAGGAATCCCTTCGATTTGTTCTGCGCTGGTTCGTAACCATGAAGAGATTCTCTGCCAGCCGCGATAAGCCTGAGCATCGAGTGTCCCGCCGAATCTTGAACATTTTCGCTCGTAGCAAGCAAACTATGCTGGCATGTCTTTTCTTCTCGACGCAGATGGCCCTCTTTGCTTTTTATTATACGGTGCGGTTGGGCCGCCGTGATCGAGATTCCAGACTTCGGTGGAGTGACTCTGGCGTGGCGGCCCCTCACCCCCTCACCCCCTCACAACTCTGACGACGCCATGGCTCGATGGACGCTCATGTCCTCGATCAGGCTTCGCCAAAGTTGGAATCCTGCTAGAGTTGGCGGAATCGGCGCCTCGGGGTTAAAATGGTGGAGTGCGACATCGTGGCTCCAGGGAATTATGGGCGTGTGGGGTAGATCACCTATCGTGGAGGGTCCGCGGGGTTCGGGAGAAACAGGAGGTGCTCGAGGGGTCCCGTCAAATCGATGGTTTGAGCTCTTGAGCCATCAACAGCGGAGTGCTTTTCTTTTATGGTCTGCCAGGATGCGGATCTGATATTAAATACTGCAATGGCTGCTCGAACAGTTCGCGGTGCGATGGCGTGAATTGGGTGGAGCATTTCGAGTGCTCCAGCTCGGACTGTTTTCTGTCTCAACCTGTCATTCTATAGAGTGGGATGTCGATTTCCAAGCATCAAGCAGGATGAGCACGGCGAATAGCATATAAGGTAGAGGATAACGCGGCAAGGCCGGAAAGGCCTGAGCGTGCACTGGTGGTCCTCCAAACGGGTAAGGAGCTTGGACGAGGGCTGGGGAAGGCTGCAGGCCCATGCAGGCCTCGTGGACCGGCCTATATCGGCCAAGAGCCCGCGACATGAATAATGATCGTCTAATGAGAACCGAGGGCATTAATAACAATCGAACTGAAGGAACGAGAGTGAACCAGGGCCCGGTCACGGGACCAGCAGGGAAATTGTTGGGAAGCGGGCACTTTCACATGCAAATTTCCCCCCCAAAGTGGAGCCCGGGGGATCCACGCAGACGCCGGTGACAGCGAGCGAGACAGCAAAGGGAGTCCAGAGAGACAGAGACAGAGACACAAGGGGAGGGAAAGCATGCTGGACAAATCTGGACGACAAGCTGGCCATCCCGCGCCGGATTTCCCATGGGATTTGCAGAGGACGATCGGGGGTGGTGTGGCGTTTCATTGGGCCCGATAACGAGGATGCATCGCCAGATTAACTCCCTGCGCAAAGACGTGGACCAGACTACTGGTCCTCGACACTAACCGGCTTGCAGGCTAGTTCCCTGGTTTAGCCGGGTTAGCCCCTCGAACCAGACTTTTTTTCTTGTGTTTTGCGTTGCTTTTGGAGAACAGTGCTCAACGGATTGTTGAGTAGTGTGGAGAGAGGTATGTCGTGGAAGACCAAAGAACAGACTAAATAAAAAGACTGACGTCGTGAAGGGTCCTCATCTTCCTCCTTCTTTTATTTCTCTTCGTCTTACTACTTCCTTCAACTCCCTTCTCTTACTCTCTCACACTCTTACTCTCAATTGAGTTCCGATTCTGAGTTCTGTAGTCGATTGAAAGAGGAACTCCATCGAAAGCATCCGGCGTCCTCTTCCTCTTCAGATCCCTCTTTCCTTCCCTTGGTAGCTCGCGCCAGTCCCCATTGCGAGGCACCCATGATTGACGACTTGTGATTCCGTGCGCCATACTTCCCTTCTTTGATACCGCTTGCGCTCTGCCTCTCGGCTTGTGTGTTCCCCAGCGCAACGTTTCGTCACCATGCCCATCATCGATATTTCCAAAGACCTGCCCTCGCTCTTTCAAAAACAGGTGCAGGCCACCCCTGATGCGATTGCCCTAGAAGATGATGGCGCTGCCTACACTTATGCCCAGCTCGACCACGAGGTCGAGACCCTGGCCAGTCGCCTGCGGCAGTATGGCGTCAGCCGGGATACCCTGGTGGGCGTGCTTCTGCCCCGGAGCGCACACTATGTGATTGCCTGTCTCGCTACATTGCGCGCCGGTGGTGCCTTTCTCGTGCTCGAATTGGCCTATCCTGCCGGTCTTCTGGCCGATGTCATCGACGACGCCAATCCGGCCGTCATCATCACCCACCGGAGTGAGGCCGGGAAAGTTCAGGCCCAGTGCCCGCTGATTACCCTGGACGAGCCAGCTACCGAATTAAACGGCTATGCAAAGGAAGCTGCTCCCTCACCCACCTCAGAAGATCTAGACCGGTTAGCCTTCGTGTCGTATTCCTCCGGTACAACCGGCAAGCCCAAGGGCATTGCGAACCCTCACCGCGCTCCAGTACTATCCTACAACCTGCGTTTTGCCGTACAAGACCTGCAACCGGGAGACCGGGTGGCCTGCAATGTATTCTTCATCTGGGAGATGCTGCGGCCGTTACTGCGCGGTGCCACCGTTGTTGCCGTACCGGACGATGCCAGCTATGACCCAGCCGCCCTGGTGGACTTGCTTGCCTCCAAAAACATCACCGAAACCCTCATGACCCCGACTCTCTTGGCCACCGTGCTCTCACGCTACCCTCATATCGCCAGCCGTTTGCCTGCGCTGCGCACGCTCTGGCTGAACGGGGAGGTCGTGAGTACAGACCTCGCGCGGAAGGCGATTCAATCTCTCCCCAATACGCGCCTTCTCAACTGCTACAGCGCCTGTGAAACCCACGAAATTGCCTGCGGCGACATTCGCGAGATGATCAACCCCGAATCTCTCTACTGCCCTGTCGGTCCGTCATTAGTCCCCACGCATACCTATATCCTAGACGAGAGTGGGAACGAGGTTGAGGAAGGAACCGCCGGAGAGCTCTTCATTGGTGGGGAACTGCTGGCGCGGGAATATCTCAACCTCCCCGAAACAACCGCTAAGGCTTTTACCCCGAACAAATTCGACTCAACTCCTGGAGCGCGCATGTACCGGACAGGAGATCTGGCGCGCAAGTTGCCATCTGGGCTGCTCGAGATTACCGGACGTGTGGGTGCTATGATCAAGCTTCGCGGCTACTCGGTCGTCCCGGCGAAGGTCGAAAGTGATATCTGCCAGTACTTGGCTGTCAGTCATTGTGCCGTGGTGGCTCACGGGGACGGCCTCGAGCGCCAGTTGGTTGCATACATCGTAGCTGACAAGGAAGCTGGAGATCTCCCTGCGGTCGAGATCAACGGGTCTGGGCACAGCCCGGCGGCACGTCGCATTCTGGAGCCGTATCTTGCCCATTACATGATTCCAGCCTTGTGGGTGGTTCTGGAAGAGCTGCCCACGAATGAGGTCTCGGGGAAAGTTGATCTGAAAAGCCTTCCTTCTCCGCGAAGCTCCAGCCCTAATGGTAGCGAGTCTACAATTGACAAGGATCCCATCAGCATTAACGACATCGCGGCGATTTGGGCCAACGTCTTGAAGACTTCCAAAGCCCTTCTTAAACCCGAAGACAACTTCTTTGACCTGGGTGGACACTCTTTGTCGTTGGCCGATTTGGCCTCTAGGCTCTCAAGACACTTTGGCTTCCGAGTCCCCATTCCTCGCCTCGCCGATAACACGACACTGGCAGGTCACCTGGAAACTTTACGAGCTGTCAGAGATGGACACACTGCGGCGGTGCAGGCAGATCTGCCGGCATTTTTGCAGGCCGATTCCACACTAGATGAAGATATCCAGCCTCCACCCAATGTCAAAGTCACTTCTCTCGGGGATGCGAACACTGTCCTGTTGACGGGTGCAACTGGCTTTCTGGGTGCTTTCCTGCTTTATGATCTCCTTGAGAGCACAACTGCGAAGATCATTTGTCTTGTTCGGTTCAATGACCCCGAGGATGATGACCAGGCTGGTGGAGTCGCCCGTATTCGACGAAATTTGTTGGATCTAGGCCTTTGGCGTGACACAATCATGGAGCGTGTGGAAATTCTACCCGGTAACCTCTCAAGACCCCATTTCGGTCTCTCTCCGCAAAATTTCGACGATCTTGCTTCTCGTGTTCAGGTCATTGTCCACGCTGCCGCCACAGTGAACTTGGTGTATCCGTATGCTGCACTGCGTGGAGCCAATATTGGGGGAACCCGGGAGATCCTGCGTCTGGCATCCAAGGGTGGCGCAACCGTACAGTATGTCTCAACCAACGGTGTTTTGCCTCCGTCTGCGAAGTCCGGCTGGTCTGAGAGTACCGTGCTGGATGTGGAAGATGTTCCCACAAAGTTGCTCGATGGCTACGGGCAAACTAAATGGGTTGCTGAGCAGCTTGTTTTGAAGGCCGGCGAGCGGGGACTGCCTGTCAAGATTCACCGCTGCGGAACTATCAGTGGCCACAGTCTCACTGGCTCTGCTAACGCTTGGGATCTTCTGACTGCACTCCTGGTTGAATCTATCAGGCTCGGATTCGCTCCCGATGTGGAAGGCTGGCGCGCTGAAATGACCCCCGTGGACTTCGTCAGTAAATCTATTGTCCACCTGGCGAATCAGACCCACGCAGACCAAACTATCTTCCACCTGGGCGATCCCAATCCGGTGAACACTCGCTCTGTTTTCGAGAACTTGAAGGAGCTGGGCTACCCTACCCAGCTTCTTGCATGGGATAAGTGGGTGGCACTTTGGTTTGAGAAGCGCGGCGCTACGAAGGGTGGAGATGGTTCCTTCACTGTCGACATTCTGCGCAGCGGTATGCCCACCGTCGAGTTCCTCCGTGGCATCGTCGTCCTGGATAACTCCCTAACCCGGCCTTTCCGTGAGGTGGTCGAGCGTCCCAAGGTCGATGGCCTGCTGCTAGAAACATACACCCGGCACTGGTTCGCCCGTGGATGGCTCCCTCACCCTCCCTCTCGCCAGAACGCTCTTAACCGCGCGGTCAATGGTGCCTCGAAGGGTCCGCTGCACGGCAAAGTAGCTGTCGTGACAGGCGCCTCCTCCGGCATTGGTGCCGCCGTCGCCCTCGCCCTGGCTAAGCAAGGCTGTTCTGTCGCTCTGGGCGCCCGCCGCCTGAAAGAGCTCGAGTCCATCCGAGAGAAAGTCGAAGCCCTTGGCGTAAGATGTATTGTCTGCGCGACGGACGTCACCAGCTCGTCACAGTGCGCCTCGCTCGTGGAGCACGCAAACGAGCAGCTTGGTCCTGTGGACATCCTCGTCGCCTGCGCGGGCGTGATGTACTTCACCATGATGGCCAACGTTCAGACAGAGGAGTGGGAGCGCACTGTCGACGTCAACTGCCGAGGCCTGCTCAACACCCTGGCTGCCACCATCCCCGGTATGCTGTCGCGCAGCCGCGGCCACATCGTTGCAATCTCATCCGACGCTGGCCGCAAGGTTTTCCCTGGCTTGGGCGTCTACTCAGCTAGCAAATTCTTCGTCGAGGCGACTCTGCAAGCGCTCCGGCTCGAGACTGCAGGCTCCGGCCTACGTGTTACTAGCATCCAGCCCGGTAACACGTCCACCCCGCTGCTGAACATGTCGACGGACGCCGAGGCTGTGAAGAAGTACGGCGAGCCATCGGGCGCGAAGATCCTGGAGCCAGCGGATGTGGCGAACTCGATCGTGCATGCGCTGTGCCAGCCGGAGTATGTGTCTGTGAATGAGATCCTGGTGGAGCCGCGCGATGAGCCGATCTAGGGCCACTACTTCATCATTTTGTTGTTTCTGTCGGCTTGTTGGTTTCCTGCATCTTATCTCATATACCGAATAAATTTATGGGCGCATGGGTTGTATTTCTTACTACGTTGATTTAGCTTTCAACTTTCTAATGTTTTATGTGTGGTTTTCTCATCTCACTTTAACTAGCTGTTACATGGCACCTTGAATGCACCGTCGAGGTCACCACCTCTGCAGGCCATCAACATGGCCTGATATCCAATACAAGGATACCATCTATACATCAACTATGACAAAATCGCCAAGAATAGGGCTACATATGCACCTCCTGCCTGAACCCTGTCAGTACATCTGTACCTACATGCACCTCCATCACTATTACATAGGGACAGTGATCTAAAAATAGTACTCGCCTCCTCTTCTAGAAACCCTGACCCCGCTCTGTTGCCAGCATGTGTTCCGTACCACCTGCTCTGTATTCTGTACCTCGTGCACGTCGCCCCAACGTGAACTACAGTACGTAGTACCAATCTCTACAGTGCCAGTTCTGCCCCGCCCCCAACCAAGCTGACAATGCAAAGCCCCTCCTCTCTCCCCTCCCTCCCCCACCTCACACAGCCCACTGATAGGACCGCCACCCGCCCTGCAGACCTGATTGCCCCCCGGTCAGCCAAGCTGCGGGCGCCTGGGACCGGGCGAACCGGTCGCAGGCGGCACCTGCATGGTATGCACGCGCGGGCCCTTCCCCCACTGCGCCGGGACGTTGGTGACATCAGGGATGTGCCGTCATGCGGGTGAGGTACCTGCTTTGAGCGGCGTGAGGGAGAAAGTCTAATTAGAGGGGAAACTCTTGCTGGGGCGATAGAGTAAGAGGATGGAGGGTGGAGGTCGCGGGGAGGGGTGTGGGCGGGTAGACGGCGGGTAAACGGCGGGTGGGTGTAGGGTATGTGATGGTGATGGGTGACGGGTGACGGGAGAGGGGAGGGTGTGTGAAGTCCTACGTGGAAATAGAAGGGCGGGTAAAAAATAGAGTTCTTGTTGGTTAAAAGGGTTTGTGACGAGGGGAGAACAAACAAGAAAGTGATGTAATGTTAGACCGGCGGAAGATTAGAATTAAGGTAAGAAAGAAGAGCCGCGAGATGTTGGAAAATGTGGGAATTGAGTTGGTTTAGTTAAGGTCTGTCGGTGTCTATCAAAAGAGGCGAGGCTGCTCTGCTATGTACAACCCGGGGGAAAAGGATATCCTCCTCGCCTCGAAAGAGGGGGGTGTTTCTGGTAGCACGAAAGAAAAGAGACAGAAAAGTTAACTTAAACCACACGAGACAAAGGAAACAACAAAGGAAAGGCGTGGTTAAGCGGGGTAGACGGGAAAAGCAAAGCATAACAGGAAATCGCGAGATGGTATCATCAAAGCAGAATGACACAAGCTAGCAGCTCAACGAAGCAGCAGGCGCAGAAACGAAAACGCGAGAGATAAGAGGCAAAAAATACGCACTCGCGAACTATGAAAGCATTCAGAGTTCCGAGGCGACGGACGCCGGAAAGGATAAAAAACAGCTGCGAGAAATAATAAAAAAAATAAAGCATGACGCCGCCCCAAGGAGGAAAAACCAGAACGGCCAGTGGAGGCAGAGAAATGAGACAATAACTCAAGAGGCGCCGAAACTATGAGAGCTTTTGGGGATGAGATTCACCCGAACTGGGGGCGACAGGGACACTGTCGATCAAAAAAGACGTGAGAATCATCCGAGAGTGGAATGTGGAACGAGTAAAAGCCAGCCGAAGCCAAACCCAACGCGCTGCAAATGCAATTCAACCCGAGTCAAATGCGCTCCCGTGGAAAAAAAACCCCGGAAATTAAGGACATGGGAAGCCGAAAGGGGGACAAAAAAGTAATAATGGAGAGCTTAGTTCTCCGTTCAAGGTCCGCTTGCTCCTCTTCCTAGAGGAATTTGAACTGTAACTGTTATACTGTTCTCGGTCTTTGGATTTCGTTGTTATGATGTTTTATGTTGTTTTGGTTTTGAAAGCATATCACCTTCTATTTCGCTGATGGGCGGCGAAGGATCTCTTCGCAGTTGGCATCAAAGCGCATATTCCATAGGCGAATGCCATTCATCAACTCCTCGGTGTTCTCTAGCTCGCGATCACGGCCAAAGATGGATTCGACAAATTCGCAGCCGGCATTGCGACCCATCGACACGGGCCCTCCTTTTCTGCTTTCTCGCTTAGCGGCCTTCCACATGAACATTTCGCAGGCTTTGAGCAGCTTTTTGAATTTCACCCAAAGACGATCGCCACTTTCCAAGAAATCATCTACAATTTCCCGCGAATCGGGTCGTTGGATGCGTGGGAGACATTCGTCGGCTCGTTTGACCTTGCCGGCCAACTTAATCAGGAGGAGCCACAAATCGCCGGCCACGTCAGCCATCGGAGTCGAGGCGCCGTGACAAAAGACGGTCCAGTCGTAAATCCACTTGCCGAGGGAGTTGGCGTCGAACACGCTGCCGAGGAGAATGATTGGAACCTCAGTCGGATCCCAGTTCTTGATCGAGTACCCAGGCGGGATGCCAGCGCGCTCGGCATCCTCTTCGGTGGCGACAGGTGGCGGTTTCGCTGCTGGAGGCGGTTTCGGTTTCGGAGTACGGGTGGATGTAGATTGGCGGCGCGCACGAAAGCGACGGGCTGCTGATTCGAGATCCTCGCCATTAGGAGCCTGGGTGAAGTAAAAGTGAGAATCAGCAGCTGGTTTGCGGTGAGAGTGCGACGCGGTGCGACGTTGGCCATCTCGTTTAGACGAGTGCGCAGCTGGGGGATGGCCAGGACGGGACGATTGGGCCTGCGGTGGTCGCTGCTGTTGCTTATGCTGCTTCGGCTGCTGCTTCTGCTGCTGCTGCTTCGGCTCACGAAAAGCGTGGCATTGACCACCGCATGCATCATTGACCACCTCAAAGAAGGGTTGCTGCTGCGATTGCGACAGGTAGAAATCGAATCCGAAGCCGAGGCCATCCCCCGCAGGATGACCGGTGGTGTGGGTGCGACGATGGTTAGGTCCCGCAAAAGAAGCACTTACATGATCGTGCTTGCGCGGGATGCCATACTCTGGCGTGGCCTCGTAGTAAGGCTGCGGGTAGCCGGAGTGCCATGCAGGTTCCTTCGTGGCCGTATAACTGGCTTTGCGGTTGTGTCGTCGCGACGTGCCACGTGGAGACGTGTAGGTGTTGGCGTACTGGGAGGCGTAATAGGCGTAGTGTGGCGAAGTCGGGGGCGACTGAGTGTAGTCGTTGGCGGTCCACCCCGGCGGCGGGCTGGAATAGTGATACATGGTGTGTTAAATGAGCATGAGCGAAGCCGGAAACACCAGGGAAGCCAGGTCGAAGCGAGAACTCTCGTGTCGAAGGGGAAAGATATCTCACGAGGGGGTTGGTGAAGGGGGATATGTTGAAAAGCGTGCGTAGTCTGGAGAAGTCGGAGTGGAGAGAGAAAAAGAATAAGATCCAAAGAGACCGAAAGAGAAGAACTGTCAACCGAAGAGAATCAAAGGCAAACGAAAAAGCAGTAAAAGAAAAGAGCCCAAATCAACCCGAATATAGTATACAGGATATCGTGCGCAAAGAGCAAATCGACGCCAGAGCGAGCAAGGCGAGAGAAGAGAGTTGAGTAGGACCGTCACCGAGGTACGGTTCCTGATCGGAGAGAGGAGGGTTGAAGCTGGATGTGCTGAGAGTGCATTTGAACGTTGTTCGGCAAGACCGGACTAGGGGCAGTGGGTAGAGCCGTAGGAACAAGATCCAAGATCCACGATCCAAGATCCAAAATCCGGGTTGAAAGGGGGCGAGAGTGAAGAGGGTGACTCTCAAAAGACCCGAGTCCTTTCAGAGTGAAGTGGAAGAGAGGAAGAGCGTAGCGACCCGACGGGGTGTTTGTGGAGAGTGGAGAAGGGGAATTTTTGCAAAGGGCGTAAAGTGGTAAAATAAAGGCAAGTTTGAAAATGGTGGTCCGGTGGAGGTGAAATGGAGTCAGCGCTGAACAGCCGAGTCGCTGGTCCAGCCGCGCCCAATCAGCGCCAGGGGGCGTGCGGGTTGGCGCTGGAGGGGGTGGCGATAATCCGCGGTATTTACGCGTATTGCGGATTTCAGCAGATCCTGGCTAGGACGTGCTCGGTATCCTGATGTCCTGATGGGAGACGAGCAGATAGGAGATATTGAGATATTGAGAGAGAAGATATCGAATCACAGACGGGATAATCAAACGACTTATATGCGCCTAACAGAAGCTGGATTCTCTTCGCTGCTCGTTGGGTCTTCCCAACGGGTTCTTCTATCAATGACGAACTATTGCTAGTAACTAGTGCTTCAAGGATGAGGATGCCCAGAGTCATCCTCAAACCCCGATCGGTGCGTTGGCTTCTTGTCCGAGAGCCCAGATTTCCACCTGGTCCGTATTTTGGTCGGCTCTTTGCTATTCCTAACCCCATACCTCATTCCCATCTGGAAAGAATGCCTGGTGGCCAATTTATGACGCTGTTCATAATGACTCAATCCTAGAGTGGCAAAGGAGTCATTTGGCCATTTCCAGCTCCAATCAGATCTATAGAGACCGATAGCATCCCCTCAGCATCCCGTCAATCCAGAAGCCAATACAAAATACACGGCCTGCAAAGTACCAACCTGTCAGGTTTCGCCTGCTCTCCCTCTGTCTCTCTCTTTTCCACCTCTTACCCCTCTCTCATACCCACCATCACGCCTGGGTTACCCCTCAGACTAGTCCGGATACAGACGGCTCAGTGCTATCCACTGGCAGTGCCAGCTGCGACATGCTGCAACTACGCTTGCTGACGGGCAGTTTCCCCCCGCCATCAGTTGGTTTGGGCATCGGCCAACTGCAGCCGAGATGGTTGGGATCGCGAGAAGACAGCGAAACCTGACCATAGCCCCAAACAACCTGCAAAGATGACTCGATTTCCCTCCGGGGGGCCACTGTTGCCTAGTGCTGTGCAAAATGGAGACCTTAGTGGGGATTACCACCAAAAAGCTGGAAAGTAGAACAGGGTGTTCAGTGTTCACTGGCTCTATCACGATAGCCAAATGGGGAGGAGGGGGGGGGGGGGGAGATGGTGGCCTTTAGCGGCAGCCATATATCGGCGTGTCAGGACACAGTTGGATGGGCGGGACTCTCGCCATGTGCCGGCTTGCTTCCAGAACAACGGGTCGATTTCCCAGGCCGTTTTGCTGTCCAGTTCATACTGCATGAACACCAGTGTGGTCAGCATCCTATCCTACTTCGATCCTTCTAGGTCAAGGACCCCTCCCCTAGACTTGCAGCGAGGGCACGGTGATACTCTATCGGGGCAAACTTTCCACTGCGCGGGATTTAGGACAATTGGGAGCCTGCCCAACCGGAAACCAAAAATCCCAAAGTACGGAGTGTCATGATACTAATCGGACGAAGCCCACCGATGTACTATACTGCTTCTAGGCACATCACAGTACAGGCTATGTACGAACAAACACATTTGGTACTGGCCGTGGTCAAACCAGACCCTCACGATAGACTCCATTTAATCCACCCCTTTCCATGGTTGGAGCGGCGGCTGCTCGATCACATCCCCGAGTCCTGACGGGCGCTCCCGTCTCGTCCACCGGTTCGGTCTCCACAGACCCATATTCAAACCGGCCATGCCCACGATCCACCCGCTACGTTGCCATGGCAAGGCAGAACATCTTCACGAGGAGCACTAACACGAGCAGCTCCATCAGAAGGTTTTGTTGTATGTTAATTACAAACACCACGCGATCATGTTGGGCAACCTCACAGACCATAGGCTTTACCGCCGCAAGGTCGCTGGGCAGCAACCGCCGTTTTGGGCGAAAAAAAATGGGATTGATGGAGAAGCATTCGCAGACCGCAACTTGCATAGTGGCCAGAACCAATCTATGGGCCGAGAATACTGCAATTTTATTTGTGTGGTCTGGTTTTTGGAAAATATTCAGCCCAGCAGTAAAAATAGGTCTGGAGATGGCTTGATGGCCGTCGGTTGTCGTCCTCTCTGGTCGTATGGTTTCTACGTACTATGTAGAATTTCATATTATTTTCAATATCCTCCGTGCACTCACGTCAATCTTAGGAAGGCAGTGCCTTTGCCAACGCGGTCTCTCGGATTTCATTCTAAGTCGGCCAGGCATTCATTCAACCCAATTTCGATTTCCACGAGGACCTCGGACACCGACATGACTCCATATCGTTTCATTTAGAAGCACTTAGTGCGACCGGTCCCGTCAACCCATTAAGCCCTAAGCCACTTGCGCCTGACTCCAGATTGGCTCGCTGCGCACCCACCTCGGAGGGTTAATGACGTCCAATACCTGGACTTGCGACCGGACTCCCGCACACCCTTCCAGCCCACCATCAACAAAATGAAGCTTGTGCCCTATGAGAGGATCAAGGCCGGGATCCATACCTCGTAAAGAACGAAACCAGCGATCCAACCAGTCCGATGACCACCCAATACACCCAGCCTCTTTACGCTCACGCACCAACCGCAGGGATAGAATAAACAAAAAGGACGCGATGTCCAACCGCTCAGTCCTTGCCGCGCTCACACAGGGCATTCCAGGGCGCACCTGGGAGTCAAGGGTTATTGGGGCTATTTGCCGTACCTCACCTTTCCATGTCTTCCATCGCTCATTTGTTTTTTGAATTTTTATTTGACATGATTCTTCGTGATGAGTCAACCCTTCGAGAAATCCTGCTCCTTGGTTCCCGCCAGGCAGCCAAACGGAGCGCGATCCTGCGCCACCGGTAGCAGCGCCGATCCTCCAGCGTCACACATGGCGTTCATTTATGTTTTTGGCTTTGGGTTTTGCTTTTCCTGTTTTTTTTTTTTTTTTCTATTTTTTTTTTGGCATTGAGACTGTTCTTCGGATTTTCGACTAGATCAATAATTTTGAAGAATTCGATTGGAAGCCCCTGTAATATATCTATCACCTCCCTATGTCCATATACCACTATACACACCCTTCGTACAAAGTGCTCCTTGCACGTTACAGCTGAAAGAGCCTCAGCTGAGGTGTGCTCGGGAAGTGGCACAGTCGCCCCCAGACCCGGCCTGACACTGTGACCGTGGGCAATCACCCTCGCTTGTTGCCAGGGTTTAGGGCCAACCACCTGGGACCTGGTCTAGTGGCCTGCAGGTTAGGCTCCAGTTGCCGCAGCAGAGGATGGGTTGGGTTTTGGGGGCTCTTGGGGGTGGGGGCTCCGGGGCGGTAAAATGAGCGCCCTAGGGAGCCCGCCCCAACCAGACAAGCCTCCCAGGCAGGGAGCGCGCGGTGCGTCGCCAGCCCGGGTGCCGCTTGGTGCTTGGTACCGCTTGGTGCGGCGCTCGATGCATGCCACCAGCTCCGTAGGACCTCCTGCACCTGTACGATTTCCTAAGATGTATGTTTTCTGTACATATTCTGTAGGTAGGAACATAACCTTGCTGACGCGCACGGGCATGCATCTCTATCGCCCTGTTTATTGTGATGATCCCTTCCCCCCCCCCTCCTTCCCTCCCTCCCTCCTCGCCCCGGGCATGTGTGTGTGACCAGATCATTGTAAGCTGAGTGTGGAGTGTAGCCCACCCAATTGATGACTCCTGGTTCCTGCTTAGAGGAGTTACATCCACCGATAGCCACAGTTTATACTCAGGGGCAGCGCGTGTCCATAACGAATGGCTCCGGCCGGCCAGCGTCACGGCCGGACATCCGCGTAATTGTGATCAAAGCTTGGTAAATTTAATCTCGCTATTGAAACCGGTGTTTAATTAAGACTAGAATTTTCACAAACACCGTCCAATTATCCCTGGCCCTGGTCAAACCTGCCCTGCTTTGGTGGCAGATCTGATGGATCATGTCGAAGGCCCCCCTTGCGGAATCTGAGAATCAAAACAAACTACTTGTGGTTGGTCTGCTTGATACTGCTTTTTCCCCAGTGAATGTGGACACCCTCGAATGGAGAGATTCCGCTTGGTCAATTGAGATCAGGACTTATTTTGTTCTCCTTTTCATTTCTTTTTGAACAAGAAAGAGAGCTTGATTTCGTGATTGTGCACTGTGCGTGCGCACTGATCACATAGGGTACTGTGGCTGCCCTTGCCCTGAGCCCTAGTCCACTGCTTACTTTTTAAAGATCGAAAATAGGGGGCTGTGAAAAATCTGCCGTGTCTACTCAGGGGTATCTCATATTGATATTGTGATGTGGTCGTGTGGCTGTTTATCGCTCAATGAGTGGTTTGAGGCGAGGTTACTAGTAGCTTCATATTAACAGACCGGTAGCACCACGGGCTATTCTCCACATTGACTTAATGCTGTGTACCGCAGTATCCACAGCGGGTTCAGAACTAAATTTTGACCTGGAATATCTATACACAGATATCTAGTACACTGGTATTATGTTTATGTGGATATTACAGCTGTTATTTGAATTCCTTTCGTTGACCTTTTTTTGTCGGGATCGGACGTGAGTGAATAAGGTAAGGAGTAGATGTGAATCGTGCATAATTAGTGACCTGTGAGTGGCTTAGCCGAAATAAAGGAGGCTCATCACTTCCCATAGCTGCAGACCGAGCCCGTGGCTACCAAAAGCCATCTCTAGGTCCTTGACTTCTGGCATAATCAATCGACTCATGATGTGTCTGTTGAGTAATCTGTTTTCGAAACCTACTATAATTAATTCTCTGGAGAATGAAGAACTAAGCGAGCTACGCTTCTTGACGATGAGATAGTAGAATTTTGTGAGAAAAAAGAAGGCGAATTACAAAGCGGCTGGGTGTCGCCAGGACAGTCCTAGTTCTGTCGCTAACTACCGTAATGTAGCTGAGTAATAGGGGTCTCTGCATAGCCGTCCCTGTGGACAGGTATTTTATTAGATTTTGTGCAATCCAGAAACAGGATATGACTCGCCAATGGGAACTCTACTTTGAATCTTTGTTGTAATTGTGAGGCTTCACCGCAGCCATTACCATAAGAGACCAAGCAAAGAGACATACACCAGGATCGGCAGGCCAGGAACTGGGCTCCTCAGAGCTGCCGGGAACGTGCACAGACTATTGATGGTCTCTTTGTGCACTTTTACAAGAGAGGAGACTTCAGCGTGAATGTCGTGTAAATTCATTCCTGAGAAAATCATAATAGATTTCAGATGAAGGGTAGTGACTAGCGTAACCAAGCCTCCCATAAATACCTCTGCTCCTTGCGAGTATTTCTTTGTGTCTGTATGTAATAAAAAGATTAAGCTGCTGGAGACGCCAAAGCTGAATATCTTACAGTTATAGAATGAAGCTTATAGAAATTGTTTCAATTTCATCACGTACAGACTCAAATGTAATGAAGTAATGAAATTTGTTATTATATACGTATTTTCTCAGTTGTGCATTGTATGAAACTGGTTCCATATGAGTGAGACTCCCACTTGATCAGGGTCTACAGTGGCAACTCGATTACCAAATCTCTTTTGGATCCCAATCCAAGATTGAGGCGTTGTGATAACAAGCCCGCTCGATTCTCCTGTGAATAGACACTTGGTGCGGAGGATTTCTTCTTTCTACTTCTCAGTAAGAAATATAACATATTATTTAACTTGGAGAAGCTGTGAACACAGCCCAGTTGTCAAGGATCTAACCACCCTAGAGATGCCAAAGTATTCACGATACTATGATACCCCAGTCGAATCAATGGTAGATGCTGTAACAGTAATATCTTAAACTTCAAATAATATATCGCTTCAGAGACAATCCCAAAGTTCTAGCTATATTTAATACACATTAAAGATTTTTAGATAACCTTTATTACTCAAGTCGTAGGTTTTTCTATTTAGTTGTAGATAATCATCTACAAAGTATCTATTGATCTCTAGAGCTCGTTAGTCCTTATTAATTTTTTCCTTTTGAAATCCCTTTATTTCTATGTTTCTTACAGAATAACCAAGGTTGATGATGATATTCGAGATTGGTTCAGGTATGAAACGTATTCATGACGTGATCAAGGCAAATCATAGAGCATATCCCCGTTCAGTCGTCATAATTCATCATTGATCTGTTCTTCGTCACAAGAGGAATAATACATTTCTGAACTGAATTTTGGTTTCAATATTCAGTTGTTCATTCTCATATGCAAGCCCCCTCCCCAAGCTGGTTCAGTTAGAGATTATATCCTGATACTCATCTTTCTCTTTCTCCTTGGCCAACTAACAAATCACTTGGTGTCTTCAACGTAAATTTTGTGGCTATTATTTACTATAATCTTGTAATAGTTGCTAAAAAGATTTTAGGGTCGACCCTCAAAGCCCCAATAATATATCTATTCACTGTCAGAGATGAATACATGCCACCACAAGCATCTAGTAACACCGCGACCCCACAATTCCCCCTATACCCTCTATCCATAGGGAAAGCAAGCTATATATCAGATATCTTTAGTATATAGGGTCCATTGGGGCTTCTCCATGCGACCATCATCTTGAACACATTTTTTCCATGTTTTTCTCGATGCCCAGCAAGGACTACAGTAAATGGACACTTCAGTTTCTGAGCCCCTTGGTGCTAGTCCAATCCTATTTTGGCTATCAATAATGTAATTAAAGGGTAGGACGGATGACAACTTACTCGCATATGAACGCAGTAGAATCTGAAGACTCTGAAAACTCTCTGTGTAAAGAGGTTAGCAACTAAATCATTGCCAACTGGCGCACACAATAATGATTGTACCTGATCACCTCTGAATCCTTCAAGACCACGCAGTTCTGATACAGACATCGTGAAACAAAAGAGTCAGCGCGAGGAATCTCTTGGCACATAATATATAGCTTTGCAGTTACTCCAATACCAGGAGATTCCACCTGGATAGATGACCCGCATGCAATTTCATATAGCAGAAGACAGTATGTAGAGCTCTTCCCTAGCTGAGAATCCTTGGGTCCCACCAGTGAATCCCAAAGTCGTTTGCAGGTGCCTTGAAAGTTGTGGGGCAAATCTATTGCACCATTCAAGCTCAGATGAGGCTCAATTTCGTGAAAATCATTCACGACACTTAAATCACAGCGAGCATAGATCTTAACCCGTGGCTCTGGAAATTTGGTCGCATCGATTGACAGCATCCTGGGCTGCAGCTTTTCTGGGTAAGCATTGAAATGAGATTCAACCCTGGACCAATTTTGCAGAAACATAGGATGGTTTATGCCTTCATATTCCATACACATTGAGAAGATAGAGTGCAAGCCCCCAACAAGGTCTGGGGTCTTCTGACATGCAGGAAATACCCAATATGGTTTGGCAAATGTCACTGAATCTACAAGGTCAAACCCGACAAAGACTCCAGAGGGAGAGCATTTATGACAGGTGATCGAATGAGTCTTGAGTTCATATTCAATCATCATCCTGGTAACATGGACCCAAAGTTGTGGGAAAGCACGCAATATCACTTCACCATCGTGTGGCAAAGCCGTTTGTTCAAGTGTTGTAATCATTCCAATGGCTGCCTTGAAAGCAGCCATTCTGGATATTTCATGATTTGACGGAATCACATCTGTCACGTATCGAATGATTGGTTTCCCATTTTGATGCTTGCTTTTCCAGCAGAAACTGACCTCAAATGGAGTGTGGTCGTCGGTGAGAGAGGAGGGATAGTTGATTGTATACAGGTCCTTGTCAGAATTATATGAAGGACCCGGTCCCAACCAGCCGGTGACCTGATTTTCAAAAAATTGCAAATGACGATTTATATCTTCAACCGTATAGCTTCCATGTAGGTTCAAAGCGTTCGTCAAATAAGGAGTCAAGATATCTCTCCAGCTCCTCAAACATTCTGGCTTAGCATTGGACTGACTGGAGGGCGCTATCTGGAACGGAAGGCACATCATATAATTAGCCCCTCGAATACACCAATGAAGAGCTCTGGACATACAAAATTGTGGAGGTCAGGCGTCGGACATCTTGTTCCGGGGGAGGAGATACCTTGGTCTCCCATTATCGGATCTGATGCCATATTTAACAAATAAACCCATAACCCATGCTTAGCCTGGGAAATGGCCCCAATTTGTACTCGTGACTCGAAACGGGTCTGACAATGTCTCGAAAGCCTTTCACCACTCGCTGTGGCTTTGAGAATCGGTTTAGCTGACAAAACTTCAGCTTTGCCCCGCTTCGGTGGCCATTCGACAACGACGCCAAGTGCACTAGCCAACACCATATCCAATGAACGCAATCGATTCTACGTGTTCCCCCTTCATGGATGCTTTCACAGGAACCGGTATCGGGTTGAGTAGTAAGATTAGTCTACTCAATAGGCTCCTGTAACAGCAGAATGGCACTCGGGAAAGTCCCTGCATTGGATCTATAAATCGCGAGCGAGGCTGCGACAATGGATATGAAACTTTACCCATTGAATCATTCCTTCCATGCCCTGGAACAAGCTCTCCAGTTCCTGCAGCCCTTCATCCGCCCAGAACTGCTTGTTCGCAGCGACGCTCCGCCAGCCAATAAACGCAATCAGCATCGACCCTGTCTGTCCTTCTGGCCCTCCCAATACGGGCAAATCGTTCTCCACGCTCCACCCACAACTCAACCCTTCGGCGGTGGGGCAATGTCGCAGCTTATCCTCTAAAAATAGCCGTATCTGCGCTGCAGCGAGATCCTTGTCGGTGATCGCGATATCACAAGCGAAGTACGCCCGTATAATGTCCGTCATCGGAGACCGAAGCGCACTAGGCGGAGACGGCGCCACGGTAATATGCTTTGTGAAGAAACCCCGGTTCAAGATAGTTGGCAAATCCTTCACGGCCGCAGGGCCAAGCCTACAAACCGAGTTCAGCAGACTCTCTGCGCAGTGTTTGGAATCGTCGCTTACATCTTTGCATAATGCTCGTGGTCTTCAATAGAGTCCCAGTCGAAGAAGGTCCATAATTTGGACGACTCATCGTTCTCCAGACCCCAATACACTCGATGCGGGCCACCGGGGTCGGTCGTCACCGTATCCCATACTTTCCTCAAGATCTGGCCTTCACGGGTACTTTCGTCCATGATGTCCAGGGAGGGCCGAACACCCATGCAACTTATCTCAATGACGGACATTCTGCGATGTGGGTTGCTTCACTGCGTTGATTGCGGCGACAACAGGTGGGCTTTATACGAAGGGAGACTAGGCAGTGGCATAGAAAACCCAGGCAACTTCTTTAGTTGGTCCACTGCATCGGATCTTCTCATAGTGCTACCTAGATCAACGAAGCGTGAACTTCGCGACCGCTGGTTTGGTGTATTATACCAATAAAAGGTGCCAAAAAAATGTCTACCTTGTCAGGGCGTCGTTCGATCATCCGGTCTAGAGTACTCATCCATTGACTAGAGAATCCGGCTACAGTCGGACGCCCAGAAGAGACCGACCGAAAGTAGAATCTACGACAATCCCTATTAAAAAAAAGCTGGCTTTCAGGCCGGCCAACAGAATAACTTGTTTCAGACATACACTGAAGCTAGTCCATTGCCCTGGCAGGGTAGCTTGAAGTACCAGCGCAGCCCCAGTTGCCACAATACATAGATAATCAAGAACGAGCATGGCATCATACACAGAGAAGTACCTCCGAAAGAGCAAAAAGCCTTCCTATAGGAGATATTTAACAGATGGAAAAGAAAAAGGCCCCGCACAACAAAAGCAAAACAGAAAAGACTGCTGAGGCTGAATAGTCAGGGTCAAATACATGCCCAGTAGGATTCAGTTTCAAAACTCAACGCCAGACACCCCTCCCGCTTGTTGCATCCCCACAAGCAAGATCACAAGTTCCAATACATCGACCAGAAAGTTGAGGGAATTAAAAGAGAGAACCAGGTTAAACGCGCTTTGCAACCCCCCGACTGAAGCCCGAACTTAACGCCGCACCGACAGACCTGCTGCCCAAGCCAAGTTCAAAAACCCCTCACGAAGACGCCCAAAAGAAATTCCTCATCACTCGTGTCTCGTACAAGGCACACATCAGCCAGTGACAATGTCACACATTGATCAGGTCATCAAAAGTATTATCTGCCGAGAAGGCATACGACGACTCGGAAACCAAGGTGGCTTCTGAGTCCCGACGCAACTGCTGCTCAAAGGCCTCTGCCGCCGCCGCTGCGGCCGCGGGCTCTAGCTGCAGCGAGTCATCAAAGCCGAAGGACAACGGCGCCGGCACAGTAGGAGCGGTGGTCGTGGTGGCCGCCGAGGCGATCTCAGATGGCGATGTGGAGACATTCTCCACCAGGTCGGCCGGGGGACCCGCCATGGTCGGGGGTGGAGGTGGGCCATCGATGTCGGTGATCTTCTTGACCATCTGGGCGAGGTGTAGCTTGATCGGTTCGTCGCCGCACTGAGCGTGCTTCAGGACTTCGTTCTTGAGACTGAGGATCTCGGAGCGCAACCGAGTGATCTCCGCAACCAGGTGCTCTTTCTTCTCGGACTGCTCTTTGAAGCGAACCTCCAGCTTTTGCGTGTGCTCCTTTTCTTTTGTCGGCACTTACTGGCGGCGAGACGGTTGCGCTCGAGGAACTTGGCCCGTTTGGCGCGCTCCTGGTGCGGATTTTCATCAAGGTCCGGGCTTAGGCTGGCGGCGGCGGTCTTGGACTCCCGTGTAGCACGGCGTTTGCTGGCTGACTCGATTTCGAGGCTGGATGAGTCGCGGAGACTGTGATCATCGTAGGGTGGGGGGGTGGGTTGGCCATTGCGGACTTGCGTATTTTTCAAGTCTCGTTCCAAGGCAGAGCTGGCAAAGGCGGCTGCATCCGCTTTAGCATCCCAGCCGCCGGTGCCCATTATTGGGGAGATGGGACTCAAACCCCAGAGCTGCTCGTCGTCGGGGATTGGGAGCCCTAGGAATTCGCCTGTGAAGGCGTGCGAAGTGGTGAATGCTGACTGTCCGATCGTACCGATGGAGTCCGTGATAAGCAACCCGGAGGGTAGAGAGGAAGGATTCATGTTTCCAGCAGACATGGCAGATTGGAAGGGAAGGAGTTGGTTGGCGCAGTCACCTGTCTGAGAGGTCCGATCCGAATTGGGAGAAACAGACGATTTCAGGCACAGTCCTGGTCCTCTCTTGCTGTCTTGTGGTCTTGTAGTCTTTTTTTCACTGCTTTCGTTTGCTCAGTCTCTTCACTTGCGCTTTCCGTGCTGGGCTTGGATTGGGTCGAAACGGAAGCTGCGCACGAGGTCGCTGGAACAGGGCCGGTATAGATCACAGCTAATAGGTGAGGTCTCCAGAATGGCAGTGTGTTATCCGTCGGCAGTAGCCCGTAGCCAGGTACAGTCGCGACGGGCCCACCCTCAAACATAAAGTCTTCGGCGTCAAGACCAGCAGGCTCGCGTCTCGGGTTGGGTTAGCGAGAGAAGAGAAACCACGGTTGTCCAGCCGGTGCCTGAAGAAGCGGGAGGTCCAGGTGCGGTCGACTGGCGGGAGCCACGGTCGGACAGAACTTCCTGCGGTCCAGCAGATCCGGACGAATGCGCGTGCAGAATGACCGTGCCGAGGGTGGTGGTGAGTGGGACAGAGCCAGGATGTAGGAGCGGCGTGGTACAGACACAGCTGGGAATTTGGGACACTGACACCACGCATCTACGGCTACCTTCATGGATTGATGAAGGAGGGACCGAGGTGCCAATGCGTTGATGCGTTGATGCGTTGATGTGTTGATGCGTGGAGGTGTGAAGGTGTGAAGATGTGGAGGTGTGAATGCGTGGATGAGTGATGTGTTGATATAGGGTTCGCCAGGATCCGCGACATGCGGCCAGAAGAGACTCAGGACTGGAGAGCAGAGCCGAGCAGAGGGGGAACTCCGCAAGACCGTAGCTCCCATCAGCCCATCAGCCCATCAGCACCTCCAGTCCCTCCGGTACCCCTCTCCCTCCATAAACAAGAAACATCCAGTACCAGCTACCAGCTCCATGACGAGCCTGGATTGGGGAGACGGGATCTCAAGCCGCCCAGTCATCGATGGCCTTGTTATTGCGGGTAAACCAGGTTTCGGCTACGGAAAGTGGAGACCTGCTCGACCCTGGAAAGTATGCAAAGCTCGGAAGTATACAAGTTCTAGAACTAAACCAGCAGTCCTTCCCCCTCCTGTCGGAGAGAAATATGAAACTGCATGTTGATGGCTCTGTTTGAAGAGTCCAAACAAGAATAAAAGTATAGCAGAACAACACGGAATAACAGCAACCCGCCAATTGAATCCTGTCCATCATCCCCTCTCCTCCACTCCTCAATTCCTTCATTCCCCAATACCCTGAACACCCTGAGTTGCTATTCAAGTCCAATTCTCCGTTCGCATTCCAGTCCCTCTCCATGTCATTCACTCCCGCTTTCCCATTGCCCCGCGCGAGGGCGCGCTAGCCCAGTCCCGCAGATTACGACTCACGCTGCGCCAGTGCTCGAGTAACATCCCCGCCACGCGGTCCTCGGCGATCTCTTGCTCCACGGCTTCCACTGGATTCGGTTGCACGGCGTGGTTGTGATCGCGCGGGCCAGTCCCGATCAGCAGCGGTCCAAATACCCGCGCCAATCTATCGGCTTTCGACACACTTGCCACAGGCCGGACGACAGTCCCGGGTGCCGCCTGTTCGGCCGGCGCCTGAGGCTGGTGTGGATGCAGTGCAAGCTCGGGACTCGCTGGCTCTTGGAGCAAGCCGGTGAGAAGTCCAAAAATCGCGCAGAGGAGGGCGCATTGCATCTCACTGGTCAGCGCGACAATCGCCAGCGTAATGAGCCGAACACGGCCCGCCACAGGGATCCCTTCGGTATGGCAGATGTCCCGCAGGGTTTGGTACAGGCGGGGAGAGCCGAGGATGCCCCCGGGTAGTCCGCTTAGCAAAGCCTTGAGGGTCCAGCCCACACTGAGTACCAGGACAGGTTCGGCATCATCCTCCCAGTGGGGCATGGCCACCACGCGCATGGTCATCGCGATTTTAGATTCCTCCTTTTCCGCCGACAGTACTTGGCTTGCAAAGTGGTCGTACAGGTTAATCGCACTCTTTAAGTCGCCTGGCTCAAGGAAAAGTTCGGCGGCGCTGAGACCTGCAGGAACCCGAGGTTAGTTAGCCATGCCATGACGTCGAGGAAAACAATCCAAAAAGGACCAACCAAATCTCCGCAGGTACATCACCGTTGCCACAATGCAGGCGGGCAGCTGCAGAGGGCAGGGTGCCAGGTCAGCCGAGAGGATGATGAAGCTATGGCCTCCTAGACGAGCAAGAGTTTCGATGGACTTGCCGCGCAGAGAAACCATGGGCTCCGGTCGACGAGCAAAGCTAGCAAAGGTCTTTGCCCGTCGTAATTTTGATGAGGGTGGCTGCGAAGTTTCCCCAAGCGCTGCGTTGGACTGCACTGGACGCACTCGACCAAGAAAACGGTGGCGTCGATGCAGAATTGAGCTGTCAGCTTGCGTCGCTGCTGGATCTTCAGCTACGCATACCACTCTCGATTAGAAGGAGCACGGTAGAGGAATCAGAAAGGAAACCTACATGAAGCGATCATGAGATCATCTGTAGGGATAGAAAGTGCAACGTTCAACTTGCCCGCCAGCATATTGAATGCAACAGTCGCCTTGGATGGGTCGAGGCGGCTCATTCGACTGTTTCGACTTGACTGACTGCTTCCAGAGCTATTCCGCTGAGTCGAGAGATGATGTGAGCTGTGAGGACTATGGGAGTCCTGCTGGCTGCGGTGCTGGCTGCTAGTATGGGAGTTGGCCAATGTGGAACTCTCAGTCTCGCTGTGCCTATGCGATCGACGCGATGCCTCAGATTTCCGGATGGCCTCCTCGCTATATCTGGACGATGTAAGAGCTCGATGATGAGGATCAGAGTTCTTGCTATCTGAAAAAGGATCCGATATTTCTGGCAAGTGTCCACTGTCCTGATCAAAGTTCAGTAGATCATCCCAAGCCAAATCCCCTCCCAGCTCTTGAACAGACAACGGAATGCGTGGTGAGGAAGGTCGATATACGATGGTAGTATTGCTTGATTCATGGGACTGGACTGTCTGGGCGCTCACATTTCGATTCTGTTCAGGCTCAACGTTCGGCTGGTTCTGGGAAAGTGGTTCTTGTGCGGTCGTAGCAGCCTTCGTTTCTTCCTTTGTGATTTCCCTTGCACCCTGCAATGCACTGGGGGTTGGCTCCTCTGAAACGGAACTTTGGTCATGAGATCTGCTCAAGCGGAGGCGAGACATCAGATTTCTTAGGCGCCGGGAGCCCGGTTGAGATCGGGACAGCTCTTGAGGCTCAACGCTCTCGGGAGGGTGTCCTGGACCGATAAGGGGATTATTATCAGGCAGGATTCGATCATCATGGCTGTACGAACGTTCCGCTCCATGAATAGGATGATGATAAGTCACAAGATTGCTTCTCTCGCTCGTTTCACTGGGTTCACTCTGGGTTGGCGTGAGAGTTGTGTTTGTATCTTTGGCTGTTGCAGCCGGCTCGGACCGGCCATTCAATACGGCCAATTCCGACTGAGAGCGTCGTGGCCGAAGCCAAGGGTGACGAGGCCGAGAAGGCCTATCTGATTCTGACTTATTCGGCCGAAAGAGGGAGCGGAACAGGGTCATGTTGGCAATGGCTTCAGACCAAGAACACGGAATGCTTCAGATCGAAGTTGTGGACGTAGAGACCTAGTGAAGGAGAAGAAGGCAGGAGATGATAGGCGTTGGGTTGTGACCTGTGGTCAGGATGCTTTTTACCTTGCGGAAGGTACTGCAGTAACGGAAAGTGCGGTCTACTTGTCGCTTCCATGTTTGTGTCGACGGGTGGTTGCTCTTCTGAAAGGTTCAGAGCTGAAGGTTCTTGTGCTTGCCTCGTGAAGACCGTAAAGCGGGGAGCCATCATTTACGTTGACAGTGAACATCACGATTGAAAGATGCAGATGGGAAAAGAAAGAGAGGGAGAGGGAGGGAGACAGAAGCATGAAAAGAAAACGAATTATCAAGGAAATCTATTTCTGCCCAAAGCGCCCAGCTTCAACATTCGGCGCAAAAAGAACCAAATTTTTAGAAAAGGTGTAATAATTACCTTTGTACATTCATTAGAAACCCAAAAGTCAGCCAAGTAGGACAGCCGCGAGATATTTCCCGATTGTTCCGTCGTGCAGGCAATCGGCCTCAAAAAGGATTCTCCTCGAAGACAAGAATAACAAAGATATAAGATAGAACGCCGGTATTATGCAAAGGGGGAGAACATGGATATGTATACGCGTGGTAGAGAACTTCGGTCCCGCCGGACTCGATCATACTTCGTCATTTTCTCCTTCCAGGAGAATGTAGTGGAGAATATCACTCAGGGTCAGCACACCCTTGAGCTTAAAGTGCTCATCCACCACAACTAAACGGTGAACTCGGGACTTGCGGATGGTATCGAAGATAGTATCCAGACCGTCATTCAAGGAACAGGTGTAAATACCGGGGAATTCCTGCGAGAGTAGTCAGACCTCTGACACATAAAAATGGTTATTAGAAGGCATTGGTTGAAAGCCACATACTGGCGAGCGCTTCTTCAGCACCTCTCCCACCGTGAGACTCAAATCATCATAGACACCGCCTCGGATCAGCGCAATGACATCCACCGATTCAAAGACATTGTACACAACACCTAGACAAATGAGACAAAGGCATTTAGCATGGGGACGTGGATGGTAGTAGAAACTCCCAAAAAAGGGAGATGGGGGCGCCCGTTGGCAGGTTCGCATACCCTCAGAGTTCAGAATGGGCACACTCGATATACTGCGCTCGACCAGAATGTGAATTACATCAATGACGGGAGTGTCCATGGATGCAGTCGCGATGTTCTCGTAGGTCCCAAGCAGGAGCTCGCCCAGAGGGCGACGCAGCATCTGAGTATCGGGTACGTTCACGGCGACAAACTTCAGGATACGGTACTGAGTAATAACGCTGAGAACATGAGATCGGTCGGTCTGGCTGTCATTGGTGACGAGCGGAATACGACGCGCACGGGACTCGAGCATCCGGCGGCAAGCTTCGTAGAGCGGTCGTTCGGGATCGATGGAGATGGTCTCAGGCGGCGCGACTCCCAATGCCTTCTCCACTTCTGTCCATTATCCATTCAGGTCAGAATTGAGCCATCGTCGAAAGGAATCGAGGGTTGAGGGGGAAGGAGACGCACCACGGAGGCTATCCAGCCGAAACTGGTCGATTTGGTTGAGTGCAGCGGGGTTTTGGAAATAGTATTGGATGACGTTGATGTAGTCGGAGGTGGTCAGAAGACCTGCAAATTTTGATGCCTTCGAGTCCCACAACGGGGCTGAAACGATGCCTGTACTTCCCGATTACCTTCCCAGTTAGCCCGTATTTCTCTTTTGCGGGGGACGTTCCCCAGGATTCTCTCTCATTTACGCTCCACAGCGGGATTGTCGCGGGGAGAGGGGGAAGTGGGAGAGCACCACATGCCATTTTGGATCAGAATATTCAAGCTTTCCTTCACAGAAAGCGAGGTGTCGAAGACGATGAGTCGGAAACTGAGAGGGAGGACATCGTAACTCGTGCGGACCTTCAGGAAGTTGCGAATGGCGCGCTGTTTGACGCTGCGTTAGTCAAGATCTGGATATGAGCCGCCACGAACTGGGGGGAGCTTTGCAGTTCCAAGCCATGTTTGCCCATGTTCTGAACCAAGCTCTCTCCCCTTTTCCTCTCACTCTCTCTCTCTCACTCTCACTTTCTCTCCTTCTCTCTTGTGCACATCGGCTCTTTAACCGGGTGCGAGGAATTCCTGGAGAGGAGAGGACAGGAGGGCCCGAACGGATGTGGGGCAGTGCGAGTCCAAAAAAAAAAAGAAAGAAAAAGAAAAGGACGACGTACCAGGCCTTGTCGCTCTTCCCGATCGATTGGTCTCTCGGAGTAGGAGGTCATTGGAGGGCGAAGGTACGAGGATGGCTGCACGAAAGGCGCGTGACCGAGGGAGGTGAAGGTCCCGGGGAGGTGAGGCCGGGTGTCTTCCGCCTTCGTCATGGTGGGGGTGTGACCCTAGGGGATGGAGAGCAGTCGAAGAGAGAGGAGGAAGGGACGGGGGGAAATAAAAGAGACTGACAGACTGGAAGAAGAGGTCAGGAGAGACGGACTGAGGGACCAAAGCACCGTCTCTTTCACCGTCCAAAGCCCCTCCGTTGATGCCAATCCCAGCCGCATCTTCCCCAACTTGGCCATTCCCCCTCCTGGGAGCCTTGTTTCTCAGGCCAGCATATGAAGCCCAACCGGCGCCGTAAAGAGAACCATTTGGGTATGTTCCACGCCAATTTACTATGCTCACAGTATTGTATGGTCCCATATCGTAGATTGAGTTCGAATCAATATTCGAGAATGTCACGAGCCAGTCATCCGCCTGTCGCGCTCGGTTCGATCATTTGCACATCAGGCATCATAGGACGGCTGGTAGAACTATGACAGTATACAATTATCAATTGTGTCGATGCCATTTCCATATAGATAACCCAGTCGGCTACGTTTGAACTCTCTCGTTCTAGAGAAGGAGAGGGTTTTCAGAGGAAAAAGGCGAGAAAGAGTGGAGGGTGATAACGAGCAGATCGCATGCAATCGCTGGCAGAAAGTGTACAGTGTACACAACTTGGCCGACGACCGAAGGAATTGTTTCACCGCTTCTACACTCTCATATCTTCGCATATCCTATCGAATCAGAGCATGTATGTACATATATATGGCTCTTAGGGACTCGGAGACCCATAAATCACCAACTCACTCCCGACATCGTCGAACATAGACGACCGTATTGCAAAAATGGGTGTCATCCGCGTCGAAGTCGAACATTGCATAGCCCTCCATCATCGCCCGCACTCGAGGCGAGCTGGGATCGGTTCTATACCCTCACATCAGTGAAAAAGGTCCTCATTGTACCAGACTTTCTCGCCCCCAAAAGAGAGTGTCGAAAACCCCTTACCTAGATTCTCCGCCCTTTTGGTCTGCATCCTCATGATCAACCTGCTCCCAGATGACGACAGCTGGTCGAGCAATATCAGCCACAATTTCCTTGACAGGCACATCGGGGGCACAGGAGAACACAATAGATGTGTCATCAATCTCTAGCCAGGCTCGAGGGTCATTGACCACCTCGACCCCGTGCTCCCGCAGGATGGCCTTGTCCATAGACTTATAGATCGGGTCTTGGGCAAAGCAAGGAACATCTTGATCTGCCCTTCCTCCCTTCGCCGTCAGCCAGTCCCGCAATGTAAGCAGCAATGCATGCTGGACAGCGGATCGCGGGTATTCATTGTCCATGTACGAGATCGTGCCCAGCGCAAGTCCCACCACCTTGGTGATCTCATGCGCGGCTGCGGCCTTGGTTAGAATCTGCTCGAGCTTCAGGCACATCTCGCTTTCCCGCCATTTCTGAGCATGGCCCTCGAACGCCTTGGCGACATCTGCGCGCACCGGTCGAGGCCGGGGTTCGTACAACTCTTTTGTACCCGACCGCATCGAAATGGACGGGTGGGCAAGGAGCAGCGAGCAGAAAGGCGGGCAGTCGACGTGGCTGCCCCACCAGAGACTATGCTTCAGACTCGCCCGGCATTCGTACCTGAGACTTGGGGCCAGCCTATTGACATCAGCGCCCGGCTTCCAAATATCCTTATAGAGTGATGAGACAGGATCCTACAGTAGACGATCCAATTTGACTTCGTCGCCATCCATACTCGTTCCGGGCCTGCTCTCCCCCGTCCAAGTATCGAACTCAACTATCGCGCCGTCCAGGCCCGGGAGGTAGATCTTCTTGCCGCTTGCAGGCTCTTGCTGGCACTGCTCAAAGGCGCTCCGTATCGCATCCTTGGTGAAAAAGGGTATGCCTGATTCGTACATCTGGTCGATTCGAGCCACCGCTTCATCTATGCTTTGGGGTGCATCGTGAGGCATTTCGGGCCAGCGACGGGTACACATATAAGAGTAAGAGCCCAGACCTGTATCCTCCACGCAGGACTCATCATAATCATTTTCGTGTGCCATATTCTAAGGTGCTTATGGGGAGTTTCAATTAGGATCGAAGCCAAGGCAGGTCAGAGGTTCTGTGGTGGTTGCACCCCTGGGGGCGGGGCTAGTAGCCGCTGTACACGCTTGGGGGTGCGTAGAAGATTGGACCTGTGAGGCTGTTTCATCGTGTGACCGTGGCGCGCGGCTACAACTGAAGGGATAATAGCCCCTTTGCCTCCCCTTCTCCACGCTTGCCACGTATTCTATTCCAGGTATGGAAGATATACAGTCTTGCGTTTACGATAAGTAAAGAGGGAAACGGTCTTAAATTGACTCCTAGGCCCAAAAGATTCCCTAGAACGCCATCATCACAGCCATCCAACGCGCTAAATGCAAGGTATCATCATCGCGCAGCAGAATAAAGGAGGGAAAGAGAGAGAGAAAGACCTCGTCGTCGCAATCCGGCCCAGACTTGGATAAACAAAAGCAAAATCGTAAATACTGCCCGCCAAGCAAAGACAAAGAAGAAGAAGTCTAAAGGGGATATAGCTATAATAATCCCACTCAAACATTTCCATGAAGCTTGAACCGGTAGATGCAGGTATGATTCGAGCCCCAATTCGAAGTCACCCGGAAGGCCACTTTGTCCACACGAATCGTCGGGATTTCAATCACAGTATTGAGTGCGAAGCGCTGTATATTGTTCTTCGCAGTGACGTTGTATGTCATCCGTCCGATGCGGTAGAAGTTCGAGCCCAGTGCGGGATCGTCCGGAGTAAGCCTCCGGCGGCTCATGAGGATTGGATACGCGCAGGACATTCATGAGAACTTCATGGAGGGAATTCTCCCCTGGGACATTGTATCCGCCAAGACCTTTTTCTTTAGAAGATATCGGCTCAACCGGATGGGAATTTCTCGGGGTCCGCCATGGAGTGAATATGGAGAAGAAACTTCGCGTTCCTTTCGGGCTATCAAGAGGAACAACTCGGTACCTAGCCCATACTTCGATGTCTTTGGGGGCGACGCTTGGGTCAAGAGTTGCGCCGGCAGCGATGTGTTCGACAACAAGCTCATCGGGCACGATGTAGTGGTTGAGGAGTACCGAGAGCTGGGTGACACCATTGCGAGGAGAACTACACCAGCAATCGCCGATCTCCTCCCAGGGTGTGAGGGCGGCAATAGGGGGAAGTGGGTTGCGGATGCCGTAATTAAATGGTATGATGCTAATCAAGACACGTTTCCAGAATGGATTCTTGCGTCCAACTGTCGGAGCGGTATTGAAAGGGTCAATAAGAGCGCCTAGCGAGGGCGACAAGAAGTTAACCCTTGGAGGCAGTGTTTCAGGGGCAGGATCAGTGACATAGGTAGGGTGTGGATCATGACTGTGTTCCGATCTCACGATGCTCAACTCCGATGATAGGGACGCCACTTGGGCGTTTATTCTGTTCACCTGATAATTAAGGCCATGGACAAGAGAAGAGCCAGGCATATCTGGTGAGACGTATGGTGGCTGCTCGCGAGAGAAAGGGAAGTGAATGTTTTCGAGCAAACCGCCCTGGAAGGCGAAAAAAAGTGCCATGGAGACGATAACTACAAGTACCGGGAGAACAAACGTCGTCGAAAACCAGTTCGTTCGTCTGAGGGTTGATGTATGCTTGTCACGGTGTTCAAATCGTAACGATGGCATGGAGGGCATAGAAGATAACCATCCGTTGGGCTGACCTTCCTTGGGGAGATTCGGTGAAGATTGGGGGCTTTGTTGGGGAGATCCAGTGCGAAGGAATTGAGGGATTATTGTTCGCACTGGTTCTGTCCACGTGCGAATAGACTGTGCAGACGGAGGGTCCGGTATTTGCTCTGGTATTTGCTCGGGCTCGTCTATTGGATCTGAACTTGGCTCTTCCTCCTCTTCAATGGTCTCCTGGAGCATGGACAACCCGGATGGCCGTCGGGGAGGCGCCGTAATATTGCGTCCATGGGGCTCTCCACGGTATTTTCCCGGCCTTGTTCGTTGCAAATCGTCCTCGTGAATATCACGTTCGAGGTTCCAAGACAATTCGGAGGCATTGTCGATAGAGCTATGGCGAGCCGGTGTGCTTTGAGATGAGGTGGTATTCTGACGAGGAGATCCGGCTCGTTGAAGTGGTGATGGATATAGAGGCTCATATGACATGACAGACAGACGACGTTGCAGAGGGGGCTCTACATCGGGACTGGAATCTGTGGAAACTGGCTGTTGTACAGGCCGCGGAGGGGTTGCGTCAGACTCCTGGGTGTTATAGTATTCACCTGGTGACTCAGCTGCGTCGTGCAGCGACTGCATCAATTGCGTCTGATCGGGGGTCGGTTCACGTTTGAGCTGTCGACGGGCTGGAGAATATCTCATGGCCCCAGTTCGTATCTCACGATCTAATTCGGCAGTCTCTCGGACTCGGGCACGCTCGAGGCCACTGTCGATCTTTCGAGCCATATTGTGCACATCAACGTTTGGCTGCAAGGCTATCGGTCGAGGTAGGCCCGCGGCTCCTTGAGCGCCATAGTTCCATGAGGCTGCAATTGGCACCGCAGGCAAAGTTGGCTCAGGTGCAAGGTCAAGCATAACATCAAACCCTGCATCCTTCGGACCGGCCGCCCGCTGCGCTGTGCGCGTCAAAGGCATCTAGATGAATCATGTTAGCACTTGTAGCCTTCACGATGCTCTTACTTCATGTATCGAACTACGCCAAACCAATTCAATCAAGATATGACAGATTCAAGGTCAAAGAAAAATGGACTAGGAGGGGTTTATCATACTCAGAGACGATAAAGGGGGAGGGAAAAGGTGAATTGAGATTAGATCAGTCTCGGGGAAGCAAACCTCAATGTCTGGCAAACAACCGAAGCCGTCGTCAGATAAGCATAAAGAGTGAGGGAAGAGATGATTGAACAACGACAGCACAAGTAAAGAGTAACCAAGGCAAGATTCTCTTCTTGGGATCAAAAATGGAAAAGGCAAAAAATTAACACTCACTGTAAGCAGTTACACAGTGCCAGGGACTGGAACACGCCGTACTCGCGAATATCGGCAAATTTTGGCAGATTCACTTGACTGATAGATCTAGAATGTGAGATGTGAGACGCTGATCAAACTAAATTCACCTTTGTAGGGATGAAGATAGTGCGGAGGAGGTATGGGTATTATCCCATTGAAGGCCGGCAAAGTTGCCGCAAGTCCAACAAGGAATTCTAGAACCACACAGCGATGTATAGCAGGAGAGCCTTGGACTTACTCGGTGTTTAAATATCTGATTTTGAGATTCAAAGAGAAAACTGTGAATGTTTGTCGTTGTTCGCTCGTCCGATATCTGTAGATCGCGACTCCAGATTGCTGAGGTCGAAACGCGCGACACGCGACGGAACGTGACTGCGGCTCGATGGGTAAAGGGGTGGAGCCCGCAACGCAGGCCAGGAGATCGATGCAGCAGGTAAGCGATCAGAATGGAGTGCAGAATTGGCTTTCTTGAGATGAAAAAGAATGCGCAAATAAGTAGCCGCCGACTATGGAGAGAAGTGAAAGAAGGAAGAAAAGGTTGGGCGGAGCGGCGATCCCCCGAAGATGAAGAATCTCAGCGCCTCGACACCGGCAGTCCCTTCATCTCCGCAAGATCTCTTTGACAACGTGCTTGGTCTTTTGTCTCCCACAACCTACGTTCTTAGGGACTCCCGGTGGCTTTATTCCTTTGTGGCCCTGTCCATGGGCCTTGATTCTGGCTCTGTGCTATTTTTGCATTTGGATCCTTGCTCAATGTGCAGGAGGCGCCGCTGAGCCGAGATAATCTACTGGTGCATTCGGAGGTTTCTCGCAATGAAAGAACGTCCAACAAATGGATTTGGATTCGGGGCAAAAATGCCACTGTACGTAAAGAGGAGCAATTCAGATCATGGTCCTGCCACTCCAAGTGCGCCAGCTCGCTACATCCAGACTCTCTAGACATGGTATGGAATACTATACAACGGGCGCAGGGTAGAAGGGGGGAAGTGAGAAAGGAGCAGGGAGATGCCTCGAGCAAGAAGGCATGGAAATCGAGTGAGGAAAGAGTGGGTATACTGGATATCGGACTCCTTAGCAGGTCCAGGCGGCCATAGTACCGTCTTTACGTCCTTCAACGAGATATCCGTCCTTGAGACGCACGCGTTCCACTGTCGCAGGGGAAGGTCCCTCATCGTCGACGCCGACCCCTGGGCCGCAGTCCCAGTGGTGCGCATCGGCCTTATCGTAAACTTTGACGACACTCTCACCAGCCGCAGCCACGATACGCTTAGAGTCAAACATCATACTAGTGATTGGCTTGTCATAAGCATAGGCATCGTAGATGGAGCCAGTACGGAGATCCCAAATCTGTATCATGTTAAAAATGGTTCGCTACCAAGCTGGTGTCAGAGTGGAACTTACCCGGATGCTGCGGTCGAGACTACCCGTCACCAAATGCATGTCATCGAACTGCAAACAGGTGACAGGGCCCGTGTGGCCCACGAGGCTGCGATGAACCTGGCCGCTGCGGAGATCCCACAGGCGCACCATACCGTCGGCAGTACCGCAGGCAAGAGCCGCATCAAAGCATTGCACCGCGCCCACAAAGTCGGCAGACGCATCTGGGAGACGCCCAGACGGGCGCCAAGTGCCCTCCGCGGTCATGGATGTCGAGGATGCTTGCGTCGCTGCCCACAGAATGTCCAATGTTTGGACACATCGCCCTTTGACAAGATCCCACTGTCGCAAAGTCTTGTCTGCAGAGCCCGAAATGAGCGTATCGCCCTTGAAGTGGAGGGCAGTCACTTCGTCAACATGAGCTTCAAGCGAGAAGACATGGCAGTCTTCCAGGTTTGAAGAAGGAGGAACTGTCGAAGAGGATAAAAGTGCCTCGTCTTCTTGGTCACGTTCATGCTTGTTTAGACGACCGTCACGGGTGGCGGGGCGAGCACGGCTCAAATCCCACAGTCGAACAGAGGCGTCCATAGATCCCGTTGCAACAATGTTATCTTCCACTTGCAAGCAGCGGACCGAGGCGTGGTGTCCCTCCAACAGTCCTGAGCAGCGACCAACATTCATATCCCAAACTCGCACTGTATCGTCCAATGCCGCGCTGACCATAGTGCCGAAGGGGTAGTCGAAATCAATGGCAGTGACCATATCGGTGTGGGCTTCGATCTCTTTAATGAGCGAACCGGGAGCGAAATGTTCATGCAGGATGGGCATCGACCGTTTTCGAATGGATTTGTGCCGCAGGCTTCTGGGTGATGGAGTGGGGATTTTTTCGTATATCGACTCGGACATGAAGGACGCATCCATGGCAGGGTCCCCTGAAGATACAATGGAGTCATCCTGGCCTTCCGAGGACTTGGGGGTGTCGGACGTGGCGGAGGTTTCAGGTGTCTCCTCTGGTTGTAAGTCTTCTAGCTTGTTGTCTAGCTCGGTAACTATATGTTCTGTGTCAGATGGTCTGGCTCTCATGGCTCCGTCAAATGACATGCCAGGGATTGTAAACATACGCTCATGTTCCAATGCCGCTTCGTCCATTTCTAATCCGGCTAATCGATCCAGAACGATTTGACGCATCTTGTGCAGATTGGCAACTTTGTTGTCGATCTCATGAATCTCAGCACTGCACATGTTCTTTCGAACACCCATCATCTCCAGCCGGCGACTCAATGTTTTCCGTTCCTCCCTCAACGCCGCAGGACCAGCTGTCAAAGCCCCACCCTTCTCACTGTCCTTGAGCAGTTTCGCATTTTTCGAGCTGCGCCTGCGGTGCTTCTTGTGTCCATGTTCTTGTTCGGGGAGGGACGCTTGGAAGCCTTGGAATAGGGAGTAGGAGCTGGTATCTTCAGGGATGTTGAAGAGAAGGTCATCCGGGACCGAGGAAAGAGCACGCGACTGGATCTCGGAGGTCGACAGTTTGGATCGAACCAGATCAGTTGGGGTTGTCTGGGTTAAGGAAAACACCTTGCGCTGCGCCGTCGGCCGGCGCAACTCGCGGTGGATGTCGGTCATCGCATTGTGATAGTGGCTACCATGACCTTGCTCAGTCGGTCCCATCAAGTGTCCCGCCGTTGTGGTGACCTTTCGTCCAAAGGCTTCAATGTGTCGCGTCTGTCCATTTCCCGTTTAATCAGCGGTCGCGCGTTTGAAGGGGCATCTCCCGAATGAGCTGGAAGGGGAAAAAAAAGCTTACCGTGAGGCCAGTGCCTAGCAGGCCCTCGCCCTCAACAATATCAGACAAGCCGGACGGTGACTCATCGCGGCGTTGATTCTCCATTCCTGGAGGATTTGTCCTGGGGCTCAACCAAGGCCCGGGGGTTCGAGGGGTAGAGTTGGAGGTGCTCGGAGGTTGCTGCAGGAGAGATGGTCGTCATGTGTTCACGCGATGATTTACCGCGTTCCCCGGATACACTGTACGGTACTTTTACAGCACTCGTTGGCCTCGGTTGCAATGTGAAGCCAGGCTCGCCTTGAATCGATGTGTCAGTCGCAGAACCTGGACTCTGCAGCCAGTCGAGACGCTAGCGAAAGGTACTGCAAGGTGGTTTGGACCTGGAAGGAGCTGCCACTTAATCGGTACACGGCAGTGGTCATCCCCATGTACCATTTCAAGTACTGCGGTCGATCGGTACTGACCGAGTACCGAGTATCCGATAAAGGTCCAGCAAACGAACAAAATCGGCGATTTCAGATCCGTTCGCTATTCCTGGCTTGGTGCATGTCCACTATACGTTCTACGACCCGAATGAAAGTCAAAATGTTCATCGATACTTTCCCCGGCGTCTTATAAATACAGAGCCAATGGACTGCGACTCCGGCCTCCGAGCAGTCGACTCCGACTTCGCAGGGCCGGCACTTCTTCACCTTCAACACATCTCCCCGACGAGCCATGGACACTGCAATTAATCTGTCCGATGCCTCCAAGGCATTGGACCTGGCCAATATCCGCTTCCAGTTGATGTGAGTCCCCTCTCCCTGTCTCATATCCTCTCCGGTCGCCTCTATCTTTACTGGTTTTTACTTTTTTTTACTTGGACTGTTCCCCGCGCCCCGCCATCATGTATCATGATGTACCTAGTTGCTTTCGTATAGAGATCAACCACAGTCTCCTACCCAGCTTCTACAGCAACGGAGAGCTGTTGTTCAATATCTTTTCTATTCAAAAGAGTGACAAAAGAGGTTACGTATCCAAATCATTTGCTAATATTCCGGATCCCCAGCCGACTGGAAGACACCATCACCTTCCACCTGATCGAGCGAGTTCAGTTCCCACTCAATAAGACCATCTATGTGCCCGGTGGCGTGAAGATCCCCAACAGCGATCTGAGCCTGATGGATTATATGCTCCGGGAGCAAGAACGAATCCAGTCGCGTGTCCGCCGCTACCAATCCCCTGATGAATACCCATTCTTCCCCGACGTGCTCGAAGAGCCGATTCTACAGCCACTTGAGTATCCTGAAATCCTGCACGACAACGACGTGAGCGTCAACAATGTCATCAAGGAGCGCTATATCAAGGAGATTCTGCCGGCCGTGTGCCCCCAGTTTGGAGGCGAGGACCGTGGCGAGACACAGGAGAACTACGGCTCGGCCGCGACCTGCGATGTCGCCTGTCTGCAGGCGCTGTCGCGTCGCATTCATTTCGGCAAGTTTGTTGCGGAGTCGAAGTTCCAGAAGGATCCTGAGTTGTTCGTGCGCTTGATTCGCGCGGAGGACCGTGCCGGCATTGATGCGGCGATCACCAATGCTCAAGTCGAGCTCAAGGTGCTGGAGCGCCTGCGCCTCAAGGCGAAGACCTATGGGACAGATCCGGCCTTCCCCGATGAAAAGGGGCAGAAAATCAACATCGATGCTGTGGTGGCTATGTACAAGGTATGCACACGAGACACTACGGCGCAATGCGTGGAGAATCAGATCGCTAACATAGGCCTATTTTTGCAGGAATGCGTCATTCCTCTAACCAAGATTGTCGAGGTGGAATATCTTATGCAGCGCCTCAAGGGAACCCAATGGGAATGAAGAATTATTCGTCACGAATCATGAACTTTTTATTCTTTGGGAGGAGGGCTCTATAAATCATGCCGCTGGTAGAAAAGAGGATATTGGGTACTGAGGCAACGAAGAAGAGGGAGTTCAAGAAAGAAACATAGAAAAGATTCTCGTAAATGGGACATGGGGGTTAAATGACGAAACATGATTCATACGCCTTTTATATTAACCTCTCAAGACAAGTACTCCGTGATTGCCTTAACAGCACCCTCGAACTTGGCCCCCTCGATCAGGGTCAAGCTGCCGCTGGTGCGGATACCGAGCTCCTGGAACGCACGCTTCGAGTCCGAGTGGCCCTCGTCCTGCTTGTGCGTATACTCAATGCTGCCCGAGCACAGCGCATGCCGCTCCAGAACCTCGTCTTCCGGGTGGAAGAAGAAGCGCTGAGAAGCTTCGCCGGCCTTCTTCTTTTTCTTCTGCGGCCGGGATTCTTCGAGGTCGAGCTTCGACTCGATCTCCTGGTAGTTCTTCGAGACGATGAGGTAGTGTGAAAAGTTGTAGGGCTCGTTGTCCTGGATGGCCCAAGAAATCTCCTCCAACAGCATGTTATACATGGGCGGGATAACCTGGGCGGGCATGTTGATCAGGCGCTCGGTCAAGATCAGACCGACGGGCGGGGTGGGGTTCTGGGAGAGGAGCTCCTTGAGAGCGGCGAGGGAAGGGTTGGATGAAGCCTTGCCCTGGAGGTACTTGATGAGGTCCTGGATGACGGGCTTGTCCTTGTGCTCCTGCAGGTTCAGGACCGACAGGAACGCATACGGATCCGACTCGTTCCCGTCCACCTTCACGGTCGAGCCGAGCGTCGGCTGTGACAAAATGAGGTCCGACAAGGCGGACATATCGAAGATCTGAGCATCGTTGTCGAATAATTGGCGGAGCAGGTTCTTGATGCCGTGGAAATCTACGGCGGGTTGCGGGTCAAACCATTCGAAGTCGACATTGACCATGTCAACGTCCTGGAGTGGGTTAGGAATAATTCGTGCGGTGCGGGTGTGCCAGGCGCGGGGTTCTCACGTCGTCAGAATCATCATCCTGGGGCTCGGTGCCACCCATGGGCACATCGCCAAGGTCCTGCTTGCGTTTACCCATAGTGTCTGGTGTTTTTGTGGTTCTATGAGGGAACGAGCGGAGGTGAAGACGTTTTGGATCTGGAGGGTGCTCCGCCCCTCCGCCGCTTTCGAACTTTTTTCTCTTATCGGTCGTTATCGGCACCTTGCTTCTCTTATGACGGAGACTTCCTAGTTAAGATACTGGATCATCATAGCACATCTATGGTCAATTGCACAAAAATGGCCTGGGAATAAAGCTTTTCAGAAACAATTGGCTGTTGAATATGTGAAAATACATGAATGGCTTAAGGGGGAAAAATTACATGCAAGGGTTTTGATTCGATAGCTTGGTTGCAATATATTTATTTAATCACCTCGCTCAGAGTCTCCGCTGACAAACTCCCAGAAAGCTTGACAAAAAGGCCTAGAAAGAAATCAATTAGATATATTTGTTACGAATCCAGTTTGACATCCGCTAGCAATGTAATTGCCCAGATACCCAAGAAACATCGAGGTGTATATTGTTCTTAATATTTTTGGGCAGCCTATACGTCATATTCGACTTGCTCAACAGTCGGCACCTTATTCAACTTGACTTCAAAAAACTGCGCAACTAGCTGCACACAGTCCCAAATCACCTGAACCTCCTCCTTCGGGAGCCCGAGCCGTCTTGTGCCACGGATATGCCAGTGAGTCTCATTGGGCAGGTTCTGGCTCATGATGCCGGGCAACACGACGAGCTGCGTATCCACATCGTCCAAGATCTGGCGATCCGAGAGGAATAAGCCGTATGTGATCTCCTCCGACAGCCAGGAGAAGTCTCGGTGGGCACTGAACAGGTCCAGCGTGCCGCTGGTGTTCCGCGAATACAGCTTCTGCATCCACGCTGCACCGCGGTCGTGGTTGGCCTGGTCGCATTGCCAGCCCTCTCGGGTGAAGGTGTAATCTTTGTCTTCGTCCCGCTCGACCTTGCCGATGGAAAGGATGGCTTCGATGGGCTTGCAGACGCCGACGATGGGGACGGCCTTAATAAGGGCCTCCCGCAGGCGGCGAACCAGTGCCTGCCGCGCGGCAGGGGTGGCATTGCCGGGTTGCGAGCAGAGGTGCAGGTAGAGCTGGTCTGCACGTTCTGGGTCTGGGCCGGCGGCCAGAGTGGAAATGGCGAGGATATACCATTTGTCGCTGCCCAAGCTGGTCGATTGGAAGCGCTTCTCGAGCTCGGCGAAGAGCTGCTGGAAGCGGGGTTGCACTTCCGGGGCGGGGGCGGATGTACTCATTGGACGGGTAGGCTGTTGACCACAGGTGTGATGAAGGGCGTATTCTGGTCGGTGTGATAGTTTGCGGACTTGATTAGGAACTGTTGAGCCCGAGTGAAGTTGTGAATTGACTGGTGGTGGGCATGATTGACTCCGATGACCGGCGTGGGTCGGAGCATGCAACTGCCATTTGGTGCTGCAGCGCGTAGAAGAGAGAAGGGTCCTGCAACAGGGTCCGAATCGGCAACTGAGAGCCATTGGGAAGCGGGCAAGAAGCATAGGTCGCACCCGAGCGCCGGTAGCTCTTAGAGACGGAGTGGTTGCGCCCCAGCCCGAGTCACCGCAGCGGGTCGTTCGGCGGCCACTTGGGCCCAGCCCCCGAGTTGTATAGATCGGGACGACTATTTAACATATTCAATGAACTGCTCTTGTCGCAGTTAGCGTACAACGCTGACAATTTGAATTAAAGGCGCCTCATTTGGACTTACTCCCCAATCCCACAGCTTCCTCCACTCTCCTGAACAGGATCTTGGGTATGACCATCTATCGACACTAGCATTGACCATCTCAAAAGGCCAGAAGTCTTGAATGCTTCATGTATCTAATCAAGGATTTCGGGCACTCATAACGTATACCACTCTTACTATACTAGTCGAGCCGGATGATTAGGGGTTATTTTTTCGTTCTCAAGAATCCCCGTCACCAGAAAATCTTGAATTGCCACCCCCTGGTCACTCTGCTACAGTATAGTATACGCTATAGATAAGCACGGCAACGGACAGTTACAGCAACACCTCATCGAGTCACGGACACGAATTCGCTGTCCTCGAGCCAATGAAACATCAGATTTAAATCAGATCGAGAAAGAGAAGAAACTGGAAAAGACTCGATGTCGACGATCGGGGGGAAATGGGTGAATGGGTGTGGAGTTTACGAATCAGTGTGATGCAAGAGCAGACTCCCGGCCCCAGAACACCCACGATAGAAGATGTCACAGCGCCGCGCTGCCTTGATTGCACCTCACCTCTGATGCAAATCATATTGCAAGGAAAAAAGGGTCCAACTTACTGTACAAGTAAGAACTCCCACCCTGGCATTCGAGCCACTTCTGGGCCTCGCCCCACCATGATCTCAGTGACTCCAGCATGACATCACGGCCGTCAAATCGCCAGGTATAAGATTGAGGTATTCCAGAACTTCCACAACGCAATTGCCACGAGAATCTTCACACAGTTTGCTTTAATTCTATTTGAACTCTCGCTATTTGAATTCCTTCCACATATTTTGTTATACCAATTTTCTGCATCGCCAACATGTCTAAGTACCACGGAGCCGGTCAATCGAGCGTTGGCTTCCCTGCCCTCTACGAGGCTGGTGACCAGCGCAATGAGCCCCAATCCGTCATCAACGAGCGCGAACGCTACAGCGAGGGCGCGCCTCCCCATAGCCACAAGAACCTGGATTCCAAGGACCAGCGTTCGATCGCCAACAAGCTCGCTTCCCAGGAGAAGAAGCCCAATTCGTCGCACCACCACAACGGCGAGTACGACCCAGAGGCTGAACTGAGCAAGCAGGATCCCACTAAGCCGGTAAGTGGACGACAGCCCACCATTTTGTATTTATAAGAGCCCAGATGACTGACAAAAGACTGCTATTTTCTCACAGGCCAAGATGCATGGCAACAAGCCCTCGAAGGGGGCGCAGATTGATGCCGAGTTGCAAGCTGATGATGAGCAGCGCCTGCGCGAGAAGGGCATTAAGAAATAAGCCCAGTGACCTGTGGTGGTGAAGTCATTATCCTAATACCCTTGAAAACTGTCTGGACTTGGGGAGTATCGGCGATGACATGTATGATATGACGATTTTGCGGCCTCTTGTCTTTTTGAAAAGCATGCAGAGCGATTCAATGATTTCATTGAAAAGATCTTTGTTGTTTGAGTAGAAATGTATTTTGTAATATGTGACTACGCCTAGCTGGGTATATAAGTCTCAAAAAGTTTCATCAATCGTGTCATGTATTATGGGGTTATATACTTCTGTCCCCGAGTGCAGAGAAATAGTGTAATGTATTATACAGAGGGCTACATCGTTCATCTGGCAAAATGTGCAATGCCCACTGGGGCCGAGGCCAACCTAGTGTGACATGAGCATGAAATATGGCTCTAGATGAACACATGACAGCTGGTCACAATTTTGGGGACGATATATCGTCATCCCAGCCACCGCGCTGATGTAAAATTGGAGCGGACCAGGGTTGTCAGAGTCGGCAAAACGGAATCAGCACACGGCCAGGACTGTACTTTTGCTCTGACGTTCAGTGGGGTGACTCGACATGCGAGACACTGCTGGAAGGGCTTGCGCACGAACCCAAGAAAGGGTAGAGCCCGGAGGTATCAGGCTGATAGCCGAGCATGAATCAACCATACCTGGCCCCTGTGGAATCAACCATCTTGAGTGAACTTTGGATCATCATCGTGGGGCTCGGCAAAGACGTTCTTCCAGTAGTCCTCAACCTTCATACATAAGCCGGCCTTGTGCTCCCAGGATCTAAAGAAGCCCTCTAGATGACAGGTGACCCATTTAATTTCCTCCCAGTAGGCCTTCTCCACGTCATAACCAAATCGACGGATCGTCTCAGGAGGGGCGGTCCAAGCGCGACCATCCGATCCATCGTCTTTCAGAGTAGGAGCCGTCTCCCAGTCCATGCCGAAGACGTTATCGCCGGGGTTGAATTTCGGGTAGTTTGCATGGATGAAGAAGATATGTGGCGGCGAAGCAATGGCGGGATCCTTGACACGCCATTTATCTTGCGTTGTGAGAGCATAGTCTTCTCGCGGATCGACCTGGGCCATGGCCGAGCCCGATAGTTTTTCCTCGGTTTGATGGCCAATGGCTTGCACCCGGTCACTCACGGTGTAAAATGGGGCCCCTAGGGCCGTGGCAGCTTGGAGGAATGTCTCCTTGTCGCCCTCGCCGGGCCCGCCTTGACTCAACAGACGGAAGTAATGAGACGGACCGTAGAAGTTATAGTAGGCAGCGAGCATCAGCGGGAAGAAGTGAGTCTTCTTCGACACCAGGAAGGCGCCCGTTTCCGAGGATTGGCGGGCCGTCATAGGCGGCGCCTCTTGTCGCGAGATCTTATAGTACAACGGAGATGCGGAGGACGCCCAGAAGTCCGGCCAGGTGACCAAGCCGGTGGACGTGAAAGGTTCCGTGTCTAGGAGTTCTTCCGGCTTTCCCAGCGGGAAACAGTCTGCATCCATCCAAACGATCTCCTCGAACGAGGAGAAGAGGACGGCGAAGATCTTGAGTTGGTAGTGTTCGATCACGTCCTTGCCCACCACGTCACCTAGGACGAGACAGCGCGCGTCCAGAGTGGGCAGGACCTGATTGCAGACATGTTTCTCGTATTCGCCCGCATCCTTCATGAATACCTCGACCGGTAACGTGGACCCTGCGCGGCGGAGCATGCGGAGGGTCGAGACAAACACGGGCAGATACGTCGCGCCGGCCGTAGACACCAAACCTCGCTTGCCCGGGGTATGGGCCGGTTTCAAATCCTTGCCGGCGTTTTGGATATCCTGGACAAAGTTCGCATGGGCGTCCTCCATGGCCTTTTGATCCTCCTCGTTCATGACCGTCAAGTCCGGGCGCGGCTGGTCGTTGACAGCATCGAAATGGATGGCGCCTGCATCGCCGACTTTCTCTGGACTGGGGCAATTGGGATTGTGACGTTCGAGAATGGGTTGGAAGGCTTTCCAGAAGTCTTTCTGGCGCTCGATTAGTGGGACCTCAAAGGCGGTGCTAGGAACCACGGAGACGGTCGAGGATGCGGTGGTCGGGGTCCAGTAAAGGTAGACGGTGCACACGAGGACGACTGCGAGGAAGGCGAGCAGGATGGACCTCGCCCGGCCTGGCCGGAAGATCGCCATGCCGTGCGATCGCAATCGAGAACGGGGAGCTCACGTCCGTCGCGTCCCAGACGAGGCGACTGGGGCTTCCGTACAGGATACGGGGGGCACGGAGAACAAGGGGGGTTCGGGGGTAGGAACAAGTCGCCGGCGCACGGGCGCCCCGATCGACAATGGCCAGATATGGACAGGTGAGGAGACAGGAACGGGTGCGTGAGTCCTCAAGGGGATTTCATGGTGGGCGAGGAAGAGGCGGGGAGGCGGCGAGTCCGAGACGAAGGATTCGTGAAGTGCCGGGAAACGTGTTTGGCCGATGCTTGGCACTGCAATCGTCCATGTGGTGGTGCAACGGATCGTCAAGCTCAAGGGGTTTCAAGGGGACTCGAGGGGACTCGCGGTTGGCCCGAAAGAAGCAACCGTGGCGCTGAGCCTATCGGTTGATTTTCACTCCTTCTAGAAGGAAACGAGGGAAGCCGGCGACAGGGTCAGTAGTACATCGTTCATCGTGTCTGTAGTACATCGTGCATCGTGCATCGTACATCGCGCATACTGCCAGATGCGTAGTCCGTCCTTAAAACACACTAACGGCGGCCCCCCAATGCGCCCCGATATCTGAGGGCATCCGATCGAACCGTCCGCTTCCCCCCTATTTATGCTCTTCTGATTTTCAGGTCGGATGCCTGCAGAGGCGGTTGGACACTTTCTTGACCCACGTTCGGGGCGGACACGCGAGTTGTTGAATTGGTCGCCATTGGACTCTGTACAGTCAAGGCGCGGATCCGCCTCCACCGAAGATCGTCTCTCCACTTCAAAACTCAACTGCGCACGGCACGAGCAGACCGGGTGAATCGCCCCATCCTGGGCTGTGCTCCTTCACCCGCGGCTTCTTTTTTCCCTACCTCTCATTCTGCTCTCGCCCTCGCTCTTGCTCGTCCCTCATCGTTCAACCGCTTGCGTCGCCCCGACTCGCGCTTCTTTCCAAGGTCCACTCCGTCCGCCCTCAGACCGAATTTATAATCAACCCCCTCAAAGGCGCCGTTACCTGTGCGCACCGCCGGGGACTTCGCTCTTTCCCTGGGCCGGTGTATCTCATCGATGGAACCCCTCGAGGGTATCTGCTGTATCACTCGGCCATCATGTCCGAGCATCCTGCTCGTCCGGCTCGGGACCCCGCCGCGAAGGGCAAATCTCGAACAACAGACCCGACGGGCCCGATCCGAAAACGACGGAAGAGGACGGTGGTAAGCGGTGCATCCGATGATTGCTTTGCGTGCTCCAAACGGGGCGCCCGGTGTGATAGGCGCCGACCATACTGCTCCCAGTGCCTCGAGATGGGCCGCGAGTGTTCCGGATACAAGACGACGTTGACGTGGGGGGTCGGAGTCGCCAGTCGAGGCAAATTGCGAGGCCAAACTTTGCCTGTCGTGGAAGCTGCAGAGGGGCCGTCGGGGGCCTCCTCTAAAACATCACCGCCGTCGGAGCCGCAACAGGCTCAGCCCCAACAGCCGCAGCAACAAACCTGCCAACCGACACGGTCAAGCGCGCAAAGCCAGCCGCCGTCGCAGATCGCCACAGGTGCCCCGGCGTCAGCGCCTCCCATTGGAATGGCGCCCGACAGGCTAGGTATTGCACCGCAAGCCTCGATGGAGTTCGATCCAAGGAGTCCCTCGGCGACGTCTCAGATGTCCGATATGTCAAGGAACTTGGCGTGGTCAATGGACATGCCCGATCTCCAGTCATGGTCAAATGCCTCCACTATTGCCCCTCAAATATCTCTGCCACCTGCAATCCCGAACCGCTCAGTGATGGCCAATCATTCCAGTCCCGGTATCGCGTCGGATGCATCAATACAATATCAACCAACACTGAGCCCGGAAACTGGCTTCACAACCCCCATGTGGCCGGTCGCGCAGAATTGGGCAGCACAGAATTCGACGCCCCCGTCGCAAGATGCAGATGAGGAGTATGAAAGACATACCCCAGAAAACTCGATATTGTGGAATCACGGCCACTCGCCTTCATACTCCCAGATGCTGATCTCTAGGTCGGTTGGACGGACGCCTCGTCTTCGCTACTTAATTAGCTATTTTACAGAGGTCATTGCGCCGATGATCGTGGCATTCGATACCCCGTCCAACCCATTTCGTACTCAGGTTCTTCACCTGGCTCAAAGTAGCGAGGCGCTGCAAGAGGCGATTGCTACACTAGCGACGAGCAATTTGCGCCAGAGGCGAGAGCGAAATCATCTTTCCACCGAAAGAACTCTACCCGCGCGTCTGTCATCTATGGCCCACCGTGCCCTGACCGACGAAGCATTCCAAGATAAATATGGGATTTCGGTACCAGAGGCATATGCGAGAGAAGAAAACTATCATCGAGGCATGGCGGTCAAGGCTTTGAATGCTGACCTGGCCGATCCACAGCGTCGACTATCCGACTCAGTTTTGGCAACGCTGTTGGTCCTTTGTCTTTTTCATGGCTGCGATACAGGTGTTGCGGAGTTTCGCTCCCAGTTTGCTGGTGTCACGCGACTACTTGCCATCCGAATGCGCCATTCGCCTGTCGTCAGTGACGATCTCAAATGGTTCATTCGCATGTTCTCGTGGTTTGATACCCTCACTGCTACTACGAACGACCGTGATGTGCAACTGCGTGGGCGATGTCTGGAGATTAGCTCAAGAACTGATAGCGAATGGGGACTGGAGAACTTGGCAGGCTGTGATGGTCGCTTGTTCAAGATGATCTCACAGCTGGGTCGTCTCAACATTTTGAGCCAGGAACAAGAGCCGACTGATCCTCGACCGGCCGACGTGACCATTCCAACTGCCTCCCTCCCACCAAACATGGTGTTCCCTGGCTGGGACACCGTCACCTCAGCTACAGGACTTGGGCTCTCAGCGGGATTGGGATATGGCTTCTCCATCCCAACTCCCCCACAAAGCAGTGATCAAGCGAGAAAGCCCTCTTCTCCTGCATTCTGGACCGAATGGTATTCCCTGCGCCAACGGCTCGAATCCTGGCGATTCGACCCACCTGCAGAGGCCTCGTTCCCTTCACCACCCCTGTCCACCTCATCCGCATCTTGGAATGCCCCGACCTTCACTCCTGTACCCTCTTCCTCGCCACAATATTATGTGGCGCCCGAGAATCTTCAAGACGTCTACCAAATTTCCGAATGCTTCCGCCATGCGGCGCTTCTTTATTGTGAGCGACTTGCCGAGCCGAGCCTGCCATCGCGTCATCCTCGTATCCAGCATCTAGTTCTCTTGGCAATGCATTGTCTCTGCGCTGTGCAGTCAGATGTGTATCTCCTCTGGCCACTGTTCATCGTGGGATCTGAATGTGTCCAGGAGGACCACCGGGCATCTATTCGTCATCGCTGCAGGGACATCTCCAAAGACTCTGGCTTTGTGAATAATATATCCTGCTTGGAATTACTGGAAAAGATTTGGGCAGAGCACTCTGACGAGTCGTCATACCCTGTCTACCCCTCTGGCATGGCCCCGCCGCTCCTGGATGGAAGCCGAGCGCGCTTCACATCGCAAGCCTTCCGTTGGTCGCGCGTGATGCAGGCGAAACGGGCGGATGGAGAATATATGGTGGTTTAAAAAAGACTCAGCCGCTTCTCCGCCAACGTTTATATAAACTTCTCTTGTATATAAGTCATCTTGGACATGGTATTGGATTGTCCCACGAGGTAAATAGACCCCTGGACATATTTCTCTATATACGCCTTTACGTGGGATTGTATGGGTGTTTTGGTTCTCAGTGAATCTTTTTCGAGCCTTGCGCATTTGATGAATATGATACCATCCTTTTTCTCATACATTGCTTTTCCATTTCATTTTATTTTCATTGCTTTCTTCGGTCTATGCCGCGCGACTGTGTAAGCAGATCTCCATGTAATATACTTCACCATATTGATCAAATCAAATCAAGTCTTGCCAATTGACATTGCCTTGGAAGTCAGCGTACCGCGCTCATAATGTAAGTCATGCGGCTAAATTGGATTGTAAATAAAAGGTCACTTGTACTATATACACCGACTCAAAATTCTATCTATCTGCATGTACTGCTATACAAGCTCTCACATCTGTACAGGTGAGGTTGCCCTGGTGCCTGTCTTGAGAAACTCAGGCCCGCCCGGCGAGGGACTCCTCAACATGCGCAGTCCTGTTCTTGTTTTGATTGGACTTTGCAGTGCCGATAGACTCCGCACCATCACAGAGCTGGGCTCCGTCAACCCGATGTTGTGGCTCGAGATCCTCGTCTAGGTCGTCGCCCTTCCAGCCCTGCTCCACATTGGGGTCAACACCATCGAACATCTTGTTGATCTCCTCAAGAGTCTTGCCCCTGGTCTCTTTAAGACAAAAGTATGTGAAAGCCACGATTAAGATGTCTAAAAGTCCGAAAAGCAGGAATGTTGCCCACCCAATGCCAGCCATGATGTAAGGTGTGGAGAAGCTCCAGACAAAATTGAAGAGCCACTGTGAGCCAACACCAAAAGCTACACCCGGCTCACGAATTCGGGTTGGGAAGATCTCGCTGGTGCAGGGCCATGGCAAGGGGCCCCAACTGAGGTTGTATGCGATGATGTCGAGGTAGATCAGTGCTACTGTGGCAATGCCAGCAGAGGACACGACACCATCATGAGGTGGGTATTCCTTGACGACGGCTGCTGTCGCGAGCATACAGATGGCCATGAACGATGCCCCACCAGCCAGCAAAGGACGCCGGCCGAATCGATCAGACATGAAAATGACAAATGTGAGACAGGCGGCAACCTTGATGGCGCCAAAGATACCTGTCAGCAACAGGTTCTTATCCCCGGGCCCAACAAGTAACGAAAAGAACTGGGGACCGAAGTAAGCCAGTGCCGTTGAGCCAGTTGACTGCTGTGCTAAGAACAGCCCCGCACCAAGGAGAAGTCGGTGCAGGTTGGGCCTTTCGAGAAGTTCTTGTGGATGGAAGCCAGCAGTCGCATGGCGCTCCTCCTCGAGACCACGGCACATTTCATCAAACTCCTCGCTCACGGCTGGCCCGTCGCCAGCTCGAATCCAAACCAGACTGCGCCAGGCTTCATCAGACTTGCCATGGGCCAGCAGCCAACGTACGCTCTCATCGAGCGTAAACATGCCCAGTCCCATCAATGCACCGGGGACAAGCTGCAGTCCAATCGGAACCTGCCACTGCTTGGCATTACTTGGCATGGCCTTGACGCCATAGTCAATCCAGTAGGATGCCAGAATACCAATGGTGTAGGTTAACTGGTAACAGCTACCGAGTTGTGCGCGGATCCCTTTTGGACTCATCTCAGACATATAGATTGGAATAACAGTGGCAGAACCCCCGATACCCAGACCACAAATCACCCGCCCAACATAGAACGCTGGCAGGGAGTGCGTGTCGATGACTTCGAGGACAACACCAAGGCAAAAGACCAGTGAGCAGAGCATCATGGCAATGCGGCGACCATACCGGTTCGTCACCGGCCAGACAATGAAGCAACCAGCCAATGCGCCGGCCTGTTGAATGCCTACTGCTATAGAGCTCACGCGGGTCTTTTGCTGAGCTGTGAATTCAAATGAGTCCTGAAAAGATTCAAATGTAAGGACGCCACCTAGACAAATTTAGAATTGAGCACTCTAGACGAGCGAGAGAATTGGGGAAGAGAGGGTCGGGAATGAGGAATAGAACACATACCAATGACACCAGAGTCATAACCAAATAATGCACCACCGCAGCAGAGCACAATGGCCAGCCAATATGTGCGCCACTTGGCCTTGGTCAACCTCAATGGTTCCATGGCAAGAGAATCGTCAGGGTGAGAATCCAATTGGTTCTCCTGCACCTCCGGTTGTTGCGGCAATTGAGAGTATGAAGCACCTAAGGCAGTAAAGGTATGGTTCCACCAGCTGGTCAGTCGGGCCCGCCAAGCTGATATAATGGAATCAGGAGAAGAGGCCGACGAGGCAAGTTGGGTTGGGGTGGGCCTTGATATAGCGCGCGGAATTACATGGTCGGGCATAATCGCGGGTAAGAAGAAGAGAAGATGTAGCCACGAGAAACTCTCGAAGGGAGTCGAGGTCGGTTCCAAGCAGTTGTGGTTGGGTTGTCTTGCTTCCAGGCTGTTTCGGGCCAGTCGATCGCCCGGATATGGTGGATTATGTCACGACTACCGACAGCCGATGCGTGGAGATCACGCCATGAGCCCGGAATGGTCTGCATCAAAGGAGAAATGGTCCATCATAACAGAGGTCCGGTGTTCAACCCTCAAACCACGGAGATGATCTTGCCAGGAGCTCCGACGCAGGTGTTGTAGGTCGGCACACGCCAGGTACGTCGGCCAAGTCTTTTAAGTTCAAGGTACCGTCGTCAGGTGAGGCGCGTATGTAAGCAGCAAGCTTCCCCGCATCCAAGCCGACCGATTGATAGTTTGATAGCCGAAGGACTCCACCAAACCCACCGTTGGCTCCATTCTCTAGCCGATGGCCGACTCCCGATTGATAGCAGCCGATCACGAAATGTGGCACGCTGATGGCGCTGGCCTGCAGGCGCAAGGATCGGCCCCGAGCCAACTCTGCGGGGAGAGGGGAATTTATAAAGTGCATACGCAGCAGTACCCCTCATGCATTTCTCTCATGCATTGGTCTCTCTTCCCTCCTGCACGACCTTTGTTCTCCGGCCCTCAAGAGCATCATTATTTTGTTTCCGTCTGCTGAACCTTTGAATCATGGCCAAACGCCCAAACTTCCTGGTCATCGTCGCCGATGATTTGGGCTTCTCCGACGTGGGCTGTTTCGGCGGCGAGATCCGCACGCCCAACATTGATCAAATTGCGAAAGAAGGACTCCGCTTCACCGATTTCCATGCTGCCGCAGCATGCTCGTATGTTCTGCAAGACAAGTTATGTGCCCAGAAAAGAGATTGCTAATCAGGCCCGGATGTGTAGTCCCACACGTGCCATGATCATGACCGGTACCGACCACCACATTGCTGGACTGGGGAACTTGATCGAATGGACCAACATTTCCGGCCAGAATGGTCCCAAGGGGTCGGCGATGAGTACAGCACCCCAGCGTGGTATGCCCGGCTATGAGGGCTATCTGAATGAACGGGTGGTGGCACTGCCGGAGTTGTTGCGTGATGCTGGCTACCACACAGTCATGTCAGGAAAATGGCACCTGGGCCTCACTCCCGAGAGGTCCCCACACAAACGTGGCTTTGTTCGATCATTCGCTCACCTGCCTGCCTGCTCCAACCACTACGCCTACGAACCCCAGCTAAAGGATCAGGACCAGATCCCGACCTTTATCGAGGCTAGTTACATCGCCTTGCACATGGAGGATGGAGAGTATGTACGCCACCTGCCCGAGGGCTGGTACTCTTCGGATGGCTATGGAGACAAAATGATCGATTATCTGCGCGAATGGAAGGAGAGTGGCGGAGCTGATGGACCTGACGGTAAGGGAGACCGCCCTTTCTTTGGATATCTCCCTTTCACTGCACCGCACTGGCCGCTGCAAGCCCCCGGGAATACATCGATCACTATCGTGGTGTTTACGATGAAGGCCCTGAGGTTCTGCGCCAGAAACGTCTGCAGCGTCTCAAAGAGCTCGGTATGGTTCGCGATGACGTCGAGGCTCACCCCGTGGTTGCCGAGGAAGTCAAGGAATGGGAAGACTATACCCCCGAGGAGAAGAAAATGTCCTCAACGGCAATGGAGGTGTTCGCTGGCATGGTTGAATGCATCGACTACAACGTTGGTAAAGTGGTCGAGTATCTCCGGGAAATCGGGGAGCTAGACAACACCTTTGTGTGTTTCATGTCCGACAACGGTGCTGAAGGCGCCGCCTACGAGGCCTACCCCATGGTGAAAAATGGGGTGATGCCTCATCTACAGAAGTACTACGACAATAGCTTAGAAAACCTGGGCAACGGTAATTCATTCATTTGGTACGGCCCACGCTGGGCGCAGGCCGCCACTGCTCCATCTCGCCTATACAAGGCCTACACTACTGAAGGTGGCGTCCGTGTTCCGTTTACCTGCCGCTTTCCTAAAAACATCAACCTCAGGCCCGGAGATGTGACTGCCGGCGGTATCACTGATCAGTTTGCCACTGTCATGGACCTCGCCCCGTCTATCCTAGACATGGCAGGCGTCAAGCACCCGGCGCCAGCTTACCAGGGTCGCGAAGTTGTCTCCATGCGCGGCCGCAGTTTCCACCCATGGGCCATCGGAGAGGCCGAGCGCATTCACCCCAAGGACTTCATTCAAGGCTGGGAGACATGTGGGCGTGCTGCACTGCGCTGTGCGGACTGGAAGATTGTCTTTATTCCTAAGCCTAAGGGCCCTGAGCGTTGGCAGCTGTATAACCTGGAGAAAGACCCGGGTGAAGTGCACGACCTATCAGAGCAGGAGCCTGAGAAACTCAAGCAGCTACTCAAGCTCTGGGACCAATACGTCTTGGAGACGGGTGTTGTTCCACTATGCCCCGACCTGGGAGAGTTCCTTGAGGCAACAGAGGCGCAGATGCCGGAGAATGCATGGATGGAATTTGACTACTGGAAGGAGGGTGCTCGTGACGAGCCAGAGAAGTTCACACGCCAGCCGCCACGCTTTCAGCGCGTTGTGAAGCAGTTCTAAGGGTGCTGGAAAATTGATATTATGAGAACCTTTTTTGGGCATGTAACGATACCTCGCATTTTGGCTTTTCATGAAGTCATGAGAAAATAGAATATGATTTTCAACTGTACTCCACCCGGTACCTATACTTGATAGCAGTTGGCACACAATTTAAAGGAGGCGTTCAGTTCACCAAGCCCTCTTTCTTCGACTCACGCAGTCCAGACTGTCCAGGAAGTGTTCTCTAATAGGCTCGGTGAAGTCCGTACATGCACCATCTACCCAGTAGACTCCAGCACATGTCCAGAAATCTATGTGATTAGGCTGTAGGATGTGAGATCCCAATTTTATCATACCCAATGATTGCCGATAACCGAGGGCTATATCTCTGAATGAACCGCACTTAGATACCCAAGACCCAGACCTTTCGTGATGGAGGCCACCGCTGAAGGGCTTGGGGGATTCACATGGACAGCCACCGCGGGTGGCCTGAGTTTGCAGGAAACTACACTGTAGGAAGTGCTACCAACGAGCCAGAAATAAAAGCGCGATCATCGATCGATAAAGATAAGAATAGCATATATAGTGGATGAAGGGTCGCCTTTTCCTCATTAGCTTCTCGTTTCTCTGTTGGGATGTTTATCTTTGTCGCCGCTCCCATCGGCCCCCAATTTTGTACGACTCCAACAGTTGCAGAAGTCAGGTCATTCGCCGATATTAGGCTAAATTATCCTTAAAAGCTGAAACGCTTAATTTTAGTGCTATGCTATGACTGGATCCTGCCACGGTGGCAGTGTTGGTTTGGTACTTGAAACGAACTACGACAAAATCTTCGTTTCACTGGTAAGTCAGTATTTTCATTGTCTTCATACTTGGCTGTTGCAGGACTACCAATTAAGTAAATTACGAAACAAGCATAATTCACCTGGAACGGAAGATTTCGTTCTTGCAATATTCTTTTCGGGGTATGGCCTGAAATTGGACTTCAAAGGACTGTATGTGGCTTGCCGATATCCAAGCGATATCCAAGCGATATCCAAATGGAATCAAGTGCTCCAACGCTCAAGATAAACAGCTGTGAAAGTTTTGGCATAGGAATTAGACAGATTAACTGCAATTGAGGGATTTACCCAACCAGTACAAAATGCGCACTAACCATTAAAACTCTCCATCGTGAATCTATCATGGTTGGGCTGGAGTATGATGTTGGCGGGGCCCGGCTGACCCTCGCTGAGCCAAGTAGAGATCGGCGTGTTGCCTCTCCATCCATCCCCAAAGTCCTTCGTTTCTACGGTCAAACAATCGCCGCTTTGCCAAAATAAACAGTAGAAATGCATTCTAGACGATGTGCATCATGGGCGCCATACTATGCCTTCACACACAAGCGAATCCTCCAAGTCAAACCATACTGCTCAGTAAGATAACAGGTATTTTGATTGATCTACTAGCCGAGACCCGTTCAAGGCCTTAATTGGCCCCCACTTGAATTGCAGTAGAGCTGAAACGAGTAAGAAGTTGTATCTTCAAACCGAACAGGTTTTAAACCATGTTGATCACGCCAAGAGGCGTGAGGCTCTGTCCTACCCTCTGACGGCATTCCTCACGCAACGTAGGCTCAAAAGATTCGGTACACTGAATGGTCTAGAAATAAAAGGGTCCACTCATTCAGACGGCCCTATGCCCCAGAACCGAGCAGACATTGCATACCTTCTTCCTGGTTGGACTTGATCTTTGGTGATCGGTATTGGGCTTACCTAAATTAAGATTTCGGCCTAAATTGACCCAGCAAGATCAGCCCCAGCCCTACGACGCCTTGATACGACGATAATTGTCCCCTGAAATTGTTTGTTGCTTTTTAATCGTATCTCATGGGCGTTTGGGGCCAAGAGATATGGCCTATATTAAATGATTAAACGCCGCTCGAGGGACTTGCTTCTTCCAATTGAACATTCATCGCTCTATACAAGAATGACACCAAGACTCTCTGAATTGCGCCCACGCCGGATTCGCTCGCGTAAGGGTTGCCTCAGCTGTCGCCGGCGTCAAAAGAAGTGTGACGAGCGGAAGCCCAAATGCGTTGCCTGTCAGCGGAACAAGCTGGAGTGTATCTGGCCCGCGGAGGCAGAGATATCGGACTTGGCGAGCTCTAGCAATGGTATGAGCAAAGAGCTTTCCACTGCCTTCATGGGACAACAAAGACATGTTCCATATCAAATGAAAGAAATGGACAGTCAAGTGGAATTTTTCATGAAGATATTTCGCGCAGCATGCGCCCAACCACGCCCACGACTACAGCCAGAGCTATCCTTTCAGATATCTGAGAACCTACACCATTATCTAGACTTCACAGTCGCAACCCTAGCATCACTCACCCCTGAAGCATTTTGCCCGCTGTGGACCGGCCTAGTGCTCGATGATGCAAAGTCCTTTCCATTTGTTATGGACTCTCTCCATGCAGTCACTTCCCTTCACAGAGCATATCTTTGTTCCAAACAAGATGACTAGAAAAGATATATTGAAGGGGCTTGTCAAAGCCGCGCATTGGCAATCAATGAGTTCCACTCTTCGGTGGATGAAGTAACCCCAAAGAATGCATCAGGGACTCTGACCTTCTCTGCGATTCAGATCCTCCTTTGCCTGGAGTTCCCGATTGCTTGTAAAAGCGCTGAAGCACCCGACATCATCGATGGAGCCTGTGAACTTTTCATCGCCATCCGCGGTTTTTTCCATCTTCAGCCCATTACATGCCCGTTTATCACCGATCCATTTCTCTGTGCTTGGATGCGCACTATCCCCCCTTCTCCGCCGGAGGATCCTCAAAACCCAGGCATACTGCAAAGCCTCTCCCATCTTTATTTGATTATGAGGCAAATGGATCTGTGTTCTGATGAAAAAAACATTTGCTTCGTGGCACTGGCGCGACTGTACCGTTTCTTCACCGAAACGGCCCTGGATCCAATAGATTGGATTTTACTTTTCACTTGGCCAGTCCTACTTCCTCAAGAATTTATACAGTTGATTCGTCACCATCGTCCGCTTGCCCTGGTTATTATGACACACTGGTTTGTGCCCGTTTTTCAGAACTCCCGACATTGGCTACTCCACTCATGGGCTGAACAGTTTGTCAATAGTGTGAGCAGTGCGGTTGGTCCTGAGTGGCAGTTTACTTTGGCTAGCCTGTCGCATACAGAGGACTTGCATCAGATGGACTTGGATCCACTTCTCACAGCTCTGGCAATTGATTTACATGAGTTTCAGAGCTTAAGAGTGCCACAGCTTTGTAGGCATCCCTTCCTTGAAGATTACTTACAATCGAATACACTACCGGAGCAGCATTGAGATGAGTCAGTCTAGATGGTTTTGACCAAATCTCATTATTATAACGTCTTTTTGGGAGTTTGCAATTCATACATCATTTGTACTTAGTCTGGTATTGGTTTTGACATATATCGCTACTGGTCAATCATTGGTGCAAAGAGATTTCCTTTGCGCTCTAATTCTATACGCCTAGGGACTCCATAGGTCTCCAGTGTTATTGCCATTAGTTCCCATAATTGTAGCCAGTACAACTGAGATGACGAGTGATAGTAGTCCATTACTGGTCATTTGATGGCTGCGGCAGCCAGGAAGCTACGCCGAATTATAATTGAATTCCGACCTTGGTGGTGATTTTGAAGAATAAGGACATGTATATCAATGCTTATCGTCTCCTAATCACGACCACAAATATTCCTGATCTTAGAATTTCAACGGATGTTGACTGAAATGAGCTGATCTGGATGCTTTACTGTTGGCGAATGCCTAACCAAGGCAAATCCCATCGATGTGCTGGTTTCGGTAGAGGGCGATCCGAGCTTCCGTTCCATCCGGATAGTTCACAAGAGTTTCTTTGAACTCGGGTAAGTCGTAGTATGCCGTCAACGCAGCTGTCGACTCCTAAACCGCGTAGTTGAGCATCATATCGCTTCCGTTGATTCCTCGGTGTAGCTAGATCGAAATGAAAACAGATTGCCTTTTTGCGAGCTCGGAATCGATATTCCAGGCTTCAAAGGCTTCTTCCATTTTGCCAGCCGGAATATGGAATGTATTAACGAGTATACAGGGACCGACCTCCGGTTTCTCTTTGAGCTGCTTCGACAGCGGGGTCCGGGGATTGATATCGATGAATGTTGCGACCATCTTGCTATAAAATTGCAAAGACGTTTGATGAGATAGGAGATTATAGAAAGGAAATCTGAACAATTTCCAGAGCAGCTTCATACTTGCTGCTTTCATTCAATTCCGTATTGATGTGGAATCCATTCTCTGCGGATATACATATATACGCCAGTGAAGCACAGCTAAAATGGTCCCTTGGTAAACCCGGACTAGAGTCTCCCGTCCATATTATTAACCAGCTACGCCCTACAAGGCATGCTAATTGTGAATTATGTCGGCGGTCGGGAATTCTGTAGACCGACTTCGGAGAGAACAAGGAGAAAAAAAGCCGAATCAACCTTCCTCCCACTTGATTGTATATTAACCCACCGGATTACATTAGTTTATTATATATCATCACCTTGATTATCGTATTCTATTATCTCCCTCCTTTAAAAGCTCATACAGTATCCTACTATATTGACAAAATAGTGAATTATGTAGCTAACCCAAAAGCGGTGAAACTAGCCCGACAAGATAATATTGAGGTTTGATAGGCCTTTGAAAACAGACGACGAAATCCCGGGGATCGGAAAAAAACCTAGGTTGTATAAAGTCGCCTTAGAAAGAGTTGCAAAACTATTTTACAGATTTTCATTCACTCTGACAATTACCCAATTTTGGAGGGTTAATTACCGGGAGTTCAGACCAAACGAAGGTCTAAAATAAATTTCGGCCTCGGATTATCTTATACACATAAGTAAGCCTTTATGCTTATACGACTACTTATACGCTTTAAGTACCTCCTTGTGCTTCTCAGGAGATAACGTGTCAATAATTTCTAACTTCCTCTAAAGCTGACAGGAATCTCTTTATATCTCAAGCTACAAGAAAGATGAGAATATCTATCTATTATAAACTTGCAATGAATTATTTCACCAATTACCATGGCATACTATTACTCGTATTCCTTTTATATGTGCAATATTCCAAGAATTATCGAGCTGATCACGTCTTTAGTCTACAGCATAAGGCCCTAAACTAGATTAGCATGATGCATTCCTGTAAGTAATCATTTGTCGCTCCGGTCATCCACGCAACGCAGTATAGGATGGATTAAGTATATATAGCATTTCTCTGGGGGCAAATGTTCTTGATCTGTCACATCTTGGCTGCGCAAGGTCTTTCAAAGAAAAAGTTGGAGCTTTCATTGAATCAACATGAAGTTTAAGGCGATTGGCCATGATGAGGAAGATCAAGATCTGCCTGAGAAGACAATGCAGCACCCACCACCTTACGTAGCTGTAGCTAGCAGCTGAGCCTCTGCTTCAATTGATCTCTCTCTCCTTACTCATTTTCCTACGTACTACCACGTAGGCTTCTTTATCTCCCTGGCTATTGGGGATCACTGATCGTCATCAGTGCTCAATGGAAATGCACATTTTCAAAGCTTCAGTCTGATTGTTTCTATTGGTTTCCTCTAAATCTCGCACTGTTTCAAGCATCAGGCAAATATGACTGTTCGCGAATGGCCATTATTCAACCTCAAGCTGGGACCACTAGATGGAGGGTGAGGCCAGCTCGACCCTTGGCAAACTGATATTCGCGTGTGACAAGTTTGGGTCCAAATCAATGATGCTCAAAAATTCTCAACCGGCATTTTTACCAGTCAACAGATTAGACTTCGCTTGGGTCTCAAGCGATTCAATAACCCTAGCAAGTTCGGCCGTCTGGTCCCTGGCCTTCAAATCTAGTGCATCCCTGGCAAGGTTTGAATGAGTCTTATTGCGTTGCTTTTTGACCCAGTTGAGCAGGACCTGTGATTTGGCCTTCGAGTTGACTTGAAGATATACATTGCGAAGTTTTCCGCCATTGGGGCCATTAAAAGCCTCACCCGCATCAATACGTAGCCCATTCTCTGGATCCTTCCTCTTGTCGGTGAGCAAAATACGACCGCCTGATGTAGGATTCCCGAAGAATCGTTCTGTACAATCTTTGACCTTCTTGACCTGGTCGAAAAAGTGTTTCAGAGCTTTAGACGCCATTGATGTTTTCTTCATAAATTAGTCTGAGGTCACTTCAGTTGGAACTGATGCAGTACATAAGGCGAGACTTACAGTTTTGAGACTGTTATCTGGAGGGAAATGAGAGAGGAGAAATCTAATATTGAGATCAATGAATGTAAAGCGAGGAATTGATGATGAGAATGAGGGTTTGAAGTCGGCTTCAACACGAATTCTTATACTTTTTCCACTCAACTCGACGACTACCATATAACACAACTATTATCGCTCTGATGTTGGATGTCACACGACGGTTAGTACGCATTTCCTGGCCTGGATGTACGTAGCCGCCAGGTGGAGGCATATAGCTAGTCAACCATTACGAGTTAGTGAACTGAAACATTTGGCATTCCTTTTCTTAGTATCCATTGTCACCGGGAGTATGGACAGCAGACAAATGAGCTAGAGGTACTATACAACAGCAAGACTCAATCTGCTGCCACCAACAATTGATATAGCCGCTGGCAATGACATACTACATTGGTGAATGGCATCCATTCTTATGACGCCATATTGAATAAATTGATCGATGCTATACTATATATATGTATCTTTAATGACTGGCAGATGGATTATGCTGGATAGATGCAAGTGTATGCTCTTAACTCGGCACTCTAGGGACAAAATGAAATGACAGACCCCTCCCCCGGTTGTGGAACTCTCATCCTCTGGAGTCGCTTGCGGCTAGAAGGACCGCTTGGACTTCGGAGTCTCAAGACCTCGTCATCTCAGGGATCACTGGCAGTTTCAAAATGGGTCGGTATAGTCCCACACCACAGTTGATGTTGTATCACATCTACGTGCGGGTCCTCAAAAGGAACGCAAGTGTTCCGATTTTTGATTACCATGACGAGACGACAAGTTCCGGCGATGAGACATTGGACAATCAATACTGCATGTATAAACAGATCCACCTGAACAGCGGCTAATGAGCCTTTCGCTCGCGCGAATTGCCTGAAGCATCGGAAAAGTGGGCCTGGTTGGTTTGGCCGAGTTGGCTGGAGTTGGTCTCGGGCTGGTCCGTTGACTGCCAAGCCGCCTCCTGCCCTCGCAGGTCACCTCGCGCACTTTAAGAAGCACCAACGCCCCAACTGCAACTACTACGCAGTATGTACCGTTTTGTTCAACCAGGCCGTCAAGCTGGCTGCTTCATCGCGGGAATCAACGTGAATCGAGCTGTCCGGCATTTTGGTTGGAACATAAAATCTCGGCCATCGGCCCGGTTGAGCGCCACCAGCGGACGCTGCCGAGCGATCACCCCCTCAACCGAACCTCGGAAATCCACCATGGGCGCAAGCAACTCCATTCCACTCAGTATGCATTGAGAGAATCCTTGCTCGGTTCCGTTCTCTAATGAGCTCTCTGGACAGGAACTGATCCTTATTCTTACACCAATGGCCGTTGGCTGCACCAAGATGAGCTACAGCGGCAGGCTCGGGATGTCCGCTTTGACTTCGACGAACTCATGCGGGTGGTGCTTAGAACTCAGCCGGCGGCAAAGAAAGTCACTGCTTGTGAAAAACAAGAAGGGGGCTTTAACCGTGTTTTCCTGATCACGTTAGATTCCGGCCATCGTCTCGCTGCAAAGATTCCTACCTCCGTCGCCGGTCCCCACCGGCTGACAACCCACTCCGAAGTCGCAACGATGGAATATCGTATGTCGGTCTAAATCTATTCAAATGAAATTCGCACAATCAAATCCACTGACTCTCCTTTCCTAGTACGCTCCAAGACTTCGCTCCCGATTCCCACGGTATATGCGTGGAATGATGACCCTTCAAACCCGGTAGGCACCGAATACATCATTCAGCAATATGCCGAAGGTATACAATTGAACCAAGCTTGGCCCTCAATGGACTCGGTCCAGCATCAGCATGTCAGTAAAAATATCTCTTATTACATGCAAGAAATGGCGAATCTAGACTTCCCGGCCTTTGGAAGTATCTACTTCCACGACGCCCCATTCGATGCCTCCAAAAAGATCGCCCTCGACGATTCCCGTTTTTGTATCGGCCCGGCTTGTCTCAAGACGTTCTGGAACTGCAGCCCTGGGGAATTGGAGCTATATGGTGGTCCAAGTCCTAATTGTGGTCCATGTAGGTCATCCTTCCGGTTTTCGTGCAGTCAACCCATTCTATTTTTTTCCTTGTTCTTGGAATTCATGATCATCCTAGGGAAAGATTTAGATTCCTACGCTCTAGGTGTTATTGAAACAGGCCGATCACGTGTGCCCCAAACGTCGATGGTCAAGCGGACTCCTCTCCCCTATCAGGGTACCGTGCAGGAACATCTAGATCTTCTCGAGTCTAGTGAAAAGGTATTGAGGCGCCTAGCTCAAGAGCCGCATATACAACAAGTGTCTATGCCGATTTTGATACACCCCGATATGTGGAAGCGTAATATCTTTGTATCTGAGAATGACCCAACGGTTATCACGGGAATCATCGACTGGCAATCGGCCGCTGCTAGGCCCGCTTTTTTCTACGTTAACCAGATACCGGACTTTGCTGAGCCCCTAAACGACGATCAGCAAGAAGCACTTGATGACCCTGACACCCCTCAGAAGATTAAAGCCTTCCTCAAAGACATGGACATCTGTGCCCAGACATATACAGTCGTCATGCAGAAGCTGGTCACAAAATTGGACCTTGCGATGGACCTTGATCCCACTCTATATCGACCGTTCCTATATAGCCATACGACATGGGCTTATGGCTTGGTAGGGTTGCAGCATGACTTGATAGAGCTCTCGGCAGAATGGTCTAATCTAGGATTGGACGGACAATGTCCGTACGCTCCAAGCGAAAAGGAAATTGCCATTCATAGGGAAAATTTCGAGGATTTTGAAACAGTGCAGAAACTCAGTTTGTCGCTGGTGAACTCGATAGTGGCGGAGTCGGATGGCTGGGTCCCGGTTGAACGCTGGCCCGTTGCGAAACAGGAATATGCGAAGTTGTACCGAGCATGGATGGACGCCGCACGTGAATCGGATAGTCTAACTGCCGAAAAGGCAGATCGTATGTGGCCCTGGGATATGAGACCTGAAAATTGATGTATCACTACATAGACACATTGTATAGCATAAATTTTGACCGGATTATTTTCAGACCCGAATCGTATACATGACGTGATAAAAAATGTCTACTTTATTGTCATTCACTTCACTATTATCTACACTATAGTCATTATTTATTATGGACTGTATCTTTGAGCTTCAAAAGTAAAGATCCCACGTTTCCCAACTAAATCTCAAGAAGATTCAGTTGAAGATCTGAATACAATACTCTTCTTTAATATCGATTCATTATTGATTACATCTTGATGTTCATTGTTTCTTACCTAACCAACAGGCCGCTACACTGCAAGTAGTATTATAATACCTGCTTTAGTTTTTAGGGAAGACATAATTGTGCTCTAATTTATCCAGGTCTTAAACCGTTGACCCTTAAGAGCATTGACATTGGGGTTTTTCGTTTCAACATAAGAAGGAAGTGCCTAGGTGTGTTCCCTAACAATGATGGGAATCGAATATTTAGAATTTAAAAATTTAGAATTGCCTATGTCTCGAGGGGTATATTGAGAAAGAGAAACTATAAAATACTGGGAGGACCTAGATATTCCTCTATACATCCCGCTATTATGAAAATGATCGATTCGTTCACATTTTATATGCGTAGTATCTCGGTTATTCTCGGAATCCAGCGTTGTTAAATGCTAGTTAGTGAGGCAGGAAATATTCAACACTCCCTGCCAGCCACTTTAGTTTAGTATAAATCATCACATTTGGTATCGTATTCAATTACTTCCCAAAGTATCCTATTTTAATGACAGAATAGTGAATTATGGAGTCAACCCGAGAGCTGTGAAACTAGTCTGATAAAACAATCCAAAGGTCCTGAATTTTATTGACGAAAAGGCGAATCGCAGCAATCAACGGTATAGGATAGAATATTTTATCAACAAGGAATAGACATTCCATAGTGTCCTAGATATCCTGATATGCATTCTGCTCACCACTGATCAGGGTCGGCATCCGCAAACACGGTCCCCGCCGCAATTTCATCATACCAGACTTGACGGGTCCCCTGTGTACCTTTCATGCCTCCGTCGTCGTGCCATCCATTCGCATAGAGACCAACACGGAACTGGAATTCTCTGTCATCTTCAATAGTTGTGTTGATGTTGTACTCTTCCAGGACTTTTGTTCCGTCGAACCAGATCTTATAGTAGCCAGTGCCGTCAGTCTTCCAGCTGGATTGAATCTCGATCTTGTGCCACACGCCTGCAGAGACAGTAGCCAGATTAGAGAATGTCTGGATCTTCTGGTTGCAGATAGTTCCCTGTTTGACTCGGGAATACAGCTGGTCCCCAACAAGCCAAACCATGCTGGAAGGCATCCAGTCATCGCAGCCGGTGTCGGTGAAGTCGGCAATAAATTGGGCGATATTATAAGACTGAGCTGGTGAAAATTGCCAGCTTTCCTGAAGACGGAAGGCAAATCCATAAAAGCCGGTATCGCCACGTTTGTAAACATCATCTTTCACAACTTCAGAATGGTACCGCCCAGTGTAGCTGGAGTCATAGACTTGGGTCATCTTCAGAGCAGTTGATCCTTCGTAGACCACGTTGGTAACTTGTTGAACAGTACCCTCATGCTCTTGGTTGGTGGCATCCCAACCTGAGGTTGTTCCAGTGTTACTGAAAATTTGAGTCGCCTGAGTCGATAGGCCCAGGGCCAGGAGGCTTATGAGATGGAATGATTTCCCCAGCATAATGGAATTGTTTCAATGGTTTGACAGATTGGAATTCAGGGGTTGTTGTCGAAGACAACTTTCAACTCTGCTGTTTTCTGAGGTTTGGTGTTTTTTTTCGTTGTTCCACGGCCATCATGGCCTACTTATATTTTTTGGCATTGAGCTGTCTATAGAAACTCCGTCATAAAACATCTGCAGCTAAAGCTACTCGTAGATTTGCACTGCCCATCTCACGTCAGATTTTCGGCTGTCTTATGGATTCAGATGCATAACCGAGCATTTTATGTGCATGGCAATTGATCTACAGAATAGTTCAGGTGCCGCGGCTGCGGTAATCTTCTTGTGTCGTAGTCTCCTATTTTTGAGCAACTCTGTATTTTCTAATTAGTTGAAAGAATTAATAAATAGATAATCTGAACAAACACATTAAGATTCTCTTTGAGCGAAGTTCAATTACACAGTGAGAGCATTGCCTGAACACATGGCGAATCCGACTTGCAATAGCCGAATAAGGAAAATGGTGTTTATGTCTGTCAGCTACGTTGGCGAGTGGTGGAAAATAAGCACACTTCTGACAAAGATGTGACATTAGATCGAGACTTGGGCTGCTGAAAAGAGCTACTGAAAAGAGCAGAAACCTGAAAGACGTGTCTATTAATGGATCGGAAAGCTTAGTGCATTCCGCTGTTGCATTCCTAGTCTTTTCGAGGTTAGTAGTCTGCAGGGCCCTTACGTAAGGGAAGCCACCCAGTTGAACCCCCACTTCCTACGATCACTGGGGACAGAGGCAATTTTCACTTGGTGTAGAAAGGCTGACAATAGGTTCAAAGCGAAACGGATTCGAAATATTCTTTCTCGGGGATGAAGCCAAAAACCCAATGACTTCCGAGAGCCATATTAATTATATAATTACTAAAGCATAGATTGACTTCCATGATACGCACACGCCCATAATATTTTGGAATCAACTTAGCGAAATACGGAAAAAGCCCAAGTTTCAGGAACTTCGTGCCGGAAGGTGAAGGTGAACGTAAGTAGTAACATTCGGTTAGGTTCCATCAAATTGTAGCAATGAGCGGTCTATCCTAGCTTCCAATAGTGAATCATAGTTTGGTACTAGCTAAAGGGAATGTCTGACTCAGACTCTAGGGCAAACCTGCCTAACATCAGGTACCTAGGAGCCAAGAAATCTTGGCATAAGATCTAAACGCCTGTTATCCCTCCAGGCCAACTTCAGTAACATCAGCCGATGACCATATTTGAGATGTACCGTATGAGAACTCGCATGAAATAAGAATCTTGATCTTAGTCCTAGTAGCAACATATAAAAATTTCCGACACGTTCAAATCTGGTGATTACTTAAGCTGCGACATCTGGATAACTAGTTAGTTAGCTATTCTTTCTTGCCTTTATCAAAAAGCTATCATGAGAGTCGATATTAGAGAGGCCAATGATTAATTCCACTTGAATGATGAGACTGACTGAATAATTGAGAAGAAAAAAAGAAATAAAATATATCAAGTTGTTATTGAGAATAGACTTATCTATAAAAAAGGCGGCTTATTGGAGTAAAAAGAATAATAATTAATGGATTTCGGAATAATAATGATGTAATTTACTGTAGGAACCCAGATTTTACCAGACAATTATAATAGAAAAGTTGGCATGGACTTAGGCCAATCCCATGTCACGATAATGAAGTACCCCCACTTCTTCTCAATACCTATTTGAATTGGTCTAGCCAGTCGTAAATGATATGCTCACCGGCGGGGTTTCCCATGTGGTAAGCACCTTGTACAAACCTGGAATGTAACTTCAGAGTTAGTGGCCTCCTTCTTAAGCAATATGGCTGCAGGCAGAAGCAGAGAACTTGCCTTGCTTCCTTCACGTTTCCATATTCAAGAGCAATTATAGAATCTTCGATGGGAAAAATCTCATCTTGCATTCCCTGGTCAAAGTCAGCTTTTTCTCATATTACATCATACAAGATCAAATTTCTCACATTAACCAACAATAGCCGACAGCTTGGATTGTCAAATATACCATTGTCTAGCAAGGAAAATCGCTCTTTTCCAGTCCTCTTATACTCGTCAACAGAATCATATCCAAACTTATACATAAGTGCATCGACAAGTCTAGAATGTTATTCATGATTAGCAGCCTTCACAGGCTATCAAGAGAAAGGCACTCACGCATAAGGATATTCCATATTATTCTGTGCGTCAATCCATTCAGAACTGAACATCCTATGGCTACCACCGCCTTGGCTCACCACTGCTAAGAGTCGGTCCGCGTGTGTATGGGCAATACGCATGGCATAATAACCCCCAGTGCTCACGCCTCGAACACAGATCTTTTTTTGATCAAACATCTCTTGCTCCTGGATCCAATCAAGAACACTCGACCACGGTCGTTCAGGACTGAGCGGATCATTCTTTAATGCTGGCGAGTCACCCGTCCCTGGTATCTCGACACTAAGACAAGCGAACCCACGCTTGACATCCTCTGAAGTCCTGTTCGTATGGTCCGTTCGATATGCATCGAGTCCACAGATGAATATGACAATTGGAACTTGCTGGGTCGGCGATGCGTGTTCGGGGACACGGAGGTAGCATTTGATCTCTGGACCTTCTCTGTCGATCCTGTGTATATGTGGAATGGTGATCTCGATGTTTGCTGGGTTGAGGTATCTGGGTCGTATGGCTCAACAAGTTTTTGCTGGAGATCGTTATGAGTACATAGTCACGTCTTGTAGCCAGAGTGACTAACCTTGATAAGCTCGTCAAAAATGGGATCCAAATCTTCCAATTTGCAGTCTACAAAAGGGTATATGCCTCTCGAGCACTAATCTCGTTAGTAGTTGTCCTTAGGGTAAAGATGCCGTTTGGGAGTATACCAGAGTTCTCCATTTCTTTAACCACAAAGCCTCTACTGACTCGTGATGAGGAGCCACTTTAGTCATGCTTTCACGGACATACGGACATGGAAAGGAAGAGTCTCTGACATGATTATACCCAAAAATCGACGTACAATGTAGAAAGGATGCTTTGAAGAGGTCGTAGATTCAACATGAATTCATGCCTTATATAACTTTCCTCAATGACCAAACACTCGCTCGGTATACGGCACACTCGGGCACATGAAAAGCCAATGGCGTAAGCACTAAAATTCTCAGGCGACCAGCGAGATGCCACATTATATGGGCGCGGAAGGACCGTTTTACAGATTGCTGGATTGTCTACGTATATAGTATAGAGCTACCTACAGTACACAAGTCGGTATGAATGTTAATAGTGCACATAAATTTTTCGATAGATACAGTGAAGGCTGTTAGATAGGGCAATTTATTTGATGATTCGGTGGGATGCTCTCACTCAGCGATCGGTTGTCCAGGGTGCCGAAAATCCGGACCGACCAATAGAGGCTAAACTAGTAACGCCTCTATGCCTTTGGAAAAGATATAGAGTCTCTTTGCGTTCTTTGGCCTCGTTGTCAGCTCAAACCGCTTGGGATCATATATCTTGAGTGCATGGATATTTCTTTTAAATCTTCTCTCCTTTCACTGATATCCTGCTATGCATTTCCTCGTCGTACTGGCGGAATCTTCTGTTTCGACAATATTCAGGTGATCTAAGAAACTATACAAAACCCCTCCATTGCCCATTTCCGTATTGCTCTTGAAGTGTATAGAAATGCGGGTGATTCAGTCCCAGCACTTAATTTTATCTGAGCACATATACTCGAAGCAGATTGATAGCTTTTGCGTGTAGGTTAAGAGTATACCCTGAAATTCAACGGCAGTATTACCAGATCATACTGATATACCTAGATCTTAAAAGTGCTCTGAGGAGAAAAAGAAGTCGAGAGAGCCATTCAACCGTGCTTTTGGCGAATAGAACAGACCACATTCCTTTCCCTGAAGCCGAAGACCAACTCGCTAATATTACCAATCATCATAAAACGAAAACGCCCAAGGGGGGAAGTTGTTATATACAAGGTATAGAGGTTATTTCAAATCATCACAAAAAAGTCGGGGAAGAGCTCGCGGCGTACACATCGAGAGTCCGCCCACGACCGAGAGACATCTTGCCGCCGAGCCATCTCTTCCAGCAGTAGTATGACCTTGTCTACGGATGGATGGCGTGAGAGGGTTGTTGACGACCCTGGTTCATCTTCATTTGCGGAGGCCATTCGCTGCATTTCCTGGACAATCCATTGTCGCTGGTCATTGGAGCCTTCCAAGCCTGCAACAAAGAGTGGCCACAAGAAGCTAACTGGGAGGCGTGCTGATTCCGCACCAGCAGACTCTAGGGTGGCGAGCTGAATGATTTGGTCCACCGCACCATTAACACGATCAGTCCGAGGGTAGATGGCGAATGCGACGCGGTGTAGGTAGATGAAGTTGGCCAGGAAGTTAGCTACGTATTGGCGGAATGTGCGGCAGACCTCGAGAGCAACATGGGTGCAGAGCGTGTCTGATAGCGCGTCTGGGTTTCCGTATACATCGATCACGGATGGGCGGCTATACCAAAGCGTTTCGAGGTCTGCGCCCACTTTGTGCGCAATTTGGAGGACCTCAAATTCATCGCTCAGGGTACCCCTGCTGCGATGATGGAGGTCGATAGAAACAATCCGTCTCAGGATCTGCTGGGCCTTTACGAAGAATCGAAATGCTGGGCCTACTATCGCCTCGTAGACCAAGTAGCTTGGACTGCGAAAGGGGTCTTCATTCCCATCTGCCTCTTTGCGCTCTTCGTCCGAGCTGGTTTTTTGAGATAGTCGAGGGCTTTTCGGGCCCGAGGGAATTCCTATTGTTTTATTTTCAGCAATCCTTCCCAGGTCGATCAGTGGATCACCATCACGGCCTGCGATAAGTGATTTGACATCGAGTAGCGATATCCAAGACGCCAATAAATGACCCAGCCCCGTCCATGTTTGCGTGCGGTAATGAAATCGTTGTAGTAGAAGGTATGAAGAATGAAGATATGATGTGCCTTGAGCACATATTTCGGGCGATGAAAAGAGCTGTGATTATGGGGTGAGTCCAGCGCCAACCTGTACAGAATCCGAAACCCATAACGTACCTCGGACAACATTAAGAAAAATACGGCCGCGAAAGTTTTGACCAAGATGGAATCCGACACATCTCCAAGTAGACATGCTTGGATTTCTGAACTCGCTACCCGGTAATATGTCGGTGCCCAGCGCCATCGTTTCCCTTCCGCCACTCCCTTATGGACATCTGCGTAGCAGTACAGGGCATTCAGAAGCGGACTGAAGTCGCGCGCATGAGCCAGAACCGACGGGCGAACGTATTTCCACTCCATTTCCACCGGGCCAAAAATAGCGGCAGGTGGATCGATGTCTAAGAAATGCTGGAGAAGCTGCTCCTCATATGTAGTGCTACCCGGATCGGACCAACTACGGCGGGTAGTTGCAGCATCGGAGGCACTGCCAATCGACATTCCATCTACAAGTGACGACCGACCATCAGGACTCAGCGGGGATCGCCTCTCTCCGATAAATTGTGCCTCGTCGGCGATGTTCAACGCCATGCCGGCTGGCAGCGATTGGGAAGCAGGACTCGTAGTAAACGCAGACAGCCCACTGGTCAGATCGAGATGTTTCTGTTCCAACTCGGACGTGATTTCCCCCATAAATCCAAGCATGTCGAACGGTACTCCTAATTCCGGCGGGTATGAGTCGGAACTAGAAGGCAGACGGTGCGTTGGTGTCGCCGGTGCAGGTCTGGGACGGTTTCGCTCCTCGGAGGATCGAAGGACGGTATTGAAGAAGTTGGCATCGGGCGAACGCTGCGAGGCTACAGCCGCTGCAGCGACTGCAGCTGCGGCCGCAGCTGATCCCATTGCAGGGGATGGAGCAACTTGAGCAGCTTGCGACGCGGCGGGCGGTGATTCTGTGGGCTCGTTGGATTGGCGTGATGAGGCGGCCCATGTACCGCCGAGGGCGATGGGCGGTTTATAAATGCATCGCAGGCGCAGTCTATCGCAGTTCGCACAGCTTGGTTTCGTCTCGTCGCAGCGGACCTTGCGAGCTCGGCAGGTCAGACAGCCTGTGCGGCGGCGTGGGCCCGATCTCCCTATTCCCCGCGCCTTGGGGACAGACACCTGTCAGCCGAGCGAATGGATTAGCGGTTTGGAGTGCGCCGAAGAGGGCCATGATCTGCCGAGGGGCAGCATGCAGCTGCATATTTACCTCCATCGTGGAACGAGCAGTCCCGGGTCTGGCAGTGCCAGAAGCATAGTCAATGACGCTTGACGGGAGGTTGTTAGGTCGGGTGGTCGTGGCTTTTCCCCGCAAGCCGGTCTGTGGACTACGGGTAGTCGCGATGGTGGGTTCAATGACGAGCTCGGGGGTGTCTGTGGAGCTGGGCCGAGCTCGCAATTCGGAGATCTTGTCGGGTGGGGGAGGGAGCGAGGTTTCGAGTCGGTCCTCAGCGCAACATGGAGGTGGAGATGGAGATAAGAAATGGATGTGAACGAGCTGAGAATCATTGATACTCCCCACGTGGATTGGGGATCGGAGACTCCCGAGGTTCCTGTGGTTCGTTCATTTGTGGTATACTCCAACTACGCCATTCCGCTCCCTCCCGCTCCCAATATCAAATGTCGGCTACTTTGCCACCGTACGGCGCGAGTTCGGATTGTGACTAATTTCAAATAGCCTTGGCAGCGTTTTCTATCTTTTGATATTCAGGCGGATTCTTCTAGTTCCACTCGCCGGTAAATACCCTTTTTATCGCCTCCCAGACACTTGGATCTATGTAACAAATGACCTCGTTCTTTACGTGTATAGGCCGCGAAGCACGCCGCCGCCAAGGTCACGGCCCCAGCACTGATTATCACCGGATACCGAAACTGCTCAGGGCGCGCAAACACAATAGTTGAGGCGAAGGAGAGCATCTCGAACATATTCTGCAAGGCCATCTCCGTTCCAGAGAATCGGCCTCGGGCGTGTTCCTCGATATTCTAGATGTTGTGAAGATGCCCATCTTAGTTCGGTCGAGAGCACTTGAGGGACGCCAGAAAAACAACTCACCTCCTGTACGAGAAATTGGGCCGAAAGATCGAAGCCCCAAAGTCCAATCCGGCTCAAGGCTACCCCAACTACCAGCATCCCCGCAATAAGCTGGGAGCTCGAGTCCCAGAGAAAGAACATCGCGGCTGCTCCAGCAACACAGCAAAACTGCCAGTTCAAGAACCACAGGCCCGAACGAATAGGTCCGATGCGATTCATCACCAGGGGAGCTGTCCACGTACCAGACAGCTCGGCCGCGACCGATCCAAGACGCATGCAGCTGATCTCAAGTGGACGATATCCACTGTGGAGAAGATATGTGACCATTGTACCGCCAAAGGAGAGGACTGTAAGATAGAGCAAGCTGAGCGCAAATGATGCGAGGAATACACGGCTCGTCACGTATTCCTTCCAGGGATCCACGGCATCCTGAACATAAGATGACAGCGAACGTGATCTGCTAATCCTGTGATGGAACTGCGTAGTTTCTTCATTCAAATCAGCTCGATAGGTGGCGACAGACGCCCTCTTCAAAGCGGGAACCCATCGATATACCTGCGAGATAGTCACGTATTCAAGCAACACCGAGACAGTATTTAAGCAAAGCACAGTCCAGACGGCGAGGCGGGTTGACCACAGGCTGTCGATCAACGAAATGAATACTGGGGCAATTAGCTTGCATCCGAGATCAATGCGTCTCAGTGAAGCATTGAGATCTATGAAATAGCGTATGAGATACGATCAACTCAAGTCCAAACTATATCCAAAATGCTTACCTTGGCGAGGTACTCGAATGTTTTCTGCGATGACGATTGCCTGTCACACAGGCGAATTAATGAGCCCGCCCATAGATAATCATCCCGGCATGTGAGCAACATACCCAGTCTCTTTCCACGGCTACCGTGTTTGCCGTGGCCGCCAATTTTTCCACGCAAGCTAGAAAGCACAGTATCATAAATAGTCCTAGCGTGACAGGCCATGATTGAGCCAATGTCAAAGCTATGAAGCACAGACATGACGCCGCAACAGGAGCTCGTTGCCAGACTCATCATCTGTCAGAATATGGCCCTAACTGGAGGTCCTAGCATATCACTCACCAATTGAATGCCTCAGCGCCACCAAGCGATCTGATTGATCCACCCAGGCACCTAACCAAGATGACAATGCAGCTGCAGAGAAGGCCCGCACGAGCGCGTAGATCGAGGCATAAAGCAGGGTACCTGGGAGCACAGAAGCCAGGAACAGAACCGCCCCGAACTCAAACATACGTGAGTTCCAGGCTGACACCGTATGCGACACATAAAGCCGTATTAATATCGACTGGGCTCTCATGGTTGGGTCATTGGTGGCAGTTGAAGGCTCGTCGGAAGAAGCGGTGGACGGGAGAGCGGAGACGTCCGAGTTAGACTCGGATATTCGAATATCTCCCGCGACTCGTCTTTCGATAGCCATCCTATGATGCAGCTACTTGCAGGTTTGACTATGGGTTGCAACCATTAAGACCGTAATGCGATATATGTTCGGCGTGTTATAGAAATGTGAGGGTCTTCAAAAAGTCTAGCGGGGAAGAAATGGCGGGTGGGCTGATTGGGTTGAGTGAGTACCCGAAGTTGTACCCGCTAGTTCGGCTGCTCACCTCCAAGGCCGGGCTTGAAGACGCTTGTTGAAAACCTACTGACCATTTACTGATGTCGATGAATCATATCCGAGCTGATATGGGTAGTGCGAATGGTTTTTTAAACAAGTCGCGTAAGTCTCTGTTCGTCTGTCAATTTTTGCCTCCAGTGGAAGGGCCGGACTTAGTAATGGGATTATATGTATAGACAGTCATGCATTGAGAAGATAGGATACGGTTATATTCTTTCTGAAATAAAATTTTTTACTCGGCCAGAGTCTCCAGGATATCCATGACCCCTTCCTTGTTCAGTGGAACGGGATTGGCAAGAGTGCAGATATCATTCAAACTATTCGTAGCAAGAGCGTCGAAATGGCTCCGATCCACACCAACTGCCTTGAGAGAATTTGGCATATCCAGAGCATTAAATAGGGCCCGAAGGGTGGTGCCCGCATCCGCCGACTCGTAATGCAATCCGCCTGCGCTCTCCAGGATATCTCGCACTTCGGTACTGCTGTCCCAGATGATACGCTTGAGCTTCTCTTGCTTTTCTGCCTGATCACTGCTCGTTGCAGAATGCAGTCTATTATACCGGAGTACCGCCGGTAGCAGAATACAACTGGTCTGGCCGTGGCCGACACCAAGCGGCCCCAACTGGTGACCGATGCCATGGCTTGCGCCTGCGGAAACCTGCGGCGCAAGGAGTAGGTTGCCAGCGATCTCCCCCGCTGCAACAGCACAATCCAGCCGAGGCTGCAACAATGAAGGGTCTTTGGCTGTTATCACAATATTCCTGATGAGGGTAGTGAGACTGCGGATAGCAATCGGTAGCAATTGTGCTGGCACGGGGACGTTCGAACATAGCGTCTCGACACAGTGATCAATGGCCCGGATACCCGTCGAGATCCATACCCACCGCGGCGTCGTGAGAGTCAGTCGTGGATCGAGAACAATCAGTCGCGCAAACATCTTACGGTGCCCCATGATCCCTTTATGCAGGGTGACGGGGTTGGTTGATCCTCCAAAACACGAGAACTCGCCTGCTGAGAGGGTAGTGGGGATGAAGACAATTGCCAAGGTGGGATCGTTCCCAATGCCCGTTTTGTCTGGAACACGCTGGCCATCGTTCTCGCCAGGACGATAGAGACGCTCTAAGTCGTCGATGGTCTTGACGCCATTCGCGACGGCATAGACGATGATCTTAGCACCATCTGTGAGGGAACCACCCCCAAGCGTTACGAGGAGATCTGGCTCCACTTCGCGAATGTCGTTGATGATTGGCACCAAATCATCCCAGGGGGTATGCGGGCGGATGCCAATCCAGGTCTTCGCATGTCGGTCTCCGAGGGCCTGCTCTAGATCTGCTACTAGCGAAGTCGACCGGGACAGGCTCGTCGAGGCAATAATGTACACGCGCTTTGCTTGAAACGTTGTTTCTGCGTGTCGGGTACATGCCTCCGTGAAGGGCAGCCCGTACGAAATGAACATTTGTGGTGTATTCTCAGCCTCGGGACAGGCGAGTCGATAGACTTCCTTACCAGCGTTCTCCATGATGGGTCGAAGGGGGTCGAGGGAGGATATTCAGATTATAAAAACTATGTCTATAGTCGCGGGGCACAATGCAGTTGATACGCACTCGGTACAAGATTCAACAAAACCAGAACCTGAGGCCTGGGGCCTTCACCTGACGTTAGCTTGAAGAGTGAAGGGGAACGTCTGTTGGGAGGTTCGTAAGATTCGTAGGGCCATCGCTGTCCGCTAGTGCCCCACCAAACAGTTGCACCTCCTCATAAGCGTCTATCAACTTGGTCAATATTTCCCGGGTGAACTGTCAAGAGGCACTCGTGAACATGCTCTTGAGAGTTTATAAGATTGATAAGAGAGCTTTGAAGTAGTTCTGAAGAGTATATGGTCATTGTCTCCTGAACCAAGCATGTCTCGAACATGGACAGAGAAAGAAGATATATGGATTCAAACACCGGGGGATAATTCTAATACACAGAGATGACAAGAGAGACAACTCGCCATCGAAACTATAAAAATTACAAGCTGTAGATATCATGCTCTGCCACTCTACTCAACCCACCGCAGACCTTGGGCAGTGTTCTTTGTCCGTCGCGAGAGGACCTCCGAAACCTTCTCTTGCACACCCTCCTTCTGGTTCCAGCGTCCAACGAACTCCTGGATGACTTGGTTCTGTCCTTGGCCGTTGCTGCGAACAAACTTCTCGATCTCGGCCTCGGAGGGCAGAGCAAACTCTGCATGCGGGTAGCGGTTGTAGTCAACATCCTTGCCGAGCGGCAGACGAGTCTCGCCTTCGGGAATGGTGAAGAAAGCATCAACGGCCTCCTGGGAGACCTCCTTCAGAGTAGCCGGCTGCCATTGGGCCTGGCGGGGAGGCTTCGCCATCAAGCGAGCCTTCACACCCTCAACGAAATCGGGGTGACGCATGAAGTTAGCGGCAATCTCGTGCTCTCGCTGGAAAGTCTGGGTGATGCTCCATTTCTTGCCGAGACGAAGCTGGCGCAGAGTCACCTTAAGCGAAGTGGGGGAGCGGATCGACAGAGTCTCCAGGGTCTTCTGAGCCCACTCCTTTTGGTCGGCCTCGCTCTCCAATGCTTTGAAAATCTCCTCGACGGTGTTGAATTTGAAGCAACGGTCAATAGCCGCACGCAGGCCACCAGCCAAAAGCATGGGCTCCTCCTGGAGAGACGGGAGGCCGAGCGAGAACTCAGCCATGGTCTTGTTCACAATGTTTTGGCGCTCGCGAAGGCCAACGTGGTCGGGAAATACTAGCTCCGAAAGACGCTGGGTGACGTTGCTGAGAACACTCGAGTGCAAGTAGTGGGTCGCAATACCGGTGTACAGAGCCTGAACACCATTCAAGCGCTCCGAGGTCAGGGCAAGGTAGGTTCCGGTCTCACCGTCCAGCCGTGGCAGGAAGAAGGAGCCGCCAACGTCGGGGAAGAAACCAATGGTGGTCTCTGGCATAGCGAAAACAGTCTTCTCGGTCGCAACTCGGAATGGGGCGTGCATGCTGAGGCCAACTCCACCACCCATGGTGATCCCATCCATGAACGAGATGACGGGCTTCGAGTATGTCGCGATCGTGTGGTCAAGACGGTATTCGAGGCCGAAGAAATCAGTTGATTCGCGTTGTCCCTCCAATCCTTTCTCATTTTGTAGTGCCAGCGCGGCGACATCACCTCCGGCGCAGAGCGCCTTGCTCCCTGCTCCCGAAATGAGGATAATGTTCGCAAGATGAGACTTTTCCCATTCCTAGTCACGAACTTCTTTTAGTACCGTCACCGTTCACCATCTCTGTACAGTGTTCCAAGCATGACTGACCTTCAACCGGGGGAAAATCTTTCGTGCCATCGAGCCATTGAGGGAGTTGAGTTTCTTGGGGCGGTTGAGCTCAATGCTGCGCAGACCGTAGATGGAGTTGAACAGGACATCGTCGGGCTCATCGCCAGGGAGCTCCTTGGGGATCTCTGGGGTGGTTGACATCTTGAAAGCAGTCAGCAGAGCTGTTAAAACCGGCTTTTGTTCCGTGAAAGGGTCTTCTTACCGAAGCAGTCGCCCGGAAGGCAGGGTTGGTCACCTTGGCGCGCAGAGGCATTGCTGGCGAAGGGAACCGCGAGAACCAGCTCGGCGGCGAAGGTAACCGAGAAAATGAGTGCCTAAGCAACATGAAGACTAGACACGAACGGAAAAGGAGGGTGGGAGGGGAGGGATATAAAGACGATCAGATGTTCTCCGCTTTACCGTCGACCTCGGGAGTTTTTTGGGCTGGATTTTCTTCCGGTCCGAGGGCCAAGTTCTCCGCCTACAACCGCGATGAGATCAACCTCCAAATTTACGTAAAAGCCCGGGGTTAACAAAGTGATCTTCCCTGTAATAAGAATGGGTGTTAATAGGACTTACAGATATTCTGGTGTCAGTAGCACAGATTTCTTTTCCTGTTGACATACGAATACAATGCAAATTGTGTAATTTGTAAAGAGACCGGACATATTGGATCAATGTCGGTAGATCATGTTCTATTTGTACATAGTGCCAGAATACAGAGAATTTAATAAGAGATATATCGAATGCACAGACGCCTTCCACCCTTGAATAGCACTTAGTATCGTGCTTTGGCAGGCTTGATATCCAGATCCCGCGAGTGGGCCTTAAAAATCCGGTCCAGCGCAGTCCTCTCAATGATCAATCTCGAGGTCTCCAACAGATTCTTCACGTCCACATCATTGCGGTCCATAATGGTCGCATAGCGGTTCAATTTGCTAATCTTCCAGAACAAGTCATCATCCACCTCTTCCGTGATGAATGTTGACCGGCCCTTCTTGGTACTCCATCCGTTACCCTCAAGGATCTTCTGCATCAAAAATGGTGTCGAGTCTTCGGGGAGCGAGATCTTGTTGTCGATGACGACCAGTTCGCCGCGCTGGAACCGGTAGCTCAGGGCAATGCGCCAGGCTTGGTCGTAGATCTTCCCGGGCAGATCAGTCGAAAAGTCGCGAGGATGAGGTCCGTGGGCAACACCACCTCCCTTTCGAATTGGTGATTGTTTGTCACCGACACGAGCACGGCCAGAACCCTTTTGGGGCAGGAGCTTCCTGTGACTACCGTGCACCTCGTCTCTCCACTTCGTGCTAGCGGTACCTTGCCGGGTCATGTCACCCTCGTATACGACAGCGCGGTGAAGAATATCTTTTCGGATCGGCATATTTAGTTGTTTCTGGGTGTAGTTCACCAATTGAGCGGGCTCCATTGATGGAAAGGTGTAGGTCATAACTGTGACGGGTGTGTCCCACGGAGCGAGCGGCGATGAGTTGGCGAGGTTGGGAGAGGTGGCAGGATTGGCTTGAGCCTCTGTTGCCATGGATCGTACAAGGCATCGTCGCTAATTCCAACCAATGTCAGTAATGAGGTTCAGAAAGCTCGTCTCAAGCGGACTCGGGGAGCAGGCAAAAAAGATTCGTACCGTCGCATTCTCAGCCCCGGATAAAAGGCCCCCTGAGCTGCGCGACAGCAGTCTCAGTGCCCGAAGAGTCTCACTGCCAGCCATCATAGGAAAATCCACCGTGGAGAATAGATTGCGCCGGTGGTTGGTGTGCGGCGTCTGGAAAGGGAAGAGCAAAAGTTGCTTCCGGGGAGGGCGGTGGGCGCCAGCAAAAGTCTTGGCTCCGAGCAGAAAAAGTTCCCCCGAGGACAACAACATCATCAACTCAACGACTCCCAATCCCCCAACATCACGTTTGGTAATCTTTCACAATGGCCCATTGTGAGCAGGCAACGAAGCCTCTGCTTCAATGCCTTCGCAGCACCTATGCTCGAAGCCTGCCTGGCCTCCACGTCCAGGCCCGTGGCTTCCAGTCGTCCGCTGCCAATGCAGAGGCTGAAACTGAACAGAAGAAGACGCCATTCCGCTTGAACCCCGATCCAGAGCTTGTCACACAAAGGACTCTGGAAAACCAATTGATGCGAAAGGGAACTCCTCCCATTGGATCGCGCCGTCGCCGTGCCGCGCTACGATTTACTCCGAACACCCCCTTCGAGCAATTGCCATATCAATGTTTCCAGGAGGCGCGGAATGTTCTCCTCGCCGACCGTGCAGAGAAGCTTAAGGAAATTGATACTATGAGACAAAGAATTGCGAATGTTGAGGCTCAGTCCACCGAGGGGGATGTTACAGAGCAAGCCAAGAAGTCCCGAGTGCGCGCGATGCAACTGCACCTGGAACGACTCAAGATACACGCCGATATCAACGATCCTCTTGTGAAGCGCAAGTTTGAGGATGGTCAAGGTGAGATCTACTGTCTTTGAATCACTGACTCCATCGTTTGACTCTAATTCGTTCCCTGATACAGGTGACATGAGCAAGCCTATCTACCGTTTTCTCGCCGACCGTAAATGGAGAGAATACCGCCGCAAGATCTTGGTGCAGCGTATCACACAGATGAAGGTCATTCCTGATGTCCTCCCTCACTGCGATCCCATTCTTGACACCAAACTTTACTTCAACAAGAAGCAAGTCCAGCCGGGAGACTTTGTCGAAGCGCAAACCAGCACAACCGCCCCCAAGCTTGATGTGCAGCTATTCGAGAGCGGAGAAAAGCTCGTGACAATTGCCATCATTGACTCGGATGTCCCCAATGTCGAGACAGATAGCTTTGACTACAAGATGCACTATCTCGCGGTCAATGTGCCCATCTCGGCTACTGCCACCAAGGTCGATCTCTCCCAGCTTGCGGCTGACTCGCAGGTCGTTCTCCCTTGGCTCCCGCCAGTTGCCCAGAAGGGCAGCCCCTACCACCGTCTGTCTATCTTAATCATGGAGCAGAAGGACTCTCAGCTTCTTGACTTTGCTGCCGTTAAGGCTAAGGAGACCAACCGGGACAACATGCTACTGCGCACTCTGCAGGCCAGGTACCACCTCAAGGCCATCGGTGCTCACCTGTTCCGCACCCAGTGGGATGATACCACTCTCGATGTCATGAAGCAGATTGGATACAACCGCGCCGATGTCGAGCTCCGCCGGAAGAAGGTTGAGCCTCTTCCATACAAGCGGAGAAACCCTTCCACCTTCCGGTGATTGGGTTCCCTTTCGTCTATTTTCTCTCCTGTCTAAATACCGTTTGGAGTATAGATTTGTATTGTACAATTGAATATGTATGAATATGCACAGCAAGCCAGTTTCCACCCAAGACACACCGAACTCCCTGTAAATGCTTGTAGAGATGCTTTATGTTCGACCAGCAATTTTCTTCAGATAGTCGGCATAGAACTGTCTAGTCGTCCAATCGCGCCGGTTGCATAGTGTTCTGCACCCATTCCATCTTCGACGGCGGCCACACTCGTGCCACTATCTTCCCATTGATCAAGCCCAACGGCACCGGGCCGAAGACTCTCGAATCCCTCGACCACGGGAGATTATCGCCAACTAGAAACACATGACCTTCGGGTACCTAGTATCACACAAACGAGTTAGCACAAGGGACTATGCACTGCGAAACAGCTTTTTAAGCTCGAGTTGGGCAATTTCAAGCATACCTGGATCATGTCCGGTTGCTTCCCAGCGTCTGTGCTGTATGGTTGATCCCGGCAAACAAAATCTCCGGGCATCCCCAGCACTCGCTTTGCGCCGTGGGAGCCATAGAAATTCGGGTGGTTGAAACGCACCACGTCACCAACCTCAATACCCTTGCCATTCGCATGCCGCCGCGAGATAAGAAGCCAGTCGCCCCGTGGATTGAAGGTTGGGTACATCGACGGTCCTTCGCTGCGTTGAATGGTCACGACATGTTCCCAGACCAGAGTACAAGCGCAGAACAGACCGGCCCCATTGACGACAATCCGAAAAGCTGGGCCCAGGAATCCCCGCGCGCCGCCTTTTAGCGCTGATCGGAGAAGTCGTTCCATCTGGTGGGCACTAGGCGCATGCTTTGGTTGCTTTGGTCCCTCTCTTTTTCCACGAGACGAGGTGTTTGGCTATCGATAATCGGGGAGCGCGGAGACCGAGTCATGTGACCCAGTCCGTGCTTTAAATTTTCGATTTTCCCGAGTTTCTTCCCTTCTTCTTTTCCCCGAACCCAACGTCAAGAGGCAGAACGGTCCTTTTTTTGTACTCGAGACACATGATGCAACCAAGCACAGCGATGACATTGCTTTCGCGATTATGAGCCTACTGGATTCTAATCAGCTCAACAACCCATTAATGCGTGGGCGAGCTCTCCGGGGATTCACCAAACCGTGGGATCTTTTCAATCCAGCAACGCTTTCGATTGTAAACGAGGACATTTGCCTCCGTCGCGATTCGATGTCAATCGTTGTGCTTGGAACATCGCATATCTATCCCTCAGCCCTCGCTGCTGGGATGGATCTGCCGCTTCTAAAAATGCTAGAGCTTGCCGTCGCCGAAATTCAGCACCAGGACGAGCAAGTGTGGACAGTGAAGCAAGATGAAAATAACCGGCTGTGTCATGACACATGTCGTCCCCCTATTGCCAGTCTCGAACTATGACCCCATTTAATTATGGGACTGGGTTTCTTGAGACTGGTGCAGCGGGGAGACAAACTCTTTCAAGGACTTAGATATCTCATAATTCATTCTTCTCTGAATCCACTATGCTTTTCATAAGTCGTTTATATTGCTAAATTTTGTCTATGAACGTCGCGGTCTCGGTAAGCGAGCAGACGGCATTTGCAGCGTAAAAGACGTTGGGCATTATGGTGCCCCCAACTTGCGTAACTCAAGGTGGCATCATGCACCCTATATATATAATTGCGTATGGGCCCGTTTTACCTGGCTCGAGCCAGTTGCCATTGACGGGTTTTCTTTTCCTCAACATTTATCTATGTCCAAATTTTGGGGCTACACGAAACCATTCACCCGTCGAGCATGGCATAATTAGCAAATTTGCTTTCTTGGTTGCACCTCGACGCAACGGACCGGAGGCGCCCAGTCCCTGTTGGACCCCGAGTAGTGAACAACCTGAAGAAAACCTGTTCGTTATTGCCGCTCTCAATATAGAAACCCTCATGCATGTACTACGAAGATAGAATACCCTGTGAAACATATCAGACCACGATTGCGTTGCGTGGCTCAATGTGTTGGTCCTGATCTTGGGCATGGGTAAGAATAGGTCCAGTATACGGCCCCAGCTTCGAGCCGATACCGAGATACCATTCCTATCCCCGGAGCGGCTCTCATTGCTTTGTTGGAAATAAGCACGAAAACGAAACCGAGAAATTTCTATAATCATCATCAGGTATGCTTAGATAAAACAAGTAGCAAACAAATCTCGGAAACACCCAACTCGAGTGGAGTGGGCGTCAATAATCGAATTTTGGCTGCTGTGTTTGGAAATGCCAACCATGACAAGAATGATTCGCCCAGGGTATAACGAGGCAAACTTTCTGTTAAAGGCCACTGGGTGGCTTGCGGGTTGCTGCTGTTATTGTTGGCAACGCGAGCTATGCTTCAATATTGTCCAGGATTTCGTGCTAACAGGGCGCGACATCTCGACCTGACGGCAAGCAGCAAGGCGCCTAGGGTTTATTCTTGTCACTGTATATGTCGCGCACATATTGAAGCTCCCCGCAAAACGTAGGCTCTTCAATTGTTGTTTGATATAGCCGCGTTGGCTGTAATGTTACTTGCCCGATAAGGCACACACTTCGGACCCAACTGAGTCGGGGCGATCCCTAATGTTGGAAAATTAGCCTCACATCTAAAAAAGATCAATTCAATATTCTGAGAAGCTATCAAATTAGAGGTTTCATAAACAAGATGATGATCCTCTTGTGATCTTCTTCCGGACCAACAGCCACCATAGCGGCTCTATCCAAGAGGACGTCCTGTACGGAGGAGCGAACATCACCGAATCTTGGTATCCCTTGCCGCTCACAGGTTGATATCTGGCCTAGGGCCCTTGGAGGATGTATGTGATCCAACAACTACATATCCTCAATGCACCCAAACAATATCATATGTATCATCGTCTATACCTCCATTATGTGCCCACGCAAAGTCCAACTCTATCACACGCAAATGAACCCCCAATGCCTGGTACTTCTCCGCCATGATTTGCATCTCGGCGCACCCCATCTACGTAACTTGCGAAGTCCCTATCACCCCCAACAGCAAACCCACCGAGCAAGTCAATCATAAAACCAACCCCCTCCAATAACTCCACCTTCAACAGCTCCCCAATTCCAGCTAACAATCACCTTCCAACATAGCCTTTCGAAGGAACTACATACCTGCAGCCCGCCTCTAAAACCAACTCCTCCTGCATTTAATCTGCAATCTATGCCCATACTTCTCACACTCGGAACCAACTCGAAAACAAAACTAAAAGAAAGAGAAAAAAAAACGCCAAAAAAAGAAAAAGAAAAAGGCAATACAGAATACAGAATACAGAATACATGATATCACAGAAAAAAAAATAAATTAAAATAAATTAACACCCTATCTTCTATCTACCCTCTTTCCTTTCCCCCGTCGCCCAAAAATGAGATTTCAGATCCTTCCACTCCAGCGCCCCGTCTCAACCTCTCTAACAAGGTTTTTGCCTATGCTCCGATCCGACCCAGGGCCACACAGAGCACATGACCTTCCCCCCCCCCCCCCACCTCCCCCAATTGATCGGCCGATAAGTGTTAAAAAAAAACCTACGCAAAAGCGACTATTTACCCGACGCCGATCTCGCCCCTCCCATCCCGTACCCGCCCACGCGCGAAGACCCATGAGCGGGGGCCCAACACATGGGAGGGGACAGCGAATACGGAGAAGGAGGCGAGGGCGAGAGACTTCCACCAGGAAAGTGAAAAAAAAGGTTGTTTTGGTTGGCTTTGATTCCTTCGTCGGCGTAGTGTAGGAGCTAGTAAGAACAGGAGGTATCAAGGAAGGCGAGTACAGAGTAACAGAGTAACAGAGTACAGGGATATTTTTAAAACAAAAAAACAGGCTCGCGGGGGGGGGGGGGGGGGTGAGATTAGTTCTGTCGTCGTAGAAAGCACGTGTACGAGAAGGCTTTGTCTACGGAGTATATGTGCATACGGAGTATAGAGGGACGAATGGAGGCAGTTGTTCCACTTTGGATGGTTGGCGCATGAGGTAGTTTTGGAGGTCGGACACGACGGGGGAGAATTCTCCAGGCCATCTGAGTCCTTGTTTTTTTTCTTCTCTTGCGCTCCCTGCTCATTTTTTTTGGCTTTGGGAGGCGTCATTCACGACATGGCGTTCTCCACGCCCGATTTCGGGGTCGTTTGGCGGTCTGAGCCAGACGGGCAAGAGGAGGCGGGGGAGGGAAAGAGGGACAAGGAGGGGTGAGTGGAGTAGAGAGCACAGCGCTGGGCGGGTTTACAACCCACGGTACTCCGTGTCCAGAGTATATGTATCCTGGGAAAGACTGGGAAGAGAACTAGGGAGACTCTCGTATACTCCGGTCTGTTTGGCCGGAGGGGGGCGGGTTGTGCCACGAGGGTTTGCGTACGTCGCCGTGCTCATGCATGGGGGAGGATGAGGTGTTTAGCTTGGAGGGGGAGCGATCAAGATCCAGTCTGCTCGGAACTCCGTCCATTCAACGACGGCCGGGGGAGGCGCCGAGCACGATGTCGTAATCTGATAATCCGAGTCTCGGTGGAGGCAACAAAGAAAGTATATCATCGCCAGGATCTAGGCCGATAGTTACCCCAACCGGCATCGAGACAGACTTGCTGGAATCGGACCCGGGTGCAGCAACCAGCAGGAGTAGCATTCGGACTCGGACATGCTGAGCCCCTCCAGCTGACTCGTCTTGCGACCGACTCGAGTGCTGAAGGTGTGTTGATGCAGACGGAGGCACATCTGGGCGGATTGGGGATGGATGGCCGAGTCGCTGGGGGGGGGGGGGAAACCAGCATAAGATCCGATGTCTCACGTCTCACGTCTCATGCGCTCCAGCACCCGGGATCCACCATTGATTTGCCCTAAGCTCGCCCCTCTGCCTAGCCCCGACACTAAAAAAGAAGATAGTAAGAAAAAGGAAGAAAGGAAAGAAAAAACAAACCAAAATAAAACCAACGTTCACATCACACGCATGATGATGACCGATTGTCGCGATCATCCTGTCCGAGTGGAGTATCCGGAGCAGGGGGGCCATCTCACTACAGTTGCGGGCACGCTGCAGATGTGGTGCTTGGAGGGGTCAATACACAATCCAGTGGAGCGGGAGCATGATGAGGCATTGCCGCACGGAAGTTCCTCTTGGGTCCACGAACAGCTGAGAAGTGCAGGGGCCCTGGCTCATGGATTATGGCTAAGCAACGAAGCAACGCAGTGGGCAGTGTCGCACGTAGATTGGAGCAGCGCCTGAAGCCTCCGTATCCGCGGCACGGCAGTTGGGGGGGGGGGCCCCCAACGATAGTTTGATTCGACGAGGATGCGGGCCCGAGACGCCGAATCATGGAAGCATTAAACATTCGGCTGTGGTTCTGAGCCTGACCGCGTGCTGTTCGTCAGGGCTCCTTTCCACTGGCACAAACCACATCGGATCGGGAGAGGGTCTGTGGTCCGGCGAGCGCACGAGAGAACAGTCACGGACAGATGTTTAGATGCTGGACAGCCCGTGGATGTGCTCCAGTCCGGGCCTGGACGATGGACTCCTCCGTCCCCCGTCTCCCCGTTCCGAACACGAACTAAATCCATCTCGATATCCCGTTCCAGTCACCTCCTCCGCGTCCAGGATGTCAGGATTTCTCCTACAGGCTCCGCCCCCGTCGTCCAGGGCCAAACAGCCTCCCCCCAATCATCATCCCATTTACCTCCGATCCCAGCGAGACTGGATCAATAGCCAGATCATCGTCGCCCCACTCCTGACACCGACCAGCATGCGGTTGGTGTGGTTGGGGTGGCGTCGCGCCTCAGGCGCCAGGACCCAGCAGTCAGGATGTGCCCCCGATAGTCCCGGACCTGGGGACCTGCGGCCTGTGCCCGACGCAGTACGGGTCAAACCGAGAGTTTTTTTTTTTCTTTCTATTTGCTCGAACTCTATTACATCCTCGAGGCGTTCTTTGTTGCTTCCGAAGACGGAGGCACCAAAAAAAAAAGGGAAGGTGAGGGGAAGAGGAAGTGGAAGAGAGGGGAAAACGGAAACAGGAGAACAAACAGCCACGTCTATGATGAAACCCTCTCAAGAGGCTGCATCGTTTTCTTATCGGCAGTTCCACCTTCAACCTCGCATCAGACCCGCGCCCAGTGTCACAGGCGGCCGCGGCCAGCGACCAATGGACTCAATTCTGACGCCTGGAAAGCACTGCCCACGCTGTTCGCAGTCTCAGCCTCCTGGGCAACGCCAGAAGGGAAAAAAAGGGGGAAAAAAAGGGAATGGGAGGATGTTTCAGCCATCATTATTGGGGGAGAAGCGGGAGCGCGCGGCCCCCAGGCTTTTGGCTGAAAGTTGACTCGTGTGAGAACTGAGAGTGCCGGGCATGGAAACCGTGCTTTCGCTGGGCCTCACCGGTCAAGACGTGGCCGGGGAGAGGGGGCTTGTCGCGGGAGGGGCCAAAGTCCAGTCCAACAGGCCCGGAGGATAATGACGGATTCCTCGATTGTCCGACACCAGTCACCTCCAACAGTCCCCAGTCTCCAGTCTCCAAAGGGGAGGAGGGTCAACGGCGCTGAGGAGGGGAGGAGGAGGGGGAGGGGGAAGGGGGCCAATCCTATTGAGGATGAAAGGAATCCAACTCCTAAGGAAGGAGACCAGGACGTGCTACCAAATCTAGTCGCCCCCCCCCGTTGTCAACCTTGCTCCTACCCTGACCAAGGCGCGATCCAAATCCAAATCCAAATCCAAATCCAAATCGACGAGTCCAGCATGCAGGATGCAGGAAGCAAGAGGAGCGGTCGCAATCCTCCCTCGTCCATTCTGCACATCCCGATCGGGTTGTACGGCGTACAAACCTAGAGATTGAAGATCTGTCCTCAACTCCTGTCGAAAGGGGGCGTAGGCGTGTCGGAGAGGACCACGCCTGTGGTAGTCGACCTTGATGCTCGCATCCTCGCGCGCACGGCTGCAGCCCTGGTCATTCCTCATTCCCGAGGCCGATGCTACACCGTAAGAAACGGATGACATGCTGCTAAGGCAAGCCAAATTGATTTAGCCTGCAGCTCCTCCCGCTGCATTCCACGGGGCTAGCAAGCTAAGGTTCAGGAAAGGAGGGTGGGGAGGGGGGAGGGCAAGACCCGGGCATCAGGGGAGCAAAGATGGACAAATCATCGGGCGCGAGGGAAACGTCTGGAACACCAAGGAAGGCTGGCTCGGCTCCGCCCGTGTGCCCGTTTGGAGTCTGGCGGGAAAGGCAAGAGGAAGAGGCGGAGCCATCACAATGAGTTCGCCCAGGAACTAGTCTACTGGGCCCCCGTCATGGCTAGACGGACTAGCAAAGGTTTAGGCGGGGACAGGGGGAGAAAGGGGAGCCAAGAGCCATCTGCGTAGACGATCAGGCCCCGATCTGGGTCGAGTCTCGGAGAGTGACCGCCAGATGACACCGGTCAAGCAGTTGAAGTGTGTGCATAGTTCTGAACTGATGAGGGCAAAAAATCTGGCACTAGTACTGGTATGCAGGCATGTTGGGTTTTATTCCTCAACCAAGGACGATGTACACTGCTGTCAAGTTGTTTTAATTTGGGTTTGGTTGTATGTTTGTGTCTGGGGTTATGTTTCTTTTTTTTCTTTTGCTGACACTCCAGTTGACTCATGATCCAGGACCCATGATCTATCGGGCGCTCCGTGCGGTGTGACGGAGATGAATCTACATCCATGACTAGTGGAAGGGGGCGGGTTGGATCTGGGATGAGAGGGTGGGCTCCATCCAGCATTGTCACATTGTCACCGCATCCTAACCTTGGTGCATCTGTCGAGTCAACAGAAAAAAAGATAGGGAGGGGAATGAAAAGAACTAAAAAAAGAAGCGAGGGCCCGACATGACGAGGCTGGTGGGCACAAGATAATCAGCAAACTACATATACGGAGAACAGCGGAGTATAGCAGGCGGAGTATCCAGACGCTGTATCGCGGCATTGAGACCACGTCCACTCCCAACCCGCATGCCAATCATCGGTGCTAGAGGCCCTGGTCGGTGTGCTGCTCACATACTCCAGAGATCGGCACCTGCAGAGTGTGTCAGCCGTCCACCTAAGGGGGAACTTTCCCCCCTCTCATGAGGCTTCTGGAAATGGGTGGATTCCTTGGGTTCAAGACCGATGGAGGCTTAGTCCTTTTTTTTTTTTTTTTTTTTTTTTTTTTTTTTTTTTTTTCCAATTTTCCAATTTTCCACTTTTCTTTTTCCGTATTTTTTATGATTATTTTTTTTCTATTATGCTTGCACATCCCAAAGTGGCCCCTGCAGTGCAGGGAAGTGGGACCCTGCAACTGCGTTCCGATACTGGCTTGGATCGCTTCCTGCGGTGGAATGAGGTGGCCTGGTGTTTTGCATTTTGTCCCCTGAGCGCCATTGAATTTCTGGACCAACGAGGATGCGACGGTGGCCCGCTGCCAATCCCATGATGTCGTAGAACCTCCCAGACATGGCCCAGCCCCCAAGGATGCCCTTCTACACTAGTTGCGGACCGAGGCATGCATTGACGGCGACGTCGATGTGCTGATGCAGGGAAGGGGGTGGGGTTATTCCGGTGTACAGAATCTATCTAGCATCTACAGTAGTTCTCACTCCCTGGACGGACGGCGACCCTTGCCCTGAAGTCAGGTGGGTAAAATAAAATTGAAAAAAGAAGTATCCGATAATATGATCAAACCCCTCTCGGGAGTGGTTGGCATCCAACTATCGGGTGTATGGAGTACAGACGACGACTATTGAAAACGGGACAGGACTCCGTAATCATCGAAAGCAAAAAGACTCAATTCCCAGATTCCGGCGGAATGTCAAACCTGTTCGGGGGCCCGGGCTTCTCGAGCCAGGGCTTTTTGGCACGGCGCTAAGCATGATCAGATCCGCCCGGCCACGTTGTGAATGGTGGCTCTACCGCCCGTTTCTTGGGAGTCAAGACCCGGTTTTATTTATTTTCTTTTTTCTTTTTTTTTTTTTTTTTTTTTTTTCGTTTAAATTATATATATGCTTTTTCGCGATACTTCGGGAGTTGACTACGTTTTCCTGCCTCTTCTGGTTTAATCTGCTCACCCTATCTATTGAACCGATGCCGCCCTAAGCCCCGGGCCTTCTTATGTTCTGGAAATTGGGCTCGACCTGGAGCCACCGTCACCATCCCCCCGCTTGTCCACCCCCGGCGCTCCGCCAATAGCCCGTCTATACTGGGCAGGAGTCACCCTGTGAGCCGCAGGGGACTGGTCACATTCGAACGCTATTCTCCCCCTCCCTCCTGTAGCTCGTCGGCGACTCGATCGCCCCTGTATTCGCTGTTATTGGCTCCTCCCGTACAAAAGTCCTCCTACCGCAGGTGGGTTGAGTCACTTCGGCTGTCAACCGCCGGTTCCCTTGGAAAGATCAACCAGATGGACGAACCTAAAAAAAAAAAAGTCAAATTACCATAGTTGCAATTTCTCAAGGTCCACGTTCAACGCTTCGGATTGCCGAGCTTCCCGCCCTCGTCATTTGCGAAAGGCGGTGGCGGTACGACGGGCAATGAAACATCTCCACCAAGTCCGTACGACGCCTCTCGCTTCGGGTAATGCAGCTCGCTCTCACTGTTTCTCGCTTTTTCTGGTGGCCAGTCGGGCAGAGCTCAGGTGATCCTGAAGAATGACTCCGGACAGACGAACTAGTCTTCTTTCGCGACGGTGTTGTCTAGGGCACAGAACTGGGAGAGGGAAAGACCAGGAATGAAAAAGCCTCCCTCTTCTCCCCCCCCTCCCTCTCTGTCTCCTCGTCCCATGCAGGTTAAGACGGAGTATAGTTCCAAGGCCGGCGTATAATCGGTCCAATCACAAGCCGAGCAGGGGCGCTGGTATCGGAAGAAAAGAAAAAATAGCGACGCAGATCGGGGAGGGGGAGAGGTGGCGATGATGCATCTCCTGCATCATGTACTCCGGATGGGCGAAAAGGCTGCAGCGGAGAAAAGAAACATCGGGTATGCACGGTACTAAACCGTCCAGGAAGCCCTGCGGTTGGCCCTGTGGTTGGTTCTGGGGCTTGGAATCCTTTTGTCTCTAATCAATCTAGACCAACACCACTTGGGACGGCCGCCGCAAACCTACATAAGAGCTTCAATTGTTGGCGCCACACAATCATTATCGTATTTCGTAGCCATGACAAGAGTCATGCTGACTTTTTTTTCTTCTCTCTTGTATCCACTCTTGTTCGGTTTTACATGGTTTTGGTTACTATTTCCCCCCTCGGACCCGAGCACAGCGATCCTTGTCGATATGCACTAAAGGGACACGACGGATGTGCGAGCCGATCGTCGACGAGCTCATCACATTGTAACCCTTGCGTAACGGAGTCGGGAGTGACGCGATGTACGGAGTACGCGAGCGTCTTGTGCAGTAGGAGTATGTACGGAGGGGGGTGGATTTTTGGGGGGTGGGAAGGGGGCGGACACACTAAGAAGACTAAGAAGACTAAGAAGACGACTAATTGTACTGAGAATAATGGGGCCTAACAGCCACCAAGGATCCGATCCAAGGTAATATTCGCATTCTTATTGCAGGGCTGATCATCGTGAAACGAACAGAAAAATCAGCAGGGCCAACGCTCAGGAGGGCAGTCTTGACCGCCGATCGGGCCGGATCGTGGTGCAGCGGGCATTCCATGGGCGGGTCCTCAGGGCCCGGGTGCCTGAGTCTTGGGAGAGGCATTGAGGAGCAAAGTCAGAATAGCGAGGTGGAGCAAGGAACCAACCATGTAGACCACTGTACTCTGTGTGAAAAGGCAAAAAGAGGGAGGGAGAACCAAAAGAATAAAAACAATAAAAAGAGCCGAAAAGGAAAAAGCCAAAAAAAAAAAGAAAAGAGTAAAGCTGCTGCCCCAGGCTTTGGGGCTTTGGGGCCCGTGGGAGGGTCCACGTCCGGCGCCAACGAGCCCACGCTCCCCAAACTTACACCAGTCAGCGCCCAGCTTCTGTCGGTAGACGCCCCTAAGATGCATACAGTATAATGCATAGCTCAGCACCTCGACCTCCTCCCGCGCCATCCATAGGCTATCGCCTCCAACCTATAGGCAACCTATAGTTCCCTGTCTATAGCCTCCCCCCCCCCCCCCCCAAAATAAATGGAGCTGAGATGAAAATAGATATAACCTATTTGGAGTACAACTATGCAGACTATTATCGTTTCAGTCCCCGGAAGCGCTCCGTTCCCCCCCCCCTGTCACTACCCAATGAACGCAGATGCATTCGGTGTTAAGTTCGAGGGAATGTCATGCCGGTACATGGTACATGGTACATGTCCATACACACAAAAGTGGAGTCCGGACTGGGCCTTTTCCCCATGTTCGCCTCAAAAACGACCGCGCTACGACGTATAGGTCCGATCATCCCTCCACTGCGCCTGGCCTATCCTGTACTCCGGAATATTCCCCTTGCCCTGTCTCCACCGGCCCACTTGGTCCTGACTGGTTGACTAGTTGTGGCCCTGGTCCGGGCCTCCCCCATCTTGGCCTTCCTGGATTTTTCTTTCCATTTTTTTTGGTCTTTTTTTGGGGGAAGTTTGGTTTTGGTCTTGGGTCTTGGGTCTTGGGTCTTTGGGTCTTTGGGTCTTGGGTGTGCTTGGGTCCTTGCGTAGGCGGGTGGTTTGGGCGGTTTAGCTGGGTCCGAAACGGTGGATCTTCCTCTGATTCATCATGGGCCCTGTTGCTTTGGTTGGGCTAAGCTCGTTTCGTTAGTGTCAACGTCGTGTCATCTTAGCAGGTGGGATCGTGGACCTGGGGCGGGTGGTAGATCGCCAGCCCTCCCTGGATTCCCTTTATATGGCCGGCTGGCCGCCCTGTCTGCGGATCATCATGGTGGTATCGAATCTGCGCCGAATATAACACCGAGCCCGGCTGCCGTGGTGTCCAAACCCACTGGTTTCCGATCTTCCTACTTCCAATACTTGCAACACTCTCACGGTCGATCTCTGATCATCCTACCAACCGACCAATATATCAACCTGTCAACCCGTCACTCTATTTAGCTCCTCGCTGCACCTCTCGCCCAGTATTACAGCTACTACTACCTCTGCACTACACGCTCATACCCAATTATCCCGGGGATTAACTTGTTCCCTCTTGAAGAAACTCAACTTATCACCATCGTCCCTTCCCAAGCTCTTCAAATATCCCCAATCTCGTCATTCGACAGGCCTTTTTATGGCTGATTATCCCTGGGAACCACAAGCCTCTGCGACAGGCTCTCAATGGCTTCCGGAACATGTCTATAGCGAACCCGCAAATATGCAATTTAGTGACTGGGCTCATGCCTTCCCTCGACCCCGATTTAATCGGGTCATGAAGCCCCGGAGTGCAGGTAACAGCCCATCTTCTGCCAGCAAGAGACGCACCACTACCCAGAGTCTCATGCACGCCATGCCGAGTCAATATCATCCGTCATCCTTGGGGGCTGCCCTTCTCGCCTCTGCTTACCGGAACTCTCGTCCGATCAGTTGGCACCCCTCATCGGCCAGGGCCCGAGGACTTTCGAACCCGTCCTGCATGCCTGCCTTGACCTCGGGAAATTTCGCCGACATGAGTACGATGTCGAATCAAGTCATGAACGGGCTGTCCCTCTACGGCCAAGAGAACATGATGTCCTATCCCGTCTCCGCGGGGCCTGCTTACTCGCCTGACTACCTTTCTGCCTTTTCGGATCTGCAGGAGCCCTTGCCTCTTTCTCAACAAACCCCCTCATTGGCGATGACTGGCTCGCAGGTCGAGCCCATGGCATGGGGCATGCCGGCAACCAACTCCGATCTTCAAACGATGGGTCAGACTGCATCTGATGCCTGGTCCCTCGACATGCTTTCGATGGCCAACAACATCCCGCCGGCGGAAACTACCTGCCCCAGCTACGTTAGTGTGCCATCTCCGGGAGAAGTCAGCGGCCCCTCGACCCCAGACTTCCTCCCCATTCAGCAATTCGACTCCTCGCCGATGCTCTCTCAGAAAGAGGGCAAGCCCGAGGAGGAACTGGTTGGTATGGGTCTATACAGCCAACCGAACAGCTCCCTGGGCCTCGCGCACCAGGGCGCTCTGGGCAAGGGTCTCAAACTGGAAGAAACGTTCTCGCCCTCGGACGATGAGAAGGACGACAGCTCTCAGTATGGCGAGGATGATGTAATCGATCCTGAACTCACGCAGCCAAGTTTTGAGGAGCCCTCTCCTCCAGCTCAGCAGTCAACATTTCCCATCTCGAAGCAGTCCTCCAAACAAGCCCTGAACCTCCTCCACAAATCCTTCTTTTTCGATCATGACGACCTGGACCAACAAACAATGACTGCGGCGCAGCCATTTGCCACCTTGAACAAGCCCTGTATGAGCTATGGCTACGGGTGGATCTGACGCAATCGCTTGAAACATTTCATTTAATTTTTATTATTATCGTGTTCATGTCTTTTGTTTTATAGCGGGCATAGCGTGGTATTTTCTCCCTTTCCCTGTATTCTTTTTTTCTTCTTCTATGTTCTTTTTCCCGCAGTTTCGGATCAACTGGAGTTTGTGATACATGGGATGGATACCCTGGGACCGCATCAGAATTGCTTTCTAGAGCCGTGTCTCGACGTTTCCTTTTTTAGGATAGTTAGCGGTCGGAAATAACGACCAGATATTTATGATCTTGCTCAATCAAACTAGCTTACACCCTTACAACATTAATCTTAGATGTAAATTCTCGTGGTCTTGATGCAATGAGGCGCGGTGCACTGGAAATGAGGTATACTCCGCGCTCCGTTGATTGGCTACGGCTTTGCTTGCTCCCCGGCGAAACTATCCCAATGGGTCAACCCTCCGCCGAAAATCTTGCCAAAAAAAGAGCTTCAAATCTGTACTTCGCTATTGGAGCTCTAAATCGCCCTGGGATCTTGAGAAAAGGGAAGAATAAAAAGGAAAATCACAAGATCCTCCACCCAAAGCCGTGCCTTACTAGCAATGGCTAAGCTCGTCTTCACAGCCTGGAAGACGAAGTCGCAGTTGCTCGATGTGCGAAACGAGTTTTACCCGTTGCCCTCGTATGATGGGCCGGACATGCGCTCGCACGCTTGCGCGACGGTACGTGGTCTCGTTGAAAAGACAGAGCACCTTATGGGTTTGAATTTGTTCTAATGTTGTGTCGCTAGGTTGAGGCGTGGAAGTTGAGAGGCAATGTGCCGCACCATGTTGAGGCTACGGCATTGTTGACGGATGCCATTTTGCACGATGATGTACAGCGCAATTCGATATTTTCAATCCGGGCAACGTACTCGGCTGCTTTTTGTCGGTATGTGTCATTCTTCCTCTCTTGGCTTTTTTGTTTGGGCTGGTGTGCCCTGTTATGGAGGTTCTGGATGGAGATTGTTCCTCGCTCCCTCGTTCTCAGTGATCTGTTGAAATGCGGTGTTCTCATCCTGCGTATCCCACTAATGAGACTTCGTACAGTTTTGTCACAGGGCTTGTGGACACAAAGATTCACGGCCAGCGCAAGACCATGTTCCAGCGTGCCGTGGACCTTGGCCTCCCTGCCTCCTTTGTTGAGCTGCGGCACGAAGCGACGCATCGTGAGCCGCCGTCCTTGGTCGTCCTGCGTAAAGCATCACAGCGCTCGCTAGAGTGGCTGTGGGAAAACTACTGGGCCACCATTGATAGCGATGAATTGGGCGGTGCCCGAGACGTTTCTCGGGATGACAGCGTTTCCATCGTTATGAATCTGAGAAACGCGGTGCAGAAGTTGACTTCTGAGTCTGGTTGCATGGATCCCGCTAGAAAAAAGCGCAAACGAGACCAGGAAGATGCAGTTGCGGATCGGCTGGTCTCCATTTGTGCTATTTCAAGCGAGGCATCGAGCCCGGGGGTGCATCTTTTGCCTCGGGTTTTGTTAGATGAGGGAGTGTTGGTGGACTCGGAGCGCAAGTAAGTTTTTTCCTTCTCTACTGCGGATGCGGGATAGATTTGCTCATACATACTCTATAGACTAGGGGAATCTATGAATGCGGTCTTCAAGAAGTGGGACCCTATCCTGCAGAAAGTCACGAACAATCAGCCTACATTCTTGATGCTTTTGTCTGAGGAGCTGGTGCATGACCTTGTGCTTGACCCAGTTCGCGACTCACTCACAGATCCCAGAGCAGAGGCTCTCTTCCTGTGGTTGGAGCACCTGTTGACATCATCTAGCTGGGGTTCTCAACAATCATTCTGCCCTCGTGGTTACATTCTAAGCATTTGCAGCGAGAACCCAACTCACTGGGCCAAGATGTTGAGCGGAGAGTTACAGAAGCAAAAGAGTTTCTGTGAGAAACTATCTATTGATGGCTCGATGTCTAAAGATCAAAAAAATGGATCCTCAAAGGCAAATATTCACACTAGCCCCGATAATATTGCCGAGAAACTTTGGGAACATGGCTGGGGTCCGGTGGAGAAATGGGACAGTCGACCTTTGGGGGTGACATCGGCTAACTACGTTGGCATTGTTTAATTTTAATGAACTCTATCATCGGTTCTGCTGGCAGCACCGCAAGAATAAACAAAGATTATTTGCCTCCGGAGTCTGAAGATGCATGAATTATAAACACCACAATCTACTTCCATATTCTTCGACCGACGAGGCTGTGCCCAATCAGACATTCGGATATTACTAAGAAAACCGGAAAATTGATATTCCGCATGACGTTGCTCTGTAATCGGCTCGTTTTGGAGCGACGTTGGCGACCAGCTTAGAGACAGTTCCCCGCACACTGACCAACCATCTCATAGGTGATGAGTTTTGCAAGAGCATCTAGATTATTTTCGTTTCGATCATTGAACGCTCGACAAGTCCGCACCATGCATGTTCAGTCGATTCCCATGTGTAGGTGGACCCATGGCCCTTCTGGATACCGGCTTGTACCGCCGAGTTGTCACTATTTTTTGAACTCAATGTTCATGTTGCTTTTTTGCAGGGACTGGGAAGGGCAACAACTATGCCTACCTGGTCACGGATGAGCCTACTAAGCAATCCGTAATCATTGATCCTGCGAATCCGCCAGAGTAGGTTTCTTATCGTTGGATATGTCTATTCTCGCGATTGTTTTGACTTATGAGAGAATGCTTATAGGGTGGTCCCGGAATTGAAGTCGCAAATTGATGGGGGCAAGATCATCTTGTCAGCTATTGTGAACACTCACCAGTACGTCTATGCTTCTTCTCTTCTGCCTTTGGTACTCAGTCTAGAAAGCCGGGTGTGTTGACGGTTCATTTCTTAGTCACTGGGATCATGCTGGAGGAAATGACCAAATGGAAAGTCTCTATATATCCCATATACATATCGAGGCCGTGTGTATTGACTCTATCTAGCTTGAGCAACTTGGCAAGCTCCCTGTCATTGGAGGCAAGAATTGCCAGTCCGTCACCAAGACCCCAGCACATGGCGAGGAGTTCAAGATCGGAGACCGCATCTCTGTCAAAGCTCTGCACACCCCATGCCACACCCAAGATAGTATCTGCTATTTCATGGAAGATGGAGACCAGCGTGTTGTGTTTACTGGTGACACCCTCTTCATTGCCGGTATGTTGCTATCTAATCATTGAAGTAAAATCCCTTTCGACTCGAACCCTGACTTGCATCCAGGCTGCGGTCGATTCTTTGAGGGAAATGCAGAGGAGATGCACAAGGCTTTGAACGAGACGCTGGCCTCATTGCCAGATGACACCAAAGTCTACGTATGTTCACCCTCTTTCTTGTCCCCGATGGCCTCGAACATAAATACTCACATCAGAAAGCCGGGCCACGAATACACAAAGGCGAATGTGAAATTTTGTCTCAGCGTGTCCCAGACAGAACCAATCACCAAGCTTCAGGCCTTTGCCGAGAAAAATCAGCAGACGCAGGGAAAATTTACTATTGGTGATGAGAAGGTATGCTTCAAGCGACATGACAAGGAGATATTATAACCGAGACTGACACCAACTCCTAGCTCCACAATGTGTTCATGCGTGTTAATGTAAGTCGAGCATCCAACCCCTCTCACTTGACCCATAAACTAGATGCTCATGGTTATCCAGGACCCGGAGATTCAGAAAGCGACCGGCAAAACAAAGCCAGTGGAGGTGATGGCCGCGCTGAGAGAGATGAAGAACGCAATGTAGATCTAAATATATAAACAAGATAATGTCTACTAGGTGGAGCTTTCATATTGAAGCCACCCGTCGTTTCATGAGGACATTTGGTTGTCGGCTCAGTGAGGAATTTAAATTACAGACCCCAGCTCAGTGATCATTCAGCATCTCCATGGGATTCATGATTCATTCCTACTCTTCCTTTGATGATTGATCAGTAACATTTATTCTTAGTGATTGCTTAGCGCCTAATCTTGAGGCTCTATGTTAGTGGCGTACTTATTCAGCCGATGATGATATAGGGCCCTATATTCTATGATACCTAGCAAATTAATTGTTACTTATCCTGCCCCATTTTCCTGGCCCCTAGGACATCTAACAAATAAGCTCTAAATTCTAGTAATCTTAACTAAAGAGGTAAAAAAAACGGGGCTTCTAGTCGACACATCTACATCTATTTTAATTTAAACAATTTGACCTGCAGAACGAACATTTCTGACTGGTCCTAGGCCTAGTACCCTTGACTTTGCGACGGTGCTCTCGTGTTCGTGTTTTCGATCTGCAAGCACTTGAACGAAAAGAGAGCGCCAAGAGTTGCCAGACATTATCCGAGATAGTATGTAACTGGAGTTTTGCAATTCAATCCAAGCCGTGCCTGAATGCCACACTAAAAAAAGTAAACCGGTCAAGGAAGCCAGAGAAAGCGACCGCGTACAATGAGCCACGGTGTCGCACTGGAGTCATTGCGCCTCCCAAGATAAAAGCCGCGATTCCGACCCTCGTAAAGTGGGCCGACGTCATATCCACCACTTCGTCCATTCCAAGTCCCGCGCCCTTGAATGTGCAGCTCCCCCGAAGCTTGCACGGCACCAACAATGAGAGCTTGAGCGACGCCTCAGATAACCCGGTAACTTGTGCGCAATGGATGCAAAGGACCGGAGGACATCAACGGCCTCCATGGACGAGGTACGTTGCCGACAGGCGCGGGGTTGTTGGTCGCGACGCTGATCAATGCATCATAGAGCCACGGAGCGCTGAGCGACTCAGATGCACAAAATCAACTCGAGGTACGGTGATCTTCTGCTACGGCCGTTACAGTAACTCTTCCCACGGCGTTGGCTAAGGTTTCGCTCTTTGTGTGCAGGTCGTCTTCTATCCCGACTCGAACCACCGTCGGAAATCGTCCTTGGTGACGATGGAGAAACCCCAGATGCGACACTCCGGGCAACCTGACAAAACGACCGCCTGCTACGTACATTCCTTGATTGCTGGGGAGTGGGCGACACCTTCAAAGCACATCGACGAGACGCAAGATGTGATCCGGACGCTCAGTGACGAGGAGCCCACCGAGGAGCTTACCGCAGACGCGAAGGAACTTGGTGAGGATAACGTAGTGTCGGTCGTTGACGGTGATGGCAAGATCTTGAAACCTGTTCCGACGATCATTCAGTCTCGGCACTTAACAAAAAGACAGCTGTCGGACATGGCCTGGAATGTGCGGAAGCTCTCCAAGAAGCTAGGGAGCATCAAGCTCAAGCTTACCGTCAAGAACGTCTTCATCGTGAGCAAGACACATGATGAATCGCTTGTGAGCCTCACAAGGAAGGTCACCAGATGGCTGCTTTCCAAAGACCGTGACACGCCATATATCGTCTATGTGGAACGACGTATGGAGACACATCCGGACTTTGGGACCTTGCAATTACTGCAGGAAGAGCCGTCCGCCAAAGGCCGGCTAAAGTTCTGGGACCCGAAGCTCGCGCAGGATCAACCACATCTGTTTGATTTTGTGGTTACTCTGGGTGGTGACGGAACGGTCCTCTACACAAGCTGGTTATTCCAGCGCATCGTTCCGCCAGTCCTATCGTTCGCCCTTGGTTCTCTTGGGTTCCTGACGAATTTTGACTTCGCGGACCACCAAAAAATTCTGGAAAATGCCTTCCGGGATGGTGTTGTCGTCAGTCTCCGGTTGCGATTCGAGTGCACGATCATGCGGAGCAAGGCACGCCTAAAAGATCCGCACTCCAATACCTTGACCTGCCGAGACTTGGTAGAAGAGCTCATTGGTGAAGAAGGCGAAGACACCTTGACGCACACTCCGGACCGGGTGTTCGAGATTCTCAATGATGTGGTGCTCGACCGCGGTCCTAACCCAAGTATGTCTGCAGTCTTCCTTTTTCCGCCTGTTGTTGTTGAAACCTGAATAATTTCTGGTCTCCGTCATTAATGCCTGTGCGTCTAATCGAATTTCACTTAGCTATGTCTCAAATCGAATTATTCGGCGATGATGAGCATTTCACCACCCTCCTCGCCGACGGAATCTGCATTGCGACTCCAACGGGCTCGACGGCATACAACCTCGCCGCCGGGGGTTCCCTTTCGCACCCGGAGAACCCAGTCATTCTGGTCACCGCGATCTGCGCGCATACCCTATCATTTCGACCGATTATCCTCCCAGATACGATTGTATTACGCATGGGTGTGCCCTATGATGCGCGAACTAGCTCATGGGCCAGTTTCGACGGCCGAGAGAGGTGAGAGTCACTCGATGTACGAAAGCGGAGAGTTTACAGGCTAATTCTTGAATGCAGGGTGGAATTACTTCCGGGCGACTACGTGACCGTATCGGCATCAAGATACCCGTTCGCCAATGTGCTACCGCAGAACCGGCGTGGCGAGGACTGGGTTCACAGCATCTCGAAGACGCTGAACTGGAACTCCCGGCAAAAACAGAAGAGCTTTAAATAGCCATCCTGCGTTTCGTTGTGTCTGTTGTGTTTCACTTTCGACATATGATGGTTTTTTGATTTTTATTTATGTACGTCAAGCTTATGTTTTCGAACATTGTAAGCTAACAAGTCTCACCGGCTACTGGATGGCCTGATTTTGGAAAATACGGATACGGAGATCATATGTACTGTCTTGATCTAAATCAAGAAAGAATGACCAGAAACTACGCATTTGACGATTATGTAGAAGAGCCATTCAATGGAACCCTATGTGGTAGAGAGAAAGAGCGCTGCCAATACGCGCCGTAGAGCCTGCTAGAAGCTCCAAGGAGGGAGGTCTTGCTCCCAACACTCTCAAGGAAAATGGGCGAGTCATTCGAAGCCAACCCAAACGATTCTATAACGCGCTAGAACCGGCGCGGCTAAACTGTGTTGGTGTTGGTTTCGCTTGATGACATAATATTTTGCCCGGGACCACCGCTTAGCTCTCAACGCCCGGTATAAATTGCGGACCCGCCTAAAATTTTTTTCCTTTCCCACTTCTTTCTCTACCTCCCCTGCTCTTCACAACCATCGCTTGCGCCGGTTGTCTTATGCGCACTTCTTGCCTTGCGATGGGCTTGTGAGGGCGGGCAAGTATCTGCGACAATACGCCACACATGGTACACTAACTGGTGAGTTTGCCCTGCCAATATTTTCTTGTCCCTCCCCCAGCCAGCATCTTTTCGAAGATGATATATTTTCCTTATTCGCAGTTTTCACTGTAGCCATCGCCGGTTGAACCCAATTAGATGGCGGTGACGGTCTAATCTTCCTTGGATGTCTGATTGAAATTGCTGGCTGGTCCTTGATGGATTCTTCTATCATGTTCTTTTTGGTATGAACATATGCTAATCCGTTCCGGCTTTTCAGAATTGAACAGTCTCCCCATCCTCATCCCTCAGGGCTTTGGATACTATACACTCTTGTCATTGAGCATCGTGGCTTTTCTCATCTCATGCAACGTGCGGAGATTTTTCAGCGAGAGCTCTTTTCCTGCAGGAGGGCTGTGGTGCTGAGTCAAGCTACGCTCTCATGAGATGGCCATATAGAAAAACAAATACATGCTATTTATTATGTACTCTTTTTTTCATTGTAAAGCTTTTACCTGGACTTGTAAATCAAATGTACAATAATCGACCGCATGTTCGCTGGACGCAACTGGCACTTGGCTTTGCGCAAGACCGCCCAGATTGGTTCGCGGCGACGTGCTTCACCGCCGAGCGGGCCCGAGAGCTGCATCCCAGCGTGGTCTCGGTCGACCGTATCTCCAGGACTCAATATTCGAAACTCCCTATCTTGGATATCATGATTTCCTGAGTTTGGCCCTACCTTTACTTCGCCTTTCTCTCCCTCCAGACCTCATATCCGCTCAATCATATCACCACACTCCTCTTTCTTCCCCTGAACCCCTCAAAACATCATGGCGGCTCCACCGAGGCACTCGACGATGATGTCCATCAGTAACTCAGGAACGCCTCAATCAACCGGATCAGGCGATAAACCCGCAGTTTCGCAGCCGCCGTCATCACCCCAACCAACAACTGGCCTTCGAGTGCCTTCAAACCGCAAGACCATCTATGACCGTCACCTCAATCGCAACCGAACGGCCGAGCTCAGCAGAGCGAGCTTTGCGTATCTCTTCGCCGAGATGGTCACATATGCCCAACGGCGAGTAACAGGCATTCAAGACTTGGAGAAGCGGTGCGTGTCCGGCAGATTGGTGGCTGAGCCAGTCGGCCACTGCCAATTTGAGTCGAATTGGCACTCAAATTACTAACCTACACGCCGACAGATTAAACGAACAGGGATACCCCCTCGGCCTGCGCCTCCTCGATCTCCTCTTCTATCGCTCTACATCAACCTCCTCCTCAGCCCTCTCCAGCTCATCCACTTCTTCGTCTCCACCCAACCGCCCCCTCCGTATCATCACCCTCCTCCATCTAATCCACGGCCCACTCTGGCGGCTGCTGTTCGGCCGCTCCGCAGACGCTCTCGAGCACTCTGTGTCTCCAGACACTCCCAATGAATACATGATCACCGATAATGACCCCTTGGTAAACACCTATGTCAGCGTCCCGCGCGAGATGAGCATGCTTAATTGCGCCGCCTTCGTCGCCGGTATTATTGAGGGCGTCTGCGACGGTTGCGGTTTCGAGGCCAAGGTTTCGGCGCATAACCAACCCACTGAGATGTGGCCCAGCCGGACCGTCTTTCTCCTACGCTTTGGGGACAGCGTTATGGAGAGGGAAAAGGTGCTGGAGCGAGCGGGCATTAAATAAAGGAATGCGCCGGATAATATTCATGCCCTCCTCGATGGCAACCGCTAGGGCAGGGCCCAGCTACAAGGCGACTCTGCTCTTCTCCTTGCAAGTAAGGCAGATCATGCACGCACACCCGTGTATATAGTATGGTTTTCGGGCGCTTGAAAACATGAGACTCCGGGGAATAACCTTCCTAAATATGCACTGCGAAGAGCGGATTGCAGGCTATGAAGTCACGTCTACACAGAGATTATGCTAATCTAGAACTTGGTCGTCATCGGTTCTACCTATCGGTTGTCCTACTTTATACAGGAGACTCCTTGACAAGTTGACCAGGACGCCAATCACATCAATGATACATTCCTCCACAGGAAGGAAAATAGAGAGTTCTATATCTGCTGTTTTGAAGCCCATAAAACCCATAAGAGGTATCAGTTACAGGAAATGCTAGTATATCACATTGAGGATAATCCACCCATGCAAACATTTTGATTGGAACCCAGCGCCAACGCCATAAAAGATGGAGATACAGAAAGGGAATGCCCCCCATCCGTAGCTGATACATAAGAAATCATGAAGAGCTTTCGACACGCCGTCGTTTATCGCGATCCTCGTACGGTGACGGGCTGCGCTTTCGCCGCTCTCTGGACCGACTTCTCTCGTCGCGCCGGTCTCTCCTTGGAGAGCGGGATCGAGTTCTCGATCTGCGCCGTTGTCGAACAACACTCGCATTAGCTCCCGTCGGTCCCTGCGGTCCCTGGCCCCAGTCATTCCCACGGTCTGGCATAAAACGTTCGTCTGTAATGCCAATGGGAGGGCCATCTTGCCGTCGCCGGTTCTGGTAGCCCTCGCCAAACCGACCCGTATCCTCAGTTTTGAGATCCCGGTAGCGAGTGCGTCCTTTCTTGCCGAGCTTCGTCATATCACGAACCTGCATATACTGAGGCAGTGTCTCGCGTGCAACATCGTCGACAAAGCGTCGTCCCATAACATTACGCTGGTCCAGACCCTCCTTTTCCTGATCGTCCCGGAAGAACGCGCCCTTGTGGAAGTAACGCTGCATGAACCCAGTCTGGCCCCGGTTCGCCTCGCGGTCCTCTTTCTGTTGCGCCAGGAACTCGCGGTCTTCACGGTCCCGTTCCTCAGCTGTGAGGTTGCGCCGCCGCTCGATCTCTTCGCGCTCCTTCTCCGCTTCTTCGATGGCCTCGCGCTCACGCTTGAGTCGCTTCAGCTCCCGCAGTTTCCACGCCGCGTATTCTGCTTCTGGGTCCACACCATCCCGGTCATCAATGGCTTCTTCGTCGTCGGCTTCCACAACCTCATCCTCGTCCCAGGCTTTGTGCGCCGATGATCGCGCGATTGCTTCCTTCTCTAGTTGGTCCCGCACCAACTGATCCGCCTTCTCCTGCCGCTGGGCGCGGCGCAACTCATTATCGGCTGCGGAGTCGGCGCTGCTGATGGGAGCTTGCGATTGTGCTTCAGCACCTTGCCCCGCTGCATTTCGCTTGTCCTTCTTGATGAACGTAGGTCGTATTAGCATCCGCCGTGGTGCTTCGTCCTCCGAGCTGCTTTCCTCTTCTGAGCTTTCTTCCTCCTCTTCAGAGCCTTCCTTTTCCTCTGAGCTCTCTCCCGCTCGCGCTCCTAGAGCTGTTTTCGGTACTGTCGGCCGTTCTGGGATGCCCTGGGCCGGTGGCGCAGCCTTTGTAGGCGCAGGTTGTGTGGATTCCTCGTCCTCGTCCTCCGTCACAAATCCCTCCTCGTCTTCTTCCTCCTCCTCCTCTTGGACTTTGCGGGCAGCAGCAGCGGGGAATGAGCTAGCCTTGGGGGCCTGCTGTCTGCGTCGCTGCGCCTCGGCTCGTTGACGTTCTTGTTCCTTTTGCGCCTCGATGTCCTCTTCTTCCTCTTCCTCTTCAGACGAAGATGGTTCCTCTGCGATCGCTTTTCCAGGGCGGTAACGACTCACGGGCTTGAGTGGGTTCGCGGTCATCCCGCGATGGGAGGACGGGAGCGGAGGTGGCATTGTTGGAGGGAAGCTGGACGGTTTTCTGGTGGGGTGGAGAAGACAAGACCGAGTTTATTTGTGAGCGTGGCTTATCATCAGAGGGATTTTCAATTGTCCATTTGCTCGACTCGACAGCAAGTTGAGCTTCGTGCACGTCTAACTGGGAGAGCGAAGTCAAGCTTGGGTTAAAATTGATATCACATGATCAGACGTATACCGGGGCTGGTTACTGCCGTTGCTGGCGTTGCCCGACACCGCCTTCGACAAGTGAAGGCGTGTAACTACTTTTACTTTACTTGCAATGTCAAAGGTCAAAATCTTTTCATCTACAAGAAATATTCATGTGGTCCTTCTCATGGAATATTTCTAATTGTATTTCAGTACTTTTGGTTTCTTTCCATGACTGTTCTTACTTCGTTCATTATGCTCCGTTTCGCAGTGGTCAATCAATCACTCAATTTTCTTATTTCTATTGGAGCTTCCTCAATTACAAGGTGCTATGCAAGAATTTGCGCCTTTTTTTTCTAGCCTACTATTTTCCAGCCTAGTGGACATAAGAAGTATTGCTTGCAATCTGTTAATGGAGGGTACTTCCACCTTTGCATTCTATCATCCATTTCATCTACGAAGCTTCTATCTCACATAGGTGTCCATCATCGTTCAACATCACACACTACATCCATCCATGAATATATGCACCATCCCCAAATCCCCCCTTCCTTCTATATGGATAGTAATCGTTTTAGTGAATCCATACATGATCTTCTATGATCCATTTAGATATGTAGTCCTTTTCATCTTATGAAAGCTCAACAAGTTCTAACTACATCTTCTACTCTATTTTGTAGGATGCTTAGTGCTTGCATACGATAGTATAAAAATAGTTTTCTTTGCATTTCTCAATCTGAAGCAGAATATGAGGCAGTAGCTACATATGAGATAATCCTGTCTTCTCTGAAACACGCACCTAGAGAACATTGGATAGACAAGTTTTGCAATATTTAGATGCAACCAAAGGTGAAATATTGTCTCTTCTAAATATAAGTCATTTTTCACTGCTCGGCAGCAGCAATGAATTTGTTATTGGAGCCTATCGCCAGATCCATCAATTTATAGTCCTAGAATTTTAAAATCATATTAATAAGGAGAGTTACTGAGGAAAACCTTTCTTTTATAATAGACTGATAAAATTTCCGGCTTACCTAAAAATTCCCAGAAATCGCCACAATATTGTCGTTCGGAGCTAGCTGTACTGTTTGTGATCGAATGAAAGCCCTCGGACTCTCATACTTACCGACCCAGTCGTGGTATACAACTTCAATGACCTGCGTAATTGGACGTAAGGCTTCGATGCCACCAATCATTCTTCGAATCTTCATCTCGAATCCCTTCAGATCTCGACCACATAAATCTACAATAATTTGCTTCCCAGAAATCCTGTACTATCATAAAGCATCTTTTATTTTGATGCTTGAGACACGAATGTGTTCATCTCTAATACTGCTCAAAATCATCCTCATATGCTACGTTGAAAGGCGAGAAATGCTGTCCGTGTAATCTCATTCCAGAGAGACGCAGTTGTTGAGATAAGACGTAAGTTGTCACGTTCCATGTGGTGTTTTGAGGGGTCTCACTCGCCCGTGGATTACGTCTTAACAAATCAGCTGAATCACTTTACCGCTTGCAGGGATAACTATGCAGGAAGTAATCTGGCCAACACTACCAGCAAATTAAGGGGCAAAACTTGTTAAGGACGAGGCTGCGCCTATTTAAATGATTTCCCTCTCTTGTCGCAGCCGTGGAAATAGATTTTTGGCTTTCATTTTCCTATCTCAATTCTACTTCTTTTCTGAAGAAATTGTCTACTTGAAAATTCACTTCTGGCGAATGTTTGAAATGTTACTCCCAAAGCGCTAATTTCAACATGGTTCCACGGCACTTCCCTTCGCCAAATCATCTCTTACATATTTCCGTCCTACATATTTCCGTCCTTAGTATGTATGATCTCGTGAGATCTTGTGAACACCGCACTTATAGACATTGATGTTTAAATAGGTGAGAGTCGAATTGCTTCATCTTTTACGTCGGATAAAGCCATACTCTGGGCGAACATGTTACCCAATGGCTTGCAAGCCCTTGACCAGAGCACAATACCCACGTGGTACACGACCTGGCTCATCTCCCATTTCACTACATTTCCGCCGCATATTCGATCTGTTCCATTCAAATCACGAGCTTTGTACAGTTGAATCACACTGGGAAATATTCGCTGGAGCCTTCATCCAGGTCGCTAGATTTATCATTCAAGATTCTACTGCAACAATCGACGATACAATCGGTCATCTTCTGGACGAGCGTATCTTAGTTTCTGGATGTCTGGAAGAAGACCTCAATTCCGCCCAATATCTGGTTGTTTACAATTCTTGGCCATCAAAGCATGCTTTTTGAGCCACTTTCGTTTCACTCAGTTCCCAAATGCCCCAAGAACTTAGAAATCATTGAACAAAATGGATGCTGCAGTTATACACATGTCTCTCTTACCTAGAGCATCTCATTATGCTCACGCGAATCCTTCAGTGAGCTTCTTATGGGATTTGGTGTCCTTCTTCCATCCAAAAATCTCTTTTTAGACGATGACGAAGCTCTTCAGCGCACTTTTCAAGAGCAAGTTGATATTGACCCAAACGACTTAAATGTCCACACGCTGCATTACCTTGCAGGGATCAAAATCAAATGGACGGATGCTCTTTCCTGTCACCTCGAATTTAATACGACCACAAAAGAGGTTTCCCTTTTCCGGTTTCTCTCATTTTGTCAATTTTGTTTGGCCACATACGATGAAGGCAAGGGGAGGGGTGTGCTTCATTCCTGTGCGACCACGAAGCATCTAAGATGTCAATGGGCTTCGAAATCCGAAGTGAATCAGCTACTAATTGAAATTTTGATGTCATACAGGCTTCTTTTCGGCCAGACAAAGAGGTCACGAGCGCTATTCCATTCAGTAGACCCTTTCTGAGAAAATGCATTGAAACTTCAGTTGGGGGACCCACTTTTGTCCAAACTATGCAGCAAACGGACTTTTCGCCATTTCTGGATCCAAAGGGACCTTGGGACGCAGTGGAAAAGGAGAAGTGCTACCTTCCACGAGACTTCCCCATCTTACGATATCGAATAGTGGTCCTGCCAAAATTTTTGTCCGCTGCAGCGCCAAGAACTTGGTTGCAACTTTGGCGAGATAACCGAAATTCCGCCAATTGGATGACATTCTGGGCAGTAATAGTATTTGGACTTTTTGGGTCTCTTATGGCGCTTCTCCAGGTTATTCTACAGTTTGTTCAGTTACTGAATAGTTAGACCAGTCAGTGATGGGTCTTATCATGTTGAATGAATCCGCTCTTGCACGTTCAGTCGGTAATGATGACAGTTCTAGTTCAGTACCCGGCATTAATTCAATTAATATCCCGCTCAGCCCAACTCTGAATTACACCTCTAGTTGATGCTTCGTATTCTCGAATCGTGATACCTTCCGCGTCTAGGTATGTATTTGCTTGCGAGAAGACCAATGGTGGATCTTGCTTGGCAGTTATGATATCTCTCCACTTCAAAGCTTCGTCATCCACGCGAGAAAGGTCTTCATAGAACTTGCGGCAATTGTCAACGTCTGCAGTGCAACGATAGATATGTAATTTTAATAGCATGCGACCCAGGGAAGGCTTTCCATGTCGGATGATACGGGCGCGATCAACCTTCACTGTCAGTTTGCCTTGCTGCGAATCGCAAAGAATTGTATAGAGACCGTTCGCATCTTTCAAAAGATGTCTAAGTATGGCGTAGTGTGCCTGAGCCGTATGTGAGCCATGGATTGGCAAAATAGAGCTTTATACTTACGCGGCTGTGGGCTTGACCCCATCCCTTTCTTTGTGTCAGTTCAAATTCCAGATACTTTGATCGGCACACCAACCTGCGTAGAGGTATCGTAATTTTGCAATCCCCGAAGGCCGTCAGTCCCCAATTGTAGGTATAAATTATAGACCACTCTCAATAGTTAGCTTTAATTTTAGGGCAATTGAAAGCAGAACATCATACAATCATCCGGCGTAACAAGCGCGCGTTCAGTGTGGCCGAATAAAGCCAAAACTCTTGGATCATCGATCAAATATGCACCAACAAGTTCGGCTCTGCATTCATCAACAGTCGTAGAAAGATCCCCGAACACGCTGGTCCACGTTTGGCCAAGTCGATAGCAAGTTTGAATTGGCTCGCCTGTGACAGGGTTCACGGGCGGACTTTCTGGATTGAAGTTATATTTTCCTGTACTGGTCTCGGATAGAAACCTCCCGGTTCCATGGCCGAGAATCTCGTGGAGTACTACCCATATGTAATATGCGTGGAATCGATGCTTCTTGAATATCTCTTGTTCTGACGCATCAATCAAGTGGAGACCCCTGTCTCGCTGGCTCTCTGCCTTCATGCGACTATAAAAAATGATGTTCTTGTATCCAGTCTCCTGGCGTATGTCATTGTACTGCATTCTTTTAGCCTTGGCAAGCTTCTTCTGGTACTAGACAGATATCGTTTTTGAAAACCCACATTGGGAAGGTTGATACCCGGAAAAACGATGCTCGAGCAATAAACCAGGCCTTTGGAGCGTTAATGGAGCTGGCCTTCACCAATAAGAATATAGCTTACTCTGGACACTGGAAAAGTCCGGGGCCTCGAATATTTCTTTCTCAAAGGGCCCTTTGCTGGCTTCATGGCTGTTGACCCATGGGAGATTACAAACTAATTCATTAGAAATTTCCGCCAATTCATTCAAAACCTTTGATTCGTCCGCGTCGAAAATACCAACGATCCCTTCAAATTCAGACCTAATTCCCAGTGGGTCTCGGTAAGGTTCAATAAATCCAAGGACTGTCTCGACACATGGACTTTTATCATTCACCCAAACCCTTTGAGCATCCTTGTAGCTTGAGATATCTCCAGTTGTAAAGCTGTCTATAGTTTTTTGAATCATTTCATACTGTGATGAATTAGAGACGTAATCGAGGGCTTTCCGTAAATAGACATTGATCTGCAGAAGTTCTCTTGCGTGATCTCCAGTTTTCAATCGAATTGTTTTGTTAGCGAAGGCAGTGTTCGTATGGTTGCATGTCAAAATATTTTCATTTTCCGATGCCTGGAGAATATCCAGTGTCTCGATACCTTCTGCTCCGGTAACTCTCATAAGTCGCGTGTTTTCCGGAAGTATAGATAACTCATTCATGATGCCTGAGACCAGCAATGTATCTTCGTGAAAAAAGCGCTCTTCCATTCCCGGATAATATGAGCTCTGAGTAAGCTTTCCCGGAGGCCCTAGCCCAAAAGGTGGTAATTGAAACATTAATCCTTGAATTTGCTCCCACAGAGAAGTTGCGCCAGTACCAGCGGAGCTTGCTAATTGAGCAACCTTGTCCTTGGAAATGGATGGGATAAACTTCTGGTCACCGGCTCCCTGAGAAGATTATTAGTCCCATAAATGACAAATGGAGGGGCTCGAATCCCACAAAATAATTGCCCATGTTGGACAGAAAAATTGCTGCATAGTCCAGGAATGATTCAACATCATTAATATCCAAGTGGGAGGCATCGGCAAGGTTTTCCCAGTTACCATCGCAGGTATCGTAGAGAGCCATGATGAAGTCGAAAATAGAATTTGCTTCTGTAGACACTTGACGGAATATAATTCTCGAGCCACTCCATGCCGCTCTAAAGATTCTCAGTCTGGGGCATAGAAGACAGCGAGTTACTCTCTGTCGGTTATGCTTCATACTTAGCCATGTAATGAGCGTACAGCTTTTGCCGAGGCTCTAGCGCATCAAATGCTGAACCAACCGATAATTGGAATATCTGAGGGGCGACCATATTGAGACACGCAAAATCCAAAGGAATATTGGTTAGAAGCAAAAGCATGGATCGACGATCTAGTGTGGTGGAATTGACCCCGCTCACGTGAATCATGAGACCTCAGACAGAGCTTAGCTTTGTCAACCCCCATCAATCTCTCTTTCCAATTTTCGGTTCTACTTTCTGTTTATCTTGAAGAACTTACTAGAGGCAGTAAAGGGAGTGGAATTCTGGGCCTGAATTTTGTATCCTCTTCGAATAGCTAAGCGTTAAGAAATTGGACAGCAGATCATAAAGCCCTAGGGCTTACATTTATGGCCTGGAGTCAGGTGAAAACATGAGAATGGGTAATATTAGCGATCCAGATGATCTTAGTGAGAATACTTGCCCTGTTTTCACCTCTATTCCCCCAATCTCCAAACTTCTCGCCCCCCATATCACCTACACTCACCCTAGGATCAAATCTGACGCATTTTAGAGCCTAAGGCGCACTGAGAACTGGCCGCGTACTATAATAGGCTTCAGCACCGCCGAGCGAATGAGAAGCCTTGTTTTTCAGACCTTGTGGTCGTATGTATGAGATAGATCTAGGAGTAGAATAAAGTAGATTCGACGATGAAAATATCTTCCGTTCTTGTCTTTTTGTATCTTGGGCTGAACTGGATTTGACTATGGGTATAGAGGGTTTTCCCTACAGAAGCACACAGCGATTTAAATGTAAATGTGGGCATATGATATTTCAATATTCGAGTCTTCCACGTAGTTATGTCGTTCATAGGCTTTTTCTCGATGCATACCCACCATATGTACTTTTGCATTATTGTGTCGATCACCCCGTATATAACATGCACATAGTGCATATTTCTGATGCATTTCTTTTTTATTATAGGCTATGAGCCTTTCCTATTACTGTATTAGGGTACGAATAATGGATCAGCTCGGCGATGGCAATGTCCCACTCTCTTCGTTCGGTTTCCGGCATCATACGCTGGTTCAGTCGGTGGATTTTGCCCCGATCTTATCCCGCATACCACTGTGAATATTAAAAGAAATTTTGGCATAGGATGCGGAGAAGTAACTAAATCGGTGGCTAGTAGTTGCGTGATTTGACCGGTGCTTTTAGCTACTGTAGTGCGTAATCTAATCTATGTAAGTTCTAGTGATTGTATGCTTGGTCAGAGGTTTTTGGGCTGGAGTGCCGGGATCAGCAGGGGTGAGCAAACCGGCGTATGTGCTCAGAATTTTTCAGAGTATTAATTTACGGCGATTTTGTCCAAGGAGGTGCCCATGATAGATATGAGTTGGTTACTATCCTTGAACGAGGACAGGTAAGCTTGAGTGACCACGAGGATTTTCCAGGTCCCTGGTCGTGGAAATCGTGGAAATGAAATTTAGGCTTCAATTCCTGAGGCTTGGTTTACATGGGGACCCCTTAGTCGTCTTTGGAAATTTGTCCCTTGGCTATGAACTTTTTTAGCTTGTGTTGAGGTTATATCTTTTTCGTTGGTAGAGGTTCAAAGAAGATTTTCTTCGAATGCACTCTGACGTTGAATTCTTTGGGTTCTTTGGAACATTCAAAGATGAGACTTGATATACTTTATACTGTCCGGCGAGCAGTATATTCACCCAGACAAAGCATATGGCTGTGATACACAAACTGTAGTTGATATTTCCGAGCCATGCATTTGCTCTGCTCTGAAGCAATTGCTTGAAAATTTAGGTCGTGACTTTGCGCTCGAAGCAGCAAGCCAAGTCTGTTCAGGAATGTAAAATAATCTCAGTAAATCGAGAAATAATCAAACAACGTTGGGGTCATCAGCGTTTGACAAGCAACTAAAGTAAAGACTGAGTTCACAGAATATTTTGCGCAAAGAAACAATCCAGCATTGACTCGACGAAGAAAACAAGAAATCAAAACACAGAACATCTTCAAGCTGCTACTGGAGTCACCTAACTCTTCAATTTTAGATTACGTAGCCTTACGGCCAGAGGTCCAACAGGAGGTGGTGCAAATTCTTCAGGACCTATCTCGCTCACTTGTTCCTTCGAATCTTCTTCGTCAGAGCTCGGAAAAGTGGTAGTTGAGATAGTTGGGTATTTCAGTCGAGAGTATGAGGGAGAAGTATGGGGTGATGTCCAATCTTGGCTAGACTTCGTAGGAGTTCCTGCAGAGGTATTTTTTGTCGGAGTCCTCTTTGCAGGAGCCTTCTTCGTGGGAGTATACTCTGCGTCATTCTCCTTTACAGGAGTCTTCCGTGCAGAAACCTTCCTGGCAGAAGTATTATTTTGGGGAGTTCTCTTCGGAGTTGACCTCGTAGAAGACCCCTGTCTGAGGTACTCCCTTGAAGCAGGGGAGGGTAGCTCGACATCTTCAGACAGTTTCTTGAATCGATCTTGCGCATTGTACGGAGTAACTTCATCGAAAAAGGTGCACCATTTATCCAAGCTTTCAATGATTGTTTCCGTCTTGATTTTCAGCCATTCTTGGTGGGTCGAAGGGCACTTTACTTTTTCACACTTCCTCCCGAAGCGCACCCCGGAGAACTCCGCCAACAATATTTGCTCCACCCGATGGGCAAACTTCACTGATTTGACTGCAATCACTTCAAATTCTCCAAAGCAGCCCCTGTGGATTGGAAAGCGATTATTCTCCGGGGGCCTCTGTGAGAATCCAATCTTCAGCATTCCTTCAAACCTCCCATCCATGGGGGAAATGATATAGACGCATCCATACATTCTGCTTCTTTTCCCAAGTGGTTGCTCTAATTTCTGGCTGACTTTCCTGGCCACTTCCTCCTCATCGATATTGGGACAAAGGGCCATGAACTTTTTAATTGGGAGTTCATGAGCAGGACGAACATCAGTATCTTCTTCCAGGTCACCATCTTCCTCGTCCTTTGCTGTATCCGAATCTTCATGGTTGATAGCACCCCAATAATATTCCAACTCTTCCACGATTTCGCTTTTCAGTTTTTTAAATTCAGATAGCCATTGATCTTTCAACAATATTCTGTGAAGGGCGTGTTCACCACATAGGGAATGCCTTGCAAGGTTATCGAAAACTTGCAATAATTTAAATGCGTTCTTCTGGTCATCGGAAAGTAGGTTGGGAATGTGAAGGATGGAGTTGAAGTAAGAAGTTACCATGTCCCAATCGTGTCGACTGATTTCGCCTTCGCATTTCTTGGTGCCACTCTTACTGCTTGTATAGAAAACGCATTTGATAGGCAATGACTGGTGAGCATCATGTATAGAAGTTGTCAAGGAGTGAAATTGATCCTTTGCGGACTCCATATCAAAAAAAGTTGAAGAATCTCACTAAAGGTGGGTAATTTCAGTATAAAGAGAGATAAAATCGGCAATCAAGCTATTGGCATGATGCAGAGTGGTTGACAGTCCATCAGGTGGTGTCTAGCCTCCGAAGATATTTCAGCGCTTTTAAATCAGACCCCAACCAGCCTCCCTTTGGATCTTTTAGCGGAAAGGGCGGCATTACTTCACGTGGTTGCGCCAATCTATCCAGCTGGCAGGGGTTATTGGGTCCAAAATATCCCTGTGCGCCCATCTGCATTGGTTGATATAACTTTCATACCGGGAAATGGGGCCATGCTGTAGTTACCATTCCCCTTGTGGCAGGTGGCTGGATATGATGGGGATTGCGAGATCACAAGATCTCTGATTTGTAGACCAGGGGCACACTATTATCGCGCTTGTAGATAGAAGAGGTGGATAGGGGAAGGCACATGCATTAGTCTCGCACCTAGATATGGGTTCTCAGCCGCTACAGCAAAGGTACGTTTCACCATTTTGGGGGCGAAAACTCGTTGAGAAGTTCCATTTCTCCGACATCTTTGAGGAAGATCCGCTTAGATGTGATTTGAGTGACATTCTGTAGACTTTACATTTTGATTCTATCTTAATCGGGTATCTGCGTTGCCGATACCGTAAAAATAATGCGTTTTGATTTTGATGCTGTATGCTAAGCCTTGCGAGGAAACAGCAACAATCCACGGGCTTGTAGTGGCTTCATGTTCAATCTCGCGGAAGATTCATTTTCCTCTTAGGCCCCGACCTCTACCAAGGGCTGGAATGTCTAAGGTCCTATTTGAAGAGCAGCACAGCTGCGAGATACCTGCGTATTACCTGAATCGTGGTATAGGTTGTGATATAGCTTGCTAATCCTGTGGAGTCGTATTGCTTTGTTTCTTTTAAAGATACAAACATCAGATCTACTAGGATCGCATTCATATCATTAGCTAGTGAGCCAGGGCGCTCTACGGCAAACCTGCGAATACAGGCAGGATGAGATGGATCAGCGAACCAGCCAACAAACCGCACCACGCCACAATAGAAGAAAGCCTCTCAGAGAGGAAACAGATGCTGCTTCAGCGAAAGATGTGTAAAGTTTGATTCTCTCCCTATCGGAGATGCGAAGTTATATCCTGTAGAGCCTGAGTACTAGGAAAGATATCCTCCAATCAGAGTTCACCCCTCGTTGGCCATCTCCCCACTACACTAGATAGCTGACCATTCCCTAGAATATCCTTCGTTAGAGTTTTTACAGCTGTCAATCACCCGCTGGGATCGGATGTTGGTAGTCTCATCCACGTAATATTAAGGAACTTTCCCTGTAGCTACTTTAAAACCCCCTCCCGTATTTTTCTGTATTCTTTATCCAGTATATAATCAGTGATTTGTTGGGTTGCCGGGAAGGGACTCGGCACCTTGGCTTTAACCCATGATTTAAGGTCTCGCATCTACTGCAGCTCGAAGTGATTAAAAGGCCTAGTTTCTTTCGAAAAGACCTGGGCTATACACTGACCAAAACTACAAGATAGCTGGGAAGCAAAGCATAAAGACTTGGCATTTTCTGTTTCTTCCCTGTGGTGATTCATGAGAGCCTGTGCTTTCTTGCATTTATGAAATGTTCGCTCTGATGTGTGGTGTTTTGACACGAATTTTTGGGCATCTGAGGCATTGTGTGCATTTAGTCAAAATCAGGGGACTCCAGGATTAAGTGGTCATTCATTACCTTCATATCGCCTTGTGTGATTCCAAAACACCTTGAAGCTCAATCTCCGAGTAGGAACCTTCCAGGACATTGCCGAGCCATTTCTGAGGGGATTCAGCTCCAAACTTCTGTAGCCGTCGATAGCATAGCTTAAGGTTCCTCATTTATTGCTATATCTTCGTCCTTCAAAGTATTCCGAACAGCCTCTTTTAGGCATATTATGCTGTATTCTTGTTCCCATTCATTCTGATATTCATGGGTGAAACTACATGACGCAGCCCGTGCAATACTTTCCTTACGTTTCTTTTGGAAGTCCTTAGGGAGCATCTTCTTTCTGCAGTCACCTGGACGGTCTGAAAGAATTTGTATCTCAAAACGAAATGTAATTTGTGTCTGGGTGGTATCTCAATACTCCAAGAAATTAATCATTTGCACGAAACAGGCCGCCTTACTCCGATAAATTGCACGCTACAAAAGTAAAACCGATGAAGCACAATATTTGAATCAATCCAAATACAAAACTCAGCAGAGTGCAACTCTCTCAAATAGTTCCCGGCTGTATTTATGTGTGATTCAATGAGATTATCCCCTGGAGCTTGTTCAAGCGAAGAGACACATGATTGCAGAGCATGAAAAAAGCACCACAAAACCCATACTTGTCTTTGAGATAGGCTCGCTCACAACGGCACCATTCCCTGTAATAGTGTTTATAATATCTTGATACCAGGAAGAGACGGAGCTGTCGCCACTGTCACTGGTGTCGGTGCTGGTGCTAGTGCTGCTAGTGCTGCTAGTGGTGCTGGTGGGATCAGTGCTGTTTGTAATGTCATTATACAGGGAAGAAACGGTGTCTTCGACGCCCCCACTGCTGCTAGTGCTTGTGCTTCTAGCGCCGCTAGTGGTGCTGGTGGGATCGGCGTCGTTCGTTATATCATTATACAGGGAAGAGGCGGTGTCTTCGATACCACCACTGCTGGCAGTGCTTGTGCTGCTGCTGCTGCTAATGGTGTTGGTTTTTTCGCTGTCTCCTCTGATTTCTAACCTAATTCCATGCTCACCGTCCAAGCTGGAGATTATTCCGGTGTTCTTATAGCCTTTATTGGTGGTAGGCTCTTCGGTAATGGTTGTTTCACGATCATTGGTGTCGCACAAGATATATGAGCCAAGGTGTGCATTATCATTTTGGTCCAGGATACATTTCTTAAGGTCGTCGGCACTCCAATCCTGGGCCAGACAATAGATACCGCAGCCAAAAGCAGCATCATAGATTATAGGTGAGTTGCCCCTGCAACACGTATCAAATGCGTCGAATATTTCATGGCTATCGAAAGAAGAGTAGCAGTAAGCGTCATTCACACCTGTTGGTACATTCGAAACAGCACCTCCCTTGCAGCTCCCTATTGACAGGCCAGAATGAGCCATCTTGAAGTGGGTTTTAATAAGAAGATCTGGAAATTTAGTTGTTCGAGATTGGGAAGGGGACAGGAGGGGGGAAGACAGGAGGAAGTGACCAGTGCCAAGTATATAAGAAAAGCACGCGACTTTGCCGCAGTTTCATCCATAAATAAATCATTCAGTCCGTCAGTCAGTCCCTGTTGGAAAACTAATACGCGCCTCAAATCACCATGCTCAAAGTGTCTGGCATCTTGATCTAAAACCAACCAACAGTTAGGCTCCGGGTTTTTATAGGGTCAGGGATCAACAACTCCACCTGTTCGTTTGAAGGGCGTCAATAGAAGCGCCCGGAGTTCCTTCTGAAAATTCTCAGCAGTTTCCTGAAAAAAAACTTCAATTTTTGCCAGCTCTGCCATGCACTGACCATTTTCTTATGATATATGTTCTCTCAAGCAACGGGTGGTTGTTTCATGGATTCTTGCAGGACAGGCGTCTGGGCGGGTAGTTGGTGTGGGGCCTGTTACCGCACATTATCCAAACAGAAAGTAACAACAGCTATAATTATTACTTAGGCAGTACCGACTCTCAAATGGCGTTCTCAACCCCAAAGTCAAATCGTGGATAAAATATTGGCGACAAACTATCTATGCACTCTGACCGACTGCTCCGTACTCGTAATCAGAGGCATCGGGCTATATTTAGAAACATATCTCTATACGAAGAACTTACGTTTCAGGTTTGCGAAGCGTTGGAATTAATGATGATGATTATGACTTGTTATAGGGCCGCTTCATACTGGACCTGTTTGTATATTCTTTCCCTCACCGTTCTTGTAAAGGATGATGTTTATTCTCTCCCCGTGCTTTCAGTTCCTCGAAAATTGGAAGAAAATTTTGGGATTTAAAATCTACGGTGGACATTTTAATATTCGGCCAGTACACAGCGCTCTCAAATGGATAAATAGGTGACAAATTGCCTATCATATAAGGTCTGAATACATTGACTTCATCGTTAGCATTGATAAAGCCGGCCTTGGTTTATAATTGGATACTCGGCATTCTCGATCAAGGCCTTGGGTACACGAGGGTGACCTGACACCTGTCTTCAGCATCTGCTATATTTTTTTTCTCAACCCACTTTCTGCCTTCTTATGTGATCTAGGCTGCCTTCTATTAGAACTACAACAGGTAAGCCGTCGGTTGGAAGTGTGACTGAAACTAGGTCAATTTTGCAGTGTAATGTTGCAAAAACCAGTATGTAGTCCATAATAAAAAGCTGGAAAAAAGTTGTCCGTGCAGGTTTAGCCGAGATGTGAGGTGTACACAAACCCATTTGGTCGTACGGAGTGTAACACTAGCGCATGTAGTAGAAATTCGCCTATGGTCCTGGTCGCTTATTGGCATGCGAGCTCCTAAGGGAGCGGTGAATGCAGTTATTAACATATGAATTTCCATTGTTAAGGATCGTTTGGGGTGAGCAAAAGACGGTGAGACTCAAGGTAGAGGCGGCTGAGGCAATTTACCTCGGCGAAGAATGAGTCGGACATGATGGAAAATAGTTTTACTCAAGCCTGTTAGAAGGCCGAAGTGAATTCTTGTTGCATGACCATTCCCAGTTCATCAGTTCAGGCTTACTACTCTGAGGAGTGATGTTCTTAGGGTATCATAATTTACAGGTAGGCGCTTTCTTTATCAGGATATAGTTTAGTCTCCGTCCTGTTATAGAGAAATGATTGGCTTGCAAAATTCTTGGTAGGTACAGTCTAGCCTCATTTCTAGCTGTGGGATCAAAGCAGCAGCTTTTACAGCAACTAGAAATATTAAATATCCTCCTATATTCGCATGGCTACGAGAAAGGTTTGCCCTGCTTTCAGGAATGGCGATCGCGAGGCTGTGACACTTAGAGTTTTTGAGGAGGTCTTGGTCACCAGGTGGTTTCGGAATTATTGTACTATTCAACGTAAGCTAGATCATTTTTGCATAGCCGAAGACTCATTCTCAACGGATATACGATAGTAAGAATTTTCCTGTGGAGGACGGGGTCTGGGATGCCGAATAATAGGCAGTTCCGAAGAGATACGAACATTCTCTTGATCAGTTAATTAATGAATCTCACAAAATTTATTCCAATACCTCAGGCTGTATAGCCGCAATGATATCATTATAAAAGCTACCACTTCCCCGAAGGAACTAGACTTACTTGGCATCTAGCATCAAAAGTTCACGGCGATCTTGCGTACTTGATACGATAGACTCAAGAGTTTCTGTTCCACTATGAAAACCTACGTCTTTTCCCTTTCAACTTTGGCCCTCCTATTGGCTCTTGGCCAAGCTGCGCCGGTCCCCCAGAACAACATTTCCAGTGCATGTAAGAGACTTCCTATGGCCCCCTTTCGCAGGTTTTTTATTCCAAAATGTATCAGTCGGGTGCTTATTCTTAGCCTGTGATACGGATATTTCAGCAGTGGTCAGCAATAATAACAATAACTCTCCTACAACTTGGGGTAACGGCAATGGCAATGGTGGTGGTGTCAATGGGAACAGTGGGGGTAGTGGAAACAACAGCGGGAATGGTAGAAGGGGGTGGATGACAAAGATGGTGGGCCAGGAACCTGGGGCAATGGAAATGGCAATAGTGGTGGTGTTAACGGGAATAGCGGCGGTAGTGGCAATTATAGCGGAAACGGTCGCAGGGCCGTAGATGATAAAGATGGTGGTCCAGTTTGGGGCAATGGGAACAACAATGGTGGCGGTGTGAATGGGAACAGTGGCGGCAGTGGGAACCATAGCGGGAACGGTCCAAGAGGCATGGATGATAAGGACGGCGGCCCAGGAACTTGGGGTAATGGCAACAACAATGGAGGTGGTGTCAATGGCAACAGTGATGGCAGTGGTAATTACAGCGGCAATTTTTAGACGGCACATTAGTTGAGATTGGAAATCCTTGAGCTTGCGGCTATCTGTGATATTCTATTCTTCGAGGAGGCTTCTATATGGAACTAGTAGTCACTACAATGAGATAATGAGATGGGCTACACTTTCATATTAGTGAGCTTGATCAAGTGAATGGACAAGCATCATCAATCAACACTTTCATGATGTAAGATATATAATGGCGAGCCGTGTGCGATTCATATAGATCCGTGGTCGTCGAGGAAAGCCACATAATCGATAGTTCCTTTCTTAATTAACATTTAAAAAGAAGGTCAATATAAATTTAAAATTGCTTCATTACTATTATTTTTTATAATTCACAATTATATTATACCACAGGGGCAAAACTGAAAATGTGATTTGCCCGGCTTGGGTTAGAGCCTTGCCCCATATAGTTTGGTTATAATTCAATTAAGGGCGTCGACTTTCAACCAGCCCTGCCGGGCTAGCTCAATCGGTAGAGCGTGAGACTCTTAATCTCAAGGTTGCGGGTTCGACCCCCGCGTTCGGCTATTCCTACAAATAACCTGAGATCATTATTTTTTTCTGCGTTGTTCCAGTGAAATTTTTTTACTTGGTGGGGAACGCTGTGAGTGGCTGTGGTCGTCTCAGCATATCTTATCAGTACATAGTCACGTGACTACGCGTTTCGCGTCCCGCGCTGAAGCATCAACTCCAATCTTGACCTCCAGCACTCATTCACCTTGCTCAATCTACCCCCAGGACTCCTCAAACGAAATCACATACATAATCAACAAGCCAACCACATTCAAAATGTCACTTCAGACCCCACGTATCTTGCCATCTCATATGAACGCTTTTCACCCCTCCAGTGGCGGCCCGCGTTCGACACACACCATCCGCATCTTGGGTACAGTGAGTGGGCTCCGGGGCGATACAGCAACGATCACATGCGGCAACAACGGTGATGTTACACTCATCCTGAAGCCAGATTCGCATCTGCAGATGGGCAAGTTGGTAGAGGTGGTCGGCAAGGTTACAGATCTCGACGGCGGACAGGTATGTTGTGCCTCCCTACGCATGTCACAGCCAGCATGAGCAGCCTCAAAGAATTGAGATTGTTATTTTCCCCCTCAATGCTGCGCGAGTCGAACCCGATACTAATATGATATGCTTAGGGCCTCGGCATCCGGGTGTTGGGCATGACAGACTGGGGTAACCCCGCCGATTGCGGTGAGTCTTCCCCCCTGGTACTAATTTCTAAAATGACCGAGCATGGCTAATAAAGGTCTTCGATGTTTTCAGACTACAAAATCTACGAACAAGTGGTTGAGGCCACCCACCGCTTCAAGCCTATTTTCTACGATGCCGAGTAATTTGTCGCAACAGGAGAGAATGGAAACATATTGCTATGTTTCAGTGGTTGACAATGATTGCTGAAATGCCTTATGGATGTTATTAAATAGAGGTTATTTAGTTCTTTGCCTCGTGTTTTTGTGTCCCAGACGGATTTGGATTTGCATATTGCGTACGATTTTCATGACCACAGTTCACCAATTTCAGTATCTTTGACCTTTAGCATCATTCAAAGTAGAGCAGATTGCGTTCAGCGCTACCAGTAGCGTTTTGAATACCATTTTTTAGGCTAGAAAGCCATAAGTTTTAATAGGACTGATATTCAAAGCTCTCGAAAAGGTGGTTGTAGAGTTGTGATAATGAACCATTGATTTCACATCTCTTCTTTGAAGAAACGAAAAGATATCTGCCTTAGCAAGGCGGGCTAGCTACACCGCGGGATTCAAACGAGGCGCGAAGAGTACATATGGACTTATCTGGAATGTATTCCATTCGTTGTTGATCATGAAAGGGCTACCTGAAAAAAAAAAAATCTAAGGCATGATATAGCGAATAAACAATCCGCCCATAGGATGGATAATAGGAGTAAGCACATAGCGAGTGTACAATATCGAAGTCCTGCCAATGTATCTCGGTGGAGCTTCTGGTCATCATGAAGAACAGGAGTAAGAAAATCAGCAGAGAAAGAAAATGATCCCCCTGTAGACAGAGTGGTATGCAGTAGAAAGCAAAGAAAATTTCATGATCCTCCCAAACCGGACGCCGTCGCTAGAAGAACGAGCAATGAAACAGCAAATAAGCCAGTTAAGGGAAAAAAGCAAATGCAGGGATATTGGTCATTTATATGTTGGGGCTGACCGCTGGCTGACTACCAGCCTGCGCAGTTGCAGGCTGAGCTTTCTGAGCAAGATCCATTGGGTCAATATGGAGAGCGTCGGAGCTGAAGAAACCCGAGTCAGGGACGCCAGAGTCTTCAAAGTCGAAAGGATTAAAGTTGGAGTCGAGTATATTTTCTTTCATCATAGCAGGATCAGAGAGGATCGCATTGATAAGGTCATCGGGAGATCCGTTCTCTTCGTCAGATGCAGATGGGGAGATGTAATCTGAGGGAAGCCAGTTCGCCCAGCTGTTGTTGGCGAATTTGGATTGGTCCAGAGGGAAGGAGTTGGACTGATCGGGAGCATCATCAAAAATGTCCAGGATCATGCCGTCGATGGAGAAAGACTCCGAGTGTAGTCCCGGGTCGGGCAGCGATGGTAGACCATGTTTGCTGGGTGATCGGCTCTGACGAGAGACAGACCGGGAGGAATGGTCCTGACCTGCCTGTATCCGCTGTAAGCGCTCGGCAGTAAGACGAGTTGGGGTCGCACATGGGCCGGCCTCCTTGCGTCCGCTTCTCGTCGGGGAGTTGCAGGGCAGCGAGTGACGCCTCTCATGCAGCAAGGCATTAATGCGAGGGTTACGTCGACGAGGTGTTGGGCTAACCGGCAAGTCGAAATCTATAGAGGGACTCTCGAACAGACCATCAAGGTCATCGTGGGCCTTGTTCTCTTGGCCGCGAACCGGTTTGTCTCCCTTCGAAGCGATTCGTGGGCTGCGTCGAGGAGAGCAGCTGTTCACAAATGAAGCATCCAACTCTTTCAATGGGCCATCAGCCTGTGAAGACTGGAATAATGCCCGCCGTACGGGCTTGGGAGTCAAATTGGTCTCATCCGCGGCGGTGATATTCCTAGTATTCATGTTCCTCGCAGGGCTGGATTGAATGGCACGCCGTAAGGCCTCGACAGCGTCCTGCTCCTGCCAGCGCTCCTTCGCATTGTCTGTCGATTTGGGAGGCTCGACGCTGTTTGCGCGACGACGCTTGCTGGGATATTCTTCTGCCTCATCCTGGTTTTGGTCATTATCCACTCGCGGAGTAGCCCCTTCCTCAGCATGCACAGAGGAGGCCTCGGTGGGAGCAGGAGAAGAGACTGCATTGAGTTTTGGCGCTTTGCTGCGAGTTCTGGTGGAGGGATTGGAAAGAGGACCACCGCTTTGTTTGCGGTTTCTTGGTAGCCGCTTCTTCTTACCGCTAGCACTATCCACCTGCGATTGCTTGTTCCACCGGTTCTCTGGGCGCATGCTTTTGAACTTATGGAGCCAAAGGCCGCATGGATTGCAGAGAAGGACCTGGGTCCATTCCTTGTCGTCGGTTACCGACAGGCCCTTTTTGAACATCTTGAACTTAGTGACTTCATTCTTGTCATTTTGCTCCAGAGTTTCCCAAAACAGCATGCTCTGGTCCTTCAGCATAGCCTTCGCGTCTTCTTCACCGCCAGTAATCATGTTTGCCCATGCCCGACGCCATGTAGGAGTCTCAATGGCACCGCAATTCTCGCAGTAGGGAGGAATCGTTCCAGACAAGATGGCCTGGTCAAGTTTGGCTTGCACTTGCTGTGACCGCTTTGCAGCACCCCCACTGCGAGGCCTCCGAGTATCAGACACTTGCGTCGGCGTTCGCGCGGTAAACATGTCACCCACGGGCCCACTCCAGGCTGGAGTGGGTACAACAGGGTCGCTGGCGGGGACAGTGCTCATATAATGGGCCGCTTCACTCTGTGAGATGGGTGCTGGCACCAGTGGCTTTGGTGTGGGACGTGTGCTAGCTCGCGAAGAAGGCCGAGATGTGGCAGGGGGAAGACGCTGGAAACCCCCTGGTGGTGGCTGCTCAGTGGGAGCGTCGCTGACTAGCATCGAGTCATTAGGGCCTTCCGACATCAGACCATTCATACTTGCTGGAGAGCTTGCTTGGACTGCAGAACGAACAGGTCGAGAGTGCTTGCTACGGGGCTCAACTTCAGATTCTGCTCTTTGGGGCCCGTCAATTGGGGTGGTAGCTGTCCCATCATCCATAAGGTCCTCAAAGCCTCCACTCATGAAGCCGGAGTCCGTGTCTAAGGATATAGGAGGCAAATTAGGGCTTGACCTAGCTGGGAATCGACATTCCATAACGGGAGGAGATGAAGGCATGGTGAAAGGAGGTTCAAAGAGACCCTGGTAGCGAGAGTCATCTGGAGAATGCGCGGTTTGGTCGGTATGTAACAAATCATCGCTGTTGCTATATGGCGATGTGTATGAAGCACTGCTCTGGACCGAAGACTGTCGCAGAAGACTGGACGGAAGGCGCGCACGACGCTGCATATCTCCAGGTCGAGAAATAGGAGTTGGTGGACGGACGGGTTCCTCGTTGGATTGCTCAGCAGCGATAGCAGGGTTGACAGGTGTCGGGCGGTGGATGCGGACCGAGGCTGCAGTGCTGGCTGCTACCCGCAGTGAGCTAGGTTGTCTTTCAATATTCATATCGGACTTCCCTGGCCAACTGGATTGGTACAGCTTGGCTCTCTTCCGTGGCTGATGGTCTGTTGATTCTTCACCTCCACTACCATATCCAGACTGGAAGGATCCTCGTCGAGGATTGTGAATTTGGGATTGGATCTCACTTCCCTGCATGGAAGCACTTGATGAAGGACGGATGATATCGCTATGGGAGAAGCTTTGTCTTGGTTGGGGTTGTTGTAGCAACGGCGGTTGCTGCTGTTGCTGGGTGCCAGGCCGAGTACCGCCGGGAGTCGACATCCTGCTGGGCGCACAGTAGGATTGGCTGGGCGACACGGAACGAATCGACTCATTTGTAGGGTAGCCAGAGAACTCTCGAGGAGTAGCGCCTTCACTGAGAAGCTGGTGCACTCGCTCAATCCCAGATTGATCCATAGGAGAAGAGACCCGGCTTTGTTGATGTTGTTGCTGGTTCCGAGTAGATTCAAGAAGAGCAGGATGTTGGCGTACGAAGTTCGTCCATGTTTGAGCATCAAAGTCGTGAGGGATGACATTGCTTAACTCTCGGTACTTCTGCATGCTGTCCAGGTATTCGCTTTGCATAACGGTTGGGACTGGCACGAGCCGAAGCTTGACCTCCAATGTCTCCTGGGCGCCCTTTGAGAAAAGTCCAAGCGGATTCTTACACACGCGACCAGTAACCATTGTTTGAGACTGGTGAGCGGGGGCATTCGGCGTTGGAGAGGCAGAGGCGAGGACCCATGATAGCATCCCTTGCCCAACCAATGGGGTTTCGTATTCCGAGTAGTCATAGGCGTAAACAGTGTAGTCTTTTCCCAATTGTGCTACCAACTCGGGACTATTAGGGGTTTCAAACGCAGTGTAAGTACTCAATGGTTGTTGTCACAATTGGGAAAGAGAATCAAACCTTGCAGAGACGATTGCCTGAATAGAAGTCTTGAGCTCAATCACACCGATCTGCGTACGCTCATCCAAGTAGGCAGTCTGTATATCAAGCACGTGAGGCCATCGAGCTAGACAGATGGTCTTGTTCTCGTTGTCGAAAGTATACAGAACCTTCACTGTTGCATTGCTTAGTTTAGTCACCATTCAAAAATATCCTTGAAGACATGGGGGGGGGGCATACGCCTCATGGGGCGGACGGTGATTCCGTCCTGAGATTCCATCTCATTAAATTCGGGTGGTACACCATGCACGAGAGTAGACCCAAACAATTTCGAGAATTAGAGAAAATTAAAATGGGACGAGGTGGAGGTGGATATTAGGCGTATAAGAGGCAGATTTCGCAAGTTTCGCAGATCGGAGGGTGGGTGAGAGCTGAGAGCGGGTATCGAATTCGACAGGACGAAGCAACAGTGCCGACCTGGTCAATGCATTTGTGGTTGTACCCGAAAGGGAAAACTAGGGTAGCAGCGGAAACGATCGATCGGCCAAGAATATCTAGGAAAAATCTCGTCGACCGGGAGAATAGATAGTTTCGGCGGCAGGTGGTGGAGCAATCTCTGCAGGACTGGAATGTTAGCCTGTGAAGGGCAGTGAAGAATCCACGGCAGGATGCATTCAATAGACCGCTTCTTACCAAGGGTTGACAAAAAAGACGGAAGGAAAGCAAAAGAGGAAAGGAGCCGCCTGCACCTGCAGAAGGAAGGGGGGGAAGAAAGTTGGGAGGTGGAGGAGGCGGAAGGAAAGTAGAAATAGAAGCCTTGCATGCGCGTGGGTTGAAGCTATCCGACGATCAACAAGCGTGTACGCGACGTGACGCAGCCAATCGCGCAAAGCTCAATTCAGCCCTGAAAATTCAGGCACAAAATCTATGTCATGTGACTCGCCGAACCTGAAGCCCGCGCGATCTTCGCAATCCGACGAGACCATCCAGGCCCTTTTATATTCCTCATCCAACACACCATGTCGACAGCTCCAGACCCAAAGATTCAGTATGTTATCTCGTTAATGACTCATCGCAACCCTGGTTTTCCCGCTGACCTAATGCCTTTAGAGATTTGCTGAACAAGCCGAAGAGCGAACTCACGTATGTCTTCCACCCCCAACCCCCTCTCCCAATTCAAATATCTCTCGCTCAAATCCTTTGGGCGGTTCACGGATGGCTGTCTCTTCTACACCTCTCACTTTTTTTCCGGCTTCTGCCTAATCGAAGTGCGGGGTCAAGCTCCGACCGAGCACTCTTTCTCTCTTTTCCCTTCACATTTCCTATGCATGCAGGCAAATGTGTACTTAAAAACTAATCTTGCATCGTGCATTCACCAGGGAATATGAGGTCGCTCTTGTCGAGGAGCATGAGCTCACCGCCGGCCCCCTTTCGCTCCTCCAGACCGCCACCCGCACCCATACCCAAGTTCTGATCTCCTGCCGGAACAACCGCAAGCTGCTGGCCCGTGTCAAGGCCTTTGACCGACACTGCAACATGGTTCTAGAGAACGTTAAGGAGATGTGGACCGAGAAGCCCAAGGGTAGCAAGAGCAAGGGTGTGAACAAGGATCGCTTTATCAGCAAGATGTAAGTCTCGGCCTTCTTACAATGCGATCTCCTTAGATACTCGAGCTCTCTGCTTGCTGGACTGGCTCCTCTACCGTCTCTCATACGAGCGGGAGTCGGATGTCGGCCTTTTATCTCCATTCATTGACTAACCTTATTGCTCTTGTACTAGGTTCCTCCGCGGCGACTCTGTCATCCTCGTCCTGCTCAGCTGAGCGCCTTTTTACATCGCCCTATCTTGCGCAAGCCCTTCCCGCCCAGGTTGCATCCCGGTGTAATGGATCTGGATCTGCGGGATGGTTAATGGTTAATCTTCCCGTGTGCTTGTGTCGCAAGTCACCCCACCATCAAGCCACCGTGGGAAAAAAAGATTCGTCATGTAATCGATCTCGATACCCCTTCTTTCCTTCCCCTCTATCTCTCTCTTCCTTTTGCTCATCCTACAAAAAATCCGTCTCGCCCTTGCTTCTCGTCACTGCTAGGGCTGCCGAGATCACCGCCTTGTCCCCATGCTTGCGAGGTAACGTTCTTCTGCAACGGTGTTCCCGGGGAGGTCTGATCACCTTGGTTCTTGTTCTTGTTCCCTCGCAACAGTCTGAATGGATGAAAAATGAAGCTATTTCCGGCGTTCAGTGTGTTTGGATTGTGTCCACGCTCTTAGAGAGGGGAGCGCCGGCGGCGTCATAAACTCTGTTGTAGCAGAGACTCATTAATGATGGATTTTTGAAAAAGTAAAAAACAAAATCTTCCTCAATGCCCTTATTGTAGTAAATTGTATTTGCCTGAGTGGAGATATCCTTTTTGTAATTGACTATCATCACCAGCTGCCATCGACTACTTCTAGTACCCAGTCAATAAATACCCAGACTGATACATATCTTGTACTGAATTTGTCTGATCTGTCTGCTTTTCGCTCGAGTAAACCCACTGAATACCTCTCAAAAAGCCTCCAATCAGGGTTGCATGATTTGAAGCCTAAGTTGAAACTTCTTCCATGCCCTCTTCACGTGCACCCTTACAATGACCTGTCGCCCTTACTTGCCGCCCTGTCAGATGATGCTCTGCCAATTGGCGGGGTTGATCCAACCCCAGAATGATTACATAGACAATTGGGTCTCGTGTATTCTATCAACATAGAATGAGAGCATCGGAGGAATTGTCCTTTTTTATTCACGATGTGATGATTATCCTTTTATCTTTCCTAAATACAACCTACGAAAGATATACCTCACCGGAAATAAGACAACCCGCAATTTTATTATCATCATCATCATGAAATCATATTAGAACAAGGGAAATAAAAAAGCCCACGACCCGGACAGACAAAACCGGAAAGCCCTAGCACAGGGCGGCATCAAATAATATAACGCTGTTTATACGCAGACACACACACATGTCCGCAATCACTCACTCATATCATACGAGGCTCGCGGGAGCCCAGCCCAGCCAACGCCTCAAACCGCCTCCGCCAGTCCAGTCAAGAACTCGCTCAGTCCGAACGCTCCCGGATCCGGCACCTTGCCAATCCACTCACTCTCGCTGCCGACATACACGGAGCGGCCGAGACTGGCCTTCATCGCCTTGGTCGAATCGGTGCCCTGCTGTGCGGCGGCTGCGGCCACCCGCACGTTGCGTGTTTCAGCCAGGGTATTCGCGAAGGGGACCAGAGCATCGATCAGCGTGCGGTCGCCGGGCTTCGCAGGTGTGTACTTGGCCAGCGCGGTGACGGAGTGCTGCAGGGCGGTGGCCCAGACTTCTGTCGTGGCGGGGGCGGGCGAGCCGGTATCTTGGGCGCGGAGCCCGTGGGCCAGCGCATTCAGGAAGATCGCGTAGATAGCGCCGGATGTGCCGTCCATCACGTTCTCGACGACGGTCACGATGCGGTTCACCGTGTTCACGACATCGTCTGAGAGTGGGGGCGAGGCGCTGTCGAGGAGGACCTGGATCGCTTCGGCACCTCGCTTGAGTCCGATGCCACAGTCGCCGTCGCCAACGATGGTGTCGAACCGGGTGACCTCGGGCTCAGCGCGGATGACGCGCTGGAGGCCGGCGCTGAGGACTTTCTTAACCACGGCGGGGTCGACTAGGTGAGATGTGTTAGTTATTGGGTAGGTTTTGGGCAGGCAGGCAGGGCGTTTTTTACTTACGCTTCAGGTTACTGGGGATCTCCTCGGCCAGATTAGAGGTCTTGAGCTCCACCGGCGCGTCGACGCGGTTCTCCCAGGTGGAGGTGGGGATGGGGGCGGACCAGCCCACCGCTTCGGCGGGGGCATCGATAAGCTCGACCATTGATTTTCCTGCGCCCAGACCGGTATCCGCCAGCTTTAGCAGGGAGATGCTGAAGCCCATGCCATTCAAACTGGTCAAAAAGGTGCCCTGGATGACGCGGATTGGCTTGACTTGGTAGTCACGGACGAGCTGGCGGTACACCTCATCCGTGATACCGGCCAGCTCGAGCGGGCTGACACCGCCCAGGTTGTTGATCAGAAGGACGAAGTTGTCCTCAGGGGTGCGGGTGACGTAGGTGCGGTCCGGGTCGTTGTGGTCGAGCATCTGGAGGAGCATAGTCGAGACCACCTGGACCAGGTCGGCCTTGGCGCGGTGGGAGCCCGGCTCGTTGTGAATGCCCATGCCAATTTCGACCTGGCCGTGCGGGATGGAGTCCTCAGGGTCGCCACGGCCGGGAACGTGGACGTGCTCCAGCGAGGATCCGATGGAGACCAGATTAGCGTTGGCCTGTTGGGCCAGACCGTACACTTCTTCCAGAGAGCCGCTGGACAATAGCACCGTTAGCATTCATACGTCATTCTCCTCTACCTCTTGTCTCTCCTGGGTATGCAGGGCTAAGTTGAGAGCGAAGGTGGATTATACTTACCCAGCTTCAGCCAATGCACCAACCATCTTCAAAATCAGCACACCACCACCGATTCCCCGACGGCCAACCTTGCCGCCCTTCTCCCGGCCGACGCCGACGTCGTCATTGATGGCAAAGAACTCTGTGCGAATACCCGCGGCGCGGGACTTTTCCGTCGCCATACCGAAGTTCAGCACATCGCCGGTATAGTTCATGGGGATAATGAGGACGCCGTTGTCGGTAGGAACGCGATCGATCGCGGCTCTCCGGATCTGCTCGGCCGAGGGCGAGGCGAAGATAGTGCCTGCGACGGAGGCATCGCAGAGTCCGTGGCCAACGTAGCCAGCGAAGGCAGGCTCATGGCCCGAACCGCCGCCGGTGACGATGGATACCTTGTTGGGCTTGCGGGGCGCATCGGGGCGGCGGAAGACGATCTTGTTCTGAGCATCTAATGCAAGGGACGGGTTGGTAAGGGTAAGGGAGTGGAGCGCCGTGATAACCAGATGGTTCGGGTCGGAAAAGAAGTGTTTAGCTATCGATGCGGTCAGCACCCGCGGAAAACTGCAGCTGAGAAATCGAGGCATCCAGTCATCAAGCCATCGAGCAGAGGATGCTAGATGGCTGCGTTGGAGATCGAAGTGGGGAAGAGAACCGGGGTGTGGGACTGCGGCGGGAGGTCTCGCTCCCTCATTGTTCGGGTGGAGAAGCAACTTACTCTGCATTGTTGATCAAAAGTGGACTGTGAGAACCAAACAAAAATACACGACAGACGAGCTCGACCGATGAACTCGAACTTGGGGTTTCTCGTTCGAGCGCGAACCGCTAAGTAACGAAATGGGATCGAGAAGTGGAGTCCTCCAGCTGCTGGTCGCGGGGGTCTTTATATAACTTCAGTGTCGCACGGGTCCGCGGCCAAGTATGCGCGATCCAATCGCCAATCGGCCGAGGTGCTTGTAACAAGGCCGGATGCCTTCGAAGCGACTGAAACCTGGCAGGGAGAGAGCGGGTCCTAGGAATGGACTTGGGCGTGTCGCGCGGGGAAAAAGTGGGGGGGGAGTTGGAAGGCGAATTGCTGGGATTGTTAGCTGGGGGCTGATCCCAGAGATGTTGTTGGCAGGGATTTGAGAGGAAGACTGAGTAGATTGGACGCTGGAGGTCGAGAAGGTCGGAGGGTGTGGCAGGAGGGGAAATACCTATTAAAACGAAGCCGTGTGGGGAGAGCTCGGTATATAGTTCAGGGCGTTCGGAAGAGCTCAAAGCGGATGAATATGGGGTTTCGAGAACGTTAGGTATACACAAGACGAAGAGAAGGAGAGGAAGAGAAGAAGAACGATCTTATCCTCGCGAGGACCATTCCTCTTCTTTTATGTCCCAACGTGACTGTCTCTTCCTCTTGGTCTCCCAACTTTTTCCTTGTGCATCTTTTTTCTGCTCACATGAACGTTGGCCAGGCGCTACGGCTTACCCTCTGCGGCAATCCCGCCTAACCGCCAGGCACCACATTCCCCCAACAGCTTATCGTCCGAGTGCTCACCGCCAGGGGTCAAACCCGAATGCGTCGCCTCGACGATTAGCTCGACTCAATGATTCTCTTCTGGCTCTGCTTCTCGCCCGAGTCTATGGCTTTCCGTGGTTTCCGTCGATTCCCACCCCCTTTCCCCCCCTTGACTATAGGCTCAAATCAGCAGGTTAGCCGGCACGCACCGACCACCTACTTTATTCATTGCTTTTCTCCGTCCCGCAGAAAGCTACGTATATATCATGTACCGAGTATGAAATACGTGGCTATGCAGACTTGGCCCAAGCAATTGCCTTGTATCCACTATCCAGAGGGATAGGACTGTAGGACTGCCGTATACTGCTAGGCTTCGCATGTCTCCCTGCTCTGAATCCTTGTAACACCTCATGGTCTTGATACATTGAATATTGAGAACAAGAGTACAGAGATACATAATATACATAATGAGGAATAGTTCAGGCCAGCCTCATCAATTGGCCTGAATTTCGTTCCAGCTTTCGTTCTTTATTTTCTTTTTCTTTCCCTCTCGTTGTCAGCCTTAAATGTCTATACTTGCCGTATACGTCGAATCCTGGAACGGCCACGAAGAAAAGGGCAGGGGAGAACGCAATACCTGGTAGTTGCATTGAGTGGAGGCATCATGGGACCAGAAAAAAAAAGACGTGCTCCAGCGGCGATCGGGGGGCCACAACGAGTCCCGCGCTGTCAGATCGCGTGGGGTTGAGGATCCAGGCGGGTCGCTGGGGCCGGGGCTCATTTGGGGGACCTTTGCCACGGTCATGGATCAGGCATTCGGTGGTAGCCATAATGAGACAGTCCAGACAGTCCAGGCAGTCCTCTATTCCTCTATTTCTATTTCTAGATTCATCTATTCCCATATTTCTAGACCTTCATCATCCACTATCTCTGATGATCCACACTATAGCGAGCCTGGAGAGTCGGTGGTACGAGGGATCATGTGCCCGGTTCCACCTCCCCTTACGCTGCTTCTGGGGCTCTCGTTCTCGGTGGGCCTCGTCCAGTAGTTCCTCCTCCCCGAACAGAGGCCCAGACCCGGTTGAATCCAGTCCAGCAATTAGAAAAATTCGTGTGAAACCCTACGAAGTATGCTTGTTTTCAACCACCTAGAATATTGTAAGGCCTATAACTACCGGGATTTATGCCAATAGCCCCGCCGAGCTGAGAAAACCTTTTTTTTTTCTTTTTTTTCTGAAAAAAATACGAAGTACATACTACTGGCATCCAAGCTACTCGGGGTCTAGGCCGGACTAAGCCCCCCGGTCGGCAAGGCCCGAGCTGCCTCACGAAGGAACGAGGAACAAACTCGGCATCGGTCGGTGGACCCGGAGCTACTCCGAGCGCCTCGCAAAGACCACTTGTAAAGGATTTCATGGTATTCGGTTGGACACCCACGACAGAGAAAGAATAAACAAACGTATATTGATGATCCATCTGGCATAGATATGGGAGGAACCACGAAGAGAAACAAAACACAGAGACCCATGCGAGTACTCAGTCCGGCAAAGGAAACCCTTCTGCAGGCCCCCGAAGACTCCACGTTGCTCGTCCGCCGGCGCCACCAACCCCAAAAAAGACTGAATGAACAAGCCACGCGCACTTCCGGTTGCCGGTCCCAAAACAGTAATCCCACGCACTTTCCAAGCGCAATAGCACGTTCGCGAAAAAACGCAGGCCTGACCCCTACAACGATTCTGCTATGCCACATAGTTGTACTGGTTGCCCTCGGCTCGCTCCATATAGTCTTTCTCAATTAATCTGGACGGGACAAGAAAAAAAGGAAGGGGGGCTTGTTAGCTCATCAAGTCTTCGAACACCCATGTTGAGAGGAGAGCAGGAGCAGGATACGTACTTCTCGATATTAGTCTTGATCTCCGCTGGTTGCAGCGTGCCGCGGTGTCGGGTTGCCTCGATCACCTCGGCGATCAGCTCAGCGTGCTTGATCGTCTTCCGGCTCTTCATGATGCGCACGATCGCGGCCTGGGTCTCGTAGTGCCGGTCGGCCGCGACTCGCTCATGAGTTGTCTTGTTCTCTTCTTTGGTTTCCTTTAATTGGATCTGGTTGATCTTGATGCGCATCTTGGCATCTGTAAATCCCGTGTTGTACGAGAAGACGTCGGTCGTTTCCACTTCCTTACCCTTCGGCTTTTTGGTGAGAACGCGATACTTGGCACAGGCAAGCGACTGCAGAGTTCGCTTGAGTTCAGGATCCGCTGAGACAGAATTAATGGTTAGTACAATGAAGCCAATCTCGGACGATCTCCCTCCCTTTCCGCCTTTCCCACCTTTCCCGCCACCTAAAGGGTTTATGATTGACTTACATAGTCCCGTCGCGGCCTGAATCTGCGAATAGCTCCAGCTCTCATCGTCGGCAATGTCGTTGAACATGAGGAGCACAATGGCCTGGAAGGAACTGACCACCAGTTCCCGGGAACCCTTGGGGAACCGGGCCCGTAGCTGGCAATGCGCCAATTGATGCTTCCAGTTCAGCCGGCGACCGGTATGCTTGTTTTTGTAGAAGGCTTCAAAGTCGCTGATGGAGGCTGCAATACTGGGCGGAATCCGCACCGGAACATCCGCATACGTGGGCCATGCCGCGGCGGAAAGCACGCTGACATTGAGATCGACTGGTGGGCGTTCCTTGCGATTGCGATCCCGGTTCAGCGAAGAATATGCCGCCATTTCGTCCCGCGCCACGTCCATATCCTTGAACATTGACTCCAGATTATGCGTAAAGCTAGATCCACATTCTATCGAGGGTAATTCAGTCAGACAAAGGAAAGTCAAAAGGCTTCACTTGGGAACGGCAACAAATACCTTTTTTCAAACGAATGAGCATGCTCTTTTCCGCATCATCGCTGGCGCTCCGCCCCATAAGCAGACGCCGAGCAAGGTCATTCTTATAAAATGCCTCAAAGACCGCCTTTCCTTCCACGAACCGAAACAGGTCCAGCACTTGGTCGAGCTGTCGATCGATCTCAGCATCTTCATCAGCCATCGCCGCGTCCTGTGCTCCGGCAGGCATCTTCCAACCACCCTTGAGCAGCCGATCGACGTACTTGGCGATCATCTCGCCGGCCTTGGCATTGTCAGTGCCTCCAGTAGATTCTCCCTTCTTGGTCATGTTCATGAATTGGCCGAACGCCTCACGAAGTGTGAGAGTCAAGGTTTCACTCCGACCAAATGATTCAGACAAAATATCATCGAGCTGTTCCTTAAATTGGAGGAGGCGGACGACCATCTCTGCTTCATTGGCTTCATCAAACACGATACTTGAGCCTTCTTGCACGATAAAGAGGCCAAATGTAGACTTCAGTCTGGTGGTGAGATTTTGTCGATCGAGAAGCCCGTAAAGTTTCCTTAATGCAACCTTGTTACCGGACCGCAACAAACCGAGGACCTCGCTCTGATTGAGAAGAACCGATTCGTGCTGAGAGACCAGTATATCATCTAGAAGCTCTGACAACTTCTGTTTTGTGCTCCGACTCAGAGAAAACAAGCCACATCGCTCAACTTCTCGTTCGATCAGGCGTTGGCTGTTCTCAACATACGATGCCAGGTATCCTCCGGATTCTCGTTGGGCCCACGAGTGGACAAAGCTTTGTGTATCGGCGATAAGTAACGGTTCAAAGTCGCTGTTATAGACGTCGAGGTTGTGAAAGAGATCTATGGCATCCCGAAGTAGAGTTGGATCCATGATGATGCTGGTCTCCGCACCCCGATCCGCTGCGATGAGATCGCAGGCCCCTCGCATGATCTTGGGTCTGAGACTTTGGTCGGCGAAGACATAGGTTCGGAACTGCGTCAATCCCATCTCCTGGATCACTGGGAAATCCTTTGAGTGCAGAAGGAACGACTGATCTAGGTAGTAGAAAATCCAGCGAACCGTGATCTATTTCCTTGTTAGCTCCTCCGGCTCAATAACTCTCTTTGCTGTGTCGGTTACGTACTAGTCGTGAGTGCCACACCGACCATGCCTCGATCACTGCCCGCAATGTATCGACATCGGTACCACCTCCAGCCCTCGTCACCAAGTTATCCCGTAGTTTTCCTGCCACATAGTCTTTGCACCTCTCCTGTACTCGCTTGGCCAGCAACGATGCCCGCTCCTGGCGACAGATATTCTCGGCACCCTTGTATAATTCCTCGAGGGAGCTGTTTGGTTTGCGCCCATCAAAAATAGCGCTCAACGCAGCATCTAGCTGCGCCCAGGTCTTGTCGAAGTATGGCTCGTGGTTCGCTCGAGGTCCGGTACGAAGGTTCTTAACAACTAGCTTCTTGGCCCCGGCATGCGGACTGAAATTATTCTGACGAGCACTCGGATTTACAGCTTGCGGTTTAATAAAGGGAGCTTTTGTCGCTGCACCGGGCATATTCCGGACGAAGGCGGCGCCGTTTTTGGGTGGGGAGCCTGAGAAGTTATACATCTTGGTAGGCGAAACCGGGTGGGCGGAGGCCGAGCGCGAGGGAGAGGCGGAGAAGCGAGACCGCTTCGAGGAGGGTGAAAGATTCTGTGGCAGGTTATCGTGAGAGGTGTTTGATGACAGGAGCTCAGAGATGGTCCTCTGTGATTGTGGCTGTTGTGGCTCTCCTTGATCAGAAAGCTTCCTCTTCCCGATCGATTTGCGCTTGCCGCTCCTCTGCTCGGGGTCGGCGCTCGAGTTCTGCTGCATCTACCCGGTTCAGTCCGACGATCGGGGAAAGGAACGTTTAGCAAGGGAGGATTCGCGATGATAGATCTGACATGTCTGTCCCAGGGCGGTCTGGGCGGAGGAAAGCGGGTGCCGTAAGTGTCGGGCGTTGAGGGGAATTGACGTTGCTCCCTGCGAAGTTGACCTCCGCACGGCGATAAGATACCGCAGCTCCGGGGGAGGGGGCAATGCGTGTCTGCTTCACGATCGAAGGGCTTTTTGTGATAGTTCTTTTCCTGGATCGTTCTGACGGAGGCTTTTATCATCTACAGATGACCGATCGTTCTTGAATTATCCCGGCCTTGACCCAATTCATAGCTTGTAATTATGGACTCTATGCTAAGCGTCAATACAGTATATTTGGCCAGAGCATTGGGTCTACGAAAGAGGCAGATTCTTTGAAAAATTTACGTTCAACTCAATCATATAGAACTAAGTGATTTAGAATCAAATGTGAAAATGCATTCGTACAATGGGGCTCTGAAAATCGCTCAACCTCGGGAAAATAGCCGACTCCGCTCCAGCATATATTACACGTCATTCCTCCCGAATCCTGCCATGCATTATGTTGACCTGTAACACGCCCGATGTCCCCATTCAAAAATCCAAGGTCATGAGAAGAGAGCTGGTCGAGTGTTTTGCTGTATTTCTTGATCCTCAAACTAGAAAGTCTAGGTTAGCCACGTACGGTCTCATTCGTAGAGCACGAGAAAAACAAACCTCTAGGAAATTGGTGGCCGTGATCAGTGCCATGAATGATTTAACCAACTCGCACAGAGCTTCGTGATGGTCTGGTGATGGGCCTCCGCCAATCTTAGCAAACCGCTTGAAAACGCCCACCATGCAGGGCCGATTTTCGGCAATAAAGGCTCTGGTTTGTGCTTTGATTTGTTCGTTATGAATTCCTCGAGAGAACACAGCTGAAACAATGACACGAATAACGGATAAAAGGAGGTCATAGTACTTCCGCAGGGCATCGGGTTTGTCAATGTCTGGGAATATTAGCGCAAAGCCTACCTAAGTAACAGGAAAAAGGATACACACCAATGCCAATGTCGGGATCGGCGGCAAACAGTCGTGACTCTCGAACGGACTCGAAAAGACCGGCCTTGAGAACAAAAGTGGCACCAGTCTTGGTCTGCGAAAGCTGCTGGAGGAGAGCCAGCAATGACTCATAGTATTCTAGTAGAATAGATGTATCTGGATGATTGATGTGAGTACGCGGTGATCGCAATGATCGTTTTAGAATGGACTTACCAGCTGTTTCGGCATTCCGTAGCTCCACAGGCAGTGATCGGACTGCATCTAAGAAGAGACTGAGATAGTTGGACTGTGAAACCATCTCGGCTAGGACACAGTCTGTTTGACTATCCAGAACGGCTAGACAATTCAACACCAGAAGAGCCGAGGCACGAGATGCCTCCTGGCCAGAATAAGCATCATCGCAAATGATCTCTACCAGACCAGGACCAGCGGCTCGAACCACTTGTTGACTATGACGTTTCAGGCTGTCGTGAGTTAAATCTGAGGAGGAAGTGATACGGGTGATGTACTGAGAGCAGATGCCATAGAGAACTTCTCGCAGAGCGACATTTCCAGAGGCCAACAAAATTCCCCGAGTAGAAACCTGGAAAAGTTGATGAAGCTTCTCATCAATGATATCGCCGCTTCGTGAAGCAGGACTAGAAGAAATATCTGATGCAAGTTTGCCAATCAACGTTTCAGCCAATCGTGCAAATTCAATAGCCTCTGGCGAGTCACCCTCAATTGCAATTTCAATTTTCGGAAGGATCATTTGAATAGCATGTAATATGAAAGTTGGTCTGGTAGCATCGTCAAGAACAGAGCAAGTGATTATCGTAGTAATCAACTCTGCCCATGAGCGAAGTGCAAGGTAGCGATTATATTGAATTTGGCGGCTTTGGTTCGTTGCGAGAATGAAAAGTTTCAAACTTTCTGCTTCGGTTTGGAATTGCTCTTCATCCTGAGGGCGGGGCGTCGCGGCCATTAACTTCGACTTTTGAATTTGGATCAATTCTTCGATTTCAGCGACATTATAAAGAACCAATGAGTCGTCCTCTTGCTTGGCACAAACATCAACAGCGATTTGTCTCAGCAGGGCCAGCTGAGGTACGTTGAACTCGCGCGCAACATCCAAGTCAGCAAAGTCAAAGAGGTCGAACACGGACGCGTGGGAAATGGATTCGCCATTGTCCAAGGTAGAGCTCCCAAGTAAAGTAGATAAAATTCCGGTCTGTAGGGTTGGTGACCCAACCTTGGCTGCGGAACGGATTTCTGTGGCAGCATAGGCGAATAGATGACTTCGGAAGAGCAGGAACTCAGCCAGGGCCGAAGTGGCATTGGTGAGCCAGAATTCGTCTGCCACGACTGGGTAGCCATTCCAAAGGGTATTGGGTCCGACGATGGGTTGGCCTGCGAACATGCTCATCAGGAATCCCTGAGCTCGCATCTCGCCGAGAGTGAAGTATGTTGCAAGCTTTGACGACCAGAGGTGCTTGAGAACTTCGAAAGACATCCGCTTAAGATGCACTGTCCATGATGTGATACTTCCTTCTAATTCTTCGGGATAAGTCTGCAGAAAACCAATAATGGCGTGCATCAAAGACATCTGATTGGCGAGCAAACCCCCTGAAGGTACATCCAGGATATTGCCCACGCAGCTAAAGCCGAGTAGAAGATGAGCCACAGTAGGACGGTCTGTAATCATTCCCAGGCAGCTGTTTAAGAGAGCCAGAAGGCTTTCCCGAATGACGTAGCCTGCCGCTTGAGAGCCATATTCCAGTTCTCTTGGGTCAGGATCCATTTGAGATACCAGTGAGCGGGCGACACTATCAACATCCACCTCACTGGCAAGAACCTCTACGATCTTGTTTGAGGATTGCCACTTTGTGAGTTCAGGAGAGGACATCTTATTAAGCTTGCGGGAACTTGTGAGTTTTTCCAACAACGTCATAGAAGTGACGGTCAGTTGTTCGTGGCCAGTGCCACAATAGAGGCAGAGTGCAGGTATCAAACTAAGATTGTTGAGCACGCTATCCTCAAATGAGGCAAGAGACGAGTTCGCCACATAGCTTCGATTTCCTGAGGCTTGAGATTTGATCAAGGGCCTGACGATGTTGAAATAAGTCGACTGAAGATCCATGATCAAATTCATAACTTCAACACTGCGTAGCAAAGTCAATACCAATACCGAATCAGAGGATGCCTGAGCCACTTCCGAGATATCCTGTTGGCTAGCTGCAAACAAAGCCTTCAAGACATCTTCATTGAACAGCCATTCCATTACACGTGCGAATGAATGAAGTCGAACGTAGGCGACAAGTGTGGACGCTGTGGCAGCGGAATCAGATGAGAGTGTTGGCTGGCTAAGAACTGTGACGAGATCTTCTTTGAAGGTTCGCAAACTCGTCACAACAAATTCCAAACAATTGTAAGTTAGGAAACGAGACTGTGATTCATTGAGATCCTGGATCTTGCGAGACAAAGCATGCCCAAGAATGAAGTCGACATAAGGTTCAATTCCAGGCATTCGATATGAGGATCCCAAAGACTCCGGAAACGCAAGTGACAAGGGGTTATCACCCATTTCACACACGGGTGTGGTAAGTGCGTTCATCAAGACAACGAATGCATTAGTTTGGTCAAAACTTTCGCCAATCTTCTGCAAGGACTGTTGTTCATGCCACACAGAACGAGTCGTTGTTGGACCGGCTGGAACTTTGCCGGAAGCAACCATCGAACCACCAGACAACCAGTGATCTACTTCAAGCCACATTTCATTACCGTAGGCAGAAGTCCTGTCTGTCATCAATGCTGAGAGGGTAGTGAAGGTAGTTGCTCTAAGGTGACTTGGAATTGGACCGCTGCACAGCTTCAAAAGGGTCTCAATCACCTTGAATGATTCGTTTTGCAGCATCCACTCTCGGATGGACCCACTCTGTTTGCATAAATGTCCCATGAGCCGGAGGTAGCAGGTGAGCATGACAGGGCTCTCTGGCTCGCTCATGTCCACATGATCAGGCTTTCGACCACGCATAACGCCTTGCGAAGTGTTTTGGTTGCCGGAAGGCTTTTCAGTAACCCGGGTTGAATAGAGATGTAATTCTGCGAACATCTGCGTCCAGTTCATGGTGGTTGATCGCTTCAACTTGGAAGACATGAATTTTTCTTCTTCTGTCAGGAACCTGTGGGCAGCAGCAGCGTTTTCCTCGCCCTCAGAGATGGAGCAAATCATTTCACAGAAGGCGCTCACTCTAGGAACGGTCTGTCGTTTGGATGCCCACTGGAGAAAACCGTAAAGATTGCCCTCAACATCGCCCCAGAATTCCTGTGCGGCATCCTGTCGGTGCTCAAATGCAAATGATATCACCATTAGAAGAGACTCAAGATGTGTGCGTGCCTCGACCAGACCGCGATGGACGCTTGAAGTTAGTCCGTCTCGCAATGCAGTAATCTGCTCCAGTCGTTGCGTATCTTCTTCTGACTTAAGCATACGAACTGCATCTGGCATGTTTGCAATGCAGGATTCAACAAAAACCTCGAAATTTTCCATCAAAAGCTCCTTCATGTAGCTGGAACAAGTGACGGAGTCTGGCAATGTTATGGAGCTTTCCCTCAGGAGTAAATTCACGAGCTCAGTCCGCGCGGGATCGGCCCATTCTTCACTGTTGACACTGGAACATACCGCGAGCATAAAATCGAGGGCACCGTCATCAAGAGCAGCCATGAATAATTTGGTGCGCTCTTCCGCTTCTTTTTCAGGATCAACCCCGGGGGTTTGCTCGGACGCGCCATCATCGAAATACCATCCACTGTATATTGCTAGCCACAGAGCATTGATAGCAGCATGGAAGCCTGGCAACTTCCACAAGTTACCATCTTTGGCCGTGGTGACGATTCCATGTAGCTCTCGGGCTTCTTTGGGTGATACGCCCGCACCCTCTGGGGATCCATGTTGTACGAACGCCGCAATGGTGACGGGAATGTAATGAATCAGGAGCCCATCAAAACGATCAAGCCTCTTAAGTTGACCGATGAGGACTCGGAAATCCTCGGAGGCTGTAAATGTACCCTTGAAAAGATAGAACAGGATGGCACCAAGAGACTCATGCTGCTGCTGGAGGCTTTGCCGCTGGTATTCAATCGCTTCCATGATGTCTCGATCGTTTTCCTGGCCAACAATTGAAGCCTTTTGGACTTGATCGCTGAGAAGTGATAGCCATTTTTCAATTTCATCCATGGATTTCAAGCCTTTCCTTGCAAATAATGATGCGTTCTGGAGAGAGGAGTTTTTGATCTCTAGGATGTGGGCTAGAGTTTCTTGCATGATAGGCTGAGTTGCTTCTCGCTCCGAGTCCAAGGATTCGCGGCAAATGAGGCGTAGACACTCGAGGAGGAAATGGCGGCGCTCGTGGAACCGCATGATCGCAGTGATCAAGGGAGGTCGGTCCAATACATGTGAGTCTTCCTGAGCAGCCAGGAATAATACGGCTGCCTCAAGCTCGTCGATGTTCAAAGCATCGGCGAGCTGGAGTGTGCCTTGTTGGAAGTCCTGATTGATCGAGTATTCGACATCTGCAACTTTAATTTTCCCTGTTTTATGGCAATTTCTCGTAAGTAAGGTCTATAGCGAAGGAAGCGCAGGGGAATGACAGCAGCCACATACCCGAGAGAACGGACTCGCGACTTGTAGTGTTCTTCGCGGGTTTGTCCAGGAGTTTTCGGAAGTCATGAATATGCGTATTCAATTCAATGCACAGTCTCTCGACATTCGAAAAGGATGTGTCGGTAATAGCAGAAAGATCCTGATACAAGCCCCGAAGGCTTGCCAGGTTGTCGAGAAGCTCTGCCATGGCGGCGCGGGGTGGAGGAGGTTGGAAGGGCAGCTTTGAGCTCTGTTTGTTCCAGAAAGGCGGAACGCGATCAAAATTCCGGGCGGTCATCATCTTGGCAATTACTGCCGCTCCACAACACCGCAACAACGGATAACACACAACACGGCCAGTCTGCAATTTTCTGGAAACCGCAGAATGGCCAACTGAAGCAAAATAAAAAGTTCCAGGAGGAGGAAAGAAAGTGGTAGTCAATGTTGAACTGCGCCCATACTACAACCGAGCGGAACGATGGGGGAGGTCTTTCTAGACAAAGCCCTCGGGCTGCTGTCATCAGACCGGCAGAAAGACCGCGCTGATGGCATAGCAGGTTTGTCGCGCAGATTTTACTGATACTGAGCTTTCTCTGATGGATTGGTAGATCTCAAACATATTCTGCAACAAAACAGACAAAGCTCCAAGCTGTAAGCATTGGCCAGAGCCTGAAATGCGTCTCCTCACCAACTAACATGAGACCACACTCTTAGATTAGAACTGAGCGACAAAGCCTGCCATAGGATATTTGAGTCTATATTTCGATATATCGCTGTAGAGCGATCTATCTATAGCAAAGCCCAACGGCCGAATACCAAGAGCCCCTCATCCACCCGCTTGTCAACATGTGCCTCCGTCTTTCGTACCGCCGTGGACATTTTTTCACGGAACTTGAGACCCAAGACTGTCCGTGCGATAATTTGTCATATCAAGGAAACCATAACAATACCTGGAGAGGGCCTGTGGGAGCTCCTTAGTGTGGATTATATCAAATCTTTGACGTCTCTCCTCCGCTACCCGCCCCACGCCGAGCACCTAGGTGATGCAGATTGGGAAAGTCTAGTCGATTTCTGTCTCACAGCGATTAATGGCAACGATAATGAGGAGAGTGAACTCGGAATCCGCAGCAGATACCAGCCTGCCTTTGAAGATTCGCGGGATAATAGTGACGGCCGCTCAACCCCTTCACGAATGACCCCTTCACGGACAACGCCCACCCCAATCACTAGAGAAAGATACCTGGGCGATATGAATGCCATTGGAGAAGTTGTAGTATGTATTCAGCTTCTGATGACTTGCTGTCCCAGTGCGCCTGTTCAGGTTGCCGCAGAGGCCATTCTGCATGGACTTGTGGAGTTTGTTAAGTCATCCTCAACGATGGCTGGAAATTCACATCAACTGGCATTCAGTAGCATCAATACAGTTGTTTTCAAAGTGTTGTTTGATCAATCCGGGTTGGCCAAATCGTCCCTGATGAGCCTCATTCCAGTAATCCGTCGCCTATGGTCCACTAAGCTCCAAAGTCTGAAAGATGAGTTGCTTATCACGTTGATGCTGTGCGTCATTATTCTTATCGACGAGAACGAAAAGAATCCTTCGGAAACGTTGGCTCAAATGACCGAGGGGCTCATAGAATGCCTTCATTCTGAGTATACCAAACGACCTGAAAAGGACTTGTTGCAAATTGATGAAATAGTCTTCTGCCGAGCAAGTGAAAATAGAAGTCAGCCAATCTTTCGGCCACGCCTGGGAAATGATCGGTCAGAACACAACTGGACTACTCTCTGGGTCTTGGCAAATCTGTTGAAATTGTCAGAAACCCTAGTTACTTGTCTACCAAGCGAAACATCCACTCGTGAAGCACCAACTAAAAGGCAGCGTGTTAATTCTGGAATCGAAGACGTTTTTCGAGATTCAGTATCTGCAACAGGGACACGGAGAATCTGTGCGCTCCAATTGATTCCCTTTCTTGAAGGTGATATTGATATCGAAAGGAAGGAATTTTTCGTTCAGAGGCTTGCCCCAAACATTCTGGATGACAACGGCGCAGTGTCTTCTTGGTCCCTAGTGGCTTTCGCAAGGTGAGACAATGTTTTACTCCAATAATGCCGACGTTAAGCTAATCTATGGCCAAACTTGAGTGTTGCAACTGGCGCTGATGCCAAACACCCTCTATTAAAAGGACAATGGCCACGCGCGGTGGACTTGACAACCCGAGCATTCTCTTCATCGACCACATCTCGAGCCGCCTGCTATCTGATGAACTCAATAATTGAGGCGGACCTTCTGGAACATTCATTTGTCACAGAAACAATACGAACATTATTGTCTTCTGCAAGTTTGAACGGCCCTTCTACAATCTCAGACTCATCTCTTGGCCTGTGGTCATTAATAGCACGAAAGAGAACACAAATCCGCCCCGAGTCAACCAATGCATCTAAGCAAATCTGTAGTTGGCTGAGAGAAGTGTGGACAATAGGTATGTGTCCTTTGAAACTGGCGCTGTCTTCTATAGTCAATTTTGACCGTTAGATTAGGCACAGTCACGGACCGGGCTCAAACGGCTCAAGTCGCATTGTATGCGCGCCCACTAGAATTGCTTAATCTTTTTATGGCATGCACGAATCGCAGTTTTGATATTCCCCATTATCAACGTACTGGACCTACCGGACTGATCGCCAGGGCATGGTTTTTCTTGCACGAAAATCAAGAAATCATGGCATATATCTTCAAAATAAAAGATTCTTTTAACCGTTCAAACCCTTGGAGCTATGAGAATCTATGGCCATTATCTTTTTCAAGCCGCCAAGACGATGACGACTTCGTGGTCATTGAGATCCTACGCTCAAAGTCCGAAATGTTCCTTCAAACATGGAAAACTATGACCGATGACAAGTCACTTCATATTACTACGGATATTCTCCAAATATTGATATCTTTTTGCGTTACCTCCGCCCTTTTTGGAAAATGTCTACCCCAGAAGTCGGCTTCTGCCCTCCAAGATATTCAAAACAACTGCCATTCCCTGTGGAATAGTATTTGTGAGTTCTTGGCGGCCCACGAATCAACTGCCATGCAAGCTTGTCTTGAAATTCTGTCACCGATTATTTCCTCTGTCTCTACCATCGAGACGGCTTCCATTGCTTGGAGGGGGTTGTCTCCTCTCCTTTTCCCGTTGGCGACTATACTTGAGACCAATAGGAAGGCAGTGAGAGGAGGCGATCTTGCGTTGAAAGATTTTATGGATTTGGACAATCGAGTGTCAACCCCCGCGAGCTATATTTCTGCAGACCAAATTATTCTTGCTCAGAATCGAGGCTCTTCACCCTTGATTCAAGATACGGCAACTTTTCAGCGTTCGATGACTATTCAAATTTCCATTTTACTTAAAACTGACTCTGGAAGTGGCATACCTGGAGACTTTCCACCCTCGGTCCTAGTTGATTATTTAAACACTCTCGACGAGTCTGACCTGTTATCTTCACATTACCTCCTACCACAGATCTATCATGCTTGCTCAGAATTTCCTCGACATGAAATACTTCGCATTCTGGAGTACTTGGGGGAGAAGTGCCTTCAGTCATATGAAATGGAGCGTTGTGAAGCTTCTCACAATCTGTGCATTGCCATGATGACTTGTTTCGTCAAATCTTGGACAAATATCCTAAATGATACCCTCAACGAGTCCGCTTTGGATATGTACAGCTGGTTTATGGAAGCCCTGCTGGCCAGGAAGAGAGCCTCACACAACGTATACATTGCTTTGTCGAAGCTTGTCCAAGCTGTTCTTATTTCTCGCCCTTCCTTTGGCAGCGAGGAATCTTTTCCATCACCTCGCACCAGCCTGTTTACAATTCTCCAAGAATGCGACATTCAAGTCAAACTCAGCGTTGGGAAATTTATTCCGACATTGTTTGAGCGATTCATGCTCAAAGACCATGATACTATCTTTGATGACGTACTGGAAAGCTTGCCCAGGGATCCGGATTGGATCGAGGGGATTGCCTTGCGTCTTTTCGTCCTCTCCAAACTGGCGTCCAAGTGGCATACCTTGTTGCGCAGAAGTATTTACCACATGTTTGAGACACCGGCCCATGTCCCTCTTTCCTTGCCATATGCTCAAAAATGCATGAAAATGGTTTCGACTACTCTTGGTTTGAAGGATGCTCGAGAGTTGTTCCGCCTTTTTTCGTCCCAAACACTCTATACTTGGACAGAGACCCAGAGCTTCGCTTCCATCCCATTTAGTATCTTCGGGTATGATAACCTCAAGGAAATGTTGATTGATGTGAAGGATGAGATAGTTGGGCAAATGATGATGCGAGCGAAGGATTCTGAAACGGAGGAGTTGGCAAAATATCTTGAAATGGCTCACATTGAACTCATCAAAACATCATTCTACAAAGCAGAGGCGTACAGTATCGCACGAGACATCAGCACGCCGCCTGGACAAGGAAGCCAGCCGAAAGGAGTGGAAATCAAGCTTAGAAAGCTTTTAGGACCCGAAGGATTTCTGGCGGAGATCGAAACTCATTTCCCTCAGATCATTGCCTCTTTTTTCAAATCTCTCGACCGTTACGATCAGGTCGAAAAAGCTTATTTAAGGCGTCCCAGCTTCAAGTATGCACTCGACATTCAAACCCAGATTGCAAGCAAAACTCCCTCTCAAATTCCGCTTCCTGCAAATCAGCAACCTTCCTTCCGAGCTCGTTACCTACTGGATGAACTAGAGTTTCTCTGTAAGCGTGCTGGATTTGAACTTGAGTCAATATGGACACCAACTTTGGCATCGTTTGTTTGTCGATCATTACTGGAGTCAATACACCCCGCGTTGGGGTCTCTGCATACTTGCTCCGTTATCCGGAAGATCAGGATCCTTGTTTGTTTGGCTGGTCCTATCATGCTTGAAGATTACCCCCTCGAGATGTTGCTTCATGCCCTTCGGCCCTTTCTAGTTGATATTTACTGCTCCGAAGATGCCCTAGGGATATTCTGGTACCTTTTAGAAGCCGGGAAATCATACCTCATCCAAAATCCCGGCTTGACGGCTGGAATATGCATCTCGACTTTGATGACGCTACGAAGATTATTTTCATCATCACCAGAAACGACAGCACAGCAGAATCAATACCAAATAGTGACCTCGAACGCTCGAAAATTTCAGCAATGGGTCTTTGAATTTGTTGAGAGTTGCATCACTTCGGATTGGACGATAGAGGTTAAGGCAATGTTTTCTCAGCTACTCAATCTGGCTCAGAATCTAGCCTCACAGGATGACCTTGCAAGTCGAAAGAGCGAGAAGGATATGGTATTCCTAGTATTTCAAGATCGAGACTCAAGTCAGCCTTTGTTGAGCCGATCGGTAGGAGATCTTATTCTGTCGCTTCTGTGCTCTGAGTTTAAAGGAAAAAGCATGGATGTTGATAACCCCAGTGATGACCATCTGGAGTCGGCTTCTCATCTTGTTTCTTTGTGGCATACTCTTCAAAAATCCAATGGTGGTCCTGAGTACCAGCTGTGGGCTTCGCGAGTGATTGGTCGCTCTTTTGCATCAACTGGAAAAATTAACGACAGTTTACTGCGAGAACAAGACCTTTCGTTGTTCCATAAATCCGAGTTGGGTGAGCAGTCCGACCCCCTTTGCCAATCCAAAGCAAGTATTCTTCAGGTGCTCTGTGACAGAATAAAGATCCAGAATCATTCACAGACTGGCCTTATTGAACGCACACTTCAACTCATTATCAGCAGCATCACAAAGTTTCCAGATTACCAAGCATGTGTAGCGGTCATTCCGGAGTCACTGATGAAAGCTCTTATCTGGGAGCCATATACATGCCCTACAATATCTCTTGCCACGGCAGAGCTTGAATTATGCAATCAGGTCAAAAGTCCAGCTGCCGATCTGTCAGTTGCTGAATGGGCTCGCAACATCTGCCTGTGGTTATCTAATGCCGTTATTGAAGATCCAGTCATTGGATTTTTACCCAAAGTTTTGAGTGTGATTCCTGGATTGGCTGTGCAAATTTTACCGTATATTGTCCATGACGTGCTATTAACGGAATGGAGCGGTCGAGGTCAAACCAAAAGAGCCATTTCCCAAAACTTCAAAGAAATAATGAGTCATGTTCACCCGGAGACAATGCCACATGCTCGCCTTGTGATTAACTGCATCCTGTATCTCCGCAACCAACCCGTGCCTGACGAATCAACAATTGTTTCCCGTGACGAATGGCTTGAAATAGATTATGCCGAGGCATCCTCAGCTGCCCATAAATGTGGGTTACAAAAGACATCCCTGTTGTTTCTTGAGATACAGGCCTCCAAGGTTATTTCTGGATCTCGTCGCTCCTCCGTGGCTAAATTTGAACCGCCGATCGGTCTTTTGCATGATGTTTTCAAGAATATTGACGATCCAGACCTGTTTTATGGAATCCAGCAAAGTTCATCTCTATCGACGGTAATGGAGCGGCTTGAGTATGAAAGCTCGGGCCTGAAAAATCTACTGTTTCAGAGTGCCCAATATGACAGTGAGGTTCAGATGTCTGACAACGCAAATCCTTACGGTGTTTTGAGAGCCTTGAATGCAACGAATCTCCAAGGCATTGCCAACACCATGTTGGTAGCCTCCAGCAACATAAAGAGTCTACCGGCTTCCTTTGATAGCATGTTACAAGCAGCAACAAGTCTTCAGCAGTGGGATGTTCCAGTATCACCATCGGATTCTTCACCGTCAGCGATCATATTCCGCACATTTCAAAGCTTGAATAATTCTTCATCATTGTCCGAGTTCACTACCTGCCTCGAAGATTGTCTGCTTACTACAGCCAATACTCTTGTCGAAAGTGGGCAATCAGCGATACAATTGCGAAGCACAATGCGCGCTCTTGGAATAATGAGTGAAATCTGCGATGTGATTCAAGCATCATCCTCACAGGCTTTGGAAGAGAAATGGCAGACTATCCTGGATAGAAGTAGCTGGTTGAAAACCGAAAGGTAAGTTAAGTGTTTGCAGTCCTCTTTATTAATCGGAACACCGCAACTGACTTAATCAGCTATGCCGAAGTCGGGGAAATTCTGAGTTGGCATGAGGCCCTTTTTTCCTCAATACGGAAGAATGAGTACCTGATGTTGAAATTTAACTTGAGCCCCCGCGATGCACGTCTACTTGAAGCGAAGGTCTTTCGACAATCTCTGGAAATTACAAGAAGCCATGGCGTTTCACAGGCATCATTAAAATCGGCCATCAGTCTATCGAAACTTTCCGGACCCTGTGCTGATTTGGGGATCAATGTTGATGGGGTAGCAAAGTTTGACCTTGCCAACGTTCTCTGGGACCAGGCTGAGATGACTGCATCGATTCAAATGCTACAGCAATTGAAAAGCCAAGGGGATCTGCACAAGCAAGCAATTCCACTAAGTCGTGCTGAATTATTGGTAACTCTGGTAAGTGCCTCTGTTGCGTGCTTGGATACCTCGTTTTCTTGTTTAACTTCTACAGGGTCATCATGTCGCTGAAGCGCGACTGGAAAAGCCCGAAGTGATTCTTCAAGAATATCTGTACTCAGCAGTCAAGGAATTGAAAGGAGCCCCAGAAGGAGAAACAGCAGGACGCGTGTATCATGGATTCGCCACTTTCTGTGATTCACAGCTTCTGAATTCTGATGGCCTCGAAGATTTCAAGCGTGTAGAGCAACTTCGTGATCGCAAAGAGACAGAGCTGCTCGAACTGGAAAATATGATGAAGAATGCAGAAGGTCGAGAAAGAGAGAATCTGAAAATATTCCGCGCGAAAGCAAAACAGTGGTTTGATCTCGACGATAGAGAATACCAGCGTCTTTTACGAAGCAGGGAGGCATTTCTGCACCAAAGTCTCGAAAATTATCTGCTCGCAATGAGGGAAAGTGATAGATACGACAACGATGCTCTTCGCTTTTGCGCACTATGGCTTGACAAGTCAGACAGCAAGACAGCAAACTCAGCTGTTGCTCGATATCTCAATGATGTTCCAAGTCGGAAGTTTGCCCCTCTGATGAACCAGTTATCTTCTCGTCTTCTTGATGTCTCCGATGATTTCCAATCGCTACTCACAGGATTGGTATACAGGATTTGCGCCGAACATCCGTTTCATGGCATGTATCAAATATTTGCCAGCAGCAAGTCCAAAGGCGGAAAAGACCAATCCTCGCATTCTCGATTTCGCGCTGCGAACAAACTTGTTGACCGATTAAAGAATGACAAGAAAATTGGTCCTACATGGATCGCGGTCCATAACATGAATATCACTTATGTCCGGTTCGCGATCGATAAGCCAGACAACAAATTCAAGACCGGCGCGAAGATTCCGCTGAAGAAATTGCCCACGGGAGATCGTCTCGGGAAAGATGCAGAGACCTACAAATTGCCGCCACCCACCATGAAAATAGATCTACGGGCAGACCTTAATTATAGTGATGTCCCTTCTATTGCTAGGTTTAGCCCCGAATTCACAATCGCATCGGGTGTAAGCGCTCCCAAAATTGTGACTGCTGTTGCCACCAACGGGGTTCGATTCAAGCAATTGGTAAGTGATTAACTTAGCCACGGGCCTTCACATGGCTAACTGGATTCTAGTACAAAGGAGGAAACGATGACTTGCGCCAAGACGCCATAATGGAACAGGTGTTTGAGCAAGTTAGCAGCCTTCTCAAAGATCATCAGCCCACGCGCCAGCGGAACCTGGGAATTAGAACGTACAAAGTTCTTCCACTGACACTCAATGCTGGGATCATCGAATTTGTCCCCAACACCATTCCCTTGCATGACTATCTGATGCCGGCACACCAACGGTATTATCCGAAAGACATGAAGCCTAGTGCTTGCAGGAAGCACATTGCCGATGTACAGACAAAGTCATTCGAACAACGCGTCAGAACGTACCGCCAAGTGACAGAGCATTTTCATCCAGTGATGAAGTACTTCTTCATGGAGAAGTTCAAAAACCCTGATGACTGGTTTAGTAAGCGGCTGTCGTATACCCGAAGTACTGCTGCAATATCCATTCTTGGTCACGTTCTTGGACTTGGTGATCGGCATGGACATAACATCCTGCTAGATGAGAAGACAGGAGAAGTGGTACACATTGACCTTGGTGTCGCCTTTGAGCAAGGACGTATCCTACCTGTCCCTGAAGTTGTGCCCTTCCGACTGACGCGTGATCTGGTTGATGGCTTTGGCATAACCAAGACCGAGGGTGTTTTCACACGCTGCTGCGAGTTTACTCTAGAAGCGCTTCGCCAGGAATCATACAGTATCATGACCATTCTCGACGTCCTTCGGTATGATCCGTTGTACAGCTGGACGGTCTCCCCTCTGCGAATGAAAAAAATGCAAGATGACCAGGAGGCAGGCGAAGGACCACCTGTGCTCACTGGCACGACCGACAAAACTTCACAGAATGAACCAAGTGAGGCCGATCGAGCCTTGACTGTTGTGGCGAAGAAACTCAGTAAAACATTGAGTGCTACTGCTACCGTCAACGAGTTGATCCAGCAAGCAACCGACGAGAAAAATCTGGCCGTCCTTTACTGTGGTATGTTGACATACAATATCTATACATCTGGATTTATCGCTAATACACTCTAGGCTGGGCATCCTATGCTTGATGTAGAGTTGGTCTTGACTGTTTGTACATACGCGCCGATGGGGGGCGGAGATGAGGATGCGAACCAGGCTTGCTCTTCTGAAAGCGAGTCTCTCAGAAGCTTTCAAATAATCCATAAATCGATACCTTTCTTGTTCAAAATATAAATAGACGCGGCAACCCCAAAGTAGTCAAGTTGGTTGAGTGGGATCAAGCGTGGTTGAGTTCCGATGCCGGGAACAATTTCTATAATTCCCTTCTACATTCGATTTTACAGGGCATACGGCTCAATTTATTCATTTCGCCGATTTCAGTTGACGAAACTTCCAGGCGTCGTCCGTAGAGAGTCACTTGTCTTAGTTGCCTGGGCGTGCGGCGTCAAAGCGGCGGGTAGCATTCGTGGCTTTTCCAGTTTCTTCGGTTTGCTCGCCAATGTCCTCCACTTCCAAACATTCCAACTCTTCAAAACAGGCCAGAGGCTCCATCAATTTTTAATTTTATACCAGCTATTGAGACGCTATATTATCATCACGACCCTGAGTTATCCTCATCATAATCTTACGATTTTCGGCCGGTGGAGTCTTCACTATGGCCGAAGCCTCAAACCGAGGGATCGTCGTCATCTCGGGCGGCAGCGCCGCAAACAACTTGGTCGACGTCTTTGATGCAGTGCGAGAAAGTAAAAAATGTTCGCTCAGCTATATCATTCCGATTAGTGATAACGGAGGATCCTCGTCCGAGCTGATTCGGATATTCGGAGGCCCTGGGATCGGCGATGTCCGAAGTAAGCGCTGACACGCGACACTCGACTCCGAACGTAGTAAACGCTGACTTCTATCAAAAGGTCGACTAGTACGCTTGATTCCAGACTCACCAGCCAATTCTGAGAGGACATCCATCAAGGCGCTCTTCAATCATCGGTTGTCTGCCGAAACGGGCGCAGCATCACATGAGTGGCTGTCTATCGTGGACGGCACATCGACGCTATGGACCTCCATCACTCCAGCTAAGAAGGAACTGATCCGCTCATTCTTCAATATGCTCAATCTAGAAATCTTGAAGCGTGCTCGGCCTCCTTCTTCGACCTTTGATTTTACCTCGGCCAGTGTAGGCAATTTATTTTTGACAGGCGCGCGGCTATTCAGTGGCAGTTTTGAGAGCGCTATCTATCTTCTAGGAAGTATCTGCGGCGTGCAGTCCGATATAGTACGTGTTATCCCGGCAATCAACTCTAATTTCTCCCATCACATCTCCGCTACCCTCGCCGATGGAACTATCATTGTTGGTCAGAATAGCATTTCTCACCCCAGTGAGACAACGGCACTACAACGTGACAGTGGAACGGGAACGCGACGACCGAGTCTGCTCCTCGCCGATGGCGATGATCTGGAAGATACAGACGCATCAGACGCGTCCGATGCGGTCTCCTATGAGGAAGATCACCTTCCAGGGTCTCTTGCCACACTTCGCAATAAGAATATCTCGTTCAGTAAAACCAAGAACGAAGATTTGCCTTGTCGAATCAGCCGCATTTGGTATATCAACCCATATGGCCAAGAGATCCGTCCGCCTGCAAACCCTCGTGTTCTCGAAGCATTGAACGACGCCCAAGCCATTATCTACAGCATCGGCTCTTTGTACACCTCTATCATACCCGCAGTCGTTCTTCGTGGGGTCGGCAAGAGTATCATGATGAGCCCGGCGCGGCACAAAATCTTGATCCTGAACGGCTCGCTAGACCGGGAGACCGGTCCTCCCTCAGAGCCTTTTGTAGCTTCTGATTTCGTTGAAGCTATTGCCCGAGCATGCGAGGAAAGCCGTGGGCGGCGTCATGCACCTCGGCACCATGAACAGTTCCCCTCCTCTCCAGATACTATTCGAGTGCATACTCCCATTCCGTACACAGCTTATGTGACTCACATTTTGCATCTTGATGGCCCAGGAACCCCACAGGTGGATCGAGAGCGACTAGCGGCGATGGGAATTGAAACTCTTCGTCTATATGGGCGAAAAGTCACAGTTATAGAAGGTGATAAAGAGGTTGTCGTGGGGATGCGATATGACTCCAATGCGCTAACCCAGGCCCTTGAAGTGGTGTTGGGAAAGAAAGGCGATGCGATGGTTCGCGGAGGGATAGGCAGTGCATTGGGAAGGAGGAACACCCTTGATCCAGCACGAAGGGAGAAACGAGAGGTTGTGTAAATTCAATGTCAATGAGATGTCTATACCTCTACAATACTTAATTTAATCACCTACCATTGCTCATTGTGGTGGAAAAAACAAGAACAAACTCTGAAGGCTGTCTACATTCAATCAAAAATAAAAGTCATTTCATTCATGAAGGTTTCCCAGAAGTCACTAAAAGATATGTCACCACCCTGAGGCTTTGAGTACTGAAAACGCCGCCCAATGCAAACCCCGGCTGTCCATGCAGAAAGATGTCGGTACAAGAAACCCAATCATGTATCATTCGGCAATACTTCAATCCTCTTCTTTGTGATCAACTTTAATTTGAGGGGAATAAGGCTCCTCCTGGGCCCGCTCGAATCATTTTTGGTGATATTTTTGCGACATACTGGGCAAGTCCCTTTGCTCTGCTTAGTGTTGTCGATGCGGGAGTCGTCAATGGATTGTAAATACTGAACGATGCATTTGTGACAAAATAGATGACCTGTGATCGAAAAAGAGAACACCAAATTAGAAAATGACAAGTAGAAGCGTACACCACCGACATAAAGCTTACCGCACGAGGTACTCGTAGCATCCTCCGGAGTATCCATGCAAACCGGACATTGGTAATTGGCCAACATACTGCGGCCTTTCTCCTGGTCCGTAGGTTGGGCCTTAATGGCATCTTCTCGTTGTTTCGCAAGTGCTTTGGCCAGCGCCGAGGAATCACTGACTTCAGTGAGATCAATGGACTCAACCGGTTCTTGAGAAACATGGGGAGTTATTTGTGGCCGTGATACCGGTGGGGATGAAGGTAATTGATCATCATCCTCATCACTCTGGCGCTTTCGTTTTGCGCCACGGGCCGTAGCATGTGATTCAGCGATGGGAGAGGAGGAAGAATGGATGGTGGAACCGGATAATGCTGAAGTTGAGCGGCGGCTGCTCAAGGATACCGGAGCTGGTGCAGAGGTAAGATCCACAATCGAAAGCCTTCGATTCATATTTAAATAAATATCTCAAGGTCATAAAGGGGAAAATGCTGGCCGGAAGCTATCCATCAGAGGCGGCACGTAGCCTAGGCACTATCTGCGGCACGGATGGAGCAGATATTGACAAGCAGAGACAAGGGATTCAAGACCATCAAGGCCACTTGGCCTCCTATTTAGGGATCAAGGAAAGATGAATGAGGAAGAGCCGGAGAAGAGGGAATTTGAAGAACCGGGCAAGTTTCCAGGAAGCGGAGATGGCAAAAAGGCAAGAAGGATGCGGTGTTATCGATTGGCGATAAGGACAGTCTCCAATCGAGCAGGCGGTCAGTTTATTCGGCTGTACACATTTTCCGGCTCCGCACATGACGCCCTGATACCGCGATAGGAAGCCGACGATATGGAAATCGATTTGCTCCCTTATCACTTGCGGGATCGTCAAGTGCGGCCCCTCCTAGGCTGCAGTTTCCCAAGATAATATGACATGATTCTTCAACAATCTGCAACTGTATGATGTTATCTTGGACCCCGTTTTGCTCTCCGTACTCAAGGGGGGGTCGCGAGGTCGGCGCGCCTGCGCTGGTATCCAGTGCGTGTTGCGCACTCGCGGTCATGGCAATTATGTGCTGGGAGATGTGCAAGTCACTTCTCAACATCAGTCAATAATGACACACTGCCTAAGAGGTCACTTTCTGGTTTGTCCATCCATCTCAACACCCCTTAAGTCGATACAAACACTCACTCTTCCTCAGTGCCTGCCTCACAGAGATTCAATGAAATTGGAGTCCAACAACTCAGTGATTATGTGCACCCCCAAGTGTTTCCCAATCAGGGTCGTATCCCAGACCCGGCCCTTGTCGCCCTCTCCAAAGACCATCTCGCGAGACATGACCTTCTCGGTAAATCGCAGAAGGGCGCAGACCCAATTGCGTTCGATTTGCCACCACTCCAAGGCAAATCATTGGATGAGCATTTCCACAAGCTTGGCATGGATGCCTCAGAGCCATACTTGACGAATGCCAAATCATTTGCAAATATCAACTGCCCAGAAAAACCGCGCAAATGGGTGAGACGGGCTGGATGGACAAAATATCATGCAGATGGCTCATCGGAACCGGTGGATGCACCAAATGAGGAAATGCTTACCTTTGATACTGAAGTCATGTATAAGGAACATTCTTTTGCCGTTATGGCTTGCGCAGTGAGCCCAACGGCTTGGTATGCATGGCTGTCCCCCTGGCTTCTGGGCAAATCTACGGACCCAGTGCAATTGATTCCTTTGGGAGACCCTTCTGTTCCTCGAATTGTCATTGGGCATAATATTGGATATGATCGCGCGCGAGTTCTGGAGGAATATGATATGCAACAATCCCGGAATTTTTTCCTTGACACAATGTCACTTCATGTGGCAGTGAACGGAATGTGCTCTCAGCAGAGACCGACATGGATGCGCCATAAGAAAAACAAGGATCTCAGGGACAAAATAACCAATGAGCACAACTCAGTGGAGCTGGCTGCAGTGCTTGAGAATAATATGCTACGAGAGGAGGAGGAGGAGCTATGGGTAGGACGAAGCTCAGTCAACTCGCTACGCGATGTAGCCAAGTTTCATTGCGATGTCACAATTGACAAAGCGCAGAGAGACTTTTTCGGCGAGCTTGACCGTAAAGCCCTTCTTTGCAAGCTGGATGAGCTCCTTGATTACTGTGCCGCTGATGTTGCGATCACTCATCGTGTGTATAGGAAAGTCTTCCCTAACTTTCTGGAAACCTGCCCTCATCCTGTCAGCTTTGGTGCACTTCGACACTTATCCTCGGTCATTCTCCCTGTCAACCAAACCTGGCAGGATTACCTTACCAATACCGAGAAAACATACCATAGGCTACTTGACGATGTCCAACGGAAGATGATTGAGTTGTGCGACGAAGCTCTCAAAGTCAAGGAAGATTCTGAGATCTATACGAATGATCCTTGGTTAAGTCAGCTGGACTGGTCTGGCCAAGAGATCAAAATGGTAAAGGGAAAGAAGAAGGGTGATCCTCCTCGCCCAGCTGCTAGACAGAAAAAGCCCGGCATGCCGAAGTGGTACAAAGATTTATTTTCCTCAAACAACGCAGAAATTAACCTCTCTGTGCGGACACGAATTGCGCCTATTCTCCTCAAACTAGCTTGGGATGGATATCCCCTGATCTGGTCAGACAAGCATGGGTGGACCTTCCGAGTGCCCCGTGATCAGATTAAGAAATATGAGAATCAGCCGGTCGTCATTTGTGACATGGCCGAGGAGAAAAATTTGCAGCTTCGGGATGATCGAAAGCACACCTACTTTAAGATTCCACACAAGGATGGCCCCCAGGCTCGATGCACTAATCCTTTGGCAAAGAGCTATTTACAATATTTTGAGCGGGGGATTTTGTCCTCTCAGTTCGAACTTGCAAAACAAGCCTTGGATATGAATGCCTCTTGTTCGTACTGGATGAGTGCCAGAGATCGAATTATGGGTCAAATGGTAGTTTATGAGGACCAGGTGCGAAAGAGCAACTCGGCAAAGCAAGATACCCAAAATCGGTTGGGTTTCATCCTACCCCAGGTCATTCCTATGGGAACGATCACCCGGCGCGCTGTCGAGAACACATGGCTCACTGCGAGCAATGCAAAATCAAACCGTGTTGGATCTGAACTCAAAGCTATGATAAAAGCACCCCCGGGATATTCATTTGTCGGTGCAGATGTGGACTCTCAGGAGCTATGGATTGCTAGCCTCGTTGGTGATGCATCATTCCAACTGCACGGAGGCAATGCTATTGGGTTCATGACGCTGGAGGGCTCGAAGGCCGAGGGGACTGATTTGCATTCTCGCAGTGCGCAGATTCTGGGCATATCTCGAAATGATGCCAAGGTGTTCAACTATGGTCGTATTTACGGGGCTGGTGTCAAATTTGCTGCCACTCTCCTACGTCAATTCAATCCGTCTTTGACTGAGAAACAAACTCAGGAAACCGCAGCCAACTTATACAAAGAAACGAAAGGCACACGCACTTCGCGCCGTCTTTTGAGCGAGTCCCCCTTCTGGCGAGGAGGTACTGAATCCTTCGTATTCAATAAGTTGGAAGAGTTTGCAGATCAGGAACGCCCAAGAACTCCCGCATTGGGTGCCGGAATTACAGAGGCACTCATGCGGCGCTTCATCAATAAGGGGAGCTTCATGACATCCCGGATCAACTGGGCTATTCAATCTTCGGGTGTTGACTATCTTCACCTTCTGATTGTGGGCATGGATTATCTTATCAGATTGTTTAACATTCAAGCGCGACTAGCCATTACCGTCCATGATGAGATCCGATACATGGTCAAGGACGAAGACAAGTACCGTGCGGCCTTAGCTCTGCAAATTGCTAATATCTGGACACGTGCTATTTTTTCACAGCAAGTTGGCATTGATGACCTGCCCCAGTCCTGTGCCTACTTCTCAGCTGTCGACATTGATCATGTACTACGAAAAGAGGTTGACATGGACTGCGTAACTCCTTCACATCCTCACAAAATACCCCATGGCGAGACCCTAGATATCACCCAGTTGCTGCACAAAGGCCAGCAGGCGTTTTTGGATCCCTCGATAACCCCGAAATCACCACCCCGTCCTGAGACGTATCCCTATACCCCCCGGGAGTCTGTCATGTCCTCCTTGCAAGCCTCCAATGACTTGGCGTTCATCAAAGCTCAGATCACGAAAGACGATAAGGAGCTACGCGAGATCATTAAAGGCAAAACACAAGCAGCTTCCAGTGGAAAAACCATCACTTCTCGTTCTTCAAAAACCAGGAACAAGATCGTTGGCTGGGCATCGGCTGAACCCCAACGGGCATTGCTTATGGACATGGATTCTGGCCTGTATCCTGATTTCCGGGCCCCTCCGCAGACTTCTTTCAATGCAGGCAAGCAACAAAATCAAGTGTTCCACCGCCCTGCCTGGAAACCTCGTCCTTCTGCCCGGGCCTAATTTGGAATGACTCTTTCTTCCTCCTTCCTTTCCCTTGTTTTTCATTTTCCTTTCTTTCTCGAAAACCTTCCGATATCCTTTCATTCTTCTATCCTATGTATCTATTTTTGCTTTTATCATGTTTGAATAGTCTAATGCTTCTATGCGGAGTGCGGTAAGGAACAGCATTGGGATGGCGTCAAAGTGGCTCACTGTTATGTGATCTGATGTTATGTGATGATAGTGTACAAAATCAATGTGTATCTCTATATCAATCATATTAGTGACAAATGTAGACATCGAAAATGTTCTCCATCGTAGCTAATCATTTGAGAGCCAATGTATTATTTGATTTTTGATTTGATTTCAACCGGGTTCCTGAGTGCTTGAACTGAAAGGTTTATGTATATTTGTCCCTGATGTGAATACTTCCTGAATGGCTTCTGTCGTCATGGCCTCTATATAGCAAAGAATACTAAATATGACTTTTCAATATATTTGGAACTAAAATTGCTTCAAGCTCACATACATCATAGTGATACATACGCCACTTCGAGGAAGCATATATGTGAGAAGCCTATACTTGAACTCTTGAGATAATGAGTTCGTCAGTCTACTGCTGGGTAAGAAATTAATGGAAGCGAAATAAATATTTGCGACAAAGTAAACTACTAGGTTTCTTTCCACATAGAGGGAACGCTGCATTAATCAGCTTTGAATCTCTTAGAGAGGAAGACTGAAATACTTACGCAACTTCAATGACCGCGCATCTTCCACCCTGAACAGTAGCTATTCCCTCAACAAGAGCTTGATCTAGTTCATTTTGAACTTTCACGGTTGCACCCCATGCATTACCAGCCGCAGCAGCAATCCCAGGGTAGTCCGGAGAAGGTTCAAAAGACAGGTTCAGATCTATTAATGTATGATCAGATATCAGATGAAATAGATGATTGCAGAAATTTAACCAACCTTTCCGATTAGACTTGGATGATAATCCATCCTTATGAACCAACAAAGCCGACACTTTTGGCGCATTCCATCCGCTATTATTTAGAACAATGAGCATGAATGGGACCTCATAGCGTCTGGCTATCCAATACACGCTCTCCATTTGAGAAAAGAGATATGTGCCATCCCCGACACTAATATTGCATTAGCTTAGAACGTGATGATTTCGTTATTACACTTACATTCCACAAACAAAAGCATTAGGTTTAGCCATTTTGACGCCCATTGTTGCACCTCCACCCCAGCCCAGGCCCCCGGCACCGCTGCCAACTAAACTTCCAGGCTAGATTTATGTAAGTAGACTGAATGAATATAGATCGTGAGGTAAGATACCTTGACTAGATTCAGGTTGTGTATCAATAGCCCTGCATTAGTCACAGCCTCCATAACAAAAATAGTATCTTGTGGGACGTGTTCTCTAATTCGAGACGTAAGGTAAGGCACACTTATGCTGCCATCATCTGCAGGGAATTGGGAACTTTGAAGATCCGCTCGCCAGCTTGAATAACGAGCTGCACGCTTTTCAAATCCAGAGGCATAGTCGGCTACATTGAGATGCTGTCGATCTAGAAAGCAGTTAATTTGCCTCAGAGCTAGTTCACAACTAACTTTGATTCGACGCTGCACGTTGAATGAGAATACTGATTGCTCAATATTAGTATTGTGAAATAGGTAGACCTAAAGGAATACTTGCATGGCATTTGTTGCTTGAGTGGATCGACATCGAGATGGAAGATTTTAGTTCCTAGTAATAGTTAATAAAGTCTGAAAAGCACCTAAAAAAAGTAAGAAAAAAGGAAACGGGGAAGAAGAAGATACCTTTCTTAGGTTTTCCTGCGGTTGGGATCCAAGGCACGTCACAGTCTAAGATCAAAATGACATCGGCTTCCATGACCGCCGGATGGGTCGTGACAGTGACACCTAAGTAGGCTTCATGGTCACTTCGGAGGCAGACATCTGATCCAATCATTTCAACCACTTTGATGGGAAGCTTGTTGCAGAGTTCTTCCAAAAGAGGGGGCGCATTAATATTTCGGCCCAGGTACCCGGTAATAATCAGTGGCCGTTTGGCGTTGATAAGTGTTGTTGCAATCAATTCAACCTCTGCATAGGTCAGCACTGCCATATTCGTTAATATAAAATTATTCTAGTTACCAGGCTCAGGTAGGGCACTTGGCACAATAGGACTAAGCATCTCCTCCTCCAGCCATTTTCTGTCCACTTTCTGGAATTCAGCTATATTAGCAGTAGCCTTTTGAGAATTGTTCCACTGACTTACCTCTTCTAGAACTTCTCGTGCAGCCATGAGGTAAGCTGGCCCTTTCGGATCAGAAATGGTGAATTGCAGTGCGCGGTTTACCATCTCCTTTATATTGTGGCCTGTTTTTATCTCCCCGGAATACCTGCAATATTGTCGCAAGATTGCTGCTTGATCCGGAACATCCTGAAGCCAATGAATAAATCTGACTCTCTATTAGTTAGGTCTTTTGGATATGAAGAGGCTATTCATACTCTGTTCTTGAACCAAGTAATTCTCCTCTTTGAGTGAAAGGACTGAGACCTGCAAAGCAAAGGACAGGGACTCTGCCAATAGAAGCATTGTGAATGGACTGGCCTAAAGCTAAAGTTCCGCAGTCTACGTGAACAAGAACGCATTGCTATGTATCATTTAGTTGCAATGAAACCAATGAAGATGGTGTGGAGTGGCTAGCCATACCGGCATTCCAGTTACCTGTGCATACCCCAGGGCGGCAGACAGAGCAACTAGCTCAGAAGGGCAGGTGATAATTCTTGGGAATTTTTGGGACTGGCCTGAGAGAGAATTAGCTTACTGCATTAAATTAAGGTCAAAATAGAAATACCTTGCTTCGCTTTGATCATTGCCTCCAGCATGGCGGGATGGTCGCTCCCCCTGTTTAGCTAGTCAGAACCATACGCCTATGGGCGAAAATCGACAAACCCACAAATTGACAAAACAATGAGTAACCCCAGCCTCTGCTTGAGATTTAATCAGTCTATGGGGATCTAACTCAGGAGTGGTCGACTTACAGAGAGCTTCAAAAAAGCCCTCGGCAGCAGTGGCCGAGCTGTTGTCTCCCGTCACCACATCGTCATCATAGCGAGCTCGTTTGTTGTTCCTAGGTTCTGCCATCTTCAAAAAGCTGTAGATTGGTATTAGTCGATGCGAGAAATGTGTTGATCAAAAGTCCCGAGAAGAGAGCCAATTTCAAGCATTTTAAAGTGTTTGCGGGGGAATGGCATATACTTGGCCAAGCTCGAGAAGCTCGGCATCTCCGCGACCCAACCATTTCTTACCTGGTACCCCACTACAGTGCGGAATTGGTTTGCTGCCCCCGCTCCAACTCTTTTGCCTCGGATGTGGGAAATCGGATACAGAGTATTTGAGCGATTCGGATAGTTTTGATATGCTTTGAATTGTAGTTAGCGCATTTTTGAGAGCGATTTTTTATGAACAACCAATTGTTATAATTTCCTCCACGACCCATAGCTCCCATGAAACGAGCTCCAGGCAATGTTAGGCGAGTAAGGTTACCTTGGCCAAGGAGAGCGCACGGCTCTTTCTTTCTGAGTCTAGATCTGCGTCAAATATAATCAAAATGAGGTGGAGCAAGGCGCTGGGTGAAAGAGCATTCTGTGGTCAACGGCGGTTCCCCATGGAGACAAAATTGGGTGCCGCAGATTGGAGCACGGTGCCCGGGATCTCCCCGATTGGACGAAATAGGGGCGGGTGTGGAAAGGAGTGAGAGAATTCGTCACTTTTGCTAGGAAAATGCACAAGTGAGTATCGACCCTCTAGATTGACCAATGATTGACATAATTTGCTTGGTGGATATCCGGGATAAATTTTATCAGGATCAAAGCCAAGTGTGAGAATAAAAAATAAATAGGGTCTTTGGCGCCTAAGGGCTTTCAACTCATGTCTCTACCTTACTAGAAAGATCTTCTTTAGTAACAAAAGTTTGCATTCAACAAACAATTATATTATTTTATCATGTCTTTGCGAGAAGTCTCAGAGAGACTTGATGCTACGGGGGTGCCTATATGGCGCAAGGATAGCACAGCTTCGTTTGGGCATATAGAAGCAAAGGGAGACAGTGATCTGTTCAAAAGCCCGGTAAGGTAAACCAACTCGAACAGAATTTTACACAAAAAGAGTAGGATCATCTAATGTTTAATGCATCAGGCTCAAACTGGGCTCAAGGCAAAGAAATGGGACCGTAAGCAGGATCGATACATTTGCTTGAAAAGAGGCGACTGACCCGTTCCAAAGATATATTCTCCGCTGAAGCAACCAATCGAAAGGTTAAAAAATTGTGATTTCCTCTGGCGATTGATGTTCTTACTGACTTTCCTGAAAAGCCCTCTAGCATCAAAGCTGCTGCTCGAGCCGCGAGAGAGCCAGGTTAGTTACCCTAAACGATATGCTTTATTAAATGCAGCAATAACAATGAAAAAACAAATATATAGGCATGATATCACTTGGCGCGGGAGCCCCTTCTGCAGCTTATTTTCCTTTCAATGAGCTTCAAGTCAAACTATCCGAACACCCAGGAATCCAAATGGAGAAGGAACAAAAGTCAAAAATGATTCGAATGTCAAAATACGACTTTGAGCCGGGCGTGAGCGATTATAGTAAGTCCAATGAGGAAGGAAAATGACTAAGCGGGGGTGCATGGACAACCTTACTGACAAGTCTTTTAGGCTTGGATGTTGCCTTGAATTATGGCCAGGGTACCGGTTCCGTACAAATGCTTCGATTTGTGACGGAACATACCGAGGTATGAATATGTTGTCACTCATTAGGTATCAGCTTTCAGATCTAATTCATTTGTTAGCTTCTTCATCAGCCACCTTACGACGACTGGGGTTGTTGCTTGACAGTTGGCAGTACATCAGCATGGGATTCTACCCTAAGAATGTTCTGTGAAAAAGGGGACTACATCGTCGTTGAGGACTATACATTTGCGAGTGCACTGGAGACTGCATGGCCTCTTGGAGTCAAAACAGTCTCTGTTGCAATGGACGAGCAGGGTCTTATTCCTGAATCCCTTGACACTCTTCTTTCCGAATGGGATGAGACTCAACAACAAGCTCGGAAGCCTTTTCTTCTTTACATGGTTCCCACAGGTCAGAATCCTACCGGAGCCACCCAGTCCATTGGTCGACGGAAAGAGATCTATTCGCTCGCCCAAAAACATGATTTGTATATTGTGGAGGACGAGCCCTACTACTACCTGCAACTCCCACCATTCACTTCCAGCAATCCCGGTCAACCCTGCCCCCTGATTCCATCCTATTTGAGTATTGATGTCGAGGGTCGAGTTCTGCGAATGGATTCATTATCTAAGGTTCTTGCGCCAGGGGCACGAATGGGTTGGGTGACAGCTTCTCAACAAGTCATTGAGAAATTTATTCGGCAAAATGAGACTTCATCCCAGCATCCTAGTGGGTTTTCACAAGTCATCGTATACAAGCTCTTGAGCCATCACTGGGGACATCTAGGATTCTTCCAATGGTTGGAAGCTATTCAATCCGAATATGCTTGGAGACGAGACACCTTCATACAGTCTTGCGAAAAGTTTCTTCCGAAACAGTTCACCCATTGGAATGTTGCCCTTGCCGGAATGTTTGTAAGATCAACCCAATGTCCAGGAATAAGCGATTTTCCCCTCTGCTAATTGATTCGCTGGGAAGCAATGGATTGAAATCAATTGGAGACTGCATCCATCCTACAAGGCCGGAGGGAGTCACCAGAAAATAGAACAGGCAATCTTCGGCGCCGCGAAGAAAGAAAAAGTATTTCTGACACCAGGGACCTGTTTCTGGTCTGCCAGCGAGGAGCCTCAAGATCAGATGTTTTTCCGTGCTACATATGCTTCTGCTTCCCGGGACGAGCTTACAGAAGCAGTACGTAGATTTGGGGTGGCACTTAGAAACGAATTTGCCAGAGATGTTCTACCAGGTGAGTAGAGAATGTTCGATTCGAAACGGCTGCCATGGTAGGATCGGAACAAACACAACCACTACAAGAACCAGCAAGGGCCCAAATCAATTTAGATCTAGACCCTTGAGTTAGTCTCGATAGTTGTGGCGCTAGCCTCCTTCGCCTCCGCACCGACAAATGGAACAAATTGGTCGAATTGCCATCCGCGGCCCCCTCTTCATTGCATTTACTTGGTGAGATAGCTTTTTAAGTTCTTCAAAAAAAAAATCTCTTGCATTTTAATTCAAAACCAAATACTATGTGCATTCATTCATTTCGAGTCAATATTATGAATTAGGGGTACACAGCCTCCACCTCTCGAAAAAATAGGCGCTAGGGGACCTAGAGCCTCACCTCAAAGTGGGGCTCTAGAGCTCGTGTAAAAAAAACAGAAAAAAAGTCAAATGGATATCTTGGTACTGATAGGCCACTGGAAACAGGGGCCAAATACAATCGAACAGAACAGGGCCACATCGGACCGTTTAGCTCTTTTCATTAGGGCCATGACTCACTGCAACGGCCTGTGGTGGCTGTACGTACCCGGGCGCAGTGACCACAGGAGCCTCGGGCAAGAATACCTGCACAGCGCCGTCGTGTGGTCGAATGGCGACCTTCTGTCCACAGTTTGTGCAAAAGTGATGGCTGTCATGGCACATTTCCATACAGTATGGGATAAAGGCACAGCAAATACCGCCAAATAGACAGCAGGCCACAGCAGCCATTCTGTAAGACATCTGATTAGTATAAAGCACCAGGTTTCAAGTTAGGTTTTCAAGGAACATACCCTGTGGTCCCGGTGCTCTCCTTGTTAACTCTGGTCATTGTCTCCTGGTGACAGAAGGGACAATTGATCCATCGAGGCTCTTCATCGAGCTGGTTTAACTCGACAGCTCTACCAGCGACCAGGCCCTGTCCAGGTGGACCAATTGGTGCCTGTGTGGCGGCTTCCCATCCGGTTTTTTCGATCGGAGGACCAGGATTGATCGCTTGTGCTGGTGCTGGGACAACTTCTCGGTCGCGTCTGTTGAAAATCCGTCAGCATTCGTTAGCTTAGCCCGAGTCTATGGATCTTACCCTTCATATTGTGGAGGATTTTCATCGGTAGTCAATGTTGACATGTGGTTGTTTGTTGGTGAAGGCATTGTAGTCGTGTTTGCGTTACTTTCGGGTAGTGTGGTCGTCAAAGTGGCATTGGCGATGGGAGTTGGGTCAACAGCATCAGCCGGGCTGATTACTGGAGTAGCAGTCTTTTCGTGTTCCATATTGATATGAATATAGTCGAGTTGACTGCTTCGGAAAGTAGAAAAGACCAAAAGTTCGATCGCAATAATTTGGCAAGAGAGAGGCTCTGAAATTTAAATGTATTGAGAGAGACCCAGGCCGTTTCGGCATTAGCCTCTTAATCAAAAGTCGGGCACGATGATCCAACTGAGACACGAGCGAGTGGGCCCCAAGCTGGTAGAGTTCGGCGGTTGGTTGAGGGGCTTGAGCAAGCGGCGAGACGATCGATGACTCGTCTGGCAGTGCATTCAATCCGCACGGATCCAAATACGACTCGCTAGTCGAAGTTAGCGGCCCCTGTGGGCCTGTCTGCTTCGCCTTAGACTCGAAGAGGCTGAATTGCGCGGTAAATACGAACTTCTGAAGGCACGTAAACCCTGTCAATGTTGGAGTGAACCTGGCAATGCGCCATAGGATATGTGTTGACGTTCTCATAGAACGTATATCGACTTTATCATATGTGCCTTACATCTCCCTACCCCCTGCTTGTGGATGGGGCGACTGCTGACTCACTCAGTCTTTGATCTGCAGCCTCAGGCTCAGGAAGGGAGCCCTCCGATTCTCTCATTCCCACCACCTCGCTGTTGTTATCAGACTCTGTTGGCCCTTTCTGTCACCCCAAAAGCTACTAGTACTTGGCATGGGTTGAGTCAGACAGCTGCTAGCGGTATAATATCCTGGCAAGTAATTTAGAACATTGAGGGGCCAAGAACAGAAATGGCTGAGTTCCGAGCAAGTATGGGTCCGAGTGTATGCACAAACTGTTTGCGCTCAAAGAATGATGTCAATAACTCGAAATATACTCGAATGAAGAAATCTCGTTCGTCTCTGATGTAAGCAAGGAAGATGACAATCCAAGAGGCCAAGAGCTACCGACCTACAGACCCGAGATGCATTAAATTGACAGAGTGCCCAAGCATTCACTCCGATTATCAAGTTATGCTTTCTGGGCATCTCGCTTGGAGCACAGACTCATCCGTGATTTTATATTAGAAACGCGTAAAATCCCGAACCCCGCGACTTGGCGTTATATCGCCTCGCAGTTTTTGTGCAAAGCCCCCAGCTTAAAAATATATTAAGAATATGGAAATTGATGGAAAGGATATCTAGGTTCCTACGTTTATACCCCGATGAAAGCCGGGAATCTCCAACCTGAGAACCGCTCAGTAATTATCCGGGCTCTATAAACGTGGCCAGCGATGTCATTCAAGACGAGAATGAAGAGACTTCTTACCATCCCAGTCCTGAAAGTTGCGGCATTTTGAAAAGGGCCATCCACTCCTGGCTCACTGAATACTAATCCACTCTCTCGAGCTATGACTCTCTGGTATCCGTCACTTCCTGGCTCCAAAGTCTGTCTCAATGAGAGACTTCTCATTGGCAAATACGACTATTTGTTAAGTGCCATCCCTTATTCTGGAGTCAATCTGGGACCTCCCCCACCCCCCCCAGGACCTGCCTCCATTCCTTGGTCGTTGTCTAATTTGTCTAACTTAGGAGCTGAGCTTAGTTGGGTTTTATTTGAAAAGAAATGGGATGAGCCAAGTGAAGAATCTCCAAGTCTCAGTAGTCAGATATTTGAGAGCCAGTAGAAATCACTGAATCCTCCACTAGATGGCTCTGGTGGAGAATATATTTAGACTGTAAATAAGATCGCGGAGTGCCATAATCCTTTCATTGAGAGACTTCCCACTGGCGTGAAAATCCACTCGCTCAAAGTATGGAAAGAATGGAAATAGTCAAGAGGGAAAGATATATACTAACACTAACATCAATCCAAGTGTTACAAGTCGCAGCAGATCATTTTGCGTTGGCAAGGGGTTTATACCCCTTCAAGCATCGACGAAAGTTTAGGCGTGAAACGACCGGACCCCTCCCCTTACAAGTGTATCAGGTCACCGCCAGCCCAATAATTACAGGGCTCTATGCTAGTCAAGCAAGTCAATTATGATTGAGTGGTTTAGCCTTGAAAGCTTCAGAATCGAAAGTGGTAGAGAGAAAAGCTGAAATTGAATTTAAACCTGATTTTCTTTCTCGAAAAGTCGCTATGATACCTGGGCCTCGAGTTAGACATAATATGATTGACTATGAACTTCTCATTGAGTATCATCTGTTCAGGGCGTGTCGGAATCAGGCCATCATTTGATCCAGACCTATTACGTGCTAAACCCGGCAGTCACCCGGGTGATGGTTGGGGCAACAAGTCAGAGAGCCAAACATAACAGCAATTGCCACATAAACACTATGCATCATATCCTCTCTATTTTCAATATATCATAAATCTCAATCCCCCAGCGATTCCATTTAGCAACAATCCCATAAGTTTAGCAAGAGCTCGGGTCTAATATGATTCTTAGCGGTCTTCAGATCGTTACCCGCCACCTGGTGCGTAACCTGCGACACATTGCTCAACAGCAACAGCCATGCGGGGTTGATATCACCCTACGTCAAGTCTTTGTGTGGAAATCAGCGGCTACCATTGATTTTGATAACACCAAGCGCCAGGCGGCCGAGACTTCTGTCCTGCCTTTTGAAACCACTAGTTCTAAGATCAACTTACAGCCGGGCGCATATTTGATCGATTTCAACGAGACAGTTGAGGTTCCACGAGATTGCATGGCAACTGTTTTCCCTCGATCATCACTCTGGAGGTCTGGAATTGGAATACATGCCGGTGTGGTCGATGCTGGATATCAGGGTGCGATAGGAGCTTTGATGGAAGTGAAGAATCCGAATGGAGCTGTGTTGTATAAGAATGCAAAACTTGCCCAGATTGTGTTCGAACAAATGACAGACACCGTCGAGGGATACAGCGGTATCTATCAATCCTCGACGAGCAGTGTTGGACGCACAGGAGTGTCAAGCTCTAAAGCATCAAGCAAATGAACGTTCTCTACATATGGCAGAATGGTCCCGAGAGACTATTTTTGCCAAATTTGACCGAGCGGCTGACGAAAATTGAAAATTTATTTTTGGTATATCAACTCAGTGGCCATGTCCCTTCTTCTCCTATATTTCAGACGAGGGCTGCTCTTTGAATTTTGTGATCACTTGTACCTAATTTATTTGATCTGTCCAACTCATGAATAATTAGCAATTTGATATATTATTTTGCGAATCGAAATCAATCACCTTGAATTTTCCTCAAATTGGATTACAGCTTCAAGAACGAGTGATTTGGAACCGGAAGCTGCTTCGAAGAGACGGCTCCATCCATGGCAAAGTATAGTCGTCACTCAAAGACTCAACAAGTTGAAATCCACATTTCCGAAGAACTCGAATGGATGCCTCGTTTTCCTGATCGCAATACGCCACCAGCGTATTAAATTGTGGTTTAACTCTCCAATATAAATCAACGAAGGCCGTCAGTGCCTCTGTTGCAAACCCATGGCCCCAAGCGGATCGATGAAAGATGAAACCCACTTCGGGGACCGGCTCTGATTTCCAGGTGCCAACCCATCCCAGAAACTCTCCGGGACGAAGAACTGTACTATTCTTGGAGCTCCCTTCCCGACAGCTGTCGGGTAGATGGACATCGTGTCGCATTAGAACTGCATAGTTTTCCCCAAGGGGGTTGACGTCGAGAAGAAGCTCCGACATCCATTTCTCACTGGCCTCTAATGTCCGACAGCAGCCATGAGGACTCCATCTAGTTGCAACGGGGTCTGACCAAATCGCGTGATATCCAGGGACGTGATCTTGAGTCAGGCGAACCAGCTCAAGTCTAGACGTCTGCATTGAGATGGAATTGGCTCAAGGGAATTGGCTCAAGAGATAGAAAAAAACACGGGGGAGAAATGAAAAGAGAGGTATGCGGGTGAAACAGCCCCTTCATATGCAAAATTTGCATCATAAAGGAGTAGATCGGACCGAATCTGCCTGGCGGGACTTTCCTATTCGGGTTCCCGATGTTTCTTTGAGGCTTCGCCTCCGCCTCAGTGGAGTCATGTGATTGACGACACAGGCTTGGCAACTTGGCAGTGATTTCAGTTTCAAGGCTTGGGACTTCAACTATTGAACATACCATGCATTCGATTCGTGTAGAACAGAGTCTCTTCTTCTAGATAATCCCCAGGATAGCAAAAATAAATACGCACAGAGACATTGCCCAGATTGGCAATTGATATCCTGTTACATGCTCTCAGTTCCAAACTCATGATCAAGCGGCCTTGAGCAACATTCGTGGCGGCTATAGTGTCGATATAGAAAGATTTATCGTGCCTGGAAATATTTCAAAGGTGCAATTATAGAGCCATGATGATCCGGTAGTTCCCAAGGGAATGTAAATTCTTTTTACTTGGGTATCAGTGTGTCTAATATTTAGATAGCAAAACATAAAAAGTGCTCAAGGGATGCTGAGGCTCTAGAAGAAAACGTAGTTTACTGAGAAATGTAAAAGGTTCTCTCAAATTTTGACATTTGCTTTCCCGACTCAAAGTGTAGATATCAATCTTGAGATACCGTTTCACTGGCAATATCAACTTTGGTCTTCTCGAAATCCCTCGCCTTAACCTCGTTCTTGAATAGAATGTCCATTTCCGCGAATGTCCGATTCTTGGTCTCGGGAAGGCGGAAATACGCCCAGATCAGCCCAAGCCCCATAATTGCTCCAAAAAAGAACCCTGACTTTGCACCCCAATTCCAAGAGGCTTTTTGTACCATATGAGGGACAAGCTGGCCATAGACAAGAACGCCGATGTTGTAGACCGCACGGGCCATCACAACGCTCTTGTTACGTAAGTAATTTGATGGGATTTCAGTAACAATGGTATAGATGATAGGCCCAATAGTGATGAAGAAGACAAAGTATTCGATAAGTAGAATACTTCCGATTCCGTAGCCGATGTTTGGATGGGTCTTGAGATCTGGAATACCCATGAAACCAATGACAAAAGTGGTCACGGTCATAAACGCCGTGCCGATGAGCAGCAGGGTCCGCCGACCTGTCCTGGGCACGCAGTACCATGCAATGAAGACACCGACAATCGCCAGGGAATACTCCCCCATGCCAAAGTCAAACGAGGCGGCGGAAGGCAGGCCGGCCTGTTCCAGGAAGTAAACAATATATGCAACCAGGGGAGCACAAAGTTCTTGAATAAGATAGGTCAGTACGGTGATCTCTGTACGGCGCAGGTTCACACCCTTGAAAAGATCCCAGTAACTGCTTGTGGCCTTCATTTCGTTCTCGATCTTCACGGTTTGCACCATCATGGCGACGGTATCGGAAATCTCATCCTCTGAACTGTCTTTTGCGCGAAGCCGATGCAAAGATTTTCTTGCATCTTCAGTGCGCCCTTTGCGAATAAGCCACCAAGGCGATTCTGGAGCCAGGTAAATACCAATGGCTAGTGGAATCGGGAGGGCCCATTGCAATGCAAATGGAATCCGGTAGGCCCACTGGCCGTGTGATGATAGGAAAGCCCTGAGAACACCAGTTCCAAGCAAGTAGCCAATGCTCCAGCACAGAGATACCAGCATGGTCAGGTATGGTCGCAAGACATTTGGGCATACCTCGGCAGCATAGGTTGTCGTCAGTGTTTGGAAGACACCCCATGGAAGACCGAGTAGAATCTCAGCTCCCAGATACATATAGATGCTGGTGGCAAAGAACTGCAGGAAGATGAATGCCATCATCAAAAAGAGACAGCCGATCATCACCCAGCGATAGCCGATCCAATCTGCAAGCAAACCATTGAGTAGCAGACCGACGATTTCGCCAGCATTGACACCATTGCTGATACCTGACTGCAGATCTGCGGGAACTTGGTATGTACCGTCACTCTGAAGTTTGCCATAACGTTCCTGGAACGCTGGGAAGGCGAAGAAGCCGCTCACAAAGGCATGGTCGAATCCTTCCATGATCAAGGCTGACGAGAACCATATCGACCAGAACACAGCGCGAGGATACTTGCGAATACCCTCTCTCAGGCCCATCCCGTGCTCCTCTTCGGTGGCCCTCTGCGCCCCCTTGAGCGTATCCTCTGCAGATTCAAACCTCTCCTCATCCTTATCGGTCACAATTGTGGTGGTGGCTTGATTGTTGACATCTTCCTGATGTTCGGCCATCTCGATCGAATGCAAATGATGGGTAATGCGACAAGAGTGTTGCGTCGAGGGGGATCAAGCAAGGCTGCACACTCGCGATAGAGTAGAGAAGACTGTAGGTATTTGATGCTACATTTGTAGGCTCGGGCCCACCGTGAATCCCTCCACCTACTCCGCATCTCCAGACCGTGTGGAGATCGACTTTCTGGGGAAAGCTCCGGATGGGGTAGACTCCGTGGTTTGCCCGGTAGGGCGGGCCAATGCTGAACCGAATAAAGGATACTTTTGCGCCGATCCGGGATCAAATGGACCGAAGTACTGATCAGCTTATCATGCGGTGGACGGGGAGAGTCTTTCCTCGTGGGCACCTCGTGTACAGATACCAATGGAGTGATTGTGCCTCGGGATTGTCAAGCACGCGGGTGAGACCTCGTCTGGCGCTAGCCTTTCTATTCCACCCCTCTTGCGTGATGCCCCCCGTATAACTATCCGCCGTTCGGCTGGGTGGTTTGCCATCATCTCCAACCGAGTTCCCCCTTCTTCCTGACAAGCTCTTGACAAGGCGGCTTGGCATTCTTGTCCCGCATCGCCCACTTGTCCAGGAGGGTCCGAGCGCAACATTCTTCCGAGACTTTGTGTTTTCTTTTTCTTTTGGAGGATGGGTGAAAGCAATCTCCGGTGGCTGGTGGGAAATGGCCCCCATGTGCTGTCAGATGGTATCTCGTTTGGAATGCCGTGGTCGCGGGGTCTTTATCAGCCCGGCCAGTCGTTTGTAATTGAAGGAGACGGCACTCAAGTTCCCCTCGATTGCCGCGAGATCGCCTATTGGGCCGATGGCTCTCTGAAATGGACTGCTCACTCTGTAAGTGGAAATCTTGGCCATTCGACGCAATACCAGGTCAAGGGAGCCTCCTTCTCAGAAGAGCCAGTCCAGGGGGTTGCGGTCGAACATCGCGGATCAGCACCATCGGTTACTTCCCAGCAGGGCCTCCGCTTGAGCTTTGCAACTCCAGGGGGCTCGTCTATTCTTGAAAGCTTGGACATAGACGGACGCAGGGTGTGTTCGGGCTGTACCGTCATTGCATCCATCGATACAAAGCCGTATACCACACACGTGCAAACAGTCGATGTTGAGAATGCTACTTTCAGCCGAGTGGTGGTGAAAGTCTCCGGTATTGTGCAGGCGGAGGGCAAGAAATCTCATCTTCCATTTGATGTTCGGTTCTATATTTACTCAAATGCATCGTCAATCAAAGTTCTTCATTCTTTCGTCCACGATCTGGACCCCGACCAGCCTCTAACATCTCTGGGGTTAAAGTTCACGGTCCCGTTGGAACAAACTGAACTGTATAATCGTCACATACGCCTGGGAGGATCCGGAGCAGGGGTTCTCAAAGAGGAAGTGCAGGGTCTCTCCGGATTACGACATGGACCGACAATTCAAAACAGGATCGATCAAACAGCGGGCCGAGTTGTGACGCTCCGTGAGGACAACTGGAAAAGGACACAGCTTGCAAAAGGTCTCTCCTACATTCCAGCCTGGGATTCCTACTCTTTATCGCAGCTTTCATCCGACGGCTTCACCGTGAAGAAGCGAACTCGACCTGGCTGCTCTTGGGTCAAAGTCACTGGTGGGGGACGAGCAGACGGAACTGCCTATATTGGGTCCGCCTCCCATGGAGGTTTGGCTGTTGGCATGTCCGACTTTTGGGAACGTTATCCGACACAGCTAGATCTGGATAATTTGACCTCGGAGCTTGGAACAATTACGGTTTGGTTATACTCCCCGCTAGCGGAGCCCTTGGAGACGGCATCGTATCACAACGGGCTAGGATTGGACTCGTATGAAAAGCAGTTGGAAGCTCTGAACGTTACCTACGAGGACTTTGAGCCAGGGTTTGTGACAGCCAACGGAATTGGCAGAACAAATCAAATCTTTCTCCGGCCATTTCTCCAAACTCCTTCAAATGAGGAGTTGGGCCAGTTTTCAGGGCTAATTCGTGATCCTCCTCGGCTAGTTGCAAGTGCAATCCATATGCATTCCGCTAATGCTTTTCATGGGTCATGGGCTCCTAGCTCCCGAATACTAGGCAGGAAGCCTAGCCCAAAGGAGGAGCAGATTGATAGTCAGCTCAACCTACTGTTCAGTTACTATCGGAAACAGGTTGAGCAGCACAGATGGTATGGCTTCTGGGATCATGGTGATGTTCAGCATACCTATGATCCGTACCGTCACGCCTGGAGATACGATGTTGGTGGGTTTGCATGGGACAACTCGGAGCTTTCAACGGATCTCTGGCTATGGCTTTATTTCCTACACACCGGAAGAGCCGATGTCTTCAAAATGGCCGAGGCTATGACTCGACACACTGGTGAGGTAGACGTGTATCACGCTGGAAAATTCAAAGGGTTCGGTACCCGACACGGCGTTCAGCATTTCAGCGATAGCTCTAAACAACTTCGCATTTCAAATGTACTATACCGACGGATCTACTTTTATCTGACCGGAGACGAACGAACTGGAGATTTGATCTCTGAGCTTCAAGACTGCCAGAATGCGCTATTGGTGTTGGACTCGCATCGCAAAGTGCAAGAGCATGCCGAAATACCTGACGGGTTTGCCATGACCAACATTGGGCTTGATTGCGGTCCTCTTATTGCTGCCTGGTTGACAGCATGGGAACGACGCTCGGAAGGGTGGGCTCATTCGAAAAAGTTGCTGATCAAGTTACTCCATGGCATTTCTAGATTGAAGCACGGCATTGGGAACAACGCAATTCTTTTGAATCCCAGGAGCGGTGAAGTACGAGAATGTCCTGCTCCGACACCTGAATTCGCAATTTCGCATCTATCGATGCTTTTTGGATTTCCGGAGATCTTCTCGGAGCTTTTTCATTTTGCTCGAGAGGAGGCCCCCGAAACTGTAGCTATCTTTATGAAAAAATGGCTTGCATACTGTCGAGCATACAATGGTGGACAGGCTGTTCAGCTTGCAGAATTCGGGTTCGAATTTCCGGCTCATGCAACGTGGAGGCAAAGCCACTCTACCCTGACTGCCTTCGCGGCAATCGAAGAAAATAGCGCGGAGCTCGCATATGCCGCATGGAACCAATTTTTCAGCACGGACGGATACACGGAGAATCACGACTGGGGGATCCATAAAACTAGTCCTCCTGAATATTTCCGCGAAGGCGAGGAGGCTATTTGGGTCAGCACAAATGAAGCTGCGAGATATGGGGTCTCCGCAATCTCGAACCTCGCCAGTATTGGTAAATATTTGGTATAATACTCTAGTTATACATTACTACCTAGAATCTATCCTAAAGAAATTAAATCATGTGATTTCAGAAATTATTCGTTATTATCAATGGATTTCCAGGTTGTGGTAGACAAAATCTGTTCATTAGCAGCCGTTTCCGAAGTCGAACTTGCACCACGCGGTCTTTCAATGAAATCTGGCTCATCCACAACTGTCTCGTACTATTTTCAGCTTCTGCATGAATTGTCAGATGACCTGAGAAATCACCTAAGCATAGCATACTCTCGGTATCATTTGACCCGCAGCCCCGGAATAGGACTGTAAAGGAGGGACGTGGCGTACGCAACGTGGCTTTCGAAACCCCCATATGAATGTGGATCCTCAATAGCGTGGGCGTGTTTTGGGGGTGAAGAGTGTATCTAATTGATGGAAAAACTGGAAGCGCCATAGCATTTGCGGGGATGATCCTTTCTTGGTTTGTGAGGGGTACAACGCGTTTACCAGCGAGCGTCTAGCTCCATCAGACCTCAGGCCGAGCGTGACTTGACTCAGCAAAGAACAAGATCTCGCTCTTTTCGGGGAATCACCATTGTTCCATTTTCATCGCTCTTGAAAGACAAGCTTTGAAGGCGAAGATGGCACCAACCAAGTATGCCGTGGTCGGCACCGGAGGGCGAGCTGCCTTCTTCTACAGTGCAATCGTTCGGGACTTCAAGGAGACGGCAACACTAGTTGCTTTTTGTGACACCAATCAAACGCGTATGGATGTTGCGAATAGCCGAGTTCAGGAACTAGGGCTATCCCAAATCCCGACATACAAGGCCGCCGAATTCGATCGTATGGTCGAAGAAACAAAACCTGACACCGTGATTGTTACCACCATTGATCGCATACATCATCAGTACATAATTCGTGCCATGGAACTGGGCTGTGATGTACTCAGCGAAAAGCCTATGACAGTGGACGAAGTCAAATGCCAGGCGATTCTCGATGCTGTCAAGGCAACCAACCGACAATTGCGAGTTACCTTCAACTATAGATATGCCCCGCATAACACCAAGGTTCGCGAGTTATTGATGGAAGGGGCCATCGGTAAAGTCACGTCGGTTCATTTCGAATGGCTACTTAATACCAGACACGGTGCTGATTATTTCCGCCGATGGCATCGAGACAGACGCAACAGTGGTGGACTGCTGGTCCACAAGTCCACCCACCATTTTGACCTAGTCAACTTTTGGCTTGGCAGTCGTCCAGCTACTGTTTTCGCACAAGGAGATCTGAAGTTCTATGGCAAGGAGAATGCTGAGCAACGTGGGGAGACCAGCTTTTACTCCAGAGCTCACGGTAGCCCTGCGGCAGTCAATGATCCATTTGCCCTCCACATGGAAGATCATCCCCAGCTTAAAGCCATGTATCTCGACGCGGAGCACGAGGATGGGTATTACCGAGACCAAAGCGTTTTTGGTGATGGTATCAACATCGAAGATACCATGGGAGTCTTGGTTAGCTACCAGTCTGGGGCGATTTTGACATACAGTCTTGTTGCCTACTGCCCGTGGGAGGGATTTAGGGTCTGTTTTAATGGGACCAAAGGCCGGCTGGAGATGGATGTACTTGAACAATCGTATGTCAACGCAGGTGGTGAGCAGAGCCAAGAAGGAGCGGTTGCCCACACCAAGATTACCGTGAATCCAATGTTTGCGCCCCCTTATGAAGTGCCGGTCGTTGAGGGAGAGGGCGGTCATGGTGGCGGAGACCCAGTCCTGCTGAATGACTTGTTCGGTACTCCAGTACCCGACAAGCTTAACCGTGCGGCATCGCATGTCGATGGAGCTATGTCGATTCTGACAGGAATCGCAGCTAACAAAGCTATTAGGACTGGCCAGGTTGTACAGGTGAAAGAATTAGTGCAGTTATAAGAAGAGGAGACGTGGCAATTCTCAAATGCAGATATACGCATATATTGGAACTTAGACGGCTCTAATACACGAGGCTGCCAAAATTAGAAATCAATCCTGCCCGACATATTTTGCATTCTTATGTCCTTCATAATTCTTCAATCTAAACTTGGGAAGATACTCATTTTAATACTACTTATGTGAAAAGGTGGGAACCCTATATGAAAACTATAATATAGAAGCTACGACGGTAGATAACGGCACTTGAGCGATTCATCTAGTTTGACACTGCAATTTGATGCATGCTATTGAGAGTGAGGGCCACACCAGACTTTATAGGAAAACAATGATCGGAGAGAAGTAGCTACGCCTTGATCGAGGCTGCTTGGGCGGAGTTTACTAAAACGATATTTGACGTGAAGGAATAGAGGCAAAACCCAAGATTTCAAATAAAAATCTTTCACCATCCCAGGTAGACATGTGTAGCCAGGAAATTTTACTGCCTAGCAGCAGCCACAATATTTGGCGGATAGTGTAGAGTGACGACTATGCATCATAACCTGAGGGCTTATGTGGAGAAAATTTGGCTGACTTTGTGGGGAAATGGAGTGGAGAGAGCGAAGTGGGGAGGAGCGCGTACGAAGAAGCATGTCCGTGCCCTGGAAAGCATCAGATATAATAAACCTGCCTAGAGTACCTATTTTTGTGAATTTATCCCCTCTCGCTTCAACTGCATTAACGTTGCCACTATGTCCGAGGAAACAATACAGCGGCCTATGAAGCTCAAGCAGCAAATAGTGGCACCAGGCACTGAACTCTTGATACAACAAGAAAATTTGGCCACAAATAACTATCAACATGTATTTCACGGCGATTTGCGCATTCTACTTGTTCCACAACCATCATTGAACGATCCCAACGACCCATTGCTGTGGTCGCGATTGAAGAAGTGGATCAGCTTTGGCAATGGTCTCTTTTACGCCTTCAATGGAGCGGTCACAGGACCTATGATGGCTGGAGGTTCGTGTTCTCAGTTGGTCAGGTATGATAGAAGAAGAAATAGCTAATCAAACCTTACACAGGAATGATCCAGCTTGCCACTTTCTTCAAGCGTTCACTCTCAGATATCACATATAGCAATGGCGCGACCTTGATTTGTCAAGGATTAGGTACTTTATTCTGGATGTATGTGCTCTAAAAATCGCTTGCTTTGTCGGAAAACCATCCATGATATTTCAAAACTCACTAAATGTTCTATCAAAATAACAGGCCCCTTGCTGTCAAATTCGGTCGTCGTCCAGTGTATCTCGCATCCAATATCCTCATGGGCATCGCTTGCGTTTGGCTTGCCATTGCTTCTGAGAAAGATTTCCCTTTATTTGTCGTGGCCCGTGCCTTCCTTGGCCTCGTAGAAGCCCCTATTGAAGCCATCGTTCCCAGTACTGTGACAGATATCTTCTACCTGCACGAACGAGGAGAAAAAGTCGCCCTGTATGGATTGTCTGTCCTTGGCGGAAACGAAATAGGTCCCTTGGCTTCGGCCTACATTATCCAGACCCTGAGCATGAGATGGGCATTCTTTATTGTCGCCATGTCAGTTGGAATCAGCGTGGTCACAATGTTTTTTCTCATGCCGGAAACCATATTCACCGGCCATCGCCCCAGAATCACTCCAGTCAGAGCCGAAGAGACGAATGAGATCAACGAGCATGAAAACAAACTCTCTTACGACCATATTGAAGGAATCAATGCTCTTACCACGGCACCAGTTGAAGAGACTTCGGAAATTGCAATAAAGCGATCGTACAAAGAGGAGCTCTTTCGGGTCAGTATCAACCGCGAGGTTAGTCTTTGGCAAGTATTCAAGCGACCTTTCATTCTCATGGCTTACCCTACGGTACTATGGTCGAGTCTTGTCTATGGTATGAGTCTGAGCTGGAATGTCATTCTGGGTTGTCTTGTCGCTCAGCTTTTTGCAGCACCGTGAGTGTTAGTCTTCCCCATTTACAAATATCTACTGTTACTGATTTCAGTCCTAATGCCTTTGATGTCCAAAGGCCATACCTCTTCAATTCCGGATCTCAAGGCCTAGTGTTTCTTTCTCCCTTCATCGGCTCGCTTGTAGGCACATATCTCTGTGGCCCTTTGGCCGATCGGATAGCAACATATTTCACGGCTCGTAACAACGGTGTCCGTGAGCCTGAGATGCGACTACCCACCTGTATCATCGCCGCCTTCTTGACTTTCATCGGTGCCTTGATTTCTGGTCTTACTTATCACTACAATACGCATTGGGCCGGTCCCATCATTGGATTTGGGGTGTTGTCCACTGGTGCTCAAATGGGTGCTACTCTGGCCATTTCATACACATTAGATTGTCACAAGGAGCTGTCCGCAGAAATAATGGTCACCATTTCCTGTCTAAAATCCGGAGTTGCTTGGATTTGGACATGGTGTATCAATGACTGGGTCACATCCAGTGGCCTCTTGACGGTGTTCATGTGCGTAGCGACAATTAATGTTGGGGTTTATTTGACGACGTTTATCTTTCATCTTTACGGCAAGAAGATCAGAATTTGGCTTAAAATAAGGAATCTGATGAGTGAGGAATTGGTCACTGAGTAGGGACATTTTCTGTTGTTTACTATGACTAGCGCATGGCCTTTTCCTACGCAAAGAATATAGCTTCGTCTCCAGTGACCCCGCCAGAAATGACAAAGTTCAGGATTGATTTAGCCCTCTCATTTGAGCCTTTGCTCCATGTTCAATCACTAAAGAATATTCCACTCAAATAAGTCTCGGAAACTATCCGAAAAAGTGGCTATTGACAAAAGGAAAAGATCAAGTCATTCTATCCCTAAATGCTCCGCACAACTTACTAAATATTCCCATCATTACCCATTACTACTTGAAAAGCAATGATCAGAGAGTAAGGAAATGACTAACAGTGAGATGGACTAAGGCGCCATTCTACTATAGTTCCCTTCTTCTTAATTTCGATAGAATTTATTTTAAATAATATCGCTTAAGTCCATAATTTTATATGGCCCGTCACTCTTATATTCACTCTGCGTCTTGGTAAAGTATGCTTTTCTATTCAGTCAGGTAGTGATGGGGTTGGATGCTGTATACATGCTAGAGTAGGTGGCTTGATCGAATTAATAAGCCCCCATTGAAATACTTTACAAAGCAGATAAAGCAAATCCGTTTGGCAAAATACTAGGGCTAATGAATATCAACTGCCAGATGACATGTGTCTAGAGAATTTAAAAATACAATTTTATCACTTTTAGAGCGAACACGGGGCGAAGAGACGGGAAAAGCGGGTGTGTGGGGAAGTGGGAAAATGGGAAAAATGCAGTGGTTTAAGGTTGAAAGGAAGCGAGAGGTCTTCTTTCCCTTGGGGAGAACCTAAGACAGTTTTATCCAATCAATCTTGCTCATTAATGACAAGGAAATCTCTTTCATCAATTCTTTTTTTCCATACTGTGAATGTCGGGGATGCTTGTCTTGTGGCATGAGGTGAAAGACCTTGACAATACGGCCGAGAGGCAAGACAGGCGATCCATTTTCTTTCTTTTCTTTTTTCCTTCTTGTAGTAGCCCTTGTTCATTATGACTCTTTGTTACAATTTTTCCACTATACCTACGGCATCTTCGGTGGAGATTTAGGATGCAAAGTTTGGTTTGTATACGCTGGTCTATTCAGCATTGCGCTAGTAGCGATGTTTTCGAACTGTTGGAGATGAAAGACAGAAGAGCTTGACCCTTCCTCTAAAGACGAAAATACGGATAAAAGCCTCGTAGCGCGAGTCAACTTGAAAATATTAGTTAGTTATTCAATGCAGGCTAAGCTTAGAAATAGGACATATCGAGAATGAGAAGCAACTAAATGCGGCGAGGACCTACATATCCTTCTATACATCTCGTGCTTATAGCAATACCCGATTCATCACTACTTTTATATAGTCTTCCGGGTAGACTCGGAGCCCAGCGCTGTGACACCCTGGTCAGTGACGCAGGAGATGTTCACCACTTCCTGCTGGATAGTTCAATAGCTTAGACACGTTGAGTATCGCGTTCTATTGGATCTAACCTTTCCAAGCCTATACCGTATCCTACTATATTGACAAGATGTTTTCCTACGGGTATCACTGTACATGGGCGGACGCTGAACCCATCTGAGGGTAGTGATAATGTACGCTTTCTCAGAACGACAGAAGTGAATCTGATAACTTTGCTGCTAACCCTTTTCGAAGACTTGGCGCCGAGCTCATATTTTCTCGGGCATCAATCTCATTTGCCAAGCTGAAAGATATCTTGGCTGTATGGAGTATCTCGCGTAAATACGCGGCCTTCAGTAGTGGCCCCATCTCGGACCTTTTCCACAACACTTAAGCCAACCATCTCTCTTCGCTTCGCTTGTTCGTGCTCGAGGGCTGCAGGTTGGAACTCGGGCCTTGAAAACTTGGAACGGAAGCGCCGGTTCCGCCCGCACGGTATGCTTCCAATTTTCTCGATCATCTGATTAGATAGAGTCCTTTCAATCTATTGCCCTCTGCCTTGGCTTAATTTACAAGGTCTCTCTTTTTCTGCCCGCGCGCTCCCGCGTTGAAATTCCTTCCTTCCTTGGCGCTTGACTTCATGTGACTGGAAATAACGATCTATCTGCATCAACTGCCTATGCGCAGTGACTGTGCCATTGCTGAACTTCGTGCCACTTTATCATTGCCGAGATGGCTTTTGACCGCCAAAGATTGAATGTCGGGAGACGCTCCAGGTTCAGGCGATGCCAAGGGCAGCCAGGAGCCCTGAGACCCTTGGCATGTGTAAAATAAGTTAGTGTACCACGCCAGCAAGCAATGAAAAAGATATCTATCGGTGAAATTTGTGGCCGATGGAAATTAGCGGATGCCATAAAGGTCAACAGCTTTTCCCTCGTGGTTTTCGGATTGTCTGACTTCTCTCAACCTTTTCGCTTCGATCCAGGGCGGTTCTATAAGCAATGGCGGTCATTAACAGATTTCGCGCTTTTCGTCGCCACGCGACCGACGAGACAGTTCCCGCTGTGACCAACACGACAGAGGACACTAAGACCGACTCTGTCGCTGCTGGCGCTGTCCCGGGCGAAAAGAGTCCTGGAGACGAGCAACATGATCCGGAGCGTCCGAGTGAAGATGTGCAGCATGGTGTCAAGAGCATCGAGGCCACAACTCTTACCTGGACCAAGCGCACGCTCATCGCCGTGTTCATCAAGTTCGTTTTGACTCTTTCTTGCCGATCGATGACATCTAGCCCCGAGATCTTCGCTAACCTTATCTCTATCTCGCAGCATTTGGTTCATATACTTCGTCAATGCCTTTCAATCTTCGGTTTTCTGGACCTTGGTGCCATACGTGACCAGTGAATTTGCCTCACATTCCTTGCTCAATACGATCTATGTCGTCGGAGACTGTATGGCAGCTGCAACCTACATTCCTCTTGCCCGGGCTATGGATACATTTGGTCGTGCCGAAGGCTTCCTAGGGATGGCCATTTTTGCGACGCTTGGTCTGATTATCATGGCGGCTTGCCAAAATCTTCCAACTTTCTGTGCTGCCTATGTAAGAAAAGCAAACGGACACTTGGGTATTGTCCTTAAAACTAACAAAGCACTTGCCGTCAGGTCTTCTATAATATCGGATTCAGTGGCATGATTTATTGTATCGATGTAGTAACCGCAGATGCATCCAAGCTGAAGAATCGAGGATTGGCTTTCGCCTTTACATCTTCTCCCTATATCATTACCGCGTTCGCTGGCCCGAAGGTAGCCGAGAGATTCTACAACGAAGTCAACTGGCGCTGGGGTTTTGGTTGCTTTGCCATCATCTTTCCCGTCGTCGCTGCCCCTCTTTACTGCATTTTGAAGTGGAATCTCCATAAGGCGAAGAAATCCGCCGTACTTGTTAGGGAGCCTAGCAACCGGACTTTCCTGCAGAGCGTCTGGCACTACACCAACGAGCTTGATCTCATCGGTGTTATACTTTTCTCCGGCGGTCTTGTTGTTTTTCTTCTTCCGTTCTCCATCGCATCTGAAGCTCCCAAGGGGTGGGATACTGGCTATATCATCGCTATGATTGTTGTTGGCTTCGTGATGCTCTTTGTATTTGCCCTCTACGAAACATATTTCGCACCTCGACCGATGCTGAGCTGGAAGCTGCTTTCTGATCGTACTGTCATTGGTGCTTGCTTACTGGATGCGACCTACCAGCTGTGCTACTACTGCTGGAATGGATATTTCACCTCCTTCTTGCAGGTAGTGAACAACCTCACTATCGCCCAGGCTGGCTATGTCGCAAATACGTTCGATGTTGTCTCGGGTGTTCTTCTCCTTGGAGTTGGCTTTGTTATCCGCCGGACTGGCCGATTTAAGTGGCTGCTTTATATTGCTGTTCCTCTCTATATCTTCGCACAGGGCTTGATGATCTACTTCCGTCGCCCTAACCAAACAGTCGGATACCTTGTGATGTGCCAAATCTTTATCTCCATTGGTGGAGCCGTGTTTATCATCGTCGAGCAGCTCGCTATCTTGGCCGCCGTTGATCATCAACATGTTGCTACCGTTCTTGCGCTATTGAATGTCGTCGGAACTGTTGGAAATGCTGCAGGTTCCACCATCTGCGGTGTTATCTGGCAAGCTACCTTCAAAAAGGCACTCAGGATGAACCTTCCACAGGAGGTCATGGATAACTTCGACCTCATTTACGAGGATGTTGAGACCCAAATGTCCTATGTTCCTGGTTCTGACGTAAGATATGCCATTCAGAAGTCATATGGCTATGCCCAGACCCGTATGCTTGCTGCTGGTACTGCAATCATGGTCCTCTGTATTGGTTGGACCTTTTTGATCCGGAACATTGATTTGAAGGCAGTTCAACAAGTTAAGGGTGTGGTTTTCTAAAGCTCGGTCCCTGATCTCACATTTTACATAGACTCTTGTTCTCTCTGCAAGTAGCTCTAATTGATCACCATCCAAAAAATCAGTTCTCGCTTCATGAGCTTTAGCAATTGAATGTGTATTATAATGTTGATATCTAGTTATAAGAAGCTCGTTTATTGGGAGTTGTAAAGGTGATTAATTCTGTATGAGGGAATAATGATAAGCTAAGGGTGACGATATTTTCACTTGGTAACATTATCATAACATTATCATACGAATTTCCACCCAAATGTTTGACTTCCATTCCTCTACATACCGAGCATAAACTGCAAGAAGATGTCCGGTTTTAATGACTTCTCCATTTCCAGAGTGATTCATGATAGACCTTCGTCGTAAAACCAGGCCTTCAGTAACTCTACTCGATACTCCGCTTCTCATAATGGAAAGTCATAGTCGGAGCCGAATACCAAAATGACGCTAAGTTTGGCTGCTGATTTTGACAAATTTGCTTTCTGCTGTAGAGGTCTCCTGAGCCTTACGGCTTGCCAAAATTCATTACAGGATGCATTGTGCAGCTTCTCTCCGTGTGATAATTCCCGCCCCCAACCCCATCCCAAAAAGGCTGCATGTTGGGCAGCTTTCGTGTTTGCCCTACTTATCTCTTGAAACCGAAAATTTGGAATTTTGTGACAGATTCAAAATCCTACATCCCTATATTGATAGTCTTCAAACATTCCTGTCTAGCTGGATTTTCCTGCTATCCTCTCTCGATCTATTTCTAGAGGCGGTGCTCTAAAACCAGGTTGTGTTTGTCAAGTAATCACCTTTGGTTCTGTACTTCTGTACTCACTTCTTTGCGCTGTTGGAGAAAAAAACCAATCAACCCCTGTCACCTACCTCCCGAAATGCGCTTGGACTAAGGGAGACTGTTAATTTTAGATCCTTACCAACCAAATCCAATCTACATATTGCATTAGCTACCTAAAATGACTGGAAATAAAAGGACAGGTTGGAAGTTGAGCGTTAACTGTTTCGGTTTTCCAACTCCCATAGTTTCTAGATGATCATTTGTGTTTGACTGCAGCTGTTATTTATAGTTGAATTCAATGCTGGGTTGGCAAGCGTGTTAGATCAGAACGTTAGAATATTTAAACTCCGACGACGGTATGAATTCGGTATCCATTCTACCATCCTAGATACACTCCCATATTCATCACAATCAGCTCCCCTTTATAACCAGGTTTTTGAGCCCTTCAGCACATCTATAAATCTATACATACCATGTCGAGCAAGCAAGGGTCCAACAATGAAAATGCAACGAGCAGTGGTGCGAAGGGCAGTGGTGCGAAGGGCAGTGGTGCGAAGAGGGATGGTGGCAGTAGACGGGATATGAGAGCTAATGTTGACACCCTTCAACGAATGTATGATTCAGGGGATATAGGCGTGAAAAAGGATTTGGATTATTGGAAGAACGCACTGAAATATTACCCAAAGTGAAAACTAGTATCTTTCGCTGAAGCAGCATCTGTTTCCTGAGGCTTCCTTCCATCATGGTGTGGTTTTTTGGCTGGTTCGCTGATCCATCTCATCCTGCCTGCATTCGCAGGTTTGTCATAGAGTGCCCTGGTTCACTATCTATGTACGCTCGTTTCGATTCAAGCTCATTTTTATCAATATGAATTGATTTTTGAACCTCAAAGGCAGAATTTCGTATGGAGTTTAGAACGAAGCTTCTTGCCTGGAGATGCTAGGAGGATAGTGTGTAAGAGAAGAGCTATAGAATAATTCTGCCCAATAGATACCATTATGACTTACGGGGCTGCATGAATGATCCCCCGCTCACCGCTCCTGACAAAAACCGCCTCTTCAACATATGGGCATTGTTTTCTTCCAGTCACACCCTTTTGATGTGAATATCATCAATACCAAGTGTATAGGACATATCATTCATTCGCTTCGCGTGAAAAGTGACATTAAAGCGGGTCCCATGGATATGTCGCCGATGACGCGTCAAAATCCTTCCCCATCCATAGGTCGGAAAAAGACAACTGAAGCCTGTGATCCTTGTCGTGCACGGAAGTTGAAGGTATACACGATTTATTAATCGCGCAAGAAGTCTTTAGGGGAGTATGTTGATTTAATATAGTGTGATGGCATGCTGCCTTGCAAGTCATGCGAGAAGAGCAAACTCGAGTGCTCTTACGATCCTTCAACTGCAGCCAACAGAATGGCCGGGTTAGTAGAAAAATTACAAGCTTCCTAATGTCGGCGATAACAATTAATGTCACCTAGAGGCCTCGATTTCCTGAACGCGAGAGTAGTAGAGCTTGAGCGAGCAGTTTTTGGCGAAAGAACCTATCAGCCTAGTGGTTTTTCCAACCCACACAGTATGTTTATCCAAACCTAAGCTGATCGCCGCTGATCGAGATCAAGAAAGCATAGCGATGGTGCCAAACCGGGAACCTCCTGGCACTATAATGATCGACGAGGTGGACGGGTCGTCTGAATTCTACGGTCCCACATCGACTGTTATACTCGCCAGATCGATTGAGAAAGATGAAGTTCAGATTAGAAGGAATGATCTCAGTGAGAAACCACCCCGTAAACGACAATTTTGCTCGACGAGCGATCAGAGGCGGTATTTTTCTGGCAAACTTGTCTCAAAAAGAGACCTTGAACATGAAATTTATAACTCGGAAAAGGGGGGAAAAGAAAGTAACTGGCCGATACAAGAAAAGTCTGCCGGTTCTCACATCAATCACTTTTTGACAACCGTCTACGATATTTTTCCGCTTTGGAAGATAGAAACACTTCAGGACGCCTATGATGATTTTATGACCGCCTCGCCTTCTAATCTTGATACTCCTAGATCGTGTCTTATCTATACTGTTCTGGCACTGGGCGCTCTTTACGCCAATGAGGATGGCGATTCCGATTGGGCCAATAATTACTTCATGAAAGCCCAGAGAATTCTTGGGAAACTGTTTTCTGTCAGCTGCTTGGAAACTGCCCAGGCTGCAATGTTAATGGTAATATATCAAATTTGACATAAAATGCTGTATTCTATTAATATTGTTTTGAACTGACTGGTTCATAGGCGATCTATGCACACTTTACAGCTCAGCCAAATCGTATGATCGGTCCTCCCCTCCTCGCATCTAATTTTCTTCAACTAATGTCGCTTAGTCGCATATAACTATCTTGGGGTTGCTATTAGAATTGCTTACTCTATAGGTATCAACGGCAAGCTCGTTATATCGCTTGGCGGTATCTCAGATCGCGAGTCGGCACTTCGAACATGGTGGACCTTGTATAGCTTAGAATCAGAATTGTGTTTGGAGTACGGGCGTCCACTCTGTATTCGAGAGACGGATGCCAAGGCCTACTATCCACAAGAAATATTGGTTGGTGATTATAAAAGCTCTCGTTTAGCATCTTGTTCAATAGCTGACTAGCACTAATAGGAGCCTAATGCTAGCATGAGCCGAGTCAGCTATGTTATTTCGATGGCCAAGTTCAGTCGGATTATTCGAAAAGTCATCGATTTAGTATTGCGCCAAACATTCCCTCCACATTAGTCTCAACTAAATGGCTTGAATAGGTGTCCAATATTAGCGAAAGAGAAGTCGATTTGCAAACCTTTGTGGGCAGGATGATGAACCACCAAGCAGAACTAATGACGTGGCGCGGTGAGCTTCCAACACACCTGGCTCCACAGAGAACCTCGTCGACAATGGGTTTGCGAGCATATGGGGACATCTCCTGGGTCCAGCGTCAATGCTGTGACATTGAATTGCGTGAGTTATCATGGTCTGCGCTAGCAACGTAAATCTCACATTTCTTCTCCAGGATTCAATCAAGTGATGCTTGTGATGCATCGTCCGTTTCTTACAGATAGAAATTTTTCAACTCCATTCTATTCGTTCACCATGGCCCGAAGTGTCTGCCTTGGTGCAGCACGCGAGTCAATACTACTCCTACACAAGGTCCTCGTTGAGGATCCCAGTAGTGACCAATGGTCGTGTCATTACCATCGCCTAATATCAGCGGCACTTACTGTCCTCACGAATATTCCAGACTCGCCCCCAAATGAACGGACCAGCTTGAAGGAGTTGTGTACCACGAGCATCGAAATCTTCCATTGCATGCGCTCGGGATGTCCGAGTAAAGGATCTGCCCTGGTTGAAAGCGCTCTGGCCCGCCTAGCAAATGCGGAGACGCAGGTAGAGACCAGAGTAGAAACCGAGTTCGGACCGGAAATTTGGCAATCGATGGGCTAGCTTCAAATCAAATGACTGCAAGGCTTCCAGAGCGTTGGTTGTCTTGATAAAGCAGAAGGATTGGCCCCCAAACTGCAGGGGTCCCGTTTATAGTCAACGCAACCTGACCCACTCCCAGTTCTGCAGAGTTGCTTAGACCATAAACTATCAATCATCGATTATCGGTGTTGGAATATCAGACTATTCGAATGATAGAGAGTGACTTGATTGACACGGACCAAGGGGATAGCAAAGAATGAAGCCTAAAACCGTGTAACAAAAAAACCAACTCATGCGACCCGTGGAAGGATGACTTTGTTGGATGGGCGGTTAAACCACCCCAGAGCCAACGGACACGGGAAGCGCCCGCACGGGACACCATCGGCAACCGCCATCGCGAGCGCCTGCGCATTCAGGAGTTCCCAACCACGACCAAGATTCCTCTTTAGACACTACAACAACCGGGCTTGCAGAGCGTGTCCTACTAGTCGACGTCAAGCGATCTTTTCGAGCCGCTATTTCCCATTGGGCGTGGCAAATAACAAGGAACAGAGCACAGCAGCCCTTCACGTCATTTCCCCGCAGGGATTGTCGAGCATGACCCCGGTGCAGCTGGCGTTACGGTGACAATCGGATTCGCCTTTCCGTCGCATGCTAACAACAACCTTTCTCGTGGTATTGATCCTACAGTCGATTTGGATGCCTATCTTCTTTATCCTTCTTGTTTCCCCTTTTGGCTCTCTCCTTAGACGCCGATGAGATCGCGCCGGCCGGTCATTTCGCAAGACCTCGAAGACCTCCACCCCCATAATGAGCATCCACTCTGTTGACTATGCCCATCGGGGCTCTCTGCAACCAGAGACCGTCCATGTGGACCTTGAGGCTGGCCGACAATCGCCAACTTCCCCACTGTCCCCGACAAGAGGGGATGGGTCAGTCGGGGAGGCATTCACCACCGCGGCAGCGAGAGTCAACTCTAGCGATACAGCCAAACGACGAGTCCGTCGCTCGAACACCGCACGCTCCTACCACCCAGAAGGCTTTACCCACGACATCAATTGGCAACCTGGAACAGAGCCAGGAATTGACCCATCGAAACCGCTCCCCGCATACAGCTCAGAATGGACGTCCAATATACCGGGAGATCTGCAGCGGCAGTGTGAGATTACAGTGGTGGATTTTTCACAACATGAGATGCGCCAGTACGAATTGGACAACGAAACGCTGGAGCAGTTCCTCGCGCGCGAGCGAGAGCCCTGGGTGCAATGTCGATGGATCAATGTGAACGGCCTCAGCTGGGATGTAATCAAGATGTTGGGAAACCATAAGAGATTACATCGACTCGCTATTGAGGACGTCGTCCACACAACCAATCGAACTAAGGTCGACTGGTACTCTGACCATGCTTACGTCGTATTGACATTGCAAAAGCTAGTGAAACTGCACGAAGAGTCGAGCGATTCGGAGGATGAAAAGGACCCAGATAACGGCGGAACCTTCATGCGGAGGAAGAGCTCAGTTGTAAGCGATAAAAGCTCGGTATCTCTGAAACGCCAAACCAAACGGCACGTTATTCTCGACGCCTTGAAAGACATATTCCGTTCCAAGTCGAAAACACAAGAGAAAGAGAAAGCCACGGTGGGATCAAGTGTTCGTCCCGGCCCTCAAAGATTCTCTTCTAAAAAAGCTTCTCAATTTGGAAATGTGGCCTCTGCAGCAGGGGCCACAGCCAGGACCCTCCAGCGCTATCGCGGCGGTCCTAACGAGGACCGAATCGAGTTCATGGAACGCTATGCCTCTCTCGCATCCAAGGGCTTATGTGTCACGCTGGAACAGGTTTCGATGTTTCTCCATGCCGACAATACCGTCACATCCTTCTTTGAGACCAGCGCGGATGATATCGAGGCGCCTATTGTGCGGCGCCTTAGCTCACCTGAGACGATTCTTCGGCAGTCATGCGATGCCAGTATGCTGCTGCAAGCAATCCTTGATGCTGTCATTGATCTTGCTATTCCAGTGACCATGGCATACCAGGATGCCATAGGAGACTTGGAACTTGGAGTCTTGACCGACCCGGACATAGATCAGTCAAAAAGCCTTTATGTTTTGACTTCTGAAATTGCCGTTCTACGCAATTCGATGCAGCCCATTGTGGCTGTTATCAATGCTCTTCGAGATCATCGTTCCCAACCTATTGGTACTCCAGGCTTCGGTGTCTTGCGCAGCGGAATGTTAAGCCCAACAGCCACCCCTGGCGATCCTGAAGTTCAGCCACATATTGGAACAATCACACCAAACCTGAAGAGCTTTGGAGGCTCAACTGTCACAATTAGTTCAATGTGCCACACCTACCTAGGTGATGCCCTTGATCATTGTATAACTATCGTCGAAGGATATGACCAAATGCGACGGGCTGCTGACAACATGATTGATCTTATTTTTAACACGATTGGTAAGTGGAACAATTGCCTCTGCAAGTTGCAACCGCTTACATTTGCTACAGGTACCTACCAAAATGAAAGTATGAAACAGCTTACTATTGTGACTTGCTTGTACCTCCCAATGACATTTTTGACGGTAAGTGTTCATTTACTTTCTAAGCGGGAAGCGCGACATCTGCTCATACTGTCACTGCATCCAGGGGTACTTTGGAATGAACTTTGACGACTTTGCTGGCATCAAGAATAGCGACTCGTAAGTCTAGCATGACTAAGTGGACACTTTAGCACGCACTAACTTGATAAAACAGTTACTTTTGGAAGATTGCCATCCCCTTTGTCTTTGTTACAACAATGTTCCTCATGTAAGTGCCCTGCAATTATCCAACTGGGCCTGGTTATCTCTGACTAGTTTCAAGGCGGGATAAAATTCAACGCTACGTCGTCATGCTGGCTCAGAGACGACTTATTGTTAGCTCTAGAAAGCAGAGACGAGAGAGGAAGAAAAGATAGCCACAACTGCTGCATCAGGAACGGATTATCGGCGTTTTGTAGGAAGCTGGGAATGTTTAGAATTTTGTACATGCGCTCAGGCAACAACCTCCACGAGGTTCTTGCGTCTATATAGTACAGGTATTATACACGGCTTTTCTTGTTGCTTCTCAGATACTCTTCCGTTGGAATGCCATGTAGGCCTTCCAGGGGAGCCTCCAGTCTCCCCGTAGTAATTCAGGGCGGAAGACATCGAAATCGTGCTGCTGTAGTCGGTCCAGCCACAAGCGTGTCGCAACAGCGGGCATGAAGACGCCAAATGCTCTGTTGACCTCCTCAAGAGGTGATTCGCCGCCCCTCGAAGCCCCGGCTACTGCATTATCATACTCATGACCCTCTTCGCCTTCGTGTTCGAATTCGTGTCCGACGTCCTTTCCAGCGCGGAGATTGCTCAGCATCTGCTCCACCGTAATCAAATGATCACTGGCGCGTGTCGCAACGGCGAAAACCGCATCACGCAGGCCCTCGGCCTCAGCACCGCGCCGCAACACTTCCTCTTCTTTAACGCCATTTTGCGCCATGATGTCCAGCGGTAACATAACGGCGCCCTGTTTGGTTCCACCACTCAGCCCGATGTTCCCCGCGCCGCCTCCAGGCGCTTGTGGCGCGGGTGCTGGGAACGCAACAAGCGGCAGGCCTCGCAATACTGCAGCAATGCCCACTGCTTTACCGATATGCGACGCAACGTGGTCTGCTGTGACCGAGGTCATCGGGAGTGCTGAGAGGGTCAGGTACATCAATGTTGAATAGGTGTTTTCAGCGTAAGACTCGAGGGCGGCGATGTCAGGGTACGGATCGTTGGTGAGGGTCTGTTCGCGCGCGTTGATGAGCCTTGTTAACCAGCCCTTGCTGATACGTGTGCGACCCTCCGTACGCTCGTTCAATTCGGAGATCGCCGAAGCGAGCAGAATGGCAACCGGTTCCTTGGGAGGTGAGCCGGCCAGGATTTTCGCTACCGAGTCCCGCCAGAACTGGAGTCTCATTAGGCCAATGGTATGTGAGGAGGTCGTGTCTGCGATCATCGAGAGAGAGACATTCAAGGCGCGCAGGGCAATATAGAATGATCGGGCGTGGGACGGGATGAAGGTACTGAGAGTGTAGGAAGGTCGGTCATATTTTCTGAAAAAGTGAGGACAGGTCAGACTCTGGGTCAGAGAGCATTGTATTGTACCCAAGAGTGGGTAGGAGAGTGTACATATAGGGCAAAGAGGGAGACAATTGAGAAAAGAGGAGGGCCACATACGAGAGAAGAGCAACGCAGTATTTATGTGCGCCTTGAACTTCCTCCGCGGTGATTGGAGCGGAGATTGATGCAGTTCGACTGAAGTATCTGCTCTGGGGACAAAGGCCCTTCGAAACATGACTGCCTGTATGGGCGAGCCGACATAGCCGAGTAGTCTCTTTGAAGAGGGACATGAGGGGCGTGAAGATGTGGAGAGGTCAAAGTTGAAGCTGAGATGCTGCGGGTGCTGTAATCCGTCTAATCACATTGGTCCAAAAGTCAATGTCTTTGTCAGCCCCCATGAAAAGACAAACGCTGTCAAATCGACTTGGGAATGAATAGAAGGGTAAGAAATTTAAATCAGACGACAGATCTCCGCTGAATGAGAGCCCGTAGCGGCTGCTGGACGTTGATGCAGTTTTACTTTTTTTTTAATCGCTGACGTCGATCGGTCCGTTTCGCGTTTCTCCGGCGCGTCTCCCGACTTTCCTCCCTCCCACTTCGTTCCATGATCTCCATGTCTCAACCACGAGTATGAGCGAGGAATTGGAGCAGCGTCCGGCTAAACGACAGCGCTTTTTTGTGGAAGAGCCTGCTTCTCCCAACCGCTTAACTAGCGAAACCATCGACGCGTCCACACCGCGTCATCACCCCGGACTCGAAGATCCGGATGCAGAGCGAGACGGCGATAACCATGTTCCAGACACTCCTCCATATGCAGACCAACCTTCCTCGAATATTGGAGCCTCTCACGAATCGCCTGTCATTGCAGCGGTGGAAGATTCTAAGCCAACTGACACCCCACTGACAACGCTTCCCTCTTCAAATGACATAACGCAAATACGAACCAGCGAGACGGTCCTGTCAACAGTGCAGCCTCCAATATCCACTGGATTTGATGTAGATCTGTTCACTAGCATCATAGGAGAACAGTTGTCTGCGGAGTCTATCGACATCATCCAATCTGCCTCATCGAATAACGTGGAACGTGCGGTCAACATATACTTCGATGGCTCCTGGAGAAAGCCTACTGCCAAGAAAGCGACAAAAACGTTACGACAAACTTTGTCAATCAAATCTGAGCCTGGCGAAACAATTACCCCCTCGGCGTCAACATCTAAGGGCATGAATGTCGAACATCGATCTTTATTACAAAAACAGCCACCCGCAAGATATATAGGAGCTTTTGGAGTCGGGGGATGGGCGACAAGAAGCGGTCTTCCACTTCTTAAGCATGGAGACTTGGTCAAAATTGAGCGTGCGAGATCTCAGCCTGTTGCAAAACGAGGCCGTGGCGGCAAGCTCTTCGTTAACCACAAGGAAGATATTCTGACCCGCTTCACAACTTCGTCCGGCCAGGAAGTTGGACGATTACCACACGAGACTGCTGGGTGGGTTTCAACGCTGATCGATCAGAAAATTTGTAATTTTGAAGGGAGCTGTGTGTTCATTCCCGATCGCGTCCGCGTCAACGATACGATCTACATACAACTTCGATGCTATTTTCGACGAGAAGCATTTCAACGCGGTCCTTTTGCTGGATCCACTCCGGATGACAATAGATCTACTGGTTTATTCGAGGAAAAGGAGAGCACAGAAGAGAAAAGCCTTCGCTTGCGACAGATTGCTCTTGTGAAATTGTTTCATGAGATCAATCTTCAACCAGCATCCATTAACCCAACAACCGAAAAGCACAAGCGAGACGGTTTACTGCGTGCTGCTGAGATGGCGGAGCAGTATGATGGCGTTAAGAAGGAAAAGGAAAAGGAAAAAGGCAAATCGAACAAGGATGCCAACGACTCGTCATCTGAGGATGATACCCCAGAGTTAGAAGAGGACCAGCTTGACGCTCTCTACCGCAAGGCACAGTCATTTGATTTCAATATGCCGGAGGCCGATCCGCCTTCAACATTCAAGATGAACCTTCGAAAATATCAGAGACAGGCTCTTTATTGGATGTTATCGAAGGAGAAAGACAAAAAAGAGGCCCGAGAGCGGTCAATGCACCCACTTTGGGAGGAGTATACCTGGCCGACTAAGGACGTCGACGACCAGGATCTGCCGGTCGTCCCTGATATTGCTAGGTTCTATGTCAATCCATACTCTGGTGATCTCAGTGTGGATTTCCCAGCGCAGGAGCAGCAATGCCTAGGCGGCATTCTGGCTGATGAGATGGGTCTGGGAAAGACAATCGAGATGCTCAGTCTAGTTCACTCGCACAGAACCGAGCCCAACGGCGAGACTTCCAATGGTATTAGCTCTGTCAATGACCTTGCTAGAGTCCCGATATCATCTACTGGCATGGTACCTGCGCCTTACACGACACTGGTCGTGGCACCTACCTCCTTGTTGTCCCAATGGGAGAGTGAGGCATTGAAGGCTTCTGAGCCAGGAACTATGCGAGTTCTGATGTATTACGGGGCTGATAAAGCGGCAAATCTTCGAGATATTTGCTGTGAATCAAAGTATGCATCCGCACCCCATGTCATTGTCACCAGCTACGGAGTTGTGCTTTCTGAGTTCCGTCAGCTTGCGGCCCAGCCCTCTCCTATGGCAGCAGCCGCCCTTGGTGGTTTATTTTCCGTGGAATTTTTCCGTATCATTCTTGACGAGGCTCATATCATCAAGAACCGACGGTCGAAATCTGCTCGTGCTTGCTACGAGCTTCAAGCCATGCATCGATGGGTGCTTACAGGCACGCCGATTGTCAATCGTTTGGAAGACCTGTTCTCTTTAGTTCGATTCCTCAAGGTCGAACCATGGAGTAACTTTTCTTTTTGGAAGACTTTCATTACCGTACCGTTCGAGAATAAGGAATTCGTCCGTGCTTTGAATGTTGTGCAAAGTGTCTTGGAACCGCTCGTCCTCCGGCGAACCAAGACAATGAAAACTCCAGAAGGCGAGCCCTTGGTACCGCTTCCCAAACGAACTGTCACCATTCATGAAGTTGAACTCTCAGATAAAGAACGTGAGATTTATGACTGCATTTACATGCGCGCCCGGCGAACCTATAACGAGAATGTTGAAGCCGGGACTCTCCTCCAATCTTATTCCACTATCTTTGCTCAAATTCTTCGTCTGCGCCAGACTTGCTGTCACCCGATTCTAACTCGTAACAAGGACATCGTTGCGGATGAGGAGAATGTCGCTGCTGCGCTCGACGCAACAAATGAATTCAAAGATGACATGGATCTCCAAGAATTGATCAATCAATTCACAACGACGACTGAAACCGCCGAGACGGAGGACCGAATGGTAAAATTCACAGCTCATGCCTTGCGACAAATTCAAACTGAATCTAGCGGCGAGTGTCCAATCTGCTGTGAAGAACCTATGATCGACCCAGCAGTTACAGCCTGCTGGCATAGTGCTTGCAAGAAATGCCTGGAAGATTTCGTACGCCACCAGGTAAATAAAGGCGTGCAACCTCGTTGCTTTTCGTGTCGGCAATCGATCGACGCACAAAACATTTTCGAGGTCATCAAGCATCCTCTTTCGCATGCTATTACGCCCTTGGAACAGTTTGCGTCTAGCGAAACTCCGCCATCTGATACTCAGCCCGCACCACGCATTTCGCTTCGAAGAATCAATCCTCTCTCGCCATCAGCGCATACTTCTGCAAAAATACATGCCCTAATCAATCATTTATCTCGAATACCTCAGAACACGAAGTCTATCGTTTTTTCGCAATTCACCTCCTTTCTTGACCTAATAGGTCCTCAACTATCCAAGGTTGGTATTCATCACCTTCGTCTCGACGGATCTATGCCGCAAAAAGCACGCGCAGCTGTCTTGGCTCAGTTCACCAAGGATGAATCATACACCGACGAGATCATTGATACAGAAGATGAGGCACCCACTCGAAGAGGACTCTCTATCTCATCCAAGCCCACTCCAACCGTTCTCCTCATCTCTTTACGTGCCGGTGGAGTCGGTCTCAATTTGACCACTGCGAGCAATGTATTTTTGATGGATCCATGGTGGAGCTTTGCCATTGAAGCTCAGGCTATCGATCGTGTCCATCGCATGGGCCAGTTACGCGATGTATCGGTAACGCGATTCATAGTCAAGGATTCTATTGAGGGTCGAATGTTGCGCGTACAAGAGCGCAAAATGAATATTGCTGGTTCATTAGGATTGCGCATCGGCGGCGACGAATCGGAGGATGATAAAAAGAAAGATCGCATTGCCGAGTTGAAATTACTCTTTGAATAATAGGTTATTGATTTTGATCTCAGGATTATTCTTGAGAATCTTGGGTGAGCGGTACCCCGGTTTGGAGTTATTTTTGGGAGGGAACTTAAACCCACGAAACTCAATTCGGGTTTTATAGAGGTACAAATTCTATGGGTCGGATAAAGCCGACAACGAAACACTCGAGATGACATTATCTCTTGGTCTCTCGCTCTGGCAGTAGAAAATCCATGATTCATAACGGGTTTTTCTGGTTGTATTGCTGCTCAAACATACTTGGATGATAACATCTGCTGGATGAGAATTTTGCATTCGTCAGATATCCAGAAGGAACGGCAAGACTTGGCCAAAAAGGGACTTGATGGAGATGAATTCTATTGACAGCACCGGTGAATAGGGTGGAACATCCAAACTGGAAGTGGCATTGATCCAAAGTAGCATCTCGGCAGTACCGAGGGTCCATAAGCAGGAGCAAACTTTTTTTTCCACAAAATTCTCAGAAGAATCCTTTCTTGTGTCTTATCTTGTACAATAAGTACCACAGCAAACCTATCTCAAAGGCGCCAATAATCATAGTCAAACCGCTAAATAATTGTATGTTGAAGAAATTCAGATCAGCACTTCCGCGAGAGCCAAGTGAAGCGAGCGCGCCTGCAACAGGTGGCCCCAGCAGGGAGGCAAAGCTGCTGATACTCTGGGCCATTCCAAGCCAAGTTCCAAGTAGTTGAGGGTCCGGACAAATGTTAGGAAACACACTCGGTGGGAGAGGGATCAACGCTCCAGAAATGCCTCCTAAATATATCGTTAGCCCAGTCTCTGGCTGCAAGAGAAAAATATGAGCGGAAAAATCACCATAGAAAGCGGCAAGAATGACGAATCGGGCGAGCGTATCTGCACTCATCCAACAGAGGCAAAGGATACCTGAGAGCATGCCACAAAATATCCAAGTTATCATCGATCCAAAGCGCTGGGCCAAAATTGTTGTAACCACACGACCAATTATTGAAGCCGCCTGTGATACTATCAGCACATAGGACGCCAAAGATCTTGATGTATGCAGTTTTGTCTGCGCGTAGGTGGGTATATAAAAATAAGGTGTTATGTAGCCAAAGTAAAGCAGAAAATTAGCAACAGTAAAGCTCCAAAAAGGAAGATCTTTGAATGCTCGAGTGTCGATCAATTTGCGAGCTTGGTTGCTTTCAAGTTGGCTCGTCATTTTTCTCTGGGACAGGAGAAGGGTTGCAGCCACAATAAAGAGGAGAAGCATCACAAACGCCATTGCGCGAACAGTCCACGCAAATCCTAATATTGGAAGGAGCTGATCAAACATAATAGTATAAATGATGCCCCCTGCAGGTGCACCGCTTGTTGCGATCCCCAACGCCAAAGCTCGTTTTTGAGCAAATGACCGACTAACCAGCGCAATACTAGGCACATATAGCAACCCGAAACCAATGCCCATGCATATTCCTTGGCTTAAGAATAACGCATAATACGTCTTCGAAAGACTGAGCATCATAAATCCAAGAACAGCTAAGACTCCACCAGTGCAAATCATGGCGATATAATATCCTTGGTCAAAGAGTGGTCCCGAGAAAAGACCGCAGACGATCAAAAGCCAGGTTTGAATTGTGCCAATCCAAGATATAGCAGAGGCTGTAGAGTTCGGCAAGTATGTTAGAGCATAGAAACTCTGGAATTCCCCAAAAGCGAAATTCAAGCCCCTCTCCAGATGTCAGTTATTCTCAAATAAGGACCGGCCGTCTCAGGGAGAGTTGTCTCACCAAACATTGAAAAGGATACAAAATGAGCCCAAGACCTGAAATAACCCATGAATACTGTTGTCTAGTGTGGAAACAGGTTGCGTTGTCTGGACATCTTCGATCGTTGGACTAGACATTTTGCAGCTAGCAGAAGATCTATGAGAATTTGTTGTGGCTTTCATCCCTTCTGCCAGAAGCCAGGAACGACTTTCTCAGTGTGGCTTCGGTGGAAATGTCTCAATGAAATGAGGTCTAAATAAAGAGTGAATCCGTCGCTCAGACCACACTCCAATGCTTGATTTTCTAAATCTTTTCAGAAAATCTTTGGCATATACTTCTAGTCATTTGGGCTTGAAAGGATACTGAAAGACAAAAAATTGGATAACGGCCATATCTGCGGGGAAAGTTTATACGGGAGGGCCTCGGTTGACTGACTATACCCGAATATTTATGTCTTCAATGCCCCAATCGATGATTAGCATGCTTACCCCGCACTATTTTGACTCATAATCTTCACTTCTCTTCTGATTTCATCGAGAAAAAAAAAAGATTTCCATCTTGAAGTTTGACGAAGTTTCTTCGGTCCTAACATGCCTAGGTTGCTTTTGCTCCTTGATCGTTGTTTACATAAAAGCTTTTCCACAAACACAAGCCATCAAAATCAATGGAGTTCTATCTGAGCTCCCGGATAGGTTTTTGTCAGATTCAAAACTGGTAATGGAACTGGTTTCTTAAATAGGTCAGGACGATAACTGTAGAATAATATTAGATTTCTAACCCGAGACATGTAACCCACAGGATTGGGATACTTTCCCCAAGATTTTGCCTAAACTGTCATTCATTTTGCAATTGGTGTCGGAAAATGAATTCAAGTTGGCTCTCTGCCACCCCAAATCTGAGCCCGAAGACTATTAATTGCTCAGAGCAAAGGATTAAAAGTAATCAATCCTCAAAATTGTATTTCTGTCAATCATTATCTATCTCTCAACTAAGTTTGAAATACATAGTAGACAGAAACAATCAGGGTCGTTCCCTTCTCAATACCCGGTGCCCTCATGTGCTGATACTCCAATTTTAGATTTCTCAGAAGCCACTGACGAATTGATCCCTCAGTCTTCAAGCCGTTAAACGAAGAACGGCAATCCGTTCATAATTTTCTGCGATCGGTCAACTCTGTGTTTGGTAATTTGTTTTTATTTATTATGCTTCAGAGCAATGGACTTTCAGGAAATTAAGTAGTTTATAAGTACAGGCTACAAAAAGCAATCTATGAACAAACAAGAACCCGGATTATGAATTGACGCCTTCAACAACTAACACAAAAAGACGGTCTCGTTGCCAATCTGTGGACCCTGTATTTGTATTTAATTAGCAATATTTTCACAATCAGCCGGCAAGAAAGCAGACGAACCATATAAACAAGATTTCGATGAACAATACGCCAGGTACCGGTAAGCTGACGCTCCCAATTATCCTGGTATTGGCCGTACGCGTAAAGAACCTGGCCTTCTGTTTCTCCCTTTCCAAAGTGAGCGGCACGGAAATAGGTCACCGATCTGGCCGTGATAGGGGACAGGACATCAATCCACTGTGTTCCATAAAGATGCTGTGTAGTCACACATGCTAGGCTTGATTCTAGCACCGACTGAATGGACGAAAGTGGGCTCAGGATGTTGAGAGGCGCTGAGTAGTTGGCCGTTGCGTCGGTGGTGAAGACTTTGTTCAGAGCGTCGAAGTTTTTGCCATCAATAGCAAAAGGATAGATTGCTAGTGTGTTTCGGATTGCCTCAATGGTACCAGCATCTGTGTAGACCTCTGGCGTACAACCATCAGCGAGCGACGAAAGCTCGATAGGGGCGACATTGCTAGCCGTGGATGCCATGACCGAGCTAGCGGCGGCGAAGGACAGTGCGCAGAATGATAGGATATGCATTTTGTCCACAGAGTGACCAGGGTAATACAGACAGAATGAAAGAATAAAGCAAGCAGTGTGGATGTCACTGTTTGCTATTGGAGACTTTGCCGCACTTTTATGATTTTTTTGCTCACCACTAATCTCGGTTGTATTTTCCCTGAGATCCGAGATGAAGGTAACCTATGTTCTCGTTTTCGCTTACAACTGATGCCGTCCATGAATCAGGGCGTGGCTTGTGAGACAATGGACCAATCGGGATAGCGTCTAAAGCTAAGAGTGCGGTTTGATGAAGGGCCAATACGTATGGGAAAATGATATTAATCGAGTTCCAGGTGGGGAACGCTTTGACAGGACGGAAGGCTCGCTTCGTCCCTGGGGATCCGGCTCAAGCAGAACAGCCATCTCGGCACTATTGTCGGCTCGATGCGACATCTGCAACTTGCTATTTTCCAGGTTAATAACTGCTTCTGGCTAAGTCGAATTGCTCCAAATCACGGCTGTTCTGTACTCAATTGACGAACAACCTCGAGATTTCCTCCTAGAATCGCATCGGATAGTTATCCACTTCCTCACTAAATCCAAACAAGGTGGGGGTACCCGCAGTACTAAACCAGCAACTGGTGGTATTGAATTATTTCACAATTCGATTGCACGCTGAAATCATAGCACGATTTAGTTCACGTGGGCTTTTTTTCGGGGTACCAGAGAGGCTTCGGCATACATTCTAACTCGTTCAGTAACGGCATGCGACGGCTAGTAGCCGAAGGGGTACAATGCCCGCCACAGGGTCCAGCCCCACGAATTGGCCCCCAAATATGACTTGCGGGCGGCCCCCAGATGGTTTAGTATCAATTTGCTCCGGTATTGTTGTTCCATCGTTGCATGAGTCCGTGCTTGTTGCATACAGCACTGGCGGCATCATGACTCTCTTATTGGCGGTGTTTTTGGCACAACAATTTGCATCGATTGGCTTTCAAATGGCCAGGCGTCCGGAATCAGCCATGAAGAGAGCCACAACATTAGGATTTATTATATATTTTGTGCTTTTTCCCCATTGTACCGAGCTTATTCGGTATTTTGGTCATAGCATTTGAATTTCATAGAGTTGACTAGGTAAATGGCAGGCGCTCTAGGTTGAGCATAGGCACCAACACCCTGTCGAATCTTTCTTTATTCGAAGTACCGCGGTTTTTGCAAAAATAGCCGGACATGGAGGTGGCCCGGGGCTTTTCCTCTGGCTGGGAGAAAAGGACAGAGGCCACGATGGAGGCTCCATTAATATCCGAGCAAGGCCAGACGGTATGAAATTGCCTCAATGTGAGATAGCAAAGGATTAGTTTGATGTAGCTGTTGACGATTCTAGGCACTCTTATGGATTGGCGTCGCTCTTTCCTTTATTCTGGTTATCATTCGAACTCATGCTCAATACAAAAGCAGCAAACAGCTGTTCATCAACGACTACTGGATATTTTTTGCCGTGATCTGTCACTTGGCGACTGCTATTGTCTATCAATTTGCCATGCCCCCGATGTACGAGCTCACGTACATTGGGGCAGGTTTGAAACTCCCAACAGCCGGATTTATGGACCGAGCATCCTTGTTTCTCAAATTGCAGTATGCCGCCGACATTCTTCTATGGACTACACTGTGGTCGGTTAAGTTTTCGCTTCTGTTCTTCTTCTGGAGACTATTTGACTCGGTCAATTCTCACATGAGGTTGTTCTGGTGGATTATGTGTGGAGTTACCGCAGCGACATGGATTACAAGTGTTGTGTTGCAGGAATTTGCTTGTGATCCTATCCAGGATTTCTTCACGCTGGGTAAAGAATTCCCACATCCTTCTTCGAACAAACTGGCCATATTCTGATTCCATTCAGGAAAATGCTCTTCCGAGAAAGACGTCTTTTTTTCTAATCTCGTTTTTCATTTTTCAGTCGGAACCGATATCGCAGGTGATATTTGCGGTTCGTATTCCCTTCCCTTCTGTCGCCATATACCCGTCCTTACGTTACTCATATTACTATAGTCATGGTGATCCCATTCCCTCTGCTCCATAAATTGAAGGTCAATCGTCGAAAGCGCTGGATCCTAATTGGTATCTTCTCTCTTCCCATAATTCCAATCATGTTCGCCATTCTACGACTTGTTATGACAAACCCGAAGACTCACAATGTCGATCCGATAAAATTTCAATTATTCTCTATGTTGGAAAATACATCTGCAATCATCACATCTTGCCTACCTGCCTTCCGTCTATTCATTGTCAACGCGCACAACTCCACGGTTCACAGTGACTCGCGACCGTCTGATCGGTATTCGCGAGGCCTTGGTGGTTCATACAGAAACTTCGGTGGCCAGTCACAGAACAGCAGGAAGAATGCGGGAATTCCTTTAGGCTCTCTAACCCAATCACAATTCGACTCATATCATGGCCTCAAAGTCGTCCACGAGAGAAGCGTGGTGGGAAAAGCAGTCTCAAGTGACAGCGATGAGGAAGCTCTGAATCCTCAATATCCCACACCTGCTTACGGGGTTCTTGTTACAAATGAATATCATGTTACCTAAAGGAAGTAATCATATAGACTGATCTCCCTGGACAAGATGGGAATGACATATACATATATTTTTCACAGAGGTGTTGGGTTCTTTCATTTGATATTACTAATACATGAGAATAATATGGAACATAGAATCCAAGATAATCGAGTCCAAATTTGAAAACCATGGGAGGCAATTGAATTCCAGAGCATAGCTCACCAACCCGGAAAGAACACAAACAAGGATAATCTGCACAAATGGGATATAGGTGTATTTCAATGAAATTCACAAAACAGGGCCAATTCATCACCACACAGAAGGCTGATTTCAACCTCTTCAACGGCTCACGATTTGTTGGTATGGTGTCGCGGGTGGGCGACTTTGTTCAACTTCTCCTTCATTTTGTGCAAGGGGCTGTGTTTCCCACTCCCGTTACTATGCGACAACTTGTCGTTACTCTTGGGTGGACTGCCGGTTGAGCTACTTGTCGAACTACCTAAGCCAGAATTAGCAACCACGCAACTCTGTTAAAAACATTCAATGCCTTCAGTCCAAGAACACTCACTCTTCTCAGCTGGTGACATATCCTTCTTGGACGTCGTCTTCCCAGTAGCTTCTTTTTCAAACTCCGTCGCGGGATGTGGTGCCGGACCCTGCGGGCCCTTGAGGGCCTCCTCGCTCACTTTGCTATGATCATCAACCTGCGGAGCTTGGCTGCCTTCGCCCTCAGTCGGATCTGCGCTGCGCTGCTCAGGCTTGCTCTCGGTATTGGCATTGCTGCTTCCACTAGCTGCAGCTGCAGCTGCTGTCGGGGCCGAAAGTCCCACGGCGATAGGAGTGCCAGCGTTCGCGTTGGCCTCAGTTGCTGTATCCGCCCTGATATCCGGCACGGCATCCTTTGTGGAGACTTGTGGTTTTGCGCTGTCAAGTCTCGGCTCCTGAGGTGCTGTATTTGCGTCTGAGAATGGTGCATCGGGTTGTTCTGTTCAAACAGTATACATTAGCACATGCTCGTTTGCCTATGGGTTATGTTGATGTTCATTGGGGCTGTGCATAAGCCTTGTGCCCCGATCCAGGTGCTATGCGAAGAGGTGGAGCACAAGGATGGGCAGTTTCCCAGATCTTCGCACTCTGGAGTCACCTCCGATAATAGAATAACTCGAGGGTACTGGCTGGTGAATAGGACAGTGCTGATATGCACCTACCTTCGCGGTTGCCGGCGTCGTAGGGGTCATTGGCGAGGCCTTTCCCTTGAACGCCCGAGATTGGCTCTTCGCCGTATGGGACGTTCTGTTCGTTTGGCTGGTTCGAATTCGTGTCCTGCTCACCCCATATGGCGGTTGAGGCAGCATGTACGACTTTGTTCACGGCTTCCATATTGAATGAGTATAAAAGTGCAGATCGGGATATAGAGTGAGTGGTTGGATCTGATCCAAAGGAAAGAGATATAATACGAGTGGCGTTCACGGTCGGGATTCAGAAGCACGGGCGTATACAATAAAGACCGCGAGAAGCGGATGAAGAGAAGTGTGGTCCTTAGGTGATTTCAGGAAGTCACTATGTCATAGATGGCTGGAATGGCTGTGGGAAGGCCATTGTCGAGAGGAGGGGCCGACGGTTCTTAAAGGGGAGCTCCATATAGTGGCTACGTCAGTGGAACCCAGGGTTAGACAAAGATGTCAGACGTGGACTACGCCCACACGGAATCCGTCGAGTCAGCGTGGCTCAATTGCTTCAAGTCGACGGATCTTCGATTCGATCGGCACATGGCATCATCTGACGTCATGTCACGTGAGTATTCTACCTGCAGATAAGGACTCGGGTTGTGTACTGTATATTGTGAACCTGACTGGAAGAGTTTCATATGTAGCTAAAATGTAAAAATAACATGCTCTAAGGCTGGAGGAATCAGACACAAAAGCCAACAACAAGACAAGTAATGAAGAAACGAAATCAAAAAGCAACGAGGCGATTAGGTCGCGGGCTGTTTCCCACTGTTCCCCTCTTGGCTGGCCGCCGGCGTCGTTGCCGCTGTATTGGGGTTTAGCGGGTGTGTGGGGTCGTATCCGATGCTCTTCACAATGCCTAGCCCTTTTGTTTTCCCTTCACGGAAAAGGACTCGATCACCTGGGGCCAGGAACTCAGGTCGTTGAATGAAGCGGAACGCCACGAGGGCGCGATCGCCAGTCCGAATGAAGGGGCGATCGATGTCAATCACTGCACACGTCTGGCTGACCGCCCCAACATGGAGCATGGCCTGGTACTTAGGTTTGATAGTGGTTGCGTGCGAAAGGATCAACACTAGCTGCAACGTTAGCTCATCCTACAGGTCGGGCTGCGTGTTGACGATAAACAACTTACCTTCGGCGACAAATTCGCGGTGAACCTTTGGCGGGTCGTCCATCTTTTTCAAAACTACCATGCCCTTACGTACTTCCTTGCGGCGGACACGCTTGAGAGCGAACGAGCCCGATTGGCCCGCAAAGCAAGCGTTTACCTGGATGCGCTTACGTTCAATGGATTTAATCACAGTGGTGGTAAACTGCCCCAATGAGTCGGGACCGATCACGACCACGTCTCCGGCATGGATCACACCTGCCTTGACCACACCAGAAACAACAGTGCCAACATGGGGAACGGAAAACGTATCATTGACAAGAAATTCAAATGGGGCATCCTGATTGTAGTGGCCGCGATGTGGAAGAATATTCAGGAAGGTCCGCACCAGCTCCAGGTTTTCGCCGGTGACATTAGAGACTTGAAAAATCGGGCAGATACGCTGGCTAACGAATTGTGTGGCCGTGTTGATGGTCTCCTCCATGTCTTTCACGAAAATGGGGATCTTCCGCGCACCAGGCGACTTGAGAATCTTCTCCAGCTGAGAGAGAGTCTCCTTGAGAATTTGAGGCGGACAGATATCAATTTTGGTCACAATCACCATAACAGGGACATTAAGGGCCAGCGCAATGCCAAGATGTTCACGGCTCATGCCAATAAGGCCATTGTTCGCTGCCACCATGAGTAGACAGTAGTTGGGGCTGCTGCTCAGCATGCCGAAGACAGTAGTCCGCAGGTATCGCTCGTGACCAGCCAAGTCTGAGAAGGAAATGACTTTCGCAGCACGTTTTCCAATCTCTTCCCAAGAGAGTTTGCGGCCATGGATGCTGCTGATGATATCACCCCGGCTGTCGAACCCCATGATCTCCAAGCCAACGGAGCTAGTTCGCCCGCTCTCGATCTCATGTTTATGACGGAAGAGATTGACTCGGGCACGGCCACGGCCATCATCAAGACCCCCTTTAACCAGTACACCTAGCATGGTGCTCTTGCCTGCATCCACATTGCCAACGACGGCGATTCGGATCTCCCCCACCTCCTCAACATTCGAAGTATGCTGACGAATTAAGACCTTGCCCCATGCATCGCTAATGCGTTTGTTCTTCACTGGAGACTCTTCGGGGCCACCCACATTATACGTGAGTAGTATTCGGCAGTGGGCGGGGATGGTCTCCGCGGCTTCGCGCAAGCGCTGAAGCGCCTTTTCCCACTGGGGAAGGTCAAAGCCCATAGATTCGCCGCCATCCTCGAGTCCGAGATCGAAGACAGTTTCGCCTTGGCCCTCGTCGATACGCGTTTGTATTGTGCTGGCCAGCAGCTGTAAACTATCTTCGCTGGGCTCTCCTGTTTCGAGCAGAAGTTCCTTCAATTTGACAAGGCGCGGGGTATCCGACAGACCGAGTTGGTCGAGGATCTCCAATTCGGCATGGTCTTCGACATCGCGCGACACGCTGGAGTATCCGCTGTCGCTAGGGGCAGGCATCGCCGAGCGATTTGCCTGCTGCTTATCGGCATACTCGGCGAATTCGCTGAGAGCCTGGGGTAATGTGAGCTTGTGAGGGAGGTGGAACGGCAATCGCGGCCGGTGTGACGCAATAGCAGAGCACGTACGATTTCGCCTCTCTTCCTGTCCTCGGCGTTATATTTGGGGCCAGGATGAGGCATATTCATGCAACCTGTGGGAGGGAGTCGCAACAAGGGATGTATATTGTCAAATTACGGTGAAAGGCTTCTTTGGGGGTAGTGACGTTGCGGGCGGACGAGGGTGGATCAGATCGCCTTTTCGCTTTCTGGCGCAGTTCAGACCTGTATTCGAGGGATCATCGCTTGACTCTGTTCTTGGAGAAATGGAGAACAGGAAGTAACTATGAGGTTGAACAAAGGTATATTGAAAGCATTGCAGTAAGAAAGAAAGAATTAAGAAGAGAGGGAGAGCTAACGGCAGGCGTGACGGGGGTCAGCTTTATCGATAAAAAGTGGCTCGAGTCATTTGGTTGAGTCATCGCGGACTCGGGACCCTGGGCAGCTTCATATCCACATCATCAGCTTAGATCACGCTGCGCCACGACAGAATAAGTCAATCGTCTACCCTAGAAACAAAAAGAATGGTGCTGTGACTAATAGTGGGGAGTGGTGCATGGTTTAACTCGGTCGCTATCCTTGAGCCTTGCGGCTCCGCGACGGAGCCACTACGGGGAGCCCGAACGGGAAATACCTGGGTCATAAACCAAGTTTTCATGGTCTCATAGCTATTGTGATTGCTTCATATGTGGATGGTATCTTCCTTCCATTCGTCTTCCCAGTAGGTATATCCTCGCCAGACGCCGGGTCCTCTATCAATTCGAGTGAAGGTTGATCACTGATCAGGCTTGGGGCGAGATCAAAACGACGGAATCACCTAGTCGGAAAGTCAGTTGATTGATTCCGCCATTAAGAGACGCTGGTCTTGGCGGAGAGTCTAACTCACCTCGTACAAAGAGCATCTCTTCTTGCTTCTTGATTGTCTGTCGGGGTTCATAGATCCCCTGGTTAGCACTGACCGGTCACCTCCCAACGCTGCGGGGTGAGCCTACCCTGGTAATTTCTTCTTCGTTCTCGTCCTCCTCTACCACGTAGATTGTCTCCTCCACATCGCCTAACACCAAGTTGCAGTGGCTGTCGTATGCCTAGAGACTCATTGTGGTCAGTCAACACATCGGGGGAACGAGGCTGCAGCATCACAGGGCAGGGCTCACGTGGAGGCGGCCCTTGAGTTCACGGTCACCGCGTAGCTTCACGAAAACAATTTCGTCCAAAGAGAGACGGACGAGGTCCAGAGGCTCAGAAACGGATGCGCCTGCATCCTCGGTATCGGCCATCTTGAAAGAGAATGAGTGGTCGGCAAGATTGGAAGGCAAGAATGTCGGGCTCGACACCGGAGATTCGTAGCAACGCAGATTCAGAGCTCGGATGGGTTCCCAATGGGGCCTAGCGTGGGCCAGCACGAGTTGTGCTGAGTCAGCCGTGTTTACCCCGGGTTTTGCGTGTTTGAAGTGTTTGGGCAAGTCAGTCAACCCGACTTAACACAAGCGGGACGTGCCCCAGAGACCCGCTGAAGCTCCACACTGGGGGCATTTCAAGTCGTTGACAGACTGGTCCCTATTTCAAGAGAAGGGCGACTAGAGCAATGGCCACACATGGGTTTCGAGAGTAAATCGCCTATGGTCTAGGAATAGGGTATTGGGTATAGTCTCGAGAGTCGATCGCGAGTTACAGCGCCTACCTTTGGGGTACCAAGAGCCAGCTCCCGGTCTCCGTGGGCAAATGCCACAATTGTTGTTAGTCGCCTGCAGGTCACCGTTACCTGCCCGTAGGTCTGACGGTCCAGGCCGCGTAGTGCAACAATGCGCGTGCAGAAAGTACTAGGTACCCCCTCCCCCAGCCCGGGGTCGATGCACACCCCCTCATTCTCCCCCTTGTGCTCGTTCTCTTCCTTGGATCCTCGAGTTTCCTCTAACACCCATTCATCCTGTCTCCCACTCTTTCTCTTTCCCGTATGAAGCGGTCGATATTCGCTAGTGAGGGTTTACCATCTCGATGGCTATACTCATCACAGCCAAGGCAAAGAGACAGTGGTATCTACACTCCCACGCGACACGCCCTTAACTTCACGAGACATGCCAGATCACACTCTCGCCTCAATGAACCGCAACCTCGACTATTGCACCCATCACATCCTCGAAGGAAATTTCAATTTCGCTCGGGCGGCTGTGCGCGTGTATTCAGCACCAGAGCCCAGGGTCTGAAACTCAACCCCAGATTGCTCGAAGCCTCCGAAGGAACCCAGCCGAATCATCACTGGTCAATAGATGAAGTTGTCTCTCCAGAGTGGGAATCCGCCGAACAAGAGGGCGAATATGCGGAGAGATTCTATCGCGTCATTCAAGATGGACAACCGGATCAAGTGATGACAGCAATGACCGACCCACGGTCGGCGGGGCTGGTCGGATCACTACCCCAGACCACCTTCCTTGAGGCGCTCCACCGACTCTCTCCGACCCATTTTGTGGACCCGTTCCGCAAACTCCACCACCCGGTACACTCCTGGGCGGTGGTCATCGGTGGGCTCAAGCGAGTAGAAGAGATCTTCGATGCTTTCGTAAAGAATCTCTTTACCATCACTCGCTTCCGCACGGCTGGGGGCCACCAGCTGCTCCTGGCCGAATACACCCACCTCCTGGACTGTGCGCGATCAATGGGAAATGGCGTGTTGGCCGATCAGCTGTGGGAATTGATGAAGGCACACAATGTAGTGCCCGATGCTGTGTGTTATAATCACTATATGGAGGCAAAGATCTGGGACCACTGCTACACGGGCGCGGAGGCGTATCGTATACGCATGCTGCCTCATCATTACAGAAAGCGACGTAGCGACGAACCGAACGTCGGGTGGCAAGGCTTCGGTACAGCACAACGAAGTGTACGGAAATTGGTCCTACGGCTCTTCGGTGAGATGCAGGAGCTTGGGTATCTTGGGGACGAGCGCACATATATCAATGTGATGCTTGCAGCGGCGCGCGTCGGCCATAGGACGGCACTAACAGACATCCTGAAAAAAGTGTGGAATGTCGATGTCAATACCCTCAAAGAGGAACCTGATAACGCGAGGGTGGAGCCGGCGACACCATATGATCCCTGGTCCGCGTTGTATCCGACTGAGAAGCTTCTCTTTGCAGTGGCACACGCTTTGGGCACCACAAACGACATTCCCGGTGCTATCAGGGCCGTGCAATTCATTTCTTGGTCGTACGACATCCCCATTTCAGAACGAGTTTGGCTTGAGCTGTTTGAGCGGACATACGTGCTCTCGCGATACCGAGGCATAGATGACCCCGAGTCGCCGAAAGCCAGACGAGTGGAGGAGGCCAACACAATAGGAAAAGTATCGCGAGAGCTGGTGTGGTCCGTATTCGATACCATGACATCGGAGCCTTACAATGTGACTCCGACGTTGCAAGTATGGCGATTTATGGTCAATACCGGTATTGACAATGGATCCCTGGATGAGTGCCAGAACTACCTGCGCGGCGCATACGATCTCTTAAGCGAAACGAGAAAGAAAGAGGCTGAGGCACGATGTGTCATTCTTAGATGCTTGATCCCTGCGGCTGAGCTCGCTCGCCAGCAAGTCCACGCAGGAGCAGCGCGCCCCGATCCAACACTCTTCCATTCTGCGACCCTTGCAGATGCGATCAACGCGTACGACCTTCTCCGTCTTGAGGTCTGGCAGCAAGTACATCTGCTCCAGCGCGCGCTCTGGATCACAATGCGCATCCCAAGCTGGAAAGACATCTCTGACCTTGAATGGCATAGCCAAGAACGGCCACGGATGATGGAGGAATGGCGAGACTTCATTCCTGGTAAGATTCAGCTATTCTACAGCGAAAACAGCGGCCACATCGACATGATCGGCCCCAAGAGCTTTGGCAGTCCCTCCTGGAAAGCGGATTCCCGGACCGTCCCTGTTCGATACTCCACAGAACATAATAATCTTTTCCATCCGGTAGAGAAACCCTCTTGGAACGAGCAGTGCAAATGGCAAGACCTCCGAAACCGATATCCTGAGGTAGATTGGAACATGGCCCCGCTCCACAGACTCTTCACGTTCCGCCTACCGCACACGCCAGAGTTCCGGACACAGTTAGAAAAATTCCGCAACACTTGGGTTGAATATCCGAAGGGCCACGAGCTCTCAGCCGACATGAATCCGCATGGCAGGCTCTATGGCCGCCTTGCAGCGCTCGGTATGCTCAAGTCCACGAAGCGCGGGATGTTGCTTCTGGACGAGCGTTCTTGGGTGTGAAACTTGTTTGCGAAATGTGTTATCCTGGTTGATACACCTGTCTCATTCTAGCATTGATACCCCGATTGAGTTTTGGTGGATGAATTCAGGGTCTAGTTCTATCATGCATTTCTATCCAAAGTATTAGGATCATTTGCGAAGGCCATATTCATTATACATTGTACACTAAATGTATCAATCATCATAACATGTATGTCACATATAAAACACACTATCCACCATTTGCATGAGCGAAGTATATCTCAATGAACAGCTGTCCAATATACAATTAGACGCCCTAGTTCAGCCTGGCAGGGCAGCGCTGTGTATAGAAGTTACCTGCGGTGCGCAGGGTAGTACTTCAGCATTCATAAGCATCGTATGTACACTTATATAACTAATTATACAATCACCCTGCTGTCGCAAAAAGAAAAGGCCCCCTAGAATTTGGAGCACGGGAATCAACAGTTCCGCCCAGGCCAAGGCTACACCTTCTCCTGCTTCAAATCGTTGACAGTCATATACCTGCCGAGGGTAATCCAGCCCCAGCGGAACCAGACCATCTGGCTCTTATGCCCCATTACCATGGCCGACTGCGCAGTCAGCCACTCACCCACCGAGCTCACAAAAAGCAGTCGTGATGGGCCATCCGCGCCAGCCTGCCGCTTGCCGGCAAAGATGTTACTCCAGACGCCTTGTACCATCGACAGCGGCGCGTCAAGCACGCCGGCATACTTGCGGAAAATGGACGTTGAGGTCAGCGTGTACAGCGTTACCGGGCACGCAAAGCCCTCCTTGTCCGCCATCAGAGTGCGCAGGAAGTGCACAGCGCCGTGGTACAAGGAGCGGTGGTTAGGGTGGTTGCTGATACCACGCTCGTCGAAGGTGAGGAGCACATCGATGCTGGCGGTGGGTGCTTTCTTCGCGTTCTTCTTGGCGGTGCCGTTGAGGGTGGCGGCAAGGTCGGGGGAGAAGGCCGACGCCAGGAGTGAAGTGACATGTTCCGGGGCCCAGGTGGCTGTCATGCTGTCTGGGAAGCGGGTGGGGTCGTCAACGATAAAAACGTCAGACTCGCTACGGACGCCAAGGAGGATAGCGCTCTTTTGGAGCTCTTTCTTGCGGGTTTCGCCGAGGCCGTCGGCATCGCCTAGATAGTTAAGGATGTGAAATTAGCTTTCGAGGTGGCGGGCTTGTGTATGTGTGGGTGTGTGGGTTGAATGCAGGAAACGTAGAGCTTGTACTGGGGTTTGGTACTCTCCACTTCTTCATGCTTTCTATTTCAAGGTGGCTCTGGTTCGGATGTGGAAGGACGTACCGGTGCTCAAGCAGAGGATCTTCAGATGGTTCCCAAGTTCAGGCTTGGTGAGGGCCAACACTGTGGGCGAAAAGAACATTGCCTCGTCATCGGGATGCGCAATCAACAGGCAGATACGCTTGTTGAATAGGCGAGGGAATGATCGTGTGAAGGGCGAGGAAGTTGAGGAGATGGTCCAGAAGATGAAAACTGCCGCGATGGCAATCGCCACTGCGGTCCAATTGAACGAGGGTGACATTGTGGGAGGAAAGACCGATGTCAGGAGGGGTTCAATCGAAGTATGGTTGCGTATTAGCTGTCTATGTTTGCCCCGCAGGAACTATAGCCTCCAGTTGAAGGTGTTTCCCGCAGAAGGTTGCGTCAGTCTTCCGGAGTATCTCTCGCGAGTAGAGCAATTGGATCAATTGGGCTTGTCGAATTGTGGATCGAAACCAGCACAATTACCACGCATGGACTTAGTGGGGAATGCCGAACAGACCCCTCCCGAGCTCGGCGTAGTTTCTGCAAGCTTGCACGGCGTGTCGACAGCTAGATAGCTTCGAAAGAAAACAGCGGGGCGGTTAATTGGAGAGTGAGGTGGACAGGAACCGAGCCCATGTTCAGGCAAACAGACTCGGGGAATCGAATCACTCGAGCATTGTCAAAAGAACACGGTGGCCGAAAGCTTGGGCGTGATGAGCCGAAAAAGGGGGGGATCGAGCTCAGATGATGATTTCTGTTGCCGGCCGATCCCCCGGAGTGGAGAGGTCACGTGGCAGGGGTTCATCCGACCGGACTGCGATTGGCTTACGGCTTATCTTTTGCATCCCAGTTTACTTCTTCGGCGCCCTCCAGTCAGCAGTAGGATGCTTATCGTGCAACCAGGGAGCACCAGAGGGGATTGAAGAAGCTCGAGTGGAGTAGAGATCGGATTGATCTGATGATCTGCAGGCTTAAGGATGCTCTGCAGATGTGAGCACTGACCGCCGATATGTTTAAATCGATTACCTGCGGCTTATCACTTCGGATATGAGGCTCTATGGACTGCGATTGCAGATACACCGTTGCCTTTTTTGCGTGAGTCGGGCTAGGTATGTACTGTCCAATACTCACAACCCCTCACTTTCTTCCTTCGGTCAAAATTCCACCTGAACGGCCTAACAGTAGCTAGTCCTGTCATTGTTATCCACCCCAAAGGCTTGATGAAGATATAATCTCATCGTCACTCGTCATCCATAGACCACAGTTATTCTTCCAAGGAGAGGAAATGTTGAGGCCGATTGAATTGCGGGCATCGAGTATGCCGTCCATAAGAAGCAATCGAAGTTATCAATCCTCTCGTTCGTTAGTAATAACAAAGACATAAACTAATTATCTCCGTAATGATCGAGAAAGTCTTGACACCACCAAGGACCCCATACAGAACGCGGCATCCCAATGGAAACACGAATCTGGGTGCTCATAGATTCATCATCATCCAGTCCAGACCGACTCCACGGCCGCCCGGTCAGCGTCCAGACCGGGATGACGAAGCTTACGCACGTCCCCAAAGCTACCCATTTGGCCTGATGTCAAGCTTGACACAATCACCATGCCCACACATCATGCATTTTGTACCCGAAGGCATGCCAACCCTTACCCATATGCCACTCAAAACTGCCTGTCAAATGTCCCGCTCTTTGACGCCGGTTTGACGGGCCATCAAAAGCGACATAAGTGGAAAAAGAGTGGGTCAGAGACTCAAGGACAGAACGAACAAGTGTCGGCCAGTTTACTTTAGTTTGTACCCTTCATATAGGCGAGAGGGAAGGAAGAAACAAGAGAAAAAAAAATGCGCAATTCAATAAGATATTGGCCTACTCCAAATTAACAACGCTGTTTCCTCGTAGTCGACATCCACTAGAGACTCGGAACCGGCCGTATCCCCTCGGCAGCCAAGAACCTCCACACTACCCTCTACCGCCCTGCCCTGCCCTACGACTGTCCTCCAACGAGCTTTGGAAAGTGGCGGGGAGGGAGAGAAAAAATGAGAAAAAAAAACAACATAACAAAATACCAAAAACAACCAAGACGGGCCACCGCCCAGTCCAGCCCAGCCCAGGAAGTCGGGCCCCACCCAAGTTTTCCACCCCTTTTCCTTCTTTCATGCCTTTGTAGCCCTCGTTGCTACGGCAAAACCTGGCCTTGAAACGAAGTCAAGCGGGCCGGGTTTGCGGCACCCACTGGCGGGCACTTTAAGCATCACGTTGCGCCGGGCCGAGTTTAAGGTTTCAGGGAGGGTGGGGGGGGGGGACCGGGACCGGCAGACAGAAATTTTCTGCGTGGGTTTTTGGGTGGGGGGAAGGAGGGCAATTTGGCGGGAGGGTTCCGTGGTTTTCATCCCTCAGGGAAAAAAAAAATATTGGAAAGGGCAAAGGGAAAAGGAGCGGCGGTGAAGTTTGATGGTAATGGTGGAGGGGCAATCAGGAATGGTGCAATTATTAGAGGCATGAGGGTGTTTGACTGAATCCTGTCATTTGTACGGAGTATATTTGAGAAGGTTTAAGCGACTCAGAGAGCCGGGGCTTAAATGTCGACTTGCACGTGGAAGAACTCGTGGGCAATAAACATTCTGATGACACGAGTGGCGCCATTGGAGTTAGGGGGGAAGGACTTGCCTGGCACATCACATCAGATCGCGATGATAGATGAAGATCTGAAGAGGCAAGTCATTGGAGAAGAACGGGATTAGCCTAAGGCAGTAGGAAGGACGCCCAGTATAGAATTATCGAATATAGCGGAGCCACACGAAGCGGGAGGGGAAAGAGCTCTCCCCAGCTAGCGTAGACTCGGTCAACGCATCGCGTGATGGAATTCGTAACCTTGAGAGGCATCGTGATCGGAGGAGTTCTCCGGGATCGACCCGAAAGAGGAAGTTCGTTGGAGGGCCGACGCTTTCGATCAGCCCGGCATGCCACCGCGTGTCATTGGCTGGAAACCCCGATTGTCCGTTCTCTGCCCCTCCATTAGCGCTCGCACGCCTGGCACCCCGAGGATCGACCTCCTTCATAGGGCCTAACATTGGAGTCAACAATCATAGAGGACAATATGACGACTCGCATCATTGTGAGGGCGCCTCGCCCGCGGGCTCCGAGATCATTCGATGCCCCTCCGATCGCCTCAAACTGGCTACTCTACGCGAAACCACCCGTCGCATCCTGTTGCATGTATCGTCACTCGCAGGCGAGCATGGTGAGGGACAGTGATGGACAGTAGTGAACGGTAATTTTAATGAATACAAGGGAAAGCGACCAGGGGTGTGACGCTCGATTACAGCGATCGGCATCTTTGCTCGCTATACTCCGTTTTCCGTACTTCATGCCGACAGACTATAGTCGCACCAGAGGGAAAGAGATGGAAGGGGGTTAGAGAGGGGGCCATTATTAGCGCCTTCGCGAGACAGGCATGCCGAGTCCGGGAAAAAGGGACGTTTTGGTGGGTGCGAAGAAAGCGCAGCAATATGACATGGCGTGATCAAAGCCGCGAGGACGGTCTCACCGCATGAACAGGCCCTACCTCTTTGGAGGAGACGGAGTATACGTGTGGACGGACAAGGCGTCGGCGAGTGCTCCGCGGAGAGGACCCAGAGGGCCCGAGATGAGTCAAAGCCCATGCCGTCCACCCGGGTGCGCACGAGCCCCAAAGTTTTTCTTCAAGGATCGGATGCCGGTCGTTGGCTCACAGGGATGCTCTCTGCTGTGCGAGGCTGGTATCGAGTTGGCTGCAGGGAAAGAGAGGGGAAGCGGCCTGTCCAAGCGTCCAAGCGTCCCAGTATCCATGCATCGTTCCCATGTGTACCTGAAACCCAAGGTGATAGCCAGGGATGGCGCAACCGCCCTGGGTGCTGGGAGGAAACTGTTAGGTAATTAGTGCGGGCAGGGGAATTGATGATTCGCCCACAAGGATCTGGACGAAGCACAGAGCACATCTTTGACAGCTGCTGGTCTAGACATTCTGGATGATCATCAAGCTTGTTGCAGCTGGTGGTACATCTTCAGGAACCCATCTTGAGGCCTCATGGGTTTTGCGCTGGGTTTGCCATGCGAAAAAGCCGAGTGACCTCCTGACCTCCCCGCAAAATGGCGCCCATGCAGTGCGGGGCAGCGACTAGCCTCAAAACGGTCACTCGCCAGCGAACACCTTACGGTGGTGTGGTCGTCGTCGTTTCCTGGTCTGAAGCCGGCGATCGAGCAGATTCGGGAAGAAGGGAAAAAAATTCTTCGAGGTGGATCTCGCAGGGTCTGCTTTTGGCACGCGTTTTTCTTGCCCAAAGCGGGCAAGCGGGAGAAGAAAAAAAGCCCCAAAAAGAATTCGATCAAAAGAAAAAGACGAGGATCTGCCACTAGTGGCGTTCTGGTCTTGTCCCGACGGGTGTAATGTGACGGTCTGGTATTGTACCCGTAGTTCTGCCCGGAGGCTTTTGCGATGCCGCCACGTGATGGCTCTGCTTGGTCAGCGCGCCTCGTCAAGATCGCAGCTCTCGACGTGAGCGTGGAGAGTGTGGCCATACATCGTACAGAAGACCGATGTAGATCTCGACTTCAACGTCTACGGGTCATCATGCCATCATGCCATCATACCAGCGCTCCTATTGTTCATCCCGACGCAGTAGCGTTGATGGGATTATTACCAATAGTTGCGGCATGGCCCGTCGGGGCCCGTGGGCGCTCGGTTCTAGTTCTGTTCTAGTTCTTTCGAGGGATTTGCGATCTGAGGTGATGGCTCATAACACGTAGCTGTAGGCACGGCACCCGGCACCCGATACACCCATGCCGGGTGACGCCAACCTCAGCTGATCGGGCGGATCTCCGTGTTTCCTCGCGGGCACAGCATCCGGGGTAGGTGTCCATTGTTTTCCGTCTACTAGGAGTCTGCGACTAGGGCTTGAGAGATTCCGCTCGGTGGTCGATAACGGCTCGATGACGATATGATATAGAGGAATATCCAAAAAATAGCGCAATATAGAGAAGAGAACTATGAACCTATAGAACAATAGCCGGCAGTCAGAAACTACTGTAGGTTGTAGGGTCCACCATCGTCCTCCACGGCGAATGCTATGGACTTGGGGGGGGGGAGGGGCATCAAGGCCCCCCCCAGGCGAAACCGAGGGGCGCTCTCGGCTGGCGCTGGCCCCCTCCCCTTCGAGCCCGGCCACACATGCCAGGGGCCGAGTCGCCCAGTCGCCGGCGGCAGATCGCACGTCCGAAATCCCGGGGGATGTAGCCGACCGTGACTCACGGGGCGCACGGGCGTGTTTGGTAAGTCCAACAGCCTCGAGCGCAGAAGCTGCCCCGTCTCCCCCTCCATCAGCTTGATCAGCTTCGTCAGCTCCATCGGCGACGAGGATTGCCTGTGGTTGCCCTGATGGAGCCTAGATCCGTCTGTGATGGCAAGATGATGCCCACACCTCGCGCCTTGCGAGGAGGGGGATGTGGGGTAATATCACACACTCTCTTCTCGTTTGGTTTTGGCTTTCATGCGGTGCCAGCACCAGTACAAGCCCCGACTCATGTCCGGTCGAGATCGCCCTCCTGGCCTAGTTCTTTTTCAGTTGGGAGGTATCACCATGAGGACGTAGAAGCGAGGGGCGGAGCAGTTGACGAGGTCGGCCGAGAAGCCGATGTGATGGCCTCAGCGATCGGGTGTCGTGCGTTGTCCCCGTCTTTTTGGTGTCGTGCTTAGTCGTGCTTGGCCGTGCTTAGCGACAACACAGTGAGAGCCCGAACGGCCGAGCACACGGAGAACGAGGGACCTTGGGCGGCCTGTCACAGGGCGTACGGTACCTGTAACATCTCGGTATCTGGTTGGTACGGACCCACAATGACGCTTTTGCAAGTGACGGTGGGTTCCATTCTTTGCTACTCTTTTTTGGCCCTTTTTTTTCTGGTCGGTTTTCTTGTCGGGGCCAGACCTTGGACGAATCGTAGCGAATGCTCCATCTGGTACCTGGTCAGTCCAAAGAGTGGACACCGGCTAGAATTTTTTTTTTCTGGGTTGACAAAGTTTTCCACGGATTCGGTGGCTTTTAGGCTCAAGCACATGATCGTCGACAGAGGTTCAAAAGCAGCGGGCCCCGGCGAATTGACTCTCGATCCCCCCTCCTCTACGACTATTTACTCTGTACTCTGCTCCCCTCCAGGACCACATTCAAGAGAAACCACCCCTGGATTATGTTTTGGATTGCCGACTTTACTTCTCAACTATTTCAGCACCGCACCGCTTCCTGAGCATCTGAATATCGGCCCCGAGCCCCCCCCCCCCCCACTAGTATTGGCCGGATCGAGCACCATCTATATCCGAGACTACTTCCCACACTTCTCTCCTACTCTCTCACCTTCCTTCCACCAAACCAACGGGAACCAAGTGAATTCACAAACCTCGTTGTGTCGACCTTCATCACTGCTCGTACGGACAGACCATTCGCCACTGCGAGAAAATGCCGGGCCGTCTGCTCTCCAACTTTGTTCGGGGCACGGGCTCGCTGCATTCGTCCTTGTCATCCACCCCCGTCCACTCCAACTCTTCCTCCACCACCTCCGTCAATGAGATCCACGCGCATCACAATGGTCCTAAGAAGCCAGCGCACGGTACGCCGGATCGGGCTCGCTCCCCCGAGCGTCGCCTGTCCTTCTCCATGGATCACTTGATTCACCCCCACCGAGACCACAGCAAGGAAAAGCGCCGCAGCCTTGGCCGGGCGGGCCGCTCGAAGGAGCGTCTCAGCAAGGACGAGCTGGCCGTACCCAATGCGAAGTTAGACGTCCTGATCGAATCTCCCCCGCTGGTCTGCTACGGTAACCCGGCCACCTCGACCGGTGCGCTGTTCTCAGGCCGACTCCGGGTTACTATCGCGGAAACGGTCAACGAAGTGACCCTCAGCCAGTTTGATGTGCGTCTCATCTCCAAGACGACCACCAAGAAGCCGGTTTCAAACCACTGCCCCAACTGCGCCACCCGCACGGATGAGCTGACCCGTTGGAACTTCATCACCGATGATCTCCACCTCAAGTCCGGCGAGCATGACTTCCCTTTCAGTTATCTGTTCCCGGGTAACTTGCCTGCCTCCTGTGATGGCTCGCTCGGCAAGGTCGAGTATTTCCTCATGGCCCACGCTCAGAGCAATGCCGGCGAGGAGTTCAGCCTCAAGCTGCCTTTGAATGTCCGCCGTGCCCTTATCCCCGGCAATGACAAATCTTCCATTCGCATCTTCCCTCCCACCAACCTCACAGGTCGCATCGTATTGCCCTCTGTGGTCCACCCCATCGGCAAATTCCCCGTGGAGATGACGCTGAGCGGTGTGGTGGACAAGGGCGATGAGACGCAGACTCGCTGGCGCCTGCGCAAGATGATGTGGCGCATCGAAGAGCACCAGAAGATTGTCTCGCTTGCCTGCCAGAAGCACGCCCACAAGATTGGCGGCGAAAACAAGGGTGTCCAGCACCAAGAGACTCGCATCATTGGCCACAATGAGGAGAAGACTGGCTGGAAGACCGACTTCGACACTGCTGGCGGTGAAATCACTATGCTGTTCGATGCCAGCATCAACCCCACCACCAACCCTGTTTGCGACATGGAAGCTCCCGGAGGCCTGGAAGTGAAGCACAACCTGGTCATCGAGCTGATCGTCGCCGAAGAGTTCTGCCCGAACCGCAATACTCGGCTCATCACTCCCACTGGCGCCGCTCGCGTGCTGCGCATGCAATTCAACCTCAATGTCACAGAGCGCAGCGGTCTCGGCATCAGCTGGGACGAGGAGATGCCTCCAGTTTACGAGGATGTCCCCGCCAGTCCTCCCGGTTACACAAAGCTTGATGATTCCTCCAGTGTCATTGAGGACTACCAGGGCTCCCCGCTACCCTTGCCGGAATATGATGAGCTCGAGCGAATGGACTCTCTGCGGTTAGATAGTGACTCGTCCAACTCCTCGATACACTCCAACTCCCGTGGCCGTATGCGCTTCAATCTCGATGACCTGGTCACCGACCCGTCCCCCGCTCCATCCGAGCCGGCGTCGCGTGCCGCATCGCGCGCTCCGTCGGTCGACTCCTCTCGCCAATGATTATGGCCTTCTCGGTCTCTTCCTTCTATCGTTCTTCTTCACTATGACGTTACGATCTCCACGACCAAAGAAAGATTCCCCTTCAGTCACGGACTTGAATCAGCCTTTTTATCCTCTTCTGCCTTTCACACCATAAACATGCAGCGAGTCTGACCAGGCATCACCACAAAAAGTGAACGAACGAATTCAGAAAAAAAATCTTCTCTGGTTTTGAATTGCATCTTAGTTTGAACGGACGGGTTTCGTTCCACCCCCTGCATTATACCCATCAGTATCGCTTCACTGTGCATACTTGTCTTCTGGTTGGCCTTTGCTCTTACTCTTATGATTAAACTTCCAAATTCCCCTATTGAGTCATTTTTTTTCTTTTAATTTTTTTATTCTTTGTCATATTATTGATTCCTCTCGGTTACAACCTGATTCTCTACTCTACTGAATTGATACCTAATTTATCGACTTGGAAAGTCCAATTTTTTTTTCTCTCTGATAATCGTAGAATCATCTGTAGCCAAGTAGAACTAAGGCTAAGCCAAGATGCGGGGTGGCGTTACCAGCGCTCTAGCGTCGTTATCGATCTCGCGTCATTCGATTTTTTCTGGGGGGTATTTATTCATTCTAAATTAATAGAAGGCCCAACTCTCCTGTTTTGATTGCGGTACCTCTTTATCAGACTCCACTGCTATCTAGATGGATGGACAAGGCGGACCCACATGTATACATTGGCCAAATTCCATCAGTCGATGGCCAAGAAAACGTTATGTTTCCAGTCGGTGACTTCTTCATCCAAATTTCCCTGAAATGTGATAATATTCTCTAGATAAAATCGCTCAATATCAGAATCGGAGCTAATAATAGACATGCACGCGGAGCCCTTGCGGCCAGACTCGGCCGCGACTCGACCATGGTGCCCCGTCTCCACAGATGATGCCTTGATCCCTTTCGAAAACCTTAAGACAATAGTTAACAGCACATGAGCCATCGAATAGATTGTTCTCCTCAGAAAGGCTAATTAAACGTATCACGAGATCAGCGCACCGATCAGGCTATATGACATCATCCACTCGCCCAGGGCCTATATAGAGCAGGAGCGTATTCGCCGCAAATGAATAATACAAGTAATAGCTGCCTATCACTCACTGTTTTATACTAGGATCACAAGTTTGCCTAGTCACGATACTTTATCTGGCGATAATTTCTCCGAACATACACTATGTCCAATCTCTTCCGCAGAGCGTCGGATGCGTTTCGCCATCACCACGAGCCGGACGCGGCAAAGAACCCGGAACAGAAGCAGACGGGACAGGAGCCACTTGACTCTGCGAAAGTAAACTCCGAGTCTCCACAGCTCGAGTCCCCTGCCAATGAAGCACCCGGTCCGTTTCTCGTTATTCATCCCTCCTCTTTGGGAAATCGGGGAAGGGGCTAGGTATAAATATATATGTGTCTACCTACTGACTATAACCTAGCGATGGAAGGCGCAGGCCATGCAAACCCAAGCAAACAGCGACACTTCTGGGAGTTCGGTCATCACCGCGATCAGAATGCCCAGAAGAAGGGCCCTTCAAGCCAGGAGGAGCGAGACCAAGCGGGGTGGCAGTGATTAATTGAAAAAATTGAGAGGTCAACCGAGCTTGTGATTATTGGCATGTTATAACGAATTTGCTGTTGTGCGAAATGTGGATCTACCGGCTTTGATAATCTTGGGTCCTTGTTTATAATTTATTTTTGAAACTGTGTATAGTTTACCTTTGAAGCTTTCTAATCATTGAACCAGATCTCATCTTCTAGAAACGTAATATTTCGATGGATCCAACTACTTTTTAGAGAAGGACAACAAGCAGTAACGCATTTGATGCATTGTTTTGAGGATAGACAGTCAAGATCGCAAGCTATTCTCCTTGTAAGTAGGGTTCCCTCTACCCTTCCGCATCATAACCGCCAACCCTTCGCCATCCTTCCCATCAGTTGGTGGTATACATTTGTGCACCTCCATATCCAAAACCTTCTCATAGAAAGGTACAGATCGTTTCCAATCCCCCGTAAACAGCAGTGAGCGTCTCAAGTACGGCATGGATTCAACAACCTCCTGCACACATTGCATAAGCCACGTACCCAGCCCACAACCTTGGTGCGAGGGCAGAATATAAACGTCCGTCAAGTAGATGAATGTCGTAAAGTCTGTGATACACCGTGCAATGCCAATGAAGTCTCGTCCTTCGGCGCTCTCATTCTCTGTACGTGGACATTCCGCATCCGAGCTGTGGTACATGCCAAAACATAGGGACCTTTGGAGAGTTTCGCGCATGAATTGCTCGGGCATCGGTTTCGCCCAGTAGATCTCCTGGGTTGAAAACCAAGCATTCAATTCTTGAACGGGGATCAAGGATGCATCCGTGGATATCAGGTATGGTCCTTTGGTCCAAATCTTGGGCTCGAGGGTCAAGACAAAAGGGGTCATTGTGCTTTTCTGGGCAAAGAAACGCTAAAAAAATTTGGATTCTATCTTCTCGAGCCTATTTCGATGTGAATTCCAGAATAAATAGTCGGAAAGAATTGTCCATACCAAGATATATCTTAACCCTCAAGAGTCGTGTCTTTATACTTAGCTGTTTACCATGAGTCATATTGAGGTGCCAAGCGATAGGCGGATACTCTGAGACCTGATTTGCCCAAACACGAGCAATGCAAGACTAGCTGGATAGCTCTCGGTCGAGAGAACGAGCGGTATATGCCGGATGACGGATGACGGAACAAACTTATTGAAACAGACGAACGACAGGATAAGGGGTTGCAGGCTGAGGGCCAGCGTGGGTGACGTAAGCTTTGGCCATCGACCGTGAGATCACCTTCAATCACCGGTCTGCACCATCATTATTATTTTCCTTTGTTTCCTTTCATTTTAGATCTTTCCGTACTGAGTATTGATCTACTCTATTGTGTCCGCGGAACCCGAGCGAACTCTGTTTAGAGAAGAACTCTGTTTGGAGAAGATTATGTTGAGATCAGCTATTTAGGTTTTGACAGCGCACTCCTCATGTTCAGAGCCTCATAAATGGCCACAATAATCATACTCATTCCAGAATTCTCTGCCACTTAATATACATAGAGAGAAATGGCGGCAGAAATCAGAAGCAATCACATTTTACCCCCGCTCGTTCGCTCTTGACAGGAGCAGCTGCTCCATGTGTCGTGGATCCTCCTATTGATGGGTTCCATCTTCTTTAAATTACCCAAAGATCAATCACATGGAATTGATGGTCATATCCTGGGTATTGGCTAGGGGCTTTTGGTTTGTCTCCTGCCTGGTCAACCGTGCTGGTTCATTCGAAAGCTGTGTCGAAGATTGGATCACCCTTTACAATATCGCCGGTTACTCTCTGCAATAATAAATGTTTCAGGTTCAAAGCTCAGATGCTCTCTAGTTATTTTGATGATATTCAGCAAATGATCACAGCTATCTATTTTCCGATCTGTTTATAGACATCACAAAATGCAAACTGTGCTAAGTGAAAGTCGCCTCTTAGTATATTATCACCGCACCCGCTCCGAAAATGCATTCTATCCAGCCACGCCAATTAGTAATATTCAGAAATTCTGTGATGTTAAAATTTCCACACTGCTTCCTGCTTCCACTTAAGAATTCGTAGCACCGCGAAAAAAAGCGTCCCTACACCGACCATTAAGGCACTGAAAAGCTGCGCCTTCCAGAAAATCGCATGTTCTAGGTTCAACAGCGCCCCTGCAATCGGATTTCCGATAAGCAGCCCCAGAGCCGCGAAGGCGAAGCACATCCCCATTCGAGTTCCGACGACGCTCATATCGGGGGTAAGTCTAGCGAGAATGGTAGGGGGCAGGGAAACTGTGGCGCCCGAGGCAAACCCATACAGACAGGCAAACACGATTGTGCCAGGCTCATTGCGGATTCCGATCCATGCAAACGCTAACACGGCTGCCATGAAGGTAATTGGCAGGGCTGTGTTCAGCGAGCCGATACGGTCTGCGATCAGGCCAGGGGCTATCCGGCCAAAGACAGAGGCAGCGTTGAGAATGGCGATAGTGTAGAAGGCGATGTTGCTGTTGGAGTGGAGGAAGGTTGTGAAGTATGTGGGAAGGTAGAAGAATGGAAAATAAAGCCCGGTAAAGGAAAAGAATAGACCCAAACTGAAGATCACAAATGGAGGTTCTTTGAGGGCAGAGGGGTCGAGCATGGATCGAGACTGCTTCGGAGGTGGCAGACGGGATTTCATTACTGCAACCGAGACGCACAAGGTGCCGAGTGCAATGAAGGCGATGATGCGAGTTGTCCAGCCAAATCCGAGACGGTCGATAAGCTTGTGGAATATTATGGGGTAGATAACTGAGCCTGGTGGGTATCATCGAATCGTCAGTCATGCAGGTCTAATTCAAGAGTTTGGAAGACCAGCTTACCGATGCTGCCTCCTGCCGCTGTGATCCCAGTAGCTAATGCACGCCGCGATGTGAAGTATGTAGCCACAACAGCCACACTTGGCAGAAACAAGAAAGCACACCCAACTCCCACAACTAGGCCCTGAGCTAGGAAAACTTGGTAGTATTTGGTCGACAGGGAAGTCATCATTAAGCCAAACACGACAAGAAATGTACCTAGCAACAAAAGTGGCCTGAGATGCCCTTTGTCAAAAATGGGGCCGACAATTATTCCCGCCATCAAGAGCAAGAAACCTTGAACAGTCCCAATCCATGAGATCGAGGAGGCCGAGTACTTGAGTAGAAGGATGTCTTCATAATAGCTTTGAAAGACGCCAAACGTGTTGACAACCCCCCTGGGGTATCACATCAGCATCTAGAAGGATTGCAGCTATCACAGAGAAACTCACCAGGAATTGAAAAATAAAAAGAAAGCTCCTACTACTTGAAGCCAAGCAACAGACCCCCCATTCGGCGGCGGTGGCGGTGTCGCCTGCTTTGAAGGTTGGTTCTCAGGTTCCGATATATCGGACTCGACAGAATGGCCTGGCAAAGAGATAGGCTGTACAGATTCTTCCTTGATTGAAGGTACAGACATCGCGATAATTATAGCACCAAGAACCAGAGGTATCACTGCTTTTGTTCCCTATTACCCCCGGGGATCGGAGGAATTTCTTGAATAAAGATTAATATTTGCAGAGACAAAACATGAAAGATCAAGCAAAGGAGTAGTGACTCTTATGGGGCCATGTGCTCGGCATTTCGGCCTTATCCTCATGGCGTCCAATTATTAATGTCGTACAAGAGCAAGTTGTAGTTAGTCCTTTTTGGTGTACTTGTTTGATATTATCATCATGACCCACGCAAAGGATCGCGCTAAAATTCAATTCACAACGGACTGCGTATTGGAGACCGTCTTTTGGAAACCTTTAACCGTGGTCAGTGCCCCAAAGCATGAGGAGAGTAATTTGGTGATTTCAAAGCAGAGATTAATCTCGATAGGAATCCGACCAATAGTCATCGACTAAGCTTTGTTGAGCAAGATGAATCTAACATCACTGGTTGCCTGAAACTGGTGTGGTTTACTAAGCAATCCTCATCCTCGGTCTGACAGCGAGTGGGGGGGAATGATGCAATCTCTCTTTGACTTGATCAAATAAACCCCCGACCGCTAGACTTAGCCTTGGTTTATATACGTATATTTTGAAGCGTCCCTTTGCGAGTCAATAATAAATTCCATTTTTATCTTGTAGACACCGGAGGCGTTGTCCAATGTTTCCAGCGAGAGATCAGGCATTTTAGAGAGTTAGTCGTCTTTCCTAATCAAAACCTGTCCGCTCGCTCTTCTCATAACTCTCAATCTCCAGAAATTGCTTGGCAAGATCATTGATAGTTTCCTTGAGGTCCCGAAATTCTACTCCAAGGATCCTTCTGACCTTTGAGTTGTCGGTGGAGTATGCCCCTGCGGGAAGAGAGCTTGATCCAGGGTTTCCAAGAGGGACTCGTGGGTCCAAGTCTGGGAAATTCGATCTCAGAATATCGCATATATCCTGAAAGCCAAATTGTCTGGCACAAACAATAAAGCGATGATTAGCTGCCTCTGGAACAAGCATCGCTTGTATTTGAACTCTTGCCAAGTCCTGTACGATCGTGAGCTTTCTTAGGCGCAGATGAATGAGACATTAAAAGGTATCCTTTCGACTAATTTCACTCACCCGTACATCGACATATGTATGCACTGGGATATAAGGCATAGGTGTGCTCTTTGATGATTGACAACTGAGTCTCCAAATTCGGCTGTTTGATTCGTTCAAGTCCTTGATACTGTGAATTGAATGTTTGAGAGGACCCAGAGTTGCAGGAGGGCAGAGAGTCACTAAATCAAAATGCGGCTTCTCGTTTTTAATGAACTCCCAGGCTGTGTATCCTTAGTGAGCGATGTCCAACGAAGGGGGTTACAACTTGTTCAATCTAACTCACCTGCTATCTCAGCAAACTTCTTACTTGCTCGGTAAGCCTTTGACGGGTCCCCATGAAGAGCTTCTTCCCATGAGATTGGATTCCAATTATCTTCGTTATAGAGATCACCGGATTTAAGGCGATCATAATCAATTACTGCGGCGCAGGAGCTGGTGAAAATGACTCTCTTGACCGAAGGTGCGTGCTGCTTCACCGACCGAAGTATTTCAGTGGTGCCCTTGATCGCTGGGTCAAGAAACTCTCGATTATTTTCGACGGTGCCGTATACAAATGGCGATGCTGCGTGGAAGACAATGTCAAATTCATCGTTGACAGCCAGATCAAAAGCACCCGGAGTCGTGATATCGGGTACAATGGCGAGGGAAATTTGGGAATTGTAGTTTTTGAAATCGTTCAGAATTCTTTCTCCCTTTTCTGGCGTCCGAACTGTGCAACAGACCTGGTGGCCCTTCTGAACGAGCTCGGAGAGAATGTGCGAGCCAATGAAGCCGTTTCCGCCCGTGAGCAAGACACGATAAGCCATTATGGAGAATCTAGTGATCGGTATTTGATTAAAATTATTACACAGTCCTGCCGTATCGTCCAGTGCTTTAAACTGCTTTATGAGGGTTTCAGACTCTTTGGCTGGTCGCGGGAGTTTATTCGGAGTTAAGGTTAATACCAGCCATAGGAAGAGCGTTCGTCGAGGACTCGGAGATTAAAGCCTTACATGACTTGCGCTTAAAATCTTAAAACAAGTGAATGGAGGAGAATTCAATCAAAAGACATTCAGAGTGGGATCACATTAATCAATTGGAGCGACTTTCGAACAGCATTTATTAATACAAGACCGCTAACAGCAGAGCGAAGAATGTCGTGACAAAAGCAACAAAACAAGAATTATAGCTCCACTGCATCAATATCGTAAGCGAGATGCCCTTGTTTTATTCCCCGCTTATCGAGCCCAAAAGCCCACGAAATTTTCAACATCATGAACATGCTCATTTCTTTGAACTTCAGACCCCGTGGGGTAGTCTTCCGCCGTGACTCTCCGTTCTGGGCCGCAATCTTGAAGATTTCTTCAACCCGTGGCCTACGAATCTCATCGTATCTGGCAAAGACCTCTTGGAGAGGCCGTTTGTGGTCTTCTAATAGACGTGATAGTAAGAACACATCCTCCAGTGCCATGGAAACGCCTTGGCCGGCATGCGGCGACATCGCATGCGCAGCATCTCCAACCAGCACACAACGTCCCTTCGACCAAACTCCACCAAGAGTCAGCCTGTACACAGGGAAGAACTTCACGGATGTGACGTTGTTGATGAGATCTTTGAGTGCAGAGCCCCATTCTCCACGTGCATTTTCCAAGGTCCTACTCAGCGAGGATTTGAACCCGTCTATTTCCTCTTTCCCGTGCACTTCCCAGCCATCGCGGTCATCGCCCGACGCCGGTGCTGGAACTTCTTTTGAGAAGAAGCAGAACATCTCATCTTTTGATGCGGTGCACGGATTGACCGCCAGGATTCCCTCCTCCGTCATGGTAGCCTCGAGGCCGTTGATCTGGGCTGCAGTCTGCGGAGATAAGAGCTTGGTCGGGATAATGCACCCGAGGCCGGAGATGCCTGAATATTCCAAAGGCTGCGCAGGATCGACGTAAGCACGTCGCACATAGGAGTGGATCCCATCACAACCGAACAGCATATCGGCAGCGTCAGTCGATCCATCCGAAAATGTGACCTTCACTTCCTTGGCACTCTCCTCGATAGAGGTAAGGCGTTTGTTAAAGTGGATTGGGATTTTGGCTTGCTGCACAGCTTCGAGTAAAACGTCCACCACGTCCGTACGCTTGATACGGACGTATTTGAACCCAGTCTTCTCGCGTGCCCATCCGACAAAGTCATGCTCGCCGAGGACGTGCCCGTTCAAAGAGTGAAGGGTCAGGTTGGGGCCGCTGAAGCCCCGCGCCAGGATTTTATCGACAAGGCCCAGGCGGTGTAGGAGACGCATGCCGTTGGGTAAAATTCCGATTGCTCCGCCCAGGGTGGTGGGCTCAGATCGCAGTTCGTACAGCGTGCATTCGATATCTGTTCGTTGCTGCAGGCGGAGAGCGGCTGCGAGACCGGCAGGGCCAGCGCCAATGATGATTGCCTGTACGAAGAGGCAAGTGGTTAGCAACGGGCTTGATCGAAAAATCAATATTTGGTATGTACTCAAAGTACCTTTCTTTTCTCAGTCATCTTGATGTTGTTTTCTTTTGATGAATTGACCTTTGAAATCTGATTTGAAAGATATGGCATCGGCGGGCTGATATACTTCACGGTCTACCCCGGAGCTCCGCGGGCTTTAACCTAAATTTGGAAATCTCTACCGCGGGGCCGCGGATCCGCGGACTTGCCGGGCCTGGAGATCGGAAGCCAGCATCAACCATTCAATTAGGTATCCTTTTGAGGGCCTATTATAAGTTTGATATGAAAAGTAGTGGTGATAATATGTACTTTAGAGCTTATATAAATGTATCTTTTGATGATCAACAATATATCAATACAAGTTTACACATGGGCACACTGAATATATTTCAACTGGGGAGTGAATGGACTGAACCGGTCCACAGATATGTAGGTACATATGCTGAAATCAATCATTAGATTGATAGACAGTTCTATTGTCACGCAGCATCGGTTTCAACATTCAAGAGCCAGTCGCATTCAATACTGTTTACTAGTTGTCTTTTCAGCAGCCTGGATTGAAAATGAACCAACCCGGATCGGCAATTTGCCGTGGCCTCGCTGCAGAGCACAACGCCACCCGCACTGACTCTCATATCAAGCAGAGTGAAACCTTCGATCCATCGAATCTGCCAGTCGTGGGATACATATTTCCCTACCATCTGCAGACCGTTAAAGATGTTCACGTCAGGTAGGCTGACACGAACCGGTCGCGGCGGATTATTGTGACGCAGGGCTCCTACTGGTCGAGGAACGAAGAGCCGTACTTCGTTGAAGAGGGTTATGCATGGAAAATGTGATCTATCGTCGAGACCCCGACTCCAGACAGCAGTTAAAAGTCCGACCAAATGCGAACCACGCTGCTGCCCTTTTTCCTTGCAGAGTACATATGTTGCTCTTACCCCGCGACCGCCGCTGCGGGCTCAACCGCCCAGTTTTATTCCTTGTTCAACACCCAAACCGGCACCAACAAGGACGGTGGGCTATGGGGGATTTGAACCAAGGAAAGCAAACCAACATCTATGCACCTCGATCTCCACACAGGACGTGATCAGATTGCAGCTGGTCCAACTAATCCGGCTGGTTGGCTCGCTATGATTGGTGTAGTTGAGAATCTCGGTCGCCAGGTCTTGCTTCTGTTCGTCGGAACCAGACTACTCGCAGCGCTTGGGACCCAGCACCAGCATGGCTGTTTCAAACCACGCCCTTTTCCCCTGAGCGCCGTGCTGATATTCCCCGAAACAGACTATTGAAGTGTTCGCCTCGTGCGCTAGCCTTGAATATCGCTGTTTAACTTCTTGCAAAAGGATGTCTATGGGCTTGGCGGGTTCAGACAGAGCGAAGGCCCGCCCGGCAGGGCCAATCAAGCATGGCCCCCACCCAACAGTGGAGCAGGTCGATTTGGAATTCACGGGCTCATCACGTCTCACGCATTTGGCGGGCCCTTTGGGGGGTCTCTTGTTTGCACCGGTTGCCTAACAGTTTGGGTTGGGTCATAGCACCCCCTGAATCGATTCCAAATCCTTTGAAGACTTTTGAATTTATGGGGGGAGGCTAGTCCTTCCCCTATTTCTCCCTAACTCTTTAAAAGACCCGAGGAATTCCTTCGCAGAAACCAGCCCTGAAGGGAGGAAAAACAACCCGCAATTTGATAACGCAAGATTGATAACGCGTTATCAACGCGTGCAAAGAACAAATAACCCCGCCTAGAAACAATGGGACATGATGGTATCAAGGTGAATAAAAAAAAGCCCAAACTCTCAAACACATCCAGGAAATCAGAACCAGAATCAGTGGAAAAGAAAATAAAAACGCCGGGATCTAAGAGAACATATGGCTGAGAGAAAACATGCAAGCAGATGTCAACGCCGACGACAGAAAAGCAAAAGCTGCAATCATAACGGGCACCGAAATGTCGGAAATCATGTGAGGAGAAAAAAAAGCAAGACGCGCAGACTTAAGAATCGAAAATCGGACCGAACGCAGGAATCCCCCGCGACTCTAGTTCATACACGATGCGGGTGGTCAGTACTGGGTTACTGATCACGCACACCGCTTCGGCTTCGAACTCGGGGATCAGGCGCTGCACGAGAGGAACCATGTCGACTCGGCCCGTCACGTCAGTGTCCATGATGATTGGGTCCGCGTCCATCTTGTGCACTAGGTTCAGCACCTCCTGGCCGTACGTCTTGAGCGGCGCACGGGTCTGCCAGAGAACGCGCAGGTCGGGCCGGTTGTCATCGCCCAGGAAGGACAGGCAGGGACCAATGCCGGAGCCAGTGGTCACAACGATCACCCGCTTGAAGACGCGCATCGAGTATGCGAAGCCGTACAGCAGCACTCCCCGCTTCCAGAGATGAGTGGGTGGGTTGTTGATCGTGTCCGCCGTCCAGTCGCCAGCCTTGGACACCAGGCAGGAGAAACTCGGGGTGTCGGTGCCCCGGGGACCCATGGGTTCGGGGTCAGGGAAGGTAGCAAAGCCATGCCAGTCGCGCAGGGGATGCTTGGCGAGCTGAGTGCCTTTGCCAAATGTGGTGACTGCATGGTCGAAGTGGAGGCGGATGGCATGGTTTGACAGGCGCTCGGGCCGCACCGGGACTTTCCGCAGCATGACCCATGGCTGCAGGATGGCGATCACAGTGACGACCAAGAACCAGAAGGCCGGCAGCTGGACGAGGAAGAGCCCAAATGAGGAGTGTTGGGCCTGACTGAGCTCATGCGCGAAGACCAACAGCAGCGCGACAAACAGGGCCACAATGAGCCAGGCAGAGAAGCGGTGGGTGAGCTCAAAATAGTCATGGCGCTTCATGCGGAACGTGGGATGCGCGACGACGACGATCGACACCAGCAACACGAGGATGAGGTAAGCCAGCGTGACGGGTGCGGCAGAAAAGCTGACGGCCGTTGCATCACTGGAAGACCAATACTGATGCGACATCAGGCCGACAAAGCCAATGTACCACACCAGTGCGGCCACGCCGCAGCCACTATGCACGCCGCCATAATGGTACACCTTCGAGGCCACCCGTCGCAGGGCATATGGAGCCGACCTGGGAATCGATAGCACCACACGGAAGATGCTGTTGACAACGAGAGGCTGCCGGGCCAGTCCGCAGGCTAGTAGGTTGGCCGCGGTGGCGTTCACCAGCGCGAGTAGTTTCTGGTTCGTTACCATGATCCACACGAACAGGCCAATGTTCGCGAAGAAGACCACGGAGAAAAGGCGGCGGTATATCGTCCAGATGGCGTACCGCATGTACGCAAACCGTTTGGGCTGCGCATTAACGGTCTGCGCCTCAAGGTCGATTTTTTCTTGGGACATGAGATCCGAGGATTTCTTGTCCGTGACGAAATAGTTGTCCCCCTCGACCTTGGTGAGATGGCTCTCACCATCGGAGAAGAGGGTGACCTCGCTCAGATGCGGGGAATGGTTTGCCTCCATCTTGACGACGGCCGGCGGGGGAGGCGTAATGGGGCTTTTCTCCGAATCCGACATGGTGTCTGGAAGGAGAGGGAAGGGGCCTTTACAGGACCGAAAAAAAGGTTGGTTTCAAAAGAGAACTGAGAATGAGGAAAACAACGGGAGGGGGAGGGGTGGTCGATGAAGTTGGTAACCTGACCGAAAGTGAAGGCTGACGTTGGAACTTGAAGCCGAAGCTAACACTGTCAACAGGCGGATTCGGGGATCTGGCTTTCTTATCTCATGGATGAGAAAAAGACACCGGCAGAACATGCGGCTTTTGAAACGAGAGTGAGGTGAGGGCGGGGGCGTTCTATCCCAACTAACTGGATAGCCCTAATGCCTCTAAAAAATAATGCCTCTTTTCAGCTAGCAGCGAGCAGCGAGCAGCTAGCAGATACAGGCCAGATCAGACCAAGCCAGGACAGACAGAAGACCGAAAAAAAAGGTTGTGACCCAACCACGAACCAAGACACTACAAGCCTTGCACACTTTCACGATATTCAGATCCACAAGTTCGTCCTAAGGGCAACTCCACTTCTCCATCCTTCCGAAGTGACGGCTTCCTCTGCCTCTTATCACACAGGGCTCCTTCCCATTCCGTGAATATATTCGATCATTTTGCGCGCCAGAAACGGCAGGTTCCTCGGCCGGTCATGCCTTGGCGCTGCTGTGCCCTGTGGTTTCGCAATCGTTTGTTTTTTCCTTGCGTGGAGACCGGGGAATGGAGCCTGGAACATGGAGCCTGGAAGACCGGATCCTTCTCAGGCGGCTAGGTTTGTGTATGACACTATCACACCGGCCCAGATCCCCGTGTACTAGTGGGAATACTTGACGCCAATGACAACGCAAGTTGGACCACCCTCCAGACTTTCAGCTCTCCGACGACCGGCCCAGGGCCCTGACATCCCGGAGGGGTGACGCTGTGGGTCCGATGGCGTCGAAAAGTGGGCTCACCCTATTGGGAACTATGGCCACCATCTGGCGCGGGAAAAACGGGATGGACCGGAAGTGGTAATCCAAGTCCATGGGGAGGGAGGGGGAAGTGAGGATTCAATGGACCCATCGTTCACGCCCAGCCATGATGTAACCCAATCACGACTGTCGTCTCAACAAGATCGTCGACCGAGGCCTGGGCCCCCTCAATGGATACACCAGCTTCACTTTTTGACGACCCTCTTGTGGTCTGCAGGTTGCCACCGTCAGTTCCTACAGAAGCCTGTTGCATACAAGCGAGGCCCGCGACGATCGGCCGTGGTTGCATGAAACGCACGATGACCCAATAATGTCCATGGCGAGGCTTCAATACTTCGGACGATCGGAGTCACCACGGGGCGCCGATGGCCAGAATCCTCGCGCGGAGCGGGGGTGCCAAATGCTTCAGCTAGCTCCGCCATTTCAGCCAGCACCGGTCATCACCGAGAATCAAGATTTCAGACTAAGCGGGTGAAGTTAAGTCAAAGAAAGAAAGGGAAAAAAAGGACGGACCCAATGAACCATCCCAAAAGAAACCATATACATTGCGGGTTCCTGGCCCTCGGTACCGACGGTTTGCTCGTCCATGCATGGGCATCTCCCCCTCCCCATCACCTGCGAGTTACTTTCTCATATTGCTTTTTGGTTTTATTTTTTTTTTGCTTACCTTTTTTGACTCCTGCGCCGTGTGGTCGATCATTGCTTGCAGCGGGGTGACGGGATTCCTTCCCCTCAGATCTGATTTTCAAAAAAAGCCCATCCGTTGCGCTGAACCCCGAGGGCCGGAGTGGATCCGCCGTCCGCTGCACCACGAGCCTGGATCGGGTTGGTGCACTGCGTCGGTATGGTGCATCCGTTGTCACTAGTCGATCCTAGATCTGAACGGAACGCCCGTCCCCTCTTTGATCCATTGTTCTGCGCCCTCCTTCCTATTTTCACAGGGAAATAGCGTTGTCACACCGACGGGCCATTTAAAGGGTTGATTCAATATCATGCCATATATCCTGAGAATGGGCTCCACCCCTCCACTCCGAGCGGGGACGCAAGCGCCTAGGACAGTCCTGCAGCCGACTGAAGGAGGAAGGCAGGGCAGAACACGCTATCGGACGAGATCCGGACCCGTTCGAAGCAGAAAAGAGGGGTTGAGAGGTTGGGTTGGGGGGGGGGGAGGGGGTACAGAGGCATGAACTGGTTTCCGGGCGCACATGGAACAGACTTCGCACTAACGCGGCTGTGCTCCTACACTAACAACACTAACAACACTAACTACACTAACTACACTAACTACACTAAACACCGTCGCGGAGGCAGAGCGAGCCGAGGCAGCCATAGAGTGGTGTTGAGCCATCTGAATCCTGGTGCGCATTGCCCAGGTGTCAGGCAGTGACATGACATGAGTGGGGAAAAGGCTGGGCTGATGTGTTAGGCAGGCTGCCATTGGCCTTGGGGGTATAGGCGATAGACCGGGGCGTCAGCCCGTGTCTACATCATTGCTGGCTGGGCACTGTACGTGCAGGGCTCGGTCCCAGGCCCTGTCCTGGGCCCTAGCGGGTCGGCGGGGACCGAGTTGCCAACAACTTTGCTGAATAGTGTGGAAACCACGGCGATCTCAGAAGAAGAGGGGAGGGGGAGAGGGGGGGGGGGGTATCCAGCATGAGAGATCGATTCAGCTCGTGGAAAGAGGGGCGAGCAGCAGAAGAAAAGAGAACTAAAACAAAATGATGCCCGATCTAACGCGAGGAGCCAATGGTAGCCAGTGAAGCGGTTGCGATAGGGAACGCAATTTTGGGGTTTAGGTTATGGAGAGATGGAGAGATGGAGGGAGGTGGAGTTGGGAAGGGCGGACGAAGAGTGGACGAGGATCTGCTGGCCCGTCGATCCGAAGCTCCAATTCCCAGTTCCCGGGACGGCGGTCAAGCACCAGCCACCGGAAGCAGCAGCAGCAGAGGCAGAAGTGGGCGAGAAAGCCCCAAAGTCAAATGGCCGGAGCAAAGTGTAAAACTGTAAAAATGTACAACTGTAAAAATGTCAATCTGTAAAAGCACATCCTCTCAATACTTCCCCCTCCCCATATTGGGCCCAGAGGTTCACGACCAGAAGCAATTCCGCAACCCTCAGCTGCCTCCAGCCCCAAACCCTCGGGGACTCGACGCAATGAAAGGGCCCCGGAGTGGCCCCGGAGTGGCTCTGATCCTCCGTCTTCAAAGAGGATGCGCAAAGCCCGGACCCGAGCTTGTGGCTCAGCCGGAGATCCACATTGTGCGGGATAGCTGTCGTTGCATTCCATTCTGGCCTGGCCTCGACTGCGCACGCTGTCCTTTTCGGGCTGGGCCTCGTGCATCTGATCAATCACAGATGCCCCTGGGGCCGGGTCTTGCCCTTCGCGCGCGCCACTCCCCACCACTCGTCGTCCGCCAAATGTCCCACTTGCTGGCTTTCCACTCTTCATCAGCACTAGTCTCCTGCACGTATATGCACACTATCGCAGTTTTGACCGTCGAACCGGTTCGGTGGAACCCGCGAACAGGTTCGCGATCATCCTCATCCGCTCATGACACATACATTTTTTTCTTCTTTTTTTTTTCTCTGAATTTTTTTTTTCCACTTTGTGTTTTAACCTTTCTCAATTTGATTTTTTTGAACCAGATGCCGCTGCTCTCTAAATCCGGATATTTTAAAATTCTCGTCGAATGGGAGGTTCCACCCGTGCGAGTATAGTTCTGTTCGTCGACATGGACCATCGAGTCATTCGTTGCGATCACACACTCAGTCTCACACGATCTCGTTTTCTCCCCCTTCCCGTATGAGCTCACATTTGGTTTCTTTTCCGGATCATGAATCCGATATCCGATCACGATCGTGCAAATAATTGGGAACCATGGGGAATAGTTGCGACCCTCTATTCAGCGCATCGGCATTCTCCGGTGGGGTGCGGAGGCACTCGGGAAGTGCTCGATATGCAACGATGCGACTGATGGCGTAGTCGATCTGCGCGAAAGCACTACCGATGGAGTCTCCGACGCAGTCGTCGTCGTTCAGGTCGCATGGCACACCAGTGTGCGGCTGTCGAGTTCTGCAGTGGAGATCGCCAGTGGGGGAGACGGCGTCACTAGCAGCAACGACAGAAGACAGAACGCACTGAAAGAGGAGAGAGAGAGAGAGAGAGAGAAAAGCAACCAGTCGGACAAAAGTCAGGGCAGATCGGGTTCTCCACGGGTTCTCCAGTCCGATCGAAGCGAAGCACAGTTATCTGCTCTCTGGCAGTTTTCATTTGCTCGCACTGGGATGGTCGTCCATTGACACTAGACCCAGTTGTGAGGCGCCCCCATGATCCGCTGAAAAAGGTCCCTGAGGTCCGACTCACTTTGGGATTTCTCTTGGATCGGCATGGGAAAGGGTGTAGTGTAGTTGTATACCACAAAACCGGATCTATAGAATCATCTCTGGAATCTCTGGGCGACTCTGGAGGCCTCGATCTCGAGAGTTCGGATGAGGCGTAATACAATCATCCCCCATTTGTCTGGGGTCCTCCTGTCATGATCTGCCGGACCGAGCTCGGTCATCTAGAACAGCGCTGGAACAGCGACGTCCGGAACGTGAATCGCCCAAAGCCCCGAAACTCGCGCTAGTGGCTTACCTCAGCGCGGTGATTCCAAATCACCGCCTCCACCAACCGCGGCGCAGCCAACCAGCGCGTCCCGACGCAGCCAAGCAACACCCAAACCACAGCTCGCAGGATCATCGCGCTTGCTTCAGGAAATCAAATCATGGACCCATTCCCCTTCCTCACCTCCCTACGCCAATCTCCCTGTCTTCGTTGCTGCTTGCACCCCCCCCCCCCCCCCCTCTCTCTCTGTTGCCCCCTCTTCATTTATTCTTTTTATTCCATTTATTCAATTTGTCCCGCTAATTCCATTATTCCAATTTCCTTTTAATCTTTTTCTCAATCTAATTTTATCCAATTTTGTCCTTTTTCTCGAATTTCTAATTGCTTTCCCGGTTTCTCAAATCATCGAGTACTTTTGGCCCCGTAGTCCTGTCATTTGTAGATGCACACTCACCTTTACAGCCTTATATAACTTGACCGCGCAGGGATCAGTGGACGTGAACAAACTCCTCCCCTCCCCCTCCTCTCCCTTCCCCTCGCGGTTCTTAGGAGCCTCCATTTCCGTTTCTCATTGATTATATCTTCCCTTCTCTCCCCCCGCCCACCACCACCACCAACCCCTTCCTGCTCTTCTTCACTTCATTCGATCACCTAGACCTTAGACCGTGTCATCCTATTCCAGACACCCGTCATCATGGGGTTCTGGAATGCCAACATGACAGTGCCTTCGGAGACGGCGACGGACCCGCTCCTGCACCAAGATCTATACACGGATCTCTTAACCTTCACTTTCTGCGGTCCAACCCCATACAATCAGAACCAGCCCCTGTTCATTGATGCCGAGGATCCCTCGCGCTCGTTCACAGCCACACAGTTCCGCCAGCTGGTTCGGACGCTGATTGCCGGCCTGAAGGCGCACAATGTCCGCCAGGGAGATTGTGTACTGCTGCACCTGGGTAACAGTGTAAGTTTATGTTGTGTGGTTCTTGCGTCGGACCTGCCACCGTTCTCCGTACCCAGATTGGCTTGTTTCAAGTCTCCATTCCAGGTCCGGGGGAATATTTATTTCAGCTCGGTCTGGTCTGGTCTGGTCTGGTCTGGTCTGGTTTAGTCCGGTCTGGTTCGGTTCGGTGAATGCGTGGACATACCTTCGGCACCATATGCTAACCTGGTCCGCCTTGATATCTTACAGATCCTGTACCCGGCCCTCTTCTTTGGTATCATCGGCGCTGGGGGTGTCTACATGGGCTCCAACCCACGCAGCGCGCCCCAAGAATTAGACCATATCGTGGGCCTCGCCGAGCCCAAGTTGATCCTCACAACCCGCGATGCGCTGCCAACCGTCCAGAAGGTGGCTCAGGCCCGGGGAATGCACCCTAGCCAGATCTGTCTGGTAGACGAGCGGGCTGTCGATCATTGTGCCCAGCTCTTCCTGTGGTACGAGCTGGGATATGCCGCCGGCACGGAGTTCCTCACCTCCGAGGGTGGCCAGCAGACCGGCCATGCCAATTTTGCCCACATGCTCTGCTACGGTGAAAGCGACTGGCAGGTCTTCACGGACGCCGATACGGCCAAGAATACCCCCGCCGCCATGTTCTCGACCTCCGGCACGGGTGGCCTGCCCAAGGCGGCCGTGCTGTCCCACCATGCCATCGTCTCACATCACCGCGCGATTCAGTACGATGTGCCCTTCCCCGTGAGCCGGCTGATGTCTCTGCCCATGTTCCATCTGTTCGGCGCCCTGTGGACGCATCTGTTCCCCGTGCGCTATGGCCACCCGCTCTTCGTTCTGCCCCGCTTTGAGATGACCCAGTTCCTCGCGACGGTGCACCGGTATCAAATTTCTGAGACCTATCTGGTCCCTGCTATCATTCACAGCATCAACCAATCCTCTCTGCCTGTGAGCGAATATCTTTCCTCGCTGCGCTATGTCGGTGTGGCCGGTGCCCCCATTGATGGCGCTTCAATGACCCACTTCCGGAGCCGCTTGCACCCGCTGGCGTACGCCTGTCAGATCTGGGGTATGACCGAGGTCGGTGTGATTTTCCAGTGCCGCTATGGCCAGCGCGGCGATGCGGGCAGCATTGGCACCAAGCTCCGTGGCTATGAGGCCCGGCTAATCGACCATGAGGGCAATACAGTGCGCGGCGATGACCGTGCTGGTGAGCTCTACGTGCGGGGACCGGGCTTGCTTATGGAATACAAGGGCCGGACCGACGCCAAGGAGGCCAATGGTTGGTTCCGCACGGGTGATGTGGCGTATGTCAAGAATGGCTTCTACTTCATTGTCGGACGCACCAAGGAATTGATCAAAGTCCGAGGGTATGTATATGCCTTCGTCTGGCCCATTTTCTCGTTCATGGGGATTCTCTTTATCCCTCTTCTCTCCCAACTTGATTATTTTTTTGACCCCTTCCTTGTCACCCAACCTCTCAAGGATCTGCACACACTAACGCACTTCCTGCATAGATGGCAAGTGGCCCCCGCCGAGATCGAGGCCGTCCTTCTGCAACATCCTGGCATTGCCGATGCGGCCGTCACCGGAGTCAATCTACGGGACGGCAGCACCGAAGTGCCGCGCGCCTTTATCGTACGGTCGCGGGACCGCACGACCGCCAATCGCCTCACCGCTGAAGAAGTCTACAAGTTTGCCCGTTCGCAACTGGCCAGCTACAAGGCTCTGGATGGCGGAATCATCTTCGTCGAGGAGATCCCCCGCACGGCCAGCGGCAAGATCCAGCGCTTCAAGTTGGCGCAAATGAACTCGTACCGCGAGATGGTGGCATCTCTGCTGTCACGCTTTGAAGGTGAGACCAGCTCCTCAACGGGACGACGCCGGCCTCCGAGCGATGTCCCTGTCGTCACACCCGAAGCCCGCGTCAGTGTCTGATGCGAGAGTCTCTTTCTTTTCCAGGCGTTCGGTCTGTTTTCGGGAGTTTCGGCAAGATCCTAGTCTCCGTGTTTAGTTTTCCCCTCCGCTTCTCGGGCTTCTTATTCCCTGGCATCGCGAAGTCTTCGGCGCTGGACTAGAGTGGCGTTGGGCTCGTGGCATTGCTTTCTATGTGAATCTTTTTTTTTCCGGCGCTGGTGGCAACGAAATTTTACTATACGTTCGGCGGGGCCGATCTCGCCTCTCGGTCAAAGACGACATCCTTATTCCTGACTATTTTTCCGTCCGGGGATTGTTATGGTTTCGGGCGGGCTTACTGATTTTCACGCTTCTTACGATCATTTGCATTTTTCCACCCCCATTTGTTTTGCCTCATTTACGAGAAATACCTCTTCTGCGTCCTGGCTCTGGGAACCCGCATGAGCGACGGGTGGATCATTCACTCTTATTTTCCACCTGGCATTTATGTTTGTTTTGTGTCCCTCTTTTCCTCTTTCGATCCGATCTCTACATGCATCCGATTCAATAGTCTCGGTGCGCCACGCCTCGGGCAGCTGTCCAGTCTCGGCATCATGGAATATGAATATGAACAAATTGACAACATGGAGCTTTTCCTACTCAAAATAAAATAAAATAAGATAAATAAAAACCATAAAAACCATAAAAACCACAAGTTAAAGCCTAACTCCTAACTCTAACTGCTTGCATAGCGTGAAGTCATTCCAATCCACTGTTTTGCATCTTTGACCCTCTTTCCCGGCTTTCTTGTTTCTGGTTCCCCCCAACTTATGCCCTTCCCCCTCTCACTAGCCACACACAGTGGGTTGCCAATCAGACTTACAGGTGTGGGGGGAGGGCAGGGGAAGGACCCGGTGGGTCGCAACAAAAGCATGAACGCCCCCGGCAGGAACTGCACACCGCAATGTTGCAAAGTTGCACTACTGTACGTGCCCTCCACGCGGCCTCGATTGACGCAGCCCCGCCGAGATCGAAATGGTGTAACGCGAGCCAGGGTCCTGGTTCCTGGCCCTGTTGCCCCTGCTTTTCTCGGCTGCACTTCTCTTGTTTTCCTTGTTCCTGCTGCCCGGGGATGCGATTCCCGGCGCTACTACGGACGACTGGATGCTGCTCGGTTTGTCCGACGCTGCGCCCCGCGAGGCAGGTCGTCCGAACCTATGGATCTTTCCTCCTGCCCACTTTTTGTCGAGGTCTGGTTTTTTTTTTTTTTTTTGTCTTTTCCAAGTGCTTTAGCTTCTTGCTTTCTTGTTTCCCGGATCCAGTGTCCCAGATTCCGCGGGTGTTACAGTCCATCCCAAAACTGGTGCCAGTACTGTCACTCTGAAGATGTTCTTCGAACTGAATTAGTTAAACGCATTAATATTTATTAGAAAAGCCTCCGGATTATTGATCTTCCTGTATCTTTCAGCAATACTACATCATACATATCATACACAGGTTAGAATACAGTACTTGGGTTTTATTACTGTATGAGCTCATCATCAGCATTCCCAACTGATCAAAAAACACTTGAGCTCGAGACGGCTTTCAAAGTCTGGCAAGTTGAGCCCGCATTTGTTATTCCTGTCACACTGACAGTCTCAAGGAACCACTCAGTCCCTGATAACTAGTGCAAAAGTGACTTCACCGAGCTCAGCTTGCTTACTGTAGCTCTAGACTATCGTGCACCCGCAAGCGTTCAGCGTGTCAGCCACAGCCCTCTTTGATTAATACGTGTAAGACGTTTTCGATGGAAGCTAGGAACAGAGTAATGCTTTAAACTCCTCTTTGGCTACTTTCTTCTTCTTTGAGGAATGGCTGATCCTGGTTTTAATGATGAGGAAGGGGTGGCGTTCGACATCGCCAACTATAAGAAGGATCTAACCGATGTACAACCAATGATTTTGGCGGAAGCGTCAGTTCTACTGCGGAACAAGCTAACTATTCGCACTGAGCGAGCGGGAATTTCTGCCAATAGTCGAGGAACTCGGGCCTCTGCGCCTTGTTTCTTGCTAGCTTTCTCGGCCTCATACTAGCTCCGCAAGAAGCACATCTGTGTGAAATAGGTGTTGATAGCATAATCGGACACATGTTTACATTGTAATCTGCTTAATTTTTCGAACGATGCTCTAAGCGGGGCAATTGGATAAATTTCGGCTTGATGCCGAATCCTACTAAGCCGCCATCACGAGTCTCTAGATCTATGATCTAGCGGAGATTAGTAATTAAGATTCAAGAAATAATCAAAAAGTGAGGGTGGTGACACCAGTTTCGGGACACTATACAGAGAAGTAGATAGTGGGATCATCGGAGATTAGGTTAGTTGAATCGGTAGGACAGGGATTAGAGGAGTAGGCTTCACGCTATTTCTGGCCAGAGTACAGGTATGATTTTAGAGTGCATGTGGTATAGTTGACAAGAGATCTGGGATACATACTCATGAACTGTTGTCCTCCCTTCCCCCGCCTATCTATCCCAATCAGTTGAAGACTTTTTGATCATATATTGATTCTTATAGCTATAAGGTGAGCCCTGTCGCTTAATTGCACACAATATGATTGTTTATTAGGATCTCGCCTGGCTGTTAGCCTCGGCCCTGGCGAGTCGGACTCGGGGTACCGGTTTAGTCAGGGAGCGGTCGCACCCCGAATAAGTAACACGCCAAACAAACCCCTTGAAACTACCGCCTCATTGTTTCAATCTCTCTATCGTAGCAGTGATTTAATTGCGAGACCATATGACACAGAAGAAATAGTACTCAATTGTTTCTTATCAGTGAGTTGATCGCATCGAGGTCTTTCGAATGGCAGTGCACGGCACGTGGCGCCCGGTTGAGTTGCTGTGTGGAGGAGAAAATTGCCTCGTACAACCTCCCCGCATTTCAAGGCGTGTTGAGCTGCCTCCAGCTTCCCATCAAGGCTTTGTACATCGGATGAGATAGAATTGTACAAGGTGACAAACGCTGGAATTTTTTCATAGAATTGAATGGCATTGTCTTTCTGCGTTCCCTTCTTATTCAGAGCGTTCATTGCACCGTCAGGTTCAGGCGTACTATACAATCTTTGTGGGTGGACGTTGGATTCGGAATTTCCTATACCCAGTAACTTAAAGCCCCCCCCCCTGTCAGATAGCACTGGCTATATATGCGGCAATTTTCTCGATCGTGTCATTTGCCTTTCCCTAATCTTGCTTTCCATATGCGTTAGGCAATACGATTGCTTTGCTCGCGGGCTAATTCGACAAGAACATGGTGGCTTAGGACCATCATGATAACGAAAATTGAATTAGATTTTAAGAGCGCTGCAGACCATGTTGCTTATCGGGAGGAAAGCTCGAGGTCGATTTAAGTACAAAGCTCACCGCGCGTGGCTTTGTAGGATTGCCCCTAGAAAAATCCATCTTTCGTTGTCATATACTCAGCAGATCTGATCAATAGCTCTCCAACATGGGCAACGACACAGACGCTGCGCTGCCAGAGGATATCCCGACAGATGTTTTCCCTCATTCCAGTGGCGGTGGCGTATTCTCGTCTCGCATCCAGCAGCGACGAGTGTCCGTAGATACACCTAAGGCTCCGGGATCGAAGACCACAGACGTGGAGCTTGCATCGATCTCCGAGGAGCCCGACATCAATGAGCGGGACTTTCACAAGAAACAGGTGATTTGACTCATCAAGGATTCTGCTGACTTTGCTTTTTGCTGACGAAAATAAACTATTCCATTAGGTATTCAAAGGCTGGACACTGGCATGGTACGTTCGCGAAAGACCGCCCCAGTGTGTGTGATATACACCCTGGTACATGCTAACAGCTAGGCACGTATAGGCTGGCCTATCAATCCATTGGAGTCATCTACGGCGATATCGGCACAAGTCCTCTCTACGTATTTTCGTCCACGTTTAGCAGCGAGCCGAGCTATGAGGATATTCTCGGTGCCGTGTCGCTCGTGATTTGGTCTCTCACAATCATGGTCACCATCAAATATGTCTGCATCGTGCTCTATGCAGACGATGAGGGGGAGGGTGGTACTTTTGCTCTGTACTCACTACTGTCTCGATATGTATGCATGATCTCAAATCACCCCCAAAACGTTCCCTACTCATCGCCACATATCGGGTTCTAGGCGAAACTCGTACGACATGACCCTCGGCATACGAATTTACTTCGTATCCAGCGCTACAATACCGATGATCTTCAGAAGCCTAATCTGATGACACGAAACTTCATTGAAAGAAGCACATTCATCAAGGTTACCTTGAAGATAGTGGGAGCTTTTGGGGTGTCACTGCTTCTTGCGGGTAGGCGTGGTATACACCATATTCGTCCGCATCAGAGCTAACTGGAATACTTGCAGATGGAGTCCTCACTCCTGCGCAGTCAATTCTAGGTGCTATTCAGGGGTGAGACATCTTTGTGACCGCCGAATAATATGTGAGGACATGGCTTATTGTTAGACAGGATCACTGTCGTGAACCCCAACATTTCGACCTCCACAGTCGTTGGAGTCTCATGCGCAATATTGGTCGTAATCTTCCTGATTCAACCCTTTGGGACCAGCAAAATTGCTAGTTTTTTCGCACCAATTGTTATTCTGTGGATGATGTTCAATTTGTCATTTGGGATTTATGTATGTGAAGTTCTTCCTATGAGATTGTGTGACTGGATATGCTGATATTCAATTTGTTTCCCTGGCCAACAGAACCTTGTCATGTATGACACATCTGTGCTGAAGGCATTCTCCCCTTACTTTGCAGGATCTTTCTTGGTACGCAATAAAAAGGAGGGATGGCTACAATTGGGGGGATTCTTCTCGCCTTCACTGGTGTTGAAACCTTGTTCGCAGACCTGGGTGCTTTCAGTCAAAGGTAAATAACATGATCGACAACATATTCCACTCTAGTTTTGCAGGTTATCTGATTATCTTCACAGGGCGATCCGGATCTCGTGGCTCTTTCTTGTGTATCCTTGCCTTCTACTTTCGGTAAAATCCAGATTCCTGATTTAAAGCATAAAACAACGAGTGTCTCTAATGTTGTGGAACAGTACATTGGCCAAGGTGCCTACATTAGTCGCGTGCCAAGTGCATATGCCAATCCTTTCTACCTGACTGTTCCACCGGGGATGCTCTATCCCAGTCTCGTGGTGGCAATATTGGCCTGTATTGTTGCGAGTCAGGCTGTGATAACAGGCTCTTTCCAAGTTTGTCTCTCAGCGCATGGTTCTTGGGGTTCTTGAAAGACTTACTGAATATGTCTAGTTACTGTCACAAATCATGAAACTGTCGTACTTCCCTCAAGTGAAGATGTACCATGTCTCAAACACATTTCATGGTCAAGTTTACATCCCACTTGCTAACTGGCTGATGATGATCGGGTCCATCATTGTGACTGCGGTGTACAATAATGTAAGATTAATTATCATATTCGAGAGAGGAGAAATAATCTTACTAACTTTTCACCAGACGACTGCCCTTGGTGAAGCCTACGGGGCGTGTGTTATTCTTGTCTCCTTTTTGACTACCTGCATGGTAACTGTTGTGGCGCTGATCGTATGGAGATTACCGATATACCTTGTGATCCCCGTTTTCATAGTCGTCGCCCTTTGGGATGGAATGTTCCTTTCGGCTGCTCTTAGCAAAGTCCCACACGGTGCGTGGTTTACTCTAATGCTGGCTTTGGCCATCACCTGCGTCTTCATGCTGTGGCGCTATGGCAAGGAAGAACAGTGGAAAGCAGAAGAATCTGACAACACCCCGCTATCGCACACCACCATCATACAAGGGAACCAACTGTGCTTGAGAGGGGAATCTGCAACTACAAACATAACTCCCATCAGCGGGCTGGGAATCTTCTTCGACAAATCGGGAAGTTCGATCAACACGCCCGCGGTTTTCCTCCACTTCCTCCAAAAGTTCCACGCTACACCAGAGGTCTCTGTTTTTCTTCATTTGAGACCACTGTCTCTGCCTACAGTTGCCCCTAGCGAGCGGTACACCGTGACTCGTTGCTACACCTCCGGGGAGGGATCGGGTAGGAAGATGATTCCGAATTGCTATCGCCTGATGATCCGACATGGATACGCGGACGAGGTCATCACTCCCGACTTGGGCACGCTGGTTCTCGACTTGATCCGCACCTTCTTGGATGGCAAGGACTATGCTAAAGAACCGAGTGGTGGTTCAGAAGAATTAACTATGTTGCATCGTGCGTGGAATTCTCAAACTATCTACATTGTCGGAAAGGAACAGCTCAAGATCCCGGCTCGTACGAATTTCTTGCGACGGCTGGTCCTCTGGGCCTTTTTGTGGATGAGGGATTCTAGCAGGACTAAAATCCAACACTTGAATGTCGAGATCGATCGCGTGGTAGAGGTTGGATTTGTGAAGGAGATGTTATGTTAATTCGAATTTCCACTCTCTGCCTACTTTCTATCTGGTATCAGTTGACTGGAAAAGCCAATCCAATTGTCGAAGCCGGTTATCATTTTCTATGATGAATAGTGGACCGGTCATCTGATTCTATTATTTAAAAGATGGGCTTCCCGATGTCACCAGTCTAGGATGATGCATGCTATGGGGGAAAATTCTAGCGACGAAGCGCACAATGCAGATACAAATCGTTCGGAGTTGCCCACGCGGGGGTGAGATAGCTTTCAGTTCCCTAAAACAGGATAGGCTCTAGATCAAAAATACTAATGCTATTAATACATCCGGAGGTTACATGTTTTAGTAGCTTAGCCGCATAAACATCCCTTTTTCTTCGCTGCTCTCCGAGGAGGTCACGAAGGCATGAACATTGACGAATTACCCAAGCTGGCTATAGCTCAACTCTGGCTAAGCCCCAAAGTCCTTTTTTGGGCAACGGATTGTTTTGCCTCCGGGGAAACCGAGTGCCGATCGCGGGAGTCACCTACCCCGGCGGTCCCCGTTTGTTGGGTTGTTTTTCCTGTTCGCAGCGTGAATTGCATAGGACGATCCCCTGTTGTTTTGCACTCGCGGATGTCCATTTCTTTGTTTCCTTCAGCATTTCTCCAGGCAGATTCGGAAACAGGGCTTCTGTTGTAAGCTGTATTCGAAGTTGGGAGCGGCCCCAAATAATATAATAATGATGTAATGGAAGTTCGTCGAAAGCCGCTGGTGAAAGAGGGGAAACCGACGATCGGCCCAATTTTCATCTTGACGATGGCGCTAGGCACGCATGTCTCAGGGTCTCACTCCGGGCAAGCTTTTAAACCGGATTGCCCGAAGTATAAGTAACGACCGATGTGACCTGTTCCGATCGAGTGTTCATTCACTTCAGTCAGACTTCTCTGGATATCAACCTGCCCGTCTCTCTCGCCAAACATGAAGTCCATTGCGGCCCTTTCTTCCCTGCTTCTCCTGGGAGTTGCTACGGCGCAGGAGATCCAATCTAAGCCCTTCAACTTGGTCATTCAGTCCGACAAGAAGGCTCTGAATGGTGAGAAGCTTGCGGCCTGCCACTCCGGCGCTGCGATCGAATCGCTCTGCCTCGCAGGCGGCTCCGGATCCCAGTTCTATCTGAACACCACCAAGGGCGAGACTGCTCCCATTAAAGGAGACGGGCTTCCCGGTGCCCTTGTGTGGAATCTCCCGATTGCCAATGGTGCGTATTTGATGTGCTTGCAGAGAGTTGCGAGACTGTCTGTTCTAACAAAGTCGACAGAGCCGACCGCAGTGTCCGAGCCGATGAGCTTCTATGTCGACCCGTCCACCAATGTGGCTTTGCCCATGTTCATGCCCGGCTATGACCAGCAAGATGTTGCATTTGATAAGAACAACCACATGGGTATCTACAGCTACCTGGATGACACCGTCACCCCTCCGACCGGCGACAAAGTCAAGGTGTTGAAGAACTGGTATGTGTGCGAGACCTACTACACCGGCTACCAGTATCACACATTGAACTGGGTCCTGGGCTCTGCCTCCGCCAAGCCGCAAAACCCCAGCTGTGTCAAGGTGCAAGTCCAGCGCAAATTCCTATAGAGGATGGGCCTGGTGATCGATCGCTAAGGTGATGCGTGATAAGTCTGTACATAATAGCTTAATATATTTCTAATACGTTATGGCCTGATATAAACAAGAGGATTTGCAGAACTAATCGGCGAACGAGGCGTTTTCCCCTAAAACGCCATGCATTAGCCCCTGACGACACTCGTATGCCGAAACTCCAACCCCACAAAACCACCCACACGGCTATGCGTCGATCACACCGTTCTTTCGGGTGAGCGGGTATGCCTCTTCGTATGAGAATTACAGCCCGATTTCAAACCCGAATTTCATCCAGCGTGATCTCGTAGTACTAAGACATAACACTAAATTGACAAGCTTTGGGGGAATATCATGTGATGACTGACTCGTCATTCCCGGGATTTGGTTGAGTGGATCTCGCCGGGGTTTGTCATCGGCAGATTTTGTCCCGACGGACTTCAGTCTCCGAAAACTGACTCCGAAAGGCCGCGTACATATGGCCGGACGATGGGCGCAAGAACAGACAGTCCGGCGTCGCCGGCGAAGCGACAGAAATTACTAGCCTGCGGAAGGTGTCGCTTGCGAAAACAAAGGGTACATTCAATACTTTCTAATTGATTGGACTTGCCAAAACTAAACCGCACTAGTGCAGTGACAGGAGGCCCTGCCACAACTGTATTGCTGCAAATCAAGGTCGACTAACCTTGTTTCCCTTCTCAAAAAAAGAATAGAAAACTAATTGGATTCTACAGAATGCATTTCCAGCGAGCGTGTTGCTCGAAAGCCCCGCGTTAGCCTTGAGTAGACATCTCCTTTTACCTCCTAAGGTGGCTCGTGACTTATGATTATTGTTTCCAGATATGCACTGTCGCTTGAAAATAAGATCGCCGACTTAGAGTCTCAAATACCGGAACACTCATCGCGCCATGAATCGCAAACTTCAGAAGGCTGTTTTGCGGAAGATTCACAATTACCAGTCAGCGAAACATCAGAGACGGCGATTCTGGAGCCGGAAGAAAATCAGGAGCAAGTTACTCATTGCACGGCTGATCCAATCATTGCCTCTGCATCAAATGATCATTCTTGCAACTCAAATACGCAAGAAACGCAGACTTTTGCTGTTCCAAGGTGTCCCAGTCCGAGCATCCCGCTCGCCTCACTCCTTCAACCAACAGTCTCATCTGCGTTCTCGTTGCCCAATGATCGCTGTGGCCATGCCAGTCTTTTAATCAGCATATTGGCTACACTCACGAGTGGAAATCCTTGTGGACTTCCTACCGCCGAGAAAAATACCTTCCAAACTGTTCATGCGTCTAATTCTATGATAAGCCAAAGGATTGAGCCAATGCAAGCAACTCGGCTCTCAAACGAGGTCGAAGATTCGCTTATCCGAATTTACCTGGAAAGAGTCAATCCGCGATATCCATTTCTTCATGTGGACACCTTTCTAGGCTGGTATAAATCATGGAAAACGCGCAGGTTGGTAGAGCAGTCTGCTGATAGAAAGGACCTATGGAAGGACTTCTTCGTGACGATGGTAAGATTTCTATCTAGATGCATCTGACCGAATTGAGCTCAATTTTATTCGTATAGGTTCAATCCGTCAGCATCCTCCTGACTCCACAAGTATCCTTGAATGATATTGCAACATCCCAGGTATGGCTCATACATATGGTACAATGTTATCTTGTCTAACCGGCTAGCTTCTATACAACACCGCAATAAAATATGTGCCGTTCGTTTTCGCCAATCTTGATCCAATTCTACAAGCTCAGGCCTACCTTCTTTTGACATTGCATGCCCTTCACTCACCGTCATCCGAAATGATAATTACCATGGTGTCCACTGCAATGCGCCATTGTGTGATTCATAATCTTCATCTATCTGAGCTAGAGCCAAAAGTGCCTTTTCCAGCCTTTTCGCAGCAAGTCCAGATCCGACGCCGAGTGTTTTGGTCAGTATATGCGTTGGACCGACTCGTTAGCTGGATTTATCACATCCCAAATAATATTATCGATGACCATATTACAGTAGAGGTGCGTCACAGGCCCATGATCTCCTCGCCAGCGAATCTAAATTAACAACAGAAAAGCTATTTTCAAATGTGGAAGACACGAATCTTCATTGGGATACCGCAAATATGAACCACCCTCCAACCCAGGACCTTTTTCAGAAAACGCGAATATCTCCGGCGCTCCATCTAATACGCTGCAGATGCATTCAATCCCGAATTATTACCACGATGATGCGATCTGATTTCCATCGAATTGATTCTTCAACGCCTTGGAGAGGGCATATGATAGACGAGCTAGAAAGCTGGAAGTCTCAGGTGGAGCGCCTAAGTCACAGAGCAAATAGAGGCTACCTGAGTGACCGATGGGTAGGCATGGCATATAACTACACGATCGCCCTTTTACATCAGCCCTCTAAAGCCAATGTCTGCAATGGATTTGGTGAACGGTCAATCGAAGCTGGTGTCCAGATCGCTTTGACATTCAGAACCTTTCAGAAGGATCGACAGACAGCACAGCTATGGCCTGGGGTGTGTTTCCCATAATTTGTTGTCATAAAGCATATTATACTAACGCTTGTATCAGCTTCTGAGCCAATTTACTGTTGGCGTCACCATTTTGTACTGCTTCTGGGCAACTCCACCTGCGTACCGCTCTGCAACATATAAAAAACCAAATGTGGCAGAGGCATTGCGGGCTTGCTCAACGGCTTTGGCAATTCTATCGGAACGTTGGGTTCAAGCAGAGCCCTTGCGAGATGTTTTTGACGTGCTCGCCAAAGAAATTCCGCTATATGAAGTACCTAATACCGTCTTTTCTCCAAGGAGTATTACTACCGAATCCGCCGATCTCATCAAAGTGAAGATGGGCGTATTGGAGAACATCGTTAAGAACAGGGTAGTTCTTCGTATGCTCCAAGAAATTATTGCAGAGGATTTTCCATCGAGTCCAAATGCTACTTTCCGACCTAGGCATTTAGAAAAAGATGGCACGCTCGAAAATGGAGGAGGGCATCTGTGCTCTGAACACTGTGCGCTGTTTCACGGTACACCGTTTCTGGACTCCATGCCGAATGTGACTCACTCTGCATCCGACGGGGAATTCGATGAAGCATATGCAGGATATGAAGAGAACTTAGTATTTCCTGAGCTGTTTGGTTCGGCTGAGTTCTAGAAACAAAAGATGAATGGGATTATGTCAAATCAAAATTACCACTACCATCTGGCTGGTGGCCCCTGAATAATCGCTCATTTTGTCCGCTGAAAGCCTCTATTTTGCGAAATAATAGGATCACAGCATTGACTCGTAAGGAATGCAATATTTTATACCGGATTCGTGTCAAGGTGGGCCCTGTCGGAAGTTTGACCGCCGAAGACTCATCGGATCGGAGCTGCAAAGGCCGAGGATGACTCCTAGTCCAGATTTCCACTTTCAAGTTCGTATAAGACGTTCATTATCTCACAATTTCTCTTTCAATCTTATTTTATTCATTATATCCAGATCACAATACAATGCCTCAAAAGTTGAAAGTTGCAGTTGCCCAGGCTCGCACTGGTCCTACTCTCGCGGCGACCCTTGCCTCGCTTGAGAAAATCACACACCATGCAGCTTCACAGGGGGTGAGCATTTTACTCTTCCCTGAAGCCTATCTAGGTGGTTATCCTCGTACTTGCGATTTCGGAACTGCTGTCGGCGCCCGTGCACCTCATGGTCGCGAGCAATTTTTCCGCTACTTCCAGGATGCAGTGGATCTCGGCGATACCCCCGCTGAAGCGGGAGACGATTGGGTTGAGCGTAAGCTTCCGGTTGCGAAGGGATCTGATCGCCGCGGAGATGGAACAAGAGAATTTCTTGAAAAGGTATCACGGGAGACTGGTGTTTTCATCGTCACTGGTGTGATTGAAAAGGCCGGCGGGACCATGTATTGTTCGGCCATTTATGTGGACCCCTCATCCGGGGCCGTTGGCAAGAGAAGAAAAGTCATGCCGGTAAGTAGAAAATCGCTGATTTCTCGTCGGAGGATCAAGGTTGGCTCACTTTTCGCGACTGATAAACAGACTGGCTCGGAGCGTCTCGTTTGGGGTCAAGGCTCCGCGGCTTCGCTCAAAGCAATCACTACTGTGCTGAAAGGAGTGAGGGTCACTCTTGCTGCTGCCATTTGCTGGGAAAATTTCATGCCTCTACTGCGTCACAGTCTGTACTCCCAGAATGTGAACATCTACCTTGCGCCTACGGCCGACAGCCGTGACACTTGGCTGCCCCTTATGCGTACCATTGCTGGCGAAGGCCGTACGTTCGTATTATCATGCAATCAGTGTGTTCGCTACCGTGAGCTTCCGCCTTGGATTACTGATCATGCCACGAAGGAGGGAACAGCATTGGAAGGTGCGTATCCAGGAAAATAAATGGAGGTTTTGTCTAACCATTTTCACCATACAGGAGACCAGTACATCTCCCGGGGCGGATCTTGCATCGTAGGCCCTCTTGGAGAAGTTCTTGCCGGCCCTATTTGGGAGACCTGTGTTGATGACACACTCGAGACATCGGGTGCTGATATTTCCTCCGATAAGGACGGCTTGTTGATTCATGAAATTGATCTCGAGGATTGTGAGCGAGGAAAGTTTGATATGGACGTGGCTGGAAGCTATTCAAGAAATGATGCTTTTAAGCTGACAGTAGAAGGCTTGGACTTGAGTCCCCCGCCATATTAAAAGTTTTAGAACTGATTAACTTGACTTCATTTCCATTTGAACAACGTCCATCCTTTAGTATACTAAATTGACGTACAGTAGATTCCAGATGGGCCACTGATCTGATCTAGGCGTGAAAATATCAAATCCAATCGCCGAGCCTTCAGCTTGGCCCCTAGTTATTCTATATTTCTCTTCCGCAACCCCTAAAGGTTCTCTTAGTTCACAGACCACGAGCGTCTCTGACCTCAGCTCAGTATGTATAGTTCCTGACGAGTAGTGTGGGTCTTGACAGGGAGCCGACGACTTTCGGATCCGATGTGGCGAGATCAGCCAATGGCATACTCGAAAATCGCAGTATTAGTGGATAAATATTATGACCCACTAAGATACGGAGCCGAGATGCTCAAAGCCGGCAGCCGGAATACAATATTTAATGTGCTAGGTTGAATCCTTCAGATATTGTCATTATGCTCTCATATATTTCTCTCATATTGACTTGTTCTCAATTGCTCAAATGGCGAAACCTGTCATCGTCATAATACCCGGTGCCTGGCACAGACCGAAGCACTACCAATACCTTATTGATGGTTTGATAGCAGCTGGCTATGAGGCTGTAGGGGTGACATTGCCCTCTGTCGATTCTAGCCCTCCCCATCCTAGCTGGGATCAAGATGCTGAAGAAATTCGCCGGGTGATTCTACAGTACCTGGATCTCGGCAAGGATGTCATCACTATTGCCCACTCATTTGGCGGAGTTGCCATGTCTGAGGCTGTCAAAGGACTAGGAAAGCAGGATAGAGAAGAAGAGGGTTTAAAGGGCGCCGTCTTACAGCTAGTCTATATGTGTGCTATGGCGTTGCCCCAGGGCCAGACACATGTCGGTCAGATTATGCCGGCAACACCCGAGGAAGAAGAGATTGAGCGTAAGCGCCAAGAGCTACAGGCCAAATATGGTGGCATGAAATTTACAGAGGTATGTCTACACTCTGGTCCTCAGATTGTTTGCCTCAGTATGTTATAATGGTGGCCAAGCTAACAACATCTGCCAAAGGATGGAGCCATGGTGCTTGAGGGAGAACACCTGGGAGAAGTGTTATATACCGGCTGTGATCCCGCGGATGTCAAGAAAGCAGTTGATCTGCTAGGATCCTTCCCATCAGGCCCCCTCACTGTGCCAGCGACCTATTCAGCATTCAAAGAAATCTCAAGCACATACATTGTGTGCAAAAATGACCAGGCTTTGCCGGTCTCTATACAGAGAAGAATGATTGCTCAGGGTGAAGGTGCTTTTCATGTTGTGGAATGTGATGAGGGTCACTCGCCGTTTTTGAGCAATCCGAAATTTGTCGTAAATTGCCTCCGAAAGGTGGCTGGAGAAGAAGTCTAATTATTATGGCTCTCGATGCTCTAGATCCCTTGGAAACGACTTGTCATGCTTTTCAGCTACATAAATCAAGACAAAAATATATAGTTCTCATCTCAACTATCTTTTTAACGCAAAAGAATTGTTTTTCTTTTGTATAACTTCTATAGTATTGTCATAATATTTTTGCCTTTCTCTTATAACGGGTAGGGCAAGAAACAGTATGAATGTGATATTGCAACAAGGGAGTGTGTTACATAACCTATATTAAGGTCGAATTGAAGACGTTCTATGATGTCCAGGGATTCATTTGAATAATCCACTGAGCCAAATACTTTCATGGACTCGCTCATAGATGCGACAGTCAATCCAGTGTCATCGTCTGTTGATAGTAGTTAAGTTGTGAATGACACCTTTTTCCTAAGGCAATAAGGCATCAATATTAAGACCTTCCGCCAGAATCTCCGGGATTTGGTCGGGTCTGATCGACAAGCCTCAACTCAGACCCCTTGGAAATATCCAAGAAAATAGTGAAAAGAAGCATAGACCTTGGTGGAATCATTTCTTGTCATATGAGACGGGATGCTTCCATTGTCTGCTCTCTTTGCCTAGATAGATGCGGAATGTCCGGTCATTCTGCACTTGAAGTGGCGTTACCACTTTCCCCTGGAAGGCCACAGCGCCGCCAGAACACAAGTTGTGATCCTTGTCGACGCTCAAAGCGACGATGCTTCTTTTCGTCTTCCAGTGATGGCACTGTTAGCGTATCATGCACTCACTGTCAACGCCTAGGGCATGAGTGCACATTTAACTTCGCCCTTTCTCAGCAGAATTCAAGGCTAGGAAAGAGACGACGCTCCGATAAAGCAAACAAACATTTGACCATGAATCATAACGATAAAGCTGCTCCTGAATATTCAATTAAAGGAGATGATCAGGATATCCTCCAAGACAGCTCTTTCAACTTCATGCCATGGCTTAATCTTGATATTGATCCTTCATTCGCGGATATCTTGACATACTCCTCAAATCACGCCTCTCTGATTTCCTCGGAACTATCTTCTCTCGAAAACTCAGAGAGCTCGTCACCTTTTCAACGTGAAAGAGATTTTTTTGTCCGGCCGCCTCATGTGCATCATACACTACCGAACTTCTCTCTTTCGGCCCAACATTTGGTTGGCAAAACTCTTCGCAGCCCAATTCATTTGTTGAACTCGAAAATGGATGCAACACTTATTGAAGAACATCTCTCTACAATTTATGAAACCATCGTGACAGGGTCGGCGTCCCGATTTATTGACTCAGAACAAATTTTGAATATCAGCGGACCTCGTCATCGGATTGAAAGCGCCAGTTCACAGAGGAAGCGGCGATCATCTCCTGCTAAACAGCAATCCAGGGCTTCAAGTACATTGTTACAAGAAAGTCCCAACACCCCAGGGCTCAGTTTCTCGCCTCCTCGGTCAGAAACCAACGCAATTCAAGAAACAAGTGTCGCCCAACTGGACGACAGATCTAAGATCACTTTACTTGGATGCATTCGCTTTTTAGATCATTTTGGTGATCTTTATGGCAACCGGTTGAATCATGAAGCCAAGAAAAAATCTGATGCCATCTTGAAAGCCGTTCTCAGAGTATTTTCGTTGCAATGGCTGCCTATTTCAGATAACGGCCCTGACTCCTCAAGTCACCTTCATAGCGACTACAATGATATACCCTCTCCACCATTACCCTTATTGGAATTCTATACAGATGCATGGCACAAGGCCCGAGAACTTATTAAAAGTGGGCATTCCGTTCGGTCATTTCGAGTCGTCTTTGCCACTTTGATGTTCAGTGGCATTGCCATACCGACTTCCGCCTACAATATCCCAGACTTGTCGATCACAATGCATGAGTTACTTGAAACGGGGTTACAGAAGCTCTTTGAATTGAATGGGCTTGTGAGACAATACTGTGATACTTTAGGGCCATTTTCGCAATATGCTACTCTTGCAGAGGCTAGCTTGAATCTTGTTCGCTGGTGTGGGTATATTCGCGACATAGGGGCGGCTTTGATGACTGATTATCACTGTAAACTACTCGAGACTTTCATTCAGACTGATGGTGAGTTCAAAGTTCCAACCCGATAGGGTTTTTCACACTACTGACTTTCCCTAGAATTTGCAATTGGGGAGCTTATTCCACCAGAACTACTCCATGACCCCGAAGAGCTTGATAAAGTTGTGCCAAGTATTTGTCGAAGAGCAGCTGAAGATGCCTTCTTGATCTGGAGAAAGATAGCAAACGTCAAAAGGTCCATTCCAGAACCAATTAATATTGGATACCCCTTATCATCAAATCTAGTCGAGACGGTACGTTCTGCAACAATAGCTGTCGAACAACTGGATATATCACTACGACCCGTCATAGATTACTGTAATGGTTCCTTCAGTGATCTCTCTATGCCCTCCAGAATATCTTCGGGTAACTACCAATTCTATCTCCCGTTATCGAGCTCCTTCTAATATTATATATAGCGTGTCTCGCACTGCCTTGGAACTTTGGAATACTGGTTCTCGCCGATATCTTGAAACCATTCACCGAACTACTTGAACCACATTGTAACTCGTCGTTCATTTCAAGACTTCATCATTTCCAGCATACAGCAGCGCTGTCAATTTCAAGAACAGTTCAATGCATGCTCGCAGTACCTACCGAGGAGACATTCAACGTACGAAATGGCCTGAGCGCGGAGGTTCCCATAATAGCCTACCACGTCACCCCTGGTATAATGGCTGCGAGTTTAGAAAAGGCCATGGAAACCACAATTGAGCTATCACTGAAAACCAATACTGATAACAGTGGGCCGAGGTCCCTGTTTAACGAAGACTGGCACAGCCAGATTGATTATCTCATGAAAGGGCTTCTCTCGCTTGGTGTGACGATTGGAGGATCCCAGATAACCGCAGTCATCATTCAGAGATTGATGCAGAAGTATGGGGACGTCATTGCTGAGTGTTGGTCTAGTGACTTTGATACCTAATTTTTGGCTCTAGAGCTGTATATGTACAATTTTGGTTATTTCAGCAGACTCATGTACAGGATAATTGTTGAATGAATACAACGCCACTCTTCATCATTTCGTAATGGCAGAGTTTATGATTTTGGTACATGTGATCTCCATTGCCCGGGACCGAATAAGCGTTCCAGGTATCACCGTTATTCGGGAGGTCCAGTTAGAACAATTCTCGATTTCAAGTACCTGAATTTTAGAGAACAATTTCTATATACCGCAGACCCTGTGCATGAATCTCCATTGCCATATTTCTCTTTATGGTAGGTCAACCCCATGAAAAAATAGAAAGGCTTTCACCCCGCTGGATGCGTTCTTAAATAATGCCATACCCCATCCACCAGACACCCCAAGCCAAAGGGCCTAGAGCGCCTAGCACAGCGGGCCCAAATGACATCTCCAAGATGCACCAAATCCACATTGTCCCATAAGCAGGCGCCTTTTTCATCACGGCGTAATATGGCTCCCCATTGGTGATTGTAATAAGATGAGCACCTAGTAGCACCGCAACCGGAAGCAGGAGAATAGTACGGAGAGTAGGCGGGAAGAAGAGGCTGCGCAGGAACGAGAAGCTGAGCTTGTCTCGTGTCAACGGAAGGATATAGACCGGCTGTGCAGCCAGGAAACTCAGATAGTTGCGCAACTTGAAGTTGACAATGTGGCCATGAAGGAAGTGTACGAGTAATGTGAGAAGCGGTAACGTTTTGAAGAGGGATTCTTTAATAAGGGCGGGAATGTTTGTTGATTCGGCGTATTGGTGCGCTGCCAGGAAGGCAAGGGTGCCGTGGAGGGTCGCAAGGGGAACGGAGAGGAGGATGGTATCGAGAAAGGGTGGTAGAGGGTTATCGGTGTCGGGTTTGAAATCTTCGTCGGTAGCGTTTGATTGTGCATTGCGAGTTGTGTCCGTCGCTGTGCCCATTTTCATGGGGGCTTGGCTAATATCGTCATTCTTGTCCACGAGTCTCCCCGACGCGTCAATGGTCACAAAGCGCGTTTCATTTGATTCTAAGGAAGTTCTCTTTGCCGCTGTAGATCCTGATGCTCTGTTCAAGCCTTCAGCCTGTCTGAGCAGCTCATTCTGGCGCTCTGCAATGATGTCATATAACGTGCGTTCCCCATCTTTCTTTGCGGGTGGACCCCGTTCTGGGTGGGCGAGAGGGATATCAGGATCCTGTGAGATCGAAGGATGTGCCGCCGCAGCAGCGCGACGCTGCTTCCGGTTTCTTGGAGGGTCCATATGCCTGTGACTGGCGAAGGTGGAAGGGACCTGGAGAAGCGTGCTGTGAGACAAGAGCCCAGGTGGATCATGGATTGGCGGTGTCCTCGGCGGTCGATCGGCGTTTAACCGGATCTGCCATCTTCTTCCTTCCGCACTGCCCACACGTTCTGATTGCTTCGGATTCTCCATACTGAGTGCTGAAATCTTTCCAATTCTGGTAGTCTGCGCTCATTCTACTTTCATTCGCTAATTACCAACCGGCTGGCTGTTCTTTCTCTTTCCGTATACAAATTTTCAGCATTGTCCTATATCTATCTTCCGGGTGAGCATGTAGTCAGAGGATGAGGCTCAAATGGATATGCGAGGGTTAAGAACGCGAGGCAGTGAGCCTAAAAAATGTAGCTGTGTACTCACATATCGTGGTTTACTGAGCCAAGGCAGATCTCTGACCGCGTAAATTCAAGCCAGGCATTGAATCGCTAAAAGAATACAGAAGACCATCAAGAAATCCATTCAACCAAAATTATATCCTCCAAATATCCGCGCTATATCCTTTTCTGGAATAAAAGAAACGATCTCGCTCATTATGGCCTCAGTACTGAACGTGCTTCCTAAGTCCCTCAAGCAAGTGAGAGAAACTATACCCATAAATCTCGATCACCCGAATCCGAGCGGAATTGCATCTCTCAGAAGCGAATTATAGCGGTGAAAATGAAATGATATTTTTTCGATATTTAAGATCATTGATACCCTGTGAACAGCCTTCTGATTTGTCAATCTACCTTCGTATGTAGGAAGGTCGCATATCAAAACATTCAAAACGCTTTATTCACTGACGAAAGAAACATTTTGCAGCGCAAATTACTTCGCGTGCAGTGCACATGTAATGTTCTTTCAACTTCATAATCTACCTTGGTTCTGACTTATCCCATGATAAACAACCTTCTTGCAAGCGAGGGAACTTTTTGTGTCATGTCGTAATAGCTCTCGAAGCCTAAAGCCTAACCAGCCTGATATATTGCAGGGCCAGCGACAACATGTGGATTGATCAAGCTCAAATTGAATGGGGTCAATACCGGGTTATCATCGGTAATAGCAATGAACATCGTCCCGTTGACCGCAGGGTCCCCCTCGTAGGTGTCGAGATCGGGCTGAACGGTATAGCCATAAGTGCCATTGTGACTGGGCCCGAGTGATGTGTAAGTGACATTGAGTTGCGATACCCAAGCTACGTATTTGGCTGTTTTGGCTTGAGAAGAGGTCACATAGCTGTTGTTAGGGCCGACTCTCTTGCCTGCATTCTCCCATTGAAGTATAACATAGCGACCAGCGAATGAAAGAGCCGCGGGCTTACTGGTGACTGTAACACCACAGTCACTGTCTGAAGAACTCGAGCTATTAGATGATCTGTTTGGTGTCTTGACAACATTTATGCCTGGTGAGATGGTATTATTCACAGCTGAGCCATTGCTGCTGTTGCTGGTCATACCGGCAGTGGCTAGGCTAGGTTGATTGAGGATCCGTAATGCGGGGAAGTTCTGCCAGACGAGACGAGTCTGATTGCCAGGGCAAGAACTGATATATGGCGCTAATAGAGTCCAGGCCCATGACTGTGGAATACCAACTTCAAACCACTCTGGCATGGGAAATAGCTTACCAAACTGGCGGAAGATCATCTGCTGGCGTGCTTCCGTCGTGATCGACTGCGTGAGCAAACTAGCGGCTTCTCGAGAGTTGAGGTGGGCTAGAAATCCGTATACACCAGCCTCTCCGAAACGTGTCAATTTCTGGCAGAAGTCGATAAACTCTCTGACGGTAGTGTATGGGTAGTTATAGGTGCACGGCTGGGGTGCTGAAGCGCCCAAGATGTTGCTGAGCATGGTTGCATGTCCAACTTCTTGAGCAACCATGAAGGAGATCAAATCTCGGTCCTTGGACGTAAGGCCAGCTTCGCTAAAGTCTGCTTCCGAAAATCGACTCAGTCCATCCTGGAAGAGGTCCAACTCGATCCATTCCTGATACAAAGCTAGTGCCTGAAGTTTAGTCAGTACCCGATCCCAAAATCCGTAAATTATTTTTCGAACAATTGACATACTAAAGATTCATAGTCAAAATCACTCTTTGCATTATATACCGGAGTTGATCCATTTGTTCCAATTCCTCCGGCGGGAACGAATGGAGCCGGCTCGGCATTATGAAGCTTGCCATCACTAGAGTACGTTGTGGCTTCTGCAGCTACACTTCCAGAGGAAATGCCTTTTCCAATGGAAGTTGCAGTGAGGGCACCGGTGGTTGATGGCGTTCCACTAAATGGAGTGTGCGGTTGCGAAGTCGGGTGGGCTCCAGTAGGTGGTGCATAGACTGAGCTTGAGTTCGACGCCGAAGAATCCGCTCGGGCAGCAAAGTTCCCATTTGAAACCGCAATAGCTAATAAAACCGAGCTTATAAGTCTCAGCAGAACTAGAATGTCCGACATATTGGCCAAGGATAACGGTATGCCGCATTAAACTCAGGCAGGTGAGGATTCTTAATCAGGGAATAGGACGATCGAATAGGGGAAGTACGCAGCAGCTATGCGGAATTATTTATCTACATGATTCTTTGCAACTGATATTATGACAGATATATGACCCAACTGTCAGTATCCGTTGGTTCCAAGAGCTATTTGCTCGGATGAGATAGATACATTTCACGTCTCAACCATCTGCCCGGGGTTGTCGGCTCCCAGTATGACGATGACCTGGCGATCAAGAAGTTTTATCATCAAATCTAGTTCAAGTTATTCAACAACCTTTTATTAGCATGATATTGGGGCCCGTGAAAATAATGGGATTGTTAAGATTCCAAAATGGCGTCTATGGTCCCGTGTCGCCTTGAGAACCCTCAGAGCCAAAATAGCTGAGGTCAGCTCTTGGTCATGAAAGGCACGCAGCGGGGATTTCCTCCGAGCCAGATAATGAGCCGGCGACGCTTTGGTAGTTGATATAACAGGTATTCTGATGGCAGGAACTGTGCATAGAACACGATATGGCCTTTGTTGGGCAATTTGCACTAAATTTAACATAGTTATTTTCTACCCAGCAATTGCTTCTATAGTTTCGAATAGAAAAAATGAGGTTGATTCCCAAAACGAAGTCCTTGAAATATCAATTAATCGCTCAATTGCGAGTCGGTAGTGTCGGAATCTATCCATGGTTGATAGTTCTTGAGAGGCACCCGCAGATCAGCACTTCCCGTCGCATGACGTCCACGAAGCTTCTCCAAAACGGTGAACTAGGTGGGGCCAAAGACAGGGTTTCAATACTCTTGAAGTTCTTGATCCTCGCCTCTCACCAGTGAGAGGCGGATGATATTTGCTTCTCGGTCCGCAAATCGAAAGAAGAGACTGGCTTGAGATATACCTCCAGTCCAACATCGGCGCGAAAGGGGAAGGTGATTCCGATTGAGGTATGTGATGTAGTTAGTTAAACGTCCATGACATAATCATGCATTTCTGTATATTCCAAAAGAAATCCTCAAACCCAATATCCACATTCACCCACTTCTTTTCCGTAATTTTACTTAATATTTGGTTATTTTTAGTACTTGACTTGGGGAGTCGAGACACTGTAGCCAGTCGGACCGAGGCCGATCGCCGGACAGAATTCCGAAATGTCGCGATTACGGAGGGTCCCTCCTTGTCGTCCTGAACTCTTTATATGCCAGCTTGACGTGACTCCAACAATAATCATTACATTCATCTAGTCGCAATGTCACATTTGCAAGCATCAAATCTTTTCTCGGTCCAAGACCGAGTGGTGGTTATCACCGGCGGAGGCAGCGGTATGGCCTAGATTCATGCGACTTGATCGTTGTGCTTCCTACTATGATCCTCGCGCTGACCAAGCATCTTATCACTAGGACTGGGTCGCACTATGGCTCGCGCTCTAGCCATCAACGGTGCATCCAAGATCTTTGTCCTTGGTCGTCGAGAAGATGCTTTGCAGGAAACAGCGGCACAAGCTCCCGACGCCTCCGTCATCCCTATCAAGTGTGATATCACGTCAAAGGACTCGTTAGAGGCGGCATATCAGGCTGTTGCTGCTCAGACCAGCCATGTTGATGTCCTCTTCGCCAACAGTGGTGTTCTGGGTCCCAAGATGCGTTCTCCCCTGCCCAAGGCCGATGGGTCCTTGCCCTCTCTGACGGAGGTTCGGAATGAGCTCTTCAATGTGCCGATGGAAGATTTTACCAGCGTCTTGAATGTCAATGTTACTGGCTCGTACTACACCGTTCTGGCATTCCTGCCTCTACTCGAGGCGGCGAACAAAAGACGTCCAGCCCCGGAGGTGGGTGTGCTCACTCCACCGACGGCCCAAGTGGTTATCACCAGCTCGATCGCGGGGTATATCCGAAAAGTGCCATTTAGCTATGCCTACAATGCGTCAAAGGCTGCCACCACGCATTTGGTTAAAATGCTGTCTACAGGGCTCTCGTCGTATGATATCCGCGTCAACGGTATCACCCCTGGGCTGTACCATTCCGAGATGGCCAGTAACATTACGACCGACGGCGGCGTCCAAGGAGACGGTATCTCGGAGGGCTCCTTTCCACGAGAAATGATTCCGCTCACTAGAGGCGGGAGTGAAGAGGACATTGCCGGCTTGATCCTGTGGATGGCAAGTGCCTCCGGTGGTTATTTGAATGGTTCTATCATGGTCACTGATGGCGGCCGAGTGAGCATTTTGCCAAACACGTACTGATGATACAGCTCTTTGAAGCACTTTTCTACGTTTTTGAGCAGTGGCCTTAATTCCCTCGATGAAATGAATTTATAGAGAATCTGTGGATTTATACATAAACACTTGATACGAGTCTTTCGGAGATGCAACAAATGAGAGTCAATTTGCTTTCCTAAACAGTTTGGGTATAAATGGCTGAACACAACAAACCAAGCACATATAATCTTGTAATTTCGCTGCTCATATCGTTGCGGTCAAGCGCTGAACCAAATAATCGCCCGCCGTAATTCCAGCATATTTCTTGCCCACGTGAATATCGTCACCATATGTCCCTGGCAACGCCTCAATCAACTTATTGTTATTAGGATTGCAAAAATATGCAATGCTGTATCGGGAGGGGTAAGTCTCCGAATCATCCTTCGAGTCGTCTCCTTCGGGCTTAGGTGGTTCAATGACTCGATGACGAGTGCTCTTGATAGTATCATTAGACCAACGAGCCAGCAAGTCTCCGGCATTGACGACAATAGTATCTGCAATTGGAGTTGCGTCAACAAACGTTCCCTTCGGGCTGCGTACTTGTAATCCGCCATGTCGGTCCTGGAACAGGAGCGTGACGGACCCATAGTCACTGTGCTCACCAGCACGGACTTGGTTGGGATTCTGCTGGAAAACATCCTTGCGGACGGCGGGGTAATGTAGCAGTCGGAGATTATTGTCCCCTTCATCTACAAACCCATCGAAGAAATGTTCCGGTAAGTTCATTCCTAGTGCGATCGCACTCATAATTTGCGCGTGGAGAGTCTTGCACCTAGCGAAGAAAGATTGCATAGTTTCCTTGAACTCTTTCCCTTCATCGTCAAGATGATCAGGCCAGCGATTGGGCAAGCCCTCGACGCCTTCCCTCCCAATCTCCATTGTCTCTTTGAGGTCGGGAGATCCTCTCAAGGTATCCATCTCCTCTGCCTCTTCGACATTCCCGAGCTTTTCCCTCCCGATAGCGACGTAACCACGGTTCGATTGTGGGGTCGTCCAACCCAAACTGTCTTTTTGACTCTGGGGTCGGCGGAAAAAGCTAGCCGATGATGCGAACACCCGGGATACCACGGAGGGTGGAATGCCATGATCTTTCAGATAGAGGAAGCCGGACGTCTTGAAAGCGTTGGTAATAGATAATGCGACGGCATGCTTATCGGACGGGGTGCCAGAGTAGAAGGGCCCGAAGTTTATCAACTAAAGAGATCGGAGAACTATCAGCCTCATTCAGAGCTAAGTAGCTGGGAAGATGACTGGGCATGCAAGAATGGAGGAGATGGAATTTACAGGTATAATCAGGTCGTCTTTCGCCACCGCAGTCGATGCAGGCTGGATCTCCTGGGATGCACTCGCCATATTGTAGGATAGTTCTCGGGAGGGATGTCAAATTATTCGATATGGTCCGTCAATCTATGTGCAAAAGGTGGTTTTCAGGGAAGAGGAGAAGAGGCGTTGGAGAAGAAGAGGGGAAGTACAGGCACACCCCAGTTCATGAGACTTATGATAAGGATGCATGATAAGCTCTGTCGAACCGGTGCCCAGGCCGCGGCCAAGACTTGAGAGGACCATTGGGGCTAATTCATGATATTGATAGGAAAAGGAAGCACGAGCTATTATACAGAATTCCACTTATCATCGCCGTAATTCCCCGCTAAACGCAAACATCCGACCGATAAAAATGAGGAGAACTGGAATAGTGTAGATTATCGCTTTTCACAGATACTAACCCCTGGCGAAAATACGCCAGCGAGGAATAAGCGATCAGACTGTGCATCATGTACTGCAGTTTGTGTTGTAGATATCAGTTTTCCGGCTCTGTCTTCCAGAACAGTATGGAGAAGATACTCCTGTCCTTGAAATGATCCACTTCGGCCACCCTTCTTTTGGAGCATCAGAACAGTGCCGGCTGCGACCGAAGCTTGGGGGTTCATAGAGGCTTTCTGTAGTTCGATAACATCGCTGAAGGCTGTAACAATGATGTTTCCCCGTGCATCGACGGAGAGATGATCCAATGCGTGGTCCAAGGATAGGATATCAGCGCGATTAGGCTTGCCGTTCGAAATCTCATAGACAGCCAGCGTTCCCATCGAGGACATCGACACATAAAACAGCCCATCTCGACCTGTAACAACGCTATTTGCCCTTTCAACGCCCTCCAGAGCAATAGTCTCACAGCTACCGATGTCCGTTCGGCAATAGGCGATGCTCTCACTGCCAAACTGAAACGGTCCCCCGCGGAATGGACCAAGCTTGGTGCGACAGCCATTGATCACCAGAAACTCCTCCCCCGTTAAATCCACGGCCACGCTGTTGGGGGAATCTAGCGCGTTGCTCGCGATAGACTTCACGTGCATGAGTTCGTTTGAGGTTGGATCGAGGTCGAAGATCTCGATGGAAGAGTGTGTCTGTACATCGAGAACTTTTCCCGTTGCTGTATCCATCGCTGGCAAATGGTTTGCAACCCAGAATCGCAGGCGACCATTCACGTAGCGAGCATCAAAGCCATGTAAATTAATATCTTTATGAGACTTGTCTCTTATTTCTAACTTTTGTACTTGGTACTCATTGGCTTGCCCCGAAGGATCAATCGCTAAGACGGCAAGGTGATCTCTGCGTGATTTCGCCCAGGCACCATCTGGTCGGCCACTGGGATTCCAGTCTTCGGACGAACTTGCATTAGTACACGCGCCGTATAAGTTGCGCCCGGCATGATCGAGCCAAATGTGTTCGCACCCTTCCATAAAGGGGTGGGTGATTTGCGAGCATCTCCACCGAAGGGGATGTTTCTTAGCCTGATACGATCGCCCAAATCCGTGGATCAAAGGGATCTGATCGTTGAAATAGAGGCCAGATAGAATCGCGATGGCCAAAATGATGATAGACCAGACCGACCGAACGTTCGGATGCCATGGCTGGGCATCTGCAGGTGCCATGATGCATGCTGATTTAGGAAGAGAACCACGAAGGGCGGAATCTCAAGGGTGGCATTCCTATACCCAGACCCTGCAAAACTAGGATGGATTCGGTCCGGGGCTAACCATAATTCCGTAGATCCTTTAGGGGACTCGACAAGTTCGAAACACCCTGGAACACTCCGACCCCTGAAGCTGCCGCCACCGTTGGATTTTGATGGTCGGTTGGCCCGCGTGGGTCCCCCTGGCGGAGCTGACCAGATAGCCGTCTTGGCTGAATCCTCCGAGGATAGAGTCAGATCAATTGCATATGAAGCGGGAGAGACAGGATTGTCAAGGTCCCTGTGGAAACTCTCAACTTAGCCTAGATACTGCCGGATTTCTTGATAGATTCGAGACCCCCGGAACCCCCGGATCTCAGAACCAAGTAGACGGACTGTTTGCTTTGCGACATTCTCTCAGCCGTCATCACATTATCGGATACAGCATTAATGTTGTTGAATCTCCCAACGTAATTCATTCATTGGTGTGGCTGCAAATTGCTGTATTGCTACAATTTGAAGTATTACATCGTGGTTCGCAAATAGCAAGCCGCATACATTCAATGCTACATTCCCTGGTTTGATGGTTATTTTTGCTTTTGGTCTGCACCACGCCAGCAAATTAAATTTCCAATTCTGGCCATGTCGATCAACTCTGCCCAATTCATGCCGCACGGCAGCGTAGGTGAACAGAAACCAACTAGGAATTATACAATGGCGATCGGGCCCGGCCTTGTATAATCATATGCATGCATCTGTGAGCCTCGGACTCTAGTGATCCACCCGCCATTCGGCAACATTAATAAGCCAGTCTCTCAAGGTCATAGGAAAACAGTGGCCCTCATCTTCTTTTCTCCCTTCTGCCATCCCCCTCAGTTGTTCCTTCTTTTTGATTGAAAGTTATATTAGCAGCTTCTATTCCGCCAAGATGACTTACAGTGCCGTGGTCGCGTATCCCAATGATGAGGACATCACCTTCGACACCGATTACTATCTGAAGACTCACATGCCTCTAGTGGCCCAGCATTGGGGGCCCCATGGCCTGAAGAAGTGGGAGGTTGTCAAGTACGAGCGCGACCTGGCCGGCTCCAAACCCGCGTATCTGATCACCGCGACCCTTGTGTGGGACAACGAAGATGCCGTCAAGGCTGCCTTGCAGAGCGAGTCCGCGGCGCTGGTCTTCGGTGACATTCCCAACTTCACCAACAAGCAGCCCGTTACTCTAGCCGGCACCGTGATTGGCGGCCAGATTGTATAATCGGATTCCGCGGAATTCTAGCAGTAAGTGCTCTATATCTCGCCTAAATTCTTTTTTTCAAATCCGAATGCTCTATCGAGCTGCAAGGCGACCGTATTAACCGGTTGATTCAATAGAGGCTGAAAGTCTAAAGTTTCGGGGAGACCGGTCATTTTCGATGACTTCGAATGCATGAATACCACGACTGAGTCGCACGTCCTAGTAGATTGAGCTTGATCTTGCATGTATCGTATAATTATGGTCATACCGCATACACGACTATCAGAAGAATCAAGATCCCCTCATTGACAGTAACAGCTTCATTGCTTTATTATGTTGTTACATATCTATCCTCGAATCGTATCTGACTCCCATGAGGAAAGTAAATCTCCGTCTGGTAAGAGCCAAACTGATGAGAGAAAAAAAAAGCACTTTGCGTCACCGAATATCAAGTCCCCGCAACTAGACGCCGAAAGATTATCCCTCGAAAAAATGTATATTAAACGGTATTAATCCTCAGTCAATCCGTATTATTGGTTCTTATCGCTTCATCTCCTCAGCCATTTGAAAATGCGGCAACAGCATATAGGCTGCTACGCCAGAACTTCCAGTGGCGCTTAGTGGCGCCTCGCAGAAGCAGAGGCAGTCGCGGTAGACAATGGGGTCGAAGACGCCACGCCAGAGGAGCTAGCCGCACCGGAGGAACTAGCTGCACCAGAAGAAGTAAGGTTCGCTCCCAGCGGCCCAATGGTCAGGGTACCGCATGATCCAGTGGGCGCGGTCACACAGTCACCGAGATACAGGCCAAGGCTTCCAGTCTCGTTCGTCTTCTGAAGCACCTGGTCAGGGGCATAAGCGGAGACCAGCGAGGTAGCGTTGGACATAAACATGGTCGAGTTGACGCGGCTGCCAATCCAGGTAGCGTGGGCACTGTGCTCTGCGGCCAGACGAGCGAGCAGGAAAGCGACCTCGGGGGAGTTGGTGTAGCCAGCAGCGCCCACAAAGGCGCCAGAGAGCGTATCCTCAAGCTTGTACGCATACCACGCGAAAGAGGAGAGGCTGGTCACAGATGGGTAGGTGTAGTCACAAGAGGGAGCCTCGTAGCCAGGGGCCTTGGAGGAGAGCTCTCTGACGGCCTCGACGGAGAGGTTGTTGGACTTCTCAATGCCTTGAAGATTGGCAAGGGCCTTAGAGGCGCTGGTGCTGTTGGAGATCGCGGATGCGAGGCTGCCGTTCACTGGAACGGAGGCGTAGAAGTTACTGATGAACTGGGAGAGGGCGTAGGTGTACTCCAGCACTTTGGTGTCCCCGGAAGTCAATGCACAACTTGAGGAAGAAGTGGAAGAAGCACCAGAGCTCGATGAGGCGCTGGTGGCTGCAGAGGTCAGGCTACCTCCTGCGAGGAGGAGCCATGCGAGCTGAGAAAAGAAGTACATTGTTGTTCTTGAAAAAGAAAGCTCTAAATCTAGTAAGAGTTCGCAGTCGCTTCGTAGCAGTCGTTGTAGAAAGAACTGGCAAAAATCAGCAGCTCTTCAGTTTTAAACAGTGCATAGTTTGCTATATCGCTCAGTGACGTCTTGTACTGGTCTTCCGGAGATGTCCGTAGTGCTGTGAAGGCCGTGAGAAGACAGGTGACGTGTATTCAGGACGCATCCGGCAACACGCGCCCTTTTATAGGGTCTGGCCATTCTCCACTGACAGGTCAATTTATCTTTTGCATCATGACTGCATGGAAAGTTTGTGGGAATGGGATCGATGGTTCGGATATCGAAGCCAGTGATGATCATCACACCCGCGGGCAAAGTGGGTCACCTGCTTATTTAGGACACAACGTGCGGCTCATGTCAGCCACTCATAGACTCATTTGAGATTGAAAATTCCTTGTTCTCCGTCGTCTTGGAAAAATTCGACATAAATATTGACCGGATGACTAGACTGAGTAATAGACTGTCCTTGACTCAGGCTTGCTTATTCAAACACTAGCATCTTCGTGCCACGTTTTCTGTACATGGGTACATAGCCGAGGAACCGCCAAGCCAACCAAAAGAACTATTCATCAAGTTCTGACCACATGGATATATTTCTTGTTGCAAAGAGTTGAAATCCCCCTTCTTTCATGGGCTAAACCCAGAAATTAATGTCATTAAACTACATTCATTCGCCGTGAGCACTTGAACCTTCCGGGGCACCAGGTAGCTCGCTTTTTCCAAATGTTGGTCAAAGTAAAGGACCTCTCAAGAGGCAATTATCGAATAAGCATTGAATGAGGACTATTATGAAAAGACTGTACTGAGTTATTCTCCTTGAAGATTAAGTGCTCCCAGTAGCAGCAGGAGTTGCGGATATGATTACTTGTGACTTTTGGATGCCCTATGAGAATTCAGTGAAAGCTAGGTGATCAATTGCCCAGTTATCTCAATCCAAGAAGATAATTTAACCCTAATATATTCATCGTGGCAGTCGAAGACATGATTGTCCCAATCAGGCTAAGCACTTACTGGGTGTCAAGGTACCGCCCGTGAAAGGGTGCCTGTGTGGCCGTAACTCCCGTAAACCAAAGTTCTAACAAGCTTAAACTCTCTGGGAAGGTTTCCGTTCGAACCAGATTCGAGGATCAAATTGAATACCCTCAAGATCCTCGAAACATCACGTGGTCATACTTGGAGCATCTTTGACTCTTTGATGAAGGGAAAAGTAGCCCCACCGAGGAGGCGGGTACCGAATGAGTGGGATATCCTCACATATTGAGTTGTCGCTTGCGCAGATCTAAGATTAATTCACTCAAGTCGGGTCAAATTCAAAGAGTCAGTTGAAAAGTGAGAAGACTTCCCAGATCTTTAGTATTATCCTAGGAAAACGAACAGTCCGATAAAGAAGGTGCCATCGGGACGATAAGTGTGGCATCCCCGCATCTGCACCGCTTATCTCTCCAGGAACACATCCAGCTGCAGCTATCTCTCAGGTACTGAACCCCTCACTCTGTGTGTTTGATTGCTTTTCTCGTCGCTTCCATCCCCTTTTTTGCTCTTGGGCCACTGTCCACAATAATCCGGAATCATGGTAAATTCATTTGTCGTCGACATCCATACCCATGTCTATCCCCCCGCCTATATCAACATGCTGCGGGGGCGCAAGACAGTGCCTTACATCCACGACCCATCCGATGGCGGTCCCCCTCGTCTGATTATCCTCGCCTCCGATGATGACCCCAATATTCCACTTGATCAACGTGGTCGACCCGTCGACTCTTCCTACTCCGATATCAAAGTCAAACTTGATTTCATGGAAAAACATGGAATTGACTGTAGCGTGATCTCGCTGGCAAATCCATGGCTTGATTTTATTGGCAAAGAAGAGCCAGGATCGGTGAACAGTGGTGATGCAGCCTCAGAATGGGCACAGAAGATCAATGATGATCTTGAGGCGACTTGTGTGCAAACAAATACGGCAGCCTCCATAAAGTCTCTCTTTGCATTCGGCACTTTACCTCTCGGGTCTCCCAGCCAGCAGGCCGCTGCAAATGAGATCCACCGAATCAAATCCCTCGCTCATATTCGTGGAGTCATTATGGGCACGACTGGACGAGGCGCCGGACTTGATGACCCCGCGCTAGAGGAAGTGTGGGGAGCTCTTCAAGATACCCAACTCATGCTTTTTCTCCATCCGCACTACGGCCTACCGGACGAGGCTTTTGGCGGGCCCGAAATTGTTCGTCGATATGGTCATGTTCTCCCTCTTGCACTCGGCTTTCCTATTGAGACGACCATTGCCATCACCCGAATGTACCTCAGTGGGGTCTTCGATCGTTTCCCTCATCTGCAGATACTATTGGCCCATTCTGGCGGCACATTACCATTCCTTGCTGGTAGAATTGAAAGTTGCATTGCACACGAAAGAACTTTTCAGGCCAATGGTGGCAGCATGCCCGGACCCCAGCGTGGTATCTGGGATGTGTTGAAGACAAATATTTACCTAGATGCGGTCGTCTACGGTACCGCAGGCTTGAAAGCAGCCATCGAAGCTGGAGGTGGCAACACTGATCGATTGCTATTCGGTATAATCAATCATCAACCCCTGGATAAGTGTAGTTCTTTTGAATGGCTAACAATATGTCCGTAGGTACCGATCATCCTTTCTTTCCGCCTTTGAATGAAGAAGACGAGAAATGGACCAGCGTGACTACCAACTACAACGCTATCCAAGATACATTGGGCAGTGATAGAAAGGCTGTGGATGCAGTATTGGGAGGTAATGCGGTCCGTGTTCTCAATCTGAAATAGAGTTCGTAGTCATGACATTGTGCTCTCCCTCCGAGTTCATGATATCTTGCTGTGACACATAAATATATATAACAACTAAGCACTTGGTCGAATCGAAATCACGCCTTCCTTTTAACATACAGAATTGCTAAAAATGAAAACTAAGCACAGCCTCAGCTGGATGTAAACTCAGAAGCTAGTAAGTCCCATCCAATCAGTTGCCAAAGTTCCTGCGTGAACCACTCAGAAAATTCCTGCCTTTTCTTTCCTCGGCCGCTAGGTTCCTGGGGAGGAGGGGTGGCTGGACGTGTAAGTGATTCTCGAAACAGAGGATCCTCGGTGCCAAAAACCGCGCGAAGTAGCGTTTTCTGCAGTTTGCTTTTTCTTGCTCGAAAAAAGTGATCTCGGACATTCAAAGATTCTGAGCTCAAAGATCTGACAGACAGTAATCGGCTGAGAAACATAATCAGGTATTTCGCCTCTGATTGCGCATTTTCAGGGGACAGGGACTCAGTCCTCATTGCTGCTAATCCATCCGGTGCTGGAATGTCTGAGCGAGGACCCAATGGCAATTGGAAATCGTTGAAAACAAATAGTGCAAGCATCTTGCCAACTCTATCCAGTGCGACAAAGAGAAATCCTTCCATAATCTCTTGATCATCCGGTCGTGCAATGTCAAGCGACAGTGCCATCACGCATAACAAGTTCGTCAAGTATTCACCGGCTTGGGCTTGTATGTCTGGCACTGGTTGTGTTGCATTGTTTTTTGTGGGCTTCTGTGGCTTAGCCCTGCCTGAAGGTCGTTGCTTTTGCTTCGCTTGTGCATTCTCCTTGCTAGTTTGAGCTGAAAGGGCGGCACAATACTGAGCAATACCTGTCATGATTGACTCGAAAAGGCATACCAGATAATATACTACCTGGTTCTTGTGAGGCCTTTCTTTTGGTATATCTGGCACTTTATGCAATGCCTGGTGGATGAGGTGGAAGGATACTTCCACTCCTTTTATCACAGCATTCAAGCTGGGCTCTCTTACACTCTGTGTTTGACTCTGTGTTTGAGGGCTGGTTGACTGTTTATGCACAAACTCTCGAGTAACTGTAGAGAGAAGTTCGGTTTCTGCTTCTTTGCATAAAATTACTGCATTAAAAGCAAGAGCATGACTTTTGCGTCGCTTCTGCAGAGCTTGTTGAAGAGCGAATATTTGCTTAGAAAATGACAGCCCTAGAACAAGGTCAGACGTCGCAGAAAGCAAAATAGATTATCAAGGTATAATATACCTCTAGGTTCGCTCTGAACATTGTCTTCGATCCTTTCAGAGATACTGGTAACGTTTGGGACCTGAATAACCATATTACTAGATCGACCTCTTTTTCGGATTGCTTCCGAGTCATGTGTATTCTCTTTCGGTGCTTTTCGTTTGATCGGGGAAATATCTCCATTCTCATTCAGTATTGCAGTCGTGTTCAACTTGATGAGGAGACCTTCATTTCGCTGCTCCAGCTCAAAGATGGTATCGAGCAGTTTAGCTTGATCTGCCTCTGATTTTTTGAACGCCGTTTGCCAGAATGCGACGCTATCGAAGAATTTTTCCGAGATGATTATTCTATTGACTTTCTTTGTTTTGATAAAACCGCGTATCTGTAAAATATATTCTGGGATCATTCTCCGGTTATCAACACTTCCTTTTTGAGAAGCAGGATGTCACAAACCTTTGACTGACAGGGACGGAGGCCTGTGCTTGACAATTGCCAAAGCGAGAGCCATTTGAGGCTTAGAGATTCCACCGGCTTTGTATATGTCTCTTTGTAAAGGCATTTTGCGTCAAGGGAGTTGCAAGAATATTGTAGTTGCGAACGTCGACGTCAGGATAAGGCCTTGACCCTCACGTGTCAGGGCTTGTATCTAAGGACTCAAGCCCTCTGAATAGCGACCTCATATACACGGAATCAAAATCTCTCATTTTTATTCATCATGATAAGCCACGCTGGTTTGATGAAAACCCTTGCTTGTTTAAATGAGTAAATAAGATGTTACATTCCTCTTAATGTGTGGTATCTACCACCGAAAGAATTGTGAAGAAAGCGCCTTGATTATAATCCCACCCATCTTGAATTCTAATTTTGATGCAAAATCGCTCGATGTCACAATTTTCTTCTTCTTGTAAGCTCCGTCAGGACCAAACTGGTACAAGGACCCTATTTAGATTGCCACATTAGGGCTGAGTGGAGCCAGCCGTCACCGCCAAATTGCCATGATTAATTGTTCCAAACTCCGAGCTACTTGTGTCTTTTCCTCTTGTCCAAACCTCCAAGATCCACAATCAAGATGTCAACAGACGATCTCAAGGCGCATGCCGCCTCGAATCAGGATTTCTACGGGCTCCTGGATATTTCGCCCGCAGCCAACGAATCAGAGATTCGACGAGCGTACCGGAAAACGGCGTTAAAATACCACCCGGACAAGATCGCCAACCCAACCCCCGCCGATATCGACAAATTCCACGTTCTCCAGATTGCCTACGATGTCCTCTCCGATGCCTCCGTCCGTCAACTATATGACAATGCGCGGGAAGCGCGCATGCGCAAGCAGCGCGAGCGCGACATGATGGACGCTGCGAAGCGCAAAATGCGCGAGGACCTCGAGGCACGTGAGCGTGCTGGTGCGGCCGCTAGAGGCGGGGTTCAACAGGGTGTGAAACGGCCTTGGATGCCAGGGAGTGAGGAAGATACGGAGGAGAAGCTCCAGCGGGAGATTGAGCGGATCGCTGAGGCCGGGCGACAACGCCGAAAAGACATGGCAGACAGAGCGAAGCGTGAAGTGGAGGAAGCAGAACGGCAGAAACAACAAGCTGAGGAGGAAGCACTCAAATCCACGCACCGGGCTAGCCAGCGAGTCGATTTATCTCAGGAAGGCGGGACCAATGTTCCAGAGCTCGATCGCTCGGTGCGGGTGCGCTGGGTACGGGCAGGCCGAGAAGAAGAGCTTGGTAAAGATTGGCTAGAAGGTCTTTTCGCCCAATTTGGGCCGATCGAGGCCACATTCATGATGAAGGACAAGCGTGCCCGGGTGGAGGGACAGAGCCGGAAAATCACTCTTGCCACGGGAGTCGTCGTGTTCAAGTCAATTGTGAATGCACATGCTGCAGTTTCCGATAGCAAGATGAAAATGGCCGAAACTGCTGGGGAATGGATGCGCATTAACTCTGTCGAATGGGCCTCCGGTAAGCCCCTGAATCTGCAGTCGAACAACGTGAGCACTCCCCCTACGGAGAGCTCTGCGTCGTCCAAAGAATCCAAAGAACCCAGGCCCACGCAGCCTGCGTCATCTCAGGTGGATAAGAAGCCGGCTTTCAGCTTCCCGGGGCTACACTCAGCGCCGACAACTGGGAAGACACCATCTTTCGGCTCTTTCTCTACCGGTCCCAAGGCTTCGTCTGATTCGTCGGGAAAGACTTCGGGTGGCCCAACCTACCAAGAAATGCTCATGATGAGATTGAAAAATGCGCAACGTGAGAAGGAAGAACGCAAAGCTCTTGAAGAGCAACTGGCACGTGAAGATGCGGCCGCAGATGCCGCTGAAATGAGGACTAATGATTCCTGACGATTTGACGTTTGTCCAGTGATTTTCCTGCATACTTGTACTATTAGATGAGAGATACCCCGGCCTCAATCGGCATTTTATTTATCTTATATGCATTATATCCTTTCTAACACCCTAGTCATATATTTCCCTAGCATATACCCGAGCACCCCATTTTATCAGCCCACTAAGGCCTGTTTATAAACCTAAAGAACTTACAATTCAATGATTATATTCTTTGTTGAAATTGTTGACCAACAGATTGGTTTCTAGGAAATATTGAAGATAATAGAGATACAAACTATTTTTATACATAAAGCCGTCATAATGTACATGTATACATACATACCAGGCTTGGAGGCTTGGGTGAGTTCAAACCTAATCCACCTGTCGCTGTGCCTCCTCTTCTTCCAGCTGCTCGACAAGAACCCTCGCCCTTTGGCCATCTGTATCGACATTCCGTGGGGTCTGCTTCCGTGCTCCGCCTGTAGAAATAAAGTCGCGAGTCCATGACGGGACGAACGCTTGCAGCTTGACTTCCGCCGGCTGTTCAGCCTCAGTTGTCCATGATACCTTGAATTCGCTTCCCGGGGTATACTGTGTCCCCTCACTGGTTAGTGCGATATCAGTCATCATTTCCAAGCGGCACAGTGCGAGACCAATGTTGCCCACGCCATTCAAAAATTTTCCCGCGCTCCGACCCCGCCGACCGCCTGCTTTAATGATATTCGTTCCACTGGGCGGTAGTGACATTTCTAACGAGGGGTCATAGACTGGTCCTTCCGCTGACAACGGATCGCCGGTGTAGAGCTGTACCGGCAGAATGCGCTTGCGCACCACGCCGGTGTGGTGAGTCCGGATTGTCAGCTCCTGGCCGACATAACAGCCCTTGCGGAAGTCGATTCCTCGTGCCATATCCATGTTGCATTCCAGTGGCAAAGATGACTCGCGAATGATCTCTGACTGGCCCTCGGCAACTCCATTCAATATCCGGCGCACAGTATATGAATCCAATCCGACCTCGGGCCCGGCAACGTGGGTCTCATCCGGAAAATGGCTGCGCAGGTCCTCAGGTCCCGGAGTGATAATTCTAGTCCCAAATCCGGGAGCACGGAAGTCTGGACAGCCGGTGATGTTTGAAGAAGGAGGGAACGGTGATAGGGTCTCTGATTCAAGATTGTATGCCGCCCATCGCGGTTCGGAGTGGTCCTTCCACGATGACCAAACAGTCCGCTCGCCATCCTCGAGAGCCCGAAGTTTCAACTTTGCTCTCAGCTTATGTTTCTTTAGATGTTTCATCAAAGTGAGCACCTCATTTTTGTCCACCTCGACCAACCATGCTTGGTCTGAGCTATCGGCATCCGGGTTTGGAAGTGGGTAAATAAAAGCATCATTGAGAATGCGCCCTTGGGAATTCAAGAATGCTGCGTAGGAGCCTGTACGACGAATGCTCTTGCTCGGATCGTTGGCTACCAGCATGTTCTGGGTTATCAGGCCTTGAAGAAAGGTTGCACTGTCGACTCCGGTGATCGAGATGAGGCCGCGGTTTGTAAGCCGACTGTAACCGACCGGAGGAGGAAGGGAGGCATTCTGGGATTGCTGAGCTCTTGCTTCTGTTGTAGAGAACGCCCTGCTCTGCGACAAACAGCGACTGCAGACCGAGAGGCGAGGACGCATCATTGCGTGTTTGGATAGCTGCCGGAGGAGAACCAATGTGAGACGGCGTATTTCTTTTTGCCGACGGAGACCCGGCGATGACGTTGGGCGGTGGCATGGGGCAGAAACTAGACTCGGATCTTTTGAAGCATGAGATCGGATTTGTAAACAGAGGGCTGTAATTACACTTTTTCTTGCCATCCTCTCCTTTATTACCAAGTTTTTGCAATGAAGTACAGCTCTTGTCTTTTTTTTTTGCGTAACCTTGCTATTGATGTTGGTCATACCCGGTCGGACGTGCTATAGGACCAGCCAGTTGGAAATATGTATATTTAGACCACCAGGAAGCTGGCATTGGGAGCTGTCGAAGACATCCAGGTCTGTCAAATTCCGAGATATATAAAAGTTGGATTGGTGATGCTTAAAATACTATATATATCTAAAGGGGATCAGGAAGGCATGTTCAAAATGTGCATGTTGAATTCTGCAACCAATTTCGGCTCCTATCGATACTTCATGGGTTGTCGCATCTGTGTCCTAACAGACGAGGTACAAACTAATTTGATATTAGTTTTCTTGAAAAGTTATTTCTGTCTTCGAGCAAAAATGGATAGGAGAGCGAAGTGAACAATTACAACGAGAAAATGCATCGTCTGACTATCTTTGTCATGTATTACACAATTACTATCGGTCCGCATCTAGAGAAAATGGCCGATAGAAGTTCAGAATGCTTTGTTCATTTGCTGCCCTTCGCAACTCCCTGCAAGTATCCCAGCAAAAACGCCTTGTTCGTTGGCGAAGAAACGCGGTTCACGCTTGGCAAAGCCACCTCGTTCTCAGACGGTGTCCCACGGCGAGAAATTGAGTCTCCACTACTGTGAAAGTGGAGAGAGGAGAGTGGGCTAACCAACCCAGATGCTGCAGTAGACACTTGATTTATGGATCGAGAATCAAGTTTTACAGCCGACGTTGGGGGCGGAGAGACAACAGCGGGTTTTCCAAATAGAGATAATAATGCTTCTTTTTGCGCTGCAGTTTGACTAGGCCGGCGATCGAATTTGTTGTCAGGAGCTAGCTCAGCCTGTGTACCCTGGAATCCGGGTAGACTCTGTTTATGTTCCTCATTGCCAGTCTTGGAGGTTGTCATCAGCAAGTTCTCGTAGCCTGATTTGTCGGAGCGACGCAGGATTTGAGGCTGAAATGGCTTGACTGGTTCCGGAGCTGCTGGCTGAGGAACAGGCACATGAGATCGGATTGGTGAGGGTTGCGCAATGGGTTCTGAAATAGATACATCTCGCTTCGCGGCTTGAGGTCGGGGAAGAATAGTAATGGGAGAGGAAAGCTGTTGAGTTTGTGCCTGGTCTCGTCGGTTGTTATTGCTCTTCCGACTGGATCCATTGGTTGCTTTTCTGGTCGATGATTTTGGAATCGCATCGAATTGCGGTATATTCATCGGCCCGGAGACAGTCGCGGATGTATGGACCACTCCGGCTTGAGTTTTCTGTCTAGTCTTGCCAGGTTGTATGCTCAGATCAGTCTGCTGAGAAGGTCGTTGAAGAATTTGCTTCTCTGGAGGCGGGGCTGATAGAACAGGTTGGCCTGAAAGCTCTGCCGGCTGAGAAGCAGCGGCACTGGGGCCCTTGAACAGATTCAAGAGACTATCCTGGTGCTGAGATGTCTTTCGTACTTTCATAGTCTCCGGAACGGGGGCAGGTGCAGAAGCAGATGTTTGTACGGATGCTGGAGCAGCATTTACAAGTTGAGGAGTTTTTGCAGTGTTATCCTTGAAAAAGTTCAACAGCGCCATAGAGTGACTAGTTAGAGTTGGCGGGGGAAGTTTGCTCGCTGACGGTACAACTGCACCTGGAAGTTGAGCTTGCTGGGCGAGTTGGGAGAATTGAGGGTCTCCAGTTTGCTGGAATGGAGCCGCTGCATGTCTCGTAGGCATCACATGGGAAGGTGGAGGCTGAGCATTGCGAGTGAGATAGTTGGTCGGGGACATATGGGGGATTTGAGGCAAGCCAGAAGACCCAGGAAGCTCGGGCTGCCGAGTAGGAGGTAATGAAGGAGCTTGGTGAGCATACATAGCAGGCTGCGATGCTCCCCGCGGCGGTTCCTGTAAAGGTTGTGCAGAGGTTTGCTGCATGAAGTTAGATGGCGCCATATGTTGCTGTTGCTGAGGAAAACCAGGGAAGAAGTTTGGTGGCAAGTGAGCTGGTTGCGCTGTAGGTAACCCGGTCGGCTGCGCCATACTTTCGTTTCGAACCTGCGGAACAGGGTCTTGTGAGCCCTTCCTGAGCAATGCTAGGAGCGCATTCGATTTGGTCTGGTCAACAGCAGGAAGATGAGCAGGCTGGACCATCTGAGGTGCCTGTGCTTCGGCGTGCGCCAACGGGGCTCCACCAATATTCAACAACTGCTTAATATGCAGAGATGCATCGGGGGCCGAGGTTACTTCTGGCAGGTCACTAGGCATCGCCATCTCAGCAGCGGTACCATTGGTCCGGTAACCGTTTTCATCCATCGAAACATAGCCTTCACTTTGCAGGGGTTGTTTGGCAGCTCCCTGGGTTTTAGCAGCGAGTCTTTTCTGATGCGCAATCCATTTCTTGAGTGGATGCAGGAATGGAGCGACCATGTAGAATTTGTTTGCGTTGGCAACGGTCATTCCCTCTTCGTGCTGTTTGTTTCTCTTCAAAGTCGGCAGATCTGAGAGCTTGTACCACTCAATTTTGCTGATTTCCTTGCGGGTGCGGGGCTCGAAATAGGTATCCATAGGGACCCGGGGGAAAATGAAGAGTCGCATGTGCTGCTCTCGCATTGTGACCTCTATGCTTTTGACATCCTTTCCGTCTTGAATCAAGCCCGCTTCACGAACATCAAAGCCAGTTTCTTCATAAACTTCCCGAATTGCACATTCCAGATCAGGCTCGCCCTTGTTGATCTTGCCTCGTGGGAAACTCCAGTTTGCGCCTTTCTTCCAACCTTTGACCAGGACGACCGAGTCCATCTCCTCGTTTAACAAAATAGCCCCGCGAACAGGGACTCGGGTCTTGTAGGCCAGGAAGGTTGAAAAGGCCATAACATGGTGGTAGTGGGACCATTGTGACATCAGCGGGCAATGCGCGAATAGGCGAAAACTGAAATCTTTCAAGGAAAGTGACGGTAACGCGGGGTCAAGAGGTCGGATGAAATCTTCGTAGAACCATTGCGCCTCTTCGATTTGGAAGCAAATGCGTTCCACTGATTCGAGCTCTTCGGAAGGTAGGTTAATGATGAAGCGGACACATAAGTCATCCAGCCCTATTTCACGGAGTTAGTGAGCACCCTCTGTGTTTCCATGGAGCAGGCAAGGCCCAAAGAAACGTACAGTCTTCTAGCTGCATCTTTGATTCGGTCATGGTGGGCAACGAAGCTGAGCATTGCAATGCGAACGACCGAAACCAGATGCTTGCTCAGGTCGCCAAGCGCGACACAGAATCAACACAAGCTGGGGGAGATGTAGCTTGCAGAGAGAATTCCGCACACCGATTTCAAATGCTGCCTGAGCACTGAAGAAAGTTCAAAGGCGTTCGACACTACCGTGAAGGAGAATAAAGGGTCAAGGCGCCAATCGGGGGAGGAATAGCTGGGCAGAGGCAAGCGGAACTGCCCAAGTGACGATCAGCTGACTCAGGCGGTGGTCGTGTGGCGGTGTGGCGGTGCAGGATCTCGTGAGCCACAGTGATCGGCGGGGTTCCAGGATTTGGGCGCCAGCAATAAAGACCGAGGAATGACGTTGGAGCATTCGCTCAGCGCGTCCTCCCGCTCTCTTTTTGTTTCATCTTCCCCCCGGCGCCAAATCCATGACTGTCAATCGCATGCTCGAGTTTTAGGAGGCGTGTGTTTCGAAACCTTTGTCACCCTATCAAAGGAACAAGTTGCCCAGGAGGTTCTATTTTTATCCCCCTCGACGCACTATATCTTTCACGGTGCTCCGAGACCATCCCTACAACCTACACCTTCCTTGTTAAACAGTTATCCGTCAACACTATCCACAATGTCCGGCGCCCTTTGGAACCTGGTGGGCAAACGAGTGCTTGCTGAATCTGCGAGGAACCATTTTGGAACAGAGGTATGTGAATTATCTATGTTGCACAAAAGCTTTATAACTGCGGCTGACCAAAACATTCCTCTCTAGGACCCCTATTTCGAAGAAGTGCCCGCATCACGCCTTGGTCGCGCCTTTGGCAAAAAGTCTCAGAAGCGCCGCAAGGCTATTCCACCAGGATTGTCAGACAATGATGGCAAAATTCTGACCCAGGTTAAGCGCAGGGCGTACCGACTCGACTACTGCCTCTTCAACCTCTGTGGAATTCGCTTCGGCTGGGGCAGTGTGATTGGTCTCGTACCATTGTGAGTTCTCTGTTGCTCTTCCTATCGTTCGCCTCTTTCGGGTTTCACTTCTCTTCTTTCCTTTCCTCCCTTGCCACAGTCACTTCAATACTAACAGATTGCTTCTGTCCTAGTGCGGGTGATGCTGCCGATGCCGCACTTGCCCTCATGGTTGTGAGAAATTGCGGTCAGATTGACGGTGGACTTCCCTCACGCTTGCGCATGATGATGTTGATCAATGTCATCGTTGACTTTTTCATCGGTCTCGTCCCGTTTATCGGCGATATTGCGGACGCGGTATACAAATGCAATACGAGAAACGCAGTCATGCTAGAGAAGCATCTGCGCGAGAAGGGCGCTAAATCGCTCAAGACAGAGACCAGACAGCAAGGACGAGTCGCGGATCACAGACACGAAGAGCCTCGAGTTGTTGATCACAGTTTGCCGGAGGAGTGGGACAAGCAAGAGAGTGGCATCATTGGCACTTCGCCCCCTGAATACGAAGAGCCTGTATCCTCTGGGGCCGGAAATGGCAGACACTCTGGCAGGTCTAATCCGGCCAAGAAATCGAGAAACAGTCGCTCACACAGCAGGTGGTTTGGTGGAGCAACCCATCGCGAGGAGGATCTGGAGCGTGGTGGAGTATGATAGATCGAGTGATAGGATGATGATGATTTTGAGATACCCTTTTCGGTTGGTTTGAGAATGCTCTCTGGTGATGACTTGCGGACTGGTTAATATGTTTTTGTTTTTCTGACATATAGCGCTTCTTCCAAATTTATTCCTTAAATTAGCACAAGGCTTCAGGACGTGATCTCATGCATCCATAGCAGAACTTGGAGCTTTGGTTATCGCCGGCTTGACTGGCCACTGTGACTCCAGTGTTGCCCTTGACATTTCCAACTAAGCCTCCACACAAGGAACATAGCGGATCGTCAGACCCAGCCGTAGACTCGAGCTTATTTGCTGTGCGGCCTACATTGGCCATGATTCCACGGTACTTCTGACCTTGAGTCTGAACGTACCGCAACATAAGCTCGTCAATGGACATATTTTTTGTAAGCACATTGTCGGATGGAGGCTCATCAGGAATGACGATAGTAGAGAGTTCTGGACAGACACTGAGATACTGTTCCAGCTCAAACTTGGAGAGGTCTCGTAGGGGAAAATCGAAGCCGATTCCCCAGGGAGACATTCCATCGGAAACTAACCACGTCAACGAAGCACCCCGGCCTTTGGAAACACCAGCCAAGGTCTTCGCGGCAAGTCGACTATCTGAATCACCCCAGATCACAGTCTCGTACCCAGCCTTCTGGGCAAACCCTACTACTAGTCTGGTCAAAAGCACCGAGTCAAGATCATCTTTTGATGTCGCAGTGGATACAGAGGCACGGAATGCCGCCAAACGGTCCTCATTGGTCTGCAACTCATCATCCGAAAATCGAGGCCCCGCATATTCTCGCATAATGTCCTTCATATTCGGGACGTACTCGAAAACGCTGTGAAACGGGACTCGAGTTAAGGAAACGTCTGGGCACAGCTTCCCAATAGCTTCATAGATTTGATTATATTGAGCGCTAGACAAGTGAATGGTAGCCGGATCAATGACGAGAATATGAATATCGAAGTCGAGCGTGGCGTACGGTTTGGCGCGCTGGCGTTGGATCCCTTGGTCTAGAATATGCAACAGGACAGACGAAGAGACACCAAGGGAGAGCGGGAGAAGCAATGAAGTAGTCGCTTTTCCTGGATTCTTCCTAGTGCTATATTTGCTCATGTGTTGCATGACCTTGTAGGAAATAAATTTGGTGAAACAGCAGCTATAAAAACGCTTTGAGTAGGCATTCAATGGAGGGGTAGGAGACCAGCCACAAACCTGCATAGTCGTCTCTTTCGGATGGTCAAGATGAACTTTTCCTCCTTGCAGTCCATGCAAAGGTCAGTCAACTCCTTAGCCGGCATTTTGAGTAAGATTATGGGAGCTCTGAGATATTCGGCGCAATCACAAAAAGACCAAAAAAAAAGTAGTTGGATGGTGGCGGTACCGCGGGCGGTCAAGCTTAGATAAGACGGCCCACGCGCGCGGCTTCCCGGGCTTTTTAGGACACGCAGTGAGCTTCGACTATTCCGGAGCTGTGGACCTGCCCTGATTGCCAACCGTCTCTTGACCTTTTCAAACACCACGTTTGATGCAGCTTCCTTGATTCTGAAAGTTTCCCCCCCCCCCCCCCCCCCCCCGAATCCTGGAGCCTTTCCTGCAGTTGTTGCTTGGTTGCGATGAAGGGCTGGCTCCGTTCACTCGGCCTTACGGCCTTGCTTGCAGGCTCCGTGCTTGCCAACGATGTGGAAATCGTAAGCGATATTGCAGCGAAATTCTCGCCAGCTTCACCCAAAAAACGATACTGATCATGCTGTTCTTAGAAATCCGACGAAGCGCACCGCCAACGATGTTCAGGGATGTACAGCCGCAAGGCCTGGGGAGGAAACGTCGACCCCTTTATCCTAGTGAAATTCTCCAAGGCTGGAACTCCAGAAGGCGATCCTCTTGCCAGTTTGGTGATCTTTGAATGGAATGACGAAGAGTTGATTGGTGAATATCGGTCCGACGACGCTGAGGTATTTCCCCGACTTCTACTGGCGCCCTTCCCATGCATGCGAGCTGACCGATAAGCATCAGTTGAAGGAAACTATCTGCGACCAGGCGAACGTAGATGCAAAGCTTTGCACCGAAGACCAAATTGGCTCCTTCCTCCTTACTAAGAATGCCAGTGATGCCTCCGCCAATCCCATAATTTCCAAGGCAATTCACCTGAACGACCCGGACGCTATCAAATACCCCGTGCACAAGACTGGATTCTACTGTGTGAGCACCTACGCATACTCTGGGGAGGACTATACCGCCGTTGTTACTTTTCGCAACTCATATGGAGAGCTGCCAGCGGCACAGATCGCCAAGTTGCCCTTCTATGGCGCTTTGACCATCGTGTACGCTGTCGTCGGAGTGTACGTGCCAATCCAACGACCCCGGGTGACTATTTGAATGCACTAATAACGCTGAGATCTAGGTTCTGGGCTTTTCTCTATGTCCAAAATCGGTCTGACATCTGTAAGAAACCCCCCTCTCCCTCTGCCCGGGTCATTTTACATGTTCTGCTTCAAAACTAACTATCCTTAGTGCCCGTGCAAAACTATATCACTGCGATCCTGGTGTTCCTGATTGTCGAGCAGTTGATGACTTGGGGATTCTATGGTATGTCCATCCGCCTGACTTCTCTGCAGTCTTGAATCTAACCTGTCTAGATTACCAAAACCGACATGGCTTGAATGCCATGGCAAAGGCATTGATGATCATAGTTGCTATTCTAAATGCTGGCCGAAATGCTTTCTCATTCTTCCTGCTTTTGATAGTCTGCATGGGTTATGGCGTGGTAAAGCCATCGCTGGGCCGAACTATGATCTACGTTCGTATCCTTGCTATTGCGCACTTCATCTTTGCCATGGTCTACTCTATTGCCAGCCTGTCTATTACACCGGATAGCGCGGGTCCTCTGGTGCTGCTTATTGTCCTTCCTCTCGCTGGAACCTTGACGGCCTTCTATGTCTGGACCTTGAACTCTCTCAATGCCACTATGAAAGATCTTATCGACCGAAAGCAAAAGACCAAGGCGTTGATGTACAAGAAGCTGTGGTGGTGTATCCTCGGGAGTATCATCGTAATCTTCGGCTTCTTTTTCATCAACTCTTTCGCCTTTGCTGGCCGCAGCGATGCTAGCTTTGTGCCTGAGCACTGGAAGGCACGGTGGTTCGTGCTGGATGGCTGGCTTAACCTGGTTTACTTGTTCGATATCGCATTTGTCGCGTATCTGTGGCGTCCGACTGCCAATAACCGACGCTTCGCTATGAGTGATGAGGTAAGAGGCTTCTCAAAATAGATCTTGTTATGATCGCCTAGACTAACTGTGACATTCAGCTTGCCCAAGATGATGATGGCTTCGAAATTCGTTCATTCGGTAGTGGCCTCGATGAAGAGGATCCCCTGGAAGCGCCTCCCGAGTACCCCGGTAGCTCGGCCGCCGATGGCCGTCGCGATCTTTCCCCCGTCCCCCCCAAGCCAGTATCACAGGCCCAGCGTTCCTCCTTGGAGGAGGAAACGATCTTCGCTGTTGGTGAAGATGGTGACAAATGGTCAGACGACGATGAATCACCACGCAACTCCGACGAGCGGCAAAGACTCACTCACTAGAAACTATGGAGAAAGTTGTCTGTCGAGATAAGTCGGGCTTGTCTGGTGTATTTTCGATGAGAAATATCTCAGCAATTGGGGAAATTGAGCTGCTGTAGAGATATAAATGACACGTCCCAATTTGTGTATCGCCAAAATTGAGAGGCTCTCAAGCATGTCATGGCGTTGGTTTTTTTCTCTTTGTTTTCTTGACGGATTCTTGATTTACCTGGCTTGTGCCTTGAGCTCTTGACGTATATTTCTAAATGGCTTTCAACAAAATAGCCAAGCCATCTATTTGCAATTGAAGATTTTGTTGATGAAACATGACCTCGACAATGAAACAAAACTCAATGGCAATGCCAATTGCGTGAGATGCGGATCCTACTATGGCTTGAGCTACATTATGCCATAATATAGAGGCTTTGGACTACTTTGATAGGTCGCCTTCCCATCCCTGTAGCCACCACTCAAGATGTGGGGCCCAAGCTCCAATACTAAGATGGATGCCATAGCAATGAAAATTATTGATCCACGATTATATCTTATTGAAGGACAACTTGGACTGATTGTTCGTCATGAAGATATCTAATGAGATCGTGCACAGATTGGAAGATGATATACACCTTGGAATTCTGTCTACATCTCATATGCTTATATAGGCCAAGAGGCTAGAATAACTTGGTATAGACCGGATCCAAGATGTTCTAGGTTAGTCGTCAAACACCCTCTGTGTAAAGCCAGGGAGTAGATCTATGTCCAGAGCCAAGGGATGGGGGCCGGAATTCGAACCCACCAGAAGCCCAGAGAGTCTACGGGTGGATTTTGCGCTTTGAGTCATAAAGACCTCGTCTCCAATTTTATGGGTCCCTAATTTTATTCCATAATAACCTTCTGCTCTCTTGCCAGAATGTTCAATTAATCTTATGAGCCGGGCAAGTTCGATAAGAAGCCTATCAACGATTATCGGCCCCGCAATCACCGAAAAAGAGGCCCCGGACGACCCGCGTGCGCGATAACGCATCAAGCTTCCGACAGCCTTAATTCCCCGCCGAAGAACTCCCTGGTGCCTTTTGACCAGCTCGCTCATGCGGAGCACCCGCGCCGAGTGTGAGCCTGTCCTCCTACCGCCACCCGCCGCCCCGACTCCCACGATGGCACACAACACCGCAAGTCACACCAACGATGGCGCAGCCACCGAAAGCATGCTGGAAGCCTTGAAACAGCAGGCCGGTATTTCCTCTCCGGTTGCACCGAGCACAGCAGCCTCTACAGACCTCCACCAGCAATGTCTGGACCTCTTGTCTGAGATCGACGAGTTCCAGGGTTTGCTAAAGCGCACGCTGCGCAATCCACAGCTAGTGGAGGTGCGACAGTTCCGCTCAAACGTGACCTCGGAGCTGAGAATGTTGCAGAAGCTGGAGCAGCGAATGCCTAGCTGTACACCGGTAGTGGAAGAGAGCGATGCAGGTTCTGGGCAGAGAGAAGGCGAGTCCGAGGCTGAGAAGCGGCTGGCGCATGCACTGCGCTCATCAAACTTGCCGTTTTATCAGGCAGTGTGGAATATTGCCAAAGTTTCATGCACAGGACTGGTAGCGATTGGCAAGCGGTTTTATTGGGATGGTGAGACAAAAGCATCAGAGAGAGAAAAGGCAGAGGAGGCCAAGCGAAACAAGAAGAGCGGAAAAAGCAATGGCGGTGGTGAGAAGCAGCCAAACAAAGATAAGAGCAAAAGTGTGCTTGTTGATATCGTCGCGGGGGATGGCGAGCAGTGGGTGAAAGTATCGACTATCTCGGAGAATCGATTGCTCTTCGAGATGGCCGAGAAAGGATGGGAGCGCGACTCCGAGGACGAATGCTTGTCGGATGACGGCAGCGACAGTTCAAAACGACGCACAATCTTGCGCAACTTTGACGGCGATGAAGATGATGAGGATGACGATGATGAGTTGGAACTCATCAAGTTGGCTAAAGACTTGCGGAAAGCAGCCAACGCTACCCGTGTGCGCTATCGACATCCGCGGATCCGGGTTGTACTGCCTAGGATCGAGGAAGGTAACGTTCCCGAAATTGACGATGTTCTTCAAGAGATTCGAAGCTATGGGGTAGAGGTCCAGGCGCAGAAGACTCAGGCTGCAGATGCCAGCCTGACTGGGCTGGCGCACCTTCTGCCCCAGCCATTCGAGAAATTTACGTCCACTCTGAACGTCGATTGCACTCTGTTACTCGCGTTGGTATCCGATCTATCTCATACCAAAAACATGACCCCATTGCCCGGTTTCCACAAAGCCATTATACGGCAGATAGAGGTCGAAAAAGAGCAGCCGTTGCTTCCCACCGAGCTTTGGCCAGCGACTAGCAACCGTGATCTGGTTTGCACCCAGGAGGCTGCAACCCGAATGCGCGAAATAGTGCAGGTGATTGGATCTGGTGCCGAGAAGGAAAGAACAAGAATCATGCTGGGTGATAGCCCATATGACTCTCTGGACTCTGCATCTCTCGTTCAGAAGTTTCAGACAACGTCCGAATATCAAGTGCCAGCAGGGTGGAAACTCCCCATTAGAGTCGTTGAATCTCAGAAAGTGATTGACAATGCTAAAGCACAGGGTAAACTCCCTTCAGTGGCAGAGGAAGTTGCAGAGAGCTTATCGGATATAAATTATGGTGTCTTTATGTACGGATGGGCGACGGGAATGATGACCATTTCGAGCAATCGGACAATCGATAAACAGATCGAAACTATGATTGAGAAGAGCCGAAATGGCGATGAGCATCTCGAAGGACCTAATGTTTGGATTTGTGATACAGCCCGAAGTTTGGCGGGCAAGGACAGGGATCGTAAAATCTAAAGATAGGAGGTCAATTGGGATAATAAACTGGATATAATATTTGGATAAGATGAGATAGACAAGAGCGTCTCACGATCTGCTAGCATATACAGCCTCGCATTATTTCATCTACTTCCTCTATCACCTGTCTAGTCAATCTTTTGCTTTCAGTTCTAATCTTTAAGCATGAAACTTAAAGGAGTTGGTTGTGATAAGAAGGTAAACTGAAAGGGATATTGTTCATTCCTAATGCATAACAGAGAGACAACCCATTGCCAGGATCTGGGAACAGAATATATCTGATGATCAAAATCATAAACCTCAATGAAACTCCGTTGAATGTATCAAATGTCATAATTCGTGAAATGTAGCAGTTGCACGTGGGAGGCCGGTCCCTAAGACGTGATGAAGATTGGTGAATGACAGGGACGGCCTACTTATCCGATGGGCGAGGGGGTTCATCAGGAAGCCAGAAAACAACGTCCCGGTCCGCGCTGGCAATCATGTTGTATCGCGGATTGTATTCGATGAGAGCAGTCCGGCCACGATGGGACAGTCTGGTCAAAGGCTGTAGCTGAGCCGCGTTCTGTCGGCCAACTCGCGCATCAGATAGATCCCACACCAGCACATCATTTTGTTCCCCATTGCCTCCAATCACATATCGCCCATCAGGCGTGAAACACGCGTCTCCCTGTCCTAATGGCTTGCCAGTGGATGAAACAGGCGCAGCGCGACCGGGCGAACCAGCTTTGCCTACACAGAAGGCTTTGATAGTACCATCAAAGGCATCCACGACGAAATGTCCATGAAAGTCTGTCGTAATTAGCAGACTTTTTCCATCGTTAGCAAAAGCAAGTTTGGTCCAGCCACGGCCTCGGGTGGAAGGTGTGTAAATCTCTTCGAAGGGGGCGAGATCGAATGTTGCAAAAGGAGCTTTGTCATAGTTTCGAAGGTCATAGAGAAGAACAGATGAAGTAGACTGAGAGGCAATTCCCATCACGGAGGACGTTGGGTCAAAGGCCACCAAGTATGGGGTTGCAAGCTTTAGCTGGCCCCGAAAATTACGGGATCCAAGATCCCACATGGTAACCGTATTGTCCTTGGAGCATGAAACAAAAGTGTCGCTGCCGGGAGACATGGCCAAGCACGTTACTTTATCAGTGTGGGCCGAGAAATATCGCACATAGCCCTCATTATGAAGGTCAAGCAGGCGCAACGAGTCTAACAGAGAGTCAATTAACATGACCCATTCCAATAATATTGTTCGATTACTCACGATCGACCTTGGTGCTGGCATGCAGAACCTGGCGAGAATGGTGGGTGAATCTGGCAAGGTGCACACCATATTTTTTACTCGGCACTGATTTAGTCGACTTCCCTTCTTTCACATCGAAGATCTGAATTGTCTCGTCATCACCCGCGGCCACCGCAAAATCACCTTGGTCGTCGAAGTCGAGGGAGGTGACAACATTCGTCGATGATTCCGACTTGGATCCACGGAAGGCCTATGGAAGGAGTGTCAGATGGGTTGTCCATTGCTCTTTCCTGGTGCATAGCTAACCTTGCATGGACGATAGGTGCGGATGATGTCAGAGATCTTTTGGGGAGCTTGCACAGCTGGCTGCGAAGCTGGGATCGGCTGTTGCCCTTCGCCCATGACGATGATAATCAGATGAAGGGTGAGAAATGCAAGGCGGGACAAAATAGTACGATGAAGTTTCGTCGTAAAAAGGAAAGCAAAAGTAAAGGAGAGCTCCGAACGGCCTTTCTGGCAGGCGTTTCGTTGTGCCTTCCTCTTCGGGCCGGAAATCGACACACCCGCGCGCCTGCTTTTTTCGCGTTTGCGCCGGCATCGGCATAATAATTATCCGACATACCGCCCCCGATGATCGGGGTTGGCCCGCGCCATTGACCAATCATGCCACGCCTGTTTCGGCCTCTTGCGGCCTATGGTAACCGTAGGTAAGCTTTTAGTGCATTTCAGCCCTGACCATCTCCCCCGGACGCCTGACCTCGGATTGTCTGAAGACGTTAGGGCCTTGATAGAAGGAGAAGGTAGCTGTGAGACAACTCAAGTACAATCCTTGCACTCCCGAGCGTCTTTGGATTGAGGGCTTCCCCTTCCCCTGGCTGTTCTCGCCACTCCGATATCTCTCCGGTGGCCATCAAAGTCGATCGACTCATCCGTCATCTGCCGTGGAAGTATCGCTATCCAGAACAAGATGTCAACGACCACTGGGTATGAAGTTTATCATGCTAGATATATTTGCACCTCTTAAGACTCACGCTGATATCATGTTTATTGGAATAGAGCGTTTATCGCCGGAGGTATCGCCGCTTGCGGTGCGGTTACCGTCACCCACAGCTTTGAAACTGTGAAGATCCGGTAAGTTTTCTGATCAAGGTCGCTTAGATTGTCTCATATCGGGGCCAGCGCTGATACCCTCCAAGTTTGCAGCTTCAGGGTGAACTCCAAGCGAAGAACGAGGCGGCGAAGAAGTACAAGGGTGTCTTGCATGGCGTCAAGGTTATTCTCCAGAACGAAGGTGCGCGCGGTCTGTTCCGCGGAATTGGATCTGCGGTATGTACATCAAGGTCGGACGATTCTCTAGCATAAGTGACGCCGAATTAACACTCAAGATCATTTAGTATATCTACCAGGTCCTGCTCAACGGCTGCCGGCTGGGGTTCTACGAGCCGATTCGCGCCAACCTCACAAACGCCATCTACAGTGATCCAAAGGTCCAGTCCCTTGGTGCCAATGTTGTTGCAGGTGCTGCATCTGGTGTCATCGGTGCTGCGGCGGGCTCACCGTTCTTTTTGGTCAAAACCCGTCTGCAATCCTACTCGCCTTTCCTTCCCGTTGGTACTCAGCACAACTATAAGAACTCGTTTGATGGCCTCAGCAAGATCTATAACAGCGAGGGTGTCAAGGGTGTATATCGAGGAGTTGGAGCAGCTATGATCCGTACCAGTTTCGGCAGTGCTGTCCAACTTCCCACGTACTTCTTTGCCAAGCGCCGCCTGACTAGGCACTTGGGCATGGAAGAAGGCCCCGCTTTGCACTTGGCCAGTAGTGCTGCTTCGGGCTTTGTTGTGTGCTGCTTCATGCATCCTCCTGGTATGTTTTCGTGTTTTTTAAGGGATAAATATCTTCCGTCGCTGACATTCGCTTTTCTTCTCTAGACACCATTATGGCTCGCATGTACAACCAGACCGGTAATCTCTACCAGGGCGTCTTCGACTGTTTGTTCAAGACAATCCGCACGGAGGGTGTGCTTGCCATTTACAAGGGATTCTTTGCCCATCTTGCGCGTATCCTTCCCCATACCGTCAGTTCTTTTCTCTTCTTTCCCCGCCACCCTTTTCAAATTACCCAAATAGACACCATGCTGACCGATTAATTTTAGATCTTGACCCTCAGTTTGGCGGAACAGACCAACAAGTTGATGCGCCGCGTCGAAGATCGGATTTTGCCAGACTCGTTCCGTGACAAGATTTAAAATACCGCAAGAAACGATTGTTCATTCATCATCTCAGCCAGCACTTGCTGTTTCATTGCATCAAGTCTTGCATATTCATTGTTTGGTTTCTCATATATGTCGACGTGCGTCGAAGTGTGATAGGCTCTGCACAATATTTTTTGGTCTTTTTGGATATAGATTTGGCGTTTGGGGGACCACTTATTACTCCCGATTTATATTAGAGATGCCTTTTTGTATATACTGCAGTCGCGGCCTTGCAAATGGTCAAATAAATTGTGGGGTTCTCATCCATTATCCCGTCACTCCGGCGTAGAAGAACCAGTTCGCGTACAGTAGCAATGCATGTGCATTTGTTTCTACCAAATCCAGTCTGAAACCGAAATTCTAGGTCTACCCACATCTTGAAAATGTCATCATTGTGCTCCGAGAAAATATGTCATTCAAGCCTCAACCGACAATTTAGGAAACTCGTGATAAGCTTGTAACCATCAAATTACTCTGCTCGCGCACAGAATCCATCGAGTCTCAACGACCCCAAAGAATAAGTCTGGTCAAACGTTTCATCTTCGCCAATACAGATTCGATAGAACAATCGGGCGTAGGCCTGTGCCGAGGCCTCAAGACTGGGGGCCCAGATGTGATAGATATTTGCGAGCATCATCCAGCAGCCAATGAGGTCGTCTTTCACCAATCCCCATTTCTTGATGACAAGGGACGTGCCCGGCTTTTGCGGCAACTCGCCACCCTCAATCGCAAATCCAAGTGAATCTAGCGTTTTCAATACTGCGCCAACAGCTTTTTCAGGATATCCACATGAATAGTAGATTTTTGAAAGTGCAGCGTAACAATCGTAGATGTCAATACGTGGAACTTCAAGTGCAGGCCGAGCATAGGTATTCTCGAGATTTGCCAAGAGTGTGTCAATACTTCCCATGGATACAGTCTTTGGGGATTGAAAAACGGCCGCCAATTTCTCCATGAGTCTCTTTCTTATTGCCAAATTAGTAGGCTTGGTTGCCTTCAAGTCTTCACACAAAGCACAGTCGCATTGGAAGCCCCACTGCTCGAGTGCCTTGTCTAGATTCGGCTCGCTATCTCTGAATAGATTCTTGTAAGGAAAGACAATCTCGGTATCAGGTGCAAGGTCTTGCGAAGCACGGATGATCATAATGTCTCCGATAAAGGACCGACTAGCATTTGCAAGACAAGAGTGATTGCCGTGAGCTGCAATCGGCCAAAGGCCGACTGAGTGAAACACATCCGAGGCTGTTGTTCTATTGAGAGCAAGTTCAATGTGATGCGCACGAGTTGATCGAGTACACCCAAAGCTGTTGAGGGCTAATATAGTTTCAATCAGGAATCTAGAATATATCAGCGAAAGGTTTTCTTTTCATATCAATCTGAGGGAGCACTCACGTATCCACGACGGGGTTTCCATCAGCCCAAGTGACATCCAAAGTCTTGTATGACCCATGATGAAGATCCAGGATAGCAGGCATGAATGATGGGTTTTTTTGAAGTGTTTGAATCACAGATGTGAGAAGCTCCATCTGGCAACCGATAGTCATGGAGTTCGTCTCCGTGTTCATCAAAAGGGACAAGCCTTGACTTTTCTTTTCTTCGTCAAAAAACGCGTACCCAACTGCCTTCTCGCACAGCAAAAGATCTCCTGCCTTCACTTGACTGGTCGTGAATAAACCCCGCCCTCGATTGGAGGTCAGCTTTATCGACACAGGTCCGATGTATGTTGCATGATCCAACTGCGGTGGAGAAAGCCTCTTGGCTTCTTGCTGCATTTTCTTGAAGCAAAACTTGCCACTTTCTTGTTCCAAAAGACGATCAAGGGCTCTTGTGAATTCGTTCCTTGCGCTCACATTTTCAGGAAACGCTTTGCGAAGAATTTTCCAGGTATTGCACGACTCTCTGAATTTCCGAAGATGATAGAGTGCCTGAGATTTGCGAAAAAGGGCCTTTTCCGACGTAGGGAAGAGTGCCAAAATTTCTTGAGTGTCGCTGAGAGCAGCATCAAACTGGTGGGATTTGAGGAAAGTTAGAGCACGATTCAGCTGGATGATTTGCCTCTCCGGATCTTTCAGGTTGTATTCCAATGCCTTTGAATAGCTTTAATTTATTTATGAGTATAATCAATCATGGTCTTCTATTAAAAGAAGGACTCACCACTCAATAGCCAAATAGTACTTGGAGTTGTTGAAGAGGCGGTTACCCATTAACCTCCAATCGTTAGATGATAGTCGAGAAAAGCTATTCCCAAATTGTCTCTCTTGCCAGACGGAGGGAACTTTGGAGTCATACTTCTGCAAAATTTTGAAATCACAATGGTGGTCCAGTCGGATTCCAAATTCCCCGTCTGCCGTGACCTTCAAGTAAGGTTCCTTGACAACCAAGATCGTTCCTTTCGGAAATTTATCCGCTAGAGATCGTGTCTCTTGATGATAAATTTGTAATGTGATTGGGGTATCACTCTCATCTTCCACAATGACCAAGATGCCAGTCATGATATGAACTGGCGTTATGGTTCTAAGAACAACGTAGGAGCCCCGATGGTGAGTCTCCAGGAGAAGATCTGTGACCATGATTTTTCTCAGGCTCTCCATTCTGCTCGCACAAGGATGATAAGGTGGAGGGACAAACGATGCATGAAGCATGTAATGACCGGGTATTTTCTCTGTTAGATACGATGTTTGCCGCATTAGCAAGTGTTTCATGATTAGGTCTCCCTTTGACTTTCTCCATGTGGGAGGGAGTCCCTTGAATGCCAGTGCGTGTTCGAGAGTTTTCTTTTCCTGGTTTAACTGTTCCCAATACTCTTTAACGTGAGAGACATCATGGGTATCCATGTTGCGATGCTGTTCTGAGGAGTTGACCCTCTTGACCTAGCTAAGACTTGCTTCGTGGGCCAGTCAGATGGAGGAGAATTGCTTTGTAAGAAGGAAGAATGCAATAGCTGACAAGAAGTTCAAGAAGAGAAGAGGGTAAATATTGAGGATATGAAGCGATTAAATAGGTAGAAGGCAGTCAAACGATGATTGCAGATGCTAACAAACGGGTGGGCCCAATAGTGAATGTTTTCAACTCTAAAATTTCATAGAACTCTGGATTTTAAGATAACCTAGACTATGGAGGCTCTGTATTCATAATATGTGATCTGGTTTTCTTTTTGCATTCGATAGTAGTCCGCTGTCCAAGCAAAGAGCTATTCTTCGGAGAGCCTTCTGATATCTACCTGACAGATGGACTATACACACACGCACGCATGACTTTGCAGAGGGTTTCATTCTCGCCTTTCGTATAAGAATATTATATTGTGATATTGATACATTCTGAGATACCAAATACTAGAAATCCGAACCATCATCCGACTAGCACCCACCATAACCATGAATTCTAAGTGAGCTTTAGAATTTGGCAGAAATATTTCTATATGATATAACAATTCTATGATAACCATATACGTATTTTTATGTACAGGAAACTATCAAGATACTCAAAACTCACCCAAGTCAACAATTTCCAATCTAACTCCCAGTTCGGGACCACCTCATCCTTTAGCACGCTTCCATGCTTGATACTACGAACTCTGGATGAAAAAAAGTAGAGAGCTCCTTCATATTCGCTCAGCGTAGCTCAAACAGCCCTTCATGCAATATGCACCTCGCTGAGTTACTGGACTTGAAAATTGTAATATTTATCAGACAACTGCTAAAATATCTTAGAGGTTCAGGGCGGATAAATCCAAGCAGGTCCCCGATATCCAAGGTGAGAATAATGCTTTCTGATTTCTGAGTCTTCTACTAAGTCATCGTCCCCTGGCGGTATTATTCAATAGGCTAACATTGATTGCCTATCCCTACATTCTTGTTCGCTAGATGGTAGATCTAATACCCCACAATCAAGATAGTTGGTCCCCATTCATGCACATATCCTTATACATTCTTATTCTTAATAATTAAATGTTCCGAATAGAAAGCATCGCTCTGCTGACTGCTTCATAAAATAATCCCAGGGAGACGAGGCTGCGTGTCCCAAAGTAATTTTGGATGGGATCGGATGGCTCCAAAAAGCCAATCGTCATCTACGGATGGGTCGATCTTTACCGAAAGTAGTTAGTAACTTGTCAGCATTAGCATCACCAATGAATGCGGACTTAAGCAACGGACTTGACACGAGCTGACTATAAATACTAATACCCAACAGGTCTTGACTTGATGCTGACGTCCATCATTTCTTTCTCTTAAGATTATTTCCCTCCCAAAATCTCCACAATTTCTTGACAACCATTGTTAACATGCATCTCATCCTCACTGGTGCAACCGGCCTAGTCGGTTCTGCCGTGCTAGATGCCATGCTCAAGAACAATGCAATTTCAAAAATTTCCATCATAACGAGAAGACCTGTACAGATGGCAGAGGATGCAAAAGATTCACGGGTCAACATTATCAATCACAAAGATTTCGAGTCCTATCCACCAGAGCTGCTCGAGGAATTGAAAGATGCGGATGGGTGCGTCTGGGCCTTGGGAACAAGCCAAAATAACGTGAACAAAGAGTATGAAAAAGCTCATAATCTCATCTAGCATATGAGATTTATAATCTAACTGGAACTAGACAATATGTCAAGATAACCAAGGATTATGCCCTGGCAGCTGCCAATGCATTTTCCACTCTCAAACCTTCCAACCCCCCATTCCGCTTCATTCATGTTTCGGGTGAAGGAGCAACCCAGGCACCAGGGAGATTTTCAGCAATATTTGCAAGGGTGAAGGGAGAGGTTGAATCTCTTCTTGGCGAGTTATCGGCCAAAAATCCAAATGCTTTCCGGGCCGACAGTGTTAGGCCGGCGTTCGTTGACCCGGCAAACCACGATGCTATCAAGCCGTATATTCCTTCCAACAACGGGATTCTGTACGACGTTGGATTGCATATTCTTGGGCCGGGTATCAGGCATCTCTATCAGTCAATGCACTCCCCCACGCATCAGCTTGGGCCATTCTTGACCGACATGGCGATGGGACGAATTGATAGCCGTTTGCAGGGCCCTGGGGTATTTAGACTTGGCGGTGGTTGGGTGATTGAGAATAAAGGAATGCGAAGAATTCTGGGACTGTAGTATAGGAGACTGTTGATTACTGTATGCCGGGCTGGCATCGCCGTTCCCGAGTCAATTTCTTACGTCCCCTGTAATAATCGTGACATAAAAAAATCGTGACATAAAAATGTCAACTTACCCTTTCAATCTATTTTCTCATCCCTCCTGGTTTGCTCTTTTCACCGTTGAATTGCTATCAACTGCTTATTTGCCCTTTTCTGGAAGGATCCGGAGATTGAGGCTTGATCCACAGAAAATGGATACTGGTTCCGATAAGATCACTTGTATAGTCATTCTAAAATCGATGTCCATGTTTTACTACCGTTGAATTCGGTATCTAACCCCTCTAGGGGCTACGGTGATGCTTTCATTCTAAATCTAGGGCGTAGAAGAATGGTTTCATGTACGTAAATATCTATTTTGGAAAACATAAACGGAAAGAGTAGGTAGGGCAAGTCCAGAAGATTTCGAATAAATTGAAAGTCAAAGGGAAGACAGAATTCTGACCGGACTAAAGAAATATATTTGCAAATAAACGACAGCTTGCCGTCCTAATTATACAAGGTTGGACTCTAGTTCACCTCAAAATAGTTGATACACAAGAGAAGGAACAAATGAAGGTGTATAGACAAATAAGAAGGCAAACGCCAAATCTAAAGCTTAGGCGACCGATAAAAAGAAAGAAATTAGAGACCAGTGGGACAAAGAGGACCATAATCCTTTCCATCTAGATATTTCTGGTACCATGATGGACTTCCCACGCAGGTAGGGCAGTAGAAGAGACCCTTGGGATCATATTTGGCCTTGATCTGAACGAGACGGGCATAATTGGTTCCATAAAAGTCCCACGCCCACAGTGGATCATTGCGGTCGGCCTGTGAGAGGTTAGTGTTTGAGACCTCATATTAATTAGAATTTGAACAAACCTCATTCATATAGCTGCCTAAAAATGGTGTCATAAGTCTCATTGCCCCGCCTTTGACGTATGTAATGTCGTTTTTGACGCTCTGGACCGTGGCGGCATCTGAATCATCAGCCCAGCCTCTAGCAACCACATTCACAATGTATGTAGATCTCCAAGCTGGGTTGAGCCCAGAGTAGGGATCACTGCCGTCGGTCAGAACCTTACCACCACCAATAAGCTCAACACTATTGATGGTATACTGCTCCTCCTCGCCAGCAATGATTCCAATGATGCTGCGAAGAGCAGTGCGGCTGGTAGTAAGAGCAGCCTTGCTAAACATTCGGGAAGTCATTGCGGAGTTTGCCGATCCAACAGACTGGTGGACACCAGACATGGCCTGGTAGTATGATGCGTAGGTTGGGAATTGGTACCAGCTAACCGAGACAAATAGTGACGTGCCGTTATATTTCTGCAGCTTGAGCAGAAGTGGGTTGAAATCACTCTGTGCTTCCGAAAGTGATTTGCCCATCGCTGCAAGTGCATGCACATAACCAACTGTTTGATCGTCAAAGAGGACTTGGGGGCTGTTGATGGACCATGATCCATATCCCGAGAAACCAGCATCCATGAGGCTGGGGTAATCAGCATAAATATCAGTCACAGCCTCCAACAGTGTATCTGTATCATTGCTCAATGGGATGATGGCAAGAGACTGAGCGACGACAGACTTCGAGGGATATAGTTTAACAGTCATAGAAGTGACGACTCCGTAGCTGCCACCACCACCACCTCGAATCGCAAAGTACAGATCAGAGTTTTGACAAGCACTGGCTGTGACGAGGGTGCCATCTGCGAGGACCACTTGGGCTTCCAGTACTTGATCCGCAGCGAGACCGTAATCATGACTGGCTGGGGAATGGCCGCCTCCCTGAGTATAACCTCCAATGCAGCCAACAGTCTGAGTGGAAGTCCCTTGTTAGCTTGCTCGTCCAAAAAAATTAATTTTTTACAAACACATACTGGGTCACCCCCTCCAACAACGGTCAATTTACGCGGAAAGACGACGTCGTAGACATCCTCCCAGACATAGCCACCTCCGATAGTAAGGGCAGAGCCAGTCCATTCACTTTTCGTGCATTTATTCGACGGTGAATAAGTATCTTGAACCACAATCCCTTTTTGTATGTACTTGATCCAGATTTGGAGCGCTCCATAACCTTCAGACCTGAAAACAACAACCAACGGTTAGACAATAATCCGGATATCGTGCTCCATAATACTGACTTTCCAAGCATATCGTGGCCTGTGTTCCTCACAACAAGACGGATATTGTTCTTCTGCGCAAATGCCATTCCAGCTGCCAATTCTTCCGGTTCTGTTGCATTGATGGTATAGACCGGGGCAGGTCCCAGCACGCATGTTCCGGAGCTTTCGCTCGTACTCAAATCAATTGGGGGGCAAGTGGAATCAGTGGGATAGACGTATCCCACAGGAGAAAGCTCCTGGAAAGTAGAATTGTACCATTGTGAGTAGACATAGGCGCATTCCTCGTCATTCTGGTAAACACCGGGATAGCACGAAATCGCCAGAGGGAGATTGTGGATAAGTTTCCCCGACACAGTGGTGTTCAAAGTGTTCCAGGCATCAACGGAGGGCCAACATGTATCATTTGGGGTCTAGTTTTGAAATGTTATTAGAAGGCCTTGGACTGGTACGCCGTCGTCGTTTCATTCGTGTCAGATTGGTGAACATACACACTTGCAGGAACTCTGGGAACTAGCGTAGCCGAGGCTTGCTATAGCCAGGGCAGAGAGAACTCTTAATGCCATGGCAAGCTCTGGCAGCAATTGAAAGTAAAAGTTATTCACAGCCTAGCAGAACACAGTTCACAATTAGTACAGAGAGATACCGATCCTTAAAATATTTTCAAAGGCTTCATCCAACGGGTAGCCGGATACCGGGCATCCGGTTTGCTTTGGCCAGCGTACGTGTTAAAGGAGTCAATCCTATCTCCACAAACCCTCCAAGCCATCAATCAAACCATTGAATTTAATTGATGGTCGGGGATTGGTTTCTGTCTAGGTGCTTGCTTCCTAGTTTGGAACAGCGCTCGCTCTGATAGGACCGCTAGCATGGTTGGTACTGTTCGCTTTGCTTTGAGCAAGTCCGATCGGGGGGTACCGCCTTGCTCAATATTCCTGAATGTGGCTAGTATTTGGGCGTGGGAGGCAAATAGAATTGGCTTGACTTTTTCAGGAAGTTGGGGGCCGTAGTGGTCGGTTGCATATCCTCTAACCGAGGGAGCGAAGGGAATGGCACTAAGTCTAGTGAGTGAAAAGAGGAAGGGATTCGGATGCGACAATAATTCGGCTCGATGACAGGGATGTCATACTCACTAGTCTCTAATTCACGATCTAAAGACCCCAAATACGACGGTGGGGCCCTCGCCTAAACATCTGTCCCGTCCGGCCGTCAAATTAGATTAAACTACTAAAACCTCGAGCCCCAAAAGCGATATTTTCGGGACCCTGCCCCCACTGGTTGGTTGCTGAGACCCTTGGGCAGTCAGTCTGTTCAGTTACTGAGTTGCTGTTGTTGATCGATCGATCGTATCCCATTTTTGTTCTAGTCGAGACATGAGATCGGGAGCGCAGCGATCAATTCAATTAAGTAGTAGACAACACTAATCGCATATCTAGATTCTTAGTGTATAGAACGAACAATTGAATTGCCACTCCTTCTTTCTAGGGAGAATAATCGGGCGCCTTGGTAAGCTAAGCTAAACTTTTCCAATGCATGGTCAAGGATCCTGAAACTGAGACCAACCCGCTTTAGTGTGCATTGGTCTCTATTGCCCATAACTATGGTAAACCAAATCATCGAATCTTACGGCACTTGTTCCTGGTTGGCGCTGAGCTAGCTGGGCTTCAGTCGCTTGCGGTCATATATTGGCGGAACAGTCCGGGCCCTTGACTCCGGCAGGATTCTGGCTTGTTGCTAGTGAGTATGTCCCTCGTCCGTGGTGGTTCTGGGCTATTGCAATATACGCCAAGGGCTTGCACATTTTGCCCCCTTCAGTCCAGATTTGTTCACATGGATGGGTAAGAAGGGCCCCTGTGGAATTCTATAATGAACCCTCCCAGCCTTATTACCCCTGTTAGAAAGACGTTGGCATTTTATCATCTCCTAAGGATGTTTTGATGAATATTGATTCTGTGGAATATACCTCAACGGCTCTTATTCGGCACGATGACAACCGTCGCAGCACCTCAGGGTGTTGCAACCCAACTCTCTGTTCACGGACTTGTAGGAATCACTTGGGCCGGTGCTGCCTTGGGCATCATTTTCACCTCTATCCGAGTGGCCATCCGTCTAAGTTTGATGAAACGATTGATGATTGACGACTACTTTGTTCTCCTGGCATTGTTCTTTCTCATTGTCAATGCCATTCTTCAGACTCTCCAGGCACCACACCTATACTACATGATTCTTGATGTGACCGGCCCTGACATCGTCTACCACGGGACACACTACACATATTACGAATTCGCTATAATTGGTGTTTTCTGGTCAGTGTTGTGGAGTATAAAGGGGTCATTCCTCGCACTATTCTGGATGATATCCGATGGGCTCCCTCGGTATCGAGCATTTTGGTGGGGGACTACAGTCTTCGCTGTGCTGGCATACATTGGTTGCTGGTTTGCATCGGTGTTTACATGTCACCCAGCAACGGACTACTTCAAATTCGGTGAGCTTGATTAAAGAGCTGCGCTAATCGACATTTGTCTAACATTTTCTAAAGGAGCGTGTACAAAACCCATCGATCAAAAGGGATCGGTTATCTCGATATGTTACAGCACCTCAGTTGATATCATCACAGATCTATTAAGTATGAGCATTCTCGAGTCAAAGTATAGAGAGGATACTGATCAAAGCCATAAGTTATGTCGCTACCGCTCCGTCTGCTCTGGAAAGCGAGAATCAATACTCAGCAAAAGATTGGGCTCGTCGTCGTCTTTTTACTTAGCTTCATCGTCATCGCTGCCGCGATCGTCAGAGCAGTTGAGATCACAGGAAAGGCATATTCGGACCAAGCAGCCCTCGCAGTATGGGGAATTGCGGAATCAAGCATCTGTAAGTGTATATTCTGTCTACTATCCTCTTTTGCTGTACTTTGGACCAAGCAAGGATAGGCGATGCTGACGAAGAGTAGCTATGATAGTTGGCTGTCTCCCTCCCTTCAAGTCTCTTATATCAAGCAAGTCCACCGCGAGTCAATACGCGTACGGGTCTTCCAACTTCAATGCAAACTCTTATGATCGAAGCGCATCAACACGCGCAAAGAAGAAAACCGCTACCGCTAGTTGGAGTGAGGTTGCTCTGCCGCTCCAAGACCGTCGGGCATATCAGAATCTGGAGAATGACATATATGAGCGGAACGTCCATATCAGTGGCGGCCAGAATATGGGTGCCTCACAACCAAAGAATACTCGAGGGCCTGGATCGGATGACGAGTTGAGCGGTGATATCAATATGGTGAAAGAATTTGTAAGTGAGATATTTGGGTTGTATCCTTATCGAAGATCTTTCTTGGGGAATTTTTGATTCTGACTATTCACCTACAGAGCGTAGTCTCGAATCCGAGATAGTTCTTACTGTCTGCGGCGAACTCTTTCAGAAGTCAAAATAGACCTTATATTTTATCGCATAGAGTCAATGAAAACGTATCGAAATTCTTCTTGAATTCCCTTCTGGATGTAATAATAAAGTAATTTTGATGACTTGGAACTACTGATCAACTGCAGAAGAAAGGGCTGTATCTTCTACAATGATAGAGTATTTTTTCCCCCTGAGACTAGGCTGGGTAAGAGGAAAGCGGCTCTTTTCAGCGTCATATTATAGGGGCCCGTGATTAGGTTTACTAATAGGGTCAGTAGGATTAGTAGGAGAATAGCCGTCATACTGAGTTTAAGGCGGCACAAGATATTGAGTGGTCAAATGGGACTTGCCGCTATAAGCTTCAGTCCAAGAGAAAGACACTAGCCTCTAGTGCCAGATCTACACCATGATTTCAGGCGTTGATCCCAAATAGCCTCATATTATCGACGCGATATCTGACATATGAAATAATGTGAGAGTCGACAGAATTACTTCCATTCGTCAATTTGTGGTTTCTTTGCTCCAAAACTACAGGTTGGCCGTGATACAAATACGCCTAGGGTAGAGGAGTATCATTGAATGCAAGACAGTCGCGATCCACGCGATAGCACTTCACATCAGAACCTCGATGGTTGGTGAGATACATTTGACAGCATCGTAAAATCTACGAACAATGTGCCAGGAAGCATTTCGGAGAAAGGGCCCTCCCGATGGCGTGGGCAATGCAGGGTTGCCCGAGACACGAACCTGGCAGGTGGAGACGCGCCACCGCGATTGCTGGGAACTCAGGGATACACGCCGACCACAAACATGGGATACCGAAGCTCCGAAATGCGCAAAAACCTGGAACCTTGCTTATCCCCGCAAGATGGGGGCCGCCTATTCCTGTCCTTGCTGGGCTTACCAGTAGTGTAGATCGTGACACGCGAGGTGAAAAGTTCTCCACATTCTGCGACGCGAGTGTGCTTTTCCCTGGGCCCCACTCTAAGAGCCTTCTGAATGGAATTGGAGCACCTGCATTCCTTCTAGAGCTTGAGATCTGCCAGCCTGGATCTCGAGGGCTTGATTACTGGATATATAGTAAACATTCTGAGCATCGATATCCGAGATCACCTTCTTCTCCCCGGGCAATGCACGAGAATCCTGAGCGCGATAGATGGGGGCGGGGACAAGGGGGGCGGAATACAAGAGGTCGGAAAAGTGTGATTGGAAGCTTTGACCAGTGACGCGAAAGCTCGAGCTTCACTCTGTTCAATGTAGAGGTCTCGAGTGCCAATTAGATCCGTAAATCCGGGTTGCACTGCCCGTCGCGTCGGGCCAAATGCGTGAAGGAAGCCCCAGTGGCTTATCTGATCGTGAATCAGCCTAGAATCGGCCTGCTAAAGTGGAGCCTTATTACGTCGAGCTGAAAACTTTTTTTGGAGCTGAAAGACGCGTGCAACGCGTTGGGCAGTCCGAGCTTCGGTGTCTTTCAAATTTGGGATCTCTAGATCCTCTGCAGAATTCGTTTTCGCCCCCCATTTTGCACAGACTAAAGGCGAATTCTCGCCGCGTTTCACAATCATGTAGACATGTGAAAGGGCACCTCTGCAAAAATCAGATCCTAGTTTAAAAACTTTGTCTAGGAATGACAGGAATGGGTGTGCAAGCCTGGTTGACCAGTCAAGGCGATGGTGGCGACATAGGGCAATATGAGCTCCGGACCCTCGGACTTCGTACATAGCCCAATGCCCAGACCGGTCGAGGGGGCTACCGCAGGCACGGCCATGGATCGACTGCCCTAGCGTCGGATGTTGGTGGAAGTCCAGTGGCATGAGAGCGGCCCAAACAATTCGACGCGCCTTGCGTCCTGACATAAGCGCGGCGAGTCGCGCGGTCACGTGCGACGTGACTTAGCCCGTCGCGCTAAAAGATTCACGTCCACCAACTACTTAATCGGTTCTTTTCCCATCCCAGCTACAACAATTTCTCTTCCCCTCCCAAGCCTCTACCTTGCCTCACCGTGGTTGTCATCATTGTTAATTATCTTGCACCATAATACCCCCAGATACGTCTCTCAATGGCCACCCACGTCACCCCTTCCAAGCAGGTACGTGATGTCACGACTCGCCTCTCGCGAAAGACGCGTCACGAACAGGGCATTTAGCTAACTCGCGTCCTTTGTTAGGCAGCTACCTCTCTTGAGAACCTGAAGATGAGCGATTCTCCCATTAAGAAACTTGACTTCGAATCTGTCGGCAAGGAGAACACGCCCGCGTCTTTCAAGCCCGTCGACGCCCCCATGGAGAAGCCCACCGAGAAGGCCCTCGAGGCCCCCAAAGTCGCCGCCGGCATCAAGGAAGCCGAGGCCAATGAGCCCCCTCCTCCAGGAGAACCCTCATCGTTTTGTGCTCTTCCCTATTAAGTATCACGAGGTAAGTCACGTCTCCGACGCGTCTACGCGTAAAGTGGTTGGAAGATCATCCAACGCGCCACCTCTCCCACTTGGGCGCCGTGAACACCAGGCTCATGATTTTTCCTTTTTTCATTAGATCTGGCAAATGTACAAGAAGGCCGAGGCCTCTTTCTGGACCGCCGAAGAGATCGATCTGTCGAAGGATCTGCACGACTGGCACAACCGCCTGAACGATGATGAGCGCTACTTTATCTCTCATGTCCTTGCTTTCTTCGCCGCCTCCGACGGCATTGTCAACGAGAATCTGGTTGAGCGTTTCAGCGGCGAGGTCCAGGTTCCTGAGGCTCGCTGCTTCTACGGTTTTCAGATTATGATGGAGAACATTCACTCCGAGACCTACTCTCTCCTCATCGATACTTACATCAAGGAGCCCAAGCAGCGCACCTACCTCTTCGATGCAATTGACACCAGTATGTCCACCAGCAACGCCTGGTCTGCCAAGATCGTCTATTGACCTTTCGTTTCTAGTTCCCTGCATTCGCAAGAAGGCCGATTGGGCCATCCGCTGGATCCAGGACCGCGAGTCTACCTTTGCTCAGCGCCTGGTTGCCTTCGCTGCTGTTGAAGGTATCTTCTTCTCCGGCTCTTTCGCATCCATCTTCTGGCTGAAGAAGCGTGGTCTCATGCCCGGTTTGACCTTCTCCAATGAGCTGATCTCTCGTGACGAGGGTCTTCACACTGACTTTGCTTGCTTGCTGTTCTCCCACCTGAACAACCGCCCCAGCAAGCAGATGGTCGAGGACATCATCGTGGAGGCTGTCGGTATTGAGCAGGAATTCCTCACTGACGCCCTGCCCTGCGCCCTTCTTGGCATGAACTCCAAGCTTATGTGCCAGTACATCGAGTTCGTGGCTGACCGTCTCCTGGTTGCCCTCGGTAACAAGAAGTACTACAACTCTACCAACCCCTTCGACTTTATGGAGTCCATCTCTCTGGCTGGCAAGACCAACTTCTTCGAGAAGCGTGTTGGTGACTATCAGAAGGCCGGTGTTATGGCCAGCACCAAGAAGGAGCCCACCTCTACTGAGGGCGAGCAGAGCTCTGGCGGCAACAACAGCGGTCTCAGCTTCGACGAGGACTTTTAAGCATCGTCCCCTTAGTCTTGAGACTTCTATTTCCTACCACCGCCCTTTCGCTTCTCTCCGCTTCTTTGTTTTATACCCTTGAGCTAGCGGGTCCGCCCCTGGCTGTTTCTTCCCTATGATATCACGCTCCTCCTGATCACCTTTTCTCTACTTTTCTGCTGTTATTGATTGACGGATTTGATTTCCTTTTCTTCGAAGGCTACGCATGGGTTCGGCGTTCTATGTTTCTTTGTCTCTTTACTTCTTGATCCGTCCTAGACTCGTGGCCGCAATGTCTGTTATGGGATGGATGGTGGATATTTGTATCTAGATTTCAAATCACTTGGTTATTGTGTATTATCACTTCACACGACTTCCCGTAGGGCTTGACCCTTCCCGGTCCAGATAACTATCGTCTCTTGATATTATGCCCTGTAACATCCTTCCCCTAGCCTTTCACCATCTGTACAAAAAGGCTCTCATCGTCCAGAAGCAAAAAAAGGAAAGAAAAAGGAAAGAAAAATCATGAGCCCGTTACAAGTCATTAATTTCTATGAACCGAATCCCCGGGATCTAATCACTCCCCCCGGGCCTCTACACTTAATCCATCAACGCACCAAGCACCCTACCGCTTCCCTTTCCCACCCTTCTTCTTCCCCTTCGCACCACCTCCGGCCTTGCCCCCGCTCGCAGAGACAGGAGCTGCTGCACTCTCCTCAACAGCCGGCGCATCGACCATCTCCACGTCTGCGGCGCCTGGCGCCGGCGCTCCCAGACTCGCGACGTCCGCGCCGGCGGCAAGCTTGCCCAGCCCCGTGACTAACCGGCTGACCTCGGCGATCTTGTTGGTGCGGTACTGCAGGACGATGCCGGTGGCCGGGTTATAAGTTTTCAGAGTGAGAGCGGCGATGGGCGTGGGTGGGGTGGTGTCGGCGGTTGTGGAGGGCTTTTTGGCGAGGGATTTGGCGTGTTTGGCGCGGGCGCTGGGGCGAGCCGTTGGGAAGCTGTATTTTGTTGTTATGCGTGTCTGGAGATGTTGTTAGGTTCTGGTCTCTTAGGGGTTCTGGGAAGGTTGGAGGGATGAAGATTATGGACAGGGTGCTGGGTGTAGAGGGTTGGGATCAGGTGGCGGTGGTGGTGGCATTGGAGTAGCGGGTTGAGCTCACCGTCTCTGGGTATGCTTGGAGGAGCATGGCAGATTGCTCTAGGAATGCCTGGGAGGTTGCGAGGTAGGGCATTGTGGGAGAGGTGGGCGAGAGCCGGTCTCGCGATTCTTGGGCGGGCTAGCAGGTGGCGTGGATGATTTCTGGTGGTAGATTATTGATGCCGAATTGGATTCAAAGCTGGTGCAAAGCGGCCCAGCAGATTCTGTTTGAGGCGCGGAAGGGGGAAGTGGTGAAGTGGTGGTGGTTGAGATGTGAAGTCCGGGGTGGAAATCGACAGTGGAGTTATCAGTGCCGGACTTTTCCATGTCTTGGCATCCAGCACCATGCCCGAACTATGCAACTAAACAGTTGAAACTCACACAGCTCTAATACTATTGTTTCCGTTTGATTGGTAGCAAACATTTTGACAGAGAGAAATACTGAATGCTTTCTCTTCAAAATAAATCATGTGTATTTTCAAGACTATGTATGCAGTATCTGTCATGGTATCGCACTCCTAAATTCGTACAAGCAGATTCCCGGCCCTGTCCACAGTAATGGCCATCATACACAACCCTCTGTGCCACGACAAATACCACTGAATGAAATGTTCAATCCAAATCCAAATACTCCCCAAATATAATCAATCCAAAGAAAAAAATATACCCCCAGGTGATATCAATATGATCGTCAAGTTCATACACCCCCAAGGCACCAACGCAAATGAAATCATCAAAAAAATCGTCAGTAATAACACAGATAATACAAACCATCTTCTAGGATACCTTCAAAAAGGAATCTCAGTCGATAGCGCGATTACATTGGACACAGATCAACTTCTGCTTCCCATCTCGGCCCTTGACGCCACGAAAGTTGGTCCCACGGCAGTGTTCGCACTTCATAATATCTTCCTCGCCCTCGACGCCAGTAGACGATCCATAGTCACTACTAAGAGCGCTAGTCGCCGTGCTGAGCTTGCGTTCACGAGAAGTGTTCTGGTTTGGGCTCAAAAAATCCCTTGCCTTACGAGTCTGTGCAGCGAGCGCATCGTGTGTGATTTTGTTCCAGTACGCGTAGCTGTGACTGCCCTGCAGCCAGAGCGGGTTGTCCTTGCTCTTACCACTGGCAACAATATCAGCTGAGGAGCCTGGCAGTTTGCGGGGGTCTGGATGTTGCGGATGTGGAAGTTCATGGCCGTTCGGTGGTGCCCTGACCTCGCTGGGATGTCTTCTATGGTCGACGGGGATCCGGCGAGGGGATGGCGGAGGGGAAGTCGTGATAACGGAGAGAGATTCATTTGGACCCATGCTGGAAGGCCGAGAGGACGAGAGTCGGAAGGTAGGTGGCCGGTGTTGAGGGGAGGGACTACGGGTGCGGAGTCCTGAGCGCGATCCCTCGGTGCTAGTGCGGCCATGGCGGTTGACGGAGTTGCGCCAGGAGATAATGCGCTCGGAGGGGGTCTTGTGCGCCGAGTCCTTGCCAATGGAAGATGCGATGCTATGTCGTGCGGAGTTGGAGCGTCCCAGAATCCGCCGTGAGATGCTTGAGGTTGCGTCCCAGTTCTCGTAGCGGCGTTTGTGGTAGGCGCAATCTTGTCGAAGTACTTTAATTTTTCCGGAGTAGTCGGCTATGATGATGATATCACCATCGGGATGTGTCGAGCGAGACATGTAGGTCGGCGACTCGTTGGCCATGCGGCCGATAATTGACAACTGCGGCCCCGATGTGGACCGCTTGTGGTTACTCTCACTTTCCCTCGCGGGGCTTTCCTGTTTTGAGGACTGCTCGGGGCTCATGAGTGCCACAGGGGGCGGGTTGCAAATATCGTAAATCGGATCCTCTGACAGCCCCAATATCTGCTTTGTCCTTGTCGGCGCAGTGATTGCCACGGTGACGATTGCAGATTGTGTTTCGAAAACCTCCACGGCGCGCTTGTCAGTATCCCGCTCAGTTGACCCAACTGGCCAGATGTACGCCCGACGATCCTCGCTTCCACAAATGACATGCTTGCCATCGTCGGTGAAAGAAGCTCGAATCTGACTGCAGGTGTTCTCGTTTCCGCGGAACTTGGCCTCCAACACCCGCTCACGAAAATCATACATTCGAATACGTGAATCATTACTCGTCACCAGTAACTTGACATCCCCGTTCGGATCCTCGCGTGGCACCGTCATGGTGTCAATTCCCGTGATCTTGTTGCCTTTGGAATTTCGCCCGCGAGCTGAGCGAACGTGTATCTGGCCGGATACCTTCAGACCCTCCGTGTCATAAATGTTGAGTAGGCCGTTCAGACACCCGGCCATTGAATACTGGCCATCCGGAGTGAATGCTACTGCTGTGATCATGTCTGGCACCGTGGCGACGTATGCTACGTTCTTATCTGGAATACTCCACAGGCGCAGTTTGGTATCGAGTGAGCCAGCCAGAAAGAATCGGTCGTCTCGGGGATGGAATCGAATTGAGGTGACAAAGTCACTATGTTGGAAGCAACATAAGCACTCAGACCGGCTTGCATGCCACAACCGAACCGTCTTGTCCATCGACGAGGACAGAAGGAAATTGTTCTACTCGACCAGTTAGCCTTGGTACTGCCTTTTGGTCCTTGGAAAAGGCCCATACTTTACTCCAACTTAAGTCCAAAATACTCCCGGTATGTCCTTCGAATACTTGAACGGGCTTGGTTTGAAACACTGGAGCCCTTAGCCGCGGATGCGATTGCTCCCCTATGGACGCATCGTCGTCCTCTAGTGTGGCCCGTCCACGCTCATCCGGGGTGGCAATAACGGCATAAATCCGTACTTTCCGGTCTTGTCCTGCCGTGGCGAGATACTTGCCATCGTTAGAGAACTCCAGGGCCCAGATGGCCTTGCCCGTGCTGTCGTCATTTTGCACACGGGACGACGAGGAGACTCGTCTCTCTGCTGCGCGCTGCGGAATCGCGCCGTCCAACAGCTCCTGGGCAAGGAACACCCGGTTAAAGGTCTTCTCCTTTTTGTAGTGGACCCGTGTCCGTAGATACCGTGCTGGGGCCGGATGGCGCGGGATAAATCCTATCGGATGCGAAGTGTCGACGGACATACGGCTGGCATCCGGGTCTGATACTTCATCTTCCGCCTCCGACAGTTGATCCTTCTTTTTGGTGCCAATGAAGCGGCTCAAAAAAGACACACCCTTCCTGTTCAGGAGAGAAAGAGAGGGTTCGAGGTTAGCTCTAGGTCACCGTCAGGGGTAGGAAGAGATAAGGACGCAAAAGAAGAAACAAAGCAACAGAAGGAACAAGAAAAGAAAGCCAACAAAAAAAAGAAAAGGAAAATAGTCAGGAGGTCTTCCCCAAGCGTCCGGTGTCCGGAACCCGAGGGAGGGGGGCAAAACATGTTACTGGAAAACGCTGGAACTATGCAACATGGAGAGAATGCGGGGACGTAAGTCGATCACACGTGAGACCACCATGATCGATGCTGAACGGCCGAGCCGAAGGCAAGACACTTACTTCTTGTCTTTGGGAGGTTTTGAGTTTAACGCTGCATCTCCCCGAGCCGCGCCCTGCTCCGACAGGCTGTATTCGGAGTTGCCGGCTTCGGCCTCGTACGAGGCACGGCCTAGCAACTTCAGCGGAATTGACTTTTGAGTGTTGGTACGTTGGATGATATGCTATTTAAAAGTCGTCAGTCCGTTTTCTTGGCCCTGCCCAACGTCTTTTGTCGCGCCGTCTCTCTTCGCTTCTCTGTCGCGATTTCAATGTATACTGGCCCTCTTGTTGCGGCTCGTGTTTTGAGGATTTAAGTTTCGAGGGTCTCTAGCATCACGGCTTACCTGAGATAACGGGTCAATGGCGCTGGTCTCGGTTCGGGTTTCCTGTAGTGTCAGGGTCGACGATCTGGCGACGGGCCCGCCAGGTGGCGGCGCACGCCGGGCGAGATTGCGCTGAGCATCTTGTTGGCTGGTGCTGGAGCCCGACGCGACATCCGAAGTGACCGAACCTATCACGGCGATATCTGCACAATTTGCGGTCAGTGTTGCTCGTGCATGACTTGGATGTGGCCAGGTCTTCGGGTGCTTCAGGGTCCTGGGGTATGGCCTTCTCTGTAGTCCGACTCATACAGGGTTCCCTAGCAAGCGCAGCAGAAGAATTTCGAAGCCAACCGGGTCAGATTTCTAATCGCATACCAGGAAAGGTCGAGGCTCTGGGCGGCGCGGGTTTGGTATCGGCGATCGTGGGGGTCGTTGACACTCGTGGCAGAGTGGGTTGGTCAACATTCCCCTCCATGATGCGCGCGCTCGTCGCATGGAGTGTGGTAGCAATTGAGGTAGGTGCGGAGGGGTCAGAGAAATTGAATCATCGTCAAAAGGGGCGATCAAAGAAAAGAGAGAGGGAGAGGCGAAAAAAGGGAAAGATAAAGCAAGGCTAGGCTAAGCGGCAACGGCCGGAGGGCGAAAATGGATGACATCAAATTGGAAGCCGGCGAGATTACGATCAAAAGTGGAGCCGGTGAAGGGTGAAGGGTACCGGAAGTTTGGACCCTGGAGGCTTGGCTGCAGGCGGGATGTCGGGGCACTTGGGGGGCTCTTCCGGTAAAGAGCTTATCGCCCAAGCACGGCCTAGAACTACAGGATTCAAAATGCATGAGAGGATGATAGGATGATAGGATTATGGTAGGTGCATGTCCGCTCCAGTTATATGTACAAAGACGAGCAAAACCTCCTCCGTTTGACCACGCCTCTTCCATTTTTCAAAAGAATTCTTCTTGAGACCCCTCAAGCAGCGGGATTGCGGTAGTCGCCGCCGAACCAGTGCTGTCCCTAGGGACATTGGTGTCATCCAAGTCCAATTGATGTCAAGCACAAGGTGATGGTAATAATCTCCAAGCTTCACAGCCATATAGCGATTCTGTGGGTATGTGTCATTCTTATGTCTAAGTATATCGTCGTCGTCATCATCATCATCATCATCATCGTGTCGACTCCATGGGGGTCTGGAGTGATTTAAATGCGCGCTTGCAGCTTCCGTGCGCGATCCTTAGCAATGTCACACATCGCCTACGAACGAGTCAGCATAGGGAATCGAACGGGAGAAGGGAGGGAAAGGAAGTCTTTTCATTTGGTTGGTTGGTTGGAGGGCAGTACGGACCTGGATAGTCTCGGTGATCTCGCGCTCAGCGTTACCTCGGTCAATGCGCTGGCGCATTTCGACCATGATGACATCCCGGCTGCGTCCATTGACAAATGTACTATCGCATGACCCCAGTTTCATTAGCCTCGGTAACAGTAGACATCGAATGGACATGCGCAGGGTTGGAGGGGTCAGGGAATGCTGGGTGACGCAGGCCCCGAACAATGTAGGGGATCCCGTTCGTGCACGATAAGGCTCAAGTAAATCCAGCCCAGGGTCATTGGCAGGAAAGGACATACACAAATCGCAAGCCGGGGAACTTCGCCTCATACTCGGCATTGAGCGCCCGCAATTTCTCGGCCTGCTCCTCGGCGCCGGTGTTCAACTGCTCTTGCTCCTTCTTGCTCAATTCGCTCAAATGTTCCGGGTTGGCGGGGGCTCGGCCGAGGCGCGGGTGCGAACCCAAGATGCCGAACAGGACCTTCTCATCGATCGGGGAATTGGGCGCAGAGAGCGCAGACATGCGGCCGCCGACAGCATCGATGAGCGAGGCATACGAGGAGAAGGTCTGGTTGGCGAGCACGGGGATCATCAACTGGTGGAGCTCGGGCGAGGGCTCGAAAAGCGTGTCGAGCACCCGCAGCTGGATCTCTTGGGACTGAGAGGGGAGCGACGAGAGAGTGGGGAGGTCAGCCATGGTGGAACGAGTTGAGTGGTAGATGAGGGGGAAATCAACGATCTGATCTCTCAGTACAGAGGATTGAGGAAGGCGTGGGATGGGGAGTGGGTATAAGTACAATCGACACCCGTCGGGGCTCGCCGAGCGTTGGGAAGTGGCGGGCGGGGACCAGCGATCAGCAGCTTATCAGCCGCCCACTTTAAATCGTGTCGCGAGTGACAGACATGCCTGCATGTGCTCTGGTTGATCTCCTCCCAATCCCTTCTAATACAGTAGCTATATCCACCTGATTGCATGTTATGCTTGCTCTTGGCTGCCCGGCACTCCATTGCAATGGCGATTGCGGTTCTATCTATAGAGTATGTACTTCCCTCCTCCCCGAATCAGACCCTACCCATATCAAATCATATTCAGGTCATAATCGCCTCTGGAAATCGAGGTCGTTCATCTCAACAGATGCAGAGACCCTAGACCCTCCTCTCCAGTGTCCAATGAGATCATCCATGCATTCCTTGCGTCTCGGACTCAGATCTCCTCGTTATGCGCCCCCCGCGAAACAATCCTCCCATGCGACCTTGTTCTGTCTTCGCAGACTTGTGAGGGACAGTCCAACTGGCCGTAAATGCTCGGAGATTTTGGGGTCTGTCGCCTGCCCACCCCCTTGCTTGTTACTCCGATACCCTGCTGTGTACGATCGCTCTGATCCGCCCTCCGTCGTGCTCGCTGTTTCGGATGTAGTACATAGAATACATAGAACCTTAGTATGTCCTCCGGCCATCCTACGACTCCGTTACTCCGGACTCCCCGGGTTCTCCGCTCTTTGTAGGATGATAGCGGCGTCATATTATCTGGAGTCCAGAGTCCAGAGTCCAGAGTCCAGAGTACAAAGTACAAAGTATAGGGGGAGGAAGGTTTCCGACTTGTACATAAGGTCGCCCTCTAACTATAAAGAGCATGGCCGCCGAGCGAGTGTTTCAGAACCTCCACTGAAATGAGGATAGCCGCGAGTGGAGTCGGCCGGCGAATGGAAGCGGGTGCCCCTGACCAGAGGTTCGTCCAGCACGGCCTATCAGCCCTTTTCCTCGTCTTCCTCCGTCCGGTCCGTCTGTTTGGGCCTTCTGTCACCGGAACCACCTCAATCGTGCCCGGCCGTGATTGGGCATCATCTCGATCTTGAGATCGGAATCCGTGGCCCCCCCCCCTCTCCCTCCAGCCTGTCTCGAAGCAGGGAAAAAGAAGCTGAGGTTGCCCGAAAAAGACCAAAACAGGTCAGAAAGGGCCCGGGAAGGCTTGAATAGCTCGAACCGCCTGAGCCTAAAGGGTGGAATTGCTGCTAGTTCCCTCACCTACTCCAGTCGAACCATCCAGACTTTCTCCTCTTTCGGCCATTAGGAGTCCCCTCCTTTTCTTCCTTCCCCCTCTCGATCCTCTCCCGAGTCTCGTCTCTCTCCCTCCCCCAATTCGACCTCGTCTGGCCTTCTCCGGCACGCTCCTCATGCCGTGCGCGCCATGTCTCTCAATGGGCTAGATACTCCCGCCATCGTCGAAGCCTATCAGGGTGCCCTGGCCGACGCGGGTGGTTGGTAAGTTATGGTGGCATGCGTGCACATCGCTCCCCCTTTTGCGACCTGCTCTGACGATTCCGACGCGCTCCTTGGTCGATGAAAACCCGCAATGCTGACCGCTCCCCTTCCTTCGCCATCGCAGGTTTCTGTTGCACTACATTGCAAGGGATGAAGTCGCCCTCCTCGAACGAGGCACCAGCGGGGTGCCCGAGGTGCGCAATGCCATCGAGAACTATGAGGAGATCTCCCCCTCTACGGCTTCTTGCATTACCGGCGGAGGAAGGTCATTCTGCGCTACATGCCCGAGGGCTTGTCCCGGCTCATTCAAGGTAGTGCTCGCTCACATTGCTCGTGCGAAGAAGGCCTTCTGACTGACCTTCTCCCGTCTCTTCTCTCACATTCTAGCTCGAAGCAACGTCCAATTCCAGTCTGTCCTTGACAAATTCACCCCGAATGATACCGTGCTGCCCCTATCCCAGGCCTCCGACCTCAATGAAAGCGCCTTGTCCTCGGCCTGTCTTCTACACACAGCCTCGGGATCAATCACCTCTTCGTCCAGCTCTCTACGCCGTCGTCGCCTAATGGAGATCACTGAAGATGCAGAGGAGAGTGGTGCCAAGGAGGAGACGAAGGCACAGTCGCCGCTGCAGCCTCCGCCAAAGGCTGAGTCAAGACAACGATCTGGCAGTCAGAAATCCGAGGCAACCATTGTACCAACCCCTACCATGTCGTCGGAGGTCGAGACACCCTCGCCCGACCTTCAGCCTCCTCCGTCTCGTGCCAGTTCCCGCGCTCCACCCTCGATCGGGAGTATGAGTGAATCGCCCAGCACGATATCCCCAAAGTCTCCTGACTCGAGCTCGGATCGTTCTCGGTACCGAAATATTTTGGATGAATTTCCTCGACCATCGGAGGAAGTACGGATGTCAACCCAGTCTGCACGGCCTTCATTGCGGGATCTAGAACGAGCGGCCGGGATCACGCCTAAGGTCAAATTGGGCCCTCGTCCGTCGGTTGACGGAAGTGGTCGGCCCCGGACTGCAGGAACCTCTCGGAATCCAGATCAACGACCCGTTGCCTCGATGCCAGCCGGTATGCGCTCCTCTTCCGTACGGAAGCCTCCCAGCATCGAGGTTCCTCGTCCGCGATCCCAGGGTAGCTCGTTCGCAACCAGACCCAACAGCCGAGCACCGCCTATCCCGCCGTTACTCGTTCCCCCACCGTCCATTCCGATTTCTCGACCGCAACTGTCGCCGGGTGCCAAATCATTGGGCGCATTATCGACATCTTCTGGGTTGACGCCGGAGAAAGAGCGATTGATGAAAGCATTGCAGCAACGGAAGAAGCAGATGGCCAAGCGAGCCGAGGAGACGAAAAAGAAGCAGGCTATCCCGGAAGCGGACGAAGAAACTAAAACGCAGAAGGAGGCCACCCTGGACCAGGAGGAAAACAAAGAAAATATCAATCTAGCAACTAAGCTGGACACACCGGATCCTGAACCTCAGCACGCGACGGAACCAGAGTTGCAACCGGGGCCGGAAAAGCAGCAAGAAAACGAAGTAGCTGAGGAGCCTGTAGGGCCACAAGTTCAGGCTCCTGAACCACCCATTGAGGGTCCTGAACTACCTGTTGAGGCCTCTATCCCACCTTCCCAGGAACAGCCTACAGCAGAGGCCGAGAAAAAGAATCTTGTTTATCTCGAGTCTTCAAACCCTGAACCGATAACCGACATCGCGGTGACTGACTTCGAAGGCGGATCATGCTCCCATACATCGGCCCCCAGCGCTGACACTATCTTCTCCACTGAAATTACCGATACTTCGTCAGAAGTTCTCAAGTCGGAGACACCGCAAACACTTCCCGAGGAGATTTCCGAAGAATCCACTGGGGACGAAACACACGTCGAACATGCGGACTCCGCAGTTGTTGACCCAATTGAGACTACGGACGACCTATTACCCCCTAGCGTCAACGTCGAGGTCCCACTCGCCAAGGATTCGGCAGACGTCCCAGACTCGACACCTGAATTGGAAAATGCTTCTCCTTTACAACAACTAGAGATTCCAGCCGTCGCCGACGAACAACTGGACGAGAAGGAGACAGATCTTCCGACGGAGAATCCAGCAGCTGGATCCCCTGAACTGGTCAATGCTTCCCCATCTGTGGACTCCCCGCCCAGCCCCGTAGCCGAGCCTACAGTCGCCCCTGTCTCCGTCTCAATTGATCCTGTCCCGCTTGATGACTTTACGCCTGAGCCGCCTCGCACCACTAAAAACGAATCTCTCCCCCTGGACCAAAGACGGAAGATTCATTTGGAGCCGATCCAAGTTCTGACCCCAGAGTATTCGGATGACGATCAACTTCTTTCGGATGATTCATTCATGGAGGAATTAAGATCTGCTACTGTGCAACAGGCTCGACCAGTCGCTGTCAAGTCTCCCAATGGCGGTGATCAGTCTTGGAGAGGATCGCGGGCTGTGTCGAGCCCGTATGGACTTCCTTCTCCATCGGCCATGCACGCACTAGCAGCTCGATCTTTATCAAGCTCGTACTCTGAAAATGGGCCCGCTACCCCGGTTCTGATGGCCAAGAAGATCAACGTCTCCTCTGGTATCTCGAATCGCATCAAGGCGCTGGAAAAGTTCTCTAGCCGGGAAGGCACCCCGTCGACTTCAACCCCTCCTGTGACTGGGCCATCTGCGTCATCATCTTTTGAGAGTCTGCGCAAGCGTGCTTCCGTTTCATTCCCCAACGGCGCGGCTCCGGATTTCTCCCGCGCGCCGAGTGTGAACCACCATGAGTCGCGTTCCACTCCTGCCAATACGCGTCGCACTAACTCCATTTCCGTCACGGCCCGCATCATCCGTGACACTGCTGTGTCGCCGGGGTCTTCTGGAGTCGAGCCTTCTGAGTCTGACGTCCTCAACCTTCAGGCCAGCCAACTGACTGTGGAACATGGAACAGCCAATGAACCACTCTCAAACAGCTCAACATTCGACTCTTCCACCAACCTTTCGGAAAACCGGAGCATGTCTATCTCATCCACAGGCTCGAGCCGTCAAGCCGCACAGGTATCCAGTCGTCCTGCAAGCCGACTCTCGTTATCATCCCGTGCTAAGACCGATGAGACTCTTCAGTCTTCGTCTCCTACAGATGAAAAGAAAAGCTCGCGTGCGTCACGTCTGATGCGCCGCATGTCATCCATCACCTCGACATCACGCCGCAGTATTATCGGAGCCTTAAGCCCATCTGTGAAGGAGGAAGACGCCGTCACGTCACCCATCAGTGATTTTGCTATTTCTCCGTCATCCTCTCATCCGCGCCTTGCAGAGCCCATTGATATCGGCGAAGTCAATGTCCAATTCCCTGAAACTCTTCTCTGGAAGCGCAGGTTCATGCGTATCGATGAGAATGGGTACGTTGTTCTTGCGCCCGGGACCAACGACGCTACTGCTCGCAATATGACCAAGCGCTATCACCTGACCGAGTTCCGAACCCCCTGCCTCCCAGATGAGGATATGCAGGAGCTTCCAAATAGCATCCTGCTGGATTTCCTGGACGGCAGCACGTTGCAATGCGCCTGCGAGTCCCGACAGGGACAATCTTGGACCCTAACGAGTAGGTCGACAGGGGTTTTGTATATTGACAAAACAATGGATGGCTAACATTTCATCGCAGCTCTCGTCGACGCCCACAATGCCCATCGGCAATAATCCCTTCAGTTAGCTTGAGGGCAGGACTCCTCTACTGACAGCAGCAATCTGCATCACTTCTTTTCTTCTCTTTCATCTTTCTTGTCTTCCATCTTTTTCTTCTTTTACCTTTTTCTTCTTTTATCTTTTTCTTTTTTCATCTCATCGATTTGGGTCACATTTATCTACCATTTACAACCCTGCCTTCACGGTCTCTGATCTATTTTCTTTTTCGAATTTTTGTCCAGTTAGCCTGTGCTTTTACCACCCACTCCCGTCATATCATTTCCTATCTCTCTTCTCACCGTCGTCTTTTCTCCCTATCTCTCCTCCTTTCCTATTTCCTGTATGTGCGTGTGATATATGTGGCATGTTCCGTGGTATACCCCTCGAAGTCAAAAAGCTTCTTCTTTTCACTATTTGTCCTCTGATCACCTCATTCTCCGAAGAACCTCTTTACCAGTGTACAGGTGAAGGCAGAGTGTGACCTGTTTTCTGTGCGTGCGCTGTGTTCTAGCCTGCATCGGTCTTCCAGGCCGAGGAGTTTGCATTAACTACCTTCCCCCTGTCTTCAATTTTGTCCATTCCTACTCTGATATGGCATAGCACTCAATTTCTCTCTGTATGCTCTTCGTCACTTCTCCCTTTCTTTCGTCAGTCTCGGCCAATATCAGAGGTAGATGTCTCAGACTATCTGGCCCTGTGGCAAAACATGATACTAGGTGGCTTTTGAATGGTCCTGTACATAAAACCGCCCGCAGTGACCCTAGCATGGCCATCTGATTTTGAGGCCGACCACAGTGGATGCACTTTATGCAACTCTTCGTAATGTATGTCTCAAACGACTCTTGTACTATTTCACCGCTTCTGCAGCTGCTCAAAGTAGAATGTAGCCGCATATAAAATTCGCATGATCACATTGCACCATATAGACTTTCCAGGTTGTTATCTCCGTATCTCTCAACCACCCACTATTTGCGACCTGTATTCTCCCTGCTGGCCACTTATAGGCCAGCAAGTCATCCTGGCGCACCTCTGATAAGAGGTTGTGCGGCGCAAACTCACCCAAATACCGGCCATTTACTATCCAACTTGATGAAAGCATCCCTGAAGAATCCGCTTTTGGTGATTCCAGGCTCAATCAGATACGAGACTTTCAAACAAAAGCCTCACGGCAACCAACTCACTGCCGAATGTCACCCTGGCACAGACTTCATCTAGACATGTTCCCCGAGTAGCAAGACGGTGTTGACTTCTCAAGTCTCTGAAGCTCCCTCACCTAAAAAAATTAAGCTCTGGGCTAAAAATGAAGTGCGCCGGGGAAGAACATGAACTTTGAATAGAAGGAGTATTTACCTTGGTAGCTGGACTTTCACCCGACGATACGCCATCGGTTCATTATTCATGCGGGCCGTTGAGGACACATTTTATTTTTTCTTTTCTTTAAACTTTTTTGATATCCCTACGCCTCGGCAGACTACAGCTGCTACAACATCACAGTGGCGATATTGGTGTTACTAATGTGTCTCCTCGAGGTCGGCGTTATTGGATCGGGGTGTGCCTACGCGGCTTCATGATAGGACTCTGGCCAATAACAAGGCATACAGCTCCTGGCCAAACTCATTCTGGGGATCATTCGGTGCTTGGAGTAAGGGGGTAAACTGTTGACGCGGGTGTCGTACCCCCACGGGTTGGTTGTATTGGCAAGGAACTATAAGAGGATGACGGGGCTGGCGCATCATCACAGCAGTCTGGTTCAAGATCTACACATTCGTTTTATTTCCTTATCTTTGATCAGTTTAACTCGACTGGATAACTTTTGATCACCATAGAACTCCATCTACAATGAAAGTTGCCACTGTCTTTTCTTTGTTCCTGCCTCTGTCCGATCTTTCCCTCGCTGGTCCAATTCAGCGCAGCACGGCTCTGCAGGTCCAGAGCTTTTATGCCGAATATACCCATGAAAGCATGGGAGCCCTTCACTTTGTGGTGCACGATACGATGCAGAGTGATAGCTGCAGTCTAATCTGGTGGGCTTCTCTCTTCCGTTTTGCCCGCTGTCAAATAATGCTGAACTCGGGGATGATTCAGGAATACGACTAGTGCTGTCCAGCCCGGCCTTGCGCCGAACAAATGCCTTAACCAGCGATTTGAATTTGGCTTTCGCTATGGTATTGGCAACATCGAGGCCTTTACACTCGTCGTGCAGCATGTGAATGCCACCCAGCAAGGCTATGAAACGGTTAGTGCATATGCAAAGAACTCAAACTGGGTCTGTACCGAGAATCCAGTGGAGGGTGTGGTGGAGCGGTGTGAGTTGACTGGAGTTTTGAAAATTGATCATTGAACTGGATCCTGAGCTGGTTGAATAGTAAGAATTGGTTTTTCTTTCTTTTTGGTACCAGAGCCTCTATGCTCTTTCTATTCGTATATGAGGTCGAAATGGCAGGAATTAATGTGTTTGAAACCAATCGCTCAACTGGAAATTCCCAACGGACTGGCAAGAATGCGAAACGAAATATTGACCAATAGACAGTCTTGATCTACTGCCATTACAGATTTACCTGCAGTGAAACTACTTGGCATTGACTACAGCTAGAGTAAGAGGAAAGATTCGGGATCTACGGTAGGTCACACTTAGAATGCAGACGAAGGTAACAATTTTGAGCAAAAAGTACAGAGGGCGAGGATATCTCTGAAAACGAAAAACAGCATGTCAGATTAAAATCCTTCCTTTAAAAAAATAGAAAGAGGACAAACCTAATCAATTCGTCTCGCACGTTCGTCAAATCAGCTTTCCAGCCTTATGTTCATGTGGAATCATCGTAAATCTGACATTTGATGCATTACGGTCGTGAAAGGGTACAAATGCCAAAGACTCAGGTGGTGTGTCCATTCATGCTTTGTTCATCAGGGTCTACAGACCTCTGGGCTGATGGGGTCGATATATGTTCGCCGCCATTGGGGTTTTCGGGGTGTTCAATGGCTCCATTCTCGTGACCATTTTGTTTCTGTTCAGGATATAATTCAGGGAACGCAGCGCGCATTTGTCCATAGTGCTGGCCAACCAGGTATTGCATGAGGTTTCCGACAGGTAAGGCGGAGTGCATGCGTCGCTCGGACTCGACCAGCTCGACTCGCATCTGTGTGTTCCAGTCGTGCTCGAGGGCATGGGCCTCGATGTCTTTCTTGCGCTCCGTGCCTTTGGTAGAGATGGTCTTCGAGCACCCAGGCATGCGACATGACCATATGTTGGATATTTTGTTGAGTTCGGCAAGAGGGTGCATTTCAGGTACTTCTACCATTCCGTTTGTCCCACGAGAAAGAAAACTTGATGTCGACGGAGGTTCAGATGACAGCACGGTCTTCAAGAGAGATGCGGCAGCGGACCCTGAATCGGAAAGAATAGAATGGTGTCGAGACTTTGCAGAAGCAAGAGGGGTTCTAATCAGCTCGTGGCCGCGGGTCTTACTGGGCGTCTCGACACCCTCCATTTCATCGTCTTCGTCATCATCTTCATCGGACTCCGCAGTCGGCTGGTCAATGATTTTGCGATGTCGCTTGCCCATGACTTTCGCAGATACCGCGGAGTTCATTTTAGGCCGGAGCACAGACTTTTGGGTATGCCCTAGATACTCATCGTCACTTGAGTCGTCAATGGATTGCAAAGGTGTGAGGAGGGCGGGTGGTAGAGGGTCAAGTTGGCTCGAAGCATGCTTGAGTTCTCGGTAGATAACGTAGCGGGACCATCTAAAACTTGGAGTGTCTTCTTCGTCCAGCTTCTCGAGAACAGCGCTGGCCCTGGCAGCAATAATCTTGCTTGCATTCTCTTTACTGAACGAGTACCGATCCGACAGGCGCTCTGTCAGCAGGTCAAGATGCAGCCGGCGCTTGGCTAAATGGCCCTCTTCTTTCAATTCCCCAATCAATTGGTAGACAGCTTCCACTTGAGATCTTGCAATCGCTGCTGGGTCATGCCGAGGTGTGGATACAACCGCATCGTTCTCCTCTTCTTGTTCTTCTTCTTCCTCGTCCTCGGATTTGGCAGGTGATCGTTCGTCCATGATTTTTTTGTAAATATCCTGTAGGGTGAAAGCATCAGCGTCTTTGAACTAGTATAACGTATCCAGTTTGCGAGACTCACTCCGAATTGGCGACGGAGGTGCACGAATACATTTGTCTTCTTCCAGTTGACACCTTCATCGTCGTCCCCTTCGATCATACAGCGGAGCAAAAACGATGCATGCCCCGCAAAAACTTCCGCCGACTGTTCTCTCGTCTCACAGTCCCCGTGCGTGTGAAATGTATACTATCTAGGGGTCAGTCGCCAGGGACCTGCAGGGAAGCACGAGGGGTATGGAGCTCTCACCTGCTCACAAAGGTTCTTAAAGGTTGGGTTGAGCTGCTTTTTCCCATGATGATGCCGGTCCAACAGGAAATAAAGCATGTCCACTCCCTGGACCATCCGATTGAAGGTGGGCTGGTAGCCCTTGGCCGGTGAGATTTTGTACCAGCCAGCCTTGCCCGCCACCCACAGCTCAACACTGCGGTCCTCGGTCTGCCCATATGCGAAGTGGGTGACATCGTCGATTATCACGCGATTCGAGGTTGAGTCCGGGTTGAGAACTGTAAGAAAGTATCGATGTGAGCAAAACCTCGAGCTTGAACTGATTAAGACGCGCGATGCGATAAGCAAGGCGTGTAATCGAATACACACCCAAGTGTTCCTGGTCTTCCCGAAGCTCCAGACAGCCTATCACTTGGACCGGATTCTCTTCTGTGGCCTCAAGAAGGTTCGCATATAGCATCTTCCCCGGCCGCAGGACCTTCACATCGGTCAGATCGAAGTCCGGCCAGTCATTCTCGTCGGTGATGGAGGGATCGATGGGGGGTAGGACGGTATCTTCGCGAGCGGTCATGATTGCGAGAGTTGTAAAGATCTCATGGTGTTTCGGCCGACAGAGAGAGGTTAACGAATGCGAGTTTGAGGCGACATGAAAGAAAGAAGTGAGCTGAAGGTTGGAATTCGCAGCGTCAACACTCGAAGGTCCATCCATGTCCGGTAAGTTACCGATACGTTATCGATACGGCCGATACCCGCGATTAATTACAAGAGCCGCTTTCAACTTGCGAAAGCTCTCGTAGCTTTTTTTCGTATTGCAACTGCACGACAGATGCCATTCCCACGAGGTTTCCGGCTCTTTCGCACCACAATGTCTGGAGAGAAAATTTTTGAAGGGTGCTTTGGTATGTTGTGCGCCAATTTCTTCATGAGGTTCTGTCACTGATTTCTCAGCCGTCCACAAGCCGCAGGGTATCACGTCGGCCGACGTGCTCCGCGACCTCCAACGCCACTTCAATCCCTCCAAGCTTTTCAAACCATGGCTGGACGCCGAGCGCGATATGAGGAAACAGGAAAGCCAAAACCAACGGAGGCGCCGACGAAACAAGAAGATTGAGGTGAAGATAGGACATGGCGGAACACTAGATCCGCTCGCCACAGGTGTGCTGATCGCCGGCGTTGGAAAGGGTACCAAGTCACTCAATGACTTCCTAGGGTGCACAAAGTCATACGAAACGGTTGTGCTCTTCGGCGCTGAGACCGATACCTATGACCGACTAGGCAAGGTCGTGCGCCGCGCTCCCTACGAGCACATCACACGGGAAGCAGTAGAGAAGGCTCTGGAGCAATTCCGCGGAAAGATCATGCAGCGTCCTCCCATCTTCTCTGCACTGAGAGTGGAGGGCAAAAGACTGTATGAGTATGCACGTGAGGGCAAAATGCCTCCGGTCGAGATCAAAAGTCGGCCAGTCGAGACCTTGAAAATGGAAGTCGTGGAGTGGTATGAGCCTGGAACGCACGAGTATAAGTGGCCCGAGGAGGAGATGACTGGCGACGAGAAGATCATTGCAGAGAAGCTTCTGGATAAGGAGGCTGAATTGCCGGTGGAGAGCGAAGCTGCCAACCAAGGCTCCGAGACTCTATCATCCACCAAGCGCAAGTCTCCGCCCCCGGCAGACTCTCCAAAGGCAGACGAGCAGGAAGCTATCAAGAAGCAGAAGGTATCAGAAGAAGGCGCCGCTCAATCTTCGGTACCTGAGCCCGAGGCCTCAGAGCCTGCGACCGTCGAGGCTCCTACTACTGAGACCGAGCAGCCGCGACCCCAGCCCGCGGCAGTTAAGATCTCCATGACTGTCACATCCGGTTTCTATGTCCGCTCATTGGCACACGATCTTGGTAAATCTGTTGGGAGCTGCGCTCTGATGAGTGAACTTGTGCGGAGTCGACAGGCCGAATTTGACTTGCAACCCGAGAATATCTTGGAGTACAAGGACTTGTCGGAAGGCGAGGAAGTTTGGGGCCCGAAAGTTCAGAGATTCCTCGAACAATGGGAAAGCAAGAGAGCTGCGAAGGCAGAGGCGGAAGCCACAGCCCAAGCTAAGCAATAGCAGGGGGTTGAGATAAAAGGGAGACGAACGGAGGTGAAAAATATGCTATAAATGTGGATCATATAGGGTGCTCATATTTCATAACAATGGCAACCTTCAACTTGGTATATAGCCAATCTTTTTTGCTAAATCATAGGAATGATCGGAGATCTTCACACCGGGTCCATCACTAATAAAAAGCGTACGCCGTCAACTAGATCCTTCTGCCAGCTCTGCGAAACCTCCAAGTCAGGACAGGTCGTCCAGAAACCATGAGGCAGGCCTGGATATACGAACAACTTGGTGCTAACATTCTCCTCTCGTAGCAGTCGCTCAAACAGCAAAGCCTCATCCCGACGCGGATCCCATCCACAAACATAGAAAATCGCCTTCTGTGCGATGCCAGCATGGGAGTCAAACAGCAACGGTGAGAGCCGCTTGTCCTCTGGAGGAGCACCATACTTGGCTGCAAAGAAGTCAATCGATTTCCGAGTCAGTCCTGGCGCATCGTTAATTTCATCGACACTCAGGATACGTTCTTTGTATGCGGCCGGCCTCGCATCTGGATGGCAGACGCTTGCCGCCAGGAAGAGAAGACCTGTTAGCTGTGGAGACAAGCCTTCCTGGACGGCCAGGTGAGCAATGCCAGCTGTGAAGTTAGCACCGGCGGAAGTGCCCCCGAGCAGAAAGCCTCGTTGGAGGTTTATCGGCACTTTGGATGGCCCATGGGAGGCAGCCTAGATGATCAGCTTATTGGGCTTCGATGATTCTATTATTCAACATGACATGGATGGACATACCCAACGCACGACATCGAAACTGTCCTCGAATCCTGTTGGAAATGGATTCTCCGGCGCCAAACGGTACTCGACGTTTAAAACGAAGACAGGGAGTTGTGTCGCCAAGGCACGGCATGAAGCATCATCGGTCTCGAGGCCACCAGTCACAAATCCTCCACCATGAAGGTAGATCAAGAGGGGCAGGCCAGTCTTGTCAGACTGTCTGTATGTTCGCACGCAGATAGGATGTCCGTCCCGTGCGGGGATATTGAACTCGCGGATCTCCAGCCCAGGCTGCGGGGTGATTGCAAGATGGTCCCGAGTCATCGGAACTCTTTGGGTGTTTGGCGGCAAGTTGTTCGGAAACTGGACTTCCTTAGAGCAGGCTACATAAATAGGATAGGGCTTGGAATGATGCCTACATCGACCCACTGCGGATGACCAACAGCCAGATGACGGTATTCAGCCATGACAAGAATATAAAGAGAACAAGAGAAGTGAGATCAGAGCAAGAAGTCGTATGCAGGATTTAAGACACTCGAGGAAGGGGAGGGGGCATCTTTAAAGACCGATAATCAGAATCTAATCTGATCTGATCTGACCAATTTCCACATTCGGAAACATCGCCAAGTCGGCGCAGCAGACGCGGCCAAAGCCCTTGTTTTTGGTGAGTGGACCGAATAATCCCTTATTCGGTCCCACTAGCAGGATTGAATTACGAAATAGTACACTGCAGAGAGAAATGATATCGATCCAAGTCATAATAACGCCAGTTCGAGGGCTTTAACTGTATGATTCAGTCCAACCAAGCCAGATGTCAAATCATAAAAAAAGTAATTCAATTGACCATGTGCAGATGCAGGGTAAGATTCTAGATATTACAGAAAGCCATGGTGGACATCCACCGGTGAATTTTTTTTGCGCCGCTTGCGCCATCATCCCTCGCCTGTCAAGAACATGCTTCTCAGCGATCGATGCACGTCCTCTTCCATTCCCCTATTCCAAAGGGTCAGCTTAGTTACGGCCCTTCGCCGCGGCTCGCTTGCTCTTGCCAGGCCGCTTCGCACCACCGGCCTTCATCTTCTTTGTAGAGAAACCGCGCATGTCACCACTGGACATCGCATCGCCGCTCTTGGAGAAACGCTTCTTGCCACCGAAGCCGAACTTCTGGTCTCGCTTCTGGCGCTTGGCACCCGGGCCGCCGTCACGGCCGCGCTTCTCGGGCTTACCAGCATCTTCAATGGCGACGTCGAAGAGATCGTTGGCGTCGTCAGTAGGGGCAGCGGAGTCAGCCTTGCGCTCTGTGTAGGAAAACAAAACATATTAGCTCTCAATTTTCAGGATATTAGATTATATGGCAATGAAGGAAAGAAACAGTCTGGGTGCAACATACTCTTCTTCAAAGCGGTGATCTTCTCAAGAGTCTCTCGCTTCTCCTTGTGACGTTGCTGCAACTTGGCGACCTGCACCTGCTTGCCGAACTTCTTCAGATCACGCTGGCGGCGTGCTTCCGCGGCGGCCTTCTTGCCAGCAGCCTCATCGTACAGCTTCTTCTTGATCTTGTCCATGTGCTCGTCGTTCTTAACCATCTCGGCAAAGTAGTCACCGGGGCGGGTGAAGGAAATACCCTCTTTCTTCAGCAGGCCACGGGCCTGAATGGCGGCAGCCTGACAGACCTTGTAGAAGGCCAGTTCACGGTTGAGGTCGTCATTAGGGTCCTCCACTTCGATTGGCTCTTGGGAGACTAGTGAGTTGTGCTCAGAGAATGGTGTCTGGGATGTGATGAATGAGATGCGCTTGAGAGAGGAGGTAATAGCGGCGGAGTTGTTGATGGTGAGGCGCTGGTGGGGGACGACGTCCTCACGCTCGTCTTCTTCCAGGTCTGATAGCGGGATATCTTCTTCTTCGTCTTCCTCATCCTCATCCTCGTCCTCATCGTTCTCGGCGGAGTTGTCGGTGGCTTCCTCAGCCTCCTCTTCTTGTTCCTTCTCATCCTCTTCAGGCTCGGAGCTAGCAACATCCTCATCAACTTCCTCGGTCTCTTTAGCGACGCTCACGCTGGTGTCGGCCTTCACGCCTTTGCGCTTTTCGGCGGCCTTGACCATCTTCTTCTGCTTCTCAGAAGCATAGTCCCGACCCTTGTGCTCGTCGAGAGCCTGGAGGAGCTTGCTTCGTTTGACCATGGTGATTGATCTGGAGGGAATTGGGGGGTTGGGAAACAGCAATGAGGGAAGCAATCTGGATTATCCTACGGGATTTTTTTGAGCACAGGCCAGTCTCAAATAGGTTAGCGTGGGCGATAAGGTCCTGGATGGGGTTAGCGGAAGGCGGTGACGGAAGAACCAGATGATCCGGCCTTATCGAGTCGCGCTCCCCATAGTCCTGCTTCCCAACGGAGAGAACAATATACAACTTCCAAACTCTTACTATTGCTCGCCATGGCTGAGGCCGCTTCCCCCGAGAAGACTACTACTGAAGAGTCATTTCTCTCACAGCCGGTATGTTTGTTCAAAGTATCTAGTCCTGGCGTTTGAATTACCGCGCTGACCGGCTTCCAGAATTCTGATGCCCAAGGCCAACTCACGGCGGCAGTTGACGAACTCCTTGACCAGCTGCAAAGCAAGTTTGATCATGTTTCAAAAGAGATGTTTGGGAAGCGTAAGTATCACTCATTGTTACAGGACCTATGGCCATCCAATTGCTCTTCGGTCTTGGCAGCGGCCACCCGCTAACACGCACCTAGTGGATGATATGACTCGTCGACTTGACGAACTCGAAGCTTCCTTGACAGCGTCTGGAGGCGACTCAGCATCAGCAACGCCGACAAAATAGATCTTCTCTAGGTCTTTACCGGTTATTTTCCTTCCCCGTCAACTTAGTGCTTTGGAGCTGGGGAACACCTGTATAGAGCGTGCGGTGCACATTCTCCATATCGTATACCTTTCATCGCTAGGGAACACTCTCAGCACTAGCTCACCAGTCTGGTTTCCTATTTTTTTTGTTTATGAAGATACCCTACGTCTTGATAAGCAAGACGCTCAGAATAAGATCTCGTTATCCTCAAAACGGCATATTCTAGTATACCGATTCATAGGATTCTGTCGTAAAAATGAGGCGATGGGCTCTATTATGGTCATTGAACTATTACATACATCATATGGAAAAAGAAAGAAAAATTAATACGCAATCTGTCGCCAGGTTTTTGGATCGCAATGTACAATTCAGCGGACATGCCAGTATTCTTCTTAGCAATGCCCAAGGGATAGTAATTCATCAATATATCGCGCTACGATAACATTTTTCCTCCCAAAGATTGCACGTCGACCAAGCATACAGACAATGAAGCACACACATTTACAGCTCATCCCGGACCACCTCGTTGTCCTCACCAGCGAAGCCACGCAGAATGTTACTCCGGGAGATAATGTCATCCACCTTCTCAGGCGCAGAGCCACCCTTGCTCAGGATCTTGGACAGACGAGCCAGTTCCTTGGAGGCGTATTCTTCGTTCAGGCTCAGCTTGTCGGCAACCTTGATGTAGTACTGCGCGTACTTGTCCTGCAGGCCCTTGGCGGCCTTCTTAACCTCCGCGGCCAGCTTCTCGAACTTGTGAGTCGGCACGTACTCGGTCAGCAGCTTGTCCAGGGCGGCGATAGTGCCAGCCTTCTTGTTCAGACCGCCGCCGACGGCGCGCGCGGAGCCAGTCTTGGTGTTCAGGAACTCAACGAAAGCCTCCTCCGTCCGGGCGCTGCCGTAGGGCTCAGCCTCGGAGGAGCCGGCGGGGAAGAACTTGATGGTAGGGTATCCGGTGATGCCCTGCTCCTTAGCCAGGGCGCGGGCATTCTCGGCTTCAGCGTCAACCTTGGCGATCAGGATGTTAGATTCGAGAGCGAAGTCATTGGCGAGTGTCTCCCAGATAGGAGCGAGGGTCTTGCAGTCTAGATTGGAAGGCCGGACAGTCAGTTAATCGGTAGGGAAGCGCATGGAATTAGAAGAGCTCTACTTACGTCCACACCACGGCGCAGTGAAAGCAACCAGAACATGCTTGTCGCCGCCAACAGTGGTCTTGAAAGTAGCGTCGTTCAGGTACTCGACCTTGCTGGGCTCCTTCTGGGCTCCGCGGGGCTTAATGCCGGTCTTGTCGGTGATCCAGGAAGACAAACTCTCCAGATCACGGCCACCCTTGTACTCCTCGGGCTTGTCGCTCTTGCCATCAAACCACTTCAGGGTAGGGAAGCCCTGAACGCCGAAACGCTTGCCCAGCTCGCGGTGCTCATCGGCATCGACCTTGCCGACAGTAACCTTGTCCTCGGCGAAAGCGAAAGCGGAGGCGAGTTCCTCATAGACGGGGGCGAGATTCTTGCAGTGGCCGCACCAAGGAGCGAAGAACTCGACGAGAGCGGGCTTGCCAGACTTTAGGACGACATCATCGAAGTTCTTTGGGATGAGGTCGACAACGGCGGAGCCAGCATTGGCGAAGCCGCTGAGCACGGAGAGAGTGCCCAGCAGCAAAAAGCTCAGGCGAGCCATGATTGTGTGGTTGCTTGAGTGTGTATCAGGAGGATTGAGAATTGATCAAATTCCTGGAGAGGAGGAACGGGGGAGGCGAAATTCGCGGATGTCCTGGTGAGTTGATGACAAAACAAAGGAAGAGGCCACTTGGTGCCTCCGCAAGCTCCGCAGATCACACCAGCTGAACTGGGACTACACTCCGTTGCTATTTAGGATCATGAACACTGCAATTTCACTATACCACTGATGAGACATGTTCCTCAAACTGAAATTTTGCCGCCATCTTCCTTCGTGATCCTTGAAAAATTCCACCTTCGTAAGTGGAGGGTTTAGAGGTGAAATACTACTTACTACACAAGCGAAACAAAAGAATTTGCTCTAAATCGACTCGAAAATGAGGACATCGAGTATATAAAGTGCATTAAAGTCGTTCTCGTACTCAAGTAAGCGCTATGGTCTAATAAAATAAAGATGAATGAATCCCTTTTTAATATCTGATTCTCTTCTAAGTTATAGCAGGAGTCACAGGTAACCCTTAATACGTACTATATCCGTATAAGATCAACTCTCAATCATTGAAACATCCGACATAGACTGCAGTCTGGAGAAGTCTCCTAATCCGAACTAAAGATGAGACACGGATAGCAGCAGCCTGAAGCTGGAAATCTTGTACCTGTACTACACCGCTGAAGCCCTGTGCAAAATACGTAGCTTGTAGTACTTGATCAGCCTCCGAGCCCTTATAGATCTCGTATCTATACGAGACCGTTGCAACATTCTTGCTGGTAGTTCCACTATGACGATACATCACGAGGAAACTTCCTAGAATTATCTATCCTATCTCATATACCGGGAAAGTAATGGATATCTTCTGCTTCAAACCTAAGCAAACTATGAAGACCCATTCAACCCAATTGCCCAGGTTTGATTTTTGCTGGACATGCAGGTGCTTCGTACATCAATTAGGGTCTTAAAAGGATCGGAAGCTTGTTTTTGGATCCCTCGGTTACATGTTGAGGAGTTTTTTACGTTCTTTTAGTTATTACTAGATAGTAATACAATTGAGGATCCACCGATATCACTCCGCTTTAAGTCCATGCAAGAAGACCGATGCTAATGAAAAGCATGAGACTCCACTTGATCCCTGCACGTTGTAGACCCGAAAAAAGTTCCCTCGATGATGTAAGATATTCGATATAGCTTTGGTTTATGAACTCCCCTTTATCGTCGCTCGGAAAGCCACTTGTTCGCGTCATCCCAGAGTTTTGTCTCCTTGAACTCTTTGCTCGCGTTCTGTGTTCCCTTGTAGACCTAGAGCAAAAAAAAAAAAAATGAGCCAAGTTGGATTGACCACAGAGGAATGATTAACTTACCGCATCCCAGAGCTTGAAAGCCAGGTCCAAATTGCCGGTGAAACTCTCGCTGTGTTGGAACCATTCCTTGCCCTTCGACTTGACCTCCGCCCGAGCCTCGGGCGAGGTAGGGTTGGCCTGCAGGGGGAGATCGTCCAGATAGGTGCGAACAGCAATGCCGAGACCACAGTCATTATCATCAATAAAAGGTAGCCTAGGAAACAAGTGTGGTCAGTTTCAAAGTGCTGCATTAAGAATATCGACACGGAGTGAACGCGTACTTAATTCCCATCTCAGTCCAGTCCTTGCGATCCCGGTCGGCCTCGCCGCTGAGCAATAGACCGGTCAAGACGACCTCAACCAGGTTTCGTAGCGCCGAGCGCACCTCGGAAATCAACGAGCGGTAGCACAGGAGCTGTCTGCTCAAAGGACCGGAGTATCCGATAGCCTTGTGCTGCAGCTTTGCAATACACGCCACGCGGGAAACTAGCATGTTGAAGGTCTTGTCATCCTCTTGATAAGTAGTAGTAAGGTCAGCGGCATATCGTGGATTAACTGGGACTTGCATTGAAACTTACCTGATCCTCGCATAGGCCCGCCCGATACGTGGGCGAACCAATGCTTAGTGTTCAGAAGGTCCATGCGGAGCATCTCGATAGCAATGAATATGGTATCCTCCAAATTATCCGCCGGGTCCACGACTGAGAGCGCTTGTTCCAAGCACTTGCCCCACGCGGTGAGCTTGTGCTTGTCATCAACGTATCCACGCAGTTGCAGGAATCGCCAAATGACATTGGATAGAATATCTGCCTGTGATGACAGAGCCTGTAGGGTCTGGTTAGATAAATAAATAGACAGTTTAGTTCTTGATGAAACACGTACGGGAGTCTCTTTGGTAGCGAAGGACTTCGATACAAAGTCCGCATTGTTTAAGCTCTGAAGAGCAAATTTAAAGGATCCACGGGGCGCCTGCAACTTCTTCACGCCTTCGGGCAACCGATCACCGGGAATCCTCCAGGCCTGAATGGTCTCCTTAACTGAGGGGTCCCGCGGAGGCTGATCTGCCTGTCTGAATTTTCATCAAACCATGGGCGGATGTGAATCACTTTGGTTTGGTAGAAGCGGTGGAGAGAGTTAGCCAGAAGACCAATGGATTGTGTCCGGATCGGGGTGAGCGTATCGCCAACAAGTTGGCGGTACACTTCGGTGTCTTCTGTGCCTAGAGGAAGTGAGATGCGCACTTCGCCAGATGTTAAGAAGTTCGGTATGTCCGGGCCCAGGACACCCTTGGATAGATAGAAGTAGAGTTCCTCAGGAAGACGCTGGCCGATGAGCTCATGCATATCCGAAGAAGTAGTTTCCGGGTCCATTGGGCCAACACGTCCATCGAGATCCACATAGACGTGGTGTTTCACAATCATGTAGGCCCGCTTGTACCGATCCAAGTATTGTAGTTCTTGCAGGCGTCGATCGTCTTCAAACTGGGCGCACAACGTAAGGGCACTTCGCCCAGCGGCATTGAACATGGGGAGCGCATCGCGAATGGTAGGGAGCTTGCCGGGGAAGCCGGGATTCTCAAATAGCGGGAAGGATCGTAGGAATGGGGAACCCAGGAGAAGGCAAAAGTCCAAGAATTGGTCGTTGGACAGGCGTCCCAGTTCTTCTTGGCAAGTCTGTTTGGTGAGCCAGGTGAATTGCGCCGGCTCGGTCTCAATGCGCGTCACAAGCTTATCAATATCGAACAGTAAAGCTTCGGAGGGTCCGTACACGGCATCGATGACAGGGTTGGAGCCACGAGCAAGATATGAGAGCTGCTCGGATGCGCCAGGTCAGCGTCACTGTGTTTTCTGATACCCCCCTCCATAGGTCGAAATAGCTATGATGGCGCCACCATTGACTTACCTGGGCGGCTGCGCTGTAGGGAGCCACCATGAAGGAGACGCCATTCTGGGACAGAATTCGCTGCAGGAACTTGTAGAGGGTTTCGGGGGGTGGGGTCCCTGCGGATTGATCGTCAGCGGCTGTTGGGGAGTCTGGCAGCCAGGTAATGATGTTACAGGGCGGCAGGGAAGGCGACCGGATGTCTGTCAAATGGACATCGAAGGTATGCATACCGGCATTGCTGAAGGCATCCACGACTTGATCCGCCTGTTGGGCATCATAGAGCTCCCAGGCGGACTCAAAGGAGCGCGCGGAGGCGGACTGGGGTGGCGGCCGTTGATCTCTCTTGCCAAAATCCAAGCCATTGAAGACGAAAATGCATCCCACGCCCAGATTCTTGAATGCGAGAAGCTCTTTCTCAATGTTGCTCTTCAAGGCGAAGGGAAAGCCACCGAGCGCGCCTAACAAGGCCTCCCGGGTCGACTGGTTTACCAGGTGCTGTTGGATGTAGTGTGAAGCATCGATACCGACAACTGCGCCCTTGAGAGCAGAGAGTGGGAGGGACTGGGTGCGGCCCACGGCCCATTCGTCGAGAGGGCGGACTAGAACAGAGGGAGCAGGTTAGTAACCAGCCTGTCGGCCGCGGGATCGGGAAGGCTCTCACTCGGCATGATGGCAAAAGCTGACGGGCGGGGAGCGCAGCTAAATGCCGAGCATTGGGGCCCGGTGGGACAAAGGGAGAAAAGGTGGGGGGGGGGAGGGGGGGAGGAGGGGGAAGTGATGGAAGGAAAGGTTCGGGAAGAGGACGAGGTCGTGATGAGGTCCGAACTGACGAGGGGGGAAAGCGGAGGCGCAGCTGGCCTTTTTTTTGTTTTTTGGGGGGAAACGGGGCATTGACTGTACAACCCCTGCTTCCCTATCACATCGCGCCACACCGGTCCATTGACTAGGAAGTGGAATCAGAGATTGGTTTTGTTTTGATATTTCTTCTTCTATTCTCCTAGGGTCTTCTATCGAGCTTTCTTGAGGTACGCTAGGATTGTTCTTGGCCCTGTGGACCCGAACCAGCTGGGGCGGCCTTGCAAGGGAACTGGGGAAGTAAGGAACTGCTCACATGCCGGCCTGCCCGTTCCCACACGCATCGGATCGTGGAACTGTGGCAAGCCTCATGATCGAGCGCACCGTCTTGGACGAGTAATTAGAGGCATGATTGTTCATGATTGTTCATGGTGGTTCATGGTTGTTGATGAGATTTGGATTGTGTATGTGTTTGTTTCTAGATAGATTCTCTGGGACGTATGGCTCTTGGTCAAGAGCCAGTGGATGAGGATATATATAATATATAATATATGCCCCAAGACATGTACTCAGAAGGTCCCTTGAGGCATGTACCGGGAGGACATACCCAAACGGAGAATCGGGGGGCGCCAATCGTCCGGTCAAGCCTGAGCTTTGCCAAATCGTCTTAGTCTGAAATCGCATTCCCCTCGTCTGCAGCTTATCTGGGTGGCTCTTTTTGAGGGGCACAGCGGGGCGTCGGATGTCGCCTGTGCGCGGGAACTAAGTTATTACGCAGCGTACGGAGTCCTCATATCTGAGATATGCCGGATACGCGATAGGCCCGCCTTTTTTTTTTCTAGGGCGGCACCCGATATCTTCTACTAGCGCCAGGGCCGAGAGCGCATCTATATAATCCCCCATTAGATTCACGCCCTCTCTCCCCCGGCCCTTCCCATTCTCCCCACCTCAATTCACCATGACCGACACTGCAGCGCCGATCCAGCTTCCCGTCATCGACATCTCCGATCCCCACGACCCCGCCGTGGGGAAGGCGATGCTCGACGCGGCGGCGAAGTATGGCTTCCTCTACGTGAACAGCCAGGGCAGTGACTTTACCGCCGAGGACGTGGACCATGCCTTTGGGCTGGTAGGCGATTGGTTTCTCTCCGAGGCTCTCGTGCAAAATGCTGATCATGATTATTCTAGTCCAAGAAGTTCTTCGCCTCCCCCGCGGCCGAGAAGGAGCCGTGTCGCATTGGACCGAATGTATGAATCCAGGCCATGATGTTTGCAAAGAAGCAATGCTGATAGACGTCCACCGATAGAACCGCGGCTGGTCCGGCATGCATACCGAGACGCTCGATCCGGAGCACCAGCGAGTACGTGCAAGCTTCCTATTTCCCCAGATATCCACCAATCCAGCTGACATGCATCGGCCGACAGCGAGGAGACTTCAAAGAGTACGGCAGGGACCAACCCAAACCTCCCCAGGAGTGTCTTCGTCTCAAGCTAACCTCCTACCTCCCGCAGAGCCATGAACTTCGCCCTCTTCGAAAACGGCAAAGCACAGCAGCCGCTGCCCCCATCACTAACCCCCCACGAGTCTGATATCGACGCCTTCGCCCAGCTCTGCAACAAGACCTGCAACCGGATCCTGACTCTTCTAGCCCTCGGCCTAGAGGTATGTCGACCCAGCACTCCAAGCTTCCCCATTCTCCATTCTATATTCACATCGTACTCCTACGAACATGGCCATCTCATCCATTCCTTCTCCACCCAAACAGATCCCACAGGACTTCTTCACAACCCGCCATGAGCCCAGCTCCGGCCGCACCGGCAGCATCCTGCGCTACCTCTACTACCCATCGATCTTCTCGCCGACGACGTCCTCCTACGCACACGACAAGGACGTCCGCGCCGGCGCGCACTCGGACTACGGCAGCATCACGCTGCTCTTCCAGCGGCCTGGCCAGCCGGGGCTGGAAATCCGCACGCCCGAGGGCACCTGGGCGCCGGTGCCCATTGTGCCGGGCCCCGCCGGTGCGAGCTTCCCCTTCCCGCCGATCCTGGTCAACATCGGCGACCTGCTGAGCTACTGGACGGACGGGCTGCTGCGGTCGACCGTGCACCGGGTGGTGTTTCCGCTGGAGGAGCAGCGTAGCCCTAACCCGTCGGACCGGTATACGCTGGTGTATTTCTGTCACCCGATTGATGCAACGGAGCTGGTGCCCGTGCCGAGTGCGGTGGTGAAGGCTCACCGGGAGGCGACGGGCGGGGTGGACAGCGGGATGGTTGGGTTTGGCGGCGGCGCCGGGCTTTTGGAGCCTGGGAAGAGGCCGTTGACGGCGGCGGAGCATTTGGAGTCGCGCTTGGCAGCGACGTATGGGTTTACGAAGGAGGAGTAGAGGGGGTTCAGGTGGGTGACTACGGTGAAATGGGGGGAAGAGGTTCTTTTTTTGTTGATGCGCAGGGCATGTTTGATGTCCTTTTTAACTCGGAGAGACTCGAGAGATTTACAGATGGTAGAATCCAGAGTAGATGCAAAAATGGGCTTCATTTCATTGAGAGAAGAAGGATGGTGCCAATGAGTGAGTGTAAGAAAGAATAACGCCGGTGCCGCGGAGGCAAAGTGCAGAGAACAAGACGAACCCTCCAGAGACGTTAAATCGACATCATAGATGGGACTGCAGACAAGGGAAATGCTTCAACAGACCGGAGAGCGGTCAGAACGTGTCGATAATGGTGCCCATCTACGGGACATAGGAAACTCGTGATAGACACAATTAAGTATAAAGGATGAAGAAAACGCACGCAGACGACCCCAAAGGAGTTTGGGTGCGAGGAGTGTGCGTGTAGAAACAACATGGGAGTTGGGGGGAGGGGAAGGATCCACGCCAAGGATGAATCCGGTATGAGAAAATGCGAAACGGGATATACACTCATGACAAACGGGGTGAAATATATGACTTAGCGTGTAAAAGGGGCGCCCAGGTGGTATATAGGGACCAAGCGGTAGTCATCAGTAGAGAGAAATCGAATCCACCATGGGGGAGAAGGGGAAACGCAACAGCTGTGCGAGACAAACACATGAAAAAGAAAAAGCCAGACGACATGTAATGAGGTATCTTCGGGGGTTATTGAATGGGAAACGCCGCCAAATTTTGCAATGCCATGCGCGGGGGAGACGTGAGACCTTGGGAACAAAATAGAGATAGGGGAGGGATGCGTGATGGATATGACGCTATGCGAAGGCCAGTATGCATTGAGAAATCAAAGGGAACTCCTTCCAAGGCGTCCGCAATTTGGGAGTGAGATGGTGAGTTGTAAAGGGTCGATCTGTTTGTATATCAAGGAGTTGTGTGGCACCAGTGGCGGTGATAGACCCACGCGGCCTTCTGGCAATCCTTGCTGCAGTACTTGGTGCGCCGGCAGCGGCGGCATTTGGCGAATTGTCGCTGGAACTCCTCCCACTTGCCACACTTATAGTAGGCACATTGGCGGATGCCGCCCCGCGACTCATCCTTGCGACACAGATTGCGCATGACCACACAGGCCCAATACTGCATATCCTTTGAATGATGCCGGACAGTGAATTTCTCCACCAGAGGAAAGATGTTGACATCATCGGGGAGTAAATACTCGTCTTCCTCCTCGGGAACCTCGATGGGGGAAGAAAGGTCTGCATTTTCGTCCAGCAGATGCAGTTCCCGATCAATCTTGAGTTTAGGCACAAGGTGGGAACGCTGGAAGTATGAGCGGAGGTTGCAATATTTGGAGACATAGGCCAGGAGTTGCAGAGACATGAGGACATCCTCATCTCGAGGCATGGTGGTCAGAACGCTCTGATTCGCGGGAGTATTTCGGTCACGGAGGTACATGGCGTAAGGGCTAGGAGCAAGTGTGGGAGAGTTTGGGTTGTTCGGGGCCTGGGTGGGCGAAAGACCTAGGCCGGCGGCTTGGGTGTTGCCGTTGTTGTTGATGATGCTGCCGTCCACAGTGGAGCGATGTGCGATGTTGAAGGTCTCAGCATCCTGGCCCTCTTCCGAGGGATCGGTCACGGTGAGATCGTGAGCGGTGGAAACACCGTCAATCATCGGCGTTTGGCGCTCATCCACTCCATCGATCTCCATCCGGTTGGGCAGTCCAACAATGGGCTCTGTGGTCTGACCCAAAACGGCATCATCGCCCATCGTTAAATCCTCGCCATTAGCGTCGTCGGATTCGGCAGAGGCAGACTGCTGCTGTCGAATGGCAGGTCGTTGTCGAACAGAGGCTACAGGAGGAATGCTTCGAGAATGAGACTGAGACTGAGACTGTAAGGGTCCGCTCGGGGTTGTCGGAGAGTCCGGCTGCGAGACGATGCCAGCTTGCAAACTTGGGAGCATGCTCGGCAGCCGTTCGGCATCCCGCACAGGACGTAGACCGAAACTCTCAGCGGTATCCATCGGGGTCACAGTGGTGGCGAGAGGCTGCATTGTTCGTAAGCGATGGCTGGTTCGAGAGTAGCGGCTTTCATGCGATCGGTGGTTGTTCACATCGGGTCGAAATGTGCTTCGCTCGGGAGGCGAGGTCATGGGGGCGCGGGGAGGAGAGGTGATATCCATCGCGTCCGAGTCGGTCGGTTGGCTGTCCTGATAGTAGGGCTGGGGGATTTCGATGCTGGGGGGAGGAGCCTGGCGGCGAGAGGAGGGGCGGGTTTCGGCGTGGCTGCTGGAGTCCATCGTGGTCGACCGACCAGACATCTCACGGCTCGAGCTGCTGCTGGTCTTACCTGCCTGGCGGCTCGAGGAGTGCTTATGAGACTCTGGGTCGGCGTGCGATCGGACTTTGTCCACCACTTTGATGTAGTTATCCAGAATGGTGGCGATCACCGGAACCATATCGGCTTCCACCACTCTGGTTCTTACATTTTCCGATCCCCGCACTCCGATATTAACAACGCACTGAAAGGCCAGGCTCCATTTCCACATTTCCATCAAATCCTTACTCCGGCCCTCCTTCAGGATACACACAAGTCTTTCGATGCCGCCATCGACGGTGAGGATATCGCGAATTCGCGCGGAGGAGGTGGTGAGATAGGCCAGGTGGTTGAGTGAGTTGATGAGTGGTAGGGTTGATGTGCAATCAAGGGCCCGCCGGTCGTAAAGGGTGGTGGTGATATTGACCGAGGCCTTGTTCACATTTGGGATACTGAAGTTGACTTCCCGCATGATGGCAGGACGACACGGCACGTAAGAGGGGGAAAGGACGGTGGGTTGTTGGCGTCAAGGATGAACTCGCATCCAGAGATCACAAAGTGAAGAAAGACCGGTGGATGAGGACCTTGACGATGTGCCCAAAAAAGGTGGGATTTCAGCCCCCTAACCAGACGGGGATGGCGCCCACGTCGATATAATCAAGGAACCCTCGCTAGCACTCGAGAGTGAATTTATTCCCGAGACATCAGGAACACCGGTCCAGAGAGATCGGGCGTGCTGGATGGGATGAAGAGGAGAGGGGAAAGAGGGGGTTGGGGAGGATTGGAGATCACGGGCGAGGGCGAAGGGAGGCGAAAACGGGCCGGCGCCTGACAAGCGTGGTGACGGCGGGGAGTAGATAGAGAAAGTTGATCGAGGGTGAGTCACGGGGAGGAGATGAGAAATCCACGGCGATGGAATGGAATCCAGGAGCGCAGAGGGAGTCGGAGGGGAGGGATGGCGGAGGGCGAGGAGGATGAAAAGCCTTGAGGGCGAAAGCGGAGAGGCGTCAGGTGCCTCCTTAATATTACGGTACCCGAGGATTGGCTTCCGCCACCCTGAACCTCCCCTTCGCTCTATTTTTAACGCCCTGTGGCACTTCCCTCCCCTAGCCCCCAAACACGGCGTTTAATCTGCATCAAAATCGGTGTCGAACCCAGACTTGGCCGTCGGGACTGTCTGCAGGGCCAACTTCCGATGCCTCGTGGCGGCTAGTGGGCTCGGACTGCGCGATGAGGTACCGGGAATTCGAGGCTTGGAGGGATGGGCCGCAGATGGGACCGACGGCACCGACGGGGTACTGGAGGTTCCTGTAGGGAGTCTCAGGTTGAGTGTCAGGGGGTCTCGTAGCTTGCTAAAAAGCCCGTACGACCAGATACTCCTGTTGCCGATATCCTGACGATTACGATTGCGATTGAAGTTTCTGTAGTGACTCATCTCTGGATCTGGTTCGCGGTTCCATCAATGCAGCCATGTAACTATAAACAGAAGAACCGAAGGACTAAGCGCCACACTGCTCTCTTCTGCCTCTCCCGGCGGCTAACAGCAGGCTTACCACGGTCGTTCTCGACTACCTCTCCCGGAATATCAAAGGGTAATGATAAACAGCCTTCCACTTCGGGAAACATGATCTGGTTCTGATCGAGCGTTCCTTGGCGGCTGGCGGTTGCCCATTTTCCGCCCCCTCTTTTCCGCATTGCGATCATCCCCCATTATCGTTCGGCATTGTTTCAGAATCCATGCGCCCCAATATCATCCAATTTTTTGGGGCTCGCTCCCCCCACTCGATAGGCTCAAGGCAAGCCTGGGATGGCGTCCAAAAAGGTTGCCTGATGGACGGAAAGTAGGTACATGTTCCGGCCACAGCCAGATTCAAGCTAGTATAACCAGATCTACTAGATCGAGGAATCGATAGTGAGTCGATGGTCTGACAGGACCCAGCATGCAGTTGGATTGGGATAGCCCTCTCCTGAACCCCTGAGCCTCCATTCAGAGACTTCATCTTCCATCGACCGAGGTTCACTGCAAAGATCTACTCAAGCACACCCCCAAGATTCGACCTCAATGTCCAAGCGAGGAGCGCGAACGGGACGATCTTTCTTCCAAGAACGCCGAACTATCACCATGCGGAATGACTCGCACGGTAGCAGGAGTGGCCAGGGCGTACAACAGGTATTATACACCAGCACTCCACCACCCCAAGGATCGAATTTCAGGGGGAAGTGATCATGCTATGGCATCAAGTGACAACTCCCCTGTTGTTTCTCGAAGACGTCTCTTCGCGCTCATTCCATATCCCGCTTTGTTTACTAGTACTCTTTCGGCGCTATCGCCAAATCTCTCTGTGGGCCTCTTTACTATGTCCTCTGTTCTTTGTAAATACTCTTTGGGCCCCTGGGGTCGGACCGAATTGGGAGGGAACAACCAAATCCCGATGTTTCTGCGCGCTGACGGTGGCAGCATCTGGCGGTACATTGTTCATGTCGATCTCGTTGCCCTCTTAGATATCGTGAGCATGTTCAGAATGGTTGATGAGCTGAACTTTTCCCTTGAAGCCTTGACTCAGCGCGGGCTTTTGGTGAACGCCCACTGGCCGCAGATAACCTCCCTGTCTGACAGGACGTGGGCTGTCGGAGCCGCGCCAGCAAGGTTGTACACGCGCAACCGGAAGATGAGTGGCCAAATCTCGCCCAGTGATTCGGGTCCGTTGATTCGGTCGTTCAGTTCGCCCTGTACAGAGTATGGAATACTCCGTTCCGAGGGCTGTCGATCTTCAAGAGTGGAGATGAAAACGGAGGAGTGGGGAGGGAGGGGGAAGCGAGGAGGATTGGCACGTTGAACATCCCGGTGCCGGAGTGGGCCAGTTTGCAGAAAGCATCCGGTAACTAACCAGGTTCCAGCTCTCTGCTAAGGTTGAGGCTTGGTCAAGCAATGGCGGGAGAGGGGAACGAGCGTAAGACAAAATCCATGGCATGCATTGAATACCCTTGGTATACCCTTTCGGGATTGACAATGCAGGGCCAGAAGACGGACGCACCGCTCTTTGAACCGGACGGCGTACCGTAGGCATGATGAGCCTATGGCCCTCTCAATCTGCCCCCTATAATTCAGATACGGTTCTATAACACCCAAGGGTCTTCCTACTCTATACTCCATACTCAGTACACTAAGCGAAATGACCAGCCTGACGTGGCCTTTTCACGCTGTAAATAATGATCGACCGCAACAATATCCGGTCCGTTGGCTAAAGGCAGAGTCGGAAAATCTGGGAGAACCCAAAGAAATGATTCAGCCCTCTCCCCATATAGGACAAATAGGGGCAGCCCCAACAAGCCCGTCTCCCGCGCAGTGGGGGGAGGGGACACTGTTCATCTTCCCGATGCATGCCGGGAACGAGACCGCGAGCTCATTCGGCCATTCAGCACTATGCAATTTCTCGAAATTGATGGGTCCCCTTGGCAGGATTCAACGGCTGGGACCCGCCCGAATGGGCCATGATGCCGACCTTTCGGAGGAGGCGTTCTGGTGACCAGGATCTGTTGATGGGCTAGGCGGAGGCCATTGACCTGAAAACGCCTGTATCTAGCGTATTGTGTGGGATGGGATACAGGATATACGGGAGTACATCCAACAATGATGCCAGATCCCGACGGGTTTTATATATTACTAATACATCTGGACCTTGTTTTGCGCCTGTGGACTCGGGTTTGATTACTGCAGGTTAGTCAGCCGCTTCGGAGTGGAGCGCGAATTGGAGAATGGACCAGAAAGGCAATGGTCCCAGAGCTTGGGCCCGCGTTGGTGGTGATAGGAGCTGGGAAAGAGCTGGGTGTATAGGCGTAAAAATTTCTCTTTCAGCGAATTTCTACCGGTTTATGGTGCTGCAAAAACAGCAATGTTTCATAGTCTCGGAGACCGTTCCGACCCCTATTAGGGTAGTACGGCGAGCGGATCACCCAGAACAGGGGGAACCCAGAGAGGCACGACGAGGGGTTTGCCTGGTATCGGTCGTACCACCTTCGTCCAGGCTGAAAAGGACCTAGCACCTCGGGGATAGGAAGTTCCCCTAAATGAAAGATGACAGGAGATTATTTTTTTCCGATCAAAGGGGACAGAGAGCGGTCTCGCGATGATCATTGATTCATTTGATATAATCATTTGCGGATTGCACTGTGAGAGTACCTCGGGGCAAAGAGCCCCAAAAGGGGGTTCCAGCTCCCCCCCCCCCCAACTCCGCGCTTTGGCGTCTACCGTACCGGCGCAAATCCGGAATCCCACTCAACCGGCAAATGATCATCCATTATACCTGCGGGCAATGACGCCAGGGAGGACCACACCAATCAATGGCGGGAAGAAAAAAAACCGCAACAAAGGGAAAATAGCCGCCAACCCGTGGACGAGGAGATTCCCAAGGACGTGGAAGGAAAAAAAAAAAAAAAAAAAAAAAAAAAAGTCTTGAAGCTTGAAGGGAGGGGAAGGGGGTTAGAGAGAAAGATAGAGAGGCGAGGAGAATGAGGACAATGAGTATTTCTAGCAGTAGATGCAGTCTTCATGATTCTCTTTATCTGCTTTTCTCCATAGAGCTGGAATATGGGATTCGATCTATTATGACAAGGATCCTCTTATTGAGAGTAATCTATGATTCTATGTCAGTCGACATGGCACTCATGCATGGCCGGCCATCATATATCCATGCTGAGTGAGTGTGTGTACGAGAGCGAGAGAGAGAAATAGTCCCAGAGAAAAAGGAGGCATCGGTCTCGTATGCACCGAAATACAGAGAGTATTCTGCACGATGCACCGAAATAGGGGTCAGGACGAACCGATGGTTACATGCTGTTTGGGCCGGGGCGCGCGGTGGAGGCCAATAGTGCGTCCACCGGGGGGAGCAGTTGGTAATCTAAACCAAACTCTGTTCAGAGCGAGCAGAGGAGGAGGATATGATTAGTTCGAGCGCGCCCACAACGGCTCGAAGATCTAACGAGCTGACTGGGCCGTGCTCCCAATTCTATGCTCTTTCCTGCTGGGGACAATTGCCTCTCTGCATACCTGCATACGACTCTCATCCACGGACGGAGGAGCAAGTAGCAAGAGGACGATGGATTTCTTAACCGCATACTCCGTCCTTCTGGCCATTCACTGTACTTGTCGGAGTATCCACCCACTGGGGCTCGCACTAGGCCGATCCCCGGCGCCACGGGTGACCGCTGAAAACCCCCCGTCGACGTTCCTGGGGGTCAATTGTATTATTGCCGGCCCCCATTGGCGGTCGTGGGCGGTCGTGGGCCTGTGAAGGATCCGGATAATGATGACCGTCGACACTGGGCATCTGCAGACTGGGAGAATCATATCGTTCTTCGTTTCTGTACGCTGCACTGTCCAATGGGATATGTCTGGGGGAGGGGACAGGGAGAAGGTCTTTTAGGAGTAGTCTAGACCTCGCGAGAACCGGTGGACGGCCGAATTCCTCGAGGATATGAGGAACTAAGCAGCGGTGCTGGTGCTTCGCCTGTCTGGCGTGTGGACGGTATATTTTCTCTCCGGGGGAACCGTCCTGGGCCGGACTGGGAGGTCACTGGGAGGTCACTGGGAGGTCACTGGGAGGTCGGTCCGTACATATGATGAATCGCTTTGCTTGCCCTTTCTTTGCCCAAGCTCTGGTGACCTCTTCCAATCACGAATCCCGCCGATAGACCTTGATCCTCTCATAGCCAGTGCTCGATCGGGGACGAGATCTCGCCTTTCAGAGACCGCAGCTGGTTGATCGAGCGTGACGGTACCATACCGATCCTCCGTGTAAGGGACGGCGTAGACGGTACGGGCGATACACTCGGGAGACGCCCGTACGGGGGTCTCGTCGACCGAATCCCAACCCCGTGGTAAAGTACCTCCCCGTACCCAAACACTAGCAGTACCGAAAACCAACCACTCCCCCTGGTCGACTCTTTCTTCCTCCCCCTCGCAATTCCCTTCAATTCGCCCTCGTACAGATTCGTCACGACTCCCCCCCTCCCTCTTCGCAAACCCCCCGGTCGACATTCTCCTACTATTTGACGCAGTATTATGATCAGACGCTGAGGCCTGACTCGGTCGCTTCCGCCTCTCTGTCTTCTGTCCTCTTTCAGATCCACTTTCACCCCCCTCGTCCCAAACTCCCCTTCCCCCTCGAACACTCAACCCGCAACCTCCTCTTCCTCCTCCCCACTCCCCCCCTTCTCTGGCACATTGATTTCTCAGTTCCCCTTCATTCAATTCCAGCCGTTCTCAGGGGACCTTCTTCGGCAACATGGCCTCCGACATGACCGGCGAACAGATGCAGGCCAAGATCACCGCGGCCAGGCGCGAAGCCGAAGGGTTGAAAGACAAGATCAGGCGCCGGAAGGATGATCTGGCCGACACTTCCCGTACGATCTCCCATCCTCTCCTCGTTCATCTAGCCTCCCGGAGTTGGGTTCCGCAGCCGTTCTGCGGGACGGAGCCTCTCAGGAGAAGTCGGGACGGGGGGCCAGGATGAACGGAACAACGGATGAACGCTGACCGTCCTATCTCTGTAGTTCGCCAGGTGGCGCAGAATCACACCGATAACCTCCCTCGAATTGGAATGAAGCCGCGCCGGACGCTGAAGGGCCATCTTGCCAAAATCTACGCCATGCACTGGTCGACCGACCGCCGCCACCTCGTGTCAGCTTCGCAGGACGGAAAGCTCATCATTTGGGATGCCTACACCACCAACAAAGTCCATGCGATCCCTCTCCGCTCGTCCTGGGTCATGACCTGTGCCTATGCGCCCAGCGGTAATTACGTGGCCTGTGGTGGTCTCGACAACATCTGTTCCATCTACAACCTGTCGTCCCGTGAAGGCCCAACTCGCGTCGCGCGCGAGCTCTCTGGCCACTCCGGCTACCTCTCCTGCTGCCGTTTCATCAACGACCGTCGTATCATCACTTCCTCGGGTGACATGACCTGTATGCTGTGGGATATCGAGTCGGGGTCCAAGGTCACCGAATTCGCCGACCACCTCGGAGATGTGATGTCGATCAGCATCAACCCGACCAACCAGAACATCTTCGTTTCCGGCGCCTGTGATGCGTTCGCCAAGCTCTGGGATATCCGTACCGGCCGGGCCGTGCAGACCTTCGCGGGCCACGAGTCCGATATCAACGCTATCCAATTCTTCCCCGATGGCAATGCCTTTGGTACTGGTTCTGACGATACCTCCTGCCGTCTCTTCGACATCCGTGCCGACCGCGAACTCAATATCTACCAGGTTGGTTTCTCCCCTCCCCCCATTTCCCCGTCAATCCCTTTTGGAATGCAGGGTTCCACCTTCCATTCGGTACTAATTTTCATTTCTTCATTTCTCCAGAGTGATCAAGTTCTGTGCGGTATCACCTCGGTCGCTTTCTCCGTTTCGGGTCGTTTACTGTTCGCTGGTTATGATGACTTCGAATGCAAGGTATGCTTACATTCTTCGAACATGATCATCCGGATCTACGCGCTGACAGTACGCTTTAGGTGTGGGATGTCCTGCGCGGTGACAAGGTTGGCTCGTTGAGCGGTCACGAGAACCGGGTGAGCTGCCTGGGTGTCAGCAATGACGGCATCAGTTTGTGCACTGGATCTTGGGATTCTCTCGTAAGTTTTTGCCATTCTGCTGGTGGAACAGAGATTCTTGGTGCTAATGTCTGTTCGAATCATACAGCTCAAGGTCTGGGCCTGGTAATCTTTTTTTGGTTAAAAAAAAGACAAAACAAACGCAAGATACCCCGTGTCGATCATTTCAATGCTCTTACTCGATTTTTTTTGCTGCGATGGGTCGAATCTCCGCCATTGTACGATAATAATCAGTTACCGGGGAACCCCCGGGGTTCTCCCGATAATTTACGGCGCAGACATCCGTCATCTGCGATACGGAAGTGTGTTGGTGGGAGGCGAGCGCAACGCCGGGGAAGAAACGAAAGCGACGAACAACAACTAAGAACAACAAGAACAACCTTTTTTTTGGATATGACGAGAGTGCTGCCGCTTGGATAGTGGACGGTGGTTCGGATGGACCTGCTGTGTGGTGATCATCAACAAAAGTTCTTTCTGATGGTCGCTCGAAGCTGGGTATTCCCATCTGATACCTCCGTAGCCATCCTCTTCGTTGGCTTCCTCCTGGATGATGCCTTTTTATTTTTCCCTTCTCCCTTCGATTTGCCATTTTTCTTCTTTGCCCCCCTCTTCTTCTTTTTTTATTACCCCACTTTGTTCTGGATTGCCCATCCGGCATCGGTTCTCGGCATGTATTTTCTCGGTGATGGATGGACAGGGACGAACCGGTTTGTTGGATTTGGCCACGATCTTGCGCTGCTTTGAAATTTCCCCTTTGCGTTACCGTTTCCCCCCTTTGTATCTCTTCTTCTTGTTCCTTTCCACCCTTTTCTCTCTTATTTCGCTCATGTTTCCCTCCTTTTCCTTGCGTCTCATCAAAGAAAGAATTGGGCCTGTACTTATTTGAGTCTTTTCTGGCCGAATCTCTTTTCGTGGAGTCCTTATCGGATCTCTTTTTGCCATCTGTTTTGAGCAGTTCCCAATTTCCATTTGTAATTTCATCTCATCTTTCCTCCTCTCGTCCCTCAATTTCCATCATGTCGTCTTTTTGCACCCACCCCCAGATAAATGCAATGGGGGGCTATTCGAGCGTCGCGCTGGATCTTCGGTTCCTGTTTTCACTGCGTGTTGGGCGTCTGCGAGCGTGGCGTGAGCGTCAGACATAGGGCATTCATATAAGGTGTTCGGCTTCACCTACCCTCGTCGAAGCAGAAGTAGACGTAAAGGTTAGCAGCAGCAGACGGAGTAGAGGGAGGCAAAGCAACGCTGGAGAGTCAATCTCTCTCAGTCACCAGCCCAGAGACCCGCAATCCCTGGTCGGCCCAGTCAGCTCGATCTTATCCCCTGGCAGACCTTCTAAGATCATATCGATCATCCGCCTCCGAATCGGAGAACTGCTTTCATGTTGTCTGTGACGGTCCGGCGTAAGGTATAATGTGATCCATCTGGGCTCCACCGCTCCTCCGCGTCATCCCAGTCAGCTCGAGTCACGCACTCGACGTGGACGGATCGCGCTGAATAGAATCAGCTGAAGCGATTCTTGAGTCAGACTGATGGGATGCCAATGGTATCAATGGTGCCTAACTTCAACCCAAGATCCTAGTGAAGAAAACAGCCGGGCCTTTCCCTCTCGTCAAGAGACCGGGATCAGTGGACAAGAGGTGTTCAATTCACCTGCATAACAGCGACTATCCGATTCAATCTCATGGTTGACCTGCAGATATCCTGAAGAGTTCACTTGGTTTGCGGATGGAGTGGTTTCCTAATGGATCTTCGGCCTGCAAGTATAATTAGGGCCAGAGCGGAGAAGAACCGAGCCTGCCAACTGCGAAGCTGCTATTGATGGCACGGATCGTCTCTCTTCTGACCTGTCTACCAGTGTGTAGCTTTTTTATGCCCGTCGGAAAGGCCAACCATAGTTTACGTGGCTCCCGGAGCTTCTCTCATCCGAAGCCTACAATTTCAACCGTGAGACGTTTTTCAATTTCTCTCTTTCTTTTTCGCCCTTCTCCCTACGCTTCCAATTGCTTCCGTTCTCCATTTGCGGACCGGTCGTATTGCCTTGTGGATCGGTTCCTTCGCGATCCGCTCCACATCCCCGGGGCCGAAAATCGTCCAGTCTTGCTCTCCCAGCCTAGTCCGCCACAGTGCTAGTCGCCGGCCTGGTCACCTACCCGCGCTGCTCCACGGCCAATGGGAAGGAGTCGAACGCCGGTGCGCCGTGATAGATCTGCGTCATCCCGGTAGCGATGGGGGCCAGGTCGTGTGCCACGCGGGTGTGCGGTGTTTCAGAAGAGCGGATTATGCAATGAGGTCTCATGTCACCTGCGGCCTTCGTGACCGTTATCCGTAAGGCGGATCACGAGTGGACCGAAGGTGGATACAGACTGGTTGGCCGCTGCAGCAGAACTCGAAACGGGCCTCGGGGATGTGACGAAGGTCGAAGGGGGCCCCAACGGCGCGTATTCGGTCGTGACCAGTCGGCCGTTGGGCTGGGGCACGAACCGGTCTCGAGTGCTTCTCTCGCACTGACGCGCATTCAAGGTTTGTCCACGTGGATTCATAATTAGAAGTCCCGGGATGATCGTTGGGGTTGGTTGGTTGTTTCTTTGGCTCATTTCTTTTCCAATCCTTTGCTTTTCTTTTCTTTTTTTCCATTTTCCATCATTGGTCGAAGGGGAAAAGGGAGGAGGGTAGATGCCTGAACCTTGACAGGGGAAGTGCGTCTTGCAAAAAAGAGAATGAAGGATGAAAGGAATTGGCTCGGAGCATAGGAGAGCTCGGTCTGCTGGAGAGCGTGGACCTGGAGAGAGCGTTGTAAGAATAGAGTATAGAGTGTAGAGCGTAGAGTGTAGAGAGTGGTACATTCCAGGAAGGGAAGTATAGAACGTCGAGATACCCCGTGATCACGAACACTTCCCGAATTCACCGGCATTGATACACATTCTCTAACTCCGCACTCCGTCCTGAATACCATCATATCACCATATCACCATCTCAACTTTTTCTCTCGTCGGCCCCCAGGTGATCGATCAATGACTCGATCAGGCCAGAGTCGAACCTTCTTCGGCCCTTCGAAGTGGGGCTCTCAATGGGATCGTCAACTCGCGCCTGAAACCCGCTCGGAAAAGGGGCTTCGTTGACCGTTTCAGTCTCACCCTGGCGATCTCTTCCCAGCTCAGCCCCCATCTCCGTCCAAATCCTTCCTTGCCCATTTTCTTTGTCGTGTCCGTCAGGGGTTGTGCTGCTGAAACGAATCCCGGAGCCCAGCCGATCGTGCATCCAGCCAATTAGCGCCATAGACTTGGGACTTTCCGGACAAACGACCGAAGCGCCGGCCCATTTCTGCCCCAGAAATTCCTGGTTATCACTCCAGACCTGCAATTTCACCCACTCACCACGCATGTCTCTGGCCTGGCCTCGCTCACTTTAAATCCCCCCAATCTCCACCCTTCCGATTCCCTTCTTTTCCTTTCATGATGTCGGCCCAAGAAGAATTCGATCAGCTGGTCCAGAACAACCGCGACAAGGCCGCCTCCCACCCTGAGGACCGCGACTCCTCCCCGCACTTCTCCGACGACGACGGCTCCTCCCCACCACGCCACCTGCGCCAACGTCGTGTCCTGGACTCCTCTGACGAGGACGAGGACGAGGACAATATGGTCTCCTCTCGTGGCAATTATCACATCCCCAACACCGTCTACGATGCCAACACCGGGCCCAAGGGTGTCATTGCCGATGCCCAGGCTTTCGAGCGTGCCCGCAAGAAGTCCTTCCGCAAGACCCTGCTCAGCGCTGCCGGCTTTGATTCGCATGCGCCTGTCTTTGGTGCGGGTAAGACAGAGCCGCCGGCACCCGCGGTCGAGGGGTCCTCTGGCAGTGAGGATGACGAGGATCGCTTTATGCGGAAGTGGCGCGCGTCCCGCATGCAAGAGCTCCAGAACCGAGGAATGCGCCGCTCCCCACATCGTGGCCGACACTTTGGCTCTGTCGATACGGTCGATGCCGCAGGGTATCTTGATGCTATTGAGAAGGTGACCTCTGACACAGTCGTTGTCGTCTGCATTTATGATCCGAAGGTTTGTTCTCTTTGTTTCAATCTGACGAGTTCTATATATATTTTTTTGGGAACAACTTCTAAGTTTCCTCCGCAGTGCGATAATAGTGCCATTGTTGAGGAGTGTCTTGTCACCATTGCCCGCAGACAACCCACTACTCATTTTGTTAAACTGCATCATGAGATCGCCGAGATGGACAACATCCAGGCTCCTGCACTGCTGGCCTACCGTGATGGCGATGTCTTCGCCACCATAGTTGACATAATTCGAAACATTCCCAAAGGCCGCAGCTGCAGTGCTGATAGCCTGGAAGACCTACTGAAGCTGTGAGTTGTCTAATCGATCGCCTCCAACTAACTACCTCAATATACTGATGTGACATGTCCAGGAACCGTGTGCTCTGAACAGAATCGATGTGATTTCACATCTTCTTTGCACAGCAGCAGGCGTCTTGTTTTGATTGCATTCTACTGGATAAACACGGGTTTCGTTTTTCCTTTACCCTCCCCCTCTTCCCCTCTTTCCCTCTCCTCTCCTCTCCTCCTCTCCTCCTCTCCTCCTCTCCTCTTCTCCTCCCTCTTGCCATTTACATTGACACCTACCTACACTCACACCTATCCTTCTGATGCTGTCTTCCTATCTCTCTGAATTGTCTTTCCTTACTTTCTTATCTTGTCATTTGAGAAAAAGCAAGCAGAAAGCTGGCATAAAAAAATGACGGTGGCTATTTTATTCAGGCGTTGGTTCGCAATAGACCATGTGGACTGCGTGGAACGGAGCTTAAGGTGGCTGGATTATGCTTTGGGTTTGGTGCCCATTATTGCTGACTTTGTTCTCTTTCTTTCCTTCTGTTGTGATTCTCTGATCAGCATATTCGCGCTGGCCTGTGTCTGATGCCCGATTTTCTTTCTCTTTTGTATTGTCATGCTGTATCTCCTGAGACTTTTGCACACTGGTCAGATGTTGTGTGCTTATGCAAGTCTTGATGGTGGTTTTAGAGTTTAAAGATATCCCATATTGTTTTCTGTTATCTTGCTAATTTTATTTCTCCATCGTAACTCCTCTGTCGACTCGGCTTTAAGGTCATAGCTAAGTCTAATGTTTTCCCTGTAGAACACCATAGAAAGCGCCCCCACTGGCAGTAGCCCAGACCTCTTACAAATCGACCAAACTTCCCTTTTGAAGCTAAACTGCGCGATAAGCCACATGGCCGCAGTGCCCCACTGCCTGCGATGAACACAAGCGAAATGCGAAGTAGAAGCTGTGGTACATGCAGGGGTATTGAGACCCACCAAAAGGTCGCAGAACCACAAAAATAAGACCAGTGATCACAAAAATGACTTGATCGGCGCATTCGATGTGACCGAGCAGCTCAAACTCTGGAAGGAATAATTGATTCACGGATCAGAGGGTTGCTATCTTGTAGATAATTCTGATCTTGCTTGATGTGTTCTTCGCTCCTTGGTACCGTTTCCAAAAAGAGGAACAAGTAAATAAGTCAAATTTCTTGTCGTTTTGCATTCTTCAAAGACGCTTAATAATAAGCCGCGCCATCCACGTTTGATTTGGTCATCAAATGCAAAGATCAGTCTACATTTTGTGATTACGTGGATATTCTAAACAGAAAAAAAAAGGCGTCTCGCATTAGAGGCAATCACTTTTATTATAAAATGTTAGATTACATATTAAAAATACCTATCACATAATTTTACAGTCCCAAAGCTGCCCAGAAAAGGAGCCTGGGATGCGAAAGTCGAGCTGATGCCAGGGTTTTCATAGCTATATCGCGAATCCATTGTTGATCCAGTGCCTCATGACATGAATTCCTTCATCATTTTCGGTCTTTTTATCTCGACGAATGATGACTGCGTGGCTATGCCTATCATTATGAATATGGACCGGATATTTTCGGAATCCCACCGCATCCAGAGAATCAATGATGGCGATTTGTTCAGGTGTTAATGCAAGTTTAGGAAACTCAGATGCCGTTTTCCCAATACTAAGAGGCTGCGAAGATGCAGAAGAACGTCGCCTCCACTTGACTGCCTTTAGAACCTTGGATGTTCTCGAATCGGATGAGTCAGACTCCTGGGTGTCAGAGCTTGAGAGATAAGCTGGCTCTTGGAGAGCATTGGTATTCTCCACAATCTCATCCACCACGTGTTGCATATCTTGCACTAGAAGGGGCACCCTATATTTTTGAAAGAGCAGACCGTTCTTCCCTTCCAAGTGAAGACGGATTCTTTTTTGACTTCGGCATGTCTGGATGATAGAGTAGATGGTGAATATAGTTGTAGCAGGAGGAGCCAGAAGAAGAATAGCAAGGTAGAAGGGTAAATTCTGGCGGAAATTTTTAAGCCGATTCAACTTCTCCTCGCCGCAACTCTCTGATTCTTTGGGTTCCAGCGGTAGTAACCACTCGTCTGGGTTCACAATCGTTTGCTCATAGCCCTCGACATAATTAATATTGATTTTCTCGAGGTCCCGGAACGGGTCCACTTTCGAGAATAAGGTGGTGTAGGGCACTGTAATCCGGTCATTCACAATATTTCCGTATACGCTCCGATTTTTAAATCTCTTCAACCCTTGGATGAAAATGCTCTCAGGGTCGGCGAGAAGACTGAGAAGAGGCCGTCCGGTGTCGCGGAATGTATCAACCATGAACATCTGCTGGCCCGACATAGAAACCATTCGCGGTCCTAGCCCATTCCAGATGTTTGTTCCCATGCCTTTAGCTGGCGTTCGTACTCCAACATGAGGTGAAGCAAAGGTGGTAAAGTTCATGGGTTCCACTCTATCTAACCAACCGTGGGCTTGGAGTAATCCAATGGCATATCGGGCGATAAGCCCTCCTAGAGAGTAGCCCACAACGCTGATTTTCGTGATCTTTTGTCCTTGGGCCTCCAGTTTCTCAAGGGTGTCTTCGACCTCTCGCACCACCCGTTCGCCGCCGACCTCGATTCCGTCATAGGTGAAGTTGCCGCTGTTTTCTGCAGCGCAAAGGGTATAGAGACGATCCTCTCCATATTGCTCCCTGAGTACTTCTGCTATAAAGTCCAAGTGCGACGGCTTACCCCAGAGCCTACTCGAAGGGTTTAAATTAGCTCAGGCTTCAGACGACGTCATCCCAGAAAAGGAGGAAACTGTTAAACTAGACATACCCGTGTACAAGGACACATAGATGGTCGACTTTCTTCGAAGTCTCTATATCAGATATATTTTCTGTGGACATTTTGTCTGTATGCGAATGAAATTCTGGAAGAAGGGAAAGTCAAGGAGGCTAGACAGGTCAAATAACAAGGCGCTCCTGCAAAACCGGCGTAGTCGGAGTTAAGTCGCACTTACTCCGTTCTCCTGCAGCCGATAAGCCCGCTCGATAAGCCCGATCAAGTTGGTGAACTAACCAGAATAGGTCTGTCTTGTAGCCTGTTTTTTCAGGTGTCGAAAGCGGGAGGTTCTCTTTGTAGTTGATTAATTCATTACTCTTCATTATTTATCTAGTTATTCTTGAGTGCATACATATGTCCTCTTAATCTGTGTTTCAAACAAAAATGATTTGTTAGGTACCCCAAGATAGCTGCCTTTTTTTCATTTTCCTCCCCCTCCTCCCCCTAAAAGATAGATATGCATTTGTAGAGATTGTGTTACTTTCACCCTCATTCCCGTGACAGACATAAAAAACTAATCAAAGAAATACCTGTCACAGAATGAGAGATATCTTCTTAGTCTCTGAGCGTGGGGCATGGTAGCATGGTATTTGACATTTGAGGGGACTGATTGCACGAACACAAGAAGTCTCAATTTATAGAGATATAATCGGAAAATATCTCACTAATCTAGTCTAACCACCCGACCTGCACATAACACAGTCGTAATCATCTGAACTGGCATTGCTGTTCATTTGCAGTCTTGAATTGTTCTTTTTACATTTTTACAATCGCCAAAACTTCTCCGAGAGAATCAACTACGAAATCCGGCTCCGCAGCCTGGCATGCGGCTTGGTCTCCATACCCATAGCGACACCAGCAGACCTTGCTCCTGATATTGCGCGCAAACTGTAGATCTGCCACTGTGTCGCCCACCACAAGCACCGTCTGCGGATCAACGTCTTCGAGCTTATGCTTCTCGCGCAATACTGGGACCAGCACATCTAAAAAGCTGGCTGGATCCGGCTTACGCTTCGCCCCGGGAGTTTTGTCCCCGATAATCAGATTTTCGGGCACATAACTCTCTAGACCATTGCGTTCGAGGGCTGTCTTAACCGCCGCCACGCCCTTGTTGCTCACGATTGCGATAGGGACGTGTTGAGCATTGAGCTCCGCCAGAAGGTCCCGGGCGCCTGAGAAGGCTTGGATAAGAAGCTGACCGTGAGTCGCATAGAGTGCGCGGTATTTTTCAATCCATTCAGTCTCCACGGGAGGAGTAAAATTCGAGGGAAACGGGTGAAGCGCCTGGAAAGTGTCTGCTAGGCCGGCACCACTGGCGATCAGGCGGTGGATCTCCACTTGAGGAGGTACATGAGTGGGCAGGAAGGCGTCGAAGGTCAGTTTTATGGTGTGTGAGATGGACTCATGGGTGTCAAAGAGAGTGCCATCGAAGTCGAAGATGGCGAGGGCGATCATGGTTGAGGGGGAAGGAGGGGAGCAATTGTATCATCCGAGACAACCAAAGTCAGAGTACTCGAAAATGAACAAAACAGGTGATTTTCAGGAAGCCTAAATAGTTTCACAGATTGATGGTGAGTGCTGATGCTTGCAGGATTCAGGACTGAAACCTCGTCGCTCACGTGATAAATCCAACACATCTATAAAAGGGGTAAAAAGAGACAGAGACCTTAGTGCATTCGCGCCGAGAGGCAAGATAACTTTTAAGGCTGAAGAAGTATGATATATGTTGCACAGAATTCTGGCGTGCCTGTACCAAAAGTTTTCGTATACTACACCTACGGGCCAATCGATCGTGATATTGGTAACTACGGGAATTTATACAATATATACATCTTCATGAGCTTCATTGATGGCGAGAATCTCAACAGAGGCTCTTAAACCCGAAATTCCAGCCAACTCGCAAACTACATCCAAGAGATCCGAAATATGAACAACGTTGACTATATCGGCTCTGTGGATAATGGTCCTGTCACCGACCAAAGCCTATCCACTTTTCTCGAGAAAGGTATGATATATCAGGCATGAAATTGTGATAGACTGATGGCTTCTCGGAAGGCCCTTTCAACTCGAGCGAAATGCCAACTCGACTACTCGGTACCTACAAGCATTGACTCGCGTGAATTAACGCTACAAACTTGAAAATGAGTCGCAAGACTACGACTGCCCCACTTAATTACTTCAACTTCATTTATCATCCTTACATAAGGTCCCATTTCAGTAACCGCATCACGGAGCTTCTTCCGTTGTTCCAAAAATGGAGCCAGGTGCTGTTAGTTCGTGTTGGGCATTATTCTAAGAATGAGATCTCAACTGATGCGGAAATAGAATGGCGAGGTTGGATTGTATACGCGAATATGAAGCCTAATCACCATGCTATATATTGGCTCGCAGAGCGCAATCGTAATACATGCCGTATGAAACCCCGTGCGCGGGGGTCTAAAACGAGAACAGTCAATAGCACTCAGTCGTAGCCCGCCAAGATCGTTCCATATTAGCAGGGCGCATGATCAAATAAAAGTACCAATATTTGGGCCAAGAAAACCCTAGATCGATCAATCCTGGCTGGCGTCTGCGGCCCTTTGCATAAATTTAATCAACTAACTATGTGCAGCGGCCACATGTGCGAATCACGACTCGCCCTGGTAGCTAAGCCTATCTCGATAAGTTTCCCTCCTAGCTATCATCGACAATAAAAGTTTTGCTTCTCAATGAGGCAGAGACGTCCGATCAGAGCCCTAGATGGAAGCAGAGACATAAGGGCGTCCACGATATGCTATAGGGCATATATAGTTATAACCGGATGTGCTAATCCGATATTATGTTCTGTATCTTCGTAGTCAAAGAGAATATCTGGAAATGAATGATCCAATGTTCTCGACAATAGTTCCCCAGGACGGGTAGAGCGGCAAGTCTAAAGACTTGAGTCGCTCAACACATGCGGCGGCTGCAATGGTTGAGCACGGACTTCATGCGGTGCAAGCTGCGGAACTAGGTATGCGAGAAGATCGTGGGATGTGCTGATTGGTCCTTTGGTCACCTCTTAAGAGTGGTCAATCATCAAACTTAGGAGCCTCAACCCACGAATTTGTAGGTATTTCAGACCTGAAATTAGCCTGGATAATCAATTCAAAAAAAGCGTCTTATGGTGACAATGGAAGCCCTTGGCGCGGTGTCTTCAGTCTTTGCAATATATAACCAACTAGAACGATGTGGAAAACGCCTACACCGATTGAAGCACAATTTTCTAATTGCTGAGCAAGAGGTGAATCTTCTCGCAGACGAGGTATCCGCTTGCCAGAGCCTTTTTGGAATATTCACACATATCAGTCGTCCGCTGGAAAACCGAGTGATGCGATTAGCCTGCGATCAACAACTGGAGGAAACTCTTGATTCTCAAACGAGGTTCGCCTTCGGGCAGATTGGTGGCATTCTATCGAAACTTGAACCTTTGAAAAAAGGAACCAATGCCAGTCGCTTTGACCAGTTTGTTGCGAAAATACGATGGCATTTGACAAAAGACGACGTTCAGGTTCCACTTATCACACTGAGCAGCGTGAAAATAAGTTTGACAGCCTTGACCTGTCTTTTGGTCCTCGATGATTCTGTGGCAAACCTGAAGAGGCCATCCATCTCAGATGCTGAAAAGAAATCCCTCATTGTACAGATGTCAGAGTAATTATCTTCCCAAAAGCTTTATACTCACATTTCTAATGGTCTACTTCGAAATTCAGAAAACAACTCAGAAGGACGATCAACCGCCAGGAGAGATGCCTGCGACGTGTGGCCAATAAAATGAGTGAATATATTAACACAAACTCGCAGCCGAAATGTGTAATAAATGCAGAATCGTTGGTCTTCAGTATACAACAAATGAAGAAAGAGCCGATTGCTGAAGCACAAGACTTGATCAAAGAGAGTCTTTCCAATTCACCGCTCCACACCTCCATTCCATCCAGGGAGACTCCTCTCGCATCGAGAAATATCTTTATACAACCTCTACCTGGGGAGCCATCTGATACTTTTGGCTCCTTGGTCAGAATCTCAAATTCCTCTGAAGCTGGCCTGTCGCCACAAACAAGCGCATTGGTTCTTAGGAAGAAGCGGCGACAGACGCGCCCTGTGTTCCATGACTATGGCGATGGTAATAGAGAGACTTATGAGATTGAATCGTCCCCTTCTTTTCACTCTAGTCGCCTGAGTCCCAATTCTGATTTACTTCAATCTGCATATGTGCCTGTTCCACCTTTCAATATGTCTGATTGGCAGCTGCGGAAGCAAACAAAACGTGAAGTTTGAGCCAACATGCCTCTTCGATTCCAGATATGGTAGTATAAAGATTCTAAGTAGTTAATTTATATCTCTGTTGTTCTCTGCAAGTTGAATTATTCATCCAACATAACGGCTTGATTCCAACTATAAAAACATTATGCGACAAAAAAGCATACTATCTGATACTTCGATTGCGGTTGACCCTTGATAATTCCAAGCTTTCTCAATTTAAGCGTCCCAAAGTCACACCAGCAATACCAGTTGTCAGTTACGGAGATTGCTTTTGAGAAACTTTAATATCAATCGACTTTATCTTCAATCCTCTTATTCCGGGCCAACCGACAAGTGTCGCCCTCCTGAAACTGGCAATAGGCGCCCACTGCATCAATAGCCTCGGTGCGTCGAGCTCTCTCTTCTTCTATGGTCGGACGAGGCAAATTTAGGAGACTTTCGATAAGCCGCTTCTGTGGAGCAGGCACCTCGGCGGCGCACTTCAGCAATTTGCTCGAAGTTTCCACCGGTGCTACAGACAATTGGCGCTTTATTTCGAGCATTAGCTGCTCTCGATCATCTTCACTTTGGGCTTGCGACCGTAGCTTATCTTGGGCTCGCTTTCTCGCCCCTGCTAATTCCTAGCTTGATTTCCTACACTTCTCGTACTTAGGCGTTCCTTTGTATCTCGATATGGGACGCCCTAGAGATCTGCTAATCTCATCGCGCTGATGTATTAGCGCCACAATTTCTGATTATTGGTAAGAATGTTGATATTAGAGTCGTTTCATAGAATTTAAAGAATCAGTGGTATAGCATCCTCCTAAGAGCGTCTTAACTCCCTCCCTCGTAGCTCTTCATAGGAATCTGCAAAGTTTTTTTCGATACTAATCGCTAGGCCAGAGGTATTTTTCTAAAGAGGCTATCGGAGATAGTGGTATACTGAGAAGCAAGTATCACGGCTTCATTTTCTCTGACGCTCTTTCCAGATAATCGGGGGCCCTAGAGAGGTGAAACTGTGACCATCACTATCCTAAACACAGCAGGCCTTGTTTCATGGAAAAGACCAGAGCATACCCGCAAATACTGCAATTCCTTGCTTGTCACCATGTAGCCATCTCCGAACTCTTTTATTTGAAGCATAAAAAAAAGGATCTCTCCCCTCTCACCATTGCGGAAAGTTGTTTTAGAGGAACATGAAATATCGGCATCGGAGTGAATCTACGCAAAGAAATAGGGAAGAAAGGAGGTTCTGGACACGGAATGAAAGACCTCAGCCAAAGTTCCTTTGAAAAGCCCGCAAACTCCCCAATTTCGAAGACCAGGAATAAGCAAATAAAAAGATAAGGGAAACCAGACAGAAGAAAAGGAAAGGAAAGATTTGTAGAGACAGATCGCAGCAAAGCTGTCGGAGCAGATGAGGGAGTACAATGGCTTGAAAGCGAATTTCTGAAAAAGAAAAATTGGGTTGGCTTTTTCCCGGATGGCTTTGTTACAGGGCACCTCGTTCCGCGGTGAAGTCCCAGAGCATCTTGATCAGTGTGTCGGGAAGGGTGTACAAATCGACGTGGAACTCGCCCACTAGATAAGAACATAAGGTGTATTAGTGGTCTACAATTCGAGGAAAACAACGAGGGGGCATTTAAATGATCGGATATGGACTTACGCTCGACATCGTTCTTGGTATAAGAGTCTGGCGACTTGTTGTCGTGCACCATCTGCACAACTTGAAGCAGATCATCCTCGTTGAGTTTTTGCAAGCCATCGGCAAGCTTGTCCATGTCAACCTAATCCTCGCATTAATATTTATTATAATCGAAGCGCACGCGTTGGATATTACTGACATTCTTCTCAGTGCGCTTCTTCTTCTTGGTGTTCTCTTCTCCGGCGGCAGCACCACGCTTGGACTTGACACCATTCTCGTCGCCAGGTACCGGGCCGGACTCGCGCAATGCCGCCAAGAGAGCTGGCTTCGGGTTGCGGAAGACCTAATTCCAAGGTATATCGGTCAGGTACAAATTTCAAGAAAAGAAAGACGAAGTATTCGCAACTTACAATCTGGTGCTTAGCCTCGTAGCGTTCCGACATGAAGTTCAGGTCATGCTGAATGCTGTGGGATTTGTCGGCGATGAGGTCAATGGTCATGTCAAACTCACCCCAACCCTCCTCTGAGATGCGGAAGGGCGAGTTTTTGAAAGCTGTGTGCCAATAGGCATGTCATCAGTCACCAATCAACGGACGAAACAGCAATGCATCGAGCATCACTGATCAAGGTCAAAGGAGGTAGTAAACACATACTCTGTGTAGCACGGTCTCCGAAACTCGGGTGCAGACGATAAGTGACCTTGTCGAAGATGGTGGCAGGTACCTGCTCACCCTTGTCATTGAGCAGCCACACCTCAATGGACCATGAGCGCTGGGGGAAGCCCTCAACCTCCGATGGCTTGTCACTGTATCAGAAAACCTCATAATTAGCCTTGCACCTTTCCATTTCTCTCTTATTCGGCATAGGGTTGGTGATGAGCGGTAGACCGGAGGATCGGGGTTCTGGGTAGTTAGGGACAGGATCCCCTAGTTCCATTCATGCGCGCATCTCCCACTCCTCTTTCCCGTAAGGTATGGCTAAGCAAGTCTTGGTGTAGGCATGTTTGGGATTGATGAGATGGGCTGCAATCGCTCATAGGGGTTGGAGGAAGGGCTGGGAAGACAGAGGACACGAACATGACATGCTGCTCCGTGATAAGACGAACGGTGCGCTTGACCTGGATCACAAGAATCAATTAGTATATCTCGCTCGACCTGACTCCAGGCTGCAAATGTGGGCGTTGAGTCGCTGGCTGTTCAAGGAGGAAACGCGATTCGAGGGCACTTTCAGCGTCGCGAATTTGCGGTCTGCGCATGCACCTGGACAGACAGGACGACTGGAGGCGGTAAAAATGGATAACTCACGTCAGGCATTTTGACACTGATCAGGTTGAAATTGTCTGAAAGAGCGTAGAATCTTGGTCCGAATAGGTGTGGAGGGGTATGCGCTCAAGGGTGTGTGGCTCGGAACAGTTTGCGCAGCTGGGAGGAGCGGATCTTCGGTTTTCAGGCAACGGCGGATTGAGAAGACCAAGATTCAGGAATAATGGCACGTGTAACTCAAATAAATGGATCGGAACTATATATCAGCAACAACGACGAGCATTGGGAACGCGCTCGCAGTAATGGGAGAAAAGAAGAGGACCAGGCGGGAGTGGGGAGGAATGAGGTCGACGGGACAGACACCTGAGACCCGTCGCGGAGGAGCTGAAGAGCACCGCGACCAGCGATCCCCCTACAACCAAGTCCGCGGCCAGGCTTCACTGGGTATCGCCTTTACTGGATTTCGAATCGCCTGGCTCCGATTTCACATATCCTACTCGACTGCATGTTTTTGTTTTCTCTCAAAAACCTTTTGTTTCTGACAAGCAGGAAGATTGATTGTTCCGTGGAGCCAAACCATGCATCCACCCACGGAAAGATATTAGAGCTCTCGGCATCCGTACCCATCTATACATAGGATTTTACTATAGCTCTGCATAGCTTTCATAAACATTGTGCAGGGTGGATGTGCAGGGTGTACATTTGATGGGAACATGTCTATCTACTGTCTCTGCGGGACCAAAGACACAGGAATTGCCCTCCATTTCATAATCACATCAGGGAGCTCTTGCGAGCAGCATCGACATCACTGCCGCCTCGCTCGTTGCTTCGTTGGGGGAAAAAGGGGGGGAGGTGAGTGGGTTGGGAGGGAATAGGGGGGTAACGTCATGAAGATTTGGCGTGTAAGGGGAGTGGGTGTAGGCATTGGATATGGGCGTTTCAAGAGTAAAGCTCTTTGTCAACAGATTCAAGAACCGTCAACAACAGGCAATTAATTGCCATGAGACCTCATACTCTCCAAAAACAGCGCAAGTCAAGTTATAAGAATGAGGTCAATTTACTCCTGCTTCTTAGCAGCGAAGAGCTTCTCATTCTCCTGCTGGGCCTTTTCAAAGGCCTCCTTGAAGAGGTTCGCGTCTGGATATGCCTATGAGCAAAAGTCCTCAAAATAAAAGTAATGGGGAAACACTCACTCTCGCTGTTGGCAAAGCGAATGGCCAGAGTCTGGGCCTCGGGCTCACCCTCAGAGACATCGGCAGCAGCGTTCCAGACCCAGCTTCGGTCACTGCCGACGTTGGGGCTGAGCTTCATGTCGGGAACAACTGTAGATGAATCCAATCAGAATAATTCGCTTGCAGATAGGGGTATCAAACTCTGCTAGCACTCACTGTAGTGGTTGGCGCAGACCTTGAGGGTCTTATCACGGCGCATGACCAGACGGGTCTTCTGGTTCTCCTTGTGCTTCAGCAAACGGACGTCACCGGTACCACGCTCCTTCCACTCCTTGCTATCGCGGTCGAACTTGAACAGCTTGGCGCGCATCTTGAACACCTGCTCCTCAAGCTCCTCGTTGGTCTTGGTCTCGATCTTCTCGGTCAGGTGGATCACAGGCTCGAAGTGAACGTCGGGGGATTCGGGGGCCTCTTCATCCTGCTCATAGACGTAGACGTTAGCGAGTCGTGGAAATCCAGGCATGAACAAAGGTGGCAGCCGTGTCGTGGCGAATCACACAATCCGCGTGGCGGGCGAGGCAACCCCACGTTTCCTGTGTGTTCATGTATTTTGACCACGATGGGATGAAGCCGTCACCGGGATGGCAAAGTCCATGCTCGTCATAAAAGTAAGATCAACTCACCTCACCCTCCTTCTTGGCCTTGGAAGAGCCAGAGGGCTCATCTACAGCCTCCTCGGCGTCCTCCTTCTTCTCCTTCTTGGGGCCGCCACCAAACATCGAGAAGACGCTGTCGGAGGTCTTGACGGCAGCATCCTTGGCAGTCTCCGCAGCGTCCTTGGCCGCGTCGACAGCAGTCTCGGTGACGGTTTTCTCACCCTCGCCGGTGGCGGTCTCGGGCTTGTCGGCCTCAGGAGCCTGAGTGGTGGGGTCAGGCTTGGTCTCCGCGACGTCAGACATGGTGGAAATAGGGATGCGGAGGTGTTATCGGAGAATATGAAAGATGCAGGAGGTCTAGGGAGGCGAGAGATCACTTCAAAAAGTGGTCTTTAGGAGCAGAGATGTGGTTTGTTGATTAGGGAGTGTTGATGAGGGGGGAAAAATTAATAGTTTGGGTGCGCGGGGGCAGAACCCCCACCGCCTTGGGCCCCATTGGCGCTTGCACTGTTTGTTCCATAGTGAACGCGAGGGGCTCAAATAGTACTCCACGGACGAGGGCAAATTACTTATGTAGGTGTAGGAGAGCTCAGATGTACACAGGGGTCAAGTGAAAATAGCATTGCACCAAAATGAATACGTAAAACCATTCCCAAGTCCCACCCAACCTGATCGCCATAAACAGAGACACCGGTCATTAGCCAAAATAATTCAGGAAAAAGCAAGAGTTGAGGGCAGAAAAAGAAAAAGTGAGAGAAAAGAAACCGTAAGGAAAGGTAATTGCAGTAAAAATCCATAGCTATCCACTCTAACTGCCTTCTCGACACCCAACAAAGCGACGGGCGCGCGCTTGAGCCCGATCCAGCGTGGCATGTTGCACATTGCGGAGTCGGTCCATCATGGAGTGAACATCGACATTGGCAATGGACTTCTCAAAGCGGCTCCAGGTATGACTAACAATGCCCTTGGCTTCTTCATTAACTCGAACCGAGCGAGTCTGCAGGACAGAGCCGGCGATTCGAAGTCCCTGAATTGCGTTACGAGTAACGACCGCCGAGAGTTCCTTCGAACGCGACAAAACATTGTCTCGAGCGATAAGGCTCTTGTTGCGAAGCAATTCAGCGTCTCGTTGAAGTAAATGAGAACGCTTAACTACATCTCCCATGGCCAGCTGTAGATCGGTCGAGAATCGAGTGTACACTTCCGACAGGCTGGTTTGCGCGATTTGTAAGTCCTTTGTGAGCTGCGAGGAAATCGCTCGTGCGGATCGTCTCCAATTTGCAACTTTCAGCCATGGTGTTCCGAAATCAATTACTGTCGTTTGATTGAAATGAGGCTTTGACTTAGACGCGATCGTCACATTGACTGGGCCATATGCATCTTCCGGGTTCAGACGAAGAGTATAAACACCTTCAAAAAGCCAGGATAGGTCACAAGGAATGACTTGACTGTAGCGATGGACGTCAACGTTGAACTTCGGCCGCTTTTTCGAAGAAACAAGCCGACGAGGGGGCTTGATGACCACATGGCAGTCGCCAACCACCTGAATCTCGAAAGTATCAAGGTTCTCATTTGAGGAGGGAGCTGCAATCGCCAACTCCGTTAACTGATCGATGATCGGGCAATTTGGAAGCCGCTTATTAAATGAATCCACCTGGCCCGGTGACCTTGTAGATATTGCTGTCTCTGGACCACGCTCCAACGTCAATGGAGGCGTCTGAACAGGAAAGACGAATGTGGAGTTTCCATGAGATAATGCTGATCCGGTCGTCCACTGCGTGGTATACAATACCATAGGTCTCACGACAGCATATCCAAGAGAGAGTGCAATCGCAGAAATAACAGCCAGGCCAATCAAGCGCAGAGTCGGGGCAAGGTCTTGGGTCCGATTTCCGTACAAAGGGGGAAGCCAGTTGCCAGGATACTTTTCAGGATCGGTGGATGAGTATGTCAGTACAGGCGCGCGACGTTGGTCTGGGACTGCCTTCTGTTGCTTCTTGGGATTGAGGTCTATGAGTGAAGCCAGGTTTCGATTTAGCTGAGCAGGAGTGATGCTCTCAAAGGTCTTCAGATCGATTGGGTGACGTTGAATAACAGTGGTCTCTCCGGTCTGCGAGTGTCGAGCCTCCACGCACATATGAAGGGTGTTGTGGTTCACAGCAATGGGCTCGCTGGTAAACTTCCAGAGTGGATCCTCTGAGATCATCATTGCAGGAATACCATGCCGCTCCAAGAAGGCATGGGCATGCCGCCTGGTTTGAATCGCAGCTGGATTGTCACGGCCAGACATAAATACAATCGCCACGTCTGGTAAAGTCCATTCAGACGCAGAGGACAAACGATATTGGGTCCCATCCCACCATGAGCGGCAGGATGGTCGGTTCTTGAAATCTAAATTCACTGTACTGGGTTGGCTCGGATGCGACTCTTCACTGGCGTCCTTGCATTCATCCACCACTAGCTGGGCATGGATAGGGATCAGTTCGGCAAAATTCGGCTGGGCATCAACTCCGAACGAGGTTGGCACAACGTGGTAACGAGAGGATTCCGCTGAGCTGCTCTGTGACCCGGAGGTGGAGCTCGATACGAGAACGTCGCCGATTTTGTCAAGGATGATGTTGCGGAAGTCCGGATAGCCGATATACAACACCCGGAAAGGTTTGTCTAGATCGAGACTCTTTTTGGTCATCGTTTGTTGCACGGTGGCCATAAGTATCTGATCAGTTGGGTTGGGCATGAGTTCCGCGGCCGTGGCATCTTCGAAGATGTGGATTGTATGCTTCAGCTCCACCCGTTCCCTGTTCGGCCATGTCTCGGGTTCCTTAAACTCGATTGTTCCGTCGAGGGATTGACGAAAAGCCGGTCGGGCGGTCAGGTTGCTATCGTCGATCGCAGTCCCGCCATGGAGAAAGAGTGACGGAAACTTCTGGGATCCAGCCATACTCTCAAGGTCCTCTTGCTCTGCATCGTCATGCCCATGGTGATAATCTTCATCTGGTCCCTCACCTTCGCTGCTACTGTATCGATCATCCAAGCTGGCTACATCATCGGGGGTTGTTTGATCGATGAGAGACCCCATGTCGGTTTGTTCGGAGCGACTGCCATCTTCCGAGTGTAGATCCGAGACACTCAAAGTCGCCCAACTATCCCCGAGCGACTTTGCAGAGCCGTCAACCTCTTGATCTGACGACATGTTATGGGTCGGGCGGGAGCGAGACAACCACTCCTCTACAGACCCCGTTAGCGGCGGGAAGGTTGGGTATCGAAGGTGGGAGGCTGTCTGAGCGCTCAGTGGACGCCTGGGCGACTCTGGAGCGTTAGCCATGTCGCAGGTGTGATCATAGAGGGAGTATGTAGACTCAGGAGGCCTCTCAAGAGGGTTGACGGGGTTTAAAGGGCCGAAAGGGTGAGTAGGAGCTGGAGATGCGAAGTGAGAGAAAGAGAAACATACGGTGATGGGGATGTCGGGGATGCAGGCATGTGCCCCGGCGTTGGGTGGGTCTGTGGGGGGATTTGCCCGTCAGCTGGTCTCTGAGTCCGGGAAACTGCCTTGGATACAGGGAGAAGTGATCGAGAAGTTCAGTAAAGGTAATCAAGACTGCTTGTTGGGCCGTGTTAGGCTGGGAAGAGAGGGAAAGATGTCAAGAGTAAAAGATATGCTTTGGCCGTTGGAAAAGTAATCGATAAGCATCGTAGGCGGGGTTTGGCGGGACCAGGTTACTCACGCCCTTTTAAGCCGAGACCGTTTGAACTACCCCTCGTTTTGATGCCGAGAAACTTTCTGGCTCGTCCTCTCCAGAAAGCTCTTATATCAAAGACCAGGCCTGGGTTTCTCTGGAGCGCTTGGTGTCTGAGATATTCCTGCTCCAGGTGCACGATCCTAGGCGCTTTCCAACACTGGAGCATGACAACATTACGTCGGCGATAAGCAGCCGCAACTCCACTCGGTCCCACCGATCCGCCGCCTTGCCGAATCACATTCCGAGTCTCCCGAGTCCGGCCCCCATCGAGAGGCGGAATAGGGTATACTGTAGTACTGCAATCGCACTCGATCAAGTCCAACAAGGAGAAATAAGAAGGGGCTAGTATGATGGTTGCTAGACCAGCATTCTAAGGTATATCCATGATAATCGCTGGTAAGGCCCATGACTCTGGGGTTGATTTCTGAGCTCTTGTGCTATACATATATAGCTCTGAATTTAGACAGTAGTATCTTTCGTACACCGTTCTATATCGGCACTTTGAGAGTACCATGTCTTTGCGGGGATCTTCGCTCCTTCTGATAAGCCACCCAGCCCAGGATCATTCAATTTTACAAGCAGAAGATGAGGACCTGTGAAAACGACGCCGAAAATGGTTACCCTGTACATTCAAACCGAAGCGTTCAATCCCGTTTTACCCTGCCAAGTTAGCTCCTGGAATTGCTTTTTTGGCGGTAAAACCTTGATTTTTAAACGTACGATTGGTTGTTGGAGACGTTCAAGACTATAAGAGATAAAAATATTGTCTATATTTTAAAACAGATGGCCTTGTATACATCATTTCCTCGCAAAAAGGTGACGAGCCAAGAGATGAAGAGTGTTCGGGGGGAGAGATCGAAGGATTGACAAAGCTTTCGGATTGGGCTACTCTGTTTCTCAACCTTTATACATGCAGAATCCAAGATGGACCCCAGAACTGCATCACTTTGCAGAGACTGGCGCTGGCAAAAGTCATTTGTGGGGGGCTGAAATACCTTGACTTGACTTGGCGCCGTTTTGGAGGAGAGAAGAAGGGAGGCGGAAGGGGGGCAGACCGCTGCATTATTTGTGTAATGATCAAATACTGCAGGAAGGTAATATTGGTGTCAATAAGTGCAATTCAGTCAGGCTTCGATGGTAAAGGAGCAAGATGAAAGCTAATCGGTCCCTTAAGTATTTATCGTCTTGTAGAGGGTTGAGCCAGAATGATCTGATGTGGAGGTCTAATGACTCTTTTGGAAATGACACCCCAAGGATGAGAGACCGATGCATAGTCATTGACCTGATCACTGCTAAAACCAGGGAGCACCCTGGGAGCACTCGCATTACTCGCCAAATTCCTAAAATCTTTAGCAACGAGGAGCATGATTGATTGGTTTTGTTACAATGGACAGTGATTTTCTTCCCTTTGGCTTGGTAGAAAATCTTTACTGGAGCTTGGTTCAGCTGTAAATCATAGAATGAATTTAATGGACGGCCGTGTACCACCCGCAAAGTATCGCAGTAAGTGCTTAATTCGGCAACGTGGAAGAACGAGATTTCCCGAGGCATTCCTAATTTAGCTGCAACATGTAAAATGACTGCGCACTGAATTTCTTCGAGAATCGCTTGTTGATGCTGCGGCTAACTTCAGGTTTGCAGTTTACATGGCTAGCATGTGTAAATGTGGTCTGAGATCGCCCACCAACGCCCGATGATAGCATATAGACACCTGGCAGCGACGATCTCGTGCAACAGCTGGTCCGCAATGCAAATTCTTCAGAGTGCTCAGACACAGGACAGGGCAAAAGGTTATTCACGCAAGGCTCCAGGCGGCCGCCGAGGTCCTCACGGTAGGAAGCGCACTCCGCCTTCAATGGTTGGATGCCAGGGCATTGTGACAAGCCGTGAAACAATCCCGTAGATCTATTAGCAGAATACACCACCAGCCCTGGCAATATCCATCCTTTTCGCCCGCTCCTTATCAGGGACTAGAGTACTTATTTGTCGAAACATATGCCAAGCATAAAAGTTTTCCATCAAGGGTGGTCGCTTTGACAACAACCTACTGAAAAACTATACTAAGAGGCTACACAGGACCCTGTCTATGACCCGGGTGATGTCTTAACGTAGCTACACTCGGCCCACAACTAATTATCTAACTATCGCAAAAAAAAATTGATAGCGACAATGGCTCGAGCGTACACGACACGCAAGAAACTGTCACCCATGTACTGGTAAATCCATCGACCTTGCAAGAGCTTCGAAGAGACTCAAAGAGAGAAGCTGAAGACGTGTTTAATTGCGTGTCAAGTCTGTTGGAAGACTCAAAAAATGTAATAAAGGCGAACCAGACACCATTTCGTTAAGCAGGACGATCAAGGCCGCGCTGAACTTCGCTGATGCATCACAATGGGTTCGGAGCCGCGAGCCGCGTGCCATAAGGGCAGCCTAACAATGGCAACGGCTATTATCCCATTAGAGGCCTTGACGAGGTTCTAAGTTCGTTTCCAGAGCCACGAACAACACATCAAATACAACTGCTTCTTATACAATATAACGATGCTCTATTAATCTTGGTTAAATAGGAAATATCCATCTCTAATATTTTGGGAAGATCCGGATATACCTCTGACGCCTCTGAATAGGCTGGTATTTGCAGAGCGTGGTCTGTGGTAGTCCGCGAGACCGCATGAGTGACTGTAGGTAGTATCGGGACTACTGAATCTACAGTGGCTTCAATTCTCCCTTATTTTCAAGAACCCAATATTTCATTCCATAGCTGCATTCGTACACTTTGTTATGGGTAGACTAGTTTAGCCCTGTATTGAGTTGTCTTTTTCGCCGATGTAGCCACAAGCCGAGTCCCATTGGCACCGTAAGCTTCGGCTAGAACTCGACCTGCCTTCCTGCTGGTATGAAAGGCTGACTCGAATCCGGCTCTGAAGACCTGACCTAATGGTATTTCCTTGCCATTCTCTAGTCCGAAAAACTTCCAAATCTTTGTCTCAGTATCGCCATTCCAACTCACGTAAATGGAGGTTCCATTTTTCTCCTCGAATGCAACTAATGCTGGTTCCTCGTATGGAATACCATGCCAATCAAATTTGAAGGCACGATAATTCTCTGACCCAGGGCCTAGTCTTCCGGAATCCAGCCCAGAAAAGAATATAGTTGTTCCATCAGGCTTGTGCTCAGACATTGCTCCGTTATATCCCCAATTGATAAATGCGTTCCCGTTTGGCAATAGCTGGAGATTTCCTTGGGATCTAACAGAAAGATCTCCTGGGGCTCGGAAACTCGCGATCAATGTCGCAGTGTGGCTATGGGTATCGAGCTCGACAATTTTCCCGGCGCTGTAGCTCCGGGTTTGCAAGTCAGGGCCCCCCGCAAGATTCTCGTGCGCGGAGTTGTCAAAGAAAGATATAATCTCCTTCGAACCTTTGGTTTCGTGATTTAGGTATTTCTTGTGCATCCTGGTATCATGTTGCCAACAAAAGTCGACATCTTCACCGAGTGAGAAGTCAGAGTGCCTTCCTCCCAGCTGCCAGATTATTTTCCCTGTGTCTCCATCAATCTTAAAGATAGTGCACATACTTCGGGCGGATAGGAGATAGGTGTTTGTCTCCGGGTCGACATCGAACGCGTTCATGTAGAAATAATGCCACACTTGACTTGAGTTCGTGCCCAAGCCAGCGTTCCCGCTTTGCAATGTTAGGTTGGTGCTAGCGGGGTCAATATGATCAAGTGAGCTCCACTCCCATAGAACTCGATTAGATTCTGTATCTACTTTCTGAATCTTGTTGTCGAGAATCCATTGCTGGCTCTCCGAAGTGGCGCCGTACGCCGTGAGGTCTCGGATTTCGGGGTCGAAAATAGTAAACACCGCTGAATTATCATCGAAGAACAGGAACTCGTGGTGATCGGCCAATTTATGACCGCCTCCCTTTATTTGGCCTAGATATCGGTATCGATTGTCTAGAATAGTCGTGCGGCCATGACCATGGCCCATCGGCGAATTGTGCGAACCTTCAAAGATACTCAACACTTGATGTCCCCTATAGGTATGCACTTGGAAGTTTTCACTTCTAGGACCGATATATCCGAATCCTGACCAAACTAATTCACCTTTGTCGGTGAATATGTATGGCCCGCTTTGCGCGGGTCCATGGCCGGTATTATCGGCATATATGCTCTCAGGCGTGTAGAAGATAAGGCCATCGGCAACTTCCTTGGTTGCAGGAATAGTAATGTTCAGCACTGGAACTGCAAGATCAGGTCTCGACTTATAGGCTAGATTTGCGCTCACGTAGTCCGTAAAAAGGAGGACTGCGATATAAGAAAAATAAATCATTGCAGTTTGTTGACCACCAGTTAGGGATAAGTTTAATGCACAATGAGTTTATCTGATATTGCAAATAAATTCCACAACTTTGGACTTCGTGTTCTTTTAAATCTCTTGTCAATTGGAGATCGCCGAGTTCCGGGTTGATTATGACAATGCGTGACTCGCACCAGCAAGAGATCTTCGTCTACGTTTGGCAGTACTATCCGAAAAGGCTTCTCCTCGTAACACTTGGATGAGCGGAAGTGAACCCACCACAGGATGTGTAAACGTCATTCAGAGATTCCAGAAGGAAGGAGCAAACGCGAATCGAAAAGCATGAAATCCAAAAAGAGTCATTGTGCCCATGTTCAAACTTCATCTACGTGATCACCATAATAATCGGCTTGATTGCCAAAGACGATCATCGCCAGAAGCGGCAGGTTGAATCTATCGAGCCTGAAACAATTATCGGGCTCTAATTGGCCCATTTCAAGAGATTACTGACACGCAAACTCTAGGAATCTACCGACAAAGCTGTCCTGGGCGATGGAAAGCACTTTTATACGCGTTTTCTGACATTGTCTCTATGTATATGCTCCAGTTCCACAGTCGCATCTCTACTAGCACTTCATTCACGGCGAGTGGTAAGCAGTACTTCCTAATTTTAGGTTCAAAGCGAAAAGTAAGATTGGGGTCTTCGATCTTGGCAGATCAATAGACCAAGCTGAGTGTTTCAACTAGCATACAACCTTCTCGCTTTTCCCGCCAGTACCTCCGCGAAGAACTCACGGAAGGTTTTTGGTTTAAACTCCGGGTAGAGTTCTCTAGCGTTCAGATAACCCAGATAATCGGCGTATTCAGGCCGATTGTCCTGACGCACGTATTTGCTATATTGATAGTCGGCTTTATAAAGAGAAATACGCTTCATGGGATCTTGAGGATCTTGGGAGAGAGCGGATTTGGCATGTATGACTTTCGCTTCTATGTCTTCGCTCGTCATCTGAAAGGCTATTAGCGAGCACAGCATATGGAAGCAGCGTCAACTTACATAGGTCAACTCTAATTTCTCCCCAGTGAGCTCTTCCACGATGCGGTATATTTCGTTCTCGCTTAGGACGTCCCCAGATGTGTAGACATATTTATTAATAGTCCTATCATCACACAGTATACGGGCAACAAATTTTCCGACATCACGTAGGTCAGTGAGGATATTTGGAGCCGTACCGTCGCCGTGGATGACATTTTTTGGTATCAAGGATGCATAATCCACTTTACCAGAGGGCACGGTCGGGAATGAGATTTGGTACCAATACCCAACATCTATAATGGTATAAGGAATACCAATGTATTTGATAGCGTTGTATATTTCTTCCTTCTATTTCCTTAATTAGTTTATCAGATCGTTATCATCAATCTAAGCCATTCGAACCTCATCACGAAGTAGCATAGCACCGGTTGGCGGTGCGACCGTAATGAAAGCGCACGGAATAATTCTTTTGACACCTGCTTGCTTCGCAGACTGGAGTAGCTTCTTTTGCTGTAGGAGATCATGAGGGCCAATAGCACTGATAAGAATATCGACGCCGCTCAGCGCAGATGCGAGCTCGGTAGATTCATCGAGATCGACGGACCAAATCTTAATGCCCTGTTCTTTTATCTTTTGGACCGATGGCTTTTTGACGGAAGCAGGTCGAACCAGAATTTCAACATCCTAACAAAGAGGGGAAAAGAGGCATGAGTCGTATGAAGAGATACTGGGTGGTCAGCTCAACCTACGAAGGTGCCAGATTCTTGCAGCCCTTTCAGAATAGAGTTACCAGTCTCGCCAGTACCTCCAAGAAGCAGAACCTTCTGTTTAATTGCCATTGTATGACTTCAAACTATAAGTTTTGAGAGCAGTCGATGGCAGTAACCTTGAAGATCAAAGAGGAATAATGCTTTTATGTAACATTGGCCCCATCCTTCGGGTAAGTCAGGCTTCTGATTAGTTCGTGGGATTCATGAAGGTTTCGTCATCATCTGATCCTGATTTCTAATCCAGGACTATTGATCACCTGCGGGATACAGCTTCCGACCCATTTCGCGGTTAGCACGGCACTTATGCATACTATATACACCCCTAGTTGAAGAGTTCTTACACACATTAAATATCTTCTATATGAGCATCACCTATCGCTATGCCCGTATATACATATCTTCAGCTTAATTCAACGCATTTTAAACATTCATGATACACGATTTGAAATATCCGTAAACAAACTCAGATGTGTATGGGGTTCAATTAGGATTATATTCCGCGACTAGAAAGACAACCAAATAATGAATACACAATGCGTTTCATGCTCGTCCGCACAAAGTCTTCAAAGCTGGGAGAAAGTGCCAGAGTACAGGATAAAAGGAGTACCATTTAAGTCACCATACTAAGAAAACCTCCCAATTTCGGGAAGCATGGCTTAGATTTCAATTTTTAGGACTGAAAGTACATGGAGAGCTCTATTCCTGTACTTCTCCATTAGCGGGCAGAAACCCTCACAGCCATGATTACGATTCCCATGTCTTTCGGCCTTCATTTGCATGCTCATCATATGTGTACTTGTTCTCGAGAACAGCGACCGTATCTCACTCCCCAATGTGTTCATTGAAACTCTCTTGTCAAAAGGGCGATATTCATATCTTGGCGGTTTTTCTCGTAGTGTTGAATCTCCCTACCTGCATGCATTCGTAAGACCAGGATCAAGAGAACAGAGCTCATGGAGGCATTGGTTTGAATATGATGATTCGAAGTTCAGTCTCTCCGCTTCGGCATACTTCTTCGAGCACAGATCATGTTTCTTTAGGAAGGTGGTCGCGTGCTTTTGTCGTTTGGACTCCACCAGATCATTTGCTCCACCGCCGCCACAGCCGTTACAACCCACCATTTTATTTCTACAAGTACACCTGCCCGCGATAGGATCAAGAGGCCCTTGAAGACACGGCTGAGTGGTAATTGTTAATCCAAGTTTCCATTCAATCTCCATATCTACAATTAATCTCATGGATCCAACCTGAGAGATTCGTCAAAACTCAACATGCACTTGGTACTTCAGCTGCAACACAACCCCGAGTCAACCCTAGGCCACAGATAATAGGCCACGCTTTGATAACCATGGACACCAGAAGATGATCTTCTTGTGCGACGTAAAGGACTCTTAAACTGCCCCCTGCTGGCAGTTTGCAATGCATTGGCGACGTTCACGACCGCGCACTCTTTGCGCGGCGTGATCGCCGTCCACTCGCCCGTTTCTGGGTCCCGGAATTCTATCGTCGAGTCGTCGCAGAAGTGAAGCGTCACCGATCCCTCATCTGTCTGTTCGGAGCTGTTCTCTTCGATCAGCTTCTCTGCCGCGGGGATGTGCTCCATCTTGAGGCCCGACCTGGACAGGTCGCGCTCGTCGTGGATGGCCGCCATGTACTTGCGACGGTCTTCGTTGCCGACAAAGGGCGATAAGCGCCGAATGAGGGTCTTAGCTACTGCGTGCGACGCAGTTACAAAGGAGCACAAGGGCTGGGTCTCGGGAGAAGGGGGAATTTCTCCAGGCTGGAGGGCGTCGTAGGGGATCTCGAGGACCTCGCGGTCTGTGAAATGCTGATAGCCCTTTCTGGCCAATGGGCCCAGATAGTCACTCATTTTGACATCAACGAACTGATCGAAGTACTGGGCTTGCTGGGTGCGCAGGAGTGTTAGACTTGCGAGGAATTCGTCGCCGTTGAAGTTGCTCTCGGTGCCGGCGAGGTCTAAGTAGAAGAACCCCTGGCCCTGGCAGGCACGGAGCAGCTTGGATGTTTCAAGAGCGTCTCCAGCGAGGAGGTCGGCATAATGCACAGTTTCGAGGGCGGCTAGAGGCATCCATTTGGCCTCGAGAATGAGGGAGGGGGCTACCGTGGTTATCGTGGTCATCTTGTCAAGATTATCGAGATACACGGGCTTGCGGGGATGCACGAAGCACGAGTAGCACGACGAGAGTGACAGCCGAGAAAACCGGAGGCGGATCGGCTGTGCTACCTTCACATGCAGCTGTGACTTTTTCTCGTTTCCGATGGTGAGATAGAGGAGAGATACAAGAGATACAAGCGAGATACTTTCAAATTGGATTGCAGGGGACACAGAGATAGGAGCTTCCAGTCATTGCAAGTCCGGGCTGCCCCCAGTATCGCGCCATGTACAAGCGCCACTTAATTATCAATGACCAACGCCATTCGACGGCCGATATCGTTTGCACTAATACGACCATTCATGAGCTCTGACTGGCTCGACTTCGACTTCGACTCGTGCTTGTTGACTCCACCAATAACCCAACCCGCTTCTCCCCTCCCCCCGCGGGCCGCCCATTCGGGCTAATCCAAATGCAAATTGACGAGACATCTATACGCGCTCTTCTCTCTTCCTCGCCCCTATTCTAGACCTCCTCGAATTCTACAATCACCAAATCCGACTGCAATGCCTGTCCACCATTCTTCACCAGCTTTCCATCCGACAATCGCCAGTCCCCAGATCCCCACAGTACCTGGCTGATGGCCCGCGCCCCGTCCGGTAACTTCACCTCGACAACTGACGACCATGCAGGCGTCTGCAAAGACAACAGGCTGACCAGCATTTGCGTTCCAACGCGCCATCCGGCCACGTCCATCAACGCCGGACCTGTCACCGGTAGTGCAACTGTCGGCGCCCCAAGCAAGAACCGCGCGATGGCCTGGCTCGTCAGCACCCGACTCAACCGGCTCGTGACCTGCTTCAACTCTGCGCTGGTTGGGTAATCCCACATCACGAGGCCCTTGGCGTCGTGGTTCAGGCTCAACAGTGTCATGGTCACCTCTTCGGCTGCGGTGGGATACCGGTGCCAGAACGACTCATTCCCAAACGCCATCGGCACGCCCCAGAACGGCTTCGGCGTCCCCAGCCATGCCTGGTACTCGGCGAACCGGTCTAGCCGCACCGAGATGTCCTCGACCGTGCCGGCGCAGTCGTCACATCCGCAGCAGCCGTACGTCGCGTTGCACGGTGTCCCGTAGACCTCGGACCAGCTCGTGTTCACCGCAATCGGGTACACGTCTGAGAGGATGATGTCCGCGCCCGCCGCGTACTCCGCGTAGTAGAAGTCGAAGCAGTTCAGGCACAGCGACACCGGGTGCCATGGGTCCAGCGTCTTGATCAGCTCGTACGTCGTCCGCGTCGCGTTCAGCGCATCGCCCTGGCCGTCCGGCTCGTCGCCCGTATACCAGAGCAGCAGGCTAGTGCGCGTCTTGAGCCGCTGAACCTGGTCGGTGACGGCAGTCAGGTTCGTGTACGTCCAGCGCATATCGTACATCACCCACAGCCCGAGCTCGTCGCACTTGTCGAGGAAGAGGTCCAGCTCGGTGAAGTTGAAGGCCTGGTTGGCAAGCCCGGCATTGGGCACAATGTGGATGATGTTGTAGCCCTGGTCCTTGAAAGTCTGTACATTGCTCAGCGACTTCTCCAGCCACCCGTCCCAGCTCACGTAGAACGAGTACGGGAGGAGCGGCGTCCAGCCTGAGGAGCTGTTGGCATCGCTTTGGACAAGAAGGCCGCTGTAGAGATTGTCAATTTTAGTCACGCTGCCGCCATCATCTCGCGCAGGCAGACGATATATCTCTGAGGTGGCCGTATATATGTGTTTTCCATTGGAGAGCGTCCCCTGTACCGTGACATGGTAGGGCTTGAAGCGTGGAGCCAGGGCTTGTAGGGGAAAGGTGACTTCGGTCGAGGACGAATTGACGACCACTGCGTGAGCGAAATGCAATCCGACTTCGTCAACGGCAATTTCCACATGAAGATCCTGGGGGCTCTGTCCCGTTTTCTCCAGGGGCTCGCCGCGGATAAACGAGATGTCGGCATCGACAATCACTGACCCATGGCGATCTCCAGGAGTATATAGATTCATCCGTGGGCGAACACGCAGATCTAGCAGGGGCACTATAGACCGGGTCGGAGACGGCATTTCTCCCCCTGGCTCGAACGAGGCATTCCTGACCAGCCGGTTAGTCGAATCTCCATATCGTCTTGCGCAAGCACTTGTCTGGCTCTTACGTGGCCCGGTATGCCTTCCCGCACCAAATATCCACGCCTGGGGGATTGTTAAAGGCCAGGGCCAGGCCAGCCAACAAGGAACCTAATAGCCAACGCATTGAATATCTGTAGTATGTGTTACGGTCTGTAGGCTTGCGAAGAAGGGGGAAGGGGGGGAGGGCGGGCACAGCTCCTGAGCTTTGTTTATCGGCCTGTTGATCGACATCGCCTAGTTTCCTCTCCCCTCATCTTCCCCCTCATTGATAATGTCACCTTCTGCTCCGACGCTGCGAGGCTCTGATAGCAACTGTGGTATTGTGGCCGGGGATTTCTCGGCCCTTTCATTCTCGAACTGCAGTCTATTTAACCATTTGCCGAGATAGCACCTTCGTCAACTCCGCATTTGCCCATCATTGCCGATGTCGACTGGAGATTTGGATGCATGAGCAGATTGCCCTGATGTTTGGACTAGAATACAATAACCCTAGTCTGATCTATAGGCCACCAAATGGGAACCCATGAGCCAATCCTCATCAGACTAGCAGACGATTGGGGCGACTGTTCATAGAACCCAGGGAGTGCAATTTCAAGACTCCTCTTGAAGATCCATGCAGACCAGCACAGAACGGTCTATCAGCCTGCTCCTATCTTTTCTTTTGAACTCTGTAGATAGGTCAAATACTCTGTAGAGCAAATACTAAAGAAACATGTAGAAAAAAAATGCATTATACTGATCTCATTCTTCGCGTAATTCACCAGGTGATTAATCCATATTCTATAGACAGCCATGCTCGAATCTGGTATTTGCGAGGTTTAAAGGCAATGCGAAGGGGAACGGGGGAGGGGTGGGAGGCTTGCGGCACGGGACCAGACTCAAAAACAGGGAAAAGGGGGTGGGTAGATGAAACAGGGTATGTACATTTCATGAATGCATGCGGCAAAGACAACCATAAGAAGTGTGAATACTGGGGGAAGACTGGTGGGAACACGGGAAGAAAAGTGCATGATAGGTAGTAGTGTCAATGTGAGAAAAGAAAACAAAGCATAAAAGCACAGGCGGCAGAATTCACTACCGTCCTCTTCCCGAGTCTCCAACCCCTCCTGGCCAGTATATCAACCGCACTGATGTTGGTTCTCCGCAGTCACTGGAATTGGCCTGTATGCTCATGTTCATGATCATGCAGGGACGATGGGGGCGGACTCTTCGACACTCGAAACCCAATCTTCGAGATTCAGAGTTGGTTGGAAAGGAGACAGATAACCAGCGGGATGCCGGTGTGGGAAAGACATGGTTAATATACCACCGGCAACAAAAGGGTCGGGGAGCCCTGCAGTGTCGAAGATCCCGAACTGGACCAGTCGATGGCCTCCCTTCGTCGAACATCCAAAAGAAGTGTAGGGAGTAATTAAGAGAGAAAAAAAAGCACACAGCCAATCCCAGTGACGCAGACAGCACGCTATATGAATATGTCAACATGGATGGTGGAAATGGTCACGCCATCTTCCCGAATAAAACAAAACAAGCCGTCAGATCCATTGAACGCCGCCGAGAATGAAACCACAACATAACATGCAGGTTTCAGCAGAAAACTCCCCAAAGGCAGAGAAATGCCTAGGTGATGCTCACAGCTGGATGGGGAGGCATGGAGAAGCACACAAGGAGGGAGCGATGCAGGGGAATGACTGAGAGATAAGGGGGAGGGACTTTATGGGGAGGCCCAACCGCCAGCTACCTCAACCCACTCTGCAAGACAGCTGCCCTGCTTGCCTTCAACATCCACGATGTCGGTATCGCAACGGCATCGGCAGCCAACGCCGTTCTCCTTGACCGGATCAGGAGTGGCCCAGTACTCATCCTCTTCGATCCGCTTCTTCTCATCTTCAGTGGTTTTTTCGAGATAGGGCTCACGAGGAAGCTGGCGAGCAGGAGCGTTGGCCGGACAATGTTGGATGGTGGTGTGCCGGTAGCCAAAGTCACGGAAGTAGTGAATATCATTAGTCGAGAGGAGGGCACCAGCGGCGAGGGAGTGAATAGGGGCGTCACCCCACTGAGAAATCAAGTCAGTCACTGAGATCCAAAAATGAACGCAAAGGTTTGAAGCACATACTCGTTCATTCCAAAAGCCACCACTCCGGTCCATCATGTTGAAGAAATCTTCATACTCCTTGCTGCGGAACCAATCCAAGCGCGCGATTTCGAAGTTACTCCAGAAATGGCACATGTTGTAGCTCTCCCCTTCCATCGCCTCGGGATCAATGTCATCGAGACCGTTGTCGCCCGGTTCGGATTGGAGAATCTCCTCGGGAAGCTTCTCCGGCTTCTTCTCTCCTTCGGGTGGGGTCTCCTCCGCGGGCGGACGCTCCAAAAACATCTCCCACAGGCCCTTCGACGGGAGGTTGTTCTTGCGCTTATAGGCCGACGCATACCGGAAAATGTTGGGGACCGTTTCGCGGAGTTCCTTCACTGCAATAGTGAAGCCGTATGTCTTGTTTGCCTCAATCATCTTCATAAAGGGATCACTGCAATTGTCGCCATGTCAGAAATCGACCATACAAAAAACTGCGCCACTAATCCAAGGTTGTCTTACTAGGTGATATCACAGAAATACTTGATCTCGGGCTCCAGACGCCAGTACCACTCGTATTTCGCCAGGAGAGGGTGCTTGTAGAAAAAGCTGGCGATTCAAATCAGTTGTTGCCATTCAGGGCTGGATACCATCGTAACTCACCCTGAATAGAAGCGACACATGTGGTGATAGCTTTCCATACCGCCATACATGATGGCCGCATCACCCTGCTTCCGGATACCTTCCTTGGCAACCTCATGGTCGACCCAGTCGGGGAATCCCCACATAGAATTATCAATCTTGCCGAATTCCACGGGGGCGCTGGTATAGTTTTTGACCGTCGCCCGGAAGTCCTCGTCGAAATCCCCGTCATTCAAGAAGACGTAAGGATAGTGGAACCAACGGTTGAAATGGCGTTCGATCGACTTCAGAGACTGAATGACACCATCCAGCTCCTTGTTCCTTGCGAGAACAACGAACGCGGCATTGGCGCGAGGTCCCTTAGGTCCATCGGGGTCGATGGGCATACAGCCCGTGGCGAAGACTTTGTCATGCTTTTCGCTGATTTTTCTGTTTGCGACATCGACTGTTAGTGATTGGGGACGGGAGCCAGGAGACCCGGAGCGAATTGCCGGTCCGAGAGAAAGAGAGAGAGAAGAGAAAGCACGAACCGGATAGATGGCGGAGTGCCAGCTGGAATTAGAATACCCCCGGGAGTTGAAGGATGTCGGACGAAAAGAAGTAGAATGAAGACAATTACAAGACATGGAAATAGTAAAACAAATCCCAGGGGTATGGAAATAGACGAATTGCCCTTCAAGCGGATGCGCCGGCGGAAGAAAGCGAACCGGGAGGAAGTGTGGCCCTTCTCGCGGGAGGCATCGTCGATGGGGAGGCTCGGCGCGCTGGGCAGCCGTTTCGTGATGCGCTGAATGAAGCTCATGGGTGCGATGGGGGCACGCGTCGAAGACCGCACGGTGGCCAAGTCAACGAACCCAGAGCAACAGGGCCAGAAATTGTCGATAACCCCAAGCGGCAATCAGGGGAGGGGGCCCGGCTGCAAATGACGGAGAAAGTCCAGAGTCGAGGCGAGCAGTGAGGAGCAACGAGATCGAGAGGATCGACCAAGTCTTTCAGAAACTCGATGTCCGAGTTTCTCCAAAATAAGGGGGTCGTTCAACGATCTCGAGATCGCGGAGGACAAAAAACGAGTGGCCGGAGGAATGCCTCCTTTCCTCCCCCAACTTTCCTTCTCAAGCCCAAGGTTGACGGGTGGGAAGGGCGTTGGGAGCAACGCAGACGACCGTGGTGAACAATGGGGTCCACAGGTGAAAGGTGGAGGACATGAATGGATGAAGGTGATGGGGAGGGGAAGGAGAGAAGAGGTCAGAGAACGGGACGGGGATGATGGGCGAGGGTCTGAAGGTCTGCCAAGCCCAGGGAGGCGCAAGCGTTGCGAGTGTGGCCTCTTTGGGAGGTTCCCTCGCCCGTGTTACCGGGCGGTTACAGGCTGGTCTGGCTGGGTACTGTGTCGGTACTGTGTCGGTACCACTCAGGACTGCGACGGGCCTGTGGGCGACTGCTGAGACCAGGCAGTGACCATACAGTACCTGCCCATCTGGCTGTTGGGGTTTCCAGTGGGTTGGTGCGGCCGGGGTTCGCGTCACACCAAAACCGTTACTTTCCCCCTGATCCGGTGGCCACTGTGAATGTGGTAAATTTTTTTTTTTTTCTATTTTCCGTAATTTATTTGGATGCCAATGGAGATCCCAGTTTCACCTCTCAACTGTGAATACCAACAATACCAATAATACACCATGAAACATGACTATCGTACCTCTCGCCATGGATGGCTATTCATCATGTTAGACTACGACTATATATTTGGTCCACTCGAGGCTGTTTCTGGAGCCCTGTCAACGGGAGGACTAGAAGCTCTAATGAGGTTTCCGGGGGATTGTCATTATGGAGTGCCTTTTCTTGCATTTAGACTGAGGCTCATTGGCCCGCTCCCCTGCATCGTGCGGTGATACCGGCAGACGGTAGAGGCTCCTCTAATCGACCAGTTGAGGCAGTCTACTTATCTAGAGTCCTATGCCCGGGTATTGGGCGCCCATAGGCGTGAGGGAGTAGCATAAGCGCTGGTCGGGGCGTGGCTGGCCCGCCAATTCTTGTCTCTCGTCTAATGCGGCGGCTCAACGGCATAGTCGTACAAGGATTAAACTTGAAATCGAATAAAAGGAAAACAAGAAACCCCTAGAAAACCTTCCACGGCGATCTCGAAGGGCAAATGGGCAGGCAAAAGAGCAGATTTGTGGCCCACTGGGTCGGTTCTGGCCGGAACGTCTGTGGTGGCCAGCCTTATGATTGGACTAGGGCCACCCATGGTGACCGCGATGACGACGCTCTGCCGTGATGGCCTTGATGCGATGCGAGAGGTGAAAAGGAGAAAAATAAGGAGTTATGCCAGTTATGCCGGTCTGGCGAGGTAGCCTCAAGGCCGCTCTGGAGGTCGGAATTGGTGCAAGTACCGCGGATGGAGATCCTTCGACAGACAGTCTCAGACACAATTCTGGCACTAGCGCATGGCGATCGAGGGTCCAAGGCCAAGAGCCTAGGGCCCGTTCAACCCGGCACCCCCATCCGTGTCTCTCTGTTAATGGGGAAGGCAATGGAGAGAAGATCCCCCCTATCAGTAGGAAGCATAGATAGATCGTTCGAGGGGCATGGAGGTTGGAGGTGTTCCCCTCCTCGCTGGCTCCACGACCTTTCGATCTCATAACGAAGCAACGGCCGGAATTATAGGGGGCATGGCAATAGAGCCCAGGAGTCCACAGGAGTCCAAAGGGGGTCAGGGCCCTGCCAATTTCACGGCTCCACTGGGGATCGGATTATGTGGCCTGAAAGGAGGCACCGGCGGGTCTGGACTGCTGGCACGGACCCTGCAGACTTCCCACTCGCTGCACAGAGGCTCCTGTTCGTGTGAAGCATTACTCGAAAGGGGGAGGAAGGGGTATCCCTCTCCCTTCCAGAAAACGTGTCGTATGGTCGAATGCTTCATGAGGATCGCTTCAGGGACTCCATATATGAATTGATCATGATCATCGGTATCATCATAACGGCCGCTTCTCATCTGTGCAGACTGCTTCCATAACTTGCATAATCCGACCCAAGAGTCTATACGGCTCCATACATCACGGAGTACTTCAGAGAACACAATAGTCATAGGGTGTCACAACCGATCTCAATCTCAATAGCTTGAGGGGATTATGCATTCCGGCAGTACTCCCATGGAATATATTTCATAAATGATCTATTCTGTCTCTTCGAAAGCGAGTATTCACAGTATGATGTATTTTCCTGAATGACATGATTGTTAAATTCCCAGATGAAAGTATGGAAACCCCCAGTGTGCTTCGATGCACGATGTATGAAGGGGATGTTTTACTTGTCTTCACACCGAACGTAATGGATAAAGAATAAGCATATACTTAAAGTTCGAAGTACAGCAGGGAAACGTCCATGTTGAGAGATCAGTCATCATCGTCATGCCCGCATAATGTGATCTCGTCACACTAACAGCCTCGAGGGTCAAAGCCCTTCATTTTCTTCTTTCCGCTCTCCCTTCTTCTCTCCTCCTCTACTCCTGTCCTTCTCTCTCTCCTTTCTCTTCCCTTTATCAATCACAAGCTCTGGTAGCCACCAATCAAGGGTAAACGGTCATCGCATTGCATGGAGGCCGCGCCACCGCGGGGGGCTCCCCTATTCCGACTGCCCAAGAACTTCGCTCCCCTCCCAAACATCCCCAAACATCCCAAAGCACCATCCCAAAAAAATCGATTCCCACTCGATGCATAATCTGTCGCCGTCATCATGAATCAAGTACTCGCTCGTCCCTCCGTTGCTGAGGGGCAGAGCAACAACCACCATCCGCCAACCCCCTCGATCCCGGTCCCTGCTCCCCTCGCTCATCTCCGCCCGCCACCCTCCCGCAACGGCCAGGTCAACTTGGATACTTTTTCGCCCGTCAATGAGAACGGCAGTTTTGAATTTGATCGGGTGCTCAAGACCGGTCGCGTCTTCCGACGAGTCAAGCATAAACATGTCTTCCGCGCCTCTTGGAAACCCGCCTATTTGGTCCTTCGACCGAATCTCCTCTCTGTGTACAAGGATGAAGAAACCACCCGCCTCCGAGTCTCCATCACCCTCTCCGAAGTGACCGCGGTCGCCCCGGTCAAGTCCCCGCGCTCCAGTCGCCAGCATGTCTTCGGCATCTTTACTCCATCCAAGAACTACCGCTTCGAGGCGCCGTCGGAGCGCGACGCCGACGACTGGATCGGCCGCATCCGCGCCGAAGTCCCTGGCGACGAGGCCGAGCAGGCCTTCCTCGCCTTGGCCAGGAGGCACGAACCCCCCAAGATCCAGAAACAACTGATCGAGGACACTACCGACCACTCCGACTTCGACGGCCCTGCTGCTCGCGCCAGCTCCCCCGAATTCGGTCGCACACTGTCCCCGGCCGCGCGGATCCGGAAACCCCCTTGCACCCAGGATTACTCGGGCAACGATATCACCTCCTACTCCGAACTTTCGGATGGGCCCCCTCCCACGCGAAGCAGCGGACTTCGGTCCATGCCGTCGATTCACACGCTCTCTCTTTCTGCTCCCGAGGACAGACCCACCGCTTTGCCCCGCGATATCAGTCGTCAGTCGGAGCTAGGAATCCTGCGAGACCCTGAACGCGTCGTGTGCCAGGGCTACCTGCAGGGCCTTCGCATCAAAGGCACTGTGCGCCAGTGGAAACGCCTCTGGGTTGTGCTTCGGCCTAAGAGTCTGGCATTCTATAAGGATGACCAGGAGTACTCGGCCATCAAGATTATCTCCATGTCTCAGGTCATTGACGCAGCGGAGGTCGATCCAATGTCTCGATCCAAAACTCTTTGCCTCCAGATTATCGCCGAGGAAAAGACCTATCGGCTCTGTGCCCCGGACGAAGAGTCGTTGGCGCGCTGGCTGGGCTCTTTGAAGAGCATCATTGTCGCACGCAAAAAGCTCGAAACGGCCCCGACAGCGGCATAATTTTCAAGCCTCTCCCTCTCTCATCTTTCGTTAAACCTGCACCATTACCTGACTGGCAATCCTCCTCTCTCCCATCTCATTTGGCCATTCTACGACACGTTTCCAGCGTGATCTCCTATTATACCACACACACCTCTTCAGCTATCTTTTTCTTTCTTCAGTATATACCCCGGTTTTATGTTTGTGTTGATACCAAGTCGTCTATCAATGACGACTTTCCGTTGCTAACGAAGGAGCTTGAACTCTTTGAGCAACAGACAGGCGTTTAATATTATCTTTACTTCCACTCTTCTGTTCATATTAGGCGAGGAAGCCCTCCTATCCATGACTTGTGCCCAATCTCCTTTGTGAAAGCTCTTTTTCATTTACTGGACGGATTAATTGTAATTCTTTAATTGATGTGACTTTTCAATTGAATATTTGAGCTGGCTATTTTGAAGAGACTGACTGCTACAATCGAAAACGAGTTGTTCAAGGTCGAAGCTGAGCAGAGGAGAAAAACAAAACGGAAAGGGAAAACTATCCCTCCGGAAGTACACAGCTTTTCATTGAGCAAAGAGCGATTGGGAGAAAGCAACCACATAAACGTTGTACAAAAGCACAGCCCTTTTGTCAAGCTCTGACGGGCTCTTGGATTTCTATTCAAAAAAAAAAAAACTTGAAAGTGCAGAGCGGCAGTAGTAGCAGCAAATGCTCTACAAGGGCATCAAAATAAATTTATGATGCAAGCGATGGCCGAGAATAGAAGCTAAAGATGCATAAAGAAAGGGAAATAAAATGCCGAAATAATCATATCTGGCGGCTGATCTACCGCACTTCGTCTCGAGGGATACTTTCGTACTCGCCAGAAGATGGCCTGTCCGTAATACCGGGCGCTGCAGGACCCTCTTGGGTTTTGCTCTCGTGATTAACAACGAGGAATGAAAAGAACACAATTGCTGCTCCAAACCAGTACAGCGGTGAAGCGTACTGTGATTGTAGGAAGATCTGGCCGACCAAAGAAAGAGGGATGGTCAGACTGAGACCAACAGTTACGACAAGCGGAGTGGTGAGGAGCATGGCGTAAGCCCAGGCAATGTCGGAAATAAACGAGGAGATGGCGTTCACCTATATGTAGGTAATCAGTATTGATCTTATGGAGATATGTTCAAGGCAGACGTACCAAAACGATCGTCCACACTCGGTTCGTATTTGGCAGCTCGAACAACTCAACCCCGGTCCAATGCAGAATAAAAAAGCCTGGCCATAGTAGCACGAGATTGAAGAGTCCAACGAGGCCGAAGAACAGCTGCATGTTCACCCGCGACTCATCGCCGACCTGCTTCTTCATGACGATCGTGTATACGCCATACATGATAGCGCTGAATGCCGCCATGGCGTCGCCCAGGGCAATTTCACGAGAGGTCTTGTGCGGGAATGATCCTTCACCGTTACCTGCGGCCGCGGCATCTGCCCCTGCATCTGGCTTCGAGAGATCGACTCTCGAAATGAGAATGATGCCGATAAGAGAGGCGACGACGCCAAGAAATTTACGAGCTGTAAATCTCTCAACGCCAAGTAGAGCACCAAAAATGAGAGTCCAGACACCTAATCAAATCAGTATGAGTCTTACTCCACACTTTCCATCCCGGTGTCAGGTATGTGATGCCCTACCACTTGTAGAAGTCAGAATCGTTGTGCTTCCCACTGTCGTAAACTGGAGACAGGCCATCGCGAAGTAATTTGCCTGTTCAAGTCAAACGTCAGATCAGATCACCCAAGTTACTTCATCTCTCCCGTTTGGTAGATATGGCGAGTCAAAACATACAATGAACTATGACACATTAGCCTTACACTTTCAATACTGGGATCAACTCATTCATACCCATAAAAGGCAAAATTCAAAGCTCAGTTTAGCCGTCGCCCGCAGCCCTAGCTTTGATTTTCTTTCATCCATCTGGGACCGTGCATACTGCGAGTTTTCAATTCCATGATCACGGGACTCATCATCGAGCAACCCAGATCGTAGGATCCCCTGCTCCTCACTTTTCTGATATTCATAATCCAAATGCCGCAACAGACTCCGGAAAGAGGTGATCTGGGACAGTTTCCGAGCACGCCACAGACTCCATGTTCGGCCGGCCAAGATTGTGAAGAGTGGCAAGATAAAGATGGAAGTGTTGATATATGTCACAAAAAAGGGCTTGGGGTATGTTTTGTCGGCAAAGATAGTCTGTTGATGAGTTCAGGAGTCAGATTTCATGGTCTTAGAATGGATGAGCCCGGTCTAGGCCCAACGGAAACCTGTGCACGTACGCTTCCTAGGAAATTTGACGCTGTCCACAACAACACCACTACCAGCAGGAGAGCGATTCCGAGTGTCCGTCGCGCGAGACCGGCGACGCTTGAGCCAGGCATATCAGTCACTAGCGTCATTGTCATGAGTCTTGGCCAGTGCTTGGAGGGAATCGAGGGTCAAGTGAGGCTGGAGGGCGAGTGGAGATCTGGAGACAGTCGTCCTGGAGTTGCCCGGAACTTGCTCAATAAATACGACTCCCAGGCATCTGAGGTGGGATCAGAAGGAGAGAAGATTACCGGCAGCGGAACCCCTCCGAGAAGTGGTGGGAATCCTGCCCAGCAGGGAGAGTGTGTAGGAGAAGATGCCAAGCATTGTGCGGACGAGGATCGGCGATAAGCACATTCAGGGCTCCTATCGCGGAAGCCGGGTGACCCTTGTAATCATGCGGACTCGTTGGTCTACTCCGGCCATGTACATTGTTGCCTTGCCCGATCCCTTTCTCGTTGTTTGAAATTATCCTTGTGGTACATTGGGCCTATTCCCAATACATCTTTCGCAGAATATCATGGCTTGAAATGCTGCTGGGCAAACTTGCGGGGATCGGGAGAAAGATATATTTATCATTGGAACAGTAGGTATTGTTGCGGCAGCTCCAACTTGCCCGGGATATCAGCAGAGTAAGAAGACATGAAACAACACTAGTCAGGCACCTAATTATTTGCAGCCGCGTTCCAAACCTGGTGAAACCGAGAAACATCTACATAACTCACAAAGGAACAGAGAAAAACCCAGGACCTTCTCTCTACAGGATCCTTAGAAAGGCAAAATCAAAACCACCAGCAATAGGATAATGAAAAAGACAAAAGGAAAGAGAAAAAGAGACAAGGGAACAGTCGCTTAAAACGTCATGGAAGAAGTATAGGGATAGGGGTATCAACAGGCACAGCCATCACGCTCATTGTCCAGATGGATGTTGATCGGGTCACTGAATTCGCCACTAAACTCCTCCGCTTCCTCCTGTGCGAGCGCACTCCGGGCAATCACTACAAAGAAAGCTGGTTAGCTGGAAGGACGTAGACGGTATACATTCAATAGGGCCTCCAGAGCCTTACCTTCGAATGCTTGCTCGACATTGACTGCCTCCTTAGCACTGGTCTCGAAGTAAGGAATATTGCCCTTGGACTGACAGAATGTCATTGCTCGTTTCGAAGAGATCATCCGCTTGTTTTCTTCCACATCGATCTTGTTACCAATGACCACCTGTTCCGGGCATGTTAGTCTTTGGGATCTCCTTTGCTATCAGGACAACCCGCGTCACATTGCTCAGCTCAAAATCCGGATCGGAAAGGAATACTCACAAAAGGAAAGCTCTCAGGATCACGCGGGCTCGCCTGAATCAAAAATTCATCCCGCCAGCTGTCAAGAGCCTCGAAACTCTTGGAGTTGTTCACGTCGTAGACCAAGACACAGCAATCAGCTCCTCGGTAGAAGGCAACGCCCAATGATTGAAATCGCTCCTGACCCGCAGTGTCCCAGATCTAAGCGTGAAAGGTTAGTTGTCAACCTAAGAGGCATGGGTTTTCATATTCTCCAAGAGAGCTTTACCTGCATCGTCACCAGTCGGTCATCCACTAGAACTTCCTTGGTCAGGAAGTCGGCGCCGATGGTCGCTTTATAACTTCCACTGAATTTCTTGTTGACCTAGCGATACCGAACGACAATATATTAGCGGCACTGGAATGGGAATAGCGGAGGGCGGCTCGGCATCGACACCCAGCTTGAAGGAGCAGGGAATGACACACATATTGATTCATCAAGCTTGTTTTGCCAACGCCGCTGTCACCGAGAATGATAACCTGAGTTGAAGGGTCACTTGTTAGCTGATGGCCCCGGTTCATGATCTTTGGGAACCGAACGGAGCTACTGCGGAGATCGTACCTTGAGGAGGACCTTCTTCCGAGACGCCATGGCAGCGGTGTGTTCAGGGACAACAGGAAAAGCGGCGGTATACTACCAGAGGTAGGTCACAGATAGAGAATAGAGCTAGATTTGCAGTTCCGATGTGTTGTGGTGCGGGGGAAGGTAGTCAGGAGCGTGGTTGGAGAGTTGGAGTTGGGTTGCAGCGGGATCCGATGATGCATGAAGGCCGGGCGGTCGAGGGGGGCGGTGGGCAGGCCGATCTGCTGATAACAAACAGATTAGCTCCGCCCGACATCATTGCATCCGACACATTCCTCAGTCCCTGATCGATCGCTCAAGGCCGATGGCCCACTGGAGAGAGGAGTATCTGGCCGCGCTGAGAGTTCGCGATCAAAGGGAGAAGGCCAACCTCGCTCTCTACGATGCCTGTTCGTTCCTCCTGGTTCCAAGATATTCCGGTGAAGCTGTGTTGTGTTACTGACGTATTGCCGAATAATCTTTAGATGCTCGACTGGCGGATCGCACTGCCCAGCCGACAACTCCTGTAGACACATCTGAAAATCGCACAGAAGCAACAAGACCGTTGGGCGGTCTTAATGAAGCTCAACGCAGCGTTTCCTCTCCGTCTACAGCGCCGTCCAAAAGGCAACCACCCTCTGAAGCGGGTCTCTCGTTGACAGACCTTTTGAAAACAACACGTACAGACTTATCTGAAGCACAAAAGTCTCGTTCGGAATTGCAAGATCAGTTGAATCGGATTAACACAGAAGCTGAAAAGCTGCGCAAAAAGACCAGCCAAGATGCCCGGCGACTCGATGCCTTGGCAAGTGAAAGAACACACTTGCAACTGCGATTGAAAGACCGAGATGAAGAGCTGAGGGGAAAGGCAAAGCTGCTGGAGGTATGTAATCACCCAGGGCAATGATCAAACTGGATGACACAGCAGTCTTCTAGAGAATACTGACTCCGCACAGGATTTCCAAGATGAGATGGCCACCTTGAACCTCCAGCTCAATATGGCCGAACAGAAATCGAACAAACTCCAACGTGAGAACCAAGAGCTTGTGGACCGTTGGATGACGAGAATGGGCCAGGAAGCCGACGCCATGAATGACGCCTCGAGATTCTCCTAAACTTACCACAATTGGGATCAGAAACCAGCATCATTGCACATAATTACCCCCGGCGCCCTTTTTGACTCTTCCTTTTTTCCTCTTCTCTTTCAAGATCATACTAAGTAGACGCATGGCTATTAACCACACGAGCAGCAAAGTTACTCTATACAGACACGATGGAACAAGACAGATTTTGTACAGTTTAGAAATGGTATCATACAATAAGTCAAACGATATGTAGGGGAACAAGTAATGTACAAGACGAAATCAAAATGCGATTTATACAAAGTTCCAAAATATTCAAAACTGTCAAGGGTGACGGCCACGTATTTATAGACCATCGTCAAAGAAGGCTTTCAGTCGGGAACTGTCCTTGGTGGCAATGAAATAAGTGCCACCAACGTCGGTCCAACTGACACTGTTGGACCAGTAGTTCTTCTGCTGGACTTTGAGAAGATTGATAGGAGAATTGAGATTGCGAGATTGAATCTTATGGCCGGCGGGAACAAAAGATTTAAGCGAAACAATCTGGCATCCTTCCTTCATGTCGAGAAAATGGTTGATCAACTCATTGTTGAGTTGGGGGGTGAATGCCTGGTTATTAATCAGGACAACATCGGCCCTCTTCAAAACGTTGATGATACTCTCTTGTTCGAGAAAGTCGCCTCGAACAAGATGTGTCTTGCCCGGTGCGATGCCCCAGAGCCGGCACCGTGCCTTGAACTCAGCCTGCTGCAGCTCTGCTAAATCGCAGGCGTTGGCCATCATCTCACAGCCCCAACTCTCGCAACCAACCTCAAGGGCCGCCTGAAGAACAACGTTTCCTACTCCAGAGCCAAGGTCGACGAAGACTTGGCCAGACTTCAACTTTGTCTCCTTAAAAATATTGCTGATGAACCGCGGAAGTAGTTCACCGTATACGTTATCTGTGCCGTTTTCATATTGCCGGAGAGACTCAACCCGAGGAGACACTGTGCGCGCATAAGTTTGAGTGAGAATGCGCTCGACCCAAGGAAGGCCCATTCGTTGTGTCTCATCTAAATGTCTGGCAAGGCTGCCGCTGCTGCGTAATTTATCGATCGCCTTATTATAATCCTCGATAGCTTCACGAAATTGTGTCTCAGATGTTACCGCTAAGGCTCGGCGCAATCTTCGCTTGATTCCAGTGGTCTCGTTCGTGAATTCATCGGCATCTTCGGTGGGAATGTAGTTGTCGGAGACGGTCTCGATGACCTGGATGATATCGTCTATGGGCCGGAAGTCGTCGTTGTCTTTTGGTACCATAGAGTCAAATCTGCCCGAATAAACAATTAGTTCGTCTCTTCAATCTGGACTTCCGGATCCGAGGAGATACATACCGTTCTCTGTGGCAAGCACTAGGATACTGTAGAAGAATCTCTCTACGCTTGCCCTCGGCACCAAATGCTGGCTTGAACTTTCCAGCCTTCTGACCCGACGTGATATCGACTGCATGTACCATCTTGAAAGGCCGCGAAGCCTCCTCCGAAAATGCCTTCACGGAGCGAATGCGTCGCTCTGGGTCAGGCTCCGCACTCGCGCTCGTCCGCGCGCGCTTTCGCACCTCGAAAGAGGTATCCGTGTCACTAGCGTCGTCATCACTGGATAAACGCGTTTCGGGAGTTGGGCGTTTGCGTGGACGACTCGGCGTGGTGAGTCGTTTGGAGGGGCGAACATCTGCGTCACTCGAGACCGATCGTGCTTTGAGGGCGTGCGTCTTGCGACTCCGTTCCGACGAGGACTGAACTCGAGGCGATCGGGATTCCGGGGTCTGGGTCGCAGACTTTGCAGGTGCTGCTGGTCGCGTCTGAACGACTTTGCGAATCTGCGCTTTCTGCGGTTGCAGCGAGAAGGCCCCTCCTTTTTGGAGGTGGTCGAAAAAGCCCATCGGGAGGGGTCGGGGGACGGTGCTAATAAAAATGTAGGAGTATGAATCAGAATAAAAAAATGCAGAGAATGACTAATTTATGCAGAAGAACATGAGGGGTCTAAGGCAGTATACAAACGCCCACCCGGCCGAACGACGGAGAGTTGAAGAAGAGAAGAGAAGTAATCGATAAGCGCCACTCGGGGAAACCACCGCCGCGGCGGCGGTTCTGTTAGCCCGCAAACCTCAGTGACTTCGGGTTACAGTGTATCGGTTTCACCCGAGAAGGGAGTCCGGTATTCTGTACGGAGCACATTATGCTATGATATAATTCATAATTTGCGTAATTTGTATATGATCGATATTGTTTTATTGAGAACATCTTTTACTCATAACTTGGCTCGGGGCATCCTGTCCCCATCTACTGCGTATACCGCCAAGATCTTCCCGCCTCGAAACAGTACGCAGTACGAACTATAAAATGTCGACCTGCTGAACGACAATCAAACCTGGGCTTTCTATGTCTTTCGTTGTAGGGGTACTAGGAAAACTATTGTGTACACTGCCCCGTGCGGGTATCATCCATATTTTGTCTATACACTATGAACAAATCGATAATTACGCCTTCTTCTTGGCCAGTCTCTTTTGTGCCCGAATATCCTTCTTCATACGTGAATCCACGATCTTGTACCTGCCCTTCACTCCGCGAGGTCGCCCAGAAATACCACGGTTAGCACCTCTGGCAACAACTAGCTTGACTTGTTGCTTGGGCTTCTTTTTGGTGGCCTTGCCCATTAGCTTCGATATAGCCTGGGCCTTGTCACGCTCACTGAGCGCTTCGTCATCTGCTAGCAAGGCCGACTTCTTCCGCAGTTTCTCCAGCTTCTGAGCTGCCTTGAACTTCTTACGACCCTTTGCCTCCATCACCTTCTTGATGGGACGGGCGTTGATGGCACGCATTTTCTCTTTGATTGCAGCGGCCGCGGCTTTGGTGATTGGTCTCTGGAGCTTGCTGTGTGGGCCCTCGTCATCAAGGAACCACTCGGGAAGACCGTCCAGGTCACGGAATGAGTAGCGGTTGAAACCATCATCAACAACATCGGAGGACTTCTTCTCGCCCGAAGCCATCGCCTGTGCAAGGGCCATCGCTTCAGCAGTAATAATATCGATATCTAGATCTCGGGCGTCAGAAAAAAAAAGGCAACGCGTGGCTCCCTCAACGAGATTAGACTTACCGAGTTGGCCATTGGCCTTGCGGGGATCCTCTCGCTCTTCATATTCCTCATCCGAGTCGACCCATTCCGACTCCTTCTTCTTCTTCTCTTTCTTCGTCTTCTGCTTAGGTGTGGGGGCCGGAATATCCTCTTCCTCGGTCTCACTGTCTTCCTCTTCGTCTTCTTCCTCGTCTTCCTCGTCTTCCTCCTCGTCTTCCTCCTCGTCTTCCTCCTCGTCTTCCTCCTCGTCTTCCTCCTCGTCTTCCTCCTCCTCCTCATCTTCCCCTAAACCTTGGAAGATATCCTGATCAAAGAAAAGGGAAGCGTTGTTCGACAGAGCGCCAGACTGAGGGATATTGTTTGCAGAGGCATTTTGGGGGGCCTCATCCTCATCCTCCTCCTCATCATCACTCTTGTTGTCCTCGGAGAAGCCCTCCCACTCTTCGGTCTCGTAGCCTTTCCGAGCCTTCTTCGCGCGTAATTTAGAGTCCCTATCCTCCATGCGCTCTTGGTACTGCTCGTACATTGAGTCAAGTTCACCCTCGAGACGATCGCCATCGTCGTCGCTGCCCTCGTCTTCCGAGTCAGATTCGTCCTCAGTGTCGCTATCGACAGGAATATCGCGGGCATTAACAACGGCATCTCTGGCACCGTGCCTATCCACCTTCTTCAAAGAGAAAGTGGTATCCTCGCCTCCAGGTCCGATTTGTTCCATGCCAATATCCATGGGTGTGGTCATGTGCATTTGCATGCGGACAATTTCCTTGCGTTTCTTTTCGTTTTCTTTGCGTCGCTCTTTCTTTCCGCGTGTAGTTTCCTTCTCCCTCATTTTCATGAGTTCCTCTTGAATGGCGAGCTCTTCATCCATCGGGGCGATTTCAGCGACTTCTTCCGCCTCATCATCCTTCTGCTGCTTCTTCTTCACGACAAGTCCAAACTCCTCCCGGACCTTAAGGCGCCACTTCAGTAGGTTACGGAATTCCTTCTTTCCGAGAATCTTCAAATCCTCGCAGCAGGTCCTAATTTCGTCCGTGGTGTCCTCGAGGCGTTCTAGGGTGGACATAGCAAGATCTCCACCTGGTGGCTGTTGGAAGCTGAGTTTGTTGTATCCACCCAGGATTGCAATAGGGTCCGTTGTGTTGATGAATTCGGTGACCGGGATTTCCTTGAATTGGGTGTAATCTCCCTCTTCATAACCCTCTCTCTTGCGCTTCTTCTTCTCAGGGTTGAAGACCTTGGCTTCATAATTCGGGGTGGCAGCAGAAAGCTCAGCGAAGACGTGCTTGGGGTCCAGGAACTTGGGGTCGATGCGCTTCGGCGCCTTATAACCACGGCAGACGACGAAAATTTCGGCAGACACATTACGCGACGAGGGAGGCTTGGTCGCTTCGACGGATGTGAAAAGCTGCTTGAACACCCACAGCAAGGGATTGTAATCCTTGGAACGGAAAACCTTGGTGACAAAATTTCCGCCCTCGCACAAGAACTCCGTGGCCAGCTTCAAAGATTGCAAAACCAGTTCAGCCTGAGAGAAGGCATCCTGAATCCATGCAGTACCGACGTTAGGCGCACCGTCGTGAAGCACAGTGTCTGCTTTCCAGTGTTTCAGGTGGGAACGAATCGTCGCGCGACACTTTTCGGTGGTAATGTCGCTCTGGAAGGAGATGACTCGAGGAATTGGCTTGATCGGAGCCAAATCGACACCGACAATGATACTCTGCGCGGGCATGCATTCCGCAGCCACTTGACACCATGACTTTTCAGATAGTCAGTAATACGCTCTGAGATGAAGAAAACCACAAGGAGGATACGTACACCGGGTGCAGCACAAAGATCAAGTAAAACTTTGCTCTTCTCCAAGAAACCGTACTTTTTGTTCAACTGAATCAACTTGAACGCAGCACGGGCTCGGTAGCCCTTCTCCTTCGCAAGTCGATACCATTTATCCAAACGACCTTTTCCGTGCTTGAAGCAGTCAGTACAGCGCCCAGGAGGTTATATAGAGAAAACCCAAACCTTTTTCTGGATCGCCATCTTGAAAAATGGGCGGTCTCGTCAGACCTTTCCTGCCCTGAAATCAAAGAAGAAAAGCCAACAGAAGCTGTATACTTTTGATGCCAGCGGTTCCGGAGAAAAAAAAAGTCGAACTTATCGCTCACCGCCTTGGGCCCGGCCACATTTGTGGCCTGATTTTCAAGGCGATAAACTACACAGTCCGGGCAGCGGCCAGGCCAACATGTGACGTGCGTGATAAGACCCCCGGTTAGTGGCGCTTGTAAGCTCTCCAAGGCTTCCTTCAGAGTCGTTTTTGCTTCTTGAGCATATGGTGTCTCCCTCATGATAGCACTGTCGCTTCCATGACGGTCAAGGGATCTCGCAAGAGAGTTAAGCCCAGTCCCTCTGGCGCGGACTCGCCATCCCCCGCATCTCCGGGCAATGCTGCCCGAGACCACTCAGACTCTCAAACACAAAGCCGTGCTGTAAGTCAAATAACAAATACTGCGTTAATGAGGCCTGCTTAAACAACCTGAGCTAATAATCGGTTACTTTGCAACTCTTCTAGAGTTGGTATCCTGGATCTTGGTCAGCGATCTCGAGAGCTTCTAAAGCGGCCCCAGTTACCGAGGTTGCCCGTGAGAGCATATCGGTCGCCCAAAACATAGCGTCCAGCGCCCTCGATTCCTCATCCTCCCTTTTCGACACCCCGAAACAGACCCGAAACCCGTCCTTTCAACTGACCAAGAAAGCTGGCGCATCGACACGGTCACTTCCTGCTGACGTGACTACAACCCGGGTCAATATTGCGTCGGATGGCTCAGCTTCTACAACAGCTTTGGATGCCATCGACACCCCTGCAGGTACAGAAACTCAATCCAAAAATAAAGAAGAGCCAGGGGAAGGGACTTCAAAAGCTCTAGAAAAACCGACTGAATGTCAAGGATCGATTTCCGAAACAACTGGAGCGGAAGCGACTAGTCTACCCGTGGCTACAGCTGAGCAGGCTGGTGGATGGTTTTCATGGATGTATAGACCTGGGCACTCAGAAAAGGGCAACATAACTAGACCTGAGCTGGCAGAAACAGCTCCTTTATCCCCGGTTGGGCCCAACCAGCCTGTGGTGCAAGACGATCCTCAATCAATCGCGAATGATACAAGTCCACAAGAATTGCAAGATCAAGGCCAAGATCAGATACAAAGACAAGCAACCGATACGATAGAAATAACATCTACCGCTCAGAAACGCTCGTGGCTGCAGATGTGGTACGGTTCGGCTTCGTCGACCAAGCAGGGAGAAGAGAGCAAAGCAGCAGATGCCTCTGAGCCCCTCTCTTCGGAAACAAATGCATCTACAGGTAAAGCTGTGGATATGACACCCAAAGATCCCTCTGAAGGAGTCGAAGAAGAGGCTGATTTGTCGCAAACTTCTATTGGGGCCACAAAATCCTCGGGCTGGTCGTTCTGGTCCAAAGATACTTCCAAAAGCACCACTCAAGACAAACCACAGGAGGCGAAAGTAGTAGAAGCTTCTATCTCTCCAAATACATCCTTGCCGCCAACATCACTAGAGCCTGATCCAAAGGCAGATGTGACCATTACGAAAAAAGGAAATATTAAAGTGAAACCATCAAAGGATGACCGTGCTAAAGACGGAGCCGTATCCACGGTTGAGGCAACATCCATACCACCCGCTGAGTCTCGTTCAACTGATGTCAACGCATCAAAGCAGTTGCAGAGAATTTTGCCCAACCAAGTACTTCCTCGGTTTGAAGAGACATACCATTTAGAGGAGTCTCCTTCTATTTTACAGAGTCTCGGTCGATTGCTGCATTACAGCAAAGGTCCCGAGCATAATCATGTCTCTCGTGTCAAAGAACCGCCTCGCATAAGACGTGCTTTGGCCATCGGCGTTCATGGGTATTTCCCTGCCCCGCTGATTCGCAGCGTTCTCGGGCAGCCTACAGGCACGTCGATACGATTCTCCAATATGGCATCTGAGGCCATTCGAAAGTATACCGCCGACCACGGTTACACGTGTGAGATTGAAAAGATCGCGCTCGAGGGCGAAGGTCGCATCGCAGAGCGTGTAGATTTGCTTTGGAAGTTACTATTGAATTGGATGGAAGAAATCCGCAAGGCTGATTTTATCATGGTTGCATGCCACAGTCAAGGAGTCCCCGTCTCAATCATGCTAGTTGCAAAATTAATTGCATTCGGATGTGTTAATGCATCCCGTGTGGGGATCTGTGCAATGGCTGGCGTGAATATGGGTCCCTTCTCTGCCTACCGATCACGATGGATAAGCGGATCTGCTGGAGAGCTGTTCGAGTTTGAATTGCCCTTCAGCAAAGTATCGAAGGACTACGAGGCTGCGTTGAGATGCGCCCTTGATTTCGGCGTGCGAATTTCGTATGTTGGAAGTATTGACGACCAATTGGTGTCTCTAGAGGTAAGGTCAGACTCCCGCTGGGAAATCGAATACTTCGCTGATGTTCATAATCAGTCATCGCTATTTTCGCCAATAGCTCATCCTTACATCTACCGCTCCGTGTTTGTAGATGGCAGGGTACATGCGCCGAGCTTGTAAGTGCTACGTGGGTCTTTGATTCATTGTTTCCGATACTAATGTACTTCGATAGCCTTTCACATCTTGTTGGCTTCGCGCTCAAGCTTCGAAATCTTGGAATTTCCGACCACGGTCTCATTCGTGAGCTCAGCAGTCCATTGGCCGGTAGTCTTTACACTGGCGATGGACATTCTCGCCTGTACGATGACGAAGCTGTATATTAGTTCGTGGCACCTTGTGAGACCATTCTTTCTACCTAGAAAGCAAGACTAACATGTTTTGTTTCAGCATGGCCATTCAGTTCACTCTGGAAACATCCAATGTTCCAGACGCCAGCTTGAACACCAAACGTTCTAGCCCGGCGGTCTCTCCGAATCCATACATCCTTCCCTTCGCTATGCGTGGTCTCCTCGAGGAAGAATACGTGCGCAGAGAACTACATGAAGAGACGATGGAACTACTTCGTCAATTCGATGACTGGAAGCCGTCGAGCAAGGTTTTGAAGGACGTCAAATTTCGACTCGAGGGCATCAGGTCAAAGCTTTAGCCCTTAGTGTCAATTTGTGCGATAAGATATCCATAACATCTTGCTTTAGCGTTTGCAAATTAGCGACAGATTAGAGGAAATATATACAAAGTTCCCCTTTACCTCTGAAGTATTGGTTTTTTTTGTCAGACGTTTTTTTCTCTGATACACTGTGCTTGAATATCAAAATGTAATATTTTGGCGTAAGTAAAAGTATTTACCGTTCGTGTATATGGTAAGTTTATTATCAGGTTCCGGGATTGATAGATACATGTATAATCATGAGGATAGAAGAGAAGAAATTAAACGTGTATGTGAGGAACGTCTCGGTGTGTGTAGAGGAGAGGGGAAAGTAGGCTTTTTTTTCGCAGAAAATGCAGGCAGTAGATAATGAAAATCGTGTTTCAGCTAGCTAATCCGATGCAATAGGGAACGCCGTTGAATATGCACCTTGGATTTCATCTGCGAGATTGTTAGCAACTTGGGCAATACAGAAAGACAAGGGCCCGCAAAGTCAAGTCTTTTAGAAAACGCACCTCTCATCCCATCCAACGCCTCGAATGCAAGTGAATAGTTCGACACAGCCCCGATTATGCGCTCCAACCCCTGTCGCAACTCTTCCACAAGTCGGTCGGTCGCGTCGGTCGCGAGACCGTTCTCTGACTCTGGTGAGTACTGCTTCGCTACACGGGTTTTGTAGAAGAGCATAAACATTGCGTAGCTGCTCTGCATCAGACAGCACGCGAATGACGGCATTGTACGGGGCAAGATCCGGCCTGGTCTTCGTTGGTCGTTCTCAGACAATGGCTGTGGATAAGGGAGGCCTTCAAACATGCTAGATATGACAAGCGCAGCGCGGAGACAAATTTTCGCCGAATGCTGTGGGCTGTATGGGAATCCGGAGGCGAAGGGGTATTGTGGGTACTTAGGGATGTAGGGGTGGATGTCGGATGAAGTAGAGGAGTCGGGTGGTGTCATGTATTCCGAAGATGAAGCACGCTGAAATTGGTCCAGATTACTGCAGGAACAGGAAGCACTGCTAATCGCTATACCTGAGATAGTTGGTTTATTGCTGATGTCTGTGGGTTGGTCGCTATGATTCGCGGCTGTCAGGTCGCAGTGCCTCTTGATGAAGATGGGGATATCGGAAAACGCTCGAAAGCGGTGAATTTTGATTTGTGCACTGGAAGACTATTAGATTCAGAGCCTAAAGCCGAAGAATTGAGCATATGAGACATACCTGGACAGCTTGATTCGGCATATGGATCGTATACTTTGAGCTGTGATAGTTTCATCATAGTCACCAAAGCCAGGCTCCTGCGAGCTTATAGGAAGAAGCTCGGTCTGAGCGAGCACCGAATTAGTCCAAGAGTCGAGTTGTTGCATCCGCTCAAACATATAATGCATCCCTGACTGGGATGAGAGGGATTTGTTCAGGTCGACGATGAACTGCGTGGCTGACACCAAGACTTGTTGCGCTTGTATCAGGATTGACCAGCCCTGATAGAAATTTTAGCAGGCTGAATTGGCAGTACATATGCTGGGAAAGAAAAATGAAGGCCAACCTCTGCGTCTGCACTGAACCGTGGATATGGAGTCGTGAATTGAGGGTCATTGATGACAATCGTGGGTGGCTGGTATTTGGTCAGCTGCTGTCCTAGAATAATGTGAAGATGAGATATGCACATACTGTTGTGCTCACAATAGAACCTTGAATGACACAGTAATACTAGAAAAAAAAAGGTTAGATATGAGCTTGATAATGGAAGAGTCCAAAAAATCGTACCGTCATCCACCAGGCTCTACGACGGGCTTCAGATGATTCATCTTCGTTCATGTATGCGTGAAGCGACTTGTCCAAAGCAAGTGCTAATGCTTGGCTGGCGCGGTATCTCATTTTCAGTAAGTTCCCACGTTGCGAATATTCGTAAACAGATAAGATTAAAAGAGCAAGAAGAGTCTCGAGGTCCTCCGGGGTCCTCGAATGGAATCTCTCGCGGTTGACGGAGGGCCGCGTACTTGACAGAGCCTGACCAGGATCTGTTGATGATAACTCAAGGTCACATTCCGCCTCAATGATCGAATTGGCGAGTTGAGCAAACGTATGGGCGTACTTTCGGCGCTGAAGAACCGATGCTGGAGAGGATGGCTCAGGGTCATTTGGGTGCGGAATTAGCGCGAGGATTGCTGAGATTGCAAGGCTCAGCGGCGAGCGAGGCCGATAAATCATGAGAGGCTCTGATGGCGGATTGGAACTAGACACTGGATAGTGTAATGGTTGGTCCTGACATGGGGGTGAGGCCCGAGGTGGAAGAATAGGAAAATAAGCATGGATGAAGTCATAGTAGGCATTCAAACTAAGGGCAGGGATTAGAGAAAAGGAATGTGACGTTAGGGAGAGAAGGATATGGTTTACATCTCCGGTTCACTGCCGTAAGTTCTCACAAAGCAGGACGTGGCGGTCAATGGTGACGGCATCAATTCCATATGGATCTGAGATGAATTCTCATCGCCCGGAAAGTAGCCTTGGAATACAGATGCTACTTGGGGGAAGTCCAGATGTCGTAATCCGGCGCCTGGCAGAGATAGAACATCGATTTGGCTGAACATCCCCGGAGCTGCGACATTGTGAGTGATACCGGAAATAATGAACTATCTCTGTGGAGCGAAACATACCCTCGTCAAACTCCGGGGAGGGATCCACCGAATAGTGAGAATCAGCATCAAGACGCGGCTCTTCATCCGGCGATGGGGAGGCCTTTTGCTTCTTTTTGCGGGGGCCCCCTCGTTTGCTGGGGAGATACGAGCATTTTCGGCCTTTGGCGACACACTAGGGTAGTAGCTAGTTAGCCTCATGGATATGCAGCGGGATCTGTGCTAGCAACCGGAGGTCCACAGATGGTTCCGGTAACAAATCAATGGCACAATTATCCCAGAGGAGCTGCGCTAGAGGCGTTGGCAGTGAACCGTAACGCCGTGAGAGCAAAAGACTAGACATACGTTGGCACAAGGCTCTTGGCCGCCGCATCGTGTTCTCGAGGCGCGACTTGAAGACGCGGGTCAGCACATGAAACCCTTCACGGTTCGGTCGGGGCCAAAGGGAGGGGGCAAAGACGCACCAAGGCAAACAAGCTACTTTGACAGGTGGTTTGGCGAATTTCTTGCGAACCGGCCGAGGCGCCGTCGAGGCAAGCCCGGCCTCGTTGTGAAAAACGTCGACCATGGCGAATCACACTGCCGGGATGGCATGGGGCGATACTCCGCAGTCCCCCGCCTGGCCCTCTTGGTCGGGCTTTATCGAGAGAGAATTGAACCTTTCGCGAGTCAGGCTGGCGCGTTTGTAGGTGAATCAACTTGGTCGCGTCGATCAAAATTAGAGTCGCGGTTGTTCGGATTAGCCCTGGATGACGCAGAGATGGTTCTGGGCGAGAGTGAAGAAGTGCTCTGATATAGAAGCGGCGTGCTGATTGCTCGATCGCTCTCGATCCAAATCCCGAGCCGTGGAGATTCGGGATTTGCTTGACGGGGCGGATGCCCGCGATTTGTCACGACGGGGCTTCACCTCGTGCCTGGCGCCAGGAATTTGACGCAGACACGGCCAACATGGCATTATCGAGGAATTTATGAGGTCAGGCTGGCATGTTCTACTCCACGCTCCGATGCGTTGATCGAGGCGTTGATTCTCGGGGAAAGCGAGCGTGCCTTGAGGTCACGTGGCCCAGGATACTGTGGCCCGCTCCGATCGGTCTACCTGCCCACCGTGACGAAGGATCGAGGCGGGTTCCAGGGCCCAGAGGGCCCGAATAGCCTGAATTCTTATTGTGTCTGGTCATTGTTTGTTCGGGCCAGCGAAAGGATAGTCAATTGGCGTGGAAGTGGAGCCCGGGAGGGGGTAAAGGGGGGACGGCCGGGTTTGTTAATATGCATCTACTGACGTGGAACATGCTTCCAAGGATGAAGATCAACAGAGATGGAACGAGGTGTATAAACTTTAGACGAGACAGACGCGTATCGCTCGGGTATCTCGAAGCATCCAGGTCCCTCGACAGCCAAGCAAAAAGTACAAGCGGGAAGTAGCGCTATCACCAAAGATCACCATCCACGATAACGATAATTACCCAAAAGATAACCATAAAATCAAATTCATCGCGAGAGCCCCACCAGCGAACCTGCGCGCATCAGAAGCGGAGTCGCCCTCGCGAACACCTGCGGGGTGACCACAAAGGATACGAACTATATACTCTAGGGACGTCGTAGTATGTACGAATTCCAAATTCCAGATCGTCCTCTCCCTGTGTCCCCGAACTAATTCTTCGCGCCGGTGGAGGAAAGCTTAATGCCGGTGACGTATCGAACGCTGTCCCAAACGCTCTCGGGGACTTTGGTCGGCAGCTTATGGCCTTTCAGCTGCTGGTCGATCAGCCACATTCCAACGACAAATTCTTCCTTTGTCAAAAGTCCAATCTGCTGCTGATCCACCAGATCCCATACCTGTTCCAGCAGGACGGGCGGCAGTCGGCTGCGGGACCAGATCTCCCGCACCACGAGGTTCAGCACCATCTCAGAGGGTGGCGGCCATCGCTCAGTTCCATTGGGAGCGAGTTCACGCCGAGCACGACCCGGGTCGATGAACAATCCCCGGTTAGAGGCCCAGACGCCCTCGTATCGCCTGCGCTCCTTTTCAGTCACTTCCTGACGCCACCGTTTACGATCTCCCTCATGATGCTTGTGGGGGTGTTTATGGAGCAGATGCATTTTATGCCGCCGGTTGGCATCGGCATCATCGGCTTTCGGCATGCCGCGGAGAGTATGTGGCATTCCCTTCGGTGGGCTCGGTGTTCGGGAGAGATCGCTCTTCGGCGAATGCGCGAGCTGAAGGATTGACCGCGATCGGGCTCGTCGCCGAGTTGGAGGGGGTGGGGGCGCTTTCGCAATGGGGGATGCCCGTGCCGATGCGAGGGAGGACGCGACAATGGCATTGGAAAGTGCTTCCTCGCTCATCCCTCCCGACTCGTTCACCGTGGTTGAGCTGCTGTTATGCGATTGTCCCGATACCGACGCTATGCTCGGGGTAGATGGGCGTAGTAACGGGGTGCCGGTGAGGACAGGCTTCCGTACGGAAGCTTGAGAAGGCGTAGATCGCGGAGGCAGTGTTGGCTTCGGCTCATCGGGAGCTCTTCTTGGAGATAAGGCAGAGCTAATGGAGGGATGGGGACTCAGATCCGTATCATGAAAGGTGGCAGATCTGGGTGGTAGTGGCGGTTGTGGGCTCGAAGGGACGTCTCGAGCGCTGCGAACGCTGATGGCTCTGGATGGGGGAGCAGGGGGCCGTACACGTATCGGTTCGGGGGTAGGCACTGGTTTGGAGCTTAGACGATCATCCTGAAGCATTGTTTCCAAAGCACTCTCTGGCCTGGTATATCTTGGACGGATCGGAATTGGTGAGCGCATCTCTCGATGTTCCTCTGCACGGGGTGGCTGCATTCTGCTTGCGCTACGAGCAGCACTTATCCTAGCGGCGGCGGCCGCCGCCGTGGCCTCTTGCTTCCTTGCCGGAGACCGTGATGCGGCGAGCCGTGCTGCAATCTGTTCTGGCGCAGATGGAAGGGATGGCGGCGGGGTGCGTCCTCTCGATACCGACCCCGGAGGCGCCAGGTTAGCCCCGGCAAACAGGCCAATTTTATCTTTCACGGAGCCCACTTCAGGGCCAAATTCGGATTCCATTTCCTGACGGCGAAGCTCCGCATGCCGGTTTACGGTGCTAGCAACTGCGGCTCGGGCTGCTACCGAGGGTTGGGGTGTCACATTGGAGGGCGATTTGGAATGTTGGAAGGCGAAGGCGGCGCCGAGTCGTGCGGAGTCATCTCGGAGGCCCGGGGAAGCCAACCGCTGGTTCGCGGCGGCGATCTCGCCGTTCATGGAATCGATCTCCGCAGTAACGTTAGGGCTCCACGGGTAATAGGAAGCAGACAAGGTCAAACTCTCGTGGTTGCACTGCAGCGAGGAGCGCTGAGCTAAGCTGGGGGGAGGGGAGGGACCTTCAAGTTGATGGATTGGAGAGACCAGTTGATTTCTTCCGCGGCCGGACGCGCGTGGATCACCGCCCGCGTCACGCTTCACCCTAAGAATCTTGGAAGGCGTACAGGCCACCTGAGAAAATCAAAATAATAAGAACAAGGATGATTCATGAGAATCTGGAAGGCTGACGTCGTCAATTGGTGCTATTAGGGTGGTTGATTTTATGCAACTTATAAAAAAAAAATAACTCATATCCAGTATTAAGGGGCGGTCTAAGTACATGGCCTATCCACTTCACAAGATGCTTTATGGACAGAATATTACTTAGATCACCAGCAATCCATTAGCTGTGACTTAAATGATGATAAACATACATAGGCAGGGAAAACATCATGGCCAAAGTTTAGACCAGAGCCATACTTGGATGTATGGATATTATTGTGATATACTCCATCTGTATGGTTCACTAAACTATCATAATTCATATTCTCGAGTACTAGATCTAAAGACAGGGGGAGTTCCATGATAGTTTGTACCGTGCATCGAGCTAGAATGTCGGGAATACTGACATGCAGCTACATACATGTTCGTATACCCTGCATGATATGACATGACCATATGCCCCTAACACGATAGCCCACCATTCCATCTCCCTCCACCTCGGATCAAAGATCAGCCCACAGGCCACCGTGGCGAGGAATCAGCTGGAATCAAAAGCTGAACCCGAGCCGCAGTCCTGATAAACCCATGACCGCAGTATCTTCCAGAAAAGATCAGGCCCTTATTTTAACAGCTGACTTCGGTCGTAGGACTGATGTACGCTGTACGGAGTAGGAAATCACTGTTTTCCCCAGACTCGCCGAGAAGGACCAGGCCCGTCCACAATTAACCGAGCCCCGGGCCCGTTTAAATCGGAGAGGCCAATCGCGGCACGGCCCCATCGTCTCCGCGTGGAACAATTTATAGCGACCCCCGGCTTCCCCTCATTCTTGACCCATGAACTACTAGTTGTGTCGGAAATGCCGCTGGTCCTGATGCACCATCCCCTGGAGGCGCCATGCTCTCGGAGACTGACAATGCAGGCGCAGGCGAGCCCGCGATTCCAACAACAGCAGATCCCGCCATGAACGCTGATCGCGGACAAGCTGGAACTCCCGCCGGTGGAGACCGGGTGGAACAGGCCTCCACGGGTCAGGTCCAATGCTCCGTCTGTAGCAGTACCTTTCGCCGCCCGGAGCATCTCAAGCGCCATCTTCGCAGTCATACCAAAGAAAAACCATTCGAGTGCGCGCAATGTGGCCGCCATTTCTCTCGAACGTACGTCGCAGCATCCGCTCCAAAGACTTGGTGGACACAAAGACCAATCGCTGACTTGTGTGAGAGGACAACAGGGATACGCTTCATCGCCATGAGCTGAGCCATCATACCCCAGGAAGCGAAGGTGGCAAAGATCGCACGCATCGCATCACAGTCAAGACTTTCCGCGCCTGCTTTAGCTGCGCAACCGCGAGAGTGCGATGCAGTGGCGGCATCCCGTGTGGACGGTGTGACACGCGCTCCCTCGAGTGCCAATACCCGACCGAGAGACGATCGAAAGCCAGGTTTCGAAATGGAGCTGCGCGCGAACGGTCCAACCTGGAACCACAAGAACTAGAACCACCGAGCCCAGAAGCGCCGTCATCTCCACCGAACGGGACTCAATGCGAGCAGACGCAGATGGGTCAGTTCTCAATCCCTGGCGGAGATGATTCACAACCGTCGCCAAAGACATCTGAGGTCAACGTCTTTTCAAACTCCACGGAGACCTTTCTTCCCGATAGCACTTCCTCGGATGGAAGAGCATCTCTTGTAGGGCCTTCCCACTCTCAATTGTACATGCCGCCCAATTCGGCGTCGAATATACCACGATTGCCGCCGGGAATGTACACCGACGGGGACTATCGTCAGCCATATGTTGAAATACCAAATCAAAACATGCTATCAGTCCAGTCGAGCTCCAATCTGGAACCTGCAATGAGGCAAATTCCACCTGGTATTGCTGATCCAGGCGTTGATATGGATATTGACATGACAGGAAATTCCGAGATGACACTCGAGTTTGATCCCTCCTTTTTTGACCCATCAGTGTTGTCAACGATCAACTGGCTCCCCAATGAGTTCTTCTCTGCCACTCCAGGCGACCAGCCACCGTCAGAGGTTCCCACCCAGTTTTCGCAGCCTGCAATCTCGGAAACATATGCGGCTCGACTGCCGTGGCAACCTCCAGTGATAAACACAGACCAAGTCAGCTCTTCAATTCCTGAAAAAGCTTCTCATACTCCTTCAGGTCCCCTTTCCCTGGGAACAGATATGGAGAGCCCACGACGCTATTCTCATGTTGGCAGCGAGTCATCGCCCCATTCTGATTCAATCGATTCCTCAAAACGCTCAGCAGACTATTATGTTGATGGAGGCGGCGCCCGGCTTCCAAAATATCGAAAAAAACAGAACTTGTGGTCAGTCGCCTCGACGGACAATCCTGCTGGTAGTGGGCAGAATCTTCATGAAAATATTATACGCCGATTTGGATTCTCCGGCTCGCAGGAACCCAGTGTCGAAAATCTTCCTCCAGAAGACTTGCTTCAGTCCGTTCGGCCGATAGAATCAAACCGCTACAACGAGCTTTACTGTAATTTTATTCTTCTTTGCCGCAGCGAAAATCCCTTTTTCGAAAGCTTTGAGTCGGAGTATTTTCCCTCGGCAGAGGAGTGCAGCAAATACATCGCTTTTTTTTTCGACTCGTTCCAGGCCGTGTATCCGATCCTCCATTTACCTACTTTCGATGCCAATAAATGCCATTGGCTTTTAACTTTAGCAATTGTGGCGTTGGGGTGTCATAGCTCAAGTATTCGTGAATTAGATCAGTCTACTACCGCCTTTCACGAATTCTTACGGCGGGCCATACATGTCGAGGTACCTCATACTATTTCTTCCTTCGTTGACATTTCCTTTTACTCACACTGATGGACCAATAGAAAGAGAGTCATCGTCCGGGTCAAGCCTCCCTAGAATTGATACAAGTCATTCTACTCAACTGTATTGGACTTCTTCATAATGGCAACGAAAGAGACAAGCTCTCTGCTCTAAGCAGTTTTAAAGAGTTGGTCATCTTCATGAATCAAGAGAATTTATTAGCGTCTACTAGATTATCTCGAATGGAATCAAACAGGAGCTCAAGTGAGGCCATGTGGAAGAAATGGATACAAGGAGAGGTTCGGAAGCGAACTGGCTACTGTATCTGGGTAAGATTTTCTGTATCCACAGATTGATCCGACACTTTGCTGACCTAAAATAGTTGTTGGATTGTACGCTTGCGTACTACTTTGATGACAGACCCCTTTTGACGCTGGACGATGGGCAAGCGGCATTACCCGCCCATGAGAAACTTTGGCAATCAAGCACCGCAGGAGATTGGAAACAATTATGGGAAAGCTCGAGCAGTAGCCAACCCCCTCTTCTCATTATTTTTAAAGCCCTTTCTGACTTTTATAGCGAACGAGTCTCTTTACGACGCCGTGCATATTTTATATATCGAGAAGAGATTAGTCTCCGGAATCGGAGAATTCAGCCATATCCTTCTAATACATGCTCTCTACCATAGAATGTGGGAAGTAGGTGACTATTTTCGCCGACCTCTTTCATTTTGGAATCCAACAGCCAAGAAACAATCTCGTGAGACCGCAATACCAACAGGGTCTGTATGGCTCCCAGGGATTCCATCTTACTCTAAATGGCGCAACAGCGCTTGTGATTGCCTTGACATTCTTCACTGGACGGCTAATAGTACCATCGCGAAGGCTGCTGGGCTGGAACACCCCACGGTCCTCCATTTGCATGCCTCGCGCCTTATCCTACTTGCGCCTTTTCGGGAAATTCGATCTATGGCCACATCTCTTGCAACAGAGAAGCTTCGTTGGCATAAACGCCATCAAGCAATCGAATGGCAGTATATCTGGCGCTGGATTCGACATGATCAATACAAAGCTCGATTATCCATGATACATGCCGGCGTCACCCTCTGGCATGTCCGGCGATACTCCACAAACTCTTTTCACGAGCCGATGGCTGCTTTCCTCGCTGTGTTATCCCTGTGGGCATATGGATCATGCCACGCGAATACGCCGGATGAGTCGAGTCCACATACACAAGCGTCACGGACAGAATCATTACAGGAGCCGAGTTTTATTCATCTTGATCGGCCTTGTGATGATGAGTTGGTCCAACTTTTCGTTCGCGAGGGCCACTCGATGCGAGGAAACGTAACTGGCGTTGGGGACATATGTGCACCAGAGGGACCAGAGCGGATTTTGCGGGTTGGCTGCGAAATTCTGGGTAATCTCACAGCCTGGGGAGTCTCAAAGAGATTCATCTCTATTCTGACTCGGCTTGCAGATCTCGCGTCGCGGAATGCGGATGGAGAACAGAGCCGCAATGGTGGAAGAACTGCGGACGGTCGTTGACATCAAATCTTTTTGTGAGAAAATTGATTGATATCCGGAAATACCCCTAGGCTTGGAATATACAGTAGCGTTCAATGGATGTTGATCTTAAGGATTTTCTTCTGTTTCTATTGTGGCTTGAGAATATACATACTACGTAGTTCCAACCCGATGATAAGGTGATGTCACACGTGCGCGTCTGTTATCTTATCGTCCTGCGCTGCCTAAATCCATCCGGGGAATCTCCAGCTGTTTGCGACTCTCACAACCATGGATTCCGATGGGATCTTGCCCTATGCTCCACAGTACGAAGAGGAGAATCTCGATGAAAAGTTGCTAACACCTGGTTCTTCAATTTTGAGAGCATTTTGGCTAATAAACCCACCAGATACCCGAACCGGCCGCATAACCGCGCACCCACGCTCCCGTTCCACGAGCTTTACCTGGATCTCTTCAACCCCCTAAGTGACATCAGAAAGCGGCCTAGAGGCCCTGGCCCTGGTCTGTCACGCCGGAAAGTTGGACCTCAGGGGAAAACCTCAGCAAACTTGAACCCTTATGAACTCCGACGCGATGTCATCGCTCGCTTTGTTTCCCGATGGCGGAAGGAAGTGGGGGACGACATTTACCCAGCCTTCAGGCTCATTCTCCCCGATAAGGACAGAGATCGGCCGATGTACGGCATCAAGGAGAAAGTGATTGGGAAAATGCTGGTCAAGATCATGAAGATCAATAAGGAGTCGGAAGATGCCTCCAATTTACTGAATTGGAAGCTTCCCGGCATATCCGCCTCGCGCATGGCGGGTGATTTCGCGGGCCGATGCTATGATGTGCTGTCCAAGCGGCCGATGAGGACTGATCCTGGAGATATGTCAATCGAGGAGGTCAACGACAGACTCGACAAGCTCTCGGCGGCTTCCAAGGAGGACCAGCAGTTGCCCATTCTGGCAGAATTCTATCAGCGTATGAATCCAGATGAGCTTACTTGGCTAATTCGGATAATTTTACGACAAATGAAAGTTGGAGCCACAGAACGCACTATGTTCCATGTCTGGCATCCAGATGCAGAGAACCTATATAATATCTCGAGTAGTCTGCGGCGCGTATGTTGGGAACTTCATGATCCGAATATTCGACTTGAGGCGGAGGATCGAGGCATTGCACTGATGCAATGCTTCCAACCTCAGTTGGCCCAGTTCCAAATGCACTCGTTTGAGAGGATGATCTCTCGCATGCGGCCAACAGAGGAGGACACTGTCTTCTGGATCGAGGAGAAAATGGATGGAGAGCGTATGCAGCTCCATATGGCCTCTGACGACTCAATACCAGGCGGACGGACGTTTCGCTTCTGGTCACGGAAAGCAAAAGAATATACTTATCTGTACGGCAACGGAATATGCGATGAGAACGGTGCTTTGACAAGGCATCTCAAAAATGCCTTTGTGGATGGCGTACAGAGCATTATCCTTGATGGCGAAATGATTACATGGGATCCTAAGCAGGACGCACCCGTCCCATTCGGTACGCTTAAGACTGCAGCCCTGGCAGAGCAACGAAATCCATTTTCGGACGGTCCACGGCCCTTATTCCGCATTTTTGACATTCTTCACCTCAATGGGTGTGACTTGACGAAGTACACCCTTCGAGATCGCCGGAATGCACTTCAGAAAACCATTCGGCCCATTCACCGTCGCTTTGAGATTCTTGAATACCACGAAGCCACTACTGTTGCAGACATTGAGAAATGTTTACGAACAGTTGTGGCAGAGGCTTCAGAGGGACTGGTCCTGAAGAACCCTAGATCTCCATACAGGCTAAATGAGCGTCACGATGACTGGATGAAAGTGAAACCGGATTATATGACGGAGTTCGGCGAATCGCTGGATCTCATCGTCATAGGTGGATATTACGGCTCCGGTCATCGAGGAGGAGCTTTAGCAAGCTTTTTGTGTGGTCTCCGGGTTGATGATGGGAATTCAAGCCAAGATGCTGATCCCATGAAGTGCTGGTCATTCTGTAAAGTTGGCGGTGGATTCACTGCTGCTGACTACCAAGAGGTCCGTCATCACACGGATGGAAAATGGAGAGAGTGGAATGCGAAAAAGCCACCTGTGAATCTCATTGAATTGGCCGGTGGGAATGCCCAGCATGAACGGCCAGACATGTGGATCAAGCCATCCGACTCTGTTGTTATTTGTGTCAAAGCAGCCTCTGTATCCGTGAGTGACCAGTTTCGCATGGGATTGACGCTTCGCTTCCCCCGCTTCAAGAGGCTACGCAAGGATAAGGACTGGAAGACGGCTTTGTCGATTCAGGAATTCTTAGACCTTAAGTCTAATGCGGAGCAAGAACACCGGGAAAAGGAGTTCTCGGTAGATAATTCAAGAAAGCAAAAACGGGTCAAGAAGGCTGGGAAGAAGCCGTTGGCCATCGCAGGCTACGACGAGAGAGAGAATATGCAGTATTTTGGCCCATCAAGCCAAATATTTGACAAGCTCAATTTTTGTGAGTATTCAATGCATGGATATTCACTTCGACAGCTTCTGACAGCACTATTCCAGTCATTATGACCGAGTCAACGTTCCCAGAGAAATATTCGAAAGCCGAACTTGAGCAGTTAGTGAAGGCCAATGGAGGCAAGATCTACCAAACAAACACTGCTGCACCGGATACCATCTGTGTTGCTGAAAGAAGTGAGTTTGGTCATCTATAAATTGCAAGAATGAGGCTAACGTATAGCATAGAAACCGTTAAAGTGGCTTCATTGCAAAAAAATGGAAAAGTCAACCTAGTCAAGCCGTCCTGGCTTGTTGATTGTGTAAAACAGAAGGAAAAGGATGTCGGACTCCCAGATATTCTGCTCCCTTTTGAACCCCGGTTCGTCCTCTAAAGACATAACGAACAGAATGAAGCAAGGCTGACCCGGATTCTTTCGATAGTCACATGTTTTTCACAATGGAGTGCCGAGGGAAAGAAATAGACATCAATGTTGACCAGTACGGTGACAGCTACGCTCGCGATACGACGATTGATGAACTTAACGAGGCAGGCCATATCTCTGAACGGATATCTTCAACGTCCATGCTAATTGGCGTAATCAGATTCTTCAGCGCATGCAGGATAACAAAGCCACATCGGACGGCCCGCTAGACTCGCATTCCCTTCACAAAATTGAGGCACATATCCAAGATATGATTGCATCAGGCTATACAGCGCCTTGTGGATGGCTCTTTCGAGGCCTTACTTTCTTTTTCTATTCAACGCCAAAATTATATGAACGAAAAATTCAAGATGAGGCCAATTCCGAGGAAACACAGCCAAATAATATCCGCCTGACTCTTGCACGCAACATGGCGCAGTTCGGAAATGCCAATCTTGTCCCTTCACTGGAAAGCTCCGATATCACTCACATAATTGTGTCTGCGGAAACAGTTTCTTCAGGTGACATTAAATCATTGCGACACTTCTTAGCTACTAGGACTGGGAAGAAATTGCCACATCTAGTCAATTTAGCCTGGATAGAGGAAAGTTGGAAGAATAGCACATTGCTAGACGAAGAAAGTAAGTTCAACTATATTCAAATATATTTCCCTCTCATTTTCTTCGGATGCTGTGGCCAGAATACTATGATACCAAATTCGGGTGACTAATGTAGCTTTAACTCGTTCAGGATTCCAAATATCGCCATCGCAATAGGCGGACTCGCCGGCATGCTATGAATCCACGAGTGTCATCAAATCGTGTAACTTGATTCAATCTCTTATATCCCAATTAGTTCCTAGTAATCATCAGGTCGTTCCTGCTCTGGTGCCCGCCATTTGCCTTCTTTTGGAGCCTCAGGCGGACCTGGGAATGCCCTCAAGTGACTTGACATAGTTTGTGCAAGTGAAAAAAAGATAATGATAAAATAAAGCGAATTCGTACCCAAGAAATCAAGTCTATTCTTTTCCTGTTCAAGATACGCTGCCATCAAGTTCTCAAGACGTCCTTGGTGTGGCATTAAAAGCAAGAACTTGATGAATTTGGCGTGTCTGGTTCTTTAGTTCATTGTACTGCCAACGACAAACTTTACATAAACCTAGATTATTATTTAGAATATATCCTATTTCTGTAAATGGCAAGGTGTTGAGAATTCGGCATTTAATTTCCTTCGTCATTGTTAACTTTGGCAGGGTATTTCATCGGAAACGTAACGTTCGATATCGTCTATTTAGGGCGACTCATTCGAAAAACTTCCTTTTGATCTGATTTCTGCCTGTCGTTCCTTTATTAGTATTGCGGCTACTGTTGCAGCCCCCATTAATCTCAACAGTCGGCCTTCTTTGCAAAGACGTATTTTATGAAGACCGCAGTATCCCTTGTTTCTGTGGGGTGGAACATAGGCGAACAACCTAGAGTTGGTGATCTGAGTAAGCGCTTTTTCAAAGAAGAGTCCAGATAGTGGGGCTTCTCATTAATTAGAGTGCTTTTCTAGTTTACCAACGTCCAAACTTGTTAAATCTCCACAGGAAGAATAATCGCAATGAGATATAAAGATTTTTTTAAAAATCATGGCGCAGTCGTAAACACTGATGTGGAGATGACATCTAATAATAGGTCAAAATATAGCCCAGAAAGTGATATATATAGCATAGACGCCCAAATGCTCCAACAAAATTGGTTGATTTGTGGTCATCAACTAGTTGGTCATGTGACTGACACCCATAGATTTACGTCAAGACTGTCAGCTAAATATGTGAGTTGAGGGGCGATGTAAGGCACTAGTAGTTAATAGCTAGCTTCTTATCTTTCCTTCCCCCAACCGACCAGTCAAAATCCGTTCGGTTCATCAGATCTAACATCAAAAAAACCCTCATCCTCGACGCGGCGCGTTTCACCTATGCTGTTTACTATCTTTGTGCATGGGAGCACCGATGCCGATGTCTACATTGTATTACTTTGTCTTAACAATAATCTTAATACCTGATACTTTGAAATAACAAAATGACTCAACCAACTATCTAACAAAAAGGAAACAGCTGACTTCGTGGCTAGTTTGAACAAGGCTCCTATATATAAGAATTTAAATAGTTAGTTATTTCGCTTTCAAATTCTTCTAAATCACCCCAAAGACTCAAATAAAGTACTTGAATTTGCTAAGTGATTCCGTAATATGTCGCGCCCTACAAATTCTTCCACTTCAAATTCTTCTATCAGCTATCATATTTCGGAGCTAAACTCTGACTGGAGGCGTTATAACATCCAAAGCAATCATGAGGACCCTGAAATACTCAACGTGGACTGGATGCCAACTGATCGAAATACTCCCGAGTCAGAGCGGTATAACGGCCCTGGGATACTTGTGTTCCTAATACCAGGAGGCTCGATGAGACGCGGAGTTGCTGGTCAATGCGAAATCAAGTCTTCCTCCAACGTTGAAATCAAGGCAATTGATCCGATAAAGCCTCCTCAGAACCAGCATGCGACTTTGGCCAAGGCATCATTGAGTTTGAACCAGGAAAGGGCCGATGGAAACCATTATCTTCTAACAGTAGAAGGGATTCCAATAGCTTACACTTGGGAGGTTAACTCAGACGCAACTTATATGAAATTGAAAGGGGGTGGGAAAACTCTTGCCACTTTAGCGGTTGATAAGGCGGGCAAAAGATGTCTAAAGTTCCCAAGCAAGTTTGATGAGGGATTGGGATTCTTCTTTCTGATGAGTTGTGTATTCATACATTTCAGAACGGCTGCAAGGAACAGAAATCCATAATACTGGCAAAACTTTCCTAGCAACATATACGTCCATCAAAAAAATCAAGCAAGGATGGAAATATGGAAAGCTGCCAAGCCTGCGCATATTCATTAATATGCGACTGCACTGAAATCCCCTCTTCTCATCTTCATTAACTTCAACTTGGGACATGGAATAGCAGAGTACTTATATCAAAAAATTGCATGTTCATCTGGCAAAGAATTCCTATGCATACAACAAGCCGATTATTTCCCTTTTCGCGCTATAATGTACTTGCAAGGGTAGAATAGGTTTGTCAAGGTTACAAGTAGGATTCGTCGGTGGGGTCGAGAAGTTTAAGGGAACAGCAACACCATGATGCTCGGAGATTTATCAAATGGCCCCGTCTTGATAGTAAGAGAAAAAAGGGTCGTATTGTAGAGCGTTATATCAAGGTTATTTTCCCATCATACTATATACTTGATGCCCACCTGCTAGATCAGACAGATGCAAGGACCTTGGTCCATCATCTTGGCTTTGTGGTTAACCCAAGCACTGGGAGTAGTAAGAATTTTGCTCTTGGCAGGAGGCACCAGAAACACAGGTGGTTGGTCCGGTCCATCCAACGCCTCCACATTGGCCCCAGAGAGTCTGTGTTGCACTTGAACCAGAGGATGTATTCGTCGTGACAGTGGTAGTTGTCGTAGTGGTCTTACTTGTAGTCATATGTGTAGTGGTAGATGAGGCTGAAACTGTATTGGCTGTTCCACTGCTCGAGGTGAGGCCTTCGGGAGTCACATCGGTCGCCGTTTCCCCATAGCAGACACATGTGTCCCAGTCCGACGTGGCCTCGTTGGGACAGGCCACTGGCTCAAATTCAACTACGGGGTTGTCGCCAAATATCTCACTCTGAGCCATGATATCAAAATGATAGCTATATCCGTATTGGTTCGTGCTTCCCACCTGAGGGCACCATTGCGCATTGCCATTATAGGGGCACAGGTTGGTGACCATAACAATAATGCTCTCACCCTCAACCCCGCCAGTTCCACAGCTGCTGCATGGGGGACTGCCAGTTGAGGTCAGATTGTAGCATTTTCCGCAGCCGCCACCACACCATGATGCACCGGCCGTGTCAAATAAGGCCTGTGACCCTGCGGCAGTGTAAACCCCGCTACTGATACCAAGCTATGAACTGCAAGTTAGTAGCAGAAAGGAGTGATAAAACCCACTTATTTTATGACACTCACTTGCCAGGAAAAAGCCCCAGACGAGCTACCGCAGCCACAGGCACCTTCTTGGCCATCATAATAGCGCTGTAAAAATATGAGCCTTCTATGTCTCCTGAAAATGGAATAGATGAACCCACTGTCGTGGTAGCCAAATAGCCGGAGACAACAGCACTGATTTGGAGAAATAGAAATACCGCAAGCTTCATGATTGTAATTCCAATATATGAGATATGTGAATAGTCAGTATGATTGTCCACATCTACGCATAGTCCACAACACATGTCATGGGGCTTGTCGCTCTTATTTATAACACTTTCCTATCTCAGCTATTAATACCACAGATTTGGTACGCTCTAGGCAGCTTTCTTCGAAATTCACCAGTGGGGCATTAATAAACCCCGTCGAAGCTGTTACAGTCTAGCCATTTGTCATCTAGTTTGGGGAGGAGATCATCATGATTGATCAGATGCGCTACATACTATATTCGTCACGGGCTCATTAGATCCTGAAGAACAGCGTTGCAAACGCGCCAAAAGGCTTAACACCCCGGTTTGACTGTTAATTGCAAAGCGGTGTTTCATAGTTAAAACAGCTGTCTCTTAGACTTCTGGCTAGTTTCCTCTAGGTGCGGGGCGCTAAGCAGTGGCGGGTCCGTGATGAATTAAGAACGGGGATATCTGAAGATGCCTCGATGTCACTCAGGATGGAAAATTCCAATTTCGCACAGATAACTGTTTAGTTTGTGTGTTGAAGTCCCGGGTATTCATCAATAATGAAAGCCAGCTTAGGGTCAGCATGTCAACTGATATCTAGTATAGAAACAGTTCAAACCAAAACTCAATGGACTTCGGACCGGGAAATGCTTATGATCTCTCGTTGTTGGGGAAACTAAAGTTGTATGGAAGTCACCATGGCGTCTTTTGAAGCTTGTCAACCAGTCTAAATACAACTTGCGGTATAATTAACATCACTGTGTGACCTGATTCGCAGGCCTGTGTCCTGATCAGACCCTCTCCAGCTGCAAAAACCATGAATTTCTGAAAATTGAGTGGCACTGCAAGACCTTTCTCGTTCATGAGGTACACGGCCGGGGCATCGTAATACGGCTCATAGGTGACTGGAGTATACAGGGTCGCTTTGGCCCGATAAGAAAGTGATTCGGCCATGCATTTAGGGGCAGTTTTGGTGTCAAGGTTGTTATAAAACATCGCAGGATCAGATACAGAAAATTTATCCCTACAGAGAGTTAAATTAACCATCATCTATCAGTAAATCGTGGGAAATTGCAAAATTATTTCGAAGACTAGGCGCTCAGCTGTCACTAATCTGGGAACAGTACACGGATCCGACGAGAAAGGAGTCTGTATTGACTATGCCGCTTTCTTCATTGCCAATGCTACCCCAAGTGCATTCACAAACTTTATAATCTCTCCCTTATTTCACATTCCCGGGCTCCTGAAATGGCAAATGCCCAAAAAACAGAAGACTGTGTTTGAGATATTTCTTCTGTCCGGCTTGTGATTTTCCGCCTCGTCAAGGTTTTGAAAGATATTTGGTTTCTGGCAGCTTTTTTTGCTTTCATAGCGCGTGTACCAAACCAAGCCTGTGCAGATCAAGAACAACCATGAAGCAAAAAACATACAACAGCAGGGATTCGCTGGTGGTCACCCACCCAACTACTAACCTGCCGGCGTGTGGCTTAAGTACGGCTGAGCGGACGGGAAGCCCTGTTCTCCACACCCTGTGGTCGTATGTACTGGGTTGATAATGAGAAGGAATTGAATCCCTTGGCTTACATCGCCGTGCGGCACTCTGGCCCCAGAGAGACAGAGGGATGGGCGAGCACCAATTTAGCGTCGCGCGACTTGGGTGGCAGGGTGAAGGCGCAATAGATCGGGTGAGAAGCTGGGTTTTGTAGTCCAGGCCTTCATTTTAACCTAGATATCAAGAGTATTCGTTCAACTTGGACTCAGACCGGTGGCTCCATTTTGATCTTGCATTAAATCCTACAGTGGAATACTTTGTGCTTGTCTTCCAAGTCTACAGCCTCTGCTGCGCAAATCCTTTCCACCTTGTCAAGCACCGCGGGTCCAGTGCACTTCAGCTCGATCCATTCCAACAGAGCAGCGCCATTTAACACGTTAAGAAGCTCTGCAACGAAGCCTAAGAGATCCCACAACGAAGACTGTATCGTGCTCACGAACAGCTTTGTTAAGGATTCATGGACGACCAATCCTAGCGATCCGACTACTATCTCTGTTCCTCAGCCAGATACTCATTGATTGATAATTTGATTCCAGGTCCACAGATAGCCTATAGGGCCAACTAATCAAGCATAGGAATATGAATTCTGTCAAGTTCTGCCAATTTTATCAATATAATAAGACGTAGCAGAAGAGAATAGAATATAATACACGGGTAACAGCACAGGATAGAGACCTAAACAATCTCCAGTGAGGCAACGTTTTAGTGGAGCATTTGCATATTTGGATACCCTGATAACGTATAGTTTGCAAGACGTACGGGCATACACTTACCCAGCTGCTCATTACGATACGTTGATTGCTGGAGTCTCAATCCATTTTTTTTCTGGCTCTTATCGATGCAAATATCCAATATGATTGCCGCTATCGTCTTTCTCTGTGCTATTCTCGCTGTCCGAACCATACTGTATGAAGAGAGTGTCGTCAAAAGGTGGATGGCAAGCCGGCAATCTTCACGAAGGGCAGGCGGACTACATGTGAAAAGTGAGACTCGTTGCAGTCTGAAAGGGGCTAACGTTTATCAAAACCGGAATACATCTGCTCGAATGGCCACAAATATTTTATATATGTGTGGTGAACTCGAAAAATGGAGTAACGGAAGTAAGCTCTCTGTATTCGACTGCTGAGGAGCAATGTAATCAGCACACCTTATTGCTTGGCGGTCGCACTGGGGCTCCTCGGGAGTAACACGAATTCAGGTAGGGAATGAAATACCAGACATATGTGAATATTATATAAACTACGTTCAAAGCCTTTTGTTACACAGAAAAAGGTGGGTGCATATTAGGGTAGGTCAAGAACGGCTCCAAAGCTCCGGCGTAGATCAAGGTTACAATTGTCCGACTTTTTGGATAAATCTGTGTCTCAGTATGTATATTACATTATGTGCTTCGCGGTTCCCGAAAGACCGAGTACGCTAGATGACTGCCAGGATGGAGCTGCCAAGTCAAGGAAGATTGACGTCGACCGGGCCCGGATAGCCAAATCAGTCCCTGCCTGCGACCCATCCAGACCACCAGGCCCAGTGTTTTGCCTTTTCATTCCGGATTCTATGAACAAATGACACACCAGACCTATACACAAAAGAACAGACCCTCTAATGAAGGCAGCGAATCGCTCATGCGGAGAATAAGGCTGACCACACGGGGATGATCTCATGGCTGCGGGATGATATCACACCACAGCCGGCGCGGGGCACAGCGGACTCGAACGGCGCGATCACGTATACAGTATTACCGGGGATTAAGCTAGTAGTACCGGGAGAGAAATAAAACTAGTTTTGAGATGGATTCTTTGATGGAGACTGTTATACTCTGAGGAGTGGTGGATATGAGGAGATTCACAAGAGAATCTAGAAACTAGCGCTAGGTTCGGTGCTCGAGAATGAAAGGGGTATGTCACAAAAGAAAATGGTGTCGGCCAGGACACATGCATCCTAGTCCAACGCCGCGCTCGTATGATAAAGAACAATGAAGGAAAATGAAAAAGGTGAAGAGAGATCAGAAATATGTACTGGATAGCACACACGACCGCGCTCGGCGCAGCTCGCGTGGCATATCCACGGGATCGATTATTTAGGCGGAGACACCCACCCATCGCGATGGAACAGTGTCGTTGTCGTGGTCTTCGTAGTCACCTGACAATCGATACGGGTTGCTCTTCCGCGGAGGGAGCATAATGCGTGCCCGAGTCGGAATATCTTCGCGTAGCTTGCCGCTACGGCGCATGTTCATTTCTAGCACAACCATACGAAGGAAATCGCTGTTTTCGCGGGGTTCTCGCTGACGCGACATGGGAGGTACCTCAGGATCGAAGGTGTAGTATTGATCCCGGTTCTTGGAAGGGACGACATGGAAATGGTTGCGCCGGTGGCCACGATCACGGGACCGGCGATAGGTCTGCATTTGAATCGAGACAGGACAAGAACCTGCCGGGTCCTGTTTGTCGCGAGGGTGATCATGATAGACACACATCTCTGCTGGAGAGATGGGGGTCGGGTTCAGATATCGTCGGAGTGCAGGGGAAGGCGGTTCTTTCATCGGTGGGGGACGACGATCATCGGTCATTTCGGGTGTGATGGTGAACAGAGACCGCGTGAGAAAATCCTCAGGTTGAACCGAAGGCGTTGTGAAGGTTGACACGGATTGCGCAGCGGATTTGATGGCTCGTAAGGATGCAGTGAGGTTTGATTTAAAAGATGATCGTAGGCGTGGGAATGTCCCAAAGGAAGCAGACCGTTTTGAAGGCTCGTCGCCGGCTTGCCGAATGGGTTCATCGGGGTTCTCAAACTCCACAATCTCCAAATCATCCATCTCTGTTTCAAGCAGGGGGTGGTTCAAGGCGCAATCCTCGGAAGTCGAGTACCGAAGGTGTCGCCTTTCCGAGCTTTTATGGCTGGCCGGTGTGGGAGGAAGAGATGAGCTGCACGGCGACCCAACATCGGGCTCGAGCGAAGGCATCGAGTCGCTGGAGAGTGACCGTGCTGAGAAAGAGGGCTCCAGTTCGGATTCATTTCCAGTGGAATATCGATCATGGTCCTCGTCCGGAGGGCTTAGCAAGATATCCAGAGGTGTATTGCCTGAACCACCTAGCAGATAATCATCTTTGGACTTCAGGCCTTCCTGCATCATCCGACTAAATTCCTCCACATGGTTCCCACGGGGAAGTTTCCGAGGCCGCCGAGTGGACCACGACCGTCGTGGCACGGGTATTGCCGTTGCATTCAACATGGAGGCGACTGAGGTTGGTAAATGACGCTCATTGGAAGAAGAAGAGGAGGAAGATCGACGAGATGAGGCCGAAGTTTTGGACAGGGTACGCGGCCGTGATTCCCGATGCAACGGGGTGCGGGAGCCCCGTTTAGGTGGGATTACCACGGGGTGTGTGTTGGACGATCCGGCGTTCTCGGTCTGTTTGGCAGGAAGGATTCCCGATTGATTGAGAGGCGGCCGAGCCGAGTGATCATGGCTGCTAAAGGGCTGCATCGCCTTTTGGGGCGGGGCCGAGGTGAAAAGAAAGGCTCTTGGGACCATCATCTTATAGAGTCATACCCGTCCGATGGTTTGCTGCGAGGCCTTGGCCGGAGGAGGCACTCTGGTCGAGCGTCTGGGCGAGATACATTGATGGGGGGAATGGAGGCGGATTGGTCTCCCGGCACGACTGGTCGAGAGAGACCAGTAGCGGCGCGGATTGGACTGAGTTTGGGAGGGGAGTTGGAGGCGGTTAGAAAGCAAAGAGGGTAGTTGGCTGGCGTAGTCGGAGCGTCACACTTCGGTTGGTTGGGAGGAGAGTCGCTGGAGAAGGCGGGGGAACTGGAAGGGGGGAGAGCCAAGGGAGGACGGTTGACAGAGGGAGAGAAGGAGGAAGTCTAAGAGGGCAGGCAGAGGAAGATAAGAAAAGTGGTGATCTCAGCGGAGGAGGATGATAAGAGAGCGTATTGGGCAGGTACGCGTGTGACGGTAAGGAATCGGGAGGGCGACCGAAGCGGTGGTATTTTTGGGCTGGGGCTGGCGCAGGGCTTACGCAGGGCTTTGCCGAGGGTTCCGTATTATTATTATTATTCATTGATTGATTGGGGGTCTGCATGATTGGGCGCGGGGACAAGACTGACACCGTACCATGAATACGGGCCCGTACCATGCCGGCTTCCCGGATGCGGGCTCCCATTGTGGGATTAAGAGATAATGGGATATTATGGGATATTATGGGATACTACGGGGGCTATTATATGAGGGGACTATTCGATTATGGAAATATTTGGATTATGTGACTTGTATGGGGGTGACTTCCACAAGGTGATCTGTCTGCCATTACTAATGGCCCCTCTGCGTTGGCCCATCCACTGTCCACCTCAATACTCGATACCGTACGCCGGACTGCGTCCTCCTTCCTCACAATACCATTGCCAACTTCCCGCATTCTCTTCCCCCGGGATGGGCCTGCCTCGTCTGGGCTTAGTTGACGGGCAGAGTGGATTGAGTGGGTTGAAGGGTAGCATTGTAATGGCCTTCCGTCGGGGTGGAATGTTCCTCCGGTGGAGCCACAGAACGCCTTGCGATCTCCTTTTCCCTCTTCCTCCCTTGGTTCTGTGGCACTCGCTGACTCTTCCCCCTTCCGCCTCTTCACACGTTACAGGTCAAGTCGCCCCCTCTCCTGACAGGCCTATCGGATGAGACTGGCAATAGTTCCTTTCGGAGCGCTCTAGTCCCTGTCATCCTGGATCATTTCCACGACCTTCCCGTCCCTTTTTTTTTTTTTTTTTTTTTTTTGGCATGATCCCCTTTTTCAGTGCTACTTCGAGTGGAAAAACCTACGGTGAAGGAATTTGTTGACCCAGTCGTGTGTTGGGATACTGTCTGACTCCGCTGGGTGGGCCGTTTAAGGTTGGGTTTAGTGTGGTGCCTGCAGATAGTTCAGCCGCCGTTCGCACCCAAAAATCCCTTAATGGTGCAAGATCACAGCATGCGAAGTCCCCAAAGAAACAAAAAGACATGAAAAGTCGCCGAAAAAAAACAAAAAAGAGAAAAAGAAACCAAACTCAACTATCGATCGGGTGTGTCTGCTTGTGTAATGCCTGAAACACCTCTGAGACCACGCATCTCGAGTCGTGGATGTTTTTCGATCGAGAGAATTAGTTCCTTATCTCGGGAGCGGTCGGGCGACCTGGTCGGGATGAACCATTCCATATGTACGGAGGACTACGTGTTCCGTACAGAGAATACTAGGGTTGGTTGGGCAGCGGGTGGCTGCAGCACACCGAAAAGGTCAAGTCGAAGAGACGTGGCCGGCGGAGCAGCCCTAAGCGGGTCGATAATTGCGGTGTACAAGAATCAATCCCACAGTATCAGGACGACTAGCCGGGACTCTAGGCTTCGGATATGAAGCACACCACTCACGAAAAATCCCCCCAAGCGAGGAACCAATAGTTAATGGGTTCACGTCTGAAAGAGACCCTCATCGGTGTGATCGAGCATCATGGTTGTGGACGTAGTTCCGTACGAGTTGGTTACTCTCCGGCTTGGGGCTTGGCTGGAGGTATCCATTTGTTTTTGTTTTAGGGTGGTTTGCGAACAAAAGTTACGTATGGTCGAGCTTTTGCTTTTGGAGATCTCAATGGTGTTGATGTCGTGGCCAAACACGCGCGCCATCTAGATGCAATGTCAGATTCATCAGAGTCACATCAGGAGGCCCATCGTATTGATTCTGACGGTCCCATGGTGACCTCTCGCTTGTGGCGGGTATGTCTCAATATCATGCATGGGAATCCCCTTTGGGCAATGTACCGGGTTCCGGGGCCTTGTCTCTCCCTCGCTACCTCCCGGTCGTCCAATCTCGCATGCGATACATCCAGCAAATATAGATAGTCTCTTCCGTCGACGCGACCGACAGCTGCATCAACTCTCAGCCCACCATCATGTGATATTCAGTCTAGTCACGTGACATGTCTATCGTCCCTCTGGATGAGTCAGCTATCTTCATGGTCAACCGCCGATATGTGATGCATTCGAAGGAGCCATCCAGAAGCCGACGATAAACCCTCCATCGTCTTGGCTACATCCAATCATCACGGCTGGATCGCAATTCATTTTTAGCGTCGAGAGCACCAGCTCGGCATTCCCAAACCCATCCTACAAACCCCCCCTCTCTTCTCCGCCTCCCGGTGTGGGTCATTCCGCGGGGTCCCATTGTGAACGCTTACCCGCATGTGCTGCTTGCGGACTGTATAGATTCGAGACTCGCTGGTTGGATCTAAGGGTTGATAGGCATATAGGCCTATCGAAAGGTTCAGCTTGCATCCCATTCACGCAACGCTCTGGCTGCGGGGATTATCTCTGAGGGTTTGTAATCACACCATCACGCAAGACCCCTCTCCTTCCGTTGGCAGTAGCCCTCTCTACAAAGCATCGTGGTGCCTTCTCTTATGCTTGGACAATGGACAAACTATACAGTACGGCCCTTCGAAGCTGGACCATTGACCGGCGGACACGACGCTGAAGCACGGCATGATCGTCCGCGGAGAAAGAATCCCCTTTGTATCTTGATTCCCACCTATTGCAGCGGCCCAAACCATGGCTGCAGAACGGGGGCCGCCCAAAAGACGCTGCGTGAGCACCGCCTGCATTGCCTGCCGTAGGAGGAAGTCCAAGGTAAAATATCCTCTCTTATGAAGTTTGCCTGGGGCCCCGCTAATTTGGGACCTAGTGTGATGGCAACCTCCCCAGCTGTGCAGCCTGTTCTTCCGTGTATCATACACCATGTAGGTCTGTCCCCGTCAACTCATGCAGAGCTTAACTGATACCCCGTCAGGTGTCTATGATCCTAACTCCGACAACCGCCGGAAAGGAGTCTACAAGAAAGATGCTGATACCTTGCGAACTAAGCATACTACTCTCCAAACCTTGATCCAAGCATTATTGAACTACGAAGAGGAAGATGCCTTTGACTTGGTGCGCCAACTGCGTTCCTGTGATGATCTCGAAGAAGTCGCTCAGTCAGTCATTGCTCGAGAGAAAGGGCTTTTGTCTGTTGTCGAGACACCAGACAATCCTGAGCGCGATGACCGCCTTGTCGAAGTCGATCAGTTCGAGGCGGAGCTGGCAGGTAAAATGAGTGAGCTGATGTTAGATGGCTCACGGAAATTTATTGGTGGCACCTCAAATCTCATTTTCCTGCCCCCTGGCTCAGAATTGCACGAGTCTACGTCCATGCCGGAGGATTCTTCGGTGCTCGGCAGTGCCAGGGGTACACGCCCTGTCCGGCGATGGACCGAAGTAACTGATGACAACGTATTGATCAGCCATCTCCTGACCATGTATTTTACGTGGCACTATCCATTCTTCACGATACTCGCTAAAGACCTATTTTACCGGGACTACATCCAGGGCATTTCGAGTCCATATTGCTCGGCCTTGCTAGTCAACGCCATGCTAGCACTCGGCTGCCATTTTAGTTCCTGGTCTGGAGCTTTCGATGATCCCCAAAACCTCTCAACGGCAGGGAACCACTTTTTCAAAGAGGCCAAACGACTGGTGCTGGAGAACGATGAACATGAGACCGCAAAGCTGTGTACAGTCCAAGCCTTTGCACTAATGTCTGTCCGCGAGGCTGGATGTGGACGCGAGGGCAAAGGCTGGGTTTATAGTGGTCTTAGTTTTCGCATGGCATTTGACCTTGGATTGAATGTCGATGCCTCCCATATGGGCTCACACAGCCTCACAGATGAGGAAATCGATGCGCGGCGAATTACGTTTTGGGGTTGCTATTTAATTGACAAGTATGTGTTTTGAGAGATTCCAGCCCGCAATTGAACATACTAATCCGTGGCAGGGCCTGGTCAAATTATCTTGGACGTCAACCTCAATTATCATCGTCGAATTCCAATGTTCCCAAATTCGACGTTCTACCTCGAGAGGAACAAGGACTCTGGTCCCCGTATACCGATTCCGGTGTAAGCCACGAAAATTCACAACCATCACGCACGCGGGCCGTGGCGCTACAAATCTCCAAGCTCTGTGAAATCACCAGCGACATTCTTGTGTTCTTCTACCATCCTGCTGAATTAGAGAAGACACGGCAAAAACAGTCAGAATTGAAAAGATTGAGTGGCGTTCATACCCGAATAGAAGCCTGGAGAAAGGAGCTTCCTCGAGAATTGGAGCCCAAAGAAGGCCAACTTCCCCAAGTTCTTGTTATGCAGTAAGTTAGCCAGGTAATGGGAATGCTGATTACAACGGGGCTAACTGTAATACCAAACAGCATGCTTCACCAGCTTCTTCTCATTCACCTTTACCGTCCTTTTCTGAAATACACCAAATCTAACACGCCTCTTCCCGCCCATGTTTCTCCTCGAAAGATATGCACCCAGGCCGCTTCCACCATTTCAAAACTAATGCGGATGTACAAAAGAACGTACGGGCTGAAACAGATCGTTAATATAGTCGTCTATATTGCACACACTGCCTGTACTATCCACTTACTCAACCTTCCCGAAAAGAATGCCCAGAGAGATGTGGTGCACGGACTTCGGAATCTCGAAGAGATGGCTGAAGGTTGGCTGTGTGCTCGTCGGACATTACGTATTCTCGACATTTCTGCGAGCAAGTGGCAAGTTGAGCTGCCTTCTGAAGCCAGCACCATCTTTGAGCGCACGCATGCCAAATGGGGCTCCTGGGGATCGTGGGATCAGGCAACCTCTCCGTCAATATCGGAGGGATCTCCAGCGGCGCACAACAACATGCCATCATCAGTCGCCAGCCCTCACCGGTTCTCGCCGGCTACTAACCAGGCTCCCCTCGTGGCATCATCCACAGAACCGGTGGCTGCTAACGCCCCCGTCTCCACGATGGGAACGTCGATGGGGCCCCAATATCCAAGCGCACCCGGGTCCATGCCCACAGCCATGCCAGCCCTGCATGCAGCACGCGGCATGTCGGGGCTGCAGCCCCAGCGCGTGGATCTTGTCACACCAGAGCCCACCTACCTCCGGCCGATGTCACATGTCGGTTATCCGGTACCAAATCTCGCGTCGCCCAGTTCTTCCGCTGCATCGCCCAATCCCAGCAGTTGGTATGATGCACCTGGTGCTCAAATCGGGCCTCAGAACACGACTCCCGGGTCTAATGCGTCTACGATGTCTGGCTTCGAGGGTCCTGAGAATCTTGTCGAAGAGAGCCAAGACTGGTGGTCGCGGAACTCGGCGTCCCTGGGACTTGGCATGGAGAGCTGGGCGGGCCCATGGGGCCCTGGGATGCAAAATTCGCCTACCCATCTCCAGTATGATGGTAGCCATGGCCATATGATGCCAATGGCCCCAAATACCAGTCCGGCTTCTGGTGCGGAACATCAATCCCAGGTTACGGCGAGAATGTCTGATCTCGGCCCTGTGGCATATAATGACATGTCTGGTTATGATGATCGATGGAAATGATCTTCTTCAATTTTGGGTGTTCTCCATTGAACAATAGCCATTTATCCTGTCTCTTGGCTTGATATTCCTGTTTCTTTTTCTTTCTCTTCCTTTCTTCTAGTGTGTTAAACCTAGGCTTACATTCTTACTTGTCCCTATTTTCTTCTTTCGTGTTTGCATGTCATATGATACCAGAGACTGGGGGGTTCTCGTGATCTTTAGGGCTTTAGGCTGGAGTTTGTATATTGTGGTCCCATTGGCCAGAATTTCTGGAGATCCAAATTATTGCAACCCGGATCACAGAGGAAGTAAAATGAATGAGGGCAGAGAAAAAAAAAATAGTCAGAATTCCAAGTGCTAAATAGTTCCGTCATGAGAGTTGATCATTAGGGTTGCAGTTGCAGCAAAGAGACAAACAAACACCAAGGCACAAGATGCTGAGTAGATCAAAGAGTTCCAGGGGGGCCGTATGAACGTATGGACGAAAGAAAGGCAAGCATGCAATGGATGATGGTATCACTGCCAGATTAGTTAGTAATCTAGAGGCGTTTATCCAGAGGAATACAGAAGTAGAACATGGCTCGTCGGACTTACCAGGAAATAATCAGCTACGGGTTTCTTCGCAGGCATACCTCTTGTATCCTGAGCCGCGGCCTCGAAAACACGATATCTTCTTCCGGGACTCACAACAGTGTTAACAACACTATCTGCGCCCAGGACTCCATTGCTCCGTCCATAATCTCCATTGCTACGGGCCACAGTGCCCCCATTGCGGGCATCCTCGCCGAGCTCTAGTATGGCGGCAACATTACCACAGCGATAACAATAGTTCGGGGCAGACCACACCGTCACGATCCCGCCGTCGAACATTTCTTTATACCCCTCCATCACAAGCTGGTGAGCACGAGCTACCAGCGAAAGACCATTGAGATGATTGAATTGTTTGACGATATCACCACCGAAGAGAAAGCCAGCGCCACGTGGGCTCAATCCCCAGCCTTCAATCTCGTCGGGGTCTGACCAGAGAAGGTCACACATAGCGCCCTCGTGGGGAACTTCCTGTTTGCGATCAATTAAGCGGATCTTATCCACAGAATCGATCAGTGGTGACAGGCCACCGTGAACGCACAACACAGCGCCTGTGCGGCTGGTAGTCATGCTTCCATTAGAATCCCCGCCAGCGCCTGTGCCGGGTGCACCAGTGCGAGTCGGGGTTGACGCCATGCCTGGCGCAGCTGATATATCACGGGGCGGAGATATGTTGCGAGAGTCTGTCGATGTGTCTGATGACGAACGCTGACGAGCACGGTATGTGCTCATGGTAACCTCACCACGCGAGTTCAGTACCTCTGTTTCGAGCTCGCCATCATCAATTGGCATTGTGGACTGTGTCATCTCGGGTGCGCTGGAGCCGGTCGGCTCCAACTCCGAGCTAGCGCCTAGCACGATGGCGCCGAGTGCGAGATAATCGAACACCTCGCAGCAGTACCGCCAGACGTTAGCGCTGCCGTATTTGCGAATGCACTCGTCATAAAATCCATATACTGTTGTAATTTGGCGCGACTCGTGGTTGCCGCGAATCAGGGTGATGCGATCTGGATACCGCACCTTCAGGCACAGGAGAAGGAGGAAGGATTCAAGCGAATAGAAACCACGGTCGACAAAGTCGCCCATAAACAGGTAGTTAGTGTCCGGGACGTCGCCGCCCACGCGGAACAGTTCCATCAGGTCGTGGAACTGGCCATGGATATCGCCGCAAATGGTAACCGGTGCATCGACGGACACAACGTTGCCCTCTTCGATAAGGAGCTCGCGCGCCTTGTAGCACAGCTCACGAACTTGAGATTCGGGGATCAGGCGGCAGGCCCGCAGCTGCTCAATCGCCCTGCAGAAGAGAATAAGTCAGCAAGATTAGGAATATCTTGCATAGTAGAAGCTAATGCCATACCGGTCTAGGTCACTCATGGTGCCGCTTTGAGGGAAGGTGGATAGATAGATGGAGGTTCGGGGGAGGGGAAGTGGAAGAGAGACGGGGGCAGGTTGTGGTGGGTGGGAGGGAATCCCCTCAAAAGGGAGGAGCAACGAAAATGATCTAGACAAGTCAGTCTCCTTCCCGCAAAAATCGCAGACTCATCATTGCAAAATCGCGAAAGACAAGAAACACGCGAGATAGCGATCGGGCGAAGAAGGCGATCCGACTCTGCGCGCCGAGCCTGTGGCCAATCACGCGGGAGGCAGATAAGATTAGATGCACCAGAGCCTTCGCAACTCTCTTCCTCCCCCCATTTCGATTGCCAACCTCCCCGGATTCTCGCTGTTGACACTGTCCGACCATTTCAACTGAGGACTGCTCTCGCCGGAGACCCAATTGGCCTCTCTCTTGGCCTTTCTGCCTCTTCCATCCAGCCCGGGCCAAGCGACCTGCCCACTTTCCGCCGTCCGATGGCCTGAGCCCCCAAAAAAAGAGACAAAAGCAGTTGGCCACGTCCCCGCTCTGTCCATTGCGCATCTATCTCATTCATTATACAATTACTTTCACCCGATACGATGCCGCCACATCTTCATCCGCGCTCGCGGTCCACGAGCACTCTTTTCGCCGGTACCCTTCTCGCATCCCTCGTGGTGGTCGGCATGCCACATCTCTTCCCTTGTCCAGCTCCACGACGAACCCTCGCCGATTCCCAGATGATGATTACAGCCGACGGGCAACAAGTACCTCGTATCCGTCGCCGCAGGCGGAAAGATGCAGACATCGACTCAGAATTCGGCCGGCCCGGCCTTCCGACACCATCCGGCGCGATGGATGAAGAAGTGTCTACATTCTTTCAGATGGAAGAGGAGGCAGAGAATATAGCACACCTTGGACATGAATGCCCTGTCCCAAAGCCAAAGGGTGTCCTCGGCGAGCTGTTGGGCTTCCGCAATGCTCGTAACAATGAACAACCTCAGACCCAGACAACAGGATCTGACGGAGGTCGATAATGTCTGTGTTCCATGCGTGCTCTAGAGGTGTTTTTTTGTCCTGTCCTTTTATTTGCACCCTCTCATTTTCCTTCTCTCTTGTTTAATGATACCATGCAATTGGCTACGAGGTCGAAACATTTGGGCTACATGTGTTGGAATGGCTTGGATAGACCGATTGGTGTACGGAGCTGATCGAGCGGAGCTCAAATACTCTTCATGTATAAAACTGTATAAAAAAAGATATTTTCACAGAAATCCAAGATATCAATTCAGACAGCTTCGAGGTTAAAGTGTAGAAAAATGACCGCGTAAGCTTGGCCCGGTTCCTCGGCCGCTTCGCTCAAGTGGCTGTTCAGGCCATTTTCGACATCCTCTCCACATCCACCTTGCCGCCGCCATGCCCTGGGCCAAATTCATACGTACAGCGCTCACACATCCACGGCACACGCAATGGATTGCGCCTCTTCTTGTTCTGGCCGACGCGTTCCTTTGCGCCTTAGTGATTTGGAAGATCTCCTGTGAGTCTGTCGCGTCGCAAATAAACCGACCAGGCCAGGCCGAGCTAACCACGATACCATAACGACAGACACCGAAATTGACTGGACAACGTATATGCAACAAATCTCCCTATATATATCCGGTGAACGCGATTATACCTCGATCAAGGGCTCAACCGGCCCCCTCGTCTACCCCGCGGCCCACGTCCACATCTACACCGTCCTCTACAACCTTACCGATGAGGGCCGCGACATTCTCCTTGGGCAGATCATCTTTGCCGGCTTGTATCTGGCTACACTCATCGTTGTGATGGCCTGCTATAGGCAGGTACAGGCTCCTCCTTATCTCTTTCCACTCCTGGTGCTGTCCAAGCGGCTTCATAGCATCTACATGTTGCGCATGTTCAATGATGGTATCGCAGCTTTCGCGATGTGGGTCGCAATTTACTTGTGCATGAAGCAGAAGTGGACTGCTGGAATCGCAGTGTGGTCTTTTGGGGTAGGAATCAAAATGACCTTGGTACTGCTTGTACCGGCTATCGCTATCATCACCCTGCTTAGCCTGGGGCTGCTGCAAACAGCGGCGCTGGGATTCATGGCTGTGCTGATCCAGGTAAGCTACGCAAACCTGGCCCTTCTAGAGTTCAACAGCCAGTGCTTATGTGAAACAATACTATTACAGGTCTTGCTCGCTATCCCTTTCCTCCAGACCAACGCAGTGGGTTATATTTCCAAGGCATTCGAGCTATCGCGGCAATTTATGTTCAAATGGACGGTGAATTGGCGCTTTGTAGGGGAAGAGAATTTTCTTTCAAGGGAATTTTCATTGGGTTTGCTGGCTTTGCATGTGTCTTTACTGGCCGTCTTCTTGACTGTCTGGGTGAAACCCTCAGGGACCAATATGCTCCGCTTCCTCCAGGACAAGCTCGAGGGCCGCCAGCCACCAATCAGCCTCTCAAAGTCATTCATAATGACTGCAATGCTGAGTGCGCTGGCCATTGGCTTGTTATGCGCCAGGTCGTTGCATTACCAGTTCTTTGCATATTTGGCATGGACCACTCCGTTCCTTTGCTGGCGCGCTGGTCTGCATCCCATTCTCATTCTAAGTGTATGGGCTCTGCAGGAATGGGCATGGAACGTGTATCCCAGCACCAACTTCAGCTCCATGACGGTAGTCTTGTCGCTTGCCTTGCAGGTGATCGGTGTGCTCTTCCGTGGACTCGGGGACATAGATAGCAAGCGAGAAGGGGCTGGTACTCGCAAAAAAGCACCCATCCAATAGAAGCCGAGAGATTGCGTCTTTCCACAATAAAAAGCGTTCATGCATCGGACTCGTCGGAGGAAGGCATCATACCCACTCGGGACTCTTCTTCTGAGTCTGAATCTGAGTCGGCGACGGCGACGGGCTGTTTCACGAATTCCTTGGGCCTAAACAAATAGATCATAATCAACTCGGCAATTCAGAACCCAGGGCCACCAGATCCATTCCTACCAAAAGGGAGCCTTTCTCCACGCCTTCTCATCCCGAACAATGTTGATAATCTCTCCCCCAATCTTGTTGTCCCGCTCTTCCTGCACTTTGGTATCGATGACGACGTAGGATCCGCGTTTGATCCAGAAGGTCGACCGGAACCGTGCTGGCAGCTCCACGAGGATCTGGGTTTTATCGGCCATTTCAATCAAGTAGATGTTGTTGCCGGTGGCCTTGATTGCCCGCACGATCTGCTGGGTTGCGGCCAGCTCGTCCGGTGGGAACATGGTTTCCTCGGCTGTCGCCAACACTTTTCTGCGAGGGGGTGCCATCGTGGCTATGTGTTTTGTTTAAAGAGGCAAAATCCAAAGGATGCGATTGTTCAGACCGAGTGGAGTCGCCAACTGCTTCAGTTGCTTTGATTGCTTGTTTGTTCGTTGATTGTGGGAGAATTTTCTTATCAGCGGGGCTCCTCATCGCATCCGGCTTACCAACCCACACCCTGTCAGCCAAGCCACGGTGCTCACTAACTTGAACGAACGTCAGGTGTCGGGGCGCTGCCCAATTTGGTAAACTCCCGCCATCGCAATCGGAATATGGATTCCTCTGTCGGAACCCATATAAGGCGTTCACTGAACCTGGTGTCTATCCTCAAACATTCTCCGACCTAGAGCGATCAATATACAAGTCGCACCAAAAGCTACTCGCCTCCATTAGGCTCCTTCACTAGTCGTCTGTAGCCGGTTCAGGCATGCATAATGGCTTCGAGGCTGGGAGCGTTCATCGAAATTGAGAGCTCTGCTCAGATCTCCAGTCCGCCAGCGGCAATACGCAAGGACAGGCATGGCGTGACACAATCGCCGGCGGATTACAAATTGGATGACCTTCAGCCACAAAAGAGCTCAGCAAACCCGGCTGCCGATCCCGTGAAACAGTCATTCACAGGTGCATCAACACCCACGCCGACTCCGAGTGTATTGGAAAACCGCCTGTCTTCACCAAATGCCGATGGGGCCTCGGGTTGGGCGGCAGACCGGACTGTAACGACATGGAGAGACAAATGGCGATTGCTCAGCTGCTCTCTGATTAACTTTGGCAGCGGCATGAATGACAGTGCCCCCGGTGCACTGCTCCCATATATGGAAAAGCATTATGGCATCGGGTACGCTATTGTCTCGTTGATCTTCGTAGCCAACGCATTGGGCTTCATCTCTGCAGCACCAGTCACGCATGCTATCGAGCACAAGTTGGGCCGATCCAAGAGCTACGCATTGGCCATGTCCATGTTGGTCGTCAGCTATGTGATCATCACCTGTCAGCCGCCATTCCCTGTCGTGGTGGTCTGTTTCCTTTTGCTTGGCTTCGGCATTGCGCTCAGCCTGGCGCTGAGCAATGTATACTGTGCCAACTTGCCAAATACCACAACGGCTCTGAGCTGTTTACATGGCTCATATGGCATTGGTGGCACCGTGGCCCCGTTGTTCGCAACTGCCATGGTCTCGAGCGGGATCCGCTGGTCACTGTTCTACATCATTCCTTTGGCGTTTTCTCTGGTGAACTGTGCGTATGCCTCGTGGGCGTTCACCAACTTCGAGAACGACGCACTTGCTGAGTGTCTCCAGCCCGCCATATCCCATCCTACTGGCGACGCAAGTCATTTTACTCGAACTCAGGCCTTGAAAAAAGCTATCCGCAACCGAACCACCTTATTGGGAGCCTTATTCATCTTCGCTTACCAAGGTGCGGAGGTCTCAACCTCCGGCTGGGTTGTCTCTTTCCTCATCAGCTATCGGCACGGTGATCCCTCACGCGTGGGATATGTCAGCGCTGGTTTCTGGGCCGGCATCACCGTCGGTCGGTTCCTGCTGGTCTACCCGGCCGCGAAGATCGGCCACAAGATTGCCGTCGTAGCCATGGTCGCCGGCGCAGTCGCCTTCCAGCTGATGACCTGGCTCATTCCCAATGTGATCGGTGAAGCCGTCTCAGTGGCCATCCTAGGCCTGCTACTTGGCCCCGTCTATCCCAGCGCGACGATTGTATTCACAAGGCTCCTCCCGCGGGACATGCACATTTCCAGCCTCAGCTTCATCAGTGCCCTGGGCAGCAGCGGCGGTGCCTTGTCGCCGTTTTTCACGGGTATCCTGGCCCAGAATGTGGGGACCATGGTGCTGCACCCGATCTGTATCGGATTGTATGGATTGATGGCGACCGCGTGGCTTCTGTTGCCAAAGGTGTCGAAGAGATCTGAATAAGGACCTCTTCTGTACTGGGAGGGTATTCCTAGCTCTGCATATCGTCAGTCTAGCCCACGTCACACCACTCTGTGGGCCATCGGATACGATCTTATCAGTGGGCCCGTGGAAATCCCCAGGACCAGACGGGTACTACATACCTGGGCATGTATGATCTGCCTGCATTGATGTTTTGACCGAGTCTGGCGTTATTAGGCATACATGCCGCAGTGACTTCCATCGGGCTTGTATCTTCAAATTTCACTCCAAATTTTCTTTCATTATTTTGGGATTATTCTCCCATTTACCTTGAGACGATGGTGTGTGATTAATTACTGTAAATAAGAAATGGCTAGTAGAATGTACGGGATGCATAAGAACGCTAAAAGATAGTACGCATGCTTACCGGTGCTTGGCTATAGGCACTTTCACTAGACAGGATGATGAAGATACAGCTCTATCTGCCGACTATTGGACTATTGCATCATTCGGGTCCTCGCCCGAGTCCTCCCAGTCTCCCATGGCCATGTGATATCACGAACTTATATACTCTTGTATTCAGCCTGTTCGAATGGCTCGCTCTCGTCACGAGAGTCGTATCCAACCAGGTAGACAAGGCCATTGTTGCAGTTGAAGAATGTGCGCAATGTAACCGAAGAGCAGAAGACTCAGCAGCCCCATGTATGCGGCAAGGAGGACGGTCGCACGCCCGACGCCGGCCGAGCGGTAGCGGTGACTGATGCCCAGGCCAGGCCAGCACAACGTACTGAGGGTTTCGCGACGCTTCGTTTTCTGTTTCTGGGCGCAATTCTTGCCGCTTTTTACTTGCTAGGTACAATTGAGCACGTCTCAATCTCGAGGCAGAGTTGCTGCATGAGTCGCCTATCTCTGCCCCAACAAAGCTCATTGTAGTAGTGTGAACAGAACAGAGGCCTGATCGAGATATCGAAAAGTCTTCTCTTTTCCATTGTCTAGGTCCTTCTCGGCAGATATCTGGTTTGATTAGTTGCTCAGTTCCAATAATGGACCGTAAGATGCTTCAGACTCTCACATGTGCGAATTTCGTCTTCTTCGGTCCCCGGCTGATTGGCGAAGCCTACATTCCCGCTCCAATACAAGGACAATCAGTCGAAAGGCCAATGCAAAGAAAGAGAGACAAAATGCTTTCGGTTACAAGATATTGATTAGTCAAAGCCTGGCGACAGTCCTTGTCCTGTTCCACGGATAGTTGTCATTTTTGATGGGCATCTGCTCATTCCGGGCCATGCTGGACACAATCTTGGAGACCTTGCTTATTAGATAATTGGTAGAGGTGTAAATAAATACTACTGACCAAATTGACTATGAGGTTCTACACCTCCTCCAGCATATATCTCGTCTTGAAATGCCTTGCACAACTTATGGGCACGCGTTTTCGCCAGTGTTTTCTTTACGAGAAATATGGACGTTTGGAATATACACCAAAATATTGTGCTACAGTCAATCAAGAGACTTCCAAAGACGTAAACTGCAAAAGAAGATCTGCCGACAGTGAATCAGCGTATATATGAGAGCACTCATAGCTGCCGGATCATGTGTTCTTTTTGCCAACTGCATAAAATTAGATACATTCTCACCTTTTGAATGTATTATCTATTGGAGACTAACAGTGCCTTGTGGGGCATAGGGAATAGAATATATACGTTGTAAAATAGATATACTTTGTAAAATAGTATCACAAAGTAGAATAAAGCAGAATCTTACCTATCTACTTCAGTCATATTCATTAGGAATATCCTGAAAGTTGGAGCTCATAGGTGTTATCTCGGCCAATTTCACAATACTGAACAGCGATTGAGGAAATAACAACAGGCCCTGTGAGCATTATTCAATCGGGCCATAATAACATGCTAATCAGGTTCAAGTTCAAGGTGGCATGCTTCCTGTGGAAAGTACTGCACTTCCAGTCGACAACCATACTTGAATACTTCGGCCATTGGCCTTCAATCTAGATACAGGTCACGTGATTTAATGGTCTGACAGACTTGGGTCTCGTGCCCGGACTAGAATATACCGCCGGGGCCTCGCCTGTCTGGCCTGAAAGGCAGCCTCATAAAAGCGGCGGCAGGGACGTGACCTAGACACTAATGCTCACCTCCCCCCCCCAAAAAAGAAAGAAAAAAAGGTGATCTCAAGATCCTGAAATCCTGATACCACGACGTGACGAAGAACCGCCAAAACCCAACGGCCCCGTCTCACGACCGTTCTCTCCCGTACCACCCCTGGCCTGCTGAGACAAGCCGGACCCGCCACGGTTCCGAGACCTCGGCTGAGGTTGTATGTAATCGTGCAATGGATGATGATCATGACGCTTGCATGCTTGCACGCTTGATTTCTGAGAGAGAGGGAAGGGAAAGGATCGACTGGGTTAACCGGATGCACCGGGTTCACCGAGCCAACTGGGCCAACTGGAAGTATGAAATGGAAACGACTGGATTGCTATCCATCCCATCATCCTTGGCTCATGCCCATCATGGACTCCATTGTTGTTTCAGACGACCCATCTCTTCAATTTGTGTAGTTCTCGCCACTGACACTTTTGTTGCAGAATGGGAGAAGAGGTAGGATGGAAGACGGAGTTGAGGAAACAACGACGTAAGGAGTCTGGGAGAATCTAGCGTAGATAGGGGTTATGAAAGATGGTTTCCAGGAATCTAGGAATCTGAAATCTGATCTGGATACAAAGACCATTAGAAGAGTATCTGGTGGTGCTTGTGCTCCCTGTGAGCTGACAAAAGCCCACAAAAGAGGATGTAGTAGTTAGGTAGTGGGTAGTACAGTCAATGATTCTTTTTTAGATTTCCACAATTCTGAATGGACTCCTACTAGGCAGTGACCTGAGTACTACGGAAGCATGAACGCACTTCTAAGGAAAGTATGTAACCGTAATTTGACCGTTTGCCATATACTAGTCGTGCGTAGTGGTGCTGTTAGTCTGTCGTGTGTACCTGTTTCCCTGTCGGCAAGCGATCCACGGAGCACGAGTTCGTCCTTATCGGGCGGGCAGTGCTGGTGCATTTTCCACAGTGGCAGTATCCTCCCGTCAGGTCAACAAGAGAGCCCCGCGAACCCTTTCCCAAAACACCACCTCCACCACCTGGGACCTCCACTCTCTCCGCCCCTCGACTCTCTTTATCCCGCCTTTTATCATCCCCCTCACCACTCCCTCTTCTACCTCCCTTCCACTCTCCCTCCGACCCTCCGGCGCACCACCCCTCTTGGTTTTAATCCTCCCGCCCCCCTCTTCTTGCACCCGGATCTGCTCTCCTCCCCCCTCCCCATCCGCCCATCATGGATGGTGACGAGCTGATTGCCTCGGTCTACCGCAAGATCGAGCGGGAGAAGGCTCTCATCACCGCCGCCAGTAACATGCGGCAGTCCACCGATAACCCTCTTGTGCAACAGCGGGTCGACGCTAACATCCGCGATGGTCGCAAGAATATCGCCTACTTGGAGGAGAAGATGCGAGAGTTGCAGCTCCGCCAGATGGAGCGCGAAGGTGGCGGCTCTCCCCAGGATTCACGTCACCAGCCAGGCGGCCCGCCGCCGCCCCCGAAGGATCATGCCGGATACTATGGAGGGGAAAGTGACGGTCATGATTATCCTCAAGGTGGCTCGGGCTCGATGCCTGCGGGCGCTCCTTATTCGGACCCCCGCCCTTACGCCCCGGTCCCGAAGGCACGACCAAATTATACTAAACTTGGTGCGTCCAACCCCGCAGATAGGCCCATCGTGATGGCGGGAGAGAGATTCCTGTGCCCAAACAATTTCTCCGACTATTGGAATGCTGACTTAGAATGTTTCACTTTCTCTCACAGATCTAATCAAATATGACACTCAGTATTTGGGCCCGAAGATCCAGCTGATGCTGTCCCAGCTTGAATTCAAGCTCAGCGTCGAAAAACAATACAAAGCCGGTATCGAGAAGATGGTTCGCTTGTACCAGGATGAGGGTGATCGCAAGAGCCGCGCGGATGCCGAAGGCCGTCGCATCGAGAGTAATCAGAAGATTCAGCTATTGAAGCAGGCTCTGAAGCGATATGAAGATCTCCACGTGGATATTGAATCTGCCGCGGCGGATGGTATGTCTAGTTTCACCAGCGCCGAATGGTGCGCACACGCCCAGCGAGAAACTGTTTTGGCTGACAGTCTCCCTCTAGATGAAAGTCTCAGCAGCCCCAATATGCGCAAACCGTTGACTGGTCTCCTGACTATGCGAATCCATGCCGTCAAAGATGTTGACCACGCAACTAGCTCACGCTTCTCACGGGGCCCGGAAACGTTTGTGATTGTCAAGGTGGAAGACACAATTAAAGCGAGAACCAAGGCAACCCGAAATGACAAGTGGCTGGATGAATCGTTCTCCATCGACATTGATAAGGCGAACGAGATCGAACTCACGGTGTACGATAAGTCGGGAGATCGCCCGACCCCCATTGGCATGCTTTGGGTGCGAATTTCAGATATCGCTGAGGAGATGCGTCGCAAGAAGATTGAGACTGAGCTGAATGCTTCGGGATGGGTTTCCGCAGATAAGATGGATGGATCCGGCACCCCTCGCTCTGAGTACCACGGATCCCCAGGTACTTCCCACGGAGGTCCTGGCTCGGGGGCAATGGGTCATCAAGGCGGCGGCCAATATGGGGGAGATAACCCGAATGCGCCTCCAACAGTAATGATTGATTCATGGTTTGCCTTGGAGCCATTTGGCCGAATTCAACTACAGATGAGCTTTGGTAAGACACTTGACTTTTGCAGGGTAATTTTAGTGAATTTGATCGGTTTGCTAATTCTTGACAATAGCCAAGCAACTGAAGGACCGCCGCCCCTTCGACATTGGTCTCAACCGACAGGGCGCCGTGCGCCAAAAGAAGGAAGAAGTCCACGAGAAGCAGGGCCACAAGTTCGTTACCCAGCAATTCTACAATATCATGCGCTGTGCGCTGTGTGGAGAGTTCCTCAAGTATGCTGCGGGCATGCAGTGTGCGGACTGCAAGTACACTTGTCATCGCAAATGCTACCCCAAGGTTGTTACCAAGTGTATCAGCAAAGCGAATTATGAAACCGACCCAGACGAGGAGAAGATCAACCACCGGATTCCCCACCGCTTCGAGGGCTTCTCCAACCTTTCCGCCAACTGGTGCTGCCACTGTGGTTATCTGCTTCCTTTTGGACGGAAGAGCGCCAAACGATGCACTGGTATGAAAACTGAATTGGATCATTGAGCCAGTGTCTTCCGAAGTTATACTAATTTCCCTTCATCTAGAATGTGGTCTTACTTGCCATGCCCAATGCACACACCTTGTCCCTGATTTCTGTGGCATGTCAATGGAAGCGGCGAACCAGATCCTGGAGACCCTCATTCGCGCAAAGAATCACAACAAGTCTACTTCTGTCAGTTCTGGTCTTAGCGGCCGTACGCTACGGCCAAGCGGTCCACCACAGCCCCCTCAAGACAATGCCGCCCTTTCATACCCCCAAAAACCCACCGATCGTCCCTATGGGGCACTACCCCGACAGCCCTCAGCTGAAGCGGTAAGCGCTGCGACTAACTCCTATATGACTCCACAGTCACCAACAGCTGCACAGGCTGCTCAGCGCCAACCCTTAGCTCCGAAGTCACCTACCACCGTTTCCCCTGCTGCCCAGCAAGCGGCGGCTGCCGCAACATCCCTGCGTCACCCTCCACAGACACCGCGTATGTTTTCTCTATGCCCAACTGCCTGTTGTTATTCGTCTAACCTTCTCGATTTAGCGGAGATGAACCGTCCCCCTGTGCAAGCCCAACAACCTCCTCCTCCTTCACATGCTCACTATGACCCCTCCGTCTATGCTAGCTTCCAGCAACCGGCTCCGGCTCAGGTAATGCAGAAACCCGCTCCACCCACTCAATACCAGATGCCTCCGCCCCAGCAACCTATGCAGCCAATTCCTCAACAAATGGCTCCGCCGGCTGTGAAGGAAGATCTTAGTGCGGCCCAGTCAAAGCCTCGCATTGGTTTGGATCATTTCAACTTCCTGGCCGTGCTTGGTAAGGGTAACTTTGGAAAGGTTATGCTCGCTGAGACCAAGAGCACCCGCAAACTGTATGCCATCAAGGTGCTGAAGAAGGAGTTCATCATTGAGAATGATGAGGTGGAGAGCACAAAGTCTGAGAAGCGTGTTTTCTTGATTGCCAACAAGGAGCGACACCCCTTCTTGCTGAACCTGCACGCTTGTTTCCAGACTGAGACTCGCGTGTACTTCGTCATGGAATACATTAGCGGTGGTGATCTCATGCTGCACATCCAGCGGGGCCAGTTCGGACTGAAGAGAGCACAGTACGTCTACCATTTGTCGAATGAACTTGCCCAAGCTACACCGGTATTAACTGAATTTGCACAGGTTCTATGCTGCGGAAGTTTGCTTGGCTCTTAAATACTTCCACGAGAATGGCGTCATCTACCGTGATTTGAAGCTTGACAATATCCTTCTCACCCTGGATGGTCACATCAAGATTGCCGATTACGGTCTGTGCAAGGAGAATATGTGGTATGGATGCACCACAAGCACATTCTGTGGTACTCCTGAGTTTATGGCGCCAGAGGTAAGTATTCGAACTGGAAGACACTGAGATAGAAGCTCATTCTGTTTTAGATTCTGTTGGACAAGAAGTATGGCAGAGCTGTGGATTGGTGGGCATTTGGTGTTTTGATCTATCAGATGCTTCTGCAGCAGTCTCCCTTCCGTGGTGAGGATGAGGATGAAATCTACGACGCCATTCTCGCCGATGAGCCTCTATACCCCATCCACATGCCCCGCGACTCGGTCTCCATTCTGCAGAAGCTGCTGACCCGCGAGCCTGAGCTGCGCCTAGGCTCTGGTCCCACCGATGCCCAGGAAGTGATGTCTCACGCATTCTTCCGCAACATCAACTGGGATGACATCTACCACAAACGTGTCCCCCCGCCCTTCATCCCTACCATCAGCAGCCCCACGGATACCAGCAACTTTGATCAGGAGTTCACTAGCGTAACCCCCGTCCTGACACCTGTGCAGTCTGTGCTCTCGCAGGCCATGCAGGAGGAATTCCGTGGCTTCTCTTATACTGCTGATTTTGCTTGATCATGTGTTGTATGACTTGCAACCATGCATCCTACGTGACCTACTTGAGCCACTCACCCTCTTCTTCATCCGACATCGATTTTTGTCGGTTCCACGGGGCCCAACACCGTCTCGATTGAATGTCTTCTGGGACTTTCGGGGTGCTTCTATCTTTTTTTGTTATTCGCTTTTTTTTTCCTTCAAATTGCTCAACATACCCATCGCAGTTGTGTTTGGTTGACTGTCGGCGTAGACGCTGATTTTGATCTCCTCGCTGAGCCTGCTTCGTTTGCCGAATGACATGAGCCATGTAGCAACGATGTTGCTTTCAATGTTATTTTTTTTTTTTTACTTTTTCTTTCCCCCTCTTGTTTTGCGTTCTAAATTCCTTGCTTCTCCTATCTTCTACTTTCGCCGCCTCCCTGTTCCTGGCGAGTGACTTTTTTGGTCTTTTCCGACGAGTCGATTCACGACTACTCTATGCCATGCCCAACCGGTGTGGTTATTTAGAGTGATGGCAGGATCTATGAAGAGCTCAAGATCCACTTTAGGGGGGGAAGGGGGGGGGGGGGGCATGTAGAAGGATTATGACCGAGCATGAGCACAAATGAACGATAATGCCATGTGTGTGATGTGTGGATGTTGTTGTCTTTCAACAAAAAAAAGCTTTTTGAGATGAGAATAGGAAGCCTTTGATGGATTTCAGGGTTTATTTTATTTCTTCTTTTTTTTTTTTTTTTTTTTTTTTTTTTTTCTGTCTCTTCCTTCGTCTTCGTTATCATTCTCCTGTTCATAGGGAGTCTCAGCCCATTAGGAGCAGGGTCTGGTGCTCTATATCCCTGGGACGGTGTTTGTGGTCTTTGCTGACCATTGCTCTCAGTTTAGTGGGCAAATATGAAATAATGTACCCCCGTCCTATTGATTCCAAGTTCTTCAGTGATATCTTACCTTTGACAGTAGTGCATCTGACACAATCCAATCCCGGCTGCTGAGCCTTGATACCCACCCCTTTGCCCAATCTCCCGGTGTAGATTTTACATCGAACTCGACAAGTACATTTTCTGAGACCCAATTTGTGACAGATTTTTTGTTTATCTTGTTATTCTAATTCATAATATATTCGTTCTGGCTAGCAGTGTGACTAGTTTACTTCTGATTCCTGACTTTGGTTCTTTCATCCCCCAACCACGGTCTGTTTAACCTCGGCGTCCTCCATTTCTTTGTCATCGAGTTCTCTTTCACTCCTCATCCTATTTTCGGACTTGAAAGTTAATTACTCTATCTGTTTTACCCTCGCGAGGCGGGCTCCTTTGTTCTCCCTTGGCCACTGCCCCACTCGATATTCGAGGTCTCTCTCACCTGTCAATTAAAGTCAAACAGTAACGAACTCATGCTCTCGATCCATCCTTCAGCCTACCTGATCAGCTTTGATGGTCTGTCGTCTTAGATCAGGCATCAGTTTTTTCCCCTGACAAGTTGGCTTTGCTTCAAATTTTCTCGCGTTGGATTTGCCTTTCAGCTCATCTATTTTGATCTCTGCCTCTGTCTCAAATTTCCCTCACAAGATCTTCTTTTTAAGTGCAACGATGTCACCCAAGCGCACAGGCTCGCCAGAAGACTGGGATCTCACACTTCCAATGATAAAACGCATCAGAAGTATGGACTATGACTACATTCCATCTGAACCATCTCCGAAGACATTAGTTGCGGATCTTGACCCCTCTGGTATTGGGTCAGACAACTCAGACGAAAGGATTACTGCATCTTCTTTTGAACTACTAGGTCAGAGGACAACATCTTCTATGCCGGCTGGTCCTGATCATTTTGAGACTCCCAGGAAACGCGGGAGGACACTTTCCGCTACTGCTCTGCGCCTTTCCCTTAGAGACAATCGGGATCGTGGCTTAGGCTCTCCAGAGAGGGATGTCGATCAGTCTTCCTCAAAAGCAAGCTCTCCTACAGGCTCCGTATCCAGCATATTATCGAGCACGAGAAACAGAAATAGGAGAAGAAGAGCGAGCGAAGAAGCCGAGCCGTATGTCGATGAGAAGAGTGACAATTCGGATATTGATGAAGAATTCACTCCAAAAGCGTGGCAAATACGACAGCAGGAACGGGATGAAGTCATGTACCTGCTCACCAGAGAGAAAGCAAGACGCTTGGCTACAACTGAGAAAGTTCTGGAGGATTCTAAGATGGGTGAAGAGGAGAAGAACTTATATCTGGACCTTGCACTTCGCGGTTGCAAACCAGTGATGGCCAGATCCTGGAAAAAGGATTTCACCACTCTCCCGGAATCTCTGTTTCCCTCTGACGAAGCCGGCTCCAAGGAATGCGGGTTCACTTTCCAGGTTCAGAAGGGATCCAACTTCTATGCTATCACTGCACTGCATGATCTTCTCCAAGTCCCGGGGCGGGTCCGTGACTGCAGATATTTAACAGTACGACCCCAATTTCTAATCAAAAAGGCGATTAGAAAATATTTTCGATGGGCTATCTACGACGCTGGTTTGAAAGTCACCAGGAGAACAAAACCTGTGTATACCATCTATGCCCAAAAACCTGGCGAGACGACGCTTACCGCTGTCACGATCGTGACTCGGAAGCTAGAAAAACTGGCTAGAATCCAACAGGCCCTGCATGATGGCCCCGGACAGAAATATTGGCCAACTTTAGTCGGTTTCTGCTTGTGTGGGTCCATTGTTGCCTTGATAACGCTTGACTCCAACCCCAATACTATCCCCTGGTCAGAGGACAAGGATTATAACACTCGAACCAAGTACATGGGCATCTTCGATATGGGGGAGGTAAACCAGGACGTTTGGAACTCCCTTGCAATTGCCATTGCAATCATTCATGTAAGACAGACGATGAATTGCCTTGCTACTCACTACAAAGGAGTGATGGTTCCCCGTTGGCGTGATATAAATGAGGTTGAGGTTGACGAGGACAGATGATGGGAATACCAATTAATGATGGTACAGCCAATGTCAGGTTTCATTTTTGTTCTTTTTTCTTTTCAAATATTTTTGTCTTTGAGGTTTGAATCTTGACCCTGTGTTTGCTCTTGGGCCACTTTGTTCATCTGGATCCTGTTATACTGGATTCCGATGTTTAATTAATACCATGTAAAGTTTCTCTAGCACGAACCTACCTGTTTCAATTCTTATCTGGATTGCTCAATTTATAATAGAATTGGCATGTGCGTGTTCAAAAATGACTGGTGATAATATTGTTGGGAGGAGAGGGGAGAACGGGAAGAGTTCATGGCAGAGAAAAGGTGCTTGGCTTGATGCCTGAAGACTTCAAACTCAAGTATTTCAAGGCAGAGTGACACCATGAAGAGGAGGTGATTTTAACAATACCCTCTCTTCATACTCGCAGGGCTCTCCCCCAACGTCAAGTCAGCAGTGCTCTCTTTAGCTGCCACTTGATACCCTGGCCGAGAAATTACAGCTTAATCTCTATCCTTGCCTTGCTACTAGAAAACTATAACCTGTGAGGTCGGAGAAATCACCCTGATAATTATTTCTCTGCGATCTATTCGTGTCCCTCTCGCTTTCTTTTTGGTGGTTTAATTGATATACCGGCCTCTTCAGACCTCGTATCGTTAATCATTTCACAATCCACTGCATCGATGTCGGCTCCGTGATCCATCAACAGTTCCAAAGCTCCAACGTGGCCATTCTCAGCTTGAAATCCACTATGGGAGAAAAACTTCTTCAGACTATTGAAAGTAAGCAAGCCTCAAAAACCTCTCTGAACGTCGCAGCTATGGTTGCCTTTCATGATCAGAATCGTATGTCTATTTCCGGATCGCTATACTACTGCGTAACACAGCCTCCAATGCCTTTTATTATACGCAAACCTGACCCCTTTAGCATTAGCTGGGCCTTGACCGTGTGATCCATCGATGGATGTGGGGAACCGCAGTTCAATTCGCAGCTTTTGTAGGGGGCTATCCGAGTGACGACTAAGCTCTCTACGCTGCTCTCAGACTCAATGAAGCTGCAAGAAGATGGAATGAAGTTTCCCTTGAGGTGATGAATCTTCATAGTGTATCTATTTCTCTATATACTAGGGAATAGATAATAGGGAACAAATAGAACATAGTGAGCGGTAGCCTTGGAAAATTGATATGCTTGAGCTTTCCTTCTAGTCCTACTTAGAATGTCCTAAGGCGAACTAGTTTCCACCTGTCGGAGTGGGTCCCTTCGGCCTCTTTTGAGTCGGTGGTTTGACATTGGTGGTTGAGGCTGTCCCGCCTCGCTGCTGTAGCTCCCTCGCCAGCCGTGCGGCATCGACTCCGCCGGTGTTCGTGCTGCTCTGGTTGCGAACAGGCGTAGCTCCTGTGTCATTGTTCGCTGTTGTGTTGGGCATGATGAAGGTACCTGATTAAGATGAAGGTATCTTAGTAAGAAGATGTTTTCTGGTGGACGAAATCTAGAAGAATGCTTGCTGCGAGAATGGAAAATTAAATAAGAGATTCATCGGAGTTTAAATACTTTGAGGACTCTCTAACTTGCTAACTATTCAACTAATACTAGTGAATATATTTATCTATCTTATAGCCTAGTGTTTCATAAAGATATCTATCACTGCTATTTCCTCCTATCACTGGGAGAGTTGAAAATATATGAGTGATTTATTAAGAGGATTTTATAGTTACGCGCTTTTGAATACCAATAATAAGCAAAGATGAGCTAGGTGTTGGATAAAATTTTACGTGGGTGATTAATGATCTAGTGAACTAAGAATATATGGAAGACTATTAGCCGAAGATGCGTTGATTATGGTTATATGAGTGATTTATTTAAAGGATTTTATAGTTACGCGCTTTTGAATACCAATGATAAGCAAAGATAAGCCAATTGTTGGATAAAGTTTTACGTGGGTGACAAAGGATCTAGTGAGCTAAGAATAGATGGAAGACTATTAGCCAAAGATGCTTTAATGATACATTAGATAGGTGATATATCTAAGGGATTTCATGGTTACGCGCTTTTTCAAATAATGTTACGGAATATACAGCCTCAAGTTCCTAAGGAACGTTAACGACTAACCAGCTCCTGGGAGCTAAGCGTTAGCGTGGAGGGTCACGTGCATTTGGGTATACCTTCGAGGCCCTAGGTCTGGAGCGGAAAGATACTCTATTCTGGTCACTGTGCATCAGGGTGATTAGACCTACTTCCAGTCAATATGTGAGATAAATGCAGATATACATACCGGACGAAGTCCGCCAAGTGTAACGCCGGAGTCGGCCACGAATGTACCAACACCAGGATTATACCCCAAGGATGGGTGCCGGGAAACCCACACGTGACATCCCATCCCAACAATAGGACAGGAACCATCCTAACAGTAGGATGGGAACTCGTCAGGACAATAGGAAGGACTGGGTATATAAGGGCATTTATCACCGCATCATGTGCTTAGTTCTTCGCGTTCAATTTTCATTGTTACTTGAGTATACAGTCAACTAAATTAACACTCGAACTTGCTATTGTGATATTTTTTTAGTTCAATATAAGGACACATCCCACAACCAGAAGGAACACTTCGTAGCTACTTCACCCATCTAGGCACTCTTCATTTGAGCGACCTCTTCGGTCTACTCTATAGATACGAGTCCGTGTACGGCCTCAGCGATTCGGCAACGGTACGGTTGCCAGTACAGATCGTCGAAGATTAGAGCAGGTACGTACGATACGTACTATTTACGTTAACCAGTTAGCAGTGCGTGATAGTAGATACCTATGAATATATATTACGTATTATCTTATTATTAGCTGTATTAATATAGCTATTATCTACTATCTTTATTATATACTTATTAGGGAAACACTATCATGCGCTACTGTATCTGGGTCCTAGGCTGTCAATGTGCAAGCACATTAAAATTGTGGTCTTTTTGGCTCCACGTAGGAAGCACGTGCCTAGGTGTGCTCCGTAACAATACTATTCTAATGATATCTAGAACTTTTCCTGTATTATATTATCCTAAATCCTAATAACTATCTAATTATTCTCTACTAATTTAAGTAATATTATACTAATTCAAAACTTCTGCTTACCAGATTTCGAGAACTATATGCTTCTAGGTTAGGCTTAAATTTATGAACCATGCTCAAGGCTGCTAGCGCTTTAGAGACTCTAGAGGCACTTTATTGATGACCGTATATATCGCCTGACTCTTCGACTAATACGGATGTACTGTGAATTTCAGAAAGGCTTTTAAGAATAGTATAGAGAGAAGCATATGCGCTATCGCGGACTTGGGAGTTTTCGATAGCATACCGGAGGAACTTCGCGCAGAGATGGGCTAGGACGGCTTCTATTTTGGAGTCGATAAAGTACTTGGAGATAACTACAAATTATTCCTCCTAGTTATAGGTGTATCCTTATATTATAACTATAGAAGAATTAAGGAACTAAGATAGTGTGACCCAGAGCATACTACTGGTCACATACGGAGGTTTTTGCCGCCATTTAGAGCCTTTTTATTGCTATATCTACCATATTATTACTAGTTTCTAATATCATGCAACTTCCACCTACCGTCTGGACCACAATAGTTAGTTTAGCTCTAGGTAAGTAGATTAAAGTTATAAGACTAGCGGAAGGCTTCTTCCCTATAATTAGTAAACTAATAGGCGAGCTTAATAGTATAATAAAGAAGCTTCTTAGCCTAGACATCTATATAGTTTAGAAGGTTAAGGACTAAGGATTACTTATTCGATTCAAGTATAATAGTTATATCTATCTCTCTATAGATATAGATATAGACGCGAGCCGGTTAGCTTGTATAGGTAGGGTAGCTTAGTAGCGCTAGTCGAATAGCCCGATTAGCTTATTAGTACCTAGCACCTATATAGTGAACCAGGGCGCTCTACGGCAAGCCTGAGAATGCAGGTAGGATAAGATAGGTCGGCGAATAGACCAACAAACCACCACACACCACAATGGAGGAAGCTTCCCAAAAGGGAAAGCAGAAGTAGATGAAGCGAAGAGAGTGTGAAAGTTGATTCTCTCCCTATCGGAGATGCGAAGCTATATCCTGTAAAGACTGTGTGCTAGGAAATATGTGCTCTAATCAGAGATCACCCTTCGTCGGTCTTTTCCCCACTGCAGTGGTTATAAAAGGGATAGTTTAAAGGCTGCTCAAGACTTGAGGAGATAAACTAGAGGTTGGATAAGCAAAAGTGATAGAAGCGAAACCCGGAGGACGCCCTTAGATAGTGGAAGCAAGGGTCTGCTACTAATTTGTGATAGAGTTAGGAGATATAAAGGTGATCATATTCAGTTATCCTCTAAACTAGCTAAGAAGGTGCCACCGGGTCAGGTGACCCGGCTTGGAGGGTAACAGTATACGTATATTGAATTTACTCATGACCAGATCGTATATCCAATAGAACAACCTGGCCTCCAATCTGAGTAGATTATTCTACGATTCAGGTAGGCTATATTTAAAGCAGTCTCAAATATCCCAATCTTCAAACTTTCTTGTTGAAGATGATACGTGAGCCGATGGCCATTGTTGGATATCCTGATGTCACATGACCGGTCCCGCTATTGACGCTTTTCCCAGCGCCTTCAGGATAAAACCATTGCCAATCTCGACAAGCCACAATGGATGCCGGTGAGGACGAAGACTTGAAACTCCAGCGGCAATCCAGTGATTTAGTATCAGAATTCTCAGCCAATTTACCATTGTTATTGTGGAGGTCGCAAAATGGAACCCCTCTCCGTGCCCCACGTAAATGGGCTCAAGTGTCCAAAACCGAGAAGCTTGTTACTCTTGTAAGCAGACCGATCGTTCGCACTGAAATTACTAAATACCAAAATATCAATACTTACAATTTTCGAAGCTTGAACCCTTTCAAGAATGGCCCCAGCTTCTAGATCCGCATCTGCAGAAGATTTTGCCTATTTTGGTGGATGCGTTCCTGGCATATCTGACCCAGCATCGGGGCCAGTATGGATCGAATGTGGCGAAAACTAGCCAAAATACTGCATTATATCCACTTCCAAGGGCTATCTGCAGGCTACTCTATACCTTCTGCAAGATACGAGGTGTCAAAGTCATTAGCCGCTTCTTGAACAATGAGCCAAAATACCTTGATTCTATGCTCCGAGCTTTTATTGAATGGGACACAATCAACCCGGCAGACCCCACAGAATATCTATCGGGGCATGTAACGCAGAGCTTACTGTGGGAAGAGCGTTACGTGATGTTAGTCTGGCTCTCACACCTGCTTCTAGCCCCATTCGACCTGTCCTCGCTTTCATCTGGCGACATTCCAGTCCCGTATAATAATCTGGGCAAATTGGGTGCGATTCCCGAACAGACCCCTGGAGTGGCGAAATCTCTTCTTTCGTTGGGGCTACACTATATCGCTGTCTCAGGGAAAGAGCGGGAAGCGGCCAACGCTCTACTGGCCCGACTCGCTCTACGAGGAGACATGCAAGCTCTTGGACTCCTCAATAGCTTGACAAACTGGGCTTTTACTAACTTGAAGCCCATTGAAAAATCCGAGGAACCTAGTCTCTATGCTTGTATTGGCATCCTCTCTTTCATTGCACGCTTGGCTGGATCTGGCCAACTGGACGATCTCGCACCGCTGCTAAGAAGTATCTTTGATCAAACTATTCGTGTTACCCAAGGAACGTCTGGAGTATCTGCAACTATCTACTCGTCTGCAATAGCCAGAAAGATTGTCGTCAAAATTCTTCGCAATGTCACAGTCATGGCGCTATCTTTGAGTGATAGAGGAAATAACAGTATCACGGATGACCAGCTTTCTACTATCCTAGAGGATGCCATTGATCATCTTCTGGTTTCTTTAGCGGACAAAGAGACGCCTGTGAGATTCGCTGCAAGCAAGGCATTGAGCATTATTACCCTGAGGCTAGAACCAGACATGGGCACCGAGGTGATCGAAGCGGTCATTGGGTCCTTGGGGGAGAACATACTGTTTGAAAAAGACGATGGTACTCTATTGACACCTCTCGAGGCGCGAAATTTTGGTTATCAAACACTCAAGCGCAACTTGAGTGCCGTTGATGCCCAAAGATGGCAAGGTCTAATGCTAACACTATCCCACCTACTATTTCGCCGAGCACCGCCGACGGAGCAACTTCCAGATATTCTGCAGTCTCTTGTTTCAGGTCTTGCTTTCGAGCAAAGGTCATCAACAGGTACTTCAGTTGGAACCGGTGTCAGGGATGCCGCCTGCTTCGGTATTTGGGCACTTTCCCGGAAATATACAACCAGTGAACTCCAGGCCTTGCAGCAGCAGACAATTGTTCAGATTACCGGCACTGCACAAATTGGGGTTCTGCAAAAATTAGCCGTCGAGCTCGTTTGCTCTGCTTGTGTTGATCCCTCTGGAAATATTCGCCGGGGTGCCTCAGCTGCCTTGCAAGAATTGATTGGTCGTCATCCAAATACCATCGCTGAAGGAATTTCCCTCGTACAGGTTGTTGACTACCATGCTGTTGCACTTCGTTCCCGCGCGATGACAGACGTGGCCAAGTCCACTGCCGCTCTTGATTCTACCTATTGGAGTCCACTCGTGGAGGCTCTGATGTACTGGCGGGGAATTGGATCTCAAGATGTCGCATCAAGAAGGCAGGCCGCTAACGCAATAGGCATATTGAGCGTACAGGAAAGCTTCAAGACCATAAAAGTGGTATTGGAAAGGCTGTTGCGCAAGCTCCCTCGTATCCCGCGAAATGATGTTGAATCGCGCCATGGATGTTTTATGGCTATTTCTGCCACTGTTAATACCTACACAAACGAGTTTAGAGTCACACGAGAGAGCCGAGAAACTTCCGAAGGAAAAGAAGTCTCTTCAATGGTAACCAGGCTATGGGATATTTTGGGTTCTCCATCAGGTCCAACAGATCGCGATCTGACTCTACAAAACTCCCGCCCTGAGCTGACAGCAGAGGCATCGGCTTGTTTAATATCGTCACTTGCTCGATCCATTACCTTGACGCAGCTTGAACCTCCATCTGAGACATTGCTTGATCGCATTCTCCGAATTCTTTCACTCTGCGTGTCTCGAGGTGACAATATATCCATTGAAACTTCGTCGACAGCGCTGTCTACAGTATTCCCACTTCTCTCTCTATCAAAACAAAAAGAAACGGTACAGGCGTGGATTTCTCATCTGCGTACTTCGTCAAAACTTCCGAGTGGTCGTGGTCATATTTTAGCCCTTGGGGCTGTATTCAAACAGCTTGAGGGGCGAGAAGATATGCAAGAGGGCATTATAGCTGAGTTACTTCGTTGTTCAGAAAAAGATGAACTTATTGAAAAGCGAGTATCTGCTGTGAGATGCTTGTCCACGAGCGTATTGCCGTATACAGGTACGTTATGTCCAAGAGCACGGAACACAAAGGCATAGACTAAAGATACTATAGCTGTCACGAGCACAATCTCACATAGCTTGCTTGGTTTTCTCAAAGATTACACCACAGATAGGCGAGGCGACATCGGATCTCACATTCGAATCGAAGCAATCAAGGCGGCAGAAATTCTTTTGAATGCTGACTCTAAATCAACGTTAAACGCCTCAACAACCCGAAATTTGGTTGCTTGTCTTTGTCGACTTGCTGCTGAGAAGCTGGACAAAGTTAGACTGCAGGCATGGCTTTGTCTCCAGAGCTACTGGGAATCTGGGCCGAATGATTTTCCTTCAATGCAAAGGTAACAATAGACTGTTGTTTTTCTATCTTCATTAGCGCTAACTGCAAATAGTCAATTCCAACATTTCAGCCATGTCTCGTCACAGGAATATTTCGCCCAAATTCTCACTCTTTATTCCATTGAATGGCTACGGAGGCCATTACTCAAAGGCTTTTCCACTTCAGCAATTGCGGGTACAGATGGTCTCATCCGTGCCTCTCGGTCCGCTCTGATTCAGTTTCTCAATGCCCATGAAGCCAGCGAACGCCACGCAGTCCTAGTCATCATGTTGCAGGATTTGTCTGCAATAATGGAAGAAGATCTTCAAGATGATCGCTTTGTTATTCCCATAATCGATCTCCTTGCGTTTTTGATAGATAGCTACGCAGTCTCCTGCCCGGACGGACAAGATGCCATCTTTAAAGCAGTCTTCAAATTGGTTCAGAAGGCCCACTTCCGATCTTCTAATATTCCTCGTTTGGAAGCCGCTGTCAAAGTTTATGCAGCATTATCGAAACTGGAATCTGTCAGAGAAGATACTCTGAAGAAGCTTACTTCGTTGCTGCTGCATTCGTTCCCAAGGGTATGTTCGTTTCTCGAAATCTCTCCTAAGACATCACTAATGTATTTTAGGTTCGAGCGACGGCCGCCGACTATCTTTTTGTCATAACCGACTTAGATGATATCAAATATGAGGACTGGTCGGCACAACCAAAGCAATTAAAGGAAAAGATGGAAGAACTGCGAGGTGTTCTGCTATCCCCAACTTAAAATAGTTGATAATGACTGGATACTTAATAAAGAGGAAATGTTACCCTCCAAGCCAGGTCACCTGACCCTATGACACCTTCTTAGCTAGTTTAGAAGATAACTTTATATGATCACCTTTTACATCTTCTGACTCTGTCACAAGAAATATGCCAGTTCGAATTCAATCATCTAATGCAATAAAAATTGGCCAACGGATATGATATGAAAAGACAAGATAAGGAAAAAGAGCATCCAATGCGAGGAACCAGCTGGGTGTTGGGGAAACAAATCTATATAACACTCAATAAAAAAGAATGCATCATCCGTGAATCGAACACGGGCCTCGTCGATGGCAACGACGAATTCTACCACTAGACCAATGATGCTAGTTGATGTAAATATCAGCAAAAAAGTGTTTCATAAACCATAAAACCCCAATTTTGTCTTGCCGGATTCCACCTGTGCCGCAACTCATTCAGAGCTGAACCTTCGCTCAGCTGCCAGAGCTCCAACTGTCGCAACCATGGCGACCGCGGGCATATCTGCAGGCGGCCTTCCGCCAAACCATACGTGAGTGGCCCTAATTCCTCTGCTTCTTTCTTTCGCTGATCACTAACCTGGCTTCACAGGGTCTATGTACGCCCTAAGTCCCCCCTCTTATACCCTCGTTCTCCGATCCCCGCGCCAGCCGAAGACTGACATCTGGCTTGATAGGTCCGGAATTTGGAGGAGCGCATCAAGGTTGAACAGCTCAAGGTGGCTCTTGAGGAGATCTTCTCAGAATTCGGAAATGTGGTCGAGATAGTTGCGAAGACCAATTTGAAAGCGAAGGGCCAGGCTTTTATTGTCTACGATAGCGTTGAAGCCGCAACCCGCGCCATTGAAGAAGTGAACGGGTTTGATCTTTTTGACAAACCAATGGTGTTGGACTATGCAAAGACCAGAAGCGATGCGACAGTTCTTCGTGAGAGTGGAAATGACGAGCTAGAGGCTCATAAACGGAGGCGGTTAGCGGAGAAGGGTATGTTGCTGGATATCTTTCTTTCTTTTGAACCCAACCATTTTTGTCTTCCGGAATTGGCTAACGAACAAATTCATTTCCCATAGAGCGCAAACAAGCTCACGATGCCCTCGAGGCCCAGAAGAAACTCAAGCGCCCCGCTGCTCCGGCCGATACTGCGCGCCCGGCTAAGACTACCAAGGGCGCCGGTCTTAAGCCTACCTCTGGTACTACTGCTGCCGTTGTGCCAGACGAGTATCTCCCGCCCAACAAGATTCTTTTCTTGCGGGATCTGCCCGATGACGCGACGCAAGAAGGTCTGTCGGCAGTCTTTAGTCGGTTCGAAGGATTCCAGGAAGTCAGATTGGTTCCGGGTCGCAAGGGGATTGCCTTCGTCGAGTACGAGAGCGAGTCCGGTGCGATCAGCGCGAAAGAGGCAACCTCTGGTATGGCGATGGGCGAGCAGAACAAGCCGATTCGCGTTACGTATCAAAGACAGTAGTTGTTGCCGGGGTGCACACGACCTCAAAATATCCCTGTCTTATTGTTCTTGGCGTTTGTGGATGGTCTTCTTCTCGCATGTGTGTTCCTTGTTACTAGGAGACTACAGTATCTTATCGTGATAGAAGTTGCTCCTGCAATGGAAAGTTACTGGTTGTAAGTGCGTCCAATGGCGTCAAGTATATATTTCCGGAAATTAAAACCTTGAGATCAGGCCACGTGAAGAACGGTCTTGAAATCAAAGGAAAAAAGAAAAGTAGTACAAATATCCAAAAAATAATGCGAGGACAGATCTGATAAAAAGTTGAGGAAAGAAAAGACCTTAGAAAATGACATCAGCATCCTCTTGCTCACCCAGTACATCAGCACTCTCGGGCTCCTCAGGGACAGGAGTCCCATTCTTCTCTTCCTCCTCAGCGGCCTTTTGCCGAGCAGCAAGGATCTCAGCGTCAGCAGCCGCGTTATCTCTTTGCTTCTTGCCGGAGACCTTCTTGAGACGGTAGAATTCCTCACGATCGAGTTCGTCAAGTTCCGAGTTGATGTCTGCGTGGCTGCTTAGCAATGGCACAAATTGGGGGACATTGAGAGAACGTACATTTGATAGTGTTTTCAGTTCGAGGGATGATGACATGCTCACTGTCAGGAAAACGGATTAGTGACCCTAGTGCTCTTTTTACCAATAGAAGGCGTCAGTCTTACATTGCGTTAACTAAACAAACATGTTAGTAAACACATCCATTGACCCTATTATTCCGGGACTTACCTCGTCGGTTGACGACTTTGATGACTTCGTCGAGAATCAAGAATGCAGTCTATAACAGTTTAGGCCAAGTTTGTACCCAGATGCTTCAAAGCGCCATACCTGTAGACTGGCCAGCTCCACCAATGTCTCCACGGCCCGCGCGTATGTCTCTCGGCATCGCTGGATTTGCTGACCACCTTTGCCCAGACCAGTCAAGGCAAAGTCATTAACTCCATCCTGTGTGTAGCTTTCAAACTGGGGTAGAAAGACACCGGAGACGTTCTCGTGCTTGGCCCGCACGCGGAAGCGAGCTTGCTTAGCCGATTCCTGAACCTGATACCCAATATCTCCTCCGACAGCGTAGCTCACTTCGGCCAAAGAGAATGCGGCAATTTGCATGACCCGGCCCATCTTCTGCTTGGCTTCATCGATGCGACGTGTGATCTCTGGCGGCTACGGTTAGTTGATATGCGACGTGGGGAGGTCGTGGTTGAGTAGAGGAATGAGCGTACCTCGAAAACGCCTAATGGAAGTCACAAAATGTTAGTCGATATGACCAAGTTGAGGGCAACTCAAAGTTCATACTTTGTCAAAGCTTCACTCTTCCTCTTCAGCAAGCTGTGGCCGGTCTCTGCCCCCTTCAGCTTGCTCTTCATCAATCCCAACGACTGGCGAGTCGGGAAGACTGGCTCTCGGCCCTATCATAGATCGAAAATTAGCAGGAGTACTAGTGAGCTTTAATGCAGAACTCACTACTGCACCCGACATTACGGCAGCTTGGAATTCTGGGCGTAGACGATCAACTCAGATACGGCCACTTCGATATGACGCCGCCGATAAAGCTCCACCGCCCACTCGATGCGGGATTGATCACGTGACAAACAGACGACTTCGTCGCAGTTTCATCGACAGGTACGACGCGCCGACTGCGACACCCGTCCACGCCATAGTTCCATGCTGAATTGTTAACCTGGTGACCAGATCCCGCTCGAAAGGAGTGGCGCAATGCCAGGGACACTTTTGCCCCCGAGATCACACCGGCAGCACGCACAGATGGATCGAACATCTGCGTCCGGGCCGGATCTCTATTTGATCGTAAGTGCTTTCTGAAGATTCCTTGGAATTCGGCGCTGACTCTCATTATTTCCACAGAATGACCAAGATACGGTATATGAACAAGACTTGTTGCGAGATGCCAGTAGTGTCAAGCCATGGCTTGCCTACATCGAATTCAAGCAACAGCATGGTACGCTCTATGAACAAGCCTTCGTACGTTTCGCATATCCACTATGAACCGACAAAATACCATATCTAATTAAGCAAATTTACAGATTATGGAGCGTGCCTGCCGCCAATTACCGCGATCATACAAGCTGTGGAAACTGGTGAGTTCTTCCTCCCTTGCAAAGCATTCACTGGATTGATTTTTGGCTAACTGGAATTCTCCGTAGTACCTTGAGTTTCGCACGAAGCACCTGAAAGGCCGAAACCCCGCCGTTTACCGTGCAGAGTACTTGAAAGTTAATGCTCTCTTCGAGCGAGCTCTGATTTTACTAAACAAGATGCCTCGCATCTGGGAGATGTACCTTACTTTCCTTCTCCAACAGCCATTGGTAACACAAACTCGGAGGACATTCGATCGCGCCCTGCGTGCCTTGCCAGTTACTCAACACAATCGGATCTGGAGACTCTACAAAGGCTTCGCCCGGTCCGCGTCGGGACAAACCGCCGTCAAAATCTGGGCACGTTATATGCAAATACACCCAGAAAATGCGGAAGAGTACATTGAGCTGCTCATTGAGATGGGACAGTATACAGAGGCAGTGAAGGTCTTCATGGAAATCCTTGACAACCCGCGGTTCCAGTCTAAGAACGGCAAAAGTAATTTCCAGCTGTGGACTGAGATGGTTGATTTGTTGGTCTCCAAAGCCAAGAAGATCGAAACAGGCCCACAAGTTGGTATTAATGTTGATGCCATTCTTCGAAGTGGAATTGATCGTTTTGCGGACCAGCGAGGTAAACTCTGGGCTGGTCTTGCGACTTACTGGATCACGAAGGCCAACTTCGAGAAGGCCCGGGATGTTTTCGAAGAGGGCATCACCACTGTCATGACGGTTCGTGATTTCACCCTTATTTTTGACTCATACGTCGAGTTTGAAGAGTCCATCATTGGCAGCTTGATGGAAGCGGCAGCTGTTCGCTCAGAGAAGGGCAAGCTTGACGAAGAAGCCGATTTTGATCTTGATCTACGCATGTTGCGCTTCGAACAGTTGATGGATCGCCGACCGTTCCTCGTCAATGATGTTCTTCTGCGACAAAACCCGCATAATGTCATTGAGTGGGAAAAGAGAGTAGCGCTATGGGGTGACAACAAGCAAGAGGCCGTCGGTACTTACACAGCTGCTATTGCGGCAATCAACCCTAAGAAAGCTCATGGAAAATTCTCCGAACTATGGGTCAACTACGCCAAACTCTACGAGAATGGCGGAGATCTGGAGACTGCCCGAGTAATTTTTGATAAAGCTGTTAAAGTTCCATTCAAGTCCGTCGCCGAGCTTGCTGAGACATGGTGCGAGTGGGCAGAGATGGAGCTTCGAGCAGAGAATTTCGACAGAGCTGTTGGCATTATGGCCAAGGCGACGCAGGCCCCGAAGAAGTCCACGGTGGATTATTTCGATGAGAGTCTGTCACCGCAACAGCGGGTGCATAAAAGCTGGAAGCTCTGGAGTTTTTATGTCGACCTCGTCGAGAGTGTTTCGTCGCTGGAGGATACAAGGAAGGTCTATGAACGGATCTTCGAGCTGCGTATCGCGACGCCACAAACGGTTGTCAATTTCGCAAATCTTCTTGAGGAAAACAAATACTTCGAGGATTCCTTCAAGGTGTATGAGCGTGGCCTAGATTTGTTCAGTTACCCGGTCGCATTCGAGCTTTGGAATTTGTATTTGACGAAGGCTGTTGATCGTAAGATTGGCATTGAGCGTCTTCGAGACCTCTTCGAACAAGCCTTGGACGAATGCCCTCCAAAGTTCGCCAAGCCGCTGTACTTGATGTACGGTAATTTGGAGGAGGAACGGGGCCTTGCACGACATGCGATGCGTATTTATGAGCGTGCCACCCGTGCTGTCTCTGACGAGGACCGCTTTGAGATGTTCGAATTCTACATCACCAAATCCGCCTCTAACTTCGGCCTCACCTCGACAAGACCGATCTATGAGCGTGCAATCGCAGCCCTGCCGGACCAGGAGGCTAAAGAGATGTGCCTCAAGTTCGCTGAGATGGAACGTCGACTTGGCGAAATTGACCGTGCCCGTGCAATCTATGGTCATGCTTCTCAATTCTGTGACCCCCGGACAAATGCTCCCTTCTGGCAGAAATGGGAGGCTTTCGAGGTCCAACATGGAAATGAGGATACTTTCAAGGAGATGCTCCGCATCAAGAGAAGTGTCCAGGCTCAGTACAAGTATGTTTTTCCTCTCTGTCTTAGCCCCAGTAACTGTTAACTAACACTTTCGCAGCACTGATGTCAACTTCATTGCTTCGCAAGCTATTGCCCGCTCCCAACAACGTATCCAGGAGGGTGAGCAGGATGAGGACAAGGACACCGACCGTGCAGATGCCATGGCTGCTCTCGAACGTGAAGCACGCGCTCCTGTGGGCTTTGTTGCTGCCAGCACTGGTCCTGAGGGAGGTAATCGACCCCCGCCGGCTGGACAAGCACCTCCTGCGGCCCCTGCCAATCCTGACGCTATCGATCTTGATGACGATATGGACGATTAGGATGGGTGCTGGGCGGAGGTTGCTTATTTCCGTTGAAAAATAAGCAAAGATCGATCTTTTGTTTGTTCTGGATCGGATGCTCCTTGTCTTTTCATCTTCATTAACTGTGTGCCTATGATTTTTTTTCTCTTATCTTCTCGTATAAGTATCCTTGCCAAGCATCTCATTTCAGTTTCCTTTTTCTTCTTGGTGTCACTGCGCACTCTGTTTCCCTGACTGACTCAAATTCTGTTTCTTTTGTTAACTTGGGCTCAGTGTGCTCAAGAATGAATTCATTTCCACCATCTCTGCACTGCATACTGCTTGCGTTTTTTGCCTATGCCAAGGCCTTTTCCTGTTTTATAAACCACCAATTCGGATCGCATTCTACTCAATGTTCTCTACACCTACGCTGGTTTGATTTCTTGTGTGCTAGTACCAGACCTAAGGAAGGCCTTTTGTGAGACACTACATCACAATTCTATCATTCCATATAGTGAATCCCATTTTCTGAGCTAAATAAAGAACCGGGAAGAGGGCAAACTTGTCTGTGAATCAGGCCCAACCAATAGGAGTAATATGAAAATCAAAGAGCCTGCTTTTCTCGTTCAGTGGCCGAGCAGAAACATCCTCCGAGCTTTGAATACCGTGGCCGCCAAAACGACGCTTATTAGGCAACCGATGGGTTGACGAAGATCTTGGAGAAATCGCCTTCCGTCCAATACATCTCGGGGAGGATTCCAGACAGCTTCCAGACCCCGTCAATCTTCTTGTACCAATGCTTGACACTACCATTGCCGTAACCCTGATAGGCTACTTTGGTGTGCTCAAGGTCAACGTAGCGCTGATGGGCCGCGCGGACTTGATGAGTGGCCACGATCTCATACTCCGATACGTACTCGTACTTGGCCGCGCCGAGCAAGTGCTGCGTGCGGACGAGGGGATCGCCTAGGAAATGTGGTGAGCTCATGAGGGTAATGAAATCTTCGCTTTTCATGTCCGGAAAAAGCTGGAGCCCAACAATACTGTAGTCCACCTGCCAGTTGCAATGTTAGTGCCGATTTACTTTGGATGGCTCGACGTGAATGGATTGAGGTACCATCAAGCTGGGCGCTAAAATACCGCGAAGTCGGTCCCAGTCCTTTCTCAGGTTAGCCGAATGGCAACGTCTTGCTGTGAAATTTGAGATGCCTACCTTTTTGTCATAGCTATCAGCCCAGTCGAAAACGATCTGACCGGCGGCGAGGTAATCTAAGCCCCGAATGCGGGGCGTGTCAGTCCAGTTGCTCGGGAGGGCGCTCGTCAGTGGAAAAGACCATGTCCACCTTGAAATTGGATGTGCTTCATTTTCGACCGTAGAGTAATATCCAGAAGTAGTATCTTAGTTTGTGCAGAGGATTTAAAAAACAAGAACTTCATTCAAACCCCAGAACGCACGCGGACACAGGGCGGATCCATAAAACTAAATAAATGCAGTTCAGGCATCCCACTTGTGAACACACTCTGAGTCAGATTGACGGGTAATGAGCGACGATCGTGAAATGGGGGCCTTTTACCATCATTTTGGGAAAATTAGAGTTCGGTTATACTCGGCCACATTCCTTAGTCGGGGATTGAAAAGCATGATCTTGAGGGAACTGGAAATTAAAAGTTGAGGCTTTGGTAGTCTGAAAAAATAGGGCTTATTGTACTTCAAGGAGACTGAGATAGGACAGAGATAGGGAGGAGGGCCATCAAAGCATCTGCTTCTGTACTTCTTCCCTGGCGAAGGTCTCCCACCGATCCCACGAAAGACTATAGTCGATGGTATCCCTCCATAGATCCTGAGGGTCGCTTCCCGGGGGCAAGTCTTTACCATTTCCAACCTTCCCCTTGTTCTTTCCCTTGACGAATCGCATATGCCAAGAGACAATCCCAATCTGTTCAAATCCCATCTTCTCTGCAAGTTTGGCGCTCGCGACGTTTGTCGTGCTGGTTCGCCAATGAACCCTGCGCAATCCCAGACCGCCGTTCTCTGGTGCCTCCAGAGCATATTGCAGAGCAAGCCCCACGGCACTCATCGCCACATAGGTGCGCTGATAGGGCGGCAAAATAACAATAAAGCCAATCTCGGTGCTCAGATGAGTCTTTGAGGTCCGCACGAAACTGATCGTGCCCGTGAGTTCGCCGTCCGGGTCGTCCATCGAGGACATGCCCGATTTGTCAATAATCGCAAATGCGAACGACCCCGGATTTGCAAACGACAGAATATTGTCCGGGGGGTTTCGTAGAACTCGGATTTAAATTCATCTTCGGAGCCCCAGGGTCCCATAGGCATATGTGCATACAACTCGGGGTGAGACGAGGATAAGCGGAAGAATGTACGGCCATGCAGGTTGGGGTTAAAGGGGACAAGCTTTACTCGCCGGTTGGAGACATTGTGAATTTCGAACGGAAAGACAGAGTGGAGGGTCATGTTGTGCAAGCTTATCACGATTCAAACAAACATGGGCTTTCCAGAGCTCCCAATAGGATTCAAAAGTGGCAGGTTTTCTCCGATTATCGCTGCCTTCGTGTTGCCTTCGAGGCTCTTTGGGCCGGTTGAATCCGGTATACGGCGGTTGTACTTCGCTCAATTATCGACCATAAGGCCCTACAGTTGTGCCCACGGCAGTCAGACCAGAGGGTCCAGCTACGTCGTTCACTTGATTGGATGTGCAGGTAGACAACATTGAGTTGGTCCCCTTTTCTGTCTCCGAGGACCTGTGGTCAGAGGCTGTAGTCGGAAGAGAATAGAAGACTATCTTTTATTATGACCGAGTGCCAGGAGTGAAAAACACGCTCTAACTACACAGTAAGATGAGGCAAAGTTGCAAGAGGATCGAAAAGGGAACAATTCCAAAGCTGCTGCAATCCCAACGCTCTTCTAGATGTAAATGCAACAGGGTAAAGGCAGATGAAATTTAGGGCGCACACCCTAGATGATCACAAGACCGGCTTGGGCTCAAATCAGGGCGCAGTCTCGGGTGTAGGTTGACTACCTGCTTGGTCGGCTGCCGGTGCATCTCCTGAACCAACACTTGACGAGGGCACAACTTCCTCGCTCTCTTTCCCAGCATCACTCGCGGGCTTGGGAGGAGATGGAATAGCAGAGCCCGGCTGAGATTTTTCTTTTTCATTCACAGTGTCAGGGAAAACCTCCGCAAAAAGATCAGGCACGAAGCGCCCAAGGCGCTTGCGAGTCTCGAGCCACATCTCTTCCTTACTCGAATCCTGAGACGGAGGTACCAGGTAGCCACCATCTGCCATGACAAGAAGAATGTTTTTCAAGCTTTCAGGGATTGCCTCTTCCAGGCTATCGCTCTGACCGCTGTTCATCATTCGGTCGAGAATATCCAAAATCTGAAGCCAAAGAGGAAGCATGCCTTCCCGGTTTGGCAGCTGATCAAGGAAGCGCAAGAAGATTTTGCAGACCAAGGTCGCAGCTTGGACTCGAGTTTCACCCATGCCAATGGGATCAGAATGATAGACCTCAGGTTTCAGAAGGCGCAGAATCAGCGGGAAAAGCACCTCATCGAAAATGGTGGCCCACTCCTTGTCATCGCCAGAGATCAGCTCAGCGGAAAGTAGAGATCGTTGCAATGTCGAAATGGCATGGTGTCGAATGTCGCGACATGGGTTCGTGCACTGACCACGTAGAGACTCGAAAATGGGAGACCAGTAGGCAGACCAGGCTATGATTTGAACTGTCAAAAATCTGCTGAGGCATGTATGGATAATATAGGAGGCAAACCTTCACGCTCTTCCAGGTGAGACTGCCTGATGAGCAAAGGCACGCGGCCAGTTAAATGGTAGATCAGCCCAATCGACTTGATGCCACGAGTGACGATCTGGTTCTCGCTGTGGGATTGTTAGCATCTTAACATCCTCAAAGGAGAAGAGCTACCTTACCTGAGTTTGGACTGCTTGACTCCCTTTGTCCGACGGGCATGAGTATCCCTCTGGCGCTCATCAATGGAGCCGATGTGCCCGGCGCTGATAAAGTCATTCGCAAGTGCAACAGCAAATTCATAGTTGTCGCCTGTCACAATGTCGGGCATAGAATCCACAATACTTTGAAGCAACCCAAACACTAGGGGTGCAGCCTCCTCATGTTGGTGCAGTCGTTGAAGAATTGACCAGAAGTCGGGGGAAATTGTGATCTCATTTCTTAATCGACCGGTGTGTGCAATGCAACGGGCCAGCCCCTTCACTGTAGGAACAGCAACAGTCTCCAAGATATCTTGATCGTACCCGGATATGGCATGAAGGACGACAGGTACTCTCATAAAATGCTGGTCCTGAATATAAGTTAGACGAGAAAAATTCAAGATAGGAAGGAATTTATGGCACATACATGACTCAGACGTAGCAGGTTGAACAAGTAAGACACAATGCGAGATACGGTCAAGGGGTGGAGGTTCTTGGCGTCGCGCACCAATGTTTGGAGCGTCGTCGCCAAAGTCTCACCAAGAGCTCCCAGAGTCTTTTCATCACGGAGAGTGAGGATGGTCGCCAACTCTAAAAGGAAGATCATTGAGGGATCGTATTTAGGCTGATCAGGGTCGACTCGGGCGCTTGAAGGTCTTGATACTGGAATAGGGCGTTCCGGTTTTACAACAATGACAGCAGGTGCGTTATCCTCGGGAAGTTGAGATAACAACGCGTCCACAAGCTTTTCCAAGGACGACAAAGGCAGGGTTCTTGGGGGTGGTTAATAAAAAAAGTTGCGGTTTCTCAATTTCAGAAGACACTCACTTCATGTTAGCCAATATTTCGGGGATTGAGCATGCGGTCACACAGTCTACCGTGCACAAAGTATTGTCAAGCTCCTCGTCGGAAGGCTCAGGTGGGTCATCGGCGGCATAGCTTGAAAGATAGGAAGTGAATGCAGAGAGCAGTCCGGTTTCGTTGTTCCGTCCATCTCGATCGACAACCTGAGACGGAGGCTGGAGCGGAATTGGGGAGATATCCAGTTCGGCAGTCATTTGTGAGTCGAATGGCGGAATTAATGAGTTGATGAACAGATTGCTGAGAATTCGTATGATTTGGTCCCACCCCTGCTTTGGAGTAGATTCATTACCCGCCAATACTCGGAATAGCACGACAGTGGCCAATTGGGCTCTGAAATCTCTTCCAAACTTCACAGCCAGTTCGCTCACCATCACACTCTTCTTACCAGCCTGAACCTCTGTGTTGAGCGCTGTGCTTGGGGGTTTGCTTGTTGCCAAAGTACTGATAGACGAAAGAGAGGAGACAATGCGATCAAATGCCTCAGTCAATCCGTAGCGAGCGGCGATTTGAGCACATTGGTCGAATCCATTGACAACGCGAGAATACACAGCGTCGTCAGAGGCGGACATAAAAACATAAGAAAGGGTTGCGACCACCGGCTTCCATGTCGCTTCGAACATCTCCGCGTCGTACACATTGGTCTCACCCACCACCATTTCACCGGTAGAGGAAGACTTGAGCAAGAGCTCCTTCCAAGCATAGTCGAAAGCATGCTTATTCTCATGCTCATCAGGCAGAATGATCTCGTTCTCCTTGATGGAATCGTATATGTCCTGGAGGAAATCTTCAGCAAAATCACCGCCTGAATTAACTCCCCGGAGGTTTCTGGCAAAAGCCGGGAACGACATGCGGTTTTGCGACTTGACGTTAGGATTATAAAGTTCCGTATTCAGCATGATAATAGCATAAGTCAGAATGTATAGCGCGTCTTTGTCGGCAATTCCTTCAGGCTTAGCTTTCTCCATGTAATGCTCAGCAAAGGTTGTAACAATTCGCTCGATAAGAGGCGATTCACCAGGTAATCGGAATGAACTGAGCAGCTCTCGGAGTGCTTCGACGACGCTTCTCCCCGAGAAATCAAGAAGATCAACGAAGGCTCCCAGTAACTCTTCATTATCTCGCTTAGAGATAAAATCTCCAAGGACCTTCTTTGACAGTCGTCCAGTTCCCTTTAAGAAACGAGCAACCAGTACAGGATTGTTCGCATCTTCAATGACACCATGTTCTGCAAGCCAGGCAATCCCCGCCTTCGGGTTCTCGTTAAACATTTGCGCTCCTTTGATGATAATTTTTTTTGTTTTGCGTTGACTGCGAAGGCGCTCCTGTGGCGGATAGTCTCCTTGTACTGGGTCATCATCCAGTCGGTCGTAAATGAATTGTACATAACCAAGAAGAGCATCTAGACACAGCGGAGGCACATTTGTGGTGCTCCAAGTTGCAGAGTCGGGGAACGCATTGCGAGAAAGCAGTCCAATCATGTCCTCACATAGATCGGCTCGATCCACCTCACAATCATAGTTGACAAAAAGTTCAACCATGAAGCTAGGAATCCGGGAGAGGACTCCGATACTTTCCACCATCGCCTCACGAGCCTCGGGCTTTCGTGAGCCGCCCTCAAGTCCGAGCTTTTGTCGATCTTTAACGGGAACTGGTGTTGATCGGCCACTGTTTGTCTGCGATGATGGTTGTTTTACCAATTTTGGGGCTTGCGGTACGCCCTCATATAGAGAAGGGTCAATTCCAGCTTCACGCGGAATCTCCACGCGAGGGTGAAGGCATGCTACTAAATATGAGAGGTAGAGCTCCTGTTGTAGCTTCAACACAGGCCGACATGTCGATAGCAGGGTACCAGCAACTCTGAGAGACCCCGTTAAAATCGCCAATTGTTCTGAGCGAACCAATTGGAATAGATAGCGACAGAGGTCGTCTTTGGCTAAGGCAGCTAGACTGGGATGCCGAGCGATAGATGGACCAGCCACCTCGAGGGCAACATCGATGATGCGAAGAGCCATCACCCTCATAGTATCGGTATGTTGCCGGTTGTGAGGGTCCAGAAGGTCGATCAAGACTCGGAACAGCTCTCGGATTGAGGCTAATGAATACGGCTGAACCTCCTCATCGGCATCATCATCGTGTGGGCTGGGTGGGGCGGTGGCAGCAACCCCGGTACCCGCCTGTTCGGAGGATCCTTCGCGGCTCGTGCTGTCTCGTTCGGGGGCGGCCGTATCTGAGCTCATCACGGATTGGTGTTGTGATGTCACAGTATCGCCGTTCACGGACGGGTCCATCTTCAAGTTCGCCGCGTCCTTCTTCACACTCTCCTCTGTGAATGGGGTCTGTCCCGAAGGTAATTCTTGATCGAGATGAGACAACCGCATGAAGATGACCTGGCACATGTTCACCATGGACATTTCAGCAGATCTCCGTAGGACCTCTGACAAGCGAACCTGGCAACACATGCTTAAGCCTGTCTCCATCATCTCACAAACACTCTCGTCCCCAAGCAATCCTCCCTCTGGCCGGGAGAGCATGCCCTCCATCAATTTCAAGATTCGAAGAAGGACGATTTCATCTGCGGCCGAGTCACTCGCTTCGAATCGGCAGTGTGTGATGGCCGCCGAGAGGAGCTGCATTGCCATGGATAGTCGAGGAGAGTCTCGGTTGATAATGTTGTAGGAGAAGAACTTGGTGATGGCGACCAAGGCGAGAGAGGTGATGGCGGCTGAGGTCGACGAGGAGCGGATGACCTGGAGAAACGGATGGAGAAGAGCCGGGGTATCGAAGGTCCTGATGTCTTTGCAGCCCTTGAGATCGCTCCGCAGGCGGGTGAAGGCCGAAATCAACGGGTTATCCTGCATGCTCTTCCCTTTCTTGCCCCGGAGGCCCCATCGATTGGCCAAAGCATGGTCGTCTTCGGAACGGAGCGACTGCCCACTTTTGCGCGGGCTGGGAGGCGCCGAGGTATCTCGCTCGTAAACACGAGACCCTCCGTTGCCCCCCAGGATGGCGGAGACGGAGGAGTGCGCCCAGCGGGCGTGCTTCCGCATGGACGAGGTGACTGTGATGCATTCCGTGGTCACCAACGCCACGGGGTCAATGGCGATCGGGAGAGGATCGGACATGGTGGAATCGAGCATCTCGAGCGGGCGAGATGCCGTGGTGTCACCGTGAACTTCGGCGAACAAACAGCTGGTCTCTCGCGCTGGGCTGTTGCTTGCCTCTTGGGGATTAGCGTGTCCCCGGGCCTGCTCACCGCCTTCGCCAGGGGCCGAGAAGCTTATAAGATCCAGATCGCCTGAGCAATGGATCCTGCATCTCGTCGATTTATGCAGAGGTTAGAGCAATCGTGATTTCTCTGCGGTTTCATCCTGGTGAGCTCCTGGAAGGTGAGCTGGAAAGATGCCCCAGAGACCTGAAGTGAGTCCGAAGTGGAAGTTAAGTTTGCTCTCTTAACAGTCATCTTTCCTTCACAGCGATAGTCCCTTTTTCTGTCGAATTTCCATTTTTCAAGGTCCACGCTCAAGGGCTTGACTTGAATTGTGACAACCACCTCGACTTCAAGACCCTGGCTTCGGGCTTCATGGAGCCAAAACTTAACGCTCGTCATCAGTTCACGTCGTGATTCAGACTTCGCGCACTCTAGAACAACACTCGGAGGTCCCGGAAATTGAGTTCTAGGGTGCCAGGAACCATCAGGTTTCCTTGCCTTGGGCTTGCCGGTCCTGGTCTCTTGCGATGTCTCAAATGGGCATGCACCTGAACTAAGCAGAACACGTCGTGTTGATTGTGGCCGCCACCGAGCAACCATGTCGCTGAATGTAGTTGCAGCATGAGCGTGTTCGGGAGACTCAGCCATCGTGAATTGAAGAGTGTGAGACTCATAATCGTAGCTTTTCCAGGATCTCAAGATCTTATGTACGGAGTCTAGAAAGTTTCTCTGGAAGGTGCGTTCGCCAACCTGAGAGAAAGTAACGATGGCGTCCTCACCTTCATGGAAAGAACGGTGCATCTCCTCTTCGCAAGTGGCTAGAAAATCCTCCATTCCTTGATAACGAGGCATATTGGGGCATAAGAGGGGAGATGTAGGTGATATGATACAAGAGTATTACGGTCGGGTTCGGGTGCTTTGGCTGGACAACTTGTGTGCCAGGTGGTTGGTGTTGGTGGCGGCGTGGCGGGTTCCGCTGCTTTATTCCTATCCATTGATGTGTCATGATGTATGGATGTACTGGATGTACTGGATGCACTGGATTGGCGATGTGACTTGTCAGAGGAGCCTTGCAGCTGGTTGGGGTGAGCAACGCCCGCGTTGGCCCGACAAACATAAACAAGGCGATCTCACGGCTGAGCCTCCGACGGCGCTAAGCGTCCCCAGTTATCGCGCTATCGCTGTATCACCGATCTCCCCCTCTCGCCCTCCCCGCGCGCCAAAACAAACCATCCTTTCTCCACCTGGTCGTTTGCAGACCCTCCATACCCCTCCCACTCGTTGGTAGTCCTTCGATTCGACTCCCATAGGTTCTATGGAGGGCAAACCAGAGTGTGGCGACCACGATCCTTCCATATGATGACTGCGGCCCTTGTCCTCCGACCCGCGCTGACTCTCGTGTACGTTGCGCTTCGCCTCGACTCTGTCGCTCCTTCTAACCTTGACCTGCACAGTTAATAATACGCGCCGAGAAAGTGCGGCACCGGCCTCTGTTCATTCCTTGTATTGCGCACTTATATCTGGCAAGTGCGACAGACTTCCACAATGGCGGCCAACGCCAGTGCGCCCGCAGGCACTGCGGTGTCCGACTTGTCGCTGGAATACCTCAGTCTTTACCACACCGTCGATACCTATCTCTCTTCCATCCTCGTATTCTACGGCCCGGTTGCGACAGCCAATGCCACCGTGAGCAGCTCGCGCATCCAAGCACATATCTTCACCCCGGCTGGGTTCCAGAGCTATCCTCGAATTACGATATCACCCGCAGCATCACTGTACGCGGCGGTCAATCATCTTCCACGTGAGAAACAAGGTGATGCGATCGCTCGAGGGCTTGCAGTCAGCATGCTAAAATATTTTGCTGGACTCTCGGAGCCATTGAAGAGCCGGTTGATAGACTCGGCTCGGGCTGGACGACCCGGCGGGAAGACGCCCAAGTTGTTTGATGAGGTGCATGCGGCCGATCTCGCTAATCGAATGACCAAAATTGAGGACTCTTCTGAAATTGTTCACAACATTTATACCGCTTTCCAGGAGCGCACAGTCCCCTGGGCTGATATCGATGTTGTGTTGCCTTCAGGTACCATACAATCTCAAAGGCGCGAGAGCACGGGGTCAGATGTCGATGTCATCTCTGATCTCCAATACGGCCCCTTTACGCCCCTAATACAGGCCTTGGGTGATCCGATGTTTCTGCCAACCTCACGACTCAAGCGGGCGCCTTCGCAGCCCACCAATGTTAGCAAATCAAGGATCTTTACACGCGGCCAGAAGGAAGCCCTCCGCCTTACGATGTGTGAGTTAGTCGACACGGAGGAGAGATATGTCGCCAAGCTCTATTCCCTCGTTCACGAAGTGGCAGACGAATTCCGACAGAAAGCTCAATCTAGAGGGCCTTCCAGTACTAGTCCCGACCAGAAGGCGTTGGAAGCCCTCTTTCCCCCGTGCCTGAACGAGATCCTGGACGTCAACCTTGGATTCCTCGATATCATTCGTCATGTCCTCGAAGAGACAGAAAAAGACGCTCTTGAAGATATTAGTCAAGATACTGAATTACCCGCATCGGGTTCATATCGTGGCGCATCGCGAGATGCCCGAGACTCGATTGGTGCCGTCGCATTCGCAAGAGCTTTACTGGAATGGCTACCACAGTTTTCGCAACCGTATGCAGACTACATGCGGGCACATACCGGTTTCACACAGACGTTGAATTCGTTCATGAAGGACAAAAATTCCAGTTTTTCGCGAAGAGTATACGAGACCGGAGAACAGCGGCTACGGTCTCTGCTAATGGAACCGGTTCAACGGCTGCCTCGGTATAGTCTTCTGATTGACACTATGACCAGCAGTTTGCCGTTGGTCCATCCTGCAGTGCGCCCGTTGCTAAAGGCCCGGGACATTGTGAAGGATATCTGCGCCTTAGACAACACCTCCCCATCTAGTCATACGCAAAGTCTGCAACGCCTGAGAGATCTCACTGATGGATGGACGGGCAAAAAATTCCCTGAAGGCCGATTGATCGCGGCTGTGGACGTGAACGAAGTCACCCTTCCATATAAATTGGATGCCCAGGCCCAGGGAGGTGCAGCTGGGATCACGCTTCTCTACAAAAACTGTCTCGTACTGCTTGCAAAGTCCCTCGAGAGCCGCATCACCGCACGTGGGCTCATGACAGAAATCGACAATGCAGCCTCACCAACCAACGATATGACAGTTTCTCTGCCCTCCGGGGAGCTCAGGATCGTACAGGTGCTAGAACTCCATACGGTCCGCTGCATGCAATCCGCTTGTGGTCGAATTCTGTTCATTGTCCCTGCCACGTCTATGTCTAACCCCAGCAGTGGCGATGGAGGTGCAGAATTCCTTGCCTTGGAGTTGACTGCAATGTACGAAGGAAAGGCTAGTCGGTTCATTGAAGAAATCACCAAAGCAAAGATCGAAGGCCGGTTTTCCGAACAGGAACGAGAGGGGGGAAATGGACATTACGCAGCCTTGCCGAGCCCACTACCAGCACTAGTATCCTGGCGTGCGTTTGCGAAGAGGGCGAAAGCACGGCTCTTAATCAAGAACAGTCGTCCCCAATTCGACTTGTTTTCGATACATCCAAAAGTGAATGCACGCAAATGTTGAAAAGTACGAGTTTGGAGGTGGTGATGTCGATATCGAGCCCCAGTGGGGATCAATTCAGAATGGACATTGATACCGTGATTGGGTTGGGATCTACAGATATTGTATCAGCAGATTCCTTTGTTCCCACTCTTACTCGGCGTTGTAAGTCATTTCAATATTCGTATCGTCTTTGATACTGGATTAAAGAAGTTGTTAACCAGCTCATTTGTACAGTGCAAGCTCTATTTTCACCGCTCCATAGCCCCAGAAATCCGAGCGTGATGAAACCCCTCGTACACTCGAACTTTGAAATCATACGCTATATTGCAAACAGTTTGATTACGCAGGTCAAGTCTTCTCGCGGCTTTCGACCACCATCGCCAACAAAACTCATATCTAATCTCCTGGGCGGTAGCCGCGAAAATGTACCCACCATCAAACATCCGAATTCGGCGACTTTGCTGGGAGAATTTCCAAAGATGCCTCCTCCGAGAGGCAATCATTCGCGCTCCAACACTCTGCCATCAACTTTTCCTGGCAAGGAAAAAGAGAAAGACGAGGCTTCAAACAAAATCTCCGTTGTTGGCACGACTAGCCGGGGCCCAGAAGGTCAACTCGGTTCATTGGAACAGTCCTTTGCAGCATATGTGCTTTCTCTTCAATCTAGAAGTGGAAATATACTGGGACGCATGCTTCGCGCCAGAGACAACGCAGACCGTGCCCCGGTAAATGAGCTCTACAATATCCTATTAGAAGATCCTAGCAAGCTTCAGGCCGCTGCAGAAGTGCCGGTTGACACGCTCTTTGTTGCCTTTGAGACATTCATGAAAAATGCTTGGAAGAGGAGCATGGGCCCCGTACTGGATGCAGTTTCCCTGAGACAACTACAGGGTCAGTTTGATACGATGTTTCCTCGTGATTTTGATGAGCAATTTCGAAAGTTCTTGGCGGACATGAGCCCCCAAAATCGTCGTGCCCTGGCTGCTATCATTAGACTGCTCGCGGAGCTGCTAGATGCTTCCGGCAATGACGGGGATCGTGGTGCTCTGACCGTTGCATTCGCTGAGGTTCTCACTGAAGAAGGGGACCCGGTGCAGCACGTGTCACTCTTGGACCGGCTTGTAGACGACTTTGATAATCTTTTCGAAGAGTTCATTCCTGGCGGAGCATCGGTGGAAGGTACACTGACTTGTGATCAAACGAAGAATTCTCATGCCCCCACCGGTTCTGTGAGCTCCAATAGCTCATCTTTCCGAAAGCGCTTTGGATTTAGCCTACATAAGGAGAGCCAGAAGATCGAGGGAGAGAGCAAGGTTGCTTCAATATTGCGAACACTGAGTAAGAGACAAAGCCCCGGCGATTCGGAGCCGAATACTCCAAAGGGTTCTCTGATACGTTCCAAATCTATTGATGTGGACACACGGCTGGGGTTACTCCGGCCTGGCTCCCGCGATCATCCCAATGGATTTGCATCTGAAGAGCAAATATCGAGGCCTGGAACCTCGTATGGGCAGCCACCGTCATTATCCTCGATCCGAGGAATTTCTGATGATGGCGTAGTAAGGGTTCGCAGAAAACGGAGAAGCTCACTCTCCGACTTGCGCCCTGATACTGCCTCTTCAGACGCATCTCATCTTTCCCCAAGTCATGCTCTGCGCCGCCCAGTGACTCCTTCCAACCGCCCGCGAGCAGAGATCACAACCCCGACTAGCCAACCTAGACCCCAGAGCAGCTATTTAGCGTCACCCGGCAGGGCAACATCGCCGGGCAAAACAACATCGCCTGCCCGTTTCGGATCACCCATTCGGCAAAAGTCGCCAATGCGTCCCTCAACACCGAGTAGAAAGGAGAATATTGATCCCAAGATGCCGCAAACCGAGCGGTCAACCAAGACCAAGAGCGACATTCCAGACTCGCCAACCCAGGAAACGAAAAGGAGGTCCCGTGCAACCAGCATTCCACAACGAAGCGCAGGGCTTCGAGAACGCGCACCGGTTAATGGACCGGAAATCAAGCGACCACAGTCCTCCTCCTCGTCCCAAAAGCCTCAGAAGTTGCGAATGCAAAGCCCGCAGAAGGTTAGTCACCAATTGCCCCATATTATCCCCCTGTTTCGGGGTGGGGAGAAGTCCCGTTTACTAAAATTTCAATAGCTTCGTGAGCGTGTTCAAGCGGAAAAAAGAGCCCAGGCTATTAGTCAAATTAGTCTACGAGACGAATTGAGAGCATTGGGTGACGAGATGCGTAATTTGAGACTTACGCCTACCAACCAAGCCAGCATGGAGCCAAACTTGGAGTCCACAGATTCCTATCAACCTTCAGGAGTAGGCACATCCCTTGAAATTCGAATGCAGAGACTTGAAGAGCAATTTGAACTGCTGTCTGGGGAATACAGCGGCCGTACTTCTGCGCTTGAGAAAGACTTGGAATCTTCGTTGATCCTGAGCGAAAAGCGCGTCAAGAAACTAGATGAACTTTACCGCGAGGCCAGCGCAGAAAACGAGGCACTCTATGATCGCTTCAACACGGAACTCAGTAAGATCGCCAAGGAAGTTCGGACAGGCAATACAGAAGATGCTTTACGGTCTCAATTGACGAACGCTCTTGACGAAATTGGTCGCCTGAAGAAAGAGAATTTTCGATTAAAGAGAGAAGTTGGAGGCCTTCGGGCCCAATCGGCAGCAGTTGCTCTGCTGCGGGCCAGTGAACAATAATCATACGTCTTTTGCGGTGAATTTGCATCAGAGCTAACATTTCTTTCGCCACTTAGCGGCTCACTATCCTTTTGCTGCTTTCCTTTTTTTCTCCCTCCTTTTTCTTGGGGGGGGGGGTTGTTTCTTTTTTTTCTCCTTAATCTTTCTTTTCTGTGATACCACACACTTTTCTTTTGTCCTTTCCTGCCATATCCTCACCAGAGCTTCTATTGTGTATTCATTTGCATTATTTTTCTCTTGTTGATTTCTAGTCCTCTCTGCACAGATGGCGGGTCATGCATAGCACCGGAGATCAAGTTCGCAGCCCTTTTATTTGTCTAGACTATTATTGTGTACAATAGCTGATCCAGCCTCGACTGGGGCGCGCATAAAGCGTAATGCCTCGGTGTCAACCATTTTGTACATCCATTCCCATGCCACCTTGTATTCTTCTTCTCCATAAGGAAACTTCATCTCATTGGTACCCGTTTGTTTCGATTGAGCATCAAGGCAAAAATCAAGGGTTGGAAGCGCTAATAAGTGATCACCATGGAGGCAAACTGATTGCTTCAAGCCATCGGACTCCTCCACCACAGTGAGGACCGGCACCGTATATCGGGTCGAACCCGGAGCTGCGGATGATAGCAACTTTCGTAATTGGGTCAACATGACTGCCGTCTTCTTCGCTCTCTGCTCTCCATCTTGTATCGCCATGGATCTCGGGCTATTGCGAATCTTCGTAATATCAGACTTCTGAAATGGTCGGATAACAAACGGTACGTTGGCTGTTTGACCAGCGGGTTTTCTTTGAGCGTCCTTATTAATCAGTGTTAGGGTGAATCGGAACCAGTATCGATCGTCCCATAACTTCCATGGTGTGGATGTCCCAAAAGATGTCGAGGCAGGTGAAGAATTGGGTAACGCGAAGTTTGATACTGGAACATCGAAACGCAGGGCCGGAGATTTATTTTTCCAGAATGGCTGGCGCGAGAGGAGCCATATGTTGTTTCCACCCGATGGAGAGGTGTGGCATGTCCCTGTGGAAATGGTAGAAAGGGGGTTGAACATGACGCCCCCAAGAGTGAAAGATTTTCTGGCTTGGCCCTGGCTTATCTTTGAACCATCATCTTGTTGTTCGAACACGCGAGATGTAAACGGCTCAAATCGATTCAGAGAAATTGAAGTCCCAGGAGAGGCACATATAATTTCAGTAAGGCGGCGGAGCGCATGGCATTGGGTGTAGAGAGTGTGATCTGTTGAAAGCCCTTGCAAAAGATCAGGGACTGTAGGAGCCTCCAAGATCTGCAGGACCATTGTACCAGTTTCCAGGTTCAAGTCGAGAATGCGGAATCGAGATGAAAGCATTTGATTTGAGAGTTGTGCGGTTGACTCAAGATGGCTCCGGCTTGCATGGACTAATGAGATAATGGAAGGAGCCCGCAGAGCTTGTGGCAAGGAATTAGAAGCAAGCATGCTACGTATTGCATTTCGGGGAGTCAGAGTAGGGTCGAAGTTTGTTGGATCCGAGACATATGGAACCTTGTTCTGGTGGCAGGTCTCTAACAACATAGCTTTGGGGAAAGCGAGAAGAGGCCGGCAGAGAAGGACACCGCCTGTTGCGATGGAGACTCCTTTGGAGACTTGACGTGATTGTGAGCCTGACGATGACATAGAACCCAGGGGGTTTTCATTTTCATTTGAAGTAAAATGAATGCTGCCTTGATTCTTCTCATCGAGGCGTACCAGGGCTTGAGGATAATAACTCTTCTTGCGAGTAAGCTTCATCGATGACCCGCTCTCTGAAACTCCAAAAAGGCCATGACATTCTGGAATTCGAGCTATGCCGGGAATACCTGCAAGGCCGGCGCCTCGAGCTCCGGAAGAGAGTCGCCAAATGGTGGTTTCGACCGTATCATCGCGGTGATGGCCCATGAGCAAGGCCTCAATATCACATTCTCGACAGGCTTCACCAAGAGCCTGAAACCGAAGACGTCGTGCATGAGTTTCAAAAGCAGACGGAAGTGGCGTTAATCCTGTATTATCTTGATGTGGAATATTTTGATCTGTAGAAAATGGAGACCAGTCCAGGTGTAGAACCTTTGTTTTGATCCCTAGGTAGATAGGTATTTAAATGAGCATATTACCTCCTGGACAAAAGGAAGGCGCAAAAGCTACTAATAACTTGAATTGAGATGATTCAATTTTTTTTAAAAAAAGACACATACCCATATTGGTCAACCAGCCGACCACAGTCTGCGCTTCATGGTGGCTCTCTGGACGAGCACAGTGGTCTACCACAAATGCGGTAACGGAGATTGGACCTGCAAGTTCCGATTTTTCTAGCTGTCGGCATAGATATGCCAAGGCCATGGAGTCGGCACCGCCGCTGACGGCAAGACCTAGCGTGGGCGTTAGCCATGATCACTTAGCTTATTAGTTGTGATTTGGATCAAGTATTCTTACCAAGCTTGCTAGGTAGAGGGAGGCAGCCATCTTTCGCGTTTTTTTGATCAAAGCCAAATTTCCCGCGTGTGCCTTTCCATGCACTGCAGAACTTCACAAAAAACTGCGACAACGAGATTGCTTTTGATGTGGCCATGGATGTGTCGTTATCCCAGACCAAATGACAGATGAGATCTCGGCCCGGCAAAGAGTTTCCCCGAGCCCGCACCTGCCCTCCACTATTTTATATCTAAACTTCCATCCCAGCCCTGTCACGGGATATTGGTTTAAATCTCGGTCGGATCAACTTTTTTTGCATCAATATGTATGCTTGCTGACTTGGAAAAAATAGCTAAAATTATAAGACCTCATTTTTTATGATTGACTTGACTCGTCAAGCTTTTCGCTATTTCTTTAAGGTTAAGTTTGCTCCGAATCGCCATGGCTAGATTGGGCTGTCTTGCGATTGAGCCCTATAAGTCAAACTCTCTTTTGATAATTACTGTCCCGGTTTATTGAATAATATTAAGTTCAACTAAGACAAACTATGGAGTTCCCGCATGACATTCTTCGAAGCAGCACCCCGAAAGCAGAGTTCAAAACTAAAAAAAGGTTCAGGTGCAAGGGAAGCGTCTACCCGGACTCGTTTATATATTCCAGATATACGGTTTTGCCTTTGCCGTTTTCAATTCCTTCTACGATCCGATCTAAGTGATCTGTCTCGAACTTGCCTTTCTTTGCCCATTCAGTTCCCGCAACTATTGACCTGGTCTTATAAAAGATCGCGTCAATCTCTTCAAGTCGTCGACCGGTGGTTTCCGGATAGAATAGATATATGAAGGGAATGAAGCAGAAGTTGAAAACGGTGAATATCAAGTAGCCCTTCCAGCCTTGTTGGCTCATCACAGATGGGGTCATCATATCCGTGGCAAAATTCCAAATCCAGTTCGATGAGGTTGTGATGGTATTGCCTTTGGACCGCAGGTGAAGCGGTAGAATTTCGGCGTTATATAGCCACGGTACAGCGAGAAATCCTAGAGCAAAAAATGAATAATATAGGAAGAAGGCGACCACACAGACAATAGAAGCTCCCTTTGTACCGGAACGAATCGTCAATGACATGGTGAGGAAACAGCAGCCCATTCCAAATGCACCGATCAAGAGACACCAACGCTTGCCGATATGGTTGATCACCACGAACGGAACAAAGGCTGAGATTAGATACCAGAGGCCATTGAAGCCCGATAACAGGAGTGACAGGTTGTGGCTCAATCCAAGCGAGGTTTCAAAGAGGTATGAAATATAGTAGCCGATACTGCACACACCAGACCACATAACCATAAACATAAGCCTGCATCATAATATGAGATGAATTCATAACAAGCTGTCGTGTAAAAATACATACCACCACCCAAGAAGAACTCGTCGAAGATTCTGCGTCTCTTTCCTGTTTTTGAAAAGATGTATTCATTGACTAGCACCGTTGCGTTCTTCCAGTTCGACGGCTTGGTTGATCAACCTTATTTCTGTTTGTACTTCGGGATCCTCGGTGTTATCAGTCCCATGAATCTTCATAATAACTGCTAGGGCTTGATCGGCGCGACTGTGAATGAAGAGCCATCGAGGGGACTCGGGCATCCAGGGGACTGTCTTGCCTCAGCATTTATGCATAATCAAATTATAGGAGCAAAAGCCAATTGAATTACCAGTAATGAAGAGTAAGACAGCGAAGACACATTGGGCTGCCCCGGCGAATCTCCATTCAAAAGGCTGATTGCTTGAGAAAGATAGGGCATAGCTCATCCAGTAACTGATTGATGCTCCGGTGCAAACAAGTACATACTGCAAGGCACCAAACTTTTCTCTCTTTCGAGTAGGCAAGGTCTCTGCTTGCCATACGGGAATTAGCGAAGTGTTTAATCCTGTTCCAAGCCCTGCGACAATTCGACCGGCCAGGAATTGAGCACGAGAATAAGATGAAGTTTGAATTATGGCACCTATGAGAATGAATGCAGTGCCTATTAAGATTGGATTCTTTCGACCGAGCTTTTCGCTGAAGAAAATGCTGAAAATACTTCCAAAAAAGCACCCAAGAGTGTAAAGACTCGAAAGTAGGCCCTGCATAAACGATGAAGGGTTACCTATAGTGACAAGGTAATCATCGACTAGGCTGCATAAAAATTACAATGTAACGTACTACCATCAAGAGGGCAATTAGCACGAACAGAACACCCGACATAAACCATTGATCGTATCCATACAGGAGATAAGATAGCCCACAGGTGATAGTCATCAAAATACAGAGCGCTTGTCCCTGGATCGCCATGATGCTTCGACGGATTATGTGAATCTAACCGCGGAGTGAAGGGAAGGTAAAAAAAATAAGAAATGACCATGTAAATGCTTATGTATGCTCTCAAGCAGTCTACGATTGTTTCTAGCTCCAATCGTATTCCCCAGACTCCACAAGTCTCAGAAGTGCGCCCATCCGACGGCAAAAAGGCCCATCGGCTAGTTTCCATTTACAGAAACCCCGATCGCAGTTCGGGTGAGAGTCGAGACGCATTTATTACGGCTTTATGGTCTCATCAATGAGCATAAATCTTTCATTTTGTCGTTAGTTGAATACCAGAAGATGGGTTCTAATCAGCAGCCATACCCCCGGGGCATTCATGTTCCTTGCTTGACATGGTTTAAGGCAGACACCGCGCAATCAATCGATTGGGAACTGCAAGAGCGACATCTCGAATTTCTCGTTAGTAGCGGGCTTCATGGGATTGTGATAGCAGGTACCAATGGTGAAGCTGCCACATTGAAACCGGAGGAGAAATCGCACCTATTGCGCCTGACGCGTTCTACGGCGCAGAAACTGGGTCGAGCCGATCTACCTGTTACTTGTGGCACTTTTGGAGGATGCACACAGGCGATTATTGACGACACAAAATTGGTGGCAGAGGCGGGAGCTGATTATGCTCTTGTTCTGGTGCCTTCGTACTTCCATTTCGCATTAGATGCGGCTGCAATTGTTGGATTCTTCCAGGAAGTTGCAACCGCGTCTCCGATTCCTATCATAATCTACAACTTTCCTGGAGTGGCCGCAGGATTGAATGTCAATTCAGAAATGCTTGAGACCCTAGGAGAACATCCAAACATTGCCGCTGTGAAGCTTACTTGCGGAGCTATTGCATCGGTTGCGCGAACAGCCGCCAAATTCGGCCGAGCGCTGGAAGGCAGATCCTCATTTGTTGCATTGGCAGGCCAGAGTGACTGGCTAGTGCCTTGTTTGAGTGTTGGAGGTGCAGGATCAGTTACAGGGTTGGCGAACTTGTATCCTAAGGTTTGCGATCTAGAGACTGAAGGAACGTGGATACCATGCTAACAGCTCGCATAGACCCTCGTCGAGTTGTACAACCTGCACAATGCCGGAAAGACTGCCGAGGCAGAAAAACTGCAGCTTCAAGTTGCTGTTAGCGAATGGGGCTTTGCCAAAGGAGGCATTAATGGGACGAAATGGGTTGTCGCGAAAAGTCTCGGGTACGCGGAAGAAAGTTCATGGTGCCGCCGACCTTATCCTCCATTCCTTGATGACGAGAAGCGGATATGGATCACCAAGCAGGTCAAGTCGATAGAAATGATAGAGAATAGACTTTAAACACATTGAGTTGGAGTCGTAATATTCATTAAATTGCATAAAATCATTAGATAGAAGTTGCATCTTATACAATTGCAAATGCACGATTGAAGGTTTCGTGCATTACTTTTCTAATATCGACCCGCTGGTTGGTTTCATCCTGTTGCCGAATGACCTCTTGAAGAACATTCGCGGTCACAGCTGCATTCGAGGTGACATTTTCCATTCCTTTAATGCATGATACTACCCAAGTGCGTTCTTCAAGATCCTCAATTTCAACCCCTAACATGAGCAAGGGCCAGAGCATATTCACAGGGAGTGACGAAACACCTCCATTTGTGACATGTGGAGTGCCGATTGGGGAGGTTATTGGCGGTGAAGACGCGTACGGGCTTTCAATGATCAACTTTGTGACTTGTCGGATTTCGTTCATTGCATCAATAACGTCAGTTGTACGTGGAAGATCTAGCGCCTTTTTTTAGTGACTCTACAAAACGGACACGGGATTGAAAAACATACTCTTGTACGCTACACGATGCAAATGAATGAAACTGGCATGGTAGTTGGAGTGATAAACTCGCATGGTCTTTGTGATGGTTTCCACTAGACTGGGGGACAGAAGAGTGGCAAGCCTTCCTGCAACAGCATGATCCATCAATGGTGGTCGCTGCTGCCAAAGTGATTTGATGTCGCGACTTATCTTTGACGCGATAGTCATTACTTCTGTTTCATCCTCGACAGTCCCACGGCGTCTGTGCCAAGGATCTATTTTCGAAATGCGACCCATGAAAAGCTGCACCTTCTGGAAAAAGAAAAATGCGGGACGCATCACGAAATCCTCCAGTGCTGCCTCCGCATCGTCGAGGCTTGAGTCTACTTCGGAAATCGAACTGTCTGGCGAGCGAAGATCTGTATTGATGGCACTATCTTCTTCCGTCAGAAAAAGACCCTCGCCTCCGGCACTCACAGCCCTCGCATCCAGCAGTCGTAACCAAGAAAGAAGACGTTTCTCTGTACCATGCAGAGTCAGTGGCATGGCCAACCCTTCCTCAAGATGAGCTGAACTGACCGGTTATGCTCAGTGATTCCATTTCCACCATTTGTAAAGCATAAAAGCCCTCCCGCAAATTTGCGTGGGCATTGGACACATCTTTTGTTAAAAGATCAATGTAAGAGAGTAAGAACAGGACAGCAAGTATATGTCGCAGATGTAATGAGATGGATTTCCGATCCTGAATGATGGATTTTAAGCAATCCTCAAGTCGACCTTTCGCCGCCCGATAGTATTGAGGGTAGGTTGCTGGTTCCAGAGCCCCAGCAGACTCTAGCTCCAAAGCAACGTAAGCAAAGACCCCAAACTTTACCATGCGCGAGATTGATGCCATTGATGTCAATTCATTTCGCATCCAACACCAACGGGCACTTGTCTCGACACTTGCGAGAATGGGTGGTGCCGCTGAGCGGGCAAAGTATTCCGCCAGTTGGGATTCACTCCTCAAGATTGACGATCTAGAGGATCCAACCGGGGAGGACATACTGCTCTTTGACTGTCGCTCCATTATAGCAGAGCTTGCATTTGCAGTGCTCGAATAGATTAAAGGTAGTGAAGCCGCTGTTGAAAGCGACGCATCGGACCAAGGGACTAGATCCTGCGAGGAGCTGAGGTCGAGGGCATCCCAGCCAGGTGAGAGGATGGCCGAATAGTCATCCCACAGGAAACTGGCGTACTTAAACATGCGATTAAAGCTAGCGTCGTCGCTAGAGAGTCCATCATCTATTCGTGTTGAGGTTTCGACCACAGGTGGCGAAGCTTTTCGTGCAATGTCTCCTGAGACCTCAGACTGCTCTTTCTGATGATGTTGCTGCAGTCGCTGGCGTACTCTCTTAGTACGAATCCCCATTCTCATCCCCAAGTCTTGCTGCCACGAGCAATCAAGGTGCAATCGGATGCAGTGCCCGCATTCCGGTCTTTTTTCATCGCATCGAACTTTACGCCGGCTATTATTGTTCAGTTCCTGACGTCGGTACTTCGTACAAATCGGATGTTGGGCTCACCGGCAAGTTAGACATCCATTTCGCGTCCGCGGCCGATGACGCCGATCAAGGTTAGGATGCTGCTCCCACTGGTGAAACATCGTGGCCATGCAAGGGGGTGGTCCTAGAATAAGCTTGTCGCATCGCTATCAGGGCTCGTTTGGTCTGTTCCTCTCCGGCTCGGCAAGACTCCGGGGCAGAACCGGGGAAATCCCCGCATTCAATCGTCGCCCTAGACCTGGACTCGGCTAAATACTCTTTTGGGATTAAAGCGACCGAGGGGCAACCTCAGAATGAGACTTTCGCTGATGAATGTTGCTACCAGTGGCCTGGATGAAGGAATGCCTTCATTACAATGTCCGTGACGTGAGCTTGCGGGGCAGACTGGAGCAAACTACAAAACTCGCAATTTTACTGGGCTACTGTTCGCCCCAGAATAAACATTACTTTCTCTCCCCCAAGAATACCTGGATTACCACAGCTTCTCTTCGACAAATAATAGTCCATAGGTCAGAATGACGACCTCAAAGCCCATCGTCCTCCACCTTGGAGATCCGATTCAGTTCAATACCGACCTTTATGAGGAGATATCCAAGGACTTTACCATAATTCGACCTTCCTTGGAGGAACGACAACGTGACGCGTTCCTGAAGGCCCTAAAAGAGAAGAAATGGGGCAACTTTGAGGGAATATTTCGCCCGTTTTGGAACACTGGAGGTGAGATGGGTCGGTGGGATGCTGAGTTGATTCCACTCCTGCCTCCCTCACTGAAGGTGTATGGAAGTGCTGGTGCAGGATATGACTGGATGGATGTTGATATACTGGCCAAGCATGGTAAGCCTAGAATGATGAATTAGAGTGATCTTATAAGCTCACTGTATTCCTGAAAGGAATTTTATACTGCAACGGAGCACAAGCATCGAGCGAAGCCGTTGCCGATATGGTACCACTGTTCCCCATTAGATAACATTTCGGATTATGAAATACTAATACGGCACGTAGGCAATCTTCCATATCATCTCTGTCTTCCGCAACATGCAATGGTCCATTAACGGTGCCCGGTCGGGTGATGCTGCGCTCTGGCTGGAGGCCCACCAGAACACTGCCGCCACCGCGCACAATCCTCAGACTCAGATATTGGGCATCATCGGCCTAGGAAACATTGGCTAGTAAGTCCACGTAAATATTGCCAGCAAGCTATCTTCTGACTAGATTAGCACAATTGCGCGAAAGGCATATGCTTGTTTTGGAATGAAGATCTACTACCAAGACTTGCATCGCAAATCGATCGAGCAGGAGCAGGCGATTAATGCCTCTTTCTGCACGTCATTGGACGAGCTTCTCGCTGTTTCTGATTGCGTTGTTCTAGCGACTCCATTCGGCGGATCAAAGCTCATCACTGAAGAGACTCTGTCTAAGTTCAAAAAGGGCGCTAAATTTGTTAATATTGCCCGAGGGACACTGGTTGATGAAGCTGCTTTGGTGAATGCTTTGAGGTCAGGGCGTCTGTCTGCGGCTGGTTTGGATGTCCATGAGAACGAACCTCATGTCAATCAAGAGCTGACGCAGATGAGAAACGTTATGTATGTTCTCCTAAAAATTACTTATATATCGACTGACTAATATGTAATTAGGCTCACTGCTCACACTGCTGGTGGCGCCATGGAGACTCAGATTGGATTTGAACGACTTTCCATGGAGAACGTTCAATGTGTCTTGACAGGGAAAGACCCACTAACACCAGTGAACAAGCACCTGTTCAATAAATAGACTTCGATTGAGTCATAAATTGTGCTATATTTTACGTTGGTCCGCTTGAGATAATTCTCTTTATTTGACAACCGGGAATACGCAGGCAGATTTGTGGCAAAAAGGGGATAAATTATTCTACGTAGAAATGTAGAAGCTAAGAGCACATGAGACACCCAGGTCTCAGGTTGAAAATGATTAAATTTCCGAGCTTCCAGGAAATGCGGTCAGATATGCATGCTCAATCTCACGCCCCATGCCACCGACACCTTCGAATACAATATCAGACTTCAAAGAGCGCCCAAGAAATTCAACTCCTCGTCGCAGCTCTTCGCTCAGTCTCTCGGCGTCGGAGAGCTCGGTTTCTGGCTCGGGCCTGTTCAATAAATGATAACACGTTGAGAGACGATCGGTTAATGAACAGGCACGAATCTTGTGAAGGACCATCAACAAAGTATAACAACTTTGCATAGCACAGCAGGCGAAGTAGGGAATTGTATGTGGAGATTGACAGGTATATCCCCCGTATGACGGGAAGTCTCTTGTGTTTGAAAATGACCGTTGGTCACCTTGTGACCTGCCGGGATTTGGGTATGGTAAATTCCGAAACGCAGTTGCGACTACAAGTGAGGCTTTGAGGCATATGTTAGCAGATTCTTGCTCAGTAAACGGAAATGACGAGTCACGATCTGTAACCCATTTAGGCGTAGATGAAGAATCAGAATCAGAGAACTGATTGTTGATAGATGTGAGATGACAATACTTGTCCAAGAATAATGGGATATCCATAAAGGCTCTGAAGCGATGTAGACGGGTTCGTGCTCTATAGAAAATATTAGTTCGTGATTTATTACAATGTTTAAGTTGACCTGCTGACGTGTATATCAAAATTCGACTGATTCTCCACATATTCTCGGCTATCAATCCTTCGTTCTCAGAATCAAATGTAGTCTTAAGGTAGCGGTCAGATTCAGTCATCAATGACGCAATGACATCATCGAGGTCCTGAATCATGCTGCTCAGATCCAGTGGAGGAACTTTCTCTGTGACATCCTCTATAGTCTGAACCATTTTATTTGACGCATACAGAGTTTTCTGCGCTTTCATCAAGATATCCCAAGGCTTCTGGTATCAGTATGAAATCTTTCTGAGCAGAGGTCAAGCACCTACCTCTAAATGGACACAGAATGTAGGATAAGGTGTTGTGATTCGCGGATCATCTGCAGTAATAATCGGCGGCTATATATATTTCGTCAGTGCAAGATTTACCAAAATGGATATATCCTGGGGTCTGTACTGCAAGATGAAGATTTGAAGATAAATAGGAGATGAACATCTTATATTCTTGTTAGCATCAAGAACGCAGTAAATTGGTGATAAAACTAACCGTCATCCACCATGTACGGCGTTGTGCTTCGGAAAAATCGGTGATTTTTGACCCAAGATTGTGAAGGGAAATGTCCATAGCTGTTGTGATGGCCTGGTTGATACGCCCCCGCATTCTTGATACATTTCCCCGTTGACAATACTCATAGATGGCCAGAACAACAAGAGCTAAGATGGGATCAAGGCGAAGAGGAATTTTAGAATGTAAAGGATTGTGATCCTGAAGAAGCTCAGCTTCAAACCCTTTCAGTCCAAGATTATCGATTTCTTTTTCCGCATTTTCCAACGCTGTTTGTGCAAAAAGCTGAGCATAAGAGCGTCTGACACCTATGCTCGCCTCTGTCATTGAGAGTGGACCCTGTGAGGGTGGTATCAACACCAGAATTGCTGATAATGCGAGGGTCAGAGAAGACCGTGGCCAAAAAGGTAAATCTGATAGTCGGGCTTCTGTGGTCGCCTCCGAGGATCTAGTCAGAATCGGTTGATCTTCGTGAATAGGTACTAGTGGTGGCGGCAATAGAGGAAGATACGGATGAATATAGATGTAATATGCATTAATACTGCCTCAGATTGATCAGCTTTATATACGTATCTCATTATTCCAATTCCGTGGGTGAGACACATACATTTCATCTTCGCATCGATACGATCGGACAGATAAGGGTTCCGCATCGGAGATAGACATGGAAGAAAATGGATCATCAGCACTGGGAGTCAACTGACCCCAAATTGAACGGGTCCCACTGGTATCAGTCAAAGAATCTGGAGAAAGATCAAGGTTGTGAACACCTGCCAATGGCGAAACTAGACCGATCATGTTGTCTAGAAAAGGTTCTTGGCGGCAGTTAGGATCATTCAAAAGGTACTCATATATCTGAATACTCACCAAAATATTCAGTGGCTTCCATCCCGGTTGCTGATTGCGGAGGGAGTGTACTCTCGGAATTAGGTGGTCGTCGTTGCGCTTCTACATAACGAATCCCTCGCCTCGGACCTCCGCGACGACTTGGCTGATAGTTGCACTCTCGCCCCTTGCTGGAGCACTGTGTTGTCGGTGTTTATGAGCATGCAGCTTTTGTCATAGTTTTCCGTGAATTCTTACCATTCTACAGGGCCGTTGGCCATCACAACGAGTCTTCGAGGAGCGGCTGCGATTTGGGGGTTAGGACATAGTTCATTGCTTGTCAGCACCAAATGGAGTGTTACCAAGAGAGGCATGCTGCTTTTACAGGTGGCTTTGAAACCCGAGGACTGGAGCCGGACTCCTTGGGTGTTGTATACTGGCCCATTGGTCCTTGATTTGCAGATATGAAAGTCTGCCAATGCGGAGGCGAATAAGCGGTAAAAACCAAGATCGGCTATCTTCAGTCTGAGGTATGGCCGCGCATTCTTCGCGTTGGACGCGACAGCCACAGTCAGTCGCAAGTTGTATGTAATCGACACCGGGGCAATAGGTATTGATTAGATTAAACGTAGTCTCAGAATCAAATTTGATCAAAAGATCCCACCATGATCCCGCCCGGAGATCCCGTCCGGAGCCGGCCTTCGGCCTTCGGCGTTTGGTTTTCTTCTACTCTTCAAACGCCGAACCCAGACTAAATAACGTGTTTGCCCCAATTTATCGGATTGCGCATATTATGTCAATTTTTGATCGAATAAAAAGGTATGTTAAGATTCCCGAGTGACAAAAGTACAGATGAAAAGGAAAGATCGTTCAGAATGCCAAGGTTTCAAATCAGGAAACACATATACATCGACGCCATACCATGGATAACGAAGTGTCATGATTGTATCATCCATATGCTGATGTCTATAAATGTTTGATATTGCATGTATTGCCTGGGTTGCCATAACGACTAATTACATATTGAAAAGAGACGAAAGTATATCGCCAGAACAGGATTGAACATAATACCCGTAATCAGTGCATTTTTCATTGCCCTGAAATCCCAAATAGTTGAGACCTCAAAAGATATGCATATAAACCTCCTTGGCGTCGTACTTGTCATGGTGGTTCATCTGGTCCAGACCGAAGTCTGCTCACAATAATACAGTACATAATGACAGAAGGAGACAAAAGGAGAAAAGTCGATATCTCTCCACCTGCTGATTTCCATGTAGCAGGGATTTGTCGTATCTTTTCATATATTTCCCTTCTTTTTTGAACGCTCGACCCGATATTTCAGCTTGTTTGACAGTGGAGCGGCGCCCAGTGATTTCATCTGCAGATGCCACTGACGACAGCGTCAATGCTATAGGCCTGATTATTGAAGAAAAGAAAACAGTCTCTTTACCATGACGTTTTGTTCGATCCTCATGGGACACTTGTTCTTATAGTAACACCATCATTTTCCGTGGATATTCACAACCTCACCACTCTCAATGTGAGTCACTGCAGAAATACAAATATTGCAGTTAAAGAGCTCTTTACTGGTTCACCATGCTTCTTATTGGGCTCACCCTGAACTCGATATATACGTACCTCCCGAGTTTCTGGGTTTCTTATCTAGGCGCGCTTATCTGTCCAGGGGCTAGGGCTGAACCAACGCGCTACAGAAATAAATGGTGAAACACCCCACCATCGGCTCCCCTGAAGACCTCCTGAGATCTTCGGTACTTGACTCTGTGTAGGCAGGCAGACTTTGATTCGTTGGGCATGTAACTGGAGACTCTTGGCAGCCGGTTTTCACATATTGAATGGCCTGTCATAACGCCGCCAGGGAGAAAGATTAAGGCGAATGCATCGATCAGAATCAAAGTGATCAATTGTCTCACCATTTCAACAGGCATTTTGGTTCCGTGGAATATTCCTGTATCTCTCATCTTTGCCTGAGGAGTCTTTTTTTGTTCGGGCATTAGAAGGGACTCGTGAGTTTTCGCTTTACAGGTTCTTTAATGCTCCGCTCATCATTGAAAGCTATACCAACTTGGGTAAGGTATAATTATCCATTCCTGAGTAGTTACCAAGAAATAGATACTAGGCCTCAATTCGCATGACTATTTCATAGCTTTCTTTCATCTCTGATAAAAAAGGATATGCCTGATTTATAAAGCTCCTTAAACCAGGTTCATGTTTTATCTATACATAAATTCCATCGTGAGGCAACTTAGGCTAACGATGGGTACAGGTAAGAAAGAGCTCGTATTTATCATATATTCATAGCGGTCAACATTCTTTTTGAGGCAAATTATCAAATTCAGCTATGTTCGTTGATATGGACCACTTCCAAAAAAGGAGGTCTTTGGACATGACATTGAATGCGAAGAACTATATTCAAGGTGGACCGTTGAGAATAACTCAAATGTGGCATTTCTCCCCCGAAGTGCAGCCACTCTGTGCTAGCACATCTGGAGCTTGAGAAGTATTAGTTCGACAGAAGCAGGAAGATTTTACAGGCACATCTGCGACAGCAAGAGCCACCTTCAGCTGGGGCTGCAGAGTTCGAGCTTCGGCGGTGCGTCCCAGACGGACCAAACACTCGTGATATCCCTGCAAAGCCCAAACGTTGTTTGGGTGTTGGCGCGCACGAATAACAGAGTCGTCGAGTCCTAGATCGGCGCGATATACATTGGCCGCCTCTTCAACATGACCTTGCTCCAGTAGAAGGGCAGCGTAGGCATGACGGACCGGCTGCATCCAACTCCAGGGCTCACTATAACCAAGCTCATCGTCCTTCTCGAGAGCGCGACGCAGGAACTCAAATGCCTGGTCATAGTTTCCGCGGCGGTACTCGATCTCGCCGTCTAGCATTGGTGAGGCTACCCCGAGGATATCGATACATTTGTTCGGAAAATCAAGACGAGTTGCTGGGACACGCTTCTCAGCCTCCCGATACAGATCCCGATGTCGCTCTGCTTCGGCAATATTACCGGTGGCTGCATAGGCAACACCTTTGGCATAAAGAGCCAATGCAGTGGTGACACAATATAGCTCCGGGTCATCAGGAAGAGGAAGTTGAATGATTTCGTCCCACATGCCAAAGCGAACCATGACATGTGACCTGACAGATATGAAAACCTCAACGAAATCCGCCATCGACATAAGGAGCTCCTTAGGGAGAGTCGCTTCCATGCGTGCCGCAGCATCAAGGGCAACGCGTTTCTGGCCTGCGAACATGGCTGCATAGGCGAGCGTATGATAGTTGTGCATTCGATAAATTGTATAGAAGTTGAATGCTCCTTCGTGGTGCAAAAACTTCTCGTCTGCTATTGTAGCTCGCTGGTTGCCGAGAACAGCGGCTCGGTAATCACCGACCAAGATATCCAGATGAGAGGGCATATGATGAACATGTCCCGCGTCCGGAACCAAATCACGTAGATTATCCGCGGGGACAAGTCCTAATTCAGGAGTAGGGGACATCTCAATAAGGTGGATATACATGTGCAACAAGCCCGGGTGTTTGCGTGCATCATCTTGCGCGAAAGCTGTCTCAATTACCTTCTTCGCATCCAAGGTTCGAGTTCCTGGATTTGGTTCACCAGTCACCAGATTCCAAAGTTTCCAAGGTGTGAGGGTGATTAAAGATTGAGCATAAAGGGCCGCTACGTCCAAATCATCCCCGTGGTTGGCGTAAACGGCCTCCATGGCCGCTGCGTAAGCAAGATTTTGAAGATTATATTGCTCCATTGTGGCTGGCTCATTGCTCTGGTAAAGACGTTGGATAGCATGGATGAGTGCCTTTTCCACTGGGGTTGCATTCTCCACCAGCGACTGCGCCTTTTGCGAGGCATCATAGGTACGCCGCACAACCGTTTCCAGCTCGGGACCGAAGAACTCCCAAGACTGGTTGTAATTAGGTCCGAGGGCATATGCCAGTCCCCAGTAGGCCATTGCGCAGGACTCATCATGTGCAATAGCTTGCTCGAAGCATACCGAGGCTTCCTTGTGGTTGAAGGCGTATGCCCAGGTGAGACCACGATTGAACCAAAGCTGTGCTTCAGAGCTCTTCGTCGTTACGGGCCGTCCAAATTTGCCGACATCGAAGGGATATTCTTTTCTTTCGATAGTGGTTGAAGTATCTGTCATGCTGGATGGGATGAGTGAAAGTTGTGGATGAGGGGTGAATGCGTCAGAGGGGAAAGATGGCACGGCATTTACTGACCGCAACACGACAAGGTCATGGAGGCTGACAACAATCTCACGTCGGCTTACCTGTTCAGCATAGGGGTTTCTGGATTTCAATGAAAGAGATTCCGATTGCCCAACGAGGATACTATCAGTAGAACTTGGTTTTGAGCTTCTATATAGTACAGAAAATAGATCACATCTTGATACCCTGGTCATTGATCTACTATTCCCCGCACATTAACTAGCCGTCGGGCTTGGCGTCGCACGCATCTCAGTACTGAGTATTCAACGACACGTTTCGCTCACTCAACTTTACTTTCTATATCTGGTTTAGTTTCCCTGACCAGTGAGGGGTCTTGTTGGCTGTCAGAACTAAATTCCATGAAAAATTGTACTAATAATAATTTCTTTACTACTAGTTCACTTGTATTTTTTGATTATGAGCTAATTATCTTTCCCCTGGAGTGTTTCCAAATATTATTTAGTCTTTTCAAGGACTGATATCCAACATTCCGACATAGACTACGTTTGAGCGGCTACGTATATAAAAGGTGAAGCGAACAGATATGCAAAAGGTATCTCGGGTCTACGTACAAAACGTAAGCGGAGCATCCATGAGTGGCTCGCACGGACACCAACAATGGCACCAAGACGAAAATCAAGAGTAGACGGGAATAAAAAAGATCAGTAAAATGCAAGATGGGGAGGATCAAGAAACATCTCCATATGTACTTGGTGTCCATGCCTGGCTTGTTCAATGGAAAGAGAGAAGAGAAGAAAGAACAAACACCCAGTCACATCCTCGCTAGCAAATCGCAGTCCAAGTAGCAAGGGAAACAAATATATAGAAAAAGAGAGGGAAAAAAGGTGAAAAGAAGTCAGTAAAGGGGAGCTAGATAGATAGAAGCACAGGTTGCCATAGATCGATTTACAAGGCGTCGCCTCCTCAGGTGGCAATAGAGCCGGGAGCAGACCCTGAATTGGTCATGGAATGAATACTGCCAGGTGGTGCGCTAGTATCGCCGTTTGGAACATTAACTTCGCCTGCAGTGGAGTGGTTACTATCGTTGTTGGCCACCAACGAAGGAGATGGTCGGATTTCCTTCTTTCCGTTGGCTTTGTAGTAGAGAACCATATCGCCAGAAGTACGCCAAAGGTGAGTACGAATTGTCGCCAAAGTCATGTTGGGTGGACACAGCTGCAAAGATCAAGTTAGTGCCATGCCTAGCTAATATTGAATTATTAGCTTACCATCTTTTGACAATACAGCTCAAGATACTCCTCCGGTGGCATTGGATTGGATTCAGGCTCGTCAGGATTAGGAGGATCAATGCGTTCAGCTACATAGGCAAGCACTTTCTTAGTCCGGAGCATACGATTAGCATTCAGCCGAGAGCTATTGTTGTTTCCATTCACAGGAGGGCCACCATTCGCAGTCGGGCTGTAGAAAATTATTAGTGATTTCACATGCAAAGTGTACGGGTAATTCTTGACTCACGGTTCCGGCTTCACAACAGGGGGAAGTAAATCGTCAAATGGCTTCAGGACAAAGGCAATCTTCACTTGTTCCTTGAACGGAATTTGATTCTGGGCATGGTTAGTCAATCGAAAACATCCAACAAGGAAATATCTTGGACTACCTTAAGAAGAAGCTCGCCAAGCCAATGGGGAATTGCCTTCTCAAGCAGGTCAATCTCCTGGCCAACATGACCCACGCTGCCACGGTATAGATCCGAGGCCACCGCAGTATCGCCAGTTTCCTCCTGGATAAAGACCGCGGTTCGTGCCGGAATATCGAGCCGTGGGGTTTCGTTTTCCGTGCTTGGAGTGATCGAAGTCACCAAATCCCGACTAGGGTTCGCAGCAAGAAACTCTTCATAATCGTGACGGATGCGGTCGATCACACCACTAATGTTAGCTTCGTACACCTTCTCCTCCTTGACAGACGAGATTTCTGACTCCTCGGCCTTCTCTTCTAAGATCTGAGGCTTTGTATCTGTCGATGTGCGCCCGAGTTTCTTCGGAAAATCCATACGGAATTTCTTTCCAAACAAAGAGCCCTTCTTGCGCTCTTCCTTATCGGGCTCCACAGGAGATTGAGGAATCCCAGATGTTGAAGTCGCATCTGTTGGCGACATGGGATTCTTGTCTGATTCGGCTGGTGGTCTCGATGAGAAGTAGTCGCTCGATTTATCAGAGAAGGACGAAGGATCATGCTGTTGGTTTATCGAGCCAGGAACATCAGGCATGTCCATCTCGAAGGCTGGGAAGGGAGAATTGCTCTGCATTGATGTACTGAGATAGGATGCTGATGCTGGAGTGCCCACGTTTATCCCAAAGCCGGGGGTATTGGGGCTGCCAGGGAATTCCATTCCAGGGCGCAGAGTTGTCATCGAGTCATGCGAAATTGGAATTCCCACACTACGCGGAATGTCGTCACCAGGTGCAGACGTACCCATAGGGTTCATTCTGGCCATCTCCTCTGCGTTAGCAATGGCGGCTTCACGGTGTTGTATGTCTCGTCGGATTTCCTCGTCTACCAACGGGGCAAATAGCCACCGCAAAATCCATTTTCCAAGGTTGACTATAGGGCATGTCAGTTAGCCAATAATTTCATAAAAGCATAGGCTATTGAATTTAAAGCAAAAACAATTGACGAGGTGATGAGATGCATACTTCTTTGATCTTCCCGGAACTGCGAAAGGTCGGACGGAGACAGACCGGCCTCGTCTGCATAGACCTCGGCATCGAAGCAGCGATTGGGCTCAAGGATAACTGACAGCCTGCCAGTCCTAACATCAATCGTGCACCAGTGGGAAATGCTTTCCGTGGTATTTATTTCGGTTGCAACATCATCAATATGACGTTTTCCGAATTCTTGCACAGGGACACACTACGAAGGAGAGGACCGACGTTAGCAGATACTAATAGGTCGCTGCTAACTCCACGCTTGACTTACCTTGAGGAGATCCCATAAAACAACTTCTCCTGCCGAGTCTTGGGTCAAAGTTCGCTTCCGGTCGTTTAGCATCAAACATTTGATAAGACCATGTTGGCCCTCGATTGTTTCCTCTGGTAGCGAGTGCACTGGGAGTGTAATGCCGATATCATTGTCCAAGTCCCCTTCGCCTGACTTTCCACTTGCATGTGAAGGGGTTCCAAGCAGAGCGGATGTGTTCGATAACTGCAATACTGCGTTGAAAGGGATTTTCTTGGGTTTCGTGTCCGCCGCTTTTGGCGTGTCCGCCGCCGCCGAATCAATAGTGCGAGTCGGGTCTGGTGGTGCTTCAATTTCGAGCGTAGTATCAACATTTCGCCAACGGTTGATGCTCGACTTGGGAGTGGCGGTCCAAATGAAATCACCAGCAGCCACTACCTTGACTACGCCTTCGTGTTCCTGCAGTGCAGCAACGCAAGTTCCCTGTTCAACGTCGGAGGAGCCCCGGGTATCGGTCTTAGCAACCAGGCCAGATCGATCACTGGAATAGACCACTGCTAGATTGGGGTCATCCGAATACAAAGACCAAACGCTATCGTTATGCATTGTCAGGGTATTCATGCAACGACCCGCGGTCAATGACCACACTTTAATGGTTTGATCTGAGGACGCGGTCATAATAGTATCACCAGTCTGGTTGATCAGGATATCCCGAATATTATCAGTATGGCCCACAAATTTGGTAACCAGCTTTCCAGATTTGGGATCCCACACGCGGACGACATTCTCGGGCCCGCCGCTGGCGAGCACTGAGTTCACAGCGCCCAGCGCATAGACTGATCCTTTCTCGGCGGTATCGTCCCCACATGCGTCGATACTGAGGATCTCTCCGCCGCCATTCAGATCCCACAGGTACAGTTTATGATCGAGGCCGCCCGACGCGACCCAACTTGCCTGGCCGCCCGGGCTCGCCAGTGCCTTGACATAGTCGCTATGCTTCCCGATGCGCTCCGGGACTTCCGTGGATTCGGAGTGTGGGCGCCAGAGTCGGACAGTGGTGTCTGACGACGCCGACACGAGGGCGGAGTTGTCCTGGGTCAAGACGATATCGTTGATCCAGTGGCTGTGCGCCTGCACCTGTGTCTTGAAACTGGTCGGGCCCGGCGTGCGGTTGTCATCTGAGAACGGGTTTGAGGAAGACTGAGAATCGAGGGCGAAGTCAAGGTCCCAGGAGCAAATGACACCGTCGCGGCCTGCGGAATACCTGGAGCAGACGTCACATTAGAAACTGTGCGACCCACGTGGGAAACAGGAGGCTGGCCGGAGGCACCATGGTCACACGGAATGCAGTCGATAGATGCCTCGGCAGTTTTCCTTCTATTTTGTTTCAAGAGAGGCCGGGAAGCAGGCTTACAGGATGGAGTTCTGACGGTCAACGGCCAGACCATTGACCCCCAGCCGGTGCCCACCGGGGGCATCAGGCAGAGGGAGCACTGCAAAACGACGGGGTCAGTATGGCTAGCACTGTTAGTTCGAATTGGATAGACTCATGCGCATACCGTACGTGACCCTCTGGTGACTTAGTTTGCGTGCCATGCATGCAAGTTGGGATTTGGGGAGAGGGAATTGCGGAGGAGATGCGGAGCTTATCTGCCTTCCAGGGACGATCACACGTTTAGCGGGGAGACGACGTCACACATTCGAGGCACAGCCCTCCAGATGGCTCCAGACAACTCAAAGGGGAGATTTGGGGGTCTATCAGGTTATTCTCTGGGTGTTTTTTGGGAACCGATCGGGGGGAAGGGAAGGATTCTCGATCAATGAGGGGAAGTTGGGGGACCTGCCGCCAGGGGTCTTCGGATCGCGACGCCATAGCGCATGTCGGAAGTCGGCCGTGTACTTGTTCGTCTTACCCGGCGGTTAATTTCCCCTCTGTCGAAGGTCGTTTTTCTTCTGGGATGTTCGCAAATTTAATATATCACAGAATCACCGTAGTACTGCAGGACATATTCTTTTGATCTGATGTCATGTCTGTTCATTGAATCATGAGCAAGGTCGGCTCCACGTAATGCGGTTCGCACGGTCTGCTGCGCGAAGTATAGAACATCCAGTCCCCTCGAAGCCTGCCCAAGAAGTATTATACTAGTCAAAGTCACTATAGCATGCGCATTCCGCTTACACAGATCAACTTTACCTATATTTACATGTGACCGATCCCTACAGAATGACCCCTCTACCCTGGCCACGGTTGATCATCTTGACCGGCAGCAGATGGAAGACTGGCTCAGTCTGGGACAAGTAGAGGAAGTCGAGTGGATGCGCAGAATGACAGATGCCGAAGAAGACTGACCCTGAATTTCCATCATTGCTGAAAATATTTTTGATTTGAATATGGACCAAAGTGGCTATCAAAATGTGTATACAAAAGTAGAAGTACAAGAGACCCTCAGCTCACTTCGCATCATTAGTACGAGCACTGAAATAAGCCATCCAGCCAACACTCCAAGTCCCCCAGTATTCCAAATAGATGACAGCGAAAGATCATGGTGCTTCTATATACCAACCATTCCCAATCTATGAGCTCCAGCCGATCTATATAACAACAATCATACAAAGTGATTCGATTCATCCACCATGCTTAGTTCTTCTCCTCCGCAGTCTTCTTCTTACCCTCAAGCGTATTCCACGCCCACTGATAACTTCCTAAGAATACCGCACCTCCAATGCCGATCCACGCCACGCGCGGCCCAATCCCACGCCAGAACGCGCCAGCGCCCTCTTGCGCGATCCCCCGCACAATATCCTTCACCCGCACCGGCGCATCTGCACTGCCGTCGCCGCGCCGTGCCAGCATGACCCGCGTCTTGATCACGTCCAGCGGCGTGGTCAGGCCAGCGGCGATTGCACCTGCCACGCTGCCAAACATGGCGCTGGTCGAGGCCGGAATCTGGGCTGAGTCGCCGCCATCGCGGCGCAGGTACCGCACGCCGTAGGCTTCCTTCATCGACTCCCACATGGTAAATTGCAGCATGGTGAAGGGGATCTCGCGGGCGATAGTGATGCCCGCGCCACGGTACAGCTCGCGGATGACCCGGGCGTACCCGCGCTTCGGGGTCGAGGCTGCGTCGGGCCCGGGGGGCGCGGCGTGCCGCAGGGCAAGGATGTCTTTGAGGGCGGCGAGAGTCGAGCCTCCAAAGAGGCCGGCCTGGGCGCGCTGCTTGATCACTTCGGTCGGGACTCGCACGGCACAGGCGGCGATCTCACCGAGCGACGAGGCGAGCGAGTGGGTTAGGAGGATGTGAGCGCGGGACGGGGTCTCCGCGGAGGTGGCGGGCGGGAGGAGCGAGCGCTTGACGCCATCATAAACGATGAAGAAGGAGGCAGCCGAGGGAGCAGAGCCGAAGAGGACGGAAGGGAGACCGGCGTAGATGCCGCGGACGGTTTGACGGAGGGAGAGCCTCGCAGCTTGGGGGGAGGTGGTGTCGCGTGCCTTTTGGAGACGGGTTTTGATGGTGTCGAGGGGGTAGAGGGAGCAGTCGACGGTGAGACCGGCGACGGCACCGGACTGACAATTGCAATATGTTAGCTTGGGTGGAAGATGAATCGTGTAGCTCGGACGGAAGTGGTTAATATAGAGTGGTGAAGGGGGCCTCGTACCAGGAGAGACCTCGTCCAGAGGGACGAGACCAGGGCCTCGCCGTCGGGTTGCTGAGCCATGATCGGATGAAATTGAGAGATGCAGGGGAGGTAGTGAGTCTACCGCAACAACATGCTGTGTCGGTGCACGGATCGGAAAATCAATGAAGGGGAGCTCGCCAGGACAGACCCGCTCTGGCAAGCGCAATTGCAAGACGGAGGAGAGGAGAAGCTCCGCAATCCGAGGCCGAAAGGTTTGCTCCGCGGTCAGCCCATCCGATATCGCCGATTGAGAGTTTTCAGGCAACACAGCATCGAACACATCGCATCGCGATTTGATCTGATAAGTACGATACAAGATGGAATCAACATGCATGGTTCTAAGAGAACAATATATTCTGGTATTTAGAAAGTATCTACTACCCCGGCTCTGGAAGTACAAAAGCAGCCCGTGAAATCAAAGGACCCGCCCCCTACAGTGACAAAAAGAGGAATGCGCCACGCAAGGACAAGCACAGCAGTTCAGACTCGCCGAACATTGCGCAATGGTCTAGCAGGGGGCGAAACACACACGAGAGATCGACCGCTGGTGATTCTCTCGCAGACGGCATTGCATCTCTCTGCAACGCCAGACAGCGATCGAAGGAAAAGGAAGAACAGGATGTACACTCCGATTGCACTTGATATTAGTCGGGTGTATATCGCGTTCCAGAACAATGAAAAGCCACGACAAGAAAGACGGCACCGCCCCAACGCAGAGGGAAAACTCTATCCGGATCGAAGGGTACCATGAAACAAGGAAACGGAGAAGACACGGGCAGAGCATGAAGGGCGGAGAGAAAGGATCAAGTTGTTGGCCAATTATTCAGATCGGGAAGAAAATTATGCACAGAAACAGGGAAGGTGATACAATAAAGAGGGTGATTATTTGGCCTTGGCGCCTTTGCTGGCCACGGCAGGGCTTTGCGAGGGAGGCTCAAGGACGTGAGTATGGTTAGAGGCGCTGATGACGTCTCCGGAATCCTCCTGTCGACAAGTGAGGATATTGCGCACCCACTCGTCCGACAGAACCTCGTCGAGGGTCGCACGTTCTAGAGGATTGACCTTCAGCATCCGACCGATGATGTACCGGCTTTCCCGCGGCAAGATGCGGAGAAGTCGCCAGGGACCCTTGATAACTTCTTGGCGCTGGCTCGATTGCTGTGCAGAGGCCGGGAGCGGCGGGGCCTCTTTGCTGGTCGTGCGGGTGGTTTTTTCATTGGTGGGACTGGTCGGGCTGGTCTGCTTCTTAGCACCATCCGAGGACTTCTCGGAATCCTTCGCAGGCTCTGGCTTCGTTCCATTCTGCTCGGGAGCAGGTGGAGGCGGCGCGCTGGCTTTCGTAGGGGATGGAGGGTTGCTGGGCGCACTTGTAGGCGGAGCTTGTTTTTGTTCATGTGCAGCAGAGGGGAGATCCGGGCTCGACTTGGCTTTGGGTTGACGCCTGGGGTCGGCATCGGGCACCGGAGTACCGGGAGTAGGGGTGGAAACGAACAACCGGTAGGAGTTGTCCGTAGTCCGCGGCTGCTTCCACGGAAAGCGGCGCAAGGTCATGCAGCAGAAGATGATCGCCAGCGACCAAACATCCGTGGGACGGGGGTCATATTTCTTTTCATCATATACCTCAGGAGCTAGATAGGGATCCGATCCAACAATGCCTGTTTCTCTGATTAGCGATATCACTCAACTTTCGCCAGTGGGGATCTATCACATACCAGAGGCCGGGACGATATCATTCTCAAATGGGTATCGGAAGACCACTGCACTTCCGAAGTCAATCAGCTTCATAATGCCGCGGTTATTAACCACGACATTGTCCAGCTTCAGATCCCGATGGGCCAATCCCATGCCGTGGAGGTATGCGACACCGCTGAGAATTTGCTTAAACGAGCAAGCAATCTCTTCCTTGGTCATCTTACCAGTCATGACAATGGCGAACAAGTCGAAAGGCGCGTATTCCATCACTTCATACCAATGAGGCCCTTCTTGAATGATATCAAGTGTCTCAATGATATTACCGTGATGCAAGGTAGATCCGATACAAAATTCTGCGGTCACTTTCTTGGAGTATTCCTTCAAGCTTTCCCAGCTATGCCGATCCCGGAATTGCTTGACCGCAAAAGTGACACCATCACTGTTCCGCTTCAGCAGTCGAACCGAACCTCCGGCGCCCGACCCGAGGACCCGGCCTAGCTTGCCATATTTCGAGTTCAATCCATGATCATCGGCAAAGGGTACATTATCGGGGGCCATCTGATAGGGAGTGCTCTTTCCGGAGGATCGGCTGGAGCGTTTAGGAGCCGAGGTCGGGGAATCTGGTCGTTTGCTACGATGACCCATCTTGAAGAATCGCTTCAGCTCGGACATGGAGCCATGGTGATGATGATGCCCATGACTGCCTTTTTGGTCATGTGAATCCTTTTTGTGAAAGGTTCCGCGCTTCTCGATAGGTTTGGTGACATCGCTCGCGCTGGCAGATCGCGGGGTCCCGGGGCGAAAGGAACGCTTTGAATCTCGGCTTCCGAAGATGAACCGAGCATCCAGCTGGGCCAGATTCTTGGTTTGAGGAGGTCGTTTACTGCGGGCATAAGGGTCATTAGGTTCGCCCACTGGGGTGATAGCCCCGGGGGGTGTCAGGTCTCTCGGGGTCGGGGGTGGGCTCTCCTCTTGGGAGCTAGCGTCGGTTCCGATGAAGAATTGAGCTCGATGTCTTGGAATTTGGACCTGGGTAGGCTGTGAAGTGGGCTCCGACGTCTCACTGTGGTTCATGGAAAGCTGGTCGGTCGAGGAAGGTCGAGAGGATGGGGCACTTCGCTGAGAGCCATTCTTGTCGCCGGATGTGACAGGGGGCGAAGTTTCGGGGGTGATAGCGGATGCCTGGGGATTGGTTCGACCCACTGCATTGAGGGCTGCTATGCTATCGCTCGAACGTCCTTCACGAGAGTTGGTCCCGGCGGGGGTCAGAGGAGGGGATTGAACGGCAGAGACGGGAGGGGAGGCGTGAGGGGATGCCGCAAAGGATCCCGTGCCCAGAGCACTACGATCACTAGACTCTCGGGAGGCAACCTAAATTTGGGAGAAGAGTGAATCATTAGCTTTTCTGAACAGATGATTGTATAGGGGGAGAATCGTCTCCAACGTCCTCGTGGCATTGCCCGGATATCGTTCGACCACAGGCAACGGCGGACAGCACCACGTTGAGCTTCCCTCCGGCACCTGAAGACCCAAGCGACCGACAGGACTTTGCACTAGACTACAATAGCGTAGAACGTACCCTAGATGACGGAAGAGACATTGGCTCGAACGAGAAATTACTGCGTAGACGGGACTCTTGAAGTTGTGAACTCTGCAAGCTCATGGCCAGCGACCGCAATTCCTCGTCGTCGGTGATCAGCTTGCGTGGTTCCGGCTGCTGGGGATGTTCCGGTTCAGGTGACAGCGCCGCCCGAGAGGGTTCAATCTCCTGCGTGACGGAGGAAAAGCGGACTTGACTGGGCTGTGATTTCGACTTGGCGTCGGCGTCACCGGCCTCCGAGCCCGGGGCGGACATCTTGGCGGGGGACTGGATCGTCTGGGGATCTAGGAGTGTTCAAGTATGCGGCGTTAGCACGCAGTACGGGATTCCAGGGATATCTGTCCTGGCAGGACGTCTGGGAAGAGGCGGCCAAGACATACCTGAATTCGTAGAGTTCGCGGTTGGGGTCGAAGGCTCGGCCGTTTCAGACGTCATACTCAATCGACGACCACCTCGGGAAGCTTAGGCGGGACGCATGCCCCTCACGAACAGAGCGGAGAGTCGCGGCGAGGTCGGTCGTGGTGCACGGAGAGGGTCTGAGCCGGATCGATTGCTGGGGAAGACGGTGACTGTCCCGAGCGACGTTTGTCGAAGCGGGAGGAGAAGAAGCGCGGTGGTCGATTACGTGGGTGAGGCAAATCTTTTCCCTTAAACTTTTCAGTGCCGAATCCGTGCGATCAAAGGCCCGACCGCAACGGGACAACGATACGGCGATCCTCCGGACACGAGAGTCAGGAGAGGATGGTGAAAGGGAGCGAGAGTAGAGAGTGGAGAGAGGAGAGAGGGGGAGGAGAAGAGCGCGAGGGATTTTAGATAGGAAAAGAAGATCGAGGTTGGAGGAGCGAGAGGAGGGGAGCAGGTTTGGGGTCTGGGCCTGAGGCCAGCGCGGGTGGGGGTCCGTTAAGACTCGGTCACTTTCTGTAACGCGGTCGCCCCGTTACTTTGGTGACGCAGGGCGCGGGTCTACGGGCTTGGAGAGCGCAAGATAGTGTGCTCTGACGAATATGTCTCATTCGAAACCAGTAGATCTCATTCTTCCTCTTCTTTCTCTGTTTCTACCTCGTCGCCATCCTATATATCGACTATCTATATCCCCAGAACAGAGCGCACTGGAATCCGATGACTATATCGCGCGGCTTCCTGAGGCATTTCTACCGTTAGCTGCCCGTGTAGGGGGAGGGGAGGTACTTAGTCTCTCCCGCATACTTCCCTGGGCGTGGTACCGCCCTAACTCTGTACCAGGCGGTACCTGTCTGCCTTGTCGGTCTCGGTCGATCGTTTCACCTGTTCTATCATTGGAGCAGCCCGTTTCCTCATCGTTCTGCAGACTGGAGCACTAGATCAAGCTTGGTCGGTTGATCGGTGACATTTCCCAGGGCCCTGGCTATGGACCAAACATGATATATCCAGTATTGCTCTGCTCTCCGCGGCTGAACTATGATGACGAGGGGGTCGGAAGGGCGCGGAGTGATGATGTCGCGGCCGTGGTTGGCCCCATGACGCCCTCGTGCCGACTTCCCGAGCGCCGACTCCATCACGTCTCCAAAGCCTGGTCGAGCGTTCGTCTTACACGTTCCCCTGCACAGGTCTGCCACCCTGTCGTTCAGTGGGCAAGGTCGACCAACACGGCATCGTCGACCCCCGAAACCGCCCATCGCTTGTTGCGGCTGCGCTCTAATGATGAACGCCTCTCCTGCCTCGCACGTCTCCTCCCTCTGCACCCCCCACGAGCTCCCTGGCTGAACTAGTCTCTCTGAATCCCTGCAACTGCCTCCGACTAAGTCCATCGGGCCCTTCAATTGGTACGTGCACCACCCGCAGGTGCCGCGGGGCTTGATGCACAACAGCAATTCTTCCGGCGCTCTGGAATTTTACCGAAACCAGACTAGCCCCGACCATTGACCCTGCTTGGAGATGCCTCATTTGCCCGCCCCGTCACCTGCTGTGGCCTGCTTTGTCTGACATGCTATCTGAGTCGGAGCATCCAGATCGACAACAGGTCGGACCATGTAACCCGGTCGATAACTCGAGGCCAGGCACTCCATGCCACCCCAGAAAGGCGGGGCAATTAGGATTGTGCGATTGTTGCCCATCCTGGCTATGTATAAAAGCATCCTGGCCCTCAGGCCCCTCGCAGACCCAGCTTCTCCACAGAGAGATCGACGGGCGATATGTGCGGAGTATCTCTTTCCATAGTGCAAGACAGATCAACTACAAATACCAGACAACTCCTTTGATGGGGATGCGGTCGTCACCGGATTCTTTGCCCAGGTCGTTACCTATACAAGGCAGCCTCACATGCCTGCCAAGACGTCTGATCCTTCTTGTCGCGTCGTGCAATTCGGGCTTGGCCGTGATCCTCGCCAAGCCCCCAGCGGGATCAACATTTCTGATTTGAAGTTTCGTGGAACTGGGTTCGCCGTATTATCGCGAGCCCAAGGCTGTGTCTCGCGAGCTTACCCCATGACGCGACTTGAACCCCCCCTCCCCCGGAGCTTGGAGCCTGGGAGGGTCCTGCAGCCTGACCTGCGATAAGAGCATGAGAATCTGTCCCCGTATCATACTTCGGGTAGTGTACGGGGTAGCTATATGCATCCAATTGATGCTTGTCTCTCCCTTTGTTTCTGTTGGTTATCTCGTCCGTGTTTGTAGTCTTCAATAATGATAGAGATTCCGCTATATACTAGAGCCGAGGGATAAGTCAAGTACATAGGGTTGAACGTGTATTGGCAATTCCGAGCGGGAGTGATTTCTACTAGAGTCAGTCGATGTTAGAAGCCCGGCTGAGTTTCTATGCTCGGCGATGGATCTCGAGGATTCCTGTGACGGTGCAGTATGCTCGATGCAGAGTACACATCGAAGCGAAACAGTCATCTATAGGCTCAAAGATCAAATCGGAAAATAGGTCACTGGTTCATAATGGATTGTCCTTAGACAACAATGGTATCCCATTTGCATTACTATGCACACATCGCTTGATAACAGTATGCATCAGAGAAAAACGAAGGGGAGAAACACAGGTGGTGGGGGGTTCTAGATAAAATATAGTACAAGAAGAAGAATGGATGCCCCCCCGTTCTCCATTCTCTCCCGAAACGCCTTCCAAGCAGGACGATCAAACAAAGAAAGACAACCAAAAATGAAGAAAAAGAGGTATCGAGCAAAAGAGCACACAGGAAAGAGGTGTCATCTCAAACGGGGTCCGATCGTCGTGGACAAGGATGCCGGATCAAATCGAGCCTGAATCCAATTGCTCGACACTCCATGCGTATTCACTCACGGGACCACCTGGATGCCGATGGACTTGGCTTGCGAGATGACACTCTTGCACAAGCCCTGCAGGCTCAGCCCAGATAACCGGGTCTCGGAGTGCTTGATCTTGGCGATTTCATAGACGTGCTTCAACGAGATCTGGCCACAGGTCTCGTGGCCGGGATTCATCGCGCCGCGCAGGCGGTTCTTGCGTGGCTCCACATTTGCAGCGTTCAGCAGGAGGTAGGTGGTGGTCGGGGTGCGTAGGTCGAAGTAAAAGGATCGGTCAGGACGAACGGTGACGCGCGCCGGGATGGGCACGCCAACATTGATATGGGCCGTACGAGCGTTGAATTCCTAGTCGCCAGAGATCAGTGAGTCCATTGTCCATAAGATGGGTGATGTGCTGGGAAGAATCGTTGATCGTTGATCGGGTCGAGCAACGGAGTCTAGCTCACCTTGCAAAAGTCCATGCTCTTGACACCCTTACTACCAAGCGCGGGACCAACCGGCGGGCTGGGACTGGCCTGGCCAGCGCCCACGATGAGCTTGACGAATTGCTCCTTCTGTAGGACGTTCTTGGCCATGCTGAATGCTAATAGTTGGAGGAAGGGCTGAGGGAGAAATGGACGGATGCGAAAACCCGAAGACGGCAGAATTCCGGGGCGCTTCTGATTGGTTCGGGCGCCAAGCGAACTGCTGAGAAGCACCGGACGTCATCATCTGTTCGTCTCTCTTTTCTTTATGAGCACCAAACGATTCCCCTGAGTCGATTTCCTGATTTATTTTCTGTGGACTCGCTACCTTGCGATTCTCTGCCAATTTGGTGCCTGTGTTGGTTTGCTGGTGCATCAGCTCACGGAGTTCCCATCCGCATCCGAACTAAACTCTCGGGCCCCGCGCCTGTCGATCTCCCTTTCCCTTCACCTCCCTTTTCCTTTTTTTTAAGCTGGTTCTAGTTCCTGCCAATACTTCTTTCTACGGAGTTGCGCTTTCCAAATCCCTATCATGAACTGGCTCAAGTCTACGTATGTTATCTTTCCTGTTCCCATCCGCGGTGCGCGATAATGCTGGTGGTAGCTGACCTCAATATCCGCGCAGTCTCTCCGCGGCCGTCGGTACGCAGGAGCCCATATATGGCCCCGAGGCCATCCAGTCGGTCGCCCAGCAGGCTGCAGAGACGCCTTATACCGTCACAGACAAGCAGATCCTGCGATGGAAGGCATACCAGTACACCAATGTCGAGACCCAGACCTTCTACATCATGGCCGACAACGGGACTCTGGTTATGGTCCAGGTCATCTACAGCAACATTGCGTAAGGATACCCATCAAGCTTGGAAGCTCCAGGGTGGAGACTTTCAAGTTGTTCACCATATCATCGGGCTGTAGCAGGGTTTACTAATGCTTTTTTCCGTTCGTTTGGATCTATAGTGGCATCCACACCACAGCCCACTTCAACTCGAAGATCTTCAACCTCAAGGGCGATGGCGAGCACATTTGGCACTCCGACCCCCTCCACAACTTCATGTTCGACGAGCAAATGCTCTCTTTTGGAGCCGATAACCTGACCATCACCCTCAACGAAGAGGGGGATGCCTACCACATCAAGTCCACTGTTAACCCGGATAGCATTGTCGATCTCAAGTTCACCCGCAAGGCCCCCGGCTTCGCTATCGGCAAGGACGGAACCTCGTACTTTGGCACTGATCCCAAGAACCCCTGGGGCTCTATGTACCACGCCTTCTGGCCTCGCTGCGCCGTGGAGGGTTCCATCACCACCAAGGAGAACACCTACGACCTGACCGGCCGCGGAGTGTTTATCCCGGCTTTGCAGGGCATGAAGCCCCACCACGCTGGTAAGTTATATGGCTCTCTCTACCCCTATATCGATCTGTATACGGAGATCTTTTACTCATTTTGGGATGTGCTTGCTGACAACACTAGCTGCTCGCTGGAACTTCGTCAACTTCCAGACCCCGAGCTACTCCGCCATCATGATGGAGTACACCACCCCTCCCTCCTACGGCTCGACCAAGGTCAACGTTGGCGGCATCCTCAAGGACGGTGAGGTCGTCTATGCCGGCGTCACCAACACCGCCACCCATACTGCGTCCCAGCAGGACCCCGAGAGTGACTGGCCCGAGCCTACCTCTATCAAATGGGAGTGGACCGGCAAGACCGCGAACGGTGAAGACGTCTCCGCCGTTGTTGATGGCCTGCTCGGCAAGCGCTTGGATCGCGTCGACGTCATGGGCGAAGTGCCCGGCTTCATCAAGACTATTGCCGGCAGCGTGGCTGGCACGCGGCCGTACATTTTCCAGGTAAACACCTATCTCCAAGTCCCAGTATACGCTCGTAATACTAACGCATTTCCTGCAGTATTCGCCGCAGGAGAAGCTGAAGCTGAAGTTGAAGATCGGAGACACCGAGATCGAAGAGGAAGGCACCATGTTCTCGGAGTCGACCTTCATCTCGTAAGTGGCGATGTGGCCATGCCTCCCACCACCGACGTATATAGGACCCCATCACTCGTTGGCGTTTTGTTGCTGTTTTTAATTTCCGAGTAACTCTACATTATGTGCGGCGGCGATTTGAGACAAGGGTCGTCTCATCCGCACCAAACATTCCACAGACTGTATACTGGATACTTAATGATATTGACTATATTCCTTTTGAACACACCGCAGCCTTGAAAGACCGTATGGGCAGAAACCGAAGTGGGCCAAAAGTAATTCTGGTACGCCTTAGGATTAGTCCAGTTCACTATTGGACAACGAAAACAAGATGGAGGGAAGAATAGCAGACGATTTAACTTAAGAGAAGATGTATGTGATTCAGAGTAGTGTATAGTGGGGACGGAGTCTTTGATCAGACTCTAGACAAAAAAAGTAGAAAAGTTGTACAAAGAAAGGCAGTGTCAACAGGGGAGGATAAAATACATTCAAAATTCACAAGAAAAGAACATCACCAATCCACCAGTGGTCTGAGAGGGTATTAGAAGCATTCGTCCACCAAACTCTCTATTCTAGAGGTGATCCGAATTTACCTCAACTCCAGAACGAAACATAGTATGCACAATAAGACGAAAGAGAAGCACAAATATCTTAGTTATCCACCATCAGCTGCTCGCCTTCATCCAAAAGGGTTGTCACACGGGACAAGTCGGAGATCATCTTGCGTCCATGGCCAACCAGCAGCAACTTCTCGGCATTGGCTGGAAGACCCAGGTAAGTGGGCGGCTCACGCTCGGGAAGGTTGTTGACCCAGCTGATGAAGTCGCGAGTACTAGTGCTAGTGGGAAGCGTCAAGAGGTTGTCCTTCTCAACACCAGAGACAAGCTTGTAATCGTCCTCAAAAGCGGCGGGGGTGATAAATTTATTCACAAGACCCTCCAGCTGCTGGAAGTCGGCAGCATCGTCGATCTTGCCGCCGTACATCTCGGCAATAAGGGTGCGAATCATGTCCCAAGGAAGCTTTTGCGGAGCCACATTGGACCTACCTTGGGCGACAGTGTCAACCCAGTAGTCGATTATGAACGCCGAGCATTCGTACTGTACATATCGTAGTTAGAACCGTAGTCATCACATGAAGAAGAGATATTACTTACATCGCTGTCGTTAAATTCCCAGAAGCCCTTCCATCCCAAGCTGGGGGCATAGCGCAGGCGCTCCTGCACCACGGCGTGAAGGAAGCAAAGGAGGAGGTACACGCGAGCCTTTTCGACAGGAGCCCTGCTTGCACGATTGCTTAACGAGGACAGGGAGTCCTTCATATTGGCACGAACACCGGCAGGCTGCTCGAACATCAACACTCGGGAAGCGCGAATCAAGTTGACCGGAATCTTGGGGCTAGACTCCATAGACAAGAAGAGTCGGAATTCCTTGTGAGGCTTGAGGGAATCTAGTCTCTTTTCCAAGCTCTGAAGCCACGAAGGTGCCAGATGAACGTTCTTGACCAGCACCCAGTTACCAGACGCAGCCGCGTTGCTGATGGCCTTGTCGGCGCTCTCGAGACCTTCGTTCGAACCCATTGCAATATTGGCACAAGTTGCGTGGGTGCGCTCCACCAACGCATCGACCTTGTAACTGGCGTCGAAGCCTGGGCTGGAGCTAAGGGCAATCGGAGTGGTGGCTGTGACCTGGTCAACCACGTCCTTAAGATCACTGCTGCCTTCAAAGAGTTCACGGCCGAAGACAGCTTCGATGAAGCGCTCAGCAGTTGGTACAAATCGATCCATGCGGCAGAGCTTGATGAGGAGCAGGGACCGAAGTAGCTGATCCAGCTTAGAGGTATTCTCATCCCAGACGATGGGAACGACATTTTCAGCAAGCTCCTCACCAAAGAAGCGATCCCACTGGTCCTCGGAGATATTCGGGACATAGTCCTTGAAAAGCGACATATTAAGAAGTCTGTTCGTCACTTGCTCGCGGGCATCTCCAGTGCTCGACAGATCGGCGTCTTCAACAGACTGGTCCAAAATACGATCCAGAATAGCTCTATCCATTGGGAATGGGGTGGCTTGAGCCAAAAGGATCGCTAAGGTTATGCGGTCCTTCTGAACGAGACCTAGCGAGGTTCGTTGATAGGTTGTGATAAATAGGTCTCGAATGATGATCTGTACCCGGCTAGAATGATCCTTTTCTTGGGCAAGTCGCTTATTCTGATAAAGAACCGAATTGAAGATATCAACAAAGTACTGCAGGGAGAATTGATAGAAATGGTTCATGTGGTGAAGCTGCTCCAGGACCGCGAAAACAGCACTGCAGGCTCGGGCAATGATGCTGTACTGGCGTGTAATGCTCTCCACCTCTGACATAACGCCTTCAGTCTCGGACATCTTTTTGGAGATTTCAGCAGCTTCCTTCTTGAGAGTCTCTAGAGTTTCAATGACATTATCATCGTCAAGAATGTTGCCACGAGACTCGTTCAGCGCCTGCAAGAGACGCTTCTCAAGCTGCCGAAGGTGAACCTTGAATTCTCCTTGCATCTTGACCAAGTTGTTACGACGTTCATCAACATCTGGACGCTCGAACTTCAGAACATCATTCAGCGACTGAGTTTGTAAACTGCTCTGAGTAACTGTAAAGTTGACAAACGTCGTTCGACTGCAAATGTCCGGAGGGAAGGAGGCAGAAGGATCTCTTGTTGATAAGAAAAGCTTGAATGACGGCGAGAAGTCAATTTCTTGCTTTCCAAGTTGGATCAGAACACGCCCGCCCGTCTTTTGGTATTCCTTGTTGAGCACATGGTTGAGAATGGGGTCTAGGTGCTCTGCGTCCTGAATAAGGATGGGATTGCCGAACCGCAAGGCACTTTCAAGCTGCTTGACAAATGAGTCGTCTAAAAAGCTGGTGACAGTAAGCTTTCTATCTTTGCTCTCTTTTTGAAGGAATTCCGTCACCCGGCCAGATGGGTCAACGATGAGGGGATATCTGTTAAATCGCTTCAAAATGATAGCGTTCTCCGTGCAGAGATCGTCAACAGGTAGAGAATTTCCTTGCCAGGTCAGGCGTTCATCGGCATTGGACAGATATTCCGTGATGGGATTGTGTGGTTTGAAGGTGATACCAGACTGAGCCAGCTGGTGCACCCAGTCATCAACCATCGCCTTACGGAATTGTTGATCATACAAACCAGCATAAGCAAGGAATGCGGCCGCAATTAGAACATCGCCAACCAGGGTGCTGATCTGGGTTTCGAAAGACTTGCTGCCCTCCTCCCAACGCTCGCGCTCGGACGCCAAACTATCGAGCAAACGTACACTGCGATCAACCTTGAATTGGACACGGGACATCTCAGTCTTAATGGCTTGGGTTTCGCTGATAAGAGCGGCGTATTCGGCTTTGTATGTGGCAATACTGCTTTCCAGGCCTTGAATGGTGTTCTCGATGGCCTGGGCCTCGGCCTTGGTTTGCAAGGCTTGCTCTTCGAGCTGATCAACTTCCTCACGCAGGGGTCCAACGCGATCCAGAATTTCGGAGTAGTTGACTTGGGCCTCGACCCACTGGACCAAGGGACCACATGCTTTACTAGCGCGGTTCACACGCTCATAGGTAAAGTCTTCCTTCGATAGGAACTCGTTCTGCATCTTGACACGGTGGTTGCGAGTCATATGGCGCTCATTGTCGTAGTTCACAATACTAGCGATGAAGTCCTCACGGCGAATAATACCCTGAATTGTCTTCCAGCTGTCGACCTTGTGACCAAGAAGTGTGCAAACGGCTTCCAAAGCAAGTCGGACACTAGCTGGAGGGTTGCCCATTGAACGGACCTCGGTAAGATGCTGACGTTTGATGTTGCTGACACTTTTCTGGGCTTCCAACACTGCAGGCTCAGCCCGCGCCAAATCATTCAGGACCACCTCCTTACGCGTTGCGACTTCCTTCTCTTGCTTCTCCAAAGCAGCCTGGACCTCCAGGGAGACCTGTTTCCGCTGTTCTGCCTCTTGTTGATCGGCAACCATGCGCTGCAGCTTCTCATTGGCTTCGGTGTCCTTTTTCTCCAACTGTGTCTTCTTCTGAGCCAGGCTAGCCCGAAGATCACTGACTTTATCGACAGTGTCACGGAGCTTCTCGAGACCAACATTCAAATGGCGTTGTTGCTCCTCAAGATCTTCGCGCTTTTCATTGAACAGTTTGACATATTGAGCGACAAAGTCTAGGTAGTGGCGAGGAGTAAGGAATGTAGCTCGGCCTTGTTGCTTCTGCAAGCGTTGGTTGAATCGGTGAAGAGAATGGTGAATGTAAACCATAGAATTGATGACAGTGTCTCTGTGAGTCGCCGGCAACGTCAACTCGCGGTAAGCAACCGGAATGCTATCAGGAGACACAAAGTTCGACTTGTCGAGATCCACCGATTGAGTGAGCTCTGAGCCAACCTGGAAAAGGGCTTGATCAGACCAGTCACCCATCCAATTGAGAACACAACGATTGAAGAGAGCAGGACTGGTTGCGGCCTTTGAAGACAGGCCCTCCTCAGGTGGGTTCATGGTAAACACAACGTGCAGGTTCTTGACGATTTGCTGTGTGAACCACTTGTAGAGTTCTTCTTGAGAGTCCAGCAGCAGACCTTGACGCTGCGCACCTTCTTTACAAGCAGTCATCAACGAAGAGAATTCATCACCCTCGAAGAGACCAGGCACTTCAGCGTTGGCGAGTAGCGTGTTCATCCGCTCCAAGAACCCTGAGTCAAGAACATTGGCCTCGTCCATGATAAAGCAAATCTTCTCACCCTTGCAGCCAGCACGACGAAGGACACTCCGTAGATCATCGTCAAAGTCTTCGGATGAGTATTTGCCGTGCACTTTGATTTGGAAGACCTTCAAACCATTCATCCAAGCGACAAAGCGAGAGAGAGTAGTCTTTCCACTGCCACTCACACCAATAAGGATCAAATGGCCTTGAGGTTGGCGGAATACTCGGTCAATGCGCAAGGCGTGCTCGAGGACATCATTGAACAGCACAAGAGGGACGTCGACTTCTTCTTCGCAGAAAGTCTTCAGACGTGCTTTCACGAATTCGCGGAGATGTTCCTGTTCAACTGGCACATAGTTTTTGGACAACCAGTTGGAGAACAGGATTGGGCCCTTCAAAGCCTCTTGATCATCAATATTTGGGAAATGCTCGAGCGCAATGCGGCGAACAGCATCAGCTGTCCAAGCCCTCTCATCTTCAGCAACCAGACGATCCTGGAATAGACGCAGAGCCTCGTGTGCCCAAATTCGGACAAGACCCTCAATGGACAAGGTCTCAAGGGGCTTGATAGCCTCATAGAGGCCACGAACCCAGCGAGTAAGCTCACGGGGAGAATAGACATAGTGTGGCTGAATCTTAGGCGTGAATCTTGATTGAGATTCAAGATAGAATTGAACCATAGCCTTGGTAAGAGCTTCTGAGTATCCACGAAGCAGTGGCAGAATCTTGAGAACCGCAGAGTTAAAGGTACCATAGATCTGGTTGAGAGAGATCTCGCCGGGGTAGTCAACCATGATAAGAGGAGCATGACGCAAAAATCTCTCGGCCATGGGCGTTCGACCGGCATCCGTTGGAGGATTACAGGCGCCAACAAATTGAATGCGATCAAGAGTGACCCAGGTCTTGTCAGAGGTCCGCCAGAAACCATTCTGCTCGACAAGCTGACGCAAGAATGAGATTGCTCTCTGTGTTCCGTAGCGATCGGGGGCGGGAAGATTGATTTCATCACAGAAGATGACAAGCCAACGACCAATCTGGTTAGGAGACATAACGACACCATTGAGGGTCTTCTTGTATTCGCAGTACTGCTCAAATGTCTTGATCAAAAGATCCGGAGTAGTAGCACTGGAAAAATTGAGACCGACGACCTCCATATTTGGCAGTTTCCTCAGGGCAGCAAACAATGTCATGGTTTTACCAGATCCAGGAGGACCGCAAAGTAGGAGCGGCTTGTGCTCAGCCAGCCAGGAGTACAGCACGTCTTCGTGTCGAACAGTATCCACGGTAGGAATAATCACATCGGTTTGAGTAATAGAGTGTGTATTGATGTCAATTGTCGGGACCTGCGATTGCCAGCTAACCCATTCAGATTTAGGCAGAGTAACATCATAGTCGATGAGAGACGAGTCGCCCTCTGGTGGAAGATCAATCGTTGTCATGCCAGTCACAAATTGGCCAAATGCCTTGCGGTCAGTAAGCGGGCAATCGCCAGTGAAAGACCAGACCAACGTTAGCAGAAGCTTTTTGGAGATATACGATTCAATTTGCTCCGAGTCAAGAGGGAAGTCAACATGTTGGATATTATATTCCAACACATTACGGCAAGCTTTATTGAGCAGGCTGAACAAGGTGTTGAGAGCACGGATGTCCGTGAAATCCATGATGTGGTTGTAATTTTTGGCCTCGTCAAGAGCTTTGAGAACAAGGTCGTCGGTCTCCAAGTGCTGCTTGAGGACGGTGGAAAGCATGTCCTGAGTATCTTGAGTCTTGACCACAGCCGATCCAGCAGGAGCGCTATCATCGTCTAAATCTTCGAATGTCTGGGTCTTAAGGCCTTCAACATAGTTGTTGATCATCATAGAAGGAGTAACAGTATCGGCATTAAACCACACCATACCGCAACGACTGACGGTGGCAAGCGTTGCGTACTTCAGAGTCTCGACTTCAAACATGATGCGGACATTTGGAGGAAGATTAAGACGCTCTCCATTAGGCAGAGTCAGGAGCTTATTGTCATCTAGAACACTGTTCAAGTTCTCAACCCACTCAGGATCGACATCACCATCGAACACAATCCAGTGGCGCTTGCTGTCTTCTCCACGAAGGTTGTCGACAATCTTACGCAGAATACCAGTGAAAAGACCATCGGTCCATTCACGAGTAGTGTTGTCCAGATTGCCGTAGAGAGCTTCTTTGGACATGACTTTGGAGTCAATAATGTGAGAGACGCCTTCGACACCCTCAATGCGCTGCATGGCTTGAAGCAATATCTTCCAAGCAGAAGACTTTCCAGATCCGGATTTACCAACCATCATGACACCATGATGAATACTCTGGATCTGATACAGTTGAAGAGCTTTGGTAATCCACATATCGCTGTCCACAAAGTGTTGCTCATGGGCAATATCCCGAATAGCCTGAGTAAGCTTCTCATAGTTGGCGGGGACATACTCGACGCCAGGGAAGTCTTGCAATTGGATTTCCAGCATTCGGCTAACATCCTCCTTGACCAACTTGGGGGCGATTGTCTCTCGCAAGCTTTGGACGATGATCTGTGGCTCAATGATCTCGTCTGGGCCGAGATCTCCATTGGAGTTGGCAAGGCGGGCGCGCTTGAGGCCTCCAGAACTGACAAGTACACTTTTCAAGGCACGAAGGCCAAAGTCATAATGCGCTTGCTTAGATAGTTGAGAGGCACAGTGATCGAAGAAAGGCACAGTTTGCTTCGACAAAGGTTTGGCTTGCTTGAAACCTTGAGAGAAAAGCATGACTTCGGTAATAAGCTCCTTGTCGGGTTTGGACATGGCAACACTGCGGAACAGCTTCTTCAGGTTGTCTGGCAAGTTTGAACGACCGGCATAACCAGGATTCATGGTTATGAAGATGCCAGTGTTTGAATTGACGGCCAACCGCCGACCGACCAACTCAATCTGAGATTTGTCGTCCTCTTCGCCCTTGCGCAGACCGATCTGGATATTTTGAATCTGCTGAGAAACTGCAGACAAGATTCTTTCCTCGAGACGATTGAACTCGTCAAAGCAACCCCAGGCACCGACTTGGCAGATGCCGAGGAAAATACGACCCATAGCTTGGAAGTCGAAAGTGTCATCGCAGCAGAATACCAAGGTGAAACGGCCAAGCTGAAGACCCAGTGCCTTGACTGATTCGGTCTTTCCGGTACCTGCAGGACCATAAGGAGAACCACCAAGTCGCTGACATAGAGCTTGAGTGAGAGTGAGGAAACAACGATCCGTAAGAGGCGTACGAACCAGGCGCTCGGGCACGCCCAGATATTCGAAACCATAGTTAAGCTTCGCATTGGCCATATGAACATAAAGGCGCTGTAAAAAGTCTCCCTCGGGTAGGTATACATAACGCATTTGCAGTAGCCACAGGTGATGAGTTGGAGTGGTGGCATTGAACTGGATGAGCTTGGAGATGGTATCGCGTTGATGCACAAACTCCGTAATCATGTGCTCGCACTTCTTGCGGGTAATAGCATCGAGCTCTCCGAGCACAGTGGCAGCGAGCAATTCGAGTATCCTGACTTCAGAGTCATACAACGACTGAAGATTGCTACCGCCATCTTCCAGGGACTTCTGCACTGCATTGGTCCATACCACTTGGCTGGCCAAGACAACGATCTGAGCAGGATAATTTGCTAGGAAGTCACTGAATGCAGTGCGATCCACCTCGGTATTGTTGTAGAGAGTGTCAAACTGCTCAATAGCTTCGGCAAGTAGCTCTGCTAGTGTCAATTTCATATTGTTCTCCAAAGCCGAGAGCCAATCGTTGATTCGAGGAGTCTTGACAAGATTGACCTCCCGTTTCAGTCGGACTTCTTCTCCCTCCTTGGAAGTAAAGCCAACAATGTTGTTGTCATCGTCCATCAAAAGGCCTGATAGACCGGCGAACATCTTCTTGAAGTGTTTGGCGACTCGGAAGATATCATTGCTGTTGCCGATAATCTCCAACAAGTCCTCGTCACCAACAAAATAGAAGCGAGGGAAGGAAACACGCTCGCGCTCGAGGTATTCGCCAAGAGCCTTCTGGATCTTGTTGAGTAGTTCGGCCAATCTTTCCAAGGATTTTTGAACGCCATTGATAGCAAGAACGTCCAAAACAAACGGAGATTTGTAGACCTTTTTCATAACAGCAAAGAACTCCGAATTGATATTCTGGAAGCGGCTCGATTCTAGAGGAAGAAGGTGTTTGATGTCAGCATTCCCCGTAAATACACCCTCTAGATAGACCCATTGTCTCTGGACATCGATCCAAACATCGAACAAGACATGCACACGGTTCAGTTTGTCCTCCCATGCCGTAGCTTCTTCCTCAAACTCCTTGTAGTATGGGGAATGCCTCATGGCTTGGAGTGAGTTCAAGTTTTCACTACATTTAGCAAACAGATCATCAAAGCCACGGATAAGACGGCACTTGTTCTGGTAGTTGACTAGATCCAGCGAGTAGTTCTGCCAGGTTTCACGAACTGACTTCAAGAACTCCTCCAGTGCCATCTCACCCTGAGCCTGAGCGATGATGTCGCGAATAACATTTTCGCTGGCCACAAGTTGTAAATCCCAGACATCACCCAGAGTGAGTGAGATGAGGGAGAATCTCTTCCCAGGCTTGAGAGACTTGTAAATCTTTTGCCAGTGACGTTCCTTGACAGCCTCTGACTTCATATCGGAAAGGAGAGAGTTGACTTTGAGAAGCTGTCGCAAAACGTTTTGGATGTGCTCAAACGCAGCGTATTGTCTCATTCGACTCGGCATTTCCTTTGTCATCTTGATCAAACCATCGAGTGCTTGTCTGAGCTTTCTGGGTTGCACGCTGGTCCACAAACCATCACGCAGGTCGTTTAGACTCTTCCAGATTGTAGATAACGCAGCCCAAACAGACATGAAGTCTTGGACTTCTTCGAGTATGGCGGGCAGAGAAGACTCGGAACTAGCAGGAAGATCAAGGGCCTCCTTAGCTTTAGAGACCATCTCGAATTCAGATTGGAGGGATTCGAGACGAGACTGGAAAGAGCTCAGCATGCGAGATGCTTCATCTGGGGGAATAGTGCCAGAAACGGGCTTCTCATCATTCCACTGGGAAATAACTTCGGTGATCTTGCCATTGATGACACGGTCCTCGGCGGTGATCTTTGCACGTAACCCCTCGGTTTGGTCGTGCACAATCTTGCTCTTGCGGGCGAGCAGCTCATTCAGGGCCGCCCATTCGCCATCGACATTTTCAACATGAAGCCAGTCATTGGGAAATTGATAGCGTTGGCGGGAAAGGGTGGTTTGGCCCTGACGAAAGAGATCAACCTCAGGTTCCCAGACACGAGTCTTACGTTTACATTGTTGCACGATTGTAATGAAGGAGACAGCATGAGCTGTAGAAGAGGCTTCTAGGGTCTGACCCTCGAGGTCTCGGCGAGCGGAGGCTATTTCCGAATGGATTTCTCGCATACGACCGCCAAGTTTAGCACCAAACTTCTGGAGAATTTCGTGCTGCCATTGATCATACTTGGCATTGACTCTGGTCTGAACCTGCTCGTAATCGATTCTGATGTTACCGAAAGACCGGCTAACTTCAGAAGTATCAAACGTGGCACGACTCTTCCGAATCTCCTGGAGAAGCTGGAGCCACTGGGACAGGTCATCCCCGAGGATCTCATAGACCTGTTCAGACTGCAGGTCCCAGAGGGATTGGAACTGTAACCATTTGTCGACGTACTCGGAAACATCCTTGAGTCTGGCTCCAACCACAGCGTAAACCTGACTGAGCTCCTCGCTGCAGTGCCGTGGGAGATCAGCAAAACATGCCTCCGATAGGCTAACGTTCTGTACCTCAATCGAAATTTGGTAGCGGGTGGCTTTGATCTTCTCCAGGTTGCAGATAACTCCCAGCCATGCGTCAAAATGAGACAACCAGCTTGCACGCGCCCACTGAAGAGGAGGGTCAAGGTGAAGGACCTGGTTCTTCATGGAAATTTCATGGAATAGTTCTTTGAATTCAATGTTATACATCGTCGACTGCGGCTCGCCAGACGAAAAAGCAAATGTTTGCTCACGGCGAGATTCTTGGAAAATGGCAATCCACTCGCGAATAGCACGGTGAAGACGCTCAAGAAGAATGGCTTCAATTTTTCCATTGAGCTCCGAGACCCAGAAGCCCAAGTTCACATAGTTCTCAAGATTGAGCTTATCAACGGCAATCTGAATGGCATCCAAGCGTTGTTTGAAAGCAGTTGAGTCGTAGGAACAAGTCTTAAGTTCGTGAATCGATTTCTGAATGTTCTCGTTGATAGAGGATAACACAGCTGTTTTAGACTGGAGGACGGATGCCGAGCCGGCAAACTCACGAACAAAAAGAACATGTTTGCTTTCGGTACGGTTTGGCATAGAAGTATCGACAGCTCCATTGGCCATCGCGGATTGCTTAACGTGGAGCTCATAGGAATGAATAAATGATTCCCAGCGAAGGGGGACACCTTTCTGGATCAGAGCCTGAGAATCGTTCACGTAGCCGTTGAGAAGAATGGCAACATCAGACATCGAGACAATCGTGCGGTAGGTTTGCAGCAAAGTTCGAACACTCTCCATCAAGCTAATAGCGTAAGGATAAACTCGCTTGGCCTCACGGGAGATATTATTAACAGCGTGCGGGACTTGGAAGTTAAGCCAAATGAGGTTGCGCACTTCCTTGAACAAGGAAATGACCTGGGCATCAAAGTTGACTGTCAGCTCCAGTGTGTTTCCAGCTGCACGGTTGCGTGTAATACTAAAAAGCCGGCCAGAAATGCTGATATTCCGTCGTTGAACATCATAAAGCCAGGATTCAAAGACAGGCCGAGTATCAAGTTTCTTGCGGAACAGGTTGCTTTCAGCTTGGAGCTTCTGGCCTTCAGTGTGCAAGTGCCAGTCATCTCCCAGAACGTTCTCTACCTTCCGCATATAGCCATCCAGCTGCTTCTCAATCTGTCGAGCCCAAATGATGGCGCCGGCAATTGGGGGGAGATCCCGAAGCTGGGCCATGGCGTGGGCTTCAGAATGGCCATATTGCTGCTTGAATCGCTCATGAAGGGCTGAAATGTCCCGCTTGACATTGTCAATGAGCTGTGTCTGGTACTCACCGATAGCACCTCGAATCTTTGGCCGCACGAGAAGGGCATTAAATTTGGAGAAGACACGGAACATCTCGTTGGCATTCTTGGCTGTTGCAAGTCGATCACGAAGACGAGCAATAATGGAGTTTTCAACGCGAGAAGTACGTTCACTGTAGGCAATCTCAGCCTGCTCCCAGGTTCGAGACCCTTCTCGAGAGACATCCATTACGTCAACATGCTTGAGAGCAGCGTAGGCGTGAGATACTTCTTCGACCGCATCGACATCACCAATTTCCTCCACAATTACGGGCTCTTCGGAGTCGACGCCAGCGCCGGCCTCTGTGTATGAAGAGTCTTTTGATCCAAGGACATTAATGATGGTCTTCTGAAGCTGCTCATGATTGACTCGGAAAGTATCGATATACTTTAACCGCTCACGAGTCCTCTCATGCCGATTGTTGATCTTGATTGGAATAAATTTCTCGTTGCGACGTCTGGTTGAATCACGGGCGACATTTGTGAATTCCTTGAGGTTCTCATCCCAGCTGCGCCAGATAGCTTGGGTCGTCTTCATCAAAGAACGGAATTCTCGGTAATCCAAATGCAGAATTTCGGTACCCTTGATAAGCTCGTGAATCTTTTTGTTCAGATCACCAGAAATAGCTTCAACAAGGGAAAGAGCGCGCTTGATGGGATACGGACAAATCTTCAGCTTTTTGTTGAGATGATTGAATATCAAGCCAAGAGACTCTTGCACTTTCTGTAGGGAAGTGGCAGACAAAAGCTCATCCAGTGGGAAATCTCGCATTAGTTGATTGTACTTCTGGACCAACTCCGTGGCGTCTTTCAGCCCAGTGTCCGCCACGAAACTGAGGGTCGGTTGATACCGCTTCGCGTGGCGCAGAATGTCCATGGTCAATCGTACCCCGTCGCTTGCCAGCTGGACCTCAATACCCTCCAGAGCAGTTTCGAGAGCTAACCAGAAGTTTATCTCCAAGGATGCTGATTCACCATCTGGTTCTCTGCTCATCTTTGTGATCGTCTGGATGGATCGAATCCAGCCATTGACAGTGTTTTGAACGCTGTTTGTGAAGCCACTGTTGTCCAAGACAGAGGAGGGAATCAATTCCACAGTGGCCTTGATGCCTTTTGCCTCGGCCTCCTTCAATGCAGCCTGCACGACCTCATGAAGTGGCAGGCTCAACACCGGAATCTCCACATTCTGCTGCAGATGCATCAAACCCAGCTCCAATTCAGCAAATTTCTTCTTTGTCCCCGGAATGCCCGTCTTGACCTCCACATCACTCCTTTGCTTGCCACCAGGAGCTGTCTCCTGGTTGCGAGTATAGGCTTCGAAGTAAGGGCTAAGACCGTGATGGAGCAGCAGGTGCAGGATTTGGTAGGGCGACATAGACGTCCCCTGTTGCGCCTGCGGATTGTGAAGAGCAGAAACACCAGGCAGATTCATGACTTGGATCTGCGAAGCTATCGGAAGGGCGGGATCGATTGGGGCGGGACGTTTGATGAAGGCTACTGATGCGACAGTAGTGGAGGCGGAGGACATCTCGTTGGAGAGAATATAGACATATTGTACCTTAGGCTCTGTTTGGGATGTACCGTCAGATATATATATCTCAAATCCGAAACACAGCAGGTGGGACTCACCGGCACCTTCAGCATCCTCGCTTGTCTCGTCGCTGGCGAAAATATCCTTCTGGACATAGAGCGCAACTTGTGGCTCGGAAGCGAAGCGCAAACATCTTTGCGCGGTCTCGTGGTACCTTGTGTCTGATAGCAAGCTCCCAGCACTCTCCAAATCGGATTTTAAAGCACCCAGTGTCACCTGAAGTACTTCGGTCAGGTACTGAACGACCGCCTCGGGATCTACCAAAGCTGCCACGTCTGGCGTGGACACACCATTCGACAGCTCTGGAATGGCGACCTCCATCCTGTTTCCAACTTTATTGCGACTGGCTCGTAGCGGTCATCGATGGTTGAAACTGGAGCAGCGCGATCGGAGCGGGAGGAATCAAAGTGTTGACGAAGTTCGCGTCAGGCCGGTGAACGTCGAGGAAGATGACGTCTTCAGCGGTAGCCAAGGTTCGAATGGTAGAAGAGAAAGAATATAGATTAGGTAAAAGGGCTCAGGAAATGAAGTCACCGTTGAGAAAAGGGAAAAAGTGTCGGATGATGGAGATAACAGATACGCGGTGTTTGTTCGCTGTACTTCAGGGGATGCGCCAGTCCAAATTAGGGATAGCGTGTCACGCCCAACCATGTGACGGCCTGGTTCCTGACCCGTTCCACGCTTCTTTGACTACTTTGTACTTTCTGACTACACCTTGGTTGTAGGGCTACCCGATTGAACAACACTGTCCACCGCGGCTTAAGTTTTAAACCTGCATGTTCTATTTCCTTCTCCTTACACGTCTGCTTTCTTGTAAAGTATGCAATAGAGTGTTGTAATTCTTCTTTTTTCCATTCAAACTGCAGTGCCAATCTCCGTATCCTTCTCTTTCTGCTCGACACTCCTGCAGTCGCAGCAGTACTTCAGTTGAAATTCAGATTTCGGCAACTCCTCAAGAACCTCCAAGGCTCTCTCGCTGGCTCGGACTTTAGCATATCGGCTTGACGTCCCTGTCGCTTCTCCCACGGGTATACCGTGGACCATTACAGCAGCGAAAATCCTTGGTGGCTCCGAGTCTACCACCGGCACCTCGCCAGACTTGAGGCAGTAGCTCATGCATCCGTAGAAATTGGTCATTCTTTGGTGTAGAAAAGTCTACAATTCATTTAGTATCTATGACATAGCTTTATTCACAGGCCCCTCTGGCTTACTGTTGGATGGCGGTTGGCAAATGTGTCGTAAAGAGACATGTCCTCAAAAAAAGGCTTCACATGCATAGAGAAGAAATCCTCGATCACAGTGTAATTAAGATCGGAGTCGATGAAAGCGGCGCCAAGGTATGCTTCAAGTATGTCTGGAAGACACTATACTCATAGACGGGTTAGCCTGATCTAGCTATGGGCTCCATGCCGTCTCGAAAGGAGGTATACCTTTGGGGAGTCCGCTATATGGAGCCAGTAGTCCATTTCTCCTCCACATTCTGCTTCAGCAAGTTGAATGTCCTCTACGTATTGATTCACTTGCGATTGAATGGGGCCAACACTGTATTGAAGGTGCCGATGAAGTCCTAACTTCACTGCCAAGGCCCCAAGGAACTTATTTGACACCATCGCCATCTTTTTATTTGAATTAGATTTGTTGGAAACGTTTCCCAAAAAGAACATATACTGACTTTGTGCTCGGTGAGCCACTGCGGATCTTTGTCCGGAAAACGATGGAACAATTCCTCGACACACGCCATATCGAGAAGAGAGTCACCCAAGAACTCCAGACGTTGATAGCAAGGCACCTTGCGTTGTGACTTCGGAATGGATGGGTGTGTAATCGCGGATCGCATCAGACGCGGATAATTGAACCTATATCCCAGATCCTCAAATATCATTTGAGAAAGATTGCGTTCGTATCCATCGGAAGGCTTGCTCTGCCAATCCGGCTTTTTGTAAGAGGCTCGATAATCTGCCCAGGATGCTGCTGTATGTTCCTGACCATTGACGAATATCGTAACGGCCTGCACAGCCATATCAAATCGATGATCTTTGCCGCCCGAAAGCAAGGAGGCTCCTATCAAGGCTTCACAGACATCTGCAATCGTTTTATCAGCGAGATTATGACTACTTTCGGAGGGCACATGCTTCATGAAATCCCGGCCTTTAACGAGGTTGAGACCTGGGGGAAACCACATATGCCTATATTCCCGAGTTAGTCAAGCTGGAAACAGCCTTCTCGAAAATCGCTGACGTACCGAGAAAAGCTGCGGCTGCGAATGTATTCAAAAAGTTGAATGCCTCGGGCTGTGTTGAACAAGTTCTGATTGCAGATCAAGCACATCCGATTAACATGATAGTCAAACTCGTCATCGTCTGGTCTCTTGCAGAACAGAGCAATTGAAGTTGCCATCTTGAGAAATGTGTCACCTAAGAATTCCAAACGCTCGTAGTTCTTCCCCATTCCACGTTGCACATGAATTTGCAAGGCTCTGTGCTCTTCGGTATTGTCGGAATCTTTGGTGAAAGCTTCCAACGCATAGCCCAGATCAATCTCCAGTCCCAGCTTTTGGCATCCTTCTAGTACAATAAGATAGGACTCTAGCCTGCTTATAATGGCGGGAAACGCCAAGCATGAAGTAACAGTTGTTGAATTGATCTATACTTGCCGTCAACAACCGGCAGTAGTTAATTAGGCTTTGGGCTTTTGGGGTGGGAGTGAAACATACTGCTGAAATAACCATTGCTTGTGGACAGATGACGCATAAGGGATTCTGATAGTCCTCTATCCCAGGTGCCTTGTCAAGAAGATTTCGTCGCAAGCAAATGACTTCTGCATGGAGAACTGGCTGGTTCCAGTTGCAATGATCTAGGAAAAACCTTCGTGAGTTCCTCCCAAGGGACACTGAATAGTTCAAGATATCCTGCATGTATTTTCTCCATGGCACATGTGCAGGAGGGGGGTTTGAAGGATGTAAGTATGGGTCAACAGCAATTGGAAAGTAGCGGTATTTTCCATTGAAAGGATCATACAGTAGCCGATCCAGAAGGGACTCCGCCTTCATACTCTCTGACCATCTCCACTCTTTGTGTGTATGAACGAAGTATAGCGCAGCCCAGTCTATTACTGTTCCAACCGAAGCTATAGAACTGATAATATCTAGCTCTGGATGAGCGGGGGCAAGCCAGTACGGAAGCTCTTCCGAATTCGTATCGAACTTTTTGTGGAAAATATCATTGAAAACCGAGAGTGTGAAGTCAGTCAACAAGCCCAATTTTTCTGGGTTTATGGAAAAAGAAACTTCAATACGGTGTGTCTGGACAACAGTCTCGACGCCGTCATCCAAGTAGATGGGGAAACTTGGAAATTTCGGAAGTCCTTTTCGGGTCAAGAGGACCAACTGTTCATGGTTTCGGACCAAAGAGCTTGATGGAACAAAACCAATAACCATGGCGTAAAGTGAAACTGGAATAATCCCTTTCTGGTAAGACCAGATCAAAGGCTTACAACGCATAGGATACTTCTTTCTCTTCTTCAAAGCAATCGCCAGTCTCGCATTTCTCATCGCAGGTAGACGCTTGTGATAGATCGACCGGAAATGATCATCTAGAAGATTTTTCTTTCGAAGCAATATGCAAGTATCAAATGCTGCCGACTGTTTAGCTGCTCCCTTGCTATGTGCCACTTTCCCAATCAAGCCGTGGATAGGTGAGCTCTCCGGAAGAAGGACCTCACAAATGAATTTCTCGCCCACTGAAGCCATAAAATAATGGACTTGCGGGCAATCATTGTTTTGACTTTGTAACGATGAGGCATAACGTCCAAGGATGGTAATAGCATGTCGAAAGGTCAATTTGGCACCTGTAGACGGAATAGTGTAGATCTTGGTTCCTTCGTCCTTCCGTAGAACTGGATTCAAGTCATGGTCAAGCCCTCTCAACAGCCTGTCTTCGGGAAGAGTTTGACAAAATGTTTGCATAATTATCTGAGCTTCTTGGACTTCTTTGACTCTTTGTTTTTCTGCTTCGTTCCCTACTTCGATCATAGTCGCATATGTCGAATTTGCATGCCTTGCACGACCTCGGCTCTGTACGTATTGGATAAGCGTTTGGTAGATATTAAACCTCACGACGAGATTGCAATCTGGGATGTCCAGTCCCTCCTCAGCAACAGATGTAGCAAACAAGCAGTTTATTTCGCCCTGTCGGAACTTTACCAGGGCAAGGAATTGATGTCGGAAGGTGATAGACCCTGTCATATCCGAATTTCTAATCCCGATCAGAATGCCTGGACGAAGGTTGGGCATCTTCAGAAGTTCAAATAACCGAAGAAGCATCTTCGCAGTGCTTCGCCGCTCTGTGAACACAATACATTTCTTCTCCTCTGACGTTCGAAAATGATAAGAGAGCTTCTCTGACAGAAGCTCAACTTTGGAGCTGAGCTGGCCGGGCTCTGAGGGGTGTCGAAATGGGTAGGTCTTTACCAGATCGCACACTTCCCTTACTTCGATGATACATTTTCGGGCTTCTTCACACTCCTGGGAATCCAGATTGGATTCGTTGTCGAGAATACTTTCAAGTTTAGGCATCACCTCATCCTTGAGCGCCTGCGTCCAAACCTGATCTGCGCACCATGCCCCTAGCTCCGAGCTTGCATTCCATGCGAATCGGAAAACCGGTTCCAGAGCCCTCACCTTATGGAAATTTTGTTCCAATTTGCTGTACAATTCAGTCGCAAATGGTGGACCAAGCTTCTTGTAGGTCCATATCTCTTCCGTTGGGCGTCTCACAACCTGGCTTAACAAGTCCTGATGAGAGGTTGTTGCGATCCGACTGTCTAGAAGGGCCTCTAACTGGCTATTGACTATAAATTAGCCTTGTATCCTTTTGTTTCCACCTCGCCGCTTTCGTACAACTCACACTGCTGCCTCTTTGCTTTTACGCTTGCAATCGATCGGAGACGCTGTCATACCAAAGATTCTCGGGCGTTCAGATGAATCCACCTTGAGATAAGACTCTCGAATGATACTATTCAATATCAGAAGTCATGTCATTTTGGAGACTCAGAAAATTGCGATATAAGTACTGACCGAGCGTATGGATGGTCCTTCTTCGTATGATGTGCCTCATCAAAAATCAGAAGATTGATCTGGCTCATCTTTGCAAATGCGTTTAGCAAACACTGTGTGAGTATTTCAGCCGTACACACAATCACCATGTTCTTGCGGAGGTACACATTCCAGGTTTCTTGGTCCCAAAGATCAGGACCCATGCTGCCGAATATGTGACCAACATTTTGATTCAGGTTGTTTCGCAGTACAGCGGATTGCTGGAAGACAAGGGTAACGCTATCAACCTAATTTTCCATTAGCTGCCTTGCTGCTTGTATAGAATAGCCGATATACCAAAAAGAAGGCCACACGAGGGGCTTTGCCCAGGCCCCTGTCAATTAGCTCCTGCTCCAATATATGCTTCAGAAGGAGCACTGCGATCAAAGTCTTTCCGGCACCTAGAGAACTTAGCATGAAAATATTTGGTTTAGGAAGCAGTTTCAATACCAGTGTCCAGTACTGCGATGGTGTTCTGCGCCTTTGCTCGCTCAAATAGCTCAATCTGGTACACTCGTGGGTCCAGATTTCTTCCTCCGATGTCCTGCTTCGCGACTAGACGAGCAACAGAAAGCTCATCATCGGGTATTTCAAGCAGTTCGCGCTTTTCAACTTTAAGGTCATCGCATAGTGCATGTTCCGTAAGCCTGTGGTACGGTTAGTCAGTGTATTATGAGAAAGGAAAAGCTAGTTATCGCGACTGACAATGCTTCAAATTGGGCATTTTGAGTTCTTCTTTGATTGAGATTCTGTAGGTTAAGGAGATTATTCTCTCCTTCTTCTTCTTCTTCTTCTTCTTTCTTCTCTTCAGACTCATCTGAAGAGTATGCTTGTTGGCCCTCGTTGGGCTTATGAGATGCCATGGTACCCGTGTTATCACACTTTCTGGTTGACTAGTCCTTTTTGTTGGCTATGCCGTACTGAACTGCACGAAAGATGACAGCTTTCCAGTATTTAAGAGAGGTATGAAAACATCATGCTGTCAGCGACTTTTTTTTCAGAGGAAGGTGTTATGCAAAACAAATCTTCGTTGTGATGAAAACGGAGTGAGAGGTGCAAATAGCCTTTGGGTTGAGACATATATATCTCTCATCGCAGACCTTCTCTCACCAGAGATCAAAAACTCAATTGCCCCCATACCGCTCCCATCATCTCTAGACTACAAAAAATATAGAAATTAGTAAATATATTGACTCAAGTGTAGGTTTCCTCCTTGGATTCTTTTTACCGAATTCACCATTGTGATGGAATACACACTCATTGATGGAGGGCGATAAGATCGAGCTTGCCTTATCGCTGCTTATCGCTTCGCCAAAACTCAGGCCAAAATCGCGGGGACACAATACTCAATCTGAAAGCCCCGTTCACCTTCTATTAGTTGCCAGCCATCATGGAGGAATCACAAAGCCTTAGAGAATTGTTTACATCGGCCCGCGAAGCCAAGACTGCGCTGGAATCAAGAGGGGACACCAACACCGAGGCCTACCTTGATGCTGTCAATGCGGCAATTGCCAAGTTCCAAGAATGCCAGCGACAAGTTAGCATTCTGTCGCTGTTTAGTTCAAATGAGTCGCTGGATGATGTATCAACAGGCGATATCCAGTGAGACCCTAAGGACTGTCATTGGGATTCCCATCCGGCTAATCTCGACTGCTTAGGTACATGACATTGGAGTATTACCTTGCTGAACTCATGCAGCGAGGTCCCACCACTGATCGCGAATCGGTCCTTCGTCGCGCGCTTGAACAATACGAACAATTTCTCACCCGCCTGGATGAATATCAGTTATTGCCCACTGGAGATAAGAAACTACTTGAACGATACATGGCCAACCCCTCCACCTTTACCCTTGCGCCGATGAACGATGCCGCAGCTCGGCGAGATGTCAAAGTGAGACGTTTCAGAGAAGAAAAAGAGCTTAAGCAGAAAATAGAAGTGAGAATGATCCTCCACTTTCCAAGGATAAAACCTCTTGTGCGCCCGCTAATGAGTGACAAAGTATCTCGCCCGAAACGAAGCACGACTCCAAAGCGATGACGATGATACCCGGCAACTGTATCTAGCCGAGCTCCAACTCTATACGCACCAAACTTTTCAAGCATTAGACCTACTAATGCAAGAGTTGTCTATGCTTTCAGCTATACGGAGCACGCCTGCACTCATACAATCTCCTCCAGATGACCCCAGGCAACGCAGCAACCTGGGCGGTTCAAACTATTCAGATCGACTGGACCCGTCTCTAGCACAATTACTTAAGGGCGGGCGAAACGGACCCCTATTGAACAGTAAAGGCAAGCCTATGCAACCTTTTACGCTGCTCGATCGTCGGACGCAGCTACAACAAGGCGTCTTCCGATCTGGCCATAATCTTCCGACTATGACGATTGACGAGTACCTTGAGGAAGAAAAGCGACGAGGCAATTTCCTGCAGGGAGGAGAGCAGTCTGGAATACAGCCGGAGATTGACGAAGATGATCTTGACAAGGCGGATGAGGAGACCATGAAAGCTCGAGCCTGGGATGAATATGTGGAGGCGAATCCCAAAGGAGCTGGCAACACCCTCAATAGAGGGTGAAATGCCTTCGATCCATCATAATCCTTTATCATGCGTAATTTTTTGATTCTTGGATGTCTAGGTATAAGTGGTGTTACTGGGTTCAAGGTACATTGGGTTTTCTGTATGCAGGATCAATGATGGACAGGGCCGAATAGAATACATGGTTAAGTTGAGCTATGATAACAGACGCGAAAAGATAATAATCCAATTCGTTCATATTCAACAGGGTATCTGTCGTAATTTGGTTTCAGAATCTACGAGATGAACTTTTAAATCAGCTGGAGAGATTCTCCTTGACCACTTTATTGCGCTGAATCTCCTCCAGGATGGCTCCGGCGCCGTCGGCCACCAATGCATCAGCCACTGTCACGCCAAAGGCCTCTGCACTGTCGGCGGAATCGACATCGCCATCGATCTCCACCTCTGCACATTGCTTGCCGTCGACACTGACCACCACGGCCCGCATGCGCAATTTTTTCGAGTCGGCATTCTGAATCCACTCTGTCTCAACACCCAACGGGGCACTGCAGCCTCCCTCAAGGGTTCGCAGCAAACTGCGCTCCGCCAGGCAGGCAAATGTGGTCTCTTCGTGACCAATCTTATCCAACATCTCCTTCAAAAAGGTATCTTCCTTGCGAATTTCAATACCGAGGGCGCCCTGTCCGACCGCGTAGAGCATGCCGTTCTTCGAGTCGAGATACTGTGTGATGCGATCCTGAAGCTCCAGACGCAAGAGACCGGCTGCCGCGAGGATGGCACAGGTGTACGGGCTATCTTCCGCGTCCAGCTTCGCCAGTCGGGTGCCAATGTTACCGCGGATGTCCTGGACCTTGAGATGAGGGTATTTTCGGGCCAATTGAGCGGTTCGGCGGATAGAGGAGGTTCCGACCACGGAGCCCGCGGGGATTTCCGCCAGACTCTTATACGGCAGCCCTTGCTTCACAACTAGCACATCTCTGCTGTCTTCGCGGGGCATCATGGGACCCAGGGTGCAAGTGGAGGGGAGGAGGGTGGGGACATCTAGGACGAGCGCGGGGGCATGAGCACATTGTACTGAACGAATAGCAGAAAGACCAGGGATCCTTGGAGAAAGCGCTCACCTTTGAGAGAGTGGACGATGAAATCAACCTGACCGTCGATCATCAATTCCTCCAGCTCTTCGGTCCACAGGTTCTTGGTGGTAAAATCGCGGAGCGCGATTTTAGTGTTGAGATCGCCCGCGGTCTCTTTGGAGAAAATCTTGAATTCATAGTCGGGATGGGTATTCTTGAGAGCAGCTTGCACCAGATCGGTCTGTTCTAAGGCGAGCTTGGATTTCCGAGTGCCGATGGTGAAGGAGGTCTTGGTGGGGGCGGGGGTCGTCATCTTGGAGGAGGGGCTAGTATTGATGACCAGCAGAGGAGGAGGGAGGGGGAGACGGGAGAGAGGATCAGGTAATGGCAAGACCAATCAGATAAAAGGCCTCGTGGAGGGGAGGAAAGAAGCCGAGGAAATTCGAGGGCAAAAGTCGAGACGAGCAGGCGATTCCGTGGAGCAATTCCGATCACGGGACACGGCGGAGTCTCCCAAAAGGTGGCAGAGGGAAGCTGGAAGATGGAAGTTGGACGAATTTCGGGATCAAGGCTGACGGAATATTTGCCAATTACGTCGATCATAGAGACGAGGTGCATTAGACAGGCGCATTGTCCTCTAGTTCCTTTTGACGGTGTACTCCGTATATAGTCATATGATAATACTGCAATGCTATAGTCCCTTGTATAGAGAAGTCGATTGCAGTTACAAGAAGTGCGCAGACTATCGCCCCTTTCACCCTCCCACCCCCCACCCTCTCTCTTCCTAGATGCTGTAAGAGAATAGTGATAGTAGTCTTGTCGTAGTGGTATTAATGGTGGTGGGAGCAGTGCTAGAGTAGTGTCCGAGGAGTGGTAGTGGGCTTGAAGGTGTTGGAGAGGGAGAGGGAGAAAAAGGAGGGAGGTTGTATATTTATTGGCTTCGTGAAACAGCTACGGGACAAATCATCATCGTTCATCGACCGCCCGTTTTCTTTTGAAATGGACCTCTGTACTCCGTAGACCATACGGAGATGTATCAGGCGATGACCCAACTTCCCCAGTGGATCGGCAGCGCTGGCCAGTTAAACACTAACCTCGGCTTCGGGACGTGGAGATTACGAGACATGCGACACGCCCTTATCGTTTCCCCCGGACTTCTGCTCCCCCCAAACTGGCCGACCCTTCTGGAACCACTTCGCCGCCTCCTCTTCTCTTCTCTTCTTCTCCTCTTCTCCCTGCTTCACACCCTTTGGTGAGATTACTCAACCTTCATCCACGACTTTTACTACCACCCTCTTACCTTCCTTTCTGCGTTCCCCGACTCTTGACTCAAGCGGCGGTTCTCCATTTCGCCACCGCCGTTGTCTGATTCCTCAAGATGGGGTCTAACAACGGGAGAACTACCAAGCTCCCTCTGGTCCCCCTCGCCAAGGGGTTTGTCCTCCTTCCCGGTGTGACGCTACGCATCCCAGTGTCCAACCGTCCAGATCTCACAAACCTACTGTCGTCATTGGTCGACCGGCCTCAGAAGCGCGACGGCAACTCGATCACCTTTGGCTGTGTCCCGTTGAACTCGCCATTTCTGAGCCACGATGGACAGCAGCTGTTGGAGGGTGATGACTCTGATGAACAGAGAAAGGAGGAGTATGACGCAATTGATGCTGGACAAGCGCGCAAGGATGACCTCTTTCGATATGGCGTTGTCGGGAAAGTGATCGGCGTCCAGCGCCGGGCCTACGCCGAACCCTTCCTCTTGGTGCAAGGTTCACAGAGGTTTACCATCAAGAAAATCCTCAAGGATCGCCCGTTCTTTGAGGCAGAGATATTGCTTCACGATGAGAATAGTGAGTTCTCTCCCCACTCCCTCTATAGCTACTCCCTGATATCAAACAATCATCGTGACTTACACCCCGCCCGTCTTCCAGCTGCGTCTATTCACGGCGACTCGGAAGCAGCTGACCTGTTCCAACAACTGCGGCAGCTATCCCGTGAGCTGTTGACTCTGTTGCGCCTCTCCTCGTTGCTGTCAGCTGCCTCGACTCGCCTATCACCTTTGGTGGCTCGGAAGTTTGAACTTTATATCTCCAAGACCGAATTATCACAAGCGGGGAAACTCGCTGATTTCATGGCCGACGTTTCGGATGCAAGCTTCGAAGAGAAATTACGGATTCTGTCTTCTTTCGATGTAAAGGAACGACTGGAGCGCGTGGTGGAAATCTTGACCCGCCAAGCCCAGCATATTAAGAGCAGCGTTAAGGTGACCTCCATCACCACAACATCCTTCCCGCCAAACTCCAATGTGGATATTGGCCAGATTGACCCGCGGGAGCGTGAAATCCTGGCACGGCGTGCGATGCAGGGCCTGTCGGGTCTTACACCCCCTGGGCCTGCGGGCGGGCGTGGTAATGATAACGAAGAAAAAGAGCCAAATGAGGTGGACGAACTTCAGCAGAAACTCAATGATGCCCAGCTGAGCCCGGAGGCTCGGAAAGTCGCGGATAAGGAGCTGAAGCGCCTGCGCAAGATGAACCCCGCTAACGCCGAATATGGGGTTTGCCGTACTTATCTTGAGAACTTGGCGGAGATTCCGTGGGCCAAGGTGACCGAGGATCAACTTGGTCCGGACACACTTAAGCGAGCCCGGACGCAACTGGACGAGGATCATTATGGATTGGAGCGCATCAAGAAGAGACTGTTAGAGTATCTCGCAGTGCTACGGCTAAAGCAATCTACCAACCTCGGTATGGATCGTCAGATTGAGGAACTTACTAAGGATCTGGAAGCCTCATCTTCTGGGGACCTGGAGAAAGACGTTCCACTGCTTTCCGAGCCAGACCGCGTTGCACTGGAGACCCGCCTAGAGATCCTCAAGTCAAAGCGCATGACGGATAAGTCGCCTATCCTATTACTTGCTGGACCACCCGGAACCGGCAAGACCAGCTTGGCCCGATCAGTCGCTGCTTCACTGGGCCGTAAGTTCCACCGGATTTCCCTCGGTGGTGTCCGCGATGAGGCTGAAATCCGTGGCCATCGCCGAACTTATGTTGCCGCTATGCCGGGTTTGATTGTGAATGGACTGAAGAAGGTCGGCGTTGCCAACCCTGTGTTCTTGCTTGATGAGATTGACAAGGTTGGCGGTGCCAACTTCCAAGGTGATCCATCGGCTGCTATGCTGGAGGTCTTGGATCCCGAGCAGAACCACACGTTTACCGACCACTATATCAATATTCCCATCGACTTAAGCAAAGTTCTTTTCATTGCCACCGCCAACTCCCTGGATACCATCCCGGCGCCCTTACTTGACCGCATGGAAACCATCTCTCTGTCTGGATACACCACCGTTGAGAAGCGGCATATCGCTAAACGTCATCTCATTCCCAAGCAGATCCGAGCCAACGGCTTGACTGATGGGCAGGTCAACCTATCTGATGAGGTTATTGATAAGACTATTACATCATACACACGCGAGTCTGGCGTTCGTAACCTCGAGCGCGAGATAGGCTCGATCTGTCGCCACAAGGCTGTTCAGTTTGCTGATGCCGGAGACGCGAATCGCCTAGATGAGTACAATCCATTGGTAACTCTTGAAGACTTGGAAGATATTTTGGGCATCGAACGCTTTGAAGAAGAGATTGCCGAGAAGCAGGGCCGGCCCGGTGTCGTCACCGGTCTTGTTGCCTACTCCACTGGAGGCCAGGGAAGCATCCTTTTTATTGAGGTGGCTGACATGCCCGGAAATGGCCGTGTTCAGCTCACTGGCAAACTCGGCGATGTCCTGAAGGAGTCCGTAGAGGTCGCTTTGACCTGGGTGAAGGCCCATTCATTCGAACTAGGCCTCACCCATGACCCGAACGAAGATATCATGAAGAGCCGCAGTCTGCATGTCCACTGCCCGTCTGGTGCCATCCCGAAGGACGGCCCTTCGGCTGGCTTGGCGCATACCGTGGCGCTCATCTCGTTGTTCACCAACAAGGCCGTCCCGCCGCAGATCGCCATGACTGGCGAGATCTCGCTGCGCGGTCGTGTGATGCCTGTTGGTGGTATTAAGGAGAAGCTTATTGGTGCGCTGCGCGCAGGCGTGAAGACCGTGCTGCTGCCATATCCTAATCGCAAGGACGTCAAGGACGTTCCGCAGGAGGTCAGCGATGGGTTGGAGATTATCTACGTCCAGTAAGTCGTTCTACTACCTTGTTGCGCAATCTGTATTCTAATTTTTATGTGATAGGCACATCTGGGAAGCACTCCGCCACATCTGGCCTGACGCGCACTGGCCTGGCCAGCACCACATGAACTTCGTCGAGAGCCGATTGTAGAGCGCCCTCCCCCTGTCTTTACAAGAAGCTGCTTGTGGGCGCCTGTCCTCTAGATTTCTTTCAGTCTTTTATGTCTCCTGCTCTTTAAGCCCCTCTCGACTCTCAGTGTTTTGCATAGCGTGATATTCGGTCCTTCTGGTCCCGGATCACTGTAATTAATTTCTCGAATTTGACGCCTTATGCTGTCAAGATTCTCATGTTCATCCTTATCGATACAATTCAGCTTATATTTGACATCTCATAAAACTAGTAATAACCAATAGTAGGTTCAACCCCAACAAGTCTAGCCTAAAGTATAGGATCCTCATGGATAAAAATGATCTTGGATGTTCGAGATCTATATAACCAGATCTGCCGAAGAAATATATAATACAAGAGATAGACCTAAGGATAACAGGGGAGGAATACACAAAACACCGATTTTTCAAACAAAAACAGGCCGCGCAGAGGAATCACACCATCTTAAATCAAGGCTTAGGTGTTGACAATGGAGTGGCCGGACGTCCTGTCTTTTCCCCTGATAGCGTTACCCTTGGCGAAATCCAGGCCCAATGCCTGCCAGGTTGGCCGCCACTCGGCACTGTTCTCTTTCAACTGCTTCGCCTGCTCCTTGAACGCCTTACGGAGGTCGGTATTCGGCTCCTGAGCCGCATGTGCTGCTTGCTGGTTTTGCTTCTGCATCTTTCGTTGCCACTTCTCACTAGTATCCCAGGATTCCTTCTCCCATCTGTTAATGGATAAGTGGCGATCGTTAGCATTTTCAGATTCCCTTTGATATTCAAGCTCCCGGGGCGGAGTGCCATCCACACGTAAGGCGTGGACGATGCTTTCATGGAGAAAACCAGGAATACATACGGTGATAGATCCGTCGGCTCTTCGGGGAAGATGAAGGGCTCCCGCAGCTCAACGGTCATTCGCTTCTGTGCCTGGGGACGTCGCCACGGGCCGAGACTGCGTCCATCCCTGGCTATGCGGGTAATTGGCTGTTGCTCAATGTAGCTGCGAACACTAACGACACCAACGCCGTATAGGTTCTCAAGGTAGTCGCGCATGTCGAGTTTGTTGAAGTTGAGGGGAACACGGAATTGGGCATAGCGGGGGGTGAGGAAGGGGGTTCGGACAAGAGAGATGACGAATTCGGGCCTGTAATAGACGAATTCATGTTAGCATAAGTATTCTTGAGTGCCGTGTGCTGTAAGCTGGTTGTAGGCTCAAGAAGTTGTCGCCGTGCCAGTTCGAGGCTCAGGGCAAGATTGAAATTTGATGAATGGGCTTGGGAATCGCGGAGGTGGACTAACAGGAAGACCTGCTTGCGCTCTGAGGGTGGCAAGTAGGTATTCTTCACCCCCTTGGGGATGGCGATAGCTCTGCGCACCATTGTGACAGAATTGTAGATGTTGGACGGAGATCGGAGAGCCGGAGTTGCTGGTGTATTCTTTTGCTGCACTGAAATTGCGCGGGTGGCCGCACCGCCCGCCCTACTCCGATTGAGAACAAACGGTTTAGTTACGAAGTACGATGATTGTACCGAATCAAACTACGCCCTTTTGGTTTTAGTGATGGTCTTGTCGATGGAGACTAATTGACAAGAAAAACAGAGCCTATGATTCCAAGGACCAATACCCACATGTATCATAAGAATATTTTCAATTAAGTAAAGCTGGAAGTAACCGAGGAGTAGCAAGTATGAGCGCTCCAAGACTTGCTACGAGCCCAATAGAAATGCAGGAGACCAGGCTTTCATGTTACGCTTTATCATGAGGTTTGATATTTTGGCGATGAATAAAATTAGACACAACTCAAAGAGATTATCTCTCTAGACCACCAGCTCTCATTCTTCGGTCGTGATGATCCTGTAATTCCACTATACCTACCTACTTGGCAATAGTCAAAGTTGACTAGAAGGTGCTAAGCATTATCATTGAAATTCAACCCTTGAAAAGTCCCAAACATTGTCGAAGAGCGCCTTGAATATGCAATAGTAGATTAATTTACAATCTAAGGTCATCACTGATTGTCATTAAAGAGCATTTTGATCCTTCGATCTCTTCACTACCCCGATGATCCAGAGACCTGCAGCGCCTCTAGTTGTTTGGAACTCTCGTCGACTCCCGCGTCGACCTGCTCCTCATGGGTTTCCTGATCCTCTTCAGCTTCAGAACCAGACTCTTCCTCCTCCTCGTCGTCATCCTCATCCTCGTCATCATCAAGATCCTCTCTAGCCTCGCCATTATCCGTATTGGCACCGACTTCGTCCATATATTTTTCGAGCTCACGGGCCATCTTTCTGGAGAAGCCTGATGCTTCAACCTCCACATCTAGACGCTTGCCAGGGTTCTTCAAAAAATTCTTCTTTGCATCCGAGAAGAAGGGGCCCGGTACGTCGCTCACGAAGTGGAATTTCCGCTTGAAGTACCGCTTAATACAGTTGACATCACGATCAAAGTACATCTCCGCGTTGGTGTGGTCGATGGACACCATCTGAGGAAAATCAATAATCACCGGTTCCAGCCGGATGTTCTCATCGTCCTCCTCGCCCTCTGTGTTGGCGGGAGCTTTTCCTTTTCCATTGGGTTCCGCGATTTCCTTAATCAAGATGTTGAACTCGTTAAAGTCACCGTGGATCAGACCAAACCGTGCTAGTTCTAGGATAATATCCATCAATTCGGAGTAGAGAGCTGAAGGGTTGGGGACCTTGGAGATCTGGCGGAGCGGGAAAGCATCGATAAGACCCATAACGATGGTATGGCGATTTTGCGCAATGGGCTCGGGAACATTGAAGCCATTCTCTCGCAGAGCCTTCATAAAGGCAAATTCCTTCATAGCAGCCAGTCGCGACATGTACATCCAGGATCCTGTGTTGCGGTGCCGAAGGTAATCGCGATTTGTCTTCACGGTTCGGAAGGAAATACGACCCAGACGATGGATCTTGAGAATTCGCTGGCTTCCACTGCTGTGTGCAACAACGACAATATCGGATTCTTTTCCAACACCGATCTGATTGCCGACTGAGTAGACAACCTTCTGCTTCTGGTGGGCGTTCAGCGCCAAGTAGTCAAGTCCACCGTAGGTGAGTCGGTATCCATCATCTATTCATGCAATCAAATTATTAGTGACCACTCGCTAACACGAAATCTCTCAGAATAAAACGCTACGCGTACATTTCGCATTCTTCACTTTCGCAATCAGTTTCGTCTTGGCAAGGTTTGAGATGGACCGGTGCACGCCACTGCCTCCGCGGAGGCCCGACAGCTGGGAAATCAAAGGTGTGGGGACGACTTCATGGTTGCGACTTCCGGCTTCAACCTAGTTTAGCCAATTATTAGCGATTTGCTTGAGAAGCCAATGCGCATGAGCAGCATGGCGGGGGTGGAGGGGCTGATAAGTACTCCTTGGAGCACTCTGAAATCTTCAGAGGTGAGGTAGCGGAGCGCCTTGGCGTCGAGTTTCATGATGCGTGAATCCTCGGATCAAGAATGAACTTTATAGTCAAGGATATTCAAAGGAAAATGACCTGGAGCTGGCGTTCGAGAACGAAACGCGGAGGGGAAAAAGTGATAAGGCGACAGCCCTAAGCCCTATTACTACTTTGGGTAACAGGCAGTATGGAAGGACCCTCGGAGTCTGGCTCGATTCTCGATTCCTAAATTCCGTTCAGCTGCTACTCCCTTTTTCCTTTCTTTCTTTTTCTTTTTCTTTTCTATTTGCTTTTTGTGAGTGCTTGAAATAGCACCGTCGGCATGATAAAAACGCAATCTTGTTTCAGGCAACCTAGGCTTTGCAAAATCAACTACAATGGTAAATGCGTAGAAATGAAAGGCCATACTATCGAATATAGCCCAGCTTGTCATTATAGACAGAAGATACGATACAACCTTGTAAAACTAGTAGAAACCCATAGTCTCACTATAAAATAAAGAACAAGGCTCTCACAATCGAAAATATGTAGTCTACACAAGAATTCCGAATTGGTGTGGCCCGTCCCAACCAGCCGATATAACCAAATGCACGACGGGGTAGAAATTCCATGCTATTCTTCAGTCGTTCTGAATACATTAAATCCAGCCATAACCCGGCTACCAACGTGAGACTCATACGTAGCAAACAATGGGTGAGGACCGGGAAATATCTCATTGAATTTACTCGGGGTTTTCCCAGTCAGGATTCTAGATACAATGTCAGCCAGGTTGGATCTGAGGAGAATCAGAATTGAAGTATACTCACTTTGCGCAGAATGACCAATCCCTCAAGGGTGCTGCTGAGGGGAATGTACTGCTCATCCTCCAGTTCCGCTCTCTCGCCGTACGACAGAAGAACAGGTGTGCTTTGAGTCTGCCATCCAGTGATGGTCTTGGGGCGACCAGCCTGTCCGACAACATCCACAGCTTGACCCACGCGGACATTCACGCTAAGGGGTTGCAGATCTTCGTCAAGAGTGATGAGGAAGCGGGGGAACATGGCAGTAATGAGGAAGTAGAGCAGGTAGTGGTGCTCGGCGAGGATGAATTGCTTGGCGTCAATGAGAGACACCAGAACAGTGAGCAGACCGGCTGCCGAGACTCGAGACAGCACTTGTCGATCGGTGTGGAAGGGATTGAGCGTCATCGTGCCTTTACCCATGTGCAGAAGACCCTGAGCGATACGCACCATAAACAAAGAGTTCTGATCGCGGTGATAGTAGCTGGCCAATTGACGCAGAAGCTGTGCGAGACGAGCGTTGTTTGTTCCGGCACCACAGAGACCCATGGCAAAGATAGCGTTGATGGCGACATCATTGTCATTGTCGTGGCTATACCGGGAAAGAGTGTCGTAAACCTTCATTTGGGGGTTGCTTGGGCTAACCAAACCCATGGCAAGAGGGACCGCGCGACGGATGTTGCTGGATCCATAGTGCATGAGATGGCCGAACTGGCGAAGGATCATATCCTGGCCAACATCCTCACCCATGGCAATGAGGGACAGACCCAAAACGGCATAGGACTGAACCAGCTCGTCACCCTTGTTCTCCTCCTTCTCCTCGATAATATCGTTACAAATATGGAGGAGCTCCTGCAACTTGAGAACGGTACCAGTACCCGCCCAAGCACAAACAGAGGCAAGGACGGATGTGGGCTTGGCCATGGGGTGATCGACTGCCTTCAGGATATCGAGAATTACATCAACGTCTTCCTGGCGACCGAAGTAAAGCAGCGCCAGACCCAAAGCCATGAAGCGAGTCCACTTATCCTTCAGCTGCTTCTGACGCTCCTCATCCATCAATGTGGTAGCAATCGCCTCACTAACCTGGTGGTTCGATGACCCGACAAAGATGAGACCCAGAGAAACTGCTGCCATGGCAGAGAGTTGCATGTCTAGTGAGGCATCTTCTACGATAGGAAGAAGAATCTCAAGAAGCTCCTCCTTGTTGGACCCAGCATAGGCAAGACCGAGGCCCATGATGGAGGCGACCCGCATCGGTACATTCTTGGCCTCCAGATTGTCGGGGTCACTCAAAAGAGCGAGGGCGGGGTCGGACTCAAGACGAACACCGGAGTTCAAAATACCAATGGCGAGCAAGGCACCGGCTTTTACTTGGTCCTCCTGGGCATATGTGAATTTATCGATTTTGTCCAAGCCATCCTCAACATCACGATGAAGCAGCATACCCAAAGAAGCAGTTGTCGAGAGCATGCCGTCATCCTTAGTCTTCCACACCCACGGGCCCTTCTCACCCTCAACAAGCATCATCTTATCATTACCGAAGCCGGCGTTGGTGAAGGAGTTCACAAAGGCGCTAGCCAGGTTGTGTCGTGCTGAATCAAGGTTGGTTAGACCTGCTCCACGACTGCTCTCGAGGTGTGTCTTGTAAATATCCTCCGGCATCTTCGGGTCCAGAATATTGAGTTCCTTTCCAAGTGATTTGAAGTGCTTAGGAATGGATGTGTTGTTTAGGCAATCTGCTAGAGCCTCACCCTCCTCATCATCAGCCGGCAAGTCGAGCCAGATCTGCTGCCGGGAAACGAGGAAAGCCATTTGCTTCTTCAGAGCCTTGTCATCTGTGGCGTTGATGTCGCTCTTGATCAGTTCGATGTCGTTGAGACGAATGGCAAGCACAATGGCTTGGGAGAGCTTGTTGTAGCGGACGTAGATCTCGTGGGCTGTACGAAGGAACTGTTGATCCTCGGGGTAGGTGAGAAGGTTAACCATGCTGACCATGTAAAGGCAGACACGGGAATATGTGTTCTCGTCCACAAAACGAGGGATCTCTTCAATAATCTCGAGTTCGCTCATCAGATCGACAGCGTCCGCCTCCGCATTATGACCCAAGAAGTAAGGTACCAGCGAGAGCGCAAGATCCACAAGACCCTGTGTTTCCTTCTCCGCGTTCAACCGGTTTTGATATTCTTGTCCAATCTCCAACGCTAGGTGTCGAATATATTCGTGGCCCCATGAACCAAGGTCCTCAGACTTGGCCAAGAGGCGGTACTTCAATGTTTCCAGCTTCTCCTCATCGCCATATGTCATACCGAGGACAGATAGCATATCTGCCAATGAGTCCTTAGGAAAGAATGATAGTTAGAATATATAAGATGCTGATGAACGGATCTGTTAACCAACCTTGACAGGGCCTGCTGCCCATTTCTCGTACAGCTCTGTGAGTTCATCGTAATGCGGTCGGAGGAATTTGAGGGGCTTCGGCACGGCGGTCATAGAAGACGTGGAAGTCTTGATGAAGTTCTTGATCGCGTCCAAGGCCGGTCCGTAGAGGGAGGCATCCGGTTCCTATTACAATCAGCATTAACGTCAACGTCATCGTTTACCGGTGGATGGATCTCGAGAATTGTCGCACCTTTAACCGTTCAACAAGCATCTCAAGCTCATCCTTCAACTGCTGATCCTCTTCGCTGAGTTCATCTTCAATGATGTTAGTTCCCGATCCAACCTCCATGGCGCTTCGTGGAGCACACATGATGTGCTCCCGAGATGCGGTTTGGGGTCTCTGGAGTAAACTACCTTCCTGAGGCTCTTCATCCTTCTTTCCATCAGCAGGCGCCTTTTCGTCCTTCTGGGGCTTCTTCTCGTTCAGTTCGCGAACATCATCAACCTTGCCCTTGCCCTTGTCGGCGTTTGTTGACCGTTCGCCCTCGTTCGCCATCTCTGACGGTATCTGGCGACCAGGTCGGGGTATAATTGAAGAAACGTGCCGAAGATTCAAGGATATGGAGAGCGGAGGTGAATTATCACAGCAAGTGCGAGAAAGAAGATTCCGAAGATGGAAGGTGATGTAGTGGATTGTAAGCTGGTGATGGAGAGGCAGAGAGCTCGGGCTGGTGCAGCTCCCGGATTATGTAATACCGCCAAGCCCCGGTGCCCCGTCATTGTTTTGCCTGAGGACCAGCCATCATTTCTATCATCGACGGATTATTATCCTACAAGAACGCAAGAAAAAAAAAAAAAAATTCAGTCCCGGAGACACATTGGATTTGATTCAGTATAGCTGAATCATTTGAATTTCATGATCCTATTCACATCTATGTCAATTAGGTATCGCGCGAACGCTTTGGTCGAGAAGAACATTCGAGATATTTGTCACGATGGGCCCCATCCATTACTCCATCATTCAGAATGGCAAAACAAATTTGCCGAGGGACCATTCACACTCTCTGCCTCATCAGAACAGCGTCCATAGCGAACTCTGAATTCTTTGGCGTATTCCTTAGTCTGTTTATCGAGTGTCTCTGCTGACAAGTGCTCGCCGCTGTAGGAAACGAGTGGCAAAGTATCTACATCCTGGAATCCCAGTTCAAAGCTGTCGAGAAGAGACATAATGGTTGATGCATGGCTAGTTGGTCTCTCGGCTGATAACGCCTCAAAAGCGGTTGGAGGCGGCTGAAGAGGCTGATCAGCGCTGTTTATTTCCTCGATGGATGCATCGTCCAATTTGTTCGGACTCTCGCCGTGAGCAAATTCTTCTGGTAGGTGATAAATATCAGAATGTACCGTTGCCAGAGATACCGCCATACGCCCTGGAAATGAAGGATAGACCATGTAATAACCCTTGGCACGGATCATCTCAAGGAGGTATTCCAAGAAAGCTGGGTATTTCTTAGAAATGAGTTTCTCCTGGGAGGGTATATTTGTGATAACCTCGGAGTGACCAAAGCGACTGGATAGGAAAGAATGGAATTCGGCCCATTTATCACCGAAATACAAAGCAGCGTTGCTATTTGGTGACTGCCATAAAAAGGTTGGGACAAATTCTTTACCGCTCGGTCGAGCCTCGTCCGAAGCCTGCAAAGACGGTGGATCAAATTGTTCATAATCAGATGTTGGTTTGACGGACGGGAGCTCTAGCGAAATCCCGAGTAATTTTGATGTATCACGTTGAGCACGGGCTGATTGCTTGTAGAAAAGAATGCTGTACTTGAGATAGTGATAGAATGATGAGGCCAGTTCTGTCTGTGGAGAAAGCAGGAGCAAGTGAGAAACCTTCGGGTTTAGGGGATAGAAGGATTCCACGGTTCGAAGAGAAGACTCAGCGGGGTCCACGAAATGGGGTTGGATACGATGTCGGAGAGTGATTTGTCCCGCAAGCTGAGACAGCCCCTTTAGGTCCTGCAAGGCTCTAAGTAGTTCAAGATCGACCGATTGAGGAAGCTCGATAGTTAGACTAGGTGTTGATCCCAGATAGTCGGCTGCATCTAATGACCGAATAAGTCGAATCAACGAGCTAAATGATTCAGATGCGTGGACAACTATATCAACCTTGATATCATTCCAAACTGATTGAACAATTTAGCTTTCTAATGAGCCCAGATATATATGCTGATATTGAGAAGCTCACCTTGCAATGCAGTGCTATCGACCAATGCAATCCACATGACATTGATTGAAGCTGTTGGAAGTGCAATATGGGGGGTCCCGAATTTCCATTTATGAGCGTTTACACCATTCCAAAAGAACGAATTCTCCCACTCCTGACTCTGTGTGATGATAACTTCCGGAAGGATATAGGATTGAAGAATTTCGAGGCCACCTGCCACTGATCGTTCCATGCGAGCATGACTGGACTCAGGAGCACGGTCGGGTCGACTGTCTAGAACAAGAATATAAAGACCTTAGCTTGGGGATCTTGTCGGGTCTTAGGGCGTATTGATAGACGAACCATGCCAGGTTATTGGACAGTCAGAGTCATAAATGCCATTGACCTGTTTAATGCCTCGAATGGACACTTCGTCTTTCCCCATCAAGACGAAATGAACATGATTCAACTGCTTTGTTGCCATTTTACAGGCCAAGGGCAGCATGTCTGAGACGCTATGTAAACTAGACGCAGCAAAGACAACCGCACGGCTGGCCGTATTCGCATCATGTTCACGGTGTGGGAGAGACTGCGCCAACTCATAGAATTTAATCTTCCCATCATAATTTACCTCTGTAATCATCTCATGGTCTTTACCATCGCTCATCAAAGAAGACTCAACCTTGGGTCTAGGCGGCGACTGATTTGGTCCGGGAGGGGACGAAATAGGATTTTGGTGCTTGAGGCTTGCAATCTTCGGATTGTATCGTTCGGCAGCTGGAGTAAGATCGGTGGGCATATGCTTGAAGAATTGGTAGACCGCGAAAAGTATAAGAATAATAAATAGAAGTCGTCGAGGACGAGGTATTCGGGAGGGGTGGATCGGTCTGAAGCGTGGATGGTCTGGGAAGCGATGGTCGTCATCTTTCTTGCCTAGCTCTTCGTCGGTCCCTTGCGGGATCCTCGCAGGCACCATGTTGAGCAGACACAGACGCTGTTGACCTCTGAAGACCTGACCAGGTCATTGGAATAGAATAAAGTTCAAGGCGGAATCATCAGGGCTGTAGCTTGTGCTCGTTTTGTATCCAAAGGGATGCGGAAGCGCAAATGACTGTCTCCACTTTAAATGTATCGGGCCAGCTTATCGCCTTATCGCCTTATCACCTTATCGCACTTTCGGTGTCAATGTTTCTTCTCCACGCCACGACGTTAACACGCGCGCCAGCGCCTCTGCACAGCATGGAAGGCCATATGGATATTGATTCATCGGATTCGCGAGGTGAGAAGCGCTCAGCTGAAGGGACAGAAGCTCCCAGGCCTTCGAAGCCAAAAAGAATCAAAGTAATGAAACCGGGCAGATGATCACCCACCCTCCAGCATCACATGAAATCATTCGTGGGCTAACCATATACAAAGGCCTTAGATCCCGATGTTGTCAATAAAATTGCCGCAGGAGAGATTATTGTTGCGCCAATGCACGCGCTGAAGGAGCTGATTGAGAATGCCGTCGATGCAGGCTCCACTTCGATCGAGGTCCTTGTCAAGGATGGAGGGTTGAAGTTACTACAAATTACGGATAATGGGCATGGGATCGATGTGAGCTCCAATAAATCAAAAGAACGAATTCTGCTGACTCCACCAGCGTGATGATCTTCCTATCCTTTGCGAGCGATTTACTACTTCCAAATTGAAAGAGTTTGAGGACCTCTCCTCCATTGGCACATACGGATTCCGAGGCGAAGCGCTGGCCAGTATTAGTCATATTGCACATTTAATGGTGACTACCAAAACGGCCGGATCAAGTTGTGCCTGGCGAGCACATTATGGTGATGGAAAACTAGTTCCGGCAAAGCCAGGCCAGAACGCTGCACCAAAAGCTACTGCTGGCCGAGGAGGTACACAGATTACAGTGAGTCAGCCCATGGCAGTATCTGACCGTAGGCAGATCATAATATGATTTCAATAGGTTGAAGACTTATTTTACAATGTGCCCACTCGCCGGCGCGCATTTCGTTCTGCCAGTGAAGAGTATGCCAAGATTCTGGATGTGGTCGGTCGATATGCAGTGCATTGCTCCGGGGTTGCCTTCTCATGCCGCAAGCATGGAGACTCTGGGGTGAGCATCTCCACCCCTTCCGCTGCAACGACTCTCGATCGTATCCGCCAAATCCACGGAAGCGCAGTCGCAAACGAGGTGGTTGAGTTTGTGGCCGCGGACATCAAACTCGGGTTCCGTGCCTCTGGGCTCGCAACCAACGCGAACTATCATGTCAAAAAAACCACGATATTACTCTTTATTAATCACCGTGCTGTGGAATCAACCGCCATTAAACGCGCTATGGAGCAGACCTACTCTGCATTTTTACCCAAAGGCGGTCATCCTTTCGTTTACCTCGACCTGGAGATCGAACCACATCGCGTCGATGTCAATGTGCATCCAACTAAACGCGAAGTCAACTTTCTCAATGAAGACGAGATTATCGAGATGATTTGCAGCGAGATCAGGTCCAAACTCGCTCAAGTTGACTCAAGTCGTACATTCCTAACACAAAGTCTTTTGCCTGGTTTGCAAACCATCGAAACCCTCCAGCCATCAAAGGACAGCCCATCAGACGGCAGAATTGCAAGCACACCCAAAACACCCGCCACAGCCAAACGACCATATGAAAATAATCTTGTCAGAACTGATTCAAAGGTCCGGAAAATCACTGCCATGCTCACCCCGGCTGCTGTCTCATCTCCTTCACACCCTGGGATCCCCACTGAACTCGGAATTCCTCCTCCCCCTCTCCTTGAGGACGGCCTTCAGTACGAAAGCACTGACCGTCAACCTCTTCGTATTGCCCTTACATCAGTCAAGAACCTTCGGAGTGCCGTACGAGCCACGATGCACAACACATTAACTGAGATGTTCGCATCTCATACCTATGTCGGCCTTGTTGATGAGCGGCGTCGCCTAGCAGCAATTCAATCCGGTGTGAAGCTCTACCTGATAGACTATGGACTTGCCTGCAATGAGTTCTTTTACCAGGTCGGGCTCACGGACTTCGGAAACTTCGGCACCATCAAACTAGACCCGCCGCCCAAGTTGGTGGACCTGCTACAGATTGGAGTCGAAGCAGAACGAGAGGCACACGGCAATGCCAGTGACGAAGAAGCAGAAGGGATTTTTGCAAATGCCGCGGAGACTGTATGCCGCACCCTCATTGAGCGGCGAGAGATGCTTGATGAGTACTTCTCGATAAAGGTCACCGAAGAAGGGAAGCTGCTCACAATTCCGCTCCTGCTGAAAGGATATGTCCCTTCATTGGCAAAACTGCCCCGCTTCCTACTCCGTCTGGGCCCATTTGTGGATTGGACTGGGGAAGAAGAATGTTTCAGAACCTTCCTTCGAGAGCTGGCCGCATTCTATACACCGGAGCAGCTTCCAGTTCCTTCATCATCACCCTCCAGAGATGCTTCCACGGGGGAACCCGCAGGACATAATCCAGATCCTTCAGCTTCTAGAGATGAGGACCCATTGATCCAGGCGCGCCGTGCACAGATGAGTCGAATGTTGGAATATGCTGTGTTTCCCGCTCTTCGTGCGCGGCTAGTTGCTACATCTCGGATGCTCCGAGGGGTAGTTGAGGTGGCAGACCTGAAGGGGCTCTATAGGGTATTTGAGCGGTGCTGAATCGCCATTGTCTTTACTGATACAAGAGGAACGAGTAGGAACGTTACCTCTTAAAAATCAATCCGAGCAAAATAAAATTCAGAAAAATCTACGCCCAGAGACGCCTTGGATTCGTAATAACTGATAAACCTCCGTGATCCTGGTATTTGACCACGCCTGCCCATTCTGGCAGTCGATAACATAATGTGCCCTTATTCCGATACAATGACGAAAAAAAGAAGAAATCAAAGAAACATAGAACAAAAGCATGAGCACATACCCAAACACCGTGAGGGGATGTCTCGCAAGCTTGTCTCAATATGGATGATCTCTCAGTTTTCTCGATCTCAATGGTGACAGGGGAGCGAGGGGGAAGATAAAAAGCCCGCAATCCATTTGTAGGATATCGTGGCCTTGGAAAAGTTCAAGTAAAGAAGACATGAATAAAAAGCGCATAACCGGTATGAGAAAACAGGGCATTCGCGCAAAGAAGATGGAAAGGATATTCCGGATTAAATCATGATGAGGGTGGTGAAACAGTCAAAGAATGGCACTGTAGCATCGCATCACATCGCATTAGCATCGCCAGCATGTGTTTTTGAAAAGGTCGAGTTATTGAGATCCGTCAAATCGTTGCAACGCCAAGCGCCAAACTTTGGAAGACACACAAAAAAAACGTCAATCTGAAGGTCATCCCGCATTCATAGAAGTCGTTTGTCAAATCGTGCAAGGTCAAGAAAAAAAAAAAGGTCAAACATGGCTGGCAAAAGAAGTAGATGATCCGAAGGCAAGACCAGGCCATGTACAAGAAGAGAACAATATTAAGAGCATGGTGAGCAGGCATAGACATGTCAAGTAATATGCAAAACTTGAAAGATAAGTTGGTGTATGGAGGGTGATAGTGTCGTGACTAGCCTCTTGAATATGGCTTGTTGAGCAGGGCTATTTCGCGACAGATGGTTGCCCATTCTAACTCGTGTACAGATGAGCTGTGTTTCTTGGCCTGAAGTTCTTCCCATTGCAGAAGCTCATAACTGCATATTGATATTAGCCTGGGACAGGGTGATTCGGGAAGTTATTTGCAAAGCAATTTCTTACACAAAACGTAAATGAGGCTGAATAATTACGTTCAGACGTCTGGCCCGAACAAAACAACTGCAGATGAAGTTAGACTATAGCTTCTGAGGTTGAGGCCTCAATCGAAAAAGGGTATAAAACATACTAGGCACGTGGGAATGAGAGATTCCGAGCTGCCATCACCTCGGCAATGCAAACGCTCGCTGATCTGGAAACGCCAACGCGACAGTGAACCAAAGTCGCTGTGCCATCGCTCTTTCCTTTTTCTATTCCAGAACAGTCAGCTATCAGCTTGAACCTTCCTCAATCGGCTTCACCCAACGTGAAGGCCCGAAGAAAGATATATAAACAAACTCAACCCAAACACTGGCTTACCAATGAATTCCAGACACCGGTCAATTTCTTGCCACAGCGGGTCGATACCGTTATCCTGCACGTTGTCAATGAGCATCAGATTTTCCTCGCCCCATTTGGCACGCCCCTGGTCAGTCCAGGAGACAGGCTCGCCAATGCTCAAAACGCGTCGAATGCCAAGTTCCCACAGCAAATCCGGATTGTTAGCGTGGTTTAGGTTCCCCAAGTATAGGTATGGCAAGATGCGGCTGGGCAAAGACCCATCGATTTTCAAGAACCAGTCGGGATCCCAAATGTTGGTGTCGATTGAGCGTCTCACAGGACTTTCCTGCAACAGACGTGACTGAACATGACTAAGGAACGCAACGTCTGTAGGATATGTGAAGAAGTTTCGCTTCTTGTCACAATGCAACTGCAGCCAAGCATCCGGTGCAGGGACCCCCTCGGCGAACATGTAATAAGCCAGAGCCAGCACGGAGCTCTCGGTGTAGCCATCAGCACAGTGGATAAACACTTTTCGAGGCTTTTTGCCAGTCATTCCAACATCTCCATCATGGTCCACCACCTCTGCTGGCTCGTCGGGGTTTGCTAAGTAATAGATCCATCGGATGGTATTGACAAGATCCTCCACCTCGCGGGTATTGCCCGACGGAAGCACAATGGAGCCCGAGGAGGGAAATTCTAGGCGCTGGGTGCCTTGTTCCAATTGCTTGTCAATCATGCCTAAGAAACGCGGACCTGGGATGCTCGCCAAATCACTGGCTTCAATCAACAGATCATAAGGCTCCTCTTTCGGTGGCTGGCATGCACCTGGTCTCAACAGGTAGTCAGGCGTGGGCCCAAGGAAGACATTGCGTGAGATCTCAGAGGCCTGCGACATGCTGCACATCTCCAAGCGCTCCCATTGGACTGGATTTTGGTTAGCCTGTTGATCAATTCCCGAAGAACATATCCACATACAAAAGTCCATAACCTGGCCCGTGATTTGACCTTCCGAGTCAATAGCTACCAGGTGGGGGCATTTCTTCTCAATATCAGCAAAGCTACCTATATCTTTTGTCAGCATTCCAAGCCACTTTTTGAGCAGAATTCAGTGGGACTGACTGGTGACGACAAAGGTGTTGTACGCTGGACGTTCCTGGGCGGGGTCATTCTTCAGCCGCCATGCTTGCTGGGCTGTTGCAAACTCCTCGGCAAGCACCAGAAGCTCCGAACGGCTCGCTCCATCTTCGGCATAGATGACGATGTCTGACATCGCGGCCAACTTAGCCGTTTGAATCTGGAAGTTCCGAACCGAGAAGCCTTCAGGGGGGTCCGACATCAAGAAGCGCGCCGACGGCGCGATCACCTCACTTGCGGAGACGGCGCCTTTGAGGCGTGCTTTGCTGAGATCGCCGCCGAGCTTGACAATGGTGATGCCACGCCAGCATTTGGGCGCACGGCGCAGTGAGCGCTTACGGCTCGAGAAGAAGCCCAGCTGCAGATGGTTATCTGGATGCAGGCCATGCAGCCACGGGAACATTTGGGCCGGGTCTGGCAATGGTTGGGATGCCAGATGATTAATGGCGGCTGCCAATTGGTTGATATCCAGGGTGTACACGGCTGGTGAGGGAGCGCGTGCAATGCGAACGTATCTGTCTGGGGGGTATAGGAGCGAATGGATCTGATTGACCGACCGCGACACGGGCAGTTCCAATGGGGAGGGTTCCGAGGCAGCGGCCGAGGGTCCCGTTGGGCATGCCGGCAGGTGTCGGTTGGGGATTGGGCTTGCTCGCCGGTTGACAGTGAGGGCTGGGGGAATCGGCGACGGAGGTGGAGTCGAATGTTGCAGCGTATGCTGCTGGTGTTGCTGGACGACAACAGTCGCCATGGTGGAGTTCGGCAGGCCGAAGGCGCAGGCTCAATGATCGCGCAAGGCGGGGAACGCGGTCTTTCGGAGGGATTGTATCACGTTATCGGCAGCCGATGAACCAAAGGCTTACATCCTTTTGCAAAAAAGGGGGGGGGGGAGCCGCTGTGGAGGAACGAGTCAAGGGAATGGTGATGCTGTCTTTGATCTCACTGAGCAGGCGGGACTCTGATCCACTGCAATGAATTGCTTGTTAGGCTAGATAGTCTGAGTCGAAAAGGTGGGGGGCTTGAGATTGGAATCTCGTTTTTGGGGGGATCTTCGGGGGAGGTTTGATCAGACCAGAAGGGTTGTGCGAAAAAAGATAGGGTCCACGACAAGGATATGTGAAGGGGGGGGAGGAGGGGGGGGGTAGGAAAGCATACAGTCATACGACAAGATAAAGGAGCGCACCGCAGCACAGCAAGGGGGCAGGAATGAGCCGGAAGAGCGAATCCCCAGAGTGAGGGCGTACAGAGAAGAACCAAGTTAGTGAGGGTAGAGGGAGTCCCTAGAGGGAGAAATGGGGAAGAGAGATTGATGGAGGAAGAGAAGGGGGGAAGTGTCGTTGAACGGTGGTTTGATGGTTTGGTCGGTCGGTGGTGGTTAGAAGACAGAGCACAAGGCCCGGTACCTGGTACTTCCCAGCGCCGTACTACCTGTACACTGCAACCATGACAGAACTCACTTCCCAACCTGACCAGGTTGATCGTCAGAGTTGGGTCCTGCATGATCTTCCTTGTTGCGCCTAAGCCACGCATCGTCTTCTGGTCTCGCGGCCCTATAGTTCTATGCCTACGGATGCATGGGACCGGCAGCAAACAACCGGATACTGATCATGTCGCCCCGGCTCCACTCGACGCTCCGGGGTACAATCCCACTGTGTACCGATGATGTACCGACCTCCAGAAGGGACAATCAGACCCCACGAAGCCCCCAAAGTATGAGCCGGAACTCGTGGGCCCTCACGCACGCTCGCCCTCACTGATACACTCGCCCGCCGCAGCATCTCCTGAAACAAACATGATCGAGCTCTCATCATCATCACTTATCATCGTCGTCATCATGCCCCAGGTCTCCGCCCGTGGCAGATCCACCCCCCCCCCCCCCCCGACTCCACTTCGGAGACGCGATGCTATCTGGTCCTCTCTTATCATCATCACATCTTCTATTTCTCTCCGAACCACCACCACCACCACTTCGTCCTCCGCCTCCGGTCTTTTCCTCAGGAATCTCACCCATTACGAATGGAACGCCATGCCACCCACCCGACACATTCATGAATTACTCCCCCATGAACCAACCATGACTCAACCTCCCCCACCCTGAACACCTCAGAGTCCCCGATCCCCGCCCAATAAAGCCCAGACCATCCACGGACGACCCAACCGCGGCACATCCAATCATCCGCCGCTGAGCCCTCCTCCCCCTTCCCCCCATGACGCTGAGAGTCTGCGATTCGGGACAGGCCTGCGAGTCGAAGATGCCCCGCCTCCTCGGCCCAGATTCCTGGCCTCCCAGCTTCGATCTGTGCGTGTCTGTCTCGCCCTCTCGTCTCTCTCGACGGCAGCTCTCCGCTTTGGTTGGCGCGTCAGTCGAAGACCCTGAAAGACCCAGAGAGACCCAAAGAGTCACCGAGTCAAAGAGGCCCGTTCCATCTGCTCTATTCTTTCCATCCGCCCCGCTCCTCGAGGATGTGAGGCACCCGGAACAAAGAACAGCAGCCCGTTCCCCGCACGCCTTACTAGTGCCGGCCCCGTCTTTCCCCCCCCGGGCTGCACTTGCGATCCACCCATCCCTCGGATTTGAGAGCCTACCACTGGTGCGGCGACGCTGCCGCTGGTCTGGTTTCATCCTTCCTGGTCCATGGCGGCCAAACTCAATCTCATCATTGGCCTCGAAATTTCCATGCAGCTGGAGGGTGCGCAGCTGATAGCAGATACTATGATAAGAAACCTCGAGACGATATGGCCGTACAACAGCAAATGAGAGGCAACGGTCGTTTGTGTTTAGACTTTCTATAGATTGGTCGGTCGATCCAGTCGGTGCACAGGTACTCTGGCCACGCGATACGTTCTCCAATGCGATCATCTCTGTAGCTGGGATTTTTGACACTCTCTATCACTGGACTGGGGCGACTACGACAGGGATGTAGACCGGATTTGACCTGTGCATATGGACACCAGACAAGGCTGCGGGGGTTCACCCCGGATCATCGCGGCGATCCACTGCCCGGATATCCCACAAGTGGGAAGCGAAGGTATTGGCAGTAATCGTATGAGGCAAGACCTGCGAGTAGCATATCCAGATCCACCATTTGTCTGGGATAGCCGTCGAGGAATTGACGAAGTGACGAGGGGCTGGACTGGGAACATGGCAGAGAGGACCGATGCCCCACGCCTCAGATACGTACCTGCAATGCCCAACCCACAGGTCGTACGACAACAGAGGGTCCAGGGCTTATCTGCCGGCCTGGTCCACCTGGTCTCCCTCTCCGCTCGGCATTCAAACGCCTTCGCCAGCCATACACGACAGGCCATGATTTATCACCCTACCCTTCTCTGTACAACTATACATCCTTACATCCACACGTCCCCTCTCTCTCTCTCTCTCCCTCTCTCTCTTTTCTGATCAAGCCGGCCAGCATCCAATCGTCCCTCATTGGTCCGCCAGTTCTTGCAACTCCTGCGCCAGCCGACGTAGGTAAAATCGCGCCATATCCGGCGGCACGCCCGCAAACGACCTCTTGACCTTCTGCAGATCCAGTCGCCCCTTCTCGTACGCCTGCAAATCACGATTCCCGTAGACATCGCGCCCCGTCGCATAGCCCTGGGCCAGGTTGCGGAAGAACACATTTACGGCCACGCTGACCGCGCTGGCCGCCGAGCACGCCGTGTGTAACCACAGCGGCGGGAGGAACAAGATCTCGCCTGGGCGCAGAATCGCCTCCTGCGGGTGTGTGCCGGGAATGCGCGCTGCCGCCGTATCCAGTCCAGCGTGCGCGAAGATGTCGAGGCGCGAGCTGGATGCTCCGGGTGGGAGGTGCAGCGCCTGCACGTCGTCGGGCGGGAAGAGGATCAGGCGCCGCTCGCCGCGAACTTGGCAGAGCACATTGGCCATGACCTGCGGCTGGTTAGAAAGAGTATATAATGGTTGCTTTTTCTGGGTTCCTCTAGCACGAGGGATTTTCTTCTTCTTTTGTCTGGCCTCCGGATGTTCTGTAACATGTAGACATTTGGTTGGGAACCCAAGTGGCAACACGAAACATAGAGATAAGGTGAAACAGCCAAAAAGGATTGACCGAGAGACAATGACCACTCTTGACTGAGAAAAGAAAAGAAAAGAATAGAACGGAAAAGAAACAGAAAAACAACACACTCACATCGTAATGAAGCCACATCGTGACCGGCCCAGAGATTCGCAGCGGCGAACTATGCGCATTCTCCGTCACCATGGCCATGCAGTCGGGAAGCCTAAAGTCATCCTGCAATGTAGGAAAATCCATCTCCAAATGCGCGGGCATCTTGGATGGCTGTTCTGCCGAGATAGATCGGAGATACTGGCGGCCACCTGCATGAACCTCGTCCAAGAAAGAGCCAAAGCACTTGGTCACATATGCGAAGTTCTTAGTCTGAAAGCTCATCTGCTCCGATTGAGCCTCGTGCACGACAACCTAGAGAACAGACAGGGTGTTAGTAGGGGGTTATTTGTTTTCTGTGTATTGTTTGGGCCGAGGTGCACGGCTGTCTGCAGTGCGAGGCGGGTAGCTGCCGTACCTTGCGATCCTCGCCGACAGTGCATGCAAGGTATTCCTTTGTCCAGCGGGTAGTGCAGGGCCCGATGTCAGCACCCTCGATCACAACGGGCTTGCCATTGGCGACGATCTGCTCGAACTGTGCGGCGGATTCGATGCGGACCCGGGGGATTGGGGATGGAGGCAGGCCTTCTTCAAGGGTTGCGCGCTTTGTCTGTGGCATTGGCATGGAGTCTTTGCGAGCGATGGGCTCCGCGGCCTTCTTCTTCGGGGCTACGATACCCCATGTATTTTCAGTGTTGGAGTCGGCTGGATGTAGAATCCAGGCGCCCTCAGTCCAGACAGTTCCGGTTGGGAAACATACGGCGCCACCGCCCACAAAAAGCACATGATCAGAGTCGATCGTGCAGGCGACGTGGCCGGTGAGCAGTGGCCTCGGACCGGCGAACGCAGCGCCAAGGCCAATGGCAGTGATGATATTTGGGTTGTGCGATTGTGCCAGAGTCGTGGATGCCAAGTGGGTCGAGTCCAGCAAGAGGATCTCTTTCGCGGCGGGGATTAGTCGGCGTGGTATGATGCCGCCAGCCACTACCAGGCCTTGCGAGGTGGCATTGACCGTGGCGCCAAATCGACTAAGGTAGGGGAAGAGCTGCGGCGAGGAGGTCCGTATGTATTTAGTCACGTCCGTTAGTTCCACTTCTAAAGATCCGTCGTCCGATCGCAATAGACTCCAGGTCCAGAAATCCTCGAGAATGGTTGCATTGTATCCGATTCCTCCAAACAATACACCGGTACTTGCACTTGTCTTTGCAAAGCAGGCTCCAAAGCGAGCCTCGGGCTTGCTGCCAATAACACGGACATTCCGCCAGCCTTGTTGATCCTGATCGTTCCACAGGATCCAACTCTCCAGGATAGTGTTGTTTTTGGTTTTGCCTCCATAGACCAGGATGGAGGTTGAAACAGCACTCAGGGAGACGTCAGTGGCGCTGTGTCGGAATCTTGCCTCGGGCAACGGGTGAACCTGGCACCAGGTATTATCCTGTCGTAGCCAGCAGTCGTTAAGAGGCGCGGTAGGGGAGGCTCGGCCGCCAATCAAGATACAGTCGCCCTTCTTGCCCAGAGCAGTGATGGTATGGCACATCCTCGTGGGGATATCACGAGATGGAAATGATGAAACCGTTTCCGCAACGTCAGAACGAGAATACAAGTCGGTGGTGGCGAGTCGAGCTTGTTCTCCCTGGCCTCCATGATGACCGATCGTGTGAGGGCCGTCTGGCAGCCAGGCCCCATATCGCCGTCGTCCACAACCTTGGCCTGTTGGAAGAGGCCCTTGCAGAACAAACTGAGGGGAGACATTTCCCTCGGTAACTTCCGTTTCGTTGGCCACCCCGGCGAGCCCGGTCGTTCCTGGTGAACCGCCGGGCTTAGTCGATGCAATGAGCAGGAAGAAGTGTGAAGCAAAGAGCGCCAACTCTTCCCATTCATCAAAGGCCTCGCACGAGTCGAGCCCGATCCGTACCGAGTCGACCAAAAATGGACTATTGGACCAAAGATCCCACAGAGTTTGAGCTCGTGCGTGAGACCATCCGGACTCTCTAAAGCGCTGTTCCTGCTCAGCAAGCGATGGGTATTCATTGGTTGAGAACAAAGGTGCTTTAAGGTTCTCATAATGCAGCATCATTCCCTTCGCGTATGGGTGGTTAGGTCCATCTGGAAAGTATTTCTCAAGGAGGCAGAATTGGACGTCTGCGGAGGGTTAGTCGCATGCAGACCAGTCGTTTTGCTGATAATGGGTCAAGCAATGAACTCACCATTCGTCAATTGCGAAGCCCAACTCAGGACTGCATTGGCAGAGGGGATTGGCATATAGGTCAAAGACATCTCGGCGAGAAAAAGAACAGGGCATTCAGAGTCGGGGAGAATGCTAGTCCGTAGCACATCATCAAGTTTCTTCAGGTTTTTCAAATCACACCCCACAGCAATATACTGTGAGCTGCGGATTTGGATAGCATCCTGATCTTGGCCGAACTCGACATCTCCAAGGACTTCAGTGATCTCTCGGGTTTTGCGGATCGTATCCCTCTTGTAAAGGATGAGCTTCTCATAGTCGATATCGACGAAGATAGTGTTCCCGGCATGTCCCGATTTCTTTTCCTCGCTAAGCAGCACAAAAGGCAGTGAATCACTACAGCCACATTATTCAGTATACTCCACAGTCACGATGCGGTATCTACAACTCACTATCCGCATCCGAGGTTCAAGACGAATTTCGGCTTATCTGCTGGCGCGTTTTCCATGAACTGCCGTACAGTCTGGGCCATTGCATGCATGCGCAGCCAGTATCCGCGATTAATGGTCGGCGATCGGCGCTGGGGCTTTTTAACAAAGTAGCGGAAGAAATGGGGCTTGGGGTAGTAGATCATCTCGACACTTCGCTTGGATATAATGCTGCTGTTGTTTGTCTGTGATGGGTGTCATTATCAATCCCAATGCCCTTCCACGCCCTTACAAAGACGGAGCACATACCCCCATAACTACCTCAGCATTCTTTTCGGCCTTAGAGGCCGCCGACATGGCTGGTCGCGAGGCCGCCATTATGCGGGCAAATAATTAATTGACAGTGCGGCCAAGTACGCAGCACGCGCTATCGATAAGAACTTCGTAGGCGGTGGGCAATCAAGGTGTGGCCCAAGCGCCTCGGTGAATCTCGCTTGCAACGACGAAGGTTCCTTCAGGCTTCCCCAGAAGCTTGCATCCTCAGCGCCTCCGCGTCGTTGCTGCCCCAACTGGTCCTGGCACTGTCGGGAGATGATAGGGAGTGTCCGGTGACGGGTGACTCCTTGCTGTCGCAGCCCCCATCTCCGTCGCATCCCCTCAAGCGGGGTACACCGTCCGCTGCTCGTATAAATACCTCGGCGACATCACGTCGCGCGCCTACCCGCCAACATGGCTATGAATTTTGTGACGTTCAACCAGGATTTCAGCTACCTTGCTGTCGGTGAGCTCCCCTTTCCCTGCCCTTTCCACAGATTCTACCAAACCGCAAGTGCCAGTTTACTGACGTCAACCAGCCACCTCCAAGGGATTCCGCATTTTCACCACCGACCCATTTGCGAAAAGCTATGAGACAAAAGAGGGAAATATCGCTGTCATTGAGATGCTGTTTTCCACATCCTTAGTAGCGCTTATTCTATCCCCGCGACGGTTACAGATCACAAACACCAAGGTTTGTCGACGCCTGCAATGCAAAGCAGCTACCATAAGCACCATGTGGGAGTCGGACTTGGATCAGCGGATCTGATAAACTTTTCTTGAACAGCGTCAAAGCACAATATGTGAACTTACGTTTCCCACCACGGTCCTATCTGTGAAGCTAAACCGGAAACGTCTGGTTATCGTGCTAGAAGATCAGATCTACCTCTACGATATTCAGACCATGGGGCTATTATCGACGATAGACACTTCCCCCAACCCTCACGGTAAGTGAGAGCTTTAAACCTTATTGGATGAACTTGATTGTATTGACAGAATCTTCTTTCAGCGATCTGTGCCTTAGCTCCGTCGTCGGATAATTGCTATATGGCATACCCATTACCTCAAAAGGCCCCTGCAGCTATCAAACAGCCAGCCCACGCTCCCCCTGGAACCACTCATGTCTCGCCGACAAGCGGAGAGGTACTCATATTCGATGCGGTCAAACTCGAAGCGATTAATGTCATAGAAGCCCACCGCTCCCCACTAGCCTTCATCACACTCAACAGTGACGGAACCCTACTCGCGACAGCTTCAGACAAGGGAACTATCATTCGTATTTTCTCGGTACCTGATGGTCATAAATTATATCAATTTAGACGTGGCTCCATGCCCTCCCGGATCTACAGCATGTCTTTCAACACCACGTCTACCCTCCTCTGTGTTTCTTCATCCACCGAAACGATTCATCTTTTCAAACTGAGTCCACAAGGTCCATCATCAGATGGATCTTCAGCACATTCGCCTGTTGGTCGTGAGCAAAGCGGAACTAGCCATTACAGCAATCTACACGATGAGGACGACATGGGCGGCGACTCAAACGCAGATCTAGCCTCAAGAAAGCACAATGGTACTTTAATGGGGATGCTACGCCGGACATCTCAAAACGTCGGTGGTGCTGTTGCGGCAAGGGTGGGTGGATATCTTCCCAAGGGGGTTAGCGAGATGTGGGAGCCGGCGCGAGACTTCGCCTGGATCAAGTTGCCCCGATCAAGCCAGGGGGCCGGGGGCAATGGAAACGCCGCCCCCATTCGGAGTGTTGTAGCTATGAGCAGCAACACCCCCCAGGTGATGGTCGTGACTAGCGATGGCAACTTTTATGTCTTCAACATCGATTTGTCGAAGGGTGGGGAAGGGACTCTCACAAAGCAGTACTCGTAAGTTTCGTAGCAATTTTTGTGCTGGATACCCTTCGTGCTAATTGAAACCCACAGGGTGGTTGATTCAAATGACCGGTTAGGATACCCTGCGGTGGAGTATTGAGTGCTTTGTTCGGCTACACAAGCGTCTTCCCTGTCGCTCATCTAAGCTCCGTGGAGATTCCAGTATAGCCAAACAAAGCAAGGTATTTTGTTTTCTTTTAGGCGGCATTGTGTTTTTTGACAAGTGGGCGTTCATTATTCATGTTTTTCCCCTATCTTGTTTCCGTTAGGGATTAGCCACAGATGGCTCTCACTCTCTACTCTTTCTCGGCCATTATTCCCCTCGTTCCAAGCGATAGCGTTTTTTTTCTTCTCTCGTCTATTTCGGCGGCTTCAATTATGCTCCTGGTTTCCTGGTGATGTTCGACCCTTGGTGGGCTTGAGTTCTTCAATTCTTGTGGTTGGCAAGCGTTTTGTTTTGATATTTATTGCCACCTCGATAATGAATTCTGAATACCTAAGCCGACCAATTCAAGAGCCTGGAGAAATTTCGGCCTTGGCCATGAGTCGCCTCGATGTTTATTGTTATTAATAAGCACTCTATCTCTTTATCTCTTCATTAATCCTAGCAGGAACTGGAAGTCCGTGTTTGGGAAATTCACCGAAGTTTGAACGCAGGTGGGTCTCGTCGAAAGCCCAAACTCTAAATAACCATGTTTTGTATCGCTAAGTCAGCTCTATGTCTAATATCTATGTATTCTTGAATGCCGTTTCGATGTCTTGCAAGTATGTTCAATGATCCATGTACAGTGAGTGATTGGTCGGTCCAATCTCTCCGGGGCCGCCTCCGGGCGAGATGCCCGGGCTCACGGCGAGCTCCGCCTTTCCGTCCAGAGTGGGTCAACAAAGTAGACCAGGCCGTGCCCGATGGCAGCCGCGAGTGGTCCAATCTATGGGCGGTTAGCCGAGGCCATGATAAGAGAACCGTCTAAAAGAGGCAGGGCCAGCAGAAGTCAAGCTTACCCAGTGGATCCAATGATAGGAGGGGAATTCCGACGCCACATAGGCTCCCAGGCACCGTGCGGGATTGAGACCTGCAGATAAGAAGACGGGGGTTATTTAAATGCTCCAACTCGCCCCAACTTTCCTCTCGGGTTCCTTTTGCCTATCCCTTTGGGACGTTTGAGGCCGTGGCTACTTACTCGCTCCGATGTACCCTTCCCGGGTGAAGGCGGTCCCCCACGCAACCACTCCAAGGACAATGCCTACAAACCATGGAGAAGTGGCGTGGCCAAATACTTCTGCCTGTCGTGGATCAAGGGCCACGCCGAATGCCAGGAAAATAAGGATCAGGCATGCCACAAACTCAATGACCAGGCCATCTTTGGGGTCCACCATGCTTGTATCAATATGGCATCCACCTACAGTGAACTTTCGGGTGCCGTAGGCACTGTGCAGCATCAAACCTGCGAGGGCTCCTCCCAAGGTTTGCCCGGCCACGTACAGGACCATTCGTGGAAACGAAATGATCCGTGCAAAAAAGGTGGCTAGGGTAATTGTTGGGCTTATGTGGCCTCCGCTTGAGGGGGAAAAGGTGTAGATAAGCAGCGGGGTCAAGAGAAGATTGGTGATGCCGCCGAACAGTGGAGAGAAGAAGGTCACAGTGCTATAGACGCCCGCCTCGGTCGTGGGAGACGTTGTCTTCGATAACGGATGCGTCGTCACCCAGGACGTGATGAAGACATTCATCATACTTGCTATATAGATCAAGACAGGACATATTAGCCAACTGGGCTGGATATCAAACATGTACGCACATTCCCATCGGGATGCCCAGATCGATTCTGCCTGGGATCACGGTGGGAGAGACTGAAGGGGTGGGGGGTGGCTTCAATGCTTACCAACGCATTCCAGCATTGCGAACTTCCATAGATCTGGACTCAAAAAGCCCCGGAGATCGAAGATCTCGGCCAACGTCATGCATGGTGCCGCATCGGGGACCTTTTCCAGCACGTCCACATTCTTCGGGTCATGTCGATCGACGATGAAGTCCTGGTTTCCGCCGAGCCGGCCGGCGAATGGAGCAATCGCCGGCTCGAGGTACGTATGATCATCCTTCCCATCGAGCTCGTGAGACGGCAGATAAGCTATGACCATGATGGGCGATTGGGTTTCAGGCGCATTGGGCTGTGAAACAATCCTTGGCTGCAAGGATCGAAACGTAACGGGCCGCCCGGCCATTGGTGGACGCCCGCTGACTCAGCCAGGCAGACTTTTACTCGGCGAAACTGATCACGTTGCGGTTGGCCGAGCCAATCAGCGGTTGATATTCCTGGGGTCGAAGTTGGCCGAGCCAATCATAATGCGTCCTTCCAATCCCCTCCGCCCCTATATGTCAAGGAGATCAGGGATAGACGACGGATCATATCACGATACGGATCATGACGAGTCTCGAGCCCAGAAAGGGAGAGCTTTTGGATAACATGATAGCGTGATAGGGCAAACCATAAAAGGGGTTGTGGTTTGCTAATACGAATTGGTACCTCCTGATAGTCGCCGATAACACGGATAAGTTCCCGTTTTCCCTCCTGAACTATGACCGAGCTTGGCCTCCCAGAGACCTATAAAAAATAAATCAAGAGATATGCAACTTACAGGGATCCCTCACCTAGCCTGCGCTCTACACCGAGCACAATCCAATCCCACTTTCAATGATTAATATTAATCATACCAAGCTCCATCCACTCCTTATTTCTTACCCCACAGAGTGCGTAGTTGGCCGATCTCCGCCCTGGCCGGTGAACGATTAGTCAAGGAAATGGGCTGGACCATCTCCACGCCATATCCAATAGTTGGCAGTTGACTGGGTAACCCGTAAACTTTTCAGTGACCCTACCTACATCTTGATTGACGAACGGCTGACTGACTCGGGCTGCTCAGTCGCGCACCTAGATTCTCCTCCGTGATCCACAAGGGGCAACGGGTGTGCACTTGATTAAAATCATCCAGGTCCAGGTGGTGATGAAAAGCCGCGGTGCCTACGAAGCAGAAGAGACCCATTGTGATACATTACGGACCGGAAAGCTGATCTCAAGATAGATTCAGGAATGCTGAAGGAAACGAATATTGGCCTGCATACTGTATCGAATTTAAATAGTTGAAAGAATCCAACCTTAAAATCAACTAGGAGTCAGAAAGCATTCAAGTCTCCCGGATTTTCCACCCTAGGATTTATTTGGCCATTCGAAAGCCAGAGGGTAGAATTGGTTAACCATAAATGTAATCTTGCAGATTTGCTACAAAGACTACAATAATCATTTTTGGCACCGATGCATTGTCCCGCGAATCTAGTGATGCCGGCTAGATATGTCTAGCACAATCTGTAAATAACTGGCAGCACGCTCTCTCCAAGAAGTTCGATAGGCAATTAGATAATCGCATAATTTGGCCTCAACAAGTTGCTACCCCTTTCTATGAACGACTTTGATATATACATTGGATGTGAGTTGGATGGCTTTTACAAGGAGATGTGTAGGACTTATTTATCCAATTATAACAAGCGACAAGAGAAGAGCCTTTATGAGCAGCTGCGATAGGTATGAGAAATAGACGAAATGAGCTACAGGATAGACATCCAGATGCATGGCGCTATTGATGCGATCCATTCGGACTGAGGGGGAGGCTCCCGGGACCGATGCAAATTAAACAAACATGTGCCGCATCTCGGCCCGCCGGCCTGGCGCATTCAGGTATCTGCTTGAAGATTGTGGTCGTGTGATAAACTTGCCGGTACACTGAATATTGATATTGTACATGTTTCCTTTGGTCAAGTGGGTTTGGTCTCAGGTATACTCAACCGATCTTCAAACTCCGGACTCCTGAAGATTTCTGTCTGCCCCACCATAGACAGACTTGCCGATGATTGCCCAAGATCGGGAACAAACGAATCGAGGGCCAAAAAAGGATCGACAACCCTCGAAAAGTCTCAATGCTTTGCAGGCGGGCATTAAGGAGTTTCTGAAAGATCCAGTATTTCTAAGCCAGCAAGATCAGGCTTCACTTGAAAAACTTCAAAACTCACTTCCCAAACGCTTCACGATTTATGAACCTCTTGTGCTTCTCCCAGCGAACACATTCCAATCACCGCCTGCATGGGGCGCATTTTGTTCAACCTTATCCCCTGAACAGCGGGAGTTACTTTATGCCTCGATAGCGAAAGCATTCAATCGGTTGGGGGCCACGCATCTTGCCGTTAATGCTCCCATTGCCCAGACCAACACCCAGGGCCAAGAAAACCGCATACGCAGTCCGGCCGGCCTTATCCCATTACATGGTGATTTTGGAACAGCCATTTCGACGACAGGACAGGAGGAAGACATTGCTCAGCCTAGTCCGGCAGACCTCGAGAGTGCATTCTGGGTACGCACATCTCAGAACCAGGGCATCGTGCAAATATGGGCTCCACTATATACGATGTTCTCGCGAGGGAACATCACTGAAAAGGCACGAATCCTTGACCAAGGACCATCCCAAAATACATTCATGGGACTGGATGAGCAGTCATTGGCTCAACCTGTTTCAAATACCAGTGTCGTTGACATGTACGCTGGGATTGGATACTTTGTCTTTTCGTATCTGAAGCGAGGCGTCAAGCGCGTATGGGGATGGGAACTGAATGGTTGGTCAGTGGAAGGTCTGCGCCGTGGCTGCGAAGCGAACAAATGGGGATGTAAGGTTGTCCGTGTTTTGAACAACGGAGAACTGAGCATCCCTGTTGAAAAAATTATGGAAACGCTCACAGACATAGACCGGGTGGTGGTCTTCCACGGAGACAACATGTTTGCGGCAGATGTCATGTCGAGAATTCAACGAATTATGGAAATTGAAGGAACATGGTCACCTGTCCGCCACATCAATCTGGGTCTTCTGCCATCGTCACAGCCATCTTGGGACAACGCTTGCAGAATTCTTGACATGAAACGAGGAGGCTGGCTCCATGTCCACGAAAATGTAGATGTGCGTGAAGTTGAAGAAAAAAAGACGGAAATTATGAGTGGATTGGCAAGGCATCGCATGCTTGTCTACCAGCAACAGGGGCATTCGGAAGAGCCTATCGTTGATTGTTGTCATGTGGAACATGTCAAGTCATATGCCCCTGGTGTCATGCACTGCGTCTTCGATATTCAGCTCTCTGCTCCGAGGGATCCCGGAAATTGATTGATTATTGTTGGATCGGATAAAATGGAGGAGCGACTAATGGAGCCGTCACATGAACGGCTTGCCGGGCTTTGTATATCATTTTAAAAGCAGAGGGAATGCCAACTGCCCTGCTTTAATAGGATCAACTGGGAGCGTCACCAGCAAACTAAGAGAAACTTAAAAATCTCACCCACAATCAATATGCCAATGCCTATGTACATGAACATGAAAGTAAAAACATCTGTTGAATCTCTTGAAGAACTAGACATTGCGACGGAATTTGGAGGGAATGTTGGCGTCAACAACTTGCATTGCTTCTAGCATATCAAGCCGCTTTTGAGCAGCCTCCATGGCATCGTGTTGCCGGAAATGCTCAATATCCTCGGGATGAGTCAATTCCTCCTCTGTGGCATCTTCGCCGTGGTATTTCTCAAAGTGGTGGATCTCATATTCATATTCAATGTCGCCATGGTGGCCGGGGCCAAAGCCGAGGTCGGGCAACCGCGTACCGGCAGCGACCGCCTTCAGCCAGGCGTCGCGCTTAATGAAGCCCGTATTTTGGGGGTCGAAGAGGTCGAACACTGCGCGGACAGCAGATTCCTTGCGAGATTCGCTTACACCCTTATTGGATTCATCGTCAATGCCGTATGTCTTCCGTACTTCGTCGGGAGTCCATGCTCCAGAGGAATCATAGTCATGCAAGGTGAAAAAGAGGGCGCATCGAAGGATTCGATGTGATGTTCCTCTGTGCGACATGTTAACAGTCTTGACAATGCCATTGGTCTTGCAGATCACCCTTACCGATCATGTGTCTTGTGGCCCAGTCGTCGGATGGTGGCTGGTCATTTGAATGGGAGCCATGGGCATTAACAAGCCCACTCCCCAAGGCTAGTACCCCTGCAATAATACAAAGTAGACGTGAAACCATTGCTAAATTGTTGACAAATGAAAAGGGAACGAAAGCCAACGTATCTTGAATCCCAAGTAACGGGGGACGCAACCAGGCCGTGGCCGGGGCTTAGCTTGTTTGCAGTGTTTGCATCTCATATTTGGCTCCGGGAATTTCTCGACGGCATCTCGCATCGTCCGATCGTCAGTCCCACGCAAGTTTCCCATCGGACTCCGAGGGGGGTCCAATTGTGCTGCGCCAATACTTATTATTTCATAACGGGTTGATAGAGATGCTCTGATCATGCAGAGTTTGTGGTCCCGCGCTGCTCCGACGCAGTCGACCTGCCGCTGCGTTTCGTGCGTGAGCACCATCGCCAACGGGGTCGCCTCACGATCAGCAGCAGCAGCTAGCAAAAGACGACTGCGCATTGGCAATTCTGTTACCGCGCTCTATTCCACCATCTTCGCCGCAGCCGCCCTCGCCGACGCGAAAGCCAAAGACCAACGTCGAAATGACTGGGAGGAGAAAATTGCTGCCGTTAAAGCAGAGGTAAATGAGCTGGTTGATGAAGAAAAACGGATTTTGGAAACACTCCAATCACGAAGGAAGTCTCGGGAATTTGGCCGATTGACGCAAGCACGAGGATTTGGCACTCTGTCGACCAACTCCCGGCCACAACAACGAAATGTGTCGAAGCAGCCCACAAGGTCCTTTCACACTCAACATAGGCTATTCAATGCCGCACTCGCACGGGCCGAGGAAAGCTGGACGGCAGAAGAACTTGGTGATCTTGACCTTCAGGAGGCGGAGGCAAGTGAACTACGCGCCGCTATGAATGACCATCTAGAACCTTGGGTTCTGAATGACTCTCTGCGTATCAAGGCCATCCAAAAGCTCGCCTTGAAACAATTTGCTGTTAGACTCTTGTTACGTCCAACAATTGCCCACCGCTATTTGGGGCTCAAAAAGAACTATGGCACCGACTTCAAAATTCCGAAAATCGATGTTGAGAACCTTCTGGACGAGCTGAAATCCACCCGATACCGAATCAATGAGCTGAAAACGGTGAAAAATGTCGATTTCAATGACCTAATCTGTGATTATGTGGCGATGCGTTTTGAAGACGTACAAGAAGAGCGCCGGAGGCTTGATGAAGAGCTTTTCCTGGATATTCAGTCATTCATGAGCGAGCAAATGTCTTTACAAGAACTGCTTTTGCGGATTTCCAGTAATCTGCTCAGCTCGGTGGATCCGGACCGCACGACAGCATTCAGACACATGCTTATGACTTTCACACAAGCTCGTCAGAATGATCTGAACGAACTACTATTACGGACATTGTTGCCCCATCGCTTCTACCTCAGTACTTCACTCATCATCACGATCCTGTCATTTTTCCGCAAGTCCAAGAACCTTAAAGACTTTGACCTATTCCTCCAAATGCTGAGTGGCGATGGATATTCCGCCAATCTGGGAGCTATTGGTTACTTCCGACGTCGAAGAATTAATGGTCTGGATATGGTTATTCCACCCCTCAGTAGCAACAATTTCGTTATATACACAGAGTTGATTTCAACTGCATTGCGCTTCAACCAGCCGGATAGAGCGGATGCTTGGCTCCAAGCCGCACGGAGAGTTGGCTTTTTGGACAACTTTAATACTCTATTCACTTACATTCGATTCTACAGCATTCGACAGGACTGGGAAAAGGGCGTACACGCGCTCAAGAGAGCTGTCACATTCCTTGTGTCTTCAACGGCTCATTCAAGCAACCTTGTGGATCGACTGATACTCTATATGGTTCATTTCTGCGACTCATGTCGCAGAAAAGATGTCTCGGAAAGCTTGATCTCGGCGGCCATGTATAGTGGATTTAATCCCGAGATCCCATCCATACAAGACGAGATCGCGCCTCTCGTGGATATTGGTGGCGTGCGCTGGACAAAAGCTGCTGAGACTGCGCCGAAGGAGAACTCAAATCGTCAGCTATGGCAGAAGTGCGCTGATTTTGCGCATATCTTCGGTGAACAATTAAATGACCTCGAAGTGCCCGAAGACCAATCACGAACGCGACAACTGACCCGCTTATCTGCTATCCACGCGCAAGATGCTCTGGTCGCTGCTCTTGCAGACAATTCATCACTGTCCAAAACAGCACAGAAACAGACAGTCGTACGGAGTTCAGAAATAAAATCTGACAAAGTGATACATAGTCAAAATGGCCAAGGGGAAAATATGCAGAGCGCTGAATTTGCAGCATTGAAGGACGAAGTCTCTCAGCTTCGACAACTAGTCTTCGAGCTTCGCAAACATCATATTGAAGCTTCTTTCAAAACAGACCTTCATCATGATCTCGAGTTCGAGGACACCATGTCTCAAGCGCACAAACCAAGACAGACTTCGCATGAAACTGCTTTTCAACCCAATGAATCTCCTATGAGCGTGGAATTTCAAAGGATACCCAGCCCAGTCAACAGTGACCAGGGCCGCAGATCTTCTTCGCCGAATCTTTCTTTTCGGCCGGCCGCTGCCATGAGGGCGCCAGTTCAGGCTGACGATTCGTCATTTGCTGGTACAAATCACCAAGCTCGTTCAGCTATATCGGGACAGGCAAAAGGCCTTGGCTGGTTGGCTCACAGATCCAAGAGGAAGAATCCTACTTCTTGCGCGGAACGTGCAGCACGCGAAGGTTGAAACTGTCCAATTTGTGATAACATATTTTCGTTTTGTACATTATGATATATCGGATCTCCGAAATAGATGGGTAATAAAATACCAAATTAAACGATTGAAGTGCTGGTTTCACAAAATTCGAGTCTAAGTGCTGTAATTATGTCGTTTTGCATCAATCCTGTTTGATTGGAATCAGATGTATACATGTATTCTTCATAGTATTGTTGGAACGTTTAAAATGAAGGGGAACTGCGGAATTGTCTTCTATTTTGGAGGTTGAACAGAACCTCCGGCTGCAAAAAGGGAATCGAAAACCCAAAGAAATTATTCCATATGAGCGCAATGAATGGCTTGTCTATCTACCGGCGCTTCTCAGAGCGCATTTTCTCTTTGCGAGCGAGTCGATCAGCAGCACGGACAAGGGCGGAACGGATGTCACCCTTGGCGAATGAATCGATGTCGTAATATGTGGGTGCGATATCCTGAAAAATGTTAATAAAACCGGAGGGCGAAGGGATGGATGCTTCGAACGTACCAGGAGCCACTCGGGCTTGACTGCGGTCACAGTTCGGATATAGTTCTTGGTGGTGAGAACAAACTCGTTATACAGGACCCATTCCGCATCATGGGCCAATACCGTGGACGGATGCAGCAGAACACTTTGGTTATCCTTAATCGTGGTATAGACACTCTTGCCCTGGGCTTCCTTCTTGGCAACTTGCATGAAGAAACCGGCACAAAGGGCACGACGGATGTTCTCATAATACTTCTTGTCTTCGAAAGGGGTTGAAACCATCTCAAGCTCTTCACGCTCCATGATGCGAAGAAGCTGCGAGCGGACATTGTCGGCGGACTGGAGTGATCGAAGGGCAAGGAAATGGTCGTGGCACCACTGCTTCGGGTTCGCCTGCGCTTCAGCAGTTCTGAATGCATGGTAAACATTCAGGAGGGTGAGGTGATCACCATCCTGGTGAGCGAAAAGATTCTTCATCTCATCTGCACGCTTGCGCTGAGAGTTCGGCCGAACAAAAACTTGTGGAACAGAGAGCAGGGCTGTGATGGAGAGAATTTCGTTTGAGCAGTAAAATTCCGGGGAACTGATCAACATGACAGCAAGGGCCGGGTCAAGAGGGAACTCCGATGCCGTACGGCCGAGCTGGGTTAGGTTTCCATCGTCATCTAGACAGGCCAAATAGTTCAACTCCTCTAGCGCTCTCATGAGAGTCTCGGGAGCAGGAGGGTCCATCAGGTCGAAGTGAACAAGGTCATCAATCCCAAGCTTCTTTAGCTCAAGCACAGTAGATGCCAAGTTCGACCGGAGAATCTCAGGGTAGGTCTGCTCGATCAACTCCTTCTTAAAGGCCTCTTCAGTGTAGAGACGGAAGCACTTTCCTGGGCGTGTACGACCGGCACGACCGGCCCTTTGTTGCGCTGATGCTTTGGAGATGGGGGAGACCAAGAGAGACTCGACACGAATACGAGGGTTGTAGATTTTCTGCTTGGAGAAGCCCGGATCCACCACGTAGACAATTCCATCGATAGTGAGGGAAGTCTCGGCAATGTTGGTGGAGACAATCACCTTTCGCCCAGGACGGCCACCCTTGCGCAAAGGAGCTGGCGCGGGGTCAAAGATGCGCTGTTGCATATGGGGTGGCAGACTTCCGTAAAGTGGGTATACTTTGATAGGACCGGCATCGGCCTCCCTTACCATCTCATCTCCCTCCATCGCGATCTTCCGAGCAGCATCTTCAATCTCTTCCTCACCAGTCAAGAACACAAGAATATCACCTTCGTCCTCGGTGGCATGGATCTGCAGAACAGTCCGAATTGCAGCCTCAACATAGTCCTGTTCGGGCTCAGGAGTATAGAAAACTTCGACAGGGTGTGTTCGGCCAGGCACAGCAAGAAGGGGTGCATCCATGAAGTACCGCTGAAATTTCTCCGCGTCTAAAGTAGCAGACATGATGATGATCTTCAAGTCCGGTCGGCGGCCGACCACCTCTTTCAATAAGCCCATCAGGACATCAGTTGCCATTGTTCTTTCGTGAGCCTCGTCCAGCATGATGGTGCTGTACCGCGACAGGTTGTGATCGTGCATTGCCTCTCGCAACAGCATACCGTCGGTCATGTACTTCAGGATAGTTTTCGGGCTGGTCTTGTCCTCAAAACGAATGCTATAACCAACTTCGTCTCCAAGTTTAACATCCATTTCCTCCGCTACACGTTGGGCGACGGACATGGCAGCCACACGACGGGGCTGGGTACATGCGACCATCTTGCGTTGAGTTTGAGGGAGGTCGTCCCAGAGGACGAACTGCGGGATCTGAGTGGTCTTTCCGGAACCTGTTTCACCGACGAAGACCAAAATTTGCGATTGCTGGTAAAGTTGAAGGAACTCATCACTACAGAAAATCAGACATCAGCACAAAGTTTTGCAAGGCACCGGGGAAGTCCTGCTCACCGTTGTTGATGGACAGGCAAGTCGCGTCGAGTTTTCAATATAGAGAGGTATTTGCTGGAAAAGGGGTTGCCATTGAAAGGATTGATGTCGCCATCCTCGACTTTCTGCGCCATCGCGGCTGTCGTTTGGTGCCGTTTGAACTTCGCCAGCGGCGAATTCTTGTCTGCGCCGTTGCTGTCCTCGTACATGTGGGCAAGGTAAGGGTTGTTCTTGGGGTCGCCCGCGTCCATCTTTTGGCGCTTGGTGCGAGCACCGTCCTCCGAATCTGAGCGGCGGTCACCCATCTTGAATGATGTGGTTGAAAGTGTTGAAGAGTGCAAACTCGGAGGTTGATAAAAAAACTCGGATAGGAAAGTTGAGCGGCGATCGCCCCAGCTGCCTATCTGGCTCACCGCCCCAGCTATTCTGCCGCACCCCACAAAGGGATTGAGGGGACGCGGTGGAACACGCAGGGGTTTCTAGGCGCGTCTTCCCTGGCTTCGCGTGAGAGATACCAACCGTGGCCACCTGCTGTTTTGTGTAGTGCCCCTTTGAAGTGTCTTGAGCGCATTCCACCGGGTATAACACCCCCGGCTTCGGGTTGACCCCACCACGCCTCCAACAGCTCCTCATCAACATGGATAGCTACAGTGGTTCGGAAGATTCAGGACCTACGTTCTGTATCGGTCATCATGAGACCAACAGGACACTAGCAGTGACTCCTCAGGTAGTCCAGAGAGTTCATGAGAGCAACGTTCGTCCCATACTCTCAAATTAGAAATCCGTTTACATCTTTCGGAAACACTGATTATTAACTTTTCCCAGTATGATATGCTCACTGTCCCGATCACGACGCCGCATTTTCACTCCCGGGTCCTAGGGCTGCTGTCGTCCTACTTACCTAACCTACAGTCGCCATCGTACGATCCGATTGGGACCATGGCGACTTCGCAGAATACAAGGCCTTTGCTAATTCCTCCGCTGTCAAAATTGGACTCGAATCTTACACCTAACGAGGCTACTAGCCAGATCGTCGGAGTTACAAGCAGCTGGATTGATCTCTGCTCACCTGATCCACTGATTGCGGACTTGTCTCGCCAAGTTCTCATGCTGGAAGTCGCGTATGCCGCATTTTGTGGAATCGGTTATCTTCTGATTCCCAGCCCCAAGCTGCACCACGGTGGCACCCACTCGGAAGGTGTGGTCTTTTATGCTCGAGCTATCCAAGACGCCCTAAATCTGGGTCCCTACATCCAATTCCATATCTGGTTGCGGATGGTAGATTCGCCCGACCTCGAGGTTGATACCATGGGCGATTTAGCCCCTCTCGCTCGTGAGGAATACCTTCAGCAAGAAGTAGGTTCTTCGGCAGGTGTCGACCAGTTTGGGACTTGGGATGCCTGGGACCTGATTCGCAAGACCTGCAAATACCACACTCGCTTGTTTGTGGGTATGTATATTTTGCTTTTCGGTTCGCATTTCTTCTTCAAACCGACTACTGACGTGGATAACAGCGCTTATGATGCCCAAGCAACTGCCGCCTTTGCCTGTTCAATCCCGCTGGCATTCAGAACCTGTGCACTTGCTGAGCATCGATGGATTATCATTTCTGAAGAATCAGAAGGGATATCCCGTGCTGTCCAAGGCACACCAAGCCTTGATAGCAAAGCTAATGCGCCTTCGCACCCCGCCCTGGATTCTACTCTGCGACGTTGGTCAGATTCCTGGACTTGATGGCGCTGATGATGTCGACGCCAAACAGTCGCAGTTGTCTGGATCCGAATATCCTAGTTTGTCACAAGTGTCGGGTGCGACGAAGAAACACTTTGATCCGACCCCACACCTCTCTTACATTCGAAATCTGCAACAAAGACAGCCACCGCGAACTCCCATCGAAAGATTTGGTACCGGCTACCAGGACTATTTGCAGGCACCTCTACAGCCTCTTACGGTCAATTTGGAAAGCATCACCTATGAAGTCTTCGAGAAGGACCCCATCAAGTATGAGTGGTACGAGCGAGCAATCACCAAAGCCCTGAGAGATTGGGCCGACCAAAAAAAACCTACCTCCCACCCTGATGGCAAGGTCATCCTGGCTGTTGTAGGCGCGGGCCGTGGTCCCTTGGTAACCAGAGCCCTCAAGGCCAGCGCCGAGGCGGGGGTTGAAATTGATCTTTGGGCCGTCGAAAAGAATCAAAACGCCTTTGTTCTGCTGCAACGACACAACGAAACTATCTGGAATGGAAAGGTCACCCTTGTCCAATCAGATATGCGGAGTTGGAAAGGTCCTCGTGTGCGCCGACAGGCAACCCAGGATGAAGGCGCTGGTCAGGTCGGGGAATCATTGGGTGTCGATAATTCTCTTCTCTACACCCCCAAAAAAGGAGAGAAAGATGCTGGTCAGGCATCCGAACCCTCTGGCCATAGTTCTGAAATGACATATACTCACGTCGACATTGTGATCTCGGAACTTCTCGGTTCATTTGCCGATAATGAGCTGTCGCCGGAGTGTTTGGATGGCATCAATGATCTTATCAACCCGGTGCATGGGATTTCTATTCCCGCATCTTATTCGGCCCATCTAACACCAATCTCTGCGCCGAAGCTTCATTCTGATGTTACAAATCAGACCGTGTCCAACCCTGCGGCTCCAGAAACACCATATGTTGTTATGCTTCACGCCATTGATTTCTTGTCTACTTCGGACTCGTCGACTAATGCTGAGATCGGGAACCAACAAAATGCGAACCGCTCCTCGGGGATGACCGGGTCTGCTTCGGCTACCGATTTCGCACCCCCTTTGTGCAGACCGCATGGTCCTTCTCCCACCCAAATCGTAACATCATGCCGCAGTCGCCAATGCATTCCACCATTTCTAATGCACACAACGTGCGGCAGACTCGCTTATCCTTCCCCATTCAGAATAGGGGCGTATGTCATGGAATTGCTGGATATTTTGAGACCGTGTTATACGGAGATGTTGAGCTTTCAACTAACCCGGTGACCATGGATGAGAAGAGTGCCAGCATGATCAGCTGGTTCCCCATTTATTTCCCTCTCAAGGTACGTCACTGGCTCAAAGCTGGATCATCTGATTAGCGATGCTCGCATCTTCGCATTTCACTGCTTGATACAATACTAACTACCTGGGAATCCAGACTCCTTTGAATGTCCCTGATAATGGTGAGGTGGTGATTACTATGTATCGCCAGACGGATGACCGTAAAGTCTGGTATGAATGGATGGTCGAGGTTTTCAGCCTTGAGCGCACCAATGCATCTTCAACAAGACTCAACACGCCGGCCATGAGTGGTGGCCGCTCCGTCTCTCCTAGCACGGAGAGTTTGAAGACCAAGGAGCCCACTCACAACATGCAAGGGAGCACAGCGAACAGAGCGGAATATCGTCGTGTCCGAGTTGGGATGAGTGAGATGCATTCAAGCATAAAGGAAGGATGTTTGATGTAAGGGTGTGTTATCTGGATGAATACAAAGGGGTCAACGCTCGTGAAGAGCTTTAATGTGCCCTTTGATATCTGCAAGCCTTTCTCTATGTGCTTTGAAGGCTGCATTGAAATCGAGAAAAGAGATGGTAGCTAAATCATCATTATCGTTTGCTGCTATTCACTCTTTCATGAGAAACTAAAGCCTCCACCACCCTCGGCTCGCGCCTCCTTCCCATTCAATCTTCCGTTTGACTATCTAAATTTTACCTACCAAACTCAATTGATAGCTAATACTCGAAGCCATGATGCTACATTACCTCATTATCTGCGTTCATCGAGCTGGACTAAACTCTAGTTCGGTTTTGAAACGAGTCGGAATCAACGATATCAAGCGCATCCGGACCGCTTGACACTGATGTAACCAGAGTTCAGCAACTGAGCTTCTTAATTGCCTGCTATGCATCCCCGTGGAATGTGTTCAACGGGCGAATACAGGTAACATGCAACTGCCCTTTAGTCCAAACGGGCTTTGCCAGCCTTTCTGCTAGATGCGAGGGCACCAGCCAGACCAAACTGAGTAGAGGTCCCATCAATGCGATGAACAGAGTTCAAGTTCTTGACGACGACCATTTGATAACAGGTTGCGGAGCCTTGGCGAGATGCGATGACAGACCACGCAAGGAAGAGCTCCCAAATCTGTTCACCGTCAGCTTGGGCTCAAGACAAAGAATAAAATGGAAACCACTGGAACACTTACTCTGTACCACCTCATTCCGTACTTTGCTTTTATTGCTTCGATATTTCCGGTCCAGTTACGATACCATCTCCAGAGAGTTCCGGAGTAGTGGACACCGACAGTATCAATTCTGTGAGTCCTCATCAGCATCCATTTTGTCAAGAACATAAACTGATCGACAACTTACCCTTTGATCTCAAATCCAGCTTGTTCCAAGCACTTCACGTAGTACCACAGAGGAGTGGAAGCGTCGGCGCCACGAAAGATATACTTGTTCAAATACAAACCCCAGATGAAATCTTCATACTGCCAGGCTTGTCTCAAGCCCGAAAGCTGTACATACATGGCTCCATCATCCTTGAGCATATCATAACACTGACTGAAGAACGTGGTAAGTCTCCGGATACCGACGTGTTCACCCATTTCCAGCTGTGTGATCTTGTCGTATTGAGTGCGGGGAATATCACGATAGTCCATGCAGAGAATTCGGCTCTGTTGATCAGAAATACCAGCGTTTCGGAGAGCATCATTACCCCAAGCGGTTTGGTTCTCTGCAATGGTGAGACCCGTTACCTTGGCGCCATAGTTCAGACTAGCGAATCTGGCCAGTGTGCCCCAGCCACAACCAATATCGAGCATCGTTTCTCCTTCTTTCAAGTTTATCTTTTCGCAGACGACCGCCATCTTGTTATCCTGCATTTCCTCCAGGGTTTCTTCCCGCTCTAGGTCCGAGATGATTCCCGAGGTATAGATCATACGAGGACCGAGGAACCACGCATAATGATCGTTGCCGCAGTCATAGTTAGGGCGGACCTGCTCATCATCCTGGGCCTTCGTGTGGAATATCACGTCGATGAAAAATGTAAAGATGATGAATTTGAATAACTGCCAGGTGAAGGAGAAGTTTGCCCAGTCATGCCGGTATTCCATGACGTCCAGTGTGTCGCCGTTGAAATCCACCAAGCCATCCAGGTACATCTCAGCAAATGTCTGCATAGGAATCTTGTTCTTTCCATGCCATTTTGCCCGATCCTCTTCGCGTTTGAAGGTCACATAGGATTCAAGGGGCCGGCCCGGCAACTTGACTCTGTTGTGAGTGGGTCTGCTCCAGGTAGAAGTCCAGGTCCAAAACGCCACTAAGACGGGAAGGGCCGAAACCAGGGCGAGGAAGATGAATGTCTTGATGCCACAACCTAGTAGGAGTGTCACGAGGCCCGGAACACCGATGAGAGCGCCGGCTAATAGGAGGTTAGAGAAGCTCTCATTTCCAGGGCCATCGGCGGGTAAAGGGGGATTGTTAATGGCTGGAGACTTGAGAACGCATTATTTAGCAAGCGATTTCTCAATTGGCAGACGAAACTGGTGCCCACTAACGCTGGTCAGGGCAATCCCGCAGTCCTCTCCGGATTGGAATTGCGAAGGTCGGGCCGCGGGGGTCTTGATGAACTCGATGTCATTGGACAATTCGACACCCTTGGATCCTCCCATAGTTTCAATTGGCTCCAGTCCCAGGGATTTGAGGGATTCTCTCGTTGCTGTCTAGCCTGGACTCTGTATATCAGGGATACCAGAGAAGGAGCGAGCGGACTGGTTATCGTGACTTGGAGTGTCAGATCCAAGTCTCGGGAGCTGCGCTCGGGGCCCGCGGGCTCCCGGGAAAACAAAACAAACCGACCACTCCGGAACCTCGGCGAACACGTAATGCACCGCAATCAATTCATCGCCGCGCTAAGAACTAACTATTGTCTGGCTTGATCGACAGACCGCGTCGGCCTTCCTCACCCCCTCCCATCCTCCATCTTTGCGTGCTTTTTGAATGGTTCCTACTAGCAGTGTCTCCGCCCACCCACACCGCTTCGCGTTGTGGGTGTGCCACACTCAGATTACCACCCACACTCAAATTTCCACTTTTTCCTATTTCCCTATTTTTTGCTTCCCTATCCAAGACCACCATCTAAATATGCCTAAATTTGATGAATCTCGTATGGCTGAGGCCTGCCTAGCTGCATCACGAGAGGAGAAGCCGAATATAGCGCGTTTAGCACGTGAATTCGGCGTGCCTAGGCGTACGCTTTCGAATCGAATCAAAAAAGGAGCAAGCCCTAATATTAGCAAGAATGCTAGTAAACGCGCTCTAGAACCCTATCAAGAAGAAGCCCTAGTTCGCTGGATTCAATATATGAACGATTGCTATATGCCTATCACTCCTAGGATACTAGAATCGTGGGCGAATCGTGCATGCCAACGCGTCGGGAAGCCGCCGATTAGCAAGATGTGGGCGTATCGCTTTGTTAATAGGCTTCCTAAACATCTTCAATTAGGGCCTACTAAGCAGTATACGAAGGAATCAAAGCGAATACTAGCAGAAGATCCAGCAGCATTACAGCATTGGTATGATCTACTAGCCCAAACAATCAAGAAGACTACGCCTGCACGTCTAGTCTATAACTTTGATGAATGCGGCTTTCAACCAGGCGAAGGAAGGTCTAGAAACGTTATATCTACTACTACTACTACTACTACTACTACTACTACTACTACTACTACTAGTAGTAGTAGTAGTAGTACTAGTAGTAGTAGTAGTAGGAAGATAGTAGACCTTCCTCAGCCAGACCAAGGCGAAAACATTACGTCTATCGAGTGTATAGCTGCCGACGGGTGGCAGATGGAACCCTGGTTTATCTTTAAAGGCAACGGCATCTTTATAGAATCTTGGTTTAATCAAATAGAGAACCTACCACCAAGAACTACTATTACTACATCGCCAAACGGTTGGATAACCGATAGTATAGCAGTTCAATGGCTTCGATTCTTTATAGAATCAATATGCGACCGTACGAAATTAGGTGAAAAACGTATCCTAATATTCGACGGTCACGGTTCGCATCTTACATTCGAATTCCTACACCTTTGCGAAGAGAATAATATCCTACCTATAGGATTCCTACCACATACTACACATCTTTGCCAGCCGCTAGACGGTAAGCCGTTTCTAAGCTATAAGCAACACTTCCGCTTAGCGAATAACGACTACGCGTTTTAGGGTGGAAGCCCTATCGGAAGATCAGAGTTCCTTCGAATAATCGGTGATATTCGGAATAGAGCGTTTAGCCAGCGAATTATTCGTGAATCGTTTAAAGATCGTGGGATATATCCAGTCGATAGTAGAAAGGTTATTAATAGCCTTCCTATCCAAGATCACCTAGGTCTTATAGCGCCAGATCTACAACCGCTTCATTCAACGCTTCATATAACACCTTCACCACCACCTATATCTTCTTCTAGTATCGACAAATCGCCGCCTAGATCTATACAGGATCTAGAGAAGAATCAAAGGAAGATTGCTAGATATCAACAAGAAGATCTTACACCTAGGCAGCAACGCAATCTTGACCGGTTATTTCATCATAACAAGATTGCTATAGAGAACCTAAATCTAGCGAACGATACTATTCGCAAGATTAGGGAAGCTCAACAACCACTACAGCGCCCAATCACTAAGCGCCAGGTTAAAACGCCGCTTAGCAAAACAGGGGTACTCTCTATTAGAGATGCAAATCGTTCTATTGCTAAAAGAAATAAGAAGGAAGCAGAGGCAGAGCGGAAGCGGGTAAGGAAGCAGTGGAAGAAAGCGTATGGAACATCACCACCACCAGAACCTACACAGGAATCGCAGGCATCATTAGATAGAGCAGAGGAAGCACGTCAGAACGGGCAGGGTTTCTTCATAGATACTAGTGGTATGCAGTAGTAAATAGGGGAAATAGGAAAAAGTGGAAATTTGAGTGTGGGTGGTAATCTGAGTGTGGCACACCCACAACGCGAAGCGGTGTGGGTGGGCGGAGACACTGCTAGTTGCTGGTGGGGACGCGGCTACTCGGTCAACCTTAAATCCGCCAACCCCTCCCCCGTCTTTGGATATATGGAAGTTTGACGTAGTATATGAAAGCTCCTGGGAATGGCAGCACGACCGGAAGTAGCAATTCTCGGTTCACTATTCACCGAGTTCATAGACAGAACGTATGCAAACCACTCAATTAATACCCAAGCGACGAGAAATGCATCGGGGCTTCTCGTGAAGCGAATTTCAAGCATCAATTGCGCTCAAGATGCTACGACTGATCAAGAGGAAGGGGTTTCCGATGTTCAATATGAGTCCAAATTTCCAACTCTCTTGGTTTCCGGTTGCCACTCTAAAGCATCTCTCGCGCAATGTGTCCACGATATCAACACACTACATGAACAGGGAAAGTCTGATATACTCCGCATGTCTGAACGTTGAGACTTACTGGGAGGCAGGCTGGGGCCGACGAATCTTGAAGATCGTCGACCCTTCGCTAGTCCATATTCAGACGGCCATCAGTTTCTGAGCCTGCGAATACCAGGCCGTTGTTGAGGCGCGATACTTTGCTGGTGAAGACTATGAAGCCACTGCCAAGTCCCCCGGCACAGAGTTGGTGGGACACCCAGCGTCTACACTATCGAAAGGCCGACGGCTCGGTTTCGCAAGATCAAGCCGGGCTTCATGGAATAATACTGATTTTCTTCGATATCCGGCTGGCCCTCTTGTTCCCGACAGCAACGCGCAGGACCTTCCCGCGTGGGAAAGAAAGATGGGCGGAGCATACCTCTGGAGAGTTTGCAGTTGAAAGACAGACGTTGAACCTCGTCGAACGACTGCCTGTCACCCTGTTCCGATTGAGGTCAAGCGAGCGACACAGGCGAGGGGATTGAACGTCGAGATTGAAACGAGTGCTGCACAGAAGGCCCCTGTTGACCGACGGATTCCCGAGAGATATTCGAGGTTACAAAATGTAATATTCTATCTCGGTCCGATATAGGATGTCCCTGTCGTCGCAGTGTTCGGTGCATTATTTTAAGGCGAAGGACTCGAATATTGAATGACCAAATCGGTTGATGAATTGGACAGATGCCGAATTCATGATATCCCACGATGGGGGATGTGATTCTTGTCTGAGAGCCCGGTCTGGAGCCAGAGCTGTAATGTTGAAAAGGCCTCCCGACACAACGCCTGACACGTGAAACTTCCGAGCGATTCTCTTCTATTGCTCCGCGACGACGATCTTTCATTCCACTCAAGTGGGTCGAGTCCCCAGCACCGGAACTTGCGATGCGCCGAGGGCTGAGAATCGGAAAAAGTGCAAGGCGGATATTCGCCCCAATTTTTCAGTGTGTGTTGTGTGAATAGATCACGGCCTGGAGAGGGATGAAGAGTCCGATGACATCCATCAGGTATGTGGTACGGAGCACGCGTCTGGCTCTGAGATGCAAAAACCGGGGGAGCCACTCGGGTTGGCCGGGACCAGCGGTTCCTGCATGATCGGGTTTCGGTGGCGCGGAGCTTGGAATGCCACGGCCGCGTCGTGGCTGCGCGACCCGTCCTCCGGACCGCGAATGAGTCCCTGGCCGTCGGGATCGCCGACACGCCGACAATGAAACCAGCCGAAGTCCACGAAGACCAAAGGGCTCAAAATTGAGTCGCCCTACCTGCTCCTATCAAGGCGGCCTCGATGAATCTCGATGTCTCAAATACCCATGGTTCCGCCTCTCCGGAAAAAGCAAGATGCCCGTGGAGCCCCCATCTCTATCCACGGACTCTGCCCATTCAATGCCGATGATCGAGGCACCAGGGCCCGATAATTCGGAATCGGCATCGTATGCGAATGACATAAGGCACCAGATCTGCAAGAACTGCACCGCAAGGGTAAAGGGACCGATGCACCGAGGCAGAGCCGCCGATCCTCTCTATCTTGGTCAGATCACGCACGCGATTTGGTATCCACTGCATCAGAAGCAAAATGCCTTCAATGACTTGGCTATGCAGGAAGCAATGCTTTCCGACTGGCAGATGGACGAGCGCGGCGTAACATAAAAGATTCGTCTCGCAGACACTTGAATCCTGCATAGCAAGTTCTTGTGCATATAGTACTATATCCTGGGTGATCATGCGTTTTTCCGTTTTGGCTCTTCTCTCTGCGGTGACGGCGTTAGCTGCCCCCAGTGACCTACAAAGTCGAGGTAGGATAATGACCTGGGTGAAAGTTTGTTTCTATTCCCCAATTGCTGATATCTAGCATAGATGTCTCAACCGATGAGTTGACCCAATTCAAATTCTGGGTTCAGTACGCGGCGGCCTCATATTGCTACGATAACTATGTCTCCAAGGCTGGCCACAAGTTGACTTGCTCAGCTGGCAATTGCCCCGATGTTGAGGCCGCCGATACCTCTATAATTTATGATTTTTCCAAGTAAGAAGAAATCACAGGAAGAAGATATCATGTCATGCTGATGGTCTGACTTGTATAGCTCCACGTCTACGGACACTGCCGGTTATATCGCGATCGACAATACCAACAAGGCCATTATCCTAGCTTTCCGCGGCTCATATTCCGTTCGCAATTGGATCGCGGACGCTGAATTCTTTTATACCAATCCCCAGCTGTGCGATGGATGTAATGCGGAACTTGGGTTCTGGAGCTCTTGGACAAATGTCAGGGATGACATTATCCCACATCTTAGCGCCACCGTAGACACCCACCCCGACTATGAGTTGGTCGTGGTCGGTCACAGTCTTGGTGCTGGGGTCGCTACACTGGCTGCAGCTGATCTCCGTGTTAAGGGTCATCCGTCAGCCAAGCTGTACGCGTATGCCTCACCCCGAGTTGCCAACCCTGCTTTGGCCAAGTACATCACATCCCAGCCCAACAATTATCGGTTCACGCACATCAATGACCCCGTACCCAAGCTGCCACTGCTTGCTATGGGGTATGTCCATGTCAGTCCAGAATACTACATCACCGCTCCCAACAACGCTTCGGTATCCGCGAATGATATCAAGGTGTTGGAAGGGGAAGTTAACTGGGATGGCAACACTGGTACGGGTGTCCCATCTCTCTCTGCCTTCCCAGCCCACCACTGGTATTTCGAGAGAGCGGATGGGTGTAAAGGTCCTGGCCTTCCTTGGAAGGTTTAAATCAGGATTCTTGTATGCTATACATTTTCAAATAGGTCACACTAGGACCGCGCACTTGCTTGGATTTTTTGGCTTTGAATATAGATGGTTACTTTAATACATAGTCTTCACCAGAAAGATGCATTCGACACATTCTCCTAAGTTTTTTTTCTATGACTTCTTCTACTATGAGACCGGAGGCAATGCTAAGTGCAATCTTCTCTGAAAGGAAGAGGTCACTCCTAGATGTAAACCTAGTACTCATAGGGCGATGCTCCTAAGAGCCCCGTATAGATAGATGCCTCTGAGCGCGCAGACATGAATGAGTGTGTCCTTTTCTTTAGAAAAAGAAATCTTGCATAATGTTTCATTCTACTCTCCCTCCAACCAGTATATTCATGGAGTGTGAAGTGCTTTCTATCATTCATATTGACTCACAGACTTCAAAGATGCAAGAACCAAAAGTTCCAAGAGCCCCAAGGACCGGAAAATGCACTCATGGCATTTTCAACATCTCATCCTCTATCCTGTACACCACTGATTTTGAAACCCTTTCAATGGCTCAATTTTCCGATATAACCTCTAGAGGGGGCGGGGCCGACCCTCGGCATTGGCCCCTTCAATGTCTCGGGCCGTCAAGCCGTCAGTCGTTTTGGCTGGCTGTCGTGGCATAAGGCTTTTCGTGGCTTCAGGCCCGTCCGCATTGAAATATGGAATTTCTAGACAGCCGAGACAAAGCCTTCTCGGGGGTTCATATAGATGGCAATTTTTTATAAGATTCAGACGAGAAGAAAAACGTATGAGAATGATAGAAACAACAGCCCTTCGCCCCGCCTCTTTACATATTGAACCAGGCCTCTACGGCAAGCCTACGAGGATAGGCAGTATGAGATAGATCAGCGAACAAGCCACAAAATTACACCACACCACGATGGAAGAAAGCCTCTCAGAGAGGAAACAGATGTTGCTTCAGCGACAGATGTGTAAAAGTTGATTCTCTCCCTATCGGAGATGCAAGCTATATTCTGTGAAGACTGTGTGTGCCAGGAAAGAAATCCTCCAATCAGAATTCACCCAAGATTACCCATCGTCGGCCATTTCCCCACTACAATATTTAGCGCTGTTCCTCAGTAAACTAATCAAATGGGGGCCGAAAAGCGGCGTAGCCTAGTCAGTCACTAGTCACTCTTTCGTCGCGATGGAACTCGGTAATTTTCCACTCTGTATGGTGGCGATCGCGCTGTTTACTCAGATTGGTATGGTTGTTGCTCGAGTTTCTGTCTGTGACAATTGTGACCCATTCTTTTCTTGGCCCGATTTTGCATAATTTCGAGACATTAATTTCCCAACAGTGGGCTTGCCACAACCTCAGGAGGCATGATATGGATGATACCCTGTGCCATCAGCGTGCTCTCTTTCCAGGCGCATGATTTGTTCAAACCGGTGCATGCTACTCGATTCGAGTCGTGCATTCAGCTTCTCTTAGGCTATCTTCTAAACATATTAGAGGGTAGATAGCAAACCAAAAAAAAAAAAAAAAGAGTGGTATTGCAGGTAGCGTTGAGGGTGGAAGGGGCCGCCACAGGTGTTCGGCATAGTTCAATTTATATGGGTTTTAGTTATGTTACTGGCTTAGATTGGGTCTCGTCAGGGTATTCACACAGTAGCCGAGTCTTCTTACTTAGACTTAGTACAGCTGGGCGCTCGGCGTCGATACTCCGACATAATCATATTCCGTTAGGGAATTTTTCACTCAACACGCACTCCATCCGTACATCGAAGCTATTCAACGTACGGGGGGTTCCTATGGAGTTCTAGGGTTCTAATAAGAACCAGTCTTCTCTAATAACATTTGTCGTTCTTGGGCCATTTATTCATTTTGTTTTCTTCTGTCTTGGAGCCAAATTTGCTTTCGTCATATTGGGTTCGGCCCCAAAGAGCATTTCTCGGGAAGACCAGGGGGCCTCGAGGGTCCGGACGCAAAATACACTAGCCCGGTCAATAATGTCGATGATTCCAAGAACTCGCTCTGATCTTTGCTAGGGCGAATAAAATTCATGGCCATGGCCTCCAGCCCCCTCCTATCTCGTGGACGATAATACATTTACCGCCAAGGTTCAAAATTCATTCGCGTCGTGGCAAGTGGGTCCTCGGCGACGTGCTCAGTTGAGGTGTTTGCGGACCAGGAAACCATCAATACCAACCAACACCCATGACCACCAGGTTCACCCGCTCTGCTAGAGAACAATGGCCTCCATGACCCGTGGCACGATGCGTGTGTACGAGCGTACGACGACCTCGGGGCTATAAAGGCTCGGTGCCGGGTGCCCCAACGAGCGCGACGGCCGGGGCGACGTAAGCCAATTCGAGCTGTCGTACTGGCTCGGCCTAAACTACGCAAGCGTTGCCGTCACCAGCCAACCCAAGCTTTTTTGGTGGAGTCTCGCTTGATGCACTGTGAACTGCTTCGATCCCCAGCGTGTCGAATCGGCTGCTGAACTCCACTGCCAGGGCTGCCCTGTGTCCAATGGCGCCCTTCACCAGTGTCTGCACCATCTGACTTATCGTTGCCGGTGGAGAGAGATTCTCCCGGACCAGGGTACCAATGGCGTATCCGACTCGCGGCTAATGGAGCAAGTCCATATAAATAGATGAATGGATTGTGAGGCACTGCCTTGGCTCCTGTTGCCTCCACACACTCGCTGGACGCTATAATCTCCAGGGTTCCTCCTGTGAATCCGTTCGTTTTACTTTTCGGCAAACCCATTCCTGTTCCCTCGTTCGGGTTTCTTTTTACTCTCGTTTGAAGTGTTCGACTGTCATTCACAGTTATCGTTGACACATCATGGTTGTTGCACCCTACCTGAAGTGGGCCGCGCTCATCCTGGCCACTGTCCAGCTGGGTGCTGCGCAGACTTATACTGACTGCGACCCGCTCAACAGTGAGTGATTCCGGGATGATATGGCGAGACAAAATCTGACAGCTTTATCAAATAGGTACCTGCTCTGCTGATACCGGCCTGAATCAGTATGAGTTCACCACCGACTTCACTTCCGGTTCTTCGGCTTTCAATAAGTGGAATACTACCCAGGGTACTGTGGAAAGCACTTCGCTCGGTGCCAAGTTCACTATCTCGGAGCAGGGCGATGCTCCAACTATCGAGAGTGACTTCTATATCTTCTTCGGCCACGTTGATGTCAAGTTCAGAGCCGCCAACGGCACCGGTATCATCAGTACCTACATTCTTGAGTCGGACGATTTAGATGAGATCGACTGGGTAAGTTCTTCACCGTCCTATATCGCACAGCGCAGCAATTTCTCATGTCAACTCGAACAACTACAGGAGCAAATCAGTACCTATGACTACTCGATCGAGACCGATTACTTCGGCAAGGGAAACACCACCTCCTACGACCGTGGTACAACTGTCAATGTCACCACTCCCCTGGAGACTTTCCACACCTACAGTCTTGAATGGACCACCAGCAAGCTGGAGTGGCTCCTGGATGGTGAGGTTGTCCGTTCTCTGAAGTACTCCGATGCTCTCAACGGCAAGAACTATCCCCAGACTCCTATGCGCATCAAGATCGGTATCTGGGCCGGTGGTGACCCCGACAACAGTGAGGGCACCATTGAGTGGGCTGGTGGCGAGACTGACTACACTGCTGGTCCTTTCTCCATGTATGTCGAGTCGGTCAAGATCATCAACTACAACCCGGCCAAGTCCTACAAGTACACCGACAAGACCGGCTCCTACACCAGCATCAAGGCCTCCAACGGCACCACCTCGACTAACTTGAGCTCAAGCTCCAGCTCTGCCGCCTCCTCCTCGTCGACCAAGGCCTCCGGCTCTTCCAGCTCCTCCAGCTCTTCGGCTTCCACTTCTGCTTCTAGCGTCAGCTCCGCTGGCTCTATCTCACTGTCTAGCTCTCTGTTTATGGCCTCTGTGTTTGCTCTTGTCGCTGGAGCTTTCCAGCTGTGATAGATTGACTGATTGTATTATGTATATTGTTGATGACGGTAACTAGCTGTTCCCCATTCCAGGGACAGTCAGAATATAGATGTATCTACCGACTGCTTTCCACTCCTTCAAATCCACCATTAGCAACCCTATGTAATCAATTCATGATCAGATCGGCATGATTTTTATTTTGGTGGAGTGGTTCATTCATAATTGATCCGAGATTGATTGCCGAGACTGGACCTACCATTGCAGGATCATCTAGCCTCAGAGCTTGGTTATCTAGATTTCGACATGTGATTCTAGATACTATAAATGATTGTATTGGCTAGAAAGGTGAAAGCCCCGCGAAATGATCGCCGCACTCTGAGATCGGTGGGCCTTCTGTCGTGCAGATTACAGAATCTAACTATCTGCTTTGGGTAAGTAGCCGACGGCGCCCAGAAACGGCTCGCTAATTTTCCCGAACTAGCACAGCAAAGATGCAAGTATAAGGGCGGGGAAAATATGGGGTTCTCGCCGAAAGATTGAAGGATCAAGCTAATCTGGGGAAGCCCATTGTAAAAGCTACGAATAAATAGCTCGACCATTCCCCGCATTTTCTCTGGCGGTCTATTGAAGCAATGAATTTGAAAAGTCCCCTCTGAACAGTTGCCATTCTGAACATCAATATGGATGAAGATCAAAGATCCAAAGAAGCAAAAAATAATGATAGCGGTACTACGGAGGAACTCGAAGTCTTGAGAAAATCGGAAAAAGATGTATTTGAGCTCGAGATGGTCAGTGTGACGATGGAAAATCGCAAGGAGCTTGAAAAGAAGTTGCTTTGGAAGATTGATCTGCGCCTATTACCGCTCATGATGCTAATCTGTATGCGTGCCGCGCTTTTTGGTGCCAAGAGGGGACCCTTACTGACAAGAACGAAAAGATGTACTGAATTATTTGGATCGCAACAACATTGCTACTGCGCGTCTTGGCACCCTTGAGGAGGATCTGAAGCTGGAAGGCGACCAATACAACACAATTATAAGTTGGGTTTTTTGACTCCTCTTGCTTGGTATCTGGGACTCATCGCATCTAGGTCTATTTTTCGTTGGATACATATTGACTCAGATTCCTACCAATATGATTCTCAATAAAATGAGACCCTCTATTTTCCTGGTGGGTTCAAGGTTTGGTTAAATGAGCGATTGAGACTTCGCAGCTGATTGAATTATCCAGCCTTCTGTCATGTGTGGATGGGCAGTTGTCAGTACTTGTACAGGTGCTGTTCAAAACTACCAAGGGTTACTGGCCCTGCGTTTTGTTCTGGGCTTTGTCGAAGCACCATTTTTTCGTGAGTCTTAACCATTAACTACAAGAATATGGCTCTCTCTCTAACTTGCTCTTAACAGCTGGAGCATTGTTCCTCTTCTCATCTTGGTATACCAAGAAAGAACTAGCTGCCCGAATATCAATCCTATACGTTGCAGCCCAGATATCTGGAGCGTTTGGAGGCCTTCTCGGGAGCGCTATTATGTCTGGAATGAATGGGAAAGCAAGTCTTCCAGCTTGGAGATGGCTATGTATGTTCAAATATAGATATTTTGATGTGTGCGCCATTATTGACGCTTTTCAGTCATAATCGAAGGAGCAGCGACTATCCCCGTTGCTATGGTTTCGATGTTCATTCTACCTGACTATCCAGCTACGACGAAATTCCTGACAGACGAAGAGCGCGCGCTAGCCATCGCTCGTCTTGCCGAAGATGCCAACGAATGCGACCACGATGAGACTCAAAACAAGTGGGAAGGCCTTAAACTTGCATTTACGGACCCGGTTCTCTACATTATCTGGTTGATGCAGCTAGGACTGAATACATCCGCTGCATTCACGAATTTTTTCCCTACCATTGTCAAGACATTGGGCTATAACACCACTTCTACCTTACTACTTTCCGCTCCTCCTTACATTTTCGCCGCATTTCTCAGTGTTCTCAATTCGCTCCACAGTGATCGTTTTAGTGAGCGTTGGTTACATGTTGTTTGGCCACAGATATTCAGCAGCATCGGTTTCATTATCAGTGCAGTGACTTTGAATGTCGCGGCTCGATATATCTCCACCTTCATGATGATGTCAATCTATGGGTCTTTTGGATGCATTCTCTCTTGGGTCTCCGCCTCCTTGCCACGGCCTCGATCTAAGCGCGCAGTTGCGTACGCGGTCGTCAATGCCGGGTCCAATTTCGCCTCCATCTATGCGAGTTACTTCTATCCTGCCTCCCAGGGACCACAATACTGGCAAGCCAATGTTGCTAATGTTGCTTTTTGTGGGCTATGTATCTTTATGGCCACCCTCTTGCATTTCATCTTGCGCTGGCGTAATAGGCGGCTTGATCGAGCGACTGATGCAGATATTGCAGCTGGTCGGGATCCAATCATGGAGGGATCGGAATGTTATCAGTTGGCGATGGACTGGAACTGCCACCCAGGCTACCGTTATACTACATAGGACAGGGCGAACGACAAATCGACATCCAGAATGCTATGGCGGTAGATATTATCTAGATGGTAAATTGTAAGAATTACGGAGACTTCCCAATGTGAGCTTTAGTTCGAGAATGCTGTAAAGTTTCACCAGTTTCACTACTGGATGCCTTGGACATCTCCCTTGACGAGAATCGACAAAGAAGGAAGTTTGAACTCTAATTCATGTCAGAAAAGAGGTTCCTATCATATTCGGAGCCAATTTGAAGTTTTATATTAACAAATAGTTCACCTAGGGAATTGCAATGATACTTGCAGTAAAGGTGATACGAAGTGGTATTTCTCGAGGATTATCATTATCACACCAGAGATTGCATTTTTGATTCTATGGTAACACAAGTTGCCGGTAAAGAATTCAACAAATGAGACTGAAGTTCTAAATCGTAACAGGAATCGTGTACAAAGGGCTTTGTGCTACACCGGACGAGTGGCTTTCTTAAAGAAAGCATACGGTATCTTACATAACAATAAAGTGCCATCTCATTAGCCATACCACCGTGATGCTAGTGGGTCTATGGGTCTACGGCAATAGCTTTCTGTTTCAAAGCGGGATCGCCCGATGTTCCGGAACCCCTGCTTCAATTCGAAGAGAGGATCGATCGGCGACAAAGTTCCAAAAGAGGAGATGGAAACAAGATAGAACACAATACGCTGCTAATCGTGAACGAAAGATCTTCCAGACCCATCCAGGTATCGGATTTCTGTCTCAGCCATCGATCGACTGGATGTGAAATGGCGTTGTGCTAATGCCAAGAGGTACAGAAGCTGACGAATGGAGAAGCGAATCTCGTTCCTCGAGAATTAAACCCTGGCCCCCAAGGAACTAGACCTCGAAGATACCTCGCCATCCGAGGTACCAGCTGGGCAAAGAAGAAAGTTCTGTCTTGGAGCCACACTTTTTTGATTTGGAATATGTTTTCTTTGTTTTCTCTCTTGGTTCGACCTGGCTTCTCTGATGGTACCTCACAATTGACTTTGCGCCAAGCTTAGGTTACATTGCTGAGCCTATCGTATAGGCAGACTACGCCCAGCAAACCTAGGCTGGCTCACAGAAAGGCCTTAATTACATTAAATTTATCCCCGGGGGTCGCACGCAATGGAAAGTCCGACGGCTCTCCATAGGATTCCGCTAGTGACCCGCAACTAAATGAATCGAACATTGAACACACAGAGAGGAAATAAGTACCGGGCTCAAATTTGGGTCCGCCGAGACATGGAATGATACAGTTGTTACAGATAAGAAAGAGTGCTGGGAAAATGCATGCAAAGCTAGGATCATACAGGGATCAGAAAAGACGCAGCGATTCGGTTCGTTCGTCCGCAGGTGATGAAAAGATCGTCCGGGCTCGGCCGGGTGGGGGCAGCGGACCGTGGCCCCAATCATTACGCCTCGCAATAAGTATAAACTTTTTGCCTAGGTGATAGCCCCACTGCCTGTGGTCCGGTCGATGCACCAGGGCGTTGCGTGGTGCATATTGTCTGCCCACGATCCGGACCCCCAATCATTGGGGGTCCGGGCTGCTTAGATGCGCTGGAGTAGGCAGAAACCCCGAGCTGGAACGGAAACTATGGACAAGAAAATGATTGTAATATTCACTAGCCAGATACTGGCTAGTTAAACCAAGGGATCCTGAAAAATATGGTTCAGAGATCGGAGGCACTGAGTCTTTTGCTCGATTAGGAACCAAATCACCTTAGAGAGCCATTGATTCCTACTTGGTCTGCCATTGATGCATCTTTTCACCTTAAGGTCTCCTTGACAATTCCTTGGTCCGTATCCGCGATGCAGCCGGAATTGCGAGATACTTGGACACCGGCCATCAATGTCCTGACTTGGTTTATGCTAATAACAGCTATTATGAGCGTCTTGACACGGTTAGGAACCAAATACTGGATTTTTCGCAAATTCACCATCGATGACTTCCTCAGCATTGGAGCAATAGCCACTTGCACTGCCCAGTCTATCGCTGTGTCAATGGCTACAGAGGGTGGACTGGGACAACATCTGAAGGATTTATCTGATTCCAGCGTCGAACAGATGATGAAGGTGAGTTGTGGCGCAAATACTGTACCAATTACAATATGATTCCATGTGCTCTGTCACTCATTGAAACACTGTTTAGTCTCAATATGCCGCCAATATCCTTTTCATCAGTAGCATGTGCTGCTCCAAACTTGCTCTTATGATGTTCATTCGCAATTTGACGCCTGCATCGCTCGACCGCCGCTTCGCTCTCGGACTAGGAATCTTCATCATTCTCTGGACAATCACTGGAATATTCTCTGCGGCTTTTCAATGTCAGATTCCAAGAAGTTGGGATTACATGCATGGAAAATGCTTTAATTTGGTACGAATTGGGCTTCAAAAAAAAGGGTAGGGTCTAAGATTGCTAACTAATTTCTAGCCTGCCTGGTGGAATTTCCTCGGCATCACAAATATTCTTTCAGAGAGTGGGATCATTGGCCAGGCACTGTTGGTGATTGTTCGGGTACAAGCAGATATTCACAAGAAAGCCGTTCTTGCCAGTGTGTTTCTATTTCGAGTAGTGTATGTTCGCCGGCTCCTATCTCATGGTTCAACTTTCCCGCCCTTAACATACGCTATCTCTACAGTGTGATTGTTGCCATCATATGCCAACTCGCTTACGCCGGTGATACGAATGGATCAACGGATTCGTCATGGGATACTTGGACTGTGGTAGTCTCTACGCAAATGACACAGTCTTTAAGTATCGTCACATCCTGTTCACCTCAGTTCAAACCATTTCTCGACAGCCTCCGTTCATCTGGAATGAGCCTGGGAGGAACTAGCTATGGAAGTCGCCCGAGAACGTACGCCGTGACGACATATAAAGCATCTCGCGGTGGTCGTACTGGAGATACCCTAAGCGAGACCCATGAGCTCGTTACTATGCCTGAGGAAGTGGTGAATCAAACGATAATCACTTCTTCGCCAGATTGCGACGCAGAAAGTCAGTCCAGCCAGGAGCGAATAATTCGTGAGACTCGGACCTGGGCAGTAACGGAAACCCGACGTGCATGATAATTATAGACCATTGCCCCTCTTTTCTTCATTATTCAAATTACGCGATATTTTTGTACGTAAGTTCGTAATATAACGAACAGGCCCTTGTGAAAGGTCCAGTAGACACCTGAGCTTTTAATTCACACCAGGAACTAGCGATCGTAGGTTGAAACTACTTCGACCAAGAAATGTAAGTAAAATGAAATCCCCAATACTACCTACTCAGCCGGGTTAAGCGGCATATTGGCCGTTCCAAGGCTTAGCGAGGAGAAAGCTCGCGATCTCGCCAGGTCAGCCAGGGTGGAGCCAGCCATGTTTAGTGTTGTAACGCCAGAGACCCAATATCCACCACAGAGCGCAATCAAAGTTTAAAGTCGGGGACGGAGATGCGCCTAACCACTGGTGGCGCGGGCCCTTAGGTCTAGAGGTTCTATACTTTTATTATTCCAGAAACCAGTTGGAATGTCGGACAGTGGCTGCACCCCCTTTCATCGCCAAGCCGTGTAGCTGAATCAAGCCCACAAGGCCGACACTATTAATCGAGAAGGAGTAATTTGTGTTCGGTTAATTCCGTAGCTATAGGGTGGGCTATATTGCAAGCTGCGAGTAATTACATCCACATGATGGGTTCATTCCGCTAGCTTTGGTGGGATAGCCGACAAGGAGCGTCCAGCCATATCGTTCTTCCAATACAGCCCGCATTAGTCGATTCGTCCCTCCGCTAGCCGGGATACAAAACTGTGATACCCCCCTGCTCATCCCGTACCATCTTCTTTTCCCCTCTCCGTGTTCCATCTGCCCACTATGTCCTCGGGTCAGTTGAAGCAAATGAACTCGATTGGGCTGCAGGAGATTGGAAGTCCCTCCAGCAAGGAGCTGGATGACGCGAATTTGGCACGCATGGGCAAGCGCCCGGTGCTGAAGGTACGAGACTACGATCTTGAGGAGAAACAATAACCATTGCTTTGCTGACTCTGGAAGTAGCGAAATTTTGGACTGATGTCCATGTTAGGATTCAGCTGTACAATTCTGATTACTTGGGAAGGAATTGTTGTGTGAGGATTCAAAGCGATCGCAAAGTTTTGTGTGGTCTTGCTGACAAGAGGCATGGTTCATAGATTGTTCCTGCAAGCATATCAAAAGTATGGTGTCTACCGGACTGTCGTCTGAATCTTGATTGAATGGTCGCTAATCACTATCATCTCACAGTGGCGGACCAGCGGGTGCTGTCTATGGATTTATCTTTGTTTGGGTTGGCGTCGCCTCTACCTTTGTCGTTCTATCCGAATTGGCATCCATGTAAGGAGAATGTCCAATACAAAGGCTACATACATGAACATTGGGGTTTACGATTGAATAGGGCTCCAACATCAGGAGGTCAATATCATTGGTGTTCAATGCTTGCCCCACGATCTATGATGAAGCTCTTCAGCTTTTTGACAGGTATTTAAGTAGACCAGAAGATGCTGAAAGATAGAAAGACAGAAAGCTAATCAAAAACAGGCTGGCTTACTGTGATCGGTTGGCAAGCGACCTACGCAACCTCATGTTATCTATGCGGCACTCTGATTCAAGGTCTCATTGTCCTCACACAAAGCAGCTACCAGCCTCAGAGCTGGCATGGTACGCTACTTTTCTGGGCTGTAGCACTTTTTTCGGTCGCTATTAACAGTATCGGTGGAAAGGTGCTACCACGCTTCGAGGGGTTCATCCTTATTCTTCACATCCTCGGCTTCTTCGCCATTCTTATTCCTTTGACATACATGGCAGACCACGGGTCTGCAGAGGAGGTATTCACCCAATTCTTGAATCTTGGCGAGTTCCCCTCGCAGGGTCTGTCATTCTTCGTTGGCATGGTCGGCTGTATCTTTGCATTCGCTGGAGGTGATGCGGCAGTTCACGTAAGTGATAATCTTTTTGTTTGTCGTCACAATTCCTGTTTATAAAAGATTCTAATTTATCTGCACTAGATGTCTGAGGAAATCACCAATGCTTCAACTGCAGTTCCCACTTCTATCATGCTTAGCGTTCTAATAAATGGATCCCTTGGGTTTGGCATGCTTTTAGCCATGCTTTTCTGCCTGGGAGATATCGGAGAAGCTCTCAAATCACCCACTGGCTACCCATTTATGGCCATCTTCTTGCAAGCTACTGGGTCTGTCGCTGGTACCGCTGTGATGGCCTCTATTGTTACTACCATGGGCATTACAACCTCGGTGGGTATGCTGGCCTCTGCTTCGCGGCAATTCTGGTCGTTTTCAAGGGATCGTGGTATTCCGGCATGGCGTATCTGGAGTCAGGTATGTAAATGAGCCTTCATTCACCAAACTATTCTTTGTGGTAGTCTGACGATAGCGGCTGCTAAGGTTCACGGTGGCACTGGCGTGCCAATTTACTCTGTTCTTCTGACTACCTGCATCGTCTGCCTCCTCGCTCTTATCAACATTGGATCTTCGGTTGCTTTCAATGATCTTGTAGCAATGTCGATTTCCGGTCTCTATCTTTCATATATGGTTGTTGCCGGTCTCCTTTTATACCGTCGCTGCACGGGTGGGATTAGCAACGCTCGAAGCAGCGATACCGCCGTTGTCAACACGGTAGGTGCCAAGCTTGTCTGGGGCCCGTTCCACCTGCCTGGAATTTGGGGTATTATCGTGAATACTTTTGCACTCATTTATATGACAATAGCTGTCTTCTTCAGCTTTTGGCCTCCATCCTGGGCAGTCACCGTTCAAACAATGAATTTTAGTATAGTGGGCACAGTGGGCGTGATTTTCCTCAGTTTAATATACTACGTGGTTCGGGCGAAAGATGTGTATGATGGCCCTATCGTGGAAATTGATTACTAGGTTGATCGATCGATCAGCTTCTACCCTGCCATGGTTGATGAACACGGTCCGCAGCAGAGAATACCTTATATATTAGTGGTTCTATAATCTGTACATCTCGATTTCATTCAATAATAGACTATGCCTCGAGCCTCGCTATTATGGGTTCCATGAAATTTATTGAGTCTTTGTAATTTCACATAGTGCTATTAAGTACAAGGCTTAACCAGTTCTATCTTTCTATCTCTATACGGCAAAACTGCATAACTGAAAGAGGCACAATCTTCGGGTCTTGGCTTGTCAAGCCCTTGCCTCTACTACTCACACCTTTTACTAGTGCGTAGTAAGTGAGAGCAACGAAGAAACTTGTTCATATACCGAGAAGACAATTCCTCCACTGAGTAGCAGACGACCGAGGCGCATCGAGCTGCCTTTCCAGAAACCTCGGACCCCGTATTCATGCATTACACTTTGCGCGGCCTCCATGAGCCCTGCTCCTTGAACACTTTGTGCTCTTGTTTTTAAAGTGTCAAAGGGCTGAGTGGCATAGACCGTCACGACACCAGCTAATGCCCCCATGCCAAACGATGTGAAGATACTTTGCTGGATCCCGTGAGATTTGCTCATTTCTTTGAGAATATTATATGACCCCATGCGCACTGCAGAAGTTGCAGACTGCTTTACCGTGGTTGAAACGAGACCCCGATATAATTCACCTACGCCGTGAACCCTGACCATGACAGTCACGGCATGGAATCCTGACCTGAATTGACGGGTTGCCTTCGCATCATCAATCCTGTGGAATGATTAGATTGACGTTTATAAACTAATCATCTTCCTTCTTACTAGAAATTGACTCACAATGCCGTTTTGATTCTTTCTGTCGGCGTGACAGCTAAGAAGCTTTCAACTGTGCCAGCGGCCATTCCAGCCAAGATGCCCCGTCCAGCGGACAGTCTGCCATGTTCATCCGAGAAGGATTTACGAATAGTATCATACGATAAAAATCGCACAGCAGCCTTGCCAGCCGTTCCCTATATGTTGGATTGGGTATTAACATCGTTATGTGGATGCCAGAGGTAAAAGAAAAGATATGCAATAGCTATACTGACAATCACCAGAGTGGAACATCCTGTGTACAGAGCCGATATTCCTTCTTTTCGACATACCTGAAAGATAAGTCGTAGTGGATTTGTCGAAGTATTCAATGAGTTGGTCGAGAATAATTGGACCCGGGTTTTCGAATACTCGAATGGGTACTAGGAGTGGTAGTTAGCATTGTCGATAGTCAACTACCGAGGATTATGATTCTGACCGTGACGGCCGCTTCAACGGCTCCTGCGACTCCGCCAGCAACCAGGGAGACCCACTGCGGGGGAATGTGCTGGAGGTCCTCGTTAGGATTTTCGGCATGGCCCTCGAATAACGAGATGTTCTTTACATACTCTAAGTCTTGGCTCGGCATATTTGGGTTGAATTGGGCTTTGGGTGGCCATCTTGTAATAATACAGCAAATGAGAACCGACCCGGGACACATCACTCGAAGATATACTAATACCAAGAGTAATATGGTTACCCCGGGACAAAGGCGGCCGAGGCCGACGGGATGAAACTTGCCGCGGAAGAAACTCTACTAACGGCCCCCGGCTTCCGCGGGTCACTTTATTCCTTCTCTCTCCAACTACCTTCATCCATGGAGGAAGCACAACCACCGAGAGTACGCAGAGCCACCAAGGCGTGCGCTTTTTGCCGTCGGAGAAAGGTAAGCGGATCTCTGATGTGAGTTGACACTTCGGCCTGAGCAAAACAATTATAGTTACGATGCAATAACGAAAAGCCGACATGCTCGAACTGCAAAGGCTACGGCAAAGAATGCTTCTATACCATAGGCCCAGAGCGATCAAGGTATGATACTATTTATTCTTTGCCATTGACTTACTCACGACGCCAAGGCCCACCAAAGCCCGAATCTCTAGGTTGGAAACGGAAAATCAACTTCTTCGTCAACGGCTTGGAAGCATTGAACGTCAATCAACTGCCGCAAGTGTTTCGACACCCAGAGAGAAATGTGACGAACGCCAAGAAGAGGCACCGAATTCACCCACTACAGCACCCCATAGATCTTCCTGCAGTCCGGGGCAACGGCCTGAAGTGGATCTTACCCAGTCAGCTGTCTCTCGCATATACATCGCTGCCAATGGAGATTCCAGCTATCATGGTCTTACAAGTACACTGTTTGACGATGCGCCGACAGACAGGCGGGCCCAGGTACGGCCAAATGATTCACGACTTCCTACCGATAATGTTTCAAAGCAGCTCATGGGTGAAGCAGCCTACCAAAGTACGTTTGGCTGTTTTCTACTTGATAGTATACAAACGAAGAAAATTAGACAGATCGAGTGAAATCTAATAATCAAAAAGGGCAGATGGAAAGCATAAACCTGCAACAAGGCAAACTTGATTTTGATGGGGTTGATCCCGACCTGGGCATGCATTTACTATCTCTACACTGGAATCGCCAGCATCATTCATTTCTTGTGACCCACCGCCCTGCATTTATGCGAGACATGGCGGTTAACGGGCCTTATTTCTCCAAGCTTCTTTTGAATGCAATCTTTTTTGGTGCGTCAAAATTCAGCAATAGGCCTGAAGTACGTCGAGATCCTGACGATGTTCGAACTGCTGGCTGGACCTTTAGAATGAGGGTCAAAGAGTTACTGGGAAGCGCCCTTGATCGCAGCGAAATTACCACAATCCAGGCTCTTTTGGTAATGACCAGTTCGTTATTTGCTCTTGGAGATGAGCGTAGTGCTGCATGGCTCTATGCAGGGACTGCATTCAGGATGATTATTGACCTGGGAATGCACGTTGACGCTACCATGCTCACAAATATGCGTCGACTCTCTGATGAAGATTTAGAAATCCGTCGACGCGTATTCTGGGGCGCTTTTGTCGTTGACAAAATCCAATCACTGTATCAAGGCCGTCCAGCTAGCTTGCAAGATTTTGATACGAAAGTGTCGCTCTCTTTCCTTGACACCTACGAGGAATTCGAACATTGGCAACCATTTGCATACTCTGATGTGCAGTCATATCCCGGTTCTCCAGCCTACAGCGTCTCTACGTTCACTGAACTCTGCAAGCTTTCCCTCGTTTTGAATGGAATCTTGAACAAAGTCTACTCTGAGCGCAGCTCAACACGTTCGCGCCATGACCTTATTGCAACCTTGAATTCCTTGGACACACAGCTCGAAAGTTGGCACAGTGAATTACCTAGCCATTTAAGATTTACCAGCAGCTCAACTAGAACCACTCCTCCGCCACATGTTCTTTCTCTCCTTGCATTATATAATGTTTTACGTATTCTTCTTCACCGACCATTCGTGGCAGAAGGCCATTTATATGCAACAGATCCATCGGTTGCCATAACCTCCTTCAATACATGCACTGCGGCAGCCACCCGGATTATTCGTCTATTACAAGCTTACGATTCAACATATTCAATTCGACATGCACCTTATCTCATCTCATATGCTACGTATGTTGCAGCGACAATCTTTGTTCGTGTGGCTGCGCAGCGAGAGGGCGGCAGTCGAGCTCACGCCAGCCTTCGGGTCTGTCTTGACGTGTTTAAGAAAAACCAGAGCACCAACTGGGCGGTGCGCCGTGCTGAAAATGTTATATTGCATTTGATGGATCGTATGGGTGTGGATCTAGGTCACCAGATGGAACATAATACAAGCCAGCAAGCCCCGGGGATAACGAGAGACACAAAGATCGACAGTGGTTTGCCAAACCCCTCAGATGGGGACATATTTCACTCCATGGCATTGGATAACCAAGAAAGTCCACCACAGGGAGAATTGGAGAGCTCGGAACTAGACATCGATATGATCATTCAGAGCTTCATTCGACAGACAGACAGAACAGTTGATGGTCAAACTTTTGCTGAGAATGTCGGTCATACCCTTCCCGACTCCACTGCCGTAACGCTTGGCCTACAGCCTGCCTCATCGTCGGCAATGATTCCAGTGTACGACTATGGTTCACCGGACACTCGATTTGATGTTGATATGCTTTTTGGTTTTAATGGCTCGCTTCAAGATGACATAGCCTACTAAATAGTAATCGAACAATCTGGAGCTTCCCAAGATATGTGTATAATATGAACGGATATCCGAATTGGCTACCCTATGTCTATCAACAATTACAATGCCCAGTCGCGCCAGAATAATTTTCGGCGGGTTCAGTAAAACACATTCCCTTCGAACAATCGACGCGCCGTGCGAAAGACTGCAACCTTTTCGACACTAAATTCGCCTTCCTGGTTCATCTCCAGAGTTGTTTCGGTGTGTATTGTTCCCGAAGGATGTCGAATACCTACAGGTAACGGCGAGGCAATGTTTTGGTCAGCGACTGTCATTCCATGTTTCTGAATTCTCTCGGCCGCTAAGTCCGATGCAATTGAGCCGTAAATGGCCATCGCGGTACCGATGCATACCGCACCGGTCAATTGGAGACTGGTATGTGGCTTTCCCATGGTGAACGAAAGAACTTCAATATCTGCACCGTCTTCTCCCTTTGTAACACGAGATAAGAAGGCGATTTTGGGCGTTCCTCGGACAAGACCTGCTGTCTCTGTATCCTCAGCGAGACCGAAACGCACGGCCCCTTCCCGCCGAATATCCTCCACGGTCGAAAGGAAATGGGTATCATCCTCAACCGGCCAGGCGCCATTCTTCTTCAAAGAGATTGAAGAGGCATCAACAAGAACAAATGGATTGGCAGCATCGACCAGGCTCACTCTGACCGAAAGTACATCACCAGAACGACAGTGTACGGTAATGATCTCCTTTTTAGCTCCACTTGGAAACATTTTTCCTGTCATGCTGCCCTGGGGCTTGAGAAAAGCGACCTTGATAGGACTTGCAGTGCCTTTGACGCCAGGCAGCTCATAGTCTCCATCTTCTCGGAATCTACCGTCCGGAGCTACGTGAACGGTTTCCACGATAGTTTGCTTGGTGTTAGTGTTGAAGATCCGAATATCGATCTAGGTATATTGAAAAGATATCAATGATTGTCTCAAATACCTTATATAGGAGTAGACAAAAAAGGAGGAAAAAAGGATAGGAAGAGCGGGGGCTTTTTACCTCTGGTTGGCCTGGTTGAGCTTTGACAATGCCTTCGTCCAGGCTGAATGGCCCTACCCCAGCCGCGATGTTCCCGCAGTTTCCAGTCATGTCAATTTTGGGCTGGTCGGGTGCCACCTGAATAAATGTATAATCCACATCTATGTTCGGCCGAGTAGACTTGGAAATAACTGCTACTTTAGAACTTGTTGATGTTGCACCCCCGATTCCGTTGAGCTGCTTCGCGCTGGCCTGCGCCGAACCCATCGCCGAGAGGAAAATATCCTCCCATAGTTTGACTGAGGCGGGCAGATCTTTTTCATGAATGAATAGTCCCTTGGAAGTACCGGATCTCATCCAGACTGCAGGAATTTTCCTCCTCTTCTGGAAAATGATGGCCGGCTTTAGTTGTTCGACGGTGGTTGTTACTGCCATAGTGAGCAGCCGATTATAGGGAATGTATTCCTCAATATCCTTCTTCAATTGGAGAATGCAAAATGGTATTTGAGTTCACCTTTCCCAGAGATTCATGGCTTTATGGATTCTCATACTGGGACATCATCTCCTTCTCGTCTCAAGCCCGCGCTTTGTCCTGACCCACGGCAAGTCAAGCTCCGTATCGGCGGGTCAGTCTCCGAGAGGCAGAAGATGCCGCGGATTTCGCTCTGTCATTCTCCGATCCAATGCCCCTCGCTACCAACAGGAATGAACCCGATAAATGCGGGGTACGGGGTAGCTCTTTGAGCGTGAAAAGACTTAAAAGGAAAATAATGCTCACAAGGTGCCTGTTGAGGTAAATTTTGAAGTATTTGATTTGATCGAGTTCCCCACACGATCTGTGTGGTCATGGCTTCCCAAAACAACGTCATGTTGCATGAGGCGCATAGCCCCAATATGCGCGTCTATCTTCTTGCAGCAATAATCTCAATGGGCGCATTCATGTTTGGATATGACCTCGCCTTTATTGGAACATCGATCGAGCTATCGTCATTTCAAAGGTAACACCTTCTTTCCAGGAAATTGGCATCATTATCTAACAGCTTCAGGGACTTCGGCTTACAGGGTGCATCAGAATCTACCAAAAATGCATTCGCGGCCAACATTGTTTCTCTGCTTCAAGCCGGGTGTTTCTTCGGGGCTCTCGGCGCAGGGCCGGTTGGTGAGAAGATCGGTCGCCGATTAGCCCTGGCACTCAGTGCCATCTTCTTCACAGTTGGGTCAATTATGCAAACGGCGTCTTCGGGGCAAACATCTCTTATCTTCGTTGGCAGGGCAATTGGTGGTCTGGTAGGTCACTCTTCCTCGGCACCTCATCACCAAGCTGACGATCTTTAGGGAGTCGGGTCAGCCAGCATGTTGGTGCCTCTCTACTCTGCCGAGTGTGCTCCACCAAACATTCGTGGCCGGCTCGTCGGGATATATGAAATAGGTGTTCAAACTGGGACCTGCATAGGGTTTTGGATCAACTACGGTGTGGATCGTAATATGGCTTCGACATCTTCCCAATGGATGACCCCTTTCGCTTTGCAGCTCATTCCAGCTGGCCTTCTTTTGATTGGTCTAATATTTATGCCTGATTCGCCCAGATGGATGGCTAAAGTTCATGGAAGATCTCGAGCTACTCAAGTCCTCTGTCATCTGAGGGGCCTCCCGGCCTCCGATCCGACTCTACAGGGCGAAATCGAAAATATTCTTCAACAACTCGAGATCGAACGGGCTACCGGCCCTGGTAACCATCGGTCGATTGTTCGCGAGCTGCTTCAGCCAGATATCCGTTATCGGGTGTTCTTGGGTATCATTATCATGATTTTCTTTCAAATGGCCGGGTCGAATGCCATCAATTATTACTCTCCACGTATTTTCCGCTCAATTGGGGTTACTGGCACTCAAACAACGTTGGTCTCTACAGGCATCTATGGTATAGTGCGACTTTTGGCGGTCTTCCTTGCCATGTACTTTGCAGTTGATCGGTTTGGCCGTAAGCCCATGCTGGTTTTCGGGAGCATCATCATAGTGTGTTCCTATATTTTGACGGATTTAACAACAAATCGAAGGCTAACAAATTCAAGGCAATTTCTATGTGGCTCATTGGAGTCTGTGTCAAAATTCAAGAACGCGAATCCAACTCTGATAAGTCTATGAGTGGATCTTCCTATGCAGCTGCAGTCTTTATCTTCGTGTTCGCCGTGTCTTTCTGTTTCAGCTGGGCTGGTATTCCTTGGATTATTTGCTCTGAGATTTATCCTTTGCAAGTTAGAGGTATCAGTATGGGCATTTGTACTGCAACACATTGGCTTTTCAATTTCGTTATCGCGCGAAGCGTACCCTATATGATTTCGAACATCACCTATGGGACTTATTTTCTTTTTGCCGCCTGTTCAACCCTATCGATTCCCTTTGTGTGGTTCTTTATTCCCGAGACAAAAGGAGTACCTCTGGAAGAAGTCGATGTTCTATTTGAACGTCGTGTATTCGGATTCGGGCAACAAAGTACATCTGATAGGCCAGAACTTTCGGACGAGAAGGCCACAGTGCAACAGATTGAAGCTGTCTAATTAGCTATAATGCGTCTCTCGAATTTATGCCAACCACTGATTATGCTTATCAAGTCATCAAATTATCATCTTCTGAATAATTTAATTATTTACAATCTTTCGGAGCTTTCGCAGTCAAGGCTAACCATTTCCCCTCTCTGCATATGGTTTACAGCACTTACTATTCTGCAACCTGGTCAAAGGATCACACTGAAGAACTTTGGGCATGTAATTTGAAGGATTGCACCAAGAAGTTGTCCATGTCAGTTCTCCATAAGAATGTTTCATCTTTGCTTTCGCGCGCGGGAAAATCTCGGAGTTGCAGTGCTAGCACCGTGACCAACACCAGGGCGCAAAGGATTGACTTTGGAGAGGGGGGCTTAGACTTGGATGCTTTATGGAGCACTGATATGAATAGATGAGATTAGGATTCGACTAGTCGGGATACCCAAGGAGTTCCAGGTTTGGCGCCCACTCACATCACAAAATGCGCTATCATTGCGGAGTGCTAAGTGTGTTCATCATGTACAGCATACTCTGGACTCGAGTATCGCTATGAGAAATCGACAGAGCGAGGTACCTACAATTGATACTGTAGTCTTTATGACTCGAACCGGCCATTTAAGCGACAGGGTCTCATACTGGCTTTATTAGCGCTGAGGCCTGAATTAGAACGACGATTGCCTCAAAATTATTTGTCCAACACTATATTATCAATGCGATATCAACCGCAAAATAATGATCCAAATCGGGCATACCGAGCAAGCGTATATTGCCAGTTCGTTATAGCTATACCAATGTGAAAACTGGCCGGTCACTCATCCTGGCGCCTGTGTCTGATCAGTCCGAGCATTGTCAAGCGGAAGGATCAGTGATTCCCTGTGTTAACGAGCGAAGGATTGTCCTGCTAGGCGACGAAAGATTCAGATCACATTGAGGAAGAAGGATGACTGCTTGATCAGCGAAAAGGCGCCATCGGGGGCTCGGGCTGAGAATCAGAATTCGATCAAATAAAACGTCTAGTTGATAGATTTTTCGACCCCAAATATTGAAGGCGAGGTGGTTGCAAGGAGCATTGGATAGCTTTGAGCAGATTTTGAACGTTTTTATACCGTGTATATTATACTGATTATGGAGATAAGTGTTTAGACTGGCTCCTGAGTTCGAGAGCCATCCGGGTGTATAGTCAGTGCCCTTCAACTGCAATAGGCTCGGAGTCTTCTTCCAGGGCAAAACAGGGACCGACGTGGGCAGAGAGGGCTATGTGCTTCTGTACTCCGTAGATATTACAAGGCATACAATGATCCTGATTGCGAGCGGAGTAAGAACCGACTGCTCGGTTTGGGCGATGCTGTATTCGGGTTGGGCCAGCTTATCCAGAATGCGGAGGCGCAGTCCCAACAATCTATAGCGCAACCAACATCCAAGAACGAACCCGATTCGTGGTCATTCCAGCTGATAGAATCCAAGCCACCACTCCCGTGTTTCAGGTCTTTAGCATGGTGATGATCGGCGTGGAACCCTGGCTTCTGGTGTTTGGGCCGCATTGAGCTCCGGTGCACCACGTGGAGGATTTTCCAGCCCTGCAGACTCGAAACAGTGACTCTTGGAGATCATGTTCTAGCAATCCTTCCGTTGCAGATCTCAATCTAGTCCTACAACATTCTAAGGGTTTAAAAATACTTCGAGATGACAGTCATTGTAACGGTGTTCGAACAAATGTTAGCATTTTTGCCTTTACAGGACTCCGAATGCCCATAATGGCACATAGAAAGTTTCAACTTGTGGACTAAAATAACATGCACCCATGACTTCAAATCAATCATTCGCCTTAAAAAGCGTAGCAAAATATGGAAAATACGGGGATAAAATAGGGTGAAGAGAAAATGCCAGGGGGGAATAAAAAGACACAAAGCCCGCTAAAAACACAGATGTAAAAGATAATAAATAATCCAGGAAGAGGGAAGGAAATCCAGATAAAACAGGTATTACAAAGTCGCATCCCGCGTAAGCGGCCGTGCAATCTGGCTCGGCTGCATATGGGGGAAATATTCTCAGAGCTAGCCGACCAGGCAGAATATGAGGCGGGAGTATGGAATATCTTCATCAGAGAATCAGTCAATTGCTCCCCCAATATTGTAGAATAACACACATACTGATGGGTTCAAAGAGGGCAGATTTGGGTCGATGTTCGAATTCCAAAAGGAGGGATCAATTGGATCCTCTTGCTGCAACGACTCCAGAGGGGGTGGGGGGTGTGATAAACGCCTCCGGTTTGAGAACACTTCGGAGATATTGATCGATGACTGAATCCAGGCCCGAGGATGGTAACGGCGAATGCGGGGACTGCGGCGCAAAAAGAGGAACACTGGAAACAGACGAGATCGAGCCGTGGCTCATTGTGTTTGAATAGCTATAGAAGGGACCGGCATTGATACAGCCTTGGTTATTCTGGCAGCCGAAGCATTGAGAGCAAGGCACCAAGGCGCTATCTGTGCTATCCGGAGATGTAGCGCTGCCGTTGGACTCAACGTGCTGGAATCCCTGGGAAATCGGAGCAGAAGACTTGGCTTGAAATGACTGGGTGCTGCGCGCACCGGATAAAGGGACGCTGGTCATCGGAACTGGCGACAAAACGTTTTTGGTGGACGAGGAAGACTTGTCTTTCGAGTAGTTTGGGTCGCTATTGTGTTGCTCTATTAGTTTCATGAATGCGATTTTGAATTGGGAAGAAAATGTTTCTTGATCACTTACTGCCGGGCGATATGTTGAGCGAGGTAATCGGCACGGTGAAACGCTTTGCTGCATCCAGGATGGGTGCAATCATAGAGCTTTCTTGACTTGTGACTCAGTTCATGTCGTCGCCGGTGTTCCGCACGCGTAAAGATCTAGCTCTTTATTAGATACTGTATCCCACGGCATCTAGGGGTTCCATTTTTGAGTCATTTGTTACTAACCTTATGACAACCGGGGAATTCGCATGCATGAACTCGCTTTCCCTTCTTCGCTTTGCTCACTCGGTGCTCGCCGGTGGAGGACGGCGAGGAAGGTACCGTACGTTGAGGACTCATGCGTTTTGCATCAGGATGGACTGTTTGTTGATCCATGATGGAACTTGGCGGTGGTGATATGTACTGTGGCCGTGATGATTCCAAATAGGGCGACACTGAGGATACGAAGTGGTTGGAATACTGGGGCAGAGTGCAACTGATAGACATTGTAGGCAATGTTGGGCAAGCCCCTCTTATGTCATAGAACAGCGAGATTAGGGCGTCGAGAGACAAATTGGGCTCCGCAGTTGTTTGGTGGGTGTGAATTCAGCAGGGAAAGGAATCGGGTTGTGACGCTTCGTTATATCTTGCCACACAGCTTGGTAAGGAAGTTCTAGACTCCAGTTGGTTTAGACAACACAGGAAGAGAAGGACGGCGGAATCCACGTACCTGATCCGGATGGCGGCCTTCTATATAATCCCCGGGGGGAGAGAGGGGATCATGGGCGGATCAATAAAGATCGGCTGATTTACGGAAGAGTAATTGAAGCTGGGCGACTTTGCACGATCCCAGGTGAGTTTAGAGCCAAAATGAAAATAAAAATGAGAATCATGAAAAAATACCCAATAAAATAAAACAAAATAGTAAAAAAGAGAAAAAAAGATCAAAGAGAAAACGAAGCAAGTAAAGCAAAAGGAAAAAAAAAAAAAAAAAAAAAGAAAAAAAAAAAAAGAAGAGAGAGAGATAAAGTGCCCCCAAATTACTCTTTGAAGTAGTTTTGTCAATCCTCGAAGATGAAACACCTAGGGCAAATCGATTTCAGCATAGTGTGCAGCCGGCCGAGCAGGACGATGCTCAACTGATCGACCACCACCCACAGCCCCCACCCCGATGGCTCCGATGGCTCCAGTGGTTCCAGTGGCCATGGCTGAGTCCATCCTGGGTCAGATAATGCTAATCGTTGTCCCCTCACCAACATTTTCAGATGCTATCGGCAAAGCTGTTTGGTTGCCATCTTTTCGACATGCATAAGAGCGGTCTTTGATAGGTGCTCCCTGAGTTTCATGATTCATTCCTTGTCGTCTGCAGACAAGCGCCGTTGGTTCCCAAATAAGCCTGTACACATTGGATTTCTCTTTCTTCCCCTCCCCGAGCCCTCAGTCGAGTTGCCGTCAAATCCATGGGTCTGACGCGAGAAGCTTGTCGGATAAGTCGGCGGAAGGCTATCGGTGGGGTGGCAGGGCAGATTTGGGGGCTGGTCCGAGCAGTTGCTCGACATGCGATGTAAACCCCAGAGGAAGTCAACCCAGCTATCTTCGGGTTCCTCCAAGTACTTTCCCATTAGGAAATCGAGACGACAAGCTGGTTCCACGGGTTTCAAACCACAGGCTACATGTTGAGAAGACTAGGCAAAGAAAATCCCGGCCGCGACTGATCCCAGTGAGAAGGGTACAGTGGGGCGATTGATCCTCAAAGTCGATGGGGGCGTGCGAACGATGTGCGGTTGCTTGGTTTCCAACCCAGCCAATTTCATCTGGGATGTCGATTACGAGGCTTTTCCCCTCAATACCATTTTGAGCTAGTTGATTGTCTGAACGAGACACAGAACCGGGACCCGGCTAGCACGAAGCATCAGGGGGATGCAAACGAGCAAAGGGCCAGAGGGGGTCCGAAGGATTCCTTCCCACATGGCAAACCGTTGCGGTGTAGCTCCAAACAAACTGGGAATGCACTGCTTCCTCAGGCTTTGCAAAAAAAAATTAGTGCTGAGTCTCAGCCAACCATAGGTCTGTAAAAATCATGGAGTTCAATTGTGTGCGGGTTAGCGTCGCCCGGCAAGCGGACATAAAGAGTGGACTGCTCCGTCACGCTGGAGAGGGCTGTCGTCCGCCCCGAGGTTGATCTGCGGGTTGCGACGGCTCAAGTGATGGCTGCACAGACCAGAAGCCCACTTAGACAACGATCACTGGTGCAGTAAAGACCCGACAAAATCTAAGCGCGACACTAGGATAAGCGAATGCGCCGATGGACCGACCAAGGCCGAGGAGGACGGGCTCTGATTTGCCGCGGGATTTTTACTTGCGCAGCAACCGGTTGGATCACTATTCCCCTGACTCAACCTCGTCTCCCCTCATCAATTTGATGCCTGGGAATGCTCCTGGTTCGGGGGCCTGGGCGTCGGTTACTCCGTGTGCTTCAATGCCTAGCCCAGCCCGACCCAGTGGCCCAGCTCGCTGGTAATTCCCGTGGGACTTGCCATTCTGGCCCCCACGGCCACCGTCGTAGCGCTGCTGCTCGAATACAGCCAATGCAACCTTCGAGGCTCGCCGCCGTTGATCTTGCCTCGATCTGTACATGTCGCACTCTTTGCCAGTCCCGTCAGGATCCGTTCCACCTCCGGTTCGGTGGAGTGTTGCCGCCTGGGTGTAAGAACGTAATTTCTCGTCCAGTAGTGGGCGATCATCCTGCAGTCTGCCTTGGGGCTCCCGACGTCGATTGGACAACTCGTCAGCAGTGGGGGAGCAGAGCCTGTGCACGGTTGATCTGGTTGTTCCACCGTTTTGGTTACTCTATTTGATCATTGTCCGGACTCCCAGAGCGCCTGTATCCCCCTTTCCACGTGGTAACATTTGTGCTAAACAGGGATTGTCATCCTTGGTAACCGAATAACGGGCGGCGGGTCGTGACCAGGGGGGCAAGCAGGGAATGAGAGGAAAGACCTCGATCCTGATGGCGTAGTCGCTTGGCTTGCTGTTGACCAGCCAAATAAGTCCATTGTTGGTTTGCTCCTGGTGTTCCTGGGGGCGTCCTGCTATTGCGGCTTAGCAGCGGATTGTCTAGTTTCTGTTTCTGAAAGAATTCGGGTGCCTGGTAGTCATGCGCGTCATGGGTGGTGATGGCCGAACGTTGAAGTTGAAAGTTCAAGTTGAAGTTAGGGTCGAGGCTATGTCAGCACTGTAACGCCCAGCTCTTCGTGATCTCACATCCAACATCCCCTTCTCTACGACAACACCAACAGCAACAACAGCAACAACAACAACAACAACAACAACAACAACAACAACAACAACATACCAACACCACTCCTGCGTATTCTGTTATCAGGGGAAACGAAAACCAACTTCACTTTACCAGGCTGTGTTGAACCTGCACGCGAGGCATCAGAAAGGCCTACATTGACTGAATGAGGAATATCGACGCATCACTGATTTGGGAAAAAAAAGCGACCACATCTACCAGTTATCTTACGAGCATCGCAGCAAGCCTTGTCTCCTCGGCTCCGGGTCTTCTCCCCGGCTGAAGCCCCCTAATCCCTCCTCCCCGCTTCGTCGCAGGAGTAATCAATCGCCCAACGAGCTGGGTTCTGGCCCGGGCCATCGCGCATAGGGCATCCTAGGGGTGATCTTCGTCACTCCTCGACCATGCAGACTTTCCTCCAGTACTCCGTATAGAGTATGTGAGGCGCAATTGGTGTCCGAGGGTCTCCACGGTCTTCCAAGAACACGCCAGCCCCGATGGTGGGGGCAAGCGCTCTCTTGGGACCGTTTCAATGCAGGGGTAATTATCCAAACAGGGCGCGCAGAGCTTTCCAGATGACGTTCGCTCTATTTGCCTCTTTCGTCGCGATCAACGATCATGACAGCCACAGGCCGGCTTTGTCTTCCTGTCTCGGTGCTAGAATGGCTCCGCACGAGCACCGGACACTAAATGTTGGACGGAGAAGCCACGGCCCTGATCTGCTCCCTCAACTTTCCTCTGCTCCACTCTATCCACTATACCCACCTTGTCCAGCCTAGGTGCGGAGATCCACCCGATCCGCTCTCGCAAAGTCTTTTGAATGGAGGACCCCGGGAACCCCCGATACTCAAAGCAGCTAGGAACGCGACATGCATCGTCGACGCGAAGCTAGATGATTATTGGGGCTCCTAGCGATGAAATTCCCTATGTAGACATCGAATCGTTGGATGAGAGAAGAAGCTTAGGTCGCTTCGAAATTATCATTCTAACGCTTTTTATCATTTTCTGCTCTCATTCCTCATTCTTTCATCACCGAGCGCATGGATTCGCGTATCCTCCTCGGGAAAGGGTATCAATGGCACTGGTCGGACCCGCAGAGCTGGGAAATGGCTTAACCCCAGTGCTAATCCTTCCGTTCACTGGAAACGAGTACGAACGAGAACGGCCCCTGAGAATCCTCATCCGCACCCGACTCTGTGGATGAAACCTGGCCCATGTCTACAGGGTGCAATAATGCAGCAAGATTTATGTGACCTCAAATCTGCCTTATGAATTCAGATAGTCCCAAGTTGCCATTCGCCCCCAACCGGCCAACATGTTAGATTGTAGCGGATGCTATCTATCCGTATAACTCGACGGTGCGTATTTCCGAGAGACGAGAGCACGAAGGATGATGGAGTGGCAAATTAGACTTTGAAGTAGCTGCTAGACAAACTGAGTGCTTGGTTCTAAGTTCTCGAATGGGCTGGATACCGTGGATATAAGATATATTGTCAGTTTTTGGGCCTCTTCAAAACCCGCGGTATTGGGTACTCCATGTATCTCCACACTATTCCTCACGGAAGAATGGCACCTATGATCGGCTAGATCCTCTTCGTATGTCCCAGTAGAACAATCACAAGCAGGTACATTGCTTGCAGGGGTTGGGATCTGCTGAAGATTGGAAGCCTCTGACGTCGCGAGGATCTACGTTTCACACTCTGTGCACGTTCCGCGCTATCGTGGAAATTCACTAATTCACTAATTCACTAGTAGGCATGGCACGGATTTTGGAACTCGTGGAAAAAACTGAGCTACAGCCCCTGCAAAAGCACTGGCCATGATACGCCCATTACTATACCTGTTATCATCTTGCCAGTCGGGCCAGGCCGCAGACTGCGCCCCGATGGTTTGGTCCACGAATCCCTTCAGAATTAATTTACCTATCAGGTTTTTCTCGGCGTGAGTCGCTATCCAACTATTCAGACGCCACAAGATGGGGGCCAACAAAAACACCCTTGATCACTCGTCTTCCCTTGCCGCTCGGGGTCTGGTTGCCGTCGCTCTTCCTCATAGTCAGAAGATCAAACCGATGGTAAATCCTGCTCGGCATTTCTATTCTAGGGACTCCGTCTGTGTATTGCAGTTGAGATTGCTGTGGAATTCTGGGGTGGCAATGTGAATCAACGCAGAATTGAGGGGAATTCCGCAATCAAATGCAATATTGACTTGTACCGCAATAAACGGCCCTGGCTCTAGGGTATTGGCTTCTACATCCATTGCTTCAAACTCTATATCCGTTTCTTTATGTATAGTACGAAGGACTGACAGAGGTCTATATCATTGTGATATCTTGCCTTATGATGCCTATTTCCAGCTTGGCAATCGTTACCCACAGCTAGCAGTACTCTGAGCCACCATTCATCCTGTATACGAATTGACAGCCCAACTCAGCCATCTCTGACTTGAAATTTGTAATAATCCCATTTGTGCATTTTGTCCTTGACATCAGTGGCTAATACCAGGTCTTTGCTCGCCCAGGCGCAACATTCGAGATGCTCAACACGACCCTGCGTTAAAGATTGAAGACACATATGCAGTCCCGGAAAAGGACCAATTCCAATGTCGCTTTGTCACCTATTTCTTGAAAGCACATTGGCCCTTGAAGTTTTGCAGAAGACTACAACCCCATCTATGATCTTTCGTATACCTTAGACTCCAGAGACTGCTTCAGTCTATGATCCCCGGCGTCTACCGAGTGAGCAAGATTTTGTGCAAGAGAAACAGCGGTGCAGTGCTCAGCAGCCAAAAAGATGCTCAACATAGACTATATGTTGGTCCTCGTTGAGCTGTTCTCTTTGCAGCTTGTATACAAGAAAATATGATGGTGCTGAGAAGAGCGCCGATTTTTCACAACCGCGGCAACAATCGAGCAATACTACCCTCATATTGCAGTCGATGATGCTCCAATAACCAAATGCAGGACATTACTGCTTACGCCTGGCTCGCCTAAGGACAAAAATATATGGTAGATGATGGTGGTTGCTGCCATATGAGAGGGGTGTGTCAAGAATTGAATCGCTGCCCGCTATCACAACCCCCATAATACATTAAAAACGAAGGTCAATGCAAATAGTTCATCTGGGCCGGAGCCAGTCATTGATGGGAACTCCTAGGGCCGGGTCAGGAGTTACAAAGAACTGGCAACAACCCCCCAACCAAAGATCTGCATGAGGATGTCTGGAAGGATGATATTCAGATATGTGGTTCAATATTCTCCGAATCTGTACATAATAAACTTTGGAGATCAGATTCATTAGCGAACAGCCACACGACATGGAAAATACAAAAGTGCAAACTAGAATATGAATATATAGATTCAAAAATGCTACACTACCTTGGATTTGCTTTTTACCCTTGCTCTTTCAGGCAGGGATTTCTCATTCATCATTGTGCTCGCGATAACGGTTCAGGCCTGGGCGCTTCTAGATCTTCTCCTGTGTTTATACTTCCGAGAGAGATAGCCCTTCAATTTCCTTTCGAGAGCTCCGCGGCGATGTATAGGGGAAGACTTGGATCTTCTAGAGCGCTGATATTATGCTTTTTTCTACCATGCTATGTGGTTTTTTCGAAACTTGAGAGCTCATTATTGATGGTCACTACATCTGGGAGGGATTCGGCAATTCTAAGCAATACTCACCACTAGAAAGGCAACCTGCTCGTTTTAGTGCATAGAGAACTTAGAATATCAAGTTATTTGCTGAACTGAGGCATCTGGAAAGTTACGAACTGATATTTAACTCAATTGACCAGATAGAAGTTATACCTTGCTGCTCGTCAAGCGTTGAAGAAAGTGAAGACTATATTCTCATCTACCATGGCTAAGTTTCACGCGAAATATATAGTTTAAAGCCAATAATTCGGAACGTCCTGAAAGGGTTATTTCTTGAATATTTCAATAGCCCCAAGATCAACTCGTTTCGCCTCAACCCCTTTTTTAAAGATCACATCACTAATCGCAGATATATTTGCCCCTAGGCGACCCTGAACGTCACCTATTCTCCGGCACCAAAGTTTATATCAAGTATTCTCATCACTCTATTTCATAATAAGAGCACTTTAGAACTTCCTTGTTTGGTAGAATGATGAGAATTGTCAATTGAACGACCAGGAAGCCTTATAGCAGTAAGCCTGTGGAATTCATATCATGGAAGAGCGTGATCTCTTTGTGCTGTACAACAACTTCCGGCTTATTTTCCTGTCATATCCTTCTTGCAGTATCCAACAGGGTAAGAATGTCTGTAATATTATGCATTTTATTATGCTTGATTAGTGATTTATCATAGGATTTTTTGGGAGCCAATGTGCAAGGACAAGTCTAACCTGCCTGGCTCAAGAGGTGAGGCATCCGGTTATGTCCAAAGATGCATCAACGCGGCATGAAGCATTGTCGACGTAGCGGCTAGAATCTTTGATGGATTGTTCTTAAGATGCCACCACCTGGGTCATGCTAGTGTTTTTGTTTGCCAATGTCGACGAGATAATTGATGGGAAGTACATGAACTCGTACTATACATTCCGCTTGCTGGCTGGACTGATAACGTTCTCATCTCTGCGAGGGCACCACGGAATATCAATCATTTAAGTGAATCGTCGATTGGGCAATGACTGTTCATTTCGCCCTAGAAAAGAGCATTTAAAATGCCCTCTGGGATTCTTGGAGCTTTTTTTCGTCCCTTTTGAATGATTGCGGCTCTGATCAATTTCGATTTTGGGCTTCCTTAATTTATTCAGGTAAAAAGAGTCTCGCAATGCCATGAGAGCAATACTAACGTCACTTTCATCGCTGGTGCAGAGTATCGGTGTGGGATATCAGGATATTTTTCCAACAGCCAGCAGAGTCCGAGCTGTACAGGATTACCAGACCCCAACCCCTTGTTTGGAGCGTCACTGGTGATACTAGCACTTGTTTCAAGCCTTACGAGCCTCATTTGGGGCTTTCTCAGGATTTGAATGCGGAGGCGATTTTTGAAGCCGGATCGGATTCTCGGTATGAGTTAGACTTAGATCAATTTCATGCAAAGACGGGCCTGAGCACCGACTATAGGGCCACAGGCTACGATGTTTCCTTTCTCACACTAGACAGTCTTCTGGTCAAGTCGGAAGAACGAGCGACTCCGATGTCCGAGTGCAGAGCGAGCACCGTTGGCCTAGTCAGCATCATCCTTATCGACGAATACGCATCCGAGGCCGAGTCGGGACAATGACGTGCTTTGGAGTTGGCTGGACATGGCCAGCAGAGCCGACTGAGTCATGATAGCTTCTGAATCTGCCGAAGCCCATGCGGTCCCCGCCAATCGCGGAACACCCACGACTCTCGTCATCCAGTGGAAGACTTGCGCCAACTCCAACTCTTCCTTGTCAACATCCCGCAACCCCGCAAATCACCAAATCGCCGGACTGAATCGCGCAACAACAACGGTAGCAACAACATCTTCAAAGCTGGCGCATCATTTGGCCTCGTATTCTAATATGGAATTCGTGCTTGGACAGAAAACATGCGACATGGATACAGAATGGCAGAAGTCTGCAAAGAGGCCGGGTCATCGGCAATCTAGAAGCCCCACGAGTACATATAAATATGCCCCGATGATGGTTTTCAGGGCTTCTTCACCTCGATCCAACGATACCCTATTCTTCTCCTCGCAGAAATAATCCTCTGCCGCAATGGCTCCGTCTTTGACCGAAACGCATGCCCCAGTGGTCCCCATCCTGGACGACAAGATCATTCTCAAGGGCCTCGAACGCCGGCCGCTCAACCCTAGCGGAGCCCTGGATGCATTTGAGTCCTTCGATGTCACCCCGGTGATTGGCCGCGAGTTCCCCAATGCCAACCTCAAGGACTTCCTGCGAGCCCCCAATTCTGATGACTTGATTCGAGACCTGGCCATTACAAGTAAGCTCTTCTCCATCCACTCGTCATCGTAGTGACCCTGGAAAAAAAAAAAAAGAAAAACGAAAAGCGAAGAAGGAGAGACGAGAATGATATAGAAGAGCAATCCCGTCGCACATACTCACATATTCGCAGTTTCCCAACGCGGCGTCGTCTTCTTCCGAAAGCAAGACGGGCTCAACGATGACCTGCAGAAAGAGCTTATCCAAAGACTCGGTGAGCTTTCCGGCAAGCCCTCAACCTCCGGTCTGCATATCCACCCCATCGTCAACTCCGGCCGCGAGGAGGGCGTTGCGGACGACGAAATCAGCGTCATCAGCTCTAACCAGCGGAAGAAGCTATACGCCCATCGCAACCAGCAAAGGCAGACAGCTCGGCACGAGTGGCATTCGGACATCACCTTCGAGCCCATTCCCTCCGACTATACGGCCCTTCGCCTCACAGAGCTCCCCAAGACCGGTGGTGGTACGTAGTCTTTCCCCTGGTGCTTTTCCTCCTATGCGTCCCAGCCAACTCGCTAACCCCATTCCCAAAAGACACCCTCTGGGCCTCTGGCTACGAGGTCTATGACCGTCTGTCCGAGCCATACCAGAAATTTCTCGACGGCCTGACTGCAACCTACGCACAGCCACGCTTTAACGAAGTCGCCGCGAACAACAACTTCAAAGTTCACCCCGGCCCGCGCGGTGCCCCTGAGAACGTGGGCGAAGAGCTCCTCGCCGAGCACCCCGTGGTGCGGACGAACCCGGTCACAGGGTGGAAGAGCATCTTCGCAGTGGGCACACATGTCCAGAAGGTGAACGGGGTGACGGAAGAGGAGAGCGCGCACCTGCTGCAATGGTTTGTAAAGCTGATCCAGGAGAACCACGATCTGCAAGTCCGGCTACGCTGGCAGAACCCGAATGACATTGGTAAGCGCATGGTCCTGTATTCATATTTGCGGGGATGGGAGAGGGATTTGAGTATTTTTTTTTCATGTGCTAATGGTGTCTTTAATAGCTATCTGGGATAATCGCTCTGTTTATCATGCCGCTACCTGGGACTATGAGGAGGTTGGCCCGCGGACAGGGCATCGAGTTGTAGGGCTTGGAGAACGGCCATACTTCGATCCCAAGAGTATTAGTCGACGACAGGCGTTGGCAGAAAGCGAAGAAGTGTCTAGGTGATCCTGTTTCAAGTTATTGTTTGTCTGTATGCTCTCGTTTTATGACTGGAACTCGGTTTAGCAGCATAGCAAATCACCATACGTTTCGAGAGTTGAGGAAGATCTCACCAGTAGGAGAAGTAAAGGAGGAGCTGGAGGAGTTAGGCAGCTTTCAAGCTCCTCAGTCTGGCAAACAGCAGGTTGCTCTACCTCAACATTCTTCAAAATGCATTTGCCTCCACCCCCATCCAAACACTCTTTCAGATTCTCTCCTATTACTATTTTTCACTCCTCGTCGTCTAGATTCCGAGGCAACCTGTTGATCATGGACTGGAAAATTCGGCAAAGGAGAGAGCAGACTGCTACTCCTTGCCCCACTTCGATTCCTGCTCCCTAACATATTCAAGGCAGTCGGGTCGAAGTGGATAATATTGGCTGTTGAAGCGGGCAAACAAGCCGAATGCAACTATTCACAACAATGCAGTAATGTATGTAGCATACGACACAACGCATAAGCAAAAGAAATATCATCCTTCCCCCAGTGTGCAAATATTCCACCCAAGACAACTTCATCCACCCATAATCACATATTAGATAATGCTGCAAATGAGGTCACAGAATAGCAGTCGGATCCAGAGTCGGGTTAGGGTTCTTGCTCTTCGCCTGCTCGAGGAGTGGCACCCGGATGGCACCCTTGGCGTCGGCCGGGATCGGATTGGGCGAAGGGCCCGGTGTGCGCTCACCAACGGATCTACCTGAGCGCTGGATCAGGCCATTGGTGATGCCCAGGACGGAGTCGACGATGACGGCATCAATGCCCTCAGCGACTTGGTACTAATGTGGGTATTAGTCGTGGGTTCTGCGAGGGAGGAGACATGGTGAGAATATAATGGTAACTTACGTCAACGTTAGGGCTGTCGTTATTCAGAGCACCATAGGACACGCAGACGAGACCGGATTCCTTCACGATGCGAACAAGTCGCGGGCAGAGGACCAGCGGCTCGGCCTGGGTGACAATGCCAAGAAGGTTCCATCGCGAGGCAAACCGGATAGCCTCCTGCAGACTACTGGCGCGGATGTCACCCACGGGTGATGCGCCGGCGTCAGTCAAGAAAAGGACGGGGATGGAAGGCTGCTTGAAGGACAGCAGGAGGCAGATATCCGGGTTGAAGCTGGAGAAGAGCACATCACGGCCGCGGCCAAGATCATAGACCTTAGTGAGGACCGTGTCGACGAAAGAGTTTAATTCTACAGCATAGGTATCCATCTCTTCTTCTTCGCTCTCGTGGAGCATGGGGTACTCTGGCGATCTTGGTTAGATCGTCGAAAAATAGCTGTTCTTTAGGAAGCGATGGAAACTCACTCAGTTCAATATTAAAGCCGACAGGGGTAGGGATTTTCTTGAAGAGCTCTTCGAGAGTGGCGAAGGGAGCTTGAATATGCTCGCCACGGGTGTTTCCCTTGAAACCCTTCTTCTTAAAGTCGCGGGTATGCTTGATTTTTTCCGTCAGCTCGGCCGGGTTATACTCAGAGCCACCAACGGACATGGATCGTTGCCGCGGGCCCAAATCGCCGGTGACATCCACGCCTTCAGGCAGAACGCTCCGGTGTCGACCTTTCCCCAATTCCAAGAATTGATCGAGCGTCAGGGTGTGCACGGGCGCATCAATGCCCGTTTCACTGACCAAGAAGTCATGGTAAATTACCGGCACATGATCCTTGGTAAGCTGGACATCAAACTCAACATAAGAAGCTCCCAGGTTTGCCGCTGCAATGAACGATTGAACAGTGTTTTCACCGAGCTGCAGGGACTTACGGCTGGCCATGTTCTTGCCCAGACCACGGTGTCCAATTACCATTGTTGAGCTCATGGATCGCCAGTAGGTCTGGTTACCAGTGATCGACATGTTTGGGTGTTTAAAAGGGGTAATGACCAAAAAGTTGAAAGTCACAGAGCCAATTACTTCCAAAGTATTAGCCGCAACAATGGGCACAGTAGAATCACCCTTGAGATTGATTCTCTGGGAGCCGACGGTGGGTTTGATACTGGAGAGAAGGGCCACGCCTCGCCCGACAATCTGCTCCTTGGACCCCGAGTAAGTGGGCACAAGATCAAAGAGCAGACGGACCTTGCTTGCATCATTGCTGTGGAAGACAATCGGCTCAGTCGAGATATTATCCTGAACCGGTAGATCAATGACTTCTGGCTCCCCGTGGGCACCACTGGCAGTGACTACCAGAGACAAAGCTGTATCTAACTGGGTCGCGTGAGCGTTTTCCATGGGAATGCGGTCGAGGTTGACGGTCTCAAGAGGTTTGCGCATATCCATTGTTCCCAAGCTAACCAAAATCATGGTCTCATCGGTGAGATACCGGTGTCCAAAAGTCTTAATAGGTTCAGTGTTGCGTAACCCAGGACTCCCAGAGGTAGGTCCGGGGATATTTGACCGCCGATCTGTCAGGGATGACTGGGATGATGGGGAATCAGACAGCGTCGGGCTTTGAGAAGGGCCAGGAACTACCAGCTCTGGTTCAGTGGCGGGAGGGCCGGGACTGACTTCAGCAAGACACCGCGCAATAGCAAGGTGGCCTCGTAGAGCAGCATGTTCCTTTGCAGTCCAGCCAGAAGAATCGAAGCGGTCAACATCTGCGCCAGCGGCAACTAGTAGCCTAGCCACGCTCAGAGAGCCATCAACACATGCAATGAACAGGGGTGTCCAGGCATAGGTGTGTTCGGCCAGATCAGGGTTTGCCTTCTGGTCTTCAGTTCCATCCAGAAGGATGCGAGCACATTCGTCATGGCCAAAGCGGGCCGCAACGTGCAAGGCAGTTTCTCCCTGCTCGTCTTGATAGTTGATATCAACACCAGCTTCAACCAACAACTGAACAATATCTACAAAATTCGCCTTGGTGGCGAGAGCGAGAACTGCACTGGATTTGGAAACCTGCTTGCGGACTCGCTCTCCTTTGCCGTGCGAAGCCTTCCAGTTCTCGGCATCAAGGAGATACCGGGTGGTCTTTGGGTGACCACCGACCACGCTCAGATGCAGGGGGGCCCAACCGTCATTGTCCTGCCATAAAGAGCCATCGATACCTTCGCTGACATCAAACATGTCCCAGGCCTTCAGGTGCTCAATAATGACCTCACAGACCACCTTAAAACCGTATTGAGCGGCATAATGCAGCGGTGTGCGGCCAGAGAGGTCCTTGCTCATGACGGACTCTCGTTGGTGCGGGAGCAACTCATCGAGTAAATGATGCAAGAAAGCAACCGCTGGGTCTTCCCGGCCAAGTTGCTGAGGCATTTGCGCCTCCTTGATCACGGAGCGCGGTGGCTGCAGTGTTGGAGGAGCTGCAGGCGTGATATAACGGGAGGTTTCCGGGGGAAGTCCAGCACCATGGAGGCTGCAGCTTCGGAATCGCTGGTCGACTGGACACGGCCAATGGAAATGACCAGACGGTGCAGGCAGTTGCGCCGGTTAATATCATCATCTTCCTCCAGCGTATCCACGCGACTTAGCAGCACCGTCAGACAGGCTCGTGCGCGGTGAAGAGTGGATCGCTGAATAAGGGTCTTAATGACCTTGGCATAGATCCCATCACCCGCTTCATCCGCAGCTATCTTCAACGTCTCGAGGAGTTCAAGTAGAACATGAGTGTCGTCCGTTCTGAGGGCATCGTCGACCGCCGTCACCACGCTGGTGGGCAGGTTCAGGTACGGACGAGCTGAACCACGCTTCAGCGACAGCGAAGAGTGGGTTGAGCTGGCATCATCCACGAGCTTATCGTCTGCCTTGGACTGTTCGGTAATGACAGCCATCCATGCATTGATCCGATCCTGAGCTTTGATGGCACGAGCATTGGATGCGAATGGGGCCGGGTCCACCTTGGTCTCCAGGTAACGCTTTTGAGCCCGGGCGCCCACCTTCTTGTCAAGCTTCTTGGTGATCTTGACAAAGCCACGACGATTAACCTCGCCGTACCATTGTAAGCGACGCAGGTGGTAGCGCAGATCGAGGAGGGCCTCGCGCAGGTCGTGCCGGTCCTCGGGCTCCAGCGGATGGTGGCCTTCCATGGAATATCCATAGCGATCCTCCAGTAGCTTCAGGCGACGCGCGTACTCGGAGTATTTCTTGTTGTAGAAGTAGTCGACATCTTCGACATTTCGATCAAGAGAGTAGAAGAAACCTATCCACGAGAACCGACCAACACACACCGGGCATCCTGGTTAGAAGGGATGTTGAGGGGGTGCAAGGGAGTATCATGGCGCCAAAAGGTTGCGCTTACCGGCCAGATCCGCCTCTTGACCCGCCTTCAATTGCTCGGCTGCCGACTTGATGAGCTTTTTCAGGGCCTTGTACTTGATGTATGAGGCACTCCACTCAGGGACGGTGAACTGGGGCAAATTGCGGCCGAACTTCATGTTGGCAAGACACCTGTATCCAAATGCGTTCTTGTTCCTTTTGAGGCCCGGCTGTGCTTCCTCTTATAAGAGTTTGTGTTTCCGTCTCTTGGTTCCAACTTTCGAAACTCCACCTCGGAGGTTGTTGTCCAGACAGGTTCCTCCGCCAATATAAAAAGAAACGGTCGATGCGTTCAATTGTCCAGCCTGAGAGTCACGGGGCAGTGATCAGGTGAGCGGACGCACAAAGGAAAGAAGAGTGAAAGACGCCATGAGGAACAACGGAGAGGGAGGGGGCGGGTGGTAGAAGGGGAATGTTTCGGTGGAGAGCTTCAAGACCAACTGTACCTGTTTCAAGTGGGGGCTGATGGTCAGTGGAGCGGTGAGGAAGAAAAACTCTGCACGGGGCGAAGGTCGTGAAGGTTGAGGTGAAGAGGAAAAGCTCGGTGCGCCTGAGGCCGAACGGGTTCAAGGTGTGCGTGCGGCCGCGGCGGTGATTTGTCGATCCGCGGGGTCGAGCTCCATGGTTCCGGGGTGGACTCGGCGATAACCAGAGGTGAGCTTTGTACGTCATTTGCCAGGTCACTGGCCAGGGACGATTACGGACTCAGTCGAGGCGACCCGGATACCAATCGCTCGTGCGCTCAAGCGTTAGCTCCCCATCGCAGGCAATAGCTCAACCGTCCTGAGGTTTCGTCCCGTCGCATTTCCCATTCCTCCAGTGGTTTCCCGAGACCCCGTGACCGGGTCTCCGAGTCTTCCGAGGCTCGCGTTGCTTTTATCGGCGAAATTGGGTCCTCGGAGACGCTTGGATACTCCCTTTCTCTTGCAACCGGTCTTGTGACAATGAAGAGTCGTGTGCTACTTCATCCTAGTGTCGGATTCTCCAAGCCCATCCGACCGAATGGGCCGGCTTGCAGGACCGGGCGGTTCGGCTCAGACCAATAGCGTTGTTCTCTGGTAGCCGTCATGCTCTCATTTAGCATGGTGCCGGGGGCCAAGTCGATAAGACGGAGGGGGTCCAAGAAGCAGGGAGAGGAGAGAAAGCAAAATGGAGAGACAAGGGAGAGCGAGGAAAGTTGAGCCCAATGGCCGATGTCTGCCCAAGCCACCAAAGCACGACGTACAGACAGGCAGACGCCCGACATCCGACATTTACAAATAAACTCTCATCGAGCGGATGTTCAGGATAAGTAGGGTATTCAGGACAATCAATACATGATAACACGTACATCATCTCTAAAAATCTACCATGAATCATGAGGGAATGATAGAGGACAGAACATTAACATATAACCCCGTTTTGGTTCGTTATCTCATACTGCCAAAGCAGATCAACTGGAATCTCGTGAAATCCATATTCTATGACTGCAACAAACCCCAATGCTAGACAAGGATGGCACTAATTCAGTGGCGCCGGCCCTAGAACAAATAAAAGAACGCCCCGGTCGCAGAAGATTCCAAGAATAATAAAGGGGGAAAAATACAAAAGAAGATCGCTAAGCCAAACCGTGTGCTCATGATAGAAAAAAAAATTGAGGGCGCTTCAAGCCCACCCTCTTGGGGGGCCAAGAGGGTGGGCTTGGGAAAAAGAAGAGAAAAGAGAACCTAACGCCAGCGGACAACCCCCCTTTCACCGGAGCCCATCCTGAGCCCCCAGTGTTTGGATGCGAATGAATGCGGTGCCCGCTCGTCTGCTCCATCGGAGAGCAAAGGAAAAAGTTTGGAGCCAAAGGAGAGAACGAAAGATCAGAGAGCAAGGGAGAGAGCAGAAAAGACGAGAAGGCCCGCCGCCTACTGCGATGGTTGTACCAGCGGCTTCAAGGCTTCTACGCCGGCTTGTAATACCGCCGGATTGGACGTCTTCTTAAGGCACGCTGTCAGGATGTCGATGCCCCCAGCAGCTTGAACGGCAGCTTTTGCGCGGGCTCCGATCTCACCTGACGCCGTGCAGGTTAGGTTGCGTACACATACCACTCCACGGTGAACCAGAGACTCGTCCTCTTCTTGGCACAGGCCCAGCAACAGCTCCACGCCGCGGGGTCGTTCCAGGATGGCCGCAATAGCGGCGTCGTAGTCGGTCAACATTGCAATCGCTCCACCGGCAGCGCGGCGGGTGGCGAGATCGTCCGCATCGGTAAGCGCTAGTAGAATATGAAGTCGCTGCGCAGCGCGCTTGGAGGCGTCTGCGAATTTGACAATGCCTGATTCGCAGGTCATCAAGTTGCAGACCAGTTCACAGGCAGCCCGCTGCACACGAGTGTTGCTGGACAACAAAAGATCCTCGATGGCGGACCATCCTTCGCGTACAATGAGTTCGGCGGGGGAATCATCACGGGGGTAGGACGCAAGGTTGGTCAGAGCAAGGAGGCTCTCAAAGATGGGAAGGAGGTCACGCGGTTGCTCGGCAGAAAAGGTTGCGTTCTCGGACATGACCAAAAGCGAAAGCAAAGGGCGGACGGGTGAAGTGGCTTGGGGAAACCCAGACGACAGAAAGACATGTGAAGGGTCAACCGAAATAAGAATTCGAGCCAGCGCATGGGATGCAGTTTGGGTGGTCTCGGTGACAACCATGGAGTTACCCTGCTTCGGGATGGACAATCCTAAGAGCAACTTTATAGCACCTTGCTGAGCGAGCGTGCCTCGGGACTTTAGTCGTCTAGCCAGGACCAATAGGATCTTGGCTGTGAGTTCCAGGATAGAGGGCATGGCGACCCGACCGGACTCGACCAGGAGTTCCACGACTCCCGCGTCAATCAACGCACCACAGCGAGTCAAAACCCGCTCATCCTCATCTCGGGGGTCGATGGGGGCCCTCGCCTGACCGGTAGAGGCATCCGCATAATCCTTAAGCTGCGACATCTTCTTCTGCTCGTCGGAGAGGTTAGGAAGGAATTTGGTGAGGTTCAGAATGATCATCAGACCGCCGTAGAGCACCGAGGTGTTGGTGGTGTGCGTCTTCAACACACCGATCAGGTCGCGCAAAAAGGTAGGGTCCTTGGCGAGCTGGTCCTTCACCGATGGTTCGACCGAAGAGTAGGCTAATCCCTCAATAGCGTGAGAGATATTTTCGACCTTGGGTTCAGACATCAGTCCCTTAAACCGTTGCACCAGGTCAGAAACCTCTATGCTTTCCTCCTGGACCTTACCATTCTCGGTGGATGAGTGGGTAGTCTCGGAGGCTCTGACTTTGGCCAGAACAACCGCTGCTAATTCCGAGCCCTCATCGCTACCATTGGTCAGAGTGTGTGAAAGCCACTCCGAGAAGTTTTTGGTGATGGCTTCACGACAAGAGCGGTTGATGCATGCTGCGTTCAGCAGCTCCAGGACCGAAATTTCTACCTTGCGACGCTTCGCATCCCGTGTGGCCAAGGGGGTCAAGGATTTCATGAATTCGTCTGACAGGAAGACGTTGGCGGCTGCAGCCGGGGAGACAGGGAAGACGGCGGCTACCGCTGAAAATGCAATGATCAAATCGTCGAGGCGACCTTTGCTGATCATAGCCGTGATCAGTGCCGCAAATTGTTTCTCGCCGGCCTCTTTGGCCACTTCCAGGTATTTAGCCGTTGCCAACGTGGCTTGGCTGCGGAGTTCCAGCGGGAGTCGGTGGTCCAGGGAGGTAAGAATGACCTCGAAGGACTCGTCATCGATCAAATGCTGCAGTCGGTCTGCATCCACCGCGAGCAGTCGGGTGATTCCTTTCAGCGCCCGTCCGTCCAGATCATGGCCGGATTCCATCAATTTGGCCAGAAACAGCTGGAACAGCTCACTCTCGCAGTGGGAGCGAGCTTCCTCTGAGGGCCATACATTGGGGTCTAAGACCACCGTGTCCAAGCAGACAGCGGCCCCATCGCCACGATCGTAGATCTCATCGAAAAAAGTGGTGACGGAGATTTGCAGCTCATTCGAGAAGTGTTGGCGAACGCTCGCGTTCTGTCGCACAAGCCCCGAGATGATCTCGTCTTGGAGGGCCGACAGAGCATGGGCCCGCTGTCCTAACAGCAGCTTCAACGACTCGAGCGCCACATTCTCCGGGGGTTTCAGCCCATCCGTGCGAAGATATGCAGCAGCTTCCTTTCCGGCAGATTCATCCTTGCGAGTGGTGTAACGACGGCAGACGTCTAGGAGCGGGTGGCCATTTTCTTCTTCTTGCTGGATTTTGAGAAAAGCGGCCTTGACATCTGGGTGATCGGGTGCGATGGAAAGTGCTTCTCGGAGATTGCGCGATGCGGCCTAGAGACTCGATCCCGTATCAGTACCCATGCCACCGATCGAATTAAGGCCTTCGTCAGGAAATCACTAGGGAATCACGTACCTCGCGGTGGCCGGCGTCAACCAACTCGACAGCCTCCCGTGCCAGGTGAACAGCGCGCTCGTCGCCCGTTGCTTGAACCATTGCAGGGGTGCTGAGGAGCAGCACGCTGCGAAGACAGGAGAGAAGGTCCGAATATCGGGGATATCGAGGGAGGGGGTTCTCGCACCAGCGCGTGGAAGGAGAAAAGAAGGCAAGCGTGGGCGGTGGGAGCTTTTTTTTGGGGGTGAGGGGAAAAAAGGCGGAGAGGCGGAAGGCTCGAGTGGGCTCAGTTAACAGGGAAAATCAGACCGAGTGGGAGGAAGACCGATTTATCTGATCAGTTGAAGGGCGTCGAGGAGAAAAAGCAACGGGGTCCCAGAGGCTCTCTTCAGTCGATCATCTTGGCTCTTGGACATTTACTCCGGACGCAGATTACCAGCGCATACAGATTACCGGCGCTGCGGGCCCCCACCAACCGGCCAAGTGGCGGGAGCGGGGGTCCAGGCTGGTATCGGCGTATTGCGATGACCGCCTTAATATTACGGGACATGTTTACGCCATCGCGACCAGGGCCATTATCAATCGTTCTTGATAAGACCAACCACAGCGACCGACGCCCACACGTTGCTGATAATCATCTGCTTCGGGGTTTCATTGAAGTTCAATCTGCAGACACTGCAAGGCGTCCTGGCCTCGTCTGACTTCGAACTTGGTGTCTCTCGGAGGACAGAGTACACAGTATAGGACAGGGGGTCGATCCCTGTACCCGATTCCGATGGGGGGATGAGTTAAACGCGGTACAGAGCATCGGAGTCCGCAGGGGCCGAGCATGTGGACCGCATCTAGTGTTCCTATTTGCTTTTTCATTCGAGGTAATCTGAGGGAATCCATCCTCAAAGGTTCATTCCTGAACTCCAGTCTCCTGCATACGGAGTACACGCCGTCATAGCGCCTGAGATGCTCGTCCGCGTCTCCGATTGATCCCAGAGGCTCAGAACACTCGAAATAAATAGCCAAATGTGAGTCACTATATAAAGTAGCTGGTCAAATAATAGAAATAACACTTATAGATTCTCTCAGTCTCTGTGATAACCGGCAATGTAATGGAGAGAGTGTTGCAGGTTGAGATGATTTTCATTCGCATGTGCATGTACCCATCGAGCAATGTCAGTGTAAAGTATATATATATGCCGTGCACATATCGATAAGGATCCAGGCTGTGTTTCACGCTACATACGTATGTAACAAGATTATGATGATGGCTAGGCGAGGAGCCCAACCTAAGTATGATGGGCCTTGATATACTTAAAAATAATTATTTCTTCCCTGCCTCTTTAGATCAAACCCAAAAGGAGAAACTACTGTATCCTCACGTGATTCAAAATAAAAGAATCATCGGAGATCAGTGCCTAGTTAACGTCCCGTGACTTACCTTATCTGGGAGCTCACTCTTGAGTCTTCGCGTCGATCATCTTGCTTGCAGCTATATATACCGCACAAAGTCTGGTGGGTGGGGAACTCATATCCTGGCTGCCGCCGCATCTGCGAGGGTGTTTAGGCTCAGGCTCAGACTCAGTGATTGCTCAGTGTGATGATCACCTATGGCTAGTCAGCAACTAGCTCATAACTAGTTTACTAACTATTTCGTAGCAACTGGTCATAATGGACCCCTTTACATCTTCTTCCTTCCTTACTACTAATTTAACTACTTAGCTATTCTAGTCTCTATCCCTTAATTTCTTACTCTAAAGGCGACATAGCATTGAATTAGTAGAAGAGTTATCACTCATTAGTACTTCCCAGTCACGCATGCATTGTTCGATCCACTTCCACAATTTTGGAGAAGTGATGAACATATCGTTCCGAAGTTTCCGCGATGGTTCAACAGTATACTGGGTTTTCCATGCGGATATGAGGGTCAACTTCTTCGCGATTGTGTGTCTGAGATGTTTGTTTCGAAAACAATCTTTTTCTTCATTTTTGATACTCGATAACAGCTGATCCTCTTGTTGAACTTCCTGATACAGTCGGGTATAATGAGTCGAACGTCGATTTTGTAAGAAGTACTGCCCTAGATCATACTCTGAGCCGTGCATAGAGCGCCAAACACTAGCGAAAAGGCCATGGCCATCAAATGAATATAGACATAGGAGTCGACTTAAGCTCCAGCAGATCTGGCCTCGCTCAAACGATCCAAGACACCGGGGACTCAACTCCCTGCCCAATGATTTAGCCATAGAAGCAAGAAAGCCCTCCTGAAACTGGGAATTTAAATCCGAACTAATTATATCGCGATACTGCGGCAGCTCCGGTGTGGCCATTAGTAGAGATAGTCCATGCGGGATTGATAGTCGGCCCGTGAGGGAACAGGCACTATAAAGCAATAATGCGATAACCGTAAAGATTCTGCGTGTTCTATAAACGCAGAAGCAAGACTGTCAAAAATTTCGGCTTCAGAAGTGAAAGGGCCACGTAGTATGGTCAAGGAATATCGATCATGTAATAGATGACCTCGTGAGAGGCATTCCCTAATTTCAAAGGACTGGTTGTTCTCGAAGAGGGAGCCGATCGTTTCAAAACGCAATTGCAAAAGCTTCCAGGTAATTACCCCTAGCCGAAAGACAACTTTGGCTACTCCGGGGTTCCCCAGGTCGGATCCGAGTGAATTCAAAGCTTTTGACAGTGGCCAGCCAGGCGCCTCACTCATGAAAATAAACGGAACCCCAAATTCATTGTCCAATGACGCACTATGAACTATTAGAGCTAGTAAATAGTACAAGTTGAAATGAGAAGGTGTCACCAATAGGTGTGTACCTTCGGGACTGGGATATCGCTATGAGCCCCGAGGTATCGCAATGAGTTGGCTTTTATATAATTGAACAAACGTTCTGATAAAATGATGATGGATTATGTATACGAATTTTACCTCCCCTGGAATGTCATAACATGACGTTGTGATAGAGAGAGAGACCCCTAAAACACAAAAGCAAATGTATGGCAGTGCGATAAATACCATTCGCATTTTTATACAGAACAGATGTGTAACACCAGCGACCTAGCTTCATCTGCAATTGTATTATAGTAAAGCGCAAGTTTACAGTATCAAATCTGGCATTATACGTAGACATCCATATCTTACTCTGGAGCTGGAATGGTGACGGTTTATTGTAACGTTGGCCTTGGGCTTTGGTTTGAAGGGTCCTATTTACAAATTTATTTTCCTATATTATATTTATTTCTATTCTCCCCACTTTTTATCCTGGGTTACAGTCCTTTATTTGTATACCCTTTATTTATGCCTTATGTTCGCGTCTTAATCAATATACTATCTTTCCCTATTTTCCTTGAGTTTTTTTTCAATCTGGAGTCTTTAATGAGACTTTGAAAAAAAAAATCATTTTTATATTTGGAAGAGCAAGTAGCTAATAAAGCACTTTCTAGCTTATTAGCCCTTTCCTCGGATCTTGCTTCCAGCTGGGATCTGTGATCCTCTCTATCTTTTTTTTTTTTTTTGCTCTTGCTCTTTTAGAAGCCCTTCTACACCAGGTCTTGGCTTTCTTGCTATCGTTTTATGAGTATTTGATGCTGTGTATAGCATGTCATTCCACCAGCATCAAACATCCAACAGTTCTTAGAGAGATATATATTTATTACTTAAAGTAGATTCTTCCAATATCCCTTTAGATTCTTAGATTTTCCTCTTAGATCTTTTAATTAGAAAATTAAATCATAATTTAATATAATGTATGCATTTAAAAGAGATATAGATCTTAGATAGAGAAAGGAAATATAAGTGCGGCTTGGACGTTAGGTGGAAGTTGCAGGATGTTGGAAACTAGCCTAAAAGTGGTAGCAATAGTAGGAAACGAGCGGTAAGAGATGGCAAAAAATTCCATACACTAAATCTCCAATTACATCCGTATGCCCCAGATTATACTACGTACTAAGGCGTGAGATTCGGCTACTAGCGCGTGTATATAGTATCGTGCAGGATATTTCGTACAGCTTCGCTGTTGCGCGAAGACCATTAAAACGACCAATTTCAGGATCATAAGAGCGAAAAAAAGTTTGCCCTCTTGATTGGCCCATTTTTGTCGGGATTCAGAGCGAATTGGTGGCATGGTAAGAGGTTGAAGTTGGCGTATATGTAGAAAGACGCGATTTTGGCAAGGGTGATCCGCTCGGCTGGGTGATCCGGGCGGGAATTACGTTAATCAGGCTCAGTGAGTTGATCAGGTTGATTACCTAATGATCACTGGCCAGCTCTGGTGGGTCAGGGGCGTGCTCAATTCTACTCAGCGAGCAAAAGCGGCGAGAGGGTGAGCACTAGACCGGCAGAAGAGCGCCAGGCATTGCCAGACTTTATTTGGTATACATGCACCCAAGATCCTTCTTGTCGCAGCTTCAGTTGCGGCCTCCAGCCTGCTCCCCCCTTGGGAACTTTTTGAAATCAGGTCACCCTAGGGCTTGGTCAGCTCATCATGAGCCTCGGCCCTCATCGAACCCGCCGAGCACCATGAATTCCGTCGATGCCTCCGAGCATTATGAGCTCGGTGTGACAGGTCCGTGATTCGCTCTGACGTGCTTCCCAAAACCCCCTTCCCTCTATTTTGAGAATGACTACTAAACAAAGCTCCAGATCTCGCGCCCTCTCTCCTGACCGTCGTTCTCGATACCAACCCGCATGCCTGGGCCTTACTCGAAGATTCCCTACCTCTCTCCAAAGCTGTCGCAAACATTCTCGTCTTCATCAATGCCCATCTTGCTTGCAACTATGCGAACGAGGTCGCTGTTGTCGCATCACACAGCCAAAAAGCAGCATGGCTATATCCTTCACAGCACAATGAGTCCTCCAAAACATCCGCAGATCATGATGGGGACATCTCGATGAATGGAGGCGGAGCATCGAAAACCCAGACAAACAAATACCGCCCATTCCGCTTAGTAGAGGAACAAGTCACTCAGAACCTGAAAGAGTTGATGGACACGACTAGCAGTGACGACCTCCGCAGCAACACATCGACAATGCTAGCAGGCGCTCTAACTCTAGCGCTCAGCCATATCAACCGACGTACAATTGCCTGGGCTGAAGAACATGGTGGCGCCGATCTAGAGGAGGCAGCAGCGGAAGGCGGCGGCACCGGGGCAGCGCCGCCCGCGCCCGGTCGATACTCGGCTTCAAATGACGACGAGCGGCTCCAGAGTAGGATCTTGATCGTCTCGGTCAGCGGGTCCAGCGATTCAGCGCACCAGTATATCCCTGTCATGAATGGCATATTCGCCTGTCAGCGGTTGCACATCCCGATCGATGTGTGCAAGCTCAGCGGCGATGCGGTCTTCCTGCAGCAGGCCTGTGACGCTACCAAGGGCGTGTACATGTCCCTGTCGGAACCGCGTGGGTTGCTCCAGTATCTGATGATGGCGTTCTTGCCTGATCAGCGCTCGCGGAAACACTTGGTGCTCCCTACTCGGGTGGATGTGGATTTCCGTGCGGCCTGCTTTTGCCACCGACGTGTCGTGAATATCGGCTTCGTCTGTTCCATTTGTTTGAGCATATTCTGCGAACCGCCTCCAGAAAGTACTTGTTTAACATGTGGAACTCCTCTAGACATAGGTGATTATGGCGGGAAGCCTGCTCTTATACCGAGAAAGAAGAAGAAAAAGAAGAGAGCCAACGGGGCCTCGGCAGTGGGAACTCCCATGTCAACGGGAACACCAACTCCTGGCCCTTGACAATTCGAAAGAGGTATCTACAAGAATCAAATTACCTGGACCCCTATTCTCGCTGGACTCGAGAAGGAATATATGTGCCGCAATGTGATCAAAGAAATGTCGAGCAGATTCTTGAAATTTCTAGGATTTCTAGGGAATTAGAAATATGCACATGCAGGCAATAGCCTAAGCAGTTTGGCAAGCAGAAAATTCTGGCTGAGAGCGCGCATGTAGTCTCCGAAGGAGAGCACAAATGGTCAGACCGGACCAGACGATTGCGCGGCGATGGCTAGGAGGAAAGGATGCCATTGAAACAACTGAGCAGACCTGGTCGCTATGCAGAACGCAATGCCGAAAATCCGTAACATAGAGAGCCAAGAGAAGAATAAAACTGAATTTTAGTGGAAAAGGCGTGATGAGTAGAAGGGGCCAGCACCAGAAATGAAAGCGTCAACAGACGCTCTGTAGTATCACTAGAACCACCAGATATGGTGTTTGAGGTGGAATGCCTGTCCTTTAGATATCTTGGTCAGGCTTTCGCTTCTTGCTGTCCTTCGATCTGGTCGACACTCTCCGTCAGCATCTATAGACGTTCAATGCCATATGGTTGAGTTTCATGCGCGCGACCACTTACTTGCCGGGACGGTACATTATCCCACCCTGGGCAACGGGACCCTGTCGCTGGTTGCGAGACATCAAGCAAGAAGGCACTGTGTCTAAGCTGGACATCGAAGCAACGGCCTGAAGTTGGGATTAGTGGCTCAACCTGACCAAAAAAATTTTAAAGGCCAACTCACAAATGACTCCGTGTTGTGAGCGAAGTAAAGGGCGATGCCATCAACGTTCTTCTTGACACACATGATACCGATGGAACCAGCAATCTCACTGTGCTTCACAGCTGGATGACCTGAGCAAATAGTCAGCTTTTAACATGGCTCGAAAATATTCAGATTGAAGGGGTCCTAACCGATGAACTCTTTGATTACCATTGCACGGAGAGCTTCATCCTCAGTTACATTCTCGAAAGAGCCTGCAGAACCCATGCGCTGACTGTAATAGACGCGAGTTGCGGCGGTACTAGCAGCGAATGTTGAGGCAATATGTTCGCCAGTTCCAGAGGTGACGGCAGCCACGGTGGTCTGTTCGGGATCAGAGGGGTCGGCTGGGATGACGTGGGTGCCAATGCCAATTAGTGCTGCAGGCCCTACCCGGCCTCGATGCTTCATACCAATTCCCCCGGAAGAAGATCCTGCTGCAATGTTCCCAAACTTGTCGATCGCAATCGCCCCCACGGTGTCATTGACCGCGTCCCTGCGCACCTCAGCTGGGTTATTTACATCTTGAACACGCGACTCTTCCGCCGACAAATAGGATCTGGCGCGAGCCGGCTCAAATGCATCGGGGGTAGAGGTGGTTGGACTGATAGGAGCGGAGCGCGCTTTTGGAGGTGATCCATCCATGGATCTTCCATTCTGTAGCTGCAGAGGATCGTTGACATCGAGATTGATAGCATTGAGATTTGGCATCTCAGCCCTAATCGATTCCTGAGCACCTGGAGCCATACGGGTAATGCGAGTCGTGATAGGGGTTAATGGTCGACGGAGCCAGGGGTTAACAGGCTCTTCCTCAGGATTCTTAGGGTTTTCTTCTTCCCATTGCTGGATCTCACGACACCAGGTCTCATAGCGCACCCGCGAAGACGGAGCGATTAGGGCATCGTCGGGGACAATGACAACCGAATTATTCCAGGCAAAGTCGGCGGCCCCTTCTCCGACAAGAAAGTTTGGGGGTATTCGAGACATTCCTGGAGACTTATGGGCTTGATCATAGATTTTGCGGGCCAGCATGATGGGGTTTTTGACAGCTACAAATCAACAGTCAGAATATAAACCATCCATGCGACGAAAGGCAATCAACAAGGTTGGGATTGGAAGACTTACTGGGGACTGCTCCGGCGGCACCACTCCGACCTAGATGATCCATGATGGATGCATCGCCTTCCACCACACCTTTGACATTTAGGTTGCTGCCATATCCAGCATTGGTGATTGGGGCATCCTCGAGCACCATGAGGGCAACTTCAACGGCATCAACCGCAGTGCCGCCATTCCGCAAAAAAGCTGTTCCTGCTTTGACCGCCCTTTTCATAATTATCAGTATGGATATCATAATCTCAACAGGCAATTGCACTTACTGTTGACAAGCTTCAAGATGCTTGGACTCATTTTCGCGGCTGTGATACCCGGCTCCCCCATGCACGAAGATGGCACAGAGGTCCTCGTTCCGTTTGTTTTTCCCCATATTGACTCGCGGAACGGAAATTGAGAGAATGGCAGGGCTCGAACACGTCGAATAGCCAACACCGCTGCCGCTCTTTGCGGAGAGAAGCTGGGTGAAGAAACAGCGTGTACAACGTCGGATAAAAGTGGAAACAAGAGAGTTGAAAGCCAACACAAGATGCTTCCTGTGCACCGTCTGATCTGAAATCAGAATTGACTTAATCCACCGTGACGATCCTGTATGATAGCAGGCACCACGTGAAACCAACTTTCCAGAGCTGCTACACCTTTGAGAATCTGCCGTGAGGCAAGAGGTGAGAGCTGACGACCAGATCGGTTCTAGGAATGAAAAGTATGAATGCAAAGAACGAATGAAAGGACTATGCCGCGTAGGACACGTTCCATTAAAGGATAGTAGGATTGCAGACGTGGAATAATAGGTCAAATGTGTAGGGCAGTTGACCACACGATATCAACAATGTGGAACTAAACTGTTGTGGGCGGAGATGCATTATGGCCGTTGCTCCTTCCGATTCAATTCATTTCAGCAAAAATAAAATTTTAGGCAATGGCGGAACATTTGTTAATCTCCATACCGCTTAACCTGCAAGTATATTTCTTAACTGCGGTGACATCCGCACTTGCTAAAGTAAACCGATTTTGATGGCACATGATGTCGACGTGACCGCCTCTTAGGTAAGCACCTCCCCGCCTTGTCTGCCTAAGCTCCGCCACGGTTGACTTCACCACCCCCCTTCTAAAGCACAAGACTCCATTCCTCTTTGTGACCGGATTGGCACTGAGACCCATTGTCCAACATGGCGTCCCAAACACCAGCCGTTGTCATGGACAAGTAAGTTGCGCTCCAATGCCGGAATTGACTCCAGACTGACCGCAGCTCTCTAGCGGAACTGGTTACTCCAAGCTTGGTATGTATCGTATATGTGGACTTGTGGTTATAACGACAAGATAGTCGCGAGTCTGAGAGTTGTGGGCTTACAGTATGTGCCTTTTCGTGCTCTAGGATTCGCCGGTAACGATTCACCCTCTTTCGTCTTCCCGACTGCAATTGCAACCAAGGCCGGTGCTGGAAGCGCTGGGAGCTCCGCCGGTTCTCGACCTGCAGTCGCCAACAAGCCTGCATTCCTGGGGGGTAGCGGAGGTGCTAGCTCGCACCTGTCTGCAAAACGTGGCACTGAGGACCTTGATTTCTTCATTGGTGATGAGGCCCTGGCCGCAGGCAACGGCCCCGGCTATGGCGTCAACTACCCTATCCGACATGGACAGATTGAGAACTGGGACTACATGGAGCGATTCTGGTCAAACTCGATTTTCAAATATCTTCGTGTTGAGCCCGAAGACCATTATTTCCTCTTGACTGAGCCGGTAAGACTGTGGAACTTCTACAATTCTCCCCGCATAGCGTGATTTTGCGGAGACAAGAGACGGTGCTAATGTTGATTCGGGATCAAAGCCACTTAACCCCCCCGAGAACCGTGAAAATACTGCCGAGATCATGTTCGAATCCTTCAATTGCGCCGGTCTTTACATTGCCGTGCAAGCCGTACTCGCCCTCGCCGCATCCTGGACCTCTTCTAAGGTTACCGACCGGTCATTGACCGGTACCGTGATTGATTCCGGTGACGGCGTCACCCATGTTATTCCCGTCGCCGAGGGCTACGTCATCGGCTCTTCGATTAAGAGTATCCCGATTGCAGGACGCGACATTACATATTTTGTGCAGAGCTTGCTGCGTGACCGCGGTGAACCGGACAGCAGCCTGAAGACCGCCGAGAAGGTCAAGGAGGAGTACTGCTACGTCAGCCCTGATATCGTTAAGGAATTCGCCCGTTACGACCGTGAGCCTGACCGCTTCCTGAAGCACACTGTGACTTCGCCCAACGGGCGTAGCGTGTCCATCGACGTGGGCTATGAGCGTTTCCTCGCCCCAGAGATCTTCTTCAACCCCGAAATCTATTCGTCTGACTTCTTGACCCCACTCCCCAATGTTGTCGATGGCGTTATCCAGTCCTCGCCCATCGATGTGCGCCGAGGCCTGTATAAGAATATTGTGCTGTCTGGTGGCTCAACTCTGTACAAGGACTTTGGTCGTCGTCTACAACGTGATATCCGTCACCTGGTTGATGCTCGTATCCGTGCATCCGAGGCTCGCAGCGGCGGTGCTCGCAGTGGTGGATTGGATGTTGCGGTCGTTACACACAAGCGCCAGCGGCACGGACCCTGGTTTGGAGGCAGCCTGCTGGGTCAGACGCCCGAGTTCCGGAGCTACTGTCACACCAAGGCCGAGTATGACGAGATCGGTCCAAGCATTGTGCGGAGGTTTGCGCTTCTCGGTGGGCCCGGCAGCTCGTAGGGTGGGTTTCGCAGTTCTTTTCATCATGTCCTTTTGTCAGCGATGTAGCTGGACGTTTTTGTTCATAGTCCGTTAGTTTCCATCTCTTTTGCCCCTTCTATTCGCTTTCCTTGGTACTTTCATCGAATCCTTATTATTCAAAGCGGGCGACATGGCGCTGGGCTCTCAGCAGGCTGTATCTGATCCCCGAGTAGATAGAGGGAAAATGGGTCTTGTATTCTGTGGTATTTGAAGAAGATATGAAAATGTAAACGTGATCGATTCCCGTGCTCTTTTTTTGATATTTCCCTCTCCAATACCAACGCCGTGATTAAAAATGCGGTATTAAACGTGTATCTAATGCAAAAGATCTCCTTGTTCCAATTCAAAAACTGATCAACTTTTCGGCCAAACTGCCTAGTCTATGCGGAGTGTTTCGGGAATGAAGTTCGGTTGAGAATAGCGACACCTTCAACGTGCCCCGTCTGAGGGAAGAAATCGAATCCACGGATACTCTCTATCTCATATCGCACGTCTTGCTTCTCGCTACCCTGGACCATGACTGCCACATCTCGGGCCTGAGTGTGAACGTTGCAGCTAACGTACACAACACGGCGGGGCTTGAACTCAAGCAGTTGCTGAAGGAAATCTTCCGAGCAGCCTTTGCGAGGAGGATCAATGACCAGAAGAGTCTGGTCAGGAGGGTAGGGAACATCCTTGAACAAGACTGCGGCATCTGCAGCAGCAAACCCAGTATTTGGAAGGTTGTTGGCACGAGCATTGTCACGCGCGCAGACGATGGAATCCCCTGCAACATCAACACCCAGGCTGGACTTGAAAATGGTGGAAAGGGTGATAGTGAACAGACCCGAGCCTGAGTATGCATCAAGAAGATATTTGATGGGGGTGGGATCTTGGTCATTACCCGGAGGCAAGGCCTGGGAGCGGATAAACTCGGTGAAACCAGACAGGATGGAGTTGTTGTTCTGGAAGAAACCGCCGGCTTTGTTGCTGAAGATAAAGTCATCAACATATTCGATAGAAGTGGCATTGTTGTCAGTGACACAGCGTTTCTCTTCAATATAGTTCTCACGCTCAACTCGGATCACCTCACCGGTGTCGGCACCTGGGGTCGAATTGAGTCCGTTCATATCTTTGGCCTCAGTTTCAGTTTCTGAGGTCTCCTTTGGAACGCGTGCGGTAGATTCCCGCATAAGAAGGGTTGCGCCTTTCTTATAGGAGCGGATGTTCTCAGCAACACGTTTCCTTTCACTCTTGAGACCACGGCGGACGATGTCCGTTCCCAGTGGACAGTCCTCAATATCCATATCCATTCTCCGGTTCTTGTAAGTAAAGCCAATCGGTGGCACCTTGACTTCCTCTGGTTCCTCCTGGTTTGGCTTCTTTTTGCCAGCTCCTTGGGCAAAATGAGGTGTAAGTTTAGTGCGATATCCATATTGCATGGGAGAAGGGAAAGTCTCCCCAATGGCGGGGACCAATTCGGGGATGAGTCCAGAGAAATTGGCATATGCTTTCTCTACAATGCGCCGCTTGTGCGCAAGCTGGTCTTCATACGACATCATCTGCAATTGACAACCCGAGCACTTTCCAAAATAAGTGCACCCGATAAGCGCATCATTTCTTTGGGGACCGGGCTCAATCACGTTGAGAAAGTCGGTCATGGTGTACGACTGGGCAGGAAAGTGTTTGATCACTTTCACGCGCACCTTATCTCCTGGAACGGTGAAAGGGACAACATAGACATGATCTTTGTTTTCGGAAAGTGCGAGACCATCTCCAGTCGACGAAATATCGGACACAGTCACGTCAATCTCGGTGAAGGTCTCGGGGAGAGTGGGAGCAGGCGGGGTCGCATTCTCGTCGTTGGACTCGTCTTGTTCGGGTCGATTGTTTTTGATGAGATGGTTGATATCGGTCAGCAGGACTTCATCATGGGCACTGCTCTTGTCATTGGCCTTCGACTTCTTGCGTCTCTTCGGGTCGAACGGCCTTTTGAAATTGCCCGGCATAATTGCTGAAAGAGTTGGCGCAGTCTGGAAATGACGCTGCGGGGAGAAGGTTGAGACAGGCTGGACTCGGTGGAGACAAGCACGGGCAGACCAGCTATAAGAGAATCGCCAAGCAGACTGCCGCAGTGCGAACATATAAAATTGAGACAGAATGGAGGAAATGAACGAATTCGCAAGAAAGTTGTAGGCCCTCGAAATTCTGGAAATTTATTAGAAACGCATCTGCGGAGACGGTGATTGGCCCGACCCTGACCGCCCGGGAGCAAGAAATTCCTCCCGACGCTACCACTTCCACTGTTTTCTCGCCAGCGTCGTTGCACAGTTTGTCGCGCGTTTCCTTTTTTTTCTTGCAGATCTCGGGGCTAGCGGTGCTGCTAGCTGATGAGTCGAAGCTTTCTTTTCACAATGAGTCTCGCCCGGCCAGCACGATGCCTGTTCTGCAGCTTCTCCCGTGCTGCCACGCAGGGCACGCGAGTCCCCCGTCGCCAATTCCACCCATCTCCCGCTCAATTGACAAACCGGAAACCCAAGTTCCCGAATATCAAGGCTCCCGAAGCCCAAAGTGCTTCAGGGCTGAAGCCTGAGGAGTTCAAGGCGTACTCGGAGGAGGAGAAGGCACACCTGGCCAAGGAGTACTCGGCCGCGCAGATGGAAGCTATCAAGGCCGGCGAGGCTGCCATTGACCCGAAGGACTTGTCTGAGCAGTTCAATCCCCGTGACGACCCTATGAAATTCCAGTATGTCGACGACTTTTCCGTGATCGAGCCCGGTGTCGATAAGCACATGCGCGCCCCCCTGTCCAACGCGGACCCCAATTTCAAGCTGAAGACCGAAGACGATTTTGTCGACGACTTTGCCCGTTTCTTTATCGAGGCTCCCGAGAATGAGAGTATCAAGGCTGAGGACTTTGTCAAATATGCGGATTCCCTGCGCTTGACTCACGGCAAGGAAGAGAGCGAGTTGAACCCCCACAGCTCCCTGGTGCCCGATTTGTTCGGCCCGGGTGAGACCATTGATGACCCTCGCGTGGAGGAGCGGAAGACTGCCGCGGAGAAGGGCGAGAAAGAGCGGTCTTTGGAGGCCGAGGAAATGACCGATGCCCTGAAGAGCCTTCTCCTCTCCACAGGCTACACTGAACGCCAAGTCCGTGAATTCCGGACTAAGACCCTTGTCTCTCACAGCGTCGTGAACCAGACCCGCTTGGGTAAGGTTCGCCGTGCCTACCGCCTGACTGTTGCTGGAAACGGTAATGGTCTGCTAGGTATTGGTGAGGGCAAGTCCGACGAAGCGGCCGATGCGAAGATCCAATCGCAGTACCGTGCCATCCGCAACATGCAGCCCATCCCCCGCTATGAGAACCGCACCATATTTGGTGATGTGAAGGGCAAAGTTGGTGCTGTGGAGTTGGAGCTGATGCACCGTCCCCCAGGTATGCTCCACGCAACATCCGATATGTTGCTTTCACAAATGCTAATCGAATATCTCCACCAGGCTTCGGTCTCCGCGTCCAGTATCTGATCTACGAAATGTGCCGTGCCGCTGGTATCCACGATCTCTCAGCGCGAGTTAATCGCTCCCGCAACAAGATGAACACCGTGAAGGCTGCCTACGAGGCGCTTATGAGCCAGAAGAACCCGGAGGAGGTTGCTCGGGCCCGCGGAAGGAAAATGATTGATGTCCGCAAGGTGTACTACGCAGGCAAGGTCTAGAGACGGACATCTTGACAATCGACTGAGCCGTGTATTCTCGGCGTGTATATAACTAGGTTTCTTTTCTCTTCTCGCCTTGTCTTGCGCATGTACTTGTATCTGTATTCGTTCATATGTCTCAAAAGGATAAATCAAGTCGTCAAATCATTGGCAATTCCGTGCCTAAGCAGTATTCTGTATATCTGTACAGGTGAGCCCTGACTATTCAACCAGGTGCTTACATTTCCCCAACATACATTTCCCCAACACCATTTCAAGGCCTGCCCCCTCTCATATTTCAATAACACGCCAGTTTGCGAAAGAAGTCAAGTATGGGTATATGAAAAAGCAATCGAGTAAAAACCTCGAATATCGTGAAAAAGCCGAAAAGAACACTCGCAGCGTCACTGAAAGGTCATATCTTCCTCTCCGTCGTACCCTCCTCCGTCGTGGTAGTCCGGATTCTGAAACTGCTGCGTCTCCTCGCCCTGTTGTTGTTGCTGCTGCTCCTCGTTTTCGTTCCAGATCTGCTGCTGCAGAACTATGCTGTACACGCTCGCCTTGAGGAGCGTGCACACTGTCGCCGTCTTCCGCTCCAACAGACGCATGCCATCAAGGGTCATGGACGCGGGGGAGCCGGCTAGATCGGATATCTTCTCAGAGAGCTGGGGAGGCGCGAATTAACTTGCTGGCCAATACACCAGCTGCGAATGACTGGGTACAACGCTGCGCGCGGCGCGCGCGGGGAGGAAAAGCCTTCGCTTACCTGGTTGACATTCCGCAGTAGTCGGGAGTATTCGTCGAGGACTTCCTGCTCCAGCTCCGAGACGAGCGGATTCTCGCCTAGAAGGGGATTATTGGAGCGGCTGCGGCTGTAAGGATCGTCTGTTTCGGATTGCTCTGGTGGGATGGGAGGGGTAGTGGTCGCGGGGTCGGGCTCGGCGTAGGAGTAGTCGTGGGCGTCAGGGTCTTCAGAGGCTGCAAAGGCGGACATTATGTATGATGGCTGTTGTCGTCGCCGTGGGCCGGCAATTGGTTTGTAGAGAGAAAGTTGAGGTTGGTCGACGTAACTAGTTCAACGCGGTAGTTTGTTGTGACGCGGATCCACGTTTTTTAGTGGAGCGGAACTGTCCCACTCATCAGGTACCAACAACGGGTCTTGCCACAAGGGACTTGGAATCAACACGAAAGCAAATAAAGAACTTGTTTACAAGGTTGAACAGATTATTATTTTTAACGCGAATCATATTACTATTTTGAGTCTTGAGAAGTAAGTAAACGCATACCGCGGGGTAGAGCGACCTCATTTCCAAAGTACAGCATATCGAAAGACCAAGATTGAAACGAGCATCGTTAATAAAGAGTAAACTGCGCCATGAAGGACATAGAGTATTGCAAAGTAGAAAGAAGAAAAACAAAATAAAAGTAGAAAACCAAATAATCCGGAGGCGAGCACCGCATGGGAGTAAAAGAGGAAAACACAAAAACGAATTCATATCCTAACGCCGCCCGCTGCATGGAAGAGGAAGTAACCGGATGTATATCGCAGCTCTTAGCAGAAAAAAGATGATCAGGACGCAAAGCACGTCGCGAGAGGTCATGACACAGGGAGTGAGGGTCGCATAAAAATCCAGCGTGGTTGCAAGGGGGTCCTTCTGTAATCGTGATAATGCAAAATGCAGGCACGACATAGCCACATCAAAAAGCGAGAATCTTGAAATCAGAAGCAGCAAGCATACATAAATCGATCCAGAAGGCCCCGAAAACAAAACGACATTCCCATACACCGGGTGTGCAGCTCTTGATAATGGAGAAATGAGAAACAGAAATAATTTCAAAATGCAGTCGTCAATGCATCATGGTCGTCAACGAGCCGATGCCCAGCCGGCTGCCTCCGCGCGTATGTTGGAGGAGAAGCAGAAAAGAAAGGAAACAAAATACAAGATGGGCTTGACTGGAAGAGTAAGTTCACATGTCTCCCTCGTGATGGAGGGTGACACTGTTGAATTCTTCAAAGGGATCGTTCAACTCGCCATTTGGAGTGGCTAGGCCCGAGTCCATGGGAACTCCCTTCATCTTGGTCGGATTTGTCCCGCCAATGTCCACGCTCGCGCTCTCCTTGACATTGCGGAAGTTCACAGTGTCGGTGCCAGCACGGCCTTGGTGAGGTATCATGGGAGGTTTCATGTGTCGAATGAGTGCCCATTGAGTTGTCCGGAAGAAGGGGTGGGTCTTCACATCCGAGGCACCAGCACGAGCACCGAGGCGCTTGGTCTCATCTTTGATGAGCAGTTTGCGGATTAATGACTTGCAAAGCGTTGAGGTTTGCTGGGAACCGGAAGGCTCAGGGAACGTGACATCGTCCCGCAGAATACTAGCAAAGGTGGCGTTTCGGTTCTTGCCCTTGAAGGGCGTAGTTCCGTACAGCATCTCGTAGATCAGAATACCCAGAGTCCACCAATCGACGGCACTGGTGTGGCCGCATCCCTTGATTACCTCGGGCGCAATATACTCCTCTGTTCCCACGAAAGAGTTCGTACGGAAGTCAGCAATGCATGACTTGGTATCAATTGTAGGCAGAGCTGTGGTGGAGTTGCCACCACTTCGTCCAGGAATCATGGTCGGGGCACCGCCAGGTCCAGACTGCTTGGATAAATCGAAGTCTGAAAGCATGATATGACCGGATTGATGTAGGAGAATATCTGTAATGAAGACGTCAGTTATGCGCAGTCAAGATAATTGATTGGCGGTATTGGGCGCCATGGACATACTCTCTGGCTTAAGATCGCGGTAGATAAAACCCATCAAATGGAGGTACTCTAGGGCGGCAGTGACCTCGGCAGCATAGAATCGAGCCGCATCCTCGGAGATACATTTTCCTGGCCGAGTTTGCAAGGCTGAAAAAAAGGTAGAATGTCAGCACTGGATACCGCAGACTTCAATCTTGGGGTATAGAAGATACTCACTCCTGAAGAACTCCCCACCACTGCAGTATTCCATGCACAGGTACAAGTAATCCTCAGACTGGAAGCTATGATACAGAGTGACAATGAATGGATGGTTGCTAGTGGCCAAGATTTCCTGCTCAGCCAGGGCACGCTTGATCTTGTTGCGCTTGATCATTTCCTTCTTGCTCAGGACTATTGACTGGTTAGCATGTGTGGTCTTGACGAACGTGAAAGAAATACGGGAAAGAATTTCACTCACCTTTCATGGCATAGAGACGACTAGACTTTTTTTCACGAACCAAATATACCTTGCCCACATCTCCCTTGCCAATCAATTTGATCTTATCGAAACTAGCAGGTCCAACCTCGACATTGCGCACCTTGATCGAATTTGAGCTGTAGGTACGACGGAAGCCGGAATCACTCGCACCAGATATCCTGCTATCGACACCAAGAGAAGGCACAGCCAAGGCAGCGTTCTTTTCATTGCCGGAGGAGGGCAGGCCTACTGAGGCATCAATCCCGGGGGCTTCGACAAGAGGCTCCTTGCCCATCTCAGCAGTCTGGGGGCGGTCGTCGCCTTGGCCGTTGGCAAACAGCCCCTGAGCATTCGGGGCGGAAGCCACACGGCGCAGCTTACGTGCCAGTTCCTCCTTGTTGGCGGTGGTAGCCTGCTCCACAGCAGAGACCCCGGTGACCTGCAACTCGGGGGTATCGGGAGGGGAAGAAGGGACGGACCCATCATTCCGGTGTCGTAGGGCGGGCTGCCCCTGATGAGCAAAGTAGGGATTGGCAGTGGCAGTGGGCGAGACGCCGTCATCTAGCGGATTGCCCTCACTGGCCACTGTCGTTGACCGATTGCGACCGATGGTAGGGAGGAATCGAGACTGGCGGAAGGCGGACTTTTCGTTCTTGACGGGAATTTCCTTCTCACGCTCCCGGTCATGACTCGCGGGGCTGCCGCCTGTGGACGAGTGACTACTGGAGCTGTTGATGCGGAAGAAATTCTTGATCTTGGTCGGTAGGTGGCCTGACTCGTTGGAGTGTTTTCGGGATGGCAGCGAGAGCCCGGGGAAGTTCCCTCGCTTTTCGTTATTTGTCATCGCCGACGGAGTGGACGCAAACAGCTGCGTCATGGCGTGAACGGGGGACCGAGGATATCGAATTGACTGCCTCGCAATGAGAGAGGGAGGAAAGAGAGGATGAGAATGACTCCCAAAAAGCAAAAGTTGCGCAAAGGCAAAGGCGGTGGCGGGGCGGGTTGGGAAGGGCCCAGAAATCCCGATGGGGATGGAACCGCGGGGAGGATGAGAGGGGGAGACGAGGGGAAAAGGCCACCGTTTGGGCACAAGGGCATAAACGAGGGCTATTCGAACGAATGGAACGAGAAGTTCAGACGACAGCCGGGTGCATCAACGACACTGCATCGTAGCCGACGGAACGAAGGTTGCAGGGACAGAAGGCGAGAGAGGGAAGGGGAGTTGGCGAGTGGAGAAGGACGCGGAGGCCTGCTTAGTCACCCCGATGACATTCCCCGTTGGAGTTTGATAAGCGTTCGCCTTCGGGACTGTAGAAACACTCAAGAGGTATCGGGTACTACTAGTCGCCGTTTGTCCGTCTCAGCAAATGAGGCTGCGTATACCTAACATCGACTTTCCAATGCCGATCACCCTTGCAGTGTATTTATACATCCTGGTCTATATTTTTCCACCACGATGGTTGCCCTTTTGTTCGCCATCGAATCCACTCCCGAGACGTTCCAGCTTGGCTTACCCACTGGTTTCCACTAGTTTGGCCTGGTTCGGTTGGTGGCACCCCCTGGCTTTCCAGCCCTTGAGCCCACGTGATCGGCTATCGACTATCGATAGCCCGATAGGCCGGAGATCGACCGCGATAGTCGCGATCTCGATCCAGTCCGATGTTCTTAGCCCTCAATACTCTGATCGCATACCTATTTTTTAAGTCCATTTCGAAACAGTTAATCCAGGCATGCATTCGGTACCATATCTACCTCTATGGTATGTGTTGTTCCCCAACTCCCTTGAACTCGTATGCGTAAATCTCATCATCATCTGGGAACCCCATTCGGCAGTCCTCTGGGACCGCCTCCACAAAACAAAGACATGAAAACAACACCCAATGATGTTGTAGCCCATGAGCCCATTAAGAATTAACATTACAGTAACTCCTTTCACCTTCCCTCCCCCTTGCTCGGACTTTCGTTTTGCCTCCACTTTGTTCAGTCCATGTACCGAGCAAGCGATTCTTCTGCCCCAGAACATGCCCTGCTGCCGGCATAGACATGTCCTCGAACCACCGCAGTCGTCACGGTGGCTCTGGAGATCACCCGCAGGGCAGCTGGGGAGCTGCGGATGCGCGCATGTGAGGGCCTTGGGCGGTTGACATCATCATCATCATACGCCAGATCGGTGTTCCTATCAAATCCAATTAGTTTCCACATCAAACTCGTTCAATTCAGCTCTGATCTATACCTCAGTTCCTCGTCAATGATCTGAGATTGTCGCTCTTGGGTGGGCGATTGACCCATGGGCTGCGACGGCAGGGTGCCGAGCTCGTCATCACTGGAGAGACTTGAGGTGTCTAGAGGGCTCTGGTTCTGGAGTGCCAGATACCCCTCAAACTCTTCCAAGGTCCACTGGTTCTCTGTTGCAGGCACAACAAAATCTTGGACATCGGACTCAACACCTCTGTCGCTGCTCTCAGGCGCTAAGATGGCTCCATGTTCACCAGCCCGAGAATCACTGAGGCAAGATCCACTGTTGCGGTTGTCTACGCTGTCGCTTTTCACCTCACTCAACGTGGAATCTTCTGATCGGGCAACATCGCCAGCCAGTGTCGCATAGATGACTGACGCCCAGAAAATGCCACGCGCAACCCGTTTTCCCCCTTCTAGTGGTGCCAGTTGCTGGTATTTCTCTCTCAACATGTGCTCAAGACATTGGATCGCGGAATCAGTATAGCTCCGCACACGAATGAAGTAAATTCGCAATCGCACGTCCGCAGGGTTTGAGATCTTTTCCGCGGCAATGCGACGGTACACGCTTGTCAGCAGATACGAAACAAGCTTGTGGTGATATTTGATCCACTCTCGGCAGTGGATCATGAAGAAAGTCTGATAGTCATACAATCTTTCATCGAGACCCCGAAGATTGTAACAAAGCGAAACCAGACAATTCAAGTCTTGCCAGTGTTCTTCTGGTTCAGGAGGCAAGACCATTCCGTTTGACAGGCAGAATATTTTACGCAACAGATGCCAGTACATGCCAGTCAGTTGGAATTCATCCATTCCCGGCATCTGATCAGAAGAGAAGACGACGATCGATGGCCAGAGTGGGGGATGTGGCTCAAGTGAATAAACAATGTGCTGTAACCCTGCCATCAGGTTAAACAAATGAGAAGGGGCCACTGCCAGCACCGCTTGTTGCAATTCCTCCAACTTCCTCATAGGAGGCCAGACTGATTTTGCAATTCTGTCATCTGAAGACGTCACAGCAGTGGCGACTCCTTGGTTGACAGGGGTGAATGAAGGTGCCTCAGGGTTCAAAGCGGATATACAAGTATCCATGGCTGCAGTTGCAGCAGGAGTGGGAGGGGTGGTACTTTGTGGTAGGTTGCTTGCAAACGGAGTTGGAGATGTGTTGCCCGCATGTGCATCGACATTTCTGAGACCGGGTGGTTGAATGGCCAGGGACAGAGACCCTGCCATCGCTACCCGGTGCTCAAGCATCGCATTTTCAAAATCTTCCTGGTTTGCCAAAAGTGGTTCATCTGGGGGAGTCATGGGGACGATCCGACCGCCCGCATTCACTCGCTGGGTATTTGGCGAAGCATGATCTTTCAAAAAGCGAGCAAACCCACTTTCATTTGAGATAGAAGCTGATTTTGATGGAGTTTGAACATTCAATTCAGGCTCTCTGTCCAGAGAGATCTGGGGAGGTTGGGGCTCAGCTGATCGAAGAGCCAAGACTCTTTCAACTGTGCGGACACCCGACTGATTTTGAGGAATCTCGCTGAGAGTCTGCTTTCTCTCTTGGCTAGCGCGGATTAGATTGTCTGCAACGAGATTAGCACTGCTCACAGCTTGTTAAGATTCCATATATGAGATCAGAAGAAAAAAGAAGCCGGGGTGAATCTGAATGAAGCTGGCAGACTTGTCTTGGTCGTTACTTGTGAACGTATATGTGCAAGATGATACCCCCATGCCATGTGGACAATGAAAGAGTATATCTTTTTGCATCGAACTGCAGAACGAACGATTTCGAATGCACCAAAATCTCTGGCAAACAGGAATGACTTACAATTCTTGGCATTTAGACTCCAGTTGATTGGGGTGTCAGTCTCCCGGCGGAGAGACTCCAGTGCTTGGATGGTGTACTTCATTTTGATCATGATCGATCGAGTGACTAGTCGGTTGAAGAAAGGAAAAGAAAGGAAAGTTACCAGAAAGATTGAAATGTTTTGTTTCAAACGGGGAGCAGGATGAGGGTAAGAACGATGGGGGAAATGGGGAGCCGAAGAGGAAGGCGAGATGATGCCTTTCGAGGTTCAACTCGAAGGCGACGACGCTAAGCGAATTGGGAGGCGCAATGGGAGATTCCCAGTCGCTCCACACAGCAATGGCAAAAATGAATTGAAGAGATCTATCTGATCATGGAACAGCAATGGAGAAAGGAACGACTTGGTTCAATATTGATTTCTAGAAGATGTGAATTCGCCTTAATTCGCCAACAGCGAAAATTGATATCAGACACTCTCGCGGACCTTTACAGGTTGAAGGCCACTGTGGATGCGCCACTCGTCTTCGTTCTCATCTTCCAGCGCCGAAAAGGGACGTTGACTCGTCGACTGGACACCCTCAACCTCCTTCTTCTGCTGACCCATCTCCCAGCTTCCCAATCGCTCGTGCCCGTGCACAATGATCCCTCCAGCCACGTCGTTTTGATCTGTATTGGCAGTCTTCGAGCCACCCCAGATAGGGCTTCTGAATGTGACGTCCGTATCGCTAGCGAGCTTGTTGGTTCCCTTGAACCCTCCAAGGCTCGGTTTGTGGTCTTTGCGACGCTTCTGCACACCACACATGAAGAAGCCGATCACTGCAAGAAATCCAATCACCACGATCGTGACAACCGCGCCAATCACTCCTGCCACAGCGGGAGATAGATCTTTCTTCTTCTTTTCCGAGTCGGGATTAGTACTATCCAGCACCCCTGCGCAGAACACAGAATTGGCGTTGCAGCGAAGACACCATTCCTGCGTTGATTGTACCGCGAACGTCTCCATTTCAGACTGGAACTCGACATACGATACATACTCCCGACTTGGGCCGTATCCGAACATCGAAAATGATGAAAATGGGGTGGAATCCGTGCCATTGTGCAGGTAAAAACGCACATACAGGTCGTCGATGCCCGGATACGCAGGATACGTCTCATCCTCCTCGAAGCTGTAGAGCTCGAAGATCAGCGAGGCACCTCGCACTGGCCGGGAATAGAAATTGGACTGTGCTTCCGATGCCAAACCCACCAGGGAAGCCAAAGCTACGGCGGGCTCGTCGCCACCAAATAGCAAGGTCAACTTCTGCCCAGTGCCGAATCCGTTAATATTCATATTAAAAGCGTTGATGATACCGGACGCGAGCGTTTGCCCGGCAATAGGGTTGATTGAGTCAAGCGTTGATCGATCAGAAGAAGAATCACTCTGGCTGTTCGTGGCGTAGGTATATCGATCGGCCAGCCAGCGTGCTTCTCTCATGAAATCATCGGGCGTATACTCGATGAAGGTACTGTTGTGCAGAGCCTCATATTCCATGTAGTCGGAGATATCAACCGCATTCGTGTAAGTCACTGATGATCTATCGTAAACTCCAGACAACAACTCGCGCCAGAGCCACAGATAGAATCCTTCTGTCTCGGCCGTGATCTGTTCCACATCGCTGCTGTCCTGATATTCGGATCCAGCAACCTCATGCATTAAGCACTCCGCCTGACCATCCAAGATGATAGATTGTGGATCGCCCTCTCCGAGGGTAATAATGCGGGGATACTGATATCCACCAAGAGGGGAGATCACAGTCCCATTGGTCCCCAGATCCGACGCAGCCATACCAGACTGATTCACGGGTGGGTAGAGACCTTGCATGAACGCCTGTGCTGAAGCAATGACGAACTGGTCGGTTGTGGCGTATACCTCCACGTCATTCGAATCCAGCGCCGTCGCTGAAAGGTACTGGATTGCAGTGTCTGAATCATTGAGGCTATTGCCGGATGCCAAATAGCGGTCTCGGAAAGCCGCCCCAGCAGCTGCGAGCTGGTTCGCTCCATAGTCGGACAAGAACCTCGGGCGATTCTCCGCGAGAACGTTCGGGGTACTATCGCCATGTATAGTGTATGCTACAACCCCCCAGACCTTTTCAGTATACTCCTGCGCTGCCACGCGTGCAGACACCTGCAGTGAGAGTGTAATGAGGGCGAGGGATCGCTGGTTTGCCCGCATGATGGCGTGTCAAGGATTCGGTATTATTAGTAATTAAGATACGCTGTCAGAATTATGCTGGGACATGCTCTGTTATACAGCAAACCGAATAGTAGATGCATTAAAAAAAAAGAAAAGAGAAGAGAAGAAAGCCGCCCACACGCGGGGGCAGCCATTTCAAATAACAGGGCAATCTCTTTTCTCCCTCGAGCCATGGATGCTAGGGTAGGATGGATGGGCTAGACCCCTGGGGCATATATCTCAAATCACGGATATCAAGAAATTAACCCAAGGAAACCAGCCGCATTCGGAAACCAGTCATGCTAGACAAGGCCATGCGGTATCGTTCGGCGGGGACCAACTATGGATTAAGCTTAAGGCACGTCAGGGTTGGGGAGCTCGAGTGGATCTACATCGGGCGAGCTTTCATGATTGGACACTAGGATGCATCGACCCTATAACTTGCAATTTTTGCTAGGGGGGGGGGGTTTCTCTTTTCAACGACATTGCGCGTAAGAGACATGGAAGGAATAGCAAGGTCAATCTGTGACCTATATTTGGCTATTCACCGATATATATTGATTGATTTTGACCAAGACAGATTGAAGAAGAGATATTATGTACTCGGCATCTAATTTAAAGCTCAAAGTGCAATTTTTTAAATTGGCCATGGGTCAGAATTCTCGCAACAAGCCAGGTCTTCTGCAGATAGGAATGCTCCGAGGGTTACACGCATGGGGAGAGGACCCGTCCTCGAGCTGTCCTGGTCGATGACGCGCACAAGTGTTCCGCAACGGGGGGCTTGGTTATCAGGCATGAGCCGACAGGCTGGATCGATGCTAATAGTCTACACAGAGTCTGCTCTACTGGATATGACAAGTCGCAGAAGGGAAATTACTACGAGATAGATACTCCTTTAGAGGCAGCAAGAGAAGACGAGGGCCAGATATGAAAGAGACGCGCCACTATGAATTCCGGAGATCGCGGCGGGTCGTCGTTGCCTCAGGCCACCAGCGGGGATCATCTCCGCGCTGAAGGATGTCTGGCAAGGTGGCTCGAATCCATTAATCTTGATCTGATAATTAGTCCTATATGAGATGTGCTAAAGAAAGGGAATTCTTGAAATTAATTGGACTCGTCCAGTTTATAGTCTCATATCCACATCTACCTTTCTCTTCTTTTCTCCCACTCTGCCCCGTCCTCTCGTCCATTCCATACTGTATACTTTGGGCCCTAGGCGGTGATCAATACTGCCAATCATCACGCTCTATCCGCGGCAGAAAAAAATCCTTGCGGCTGGGGCTCAAACTCCTCCTCTGCAAAGCCCTACAAATGCGCCCTATCCCTAAGCCCTCATTTCTGCTCTTGGAAGTTGACAGCCCAACCCGATCGATTGCTGCGCCCCAGATGGTTGAAACACGAGGCTCACGCCCGTCTTTTGACGAGGCATCGGGTCTCCCCTCTTTCCCTACCGATGATGGCGACTTTGGTGAGTTTGCCCTGTCCGGTGTTTCCGTCGACGTTGCCGCCACCGACAGCGACCCGCGACAAGACCCCAACAATGGACCACTCAAGGTTCAAGGAGCTCGGATAATACCGTTGGTACATTTGACTGACCGTCTGTTTCTTTTTGGACCTTTTCGAAGATCACAATGCAGTGCGCTCATTCGATGACGAGGGCCACGGATCGCCTCCAGCCGCGAAAAAGCGCCGCCTGGATGCTGGCCCGGGCGAGGACATTATTCTTGGACAGCTGCCTGGTTCAGACCGCGAAGGCCCTGGCCATAAGATTGAAGAAGAACTCGCATCTGCTCTCGCAGAAGGAGCCGTAGACCCGCTATCGTCGACCGATCACACCCAAGGCGATCAAGGCACCGACACTGCGACTACCGCAGTTTCTCAGGATGGAACGTCGACTGGCAACCCGCCCGTGAACTCCTTGATTTCCGACATCATGGATCATACTGAGCGCCAGGAACAAACAGTCGCTATGGGTCCCCAGGAGCTCCCCTCACTGGGTGAATTTCCAGGTGTCAGGGGTTATGCTTTCTTGAAGGCCAACTCTCACCTCAAGATCCAGAGCTTACCCATCTTGGACAATTTGGTAAGTCTGCCATGTAGTATGGACGTTCTGCATGATCTGACCATCTCTTTCTAGTCAACGCAAATTCTCTCCTTCCTCTCCAAGAACAGCTATCAAGATCTCACCGCGATGGTGTCCGAACCTGACTCTGAGAACGGACAGGCCTATGCAACCATGCGCTCCCTGTTTGACCATACCAAGCGAGTTTACACAGTCAAGCACTCTTTCCTGCAGTCAACAGATCTTGAGATCACCGAGTCATCCCAGATGGACGTTATACGCAAGGCGAACTTGGCCTCTTTCGTGTCAAGTATCTTTGGGTCACAGGAGATTGGCTTCGCGGAACTGAATGAGCATTTCCTGGACGTTTTTGTTCCGGAAGGCGGCCGTCTCTTGAAAGTGCAAGGTGCATTGTACCTGGAGCTCAAGACGCAAGCATTCATTGCTGCGATGAACAACAAGTCTCGCACTCGTGTCCAGCTTCTGTATGAGTTGTTCCCGGATGACATGGAGCAGCGGCTGCTGGCGAGACGTCCAGGCACCCGTCAGCTGGCCCCAAGTGAAACTGATTTCGTCAATCGACTCACATCTCGTCGAGACATTCTCCTGAATGATATTAACAACGAGGAAGCATTGAAGGCGCTCCCTGACAAATACCACTGGGAAGACTTTCTGCGGGATCTGAGTTCCTACATTGCTAAGAATTTCGATGCCATCAACACTCAACAGGTTCGTTTCTTTTGATCCGACCTTTTTTCTCTCTCTCTCTCTTTTGCTAATGACATATAGGGAAAAAAGGTTGTCAAAGGACGTCAACCCTCAAGTTCAAACGGCGATGCACAAGAGTCCCCCAGCACCACCCACCAAGGCCAGTTTTCTGTCAATCAACAGGTCGAAGTCCCCGTTGACCGTAATATGCACGGTGATCTCGTGGCGCGTGCTGCGCGTGCTGCGCAGATTGCTTTGCAGGGCCACGGCCTCCGTCGTTCTCAGCAGCAATCACAACTGCAACACCAACACCAGCAGCAGCAGCCGCCACAGTCCCAAGTGAGCCAGTCACCCCAGCCCCCTGCGCAACCTCCTCAGCAACAGCCCCAGCATACTGGCCAGCCCGACAACTCATATCTACATGGCTATACCCCTGCACAGCAACCTGGACCGTCTATCCAACAGCAGCAGCCATATCATCACAGCCCAACCCCGCCCGGTGGTTATCAACACCAGGCTCAGGGAATGAACTTCCAACAGAGCCTTCCACCGACCAACTTCCAGCAATACAACCCTAATGCCGCCCAGGCTATGCAGGCGCGCGCCAATGGGATGTCATCCAATCATGGATACATGCCTGGGATTCCTCATTACTCCCAGTCACAACCGACTCAGGTGCTCTACGAACGTGCTCGCATGGCTGCCTCAGCGAAATCCTCCCCTACGAGCCGCAAGTCCGGTTTGCCTAGCCAACGCCGCCCTTGGACTACAGAGGAGGAAAATGCTCTGATGGCGGGTCTAGACCGAGTCAAAGGCCCCCATTGGAGCCAGATCCTCGCCATGTTTGGTCCCGGCGGCACCATCAGTGAAGCCTTGAAGGATCGCAATCAGGTACAGCTCAAAGACAAGGCACGCAATCTCAAACTATTCTTTCTGAAGAGCGGCATTGAAGTTCCTTACTATCTCAAATTCGTCACTGGTGAACTGAAGACTCGTGCCCCTGCCCAGGCCGCCAAGCGCGAGGCTCGTGAGCGACAGAAAAAACAGGGCGAAGAGGACAAGGCCCACGTGGAGGGTATCAAGGGCATGATGGCTTTAGCCGGAGCCCATGCATCGCCTGTCCCAGGTCATGAAATGTCTGCGTCGCCCAGTTTGCCGGATGCCAACAGTCAATCCGTATTTGATCAAACTGCCGAGCAGAATCTGATGCAGACCCTAAGCCAAGAAGTCCATGGGAGCCAGTACCCACAGCAACACCCTCCTCCTACTCCAGATCACCATCTCGATCCTCATATGCAGCTTGGTCAATAGGGTTGATCGCCACCTGCATTTCCGATGACAGTACATTTCTCTTGTCGCACAACGCCCCCCTTTTCATCGGTGGAGTTCGGTTTGCTGACATGATTTTTTTTTCTCACTTTTCTTTTCTTTTCTTTTTCTTTTTCTTTCACCCTTTGATATCTTTTTTGCGCCCATTCCAAGGAGTTGAAGGATTGTACTATGAAATTTGCTAAACTGATATAAGTTTTGATCTGCTAATAACGCGAAAATTCACCATGGGGAAGATCCTCTGTACAAGTACATAGCGGGCTCCGAATCAAAGAAATCGATCAAAATACAAACCTCGCATCTTCCCATGTAGGTTTTCTACCGCTTACATTGTGAATTTACGAGTCTCCATTCTGCCAGTCCCAAGATTTTAGCTGTCCTGTGCCGCGTAGAAGTGTACAGTACGGATTGGTGCTATTGTTCCGGGTCAAGTATGGGCGTAGTCAGCAAAAAGTACTCCACCGCCCGTGCGCCCGCCTCCGCCTGGCGTGTAACTGGCTCTCAAAAGCTACATTGAAACTCCAGCACGGGAACCCGACCAGCTCACCTCAGTCGCATTGATTGGTCTTGTCATACCTAGTCCCTGCAGCCCATTCTCCCACCAACGAGACCAAGGAGGGCGCCACACCTTCATGACTTGCCCACCATGACCGACTCCCAACCTCCCTCCCAACCCCAACCTGCGAACGGGTCACAAGAGCAGTCGACTGTTCCTGAATCTGCATCATCCACCCCCCTCAAAACCGAGCCGGCTGATTCAGCCATCAAGACTGAACCCGATCTCGACGCCTCTATCGAGCAGGACATCGACATGACCGCTGAGCAGACTGCGGCCAGCGCGGGAGCTGAAGACGGCGCTGCGCCAGAGGTTGATCCCATGGCTGCGGTGCCGCCGCCGAGTAAGAAGGAGACTAGCTTACGCGAGTTTTTGGGCAAGATAGATGATTATGCGCCGATTGTGAGTTCCTTGACCTTTACTCGTGCATCGGTTTCGGACAGGCTTGGTGGCCAATAATCTTGCTGGCGGATGTACCGCGGGCAGGGAGGCATTGATCCTGATGAATGGAGCACAGAGCAGTGGGTGAACCAATGGTATCCAGTAGCTAACAAATTTCTTTTTTTACCCAGATCCCTGATGCTGTGACAGCCCACTATCTCACCCTTGCCGGCCTCCCGCCTCCAGGGACCGGGCCGAACCAAACACCACCTCACCTGGCCCGTCTACTGGCTCTCGCGACACAGAAATTTGTCTCCGATATTGCTGCCGACTCATATCAATTTGCCCGTATTCGTGCATCCAACAGTTCTTCCGCCAACAACCCAATGGGCAGTTTGACTGCGGCATCAGGTCTTGGCGGTCCGGCCGGTGCAGGCGCAGCCCCCGGTGCAATCGCCGGTGGTGATGGTGGTAAAGGCAACAAGGGCAATACACACCTCGGTATCCAGCGCCCTGGCTTTGGTGGTGGTGGCTCTGGTGGTTCTGGGCAAGGCCGTACTGTGCTCACGATGGAGGATCTCGGTATGGCCGTTTCGGAATACGGCGTTACTGTAAAGCGGGGAGAGTTCTACAGGTAATGTATGGAGATGGGGAACAGCGAAACTTATGCCGCTTTGAGGGGATGGTGTTCGCCCCCTTTTACATTTTTTTTTTTTATTTTTCGATCTGCGATGGGAGGTTTCTGGCGCTGGGCGTACACTATCGGGTTGAAAGGACATAGCTTATTTTATGCCCAGTTTGGTCTCCGGGCATTTTTATGGGGATTTAGAAGATGGAGTTCTTATTTTTGTCTCGTTTCCTTTATCGAGGCCGAAATGGATAGTCGAGTTAGGATCTTTGTCGAAAAGCTGTAAACCAGTTATGTTATGAATGATATTGAATAATTTCCACGGTTAACTCCATCCCACAATAGCTAATGTCACACAAGGGAACATTGATATATCTGTACATGGGCCCGTAGGCCAAATCAAAGGGCGGGGAAAATGCTGTTTCGGATGCAGTGCTTGGCTCCTGCGACTTCGCCCTTGATCCGCACGCTCTATAAGGGCACCTGCATGCCTGGTCTGCAAGAGCGCATTAAAATCGAGATCATACCGTTAAGACGGTAGAAAACGGGCGGTTGCGGGAGAATTCGACGATCCAAGGCGAGAGCTTTTCCAAGATGGAAGAGGCAAAGGCCTCCATCCAGATAAAAAGAAAGTCATGCGATTCGATTATTTGTTCTTGGACTGCTTGTATGTGAAACGCTTCCGGGTCCTGTGGATTAATTGCCTCGTTAGCACAACGCGTCGTGAAACGAGAACTGTTCGGAAGGCCTCGAAGGCCAGGCCGCCGCGGGAGACACATACGCAACATATTCACCGAGCTTGCGGCCGACCATCTCCTCGGTAATTGTGACTTCTTGGTAGGTCTTGCCATTGTGAACAGCGAAGCGCAGGCCCACGAAGTTGGGTAGGATGGTTGCGCTGCGCTTCTGGGTGCGGATCGGAGGAGTGTTGGGAGGCGGAGGGAAGGTGCGCGGGAGAGGAAGGCTATGGAATGACACATGTCAGTTGTGGTAGGAAGGCCAGGTATACTGGTGATGTCCAGATGCAGAGCGAGACCGAGTGGCTATTGATCGCGGTGGGTTTCACGTACGGGACAATGTTCGGACCTGGTTGGGCTTGTTAGCAATTGATCCCTTTTCAATTGATGAAGCAATAGGCCTGAGATACTGTAGATAACATACCTTTCCAGACCGAGCGGCCCAGCAGGGCGCGCGTGGGAAACATGGTGGAGTGCAACTTTCCAAAGCTTCCGTTCGTCGGAGTTGAAAATGGTGTCGGAGGTTCAAAGAAGACTCGGCGGCTTATGTCATCATTTGTATACTGCCCAATTTGGAACCGCTTGGGACTTGGAACTATTGCACTTAATTATGATCATTCAACCTTTTGTTTCCTGCGACTCTTTGGTAAATTTTCATAGCCAAACTTAGTTGAACTATTTGCTTTTGGGTCACACTTCTATGAAAGCAACCCTCCCTTCGGCGATGCGAACTGTGTCAATTAGCCTGGATCGTGTTCAACGCAAACATGCCAGCTAAAGCAACAGAATCGGATCCACAAATCTTTAGTAATATATTTGATCCTCCTCTAGGTGTGAGAATTGTAATTACAGTAAATCATGGGCGCCCTCTCCTGGGATTTTTATTCTAACCCTGAAAATGACATCTTCCGCATCTATCCAGGATTGCCGGTGCTTGAAAATCTCATCGACTTCTCCTATCGCTTGAGACACACCTATTACCACGCGGTGTAGGTCCACGTAATTTCGCAATAGGTCTGTCAGACATTCAAAAATCTTAATTCCGATGTGGAAACATCATCTATAGAGACGCTAAGCCAACTGCAAGAGATCATATTCTTTGATGGTGGAAATTGCGGGCCCCGGATCTTCAGTCCGGAAACTTTGTTTCGCGATTGTTTCCCATTTTGCTCTGGAACGAACTTCTGCAGAAATTGGGAGTCTGCCCACCCAGACAAAATAAAAGGCTTCAGTAGTGTATGAGCATCAGATGGAAAAAACCAGGTATATGAAAGGCATGGCTCCAGAGCGAGAATACTGCGTATTGTCTGGAAAGGAGGGTGCATGTGGGCTCGCCAGATAAAATGTTACGCGGCAAGACATAGAATGGATGCCTACTTTTGGGCTCTGGCTTGTTCCTATTCGGAATATCGTAATTGTGGGCCAGTCAGTGTTACAGGTCTGAAAGACTCGGAATGCTCTGGGTTTTATCGGGAAATAGGCGAAAGCTTGCACCAGTAAGCATGCGCGAGCCAGATCGCCAGAAGTATGAAAAACGCACGTAACAGAAATAGCTTCAGTCATACTGTGAGAATTGATGTAGGAGTTCATGACTGAGAAATGCGCTAATAGGCTAACTGATGAATGGAATATGTGTCCTGGCAAAGCCCCTCACAGAAGGGCTCACGGCTTCCACGGTTGCCAGCAACCGGACGGGATGGCCATGATGAGGCCCACATAGATGCTCGATATTTCACTCTGCTAATTGCTCGAAGACCTGGATCAAGCTGCGGATCCCTTTCAACATGTTCTCATCGGATCCTTCTCCGGGGGTCCATTTGGCGTGAGCGAAATCAATGATCCGTAGGTCATGAACTTTCGGTGTCTCCTCTTCATCATCGTCATCGCCCAGGTCTGGGATCTGGGTTGCCGAGGGCGCCAGGCTGATATTGATAGCTTTTTGAGGCATGCCGTCCCCGAGATGCACATCAACTAGTTCCAGAGCTTCTTCAGAAATTTCAAAGTCCACTTCTTCGTCATCTTCGTCCTCTCCTGCCTCCTCACTTCCTATTTGGGGATGCTTTTTCTCTTCTACCAGGGCGTGCTCCATCGCCTCCGGATCTCCTTCGTAGACCACCAGAACACTTGATGAGTACATGCGACTCTCTTCAGACTCGAGCACCTGCTGTACATTCCGTAGCTCTTCTGCGAGTCGCCCCGCAATCATTTTGGAGCGATCAATTATGCCCGTTTTAGCACCCGCGAGAAAGGCTTCAAACCCCTGCCTGACGTTATTCTCGGTGAAAGAACGGCCGTACCATTTGTCGTAGCGTCGATACCCATCTTTCTCAATGACTTCACCTTTGGCGCCCTCCTTGCCTTCGTATTTAGTAGCATAAGGGTCTGTCAAGGCGCCTTCGTCGGCTTCACCATTCTTCCCCGTCCAGACTTTCATGCCCGCAATGCGAAAGCCTAGACTCGAACTTGTCGTTTCCTTGGACACTGCGTCTAGTTTATTGCGCTTCGCGGGTGGAGCATCGTCGGCCCAGAGCCGCGCTCCAAGCTTCACATCCAGCACGTTCGGTCGTCGAAAGCCACAGGCGACGTTCTCTAGAACAACCGACAATCCCGTATCCAATTTCTTGCCTTCAGAAGGCACCCACGTCTGCTCTATCACAGCTGCAGCCGTTGCAGCCGTCTGATCCAAGGACGCAGCGGCCGCGTTGGAGACCGAATCGGCCGCCGCCAGCGCCTTCGTTGGCGCATTTTCCAGGGCTGGGAGAAACACCGCGCCGGATTGCTGTGCGGCAGCAATCGCCATTGGTTGTTTTTTCTCGGCGGACGAAAGCGAGCCTATGAAGAGGGGCATGAACTCCTGGAAACCCGGGTGCAGCGCGCTGGATTCGTAGAACTCGACCTCTTGGCGGGTACAGGGTTTTGCGATCAGGGAGCCGGAGAGGGTGCATCGGACACCATCGCTAGAGCGACACGAAAGAAGGTCAGCCTTGTCCCGAGGACGATCTTGCCTGCTGAGGTTTTGTGTTCCCTGAATTTACCCCACGCGACCACCTGCAGGCTAGGGCCGGCGTGGCGGTGCGTGAGCAGCAGAAAGGCTGAAAAGCGGGCAGGGATGCCGACTTACTGTCCTGCAGCGACATGGTCGAAGGGGACCAGGTCATCACTGCCTAGTTGGGGCGTTTTTCGACTGTCCGGTCTCGAGGAGGGCATTGTTGATGGAGGAATGGGGCGATCGCGGGGGACGTTGCTCATCTCATTCCGGATGACTCAACCACGCGAGACAGCACTCAATCACGGAACGGGCTGGACGTTGCGTTCTGTAGCTGGGGAGGGTGGACAAAAAATATCGATATGAGACACTGAGAAAAAAGGGGGACGGTCAAAGAGACTCCGGGAAAATAGGACATGACATTTTGTTCGGCGGTGTTGGGGACTTGGAAGCTGACGCAGGGGCCAAGAGTCAGTGGCTGGTCAGAAGAAGAAATTATGTAGTTAATCCGCACTTTACTTCAACCCATGCTTCTTTGATACATGTCAAAGAGACTCGAGACAGCTTATTTTTTAAGGTCGCTTTCGTATCATTTCTTTTCTCATAAGTCACTCTTGATCTGCGATTGATGAGCAATAGGAAAGCATACATTGGCGGTGGGACTTGATCATGTTGCATGTGCAAGTACTGGAGCCGTCTGCATTGTACTAGCAATACTTGTACCGTATACTTTCAATGTAGTGAGCTCATCGACCATGGACTGATCGGTATGAGGCAGTCATCAATTATATGCCGGCTATAGAGAGGCGATTCAATCTGAAATTGACGTTTGAATTATCGAACAGCCCCGTTCAGGTCGAATTCACGACCGATTTTCTACCAGCATTATGAGATGATCCTGCATTCTGAGAAATTCTACATGCCATCAGTAAGCCAAAAAAGTAAAAATAAAGGAAACTTGTGGCCTAGAAGGCTTCTAGTGTTTCTTCTAGTGGAATGGCTGGCCCATCATCTACATAAGGAAATAGGACTTGAGAACTCGGTCAAACACATCTTGGCATTGATTTTTATAGAGGTTCAATGGGATCAATGAAGATCGCCTTGAGTTGGAACAATTTGTCAAACATTCGAAGGTGCCAGGAGATATTGTGCTGAGTTCATAGTTTAGCTGGCTCGGCACTATTCTTCGGATCCTTCATTCATCACGAACCCTGCTTGGAAGAGTTCACCTTAAAAATAGAATATCGGAGCTTATGATGCTTCTTTTGTTTTGTTTTGTTTTGTTTTATTTCTTCTGCTACACTGCGATACATTGGTTGTTTGCCTACACCAGGTCTCCTCTGGTTCATCCAACATCGACCATTCATCACAACACTAACGACCCCAGCAACCGCAACGGAAATAAGAAGGAAGCAGTGCTGTCTCGTGATTCACCAAACCGACTCATACTATCTCACAACCACATCTCTTCTCTTCTCTTTTCTTCTCTCCGATCATACAAACTTTTCTTCATTATTGCTCTTCACCTTCACGTCTGTCTCTACTATTCCCATACTCTCGTCTGAGTACAATCACCAATACAGCCCTCAGTATGGAGCCTAATTATTCGACTTTGCCCACTACAATCTCGGGAGATCTCCCTATCCGAACTCTCAAACCCCTTTCAGGGCATGAACTGCCACAGGAAGCCCTTGAAGCCAAGAATCCCCCCAAGAAGGTTGAATTTGAAGAGCCTGAACCTCATGCAAAGCCAAAGGTTGGGGCGATTATCCACAGCAAATTTGAAGATGAGCTGGGCAAAAAAGCGGGCCAGCTCCTCGCGGGGCGAAAGGTCAAGCACCGGCGGCCAAAGAGTCAGCGTGGAATAGTATGTCAAGAAATCCTTAGTTACCCTTTCAGTACACTAACTCCATCTGGGAGGAAAAGGGGAAGCCAACCGGTTTTGAAGAGTACAGTGCCGATGGACCTTTGACACCAAAGGAATGGGAAGAGGACCGCGAAATTTACAGCCCGTATGTTACCACATTTGTTGGAGATAGAGATACGAGATTGCTAAGTATCAGCCCCCAGGCAGCTGTCTTTTGCCCAGTTAGTATATTCATTCCTCCTCAAACGATAGCTGAGTCGCTAACCATTTTTGAAATAGACGCATTGAAGAAGCTCTTGCTCGCTATCAGTGGAAGCGCCGTATCGAGCCTGACAGAAGAAATATTCTCTTCAAGTACCTACAGTACGGTGGGATCGTGGCGAGTCAAAATTATGGAGCCGGTGTGCCCCCCAAGGAGCTAAAGCAAATGCCGGTCGAGGAGGCCAGACAGGCTCGCAGCCAGACAACCATTCCGCTAGACCGGTCAAAGTTGCAAGTGAGCTTCAATGAAGTCGTTCGGGGATTTCTGTATGTATATAGCCCCAACATCTCGCTATTTGAATTAAGTTAACTAGTAGAAGGAGCACCTTTTTCATACCGTACTTTCATCCAGACACAGAAGATGCCATTAAAATTGGAACCATCACTATCCGCAACTTTTATACCTACATTCTCTTCCATGAAGTGTGTCCGGAATACACAGATGATCTTCTGAAGGCAAGAAAAACTTGCGACCTGGCCACTACAGAGCTATGGAAGAACGTTCGGCTGGTGCGTGAAGGCCCGGGCGGATTCAACAAGTGCTGTTCAGTCCTTTTTGGAGGTTACTACTCTGGATCAATTGGGCTATCTTACAAGAACCCTGAATGTAGAGAGCAGGAAGATGCAACCCCAGCACTGACTTTTGATATTGCCCGAAAGGTGGTCAAGTTTGCCATTGCCGGGGCCGGATCAAATGAGCAGGCTTTTCGCTTCCAGGAACTAGCGAACGATAACAAAGTCTCTGCCCTGAAAATTGAGGATATCGATGGCTTCGAGATCACTGCTGTGGTAGAACCGGACAGCGCTACCTGTTCATTTTACGAATCGTACGCCTCAGATCTTACTACAGTGGGCAAGATTCGAGCGAAATCGTTCATTGACCCTGCCAAACCAGCTATCGACATGTGCGCGGAGGAGCGTCAGGCGTGGAACACGGGCAAGGCGCCGCAATATGGATTTGAGTTCATTATTGAGCAAAATCTGCTGCCATACTTTTACCCTGGCTTGAAGATTCTTTCTTCGGTTTGGGAGCTTAACTGTGGTATTTATTACTTTGATCAGATCTACTCAACTTACCCGGCATTCCACACTGTTCTCGCCAATGAGATGATGCTCGGCTGGAAGACCCCCAGAGAAGTCGAGGTGGAGACAAATCATCAAGGTCCTGTTCTGCCTGGGGTCCATGAGGCGGTCAGGGGGGCTCTAAAGGCTACCGGTCAAAAGAAAGAGGCGGAGAAAGTCGGGAAGGAAGGCATCGAACATTGAGTTGCGATTGGCCGTTTTAGGAAATTATTCAATACAAACTTACGTTCTGCAAGGAGGGGGGCTAGTCATAGGCTAATCTCAAAATTGTGTTCAAGAAAGACAATATCATAACATTTATCTTGCCGTCATTAGAATCCAACATATGTACTTGATTTTCATTGTCCATGCACTCAAGGCTTCACAAGAGGCTTTCCCATGGTCTTGCGGCCCTCCAGATCCTGTGAAACCCATTTGTCAGTATATGGCAGCGGATGAAAGGGTAAAACCACCCACCTGATGAACCTGGGCGATATCCTCCATGGGATAAACCTTATGGATCTTGACCTTGAGCTGCCCCGATTTGAGCAGCGTGAAGAGCTCATTGGTGTAGTAGAGGAACTCCTCGCGGGTTTCGATGTAGCCGAACAGAGTAGGGCGAGCAATCTTGACACACTTGGGAGAGATTTTACTGTGCGATTGAGATTCCCAAAGATCAGTCTTGTTCTTTAGGCCACTTAGGGGAGGAGTTCAAAACATACGTAAGGGGAATTGGAGGCACAGGACCACTGGCATTACCAAACCAGACAATGGTACCCTTGCGCTTCACAGCTTCCAAGCTGCCCTCCCAAGTATCCTTGCCGACCGAGTCGTAGACAACGTCCACACCGCGGCCACCGGTAGCCTCCTTGACCTTCTCCACCCAGTCTTTGCCCTCTTCGCTGCGGTAATCAATGACCACATCTGCGCCGAGGCTCTTAACGAGCGCACACTTCTCCTCGCCGCCAGCAGTGCCGATGACATTGGCACCAATCAACTTGAGGATCTGCGTCATGAGGAAGCCCGCACCACCGGCAGCTGCATGCAGAAGCACCCAATCACCCTTTTGCACGGCGTAAGTCTCTTTCACTAATGTAAGGACAGTCAGGCCACTCAAGAAGGAGGCCATGAGATCCTCATCGCTGACTCCATCTGGGATTTTCACGGTCTTGGCCGCTGGTGCCGCGGTGTACTCGGCATATCCACTCATGCCCATCCAAGCAACTCGGTCTCCAACCTGGAAGCCGGACGTATTGGGGCCAATGGCAACGATTGTGCCCGCACCCTCGCGGCCAAGGATTTCGGGCTTGGCCGAGGGATACAGCCCAGTCCGGAAGTATGTATCGATGAAGTTCACGCCGGAGATGTTATTCTTCACCAGCAATTCGCCTTCCTTTGGAGTCGGCACTGGGTGGGCGGTCCTGAACTCGAGTACCTCGGGACCGCCGGTCTTCTCGACCACGATGGCCTTCATGGTGGTGGGGATGGACATTTTGCGGACGAAAGTGAACGGACGAGTCGTCGGAAACACTGGAACTGAAGTCGCTGGAGATAGAATCTGGTTCTGGAGAGCTCCGAGTCGAAGACTACTTCGGCGTAGAGCGAAGTAAGACGACATGGATGTGAGGTGGGGGAAGAAGTCAGATAAGTTAACTCCGAGGCCGCATCAGCAGCTCCATTTGTCATCGCATCCCCGCATTCGCCGACGACGGCACGCCGACCACTTTCTTCTTGCTTCTCTTCGGCGCTCGGATAGTTCCTGGCCCTCCCATTCGTTGCATTCATGACCTGTCGCGCTACATGCTTTTACGGTTTTATGCTTTCCCGGCGCTTGCTCTCCACCCTCCCATCTGTTCCATGCGGAAGCCAAGCCGAAGGCTCTGGCGTGGAGCTCGACGTGTGGGGACTCTGACGCCATTCCGTCGGATAAAGAGCCGTCGGACCGGTCCCGCTGGCACAGGCGCTTACCCCGATCTTCATGGCCGATTATTATGATTCTTACGGCGCCTGACGAGACTTAGTCGACTACTTTATAGCAATGCCACGCGTTGGAATCCAACAGTTGCCTTCTACAGCGACACTCACTCGCCAGTCGTCCCAGCCGCCGCCGCCTCTCCTCGCAGACGGAGAAGGGGGGGGGGACCTTCGTCATGTTGTGAGCTTGAGCGCCTGAATGGGCAAAGAATAACAGTAACAGCCGGCGTCCTCTGCAACCAAAAATAATGGCGCGGTCCTGGCCCTGGTGAGCCCCATGAGAGGCCTGCGCCGCCCTCAGCCTGTGGCGACCCTCCTCGGTTGGTTTCTTAACAGACTCCCCGACCGTGTGCTTGCACGGCTGTTGGCCCAAAATGCTTAGAAAGGCGCTGTCTTTGCATGCCCACTGCGTGCTGCATGCACTACTTGCCACTGGAGGATCGCTGGAGTGGCCCCACGCATCCGCATGCGCTGAGGTACTTTTTGACAGACTGCAGAGATCCACTCGACGCCCCCGATCGACTCTCTTGTCTGTTCCTCGTAAGCAGCAGAGTCGACTCCCTCGGACAGCATGCGACTCCGGAAGACAGGTATTTTAACACCGCGGTCTGTTGTGCTCACCTCACCATTCATGAGCAAACTACAAAAACAGAAACCGCTGAAACACCGGGGACTTACAGAGCCCCGGGCCCCGTTCTCGCTTTGTAGGCCCAATAGTCAATAATATCCGCTATAGTCCTGTCCGTTATTGTTTCGGCGAGGCGCTGCCCCTCCCCTTCTTTACAGGAGTCCATTGTTGCCTTTGATCCCACCCCTGTTTCAATGACGCTGGCTCTCGTGATTGCCTTTATTCAGGCTGATGCTATTTTGAGAGATTTGTTCCCTCGCCCAATCGCCGCTGCGGCCCTATAAGACCTTGTCAGGCCTAGGGTGATGCCCGATTGACCAACAGTTATATACCTGGCCCTGTCCCCGGCTACGCACGCCCTCCCCGTCGACGTACAGCTTTGTTAACTCGATTGGAGAGAAAAGATTTTCGCCGGGGCACTCCTACAACAGTTTTCGCGCGATCCCCTTCCTGCCCAACACCTGTGTATTTAAGATATGAACCCTTCTGGTCGATGCGCCTCCCCCCAAGAAGTGCTCACCGGCGGCTAGCATACTCAGTGACTGAATCTATTTCTTGATCGTGTATGACCACAACTTCATCCGTGCAAACATGCCATCTTCTCGAAGCGTGTATTTCCGACACCCTCCGGCGCCTTGCGTGGAAGAGGAGACCGCATCTCTCGCTCGAGAATTTCATGGCATGATCAACCTTGGTCAGAAGCCAGGAATCGAAGGCACCCGCGCCAGAGGGACTGTGGACCAATATCCCGTCATCATGAATCTGGATAGCCCGTCTGCAACCTCCCCACCCAGCGTCCACCATATGCCTGGCATGGAAAACGCTTCTTCAGACGAAAGCAATGGTCCAGCAACACCTCCACCTAGTGTTAATAAGCCTGGCGTCTCCAAGTTTCAACCCAACGCCGACCCTCCTGCTTCTGCCCCTCCACCCTCGTCGACCTCGAGCCGGCCTCGAGGCCGGCCATACCCACCAGCATATCCGCCTGCTAGACGCGAAGAGAGTTCTCGAAGCCGTTCTCGTCGACAGTCATCTGTTCACGAAGACCAGTCGCAAGGTCGACCGCCGTCACCTGAAGCTTATCACCACTCTCATTCCATTTCTTGTGGGCACGACTCTGTGGGTATGGACCGTTCTCGCTCTGGCGATCCTACATATACTCAGTCATATTCATCACCACCATCTATTCCTCGGTCACAAAGCGCAAGATATAATATGACAAGCCGGCCGATTTCTAACGGACTGCGGAAAGACTCCCACTCAGGATATCTGTCTGACTCGAATGGAACGCGTCAAAGGTCAGCATCTCACTACACCCCTTCCGAATCAGCACCGGGCCAACCAGCCAGCGAGAAGTCGGACCCCTTGCCCGCGAAAAAGTCACTTGCGGACAGGATTGAGGACAAGCTACTCGAACGCCGGGCGCGTCGCGAGTCTACAGACGTGTCTGATACGGTTCCAGATGTAGAAAAAACACGCACAAGATCCAGACGTGCAAACTCCGTCAACCCAACATTCTCGTCATCGGCTCCGGCGCCAGATTCGTATCTATCTGTTCATGGCCCTCCTCGTGCACCGAGTCGTGATCCTCCTGAAGCATCTCAACCGATGTCAAAGTCCCGCAGCTACTCGACGAGCATTTCATCTGCTGATACCTATAGCAACTCGAGCAGATCCTCGAGGCCCCCGGTATCCGTCAAATTCCAGGATGATGAACTACATAAGCATGGCTCTTTCCAAGCCCTCCCCAGCCGACAGACTAGCACAACCAAGCGACCTTCAGACGCGCCAGGGCCTTATTTAATGCCCTGTCCCCGTTCAACTCCTGTGGAGGGATACAACGACTGGTATACTCTAGAGGGGCTTACACACCTAGACATCTGTCCAGCCTGCAAGAAGCAAATCGCAAGCTCCCGCTTCGGTGACCTCCTCATGCCTAGCCCATCCAAGCCCCCCAACGAAAGGATCAGCTGCGACTTTGGCAATCCCTGGACCCGACTGGCCTGGACGCAGATGATGAAGAAGAAACACGTCAGTCTCGAGATGCTCTACCAGATGACTCGTCCGCCCCCTGGCACCCTTCCCTGCCCTAGCAAAGCTGTCGTGGAACAGACCTGGTACCGCATCGTCGACCCAGACACCGACACCTACGTCCCTCGTTTCCACGCTTGCGAGAGTTGTGCGCGGAGCGTCCGCGTCCTGATGCCAGCCCACCGCGAAACCTTCGTTCCATGTCCGGACATCAAGAAGCGCATATGTGCTTTCGCCACGCAGTCACCACGATTCATCCAGTTCATCGACCTCCTCGACGGCGCTGCCTCCCGCGCAGATGTAGACCCCTCACGCCGCCTCGACCTACGTGAGTTCATTTCGTACGCCCGGCGTAAGGCTGTCTTGCGGGACTGCCTCCGTGACCGATGTATCGCTGCCGCCTGGCACTACATCCCGAACTTGCCGGAGCTGAGTGTTTGCGAGGACTGCTATGATGAAGTGATCTGGCCGCTAGCGAAGGCAAACCACTCGATTGCACGCTCATTCTCGACCTCGATGCGGCCACTGCCCGGTGACAAGCCGCACCGCTGCCGCGAGGTAAGTTGCCAGCTCTACTCGTCGCGCATGCGAGCGCGATTCCGGGATGCGGTGGTGAAGGACGACTTCGCAGGGCTGCGGGATACGGCGCTTCGGCGATTTGAGGCTGAACAGCGGTTCCGGGATCGGAGAGAGGAGCTGCTGGTTGCGGAGGAGAAGGGGTACAATTGTGATGTCGAGTTGAAGAAGGCAGTGGAGGAGTGGAAACGGTGGGAGTGACGACTCTGACAACGGCAAAGTCAACTTTCGCTCTTTTCCTTTTCTTTTGTAGAATGATGTCCTTTATTTTGTACTAGACTGCTCTATATCCGGGTGTTTGGGTTGTGTTTTCCCTGCATAGCATGGCTTGGGATAGCATATATATATATAGCGTGATGAGAAGCGTCTTGAATTATGAATATGACCTATAACTTATCAATATCCTTTAGTCCTGCGTAGTCTTCAGTTATGTCCTAAGTCATAGTCTATTCCTGTCGTTGCTGTAACGTGCGTAGAATGTACTTCTAGTCCGGACATCATAATCAGAAGGAGGACTTTTTTTTAATTATGGTTTAAATAAAACCCTATATACACCATTCGTATGCAAGCCAGGATCGGACATATTCCCCGAAACGAGAAAATAATGCAGAGAGAACAAGAAAAGAAACGATCCTTCTTCCCCAAAACGCCATATCCATAGGAATAATAGATGCAAGATTGAAGAGACACAGATTGCCCGGTTGATATCACTTAGCCCACCAAGCCCACGACCTCACCAGGCCATCGTCTCGCCCAGATCATCGCCCGCGGCGGAACTCGTCCCCCGACAGGAGCAAGGACTCGGATTTTGCCCTTGTCAGCGTCCACGTCAGCAACGTAGAGGAAGCCCATGATACTGGCATCACGGACTTCGGCGGGGGAGGCAGTGGTCGCGGCGTTGGTGATGGCGAGAAGCGTGTTGGCAAGGGATGAGGGAGCGGGAGGAAGGACCTTTTTTAGTGGTACATTGCTGGCGGAGCCTTGATTGGCTGCGAGGTTGGAGGTCTCGTTGGAGAGGCCAACGATACCTGGCAGCGGTGCGGCTCGGTCGGGTTCTTGCTGCTGCTGGGACGCATAATCGTCGAAACCACCGCCGCTAGGGAGAAACGACTCGCCCATTCCAAGCATGGAGGGATCGTATTCGTCTTCGTCCTCGTCCTCGGTCGAAACGACCGTGTAGTTGTATACTGAAAGCGAGGCAAAATCCATGTGCTGTGCGTGCGGTGAGAGAGTCACAGCCGAGGTGGAGGATGCGGAGAGAGACAGCGCCGCAGATGCAGTTGAGGGAATGGGATTGCCGAAGAAATAGGAGCGGATTTGCGACTCGCGCATCCCTTTCATGAAGGCGGCATCACGGTCGACGCAGCCGCCGGACTTGGATAACTTGACGACAGAGACCCGCTCGTCAAAGATAGCAGCCGAGGCGCTCGCACTAGGCTTGTTATCGAATTGCTTGACCATGGTGCTATACAATCGTTCGGAGCCAAGCACAATGATCGTGGTGATGGCGAACTCGGTGACGATGTGATTGATCAGTTCAATGCCCCCCGGTTTGCCCGAGCTGAGAATACCAGGGGTGTCAACAATGATGCCCGTCTCGCGGGCATCTTCATCCTCTGCCATACGGCCAGTCACCGAGAGAGCTAGACGTGAGACAATGGGCCGGTAGATGGAGCCCTCGGCGTCAAGTGGACTAAGAAGTGGGTAGCTGTAGACAAGTGGGAGCTTCACTGGCACCGGACTTGGCCCGGACATGGGACTACTGCCCCAGCCTTCCTCAATATCCAGCATTGTTCGAAAGGGTGTGGCAGTGAGGGTCCCAGGTACACTGAGCATGCCTTCAGTTGGGTCCAGGTTCACCACCAACGGCTGGCGGCCAGCCTTGGTCGCATACGACGTCAAGATCTTAGCCAGACTTGTTTTGCCCGCATTATCAGGACCAAGCAACAAGACTCGGGGGCCGTCCTTGCCTGAGCCTTGCGACTCCTCTCGCATGCTCTCCAATGCGAAGTGGATGTTGGCGTATTCGACCATCGGTGTCTCCTCAGCGGTGTATTCGCTCTGGCATCCGCCTGCGCCATGACCAGCTACCGGAGTGACTCCGTCAAGCGTTGTGGTCCCCGTCTCGGCAGCAGCGACCTCCAACTCACAGCCATGCCATGTATAGATTGCGGCCTTGGTACCGGAGAATGTGTAGGTTTGCGACTCGGCGAGTTCGGTGCCGAATAGCTCGGCTGTGCCCGAAAGAAGCTGCGAAGTCGAAGTCAGAACTCTCATCCTGTTGAAAGGAAGTCTGCAATCCATTCATGTCGCCAATTTGTCTAATCTCTCAAACCAACAGATGACAACATACCTTGACTCTTATAATATGTCCGAATGCGACTTCAAAGCGCCACTCCGAGCCCGGCTTCAAGGCGATCTGCGACGGCGGGGCGACAACATTCTGCCTCTCCACCGAGGGTTGGGTGAGTTCTAAACCCGGGAGAGACATTTCATCGCCGAGAAATCGAAGACTTGTGCTCCTGGCAAGAAAAAAGAGGATTGTTCTTTGAAAAAAGCCCGGGAGACTGGATCGCAGGCGTGGAGAGATGCGAGATCATGGAGCTTCCGCGGCCGGTCTCCGGTAATGTTTTGATTGTTTGCACTGGGCCCGAGTGCGGGCTTCGTGGGCCGTATGAAGTGATGTCTCTTTTTGTATAGCCGGTTGGAGAAACAAGGTGAATTTTGCTGAATTTCACTAGTGAATGGATATAATGGAAGGATAATTAGTTGAGGCCACCTTGGAAGCCATTGTTAGAGAACCGTTCTTGACTAGAACCATAACAAAGGGCAAGATACCAGGCTTCAAAATAGTGGAATAAAAATCGAATACTTGGTATCGAGGGAGAAAAGAAGAGTTATTTGTTAGGCGTTAATGTTTGAAACTATTTTTTTTTTCAAGGAAGTACAGAGATTGAATGCCAGCATAAGTCTCTTGCGATTCTGAGAGAGGATGGGAATTTGGATTTCAAGTGAAAAATCACGTCTTGCGTGGTGAAACAAGTGTAGTTCCAGGGATTAAGAAACAAAATAGGAGAAAGTGCTCTGGGCAAGTACAGTGAAGAATAGCTGGGGAGGAATATATTTATCATGGACAGGGGTAGAAGGGGTTATCTGAGAAGGGAATCAAGCAGTTCAAATTACTTGTCCAGCGCGAGGGGGGCGGCCGAGAGCCGGAACGACGCGAAAGAATGAATAGGGCTGTCTTTGAAGTACGAGCAACAACTCGAAGGTCCAAAAGCGAAACGGCGCATGAGAGGTAATAAAATGTAGGTGAACATGGAAGAGAGGCTGTGCAATCAACCAACCCTCGCCTGTTCCACGGTCTGATCTAGAAGAAATAAGGAATAGAGGCACTTCAAATGTGTTAGCAACTCCATCAATGAATCAGGGAAACTTCAATACGTACGCAAGAGCAAAGGCCGCAGAAACGCCGAACAGAGCACGGTTGCGCACTCGCTCACGCTTGAGCTTGTCCTCTAGAACCTTGGCCTTCTTCACTCGTTGAGCGGCTTCTGCGGAGCTCTCATCATCTTCCTCCACGGGCTTGCGTTTCTTCGTTGCCTTAGCAGCAGACGATCCTGCTGAGCCGTCTTCGGCTCCTTGAGCCTTCACAGCTGCCTCCACCATCTCCTTAGCCTTGGCGATCATCTCCTGGGTTTCCTCGACAGAGGGAACTTCAGGAAGGCTGATAGGGATGTCAAGGGACACAGTCGTGGTCTTGGTATCTTCAGTTACATCGGAAGTGGCAGTCACTTCCGCCTCGCTTTCTTTCTTGGCTTCCTTCTTCTTTTTCTTATCCAACTTCTTCTCATCCTTGTCTTCTTGCTTTTCTTCCTTCTCCTCTTCGGCCTCGGCACCGGCCTTCTTGGACTTGCGACTCTTAGTCTTCTTCTCTGGTGACCCGTTGGCTTTCACTTCTGTCTCCTCAGTCTTCGCCGAACTGGGGCTCTTCTCCGAGGTTTCCATGGAGGCCGTGAAATCAAGAGCTTTTTGCAAGTTATCATTCGCAGCAGTAGTGGACGGTGTGCTTAGAACATCCTTGGCAGAACGGGCTTGTCGAGACTTGCGAGGCGAAACGGACTTTTTGCTCGGTGAAACCGACCGGCGGCTGCGGCTGCGCTGGGAACCTGGCTCATCCATCGGCAGCTCGAACTTCGGGGGCGGGGTGATTTGCTTCTTAGCGCTGGTTGGGCTCTGAACAATATCGGTGGGGTCCAACAAGGCGCGAACCCAATCATACATCTTGTATTCTCTGGCTAGCTCGAGTGCTGGAATATCAAGTCAGACGCTGAACATGACCAGTTTCTTTTTGGGCTGGGAAACCTACCAAACTGTGGAGAAATCCATACATTGCCAGCAACCTCTTCTTGACTAGTGAACTCGCGTGACTTCAAGTACTCTCTTTCGATCTTCTCTTCCTCAGCCTTGGCCCAGGGAAAAGCAATCTTGAACATGCCAGTGGCGCTAACAAAGCCGTCCTTACTTCTCCGCTAAATTTGATCGAGGGAGTTAGCATATAGTGATTATCATTGTGGGGAACGGTGACAGCGTGGGCGAAGGAGCTTTCTTACCATCAAGAAGTATGTTTCCGGGTGCTGTGCTGGAGTGTGAGAAGGGAAGATCTCCGATCCCTTCAGGTCCCGGGGTAAGGGGGCACGCAGGTGGGCATATTCGAATAACCCTAGGTTCTCCGGCTTGGTCGCATTGGATGTGCCGATTTGACCGGGCTTCACAGATAGGTGAGTCTTGCCCAGCCGACGACGCGCAAGAAGATCCTCATCTATGATCGCGAGCGAAAAAAACCGAAGGATTAGCAATCGGCGACCATGACGGTTGGCTGATCCGGTAGAGCGGGCGTAGAAGCGATAGGCACGGTCGCGCGACCACGCGCCATCGAGTGCAACTTACAAGGAGGAGCCGCGTCGGCGAGGATCAGCGGGTTGTTCTTTTTCGGGAGAGGTCGCGACATGATCAAGACTGGTGGCACGCGGATCGCAGATAGGAAGTGGGATGTGCGAACGAGGGTGGATTTTAGATGCGCTTGCGGCGGCCACGTAGCAGGCGCGTCGCTGAGCCAAAAAAATGCGGGTTAGACAGCCTCGACCGAGAAAGGATCAAAAGCAAGGGCAATAGGTCCACGCGCTGGCCACAATGATAACGAATAATTAAGATTAACCGCAAAGGAAATCCCTGACGGGCAAAATATCTTAGACACGATCAGGGGAGAAAGTCAGAAAGTAGGGCTGCCGTCGCGACGGGAGGACGGGAATGGGGTGGTCGCCAAGTCACGACTCCAGACGGCCCTTGCCTTGTTCCGGTATGGTCCGGTACCGTATCGTATCCTCATGGTATCGATAACTGGTGGGGTGAAAATTAGCGACATGTCATTGGATCATAAGGTTTCCCACTGGTTGATACCGCACTGGACCCATTCCAGCGATACAATACACATTTGTTGGGCGTTGGCCCCGTGACCGGACTGGGTCCTCATTTGTCAGGCATTATTTTATCACGTGATTTAAATTGAGCGTCCGCTTTGGTGTTTTATGCCTGAGGTGTCGATCTTGATTTGGCGGAGCACCGAATCAAGTACCACTTCTAACTTGTACATAAACAGTATACCTGGGACAACCGCAGACCCAGTCTCTTCTTTTTCTTCCCCTTTTCTATTATATATTCTTCAATTTCTTCTAATAGTCAATCTTTTGCCTTCAGTCCCTATGTTTTCATTCACTGCGCCTGCTCTTTCCACCCAGCAATTTCTAGACCGTGTGATGGACCCCCTCGCTGCACTGGAGTGGAGACTATGGTAAAACAAATTCAGGAGAAGAAACAATGAATCTTCATACCTGAGATAGATTATGTCGGGCCTCATTTGCCACCACCGAACATGCTACATGGATGAACCTGAGTAAAGTTGGCTAACAGTACAATGGCGTACCGACGTTTGACTTATATAGACAGAGACAGTGGTGTGCAGTGGTGAGGGTATGTAGGACAGAGGTCTCGTGGTAGAGATAATCTAGATAACCTTGCATAGGAGACTTGTATCATAGTGGATGTACGGATAACGGTAGATGTGCATCGTACAGGAACTCTGTACGCCGTCCTTGAACCGGCTCAGGGGGCGGAGGCCGTTAAGTGGCGGTCGAGCGGTCCAGGGCGATCCGAATAGCCTCGCCCCTCTTCTGCTCCCACCGCCTTTCCTACCCCACCAAACAATCAGGAGACAACGAGCGTACGCCATTGGGTCTCCTTTTCCTCTCTTCAATCTTCTTTCCCCTTCCCTCTTGCTACCCAATTTCCCTTTCCTCCTGTCCGTGATTGCGGATTGCCCCCTCCCAATAGTTCCATATCCTTTGTTTGGGTCCATACCCCGCGTCCTCTCATACACCGATTCATCGCAAAAATGGCCGATCACCACCATGAAGATCTTACCGCCACCAAAACCGAGGGCTTCAAGGTTGGCGAGAAGAAGACGATGCAGGAATACCAGGAGCTGGGTGAGTGACGAATTTCCAAACTCAAGGATCCTCGGATCGGCAATTCATGGATCAAACACACCTGGTGCTCTATTGACACTCTTTCTCAGACAAGGATGATGAGGCCATGCAGCGCTGGAAGGCCTCGTTGGGTCTGAACTCAGGAAACTCCATTGCTAAGCCTAATGACCCCAAGTGTGTTATCAAGTCTCTGGCCCTCGTCAGTCCTGGTCGTCCCGACGTGATCATCGACCTGTCCGCCCCGGGTGCTGTCGACAGTTTGAAGGAGAAGCCCTTCACCATTAAGGAGGCGGCCAAGTTCCATATTAAGGTTGTCTTCCAGGTGCACCATGAGGTGCTGAGCGGTCTCAAATATATTCAGGTCGTTAAGCGCAAGGGTATCCGTGTCAGCAAGGACGAGGAGATGCTCGGCAGCTATGCTCCTAACACCACTGACAAGGTCACCTACACTAAGGAGTGTAAGTTTCTACATAGACCGTCGCATATTCCGAAGCCATGCAAATGGAACTCTGGATGGAACCCATTGACTGATTCCGCGTTTCTTTTCTCTTATAGTTGCCGACGAGGAAGCCCCGTCGGGCATGATTGCTCGTGGTCACTATAACGCCGTCTCCAAGTTCGTTGACGACGATGATCACACCCACTTGCTATTCGAATGGGCGTTCGACATCGCCAAAGACTGGTAATCGGGAAAACCACTCTTGGAATGTTCCTGCGTTGAATTCTTGAGCGGCCCATTGTTTCCAAGCGTGACGAATTTCCTTAGACTCCAAAAGCCTGGTAGAGATGGCCCGGCCCCCCTCGGTCCTTATTCCTGCACAGTATTTTTGTGGTGTTGGAAGCCCCAGCGTTTGCCGTGGGGTTTGGAGAGGCGATCCCTTTTGCCCTCCTCTTTCCTCCTCTACTTCCCAGTTATGTTGTATTCCTTCCTCATACCGATATTCAGCAACATGTTTCCACCCCCAATTCCAAATAAGGGCTCCGATCCATGAGAATGTGCAATGGTGCAATCGTATTTTCTAGACCAACCCGGAACTCCTGTATGGTGCTATGATTCCCGTATGTAAACAAAATAGAGCAGACAAAAAAAACCCCGGGGTATCACAAGAAATAGTCAATCACTGGCTGAGCATCCCGACTCTGCTGTGCTTGCTGCTCGCTGCGATGCACATCGTTCTCCGGTGCCGCGTCAAAAATGTTGAAGAAGCGCTCCATGTTGTCTCCAACCTCGAGTACACTGGCAAGATTACCACAGCGGTAACAGTAATTTGGCGCACTCCAGACCGTACTCAACCGATCATCAAAAAGAACTTGATAGCCTTCATTACACAGCTGGTGGGCTCGCAGGATATGGGACATGTTATTGACCTCCAAAAATTTCCGAACAACCTGTGCCCCAAACGTATACCCAGCTCCACGGGGAGACAGGGAAAATTCATCCCTTTCAGGGTCCGGATCAGACCAAACGAGATCTGCCATTGGACCCTCGTGGGGGATTTCGCGAAATCTGTCGATAATTTTGATCTGATCGATCGAGTGGATCGAAGGAGACAGACCACCATGAACGCAGAAGATCTCGTCGTTAATGACCACGCTTAGCGTCAGATAGTCAAACATGTCGGTGAAGTAGTGCCACACATTCGCATTGCCGTATTTCCGCGCGCACTCAGTATAGAAGCCGTAGGATTGGGTCACGCCTCGAGATTCATGGTTGCCGCGGATGAGATGGACTCGGTCGGGATATCGCAGCTTGAGGCAAACCAGTAGGGAGATGGTCTCCACACTAAAGAGGCCGCGGTCCACGTAGTCTCCTACCAGACCCTCATGTCAGTAACCCCTATCAAAAGGCCCCTATCAAAAGGCCACTCCCACCAGACAACCTCCGCCAAGAGCGGCAAGGCGTGCAACTACTGACCAAGAAAAAGATAATTTGTATCCGGGCAAAATCCACCAATTCGAAAAATCTCCAGCAGGTCGAAGAACTGGCCGTGAATGTCTCCCACAACGGTGACCGGCGCCTTTATGTGGACCACATTGCTCTCCTTCATCAACAGTTCTTTGGTCTTGGCACAGATAGCCTCAATCACTGACTCGGCGAGAAGCTCTTTCCGGTAGAGCCTCGCGATGCACTCATCTAGGTCAATACTGGCTAGACGGGTGGTCAACATCTATAGCCGAGGGCCAAGCCCGCACTTCCCTCCGCGCACACTTACTTGGAAGGCCAGGCATTTTCTGTGGTATAGAGGAGAGGTAGCTGGACCAGATGAATAATGGATGATCACCTCTTGAGAAAGTTAGGGTCTGGATGCGAGTAAATAGATCCTAGAATATCGGCACGCGAATAAAGACGGCGCAGGGTGCTCTGCTGGGGCCAAAGAGAGGGGAGGCCGAGTAGAGGCGGAAGAGGGGCGAGAAAACAGTCAACGAGAAATAGGAGTGGACGAAGAGTGGACAGCAGGCATCATGACCATAAGTGAATTGACCACTGCGACAATGAAGCTGGATCTGCTCAAATTTGAGAGGTCAATCGGCCTGCCAGACGAGAAGGGCCCTTGAACTGGACGCCCCGGGGGCGTGTTCTGCTGGACCAGACCGCCTTGGATTAGTGGGTACCTTGCACGTGATTGGCTTCCGTTTTGTGTAGTTGGGAAGTGTCAGTACTGTAGGAGAATACTGTATATGCTTGAAAAGGGGGTAAAGGGGGGATGGAATTGAACGACGATGCTCAATGCGATGATATCTGACTATCTGAGATTATTGGCAGGGAGTGTTGAATATCCCCTACTTCGCTGACTAGCGTGTTCTGGCGCGGGGTTCCGAGTATACCTAGGATACCATACAAAAATAAGCAGGGAATCGAGTACTCCTGTAATATCAGGACGCACAGCGAAATATGTGGGTCCGCGCCGTATTGGCGGCATCTTCCCTCTCGATAGGAAGGAAACATCTATTCTAGTGATATTTTGGCATTGAGTCTTGCAGAACTGGAAAAAGGTCGGCTTTTCAAACTCTTGTGGACATTTGTTTTTGTATAGATCCTGCTGTCTCCCTTCTTCCAGACATACGTTAAGACCAAGCATGAGAACAAGATGATTGGCAAATAGCCAATCACGATGTATTTTTAACCGCCTCACTCGCTCACCTTTTGCCCCTCAATCTGACAACAGGCTTATCATATTTATCATGTTTTTTACTTTTGAAATTTTAGATCCTAACTTTTGACATGCTTGAGAAGCACTTTTGGCAAAAGAAAAAGGAAAGGACAGAGAAAAGCCCTTGTCGACACTCAGCATGGATGCCCTCTCCGGAGTGGCAAGTGTTATTGCTGTGATTCAGTTGGCTGGAAGCATTATTACGGTCTGCGGAGGATATGTCAACAAAGCAAAGCATGCAAAAGAAGAAATTCACCGCTTACAGCAGGAGTTGGGTGGCCTTGTTGAGGTGCTGAAAGTACTTCATCAACTTCTTCACGGACCGAATTGCACAAAGCTTATGACCACCGAAGCCTTATTAAAGTATGTTCCGGAGTGCAACCTAGCCCTCAAAAGCCTGAAAGAGAAATTAGAGCCAGACAAGACTCAAAAGCGAATGAGCAGATTGGGACTTCGGGCGTTGAAATGGCCATTAAAGCAGAGGGCAGTGGACGATACTATACGTGATATTGAACGGTACAAAACACTGATCAATCTGGCTCTAGATATTGATCAACTGTATGTCAATCGGATAAAAAGAATATTGGGGACACAGCTTATGATATAACAGGAAAGCTACTGACTTCCTTGCTGAGAAGCTTGATCTGAGCCGATTACGAATTGCAACAGGGGCGGCCTATAACTCCTACGAGAACCAGCATATAGAGTGTCTTCCAGGAACCAGAGTTGATCTCCTGAATGAAATTGAGGAATGGGCGCAGTGTGTAGACGGGAAATGCATATTCTGGCTGAATGGTATGGCTGGAACAGGGAAATCAACAATCTCTCGAACAGTCGCAAGTCGATTGAAAGCCAAAGGCTCACTTGGTGCAACGTTCTTCTTCAGGAGGGGTGAATCTGACCGAGTAAATGCAAAATGCTTGTTTCCAACGTTAATCAGCCAATTGATCCAGGTGTTCCCTCAGCTGATTCCTTCTGTTCGAAAGGCCGTCGAGGATGACCCTGATATCTCAGAGAAAGTGCTCCGAGAACAGTTTGAGAAACTGATTCTTGAGCCGCTTGTCGCACTGAACAAGGTACAGACTGTCCCACTGGTAGTCATAATTGACGCCTTGGATGAATGTGACAAAGAAAATGATATCGAAGCTCTTCTCCAGATTCTACCTCAAGTGCAACGGGCAGCTTCCCTCCAACTGAGATTCCTTCTTACTAGCAGACCAGAGTGGATTATTAGGCTGGGATTTAAAAGAATTGGCAATGATCATCAGCATCTAATTCTTCATGAACTTTCTCGGTCGGCAATTGATTACGATATCGCATTATATATTCATGATCGGTTTCTCAAGATCAAAGAGGAGCGAGGACTTCCCTTAGAGTGGCCTGGAGACAAAGCAATCGAAGAACTCGTGAAAAGAGCCGTACCATTGTTCATCTCAGCTGCAACTCTGTGTCGATTCATTGGCGATAAAACGCAGAATCCACAGAAGCGTCTCTACCTCATTCTCGCAGACCAAAAAAGGTATATCTCAGAGATGGATAAAACCTATTCACCAATACTGAACCACCTTCTTGATGGCGAAGATGACGAAGATGTTCAAAGATTTAGGAAGATTGTTGGCGTGATCATTCTTCTTGCTACACCACTCTCTGCCAACGCCCTTTCTCAATTTCTGGAGTTGGATATAGGTGATGTGAACGGTTTGCTTGGTCAACTTCATTCGGTTCTAGATGTTCCAGATAATTTGGATTCATCGGTCCAGCTTCTCCACCTTTCATTTCGGGATTTTCTTCTTGACTATAAGAAGCAACGCAATCCATTCTGGATAGATGAAGAGGAAACACACACAATAATCGCCATTCAAAGTCTCCGGATAATGCGATATAATTTGAAAAAAAATATCTGCAGGCTTTCAACGGAAGGAGTTTGGGTAAATGAGATCAGCCAACAATCAATGGATCAGTACCTAAAGCCTGAACTAAGATACTCTTGTCGCTATTGGACCCAGCACTTGACCAAGATTCAAAACCAACAGCCGATCTTAAATGATATCTTCAGCTTTCTACAGGAGCACCTTCTTCACTGGCTAGAAGTCATGAGTCTTTTGAAAGTTTATTCAGAGGCTGTGGAGGCAATCAATAGGCTACAGACAATTGCACAAGTAAGTCCTTCAGCTTTCTAGAGGCTATGTTGATGCTGAATCAGACAGGGCCAAAGAAATTGCGAGGAACTATCAAGATTTCTTCAAGATGCAAGAAAGTTCATTTTTATGACCCGGCAGCTCATCGATTTCGCACCCCTACAGCTTTACTGCTCAGGGCTTGTATTTTCTCCGAAACAATCAATAATAAGGCAACAGTTCAGCAATGAGCTGCCTAGTTGGATGATGAGCTTACCGAAGGTAGAGGAGTCATGGAGCGCAGAGTTGCAGACACTGGAGAGTCACTCGGGTTCCGTCAACTCGGTAGCTTTCTCTCCGAATGGACAGTTAATAGCCTCCGCGTCTACTGATCGGACAGTCAAGCTCTGGGAGATAACAACTGGTACTTTGCTACAGACACTGAAAGGACACACTCTTTCAGTGAACTCAGTGGCCTTCTCTCCAAATGGGCGATTGATAGCCTCCGCATCTTGGGATGACAAAGTGAAACTTTGGGAGGTCACCACTGGTGCTCTGCAACGGACATTCAGAGGACATTCGGACTCGGTTAACTCAGCAGTATTCTCCCCAGATGGCCGATTGATTGTATCCGCATCTACTGATTGGACAATTAAGTTATGGAAGATAAATGGAGGTCTACTTCGAACCTTCCAAGGCCATTCTGGTGCAGTCTACTCGGTGGCGTTCTCTGTGAATGGGCAATTATTAGCTTCCGGATCTAAAGATCAGACGGTGTTAATATGGAATCCAGTCAATGGTGCGATTTTACATAAACTAGAAGGTCATTCTGAATTGATTGATTCAGTGGTCTTCTCCCCAGATGGGGGACTACTAGCCTCTGCCTCTTACGACAAGAAAATCAAACTTTGGGAGATATCTACAGGCTCCTTGCATCGGACACTTAAAGGCTATCATAAAATTGTCACCTCAGTGGCCTTTTCTCCCGACGGACAATTACTAGCTTCGGCATCTAGTGATCAAACTGTCAAATTATGGGAAACAGCTACAGGTGCCCTACGGCATACATTCGAAGGCCATTCTAAGTTGGTTGGTTCGGTGGTCTTCTCTCCGGATGGATTATTACTAGCTTCGGCTTCTAATGACCGCACAGTCAAGTTATGGGAGATAGAGAGCACTTTTACCTACCAGAAACCAGACGGTCACTCTGACTTTATCAACTTAGTTGTTGTCTCTCCAGATGGGCGACTTGTGGCTTCTGCGTCCAACGATCATACAATTAAGATCTGGGAAACAGCATCTGGCGCTCTCCAGCAGACACTCAAGAGTGGTTCTAAATTAATAACCTCTCTGGCTTTCTCCCCGGATGGGCAGCTTATAGCCTCAACTACTTCTATGGAAGTCAACGTTTGGAAGACCGCTACTGGTACCCTGCAGAAGACACTCGGGAATTACATTAACTCTGTTGATTTGGTAGCCTTCTCCCCAGATGGAGAATCCTTAGGTTTGATGTCTAAATGGAAGGGAGAGGTTGGTATCAATATGATCAAACTCTGGGAGACAAAAACTTTCACCCTCCAGCATGCATTTGAACGCAATTCTGAAGACACAGAAGTCCCAGCGGTCTTCCATTCCGTATTCCATGAGGAAAATATGAATTCTTCGCAGTTTCAGTCTGAATCTGGAGTGCAAATATCAGCTAACGAATGGGTGAATCTTTTTGGAGTGAGGCGCCTTTGGCTTCCTCCTAATTATCGTCCAACTTGCTCGGCAATAAGGGGAAATACAGTGGCTTTAGGGCATGCCTCTGGTAGGATATCGTTTCTTGCATTTCGCGATCCAATTGTGTTTTAGCCAACTTGAAACTATTTGATTTCATTTCTGTATGCTTGTGATGTTTATAAAATTCATTAGTATTTGATCGAAGCCACACGGCTCTGTTAGCACGAAATATATCAACCTACCACTAATGAGCAACGTAGAACGGGGATACCACAGATATTCTAACTTACAATGATATGTGTCTACATGACGGTCTCGGCAAATCACGTTCGCAGTTTAAATGCATTGAGAGTCATGAAATGCTGCTTGGTAAAAAAGCATCCGCAACTGTAGCTTCCTCTCCTCCCATTTTCCTCCCGAGAGGACCTGCTTGCTGGAACTACATCCGTGGGTTCTCTTGGACCCATTCATCAAGGTCTCTATAGGCATGCAGCCAAAAAAAAAGAGGTGTGGTCAAGATCCTAGGGCCAAGGAGATCAGCCTCTGAGGGTTCAAAATACTTTGAATCGGCGGCAAGTTCATGCGCAAATCACGGGCCATGTCGTAGCCGATAATGCTTAAGCCGATATATATATCAGCCTATTCACATCAAATATCTCATTTTTGGTCTCAACCACGAACGCCAGTCTGTCGGCATCTCTAGAGATTGGGACTATTTGGCTTTATTTTCAGGTAGTCTTCCGCATTAGGGGAAAATTCCCATCTACAAGTTGCCTTGGGCAATATATCTGTTCGAAAATTTCCAATTTTCACCGTAAGAGGCAGAATACAGACTCTGTAAGCTAATTTGGCATCACAGGAGCCAAGGCATATCTCGAGCTTCATTCCAAACAGAATATCCTCACTTCGGAGACGATCGCGGTATCTTGTGGAAAGATTGGTTCTATCTAGGATTTAATTCGATTTACGTTGACCTTTTTACAGTAGTCCATCTGCTCGAGTTGATCTGTTCTGACAAGACTGACATTTGCAAGAAAATACTCAACCATACTTATCCCAAGCACTCCTATAGCTAAATTAGCTCTAAAGACACGTATGTCTAAAATATGCATGAGCAGACGGTTGTGATACTTGCAATGGACATCGAAATTCCCTTTCTCAGTTTAGCATGGAAGGTTCTCGTCTTCTCAAACGATATTACAAAACACTCGATAAGTGATTTGGCTGTTGAAGGGATGGATTCCAGGGATTATGACGAAGCAAGCCACATGTTGAAGACATTTTCGTTTTCCTGATCTAGATATTGTTCCAAGTCTATGATGAGTCCATACGATATCCCAAGTTCGTACTATCCATCCCGATGGCTAAAGTAGCTGCTGGGCCTCCTTGTTAACAGCCTCAGTTTCCGAGTCAGTTTCATCCTCCGAGTCGTCTTCCTCCGAGCCTTCTTCGGAGTCTGTCTCCTCTTCTGAATCGGACTCGGCCGCTGAGTCGGTTTCATACTCGCTTGAGTCTTCGTCTTCTTCTTCGAGCCACTGGTCGAGGGTCTTCTTACCAGCTGCGCTAGCCACGGGAGCGCCGTTGTACCTCTGCGGCGGGGCAGTGCTCTGGTGCTGGCGCAGAGCCTTGTCAAGCCGCTCGCCAGCTGTCATTGAGCTTTCGAGGGTGGTAGATGTTTCAGGCTTAACGTCTTCAGTTCGAAGGCTGGGACTTGGCTCTTGCCCGAGCTCAACCCAGTCTGGAACGTCAGTGTACCCACGAAGACCATGATAGCCGGCCTCTGGGCCAACAACGAGAGTGGCGGTTCCAACGAGCAGGTCTTTTCGCGTTTCTGAGGGACTTGGAGCGTGAGGAACAGGCTTGGGAGCTAGAAGGAGTAAGTTGGCAAGCTGGGTGGACGAAGGGCTGTCTAGAAGAGCTTTGTAGAGACGGGCGCGGTCGCGAAGGTCGTACGACGTATCGTAGCGCGCAAGGAGCAGGATGTAGCGCCAGAGAAGAGTAATGCGGTCTTCATCTTCTTCCTCGGGCTGCTTTTGCTCAGCCTGAGTTTTGGGTAGTGGGGTTTCCTCTGCTTCTTTTTCTCCCTCCTTATCCTCAGTCCACTCATTGCGGATTTCTTGCGCAATGGCGGAGCGGTCAAGAGCCTGGGAAGCTGACTCTGATGTTTCCTTTGGGGGGTTGCGTAGGAGATGGTGGAGGTACACCTTGGCACCTAGAAGAACAACCTGTTGTTTGACCACCTCCGTCTCATCGGCGAATCCTTTAATAAGAATACGGAGAACATCAGGCGCAATGTTATGCTCCGGTTCCATGCCTGAAAACTCTCCCACTAGCCATATGATACTTGCACGAGCATCAGGGTTGGTAGTTGTTCCAAGATGCGTGACAAGTTGAATAACGGTCTGGTTATGTGAAGATGGATCTTGCTGGATCAAATGTCGGATAACGGTCAGAGATTCGGAGACAAGATTTCCATCAAGACTAGAGATTTGATCGAGCAGGATTTGAAGACACATGTTCGCAGTGGAAGCGTCTCCTTGTGCACAACGACCAATGGCCCGTACGCTCTCTCGAACCAAGTCCGAGTCAGTGCCTTTTGAAAAATGCTCAAGCTCACTGATAATAACACCCTTCCAATGCTTCCCACAGTACGGAAATAGCATAGTCATTACCTCCAGTTTTAGGCGCCAGATATGCGATGGGTCGTTGGCATGAATAAGAAAGTGAGCGATATACTTGGTGAACGGCTTCGGGTTTCGCAAAGCAACCTTCACAATATTATATAGTGCAATAAGCTGCATATCTTGGGGACTTCTCAGAAGCGCTACCAGAGGACCAATAGCCGAGGTAAGATACTCCGAGGGCGCCAGATAGAAGAAACAGCGCACGACGCTGACAATCACGGCCGAGTTGCGATTTTGTAACAATAACTTGCATGACTTCAAAAGAAGCTCAAGGTCGGGGTCTAGAACCTCTATTTCATGCTCATCCTCGCTGTCGTTCTCTTTTGGGCTCTGCTCTTCATCATCGTAGAAGCCCTTGGTAGTTGCTTGTCTGACTTTCTGGGTCCGACGAGGGAAGCATTTGCGTGCATAGAAAGTCAAAAGGCGTAACGTCGCCAACTGACCCCACTCATCCATGTCTACCAATTTTTTGACCAAGCTGCGATAGTGCTTGTGGATCAACTCGATCTCTTCTGGGCAAACTTCCAAGAAGGCGGCAACAGCCGGACCGACGACGAAGTATTGCGAGTCGCCAAGCAGTATCGAGATATACCCTGTCAACTGTGGCAATGTACTAGGATCAAGGCGGTAGCACTTCGGAATGGCTAGAGCAGCAGCCTTGCGCACATGTGGACTCATATCTCCGCATCCTCGTTTGATGGCAAGTGACACGATTTGACTAATTACCGGGACCCGGATCCCAGACATGGTCCGCAATGCTATTGATCGCACTTGGGGGTTCTGATCTGTCAACGATTTCTGGATCGTGTTAATAGAGAGCAGTGCTAGGTCCGGCTCCGCCTCCGCGTGGTGAACAAGATAAAGGTAGACGAGTTTCTTGACTTCGAGATTGGCGCTGGCAACATTCTTGACCACAGCGGAGAATAAGGGGAGGGAAGACTCGGAGCGGTACATTAACTGCAAATTGAGCGGAAGCCATTGGTGTTAGTGGTTGATCCCATCTTCATGTCACGTTTGTGGTCTCGTCATACCGAAATAACCCGTCGCATGCCATCGAGCACATCTCGCTCGTGGCGGCTGTCCAGGAGCTTCTTTATATGAGCAACACTGTATGTACGTGATCCGTAATCCGGTTTCGAGCTGCGATTGCTCGCAGCGGACTGGGCGGCCTCCAGAGTAAGCTCTCGAGCTATGCGCAGTCGCGACCACGGTTAGCACGCAGGCAATAAGCACAGCTGCAGTCTCCGGAGAAAGGCTTACCTGTTTCCAGCATCGAGGATATCCTAGAAATAGTTTCCATCTTGAATCCAGCCTCCGAGGGGCCCAGTCCCAGAGACGCGAGAATTGGCTGGTGACGTTGACGAAGGCAAGTGGGGGAAAGCAAAGGCGGAGAGGAAGATCACGACCTCCGCGGGACCCAAATGGCTTTAGGTCATCGCCAGCCAAACAGACGCAGCTAGTCGATAGCAATCACCATGGCTATAACCAACCTCAAGCCATGATACCTATCCGCTATGTCCGGGCACCGGGGCAAATGATACTGCACGAACTCCTTATTCTTCCGCCGGGGTGCTGATACTACGCCATGGCCTTCACACAAGTGGTTGCTCCGATTTGTCTTGTGACCGATCTCCTCCAACAACTGCTCGACGCCGCGAGAGACACGCGCCTTGTTGTCTGTGGCACCAGAACCGAGTTTCTGGTGCAGTTGTCCGCCGCCATTCGTTCTCAGTACGCAGGGCACAATCCTGCTCCGCGGCATGATCTGCTCACTAAAACGATTGGACTGCTCGCCAACTCGAGCAGGGTGCAACTGACATTCTGCCCGTCTCTGGAGACCTTTCGAGCCTACCTGGCAGTCCTCGGTCCAGTTGACGACGTAATCTGCGGCTCTGAACAGTGCAAGATCAGACGGCCTTTACTTGCAACCTTGGACTTGGTAGCTTTACATGCTACAACCACGGAATTTGCTGCGCAGGGGCTATCAAGGACCTTCGCTGCTCTTGTTGAATCGGCCTCCAGAGCCAAGATGGATGTGATACTCTATGAATGTACGAATGCGGTGAACCCTACGAGTACCGACTGGGGCGCAGAATTGTGGAAGAAGCAGGTTCCTCTGCTAAATGGTTCAGTCCGGATACGGGGTGAGGATGGCGGCAACTGGGGCGGACGAGGTGTCTCCGTCAAACAGGTTGCTCAGCGCTGGTTCGAGTTTGAAGAATGATGAGAGTGCGGGCGAGAGAGAAATAATGTAGATTGCTGGTAGGAAAAAGCGCGAACCAAAAGAAACCACCTGCAATAGGGAATAAAAAACTCCATGGAATGAATCTGCACCGCCAGGGTATCCTAGAGAGCCAACCTTTGAACTCCGTATCCTTACATATAGCCACGAGAAATCGGGATGCCTCAAAGTGACTTTTCCACCTCCGTGATATAGAGTTTAATATGTGACTCCAACTTGAGATACTGATCGTGGGCGGCTTGAATCTCGCTCTCAATATTCTCCTTGAGATCGGCCATCTAGAAAGGAGCCGTGAGCATCAACTGATAAGCAATATAGAGAAAAGAAGAACAACATACCTTCTTCTCCGTCTGTTCAATCCGAATCCGCCTTCGTTCCATCTCACGCTGTTTCTCTGCACGCTCTTCACGAAGTTGCTTCTGTACATTACGGAGCTCTTCCATCCGTGCCTGAGCCACTTCGGCCTTTTCCTGTGCGGATCTGCGAAGAGCTTCGATTCTTTCAGCCCAGCGAGCCAGTTGCCGTTGGAGGAGTTTCTCCGCCTGCTCAACCTCTCGTACATGGTTCCCTCTGTCCGAGATAGCATCCTTGTTTTTTGCTGCACGAGTCTCTTCCTCTTCCTCTTTCTCAAGCTCTGCTGAAATATCGTCGAGAAGTTTGACACATGCCTGTACATCATTGGAAACGACGGTGAAGGTATCTGAGGAAGTTTGAAGAGCGCGAGCGCGTCGTTCCATAGCATCAATCTGAGCTTTTTCGCGCATTAGGTTCTCTGCCAATTCGGTCAATGTTGACTGCAGCGTGGCCGGGGACTCGAGAACATAGGGTCGCAGCTTCTCCGCTTCTTGCCGGCTTCGGTGTGTCTTTTCAATTTTTTCCTCCAATTGCTGTTGTCGTCGTGCCCGATCGCTTTTCATTCTGTCAAGAGTCTCTGCGACCCGTGATTGCTCGCGACTTAATTCCAAAAGCCGCGCCTTGAGCTCGTCGTTGCGAGCCACTTTCTCCCGCACCTGGGCTTCATTGGCTTGCTGATCTCGTCGCATCTCTGCCAGTCGTTGCTGCATCTCCTGGTTCTCGGCCATCAGGGTGTCAATGCGCGATTTGGTCTTCTCGGTCTTGTTGAAATGCTCGTCGATCACGGCGGTTTGCGACTCGCGGAACCGGACAAAGTTAATGAGGTAGGAGAATATTTTCACGAGTCGGTCATGGGTCGGTTTCGTCAGGTCCGTAAAGGTGAAATCGTTCACGCCGCACTATTAGATAAATAAAAGTCAATGGACGTATCGATGCAGGCTAGATGAGAAGCCAAGTACCTCTGCCAACAGTGACCGAATGCTAATGAAGAAAGCCATCAAGTTACGCGTATCGTTAGGGACGATATCAGGGTAGTCGCCGCAAATATCTTCAGCGGCAGCATGCATGGCCGGTTCTACCGTCTCGCGCGTAATATTCATCAGTAGTTCTGCGAACCATTCGAAGACCATCTGGATCTGCTGGGCGTTCGGTTTGGCCAAGTCTGCCGCAGTAAATGGGATTCCGATATCGTTGATGCATCCTGCGATTTCTTTATCAGGCTGGGCTCAGGTCAGCAAGGAATCCAGACTGACTTATGCGCCATCATTTCTCTCGACGGCCCGGGGCCAAGGCTCACCAGTCTCATCAATGCATCATTGTCATCCTCCTTCTTGCGGGACCGGCTGTGGTGCTGTTGCGAGCCAGCCATGCTCATTCGATGGTTGTACGCCATCGCGTCACGAGTTGCGATGGCACAGCAATCAGACTATAGGTAGGATGCGCAAGTCACGACCAAGCGAAGAAGCAGCGAGGCGCCTGGAGTCTGTGGTGTTGTGATTTGCGGCCGATTGTTTACTTTCGAGAGTTGAGCCCGCACGCCCGACCGTATCGGGTTAGCGCAACACTGGAGGGGCAGAAAGCAAACGGGACAAACACTTCCATGAACCGACAAAGAAATCGTGACTCTTTCAGTCTTGCCTCATTCAGAGCTCTGCGCAGCATCATGGCGACGACTACTGAGGGTGCGGCTGCGGCCGGCTCGAAGCCATTTGAGTGAGTGTTCTGATTCCGACTTAACGAAGCCTGTGGCGCTCATCCTCGACTGCAGCATTGTCGCAACATACAATGAGCTCCTACGCTCCGATCCCGACCTCACCATGCCCATTGCGGCTATTGAAGCGCTGGTGCTTCTTCTCACCCACGAACCCTCTTCGACGATATCCGAGACCCTAGACCTGCTCGAGAAGTCCACCACCCACCTCAAAAAAGCGATTCCCAATCCCATTGGTCTGTCGGCCGGAACCGATCTCTTTCAACGATATCTGATCACCACCTTACAACGCCCGGGACAACTGGGTCCCGCGGGGGATTTCAAGGCTATTCGAACACATCTTCTTTCCAACGGCCGTCTGTTCATTCGCCGTGCCAAAGAGAGTAGAGAGAAGATCGTGAATTTCGGACGAGGCTTCATCCGCGATGGCTGCACGGTGCTCACAAATGGTGGATCCAGAGCTGTCGCATCCCTCTTGCAGAAGGCTGCAGATGAAGAGGGAGGCCCCTCCGCGGTTCGCTTCCGCGTGATCTATGTTCTATCCTCGATCAGTCAGAACATCGAAGAGCCGTCCGGGGAGCCGGAGGGCATGGAGACTGTGCGGGCTCTGCGAGCGAAGGGCGTTCCAGTCTCGACAATCCCGGAGTCAGCGGTTGCCTACGCTCTCGGCAAGGCTGATATGGTCATTGTGGGTGCGGAGGGTGTTGTGGAAAACGGAGGTATTGTCTCCCGCATGGGTACCTACCAGATTGGCCTTCTTGCCAAGGCGATTGGCAAGCCGTTCTACGTGGTGGCCGAGAGCCACAAGTTTGTTCGACTATACCCTCTTGGCCAATATGATCTGCCTATTGAGCAAAACGTCGTTGACTTCAAATCCGAGGATGATATTGCAGAACAAAAGCAACAGTCTTCGGCAGCTGAGTCCAATGGAGACCGACCTATTGAGCTGCCGCTCTGCTATTCGGTTGATTTCACACCGCCGCACCTGATCTCGGCCCTGATTACTGATAGTGGTGTATTGACACCCAGTGCTGTTAGCGAAGAGCTGATTAAGATCTGGTTTTAAGAGATATCAACCTCGCGCGGGTTTCAACTGTTACATCGAGAGTTGGAATCTGCCTTCATCATCAGCTGTGTCCAGCCACTGAATCTCGAATGCTATACCAAAATACATTACGAAGTTGACGAAGCATGGAGAACGACGGGTATTCTATTTTCATTTCCCAACTCCAGATATGAGGCTGGTCATGCCGGGACCTTGGGCTTTCCCCCAGTCCATGGCTACCAGAGCTCTTTCATATTGCCTCAGCGCAGAGAGCCCGACCACAGTTCCTCTCCAGCAAATTTGTCATGCTGTTTCCGTTTGCGAAATCTTGCGAAAGGCCTGTAGAGAGATCCTACTTCTGGGTCATTACCTTGCACGATTATATTTTGAAATGACAATTAAGCTAGCCATGTTTTTTTCTCTCTACTGTTCTGATAGACTCCAGAAAAATCAAAAGAAATCTGAACATCACTGATTGAAGTAGTCGAATAAATGATAGGTATGGAAAAATAGGAAGTAGGGCCGGTAAGGCCAAACAAGTCCTCCATCCCAGCTGTCATCGGCCGTACAAAAGAACCAGTTGTACCAGACAACAGGACCATCGCATGGCCTAAGGAACCCCAAAAGCTTGATCCTCGCTGGGAAAGAATAGATGACAAGTGCGCAAATGCAGTGAAGTGGGTTTTTGGGGGGTATCGTTGCAAAAGATCGAGAAATAGTCATGACTCATGAATAAAAAAAAAAAAAGGAAGTGAAAGCATAACGAAGAAGACCGGCCGAGACGTCGAGTCCGGCCATTTGCATCATAGAACAACGAGATTGCACGTAGAATCGAGCTGTACAGCACGGCGAACACTTCAAGATTTCCTCCAGTGCTCAATTTGTAGGTGTCCTTTGATTGTCTCTGCACTCTGGTGCCGCGCAGACATCAGTGGTCCTAGTCCGAGACATGGCGCCTTGGGTCGCTAACCTAGCCGGTTCACGACCTGGAGACGCCAATCGGCCGATTGCAGGGTCGCAAAGGCGTAGAGCAGCAGATATCCGAGGGCAACGAATATCCACAGCGCGGCCATATCCAGGAGTTGAGGAGGGGAGAAGCAAAGTCAAAGGCGCAAAGGAAAGCCCGAGAACCGGCACGCACGGAAGATATTGACGAGCGCTACTGCTAGCGGTCGAGGTGGGGAGATAGAGAAGCCGAGATCTTCTTCGGGGCGGGTCCTCGTCTTCTTTTTTTCATCAATATTTGCATGAGACCTTGGGCAAGGTAGGACAATTCCAGCTCGTCTGTGTGCGAATTGGAGCCGGCTGATAAGGGTGTTGGATGGGAAGGGACGGCTCGCATTCCATGCGATGCGCGACCGAGTGTTTTAAACCCCGACTGATGAGTCGATGGCCCTAGACTGGGTGATCATCTCCGAGATGTTCCATCCAATAACGAATGGATCGAGATTGGTGTCCGGCCTTCGAGCGTCCATTCCGGTATGACGAAGGCGATGCGGGGTTCCTGACCGAAGCCCATTTTTATTTATTTTTCCATCCCCACCATCGAAGAGGGGAGGGAAGGGGGCATTGGCAGTCGGATTTTGCAAAGAGCCATGGCAAATAGATATCGAGAATCATGTGAGCGGGCTTTCTTGAACGGTTTGATGGAATGGCTTGGAGCATGGCTGGGGGTCTGGGATGGTGCTGGTGACCGGTGACCAGGATCGAGTGGGAGGGATAGGTTCCGTCTCCGTCAATCAGGGTCCAAGGAATTGTCTATACGAAACGCGGGCAGGGGGCATTGGGCATTGAAGGGCTGTTGAGATCGTCTGGGGCTTGCTTGGTTTTGGTCCGTTGTCGTCTGACACGTTGGGCGTTCAATTGCATGGGCTTGAAGGTTGTTTTCGACTACTGGAACCTTATTACGTTAATATCCACCCCGAACAGCGACCTACGAGTATAGACCATATAGTTTGGGGTATTTTACATATTGAAAGAAGAGTCTTCACCCTTAAAAAAAGAGCCTCGGGTGCTGGTCTGGTGCCGCTAGGTTGAAGACTGACGACATATCAGTGCCGTCATGGCCGTTGCAGAGATGTACTGGTCCGGCTCGAAGTATATACTGTTACATAGTGCCAATAGAGCTGAAGTTTGGTTTTCGCATTTAGGCATAGACGGATGGGAGCGGGCCTTGTCCAGCGTCTGTGCCTCCATATAGATATAAGTTTTCTGGATCTTTGGCCCTGGATCTATAGTCGCTTCTTCAGATGACGCTCAGATGGACCATCTTTCCATCTCCACGAGTAGGGATTGATGGATCTATACTACACCAGCGAGCACAGGTTCTAGGGTTCACTCCACTGCTGTAGATTGCTTGTTCACGAACTCACCCCGGGCCTCCAAACCCTATCAGACGACAAGACGAGGATCTCGTGTTCTGGACCGAAAAGAACAGCCCACCTGATCTGATAAAATCCCCCTCTCAACGAACCCGGGGAATCCTCCCCAAATCGCCCCACCATCCAACTCTAACCCCGCTCCTCATAGGAATTCGAATGAGCATCTCTCCCATGAAGTCCATTCCTCTCTTACAGAGCCTAAATAAACCCGTTTAAGCCAAGAGGCGCAACTCCCGTGGCAAACGCACACACAGATACACATTCACACACGAACCCGGCTGTGCATCCACCGCCGCCGCTCCAATCTACATCACCCTCGATATCAATCCCGCCACCCGAAGCATCCGGACACTAGTCATGGATGCCCAACCCTTAACCGCTCCCATGTCTATCTCCTCCCTCTCCTGCTCGTCCGCCGACTCTTTCCGCGAGCCCACGCTGCACCCTTCGCACGACCGCTCGGCCCCGAGCCCGATCTCGGACAGCCAGGTGCGGCGGTCATGGTCGCTCAAACGGCTGCTGGGACGCGGCAGCCGCCGGTATCGCGTGCTGGAGCGAGAACCGAATCGGCTGCGGAAACGTGTCAGTGGGTGAAAGCGTGCTGTATCACTGCATATGGTTGGATACGGAGGGGTTGAGGGTGCGGTGGGGATTTGTACATACTCCCGCTGGTGCATTGTATATGGCTGATGGGATATTTTTGGCTGGGTCATTCCATACTGGGTGAGGCTTGTTCTGTTCTGGATGCTGGATAGGCTTCTATAGTCGGACTTGACATGTCAATGTCAGGATAGTGAGCAATTTCTTTTTTATTCGATACATTATTGGAGAGAGGGAATAAGGAAAGGAGTCTGGTGTTTATTGGATGATTCAGGATGCATACGATTTGGGGGGGTTCTTTCTTTCTTTCCTTTTTTCTTTTCTCATTGATACCTCTGTTTCTTTGCGTTATTGCGCTGTCTGTTTTGGGCGGTCTATACATCTGTGATTTTACCGTTAATGCACCCAAGCCTTGCTCCTGGGCACATGTTCTATAACTCTTTCTTATTTGAAGATATTGTGCATTTTCTGCGCTCAATATCCCTGTAAAAGTCACCGGAACAAGCCGTAATTGAGGTATCCATGCATTGCCAAGAACCCTCAAAATGTCCTTGATTTGATACGTGAACACACCTCGTCCACCATGTCTTTGTGGCAAATCCCGTCTGGCTTATTGCAACAAGGCGCCACCGTGTCCCGGTCACCGGTGCAGATAGGGAGTGAGAGGGGGACACCGGGTTATGTTTAACCAATGCCGAGGTGCGTTTGATTTTTTTGTAGTTTTTTTTTGTCCATGCTTTCCCGAGCACGGATGGGGGAGGGGCGACGCTGAATTGGGTATCCGGTTTGGCTAGAGGGCCGGCGCTATTGGACACCCAAGTGGTTAAGCGGGTTGCCCGTGCTTCGGCACCTCACGGGCGGCGTGTCCCGGTGCCCAGACCAGTAGTCGAGGATCGTGTCCACGACAGCGCCGGGTACTAGCGTGCTTTTGCGCAGGGGGGATCACGAAGGGGAGTTTAAGGGAGCAAGAGATGAACAGGTCACTGGAGAGGGAATTGATCTCGATCCCGATGGGACTGGCTGACTGGCTGAAACTTGAGAGTAGCAGCCACTGTACCCGAGGCTGTTTGGCTCAGATCTAGCGGGCGGGCAGAGGTAGATCCGGCTGTCTCAGTAAGTAAGCTGGGAAAGTTGCCCTAGACTGAGACCCCATCGCCGGAAGAAGTTCGAGGTCTTTGCTACGTGAGATCTATTAGATCCGAGACTACGGATGGGCGTATTCTCGCGGGGAATTGAGACATGGTGGAACTACCGGAGAGCAAGGGCGAGGGTCTAGAACGGCGGAGTAGGAACCTTGCCAATGACTGTTGAGACATGATCGAAGAAGACAGAGGATCAGAAAGAAACCAAAGCGCACAAGCGGTTGGCTAAGTCGAAGAACACAAGAGGGACGATGGGTCTCTCCACTATTCAGGCTATTGTGGTTTCGGTGCAACCTCCAATCCGCCCATGACAGCAAACACCGCCAGTTTGGGGCTCGCTCGATTTCCAATCCTCATCCTCTGATTCTGATTGAGCGCGTGATCGTCCCAAAGTCTCGTTGATCCAATGAACGAAGCCGCCCACCTCTACATACCTCTTAGTGCAATTAAACACATCGCCGTAGTGTACAATATTGAGTCGGCTATCCTGTCTGCTCCCGCGAGATCACATTGTCACAACACAGCCACGATCAGGGATCTGGCGACCGAGCCAGAACTGGAATGCGGTTCGGTCTCTCGCCCCTCGCCCCTCGCCCCCTCCAGCATCAAGAATGCGCATCGATAATGGGAGTAGAAGATGTTTGCCGGCTCTCTGCGTGTCTGTATCGACAGGTCAGAAAGCCAGTCAAGCAAAGGTGTGTGGCCGCCAGTCCCCCCAAAGACCAGTCCACCATCTTCACTAGCGCCGACCAAAATCGGCCTGCATTGTTGCTGATCGGCTCCACCTCCAGACCAACCGGACTCTGTCCCTGCAGGTCTCGCCGAATCCCCGGCGAACAGCGGACCTGTTTTTGGGACCTTTGCCCTTCTCTTCCAGAGTATCGAAGTCATCGGACTCGTTGGGGGCAAAACCGGTCTCCGTCAAACCAACAGCTGTTCTCCCCCTTCTCCGGGGTCCCAGGGCCTCAGGGGATAAGAATAGCTCTCCAGGTCATACCGGACGAGCGATATGGGTCATCATAAGAAGAGAGGCGTGCGTAAGATCGGCTCCATTGTGTCAGTACCCAGGGAAACGCAAGAGCTTCCAGACCGCCGGTGGAATCCACCACAGCTTTGCGAATGGCGGTAAATTTCTGGTAAGAAACTGTAGTCATGGTGGTGGAGCAGCGCTAGACTGGGGGGGGACGGGGGTGGACAGGGGTGGACATTGGGGGCTCCACTAGGCGCCCAACGGCGTGCCTTGGCCGTGTTGCGGGCGGGGCACGCGGGCAACGCACGAGATCACTGGCCGAGAGCCGGTCAAGAGAGTGATCGTGGTCGTTCTGAATAGGATTGCACGCGGAGAGTTGAGGTCGAAGTCCCGTGAGCGGGAAAAGGAATAGGCAAGGATAGAAGCGGGAAGATAAGATCCGAGGATACACGCCTCGACGAGGTCCAGAATATTACGGAGTACTTGTACAGTACATGATTTACGGTATTCGATCCGGCATCGGTTCTCGTACGTTCAGTCCTCTACGCTCTACTCATATTCGAAATATACTGTGATCGGGGCGAGTGGCTAACAAGTTTAATTTGAAGCTGCTCCTTTTTTTTTTTTTTTTCTTTCCTTTGTTACTTTTTTTTTCGTTATTTATTGATTTTTATTATTGTTATTATTTTCCAGGAAGAATGTCTCTTGGTTTTGTATGAAATCGCTCGCTAAACGCCAAATGGTCCTTGAAGAGAGGAGGGTGGATATCCAACTGGAGACCTAATTTCCAACGATGTCGGCAACGGGCGGATCTCCCCAAGCCCAAGGCCCGGGTGGGGGAAGAGGCCTAGGACCGTTTCGGACCGTGGGCACCGGCACAATTGGGGGAAATTGGGAAAGACCAGAAGTGGCTTTGTGTGACGTCCCCGCCGCGGGCTGAGAGCGCCCACAAGATCAAGGCCGGTAACGAGGTACCAGGTACCACGGCCTTCGGGGGCGGTTTGCCTTTAGGTACGTATAGAAGCCGTCGTTATAGGTACCAATTATAGAAAAAGAAAAAAGTGAGGTCACTCTATAATGCCAGGGACTTAAGACTCTGTACGACTACCAGAACCTATTCCAGGAATTACCAATCTACCCAGCTATCTAGCCACTGTATCTCGTTGGATACGAGACTGGGGGGGCGTATCGACTACCCATCGGGGATGTGTCGTGCATAGGGCCAGCAGGTATCAGGTACCCGTGCGACGGTTGCCCCCTTTTCCCCATCTGATATTGACAATCGTGCGGGTACTGCAGATAGTTTGTCGAAGGTTGACGGTATGTGGGCTGGCTCTATGGGATAGATTGCACATGCAGATTGGCTCGCTGTGGGCTGTTCCTGATGGTTCCTGGCCCCTGGTGCATGATGAATGGTCCTTGCCTGATGAGGAGTGGAGCGTGTAAGGCGAGTTCCATGGGAATCAAGGAATGCCAGGTGGGTTTATTTTTAGGGGGGCGGCAAGTGTCGACACGAGGGACAGGCATGATCAACAGTCGAGAGCGTAGGTTTCAATAGGTTTCAATAGCCAGGCATTATGTAGTCAATATCGTGTTAGGAGTGTTTGGGGGCGCGGGGGGAGGGGGGGCAAGGGTCAAATATGAGAACTGAGAAGGAGAGATCTATAGATCGATCGCAACGAGAGAAATCATATGAGCGCGATCCAAGGGAACTTCCCGACCGCCACTGTTTGGTGTATTTTTATTTTTATTTTTATTTTTTTATTTTTTTGACCTCTGTGTTTTGCTAATTTTGGGGCTGGTTGGCGGCTGTTATGGTCTGGACACTCGTCCAGTGAATGAAAAATACCAGTGTCCCCAAATTCCGCTGAAAATAACTGCCAATTATTCCCATCCAATTCCAATTCCAGAGTAATTATTATTCCGAACCAACTCGGTCTCGCCCTGCCTCCCTTTCCTCTTTCTCTTCCTTTCCCTCTCTTCTCGCTCTTCTCTTCTTTTCTGCTTCCTCTTCCCTCTTCCTTCTCTTTCCTCTCCCTTCCTTTGCTTTCCCTTGGCTGCCTTTGACTGGTCTGCGCCACCCAGACTGTCCGCTCGCTCCCCAGATTTCTTCTCCCCCTACCTTCTCTCGTCCGATCGCTGCCTCTTTCACGGGACCCCAAACCCAACCTAAACCCACCGATGACGACGGTGGCCCGAGGACTATTTGCTCCGCCCGTCCCCCCCATCGTGCACCTGCGACCGTGGATTTTTCTTTCCTTTTTTCCTTTTCTTTTTTCCTCTTCGAAGAAGGACCCACTTTCTCGATAGCTCAATAAAAAGACCGCTTGTCCTCGATGCCCGCTCGCCCGCGAAACCACTTCGACCGACCCTGTGACCACTGACTCACCACACTGGGGAGCTCGAGGCACCGACGCCATGGCGATATGGCCATTCGGTCGTAAAAGCAAGCGCCACACCATCCAGGTGAGCGCCGACGAAGCCAACGTCCTCCAGCAGGCCTTGGAGCACGATCCGCCCGCCTTCCCCGAACCCACCTTGGGTCGCAAGCCCTCACGCCGGGCCTCCAAACGACAAAGCAATAAACGGCTGTCGCGCAGTGGTGATGGATCCGATAGCGCGCAGGGGTCGGGCCCTGCATCCTCGCACCGCCCAATCTCGTCGCTTGACCATCGTCGCCTGTCCGAGGCGGAGCGGGACCGTGCCGACCCGGACCAGGTCCCCCGACCATTATCGCGAACCGAATCGTTGTTGAAGAAGCACAGGCAGAACCAATCGCAGAACCAGAATGGACCGAACAAACTTCGCAAGAGCAAACGCCAGACAAATGAGATCCTGCGCGAGCGCGAAATCCGAATGTTATCGTCGACCCCAATCGATATTCCAGGCCGGTCCGTTGGCGTAGGCGACTATGTGGTGGAACATCGTCGACGGAGGGCCAACGGGCGACGCGCCGATCGGTACCTATCAGACATCAGCCTGTCGATTCGGGACTCGGCGGCATCCTCTATGTCGGATATCTCCGACCCATACACCTACAAGGTCAACGCGTTTGCAGCGCTGACACCACGACCAGTTGTACGATATGTGGAAACCCGCCGACTCCAGACGCCGCGAGGCCAAAATGCCTCGATGGGGTCCGGTCGACCAGATCGGAATATGCAAGAAGCGGAGGAAGATCTTTACTACTCCCGACGACGGGTGAACGAGCTTGCAGACTCGCTAGATGCGAGTACGCTGCGTGAGTTGCTCGATCGAGATCGCCGCCGTCGGGAGAAAAAGCAGATCGACGATCAAGAACACCTCCGACGCAAATTGCAAGAACGGGCAGATGCACAACAAGCGGAGGAAAATATCCAGGCAGCTGACGAGACCGTAGAACCGCCGCAGGCTCAACCGGAGGCTGCTCCTGTGGTGGCCCAGGTTACTGATGAACCAGAGCCCATGGATGACATTGCAGAAGAAAACCAGCCCGAAGAGCAAGCGCCCACGTCTGCGGCGCCGAAAGAACAAGCAGGATCATGGCTGCAGGTTGAGACCGGGGATGGTGAGCCTATGGAGCGTGAGTCTCTCGAGAGTGCCCATGTCATCGGCAACATTGATGATGGCTCTATTCGTGGACGCAAGTTGGCAGCGCGACCCAGCTTTGCCCCTTCACTTGAGATGGGTATGTCGCGAACAACCCTCTCGCCGTCCCACTCCTCGCTTCGACATGGGCTCAACAGTCCCAGCCAATCCCAGACTTTTGGCATGGGATCGACCTCGGACCTCTCTGAACGACGACCCTCTGATACTAGCGGCCGTCGCCCGAATACCATCACGTCCCTCTTCCGGCGTGGTTCTTCTCGCATCAAACGACGATACAAGGAACGCTTCCAGGACTCCAGTCCAGAAGTCTCGAATGCCTCACACGAGTCTTTTTACAAAATCCAAACCCAATCCTCACCTCCTGCACCTTCCGTCATCATCCCTCCCCGAACCTTTATTCCTACCGGCACCATCAATCGCCCCCAATCCAAGTTCACAGAACACTTTGGGGACGAGCCTCTTTCACCCCCCGACTCACGTCTTCAATCTCCTGACACACCTGATATACCTGAACAAGTGCCCGAGTCTTCCTTGGAGCATGAGGAGGGTACTTTCCTACATGATCGTGCTCCCAGCACCGGCATCGACATTGTGAATCCGCGTCGGCGTCGCCACCAGTCTTGGGGAGATGGCTTCGACGCCGAATCTGACAATCTTCCGCTTTCGCAGTCTTTGGCTTCTATCGACTCGGAAGGGTCATGGATGTCCGGTCAGATCTTCCGCCGCATGTCGCAGAAGAAACCTGGCAGTCCGGTCCGCTCCAACTTGGCTCCCTTTGGAGCCGCATCGATCGATGGCCCCGTCGAGGAACATGACGAACATGACGAAACACGTGACTCAGTAGACTCTCATGGTGCCACCAGCAACGTGGTGGGCGAGCCAGAGCTGGACAACGAATCAACTGGCAATGATGCCAGCAAGCCCGCTGAAACTTGGCATGGCGAAGTTGTCGGTCGTCGCCCGGTGCTGGTCAACCCTGTATCTCGCCCTAAGTCTGGTCAAGCCATTCTCAAGAACATCACAACACTATCCCCAATCGCTGGTGAGGAAGACTACATAACGGTGGACGAGACTGACCCTCCTGCCCCCCACCGAGTGGCCAGCATGCACGGAGTCATCAGCCATGTGGAACAAGATTGAATTTGAATCATCCCATCCCAAGTTTGGCCCTCCTCTCTTGGATATCCTCGATTTGTTCCTCGAATTTCCCAGCCCATCTACTCATACGTTCGATTTTGAGTTCTGGCCTTGAGTTCTTGGCTTTTGCGCTTGACCCCACTTGGCACGCTTCGTACATAGCACGCACGTTCCTTAGACCTTTCCTTTGTTTTTCTTTTGTCAAAGACCACCCCCCTTGTGATCTGCAGTGCAGCTATTGCCCCTCTGTACCACTGTGATGCTGGGTCCATCTATCTCTTCCCCATGTCCTCCCAAAATCTCCAACAATCTCCCCAATCTTCCCCAATCTTCCCCAATCTTCCCCAATCTTCCCCAATCTTCCCCAATCTTCCCCATTCCCCCTTTCAACCCAGATCACTCCTCCCTCGTCCATCCCCCCCCTTTCGACCTGCTGAGCCTGTCAATCTTCTAAGGTTGTGACCATTCGATTTGTTGATACCCCCCAGCTCCCATGTGTTTTTTTTTTTTCAGTTGCATGAATTCAATTCTCTGTGTGTCTATAGCCGAGAGTTTATACCATCTTCCTGCTTTATCATTGACTTTTCTCCCTATAGCTCTTTTCTTGTTGGCGCAGACAAACATAGGTTCTGTGCATGTGACACTAACTGGCAGTTCTTCGCTTCTATACAAACCCCGCAATGGACGGTTCTTCTTAATACCATATTCTTTCTCCTTGAAACCACTGGGCGATGAAACAGCGTTGTTAGATGTTCACCTGGCGCCTGAGCTTGCTTATGACTACCTTCTGGTTTTTTTCTTCTTGGCCATCGCGGCTGAGCAACGATACCCCCTTTACACGTACTGCTAGATACCGCATTTGATGATAATCTTTCATTCTCAGTCGATTGCCCCATGGATGTAGATTATATATGACAGAGGGAAGTGCAATGTAACTATAGAGCGTGGACTTTTACTCAAGATTTGAGATATAGTAGATGGCGTATCGTTCTATGCATCATGTCCCGCCTTATAAATCTCTAGTTGCCAAGTAGCACCATTTGTTTGCACACTCTCCACTCCATCGAATATTCTAAACCAACAGTAAATTCTCTTTAGTGAAGAGGTCCTTCCGAGATACAATCGGCGCTAACCAGATTTATATTTCACTCGATACGGTATTCTTCACAGACGAATGAGAAATTTGGCATCGAAAGTCTCTGAATATTCACTGCGGATGCCTTCATGCTGTGGACGAATACGGGGGCGGCTGCTCCAAGTCTTCAAATTCGGACATAGACAGTTCATAGCCTAGATGGCGTTTCAGAAGTTCGTGGGTGATAAACCGCTCTGGCGCATTGCCCTGAGCATCCACAAAAGACACATGATGATTCACATCGCTGATCCGCTGTAGCTCGTTCGCATGGCGGTGGTGATGGGGACATCCATCAACACCTATCAAGAAAATAGTGACATGCACCCATGACAGGCTAAGCAGATCCAATTCGAACTCATCCATGTCGGTTGCCTCGCCGTCCAGTAAGAGCAGGAGCCGTAGGATGGGCGTCTCTGGCCCGGCTTGCCATCCGTAGATGGGGTGGTAGGTAGCTGACGCGGAATGCTTCTGAAAATGAAGCTCTTTGACTTTCTGCCAGCCCGTCATCACTCTTGTCCCTCCACCGAAACGAATATTCCGCCATAATTCATCGAGATTCCGGTGGTTTGCGACGCCGACGTAGTTTGCGTAAGACGAGAAGGTTGTGAGCTGATAGCCTTGCCCATTATGGTCGTGATTGGCCATTGCATCCGTGAATCTGCGAATTATCGCCTTTGCGACGTCTATAACATCGGTTAGTACGCGGTATATATCCAGTGGACATTCGTCTCGCTTAGATGCCTCTGCATGTATTTCCGTATACCGACGGCCGTCTTGCACTATTATGAAAAAGGATAATGTATTGCTGACCTTTATTCTTTGGCTGGGTAGATGGTGAAAAGCCTGTTATCAAATACTGGACATAATTTGGCCGGACGGGATCGAAATCCATAGAGCCGGAAACATCCAATAAAATCATTGTATCATCAGCTGGAGTTTCAGGTCGATCGAAAGGTATAAATGGAGGCGGCATGACTTGTCTCGAGTATCCCTTGGAAGTATGTTGAACATGGCAGGTATCGTCAGCAGCGTAGTATGCCGGGGGAGGTTCGACCGCCGAGGCCATTCGGGCGCGGGCCATGTTCAGCGCCGAGATCATATCGGGCTTCAGTCTTGCTCCACCTCCTTCTCGATGATTTAGGACCCAATATAAGCGTTCCTCTGCTGTATCCTCAAATCCTCTCCACGTCGGGGTGATTCCTCTCCACCCGGCACGGGCTTCGATAGAAAATTTCAAAGGATTAGAAGCCAATGTGGCCCAGGCCACTGGGATTGGCTCAAAGTAGCCCGCACGAAGCAGGTGAAAATACTGGATCGGGAAACGGGCTCGAAGGTCTGCTATCTTTGAAGTCATGCCAACGTGTGCCTGGTAAGTTGCTACAATCTCTCGATCGTTCTGGTCCGGCCATCTACCGACCTCTTCCTGGAGGATTTGGGTTCGCAAATCAGTTGCATAGGCAATTTCCTTCTTTGATTTCATCACGGCCCTTTCCTGGGAAGATTTGATTGAAAGAGCCCTCTTCAGGCCCGATAGCTTGGAGGGGCCGGCTATTGTCGCATTCGACATCGCCGTTACTAGCTGATCCATTTCCCAGATATTGAACTTTGGTTCTTGGGCATTGATTGAAGCTTGTGCCTTTACATTGAGCGCCGCGTTCAATTCTATCGTCTGATGCACCGATCTAGCATGATAGTGCGGGTCTGGTCGCAGAATTGAAGAAATTGAAAATTGACTGAGTCCATAAGGGGACGTAATCGCGTACAAATAGGGATTGCTGGTAAAGATGGGATTCTGGTAGCAATCGTGATACACCTTTTCTCCAGGATACATGACAGCCTTGCACCACATGGCATGGACGCCGAGGCGATTCATTTTTCGTGCCTTGTACTGGTGAATTTGGCAGGAGCAGTAAAAGTCTGTATCATGCTCGGGCTCAATTTCCGAATTATAAATGAGAAACTGCAGCTGGACTGTTTGCAGCATGTTCTGCATTTCCTGCTCATCTCGGGCCCGGACGAGCTCGGCTTGGATTAGAGCATTCATATGAGGCCGTCGCGGGGCGCTGTTCATTGTTGCCGGAGGGACTGGCGCAATCCCCGGCTTCTGGGGCTTTAAATCATTATTCTTCACAGAGGTATGCGAATACCTGTCTGGATTCTCATAGAATCGATCCACGGCTTCATTGAGGGTGTTTGCATTCTTTCAGACCAAGTTAGTGAGCAACCTGATATGCAGACGATCAGGAGATCAGGGACATGGTAAAAGGTACCTCGAGGAACATGAAGGCAGTCCCCTCTTCGCAGCCTGGGGTAAATGCTAGAAACTCGGCTATATTCTCCTTCGAAGGCTGCATAGTGGGCTCAACGTGGTATCCTACGGTATCTTATCGCGTCTTATTGAATGATAGGGGACGTAATGGACATCAATTCGGACATCTGAACATTTGCCAAGCTAAGAGTGACAGGCGGATTGATGGCTTCTCTTTCTATAGAGAAAAATATTAAGAGAAAGCATCCTGCGCAGCGGAGAATGGCGCAGCAGGTGATGACGCATGTTTCTAACGCCTCATGGGCTCAAAAGAGGAAAAGGGGCTAAGGGGAACAGTGAACGATAAGCTTTCGTCCGGCTAAGTCGGAGTCCAGAGTCTGAATGAATGCTTGCCGGGTACTTTTCATGATTGGTGGAAGACCGGAAATCCCTCGAACCCCATACTCTAGAGAAGTACAGTCACATGACCTCCTTTGAGCATGAAGCCGCGCAGGACGAACGACGAGGGTTGTGGTGGATCGCGTACATAAATTCCGGGTTTTTTTTAAGGTCGATTTTATCATTCGAGCTCGGATTGACCTATGCGACACGATGCGCCTGGACCCAGAACTCTTGTGTTTCATTGGACTAACTTGTAGTACTACTAATAGAGTAGATACGGGGTGATTACTGATCATACTATGTCGACTCCGAATCCAGAACCGAGGTGTTTTCTAGTTCTTAGAATCTACCACGACCGTGTACAGGAATATCGAGCATCCTCTATTCATCCCCAAGGACCCTCCAGTCAAATCTTACAGCATATTGCCCGTCCATGTCTCCACAAGTCTCCGCCTCTCCAGCCACATCGACCGGAATACCGACTCCACGTCAAGGGCCGAGTCCAGTCCGAACAGAATCGGATATCCCCGCGCACATTGTTTCAATGGGCATGGGTTCTGGAACATCTCCCAAAGATGGGTTGGAAGATGAAACACCTCCTAGGGCACATGGACTCCAGGCCAAGAACGAGAAACAGCCAAAAATAGCAAGAAGCAGAGGTGGTTCATCCAACCAAGCAGCGAAGGAGGTGAGACAGGTCTATCTTGCTCGACTGGTAGCGTCTCACTGACACCCACTTAAGCGACGCCGCAAGCAAATTCGACTGGCGCAAAGGGCCTATCGGCTTCGGAATGTGACCAACATTGAACGCTTGAAAGGCCGGATTGTTCAGCTGGAGGCAGCTGTCCGCAAAATGAGCGATTCGGTAACCTCTTTCTGCGATTCCACTCTCCAGTCAGGTGATTTAGCCGCACAGCCTGATTTGACGATTCGCCTGCATGAAATGCTAGAGATATGTCTCGCTTCGGCTGTGGATGCTGGCTGCGAGTCGGAGGCCAAGTCCTCAGACTTGCATCAGCAGCAAGATGCTCCACTCTCTCACTCTCCCTCACAAACAGAATATACTCCAGATGATTTTCCAGCGATGCAGGCGGCAACTCAAGAGCCTTCTGTCAGACACCCTTTGATCGGGCGTCAGTTGGTATTCTACCCCAAATATGTGCTCGGCACCTCGCCCTTATATTCTTACGACAGGGATTCTGTGGATTTGTGGACATTTACGCAGCAGGTGAGGCTAGCATGTATATATAACGCTCTACTAAGGCTCGATAACTCCTCTATTCCGTTAAATGCTCTGCAACGGCCATTTCGACTTCTCTTGTCTCTTATGGACAGGGAGAGAATTACTGCCATGTTGAAATATGTATTTCAGGCCAGACTTCATGGACAAGAGCCAGATCTTCTTAATGAACTTCCCTTGCTACCACTTGGTGGTGCGGGAACCCATTATCCTCGGAATTTGACGATGACCCAGGCATTTGAAGGTCAACCTTCTTGGAGGGAGTGGGGCATGATTGATGCCTCTCCATATATACCGCCGGAGAATGAAAATTTTTTGGCGGGAGAATGGTTTGATATTCAAGATCTGTTGGGTTATTTGGTGGAAAAAGGCGTGCGATTGCTGCTAGCGCCTCCTGCAGACTCAGAAGCAAGCTCTCAAATATATGCTGTCAACCCAATATCATTTCTCGGAGGTAAGGCTTCAATTCTATTATCTGCTGTTTCGGTCCTGACCATTTGAAGCGCTAGTTTCCCGGGCAATCTGTCTAGGTCAGAGTCCGGGTTTCTCTAGTAGCGATGTAAGAAATTCCCTGGCTAACGCTGCTTGGTGAGGTGTATTCGGGAGTCAGTCATCCTTTACGAACTATTCCATGAGAAATGAAGTTAATTTAGCATGCAATAAATCATGCATCTTCTTTGATAAAATAATTTGTTACATCGACACTCATTTTCAATAGCTAGCCATTTCAATTGTTGATAAAACTTGATATGCTGCGAGACTTGCAATCTCAACAAGGACAGCCCAGGAAAACGTAATAAGTACTAGATCCTCGGGATCTCTATTAGTATAAGATATCATAAGTAATGTGTATTTTCCTGTACTAAAAATGTGCTTTTTCTCGAAATTGAGTATATACAGACATTTTAGGTTCAGGTACTAGGAGTATGCTGCTATTGCCCCCTGAGAATTGCGTGGGGGTTTATACGATTCGGATAGAGGGTCTGCATCTTCGACCAAAGCTCTTCCCAATTTGAACAGGTTTGAATCGCCAGCTCGAAATCCAAGATATACTTCCGAGTCTTCTGAAGATTAAACATTCCATCCACGGTCCCTGCCTGCTTATGACCTGCGATGACGGTATGAGGCTGAAGAGACTCAATCGTATCCAGCGCACGAAGCCACTCCTGTCTCTTTTCTGTCGTATTTGCTTCTCCGAAGAACTGGTGAACATCTCCATAAACCGCATCCCCTGCCACCACGAGTTTTATACTAGGCACGTAAAGTACTGTCGTGTTATAGGTATCTGTGTGTCCAACCTCGACTGCACGGAATTCATGGCCCTCTAGGTGGAATATAGGCGATTCCAGTGCTTCAGCAAGCTCCGGGTTCAATGGAATCTGATCACCAGGAAATAAAGTCCGCCATATGCCGTCAAGGATATCCGGTTTGAGTTGATCATGCATGCTTTCGACGGTACCAGGAGTAGCAACAGCACGTAAGGATGGCCAATGCTTGCGTAGGACGGATATTCCAAACCAGTGATCACCGTGGCCGTGAGTGATATAAACATATCGAAGGTCTTTCTGGGGGGCCGATTCTTTGATCCATCGTACAAGATCCTCGGTTTGAGAAATCGAGATTGGTGTATCTACCAGTACAGCTTCAGAGATGCCATGGATTAAGGTACAACTGATAGGTGAAAATTGACTTGACTCCCCAGCTCGCTGAATAGCCAAGGGGAGCCTAGAAGACACATAAACATCGGCCTGGAGGATAGAAGACATTTGAAAGATGATGAACCCATGAATTTCCCTCCGTTACAGAGTCGAGCTTAGGAAATCCGGACTTCATTTCTTTTTAAGAATTTACTCACTTTTAACTCTGATCGGAACCGAGGGCCTATTGATGAAAAATCTACTTGAATACGTTATCAGCGAAGACGGGCAGTATGGCAGCTAGAGCACATGAAGACAAAAGGACAAGATGATCACTCATCAGTTGAGTAAATCAAATGACACACGACGGCTTTTCTTGTGCGACTTTTATTTTTTGTTTCCTTTCAGTTTGAACTTCTAATTACTAGAAGAGCGTCTTTAAGCCAACTCGAAATTTGGACAGAAGCGGTCGTGTTTAGTGTGGCATGGCTCTGGTATACCTGGTAGCCACGGCGGAGTGGAGGAATCCAGGTTTAGGACTCGGGGACCTTTTTATGAGATGAAAAACGTCCCGCTGGGCGTGTCTCACTACGCACTGCACTAGTATGTCTGGACATGCGAGATCGTGAAGAGAAAATGAGCACTTTCAGAGGTACTGTATGTTGCCCCTTATACCCCAGATTCCATGGAGAAATCCAGCACTGATCCTACAAACCCCGCAATGATGAATTTTCCTGCTCCCATTCTAGTCACGATGACTAGCAGCCATAAATTTACCGTCTTTCATTCTTGTAGAGTGACTTCTGCCAGCCCGACGTTCAGAGGTGTTTGAACGGCACCGAGCCCGCCAAGCTCCGTCAGGTCAAGGTCAGGTATGATCTGAACGGTTTCTCCTACGCCAAGACCACCGTTGGATCAGAGGCATGGGATTTGCGCGAAGACTAGCACTTGTGCAAGTCCAGCGAGTGGAACTCCATCTCGGTCGAATTTAGGAATGTATATGACTTAAACGTGCCCCGGTCAGCTTCGGATGAGCGATATGCCTTGCGAGGCAACATAAGTATTTGATTATTTGTTAGTCGATGCTCGTTTTGTAATTCAATAAAGAGAAAAATGTCCTGACAAAGTTTATTTGTGTTTCATCCTTTTAATGATTATGAGATCTATCCCACCGTTATTGAACCTTCTAATAAATTACCCAAGTAGTCTCGCTTTGGATAGACATTTTGGACTCAAATAGCATGAATTCCTTTGAGGACTTTTTCCAGTAAAATTCAAATAAACCATTCGGTTTTTCGAACTGAGAAGAACTCACATCACAAGGATTCGGAAAGATGCTTGGTCTCGAAGGATCAGTGATCAAACCGAGCACCTGTGTTACCTATAACCTCCACATGAAGAGTGTATGACAATAATTCAGTAGCGAATAGGAAAACTGCCCGGTGAAATAGCTCCCATATGAAGAGAGAAAAATCGTGTAATCAGTCCGATTTCTCAAAAATATGTCTTTTCTCGGCTCACAGAGATTGACCTCGCTTCAACATTTAGATTCAGAGCTTCTTTAAATATTGAAAAGTGATACCGGACCCTCAGAGACCATTAAAACTTTCTTTCAGATCCTTTTTTGAGCCTGAATTCCACATTATGCCCCGTTGGACTTTTGAACTTTCTCCAGACATTCTTTCCAGAGCGGAGAAATCGGCCCTTGCTCGTCAGATCACCGAGACCTATGTCGAAATCGGAATCCCGGCCTTCCTCGTCAACGTGTTCTTCCATGAACTTCCAGTGGGCTGCTTCTATAGTGGTGGCCAAGCGTCACCCCCCGCCATCTTTTTTCACATCGATCACGCCGCGAGTGGGTTCAACTCCGAGGAGCAACGTTTGCTTTTCATTGCTCGAGTAAACAATATTGTGCGACCTGTTCTTCAACCGAAGGATATAAAATGGGAATATAATATCTACGAACATCCTAGAGATAATTGGAGGGTCAACGGACTTATACCACCAATCGAACACCCAGAGGTTTGGAAAGAGTGGGTCGACAAGAATGAAGCAGTGCTGTATGATGAGAGTCAAGAGAAGTCGACGGATGAAGTGGTCAAACTGAGAATTCTATCGGACAAAGAAGTGTGAACAGATATTTTCATATTTATATCAGCTCTTCCTTCGCGATATCGAGAAGCTACTGTAGGATGAGACTTGAAAGATTATCTTTACTATAGAGTCTATCGATAACCTAATTTATAGGGCTATTAATAGTAGGTGAATAAAAGAGTAGGATAAACCCTTGTTTTCCCCCCTATAATATTGATCAAAGTACTTTGATAGATTTTAAAGAGATACTAAGATAATTTAGTGGGCAAGGAGGGAGCTAGGAACGAGGTATCAGTTGTTTGTGCCGGATCCGCAGTATGTCTGTCCGTATAGAGATGTGGCAGTGGAAATAATTGTTCGAAAAGGGTTGGAAATCGAGAGAATTGCGTATCAATAATACACACGTGGATAATGGTGTACAAATAGCGATTGTAGTCCTCTCATTGACTCACAAAGCCCGACAGAATCTGCATTATCTCGACATTCCTCACAGTACACTACCAGGGACCGAGATAGTCTAATCGCGCAGATCCAGAACACTTCGGATTCGTAAGCAACTCGGGGTTTGAATCACGTCATCCGATACTGCCCAGCCTGACCGCCCGACCTCCCTTCTGCCTCGACCTCCAAACTGCTTGCCATTGGACACGGCGCGCTAGCAGAACAGCCCAGTCACGCCTGACAAATCCATCATGCTGCTTGTAAGTGTACTGCCCATTCTGCTCTTGGCCACGATCGCCCTGGGCGCTGCTGGAGGTTTCGGGAGCCGCTGAATAAAGCTCAGGCTTGCCTCCTTACCTAAGCTGTCAGGCCGATTCCCGTCCGAAACGTCATCGCCCTATAAAACCCAGCAGCCCCTCAATGGGTGCCCCTCCTTGAATTTTAAAGATCGCGTATTCACCTTCCCATTTTTTTTCGTCTTCTAGAAACCTTCTCCTTTCCGCCTCACTCGTCTTCTGACACCCATCTCTCGAGTCTCGCCGCTTCAGCGTACTCCTCAATTCATTCCACACTTCCGCGCTTTTTCCTCCACCCCGATCCCGCACTTCTCCCGATCAACCTTCAAAATGGGCGGCAAGGTCATTGAAATCACTACGTACGTTCAGGCCTCCTGTTTCTTAACCCCGTATTTCATTGCGAGCCTACCCTCCATCTCTCCTTCCACCCTTTTTGTCATATCTCATTTGGCCCTCACTAACCGCGTTTTTCTATGTCTAGTCCTGAGGAGTGGGACGAGCTTGTCAAGAACTCCACTGACAACATTGTCGTTGACTTCCACGCTACCTGGTGCGGTCCCTGCAAGGCCATTGCTCCCGCTATTGAGAAGGCCAGCGAGGAGGAGGCGAACGAGAACGTCAAGTTCTACAAGGTCGACGTCGACCAGCTCGCCGGGGTCGCTGCCGACAACGGCATCTCCGCCATGCCCACCTTCCTCTTCTTCAAGAACGGCGAGAAGGTCGAGACCGTCCGTGGCGCCAACCCCCCAGCCATCCAGGCTGGCATTCAGCTGGTTGCTGCCTAGATAAATTTCATCACCGAGTGTTCGATAAATCTTCTTTTTAATTTGCGCGAATATCAATGTGGGTCGCTCGACTCCAAGAGACTCTGTTACATTTCCGTACTCGGGGCTATCCTCGTTGCTCTAGAATTTTCCTCAATTGAATTCCTTCTTTGGTCATGATGACGGACTGGATATCCATTATACTTTGTTTTAGGTAGGGCGGGAGAGCATGTCTGCTTCGAAGTCGATACTTTGTGCGCGTGCTGTAGGTAGCAAGGAAGAAAGTTTGTATATGATCCGGTACAGATAGAATGCGGGCGCGGGAGAGGGCCAAGATCATATCGTCGTCATTATCCTCGTAATCACCGTCGTCATCATACAGATGTTTTGCGGATGATGGCTTGTATTCGGCGTGCAGACACCAAGCAAGCTTGCTTGTTGTAAAGCGGTCCCCTGCAATTAGCTCCGGGGCATGGTATTCTCCGGTTGAGATCACAATAAGTGTCAAATGTCTTGAGGGGGCCATATTTGTCCAGGACCATGCGGGTGTGAAGGCATCGAGCATTGAAAGTGAGGTGTCTCTCGCATTTCGCTTACGATGGCCATAAATGGACGTCTGGTTTTCTGGACTGAGACTCGGATCGTCCGATAGGGTTCACTGGCATAGTCCGATGTCTGTGTAGATTACGTTGGCCAGAAAATATACTGCGAGGAGTATGAACACTCCTTGTGGCGTTTGTAGATTTGGGAATGTGCCTCGTAGGCTTCCGAAGCGATCTATGTGACGGATTGTGAACCTTGCAAAAAGGATATTTTGAACATTCATCATCTGCCAAGACGAGAGATGTTGTCCACAGAGCTTACTCGATAGCTTCCAGGTTATACTTCGCGGAAGAATGCCCTTGATCCGGAATTCTTTGATTCGGTTGATCGGACTGGTAGACGCATCGTGAGACCGGCTATCTACCGAACGAAAGCATAAGCCGTTTCTGAAGCAACCAGATACCCCCCCCCCCCCTCCCCCAAAGCCCAAATGCCCAACAAGCCGGAGGTGACAAGCCTGAAGCAGGATCCCTCGGATCTGGCCGAGAATGGGTTGTATGGAGAATGGGGGATAGGGAATGGAGTGCCAGGGGGGCCAGCGCTACCGCTGCTCTGTCACTTGCGCCACGGCTGGATTATTTTAGTCCCGACGACGAACGACTCGTCAAGTTTGATTCACGAACCTCCTCCACCATCGACTGTGGCTGCATGAATAGAATGCTGACAGTTTGCTGCCGCAGTTCTGGGTTTCCCATGCAGAAGCTCCAAAACGTCCCAGAATTGATCGCATCGGGGTGCTCATGCTGCAGCGAGGCGTGGTTTGCCTCTCACGAGCCCGGAGAATTTGAGACACCTCGATGATGGACCCTCAAGCCCCTTCCACCCCCTTCAGCCTATTCTGTATGCCATTTGCCATGCGATTGACAGCCGCTGTCCTTTCGTGCGACTCATCACCCGGTTCTCCTTGATTCCCCACCCAACCGTTTTGCCGAGATCTTCTACGAGAACCTCTACGTATCGACCTAAGAGGTGGCGGCACTCCCTGTTCCCCGTGAGCCCTTTGCAGCAATCTGCAGATTCGGCGTCACCAGCAGGAACCACCGATTTTGGCAGCGAATCCAGCATGCGGACGCAGAACATGTCCGATAAGCCGACAGGCTGAGGCGGGCTTGGGTGGGGTTTTTTTGGCTGGGGCCGAGCCAGCAGAAGAAAGCATGGAAAAGGCAGCCCATCTACTCATCTATCATCTGAGCATCTAGTTTGGGTGGGCGCCGCGGGGACACCGGTTGCGATGGATCAGATCCGATCGATCCATGTTTGTCGTGTTGTCCCTGTGGGCAGTGGAACGGACCGAGCGAACAAACCAGGAAAGCAACGCCGGACTATCGGTTTGGCCAGCCATGGAAAGCAGGAAAAAAAAACAAAGAGAAAATAATCAACCATACACTCCGGCCCTCCGATCCTCCGACCCTCATCGTGCACGGTGGACGCCAGCGAGATCAGACCGATCCAGGTCGGGGGCTCCGGAAGAATTCAGTGTCGGTTGGACCCAAACCACAAGATTATTATGGATATTATCGATATTATGGAAATTATGGATATTAAAATGGATGCTGGAGTAATATAGCCTACAGTTGATTGTTAATCTGCGTGCCGTGTTGAGCTGGGAAACCCCTGCGCCACCGAGACTGGCCCTATTGCGCGTGAAGAGGGGGGCGATTCAGCCAGTGCTGTTGATCTCAAGCCAGTGAAATCTGCAGAGGAAGGTAGATTAATTGCGCCATGAATGATTGCGGGAGTCCCAGCGCTCTGTCTCCCAAGCAGGTCTGCGCCGAGGCTCATCCGGGTTTCATGCGGCTCTGGGGGCCGCGACACCGTCGCTTGGGCGAATCATTCGGGTGTTCATTGAGGGGCGCCTTCGGTTCGAACAGACCCTCGTCCGACTGATCTCGGCTGTGATCCGTAGTGACTGGCCTTGCGACCGTTCGGGTTCCTTCCCTTGCCTTTCCTATCCATGACTTGGTAGCCGCCGGGTGGGCTCTGGCGCTCCTCTGCGATGTGGTTGACAGTGTGATTGATCGCCAACGGATTCTGAGCGTGCAGATCCGGAAGCAAGAGACACAGAAGATCCAACGAGTGCGCGGCGTGCGGCGTGCCCCTCTCGCCCATGCATGGACTTGGAGGAAGATGCGCGTTCGAGGTGCTCATTTGACCCTGCCCGGGGGCCACAGAGGGGAGGCCCGTGGGGCGCGATGCACCATCAACCGGCTCAGCCGAACGAACACTGGTGCTTTACTTTTTTGGGCTTTGGGTGTGCCTCCGACCACCGCGTCCCAATCCCGGTGCATTGATACGATCCAGCGCTAGCGATAGCGACATACTCTTCTCTTGGGACCTGCTGCATATTCTGCATCGTCGACACCGTTCGAACATTGCTTCGAGTCGAATCGTACTGGAGAAATTCAAAGAACCACACAGTCTTCGGAGACCCGATGCGCACGATTTCAGGCGCATTCAATGCAGCGTCAGGATCACACTCGGGGGCTTCACGAGGGAAATTGGTGATTTTAAGTTCACCGCGAATGCAACAATCACATTATCGCGTCAGCCACGGTCATCTTCCTCGCACCATTTCTCCGACGGGATTGGTGTTAAGCCCCCAAGCAATATGGGGCGTGCTTCTGATACGCCTAGTGCGCGAGCCCCGCCCCATAGTTCTTTGCCCGCTTCGATCCGATCTAGATCTGTTTCCAGTGCCGGAGACGCGATCAGTTCGTACAATTCGTGGCACGAAAGTGCTAGCCGAACACGACAAGAACAAAAATACAAATACAAATACAAATACAAATACAAATAAAAATCAAACACAACTAACCGAGGAAGAGGAATCAAAGAGAAAGCAAAGAAAGCGAAAGTCAATTGCTCCACCGAACCTACCTCGGCGGTCTCGTAGGGCTTGCGGGGATGGCCATCGAGGATCGCTCGAATCGTCGTGCTCGCTTGAAAAGTCCACCTTGTCGTGGACCTGCCCAATTACCCCGTTCCACCCTGCCCTTTCTCGCGGCATCGTTGACATCGGAAATCGGAGTAGGCCCTAGGGACCCATGTGGCCCATGCGACCCACGGTGGTCCGTGACGCTGGATCATATCGATCAATCTGAAACCTTTTCTTTTTTCTCTCCACTCAGCCTTTGTGATGCCTTGGGGAGGGCCACGATATTGGGTGGATGACCACGCGAAACCAACCAACATCGAGCCGATGCGGTGCAAGCGGCCCAGTGGAGCCCAGACGTCTGAGCTGACTAGTTTGGATCGCTGGATTCATCGCCCTCGCCTAGTCCATGTCCATGATGCACGCCACCGGAGCTAGGTTCGTAGGCTGCTTGCCTTTTCGGCGCCAGTCTGACCCTGGCCCAGTCCCGCGGGGGTGGATTCTGGATGATTCAGAGCAAGCAGCTAGCTGGCTGGTCGTGGCTGTCAATATCCAGATTATAAGACCCGAGCCGTGGCCACTGGCCTGTCAACGCTCGATTCGTCTCTGGCCGTGACGATTTGATGCTGCGTTGGAGATCCCAGTCCATGATCGCCATTCCTTGGATCTAACATATTGTGATCCACAGACTTCCTTGGTCGGCCCCAGGCGCATTCCTCATTTCGATCTTCATACTCCTCCTGCTTGACTTCGTTGGTTCTCGAATCTCCATGTTTTGCTCCCGTTGAATTCACCTATCTCGACACCAGCATTATACCCCGCGCTATTTCTCTCCTTCCCTGTCACCACAATAATCACGGTAGAGATACCAATGCGCGCCTCGTAGCTCCTTTCTATTATCCTTGATTCCTCACATACTTCACCATGGCGAGTGCGGGCACTCCAGATAAGGGCCTCGTGCACGTCACCTACTTGGCCGGATATATTTTTCTGTCATACGTGATCAGCTCGATGGGATGTGCGACGACATTGGAATTACTGCATCGGAGGACATCGCGGTCCGGCTTCTACAACTGGTATGAATCGGAACCTTCCCACATGCGTATACTACGCACCTGAAACGACCTGGTCCACCCAAAATGACTAACTTCGACCTGCCAAGGTACCTGCTCCTCACGTCATCAATCACCATGGGTGGAATTGGCATCTGGTGTATGCATTTTATCGGGAACCGTGCCATCGTCCTCGGCAACGGTGAAAACGAGCTTCAGATCTTATACAACGTCGCATTCACCGGCACATCATTTGTGCTACCGGTGGTCGTCTTGCTTGCTGCGTTCTACTCCGTCGGCGTCGAGGAAAAAGCAGGATATTTGCGCATCTTGATCGGTGGACTGCTCACAGGAAGCTCAGTGTGTGGGATGCATTACGTGGGCCAACTGGGCATTGCCAACTATAAATGTTCCTACCAGGTCGCCAATGTTGTCGGGTCCGCCATCATCGCTATCTTCTCTAGCACCGCCGCCCTGACTATCTTCTTTCGTTGGCGAGCTACGTGGACCGATAGTTGGTGGCGGCGAGTGATCTGTGCTTGTTTTCTGTCTGCGGCCGTCTCGGGGATGCACTGGACCGCAGCTGTGGGCACTTCCTATCGCGAACGCGACAAGTCGATTACACATGGGACTCAGCTTTCTCGAAGCCAGGTAGTGATTATTTGCGCAGTGTTGGTAGGTTCTACATGATCTCTTTTTGTGGGTTTGGAATTTGAGGACGGATCTTCGGATTAGCGCACAAGGAGGATGGATGTCTCAAACTGACACAACCTTAGGCCTGCGTATCGTGTGTAATCTTGTCTGCATGTGCCATTGTGGCAGGCGGCAATCGACGACGCTCGACGACTCGTGCTCATCAGCTGGTCCTTGCTTGTGCGTATTTCGACCCAGCTGGGCGAGTGATGGTGTCGCCCCAGGCCCTGCTGCCGATGCGTAAGATCGTGGACCATTATATCGGCCGTGTACGTTTGCCTGTGCTCATCCAGCGACCCTGAATTGATACTAATCGCGTTATTTGGTACAGACGTTCAAAGATGACGACCTCACCCGCACTCATCCAACCTTCCTTTGGGCCTTCAGAGCAAGCCGAAATTGGCCCGTCGTCAAAGACCTCATTCCATTCATGCGTAACCGTCTCGAATCGGAGCAGAATGCCATACAGAAACATGTGCTATCGCGTGGAGTAGTCATGGACAAAGAAACCGAGCTACAGACCGATTTTGATACACTCTTCAAGCAGCTTTTCTGCGTTTCAGCGCAGGAACTTGCAAGCGAGCTCCGACAGCCGCTATCCGACCTAGGTACCTTATACGACAACGTCCTTGCAACTGCAATCCCTGTTTCCCGGCTCTCCCGTGCAATGGGCCGCTCATCGCTGAGGACTGGTAAGGGCCAGCTGATCTTTAGTGTCCGCCAACTCCAGAAACAAGAGGCGACCCGGTTGTCGTCCATGGGCTTCCGCTTTGCAACTATCGAGCATGTCACATCAACCCTCTCTCGACGTATTCACGTCCCTGCCGCGAATCTACTAGATCACCTCCGCGATATGCGTGACTATGCGACATCAAACCGTACTTTTGAAGAAGGCGTGCATCTCATCTCCTTCGTAATGCGGCCAACGGTCCAAGATCACTTTGAGATCCTCACAACTAAAGGCATTGCAAACCCGCTGCCATCCTCAACTCTCCCCTTGAAACGCCTCTCTGTCCAGCATCTCGATCTCATTTCCCACATGGAGGGATGGTCCATGACCACCTGTTTGAAGTACCTGCAATCAAAAGCTGCGATGCAAGCCGACCACACCATTGATGAATTCCGCGTGCACCTGATATCCGGCATCTCCTCACTCTCCAAATCCCTCTCCGACGAAATCCGCTCCGCCGCGCGCTTCTCTTCTCGGCCACTTCTTGCTCCATGCCGCAATTCATCTCGCCTCTCCGGAGAAGCCCAGCCGTCAGCACAGTGCACATTGCTCACGTTCGTCGTCGTCGGCACCCTCGATACCCAACCCCCTTCCCCAGATTTCCACTTCACGCCCTTCCGTCTCTTTCGCGTCCAGCAACAAGTAAACGACACCATAGCTGACCGTGACGGATTTGCCCGTGAATTAAGCGAAGAGCTCTTCTGCACTGATGTTCGCTCCGGCTCCTCTGCCACAGACTCGGACATCATGTCGACCACCAAATCAGCCATCCTCCGGCTGTGGCCCTCGCGCAAGCCTACCGCTTCGCTGCCGTCTGCCAACTCCCAGGAGGATCTTTTCACGCCTAGTGCGACGGTTTTCGGTGATATTACGGTACAGAAAGAGGTCCGTGTCGATGTGACCCGGCTCGCCGAGGATGCCACTCGAAATACCGTCCATACCCACGACGCGGTGATCGCCGCGGGTGATGCCGCCGCTACGCCTACGACCTATGTGGATGAATTGTACAGTCTCTGCTACGCTCCTGGAATCCGCCTGCGTCCAGATTCCTCACTCCACGCCCCGCGAAAATCGGAAATGTCCTGAGGATATCTCAATTTCTGAGAGGCCACTTGCATCTTTCTCATTTTGAATTTCTATTTTTATTTCCCCATGATTAGCAGGCGCTGGATTGATTGAATGGGACAAAAAATGAATATATCAACTGGTGTCTTTTTGGGTTTGGGTCTGATTTGCATGTTGTTTCTACGTTGCCATCCCTACTGCGCTCGTGTTGGACCGAGCCTGCTCTGTTCAATTTCGCGCTGCCTGTACATAATAACTCCCCCCATCTATGTAAATGATATACAAGGACAATTGGAAGCCAGGAAAATGCAATAAATTTAGTGATACACAGCGGTATGATGATATCCACTATCTTTCAAAGGGTTCGTGCCCGAGATATCAAAAGGTATCTCCGAGCAGGTCAAGGATAATCCAACACGGGAAAAGAAAAAATTACTTTCGTCACACATAAAAAGGGAACAAAAGAAAACCGGGAAAATGAAAAAGGCTCCAACAGCAGAAATACAGAATCGCTCAACCGCCCATGCAAATCATATATTCCTGAAACACATTTGTATGCAGGGTCACCAAGTACGGGCACAGGCTACACAGCGAATAGCCCGTCCCATCGCCATCGGACTTCACGTCGCATTCGGATCCTCGCGCTCCAGAAATGTTGGATCGATCGTGACCCGTCGCTCGAACTTGGTCCACCAGTCCTGGAAGCTCTTCAGCGGCACCACGTCGTGCCCTTTGTTGCTGGGATCCGACTCGGCAAAGCTTGCCAGGAAATTGAACGCACTGCCGATGATGCGCTGCGCAAGCACCTTTGTCGAGATTCCCCGCTGCAAGCGCTGCTCCGGCGTCTGGTGGACCAGCGCAGTGGATTGCGCCGGTGTGCGCTCTGCCTCCAGCGCGGCCAGCTGCGGCGCAATGTTCTGTGCCGGCTCAATCGAGATGCCTAGGGTGGCGACACCGGTGGTGCTCGTGCCTTCGTCGAGCATTGCATCTTCTTGTTCGGCCTCAGTGCTGGCGGGGTTCGTGGGCGGACGCACGGTGAAGATGCCAGAGGGCTTTTCGTTGGCGAGCGCGCCGATGAAGCGGAATTCGCCTGGGTTGCCTTGGGGATCTGGGAACTGGATATAGATGGCCGCACCGGTGTTGGGTGGGAGAACGGTGCCGGGAAGGAGGAAGACCACAAGTTCGGCGAAAGAGGGGCTGAGAGGGATCGTGAAGGCGAATTTGGTGGCTTGGCCGTTTGGTTGGCCGTCGACCGCGACGATGTCGGTCAGACACGGCCGGCCGGGAATCACGACGGAGAACATGGGTGGTGCGAGTATTTGGCAGAGGGTGTTGGATAGTGGTGAAAGGAGTGTGGGGAGGGAGTGAGAGGCACAATTGGAAGGTGGGTTGTGGAGGACAGTCACTTTTCACGATGTTCCAGTCCAGATCAAAAGCTGCCAGGATTCGATGATGCCGGTGACATAAGAGAGGGGAGCTGCCCTTATCGCCCCGATAAGGGCTTGGCGGGGGGAGGCTCCGGGGCTTCGCTGTTGACAGTTTGACAGTTGACGAAAGTTGACAGTGACAACGGCTGTTCATTCACCGCGCTTTCCTGCCGAACTGGACTATTCTGAACTTCATACCAGGAGAAGCTATGGGCAAGTCAAATTTGGATCTGGTCCGCGAATGCGACAAGTACAAATCCCCCACCCTCCAAGCCCCGTTCTTCAGCACCACTTTTCTCTAACCCACTTAGCTTCCCCTACTATGAAGATGACCGTGTGCTTTACACCGAGAATCTCAAGAATTACCATGAGTTCCATGTGACTGGATATGATGTGACCCTTGGATACATTCTGAATACCGTGGTACAGAAGTTTCCTTGGCCCCAGGAGTTCTGGGCTATCGATCCCGTAGCCCGAACAGTCACCCTGGTCACGGCTGCAGATGCAAGCCCTGCCCAGCGCACTAAGCTAGTCGCAGACAGTATCTCTCAGGCTGCCAAGCTTGGATGCTTCGAAATTCTGAAGGGATGGCGCAACGAGAACTACCCCGTCTACGGACCAGGTGGAGAATTCGTGCTTGAGATGGAGCGCTGCGCATCGTCATTGTTTGGCATTGTCAGCTACGGCGCCCATATGACGGGCTATGTGGAGGACCCCTCTGGGCCGATGATTTGGGTGCCGCGGCGCGCGAAGACCAAGCAGACGTATCCCGGCATGCTGGACAATACCGTCGCAGGCGGCATGTGCACCGGTGAGAAGCCGTTCGAGTGCATCGTCCGCGAGGCAATGGAAGAAGCTTCTCTCCCGGAAGATGTGGTTCGCGCGTGCATCACACCAGTAGGATGTGTCACCTATACGCACCTCCGTGATGCCCGCGCTGGCGGCGAAACAGGTCTGGTGCAGCCGGAGATCGAGTATGTCTATGATCTGAAGCTCGACGCATCGGTCATTCCCAAGCCGTGCGATGACGAAGTTGAAGAGTTCCAACTGCTTTCTGTGTCTGAGGTGAAAGAAGCATTGGCACGCGGCGAGTTCAAGCCCAACTGTGCCATCATCATGATTGACTTCTTCATCCGCCACGGCATTCTCACAGCTGAGAATGAGCCGGACTACCTCGATATCGTGGCCCGGCTGCATCGCCGTATGGATCATCCGACTGCATCACATAGCCCCCGATAGTAGAAACGTCTCTTCCTTTTTGTTTATGAACTCGATGTGCCCACATATCAAGCTTGGGTATATATCGAGCGGGCCGATCAATCTGGCCAGGCTCTCCTCCACAAAACATTGATGGAAAAGCTCCCGCGGACATCTAGACTCGTTTCCAGAATAAATATTTGATCATTGCAAGATACGTGTATGTAAACCAGGCGAGGATCAAACCGGCATTCTCCAGGCTCTTTCAAAACTTTCAATCTTTGGCCTGGGCGACATTATATGTAGACCCATAGACCCTGCAGTTGCATCAACGGCTGCTTTTGAGCCGATTGAATCAGCACCCAATCTCAAGATTACTTAATACTAAGCCTCTTTTCATCCAGTCACGGCCTATAATAGCTAAGGGGAAGATGGGACCCATCGCCCGCGGCTTGGAGCGGCTCCTGGTCGAGCGAATAAGGTTCACGAGGGCCGAGCAGTACCAGACAGTCAAGCTGTCCTTTGACGACTGTCAGGAAAGAAGAATCTCTTTTCATCAAAATTCTTGAATCTCAAGCGTGAGATAGACCACAATATGGAGTCGAAGCGCCGCAGACTCGTGGCCCCGATTAGCTACAATCGCCTGCCCGCCCCGGATACCGATTTGGACATTTGCTTCCGTTGGGAAATGTTCTCAATCAGGCTTGTCTACAGTAAGATGTCTTCCGCTGTTTCACCTGCTATTTCCAAACTTGAGTCATTGATTAGAGCAATAGGAACGAATTCTCAGGAGTGGGGACTTCCTGAATCGGCGAAGATTCTCGCTGCCCATACTCTTGAGACAACGCCAGAGAATGAGCAGTTGCTCCGAACTCATCATCCAGCATTGGGATTGCATGATGAAGTCTATGTATCCCATCCCCAGTATGGCCCTGAGGTGTGGCTTGTGCGTGGTCTGTGGACGGACACTAAAGCTGGAGGGCGAGCATTGCACCCGTTTCCTGAGGATAGAAAGGACCTCTACCCGCGAGGGATTTTAGCTTCACGGTCGCCTTTGAAGGAGGAATACCTCTTCAAAGAAGGTATCAATCCCCGAAAGTTCCTATCGCCTGAGCAGCTCGAAAGGCTTCGTGAGCTTTTCCCAGCCGCTATAGGGGCTCGAGTACTTGTGGCGGGCTTCCTGGTCATGTTGTTCGGATCGCCTTCGGATATTCGAGAGATCTACGAAACAGACTGGATCATGGAACTTGGCGGTTTACGGACTATCTATGATGTACCGAGAGTGAAGGTTAGTTCTGACACTATTGCATCTGGTATGGAAGCCTCCGAAACTCCCAAGAGTCTCAATGGCTCTGGCTGCTTGGGTCTGAAACTCCGCATGCCCGACGGCAAAGAGGTTGTAACGACTGTTACCCATGGCTTTGTAAGGAATCCTCGGCCATCTCGTGTGGTATCAATGTTCTCCGACTGGATCTCGTGGACTAAAAGCGCCCTTCGAAGATTCGTCCGTAAATCCGATGCTTGTGCACTTGGAGTGGCACGGAAATCCCAGACTAACTCTCCGATTGGCAAAGAAGTTTGGTTAGCAACAGAGAAGAAGCGGGTAAGTCCTTCAGCTTTTCGCTCTACTCACTGCGAGGAACACTAGCTTATTCATTCAGATCGGCACAATCTCCCAGACCTTTGATGATCCCAGTCCCGTCCTTCCATACCCCGCTGGCTATAGGCATGACCTTAGCCTGATCACAGATGATGACCTGCCTGCACTTGTCAGCCCACCTGGCTATCCAGTTGTGTCGGAATGGGCGTCCTACTCTACTGCACTCGCCGGCTCCGACGTCTACGTAGTCCGGATGAACACCGTCGTTGGAAAGTGGCGTCTCCTTCGGGGCATCATAGATCCTAATGCTATTCGGAATGCAACGGTCATAGGGACAGAATACGTATGGGATCGGACGGCTGGATCTCAAAATGCGTCACTATTATGGACAGCAACCGAACCATTCACCCCTACGATTGGATGGTCTGGGTCCGTGCTTTGTCTTGGACGGCCAACGGACCGGTCGAGCATGGCCGTTGTTTTTCAAAATTTCGAAGAGGATTTCTATTCTTTTATCAATCCCATGACCGGCGAATCGACGGAAGTGATTGTTAAAGGTGGCTTTTTGCTCCCGGAATCAGTACGGTCATCCACAATTATCAGCAGCAAGGATCAACACCGCCCAAGGGACTCCAACACCTACCCTCGTCATAGTAGGGAACGCGAGGAACCAGATCGTCGAGTATTTTTGGCCGTGTAGGAGTGCTGTGGTTCTGTCGCTCTTTAGCTTCTGGGACGAATCGCGTGAACGTCTTTTACATAATCATTCTTTGCTTGGTCCAAGTCAAAATGAACTTTGGATCTTTAGATTGAGCAGAAATTAGGATCCCGAAATCAAAACCACATTGCTTATAGCGAGTGTTAGGGGATAGATACATATGTATATCGATTACAACGTATTTCACTACTACAGCTATCTTCTACTATAAGCAGTATATGTACATGCACCCTAAGATTTCTGACAGTGGTCAGAAATCTTAACTGTGAGGTAGGCCTAAACATATAAGTAATCTAAGTTTTGACTGCAGTCAGAAAATCATTAATAATGCTATAACTATCTAGGCTATATGTAGGCTCCAGGGAAATTGATTATACGAGCGACTTATATTAAATTTAATCCTTAGAGTAAATTAATTATCTACGAATAATAATGATCGATTTTGGAGGCTATCATTCATGGCACAGTCTTTACGGATATAGCTTCACATCTCTGATAGGGAGAATTATCACTCCTACCTTCTTTTCGCTCAGACATTGTCTACTTTTTCTCTGGGCGACTGCTCTTTATCGTAGTGTGTGGTGGTTTGTTGGCCTCTTCGTTGATCCTTCTCATCCAGCCTGCAACGCCAGGCTAACCGAGCGCCCTGGTTATTTATTCGATGTGTTTGGGGCCACGTATTTGTGAATGACGGGATAGATCCCAAATTGGAGACTTGCACCGTAGGATTGCCGTTAGTTTGACTATTTCTGAAAAAGTTTTTGACAGTGGTCAGATGGCATAAAAATAAAATAATTATAATTCACAGCATTACCTCCAAGCCAGGTCACCTGACCCTATGGCACCTTCTTAGCTAGTTTAGAAGATAACTTAATACGATCATCTTTACCTCTTCTGGCCCTGCCACACATAGCCTTGATTTGACGGGATGGGATGGCCCCCAAAACGGCATTACGTACCGCTGCAGTCGTCGAGATATTGCTTTCACGGATCTTTGGTGGGTCGTGCATTTTTGGCCCCCGCAAAATCCAACAAATAGTAAACATACAACTGGTGCATCCAATCATGTTTGAGGCACTGCCACGGCTTTGGGACCACCTACCGAAGAGGTCTCCGTTATTGTACAAGCCTATGCGGAGGAGCTCTCTTTACTGCAATACGCTCCGACGACGAAGGAATAACTGAGATTAGGCCTTTTTCGCCATTTTGACCCTAGGATGCTTAGGATGCCTAGTATTATATCCCAGCCGCTTAAATAGACAAGCTAGAGTCTGAGAATCCTGCCTCAAACATCTTTATTGCTCCCTGGGCGTTTCAAGGTTCTTCGCAAGTTCCTATAGTCTGTCTAGAACAGGGACAGCTCTTTTTTTTGCGGCTCTATATCTTGATCCTCAAAATTATCTTTTTTTTGACTCCAATTGATTTCTGTGGTCAAACTACGTTCCCCAAGACCTCCAGGTTGTCACAACAGGGCGCAATGGCCAGCCTAGAGAGCGCTCATAACTATGAGGCAGCATATGGCAAAATGATCACCACCTCCCTTGAGGGCTCTGGGGGTTCGTATTCTGAGGAACAGGGTGATGAAAAATTCTTTAATGGAGGAGGTACTGGATCTAGTGATGGCCAAGCAGCCGTCTTGGACGGGGCCCGTCGCTGGAAACCGGCGTACAAACTTTTCGTTTCGATAAGTGCCATCTCGTCGTGCTTCGTGATGTTAGTCAAAAATTCTGGACTGTTAACAATATCAAGTACAAGAAATCAGCCGCTAATTGTGACATAGTACCTGCGCTACATCAATATATATTGCAAGTATACCTGGTATCATGAAAGAGTTCGATGTCGGTATCACATTAGCGATATCCCCAATTACGTTCTACGCAATTGGATTTGTCGTCGGCCCTATGTTTACTGCGGCCCTCTCAGAAGAATTTGGCAGACAATACATCTTTAAGGCCTCATTACTACTGCACCTGGTATTCACCATCGTGGGTGGATCGGCGCAGAACTTCCGGACACTTGCCGTCGCCCGTGGCATGTGTGGGATATTGGGCTCACCATGCGTTACTGTTTTTGCGGGAGTATTGAATGACCTGTGGAAGATGCCCGAGGAGAAGATAGCGACGGCACTTTTTGGAATGTACGGCATGATGGGTGTAGCCGCTAGCGCGATGGGACCGATTGCAGGAGAAGCAATTGTCTCTGATAGGGACTGGCGTTGGAGTTTTTGGCTCACGGCTATGTTGGTCGGTGTCTGCTTTCTGGCAATGATCACGGTTCCAGAGACATATGGACCAGAAATTCAAAGAAAGAAGCTGAAAAAGCCCCGAAGTGGTCTATCAGAAGTTCTGGGGCCTGCTTTTGTTCGCCCCTTCCATATGCTCATGGTCGAGCCTATCATTCCCCCGACAGCTGCAATTGTTACAATGGGACAAGTTGTTGTCTTCGTCTTTTATGCAACCTATCCGTCAATGTTGGAGACCCAGTACAACTTTACAGCCTATCAAGTTGGTCTATCCTTCATCCCCCTGTTGATTGGAACTCTCTTCGCTCTACCTGTTCTATCGGCAACTTTGAAGAGAAGAAACAAGCCTGGTTCAAACCCACAGCCCGAGGATTTCCTTCCTGCTGCAATGATAGCAGGCGTTGTGTTACCCCTGAGTCTATTCTGGTAGGTTTGATCAGTGGAACTTTGTAATTGGTGATTTTATTCGAATTCTAAGAGGAACAAACAGGCTTGCATGGACCGCTCGCTCTAGTATTCATTGGATATGTCCACTCATTGCAGGAGCATTTTTCGGGTTTGGGTTCGCATTATCACAGGTAAGATTTCAGTGTTTCCTGGATAATCATTGCTGTACGGTACACTAATGATTATCTCGATAGCTTGTGTACCCGTTATACAAGAATGAAGTCTACGGAGCTGAGCTGGGTGCCTCGTCATTTGCTATCGATGTTGCAATGCGGTACACCTTCTCATCAGTATTTCCGCTGTTTACTATTCAGATGGTCGATCGTATCAAGTTTCATTGGACCATAACTCTGTGGGCGTTTGTATTACTCATATTGACTCCAGTCCCTTGGATTTTGCAGAGATATGGCCCAGTACTGAGAGCTAGAAGCCAGTACGTGAAAAGTGTGAGGAATAACTAATGATATGATGGAAAATCGAACGAAACCAAGTCATTAAAAACTCTAATAAATGTCTGAATATGGCACTTTCCCAAATTATTCCAGTCTTCCGGACAAAGAAACAAATAAAAGAAGCTCAATGAATATATTTAGATGAATTAAGAATCTCCGCATAACGAAGCCTTTGGTTACTAGGAGTAGTCTCCCAATAATAATTGAATGGATTAATGTCATTTAAGCTTGCAAGTTACTTCTGGACAAATTCCACTAGTTGAGTGAAGCTTTGTGACTGTCACCTTTAAGACTGGTAGAAGTGGAATGCGAGCTTTGGGGAACGCATTGATTTGCTCTATTAGAAATAGGGGCTAGTATTTGCAAAGTCTTTGAAATTAGGCGTGTTGACAGGCAATATGGCCCGACTCCTGCAAGCCGTGTTGGAAGTCTTTTGAATGGCAAGGACCACTGGAAAATGATAGATCGGGGAATACCATCCGTTTCCACGAGAGAATACTGTATCGACATCTGAGAAAGCTTTATTCCAGCCAATACAAGTAAACATCGAGAGATACGAAGTGAGGCTGATATCATAAATCGAAATGGCATGACTAGCCATCCCAGACTCAAGTGTTAGTTTCAAAAGATATTTGGATAAATAAAAGAGTTCAGACAACGACGCAAGGATTTATTAAAACAGAAATGAACTACAACTGAGAATTACGGAAAGTAAATGGAGAAGTGTTACTGTCTCAATGCAGGAAAGCTTGACTTGATATGGCTTTGAACTTGGCTATGAGTTCTCATGGAATATATAGCTGTCTAACCCCGACTCTCTTTCTCTTAGCAGATGGGGAGATATGATCGTCATCAAAAACGATCACTTCCTTGATATGATCCATATATCTAATCAAGTTTCTCAGCTGGCCTCAATCTGGGAAAATGGGGGTTATCGTGGACACTCTCAAATGCTAGCTCGTGCGACAAATCGGGTTTTTTCGTCTATGAAGACCTTTATTCAACAATCACTAATGTATTTTCACATTCACCCCCTCGCCAAGGGAAATCGAGTCAACTGAATCTCATGACATATATGTTGAATTAAATACTAGCCGTTGGCGATAATCTGATAGAACTAATTATGTAGTCCTTCTCGTATGCTTGTAGACTGCCTTTTCCAAGCAGCAGTGTTCGGGCAAGTTTTTAATTCTACGAAACTACTCAGAAGCTTTCGAGAGGTAGCAAAAGAAACAAATTACAGCGAATATAAATGAGGATCGATTGTCATTGTACGATCATCTATTGGTATACCCAAATCAAATGCAAAGAGAAAAACGCCAGCGCTGCACAACCCGACAAAATATGAACATCTGCCCCAATCAAACACACATCAAACTTTTCCCCGAAGATGGACATAGATCCGAGTCCAATCCATGGATTTCTGAATGGAAACCGTTAATACCAAACAAAAATGACAGCTCGTCTATTTCTTCAGAAGCAAGTAGACGTGGTCGATACGCAGAGGAGCGAGCTTCTTGTAAGGTCCCTCCAGATAGAGCAGTAGACCACCGAAGGAAACAAAGACGGCCCTAAGAGCTGGAAGTTAGCTTATATTTTCTTTCAAGAATTCACTCTGCCGAGACCACAATAGCATTGATGTCTCACATGGTATCCTTCGTAGCGCCCTCCTCAAATCGGTAGACCTTGCCGTGGCAGACGTAGTCATAGTCATTAGCGAGTGTCTGCTCGCCCATGCTGACCTCGCGCCAGCTTGCACGGTTATCCTCCTTGCCATCGAGAGACAGAGTCGAAGCCAGAGCCAGAGACAGAGACTCTCCGACCGCACAGGGGTAGAGCTCGGAGTTCACATCGAGGGTGAAGGTGATGGAGGAATCATTGGAATTGCAAGTGAGACGCGACACACGGTCGTACTTCTGGGCGTTGATCGCAGTGATCGTGAAAGTGTCTTCGAAGAGGAGCGGGTCGGACATTTTGAGGTGGTAGAAGGGTTAAACCGGTCTTGTCGAAGCGAATTGGGCAAAAGTTGAATGGGCAAAGAAGAAAGCTGCAGAATCCGTGGAGTCTGGAGTTCAACAAAGGTGTAATTGGCGTGGGTAGAAGAGTAGATGGAGTGAGGAGAATTTCCTGGTGGAAATGCGCGGAGGTCGAAGCTTTCTTTTTTTCTGCCGCTTTTGATTCCCCGCCGATAACGATTTCTACCAGGCAGATTGACCGCAACGCATTTCACTCATTCCGTTGCATTTATATTGACATTTTTTTATTCTATTTGACGGCATGTCCTTTCGCAAGCGCAACATTGGTCTTTCGACTGGCGTTGACCGCACCACTATCTCCAATGCCGCCGCACCGCCAGCTCCATCTGAGACCATCCCAGGCATTCGCCCCTCCCTCCCCGACGACGGACGCCCGACCACATCGACCGGGGCTTCGTCTTTGGACAATCTGCTTGCGGGCCATGCAGGGCTACCCATGGGAAAAATACTGTTGATTGAAGAAAATGGAACTACGGATTTCGCGGGGGCATTGCTTCGATATTACGCCGCTGAAGGAGTGGTTCAAGAGCAGAAGATCCATGTGGTCGGGGTACCTGAACAATGGGGTCGAAGTTTACCTGGTTTAATTGGTACCGCGGAGTCGCTAGAAGAGAAGCGATCCGACCGGCGCAAGGACGAGAAGATGAAGATTGCATGGCGATATGAACGACTGGGTGAGTTCGGTGCGGGCGTAGCGGGCTCCCGAGGTGGTAAGTGCACTCGCTTGGCAATCCAGCTCCGGCTTTAAATATACTCATTGAAATACAGCTCCAAGTCCAGGCGGCACCATCGAACAGAATCCTGCAGCGGGACAGACGCCAGCTTTCTGCCATGCGTTCGATCTCACGAAGCGTCTCACCCACCCGGCTATCACTAACATGTCCTTCATCCCACTCGCCCCCTCCAGGGACTCGCCTTTCACCTCGATCCTCCAGAAGCTCCAGTCTTCAATCGCCTCAAGCAGCTCAAATACCATTCATCGAATCATCATTCCATCTTTGCTGAATCCCACCATGTACCCGCCCAACTCCTGTCAGCCCGAATATGCGCTGCAGTTCTTTCATTCCCTGAAAGCTCTTATGAGCGCACACGCGACCCGTGTCACTGCCATGATCACCATTCCTTTATCGCTATTCCCGCGCACATCGGGCCTTATCCGTTGGATCGAGTTGCTGAGCGACGGGGTCATCGAACTCTGTCCGTTTCCTCATTCGGCGGACGCGCTGGCGACGTCGGGCGCCGCGACGTCTGCAGAGGAACCCCCTCAGGGTATGCTCAAAACACATCGACTTCCGGTATTGCATGAGCGGGGTGGCGGAAGCGATCAGAATGTGGGACAGGATTGGGCGTTCATTCTTAGCCGCCGTCGTTTCGAGATCAAGCCCTTTAGCTTACCACCAGCCGAAGGGGATAAAGAAGCGCAAGAGGCCTCGGCTCCAAATGGGATGCCGAAGAAGTCGGAACTGGAATTCTAGAGGATATGCGCCCATTTGATTGGGCATGGTAGTTTCAATCCTCCTCTTCAAAGTGGCGCCAGATTCCTGGTTCGGCGAGCGTATCCTCGAGCTCGATTTGCTCGGACATCGCAGGACCGGAGTTTGCCATAGTTCGGAGGTAGCTCTGGCCGTAAGAGTCAACCCCTGGGCGCACCGAAACCCCTCCGAAGCGAGCGCGAAAGCGATTCCCTAGGCAGGATGAGGCGGCCAGCCATGCTGGTATATGTTAGTCTCTCCAGTCGTTTTTGGTCCACATGAGAAGGAAGATAGAAGCGCCAGTACTGACCGGCGAATAAAATCAGCGGTGCAAAGAAGACTAAGAAGAGCAGAAACAGAAAGTTCATGGCGACGTCGTGAATGATTTGGAGATCGTTTCGACTATTGCGCGTGGAAGCGACAGTAACGCGGAGAAGCGCCAAGACCACCGTGTCCCAAAACGGACAAGCGCGGGCTGAGCTCTTCACAAAATTCGCTTCGTGTTTCTTTTTTCTTTCAACTTCTCTTCCACTTCTCGAGTCTCTGGTTTTGCTGGTCAAACCCCAGACTCGCTGTTCGCTAATGGTAAGTTGCTTAATACTCTCTCTTCTGCCTTTCTTCTTGCCTTGCATGATTATATAACTACAAAATCTGTCAATCCCCTGAAGCTCGATTAAATCTCAAAAAAGAGCACATGTGACTGAGAAATGTATTCAAAAATGACTTGTTCCATAAATCGCACTTTGCTTATCGTTGCATTGTGATGAGCTATTGCTAACATTTGGCTCTGGCTCCAGATACCAATCAATTCATTTTCTTGAAATTCAAGATGGCCTCCACGCCCACTCTCCCAATTCCGATCTCATACATATCTGGTAGATACCTGCTGTTTTCAATTGACGCAGTCACTTATCTGAGACATGAATACAATATCTGCGGCGTTCTGATTGGGACCTTGCCCCAAATCCCTCAGCAGAATGTGTTTCTGGGCTTACCGCTCGAATTGATGCCCGAGGAGGCACGGCTGTTAGTCGACCAGGGTGTAGCTTGCATCGTAGACGAAGCTAAAGCGCACGGCGGCATGCGGTCTCTCCTCGAGGAGGATCGCCGCAAGTATCTTCGCGAACTAGAATCCCAGGGTCTCCATGCCTCTCGCCTCTTTGCAGACCATAAAGATCGAAAGCGAGAAAAGGCTTTGCAAAAGATAGCGGAAAAAAAGGCTAAAGCCAAAGCCAAGACATCAGAAACCCCAGAACAAGATTCTGCTGCTGTGGCTGCGTCGCTTACTCCGACGAAGAACGAACCTGCCTCGCTGGAGGATTTCTTTGGGGATCGGACAGTCGCATCTTCATCTACCAGAGCTTCCTCAAGCACAATCTCATCTCCCCAGCAAGCTATGGGAGTCACACCTGCAACATCCTATCCGCCTCTACCAGACCCAACCTCGATCTCAACTCAACTTCTTCCTCCACCTGATGTGCCATTATCCTTTCCGCTCTTCGCTCATCTACACTCGCGCGGATACTTTCTATCACCGGGACTTCGCTTTGGATGCCAATATGTGGCCTATCCGGGAGATCCCCTTCGTTTCCACGCACACTTCCTTGTTGTGTCTGCCGAATGGGAGGAGAAACTCGACCTGATGGTCATTATCAACGGCGGTCGACTCGGCACCGGTGTTAAGAAAGGCTTTCTTCTTGGTGGGCCGCAGAAGACGAGAGATGATGTTGAAACTGAGTCTGATCGTGCTGAATCCGTCCGCACATTCAGTATTGAATGGGCTGGAATGTGAACAAATTTTCAGCATTGGAGTCGCCATGTTCATTGGCCATACTTTTTTTCGACTATCCACCCTGCACCCTGTAGGAGATGGATTCAAAGTCTTCCATTAGCACCCTTCCAATACCAGGCCGCGCTTCTAACGGGAACCTTCCCTACTGGATTGTCTTTGCCGCGCAGTCAAACGGAATTCTCGCTTCTCGCTTCGCATGCTCATGTCAGTGGAAGGACAAATGACTTGCAGCGTGCCAATTCTACAATGTCAGTATGGAAAATCATGACCATGATTCGCTATCACCATGCCGAATATCGAATACGCATCTAAAGAGATGGATATTACCGTCTCCACATACCCGCCGGGCCAGCTCGCCGACGTGTTGTTCAATACCTTGATTTCGAAGCGAAATCTGGCTAGGAAGCCACTTTATCCATTCATGGGGTAATCTTTTTTTTTTTTTTTTTTTCAAACAAAAAATTTTTCTCTATAAATGAGATTCAAAAGCATTTCCACTTATTCTTGAACTATGTATAATGATTTGAATCGCTCTAGATATACCCACGGTCGTCAAAAATATAATTTTTTCAGCGATTGCGTGTCTGTAGGTGACACGCCCTTGGCAATGTCAGTGGGAGACGGGCGATGTAGCTGATATCATGAAAAGCCCAGTTCCAAGTTGAGCTCTGGACCGGGCTGCACGTTTGCGAGATATTAGGATTGTCGAAGGATTATCCTGGGGCTAGGGGCTCCAAACATTGAGGTTCGCCTTTTCGCTGCGTCTTTGCTCGACTGACAATCTGAGAATAACGAGCCCAGCTTAAGACGTGACCAATAATTGAATTAGCGAAAACGCCCCTTTTGAGGTATATCAATAAGATCCTTGGATTATAATTGTTTCTGTCATCAGATGAAGTATTGCAAGGCTCGCTTGGTATCTTTAAATCATATTAAACAAAGAGTTTATACGTAATCAATGTTCCTCCATTTGAACTTTTTATTCGCGCGGTCCACCGGTCGATTCTCGAACTGACTACCATGCAGCTCAAAAACCAATGGAGATCGAGGCTGCCCATCAGAATCGGCTCCTTGCGTTTCATTGGTGCTCTCCGCTGTGGCCACTGCACAACTTGGAAGTGGTATCGTGAAACGGAAGATCGTGTGTTCTTTAGGCATTGCTATCGAGTAGGAAGACGGCATTAGTACTGCTGTCGATCTCAAATATCTGGACAGGACGACTTACTTTTCACTTCGTCCTTCTCAGTCACAATGACAAATGTGAATTTGGTATCTCGGACCACGATTCCCTTCACCCCCACCCGGCTCGCGCATCGGCTCCTGACCACCTCGACCTCGGCACCATGGTAATCCGCGCTAACAAGCTTTGCGCCATGAGAAGCCGGGGTTACTACGCCGCTTCGCCCGTGAGTCTTGAGATCGAGGATCTCCTGCATATATTCGATCCACATCGCATGGAGTCCCTTGAAGATGGCATGCTTGCATTCCTCTTTTGGCAGGTCGTACAACCCCGATGACCGCTTCTGACGGGCGGATAATGGTTGCGGTCGCTGGTGTTTGAGAAAATACTCTTTCTTGCGCAATCGGTGTAGGCGTCGACGCGAGCGATTATCTGCAGCTGAGGGGGATGTCGGGCGTAAGTAAAGTGGCTTTTGCTTAACGCGCTCGGTGAACTGTTGTGTTGCGGTATCGGGGGAATGAGCGCGCGAGAGTAAGGTGTGGGCGATATGTGCATTCGGAGCTTGAGAAGAGGCCATTTTGGTGTTTTTCTTGGCCTTGAGCCCGTTGTCGGGGGGCAAGAAAATGTGGAACGTGGGAGATCGCGAGGCGCTTGGGCATACGACAGTTGGAAGTCGCGAAAAAATTGATGTCACCCAGCGCTGATAAGCTGCGATAAGGCGGGCGGAATCACATAAACAATATACAACTTGATCCTTGAGCTCTTGGAACGCATGTCTATACGTATAGATTATTATTTTCATTGATGGACTGATAAAGCACCTGGTTACGGTATTTTTTTCTCTTTTCCCCCTAAAAAAAAAGAAGCCATATTGTACGTCACTTTCCCAATCTTGAGGGAGCGACTTTTAGAGCCATCCCGCTTCCTCCACCACTTCGCCCACGGCCTCCTCCTCAGACGAAGGTTCTCCCATCTCACGGGCTTGAAGTAGTTCCTCGCGGGCTTCAAGTTGTTCCTTTCGTTCTTTTCTCTCTCGCCTCTTCCGCTCGCGCCTCTTTTTCTCTTGCTTCTCCTTCTCTTTCTCTTGCTTCTTTATCTCTTCCTTCTTCTTCTTCTTCTTCTTCTTGTCCTTCTTCGTCTTCTTCGTCTTCTTTTTCTTCTCGCGTTCTCTTTTCTTCGACTTTTTGTTCTTCTTTGATTTCTTGTCGACAGACTCGTCTCCATCTGACTCGTCTTCTTCATCTGAATCTCCTGTCTCTGAGTCTGAGACGTCATCTGAATCGTCTGCTTCTGAATCGTCCGCTTCTGAATCTTCCTCATCGGACTCTTCGTCCTCACTCTTTTCGTCCTCGGGCTGCTTTTGCTTCCATAGCAGATCGGGTTTGTTGCCTGGGGTCCAGAAATTCATCTCTCGTCTTTCCACTCCTTCTTCCGTATGGTAGTTGAATCCGATGCTCCTAGGCCAGGGCGACTGTGTCCAATATTTGCGCACGGCGTTGGCAGTCATATAAATCAGAAGTTGAGCCTCTTTAACAACTGCCTGGCGGATATACAGATCTGCTTGGCTCCGAAAAGGTCCGCCTCTTTCAAATTGGGCCAGCCTGCGAGGTACAAGCGTGGCAAAAACATCGTTCGATCTAATATCCACAAGTTTCAATCTCGCTGTTGGATCCAGGCCCTTTTTCGACTTCCGGATCTTCTTCTCGTCGGGCTTCCAGCAGAGTGTTCGCAGTTGTTCTTCTATAGGACATCTGAAGATGTAATTCGGCTCATCCATTACATTTTCTTCTTTTAGAGTAGTCAAGCCTCTCGATTGCTCATTTCCGAATAGCTCGATGGCGATATTTGATGGTGATGGGGAGTTGCATACGCCGAACAGAGGCCCTTTCTTATGCAACATGCCGTCTGACACAGGCACGAGGTCATAAAATCTTAAAGTCTTGTCCACGGGATTGGGCGGAGAATAGGCCTTGTCGTTCTCCTGGTTTGACTGTTCCTCTTCTTGATCCATCTCTATGAGGTATCCCTCTTGGAGTTCCCAGTTCCCGCCCTGGTAGTCGCCCTGGTATTGATCCTCGTAAAAATAATAACATTGGCACTCCTCGGTGTCCTCCCAAAAAGTTGGCGCTTCCTTCTTTTTGCCAAAGAATGGCATGGCGATTTTGACCTTAAGAGCAATTACAGAGCGCAAACTCTTCACTGTCCACTTTTGGGGAGAGCAGGGGTGGGATGAGCGTGAAGGGGGGCGTACCGGATCGGCCTAACAGCCGCTTCCTTATATCTGTCTATTTATGACATTCGCCCTAAAAATAATTACAATCCTTGAAACTTGGAGTCCGAGGTACCACAAATGAAACAAAATGATCGAATCATATTATGTATGAACAATTTCCTCCGCTGTTCATTGTTGGCGAAGCGCTTATTTTGCCCTATCCAACATCGATATTTTCGCTACGGCCAACATAGCCCGAACGGGGCGATTCAACAGGGAACTAGTCAGCCCCAACCACACAGTGCAGCAAATGTTATAATGTCTTTTTGGAACTGCCACCTGTTTTGTATTATTTGATTCAATTGTTTATGAGAGTACCTGAATCGTGTTCGGCAAGGTAGGTCGCACCGATCACAGCGTTGATCTGCGGACCATGATGCATCAGCCGCTAAAAGGTCGACTTGGCCAGGTTCGACTAAATAGTTTCTTATGAAAGGAGTGAGTGGGATTAAAACGAATTGTAAAATAATACGGAAATTATGTGAAGACCGGGGAATTAGAGATAGAGAATAAAATTCCATTTGAAGAACAAAACCAAGCCCAGCATGGCTCCCTCCTGTTTGCACATATTTCAAAAGCTACCAGTCATTTTCCACTTCATTTGTGAAAATCAGTTCACGCTTCACTAATCAAAATAAATCTATCTAGTTCTACAAGGTATCTCACCGAGATACTGAAGATCCGCTGCAGATCAATACAACAAAGTGGGTTTAGGGTAAAGAATGCTATTGATTTGATGTACCTCAAGTTATATAGGCAGTTGAACGAGGAAGATATTTGCTAAATCAGTGCACAAGCATCCGACCGTGACAACGACAAAGAACTATTCCCTGGAATCTCAGAAGTGGAATACCGGGTTTCTTCTTCCACCACGACCGCCTTGCGCGGCCTTACCATTCACAAAAACCTTGCCATTTACAACACTGATGGAGCCTCCATTATATGGAACTCGAAGACCATTCACAGTAACGCCGTTGTTATTGATAACCATGGAGGTGTCGATTCCGTAACCACTGATGGAGGTTGCGAAATTGTCGACCATTCTATTATTTGTACGGCCATGCACCTTGGTTAATTTCTTTCTGGCCTGGCGGTTATTAGTGGCTTTGGCGACTTGGTTCATGTCGTGGTTGAAGTTGTCATCAGAAGAGCTGTCTGAATCAGTATAGCTCTCTCCCTCTTCCTCTTCGTCGTCATCTGATTCATCCTGCGACTCATAGTCTTCCTCCTCCTCGTCTTCTTCCTCGTCGTCGTCCTCCGATTCATCTTCCCAATAATCATCTTCTTCCTCTTCCTCATTGTTGTTCTCCGATTCACTCTGTGACTCATTCTCTGAGACCTCTTCCTCTGAAACCTGCATCTGCTTCTCGGGGATTTGTCTCTCACGGCGAGACTCTTTTTTCTGCTGACCGTATAGCCTCACTTGTTCGCGTTGATACTGTTCCAGTTCAAGTCGATGTTTCTTTTCCCTTGCTGCGATCTCACGTTCCATACGTTCGTTCAATTCACGACTGGTTACCTCGAGCTGCTTTCGCATTTTAGCAAGCTCTTTTCGATGTCGTCTTTGTGCCCTTCTCCGTGCCGCGTCGCTTTGTTTCTTGTCCATTCTGAGCTGCTTCAACTGCTCTAGTTGTTGCCGGTAATTGTCTTCCATTTTCTTGGCTAGATCCATCCCCAAAGCCTTTCCAGCGCTGGTCTGAGATAGGTTCAGATTCTCGTCAACCATTTGAGATTGCACCGCCAGAGTTACTTGAGATTGGCCAAGGATAGAACTTATTAATTTCTCTGCTGACTTTTTCGTATTGTCATGGCGTGCAATCTGACTTCCCTTTTCGACCATTGAACCCCAGAAACCTTCGGTTTCAATGAGCTGCTTTTCTCTAGCCTCACATTGGGTATGAGTGCCACCAGCAACAATATCCCAGTGGGTAGTTGTCAGGATAACCTTTGCCATAGCCTCGGGGCCACTGAGCTCCTTGAACGTTCTCAGGGTCTTCAACGAAGAACCGTACATTCTTCCTTGTGTAATATCATGCAGGTAAACCACGCCATTCAAATGGACGTTGTTATTGTATGAAGACGTCAACCAAGAAGTGATCTCGACCAGAATCTTCGTGTCATCTTTGTAGGTGTCATTAAATCCAGGCGTATCAATGAGATACACTGTCTGGTCTGGAGCTACAGTATAGGGATACACATCGATTTTCGATGTTACTTTGGCCTATTTAGCTTGCATTCAAGAGCCCTGAAAAGTTTTTGTACCTACAAGCCTCGAGACCTGAGCCGATCTTAGCCTTCCCTCCTGTTAGTAACGAAATAAATGAGCTCTTGCCCGAGCCTGTCACGCCCATAACGGCGATGAATTTATCGTTTGGTCTGTCTTCATTAGTGGCTGCACAGTATCATTTTTATCAGTATTGGAATGCATCACATACTTGGGATTCTGTCCAGCCCGAAATTGCTGAGCGGAGATGGCCGTTTGAGTCCCATCGTCATCGCCATCGCCATCGTCGTCGTCATAGTCACCATCGTCACCATCGTCAACATCGTCAACATCGTCAACATCGTCAACATCGTCACCACCATCTCCATCGTTACTATCTTCGCCATCTTCGCCTTCTTCGCTATCATCGGCATAATGGCGATAATCATAATTACCATCATCGCCGTAATCAAACGAATACTCAGAACTCGACATATCGGATGGGGCACTCTTCTTCTGCACGTCCCAAAGATCTTTCTTCTTGGAGAATGGCCACTTAAGCCTCATTTTTAAAAGACGTGAAATACGCTTCAAAGTCGACTGAGAGAACCTAATTTGATAAGTTATAATAGAGGGCATAAAAAAGATATAAGGATGTGGATGAAGATTATTGTTCTCCACCTCTTGTTTGTCCCTATGACTATAAATATGCTTATGTGGCAGTGCCATTAGCGCTTGGGGGAGCATGCATACCTAAATTCTTCTCAAATACAGGTAAATCAGCCTCACTTTCAAATATCCGATTGTTTGCTTAAAACAACTAGTTTCCTATTTCTACCAATCACACAATTTTTGAGGGAAGCGCCCAGAGCGTTGCCGCCTTTTAGCCTGGTGGCTTATGCTAGTCTGCCCACCCACCAACGACAACGGGAATTACAAATGTGCCAAGAGGAACTAATGCTTGCAACTCAGCTAAATTAGGACGATGCATGCACCTAGCCATCTGGTACGTGGCTTAGAATGGAATCCTCCATACCCGTGTCATGATAGGTAGTCGTCCTCGGTGTATATATATCCAATAATATTTGAGTATATCTTAAAGTCACCCTTGGTTTCCGGAAAATCTATTGTCAGTGTTTTGTCCGTTCAGCATTTCTTACCCTATGATGTCTCAAGCTGAAGCTGGACTAAGCCAACAAATCAAAAACCTCCTGGCGTTTGCTGGAGGGAGCGGCACTCCATCTGATGCGATTTTCATTGCCGTCATGGGGGTCACTGGTGCGGGGAAAAGCACCCTTATATCCCAATGTACCGGCCAGAATGTTGATGTTGGTCACGACCTAGTATCATGTAAGTAAATGCTAGCCATGAGGGAAAAGATCAATCTATTGAAACGTTACAAGGTACATCTGAGATCGGTGTGTTCGATTTCGAACTTGGCGGCCGAACGGTCTACTTAATTGATACCCCTGGGTAGGTAGCCATTGACCATGACCCTCTGAAACGATCTGGCCTTTGATCAATCAATTACTCACAAGCAGTTCTGTCTAGATTTGACGATAGCAATTTCACCGAGCGCCCTGATTTTGTCATTCTCCAAAGTATCTCCGCCTATCTTAGCGCCTCGTACGCACGTCATATCTACATTCACGGGGTTATCTTTTTACATCGCATCACAGAGAACAGAGTGACTGGCTCTGCACGCCGCAACATCGAGTTGATGAAAGCAATTTGTGGATCCGGCTTCTTCCCATACGTTGCCCTCGCCACCACGCATTGGAGTACTACTACAGAATCTTACGCGAAGTTGAAAAAAGGGAAAATATTCTTCGAGAACACGATGAATTTTTCGGACCTTTAGTGACTGGTGGTGCCGCTTTGTTCCGTCAAGATGATGGCGCAGCATCTGCATGTCAAATTGTTGAATATCTGATCAACAAGAACAAGCAGCTTGGAGAAACTCCGGCCCTTGCAATCCAACGTGAGCTCGTCGACATGAACAAGCGACTGGATGATACGACAGCTGGGAAAGTTGTGCTCGATGTAGCAGCTCGCAAATATGCTGCGGCCAAAGAAGAGATTGCCGCACTTAAACTTGCTATCAAAGAATCCGATGATGAAACATCGAAGGTATTACATGAGATGAAAGAGGAAAACGAAAAGATCATGAGAGAGCTCGAGAAGACGGAGAACCAAATGGCTATACGCGCGCAGGAGATAACACGGAAGGAGCAAGAGTTAATAGTGAGTATGCATAATCTTTCATATTTCCAGGAAGGGCTACTGATAGATCTGCCTTCCTAGATCCAGAAACTACATGATGCACACATGCAGTCAAAGGCTCAACTAGAAGCTCATGAACGCGAACTGTCGCAACTCAAAGAGGAAAAGCGACAATTACAGAGGAAGGCTTCGGCTGAATCTAAACGCCGACTCTCCAATAAAACTCCCTATCATGAACCTCCACCGAGGTACGAAGAGGCAGCGAAGAAAATGGAGGCTCAAGTAGTGGAGAAACAAGCCGAAGTGGCTGTTGCTAAACAAAGGAGTTTGAAGGAAGACATTGCAATCGCTGCTATTCCGGCTGCACTCGCTGCTGGTAAGTCGTAATCCAACTTGGAAACCTTCCATTTTTTTCGAGACTTGGCATGTTATTCAAGTCATCTAATCATATTTCAGTTGCTCCGGCCTTAATATCGTGTACTGTTATGTGAATCGCACCGTGTGGATAGAAGCTGCACGCAATACAATTTGAGGAATAATTTAAGAACCTGATCGATTACTCGAACAGCCGTTCTCTGCTAATTTATTAGAGGCTTTACTTGCAAGAGCCCATTTCACGATTTAAGCCCTTTTTATCTATCTTTTGCTGTTTGCCAAATAATTTATAAAGGAATGAAAAGCCCTATAACTAGACATCTAGAAAGACTGTTTGTATTTTGATTCAGAGATAACTTTGCATCGTTCATGCCAATAGTCGCTGGCTGCCAATTTCCCCCTCTAGTTGAAAAGTCTAGATATCCATTTTATTCTTCTTCCAATGATTCACTTGGCTTCTGCGTTTTCCTATGAACTGCGCCATTTATATCTTCCTAGAACTATAATCTCTCAAGTGGCCCATTTGAACGAATTCTACCAAGGCTCGACAGAGTTATCTCGGATATGGACTTGCACCCCGCCAATTGCATGCATCGTTTGAATTCCTGGTAGAGAATATCGAGCATCAACTGAACACCTTCCTGGCCATTATACTGAGTTTATCAAAAGGAAATGAGGTTAGTAGATGCCACACAGGGAATTCAAGTGATAGCACTTACTGCCAGCCCCCAAAGCATAGGACGACCAACCCAACAGCACTCAGCTCCCAAAGCCAGAGCTTTGAAAATGTCGCTGCCAGATCTGATTCCACCGTCAATATGAATTCTAATTTGACCTCTGGCAGCCTTTGCACAACTAGCTAGAACATCAATAGTCGCCGGAGTCTCATCCAGCTGACGCCCACCGTGATTGCTGATAATCACGCCGTCACATCCATATTCTATGGCCGTCTCCACGTCCTCTGGTGTAAGAACACCTTTGATCCATATTTCCGTCTTGGTGATGCTGCGTAGCCAAGGAATTTCCTGCGCCCAAGAGTGAGAATCGGAGTTGAAAGATGAGAATCCATCATCATGGGACTCCTTCTGAATCTGCTCCGATGTCTTCTCGATCATAGGATACCCTAGACCTGGTGGAGGCTGAAACCCATTCCGCCACTCGTTATACCGAACCCCTAATACTGGGCTATCTGCAGTGAGAAATATCGCCTTGCAACCAGCAGCCTCTGCTCGACGAACAATTCGTGCCTCTTTGTCACGATCATTCATAGAATAGAGTTGCATGACGTGGTGGATAGATCCTATCTCTCTTCCAGCGATAATGATCTCCTCAACGGAGTGGTTTGCGTAGGACGACACGCCCATATTGACTCCCATCTTCGCACAGGCTCTGCTTGTGGCTAACTCCCCATCGGGGTGAGCCATGGACTGAATGCCAGCTGGCGATACACATAGTGGAAACGCGATTTCTCGATCAAATAGTGTGATTCTAGTTGAAATACCAGACACGTCTTTTAACACGCGTGGTAAAATGCGGTACTTCTGGTAGGCTGTCGAGTTCTCACGAACAGTGACTTGGTTTGTTGCACCTGAATTGAAGAAATCTGTGTGTCCAATTACCCCTCATTAGATGAAAGATGCGATGTGCGTTGATTGCTCCTGATTACCTCGAATTGCGACTGGCAACTTCCTGGAACCAGCTATTTCCAGATCTGCTATTGATAGAATTTTGTCGACAGTCATCCTGATATTGAAATTGTGATGCGTGAGTAATTGAATCTTGGTATCTGAGAGGCACAACGCTCCTGATCTCGAGGTTGGGGTTAGTCCCCACCTTGGAGCTGGGCGCCGCATTTAAGGTGGAACTTCAAAATGGATGCAATCGCTTCTCGTTCAGCCTCAGAATTTCAAAATCGTTGAGAACTACTATACCAGTAGTAAATTATGCATTTTGACTCTCTTGGCTCCAGCATTCCCTTTCCTATCGCGTTTTGCGCATTCGTTTTTGAATTAAACTGAGCACATGGGGTACAACCATGGAGATATATCTTCTTCACCTTGCATGGTTAAGGGATTCCCACCGCACAAGGTGATAGGTATATACATATATCGAAACTAAGTACAATCGTACTATGAGAAACAATGAATTTTGTTTGCTAAGCAGACTTTGAAAACTTTGTCCGATCATAAGGTTTCGGATATCTAGTCTCCCTCGGCTCATAGTCTTTCCCCGCATTGAGATATCGTCACGGATCTACTAGCACCTATATGAATCCTTGGATATTTATTTCCAGACCATATTTACTTGACAATTCTCACTTCAGATACTCAACCTCATAGTGCAATTTAGCTCTTCATGGATCTGCAAGCAAATTTTGCTCAGATTTTCACGGAGTTTCCCGGGCTGCCGCCTTTCCCGGACGATGTTCCCATAGCACCGCTTCTTCGGCTGTCTCTAGCGAAGCTGCTCTCAGGAGATACAGCAGAATGCGAGCGACTTTACGAAGCATCCGTGGAAATTGGTTTCTTCTATCTGGATCTTCAAGATTCAGAACATGGCATTTCTCTCCTTGGCGATGCAGATGACTTATTCGGTGTCGGTGAAAGGTTATTCGAGTTAAGCTTGGAAGAAAAGAAGAAATACGATTTTAGTACGCAGAACTCGTATTTCGGATATAAGGGCCAGGGGGTTGCAGTCGTTGACAAACAAGGAAACTTGGATCGGAATGAGTTCTATAATGTAAGGTTCAAGCGCTCACAAAATGAAGAAAGAGTAAACACTGAGAATATCAGATATCCAAAGACGATATCATGGGGATTACGGATACTCTACCAGCACCGGAAATCTTGCATGAAAATCGGAGCACGACCAAGTCGTTCATGCGTGGCTCACATGAGATCGTGATACTTATTTTGAAGATTCTGAATAACAAACTCAATCTGCGAGAAGGAACCCTGCAGAGTTTGCATCGGCTGCAAGGTATAAGCGGCGACCAGGTGCGCTTCATAAAGGCACCACCCCAGCCAGTGGACGACCGACGTACGGCGCTGGGACAGCATACCGATTTTGGTAGTGTCACAGTGCTTTTCAACCGTCTAGGTGGACTTCAAGTACTCCCACCCGGTGCGGATGCTGAATGGGTATATGTGCGGCCCCTGCCGGGTCATGCGATTGTCAACCTGGGCGATGCAATGGTGAAGTTCACCAACGGCCTGTTCCGGTCTAATATCCATCGAGTTGCGGCACCACCTGGGATTCAGGGAGACTGGACGCGGTATAGTCTGGTGTACTTTGCAAGACCAGAGGATAGCATAATGCTTCGTCGATTGGAAGGGTCACAGATAATTCCCCCCTCGAAGAAGGCCAGGAAGAGGAAGAGATCAACAGCAAAGATTGGATCATTCGACGGGCTCTGGGGAGACGTGTTGACCTTGTCGAAGATATTGATTATGAGAAGGCTGCAGGTACGGAGCAAATGAGTCGACGAATCAAGGTGTAACACAGAAGTAAGGAATAAAGATCGTGCAAGGAGAATAATATCAACAAGAGCTTCTGTTATTATCTTGTGTCAATGTGCTCAGCTTGCTCAATAATTAGGTACAAACAAGTATGCATGCACTTATTCGAGTTGAATACGACCGTATGAATTTGGAAAAATTGAATCACACCAAAATTCCTTCTATTGAAGAAGAAGCATTATCGCCTACCATTAGTGCTTTTATGGAGGAATTGACATAGAAATAAACTAACACTAGCCAATTCCTGCTCATTGATTCTGAGCTACAAATGAAGGTAGCTCATCTTCGGATCTCTTTTCCGCTTGTTTCATGAATATTATCCCGAACGGCCCCGACCCCTGAGCACGGCCTGAATTCACCTCGAAGATAGCACTAATGTTTTGATTTGAATCATGTTGATCGTCAGATCAGTCTCAGCTAGCAAAGACTGTCAGATCCACATCAGCCCCAGCGGCATCCCTTTGCCTATCCAGGCAAGAGGGTCTTCTCCCTGTCAGCCCTCCCAAGAGCAAAAACCTTAATGAGATGAAGGTCAACTATTTCTGCGAACTGACAGTTAGTTCCCTCTCCATCTGGGCTATTTGTTTGCTCTCCTCGATAGCTCGACCCGCCAGTCTGGTCCATGCCGGCCGTGCTCTGGCATTCCAAGAGACGCTGTCCCAAATAGAGCGGGGATTACGGCCGGAGCCCACGTAGGGGTGGCCCTCAAGAGGCAGATCCTACTGGATACCGGGATCGTGGACTGACGTGCCAAGTGCCAAAAGCAGCAGGAGACCTGTGTTTTCTTTACTTTTGGTGCCGGGGGGACTGCCTGTCGGGCATCATGTACGGGAAGTACGCATTAACTTTCCTGTGCCGATACCTCATCGGTTCCAAAAGGAAGGTGATTGATAGTCGAATATTGCATCTGGCAATGCAGGGCCAGGATAGGGTGTGAAGATCCCGCAGACAGCGTGATCCTTGTTCGATGCCTCAACGATAACTGGGCTGTCGAGTCCATCGCGAGACATGACCTGCAGGACAAGCAACATTGCTGACGCCACAAGAAGATACCAAGAATAATACCAGTATAATATATTACATTTTACATCTTAATCCTCGCCGCAGGCCCCCAACAGCAGGAATTTTGCCCTGGTCTTGATTGAAAGGTGGAGCTGGCGGAGCTGAGCATGATTCAGGAAATCTCTCGCTCGATTCGGTTAGTTGGCCGTTGAGAGGATCCATCGATCACTCCTGGATTTGCATCAAGCAATCAAACCCCCCAAGACTAGACCGCAAGGATGATATAGAGCCATTCCCGTACACCGTATTCCGTACATACATCCACATACATCATTGCAACGATGTGTGTCCTTGGGGAGGGGGACATTGCAGCTTTCCCCAGCCACCATTTCTATTCGGACCGGCCAACCAGATATGCACAGAAATCCCAACACTCTGGGTCCAAACTCACCCCCTTGCAGCGCAATGGCCCTTGCAAGGAGCCCGAGTCTATTATTTCTACTTTAATCGAAATCAAGATGGGCGAGATGGGGAGGCGTCCGATACATCGACATCCACAGGTCTCCGATATTTTGACGGCGTTACCAGCAACCAACGGCGAAGGATTCAGATCCCGGCGGCCGAGAGTGCTAGATTCCTTCGCTAGACAGGGGTTGACTTGTGACAGCGGGACGTCAATCGGATCGGGAACTCCGATGCAGTAGTTTTTCTGTACACTGTGCTCCGTAGTGCCCAAGTTACTGAGTTGGCAAGCTAGTCAGTTAATTCGTTGTCCCGGATTAGATGGCAGCTTACAGGAATGCAGCGATGACCACGGGATGCAGTAGTTGTGTAGCATCGCGTAGAGTATTTCCCCATGCCAGCATTTCCACGGGGCAACCTCGGGTTAAGGAGAGGACAAATTGAGGGGAAACAGTCCTTTGTGCAACCTGCCAGCACGGCCTATCCATCCATATGCGGTTTTACCAAGATCGCCCCGGAATCCCAGAATAAAAAGGGGAATGATGGGACTGTATCGAGGCTTCTCCGACCGTGGTCTTGCACAATCCAATAGTATCGATCTTTATACATCTTAAATATTCACCTACGCAATAGAGCCCAAGAAAACAAAAATAAAGGGTATATACTTCCCTATCCCAGAAAATTCGAGAAAATCAAGCGAACCAGAATCAAAGGAATAGCAATTATGAAAAAAAGCAAACATAAAACCAAAAAGAAAACAAAGTTAACATTTCTACTCTAGCGTCCATTCAGCCCCTCCCAACTCGCAGCCAAACTAGCCCAAAACTATCGGAAACTGTATCCACACCGATCAACCAACCAAATCACCCTCCAACATCCACCACCAGATCTATACTCAGATAGGCAAGAGTCTCTACAAGGCCAAAGCGCCGGCGCTGCGCTCCTTGGGCCCGGGAATGGCGCAGCCCAGTGCCATGGTGGTTTGCTCCGGGCCAATGGGTCTCTCCCGCGACCTGGTCAATGTCATTGTCGCCCCACTCGCCGTCCGATACCGTACCCTTGGTCTGCTGTCTGTACAGCGTAAGCGTACCATTACATACGATACCCAGCGCTATGCACAACCCCGGGTAAGAAGACGCCAGGCATGTCTGCGCCGGGACGGAGGGGCATTATGGCCGGGCATCTGTCCAACCTCGGGACATAGCTGTCAACCTGTCACTGGAGTTGTTGTTCTCTCTCGGACATAATCCCCTACATCAATGGGAATGGAAGGTGGAGGGGAGTTCCGCTCCAGGATGGAACCCACATTTCCCACGGCTCGGTCCGTCCTTTGCCCGCAAGGGTTCTGGACTCTGGCGGTGGGTATGGCCGTCGAAACGACTGGCACGGCGGAAGACCGAGTATTCAAGAGGCCGCGTGTTTTATTTTTACTTCTTTTCTGTATAGCTTCTCGGGGTGGCAAGCGTGGCAATGTTGGGTATAGATATAGGTCTCCCGATCTATATACTCCTGGGCGCAATTGCGTATCCGCGGCGATAGCATGGACTGGGAAGGGGGGTTATTTGGATAGCAAGGAAATCCAAACTCCTTCCTATCCAGCTATAGTGAGAAATAAACACATTGGGATGTGCACATAATTGACTCCACGCAGTTAGGAGCAGGCGTTCATCAGGGCCGTTAGCATAACGGGGATCTCGTACGTTTGTCAAGGATAGTGCTGGGGGTCGATGGGGCAGGGTAATCTACCGCAACAAGCAGGTGGGTTGTCAATAACGTCTCGGTCTATAGCCGAGTCAGGTAGGAGTAAGAACTTGGGCTGGCTATCGTCTTGGACCTACGAAGCATAGCGTGTCGGATTGTCTTGAATTCGGTGTATCGACAATTCCATTCTCTGTAGGCTGCCGACTCCATGGGCCGTCCAGATTGCTTAGTGTTCATAGTGGACTACGGATCGACTGGGACAACGGCGCGAAAGCCATGTCACACCCCATTTCAGATTGACTGCGGTAATCACCCCCCACCCCCCTCTCTTCCCTCTGGCGTGGATCAGTCGACTATTACCCTGTTGGGAATACTCGCCGGGCCTAGCATGAATTACTGGGCCTGTAAAGTGCAAAGCCAACATGCCACCAGCTGGAATGGAACAGACAGTTGAGACTTCGGGTCCGAGAGGATGAAAGAGATTACTCGGGGCGTTTTAACTCAAGAGTACAGAGATCTGAATGCAGTCGTGGATGTGTTAACATATACGAATGACGAGAATCAAAACTTTTTCTAGACACGGAAAATTTAGAGATCAAGACCACGGCTGGTCGAACGAAAACGTAGTATTTCATTCTTCGCAGAGCGAGTCAATGCACGTTTTTATATCTGTCTGCAATGGCCAAGTGCGAAAGAGGAAGTCCCAAGGACTAGTGACGGAAAGACTAGAGATATCGACGAAAGCAAGATCATGGGTAAAAGAAGCATGCAGGACTGATGGGGCATGAGAAGAAGAAAAAGTAAAGAAATATGGACCGCTATACAGGGAGGCTCATCAGTCCTGAATTTTGAGCGACGCTATTTTCTCTTCAACCCGTCGGACGACTTCCGGGTCTGGTTCTCGTTTGACTTTCTTCGGTCTAATAGAAGGGGGTGCGGGTTAGTATGTTATCAAGCCACATGTGATTTTGGGTAATGGATGCCGAACGGGTTTGCGATAAGGGGGAGTATAGACGTACGGAATTCGTATGGTTTCTGCACATTTCGCTTGCCCACATTTGGCACACGAATTCGCCCCTTCATTGAGCGAGGTATTACATATGTGACATATGTAGTGAACTCGGCGCCGTGGCTGCTTCCATGTTCGTTCGGGTTTGAGCATGAGCTTGGGCGGTTCCTCGTCTCCTGGGAATCCATCCGGATATTTGTCTGGTTTAGGAGGATCGCGTGGACATCTCTTGCAGCGCACATGCTTGCAAGACTGGCACTCTTTCGATCCGGGAGCGAAAACGGTATCGCAAGAGTGGCAGGTACGGCGAGTCCGCTGGCGAACAGTCTTGAGGACGAAATCTTGGCCACCGGTGCGGGATGGCATCGCCAATGGCGCGGCCGGATTGCCAGTGAGTTTCAGATGGGGTGTCATTGGCAGGGAACCGGGCTGGCGAGCGCGGATTTCGGGGATCCGGGCCCGGGGCACTTTTGGATGTTCCTCATCCTTCTCGTGCGCGGGCGGGAAGCGTGGACATTTCTTGCAGCGCGGATGCTGGCAATTGACGCAGACCTTGTCGGGACCGAAGGTGGTATCGCAACGGTGGCAAGTGCGGCGCACACGCATGCGAATTGGTTTGGTGACTCGAGTGAGCTGAAGATCAGTCGGCGATTTCCACTCGCCGGGCTCGAGAGTCAGACCATATTTGGCGAAGAGCACCCGCGCCTTTTCCTGTTGAATAGCGCTGTAATCGGTGAGCATGTCTGGATCAGCACCGGTGGATTTGCGGGCTGGGTTGGCGGCAGCGGCACTATTATCAAAATCATGCCTCACATTAGTATGTCTCGAAGGAATTGAGCGATTCAATGTTCCCTCGCCATGACCACGCGGGAGATTATGAAGCCATAGCGTTCAGGACTGGAGCTCAGCAGGGAGAGAAAAGCGTACGGTGTATCTGATGGGCCCTCGAGGACCGGGGTTGTGCCCGCCACAGAATGACGCTTGTTACCGGAGCGCGACCGCAAGACAGTCTTCATGCGCTTCAGATATTTGGACAAGCCTGGTGGCTTGTCCTCGCCCGGGCGGCCGGGAATGTCTTGCGTGGACATGGTTTGGCGGAGGGGGGGGGGGGAATATCGGGGTGGGCTTTCTATGCAATAGGGCCGTGGTGGCGGAATGTGATGGCGAATGCTCGGTCGGCGATCGATGGGGAAGAATAACGAGCGAAGATCACTTCATTCCATCCAGAATAATTCTTTCTCGGTGCGACCTGAACTAGGCCTGTCGTCCGTCGGGGAGAATTTGGGGCGGAGGGGGCGAGTCCAATATAAGCGTCCAGGCGAACTAGGTTGTAGTTGGGAGACGAGGGTCAGCGCGACCCGACCCGTGGAGTTGGGATTCCAAGCGACCCGGCGCAAAGGGTCTTGCTGTGTTGAATACAGGGAACACCCGGCAGAGGGTGATGTGATAAGTCAAGACGGAGGAGGGAGAGGTGGAAACCCTGAGTACTGGAGAAGGAAATGAAGTGAAAAAAAACCACGGTGGACAAGGCCTGCTTTAATTCCGCAGAGAAGTCGAGGAAGCAGAGGCAAAGTAGGAGGAGCGGAGCTAATAATAAGAATCCCGAGTACAGTTTGGCTCATGAGGCAACCGAGTGGGAATCTTACCGTACCTGTTTGGCGGGTAACCTGAGTGCACGGTATACTCCGTACTGTGGGAGTCGGTATGGTATGGAGGGACGGTATATTCTTGATTTTGAAAAGGGTTTTTTTTTTTTTATCTTTTTTTTATCTTTTTTATTATTATTATTATTTTACATCGATGGCAATGTTCCCGGGCACATGGGCAAGTCTTCGGTAGGGAGATGGGGGGGGGGAAGGCGGGCTTGGCTTGGGCGAGGGGGGCCACGTCCCGGGGCTCTGGGTCGGGGTGGACTCGGTGGTATGCAAGTTCACTGCCCCCACTCTCGGTAATCCCCGTAATCTCCGTAATCCCAATACCCCTCCCGTACCGTACCCAGTGCCCAGGACCCCCTGATGCAGCACGCCAGCATCAGAAGGTGTCATGACACGGAACCGACCATAATAATAGGCTTGTATCGTTGTTTCACCGAGTCAAGAGTCCAATCCCTCCCTAACCACCTACCTAGTCGGGTCAGCACCCGTTGAGAGTTGAATAATCGAGAATCAACCATGCCATCTCTCGGAATCATGAGAGGTCCCCTAATCATCTGAATTCTCCGTCGAATGATCCGAGCTGTGGAGGGAGAAAAAAATACCAAATGAAATTGCTCACGACCGAAAAATATCCCCCGGAACCCCGGAATGGTTTCATGAAAAACAAGAGCAAACTTGGAAAGCCCAAGATCACGAAGAGCCAAGGCCTTGACGCACAGATTGAGTTCACAAGGCTCACGAGAACCGCAGATTATGTCATGGTGTGATACCTCGCGATACCTCAGCCTCTAGTACTTGGGTGCAGGCGGTGATCGCAGCATGATACCGGGCACCAGGTACTGGCACAGTACGGCCACAGCGATTATCCCTGGCCGGTAGTCCCTGGCCGGTAGTCCCTCTTCTCTGGACAGAATGCACGATGATCTATCCCTCGTATGTCCTATCCCAGATCCAGGTGCGACAACCATCAAATCAATAGACAGCACGGCTAGAGCTTTCTCTCCACCCACCGCTTCTCCTGAGGTGTCTAGACTCCCCACGAAGATGATCAAGGGATGATTGACTACGAGGTACGGAGTCCGGAGTATAGCGTGTCCAGGTCGATCCGAGGCCAGGAGAAGGGGCGGGGAACATCGCCAGAGACGAGCATCCGACGCATTTTAGTCTTTACCCATCTGGCCCTCTCCCCCACTTGGGCGGGCCCCCGGAGAACCAACCCTACCTAGCCGGGGCTTGGACCGTCTTCAAACACGGCCAGCGCGCTGAATACACCACAAAATAGAGCCAGACAACCCTTTGAAGCTCCTGCCTCAAATGGACGAGCCCGAGTATCAGACCATCGGACGCCAGTCCAGAGCGAGCCGACCAACGCCTTCCCCCCCCCCCCAAATACGGCGCGTACTCTATACTGATACTGTGTCCTTACTTTCACATCTCTCCTTCTTCTTCAACCCCCCTGTCCATGCTGATCTATCGTCAGTCACTTCAGTTCTCTGATGCCCAGCCTTTCCCCCCGGACACTCCAGGCACAGCGTGTATCCATTGTGCTAGGGCCCTAGCGTCAACCTTCAGGCACGACCCAGCATCCAGCCGCCGCCTCGTCATTGGGTCCCGAAAATTCCTCTGCGCGTCTCGACGCACCGAGAGCATGATATATATTTTCGTGACATGTAGGTCTTGTACTCAGTACCTCTTGCCATCCCATTTGATTGCGCCTCGCGGACGATGTGGTCTCCTTGTAGGTTGATCTGGTGCCAACTCCCGATCGTCCGATGGCACAGCGGGAAAGGGAGGACAGAGTGGGTCGTAACCATTAGTGGTCTGAACCAAACGGAAGTACCCGTTCTGCTCGGTGGCTTTCCAGAACGAGTGCACTTCCACGCGGGTTCGAGGCCACAAAGGGCTTGATGGAGCTCCCGGCTGCCCCGAGTTCTGCCCCATTGTTTAGTAAACTCCCCACCCCCCTTTTTGATCCCCATTGTGCGCTCGCTTTTCCGCTTGGTCCTCTGGACTGGCTAACTGCCCTTTTCCCACTCCCCTCGCGGGATGGCCCGGTGTATGGGCCCATGGGAAATGACGATCGTGGATCAGGAGTGAACCAGCAGTTAACTCGGCAAGTGGATGAGGATTGTTGACCTGCCGGGTGGAGATCCATCTGCCGAGATGGAGTCGAAGTCGAAGATCATCTACGATTTGTGTAGTTTCTTTCTCTTCCTCCCTTCTTTTTGATAGCGAGTGACCGAGTTGTTCTTTGATACGGAGTACTCTGTATACTACCGACTTGTATCCTTGTATACACCCACTACACCCATTCGGCTGCAGTCTCTCGCATTGGATCCCCCCTCAAAACTCTCCTCAGCTCTTCGAATGATGGCCCCGGAGAAAGTAATTCTGCATGTACGGAATACGGCACGCTACGCTGAATCTCGTGTAGACAGGAAAAATATCCCCCTCTCCCTCTCCGACGTGGCCACAAGCCTCGTCCAGGCACGCCATGCACCACGTCAGGGCGCTTCGAGATGCATGAGGCCTGCGAGAGGGTATTGCTGGATTAACTTTCCGGCGCACAACTCTGTATCAAATCATTGAATTATGTCAATGGCTTCACGAGGGCGCTCCAGTCAGGCAGTGCACAAAGCAACATCCTGGTTATACTTTGTTTCGTCTGGCGCCCAGGCTTTACGGCGACAAACGAAGTATGTCCTCCGTTCTCAGCCCCACCCCACCTCTCGGTGACGATCAATAATCTAATAATCAATATCCAGCCAGAAACAATCATCCATCTCGCCACTCGGCCCCCCCCTCCTCTGAAGGAAATCATCGACCCAGTGGTCTGGAAACCACCAGTGGGATTGCCCCCAGCAGTCTTTGGGGGTACCGAACAACAAAAGGCTCCTCGTCTCGCTGCCAGCGCATGGTTCAACAAGCTATGCACCCATTTGCCCCACAAAACACCCTGCAACTCTGGCCCTCCCCTTCAGGACAAAAGATACTGTAGATATGGTGTTGCGATGTGGCCTCGCCGACCGTTCCTCGATCGCGGGCCCTGGGACGGCCCAGTCTAAATCCACCGGCCATGCATCATGCATGACACGGGCAGTCGGAGGCGGCCCACGGAAGCGAGAAGGACCAAAGAACGCGCATCAGCCCCCAGCAGAAAGGCGTTCATGGAAGATTCTGCGATCTAAGTCGTCGTCTACTGATGCGGGCGCCTCGCCATCTCCAGGCGCGAGTTCCGGGCCTAGCGGTGAACGCAAAAGTGCGATGCAGCGGCCACGGTTTAAGGCGAGTGGAACGGGACCAGTAGAGACTCCCCCCTTCGGATCCTGGGCTTGCGATTTGATGGGCGATATCGATCTGGCGAATCTGACTTTGAACTATAGCGCGCCGGACTGTCTGACTACGCCGAACTACTGCGGAGCTAAGAGCGCCGCGTACAGTCCCCGCTCTTCACTCTCGTTCCCGCTTTCGAGGACCAGCGCCTAATATCATGGCCATCACCTGCTTCGCAAGTTGGTGCAGTCGACACTCTTCTCATGGGCCCAGTTGATGGCGTGAGAAGACAAGTCAAGGGAAAGGATGGGGACAGCGAATCGACGGCGTCCAGGGTGCTTTTCGCGTATAGGGTTTTCTATATCCAGCGTCACAGTGGTAGTTAACGGGGGCATACAGTCGCAGCAGTACAGAGAGGATACACTCGTAAGGACAGAGACAAGGCGGATCCGGATTCTCTCTTCTCGGGCTCACTAGCCCCGCTGGGGGCTCTCAGGTCAACGTCGCTTGATCATTTCTGGGCGAACTGTATGACTCCGACCAAACAACACCCCGGTTGCTCGAGACTAGTGGGCACTGCCCGTGTAGCGTAACAGTTCACCATTACAGATTGTCTGGCCTTTCTGACCACAATTTCATACCCCGACTGCCGGCCAATCTGGCTGTGCAGAGTGCCTGGTGGCGAGGGTTCGGGGGTGAGGAGTGACCTAAAACGTCAAGTATTTGAGATTCAGTCGCCCACGGTGTCGGTATCCAACCACCGGTGCCGATCGGGAATGGGCACCACGGGATGACCACCGAAAGGCGAAGACTGTTTCGCGTCCCTCGTCGCCCCGTCGCCTCAAATCCCTCTGCAGCGGCGCTGGCCAGCGTACTGGCCTACTTGGATTCCAATCGTCTTATGTTTGTCCCAAATCGAGTTGTCCCAGATCGAGGTTCTCACCGCCTCCCTCACCCCCCCTCCCCAGTCCTGAACCAGCCCCTTGGAGCCCGCTCATCCTGGTTTCCTGGTTTGCTGGCAGCATGGTTCGTTCCAGCAGGTGGTCAGTGCTGTCACCAGTGCCCCGGGTGCCAGATCAGCACGATTGATTTGAGTTTGGTGGGGATTATGTGTGTTTTGTTTTGCCCATGCCCACCCCTCTGAGGGCTGGGTCCTGCTTCCCTGCACTGCTCGGGGTTTCCTGGTCTCGACACCCGATCGCCGGGTTGGTCGCAGTGGGTCCGTTGGAGATATGCCCCCACTTAGCGGGCCCTCGTGCCGTTCATTGCCCAGTGGAGTGGAGTGGAGCAGGGGTTTGCGCTGGATATGCGGCCCAAGTGGAGACTCTCCGTTTTCCCCCCCCGGACATTGGAGAAGGTGTTCTTTGGGCATGTTTTCGTGGTCGCACAAGCGCAGGTTACCCGACAGCTTTACAGCTGCAAAGTGTCTGACCATATGTTCGGTACATTCAGCTCGTGGACTTACTATGAGGATATGGGGCAGTATCTATGTACACGGAGCACCTCGGAGCCTCTCCGTCCTTGATCACATACTATGACAAGACAGCGGTACTGTCGATACGTAAACTGTCCCTTGAACCATCCAGCTGTACTGTTTACGGCTAAAAAGTGAAAAGAACGGAGGGAGGCCATGAGCCATTTTAAAGTCGACTGGGAGCCCTGGAAGAAGGATAATGGCAAAAGTCCGTCGAATAACCGGATCGGATGGGCCGAAGTACAAGCTGACTGCAGCCAAACAGACAAATGATCAAGACGAGACAACACCTCTAGGAGAAGCCTACCCAAAGAGAAAGAAACCACCGCATGAAGCGAATCTCAAAAGCACCCGAGATGCTGGTCAATATCCATGCACGGGATGGTCCTCTGGGTATAGAACATGCTAGGCCGGAGCACAGTACCAAGTCTCACGCAGATCGAGTTGATTTCATGGAATACATTGAATTTACTCCAGGGCTCATGCGCCCGGCTCATCGGAGCTCCGTACTATACTACTCAGTACATACATACAGAGAACTCGCGTCGCAAGTCCCAGCTACAGTAACCCTCTATTTGTCATAATACTTCCGGCAAATATCCCTCCAATATTCCTTCCCAGGAGGCCACTGCTTCTATGTTACTCTTGGCATGCGCTTCTGTGCATCTGTCTCCTCTAATCCGGCGACCCTCCCCTTTGATCATTATGTATTGTTAATTAAAAGGGCATTGAGGTGAGACACCATCCACCAACGAGGCCTTGCTATGCTGCGCATCAAAGCCACCAAAACCAGGATATTTTTGCCACCAGGCTCAATGGTGTGTCCGTGTTCTGGGACCCAGCATCGCTGAGTACTACCCCTCTTCATTCCAGGCGCATACTGCAAACCATAGCCACATATGCCTTGTATGCAATGGCATGGGGGTGTCGAGCCCTAGATGAAACGATCAGGGCGGTGATATCCTATCCGATCGTCATCCATGACGCCCGCGGGCGGCTAAAGCAAGCCAGAAAGAGGAGCATCTCTTGCTCGAATGCCCAACCGGCGAACGCCGAGTGTCACAGAGTGCATATCCTGGGACCAGCGTCTCCACTATTCACAGGAGCAAAGAGGACCAAGGAGGGCTGAATATTGCGTCCAAAGAGCCCAAAGAGCAGGAAATTACACAGAATGAAGGTTTGACGGGAGGGGATGGGGAGAAGTGTTTAGTGGATGGGCCAGAGAGAGAGAAGGGGGAGGGGGCTAAGCTGGCAAAGTGGGTGGGCAGAGCTGAACAATGGCCAATGGCTGGCGGTGATCTCCATCGGCGCCTTCCAGGTCTCGAGGCAATTGGGCCAGGGCGCTACATGGATCTACAAGTGCATCATGAGGACGAGATCTCAAGCTGGGCAGAATGTAGGGACTATTCGTAGATCATCACGATTCCCGGAGGACATCTGTGCCTGGCCGGACAGCGTGTGAACTGGGAAGGGGGCTTGCGATTCGTTGGGGATACGGGATTTAGCGTCGTGAAGAACGCCAGGCTTAGCTGAATGCGGCCCCTGGAGAGCGAACACATCCTGGGATGGTACCGGAGGATTGGGAGGTCAGGAGCCTCTACGAGATCGATACTTTCGAATATCCCGAAAGGGCAAGAGAAGGGGGTTCTGTCACGGCATTTGCGTCGATCATTCTAGCGTATTAGAGGTGATGCTGCGCGGCGAACCCGAGCAGACACCGCTCAGACAAAGCAATAGACTCAAAATTCGGGCTGTCAAATCCCTTGCGAAATTGATTAGCTTGGAGATGCAGGCGGCCCGTTGTAAATCATTGTGATGGATCGTGCAGCTGGACGCCCAGCTGGATGTCCAGTGCCAGATCTATCTTCTCCAGCCCTTTATGATATTGCGTTGCCAGAGTCAGCCTCCCAGTAGATATTGATGCTGTCATCGTGCACACGTCCACTTTGCTATTGTGGTCTTTTCACTTGCGCACGAAGATTGCTATCTCCGTCGAGGCGCCTCTCGTATACAAGACTCCATCCATCTCCTGAGTATGTTTTCCTGAGAGGCATAGTCCATTGCGCTAAAGAAAGAGGGTTGGAAGCACTTGGTCCTGATGGAGTCATATAAATATCTTACTCAGAGCTGGCTAGCCGAGATGCGATGTCGATGATATCGTCCTCACTCTGCGCTTCAACCACCCGGTTTACCTGCGCAGTGTTACGCATAAGCTCCACGGCGCCAGCATACATCATCCGCTGCGATGGATTGCAGTTCTCGGGGAGGAAGTAGAGGAGGACATAAGGGACAGAGAGGCGGCCAGAACTCTAGGAAGCAAGCTCGCTACATTAGCTCCATTCTCATAAACGCCGGTTCACGGTCATGGACTTCACTCACTAGCGTCAGTGGATGGCTGAGTAAAATGAAGCGGGGTGAGGATTCAGGCAAGTCGTCAGCCAGGTCCTCCATCTTAGAATAGACCTCGCCGTCCTGGGGCCGGATCTCCTGGCTCTTTGCATCGATGATATCTGTGGATGGCAGACGTCAGCCCATCTCTTGTCCAAAATCTGGTGTAGCCATGTTTTTCATCTTCAAAAGGGGCCGATGTCGATCTTGTAAGGATGGAAGAGCGCCGGTTTGAGGTGGGTTCGAGGTTCATACAAATAACAGCCTGCGGGTCTTTGGCTCGCGATGTGCCCAGGCGAAACTTGCGCAGCGCTTCCTTTGTCTCCGGGGAGAATGAATACAATCGGGATTCCGACTAGGGATATCATTAGCTGTTTGTCTGAGCTGGCAGGAGTATTGGTTTGAAAGGGCGCTGGTTGTCGTCAACGTCTCCGGACTTGTGGTTGCACTCACCATGCTGGGCAGATTGCGGGAAGTGCGTATTTTGATGCGGGATAAACAGGAAATAGGGAACTCTGAGTTGAGATCGCGTAGCCTTGGAGGTTTCTGCGGCAAAGAACTGTTAGGGTCCGCGTGGATCAACGCGGTGGAGAGCGCAAGAAAGAATGCGGGAGGTCGTGATGTGCTCGAAATGCGGGCGGAGTCTCCCCTTTCCCCTCCCCCACTTTAAATCACAGTCAACTCCAGACGAGCACTGACTCTCCGCCAACGTCCTCACGAACAGATTCCCTTGATGCTCAACCGACTCAATCTTCTTGCTCGCCACGTTTCTCGCCCCTTCGGATCGCCCCGTCCTGTTGCCTCGGCTCTTTCAACATCGTCCTTGGTCCCGCGCCCAGCTCCGTCCGCGATGACATCAGCCGCGCACGCAAAGCCCATCCACACGGCTGCTTGCCTGATTATCGGCGATGAAGTGCTCGGTGGAAAGGTTCGAATCTCCGGAAACCCCTGCCTTGTCAACCAGCCCGATATACTGACGATGCTGCGGCTTCCAATCTCCAGACCATCGACACCAATTCTCCGTTCCTGGCCAAGTTCTGCTTCGGCCTCGGCATCCAGCTGAAGCGCGTGGAGGTGATTCCAGACGATGAGGAGGATATTATGGAGGCAGTGCGTCGCATGAGCGCTCGCTACGATTTCGTCGTCACCAGCGGAGGCATTGGCCCAACGTGCGTACCTCTCTCCAATACATCCCTTCAAAAACAAAGTCTTCCTCTTTAGCCAGGATCACCCCCCTTCCTTTTCTCTCTCCCCACACAAAGCTGCACCAAAACATCCCTGCTAATGGCTGCATCACATTCCGAACAGACACGATGATATCACCTACCAATCCATCGCCAAGGCCTTCAACTTGAAGTTGCAACTACACCAGCCCGCCTTTGAGCGTATGAAGAAACTGTCCCGGCCGCACCCCATGCAGCCCAACTTTGACTGGGAGACTCCCTCCCCTGGCCTGACTGCAAAACTGCGCATGGTCGAGCTACCCTTCGACCCGGCGATCCCAGCCGAGCACCAGGCTCTCTTCGTCGCTGACGACATGTGGGTGCCCATCGCGGTGGTCAATGGCAACGTGCATATCCTCCCCGGCGTGCCCCGCCTGTTCGAGCGCCTGCTGCAGAACTTGAAGCCGCACCTTGTCCCACGCCTGGCCGACCCCGAGGGCAAGGGTACGTTCCGCTTCCTGTTCAGCACCCCGCTGCCGGAGAGCGCGGTTGCGCCGTACTTGACCGAGTTGGCGGCCAAGGTCGAGCCGCTCGGTGTCAAGGTCGGTAGCTATCCCCGCTGGGGGAAGAAACGGAACACAGTGACGTTGGTGGGCGCCGATAAAGCGTTCTTGGAGTCGCTGGTGCCGGAGGTTGAGGAAGGCGTGCAGGGCAAGCACGTTGAGAAGGAGGATGAGCTGGATCCTCCGTCGGATTCGGAGCACATCTATAGTCAGTAGAGGAGGACGGGTCTCCGGTTGGAGGGCCTGTGTATCATACCATCTGATTTGGGACATGCATTTTCTTCAGTTCGCTTTTTCCCTTTCACTCTACGACATGTATAGAGCACCCTCAAATATTCAATATGATTGAATATTGATACATTCAGTGTTTGTTGTATCTTGCAATTGGGGCACCGCACCGCGCTAAACGATGCTAAAGCATAACTCGATTGAAGTATAGAAGTGCCTTGAGTTCACCAAGGTTCTCTACTCCATAGATTTATATAGATGTCAAATGCTCTACATATTCATTTCGATCTCCTCCACATTGAATCCAAGAGCATCATGTACACCACCAGAATAGGAAGAACTCCCTTCTTTGAGGAACATATATTGACAGCCATGTCGTCTCGGGTTCCTGAGATCGACAAGATCGTGGATACAATAAAATAAAATAAAATAGGCGGGTGGAGAAAAAAACAACGTAGATGACCAGAAACAATTCTTTCGCGGACCAAATAAAGTGATAATAAAAATGAAAGATGGCGCAACAATAATAAAAGACGCAGGAGGGAAAACAAAAGGGGAATCAATATGTTTCATGAGACGAGGGTGTTGGCGTCAAGGGGATCGGCAGTCATCGTGCAACGAGCTGAAGCTTGCGAGCCTCGTCCAGTGGACAGGGAAGAGCGGTATAAAAGAATCACCCCCGGCGTCCTGCAGCACAAATCAAACAAACCACTTTCTTTTTCTTCTTTTTGGTTTCCAGTGTAGTCTTCCCAAATTCCGGCTTCTTTCCTTCTCCCAAATATGGCGGGAGCGATGAAATCCCCCCTGCCCTTGTTTCGCGCTCGCGTATCCCCTTCCATTAACTTCAAATCCGTTCGTTCGCACTCGTTTTCCGACGTATGTGCCGCTCCCGACTCGTGCCCCCACTGCGTATCGGATCGAGGGGGAACCATTCATTAACGTGCTCTCATTGCTTTTTTTCCTTCTTCTCTTCCTTTTCAAAAGCTGGACGTATTGTGGGGGCATTGGGTGAGAGAGCCAGGGAGGAGATATGCCACCTTACATGATAACACACTTGGAACAGCAGCCGGCGCTCTCGCCCGGCTCACTGACATCCATCTTGTTATCGGGGGCACGAGCACCGAAGGCGCCGGAGCCGGAGGGGTAGGAGGACATTTCCTTGTTATAGCGGCGGATCTCGCGGACGAGGTCGTAGAAGGCGTTCTCGACATTGATGCGGGACTTGGCGGAGGTCTCGATGAACTTGCAGCCGAACTGTCGGGCCAAGGCCTCACCCTCTGCGCACCGGAACCTTTGAATTAGCCTTGTGTTCTGCCAAGGATCTCGCAGGGCATGTTTATGGGGAGAGGAAGGGGCAGTTGGGGGGGCAATTGATATTGAGATTTGAGAGTTGAGATTGTGAAGATTGTGAGAGAACTCCCCGGGAAGGGAAAAAGGAATGACATGGTGTTTACCTTGCTCGGAGACCACGCGCTCCTTGTCCAAATCACACTTGTTGCCGACGACGATGATGGGGAAATAGTCCTTATCCTTGACGCGCAGAATCTGCTGTTGGAAGGTCATGATTTCTTCGAACGATTGGCGCGATGTTATGGAGTAGATCAGAAGGAAGCCTTCGCCAGTCCGCATGTACTGTTCCCGCATTGCTGAATACTCTTCCTGGCCGGCTGTGTCCAGGACATCCAATAAGGCGACCTCATCGTCGATTACGCACTGCTTGCGGTAGGAGTCTGGCGGAGAAAAAAAAAGGACGAGATATTAGCCAGCAATTCCGAGGCGAGCATAGGCGCAGAGTTCCGGGAGAGTCCGGGGCTCGCACGTAGCAAGGAGCAAGACTGGTTCGCGGGTGCGCTCACCTTCAATTGTCGGGTCGTACTCGTCCACGAAGTGACTCTGGATCAGCTGGATGGTCAAGCATGATTTTCCAACGCCACCGCCGCCGACAACCACCAACTTGTACTCTCGTAGGAACTAGGAACACGGGCGAAGATGACATGGTCAGCCATGATGGAAGTTCTCGCAATTGCGGAGGCGCGGAGGCGCGTAGAGATCAAGGTCGAAAGGGAGAGGCGTGGACCAGAACGTCGGCGGGGGAAAGCAGGGTTGGAAGGGGGCCTGGCGGTCAGGCACAGGGTCGATCGGGGCTCACCTTGGAAGCCATTCTGAAGGAGAATCTATAAAAGGGAGCAAACGAGGCGGAACTTTCTCCCGGCCGTGTAAAAAGGGGTGAGGGGAAAGTGTGGGAGATGAGGATCGAAGAATCGGGAGGGCGATCAAATTATCCGCGATCGCAGGAATTCAGGAGCACCTGAGACTTGTGCCGAGGGAGACGAGTTCACCAAGCAGATCAGCAGGAACGCGAGGAGATCAAAAGCGAGCCCGGGACTGAAGGGGGTTTGTCGGGCTGGTGTCAGGTAAGTGAGTGGAGGAGGAGCGTAGGGGGGTGGGAAGGCCAACGGGGGGGGGGAAGAATAGGGAGAGGTTCGGAGCCGTCGAGCGGGAAAATAATGGAGAACTGGCTGAGCTTCTTTTTGTTCGTCTCGGTGGAGCCCGCAAAGAACCCGGGATATATTAAAAAAACCAGTGGTCCAATGACAGAGGGAACAAGCAGAGTCGACTTCAGTAATCACAGCACAAATTGGATGCTCGAGCAAATCACCAATCAAGGAATAAATTAGAGTGGAGGAGAGCAACGGGCACAGGGGCAAGGAGAACCCGATGATATGAGAATCGCCTCCTATATACTAGCTTCTACAAACGGACGAATAGACATGAGATATTGCGGCAGACTGGCCAGAGAGAGTTCCAGAGCAAGGCAGATCCGAATCAATTCATAGATCGCAACCGAAGAGGACCGAAAAGGGCCATGCCCAAACGAGGGCGAAAGTGAAATTCAGGAGATCGGGCGACAGTCTGATTGGGCCAGTGGGTTTGGGCGTGCTTGAGTTCCTTAGGCTGCCGGGGGGAGAAAGAGGCGGGCTGTTCCCGGGGAGGAACACCGGCGCCCTGGGCTTCATAGGGGCGGGGGGGTTTAACGGGGGGCTTGGATAGTTAGGCTCGCGAGTGCTTTCTCCTATGCATCACTGCATGGGTGATTGCGCTGGTCTCGGAGCTGTTTAGGCTGTGCTCATTCGGCATGAAACAATTGACTGTGCCCGTCAATCGTGCAATCATTCAATCAGCATAGTCATGCAGAATGTGCTAGCGGGGCTGGCGATGCTGTTGCTGCGGCTGTTCTACTCCGGTACTATGGGATTATCGGGAGCGACAATTCAATTGCTTTCTCTTAAATATGGTTTCTCTTTGTCCTCCTCTCATCCTCCCCCTGTCCCCTCTGTGGCGTCCTCGGGACTTCAGTTTGCGTGGGAAAGGGTCAGGCTCTGCCGCTCGGCGCGACTAAATATTACAGCCTCTGGTACGCTACTCACTGGTCTCCCGGCGGAGTGGCCCCAGTCCGGATTTTTCCTCGTGAACGGACCCAACATCGCGAGAGAGAACCAACAGTATGCCCGCTAGGCCTGGCGCCATTGGGGCCCGAACATGGGAAGCAGAGCAAAGATCAGGAAACAATCGACAAGCAACTCGCAATCACCTGCACCCAACGTGATACCCTCGTTGGCCTTGCCGGCCTTACTGGCCTCGCATCCACTGAGTACTGCAGACTCCATCGCGCCTGGAATCCAGTCTCCTCCAGACTCAAGTGGATCGGGCTGGTGGGGGATGGGCCCCTCTCTGCTCTGGGCGCTGAAGGGAATCGGGTTTAGTCCGCACGCCTAGCGCTGTGATGCCTGTGACGGGGCACACACAAAGGGATCCTCGGGAGCTCGCTGGATCTGACGTCCGGAGATAACCTGCACGACGACCTATCACTTCGGCCAGACACACTCAGGGATGGTCTGGTTGGGCACCGCAGAACGACACCGCATCTTGGTCAGTCGGCTCTATCAATCTTGGCTTTCCGTTGCACCTGGATGGCTTGCAGGACAAGCCCACCTTGCAGCCCGATTGCATCATCCCGGCGCTCCGTTCGATCCTGTGTCGACGATGATGTACAGAGCAGATACGAGGTACGCAGGACAGAGCATAGGCTCCCTAGAGTAGGACTGTATTAGAGGATATAGAGGGACAGAGTACATAGCTGTGGGTAGCTGTGGATACGACGGATGTTCCTTCGTGCTTGGCTGTGAAACTGTCTCCCTCGAGAACCTCGTTTTCAATTGCCTCGAGACACCTCTCACATCAGAGAGATGCCTCTTTTGCCTTCTTTCCCTTCTTCCTTTTGCCGACATCGACTTTGCTTCTTTGGAGAACGGAGAGTCCCGCTCCTATCCCTGACACTTTTGCCCGATGATCGTCCCGATCCTGTAAACTGAGACACGCATCACGCCGTCGTTGGCATCTGCGAAATCTGCAGATCAGAGAAAGGTGATCCATCCCAAACTCCATTCTCCGCATTTTCGGCTTGGCACCGGAAACCTGACGAAAAGGGCTATGCAATTACAAACAGTGAAATTCGATCTACAGAATATCACAATTCGGACGGAGTGTATACGAGTTAATATGTAGAAGTACCATCGAGTTATCGTGCTCCCCATCGCGCTGCTGATCGGGATTGTCGACGTGTGAAGAACTAAAATTAGTGGATAGCATGGACCACTGTTGGGATTAAGGGTAACGATCATCTACAACAAGACTATTAACCCGGTCTGCCGCAAAGGTTCTCGTTTCCACTTTCCACCAAGAGAGATTTTGGTGGGATCATCGTAAGATTGCGCGCGGGATCTACTTCGTCGTTGCTCCAGCGCGGCCGTTGGATATCCAGGGTTCCTCGCCGGGCGCGATGCCCCTCTCATCCTAGACGAGGGGACAGTGCGAAGGTCTTTCCACGGAAATCACAAAGTTAATTACTTGCGCTTCCTGTCTTGTTCTTCTGGGAAATGACCGATGGTGAGAGAGGAAAGCTAGTCCTACAAAGACTTCTAGGTTGAATGCTGGAAGTTGCCTTCACAGTATGGGGAGACCTAACTATTAGCCTCCTGAAGGAAGCTTGCGACAACCAGAAATGCCCGACAGTCAGCAGCCTGTATGGATCCTTGCATCTCTCTGCTTCCTTGCAGATTAGCGCCTCAGGAGATGCTTTTCTTTTGATTGATTGATCAAACACTTGGAAGTACTCTCTGATACGCACGGTCGGTGACAGCTCACGGGCATGTTTCTGCAGGTGTCGGGTTGCGGTAACTGGCTCAGCGTCACGGCTACCGAGATCCGAAGACACAGGACTGGTGAAGGTTTATTCTGAAATCAACTGCCGTCCAGTTCCTTCTCATACCCGGCCTGGGCGCTTGGGTAAGTTAGAAGCTGGTATCAAGCGTTGATTCGGTGTATGGCCATAGTGCCCGATAGTAAGTCTGGCAGCTCCAGCGATTTCGACAGAAGAAATATCAGAGAATCAACACCATCAAAGAATATCTGATGAACTTTTGGAGAGAAGGAATATAAGTTGACAGTTAGAGAAAGCACTTGAACGACCAGAGTCCACTGTGCCCAATGGAATGAAGAGGGGCCATGCAAAGAGCCGCAATGTTCCAGGGAAACAGTCTTGACAGGTGGTCGGCGCCAGACTCACCCCCAATCACCTTCCATGCACTCTAGATCCTACATCTTTCATTCTGTTTTTCGACCGACTTCTCCGGCAGTCTGAACTGTTCCCTCAATCTCAAAATATGTCATCAGAATTACAAACAAATAGTCTCTACGTGGTATTATTCATCCGCAACGAGCCACCCCAACCGAATGATTTCCACTGGGCGCTTTACCTCCACCAAGATGCTACAATGGGCGGCAAGAAGTACCACATCAAAACAGTTGGCCCTGGTTGGATTCCCGACCATGGGCCCTGCTCAAAAATATCGAAAGAGTTCCTTCTCGTGGGCCTTTTTCGTATTGCGGACGTGCCTCCCAGCTACCACACCTATCTTGATGAAACCCTCAGGTCATATGATGACAATTTGAACACACCAGGAAATACGTGTCGCATTTGGGTGTTATCTGTCCTGGCTCTTCTTCAGCAGCCAGCGAATGGTGCCACAATTTTTGACTGCCAGGATCTTCCAGCTTTGCAAGAGGAGATCTTCCATTGGGGGAATGCACATGCTCAAAGTGCAGCAGCCAACAAGCAGCCTCGACCCACCGGATCTTCGGCACTATGCGGATTATGATATTGGCATTAATTGTGGTAGAGGCTGGCTGTGCAAGTACTTGCATCTACCGCATTATCGCTGTGTTCGATTTCGATCCCAGCTATACAGACTGAGAGCAAGACACACCCATCCATACCTGGGCAAGGTCATAATTCTATGTAGCGTGTGATATATTTATAATTTAGCATACCTAGACATCAATAATGAGATATTTGCCTTTCATCCTTCTATGTAGCTAACATACATATTTTGATTGTGGAGTGGTTCTCATAGAGATCACATGATGGGATATATATATGAGGGACGCAGCCAGTCAACGATAGGTTTCCCGCTTGACCAACCGACGGCTTATTCGGTCAATCAAAAATCATGGACAAGGAGCATTCTCTAACGGCAACTGTCCAAGCTGAGTTCACGGCTGCTGGATTTTCTCCTGAGCAGATCCAAAAGGTTCTTCGCCAGCAGCAGCAGCTGGAAGAGAGGCCGCCCGGGGCGAAACAAATCAAGATTCCCCGTTTGCCTATGATGGACGAGGTACTGCGCTCATACTCAATTCCTTCCACTATATCGCGTGTATGTTTAAAGTCTTGCTTATATTGCTGTACTGTCATGCTAAGAGCCACCAGGATCGTAAATATTACGTGGTTGAAAAATGGATGTCGGCTGGATTTATCGATCTCCTAGTGGAAGAAGCTCAGCAGCGCTTTGAACAACAGCCCCCACAATGGTTCACCCGGTACACACGGGTCACCACTCGCCAAAAAGAAGAACAGGATGGCTTCTTACGGATTGGAAGATAGTTGATGTGGCAGATGGTCCCCAGGGCCAAGTAAATAGTTAAATCAACTTTTGTTCTCTTCATTTCGTTTAAGGGTCCATCCGGCGGTGGACCCTTAACTATCACATGACATAATCGAGCTAGGGACCCCTCACTGTAAGTTCTCGTATAATCAGGAGTAGATAATCACCAGCGAGCACTATGGTGTCGCAATTGACTGCGAGTGACCTGTCTGCAAGAGACACAGCTCAAGATGGAGAAGAAAGACGACTATCCAATATGAAATACCGCATCATGACCAAAACAGATGCACCGGCGATACAGGGGCCTCAGCGCTGGTTCAAAACTCACATTGCCCCGTCGGATGATGACGTTGAGAAGCATCCGCGGCAAAGCAATGGGGAAGGTACAACTGCTGGCATAAAGACATCTCTCTTCTCTGTACGCGCACTATCACATGAGATATCTCCTATCTCCGGCGAGAATATAATTCTCGTGGCTGCCGACCATCACCCCAAACAAGCAGGCGATGCGGATACAAAGTGGCTGTATGTCAAGAGGTAGATTCACAAAACTTTAAGTGTCTTGGTGGATTGACTTGCATTGCTTAGACATGTCCAGCATCAAGGTATCTCCTTCGGAACATTCCTGGTGAGTGACTACTAGCGGAGAACTCTTGCGCACTCCGCCACAATGTTAAGTCGACAATAGAAAGCTGCTCTCGATGCATCGGGCCTGGGGAGGCACATTCACTCAGCTGTAAATCATACCTTCCAATCCGTACTACCTCGGATTGAGAAATCTTTTGTATTTGGCCGCTATTTTCTGCCTGTGGTCTTGTCTCGCAACGTGGTCTTGCCTCATCATAGAACCAGCGTGGAAGTCATGTTCATGACAATTCCCTACTTTTTCATGGCTGATTTGATTGATCCTCGGAAAAGAAACACTGGTGATAGCAAGGTCCACTCAGTCAGAGCTCTAGTTCAGTCGCTGTATCATCTAGATTCTTCGACCGCACGAGAGAATCAACAAGCCTTTCGACGTGTCCACCCCCAGGCAGAGAAAGCGGTTGTCCATATTCCACAGTTATGGGTGGTGACCTTGGGCTCCAGTATGATATATCTTACCGATTAATCTTTTGCATGCAACCGACTCTAATTTTTGACAACAGGTTTCTTCGCCACATGTTCCCCAACTCCGGTTTTCAACCATCCAAGTTCAGCTATTGTTACGTGTGGCGTGGAAGAGAATCTATTTCCCCCTATCATTCGGGTCTCTACTAGTACTGGCGTCTTCTTCTGTTTGGACAGAGCATCTTGCGTTGTGTGGCTGGTAAATTTCGTCTCCTGCACCAATACAGTTCTGTCATTGACCATCCTAGGAATTTCTCGGCCAAGTTCGCCGAGCTATCGAAATTGGAACTGGAGTCATCACCGATCCTGCTCATTTTTCTTTCAGATTACCTCTTCCAAATGGCCATATTACTGCAAAGCGGTGGCCAGAAGTAATCACGGCACATTCGGACGATAAAATATTGAACATCTTCGCGTCCCTGCCTTCAAACTTGAAAGAAGTTTCCCCAGTCGTGCCTGTAGCTATTCCCCTAGAGGACACACAAACAAATCTACAGCCTGGGAGTGCATCTTCGGAATCACCTCAAATCTTCAAAGCAGATATTGCTGATCTAAGTCCCGATACATTGGATGTTTATCGGTTGCCCTGGCACTATGAAGAACAGACAGGACCAGTAAGTTTATATCCCTCGAATTTGATAGACCCTTCAAGCAACTAAGTCAAAGATAGCAACCAAAAAGTGTCTTGGTGGTTGAGAAGCCTCTTTCTGAGTTTGATCAAAAAATCCTTCTCAATCACACTAGGAGGTGCAAGTCGCGAGAGAAACGTCCACGAAAGCGCCATCGACAGAGGAACAGCACGGAAAGCCCTCTCTATGCATTTCCTGCTCGAGTCCAAGAAGCGTTGCAGTCTTTCAGTGATATCACACATGGTGAGACGGAAGAATGGAAATCCTCATTCTCTCCAATCCTCTCGTGGCCAGTCTTCACCCCCGAGGACGTAGTCGACATCTCCAAGGTGACACCTAGTCGTCAGATGAAGTGTCTTCTCGCAAATCTTCATTTTGAGCTCCTTTTCTGGAGAGATCAGCAACAGGCCTGTAGCTATAATGCTCTCCCTTTATGCAGCAAAGACATAGTCGAACATACCCTTGAGCGATTGGGACGCGAGGAGGGTCTATCAACACATCAGACCAAATTACTGGCTTCTTTTATCCAAAGAGTTTCGGGAATTCTGGATCTCTTCATCCTTGCCAATTATGACTGTGTGGTGAAAGGCAAAGTATGGTCTGCAGTCGATGTGCTCCTCAGCTTATTTCGAAGTCGATTCTCCAGCAGCCATTTTGCTCTCCAGTGCGATATCCTTGCTATCCCAATGGCCCAAATCCTACAAACGGTTCGATCTTTTCACGCAGAGGTCTTGTGTGTCCAGCGGAATTATTACATGCCAACATCCTTGATGCAGGCCTTTAAACATTTTGTTTTGGCGCTAGTTGAGGTATCTTCAAATGCATCTAGGCTCATGAATGAAGATGAATACCAGAATGAGCCGGAGTCCGGGGAATGGGCCGACTGGGGTGATGATGAAGATTCTGAATTATATGGGCGACGTTCATACTCACGCAAATCATTATCATGCTCATCATGCTCATCATGCTCATCATACCTAGACTTCGATCCCTCAGACGAGACTGAATCGACCCCAAACTTTCGGCGAGGACGAGGCAGTAGGCGCAAAGGCAACAAAGAATCAATCGGCGGGGTGCACTTTTACGAAGTTATCAATATGATCGAGGAATCTCGAAATGAGATGGTCTGCATTCTACAGCCTGATAGGGTGGAAGATCAAGAGCAGAGTAGGATGGTCGACCGTGGAACACTCATCAGCCTAGTTCTGGAGTCAATTTTGAGTGGACACTCGGGACTACCCAGTATGCCGAAAATAAATTTGGAAGAGATTTATCTCACATGGACAACTCGGCTGGTAAGTTCCTCAACCAAAACTGAAACTTCTAATCTATGAGAAAAGACGTTAATTCTGCCTATTTGGATATAGCGTCTGAACATTCGGAACAAGCCGAGCCGTAGCCATCTATCAGATTTGAATCTACTTCGTGAGGAGTTGGATAGCATTATCGCGACTGTCGAGGATCAACTTTCGGTGCTTCGCACGTTTCATGAGGACGACCTCCTAGAAGACGCTGCAACTGTGTACAGCGATGTTCGTGGCCAGACTCAGGGTGTCTTTCTTGCGAGAATCTCAGCGCATCAACCGGGACTACCTAATCAATCTACCATCAAACTGATCAATCGCCTGGCAAATGAGTTGAAAGAGAAAAAGGAAGTCTATACAGAACTACATGGTCAGGTAGCTCGCATGGAGAAACAGGTACTTTTTGGAAACTCCCTCTCTATACCATAGACTAAACTTTTAAAATCTAGGTCGTGCAATGGACAGAAATGATCCAGGAAGATCATGGAAAGGCAATTATGGTATTTACGATCGTCTCCATAATTTTCCTGCCGCTGTCATTCGTGACGAGCTATCTGGGTATGAACACAGCCGATATCAGGGATATGGGTTCGAATCAGAACCTTTTCTGGGAAGTTGCCGTTCCGTTCACCTTCGTGGTGGGTTGCGTGGTGCTAGGCGTGGTATATAATGCGGACAGAATTATGGGGCTTTTTCCTGGATTTCGTAGTGTCCGGTCATCTTCATAACAAAAAGTTAGAAGCGTTGTCGTTGCCCGTATTTGATTAAAGCAAAAAGAGCAGTACAAGAATATATTTTCTTGGTTAGACTTGGTATTGCGCATTCTTTGCATTCGTATCATATAATATAAGACCATGTACATCACACGCTATCTATGCGCTAAGCCATGCGCTGTAAAATAGGAAAATCATGACTTCCGGTGCATGATGCCGGCGCCAGCCTTTAAATAGTCAGTTTTCGGTGTTTAAGACTGGATTGCTGATACAATATACATACCTGGTGGCTGGGGAAGACCAGAGTGTCTGCAATCACAACATTCTCCCGTCGCCCGGCAGCAAAAACAACAACCTCAGCGATGTCATCACCGGTAAGCGGCTCAACGCCCCTACGCAATTTCGGTTAGGTTTCCGAACAAAAAGAAATCTAAGTGATTGGGTCCTTGTAACATACTTGTAGACGGCATCCGCCTTAGACTTATCTCCGTAGAATCGGACAACAGAGAACTCCTAAGGAACTTGTTAGCATCAAAGCATTATAATAGAACGAATGAGAAAGAAAAAAAGGCGGCCGTACGGTCTCAACCTGACCAGGGTCAATTTCAATGACACGGATTCGGGTCGCGATCAGCTCCTTGCGCAGAGACTCGGTGAAGGAGCGAACAGCCGCCTTGGAGGCACAGTAGATGCCACCACCAGCATAAGGCTCGCGACCAGCAATGCTGCCGATGTTGATAATATCGCCACGGCCACCCTCATCACGCTTCTTGAAGATCGGCAAAATGGCTTGGGTCATGTTGATAAGACCAGTGACATTCGTATCCCACATAACCTTGATATCTTCGGGAGCAATATCAGGTGCCTGAGCAACACCCTTGACCAGTCCACTGAAAAAAAGACGCGTCAGTAGTCTTGAATATCACGGAGGTGATCAAATGACCTGTGGAGTTTGTGGATGACTCACGCATTGTTGACCAGCACATCGATCTCCTTGAACTCAGCAGGTAGAGAGGGAACGAAGTTCTTGATTTCCTCAGGGTTGCTGACATCCAACTTGACGGGAAGCACCTTCACACCAGCGCCAACCTCTTCCTTGATTTCAGCGGCCAACTGGTTCAGTGATTCAAGACGGCGGGCAGTGACAATGAGCTTGAGGTCATTGGGCGAGGTGCGCGCAAATTCCTTGGCAGTGCTCTTTCCGATGCCAGAAGAGGCTCCAGTTACCAGGATTGTCTTGCCCTCGAGGCGCTTAGCCATTGCGGAGGCCATCGTGCGGTGGATTGAGAGGGGTTTCACGGCGAGAGTAATTGGACTGCTGGGAGCTCTGGTGAGAGGCGAGGGTGAGACAAGGAGTGGTAGTTGTCGCAAAAGTCGAATTGATCTATTGCACGCTCGAAAACAGTTCATGGATGAACGAAGAGTCTCTCTTAGACAAATTCGACAGAAAACAGAGGAAATCCCCGCCTCGAGCGTGCGGGGATGGCGCTGGCGTCATATCGAATTATGTAATCGGTTAATTGTTGCGGCGCAATTGTCGGCCTTCCTTCCGATCGCCAACAACTCAGTGGATTTCCGCTTAGAACGATGGGTACGACTTCGGGAATACGCTGTACACGTACAAAGTAGAGCTTTGCACTAACTTGACAGTCCTCGGATGCTGCATTTTAAATTCCAAAGTCGTGAATAAGACCCATATAGTCTAGTTCACGTCTCCGATAGTTGACTACCAAGCTACATACTTCGTCAAAACAATGAATGGAGTTTCTTTGGATTAACGAATAGAAAAATGCAACTTAGCTCGACTGATTTTATTGACCATATCATGATAAGATATGCTATATGTAGGGTCCAATTATGACAAGTACACATGGGAGAGCCCTCGGAATGAGAGGTCTATTTCTATTACTTTCCATCACCGATGGAATACTCGTAGGCAATGGCTGGTATAGTATATAAGTAATTACTGTATCATGAAAGGTCTCTGAACTTGTAATTCCAAGGACTACAAAAGCCCGACAGCCTGGGCACTCACAAGAGGGAATAGTCAAGTGTCAAGTCAGTATGTAATTAGGGAGGCTGCATGGTGGGAGGCTAGCACTATTCCCCCCTACTCAATATACAAGGAAACACAGCAGATAGCCTTCTCAAGTAGATTAAGTGTGTTGGCTCATGAGCTTACAGCACTGGATGAAGAATTCAAATGGCCAAACAAAGGATAACCTGGACAAAGAATTGTTTCCTTAGACTCAACAGACCCGACAGCGTTGAGCATTGTTCAGAAGCTCTCACTTGAGCCAAAATCGTCTACAAAGCCTAAAGGGAACAAAGCTTACCGAGAAATGACAGTAGACTAGCATATAAGTGATCCATGTATTGCAAGGTTTTGCGGTCACCTTCCCACTTCATTGATGCTATCAGCCTGAGAAAAGTCTGCGCAAACTTGTTGAGTGACTGACCCCGGATGACCTTGACGGAGAGGGGCAATCAATTCTTGAATAAGCCCCGAGCAAGCAACAGACTCTTCATGATATGTGCCTTGTATCCTCTGTGATCAACATAGCCTCCTCATCTGAACAACAACAGTAACCCATCTGTATCTCTTTCTCAGCCTGCCATTGCTTCTACCAAGCCATATACCACAACAAACTCGATCACGACGACACAAGTATTTGTCAACATAGAAGTCTTTAATCAAGAACATGGCGTTGCAAAGCAACCTTTTATCACCAAAAGAGTCATTTGACTGGGCTGAAGATGTTGAGAACAGCGCGCAAGGGCGAGAACAGAAGAATCTATTTCCTCATGCCGATTTCATTGGGGACAAAGAGATCTCTCAGTGGGACAGAGGTTCGAGAACCCATCCAGAACCTGCATCTAGCTACGCAGGACCTTCCACGCGACGAGGTGACCACCAACATCAGCAGTATATCTGCTGGGATGGAAATCCAGAGAGCCTCCACAACATCCCAAACTCCCGCGAATCTGAGATTGAAAATTCAACTTTCTCTACAATCCCTTCTCCAAACATCGATTCATCATCCCAGAAAACTAAATTCCTGGATAATGAGACTGTCACCAATAGAGGCACACAGGATAGCACCCTGTCGATGTTCTGGACAGCCCACCATGAATTTGCCTACCGACAAGGCATTACCAACGAAGACCTCAATTTCCACCATTTCAACTGGCAATGTAGACCTGTCTACTATGAAAATGCCACCACGGCCTCCGAGTCACTTGCGGTCATCTTTGCTGGGGCCAAACCTCCTTATCCCAAGGGAAACATGCGAATCCAATCAATAATGAACCGGGCCAATCAACTCATTGACCCAGTGGTGGTTGATCTTAAAGAGATGCAAGAAGGTCTGCTGAATGAGCGTGGCTCAAAACTTCAACATGCGGCAAAAAGTTGTACCTTCAAATTCTATACACCCCATGGAAAATGGATGTATGAAACGACACACGCGATCGACAAAATTGCCTTGGATGATGGTAAAATCGAAACCTATACTTCACCCCACTTGGCTATTGGGAATGGCTTTATCAAATCTAGCTTGATACCCACCCATACAACCTGGCAGGGAGCTCCTGGACCGGCTATTACTCCTCCTAAAAGGCCCAAGTGGCAGCCTGAACCATCTCCATTGAGACGTTTAATGACAATGAATGAGTTTATTACCGAGGGAATGAGTTACAAACAAGTATCCTGGACTCAGTCCGGTAAGAACGCTGAAGTGGTCCCTGTGACAGAAACATTTCTCATGGACACAAGCATGGACCCTGATACCTACTACTCATTTCCGGCTTTCGGTTCGTTATCGTGAACCGATAATCTTCAATGCCTCAGTTTCAGAGATTGGAAGCGCCAAGGAATCTTTGACTGGGCTTGGAAGGGTATTACTACTTGCTTTGGCTATTGAGAAGGCGCTGTGTATAAATTGGGATTTTTTTCCGTTACGTACTTCTTTCTTCAATACTACCAATAGAACAATTATCTTGTACTTAAAATAGATTCGGATGCTGGCCATTATCGGTCCCCCTCTATCTAGTCTTTATGAACACTCTTTCCGACAGCTCAACCCGAAGTCACACCATCATCCTCTTAAGGGGAAAAACGTCATATCCTTCAGACTATAGATAGATCCCTCTCACCAAGTTCGAAAAATGGTTGAGGGTACTAGTCCATGTCTAATTTCGGGACTTATGCTCGAATTATATCATCGATCATGCCCCATTATATCGGAAATATCGATCCCCGGAATTGGCACCGACTCGAGATTTCTCATATCTAACACTAATATATTATTTCACTCATTGATCAAATCAACTCCGGGCTCCGGGCATCTTTCAAAGAGCAATCAAAGGCGGAATAGATCCGCTAGGCCATGAACCAAGTCAGCCGGATTGTGGGTTATGTGGGGTCAAGTCCAACGGCCCCGGGGAGGACAATATTCTTAAATCCAGTGATCCTGCCATACATAGTGTGCACCAGAAATCTTTGTCATAATTTTCTAGCAGCAGAATATCCCAACATGACTCACCTTCGTCTTGATACTTCATTATTGTCAACTTTGGAAGGTAAAGTTGTGGTCCTGACCGGAGGAGCGACTGGCATTGGGCGTGCTACAATCCAGCAATTATGCGGTATGGAAAAAACTTTCATAGGCAGCGGCTTTACTTGCTGATATCCATAGTGAATAATTCAAGGATTGTTTTTGGCGACGTGGTGGAAGACCTCTCAAAAACCCTGGAAGCTGACCTCGGCCCAAGTGTGCAATTTGTGAAGTGCGACTCCTCAAGCTATTCCGACCAGCTGAAGCTGTTTAAAGTCGCCTTTGAGAAATATGGCAGGATCGACATTGTTATTGCCAATGCCGGGATTTCTATCCATAAGGATATCTTCGACCCAAATGCCGATATTAACCAAGAACCTTCGATGAAAGAAGTAGACATCAACCTTGTGGGGTCAATATTCAGCACACGCATCGGCATGCACTACTTGCGAAAAAGTGGGGGTGGGGACTTGGTGCTTGTGAGCAGCATTGCTGGGTTCAAGGAATGTGGGGGCTTGGTCACCTACACGGCGAGCAAACACGGAGTTGTGGGTATTATGCGGGGCCTCCATTTGACTGCCACGCTGGAAAATATCAGGGTTAACGTAATTTGCCCTTGGATGACCAGTATGTTCTTGAGCTTTTTATTACTCCCAACCCAGCTAACAAGTGATCCAATGAAAATAGGAACGCGTCTGGTTCTCGGGATTGAGAAGGGGTGGTATGAGCGAGGTCTGCCAGTGAATGAGCCTGAAGATGTGTCTAGATCCATTCTGATCTGTGCAACTGCAAATCGAGGGTCCAACGGGAAAACACATACTGGCGTTTCTCTTCCCTTTGCAGGCAAAATAGTTTACGTGGCTGGCGGGGAGGGTTATGAGATTGAGGACAAAATAAAGAACTTGGAACCTGCGTGGCTGGGAGAGGACAATAGCAAAATTCTTGATAAGGGACAGGAATATCTTGCATCCGAAGAAACTAGCTGGGATGTATCGAAATCTGCTTAGCTGGAGGTGTAAGTCTAAAGGAAAGCATTCTGTGGTGACTATGGTTCATACATATCAATGATGAGAGTGTCAGTGTTATTGGATTTAATGCACATTTAGATGTCATGCTTTTCAGATCAGCAGGAGCGCTTATTTACAACTGACTGCGCAAATCGAAAGCACACACTTCAAAAATAATAATAACGAACCATTGTAATATGGGGTTATCGACAGCAAAACATCCTATTGAAGAGTATTTAGATCTTTTAGAGGAAGGCCGTTGGTTTTTATCAGCTTTTGTGATCGAAAATGACATTGATATGGTTCCATATCCGAATATGAGTCCAAGCTTTCCAAATTTCGAGAAAGGCCTGTATCTGTGTTTGATACAGGAGAAGTGAACTGAGATCCTTCATTCTGTCGATGAGGAAAAGAGCCCCCAGTGGCTGAACTCGCACCATCAAGGTCTTCTCTTGGATCACTGCGCACGAACTTGATAAGACGACCGAGAATGGCGAATTCAAGTTTAAGTTTAATCGAATAGAAAACACCTTTGAGTACCGTTTCGATTATCAGAAGAGAGGCGTATTCTATTGAGAGGAGAGCCACATCCATGGCTATAATAGCGACATTGACAACAAGTAACAAGTACATGTGTTGGCGGCTCTTCTTTCGAAATGATTCTCGGAGGAGTCTGATTGTCGCAATGATATATATGAGTGAAAGAATTGTTTCTTGGATACTACGCATGTATAATTAGCACCTTCTGTCATCCTAAAGGGAGGAGCATTGACTTGTCGCGTACAAAAAGCCCGTCATCTGGAATTTCTCCACAACATCGTAAGCCTTAACAAAATTGGCGGTATCGATGTCTCCAAATGAGCCGAAGGTTACCACGGTCGTCGGAATATGAAGAAGAAAAGCATCGACGATGATCATCCATTTGGTGTAGAACAATATCCTAGTCCCGTGGTTCCCGGTGATGACCAGATGAAGCCGAGACCACAAAACAACACTCTGTCCTGTGACCATCACATACCACCCGATCGTTAGTAATGAAAGAGATGCCCATCTTCCATTACCTGAGAAGGTTCCAAAAAACTTGAAGCAGTATCCCACTGAATATGGAATCAGACTGAGGCTGGAGGCAAAGAGGCTCCAAAAGTAGACTGTGTCATAGCGCGAAAATGTCGAAAAAATGAGTACGAGGAGTTCAATCGCATTGTAAATTGAGAGTCCAGCACTCAGCACAATGAGAGACTTCAGAGCGAAGCTGTCACCAGTATAGCTTCCTGTGACACCGGGAGGAGCGGATACAGTTGAATTTGAGGATGTCAGGGGGTCCATCAATATGTGAATACATTTCTACCCCTGTTCGCCGGGTCGTTAGGGGCACGCCTAAGGGCGCGGTAATATATCCAACATCGGTGGCCAATGCTTGAGAATACGCTATGGGATGCATGCCGCAGCACGGCTTGTTATTGGTGATGGTGAGCTTTTCAACCATTGAATTCACATCCATATACTTTCCGCCACCAAACGTTGATGGAAGTCATGTGACAAGGAGTGTGGCTGGGATTTCCTAATCTGGAATTTCCCAAGTGGGAAAGCGTCAGCGGCGTGATATACTTGCAGCTCCGTATAAAGAGAACTAGAAAGGCCAAGAAAGGGTTCCCCGGTTCCTGTACGGAGTCTGTTCTTATTCAAGGGAGTTGTGACTAGGTACCCGATGACCGAAGCCATCTACTACTGTCTAGAGACCTTGGCCATAAAAATGCCTCAGGCAGAAAATGGAGCTTCGGGTATCCCACTTTTCCCTCCATTAACATCAACGTCTTTCAATTGATAAGAAAACAAAGTCATAAACCTCATATCGTCATGTCCCTAGCAACTCGGGATGCCTTAGAGTTTCCCGAGTCCGACAGGGCTTTTCTGGAACCCCAGTTACCACCGCAAGATGGCTCGACACCACGGCCGGATATGCCATTTACCACCCTCACTTTCGCTACATCTCTCGATTCATCCCTCGCATTGTCTCCGGGTACACGCACAGTGCTATCGGGACCCCGTTCCAAAGCCATGACTCACTATCTGCGATCCCGTCATGACGGTATCCTGATTGGTGTTGGGACTGCACTGGCGGACGACCCTGGACTTAACTGTCGCATCCTCGGCGTTGGGGGCTATGGAGGCGAAAAGCTCGAAAACCAACCGCGTCCAATTGTCATTGATCCGAAGGCGCAATGGGACTTTTCCGAGAAAAGCAAGCTGTTTCAGCTATGCAAGAACGGCCAAGGCCGAGCACCATGGGTTGTCACTGGCCTCCAAGAACTTCCAGCTCGGAAGCGATCTCTACTAGAGAAGTATGGCGGGCGGTTCATTTCAATGGATATCTCGGTATCGAAGTCTGGTAGTCATCAAATAGACTGGCGAGAAATATTTGTGACGCTCCGATCTAATGGCCTTCGTAGTGTCATGGTTGAGGGTGGCGGTCATGTTATCAATTCGCTACTGGAACCTTCATGCATAACACTGATTGATAAAGTGATTGTTACGATTGCTCCAACATGGTTAGGTCAGGGAGGGGTTGTTGTCTCTCCTTCTAGACGTTTCGACGGAGACGGGAACGCGATTTCAGCAGCGAGACTTACCAACGTCAAGTGGTATCCTTTTGGCGAAGATGTTGTCCTGTGTGGCCAATTTAAGATTGAGAATTGTTAGTCTCTGCAATAGCCAACCTAACAACAGTTTGAGCAATTCTTGCCGCCTAATGTATCAAAGTATGTTATGATACTTGGAATCTTCTTCCTCGTCAACAAAGTTAGGCCAAGTTCAATAATTTATTTGGGAAATAATATATCTTATCTACACAGCAAGTAAACTTCATGGAATTGAAAGCAAGATAGGCGCGGCAATTCTTGTAGATGAAACCTCCCCGGAAATTTACGATGACTTTCGATCCGAAAGCTTCTTGTTGTTGCAATATATCAAACCACTGGGGCTTTAGAAATTGGCCTTGAAAGAGATTCACAAATTTGAGGATATTGTCCTAGGTGTGACTTGAGGGAATGTGGAGAAGATAAACAAGGATTTCTCCTTGGGGTTGGAGATCTGAAGATCTTGCTAGCTCGATCGACGGAAATACATGGCATTATCATGTGGAATCGGTCGTTATGACGTGTAGCTCGAGAGCCCCTTGATACATGCTGCAAACGTCGACGATCGTCGTTCGTAGCCAGGTACCAAGATGGTGATCTCCCGATGCTGAATCAAACGCCGCGCGTTACAATGAAACAGGAGCAAGAAGCCCGAGACAAATTATTACTTCGAAACGTGTCGATCATACATATGGAATCTCACACGCTTGATCTGGAATTCTTCTTGAGCCTCCTCCATAGTCTTGCCTTCGCGATAGTTTCCCTATAATCCAGACCCACTATTTTAGGAACCCTGCAATGATTTTCGCTTTTGGCTCGGTTTTGATAATCATCTAGATGTCTTGCTTATTATTGATCAAAAGCATGAACAAGGAGACCACAAGCTTCGCGGGCTGGTCATACACACATCCCTAGTTCCCTTCAATTCCTTTCACAGGGATCTCCTTTCTGGTTTTCTTATAAAATTGTCTATGGCCCAGCCATTTCAGATCGTCGAACAACCCCACTGCTGAATGTATACACGCAAGCTCAGCAAGGGAGCTGGGGGATCCGTATGAACACGAACCTGACACTGCTCCTTCATCTTATCGCCCGTCTACCCAGGCGACGGCTCGTCGCTGATAAACTGAAATGCTCCACTCCACCCCACTCCACTCGTCTTAGATCATCAACTAAATATTTCATCCTTTTCGCCACAATGGTGTGCCCGATGAAATTTTGATCCGTAGCAACTCTTTTCTTTATCTATCTCTGCACCATCACAGCTCCTCTGAATCTCATTTTACCTTGATTTTGGGTTATAATATTGGTTCACGATGCCAATTGGGCAGCCAAATTCCGGCCTGGAGAGTCCTCCGCATGCCCCTCCTCAAATTCAACCCAATTCAAACCCAAGCCCAACGGGCAATGAATCGTTTCCAGAGATTGGGGATTCACCGCCCGTCTCGGGTCGATCATCTTGCGATTATGGAAGGACCTATTCAACGCCAGCGACCGGCGCCCAAACGCCGGATCCCCTCTTGGGTAATGTCAGCGTGCTCGATAAGCAGGCATTGAAAGTATCACAGACCATCAAAAGTCTTGGCCACCATGGGGAGGACGGACACGAACTGGAAACCCTCGGCCATCGCTTAACCAACCGAAAGCCCTCAGTATCCAGGAATCGGGACGAAGCCGATGAGTCGGCATCACCAACCCGAAAGAAACAAGGGATTCCGCCCGAGCTCCCGAGTTTTATGGCAGAGATCATCTTAGTGATGGTCTGCTCGGCTGGCCTTATGCTTTTCTCATTCTTTTTGGGTGATATGCTTGCTCCACAAGAGCAAATAAAGCGTGCACTTGGCATCACCAACACCCAACTCCCATGGATCGTGGGCGCTTTTAACACCGCGAATGGTCTCTCAGTCGTTATCTCAGGCTCCCTCTCAGATTTGGCTCCTCCAAAAAGCCTGATGGTCGGCGCATTTGCATGGCTGGCTGTATGGAATGTTGTCGGTGCTTTCTCGCTACAGCCGTCGCGATATATTCTTTTTTTGTCGTGAGAGCAATGCAGGGACTCGCGATCGGCGTCCTCGTTTCAGGCAGCATGAGTATTCTCGGTCGTGTCTATAAACCAGGAATTCGGAAAAACCGCGTCTTTTCAGCCATGGCTGCGACCGCGCCATTTGGCTTCTCTCTCGGCGCTCTTCAGGGAGGCGCTCTTTACGCTCATCTCCCATGGATTTTTGGAAGCAGCGCAATAATTTGCTCGATCTGCTGCGTCGCTGCTTACTTCAGTATCCCCCTCTGAAGCCAGTGGCCGATGTCGCTGGAAATGAAGCACCGACCTTACGACAGTTTGATTATATCGGGGGTGGCTGTGCGGCCGGGGGATGCGTCTGTCTACTTTTGGGTCTCACACAAGGACCTGTCGCATCATGGTCTCCTTACACATATGTTCTTATTATCATCGGTCTACTACTTCTGGTTGGGCTCTTCTTTGCCGAACGAGCTGCTATTCGACCGCTGATTCCTAATCGACTTTGGCGAACACCGGGTTTCACCCCGCTCATGATTGCTTATTTCCTCGGGTTTGGATCCTTCTTCGGCGCCTGGCAATTTTATGCGATTCAGTTCTGGCTTCGCATTCAGGGCGCTACACCCCTAGATGTGGCACTATATCACATCCCGAATGCCGTTGTTGGAGTCATTGCAACGTGGGTTGTGAGCCGGACTCTTCATATTGTTCCTGGTCACTACATCTATGCTGTATCAATGCTGGCCTTCACACTTGGCCCGGCTTTCTTTATTCCCCAGACAGCTACTACCATGTACTGGAAGCTGTCTTTCCCCGGTGTGGCTCTAGTGACCTTCGGACCGGATCTGGCATTTGCTGCTGCCTCAATCTTCATCACAAGCAATGTCGCACGTTCATACCAAGGGAGTGCGGGGAGTCTTCTGGTGACCAATCAAAACTTATCTTCAGCGATCTTGACGAGCGTCGCGGATGCAATCGGTACACGCGTCAGCAAAGGTGCCGATGGAGAGATTGGACTTGAAGGTCTTCGGGCCATCTGGTGGTTCGCCCTCGCTGCTCAGTTGACTGCCGCATTTGTCACTGTGGTCTGGGTGCGGATTCCCAAGGAGGAGGAGAAGGAACACGTTACCTAGTTAGTTATCTTGATTCTTGGCTTGGTAGGGGGATCCAAGTGGAGAATTTGAGCGTGGGTTTCGTAAATAGATCTGACCTGAAGGCATTGACCCCCCGGGTATATCAAATGGAAGCGAATTTTATCCAAAGCGTATAAGTCTAACAAATAACGAATTCAGAATTCCTTTTCGTATCTCTGAACCTTTTATGTTCATCATTTTCAATACACATCCAACGTCAACACAGATCTACAAACTAACGAACGCATATGTGGAACGTAGATGTGGATTACTCCTCCCCCGCAGAGGGATTACTGTATCAAAGCCCCCACCAATTTCCTCGGCTCTACTGAAAACTCCAATTCATGACCCATATTCTGAATAATATGATATACATAGGCATGCCTGTTTTGAGTAATATGTTACCGAATCATGGTTGAGGACCCTTCAGACATAAGTTCTTTTCCAAGATACAACAAAAAGTCATGGAACGCAATCTCAGCAGCCACAATGCGCCTGCGTATAAACTTTTGTCAATGAGGGAACAAACAAGTAGTCTTGGCTGGGGTCGATCGAACTTTCCCCTGTTACTCTAGAGAAGAGAAGTGCCCGGATCAAGAAAGTCTTCAAATAGCCGAATTAATTTTCACAAACTTTACCGAAAGGGCGTTTTACCTTTTGAAGGCTGATCATATCGAAATGTCAAAAATGTTTTTGGAACCAGGCTCCGGCTAATGACAAATAATCTGGGGTTGGGATATGGTGTACACCACAAGACACGCCACCAGATCCTAGCGTTGACTATGACTTTACATACTTGCACTAGAGGGGCGGGGGCAAAAGTGTGGAATTAGTGGGCAGCGAGCCCTATTGGTGAGAAGGCATTGAGGTCCTTCAGTAATAGAGTACATTAGGTATATCTCGGCAAAGGGGGAGTGGACTCAGTGAAGAGACCAATTTCTCCCTTAGTCCGATCATAGACATAAAATGTTGCGACAGTCGTATATAAGGCTGCCAAGACTAGGCACGATCGTGATAGCGTTTCTTTCATTCGCGTGCATGTGCGCAGAGTCGCCTGGGATGGAATCCCGTGGTGGGGACCTGCAAGGAGTTATTGGATGAAGGTGGCAAGTTTTTATGTGGAGACGTATTGATTTGTTGACAGGGGTGGGACCCTGATGGCTGGATCCGCCTCTCCAGGGGGATGGAAACACTTGGATGATCACCAACACTTACCCCTGGCCGGCCTAGCAGTCAATAGTCTTCAGGTCCCAGAGAAAGCCTTGGATGGAAAGACTGGGGGCCCCGGGGGCGAAAAGACTTGCAGGTCGGCATTTTCAGGGGCCTGCTTTGGCCTGGCTCGAAACAAACAAGCCCGCTTGGTAGCCATAGTTTCGTTTCCTCCCCATTGATGAGCTTTGACATATGAACCTTGGAAAAAATTGAGCGGAAGTGCGAAGGTTACATTCAGCCTGAACGCATGCATCTCTAACCTTCGAGAAAAATTTCTCCATGTGCTCTCTTCGTTCTGGAATGTTTCGAATACACTCCTTGCAGCAGGTAAGCTCCGCGCGGTGTACACGGAGAAAAGCCTTATGCAGGGTCAAGTCACAAAATCATGGTTATTGGATATTTTCAGAGAAGTCATGCAACGTCGTATCCTGGAAGGTGGGTCGTCTGGATGTACGTGTAGTTCAAAGGGTCTGTTCTCGCGGTAGTCCTGCCGCGAAAGAAGCTGAGAGAAGACAGCTCTTGTCCCTGGTTGATCCGTGGCCAATTGGCCACCATGCGCCAATCGTCTCCAGTTCTGGTCAATTCTGACCTAGACATACAGCAGTAGGGCAAGTCAGCGGCTTTGGTTTTCCGAGCGACCCACTGTGGTTGGTGATACAGTGGAGACTCCCCACAACCAGGTTGACGCTAGACTGTTCAATGCCGCTATTCGGTGCATCTCAGGGCGTGAAAACGCGGACTCGTGCTCCAACATGGGACCACATGGCTTGTATGGGTCGCGAAATCCTGGCAGAAGTCACGGGCTTTCGGGGCATGGAGTTCAAGATCGCTGCCTGTTCGTGCGCTATTGAGCCAACTATTCAAACTCTCCGGAGATCCCCAACGAAGCGAACGGCGAGCTATCCATGATGCTGTGCATAAACGCACAGATCGAGTCCACAGCCATACGTTTGCGCGGGTATTATGGAGTAGACCATCTTCATAAACAACAACTCCCCCCGCCCGCTCGACTCATCTGTCTCCGCAGACTTTTCCTCCTTCCCTCAAGCCTAACACTTGTGGAGGCCAGATGTGGTGAATAAAATTGAAAGAGGGCTTGGATACGCACGACTCAGCTCCTCGAATACACTCTTTTGATACCTTAAAATCGTCCATTTCACTCATTTTCCCTCTCACCTGAAACATGGAGGGGCTACTACACGCATTCGTTTCTCGGGCTGAGGACGATGGGTACGCCCGCGGCAAACGAGCCTTGGTCGTCACCGCGGTTCTCACCGGTATTGCTACCCTGATTGTCAGCATGCGGTTATTTGCACGGCTTGGCCTGATGAAGATTACGGGGCGAGAAGATTGGACCATCCTTATATCTTTGGTATGTCAGGATAGCTCCCGTGGCAAGAAAACTGGAGCGTTTTTATTAACACTCCATCGGCGGATTATAGATATTCTCCATTATATACCTCGCTCTCGTCGCTGCGCGTATGTTCCCATTCTGAACTACAATACCTAGGTCCGGTTTGTTTATATTGACATCGCATTCAGAATTTCATTATGGAATGGGAATCCACTCCGATCGGCTTTCGACCAGTGTTTTGCAGAACCAGCTCAAGGTATGCTTAAATCTCCCCTGATCCATGGCCGTCTTAACCGAGAATCTGTTGTCGTTAGTGTCTTTGGGCGGCAATTCCAATGTACAATGCTAGCCTGGCGTTCACCAAAATTTCCATTCTTTTCCAATATCTCCGCATCTTCCCCGCACGGTCCTTCCGACTCGCTTGTTATATTGTGATGGGGGTTGTAATCACATACTCGACCTGGGCTATCGTTAGTGGCTATGTGAATTGCGTCCCCGTGGCTAAATTCTGGAACCATGATTTACCTGGACATTGCTTGAGTTTTGAAGTTATTTGGTTCTTCAATGCGTCAATGAACATTGTTACCGATGTCACTCTGCTCTTGCTCCCGATGCCTCTGCTTTTCAAGTTGCAGTTGCCAAAGATGCAAAAACTGGCTCTTATGGGAGTTTTTGCTATTGGTATTCTGTATGTCTGTTTCCTCCGGCGGACAAAGTGAATTTACTGACGAATATTCTAGTGTCGTTATCACTAGTATCCTTCGCCTGTCTAGTCTACGGACTGTTGCTAAAAGCTCAGATACTTCATGTATGTGTTTAACATTGAAAAAGACATTCGTGGACAAAGCTGACAGTAGTCTTATCAGATTCTAACGTTGGGGCTGCCTTCTGGACCGCGGCGGAGTGCAATGTGGCCATTATCTGTGCTTGTCTGCCATTCCTTCGCCCTATTATCAGCCATATCTTTCCCAAGCTTCTCTCAACCAACAGCTACAATCGCTACACCACTAATGATCGCACTAATACCCGCAACGTCACTGCCGCTCGCTCGCAGCGGACTCAAACAGAATTATTCAGTCAAAACATGGACAAAGACTATGATATGTACTCAATCAAAGTAAAACGCGGTGACCAATCAAGCCGAAGCTCTCTCGGGGGTATCGAAGTCACGACTGAGATGACGGTCAGCCAAGAGGCCAAGCATGATGAGAGCATCAGCGAGCGGAGACTCGTGATGGATTCGTCATGAGATTACGGTTTCCCTATCTTTCTTTTTCATACCATTTTTTCCTTTTGTTTGCGTCTTCGGTGGTTTACGCATCTATTTCATTACTTTTGTTTTCACGACAGCATTGCGACGGATTACTTCTTTTCTATTGGGTATTCTTTGGTGGCCGACTGGTATTCAGTCTTTCAAATTCTACGACAAATTTCTAATCATGATGAATTAATTGTACTTGTCCTTTCTATCAAGCACTGTTTCGGTCGATAACGATGTTCGTAAATCCTCGGTCCTTTCTCTATCTCAAAGAATGGCTGGGCTTGCTTTTTGGCCCGTCAGATAGATGCTGATTGAATATTTAACCAGAGTAAACTCTGCTTAATCACATTCGACACACCCACTTCCTGCCTTGCCCCCACAAAGTCCCTCTCCCTCAACCATGGGACCTCCTGACTTACACGGCTAGAACTCTCGATGCCGCTCTTTACAGGTCCGTCTGCATCTCTACCTATTCACTCTGACCAATAATCTGATCATTGAATACGTTTTCACTGCCCCTACTCGTTATGGGCTCTAACTCTACACATAGCACTCTGGTGAGCTGGCAGCTGGATGATGACAGCCGCTCTGCTTGGGACATACTTTGGGCGTGTACTTCCACCGTATTTGCCTGCACCTGGACAGTCATTTATGCCGATGTACCTAATCGAAACTCTTCCAACCTCCGGCAAACTATGATGTTCCTACGCGCCTGGCTTATGGCACTCTTGGTCCCGGAAGTTATTTTTGCATTTGCTTGGTTACAGCTTATGAAAGCAAGAGAGTCTAGAAAGATGTATAACGTGGCAGCAACCCAGAATTAGCCGAGTCAAAATCACACGAGATCTCCATGTTCAGATCATCCGAGAAACCTCTTGCAGATCTGGAATCTGACAAATGGTCCTTAATTCAAGCGTTCTGCATCAACGCGGGTGGATTAGCCCTACGTTCAAAGGACGCGTGGATCTATAGTGTAGTAACTGATGAGGAGATGGTGGGGTTTGTTGAATCGGGTACTTTGAAGCCATCGGATCTTTCTGAGCAAGAGGTCAGTCTCGCGCGAAAGCAGACTCGTTCGCGAAACTTTTCACCCTCTTCTAGGTCCTGTGGTTTCTCTGCAACACTTTCACAAGATGGGGCTACCACCTTGAAGTATCACCATTGGAGTTAGCAACTGTTGCCTATATCGCCATCGCCATTCTCACATATCTTATTTGGTGGTATACACCCAAAGACATTAGCATACCCATTCTCGCAGTTCTCCTTCCTTGTGACCGTGAAACTTTGGAGAAGAATTTCCTGGGAAAAATTGATTCTTATCGGTGGACTCATTTACAGGTTCCAATCAAAGAAGAATCCATTCTCGATGCCATCACGTCCAGTCTTGCAGCTTCGATTTTTGTTTCAGGCTCCACCCCCAAAGATGGCGAGGTCATAAGGCAGAAGCAGATCAACGGAGCCAAATTCCTCTCAGTAATATCAATCTTCGTCTATTCATTTGCTGCTCTAGCATACAGTGGGATACATCTTGCTGCGTAACACTCTCCGTCATATGTCTACAATTACACTGACACTGACCATTTTTTATAGGTGGGACTTCAACTTTTCCTACACATACGGAAGGAATAGCTTGGAATTCATTCACTCTATTTGCTATCGGCACAGTATCTATTTTCATCACGGTCGACTTTGTGACGGCTGCTGTGGATTAGCTGAGAGAAACTCGCCAAGTTCCTTCCTTTGTAGTTAAATTCTATGAACAATCCCGCTGGGAAAAGGCTATCAAGATACAACTTCTTTACAAGTGGATCAGCACATATATCTATTTGGTCGCATGACTCGGTATCATGGCGCTTGTCTGTGCATCACTGAGGGCCCTCTTGAGAGTTCTTACACCACGGTGAAATGGGTAACATCAATACCACATTTTTGATACATTCATCAAGAAAGAAGCGCCCCATCTCATGAAGTTACAGTTCCGCTTTTTGGAGTTGATGGTCGCAAAGACTTTCAAAAAATTCAAAGTGATGCTCCGTGGCCGACCAGCTTGACAAAAGGTGCTTTGACGCCGCCGAATGGTCGAAGATTAAATCTAGTGCAGGGGATAGCGCGCTCGCTGCAGCCTGCAACTGCCGCCATTTCTGAGCTACTTACTTTATCACTGCTAATCACAACAAATAGTTCATGAACTAACTGCTTAGGTCTCGGCCGGATAGTCCCCTGGCTAGATTCCATGCACTTTCATTGCGCTACATAATGAGTCTCAATGCATATCAAACCCTTTGCTTTTACCTCGGTCTATTCAAGCTTGCTTCTCTCGCCTTTTCCACGCCACCCTACATAGCAAAACAAATCCTCCCTTAGACTAGGACGGCAATGCCTGCAGTTTTGAAAATCAAACCAAATTGACAAAGTCAATTTTCCGGACAATCTGATTCGTCAGCGAAAAATTTCATTAGCAAACCATCGGCGTGGGAGGGGCTAGACTGCTGAGAGCTGAGCTAATTGTCACTTAAAAAAGGGTTCAGCCCCTTCCCCACTTTTAAATTTTGTCGATATAGTAGGATACGGTATAGGCTAGGAAAGGTGGAACGCGATGCTCAACAAGATGATATCTCATTGTCTAAAGTATCTGACAGCGGGTGTTAAACATCCCCTCGCTGACTATCGTGTTGCGGCTAAGAGTTCAAGTCCAAATATCATACAAAGCAAGTGGGGAATCAAGTATTCCTGTAATATCAGGATACACAGTGGTATATGTGTAGCTCGCGATATTAGTGGCATCTTTTTACGCGACATTTGTTTCAAGAAACTATGCAGTATTTCAGAAATCTTATGTTGACTGGTAATACCGAGTGATGCGCTCAAGCGCGCGCGAAGAGAAAGTCTCTCATTGGTCACCAGAAACCTGACAGCGCATTCCCGCAGTCAACAGTTGGCATGGGTTAGAGGTGGGGGACAGTGCAGCTATGAGGCTGATTTTGATTTGAGCGACGTTGCCCCTACATCCCTTCTTTCCAACAAGCATTTTTTTCTGACGCTATTCATTTTACATTCCAGTCACACTTCAACTTCCTTCTCTCATATGGCAGATGCTTTCGGGGTCGTTTCTGCGGGGGTAGGGATCGCTGCTTTCGCCCTCCAGATCGCAGACAGAATCAACGAATTACGAGAAGCTCGTAAATACAACCAAACGCGGGCTACCAATGAAATTGAACATTTGATTTGTCGTCTTCAATCTTTACATGGAAACTTGAACATTGCCCAGCCTTTTGAAAGAGATCAAACTGTCCAACTTGCGATTACGCACTGTTGGTCCGCGTTTCGAAGAATCGACATCGATCTGCAGAAACTGTTGAAAAATATTCCTCACAAAAGCCTGGGAAAGAAAGATGTTTTAAGGTCAGCAATATTAGTATACTCAAACGAAACCCGCAAAGACATCCAAGAAATCAGCTCCAAAATTGATAGCGTGAACATCGACCTGATTCCGTACGTTCTAATGATCTTGGAGAGAAAAAGCCAGACGATCAGACTGATATTGGCCATTAATAGCTCACTCTTACTAAACCATATGTCTCGCATGTCCACACTTTGTGGTGTAGATCAGCCAGCTATTGAAAGTGTTCCAGTGACCAAAAAGGATGTCGGAGATCAACAGACAATCGTACATGTCACGAAAAGAGTCCCTCCGCTTCAACGACCATTTTGTAACAAGACACACTGCCATTGCTCCTGCCATATCACCGAGTCCATTTCAAGACGCTACTGGGGATTAGAGTACACGCCCCTGTCCACAATTTTTGGAAACTGCGATAACAGATTATGTTCTTCGCGGCGAACCCGCTGGAATATGCGAATTGCATTCACTCGGTACGGGATACCGTGGGCGGTTTATGCAGGAATTGAGCTTCTTTCGGGAGCTGGGAAATATACAATTCGACCCGCCCTGGGCTTACAAAGGACAGTCAATTATACATCGCCGGGGTTCGTGATACTTTGGAAATGTCAGTATCATTTAATCTCACTTTCGGAAGCCAAGGAGATGTTTTTGGACTTGAAGAGAGAAGATCCTTCTTTAAAGCAACATGTCGACCCAAGTGGGCATAGTTATGTTCGGGTATGGATTCATCCAACCGCTATCCAGAATGCTCGCACTAAATTAATACTTAGGCTCTTGTCACTCATGGGCCTTGGGGAAATCAAAATGATCAATTTGATTTATTATTTTTCTTGGCTCTTGAGCTTGGAATGACGCTTGAAAATGAAGATCAGAGGTAAGTTTTATCAATATGACCTGATACAAGTTCAAATCTCAGTTATTCGGCTACTCTAGTTTCCTCGTACAGTGCGCCAAGTGGATTGGAGAGGGTCGTCATCTCGATCTGCTTGATGCTATCCTTAGATGTGGATTTGACCAAGGAGATATCGATTCTCCGTTGTTTGTAAAATGGCCTTCGACATGCTCTCCCAATTGGATATCAGAAGAGATGGTACCGGATCCATTCTTCATTGAGTATCTTGCAATTCTCGGAATGAATGATCCCGGTTAGTCTTATCAGTTGGTAAAAGCAGTGGCACATTGCTAAAATATACCTAGGATTTGCTGGAATGAGTGCCCTTGACGCCGCTATTCTCAAAAAATCCTTCGATGAAGTGAAATCACTGCTTCCCTCTTATCAAATGAGCCAAAATTGCAATTTCCTCGGCCAAACCCCGTTGCACCTCGCCGCATCTGATTTGAGAATATCAAGCATGCTCGTGGATGCTGGGCATGACATAAACGCTACCGATAGGCGTGGAATCACACCTCTTATGTACTCAGCAGCAATGGACAGCCGTGATGTGGTAGAGCTGCTCATATCGAATGGTGCCGACCTAATCATTCACGATTGTCATCTTAATAGGGACTTCTTTGCATATGCAGCGGCACGTGGCAATTGGAATCTCATATTTGAGTCTTTGGAAAACATTCGAACATTCTATGGCCACAATACTGCTCAGCATTTTGTTATCACAGCGATGATGTGTCTATTGCCCAACTATCCGTTCATGGACGACTTGAGAACATCATACTTTGAGGACCTTGTTGGACTCTGCGAGGACGTAAATTTCACTTTCAAAGATGGTATAACAGGAGCAGAGAATAACAACCTACTTCACTATGTTCAAAATTGGCAGGAGGCACAGGCACTTGTTCGACATGGGTTCCAGGGCTTTAACGAACCAAATAGTGAAGGTGAGCTTGCGATATTCTCTATTGCATGCAACCCTCAAGCAGAATTGATCCAATTTTGCCTTGAAAATGGAACCCAGGCAAGTCACATTGACAACCAGGGTCGTACTATTTTGATGAAACTTCTTGTTCAATTAAAGGAAATCCGTTCCTCGGTTTGGGACATTATCGATTCGGTCAAGCTAATCCTTGCTGGGGACACTGACATTTTCATTCCCGACAATTGCAGATGTGCTTGTTCTCAAGACGGCTGTAGTACATTCTCTGTGTTCAATTTAGCGTTTGATATGAAGTTGTTTTCGAATGCACCTAAGCTAATATGGGCCTTTGAGTGGCTTTCTCTAGTGGAAGAATTTCGTGGCTATCAGACCTCCAAATTGGTACTCCTATCTTTTCTTCGGAGGACACAATTTGACCTCTTGGATATCACACATGTCTGCTGTCACCGAGGTCGGGGGATGACATCGAAGTCCCCCTTGGAGTTTATGAGACCTAAAAGTCTTCAAGATGAAGATATTGAGGAAATATTGGACGAAGAGTGTGAGCTCATTGAAGAGTTAGAGAAAATTCAGCGTCTATGGGTTTCAAGTAGCTTGGAAGCTCTCAGGTCTCATTGGATGATTCTTCTAAAGAGACAGTTCGATGAGCGCTCAGTTGATGCTGCGAGACAAATGGAAGAAAAGAAAAGAAATCCACCATCTATGCGGCCAGTAAGTGACAGTTATCCTTGATTTTGGGCTTTGAACTTACAAAACAGTCTGGGCGTCAAGTGGACTACAAAAATGACGCTTACTACTTCCATGTCTCCTGTGACCGTCCTATTCAAGTACCGTCCGACATTCTTTCGAGTTCAATGGCAGAATACGCTTTCTGGTTGCAACACAACTTGACCCGAAGCAGAAACAATATTTCGAGCATGTATTTCAAAGAGGGTTGGTACGAGAGACGACTGTCTTGGTTTATTGATTTGATGAACGTTATGCAAATACCGAAAGATGCTATCATCAAGAAAATGCAGCGGATAGACATCACGGAGAGCAGAGCGGAAATGGTGGACCAGATATCAATTGTTGAAAACTTCTCAATGTCGCTAAATTCTTTGAAGACCAATAGTGTAGGTGAATAATTATTCAAGGGGGACTAATCAGAGTCCAAATCTACTGCGCCGTATTCTCTCCGATGTTAGTGAGTCTGTTCATCGTCCCTAGCTAGATAAGACCTGAACTTAGTGTTCTTTGCTCAATAAATGATCTGCGCTAAGGTCTAGACGGTGGGGCCGAGAAAGAGTCTCACTCTGTTTTGGTCAACCAGATTTCGAGAACACCTGTATGAGGTATGAGTAGTATTGATGTAGCGAATTAGTATCGGGCTGCTTATGAGGTTCAATGGAAGACTAATCGCACGTATCTCCCACTGCTTGACTTCTTTCTATTTGCAGCAGCAGCTCAGTCACCACGGCCTAACCAGCAAATAGATTCTAGAAATTACCAGCAAATTAGCCTAGACAGTCAAATGCCTTGTATGTGGTGTCAGTATAAAAGAGAGAACTGCAAAAAGGGTCAACAAGCTCCACGACCGAAGTCTGGTTGCAGCGAGCGTGGGATAGTGATATGTATCCAAGGGCAATGTTGGGATGAATTCCATGGTTCTGACTAATTACAATAATTCTGGCTACTGCGATATTACAGAGTCTAGCCAATAAGAACGATTTGTTATAATACACTAGTAAACCGCTCTTAAAATAGTTCCCGGGGCGGACGGGGGGATAGACCTGACCAAATAAAGGCCAATCAAGGAATCAGCAAACAAGGGTTCTGCAGCTGCCATTGGGCAACTCCCTGTTCTTACTGTTAAACCTCGGATGTTGAAGATACGAAAAATGGCTGGATACGAGAATGCAACCTCGGATAGATCGCGCTATTTGCCTATGAATAGCAGTACGAGAACACGAGGAAGTGGGCTTGGCAATACAAGGATATGAAAATTCCGATGTATAAGTACACCATTGTTCTGCAAGGGTCTTTCACGATATAGCAAGCATCAGTTAGAAACGAAACAAGATGAAGTTCCTCGGTCTCGCAATTACCTTCCTCCCCCTCCTGGTCGCCGCTGCCCCAGTCGCGGATCACGAAGCCAAAGCAGATGGAGAGCCGGACCTTGAAAAGCGCGCATCAGCGCAGAGTTGCAAAATCATCAATGTCGACCACTATGTCAACTGCCGGTACGATGCGACGTTAGACGCAGGCGAAATCTTTGGGTTTCCCAAGGGAGATAAACTCACCTTTGCATGCTGGAAGCATGGCGATTGCTTCAATGGGGTTTGGTAGGTTTGATACTGTGTTATGACGAGCTGGATGCTAATGGGAGTAGCTCCTGGGATCAAGTTACATATCTGGGGACAACGTGCTACGTCAATGGGTACTTTACGGATAGTAATTGCTCGAGCAGTATGTCACCTCTTGCTGGTATTTGGACATGACTGATGATGTTAGAAAAACTCCCCAAATGCAAATAGGCTGCGGCGGTCCTCGATGTGACTGTGATGTGCTGCTAGATACATGATATAGCTTTGAAGCTGGGTTAGAAGTCATTACGATCGTTTTATTGCTATGCACGTCTTTTCGTGGTCCATGTTCTCATACTGTAAAATGTATTTAGCTTTCCAAAGCTTCTATTTTAGGCCGGCATGTTGAAAATGACCTCTTGTGCTGTCTTCTTTTGCACCAACAACTTTAATACACCATTCGAGGAAGGAATCAAATCCTCGATTGGGATCATCTTTCGAAGTAGCCCCAGTTACGGTTGACAAAGCCCTCGCTCTCATTGTTCTAGTATTTGGGGATTCACATGTTTTGTGTTCTTACTTGTTTTCCTGGCCTTTGCTGGATTACAGCAGGATAATAAAGCTCTTGGTCTTTTTCGCAGATTGCAGCAGGCGAAGACTCTTCTTTCTTCTCTAGCGGTTAGAAGGGCTTTTCGTTCAGATTGTCAATAGCTATGTACTTATTTCCAGATTCCTGTCTCCCTTTGTTCGTTCTCGGGGATCCCAGGTCAAATAGCTCGATAAGTCCTTTGCTCTCGGATTCCATTCCGTCCCCCCTTTGCGTAGCGAGCTCCTCGGGTATTCTATCACTATATTCCTGATGGTCTAGGGGCTGCCAATTCCCCCCATTTGCTGTTCTTGTTTTGTTTTGCTTTCCTCGAAGTTAACCGAGTGAACTCGGAATGCTCGCATCGTAAGCTTCTCAGCCCTAAGGCGCTCTCAACAGCGATCTAAACCAATTAATCCAATGATCATAAGCAGAGCATCGTCTGATATCCTCCAGATAGTTTGTCCTGCGTTTATTCACCTGCAAGTGTCATTCAAGAGATTAGTATGCCTGGACATACCCGCTTGGAGGTAGAAAGGCGTCGGGTCCGCAACCCAGGCCACGCGGCTTCTGGATGCGACCAACGCATGTTTTAAAAGCCCCGCCTTTGTTAGTTGGCGGCTTTTCTGAGAATCAGGGCTTGTAATACTCATGTCGACTGAATCATGATAATCCTCCTACGCCTTCGGCAATCTATCATTTCTGAACCCATACCCAATTATAATGGAAAGAATGAAGGATCCATTGCCTGAAAAGCTTTTTCTTGATTCTCGAATCTCGGACATTCTCAACAAAACTATCAAGATACCTCGAGTCGAGCCATGGGTCTCTCGCTACGGAGACGCAATATATGCCCGCTATCACATGGATGGAGGAGCTCAAAACGGTATCTAGATTGATATTCACGAAAACGATAGTGGCAACAGCGAGCCCTTCAAGATGACTGTCTACGACCTAATCATAGAGGATGCTCAACAACACACCCAGGAGTACCCTGGCTTTCATCGTGAAGCACTACTATTATACAGCATTGCCAGCCCAGAGGATACCCGACGGGATGTGATTGAAGGGTTGAAGCCACTTTCCACCTTGGTATGTCAGATCTTTTTGCTCAATGGCAATGATGCTCCTAATGAGACTGACTGACCCAACAATACATAGTTTGCTACCACAGCTTCCTGTCACCAATCTTTTTTACTTCGTTCTCGCTCCACCTTCTAATTCTCATTACTCCCCTCTCACCTCACCTGCCCATCACACTTCCACCTTCAACCTTACACCCAGCCTATCATTCTATCACTTCAAACTATCATCTTATCACTTAACCTTCGAAAGACTTCAAAATTCCAAAAAGGAAAGTGAGCGAAAGCTCCCCGGTCAAAAAAATAAGCAAGGACCGCGACCAAACGCGGTACGGGATGGCTCAAGACCCACGAGAAGACTTCTACGGTGGAAAATAGAAGCTCGATGATTCGTGGGCACGCGCTACGCTCGCACTTGACCGACAAGACTGGAATCCTGGAACGCCGGTTGGTCTCATTTTGGATCCGCGTGGTCTATCGAAAGCTGCAAAAAAGGAAATCACCGACAAGTTCCTAACATACCGTGAGAAGCCGGTGTTCGACAATAGCAAGCTCCAAAATTGTCCACCACCAAATGTCACCCTTACCGATGAATGGGTGGAAATCGTGTGTGGACAAGTCCCGAACAGAGAGAGAGGACAGAGATGGGCCCTCGACCTCAACACCCAAGGTGACATCTCAGCTGACCGAGTGCCAGTTGAACCAGCACCACTGAAACGAGCGCATGGGCTCCTCTCCTTCCTGATCTACAAAAGTTATTTCGTACTTTGTGGAACAGAACTGAGAAGGAGGCTTGCCGACGCCCTTAATCGGGATTACAAAGAAGATCCTTGGTTTTACGTATCTATCTCTCTCAAAGCTACATCAAAGCTACATTGAATGGCAAGGCATGTGTGTGTATTTATGTAGTTATTTGGGTATGACAGCGATGAGTTCGTAATATGAAGGTTTGGCCTGACGCCCTCCCTACAGGCCACCCTGAGGGGCTTTATCTAGCCAAACTCAGCTTGGCGCAATCGATCGTAGCGGAGGGTCACCCGCGGGTTGTGCCGAGGTCTAACTACGACTTCTACGCCCGGAATAGATACGACAGCTTTACCAAGCATACGTTACCCCGGTCGTAGACTATGCATCAACTATATAGTATGACCCGTTAAGAGACAAGACTTATCTACGACACCTAAATATAGTACAGGTAATCGTGCTAATCCGCATTGGGATATATGCATGTTATTCTCAGCCCCCATCTTATACATATCCGTATTTCCGGGACAACAACATCTCTTAAAAAAGGGAGGGGGGGGGGGGGGGGGCACCACATTCGATCCCTTAAACGAAACAATGGACAACACCGATGGTTCAGTTTCTGGGCAAGATGATATTCTATCACCTTATCAGGTTGAAGATCTGATTGCCAAGGGTCATTCCATTGTCATAATCGATCAAAAGGTGCTGCGTGTCGATTCATGGCTGCCTTATCACCCTGGTGGCTATAAGCCTATTCAACATTTCATTGGGAAGGACGCAACAGATGAATTTCTTGTGTATGTTACTGCACGCATGCCGCCTCGACTCAATTCTTCTCGATGATTAGGAACGACTGATTAGAGTAGCATGCACTCGGCCGAAACCCGCCAGCTGATCGACCGGTACAAGATCGGAAAGATTGAAGAACGATGGCACAATCTCATCCCTCCGATTCAGAGAAGTCAAAATGAGAATGAAGAACGGAATACATCTCTAGCTCAAGTCAATGACTTGACTCATGCCCACGAACGTCATACCCCCGAAGAGCTAGCTTTCTTGAACGCTCGATCCAAAGAGGAGATCAGCGTGGCACTCGATCAATATCCCAGCCTCGACGTGACTACACAGTCCAACATCATCGATAAATACCGTCGTTTGCATGAACAAGTTCAATTGGAAGGGCTTTATGAATGTCGTTATACCGCCTATCTCTGGGAATTAGGCCGCTGCAGCTTTCTCTTTGCCATCATGCTGTTCTTTCTGCATATTGAATGGTACTGCACCAGCGCGATCTTTTTAGGATGGTTCTGGTCGCAGATGGTCTTCGCTGCTCACGACGCAGGTCACATAGCTATCACACATAATTTCTTCGTCGACAACCTCATAGGGATGATTATCGCCGCCCCCATCGGCGGACTATCACTAGGATGGTGGAAGCGTACCCACAACGTCCATCATCTTGTCACTAATTCTCCCGAACATGACCCAGATAACCAGCATCTCCCTTTCCTGGCTGTGAACCACCGCTTTCTAAGTAGTCTTTTCTCCACCTACCACGAGCGCCTGATGCCGTACACGGAGTTTGCCAGGCGCATCGTGCCCTACCAGGCTTATCTCTACTATGTGATCCTGATGTTTGGGCGCTTCAATTTGTACGTTCAGTCATGGCTTTTTCTCATCTACGGCCAAGGCCCTCGCAAGGGCCGGGCGTGGTGGCACCGGTACTTCGAGATTGGAGGCAATTTCGTCTTCTGGGCTTGGTTCGGATACGGAATCGTCTATCGCTCGCTCCCTACGGCGGGGACTCGAATCCTGTATGTATTGATCAGCCATGCGGTGACAATGCCACTGCATGTGCAGTTCACGCTGTCGCATTTTGCGATGTCGACTGCCGATCTGGGCCCCGAGGAGTCTTTCCCTCAGCGTATGCTCCGAACCACCATGGATGTAGATTGTCCGGAGTGGCTGGATTGGATACATGGAGGACTACAGTTTCAAGCCATCCATCATCTGTTCCCGCGGGTGCCTAGGCATAATCTTCGACGAGTGCAGAAGTTGGTTTTAGAATTTTGTCGCGAGGTGGGCATTCCATATGCCTTGTATGGGTTTGTGGGAGGCAATCAAAAAGTGGTGGGCAGCTTGGCTGAGGTGGGAAGACAGGCTGCAATCTTGGCTGAATGCAGAAGGGTTGTAGCTGACAAAATCACGCGTATCTGAGTAGCAATCTCGAAATCTCCATTCTAGGACCTAGTCGAGTAAATAGGCCTAAGTATGAGGTTGATAATCCGATCGAAAGGCTGACTGATGCCATGTTCAAATCAATCCTCTCATCTTGACACGCTATATCCTACGTACATGTCGATAGCTTTCCTTTTTATGACAGGGGGCATAAACTACGGTCCATTTGCAAGTGAAGGGACATGTATCTCAGCAGGCAAAGTCATGAAACCATGGGGCAAATCCTGGAATATATTTTCCGGTCAAATATGGATATTACCAAGTCACCATTCACGCATGATGATCATGGAACTTTATATAAATGTTACAATTTTAGCAGAACCTTCTGTGGTCATGAGTCTTATCCTGCTAAAGCAAATCATAGGTCAAAGATGGGTTTGGAGATGGTAGCCTAATTCCGGCACGCAGTCCGCGGGCCCGCGGACCTCTCCGCGGAGTGGATCTAGTAAATCCTAATCCAGGGTTGTCCCCGCAATAACAACAAAAAACCTATTTAACAAATTGACTTTCAGTCAGGCATATAAAAGATAGCTGTCGCTGGTACCTGGTCGTTTATTAAAATTTACTTCTGTCTTTTCTGTTCATCTACATCGACTCGTCTTTATCATACAAACCCCAAGAATCCAGCTTTTACATCCATCCTGTCATAAAGCAATTATGTTTACTCCGAAAATTGGCTTGATCGTGTGCAGCACCAGGAAACCACGTGCGTGTCCACAGATTGCACAATTTGTTGTCGACGCAGTCCAATCCACGGCAACCCAGCAAAGCAATGCCACCCCAATTCCTCAACTGATTGATCTGGCTGAATGGAATCTTCCAATGTATGACGAATCGGATATACCGTCCCAAATCACCGATTCTTCGCAGTATGACCATCAGCACACACGAGAGTGGAGCCAGGAAATCAAGCAATATGACGCGTTTATCTTTGTGGTTCCTCAATACAACTGGAGCTACCCGGCCGTCATCAAGAACGCCATAGACTACCTCTACCATGAATGGAATGGGAAACCAGCTTTTGTGGTCAGCTACGGCGGACATGGAGGTGGAAAGTGTAATAGACATCTCAGAGAAGTCCTCCAGGGTGTGCGTATGAAAACGATATCGAACAACGTTGAGCTGGCGTTTCCCGGAAGGGACATCTTAGTCAAGGCTGCAAGAGGCAAGGATATTGGGCTTCAAGATGATGCCGATATATGGAAGGAAGAACGAGGGCAAATTCTGAATGCATTTGAAGAGCTTTTAAAGGAGATTCCGCATGTCGCATAGCACTATGCCAACACTATGTACTTTGACTTCTGGCAAAATATAGAATGTCGTTTCCTTCAGTTGATTTTTAGATGTTAGTTAATCTGCACAATTATTTGACCTTTCTCCCCAAGATCCTCGCTTATCCTTGTTCCCAAATCACCACTTAGTGCAGTAATCTTCTCCCTCGTCAGCCGGTGATCAACATCTTCCTTTTCAAGAAGTAATGACCTAAATAGTTCGATCCGAGTAGGATATATCTCTAGCCGATCAAGCACAAGTTCTTTTTTCCCTTCTGCCCCTTCACGCTGACTGACGAAAACACGCCATACAGCCCCGAGATCATTCCTATACTCCTCATTCAGCACATAATCGTCAACAAAATCACCACACCCATATATGATAATCTTGCCACGGTACACCTCCACCCCCTGCACATGATGGGATGAATGCCCGTGTACGATATCAACCTCACACTCGTCAATCAGGAAGTGCGCCAAGGCACGTATCCGCTCTGAGGGCTGCCACCTGTAATTCGGGCCCCAGTGGACGGAGAATATTTTGAGGCCCGGCGGCGCATTCGGCGGTCTACTCGCGTGACTATGGCGGCGTCCCTCGCTCCCATCACCGAAAGCCGCACCATGAGCCGTCTCTGATTCTCCGAGGTGCTCCTCTGTCGATCCATTGGAGAGCAGAAGAGTTCGCAGGCGCACCCGGGTCGCCGGAGAGTAATCGATCATATGGAATGTCGGGACAACGTTCCAGTCGCGCGGGTGGTCTGACGCCGAATAGACATGAACACGATAGCCACCGGGATCAGGCCGGTCTTTCCAGGTGCCCGGCTGCTTTGCTCCCTTCACATGGCGGGAATGGTACTCCTGCGCGGTGCGGGGCAGCCACAGCGTAGCTGGTTTATACGCTTGGTCTGTTGTTTCGCCGGCTCCAGAGAACGGGACGCCGGCGTCGCGCAGAGTCCAGGCGGTGTCGACGAGGCCGTCGGTACCGAAGTCTAGCGTGTGGTTGTTGGCGAGAGTGGCGTAGTCGACATGTGCGGCATGGAGAATCGGTGCCAGGTTGGCTGGATGGCTGCGATAGTTGAAGCGTTTGTCCGGCCATGGGTCGGATGTGGTTGTTACTGAAGTCTCGAGGTTGATTAAGAGGAGATCGGATGCATTAAGAAGAGGAAGCGTTGTGCCCCATGGGGGAGGCGTATGTATATCGTGAACGGGATAATACAGATGGATGTTGGTCGATGAAGTGGGCAGCAATGCTTTGGTCCTCATCGTTGGTAACGTGTTCCGGAAAAAGCTGATCAACCAGACGACCTAGCATAACATCTCCAACAAAGGATAGGATGAAAGGCTGTGCGGAACTCATTGATTAGGATATATCCTCTCGACCAGGCAGGGATTAACATTAACTGGAGACTGCGAAGGCCAGAATAAAGTGATATCAAGTCATAAAGTCATGATGACATCGGATTGTTCGGCCCGGGCCGAGAGACTTTATATACAAGATAAGAAAATTATTCCAAACTTTGAAGTACGAAATGTATGAGGGGACTTCAAAATAAAAAGAGCGATTCCAATTCAGTTGTTGTAAATAGAGTACATTTGATCTCCGAGAGGCTTTTTTTTAGGGAATAAACAAGAGGGAATGAAAGAAATAAACGACCATAGTGAAACAACCAAGGATCCATCGCCCCGGCAAAAAGAATAGTCAGTGGTATCATGCGCAAACTCGCCCAGAATTTGCGCCGTATTTTAATATGGAAGAGAAAAATCACCATCGGAAAAAGAGAACCGGAAAATAGTTCTAGGGGTTTGAATCTCGTTAATTTCGTGACGACTTGAAGCTCATAGCTAGAATTATCGGCCAATCTCGGCCAGCTCGCGTTCTTTAGCACGCAGCGCCTCGCGCATCTGTTCGGCTTCTCGTTCCAGTCGCGCCCGGCGATCGACAGCCGGGTCCGAGAAAGAGGAGATGCTGGGGAGTTGCTGGGGTTGGTGTGATGGGTGCGAGGCGGAGGGTATGGAGTGTTGAAAAGACTGAGGTCGATTCAAATGCTTGCCATCCATACGGGAATCATCATGTGGACCAGCCTGGTTTAGGATGGATGAAATCGAGCTCAAGCGACCCGGAGGAGAGGGGTTGGCTGAGGACATGATAGGCGGTAATTGATTCGATCCAGACTCCAGAGTGGTGGGGATAGGAAGGGCTTCCGCCGCGGTCTCAGCCAACGTCCGCTTCTTGGGGATGCCAAGGGAGTTTGGTGATGCAGAGCGTCGTCCATACTGAGAGACCGGGGAGTGACCCAGACGCTCGGGCTCCAGAAGTTTTGGCAGCTGATGGTGTTGTAAAGGAGCGGAGCTGACATGGTAGCTTGTAAAATCCACAGGAGGGGGTGCAAATGGCAATGATCGAGGCGCGTCCATTGGTTCATTGCTCATGTACCGATAATGATCGTCGTGAGAATGGGCTAACGCTGCAGGAGATGCTTCCGGAGATGCTGATGACCCGTTTGAGGAGTGAGTAGCAGCCGTGGGAGACTGGTCGCGTAGGGCGGGAACGACGCGTTTGCGACGTTTGATGATGGACTTTTTCATGGTCGTCGGACGATAGCAACCGTGAAGCTTATAGTACAATCCTGCATTTGGTAAGCTTGGAAACTATCCATGGAGATTGGGAACGGAGGTGCAAATCAAACTGACCACAAGCATTACAAATAGGATGGCCATGCTCGTCACGGCGCCATAAAGGGGTAACAGTTGTTCCGCAGTTTTGGCAAGCCACCAGAGTTGAGCCTCCATCAGAGGGGGTATTTTTGGCAGAAGCATCGCTTTCGGGCCCGGGAGGCGCTGGATCTGTATCCGGAATTGAGGTTCGACCCCACGGGGCATGAGGAGCAGGCGGGGCGCCGCGGTGCGCCGCTTTGTAGATGCGGTTGTTGTAGGCTGGACAGCCGTCGCATCCCTCAGCACCACCAGTACCATTACAGCTTCCGCCGCCTGGGCAGGAACCCTTAGAACCACCGCAGCCGCCTGATGATGGGGCTGCTGCATCGTGTGGCGGGGCTGTGACACTGGGTCTGTCCACGGCCTCAGAGCCCTGTTGAATCCGATTTCGCTTTGTGGGACGAGCGACATTTCGAGCTTTCAAATAAAGGCCACAGGCATTGCAGATCATGGCCCCTGTTGGAGATCGTCGCCAGAGTGGTGTGTTTTTTGTTCCACAATTGCTATCCAGTCATTAGTATAAACCGCCGAGTGTGCCAAGAGTCTGATTTCGGGGCACGACTCACCTGCAAGAATGCCCCAAGAAGGACGTATCCTTTTGCCCCCGTGGAGAGGTTTTGTCCCGTGTTCCATCCGATCGTTCCACGTTCAATTGGACCGATGCCGGTGACGGTTGGTAATTCGGGGGCGGGCTTGCCGTCATTTTGATCGGGGGTCTTCCCCATACCGGGCCAGATGGTCACGGCCACCCTGTGCAGATGAGATCAGCTGCTGAGCAGCATCCAGATCCTCCGCCGAGGGTTGCCGGATGGGAACACCATCCCGGGGATAAGAGTGTACCGTTTCCATTTGTGGAATAGACGCTAGCATAACCACCTGAATGGGCCGGAGAGAGGAGTCGGCCGTGGGTCCGTCGGGCTAGGGAGAAAGGTAAGGAGTGTAAAGGCGGAGGAGGTAGGCGAAGGCGATAGAGGAGAGGATCCTAGCAGGGAGGCCCAATTTCGGGGATAGTATAGTTCCAGGAACGGCGCGGCGGAAGCGAGAAGATGAGGGAGGACACGGAGGGCGATGTGAGGGCGATGTCGCACCACAGTTGACAGCCGAATTCACCGTTGCACCTACAACAGGAAGATCAAATGTCGGTCAGGGCCTGTGGGAACGCGGCCGGCCTGCAGAAGAGGCCGACTAGGACTGCAGACGGCGACACAGGTAGGGAGGTATGCCAAAGAAGGAGCTGGATGGTGGATATGCGTGGGAGCAGCAGGGATTGAAGCCGCAGGGCTCTCAACTCGTTATAACACGCCACGAGCGACGATGTCAAACGAATGTGGCGACCAAGTGGTCCGGGATGGTCAGGTGATAGATGAGCGATTGCGACAGCTGACAGCACAATCGGGAACGCCCAGTCTGACTTGGCGCGGTTGGGTAGGGAGGGGGGGGGGGGGGGGAGATGCAGGAGGCTAGACGGGGCTAGGATTAGGGCCAAGTGTTCGCTGGGGGGTGGGCTGCACGATGGTGATTCGTCTGGCTGAGAGGGAAAGGTAAAACGAAGGAAGGAAGAGAGGAAGAGGAAGAGGAAGAAATTGAAACCAGGAGAAGAGGGACGCCAGATAAGGAGGCGGAGAAGGAAGGACGGGATGGCGTGGTCGGAAGCGATGAGATGATCGGGGGGACCGAAGTGTCGGGAGAAGGGGGGGGGAGGAACGACAGATCGAGAGGATGAGAGGATGAGAGGATGAGAAAGCGAATCGGGAACGAAGCGAAGAAGCCAGTCGAAGGTCGTTCTCGAGAGAAAAGAAAGGGATTCTGGGGCGGTTATCGATCTACGAAGGGGGGATCGACGAAAGGCTATCAATCAATTATCTTAAGAAATCAAGTCTAATCTGCCGAGCCTCGCTATCTCATCTTCCATCTAATCTCGACTCGGTCCCCCCTCAACTGATTCCCAACCGGCCATGTATACAAAGCCCTGTGTTTGCTTTTTCCGAGCTGTCATTTGAAAATCTCTGATCGCCATCTCCGAATGCCGAATTTTACATCCCCAGATCGCATCACGACGGGGCCCACCGTGCGCCTGATGAAGTTTAGGGGCGCAGAATCAGTGGGAATCAGTGGGAATGCACCTTCCCAAGGGAGGCGTCGGCGGGCCAGTGCGTAGGCAAGCATCTTTAACGGGCCGATGATTGGCGGAGGCGGCTTTCCGGCCCGGGTCAGCAGCATTTCAGCGCCTCCGGTTGGCCGAAAGCGCGGCCATGCCGTGACTAATGTCCCAGTCAGAGTCTGGACGAGGCAAAAGAAGTCCTTGATCCCCCCTCCATATAAGGTTCGATCAGGTAAATGGTCAAAAGTACACGCTGTTCCCTGTTGCCGATCAACCTGGGTCGTACTTTGTCACTTGGCCCAATTCGTCCGGGCCCCATCCGATACTCACCGGAATACTCACTCTCCGAACGGAGACTAGATTGAAGATAATCACACATAGTGCCAAAGTAGTCGGTAATAATAGATCCTCTGTGGGAATGACAGGCTCCACACCTTTCTTCAACCCTCTCTAATCGTGAGTCTCTAATCGGGAGTTTGTGACACAACACTCTATTGAGCCAGGAATCATAGCACCGAGAGACACGGTAAAAATGCACAAGATGCAGCAAATGGTCTACATTCCCAAATTGGCATATATATGGTACAATATTTCTGTCCTGCTGTTCATGAACCCTTGACCTCCACAGGTATCAACGTTTGAACAAAAGCCAAATGAATAATGGAAAAAAAAGGAACTAGAGTAATGACACTAAACCATAACAGATAAAAAAAGAAGTAATGCGAAGGAAGACTACGGGGTTCGCTCGTTCGATGATAGGCTGAGGATCTCTGGGCTGAACACATGGTCATGTCTGTCGAAAGACAATCAACCGTGTCCATCGCGTAACTTGCAACCTGCAACTAGGAACCTCGTGGTCGCATCATAGTACTTCATCATCCCATCATATATCGTATCGCAAAGAGGAAAAGCATGCGCTCAATGCAACCAATCAGTCCGGGGAGTCCACATTGCCATCTCGAGTCAGGCTGCAACTTTCCAAAGATGAAAAATCATTTCGTAAAGGTTCGCAACTCATTGGTCGATGGCGGGTCTCGTGACTCAAAGGATTTAAACCTGCTCGGCACCCCAGCCTTGATCGGACTCGCGCATGTTGGAGGGGGGCTCGATGGAGGGAATGAACTCGAGGACGAGGTAACCAATACCGGTGACGCCGACAATGCCGGCGGCAATCTCGCGCAGGATGTGATCGTGCAGCAGGATGCAGCCGACGAAGATGTAGACTACACGGAGAGGTCAGTACCGGCGGGCTCGGGGAGTGGAATATTCGACGGGAACACAGCCACTTACAGATACCACGGCCGAGGAAAGAGAAGAGGAACGAAGCGTAGCGGTAAGCATAGTCAGGGACATTCGGCAGGAACTCCAGACCGGCAACAACTAAAGAGATCCCATACATGAGCAAAACCATAAAACCCAACAGGATCCGCTTATTGACGAGTTGCTTACCCAGACCAAAAACAATGACGTACGCGCCCACAACGATGGAGCTCATGGACGGCGGGAAGAACTGGCTGATACCGCCCAGCACCATGATCACACCCACCGCGATGTTCACAAGTCGACTGGAGTCAGTTGTTAGTACGACGCCACCGCTTTGGGCCGTTGGGACAAGGAGCGCCAGAGCTGCGCATGAGCGGCGAGCACATACAAGATATTAGAGAAGTCCATTTTGAATGATGTTTCAATTGTAAATTTCACTTAATCTCAAGCGATCTTCAGGGTGTCAAGGTCGAGAGGGGGTTTGCGAGTCGCTAGGCAACAAACAATAGGGAGGGGAGAACGAAATCGAATGGGTTGCGAGATCGCTAGTATTTTCGTTAGCTCATTCGGCATTGTCGGGAATGATGGGGAAGTTCTTGAGAAAGCCGGCACACCCACCGCCGCTAGATAACAGCAGGTGGATTCAAGATCTGGGGCTGAGGGGGGGGACTAGGAGACACTTGACCGTACCTGTTTGTTTGTTGGATCAGCAAATGTCCAAAGGAGGCAAGCGCACTAGCGAAATCGCAGACAGAAGGCCAAGAAAGAATGCGCTTTTATGAAGCTTGGATCGAAGTAGAACAGGGGCTCGGGTTGGGAGGGAATGAGAAGCGTGGAGCGCGAGCAGTCGCTACGCTGTCGCAAGCAGCGGGTCTGCCAAGCCTCCCTGGATGACTCAGCAGGCAATTTGACGAGCCACCGACGCCGCTGACGCATCACGTGAGGGGCTGGAACGGAGGACTGTTAGTCCAGATTAGGACATGATGGGCATGGCCAGCCGTCCCTGGTTCCTCTTCTCTATAAATAGAGATGTACGCTGGGCAATAGTCCTCCGCGGCATTGAACAAAATATGTGAAGCGATGGAATACTTTCTGTTAATTGAGACCGTTTTTTGTATCTACACACATGCCTAGAGACTAAATAAACAGTTGCTGTCTATTATAGTGCTTGAATATCATGCTCCTTGTGCTCCAGCCGGACTTTGGATAACCCACTTGCAAATTTACTCATAGAAACCGAATCTTGTCCGAGCTCATCGTAAATAGCATCCAAGTCTGTTCCTATACCGATTTCTTCAGCGGTTTTGAGGCTTCGAGAGTCGAGGAAAGGTGCAACGGAAGGCCAGACACTATGCACCTGGTCCAAAAATAACTCAGCCCCCAGGTCCCCTATCCCTTTGATCTCTTTCATTCGTCTTTGGATCTCCTCAGTATGGCCGTGAGAACCTTCCAATAGTTGATTGAGATCACCATCTGCGAACATTACAGAATTAGTTACCGGAGCGGAGAAAGTTGGAAGATTCCGAGGAATTCATACCATATTTATTGTTGACGAGTTCTGCAAGGTTGCCCAGATTTGTAGCACACTGTTCCCTATAGCGGTTGTAACCTGACTGTCTCAAAGTCTGGACTCGGTCCTCCCATGTACTATTTGCCAGTGTGTCAATCAAATGGTATCGGTGATCGATCAAACCACAGGTGGTTTTGTGCGCCAGATGGTGCGATATAGGACGAGACTTGAGCATCGCATCAATGGCAATCGCGAGCACAGTCTCTGACTTTGGTTGGAGTCGCTGAGATTGCGGTATCCCCGTGCCCTCGAGAGGTATGGCGCCGAAGGTCTCAGCAACACAAGCAACCTGGGTACCGAAGTCGTGCTCATGAAGTTGGCGACGAGGCATAGTCCTATCAGATGAGTCGAAAGGGCTTGGAAGTCCTAATATCAGTTCGCATTTGAGGTCATCAAAATGTATGTACAAATACGAAAAATAACACATATCTAGGATGGTGGATATTTGCCACTAATTCCCCTGACGTCAGTTTTGCATAATTTATACTTAACATAGGCTACCTTAATAATTACATGGATAGCGCCCGAGGTGATGCCTGCTTTTCTAGCCGAACAGTCAGTATGCTATGATAATAGCTGTAATGTAATAGTATGCCTATTGTTCTATCCATTTGCCTTAAAGCTTTGCCCGTCTCTTGCTCTGCAACACCTCCTTAACTAGCAGTACGGCAGATTCCGCACAACCAAATGAAGCTTGGTATCCAAATCCACCATGACCATAGTTGTGTACAACCTGAACCCCGTCAATTTGATCCTTTTCGATTCGGGGACCGCCGTCCCTGAGAGGCCGCAAGCCGACGCCGTGCCGTATGATGGAAAGGCCTTCAATTCCCTGCCCTTTCTCGACAAGTTGCGGGGCAGCTGCAACTGCACGGGCCATAATTCGATTTGCAAGATTTGGGTCAGGTAAGGGGTTCCAATCACCCTTTTGATAAGAACCACCGAGGATAGTGCCACCGCCTAAAATTGTCAGTCTGGTGGCTTTTATAATATAGGATGTGAGATATTACCAGCCGCACGAGTCATGATGTACATTGCCTCATCTTCACCGTCATCGGTTCCCGAGACGGAGACCATGGGGCCGGGATCATTGCGAACAATAACAATTTGGCCCCGAGCCGGCTGGAGTTTTTCATCAACCACCCCCCCAAGGAACCTCGATGAGAGACCGGTACAGTTGACAACCACATCGGCCTTTTGGCCAGAGTGGTGAGAATGTGCAGCATCCGCAATGTGTTTAAACACGGCTCTCTCAAAAACCGTGCCATTCTTGACGCATTGCCCTACAAGCCAAGGGAGATAAATGGCAGTATTGATACAGACAGAAACGAACTTCTGGGCATTGTCGATGCTTGGTCCAAGTTGGTCATTGGGAATAGCTTCAAACTGCTTTAGTTATTATCGGATGGTCACAGTTGTCTCCTCCTCGGGGGCTTACCTTGGGCACAACGTCTTTGTACCAAGGGTTTGGCTGCACCAACTCCGAGAACCATTTGCCCGTGGCAGAGCCTTGATCTTTCTTTCGGTTATAGATGAGAGTATCTGCATGGCCTGTTAGAGATGTACGTTCATAGGGCATATACGAAACAGTATGACAATACTTGCCGAGGAATTGAATGCCCGCCTCGGGGTATTTCAAGGTGATTTCCTCCAGAGCTGGCCAGGTTGCTCGTTCCCATGCCTGGTGGTTGCTACCCTCGCTTCCGACCCTGAGAATGACGGAAGTGAGTCTTTAGCTGTGAGCGGATATAATTGCTAAGCTGATGTGAGGCCTACGGCATGTAATTGGCGCCTGCCCACGGAGACGCATATTCAATATCATAATCCCCCGGCATATGCTTGGCGAGCACGGTGACGTTATTATTTGGATCCTGCGACAGCAGATATGCTGTCGTCAGGCCCGATACACCAGCCCTGCAAGCTTGTCAGCTCGAGTTCAACGTGGTGCAAGCTGAGTATGCTCTCGCCGTGGTGAATTTTATGCATGCCTTACCCCAGTACGACGATATTATTGGTCATCTTGCTTTGCTTTTTTGTTGTCGTTAGCACGAAGTTCGATTCAAGATCGGATACTCTATTTCAACCAGTCAAGTACCGGGATGCGATGAGTTCAATGGCAGCAGCAGAGCGAGCAGGATGCGGGGGTGAGGCAAAGAGCAGTTAATCTCCACTATCAACAATCCATTTGATAAGAGAAATGGAGACAAGAATCGGGGTAAGTTTTAAGGGTAAATTACAGCTGTATGACCCCTGTTAGGGACCTGCTCTTTTGGGTGGCGGCTAATGAGGCGGTGTGGTGTTGACCCAATGAAGGTGGGTGAAAGCGCACAACGCGCCAAAGTTTTCTTGGTGGAGACGCGGAGGAAAACAAGACAAAACACCCTTCAATACACCTCGGTATAACTGGCTAGATACTGTCGAAGGATGCGGAGCTTTGAAAGTGCGAAGACGAAAAACCGTCGAATTACGGAACGAATTCCTTTTTACTGTTATATCAGATCCAGGACCACTACTTTCTTTGAATATGCATTAGCGAAGTCCCCAGAAGTTCCGCAAAGGCCGTCTCCGTAAAGACCCGCGTTCTCCATCGCTAGGGCCCACTATCTCCCAAGAATTGAATAAATCACATCGCATATTTGATGGCTCAAACAGATGAAATCCAAGTGATTTCGGAGCGAAAGGTTAGGACTACAACCTTCTCAGGCGTCGTATAGATCAGCAAAATGGCATCGTAGTCCAATTGGAACCGCGAATGGCGGGAATCAGGCTTCGACAACCCAGTCAGCGATGTCATAGTTGGCAACGTCTCACGCGTGGTCCAATCACGGGGGAAGCCGGGCTTCACCGCCCCCTGCTCGGCTCTCAAAGCTGGACCGATGCTTGAATTCCTTTTTCTATCCATCGCACCCGCAGGGCTCATTTACTCTGCGGGTTGTTTGTTCCCCTGATCTTTCCAGGTCTTCCCAGGCAACTCCTAGTTATTCATCGCAGGACCAATCCCTTCCATACACAAATCATAGATGACGAACTTGGGCCTCAATAGGCTTCCTTGCTCACCATGTCTACCCTCACACACGGTGGCAGAATCGTGCCCATACTTACGGGTCACCAACAACACCAACACCTTGACTCCACAACCCCAAGCTCCGATGTACTACAAAACCACATTTTTCCACCGGCCATCCACCCCTCCCCGCTGCTGGTCCAGCAAGAGGACACGCCGGCTATACGTCAAAATAAAGCCTCGGACCACCAGTGTTTAGAGATGCCCTGCTTGAAGCAACGCAGCCTCTTTGCCTTGCCAACAGAAGGTGATGGTATGTCTACATGATTTCAGAACAAGGCTAGCTCCTGCAAAGCATGTTTGCTCTTACTTTTCACGTTTTCTAACGCGTCTATCCAAGGAAATTGTCTATATTACTCCCTCTCCGATCAACTCTATGGCAACTTCGAACATGGCCATGAGATTCGCCAAACGTTAGCCGAGCACATAGCTGATAACAGGGATTACTTTATGCAATTTGTTGTTGCTAAAGGTGGGGAGCGTCGCCGTCCCAAGCGATCCGCCGTCTCCGCGTACGCCACGCGTTCAGCCGATGTGGCTGCCCCGTCGGAAGAGGATAAGGAACGGCGGTTTGAGGAAATGGTAGCTTCAACGCGTAAAAATGGAGAATGGGGGAGTTCTGAGCATCTACAGGCATTTTGCCAGGCCTATCAAGTAGACATCAACGTCTACACTATGGAGGGTGTTCAAGCATTTCGGGATGTCAACGCTTCCCATGATGAACATCGTGAAGTAGTTCATGTGGCTTTCCACGTAGGTCCATGTTGTTCCGTCTTTATTTGGTCTAGGAAGGGTTTGGCTAACAGAAACAGGACTTCAAACATTATTCTTCAGTGCGACCTTTGGATGGACCTCACCATGCGCTATTTGCTCTTCCAAAAACGCAAATTGGACCACGCCCATGCCTTACAAAACCTGAGGAAACAGACTCCAAGGCATCCATTTTGTCTGATTCTAAAGACTTGGGTGACAATCCTATCCATCCCTCCCCTAGTAAAGACTACGACGATACCATTAAGAACAACAACTTGACCTCTGACATCCCTATCCCTCCCAACAACCCCCCTCAAGACCCCACCCCAGACCCTATGCTTGCTGTTGATGTCTTTCCTCCTTGGGATATTCAGTCTATTCAAGATGGACTGGGAGGGCGTTACGATCGCGATACCATCGTAGATATGCTGCAGAAATGCCGCGGTGATATTGATCGCGCATTTGCAGCACTCCTCGGTGAAACCAACGAAGATTCCACAGGAAAGAAATTAGCACCCGGTCCTTGTTTCAAATCTAGTCTACAAGTTTCACGGGAGTCGTCGCCTTTCAGCACTGGGAGCAAACGCTCTGCCGAAGATAGCGATGATTCTGAAGACCCTCGCCCAGCAGTTCGGCGAGGTCGACCAAAGAAGCGGGCTGTATCCAACCTTACATTGGGTGTGGGCATTTCCTTCCGAGACGACCAAAATGAGGTCGTCTCACTCAATTTACGAGTCAGCACTATCCAATTTCCTCGAGCAGGCACATGTGCTGACAGGTTCCACAAACAGATGAAGGCCGATGCTGAAAAGGCAGAGAAGGCCGAGGCAGACCCTGTATTTGTATCAAATGAGGGCACTCCTGTGCAATCGGATTCGGATACAAAATCAAGGCCACGTCGCAGCGGTCGTCTTTCAAAGCCTCGTCCAGCTTAAGGGACGATGTCCCAGGATGCAATTGCTTCCTTTGCTTTCCCTTTTTTTTCCTTTTGCGTTTGGCCCTAGATTTCTAGCATCTCTTTTTGCAGCGATCAACTCTTGCATTGTGATGGCGTTAGCGTGAAACATCTGGTACACGTGGGGTTTTCTTTTTGTCGCATGCATAGCCGCACGAAACCCATGATCAGGTCGGCTAAGGAGAGGCGTTTTGACTTAACTTGCATGGAAGGAGGTGCCTGGTGCACTCCTTAATGGCTCATGACATGCATTTCATGGCTAGGATTTGGATGGCTATTTAGCTTAAATGGCTTGATGTTGTTTGTTATGGTAGCGGGTCTGCAGTGCATGTGCTCGAAATCCGGCATAAATCTAATGGAATATCAACCAGATGTGGTTGATTTGCTTTGCAGTAGTTTGCTTTCTTTTTGAAGTGAAGTGTTGATTGTCTAATGATTGATTACAAAACTCCCTGTTTGCATTGATGACATCGTAGGCCTCTATCGTCTATATACATACGTATTTGACAGCCATCATCCTCCTGTCATGCCCAAAGGTTTCCTATGCTCCAGTTCTTACTCCTCCAATAGGAATTTGAGGAAGGTAGTTCCAATCGCGACACCATCATGCTCGTTTCCAGCTCGATCCAAGGCATCTCGTGCTTGCTCCTCGGTGAAAACCCCAGTCTTGGTCCTGTTCTTAATGATCTCTGTCTCAATTTCACCCGTAAACTCAGGGTGACCTTGCACTGTGATAAAGCGGCGCGGGGAGTACATGCCCTGTACTGCACAGCGAGGGGAAAAGCCAAGGAGGGTAACATCTCCCGGGCAGTTGAAGACAATATCTTGGTGCATTTGTTGAATACGCTGCTCAAAGATAATCAATACTTAGCTGATAGACATGTGTCTTGTCGCCATTAATTTGGCAGTGAATGCACTTACAAGTTGATCCCGTCCAAATAATTCTTTACCCTTCTTTGTCAACTCCACGTCACAAACAGCAATTTCCCATCCTTGATCACTTCGTCCAACTTTTGCTCCTAGGGCTCGACCGATGATCTGATGTCCGAAACAGATTCCAAGGATGCGAATACGGTCTTGTGCCAAGACAGCCTGAGTGAATTCCACGAGGCGATTGATCCAGGGGACATCTTCAAACGAGTTATGTCCTGTTGCATTATACCCAGCCTATCAGCGCTTATGTTTTCTAAGTGGGGAGCCAACAGCAACTTATACTCACTTGATCCAGTAAGGAGCACAGCGTCAATATCTTCCAGCTTCGGGTATTCTGTGCCATTTACGATGTCCCATTTTGAGATTTGCAGGCCTGCTGACGGATCTAGTCTGTCAGGCTGATTGAGCATCTGCGCGCTAGCTGTGAGCAGCGCACTAAAGACACCTCCATAACCATTATAACGACCGTTAGTATTAGGGAGCGGAGTATCGCATTCCAGGACTGCGATCCGAAGCGGCGGGCGCATTGTGCTGTCGATTATGTGAACAAGACTTGATATTTTAGGATATTCATGAGAATGAGCTTCTATCGCACAATGCTCTATCCCCAGTGAATGAAAGAGAAGGGAGAATGGGGACGGAAGAAGCAATAAGTCTCCGATGCGTCACAAATCCCGGAGGCGATCCAATCTTATCCGAATGCCCGACGATCCGATAACTCTCCCGATAAGCGCCCCCTCTCGCTGGTCGCCACTTGATCATTCCCGACGACCTAATGTGTGGACAATTGCCCTATGCTGAAAAAGAAGGACGGCAATTAGATCAACCTTGATATGCCCCATATTTAGCCCGACAGTGAGTGTTGCAGAAAATAGTGGAACCTTGCAGCCGTCTATGATTAGTGTTGCCTCCAAGACTTCTCTCTGTCAGCCGCGCTTTCCTTTTCATTTTCTCTTCATGCAATACTCGGTTCGCCTCTACAGGTCGAAACCAAGCAACCATTGTCTACCCGGGGATAGTCGTGGTTGCTCATATTGTGAGACTCCAAATATCACTATTTTGGCACCAAATACACCATTTATGCAGCCATGGCTGAGCACAAAGAGGAGGATAGGCTTGGTTTCCAAGCTTCCGAGGGAACTCCGCTCTTGCGTGAAACCTCCACCAGCCATCAAACAACAAACTACCGCAGTGTGACAACCTATACCAGTTATACCGGTGGTGCTAATGATCGGAGAACAAGTTCATCCGATGTTCTGTCCAATGGTGAGGTTGTTTTCCCCATTATCGCGTCCGTCAGTTCTGCTCAACCCAGCTTGGACGTCGAGCCGAACCTGGAACGAGTGTCTTCCGCCGGGTCTGCGAACAAGGTCAATGGAGCAGCCAACGACACTCCGTCAGCTGCAAATGAAGATAAAAATTATGCGGCGCGGTTCATTGATGTCTCTCCAACCCGATTCTGGGTTATTTTTTCTGGTGTGATGCTCGGTTATGTGATCGGCTTCTTCGACTCCACCGTAATGGCTTCTAGCCACCCGGTTGTCACATCGTACTTCAACGCGGCAAATTCAGCTTCCTGGCTATCAACGGCCTTTCTGCTGACCTCGACGGCATTTTTGCCACTCTTCGGACGTGTCTCGGATGCTTTTGGTCGAAAACCCGTTTATCTGTTTTCGATCTCAATGTTTTTCCTGACCACCGCCTGGTGTGGCCTAGCTCGGAATATTGGAAGCTTCATTGCAGCTCGTGCACTTTGCGGCATGGGTGCTGGGGGCGTTTTTTCCATGGGCCAAATTATTTCCAGCGATTTAGTGCGCCTTGAATATCGGGGTGTCTATCAGTCCTATATTAATTTGTGTCTTGGCATTGGCAGCTGCGCAGGACTGGCATTTGGTGGCTTTCTTTGTGACCAAATTGGCTGGCGAGGTGCATTCCTGGTCCAGCTGCCATTCATTTTCGTGTACTTTATTGCCGCCGCTTTTACTGTCCCGGCCGAACTCGGTGTGAAGCGACTCGGTTCAGAGCGCATGACGGTGTTGCAACTGATCAAGAGCATTGACTTGACTGGTTCGTTTATTCTAATAATGGCTGTGACTGCATTGGTTATGGGATTGAATCTTGGCGGTAATATTTTCCCTTGGAGTCATCCACTAGTCATAAGTTCTCTTGTGGCTGCCATTATCTTGGCCATTATTTTGATACGATATGAGCGGAATGTGCCTCGAGCCGTGCTTCCTATCGAACTTCTCTCTAAAGATCCCCGTGCTAGCATCATCTTTGGCAACTTCTTTGGCGCCATTTCAGTGAACACGATGATGTTCAATGCACCGTTATACTTCCAGGCCGTCAAGCTGACTAGTCCAACGGATTCGGGCTTACGTCTAGTGGCTGCATCGATTGCTGTCACTGCCTCCAGTGTGGGTACAGGATTCCTGATTACATGGTCGAAACGATTGAAGCCCACAATCATTGTTGGTGGTGTTTGCATGCTCTTAGGTGGCTGTGCTGCCGGCTCTATGGGTATCAACACGCCATATGCCATCTCTATGGTTTGTGTCTCTTTGTCCAGCCTTGGACAAGGATTCTCATTTCCGTCGCTCATGGTTTCGGTTCTTGCCACTAGTGAGCAAGCCGATCAAGCTGTCGCAACCACTACTCTCGGATTAGCACGCAACCTGGGTGCCGTGATGGGCGTCGCCATTAGTAGCTGGATTTTCCAGAATACTCTTTTATACGAGCTTGATCATAAAGTGACAGGCCCCGAAAAAGAACACATCATTGGTCTTGTTCGCAAGTCCATCCGTGCGATTGCAGACCTAGATCCTTTGCATCAACAACAAGGTTTGTTTTCCGAGCACCGACATCGGGTCTCTTCATAATAGTTCTACGCTGACAGCTGGATAGTCATCGGATCATATGCACCGGCGCTCCGTTTAACATTTCTCTCTGCTGCTTTCTGGGGCGCTATCATGTTGGTATTACACTCACGACTCCGGCTGCCGCGATTAGGAAGCAAAGCGTAGGTGAAACGTTGTAGTGATTATGTTCCCTATATTAGAATGATTGCACTATTCATGAACTTAGGGTCGCAATATACTTGTCTATATAGATATATAGTCCCTTTCTGAATCATTAAATTGACATGCGAGAAATAAATCTGTTCTATAGATTGACTCCCTTGAACGCTATGTCTGCCGCTGTTTTATCTCCCTCTCTATCATAAGTATCAATATTGACACATTCTATTATTAGCTGTCAATTGGGTAGAAAACGGTATCGACTAGTAAGGTTGGGGATCCAATGGAATACGATCAATATGATGATATCTTGCATGACTTAGGGGAAATGGCCTACTAGGGAGACCTCTAATTGGAGGATATCTTTCCTCATACACAGTCGTTACAAAATATAGCTTCACATCCCCAATAGGGAGAGGAATCAACTCTTACACTCTCTTCGCTTCATCTGCTTCGGCTTCCTGTAGGGGGGCTTCCTCCATCGTGGTGTGTGGTGGTTTGTATGCTGGTTTGTTGAAGCTATATCATCCTGCCTGCATTCTCAGGCTTGCCGCTGAGCGCCCTGGTTCACTACCTAAGTGTGTAGGCGGGGGAATGTTGAATATCCCCTGGCCTCCTAGTCTAGCGCTTTACGGCGCTGTATTCCGAGTGTACCCGGCATACAATACAATAACGTGTAGGGAATTGGGTATCCCTGTGATCCTCGAACGCACTTTGAAATATGTGGGTCCCTTCCGTATCGTAGGAATCTCCTTCTTCACATTAGCTGTTAGTACAACAGCGCCTCTACACCCTAGCCTATGACTGACAAGTCTTAAAACTACAGACTAAAAGCACAATATTTGGTCTTGATTCTACTGGCAGTTCTCAATAACCCCACTCAACAGCGAACGAAGCTAGTCTTGTCTCATTGGTCACCGTGGCTCCCGTGACATCGCTCAAGGCGCCAAGGTGCCTGGGGCGGAGACTGGCACCTCGTTGGCTCTCATTCCACTCCTGCCACCGCAAATTGGGCAAGTTTGCTCCCAGTCATTCGATTTCAAGCAATCTGAAATAAACCATCCCTTATGAGCACCACCAAGCTTTTACATACCACTTCCGCTCCGCTCGCTGATTCAATCATTTGTACCTTCACCGAGCTTTGATCGTGATTGAGCGTTGAGATATCCATGATGAACGTTGTCTTGGAGTCTACTTTTTTCTATGCCGATGAGGATCGTGTGCTACCAACGCCAACGGAGATTAGAGCGATTAATGAAGCATTCGGAGATCCTAGCAAAACCTTCAAACCGCGAGCCGCACCGGTAAAATTGCCGTCACTGGGTCTATTTATCAAATACGGAAGCCGGGTATTCGTTACAGAGGCTAAAACGCAACAATGGTTGCATACAATCCTAAAGGGTCGTGTGCCTATCCCCGAGGTCTTTGGCTGGACCGAGGATGATGGGCAAACCTTCATCTATATGGCTCTAGTTGACGGTGATATGTTGATGGACAGATGGGAGAGCCTAGACGAGAAGGAAAGACAGTGTATTTGTCACGAGCTGAATTATATGGTCCAGCAGTGGAGAGAGGTCTCTATTCCACATAATGCGTCAGAATCTTATATCGGTAAGGATCTTAGGAGATCTTTATCCGGGTGCTCAGCTACTAATAATCGTCTATCGCATCCTAGGCAGTTTAGACAACGCGTCACTCCAGGATATCTTTCTGCTAGATCACCCTGAATGTGCTGGGCCCTGGAGAGGAGCAGATGCTGTGCAGAAATTCCAGGATGCCTGTGATATCAAGGCCAGTAATACTATCCCGGTTCGCTTCTCGCATGCGGACCTTCTACCCCCTAATATCCTTCTTACCCCTGGACCGAGTCCGAAGGTGGCGGCAATAATTGACTGGGCCCAAGCAGGGTGGTACCCGGCGTATTGGGAGTATTGTAAAGCGCGTTGGATCACTTTGGCCCCTGAGGATTTTGATCCATCCCTCCTGGATGAATGGCGTCAAAAGTATCTCCCGCTGTTTCTCAACCCGGTGGACGAGAAGACAGAGTACCATCCCTGGATTTGGTTTGTCTTGACAAAGGGGCTTTAGAAACTCAACTGCCAATGAATTTTCAGATTGCCAGAAGGACACCAGCTTGGCAATATCAAAACAAAAGGCAAAATTAAGGGGAAGAATTGGGTATTTTTAATTTCACTTAATCAGCCTCATTTTGCCGATCATAATTCGTAAACTAGAGGTTAATGCTCTGGCGCAATACTACGAGGGGCACGAAATATCTCCAGCTCCTTCAAAACACGCGCGTTTCTGTAATTAAATTTGCCCTTATTTAACTCGCTGATCTTTTTATTGCTAGTAGGAATCTATTAAAGTCTTCCACTATCAGGATTTTGTAGTATATTGTCTTATTTGTCGTGGGACACCAACATTTAAAGTTTGCGACTTGATTTCTAGATGAGGTTAGACACCAATCTCCACAAAACGTCAGTTACCATATGTAAAGGTTAATCTATGATACAGAGTAGAAAGCCTGCCGACTAGGGAGATCTCTGATTGGAAGATATCTTGCCAGTACAGAGTCTTACAGAATATAGCTTCACATCTCCAATAGGGAGAGAATCAACTTTACACACTCTCTTCGCTTTATTTTGCTTCTGCTTCCTGTCTGGGAGGCTTCCTCCATCGTGTTATGTGGTGGTTTGTTGGCTGGTTTATTGAGCTATATCATCCTGCCTGCATTCTCAGGCTTGCCACTGAGCGCCCTGGTTCACTAGTTAACAGCGCGTAACATAGGGGTGTTATACTAAGAGGAGACTAGCTAGTTCTTCTAATCCCTATCCGTTTATTATTTCTAGGTTCGTCCATGTAAATTAGATAGTATAAGCTAAATTCTAAAATAAGGTAGCTGCAATTATCACGTAAATCTAGCTTACGCTCTTTCGCTTTCTATCGAGCTCTCTTCTTAGACTAACCTTTACGATATAGGGTATCGCTGATCGTAGACTTTAGTATAGATACTTCAAATTTATCAAGACAGAATAGTTCTATCCTATAAAGGTATAAATCTGGCTTATCGAGTAGATAATCGCATAGGGCTTCCAGCATAATCGGAGTAATACTCTGTAGCCGTCTAGGCTTAATAGGAGGGGCTTTAACATTACCGAATAGTCGCAGGTTAGACTAGATTCTAATAATAGCGCGCTTATTACAGCCTACAGCTTTCGGTATCTACGAGGTAGTTAATTTATTACTACTAATTATATTATAAATCAACACGAGAGTAGACTTAGCTAGGTTAGGAGCTATAGTTCGTTGCCGCTAGTGGAAGTGCTAAATAAGAAACCTAGATTAGACTTAGGAGAGTTAATATAGGGCACTCAGGTTGCAGCTTTTCACCTTACAGGTGTCATATTGCAGCATGAGGCTATTCCCAACTCAATGCCTCAGGTGTTAGTTCGACACCTTATCGGTCAGGCTTCATCATGACAGCCCCACTTCTCCCCAATATGGATGCATGACCTACAAGGCCCTGAGGGTTCGGTGCCCTTCCACTAGGGATTCGTGAACCCCTCTTCCCTGTAGCCTTTGCTTACCTCTGTTACATGTGGGCCATGTCAGACCGCATGTTGTAATGTGATCCATCGTCTTTGTTTTGGTCATGTGGGAAGGTGTTGAAACCTGTACATGAATTGAGGGTTATGGAGAGATCCATGATAGCAAGAAACAGTGTTTTGCTTTTCCTTACTTGACGTTTATCTTCCTACCTAGTCGACAGGCCTTCTACCCTGTACAAGTAGTTATTCCCTAACATTGCCGATATAGATTCAATTACTATTACCTACTCCCGATTTCCTAGTTATAGAAGAGCTTTCCGACTATATAGATCCTTCCGTGTAACGATTCTAGTAGTAGATATTAAGCCTATTACAAAGCTTGTTTTATCAAAGTTATAGATATCGTTAGGAAGGATCCCGTTTTTATTAATTGTATGCTCTACTAGCTTAAACTACGCGCGTAGGCTAGTAGGATCTTCGTTTTGTGCACGTTGATAGTCGTAGCGTCTAGAGAAGCGTGTATAAAGCTCTGGTCGACGTTTAATATAGCGTGTTACCTAGTTAACACCTATATTAGGAGGTAGGAGAGGAGGGAAGATATTACTACGCGCTACTAGTAGAAGATTTGCTATATCTTTAATATACGAAGGCCTAGGGGAAGCACTACGCGTATCTAGCGATAGTTTCCACTAGCAAAGCGAATCCTCTTCTTCTTGTGTCAATTTAAGGCGTAGTGATGGTATGTCCTGGCGATTTGGAACGCCCTTTATACGCGTTCGAAGCGTGCTCTCTGGCACGCTATAAACCGCTGCTGCTTTTCGTATAGATAGGGTAGTATCATTTTGAATAGCTTTGATAGCAAGTAGTATCCTACCCTCCCTATCTGGTGATTTTGAGCGTTTTTCAGAACGTTTTGGTGGCATGATGTATGGTGGAAGATAATAGGTAACGCGTGGGAAGCGCGTTTTAGATGGGGTGCGCAGCTCACTAGTGAAACACGTTAACCAATCTGATTATATAATAATTACTAACCAGCTTAGGTTGATCAGGATGTGCTCAATTCTACTTCAGTGATCCAAAAGCGGCGAAGGGTGAGCACTAGAACGGAAAGAGAAGGCCAAGCGTTGCCAGACATTATCCTGTGTATATGCATCTAGAGCCACAAGGCAATGGGCTAGTGAGTATGATTCGTCGGACCTGACCTGTCTGGGTGCGCTGACATCACCGTACAATAGATCCGAGTGCCCTCTGATCCCTGCCCCCGCCTTTGCGCATGCCGGCCCGGTGAAAAGTGAACGCACCCTCCGAAGATTCCTTGAATTCCTCATCGCTATCCAGACTCTTTGACAGTCCTCTCTGCGGCTCCAAACCACCTAGCGGCGCTGGAAATGACCATGGCCATTCGATTGGAACTAATATCGAGATTTTGTGCCTACGAGACCCTCCGATCGGTACGGCAGCCGACCGCCGCAATCGGCGCTGGGGGATAGAAGAAGAAAATACCCAGCGTAAGAGAAATTGAGCAATTCAGTACGACTTTAACAAAACAAGATGAACCTCACGGCTCGTCGGCAGTCGAAGTCTCAATCACCGAAAACGGACTCGAAAGCAGCGACACCAAAAAGCCAGAAAAGCAACTCTCCGCGACAATCCAATGCAAACCGCAAGAAATCCTCGGAGATAGCTGATACAAAGGCGAAACGGGTACGCACGGGCTGCTTGACATGTCGCGAAAGACACTTGAAGTGTGACGAGGCCCTGGGACGATGTCTCAACTGTCGGAAGTCCGACAGAATATGCAGACGAGGGATTCGCTTGAATTTTATCGACATCCAGACTCATGCTCCTCCGCATGTCATTGCTCGCCCTCGTGGCGCAAAGGTGACATTTCGAGATGATTCGCGCTTTATTGCATCCGAATACGTTGGGGGCTTCGAGAGATATCCACCCCCACAGCCGGAAAGTCCAGTCCAGGAACGGAGGCAGCTACACCACGAGGCGTTCAATCTAATGGGACATGATCAGTTAGCGAGTCTGTTCCAATCAGTCGCTCATTCATTCGACCCATCTGCATTTGAGTTCTCGCACTCGGTGGCAGACTTGCTGGGCGGCCCAGATACTTGGCACGACTCCCATTTAATGCCCGGAGACGAATTGCTGCCTCATGGGGCGTCTAGATTTGCCCGTAAATTGGCAATGAAGCAATATAATCCCTCGTCTTTGACTGATCCTGAACAAGTATATCTTTTACAAGTTTTTGTTGAAGAGGTCGGACTATGGATGGACTCCATGGATGCAACGAGACATGTAAGATCCCGTATTTCTCTCCCTGTTCTTTCGTTTCCGTCTCACCATGAAAAGTTTACACAAATTCTACCGCTCCACGCAATTGATGAGCCAATGCTGCTTAAGGCATTCTTAGCCTGCGGCGCTCGGCATTTATCTTTAGTCAACCCATCTTATGGCACCGAAAAGGCGACATCATATTATGATATGGCCACACAAGACCTTATGAATGCTATTCAGGATCCAAATCGTGACTCTGTCCTATGTACTACAGCTGCACTTGTTCTCAGCGTTTATGAGGTCATAGCTCCCCAACCAGCCTTGGAATCCAACCATATCTCGGGATCACGGGCTTTACTGCGCGAATGTGGCTGGACAGCCAAGACATCTGGTCTCGGCGGTACGTGCTTTTGGGTGAGTGTTATCATGGAACTTCTGAGTTCGCTACACTTCAAATGGTCGCTTTCCTGGAATCCAGACAGCTGGGGAGTTGACATGAACATGGATCACGCACAGCCTTTTGGAAAAGGTGATGACCTTTGGGTGCATCGCAGCATCTACATCTGCGCCAAAATAATGAATTTTCGAATCGCAATGGAGCACCTACAGTCATTGGGTGACTCTGCCAGTCAAGCTCAAATAAATGATGCATTACAAGAGTGGAACCTTTATCAATCCTGGTGCGAACAATGGGCGAAAACTGCCCCTCGGTCAGTGAAGCCACTTGGTCATGTTCATCCCTGGCAAGCGGACTCCAAGTCAGCATTTCCATCAATATGGTCAGTTTTCATTTCCATTCTGCTACCATGCGTCTTACTCACGCTTCCCTCATCAGGCTTCTCAAGCGACCTGCGATTGTTTCTCAGTTGTTCTACCATACGGCCTGCATATTATTAGCCAAGGCCCATCCTATGAGATCTAGAATCGGCTTGGAGATGAAAGAACTGCAGCAAATACATGCACATGATATTTGTGGTATTGCCACCAACAATAAGGACAAGGGCGTTGTCAATGTCTTGATCAGATGTCTTGCTATTGCTGCGGAGTGCTTGGAGACCCGCGAAACGCAAAATGAAGCACTCGGCATATTTGATACCATCGTCAAGGATTCCATTTGGCACGCAGAGCCAATCCAAGACGAGTTGAAACACGTCTGGGGCTGGCAAGTCGCGCATCCCGAAACCGTTGATCCCACGCAGATGCATCATGATTATTATGGTCTAGATCCAGCGCTGCGTATTCATAATGGCCCTGAATTTCCCCCAAGAGTATCTAATCCTCTTTTGACAGCGAGTGATTTTTCGCTGGATAATCATCCGTACCAGGGGTTCTATGTGGCTCCTCATCATCATACCCTACAAAACTACCATTACGAGCCATATCTTATTTGAGCAATTGGGGTTTGGTGCATATTCAATCTTCGGATGTTTTTATGTTATTTATTTTCGATATCGATAAATTATACCCCGGATTGCTTCACTGTACTCTGATAGAAACGGGATTCGACCGGTTCTAGTTACAGCTAAATTCTAAACCCCCTCAATAAATCCATTGAACAAACAATTTCGTCTACTTAGCCATTGTGTTAGAAGGTAAATTTATGTCTTAAAGCTAGCTGTAATACCTATATGTCATTTGGGAGACAGGTACAGCCAGACCGTGGGAGAATCTGCCTTTCACGACCAGAAATGGTTTCAGAAACCATATTAGCCTAGGCTAGCTGCTGGCGGCGATCGGGCGACTGTTGGCCGCCAAGCCACTGCGGGGTTGCATGAGGAGGGTCAGCTGCATCGAAACATCCGAATCAGACACGACTCCAACGACAATTGATGGGCTGAAAGAAATGGCGGAGCTTGGATTGGCAATATTTGCCACAATAGATCTTTGCTTCAAGTATGTGGCACGTTGATGATACGGAACAATTAGCTGACACCGGATCATAGACAAGGGAAAACGCTTGTGGACTTGTGCCGGGCTCTGCAAGGTGCCAAATCCAAGGTTGCTGAGATAGCACTCGATATCGAAAGGCACTGGCTGCAGACCAAATTGAAGCTAGAGTTCCTCGAGAAAATAAACGAAAGCATGGACGAAGAACATCGAGATATCCAGAATCGTACTCTCCTTGTGCTGGTAGAGAAGCTGAGTGCTGCAAACACCACGCTCGATAAGATCGTAACCAGAACCCCCAAAGATACAGATAACTCACCGTCTCTTGGTGTGAGCAAATGGCGATATCTTTTATACAGAGAAAATCTGGAGGAAGCGTTGAAAGAGCTGGAAGCCTGGCAGCAAAAGTTTTTTGACCCCGGCTGGTATCTGACATTACGAATTCCGAATCCTCAGATAGACATGGAACTATCTAAAGGATTGGAGAGCTCGAAAAGTGGCCAGGGACAGGCCCTTATGCCGCGTGCGCAGAATCTCAGGAATGCGACTGTACGGGATGTGCCCGCTCGGAATATTTTTCTAGATGCCACAGGCTTAGAATCAGCTCGAGTTTTAAACATGCAGTTTACCTCAGCCAAGATGGTTCAGCGGCATGGAAGCTCGCATTGGCTCGTCATCGATGAGATATTCGTTAATCCACGAGCCGACATTACACGCTTGACAAGGGACATACGGAACCTTGCTTCCAAGCTCTCTGGTGCCGACCCAAGAACTTTTGGTTTACTCACATGTTATGGGGTAGTACCTAAGCCCAATCGCCAGCAACCCACTTCGTTTGCTATGATCTTCAGAACACCTGAATACACTACAGACGGAGAGACGCTTCGCAAGCGTTTAGTGGCAGGTCAGATTGACCATTCCCTGTCTGATCGGCTTGAGATTGCAAAAGATTTGGCCCGATCGGTTTTCTATATCCACGCACATGGATTCGTACACAAGAATATCCGACCAGAAACAATTCTGCTACTTCGAAAAGATCCATCTGATTTTGGATCTTCCTTTCTCTTGGGACTTGAGAATTTTCGCAACGCAGATGGTGCCTCTATGAGATACGGCGACTTGGATTGGGAGAGAAATCTATATCGACACCCCCGTCGTATTGGGTTGACTCCACAGGATGATTACATCATGCAACATGATATTTATAGCCTTGGTGTTTGCCTACTAGAACTTGGAATGTGGGAGACGTTTGTGCAATATGATAAGGAAGACGCACCGTACCCATCATCCTTACTAAGAATCGAAGTTGATCAACCGGGAGCACTTAACTCGCTTCAAGGCAATTTAGTCTCAATTTCCCGGGAAATTCTTCCAAAGCGCATGGGAACTAAATATTCGCGAATTGTGGAAACATGCTTGACATGTCTTGAGGAAAACAATGCAGACTTTGGCGACGAAAGGGAATTTGACGACGACGTGGGGGTTAGAGTGGCTGTGCGATACATCCAAAAGGTATTTCCTCTTCTCTTTCCTGAAAAAAATTACCATTAATACCTTTAGGTTCTCTTTCAACTTAATGAGATGTGTCTATAGTGGTTGAGGGCCACTCAAGCCAAGTGAAGTTAGCTACTCAGCATCTTGCCAATGATCCACTTGGCCTCCATGTCCAAGATTTGGACCAGTACACCGCCATTGTAATCCTGATAGGAGAAAATGAGAATTTTGTATAGTTTTACTGAAATTCATATAGTTTGAGCTCCAGTGGCTCTAATTATTACAACTGGTATGACTGATTGAATCCACTCTACTGGGCGAAATAGTCCTACTTGAAATAAACAGAACATGCTGTTTAGAGAGTTTAGGACAAAACTGACCCAGACAACCCAAATAACTTATCGGATAATTCTGTGTTCTAAATGACATAAATATATATGTTTTGCGAAACTAGCAGTAATTAAAGTAAAATTGAGTTGAACGTTGTAATGATATAGTATATTCTCCAGAGTGGGGCGGTTAGAAAGGCGGTGCAGAGTCCCATCATCAGGCGAGGGTCTCATCCACTTGACTTTCCCGCTTCATCTGTTTAAGCTCCAAGACAGATCCAACGGGGATGGCTGACAAATCTGACAACTCTCAGAAGTCCCCGGTCACCCCAATATACATTCTCCGGGGACATGTTGCCCCGATACATGCTCTGAATATCTTATCCGGAAACCTACGGCTTATTTCTGGGGATGCTGATGGCTGGGTCGTCATCTGGGACCTGGTTACCAAACGACCAGTGGCTGTGTGGAAAGCCCACGAGGGGGCTGTTCTTGAAGTGAAAGGACTTTATAATGATACAGGATCAATAGAGCTCTATACGTGAGAGGCGAAACACCCGCCTATACGGTGATCACCAGCTAAATCTATCACAGGCATGGTCGTGACCACAAACTTTGCGTTTGGAAACTCCGAACAGAAGACGAATCATTTCTGGACAAAACCCTTCCAGTCGATATATCGGGGTCCGTCAACCTGGATCAAGGGACTAAGCCTTGGCTGCTTCACTCCCTTCCTGTGAATGCACTCAACTTTTGCGCCTTCTCCATGACCATTGTTAGCGTGGCCGAAAATCCAGATCAAACAGATATTTGCCAACCATCTGTTGAAAAACGCCGAAATGTTCTTTTTGCAGTTCCTAATGCTATAGACTCCGGCGGAATCGATATTTTTCATCTCCCATCCGAGCGCCGGCTTACCACAATACAGTCAGACCCTTCCACAAAAACAGGAATGTTAATGGCTGTCAACCTCTTTTTACAACACGGAAACCTTTATGTTGCATCCGCTTTTGAAGATGGACATGTGGTACTTTTCATGCAGAAGGGACCTTTTACCTTGACTAGCTTTGAATCCGGCAACATCACTTCTCAGTCCTGGAAGTGGGTCAAGGTCTACTCGAGTAGTCCTCACAGTCAGCCAGTTCTTTCCATTGACACTGTCCCGACACTTGATTACTTTATTTCCTCATCAGCCGACTCCTTAATTACCAAGCATCCGGTTCCCGTACTGAACTCTGCAGGATACACCCAACCTGCCAATTATGCAGAAAATACCCCCGTAAAGACAATCAACACGAAGCACTCAGGCCAGCAAGGGCTGCGGATACGAAGTGATGGGAAGATTTTTGCAACCGCTGGCTGGGACAGCAGAGTACGGGTATACTCGAGCAAAACTATGAAGGAGCTAGCTGTGCTCAAATGGCACAAAGAAGGTTGTTATGCCGTGGCTTTTGGACAAGTTCTTCCAGGTACTCGGTCAGAGCCTTCCTCGACTCAGTCTGAAAAATCGGAAAGCTGGAGAAGTACTCCTGGGACAGACCGACATTCGGCGGAAAAGTCACTGGCGGCTGTTCATCTCCAGCGGAACAAAAAAATACAGCAGACTCATTGGCTAGCGGCTGGCTCCAAGGACGGGAAGGTCTCATTATGGGATATTTACTAAAATATGCTAATGCTTTTGTACAATAATGATGTATCGCCAGAAAAGAAAATATCATCCATTACATCAAGCAAGGTTGAATTCGCTGGCTCCAGCGGACATGTGCTCCCTCATCTTGGCTCTCATCTTGCGAGCTGCCTCGTCTGTGGTAGAAGATGGATTGTCATCGTGCTTCCGCTTCGCCCCAGCAGCCCCACTCCGTGAAGCCTTGAAGTCCTTCTTCGTGTCTTCCTTAGTTTGACGCAAGCCAGGCACATTGATTTTACCTGGGCGATCCCGAAGAGCGAAACTCTTCGCAAGGTGGCCAAGATGAAGCTCTTTGATATTGAACATGCTCCGCTCAGCGGCGATATGGGTTGCATAAGCACGAATATGAGATTGAAACGCGCGACGCGCCATTTCCAAGTATTCTGGGTTCTCCAGGGCCCAGCGCTCGACATCCATCTGCCAGTCAGTAGTCTTTTCCTCCCAATTCTTTGATGTAGAATCGGTACTGCCGCCACCGAAACCGCGCTTGAGAATATCAGTAGCATCGGTACGCGTCAGAGCTTTACCCCCATCACGATAGCCACGCTTGAGGACTTCAACGTAGTTCTCTTCACAACCGGGTTGAAGGAAAATAAGCGCACGACCATCACGACCGAGACGCGCCGTACGACCGATACGATGGGTGTGGTCATCTGCGCTGAAGGCCGGGTCGTATTCAATGACAAGGTCGACGTTGGGAAGATCCAACCCTCGGCCAGCCACGTCAGTACAGATCATCACAGAAGCGTCCTTATTCTTAGCGAATGAGTTGAGGGTGGCGGTCCGAACATGCTGGGGAAGAGAGCCATGGAGTCGGTGGATGGTGACAGGGTTCGAAGATGTCGAAAAAGCCAAGGCAGGCGCAATAGTGCCATGGGGGGACGGCTTGTCCTTGTCGTCCTTCTTTTCGCTGTCAGAGGCCTCCTCTTCTTTGTCCTCTTCGTCATCACTCTTGTTGTGTCCCCTCTCACCGTGCTTCCTCGTGAACACCTCATAATGGAAATCTACCGAGTCGGCGCAAGACACAAAAACAATGGCTTTCATCACAGAGCCTTTCCGCATAAATGTCCGTTTGAGATAGGCAGTCAAAGACACCAGACGTAGCTTCGCCGCAACGATCGCATATGACTGTTTCAATTGAGCTGGGACTCGGAATGAATCCTCGTCATCCTTGTTTGCATTCCGAGCCTTTTCGTCCTCATCCTCAGGATCCGCCTTGATATGGACTGCATCCTTCAAACTGATCTCACCCAGCCGTTGAACATTCATCTTGAGTGTAGCAGAGCACAAGATGGTTGTCCTCCGCGACGGTACGCCGGGAATTCGACTGGGCCGTTGTCTTGCGTCGAGCTTCTTAACGATTCCTTGTAGTTCTTCTTCGAATCCCATATCCATCAAGCGATCACCTTCGTCCAACACCAACCATCGTACGTTGCTAACATCGAGTACCTGCGTATTGTCGAGATGGTCGGCCAAGCGACCCGGAGTCGCAACGAGAATATTTAAACCCTTCCTTAGGCGTGCCTTCTCCGATTTTTTCTTCTCTCCACCAATGACTGTCCCTCCTACTAGCCAATTCGCGCATCGGAGAAGGTTCTCCAACACGACAGAGATCTGCTTGCACAACTCACGAGTTGGAGCAAGAACAATTGCGAATAAACCACTGTCACGGTGGACGCCCGCCTCTTTTGTCGCTTTTGACAGAGCCATAATGCGCTCTACCAAAGGAAGAAGATAAGCCAACGTCTTGCCAGATCCAGTTTCGGCTTGGATGAAAGCATCGCTTTCTTCCTTAAGTAGTTGTGTGATAGAAGCTTTCTGAATCGCTGTTGGGGCCTTCAGCTCGAGCTTGGTAAGCAGATGCGCTGCCAAATTTGGCGAAAGGCCCAAGTTGGTGAAGGTGTCAAGTCCGTCAATCAACGGGGCGTTAGTTGGCTTTGCGTCCTCGCTGGTGACTGCGTCTTGCTCCGCATCTTCCACATTCTTTGATTCAGGGTTGCTGGTGAAAAGCGACGAGACGAATTGCTTGGGGTGTTGGTGTGACGATTGCTGCTGGGTTCGCGACCGACGATCGCCTTGAGCGCCCGGGGAATCAAATGAATCTCCTGTCTTCTGTCGTTTCGCAGGTCTTGTCGCAGAGATTTGAATTTTGTTCGGGTTCTTCGACTCATTATTGCGCTGGTTGCCGTCTCCATCGCCTTTTGGCTTGTGCTGAGAGCGCTTCTTTGCAACCAGCCGGTCCCTCCATGTCCCTCCTTTGAACTTCGCCTCTGGCTTGATGACAGTTTCGCCGATGGCAAAGTTCAAAAGCATACCATCTTCAGTCATGGTGAGATTCGTAGGTCTTGACGAAAGACCGAGATATGAGGTGGAAACTCGAAAACTCGATCTGGATAAGAGCGTTGCCATCGAGACTTTTTTTCCTGCTGCGCCAAGACCCGGAGTCAGGAATTTCGTCGGCCCGAGCCCTACAGACATGCCCTATTTGCCTTTTTGGAGATCAATGTCAGAATACTTTCTAGTAGATTTTGGATGCATTTGACGCTAATAAGGAGTGACTTTCTATATATACAAATATTTTGATCTATCGAGATTCAATTAAGCGCGGGCCGTCAGAATCAAGTTGTCAATCAACCGCACAGGGACTTTGCCACCTCCGAGGCCGCAATCCTCGCCGGAATTGGTCTCCTCGAGGGGCGCCATCTTGAAAGCCGCACTCAGAACAGCTCCTTTGCTTGGCTCAACAAGATCCAGCTCTTCTAAAGTATTGGGGTCGGCGAGAGAGATATAGTCAATCTCAAAGAGAGCTCGCTCCGATGGAGATAGGGCTTGCTGTTCCGCAAGCACGCGGTCGGCAACCGCGCGGGCAGCTCCCAATATATCAGCCCGGGAACTCTTCCCTGATTGATAGGCCTCCTCCGCAGCTTTCAGCGACCGATAAATTGTGAGACCGATAGCACGTCTTCGGGCTCCAAGGTAGACATTCCGGGAGCTCAGCGCCAGCCCGTCACTTTCACGGGAAGTTTGGACGACCCGAACTTCCGTACCAATATGGAAGTCTTGCACCATTCGTTTAATAACGACTGTTTGCTGCACGTCCTTCTGCCCAAAATATACACGATCAGGGGTGGTGGCGTTGAATAGCTTCATGCAAATGGTCGCAACACCCCGGAAGAAGACTGGACGCGAGCCACCTTCAAGCTTTCTTGACAGGGGTGTAATGGTGACAAATGAACCATCTCCATCAATTTCAGACGACGGCGCCAGCGTAGGGTACATGACCTTGGATGTCGGCGCGAAAATAGCTGAGATTCGTCCAGTACCTACTCCTAGACTTTCCAACTCCTCGTTGAGCTTTTCCAATTTTTTAAGATCGCTATCCCATGTGCGAGGATAGCTTGACAAGTCTTCATTGACGCCAAATTGGGTCGGGTTGACAAATATGCTCACGAAGACATCGGTGTTCTCGCGGGCAGCCTCCCGAATCAATGATAGATGCCCTTCATGAAGAGCACCCATTGTGGGCACAAATCCCATTGTACGGTCATTTTTCAGCAATTGCTGGCGCAACTGGCGCAGTTCGGGGACATCGCGGAAAACCTGGAAGGAAGATGGCTGCCGAACAGGCCGCGATGCGGCTGTGGCGTCGGCAAGCAATGATGAAGCTGCGGCTAAAAAAAAAGGATGGTCAGTTGATTGCCCAGGAATCTGCGGGGTGGTTTGGAGACACACTGGAGAAAGACCTCACGCCGTTCACCAATCGTGACATGGCGGGTTTCGGAGATGAAGAGATGCAGTAGCGGAACGGTTGGCGGGGAATCGTTGGCTGATTTGCTCGCCTTGCCCCCGCGGCCCCACGTGACATGCGCCTCGGCTGTCCAATTCTGGGGGAACCCGTGAAGACATCCGGGGACGATCACCCGATTTTGTTGGGACTAGGAGCTATGGCCCTGTCCCGCATCCCTCCTCTCTCCTCTCTCCAGCACTGTGACCCTCTTCTCCATTTGGACATCTTCGACTCCTTCAATGGCCTTGTCCTCCTGCTCATGACCTCACGCCCTTCCTTCGAAGGTCACCCCACACCCACCCCATACTGAACATGCCTTCCCCAAAATCAGCCATCAGCGACGAGCACTCCGCTCCGGATCTGGAGATCGTCGGAGACCAGGTGACAATCCATCCGTCGGGCTTCACTGGGGGACCAGGGGCGCAAGATGATCCCATTACGGAACGAAACCTCGTACGCCACATGGCGCGGTTTCGCGAAAACCCTCTGGACTTCCTTCGTGAAGTGAGCCTCTATATGTCCGGCACAGGCTGGCGTGCTTACGAAGATGTTATTGGGCAACCAGTCTTCTACTCGGGCTTCTCCGAAAAGATCAAATCCAACATTCTGGCAAGCCCAATGCTTCAAGAGAAAGTCCGGGAGCTTGCCAGTACCCGGCTAGGAGTTGAAGAGAAGGAGGGCCTCATGGCAATCAAAGAAGGCGCCACCTTGAATGAAAAACGAGCTCGTCGCCGGCATGAAATTGAAAGCAGCCTTCGAGAGGTGGTGGATACCATGATGGACAACATGATCTGCAAGATGGAAAGCAATACCTTCATTCGGGGCGCATACTATTTGTGCACCCAGCTGTTGACCCGCGCCTACCATCAAGGCGTGCATGTGTCCAGTGAGGAGGTTTTGCGTCTTCGGTCGGTGGCAGAGACTGCTGCGAAGAAGAAACAATCGATTGTGTTCCTACCGTGCCACAAGTCTCATGTGGATTATGTCTCTTTGCAGATCATTTGCTACCGTCTAGGGATTGGTCTTCCCGTTGTTGTTGCAGGCGATAATTTAAATATTCCACTTCTAGGCCCTTTTTTGCAGCATGCAGGCGCTATGTGGATTCGACGCAGCTTTGGCAATGACCCATTGTATCATACCGTGGTGCAGGCATATATCGACACGATTCTCCAGGAGGGCTTCAACTTCGAATGTTTTATTGAGGGCGGTCGATCCAGAACGGGGAAACTTCTTTCTCCCAAGTTTGGCATTCTCAATTTTATTGTCGATAGTGTGTTGTCGGGCCGTGTCGAAGATACGATCATTTGCCCCGTTAGCACCCAGTACGATAAAGTCATCGAGACTGAGTATGACACCTTTGCACACATCTTCTCGATTCACTACTGACAGTATTTACAGATCCTATATCAGTGAACTTCTCGGTCAACCAAAGCAGAAGGAGAATTTGGCTGATCTTTTGTCATCGTCTTCTGTCTTATCCCTCAAGTTAGGGCGAGTTGATGTTCGATTTCATGAACCCTGGAGTTTACGTGACTATCTGAACCAACAACTCACACGACTCAACCAATCTAGCATAGGGATGAACCAGCAGCTCTCCTATGCCGAGCGCGGCCGTATTCTCAGAACCCTGGGTTATAGGGTTCTTTCTGAAATCAATGACGTCTCCGTCATGATGCCAACTGCTCTTGTTGGAACTGTGTTATTGACCCTGCGTGGCCGCGGAGTTGGGAAAGGCGAACTAGTTCGACGATTGAATTGGCTATGTGATCGTGTTCGAGCAAAGGGGGGCAGAGTTGCCCATTTCTATCGTTCGCCGACGGAAATGGTGGTCGACCGTGCATTGGATGTTCTAGGGCCAAAGCTCGTTGGCGTAATCTCAGGGCTGGTCGAACCCACATATTACGCAGTTGACCGCTTCCAACTTTCTTTTTATCGCAACATGCTCATCCATCTCTTTATCACTGAAGCATTGGTTTCCGTTGCCATGTATACGAAGATCAAGCAGGGAGGCGGACCAACAAATCAACGAATTACCTATGAGGCTTTGAGGGACCAGGTTGCTTTCCTTTCTCAGGTATGTCTTTATACTTTCAAAATTTCCGTTACGCTATCACTTATTAACAACCCCAGCTCTTCCGTGGCGAATTCATTTTTCCACCAGAAGGCCTAGCAACCAATTTTGAAAATACACTGCGCGGCTTGGAATCCGATGATGTGATCAGAATAGTCCGCGATGCTTCTGGTACTCCACAGGTTGTTGAATTGAGTGATACCGAGCGTCTTTGTGGTCGTGAGAACTATGACTTCTATTGCTTCTTGATCTGGCCTTTCATTGAGGCTTCCTGGCTTGGTGCCGTTTCCCTCCTTGGACTGACGCCCCCCCTTGATGGCCCGAGGGATACCTGGATTGGCATGAAGAAAGCCCAAGACAGTGCTCAGCTGGTAAGTTCCCTAATCTTAATCCGTCTTTTACCTCTTTCCCGAATGAAATCTCACTCTTTTTAGCTGGGAAAAACACTTTATCACCAAGGTGATCTTTCGTATTTTGAAGCGGTCAATAAGGAAACTCTCAAGAACTCCTATCAACGATTCGAAGAAGAGGGCATTATTCTTGTTGCCAAGGACAAAGAATCTCGTGCTGGGCCGTCGCTAAGACTTGCCCCGGAGTGGACGCCTGAACGCGACCCCATCACTGGCAAGGTTCTGGATCGCGGGCGGCTCTGGGATTTCACAGAATTGATTGCACAATCTCGTCGCGAAGGGTACGTTTTACTGACTTGTTTTTCTTTCTTTTTTTGGAAAAAAGCCCTGACATATCCACAGCAAAAATCGGCGCGACGGTGCGACTGTTTCTTCCCGTGTTTTAACTATGTCTGACCTTGTTGGTCGGGAATTGTTTTACAACGCTGCTGCTCCTGCTCCCGTGGATATTTCCTCTCGGCAGATGCGTCGGAAGGCCATTGGCACTGAATCGAAACTCTAGCCGAGTCAGCCAGTAACATCAACATAGTATATCCTCCTGTTTTTTTCCTCTCTGGATTTCCTTCGGCACTCGCTCTCCTGCTTGCATACAATACCCTTTGTTGCCTAATTTATCGTACCAGCATCAATTTTGGACATGCGCAGTTACAGGCATTCCAATAATAGAATCACATTCTACCCCTACAGAGGACTTCTGGTTTTCAATCGAAGACTTCCTATATCATCATCTAAAGTTTCTTTCAATACATCACTAAACCCTTTATGCATTCATCTAGCAGCCTTGTCCGACAGTCACGGAGTGAGATCGTGTACCGTCACCGACACCACCAACTGCCTCAACGACTATCGTGTCGCTCTCAGAGAGACCGTCTACAAGAATAGTTGTCTCGAAGCCATTTCGCACTGCTGTCTGCTTGACTTTCGACCCAGAATATACCTTCCAAGACTCCACATCTGTGGCTCCATTCCAGCTCACATACACGGCAGTCTTTCCGTTCTTGCCATTTGGGCAAGCAACAGCATCAGGCTTGGTGGATGGTCGACCAGTCCAAGGGTATCGATAGGCGCGATACGTCTGCATAGTATTATCGTAACCAAAGCGCGCCCGCATGACAATAGTGCCGTTCTCGTCGTATTCCTCGATCTTAGGGGTGGCACCATGGTCCTGCAGAACGTGTCCGTTGCCAAGAGCCTGATAGCTACCCTGGGACTCAGCGTATACCGGCTCGGCAGCATCCCACATTCGACTCTTGAGCGTAACTTCCTTGGAGCCTTGCAACTCAACGTCGAGGACAAGTCCAGTTGTCAGGGATGTGTGTCCTGTGAAATCAGAATTATCATTGTTATGCATGCTCAGTGTGACACGCTCGGCGCTCTGAGACTCGAATCGCACATCGTGCTGGTAACAAAAGCTAGTACCGAGACCCAAATTAAAATCACCACCAGTGCGACCCTTAAATAATTTTCTGTCAGTTGTTGAATTAACAAGAGTGTATTGAGGAAACCTACATGGAGATGCCAATTGAGAGTGCCATTGGGGGCAATGAAGAAGACGCTGCACATATACCGAGATGACAACAGATAATCATCACCATACTTATAAATGGCGTTGAGATGGGGGTATCCATAGGGATCAGTTCTGTTGACCCCGGAGCCAGCCCCGGATGCACCAAGGGGAGCATATACATAGCTTAACGGAGCCTCATCAATATGTTCGTATGCGCTCCAGCGGAATTTGATCTTGTTCGTTTTAATGTCAATCTCATAGATGAGGCCATCCTGAATCCAGCCATCCTTGGGGCCACCCACAGAGCTCAAGTTAGCCTGGGTGACATTCACTGCTGTGACTAAAATGGTTCCATCTGCAGTGAATTGGCTTTCGTGGATATCAATGCATGAGTCAAACTCCATCGTGTCAAAGACAGTGACGAAGTTCTCCTCCTTACAATTCAATGTGACACGATGAATCTCGTCGTATGAGCTGTTCAAGATGCTGATGTGTCCGAATCCGAACCCCTCGCCCGCATAGCCAGTCCAATAGGCAATGACAGGCTCATCATCCAGCATCTGCGGCTGAAGACCGGAGTAGCTACCGTTTGAGCCTTGCCAGACAAGCTGACCATCATCTGAATAGATGGCGGGATAACCGCTTCCTCGAAAGATATCTTCCGGGCTGAAAAAAAGGAATCCGGGTTCTGTTTGCCCCATCTTGGTGACATTCATGAACGGAGTCTGAATTGAGGAGCTGTGGTACGTCTGCAGCGGCCATAATGACTCTTCTGAAGACTGTGCAGCTGTCATTCCGAGGCAGCTCATGAAGAGAGCAAGTGCCTGGGGGAGACGGGCCATGATGGATTGGCGCATTTTAATGGTAGAAATCAGATGCAGGTCCTTTTTCCCTTCCCACTGGAGCGTCTTGCTTTCTGGGCTTAATCTATAGAATAGAGACTGGCATCCGGGTTCAATTTATACTTCTTGCATCGCTGACCCATTCCCAAGACTGGAACTGCGGGACCAGACACTTGCTCATCTCCCCGCATTCTGGACCCCGGGCAGAAGGGCTAGCTATAATTCCTCGGTAATCAAATGAGCCTTCGCGACCCGATCTACGAGAATACTGGCGTCCAGTGTGCCTTCAAGGCGGAAAGGATCCGAGCTTAATCCCCACCTCCGAGTCCCCGTAACAGGAAGGGGCAGACAGCTTTTGCACTTGCTCAAATTAACTAAAATAGATCTCATATTTGTGCTACTCGTATCATGTCTCAAATTCTTATAAGCCAAACAAGGGCCGCAGACAGAATAGGTTTGACATTACCATAATAGGTGTTGGTGCTGTGTAGCTTCCGATGTTATCTAGAGATTGTACACACCTGTGCATAGCTGTAAATGGTTCGAAACCCGATGGCTGCGCCGCGAAATTTGCAAAGCACTTTTTTGTGTCCAGTCATAATTCTCCAGGCAGAAGACTGAAAGAGTGGCGGACTGGGATACCGTACTAATCCTTTTCCAGGTCATGAAGCTAGTTGGCATCCGATCCGATGGGGTCGGCAAAAAGTAGCACTCAGGTGAAGCCCGGCTATCCTCTGTCGGATGTAAAGTTGAAGTCAACAAAATGTTTTCTACTCCAGTTCATGCCTTGAAGATTTGACTTTTGGTGCGAGACTTGGAATACATGGATATTTGCATTCTGGGATCCAGATCCACTGCGGCCACTGACCATGCCCTTGATCGTAGAGCTTTTGACGCGAAGCTCGTGTCGGTAGTTCTGGTTTGGAGGGCTCCGAGTAGTCATGGACGTCCCGCTTGTGGGGATCGGAGGATTGTGGGGGAGGCTGCAGCAGGCAGGCTCTCCACAGAATGTCACTGACCGACGTGCAGAATCTAGGGTTGGAAGCGCTCCAAGTCAGGTCAAGTGCCGAGCTCTTCATTGACGCCAATAAAAGTCTTCAAATTATACACATTGTGGCCACGACGGATAGCAGGCACCCATTTCTACGCCGGAAAACCATTGTCTGGCTTCGGGACTCTGCGTGGAGTCATGGCTTTTCCGCCCCCCGTTCCCCGTAGTCCATGGCTGAAGCTTGGGCATACGGGCCGAGATATCTTTACCCACAGGGCGCTCAGGCAATGGGTCTTTTCAGGGGATATTGAGCAATGATAATGCAGCAGCGCTACAGTCCGCTCATCTCTGGCACTCGGCAATGCCGTCGGCAATTCGAAGATTAAAATTCGGGGGCACATGATAGTCTATGGACAAACACAACCTTGGGAAACCCACATTGACATGGGACCAGCCACCTATACTGACAGGTTCCATCGGCCGAGGGGAAGATGCCTTGTCAAATCGTTGGTTGGATGTGAAAATCAACAGAGATAACACGGGTGTTCGATCGCGTCCCGCCAGGACTCGGTCTAGTCTCCTTCCATCAGTAGCATTTTGGGCCTCCAGGAACAAGAGCTGTCGACCCTCTTGGAGCGACTTGGTCCTATGAGAATTTTAGCTATTTGAAATGTGAAGGTTGAACCTTCATCAAAGCTTCCTTGTGGCTATATTTCTGCATATCGAGTTGAGAGCGGAAATATACCGCCTTTTTGAACTTTCGCACGAATAGGGTTACAGCTTCCAAGAAGGGAATATAGGTTTGTCACAATGGTATGAAGTTCACAAAACTTTATATGAAAGAAATTACCGCCCATACCAAATCAAATATTCTCTGTTCGCTCGTGCATGCATCATTCTATACACTGACATGGCAGGATAGTGGTTTTGGAGTGGAAGCTTATGCCAGGTCTTCAACTGAACAATTTTCGACAATCAACCATTTTCGAACTCGGTGTCCCTGCTCACAACTCATGTCTTACAGAATTTCGTGTGAAATTGAATCCAGGACAGTACAAAGACACAGACTCTGGTCAAGATATTCCAAAATAGAATCCTTGGGGATTGCCAGCAACTGAGCCAAATAGCAGCTTATCATCCTCATCCCTATAGAAACATGTTTGAAAAACTGTGGTCACTCTCAAAATTATCTTCTAATCCAATCGTCACTAGCCTTCTAGTCTTCTACCTCGCTTTACTACCGCTCTTTCTCAGAAGCCGTGCGTACATTGAGCTATCCTCCTTAGGCTTCATTGCCATCGTGTCTTGCTTCTAGGAGACTGAGTTTGATGCAAATATCATGTGTACCATCTATAATGACTACTAGGAATACGGCCATAAGCATAGTGCGCGTTTCTTTCCATGTTCGTACTCCGGCCGCCGTGGAGCCCACGAGGTACAGGAACGGAAATACACATCCTGGAAATTGCAATAACCCATCTTGTGTGACCCCTCCATCCGGTAGACTTCGAAGTTTTCGTCGCCGCGGAGTCTATCGATCAACTCACAATTCAAATGCTCCTGACCTTCCATATCCCATCGCTTTGATATTCTCTGCATCAGAGCTTGAATCTCTGAGATCAGGTCTGAGATGCCGTCTGATCTCTTGATTATAAAGATTTGCTCAGACATATTTTCTGCTCGCCTGGTTGCCGTTCGTTTTGCAAATTTGTGCTATCCTTTATTTCCAAAATTTATATCTGTCATGTTCACAGAGTAAACTAGTTTTGAATTAGGCTTAATCTATTCCTATGAAGTCGCCATTCTGTTTCCCTTGACATTCGTTCTATGTAATTTCTCCAATCGATAGCACTCTGCTTGTTTCCTTCCTCATTTATTTTTCTAGGCTATAAAAACATACTCTCCTGGTTTACAGTTGCTTTTGTACCTTATTCATCAGTCTTAGCCCTGTTGCTCTCGCTTTCGCTCCCTCTTTTTGTTTGTGTCCATGAAATCACCGAATTTGAAATTTGAATATCATCGATGCTTTGGGTTAATACATTCTGCTAGATATCAAAGCGACCCTTGACAGCTATCAAATAGTTTCGTTTATTCCATAGTTGTCTCTGCCTGTGAAAAGGTAGGAAGACCAATCAAAAACAGAAATCGCAACTACCTTTGGAAAGCTAATCAATAAGAGGGTATCAAATGATAGTATTTGTTTGTTGTTAACATCATTACTCATTGCTCTCCCTAATCACAAACTCAGACCGCTCAGGGGCGTTCTTCATCTACTCAGTAATCGAAAAGCGGCGAGAGGTGAGCACTAGAATGGAAAGAGGAGGCCAAGAGGTGCCAGGCATTATCTGGTATACGTATATACAAATTGTGATCACCAGATGGTTCTCGACTGAAACATAGAAAACTCTTCAATTCGGCACTTGGGCCCCGGTGTATGTGTTAGCTTCTAAATTATGTTGAGCGTTTCCTCCAGAAGAGTATTGGATCTAGTACAAATAGATACCGAAAGTTCATTATATATTTTCAGCAAAATTAGTGCTCTAGTGGAGAGAGGACCCTTCGCACATCATAGCCAAGACGGGGACCAACTCATTAATCTTTCAAATCACCGGCGGCACCTGGTGGACATGAATACCAAGACCAATGCCAAGAATCTCACGCCAGATCAAATAGCTGGTGATAAAACACCCTAAACCCCAGATGGTTGTCTGATCCGGGGTTGCGCGAATGGAAGATCGTGGTTGGACGGCCTTATCTCGAAACGCGTGATAGCTCCCTTCTTATCGGTTTTCGTATTCCTCATTATCTGTCAATCATCGTCTTTGCGTTATAATTTCCGACATGACCTAGGGTAGACGGTCTTTCCTTGATCCTAATACACATTTTCTGAGTTGCGAATCCGTGGACAAGGAGTCTTGGCTTTCAAAGTGTAAAGATAAGACACCAAAGCCATACTTCTCTCGAGATACTATCACAAATCGCAGTGGAGGCTCTAGCGTAGATTCCCCTTTCATAGAGTATATCTTTTCCTCGGGCGCGGATGACATGGCGATGACAGTCAATACCATCTTCTTTCTAGGAGTTTTTTGTCATCGACCAGATTCAAAGCATTGCATTTTATAATACCACTGAATCCACTTCTGAAGCTCAAGTCATCTCAAATATTCTTTGTTGAAGGGCATGGCAGACACCGTATGTAAAGCGCTGATCCATGTGCAAAGTTGCCAGTCGATGCTCTTTCCTTCAGGTATACATACCTAACTGCATAAACTAGCCTGTATACAATGCCTCCACTCCCAGTGGAGGAGATCCTCTTAAGGTCGATGTAAACACTCAATACGAAGGCTTTGAGTGGCATTATACTTATATCATCTTCTGCGGGTTCATCGTCTGGTTGATCATTCCCGGGATTGGCCTCCTCTACAGCGGTCTCGCTAGAAGGAAATCAGCCCTGGCCTTGCTGTTTCAATCGCTTTTGATCGTCGCAGTGTATGTCCGGTTTCCCTTCTGAATAAATACTTTTGTTTGACCTGAATATCTCGATCAGAACAACTTTTCAATGGATCTTCTGGGGGTATTCCCTAGCATATGCGCGGGATGCAAGCCCTTTTATCGGAACACTGAAGAATTTTGGGTTGAAGGATGTGATGGCAGCTCCATCTCCAGGCTCCGCTGTCCTTCCTGAGATCGTCTTCTGCTTCTATCAGCTTCTATTCTGCGCCTGCACGGTAAAAGGGATTCTATCAAACTCTGTCGGGATGTTGTCGATAGCTGAATCCATGTTTTCAGGTCATGATCGTTGTCGGGGGTGCATTTGAGCGAGGCAACATGCTACCCTCGCTGGTTTTCAGCTTTTGCTGGGCAACTGTTGTCTACTGCCCTGTGGCCTGTTGGACCTGGAATAGCAATGGCTGGCTATACAATCTCCCATCCCTTGACTTTGCGGGCGGTGGTCCCGTCCACATTGCGTCGGGTTGGTCTGCTCTTGCCTATGCTTTGGTTCTCGGAAAACGAAAGCATCTCGATGAACCCTCACATGGCAAGGCTCACAATACCACGTTGGTCTTTCTGGGGACCACGTTGATCTGGTTCGGGTGGTTTGGATTCAATGTATGCCTTGCAGGAAAAGATCCTCTGCTTGACTTTCTGCTGACAGCCCGTGTTTGACAGGGAGGGTCTGCCCTCAATGCAAGTGTGAGAGCCATGCTGGCGGCATTCAACACCAATACTGCCGCGTGTACCGGCGTTCTCGGCTGGGTTCTGGTTGATTCGATCAAGAACAGAGGGAAATTCTCCGTTGTGGGTGCATGCGAGGGTGCCATCGCGGGACTGGTTGGCATTACCCCAGCGGCCGGCTTTGTCTCCGTTTGGCTTGCAGCATGCATCGGCTTTATTACGAGCATTGTGTGCGCATTGCTCCAAGACATCAATAATTGGCTACGCATTGACGAGGGAATGGATGTGTTCAAACTGCACGGGATTGGAGGAATGGTTGGGGCGTTTCTAACCGGGATTTTTGCCTCGCAGTCCGTTGCGGCACTGGACGGCGCGACCGAGGCGACCGGAGGGATTGACGGCAACGGGATGCAGGTCGGGAAACAATTGGCGGAGGTGTGTGCCATTTCAGCATACTCCTTTACGGTGTCCTGCATTCTACTCTATATTCTGAAATATATTCCGGGCATGCATCTGCGGGTTCACGAGGAGGCCGAGATGGTTGGCTTGGACCGAGCACAGTTTGTTGACGAGCAAATTGGAGAGCGCGCTATTCTCGACAATCTCTACGTGTCGTCATCGCCTGCACATGCGAGTGTGATCAATGAACCTATCCAGGTCTCGGCGGGGTCGAAGGATTTCAAAATGTAAACTGGGCCAAAAAAGGGTCTTGGGTGGGATAGATACGGAGTTGTCGCATAGAGATCTTGGGCCGTGCGAACGGTATCGCACGGTGTCATCATCCCAGAATAGGATAAATGCAAACCGATCCCGATAATCATGTTTCCAAGGGGTTACTTCATCGAATCGAGTGAGAGGCTGAAAGGTGGGGGGGTTGCGTGGCCGGGCGAAGATCCCGGGGTCCCGAGTCCCTGAAAATTGCTTTGGTTGCAATGAAAATGAGCACAGCAGCAGAGCGACTGCCGCAATCAGGGTCTCCTCTAGCTGCTCGATCTTTCGCGACGCATCTCTGGATGTGCTGTGTCTATTCTATTCCGTTGTTTTGCTCGCTCTGCGTCGCCATTATTTGACAAGCCCCCAGCTGGGCAGCCCCGCGGTATACCCTCGATTGCGGAGGCCGCCAAGCCCATTGTCTCGTAGGTCCATCGTATCAGAATGCAGGGTTTTGTAGGGTGATTGGGTCTCTTGTCCCGGGGAAGGTATGAGCTGACGTACCCTGACGCAGTGCGGTGCCCCCTAAACCCCTGCTAAGTTGGTTTTTAGCGCGGCTTGCGGCGTCCCTGTGGAAGGGCGGGATCAACACGAGCAGGGATAGGATTGCGATATCACGTAGATGCAACGCCCCGGAGACTGCATTCCGGGGTGACGAATCCCATGGGGAGCAGAGTTCCGACAGGGACGCCCTTTGCGGATTCGAGGTGAATCAATCCGAGTCCGACTCCGAGACCCGGGTTCAAGAGGAGCAAGTCAAGATCCAACTTGACCTCAACATCGTCCAGTGAGCATTGGAGTTGGAGTGGGGAACAAGCAAGAACCAACGAACGAAAGACGTCAGCGCAACAGCCAAAAAGACACGAGGGGCCAATCGATCAAAATGACATGGCAAAAATACGCCGCCCGGTCATGCAGCGTCACAATACCGCGCTTTCCCCTGTGCGGCGCACGGGCGCCCGCCCAAACCAGCCTCCTGCCACCGGCGACGACGGTCTCGCCCCCCGTCACGGCCCGTATGGCTTCCCGCTGTCGCGTCTGGCCGTTTTAAGACTCCTTATCTCCTCCGTTCTTTCTCTCGAAGACCATCAGCCTTCCTGTCACTCGTTCACCTCTTCAGCTCTTTGCTCTCCTGCACCTGTGAGAGGGTATCCTCTCGACCGTTCGCTCTTGGTTCCCAGCTTGTCATGCGCGGATAGTCCCCAGTCCAAATGGGCAAGTGTACGTTGTGACCCCATGCCCCCCATGTCTCACCTCAAATTTCGCATTCAAGAGAAGCTCAATTCACTAACTGGGAACGATACAGGGCGCTATGGTGTTGTCCTGGACGCAGGCTCGTCTGTATGTCCAATCCTTCGATACGCCTCAAATACCCCGAAGCTGGGTTTTTGGCATCAGGCGCTAATTCCATACTCGCATAGGGGACCCGTGTGCACGTATACCGTTGGTTGCGAAATTCCGCGGCTCGCAAAAAGGCCGATGCGGGCGACTTGAAATCGCTCCCGGAGATCAAAACGAAGGAGGAATGGGTGAAGAAGATTCATCCCGGTGAGCCCCGGACCCGACAGACACCCGCGCGGGCAATGACTGCAAGTGCTGACCTTCTGTCCTCGAAGGTGTTTCTTCATTCGCCGATCGTCCGGAATCGGTTGGCAACGAGCATCTGGCCGATCTACTGGAACATGCGAAGAACATCATTCCCCAGGAAGATGCTAAGGATACACCAATCTTTTTACTTGCGACGGCGGGCATGCGATTACTTGGAAACTTAGAACGGCAGCTCCTCCTTGACCAGATTTGCTCCTACGCTCGTACTAACACCGACTTTCTTCTCCCTGATTGCGGTGTCCATATTCAAGTTATTCCGGGAGTGACGGAGGGGTTGTACGGATGGATTGCGACGAACTACCTCATGGGCACATTCGACACACCTGAGAAACACAATCATGGAAAAGGCCATTCTACCTACGGTTTCCTGGACATGGGAGGTGCATCTGCCCAAATCGCCTTCGCGCCCAATGTTACCGAGACGGAGAAGCATGCGAACGACTTGACGCTTCTACGATTGCGGAATATTGACGGCTCGATTCAGGAGCACCGGGTTTTCGTTACCTCCTGGCTCGAGTTCGGTGTGCATGAAGCTCGGAGACGGTATCTAGAGGCTTTGCGAGCCGCTATATCTCCTGAAATTCAAGAGCTACCGGATCCCTGTCTCCCTGCAGGTTTACGAACTACTCTGGACGGGAAAGACGTGTCTCTTGATAGCAATGCAGGAACCTATCTAGCTGGTACGGGCAAGTTCGATGAGTGTCTGCGTCAGACATTTCCATTGCTGGACAAGGATGCCCCATGCTTGGACTCGCCGTGTCTTCTCCACGGGATCCATGCGCCAGCGATCGACTTTGATGTCAATCATTTTATCGGCATCAGCGAGTATTGGCATACGACTCATGAGATCTTCGAGATGGGCTTTAAGGATAAGGCATATGATTTCAATACTTACCAGCATCGTGTCCAGGCGTTTTGCTCCCAGGACTGGTTGTCCATCGAGGATGGTATTCATGAGCATCAGTGGGGCAAAAAGGTTGATCGCCAAAAGGCCTCTGAAGTTTGTTTCAAGGCATCATGGATTATCAATATGCTACATGATGGTATCGGAGTGCCTCGTGTTGGATTGGAAGATACATCCGGCTCGCTTCACAACGGCACGAAGGAAGTGTTAGCTCACGGCCAAGAAAAAGGATATCTGGATGCCTTCCAGGCCGTGAATAAGATCGATTCGACTGAGGTTAGCTGGACATTGGGCAAAATTGTCCTATATGCCTCGTCGCAAGTACCTACGGAGATCGAAGGAGCTCTCCCAGTTGGTTTCGGTGGCAATGTTCCAGGCGTCCCTCCCGACTTCCAGTATCCGAGTGTGGCTCTTCTTCCCGACACGGAAGGCTTCCACAGCGAGCACTGGCATGACGCGCTTTTTGATGGAGACTCGCCCCGCCGAATTCCAGGGTTCCTATTGTTTTTATTCATCATTGTTCTGGCGGGCTTTTTCCTATGTGGCCGTAGTCGTCGGCTACGCATCTACCACAAGGTCAACAATATACTCCGTCGTGGTGGTCCATCTCACCCTAACCACCCAAAGCGACGAAAGGGACTTGGTGCTATGTTGCCTTTCTTGAATCGCAATGGCGCATCCTATGAACGTGTGATGGAGGACGGTTCTCAGGATTTTGAGCTGGGCGTTACCGATTCTGACAGCAGCGATGTGGATGGTGGCCGGGCTTCAGAAGGTGACAACTTGCGACCACCGAAGCGCGCATCCAGCTGGGGCAGTAGCAGCAACCCACCCAGCTTGAAGTATACTCTCGACAACAGTTCATCGGGCACCGTTGGCTTGGGGATCAGTGGTGGATCGGGGATTGCCATGGATCGGGCAGGCCTGGTCGTCAGAACCGAAAGTCGAGACCATTTGGCTCCCATTGCACTGGGTCCGACCACAAACGGCCGTCGATCAAGAGCTGGCAGTCCCACACGATCCCACCATCAGAAGTCACCGAGCATGACTCCTCTGGCTGATGACTAGCATGACTGATGCCTCAAGTTTTTATCACGTTACACGCCCCCTGAACCGAACAATACTTTTTGCGACTCCGCCTCTTTTCATCCACCCACATGCATTGCATAGTCAACCGGCGTTGACGCTTTAAATCACTAGTCCTAAGGTCTCTGGTACTCCTTTTGTTGACTTTTGGTCCTTCGTTTGTTAGAAGGATATTCCTTTCAGGGTATTGCTTTGTTGTGGACAATTTTGCTTTCGATTCTTGGTCCCATATTCAACCCTGTGTGCTCTGGAGTACTTTTCCCTTTCAGCACTTTCGATCTGATCCAGCTGGTTTTGATGTAATGGAATGGCAGTGTAACACTAGCGCCCTGCTTCAAATATTTCTTTAATGAATATAGACTAATACATTGCTCGACTTCTGTCAATTCACACTATTTCAATAACACCAAGATGAGACATGAATGGGACTTTTGAAAGTGAAGGCCAATTCATTGAGTAGCAAAATACATGCCTCTGTACTGCTGTGTCGAGACTGCTACCTCTGAGGTGATTGGCCCAGCAAATTTTCGGAGCTTCGGACATGAATTTGAGAAAGTATGTACCATCTCCTAGATTTAGAATTGTACTCGAAATCACCACATAATTGCATATCGACTGAGCGTCTCACGTGCCATGAAAGACAGAAGTGTTGATAATTTGAAGTTTGAGGTCAAGAATGATGAATCTCGACGGTTCAATCTTGCAAACGCATTGAAATCATAGTCTCTCTCGCCAAAAACACCTTCACGGATGACAACCCCCATTCATTCAAAATTGGTTATCAGGAGAAAGTGTCGAGTAGTGTTACGAAAATTGCTCCTGGATGATCTTTGTTCTCCGATGGAACAACAGGATTCTAGTCGATGCTGGATATAAGATTTCTGAGCGTAGTCTAGCTTGTCTCCGTAAAAATGATACTCTGAGGGATGCTGCAATACTTGCCACTTATCTGGAAGGGTACCTCTCCAAATAGTGAAATGACAGAACCTGTTGAACTCCGCTAAAATGAAAATGCTGCTACATCCACATATGGAGAAAGACTCGAAGTCATAGAACCTCATGAAACTGTTGACTCTTTGGTTTCTACGCAACCAAAAAAAATTGCGCTTAGATTAGTAGCATTGAGAGATCATGATAATATCATGATAATAAGACTAGGCTATTGAAATTGCCGAGTTATTTTACAATATTTATCATGATGGCTGGTAGTTTCTAATTCCTTCCATCGCGTTATCATCTTCGTAAATGTAGCTGCTCCTCCGTGAGGAATAGAACTATCCAAATGGCTATTTGAAGGTACCTGTTGCATTTACTATAGCTTTGACATCGCGTGTACGAGGATAGCTTGAAAAATCGAATGAAGTAGGCCTAAAATCCCTCTGATGAAGCTCGAAGTTTGTGTCGAGTAGCTAGGCGTAGACCCTGTCTGTAATATTCATAGGTTAGTTAGACAGTGTTTTTTGGCTACTTGATTACAAATATATTCTGTGTCAGGAGATAACAAAGAGATACCACTTTCCCATAAACCATTAACTTAATAGTTAATGACCTGGATCTCTCTTGAAACACTCACTTTCTGAGGTAAGTCATTGGGTAAGCATAATTATACTCTGATCCCTTAAATTATTCATATGGCCTGTGAAAGATGATCAAGTATAATACTGCGCAGCCAAACAGACCTAAGATATAAAATTTATCGTGATGATTATGCGACCTATTTATTTGGAGGCAATTTTACACTAAAATGCGGGGTAAAGATAATGCCCACCCATCCATGTCCGTAGACGGGTATCGGGTACTTACCTAGAAGCTGTGGTAGGACACTGACAAGGTCTACTAATAAATTTTGATTGAGGAATCTGTGATAAGTATCTAAGATATAGACTATAATTTTTGTACCCTGCACTTGTAAAGACAACCCAATATTGAGGAGCGATATTTAGATACTCGACTATCTAAGTCTACCCTCCACGTGACGCTAGTAGCTGTACAGTCTCACTCACCGAACGCGCACAGCTGAAACTGCAGATATAACCGTCTTTTTAACCCCCAAAACGACACCTGGATGATTATTAGACAGTGCGAGCCCCTTTACCCACCGACTGGTGGAATATGAGGACATAATGTCCCTAGATCCAACCAGATATACGGTGGTATGGTTTGCCCCGCTTGAAATTGAGGCGCGCGCCGCCGCTTGCTTATTCGATCGCCGTCATGAAGGCCACTTCCCTCTGGGTCCAGGTGATGACTATGTTTTCCAGGCGGGCGATATTGGAGGGCACAATGTAGTCATTGCTACCTTTCCCGCGGGGCAGGAGTATGGCACTAGCTCGGCTGCGGCGCTCGCAAGCCAAGTCAAGAGCTTCTTCCCGAATATTTGGCTTGGTGTCCTGGTAGGCGTGGCAGCAGGTCTGCCAAATTTTGAAGAGAATCCTCCGCGTGATATTCGCCTCGGGGATGTGCTAGTGGCTCTACCGGTGGGAGATCGACCGGCTATTGTACCCTATGACTTGGGAAAGGAGACTGGTGATAGTGGCTTTCATCTGTTGCGCTCCGGATTTGTCCTAGCGAACACCAAAGCAATTCTGCGCTCGGCTATTGGTGCTATTAAGGCCGATGAGCCGGATTCTGTCAATACCTTTCGCCCGTACTACGAGTCTATGATGCAGAAGAGACACGCAAATGGGACGTTCATAGACCCAGGGCAGGAGCGTGATTATTATTACATGCACGGCCGGCCTCTTGTGCGTCCGAAACGGCCCGTGTCACAACGTACCAGGGTATGGTATGGATCAATTGGATCTGGGGACACGCTAATGAAGAGCTCGCAAAAACGAAGAGAGATAGCAGACAGGTATGGGGTTATTGGGCTCGAGATGGAGGCGGCCGGAATCTTGAACCATATTCCTGTGGCTGTGATCCGTGGGGTGTGCGATTATGGCGACGAAAATAAAAACAAAGAATGGCAGCCTTATGCAGCAGCGATGGCAGCCTCGTACACAAAAGCTGTATTGGCGAGAATACCTCCTAAGACCGATGATTCTCTGTCTACTACCCTGCAACATGATTATATTTCAAACAGTATGGACTTGATACCTCCAGAGTCGTATCATCTGCTAACATTGTTTAGGTGAAATTCAATCATATCTGACCTCGCAATGGGTCTCACGAATTAATAGTACTGAAATTCAGGAAGATGATATGGATGACGACAAAGTAACATACGGCTCTAAGCCAGGTCTCATCCGTACCAATTGGACCCAAGCCCTCTTTGAGTTTGTGCGAGAAAAGGCCATTCGGCTCGGCTCGCAACCTCCATCCAGTATTTTGCAGGCTATGGCTTACCTCGGGCTCCTAAGTATCCCGAAGTCCATTGTCAGCAGAATCATCATCTCAGATTTCCTCGGCAGAGATATTGCCGTTGAGTTCCCCATTGACTGGTCCGACTTGAGTGTTATTCTCCTACCGCATTTTGATATCGGAGAAAAATATGGTCTGGAGAAGGTTCAACGTGAGCAGTTCATTATTGTATACTGTGATAAATCAGAGAGGCGATTCAAACGAATCAGTGCTACGAACTGGATGGACGAGGTTCAACATGGTAGGAAATTCTACATGTCCGCTGTCATCTCGCATTTGCAGATGGAAGACCAAGTGTGCACATCATGTCGTGCTCGAATGAGGAAATTCAACGCGTTTTTAACATGTCCGAGCTGTGGTCTATTCAGCTTATCTGCTCAGCATCAACGAAGGACCCTGACTCTGTCTGATATTGGAAAGCTCCCAGTGTCCATGAGAGGCGGGTTGCTACAAGTACCCGCGCCTGATCATTTGCTATCTCCCTGGCAAGTTGAGTGGCGAAGAAGGGAAGAAGAACGGCAAAATTTTGATTCTCAATTACTACGAGATGTAGTAGAGCTTTTGGAAAATCGTACACTCGCTTCTCACACTGTTACGAACGATGAAAATCCATCCGCACCAGAGAGTGCAAATAAATCGGAAGCCAGCTCGGATAGGCAGGATTCGGAAATTACAAAATCTGAAGCCGAAGAATTACACCACGCCGAGGAAGAATACCCTACAATCAAACCGGACTTGAGTGAACATGGTCGTGAGCTTCGACGACGGGAACTGGAAGAAATCCACCACTTCACAAAAATATTCATCGAGGAAGATACAGTGCTGTATGATGCAGCTCTGATCGGCGATGTGCCTGCGGTTCGAAGCCTATTGGACAGATTTCAAATCCGTAATATTGGGGTTGATAACACATGGGGCCCCCATGGAAGTCCACTGATAGCCGCAATTCTTTCTGGCTCGGGTCGTGTCGTCGATATTCTCCTCCATGCTGGCGCTAATCCTTTCCTTCCTGCAGGGCCTTTAGGCGTCCCATTTCATGCCGCTGCTCTCCTGGGAAACGTCGATGTACTAGATACAATTGTGAAGTTTGTGAAGTTTGGGGATGCGACTGTTGACGAAAATGAATATCAAATTGCACTCGATAAGGCCTTATATTCTACAGTGGAATTTGCGCAGCCCAATACGATTCCTATTCTTCTGCATGCTGGGGCTAACCCTTTTGCGACTGTTGATGGAAAGAGATCTTCATTTGCCATGGCAACAGCCACGAATCATGATCTCGCTGCCAGCTTCATTACCGAGGCCTACGGACGTCATTTGCTCCGGAGGAATGAAGCGCAGCCAATTATAGATGCAATTTATCATCTTTATGTATCAGTACTCGGACGAGATGCCTGGCTGGATTCATGCTGTCGCAATGTGGAAATGGGACGGACAGAAGGAGTCGAGAAACGAATCTCGAATCGACTGGAGAAATCGATGCGCAAGAATTTTTTACGATGGAAACCATCTTGGCATCACCCTTCTGCAGTGGAGAAGACGTTGCAACCATTACCTGATACTGAGCTGTTGCCGACTGATCCAGGCTTGCCGAGTATTGTAATCAGCCAACATGAGTTTGCCGATAGTAGCATTAATACAAACTATGAGATATGAGGGATAGAAACTACCTTCCTCATTTTCTCCTTAACTCACTTATTGTGTTTTCCCTCCCCACTAGTCTGTTATTATCTGCAAACACGGAAGTGCAGTGTTGTAGCACATCGGAGCTTCTTTATACAGGTACCCACACAGCTCAACCGTTCCCAACACCTTCAATCATTCAATTCTATTTGATATTTTCTCCACTAGCCACTACATAATTTTTTAAATCTAAGATTAAGATCCAAATTAACTGACCGGAATCTGATATTAAAGTACAGTACATTAGTAACAGACGATCCACTCGGCTTACAGTGGTCACGTGGGTCGATGACAAAGCTACACCGCCCGGCAGAAAGGGCTGCGATTTGAGGTAATCTCGATTGGAGACACTGCGACAGGCCTTCTACGTCCATTGAGCTTCGAACAGGCCACAGATCAGTTATTGTGTCTTGATACCTTTTTGCCCATGAAATCTCGGTTAATCGGCTTTCTTCTGACCGACCTCAACCGCCTGAACCTACACAACACGCACCGCCACCATGCGCTTGACCGTCGAGCTCATTCAGAATTCCCTATCATACATCAATCCGCTCAAGGACCGTGAGCTGGACCTCCGAGGTGCGTTTCACTTCCAAAGACCCACCTGAAAAGAGCAGGTGCTACATCTTGAAAATAAGAGCTGGATTGATATCGTGTTTGTGCGTCGCGTGTAGGGCACAAGATCCCCACCATTGAGAACTTGGGTGTCGCCAAAGTGAGTGTTACATATTCCTCGGGCCATGAATGTCTAGTCCTATCATTTCAGATGGATGAAGCAGGCGGATGCTAGCTGTGCCCTCCAATTTTACGAGCGCATGCTAATATTTTGCAGGATCAAGATACCATTGATTTCACGGACAACGACCTCTCCTCCCTCGGGAACTTTCCCTTCTTTCCTCGCCTTCACACCCTCCTCTTAGCGCGCAACCGCATCAATCACATTCAATCCACCTTTGGGTCATCAGTGCCGTCCTTGTCAACTTTGGTCTTAACCTCCAATAATGTGGCCGAGTTAGCGGATCTGGACCCGCTGCGCACTCTGCCCAAACTGACTCATCTTGTCTTACTGGAGAATCCAGTTACTCGAAAGGAGGTAAGGCATTTCAATATTGCACTCAAATGCAATAGCCGCTTGGCATGATCTAATATTGGTCTCTAGAATTATCGGTACTGGGTGATCTGGCTTACTCCCTCCGTCCGTTTCCTCGACTACCAGAAAGTGAAGGATGTAGAACGTGCTAAGGCAAAGGAGCTGTTTGGCACTGCCGAGGAGCCGTCTGCTCTTGCCTCCAAGATTTCGGGAATTAAGTCCCGAGCGTTTGACACTTCCAGCACGGCCGCTACCCGTACAACTGCGGACAAGGCTGTCCGCGTCAAACTCACAGACGCCGAAAGGAAGCGCGTGGAGAAGATGATTCGCGAGGCAAAGAGTTTGCAGGAGATTACGCGACTGGAGAAGGAGCTGAGCGAGGGCCGGATACCTGGAGGTGCCCTCTGTGCCAGTGACGCTGACGGGGATGAACGCATGCAGATGTAAGCTCACTTTGCATCGTGCTGGGATCCCTTAAACATATCATGGTTGTGGGTGTTTCTTTTCTCGTTCATTCCACTGGGCTCGCTTTTTCTTTCTGTCACGACCATTGGGAGTCCTTCTTATATCTGACTTTCATTCGTGGGGTTGTGTGTGTGTATCTTTTGAAGATTTCATATTTTTTTGCCATAGGTGCTCATGCGGTTTATTAAACTTCAAGGACAGTCGCATTATGGAGCTTGATCTCTATACCCAAAAAGCCTACTCTTTCAATCAATCAAATTACATTTGCGGTCGAGAGATCTGTGATTCTAATATCGTATGAAGAGATTTAGGGTCAACTCCTTCCGACGATGCTGAGTAGAGCTTTCAATGTCCATATGAACACCACGCCACTTCCGATTTTTTAGTAAACAGATTTTTTTTGGCAAATGGAAACGAGCGGTACGGGGTCTCGGCCTTCTAAATGCTGAGAAACGGCATCGAGGCTTCGGGCCAACCTCTTTTAACTCTTCATAGTTCGGATCGGTTGGCAATTTTCATCTTGGCAAAACACATGATTCTCACGGATCTCGTAATGCACACAGCTTAAACAGATGTTTGACATGGGCAATTGCGCAGTTCGAAACAGTTGTGGGATCAAAGGGGAGAAAGGCATGGTCTATACGAGGTAGAGCCATAAATCCTTTTACCAGAGGTCCACTAGGAGAGGGAGTGAGGCCGCCCCCCGGGGGAGGCAAAGTATAACTAGAGAATGTTTGCAATCTAATGACCCCGTAGAGGTCAAATCCGGCACTCAAAAAGCCACAGCCAACTTAATATGAAAGACCGGGGAGCAACGCTTGGCAGGTCAAGGGATTCCAAGTCGGAAATCCCGGTCGCTGCGCTTCATCAGTTGGCTAGTTGATTGTAAGCTCAGCTCAACTTTCCCCTGGATAAATAAACCCTCCGGCCTAAGATTAAGCGACTAGATCATCTCCTCTAGATCGTTAATTTAATCTATAGGCCCGCCATCTTCGATTCTTTCCGACACAATTACGTACGGAGTTCTCCGAGCTCTATACGTCAGAGCAGCATCCTCCAGGAAAGGTGGGCCAAAACCTCGCCCCAAGTCGTGATCCATCGTGATCTCCCCAACATCGAAGAGGCCCGAGCATTTACGCAATGGGGTTTTAGACGACGCGGCTGAAGTTCGGCCTCAAAGATCCTGGGTATGTTGACGCTCGAGGAACGGTAGCTGCTCTGTTGATGTGGAGCCTAGGGTTCGACGGAAGCGCCTCCGGGCGGAGAACGCGGACTCGAAACGATCGAAATGAGCGTTCCCCTCAAGCTATGCGCGACAATCCCTACCTCATCCAGACCGTAGATCGCATCGCGCAAAGCACCGAGGCGCTCGCTTGATAGGTGGGAGGCAAGGAAAGGGATAATTCAAATCTTGCACAGCTTACTATGCCGCATGGAGGACTTGTCCCCGCTTCTGTTCTTTGCCTGAAACATTTTCCGACGGACTTCCTATGGTCCCAATTTTGAGGTGCAGTTCTCCGCGTCTTCTCCGGGGATGCAAGAATCCTGCCCACTGCTTCTTCGCGTCTGATAGATCGTTTGGTTGTTTTTGTGAGGGGTGTGGAGAAAATGGATGCATTGATTATAGACAATATTCCTGAAAGGCGATGGTATTACACGGGCCCTCCCTCAATCAATGGTTGAACCCACCCATTTGGATCCTCTAGTGGAACCAGATTGGCGGTCTCCACGAGGTCGAAAGTCTCAATAATAAAAGCACCCGATTGAAATACCATCCAGCAAGGCAAAGCCCAGAAACGTGAAATTTGACCCGCAATCCGCGAAAGTTCAATGGTGAACCGCCGCCGCTGAATGTTCTATGGTTCCATGAAACTTTGATGGTGAGTTTGACATATTGGCAACCAGGAACTTTGTTTCGTATCTCCGAGAGGTTAAGAAACAATGGACAACCCCGACAATCTACGATCTCTCTATTTTTACTAGCCAACCTCGCTCTTTTATCCCAAAGCTCATCGTTGAATTCGCTTCCCAATTGCGAATGGGCGCTCTTCCCGACTGAGCCAGCGCCATGGCCAACAGTACAATCATTCCGGCCATGTCGCCGCCGGCCGGTCAGACGTCCAATTTTGTCGACCCAGCTTACATCGGCACCAAGTTTCTGGTGGTAAACTGTGTCTTTTTACCACTGGCTGCAATTGCCTTGGGAGTCCGAACATGGACACGATTGTTTGTAGTGCGGAGCTTCCGGTGGGATGACTGTGAGTGTTAGGGTGCTTTGGCTAAATGATTCGGCTAGCTAACACATTCTCGCAGATTTAATGATTATAGCTCTCGTATGTGACTTAACCACCGATTTTGGGCGAGAAACTAGCATTTGCTGACCGGCGACATCTATCTCCAGCTATTGTCCTGTGTTCTCACTGGAGTGACATTGAACAGTAAGTGGCGTTAGCACTAAGTTGTGAAGAAGTCGACTGACCTGAATAGTGCTCAACTGGGGCCTGGGAAAGCATATGTGGGATGTTCCTTTGGTTTTCATAACACCATGGTCCAAGGTTTGTCCACTCGCCAACTTCATGGTTAAGCCCACGCTCACATGCAATTCACATAGCGAAATGTCATCGCCGCAATCTTCTATTGCGCAGCCACCGGGTTTACTAAGGTTTCGGTCCTGATTTTCTACCTTCGCATCTTCCCCAGTCGAAACTTCCATTTTGCCGTCTGGACAATCGTGTTCATTGCTGCTGGCTATAGTCTGGCCAGCATTCTTGCCAACATTCTGAGTTGCCACCCCGTCGCCAAAGCCTGGGATTCGAGCATTACAACCGGGTCTTGCATGAACAGGCCTGTCTTCTATTTTGCCAACGCAGGGCTGGGCATCTTTACAGATTTTGCTACTGTTGCTGTCCCAATGTGTGTCGCTCTCTGAAATGCGGGGTTTGATCGTGAAATGTGCTAACCAGCCTCTGCTTGGAGACCTTGGCTGCGCCGATTGCAGATGCCTATGCGACAGAAGATTGCCGTGGGTGGGATTCTGGCCATGGGATGCTTGTAAGTGACTCTGAATAAATCTCGAGAGTGAAATTTTAATATAAAAATGCAGTGTCGGAATCGTCAGCTGTATCCGTCTTGCATCTCTGTATGAGCTACTCACAAGCTCTGATCTGACTTGTAAAACTTTCTCATTCTTGCAAATATGTTGGAGTGGAAACTCACACTGTATTTCGAACAGGGACTACTACCAATGCTCTCATGTGGTGCACGATTGAACTAAACCTTGGCATCTTTGGCGGCTGTGTTACGGCCATCCGACCTTTTATCCGAAAATACTTTCCTCGCCTCCTGGGTCTATCGTCTGGGGGTGGATACGATTCATCCCGATCTCACAAGCACGGACATCCTCTCGGGTCGATCCCTAACAGCCAACGGGTCGATTTTTCGAATCAAGATAATCAATACACGACAACACTCACTACGCTTAGGGGTACCCCTGGTAACGACAGCGAAGAACACATATTATCGCCGCACCCCAGTGGTCATACGAAGGATGCTGATGCACCTCATGGCATCATTCATACCGTAGAATTCGACGTGGAAAACACAACGAGCACTGCCGTACGATGAGCACTGCGGCTCCCCGCTTGAATCGCTGTTTTCCAAGACTGGTTCGACTTTGTATATTGAAAACTTTGATAATCAATAGATAATAGATAATCAATAGATAATACCCTCGATGACCAATAACGTTGTCGATCCTACCATACTATTCTTATAGTACAATATGAACTACACGTTATTTTGGTTCTTATTTCAATGACTGCAATGAAGGTAGCTCAAACTGACTTTCAGAGGGCTGAGAGGGCCATGGAGGTGGATCTTGGCCCTTCGGCAAAATCGGGTTACCCCTGACGAAGAGCCGACAGCCCGACATCGCAGCCACACAATTAAGTTTGTGCTTAAACTGTGCTGGGCATAGGTCGCTACGGGATTCCACGGTTATGAAGAATCGACAAGTTGAACTACTTGTTTCGGAAAAACATTACCTGCATAGCACCCCCAAGAACATAGCGCTCATGATAATTCTCGTGCAGTGTTCAATTGTCCCACCGCGCCATGAGCTAAGTGGTCAAGTGGACAGTCCCCACCCTAATTGACCCAACTCATCCCATTCCATCCCAAACACCGGAGCTAAGCTGACCCGGCGGGTCTAGTACAGTTGCAACGAGCGGGCGAGGGGAACAGGTGCAGTAACTTCCGGTGGTCTACAGAGGATACTCATCTAGTGATCGCCTGGGCTACCGGTCATTCCTTGTTCTTTCCCAGGGTGTCCTGGTGTGCTTCTGATCCCTTCTTCACCACCAGATCCTCGCTCGCCATGCATATAGGCTCCGTTGCGCTGTCCCTGAGTGGCATTGCGGCTACGGTCGCGGCCAGTGCAAGCCCGTCTACTAGCGCGGGCTGCTCGGCACTGAAAAAGCCCCTTGGAGACTCGCTGTTTTTCAGCCGCAGCGCTGTTTACCAATACGAGACCAAGAACTTCTGGTCCAACACCGAACTCTTGTCTCCAGGATGCGTGTTTCGCCCACAGTCAAGCAGCCAATTAGCCAAGGGCCTGGACGCCCTTGTTAGTGCCAATGCTGAGTTCGCCGTTCGTGGTGGCGGCCACATGGGCATCCGAGTAAGCTCCACAGAAACGATACAAGTATCTTGGTGAGACCAGGAGCTAATCGGCGATTTAAGGGATCAAACAATATCAATGATGGTGTTCTTATTGTGATGTCCAACCTGACCACCTTGGAATTGAACCAGGACAAGTCCATAATATCAGTTGGACCAGGTTATCGGTAGGTTTGACTCCTATCAACAAAGAGTGAGCCTTTTGAATTAATTCTCGTAGCTGGTCCGACGTCTATTCATACTTGGCTCAGTACGACTTAACTGCCGCAGGTGGTCGCCTTGGCCCGGTTGGTGTGCCCGGCTTGCTTCTTGCGGGGGGCGTCAACTTCTACGGCAACCAGGTCGGTTTTGCCTGCAATACTGTGGTCAATTATGAAGTGGTTCTTGCAAATGGCTCGATCATCGAGGTCAACAAGAACTCACACCCGGATTTGTTCTGGGCTCTGAAGGGAGGTAGCAGCAACTTTGGCATCGTCACCCGGTTCGATATGGAGACCATCAAGTCACCCAAAGTCTGGGCTGGTTCTTACACCGTCTCGGCCCAGTACATCGATCAATTTCTTGCAGTTAGTACTCCCACGCTCATTATGACCCTAGAAATAGTGCTGAACTAGGTAACTAGGCCGCAGCCAAATACGCGTCGGATATCTACGACCCGAAGACTCACATTGTGCCCGCCCTGGTCCCTGGAAACCCTACTCTGGCCTCGGTCATTCTTTTTTATGATAGCGACAACACCAGCTATCCCGGGATTTTCAAGCCTTTCACCGATATTCCTGCTATCAGCAGCACATTAGACTTTAAGACTGTTTCGGAATTCGCCGCCGAGACGGGCGAGATGGTTGTGAAGGGTATCAAGTAAGGATTAATCCATCTTGCGACCAAGGATTTGGTGAGACAAAACTAATGGCTATAGTGATGTTTTTGTCGCCGGGACTGTCAAGGGAACTACCTACGATGAGCTCCACCAGGGCATCAGTCTCATCAACACTACCTTCTTCAGCCAGCTGCCGAAGCTGTACAGACAGATACCCGCAGCTAACATCTCCACTATTCAATTGGACTGGCAGCCGATCGGCGCCGATTGGATAAAAGCCTCTGAGGCTCGCGGCGGGAATGCCCTGGGGCTGGACTCCTCCAAGGTGTACCTGTGCTACGCAGAAGTGGTCGAGTGGATCGGATCGGCATATGATGATATTGTCGCTACGTGGGTGGAAGAGACCACCTACATGATTAACAACGCTACTCAGAAGGCTGGCCTTTACGATTCATTCAACTATATGGGCGATGCAGCTGGATTCCAGTCGATTTTCCCGGGCTATGGTGAGACGAACCACCAACAGCTGATTAAGACCGCGCAGAAGTACGACCCGCATGCTGTCTTCCAGAAATTGATGCCTGGTGGATTCAAGGTTTATTGAAGAGAATGTAACTTTTCGCTCAGCTGAGGCTGAGTTGCGTCACTTGGAGTGGCTGAACATAATTAGCGCCTGACTAGAATATGAAATTCATCACTGAGAAGTCAATGAATGACAAGGTTATTGAACACACCAAATGAAGATCATCAGGACCCATATCTGCCTTCGATCGGGTGACGCGGACCACCATGAGTTGGAACAAGACAACGCTGGATGAAGAGGCTCTGGCTCTTTTGGGTACAATTTTGCGATTGAAAATTTCTAATATTTAAGCATTTGGGCACATCAAGAGTGATACAGCCTGATTTACCCCTTTTTTCCAAGTCTAAGCGATGTTCATGATATTGAGGGGCCGGGACTTGACCAAGTGAGAAGCATTGAAGCTGCCGAGGCTGGAAGATACGAATAAGATCGTTGTCAAGTACACACAGCCACTCACTCATCGGGGTTGCTCCATAGAGTATCGAGTCATCTTGCGCATTTGAGCCTCAACCGATCCGGGTTTGTGACTGTAGTCCAAATCAAACTCTGCCCTCTCCAAACCCGGCTCCGTCGCCTTGGGAGTCAGTGCAAAGGCGGTTTGAAGCGCGAGGTTATGAATCGAAAGTAGTTTGAGGGTTACGGGATATTCGCTCTAATTGGAGGATCTTCGCAAAATTTAAGGGTTTTGACTCTTTCCCAGGAGCTTCATATAGCCAGGGAAAGGTGCGGGAGGGCATATTTTCTTCGGACACAGAAGTTCAACTTGGAAGTAACTAAGAACTTATTGATTTGACATCTTAAATAAAAGCCCTCTGCGCCAGCAAAGCTTGTTTCATAGAAAGTAAAGCCAGCTAGATATCATGAAGTTATCGAAGTTGAAAGAGGCTCGTTTGTAGTTGATCACTTTAGATTCAATGTCATGTAAGAGCCATAGGAAAGGGGTAGAACACATCGATCGGTCTCAGGGCTAGAGTCGGGATTGCTCGTTTGCGACTTCATCCTCCATCAGAGACTCAGAATCTTCTAGTGTCCACTCAGCTTCCTCTCCCGCCTGCTCTCCCCAGGGACACTCGATAGACTCATTCGGCCAGAGACGGCCACAGATAGAGCGTGCCATGTTCCATTCATCCCAGTACCCGTCCGAGCTAGATGCGCTTAAGCATTTTATCCATCAAGACTGTGTTTTTCACTTACGAGACAGAGAACTCCTTTGGCCCAGCAAGCATGAAGGCTCTCAGGAGAATAGACGTCACCACGGCATCGTATGGCCTGCGTGCAGTTTTGCAAAAGAAGTCATCTCCGTTGGGCTTAATTATCAGAGGCTCATATGCGTCATCACTGGCCCCATTCACATCAAGTCCTTTCTCAACGTCTGCAAGGACCGGCGTTACGATCTCCGCGTCATCAGTGGGCCCGCTCAGCTCGACCCCACACGCTTCGATGATGAGCGGCACGTCGTGGATTAGCTTGGGCCAAGCTTCCTTCCACCCCGAGGCATTCCAGTCTCGAACTCCCCAATAGTGAGTGTATCTGCTCGATGGTCAGGTAAAGAATGCCGGAGTCAAGTTCACCGAAGGTGAGCTCACCCCATAATGTGTCAAATTTTCTCAAGAGTCAAGTGCTGGATAACGCCAGGCACAGAAGAGGATTGGATACAAGACACCGGGATCGGTTACAGAGAGGGAAAGAACTGGATGGGAAGGAGAGATGGAGGCAGTGAGGGGAAATGTTTCGATCACACCGACCAGAGCCTCATCTGCGCAGCCGTGAGATCCCGATAAACACAGCAACTACTAGAACAACACCATTGGTGGGAACGGCAGGCTACACAATACTACCTTCCCCCCACCTGGCATCATGCATCATCATCGTCATCATTGGAACATCCACTTAATGCCGACTGTCTCTTTTGTGTCTTGTGATGTGGGGTTATTTGTTTTTCCTTTTCCTATTCCTCTTTGGGTTAAGTGGAATATGTAGAACATACGTATTTTCAAGCCTCATCATCAGGCTCTTTCAAGCTTTATATCTCAGGGATATTTAGGTAAACTTACTTGACAACGACAAAATAGCAGCATCTATTCAGAAGCTAATCTCAAAACCAAGACCCGAAAATCTCATAACGAAAATCTCGTTCTGATCCATGTTGATGTTGCTAATGTTGGGGCATGGTGCAACTCTCGCTCGCCAGCCAGTCCGGGCCAACTCCGAAGATAAGAAACACCCGCCCAAAACGCGGGGGAGATAAGGCGGATAGCCGAGCCATTTAGCCGATGTTTGCGAGCCGGCGCTTCTCGAATCTCGCGCCCTCAACCGACCCCGATCCTGTCCGTGTGGGATTGAACATGGAAAAGTCTGCCGCCCTAAGGCGAAGAAGACGTCGGCGGGTCGCCGAAGAGAACCGCAAGAGGGCGCCTCGTGCGTATGCAGATTTCTCTGCCGTTTTGATTTGCTGACAGGTCGATTAACTGAATCATATAGGTGCGATCGCTGTAAAGCGAGGAAAAGCAAGTGTGTAGAGTCGGGGGCAGGCAAATGCCAACGTTGCTCTTCAGGCAATCTAGACTGCAGATTCGAAAAGTTGGTCCGTATTCATACACGAAAAAGGATCATGCTAACTCTGAAGTAGAGAGAAATCCCCTTTCGATGATCCGGCTCAGTTAAACACACAGCTTGAATATGGGCCATCAGTCGTAGGCCTTGATAAGGGAAATAGTGGCGGTCAAGAGAGTCCTCAAAATGCGACTGAGAATCATGAACTACTTTCACCTGCGTCAGCTTTGTCGCAGGGTCTCGCAAAACATGTCATTGCGGATAATTCAAAACGAGTTCCGTGGCCGAACATCCTGTCCCGTTTAAGGGAAGCTTTCTCTCTTGGGCCACAGACAGCTTCCGAAGAGCGTGACATGGTTGCAATGCAAGCAGTATGTTGTCTTGTGTTTCACACCCAAATCCATTGCTGACTCTTCAAGCGCATGACCCGACCGAAGGCCTTACACGCTTCTGAATTAATACGCCTCCACGCTGCTCTCGATGCGTTTCCCCCCCGCCCCGTAGCTGATTTTCTTCTGTCGGTATTCATAAAACATGCGACGGACACATTCTTCTACTTTGATCAAGCTCAAATGCTCGATGACATACATCAATTCTATACTGATCCGACCTCAATATTGAGATCCGATCCCGCTTTTATATGTCTTGCGATGGCCACGTTCGCACTGTCAAGTCAATGGACAACGCTGGAGAGGCCAGAGGGAACTGATGTTATTCAGAAGCGTGATGACGACGACTTTGGAAGAATTTTCTATGATCATGCCAAGACTTTTATTCCTGACATTATTGATCGATCATGCTTGAGGTCTATTCAAGCCCCCTTCGTTCTAGGTGTATATTTGATGCCCGCAAGTGCAATTGGATCATCATACGTATATATGGGCATGGCTTTTCGAAAGGCACTGGCCTCGGACCTCCACATACACTCGGATGATCAGGGAATCGATGAGAAGGGGCGGGAAATCCGTCGTCGTCTCTGGTGGTCTATCTACTCCCTTGAACGGTCGGTACTCGGCGTTTCTACATATTTAACGCAGAGACGCTGATATTTTTTGATAGTTGTACAACAGTGAAATTGAACAGACCTCGTTCAATCAATGTCGATGTGATTACAGTACCCCCTCCATCTCCATATCCCCCTTTGGATTGTCTTCAGAGCTACAATAATGTGCAATTTCAAATGGCGTACACTCGTTTAATAATGATACTCGATCAAATATCCGATATTGGGTATGTCTCCGAGAAATTATACAAATGTATTAAACTGATCATGATATAGCGACAATTTGATACGCCCAGAAGAACTAGCACGCTGTTCAAAGTGGGAAGTGGATCTCAAAGACTGGAAAACATCTTTGCCTTCTGATTTTAGACTGGACCTCATCAACCCTAGAGCCCCAAGTTATCGCACTGTTTTCCATCTCTATCTAAACTATTATTATGCATGGATTACTTTGGGGAAAGTTGCGCTCGTGACTGTTGCGCGTACCAACCTGCAGCGCTATCTGCACCCGGAAACGCAGACACCCAAACTCTGCGACAAAGTCAAGAAGCTATCGGAATCATGTATAAAAGCTTCCAGGAAACTGCTACAGATGTTTGAGAGCCTAACAAATACTCAAAACATAACGAGATTCTCGTTCACTGACTTCCAAGGATGCAGCATCGCGACCATTGTGACCCTAGTTGCTGGTATCTCGGATCGAGATTCGGGATATGAAGCGAGGGTGGAATTTGGCTTACATTGTCTCAGAATAATGGCCACTGGAAACATGACAGCAAAAATGGGGGTCAGATTTGTTGAGGCCGTGCAAGTTATCACAAATGAAGCAGCCGAAAAGCTTTCACGAGCTGCTTCCTCCAGCCGAAGGCAGACGGGCGCGTTTGGCTCTGAATCTTCATCCGCTTATACACAATGGGCCGAATGGCTTGCCATACAGGAAGGGTCACAGCCCAAGGAACGTCCAATGTCATCGCAGCCATCAGATGAAATGACTGGGAAACCACTGGCTACAAGTCAATCAACCCATACATGGCCACAATCTCAAGCTTCCCTCAATGGTGGGACTACATGGCGAGATGCCACCGAGGAATTATTCCCTGCAGCCCCTTCTCCCCTTCGAAATTTGATGGAAGATTCATTCATGGTTCCTGGGCCAGATACTTCAGACTTTGGGTTTTTGACAGGACTTCATACCGATGATCAAACACTCTTAATGGGCTTAACCGGTCTAGATGCACTGGATTTCTCGGGGTTGACGGATCAGCTTGAATGACCCAGCAAAGATTAAAATTAACAACACCTTATGTTTCTCGAACTTTTCGGAAATTGTGTACTTACTAATCTTGCAGGGCTTTTAAGAGGATTTGAAGCGTGTGGAAGGGTTCTATTTGACCGAAATAAAATTTATATAAGCTTCATCGTCCTATGCCTCCATCCAAATGATATCATTTTAACTCCCACAAAATGCATTTGATACAACTCAATTATATTTTACCCGAATCGGAATTTCAGAGTCTTCTGGCAGTGCTGTCCAGCGGCTCTTGTAAACACGGCCATCTTTCATCACGCCTAAGACGTGCTTTTCTGGCTGATCAAATATTGTCACGTCTTCCAGAGGATTCTGACTCAAGAAAATAAGATCGGCCTGAAACCCTTCTTTGATCTGTCCGATCGAGTTTTCCCATCCCATCATCTTGGCCGGATTTATGGTTGCACTGCGCAAAATCTCGAGGGACGTCAGCACCTGCGATCGCAGAGAAAACTCATGTGTTTGAGCAGAGCCCAGAGGGCCTAGTAAATCGGAGCCATAGCACATGGTAACACCCGCCTCGGACGCAATTCTCAACGCCTCTAGACCGGATTTCAAGACCTGTGAGTTCTTCGCCTGAGACTCAGAGGGCAAGTATCCCTTCCATTGGTCTGAGGCCATTTGTGCGTATGCAATGAGTGTGGGTGTGAGATAGACGCCGTTTTCGGCCATTAACTTGGCAGTTGGTGGATCAACGAAATTTCCATGCTCAATTCCTTTCACTCCATTGTCAATGCAGTGCCTAATGGCTTTCACGGTGTAGGCATGGGCAGTTACAAAAGTTCCTGCGTTGTAGGCACACTCAACCATTGCTTGGATTTCTGCAGATGTAAATTGAAGATGTTCCAATTTATCTGTAGGAGATGCCACACCACCAGAGCCCATGATTTTGATGAAGTCGGCACCACAGCGGATTTCCTCACGCACAGCCGCCATGCACTCAGGCACTCCGTTGCATAGGCGGCCCAGGTGATTGTTGCTATGAGTACCTCCACAGCATTCAGTAGGCTCGTGAGATCCACGAAGGTCACCGTGTCCTCCAAATTGGGAGAGAGCATGACCAGAAATAAACACCCGGGGACCAGGGAATACTCCATCTTCGATCGCCTCTTTCAGAGCAAGCTGCGCACCACCACAGTCCCGAATGCTAGTGAATCCTCGGTGCAGCATCTGGGCTGCGGTGTACGGTTGCCGGAGTAAGTGAACATCATTTGGGTTACCAAAAGCCCTGGAGAGATCGCTAAACCCAGGGACGGCGCATAAATGCACATGAGCATCAAACAGGCCAGGGCAGAGAAAGCGACCCTCGCAATCAATCACCTTGAGATCGATCGGCAGAGGCTCTGGCAGCAGGGAAGAGATAGACTGTATTTTCCCCTGTCGAGTGATAACCGTACTTGCTTCCAGGATCTTCCCCTCTTTCACATCCACAACATTTGCGTTGGTGAAGCAATAGCATTGGGCTTCCGGTCGGGCCCAGGGTTTAATATCGGAGCCTGGTACTTGCTCACTTTCAGGCATGATAACGAATAGCAAATAGGAATGCTTTGACAAGAAGGAAGACAATTGAACGTAAAATCACAGGAACAAAAAGCTTTGAAATACTTCCCCGCTAGAGATAGCAGCTTCGATAGGATTGGGAAGTGGAGTAACCATCGGTAACCTGCCCATCGCAGGCCAGGTTGCCGACCCCTCGTCATCGGCCCGGGGCCCCGCCGGTGGTAATCAACGTTGCTAGCCGATCCCTTCCACTTTAGTCGGAGATAGGGGATCCTCCTTCATCCGGAGGAAATCCGGGGTCGGACACCCACAGGCCATATAAACTTCTTTATCTTCTAACTCATGAGGTGCTAGATATCTCCATCTCTCCTTCCAGCACGCACATTCAACCGTTTATTGGAATCGTGCACTGTTCGTTCGGCCTTTGAAATCCATGGACAGTCTCAAAGATCCAGGTCCAGCTAAAGATGAGGACCACCAAAGCAACGGCGAGATTATTGGGATCCTAGAAGGATATACACCCGAAGAAGAAAAGGCAGTTGTGAGAAAGATTGATATGGTCATTTTACCATTCGTGAGATGTTCCGCCATTGCACTCCTCGTTTTGGGTTTCTGAGCCCTGGCTAACATAGACTCTTCGGTTTCACAGATGTGTTTTGTCTTCTTCTTACAATACCTTGACAAGCAAAGCTTAAGCTATGCGGCAGTTTTCAATCTCACCGATGACCTCAACATGTCCAGCTCCCAATATTCCTGGTCCAGCTCGATTTTCTATGTTGGGCAGCTTGTATCGGAATATCCCTTCATCTACCTCATGAGCCGCCTACCGCTTACCAAGTTCGTTGGTGCAACTGTGTATGTGCTTTCACGCTGCACCTTCTCAAGTTTATTTTCACTTGGCGACTGACTGACCGAGTATTTGAAGTATTATTTGGGGTGCTATTTGCATGTGCCTTGCTGCCCCAAAAAGCTTTGCCGGCTTTGCTGCCGTTCGTTTCCTGCTCGGATTCAGCGAAGGTGCCGTCTCGCCTGCGTTCGTCACAATCACGAGTATCTGGTATCGCAAAAAGGAGCATACAGTGCGTACCGCGCTTTGGATTACCATGAATGGTTTGGCTCAGGTCATTGGCTGCATGCTCATGTATGGAATCGGCAAAAACACATCGCTTTCGCTCGCCCCGTGGCGTGTTTTGTTTCTCATATGTGGCGCTCTCACCATTGTGGCCGGTATTGGCTTCTTTATTCTGATGCCTAGTGGACCCAAGACCGCATGGTTTCTCAATGCACGCGAGAAAGAGGTCCTATCCCTTCGCATGGCTCAGGATCGAGAAGGTGGCGATAAAACATCGTTCTCTATGCCGCAGCTATGGGAAACACTACTTGATCCGAAGGCATGGATGGTGTTTTGGTTTGGTGTCCTGGTCACCATGCAATCGCCGGTATTGACTTTTGCATCTCTCGTCATTGAGTCGATTGGGTACAGCAAATTAGATACCATGCTCTATACTGCGCCATCCGGGGCAGTCCAGATCGCATTACTATGGATTGGTACCGCTCTTGTTTCCATCTTTCCCCGACAACGTACCTTGGTCATTTTAGTATTGATTATTCCACCATTTATCGGGACCATCTTATTACTCAAACTTGATATCACTGCAGAGTGGGGTCTTATTGTTGCCTCCTGGCTGGTAAGATGCCATCCCTGCAGACATAGGTGTTTGTCAGACTGATATCCCAAAATTTAGGCTTCCTGCATCACTGCATGCATGTCAATTTTGCTCTCGCTTTTCGCATCTAACGTCAAAGGCAACACGAAGAGGGCTGTTGTAAACACCATGTTCTTTATCGGATATTGTGCCGGATGCATTGGTTCCCCCCAGTTATGGACACATAAGCCACGTTATACTTCGGGCGTCATCACCTCTATTGTAACATGGTGTCTCCTATTTGTAGCCGTGATAGTTTATCGCGGCTTATGCATGCATGATAACCGACGGCGCGATTCAAAAATGGGCGCTATTGGTGAATCCATGGCCCCTGAAGTTGAGTTAGATGAAAATGGGATGCCAAAGACTGATGTGACGGATAAGGAAGATTGTCAATTCCGATACGCATTTTGAAGGCGTGACCTTGGTTGTATCCAACGAAGTACATCGACATATCAAAATACTTAATATTTTCATTTCTATAGGTATGCTGAGTATTCCATTTATGATTATATCGAGAGTAACAGTTCAAGACCTTCCTTGGAAATATCCCCAAAAGTAATATGTTGTCTATTATGTATGCTTTACTCCTTCGAATTAATGCCTCTCTCCACTTCGATCTATTTTTTCAGCTTTATACAGCCCCCCGTCATGGCCCCAGGAATTAGCACTTGGCAGGGGCAAATCCCAATGTCCGAGTCTTGAGGTTGTGATCGATATAGGTACCATGGAAGAAAGCTACTGACAGTTAGCTACTCAGGCTAATGGTATCCTCTTAGAGTAAATTTCACTCACGCTGGCCAACAACCCACAAGTCTGGGATCGGGAACGCGTCAGTTCCAGATAAAATTGCCGTGCAGTTATTGTTGCCATTATCGGCCGCAATCCACTGATCTGCTGCAATGTTGAAAGTTGAGCTCCGGTGGCTAACAAGCCTTGATTTTTCTTTCATTGCCGCTGTGGCATTCTTTTGGGATGGGATAGAAAGGCCGAGTGTAGGAGGTTTGTCACATGGAAAATATCCAGTAACTGTGGTACCGGAATCTTCTGATGTTTGAACAGCATATTCCATAGAAGAGGCTTTGAATATGGCGATCACATCATCAACGGGGCTAGAATCGTATCAGCATCATGAGAGACGTATAGACTTCGAGGATATACATACCCGATTACAGTAGCTGTTCCAGTATCCAGCTCCACCAGAGCGTCATTCTTGATAGTTACACCGTCAAGCACAATATCAGCATATAAAGCCCACTCCTGAATGATTGCGGTGGTGCTCAAATCGCCTTTAAACAGAGATTGATCCAGTGCCCCTAGTACCTGAGTACCCTTTCCATTCTCGTACAAGACGATTCCAAATCGGCAAGCATCAATGAGACCTTGTTCACAAAGAGAATGAAAGAAAGGGGATGCTCCGTTAAAAAAGACACTTCCAAGCCCGCAAATCCCACAATACCATCGCCTGGAATCAAGACCTCTCCATTGGCACTTGATGTAGCAGATCCAACCGTTTGGTGGACTCTGAGAGAGCCAAATCTCATAGTGTCGTTGTATAGCGTGCCTGATATCTTCTCCGTTGAACATAATTAGTTTCAGTATTTCTCATTCATTTAGGCCTAATAGACATACCGTCCCCGTCCCCGAGCCATCACTCTCGGTTGTTCCATAGGAATTGGTGAAAGTCTGGTCAATATCGACCCCTTTTGGACCTTTCTTGTAAAGTCCTGGGTTTACAATCACATCTGATGACCCAGTATCGATTAAAAGGGTAAGATTTTTCGAATCACCGACATCGAAACTACCGAACCAGAAGCCCTAGTTGTTTCATTAGAGTCGAATCTTTCTTTTCCAAGGATCATCCTTTCAACTCACATTCTCCTCTGAAAGTGTCTCCACTCCATATTTTGGTTTCATATTTGGTACAATACGATGGTCCAGATCGATCCGGGAAGGGACGTAGTGTGGTATGGCGGCGCACATCGGGATGATCCCGAGAGCACCAAGTAGCATAGAACTTGTAAACATTATAAAGAGGAATTGAAGGAAAGTTTAGTGGAGTGGAAATATCAAAGCATGAGAATTGTTACGTCTTTTAAATTGACATATTCCTTGAATTGAAATCCATTAAGACTGAGTATCCCAGTTGATTTCCGGCCCCATAAGCCCCCCATAATCACAAATTCGAACGAACTCGAGCTGCTGGTCTTTTCGCATAAGCCAGCCGTAATAGGAGAAAGATGAACAGAGCTTAGTTTGCTCAACTCTTAATTTAGAGCTGCTAAAATTCGGAAGGAATTGAGATTCCCTTAGCCTCCCTAAACTCCAGCGGCTGCCTACAATAAAACCCATTGAGCGACCGTCTCTCGGCTACGCTAAGCGGAATGGGCTTAGCTTCAGCGGCTGAGCTCCAGTAAGCAGCAGGGCTATGTCCCTCGTCACTGGGGGCTGAATCTGACAGACAAAAGGACAATTTGGATCAACCCTGAAGGAATTTTCACGCGCGGCACGGCCAGAGGCCGGTTCGCAGATTCCACTTGCCAGAATGGTTGGATCCAATCGCAGGATTTCAAAAGGTAGATCCCGCACTGGCTGCATCACCTGCAAGTAAGTATTCTTTTATGGACTTGAACGGGAGTGGATTGGTTCTCAATAACAGCACAGCTTTGTGCGCGGGTATTAATGAGCACTATAGAATTCGTCGGGTCAAATGTGACGAACGCAAGCCTGCCTGCGACAAATGCGAGTCCACCGGAAGAACATGTAGCGGCTATGCGGATGAGCAGGGGGCGATGGGATCACGAAGCCCAACTCCTGGCGAAGGGCTTCGAATCGTACAGCATGTGCCCGGTATATCCCAACCAATTCGAATGTGGCAGGTTTCACAATCTATGGAGCTCGTTCACGAGAATGAATATCGGTCTTTAGAATTTTTTCAGCTTCATACCACCCTTTGTTTCGGGGCAGAAATTGGCTCGTTTCTCCTTCGGGCAGCCTACCACGAACCCATAATCAGAACCATCGCCATCGCTATAGGATCGCTCCATCGAAGTTTTGTTTTTGGAAAGAAGGAATCATCCATCGGTAGAGACGAAACGTTCACGCTTTTTCATTACAACAAAGCAATCCGACAACTCGTGGCGGTTAATCCACAAATCTCACCCCAAACAACGGACACATTCCTGATTGCTTGTATACTCTTCTTTTGTTTTGAGTGCCTTCAAAGCCATTACAAGTCGGCCTTTCAACATGCTATCTCAGGTTTGAAGATTATCAAGCAACAGCAGCTACTGTTCAAAGATTCAGTGTCCTCTAGGTATATGCCACCCGAAACTGTTACACTTCTCTTCAGTATTTTGGAGAATCAGATTCTGGAGATAGAGGGTGAGGAAGTCACTTCATTTGAGTTCCGCCCGGCCATACTATCATCATTTACTTATCCCGATATCGACTCATTTTCGTTACCACAGAGCGTTGAACAAGGATTACGCTCATTTCAAGTCCTATACAACCGTTTTGCTCGCTTTGAAGTGGTTTGTGAGATGCTTAAAATTCCTTCCGAAAATCTACCGTTTGAGAGTCTCGCTCAAATCCAATACATCCGTGCTGAATTCGATCAAATATGTTTCGATTTGAGAACTTGGACCACCATGTTTGATAAATGGATCGAAACTCCTGATTCATACGATGTCACCAATCCTGTCATGCCAATATTGAAGGTGTGGAGAGTGACCATTGGCATTTTCCTTCGTCTAGATTGGCCACCTTCGGAACTTATTTGGGACAAATTTACTGCCGATTTTGCTACAATCAACTGTATTGTAGCGGATATGGTTAGCATTTCACCCGCTGACTTGTTCATGCGGTCTTCAACAATACCAATGACCCAGAGAGATATCGATTCACCTCATTTACCAGCAAGCAAGCCGGCATCACTTCCTCCCCTCCGTCCGAAACCACCCAAGACTTTATCCTCAGTATTCTCTTTATCCCTTGGAATCGTCACCCCTCTCTACATTTGCGCAACACGATGTCGACAATCATCCATTCGTCACCAGGCCATATACCTTCTTTCATATTGTCAACGCCGTGAGGGTCTTTGGGATTCCGAATTGGCTGGTCGGATTGCCAATCGAATCGTAAATCTTGAAGAACTGGCTGCAAATATCCACCCTGGTTTTGATTACAGCCCGTCCGATATCCCAGAGAATGCTCGTGTCAGCTCTTTGTCTCCTCAGCTTGATGGACATAGACGGATTAAAATCCGGTATAACCGGGAAAGCGAGGCTTTTGCTTTAGTTCAGGAAATATTTACTTGGTAGCATCGGTTTATTCTTGAAAAGTAACGGTGAACGTTTGGTGAATCTCTCTATTATGGAATAAATTTGGTTCTCTTGTAAAACGGAGTCTACAATGTGTTGAAACCAAGAGCTCCCATGAGAGGACTAATTACACAATCCCTTTGATGATATCCGCAGCACGCTCAGCAACAGCATAGACTGTGCTCTGAAGATGCCCACATACCTGGAATGGCATGATAGACGCATCCACAACACGGACATTTGAGGTTCCATACACCTTCAAAGAAGTATCAACAACTCCACCGATCTCCTCGGGCATCATAGCAGCCGTACTAATAGGGTGGAAATTTGACCGGTCTAGTCTTTTGATAAGCACATGCTCAAGATATAACCCTGGAGAAATAAGCACTTACAGTTGTTCTTGATAAAGGATGACCAGCCCTTATCATCAGCATCCGCAGCTACGACAGGAATACTGGGGCTAGTTTCCGCGCCAGCCATGCTCGCAAGTGGCTCTGTCTTGAACAATTGGCGAATGAAACGAGCCGCCTGGACCTGGGCGTGAAGATCAAAATCCAGCATAAAATATTTCGGATCGATTGTAGCGGCTGCAGTGGGATTTATGGAGGAGATATGAACACTGCCACGAGAAAATGGAACTGAACCCCAGTATTCAGTATCATATGTAGTTCCGGAAGGCTCGAGAAGAATCTCAGCTACCGGAATGTGCGACTTGAAAATTAGGTTCCACTGTATTCTGAAGAAACGTTCAAGGTCGCTGGCCTTGGTAATATTACCATTAGCGGAGGCGACCTGAGCAGCGTATGCAGGAAGCTTGCTGAGAAGCTGGGAGGCAACTTCTGAAGCGTTGGTAAAAAGTTGATTCACAGATGGATATGCAACATAATCTGCAACCTTCGAGTAGCTAGTCTTCGAATCATATGCAATGCCATTGTTCATTTGATCCTGAAGGTTTTCACCAACAGTAGGTAGGTTAATCTTACTTTCAATACCATATCGAGAAAGAATGCTGTTGAATATCAAATAATCAGATCAGGTTCTGACATTGAAGAAATTGATGGACACTCACTCTGGATTGCCAACTCCGGATAGCTCAAGCAATATTGGCGACTTCAACGCCCCAGCTGCGAGAATGACCTCACGGGTAGCCTTCACGACGGCAGTTGTGCCATTTGCGAAAGTAACTTCGACGCCTTCAGCAGTTGCTTTTGCATCCTTCTTCCAGGTCAGCTTGTTGACGTTAGTATCGAGCCAAACTTGAAGGTTCGTTCGGTTTTGGAAAGGGTAATAGTATGCGCGAGCGGCGTCTTCGCGGATATTCTTGTCTGAATCGACCGTCTTTGGATACAGTGTGTACCCAATCATTTGTCCCCCATTTGGGTCCTCGTTGTACGGAACGGGGGTTTTCATATTTTGATAGGTGGTGTTCAATTTCTGTGCAAGGCCATCATTCAACTGAGTTGGAGCCCAGCCAACTTTCAAAGGACCATTATATCCGTGATACGCTGGATCATACACAACTCCCGAGCCATCCAACCATGAGTAATCGCTAGGAACCTGGAACTGTTCACCCTTGCGATAATAAGGGTATAGATTTTTCCAGTTCCAGCCCTTGTTTCCAAGAGCTTCCCATGCGTCAATTTGGGCGCTTTGAGCTCTCAGATAAACCATACCATTTATGGTTGATGTGCCTCCCAGTGCCTTTCCAGCTCTCACTGTTTGGGGAAGGCCTCCGCCATATTCTTGATCTGTGGTCTGGTAAGCCCAGTCAATGGCAGTACCAAATGCATTCCCATATCCCTCGGTGTCGGTGACGTTAGGGTTATCGTATACTGAGCCTCCAGCTTCTATAACAAGCACGTTGATATTCTTCAGTTCTGAAAGACGGTTTGCGACTACCAGACCGCTGGTGCCACCTCCAACAATGATATAATCATAAATAGTGTTTGATGAATGGGAACTGTGTGGAACAGCTGCCACTAGTGATAGCAGGGCAAGGCCCGCAATTTTATGCATAGTGAGCATGATAAACACGGCGAAATTGGGAAAGTTGAGCTTTTTTAGTATTTTGTTGAAAATATGAAGCCAGAAGCACATTATTTATCTTATTCTCATGGACATATAAGGTGATTTCATAATCCCACTTCAACTTCTCCAAATGGAAGGCAAATCTTGATCATCAATCACAAATCAACTCACACTAATCTTTGTAATCACTCAAGGCCGAGTGTGTAGAGTTTACTGATGGAAACTGATCCACAATTAATTTAATGATGGCGAGAGCGACCTTGATCAGCAAGCAATCTTGAGCTCTTCCAGTAGCGGGCCATCAATCTTAGTGTGAAAATATAGATTTTGAAGATCAAAGTCCATATAGAGAGTGATAGATTGCTAGGGAAGTTTCCACCCAGGCTCTGCGTCTCAAACGCGGGTCCCACTTCCCTATTTAACCACTTTCCGGTGATCCCGACGGCATACGAGTGGAAAATCGGCCCGAGAGCGTCTCAACCAAAGATACCGAGACTTGGAGGCAAACTTGATATATCAGAAAATCTTGTCCATGGAACTAATCCAGCCCATGCTACCTCAAATGCTTTCTTGAGAACCCGTTTAATGGGGACATATTTGCACAGCGTGTGTTATGCCGCATCGCTATCTCATTGAGGCAGGAATAAACAAATACAGAGCAGGAAATAGGAATATTAATTCATGGGGACCGTGGTCCACAGATGTCCCACTGGAATATCTGCAAGGGTGTGGAGATACGGCCCATGGTACTTTCACCGGGTTCCGAAAAAGTCCAAAATACATGCCAAAATATTATCTAATGTGCGACAAAAGAATATATTATATATTTGACGAGATGATGCAACCTCCAACCACTCTGCACCATCGAATAAATTTTTGTGCAAAAGGATTGTTCAATTCAATTCTGACAAGACTAATCCTGTCTTCCGAGGTGGGCTCATGTGCAAGTGGATCTTGAACGTCTTAGCGTAGCAAAGTTCCCATCTTTGGCGGTGGAGACGCGGTACATCTCGCAGATTGTTTCCTTGGACATGTAGCCTATGTCATTAAGACGCTTTTTCTAGCCACGAGTCTGATAGCAAACTGTTAACTCTACATTTTTTTGCAGTGTTTTCGAGGTATGTAGAATGTTTGGCAACTCTCTCGGCGATTCACTTACTGCTGTTTGTGAAGGAAAGCGAAATTTTGACTCCATTTAGATGACTAAAACATAAGCTATTGCCAAGATGAGCTTAAAGTGAAAGACAAAATATCATAATTGAGCAAAATGAGTAATTCCAGAGATATGATCAATAGCACACTTTTTTTGAGTTTTCAGTGCGTTCAATAAGATTCTCAATATGCACTTGAGCTCTAGGGCAGATGAGTATTGTAGAATCAATTTTCTCTTTCATGCCGACCACAATGACTTTCTAAACTCTGTCATATACAAATCCTGTGAGTAGAATTCGAACGGCAAATGTGATATGAGCATTACCGACGTGTTTACCCAGTTATGATCATCTCATCTGATAAGATGGTCGATCACAACTCTGCCGCCGGCGAAGATCCTAATTAATCCACACCACGTAAATCATTTCTATTCTCGGAACGTCTGACCCCCTTCAGGTGGTTTTTTGGTTTTTCACGCTGCAATGTTCCGTGAAATGTTACAAAAAGTGACATATTATGGGAAAGGAGGCAATCGTTTGAAAGTATGACTTAACGGACAAATAAAAAGGCCCACCTCGCGGCCTGTTATGTCCAACACCAGCGCTTTATCGTGGATAGTGTAATCCATTATGTAAAACTAATGATCTGAAAAGCTTTAGATAAATTGAGTTGATTCTCTGCCTCTTTGTATTCCTATTTTGAAATATTCAGCCTTTGAAGTCGACACAAGAGGATTCCTATTTACTGAGATGACTATTGTAAACTTGGGCATTGGCAATGGCACACAAAACGAGCCAGCATCTATTGTGTCAACAGATGTTCTCATTATCGGGACAGGGCCGGCTGGAGCTGCCTTGGCTTGTTTCTTGGCATCTTATGGTAATATTCTGATCTCGGACGTTGTTTTGATATAGGTTCAAAAGAATGCTAACGCTGGTCTAGGGATTCAGGGAATTATGATAACTACATCTCCCACAAACGCTGATACCCCTCGAGCCCACATAACCAACATGGCCGCCATGGGTAAGACTAGTCCTTCATCTCTAGTATATCTGCTAATGTGCTCCAAGAGTGTCTTCGAGATATCGGGTTAGACAAAGAATGCAACCGTCTCGCGACCAACTCGAGTAATATGATGCATACACGGTGGGCATACAGCATGGCTGGAGAAGAATATGCACGGATTCACTCTTGGGGACACGATCCAAAGCGCAAGGTTTGTCTTCTTTGTCTTTTCAAAATGTAAATTGAGGCCTAAAGCTAGTATTAACAAGATTCCAGGGCGACTACGAAATTGCCAGTCCCTGCGATCCCGTCGACCTACCCCAGACCCTCCTTGAACCCATTCTTGTCCGCCACGCCACACTCAATGGCTTCAGTTGCCGCTTTGATACCACCTTTATTGATTTTGTTCAAGATCAGGATGGTGTGACAAGCATACTTCGCGACAATATTACTCGATTAGAATACAAAATACGTTCTAGATATCTCTTCGGCGCAGATGGTGCGCGAAGTGAAGTCTTCCGTCAGGCCGAGCTTCCACTAGATGTGCGACCGGACCAGGGCTTAGCTTTCAATGTTCATCTCAAAGCGGACCTCTCAAGGTATATGCAGTATCGTACAGGGAATCTTCATTGGCTTTTGCAGCCTGATAAAGAGCACCCTCTGTTTGGGTGGGCCTGCATTGCAAGAATGGTGAAGCCATGGGATGAATGGCTATTTATTGTATTGCCAGAGCGTGGAAAAGAACTGACATGTAATCCCTCCAATGAGGAGTGGCTCCCTCGAATGAAAGAATTTATTGGTGACGATTCGATTCATGCCGAGATTTTGGGGGTATCAAAATGGCGCATCAATGATGTTGTTGCTGAGAGGTTTTCCAATGGCAGGGTGTATGGACCCTAAGTTCTTCACATGCAAGTAAAACCTGACTGACAGGTATACAGGTTTTGTCTGGGTGATGCAGTGCATCGGCACCCGCCTTCAAATGGACTTGGATCTAATACTTGCATTCAAGACGCATATAATCTGGCATGGAAGGTCGCGCACGTGCTGAAGGGTAAGTACAGATAGACATTTTGCAAATTTCCGTGGCATAATTTAAGATAATGATATACAGGCCATGCATCATCGTCTCTTCTTGAAACCTTCTCTGCTGAGCGGCAGCCTGTCGGCCGTAGAGTCGTGACCCGAGCCAATCAATCATTCCGCCACCACGGGCCAGTGTGGGAAGCACTTGGTGTTGGACTTTCAACTCCAGAGAAGCGAATGCAAGCCTTGAATGAAATGACCCTTCCTAATGAAAAAGGACGTGCCCGTCGAGCTGCCCTCCAAGCAGCTATTGAAGAGACGGAGCACGAGTATCATGCGCTCGGTACAGAGATGGGTCAATTTTATCAGAGTCGTGCTGTCTATCCTGGAGATGAAAAAGTTCCCTTTTATACAGCAGAAGTTCTCGCCAAAGACCAAGATCTAGTTCTCACCAGAAGTACTTATCCCGGATGCCGGTTACCTCATGTCTGGCTAAATCATGCGGTCCCAGTTCAGCGAATTTCGACTATTGACCTGGCCGGACATGGAGCATTCACTATTCTTACAGGAATTGGAGGAGAAGCTTGGAAAGCCGCGGCCTGCCGAGTCACGCATGATCTTGGTGTCACAATCAATGTCTATTCAATCGGTTTCCGCCAGGACTATGAGGACGTTTATTTTGACTGGGCACGAGTCCGCAACGTGGATGAGACAGGATGTGTACTCATTCGCCCAGACCGGTTTGTTTCATGGCGATGTAACGAAGTCCTAGGTGATGAAGTCGAATGCACAACCAAATTACGGGAGGTGATTAAGACTGTTCTTGGGTTTTAATTATACATAATGACTCCAATCATGTTATACAAGGTCACTGTATAGCGTGAATTCAAATTTCTCAGAAAGAGTCGATTCAAACATTCAATCACCCTTTTTCATTATCAATCAGCTATAACTAACTAACTTATGCGTAGAAAGCTGAGTCAGTCTCCACTCCAAACCATGCTCCGCCTCAACTCCTGAATCGGGCGGTCCGAAAAGTCGGGTAAACTTTTTGGAACCCGGGATCCCGTCTTCACGGGCCAAACAAGCCAGTTGGGTGTGGTAACAAATTTTCACAGAAGCCTCCCGACCACTTTTGAACAATGGTATAAATAAGGACTACATCATCACACTACAGAGTAGAGTCGCGTCCGATTCAAAACCTTTCCATTCACTTCAAAAGCGGATCGGTCTTTCAGCAACTACTATTATAAAGTGGATCTGCTTTTGTAGTCTGGACCCATATTTCAAGCCGAAACTTCTCCCCCGACCGGGAAGGAAAATTTCTTGGAAGAGATAATGCCTATCAGAGGCGGATTTTCTGCCAAGTGCCCCAATTTTTTCTTGTCTTCGGCTTCTATTGACGTTGACATGCCGACATAGCTGATAGTTCCTATGACCCTAGATTAAGTCTCTGTAGATTCATCTTTCTGTGAAGAGTGTCTGTGTCACGATATCGACACTCTCCATGCCAGGAAGAAGAAATTCCACACCATGGAAGACGGTAATCTCAGCCTGCGGCCGGTGCCGTCAGCGATTTCTATCTCTCAGACATTTTCGCCGCCACGGGAGGCCGCGTTCATTGTCCTTGTCTGCATGGCACAGTTCATGACACAGACAAATGTCGGCGTGTGTCTATCCCCTCTTGATATCATCGGCGACAGCTTCGGGATTGACGACAATGGCATCCTGAGCTGGTTCCTGGCCGGGTACTCGTTGACTGTCGGCACCTTCATCTTGATATTCGGACGATGCGGCGATCTCTTTGGCTACCGACGAATCTTTCTGTCCGGATTCATCTGGCTTGCTATCTGGTCTTTAGTTGCCGGGGTTAGTGTGTATTCGAACTATTACCTTTTCATCATTGCACGCGTCATGCAGGGCCTCGGCAGCGCGATGTTGCTGCCGAACGGACTGGCCATCCTGGGCGCGACATACCCGCCTGGGAAGAAGAAGGCGATGCTCTTTGCACTCTTTGGGGCTGTTGCACCCAATAGCGCCTTACTAGGCACTGTATTTAGTGCAATATTTGCTCAGCTTGCCTGGTGGCCATGGACTTTCTGGGTCCAATCCATTGTTTCCATTGCCTGTGCCGTGTTGGGCTTTGTGGTTGTTCCCTCAATTCATCACGATAACCCACAGGACACCAGTAACTTGTTTAATCTTTTGAAGGCACTTGATGCACTGGGTGCATTCTGCGGCATCGGAGGGTTGATACTTGTGAACATCGCATGGAACCAGGCTCCTGTTGCGGGCTGGAGCACCCCCTATGTCTATGTTCTCCTCATCGTCGGGATTCTTCTGATTGCCGGATTCTTCTTAGTGGAGTTCCGGTATGCCGAGCATCCGTTGATCCCATTTCACGCTTTCAGTCAAGACGTTTCGTTCGTACTAGGCTGCGTTGCCTGTGGGTGGGGTGCGTTCGGGACTTGGATCTGGTACTTCTGGCGCTTTGAGATGGAATATCGGCATACAAGCCCGCTATTGGGATCTGCCCAATTTGTTCCGGTTGCCCCGATGGGAATTCTTGCCTGCTTTGTCACCGGCCTGTTGATCACGCGAATGCGTCCTGGATGGATCATGGTCATGTCGATGAGCGCCTTTACGTTGGGCAATATTTTCACGGCCATCGCGCCTGTGAATCAGACATATTGGGCTTTGACCTTTGTATGTCTGCTGGTGATTCCCTGGGGAATGGACATGTCATTTCCGGCAGCAACTCTGATGCTTTCTAACTCGGTGGAGAGAAAGCATCAAGGTATTGCAGCCTCTCTGGTGACCACAATTGTCAACTACAGTATCTCACTGAGTCTAGGGTTTGCAGGGACTGTAGAGGCACATGTGAATAATGGAGGCACCACACGGAGCGATGTATTGAAGGGGTATCGCGGGGCCTTGTACTTTTCCACGGGGCTTGGGGGCTTGGGCATTGTACTCAGCGTTATTTTCACCCTGAAATGTTACAGGGAAGAGTGGAGATCCAAGTCTGTGGACGAGAAAATCTCGGAAGATGGGAGTTCGTCCAGCGTGGCCGCATAATACTATTACTGTATCATAGGGGAGACAGTATAAGGTTATCTGGACCTACATCAATCGACACAATGTGTGCACCATCACTTGAATATGTCATCATTTGATTAGTCGCGAATCTAGAGTAATAATACTTTCATTTTTCAAATCAGAAATGAGAATCAATTTAACTGAAAACCCATTGCCGTCAGTTGGAGACATCCCGGTGCATTGGCACCACCTCTCGCTTGAGTTTTCCCAAGCCGCGGCCCTTTAAGTTTCTTAGTCTGGGTGACCGTGGGCGACCGCTCTTCGGGAACGCGATGACCGATGATATCCATCATGTCCATCAGATAATCTTCCCACGCCACTGTTGCCCGTGCGCTTTTACTTTTCTCTCCCTTTTTGGCTCTGGAACCGCGTTATTTTGGAATTTGAAAGAGAACAAGAACTTCTCCATTAATCCAGACGCAAAGCAGTCACACATCCCATTAGAAGAAGAATACTTTCCGCTTTCTTCTGCACTGCACTCGACACGTGCAGCCTGCAGGAGCCTGATTGGAGGTTGAAATGAGTGGAACCATGTCGCGGTCGCTGCGGCGGGGAAGATGAGAATTTTCGCTAGAGCTCCAACCCCCTAATGGATGCCAGATCTGTAACGTGAGCCTTGTCCTGGAGCTTTTCTGGTTTCAATTCGTCCAAATTCTGCCAGTCATGAGGTAACAGGAGCCGCCAAACGTAGCTTTACACTCGTCAAGGGCTTTTTTGCTGCCTCACGCTTTGGCGATCATGGCTAATCCCGCACTGCTCTCATCTTCATCCCACCACCCTCGCGAGGCTTATGAGCCAACCATGGGTTGCCCTACCGTAAAGGTCCACAACGGGATCCAAGGCTCGAGTGGTGTCTTAGTGCCCTGCCAACGGGGGGTAACGGCAGATGTAGTGGTGCATTGACTTTGGTCTACAGAGTGGCTACCCACGAGACACGAGACACTATCAACATTGTTTGCACAGTCACCGGACTTTGATCAGATACCGGCGGTATTGCGCTAGTAATTTTCAACACGGTGAGCCAATGGACTGACACAGTCCCTTATCAATCGGAGAGCCCGCTTCTTTTCTTTTCTGGTCCTTCGCCGTCTCTAATTCTCGATCGGATCACATTCTTAGAGGTGACGGTCTCCCTTTGCCCAGTATGGGTAACAACCAAGTTTTTGCCGTGACCGGTAGGTGTGAATGACTCGAATCGCCTTACCAGGACGTTTGGGGGAAGACTAATTCAATGCGATTGTGCAGTGTTCTTTATTTGTTTCCGAGAATGTTTAGAAACGACTGTGGTCGTGTCGGTGCTGTTGGCATTCTTGAAACAAACACTAGGATCGGGAGAAGACCAGGTGACCTATAAACGACTAGTCAAACAAGTGCGTGAAGCCGTTTATTGCCATTGTCGTAAATGATCTATATTTCCCCAACTCATTCTCATTGACTTTCCGATTATGATTTAGGTCTGGCTAGGATGCGGATTGGGTCTATTTATCTGTCTCGCCGTTGGTGCCGGCATGATCGGTGCTTTCTATGGCCTGGGTACCGACACGTTCTCCAGCACGGAGGATATTTGGGAGGGCGTGTTGGGAATCGTCGCTTCTCTAATTATCACCATCATGGGCGCCGCTCTTTTGCGAGTCTCCAAGCTCCAAGAAAAGTGGAAGGTCAAGCTGACCAAGGCATTGGCACACGAACACAACCCGGACGAGACACGCAAGGGCCGCTTCAAGCGCTGGATGGAGAAGTATGCGATGTTTGTACTTCCGTTCATTACAGTGCTGCGTGAAGGTCTGGAGGCTGTTGTCTACGTTGGCGGTGTCGGTCTGGGCCTCCCTGCGTCTTCGTTCCCTCTGGCTGTTTTTTGTGGATTACTAGCGGGAATTGCGGTAGGCTATCTGATCTACAGGTATGGCATTCTACCGTCCACAACATTTCTCCCTAGAAAAGTAAGCGCTAACTCGTTCTTCATGAAGGGGTGGACGAGAAACCTCCATGCAGATCTTCTTGATCATTTCGACTTGCTTCCTCTACCTGGTCGCAGGCGGCCTGTTCTCGCGTGGCATTTGGTACTTCCAGAATAACGCCTGGAACAAGGTCATTGGCGGCGATGCTTCGGAGACTGGTTCTGGAGCGGGATCTTACGATATCGACCAGAGTGTCTGGCATGTCAATTGTTGCAACCCTGAAATTGGAGGTGGCGGCGGTTGGGGTATCTTCAATGCTCTGTTGGGCTGGACCAACTCGGCTACCTACGGATCAGTAATTGGATATAACGTTTACTGGATTTGTGTGATGGTCGCCTATGGATTGATGCTGTATCGTGAGCGCAAGGGTCCCCTGCCATACATTGATCCGGTGGTGCACAAGGTGGCCAACGCCAAAGGCCGGACCAAGGCGTTTATCTTCCGTCAGCCGTGGGAGGCACCCGAGCCTGCCCAGGCCAGCGGCGCCATCGAATCGAGTGTATTCGTGCGGAGTGAGAAGGCAGACGGAGCCGGAGTGTCTGCTGTGTCTCGGCAGCCATCGACTTAAGGAAACACTGTTCCCACGACTGGAAAACATTGAAGGAAAGGACGGAGTGTATGAACGCATATACCCAGATCCATCATCTCCCATCTACATGAAATGACTTACCGGTACATAGGAAGCATTGGATTGGTAATTTTTGCTTTTTTCTTATCTCAAGCTAGGATTCGGTAGCTGGAATTCACACAATCAAACATGACTTCTCCGTTAATTAAAAGCCTGCGTATTTTGCAGAGCTCCAAGCCACGTAATTTTCGTAATTTTCAGCCAAAAGGGCAGGTGGTATCAATCCCGTTTTTTACGCGCAAGTAGCAGCAAGGCTTAGCAAAGCTTAACGAAAACTGGGTGGCCCCAGTAGCCCCAGTTTATTCAAGCCCCTTTGGACGGTCCTCGGTGTCTCCATTTGATTGAGTAAATTTTTCTAGGTTTTCTAGATTTCCAAATATTTTCAAGGAATCAAGTTGCTCCGAGGTAAAGGGATCTGGTGGCCCGGTTTCGGCTGCCATTGAATAGGCCACCACGGATCAGATTACAACTCAAGCCACCGCATTCCGTCTCGGCTAATCAATCAAATCAATCAGTCCCAAGCCCATGAACCTCGTCGGAATCCAATGTTGATCCGTTGATCCCAATCCAAATCTTTCCCGTCCGAACCGGGCGGGGTCTGAACTCAACATGCCAGAAAAAAAAAAAGAAAGAGTGAGAGAGTGAGAGTTTCTACCATACTAAATAACACACTGCAAACCCTCTCCCTTGAAGTGGTCCCATCCAAGCTCTTGTCATGGCCTGCTTGGCATTGCCCACCCGAGCTCCACGCTTCCCCGGCCGGGGGAGCAAACAAGCTACGAGGCGAGATTTTGAACCTAACACTGCACCCAATCCATCTTGTACTGCCCAGGCAGAAACAAAGGCACTGAAGGGTATTGGGACCCACTCGGAACGCTCTGCTCGGCTTCGCATGCCTTCGCATTCTACTGGTCCCAGATTTTTCCTTTCACCCAACCCCATTCGAGCATCCCAGGGGCCCAAGCCCCTAAAGTGGATATCCCATTTTTGCACTTCGCGTTTCTAGTCTTCTCTTTTCGTTCTTTTTCTTACGGCCCCACCAGAAACGAGCACGAGCACTGGAACGTAGAGATCGATAATCTTATCGCGCTGTGCTGGATTCGGCAAAATGCCTGAAATGCTTTTGGCGTTATTCATGGGTGTCTCTTGGCTCCCAGCTTCATGGTTCAACTGCTGGGTTTCCTTCCTTTCTCCCTAGTTCCTGTCCATCTCCTGTGCTGCAGACACTGGATTTAATCCGGCCATGGCGAATGCAGTCGCTGGCCTCCTGGCCTGCCTTGCGACATTGCTGTTTCTCTTCCAGTCTGTCCAAGCCAAAACTGTCACCTATGATTTCAACGTCACCTGGGTGACCGCCAATCCGGATGGTCTGTATGATCGAAAGGTCGTCGGTATCAACAACCAATGGCCTTTGCCAGTGATCGAGGTAGACAAGGGGGACCAGCTCGTGGTCAAAATGCACAACGGCCTCGGCGACAAGAGCACCTCCATCCATTTCCATGGCATGTTCCAGAATGGCACCAATGATATGGATGGGCCGTCGATGGTCACTCAGTGCCCAGTGCCTCCGGGCTCCTCGATCACCTACAATTTCACCGTCAATCAGAATGGAACCTATTGGTACCACTGCCACACCGATTATTGTTATCCGGACGGCTATCGTCAGGCGTTGATCGTGCATGACAACAGCTCCTACTTCCATGATATGTATGATGAGGAGTATACAGTGACTATGAGCGACTGGTACCATGAATTGGTCGAAGACATCACTTTCATCGACAAGTCCAACCCAACAGGCGCAGAACCCGTGCCCCAAGCTTTCCTTTTCAACGATACGTTGAACAGTAATCTCCCAGTTGAAGCTGGCAAAACCTATATGCTACGATTGATTAATATTGGTGCCTTTGTTGCGCAGTACTTCTACATCGAAGACCACACATTCAAAATTGTCGAGATTGACGGAGTATATACAGAACCAACTGAGGCTAGTATCCTCTATATTGCGGTAGCTCAGCGATATTCAATTCTCGTGACCATGAAGAACTCAACGGTTAAGAATTACCCCATTGTTACGGTGGCTGACTCGCAACTCTTGGACACCATTCCATCCGACCTGCAACTCAACAACACCAATTGGCTGGAATATAATTCCTCGGCGGCGCATCCCCAGGCTGTGATGACGGTGGACGATGCCTCCGACCTCGATCCATACGATGATATGAAGCTCGTGCCCTATGATAGGACTGAGCTTTTGCCTGATGCCGACCTCACTATTGATGTCACTGTCTACATGGAAGACCTCGGTAATGGAGCTGGCTATGCTTTCTTGAACAATATCTCTTATACCAAGCCGAAAGTGCCCACTCTCTACTCTGTTCTCTCATCGGGAGACCTCGCCACCAATTCGTTGGTGTATGGTGAATATACCCATCCCATGGTCCTGGGTCACAATCAAGTGGTAGACATTGTTTTGAACAACGGCGATACTGGCTCGCATCCGTTCCATCTTCACGGTCACAACTTTCAACTCCTTACTCGATCTCCGAGCTACGGTGCCCATTTTTACGACTATCTGGACGGGGACCCAGTTGCTTATGATCCAAATAATCATACCGCATTTCACAAATATCCTGCTCGCCGCGATACCTTCGTCCTACCACCACAGGGCTACTTTGTCATTCGCTTTGTTGCCGATAACCCCGGCGTCTGGTTCTTCCACTGCCACATCGACTGGCACTTGTCGCAGGGTCTAGCTATGACTCTTGTCGAAGCACCCCTGCAATTGCAGGAACGTCTTGAAGTTCCCTCTGATCACTACGATGCCTGCAAAGCTGCCGGCGTCGCGTACGAGGGTAATGCTGCCGGCAACACCGAGGACTATCTCGATCTCACTGGTCAAAACAAACAGGTCGCATGGTTGCCGGCTGGTTTCACGACTAAGGGTATCGTAGCCATGGTGTTCTCTTGCGTGTCCGCATTCCTTGGTATGGCTTTCATCTCCGTCTACGGAGCGTCAGGGATTCAGATGGCGAACAAGAAGCGAGAGATGGAACAGAATGCAACCGAAGGGTCCACGGAAAGTTAGTCCAAATTTTGGTAAATTTTCTTTCTGTATTTAGGTTGTTGAAATTTTATTTTAAAAACGTTTTGTTCATATCACTGTCTGGCTTTAAAACGAGGTGTTCATTGGCTCCATAACGTCTTCCACATCCTGATTTCGGGGCTCCTTTGGTGCTAGAGATTGTACGGTTGTAATCTCAGCAAAATCATTCAGTGAACTATGAGCATCAGACTCATCATGAGAGTCTTGCGTGCAATTGCTTCTTGCACCTCCAAATTCTGTTGACAGTTGTGTTTGACTGGCCCGTGATTCTGTGCACGGACCACTGGCGATTGATGCCACCGGCCGGTTCGGAGCTTGCGGGGCTTGCGCGAGCACATCACAGCTTCATCTCGCCGCTGGATAAGTGAGTTTCAACCTTCTAGGGAAGCTTGGCATACCAAATTTTATCTTTACAAGGTCTTATAGACCTATAAGTCCTTCATATTGTCTTTGGTTAACCCAATTTTATTCGACAACCCTGCACGGACAAATCAACCAGAACCCAGGAGCTCGATATCGACTGCATATGTCAATCGCATCTGCTTTGGTAAAGGAGATCATTTTTGTTTCGATCTCTTTATATCATATACCCACAACTCAGACATTTCGACGGTCTTTCCCGCACTCCACGTCTCGCTGGATATCCCGGTCCTTCTCTGCCAGACCTGCCATGACTATCCCCTCCAGCAAGATCCGCGCACCCTGGCGTGACGTTTTTGATTCGCATTTCAATAAAACTCCCGACTACGACTTCACCATTGCCACAGTTGGGTATGATACCTCAGGATGCCCAGTGCCCCGGGTGCGAACCTGTGGCTTCCGTGGTTTCTTTCCAGAGCTCGAGCTTCACCCGAATGGGAGAAAGGACATGGCCCAGCAAGTGGAGGATGCTGGAAACCCACCGATCTACGAAAGCGACATGTTAACATTTACGACGGATATCCGAATGGAAAAATTGGGCCAGATCCAATCATCAGGGAATGCCATTGAAGCCATGTTCTGGCTCAAAGATTTGAAAGTACAGTGGCGCATCAAAGGGAAAGCATATCCAATTGGCGATCCCAATGGAAAGGAAAATACAGGGGAATGCATATCTCAGGAAGCAATTAAACCCGGCCTGAGATTGAAGACTCGCGATGATCTTGCAAAGTGGACGTGGGAGAAGGCCGTGACCAAGTATTTTGCCAATCATTCTCCTACAATGCGCGGTAGGGTTTCCTTTTTCAGGTGGCTGCCTTCAAATAGCCGTCCCTTTCACATTATTTCCCTCCATCAATTACCTTCAACCCTCAGCTCTCGCCCCTCAACCTCACGCCCATCTCTGTGTCCATACCTCTTTGTCGGCAGGCACCGACTCACTGATTTGATTGCCTCCTCACTAATCCTATTCCTACCAATGCTGACTGAAGTCCCAGGCTCCTTCCGTAACCCATCTCCTGGTAAACCAAGATCCCAGACACCCGATAACCCAGATTTGCAATTCGGACAGAGAGTCACAGACCTCCACGATCCTATCGCGCGGGCAAACTTCAGAGTTGTTGTCATTGTGCCTGAGGAGGTTGAACATCTAGATGTTTCTGACCTTGATGATGCTCGACGAAGGAGCTGGAAGTTAGTCAAGCACAGCCATTTAGAGAGCCAGTCCGACAGTCTCTGGGTAGAAACAGAACTATGGCCATGATCGATCAATTCTTTCAATCAATCAATCAATCGATCTCAATCATTTTTGTTCAATCTTAGGCTCCAGGCTTCCTCTTTATATGCACACTCTTCATTGTCACCTAAGACAATAAACCTGTGTATTGTCTCATCGTAATACGCATCTGGGGTCTAAATTATCACAGTTCACAGCATGTTACTGTTCTCAACTTGATGCTGGATATGCCAGGAACTCATCACAGTAGCTGCCTGGACTCACAGGTATTTAATCACAAATGCTTACAACATGTCCGACTTCTTTTCTTCGACAGCCAGTGTCTGCAATCTCTGCTTTCTGCGTCTTCTCTCCGGCCTCCATTGCGCAATCCTTCCTTTGTCAAGCTTTTGACAAATGCCAAACATTATGGCAGGTGTCAAAGATATCAGCAAGAGCAACGCCACAACCAGTATGTTCCCAGCTTCCACCATTTCTCCCTCTTCCTATCTTGTTCCATCCTCACGCTGGCATCCTCAACAGCCTCGCTGGCTGAGGTGGCCGGCCATACCACCAAGAAGACCCGCACCAAGCGGCCCGTCGCTGTGTGCGACGACTGCAAGAAGAAGAAGAAGCGGTGCGCGCATCGCAAAGTCGAGGCCGAGAGCGAGCTCGAGGAGATCACAGCCACTGTCATGGTCCCCGCTAGCTCGAAGGAGAGTGTGCAGACCCGCCACTCTCGACGCAAGCCTGAGGAGAAAGTTTCAGTAAGGAGATTGCCCGTACCCAATTCTCATGACGAGATACTGACCCTGGGAAACCCCAGAAGATCGTGAACACCACCTCCGCGGTGGCTAAGCGCCCTGCCGTCGCTGACGGCTCCACCGAGCCCGAGACCAAGCGGGTCAAACGCTCCGCCACTCTCAAATTCCCGGTCCTCCGGGCTGCGAGGACCTCCAGTGATCAGATAACCCCTCCGCTTGAGGGCTCTGCATCGCTGGCGGTTCATGTCGTGCTCTCCCGAGAGCTTGGGAAGCGTCTCGACGAGTTTGAGCGCAAGTTCCAGCTCAGCATGGAGGCACACAAAGCCACCATGGAGGCTGGGAAGGCTGTTAAGGAGGCAGTTGACCAGTGGGTGGCTGCGTGGACAGCCGGGAAGTGAGGGGTAGGAGAAGAGGAGTGGAAGAGAAGGGAGTCTCTTTTGTGTTCCTTTTACTTTATTTGAAAGTGGTCTCTGTGTTTTGGTGGAAGATGTACAGGTGTTTAAGAAGATACTCTCATACCGGTGTACCCAACCTACAGTGATAGACAATGTATGTGAGACCCGCTCACAACTGACAGGAGTGTATCTTGATTTGCCTTCTGATGAATTTCAATTCCTATTAGGATATGAGGTTTGACTGGGGTTGCCTAAGCTGCTTCTCTGTTCAAGATAGGCTCACGACGTTTGGGAAATCCTAGGCTGAGAATCAGATCATTCCAGGACTATGTCGAACAGGCACAAAGAGGGTGAGTGGATGTTCCAGTTGAAGACAAGGAGCATCTTGCTCTGTCATGGGCTGAAGGATTGAGCAGCCAGAACATCCCAATGATTATGCGCAATAATATATAGGATAAGGGACAGAATCATCGGTTCTCTCTGGGTGAGATGGTCAGCAAAGCCCGGTTACTCCTGCATGGGGTTATGCCAGAGCAGCCCGAACTTGAGACCGTCACAAAAAAAATCATCGAGGCGCTTATTCCTAGGCATAGGAGTTTGAAAGCTGTCAATAAGACCTGCAGATTGTGCCATGTGATATGATGACTAGCAAGAGGCAAGAGACTTTCATGCGCTATTTGTCAAACGAAGGGATAAAAAATTCCATTTCTTTCACCTGAGATCGAGTTGTATGTCTGAGAGCGCATAATATCCAAGACAAAGTCATTTTTTTGTCGGCATAGATATCCGCCCTCATTCTTGCATTTCTGGTTTTCTTGAAGATGCTTTATATGATTGCTAGTATCATATGTCCATTAAACAGGGCTCCTAGTTCGTGATCGGCCAGAAAATCTCATAGAAAAAGGGGGCATCTTTGGGTTTTACATGTCTGCAATGAAACATTCTCCGGGATACGGGCATCTTGACCCAACACTTTGGTCGTTCGGTAAACTTCCTCTCTGAAAGTGGAATTAGGGTTGTTCAGGGAAATACTCATGGAATTTCAATAAACTGACAAACGGAAAATTCGGAGGTGGCGACCACAGTATGCCTGTTCTTTGTTTGTTTGTCATGATTTGGAATTGTATGCTCAAGAGCCGATTTCGTCAATCTAGACCTGTACTTCAACACGGATGGCTGCGGGCGCATTGACCCAGGCGGTGTTCGTATACGATAGCTTCGGGATTTCCGAGGTGGAATGTTTGACCTGCAGTCTTCCTGTTTCAATCTTCTGATCTGTAAGAGCTCCCGGCCACTTGACGATGTAATTGCTTCTTTCTCCTTCCAAGTTATATTCCGATTTCAAGGTAGCCCCTCGGACAGAGATTGCTTGGACCAAATCAGAGCATAAGAAAATAGATGGACAAACCCACATCGTAGAGTCCAGATTCAGGGGTGTTTGAATTCTTTTAGCAAGTTTGAAATGATAAGATCACAATCTCGAGTGTAGCTTTGATCTCCCCAAGCAGGACTCAGCCAATCCCTCTGGTAATGGCCCTGGTATTGGCTCATGATCTTCCGGGCGTCCCCTAGAGGGCTCGGAGCTATCACGTGGAGTCGATACACGTGTGGCTGACGAGGTCAATGCCCCGGTGCATGAGAGCGATACAGTTCTCTCCTTGCGGTTTCAACCCCCTTCGGTGCGTGCCCATCTTCGATCACATCACATCGTTTGGCAGCCAGTCTGAATCATGAGGATGAAGCCGCAGGCATCCGCAGCTCCCACATTCGCTTCTCGGCCATGCCAAAGCCTGCCAATATTTGAGTGCCAGCCAACTCCTCGATGCATCGGAAATAGCCCACCACCGCCGTGGCAGTATCAGGTACAGCGCTCGGACCGAGCAGGAATGTACCCAAAACACGGAGTCAGGGCGAGTATTGTATACGCCTGTGGGGAACCCTTACGGGCCTTAAACATACAGCCAAGATTGACCATGTTCCCTAGTGCTTGCCAGATTTCTTCTGATCGACGAATCATAATCCCTCATCTTTGCGACGGGGCCACCCGACCCTCATACCACGGGCTGTCCCGGCTTTCCGCGCAGAAAGATCGTCGGGCTGCCGGGGATCCATAGTAGCTCTCCTGTTGCACTGCTGTATTATTACTCTGACATCCTTGGAACCGTGATGCGTCTCCCTCGGAGTTCAAGGAGAAAAATACTCAAGGCGACCGTTACGTGTCATGTCCCTCTTGGGAAAGGTACCCGCCTCGTTTGAGTGATTTCTGACCCCCCTGGCCCCATCCGGAATCCTACTGGATCCCTTCCATGACCTTCTGGTTGTAAAATTTGAAGCGACGGCGTAAGGCCTCTTGCCTGACATCGGTTCCTACTCTGATTCATTTTTTGCCATGCTGTCTGGGCTTTCTCACGGCTGTTGCTGCGCAGGCGCCGGGTCAACCACGGAGACATAAGCCACGGTTGAAACGAAGGAGCATCAACCGCCCATTTCTTCTTCACCCATTATCGAACATGGCTCCCGTGTCTTTCCGTGCCGCTCCTGGCCGTCATTGCACCACCGCACCCATTGTGGCCTGATTACTTCGTCTTGGCGAGAGCCTCCAGGGATCCTCGGGCAGAACGTGATGTCCAATTCACACCACTCTGGGAATGGGAATATCCTTCGGAGTGTCAGAGAGGGGGGAGCTGCATCCTCCACGGACCCTCACCGCTCCTTGTGGAGCTTTATGATGGCTTTGGAGATCCCTGTCAACGGAGATGGACACCGGAGCCCAATCAGTCTGCTACAGTAGCACAACACGTAGGGCCACAGTAACTGCAATTAGCCTTGCTATCCTTGTTTTGGGGGATGAAGCCACACAACCTGGTCCTATCAGGGGATATGTGGGACATGTAGGAATTGTGGACAATATGCGAAATACGGGGCAGCTTTAGGGCGTACATGTACAGAGTACAGAGTATGCAGTATGCATCCCTGGGGAGACTCGGGATTTGGGGCGTGGGAGGGGGTCTAGGATGGTAGCAGGTACTTGTGGTAGGCAATTCAGCGCCATGCAGTTCGGACGGACCGAATACACCGAAACCGAGTCCACCACTGGCACAGGCGGGCGACTGAGTTCTCCGTACGAATTGTAGCGCGGCCGACGGGCGTAGTGGCCAGACTACTGCACCCAAGCCAAGTAGTCCAGCAGGTCCGGGCCCCGTTCCTCCCCTTTCCGTACCAATACCGCCCGCCGCCATACAAATGGATGACAAAAGTACGTACAATACCCGGACAGAACGCCCGCCTCTCCCTCTTTTCGATCCCCATCCTTGGAGCCTTCTTCTCCTCCTCTTCCTCCAACTTTCCAACGCTTCACCGTCTCTTACCTCGCAATACCCGCAGGCGACTCTTTTACAACTGGAGTTACTAAAGCCTGCTTCCCGCCGTGGACACAACCCTCCATCGTTCTTCTCCGCCAACGACCTCCTGGTCCAAATCACGACTGTCACGACTCACGACCCCCCCCCCTCCCTCCACCCTCTCCTTCTTGAACACTCCACCCTTCGACATAATAGTAACTATCGGCGCATCTTTCTCGTTTAATTCATCGCCTGGTTCTACCCAAGAAACCCGTCTGCCGGAGCCAGTCGAGCTTGCACTCATCTCGTCGCACAGCAGTGTTGGTATGGCTGCTGTTTCGATGGATGCTTTGGGTGCCTTCTCCCATCTGAAGACCAGCCTACCTTCTTGGATTACTCGCGTCTCGGAGCTCGCTGCACACACGTCAACCAAACACGCCGAATACACTGAAGCCTTTCGGCAACACGCCACCCGAAAACCTCGTCGGCGGAGGAATAGCTCCGTCTGTTCCATTCACACCGATGGCCTCGTCCCAATCGCCCAAACCGAGGACCCCGCACCAGACTTAGTGGAAGACAAGCCTACAGAATTCAAGCCGAGGGATTTGACTGTGCCGGCGCAAATCGCTGGACGTAAGCGAGGCACAGATGAAGCCCCATCTCTCTATTCCAGTGACCGATATACCTTGGTGAGCACCCGGCATAATGTCATCATTGACTATGATGGACACACCCAGAAAGTTTTGGAAGAGGTGGTACGGGATATTGGTGTCGCCAGGAATCACATTCGACGAGGGAAGATGTCGACGATGTCTCATGTCGGTCTTAGGGCGAATTTGTTAGGTAAGACCGCATTGGGAGGTAGTCAACTTGGTCAATCGGATGTGTTATCCTATGTCCGCAGCACGCGTACTGCCAGTGGCATCGTTGGCGTGACCGGCACCGCGGGCCCTCGCAAGGAATCCCCATATGACTTTGCAGATAAGCAGTTGGAACTCGCCCACGGTCTCTGCGAAACAGCAGCATATCAGGTACTCCGGTCGGGCGATTGTGGCACAGAACTCGATGGCGTGGAAGAGAAGTTCAAGATGCTGCTAGAGATGGTCACCAATGAAGTGACACGTCTGGAAGCAGAGAAAAAGCAACAGGTAGAAGAGCAGAAGGAAGAAGAAAAAGAAGAAAAAGAAGGAAAAGAAGAAGAAACCCAACCCGAAGCACCACCTGTCAAACCACCTCTGACTCCGACCGCGCAACGACTCGCCAGGCTCGCCGCACTCACCGCGAGCGTCAAACCCCCGACGACCACAACAGGCACCATCGAGGTCGACGACACCTCATCCATCTCGGCCGAGTCCATCGATCTGTCTGCATTCCGATCATCCCGCATCCGAGTGTAGGCCACGGCCATTTGAGACCGTTGTTGGTTGTTCCTTCGCGATTTAGCGTGTTCCAGGCCAGTTTCCTGCCAAAAGCATCTGCCCGCCGATTGATATCCTCGATCTATTTTGCCCCCCAGATACCATTATTTCTATTATCATTATTATTCTCATCATCATCCTCACCACCATCACCATCATCGTCCTCATCAGCTCTTTCATTTTACGAAACTTTTTCACACTTGATCTCGCGTTTAACTTTGCGGATCTTCGGCGCGCCGTGCCTCCACTCGACCAATTTGTCTCTCATTGACCACTTTCCTTGCATCTTTTCTCTGTCATTGGCCTTATTTTGGGAAACCACCATCCTGTTGGGACATCTATCTCCTGTCCATCTTTTGCATTGGTTCTCAACGGAGAGCATGGCGTTGGCGTTGGTGTTTCATGTTTCAAAAGGGCCCGATGTTTGCGGGCTCTCGGAGAGAGGTCAGGGTTTTTGGTTAACCTCCTGGCTTATCTCTAGTATCTACTTGTTACTTTTCTTCCCGCTGGGAAAATTGAGTATTCAGTTTTAAAAACGCTTCTCGGGTGCGCTGAGTAGCCTCGCGTAGACAGAGAGACTAGCACTTCCCGTCCGGTTGACAGGCAACTTCGATGACGACGTGGCATCCGGGCGAACTGCCAACCCCTACGAAACCAACGAAAAAACACCCGCGTTACTTTGGTACAATCTATTTTGTTTCGTTTATTTGTGCTCTTCGCCTACTTTCTTGCCCTATTGGCGCGTCCCCGTGGACCCCCACGGGACTCGAACTCGACTGTAACTAACTAGACCCCAGTTGGTTGCGTCTTGCTGCACAACTGCACGACCGTTGTGACGATGCCCCTGCAAGGATGCACGCCGCTCAGCGCACCGCTACTACCGGTGATTTGTCCGTGCAACAGCAGGATTCACATAACTTCACTTGCAACTAACAGAAATGGGGCCAACAGTCAGAGGAGGCGGCGGGGGGCCCAAGGCACATTGATACCCAACAGGCAACGGGAGGGGCGCATCAAAAGATCGCCGCAGGCTGTTGAATGCTGTTGCTGGCGCCATCAGCAACGGCCAGGATGATCCAAGGACCTTGCATTTGCTATTTCCGGTCGCCCAGGCCGTCTGTCCACCTGGGCGGGTCTTCGTACTCTGCCTTGTTTGGGAATCGCCAGGTTCAGCGGGATTTGCAGGCGTTACATCTACGAGGAAAAGGAGCTAAACCACATCCAACGCTTTGAAACTGCTCTGCAATACTGAGAATCGAGCGCGGCGTTCGAGCAGGAAGCGAGGTTCGTAGCGTGGTACGTGTCCTGGTGCATTGGAGGACGGTGTCACCAGCAGAGCGCATCGTGTTTACATGGAAGGCCCGACCGCGTTCGGCCCCGTTATGGGATGCACGCTGTTTCGCTTGTTCAGACGCGATGACCGGGATGGTTGCTAGCGTCGAGCAAGAGACTTTATCTCCTTCGAGTATGTCGAAGGTAAAGACATGCATGATTCGTCGACCCCCACGAGGCAATTTACGGTATCCTTCGGCGGGTCGCAGGCCGAGAGTGGGCTGTCTGTGGCCTGGGCTTTTGGAGTAGGGTCTGCGCTGGGTGTGTCTCGATACGCACTCGGGAGAGTTCGTTTGTTTGTCGATCCTGAGGGTCGGATGGTTCTGGACAATGCCAGCTGAGTTCATTTCTGCCGCCAGCCTGTCACGTCGCGAAGGCAGGGTTTTGGCGACAATGAAGCGTGGCTGGCTTGCAGATGTGGCATTATCATCAATCACATCCTGATGCGGCAAACACGACCTACGACTCGGAGTGTCTCAGCCCTCATGAAGCTGGTTGTGCGCGGTAAATGAAAAGATCCGTGGCAATGTATATAATCATGAGACCCACAGCGTCGAGCAACAGCGCATCGTCCTTCGGCTACAAAATCATAAACATATACTCTCTACCCTGTACCCTCGACGGCCTGGACATACAATGTGGGCTGAATACCGTACAAATCCCCCGGTCGTACTCGAATGTATCAAAAACAACAAATACGCCTAAACAATCCCAGCCCCGCAGCCCTTTCCCCCGGATCCCAATACCGTCGCTGAGTGGCTCAGCCCAGTGGAGTCGCAAATGACTTCCCGTTGGAGTAAGTCCGGAAGACGATTCGAACCGCGTTTTGACGAACAAAAGTACGATGCAGCGCCCCGCAGGGACTCCGAGAGCGAAAAGGGCAAGAGCACAATCTGAGTAAGGGTTTCAAAATTGGAGATAAAAAGTTAGGACTCAGGGAATAGGGAATAGGGAGTAAAGCATTGAAAGAGAAGGGGGTGTATGACTGCAGGGGAACGATTGGGTGTTGTCCCCGCCCTGATGTCAAATACGGATCCGATATGAATGCATTGAAGGGAGGGGCCTCAGTGGAGTACCAATATCAAGGCGGAGAGAGGAAAGGAAGGTCTGTGACTAGATGGATTTTTTTTAGAGCCGAAGCTGCGTGTATCATTTGTATCATGCATATCATCGTAAGAGACGCCATGTATAAATAATCTTGCTTCCGGTCTCTCCCCTTCCAGAGCAATTGAATGTCAAGGGGGGAGGGCAAGCAAATGCAGGACCGCCTGTCCTGACATGGCCCAAGGATGGACTGCCACAAGTACTGTTTATCATAGTTGGCTTTAAAGACAGAGCTGCCTACCCCCGATCCTGCCTCTAGTGGATACACTATAATTGAGAACTGAGTATGCACGCAATCTAGACTAACTTAGCGAGTCCTTCCTAGTTAAGTAAGAGGGTCTTCGTTCTCTCTCGCGATCGCGATCGCGACAATGACAAAAATCTTGGTCTGTGGCCAATGTGTTGGGAGCCTACAGGGCTGTGGAGTAGGTGCTATTACTTGCAAGGGATGTCGCCGATTGATGAACGGCGATGGAGACGCTGATATGTCGGATGTGTGGCGACAAATGTCTTGCACGTCAACGTACAGGTTCCCGCTCGCATTCTAGTATGGAGCTGCAGATCACAGGTTACATGCACATGTATGCTGTGGGGAAAGTGGTGAGGATTCGTCATCTACCCAGATTCAGTCAAGGTCTGCAATCCAGACTTGAAGCATATTTTCCCTGTTGCCGAGAGTTCTTGAGTCGAGACACGGATGTGTAGATACGTGCGCAGACGACTCAACAAAGCGAAAGACATATCTTAGCCGCTAAAGAACAATATGTCAGAGCGAACCAATAAGCTCCACAAAAATCAATGTTGCCATGCTACCGTTCTCCAAGATTAGCAAAAAGCATAATGTTTTTGACACGCAGTTCTCGGCGCACGGACAAAAACATGAAATGCCATAAACGGAAGAAACTCGCTCCCGCTGTGAAAATTCATTTGCTCACTCAAATAACACATTTTCCTTCGAAGGCTTCAAATGATAATTGTATTTTGGAATGCGTGTTTTCAGACTATGCTGTGGAACAGAAATTAGGGGACGGACACGGCTACTTTGACCACAAATTAGAAGGACAAGTACCAAGATATATATCTCAAGATCCAAATTTGCAATACCATCTTTTAGTACTTCATGAGACAAATTGATACCAAATATCGATGATTGTCGTCGTTGTGATTGAAGAAAGATTTAGATGGAGCCCATTCTGAGATTCTAAGATATTGGCTTTCTCAGACCCAACAGATAACCCAGTGGGCACCACCTTGCTCCTTGCTGCTTATGATAATCACACGGAAGGCTATAAACAGCGGTGGAGATAGAATATCTTGAAAGACCGGGATACGTAGGGAAGTATGTTATATCAGAAGACAGATTAATCGTGAATGATGACTTCCATCTAAAAGTTTCCAATCTTTTGTCATGCCTAGGAGTGACAATGCAGTCAACATTAACCGCGTATAAGTGAGATCGATTTTAGAGGATTCATATCACTTGCCAACTCGCCTAGTCTTATCAGGTTCGATCTCAAAACGAACAAACGTCAGAACGAACTTGAGTCCCTAGTCCGGACCATTCAACGCAAAACTCTACAGTTGGTTACATCTTCTCGAACAAGGGGGTGTCGCAGAACGAGTACTCAGAAAGGTCCAACTACGGTCATTCACCAAGACTTAAGGTATTCGAAATATTTCCTAGATTTGGGAAGATAAATTTCACAAAACGATATAATACATCTGCCATTCTTTACTCAACTTCGTTATGAGTGATCCTATATATCAAGCTCCGAGTCTTCATGGCAACATTCTCAAACATTATAGTGACATGACATGTAGACATCAGCCGCAGATTACGAATATAAGATAGAAAAAGGAAATAGAGGCCACGAGGAAGACAGCGTAAGATACCCAAAAAAACTGCTCCATCGAAGTAAGGTAAACACAATCACCTCAAATCTATGTGAGAAATCAAGACGGGAGCTAGCTCGCTTCTTCGCCTTTAACCAAAAAACAGTCCCAGATCAGAGCTGGCGCAGCTTGGGTCAAGACTGGCCGATTGGGTATCAAAAGTTGGCCAGAGGCCATGTAAAATAAATCCAGGATTAGGGTACGGTGTGCAGTAGATAGACCCTGTGCGTGAGAAACTCATCGTGTCAGACTCAGAGGGCACACAAAAACAAAAATCAGGTTGTGAGCCAGGAGAAATTCCTTAATAGTCGACCTTGTCCTCGTGAATGGGCGGCTGGCCCTTTTCAATGGCCCAGGAGATCTTGGCGTTCTCGTCGAGGAAGGCATCCTCGTCGGTGATCGGGATGACACGCGACGTGTGCGCAACTTCCTGTCGGCTGATACCGAGGGGATCGCGAGGGATCCAAAGCAGCGGGACTTGTGAGCCGACAGCAGGGTGGTTGTAAGCGTCACGCTCGACCTCGGGCGAGTAGATCGGGATATCGAGCGGACTGGGCACGAGGCGGCGCAATGCTGCGTAGTCGTGGTACTTGTGTGGGTTCATCCATTTGACAATAAAGTTCGGCTTGCGCTCTGCGGACTCAGGGGCGGGCAGGCCCTTCTCCGGGTCGGCAGAGTCGACAGCACCGACGCCGCTATCGACGTTGGAGACACCGTTGTTTTCTGTCTTGGTTCCTGCAGAGGCGCCAGGCATGCCATCGGACTGTGAGTGCTCATCAACGGAGGCGCTGAGCTGCTTGTCCTGGGCAAGAAGAGCCTCCTCCTCAGCCTCAATATTCTTGGGCAGGTAATCGAGCAGAGGCTGCATGGCCGCATTCATCGAAAGGTGGTACAACACGACGAAGACCAGGAAGATGATCATCAGGACCAGCGGACCCAAAGCCATGCGGTTGGACCCGGTACCAATGGCGAACAGGCCGATTAAGCAGACGATCAGAAGGTAGCAGCCAACAGTGAGATGCTGGAGGGCACGAGTGTAACCACGGCCCTGGCAGTCAATGGTGCCGTTCGACACATACAGCAAGTTGTATCGGTAGGCAAAATAGAAAAGATACAGACCGATGGAAGCGAATCCCATCACCAGAGGGGCGATGCAGGAGTAGATGATACCAATAACAGTCAACAGAGTGAAAGCAGGGTAAACGGTACCCCAACCAAGACCGGCCAGGCTGGACCAACGCTTGTACATCTTGCGAGGAGTGCTGTCCAAGAGCCTACCTAGGATTTTGCCGATAATCAAGCCGGCAATCTGCAGCAGGGCACCAGCACTGAATGATAGACCTTGCAGGACAATGTATGAGATATAGAAGTTGGAAGCCTTGGGGATACTTTTGGCGAGCAAGCTAGCAGCAGATGTGGGGTCATTGATGATTTGAGTGACCGCACTGGTGGCAGCGGAAGAGAGAGTAACGACCAAGAACACCTGGATGACCTGGAAGGCAAAATAGTAGTTCTGTGTAGTCATCTCGATGGCAGACAGACTAACATCACCACCCCATTTGGCACAAAGACGCATGACAATGGGCACCAGAGCCATCAGGACAGCCATCATGATGGTGGGCAGGAGACCGGTGATGACACCACGGATCCAGCTAGGAACATCAAGGATGAACTTCAGGAAGGGAACCTTGTTGGTCAAGTAGGTAATGTTGGAGATCGCACCCACGACGGCAGTGGGGATGGCCCAGAAGATGATAAGCGCGCAGATGAAGCCCAGGGTGACGCTGTGGCGAACGATGCGCTCCCACCACTTGATGCGCAGGTTGGCCCAGACAATCTGAGTTGGATCAAGGCCAATGTAGCGAGGAGACATGTGCAAGGGCAGGTTGTGGGCAACCGACTGGAAGGCAGCCTGGGCATCGGACTGGTGGTAGAACTCAACAAAGACGGACGAGACGAGCTTGACATCACCGGCACGGTGCTTAGCCTGCAGCTCTTCAATTTCGGGGCTAAGGCGCTCGATTTCAGAGCGAGCCCAGTTGATGGTGTCGACCTTCTTGCCAATGAGAAACTTGAGACGGTGAGTAGGACGGTCCTTAGCCTGCACCCAGCGAGCAGCCACGGAGCCAGACTCGTCGTCGAACTCGCCGATAGCCTCCTCCTCGGGGTTGCCATCCTCAACAGTGCCCTTCTTCTTCTTGAGCTGCTTGTTGCGGGCCTTGTTGGCCATAACAATGAGCTTGGTCTCTGCAGCCTCCAGCTTCATGGCGGCGCTGTCGCGCTCCTTCACCTTGTCTTCGAGTTCAGCGGTGTCGGTCGCCAGCCAGACGTTCTTAACCTTCTGGCGGCCAAACATAGTGCGGATCTTCTCCTTGCTCAAGTAGTCCTGGGTGACCGAGGAAAACAGCACAGTACGTGAGGAGATACGGCCCGCATACGCGGGCGAATAGAGGTAAGCTTGGCGCAAGTTGATATAGAACAAGTGTTCACGAGTGATTGTGAAAAAAATCACACCTGGAGAAGGATTAGCAACACTGCGTGTTTGCGACTGTGTCGATGGCCGGGGCGCTCCCTCGCCTGAGTTGGTTTGGGTGTTCTCGTCGCACACGAGGGAAATGAAGGTACATACCAACAAAGATCCAAGCCAGGAAACAGTGGGCGTAGTAGCGTCCATACTCGGTATCGGCAATGTTGGACATACTCAGCAGGTCTAATTGCTGGTTACCGCCCTTACCTGTGGCATTGACAGGGAACAGGATCGGCCAGGTGATGCAGCAGCCGACGAACATCAGGACCGAGATCAGCTTCAGGAAACGCAGCAAAAGATAAGCATCCATGGAGTGGTGTTGCAAGACGTAGGTATCGGGAAGCTTGTACATGGCAGTCACCCAGTTCCAAAAACCAGTTGGGGTCTCGGGGGAACGCTGCCAGGATTTGAGATAGCCGATGTAGGTACGAGGCATATACATTCTGTGGAATTTCTTGCGCAGAATGATGAAAAGCCCAACCATAACCGCGAAAGAGATCAAGGACGGTACAAGGGTGGTTACGAGCGCTGAGGCAGAGCTCGATGCCGAAGACGGGTCATCCTGCGAAATTTCTTAGTATTCTTTCAATCAAGGTTCAGGAACGGTTGTGTGTACACTGGCCCGGGCAAGCAGCCGGTGCCAGGCCCCGGTGTCTGCCATGGTGATAGGATAGAAAGGCGAGAAGTCGAGGGCGGATATCAAGCAGAGTGCTAGCAATTGCGTAGAATTCCAAGAGGTCGTGTAGATGTCGACTGGGGCACACAGTCCCTCGAGAGTTGAAGAGAGAAGGAAAAAGGGAGGGCGCGAGAGAGAACGAGGTCGTTTAAGCTTTGGAAGGGGAGGGGCAAGCTTGTGCTGCTCTGCTGGTCGAGCTGGTCGTGCTGTGGACCGGCGATCTTGGCCCTACGTAACTCTCGAGCTTTTCTTTTTTTTCTTTTTTTTTTTTCTCTATCTGCATTCACCTCGCCAGCTCACTGGACCGACGGGACAGGGGTCTGTTTCTGGGTTTTTTTTTTCTGGACCTTGAGTGTTTTCCTGGCCCCTTCGCAACTCCTGAGCGACTCCACTTATTGTGTGGTGGCGAGTGAGAGGTCGATCCAGACTTGCGCCCGCACTGGATCCCCCGAGATTCGCCCTGCGATCGTCTGCGTCCGGTGGTTCACTGGGTCGATGACTCGATGAAGGTTCTCAAGGTCAGATTCAGGAATCTATCTACTTTGGAGTGCTTAGGGTACATTGGGCAGAACACTCATGCATTGACTGGAGTGGTGGTGTCTCGCAAGCATTTTGATATCGCCCGGAGTTTCCCTACGCAAGGGACTTCAAAAATACACGGAGAAGCCCGAACACCGCCACAGACGCCCCAGCCACACGGGATTACAGTCTCCAGTGTGTTGATCATGATTAAATGAATGGTGATGATGGTCGCGAGACCATCCAATCCACTCGTTCCCCGCAAGGGATGCATATCCCCAGAATCCCAGCCCAAAGCCAAAACCCGTCACGTATGCCGACCAGAGACACGGGGAATCTGAGGTCGATTGCTCGAGGGGCTCCCCGAGCACACGCGAAGAGAGTCATAACATGACTCGGGAATCCAGGGGCTGGAGAGACCGAGAGTGCTCCACCACAGACATGCCCATTAGGTCATGGACGTATCAGGTACAGTAGAACGGAAGGCAGATTGCAGTATGTATTTTCGTACCCCGTACTCCGTCGAAGATGCAAGCTCGGGAAAACAATCCCAATTTGACGGCGTACAGCACAGCCTGGAGATATAACTCCGTCCCCATGAAACGATACAGAACGCAGTCATGCAGCTCGCACAACTCCTGGGGGTCTTTGCCGAGCACGAGTCCGTTCCACGTCAGACCGAGTGTTAGCCCGCTAAACTTTGTCCACAATTACCGCGAGGCAACTATTGAAACGTACAGGCCATCACAGATCGTGCCTATGAGGGCGGGTGCAGAATGCGATCGTCGCCCCGATCTCTGACACCCGGTCGCGAGTCACAGGCAAGACAAGCAAAGAGGAAAAAAAACCAACAATCAAGCCACAGGCGCGTCGACCGAAAACAGGGACTTGCTGTGTTGGACCCAATCGATCGGAGCCTAGCACGCTAAACACGACTAGTGGGCTAAACTATTTGTCGAGGATCAGCCTATTCCCTGCTAATCCATACTAATCCATGCTAACCTCAGCTCTTCCATGGGCCGTGGCTGAACTATCATTTTGTTTTTTTTTTTTTCCTCTTTTTTTTTTCTTCTGTTCTAAATGGGAATTTGATATCCTTTGTAGTTCTGGATTCCAAGTGCCCAAAATTACTATCACAGATGCAACTACGGAGTGCTGCGTACACATTTTAATATTCTCCTCTCAGTGTTGGTTGAATTTTAGGGACTAGGCTGGAATGAAACACCACCAGACCCGCGCTCAGAATGAGAGAATGAGAATCGATAATTTTCGTCATGATAGTCCTCTCCGACCGTGATCGGCGAAATCCTGCGTGCTCGACATGATCTCCCACGGTTGAGACGGTCAAGCCCATCGGATGGTTCATCGCGCGCCCCATCTCCTGTTCCATGTACCGCTCCGGTACCTGATCTACTGTACCCAGTGCGGAAAGTGACTTCGGAGAACATCACCTCGTTTGGTCCGAGGGGGGACCCCACTGAGGAGTTCCTGCGCACGTCACCCTTGGGTTCGACAGGTCACAGAAATTGTTCCTTTTGAGCTTCCCTTTTCAGCCTTTCTTTTTTTCCCGCTTTTCTGATATCAGTTTTCAGCCAATGCGATTGAGCCGAGGCTGCAATGTAGATGTGTTAGGCGTGGTGGTTCCAGTGGTACCCACCACCCGCTCGGCCGTGGATCGTCGGCATTCAATGACGATTACACTTGGAACATCCAGGTTCCCGGGTCATACCAAGTAAAGGCTCAGAACGAGGGCGTTAATGATTTAATAGGACATGGATCATGCTGTAGAATTGTATGTACATATAGGGTGCCTGGTAAATGGATGTGGAGATCAAGACAGAATTGAATGGAAAGCAAAGGGGAAAGCAAAGGGGAAAGCAAAGGGGAAAGCAAAGGGGAAAGGGAAGGCGGACAGGGGTTATCCTGATATATATAAACAGAGTACACAACGAGACGAAACGCGCAAGAAGATGATTAAGAGGTGTTGTGAAGGTGTTGTTGAGACTGTACACGGTACAACGGAAGGATGTTGAACCCAAACAAGTGAGATTCTATCTAACCATAATGAATTCAAGAATATACATGCACAAGATCAAGTCGTCTATTCATGGCAGCGAAGAAGGGTATTATGTAGGGGAAAAAAAACCTCACTGGAGACTGCTGCTCCGAGTACTTTCCTGTAGCTCCTTCTCAAACACATCAATGCCCCGAATCGGCGGGCGGAGACTCAAGAAACTCATCAAGAGTTCGTTAAATTGGAACTGTAAGTCCGGCGGCAGCTGCTTGTGCGCCTTGAGGAGTTCACCAGCCGCCCAGGCGCGTTCGGGATCCCGGAGGTCCGGGTCGCACCCTTGCTCAAGCAGCAACCACAAGAGGGTCTCGCAGGCGGGATGTCGATCGAGCTGATGGTGCTCAATTACCGCGCATATATAGGTTAAGAATCGCCCGGTCTTGGGGGGCGAATCCTTGAAGTCCCACAGCGCGGCGGTAATGTAGATGAGGGCGGCAGTCCGGCAGACCTCTTGGGTCGGCGCGTCGCGGACTACATACATGCGCGAGGCATGCGGTACCTGGGTGGGCCGCGGTCCGCTGGACAACAATGCGAACAGGGGGCGTTCCATTTGGAACGCTTCGAGTCGCTGAGGGGTGTGGATGTGATAGTCGGGGGAGCTGTGCTCCCGCATCAAGTCATGCGCCCCTCGGAGAAAAGTGACCAACCACTGCTGATTCGCAGGATCAGGGATAATACTCGGAGGTGGTGTGAGATACCGCATGTAATGAAGAAAAACCTCCACAGGAGTGTTTGAGCCGGTGCGCGGCCGCATGATACGCACGGCCTCTTCAAGATAACGTTGGGCGTCTTCGAGGCAGCCGAATCGCTGTTCTTGGAGAGCCATGCCCGCCATGGCCATTGCCAATTGATCTTCCTTCATTTTCACAGAACCTACCAATGCATCTTCAATGTTCTTTCGAGCCTGAGTGACATGCCGTTGGACATCTTTGCTGTCTGTGAGGCCATATAGCTGGGCTTTCCACCGCGCACAATATGCTAGGACGGTCGATTGAAATGATACGGGATGCTCCATAGCGGTTCGAAATATTTGGTTTTTGACGTAAGGATTCTGCCCAGACCAATATGTTAATTTGGTTGTCCAGTAGTCAACCAAATCCAAGTCTTCCGGGTCCTGCACCATGGGCAGACTGGAAAATGGGTCTTTTCGAGATGCATCAAGCATCGTCATTGGAGACTCCATGTGTGATAGCGCCGTGGTTGGTTGAAAAGGTGGTTTTGCGGTCGAAATTGCGCTGTGGTGCTAAAGGGGACAGTTAGCAGGGTTCATGTTTGATGTGCATACCAGGAGCCTCAACCGAGGCAATATCTAATCGAGATAGACGCTGGGTAAGAATGGAACCATACCGAGTAGTCTTGCCCGGCGGACGTTGGTCCTGGCGCGCTTGTTACTGCTGTCACCTTTCTGTTATCAGTGCCATACCCCGAGTCCTTCCTGGCCGGCCAGGTGGTGGAATCGGGGGGTAGATCGACCTGTAGGTTTCCATGAGAGAGTTTGCGCTGCTTCTTCTTCTCCTGCACATGATGTCGCATAACATGTGCCCGCTTTTCCTTTGATGACGAGGTTGAGTCGACAAAATAAAACGACTGGTTCTTTGGTTGGGGTTCGGCGTCAGCGGCGCGCCGCCGGCGCCGTGATTTCGCAGATTGAGAGACATCATTTGAAGGCCCTGTCAACATCAATGAGCATGAGCTACAACCAATTTCAAATATCGTGTGTGTGGATCATTGGCATACCTGGAACATCCGGCTCAGCTGGACCTTGGGGCGCATCGACCGGAGGGAGGAGCGACGGATTCACCAGCCGGTGCTCGTTTTCAGACATCGTCGGAACGAAGAGGAGCAAGGGTGCTTTCGACGCCAATTCAGCACCTCCTACAGCAACATACCGCACTGATGTTCGCCAATATTCCTCCAGCCAGTCACTCGAGAGTTGGGCGCAACCATCGCAGGTCTCTCGCAATGTGTAGGCAAGCCTCTCCAATAGGGCGATGAGGCCCAGGAGCAAAGAGAGGGGAGCAGAGGTTGATCCACGGAGAGTTCAAGAAAGGGTTATGAGGGAGGGGATGCTGGCGCTTAACTAGGCAGACGGCAAATTATGCTCTCAACCCGCAATGCAAGGTGAATGAGACGATCCCAATCGACGACAGCGGAAGAGCCGGCTCAGGAGGCGTGAAGTTCTCAAGGCCAGCTTCGAGTCTGCGCTGGAGAAAACAGAACCAGCATCACTTGGAGGAGGAGGGGTTGCAGTGCGTGCAGCTAGCACTGAATGTCTTTGAAGGAAAGCGAGGTGCATTGGTTGCATTTGGGAATTAGGTATTACCCGAACTGGCGAGAGCGTGGCAGAGCCCGGGGGGAAAGTGGGCCGCCCCATCCAGGCTTTTTGGTGTATGAGGATTGGACTGAGCTGCTTGAGTTGAGCTAGCGTACCAACAAGGCGGGCATTAGGATGAAGGGGGGCAAAGAGGGGGGAGGCAAATCCAGTGTCGACAGGGCGCTTCCCGAGCGCCTGACTGGTGGACCGGTTCCAAGTGGGAAGTCCCTAAACGACCTGCCCAGCTGGGAGTGATGGCCGGAGTTCGCTCGGGACCAGCTAGGAACTCGTCGATTAAGGGTGCCAGACCCCTGTGATCCGGTGTTCGGCATGACTGATCGATTCCGACCGCCGGGATCTGATCTCTCTACTGGACCATCTGAGCCATTCGCATGATTGGAAGATTAGAAGTTATCGGGTTGTTGGACCTTCGACCTTTCGACCTTTCGAGGTTGGCGCAGCCAAGGCAGGACCTGTGCCCTGATTGGGACTAGCGCCGCCGTGGCTGGCGGGCCTGCAGAGATTATGGAACGCTGACGATGCTGACATAACAGATCAAATCATCATGATATATCACATGACATCGACCATATAAGTGCTGAGTCAGAAACCACTTAACGCGTCCGATCACCGGAAAAACCACACGTCCGCCGACGCGTTTCGCGTCGCGTTCCCGCGAAAAAAGACCGTCCGACCGCCCCCCCTTGGACTCCATCTAGGCGAGATCGAGAGTGTGTGGCTCTCCATCTTCTGATTCTTGTTCCCCTCCCCGTTCCCCTCGACTTGGTATTCGTGAGAGCCCATTCTGTTTGTTGCGGCCTGACCCTCGGCCCCTCCGCTCTCTTACCATGTCTTCCCTTTTTGATGCTGTCCTCCAGTCCGAATTGGGCTCGGGGTCTGGCGCCCGTGACAATCTCACATCCGACCACCTGCCGAGCTCTCGCCGCTCAGAGAGCGACCATCCGACAAGCGACATCAATGTCTTTCCTGATGATCAAGTCGTCGGAGCCAGCACATCCGCCGTCAGTCGGCTACGGAATCCCTATGCCCCCGGCCCCGCGCCCCTGGTCGACGAAGGTGGAGAAAATGTGCGACGGTCTTTCGAGGACCTTCTTGAGACCTTTATGGAAGAGCCATCGTCATCCGCACCCCCCTCCTCCGGAGAAATGCTCAGCGACAAATACTATATTGCCCAGATCAAGGGCATGAAGAAATTCGAGCTATCTACGCTCTATGTTGACTTCAACCACCTGACCTCGTATGAGAACCCCGTGTTGGCCGATGCCATTGCACAGCAGTACTACCGATTTCTGCCCTTCCTGACCAAGGGCCTTCATAACCTGATCGCCAAGTATGAACCGGAATATTTTGTATCCCACCGATTGGCCTCCAGCGCATCCACACAACCCAGCAACTCGTTTGCATCCGCCTATGCGAGCGTGAACGACAACCCGGATCTGGAGCGTCACATTCGGGAGAAGACTCGCCATCAGCAGACAGATAAGCTCTTTGCTCTTGCTTTTTACAATCTACCGTTGGTTTCCCGACTCCGCCAGCTTCGCACAAACCAGATCGGCAAGCTGCTTTCAATCTCTGGAACCGTCACCCGAACCTCTGAAATCCGACCGGAGCTGTGGCTGGGAACTTTTATTTGCGAGGGTTGCAAGACAGTTGTCCAAAATGTGGAACAAACCTTCAAGTACACTGAGCCTACCGAATGCCCGAACGCAACCTGTGGTAACCGGAATGGCTGGCGGCTGGACATTGGAAAAAGTACCTTTGTTGATTGGCAAAAGGTCAAGCTCCAGGAATCATCTCACGAAATCCCAACCGGAAGCATGCCGCGCACCATGGATGTCATTCTCCGTGGTGAAATGGTCGATCGCGCCAAGGCTGGTGAACGCTGCATCTTCACTGGCACTTTGATCGTTGTTCCCGATGTCAGTCAGCTGGGTCTCCCCGGTGTACGCCCTGAGGCTGTTCGAGATAACAGTTCTTTCCGAGGAAGTGAAATCGGCGGCGGTGGAGTGTCTGGGCTGAAGGCACTAGGTGTCCGCGACCTGACCTACCGTTTGGCGTTCCTCGGCTGCATGGTGACCCCAGACACAACTACTCCTGGCCAGAAGCCGGAGCAGCAGCTTAGTGGTCAAGCAAACAACATTCTCGCGTCTTTGGGCCAGAACCTAGACCGCGAAATGGACGATGACAAGGCACAGGAGGCTTTCCTCAATAACTTGACTGCAACCGAAGTCGAAGATCTGAAGCGATTGGTGCACACAGAATATATCTACTCAAAACTGGTGCACTCGATTGCCCCAATGACCTGGGGTCACGAGCAGATTAAGAAGGGTCTGCTCTTGCAATTGATTGGCGGTGTCCCCAAAACTACTCAGCAGGAAAGCCTGCAGCTACGTGGTGACATTAATGTTTGCATCGTAGGCGATCCGTCAACCAGCAAGAGTCAATTCTTGAAGTAAGTTACACTACACTTCAATTTATCAAATTCCTTCGAATCAACTTGCTAACATGGGAAACCAGGTACATTTGCTCTCTCCATCCTCGCGCAGTCTATACCAGTGGTAAAGCTTCATCCGCTGCTGGTTTGACGGCGTCTGTTGTCAAAGATTCCGAAACTGGAGAGTTTACTATCGAAGCCGGTGCGCTGATGCTCGCGGTATGTGTTATCGAATTCATTCTGCCTCAATATTAGTCACTAATAATGTGATAATCTAGAACGGAGGTGGTATTTGCGCCATTGATGAATTCGACAAGATGGACATCGCCGACCAAGTCGCCATCCACGAAGCTATGGAACAACAAACCATTTCCATCGCCAAGGCCGGCATCCACACGACTCTCAACGCCCGCGCCTCTATTCTCGCCGCAGCCAACCCCATTGGCGGCCGATACAACCCGAAGCTGACACTGCGTCAGAACCTCAATTTCAGCGCACCCATCATGAGTCGATTCGATGTATTTTTCGTCATCCGCGACGAGCCTCGCGAAGACGCGGACAGAAAATTGGCCAAGCACATTGTCGACGTGCACATGAACCGCGACAAGGCCATCGACCCCCCTCTGACCACGGAACAGCTGCAGCGATACATCCAGTTCGCGCGCACATTCCGCCCCATTTTCACTGAGGAGGCCAAGGCCCTGCTTGTCCAGCGATACAAGGAGCTTCGTGCCAACGACACGCAAGGCGTGGGACGCAACTCATTCCGTATTACCGTGCGTCAGCTCGAATCTATGATCCGATTATCCGAGGCCGTCGCCAAGGCGAACTGTGTCGAGGAGATCAGCGAGGAATTCGTCGACGAGGCGTACGATCTGCTCCGCCAGAGCATCGTGACCGTCCAAAAGGACGACGTTGAGTTTGACGATGAGCCGGCCCGTAAACTGGACGAAGACCATGAGATGGCCGACCGGGATCGCGATGGCGACAGCCCCATGCGTGAGGAACCGGATGATGAGCAGCAGCAGCAGCCGACACGCGTGAAGACCAAGATCACTTATGAGAAGTACGCCACGATCCTGAACTATGTTGTGCAGCGCATCCGCGAGGACGAAGTCAACCAGGGCGAGGGTGTCGAGCACGAGGACTTGATCGTCTGGTACCTGGAGCAGATTGAGGACCAGATGGGTGGCGAGGAGGACATGCTTCGCGAGCGTGACCTGTGCGCCAAGGTCATCAAGCGCATGGTCAAGGAGCGCATCGTCCTGCGGATCGCGTCGAGTCTTGACGAGGATGCGGCAACACAGGCGACTGATGCTGGCGAGAAGGTTCTCTACGTGCTGCATCCGAACGTCGCATTCGAGGATCTGTAGTAAGGTTTCTACGGTATGATGTGAGCTCCAGCTGGGGCTGGTAGAGGGAGGAGAGGTTTATCTTTTGTTTCTGCGATTCGGTGCTTGCTTAGCATTTTCAGGATGGATTTCATGGAGCATGGGGTTATGAGTGATGATATCCGTTTTGTTTTCTTTACACCTGCGGCTACTTATGGGACGGTACTATTCTGAACAGGAAATGTATTCTTTCCGACTTTCACCAGCATCTTGTCGTGTATATTGTCCACTGTTATCAATAATAAGTCTTGAGTGTGTGGCGCTGGACATATGATAACCCTTTTTAAGCCAGCTGATCTCAACTCAACTCCACGTCCCATTCGCAGGCCCGAAATAACCAACCTCGGGCATCGCTTTGTAGGCGACGCCCTGGCCATCCGCCGTGTTCAAATACACAGTATTGCCCCACCAATCAGGGAAGGTGGCTCCAGGGTATGAAATGCAGAAGAAGATGACAATGCCGCTGAGTGCGAGGCCCGTATCCAGCGCGGCAGCCAAGACGTAGTTATACTTCGTCCACCAGGCGAAGAAACGACGCTTCAAGATATGGTTGAAGATGAAGTTGACCAATGCCCAGCTGGAATAGTTGATGCCGGTTGCTAGGAAGAACATGGGAAATTAGCGTTGGAGGAGCAAGCATGGAAAGCTGGGACACGTACCAGGAGGAACATTATACGTCCCCACAAAGATGAGGGGCCAGTTGATTAGCTTCCAAAACCGCTGCCTGGTATACCGGTACAGCAGCCAGGTCACCACTGGAGCTACAGCGCCAATCCAGAAGAAATGCAACAGACCGGAATAGATCTGGCCCACCGAGTAGAGCCGCCGCGGCCCGACGAGACCCCAAATTACAGATGAAGAGTAGACAGTTCGGCCATTGGGACAAGTAAACCCATCTGACTGGTCAGACTGACAGATGTCATCGATGTTGCCCAGCATCCACAGCGTGACACCAGCTTGAGTGAGAGCACCAAGGATTGTCGCCAGGCCCTGGGCGATAAAGGTTGTGCGTGGCGGCACTTTCAAATAGTGCGCAAGTTTCATGTCCATGGCAAAATAGACGCCCTGGCCAACGACGTCGGTGGACAGGATTTTGAAGATCATGTTTGCCAGCGGCTTGCCTTCGAAGAGATATCCCCCTATGAACTCGGACAGCACATTAAGCTGATTTGCATCGACATTGGTAATGCCCTGCACAATGCCGCAGGGTATCATATAGAGGGCGGGGATGATGAGGCCCAAAAAGACGCCATAAACAGGTAGCTTGGTTTGGTAGACCTCCACCATTGCGATGGCCATGGCCATAATGACGACGATAATAGCAGCATACCAGTACCATGGGGTTTTGCGGTAGGAGGCTCGGACAAGCCGTGCGTGGATATCGAGTCTATTGCGGCCTTTCATCGCAGCCCAGAGGTCGCTGGCATGCCAGATTCCGATGTGCGTGAGTACAGAAGTGATGGAGGCGAAAGAGAGGCCGTATACAAACGCGAACGTGGCGCCCAGGTATGGCGGCGAATACTTGCGATATGCAGCGACATCGAGGGTATTGTCTGCCGCGATGACTCGCGCCGTGTCAAAGACCGCCCCTGTGTTGTCGTATACATCGCTGGTCATGAGGGGGAGATAAGCCGTGAACCAGATATTCTTGTAGTATAGGATCGGGACGATGATCCAGTAGAAAAATGCAAAGCCGAGAAAGACGTTGATCGCTGCCCACGACGGTGACAAGAGCGGGTTTGTATTGTAAGCTATCTGGCTCCAGTCAAAAGTAATTGGGCTAAGCCCCAGGCCAGTTTGCATTCCGAATAGCTGATTGACAACCACGTTCTTCGGCACGATCCAGCAGACCCACGTGAAATATGAGAGAGCCGTAAACATCAAGCCCGGGAAGAAGTACCAAACGAATGCACCGGCCATGACGTACATGAAGAATCGCAGACGCGAGATACGCCAGCCATTGGCAATCGAATTTGCTCGGGAGTGCAAGGTTTCCAACATAGCGCAATTGGATAACACACCAGGCCAGATGATCCGGGCAGGCTCCACTAGCCATGGCGCCGATAACCCGGCCACGCCAAATCCCAGTAGCTGGGCGCACAGCACGATCATCACATAGAAGCCGGGTTTGAGCTTGAAGTTGTAGAATGAAGGGCTGGCGGCCTGGATGATGTTTGTGGCATCGGCAGTCGCAAAGCCAAAAGATACATTGCTCATAATCACGATGAGCGCATGTTCCTTGATATTGAAGTGCCGGTCTGGATTGATCACGAAGCTTCCCAAGGCCCCAAGGCGGATGGACTTTAACGGCAGGGTTTTTGCAAGGAAAACCCCAAGTGGATAAGCCAGTAATTCTGCGACCAGCGCAACAATGTGCACAGATGGATATCGCAGCGAGAAAAATTGATTAATGCCAGACCCGAGGATAGTAAACACTATGCCCAGCACCCACATCCGGACAGTGTTGACCGGCATGGTAGGGTCGTCGGTCTCGGGCACGACTGCTCGCACTGATTTTTGCCATCAGTGTCAGTATTTCTAAGTGATTTCTGCAAAGTTGAAGTCTAGGCAATGCCTGAGAAACAGAATAAAATCTCAGATGTGTACAACTCACCTTCTGGAAAAGGAGAGCGATTAGATTCGTAACTAAACTCCTCATTTGTGTTCTCGACATCGTCCACCTCCACTTCGATCTTGTCCGTACTGCCTTCCCCTATTTCCTCATCGGCCCGGACAAGCGCTGGCTTCAAGCTCTCTGCATTCATCTCCTTGGCTTCCATGATTGATGCTGCCATGTCTAGATATCTCCAGATCTTGGAAATGAAGGAGCGAGATGAGGATAATTCAGGCAATTCCCCAAAACTCGCCGTGCAGAGCCCGTGAAACTCGGCAAGGTCACACTTGCCCTTGCGTGCCGGCGCATTCTTTTAACGCGTGGTGTCCATGCCATTGCCAGGATCTAGTGCGAGTCACAACGCGGGGAAGCATAGAGATAAGGCCACGAGGAGACGAGAAGACGCCCGACAAAAGTGGAGTTGGCGAGCTTAGCTCGAGATAGGCAGGTCGAACCCCGCTTTTCAGATGCTTTGCGGCACGAATGTTTCATGGCGAATGTGATAAAGAAACACTGTTTTTTTCTTATCTGTCTCTGTAGACCCTCTGGTATATACTCCAAGCAGCAGAACGTGTAGGGGGAAAGCATGCTTTAAGGGCTGAGCTGAATGCAAGTGCTTCGTACAGATTAAAGTGGACAGAATGATAAGCATAAACTCTCCCGCATCCACAATCTCCCGTAGCCTTGTAACCTCGTTATCAGGAACCACGGGACAGAAGCCAGCTACTACATTTGCCGACCGATAACGTGATATGCTAGAGAATAACTTAGAGGCAGTTATCCTGAGGTTCCGAAACCGAGCAGGTACCTACGAGGTACTTCGAACTGCTCAACAGGTGTGATAAGGGCCGCCTAAGGCTCTCTCCAAGGCTCTCGCTTTCGGGCTACAACGGGGCCAAGTCCAAACCAGCCCAACGAACAAAGAAAAACATCAAACAAGCCTCCTGGTGTTGGCCAATCTCACACCGGCCCCAGAATCGGGGGAGACGTGTAGGAAGGACTGGCAAACTGGCATACGCAAAATTCAACATGTAACAAGAATCGAGGGTTTGACCGCTAGACTTCTATTTAGCCGACGGGCCAACACCCGCCGGAATCTCCAGAGAAGTAATCAAGTAATCGGGATCTGCCTGGCCCAGTTCCCCCTAGAATTAATCCATGTCGCTCTTGCGCCGCCAGTCGCAAACTTCTACAAGCCGACCAGAGTCTAGGTCCGCCATCGGATATTGATGCCCCTGTATCCCCTGGACCATCCATTCATAGCCGGGTAATAGGACAAGGAATCTCATCCAGTTCATGCCGGATCGACTAACCCCTAGGGCCCTGTGCAGCAGCCACGGAAACTAGAAGGGGGGGGGGGGCAAACTATCGGCTGTGATCGATGCATCTGCCCGAAGCAGGCACAATCAAATTGCCCGGGAGGGCGAGAGACAGCATCTACGGGCCCGTTGGGGCTGCACGGAATGCTGCACAAATTCAAGGTCGGAAGCCAGCGATCGAGATCAGCCGGCTCAGTTGTCGAGACGAGGAAAAAGGGAAGGATCAAAGAAATCTCGGCGAAGCCGCGCCGTCCGCTCAAATGGGAATTCGCGGCCGCTGGCAGCACGCCGGGCTCGCACATGCTGAAGGCATTGGATAGTGCATCGAAACTTTCGAGAAGCGAACAGGGCGAATAATGAAATAAAGGGTTACCCAGCAGAATTCTAGGAGATCAGAGCGACCGGCAGGTCTTTTCTTTTGGTTGTTGTTTTGGCTCTGCGCGTACAGATTTGAAGGGATATCGAATGATCGGTGTTTCCTTGTTGGCATACGCAGCCAAGGCGGTTCGCTGGGGGATGGGGGCATGAGCGTCCAAAATCCAGGAAATTGAAGTGTAGTATGTAGCTCAGGGGATATTCTCCGACCAACCGCCAACGCGAACACGCCCACAACCGGTGATGGCGCTGGGTATTCCTTCTGTTGGCGTTGGTGATAGTCCAACTAACCGCACTATCACAAGCAAGGTGCCCGGGGGAAAACAGTGAAGGAGAACAAAGCCATCGTGCTCCAATCGCTACCGTCAACACCGTCTTCCCCGGGGCTCCTCGTAATGATTGCTGAATGACTGGGATCTTCGATGACCAATCTCGGTGCTTTTGGTGATTATAGAGGGATCTGAGGTCAGCTTGCCTTGCGACTGTGCCATTTTCCTTTTCCTTTTCCTAGCCTCCGTGCTTTGCACCCTTTGACTATTCGCTGCTATCCGCAACCTGTCTCGAACCTAATCCAGCCAGAATGCCCGTGCCATGAATCAGGTTAATCAGGGGGAAAGGGAAAAGGTAACCGGGCGCCCCGTGTTTGTTATGGATTCCCGATCAAGCCCATCTGGCTTCTTTCGTGACGCGTATCAAATGAGAACTATTAGATTTCGCGGTGAAGAGAAGGGAGAGCGGGCCCCCATCGATCGCTGCGGGCGTGACCGTGCGGAGCGCGCGGGTTGCACTCCCCGGGCTTTTTGGGTTACTCATTCTGCAAAAGAGACAGAGCGCTTGTGCGATCTCAGATTCTGATGGGCTGCACTGCTGTGCAGCCTCCTATGTCACATTCTCCCGAGTGGGTCAATCCGGCATCTGAGCGCCCTTGTTGGTATTCCCCCACGGGGTTACTAGGATCCCATAGTTCAGCCGGTCCCTTCGGTGGTACTACTTTAGTGTTGAGAAGGATGGAACGGACAGGGTCTCAGCATGGTAGACTTTGACGACATAGAAAGCATCCCTGACTCAGAACCATCAGACCCTCCAAAAGTCCCAAAGTCTGCTTGGGGGAGACGGTCTGCACCGATCTAGATCCGTGCAGCTGTGGCAAACCTGGCACTGGGGTGGCTGCGATATGTCAGGCGGTGGGATTTGGAAGAGGCGCCGGGGAGTCGGGAAGACTGTCGATCTCCGTGCTGCCGATGCCATTGGATGTGATCCTTTCTGCAGAAGAGGCTGGGGCTGGGGGAGCTTGGGGGGGGAGCTCTCGCCTCTCGCGGGGAATTGGTTGGGTGTCGACTACTGGACGGCTCGGACGAGCAACCGGACTCTAGATGCTGTGTCCAACCTCCCCGGGCATTTTGGATGGTGGGCCCAGCATAGCTAGGAGTGTCCTTGCGTTTCACGATGTGGTTCAGAGATCTTGCATCGCAGGTGCAGATGTGGATGCAGGGAACTCCTGGTTGGGACGACAGGATCAGTCGGTAGGACACTGCTAACCCTCATCGACAGTCCATTCCAGGATGGCAACACACCAAAAGCATTCTGCATTCTGGTTTGCTGGTCCGTTTCGCCTCTCAGGCCGATCGAGTGGTGATCCTGTTGTGTTTGTTCATCCAGTATAGCTAGTGGACGACGGAGAGAGGAGATAGATCCTCTTGATTCCACCAACAAACTCCAAGCCCCCAACCCCTAGTTATCCCCAGCCGGTATGGTGCATCGTTTGCATCTACTCGAGGATCTACAATTCGAGGCTGCTCGGCGGCAGGTAGTCGACGGGCAGTCCCAACGCAGCCCAGCGTACACAGTCCATTACCCTCCCTACATGGGAACCGAGGGACCATGTGTCGTCAACTGCTCGCCTTGATCGAGTACTCCTAGGACCAATCCGGACAAAAATCCGACATGCCCCTTTGGTGAAATGAAATCGTCCTTCAGAACCCACCCGCCTCCTTCAGGACCTCCGAAATGTCCACCTCCCGAGGCCCGACTCGGGAGATCTCCACTGTACTCAATTACCCAGGACGATGGTAACAGGGACGAGACTAGAAGAGCTAGAAAGAACTAATGAAACACCGAGGACCTCGCGAAAAGGGGGCCAGACGGGCGGAGAGCCCCACGAGCCCGACGCGCTGATCGATGATAGACCGCGGCCCGTCCCAACTGAACCAGACTTTCACCTGGTCCAAGAGCTTTGTAGTAATGAACCATCATGCTCAGTTCGCTTGTAGGAAGTGACAGCAGAACCATCGATGCAGTACCAAAAGTCCCGAGGAACCTGTCAAATGGACATGAAGAATGCCACTGTCGTCAGTGTGCCTTTGGCTGTCGATAGCCAATGCGACGTATCATGTATCACTTCCTCTTCCTCACAAATCTCACAGTCCTCCCCTCTCCCCTTTTTTTTGCTTGTTAGGATCCTGTATTCCCCGTTCCCCGGCGGGCCGCGCAGCGGGCGCAAGTACGAATTATGGAGCATCTGTCGCGAAGTAATGATATCCTGGGCCCCGGGTCACGGACATGTGCAACTCGATGCCTCGCATTCCAGCCATCTGGTCGCAAGTTCGACATGTCGGATTGGGACGATGATCATCGACGGAAAAAGGGGGGGGGAGGGAACCCAGCGATGAAGGTCACCCAGGGTGGCGGGTTTGGAGTCTCCACTTAGTGGGCCCGGGGAAAACAGCTGGGAATGCCGCCGCGACGCTAAAGGCGTTCATCTGCTCCTCATCGAGCAGCAAGTCTCCGGTGGGTTCGATGTGTCGAGAAAGCGCGGTGAAACAAAGTACCGGACAGTGTTGTAGGGTTATCGAGTCGTAGGTACTAGACTCTGTACAAAGGGAATGGATGTGTTTTTGGGAAGTTCCGGGATATGCGACCGTCATCTCAACTCCTTTGACCTGTTTATATTTTTGTTTTGTTCTATTTCTTTTTCATGGGGACACGAGAGGATCGATAGATCGATTAATTTTTGCGTCGAGGCGTGTTTTCCTCTGTGTGAATGACTCGAGGTTGCGATGAAGGCCTAGGCTCCCATAGCGGGATGGGCTAGACTCCGTGTCGCTTTCCCTCCCCCACCCCCGGTGCTCCCCGGTGTTCCCAATGAAACCGGAGAAGAGAACGCCAGAGCACGATGAAACAAAGAGAGTGGCGAGTCCACGCGGTCTCGTTGGTGGATTTTGCAGTGGACGGGGAGAATTGGGCGAGCGGTGATTCGCGCGAAAACCCGGGGCGTCCCGGCGAACGGAGGTTATTGGTAGTCGCGGGGAAACGGCTATGGACCACGGCTCAGTCTCTTTCCTGTGTTGAAAGCTATTTCCTGAAGCTGTTTGACCAGGTGACTGATGTTCTCATTTTTGTGTCGAGTTCCCGGCTGGGCATGCGATGGCGGTGGCCACTGTATAGATCGATCCGCAGGACCAGTGGACTCAAACAAAGCAGAGCCCTACATACCGAACGAGGCAGTAGTCCTCCAAAGGTCCTGAACTATAACACGCCGTGCAAACCCCAAGCATCCAGCGTCCAGCGGTTCCGGCTCAATGCTCTGCCCCTCCGACCGCTCCTTTCTCCAGTGGAGACGGGGAGGCTTCCGGGACAGCGGGAACCGTTAGCCAATTTTTCAGTCACAAGCACCCTCGTCCAATCAGACGGGATAGATGAAACCAGTGTAGTCCATTTTGTCCCGTTCTTCATTTTCGGGGGCCACGATGTCCCGAACTAAGAGGGTAGGTCACTCCGGTGGCCCGCAACGGACCCGGCCGTTCTTTTAGTTACCCTTATGGCCGCGGTCTAGGGGCTTTCGCCATGTTCCAGACGGTGGTTCGGAAGTGACTGGCGGGCCCGTAAATGAATTCTCCACGGGGGGTTTGGGATGAAAAGGACCCGACACGGAGGAATGGTGGAGATGATGGTGGAAAGAACTCGCCCCAAGGATCGGACGGGATCAAAGGCTCATGGCCTCGACCCTATCCAGGCTTGAAAAGAAACAGGAGGGCCTTCATTCCCGCGGCCGCTGGAATTTCTTTTCTTGCATCAGGACAAACTCCATCACAAACCCCCCGTATTGTGATTCATATCTACCTAGCTTCCGAGCTTCCTAGCATCCGCGGCTTGAGCCACAATCGAAGTATACGACCCAACCCTCGGAAAAAGACAAACAACCCAACATTCAAGAATCGGTGTTGACGTGTTAACGGGTTGATCTTGCTCCTTCAATTTTTTCCAACCTGGCAAGTTGACCGCCAGACGCCATCGACGATCAAACATCGCGGTGTTCGAGCGGCGTTGTTGTTTGGGCGCTTCCCTACAGGAGTTCCAATCGACACTACTGCACGATCCTCTTCCATTTTCCCACCAGAAGTACCGTGGCCAGAGGACCCCCCCGGCTTCAGGTACAGACACATACACCCCTTCCATCTCCGACATCTGCGGCGACGGGTCTCCGTCTAAACCGGGCCGGAATCTGCAGCCCTTCCCGCCAACAGCCTGCTTCTTCACCCCTCTCTCTTCCAGCGGTGAAAATTTGGCGTCCGGCGATTGGGGGATTTTCATCGAGGCTGGTGAAGACACCGCCAGAGACAATCTGATTTTTTTCCGGACCAGATCTTCCCCGCTGCAGCCTGTTGGGCCGCCCTGGAGATTTTTGACCGCAAGGGGGTGTGGCCAAGGGGCGTATATCGGAGTACATCATAGTTCCTTAGTACTTTGGTACTTGGATTCTACCTCCGCTCTGACTCCCGCAACATTCCTCGGGGATCAATCCTAAGACATCCCCATCGTTGGATCTGACTGGACCGTCTGATTACGACTGTCATCGGTGTCGCTGGTGTTTGCAAGTCCCCCAACATTTGAGCCCCGAGCGCTCTCGACCCCGGAAATCCAACCAACCCAATCTCCGCCTCCGCGTCCTCTCATAATATCATTAGGTATTATTGAGACTCCGGAGTACTCCGGATATCGGGTTCTTAGGGAATCCTAGCGTGTTGGTCCTGTCAGAAAAAATAAAAAAATTAAAAAAAAGGCAAATAACCTACGCGCGAGAAATAGTGATCCGATCTTCCCCGCGGACGGCGCGCAACCCGCAAAACTGATACATCCAGGGCTTTTTAGGGCGGCTGTCAAATATTCCCGTCCTTCGGGCCTTCTGTTTTTCTTTTCTTTTTGGGCTGGATTTATTGCTCTGCTTTTTAACCGTGGCCCCATCCGATTTGCTGATCCGTGGCTGCTGATTGACGGATCGCCTACCTCAACTGCACGGAAGCCGCTTCCGCCTGAATTGTCGGACCGGGGGCTTGTCGATTAAATTCGATAATATTCGATTAAATCGATTAAATCGATTTTCCGAAAATCCCCAAAATCCCAAACGGGATTTATTATTATTTTCGTCCATTTTTGGGTCTCAGTTGGGAACCTGCAAGGGTGCGGCGGCAAGTCTAGAAGCCCTTCCCCGGCTTTGAGATGATCGATGTTCACACCGTCTCTTGATAAAACACCCGGCTCATCTTCACCTCCTCGCCCTCTCACCTTCTCATTATCCTACCTTCTTACCTGTCACCCTTCATTCTCTTCTTATACTCACCCCCCCCCCCTCTGATCTTCCTCAACGATCATCACTACTCACTCCTCATCATCACCTCCCACATCGCCCGCGATCTACTCACTCTCTATCTCTAATCACCCTTCTCAACACCACCACAATGATTCCAATCCAGTCGCGTATACGCGACATGGCGCTCGCCAAATCCTCCACACTTGCTCCCGTCGCCAGTACGGACCCTGCACTGGTCTCCTTCACCTTCAGCGGCAGCTCTTTCTCATGCTCACCACTGTCAAACCCGTCCGCGCCGCCACCCACGCCTACAGACTCTCTTCTTGATATCCACCCGCGCAAGTCATCTTTTGCCAGCGAGTATGGGATGGGTGCCGCCTGTGCCTTCCCCTCCTGGCCTAACCGTCCGTCCTTGTCCAGCGCTGACTCGGCCGACTCCTTCACCAACGCCTACCTTTCCGACGAGGACCTGCTCTGGATGCCCGAGAACGCGGGCACCGCTCCCGATGCTCTTCCGGAGATGGCCACGGAAGACGGGCCCGTCCTTGCCTCAATGACCATGGAGCAGCAACTGGCGCGCATGCGGGCCGTCGCCGAGGAAGAAGACCGTCTTCGTTTCCTGGCCAAAGTTGAGGCCCATGCACGTGCAACCCAGGCCATCCGACAAGCCCAACAGGCTATTGTCAACGGACGCGATAGCTCCAAGCGCAAGAAGCGTCGCGTTGTGCCGTGCCCAAAGCGACGCGCCCACTCGTCATCGGCCAAGGTGCCAACCGTGGCGCACTGCACCTGAAAGCTGCCCCCATCAAATGATGTACATGTACAAGTGTACATGGCGCAGCGCAGGCGCTGTCCGAGTCACATTTTTCCTGCCCCTTGTTTCACTTCTGCTATTTTGCTCTTATGCCAATAGCTTCATGACTTCCTCCCAAGGCTCCTCTCCCAACAAGCCCCCACGGCCCCTCCACTGCGACGCAAGAGTGGTGGGGGGGGGGGGGGCGACCCCGTCGGAGGCCCCCGTTTCTCATTATCGTCACCCGTGATATCCGCGCCCAGTATGCGAATCAGATGACGGGACTCGGGCAGCTGCGAGATCGCACGACCGTCAGCAGCGCCGATCATGGGCCAGCGGAAGGCTGGCTTTGGCTCGCACAAAATGACGCCAGAGCAGTTCCGCCTTATCTCGGGGATCTCCACACGCCTTAAAGCCCCCCGCGCTTACCTAATTTTTCGCTGTCGGCGCTTCCAGAATATCCCCCTCGGGTACCCCGTTGTTCCTTGAAGCATCGATGTACTCGATGTACTCCGTACTTCCTCTCGTTCACACCGCTTGTTGGGGGCCTCTCGTTGGCCTTCACCTTTGACTCATCTTCCAAATCCCTCCGAACACGCTCGTGCTGGCCACACGTTCTCGCATGGAGTTGCAGCGCCCTGTTTTTTTTGTTTTTCTTTATCATTATTGATTTTTCATTTTTCGCCTGGTCTTCTGACTATTGCATCCCGACGCGGACCCGGTGTTTTTTTTTTCCCTTATTATTGCCCCGTTCTAGCGTGTCCTTCCTGCTCTGATACCCCCGCCACTTACCAATACCCCATCATGTATACCTCCTGATTTTTTTCGTTCCGATATCGCCTTTCTCCACGGAGACTCCTTCGTCTCTTTCTTTTCTTTTTTAACCCGATTCCGCGCTCCGCGCAATCTGTGATTCCCACGCCATCCCGAAGCGCCACATGCCGACTCTGAAATCCCCTTTGACCGTCGGTGTGTGTTCGTGAGGTGATCGCTGGTCGCGTTGGTCCTCCATGTACCCTCTCGTTGGGCACACAGTGCCCTCTTCGGTCAGCCTCGAGCATTTTTAGGTAGACTAGCTTATGACCTTGCACATTCAAGCCTATCCAGTCTGGAATTAATATTATTTTTAACCCCCGAAAAACCGATCCTTTTTTTTTCCACTTCCTCCGATCCCGTATGTCCATGTAAATCTAGTAGCCTCTTTCTTCTCTTCTTTTCTTGGACCCATCCAGCACAGCCCGTGTAGATCTTCCCCCTCCCTCACCAAACACGGTCGCCCGGGGGCCACTGCGCCGCGGTCCGCGATCAAAACGGATACTTCCCGAGTCTGGCAGGTTCTCAGCCCTGCTCGCCTCGTTTTTCTCGCCGGCCCCTTGCCATTATCGCGTTTCTTCAGCCCGTACATGATAACTCGCGCCGGGGACTGTGGGCCCTGCAGCACACTGCAACGGTGAGATTCCGACGGCGCAACACGATTAGTCACCCGCTCGTGTCCGTGTCTAGAGTAACTATACCAGCATTATCAATCATCGCAGGATGTAACTGTGAAAGACCCGGGGAGGGGCGATAAAACGACGTTGCTCAGTTCTGACGTGGACCTGGCCGCCTCATCGCAAGAAATGACTAATTGCGCTATGTTGCTAGTATTGGCGGTAGGAGGTAGTTTACATGCCTCCTTCTTCGGCGATTTGATGCTCTCGCCTGCCGGCTTAGTCCGGACGCGGAACGATTGAGGGGCCAAGTCGGGGCGAGTCGCACACGAGGTAGATTCGCGGAACAACCAAGTAAAGACAAGGCATACAAGGTCCTTGTGGTGGTGCATGCGGTCGGTGGAAACAGGGGAGGATGCGCGCCATGCAGCGCGGGAAATGGGACTGGTGTCAGATTCTTACGAACGCGTCCGGGGTATACCACTCGCCAGGGGGCCCTACTTTTAGGAACTGTCTCAAACATCCAAAAGTGGCCGTCAGGGTTCCCGCAACGCTTTTTTGGGGGGGGGGGGGTTGTAGTTTTCGTGATTGCGTGGGTCAGCCACCCTCGGGCTGGGGCTCGGGCTTGGGTCTTGTTGCCTGTTGGTTCGAGTGGGAACTAACTATCGGCATGTTGATATACTTGGCCCCCTGGATGCCAGGCGATATTGGACGTGGATCTGAGACAGCAGAGCATTCAATGCGCAAACAGCATGACAGAGTCATTGTCTGCCTATGTCCCTTTTGTTTCTAGTGGCTAATCTTGCTCTAGTCGACTATCAACTCGATTCGGTTATATGTGTTGAAACCAGGTCTGATGTACTGAGTTGCTATTATTAGACCTAGTATCCAAGACTTCCCTCTTAACAATCATGGCCAGAAGAAACCGGTCTCACAAATCTATTGAGAGTTTTCCTCCGCGTCTTTGACCAATTCGCCCGCCACCAATGCATTCCAAAGCAGAGGAAATTCAAGAAACCGGAATACCTTCTCTAGCTGGAACTGGGAGATGACGCCCTTAACCCTAGCCCCTGCTTCTACAAGCATCTGCGCAATTCGCAGTCTCTCATCACTCAGCTCCTTGCCTTGGCGACAGTAAAAGGTACCCGTGTCCAATGCCAGATGGAGCGCGGTGGGCCCATGACTGGGTACAAAGTAAACCATGTTCTGGCTCGCCCCCGTATCTGCATGAATGTCGACGCCGTGTCCGAGCAGGATCTCAACGATGTCCGCATGGCCGCCCATAGTGGCAAGATGAAGGGGCTGGCTTGTCCACCTATTACCTTGGTAGAGACCGGAGGGCTTAGCATTGGAGTCGTTCCAGCCTTTGGTGCAGCTGTGGACGTCTGCTCCAGCTGTAATCAATGCACGAACGATGTCGATATGCCCCCGAAAACAGGCGATGTGGAGTGGGTGCCAGCCGTAAGAGTCGCTGGCCTCTAGGTCAACTTTGTGTTGGAGCAGGAGGGACGCGAGTTCGTAGTTTCCACGCTCCGCGGCCAGGTAGAGCGCGGGGACATTGCCTTGGTGTCTTCGGTTGACTATGTAATTTGGGTCCACCCCGTGCTTGAGCAGGATCGAGACCATGGGGAGATTGCGATGGAGAAAGGCAATATCGATGAAATTGTGTCCATCTTTGTCGAGTAAGCTAGATAAGATCTTAGGGAGGTCTGGAGTCTCGGTAGAATCTATAACCGAGACTGTCGAGCTTCCCGATGACAGGAGTATATCCAAGGCATTGGTTTGTTGTGCGAATCCCGCGCAATGCAGTGCAAGCCAGCCTTGGCTATCTGCAATATCGGTTCTAGCATTGTGGGATACCAATGCTTCTATGAGCCGGGCGTTTCCTTGCTCTGCAGCAAGGTGTAGTAGGGTGCGACCTTGGCTGTTGGTGCTGTTTAAAATACCAGCCTCTTGTAGATAGAGGCACATAGGGGAAAGAGGTTCCTCCATGCCTGGTTTTTGACCCAGGCAAGTGAACCATTGAGATCCATTTGCGTGCCTGATAGCGTGGTCCCAGATAAAGGAGAGATCCTCTGGCTCCCCAAATACGGCTGTGGCTCGGATAGAGTCGAAGTGTTTCGTGCACGTGGCAAACGGGTCCGCACCCAAGTCAAGGAGATCCTGAAGAACCCTGCGTGATCTTTTATGAGTGGCAGCGTGAAGTAAAGCGGTTGTCCCATTCATCTCCGTGTCAGGGGTCTCGAAAAAGTTGACATCAATTCCAGCGCGGACGAGGACCATGAGAATATGCTTGAATTTGACGTAGAGGTTCACGGCGTCGGCGGCATTCTGGTCCATGTCGCGGGAATTGAAAGACTTGACAAGTGCCAAGACCGAGCCTGTGGAAGGCATAAGTCCCTGGCCAAGAAGCATATCGACTATCTCGGGCTCAATTGCCTCGATTGCTTGGTCAAGAATGATGGTCGCCTCCAAATCATGTCTGGAAGGGGCCCTCGCACCAAGGTCCGACAGTATGCGAGCTATCCTCCATCGATTCGCTAGCAACGCTGACATGATTGGTGTTCGCAGTTCATCATGTTCCTCCTCGTGAGAGATAACATTTTTTCGCCGTATGACTCGTACTAAAACAGGAGGTTGCTTTTTTGATTCGATATCGGAAGACTTCGAGACCTCCGTCAAACCTACTGGTCTGGTAACAGGATAATTGAGAATATCTTGTTGTGGGACAGAGCAATTGCCAAATGATAGAAGACGAGTGATCTTTTCTAAATCCTCTGTCTTGTGCACTTGTTCATCGCACCTTGCGAGATATTGCAAGGGAGTACGCCCTTCTCTGTCAACTGAATCAATCAAAGATCCTGACTTAATTAGCAGTTCAATGAGTTCCAGATCAGGCTTCAACGCCACGTAATGCAAAACTGTCATTCCAGATGAATCTGTCAAGGTAGGATCTGCGCCTTCAGCTAGCAGGAGCCGAACGAGTTCGATTGCAGTTTCCTGAGGCAGCTGTCCATTTATCCCAGCTATCTTCTGCACGAACTGCTTTCTCAGAATAAATTTAAACCCACAAGCTAGCATCAGAGATGTAGCCCCGTTATGGCTCGGCCTAACCCGGTATCCTTTTGTTTGAAAATCGGAATCCATAAAGGAATTCATGCATTTATTGTGGCGTGGACAGAGACCATGGTTCACGTCTGCGCCACCCTCAATAAGAGCAGTAGCTGTATCAGCAAACCCATTCAGGAAGGCTTCGTTCAGAGCTGTTCGCCCAAAGAGATTGACGACATTTGGATCTGCGCCGCCTTCTAATAATATCGTCACGTAGCGAGAGTCCTTGCGGAACGATGCCATATGTAAAGCATGGCAGTAGTTGACATCTGCACCTGCTCTGACCAACATTTGCGCAACTATAAATTGTTCGTCTTGAATCGCGTGGTGCAAAAGGGTGGATTTCCATTTTTGAGGGTCGTCTTGGACTTCTTTCGGGTTAGACGTGAACTGACGTCTTGTTTTTGGTACCAAACACTCAAAGCCATTGACACGCTCATTTTTTGACATTGCTCTCCACGGATTCATATCCCGGAAGGAGACACGGACATCAAATCGCCCGCTTTTCCAGATCCTATTGAACATTGCAGTCCGTGTTTCTGTTTCTGGAATCTCAAGGTATTTCACAACTAGGTTAAATATATCAATGTTTTGCATCCTTGCGGCAAGAACCACAGGAAGGACTGCCTCCGAATATGACTTCACTTGCGCTATTTTCATCCTGTGGAATGGGATCACAAGATTCTGGGACTGAGAATGATGGTCAAAAATTTCTTGAACAATCTCAGAATGATTTCCAATAATTGCCCAATGTAAGACTGTCCAACCAAATTTGGTTTGAATGCGGTAGTCCGCATTATTGGAAAGTAGTATTCGGATACGGTCGAGATCACCGATGAAGCAGGCCCCAAATAGGCCGCTCCATTCGGGGGGATCCAGAAGACCTTCTGGATCTGTTATCTGTGAGACTTGGCTGGCTGGTTGATCCGTTGTCGATATACTATTCCATATACTCAGTATTCTCTGGAACAAATAGGAAGAAAGGTGGGAGCATGATACCATAGGATACAAGATGAAAGAAGATCAGAAAATACCACTTGAAGCTTGTGAAGGATTTCAATATCCCCCTGCCACTCAAAATTTTGGAAAGAAAGATTTTCAGAGTGCAACTTCTGCAACTTCGAGCGGATACGTGAGAAATATGTATGAGCATTCTGCAAGAACTCTTGGTCCATAGAGTCTGTTTGCGAAGGCAATAATTCTGCTATATCGACGTCAAGAATTGTTTTCTCAATATGAAACATAGCATTCATCAGGGTAGACACTTCGTGGAGGAATTCAGTCCACTCTTGATCATCAAAGGTATGACTGAAGCATGTTTGAGTGAAATCTGCCGCTGCATGTATGGTAGAGATAATCCCAGCGAATGTTACGGAATTTGCCGCCATTAGATCAGTGTAAAAATTTGGACAGCGAAGTGCAAATATAGCTGGGGGGATCTTATTTTCACTGGTTTAAGTAGTCAAGTATCGTGTCAACAGATGGAAAGCGAAGGGCGAGGTTGATGGAAGGACGGAGAGGCGTAAAAACGTGGGTCATTAGGTGGGGGCCGAACTGGACAGCCACAGAACTAGCTAGCGAACCAGGGCGCTCTACGGCAAGCCAGACATGCAGGCAGGATGAGATGGATAAACGAAAAAGCCAACAAACCACCACACGCCACGATGTAGAAGGGTCTCCAAAAGAGGAAATAGATGCTGTTTGAGCGAAAAGAGCACCAGGAGGGACAGCTTGAGAGATATTTGATGGAGATCATGGTTCGAAAAAGCAGTCAGCCACGCATTCCCTTCCCTAGCCCAGCCAGCATGTATATGCACTCAACCTTATCCAGCTTGCTCTGGTTCCGATAAAGTATCCAGAGGTTATTAGCTGTCTCGAGGTTTGACGTGCTCCAGTCCGAGTGCTTTCTCTCTACCAGCTAGCGCTCGCTTATGCATCTGCTCTGACTGATCTAGCTTCTCTTGGTTCCGATATAATCCCTGAGATTATCGACAGTCTCAAGGGTTGACGTATGGTCAGCCTCGAGTACATAGGATAACTACTAATAGACCTCGGCACGACCCTCGCCTACCCTCATTTTCATAAAATTTAGACACTTTCCCTAATGAGGATGAATAATTTTGCTGAGATAGTCTTAGTTAAATACTGTTATTTATAGCTGTTTGAGTATTAAATTCATGACTATGGTTGGAATCAAAGGATTTAGGTCAAAATCTTTCTAGACTATTTTGAAATTCAATTCATTCCAAGTTCATCCTTTAGAATTAAGCTTAATATAATAAGGAATGTTCTATCATGGTTGAAATAGGTAAGTGTATTATATATATGATCGCTATCAAGAGAGAGATATATATATCTCTCTATACTACTGTTAGTGATTTTCTGACCACGGTCAAAATTAGAAATACTTACATGTTAGAGACTATCCTACGGCCTACATTTCTGACCACGGTCAGAAAACTAGGGTGGGTAAGGGTTAGGATGGTGATATTATCTGGACTGTGGTAACTCTACTATCCTCTCGCCGATATTTTTGACTATAGTCAGAAAATTAGGGTAGGTGTAAGAATTTTCCGAGGGTCACCCGCGGGTCGTGCCGAGGTCTAACTAGTGATTCGGCCATATAGTGTAGTGATAGGCACGTTATAAACTGCTGCTGCTTTGCGTATAGATATTGTTATATCATTTTGGATAGCTATGGTAGGGAGTCGTATCCTACCCTCTTCATCTGGTGATTTTGAGCGCTTTTCAGCACGCGTCAGTGGCATGGTAGGTAGTGGAAGGTGGTAGGTAGAAGATGGGAGACGCGTTTTGGGTAGGGCGCGCCGCTCGCTAATGAATTACGTGTCTCGGCCCGCCGCCATAAGCTGCCCTCCAAGCGACCCTGAGTTACTCGAACGTTAACGCAGAGATGAGTACATCTATGGTTCAAAATGGAATCAGTAGGAGACGCTAGTAGGAGCACATAACGAAGGAAGTGGACTGACTGAAAACTTGAACGAATCGAACATGAAAGTATAGTGATATTTGATTCTAATAACAAAGAGAGATACTGAAAGCCAAAGCTGATCATGACTATTCTCAAGGCCATACGACTATTACGGAAAACGAGGACAGCCGAATCAATAACACCGGATCTCTCTGTTGACGAGTTCGGAACTAAGAAGCTAAAGATAGTGGACCGGTCCATCACTTAGCTTCACCTATAACTGCGAACGTGACAACTGCTTTCCAGATTATGCAATTTAGTATGCCCATGGTTTATTCTCAGTGTCAGAGAATTTCGCCTCTAGGCGTTCTTGCTTCTCCGTAGGATGTTGCTTCTCTGTAGACTTTTGAGAATCGGACATTTCGTCGATATTCGGGGGTAGCAGTGAGAGGCCGCTCACTGCAAGAAGGTCTTCGATGTTGGTGCTTCCACTCGGGGCAAGCCCACCACAGTCTTCAAAATCTTTCAGGACCTTGTCGATTATCTCCGCCTGGCCACTCATATGTAGAAAGTTTCCAATACGAGCGTGGATTTCGAGAAGTTTAGGATCTGGAAGTTCCCAACTTCCTTTGTGAACTCTGAACTTGACAAGCCGACTTTTAGGTAAATTTCGTATTGGCCCTGTGGCGGTATCTGGAAAGGTCTTGATGCGATATTGGTGAGCAACTCCGGTTGCTTCAAAAATAAGTCTGAATTGACCGAATTCCGTATGAAGTTGGGAGTCTATTATTAGGCCGTTCTTTTCCGAATTGATCTGTTCTGAGGTAAAGGACATATTGCGAAGAACTGGAAAGTAGCGCCTTAAGTTGACCCAAATCTTTGTATGTCTATCCACTGCCTCGCTATCATTAGCCGGAAAGGATCCAAGTCCAAATGGAATAATGTGGGCAGCTTCAAGATGGGTCGTTATTGCATTCCGTGGATGAGCGTGGCTGTGACTGTACTGTCCCGTTGCAAGACACTTATTGCCATCTCTTTCTAAACAGTGGTGCCGGAGTTGTGACTGGGGACTTCTACTGATGGGCTCGATGTTTAGGCTCTTGAGGTTCTCGATTGAATCTTCAACTCCAGAACGTGGAGACGGAGTGATTTCAGTGGGTGTTTTGCCACCCTGTGCTTTCATAGGAATCAACAAACTCGTTCTGATGCTTTGGACTAGTTGCCGAAGCTTCTCATCGTTTGCACACCCTGAAACGTCCCCTGCCAGATTTTTTTTCCGTCAAGAGGAAGGATCTTGAAGAAGCCACAGAGGAAGTCCTTGGTTTTGTCCGTGGGTTCAAGTGGCGCGTAACTATTCAGCTTTCGATCCAGCTTCTAGCTTGATTATGAGTATCGAAAAGACTAGATAGAAGACACAGAAGGACTCACCGTCTTTGAGGATGCCGACATTCCGCCGATTACCCAGTTTGGCGCACACTTTGGGCCAGTCTGGAGGGAATGGTAGTTCCACTCAAAGGAAGGCGGCCAAATCAGCTGTGACAGTTGAGAAGGGGATTGATGATAGATGAGTACAATTAGTTGAGGCCCTGCATGGAGATGATGAATGAGTGCGATTGGTTGAAGGAAAATTAGGTGGGGGCGGGAAACCAGGCTTAAAGTCACTGCTCACCGCTTTCCCTATTCACTTTTGCTCAGTTAGATAGGCTGGAAGAAGATGTACAGCTCGCGGACCGGACAATGGGAGCTGGTGAGGAAGCAGTGACTGAGTGTCACATGACTGCACTGATCACACTGAGCATGAGCGTTGACATTTTCTCGGTGAGCCTGAGCCTGATCGCCCCCATTAGAGCAGAGACAACCCAAAGAGGAAAGCCCCCATCTGGCGGACATTGTCCTGTGTATAAAGGGGCATATAGAAGGATCAAGAGATCAATATTACTTGTAGCGTTCCAATAAGAAGTGGCACCCTTACAGTAGGCGCGACAGCTGCTCTGCCTGACATCTATTGTAGTCTTGGAGAGTTTCCATGACAGGGACGCTCACCAACTGCGCGCTATCCAATCGCGTATCTTATGTACAGCCTCAATTATTCTCAATGTCCTAATTCGAGCCACCTGTACTGCGTGGTGGCCTCGCAGTTCTAGTCCCAAACGGGGACTGTTCACTGGCCCCTCCCCGCACTCTTTGGCGTTCCTCATCAGAAACAAGAACGCCATCCTTGTTTGGAGACAAAGCAAGAAACATCAGATAGGTACCTCCCCATACTCCGATGATGCTGAAAAGAGCAGAATACCGATTCCTAGCTTGTGATTTTGTGAATTAGGAGCCGTATTTGGCATGGGTAATGGTTCCAAGGACGGTCATTCATACCACCTAAAGGGCATTGTTCTCAGGTGAGAAGTTCCATGCACGATTCACATATCATATACTTGCGCTCACCAAGGCAAGGAAATAAAAACTCTTTATTTCTTAGTGGCTTAGATATTGACGGATGAAATGGGTATATGTGGATGTTCGAGATAAATTTAGGAATTACTTTTTCACGGGTGATCCATAGGTAATGTGATGACCTCACTAGGAATGAAATGATGACATCATGGTGGTCTGGCGAACAAGTGGGCGCACTGTTATGCCAATTGACTTATTTAGTCAGTGCCCTCTTTACTAACGGGGAAAAGTATGAAGAGGTAGATAGTGATGACTCTAGGTAAAGACAGTAAATAGTATTCTAGTACATCCATCAAAAATCAACAAATATATATATAAAAAAAGAGAAAATATCAAAAAAAAATAAGAATAAAGAAAAAACAGTAAATCATCAGTAATGTAGTCTCACATAGGTACATGAGATTCTTCATGAAAAACGCCTTGATACACTTCCTGATTGCCTGTGATCATGACATGCTATATTCAAAGTTTGGACTTTTCAGAAATGACTGCAGATCACTGGGGTACCAGACAGCAAAGCAGCACATTGCGATCAGCATAGGGACCGCATCAAAAATGTAGTTGGGCCATTCGTGTGCCAGAAGGTACCCATCGTTACCCAATCCATATTCAATCACACGGAAAATAGACCGAATAAGTATCATAGAGCTGATGATATAAAGACTGTGAAGATGCTTTTTCCATGGTACACTACCCTGGGCGGCTGTATGCGTGGGCGATTTTCCCATTCGTCGGGCAAAAGCTACTGCAGTGACGACAAAAAGGACAAAAGTTATAATCTGCAATACTAGGCCAGCAAGAACGATATCTTGGCCAATGTGAGTGAGACTGCTCTGTGCCATCATGCCAGCACCTCCACCTTGGACGAAGAAAGTCACAATGTCGCAAGTAACGAAAATCTTGGTGATTAAGTCGATTCGAATAGGCGAATATTGCTCTCCATCAACAGCACGGATGATACGCGCAAGAACCATGTAGACTGCGGCTGCGAAAAGCGTCGGCGCAAGGAGAACGAAGACACTTTGAATGATATATGGCATTAATTTGCCAGTGTTGCTACTCGCGCCTGCCCGCGCTGCATATCCGATAAATTCAACTGTACCCGTCAAGAAGAATTAGCGGGTGCACCAGAGAGATCGAGAGTCAGGGCAGAAACTCACATAGACCACCGATGGCAAATGGAATAGTGAATCGGACCTTTGTTCTAAATATCTTCCAGAAGTGATATATTGTGACAATGAGGAAAAGTAAAATGAAGATGACCGCGGCGGCTATAGAGGGGACGTAGTGCCATACGTAATAGCCACTCTTCAATGGCTCTAGCTTAGCCATTTTGTAGGTCAATAAAATAAAGTCACTTTGGTGAGATAGACACCGTTAAAATAATGTTGGTGAGTTCTGTTTGTGACGCCGTAGAGTATGAATGTGACTTGCTCAGGAAGACTTGATCAAGACTTATTGATTTCTGGGAGTCGTTCAGTGTGTAAGTGAAAGCTTGCCCTAGAATTCTATATTTTTAGAGAAGGGCTCCTTTTTGTATCCTATCTGGGTTTTCTCGATGCACTATGGGCAACACCGAAATTTCTATTTTTGTTCTATACGCGTATTCAAAAAGGTAACAGACCAGGGGCTCAGTTAATTGTGGTCCGTGCATACGCGTATTGATCCCTGGGCTCCACCTTGAAATTTTAACTCTTACGCTTGGCAAGATTATAAGATGACCGTAATAGGCTCTATCTCCTAATTAATATTAATTATTTAGCACTGTCATCCTATAGTATATTTGAATGAAAGTGCTGTCCCTGCAATATTTTGGATCGCCTCTCTCAGTTGAAATATCATGCAATTGATAGAGTGGAGGAGGCAATGCCATTAACGAAATGTGATCATCGCAGTCAGAGGGGCAGGTAGGCTGGAGAAAGGCCAGTCTAGGCACCGATTGACTGTAGACTACATTCATTATACGTAGATTTTGTCCACTAGACTATCGGGTCACTTTCGCCCGAGATAATGTAGGTGTTCGTTTAGGCCTTCCCCAGGGCCCGTTTTGTAATCAGTGATTCGCGCTCCATCCACAAGGTCTCATCGGATAGAAAAAATTCTTTGCTTGGAAGTGTTACCACATTAGCTCACAGAGCCCGAACTACAAGGCCCGCTTCCATTTTTATTGGGTATACGACGAGGCCGTATAGGTGAAACCAATCATGATTGAAACATCTTCTGATCTGCCGAATTATTACGCAAGCACTCACTAGCCTGAACAAAATCATTATTATTACTGCATTTGGGTTGGCGAACTTTTCTCCGTGGAGAAGAATCCCGGGATCTACCACAGAATAAAATTGCAGTAGAGTACTCCTTTCTCCACTCCCAAGAATTGTATATCTCCAGGTACTTAATCCTTGACACATCCGAGCTTTCCTCATTCCTCTGGATGTTCAACAATGAAGACAATTTCTATCATTGCTCTCCTGTTGGTGGGATGGAATCCTGTCACAGCTGCTACCCAGTTGAGTGGCCATATAATTGTGTCAAATGCGCCGAGACTAATAAATAAGCTAAACCCAGTTTCAATGCTCAGCGTATTGCCTTAGCCCAGAGCCTTCAAACACCCAATACTCCCTTCCATGAATTCACGTTGACGCCGGATTTACCTTACATCACCCTCGATTATGGCGCTGAGGTGGCCGGATTCCCTACTTTTGAGATCACCAGTGTCTCTGCTGCAACACAGATTGAAGTCAAATACAGCGAGCAGTTTGTTGGGCTGGCTGAGCCCTTCAGTGATGGTCCCAGCTTGTTCGTGACCGGTCTGGCAAACTCCTTTCGCGTGGAGACCTTCAACATCACTACTTCGGGAACTTTCAGTTCCGAGCTCTTGCAGGGAGGTCAACGCTGGCAAAGCATACGCTTGCTTACCCAGAGCCCGGTGAAGTTCCGTTCGGTGTCTTTCAAGTCGTCAGTGGGGACGGTGGCCACTGAAAATCTTCCTGGCTCTTTTCACTCGTCAAATGAATTGTACAATAAGATCTGGAGTCTGGGTGCGCGTGCAGTCTCTCTTGCATGCTTTGATGAAAGCTCACAGAAGCCAACTTGGAAGGTCTCTCGTGAAGGGGCCAAGGTCTCCAGCAGCCTCCCCAGTTATTCGTCCTCAACCTATAACCTCACCGAATACGACTTGGAATTTGATGCTAAGATTTCTCGAGGGGGTCTCATTTGGTCTATTGGCTACAACTTTGGCATTCGTTCAAGGGGAGGCATTCTCATCAATCTGGCCAGTAGCTATCCACGAGAGAAAACTTTCGCAAACACAAATAGGACAATGTTCCCCCCGTCAACTATCACTCTTGCCTCTGGAGTGAGCTTTGTCAACCAGACTACTTTGATTTCTTATAAGCTGGCTTCGTTCTCGGTCCCATTCGACGTGCAAGAGGACGTGTGGTACAGGATCTCAACTACTGTCCGCTCTGGAAATTTGGCTGTCTCCTTGAATCAGATCCAATTGTTCAATGTCTCCCTATCTAATTACTACGCCGGTGGATCGTCAATTTCAACCTCTGGAGCCTTTGGATTCGGCACTTGGCAAGACCAATCTGCCTACTTTTCCAGAGTTTCCGCCCGGGATAGATCTGGCAAGCTGATTTACCACAATTCCATGACAGATCCTACCACCGTTCTCCCCGAGTATGGTCAGCATGCCAACTATTTCCCAGTCTGCGTGGATGGCGCAAAACGCGATCGCTTGGCCTGGCTTGGAGACTTCCTGCATACCACAAGAATTATCGGAGTGACAACCAACCGCAACGATCATATTACCGGTACTTTTAAGCTGTTTCTGAGCGACCAAATTTCTACTGGCCAGCTGCCCTTGGCACCATCGCTTGGCTACTCGCCAGACACCGACCCCAAGGCATTCGCCGTCAACGGTATCGCATATCTACTTCCAGACTATCACATCCTCGGCCTTATGTCATTTGTTTCCTATATGGAGCAATCTAATGACACACAGTTTGCCCTGGAACACTGGACTAAGTGGAAAGCTGCTGTCAACTGGCTTGCATCCTATCGTAGCACCTCTACTGGACTCATTGACTTTTCAATGTTTGGCACTGCTTTCCTGGGTCCGACGAGTGGCTCAGCCGTGAATGCCGCCTCGGTAGAGGCCTTTAAGGGCATGGCCTCGGTTGCATCAGCCGTGGGAGACATCTCGTCAACAAAAAGATGGACTGCCTTCGCCCGATCCCTGGAAGTAGCTCTCAATTCCAAGATGTGGAGTGAAGCCCATGGTGTCTACTCTTTGCAGACATCCGACCCTGGAAACTTCTCTGTTGCTGCTCTCGGATTCGCCATCACCTCTGGATCAGCTAACAAATCCCAAATAAATCGCGCCCTATCTCATTTGCCTAGTCTCAAGCTGGGGCCAGGATATCGTGACTCAAGTCTGGTCGCCTCAACTGATTCAAGTGCCAACCTGTCGCCGAACACGAACGGTTTCCTTCTCACTGCTTTGCTACAGCAAAAGCGAGCGGTGCCTGCAGCATTCCTGTTTGAAAATCTATGGGGCGCGATGATTGCCAACGACACTACTAAATCTGGTGCTAGCTGGGAGTATGTCAACCAGAAGTCCGAGCCAGGCTTGGGACAGTACACTTCTCTGAGCCATCCATGGGGTGGAGCAGCCACATACGCACTTACGAAATATGTGGCTGGTATCCGGCCGCTGAGCTTTGGGTATAAATCATGGGTAGTGGAACCGGCCTACGCAGGTTTCGGGTTAGATGCAGTCAATGCCACCGTTCCGACACCTCACGGTCCCATCAGCGTTGCCTGGACCGTGCAAAACAGCGTGGTCACAATTAGCCTCGATGCTCCGGTAGAAACAACCGGAAAGCTAATTTTGAACAAGGAGTGGGCATGTCCGGGAGACTTCGTATCCTACGATTGTGATAAAGTGAAGGACTTTGTCCATGTGATTGAAGGGGGAAAGGTTCAGTATTTCACTCACAGCATGAAGTTGTAATCCGCTGGCGATCGCGCTGATGATGTCCGGTATAGTTTATTTACATTCGAAAAGTGGAGAATTTATAAACCCATTGTCCAATCGTCTGTCTTGGTTATTTTGAACAATCTTGCTGTTATGATATGACAAGCTTGGTCTGTATCTATACCGTAGCATGGCGATGAACAAGGCATGTTATATTGTGCTCTGGTACATCAAATCTTGCAGCGAAGAAGTCCTGAGCCTGAAAAGCATGCGCTGTAAGCTCGCCTTTATTATCTTAAAGTGTTAAATTCTGCATAGTTCCATGGCGAATTGTAGGAAGAGAAGGTATCCTAGGAAGAGGGAGATACGGAGGCGCGAAAATTCCATATCGCGGCATATGGTAACGGGATATCGTGATGCATCAGGGTATTCGAATATTGTGTGGAGCAAACTTAAAATGAAGTACGTACTATTGAAAAGTTAGATAGCCAAGGTTCTCATTGTACAGAAAAGCAGGATCTTATACGCGTATTCGAGGGACCCACCGTCCAGCGGGGCTGAGTAAATAATGCCGAGGAGGAGAAGCTATTCAATACCGCAAGGACCCACATAGTCCTCTACACGTAGCACCATTATAGGAACACTCCAAACTCTGTTCAATCCTAATGTCCATTTATTGCGGGGGATATCACATTATCTAGATATGGCTCCAAAAGCTCTAAAGACCTTTCCCAAGTAGTTCCTCGCCCACTTCCTTGAGGAGCGGCTCCTTTTGCAAAATCGTAACCTTAGATTTAGCAGCAACCGTCTCAGAGACGCCCATCGCTCGACACAAATCAACAAGTGTTCCATCTAGCGGTGCTTCGTAGACCAGGAGACCAAGAGCAAACAGCAGGCCATGCAGAGCTTCAGGACTCTGGTCTTCACGCGAGATGGCTTCAAGCAGGGAGGCGGCAAGCTCGACCTGGTCTTCCTCTGAGAAGAGATCGGATTTTCCGTGAAATCGAGAATTATGATTGAAAGCGGCGATATTGTAGGCAAACGAAGCTGCAACCACTCGAAGATTCGAATGCGAGTCAAGTAGAGAGTTAGTTGCTAGTCGGAGGCACGTCTCTCGCAAGGCCGACGTCGATGATGCGAGCTGTTCTGGGTATAACGGAGTGCTGAAAAGGTTGCAAGCTAGCTGAAGAGCAACAATGCGGAGATTATAGGGACATGAAGGCAAGTCCTCTTCAGAGAGCGGACCAAGCAGAGTGAGGAGGGTAATATGGCCAGTTTCTTCGGCAAAGTACCCACTCACACGCGGGTCGAGGAAAAATAGACGCACAAGGTCGACAACTGCAAAGTGACTCTCGCTTGGAAGACTGGTATATATTGATCTCAAGGTGGTAGCGAAGCTGTGGAGGTCAGGAACTCGGGTATCCGCGGCCAACGAATTTCCATTGCTCGTTGAGTAGCGAACTTTCACAAAGTCGATAACGGGTGCAATACTGGGAGATGCTTTGAAATCGGCGGGTAGTTTCTGCAGGAGTTTATCCAGGGGTGGGACTTTCTTGTACATAACAAAATTGGTGATATTGCGCTGCAGACTAGGCAGTCGGAGATTCCGGTGCGGGTGAGGTGGATTTGCCATTTCTATCAGCATGCGAATTCTGCCCTTGAGTTGGGCTGGGCTAGCACCACTCCATTGATCTTGTTTCTTGCCTTTAATGAAGGTCATGAACGTAGGAGTTGCGCGCACGCTGTACTTGGAGCTCACATCGTAAGCCATGCCAACATCCACCTTGATGAGCCTTGCCCGCTCACCCGCCTCTTCTGCCAGCTCATCATAGGTTGGATAAACAACCTTGCAAGGCGGGCATGTGGATGAGGTAAAAAAGATGACGGCGCACGAGTCCGATGCAGCTGCCAGTTCACTTTCGAGTTGAGCAAGGTTGCTGACAATGCGGACCGTGCCTAATGTTGGAGAGACCGATGTCATAGGCTTGAATGCTGTTCCCGTATGCGGGGGGCCTACTGGAGGGGACTGCGTACTTGGACCAGAGATGGGACTGGGACCAGAGCCCTGTGTGACTCCCTTCAAAGCCATCTCGATCTGCGGCTTCATCATCTGCCCAAATGGAGTATCCAGAAATGTGCGAGGTAGATTCCGAATATTATCTGGGATACTTTTGCCGACCAGGAACATTGCAAAATCCTGAGTGAAGTTATTGCAGTTGTGAAGAAAAAGATCGTATGACTGGAGTGTCTTAGTTCGATGCCTCTTCTATTCTTGAGGCGTTATTGGAGGATTACAAACCTCTGGCGTATATATACTTCCAAGAGAGCCAAGATACTCTTCAATCACATCGTTTGGGAGCTCTGTTTTCCCCATATGCACTTTCTCCATGGGCTGTCCATGGTGGGTACTGCCGGGAGAGGCCGTTTGAATACCCTGACCAAAGTAGTACTCGACCCCTCCAAGGACCAAGGAGGTGTGATATATGGCATCTATTTGAGTACCTGTCAAAGGTTGCGAGTACTAGCCAAAATGCTATGTAAGATAAGGCCTGGTGACTCGGATTGATGGTTCGCGGATGTCACTTACCACGCGCGCAAGACCCTGCGGATGAGTTAGTCAAGAGAGCTATGTTTCTTTTCACACAAATAGAATCTCCTTACCTTAGACAGGTCGTAAACATACAGTTCCACATCCATGAAGACGACGTTTGCGTTGTGGCTGCTCAGAAGACGGGTCGTGTTGATATACGCCAACCTGCGCAGGCAACGACCGGATCACGTCAGCATCGCTAGGAACTCAGAACTTCGGGGCCCTTCGACTGTCTTCCGTAGACGATATGACACTCTGGGCCACCAGGTGAGCCTCTCATGAATTCAGGGTGATCAGGCGCAATGTACATAATGCTGAAAACAGTCGAGTCGATCATTTAATTTAAAAAAATTTCGTGGTTGAAGTTTTAGGATTGACCAGTTGCCCATACTGGACAAATTTATCAGGTCTGCATACTCCTGCAGATTCAAACCGACGAAGTAGATGCCTTCAAAATCAAAGCTGTGTTATGAATAGTGAATATTTCCCACGTGACTGATTCCTCCATCTGTTATAAAACAGCTTGCATCGAAGTGCGCAGATATCTGCCCTTGTATGGCCGTGTTGAACGACCAAAACCAATCCGGTTGCTCCAGAAGTAGCACTGATCACCATCGCCGAGTTTGTCCCCGCCTTCCCCCAAGGTCACGATCGACATCTCTTATCTCACTTACTGCCGCTCTTTCAACCCACCACGACCTCCTCGACCGCAAGACTCCTACCTTACTACCAGACTAGATAAATGGTAAGTCCACTCCCTCTACTATCAACAAGATCGCAATGAACCCGGGTTGATCGCCTGCGACCCCAGCCGCCCAAGAGGCGCGGAGCTACCGCCAGCTCCTCCGCCGCAGCACCCAAGCGTGCGCGGCCCTCCAAGCTCGCGAAGGAAAACAATATCACCGCCGAAGAGGAGAACGAAATCAAAGAAGTCTTCCACCTCTTTGCGGATGCACACGAAGATTTCCCCGCCGAGAAAGAAGGCGTAATTCCCCGCGAAGACGTTCGCAAAGCACTCGTGTATGCCGTCATTCCAGCTCTTCCCCATCCTGCAATATGCATATCGCACTCCCCTCAAGCCCCACTGGCTGACCTCACTAACCTACTCTCTCAAACTCCGACAGAGCCCTCGGCCTCCCGCCCGCAGACTCCTCTGAACTCGCCGACATCCTCTCCGCCCTTGACCCGACCCTAACCGGCTACGTCCCCTACAGCCCTTTCGTATCGGTCGCCGCGGCCAAGCTTCGCTCGCGCGATGATGACGCCATGGCTGCAGAGGTGGACGACGCCTTCCAGTTATTCACACGTGGATCGGGCGGCGCAATCTCCCTAGGCCACCTGCGGCGCATTGCGCGCGAGCTCAAGGAGGACTCGGTGGACGATGAATTGCTAAAGGATATGATTCTAGAGGCGAATGGCGGCGCTGGGCTGAGTGCTGGCGTGACGCTGGAGCAGTTCCATGATGTGATGTCACGGGCTGGTGTTTTCTAGACGCGGTGCCGGAGAGACTGGGGGTGGATTTCTGTTAATTTGCGGGGGAAGAGTGAATGATTTCCTCCACTCTTTGCTTTTTTTTATCTCTTTTTTTGCTTTTGGTACTGCTGCATATGGGGCTGTATTTGGCGTTTGATGAATATGGGCATCTATTAGCCCTGTGGCGTTGACAGTTGCATAGCGATGAGAATGCATTTGATTCCTGGATGACTCGTGAAAACGGACCAGTCCTTGGGTAATGGCAATGCTATAATTGATATCTATTTAATGGAGTCTAGTTATGCTAGTGGCTACAAGTACGAACCAGTACAGCAGTGATATCTTATAGACTTCAATAGAAAAATATTCCTTTGAATAACCGTTGTTGTGATTGTAGATACATGCCGTCCTCCATCCCATTTGTTCGCAATTGCAAGTGGAAAAAAGAAAATTAAGACTGTAACCGGAAAAAAGCCTTTAAGAAAAACACTCGTGAGAAAGACAAAAAAAAAGTGAGGACAGCAGAAGACATGGCCCGCGCATCAACTATCAGATTCCTCCGAGAACAACACGCTGCAGGTCATATCCAAACTGCTAATAAGACTGGATATGATAACAGAGCGAGAAGACATTTACTGCACGGACGTTAGCCAAGTTAAGCCCCAATTTTGATGTATCAAAACTTACGATGTCATCCATGCCGGCATCTCCGTTGGCATCACCGCCGTTGGTGGCAGGCTGGGCGGTGCCGCTGGCGGGAGCAGCCGCAGGCGTCTCATTAAAGTAATCGACCATCTCGGCATCGAGTTCCTCAACAGTCTTCGGCTTGCGGGAGGTGTTGGCATTGCCACGGCCACGACGACGACCGCCAGCCTTGGTGTTATCCTTCGCAGCCTTGGGAGCAGTCGCCGGCTTGGGTTTGGCCTTATGGGACTTTTGAACACTATTATGTGGTTAATTTGAGTCAGTGACGAATGGCAGGAAAGCACACTTACGAAACACGTTCGGTCAAAGACTTGGGAGCTTCAACGGTAGGAGCGTGAGAAGCATCGTAAACAACTTCGATCTGATGCAAATTTTAGTGACAAAAATCAAGGCTTCCAAAGAGGATAGGGAGACCAACCTTCATGGGGCGTCCGTCAACGAGGAGTCCGTTCAGCTTCCTGGCAGCCTTAGCGGCGGTATCGGCCTCTTTGAAAATGATCGTAGCAATGCCACGACTCAGGCCATTCTGGTCGTAGGTGAGAATCACCTTCTTGACGGAACCTGCAGACTGAGAGAAATATTCCTATATCGTAGACAGAGACGATCAGTATTATTCGACCGGAAACTTCGACTGGCTGAAACGATTGTGTCGAGTGAGTAGTCGAGGGAAAATCCAACGACAAAAGCGCGAAACGAGAACGGAAGACAATCCACCAGTGAAAGGCATCAGCGAGCACACAGCGGCGATCGGTCAGTTGCTGCGAATCCCATCTAAACCAAAAACCAGTCCCTATGTCACAAGTGGGGCGTAGTTTTGACCGTATGCGAGCCTGTCCAAGATACATCACACATGGATTCATTAATCAACACAGGGTAGATTCAGCCATTGGTCATATCGCCCCATCCCCAAGTCTATCACCCCACAAAAATTCGCAAATCAATTCCAGCCCAAATTTCATCTGATGCTGCAGGAGGCTTGTCTGGCATGCTTGTAAAGGCCCTTGGGAATGAATGTTCACGCGGCAAAATGGCAAGCTATGTTGGGACAACCTCACAACATCACTGCAGTGGGACATCACCCCCTGATGCAGTAAATGTCCAGACAGGGAAAATGTTCGACGTATGTATGGGTAATGCGACTGCTTGACCGACATAATCAAAGTTCCACAGGGTCGTTCACTGATGCGCGCTCGCTGATGCCATCCGAAGCTCACAACACGTAAGAAATAAGTGTGAGTGATTTCAATGAAAGACGGTCAGGATAGAAAATATATTTCAATTTCCAGTCCTCAGCGTAGTACTCAGAATGGCAACGCAGGCGGATTGCCTCCATTCAGGGAGGTATCGACGCAAGCAGTGCCCATCTTTTCACAGTACTCAAACAGGGCTCAACTTCGCGCTTCGCAAATGCCAGCCAGGGATTCTGTCGCCCTGTGCGGAAGTTTGTAGAAGGAGCGTTCTGTCTATGCTGCTGTAGCACCGGTCGACTACCACACCAGGAAGGGGGTACGAGGGCAACAAGAGTCGGAAACACGGATCGACTTTGTCGTGCACCCCACAAGAGTTCGAAAACAAAGATGGCGATCAAAGCCAAGGCACAGGCCTTGAGATCAACATACCTTGATATTATCTCCTTTCACATCGGTAGGCTGAATAAGTTAGCAACTGCGTGAATCAAAGGTAGGAAGGCCAACATTGGAGACGTACCAGTCCGCTCACAATAATTTTGCTGGGAGCATTCTTGGAAGAATCAGAGTGAACCACCTTGGAAACTGCCTTATTGGGAGCCTTGGAGGCCTTCTTCACACCTCCCGTCGAGGGTTTGGGAGCAGCGCGGCGGGTGCGACGGCCATTCTGGCGGGGCCTCTGACGTTGGTTGCCGACGAGGTCGTCGAGAGACTTGTCCAAATTGGCAGACATTCTGAAAAACTTGTGATTGAGAGAGATGAGATGGGGGCAAAGGCTGGCGATTTGCAGTCACAAGCAGACAAGTCGCGGGCGGGAGAACGCGTTGTCAAGAGGGGAATGCGCCGCTAAGGTTGACGACGTTCTGAAGGGGGAGAAGTCAAACTGGGAATAGGCAATTTGATCCAAAGAGATCAAAAAGAATTTCCTTTCAAATGGGGGGAAAGGAAAACTAGGAGAGTGGAGTTGGAAGGAGGGAGAGATCAAGCAGCGGCAGAGGATGGAAGCGGAGGGAAAGGGAAAGGGAGGAGAGGCAACGATCAGGCCGCGCTAGGCTGCTTCGGGGGCGTCGGGCAGGCTGCTTGTTTGGCCGGTTTGCATCGAGGCTCTATAACCCAGGCGGTGGCCCATCTTGGCCACCACAGCCCGGAGGTATGCTACTGGATGCCTACTCTTATCTTGCATGTGAGAAAAAGTATAAGCAAGATGCATGAAACTCTGAGATTCATTACACAGGCTGCTGGATTGATCCTAATCTAGCGGTGACTCTGCCTCAGTCAGGACGCCCGGGCAGAGAGGCGCGGTTCAACTTGCAAAGCCAGCACCGCCCCCTCCAACGCGACATTGGGGGCCGTTTTCGTTGCTTGAACATTAAAATTGTACGGGGCCCTCCAATCCCTGATAGCCGCGCTTATCCGTAGATCCCAGTCTATGAAAGCTTATGCAAGTGATATCTATGTTCTTCCACACATTCCTAAGGAATCCATAAGAAAGCTTTCACAGGACAGTCACAAGAAGATGGTTCGTACGGAGGTGGAAAAAAAAATGCTATAATCTAGTTGAAGTATGCTATCCAAAAAAGACGATTGATATGCTCACAGCATGAGAAACATTACTGGTTTCATCTGATAAAGTCCGGCCAGCGAACTAGGAATATTCAGGGGCAATTCACCCAACTTCACCCAACTCCACACCAATCAAGACACATGATGCGCAAGAACCAAGACAGATCAAAAACACAAACAGACTTGGCAAAATCATATATGACGCTTTGAAAGAACAATTCACAACATAATGGTAGTGAAAAAAAAATTAGGACAAGAAGAAGGAAATCAGCTCTTGAGGGCCTCGAGTCGACCGCGCATTTGCTCCAGAGTTGCCTCCTGGTCCTCGAATTCGTCCTCGGCCTCGTTGGCGGCAACAGGAGTCTCATCCACAGGCTGGGCAACAGGCTTGGCAGGAGCTTGTGACAACTTGCCCTGTAGGATCTCCTGCAGTATTTTGTCTACCTCCTCGTCGGCCTCCAATTCTTCATCCTCCAGTAACGTATTGTCTGGGATGGCGTCATCCACCATCTCCTCGATAATACCAGCCTTAACCAATTCCGTTGAGAGCTGATGCATGGTGGATGTCAGCTCCGGCATCCGGACCAGGGTGTTCACATCTTTCATGATCACAGTAGACTTTTTAAGACTGCCCTGGATCTTCCGGACGGAGAAGGCTTCGTTGACTTGTAGACCGACACTCTGAAGTTGAGCCCGGCTCGTACTTAGCCGAGAAGTTTGTCGTCGAATTCGCACCAGCTCTCTCGCGAAGGTCTTAGCCTCACTTGCTGCCTGTTTGGCCTGTGAGGGGTTTCGATCGGCTCGCCGGGATGCATTAAGGATGTGTTGTCGGGTCTTGTTATCTAGCGTTTTGAGCTGAGCGAGGTCGCGATCCAGTTGTCTTGTATTCTGTCGGATGAGAGCGTTACATTTTCTCATCTGATGGTCGAACGTTAGCGCATTGCGACTTGACTCTTGGGAACTGTTGATGAGGGCGGACTTACCTGAACCTGAGGATCAGGTCCAAAGAACACCGCCTTCAAAGTCTCCATCACTATTATAGCTGTCTTCTTGTGTAGTGCTCACCAGATTGAGGGCGATTCTGGAAGACGGATTGAAGAGACCAGGAGTGATCAACCACGCTGTGAATTCAGTGTGAGGATCTGCGTGGGGCAAAGAGAGAATTGCCCTAGTGCACGCTCCGGGTTGGAGAGAAAATGAAGATCGCAAGAATTCTGTGTGAGAGGCAAGACCGTTTAGGCTGGAGAAATGAATGAGAGGGACTTTCAGTGGTCACCGCTCTGTTTCATTGCTTGCATCTTATCAGTATCGCGGGCAACTGACCATCGGCCGAAGGGGGGAGGCACTCGCTTAGTCAGACGCCTGTGTCGATTCTGCCCTGCCACCATCTCCGGCAGGTATCAAGGCACCAAGGCACTCACGCATTTCAAACAAAGCAAACGAGACGGGTTCCAGTACATTCTAGCAGGTGAATGCGGTACATGCGCTCCAGAGTGAGCTCCTCCTCTTTCTCTGCCACTCGCCCACATTCCCCCCCCATCTCCCTCCACTAAAGGATCCTTCCCCAATTCCATCTCTCTCCTACTCTTTCATCCTTCCGCTTCCTTCACCTCTGGATTAAAATGGCCACCACTGTGACCCCCGAAGGTATGTTGGAAACAAGCTCAATTTCCCCGCTCTGCTCCAAACATCCCGAGCGTGCACGGTTTGCAGATAACCACACCGAGAACCCCGAACCCCCCTCCAGCGATCTCCCTTGGGCCTAGATGGAATGCGAGATCTGCCCAGTCCGGCAATGGATGTGTGTTCATTTGAAGAGAACTGTGAGGCTGATTTGAGAATCTTTTGGTTTTCTAGTGACGTGGGCCCAGCGCTCGTCCGAGTCGGAGCCTGAGCGCAACTATCTCTACGTGAACCTCAAGACCCCCGATGTCCCCAAGGACGCTGCCAAGCTCAGCCTTACTCCCACCAATGTTTCTTTCACTGGCCCATCCGGCAAGGGCGTAACATATAACGTCTCCCTCGACCTCTTCGGCGAGATTGACCCCGAGAACAGCAAGGTCAACCACACCGACCGTGAGGTTGAGCTGGTCCTGCGCAAGAAGGAGCTCAAGATTGAGTACTGGCCTCGCCTGCTGAAGGATTCCAAGAAGGTGCACTTCCTGAAGACCGACTTTGACAAGGTATGACCATTTCGATGAGCTGGTGGTGGGGTTGAAAAATGCGGCCATAGGCTAACCGGCGAACCAATAGTGGGTGGATGAGGACGAGCAGGACGAGGCTGCCGACGATGACTATGCCAACAACTTCGGCGGCTTCGGCGGCGGCGATGAGGGTGGTCTGAGCAACATCGACTTCTCCAAGCTCGGTGGCATGGGCGGTGCCGGTGGCATGCCCGATCTCAGCGCCCTGGCCGGTGGTATGGGTGACGAGGGTGACGAGGGCGAGGACGATGTGAGTGCAGTTCCCATACGATCTCTATGCGATTCCATGGTCGAATCCAGTTCTTCTCTTGAGAACCCTGAACTAATCTAGCTATGCTTTTTTTCAGGAGGACCTCCCCGAGCTTGAGGAGGTCGAGGAGGCCAAGTCTAAGATCCAGGAGGTCAACTAAACAGGTTGATCTGTTACCTTGCTACTGAATCTATGATGAAAATGAAAACTATTGGCGCTCACTAGGTGCCTGCGGATTTTTGGTGCGCCGGAGCTATGAGGATTTTGCTTGGGATGTTTCCCGATCGTTTTGTAGATCAAAGCGACAAAGGCCCTGCTTGACCCCTCACGCCTCGTTTGAGAAGCCGTATATCTAGGGGGAGATGACGGTCTTAGGGAGCCATTTGATGAATGAAAACAGTGGTAATGCAAATGTATCACGAAGTCACCATCGATATAACAAGAGGCATTGACCAGGACTCGCGTGTAACCCCCGCCTGCAGAGATGTCTAGTAGGCCGTAGCTCGGTATCCCATCTCCGACGTATTGTTCCTTTTACCTGATAGTTCCTATGGTGATCTGGCCAGCCTTGCCATATACCGAAGAACGCCGAACAAGTGTCTTGAGATTTCCGCGAGCCCTAAGCGTGCCTCTGGGCGATTCGAGCCGCGTGAGATCCTCGTGTGAACCGGAAATGATGACGCAAAGGCTCCCCAACCAAGCCCAGCACGAAAAACCCAACCATCGAGGCCAGAGGGCGAACCAAATCACATATACGTACAACTTGCAGAACCCACAAAGCCTATTGAACAAGGATTGTCGGATTTCCAAAACACAGATCGCAGTCTGAATCTTCACCCAGACTCACACCTACGCACGAGTGAAAAGGCCCTGGTTATACTTAAAACGGCGCCGGGCGGTCATTGGCTGCCCACCGATTGTGCCGCCACACTTCCCCCTCCTCCCTTGGATTTGTGGAGGCTTCGACTTCGCTCATTCTGGTTTTCAACCTGAATTCACCGCAGTTCCTCCTCCTTCCCCTTTCCCCCCCCCTCTATTCTATACGTCTATACCGCCCGGGACTTTCCCTGTCTCTCTTTACGGGTTGCATTAGCGTTTTTTTCTTGTGTTCACGAGCGGCTCGACGATCGGGCGCATCTCTCACATTTTTTTTCCCTATCCCACATCGAACCTCCCCGGCGTGACCAGCCCCAACCGTCACCATGCCGCCCAAGAAGCCAGCGCCAGAGAAGAAGAAGGTGAAGACCGTCGATGATAAGGTTTGTGTGGCCAATTGGAGAAGTTGTTAATACCAACGGCGAAAGTAGCTAACGATCACTCTTTTGAATAGACCTTTGGCATGAAAAATGTGAGTGGAATCTTCGGGCTATCCTCGCACAACGAAATACCTCCCGTCACGACACCGACAATGACTGACTGTTTCAACAGAAAAAAGGTGGTGCTGCCAAGAAACAAATTCAGCAATTGAACGCGCAAGCTGCGAGCAACAAAAACCCCGATGCCAAGCGAAAAGAGGAAGAGAACAAGCGACGTGCAGCCGAGAAGGCGGCAGCGGAACTCGCAAGAAAGGAGGCCGCTGAACTCTTCAAGCCGGTGCAGGTACAAAAGGTGCCCTTTGGTGTCGACCCTAAAACTATTCTATGTGTTTTTCACAAGAAGGGCAATTGCGAGAAGGGCCGCAAGTGCAAGTTCAGCCACGATATGAACATTGAGCGTAAGGCTGCGAAGAAGGATCTGTACACCGACTCACGCGATGCCGAGGAGGAGAAACAGAAGGCCGATACTATGGATACTTGGGACGAAGAAAAGCTGCGCAGCGTTGTGCTCAGCAAACACGGAAACCCCCGCACGACGACTGACAAGGTCTGCAAGTTCTTCATCGAGGCGGTCGAGAACCAGAAGTATGGTTGGTTCTGGACCTGTCCGAACGGAGGTGATAAGTGCATGTACAAGCACAGCTTGCCGCCAGGGTGCGTAACCTTCACCGACATGCTCTCATTACGGGGTTTGGCCTCCAATATGCTGATCAAAAATTTTTCAAAACAGATTCGTCCTTAAGACCAAGGAGCAGAAGGCGGCTGAGAAGGCATTGATGGATAAATCGCCATTGAACACCTTCACCTTGGAAGAGTGGTTGGAATCGGAGCGACACAAGCTGACTGGCACCCTCACACCAGTCACCCCCGAGACGTTCGCCAAGTGGAAGAAAGAACGCCTGGATAAGAAGGCTGCCGAGGCGGAGGCTCAGGAGGCCAAGGATGCCACTGGTCGATCGATGTTCGAGAGCGGTGATTGGCGCGATGACGAAAGCAGTGAAGACGAGGATGATGACTTTACCGCACTCCGTGATGAGACCGAAAGACTGGAGGCGGAGAAGGAAGAGGAGCGTATGGCCAAGCTTCACGGCATTGAGATCCCACTGTCGAACGGTGACACGGCACAGGAGGCCGCGGACTGAGTCTCAGGTCTCTCGTGCGAGGCTATATTCGCGGTTCTCTAGAATCTGTTTCCTTGCAGATCGGGAATCCCGCTGTATTTGGTTAATTGGCGGGTTTCTTGGGCTCCGCTTGGATCGGATCTCCATGGACGAGTGATCGCTACAATCGACTTCTGTTCGCCACATCTTTTGATGCATTCCCCGACAGACGCGTTGTATGGCACCGCCATGTCCCTAGAGGCCGGGTCAGGTACCCACCATTTCCCTTTCTCCCTGTTCAGCAGATTATCCATTGCCCAGAGCAATGCGAGAAAGAAAAATGGGCGGCTGGCGACGAGGAGCAGGATTTCGAGGATCCTGTGTTTTATGTGACGGAAGACTCAACGACTGATATCTTGTTATGACAGCTTGCTTTTGGTAGCAAAAAGTCTGTTCCTTTCCATTATCGTGCCCTTCTCAATAGCAAACATGATTCCCACCCCATCGTGGCCCCGCCCCATGTAGATATATCGATGACGGACCCCAAGGTCCCTCCGGTCCCTACAGCCTCGGTTTCCCAACTCCCAATCCCTCTCTGTGCACGACTTCCCTTTCTTTCTCGCGCCTTGCTGAGGACAGTGTCGTAAGAAAACTCGTTGCGTCAACCGTTTCCAGTCTTTTCTTTTGTTTTTACATCTCGATCTCCTGCAAGAAGACTCTGGCCCACTTTGTATGGGCAAAACTTCTCGCACGGACCACTTGCATAGTAAACCCTGTCCCCAGGAAAAATTTCTAGACCACTTTACTCATGTACAGATATCACCTACCAAAATGGGGTCGGAGAGTATGTAGAGAATATATCCAACTTAACCGGTGGGGCGGAACCAAATATATATACAACCAGTCCACACACCTTCCGAGGCCACTTCCGTGCGCCGCCCCTCCTCCAACGTACGTATGTAGTCCGTATCTACAAAACAGCCTTGATGGCCAACAAGCCATGCTCTAGCATTAGGCCTGTCACGTCCTCCGCCACGCCGTGTGAGAGCTCGAATCCGCGCCCACCGGCCCCGTAGGCGTGCACGATGCTTTTCCCTTCGCTGGCCGGCTCCACTTCCAATCGCATTCCGCCCTCGCGGGCGGGGCGCCGGCCCACGATGTCGCGGACGACATCGAACTGGCCCCCGCTGTCGGGAGCGAAGGGGAACCACTTCGCGGCGTTGGCGAGGAGTTGGGCTCTGGTTTCGGGGGAAGGGGTTGGGTCCCAGTCGTGCGGCTGCTTGGTGCCGCCGATGATGGTGCCACCGTCCAGCGGGCGCGGGATGCAAAAGGACCATGACCCGTCCAAGTTTTGGCGCGTGATAGTTGCGGAGACGGGGTTGCGGACGAGGCATGTTTGTCCTGTGGGGAGAAAGAAAAGCTAGAGCATGAGTCCTGACTTGGTTTTGCCTGTGTTTGAGAGAGGGAGAACGTGAGACGTACCGCGGATGGGGAAGACCTTCGGGTCGGCAAATCCCATGCCTGAACAGTTCACCACTGTTTTCACATTGTCGGCCAGCGTGAAAGCCTCGTTGATATGGGCGAGTGTGTATTGTTTAGTGCTGCCACCCTTCAGAATGAACCGGCGCAACAGATGGGCGCAATACACGGGCGAATTGATCACGACGGTGTCGTACTCTACCCCCATTTCACACCGAGTGGGAGGTCCGCGGCATCCAGGAAGCGGATACCATCTAGATGGCCGTAGATATGCTGGACGCTCGGGTGATCGAGGTACTCTGGCGGCGGCGCCTCCAGGTGTTCAACGCCCGGGATGGTTTGGACCCCGGCAGCGGGCTCATCAGCGGCTATACGTTGAAAATACCTGTATGTTCGCTGAGCTTGCATCGCCTCGCGGAGTGCTTGCGGCGATGTGCCAGGAACGGGGCGATAATGCGCACCGGCCCATGGGGAGGCATAGTTGATCGACGTGTCCGAGGGGAATTCCCGGGCCACCAGCAGGACTGACTGCGAGCTCTGCAGGTGCTGTTGGATGCATGAGGCCACCGAAAGACCAACCACCCCAGCTCTGGTTGGACTGTTAGCTGCTACTTGAAGGCCTCGTTCTCGTCCGTCGTTGGGCTTACCCTATTACCACGATAGTTTCCGGGAGCGACATGACTGGACAGAATCACTGCTTGCCAGATAGTACAACGCGTATGTAACCTTTCGGGACGGCTCCACTTCAGGCACTCAGATGAAAGGGTGGATTTCGTGTTTCCGTTGCTGTTGCAACTGTGTTTTTAATTCGATAGAGGCGTGGTCCATGACGGGGCCGCCGAGGTTCAAGTTGGATGGGGTCATGAGTCAACCCGCAAGCCCGGGGCACGCCCGATAAGCCGCCCCGCGATCAGAAACCAAGGGCCCCTTCGGAATGGACCCCGGGGGCTATAGGGGCCGCGTATAGAGAATTAAGCTACGCTTAACGCTGCGGCGGCTATATAGGCTATGATCCATTCATGATCCGCATTGATCGTTATGACTCGCAGCGTTGGTGGTCGCATACTGTTGGACATTGTTGGATACTGTTGGACATCGGTCTTTACTTCCTTCTGACCCACCCAACAATCCAACACGCTCGTGAGCCTCTGGCCCGATCCAGGCAGACAGGAAGAGAGGGGCATAGAACTCACCGCTTCTCAGCAGCCCACTGCAGTGGCTGACTTTGTATGACGGTCAGCCGCCGACTCAGTGCGTCCCAAGGTCGATTGGAAAACACTCCGGAATTTCGCCTGTCTTCCGATGCCATCACGACGAGGCCCAAGCTCCCGGAGGAACACCCGATCATCATGGGTACATGAGGGGTAAGAAGTCAGTACGATGATCACTATACCGAGTTCGCCCACTCATGGCGTAGGGAGTACGACAGCGAGAGGTAGAGTGTGCTTCGAGTGCATAAAAGTAGTCCTCCCGGCTCCAGTCCACACGCACCCGAATCACATCACATAGCTTCGGGCCGGGCGAACTCGAGCTCCCACCGCAGCTTCTCATCAAATCGCCAATCGCACAACCGAAGAGCACGAGTCAGACCGTACAATCGAACGAGAGCCAAAAAGCAAAAATAGCCACGAAGGGAAACTGGACTGAACTCGCGCCACCCGAAAAGTGGTAACGGCCTAGAAAATTCTCCGCTTCCCGTCCAACATCCCGCCTCTGCCTCCTCCGTTGCCATGGTGGCCATACTTCTTTCTCTCATTGGGGGTTCCGTAGGGGGCTATCAGTCTGCTGCTCTTGTACGGTGCTTCCCTTCCCCCAACCGGAGGTGATATCATGGTCCTTTGGGTCCTCATTGGTGGGGCGGAGCTGCTGTAGGCGCTGGGGGATCAAGCCGTTCGGCATGCTGATTGGCGCCCGAGGTGATGAAAGGTGCAGGTTGACACTGACTGCACGGATCTCCCCATCACATTCGTCACATTTGTCTCAGAACAGCACAGAACGATACAGATGAACGACTCGACCCTGCTCACGGTTTGTTGCAGTGTTTGTATGCTGTTCGGGGAGCGAGCAGGACTCGTGCCTACGATCTCGACCGCCGACTAGGGCTTCCGGCGACAAATCTACCGGCGGTTGTTCAAACCGATAGATTGACGCCGGCTATACTTCAAGTTCGTCACGTCTGCTGCCAGACCCCATCAGGCCGGCATCCACTCTAATCCGCACCGGGCTCCCAGACTAAATCTGCTAAACCATCTAAATCGCGAAGCAGAGAGCATCATCAAGCAACCCGGATCGACCAACCCATAGGCTGCTTTCTCGCCTTCCACGGGTCTCCTGCCCCAGACTAGACCCACCACGGCCGCCCTGAGCGACCATGAAGGGTTCCCGTCTGTGATTCGGGAGCCTCTTGCATAGCTCTAACCTCGTAACCTCGCTCTCTGCATTTCTGCATGCTCGTTGGTGCAGCCCGGTACGACCAGAGCCACGCACCTCCCAGCCACCGAAAAGGCTCGATCCCGCCGACTCCGCTAATAATGTGATGTTATGTTGGTCTTCGGTCCTGGCACTCGGGGCTACGGGGCGGGTGGAGTGCTTCTCTTCCTCCTCCCCGGCGCCTTGTATGGCCCGTCGTGAAATGAAGCGCCCTGCTTGTCCCGGGCGCCAACCCCGATTGCTGGCCCTGGAGCAATGCCTGACTCGGATCGGCTGGACACCGGCTCCCTCTGGATCGCATCCCATGTAATTGTCTCGGATGATTTGAATTTTTTTTTCATGGGTTTAGAATTCTCCTTTGTGCGAGCAAATTATGATTAGCCACAGTAGTTACAGTAGTGTGATCTAGTGGGTAGCCATCTCACCGCAAATCAAGGACAAGAAGCAGGCCTTGTAACCCCCCTAGGAAAGCCAAGCGTACAACTATCGTATGCCGATGTACCTCTGTCCCTCTGTATGGACAGAGTGTTGGAAGCGCAATCTCCCTGGGCCGGGATCCAGCTTGATCGCATGGCGCCAACGTCTATACATCGCGGATGGAGCCCAGGCTTTAGATATACATGCACCGGCCCTTCACAGCCCCTGCTCCTCTCCACCCCGCTCCCTGTCACAAACTTAAGCCCCTCCACCACGCTAAAAGGATTGGATGTGATGAACGTGGTCATCCTGGTCTCCCCAAAATTAATACCTATCCCTGTCGGTCCTTGCATCGCTCTGGTCGTTTTGATATTCTCGCCTTCTGCACCTTCCAACCCCCTCCCCCCGGTCCGCCACCCCTTAAGTCTCACATATCGTCTCTGGGGTATCTATCTTATTAGGGCCCCAAGCATCACATTGCCAGATCGTTCCTACCTGGCGAATTCCTCCCCACCCTCCCCTCTCGGCTGCCTCCGGCACGATCTTTGGTCGGGTGTTTGCTCCAATATCCAAATGCCTGGTGCTATCCTGTCTCTTTGCTTTCCTTGACCTTAGTATACTCCAGGTCGTGGCCAGCGAGTAACCTTGTGGCTCAACAAATCAGGTCAGTACCTGCGCCTTTTTTTTGGGTGAATTTATCTGTTGCATTTCGCGATCCCTTTTACCTCTCGCTATTTTCCTGTGCTCTTCTCTGCTGGATTTTGCATCAACCACCAGTCTTGGAATTGCTAGCTGCGGGTGTGATCTCGGGGAGTTTACCGCTGCGGAGAATAGTGTCCATGGGGCGGATCACACGTCCATGCTCGCCCGTTCTCTATCCCAACTAGTTGAACAGAAGACGAAGAATTGAAAGACATAGTGGAATTAATGTGAGCTAGGACTCTCGGCTACCAGACTCGTGAATCGCGACACCCCTAAGAGCAATGGCGACACAGTCGCAGGCTCCGGAGTCCCGCTTCGAGCCATGCGCCTCGACAGCCTCGTTATTTCTCTACAGCCAAGACTCCGTGATCTTATGCTTACACCATGACACCCTGGCAATCGAGCGCCGATTCGAAAACCACTCGGACAAAATCGAGTTCATCTCCGTGGACAACGTCAGCGAGCGCGGGAACGGACGCCTGGTGGTCAGTTACGATGTGGGCCAAACAGCGATTGTCTGGGATATTTTTACAGGGACGGAGATCGCGCGCTTTGCCTCGTTCGAGAGCTTGACAGCGGCGGTGTGGATGCGCAATAGGAATGTGGCATTCGGTAGGCGCGCATTTTCAGCTTCGAGATCGAGACAAGACGGCGAAAAAGAGCTTGATTCGCTGATTCGAGATCTAACTTTACAGGAAACAGCAAGGGCGAGGTTATACTGTTTGAGCCCCAAACATCCGAGCATCTTTCGACTCGAACCATCTTTGATCCGATCACAGCGCTCGCCCCGGCAGCCGATTCCCGCACGTATGCCATTGGGTATGTTTACTACGAATTCTTCCGTCGGAATCGCCCGAAAGCTGGAGCTGATCTTTGGGCCTTCTTTCTAGCTATCAAAACGGGTCGATATTGATCGCGAGCCTTCAACCTCAATTCGCTATCCTCCATTCCTTGACTACTTCTCGTGGGCCTTCTCCAATCATCTCCCTTGCCTGGCATGCTTCATCCTCAAAGCAGAAGTCAGATATGTTGGCCACGCAGGCTTCCAATGGGGACCTGAGGGTTTGGAGTGTAGCCAAGCCTCCTGGGAAAGAGGCACCGCGAGTAATTCGCGTTTTAAAAAGGTCTGATTCTACATCGGCAGATCCGAAGTGGATGGCGTGGTCGAAAAACGGAAGAATCGTCCAATATCTAGAAGGGTAAGAAAAGAAGACTCGAGGTATGAACCGCATTTTGCTAATGTTTTCATTTCTCCTCCACAGAGAAACCGTGTCCTGGGACGTTCGGACAAAACACGTAACGTATGAGCCCATTCCCACCATCGACGGGGTCCGAGGCATCGCCAACTATGGCCCAACGGCGGCATTATTTACGCTTGGCCCCCACAACACAGTCCAACAGTACGACCTCGATAGCCCGGCGATGGTGGCCAATGTGCAGCACAACCTGCCCACCACGACTCGAATGAAAACCTCTGAGCGGAGCCGGTCACGAACACAGTCTCCGCACCGCTTGCAGGATGCCCCGGATATCCGCGAACGAAGCGGTAGCAGACGGACTCCCGTCGCATTCGAGACAAATGTCGTTGAGAATGCGAAGCAGCGGGGCCCAGACCTGATGAGCCCTGTTTCTTCACGAAGCCAAACCGAATCGGTGAGCTCGAAGGCGTCCTCGGCAAAATACAAGCCGGAGAGGTATTCACCACCGAGCCGGTCAGTTCAAAGCGGGACTTCATTCTCGATGAGTGGCCAGGAGACCCCACAGGCGTCGGCGTCTTTCCACTATCCTTCCTCGGCCTCTATGACTTCGATGAAAAGTTCACGGGCAGGTTCTAGGTTGCGGAATGAAGTCCATATGAGCCCTGCCGAGAAAAATCCTTTGGATTTATTCCCATTCACTCGCGCTCGACTGAATGACGTGCCGTTTAGACAGCAACCACCTCTAGATGAGTCTCATTTGACTCCCGATGATTTGCGTCGGCAAATGCTAAGCGTTGTCTTTGGTTGGGATGGAGATGTGAAGGATCTCATTCGGGATGAGGGTATGTTCTTTTGTTTTGACACCAAAGATACGTCATTCGACTCCCAGCAATTAACTGTTCCATAGTGAGTCGGCATCAAGAGGGCAGCCAAAGCGCAATTCTACTGGCCCAATGGCTCGGCGAAACCAACAGCACGCAAATGGCCTCGATGATTCAGCCCGGTCAAGTGACGACCTTGGACTGGATGGTATTGGCGTTGAGTCAAATGAGTCGCAAAACACAGGCGAACAAGGTTGGTCAGGCCTTTGTGCAGAAGCTTCTTGAGCTCGGTGATGTTCATACTTCGGCCACCATCCTCCTGGGTCTGGGAGACAGTAATGATGCGATCGAGGTCTATGTATCGCGCAACTATCTCATGGAAGCCATCCTGATGACCTGTCTTCTCAAGCCAAGAGACTGGCAGCGTCAGTCGTATCTGGTTCGTCGCTGGGGAGAGATCGTTGTCGCCCAGTCTCAGCAAGAACTCGCTATTCGCTGTTTTATGTGCACTGGGGCCGAACCGACAGAGCCATGGACATCTCCAGGTGCCCAGCACGCTGCGACATTTGGCCTATCTTCTCCCGACCCTTTACTGAGCGCTGGACTTCCGTCAGGTCGACCCCTGCCGGGATCCAACCGTCTTTCTATTAAGGGGCCACCGCTCAAACTGATTACCTCATTCGACGCCCAGTCGAGCATGCGACACCGATTCCCGGGACTCCTGGACGAGCGGACACCCACAAATGCACCTGGAGTCACCCCTATCGCCGATTCGGCTACGGTTGAAGGGATGTCTCCTGGTGGCCTAGGACTTCACAAACTAAATAACATCCAGAGCTTGAACCAGGCTATGACTTCTCGGACCAATACTCCTTACACTCGAAATCGTCTTCCATCGATTGGAGAAACTCCCATTGATGTGCACCCCCCTGCATTCTCAAGATCTAACACCGGGGATTCAAGTAACTACGGTTCCACTTCAGAGCTCGATGACACTAGTGGTCAGGAGCAGAGTCAAGATGAAATAACAGAGGATAGTGGTCTATTGACCTTGTCCTCGGCACGTTACAACCCTAATTCGGAGACTCATTCCATTGGGCCAAGCCCTCAGACCGCCGTTCAATTGCCGGAGAGCTTCAAGGGGCTGCCTTCGCCGGCGCCGGGCTTTATCGAGGCCCTGAAGGAGCATACAGACATTAAAAATGGCTCAAGAGACCGCAAACCGGATGGACTCCAGATTGAGCTGGTAGAGACCGAAGAAGCGCAACCTGACCCCCGCGAGCGGGTTGATCTTCTTCCCAGTGCCCGAAGCACTTCGACCATGCAGAGTTATAATTCCACCAAGAGCCCAAGTGTGAGCGTCCGTAGTATTGATCAATATATCCGCAGTTTGGATGAGGCAAATTACCATGCGAAGAAATATAGAAGTGGGCGCTCTCAAGGCCGTGGTCGACGCAACACAGACGAAACCGCCAGTCAAAGCTCTCGCACTCAGCATCACCGTGAGAGATCCCAGGAATCGCGAGGCCGCAACGATCGTCGATATATTCAGCCTGCGAAACGTTCTCCTTCGTCTCCGGTGCCAATGTCGCCCGAGGAACTGGCCCGATACCATAACGGCGAAGCTTTGACGCCCATAGAGTCGAAAAAGAAGACACATGGGCGAGCGAGGAGCGGGAGCACCATGAGGAAAGAGGGATCATCTCGCCACCGCCAACGGTCCTCGAGCAGACACACAGCTAACCGCTTTGCAGGAGGAGATAGACAAGATGCGTCAGCCCGTGGGCGTAGTGTCGAGCGAGTAGGATCTACCCTTCGATCTCCATCTTCTCCTCTGCCCATGACCTTGCCCATGACATTGCCCAATGAGGTCGAAAATCCCCTTCGTTTGGTTGCCGAGAATCAAAAGCGATTGCGTTCGAAGGGGCGCAGTGCCAGTCGTCGCCGTGCCGAGAAAGAACCCAGCAGCCGGCGGGAGGCCTCTCCAGAGCCTAGACACAAGGTCTCTCGCAGTGTTTCGGAGATTCGCCCGGCTCCTGAGCCAGAGGTCACGCTTGAGCCTGCGGGATTGGAACAATTGAGCGCCAAAACATTTGGCCAGGAGGATGTAATTCTCAGCGCAGCCACCTTCAACCAGCAGGACTCCACCACAGATGAATCACAAGACTTTGTCACGTCGCCAACTACCCCGTTTGTGAGTCTGGCTGAAAAAAAGAGGCGAGAATTGGCGGCGGCCGAGCTTGAAGCTCGTCGTCTCTCTCTTGCACGCAACCCTTCGGCACCTAACATCCCTTTCCCTGGCGACCTCCAATCTGCGCGAAGCCCGATTGAAAGCCCCGTTTCTCAATTCAATGGAGGTGGGTATTTTCAACGGGCTCCATCACGGACTATAATGCCCAGCAAAAGCTCTCCTGACTACCAGAGCTCCGACTCTGGTTCCTCTAGATCTGGGGCTGGGGTCCCTTTAGGGCTTCCCGCAACACCTCGAGCAATGCGCCATCCCAAGTATGGCATAGGGAATGAGGAAGAGCGCCCTCCCTCTGTGCCTGCTATTCCCACCGATTACCAGGGCACTCTTCTTAGCGACGCTCGATATCAGAGTGAAGTGGAGGCAATCGTGCGGGCGAACTCGGTTCCTGTAGCGGACCTCCAACCCAGCGGTGGCCCTGTGCCAAACGATACCCCCATGCACCCTCGTTTCAATCCTCATCTTCCACGAAGCCGCTCGACTAGCCGCAGCCGGACCATGGGTCACCGACGTACAAGCTCGGGGGGCTATGGATCCCCCCACTCGGGCTCTCCCCATCCCGGATCGCCCTCGTTGGCCGTTAGCATCGAGGAGTCAATCGAGCAAGTCATGCAAAACAGACCGGTTGGACAGCAAAGAGACTCAATAATCCCTCCTCCGCCACCCCCGCCGCCTCTTCTCCCGGAACTGCAGCACCTTACGACTCCCCCGCCCCCACCTCCAGCTCCCTTCCCCGGAGCTGAGGATAGCCTCTCCCCCCGCGAGTCCTCTGGCACCATCGACGTCGCTATTGACAATGCGCAAATGGGCCACATGCTCACTCGCGCAATGACAGCAGCCCCAACTCTGCCCGGTCAAGATTATCTTCCCCGGGCGAACACGGCAGGCCCAGCCCTGGGCAGCCAGGAGCCTCGGCCAAACTATACTCGCCGCATGTCTTTCGAGCACCGACGCAACCGCAGCACTAATAACGAAAGCTTTGCAAACAAGTTGCGCAGCCTGACGCGCATGCGCAGCAATAGTCGCAGCGCAGAACCGTGGGGCAACACTGAGGCCGAATGGCCGTATGGCTACGAGTCTATCCCGCCTCGCGCAGCCTCTAGCCAAGACAATGGCACATAGTCCCTCCCATCCTGTGAATAGGCTTATCTCTTTTCTCTTCACTCATTTCTTACCCCTTTCCCTGCCCTTCTCCCTGGACTTCTGATGATGCATGTTTTTTTAACGTTTTAGCGAACTACTACAAATGTTGTGCTACACAGCAATCCTTCCCTTTCCCTTGTCTGTCCATTTATACCCCTTTCTATTCATTGATGACCTGCCCTCTTCTTCTCTCGAATCCATTTTTCTATTCTGGATCACTTTCTTTGGAATCTGAATTAACGCATAAAGCGTACTCTATCAGTCGTATATAATTTGTGTCGTGACCATTTATTCTACGCTGCACCGACTTTCCCTTATACCGAAAAATTCAGACCGATGGTGTTCATTTTCCTCTTTCTCTTTTCTATCTCTACATTGTACTCGGGGACTTCGATGGCCGAAGGAAAAAAAAATTAGCTTCACAGCTGGAAGGACTAGGTAGTTCGGACGAATCTCACAAAGACAGTTTCAAGTCAATGTACTAGTCTTCAAATGCTTTCACTATAGATATTATTGTACAAAGAGCAAGGACTAGATTGATAACCAAGAAGATTATGGTTACCAGCCCCGTCTTGGGGGCGATGCTTCGGCCGCCGCGTTACGCTCGGCCTCCATCATCCGATCAAAGTCGGCCTGCGCTTGCTCCTTCTCGCTTCTCCTCCCATGGTCGTATCGATCTCGATCACCGGAAGGAGTATAAGTCGGTGACTCTGCGTAGCCCTGAGATTGGCCCCATTGCGGCTGGGCCGGCGGGGAGCTTTGAATCCCATTCTGCCTTCGAAGGCGCTCCCAGGCATTCCCAATGGGCGAGCCATCAGGGTTCGTGTTCCGGTACTCCGGGGCCGTAGGGCTGGCGTCGTCATCGTTGCTGCCACCAAAGAAGAAGTCTGTGCCAGAAGAGGACTCGTTAGAGGGCTGCTGGGGTGCACTCTGGGCGCTGTAGCCCCACGGCCTGCGTGGAGCCTCCGGCCCAGGGCGCTGGGCACTGGCGGATTCGCTCTGTTCATAGGTTTGGGCGGTGCCGTATGAAGTGTCGTTATCGGAGGATGCAGTTGCGGATATCGCATTGCTGGACGCGTAAGGGTCCTGGTCTCCGTCCTGGGCATGAGAGCCGGGGTGTTCGATCTCCGCAACGACCTGGCCACGCATGTCCCTCTCACCGTCGCGAACGCGGCGCACGCGTTCAGACGCAGCTTGCATCTTACGCTTTCGTACGTCTTCAGGCTTCTGCCGTCTCATGTCCTCCACGAACTCCTTCAGCCGGGGATCCTGAAGTGCCACCTGGGCCTCCGTCCACAGCGCCCAGAAAGAGGTAGCAATCGAGCCGGTCATACTGATGAAAAGTAGTTTGAACGCACTCGAAGATATCCAACCCCGGAAGCCTGCTTTGTCGGTAACGGCGTAGTTACGGAGGAACTTGAAGACTTCCTGTGGGCCGGCAGTCGTTGGCAATTTTGCAGTCTTCCGTGTCGCGTTGTAAAGGTATGCGGTACCGAGGAAAGAGGAAATTGGCAATCCCATTTTTCGGTAGTATAGGGCACGCGTTGCCTGGGTGGTAAAGGCGTCGAATTCATCTTGCGTCGGGGACCGGCCGGCCATGACCCAGGTATTTTCCACGCGCTCCATCAGCGCATATGCCACATGGCGCTCCCAGTTATAGTTTCCGTAGAAGCCAAACAGTTTTGTGAAAGCATCGGGCCGTACGACCAACTCTGGCTTGACAACCAGGTGGAAGTTACTCGCCATTGCGGGGTTTTGGCTCACGGAGCTTTGGGATGTGGGGTTGACGGGGTCATTACTGCCAGGGTATGATGACCCCTGTGGCGAGGCATCGTCAACAACCATAGCGGCACTTTTTAGATGGTAGCTAGTTGAAAGAAAGAAGCTTTGCAGCTAGAAACTCGACGCCGTCGGGGACCTGGGGTGTCGCGGGCATGACGTTACGGCTGACTCATCATTTATGTGACTAAGCGGAAACTATACCCGCCTAGGCTAGAGAGCAGTGATGGAGTATTTATGCTTTGTAGGTAATTTCATATAGTATTAAGGCTGCTAAGTTCTATAAAATAGGTTATAGGACTATGGCTTAAAACATTAATCACTAACTTTAATAGCTATCCATCGATGGCAGGTATTGAGGTAGAAAGCCCATTGGATTTGCTCTGTCGCATACAACTATGATATCAAAAGCTACCTCATTTCAGCCAAGGGGCCTCATTTGTTTACAACAGAAAAATAAAATCTGTTATATTTCCAACAGTTTAAGGATAGAATATTATGATTATCAATTCGAAAGACCGATGGTTGAACTACCACTTCTCAATATACGGCCGCAAGTCCAGCTCGAATGCAAACGTAGTTCGCGGCTGGGTATGCAGATGCCAGTAGGAATCCGCAATCTAAACAATAAGTCATTAATTTGATCCAAGTGATAAAAGGGCGTCGATACTGACAGCATCAGGGCTCAATTTTGCGTCTTCATGCCCAAGGTCCCATGCCTTGGTGCGCGGGATATCAATGATTCCGTCGATGATAGCATGCGACACGTGAATACCTTGAGGGCCAAACTCACGGGCCAGAGACTGTGATAAGGCTCGGAGCGCAAATTTGGCCGCCGCAAATGAGGCAAAGTTGGGGGATCCTTTGATACTCGCTGTCGCACCAGTGAAAATCAAGGTTGGTGGATGAGGGGAGGACTCCCTCGCTTTAAGAAGAAGTGGAAGAGCTCTTTGGGCGATGTTAAATCCACCTTTTCTGTATGTCCAATCAGATAACTTGTTCAATTACTGCCTGGTGTCAACTGGATGATACGCACGCCTGTGAATCCAGTGAGCCGGCAAAATCCTCTGTCGTCAGCTCCAGAAACGGCTTCCTAACGAAGCCACCGCCAGGATTGAATATTGTTGCAGCCAGAATGGAGTCTGGGAACTGCTTCTCGATTTGATCGAAAGCAGCATTTACGCTGTTTCGGTCAGAGACATCGGTGCTGATTCCGATAGCTTGCCCCCCGCTGGAGTTGATCTCATTGACCAAGGGTTCGTAGCTACCGGGACTTCGAGAAAGAACCACTACAGAATAGCTCTTCGCAAAGCGTCTGGCAATTGAAGCGCCCTGTAAACGTCGATTAGTCGCGGTGAAGTATAGCAGGTATGCATCGAGAGGTTGCGGGGAAATACCGTGCCTGGGCCAACGCCAGCAATGACTGCAAGGGCCTTCGAAGCCATTATTGATAATTTGTGCTGCAAAAAAATCTTTTTGTGAGCAGGTTTGAGAAGTGTAGTAAATTGAGTTAGAATTGAGGGCCAGTGCAGTTTTAGTAGTTTACCTCGGGGTACCTTCTAACGCCGACGCTTAGAAATGCACCGGGGATTGATCATCAACCACATCGATGATATCATCTGGGAGAACCGGCACTGGCGCCCGGTGTCAACAATATCTCTGATTATCATATCATCCGAGGTCCTAGCTGTGTCATCAATCCATTCAATTTGATGCAATTGATGTCAAGGCCATCCTAGTGGATAATTTGCCAAAATATGGATAAGTGCTGGTACAATAGCTAGTTGTGGCCTTAGGCCGCTATCGATAAGCCGCGTCTCAAATTTCCCAGTTTCATGCTCTCGTCGCATCCCCGACTTTCAACACAGGAGCCATGGATAGCTCCGATCCGTTACTGAGTGAGCTCTGCTCAATATGGTAAGAAGTATCCTGTCCGTCAAGAGTATGCACCTTGGAATCTAATGCGCTGCCTTCGACAGCCACGTTAATCCCCCGAAATATCGCTGTCCTCGCTGCTCAACGCGCACCTGCTCTCTTCCCTGCACTCGCCGCCACAAGCTCTGGTCCCAATGTTCTGGTGAGCGTGACCCTGCAGCTTATCTCAAGCGCAGTCAACTTGCTACGGAATCTGCTTTCGATCGCGATTTCAATTTCATTAGCGGAATCGAGCGCACGCTCGAGCGTGCGGAGAGAGATGTAGAGAACCGGGGCATCGACCTTGCGCATGGACAAGACATTGATCAAGTAAATGGAGAGGATGCTCAAACCTCTGGCACAGGGCGGAAACGGAAACATCCGGGCCAGGGTCTAGTCAAGGGAGAGGCTGGATTCTTGCGTGGAGCGGAAGCCGGGGCCGTCAAGGTTATTCGGGCTCCGAAAGGAATGTCAAGGAATAAGCAAAACAATTCAAGATGGCATCCTAAGTGAGTACAACTGATGTTTGGGTATTTCTGAGTTCGTTCTAACTAGTTTCCTGTTTGAAGGCACAAATGTCTTAGCTGGTCAGTGGAATGGGTCTCACCGGCCGGGGCGAAGAGTGTGAAAAATTGTCTTGAAAATTGCTCCATTGCCGAAAGCTACGATCGATCATTCCCAATCCCTAAACAAGAAAGGCCCCCGCGGTCACGAAAGAAGAGAACGAGAGTCAACAAGAGAAGACATCTACATCACAGGCGCCTCCGGAGACCACTACGGAGACCACTACGGCTATAGCCGAATCTTCTACTCCTGCAAAGGCCTTGGATGAAGTACCAAGCACAGAAACACAAGCTGGGAAGACAGAGGAGCCTGAAACGCAACCAGAACCTACAATGGAGAAGTTAACAGACCTATCGATTGGTCCTCATCGTGATCTCTACTTCTATCTCCACCGCCCACGCACCGCAACAAAGAAGCCGGTATTAATCCCTCTGCCGCCATCGGGGAAATTGGCCGCTGTATTACGCGAGCGTACAGTGCTGGAGTTCCCCACGATATACACGCTACCCTACTCCGCAGAAACACTACTTGCGGAGAAAGACACGTCCCCATTCATTCTGGAAGAAGAGTATCTACGAACAGCAGGACCTGAACAATTAGGGGAGGAATCAAGAGACTTGGACCAGGATGACAGTTCCCCTGAAGATGGTGCCTCTGGGATTCCTGGATCTTCACTCGACCTACAAAAAGTGGATGAGAAAAAGGTGCTGGAAGTATTGAAGCAGGACCTTTTTGAGCCTGTGCCGGATGCTGAATGATGGCCAAGACTAGTAATACTCAATACCCTTCTCGCGAATGAAATTTTGAGATATATACGACGCTATACATTTTCTGAAGGAGGTCTGACACTTAGGGTGTCAGGCGTACTTTCTATTTAACAGCTATTTCTACGCTTGTCTCAATAACACAATCCAGCCATCCGATCAGATCAGAAACTGACTCTTCCTGGGTTATTACGCCTGGCACGTACGTCTCGAGCGCGTTCGCGTATAGGCGTGCTATTCACTGTTGATGCTCTTGCACTTGTGTAGTTGGCCTTAGTTGCAGTAGTCATTAAACTTGCTAGGGTCCATGCTGCGTCGATGCACTTCCCATCCTAATCGGATTGCTCCTTTAAGCCGTATGCTTCAATGTGGGGCAAGAGTTACAAGTATCTTCTGAGAAAAGAAAGTATCTTCTTAGAAAAGAATTTGAGGGTCAGCATAGGTCAAGCGGGGGAGACGGGTTACTTCTCGAGGTAGAAGGATTAAAGGATGGCATCTGTTTCATTCCCAGAAGCTCTGGCTAATCTATGTACAGTACAAAGACCCTAGATCAATTTCGACGTGTTAGTGTTCTATATAAGTTGATTGGACAGTGGGCAAGCCTAGTATTTGAGAAATGATTCTCTGGGACGCATGAGCAACATGGCTCCGGGCAATTGGTGACTGCTGATTTGCTGGTAAGTAGGCATATTGTTGATGCATGGGGATTTTCACAAAGATAACTTGGTAAGATTCCTTCAAGAGGTCCATTAGACCAAGGCGTCACAGGTACATACCGAGCGCGTGCAGTAACGCGAGGTCTAAAGAACTCAACGGGAAGGTAGGTTACCGGGCCGGGGGACGGACATGATGCGAACGAGGTTAGACAGTTTTCAAGCACTCGGTCGATGGGACAAGAGACCTGTGCCATCGAGGAGTTAATCAGATTTGATCGGAAACGATCAGAATAACTCCAAAAAATATATGACCCAAACAAGCCGACAAGACAGCCCCGGGGGTATTGAACTAAATGACAAAAAGATTCAAAAAATCATAAACTCCGAAAATATAACTCCCACAATATGCAAAAGATCGCTCAGGGTGCAGCAGAAAATGTATATAAATCCATAACATCCAAAAAAAAATCCAAGACGCAATGCAGCACAAAGATGCAAGGATCAAACCTCGACATGTTGGTCGGCGTCAATGGCAGACTCAACATCGGTCAAGAAGTAGAACTGTCAGAATCCGAGGCCGTTTCAGGAATATTGGAAACGTGAGCTCTGGATGCACTATCCACTGAGGTGACAGGTTGGGTAGGAACTGTGTTGGGTACAGTAGGTACGGTGATTCGATCTCGATCACCATGTGATGAGGCCTTGTCGGCTTTGTCAAAGCTGGACTGCGCCTTGGATCCAGTGGGAGACATGTTGAGCTTCTCTGATCGGCTGGGCTTCAGCTTCAGACGACCTTGCTCAAGCGCGCGAAGCACCATGCCAATATCCTGCGGGTCAATTGAGCGAAGCTTGCTCATCGCATCGTCCGAGACATCGGCGAATGCATTCCAGCCTAGCTTGTCGAACTCTTCGGATGTTGAAGACTTTGACTCCACGGACGGACCGCCGGTAACCAAGCGGTGCAGGAACGAATCGGAGACGCTAGGGCGGCGCGGAATCTTGACCGGCTTGGACTTGTTGCTGGTGCTGGTGGAAGCAACCTCGTCTTGGTGGCGCTTCGGGGGGCGGGCCATCGGGGCGTTGTGGCCCTCGCCCACCTCGTTGCGGATCTTATAGTAGATCAGCCCTAGGGTGGCGGCTAGAGCCTGGTGTGCGGCTTCGGGGAATTGGCGGACAGCTTCTGCCCGAGTGATATTGTTGTATCCCCCATCGCTGGAGCTACTGGAATCACTGTCGTCGGCGAACATGTCCGATGGATGCATCCGACACCAATCCTGGTAATCACCCAGTTGGTAGAATTCTGCAAGCTCAATCAAACGATGAACTATTCAAGATAGATTGTTAGATGAAAGCATTCACCGGGCTTATCTAAAACTTTTAAGAGGCTCACCTCGGCTCCTTTTCTTGAGACACCAAAACCTCCACACCGTCCGGGGGAAGTATGCGGGCCATTCAAGAGAACCATTTTCCGTTACAAGGGGGACAGGGCTGATCGGGGCGTGGACAGTGTGGGCGAGAGAGTTGAAACGGACGCGTTCCGAGTGACGCATACGCGAGTCGATTGAATTCATACGCGAGTCGATTGAATTCATACGCGAGTCGATTGAATCCATACGGGACTCGATTGAATCCATCCGCGTAGTGAAGCGGGACTCCATGGACTTGAGTTGGTGGGATAATTTGTGTTCAAGAGTGACGAGATCGGTGCGAAGCTGGTTGGTGGCTGTTTGCAGGCGGCTAATATCGATCCGAGTGGCACAGGCATCAGTCTTCATCTGCTCCGAACTCGACTGGAGCTGGTCCACGGCCTTCTGCAAGCGATCCACATCTCCGCGCAGGAAGACGGTCTCAGTCCCGGACTGTCCGACGCTCGATTTCAGCTGGAAAATGTTGGTTTTGATCTGTTCGACATCGGAGCGTAATGCCACGACGTTCAGATCGATTCTTTGGGAAATCGCACGGTGATTCTCAAATTCCCGGCGAATATGCTCATCCTCGCGATTTCGACGATCGACGTACCCATCCTGAGTAAGGATGGTGGCGCGAAGCTCGAGAACACGCGAGTCCAGTTGGTTCATGCGGTCATGGATGTGGAAGAGGGACAGCTCCGATCCCGGCGGTGTGGTCTCACGTCGGACCGGTAGGCGAGGGCTAGACATAGAGAGCGAGGTACTGGAGGTACAGGAATGGCTCCTCTCGAGGGTAGTGGTGGACATGGTGCAAGCGATGAATTCGTCTTCTGGGGGCACCTTCTATTGCTGGCGACAAATTTGACGGGTCGGTGATCGCATTTCTCTCTAGACCGGTATATCGTCCATCTTGGGAAGGCAGAGATCGCGTGGGTGGTCTGGTCTGTGGTGTATGTGTGTGGGCAGACTGTGCTATTTCTGGGGGGCTGGCGAGAGTAAAAAGGGCGAGGCCCAGAAAGGGGGGCGCTGCACTGCCAATACCACGTCCGCTCCACCCAACAGCGCATATCCCGGCTCGTTTTTCTTACCGAGCTGCAGGATGCCGGCCCTACAGGCCCTACAGGTCAGATCCGCCGGGCCACCGATTCATTCTGACTCGGATTGCTCACTCGATGACGCTGAACAGAGCCTGCGTAATAGCACAATATTGCGGTCCCTTCCCATGAAGCCGCACACTCCCTATGACTGACTCCTCTGAATCACTGAATCCATCGGAATGCTGGGGACCGGATCGATGGCAATAATACCACGCCCTGACCATACCGAAACGGCGGTGCACGGCGGTGCACGGAGGATGCTTGGCGTACAGTAGTGCGACAGTGCTAGTGCGCCCGTGCTGCTGACTGCAGTGCACCCCGCGAGGCCCGCGCTGACTGGCTGTTGCCCGTCGCCACCGCCCGCCTATTGGCCACACCCGCTCGCATCGCTGGCCCCAAAGGTTTTCACCCGCGAGACCAACTCAGGCGCATGCGGTCGGATGATGCATTCTCACCCAGCCCGTATGGTCGGTACGGTCCCCATACACCCTCCATACACCACCCAGACTCCACCCACATACCCCCCTGCACTGACTCCTATCAACGGGCAGACATGAGGCTATACAGCCACCACGTCCACAGCCATCACAATGATTCAAACTGAGCTCATAGCAGGCAGATCTGTAGTCAGCCCTTTTTCCTAAGTTGCTAAGGCTCTCTAGGCTTCCGTTTGCCAGAGTGTACCGATTCGGCTCGATCATGGCGCTGCACGCCGTAGACTGCCCTCCTCTCAGTATGTCCCGATTAGGAAATCATGATGCCCTTGCAACCAACTGCGACATCACCGCATCGCGGCTTCCTCATGACGAAACATGAACTGCCTTTTTGTTTGGCAAGTCTGGATGCTGTTGAAAGGATGAACCAAACGGCCTACAACATCTCATCCGCCACTACACGGCTCCCCGAACCACCATGAAGCAAGGCATCCTCTCATTCGGCCTCCTCGGACTGGCAGTGCTGAGTTCTAGTGCAGTCCTGTCCTCAGATTCAAATCAGAATCAGTCTATTCAGTCCATTTCACGGCCCCCACACAAGAAGAATCTTCGTGATTGTGACTGTTTCACCGTGTCCGGTCCCGACCCAGGGTACTTCCAACACTACAAGCTCTGGGACTTTCGCTCCGTTCCATTGCAGAAAGAGCGCCATTCGAATCAACCGGATCCAGACAATGGGTCAGATGATAGGTGGCCAGATTTGAAGGGCAAGAAACGAAAGAGTCATCGGCACGATGAGGACGACGATGACGACGATGACGACGACGACGACGACGAGCATAACGACGATGACGATGATGAGGACGACGAGGAAAACGAGGACCCCGAGAGCCTCTGGTTCTTCGAGACAGCATTTGACAAGGACTGGCTAAGCCAGCAGTGGCAGCGCCCTCAAACGTCCCTTGCTCCCGTGACTATGATCAACTCCAAAAAGAACATCTTCTTCACTAAGAATCACCAGCAACTCGATGATGATCTCGCCACCTATCTTGTCATGCGCTCACATCGTCACTGGAACTATACCAGTACTGCCGAGATCGAAACACGCGTCCGCAATATCTTCCGCTGCTCCATACGCGTTCATTTCCGCATCTTGCCGGTCAATACGGTGATTTCGCAACCTCCAGGCACGGAGGAATGGCCTCTGTTAGATCTCCAACAAGATGTCACTCCAATACTAGGTAAGCAGACTCTGTCAGAAAACGGAACAGCTTCCATCGCCGAAGCCCGACCTCCTACCGGAGCCTGTGTCGGCATTTTCACATATCACGCCCGCAACTGTGAATCCGACATCGAGATTCTAACCAGCGACCCATTGTACCGGGTACACTATGCCAACCAACCCGATTATGACCCGGAAACGGATGAAATGATTCCTGGCGCCAGCACAGTTGCAGATGTCCCAGTACACTGGACAACCTGGTCCACGCACCGTCTAGACTGGCTTTCCGACACCTCGCGCTGGTGGGTGAATGACGAGCCCCAAGCAGCCAAGACCTACCGCGTGCCCAATCTCCAAAGTAGACTGGTGATCAATCTTTGGAGCGATGGAGGGGTATGGACCGGTGACATGCGAATCGGAGACAGCATCTTCCTAGCCATCGAGTACATCGAGCTCGCGTACAACCGCTCCTCCGACGGCTCCGGTGGCGTAACGATTCCGCCATCGCAACGACATGGTGGCCACCAAGAACCTTTCGGCAACAGATCGGTCGCTGAATTCGATCCTATGTGGGGAGAGTCATGGGCGCCGAACACTGACATCGTCGAGGGGACCACCAAGAAGAAACACAAATGCAAGAAGGGCAAGTGCCACAAGCAGAAAAAGAAGCATGGCAAAGGCCGGAAGCATGGCAAAGGTCGGAAGCATGGGAAAGGGGCGGAGCATGAGAAGCACTCGTGGTGTCGCCGTGCCTGTAATATCGATGACCTTCATTTTGCCAATGGCGGACTAGCCTATTGATTAGCGTTATCTTTATTTAGCTATATCCTCCACTCATTTTGGTTGGTGACGGGCGAGCGTGGGGTTGTATTTTATTTTTAAAAACTCCAGGAAATCATAACCCTTTTTTTTGGAATTCTACCATCGACCTAGGCTGGCTGACTAGGCTGGCTCTGTTCTATCTACATCTAACCCTGAACCAAAGCATGGAAGTTCTCATGGGATTGATTGTGTGGCCCTGCCTCAATATTCACGCTAGCTGACTATACCACGTCCTTTGTAAAGCACTGATGCAAAAGGACAAGGGTTGGATGGACACATGAACTTGTCCAGGCCGTCTCCTTTTGCAAATATTCTATGGAAAGAAACACTGTGGTAACACATTCCCAGCTCTGTCCAGACCATAGAGTGCTTTCTTTCACCTGCTCATTTGTCAACAACAATGGGGTATCATTCGAAACTCATCCAGAGCCTTAATAAAACATCATAGAAAAGAAAGAAACGAAGGAGAGAAAAAAAAAAAAAAAAAAACAAAAAAAAGTAAACCCGAACCCTGATGAAATTATCGCCCATCCTTCGCCCCCCGCCCCGTTCTCTTTATCTATATCGCCATGCACGCCAGAAGAAAAATGAAATTGTAAGAAACCGAAGCCGCAAGCGCCCTTGGGGTAGCAATCGTCCATGTACTGGAGTTGATGGTGGATGAGAGGATGGAGGGTGTGGACAAAAAAAGGGTGTGTATAGAGGTATTTCCGTTATACAAGGAGCTGTTTTGACTCCGTTCCACGGATGAGGTTATGGTATGGTAGGGAGTGCGCATCAGCCTTAGCAATGCTCTCAAAGGAGCGTATCACCATGTACATCGATGGGGCTAAACTCCCCATGTAGGCCGCCATTCATGAGCTCGGCGACGATCTTCCTGCGCAGAAGCGTCGTATGGTCGGGACCAAAGGCAGTGGGTTCGATGCCCAGCGCAACAGCTTTGGCGTTTGTCAGGAGGAAAACACCGCAGTCGCTCCCGTTATCCTGGTGAGAGGACACAGATGGTAAAAACGTCCACTCGTCTTCGATGAATTTCTCACTCAATTCACCTCGAAGCCAGCCCTTAATGGTCTTGACCTGAGAGTGACCCCGATCGCCTAGAGAGTCGAAGTACTCAATCGTCCGCTCGGCGGGTCGTACCACCATGAGAGTCCAGTGGCTATGTTGATGTACCGGTATGAACACTGTATCAACGTCCAAGAGACCTGTGCCGCCGATTTTGGCGCGATTGGCCCATCGGCGAACACCTTGGTATCCTTTATCGCGAAGGGTGGAGTAGAAGAAGGTATTGAAAGCATGGAAGCGGGGCCGTTCATTTGGACCAGTATTCTCGGTGGATTGGCGGAGATATTGGACAATGACAGTAAGGTAAGAATTGATGATTTCGTCGTTCAGCCACGCTAGAGGCTTAATGCAGGTGGCAATATCTTTTTGGAATAGGTCGTCTCCGGAAGGGGATCGGGCAACAGCATGGCCTTGGGAATAACGCATAGCTTCCGATACGCGATTCAGCCATTGGAATGAAAGCTCCCGCACAACGAAGGGTCCCTTTGGGATGATCCTAGCCGGACGCCCTTGCTCACGTTCCAATGCTAGTCTTTCCTTCTCGCGCTTCTCCCATGCCGGCGCAAATATAGACGCGATACGATTGGCTGGCAAAGGTTTCTTTTCGGGGTAGAACAGCTGCACTGCGGATACCGGACGTCCAAAGGGAAGTTTCTCGAATGCCTGCGATTGCCGACACCAGGGATCATCAACTTGCAGGTCATCTTGAAATAACGGTCGTCGGGTCTGCTTGGGAGGTGCAGATTGAACAGGCCGGACTCGTTGCGGCGAAGGTGTGAACTTTATTGGTCTCCTGGGATGGAGATGTGAGCCTAATTCTGTCGGGAGTTCTGGAGCCAGTGGGAGGTCGATGTGTATCGGCTCAGGTTCTGCGAGGAAGGGGTATGCTTCGGTTTGCGATTCTTCAAATTGCTGTGTTGGTGAAAGGACTGGGGATGAGGGAGGTGATTCTGGAAATGCGCCCGGGATGGCCAAAGTGAATTCTCCTGGAACAGGTGCATTCGTGAGCAAATTTACATTCAACTTGCTCAGCTATTTTTGCTTAGTACCTTCAGAATCTGGGGAGAGCCGCTGCCCGCCCCTGGGACCCAAGAAAGGATCCTGGGAATCGGGTGTTATGGCACCATTGTGGATCGGAGCTGGCTGCGACTTGCGTCGAGACCATGAAAAAAATCGTTTCATCATCGTTGAGTCGTGAGTCGAAAAAGGACCCTCAAGAGGGAAGGCGGGTCAAGGCGGACGTGAAACACGCAGCACAATCAAGTAGAGACTAAATCAGAGCAAAAAGGGGACGGCGGATCGGCACATGTATGCGACAAAAAAGGTAAAAGGATAGATTCTAGCATCCATCATTGAGAGGGCCAACCCCAGAAGAGTGGAGGAGCCCTGTCGCGGAGTTGCGATCAGGACGGTAATGCGCGCTTCTCTTTCATCATCTGGGAGAGCGCCAGCTGACTCATCAAGCTAACCCACATCGGGGGATCTGCAGGTAAGCCGCGTGAAAGAAATTGTGCACTATAAAGGCGACCAAGGTCTATGAAAATGGTAGAGAACTTATAAATGGAAATTTTTTTACTAGAAATTTTCAACTTATGCATCGGCTGTTTTTGCAGTCAATGGAGCCTTAAGGATACAGATAGTAGTATGTACATGTATCGCTTTAAACTATGTCCCCAAGAGGTCTTCTTCCAGCACAGCCCGCTGGGCTGGAACACCAGAAGGCATCAAAGGCTGTGAAGGGGAAAGAAACCAAAACCAACAAGAACCTCGACTTCGTACGGCTAATTAGGGACTCCAAGTCCCAGCACTTCAAAAACGGGGGTGCCACATTAATGACCACCCATGGAATCCCTGAGCGATCAATGTATCAGTTCATATCCTACCAGCAAATAATTGAGAAAAAAACAGTCCCTACCTGCGTATACGACCAGTTTGGTCACAACCTCTACATCATAACGGACACGAGGTTTCTTAATCTGAGCAAACACCTCTTTCTCATCTCGTTGCGACCCATCAAAAGCAGGCGGGGGAAGGGGCGACGATCGAGGAATATTGGTGTCTATCTCCACCGTAGAAGAGTTTGGACTGCCTCTTCCCATCATGTGTTCGTACTCATCGAGCTTCGAGGCCTTTCTTGGGAGAATGGGGCCCCCATTTGCTTTGCCGTTTTCATCGGCCGGGGAGTCGCGGTTGCTCCCAGACTGGCTTTCCCGTCGACGTTTCTCCCGATAGGCCAAGGTCTCATATGCATCAGCTTCAGATTGAGGTCCTATAGATATAGCACGACGACGAGGATGGCGGATAGTCGTGATGATAGATGGAATGTCAGAAAAATTGGGAAGCACTTCATGGTCCTTCAAGTTGGACGGCACGGTAGTATAGCGACTATAGATTTGAATTAGCCAAGATGAAGGCTACATCACCGGTTTTCAAAAATGACTTACGAAGCCGTAGTGAAAAATCGTCGAGGCAAGAGGAGGCCAAGTTTTTCTAGGCTGCGGAAGACCGGCGGCAAGATGCGTAGCAGCGTAGGCTTTGTGACCTCTCTCCACGCAAAGACGCACAACACTCCTACCACTAATCGAATCACCGTTTTCGCAAGGCCAATGCTCTCGTAGTTGTACGGAATTGTACCAGGCAACGGGTCTGTCCAAGCGAGGCTAGATAACTGAGCAAAATACCATGATCCCACGTCCACGCCGAGAGTAACACCGGCAAATGCAACACTGTCATCGAAGCAAGGGCAGTCATCGGCGGGCTCCGGATGAATCCGCACCAAAATCAGGATCACTAGAGGGACAACTAAGATCTCCTTCAAAGTTGCGGACAGAATATAATCGTCAAAGGCTGGTCCATAAGTATACTGAACCATGCCAATCAATGCGCCCAGAGCGCACCCAACGATAACATCGAAGAATCCGTGCATGCCACAGTAAAGTCGACCCAGCACGATTGATGTGACGTAAAGGTATGTGACGCTTTGAAGGATGAGGTTGGTTTGCGGGCTAACGGTCGAATCAGGCGAATTGAGCAGTGCGATTGCATACACGGCCACCGAGACGGCGTTAGTGGAATGCGTCGAAGGGAATCCATATTCCAGCGCCGCTGACCCCGAATGAGTGATCCGCTGAAGTGGCGGAGATAGTGGCCGGGGCAGGCATAACAAGTCTTTGATGAAGCCGCTGAAGAATACCCCAGAAGCGAGAATGTGCACTAGTCTGCAAGGCGCGAACCATTCGTATTAGCCACCCCGAGTCCCAGCCGTGAATTATTTTTAATTTATTTTTGGGGAGTTAAAAAAAAAAAAAAACCACGGTTGCAGATACATACCCTCGACCGAGGCTGGTATGGCCGCACCAAAACAGGAAGGGCAGGAAGACCATGAAAAATGTGTGAGTGCCGAGGTTGGCCGTGAACGCGAAGTATGAATCCAGCGTGGGCGTGCGGACTTTCTCCTGTAACCACGCGAGATATGGGGTTTCATATCGAATGAGTGGAATGAGTTTCTGTCGCGGCCAGTAGCGCCAGAGGGGTAATTGATTCGAGTCTATCGCGGGTCGCAAATGGCGCCGAGGTTAGCGGGAGACAGCTCCAGGCCAAGGCAAGTCCATCGAAAGCGAGGGAAGCCACTGCTCGGGGTAATGGTAGACTGCATACAGTGATTGAGACTCTTCAACCCAGCATCAGGCTGGTCCTTGGCGCCTTTGGCCATTGTGCAATGCTATCGAAGCGGGAACGATTGAAAGGACCTCCATACATGAACAGGCTGGTGCCTGCCACTCGATTCGGGGACGTCACGAATCAGCGATAGAACATAAGGAGCGAATGATAGTTCGGAATAAGGTAAAAGATATCGAGTGTCCAGATGTCTAGGTGTCCGCGTGTCTGGGTGTCGAGCAAGTCGAAGGAAAATGTCGGGGACGAGGAGATCGGAAGAAGTTCGCGAGGGTCGCGAAGATCGCTGTCGCATCCGCGGCTCCTCGTTGGCCCCTGATGCTGTGCCATGTGTGGGCTTAGTCACCCGCGGGCAGAAACAACGTCGAATTGCGATGGCAGTACCGAGTACATTCGGACAATAAGCGGATGGAAGGTGGTATATATATTGTGTATAATAGAGAATAGAAAATATAAAGCATGATGTAGAGTGCAATATAGGATGGTACTATACAGAGCAGCCCCAGCTGTTGTTTGGGGGAGCGGGAGAGTGGTTTCTTAGGCCTCCGCCGGCTAATCCTCGCATTGGACAATGAGGATCGGACACTTGAGGCTCCCGGGGATTTTGGTTAAACTTCTCTCGGTCCTCAGTATACTGTTTGTGTGTGCAAAAGACCAGCACACGATCCATCTGGCCGGTTTTCGCTCGTCGGGACCTGGGAACTTCGATATCCATGCTCCACTGCCCCCTCCGACTCCAAAACCGTCAAGCCCAGCCGAGAACTGGATTTGAGAACTGAATTTCATCGGTTGTAGTTGACAACGGCTAGCGGCAATTGTGGGACATTCCAACATGGATCAAGGCAGACTGGACAGTATGACAGGCCGGGCCAATATGCCATGACTTGCATGGTTCTGAATGTGGTCCGCCCTTAGTTCCCATCGATCTTCAGGCACAAGAACTTGGTCAATTGACCCGCACAATTGGTCCCAGACAGGTTTTCTTTCTCTCTTGTTCTCCGGGGTTGTTGACGGTGGAGACTGCCCGCAGTAAACGGAGACTCTCATCGGCGTCATCGAATATCACATGACATCGGGGCACCCCGAGGCTGTAGCGATAAGACAATACGCCTTGTCAATGCCAGAGGCAGCTGAATAGCTGAACGGTGGGGAAGAAGGAGGGGCAAAGCGGAGGCCAACAGGACGAAAAAAGAAACCGGATCGGGGCGATCGCAGCAATCAAGTTGAAACGTCCACCCGCCAGAGGGCGAATGGCACAAAGCGGAGCCCTGGCGTCATGGCGGTGCGGCGCGTTGCCATGGCAGCGGCCGTGTAAACACGGGTCTCGCCCGGACGAAGACCCTCTTCCATCGCCAGTCGATCCCTCTATCGCGATCCTCGTCTTTTAGATCGGGCCTCGCTCTCTCCCTTCTTCTCTCTTCTAAATCTTCCTCCTCCTTCGCCCCCCCCCTGCCTCAACGTGCTCCTCGACACTCACCCCGATCCAACCTCAATCTCCAACCTTCCGGCAGATAGCCGCGACCCGACTTAACGACCCGCATTTTGACAAGAAGGGGCTCCATTCCATCCGCACCACTCACAATGAGCCAGATGTATGACGACCAGTACAACTATGCGGCTTCGCGACGCCGCTCAGTCGCCACTCCCCCCCCTCTATGACCCCACGCCACAGTCGAACGCGCAGTCACAGTGTTCGCGTGAGCAACGGAACCGCCAGCACACACACCAGCTTCTCCAGTGGACGAATGTCAGAAGCTACCAATATCACCCAGCCGCCCTCGTACTCAAAAAAGTTCGTAGTGGTGGGGGATGGTGGCTGTGGGAAGACGTGCTTGTTGATCAGTTACTCGCAGGGATACTTCCCAGAGGTGAGTGATCTCAATGGAGCCCCAAGCTCTGGTTGTCATATTCGTGATGTATACTGATAGAATACCATAGAAATATGTTCCGACCGTGTTTGAAAACTACATCACTCAGACCACCCACCGTCAATCAGGGAAAACTGTCGAATTGGCACTCTGGGATACTGCTGGACAGGAAGAGTATGATCGTTTGCGCCCATTATCCTACCCAGAGACCGACCTTCTATTCGTCTGTTTCGCTATAGACTGCCCTGCATCCCTAGAAAATGTGGTGGACAAGGTATGTCATTATCGCGCTATCTCTTTCTCCTTCTTCTCCCTCCTTCTTCTCCCTCCTTCCCCTTCCTCCCCCTCCTCCTTCCCCCTGAATAACTCGGCTAATTCTGTGCAGTGGTATCCTGAGGTACTACACTTTTGCCCAACAACTCCTATCATCCTTGTTGGACTGAAGTCAGATCTGCGCAACAAGCGAACCTGCATTGAACTTCTGAAGACCCAAGGATTGACCCCCATCACTCCGGAACAAGGTCAAGCGGTGGCTCAGCGGATGGGAGCGACCTATGCAGAGTGTAGCAGTAAGGAAATGCGCGGCGTGGATGAGGTCTTCGCCAAAGCTGTTGACATGTCTATCTCAATCGAAGAGCAGGGTTACATGACTCAGCAATCAGGTCATCAGCGCAGCAGCAGCAAGCTCTCCACAGGCGGAGGAGGCGGAGGAAGAGTACCAGGCAAGAAGATCAAGAAGCGAACCTGCAAGATCTTGTAAAACACCTCCCACATTTCCTCCCAACTGCCTTCTTGGCCATTTTTCTCTTCTCTTCTTACCCTGGTCCGATCAAATGCCTGGTTGCTTGGTCGGCTTGCTTGCCTGCTCCTGTGTATGTGCCATGTCGCTGCAAGCTGGACAAAGCTGGACATGAACTACGAAAAAATTATCTTGGTGTTTCTAGGATCGCTGCGCGCCCTTACCCGACCAACCTTTTGGTTCCTCTTGCTACTGGAGGCAGTTTGTCACTTTCTTTTTGGATTCAACGATTGTATCTCAACAGCTGCCTTTCCCCCTTGCTTCTCTTTCTTCTTTCCCTGTCTTCTCATGACCCTTCTGTCTCTTTTTTTTTTTTCCCTTGCTCTCATGACTCGGGTCTTTGCCAGTTGGCATGCATGGGACTGGTGTTTCTCGTTTATGTTACCTGATATGCTCCGTTGGCGAAAGCGACCTCTTATGTGCTACTGAAACAATACAATGTGATTTCTGATATTCCACGCAATATTATCCACGTAGACAGACATAATATTTCTTTTCTTTCGTAAATTATAATGCAACGCGAAGAAAAATGGTATCGTAAAGAGTAATACAGACATATCACCAATAATTAACGCCTACTGGCTGGCCATGGAGTCCCCTTCTTCATGTTGGAGTCCTGCATTGCCTTCGGTCTCGCCACTAACATTGCGCTTCCCCTGGGCGGCATCCTCCAATTCCTCTTCAGGCCGGCCCATGAAGTTCTCAAACTGGGACCATAGAGCCTCAACAGATCCAAATTCGTTGCCGACCTAGTCCAGTTAGTATATTCTGTTAACTCGCCCTGATGAGCGAGGACAAGACAGCTGAGGTGAAACACGTACGGTGATGATACTCTCCAGGTTTCGATTCAGACGATTGATATTTTGTAGAACTTGTTCCATGCCCTGTCATCATTCCATGATATGAGTATGGGCTTGGAATATACTAATCCGGCCGATAGCGTTGCTGAGTCACTCACCACGGCGATTTCGCGGACCAATTCCTCGCGTTGCTGCTCAAAGACGGTGGGGGATGCAGCGCGTCCGCCAGAGCCGGGGGTAGACGACAGCCACGCCATCTTCGACGATAAAAAAAAGGGGGGTAAGCTGATTAGAGTAGAAAGGAGCGATTGAGAGGTGGGCCGACAGTTAGCTCGGACTGTCCGACGCGGTCGGCTGCTGCGTTCTGTCGGGAGTTGGCAGCAAGAGGACCGCGTTCAACGTCGGACCGAGTTCTCAAACGCGACTTTATCTCCGACTGTCGCACGAAATGGGTGTCGTGCAGGTGTCTTGTACTGCACGGTCGGCTCTAGTGTCCGTTGAAGTTGCCAGAAACTGGTGCTTGCCTCGGGATTGCAGGGAAGAAGTCGTGTTTGTGGTGGTGGGGCATTTGTTGATAAAGAGTTCCCCCGCGATTGGAGCAGAACTAGAGTTACCCCGGTCGCAACCTCGGATGGAAGAGCTCATTGAGACGAATTCTACCAGGACCATAATTTCATTTTGGGGTCTAGCGACATCATGGAATGTTTAGGAAGTCCTCCGTGTAAGGTCAATAGTTTAATATTGTCCTGAGAGACGTCGCGTACAAGCTGGGCAGGCTGTGGTGTGGATACTTGCACTTAGGCACATTGAATGGATATCGAGCAAGGTTAAAGTAGTTATATTTTTGTCTGCGATATCTAACAAAGGTTCCAGACGATCTGGTAGCAAGATTTAGAAATCTGTTCCCTAGTTTGCGTCAAAAATTGTCCGGTATACCCCTTAGCTCTTGAAATTTGCAAACAACGAAATAGTAATACATTTAGTCAATCAAGATATACTTGATATCTAGAATATCAGACGAAGGGTTTGCTTTCTCATAGCAAAAGAAATCATGTGAATTGATGGGTTACTTGGTCAGGGAAGCAAGTTATGTCTTGGGTGCGGTTGTCAAGCAGTTCTCCACACCAATATATATAATATGCATGCTATTCGAGTTTCGAAGCTGGAACATCTTATTTGATGTATGACCGAACTAACTGATTACTGGCGAGAAAGATCTTCATAAGTTTGATTCGAGAAGGGGATTGAAATTATTAGTCTAGACGATCAATTAAGGCAATTCACGGATATAGTATGTTCCCATGTAGTATGTTCTCATGCGGCCCTGTGGTCATATTCCTCTTTCACACAACTTTAATTATCCTCTACAACATAAATTCATTTCAAGCTCCAGTTTCCTGTTTGATCATGTCATGTCAAGGTCTCCTGATAGAGAGAACTTTACAGGTTGAAAGCCAGAGCACCAGCCAGGAGGCCAACGGCAGCAGCAGGGTGAGCCAGGATGGCGGCACCAACACCAGTGGAAGGAACAGCAGTCTCCGAGGAAGTGCCACTAGCAGAAGTACCGGTACCCGAGGCACTACCGGCTGTAGCAGACCCAGAAGCGGTCTCGGTGCCAGTAGCACTGACGGCGCTGGTGGTGGTGATGAGAGTGTTCGCAGTGGAGGCTGTGGTGCTAGATTCGGTGGTCGATGCAACACTAGACGTAGTGCTGGCGGAGGTCGAGGAGGTATGAGCGGAGCCGGTCACATTGAATTGCTCAGATTGAGCAAGGATTCCGGTGTTATCGGGGGAGTCGGACATCAGGTCAATCTGGTAGCCATGTCTGAATTGGTATTAGCTTTCATGCACGAGAATGATAGAAGGCACAAGGAGTGGCGCGGAGAAGACCAGGGGAGGATATAACCATACCCGGCAGTGACGCCGCTGAGAGCATCAACAGTATATGATCCTTTGGAGGTGTCCACACCCGAAGCAAGCTTCTTCTCAACGTTGGGATACACTGCATTGTTGACCAGGTAAAGATCGAAGCTCGAGGCGTCGGTACTGGGTTGAATTAGTTATTGTGCGGGTCACCGAGAGATTTAGAGGTCATAAACATACTCGACGGAAGTCCACTTCACGGTGAAAGACTTCGAGGCAGAAATATCGGCGCCCTTCTTAGGCTCAGTGACAGACAGAGCTAGAAATTATCAGTAGAGTCTCTGGGATACATTTAGATATGCTTGACTTACCCCCAACAAGGCCGCCGAGCGGAATCAAAGACAGGACGAGCGAGAGACGCATTATTGCAATTTCCAAGGGAAAGTAAAAGAAACGAAAGACAAAGTCAGTTTGGATTGGGCACAAAAGGTGTAGAAAGAAATGATATCTTTAGCAATGGCGAGGGAGGAACTATGTAATTAAGTACTACGAAAACACTCTACGATAAATACAAAACGCACAGTAAAATCTATCTGTTGGCAAGCTAAGACAAGTCTAATAATATCTGAATCAAATCATGTCACTGGAGGGTATGGACTTGGAAGTCAAGATCTGTGTTGGGCATACGATATGTCTCTGCAGTATGGAACGGGAGCCCTGAGAGGCAACCATGGACCCTCTCGGTGGGAGCTGAATCCGCCCCAGTCCCCGGACCACTTCGAAAATTTCAGGGTCTGCACGCCGTGCTGCTCTCAACAATGGATAGTGGAAGCCGGTTGAATCCGAATGGTGACAGCTTGTAAGGAGGTTCGGCTGAAGCCGTCGGTCGGCCTGACCGGGGACTGTATTTCGTGTTAAGATCCCGCCGATTGGGCCGATAAAGACCCTGGTCCCGTCACAGCCGCTAGTGTATCTTGGCGATATGTGGCGCCGAACGGATCCTGTACCGAAACATGTCCCCGGGTCAGTATCTCCAGCACAGACCATGGCGCTAGTATAGGTTTTACAACAATGTACATGCGTCCTCGGTTTTGGTAAATTTCAGCCATGGATAGGTAACTGTATTTCAAAAGACATACATACTCTGGGCTTTTTTTTGCCTTTTCTTCTTTACCGTTTTGACAAGCACCTTTTCTGTATCCTATCTTACATGTCTCTTTTTACCAGGGTCCGAGCATAGCCCTATCTAGACCATGACGCGTTGAAGTGGGTTAGTTGCGCCTGACGATAGAAATTGTCACCGAGCACGCCATTTCCACAGTAAGATAGACGATACACCGGGGCAGGTCTTCTGCGGTCTGCAATTATTTTCATCTCGAGGAAAGATCTTTGGAGTAGGGGAAGTTCGCCTATGATCACGGAACTACCGGATTGATGGGACAAACGATTTTCATGATCGACGCTAGGCTCCATCGGGCTATCCGGTACCAGGGACGGTCAAACAGAACGCGATAAAACAAGACGGCGGAAATTATCGTGAGCTTGGCGAAAGCCAGTTGTTCTTGGCATGCCTCATGGTCAATCTTGTGGGATCTCATGAACGTCACTGATCCGATTATTAATAGAATACCCAGGGGCAAGCCCAAAGTGTTAATAAATTTTTAGAAAGCCCCGGATTTTCACCGTAGGCAGACCTTGAGACATGACCCATGAAATATCGGACCACATCACCTTTCAGGAACAGAGGATTCCACACGTGGGTACATAGTGTTTCACCGAGCCTCTCCGATTTCAGCACTCGAAGAAGCAAGGGTGATGTGGGCGCTTCTCCAGCAAATCTCCAAAACCGATTAATCGTTAGGGTACGGATAATAGGGCTGTGCATTTGGATTTCCACCAGCGGAACTGGCGGTTATGATTGCTCGCAGGAAATAGATGGAATAAATTCGGCTGCCTCAGTAAATGAGGCGTTTTATGTTTGTAGTCATGATGTACAAGACTCCCCTAGGGAAGGTTTTAGCGAGTGGCACCAGGCCAGTCATAGTAAGTCAATAGCCATAAATGTTCGTGTTACTGAAGATGAGATATTTCAGCTTGAGAATTCTAGAGATATAGGGGGATTGAAAAGGGGGCGTACAAATTTTCCTGAAGGGTCCGACCGACGAAAGCAGCTGAATCAACCCAAACGCTAACACTCATCGCGTTGACAGGGAATATCCCATAACCCCATTTGTCGATAACAACAGGCGCAGCATGGTTCCCTAGAATGTCGACCCACTGCTGGTTCGTATTTCGTGGACCAATGAACATTCGTTTCTTGGCCGACCCTGCATTACTTAGAATACATGCCAGACCGGAGGGGTGATAGGCGTTCCCATAACGAACAAATCCTGAGACGTCGTTAGCTCTGCCACGTTCCAAGAGAAAATAAGACGACAGAAAACTCAGACCGATGCAATTAGGTTTGTCGAAATAATCTTCTTGTTCGCCATAGGCAAACAGCTTTCGAGCCTGGGTGAGGAGTGGGATTTTGCCTTTGCACGATGGCACCATCGGGCTCTCAACGTTGGCTCGTATTCCATACATGTCGCCATAGAATACGCAAGGATGGCCTCCTTTACGGAGCAAAATCAAGGCATATGCTAGCAATTTGAATGAAGAGGCTACTGGAGTCTGATGCTGTTGGTCAGTATGATTATAACCTGGCATAAATGATCAACAAACGAGGGTCTCACGTACTTCCAGCATTTGTCCAGGTTGCTTTAGACCATCCTTAGTACCATATTCACCAATATTTAACCGAATTTACCAAGTGAAACCCTAGTAAAAACCTATGCCGTGGACTTACAGTATCATGATTCGAAACAATGGTCTTCAAAATATCAGCCTCATGAAATGACGGAACAGGAATATGGTTTCTTACCACTGAATGGTCGGGTTTACTTTCGACCAATGTGTTTTTGAAAACACTCCGGAGGTCAGCTCCCGGAGCGAGTGAAAGTTTTGAGAAGTTTTCGAGTAGAGGGACGTCATAAGCCGCAACTTGATAATCCAGGGTCTCCAAGTACTTCAGGAGTGCTTTGATATCGCCCGTCCAATATTCCCCAATCACGAAGAAATAGGAATTGGTCGTTTTCCGGATATGTTCCACGAAGTCTTTTTGAAATCCGGCAGAGAAATGTTTAGCAGCATCCAATCTCATTCCACCGAGAGACAAGCTACTTGTGATCCAAGTTCCCCATTTGAGAAGATCTTCACGAACTTCAGCATGCGAAAGATCTAGATTAGCAAACATCAGATAGTCATAGTTTCCATTTTCCATCGAGACATCAGTTGCCCAATCCTTGTTAGATGCATGGATTTTGTAAATGGCTTGCTTCTTGCGTTTGTCATCCCAGTCAACCCCATTGAAATGCTGCCAATGATATTTCATGGAACTGTAGATATCTCCACGACCACTAAATTCAAAGCCAACCCAGCCATTTACCTCTAGAGGTTTGGAGAGCTCAATATCACGTCCTGAAAAGAAATATTAACCCGGGGAAAATTCGAACCGGTGCAAATGAGAATTATGGTGAACTGAGAATAGTAAGGGACAATCTTACTCTTGGGATCTACTTCGATAGCCTCAAACTTTTCTGGAAAATCTGCCCCTGCCTTATGGTTGAGTACAGCATCCCAAATGATATCAATGCCCAAATAATGCGCTTGGCGCACCAATTCTTCAAGGTCTTGTCTAGTGCCCCACTTGGTTGAGATTGACCCTTTCTGATCGAACTCCCCAAGGTCATAGATGTCATAGATATCATAACCATTACCACAAGGATCCATTCCCTTGCAGCCCGGGGGAATCCATATTTTATCGATGCCAATTTCTTTCAAATCAGGTAAGGCCAATTTTAACCGATTCCAGTGGTATCGATCGGCAGGCACATGCCATTCAAAAGCCTGCATAATCAGAGTGTTATCTGGAGCAGTCCATGATGAAAGTTGATCACGATTCTTGAATGCATCTAGTGAAGAATAAAACGAACATTAGACTTGCACCTCCGCATGCTGGCAATGTCTGGGGGAAAGGGATGGGTATTGACCTTCTCTCTCTCTCCATATTTGGTGTTTCCGCCATCGGGGTCGATGACAGCATGATAAGAACGAGATCATCGGGGACTTCAAGTCACTGTATATTCATTGCAATCAAGATGTGGAGGACAAATCAGTTAAAACTATAGGGATTCGTAACAACAAAAATCTTGACATTCATTCATCACCAAGTAGAGTAGCCACAGACCACATAATTAACCGATGGGTACCGTACCGCCATTCAGGTCCAAGACATGTGGAGTTAAAAATTTCAACTTGGTGGGGTTTGACGTAATTTTACCTTTCGTTCGTCATAAATTACATAGGATCAAACCACCACAACCAGTCCACAACAGAGGAATCTATTTTCGTCAACCTAGAAATATGAAGAAACTAATGTTCAAGCTGCGCAGAAAACCACTTGATTCACGCTTTGGGGACTAGGAATTATTGGATACGAAATGGCTTTGAAATATTTACAGTATAATGAAATATGGACAAACGAAAATGACGAGAGGGATAAGAATCCAGTGCGACCGTGTGCAAGCGCAGAAAACGTGCAGAATTGTGGCAGCAAGGGATATCTTCATGAAAGAGAGAAGTCAAGCCATCAACAATTAAAGAATAAATAGTTTTGCCAAGCTCAAAAGATCATCAAGCTTGTCATAAACGTGAGCATAACAAGTCCCCACATCGTGTGATCGCCAGGCCCTTTATTTTTGGCCCCCAATGAAACAGATTGACCTGTTACTAGTTGTGTATAGGAAACATTCTTCGAGGAGTAGCCGCATAGCCCACTCCCTTCCATTAAGTGACTAGGGAAAAAGACTCGCGGTTCTCCTTTCGCCATGTTAACGGTAAGCTGCCCTACATCATCGACCTCATATGCCGTGCAACCCAGGACCTCAGTGACAGCTGTGCCAGCATTAAAGCTAACTGGCATTCCGACAGGGTAGGAGCCACCGTTTATACCTTGAGTCGATAGGAGCATGAGGACTTGTCGCCCTTCGACGCCTTTGTAGAAGCCGAGTTCACTCCCACCTTGGAAAACGGTGCGAGTTGGAAGGTCAAGGTAGCCCGGATCCAGGCTGTAGGCATGCTTTCGAATTCGGTTCAGAGTTGCAATTAGATGATATAGCTCCGTGCCATTATTGTAGCTAGAAAGCCACACAGCTTCTCGATTCTCCGGTTGTCCTGTTCCGTTGAAGTGTTGTTCTTGCCCTTGATAGATCATTGGAATACCGTCAAATAGGATGGTGAAAGTCAATGTGTTCTTCGCAATCTTGAGTAAAAGAAGTTCAATCAGCGATGGTAGATAATCGAATGCATTTGGATATGGTATACTTACTGATATATCTTCAGTCAAACCCGCGATTCTGGCAAGGTCATGGTTTTCAGAAAAGGAAACAAGCGCAGTGACGTCGGGACATGAGTTTTTCATTTCCTCTACCTTGAGAGCAAGTGATGAAGTGTTGCCCTTTGTGAATGCCTCCAAAATGGAGAAATAAACCGGGTAGTTGGGAACACTTCCGATGTAATTTTCTTGGTAGTCGCAGATAATGCTCACCTCTCGTTGGTAGACCTCTCCCGTCATGAACCCGCCCACAGCATGACCGAAGTTCTTAAGAAAACCTGGACTGACATGCTTAGCCGCATCAACTCGAAGTCCATCAACAGAGTACTTCTTTATTATATCCTGGGCCCAGGTCTCTAACAGGGTTTGGACATCGATGTGTTCAGTGAAGAGGTCAGGGAGCGCCACCTCCCAATCACCTGTTTGACACAACTGTGCATTGGTGAAATTATCCCAATCTGTGATATTGCAGGCGGCATGGAAATAATCAGAGTTGTTGAACGGCGTGAAGACTGAGTAGTCGACGTGCGTGGCCGGGTCACTTCCATTGGTCATGTACGCCATGTTGTTAATGACAGTATCCATCAGCAGGTACATGCCCCGCGAATGAAGTGCTTCACTCAAGCTAAGTAGGTCTTGAGATGTCCCGAAATGTGAGTTGAGGGAGTAGAGATCCAGGGGCCAGTATCCATGATAGGCTTCACCATATGAAGCCCGACCGGCAATGTTTTCAATAATGGGAGAAATCATCACAGCATCGAATCCCATTCCTTGGATATAGTCGAGGTGATCAATAGTTCCTCTCCATGTCCCTCCGCAATAGATTCCTTCGGTAGTGTTGCACGGAGACGTCGTTGAGCCATCGGTGCGGGCAAACCGATCTGTCATAGTCTGATAGATCGACCTGGACTTCCATTCCGAAAGGCTTGCGGCGAATACAGACTCAAAAAAGCATGAAATCGAAAATAGAAATACTATGCGACTGCTTGTTGATCGTGATAACATGTCGTATCTCGGGCTGACCGACAGGCCCCGGAGTCAAATGTCGAGTTTTAGAGAGACAAAGTAAAGAGTGACAAAGTTGAACTTAAACGAATGTAGGCGAAAATGACCGTGATTAGAATAAGATAAAAGAGTGACAATGTATTATCTTTGAGATCACATGGGAAAAAAGGCCGGGGGAGAGGTAAACGAAAGAAAATAGTAAGCCCCTGGGAAGAGAAAGACCGCAATCAAGGTTAAGGTCCGTTGTGAAGAATTCGGGGTAAAGTGGGAACAACCCTAGGCTTCGTGGCACCGTGAAAATCCGTAGTTCCCCGCCGTGCTTTCGCGACTACCGAGAATCCGGATCAGTTTTTGAATGCTACCGCGGTACTCTGCACATGATTTGGCCTAGTCAGTCAAGTAGTCAGTCACCTGGTTAATTCCATCTTTCCAGAAACAATTATCACGTCCGTGATCCCTCAAAGTAATTCCTCCCAAGCCAAAAGTGCAAGTGCTTATTGGCATTCTCCCAAGACAATCGCAATCTTCTAGGTTGTCCTGGATAGCGTAAACCTATTATGATACTGATAGGGGGAATTTCAAAAGATTGGCGTTCGACTAGGTTCAAGAAGGAAATGGAGTGAGGAGAGAAATGTACTTGAACATATACTGCGTGTTGTCTTGTGTGAAAAGAAAAACTGAAGCCAAACTATTACAGAGATCAGATATATCTTCAACTAATACGACTTGTGATGCATTATTGGACTCTGTTCACTGGATTGCTCGCATTAGAACACGTTCGAATCAAACTTTACCGCTGCCTGCGTGTGCTGGCAGGTTCTCACGCGGGTGAGACACGGTCTGGTAAAATGTGGGAGGTAACGGTTGCAGCTCGAGCCGAGACAGAGATTGGTAGGATATGGGTTGAGGAAGGAATCCGAGACAAACTGACAGGTCTTGCATGGTGGAGGGTCTTTCACATTTTTCAATAACCGGATTGAGTACCGATGGAATATCCCAAACGGGAAAAAGAAATCAGGTATTACCATTAACTTTTGCAACTCACAAGTAACCTTACAATACATACAGGTAGCAATTGAATATGAGTCGTGGTGGAATTACCTAGAGAACTGAAACAGGCCTTTGAGGGACTGGTTGTGCGGTCTTCAGGAGAAAAGAGGCTTTCGATATCTAGGAAAAAAACGCCGTAGTGAGATCTTCATACTAAAATACTCCTACTTTCCTATCCGAAAAATCATAGAACTGTTTATTATTCTTAATAGAGGTCTGCTTTAACATATAAATTATTGTGCTATAAAGAGATCAATAGCTAGGTAGAAATACCTGAGGAAATAGATTTTCGTAGGTTGAAAATACAAGATTACATGTATGTACGTGTAAAGAAAAGACGGGATTGAAAGATAACGACGGGTGGCTGTACTGTGGCTGTAATGGTGGCTTCCATGGTTATCTTACACGTTTTCCACGTTGATGAAATGTCTTGGCCAAATTCAGGGTCCACGACTGTTCGATGTCTCAGGTCTAGGAGGAAAAAATTCCTAATTCAGCATATAGGCCAAATTTTGCCAGTGCCAAGAAGTAAAAAAAAAATCAACAGAGAAAATGAATGTTGATTGTTGTTCAGGCACGAACTGTCCATGAAATCTGGTGCCTGCATACCCAGCCAGGATCTATGGTTAACGAGAAATTCCATCTGTTAATCGCTTGAGCTGCATACGATAATAGAAAATATTTGTTGTATAGTCTATTACATTTCCATTGATTTCCAAACAAAACGTAATTGATATTTTTAGTACATCTATCCGACTTTGTACACACGGATGTACTTAGCGTGGTATTTGAGAACTAAGCAGATCTGGAAGTAGCCGCGACTGGAATACCGATATAGGGGAGCCTTGGCGTTTAACAACTGATGGATGGCTTATTTTACTGACTACAGTAGAGGTTGTCCGAAATAAGTGTTGAGATCAGCGGTGAGAGGCTGTCACATTGTTGAACCGTGGTTGCATATTTACATCAGAAAAGAACTTGAGGAGGCACATCAAATTCTAATGGAAGCGCAAAGGAAAATTACTTGGTGGTACACAAACCCTGTTAAACCATGTTCCCATGTAGAGACATAAGTGGATGGGTTTCACGGCATGCAGGGAAATCGGCCCAACCGGATTGACCCACCGGCTCAGCCTACCGAACCGCATGTATTGCGGGCCGGGTCCCTGTTATCGGCAAAATTCTATAGGTACGGGACGATCGTATTCGCGGATACTGAACTATTGCCCAAGAAATGAGAGGCACTGAGCACCTCTGGGTGCGCGTTGTGAAGTTTAATCCCTGCTCGGCTAGATTGACTTGGAATGCCTAATATAGAATTTCTGAGCCGCACTGGTACGCATGTATCTCTCTCGGTAAACAATGTATATGATGCTATTTATCAAATTATGCAGAAAACTTCCTAGGTCCCGGGTATTCTATGGATCATCTTGAGAAAACGGTGCTTTGTAACTGTTTGGCACAAAGTGGACATGTCTTGGTGCCAAAGTATTCGCTTAAGGGTCCAAGGGCTACATGGATGGAGCAATTATCCACTCATGAAACGGGGTTGTCTAGGACATATTAGACGGAGAATTGCCTTATAAGGTCATCATGGCTTATTTTTAGACCCAAAAAAACCATTAAATGCTTTGGACAGATACGAGACAGTCAACTCTACCGTTTTTGGCGATTTCTGGCGTCCGTAATCCGTCGAGACACGAGTGGGTTCTTGGTTCCGTATGCCCAATGCAGCCAAAGGTTGGTTATTTTACACGAAAGACAGGAATAAAAAGAGAAAAATGCAGTTTTGAGCATAGTCTAGATTGTTTTCGAGTGCTACTCCAACCTCGTGGTGGGCTCTAGGGCACCCACTGGCACCACAGGGCTACCAATCTGTCCATCGCCGCCAGCTTTGGCTATCGTAGTCAGCCTCATTTATCTGTCTCGCTCGCTCCGGAATACTGAATGAATTTAGTCCTTTTATTTTTATCTTGAGCTGAACTCGCGCCACCCGGCCACCGTCTTAGCACGGTCTTGCTATGTGATCTCACCTTTCCCTCCCACCACTCTCGCTTTTTCTCATCTTATCTCTCGTTTTCCTTTGCAATTAATGGAATTATTCTCGATAACGTTTCTCTGAGCGTCATTTCCCTCGTTTCTGAAATTTCTCTTTGGATCCTGGATTAGCAAAATTCAGTGAATACAACCACCATTTATTCGCAACTGCTCAGAGGTTGGATGGTCTAAGCGCATGTCTGCTTGTTTCTAAGATCTTTTGGTTCTCTTTCAGAGGGGTTCACAAGGCTTCTTGAGACACTGGAGACTGTCCAGCAGACCACTTGCTCCCCTATCAATCATGAAGTGGCCTTTCTCCGGTGGGCTCATTGCCCTTTTCGCAACAACCGCAATATGCTGGCCATACGATGAAGCTCTAATTGAGTATAACCTCAATGAGAATAAGACCGCTACAAATCCAGCCGAATACTGGGGCGAATGGCCAGATCATGAGGGAGACTATCACCCATCTCCCGATAACTGGCGCTTTCCTTTCTATACACTCTTCTTGGATCGTTTTGTTAATGGCGATCCAACTAATGATAATATCAACGGTTCATTATTTGAGCATGATCTTAACTCCAATCAAATGCGTCATGGTGGTGATGTGGCTGGACTTCTTGATACACTGGATTATTTACAAGGAATGGGCATCAAGGTATGTCATTTGAACTGTTGAACATAGTGGACCAACGCTCACGAACTGTATAGGGTCTCTACCTAGCAGGAACCTCTCTTATGAACCAGCCATGGGGCTTCGATGGATACTCCGCACTTGATACAACACTACTCGATCAACATTACGGCACCATTCAGACCTGGCGAAATGCTATCACCGAGATCCATAAGCGTGGGATGTATGTCCTCTTCGACAATACAATCGCTACGTAAGTTGCGCTCCTGCCTCTTGAACTGAAGAATAAACTTATTAAGAATAATTTCTTTATAGAATGGGTGATTTGATCGGCTTTGACGGATATTTAAATACCACAACCCCATTTTCGGTGAAAGAGCACGAAACAACCTGGAAGAGCGACCGTCGCTATGTGGACTTCGACATTGGAAATACATATAATGCCACCTGTGATTACCCCAGGTTTTGGTATGAGAATGGATATCCAGTGAACGAATCTATGATAGCTGGACTGGTCGGGTGTTACGACAGTGATTTTGATCAATACGGTGATATTGAGGCCTTTGGCGTGTTTCCCGATTGGGAGCGTCAGCTTGCTAAATTCGCATCCGTGCAAGATCGTCTGCGCGAATGGCATCCGTCCGTACGAGAACGTCTCATTCGCCATTCTTGTATGATTATTTACTCATTGGATATCGATGGTTTCCGTTATGACAAGGCTACTCAAGCCACCGTCGACGCTCTTGGAGATATGTCGAAAGCCTATCGCGAGTGCGCGCGTGCTGTTGGCAAGGAGAACTTCTTCATCGCCGGCGAGATCACTGGCGGTAATACATTTGGTTCCGTCTATCTTGGTCGAGGCAGACAGCCTAACTCGTTGCCCAAGGATTTCACATTTGTCGATGTGATGAAATTAACGAATGAGTCCTCTCCTCAATACTTTTTGCGAGAGCAGGGCCACGAGGCTATTGACGGAGCAGCGTTCCATTACTCGACATATCGTGCTCTCACCCGATTCCTTGGTATGGATGGTCAGTTGTCAGCTGGGTTTGATGTGCCAATTGACTGGGTCGATGCTTGGAATGAGATGCTTCTCACGAATGATCTCATCAATCCGAACACTGGCAAATTCGACCCCCGGCACATGTTTGGAGTAACGAACCAAGACGTTTTCCGCTGGCCAGCAATCGAATATGGCGTGGAAAGACAGCTGCTGGGATCATTTGTGACTACACTTCTGATCCCAGGTATCCCACTGCTTCTTTGGGGTGAAGAGCAAGCCTTCTATGTCCTGGATGCCACTGCATCTAACTATATTTACGGCCGACAATCGATGTCACCTGCTACTGCTTGGAGAACTCACGGATGCTTCTCCCTGGATTCTTCTCAGTACTATAAATGGCCTATCATTAAGGGTCGTGAGGGTTGCCATGATGAGACTGTGGCCTATGATCATCGCGACCCGACTCATCCTGTGCGCAATATCATCAAGCATATGTACCAGCTGCGAGAACAGTTTCCGGTATTTAATGACGGCTATTCTATTGAACCTATGTCGAAGCAGACCCATGATGTAGTATATCCTGGTTCCAACGATACAGCCACGGAGACTGGAATGTGGTCTGTTCTTCGAGATATCAACTCTCAGGTCCAAGATTGGGGCTCTGAATCTAACAACCAATCAATCTGGCTGGTCTACCAAAATGTCAATGCGACTGTGGACTATAAGTTTGACTGCTCGGACAATGACACTGCTCTAATCTCCCCATTTGATACCGGAACTCACGTGAAGAATCTGTTCTATCCTTACGATGAGCTTAAGTTGACAGATGGGCCCAAAAAGCTCTTCCTGAAGGGCTCCACTGAGCTGAACGGCTGCTATTCCAACTTGACATTGAAGCCATACGAGTTTCGCGCCTACGTTCCCATTGATGCTTTTGTCAAACCTCGCCCTATGGTGACCCAGATTACACCGAACCATGACCATCCCGTCCGATCTACGGTCGCCCCGAATCTTGATGAAGACGTGGAAATTGAGCTCTACTTCTCAGAAGAGATGGACTGCGACTCTGTGACCGACAGTCTGTCGTTCAACTCTTCGACAGAGATTGGAAAAATACCCTCCGTCAATTCTAAGACAGTCAACTGTACATCTATCCCGGCCAGTGAAACTTCTGTGACTGGCCAGATTCCAAGTCTCTGGGTTTGGACCGCGAATCTGACTGGTGTCTACAACGGTGTTCATCGGATTACCCTGAATAATGCAACCAATGCGGCCAAGAACGCGTCAACCAATGCGGTGGATCATTTCTTGTTCCGAATTGGACAGATTGACAACCCTATGGTCTTCACTTCCGCCAACTATTCTAGCAGTTTGCTCCATCAAGAATCGAATAACGATACCCTTTTCATTCAGCACCATGCTGCAGGTGCCGACAAATACCGGTATTCGACCAACTGGGGCACCACGTTCTCTGACTGGAAGCCGTACAAGGGTGGCAATGACACTATTGATACTCTTCCATGGTCAGGTACCAAGAAGCAAGCCTGGAAGGGCCAGCATGTGCGTGTCGAGTACTGGAGCCGTTGGACTGGCAGCAGTGACTATGTACAAGAAGGTGATACTAACTGGGACCATACGACCCAGCGACGCTTCCCCCATGCCTTTTTCAATGGGCCGTACAATCAGTACGGATATGATGCGGGTCTCGACAACGCTATCTCGCTGGATATGGTCGACGGGTATTGGAAGTACCATTTTACATCCGAGTGGCCGGCCGTCGGACAGATCAACATCTGGGGTATCAATCCCGATGGAAAACCAGATCAGAGCTGGGTTCTAGGAGACATGGACAATGATAGTATTCTTGATCGGATGCCCCCATCCTCACTCTCGAGTACTTTGATCAATATCACGGAGCCGCCACCATCGCCTTTCCTGTCATGGAAGCTTGTCGTTGATGATGCAACCCTCCGGTTCCAATTATTTCCGGCTGGACCTCGTTACGTGCAGATTGTCATGTTTGCGCTGTTCTGGAGCATTCCCATCTTGACGGGTGCAGGTTGCGTCTACATTTTCATGAAGTCTTTTTACAAAGTCAAGTTCAACGAAGTGGGTATCAGTGAAAAGAGTAGCCTCGCTCCGATGGTCTTTTTAAGAAAGCTCAAGCCTTCCCGGTCCGGTGACAACTCGATCAACCCGCTCATGCGTCTGGCCAACAAGTCGGGCTTTATGCAGAGCACCACAGCATTGGGCACTGCGGGCACTGCGGGCAAGCGTCGCATGGTCTTGATCGCCACCATGGAATATGACATCGAGGATTGGGCTATCAAGATCAAGATCGGCGGTCTCGGCGTAATGGCACAGCTGATGGGCAAGACTCTCGGACACCAAGACCTGATCTGGGTCGTTCCTTGTGTCGGAGGTGTCGACTACCCAATTGATCAAGAGGCCGAGCCCATGACGGTGACTATTCTGGGGAGTGCCTATCAAGTCAAGGTTCAATATCACGTCTTGAAGAATATCACCTATGTGCTTCTGGACGCTCCGGTGTTCCGTCAGCAGTCTAAATCCGAGCCCTACCCTGCTCGAATGGACGATTTGGATAGTGCTGTATACTATTCAGCCTGGAACCAGTGTATCGCAGAAGCTATCAAGCGTTTCCCGATCGATCTTTACCACATTAACGACTATCATGGTTCCGTGGCTCCTCTGTACCTGTTGCCTGAAACGATACCGGCTTGCCTGTCACTCCATAATGCCGAATTCCAGGGTCTCTGGCCTATGCGTACGGTAAAGGAGAGAAAGGAAGTCTGCTCGGTATTCAACCTGGACGAAGATATCGCTCGCCGGTATGTACAGTTTGGTGAGGTTTTTAACTTGCTCCACGCCGGTGCAAGCTATCTCCGCGTCAACCAGCAGGGCTTCGGTGCCGTCGGTGTCTCTAAGAAGTATGGTAAGCGATCTTATGCGCGATATCCAATTTTCTGGGGTCTACGGAAGGTGGGCAACCTGCCTAACCCCGACCCTTCGGATGTTGGCGAATGGACCAAGCAGCCTACCAAGGAAGAAGACATTACGGTCGATGCCCAGTACGAGGCTGGTCGTGGTGAATTGAAGCGTCAGGCCCAGGAGTGGGCTGGACTTGAGCAAAACCCCGATGCTGACCTCCTTGTGTTTGTTGGCCGTTGGTCTATGCAAAAGGGTGTCGACCTGATTGCCGATGCAATGCCTGCAGTCCTCGAGGCGCGTCCCAACGTGCAGCTCATTTGTATCGGCCCCGTTATCGATCTGTATGGTAAGTTCGCTGCGCTGAAGCTCGGTCGTATGATGGAAGTCTATCCCGGCCGCGTGTTCTCTAAGCCCGAGTTCACGGCTCTTCCACCGTTTATCTTCTCCGGAGCTGAGTTCGCCCTGATCCCATCTCGTGATGAGCCCTTCGGACTCGTTGCTGTGGAATTCGGTCGTAAGGGAGCACTAGGCATCGGCGCGCGTGTTGGTGGTTTGGGTCAAATGCCCGGCTGGTGGTATAACGTCGAATCGACTTCCACGTCTCATCTGTTGGTCCAGTTCAAGCTTGCAATCGATGCCGCGCTCAATTCGAAGATCGACACTCGTGCGATGATGCGAGCACGATCTGCCAAGCAGCGATTCCCCGTTGCCCAGTGGGTGGAGGATCTCGAAATCCTTCAATCGACTGCTATTGAAGTCCACAACAAGGAGGTTGCAAAGGGCCACCAGCGGCCTCTCACGTCGTCCGGGTCCGGCGCCAGCACCCCCAATGGAACCTTGAGATCCCTGAACACGACAATGAGCCCATTGCCTCCTCCTAGTGCAGCTTTCCCACACTCCCGAGACAGCAGCTACTCGAGCTTCAACCAGGTCAGCGATCTGGGCCAGAAGCGAGCCACGATCTATAGCCGAGATATCAGCCCTTCCGAAACCGAGCAGCCCAAGTCGGGTCTCAGTCGATCCCTGTCTTTGGGTGTTCGCTCCGGACCTGGTCATCTAGAGCGCCGAGGTCGTCGTGGCCAGACCGAAGGCGACATCCAAGAAGCCGGCGAGTTCAGTGATGCTGGTGGAAACGAGACCGATGATGAGGATCGAGCTCACAGCGTGTATGGGGACGATGAGTACACCATGACTCCTGCGCAGGTGGAAGAGAGTCGACGAGCTCAACGAGAAGGCACGCCATTCTCATCTCCGCTCCCGTCGCCTCGACGTCTCCCGAGTCAAGACGGTCACCACCCCCGATTCCTTCTGCCCTTGTCCAGTCCCGGCACACCCCCGGCGGCCGATCAACTTCTTCTTCCTCCACCACCATTTCAGGAAAGCAACCGATATAGCAGTGCCTCTGTTTTATCGCTTGATTCGGTCGTGGGCGGCAAGAAAGACTTCAAGCTGCAGAAGGTGGATCCTTTCTTCACTGATGGTACTGGTGAATACTACCACAACTTTGAGCAGAAATTGAAGGACCTGAATGGCTCCAACTCTGAGGGTCCGCTCTGCATTGAAGAGTTCTTGATCAAGAGTGAGCAGGAATGGTTTGATCGGTTCCGCAATGCCAAGCTGGGTCGTCACAAGTCGCCCACGCCCTCGATCTTCCGGTCGAAGCACAGCGCATCACCAGCCGGCGACTCCTACAACGACGAGGCTCTCTCGCACATCGCTGATAGTGAAGATCACGAGTCTGACGACGATGAGTTCCTGCTGGGTAAGGATTATGTCCCGCCCACTGGATTAAAGAAGTGGATGCAAATCAAGGTTGGCGACTGGCCCATCTATTCGATCTTCCTGGCTTTGGGCCAAATCATCGCTGCAAACTCCTATCAAATCACCCTTCTGACGGGAGAAGTTGGTGAAACTGCCGAGAAGCTGTACGGAATTGCTACCACCTATGCGATTACTTCGGTGTGCTGGTGGCTAGTGTACCGCTACTTCAAGTCTGTCGTGTGCCTCTCAACCCCATGGTTCTTCTACGGTCTGGCTTTCCTCTTGATCGGCTCCGCGCATTGGGAGGGCAATTCCTTCAACCGTGGCTGGATTCAAAATATTGGAAGTGGTTGCTACGCTGCAGCATCATCCAGCGGCTCTATCTTTTTTGCCTCCAACTTTGGCGACGAAGGTGGTGCTCCGGTCGAAACCTGGATCTTCCGTGCCTGTGTCATCCAAGGCATCCAGCAGGCCTATGTGATTGCGCTCTGGTATTGGGGCTCAACCCTCAGCAAGGCTTCCAGTGAAGGTCTCTTGACGTCTGATAACACGATCTCGAACACCTGGAAGATGACGTGCGTCTCCCTCAACTCGAAATCTTATTGATTACTTTCTTGGCCGTATTTGCTAACCTATCTTCCACAGTGCCATCTGTTACCCGATTGCAATTCTACTCTGGGGTATTGGTCTACTATTGATCTTCGGTCTGCCTAACTACTATCGTCAAAAGCCTGGCAAGGTGCCTTCCTTCTATAAGTCTTTATTCCGGAGAAAAATCGTGCTTTGGAATTTCGTGGCAGTCATCTTGCAAAACTTCTTCCTCAGCGCACCCTATGGCCGAAACTGGAGCTGTAAGCTTTCCCTCTTACCCACTACATCCTTAATTCCTTGGAAATTGAAATAGAAGAAGAAGAAAAACAAGCTAACACCGCATTCTACCCATCAGTCCTATGGGGCTCTTCCCACGCCCACGCCTGGCAGATCGTCATACTGTGCATTGTCTTCTTCGGTGCAGTGTGGTGCATCTTCCTCTACATCATCAGCAGGTTCTCAAAACGACACAGTTGGTTCTTGCCCGTATTTGCCTGTGGTCTGGGTGCGCCGCGATTCATTCAAATTTGGTGGGCCATCTCTGGCATTGGCTACTACCTTCCTTGGGTGGCTGGTGGCTATACTGGCGGTGCCCTCGCATCTCGAAGTCTGTGGCTGTGGCTGGGCGTCTTGGATTCGATCCAAGGCCTTGGCTTCGGTGTCATCCTCCTGCAGACTCTGACTCGGGTCCATATGTGCTTTGCCCTCATCGCCTCTCAGGTGATCGGTTCTATTGCCACCATTTGTGCACGCGCCTTCGGACCCAATAATACTGGCCCCGGACCGATCTCCCCCGATTTGTCCAAGGGCGCTCATGAACTGGCGAATGCCTGGTTCTGGATTGCGCTGTTCTGTCAGCTGCTCGTCTGCGCCGGCTTCCTCCTATTCTTCCGGAAAGAGCAGCTATCGAAACCATGATCGTCTCGCATATGTTTTCGTAATTTCTCCTCAATTACTGGCCCCGTCATTGACTCGGGGCAATATACAAATCTGTATATTGTGTTTGGCATTTTTCTTCGGCACATACCATCCTTTTTCCTTTTTAATGTCTGTCCTTGAACAACGGTCACCACATCCTCCTTTCCCTCTCTCTGAATACGCATCATTTTCCTTGCTTGTAGAATCCATTGGGTTGATTTCTCACTCGTCCGCATTGTCTTTTCCCTTTTAATATTTCACACTTTTCCTTGCGAAGGCCCTTGGAGCTGCCTCCAACTCCTGTTATATTTTTGTCCGAAGCAGCCTTGTACATAGACTATTCTATCCACAATCATTTCCTCTTCTTTCTCACATTGATATCCATCTCTATGATCCGAGTCCCCGGTAACGCAACTGTCAAGTTTTTCCAGATCAATAAAGAGAGTCAATAATATCTTATGCCCTTTTCTTAGACAGAAGTCTGCTTCACAACCGCTATTAACGTTTCAACTCTCGATCTCCAAAGCGACGCCAACTTAGAAGAGAGGGAGAAGAAGCCTCATCCGCAGTGTGACTGACCTAGTTCCCTTCTATTTCCCACCATCCGAACCGACCAGTCTGGCCAGCCCTCGACTCAAACCTCTACACGTTACTTCCTTCCTTGCCCCGGGGTTCTGAAGCACCCAACAGCCCCCGGTAAACAAATCTAGAAGCGCAATGAGACACGGTAATAACAATAATAACAACAGAAACAAGAAGCCTCTACAAGCCCGTGCACTCCCCTCCTGCTTCCCTCTCTCTCTCCTCCCCTTTTGCCAGACACATCTCATTGTCACACGGTCCCCTCTTCGCTGCCCCTCCTCGCAGGGTCCAAGGGGAGGGAGAGGGGTTGCTGTCCACCGCGCGCATTCATGGACTCGGGGACCTCGGTTTCCAGACAAGGGCGGGGCCCAGTCCCTGGGCCACAGAAGAAAAGATATTCGAGATCCAGCGTAGCCGGTTTCAGATCTGCTCAGGTACACAGGTTGGATGGGGGAGGACTAGCGGGGATTGTTTGAGGTGGGACGGTCAGGGCGCGGTGTCGATGCGGTGTTATTTTATACGTGTTATGTGTTGGTTTGGACTGGCAATTGAGTTTGGAAGTTGACACGACGAGAGATGAGGGTACAAGAGGGGGTACGAAATGGGGAAGAAGATAGGAAGAATGAGGGTGGGGGTGGAAGAGGGAGAAGAGCTGGGGAGAGGACTTTTGTTTGTACCGCTTTCTCTATGGGACTATAGCTAGGTGATCGGGAGATACATTGGATCTTGGATCCATTGAGAGGAAGTCTTGCTAGAAGGGTGGTTGTTTTTGGAACGGGCATTTCTCGCCCGAACTATAACTATGACTGCGGCTGGTCGTGGGAAGAAGGAAGTATACTTCGTTTAATTCCGATCTCGGGTCTTTTCTTTTCTATACAGCATTTCTATAGGCGTGGTCATGATTTTCCCACTTGGTCCTTTAAGAAAGATCGGACAATGATGGACAAGCTGAACTGGAGGGAATGCTCATTTTCCTTGATTCCTCGATTCCTCCATTTCCCGTAGTAATCAATTCCAACCAAATGAGCTAGGCCATTCCCATTGGATAAAATAGACAATAGGAGTAATCGAAGAGGACAAATAAAACAGCAAAAGGAGAGAAGGGAGAGAGGGGTACTAGCATTTCATCGTCACATCGTGATAGATCTCGCGTCAAGAAGAGAAGGAGCACAAGGAACACAAGAAGGAAAGGAGACAACCCAGATCTTGTCCGGCGCGATCCAGGGTATCATGGCGTTTGTCAACCCGACCAGCCGAATCCGACCGGTCAGGGGTGCAACAGGTCCCCCTCTGACGGTTCATTTTCCGTGCTTCCTCCCCTGTCCACTTCTCCTCAACATGGACCTGCCAGCTCAAGGGGACTTCGGGGTACTTTGTTCCGCAGTAGGATACTACTCAGCAATCCCATCACCGCTGTCCTTTCCTATTCTGAGTTTGGAAACTGCGTGTACGTGGAACTTTCGCCGTCATAAAAATCAAGCGATATGGATATCGTCATGCCGTCATAATATCATCGTGTGCGCGTGGAGAGTCGGGAGGCGAGACTCGTTGGTGGAGGGGAGGAAAGTAGCGAGAATCGTAAGGTGTATAGAGATAGAGAGCGGCTAGGAGTTCCGGCGCGGTTGGGCTAGGATATTACTCAGACGCTTCCACCGCTGAGTGGGTGAGGTGGAATTAGCACGGGCGAGATGCGACTTGTCCAGAGGTTTAGTGGAGGATGTGGTGGAGGAGCGCGGCCGGCTGATGGTAGCTTCGTGATCGGCGAGCACGTCCTCGAGGCGGACGTCCGAGTCGGACATGCGGGCATGCGAGTCCTTAGGATCAAGGATCTCGATGAATTTGGAGGGAGTGTCTCGCATGATGACGGTGGATGATGTGTCAATCAGAAATGACCGTGGTGGGGAGTCGGATGGGAATATCGAGTTCGAGAGGATATAGTTGGGGAAGCGGCGAGTGGGACCCTCTGTGTGGAAGACGATCCAAGCGGTTCGGAGCGATCCGAGACAAAGCAAACAAGGCACGGGGCAGGCTAGAGACCGGGGATCGGGGATTGGAGATGTCGGAGAGGAAACCGAGGTATATTGCGGATGCGCCGGGTCTGCTCGGATGAAATAAAGAATGCTGCTAAGCGGGAAGTGGGAGATTTCACGTTGGGCGGGACCCGCGGTGTCGATGCCAGTCGATGCAAGTGAGAGACGAGATCCAGCGAATGGAAGAAAGAAATTCCCAGACAGGAATCATCGAGTCCGAGTAACGGGGCGAGAAGACGTGGGATCGTGAGGATCTGGGGACAAGAACCACACGAGCCACCAGGTCGGGGGAATACGAGGGTTAAATATGGGAACTATGAATCCCAGGCTCCCGTTTGGGGCTTGGGGACAGTTTAAGATTTTGAAAAAGGAAAAAAGGAAAAAAAAAAAAAAAAAAAAAAAAAAAAAGCAATAAAGCATTTACGAAGTCAATAATGTATAACCTAAAATCCCCCACCGAATCATTCTAGGGCCGAATAACCCATGGCGCACTAGGAGATTACTTCCGCGTTGGGAGCGGACGAGCATGAGCAAGATAGGCCACGACGGGGTGACGATGTGGGCACAATCAGCCTGGATGGATCGTTTGGAGGGGGTGGAGATGCAGATCAGGGGACTGTAGAGATTCTCCACTCCCCGGAGACACGAATCAGGACGAGGACCAGGGTGCAATTGGTGCACCGTTTGGTTCCTCCTCTCTTCTCTACTTGAGCAACCAGGGGGCTCTTATTTCGAGGAAGTTACGACAGATGTAACGATGTCCCTGGGTACAACAGGTAAATGACGAGGGGCGACACGTCCACAACAGGTGAAACGCGGTCTGGTCTCTTGCTTGAACGGCAGTGAGACTCGGTCCCTGGTTCGTACGGATTCCATAGAGGGGTTCCCGTACAACAAAGACCCCCCCCCGATAACGGCGAGGTGGACGGGTTGCGTCTTCAAGGAGGCAAGCGAGGTAGTATAACGAGCCGGGCGCTTCTGTTAGCTTCCACGCCGCGATACCCGGATGTACAGGGACTGATGAGGAAACCTCGGGGCCCAGGAACGAAGGCGAGCCAACCAGAGGCCTCGCAGAATCCGTCGAAGCATCCGGAGACAAATCAGCGCCGACAATTGGAGTCCCAACTTGAGATCTGCCGAGGTACACTCGAAACAATAAACTCTCTGTCCCGAAAGATTTGGAGGTACTGTATGATTTGGTCGTTTATCGAGTTTGTACCTGGTAGTACGATGTGGAATCAAGTCGTTCACCACCGTTCTGTGTCCCATTCGATAGATCCGACGGAGCTATCAGCTTTTCCCCCTGTCCTTTGCCTTCCTGCCTTTCTCTCCGAATCAAAAACTTGCCCGTGAGAGTGGTGGAGGAGGAGAAGGGGGGGGGGTCAGCCTGCAGAGACCAGTGCCACTGCTCCACTCTGTTCGCATCTCCTCTCCTCTGGCGTCTGGCTCCGCCGTCTGGGTGCTGACCTTACAGGCGAGGATCAGCGCGGGCGTCCCCGAACGGTCGCAGTGGCGTATGGGTGCCGGCCAGTGGCCGTTGGGCCCGGCGCCGCACTCGTTCATGGTTCATCCGATCGGCATGGGTCGCACTTGCGTGGCCCTGACGAACAGCAGAGGCTTTCAGTCAGGGTTCACGGTGAATTTTTGGGTGGAGTGGGAAGAAGGGAGAGAGGTGGGTAGAGTCTGGGAAGAGACGAGGATCGAGCGAGAGTTCGTGCCCAAGCGTAAGCCGTGTGATCACTGGATCAATAATCATGATCGCCCGAGATCTATAGGACTGTCACTCCAGCCCCGGGTTCTACACTATAGACAGCACCAACAACCCAGCGAGCTTTGAGAAATGCCGTTCCTTCCGGTCTCTATATCATAGTATGGCTGGGGTCCTGCATCCGCTACATCTGCAGCTGAGGGGATCCCGAGAACCTCACGCCCATGACGTCGGGGGCTCCGTTGCCTCGAAATTTAGTTATTTCAGTGTGGGAACATAGTTACCCAGAACGGGAACTCGCCTTAGCTCAGCAGTAGACCGAAATATGTTCTGCTATAAAAAGAACACAGTACAGGAAGTGTGCGGAGTACATGAGGGAAGCCACCGACAGAGTTGGGCCACTCAGTGGGACTCGCCTCTATACTCCGTCCACTCCAATGAACATCAACCCTGCATCCAGCATCCATCCATTCACAACGACCAGATATGCGGTGCGCATCCCTCCCCCTCCAGGAGAATTCCTCATCGGCCTACGTACGCCGATTTGCCTCCCAAAGATACGAGGCTGCCCGCTGATGTCAGGCGGGACAGGCTCCCCCAAACTCCTGGACTGTGGCTTCACCCGCGCAGGAATCGCACACACCAGTCGCCTGGTGGAGGAAGTGGATACCAACAGAGCAAGGTCCATGCTCTTCTCTCTTGGTGACCAGCATCAACAATCTTGCGGCCCACTCCCGTTTCCCACTCTGAATCGCCACGCTACCGCCTACACAGCTAGTACCTTGTACATCGGCGTCTACATCATCAGTGGCTTGGAGACGACGATAGCACCAAATGCGCCACTCAACCAGCAACTGTACCTAGCCCTCCAGCTCATACGATAGTGAAATTTGAGCACGATGCCTCGTCATCTCTGGCCGTGCCGATTACGCAGTGATCGACGATGTGGAAGGACATGAGGACTCCATGGCGCTGCCAGGATCAACCCCCACGAGTAGCATCTGATATCAGCCCACTAAGCTACAACAACAACCCCCCTCTCTTTGACTGTACTCTGCACTCCCCCGTCCCCCCCGAAGACCGTACATCGGGATCGAATCCCTCAAGAGAGAAAGAAAAATAGTAGTGGGTTCAATATTTGGCCGCGGGGAGAGCGACCATGCAATAATCTCGCACGGTAAAGAAACCATAAAAAAACGCCTCGTGAATCGAAACAAAAAGAACAAAGATAGCAAAAGGCCCATCCCGACAAGGGCATCCCAGTCCGGACAAAAGCGCCTCGGTAAGAAATCAGCTTTTCCTCGCCCATCCAAAGCCCCTCTCCAGTCTCTCGTAGATCTCCAATGGCAACCGGGAAAGCGTATGCAAAATGTGGCAGGCCGGCTCTGTCGGCTAATTCTTGCAGCCGCCATATAGCATCCCGCCCGCTGATGCACCTCAGAGTGGATGGTGTTTATTTTTCTGTCTCCTCTCTCACATTGCAGCAAGGTGGCAATGCTGATGCCGCAGTGCGAGGGGTGTCGTCGGGCAGTCGCTCGCGAACCTGGTATTCCCGCTCACGCCCATCGATCGCAGGGGGTGGAGAGGAACGTTTTATTTGAGTCCTAGGTCCGTCATCTCCACGGTATCTGCCGATCCCATCCAGAGAATGTTGTTACACCTGTGTGTTAGACCGGCAAATTAGCAGCGAACAAGAAAATAACAAGTGGCTAACTCTTGGGTTTGTATTCCGATAATTCGCCGTGGTCAAAACGAGAACATGGGGAAAGGGGAATAGGTCCATTCCTAGCTTTGCGGGGAAAGAGAGGGAAAGGGGAAATCGACTACGAACCGAATCAGAACCAGACCCAAAGTGCCGGTGTGCTTGCCGTCAATGAATTCCTCTGTATCGCGCAGGAGCACGTTCATGTATGAATCAATGCTCTCCAGGGTGCCCTTGTACTCGGTTTGGCCCCACTTGAGACGGATGATGACCTCGGTGCCGACTCTGGATGCCTTACAATTAGCACAATTCATGTAAGTGGTGAAACTGCGTCAGGGTAGGGGATTATGGTGTCGGGAAGAAGTTCAATGGGGGTTTGGAGTGAGGTCGTGGCGCTGGGAAACGGAGGGTTCGCGTACCTAGCCTGCAGGAACGGCCGCGGGTTCAGGGGTTGGAACTGGAGTTCAAGTTAGCAGCTGGAATTTACAATTCGAGAATTCAAGTTTCGAGAGAACAGAGTGCGAGCTGGCGGGGCGCGAAGCTCGTTGACGCTGGGAGAAGGATGGTCACGACGTACGCTCATGGTGGAGTGTGGCGGTAGAGGGCCGACCGTTCGCACAACCGATTGTGGGGTGTAGGGAGACGTAAAGGAGAGGAGCGATGAGGCTTCTCTATACGCGGTCTTGTCGTGATGGTCGTGGATTGGACTGGGTTTGGCTGTCGGAGTTGCTGCACCGCGAAAATGTGAGCTGACGGGATGCGGCAGATACACCAATCAGAAACGATACCAGTTCACCGCCTTGTAGACTTGCTCAAGACGACCAACATCTTTCGATGATTCGGTGCGGAAGATGTTGGGATTCACCCAAATTCCGCTACAAATTAGAATCAAACTCTCATAATGAACTTGTTCGCTATTTGATCATCATGCCATCTCTTCATCCTGTAATTCCACATCTAACCTTGCACCCTCTCCTATCACTTTCTTCGATCACCCCTAGTATGGCCCTCGGAAATCTGGTAGTAATACAAAGAAGCGAGCTGTTGCGGACAAAATAAATAAGAAGGAAAGAAAAGAAAGAAAAGAGAAATCGAAACATCAAGAGACACCGGGGCCATCCAATTTTCATCTCCTAGAAACACCTTCGCAAACAATTCCACTCACTGACCGGTATGACTGATCTGTCCCACACAGGATAGGATCACGCCCGACCAACTTTCCAGGTGATCTCTTTGATGCTGACCTCCTCGCCGGCCTTCTCATCATAGTCATACCACTCCCCCTCAGAGAGATCGATGCCAGAAAATGGAGTCGAAGATTCGACGCCCTTGGCCTCCCATTCGCCCTAGAGCCGAGAGTATAAGCGTGTATACAGACACAATCTCTAAATTCCAGTAACTTCACTTACATCAGCCTTGAACTCAGTGAACTCGAGACCACGGCAGTCGATCTCAAGGATGTTCTGGCCGGTCTTCTTTTCCTGGGCTTCGTAGACCTTCGGGCCAGCAATGATGGAGGCAGAGTGAGTTTTCTGGTGGCCGAGGTCAGCTGTCAGCAACATGAAAAGTACACAGGATTAGAGCCAAAAAAAAGTTAAACGGAGATTTTGAACTAATTCTCCATGCCAAAGAAGACGGAAAAGAAACAGCTGCTCGGCAAGCAGCAAATAGCAGAGACAGAAAGGGCATCCCTACCGTGCACAGCCGGCACTTCCAGACAAAGTTGGCCTCGCCCCTGCTACCAGGGATCTCATGCTGCTCCTAATGGATTGTAAGTGATCAGCCCCAGGTCTGTTCGTCCATCCTGATTCAGCGCAGCCAGTACTCACAAAGCGGTTGAAGCTGACCCAGTTAGGGTGCATCTCGCGGCAGGAGGTGCATTGCACACGAAAAGTGTAGAAATACGGGTTCTCCTCCGTGTCAGTTGGCTGCAAGCCAGAAACTCTAACATTGTGTGGTTAGTGACAGCGATTGACTCAAGTCATTGGGGTCTATCAACAAGCTTGCTTGTCATGAGAGGAATCTGATGCTAGTGGTGCGGGGTAGGAGAAAGTACAAAACCACATCGAAGGCAAATAGCATGAACTCACCCTTCTAGCTCGGCAGTGAGGACCAGAGAAAGCATTTTGAGATTTTGTTTGGGAGTGGTGTCTCTGGTGGAAGTTGAAGTGTGGTCTCTGGTTTTACCTGAGTTGAAAGATTTCCCGGTGATGCGGGGTGGAGACAAGAAAATAGATGGAATGTCTCGAAAGTCTTGGCATGTGACCGGCACAACGGACGTTGGACTTGTTTAGCAGTCTCTTGGCCTCAACTTGATCGACTGGATGGATGTTACAGACTATTTGACAAGAATCAAGACAATTTTTTTTTAAAAAAAAAAAAAATGAAAATATTTATTGAGCATTCAAAAACTGAATGTGAAAAAAAAGCAAAAGCAAAACGCCAATCATGCTCAAAAGTCGCTCATCGCGAACAGTCCAAACAAGCTATATACATCTCAGATCTAGATCATACAAAAATAGACATCACGCATACCAAGTAGGGAAGAAAGACCTCCTTACAGGCGGCTAGCCTGAGAGTCCTGACCCAGAGCCTTGGTCGAGAACGAGTTGAAGTACTCGTTGAGGGCGTCCACAGTGCCGCTACCCTCCACGAGCTGCACAGTGCAAGCAACGTGGCTATCAGGGCGAGTGACAACAATACCACCAAGTTCAGCATCGATTCCAAGCTTCTCATGGGCGGAAAACTTGGCGTTAGGGACACGGACATCGGGAATGTCATCGGCATAGAGATGGTGGTGGTAATCACGCAGGACCTGGGGGATCGAATCGACATCGACCTCGTTCTTGGCAGCGGCATAGATGACAGAGAGGGTGAAGAGCTTGGAGTGGGGGTTGTGGCGCTCGAAGAACGAGACATCGGCAATATCAGAGCGGCGGTAGGCGGACAGGAATGAGCGCTCCTTCTCAAGGTTCGCGGCAAAGTCGGCGATGGCCTTCTTAGTCTTGTTCTGGTTGCCGGCAAAGACAAAGATGCGGAAAGAGCCGTTGGTTGGGACCTCCTGCTCAAGCTCAACGAAGTTGGCATCCGCGAGGCGGGTCACCATGGCGGGAGTGAAGGACTTGCCAACAGTCAGGCGAGCGCCGGGGATGTTGAAGAGAGGAGACTTGGCGGGGTGGCTAGCATCCCAGTTGAAGACGTTGGGCTTGTAGGCGACACCGTAGCCGCTGGTGAACTCGCACGAAGACTTGAAGGTCTTGACGAACTCATCCTCTTCCTCATCACCGGTAGCACTGACAGCCTTGCTGGCGGAAACCTCGTCGGCATTCGGGCGGCGCTTGGAGAACAGCGCGGCGTACTTGGCGTCAAAGTTGAGCAGGGTCTCGGCAATATCCTTACGCTCGCTCTCGTAGGTCTTCAGAGTAGAACGATCAGCCAGGCCACTCTCCACAGCGTGGATCTTCCAGGCCATGTTCAGGGCATCGTGGAAGGCAGTGTTCATGCCCTGGCCGGCCTTGGGGCTGTGAGTGTGGCAGGCATCACCGCCCATGAAGACACGCTCATCCAGGGTGTAGTTCTCAGCAATACCCTGGCCGATGGGGTAGACAGAATACCACTCAACACGATCCCACTCCACCCAGTAGGGCTTCAAGATGTTCTTGGCGGTCTGCTGAACCTCCTCCGCGGTGGCGGTCTTGCGGGGGTTAAAGTCGGGGTCGGTGGACGAGGCGATCTGGACATAGAGACGGACCATGTTGTCCTCACGGGGGATGACCATGATCGATCCGGCATCAGAGTGGATGGTACATTTAGTCTGCAGTTTTGATGTTAGTTTGGTCCAAACGAATGCGCTCTACTTCACAGCGTAGAGAGGAGCTTACCTCGATATCAGGGAAGTTGGTGCGAACCACGCCGTCCATGACACCCCAGACGTACGCGATGGGGTCCTTGTGGTGGATCTTCACACCAAGCTGCTCACGAACAAAGCTGCGGGCACCCTCACCAGAGAACAGGTACTTGGCGCGGACGTTCTCAATGACGTTGGTATCAAGGCACTTCAGGTTCACCTCGACGGGGTATTCGGCATTAGCGCCGTCGTTCTTGAAGCCGACAATAGTCCACGGGCGCTCGACGCGGGTGCCAGCCTTTTCGATCTCATCCAGGAAGACACGCTCGATCTTACCCTGGTGGACCAGAGTGGTGAATGGGTAGCGAGTGTCGATGAAGCGCGGGCAGCTAGGCCAGCTGCCGGTGCGCTGGATACCAGTGCCGTCGGTCTTGGGATCCCAGAATGCGACGTCGTACACCTTGGCAGGCTCGTAGGCCATGATCGCGCGCTTCAGGCCCAGGTTGCGCAGAATCTCGGTGGAACGCGGCTGGATACCATCAGCACGGCCAGTGGCGGTTGGTACCGGGCGGTTGTCAATGTGCTTGACCTTGTAGCCCCATCGGGACATGCACAAGGAGAGGAGCAGGCCGACCGGGCCCGCGCCAACGATGACGATATCGTAGGTCTCTTGGACCATCTTGAGAGAACAAGGAGTGGGGGGGGGGGAGGTGCCGAGGTATCTCAAATCAAGTATAATAAAAAATATGCGATCGGATCCAAAAAAGGCCGGTAGGATCAGTCAGGGAGAGGTATAAGTGTTAGATGTTCACCCTGTCTTGTTGCATCAATTCGAAGAGAGAAAAAAAGGAGGGCCATGGCTGGTTCATAAATAATCGCAAAAAAAAGTCGGGGAAAGCGGACCGAGTGTGAGGGCTGGAGGTCGGAGAACAGCCACGGCATTGAGGTTCGGTTGAATCGTGGGGAGGAATCGTCGATGGACTGGGGCGGGCCAATGAGCCGCGATAGAAAGCAGGCGATGGCCATCAGTCAGCAGGATAAAGGGCTGTCGCGCGTGTGGGGACGCCCAGTGTCGCTGGGGGAAAACGGGCCAAGCAGCGCGACTAGCGCTGTGTTCAATGCCGTCGTTGATCCCGAGCAGTCACAGGGCCCAGCGTCATGGGGGCGACTCGGTCACGGCGCTGGTCTCCACTCGGAAGCCGCGCGCGGCAGGTGGGGGGTGTCCACGTGACTCACCGCTTCGGCAGCCTGGGCCGGGACTTCACTTAAGCATCAAACTGGGCAAGTTAATTCTAGCCTCGTTCCGTGCTCTCCGAATCCCGTCCCCCACACTCGCCAGCCAAAGCCTTGGTTCCGCGGAATCTCCCACCGGGACTCCTTTCTGGGCCAGGCTGATTTCCCGTCTCTTTGATTGGCCCCTGGCTCCTCCACTCCCTTCCGTCTTGCCGACCTCTTAAGAGCACACCGTGCCGGGCTATCCACCGAGACTCTTCCCCACGCGGGACTGGTAGTTTTGCCTGGCAATTCGGGGGTGGAAAACCCGACCTGCAGTGCCAGTCTGCGCGGGCCATACTTGAACCTCCCCTAAGACATTGATTACCACTTCATTTTTCTGATCCCCCCCCCAGCTTATATGGTACACCCGGCAAAACAGGCCATTAGCTCGGTATTCTCCCACTATAGGACGCCGTTAGGACCATTTTTGAACTGAAACAGAGAAACCCCCTCCCCTCCCCTCGAGCTAGTGAATAACAGCAGAACATAAACCAGCGCTCCTGGCAGTCTACTAGATACTGTGCTGTAGAAGTTTCTACTGTCCGTATGTTCACGCCTACAAAAGGATCCATACTAAATAATATTACTACGTAGGTAACATTCATCCGAGAAAATCCTCCTATATTGAATATTCGCCATCTCAAAGTAGTTCTCTAACATGCGTGGTGGATTTCCAGCAATTTAGCGGCTGAAACTTGGCCTTGCTTGCCCTGTAAATAGCCGCTGAAAAAAAATGGCCTCTGGTAGCGAGAATTATATGCTATCCGTTGGGATCGTGGGTAGATGTAAAGTTGAGGTTTTATTCAGCTGAAGGTGCTCATCAACCAAAGCAAACGATGACATAATCATCCGATAACAGCTTTTTGCTAGATCAGGGCTACTTCCAATCAACATAGTTTCTTATGGCTGCTCGAGTAGATCTTCCTTCATAGCCGCTGTTTGGGTGGAATATTCGGCAAACAGTTTAGACGATCCGTAATCCTCTCTGTCTGACAGTCATGACCAGTTTCTGCGAGATTTCCTTCTATGCTCTTTTGCTTGAATGACTGAACCGCTTATCCGACCTCGTGGACCCTTAGCCTGCCAGAAAGGATAACAATTAGAAGTAACAAGCGAGCACATCGTCCTAACTACCGTCACCAATTCTATAAAAACTTATCTAAGGGCATGGATGAGCTCTTGATATTCATAAAATGGCCCTTCATCTCAATTAAGAGCAATAGGAGAAAGCGCCTCATATGCTCCTGTTGCATATTCTTTGCTAGCTACATGTTTTTGAACATACCGTTCAGTTGATTGAATGGTTTCTTTCGAGAGTAAACAGACTGCCTTTGAGAGGACCGATATTATTGGCCTAGGCCGGGAGCGGCGATCGGGGGGTTTTAGTATGCACCCACTGATAACCACCGGGCCGTCCAGTAAATCTAGTATGGAGTTATATAGTTCATTATCGGTTCATTGATTTATATGGACGATACCACTATAGTTCCCGGGCACATCCATCCATTTCTTAGTGTTTCAAAGATTGAAAATCAAAGTGTCCCAACAACTTTGTTCCGAAGTGTACAATCGCCCAACCAAATCTCATTATGAGCTAATCGTCCAATGGGGAGCCCCGAAGGCACCGGTTGGCCCGCGGCCCCCAAGTTTAATCTAACAGCCAATAGACTCTCACGTTAGGATAAATATACTGAAGTGATCTCGGTCGCCAAAGTTCGTATAACAATATTCTGAAGGCAATTCTAGCCGGGCCCACATTGACCGCTCTGAACCTCAGCCGCAGACTGAATTCAAAACGCCAACCTTGCTACTTGTTGTCGTTCATTTATCTTGCAAAATCCTCTGTGTGCGATTTTCCTCCTGTTCATGTAGTTTATGGCTGCAATTTTATTTTTGGGGCCCTTTCGCTGAATCTTTCCGCGAGGCAATCTCTGCCTTGAGTACATTTGCTAATCTAGCAAACTCTATCGCGAAAATCGATCCAAGATGGACATCAGGTACGACCCAGCCCACATCAAGGGCAAGACCATTCTCATAACAGGCGGTGCCTCGGGGTTCGGTGCAGCATTTGGCGCCCGGTGGGCATCTTCCGGAGCCACCGTCATCCTCGGTGACATCAATCCGGTTGGAGAAGCAGTCGTCGCACGAATGCGCCAGGAGACGCAGAATTCGAATGTCCATTTCATTCAGATGGATGTCACATCTTGGACATCACAGCTGAACTTCTTTCGCGAGTCTCTTCGGTTAAGTCCCCACGGGGGAATCGATACAGTCGTTGCAAATGCGGGCATCAACGATCCCCAAGAAGCCCGTGTCTTTGAGAGACCAAATGTCGATTATTTGAATGATCCCAGTCCCCCAGCTCCAAGCTTCAAGACGCTTGATATCAACATAACCGGTGTGATGTATACGGTGCATTTGGCGTTGTACTTTTTACCGAAGAATCCCGGTTCGATACCCTGTCAGCCAGGATCCGCTCCCTCCGAATCGGCGAGAGACAGACATATCCTGCTCCTGGGGTCCGTTGCCAGTTTACACCCACTCATAACGCAGGTGCCCTATACCATCTCCAAGCATGGCGTGCTCGGATTGTTTCGGTGTTTGCGAGTTACAGCTCCCATCAACGCTGGTGTTCGTGTCAATATCATCTGTCCATACTATACAGACACTCCATTCATGCAAGCACCTGTCAGGGGGCTTTTGGCGGGAGTTCCACTGGGAAAGCCTGAGGATGTTGTGGATGCGGCTTCGTATTTAGTGGCCGACGCGAAGTGTATAGGTCGCTCACTGGTTACTGGGCCAAAGTTAAAACTCGATGCATCGACTGGGGAATTGCTCCACCAAAATGGCCAGGAGTTGCAAGAGGGTCCCATTTGGGAATGCTACCTCCATGATTCGGACCCAGCTGATATTTTCACGCAACGGATGTTGACAGTTGTCCATGCTGCGGTCCGGGCAAAGGGATGGTCTAATTGGGCGTATGATATGGCTGGTGCATTGACGTGGCCCGTCCGTCAATGGTGGAATTCAAGATAATTGTGTATACGCGTGGCCCTCACTTGTCTCTTTACCCATCTTTCCTGCATATCAAATTATCAGTTTAGCATTGCACGCCAAAAGTTCTCAGCTAGTCCCTCCTTCATCTCTGCATCAGTGCCAAGAATAAAGGTAGAGTATTAACCGACAACCTCGGGCCTAGCATCTACCTTCAAACGGGCTAGGTTATGCTTGTCGGAAAGTCGGGATTTCGGGTGGCAACGGTCGACTGTAGACCAGCCGAGCGATTAAGCGGCTCGGTAAACCCGCGCGGAAACGTCCCACGGGGCAACACACTCGGGGCGGCTGTAGACTTGCCTAATCGGGGAATCCTCCCAGCTCCCTGCGCTTTCCATCGGGATCAATAGAGAAGGAATTGAGAATAAACAGAGAAGGCGCAACCACAACGGGGCTACAGAGTGATCTGACGACTTTTCCATGCCTACAAAGAATCTGCCTATTCACTTTGATGATTGAGGTTGAGGGGTCTCTGCAGGCGGTCCTGGTCCCTTTTCAGCCCCAGTGCCCAGTGGTAAACCTGACATTGATAGGGGAATGTTCAACGTCACACAGTGCGAAATCCTCTCTTTCTCGGTAGTTTTCTCTCCTGCAGCCTTAGAAGTCTGATTTTGAGTGGAGCATGTTGGCCTAATGCTAACTAATTGGTGCGGAAGGGCCACCTGCCACCGTGTTAAACCTGTCTTGAGTGGAGACGATCTGATGTAGGGTGGATTGTGAACCCCCTTCAACCAACCCCATGCCAGCTCCTCTGCATCTGCCATCGCACTAATCCGATCTTGAGTGGGTCCAAAGGACCTGGTGACTAGAATTCCCCAATTGGGGTTGGGAATAGCTTCGTTTTTGGCAGATTCCATGCTTTAGGCAGTATAAATGCTCCTTCCCACTCTTCTCTCAATTCTTTTTCTTCCTCTTCTCCTTTCCTTTCTTCGTTCTTCACTCCTCCACAACTCCACAACTCCTCAACTCCTCAACTCCTCAACTCCTCTTCATAGTTTGCCAAGTTTCCTTTCTGATATTCAGCTCTTCCATCCTCCCACCGTCCCAACTTCTTTCTGATCGCAATTAATCTCATTGTGATTATGGTCCCCTCTTGCGCCCCAGATACAGAGATTCTTCAGTTCACTCGCAAGCACCCTGCTCTTTTCCAGCGAGTCTATCCCGAGTCTGGCTCATCCATGGAGGTGCGGGACCGACGAAGTGTTTCCAGTGATTATGACGATCCCATTCCCATGCTCCCGACTCCTGAGTATGAAGCCCTCCATATCCCAGCCCCATCCTATGGTGAGGAACTGACCGAGGTTCTTTGCAGGGCATATGACGAGATGACCATCACCAACCCTTTCAGCACTTCATCTGCCTCAACCATCAAAGCTGCCATGGGTGATAAGACCGTTCAGAACTGCGTGGAGCGCACGTCTAACAAATCCTATAACCCACCCATGCCATTGATCCCCGCTACAGCCGACCTCCTCTTTGACGAGGTTGACACAAGCTTCCCCCCTGAGGAGGAGTGGCTTAAGGATCTCATTCCCCAGGAACTGGCTCCAAAGCACAACACCGACAATGTCAATCCTTTGGCGCCCTCGACTCTCTTCAACTTCGAAATACCTCCGCTTGATAAGCCTTGTCGCTTCGAAGATCTCAGTCCGGTGGAACAGGAGCTGTTTGCAGACTTGCACGTCGAGTATTCCAATGCACCGGAAGATGTCATCTACCCGCTCATTGGATCCTCTTTCAAGGATCTTTCCCTGGAGAGCTCCCCCGCTAGCGTTAAACATGCTTGTGTTGGTTCTAATCCTTCGGACCTGACTGCCACACCCGATGCGACTCGCAAGCAGCTTTTCGGTGACAACGGATGGCTTGACACATCCAGCTCGAAGGCCCCAACCATCATCAGTCGGAAGGGAAATTTGTTCCAAGACTTGCGCGATATGGGAAAAAGATCAAGCAGCAAATCGCTGTTGTCGTGAGCATTCACCCCGTACCCTTCCTGCTTCATCTATTCCAGAGCTTTCCGATCCACTAATATCTCGATTTCAGACTGAGGATCCGGCCAGATTGATGACAACACACCCATTCACAATCTCTCCAGGCTCCTCAAGCTCTGGGTCTATCCAGCTCGCTCTACCCAGTGCCTCTTTGAACTCCTTCAGCCAGGCCAAGTTGTACGCAAACCTGGAGTTTATGATCTGCAGTACCGCAAACGATTTCTTGCTCGTCTCTTTCTACGACGGTCGTATCTCCCCACACTCTCTGAGCAAGGTCAACTCCGCCTGGGTCAACAAGAACAGACCCCAGGTGCTGGAGTTCTACTTCGACCAGGCTACCCAGTATGAGCTTGTTTCTGCTAATCGCCAGAGCCTGGAATTCACCGGCGCTAGCCAGCACTGTCCTCTGCTTGTTCAGCAAAACTTGCAAAGTTGGAAGACCCTTACTCATGAGATGAGCATTCGCACATTCTGCCTGCCTGACGGTGCGATTCGGAAGCATCTGTTTGACATCGAGAAGATCCTCGAGATGATGCGCCCGTCTGATTTCACCATGCAGCATTTCCACTTCCTTTCCGACGATGCTCGCATGAAGATGTTGGAGGCAATGACCTCTCCAGGTCTTCAAAGCGAGGCCGACAGCCCGATGGATCTTTAAGTTACGCCTGGTTCACATCTTCTAACATATTTTTCGCATATGCTTTCATTTTGTCGCTTTCACTCTATCTCTCTATTTCAAGAATAACGGACCGCATACTTTTGCTTACTCTTTTTTTCTGTTTGAGCGAGGCATTTACTAATGGGGCTGTTTTAATGATCTGGGTTCGACATATTTCGATGGTAACTTCGATTAATATTTGTTTTGTTTTTTGAGTGGGCGTAAAGGCAGGCGATCCTGGACTTTCAGCCTGCTAATTAACTGCATAATACGAAGCAAGTTTGCAATATTTGATGAAGGCCATTGAAACAGTGTAACCTCCAGCATGTCTTTGTACTTTGTAATCAAAAAAGCATGGAAGCCGATGTTTTCTTGTACGCGCAAAAGCGTGTGGCACGTGCGGCGACGTCATCGGCTCATAGGAACGCCAGGCAGCGTCTTGGACTTCAGTTACTTGCGATCATCGAGAATCTTTGTTTCTGTTCGATTCTTTTCTCCACTTCATGCAAAAGACCTACCCTCAACGGTCGGGTGTTTCTGAACCTCGACCTTGCACGTCCAGTCGCAGGGCTTTGGTCATGACCCTCGGCGCTTAGCGATCGCTCTCCAGATCTCCAGATCTCTACGAGGCCTTAACTCGACAAGGTCCTTGGAAAAAGTGGAACCACGTCGCCCATTATGACGGGCCCTTTTCATACCTACGGGCCAAGCTGTCTTCTTGCCGATGAGGAGCTGGAGCTCACAAGCTTTTATGGGCTCTCCTCGCCGCCGGAGGTCCGCGCCCATTTTTTCTACATATCGTCATTGCCTATAGACGATCCATTAGCTCCGCTCCCACCAGCAAGCGGTCAACCCGCTGAAAAAGAAAGGGTTCCGCCTAAACCATTCTCTGCCCGGGACAATCTTGCCCTTGAAGCGTCATGGCGGGAATTTAGTGCCGCGCGAAAAGCCCAAGATGCCGTCGAGAGGGAACCTCGGTCAGAGACACTCATCAAAGGTACTTCTGGAATAGCGGTTCCAGGCCAATCCGCTCTTTCTGTACAGCGCCGTCGCGAGGCCACTGGGTTGCAAAACAACTTCAGCTACTCATCAACCGCCGACGACGGCGTCAGAAATATCGCCAGCAGCGGGGAAAATGACCGGAAAAGGCGGTCGGCGGCTGCGGCTGACCCTTATTCCACCAAAGGACGAAGACATTCATCTGAAGATAATGGTGATCTTGAAGAATGGCCAGCCGATGGAACCAGCCTACGTGCCAACCGATCTCGAGATGCGAGCATCAGTGGTTCCCCTTTTATCAGAGCTCCAACATCTCAGCCACATAGTCTCCTCGGGCGCTCAGTAGAGTCACTCCAGCCAAAAGACGCATCCCAAGAATCGCAGGAGGAGCCACAGGGCAGTCCTACCAGCCGCAGTACCAAAAAGCCTTCGAAACTGAAGACCATGGTCAGTTTGGATGAGTTGACACAGGATCAGTCCCAAGAAGAGTCATCGGCAAATGACTCGCAGTCTAAAATCCCAGTTGGTGCATCTCGTCTTCACCTAGTGGAAGTTCCGAGCCTCAAAGTTTGTCATTCTACTTCTACAATCCTGCAAGGCAATTGTGTTAATCAAGTGTTTAGATGAAACCGATATATTGGAGCCCTCTTCATGACATCTCCAATGTTATTCGGGCGACATGGTTCTACAAAAACACGATGTTGCCTGTAGAGACAGATCTTGCCAATCAATTGGAGGAAGGATACACGTACTTGAAGCCTTGGACTGAAACATGGCAAGATGAACTAAACAGCTGCGTGGAGAACGGTGCAGACGCCGAGATGAAGATTGTGCACCGACTCTGGCCCGAGGAGGATCCAGGGTCTGCAAATCCACCGGAAAGTGCTCAGGTAAACGTGGAAGATATCGAAGCCCCCCGTGAGCAACCTCAAGGGCAATCTCAATTCAATCTGAATCATGCTGCTGGTGAAACCGCAGCTCATGCAGAGTCTTTAAAGCCGTATGCCACGTCAAGTGCTATTTACGCGGATGCTCAGAATGCCCAAATTTTGCGCCCTAGCTTGCTTCCCTCGGTCACCCGTGGGAGGCGCCCTCTCAGTGCAATTCGCAAAGGACGGCAGATTGGCATACCAGTAGTGCGTGGTTTCAATCGAAAGGCGTGGGACCAATTACATCCGTCAAAGGCAAATCCTGTCGACGTGCGTCAGTACATCCGGAGGAACCAGTCCCCGCACTCCACGCCAACATCAGGCGAGCAGATCTGCTATGCATGCAAGATGGAAGAACTACGTCCGAGCCCGACGGACCTGGTATTCGTGATCCACGGTATTGGCCAGAAACTCTCTGAACGAATGGAAAGCTTTCACTTCACGCACGCAATTAATGCCTTTCGCCGGCAGGTGAACATGGAGTTGAACAATGAGCCGGTCTGGCCTCATGTTCGCCAGGATCATGGTGGAATTATGGTCCTTCCTGTAAACTGGCGGACGACTCTTTCTTTGGAGGACCCATCCCTCGAATCATCCGACATCGAAGATCCCACTACTATCAACTTTTCACTCTCGGATATTACGCCACAAACTCTGCCTGCAGTTCGGTCTCTGATCAGCGATGTGATGCTCGATATTCCCTATTACCTTTCGCATCACAAACCTAAGATGATAAGAGCAGTTGCCAGAGAAGCTAATCGAATCTATCGTCTCTGGTGCGATAACAACCCAGAGTTTCAGCACCACGGCCGCGTACATCTCCTGGCACATTCGCTTGGAAGCGTTATGGCAGTCGATATTCTCAGTCAACAACCCACGAATGTTCCCGACTTTGACTTTTCCAAAACTCCATTGCACAGCGATATTTTTGAGTTCGACACTCGCAACCTATTTTTATGTGGAAGCCCTCTTGGATTCTTTTTATTGCTCAATAAAGGTACGCCTGAAGAAAACTTTATTGTCGACAATCTCGAGGACTAACAACCTCGTAGCTAGTTTGATGCCGCGAAGAGGTAGAGAAAAGCCTGGAAGTGAAGGCGAAGACCGGCTTCGGGGCGTTGCTGGAGAGCCAGGCAGTTATGGTTGTCTTCCTGTTGATAATTTGTACAACATCATGCACACAACGGATCGTACGGTCATCCCACCCTCTCCAAATCAGCCAAGAGCATCTATGTTAACTTCTATCCGCAGCTATCGCATATCGAGTGAATGCCGCAGTAGATACAGATCTTTCTAACTCGCTTAAAACTGCATCCATACCTAGCGCGACGTCGTCCTTCTGGCAGTCTTTAGGCAGCGTCTTCCGCTGGAGCTCTCCGGGTGCTTTGATGCCAAGCGCAGCGCCCATCCGGCCCGCAGCGGTCACAAAGCTCCCGTCAACCGTTGAAATGGAGACACATGACTTCACACGCGAAGAAATTGCTGAGAAGCGTATGTTGTTGCTTAATGACAATGGCCAGATCGACTACTACCTTTCCGGTGGCGGTGGTCCACTCAATATTCAGTACTTGAACATGTTGAGTGCGCACAGCAGCTATTGGACGCTCACTGATTTCGTGAGATTCTTTGTCGTGGAGATTGCACGGAAGCAGGGACGCGACGGGACTCTGGTCGCTTTTCGGGCGGAGAAGAAGAAAGGGTGGAAATATTCAAAGGGTTGATTCGACATCTGCATTTCCTTGCTCTATAAATGGGAGCTATGAGCTATGAGGAACTGATTTTCTGAAAATCTAGCTTGGTGGATTTATCGATGATCTGTGCGGACTGATAGAAGGTGGCTTGTTACTGCATTAAAACAATATGTCGCATGTAGAACTTCCATACAGAATAAAGTGGTGTCACTGAAGTATTTGGCACTATGGACCGAAGCCCAATCTTCTACTGAGTTACCATTTAATCAGAATCAGCTGTAAAAATAGGAGGATCAAGAGGAGTAGGAGTAGCAGAAAAATCAGTTGAAGGAGTAATATTGGTAACATTAAAACTGTCACCTTGGGGAATGATCGACTCCTGGAGCACGGCCGGAATGGCTCGCATGACATCTAGTCGGCTGTCTGGCCTCTGTTAATCATCGATCATCCGCCTTCAATCCATCAAGAAAATGTGATCAAAATCAAGGTTGTCTTCTAAACTGAATAATAAAGGTAAAAATCAAACTTTGGCAAATATAGAGAAGTCAGACGACTAGGGAATTGTTAATAAGATAGACATCAGAGCAGATAGTAGGTCAAGGAGCTACAGGAACACGTAGGAGTCAACACAAGCATGCCTAGATAGCAAGTATGTGCAGACCACAGTTGATGTCAGGCAAGTTAGTTGGGAACCAGCATATCACAGGCTCAGACAAGGTGGTGGGAACAGAGAGATAAAAGCCTTTGCATTCACATAACAGTACAGGAAAACCTAATATAATCAAGAAAAACCCATACCAAGGCAGACGAAAAAGAAACGCAAGGATTTCCAAAGAAACAACCAAGATTATTTCTGCGAGGGGCCCAAAGATTTGCAGTAGAGCCACGGTTTGATACACAGGATAGGCTATGGATAGAATGTCAGTTGGACAACTGCCACCCGCTACTTGTATCCTTTCAATTCTTACATCCGTCAGGTATTCCAGACCCCTCTGCGACTCCGATGCCGACTATTTGTTCTACTAGATATATTATGTCCATCAGTATGTGTGCTTGTAGTCGTTTTCTCTCCAGCTAATACTGATCACTTACAGACTATCCGCATCCATCTCAATCAGCGCTGTTTTCTTGTCATCTCTCTTCAACTGAGGCTTAGCACTTACACACTGACCACAACGTATCTCAGTCAGAGATATATGCTTTTATTAATCTCTCTTCAGATAATTTTCATCACTTACAGACTATGCACATTTCATCGCAGTCAGCCCTGTATGCTTGTCATCCCCCTCCAGCTTATGTTTATCACTTACCTTCTAGACGTAACCAATCTCAGTCAGCCTTGTATGCTTATAGTTACCGCTCTTCAGCTGAAAGAGATTCATTACTTACCTTCTATCCACATCCCATTTCTGTCAACCCTGTATTCTTGTCATCTCTCTCTAATTGGGCTCTAGCACTTACACCCTACGCGTATCACATCTCAGTCAGCTCTATGCGATTGTAGCTGTCTTTTTCAAGCGGTTATTCATCACTTACAGCCTATCCACATCCATCTCAGTCAGTACTGTATGCTTGTGGTCATTTCTATTCAGCCGAGGTTCATCACTTACACACTGTCCATAAACCATATCAGTCAGCCCTATATTCTTGTAATCATCTCTCCCCAACTAGGGTTTATCACTCACGCCCTATTCCCATCCGATCATTGTCAGCACTATAATTTCGACATATCTTTCACCAGACAAGATTAAGCACTTACACACTGTCCACAGCCCATCTCAGTCAGCCCTGTTTACTTACAGTCATCCTCTGTAGCTGAGATTCACTACTTACGGCCTATCAACATCGCATTTCAGTCAGTTCTGTGTCCCTATCACCATCTGTCTTGCTGAGCTTTAGCACTTACACACTATCCAAACCCGGTCTCAGTCAGCCCTGTGTGCTTCTAGTCATCTCTCTCCAGCTAATATTCATCACTTACATCCTGTCCATATCCCATCTCAGTCAGCCTTATATATTTGTAAATCGTCGTTTTCCAGTCGAGGTTTATCACTCACGGTCTATCGACATCCCATTTTAGTCAGTGGCATTAAAATATTTCTGCGCCTTTTTCATACCTGTTCTATTGCTGATTTATCAACAGTCATATCCATTGGCACTGCTGCAACAATAGCCGCAAATATGAATGCCACAATGAAAGAAAAAGCCTTCATATTGCCAATGCTCCGCTCGTTTGGGGGAATGTGTAAATCGGTTTGAAATATAGGTTTGAGATAATTGGTGAGTCTGTAGCTAATACCCATCAATGTGCCATACAGCTGCTAGATATAAGAAATAACATTTCTTTGATCATCGAAAAACAAGGGGCCGCCGCGAAGCAAGGAGTAGGATATAATGTATACATGTGGCACATTCCTTTCTCTGATGGCTTTTTCAAATGCAACAGCAGGTCACTGTTTTGGAACTATTCCTAATTTTAAGCTAGCGGACATACGCATAGAAAAGCTTATTAGGCATATGGCATGCATGTCAGAGAACATGGTCGCGTACTCAGCCTGCATCCTCGCTCGCTAGCACTCTACAGCTATGTCGGACTAGGACTCTTGCGCGCGTTCGTTTTGGCATCCGCTCTTCCTGTCGTGTCCGGTCGCAAATCCACCCAACTTTTGTTGCTTGGCTGGGTCCTCAGATGGAATTTTTATCGAATCTGTTGTCAGGTTGGTTTGAATTTTCTCTCTTGGAATGGAAGCAGATGGAGTGCGTACTATGCGTACTAAGTATACGTACTAAGTGAGTATTCTAGCTGGCTATGTAATGCCTTCAAGAATCTCGCCTGTCAATACCTGTGGATTTCTTTGCGGTGTGGCAGGCTATATTCGAATCTATACTTAATGACTAGTTAAAACATAACGCTTAAAAGAGCGTCAAGAGTATCCTTTTTCGGCGTTCGATTTACCGTTACCTAGTCTTGTGGTGTAGTAGAGGAAATAATACGAACAGAGGAAGGGGGAGCTGAATTTCGACTGTGCGTTTCTGGTAGGCAATAGCAACAGTGGGCACCGAGGTACTTCACTAACATCACATTACAGAATGCACAATTTATAAGACGTCGTTAAAGGCGACAGGCAAAAAATATAATGATGCTTTCTGATCACATTGGCTATCCTCGCCTCATGAATTGCTATTTATTAAAGATAGAAAGGATGCACTTGATTCCTCATTAAACTATCGAGAGTTTTATTCCTTTTATTTCGTTGAAGATTCTGTTTTACTCAGTTAGCAAATTCATAATCCAATACTACCGCCTCTGCATCTTTCAGTAAAGATCTGGGCTTTTGTCTTAATGTCAAATTGATTCGTAAGTTCATTTGCTCATCGATATATACTAGCAGTCTAGTGACAATTGTATCAAGTGTATAAACCAAATAGACAGCACCGAAAGGGGAAAGGTAAAGAGACAAAAAAGAAGAGAAAGAGAAGATAATCAACATTGGAATATAGGAGGAGATCCAGCCCCTCTATATTGCTCCAGTCGTTTTGAGTATGTTTTAGCAGATGAGTCGCGTGTCCGAGCCGTAGACAGGGCCCATCATGAGCGCTTCAACAATCTCTCCCTTAATGCCGACTCCGCGGCCAGGACGCAGGACGACCAGGGCATTGGCACTTGCAAGACTGCCAACCCGTGAACTCCGCTGTCCGACACCCCCGATGCCAGTACTTGTCGCATACAAACGTCCGTCCGAGCGCGAGCCGGTTACCACAGCCCGGTGGTACTCAGTGCGCTTGGGATCAAGTGGAAAGTGGTGGGTTAGGACCACTGCAACGCGAGGCAGTCCAAGCTGCGGCGACATCCAGGGCTTAGTGGCCATTGCTTGAGAGCTTTCCCCTAAGCCAGAGAGCTTGTGCAATGATGGAAGAACAAACAAGTTTAGAGTCACTAGGGCCGAAGCTGGGTTTCCAGGAAGAGAGAAGATGAGTTTAGACTGACGTTCTTGCTGGACATTTGCAGTCGCATCGGTGGCAGCTGCCTTAAAGGGAATGGTTGCGAAGGTTGTAGGCTTGCCAGGCTTCATGGATACACGGCCGAAGTGGATTGTACCACCAAGAGACCGTTCAATGGTGGGCTTGAGAAGGTCCAGCTCTCCCATGGAGACTCCACCTGTGGTGATGATCACATCGACACTAGATGAAGCACGACCCACACCGCGCAGTGAGTCTCGAAGTGCATGCTCGATCTCACCTGCAGGGGTGTCTCGTGCGATCCCCAGATCGACGGTGGGGAAGCCCCAGGAATTGAGGCACGATAGGAGAGCAGGGCGGTTGGAGTCCCGGATTTGTCCGCCCGTGAGGGTCCGGGGATCGTCGTGCTCCACCAGTTCGTCCCCTGTACTCAAAACGCCTACTCGGGGCTTTTTGAATACCTTGACAGTTCTAGTGCCAGTGGAAGCCAGCAAACCGACCTCGCCGCCAACGGGAGAGATAATTTGTCCGCGAGACAGAATCTTCGATCCGTGGGCAACGTCACTGCCCGGCTCGCGAACATTCTCGCCAGGCGTGATATCTCCCGGTATGATTTCAACGGTGGCTTCTTCCTTGCCATCAGGGGTAGACGACACAAGGACGGTATCTTCGACCATGACTACGGCATTCGCATTCGGAGGGAGAGGGGCCCCGGTGGTAATTCTAGCGATGGTCCCCGGCTGGAGAGGCTCTAGAGCTCCGCCGACGTTGGCATGCGTGACAGATGCTACGGGGAACACGCCTTTGGTAGTTTGACCACTGGTGATCGATTCGGGTGCAATGATAGCATAGCCATCCACGATGCTAGCTTTGTACGCGGGCACCGCTTCGGCGGCATAGACATCGTCAGCGATGATCGAGCCCACGACAGATGTGTTCACGGGGGCCTCGACGACAATGGGTTGGGGAGTGTGTTCGCTGACTTGACGGAGTGCTTCCTCTACAGAAAGCATTGGGTAGGGTGAAGAACGATATCGATGATTAGGACCAGCAGAAGGGTCATTGGACACAGGTCGATCCGCCGGGGAGGTATGGGCCTTTGGAACTACATGTCCATGGCCATGATGGTGGTGGTGATGATGGTGGTGGTGATGATTTTGATGGCCGGCGGAAACCCCTGCCTCAGCCTCCAATTTCTCCACGCCGCCAGCATGCAGGCTTCGCGAGTTGGCCCCGGCAGACTGTAAACAAGCGTGAGGAAGCAGCTTCACAACCGCGTCAAGATTCTCCATGGCTCCTTTAGGGGACCCAGGCAAAGTAATTATCAAAGATTTATCTCGCACGCCAGCAACAGGACGAGACATCATAGCGACTGGTAGTGGGGGGGGTTAGCAGGGATGTAAATAGTTGCAAAACGCGGTGGGTGATGTCATCTCACATGGGGTTACTTTCAACGAAGCGGCGATCATGCCATGGCTGGGGAAATTAGTTCGACATTAGCGCGACTCTCGGAACCAAAGATGACCACATCGACGTTATGAACACTCACACTAGACCTGGAGCATGGCGATGAATCAGGGGAGAAACAGCCTAGTGATGTCATCAGCGGGATGAGTCTCGGACCAGGCCAGGCACTGCGCAGCCCGCAGCCCCCGAGATTTCTTACCTCGGGCGTGTTATCTCGGACAGCAAAGCCAGTTCCGCCGCTGAGAAGAACCAGGTTGTACCAATTGGGCCCGTCTGTCCAGTCGCACACGGCTTGTTGGATCTGGAACACATTGTCCGGCACGATCCTAATTGCGGGGGGTTCCCACTTCCCCTCCGCGGCGAGGATGGGGGCGAGGGCATTGGCCGTCTTGTCAGAGGCGGGGTCCTGCGAGGCCGTGTCGGAGACGATCAAAATGGCCGCCTTGAGTTTGGTGCTGCTATCCATGGTGGGATTGTGGATTGAGGATGCGAGGAAGTGGGGGAGCTGCGGTTTTTTAAGACGTGGACTCCGGGGTATCGCGAATCTCCGGGACGTGCAGGTGCAACCCTGCGGTTAGTGGCCGGTCCGTGCTACCCACACTGCGTTCCCCGGATGGGAGCCGGCGTGGCCCTCGAAATGAAAGTTTTTGTTTTGATTATCATGAACGTAACCGGAAAGATTGTTCTATCATTGTCCTAAAGAATGTGCGGAGGAAGGCGGAGGCGAATAATTCTTGGAAGTGTGGCTCCATTGCTACTCATTACTGTACACATGCATGATCTCCAGATCACCAATGCAATTCAGCAAAACCCACTGAGCTTCAAGTTCTACGGTATCGAATCCAGACGCCCCAATGATGTGTATACATAGACACGAAAATGGAATGAGACAATACCCTCCCAAGGGGGCCGGGCAAAATAAAAAGCAAGACAAGACGGAAAAGGCAGAAGAAAAGGAAAGAGATCCGAGATCATAGTAGGGGGACACCTGCTCCCCTTTCTCATGCCCAAATAGGCAATCATAACCCTCGTACCAGCAGAGAGTTTTGAAGAAGATCAAGCCGCGCCCATGTCAAGAGCCTTGCCACCCACCAGAAGACCAATGATCAGACCGAACAGGCCCAACACTGAGCTGAAAATCTCAATCACCAGGATCCGGACGAAGCTAGAGGGTTGCCAGGAAGGTTAGAAGATGAATCCAGACTCGCAACATTGGCAGATATCAAGGAGGAAATGGAGAGCTTACAGGCTGGGATCAGCGGCATCGGCAAGTGCAGCGCCACTGCCATTGATACCGACGGAGATACCGCAGATCAGGTTGCAGAAGCCGACAGTGATACCGCCCCAGAAGAGAGCATAGCCCGTGTAGTAGTTACTCTGAGTGTAAAGTTCGTGTTCGGCAACTGGGGTAAGCTTTGCGGAGAAGATGATGGCAATGATAACACCGTAAATAGCCACAACCTCACAGAAAATGATGGAAATCAAGTTCTTGGTCCGAATTCGAGGCGCCCGCACACCACCGCCGACGATCGAAGAGCCCGTAAGGAAGATACCCCTACAACAAGGTGCAAACACGCCCGCTGATCAGTATTTCAGATTCATCCGAGATCCCGGAGAGTTTCAACGTACCATGCCGCTCCGACTGTCGAACAACCAATGCAGAGAGCAATACCGATGTTGGCCCAGGCGTAAGGAGATACCTCCTCCAGGAACCGGCCGACCTGATGACTTGTCAATACAAGAGCGCTCTGAGACAGCTTGAGCCGCATTGAAATGAGATCTTACATTGAAGGCTTCACCTTGTCCCTGGAACAGCATGTCTAAAACACGTCATTAGGATAGCTGTCGGCTTTGACGATCAGGATTCAGAGTCAACATACACAACCCGACCACCACAAAGGCGGCCGTGAAGAGACCATATAGGTACCGGAGATACATGGTGACCTTTCACAACCTGAAGACGAAGGAATGAAAAGGTCTCGGAGGGGGTGGGAAAATGCAGTCCGCCGATAAGGGAGCTGAAGCTCTCGGGTTTGGAGGAGGAATGGACTCGGTGGTCCGGAGCGGATTAACGTGGCTAGTCCGGGCGGTGGGCAGTCTCTCGCCGTGTTTCCCCAGATCCACGGATCATTCAACCTGTCGATTCCCCCGAAACGTGCTGCTTGAACCCTGGCGATTCATTGTCTCTCGTCTTGATTGCGCCAAGGATACTTGTGTTGTATGCAAGCTTGTCCGTCCTGTTGAGCGCCTGCATCGCGAACCTCTCCTCCTTCCCCCTGAGTGCTCCCCCTCCTTTAATCCACCAACCATCCACCATGGCCTCCGGCTCTGGAGTAGGGTCGTATTCGAACCCGTTGAAGAAGTTTAAGTGCGTGTGGACAGTTCCGGCAGTGCTATTATTAGACTTGGGAGAACGCTGATACTGACGTGGCGCAGGCTGGTATTTCTGGGAGAGCAGAGTGGTACGATTTTCCCAAGCCCATGATGACGATCAAGCACCTCCAAGGGCACAAATGAAAGCAATGCCGGGCGTTCTGACAGATTTGATAGTTGGAAAAACATCTCTGATCACCCGTTTTATGTACGACTCCTTCGACAACACATACCAGGCCACTATTGGCATTGACTTTTTGTCCAAGGTAGGCCAACCTGCAGTCCCGACGTATTCTCCCAAGTCAGACGAAGTAGCTCTACTGGGCCTCCACTCATTCTTTACTGACTTTAACTTTTTTTTTCATTTCAGACCATGTACCTCGAAGACCGAACTGTCCGCCTTCAACTTTGGGATACCGCCGGTCAAGAACGATTCCGCTCCCTGATTCCTTCCTACATCCGAGACTCCAGTGTGGCGGTCGTTGTTTATGATATCTCGAATGCAAAGTCCTTCCAGAATACTCGAAAATGGATCGATGATGTGCGAGGAGAGCGTGGAAACGATGTGATCATTGTCCTGGTCGGCAACAAGACTGATTTGAACGACAAGCGGGAGGTCACCACAGCACAAGGCGAGGAGGAAGCCAAGAAGAACGGCCTGATGTTTATCGAGACCAGTGCCAAGGTTGGCCATAACGTGAAGCAGCTGTTCCGGAGAATTGCGCAGGCTTTGCCTGGAATGGAGGGTGAAGCTAAACAAGGCGAGAGCCAAAGTATGTTGATTCCTCGCGGTCCATTTCCTCATGACCATATTACCTATGTCTTTGATGCTAACCATGAGGCCCTCATAGTGATCGATGTCAATATTCATCCCAAAGAGACCACCAGCAATGATGGCTGTGCTTGCTGATTGCCCCGTCTCTCTATCCTCTTTCCATTTACACACTTTTGACCGATCATGATAATCGAGTCCATCCATGATATTGCGCGAATATGTTTTAAGATGTACATGTTTTCTTCCATTCTTCTCGTTTACTCCTCGGATGAATAGCGTGTGTGTTTAGATTTTTCAGTGTTCGATGTGGCTATTACGTCCAAATTCCTTTTGTGAGCTTTGTCGGGACAATGAGCGTTATTATTCCCAATCTCTCAGCATTATATCTTGTCCCTCCTGGTCGCACTGAGAGGTTGCTTCTTTTTGACCCCTGGGGGCTGTTCATGGTCAGTATGGCTCCATGCGCTAGCGTGTTGGATATGCTATAATCAACGCTGTACAATATGGCATTTTTACAGTCTGCTGAAGTTTATCGTAATGGAAAGAAACTGCGTACCTAGCAAAGCGCTGGGACAAAATTGGTTGCCCACCCCTTTACTGAAGTACATAATATTCAAGTTTTCCACTGAAAATTGGAAACTACAGAGATTTGAATCCAGCTATTCTTCTCGTCCAACCTCCCTACTATTGTAATTGGTTTATCACGAAGATTGCTTGCTTGGTTAAAGAAAGGTTGATTTTCTGCGATGAGAAACGATAGGATTGTGTTGGCATAAGCTTTCAGCATAAGCCCCAAGGGGCTGGTACTGCCTGGAGAGCCTGGAATAGCTAGTGAAAGATAGAAGGGACTATCAAAAGTAGTGGCAGCCGCAGAATTCTAGGTTTTAGTGCCCTTCATCGGAAAAGTGGCCTAGTGCGATAAATAGCAGGGTTACTAGAGCCCTGCGCTCCGGACTGCTAAGTCATTTAGGTGTGACATTTTTTTCATTATAGGTGACCCTGTGCTTCTGTGGACATATTTGCTGCCTGTGCAACAAGTTATATTTCACTACAAAAACAAAAGAGAAAAAAAAGAAATTAGGTGGTCAAGAGGAAGAGCATGGCTAAGAACTAGATGTTTAGCTGTCTGGCATGAACTTAATGATATAATTGTCCAGGGAGATAGATAGAAAAATTAGAAGATTGAAATTAATACTTCATATGGGGAATCTCAAGTCTTGATGACTATTGCAAATGTACTTTTTTTGGCAAATAACGTTGATCTGCCGTTCAGGATGTCTCGTTATCCTCCTCGGTGACCTCATCTTGGTTCGCACAATGCGATTCTTGAACTGGCTCGAAATACGGGGCAAACTTGCTCTTCATTCGCAACTTCTTTCCAAAGAGCAAGAAGGCTATGGGGATAGGGACCAGGCATGCCGCAAGACAACCCAGCAGTGTGCCAGCCCACTGGATACCCATGTTATCAAACATTTGACGTGAAAAAAGCGGGAAACTTGCTGCAACCATGGAACGGCAGAAGGTATTCGCGGCGATTGCAGATGCAGCACTATTCAAGATCCATTAGTTTTATCATTCACACCGATTGTAGTCTGAATGGGGTGCGAGAACTCACAACATGAGATAGGTGTCAATGAGGTAGTTGAAAAGCTGAATGAAGATAATGAGGAGACCAAAACCTGTGAAAAGCCCACTGAGGGTAGGGACAATCCACGGAATGCTGTTGGTGAATCCCGTCCATCCAAACCAGAAAAGACCGGCAGCAAACAGCACACCACCGACAATCACCGGCGGGAGACGCCATTCGGGGATGGGCACACCTCCATTCTTCTCTAGTTTGACGTTATATCCCCGACTAGAAAAGACAACATAGGATCCTGCGATGAGAAGACCAACCACCATTCCGAACAGCGTGAGGCCACCAACGCCCGCATTCATGCCATACACCTGCTGGAAAACAATGGTATAAGCGGTCAAAAAGCAGTAGAGGAGGCCATAGATGAAGCTGAGGTAGATGGTCACCGCCAAGATCAACGGCTCCTTGATCAGCAGGCGGAGTGGACGAGAAAAGTTGTTGATTATTAGGTCTTTGAAATCAACCTCGATCTCTTCTTGCTTGGCATGAATGCCCCAGTTCTTCGTTCGGCGCCGCAGTTCTGCCGCTTTGTCGACAAGAACGACGGGAGGATACGACTCCTTCAGGAAGAAGAGGTTCATCACAAAGGCCGCGTAACCCATGATCGCCGGAATGTACGCAGTCCAGCGCCAACCGAGGTATGACATGTTGATGAACCCACCGATAAATGGGGCCACAAGCGGACCCAAGAAAACCGTGCTCGAGAAGAAAGCGATGGCAATGCCACGCGTGCGGTTGTTGTAAATATCGGAAAAAACAGCGGCAACCACGGCAAGGGGAGAACTGCCAAAGACACCGCAGAAGAAACGGCAAATCATGAGAGTCTGCAGGTCCTTAGCGACAGCCACGCCGGTGTTGAAAATACCAAAGCCAAGCATGGCGAAGACGATGGGCGGGCGACGGCCTTTCAATTCCGACAGGGGTGCCCAGATCAACGGGCCCGAGGCGTAGCCCATAATGTATAGCGAGCTCGACAGCGCGGAGACCTCGAGGCCAACATTGAATACTTTGGCAACGGCGGAAGATGAAGTGCTGAAAATGGCCGAATCGAATGTTGAGCAGATACTGGTGAATGCAAGGATTACGGTAATGTAGATCCTGAGAAAAAAGAAACAAATGAGTTCTCTGGTGGATGATCTAGGATTGGATACGAGACGACCTACTTTCGTTTTAATGGCCAATTCTGGGGGTATAAGGGATCTTCTGGGCCATCGAATTCTACAACATAATCATCGCGGTTGGGAAGGTGTGGAGGGTAGGGTTTTCCAGCACCAAACGCCGGCAACGGCTGTCGAGATGGGCGCGACTTCACACTCTCACCCACGGTCATCGCATGTTGTAGACGTTGTGTTTCAATGCGGCTAAGGGCCTGGGAGGTCGCTGTTCGATGGCGCTCGAGGTCCACCTCCGTGTTTCGCGATTGTAATCTGTGAAAATTGGAGTTGTATTCGACGGAGCTACTAGAACCAGTGGAAGAGACCGAGGTTCCAGACGATGACGGCCTGTCTGCCTCTTTCGATGTGTCGGGCTTCTCTCCATCCCATTGGGAGGAGGCATGAGGGCGGGCCGCGATCTCGGCCATCTCGAGGTTGCGATCTTCTCGGTTGAGGCTCATGGTGATCGTCGAATGCGTATCGCGAATAGATCCCAGCTATGTAACAGCGCCTCGGACGAGGTATGGTCAAAACGTCCCGGGATCTCTCAGGAGAAGAAAGGAGAAACTTCATCAGGCAGCAGGGCCGCCACTATAAACAGAAGCTCCCCTTCCCAGATGACTGAGTGGCGCTTGGAAGAAGAAAATGGGGCACGAGAGGAACTGGATCCGACTTAACCGTGCAGGACCCACCGCGCACCATGCGACGGCTGCGACACGCGATGGGAACTGCCGAACAGTTGGATGCTTGGTCAGAGACGAGATTGCTCCGGGGCAGATTGAAACCGATCAGACAATTCACGAACCGAGAATCGGAGCTCCCTCTTGATTGAGCATCCCTGCACCAGATCAAGGCCAAGGGCAAAGAGGGGAGAAGCCCGAAAATTCCTCTGGCTGCAACCATCGCCTCCTCAAGCGCCGCGACTCAGTGACGTGGGGCGCCGCCGACGCTAGTGGGAAAAGATGGAACAATAGAAAAAAATACTAGGGCGGAACTGATGTCATTCATTCGTTAACTACTATCGCGCAACTAACGATTGCCACCACTTCCCCCTTGAATCCAAGGCCCTGCTCCTCATGCGACTCCGCGTAATACCTAAGGTGGTGGCTGCTACTATCATGGCTTTCTGGGGGGATGACGAAAGATGAGGGATCATCAGGGCTATAACGGATCCGAGGCGCTTGGATTTATAAAACGTGTTGGTGCCAACTTTCAGTTTTCGCGCGCTCGGTCTTAGGGAATGCCGAGTGCAACTTACCAACGCGCCTGAGGGGGGGGCCAAAACCGGCCCGATCCAGGTCGGCTGGAATGTTGGCGGTTCGGGAACGATCTCGCCCGCTGGCGGGTCTGATCTGCCCCAGCATCCTCGGCATCTTCTAGGAATCTTGGGTCGAAACCCGCTTATCCTCGGCGCCGAGGAATGATCCATCTATAAGGCTATCGAGGAGGAATCTTATTCATACTCTAGATACAGGCGCACCGATCACAAGTTGTCATTCTAAATGTTTTTTGGGTCGAGGGCTTGCCGGCGCGAGAACCAGCAGACGCCGATGGTATTCCCGAATGGAATATGAAAACATGAAAAGAAAAAAGAAAGAAAGAAAGATAATCCATGTGGCTTCAGGTTTATCATAACGAGGAAAGTGAGCAAATACTTAGGGACAGACATCACAGAACCTGAGGAAGGCCGATGTAAATTCAAAAGACCCGAGCTTAATCTAATATGTTGCCGGGGCTAACTGGAAATAGACTTCATGTCGGGGGCAACGATATTAATATTCACGAATTCCTGCTGAGCATAGATACATCCCCAAGACGCTCTGCTTGCATACCGACTCACAATATGGGCATCCCATGCAGCACAGCTCTTTTCAATGTCACAACCATGATGTTATATCTCCAACTGGCTTTCAAGCCTCCTTTGAGTCCGCTGGATCTGGAGGATTCTTTATTGAAAACTCTTCAAATTTGGAATATTGTTTCACCACTAACCGAGTTACTCTAATAGAATCAGAGATTCAGCATAGGGTTTTCCATTCCTTTGAAAGAGAAATTATCCTGGTACATCGGAAATTTCCAGCTTCCACTCTATAGACGAGTTCTAACCGTTTTCTGTCAGGGTTCTTGGTGGCAGCACAGCCACCACCGCCACCACCGCCATCTCATAACCCGCCTCATCGCCATGAATTCTGAACCCGGTTCCAAGCTGGTTTCTGAATGGCCAAGGGCTATTAGATCATATGAACAGGATGGCAATGACAAAGTCACTGTTTACTTCGGCGACTGGTATTATCGCTTGCAGAAATGCCAGTTTGGCCAAGTTACTGAAGGGCTCTCCTGAGAATTTATTTACCAACTGGCATAGCTAGCCGGTTTTAGATACGCCTCTCCTCGACCACCACGATCCGACACCACCTTGACGATTCTTCACGGCCTCGAGTGCCCGAATCAGGTCGGTGATCGCGTACACAAACGGGCCAAGCAGTAAGCTATGGCCTATTTTGGTATCCTTCGGTCCGTTCCGGGCAATGATGAGGATAACAAGAAGGGTGCGGGTATGGCTCTGAAAGGGTCCTGTTTTCATCTACAAATATGGCCGTGTAGGCAACCTAGATCGATTTGAAGCCGTAAGCCGGTTACGCAATAGGTTTCAGATCTCCATAGCCCCGTGTTCTGGCCAACTTGGAGCCTCTCTGAATATGTGGCATTAATAGGCGCCCGTAACACGTACAGAAGACCGATGTCAGTAATCAAGCTCCAAGCCATCTTTTCATGGAATTGCAAAATATCGTGAGCCGATCTCGGCCCAGATTACTTTTGGTTGGAATCATTGCGCCAAACTACTAAAACTACTCGAGTCGCTGGCATAAAACGCACCAAATCGGGGATACCCGCAATTGGGCAGGGATCGGCACGGATCGCCCGGGAAAAAGCAGCGCCCCTGGGCCACTTCGAAGGGCGGTGATTTGGAGGCTGGGACCACACCCGCTTTTTCCCTCCTTCAACTGCCCAAAAACCTGTCAATCCTGTCAAACCTGTCAACCCTGTCAACCCTGCGTCGCAGATTTGACTCCTCGCTATATACGGAACTGGTCTCTCTCGGGTCTTGCATTCTTCGGCCCATCCGGTCTTCTCTTCGCCATGGGATTCTCATCCCGGTATCTCCGCATTCCGCGGCCAGAGGTGAGTGTCGATTCCTCCATTCTCGATCCGATTCATCGAGGCCCCCAAGCTAATCGACCGGGCTTCGCTGTCACAGTCCTTTCTCTATGTGATGAGCCTGGAGACGGGCGCGTCGTTGATTACCCTTTCACTACTTCTGAACAAGATCAGTGGTCTGTATGGTCTCCTTGCCTTGCTGACTGGCTACCACCTGTCGCCGGTCCAACTGTCCATGTACCTCTACTCTCTTGTCGCCCTCGCCCTCGCCGCTCTGCTCTTCCCACACATCCGCAAACAGTCTCCGCTCGAGTGTCTCGCTCTTGCCTGGCTATATCTGCTGGACAGTCTCATTAATGCCGCCTATACCGCCGCCTTCGGTGTGACCTGGTTCCTAGTCGTGTCCCAACACTACGATAACGGCAAGGCCGCGGGCCCCGGAGGGGACACCATCGCTCAAACTGCCGGCTTTACCAATCCCAAGTATGATGCCGCCTATGTTGAGATTCAGAACACCAAGGAAGGTAACAACTTCATCGCCCACCCGCCGCGGAGCGCCGACCCCCTCAGCAATGCTGTCTACCAGCCCGAAAGCTTTCAAAGTATCGTTTTCATCTCACTCCTCTGGGCTATGCGTGTCTATTTTGTGCTTGTAATGCTCGCTTTCGCTCGCCAAACTCTTCGCCTCTGGGTTGCGATCCCTCGCCACACCCAGCTCCCGACCCACAGCCGCAACGTGTCGGTCGCAAGTGTTGCCGATATCGACCGCGAACCCTTCTCGCCATACAGCCCCGATGGACAAGGTTGGAAGGGCAAGGTAGGCCGTATCATGGTCACTGTCGGCCATAGTTACTGGTTGGGTGAAGAGGAAGATGGCAACTGGTTGAGCGGTATCGGTCAAAAATTCCGTAACCGCAGTAACAACACAGAGCTACCTGGCCCCCTAGAGCGTGAGCGTAGACGCCGCTCGGGAACTGGCCCCCCCTCAACCATCCCAATCGGTTGTCCGAAGTGGTGCTATCCAACAAACCATCCACGAGCATGTGCCGGGAATGAATGTGAAGATGCAAGACTGGAATGAGCCTCGATAAATGAAACTCGACGGCCCGCCCACTGTAGTGGCGACAACAGTCGAGCTAAACACCCCGCCACTCGCGAGTACTGCTCTCTCCATAAACAACTCCTACCTACCTTGACCACGCCCTTTATTGCTGTTTGAAGCCAATATTGAAAATAATGCGGCTCGACTGCAAGGAGATGACTGAGCCGTTCCATCGTTTCATACACACACACACACACACACATCAAGCACACCTTGTGATGAAACGCTTATTAGAGTTTCAATTCGATGACTCTCCTGGTCGCAAGATATTTATTTTCTCCGACCTCCTCCTTGGATATATGAACAGTTATCCAAGAACAAATACTTCAGATGTTGGATCATCACATCTCTTATCTCCCTCTCTCGTTTATGTCGAATCGAGTGATCACGCCCGCATGAGGCGTTTGGGAAACCCACGGAGTTAGTTAGGTTTGAGATCCAGATCAAATTTCGGTGGGCTTTTGAAAGCGCAGTATCTCCTACAAAACACCTGGGTTCTCTTTTGGAATTTACTTTTGGCGTCTGGATCATGTACATTGACTTGATATGGGAGCGGGTCTATCTCACGGCGCCTTGGTTTACAGCTATCAACGCATTTTAGTCTGTCTAGGCAAGGGGTTTCTGGGAAACCTCAAAAATGTACACAGCCGATTGACTACATATTACACTATCACCCATGCATACAATTTTGACTATAATCTTGGCCTTTTACTGCTGCGATTCTTCCTCCCCACCCCTAGAGCATACATAGCATGCGTGTCATTTTGGCACCGCCGCGCATGAGATGCGATATTATACTCTACCGCGCTAGCGATTAGAAGCCCTACATGACAGGCAGCCGTATGAAATGCCCCTGACTCTCGATTGAGCCCCCCCCTTTATTACCCGTAATGTGCCCAATCGATGCCCGACATCTCATTCTGGTTTTCCCCCGAGGATTGACCGAGTGGAACAACTAAGCCTTTAATGGGTAACTTATGGCCACCAAACGTCCAAAACGCGAATTTAGGGTTGGGATCTTCGTTCTCGGCGGGTGGCTGAGAGATTGGCAACTCCTTGAGACATTTATAGAGACCTTCCTCTGTATAAATTCCAGCCCCCTTCTCTTACAGCATTGTTCATCCAGCTCCAGTCATCCTTTTTCACATAAATACGGCTTTTAACTAGGCAAAGGAAGGTCTAGAAACGTAATATCTAGTAGTACTACTACTAATAGTAGTAGTAGGAAGATAGTAGACCTTCCTTAGCCAGACTAAGGCGAAAATATTACGTCTATCGAGTGTATAGCTACCGACGGGTAGTAGTTAGAACCCTAGTTTATCTTTCAAGGCAACGGTATCTTTATAGAATCTTATCTTAATCAAACAGACGACCTACTACTAAGAACTACTATTACTATATCGCTAAACGGTTAGATAACGTATAGTAGTTCAATAGCTTCGATTCTTTATAGAATCAATATACGACCGTACGAAATCGGGTAAAAAACGTATCCTAATATTCGACAGTCACGGTTCGTATCTTATATTCGAATTCCTACACCTTTGCGAAGAGAACGATATCCTACTAATAGGATTCCTACTATATATAATATATCTTTACTAGCTGCTAGACGGTAAGCTATTTCTAAGCTATAAGCAACACTTCCGCTTAGCGAATAACGACCACGCTTTTTAGGGTAGAAGCCCTATCGGAAGATTAGAGTTCCTTCGAATAATCAGTAATATTCGGAATAGAGCGTTGTTAGAGAATAACTACTTGTACAGGGTAGAAAGCCTGTCGACTAGGTAGGAAGATAAACGTCAAGTAAGGAAAGCAAAACACTGTTTCTTACTGTCATGGATCTCTCCATAATCCTTAATTTATATACAAGCTTCAGCACTTTCCTACATGACAAAAGCAAAGACGATAGATCATATTACAATATACGGTCTGACGTAGCCTACATATAACAGAGGTAAGCAAAGGCTACAGGAAAGAGGGGTTCACGAATCCCTAATGGAAGGGCACCGAACCCTCAGGGCCTTGTAGGTCATGCATCCATGTTAGGGAGAAGTAGGGCTGTCATAACGAAGCCTGACCGATAAGGTGTCGAACTGATACCTGAGGTATAGAGTTGGGAATAGCCTCATGTTGCAATATCATATGACAAGCGTTTAGCTAGCGAATTATTCGTGAATCGTTTAAAGATCGTAGGATATATCTATTCAATAGTAGAAAGGTTATTAATAGCCTTCCTATCCAAGATTACCTAGATCTTATAGCGCTAGATCTACAACTGCTTTATTTAACACCTTCGCCGCTACTACAAACTACTATATCTTCTTCTAGTATCGACAAATCGCCGCCTAGATCTATATAGGATCTAGAGAAGAATCAAAAGAAGATTGCTAGATATTAATAAGAAGATCTTACACCTAGGCAGCAACGTAATCTTGACCGGTTATTTTATTATAACAAGATTACTATAGAGAACCTAAATCTAGCGAACGATACTATTCGTAAGATTAGGGAAGCTTAACTACTACTACAGCGCCTAATCACTAAGCGCTAGGTTAAAACACCGCTTAGCAAAACAGGGGTACTCTCTATTAGAGATACAAATCGTTCTATTACTAAAAGAAACGAGAAGGAAGCAGAGGTAGAGCGGAAGCGGGTAAGGAAGCAGTGGAAGAAAGCGTATAGAACATCACCACCACCAGAACCTACACAGAATCAAGATATAGCACTAGAAAGAGCGGAGGAAGCACGCTAGGAAGGTGATATTTTCTTTATGGATACTAGTAGGATGCAGTAGTAGATAGGGTATATAGGAAAAAAATGGCAGTCTCATGTGGTTGGCAGTCTGACGTGGCGCACCCACAACCCGGAAGGGTTGGGGGGCGGTGTAAGGCACTAATAGAACGGAAGAAGAACGCCAAGCGTTGCCGGACATAATCCGGTATATATTGAACCAGGGCGCTCAGCGGCAAGCCTGAGAATGCAGGCAGGATGATATAGCTTCAACAAACCAGCATACAAACCACCACACACCACAATGGAGAAAGCCTCCCCTATAGGGAGCAGAAGCAGATAGAGCGAAGAGAGTGTAAGAGTTGATTCTTCTCCCTATTGGAGATCTGAAGCTATATCCTGTAAGGACTGTGTACTGGAAAGATATCCTCCAATTAGAGATCCCCCTTGTAGGCCATTTCCCCACTACAATATGTATCTAATGCCATCAGCTTCTTGATGCTAAACATACTAGGAATTGTCAACGTGCCATATGACACCCGAGGTTGAGCGGCTTCACGCTGCAGGGAGGGAATTCTGTGCATAAAATCAATCAGAGGTAAGCTTCTTTATGTATGGGAAATGGGTCTAGTCTTCGTTTAGTACGCTTACTCTATAGATGTTCGGTATCCAATTTGACGCCGCAGGTATCTACCTGGTCGGCACATCGACAGAATAATTTCACATATCCTTTGAAGAGTTAATGTCATCTACTGGAGGCATCATCGGCCTACTAGAATACGGCCTCATTTGCAAAGTGCTGAAAGCCGTTTGTAGTCGAGCTCGACACCGATTGTGGCATCACCCCGGGACTTCGCTCAACACCCAGCCTTCCGTTTGGATCGATAACTCTGGGCCAATACTATATGAAGTAGGCCATGGGACTAATTCAATTCGAGTTAGCCCTCAGGAGCTGGAGTCTTCTCTCTTTGGGAGAACTATCAAGAAACACTGGGACGATGGTATTACTAGTCCGGGGGCAAGGTGGATTGTAAAAATGGTGTTTGGGTCTATTCTTATTGGCATCTGGAGGAACGTGCAACGGCGCTTGAAAATTCGGAAGTTCTGAAGGGCATTATTTGAGCGACAATATAATGAGTGTCATATTCTTGGTGCTCGACATCCGATTAGCGACTTTCCTAATTACAAGTCGTATTTTGCTCCCTTCCCTTTGTCTTCTTCCACTCTTTTCAAAGGGGCAACTTCATGAAGAATAATCTGCAAAACTTTGACCAAATCACTGAAACAATTAATTCAGTCAAGACCTTATTCATTCTTAGGTGCCTCATGGATCATTTGGCAGGCTTTAAAACGCAGTTCGGCCCTGTATTAGGAGCCTTAGAGCAAGATTTCTTCCTTTCGCCTTCGAACTGCAATACTCGCCATTGGATCCACATTCAAAGAAAATCCGTTCTTCTGAACCTTTGGTTTGGCTGACCCCGGCGCAAATTTGAAGTCGTATTTCAGCAAAATATGACAAAGAGCGATTTTGATTTCATTTGCCGCAAAAAATCGTCCTGGACATGCATGCTTTCCATACCCGAATCCAAGATGTTCTGGAGAGGGAGATACTAGCTGTGCAGACGTCTCATGACCCGGGGTTTCTCGTAGTCTCAAAAATCGATATGGATCAAAGTTTTCTGGATTTGGATATGTTTCTGCGTCCCACATTTTCTCCCCTGACAGAACAAGAAATGAATTCTTTGGAATAATAGTACCATCAGAAAGACTTAGGTCTGTCAAAACAAGGCGTCTCATGCTTGCTGGAGTGGCAAAATTAACTTCGTTTCCATCTTCACGCATAACTCATTCTCATAAAAAGGGATTCAGCAGGTAAACTCCGGACTTACCGATATTAATGGGCTTCAATCTTTGACTCTCTTTCAAAACACTGTCCATAAGTTTCAATTTGTACAAAGTCGTTTTCTTCCAACCTTCCTCTTTTATTACTGCGATGACTTCCTCTCGAAGCTCTTGAATAAGCCCTTCCTTATCGCAGAGATCAAAAAGAACCTGCGTGAGCATATCAGAGGTTGTGTGTATTGCAGCCACTGAGAATGATAACTGTGAGTATTCAGGACTGTAATAACGGCCTTTGGAAATCTCCTCCATCCACTCCATAGCATCGTTAAACCGCTCAGGCTGCTTCCCTTCTCGTCTTGCTTTTTCTTTTGTAAACCGCCTCTCCTCAAGCACTGGACTTATGACGGCCCTTGCTTCCTTAAGCTCAGTTCTTATTTTTTGACAGCATGGCAGAAATTTTGCAATCAATGGGCGTAGAATTTGAGGCCATTGGCGCAGAGCCATGGCTGCAATGAATGAGTCCACGGTATAATTCACAGTAATACGTAACCAATCTGGATTCCGACAAATTTTATCGCCAAGGAAAACTTTAGAGGATAGTTGCGCAACAATTTTGAGAATACTTGACTTCAGCGTCATAATATGCCAATCTTGAAATGCAGTGTTAAGTTGTGTTCGTAAGTCTGGATGGAGTTCTATAGGGGGCATGGGAAAATAACGAACCAGGGTTGTTTGACCACTCTTGCTCGAGCACAACGGAAGTCTCATCAGACAGCGGCTTTGTAAGTACACCTAATTGCCAAAGTACTTATTAACAAGTCGTACGGCAAAAGTAACACCACCTGGTTAGAACACAGAAGCGCACCTAGGCTCTGGGTGAGTTTTAGTCGAATGGTATCTGCAAATATTTGATCATTGCTTGCCTCACTAAAGGGCTCGAATCCTCGAATGTGGGAGTGAAATTCTTGGGCAATCCCAGAGCCAAAACTCAATGAGGGGTGACTGCGGATGTCAGATGCATATTTTGGTGCAAGGACGGTCTTGACTCCGTTGTCAGAGAGAATATCGAACACATCGCTCTAGAAGACGGCCTTAGTTATTTGTCTTTCGTTGGTTTTCCCAGCATTTTGTGTATATTACCTTTCTAAGACCAGCTTGGATCAATTTTCTTGCCTCGTTTATGTATTGTTTTTTCACACGACTAGAACAAAGTTCGAATCGGTTTTTGTTGTTGATCAACGGGAATACGTGCTTTCCTGGTAGTAGTAGATATAGAATCCCTACAGCCAAGATTCCAGCTATGAATAATTCAGCTGGGCTCGATTTAAGTCCCCAGGAAGCTATATCAAGCATCATTTTCATTGGAAGTTTTTCGAGACTCTCCTTAAGTCTGCAAGTTCAACCCGGGCAATTTGGTGAATTTATCTTGCGATAGGATACTGATCAAGGTGGGTGACACTCAGCATAAAGCATAATTATGTTCTAAAGTCGAAATGATTATATGCATAAATGCTAGATGTCTTCTCGGTATTAATGGAAAATCTTATGTACGGCGGAGAAACAAGGTGAATCCGATGATTCAGAGATGGTGCAGATGTACCAGGTTGATCCAATCAGCTGGCCTTTTCGGCCTCCGATCTTCCTCAATCTGGTACGTCAATGCGGGGGCACTGATTCAGTGCCAGCCCTTCTGCATATTTTGTTATAGTATTACGTTTAGTTCAGACATAGACAGAATCCAGGTGTAACCTAAGCCTTGCACTCAATTTAGAATTGCTGGGATCTAATTGGATTCCTGGTGAAAGGCCCCGCCCGCGCGGGATTAAGTCTCCAACTCTTGTCTGTTTAATCTAAGTCTTGCTCAAGTCTAACAGTTTATGATTTAGACAAAGTCATGCTAACCTGATATAAAATTTTAAAGTAAATTAATAGCAGTAATGATTTTTAGCTTCAAATTGATTTAAAAGACAAACGGGCAGTATGGTCAGGCTTTTCTAAGGACGGTGTAGGGCAAGCGTATTAATAAAGCAAGCGACGAGGGCAATCAAAATCAGTTCCTAGAATATTGAAATGCACGAGTAGAAAATTCATTTCCCGCCCCCTGATTCTCTTCCGGTTGAGGTACAAACTCGAGATAGATCTCTTCAACGTTCATTTTATCCTATAGCAGGAGTCATTTCTTTAAGAAATCTGAAGTCAGACCCCGTCCAGATTCGGAGGGGAAACTATCTAAAAGCCCCACAAGATCGCATGACCCCCACTGACTAGGCAGATTGAGTCATTTGTGGCCATATTATCATATCGACTGCTCAAGAGTGATACTCTTGGAGTTGAGCCACGATCGGACGTTTGAATCGAGCTGAAATTGCAAATGTGGGAGGCGTTCGGTGATACAACTCATTTGTCAAGTTGGGATACAGGCTAGCCTAATGCCAGATATTCGGCATCTCGGGAGGCTCGGTACCAGACGGCGGTAGATCTGATCTGCCAGGTAGTTGCAATTGGTGCCATGGAGAATATCCAATTAAGATAGTTTTCCAGGATAGGCGCTCCAAATTCCTGATGAGCTAGTCATATCATCCTTCCGGGTAGCAGGATATGGTTTGAGCGATCGCTGGTTGGGACCAGAGACCAGGTTGGAGGTGTGCGCGACGAGGCTGGAGTGGGTAGACAATGAGATGTAGGTAGATCGGCCATCAGTTCTCTATTCTTGGCTTGGGAATCGATGAATCGAGCAGTCTTCAATGAGCTATCGCCCTCGAGTGACCTTCTATTTGTTGCATAAGATTGTTGGGCCTCCTGGAGTTGATCGATGGAAAAATATGCCATTGGTTAGCACCAGTATCTACCCCGGCTGAGGCTTGCGTGTCACCAGGTAGAATATATTCTATGCCTTATGCTTGAATGAAGGCGCGAGGACCATCTTGATTACTTTTCAAGATCTCCTTCTCGCGAGAGAGTGTGTTGACTGACGCTGGGAGCTGATGCATCCACTTGGGCCTATGGTGTTGATCACAGATCTTCACTTGGATCTCGAGCGCCTGAATGCAATTTTCATGTTTTTCTCTTGGTTTCTTCCAAGCTTCTCTCTTTTCGATGTGTTTTCTTGCAGGTGAGAATTGGCTGGTCCAGCTGAGCAGCATTTTCAGGCTTGCGAGGATTTGGCGATAATGTATGGGGACGAGTGATCCGGAAAATGAGGGGCTCAGAAATGCGGATGAAAATGTCTCTCCTAAATGTTGGCATCTCAACGAAATTACCACCTATTTAGTGTCAAATGTGCATGATTTTATACATTATTGGGGATGCACAGTTTGATTGTTTGGGCGGAGGCTGCAGCTGCAGCTTGCAGGTCACCCGACGTCCATACTAGGGAGGCATTCGTTAAGAATGGTTTCAAGGGATATGCTCTGGGGGATGCCGGGATTGAAAGTTAGAAAGCAGTGGTATAGAATATTGGGCGGTTTGATACCGCGAGGAAAATGCTGTCTCGTATAAGAATACCATCCGAGGGTGGATTTGGTGAGTATTCCCGTTGTAACATATATATCATTATTCAGAATTTCCTAGCCACGATTTTACCATTCGAAAGACACCTTATACTTCTACAGAATCTGCATCATTTAGATAAACCTTAAGGTCAATTATTATCCAATCACCAAGTTGACTCTGCCCAAGATCTAAGAAAAAAATGGCCAAGAAGTTGAGCATAGATTCTCACATAGTAGCTTATTAGAAGGTAAAGAAAGCGGTCTTCTTCAAACTTAATTTGCATTAGTCATTATAGTTAGATCGACTGGCCCAGTGGTGAAGGCGCCCGTCTTACACACGGGAGATCGCAGGTTCGAACCCTGCGTCGATCATTTTCTTTTTTCCTGTTAATTTTTTTTATTAGCCTCAAATTTTTTGTAGATCTTTGGTTTAGGTTATTTATATACGACTAAATATACGACTAACCATCGAATATTTACCCTCCGGGATATCCATCAAAGAGCCCCTTCGATAGCTAACCCTATGGAGAATACTTGCACCATGGGAAATTGGCAGGCGCCTCGGCTGTCCTCATGGTGGGAAGCCAAACCGGGCAGATCTTCCATCGGAGGATTCCCTGCGGCCCAACCTTCTCGACCGAGAGTCAACTCGGTAATCGCCGCTCCACTATTGGTAGCTGTGCGGTGAAGCCAGTGGGTGCAGCTTTCCGCAGAGACAATCATGTACAGCCAAATCCTGCACCAGGCCTGGATTGATCACATGATATGATCACAATGGACAGGAGGCTTTTGTAGTAAGTTTAAACACCAAAAACACATACAATCAGGGTTGGTATTCGGCCTGTCATAGTTCAGACAACGACTATTCAACTGCCCGAGCAAATGCCGACGGTGACGTGCTCGAGGTTGACTCAGCGAAGGGTCACGGGATTCCCCGCACTAAATCCCAATGTGGCATGTTTGCACTCGTTGCAACACGGATTTCGCGATGTCGTGATCAACTACCAATCAGACGGCGCATAATCCAACCCCGATGGCGGAGAACTGACTGCATGCTCAGCAGAAAACCGAACGCCAACCTTTTTTTTCTTTTTTGTGTTTGTTGGATACATCGCAGCATCAGATCAGAGAAGGGACGGCTTCAATTGTGTCATTCCTTCGCCATCTTTCTGGATTGTCGATTCTGTATCCAGACATCAAACGTGGGCGATATCCAGGCTGCGCGATAAGCTCCTACCGCCACTGATTTCCCCCAGCCCACTTCAGGCTGTGATTGTCGCAGCATTTGCCAGTCATGGCATCGATCTCAACTGCTGCTGAGGCAGGTATGCAAATTTCTCTGAATCTCTACACCTCTGGTCCATGGTCAATTGCTAATCTGCGTGGGTTGACTCAGTGGCGAGAATCGCCTACTTAACAAGCGACCTTGTTCTTTCCGTGCAGCCTTCTCTGCAGACGGATTCCTTGTTCTCCAAGACTCTGAAGGCCCTCAAGGCAAATAAGACAACCGGTATTCTGTCACGGGGCATTCCAGAAGTAAGAATATTGACATAGATAGAAATTGGGCGAGGGCATGAATTAATTTGTTCGTCAGGTGCAAGCTATCCGTTACAATGAAGACCCTCTTCTGTCTGTCTTCTATCCTCTGCAAAACGGCCATATCGTGTCTGTGGTGACCGGCTCCTCTATTTTGCTCACCGCTGTCCCTCACCTCTACCGTCTTGCCAACCTCCCCGTTGTCATTCATGTCGCCCTGGAGCCTTCTTCTTCGCCAGACTACTCAGTGATTAGCTCAATCCGGCAGTGTGGTTTCACCTTCCTTCACTCAGAGACTGTACAAGAGGCCCAGGATATTGCTCTCACTGCCCGTGCCCTTGCTTCAAAGTCCGGAAAAGGTGTCATTCACTTTTTTGATCCTACCAACTCTGCCAAGGATGTCGCCATCAACACTGAGGACTCTGAGCTTGTGAAGAAGATCATCAATCTGTCTGGAAATGTTGCTTCCCACGCTACCGGTTCTGAGACGCTGTATACGGACTCTGGTAGCACTCCTACTGTGTCTGCTGAGGGAGTGGATATTTCTCCTGCTGGTCAGGGAGTTACTGCTGCCAGCTTGGGTGTTCCTTCTCAGACTCAAACTCCGTCAAATGTTAGCGTTGATAACTCCTCCGTTGGCTCCTCTCGCCGCGACAGCAGCGCTGGCAGCGAGGCCGCAAGCTCCACCGCCACAACCGTGGATGCCTCTAGTGTTCGACCTGTCAACTCTGCCGATATCTTTGAGTGGACCTCGCAGATTTGGAGTGCTCTGTCAAAGGAGACTGGTCGTTCCTACCGTGCAATTGAATATACTGGCCCCACGGAGGCCAAGGCTGCTGTCTTCATTTTTGGTTCTACCGGTGTCTTTGTAGACGCTCTATCCAAGGCTGAGCCCAACAGTGAACTCGAGAACATTGGTCTTATCACTGCTCGTGTGTACCGCCCATGGGTTGGTGCTCAGATTGTGAGCTCGATCCCTAGCTCAATTGAAAAGATTGCTGTTCTGGAGCAAGTTCGCAAGACGACAAAGTGGGGCCCATCGTTCATGGACCTGCTTTCTAGCATTACCCCCACTCGGGGCTCTTCTCTCAAGGTTGTTGGGTACCGCCTCGGATACGTTGAGCCTTCTACCGCGGTTCAGGCTCTTCGTGGCATTGTGCAGAACCTGCAGGCTCCTTCTCCCATCCAGAACTTGGATATCGGTAGTTCCAATGTTCCCACTGTTGAAGGATCTCTGGAGCAGCCTCGCATTGAGAACGCTTATATCAAGATACTAAACCAGCTATTTGGTGAGCGCCTCTATATTGCCAACCAGCTCGGTGCGAAAAACGCTGGTGTTTCTTCTACGATTGCTGCCAGCCCTGAGTATGGATTTGGCTCTCTGATTGCGCGTAAAGAGCACCGTGAACGCTTCATTCAGGAGGTTGAGAATGCCTCTAAGTCTACCACCTTCGCGACTGATGTTCCCAAGACTTGGTTGTCTCGCTGGGCCTTGGGTGCTAAGGAGGCTGCAAAGGCCAACAAGCTCGCCCCTGAAGTTATTGCTCGTCTCTCCAACGATGGCTCTAAGCTATCCCGCCAGCTGCTTGAGTCAAAGAAGCTTTTCTACAATGAGTCCCAATGGCTTATTGGTTCCGATGCCTGGGCCTATGATCTTGGCAACTCCGGTGTTCATCATGTTCTTGCATCTGGGGCTAATGTGAACATGTTGATCATTGACTCCCAGCCCTACTCCGAGCGCATTGCCTCTGACCCTACCCGCCGCAAGAAGGACATTGGTCTCTACGCGATGAACTTCGGCAATGCTTATGTTGCCTCAACCGCAGTATACAGCTCGTATACTCAGGTGCTTCAGGCTATGGCTGAGGCCGAGCAGTTCAAGGGCCCGTCTGTGGTTGTTGCCTATCTTCCATACAACCAGGAGGATGATTCTGCCCTTACAGTGCTCCAGGAGACCAAGAAGGCTGTTGACCTTGGCTACTGGCCTCTTTACCGCTGGAACCCCGAGAACGAGGAGAAGGGCGAGCCCAAATTCTCCCTTGACTCTGAGCGCATCAAGCGCGAGCTGGAAGAGTTCCTTCGCCGAGACAACCAGCTTACCCAGCTCATGAATCGTCAGCCTAAATTCTCATCTGTGCTGTCTGAATCCTACGGCACCGAAGTCCGTGCACTGCAAAAGCGCAAGGCCAAGCAATCTTACGAAAAGCTTTTGGATGGTCTCTTTGGTGCCCCTCTCACCGTCCTTTTTGCTTCCGATGGTGGCAATGCCCAGAACATCGCTAAGCGTCTTGGTAATCGTGGCCGTGCCAGAGGTCTGAAGACTATGGTCATTGCCATGGATGAGTATCCTATTGAGGACCTGCCGACCGAGGAAAACGTGGTATTCATTACTAGCACTGCTGGTCAGGGTGAATTCCCCGTCAACGGCCGTAGTCTTTGGGAGCACGTGAAGAATTCTGGAGACTTTGATCTGTCTTCTATCAATTATTCCGTCTTCGGCCTCGGCGATAGCCACTACTGGCCCCGAAAGGAGGATAGGATCTACTACAACAAGCCCGCCAAGGACCTCGATGCTCGTGTTGCTTTCCTGGGTGGCCGCAAGCTCACCGATATTGGTCTTGGTGATGACCAGGATCCCGATGCTTACCAGACCGGCTATTCCGAATGGGAGCCACGTCTGTGGCAGGCTCTGGGCGTCGACAAGGTCGAGGGTCTCCCTGAGGAGCCTGCGCCCATGACCAACGAGGATATCAAGATTCAGTCTAACTTCCTACGCGGGACCATCGCGGAGGGTCTGCTAGATGAATCTACTGGCGCCATTTCCGCCAGCGATCAGCAGCTGACTAAGTTCCACGGCACTTACATGCAGGATGATCGTGATCTTCGCGACGAGCGCAAGGCTCAAGGTCTTGAGCCCGCCTACAGCTTCATGATTCGTTGCCGTCTCCCCGGTGGTGTTGCTACCCCCACTCAGTGGCTGCAGATGGACGCTATCAGCAGCTCGCACGGAAACGAGACCATGAAGCTCACCACCCGTCAAACCTTCCAGTTCCACGGCGTTATCAAGCGCAACCTCCGCGGTGCTATGCGTGCTATCAACCAGTCTCTGATGGACACTATTGCTGCGTGTGGTGATGTGAACCGCAACGTTATGTGCAGTTCTCTCCCAGAACTCTCTGACTTCCATCGTGAGACATGGGTCTTCTCTAAGAAGATCAGCGAACACCTTTTGCCTTCAACCACTGCCTACCACGAGATCTGGCTGAAGGACGAGAATGACAAGAAGGTTCAGGTTGCTGGTGATGCCGTTGTGGATCATGAGCCTCTCTATGGTCCCACCTATCTTCCTCGCAAGTTCAAGATCACCATCGCCATTCCACCCCACAACGACACCGATGTCTATGCTCATGACATCGGATTGATTGCCATTAAGGGTGCTGATGGCCACCTTGAAGGCTTCAACGTCCTCGCTGGTGGTGGTATGGGTACTACCCACAACAACAAGAAGACCTACCCCCAGACTGGCCGTATGCTTGGTTTCTTCCCCGCGGAAACCATTCACATTGCCTGCGAGAAGATCATGCTTGTGCAGCGCGACCACGGTGACCGCAAGAACCGTAAGCACGCCCGTCTGAAGTATACTATTGATGACATGGGCGTCGATGTCTTCCGCGGCAAGGTTGAAGCGCTTCTCCCCGAGGGCCAGCGCTTCGCTGAACCCCGGCCGTTCAAGTTCGTCTCCAACGTCGACACCTTCGGCTGGCAGAAGGACGAAAAGGGCATGAACCATTTCACCTTCTTCATCGAGAACGGTCGCATTGAGGACACTGCCGAATTTGCTATGCGCACTGGCCTCCGGGAGGTGGCTTCGCTCAACAAGGGCGAGTTCCGCCTCACTGGCAACCAGCACTTGATCATGTCCAACGTCACTGACGAAGACCTGCCCATCGTCAAGGAGGTTATGGCTAAGTACAAGCTTGATAACACCAACTTCTCTGGACTGCGTCTGTCGTCTTCTGCCTGTGTTGCCTTCCCGACCTGCGGTCTCGCCATGGCCGAGTCGGAGCGTTACCTGCCCGTCCTGATTTCCAAGCTGGAGTCTACCCTGGAGGAGAATGGCCTGGCCCGTGACAGCATTGTTATGCGTATGACTGGCTGTCCCAACGGTTGTGCCCGGCCGTGGCTTGCTGAGGTTGCTTTCGTCGGCAAGGCTTACGGTGCTTACAACATGTACCTGGGTGGTGGCTACCACGGCCAGCGCCTGAACAAGCTCTACCGCTCTTCTATCAAGGAGGACGAGATTCTGGAGATTATGAAGGGTCTCCTCAAGCGCTACGCCCAGGAGCGCAACACTGATGGCGAGACTCCTGAGCGTTTCGGTGACTTCTGCATCCGTGTTGGTGTGATCAAGGCCACTACTGATGGTCAAAATTTCCACGAAGGCGTAAGTGATCGATTTATATGACTTACTATAAAAACGATGATTCTAACTAGTCTCTTTAGGTCGCCGAAGAGGATGAGGATGAGGAGTAAATGACTTTCACTATAAAAATACCCAATGTGCCATGCCATGACCGTCACGGGAAGTTGATAAAATGTTGTTCATTAATATCATGTTTATGTTTTTTTTATTCCGTGTTTCTAGACGCATTGTTTCTTGGCGATTGAATGATCACGCTCGTGTAAAAATTCCTGCTAATTTGGCATTACCTATTTTTTCCTTCAACTTTTCCATACTCATGATAAAGATAGATGCACCGCTTAGTGCTTACGACTGTAATAGGAAGTAGAAATACTGGATCTTATATGGAAATGCTATTGAGAGAGTCAATAAGCGGGGATGCTTTTTGTGAATAGTCATTTAGGGAGCATTATACATAGAATCTATTGATACATGTGGCATCAATGCCACAGACCCTTATTAAGGGCGGAGACGTATATACATATAAACGGTGCAAAGTGACCGGAAGATAAAGAATATGCAACTGGAAAAAAACGCCGAGCCACATGCATCTCAACACTGATAAAATTCCAGAGAAAACCCCAGAAAAAGTGTTGTTTAAGAGAAGAAATACTGGCTGTTGCGGATCCGTGTCAGATCCCATTCGCCCTTGGCAGGGACTGGTCGGAAGGTAAGAGGGAGCCAGAGCCAAGTGCTCCTCTCGCTTCGCTTTTTGGTTTGCGCCTTGGATTTCAGGGTGACTCCCTCTGCCTCAGCGGGTTCATCGAGGTCGACATCAGCCTTGGACGCCGCATTGGGGTCCATCATATCGACTTCTGTGAACAAACTCTCGATGGCTGGGTCGCTAGTATCGACATTTGCAGATGGGCTCCGCTCAGCAGTGTCAAGATCCTTGGGAACATGACCAACACTGGTCTCTCCAAGAGTCGAAGCAATTGAGAGATCGTCGTCAGTAGCTCCCATCTCCTCAAATATAGAGGCTGGAGTAACCATGGCACGACCCTCGGCTTGATCGGCAGGATCATCAGAACGCAGTAGTGTTTGGCGACGGTTTTCTTGGATTAGCTCCGGAAGCTTACCACCCCGTGCGTTGCGCTTGCGATAAGCATTGATAGCCCTCCCAACCGCGCTCTGGGTTGCAACCTTTGCTAGGAGCATGTTTTTGCCAAAACGGACCTTGAACTCAGCGTCCAGGCGTCCGATAACATCATCAGAATGCATGCGCACGAACGCATCGCGCAGAATTGAATTCATTGTGTCGACATCACCGGCATGAGTCCAGAAAGAGTCGTGGACAGCCGAGAAAGTGAGACCAGCTTCGTTGCAAGCATTGGCAGACAACATCATATGAGTGGCATCAAGAGAGTGAATGAAGTTCGGAGGGAAAGCCTGGAGTTGCTTGCGACGAGAGACAGTAGCTTCCGAAGTTGGGTCCACGATGTTGATGGATTGCAATGAAGTGAAGACACGTCGCGCCTTTCTGGTGCGATATGGCTGGACCACAGGCAGGCCGAGAGGGGTTGTCCAGATAACGGTTGTCTGAAACCTTTTGGTTGGATCCAGAGCTTTTGGAGTATCCTTACTGGGTGATAGTGCCTCGTTCGTCAAAGTCTCAATTTGTTCGGGGGTCAGAGATTGTGTGATACGAGTGGCGCAGTCACCGAGCCAGTACTGAATATCGTGAGCTCCGTTGAACATGGAGCCCAAAGCCTCGAAAATCTTTCTTGCAATATACAGAGCACCGGCTTTCCTCATCTCAGTTGACAACTCAGGGTAATGGTCATTGAGTTGTTTGCGGACTTGCCGCATTGCTCCAATAAAAGTCACACCATAGACGTTAGTCATGACTGTTTGCTTGACGATTTTCCGGGTGATTTTGCCATTAAGAAGTCGAGCAATCTCGTGACCTTCAGCAGCTTCCTTAGCTACCGACTTCTTCACAAATTCGGAGACACCAGTGTAAACGTCAGACGGTCGGTCCGATGGCTCTAGGTTGACTTGCTGAGCACCGACTTTGTCGCCTCCGAGCGCGGCATAGTGCTGGAGACCATTGCAGGAACCGTCTTGATGGATAGGAAGTCGAGAGGGATATTCAGTTGGATCGGAGTAGCGCAGAGCATTGCGGAGCTCAAGGCAGGCCGCCAGACATTGCCACGGATCCTCGGCTTTCAACCACCAACGTTTACCATGGAGACCCTTGTTGGCAGAGTCGAGAATTTCATCTAGGTGATCCATAGCAAACTGCTCACGCTCAGACATGCTTGCCTTGTCGAATCCAGCCAAGTTTGCGATTTGGATCTTCAGCCAACGCAATCCACTCACGCCAAGTGGTTTGGCTTTGCTGAACAGAAGGAGACCCCGGGCATTGTCGGATCCCATCTGGTTGAGATAAGGAGGAAGAGGGTAGGCTCGGCCTCGAAAGTCCATATTGTGAGGCAGATAGAAGGTTTCATCTCGAAATGAACGAGCAACTTCCAATTGGAAGTTCTGGAAGCATCGCATCGAATGAAATCCAGATCGTAAATTCTCGATGTCACGCATTTTAACATTCCATTCCTTCTCGGCCTCGTAACCAGCGTCCGCAGCTGGCTTCGGTGGAATTTTAAGATCCGGTTCCACCGGTGCCAGATTCCCGATAGCTTCCCCGGAATTCCAAGCTTCAAGCATAACATCAAACACTTCGCGGTTGACAACCCATCCGGTGTTTCCGAGAACGTTAAGTCCATTTCGAATTTCCTTAAGACCACCATTCTCCAAGGCAGCATCGATATATGCTGGCTGGAGAGTCTCACCGGGAGTAGTTCGAACAATGGAACTTTGATATACATGATATCCTCCTGTTTTCGCTCCTGTCCACGGCCGGGGCTTGGATATCATAGGAAGATGGCGACTCAACATGTCCGCCGGGGGCTCCTTAGTAAGTTTTTCCACGATGTCTGGGTTCATGTAAAATAGACCCAAACGCTTTCCATAGTGGATTTCATATGAATGCAGGAACGCCGGCTGCGTCGTAGTGATATTCTTGCCAGTTGTGGCATCCGTGGTCCTGACAGAGGCCTTTGCGACGTTGAATAGAAGGCCCATCAGTACGGCTCCCGTCCTGACTACGACTCGAGGCGTCCAAGCAAGTTGTGGTTCCTCCTTTTGCAGATTCTCGGACAGAGCCTTCCATCGCATCCGCCCATCCTTGCCTCTCCTGTTAGCGAGCATTTCCTTCAGCATTTGGGCACGGCGGAAGTTGCCCGCCACATTTTTCTTGAGGAAGGTATCGGCCAATAACTCGTCCTTGATATCTTCGCCTACCCTTGTGGCAACCCCAGAGACCTTCACGCCCTTTTGAATCCCTCCCCTAGTGAACGCGTCTATCGTGGAAATTATGGTAACCGCAGCCAAGCGATCCGGGTCCAGAGCTTGGAGGAAAACGGAATACTCGCACCGAGCGGCTTGCTCCTCGTTGCGGATGGGTTTCCCTTCCTCTTCCTCAGCGAGTTTGATCTCATTTCGAATGGCCTCGGCAAGACCTGTGTGCCACTGGCCGATCATATGACTGAGCTTCGAATTGCCAGAACTCATATCGACGCCAACCTTGCTTCTTTGTTCAAACTCCTTGCGCCAACGGTTCGAGGCTGTAGTCATAGTATCTGTTTCGAGCTTTTGTTGCCTGAATTGATTGATGATATCCTCCCGTTCCTGCTCGGTGCCTTGGAAGTCTTGAGGCAGGGCAATTTGGGACATGTCCGCGAGCGAAGACAATGATGCTTGAAGTGAAGACAAGCCTAAACCCTTTTGCCTTGTAGCTAGTACTTCGGGGGTGTTATCGGCAGGTCGAACATCGGGGATTGGGCTTTCATCGAACTTCATTTCTTCGAACGTGGTAGGGAGTAAATCGTAGGAACATATCTGATGTTTCGGGTCGTTTAGTAAGGAGTCATGAGATGGAAAGGGATCCATCATAACGAAAAACGTTGAGAATATTCTTACCTTGGACAGCTCGCCTAAGTCCAAATCTGTAAGTACCTCGACGGCCAAAAGATCCTCTTCCAAACCGGCCTTTTTGGCCAAATCCCAATACCGACGAACTGTTCGGTCTCGCTTAGAGCCGTGAAGCATACGCAAAGCCATGCGTATCATGACAGCAAAAGTAAAATCATTGGCCGTGACACCCGCATGCGGCATGTCGACTTCGAACCATTTTTGCAAAGGCAGAACCATCTCAGACTGCCGAGTAACGATCATGTGCGATACCATCTGTTCAAGATAGCGATTGTGGAGAACCAGGAACTCATGTGAGTCGACAGAGTAAAATGACTTTAAACGGTCGATCAACGCAGCAGCACGGTCAAATCGGCCAACCCTCAGAGACATGTCAAAGTTCGCTAACATCTCCTCCTCATCGCCACCGATTCCTCGTCTTTTCCGAAATACTTTCTGTTGGGTCGATGGAATTTCATTCACGATAACCAAGGAAGAGCTGTCGAAGGAGTTTGGCCTTTGTCGGAAAGGAGATGAATAATTAATGAGATCGGATCCATCGATCGAGGGTGAAAATGGAGGCTGGTTCAGAGGAACGTAGGAGGAAGGTTGGTCAAGAGCGGACTGATCGGCGGCAGTCGCGAGGTTGCGATGTAACTGGAGTGACAGTCGTCGTGATCGTTCTTTTGAAGGTTTGTGTAGTGTATTCACGACAGGACTCGTTTGACTCGGATTCGAGTGTAGGCGAGCTGCCATTGGGGAGGAGGCTCCTAATGCTCGGATGGCATTGGCCTTCCGGAGGTGGAAAAGCGCATTTTTCTGGCGAGAGACCCGTGACAACATGATGCGCAAGAGTTTGTGTGAGAAATCGAGTGATTAAAAGCAAATAGAGGTGTAGCTTGATGGGTAAATGAAGGGATTAAATAGACATAGAAATGAAGAGAAATCGCAATGCAAAATCGCAGCAGAGGGCAATGCAATGAAGGAAAGAGGAAAATCCCCTAGAAGAAATGCGGCTCTATCGGAGATTTCTGAATGTCGACCTGCAACCTTCAAGCCGATCAAAAACAACCCACGAAGGAAAGAAAGGGAAGGTTGAATGCGGATGTTGAGCACGAGAGCGACGGCAGAGTCGGGAAAAAAAGCGTCGCGAGCGCGTGACATCACGTGATCACACCCCTGATATCAATCGGCGCTAATTGGCAGATTGGAGTATACCAAACCGCGAGGTGGCAAGATGCTCCAAAGACAGTACCGTAGGCAGCTATCAGGTCGGTTCCTGGTGACTGGACAATCTGACGGGAAGAGAGATATCGTATCTGGTGGAGGCTCGTCATTTCTCAATTAATCTATCTTGTTACATTACGCATGTGCCAATTAAACGACAGATGAACGAGGAATCGCGCTCTGACTTTTATGTACGTATATCACTAATTATCAGGGACGACCTCTCCAATTTTACCCAATAAGTTCCAATTGTATATCAAATGTATTAACGCCATCCATGCTGAGACTATATGGCAAAATGAGAACCATCATTCCTCGTCCTCACTGTCGGCAGATCCTCCTTTTTGTTTTTGACGATTTTGCTTCATAGCCCATCCTGTCATTTCCGGGTGTGCAGGGTCGATCCGAGGAGCGCTCATTCCATCTAGATAGGCTTCGCTATTGATTGTAGCTTCTAGCTGAGGTAGATCCTCGGGCTTCTGATTCATCATATAATTCTCGTATGTGTACCATGATTCTTCGGTCTGGAATTACGATACGTTAGCAGGTTTTTCTCAATGATGAGCGATTAAAAAGAGAAGTTAAGATAAAGACCAAAGAATCTTGCATACCTCGGCATCAATCCAATCGAATTTCTTCCATTTTTCTTCTTGCATACGCTTCAACAGATCAAGGTTACCCTGAAGCATTGCCCCTCCATCCTCGGCGCCCTTGATTTTCACATCAATTGCACGGGCTTCACTTTCTGGCGGTCGATCTTCATCATCCCTCTTTCCCTTGGCGCCTTTCCCCTTAGGCATTTCATCCAAAGCATCGAGATGGTGCAGCTGTGGGTGAAATTGGACGACGGCAGACACGGGAGAGAGGTGTAGATTTTCTGCAGGTCAAGAGTTAGCGGTAATGTTTGCTGGGAAATTCCGAAATCCATCAGAAGAGGACTTGAAAGGACTAGGTCACACATACTTCCTTTAAAGGTGGCCAGCATATAAACCGGGTCCCCCTCCTCTGCCGGCTTGATGCGGCCACCCAGCGCTTGTGTCCGGACCAAAGCTGAGGGGTCCATCATTTTCTTGTTATCCAGCATTTCCATTTCGCCTGCGCCTTCCGACTTTACTCGCCCACCACTTCCAGCTGCACCGGAGCTGAAGCCACCGGCCATACCGTAAGCTCCACCATCGCGTGCGGCGCGGCCCCTTTTTCATAGCTTCACCATATTTGAGTCCTTTGTTCATATCGTATGCACCAGGTCGGGTAAAAATAGGAACCTCTAGCTCAACCAAGCCAGTACCTGGCTTCATACGCAGTCCGGTTGGCTTTTGCCCGTGGCGCTCATTGTATGGCTTCGAGCCAGGCCGATCGAGGTATTGAAAGACGTAGCGAGAGATTTCGGAGTCCGTGAGGAAGACATCATACGAGGAGATTACTGGATCATCCTCGAGGCAGCCCATGATGGTAAAGAAAGAATTTATGAATACCTCGCAATGCGGAGGTGTATGACATCCACTGTGAGTTGAGCTGGTGGTCTCTTTTTTTCCTGGTCTATCGGGATTCATGATAAGCGGAGGGGTCCGGCAGAATGGGTTGCTGCTCACCGCTCGATTCACGTGACCACCACCACGATAGAAACTCGCGCTGTATTCGGTCTGTTTCCTGTCCTTTCAGGGACACCAAGAGCATTGCTGCAGGGGATTTATTACTTGACATTCCCTCCAAAGTCAGTCTTCATGAAATGATCGACCTTGAAAAGTCATTTTATCGTAATGGCCCGGATGGATGGGAGGTTATCGACAGTGGGGACTCAAAAAATCTACTCTATAATGATTTGTCCCCGGCAGAAGCTGAAATATGCGAAAGAAAATTGCGAAAGCAGTCATTTGTGAGTTTGATGAATCGGAAAAAAAATATCTATGCGGGATGGGCAGAAATGCCGGTCTGGTGTCTCTGCACACAGAACAATACCATCCCATTGCATATCCAAGAGGCTATGGTTCCGGCGATAAGAGAGGCAGGTGCATTGATCACAAATAGAACCTTGAAATCTAGGCATATTTCGTTTGAATCTAGGCATATTTCGTTTCTGAGCAAGGTTGATTCGACGGCTGAATTCATTCTCGAAGCTCTAAAGGCTCTTCAAGGAATTAGATGTCCGATCTTTACCTCGGCTCATTGACTCAATTCCAATCTTGAGCAGCCAATTGTTGCCAATCCCAGCATCGTCATTTTAAACGCAGACCGTATTTTTCAAGGTTCCTCCCTGCGTACCTGAATTCCGTAGCCCACAACCCAACAATGAGGTCTGTTCAAGCGGACTCCGATTGCAGATTTCAATGCAGTCCAACCTCAAACTCCTTCAAAGCCCCAAATCTTCGGCACATCTTCTGCTGATGTCAAAATACGCCACCCCGACCAGGCCGCAAACCCAACAAATGCAATCCAATGTCCGAATGCTTTCTTTTGCAGTGTCTTGCCGCCGTAGCTCCAGACGACGAATCCATCTCCTAAGCTAGCAAGGGAAAGAATGGTCGCAATGAGGGTAACGGCTAACTCTAGCTCCCAAAATTGTAAAGCGATCAAAGCAAGACCGTAACTGATTTCGCGGATGCCTTTAAGGTACATCAACACGGAAAGTGTACCAGATGTCGTTAGCGATTTGGTATCGGGATTTGAGATAGAAGCCGTATTCTCCAGTGGGATCCCAAATCGATGATATTCATCAGAGGGCCTCAAAAGACAATGGAGGCCAATCGCCAGCGATAAAGAGCCGAGAAGGTAGGAAGGGGTTGGTGAAAATGTGGACATACTTGGTCGCGGGACGTAAAGAGAGGGAAAGAAGATTGGCAGCATTCACTTGTGAGAAGAAGCAAAGGAAGCTTGGGAGGTGCAATTTATGCGAAAGCCAAGAGCACGAGACAGCTTGGTGAAATACGTAGCTTGATACGCCTGGAGCCTTGTGGAGTGTAAGGAGAGCGCGTTTAGGATAAGTTAGGCCACTGGTTGATTTTGCTTTAAAACTCAATGTACAAATCCTATTCTTAAATACCTCTTCTAATAATTCAGAGTTTACTTCCGACACAGGAGGCTATAGCTTTGCCTTGAGCGAGACAAAATCGCTTGGCGTCACATCTCTCCTCATTGTTCGAATGGCTCTAAATTACTTAAATGATAAATAAGCGGCAAGGAGATATGTTGCAATTTGAATGAAGATTTTTGTTCTTCTTACATGAATTAGGGTTTGCTCATGGCTAGTTATCACAGCTATCCTCCTTGTGCAAAGCCATCTATTCGTCAGAAATATCAAAGCCCGAAAGATGGCGGTGGCCTTAATTTAGAACCTATCATCAGGATTCAGGGGTTCGCCGCCTAAACACCATTTGAAGAGGCTGCACTTCCATCGTAAATGTATCCTTAACATCTTCATTGAATGATTTACCGTTTTCTCCTGGAGCAAGTGATATGTCAAATTCCCTTGCAATGGAGATCAACGCCATTCGCAGTTTAAGATACGCCAACTGCCTTCCGACACAAATATATGGACCTAAGGAATCATCAGCAAAACACATCCCATCTCTTTTTATAGTCAAGAAATTCCCACCTATACTAAATGGGTAAAAGGCGCGATCATCTAAAACGAGCTCCTTTTGTTCATCAAGCCATCTTTCTGGAATAAATTCCAACGGAAGTTTGAAGTTGCGTGGATCTCGTTGTACGAGATATTGCGGAACGATGATGATGGTATCTCCAGGAATCGACACCTCATCGATCACTAATCCTTCCGGTGGAGTAACCCGTGGTTGTCCACTGGGGACGACAGGTTTCAGTCGAAGGGTTTCGTTTATAATAGCATCAACATAAGGAAAAGGAGCCATAGGGTTATCGGTTCCTCCTGCTTCCTCAACGCTCTTCTGTAGTCTTTGGTACACATGTGGATGTGTCGCCAGATAAAACAATATATGCGCGAGGGTAACACCAGTAGTATCACTATCTTATTTAGACTTATTCAAATAGGGGCAGAAGTGTAAGCGTGCAGAGTTTAGCTTACCTGCCAGCAATGATTACCAGTCTTCCTTCATCGTACAGTGCTCCGTCTGTAGGAGGAGCGGAAGGATCGCCATCATCTTTCGCCTTTAACAACCAAGAAACGACATCTGTAGGCTTCTTCTCGGTTTCTTGATACCAGACCTGATTGAAGTTAACGCTGCACTGAAAAGTCTAGGCCGTGGTAACCTACTGTCTTTCGTTTCTCTATTTGCTCCGTAGTGTATTTCATAAACGTCTTGTATGGTCCACCAAGACCGGGAATGGCGGATAGAACAGCAATAAGCCATGGGACCTTGCCAACAAGACCTATCATGTTCATCTGCGCATGCATAGCCTTGATTGCGAAATGCTCCGTTGCATGTTCAAGTTGTTTGAAATCTTTACTAAAAGCAATTTCCCCCATAACATCAAATGTGAAATACATTGCCCATTTAGTAATATCAATACTCACACCTTGTCGTTCATGAAGCTGCTTAATTAACGACTCTAGCCTTTTCTGAATTTGAGGCTGGTACCCTAAAAGAGCTAGAAGTTAATAATGTAGAAATGTAGTCAGCCTACTTCCCGTCCATATTTGACAAGTTTGCATACTATCACAGTACCTTTTGTGCTGAACCCTCTGTCCCACGCTCGACGGCGGAGATGATGTAATTTGGGATTTCTCAAGCCGAGAACAGCTACATTATCGGGATTATCGGAATTCTGACTATAGAATGGTGCTTTTGAGCAATTGGATAGAGATCCATGGACGAGCTGTACAGCCGAAGCACGATTGATAGAGAGCTCGCGAGGTCCTATCGCATGGTCAGCGAAATTTCTAATCAAGGTCAAATAACAGGATAATCACCAGTTCGAACGAAATCTCCATACTGCTTATGTAACCTCTCTAATTCCATATGATACTGATAGCCTGACTTTTTGACAACCCACACAGTATAAAAGCGGCTGATCCTGGCTCCCAACCTTCCAGGAAAATGCCGAAGGCGATGGAAAAATATTCGATAGAATAGCATACTGGTAGCTAACCCCACAAAGAAGAAAGCACATGAGAGAGAAGATTTTATGAATGCATCAAGAACCCGAAGGCCGAACACATTAGCAAAATATGCGGTCAGACCAGTCCAGGAAAGCAAGAACGCAATGAGTAAGCTTCCCAGGGAATTATCAATCTCATGGCTGTGAATTCCGATATGAAAGATACTCCCCAATAACATGAATGACAAGGCCAGAGGCGTGAACTCTGAAGTCCATTTCAAGATGAAATCGAAATCCATTCCAAATTTCCGCTTTGTCAGAGATATGGATACTCATGAAAGGTTGAAAGAAGTCTCGGGGTAAAGGGTCAGAAAGTGGGTAATCAAGGCTCTCAATAATTAAAGGGCTTGAGAAGCAAAGCACATTCCGTAACGCGTGTCCCTCCAAAAAGCAATAAGCCCACTCTCATTGGATCAGGTTGTCGTGATGACAGAATTGCAGCTGCATTGCCAGGCTTATGGCCAATAGTAGCACGGCATATGGAGCTCCCGCACGGACATAACATGCAGACTCACGCAAGCTAGCAGGCATTTTGGACATAGTGTATGCGGGGCTTGAGTACGTACCCTGCCTATCACCCCTTAACAAAGACATAAAAGTTTCTTTCATCTCGCATTAACACCCCCGTTATTCTTTCATCTTTCTCAGTCCTTTGACATGCACTAATGCTCCTGAAAAAAAATAAACGGAGGGCCGATCATAATTGATAATTGACTTTTAATAACCATAGAAGCTTGGAAGGAAGAAGATCTATTTATAACGCCTAGTAAATACCTAGAGAAGGCTTACATCGTCATACACGTGGTGATGCGACTCGTATCTTTCACATCCATTGATCTTGCAGTAGCAGATTAGGCGTACCTCAGATGCCTGGGAGTCCACCAGCACTGATTATAATCCTTGAGCATACTTTGGAATATATTGAATAGATCAACACCTACTAAGGCTAATTAACAGAGCTGGTGGAAAAACAAAAGATCCTAGACAAAGAGGATTTACTATAATGGGAAGACAAATGTCATTTTTCCGCTGTATCATGAAGATTAGAATCGAAGCCGAGAAATTGATGGAACGAATATCAAAACATAATTGAGTATAAATTGCTAAATAGTAAGTTGCAGCGAATAGGTGGCTGAATATTATAGAACTCAGCTTCAAATCTAAAGACTAGTTATCTGGAAACTCTAGTGATATGAAAACCCAGTATTGACATGTTCAATGCATTGAGCCGAGAACATTTCAGCATGCTATTATCTTCATCTCAATTTCTTCACCTCGACTTCATTCCAATTGACCTCATTCAATATGGCGGGAGAGGGGTTATACGCGGGATTAATAGTTGAAATGCCTATAAAATTGATTACCAGGCTATGTGAGCATCTTGAAATAGGACGTAGCGCTTGGAAGTATCTGGAAGCATTTGAAATCGAACCAAAATTGACTGGAGATGGCACGTAATGAAAGATGACCATAGTGTCCGGTAAAAATCTTGAATAGCGCTCACGTGGGCCATTTTTGAATCCAAAATTACCAGCACATATTTTCAATTATCTTAGCACTAAGATTTGATGTCTGTCGACCAATTTCAAACTAAATCTGCCTCGGTCCATTTGACTTTGACAGATTGGCCAAGAAAGATGGGGGGTCGAGATGAACTGATTTAACATTGAACAATCTGCTGCTACATAGCCAAATGTGCGGAGATCCGGGGCCGTATGGTGCAGTTGCTACTCTTTGGAACCCCCAGAGTTGGTGCGAAGCAAGTCGAGATACGCAAAAGAATATGTAATGAGACTTTATTTTAGTTTATTTCTCATAATTTGCCTCTCAATTACCTCCAACAATCATAGATAAGATTTAAAATACTGGGAGTCTCTCTTTAATTCGAATAGGCTTGATAGCCTAAATCAGGAAGAGCACCTACTATTTGAGGATTTCCAAAGTCAATTCTGCTTGCTATTGCGAATCAAGGCAGTTTATCCTCTTATTCCGCCAACATGTATCTGTGAAAGGTCTGCTGGCACTAATTCTATCTAGTTCAATATTAAACTTTCAAAAAAGAATGACAATTGAAAATAAGTTAATAAGTTCTTCATAAGTACTTACGGCGAGGAGAATGCATTCAAAAAAGAGAGGATTCGATTTAGCTTCAATGCATATAGAATTCTCTTGTTCGTATTGTATTCCTTCAGCTCATATGTCTGCCCATGGTCAGGTTGAAACCATGATGTGAGCCATCAAGATGACCTGAGCCCTCTTGATTTAATATAGTGAAAATGTAATCCAATGATCCACCTTCATCTGTCCTGGGAAATCTGCATAAACTCCCGAATTAAATATGGAGCGCAAAGGTCATGGGAATAAGAGTACAAATTTAGCCTGCATCTTCAAGAACGACTTTAGTTCATAAAAGAATTGGAAAATTAGAGCGCAAACCGTGATATTCACGTTTTTGAAGTATATGGGAAGGAAATACACTCTCAATTAAAATTGAAACGTAGTATACCTCAAGCACGGAATCTAAAACACGATTGCACCGCCATCAACAACTATATCCGAACCATTGATATACGAGCCTGCTGAGCTGGCGAGGAGGACAATTGCTCCGGTAAGTTCAGATGGGCTACCCATTCGGCCGCTTGGATTTCTTTCCGCCCAGATCTGTCTGTGGCGATCTAGGCCAGCTCCTTCATTCAAAATGGTATCCATATATCCTGGGCTCACGCTATTTGTCCGAATGCCATATCGGGCCCACTCTGCAGCGAGGCTACTCTTGAGCATCAAAAGTGCCGCTTTGCTGACGTTGTATGCTACCTGAGGTTGAGGATAGTTCACGCGATGAGCGGAGATAGATGCCACGAATGTAATGGATCCTCCCGTCCCTTTCTTTACCATCTGTTGCGCGGCGGCCTGTGCGCAGATGAACGAACCCGTCGTATTGATGTCAAGGATTTTGCGCCATTGAGACACCGGCATGTCAAGGCTCTCCATGGTTCCCACAACCCCAGCAAAACAAACTAGAGTATCGATTGATCCTAGCACTTGGGTGGTTGCCTCCATCGCTTCTTGAACGGCAGATTCATCGGTAATATCGACCCTTTGAGTGCAGATCTTTGCATCGGGAAACCTCGTCCGCATTTTCGCGATCTCCTTCTCCCCGTTTATAGGGTTGAGATCAATTATCATTAGTCCCTGAAGACCATGCTCAAGAAGAGCTTCGCAGGCTTGAAGACCCAGTGTACCAGTGCCTCCAGCAATAACAGCATTGCCTTGTACATGAAATCGCTTCTGGGCCCCAACGGCTGGGTCAGCCTCAATTGTAAAGGTTGGAGGCGGGGTCATCGAAGTGGGGCCACCATCACTGAGAATCATCGACGGAATGATCCGCGCGGTGAGGGCGTCGCGGTCGGTCACATCGGTTGAAGAAGCCATATTATAAGCGGGATTGACAGACGAGAGGAAATTCAAGTCACAGAACAGAGGGAGCTAAATTCTGAAGTAAATCAAGTTTAAGAATGGAAATAAAAAGCGACGCACTTAAATCTGCTCGGCCAGTCCGAAGAGAGGTTGAAACCTTCGATACGTTGGTCTTTTCAGTCATGCAGGCCGTCATCTGATGTCTTAATATGATCTGTGGCCGCTGGATAGCAGGTAGGAATATTTTATGCCTGCTCCTATAAATGGCTCAGGATACTACCTAATCGCTTTCCCGTTTAGTACACCCGAGGTTTGGTCGGGGCGGAGGAGGCCGCCGGCCGTGGCAAATGAGATGCCGTCGTGTTCGGTGCCCTCATAGACTGGTGGGCCGGAATACGAATCACAACGACCCCAGACTGCCCCGGACGGGGTCAAGTTTCTCTGCTCGGGTAATTTTAGGCCGTGCAAGTCATCGATCAAATGTGAGCGTATTCCTCTACGACCTCGTTTCCTCACAAGTCATACCTCGATCCAAATACTGCACCTAGATAAGATATTCCGAGACCAAATAGAACCGTTGAAAGAAGAAAAAAAGCAAATACCCCCAAGATGTGACTCTCGGAAATAGCTCCTCACGTAACAGATGGATGATTTCTTCGGTTAACAGTGGGCCGAAGAGACAAGGCGGGGCGCCCCAATATACCCGAATCATATAAGAAAGGCCTTCTGAGAATATGTTCTGTTGTGCTTCGATCACAACACATCACCCGATTTTCGAAATGTCCATGTCAATTGAAGAATGCACTGAAGGCCGGGATGGTTATCCTCGGCCTTTTCCTAATACGCCATCCAATGTGCTGGAACAATTTCGCCTCAACGGGAAGGTTGTAGCCATCACCGGCTCTGCTGATGGCATTGGCCTCGCAGTAGCTGAGGCGATGGCCGAGGCAGGTGCTAGCATTGCAATGTGGTATAACTCGTAAGTGACTCCGTTGGATCGTGAATTGAAAATTTTGTATTGAAATTAGAATTTTTAGAAATGACGCCGCAATTGAGAAGTCTGAGGAAATAGCTAGGGAGAATGATGTTAAAGTTGCAGCCTATAAGGTGGACGGTATTTTCTCCTAGCATCTATACATCTTTGATACAGAGAGCTCATCTTTCATACCTAGTTTCCGACCCTACGCAGGTCTCCCAGACTATTACACAGGTCGTCAAAGAATTTGGCAAGATCGATGTTTTTATTGCAAATGCAGGTTTGTCCAATCATAATACTATATCCTCATTGCTCCCTAAAAATATCTCACTGTGAAACAGGTATGGCTATTTCAAAGCCAATTTTGGAACAGACTTTGAGCGAGTATCGGAAGCAGATGTCTGTCAACGGTAGGTTTCATTCAAACTCTCTTTCCTAGCCCAAAAGAACTGTCCTATAATATTTTTTTAGTCGATGGAATAGTTTACTGTGCCAAATATATTGGCGAAATCTTCCAGCGCCAGGGATTCGGTAATCTTATTATCACTTCCAGTATGAGTGGTCACATCGTCAATGTTCCTGTTGACCAACCTGTTTATAATGCTACGAAGGCATATGTGACTCATTTCGGAAAGTCCTTAGCCCGTGAGTGGCGGGAGTTTGCGCGAGTCAACATCGTCTCGCCGGGCTTTTTCGATACCAAGATGGGGGCGAGTCCATTGGCCATCAATGAAGCGTACCGCATGTCTGTAATGGGACGGCAAGGCCACGTCAAGGAGATTAAAGGCCTGTATCTTTACCTTGCCAGTGACGCCTCGACTTACATGACCGGTAGTGACGTGCTCATTGATGGAGGCTACGTCTTGCCCTAGAACAAAAACACTTTGTTGCCTAATTTCTTCTAAAAATTAGGATAGACCAATGGAGAAGCACCATTTTAAAAGCACCAAATAACAGTGCTCCTAGTTCACCATGTGTCTCAGTTTTCTTGCCAAGGCTATGCTGTTTTGAATCACATGCTCATTCAGAGTCGTAGTGCGATTCTCTTATGGAGAAATAGGAGGGAGCGGAAATCTTGAATTGGTTTATCCCTGGCGATACAACAGTATACATGACCATCTATGGATCCCATCGAGATCCTGAGATCTTCCCTAACCCTGATGAATACAGGCCGGAGAGGTGGATAGATCTTGAAGAAAGGAAGCGTATGGAGCCGTATTTCATACCCTTTTCCAGTAGCTTAAATCTGAGTTGTTGAAATATGAGCAAGACAACACTGGTTCCGAGTAGGCAAACACTGAACGAATAAATAACTCGAATTCATCATTTAGCCCTCAATTCCAGTCAACGGTAGGAGTAGGAACTTCGAGACGGGTGATACCGGAGAGAAAAACTTGTTCTATCCTGGTTGATAGCTCAAGAGCCCTCCTTTGATGTTAGATCCTGATGTTACATCCTACGGCTTGGTCTGTGGAAATTTCTCATTACGAGTTTCATGTCGATTGAGTGACTAGGTCGAAGTACTGGGCTAATAATAACATGCCCCTTGCTACTCCAATTCGAGCACTAAACAGAGATCTCGATATACCTTTTTGATAGATCTTTTTAGCCCAGTGGAATGCTGCCTAGAAAGGACGGTGTCGTTCCTAATGCCACGGTCTTCGCACGACCATATTGGCATTTGCCCCTTTCGAAAACTACGAAATAGTGTATTTAGTGCTAGCGCCCGGACCCTTTCGAGGCTTTGCCCGGAAATTCATTTAGGCAAAAGGGCGCTGCAAAAAGCCGGATCTAAGGCTAGACTGAAGAAATCCCGACTCGAGAGCAATCCGGGCCTTCCTGTTGATCAGGCGATGATCCAGAAGCAGGAACATCGATTAGCCTAGTTAGCCTATAGCCACGCCGTGGGTGGTTCAATGAATTGCGGCAACGTGTTTCTCTCGTGTCTGCTAGTGGAGGATGTGTCGGCCTGCTCTAGCCCCCTACTTCTGTTGAGATTTTGCTAAATGTCAACCGGTATGTGGCAAATAAGTGAGAAACAGGGGTCCCTGGAAATATAAGGCCCTTGCTACTGAGCAAATGCCTGAACTCTTTTTGTCTATGCCCCCTTTGGCTGTTGGCAACGCGGATTTTCGCCATTTTTCGAACCGCTTGGGTATCGGAAGGGGGCAAGGGAGTTTCCGACTGGCTATTCTGTGGCATTTGGGCTGATCAGGTCAACGAAGAATGGGTTAAGTAATTTGTTTCAGGTCGCCACCGCCCATTCTTTTGGGAGGGAAGACATATGTGGGTTGATAGTGTTATTTTGGCCGGGGGCCGTCTGTCCCGACCTCAATGCCGCTCGACCGGCATTCGCTTGCGGGACCTGCGAAGCGAAGCTCTGCACTCCGCACTGCAACTCTCCCCGCCCTAGAGGGTGGTAGGATGACAGGGGAGGTTCATGATCTGGCACCGACCGGACTTTGAAAACGAGTTCGTCCTGTAGTTCTAACCTAATTGTTCAATCTTGCGTGGCCGTAATTGTCCTTGGGAGGACCCTTTTTGTCCTGTCCCTTGAGAACGGCCCTCCGGAGCCCTCAACACCACGTGCCTTTCCCCGCCTTCTCCAGGTTTTCCCCCTCCAAATCTTGCATCTTGCAAACACTCTTCTTTGGCATCGTTCGCGGACAACCCTCTCTTGTCGCAATTCCGATCAGATCTCGGGCACTCTCCACTTGTAGCCCTTTCCATCCCAAGACCGGCAGAAAACGCCTCCCGACTAAGCTTCCCGGCGCTCGGATCCGAAAAAAAGGGTCGGCTCGCCTCCACTGCAGTCTGGGGTACTCCCTTCCCTCTCTGACACAGACCACCTAGAAATGTCGCTCGACTCCTGACACCCTTCGCTTTCCGGTAATAGAATTCTCGCACACGATCTGACCGCCTGCGTGTTTGTAGCGATTCCGGCCAGGTCTTTTGGATCGGCTCGGGCTCTATGCCGCTGCAAGTCTAGTCACGCGGAGAAGCATGTCGGCGACCTCTCTCCAATCACTCGCCAGTTCCTACTCTCCCTTCTCGTCTCGACCGCAACCCAATCGAATGTCCCAATCTCAGACCCCCGGCTTGGATACTCTCGCAGAGGGATCGCAGTATGCGCTTGAGCAGCTGCAACTAGCCCGGCAAGCCGGCGCGTCGTCCAATCCGCCGACCGATCCCGAAAGCAAACCACTCGATTATTCCGAAGCGCTACATTTGCAACCCTACGGCGATCAAAATAGCGCCCCAGCCAGCGAAAAATCGTCCTTACAGCCTCGCGATGCCTTAGCTGAAGCTCGATCGGCTATTCGCAAGAATTCAAACGCTACTCCCGTTCGGAGGAGGATTAGCCGGGCTTGCGACCAATGTAATCAGTTGCGGACCAAATGCGACGGACAGCAGCCTTGCGCACACTGTATCGAATTCGGACTCAGCTGTGAGTATGCGCGTGAGCGAAAAAAGCGGGGCAAGGCCTCCAAGAAAGATATTGCAGCAGCCGCGGCCGCTGCAACGTCCAATGGTGATACCCTCGTGAAGGATGGGTCCGCGCAGGGGAATTCTCCAAATGGACATGCAACGCATCAGGTTAATGACCCCTATGATTCTGCCTTTGATACTGGTCGTCCGGCCCCGGAGTCAACACAGACGCAGCTACGCAATCCCAGTGTTCCTGGCTTAGGTAGGATGCAGCAAACCCCGCATACCCAGCAACCAGTGGGCACCAGCATCGATGACATCTCTCTCAACTATGGGAATATACCGGAATCTAATCGACCACCCATTTCTGTCCCTGATCTCCGCTCGTTGCAAATGATGCACCAGAATGGAAATCCCCGCTCGCCATCCGCAATGCTTCACTCTCAGGGATTTGGGTCAGGGTATCATGATGGCGGGACTTATCCATTGATGCATTCGCAGGAGGCAAATTCGACATCAATGAATCAGTTTCGCCTTGGAGGGTCAACAGAAAATCCATCTGCTTCGTTTTTAGGGTTTTCTCCACCAGCACAATCGCCCAGCTGGCTTCCACTCCCGTCTCCATCTCCTGCAAACTTTCCCTCGTTCAGCATGGCCCCGTTCTCGAGTTCACTAAGATACCCTGTCTTGCAACCGGTTCTTCCCCACATCGCCTCTATCATACCCCAATCCTTAGCCTGCGACCTTTTGGATGTTTACTTCACAAGCTCCTCCTCGTCACATCTTTCTCCCTTATCACCTTATGTCGTTGGCTTCGTATTCCGCAAGCAATCATTCCTCCATCCAACCAAGCCTAGGGTTTGTAGCCCTGGCCTTTTGGCCAGTATGCTGTGGGTAGCGGCACAGACAAGCGAAGCCGCATTCTTAACATCGCCTCCATCGGCACGTGGACGTGTTTGTCAGAAGCTCTTGGAGCTCACGATCGGCTTGCTGCGACCATTGATTCATGGGCCCGCTACCGGCGAAGCATCCCCCAACTATGCTGCCAATATGGTAATCAATGGCGTGGCCTTGGGAGGATTCGGCGTCTCAATGGATCAGCTAGGTGCCCAAAGCAGCGCAACTTGTGCCGTGGATGACGTTGCTACCTATGTGCACTTGGCAACAGTCGTTTCGGCGAGCGAGTATAAAGCAGCGAGTATGCGCTGGTGGACTTCCGCTTGGTCACTTGCGCGCGAGCTCAAACTTGGTCGAGAGTTACCACCAAACGCAACGAATCGTCAAGATGGGGACTTGGAGGGTGACTCGGAGTTGGATTTGAATGGCAAGAGACAATCATCATCGTTGTTGAACTCCATGGGCCACGGACCGGGAAGCTCTTCGGTCAACCTTACAGAAGAAGAGCGTGAAGAACGCCGCCGTATTTGGTGGCTGCTATATGTTATGGATCGGCATTTGGCACTTTGCTATAACCGACCACTGACGCTGCTGGATAAGGAATGTGAGAGTCTGCTGCAGCCAATGAATGATGATCTTTGGCAAGCGGGTGATTTCTCTGCCGCTGGCTACCGACGATCAGGCCCTGCTTTCGAATGTACGAGTCACAGTACGTTTGGTTACTTTCTACCCTTGATGTCCATTCTTGGCGAAATTGTGGACTTGCACCATGCCCGCAATCATCCTCGGTTTGGCCTTCATTTCCGCAATAGTGGGGAGTGGGAAAGACAGGCAATGGAAATTACTCGACAGCTAGACGTCTATGCGCAAAGTCTCAAAGAATTTGAAGCTCGCTATACCAGCTCGCTTGCTCTTGGGGGAGGTGACAACGACACAGCAATGGAGGGTGCTCATCCCAACCATGTCAGTCCCTCTGGGCGCTCAAATAGTAGCACTGTCGGTTCACATGTTAGCGAGTCAATCGTGCATACCAAGATGGTAGTGGCGTATGGCACACATATCATGCATGTTCTTCATATCCTGCTTGCCGACAAATGGGATCCAATCGATCTTCTTGATGACAACGACCTCTGGATCTCATCTGATTCGTTTATCACAGCTATGGGCCACGCTGTGAGCGCTGCAGAGGCTGCAGCCGACATTCTTGAGTATGACCCAGATCTAAGCTTTATGCCGTTCTTCTTTGGAATCTATCTTTTGCAAGGTAGCTTTCTGCTGCTTTTGACTGCCGACAAGCTGCAAGGCGACGCTAGCCCCAACGTTGTCCGGGCTTGTGAGACTATTGTACGTGCACACGAAGCTTGTGTCGTGACGCTAAATACAGAATATCAGGTAAGCTGTTTCCATCTAGATATCTGCTCTGGCCCTTATGCTAATATCTTATTTCAAGAGAACATTCCGAAAGGTAATGCGCTCGGCACTTGCCCAGGTCCGAGGGCGGGTACCTGAGGATTTTGGTGAACAGCAACAGCGCCGGCGCGAAGTCCTTGCCGTCTACCGCTGGAGTGGAGATGGTAGTGGTCTCGCTCTATGAAACCCTCAATTTGCTTTTTCAGGCTGGTCGAATTCGTTTTGATGAACATCGATTTGCCAACCCTCTCTCTCTCTCTTTTCCCTTTTCGAGCTCCGCGAGTGCAGGTGGAGATTCCAGCATACGAATCACGCACGATCCCAAGCACGAATATGAATTTCGACTTTTTAGCCTTTGTATATTACTATTTCTTTGGTGCTATTGGACATACCCCGTGGCGCAGTGGAGCGCAGATATTTGTCTTTTTTTTGTTTTTGGCACATACGGAATACCCAACCCCGGTGTATGTTCTTCCTCGAATAAAATAACGGGTAATTCAGAGTTTCAGTTCGATTCTAGTCTATGGTTTTGCCCATGGAGCAATTGTTTGTGATTACTTGATGAAAAAAGTGAGATGAAGTTCTGTGGATGTTTTTGGTAGCGACTTTTACCGTGGTTTTGAATAACTTCTTCTGTATACATTTTCTAACTATCCTATTCTCACTTCCCCATTTCAAATTTTCTTCGAAATCTTCTGATCGGAAGACTTGACTGGACCAGAAAATTTTCCTTGAATAATTTTCCTTGAATGTGGCATTATTCACAACCACTCGTGTGGGGTTCGATAAGACTATGACGTTACCAAGGAGATAAGACTCTCACTTGAACCTAAAAGTTATTCCCTTCTCCGTCCATAATTCTCTATTTAGTCAACTCTCCCATTCAATAAAAGTACTTCTGAGCCTGACGCAAATGTAAAAGCCGAATGCTCACATCTATGGAAGAATAAGAGACACCATGGCTGCCTTCGTTAGATCGTCACCCAGAATTGCATCCTTACCTTGGGCTTTCCCCGCATGCAGCTCGATTACTTCAAAACGTTTCCTCGGAATCCCTTCGGCCTTCCTTCTTGACGAGTACCTCCCACGATATCAACTTCTTAGCTCCGTTGATGCCTCTAAGAAACGCTCTCTGGCATATGGTCACCTTCGCGAATGCAACTTATGCCCACGGAAATGTGGGGTTGATAGATACGAGACGACGGGGATGTGTTTGATCGGAGCAGAGACGGCAAAGGTCAACGTGATCGCTCCGCATCGTGGCGAGGAGCCATGCATACAAGGATACCATGGCAGTGGCTCGGTGTTTTTTTCAGGATGCAACTTACGCTGTGTCTTTTGTCAAAATCATGTATGGCCACTCTTTGGCTTTGGCTTCCGTCAATCAGGCAAGCTAAATAAATTACTTTAGGACATAGCCCATCAACGCAACGGTTTTGATCTCACTCCGGAGGAGCTCGCTGAGTGGTATGTGAAACTACAAGAGGTTGGTAATGTCCATAACATCAACCTCGTAACACCCGAGCATGTAGTTCCGCAGGTTGTTCTTTCAATTCTTACGGCACGTGAGATGGGCCTCCGGATTCCTATTGTTTACAATACCTCGTCTTTCGATTCAATGGAGTCTCTTCAACTACTCGATGGCCTGGTCGATATATATCTCCCCGACTTCAAGGTGTGGCGGGCTGATACTTCGAAACGTTTACTAAAAGCAGATAACTACACTGAAACGGCCATGGAGAGTGTGAAGGAAATGCACCGCCAAGTCGGAGATCTTTCTTTTACTTCAGATGGCATTGCCAAAAAGGGTGTCCTGCTTCGCCATTTAGTGATGCCTGGCAAAGAAGACGAGGGAAGACAAATCATGTGCTGGCTCGCGGAGAATATATCTCGAGATCTCTACATTCACATCATGGAACAGTACCACCCCGATGCCCACGTTGGAAAGAAGAGACGAGTAACAAGAAGAATACGACTGGGCGAGGGGGGAGGCTCATACAGACAAAGATGAAGTTCGTTATGCAGACATCAATCGCGCTATACGGGATGATGAGTTTAGTTCCGTGAGGGAAGCCGCGGTGACGGCAGGGCTGTGGCGTTTTTGCGAAGCCAATGAACAGAGCGGATTCCACTTGTAATCTGCTACCAGATTTTACGTTCTGCACCTAATTCATGGCCCAGGTATAGTTGAACAACAGATAAGAAACAGGAGCCCAGTCATCCTTTTCAACGACGTCATACAGCCTTCCCTAATAACCATTTAAGAAAACTCAGAATCATATAGCGAAGATATAAAGGCCCTTCTTTCCAAATCTTTCAGCTGGTGTGTGATCAACTGATTGTCTTGCTGCTTGGCGAGGTCCAGGGGAGTATTTCCATCACTATCTCAAATATATAGGTGGACTTCAAATTGTATGAGTAACTGCACAACTTTCATTTTACCTGCAGAGATTGCCCAATGCAATGATGTTCTTCCAAATATGTCCTGTCGCGAGACATCGAGCCAAGAGCCCAGAAAAGTTTCAGAGTTTCAAGATCTCCCGCTTCGACTGCCCAATGTAAAATCGAGTAGTTACCTTGAGTTAGAATTGAAAGATCGGAAACATGATTTGCAAGCAATTGAACCATAGCAGTCCACCTTCTGGCAATGGCCAAATGCAGTGCTGTGACGCCTCCCTGAGCTGCAATATCGCAAGACAAGCCAGATCGCAGCAATATTTCTGCGACAGACCTATGTCCATTTTGGCAAGCTTGATGGAGAGCAGTATATCCCCGGTTATTCTGAATCGATATATTGAAGTCTTTGGTGAGCAGGGAGACCATAATACCCGTCAACCCATAGGTGGCAGATATATGAAGAATCGTATCGCCCATTTCATCATTAATCAGAGTCCAATATTTTGGTTTATAGCTTCGTTCCATTCCTGGTATTGCTCGGGATAAGTTGATCAAGCCCCACGGTGTCAAGAAGCGTGCGATAAGAAGTAAGATCTCTGCTGGAAAAATTATTGGTCTTTGCATGGTGGACTCTGAGATTTAGAGGCCATTCTTGGACCATTCATTAAAAATATATGCAACCAAGTTTCTCATCCTGCTCAGGGGACAACCCATATGAAATAAAACTCAATTTATTGATATTTTTCGTCTACTTGCTGATAAATCCTCTTCTCCAAATTGGAGAAAGGACCACAATGATGCCCCTCAATTTGCCTCTTCTAGAAATTTGGTACCGCGTCTTGGGCAGACGAGATTTGGAATTGAGATCAAAAAGTCAGAATTCAACTCATTTACCTTGCATATCTTTGTCGAGCCTCTTAAAGGAGAAGTGTGGCTTATTGCAGTCAGCGATATCGAGGTGGCAGACGAGGACTGGCTGTCTCACCGCCATGGTTGGGTTGATCGGGTCGCGGTTCGAGGCCCACTTAAGCTCCAGCGATCTTGTGCCGCATGTCATGACGGCAGTGTGTACTCCTTTCAAACTACACCAAATTTCTCGCCTCTCACGATGAAGCCAATTATTGGCATCCTCGCCGTCGCTGGACTTGTGTATCGTGCGGCTTCTCGCAAGTCACTCACGCCGCTCGGCCTCGTCGTCGCCGGTGTGTCAGCGACCGCGCACGCGCTCCATCCATGGTCAACCCCCTTTGCGTTGCTGGCAGTCTTCTACTACGGCGGAACGAAGGCCACTAAGGTAAGTGGACCATGATATATTGACCTCATACTAGCTTCCAGCTTCGTTGTTCAAATCGCCCCGCCTGCAAATGAAGCTAACGATATCTGTATGTGGTCCCAGGTCAAACACGAAATCAAAGCCCAGAAAACACTCTCAGCGACTGGGTCAGAAGGCGGCGAGGGTCCCCGCAATCATATTCAGGTTCTCGCGAACTCCGTTGTGGCGACTGCTCTTAGCGTGGCCCATGCTCTTGTCCTAGCTAGAAGCTCTACGGAGACTTGCTTCTCCTTCGGCCAGAACCCCGCAGATATTCTAATGGTCGGTGTTGTTGCGTACGTGTCTCCATTGTTTCTCTCCACATTACGGGTTGAACCTCTGCTTATTAGATATTCATGTTAGAAACTACGCCGCTGTTGCCGCCGACACCTTCTCCTCCGAACTTGGCATACTTTCTAAATCGAAGCCCCGTCTTATTACCTCCCTTACACTTCGCGAGGTTCCCCCGGGTACGAATGGCGGCGTTACCGCAGCTGGTCTTGGAGCGGGCCTGTTGGGATCGTTCTCAATCGCCTTGACATCTGCACTCGTTCTTCCATTTTGCCCAGGGAAGTCCGGAATTCAAGAACGTGCAATGTGGACTGTTGCCGTGACGTTATGTGGTCTTCTGGGAAGCATCCTGGACAGCGTGCTGGGTGGTCTTCTGCAAGCTAGCGTTGTGGACAAGAGAACCGGCAAGGTTGTGGAAGGCAGCGGGGGTAGAAAGGTAGGCCGATCACCGCCTCGCTTCTACACTACGTGGGCTACTTGGATTCTAAATTAGCTTCTCTCACTAGGTTCTACTTCACCCCGGATCTACAAGGCCAGGAAGCATATCTAGCGATCCTCATTCTGCCAGTACGACGGGTAGCTCTGAGATTCGCAACACCGAGACAGTTGCCAACACTGCGATCCTGCGAGGTACCCGCGCAACTGGCACCTCAGCGGGAACTCAGGCCGGTCGCCCTCATGAAGAGAGTCATGAAAGTCGACGCATTGAAACTGGCCATGACTGGTTAGACAATAATGGCGTGAATCTCTTGATGGCATTTTTAATGAGCGCTGGAGCCATGGGTTTCTCGCAATGGTTTTGGGGTGTTGATATCCGGGAGCTGTGGGCTTGAAGAGCATTCCAGGGAGTAAACTGCAGTCCAGACTAAATGCTTACTTAATTGCGGGATTTGGTCTTTGTATTTAGTTTTTTTTTTTAGGATATACTCATGAAGTAGCGACGATTTATGATTCTTGTTACTTTCTGACTGACGGTAATCCCAAAATAGACAGGATCGTTTCGATATTGATTAGTTATCTAATTCATGCATTATTACTTCGGTATCTCACAAATATCAAATGGCATTTCGGCCTCAAAGCCTGAAGGATTGAGTTTGACATAAATAGAATAAAGAGCTTGATCCAAGGGGTGGTCCGACAAACTCACATACTTTACCTAAATCCTCTGCAGGCTGGCCGCAGTCCTCACTTAGTTCTTTTGTCACAGAAGGCCTGTTGTTTGGAAAAAGTTTTTGCGATGCAGCCACATCCTGATCTGCTTTCCTTTGAAGTAAAGGGGGATATAAGTCAAGTAGATGACCACATTGATAGTAGCCACCGTCATGAAAACACTGAGCACACCACACGCAGTGATAAAGTCATTGATTACCCAGGTCCAAATCCAGGCAATAGCGCTTTTGAGCGCCGCGATTGCTACCATGACCTCCACGGAGAGCTAGTAATTGTTCAGACTTGAAGATCAAAAGAGTGTTTTTGTGGATTGCTATCTCTTACCTCTTGGTGACAATCTAGCGCGTAGCTCATTCCTAACGTGGTGCCCATCTGACTTCCGACAGACAAGATTCCTGCCCCAACAACCGGCATAGCCCAGTGCATATGGTGTTCATAAGAGAGACCGAACCAAAGGGCACCGAAAAAGGTGAAAAATGCTGCAACCAGACAGGTCGGCAACCGCATCTCGGGCTCTCGGATTCCGTGATTGCGTTTAGTGAAGTAATTCGCAATCCAATCGTCACATGGCCCAGAAAAGTACATGCCAAAAAGAGAGCCGATAAATGGAGACAGGAAGAAGAGACCCTGCGCATCAGAGTCAAATCCATAAGGGCTTGCGAAAAGTTGTGCCACTGTGGCGCCGAGTATCACGTTCCAACTTAATGCTAAACCGTAGATGAAACAAGACCAAACAACAGTCGGGTAGGCAAATAGTACGAAGGGTCGCAAAAATGCATGGAGCAAATTAACGTTGGGGTCTCCACGGCTCCAAAATTTGAGTTCTTCTGACCAGGTCTTTTTCGAATTCGTACCAGATTGCTCTTTTGTAGATACTTTTGTGTTGGTATCAGACTTGCTCGTAGGCTGTTCGCCTGTTTGGTCCGATGGTGGAAAAATATGTGGCCTAGGACCTGTGAACTTGGTCTCGGGCATGAAGAAAAAGATCGAGACAACGTTAGCGCCAATGAATATGGCGACAATCCAAAATGCCCAGTTCATTCCTAGAGCTTGCACAATGAATCCGGAGAACATGGGACCAAGTTCATTGCCTCCTAGGACTGATAAGCCATAGGTTGCGACAAGTTGCCCTCGATTATGTAGGTAAAAGATATCAGTGACTGTAGATGGGACGATGGATTCGATAGGAGCTTCAAAGGCTCCCAGGAATGCACGCCCAACAAGAAATACCGTGTAAGTCCGATTTGATGCGATCGCGAGCCAAATACAAGCTATACCCATCAGGAGACTGGAGAATAGGTAAACAGGCCGACGACCATACTTGATAGCGAAAGGCATCCAGACAAAATTCCAAACTCCTTGATTGATTAAACAAGCCCCGTTTGCATATGTCAATACTTGGAGAGGTTTGTCGAATGTCACGGACAGTTGAGTCATACCTAAACGCTGTTAGCAATTATTTAACATAGATAGAATAAGAAGCGAGGTATAGGAATACACACCAGCAGCCATAATGGGACCGGTGATAGCTCCCATGAAAGCAAACCAGCAGCCATTGAAGAAGACTATGTTCTTCTTCAGAGCTGACCAACGTAGCGGGTCATTTGGATTCGTGGTCGAAGGCTGTGGCACAAGTAAGATGCGAGAGTCACCCTTTTTCAGGTGCTCCAGTTGGTGGATTCGGTCGGCAAGGGCACCATGCTTCGAGTCCTGGTCAAAAAGGATCTCGGTTCCAGGAACAGCATGAAATTGGTCGATGTCATCGCCAGAATCTCGTGGGGAATTTCCCGACATTCGAGCGGCCCAGAGATGTATGGAGGGAGGTGGAAGAAAGCAGATTTATCCAAGGAGAATTAAACACAAGATGGATCCAAGATAGCTGATGGCCTTTTAACTTTTCTTTCCAAGCATACCCAAAGAATCATTATTGGCTAATATCATTGTCCAATCTACCCCCTGGTCGTAATGCAATTGATCCTTGCTAGCATAATTTCAATCTCCGACACGCCATTTCTCGCGTCGCTTAAGGCTGTGCCAACTGGCAGAAGTGACACTCGACTAACGGGGGTACAGAAATCAACCCGAACGTAAATTGCTAAATCTCTACCAAAAAAGGCCATTGGAGGAATGGCCAAGAAACCCCCTTAACACCCCTTTAGCAACCGTTCATTATTGACTCGATATATTCTACACCCTAGTTCCCAGCACTGAAAAATAATTCCTCCAACGACCTAACCTTGTTGACGCCCTACGGAACACTAACCAGCTCTAGTGTAACCAAAGCCCAGCCCCCATAGACAACACATAAACAACGAAAGTACGGTATATGGATTCTGGGCTGCTCCGTCTATTCAACCGTGGCCCCACATCCCGACCGGAGGAACGGGAGAGAAGTGATATCGTTAGATTTCGTTTCCAAAATGGAGAGATCCTCGTGTCTATTAGTCGAATATAGCCGCTATTTCAGGCATGACAGAACATGTGCATTCTGAAACACCATTACAAATAAGATTTTCATATTCCCCATGGGGTTGACAGTGGCGCAGAGAGCGTTGCCGAGGCGCAAAATAACTTTCCACTCGTGACGGAACAAGCTTAGGGGAGAACTAACTAGAGACAAGGATACTTCCCATCATACCACCTATATATTTGCTGAAAAATTGATAGCTCTAAATACGTCCACTGGGTATTGAGGGCTTGTGGACGCTCTGGAATATTAAATGTTCTCAGTTAGCCATCCCTGATTTCGATTTCGTTTCAGAATCCACACCAGTTCCTAGCTAACCATGTTCTTCGTCGATTAGGGACTCCATATGAAGGAATATTGAAAACTGGAGCCAAGGTTGTTTCCATTTATTCCCGGTTCCTCTAAGCAAATGCTCCATCGGCATGCCATTACTGTGGGTTTTCACTCTCCCTTGAAAACGGCTTACAGTCATGTATGTATATGCAAGTTTCTATTTACGGCATGTGGGGAGAACATCCGGTTGTCTCGGTTGATCCAATCCGGTACTGGTTTTGATATGGCCAGGTCTCGATCCTGTTCTCGTATATCAATTTGGAGCTGGGCTTTCTGAGCTCTAATGATACGTACGCAGCCAGGATTCTCGGCTGAACCAAGTATCCGGGTTTTCCATAGCCACTTGGCACCATTCGCGGCATGCAATACGCCTGAAATAAGTCAATACGTATGCGAAGACAAGCCATCCTTCTTATTTGACTGTGATAGGATAGAAGTTGACACCCACCACCATCGAATCAAATGCTTGGCTTTCGCTGTACCAATGTTTGCTGGTGTTTATCATGAGCAAGTGCGCGTGGACAATTCAGGGTACCCCAGAAGAAATTGCAACGTAGACCATGGGCAAATGAAATTTTTCCGCCAATTCATTACTGAACATTTCGTCGGTTCTCAGGGATCAAGTCCTTGGCCAGTTAAGTGCCAGGTACCTTTGTTTTATTAAATGGCCACAGCATGTATTAATTTCGATATTTGAATATCCCATTCACCGCATTATGGGTAGAGCGAGGAGCATCAATCATCCCTTGAATGCTTGTTCAACATGCCCAATGACACATCCACACTTATTTTGGTAGTTTCGTGGACCGAAACATGTATTGGGTTGATTTTCTTCACCCTTCGCTTTCTAAGTAATTGGAAAGTCACAGGGCGTTTTCGCTGGGATTTTGCCTTTTCTGGGTTGACTGTCGTGGGTATCCCCATTGTTTTTTCTTTGATACGTGAAATCAACATCAAGTTTTGTGCATTATCTGATTTTGGCTTTCGCCAGGTAACCGAGACCGCTGGTCAGATCTTTCTACAGCTATCAATAAACGCTGGAATGGGCCGTCATTGGAAAGACCTGCACACGACACAGCGAGTTGCTGCTTTGAAATGGGGCTGGGTATTCCAGTTACTGGCTATCGGAGCCAGTATGCTCGGCAAACTTGCCATTATGGCATTCCTCATTCAAATACGAGGTCGGCACGAGAGGAAGCCGTGGCTGTTAATTGTTCTCGGGACCTTGATTGGAGCTGTGAATATAACCGTGATGGGAACGATCCTGGGCCAATGCAAACCAATGCAAAAGTTATGGGATAATTCTATTGAAGGAACCTGCGATCCAGGAAGGAAGTTGAATCAAGATTATTCATTTTTTCAAGCCAGTCCGTGCCATTTTCTTTTAGTCCTGGCTCTATATCGAAGCCCAAGTGGTTGACAATCGGTGCTTTTCAGGCTTCAACACTGTCTCGGATGCTATCTTGGCGACATATCCAATTCACCTCTTCTGGCGGCTTCAAATGAAATTAAGGTTGAAAATCGCGCTTTCGGTGCTAATGGGTTTTGGGTGGATGTCAGTCTATAACTGTTCCTTTTGAAAATGACTCGGGGGAGCCTAATATGATTGTAGCGCTGCCGTTTGTTCTGCCGTGAAGGCTTATGAGCTCCAGGCTTTGACCGAGACAGACGATACTACATGTATAGTCTCTTCCCTCCTTCCCTTCTCCATTTTCTTTTTGATTTCATGGCTAGCTCTAACATCCATTCTTCTGTATTAAATAGATGCGCTGACCTCCCTCCTTATTTGGGCATCAACCGAAGCCTGGATCATCATTGTTGTAGGGTGCGTGCCTCCCATCCGGCCATTGATGGAGCGGGTCTTCCAAGCCCTCGGTCTTACCTCGAAGAAAACCTCAACCCCATACCGGTCGCCTGGTCCTGGAAATTATGCCGCATTCGACACCAATCGAACAAATCGAACAGGCAACTCTGGCTTTCAGTCGGGAGCTTACGGGCCAAAAAAATTGTGGCGGGGCGATGATGAGACGTGGATAGAACTCAACGATAGCGAGCCTGTAGATAGCTCAAAGGAGCATATTGTCGGCGGCGCAAAGGACGTCGTGGTGACCACAGATATCATCACTCGTTTTGAACATGCGTTAAGTTAACGTGCGGCACCAGTCGAGTGGGGGGAGAGGGGGGCTGTGTGGGGATAAAATAATGGGTTCGCTGCTGGCGATCTGGTCGAAAATGGGTTAGTACACTAAAAGCAAGCTTACAATGGTTAATAAAATAATCAACGCCGTTAATCGCCGTTGCTGTTCAAACTCGCCCAAGTCTATGATACGCCCGTACAATAAATACTCTATCTTGTCGTGCTCACGTGAGAGGCGATTTGAAACTCCAGGGGTTTGCAAGAGCTTAATTCACAAAGTTAAAACCCACGAGGTCATCGAGCTACCGTCTGGAACCTTTCGCCCCAAAGTTTCTGTCTCCCTGGGGAAGGGAGAAGAGCCATGGATAGTACAGAAAGTTTTGTCGCCGAAAAGAAATCTAGTTTATGGTTCATCTGTATACCAGGGTCGGTAAGGTGTCGCATTGCTTGGAATTGGCATCCCATCCAATCACAAAAATCGTCCTACGATATTCATTGATCTTGCGGTGGAAGTGGGGGCTCACTCTCCGGGCAGTGTGTCTTCTTGAATGAATTTATTCTCAAGGATTGATCAGTGATCCTGGCGCTGGATGATAGCACCCTCCTTTGTAGCCGGAAGTCATCCTCGTATTCTTCGCTGAAGGCAACACAGCCACACAGCCACCATTGTGTAATGAAATTCAGAGGCCTCTCTCAAACTATCAATATATCTTGACCGGATGGTAATTGAACGGGGCACTACTTTCCGACCTAGTAGCCGAGGGGAACAGGTGTTCCTCAATCCAGCTCATTTTGATCACGAGAGAAACCTCAGCGTACGCAATGTCTGGAATCCATGGCCCGTCTCGGCGTTTCCGAGACTAGGGGTAGAAATCTCTAGCCAATGAGAGAAACCACATGGCTTGCATGGCCGATACGAACGAGTCTCGCTGGTTGCCTGGATCGCCAGAAGCACGCGAGCCTTCGACCTGTTAGCCTAGAAAGAGGGGGGGACCACTGCATGACATTCGCCTGTCATTCCCGATCTAACTCGGGTGGAAAGACCTCAGGTGTCGGGTGGCGGTTCCCGTTCGCTTGTTTGCAGAGCCATGGTTCCGACGAAGTGACATTCACACGACGCGACGAGCGCGTCGTGCGACATGCACTGCGCAAGACACCACGTGCAGGCCGCAGCAAGCGTGCCAAGACCGGAGGAGCACAGGAGAAGAGCAGTTGCCGGGTCTTCTAGAATGTCTAGGTGCATGTGCTGTAGGTTGGTGGTGCAGAGGTTGTGATAGCCCGTGTATGGTGGACGGTTGGTCTGGAGAGCTGGTGGCCTCTGCTGGCCACACGTGGGGGGTCCCGCAACGCTGATAGGAAGCGGTGGTCCCTGCGGCGGCGCCGTCTGGAGCCCCGCCAAGCCCGTTGGCGGGCCCGCCATTCGCAGGTTCTCTATATAAGAAGCGCCTCCGCCCAGCATTGCCAAGGTCTGCCAAGGTCGCCAATTTTGCTTCTTGTGAGGAATCACCGTCTGGAAATGAGGCCTGTCGGTCTTGACTGGCTTACCATTGCGTGATTTTGGCTGTTCCCGAGCTTCGATGCGCCGCCACCAAAGGTTCGACTGGAAAGCTAGATCGCTGCCAAGGGCTCTGCAAACGATGGCTGCGACCCTAGATCGCGAGTCGCTGCCGCACGTGTTGTCTGCTTGTTTGGAAAAGGGCCATGGAAGAGGAGATTTGGGGTTGCCACGCCGGGCGTATCGTGCCCCGGCGTGTTGCGTCGACCGTCTGCGGGACAGGGCGCGGTGACATGGGGGCCGCTCGATCTTGATTGAGAGAATCGATACTTTGTATATAAAAGCCACTCGTCTCGCATTCTCTCTGAATTTGTACCGTTTCTTGTTGATCATTCGCCATCACGCAAGTGACCAGTGACCCTTGACCTGGGCTGTGCTTGTCAATCAAGATGTATCTCCATCAATATGACTACATCTTCGGCATCGGCACCGTGTTTGCCATGCTCGATGCCTACAACAACGGTGCTAGTAAGCAACTCGACCCGCGATCTTCTGGCTTTCCTCTCTGCCAACAAGCCGCAAGAAAAGGGGCTTCGTGATCACCTCCCATACTGATCAAGATCTCATAGATGATGTGGCCAACTCTTGGGCGACCAGTGTCTCCTCGCGGTCCATTTCGTATCGACAGGCCATGGTCCTCGGCACCATCTTCGAGTTTCTAGGTGCGGTGACTGTGGGTTCCCGGACGGCAGATACCATCAAGAACGGCATCATCCCCATTTCGGCCTTCAAGGGGAATGCGGGTGTGCAGATGTTGGCTTTCACCTGCGCACTAGCGGCCGCGTCCTCCTGGGTGATGTGGTGTACTCGTCACTCGGCTCACGTCTCTTCCACATACTCGCTCATCTCGGCCGTTGCGGGCGTCGGCGTCGCCACTGTCGGTGCATCGGAAGTGCAGTGGGGATGGAACAGTGGAAAGGGTCTCGGTGCCATCTTTGCCGGTCTGGGAATGGCTCCAATCATCTCCGGTTGTTTCGCTGCCATTATTTTCATGCTCATTAAGGTCATTGTGCACATGCGCCGCAACCCTGTCCCATGGGCGGTGTACAGCTCGCCATTCTGGTTCCTCGTTGCCGCCACAATTTGCACCCTGTCTATTGTCTACAAGGGTTCCCCCAACTTGGGTCTGAGCAAGAAGCCCGCGTGGTACATTGTCGCCGTGACCCTAGGCTGTGGCTTTGGAGTCTGCCTGCTTTCGATCCTCTTTTTCGTTCCCTTCGTCCACGCCAAGGTCATTAAGAAGGACCACACGCTCAAGTGGTGGATGATCTTCATGGGCCCTCTCCTCTTCAACCGCCCTACCCCTACTGATGCTGCAGAGACCGCCAAGGTTCCAAACTATGCTGTCATTCAGGATGATGAGGAGTATGAGGCCTCCACTCGATCCCAGGGCTCGGTTGATGATAGCAAGAAGCCCCATGAGACTGCTCTCCCCGCGGAGGACCAGGAGAAGGCTCTTGTCAAGACTGAGACCACCCAGCTGACCTACAAGGAAATCATGGCTCAATCGGAGGCCCGTCACCATGAAAAGCTCTTGAAGGGTCGTGGCCCTCTGGGTTGGGCCATGCGCTTCCTTCGTGACAACCCCATCGGCTCCGGCGAGATCTATGAGATCCGCAACATCGTGGCCCTGTTCAAGCGCATCCCGGCCATGATCGTCGTTGGCCTCCTTTATGGTGCTCATTACGATATCCATACTGCCCAGAGCGGTATCGCTGGTACTCCGGAAGGCGAGCGCATGAAGCGTGTCTACTCGGCAGCCGAGAAGTACCCCAACGAGGTTGAGCACACCTACTCCTTCGTCCAAGTCCTCACTGCCTGTACCGCCTCTTTCGCCCACGGCGCCAACGACATCGGAAACTCGGTCGGTCCCTGGGCCACCATCTACTCGGCCTGGTCGACCGGCAATGCCGCCGCCGCCAAGTCTACCGTCCCAGTCTGGCAGCTTGCTGTTCTCGCTCTGTGCATCTCCACCGGTCTTATCACTTACGGTTACAACATCATGAAGGGTATGTTGGATCTCAAAGTTTCTCCTCAAATGTGCAGCTACTAACCTCTCCTCTATAGTCATGGGTAACAAAATCACCTACCACTCCCCTAGCCGTGGCTCTTCCATGGAGATGGGCGCCGCCATCACTGTCCTGATCTTCTCCCAATACTCTCTGCCGGTCTCCACGTCGATGTGCATTACTGGTGCCACTGTCGGCGTCGGTCTCTGCAACGGTACTCTCAAGGCGGTGAACTTCCAGCGTGTTGGCCTCCTGCTACTTGCCTGGATCCTGACCATCCCCATCGCCGGTACCCTTGGTGGGTGTCTGATGGGTCTTTTCCTCAATGCGCCTCACTTTCTCTGATTTCAGTCAGCTGGAAATTCAATCATCCTCCGGCTTGACCATCTAGTCATAATATTTCCTATAGATACTGTCATCAATTAAATGCATATAATCGCACATCATTGTCAGGAGACATTATGCCTTGTACATTCAGATTAGCTGTTTGACTGGAAGATGTATATTAATAAATTTTCTTTGGTCATCAATCTACCACTCTTGAATATGGCTTATACAGTACGACCGATCCATTGCATTACCAACGAATGGTGCGAGATACGCGAATTTTGTAAACAGAAAAAAAAAAAAAAAAAGGATCCGTAGCTCTGGGTTAATACCCATTGAGAAATATCTTGCTATTGACGTATTTCACTATTAGTGCCTTACACCGCCCCCCCAACCCTTCCGGGTTGTGGGTGCGCCACCCATTTTTTGTCACCCACATATATTTTGTCATTTTTTGCTACTACCCTATTTTTGCTTCCCAATCCAACACCACTATTAAAATATGCCTAAATTCGACGAAGCTCGTATGGCCGAGGCCTGTTTAGCAGCATCTAGCGTTGTAAAGCCGAATATCGCGCGTTTAGCACGCGAATTCGGCGTGCCTAGGACAACGCTTGCCTATCGGATCAAAAAGCAAGCAAGGCCTAATACAGTGCCTAACACCGCTAGAAATACTCTCGAAGCCTACCAGGAAGAAGCATTAATTCGCTGGATTCAATATATGAGCGATCACTATATGCCTATCACTCCTAGGATACTAGAAGCGTGGGCGAATCGTGTATGCTAACGTATCGGGAAGCCGTCGGTTAGCAAGATGTGGGCGTATCGCTTTATTAATAGGCTTCCTAAACATCTTCAATTAGGGCCTACTAAGCAGTATACGAAGGAATCAAAGAGAATCCTAGCAGAAGACCCAGCAGCATTAGCGAATTGGTACGATCTACTAGCCCAAACGATCAAGAAGACTACACCACCACGCTTAGTCTATAACTTTGATGAATGCGGCTTTCAACCAGGCGAAGGAAGGTCTAGAAACGTTATATCTACTACTACTACTACTACTACTACTACTACTACTACTACTACTACTACTACTACTACTACTACTACTAGTAGTAGTAGTAGTAGTAGTAGTAGTAGGAAGATAGTAGACCTTCCTCAGCCAGACCAAGGCGAAAATATTACGTCTATCGAATGTATAGCTGCCGACGGGTGGCAGTTAGAACCCTGGTTCATCTTTAAAGGCAACGGCATCTTTATAGAATCTTGGTTTAATCAAACAGACGACCTACTACTAAGAACTACTATTACTACATCGCTAAACGGTTAGATAACCGATAATATAGTAGTTTAATAGCTTCTATTCTTTATAGAATCAACATACGACCGTACGAAATTAGGTGAAAAACGTATCCTAATATTCGACCGTCACGGTTCGCATCTTACATTCGAATTCCTACACCTTTGCGAAGAGAATAATATCCTACCTATAGGATTCCTACCGCATACTACATATCTTTGCTAGCCGCTAGACGGTAAGCCGTTTCTAAGCTATAAGCAACACTTCCGCTGAGCGAATAACGACTACGCGTTTTAGGGTAGAAGCCCTATCGGAAGATCCGAGTTCCTTCGAATAATCGGTGATATTCGAAATAGAGCGTTTAGCCAGCGAATTATTCGTGAATCGTTTAAAGATCGAGGGATCTATCCAGTCGATAGTAGAAAGGTTATTAATAGCCTTCCTATCCAAGATTACCTAGATCTTACAGCGCCAGATCTACAACCGCTTTATACAATACCTTCACTACCACCTATATCTTCTTCTAGTATCGACCAATCGCCGCCTAGATCTATACAGGATCTAGAGAAGAATCAAAAGAAGATTACTAGATATCAACAAGAAGATCTTACACCTAGGCAGCAGCGCAATCTTGACCGGTTATTTCATCATAACAAGATTGCTATAGAGAACCTAAATCTAGCGAACGATACTATTCGCAAGATTAGGGAAGCTCAACAACCACTACAGCGCCCAATCACCAAGCGCTAGGTTAAAACGCCGCTTAGCAAAACAGGGGTGCTCTCTATTAGAGATGCAAATCGTTCTATTACTAAAAGAAACGAGAAGGAAGCAGAGGCAGAGCGGAAGCGGGTAAGGAAGCAGTGGAAGAAAGCGTATAGAACATCACCACCACCAGATCCTACACAGAATCAAGATATAGCACTAGAAAGAGCGGAGGAAGCACGCCAGGAAGGTGATATTTTCTTTATGGATACTAGTGGGATGCAGTAGTAGATAGGGGAAATAGCAAAAAATGACAAAATATATGTGGGTGACAAAAAATGGGTGGCGCACCCACAACCCGGAAGGGTTGGGGGGGGCGGTGTAAGGCACTAATAGCGAGTAGCCCACCTTACCACATCAAGCGTTCCCACGCATTATCTACCATCTTTTATGACCCACCATGCCACCAAAATGGTCATAAAAACGCTCAAAATGGCCAGGAAGTGAAATTCAAATCGTTGATATTTTCTGCCGCTCTGAAAATACATTGTATGATGCTTGCAGGATCTTGTTGCAAAACACTCGCGTCGTGCTCAATACCGGACGAAGTCTCGCAGAATCCTCGGCACCCCACTCCGCTCCCTATTGATGAGCCAGGGCGTCGTCGCGCCTGCCGCCTCAAGCCGCCACTGATCCCACATAATGTTTCCCCAGCGACGCATGGAATCCGGAATATAGTATCCGTACAGGTTACTGTAAGTTTCTTACCAGATCAGAGTTCAAGCAAGGGGGGATATGACTTGATGGCATCCGTAACCTAATCGCCCTCGAAAGGCAGTGGGACTCGTTGCATTTCCTTCAAATCCCGACTCAAGAGCTGCTCTCTACACCGTAGCGACTGTGCTGTATCACTAAAGCATCATCCACAAGAATCCACCCCAAGTCCACGGCATATAATCTAGTATTATTGAAACAAGTTGCGAGTGCTGTTTTGTCTTACACAAGACCAATGAAGTAGCTCCAGCCCGCGGGAAATCGTTCCCTGTAGAAAATTTGATCGTGTATCTTTTTATGTTACGTCATTAACCATGTTGGAAGACTCTATTTAATGAGAATGGGAAGGGTTAAGAACTGACAGCTTTCATCCAAGTTGAATGCCCCATTCAGAGTAGGCGGTCGCTGCTGATCCGCGAATCTAAGATTCTCCTGGTTGACGTCAAATATTCGATTACGGGTATACTTTGAAAAAAGCCTCGATACAAGCAATTTTCTCGACTTTCCAAGGCTTGAACCTGTAAATGAACATATTCATCATATCGTCAAACTCGGAGGCGACCCAGAATAAACCGCTGACCTTATGGGGTCTTGCCTCGAAGAGATTGTAATAGAGCCAAAAGCGATAGAAAGTACGGACCGATCCATCTTTCCTCGGACCGACTTAAGTAAGGGATGTCGCTTAATTTGGCCAAACTATCCAAGGCTCAGCTAGCATACCGCCGTATTAGAGGCTTGATAACAGAAATATGGAACTTGACTGTAGGAAAAGCTCATCTATAGGGCCTTGATAAGTAAGACTTGTAGACTGAGGCACATGACTATTATACAAAATATTAGTGGCTGCTAAGCGAGTTTAGCCCGACCCAAATTCTTTATTAGGAATATATATCTAGAAGGGTGGTGGTGTGGTGTGTAGTGTAATATATTTATATATTTGATGTTGGACTGGTGAAAATGGGGATCGGAACAGACCTTTGAACACCCACTGTATTCATAATTGGAAATTATGAGAGCCATCATCGATTTTCTTTTTGATTCCCCTCACTTTGCAATATCACGCAAACTTCTCCTCTTTTAAAGCAAGGATCACTGTGCCAACCCTATTGATCTAATGACCGAGGTTGTCGAAGGCGCCAGGCGATACCCTATCAGCGGCATTATAAAACCAGCAGATCCGCTCGTGTCTTGCCCGGTAACGGACCACGTAGATTTGATGTCTAGTAATATTTGAATTTTCCTGTTGCTGGTTTCAGTTTAGGTAGGGTTGCTCGATATCCGTCGTAGACGCTAATAGTGGAATGTCATTACAGCTGGTAGAGCAACTCAGACTGGAGCTTCACAGCATAGGCAGAGGTCAAAATCGAAGAGACTCACACTATAGCGTTGAATAAAAGTGTGAATGATGCGGATTTTTTTGATCTCTATGACGGACAAGGTATATAATACATTAGGAACCAAGCAATGCATTCTAAGGGCAAGGATAGTGCTAGGCGGGGCAGCGACTTTGCTCTGGATGACGGTGGTATTGACCCGCACTTTGACATTGAGGTAATATAGGTCAAGCTTTTGCCGACGGTGTTTGGATGTAGAAATCTTGGCGAGCTAATAATTAGGTCAAGTAGGGAAAAATCAATGTTGGATGCAAAAGATGATAACTAATTAGTAACAAAATTTATTTACACAAAAAAAAGTAAAAAAAGTGACCAGACCCGGGCTCGATCCGAGGACCTTGTCGGAACAAATTGTTAACGACACGTGATAACCAACTACACCATCCGGCCATTACTGAAATAGTAGTGGTTTTTTAACATTTATGACCCAGCTAATTTATATTACCAATATTACAAAATAACGCACAGGGTAATAAAGTAACTAGCGTATTTACTATTACTACTGACACGCAGCCCCATCTGGCTGAATATTAGTATGTGTCAATATAGTAGGATACGCTATCGGCTAGAAAAGCTAGGATCCAATGGAACGAGATGCTCAATATAGTGATGTATTGGGTGACTGAACTATCTAAGTGTGTGGGCGGGGGAATGTTGAATATCCCCTACCTTGCTGTCTAGCGTGTTACGGCGCTGGGTTCCGAGTATACCCGGGATACCATACAAAACACGTAGCAAATCGAGTATCCCTGTAATATCCTGACGCACATGGAGATATGTGGGTCTCGCCCGTATTATGCAGTCTTCCTTCTCGACACTATGGTTAAAAAGCCTAAAAAGTTGATCTGCGTCATCATCCTTCACTAAGGACAAACGTTATCCAAAATCCTACATCACATTATTCTGCCAACGCACTCTTCGAGCTCTGTTGTTCGAGACTTCGGAAGTTAAGTTGGTTGTTGGAATAAACAGCCTATCAGTCATGGCCTAGAGAAGAAACACGTCAGTTGAAGCCAGGTCCGACCCAACTCCAAAATCTAACCCAACTCTAACGTCTAACCTAACTCCAACGTCTAACCCAACTCCAACATCTAATTAAGATAAACCAATACTTTTTTTACTACAACCGCTGTCTTGATCCTTATTTATTCCTTTAACAGAGGGACTATACCAAGCTTGTCTTTGTGTTTGCGCAATGTCCCGCACTAGCTAGAAATTTTGATTGACGTACTAGATGATTGGGGGGCCGGGGGAATAATGTTTGGGGGCTTAAGTGGGCGGCGTGAAATCCGGGCATGTCGATGCCCACTTTGCTGGTCATGCAATACACAGGCATTATTTTCAAATTCGCTGCTTTGGTTCTGGTCTACCCTTCTTGTATCATAACAAATTTAACTGATCTTGAATACTATGAGGCAATGGTGTCAAGGAACACACCTAGGCATGTGTTTCCTGCGCTAGGCCAAAAAGACCACAATTTCAACGCCCTTACGCGTTGACAGCCTAGGATCCAGATATAGTAGCGCACGATTGTTACCCTCTAAGCTGGGTCCGGTGACCCGCAGCTCCTTCTTAGCTAGTCTCAGACAGAAACAATAAGATCACCTTTATATCTCCTGACTCTGTCACAACGATAGTGTATTTCCTAACGAATAGACACAGGATGGTATTGCCCTCACATTGATCCTGGCGTCTCCTGGACCCACTAAGGAGTAAAACCTTCTCGAAAACCAAATAGGAAGTGCTACGCTTCCAACTTGGTGTAGAGGATTATCATCCTACTAATTACTGTATTACGACATTTTTCAAACAGACCGGACCGTTATAAATCTTTACCAAATATATTAATCAACATAGATAACTATAACTAACCAACTTTAGATGTTTTCCGGTCCTGTAGCATGCATATTGGACGCTACTATATAGATATTTATAGTATATAGCTACAACTCACTTAGCCAACCTTGGATTTTCTACCATCTCTCTATAGGTTACATCACGCGTCACTATGCTGCGTAGCTCCTATTCTAGACTATAGATAGAACATGTAGGGGCAACATACCAACCGAAGCGGGACACTCTATACTGCTGAGCTATATAGCTATATCGTATGCAACCTCAATTTCTGTAAAGCTATATGTTGCAGAAAAAGGGCTACGGTGTTGGTTGGTCGACTAAAGATACAGATATGAAGAGACTCTATAGCTATATTTAGAATTCCTATATCAGAAGCCAGGTATAAAAGCGAAGAACTTCCCACTTGTTTGAGAAGTATCATCAACAGAATCAATCAGACATCCAGTCAACCGACTCATCAAAAATCTTCGCTCTCATCATCTGAGCTTTTTTTCAAAATCAACAATCCAACATGGCCGCTCATCAGAACACCAACCTTCAAGTCAACCGAGGCTTCCAGAGACTGCCCGGTGTAGCTGCAAATGAATATGGATTTTGTTATATTCCCCGGTTTGTTCAAGGGGCAGCTACTCAAGTGGATGGTGCCGAAAACCAGCAGGATATGGATACCTTGATAACTAGACTTCGAACTTCCACAGGGCAGCCAAATCTGGCCTGTCATTCTGGTGTCATTGATGGGAACCCTGCTTGGATTATCGCAGTTCCAGCAACCAACCATCGTTCAGCATCCTCGGTCTTCGCAAAGATTCGGGATTCCGGAAAGAGCGTACACAGGAAGGAAGTCCAGGCCTGAACAGGTAGTAGCCTGTGATAGAGTCAGCTTGTTTGGCAAAGAATCAGGTTGCTTGTCTTTTGCATCATATATAGCGGATGTATGCTCCAAGAAGTGGAGAAATAATGTACTGGCTAACATTCGCGGACATTGAAATATCACTCACGCTCATTTACTCACACATTCATTCAAATATATCCTTGATTCGGCTCACTAAGCCACATGATGGCTAGCTTCAATAAGCGTAACGTGCTGTGTGGTACGGTAGCTTAGTAGACACCACTCGCGCAAATAAATCTATTAGTCAGTAAGTCTATTAACCAATGTAGCTTAGCTTGTGGCGCAATGTGTTTGTAGCGACTCCCTCTGGCGGAAGCATGAGCTGTCCCGACGCCAACCCATGCGAAACAAATGTGGATACAAAGGACGATGTCGTTATTCCATGCAAAATAAGTTCAATGCTGTTTAAAACTCTCCAAACACCCGATTATATAAATTCCACAAGTATTTCTCTCACGCGAACTCTTCTGCATCCGATTTCACTCAGTTTGACCGGCACCTCGGTCGTATGCAACATGCGGTACGACATCACTAGGCTTCAACGCCCGTCCTCTCCTATGGCTCCTCTCCCAAAAAAGTCAACCAAATCAAGGTATACCTTGCTTTGTTTGTTTGTAGTTTGACAGCTGTTGAAAGATTGCTAGCTGTTGGGTTGCTGCCTCCGCTACCTGTCGGCAGGCGTAAGACATAACGTCCCAACATCCAGCATTTTCACTACACTTCCTCATTTTCCTATTCAGGACATTCGATTTCAGGGCATCCTTAGGCTTCATCTTCGGGGATATAATCAGCATAGATCTGTCCGAACTGACGAAGAAGACCCTTTTGGACCATGAATTTTGCAATATAGTGGATAGCATGCGAGTTTGACACGATCAAGTCGTAGTCTGTAATCTAAATGCTATCAAGATCCGATCATGCTCGAATATTTCCAGCCTCTGCTTCCTCAGATCGGCGTATGTCAGGCAATGTAGGAAAACATATCTCTATATTTGGGAGCCTTCCCACAGTAGCACTTATCTGAGTCGGCTTCATTGATTCTGTAAAGGAAATGGAGTAGCCCAATCCTCATCGACCGCATTCAAATTGACCCGAAGGATAGGCCTTCGTTAGCCGTAGTGAGGTCGTCTCGTCTTATTTAAGCACTTTAACCCCTGTTGATTCATTCGGCTTGTCATTTATTTCCCTCATCCATTCCCACTCCCAGCTGGAGATCTGACTGTGTGTGTTTGGTATTATCTTTCATCAAATATGTGTAATTGAGAGATACTTCCCATTTTTTTTCGACGATCTGTGAATCTAGAAATACGGATTTAACGTTACCAGCGTGTGTTGAAGCCATCCAAGCTGATGCTGCTGAGCCTGCATTTAAGCGCGTTTTTAGGTGTTGTTGATGGGGTAATATAGGGCAAGAAATCAATAACTGTCCTAAGAGACCGATTGAATTAATATATTCTATAGGGTTGGAGAATAAATATTTCAAAAATAGGGTTTGCAAAAACATTAGGTGGTGACAGTAGATGGTGTGGGGTGCGCGAAACGCCGGGGAAATCTGTTGGGACATAAAAAAGTAAAAAGAAGTGACCAGACCCGGGCTCGATCCGAGGACCTTGTCGGAACAGATTGTTAACGACACGTGATAACCAACTACACCATCCGGCCATTACTGAAGTGATTGATTTACATTTGTGTATATATCTCAAATATCTAAAAATCAGCTACACATACATAGGGTGACAAAAGTCTTTTTACACCCTATATTTTTACCACTAATCCTACCACTTTCTAGCAACGATTTCTCACCTAAATTAAATTCAATTGCTTCTATAATAAGATATAATCTTCTTTAATATTAATATTTAGTATACTACCCTTTTGCCTTCTTAACCGCTTTAATTCGCTTTGGTAATGAGCGGATTAAGCTATCAATCTTCTCTTGATCGAGAGCCTACTAAGCTTCACGAATTGCTTGCCTAAATAAATTCCAGTCAAGCTTAGATCTTCCTATCTTAGCGAGATTTGGATAGTGTTCAAATAGTTTTCGTTTTAGCATAAACTATACAACCTCAATTGGATTTAGATTAGGCGAATACGGAGGCTATTCTATCCTTCCAATCCTTCGATCTTTAAACTATAATTTTATAATATTCGCTAAATAAATTAGTACGTTATCCTGCTAGAAGATTTGATCGTATTTATAGATTAGAAGGAGACCCTTTTTAAGTGTTTAAATATAGGATTTAGCGTCGAATCCTTTACCAGGCTTCTTTTCTATAATAATAATATCCGAGCGGCTACCGATCTATATTACACCCTAGATTATTTAAGAAATTTACTTTCCTTAGCTTAATAAATTAACAAACTAAGGTTTATACTACTTAGATTTTAATCGGAATACGAATTGAATTTACGAATTCGACTTCCGTTAGATAGAGTATTTATCGGAAAAGATAACTATTTTCTAAGTATTAAAATTTTCCTAGTCTCGAGTCTAGGATCGTCGACGTTTTGTATCCTTATTCTTTAACTAATAGCGTTTCTTCGAGGCCTATTTTCGAATCCCTTACTCGTATAAAGTACGTTGAATCGTACGAAGAGAAATATCTTGTCGGATATCGGAAGGGATCTCTTTAATAAGATCTTTCTACGTTATCGTTGGGAACCTCCGAGTTAAACGAAGAATATAACGAATAGTAGGATTCGAGAGCTTCTTTAGACGCCCTTTTCGAGGAAGTGAAGCAAGGCTTTTTGTGTTTTGAAAGCGCTTTAATATATTGTAAACAGTAGGCCTACTAATGTTGAAATTATACGCTATTTTAGCCTTCGGAACACTATTTTCGCTCGCGTAAATAATAGCAGCGCGTGTTGCCTCATTTAATTTGCCTCTTGTTCTTCTATTTGCATCGAGTCCGAGGTTTATAGAGCGCATAATGATAATATAGGAAGTAGTAGAAGATAGGTAGTTGTTTAGGTGGGGTGGGGCGGGAAGGAGTGTAAAAAGACTTTTGTCATCCTATGTATATCGGACAGTATATTATTCTTTCTTACCTGGCATCCACATTGACAATTTGGTACATAGGTTAATAACCTACCATCACTATAATATGGATTCCTTTTTCCAATATATGTGTCAATATCCCCTAATAACGAAAAGCAATTGAAAACCAAATAAGATTCTCAATGCTGTTGTCGACTTGGGTTGATTATACGTTGAATTCCTGCTCAACCACATTTGAGCATATTTACGAGGGGTTAGAAGACATGGCGTATTTTGAATCGCGGTTAGGTGGTGCATAGGGACATATCTTGGATGGGGTGCTTCATTCGCTCATGAGACACGTTGTCGAATGATCGTTATCTCTTCAAAACCTTCGAGTCTAAGTGGATGGAGAAGAGAACTTCCACCTCAGTCAGTAGACAACCTCATGTCAAACACGCAAAATTTTGCGTGATATGAAAATTCACACACCTTTAAAGTCCCATGCATAGCTATTCCAACTCGAGGATGCTATTGCTCACGTGCATGCCAGGTCATAATTTAAAACATGTTAAGGCCTTGATATGGAAAGGGAGACGATAATTTTAGCCTATGCGTTCTGTTGGTCATTGAAGTCCTTGGTTATTCAGAATTAACTTAACGTATCAGCCGGCGATGGCTGACTATTGAACTGGGACCAGAGCCGCTCGCTGTCTACGAACCAAGAAAGCCTCTAGGGGTTGCGGATGAGGAAGAGAGGGCACCTAGAATATTAGTAGAAGAAGGGGTTTCTTAGTTACTATAGACAGCAAGGAAGCTAAAAATAATATCCTCTATCACACCGCCAGTAACCACCTAAGGCCACTTCCTCACTACAATATGTACAGGTGCTGATGCACTTCCGTACAAAGAATGGTCCAATGATGCTTCACTACGAGGTAGAATCAAGTCTGTTCCCAAATTGACCAAAAATTGAAATATTTAGAGGGCCTGTATAGAGCTCCAATACAAAATAACGATAGATAAGCTGACATGTTTAATATGTACCGAACTGCACGCTAATCTGTATTCACTGAAAATCATGAGGCATCAGGAGACGGGTGTGCACTTCAAGTGAATTCAAAGAGCCTAAACCTCAGAAAATTCGATAGAGCTAGTAGAAACATGATTTAATCTATGAATCTAGTTTCCTGATTATGGTTGTATAACAATGTATAACAACTAATCTACTTACGGATTCTAACCGACTCCACTCACGGCTTGGGGATATTATCCGTTTCGGGCGACGCTGTGCCGGAAACAAACTATCAGAGGTCGGCATGAAATGCGAAGAATACCTTAGCTATTGAAGACTATGCAGTCAGTCATCTTGGAGTCTCCACCAGCAGATAAAATAGATATTTGGGGTTTATCTGCCCATCTTTTCGCGAGACTTTTGGAAAATATTTTTCTGCCGCCGTTGGCAGCCGCTGATATGGCGAAGACTGCAGTCCCAAATAGAAACTCGTCACCGGATTCCAATCCTTCAATATTGTTGCGTTCCAAAGATGGAATCACAGTTCGGGGACATGCCAAGTTTGTATTGGAGTCCGGCTGAAGAGCACTGGGAGTTACTGGTCCCAGTGACGATGTGACATTTAGCGATACACTTGAAACGCCGGTGCAACCAGCTGCCGAGAGAATCAAGACCGAATCTTCTGAAACAAAAATCCCTTCGGTCTTGCCAACTTCTGCATTAGAGTCAATGCCATTGAGAAAGGGAAGCTTGGTACCATCTTTGATGCAGCGAGATGGTGATGCGAATCCGCCCTCAGTCGTATGAAGAGCACGCAAGGGAGATTTGACCTGGACACGATGAATACGAATGTGCCAGTCTGGCCATCGATTCGTTGGTGGGATAAGGGTGGTGAGAATTTCGATCTGTTTATCCCCCCAGGGACACCAACGCACTGTCGCAACAGTGACGGGTGTCAGATCTCCATTGACCTGGAGCTTAGCCGTGGAGAAAATGGCTTCTGAGCATTTCCATTTCACTGCCCAAGTCTCAGCACCGTCACGACTCAAGGCCAGCATGCAGTCTGGAGCAATCTGTTGGATCAATGGGCCTGTAGGTACGGAAAATGTGAAAGCTGATGAATATTCAAACTTGGAGTATTTTGCTTGTGTTGCCTTCATTGGCCACGCAACAAACTGAGCCGGCGAGAGAAGAAAATGATGATTACCATCCGGGTGATTGCTGACAATTTGCTTTGGTGCAGCAACAAGACTGGGCCTAAATAGAGATGGGTAAGGCTGCTCTTCAGTAGCCCAGAAGTCGTCATCTTGATTTAGAGATAGTGTGATAAGTGTCTTCATACACCAGTAAGGCGACTGCGGTGAGTTGTAATCCTCACACATATACATATTTCTTAAAAAGGTCAGCAGTAGGTCCAGAAAATATGAGCTGTAGAATTCGAGTGCGCATACGGGTATTTCCAGCCGATATTCAGCGTGCCATCTGGGTAGAAGATATCGTTCGAGTTCTTCGCCCACCATCGGAGATGGCGTAGCAAGAAGCCCTTGATATCTCCAGGCCGTGACAGTGGAAATGGCATTCCAGGAATTTTTGACACAGCTAGAGCCGCAAAAAAGCCACCACACGCAAATCTGTACGTGAGAGAACGCCCAAACGGTATTGCAGAGCCTGGTTCTATGGGTTAAGGATATATTATTGCGTAGTTCGGTTTATTACCTGACTCACCATCTGCATCGAAATATTTCCAGATAGAAGCTCCAAATTCTCTTGCTTGCTGCCGATACCTTTTTGCCCGTTGAGGATCAATGTCACTGGCAAATTTGATGTATAAAAGCTGGCTAAATTGAATGGCGAAACTTCCAGAATAATAGTCAGCCTGACGCCCTGGATCTATTGTATCCCTTCGACCTGTCTTCTCATAGGTTCGATCTTGCTGTGCTTCTTGCTCTGCGCTCAACCAGGGTCCATCTCCTGACCAGCCATCTTGAAGGTAAAACGAGTCCAAGATGGCAAAATCCAACTCCATAAAGCTCATAAGCTCATCGGCCGGTACTCCACAGACGCGGATGAGAGCAAGGTTTGACATCACACGAAACCATCGCCAATTATTATCAGGCATTTGCTTATTGTTCATACCTCGCAGCCAAGTCTCTATATTTTGTTTTGTCTTCTCGTCTTGGTTATGATAAAGGATCTCTGGGGCGGACAGTAAGGCAAAGGATAGAATCTCGGCTTCTACCATGCGTTGATTTGGCTCGTTTATTTGGCCCCAGTAGTCCTGATGCTCAGGATCTGTCCCGGTACGAAAGCCATCGATCCAGGGCTGAATTATTCCCTGGCACTTCGGCGATAAAGAACTGTCCGTGATTGGGGATGCTATGGTGCTAGAGGCCGAGAGGATAGCACCAACTGCCCAAAGTGGACGAGCAAAACCTTCTAATTGTGCAGCCAAATCATCAAAGTGAGTACCGATATCAATTGGAAGTCGAATTTTCGCTTTCCCAGGGGAAAAGTATGCATGCAATGGCTCGAGTAAGGAAAGTGCTGCCAATTCAAGGTCTCCCCGAGTTTGAAAGGGATTATCCGAAAATCCTTTCAACGGAGGCATCTTCAATGAAATATTGACTTGGTTAACGCAATTTTTGGATTTCGATCATCCTTCGTGGGACAGAAGATGGCTCGAAAACCCTAAAAAAGAGAGAATATGTCTGTAATGGCACAACAGGCCGGGCCGAAAAATATAACTCCCGGCCACCTTCGGAGCTGGTCCTTACAAGAATTGGCAAAGTCAACTGACGGTTCCAATTCACCCGACGCCCGAGCTCTTCTCTGGAAGCATGGAGTAGTGAGCAGAGATCTGCTCATGGCGCTATTTCTCGGAGTGGGGAGTGTATTCTGCCTGGGGTTGGTTACTTCGGATACCCCACAATTTCCCCGCACTAGCAATGTTGGATCAGATGATCGATTCGGGGCTCGGAAAAAGAAGACGGCCTTCGGCTGATTTCCACCGGCTGAATTCGCCCGGCCTATTTATCCCGCCCCTGCTCTTCATGTTGTCTCTTTCATTCGAAGTATGTCACAGGTTCAGTGCTACACCTTGTTCTGCCAAGATGGACTCGGAGCTTAATGCAGTCCACCCGGAGGATCGACCTGCGTGTGGAGCATGTCGCAAGCGTAAGCTCCGGTGTTCACGCGACCTTCCAAAATGTAGCCACTGTCGAAGGATTGGTATGGTTGACTCGGCGTTCTGAATACAGAATAGAATATGCGGTTCCCGGATCGACTGGCTGAAATCTGTTTTTAGGAACGAACTGTACCTATGAGGAGGATCGTAAAAAGCCTGGTATCAAGACTGGCGCCGTGGAGGACTTGAGGAGACGTGTCGGTTAGTATAATCTCATCGCATCCGCTCTACAGGAATAGTGATGAGGCGTTGATTCGAGAGGAAGATGCCCTTGAGGACACTATTCTCCAACAGGGTAGAGAAAAAGTCAATGAGACGCGCCATGGAAGTTCAAATGATCCACAATCTCTAGCCACTGTATTGTGTGAGGGGCTTGGAACACTACTTGAAAGACTACAGTCCAGTTCTGCGCACCAAAGATCGTGGCCTGAACCAATCAACGATCCTTTGGAAGAAGATATTCACTGCGTAAATAAATCATCAGTACGTTCTCCAGTTTTGGCCTCATCAAATAAACGCAGGAGAGGGAATGATAGACAAGTTATCGAACCGGATGATTTTACAGACAACGCTTCCACATTGCCACCACCCAAGGTCATGGAGGCTGTTGTTAATCTCTTCTTTGATCTGGTTCAGCCGTGGATTCCGATATTCCATGAGAGAAGATTTCGCCAGCGACTGAAAAGCCCAGAAGATCGGCCAGCCTTGGAGGTTGTTCTTCATGCAATGGTCGTTGCATTACTGAAACATGTCTACCCTCGAGAGCTCATTGAAAACTTGGGTGATATAGACACGATTTGTGAGCGATCACGGAAAATTGCTGTGTTGACTGCGATGGATGCTCTTTATGTTGAAAATCTCCAAGCTCTTATCATTATCTGCTTCGAAGATGTAAGTGATATCAAAGGTATCCAATCAATAATGACAGATTTCTAATGTTTTTTAGATTGGTTCCGGCAGACTCTCCCGTGCATGGCCTATCGTTGGCTCATTGACGAGAACAGTGGAGTATTTACAGCTGAGTGTCGAATCAGAAGGCCATGATCAAGGTCCAATGTTGCAACCTCGACCCTCTCTTCCTCAAGCCAGGGATTGGGTCGAAGAGGAGGAGAGGCGACGTGTATTTTGGACTATCTTTATCCTAGACAGGTCAGACTGCGCCTTGATTTTTCCAACATATGAACGAAATATTGACAAATTAAAGATTTTGTTCCGTTACAACAGGGTATGTCGAAGATCTGACAAGATGATTGAAAAAAAGACTGATAGCCTTGGGTAGATGGAATACCAGCCTAACGTCAAATGATGTCCATCGGCGCCTTCCTGCGGATGGGGGCTTATGGCATAATGAAGAAGCAGTCATTACACCATTCTTTGGAATCTGGGATCGTTCTGCAGGGAAAATCGGAAGACTGATTGCTTTTCTCCCCACCGACTATAATTCCACAGAGTCTTCGAGCAGCGAATTCCCTTCAACACAGGGAAACAGTTGTATTCCGACAAAATTGAATGAAAAGGTTGATATGTCAACCGTCGGAGCTTTTGCTTATAGAGTTGAAGCCACCGAGTCATTGAGCAGGGTAACTACTTTTTTTCTGCAGCAAAAGATAAACTATCGCGACCGACAAGAAATGGGTAGCTGGCTCATGCGATTCAAGGAGCTAGATTTACGCTTGGTCAGGTAAGTATACCATTCAAATTCTTCTATATTACCTCTTGGTATATTTTGGTCTAACATTAACTTCAATAAGCTGGAAGATGTTCCTGCCGCAAAAATGGAAGGATTCCAATATATCTCGCCAGCCAGCTGTAGTGACGATGGACCCAAATCTGACGCTCGCACATATCACCCACAATACATCCATGATTCTACTTCACCAAAGAATTGCATATCCTCCTTTAGAATGGCTGGAAGTTGTCAAGTTACCGATTTTGTCAAGTGCAGAGACGTGCGAATCTGCCGCCAGTGAGACTGCCAACATAACCCAGAAATTTCTGGACAACTCGCACCCGCAAAGCATTGTAGACAACCAGTTTGCGTTTTGCGTTTTTGTTAGCGCAAGAGTTCTTTTAGGTTTGCTCATTATCTACCAAGTTCTAGTATACGTTGAGAGAGTTGCTGATTCGTCGGTATTATCTCTAGTACACTGGCGCTACTACAAGACACAGGACCTTCCTTCAGATTATCACACGCTCATGAAGTTTCTTGACATCATGTCAACTCGATGGGCAACTCCGAATCGTGATAGAAATACTTATCAGAAAAACTCTGCAGCCAAGTATTTCAGCCAGCTCCAAGAAATATATGAGAAATGCCAGAATGATGAAACATTTATACTCGATGTGCTAGGCTATTCGAATGAAATTGAATGGACTGGCCCTCCTCCAAATCATAAGAGAGATAATCATCAAACATCGGCATCCCACGACGAGGAGACTTCGAATACAACCGATGCTACTTCAGTATCCTCATCTGACTCTCAACTAAGCCTTACTTCTCTTCAACATGCCACAAATATGACGACTTACAGTGTCGACGGTTCCACGGCCGGCTTACACCACAGCCCTCACTCCCACACTCATGGTAGAAGAGAACCAAACATCTTCGGTCAAACGGTTGACGTTAATCCTGAAATCGGGCAACATCATACGATATCAGTTAATTCTGTACCCACCAATTTGAATTATAATACGGGAAGCCCGGATGAATTGACTGCGGTCACTTCAATTTTGCTGGACCAGCAATATTCAGAAATGGACAGAATCATCAGTTTAAATAACGCATATTTTGCGTCTGACGTCGCTTATATTCGGTAAAGAGTATGGAAACGGGGAATAACTTTGTATCTTGACCGAAATTATTCTCTATAATTTCTCCTGGTCTTGAATTTTATGAGTGACGTCGGCCACCAAATGTTACCCCATGCAGCCCTAAACCAAGTTCATTCTGAGTAATTGGTTCCCAAATTCTAGAAGATAGTAGTCAGCATATACCAGCCCATGATCACAGTAACGATCATGATCCTGGGAATTATGATTGGCCGTTGCGTTCTTCAAGATGGAGTCAAATCGCTGCCCAGGTACAACGTCTTCAACGAGAGGTTTGTTTGCTCCATGCGAAGCTGCAATAAAATGTGCTCGCTCTCGTGATAAAGATAATTCTATGGTATCGAAAACTATTCTTTTCGAAATAACCTGATAACGCTCTGCTAAAGCCGTGTCTCCCAGAGTAGCCAAGGATTGTGACAGTAGCAGTAGACCATTGGCAGCAATGACACCAGCTGACGAGTCTCGTAAGGGATTTGTTATATCATCAATTGGAGCATCAAAATCCCACAAGGGCACGTGGCGTCCAATTGTTCTCTGGGGATCAAGCCCATTGTTGACCGCGGACTGTTCCACACAGGGGGGTGCAGTCTCAAGTCTAAACAGAAAATATTCAGCTAATCCACAGGCAGCAGCCAGAAACTCTTTTTTCTTGGTCCAATTGTATGTCTGAGCGAAGCCCATAATTCCCCAGGCCTGACCACGCGCCCAGGTGGAGTCGACCCGATATCCTTGCGCCGTGCGGTGTTGCTTGATGGCTCCAGTGCGAGGGTCAAAGTTAACAACATGAAAAGTGGAGTACAGCGGATACTGGAAGTATTTGCTGCTACTGGGCGAGGTAGGCTCTGGCCTTAGAAGCGATTTTAAGAGGGTATGCGCGTGTGTGGTGGCGATCTCTGCAAGGCTCGGGTCTGCGAGATGCTTGGAGGCATAGTAAAGCAAGTCCAAATTCATCATACTGTCGATAATCACTAAACAATCATCCTCCAGGCTTGTAATGGAAACATCTGCTTGTTGGAGAGCATCCCAGCTACGGATGACCCCAGCCTGAGGCACATACCGACTGGCTAAGCTACGAGCCGCAGTCAGAACGGCATTCAGGCTGTTCTCATTCCCGGTCAACTCCCAGTCTTTGCGAAGTGAAGGCTGAATGATGAAGCCCATATCATGGGTGTCTGTGCGTGACATCATTGCCTGAACTGGGCTGGTCCACTTGCCGCAAAGTTCGGATAGTTGGTGTCGGAGTGACGAGCTCAAGACAGGCATTGTCGAGGTTTCATGACCAAGGTAGGGAAATGCCCCCGGATATTTAACAGCCCGCTCTCTGAGCAGATAAAGAATCCCAGGGAAGAATCCACAAGTCCAAAAGTCAGCATCTCGTAAGAAGTACTTTCCGGCTCCGTCGCCATATTGTGGCACAAATTCCGGATAGACTGTCGGGGGATCCTAGAATGAGAAAAAATGAGTCAAAATAAACTATAATCGACACACTCATGGGTTTCCAAGGTATTTCATACATTGTTTCCTAGTGCTTCCACCGCCACTCTGAGCATTTTAGCTGAAATGTTTTCGGAAAACAGCTCGAGTAGTGTCTGCTGCATTCTGTGCCACTCATCTGGTGGAATTGAAGAAGAAATCATGCCTGTAGATGGGACGTCGGGTACAGTTGTATCACTTTGGAAAGAATCGCACTGGTCGTCTTCTGATCCCGCTCTGGATTCTTCAGAGGCCGAGGTAGTACTGGAGGGATTCATGAGGCGTAGCAAGAAGATTCGAATTTTTTTGTGGATTTAATTTTGTTTGGCTTCATGGATGAAAGGAAAATTCTAACCAAACGAACGAGTCTCATTCTGTTGCGATTAAAAATGTCTCCTATGAATTTATTCTGCATAGTTTTGCGCCCAGCAACGCCCATTGCCGCGGGCGGCGGGCGATCTCGCTCCGGGCTCATTCCCCCGCTCGCCGCGCTCGGTTGCCGGCCGTAGAACTGGTCCGCTGGAGTCTCATTTGTGGCTGGATTTAACCGATGAGGAACAAGAGGATGGCCATAGGCCTAACCACCATACCTAATCCGTACGACAGGAGCGCCATCCCCAGATTTACGAGTTACGGTTGGTTGACGGCATCGTGTCAACCCCAGAGGATGCGGCGAGTCAGGTACCCCCCTATTGGCAGCAGTCCGGGGTAATTGCACTATAAGACCAACCGACTGGACCTCATATCTCTTCATGTGAGCTGTGAAATATGAACCTAGCCTCACTCTTGAGTTGCGGTATCCTACGATCTTGGACATAATGCTCACCCATTCCGATAATTTCGAGGGGCTTGTGCTGAAAGATGTGGTTCCCAAGGATCGCAAGCCACTATGGAAGGATGGGACTCTCCTCAAGCTGAATGTTTTGCTACTGTGTGCCTTGCTCACTCAGATTACCTCTGGGTATGACAGTAGCATGTTAAATGGAATGCAGTCACTCCCGCAGTGGCAAAAATACTTCGGTTCCCCAAAAGGTGCTCGACTTGGCGCAATGACTTTCGGTCCAAGCGGAGGAACCCTCATTTCGGTTCTGGTCTCTTCTCAGCTATGTGAGAAGTTCGGTCGTCGCTATCCCATCTGCGGAGGGTCTATCATTATCATTATTGGGTCCATCGTACAAACAGCAGCTAAGAACTATGGCATGTTTGTGGCCTCTCGCTTCTTGGTTGGGTTTGGACTGGGTATTGTGGCTACTGCAGCACCGCCTCTTCTTTCTGAGGTAGCCTATCCAACGCATCGAGGCATTCTTGTGTCATTTTACTTGTGTACGTGGTCACTCGGCTCGTTGATTGCAAGCTGGGTTACGTATGGCACCTTCAAAATGACAGACTCGTCCTGGAGCTGGCGCATCCCCAGTGTCCTGCAATGTTTCTTCTCTCTCATTCAAGTTGTTTTCAGCCTGTTTGCTCCAGAGTCACCCAGGTGGCTCATATATCAGGGACGCCGAAAGGAAGCGCTCGATATTCTTACCAAATTCCACGGTTACGGTGACCCGAACTCGCGTCTTGTGCGTTTCGAAATGGCCGAGATTACGGCCACACTGGAGATGGAGAAGGTGCAGAAACTTTCTCGCTGGACTGAGTGGACTGCCACTTCAGGCAATCGTCATCGTCTTTTCCTCGCTCTTTATATACCCGCGATGCTCCAGTGGTCTGGGAATGGGCTCACCTCTTATTATCTGACCAAAGTTCTCAATACCATCAACATCACTGATTCTAGAACTCAATTGATCATCAACGGATGTCTCTCCATCTGGAGCTTCCTGACTGCCACCGTATTCGCCACATTAGTCGATCGTGCTGGTCGAAGGCGCCTCTTTCTGTGCGGCATGGGAGGCATGGGAATTTCCTATATCTTGTGGACTATTTGTTCAGCCCTCAATGAGGAGCGCGACTTTAAGGATAAAGGCTTTGCTGCGGCTGTACTCTTGATGATCTTCATCTTCAGTGCATGCTACCATATGTGTTCACCTATCGCGCCAACTTATATAATGGAGGTTGTGCAGTATTCGCTACGTGCCAAGGCATCCATGATGTACCAACTGACAGGCAACTTGGCTGGCCTCTACAACAGCTTTGCCAATGCCGTCGCCATGGATGCCATTTCATGGCGATATTATATCGTCTGGTGTTGTGTGATCGGAGTACACTTTACCTTAATATATTTCTTCTTTCCCGAGACCAAGGGAAAAGGCCTGGAGGAGGTTGCAGAAATTTTCGATGGACCTGATGCCCTAGCAGGTATCAATGCCATGAAAAGCATGGGACTGGATGTCAACGCAGATAAGGCCGTTGCGATTAGCTCTGGGGTAGAAACTGAGTCAGGTGCAGGAAAGACTGGGCCAATCCACGTTGAGCGAGTTTGAAGAGCTTTCAATATACTGCGAAAGGGGTCAATGATTTAAATAAAGAGCTTTATTAAATTTCAGACCTTGTATTTTAAAATAAAGGCGGAGTAAGACGTGAAAACTTATGCGGAAGAATGATTCTGACAAGGGATGCATCTCTCCACCGCAAGAAAGCTGTATATATCACAGTTCTCGTAATATCACTTTATAGATATATTTTTCGCCGGTCAATAGCCACACGCGATCATCTCCGCGCTGTGGCCCGCGCTCTAAATTGAATATGACATCATCCGGTGTGTTGATCTTTCCCAGAAGAGTCCCAGACTCACGATATCTACTCCTCCCAAGATGGCAAACATCAAGTACCCATTTTGAGCTACTTGAAGACCATCAGGCCAGCCCCCTTCGGTTTGACATATGAGACGTGGGTTATTCAGAATAGAGCCTTGTACATCGAAGGCCTAAACGTTTCTCAAGCTCCCACTGTGATGGCTCAAAGGCCGCCCCGAGGTAGTGCTTGAATCTGCAACGCACAGGATTGACCCGCTGGGAGAGAAACAAAAACCATTTGGTGTTGTCACAACGGAGTTAGAGGCAAAATTCAGTGCCTTGGGCTTTGTGTTGAAGAAGTATATTCCCACTGGAATTTCTGGCGGCTGGACATCTTGAAACTGTTGGTACCATCCATACGGAGGGTCTGTAAACCAAATATTAGAGATGCCATCAAATACCAGATCATTAGGACTATTTAGATGGCGACCGCGAAGATTGTTCACAATGAGCCTCGCAGTACCATCTTTCGGATCAAGAGAATATATGCCTCGTGCAGGGCCGCCATTTGTGCTCAGGTATATTCGTCCATTATGGTATCGGGCACCGTTCACATTGGCTAGAGGTGGATTTGTTTAAATTTTGCTCACCTTCCAAAGTTGTCAGTTCTGTGATCTGCTCTGTTATCTCTACTCAGATATACTGTTGTACCTCGTGAGGTTCTACCTCAATTGCCCACAACCAACCGGTTACCGATGAATCAGAGTAAAAAAGCTCACTGGTTTCCAGAACATATGCAGGTGCCTCATGCACATGGGGAGACTCTCCCTCAAAGAACTGAATTTGCTCGAGCCTGGAATTGACATGATCATGTTGAAGAACAGCATATCCCAAGCAATAATTTCGGAGGACTTCATCTTCATAAAGGCATCTTGAAGAAGCGAATTGTCTGTCTGGATATCATAAAAAGGCGGTCCTTGATGGAAACTGTTAGTTTATAGCTATCCGTATCGTTCTGGCCGCAAACTGACTTATGATACTGTTTTCCCATTCCCCCGAAATGATGGCAAGATTGTCTCCGACAAAGGACATAGATGTATTCTCGAATCCAGGAATGAGGTTCAAGAATGTGTTTTCGGTTATAGGAACCGCCGCTCCATATGTTTTGGGTATCAAAGACTGTTGATTTGGAGTGTGAAGGACTCGGAGTAAAAGGGGAAAATACTGCTTTCGTCTCCAATCCACGATAACAGAGAGGCCGCAGTAAAATTCATTGCGGACTCGAGGTGGCAAATCTTTGTTCACAGTGTGCTTCTTGATTGGAGACGTTCGACACTTGAGCAAAGATCTAATGCTAAAAACCCAATAACTTTTCTATCCCGCAGTAAAGTGGTTACCTGCAACCCCACGAAATGGTTAAACGGGTAAACGTCGAATATTTTTGTGTGGAGAGTATTTACATAATGTCATATAGATCGAGAAACATTGTACTGCAGTACTACAGTTCACGCGTTTGAGCAAAATATAAATTTTAGTCAATATATAATCAAATTATTCGAGTTTAGGAAGCATGAAAGACTTTGGATACTTTAGGCCATAGATCTTGGTTTGTGGAGAAACCATCATTCTACAGTTATAGAAAAGCGGTACGATTTTACTTAAATGAATCACTGTGGAGAACTAGAGAAGCCACATGTCTGCGGGCTGGTGGGTGAAATTTTATAAAGCCAAAGAAAATGAATAAACAATGAACGTGAAATACATTTCTAGGCCTTCCAATGAATTTCGGTGCATTTCCTCCTTTTATTTGCTTAATCTTTGAATGTGTTTTGCCTCTCTCTAGCAAGATAACTCAAGGTGACTGGTCGATCTTTCATGAACTGCCGTACCACATCCCAGTCCTCTACAGATAAGACATCTTCACCCGGGAATTGTGTCGTAAATATCTCCGTAGGACGCGTCCGAGATGTGATTCCCTTTGGCCAGCAACGAAGGGTGAACTGGCTTTGCGGCACACGAGGTCTGGCGTTGGTGGGAGCAACCCGATCCGTACTTTTCGGCCCCATTTGGCTATCTTCCGTGGCCGAAAGCTGCTCTGTCTGCTGATTCTCAAGGATATCTGTGTTCTGGCGATGAGGGAAAAATTCATCGTTGTCGCGTGTCTCCCATACTTTTGTTTGCTTTGTAGTCTTTTCTTTGCTTCGTCTGGCTTGTTGCTTTGACAGATCTGAGGAGAGCTGATAGGAGACAGGTCGCAGAACCAACTTGTATGAACTCGACTCGCGTTTTCTCTTTGTCGAAGAGCAGGTGGATTTTTCGGATGGTTCCTGCTGTCCAGAATCTCCAAGGGGAGTGCGATTATAGCCATCAAGAACAGCTCGACTATATTCAAGCAACACACGTCGTCGATAGCTTTCACTGATTCCCTTCTTGGAAAGACCCAAATAGAACTGAAGGGTCTGGCCTTCTGGACACTCGTCATTCATGACGCAAGGTCTTGCAGCCATAAAGTGAGAATAAGCTGATTTTAGGTTGCCCTTCTCAAAATCGATGCGCCCAAGCCAGTAATGGCCCCGCGCGACAGAAATTTCTTCCTCCAAGCTCTGAGCAATCCTAAGGGCCTCGAGAGCCTCTTTTTCAGCCTGTTTAAAGTTTCTGTTCCCAAGATGTTCCATGACTGCGATGACTGCAAATGAAAATTTCAGTTGTTCTTGTTTTTCTTCCACTTCGGGAGCTCGTGTCTGGTGAGAGCGTATTATTTCCACGATTTCAGATTGGAGTTGTTTTGTTTCGAGGAGCTTCTTCTTGACTGATTTATGGTCATCCCAGCGATGTGTCTCGCTGTCGATCAAAGGGTCCATATTTGTCGAATCCTTCAGTTGATCTGAAGCTTCAAGAGGATCTTTTTCATCGGCCATTTTTCTTTTAGAAAGTGGTTAGGTTTCGGAGCTCAGATGACTAAAACTATGTGAGGTGTGCAGGTGAAGAGTATATTGGTCAAAGGTCTCCGTCAAGTTGAAGAGGAGTCATCACTATTTATTCCCCAAACTTTTTAAAATATTAGGCACACATGCTCAGGAGGCCTTTTGAACAAAGAAGGTGGAAATGTTGTTTTGCTTTGGTTGGGTGTTTCAGATGAAGCTGCAATCGGGCAGACAAAGGAGCGGTGTTTTCGGTGATGCCTTCTTTTGTTTAAAAACAAAAATATTAACCATGAGATAGGATTAATTATTTTTTTTTTCATTGGATATGATGATCATCATTATCTCACAGAGTGAAGTTACGTCATAGGTATGGTCTCCGATAAAACCCAATCTTGACTGGCAGACCAACCCAACCTGTTGGAACCTGTTGGGCAACGACTTACCCGACCCTTAGCCAATCACTATGAAACAAGAAATACTGACCATCAATGGGAAATACTACAGACTAACAATTTGATTGAGCTTCTTTATAGAATTGAATTGACTTTTAATGTCATCTACTATCCAGTTGTAGATAAACATTGAACTTCGTTTTCTCTCTATTCTTGTATTCAACCATACCCAACGCCATCTAAAAAAAGATAAGATAGAAAGAAGGAGAAGAAGAGCAAAAGTTCTTGTTAAATCAAGAGAGTATAATTGATTTTCCCGATACGTTGATACTAGTTGTTAGGACCTCTAAATTTTCCAAGTAACAGAAGATTTCTGTTACATGGAACAGCAAAGAGTAAAGCCAGGAAGTTCAGCAAGCGTCCAAATATTCAGTAGTCTCACCTTGATCGTGGCCTAGGATTGGGTGGACAGAGGCAGCGCTGGATGCAGTATCTCCAGACGCTACCTTTCGCGTGAAGCACTCAATCGCTCTCTTTTGGTACTTTCGGGCCTTGTAATGGTATCCTGGAGTGTTGAGAGCCCGGGACAGAGACCAGTAAGCTTTAGAATATTCCTCTAGTGCCATCAAATTTCTCCCTTGAATGGAGTATGCGGCTCCAACAACATCCCTACATTCTAGAAAATAAGGTGCCGAGTGTTGATGCGCAAGTATTCGAAATAGACGCTTCAAATGAGCGTTAGAATTTTTGTATTCACCGATCGCGTGCAGTGTTGCTGCAATGAAGACTCGACAGAGCATCTCGCCGGAGAAAGATAAGAATGGGTTAGAGGAAATGATATCTCCAGCGCATTGAAGCGCAGCATCTGGATCACCAGACCGCCAGAGATGTTCAGCGGTATAGAGAGGCTTGATGCCGTGGTCTGAGCACAGCCATAGGTCATAGACCCAGGTACCAATAGTTGACTTGGGACTTCGATGGATACTGCTTACAACTGAGTCTGAGCCAGACATATCCTGATCCCGTTCAACGTTTGCAAGCATAGACTCCCCAAGCTGGGAGTAGGAATGGGCAAGAAGAAGATCATACTCCGCAAGCTGCGCATTCAGTTCGCTGATGGTCTCGGTGGCAGCCTGTAAATTCTTTTGAAGAGCCATATTGTCAGCTAACAGCTTTTGAACTTCCAAATTGATACCAGTCTCTTCATCCTTTGGGTATGCAAATTTCCTCTTCTTCTTGAGCAGGCATTGCAGGAAGCGGGGAGCCATTGTGGGGGGACGAATATTTGGATAACGGTTACGAAATGCTGAAAAGGACAGTAGTTGTGTAAATCGCTGAAGAGAAAGTAATAAGGGTATCCAAATGGGTGAGCATCTCATATATTGGAACTATGGAGCCTCTATGTTATACTCGTTCAGTGCCACGTCTCTTTGTCTCTTTGTTCAAGTCCAGGGATATGCTATAACCTGGATAAAGGATTGTTTCCTCAATTGCAGTGTGCGTCTATATTGCCTCCAGGAGCATAATGATCTTTGTCGTTGATGCGGAACAGTAGAGAATCATGGAGCAGGGTGGTGATCTGTGGCTCTGATTTGCCTAATTCCGGAGCATAAGGCCCATAAGGCCACAAGCAAACCCAGCAAGGATCGTGGAAACTGGTGGAAGGCGCCGGTATGATATTATTCATCATACAGCAAAAATTGCGGCTGACAAACTGGTTTCTGCTGGTCTGAGCATTAGGTTTAATCTACAGTGGCTGTTGCCAGGCTACAATGTGGATTATCAGGATTAGTTCGTGTCTTCAGAGCATGCAAAAGGAGCAAAATCCAATGCAAACATGCTTTGCGACCAACCAAATCGCGCTATGACCTCCGGCGCACCCAGACCACTTTCCTCTCCACACCCGCGACCGGCACACCCGGTTGTAATGCAAACACTAAGTGGGATTCACGACGTCAGAGGACAGAGCTCGGCTGAGTCACAGAAGTTGGTCCCGTCTGCTAAGTTGGATCTGCGCTGTGAATGGACCGATCTAGGATCTAGACTTGCGGGGTTCCCAGTGCAAACATGTTCTACAAGCCAAACGCGGGTCTTACAGGGCTTACGGGCCAATCTTGGTCCGCCGCCATAATGAAGAGCTTGCAAAAGTACTCCCTGATGCCGTTCAAAATGATGGGCAGTAACCTGCTTCCCCCCTCGTGTAGCCTCCCCCTCAACCCTACTGGCCGTGACTCGGTGTCTTGCATTTTACCTGGGCCGCCCCTTCCTCCGGCTCTATGATGATTCGTCATAGAGTTTAGCTCTAAGAAAGCCGTGTCCGAGGTAGAGCTCTCCAGTATTTGATAAACCCCTGGCATTTCCCCGAACTTCCTGGTCATTTCTTTTAAACTGTTTGCCCTGGCCGTTCTTGCCTGTTCTCCGGAGCTCCTCTTTTCTTCCACCTCCCGGGAGCCGTGTCGGTCTAAAATTCACTCTCTCGCCTTGCATCACCATCTAAACCTTACAAAAGATATCATGTCTCCCACAGCACTAAGAAACGATGCGGTCAGCATTGTCGACATTCGTCAAGATGATATAGACTTCTCTCTTGCGGATGACATCTACCAAAACCTTGAGCCGAGCGATGGCACGCCTCGCTCGTTCCCAACCCTGCTGCTATACGACGCCCAAGGACTCAAGCTGTTTGAGAAGATTACCTACCTAGACGAATACTATCTTACAAACGCCGAGATTGAGGTCTTGACAGCACATGCCAAGAGGATCGTGGAGCGCATTCCGGAGGATGCACAATTAGTGGAGCTTGGTAGTGGGTCTGTTGTCCTTACAACTCCAGATCCGATGGCCGCGACAACTCTCGTGATCCAGTGAATTTTACTTTACATTCGCATCATTCTGACAACTTTCCTCTCTAGTAATCTTCGCAAGATCGAGATTCTGCTGCGGGAGTGTGAGCGAGCAGAGAAGCGAGTGGACTATTATGCCCTGGATTTATCCTTGGTGGAACTGCGGCGAACATTTTCTGAAATCTCTCCCCAGAGCTTTACGTATGTTGGTTTTCATGGCCTCCATGGCACTTATGACGATGCTCTTGCGTGGTTGCAGAATCCGGAAAATCGCACAACCCCAACAGTGGTCATGTCTATGGGCTCGTCCATCGGGAACTTTGATCGCTCTGGGGCTGCAGAATTCCTTGGCAGCTTTTCCAGAGTTCTCGGGCCATCTGACATGCTTTTGATTGGACTGGATGCTTGTAAGGATCCGGCGAAAGTTTACAAGGCTTACAATGACTCCCAAGGCACAACTTTGCAGTTCTATAAAAATGGATTAGCCCATGCAAACGCCGTCCTTGGGTTCGAAGCATTCAAGCCAGACGTATGGGAAGTTCTCACCGACTATGACATTCATGAAGGACGACATCAGGCATGCTATTCACCAAAGGTTGATGTAATCATTGAAGATATTACAATTCCCAGGGGCGAACGGCTCGTTTTTGAAGAAGCTTTCAAATACGACCAAGATGAGCGAGATGCCTTGTTCCGTGGTGCTCGGTTGATTCCTCAAGCAGAATTTGGAAATTCAACTAATGACTACCGTAAGTTGCGTGAAGCAACTCTCCATTCTTCATCCCACGCTTTAGGTCTCCACTACATTGAGGCAGTCTTATGGTCGAGTACCAGAACTGCTCACATTGACCAAATTTGCTCTTAGATGTTCATCTCCTTTCAACTGCTGCACTACATATACCTACACAGCCATCTCAGTATGCGGCTCATCCCGTTCCAAGCCTGAATGACTTTCAGTCTCTTTGGACGGCATGGGATATTGTAACTAAGACTATGATCCCCCGAGAAGAACTTCTCTCGAAACCGATCAAGCTTCGCAATGCATTAATATTTTACCTTGGTCATATCCCAACATTCTTCGGTAAGCCGAACCTTCGATTATCAAGAAACTCGGATGATAATTTTTCTTATCAACTAGATATTCACCTGACTCGAGCTTTGCGTGGCAAGCCCACTGATCCAAAGTACTACCAGCAGATCTTTGAGCGGGGCATCGACCCCGACGTGGAAGATCCGGAACAGTGCCATGCCCACAGCGAAATACCCGATGAATGGCCTCCTTTAGATGAAATCTCAGACTACCAAAATCGGGTTCGAAATAGAGCGCGGTCTATTTTGCAAAGCAATGAAGCCTTCGAAGATCGCTGTCTTGGTGAAGCCCTTTGGATAGGGTATGAGCATGAAGCAATGCATCTAGAGACCTTTCTCTATATGCTGCTTCAAAGCGAAAAAGCTCTTCCGCCCGTTGGCATCGACATTCCTGATTTCCTAAAGATAGCCCGAGACGCAAAGAGAAACGAGAAGCCAAATACATGGTTTCATATTCCGAAGCAGACCTTCACTGTCGGCCTGGATGACTCCAAGGATGAGAATATGCCCGCATATTCTTTTGGGTGGGACAACGAAAAGCCTAAGAGAGCTGTTGAGGTTCATGATTTTGAAGCTCAAGCCCGCCCTATTACCAATGGCGAATATGCCAAATATCTACAGGCAAACCGCCTGCAGACATGGCCAGCTTCCTGGACTCGGGTTCACCCAGATGACGAATATCCGATTGCCAAGGGCATCACTCAGTTAGGTGCAGGCGTAACCGAGGATTTCGTGGAAAAATTTGCAGTGCGAACAGTCTTCGGTCCATTGCCTCTCGACCTGGCACAAGATTGGCCACTGATCGCTTCCTACGATGAGCTGGCGGACTATGCCAAATGGATGAAATGCAGGCTCCCCACGTACGAGGAGGTCAGGAGCATCTATTTACACGCAGATAAGCTAAAAGATGATCGCGCCGGGTGTTTCACGAATGGGCATCGGTTTGTGTTCCATTCTATGCACAATGAATCATGTACCGCACCTAACAGAAATATAGTGACCATCTCAACGGGACCTCCAACGGCGTCAAATGCTCGACAAGCCGAGAGCGCAAATCCCATATTGACGAACATTCTGTAGGTTTCCAGCATTTAATCGGCTCAAATATTGGTTTTAAACACTGGCATCCGGTCCCTGTCACTCCTCATGGCGATCGATTAGCTGGTCAAGGAGAGCTGGGTGGAGTTTGGGAATGGACCAGCACCCCTTTGAGGCCACATGAGGGCTTCGAAGCAATGGAAATTTACCCAGGATATACTGGTAGGTTCCATGAATAATATATTCTGGGCCATGAGGTACTAATTGTCATACTTAGCGGACTTCTTCGACGGAAAGCATAACATCATCCAGGGCGGTTCGTGGGCGACCTTTCCCCGGATTGCGGGGCGCACCACATTGTAAGCTTATCATCCCTTTGAACACATAATAGAACCTCACTAACTTGATCAGTATCAACTGGTACCAGCACAACTACTTGTACGCCTGGGCAGGGGCTCGCTTGGTGAGGGATCTGTCTGTGTAGAACATTCTTTGGCTCTGGATTGCAATGACTTCATCGATGTGGGGTAACGTGACTGGGGCTCATTTTCTCCAACTGTGAACTTGTAATACCTCCCAACTTTCATTAAATCCATTTTATTCAACTACCATGTCCCTCGAAACCATTACCACAGTTTCTCCGACCACCAATGAACCTGTCATTACCCGTACAGGGGTTTCGTCAGAGAACTTGAGAGAAATTCCCGAAGCCGCCCAGGCAGCTTATCGATCCTTCTCACAGACAACCACCTTAGATCAACGGAAGAAAATCGTGGAGAAAGCACTTGATATTTTGGAAAGGAAAAAGGATGAGCTGGCGCGTGAGATCACAGAGCAAATGGGTCGGCCCATTGCTTATACTGGCGTCGAGGTCTCTACTGCCATCAAGCGCAGCCGCTACTTGATCCGTGTCAGTGATTCAGTGCTGGGTCAAGAAGGCATTGTACAGGGAGAGGAAGAAAAAGGATTCCGGCGATACATCAAGCGACAGCCTGTTGGAGTTGTTCTCGTCATCTTCCCATGGAATGTGAGTTGTTCTATCGTCTGCCACAGCAGTTCGCAGGACGCTGATATAAGTTTCTCTATTTGTTCTAGTATCCCTACCTTACATTGGTTAATAGTTTGATTCCCGCTATACTTTCTGGCAACGCCGTCATTTTGAAACCCTCGCCTCAAACCCCGACCATTGTCGAACATATAGCCTCCGCATTCGCTGAGAGCGGGCTTCCCAATAACGTCCTGCAATATCTTCACTGCGGTTCATTCACATTGCTGGAAGCATTGGTGCGATCGCCGCAAGTGAACCACATTTGCTTCACTGGGTCGGTCGCTGGTGGCTTGGCTGTACAGAAAGCGGCTTCAGACCGAGTTATCAATGTTGGCTTGGAGCTGGGTGGCAAGGACCCAGCTTATGTACGAGAAGATGTGGATCTGGCTTGGGTGGCGGAAGAGATCATTGATGGTGCTATTTTCAATAGTGGCCAGAGTTGTTGCGCGATTGAGCGGGTCTACGTACATGAGAAAGTCTACGATGGGTTTGTGGAAGAGGCTAAGAAGGTGCTGAGCAAGTACTGCGTGGGCGATCCCTTGGATGAGAAGACCCAGATTGGTCCCGTTATTTCCAAGCGCGCGAAAGACACAATCTTGGAGCAAATTGCAGATGCAGTGAAGAAGAGTGCCAGGGACGAGACCCCTGCCAATGAGACTTTCACCAACTTCCCGCCTAATGGGAATTATGTGAAGCCTACCCTCCTCACAGGAGTCAACCACGAGATGGTTGTGATGACCGAAGAGACCTTTGGACCTGTTATTCCTGTGATGAAGGTATCAAGTGACAAGGAGGCTGTCCGTTTGATGAATGACAGTGAATTTGGCCTTACAGCCAGTATCTGGAGCAAGGACATTCCAACGGCGGAGAAGCTTGTCGAGAAAGTCGAAGCTGGAACTGTTTTCGTGAACCGTTCTGACTATCCGAGCCCTGTAAGTGCATTATAATTCATGGCGGGAGCTGATTCGATTCAACTCGAATTTTATTAGAGAGGAAGCAGCTTACTGACCCCGAGTCTTTAGGACCTTGCCTGGACTGGTTGGAAAAACTCAGGTCGTGGTGTTACATTAAGTCGATTCGGATTCGAGCAGTTTGTCAAACTGAAGAGTCATCATATCAAGGATTACCCGAAATGAATTATTGTTGGTATTCATGGAGTGGAACGGTATATGTCAACAAATATGTTTGTTTCTCATAGATAAGCTAGTCAAGAACTCCAATGCAGTGAAACTTGACAATCCAAAAACGTGAACACGCTCTCACCTGTGCACCGTTGCCAGCGAATGGTAAAGTCAGACTTATGAGATGCTGAAAAATGAGCCACCAAAGAGAGAGCTCATGGGCTATAGCCACAGCGGTACCGCCGGCATCATTGCAGAGGGATGAGTAACTGGAGGCTATTTAAATTGATCCTTAGTGGATCTCGTAGACGAGCCTGGAAGCCTGGGCAGGAATGGAGCTTCCAGAGCAAGGAACCTCTTCAAAGCAGCAACGCCTGGGATAAAGTGTGGAACTTTCCATGAACGGGGCGCCAGGAATGCGAGCCTGGCTCTGGAAATCACTTGCTCGGGATGAGCTGGGGGCCAGTCAGCATATCTGGAGGGCCTTGCATTACGAGGACCTTTCCCCACTACATACCAGCCACTGCCGTCCGATTTGAAATCGAAATGTGTTTTGTTCTTTCGCGGATGTTGGATTATAGCTCAGAAAGGCCGGAGACAACCAGTTGCCTTGGGCTGAGAGAACGCCGGTAGTGGCAAACTAAACCGAACGAACTATAGACAACTAACTTTTTGATGGCTCACCACCGCAATAGATGGACCCTTTCATTGACTTATGACGATGGAATTTGCTTCTTCCTCTTTGTCTAGCCAATTTTCGATCATGGCCCCATTGCTTGATGCTTTGTCTTAGCCCCAGCTTTACACAAACTCGTACAGGGTCACTTTCGAAACGATTCTACATATTCTCGTAAGAGCCCATTTCGGTTCCCCGAGAGCTGTTACCCTGGGCGCCGATTTTCGCTTATCTTTCGGAATGTGTACCTGCGTTAAGCCTGTGCATCGGAGCCGACCGAGTGGTTTTTGTGATGTGTTGTTCGATGCGGCATTGCTCCGACGCAAGGGAGGTTTAGAAAAAATACGGTCAGCCACCCAAAGTTTCGTCTTCCGCAAGGACTAGGTTTTTTCAAACTTTTGGCTTTTGATTTCATTCAATGTGGTGATGTTGACTATTAATGCTTGAAAGTCTAATGACGGGACAGTTCAATAATATGAGGTTGATGGGCAGTAAATACAGAGCAATAAGAATACGAGATTGGTATCTCGACCGAACTAGGGGAGCCAGTGGAACCTCAATGCTTACGTCGTATAAACAAAGAAAAATATTAGTTGGCGCCCTCGGAAGCCTCTTCGTTCATTTCGTCCCATGAGTCTATACAGTATTTACACGGTAGATGCTTAGGTCTGGGCCTCTGTCTTGTAAACGAATGCTGTTCAGCCAATACTTCCTTGGTCAGTGGGCAATCATACGTTCCGACACACTGGCTATCTTTCTTATTTGGGTGGCATTAGCCTGTCTGATCATCCCTGTCAGTGACGAATTCATGATTGATCGACATTGACTGACCCAGGACCCAGGGCGATTCGCGATCAACTGCACATTCAGAAAAATTGTCATTGCTGTACGTGCCGGAGGGGATAAAGGACTACTCTCAAGACCCTAGCTACCCCCGATAGAGCAAGAAATGGCTCCCTAGGCAGCCTGTGAAGAAGCGATGAGGAATCAAAAAGTAAAATTCCCGGCTAATCGGCAGTTCCATGATTGGGTTGTTTTTTCTCTTTTCAATTTTCTCCCCTTATGATCAAACACGTACCCGAGCAAACGGCGGGTCGATGTCGTCCCGATCAAAATGCTCTGCATGAGGCCGAAAACCTTAAAACAAATTGACATGGGGAGGCCCCTTGGGTCCAGAGTCAGGAATGGAGTATGGTTGCGTTTCTCTAGGACACGAGGCACGGCTTGGAAAAGGCTCCCTTTTACCTGTTTGGGCGAGCTTGCTCCACTCCTACTGGAGGGCCTCCCATGCACGGATTGACAGCGCATTTTCTTCCCTGCAGACTACAGGAAATGAATGATTTCGCTGCTTGCCTTCCATAACGAAGGTCCGTTTTCTCCTGTCTTCGAAGTGCATGATTTCGCAGAGCAGGAGTCGTGCTCCCGGCACTCGAGGGAACCGTGGCAGTAGGACGCGGATCCAAGCGCATCTCCCGGATCTCACCTGCATGATGCGTACCGGAATAGTAATAAAAGAAAAGGCTCCGATCAGTCGGGTCGGTTCCCTTAATCGTAGCCAATCTGATGCCGTTCACGTTGAGGGAACTGCCCACCTGGGCAAAAGCCCAGCCCGCAGCTGCCGCCAGGGAGAAGACGGCCTGTCGGGTTGGAATGTGTCACAGACCTATCAAAGGGATTTTCACAGGTGAATCCTGCCGAGCCTGTCACTGAAGAGGCCCTGGCTCATGCCACAGGAGTGGTTGGCTGTCGCCCAGTTCAACCTGCATGGGCAGGACCGTGGAGCTTTTCGTCCTTGACAAGCCGTAGTATGGATGTGCATACTGCATGAAATACCCTGAAATACGGCTCTCGACACGCCATATTTTCTATATCTACCCTGGCCCGGCCTCGTCTTCTCTCTCTTTTTCAAACCAGCGCATCAATGACATAAAGCGTCTGCGACTTTTCATCTCTTCTTTTGTTTCCATTTTGCGCGCCCATTGCCAACAGTCTCTCGTTTCACATCTTGTCTCTCGTTGTATAGCATTTGTTTCATCTGCCAGGAGCGTTGCCGTTTTCACTGTTCATTGTTCGGCGACCAGACAATACAACTTGTCTTTGTACACGCCGCATCGTCGAATTTTCACTGACGAAGTCATTGATTTTCCGAATCTTTATATAAAGTCGAGAGGGTTCCATGTTCGATCCACAGACTACCAAATAACCATTTCTATCACCATGGAGTGTTTCCGCCAAATTTTCCGATGCATCAAGGCACCATTCACTCGCGACCAGGGGCGTATCATTGAAATTGTGAGTAAGGGTGACTCCAGCTGGACGTGACTCAATCCACAGATCCAAAATACTAATAACACTGTCGTGCGCAGGGTCCCCCAACAAATTTCCGAAAGGAAGAACTGCCTGCATGCTTCTCAGATGCCGAGTCAGTCCTCTCGCCTAATCAAAACCCAACCGAGCGCCCAAATCTGACCATCCAGCCACAGCACGTTGACGTCCCAGGACAGCCACGCGGTAACAATGGAGAAGAACGAAGCCACGATCGAGACGGTGGAGCGCCAGCCGTCGACGAAGGAAAAGTTCCAAAATCATGTCAGAAAGATGAGCGTCAGACTGTCATATCCCGCCTCCGAGAACGCATGAAGTTACCTCCGTGGATCAAAGTGAAGCCAGCAGCCGACCTTGAAACAGAGATCGGGAGTGAGGAAGTCCTGTTCACCGTTGAGGAGGGAGAAAGACCTAAGAATCCCTAGTTTCGGCTCATTGTCTTGAAGTGGTCACGATTACGGTATGGAATTTGAGGGAACGCAAGGATTGGATAGTCACATCAAAAAAGTCGGGACGTCGTTATAACGCGATCTTTTGGACACCAAATTGTTGTTTCCAGGACCACGCTCTTGGGTATCATCTGAAGTGGGCTGGTCCTTTTTCTTGTCAGAGATAGAAGTGTTGGAACGCGTTGGTTCTGGAAGCTCATCAAGATCATCAAATAACATCTGAACTCTGGACTTGAAATCCTTCACTGGTCTAGGTATTGTCCGCGCCGGAACTGATTGCATTCTCTTTGTAGATTCTTGCACGTCGTGCTTATGGTTCATGATGTTTGCAACTGACGTATCCCGTCGGTTTGGCGTAGATTCTGAACGAGCTTGTGTTGCAATGACCGTCGAAGCCGCTCCATCGAGATCATCATCCTCATCTGACGTTGTCTCTCCATCATGCTCGACCCTTTGGGCTTCCATTGCTCTATATGGTGGGCTGGACGGAGGATTACCAGCCAGTCGGCCCCTGCCATGAGCAACACTAGGTGTTTGTCCGAATCCTGCCGCAGCTCTGGTATATGATTTTACTGCGTGGGCACCCACCAACGACCGAGACTTTCGGGGACTCATCATAAGACCATGAAGATGAGTTCCAGCCCATACATCATCCTCATCATCCTCGTCAATGTTCTCGCCAGGCTCTCGCTGCAACCCAAGTTGCGCGAGCCCGGTTTTTTGTCGGGTCGCAAGTGCCTCGGCCTCTTTTCTCCGAAGCAGCTCCTTTGGAACCTGCGTCCTTCCATCTATAGGCCTCTGGATTTCCTGTATCGCCGACGCGCTCTGGGCTTTAGCAGCCTTCTTTCGTCGAATGTACTCCGCATAATGTAAATGCTGCGTGAATGACTGCGCGACAGCATAGAACTCATCTTCGACCATTATCCAGGCATCATCATTGCCCAGGCCTTCAATCAAAAACCTGCCCAATGCCACATCAGCACCTCGCTAATCTTGTCTTTTTGTTCGCGTTACTTCGAAACGTACTCTTGCGCGGGGCAGGGTCGGGCTGGCGACGTAGGAGGCGTCTGAGCTGTAAATGATGAAAATATCAGTGACTATGAGCAAGAGATAAATCAGAGGTCATTTACTGACAAGATCTGAAGAAGTCTCGCCTGTCTGGCGACGCCGGGGGGTTTATGGGAGTTCGATTGTTATCTGGGGGGTGTTCTCGTTTGACGCGCTTGCGAGGCGTCGACTCGTGTTTTACGTGTCTCTCTATCTCATGATTCAGGAGCCACGGAAGTGTCCTCGGCATATTGCCGTGCTTGGTGAATTGCCCGGGGGTGTGCGAGATGGTTGTACGCGGATCAATTGAGGGTGGACATTTTGATCGGCACCGATAAGATGAGGTCACCTACCGCATCGAGCGAGTGCCTATTTGGGGTAAATGAGTAAACTTAAACCTCGGGGCTTCGTAAAACACATGATAAGAGTGATATATTTCAATTTATTCGGGTATCTGATCTGATCTGATTTAATATCAACCAATTTTCTTCGCACATAATACAGCAAAATGGAAAAAAATCCCTCAAAACGCCTTCCTGGGACAAGAGCCCAGGGACCGAGGATATGCCTGAAAACGCCGATGCAGCTGCCAGAAGGGAAACGCCGGTAATTTGTCCTCTATGAATCACAATTATGCCTCCCCAGGTCGTTTGCTGTTGCAGCTCACGATCTTCACCTTGTCTGCGGTGACTGAGGTCTGGTTATCAAGTTTGAAGGTCACGTCCTTGATCAGGAACGTCCAAACTTCATCGCAAAATCGGTAGGTATCAAGGTGACCCTAAAGAAAGGTAAAAAGAAGATATCAAGTTAGCCAGTCTGAACTCGGTCACGTAGAGAGATGTCCTCTGCCCCATCGTGGATAGGTTCCAGGGATGACTCCGGCGGAACGAGTGTACCTTGAACGTCAGTCTAGCTCGGACTTTGTCGGCCAGAACCTCGGTGACCACCTTATCAAATGTGGACAAAATCTTCATCGCCAGCTGAGGCTCGATGCGGCCGTCGTTGATCAGATCGTCAAGGGTATCCGTCAGGGACAGGCCAAGGCTAGTCATGTCCGAGTCAGCTCTGATCTCATTCTCGCTCAGTCGCCATATTGGCCATCATACCTGCTCCCCCGGTAAAGCTCATAGTAAGACTGCTGTGTAGCCATCGTGGGTTTATAGATGGGCCGCTGCAGGGAGACGTTGAAAAGGCAGAGTGAGTGTCCAGTGCTCAGTTGCCTGAAGTCGTGTATCGCGGGGACGATCTGGCACGTGATTACACGTGACTCCATGTGACAGTGGATATGCTTATCTTGAAACTACGTCAGATTCAGGCCAGTCAGTCGATATTCTATTACCTCGAATATACTTGTCTTGTGAACACCGATTCAAAATGCCGTTCGGACATCCCCGATTCTCGATTAAAACCGAGAGCACCTTTTGGAACAAATCTCATTTGTCCAGAGCTCGTCTATCGTCTCCACTCTCTTCCCCATCAACATCGAAAGGTCGAGTTTTGCTGTCACAATGCAAACTGATTTGCACGTCCAGGGCACATATATTGACTATACCAGCAGATCGAAATGGCCATAACGCAACCAGAAATAACGAAAGTACGAATGCTAAACTCGATGACTCTCAATTGGCTCATAACACCAAAATCAACCCGACCAAGCAGAAAACTGTCTCTCAGGCCGACGCAGAGCTTCGCGAACGCTTGGAGCAAATGTCAGGAGAAGGTGGCGCTGCAGGAATTGAATATGAGGACGGCAAGCCCAATGCCATGAAACGCGGGGTTCGAAACAATATGTTCCGGTTGATCTGAAAAGAATGGCCAACGATAAAACTTTTCCGACCATTCAGCCTAGGATAAAGAAGGCTCCCTAGCAGTCCTCGATATTTCTAATCAATGGCACTCTCCGAAGATTCAGTCTCGGGCTAAGTGTGCCAAGGCTATACCCTGCTGGAGTGGGGCTGCTTGATTCAGAGGCCTGGCGCGTTTTGTCTGCGTGGCCGAGAGATTCGCACATCCTTGCTTCCATGGATGTCCCTGCACCTTACTCCGAAGACACTGTCGAGCTCGACCACTCCAGGCAGCGATGCACCGCGAATCGAACAACATGCATCTCTGGGATAAAGATAGGCATAAAATTCTGCGCCTTCCCCGGAAGCATTCCATGTGTACCAGAAAGTGTGGCAGCATTCCTCATTACGCTGTTCTCACCTGGGCCGCGCAATCGACGCGACATCGACGATTGGATATCCTGGGCAGCCGTGCATGCGGATATCGGGCTGTGAATATCGATGTGATGGCGTGTTCTACGATGATCTCTTGACATGATCTTCAAGGGAGATCTCACTATGTGAGAGGAGAATCGCAATTTCACAGAAATTGCAACAAGATTCTCCTAGAAATGCTTATCGGCTCTACTACTGCAACGGGGACCACTGGGGACTTGTGGGACCGAATGCGAAATTTAATCTCGAGCGACCCAAATCCTCGCAGTGGATAAAAATAGATGAATTTGCAAACCGCAGAAAATGGTGGCAGGTCATGATTTGTAATTCTCTATAGGCCGTGTAGTTTGACTGAAATGTGGTCACTGTCTAGCAAAAGGCCAAATAACCCCACAGCAAGAAAAGGGTCATTTCCAGATATGGGAAGGGAATCAAATAACAAATTATACCCCAATCCCGCATGGTTGGACTTGGTTTAGGCCATACGACTATGGGGTCCGGCTTTTACCTCCTGACAACCATACCAGCGAGCACGCCGGCGCCGATCACACCACCATCGGAGGCTTCTCGCAAAAATACCGATTTCCCTCCCCTTTGTGGACCAGTGCGCATGATAAGACGATCAATATGTTGTTGGCACATATCCTTGAATTGGGGGTAGTGTTGGATTATACCACCGGTGTAAGCCACCACGAGTTCCTCGGGGCCAGATTGCCAGTCAGCAGGGGTAGGTTGGAGGACTGGAACAACGTGGCCATGGATGTTGTTGTTGATGGCAGTTGATTGGAGGCTTGGGAGGGCGGTGGTAGGAGGCGCGGCTGGACTATCGGAAATGGGAATGTCACCGTTACTTTGTGGCGATGCAGCATTGTCAGGTGTGTTCGTATTGCTGTCCTCTTTCAATTCGATTTCGCGGCAGCAAGCCAGCAGCCCAATTACCGCTGCGGCAATCAGGCCAGCCGATCGTCGTTGTACAGTCCGTGCAATTCTCCGGAACGTCCCAGCTGTTCGGACGTCCCAGCGCCAGTCGCTGCTTTCGGGAGGTGGAAGGGATTGATTCAGTTCCTTTGCCAGATCTTGGTCAGATCGCGCCTTGGCCACATTGTCGGAGATGTAAGTAGTCGTCAAAGCATATTCTTGAACGAGATTTGCGGGAAGGATGCGTCTTGAGAGACCGGCCACTTCCGTGAGATAGTCGAACAAGATCAATCGGATCAATTCACCAATATAACGACCTCCCGTCATGTATTCAAACGGTTGGAATCCAGGTCGCGCACATGCCCTGTCCAGCTCCACATCCCATTTAGTAGTGATATTAAGCTCTCGTAATGGCGGCGCGGCTCCTGAAATGGTCCATTCAGTGTTCACAATCGTCTCCACTGCTTTCGGTTCCATCGTGTTGACGCTCTTGGCCTTTGACTCATGGAGTTCACTCAACTTCATCGGAATGGTCGCATTACAGCCAGTTCCCACAATAATACCCATGGCGACGCGACTGTTTGGTAGGGATTTGACCTTATATGCGAGTGAAGCCAGCGTTGCAACGGTATCGTTCGTAATGGCTTGAATCTTCAGTTTCGGTAGTGCAAACAGCTTTCGGCGCTTGGAGGAAGGCTCATCCCCGTCATCTGGTCTTCGAGTGTGCTTTTCGTATCCATTCAGAAGGATCTTACGGAGATTGAGATTTGAAGTAATAGCAAATCCCTTGCCCATGGGCATCAGAGTAGCCTCGGCCAGCGATTCTTGCCTGGTCTATAATTAGCTCCAGCTCCAGCCCAAGACCGACCTCGGGGTACCTCAAAAGCGAAATGATTGAAGGAGCAAGGGAATGACTGACAAAATCGGGAAACTGAATGTGATCCCCATATCCAATTCCGAGGGGATATCCTTTTTCGTGGCATCTGATGTGAGGCTCTCCGCCACGACTTCGGCGATGCAGTCACCAATCCAAGAAAACAAATCCTCTGCCTTGTCCATCTTGAGATGCTCTTGAATCGGCCATGCTCGTTCTAAAGTGCGCTTGACCCGCTGTCGCTGAGCCTTGCGGATAGTATCCCGTGATCTGGCGGAGGCATCGGCGGGGATATCGGAGTCCTCCACCTCACCCAATAGCTCGATGAATGCAACCCGGAGATTACTCCCACCCACGTCGATGGCCAAATAACGACCTGTCTCTTGGCCCGTCGGCAGCTGGGTCACGGGGGTCGGCAAAAATTGCTCATCCGAGGTCAAGGCCAAATGGCGGTAGGTGACGGAGAAGCGACGCGCCAAACGATAGAGCACCCCCTCATCCAGACACAGGGGCGCCAGGAACTTATCGAGCCGTTGGTGATGCTCGAGGTATTCCCGCTGCGACGGATCCAATTCCGAGCTGAGATCTTGCTCCTCGTCCTCCTCGATCACATCCTCATGCATGATGTCACGATCCTCATCATGATCTTTCTCGGAGGATATTGAGTTGACTGATGCCATTGCGGAAGATGGGAAGTCACGCGCCCCAGGGAAGTCGTGATCAGAAGGGGAGGAGTGGGGGAAACCTCCTCAACGGCCAAAAAAAAAAGGAATTAAATGAAGGCTGCTGATCCCTGGCACCTCTATCAATTGCCAAGGTCCCTGGAAGTGGGTGAGACTGCGAGGAGACCGTCAAGATACCCAGATAGGATCCAATTCTGAGTCAGGGCAGATTGCGCCGTTCTAGCGCGAATCACAATCTTCAGCCCGTTGTCGGTTGTGACGTCGGAGCCTCTGGAATGTGAACAGTTGAGGTCAGGTACTGCCAACAGGCCACGATCATCGCCTGGCCGTGCACGGCACTTGCAGCAGATTTGGGGCTTAGGGGACAAAGAAAAAAGAAAAGAGATTTAGAACAAGGCTTGAAAACGGTGTCAGAAACTAGAGCTGCATTAGTGAGGTAACAATAAAGGGTCAAGTGGTGGAGAGTATTGGGGAGGAGCATTTTTGTGACGCGGACTGCAGGAAGATAATGGCAGCGATCATCATCTTGGGGGATTGTAGAGGGATAGTCGAGGGGGGTTGATGATAGAGCGGGGGGGAGGTGGGGATTAAAAGAGGAAGCCAGGACGATCCTAGGACCGAATCCGCCGAAAGGAAAGCATGATCTCTCGCCATGCTTCGTACGTACCCTTGGAATTTGCGGCGGCTTTGGCCGGTCAGGGTCGGGAGGTCAGGGAAGGGGGGAGGGCTTCCCGGTCGAAGGGGAGGGACGGAGGAGCGAGATTGATAAGTGATCAGGAAGGAGAGAATCCAGGATCGCGAATGAGCAGCGACACCCTTGAAAGGGAAAGGGGCGGAGGGGAAACGAGGTATAAATGGAGGGTGGTTTATCCCTGGGGAAGGTGCCTGAGGCAGCGGAGCGGTCAGGACTCGAGTTTTAGGCTTCTGGAGTTTTGGTATACAGCTGGACGGCCGAAGTAGGTCTTCGGGACCAGGAATTTAGAGAATACACGGATGGCGAGTATATAACGAGCGCTTTAATGGCGTTCGTGGAGGGGCTTAATGGGTCTCCCGGGCGAGAAGAGTCGCGGTGGAGCCCTGGGGGCTTTTTTTGGGTCTTTTTTTCGGGTCCTTTTGGGTCCTGCGGGTTCTCCAGGGCTGCTGGGCCCGAGTATGACCTATAAACAAGAATAAATAGGTCGCAGGTCAGACTATCATCAATGGGAGTCCGAAAGACAAGCTGGTTCTGAAACCCACCCTCAAAACACAAAAGTAATAGCTTTCGAAATAATCGAAAAAACCCCCCCCCAAGAAGAACGAAGATAGATAGAAAGGCAAAAAGACAGAAAGACAGTAACTGAAGAAAAATCAATCCACGATTCAAAGTTTTGGAAAAAACAAACGGGAGAAACAGCCCGTTCTTATTGGAGATGCGACCACCGGAGGGCACGAGGCGATGCGACGATGCGACGCTGTTCTTTTTCCGGGGCAGTGGACAAGTTGGAAATCCCGGCAGTTCAGTCGATTATTGGATCGCACTTTGTCCCGGTCGTGGACACGCTTTGAAACTGCCACTCAACTCGTGACAATGAAGCAGACCAGTTCGATTATCCCTCCCTCCAAGCACTGGGCCACTGGCTCTGGCACTGGCGAGGCCAGAATCCGGCCCATGCACCCGGGGAATCCTTCCCCGGGGCTCCAGCGCATACATACGAAACACGACATAGTTCTCCCAGTAGCAGGGGTGAGAGCTTTGTTGATCATGGATAGTCATGGCCATTGGGATGATAGTGGTGATCGATCGATAGGATCGATAGGATTATCCGGTTAGAATAATAGTGGGTGATCATACTCCCGGAGCCATCCAGGTACATTCATATATACAGGGACTCTGTATTCCCCCATGTCCATATCTTCTTTGCGTCTCACTTGGTGTGTTGACTATGACCAGTTTCCTCTTCTTGGTCTCCATCTCCCACCCCCTACCTCTCCCTCGTAAAAGGATATGCTCCCCATCTTTGACAGAACGCTGGTCAGGTTCAATGATTATTTGAACTGCTGGCTTTGACATGGAGCCCTCGCCTACTCCGTACACTAGACGACGATCACGGTCGCAGATGTTCCACTCTGATGCCGACCCAGCACCCCCATACAACCTTCCCCCATTTGATAACGGGAACTATGTAACCCTACCAAGGCATCTGACGCCGACGAAGCTGGAAGCTTGCAGTAGACGGTTTTTGCTCCATTTCGGTTAAGGAACTCGGCTACAGCACTGTCCTCATCTGTCGTGTGGTGTAGCGAACCACCATTTCCCAACCCCTCCTTGTCCCTGGCAACCACCAGGGCTTGGCCCCAGACGATACGAAACACACGAGCCTGCAATGGCGTTTGGCCCGCGAACGCACGGCCGCGAGTCAAAAAACCCAAAACCATGCGGCAGCCTGCCCAGGAAACCCGGATGTGGGGCTCGATTACGGTTTGGACGTGCCTAGTTATCATCTCCCCTCCTCTTCCAGGCGCGATTCGCCGACGCCGATACAGGACGGATCTTCTATATTCGGGTGCTGCGCAATGGCGGTTACAGCACACTCCCAGGTCTCGGAAATAACCGTGTGCGAACGGTGCTGAACCCACTTTCATCAATCCACCTGTGAGGCGGCCTCGATCAATCGCTGGCGTCTCAGCCACCGTCAGCGTCCCACGGCGGTTCAACCCTCTTCTTTGGGAGGCTCGGAGCGAGGGCAGTTTCCTGCGAATCACCTGGTCCATGTCATCATCACGAATCCGAGGCATGAGAATGGGGGGCCGGAAAGGGAGCTCTGTGCTCCGCAGGAATCGGACCCGTCGTGAGCCTCAACGAGGCGGCAGTTGCCCATGCTGACGGCGCTAAACAGGAAAACTCAAAGCGCTCGGAAATTTTGGGCCAGAAGATTAAATGAGGAATCCAGTGTGCACCTGGTTCGAGGCCCTCCAGATACGAAGTTAAAATCTTGGGCACCCACGCCCTTTCCACATGGTCTCCGAGATCGGAGCTAATGCGTGAATCCATGTACTCCGGACAGGATCCCAGGATAACATGGCTGGAAGGATCCGCAGAAAAGTCTTCCTGGCGTTTTAGCGTGTCGGTTTGGAAACGGTCTCTCTTGCGTCGCCTGTGGTGCCTGAAGGGCGTAGAGACGATCTTGTCCTGAATCATGCGACCAAGAGTGGTGACATTTCTCACCGGACTACAAGATTGGATTCCACAGCAACGAATCCATATCATCACCTCAATTGGCCATGGCGCTGGGCTGTTGCATGCGTCTCTAAAAGTATATGCCATTCTTCCTTATACCCCATGGGCAACCAGCAGTATAATGTGTGTGTTTGACCGGAGTCATTCTCCAAAAGAGTCCCATGATGGATTTCAACTTGCCAGCCGGAGGGGCCGGATAGCTAGAGACTATGTTATGGGCTCACTAGCCGGTTGCCTCAAACAGACTGCTGAGCGCTTGTCTATATCAGGCGATTTATCCGAGGAAAAGAATGGACCACGGCCGTTTGACTTGAATAGCGAGGTGGGCTCGAAATGTCAAGAACGATTTGTTGGCTTGGATTTAAATCTTCGGCCGAAGAGTAATGCTGGTTGCCATTGTTCTATGCACATTTCGGGACTTAATGTAGCACACCCGTTAAACACTTTGTGGCTTTAGAGTTGCCCTCGCCACGTGTTCTTTTACAAATGTCCACCTCAGATGCACATGAGCACTAAATCGATTGAGTCTTGGCTGCTTAATTTCTAGAGAAATGGCTATCCTTTTATGCATAGTTCATCATCAGAATACGTATTTCGTTTGGTTACTCAGAATCGAGTCTTACCCTAATGACAGCAGGTGTATATATATTTCGATCACTCGACATTTAAGACCAGATTGCTTGTAAGTTAAAGAAAATATCTATAACTAGCATTCTACTATCCTTTCAAATAATGGCCTAGCCTAATCATCCAACGAACGGATCTGCTTATATACTAGCGAATATGAATCCATAGTGGTTCTGCCATCAGTTGGATTAAATTTAGTCCAGGGCGGTGGGCCGATCCCCCAGGTTCCCAATTATGTAACGGATCTCGGCGTCTGTGGGCCGCCCCTTAGACTTCCCGCGCGAGCGTACCGCCGCCAGGTTGGATCAACGTCATCTCCGTCTGACACTCTTTATCCATCATGGAAAAACTACCCCTTCACTCAGAAGAGGCCATAGAGGCTTCTTCAGAGCCCAGGTGGACTACTCAAAGACCCCGACCCAGCCGAAATACTATGATATGGCGTTATACCGTTGTCTTCACCTTCCTTATTTGCTACTACCTACTCCTCAGGCCAACCGTTTATGAACCCAGCACCCCTGGACATGTTCCCCGCTTTACTCCAGCACAGAAATTTTGGCCTTTCTTCGAAGAAAATACACCGGAAGAACAAACACCTGTAGAACAACCGCAAAGCGAGAGCCAGGGGTACCTCGAAAACCTGCAGGATCAGCAACGCCCTCTCGCCGGCACTGAGGAGCATTTTGAGTCAAAGATTCCGCTGGAGGCGCATATCATGAGCAAATGCCCCGACGCCAAAGATTGTCTCCAAAAGTTGGTCCTACCAGCGATGGAGCAGATAAGTGAGAAGGTTGCCTTCAACCTTTCCTTCATTGCCAGGTAAGTTCACCATCAATTTTATCCTTCTTCGTCATCGAGCCGTACTAACATCATCCCTATGCTTAGCGTCTCTAAAGAAAGCTCTGAAATCGAATGCATGCATGGGCCTGGTGAATGTATTGGTGACATGCTTATGCTCTGTGCTGCGAACCTCCCTTTCCCTCCCACTGCAGATGAATCACTATTACCCCAAGCATATCCGCGCACTCCTATCATTCGGTCCCTCGGCTTTGCCAACTGTCTCATCAACAACTATCCACGTATTCCAGATCGTGACTTTGTTCACGAATGTGCGTTGGAGCATGGCATCGATTTCGATTCCCTGAACAAGTGTGCCAGTCAGCAGGACGATGCCCCTAGCGGTGGTGGCCAAGGACAACCTTTCCTCAGCGGACTTGCGCTTCTGCGAGAAAGTGCTTTACATAGTCAGAAGCTCGGAGCCAAAACCAGCTGTACTGTGCGGCTGGATGATACCGTTTGGTGTATTCGGGATGGTGGTAAATGGAAGGATTGTGTCCAGGGTGGACAGGGTGCCAATCCCCAAATGTTGATTGATGAGGTCAACCGACTCTGGAAGGAACGAAATTGAAGTATGTTGTGGGAAGAGCTATATTGATACCCCCCTAATGGCAAATCTCGGAATGCCTTTTTTTCCCTCTGTCTCTATATATCATTTTGTCCATCAAAAACACTCACAGATTTTGGAGATCGTCAGTAGATCCTTGAATTTTTGGACTAGTTCCAGAATAAGACCCAGTATTCTATTTCGTCTACATGTTCATGAGTACATGTTGCTGCAGAAGCATTCATCATACATTAGTCTGCGTGTCACATATCCGATGCGCTCATCTTGTGAAATCCGTCACGTCCTTTGTCGGAGGGGCAGACTGCTCTTTCAGGTCGACACCATTCCCTGTCACCCAGACCTCACTTCTGGTCTTGCTTCAATCCACCTTTCTTCCCCATGTCTCCCGCTGACTTGCTTTGAATCTCTCCTGTTCTTTTGGAAGCCCTTGTTTCCACCTGCATTCAAATACAAATCCAGATCCTATCAGACGCACATAAACACTTTTCGCGCGTGCCATACTTTCCAGGTCTTCCCTACACCTGTCCCAATTTCATCATCAACATGCCCTCTCTGATCAGGAAGGAAGAAGAGCTGGTGGACAGCTACGCCAGAATAATCAGTCCCAGCCCTGCTCTTCATGAGATACTGAGTAATCGTGAGCATGCTCGTCTCCTCCACCATGCCATGCGACGACAGGTCAAATCGATCTCTGACCGCTCGTCTATCTACGATGACGGGGAGGTCACTGTCTTCGACAAAGCCCTGGTGGAACTTTACAAGCAGGGTGACCAGCTGAAGAATATTGGTCTGCTGGAACTGTTTCTCACAGAATTTTTGGTGACGGGGACATCCGCCACGCTCAAGCAGGAAGAGGCTGTTGTCCACGCACTGCTCGCGGCCCAGAAAGCTATCGACAAAAGTGGGTATATAAAAAAAATGCGTATCCTTTATTATTAATTGATGAGAAACTCTAATTTTGCATGGTAGTCTTGGATCACGACAAGCTGGTTTCGAACCGGGATGCCAACAATGGGCACCTGAGCACCGTTGCCGAGCGTGACCGTGATGACCACGATGGAGTCAAGATCAAGGTCGAAATGGAGACCCAGGCCAAGAATGAGAAAGCCCTGGAAAAGCTCATTGGTGTCTACCAAGCCGCCCTGGCTGATTACTATCTCAAAGATGCCAGCAAATCGGGCCTTTCGGACAAGCAATCGGACAAATTCACCAACGTACGTTTTCTACGCGACACCGCAGAGAACCTACTCCGGTACATGAAGTCGGAGGACTTTCTTAACCATCCTCTCCTGCCACAAGTTGAAAAGGTTGTCCACCTCAGTCAGGATCATGCCGAGCGTCTTGCTGGTCGCAAACGTATCTTTGAGCTGCCGGAAGATGAAGACACCCGCCCCCGCGCACCCCGTTACAAGCGCACACGCTATAGTCGCCATAGAGGCGATTCGTGGCGTCCTGCCTACAATGGCTGACTACCTCAATGGTAATGGGTAGTGTGGCTTGTTTTCGTATTCTCTGATAGTTCCTTATTCTTCCAAGGATGGGTGAGAGTTCACGACCACAGAAGGACAGATCGAGATAGGTGACGATTTAAGATTGAGGTTCCTCCGGTTTTTTTCTGTGTCAATATCGCTATCTACATGTCCTTAGGCGAGAAATATCATCTTCTTGTCTTTCCCATCCGCCGCTCGTTTTGCCTTGGACCCCTACAGCTCTCCTGTAATCAGCCCTGTCGCCCCCATAGTTCGCCATGATCCGCAACGCTAATCCCCATCAAGCTCCCACGTGCCCCTGGTTACATAATCTCCAGGTCTCCAGATCGAGTCACCTGCAGAAAGTCAAGTCTTCTCATCTGAAGGGCGAATTCTGCCCAGATGGAGAACCTTGCCACGGGAGTCGGCTCCTAATCAAGAAGCAGCGACAGACGCGCCCATTCGCAGCAGCAGCCGCCGCAAACCACAACTGCCAGCTCCCCAAAATGCTCGGTGTTCACCTGCCCCCGTCCGCAGCGGGGAACGCTTCCTCCGACTCCAGCTCCTCCTCGAACCCACGCTATACCCCCGTTTCCAATGGCTCAGAAGAGGGATACTCAGTGTCGCAGTCCTTGAAATCGTCTGTCGGGCCGCTTCGGCTGCAGACTAATTTCGACAACAGTTCCGACGCCGGCGGGCCTGTGTCGGATTTTGAAGGGGAGAATGCATACGACTCGGGTGATGAGCTGGAAGGAAAGAGTGAACGTAGAGGACCAGAGCCAAGATATACACCGGAGGAGGAGAGGGAGGTAGTGCGGGCCTTTGATAAGAGGCTGGTGCCTTTTCTGGCTCTGCTGTACCTGTTGTCGTTCCTGGACCGTTCCAGTATGTCAAATTGCAGGGACAACCTATATCACTCGGATGAGGAGTAAACTGACGACTATGATTCTAGATATCGGGAATGCCAAGATAGCCGGCCTTCAGTATGATCTTCAGCTCTCGTCTTCGCAGTATGAATGGCTCCTCACGGCGTTTTATGTTACATATATCCTCTTTGAGTGGATGACACTAATGTACCGTGTCGTTCCTCCCCACATCTACATCTCTCTCTGTGTATGTGGATGGGGCTTGGTGGCCTCGTTACAATGTCTAGTAACCTCTTTTGAGGCTCTTGTCAGTCTACGTGCCCTGCTAGGCATCGCAGAAGCTGCCTTCGGCCCCGGTGTCCCGTTCTACTTGTCACTATTCTATCAGCGCCACGAACTGGCCTTTCGAAACGGACTTTTCATTTCGGCAGCTCCTCTGGCAACGTCATTTGCTAGTAGCCTTGCATGGTTAATCGTCAAGTTTAGCAATGACGGGCCCATTTCTCCGTGGCGCGTTCTCTTCCTTGTTGAGGGGTTTCCGAGTGTGATTGTTGCTGTCTTTGCCTGGATCCTGATCCCGGATTCTCCTGGCTGCGCTCGATTTTTGACTAGGCGACAGAGGGTCGTGGCTCGCCTTCGCCTCGAAAAGAGCGGGTCAGAATACCAGCCGGAAGCAAAAGGTTTTAATTGGAGAGAGATACTGAGAACGGCGGCCGATCCCAAGGCGTATATGGCCGCGGTAAGGAACACTTGCGTCCCATCCATCTATGCAAGATCTGACCATCATCCCCTTTAGGTCATGTTCTTCAGCTGCAATGTCGCCTTCAGCTCAATGCCTGTATTTCTCCCCACTATCATCAAAGAGTGAGTATCAATCCCCACTACTAAAAAATAAGATTGCATTCTCCCTTAACCTCGCTTTCTAACATTTGCGGTATTAGTATGGGCTACTCTTCCCTCCAGGCCCAGGCTCTCTCCGCACCTCCCTATCTAGTAGCCTTCGGAGTTGTCCTCGCGACAGCATACGTCTCCGACAAAACCCGCAGCCGGAGCCCCTACCTCATCGCCCACGCACTCGTCTCCTCAGCCGCCTACCTCGCCATTGCTATCACGAGCTACTTCCACTCCCACATCCCAGCCGGCTTGCACACCTTCATCCGGTACATCTGCGTATATCCCGCCGTGGCGGGATTCTTTTCTGCGATCACTCTCATCATAACATGGTCGATGGACAACCGCGCCGAGAAAGAAGGTAAGGGTGCCAGCATCGCCATCCTCAATATCATCGGCCAATGCGGCCCTTTGCTCGGCACCCGCTTGTACCCCGAGGCCGATGGGCCCTGGTACGTCCGCGGCATGGTGACGTGCGCCTTCTTCATGCTTGTCGTCGCCGTTCTGGCCCTAGCCCTGCGTCTGCTCCTGCTGCGCGCCAACCGCGCCGCCGTTTCGAACCCGGGTCCGATTTACCAGGCCGTGCGGCGGGGCGATGCCGCTGATGGCGAGGAGCGGGACGAGCTTATGGGCGGCGGGCGGCGGGATAATATAGAGCATCATTCCGGCGCGGAGCGACTTGTGTACATCATCTAGATGACTTTGTATTTGGTGGTGCATGATGCGATTTCCACTATTTTCATTTTCAGATTTGTGCCATTTTGGAGAGGTTCTTAGCGGGCTACTTTTTTTCAGTTTTTTCAGCTTTTTTTTTTTTTTTTTTTTCTAGATGACCTGAGCAATCTAGTTCCTCCTGATCTTCTTTCTACGATATGGCTGACAGCATCTACAAAGGTATTACACAGGTGACATATGCCGATTGAATTGATCTACTGGATACAATGGATGCGCTATGCTTTTGGAGCCGAGTATAATAGAAACGGGGAAATCGTGGGACCTGACGGTCTTCGATGCAATCATTAAATTGTGGGAATGCCTCCTGAAGAATCTCAGAAGGCTCTGTACAAAAGAAAAGGATACCGAGGCAGCAGAGCCCCCGACTCCGAGCACCTTCTGAAGGGGAGAGGCTTCCACGCCAATCCCCCGAGTGAGAATCAGCGCTCACCCATCCTCCCTCATCCTCTCCCCAAAGTCTATATCCTTTTTTGCTTTTCGAGAAAATTGGTCCTCGCACGCTCCATTGGCTCCATCCATGGACGAAGCAAAAAGAGAAAGAAAGATAGATAAGATAAACAGTAGAGGTAATAAAAAAATAAAGATAAAAAAGAAAACGCCGCAGCTCAAGCTGATGGAATAGCCCGTAGACCAAAAACAAAAGGAAGACTTGAACAGCCATTAAATAAGAAACAAGGAGCAGGACGCGCTCACCACGCCGTGTGGCCGCCATCAATTAGCAACGTACTGCCAGTCATGAAGCTGCTCGCATCAGACAGACAGAACAGCGCCGAGCCGCGGAACTCCTCCGGCATGGCCAGTCGGCCGAGCATGTTCTCCGCCTCCCAGGTGGCGCGGGCAGCGGGGTTCTGCTGGAAGACCTCCTCGACCATGGGGGTGATGATGTGGCCCGGGCAGAGCGAGTTAACACGGATGCCGTGGCGGCCCCATTCCATGGCTAGCGAGCGCGCCAGCTGGATAACGGCGGCCTTGGATGAGTTGTACACGGGCGAGGTCATCCCCTTGTTGGCAATCAGCCCGCTCATGGAGGCGACCAGGAGGATGGAGCCTTTCTGCTGGTAATTGAACATCTGGCGCGCAGCAGCGGTGGCCGAGTTGAACACGCCTGTGTAGTTGATGCTCATGACGTCCTCGAGAGCTTGCTGGCTATGTTCGAGCGCGCTTTGGAGATGGTTGATGCCCGCCGCGGCGATGAGGCCATCGAGCCGCTCGTTCTGGGCGGCGATCGCCGCGAATGTGTTGTTCACGTCCGCCACGTTACGCACATCAATCTTGATGTACTCCAGGCTACCGCCGTATTCATTGGCGGCCTTGTCCTGGGCGACGAGGAAGTCGGGGTGTGGGGTGTCGAGACGGTCTAGGGCATAGACTGTAGAGGGGAGAGCAGGAACATGTCAGGTGGATGGTTTTCAAAGACAACGAAAGAAGCACCAGAAAGAAAGAAAAAAGCAGGATATCATTCGTACAAAACCACGGTTTACGTACCTTTGGCCCCGGCTTCAATCAGGGCCTCGGCCATGGACAGGCCCAGGCCGCGGCCACCGCCGGTGATGGCGTAGACTCGGCCCTCCATGTCAAATTCGCGGAACCGGTTGGCATTGCGCAATTGCTTTTTGGAGGGCAGCTTGGTCTGGATGTGATCAGGGTTGTGGGAGACATTGTGGATATCTTGCGGGCTGAAGGCGCTCTTAGTGCTGGAGTAGAGGCGGGTCGAGGATGAGCTCAGCACTCGTGGGGCCGTCATGGCGGCGCCGGCGAAGCGGGCCCGTGCGGGAACCAGGAGTCGGTTTAGTGAGAAAGACATGGCGAGCCGATATGGTGCTTTGAAGAGTTTCTGTTGTAATCACGAAGACAAATCCACCCGAAAATAAACGCAGGTGAGAATGTTGGTGCAAAGAGAATTGACGAAAAATCCGGGGGTGGGGAGGCGGGGGAGATATAAGGCGATATAGCCACAAAGCGCAGGGGGAGAATCACGGGCGCAGGGCAACAGGGTATAATAAGATCACGTATAGGAGAGCCTCGAAACACAGCGGTTAACGCACAACAGAGAATTAATGGCCTCGAGAATGTTGGGTCTGGGGAGGAGGGTTTATATGGACTCTATGGGCTCTCTGGGTTCTCTGGGTTGTATGGGGTCCGGAACGGTACTTCCTGGGCGAGGTTACCGAACGCAAAGGGGTCAGAAAAAAATATCGAAGCTCCGCGTGACCCTCTGGTGGATTCGTGGAGGTTTTCCCAAGATCCAGACACGTCGACGGGAGCATCCACGGGTTGGCTTGCCACACTGTCTCCCCCCCAGGGGCGCAGGGGAGCGGACACGCACCGCTGGGCCTGTTGCCAACTATCGTGGTGCCAGATTTACCGAAGACGGTAATTCTTCGAAGGCTTCGATGGAATGCAATGGCCCACCGGAGCGGGTCCCCCGAAGTATGCGGATCTGCCTTTCGGGGCTCCTAGTCGGCAGTCCCGTGCATCTAACGATAGTATCTTCCGTGGATGTATAGAGTCTTGCGTCAAGGTATAGCGTTCGCGCGGTGTCCTCTGTACTCCGTACCCGGGTCTTCGAGGACCTAACCGACGCAAGTCCCGGCACTTAGCAACTCAAGGTGGAACGGCGTCACGCCGAGCCCGAGCAGTTGGACACTACGAGCCTCTCTGATGCCGCCGATCGATCCATTGATGCTGGCCCAACCAACCAACGAGACGCTCGGGATAGTCCAGGCGCTTCGGCGAGGGTGCTGGAAGGCCGGCTCCCAACTACCGTGAGAAGTTGGACGGGCGAGTTTGCGATTAGAGGCCGATTGTTACCTAAATCTCTCTCACCGTGCGCCTTGGTGTCTCGGTGTCTCTATGTCGGCATCCGCCGTGTCTACTGTCGCGAGAATCCCCCCAGCCTTTTCTCCGGAAACGTGGGGCCCTCTCGACCGCTCAGTTCGGACTGGACTGCTTTGTATCCGCTATTCGAAGAGTTCTTCCCTACTATGGTATCTCCGGGGGTGGATGAGCCCGCGGGAGATGATGGGACCTGAGAACCACCCCCCGATACCCCATCGACCTTGTTGGCCGGGGAAGGTCTGCATTGGCTTTGCGGTTCCACCAGGAAGAAGAAAAATCTGAAGGATCGAGGTCAGTTGACCTGGTGCCTCTTCGACGGAGCTGGCTTTTACCTGCAGTACTTATTTTTAGCGGGGCCGTAGATCGGTGGATCGAAGGGAAAAAGTGGAGAGTGGATAAGCATGAAGGAAGTGGACACGCCCCTGCGTCTTTCCCCGGGATGTCCGAATCGGGTAACCCTGAACGGGTTGCACACCGAGATTTCATTTCATTTTTTTTCTTTCCTTCTCTCGTTTCGGCCTGGTTGGGTGGAAGGGGCGAGAGAAGATCCCGAAACCCGACCTGGAAACAGCCCAAGGGTGCGAGACACGACGGTCCGAGGATATTGGGGGAGAATGCTATGCGACAGTATACTAGCCTACACTAGACTATACTCGACCCGACTGTGTACACGATACGCTATGCACTATACATAGTACAAGACTATTGTTGGATGGTTTTCCGATAGGCAGAGCTTCATAGTGGTGACATCTAAGATTAAAGTCAAAAGGGTTCCCCTCGATCCTCAATTTCCGGGCACCAGCGCCAATCAAGCTTCCGCCGCCACCCGGGATAGCAGTCGGGAAGAGGAGTGGCGGCTGCACGATGGAAGAGCACCAGAGTTGGAGGACGCAGCCCCCTCAACGCTCCTCGGCACGGGGTTCCCTTCCCCTCCAAAATGCCACTCACGCTGCGCGAGATGCCCACGGCCGACGCTCTCGCTTGGAGTTTGGGTCAATGGGGAAGCGCCTATTGACCCAAGGGCCCCTCGCTTCCTCGAGCCTTAGGCCTTTTGAGTTCGCCGTTTGAGTCTCAGGATCGACGCATCGGACACGATCTCGAACGCTCTGGAAGGCATGGCGCCATGCACCTGGTCACCTGGTCCCTCCTGCAAGAGAGCTCTCTCCGCGGTAGTGCACTGGTCTAGGTCTACGTCGGCCCCTTTGGGATGCCCGTTGGACAGGCGGGCAACGGAGAATACGAGAAGATTCAAGGTGGGGAAAGAGGGGAGCATGCAAGACGCAGGCCAAAAGATGAAAGATGCAAGATAAGAGAATTTCGTGGACAAATGCCCCGGAGTTTCCTCCACGCTCTCTGCTCGGCCACCTGAGTTGGTGCGGATACGCGCCCCCGCCAGCTGATTGCTTCCACGACAAGACAATTGAAAAATAATACTGATAGCAATAGTCCATTCATCATAACGGTTCGTCACAAGGCGTACAAAGGCAACTAGATAAAACTATTTCCTCCCCGAAACAACCCCAGAATCCAAGAAGCAAGCCAACTCCCCACCTTTAGGTCATCTCCGCCAAGCCCGCCGCGATGGTGGCGCCTCCAACGCTGCGTAGGCTGCCAAAGTCCAGCTTCATCAGAAGCCGGTCCACGCCCGCCGGTTGGCGCGGGATATAGTGGCTAAAGCCTGGGCCCGTGCTGCCGGGGACGATGGGCTGGGAGCCCGAGCCAATCGGGCCGGGCAGGGCCATGCCTAGGCCCAGGCCCAGGCCTGCACCAGAGCGGCTGTTGTCGATGTCCCGCAAGCGCGCGACCAGCTCTTTGATGCCGGTTTCCACGTCATCGCGCGTCTCCCGCAGGTCCTGCCACACTTCGCGCTCCTCTTGTGCGTAGTCAACCAGCGCGTCTTCCACGCCCTCGTCCGCTTCCAGGTCCATATGTCGCTGGATGGTCTCGAGGCGAACGACTAGCGCGACGAACCGGTCTACGCTGGTGAGGAGGGTGCGCAGCGTGCTGGTGAAGGGCTCGTCCATGAGGAAGAGAGAATGAACGAGGGAGGTCAGGTGACGCCGGTGCGCGACCGTTAGAGCTTCCGGGTCGTGTCGACCCATCGAGGGCGGGCCTGGTTGCGAGGAAGGCCGGCTGGAGGGCCGGCTGGAGGGTCGGCTCGCGGAGGCGAGTACATCGGCGGGATACCGAGGGGGTCTGGACGAAGCTGTGCCGGGTCGAGAGCCTGGTGCGGAGGCGGGAGATGGCGAGGGACCCTGGATCCAGTCGCGAAGGTGCTGCCAGGACTCGTGGATGACTTCACCTTGAAAGAAGCTCCCGATCTCAGAGAGCACGAACAGACACGCGCTGGCGGTGGCCCAGATCTGTCGCATCTGTCGAATACGTACGTTTTCTCGCGCGCGACTGGCCTGTAGTCGGTTTCGGCCAAAGTCGCTATTGCTTCGGGGCGGGCCCCATGGGGAGGGGTGATTCCTCCGCAGAGAGGTGTGTTTCCAGAGGTCCCCGAGACGGATCTGGGCACGTCGGATGCCGAGGAGATAGGAATGGATCTTCGAGTAGATGGCAATATCGGAGCTGGATAAGAACAGATCCAGGGGGGCACGGACCTGTGCGATCATCGAGGTTGGGGTAGGAAATAGAATGTCGTCAAAGGCGACCCGAGAGATCTCTGGGATCGCCGTCGAGTCGTGTGATGGCGTTGTGGCACGACCAGTCTTGCGGTCGCCTATTGATAGCCGGAGCAGCTCACGAGCAAGTTCCAGCTCCTCGTCGGCTGGGTCCTCTTCTTTTTGAAGTGAGAACAGCTCCGCCCATGCCTGTGCCAGGGCTGTCATCACGTCTCCTTCCTTGATGAGCAGACCCTCCCAACCTCCACTCTGCGCGCGAGCGAGGGCGCCGCGCCGGCGGCTTTCTTCGATGCGTGAGTCCGCATGCGAGACTAAAGCCACTGCGAATTCTCCCCGTCCCAATAAGAGAAAATCGTGCAGTAATGTTAGCATCTCGAGGATCTTGGGTAAAGGGAGTAGTTTAGACAAAGTAGACTGAGACAAGGAAAGTCGGACCCAGTCCACAGCCGTGGAAAGCTTAGAAGCTGATATAGGTGATTTCAACCCTACCAATTGCTCGATATGCTCTTGGTACAATGTCACCGGGGATGTAGAGGTGCCTTCAGAGGCTTTCCTCTTCGTGCGAACGTGGTTCAGGGACTTCCCAATGAATAATATGGAAGCTGCAGTTGCCGCAGAGACATAGTTGGGGAGCAGATCCATGTGCATGCTGAACTGAGTATCATCGTCTTCGCTGTTCAGGCTCTCTTGAATAAAGAAATCGCCCTTGCCGTACATGGGCAAGTTTCCATATAGTAGCCACATCGAGAGCTGCTTCATCCATGCTGCTTCGGCAACCGTCACTAAATGTACCGCGATTTCCTTGATGTCCAAATACCCGGTTTGAGATTCGGTGCGTAGGTAGTCGATCAAGGCGGAACCCGTACTGCCAGACCGATGCTCCTGAGGCTGGCTTTCAGGTTGTATGAATTTCACAACAGTCCATAACCATTCCATGCGCCGGGTCCATGGGGCAAATTCCCCGACAATGGTGGAGAGTGGGACGATTCCATAGCCACCAACATAACCACTGTCCTCAGTGAGTATTGCCTTCTCTACCTCGAGGATCTTCTTTTGGAACTGGCCCAGATGAGCGGTGGCAATGGCCGTAGAGACCGATCGACAAATTATGGAACGATGTGCAGACGATATGCGGGACGTAGCCGCTCGGAGCTGGGCATGGAGCCGACTCAGGTGGGCGACGGATTGGAGGAGAGCTTTCTCCGGAGGAGAGAGAAGGGCAAGATCGTTCTGAGAGAGCGCATCTTTCCCTGCAGATGAAGTGAAGAGGGGTGACGGCTGGCCGGAGAGTGAGAGGAGGATCTCATGAAGCATCCTGCCTGCGGTTCGCTGGGAAGACTAGCTGTAAGTTCATGCGCGCAGTAGGTTGGCACCTTTATGTTGGAGCTTACCTGGAGACCCTGTCTCTATCCACCTCAGGATTCTGTCGCTGCCAGTATAGTAAGCCACGCCCAAGCAGCTCAAAGCGACACATGTGGGGAGCAGCTTCAAGGGATCATCAATGATTACCAGGTTGTTTTGGTGTGCACGGAAGATGATACACCGTGCCGTTTGCCCGATAGAAATATTGAAATTAGGTTATAGACTTCAGTACCCTGTCATTGCAGACAGCATGGTTGTCTCCATTTGCACCAAAGAGCAGCAAGTTCACAGCAACGCCCAGGCTCTCTCGAACTCCGGATTCTCAAGGTTCTCGAGTCACGAAGGCACTGAATTGCCGAATCACAGGATCATCGCGGGGTGCCCGACGCGCTCATTAGTCAGCCCGTAGCTTGTTCCTCTTACGTCGATGGTCCCGCACTCTTCAACTGCTGTTCTCTCCCCTCTCTCCCTTGCCACTTCTCCCTTTCTCTCTCTCTTTATAGCTTCCTTTTCCAGCCTGTTACCCCTGCCGTCATTTGATTTGTACAGTTCCACGGCTTGTCTCTACTTAAATTCCCTATCCGCGTCGCCTCGTTCTCCTCCTATCCGGGACTCTTTCTGGCGCTAAATTGTGGTACCTGGTACGCTAGGCGCTTCTTTTACTCATATCACACTTGTCGAAAGTCTTGCTTCCAGGCGAGACTTTCCTTTTCTGTTTACCATCATTCCTTCCGATCTTGCTGTTCGTGAATCGGCTAAGCCGGAAAAGCGCAGAGCGTCAGAAGACGACAACGCCGCTCGGCCTCAGAAGAAGATCATGACGGTATGGGCTCAACGTCCGCTTCTGGACCTAGAAAATCCCGCACACTGACACAATCCCCACCACCAGGACGGAACGATGCAGATTGAAAATGTCCAGGAGACTGTGGAAATGATCAAGCATGGGGAGATCGACGAGTCCCTGTATAGTCGACAACTGTGAGACTCACCCCGGTTTCTCCGACTACCCCTCACCGAATATAACACGACAAAAGTGTGCAATCTAACGGCTGATCTCTTCCAGGTATGTTCTTGGCCATGAGGCCATGAAGCGTATGGGCTCATCGAATGTACTTGTCGTCGGTCTCAAGGGTCTTGGTGTGGAAATCGGTAAGCAACTACCTACTATCGGAGTCGATTTGGTCTCCTGTCATAACCATGACACTAACCCTTACTCTATTGCTCAGCCAAGAACATTGCTCTCGCCGGTGTGAAATCCCTTACTCTCTTCGACCCCGCTCCTGTCGCCATCGCCGATCTCTCCTCGCAGTTCTTCCTCCAGCCCCAGGATGTTGGCCAGCCCCGCGCCGAGGTCACAGCCCCACGAGTCGCCGAACTCAACTCCTATGTGCCGGTGACCATCCACGAAGGCACGAGCCTGGTCGATAATCTCGAGGAGCTGAAGCGCTACCAAGCTGTGGTCTTGACGACAACCTCATTGAAGGAGCAACTAGTGATCGCAGACTTCTGCCACCAGAATGGCATCTATGTTACGATCACGGACACCTTTGGTCTCTTCGGATATATCTTCAATGATTTCGGTAAAAATTTCACCGTCGGCGACCCCACTGGTGAGGATCCCGTCGGTGGTATTATCGCCGACATCGACGAGACTGGTCTTGTCTCCGCACTGGACGAGACTCGACACGGATTGGAGGATGGTGACTTTGTGACATTCACTGAAGTTAAGGGCATGGACGGCCTGAACAACAGTGATCCTCGCAAGGTCACTGTGAAGGGTCCATATACCTTTACTATCGGGGATGTTTCTGGCCTTGGCTCCTATCAGGGCGGCGGTCTCTACACACAGGTCAAGATGCCCAAGTTCGTTGATTTCCAGCCGCTCTCAGAACAGATCAAGAAGCCCGAATTTCTGGTTTCTGATTTTGCCAAATTTGACCGGCCCCAACAGCTCCATCTTGGTGTTCAGGCTCTCCACAAGTTTGCAGAGACACACGAGGGACAATTTCCCCGCCCACATAACGATAGTGATGCACAGGATGTCCTGAAGATTGCGAATGAGCTCGCAGCTGCGGAGGCGGAGAAGGTCGAGCTGGATGAGAAAGTGATCAAGGAGCTGAGTTACCAGGCCCGCGGTGATCTGAACTCCTTGGCTGCTTTCTTCGGTGGCATCGCTGCCCAGGAAGTCTTGAAGGCTGTCTCTGGAAAATTCAACCCTGTGCATCAGTGGATGTACTTTGACTCTTTGGAGTCTCTTCCTTCGTCAACCACTCGGTCCGAAGAAAGCTGCAAACCCATCGGTTCCCGCTACGATGGGCAGATTGCAGTATTTGGAAAGGAATATCAAGAAAAGCTCTCCAATGTCAAGCAGTTCCTCGTTGGTGCTGGTGCTATTGGTTGTGAAACCTTGAAGAACTGGGCCATGATGGGTCTGGGCACCGGCCCTGAGGGCAAGATCTTTGTGACCGATATGGACCAGATCGAGAAGAGCAACCTTAACCGTCAATTCCTTTTCCGTCCCAAGGATGTTGGCCGTCTCAAGAGTGAATGCGCTTCTGCAGCGGCTCAAGCTATGAACCCCGATTTGAACAATAAGATTGTTACTCTCCGTGACCGTGTTGGTCCGGATACCGAGAATATCTTCAACGAAGATTTCTGGAATGGCTTGGATGGAGTGACCAATGCATTGGACAACGTTGATGCTCGGACGTACGTGGACCGGCGCTGCGTCTTCTTCCGCAAGCCTCTCCTCGAGAGCGGTACTCTAGGTACTAAGGGCAATACTCAAGTCATCCTACCTTTCATCACCGAGTCCTACTCCAGCTCCCAGGATCCCCCGGAGAAGTCCTTCCCCATGTGTACCTTGAAGAGCTTCCCCAACCGTATTGAACATACCATCGCTTGGGCTCGCGAGGTCTTCCAAACTTACTTTGTTGGTCCTCCTGAGGCAGTTAACTTATATCTCTCTCAGTCCGACTACATCGAGCAGACTCTGAAGCAGGCTGGCAATGAGAAGCAAACTCTGGAGCACCTCCGTGATTTCCTTGTAACTGAGAAGCCCCTGACTTTTGACGACTGCATTGTTTGGGCCCGTCAGCAATTCGAGGCGCAGTATAACAATGCCATTCAGCAACTGCTTTACAACTTCCCTCGGGACTCCAAGACCTCTTCGGGTCAGCCCTTCTGGTCTGGCCCTAAGCGTGCGCCTACTCCTCTGAAATTTGACAGCGCCAACCCTACTCACATCGGATTTGTCATCGCCGGTGCAAATCTCCACGCATTTAACTACGGTATCAAGAACCCTGGTGCCGACAAGGGCTACTACTGTAAAGTGGTGGACGATATGATCATCCCTGAGTTTACTCCTAGCTCCAACGTCAAGATTCAGGCCAATGAGAACGAGCCCGACCCCAACGCCCAGCCCACAGGAAGCGACGACAGCGAGCAAATCCAAAAACTTGTGGCCACCCTTCCATCGCCGAAGTCGCTCGCTGGCTTTCGTCTGCAACCTGTCGAGTTTGAGAAAGACGATGATACCAACCACCACATTGACTTCATCACCGCTGCCAGCAACTTACGTGCCGACAACTATGACATTCCTCAGGCGGACCGTCACAAGACCAAGTTCATTGCCGGAAAGATCATTCCAGCTATCGCCACTGCCACTGCTCTGGTCACCGGTCTAGTAGCTCTGGAGCTTTTCAAGGTTGTTGATGGCAAGGACGACATTGAGCAGTACAAGAACGGCTTTATCAACCTTGCACTCCCATTCTTCGGCTTTAGTGAGCCCATTGCCAGTCCGAAGGGCAAGTACCAGGGCAAGGAGGCGGAGGTTACTATTGATAGCCTCTGGGATCGCTTCGAGGTGGACGATATTCCTCTCCAAGAATTCCTGGACTATTTTGCCAACAAGGGCTTGGATATCACCATGGTCAGCTCGGGCGTCAGTTTGTTGTATGCCAGCTTCTATCCCCCGGCCAAAGTCAAGGACCGCCTGCCCTTGCCGTAAGTTATATTCTTTATATGTCCATGTTAGCTCCCGACTAATACTAATCTTGCGCAGGATGAGCAAGCTGGTAGAGCATGTCAGCAAGAAGCCCGTGCCCGAGCACCAGAAGAACATCATTTTTGAGGTGACGGCCGAGGATCAGACCGAGGAAGATGTGGAGATTCCGTATGTGATGGTCAAGCTGAGCAAATAAAAGGAAGTTTCGGCTCGTATTCACTTGCAGAAAGAAAAGCCCGGTGGCGCCGGAGTGTTGGGGATAAGGAAACAATTACCAAGTAGAGTCACGATGATTACCAACGAATCCCAACCATGCTAGATTTCCAATTTTCAATTGAATTGCTGCATCGCTCTCAATCTTCCCACGAGTTGTAAGCCTAAGCCTCTACTCAGCATGAGCTAAGTAGACTACCTTATTTAATGTGAATAAATCACTCCGCAACTTCTAGTTTTGGACTGAGTAAGTGCTTTGTCAAAGCTGACGGATTAGAGATGAGTAAGCGTCTCGTCAACTCGGACGTCATGCCCCGCAGTCGCGAGCTCATTGACTTCTTTTTCGCTTCCCTTTTCTTCTCCGTTCAATTGCTGGTCTTGGCATAAGCTTTAAAAGCTGCTGTGTTCTGCTGATGCTCCTATCTCTTCTTCGCTTGCCAGTGTTGCACCACCTTCCACGATCATCTTTCCGTGCACAGTTCCTTGCAAGCTTCCCACCCTCTTTCTCCACACGATCGTCGCGAACTATGGCGGTAAGCTCGCAGACTAACCAGGCTTTTTATTCAATTATTTTCAATGGCAAATCTAAACTGTTTAATACAGACAGGTAACTCTGGTAAAATCACCGACTGGGTAAACCCCGCCGACAAGTCGGGTGAATTTAAGCGACAAACATCCGCCTTCCGCAGCTTCATCTCTCGTGAGCCTGGTGCTCAATTCCCTCCTGAAAAAGGCCGGTACCACCTCTACGTCTCCTATGCTTGTCCCTGGGGTGAGACATTGTCAATTATCCATGATTTTGCTTTTCCCATACAATGATGCTAACAAGAACATCTGGTAGCTCATCGGACACTGATTACTCGAAAGCTTAAGGGCCTAGAGGACATCATTTCTTTTTCATCTGTGCATTGGCATCTAGCAGAAAAGGGTATTCAAAACCCCACTGTATAACATCATATTTCAAGATGCTAACCGCTCTTCAGGATGGCGATTCGTCACTCCTGACGAGCAGCTGCCGGGCGAGAACACCATCCCCGACCCACTGCACCCAGACTTCACCCATCTCCGTGAGATCTATTTCTCTAATGACCCCGAGTACACGGGTCGATTTACTGTCCCGGTGCTCTTTGACAAGAAAACAATGCAAATTGTCAGCAACGAGGTATGAGATTATCTTCTGTCAAATCAGGATCTATCAAGTAGAGATCCATTGTAGAGACATAATACTCACAGTATCCACAGAGCGCAGAAATCATCCGCATGCTCTATTATGAGTTCGACGACCTCATTTCGGAGGAATACAAGAAGATCGACCTCTTCCCCGAAGCTCTCCGCGCGGAGATCGACGCCGCTAACGAATGGATCTACAACGACGTGAACAACGGCGTCTACAAATCTGGCTTTGCCACCACGCAAGAAGCCTACGATAAAGCGGTTACAACACTCTTCTCCTCTCTTGACAAGATCGAAGCCCATCTCGCTAAGCAACAAACCGTCTCACCCTACTACTTCGGCACCACCGTGACCGAGGCCGACATCCGTCTGTTCACGACGATAATCCGCTTCGACCCGGTCTATGTCCAACACTTCAAGTGTAACATCCGCGACATTCGCTCTGGGTTCCCGGCTATTCATCGCTGGGTGCGTGGGCTGTACTGGGATCTGCCTGCATTCCGAGATACCACGGACTTCGAGCATATCAAGAAGCACTATACCAAGAGCCATAAGCAGATCAATCCGTTTTCTATCACGCCTGTCGGGCCGCTTCCGGACGTTCTGCCCAAGGATGAAGAGGTGCGAGCTGTGTAAGCGCCTCATTAACTTGTTTGATTGAATCAGCATGTGGACTGTAAAGACAAGCAGGACGCTGCCCTCATGCCAAATCTTAATTTAAATCATGATCCGTACTGGTCGTGTTCTTTGCTAATTTGATATCAAATGTAAAAATGCAATTAAATTGGATATGTCATGACATGGCTTCTATCTAACTTTCTTTAAACCACCAGGAGGTTCGAGTTGGTTATCTAAGTCGATAAAAGATAGAACATCAATATAAACAACAAATAGAAAAAAGGAGAAAAAAAGACGCAAAAAGTCCAATGGTATTGCGTGGAAATTCACATGCCTCGACGCCTTCCCATGCTTATAGTTGGTTGTTTGAACGATAACCCCATGGGTTCTTTGAAGCGAACATGATTTCGCCATGAGATATCTCATAGGAGACACCAGAGATCAGAGAGAGAGGAAGCGAGTGGGAGGTAAATGCACAAGGACTGGCGCTTGGAGGAGGATAGCACCGAAAAAATATTTGTCAAGATGAGATATATCCAAACAAGCACATAACAGAGCCTGTGCCATGCGTCAATGGAGGTAAACTGTTTGGCGGGTATCTTTGGAGAAAGTGACTCTAAATAGACGAAGCTCGGAAGTGAAGAAAAACAAATGGGTCGATGGGGAAAGCGATGTTTGAAGGTGTTATCGCCGTTGAAAATGGAGTTGTAAGTGTCACAGGGTTAGTACAAAATGGTTTCTTATTTCAAACCAAGCATTCGCTTCGAGTTCTCATAAACCACGTAGCTAATAGACACGGCCGGTGCCACTTTGAGGAGATTGGGTGTGAGACCCTTATAGAAACCACGAGGACCTTCGGTCTGGAGGGTTTTGCGGGCAACATCACCAATGCCGGTGTATGTGGTTGGATGAAGCACAGTACCTTGAGCCTGCAGTCGGGTCCGGAGCACGTTGAGGGGGTAGACGACTGAGGCACTCAGTCCTCCACTAAGAGCGCCAATTGCTCCAGTCACGAAATTGTTCAGCGGTACGTCGTCTTCGTGGCAATGTTTCAACCGGGCCTGTCTAGCGAGAAGGGCGCGTTTCAAATATTCAAAAGTTGTCAGGTCGATTGCCGCATAGGGAAACATTCCAATAAGACCAAGTGGAAGACCACGGAAAAAGCCAAGCAGCCCATTGGCATTCCACACTTTGCGTGCAGTCGCTGCAATGAGCTTGTTTCCTTTCAGGCCACCTTCCACAGTTGAGCATTGCATGCGGCTAGGGAAACCGTCAGTTTGTTGGCGTATTAAGACCAGATTATGAGGTACTCACAATTTCAATGTATCGAGGGGGTATACAAAGCATCTATGAAAAGTTAGAAGATCAATTCCACCTTTGAAGATTGTTATATCAGGGCATACTGAGCAACCATTCCACCAATACCGCCAGACAGAAATTGCGAAGTGGGTCTCAATCGTTTAGGATCATTGTGCCCTTCGAGCCTCGCAAAAGCTTGTTTCGCCGACTTTTTTTGTAACGTAAGTTATCTGCATCTCAAAAACAATACAGCAAGGTGAAACCAACCTCATAGGCTCCAAACTTGATTGCAGATTCTGGCATGACCTTGAGGACGTTTAATCCATTACCTGAATATCGTCAGATAAGGCTTGATCTCGGTGACATCGATGATGAACTAACCTGCAAACAAACTTCGCATGCCACCAGCCCTCCATAACTCCTTGAGGGCATCAAGCAATGACCTGGATGCATTCCCTGCGGCTGCCAAGGGAGCTCCCTCCTTCGCCGCCTGAACTGCCGTTTGTCTTACGCCAGTCTGGGCAATGAGATAGACTTTGAGTCGATCGAGAGGAGCAGTAGCCGTTCTGGAGACGACGCCCGCAATCCCACCTGCGATAAAGTAGCCTAATTGAGGGGTATTTTCGGTCAACTTCCGTTCATAATAGCGGAGAGACATCCACATGGCGGTTGTCTTGGGGATAGACAGCCACTCCAACTCGAAATCACCGTCTAACGAGGCAAAGTCATTCCCGATAGCGGTGGTCAAAGTTGTCGGGCTGGTGATTTGCGCTAACGCGGATGGAAGGAGGGAGGCCAACGCGGGCAGGGAGAGGATATTGTACAAAAGGCTCTTGAGAGCCAGGAGATAACGGTTAAGAAATGTGTGGTCTGTACCTAAACCCTGCAGATCATTGATGTGGACATCTCCTTCCGGGTTTAGATTGCCCGTTGCCGTGTAGTATGACAAGAGAGCGCGAAGGTCCGACGGGGAACGTAGCGGCAAGAAGAGAAGAAAGTCCCTAAGTATCAGGAAGAAAGGGGCATCTGTCAGCTTCCCATGTCTAATTCTGTGGCGGCTGCCTCCATTCACTCAACGTAGAGTGGGTGTGCAACGAACCTCCATTCCGTGTAAGTGATTACACCGTCGTTGTTTTTGTCAATCTCGGCGAAAAACTCGTCTAGCTTTGCACTCGACACGGTAACCCCAGATTGTGAAAATGCACTTTTTAGCTCTGCCTTGTCGATTTCTCCATTATGATTTCGATCGATCGACTGGAACATCTGCCATAGCCCGGACTCGGTGTGGTCGATAAAAGCTCGGAACTCTGGAGGTCGAGATGACAGATTAGAGGAACAGTCTCGAAAACAACACGACGCAATGAAAGAAGCAAAGGGATCGAAATAACGATGCTTACCGTCATTGTCAATCTGGCCATCGCCATTGGTATCAACTTCGCGTAGGATGTTGCGCAGCATTTCATCCGCATTTTTAAGAGCTAGCGATGCGACCGCGTCAGTCGGGAGTGTTCGGCAAAACACGGGGCCAGAACTCACGATGGTCGATCTTCTTCAAGCCCTTCTTCAATCCATTCAGATCCAGATGACCCTCTTTGCGCGTGTCCAAGGTGTCCCAGAGACGGGCAACTCGTTCGTCACGCTCATCTTTCGACTCGCCGGGGGCCATGTTCGGAAGAAAATTGCTATCGGGCACCCGGCATCATTCAAGGGAGCATGTTCTGTAAGTGACTGGGCTCAGGGGAAATGCAGGCCGGAAAAAGCGAGAAAACGACTCCCTAGAGCGCACGAAGTCAAAGAGGGCAGCACCCAAAGGAGCATCAAACCGGGGTGGGGAGGGAATGATTAATCGGGGCCCGATCATTGCTTCGGACACTTGACGCCATCATCGCCGCGGCACGGGACCAGGGCTGGGCCCTACTAAACCCGTTTGGGCGGAAACCTGGTCTTATCGTTCGACCTCGCCCCATTCGATCTATATAGGCTTTATAGGTGCTTCAGGCTCTCTAGGCTCTATAAGCCCAGGCAGGTGCCTTTGCCTAGATCTATCGCTACATGTCTGGCAGATCTGCTTGCTCCTAACCATGGCCGCCAACTACTGGGCCTCGAGCCAGCGTCGGCATTGGCTCTTCTCAAGAGAGAAACTGGCCGATGTTCGGGAGCGCCTTAGAGAACGCGATAAGGTCATTCATTCCCAGTTTCCACTGCCAGACCAGCGTCTCGTGAATATTTATTTGAATCAGCGTGAGTATAGTTCTTGTGTATAAAGGATTACAGGGGTTGACAAGTGCCAGAACTCATTAAGCTGGGGAAGCGAATGTCTACCCGCCAGCAGGCCATCGCGACGGCCCAGGTATACTTAAAGCGGTTCTACACCAAGAATGAGATCCGCGAGACCAATCCCTATCTAGTTCTTGCCACTGCATTTTATTTAGCCTGCAAAATGGAAGAATGCCCCCAGCATATCCGCTTCGTGGTAGGAGAGGCGCGCGGCCTCTGGCCTGGTATGCAGATGTTCCCCTTTTTTTTCCTTGTTCGATTTCTCCATCCACTAATGCTCCTTCTCTCCAGAATTTATCAGTCCGGATGTAGCCAAGCTAGGAGAGTGTGAATTTGCTTTGATTTCCGAGATGAATTCCCAGCTCATTGTACATCATCCATATCGGACTCTATCGGAACTCCAAGCTGAATTACCCCTCAGCTCGGACGAGGTCGCCCTAGCGTGGTCGGTTATCAATGACCACTATCTCACCGATCTTCCCCTCTTGCATCCGCCCCATGTCATTTCCATTATGGCCATCATTGTTGCTGTCGTCTTCAAGCCTTCTCAACCAACCAGTTTCTCTGGCTCTGCCCAATCTGCTTTGGCGGGGGCGATGAGAGATGGAGGAGGTATGGGTGTACTAGCTTCGCTCGGTGATAAGGCAGGCTCTGGTCAACCCCGCATCCAGAAATTAATTCAATGGCTGGCAGAGAGTGAGGTGGACATCAAGGCCGTCATTGAATGTACTCAGGAACTTCTCTCGATGTACGAGGTATGGGAGCAATACAGTGAGAAGCACTGTAAAGAACTACTTGGGCGAATGGTCAAGAGCAAGAACCTTGACAAGTAATAATTATGCATGAGAGGACGGATGATATATTCTCTGCATACATTGGCGTTTCTCTCGGAGTTGCAATACCATGATTTTTTTGGTTTCTGTTAAGCTCAGACATACGCATTCAAGCGGTTATCGCATTAGCTACATGGGTCATTTGTTGGATAACTTAATCTTTTCCAAATTCCGGCTTGGTTCATTCCCAATACTGCCATCCTCTCTATACAGCCTTTATGTTCATGCACCCCAAAGTAGCCCCGGCGTGGGGCCGGTTTGTTGGTGAGTTTGAAACTTTGTTGGGCTCTCTTGTTTTTCCAAATTGTGGTTAGCTATGTTTTCCCTATCCAACAACAACGTTACAGGACACAGTTCTCTGCATTAGATTGCGAGCCTCGCCAAGAATACTTCTACCAACCTGCTCTCGTCCAAGAATCCTGTAACTACATCCAGTGGGCCCACCTCTAGGTCTCTATGCTTGCCCCGCATACATCCTGCGGTTGGGTTTGTCCACTCTCTCGAGCAAGGGTCACTGAATGGCTCTATGACCTTGAAAGCAGCTGCCAAGCCCCACGCACGGTCTTTGGGGGCGAAATTCTGAACGAAATATACATGTTTCCCATCCACACGGGCATCTATCGCGCCACATATTGGTTGCTTCAGATGGTCTTGAAGATCATATCTCACGCAGATGAGAGAAAATATTGATATGGGAATGGCATTCGATAATTTCTGGCTTTTTCTTAGCCCAGGTAGATAACTATTACGCGCTTTATCGCCGGGGCTCCTTATAAAAAGAAACTTGTGAAACTCGGAAGTTGTCCGACGGTAGGACATGAGTTCTTGGCTTCGAAGACAACATTGCTACCCTGCTAGCACCCATCAAGCAATCCTTTCACTCCTGTCCGCTTCTCAATACCCCACGTTATGTCTTCCCCGCATTTATAGGCCGAGATTGAATATGCCTGCTTCTCGGGGTAGGATTTTGCAGAACAAGCTTCTTTTCAAAGCGGTGTTCGTCTTTAGTATGAAAGCAACGTCCACCGCCAGAGATTGTCTCCTTATTTCATTTATATTGATAACCCCTTGATATTCCAATATCTTTCATCAGTATGAAGTTCGGTATCAGCAAACCAGAGAGCTTGCACGATACACCCCGCAATGTCTTGAATTGGAAGCTCTTTTGGAGCGCTGCTATTTTCGGTATGATGATTGTCTTTTCAGTTACGGGGTTTTTCGAGGAATATATACATATTGACTTTCTACAAAGGTCTTCTTGGTGCCAGTCGAGGCCTCGATGAGGGTCTAGTTGGCGGCATGGTTAGTCTCGAAAGCTTTAAGACTGAGTTCCGCCTGGAAGAAGGATCCGAAAGCCACCAAGCTAGTGTTCTCTCCAATATTACCAGTATGGTCCAGCTCGGCAGCATTGTCGGAGCTTTCCTTGCGTTCCTTCTCTGTGACAGACTTGGCCGGGTCCGCACTCTACAAAGTCTATGTTTGCTATGGCTTGTGGGCTTCATCATTGTTGTCGTAAGCCACGGTAATGTCAACCAGGTCCTCGCGGGCCGCTTCATTGCCGGACTGGGCATTGGCATGACTACGGTTGTTGGCCCAATGTACATTGCCGAGATTGCACCGAAGAGTGTTCGTGGTATGTTGACCAACATCTTTGCGGGCTCCGTTTACCTAGGCGCCACGATTGCCTTTTTCAGTAATTGGCGAGCGTCGGTCAATCTACCAAATGACTCCCGCTGGCAATGGGTTGCGCCGCAGTTTGCCCATATTGGATTTGCAATGTCAGCTTTCTTGTCTCGCTCTCTTCTCGTGCGGCTCTGACTGATTTTCTCTTAGTTTTTTCTTCGTTTTATCTTTCTTTGTTCCCGAAACTCCACGGTATTTCATGATTCAAGGACAGCATGAAAAGGCAGAGAAGGCACTCGCCAATATTCGAAGACTAGAGACCAATCACCCATATATCCAGGCAGAGATCATTGGCATTCGCAACCAGTTGGAGCAGGAACAGGAAGCATCCCACGGCGTCTCGCGATGGGGCAAGGTCCGCGAGCTTCTCCTGGTGCCTGCCAACCGCTATCGACTCATGTTAGGCATCATGTCACAGATACTAGGCCAGTGGTCGGGCGCCAATTCGATCACCATCTATGCGACCGAATTCTTTGGAGTCCTCGGAAAGTCCGGGCAGTCGGAGAAGCTGTTTGCAAGCTGTATTCTCGGTGTTGTCAAGTTGGTCTCGGCGTATTTTTGTGCATTCTTCTTGATCGACTTCGTTGGCCGGCGTCGCTCTCTGTACATGGGCATTACTCTCCAAATGATCTGTTTATTGTACATCGCCATCTACCTTGGCATCGTTGGTTCAGAGACTCTGGAGTCTGGCGAAATGACTCCGTCTCAACGCCGAGGCGCAGTCGGCTCAATCGCCATGATCTATATGTCTGGCATCGGATGGACAATGGGATGGAACGCATTCCAGTATCTCGTCAACGCCGACATCTGGCCTCTCCGGCTGCGCGCTTTAGGTAGCTCTCTTGTCATGTGCTTGCATTTTCTGAACCAGTTTGGCAATACAAAGGCCGTGCCCAGTATGCTTCTTGCACTGCAGAGCTATGGGTTTTTCGCTTTCAGCGCAGCGGTCAGTCTTGTCGGTCTGGTTTGGGTATGGTTCTTCGTGCCCGAGCTTACTGGACGGTCCCTTGAAAGCACTGATGAGTTGTTCTCGCTGCCTTGGTACAAGATCGGAAGACACGGCCACAAACTGGTCCCAGATGCAGATACCCTTCGTGTCTATCATGAGAAAGACCCAGGGACAGCAGAGGCGCAGCATGTGGAATACAGGGTTGAGAGTGAACGCAATAGATAAATGGCAGGTTCTTGCGACAGTGCTCAAATACGGTAACACAGGTCTATGGTTTACATAACCATTTTGCGGAAGCGAAAGCTTTCTGGACGTGGTGGGCAAATATTTTAGGTCCTTTTCGAGAGATTTGAAGAACGTGAAGACTAGAAAAGACGTGACTATATGTCTGTACATATTACTATAACAATACTTCAAGGTTTACATGGTTTGCATAGCGCATTCCACGTCGTACACCTGCAATCCTCTTCTACCTAAGAAGGCTCAGCCGAAATATCAAATGATCGATTGGAATAAGAGGGCACTGGATGGAGGTCTGAATTACGAAATTGAAGATAAACTTGCATATATCTGTTTTTCTCAAAAATAGAAAGGAAATAGGCCGGAGTACTTTTAGGATGCGATCAATAGAGTACAATATACCTTGAACAATCAGCATCTCTAACCCGACCGACACCTGAAACGAAAGACCGAACCGGAGGCCGGGTGTATCTGCACAACATCGACGTATTTGCAACCTAACCGGGGCAACTAGATCGCGTGTTTGTGTCGTCGGGTGGTCGTCCCTTACGTTGGTACATAGTTGGGAAGGGGGTGGAGGAAATGTCAGGTCCAGCCCCTTCCCCCTCACTGATCCGGTGCCGTGTCGACGGCGTACTAGGTCCTGTATGTACATGCACAATTCCGATCTCGCTGGGAGATCTGAGAGATGGCATGGCCCTGCACGGTCCAGACATCGCTTTCGATGTCTCAGCTGCATGATGCAAGCTCCAAGTCACCGGCTTAACGGTGCGCGCCTGCGAGAGAGGTGTCTCCCATCTTTCCCCAGTATTATCTACAACTAAACTGCTCTTTCTCACTAAACTTGAGCATTAGCCCAGGCGCCTATGCACGGAAGGTACCTGGCCTATCGGGTGGAATCGCCAGGGAATATTGAAATTAGATTTTCGGGGCTCGAGATGCCAGCGCCCTCCCCCCTTCGTCCTTGAAGGACTCAAGGAGCGGTGAGGGGTCCAGATTGGAGTCGAGTGCGACCTGAGCATTGCGTCAAGCACCGGGTGGGTTCTACAGGCATGCCGGGTTGGCGGCACACGGTGTCCATGCAGACGTGAACACGAGAGCCATCAAGCCATCCAGGCCCCTGAGAAGCGTGCTACACATAAAACCAGGACGATACCGATGGGTCCACCAGGGGTGTTCCAACAGGCGCCCACGGCATGTCGGGGCCCGGAATGGGACAAAGTACAGAACTCCGTCCTCCGTACCTTTTCCCCCTATCGACCAGGAACACGATGGGAATTGAATTCCAAGCCTACGAACGACTGCCACACCTTTCGTACAGCTGGTGGTGGAGCCCTGGGAGACGGGTTGGGTCGGAAGAGGAGTGAGTCAGATGCTACCCAGCGCCTAGAGGGGCAGACAAAAAAGAGGATCCCGCCAAAGAGAAATGGAGGGAGGTCCCGGGGCAGTCAATAAGAATCGTCTGAGACGTTTTCTCTGCTAGTCCGGAATGCGTAATGATAGTCTCCGCCGTTTTGGGAGGGTGGGAAGCATGAGATCTCACAGTGCCAATCATTGCCGGATAATCGAGGGTAAGCCCATCCTGTAGGGGTATCACAATGGTGTGGCGTGGCTTGTGTCAAGAACCATGTCAAGAACCTTCGCTCCGGGCGGTCATTGCGCCGATGTACAGGAAGGGAAAGGATTGGGGAATTTTGACTCCAATAGGGATCCCCGACGAGGGGAGAAGGGCAGGGCGAGAGTCGATCACCGATCAGCAGCCACAGCCGGGGCCCTATGGGGATGGGGGAATGTACCTTGACGGCGACCCTGCCCTGCTCAGCCTGCAGCGCACTAGGACGAAGAGAGCCGACAAGAAATCCTTCCCTGGCTGCTCCAACTCCCAGCACGGCCCTGAACACAGACACTGTCCTGCAGCAATGGTGGTGGTGGGCACGAACTCGGCATCTGCACAGCACAGGCGTGTCAAGAACATGGAGCCAAACCCTTTTGGGGGAAGTGTGGCTGGGGAAGAGAGTGGTCTTTCTCTCTCATGTTCGTCCCCCCTTCGTCTCCAGTGTCGTGTCGGGTGGTGTGTGTGAGTGGAGCTCTCTAAAAATGGAGCATTGTAACAATCATTATTGTGGCCCAGCGATGGCCCAGGGAGTAATGAAGAACCAAGCCATGATTATGTTGGGGCGTTGGAACCTCGATTCATTCCTCCATTCTTTCAGGGACGGGGAACTTTCGCATACATCGAGTCGGTATTGTCCATCATCCATGTAGGTACGGGGAGGCCTGGAGGCCGGCGATCGCATCGTCATGGAGGCAAGACCTGCGTAATCAGGCCACAATACCGAAAGGGCCGAGTTTCGTAGCCCCGAACAGGTTTAGGGCCATGTCGTCGACGTCACGGACCAGTGACGGGCGAGAGAGGAACGAGGGAGGAACGAGGAAGGAAGCCAGTGGAGCAGATCGGACTCCAGTGGACTCCCTCACAAGACGCTGATTGGCGGTGGGTGGGCCTCGTTGCCACCGACAAGGTCACCTGGTTGGTGACCTTTCGCTAGCGCCGTTCGGCCACTGCAGGCGTGTGACAGTACAGGACCACATAAATTACACCGGATTGTTCCCCTGTCTGCTTCTGCAGGACCTCCCTTCATGTACCCTCGCCCGCCGCCTTCTGTAAACTGTGCCCTATTTCGCCCAATTTTGCCCCATTTTGCTGGTCCTGGGTACCTAGGAGATACAACCTCCCCGCCCCACACCTTCCAAACAACCTCCCTCCCACCGAAACGCCTGTGACCATACTGTTACAATACCGCACTCCTCAGCCCCAAAACACCCCTCTTTTTTTCCCTCGCCTCTTCTCCTCCCACAACCCGTTCAATTCTACGCTTCTCTTCAACTTTGAACTTCTTCACCACCCAACTACCTACTTTCCGACGTACTCGACTTCTCCTTTTCCAATTTCTTAAAACGATCAGCCAATCTTCTTTCTTGTCTTCTCACTCATAATTCTTTTCTCTCGGGTGCTGGATCTCCTTGAAAACTCCCCACGCCCACCATGTCTGCTTTCATGTACACCCACCACCACCACCAGCAACAGCATGCACACCATGCGGCTCATATGCCTACCAATAACCACCACGGTCGCACCCGCCGAGGCCCCAAGATGGCTCACCAGAATGCTCAGCGTCAATTCCGAGGTGTCAAGAGCATGCGGGAGCTGGCGGAAGCCCCAGCAGTGACGGCCTTCCGGGCGAGATTCGAAGCTGGTCGCTCCTTCGACCTCGACGATGACCTCGAATTCTGCCCCAATCTCCTGACTGATGAGGATGTATGTCTCGTTCTACTAAACGGATCCTCTCTCGATGACCGTCCCCTTCCCCGTTCTCCCCCAGAACCACACCGAGTACCCCCCAACCAAAACAATCCCTCTCGATGGGCGGACCGTCGGGCCAGGAATCACTCTCGCCCTCTTCACCATTTTCCAATAAGCAACCCCCATATTAACTCTCCGTCTGACAGCTGCACTCGATTCACTCCGCTTCTTCCGACCGGTCTTCGCTCTCCAGCGGCTCCCCCGACACTTCACCCCTGCAACATCAGATCCAGCCAGTGCAGCAGGTCACACCGGCCATTTCTCTGTCTCCGGCTTCGACCAACTCATTTGTTCACGCCGCCAACCCAAATCATGTTAACTTCCAGCAGCCTGCTGCCAGCCGGACCCGCAAAGTCATCCCGATCGTCAACCCTAACACCGGGATGACCATGACCAGCCCGCCCTCATCGATTTCTCCGGCGATGATGCAGGCTGCTCAGCGTCGATGGTAAGGACCCTATCGGGGGGTTCCTGGCCGGGAGAAGAAAATCGAAGAAGCGCTCGCTTGCGAGCCCCTTCCATTCTCTCTCCTTCCCATGCCCTAGCGGCATGTTTACTGCACGTCACCTGAGTCTATATTCTGCATCATCGCGCGGGTCCTTTTAATCGCAGGTCTTAATATTCTTCTATTGCATTCTTGTCAATCTACGGCCACTTTGCATTTTTTTTATTGATACGACCTTCACCAACTTTGGAAACAATCCAATCTTTCTACGAAACGGCGACACTACCTTCCGAATTCTGAAAAACCCCCTTCAAAAAACTCGAAAATCCTCTTCGACAAAAAACTCCGACTTGTTTTTGTACATACCACACCTTTTCCCCTGCCCTCTCACACCGCCGATTACGACCTCCCTTTCGCCATACACCTAGATACTTTGCGATTCTTCCGCTTGTTGCGAGCGACGGCGCCTGCGATTTGAACTCCTTTTTGCATCCTTTACCACACGATACCTGTGTCTCTCGGGGAGGGACTGACACTTCTTTTCTCAGGGCCTCTTGCTTACTCTCTTCTTTTTACTTATTTCGGTCGGGCCTGCCGATGATGTATAGAACGTGCAGTGACTTGCTACTTGACGTACATGTCGCATTGGGAAACCGGAGTTTTCTCTTTTTGGGCACCGGAAAAAGAACAGACCGGCGGCTTTTGTGAAGCGCCTCTCTTGATCTTCTTTTCTCGACCCGACTCTCTCTTCCACCTATGCTGTGACTTATTTCGACGATTTCCTTACTTCTTGGACTTACTTGGGGTTTTGTTTACTCTTGGGGCGGGATGGATATCACATGTTTTTCAAGGATCTAGAGGCGGAAACGATACACGTCTGCATTGCTTGGGCACTGTTGTGAAATATCTGGGTCTGTTTTTGCTTTAGTTACTGCTGCACGTCTTCGTTTTTTTCTTTGATTGTCTTTTGCTTGTACATCGGTTTTTGAGGGGGGTGGGTGACACGCGATACTCGTTTACTACCTTGCCACAGGTTTCAAAGTGGCTGGTTGGATTTTGGTTGCGAGCGAAACCATGGGATGTGGAGTTGTTTTCTCTCTTGTTTGAAATCGATATCCTGGGGGTCTGTCGCAGACATGCGAGTCATAGACCATATTGCGTTGAAAATGGCTTTACCACTTCTATCTCTATTATTGCTGCTCCTCTCTTCGTTCTTGACATATCTATATTTGCCTTTTCTCATGTCTCTGCATCGACTCATCCTCATTCGGACCTTTGAGTCACGTATTCCAGAACGGAAGACGTCTTGGGATTCAGCGCCCGGAGAGTTGTGACTACGCTGTATGATGCTTCATATTTTGAATTTTCGTCCCAACTGTCATTTTCTTCGTCACAATCACTTCTCTTTTGTTCATATGTTCAATAGCTTGTTCACGTTCCATACAGCTGTGTGATATACTTGGACAAAATCGATGTGCATCTGATTCTCATTTACAATGCCATTCTTCTTATTCTCAGGCAACGATTCTGTTGTGTTTCTCTCGTAACCAGACTCCTGGAGTTTTGAGTTGCTTCTGATCTGTAATGATATATACTCTGCTTTGTCTAGGCAAGATTCTTCGAGAGCCCCTGCATCCGTCATTGATACATGTCCATCCCCCTACGTTGCTAGAATGCCGGTATCTCTCTATTTCTTCCACTACCCAGCATTTCATGATGTCATTACTTTGGCGCATACTAGCGGCGCTGCTTTAATTGAGCGTGAATGCAGGGCTCCATGCCAGATAATTGACCCTGCTGGTCGCTGCAAACAGTTCGGCAACTCTTCCACTTCTATATATATATGATCCTATATGATCAACATAAGAGTAGCCAATCACCTATTTGTAATATGAAAGACTTCGCCTTAGGCAAACAATACATACACCAGCTACACTCAGTCTGCACCGCCTCCAGCAAAGGCATATCCGCCCGGCACCGGTTAAGTATCGCTGACGTCACCGGTGACGGTCGAGGCTGTCAACTCATTCGTCCAGCCAGGGTTTCTCAATAAGAGGAAAGCGATGGCTCGTCGTGATTGATCTGCTTAATAAGGTCAGGAAACTCTGTCCGAGAAACGTCGTCTGCATCTTCATGACATTGTGAAGTACTCTGCGCCTTGTAGCATACAACCTCTACAAGCACTCCTCCCCTTTTCATACCTGCCCATCAATCCTGAGAACAGCCATATCTGGTATCCGGCCCTGAAAGGACTGATTACCCCGATTACTACCTACATCTACCTCTTGATCTCCTACGACCGTTGCCATGTCTTTCCTCACGAGCTCCATTCGTGCCAGCTCCCGCCGAGTCGTGCAATCCACCTCTACCCTACCTTCGATCTCCGCTTTGCACACCTCAACACCACGGTGGAGTCTCAAGGAAAGCGATAAAAGTCAGTGCCCTCACTGCAACACTTCTTTCACAGTCCTTCCCCAAGAGTCATTAGCTTCAGCTCCTTTCCCTCGAATATTCAACCTGCGCAGCATTCCTTATCAACAGAATCCTCTCAACTGACTCTGTACCCAGACCGCGATGACCTGCCAAACATCTACGAAATACAGCGCGACCACCAAGTCAAGACCGGCAAGGAAGGGAATGCGAAGTGGAACTCCGACCTGGCGAGTAATAGTGAAGCAGATGTATGAATCCCTGGCCCGGTTTATCCGTGGAGCAAGTTCCCAACAGAGCTAACGAAGACTTGTTGTTCCCTATAGATCAAGGCAGATCGAGGTGAAGTCGACTCTTCGGATAAGAGCTTCCAAGAAATGCAGCAGAAGATGAAGAACATCCCGACCAGAAAGTAATTGATGTCACATGCATAATGCGAGGAAACTATCTTTTTATTTGATTTGAGGTGGAATTTGAAAGCTTGAGTCAAGTAGGATTTATCTGGAGGAAGCTTTTTGAAAATCCTGATCATAAGGTGTGTATGCGCGGGTAGTGATGCTTTACTCTAAGCAAAATTGACTGCGTGATTTGATATTTACGTGAAGATATCATAAATGGTAACTGCAAAAGGGAGAGAAGCGGTGATCATGAATGTGTTTGTAAATGTAGAAAGCATTTCACCAAGTCGAACATTGACTCGTAGGTTCCAAAACGCCAGCAGACACCATAAGAAATTTGACAACCTCAAAACGCCCGCTCGCAAAAAAAAAATTAAGGACAGAAACAGACCAAGTGGAAATATCGCGACAAGCCGTCGCGCTCATTTCAAGATAACAATCAAAATAACCAGAATGATGATCAATCCGATGATCGTCATCATACTCCAATTCTCGCCCGCCCGCCGACGGAATCGATCGAGACGTCGTCTTGCGCCATCCAGCCGGTTCTGATGGCGCTCTACATCGCCGTCCATACCGTCTAGTAATGCAACATGACCATCGAGCTCGTCTCCGATCTGGATGCTCAGCTGATGCTGTCGTCCAATCGATTCACCAAGTCGATCTAATTGATCATCCTGGTCGCGCATAACTCGATCATGGTGCTCATAGATCTGCTCGTTCGACATATTGGACTGGTCGGGACGAGGAGGCGACGGCTCGTCGCGGTACGGACGGAACAAATTTTGACGATCCCGGTCCTCCTCTTGATCTATTTCCTCTTGGACGGCAGCAGCAGCAGCAGAATTATCCATAAAACGCACTGATTTCGATGGCGGATGTTGTGGAACCGGCTGTTTGAGATCGGGCGAGGTCGCAGACCAGTGGACGGAGTCCGACGCCTGCCCCGGATCCTGGTCAGAAGGGTCGCCGTTTGTACCATAAAATTGAGCGGAGAGGTCTCGGAGCTGATCGTTGAGCGGGCCAAGTTGGTCCTTCAAAGCGGCAGCGCCTGCGCTGTCGTGGGAATCCGTCAGCCGGGCCTGCTCCGTCTCGACGGCTTGGATGCCTTCGCGAAGAGAGTCAAGAGATCGTGAAATCTCGCCATCCTGCGCATTGGGTTCAAGATCGAGGGAAATGGCGCGCTGTCGCTCTAGAAGTGAGAGTTTAATATGATCGGCGAGTAAGAAGAGCTGGGATGGATTCGCCATGGTGTCAGAGGGAGGGAGGCAACGTGGTATTGGTATAAATGGAGGGTGGACTTTTCACGGTGAGATATGTAGGTCCGTGCAAATAGCACCAGACAGCTCAGTCAAATCGACAAATCGCTGGACGAGAGAGTGATGCTGGCGCCGAAGGGAGTAAGACGAGGGTCGTCAAGTCGCAGCTTAGGCAACCCCGACTTGGCCGAGCGCGGGTCTGCGATCTGCCGCTTTCCGCCTTCGCCGCTCTCCCTTCTTCTCCCCCCGCAATCCCACCTTTCACTCTATTCCTTCTCCATATCCCTCTCTCCTATACTTTTCTTGCATAGTGCGACTTTCGGGTGCTTTTTCTTCGCAATTTTTCAATCTTCTAGGTGACCTTTGATCCCACCGCCACGCTAATGAGCCCAGCGTTCCTTGTGATCAACCTCGGTATCTAGTTCCCGTATCGTCCACCCACCTACTTTCACGAGCTGACTCGGAATTTTTGAGCAGTCACGACGCTGGGATAAAATACGTTCTGAACACTCAAATACGTCTGAATGGGCCTTCATATAGGCTTTTGTTCCTGTTAATTATGAATTTGCAAGACTTTTTGGCCGCGGAGTCCGACTCCGACCGCGATGACCTGGTAGATCTCCGCGCCCTTGATTTCGTCTCAAGCTACGATTCACATTTGATGTGTCCGATATGCCACTGTCCCTTTGTCCAACCTGCGCGACTGCAATGCGATCACGTTTTCTGCCAAAAATGCTTGCGATCGGCTATCACCACCTTCCATTCGGCCGACTCGGACGAGTTCCCGTGTCCCTCTTGCCGAACCCCCACAAGCCGAGTCTCGACGAATGTGCCCCGCCTATTGATCAACATGTGCGACGAGATTCAAGTGCGATGTCCTTTAGCGACAGATGGTTGCGAGGAGGTTGTGCCGCGAGGCCATGTCCAGTCGCACGTGGATAAATATTGTGGTTATCGGCTTGTGCCGTGCGCGGATAGTTCATGCGAAAAGAAAACCCGGAAGAAAGATCTGCCTCCAGAACCGAGATGCATGCATAGCTATTGTCGATGTTCTCGCTGTGAGGAGGATTTGATGGAGCAGGATTTTGACGAACATGACAAGGAACTGTGCCCGAGCCTGGAAACAACCTGTGTCGATTGTGGAACTACTATCCCACGACGAGTGTTGAAGAAACATATCGAAACTTGCCCTGACGTTGTGAGCCCTTGCGCAGCATCTAAGTATGGATGTTCAGTGAAGATCAGACGCGCCGACATTGCGATACACGAGAAACAGTGCCCGCTAGTCTCAATTGGGCCATACTTTGAGGCCCAGAATACTCGACTGAATTCCCTAGAGCTGACTATGCGGCATCTTCAACAACGCAATGAAATTTTCGAGGATGGGATGTTGAATATTCGGTCTAAACTTCTCGAGTCCGCGCGTACAACTGAACGAAATGGCGGAAGGTCCGTCACTTACGGGGAAAGAGGTCAGCAACCTCGAAACGATGATGCAGAAGAGTCTACAGACCGCTCAAACATCTTTTCTTCAAATGCCACCACATACTTGCTCTCTCTCCACGAGTCCCTGCGAGAGGAAGTTAGTCAAATGTCACACGCTCTCACCGATCTCGATGCTCGTGCAAGCATGACGATCATGAACGAATGCTTGCGGATCAAAGAAGATATGGCCCACACAAACGCCGCTGTCAACAGCGTACGGATGCAGGTGCAGTGGCTGATGAACCCCCGACTTCACAATGGAGCACGGGCTGCAGGCATGCGCACCAACGCAACCGGCAACGAGCCAGCTCGGACTCCGTTGACCTCAACTTCGGCGCCTGGGCCGAGCAACTCTGCTGGGCCATCTTTGGGGCCACTACGACCGCGTCGACCTAGCGATACTGGGCGCGAAGGAACCAAGCTTTAAGTTAATTAGGATGTGTGATTAAGAGCGTTGCATTTTCTCCGGTTATTACTGTGGAGAGGGAGTCTAGGGATGGTTTCTTTTTGATAGGTTCAAGGATTTTCGAATAATGAGAGTTGTGGGATTAGTTTTCTAGGATATCCATGATTCAATCTGTTGATTGTCCAATATTCATGCTTGTGCATACCGAGATCCAGCGATTGGTTTAGTAGCCAACCAAGATATCAAAATTTAGTTTTTAATCTTGCAGAGGGGAATTCGTATGATAGATATTGGCAGATATTGACGTCTTTCTGTAAACCTAGATGGATTGCAGGTCACTCTCAGACTCCTTTCCAACATAGCAAAGGAGCATCTAGTCAGTCAGGATTCAAATAAGATTGGAAAATTGATTCTTGAACGCCGATAAGAGGCTGTCGTGCGGTATTGCGAGTCGAAAAGTGCGTCAAGCTGCATATTGAGCAAACTCGATCTCAGACTCTGCAGCAGCTGGACTTCAGAGAATTGCCGCCACCGCTCAAAGACCACTTTTTCCACCTTCATTCTCTTCCTTTAATAATGCCTTTTACAAGTCCCATCTCATTCTTCGTAGTTTGAGTTTCTGAGGCATAGAAGCTGCTGATTTCGTTTTCAAACTTTGCTTTCCTGCTCTGTAGCGCCGACGCTTCGCTCGGGCCTTGTTCTTTCTTTGCTTCGGCGTGCCTTTCCTGAGGAATTCGCACTCAGGCATATAATCCATCAAATAAGGAAATTGTGGAGCCCCGCTCACAACGTTTCCGTCTGCATTCACGCACCACCCTGAGGATGGATTTAGCGGTATGCGCCAGTCCTCGGTCTTGGCGTACCAATCGTCCGCAACCCATCCCCCTTTGGGGATGGGTTCAGGTATGGGACCATGGAATCCTAAAAGGTGGGCTGCTCTGCCGTTCGGTAGACAAGGAATCCAAGATTGCATAAGTTCAATGAGGCAAGCCCTGTCTTCTTTCACATGGAGAAACAGGTTTATATCTCCGGATTTCTTCAGCCCAATCTCCCGTAGTCTGATGTTTGCCAGCTCTGGAACTCCACTTTCGCTCCATGCAATCTCAATCAGACGTGTTATGTCGACATTCGGTATCCTCTGGATAGTCCAGGTCTTGAATGGGGGATAGCGGCAGTTCCACGTGAGTGTAAGTGGTGGTGGCAGTTCAGCTCTTAAGGGGCCCGTAGACTGTGCTATCTTGTTCTTTGCATCAAAAAAGGAGCAAAATCTCAATTGAAGGGGCCTGGTGGGCGGAGGCACAATTTGGGCCAGGTTCCCTCGTTCCAAAAGAGAAAGCCAGGACTGCGAATTATAGTAAAGTCGTTCTTTTGCTGTTGCCGACGTCGTGAAGATGAACAAGTCACCTAACATCACATGCACCCCCAGGCACAAAATGGGGATTGAGGAGATCAATTCATTGCTATTGTGCATTAGAGATAACTTTGCATCTTCCAGTTGACGGTAGAAACGTCCGCCTGCTTTTTTGAAAGTCTTATATGGGGAATAAGAGCAACTCCAGCGCACCTGAATCCAATATTTGGGTTCACAATTGTCAGCTCTGAGCAGATACTCAGTATCATCGCAGGCAATCAGATCCTCAGGTACGGAGGTTGGGACATTTGCTGAGGATACACTATTCACTTGGTCGATTTCCTCGACATCAGACCCTGGTGACAGGGCTTCTAAATCAATCACCTCAATTGAGTCTTCTTGCTCATCTTCCAACTCCTCATCATACTCGATGTCCACGTTTTCTTCGGAGTTTCCGATGCTCCAACTCGTCTGAGGAGGCTCATTTGGCACCAACTGAACTTCTTCTTCAAACTCCATCTCATCACTAACGGCAGTACCATCAGGTGCAGAGCACTCAGGTCGTGAATTCATCTGGCCTGCATTGTTGGGTATCGATATATCACTCCGTGGTGCCTGGATCGAGTGAGATCTCAGGCTCCTGGTGATTGCTTTCTCCGCCAAATACGCGGCGATCTTGTCCGCTTGGTGGATCACATATTTCACATAGCTGGCTGGGGCTGTCGTGCTGGGGTGCTCGTCAATGTATCTGAGAATGTCCCTGTGGGATGATTGAAGTCGCAGGAGCAGTTGCGCCACGTCGTCATCCTTGTACACATAACAATAGGGGTCCGGCCACGAGGGCGTCATGGTATCTTCAAATTCAAGTACAAGGCATCCAAAGTATCGAGACAAATGTTCAGCTTCTCAATGCGGGGACAAAATTCGTAGTTGGGTGAGAATTCATCGACAAGGGGGTATAGACAGTGACACGTCGACCCGAAACGGAAATGTGGATCGCACGAATCAACATAAGTAGTTTAGAGTCGACACGTCACATGGGATTTATTAGTGACCTCAATCTGGTTGATATACTCTGTGCATATCGCTGAGAAGTTTATCTGAAATAATTATTATTTTGAGAGCCACTTTCTTCCCTCGGACGAACGGATTGTACGTCTGAGATCATGGGTTTTCTAGTCTTCGATCATATTACAATTATCTGCGTATAATAAACCACAGTCTATCCAACGCCTTGAGAAATCTTTGATATTCTGTTCACCCTTTGCGGCACACTTCAATCCTTTGCAGGGTTTTCGGCAGGACAAAAGACAAACTATCCTGCGATGTCCCAAAAACCTTGCCGTGAAATCTCCCTCCATGGTCATCCATGTTGATCCATGATCGCTAGTTGGTGCTGTTCCCTGAGACCAGCATATCCAAACTCAAGGCATGAATTTTGAGTAGGCTTCAATATTTGAACTGCCTCGAGGATTCCAGTGGTGGGCGGGATGAGGCTTTGCATGCCGCATCCAGAGCCATAGGGTAGATTCGAAGGTAGCGACCCATAGGTCAGGGTTTCTGGAATCGGAAGCCATGCTGATATCAATGCTGGGAGAAAATCAAGGCGGATCTGCTCTTTGGCAAGTTGTTAATCAAAAATCGTGAAAGTTGCTGATCAATGAACTTTTCCACGGATGGGCACCATCGCTTTCCTGACGTATCTGTAGCATACGGTCTTGACTCGTTGAGGGACACCGCCGGGACGACGAAACGTCAAGCTGCGGCGCAACCCAGCCCCATCATAACTAGCTTTTCGCTCCGTGGTATCCGACTCGGTGGTCGGCGTCTCTGGAGTTGGGACTTCTTGCGCTGTGGGCTCCGGCTGCCGAGTTAAAGGAACGCCTTGAGTCGACTCTTGCGTCACCGTCGTTACTGCTACCACTTCATGCTGGTCGTTATCAGGAGAAGGCGGCGTCGTTTGCGTGAAAGCTTCCATTGGAGGAGTCGAGGTATCATATGGAGGGGGCAGTGATTGTAAGGAATCCAAGATTCGCTCATGGATGCCTTGATCTCGCGATAGAAAGACCGAGGGTGCTGGTATTTCGGCCTCCTCGACCCCGGTATTCAACCCGAGTGTATCCTCCTCTTGGTCTTCTTCGATTATTTCCATTGCCCCGACTCCTTGTATGATCTCTGTAGTGTCCTCTTCATCGTTACTTCCTCGCTCATCCTCGTCGTCTTCAGACTCTTCGTGGTATTCATAATACTCATCGTCAGTGTCGCTCTCCTCCTCTGACCAGTCTTCATCTTCCCCTTCGTCTTCTTCGTCGATGTCCTTGTTAAAGAAATTTTCCACAATGCGATTGACAGCCTTCTGGTGCTTGTCTTCAGCATCAGCATCAGCTGTGTCACCAGCCTCGGCATCCTCCGTCGATGGTGGTATCTGGGTCTCGCGATATTCCAAGGCCTTGCTCCGCAGGGACGCAGTGGAATGCTTCGTGTCCAGACAGGACACTGCCTTCCTCTGGATTCCGAGGCAATGCACGGCGCGGTAGGCCTGGGACACCAGGTCCATCACATAGGTGGCGGAGACGGTGTCGCTTGGATGGTGCATCGCATGATCAAACACTTTCGCACAGTGCAGCTCGAAGATATCGGCAAAGTGAGACACATCTTGAAAATCACCCTCTTTGAACGAGGGCTCTGGCCATTGGGAGATCATGTTGATTGGTATTGGTGTGGGTGGTTGCAGGGAAGAAGCTCCGGAGCGGACGCGCGAGATGTACTTAACGCGTCAAGCTACGCAAGGGGCCATTGCGCGCGTCGACCCTGGATATGTAGGGAGCTTGTACCGCGCCGACCCATGGATTGATTGAACAAGGCAAAAAGCTAATTGTACTTTTTATTTACCTTTACCAATTCAGCCAGGGCTATTGCTGTTGTCTACAGGACCTCTATATATTTTGCTGCTGAAAAAATTTACAAGATAGCAAAAAAGAAATGATCTCAGGTTATTTTTAGGAATAGCCGAACGCGGGGGTCGAACCCGCAACCTTGAGATTAAGAGTCTCACGCTCTACCGATTGAGCTAGCCCGGCAGGGCTGGTTGAAAAGCAACGAGGAATTTGGCTTTATAAAGAAAAAACACTAATCAAAGCATGGAACTGTATAGCAAAGAATACTTCGCCCGTCTCTCATTCTACCGTTTTGTAGCCGGCTTATCTTAAGACTACACCATGATCTCTTATCTCCCAGTTTGATCAACTAACTTTTCTAACTACTATCCTCTGCACTCCCTATCATTTTCTTACTCTTCATTTTTGAAATTTTGATAAGAGTCTTGGAATGATGTAAGGGTGGTGACTCTCGGTTGTTATATATAACTGGGGCTGATACCTGACAAACTCAATGTTGAACTCAGCCCTCAATTACCAAAGTAGATAACGTTTTTGGATACATTTCACGATTCTATTGCTACGATTCATTACAAACAGTCATAATATCATAAAGGTATACAAAATGATCGTTCCTAACCATTCTAGCCTCCTATGAGACCCATCGAAAGATCCTTCAGTACCTGTAACTGCCCGGTCCATATCCTTGGTGGCCATAAGAGCCTTGGTCTTGCTGCTGCTGCGCTTGATACGAGGCATGTTCATGTCCTTCCCCACTGCCAACTTCGTCGGGGCCAAGCTCCCTCGAGCCATGCGAGAAACCACCAGGTATGAAATTGGAGATGGTGCTCTCGAGTTTATTTAGCTTGTTGAGGTTCGACATACCAGGGATAGGCAAATGAGAGAGCTTATCCCACGGGAGACCAGACGAGCCATGACTGGACGAACCGTGGCCAGACGAGCCCTGGCCAGATGGGGCGTGCTGCGACAGAAAAGACTGTATGCCGCCAACGGAAAACCCATGTCCTTGTCCCTGGCCAGAGCCTTGACCATGAGTCTGCCCGTGGGCAGAGCTACCCAATGCGGCAAATCCGCCATGTTCACCGGCGTGCGTGTGTGGAACACCACCGGTATTACGACCTGCCCGAACGCCCTCAGAACTGAGAACGTCGTTCAGATTGGAGCCGCGGTCTGGACGGGAGTGGACCCAATTCTGAACGGCCTCAAACATAGTACGGTGAGCTTCGTTGTGCATGTCTCGGAGTATAGGATGGTGGAAGACGCGCAGGCAGTCATCTAGAACCTCCTGCTCTGGGACGTCAATGTGCTGCCATGCGTAAAGCACCCGGGGAGCAACGTATTTCAGAATCGCTGATGCAACTTGTCCAGCTGGTTCATTCAAGATATTGGCGAAGTGGTCCTTCGAGAGGAGGGAGTGAGTGGGATCGGTGCAGTGCGGGTCGGTCCATGGCTCGTACTGGTGCCTCCCCGAGGCAGCGATGACACCAGAAGAACCGGTCTGCAGGGACTTGGAGGCTGCATTGATCAGGGGCCGAATAAAAGGTGCAAGTAATGACATGATGAAGACGGTCAAAGTTTCAGAAATCTTCTCAACGATAGCCTCCAAGCCCGGAACCTTCTCAATGATAGAATTCAATTTGCGGGCAACCTTGTCCCGGAAAGCCAATATGGGGTAAATCTTGGAAACCGTCTCCTGAGGGTTGAGGTCGGGCATGCCTTGAAGACCTGGCCCGGGTCCTGTGCTAGCCGATGTAGAGTGGTTGGGATCAGATGCACGGCTTTGTTCAAAGCCGCCTGCCTCAAAATACCCCATATGCGAACCATGGGAGCGATTGGCCGTTTCTTGTGCCTCGGATAGCTGCTTCAGATGCTCGGCCTCCATTACCAGATCTCTGGTACCGGGAATTTTGCCCAGCAAGCCAGTGAGGGCATTGAGAGAGTTGTTGGACTGGGAGTTGGCCTGTGCATCCCCAAGAGCCAAGTCCATTTCATTGACCTCCGACTGGGTAAAATGATCGGTCGCTTCGCCCAGGACCGAGTGGAAGAAATCAACCATGCCGAAAGTTCCAGTCACGAGGGGAAAGACGTGGTGTCCGCGGATATTGCACTGGGTCGCGGTGCCAGTGTGAGGGAAGACATTGTGGAAGCCCATTTCCCGTAGCGCCAGTTCGATGTAGTTGGTGTGTGCCGCAAAGTCCTCGAGAGTATGAAGTCCCTGGCCTAAGCAGCGAAGAGCCTCGCAGAGATCCTCTTCATTACCCTTGCGATCGCCGCCGTTGGTGTACATGCGCCCAAAGTGGATGCTACGGCTGAGGCTGTACTTGATATAGCCGGTACTGGTCGCCCAGTCCCCACGCTCGTTGGCGATATAATTTTTCATCCCGGTGTCAAGGTCGATATCGAGCTCGACTTGGCGGACCGGGGGTCGCAGACGCTCATCATACTGGCGCGCGTCCTCGTTATCAGCATAGTCTTTGGGATTGCTGGAGAGATTGTCAGTCAAAGCATTGCACGGATCACAGTGATTTTAGCATACTCAATATGCTCCTCCGGCCGATAGACACCGAGCCGTTCGGAGGTAACTTCAAATTCACCCGTCGCGTATCCGAAGCTCAGGAACGAAAGGACCCACACAAGGACACGGATAGTCTCGGCCTGGAGGTTTTTCAGGGTCCCGACATCCATGGCTTGTGAACTGGTGGGACGGGAACCGGTTAGCCGCAATATTTTCTTATTTGTGTTTTTGTGTTTTTTCTTTTTCTTTTTCTTTTCCTTTTTCCAGATAGCATAGCATTGTAGCAAAGCACCAGAGAGATGGAGTGAAGACAACTCACTAATCGCGCAGCCAATTTCCAAAGTACACTCGTTTCACCATGGTCGACGTCCATTTGTGACCGGCAATGAACGCAATCGTTTTGAGCATGTCCTCGATGTCGCCATGGCGCCAATTCTTGCCCTCAACGGCAGAGATGGAGGCAATGTCTAGGATTGTCAGTCAAAGTAACACCGGAAATCAACGAGAAAGACATACTGCCCGCGCCGAAAGCGTGGGCGTTCGGCACAAGTACAAGCACAAGCAACAGGCACACGAGCAGGGAGGGGGACCCCGCACGGAGGAGCAACATGGCTTGTCCGGACACTGATACAGACGGTATATTGAAGGAGGGTATCGAGGTGGGATGCACGTTGAAGTCTCAAGAAGTGTAAAAGAAGGCAAGTGCGCAGCAGCGCGCGACCCCGGGACTTTTGTGCGGCTGTGTCTCAGCCCAGTGTGTTCTTGGCGACGATCGCGCCATGACGTCCGTTTGGGGCCGCTTTGACGTTGCGGCGACCAGTTGAATTCCCCAGCATGAGATGCTGGTATAACACTCGGCGCCTAGAATTTTCTCTTATTGTCCGATCACTTAATTGGGCAAAATGAATAAAGGCCGCCGAAATTGCAGATTCCCGAAACATGTGAATTCTGGGACGCTGGATAGTTCACTCGTCAATGGTTCGGACCTCTACAATGCCATGTGTGCTCTTTTATTGAAATCAATCCTGATAAGTGCTTGGCTCAGACGTCATCACTCTGGGATATTTTGTATTATTCCGATTGCCGTTGCAAATCATTGTGGCTTGTCTGCAATCTATACGAAGAATACTCTTCTGCTGCCTGTACCACGATGCGGCCCTAAAAACTTCAAGTTCGTATTTCCATTTGCCGTACCCGAGTCCTCTCTGGGTTGTCTCAAGTTTTCACTTATCCATGCCGCAGGAATGTGAGAATCTTCAGACTTCGAAGCCATACTACACTGGCCGCCCCCCAGAGCCTGGGCTATGTCTTTTGCATGTGCGGCTATGCAGACCTCCGGCATCTTGCATCTGCTGCATGATTGCGTTCTTGCTGTTTTGGATGTCCGAACGACCATACAGCTGTAAATATCTTCTGGATTGACCCAGAATTGAGACAGAGAGTCAAGATAATCAGCGTTTGATTGAAGGATGCGATCTGGTTGGAATCTGCAATGTTCCCCTTGACATCTGATGTAGGGTTTGGAGGGGTTTGGAAGATTAAGTCGAGAGATTAAGGCTGCTCTTTGAGGAATCTCATGCTTGAAGCATTATTTTCGAAAGGTGTGATGAGAGGCTGCTACGCGGCCGACTTTACCTCGTCGCATCTGTTTACATGCTGGATGATCCTGATTTCTGACATGTTATGTCCCCCATCAACGGGCCGTTGGTTCCTCGGCTAATTACCCGAACTCAACCCGCCAACCCGAAGCGGATGTCCGATAGGCCCTAAACTCCGATCGCTCTTGTATACTTCCTGTCTTCGCAACGGCAATACCCTAGAGACCTAAGCTTGTCCTGTGATCTTATCACGACGTTGCAGACGCCCTGCATTCTAGAAATAAAGAAGCTTTCCCCCGCAAAGTGGGATACTTGGCTCGTAGTGACATCCTTGTACCGTCTTCAATACCACCCCATGTACCCCCATTTAACCCAATTCCCACTCCAGTGCGCCCATACGCTTCTCTCTCTCCCCATGCCGATTGATAGACGCTGATCTCCGTCAAATCAAACAACAGAGTTGACCGTCCACCGGCCCGGTGTTCTTGTACTGTGTGCCTGGCGATTGGCAAACTGGTGGAACCTCGGAATTTACGGTGCGCAGATGGCTCCGTGCGGGCCCTCTAACCTCCATTTGATCTCCGATTTCCGATCGTCTTTACCTATCGTTCACCTATTGTCCGGTCCCTTTGCATATCGATGCTGGTTGGGAGAGTCGCATCGGATCCACCGTAGCATTTTACACAACCCCAGGCGACAAAGCACATGGTACTATCTATGGCCCTGATGTCACTGTAGTAGCCCCCGCCATTGTAGCATCGATATACCCCGCAGTCCATATAAACAATTTCCCCATTCTCGACTCCATCTTGAAATCCTCCAGACTCCCCAGACTTCTCAGGCTCTCCACATCCACCCTGGATCTTTCCTCGTCCTCCACCACCTCATTCCGCCCGAAGAGTCAAGGCCATCACAAAAACATGACCACCGCAACCCCCCACCTCGACGCCCTCCAACGCGACGGCTTCGTCGTCGTCCGCAACCTCCTCACCCCCACGGAAGTCGCCCACTACCGCACCATCGCCACCCAAGCAACCGCCCTCGCCCGCACCGGCACCTGGCCACACTTCCGCACTGTCCCCAAGCAATTCCCCCCTGGCCCAGCACCCCGCCCCCCGCCTCAGAAGGCGGCATTTGGGGTGTGCAGCACCTGCTGCACCCGTCCATGCCCGGCCGCGACGCTTTCGCCGCCTGCTACTTCTCGCCGTCCATTCTTGCCGTCGCCGAAGAGCTCATGGGCGTGACCTCGCTGAGCCCCGCCAGCGAACCCCTCGTCCTCGAGCTCTTCAACCTGCTCGTCGCCCCGGAGACGCGCGACTTCGAGCTGCGCTGGCACCGCGACGACATCCCCGAGACCGTCGCCGGGGACGAGGAGCTCGCCCTGCTCGCCGCCAAGGCCCCCGGCGGCCGCCAGAGTCACTGTCAGTATAACCTGGCGCTGTGTGAGGACATGTCGCTGGTCGTCGTGCCAGGGTCGCATGCGCGCGCGCGCACGGAGACCGAGCGTGCGGCCGATCCGTACCAGCCCGAGTTGCCGGACCAGTTGGTGGTCAAGCTGGAGCCCGGCGATGCGGTGTTCTACAATAGCAACATCTTGCATCGTGGGGTGTATCGCGCGAAGGAGGCCGGGGCGGAGGAGTCGAGGCTGACGCTGCATGGGAGTATTGGATTGAAGGGGGAGGAGGGCGAGGGGGAGGCCGAGAAGAAGAAGGTCAGGGCGACGGCGGTGTTGCAGCATGGGGTTGGAGCGTGGGTGCATCGTGACGATGCGGCGTTTGGCTTGGGAGAGAGAGCCGAGCGGATGAGGGCGAATCTGGTGGCCATGGGGACGGGCGAGGGGGTAGGGTTCTCGTTGCAGGGTTGAGGCGGTTCCTTTTTTGATGAATTTGTGGAAAATGAATGAAGAGAGCCAAAGACGAAACGACTTGTATATTTGTTTTGCATGGAAATCCGAGGATTGTTATCTATGGGATGGTCGTTCTTTCTGGATGGGACTGCTTGTTTGTAGTATAGTTGAATGCATTGTTAGAATAATCAAGAATGAAGAAGGAAGATTGAGCAGAAAAGGGCTGTGCTCTTGGAAGATGGAGGGTTGAGTATGATCAAAGTCTTTTGATATACCCTGAGTAGGAACCATCGGAAAATTCGGAGTACAGGACCTTGAGATTTTCACCTTTATATAAAGATTCATGTATCTACTTATCTATCTCTCCACAGACCTCAAAGAAATATATAGTCCTGAACCTCCCCTCAATGTATTCCTCACCCTGAATCGATGCTTATTTCTTACCAGACCCCTCCACAATATGAACACCACTCGGCAAACCCAATATTTGTCCGCCCTGACTTAGTTCACAAGCGACGAGCGCAGCTTGTCCGTCGGACTCCGTCAGACAGCCTCCGCGCGCATTTTGCACGTGGCCAGTGATGAAATGGGACCAGTTCGTGCCGGACCCACCCTTGCAGGGTAAAAGTGAGAGGTCTCCTTTATCGTTGACAGCTAGACACTTCGTGTCCTCCGAGAGCGGGCTGATCGTCACCTTGGAGCCCTGGCCGGCGACGTGCCAGACCTGAGTGTCGGCGGCATTGCACGCCCCAAAGGTGGCCCGGGTCGAGGATGCGGTCAGACAATTTCCCGAGACCGTGCTGAGGATCATGCCGGTTGGGGTAATGCCGGTGCAACCACGGGGAGGGGTGATGCGGTAGACAGTCGTGGCGTGGCTGTCCAGTTTGATCTCGACGCTACCGCTGATCGTCGAAGTGCTGCCGTCTACGAGCTCACGGGAGCGGTACTTGCATTTCGGATCCAGGCCCAAGTGGGCCACGGGGATAGTGATCTTTTCGGTGCTGCTGCCGCGGTTCAGGACCGTGAGCAGCCGGTCTCCGTTCGCGAGGGAGCGGGTGAGGACATCGAAGTTGCTATCGCGGCTGACGAGTGCAGCCTGCTGAGCGAGAGAGTCCTGATCAACGGCAATGAGATCCTTGTTACTGAGGAACTTGATGTCGTCGCTAGACAGGCTAGGAATGTACGCGCTCAGGATGAGCGGCGCACCGAACGACGCCCACAGAGCAAAATGCGAGCGCTTCTCGGCATCTGTCAGACCCGGGTGGTCGGGGATCAGGAAATCCGGGTCATTGTAGTATCCAGGCTGCTGGTAGCGGACGACAAGGGTATTGAAATTATAATTCACCATGATACTGTCCCAAGCGCTCCCTTCACCGACGTACACTAGGACGTCATCCGAATGCCGGGCCAGCTCACCGTAGTAGGGAATCCAATCCATAACCATGGCCCACTCGGTCTTATTGTCAGAGAAATACGCGGGAGCACTCTCTGAGAAGATCAGTGGTTGGGCCATGGCACTCAGGATTTGGTGCCACTGCCCGTAACGGACCTTGTACTCATCGCGCAGTGAGCGACCATCCTCTGCGTAAACATTGCACCCGTCCAGCTTCAGGTAATCAATGCCCCAGCTCGCAAAGGTATCGGCATCTTGCTGCTCGTACCCGTACGAGCCCGGATATCCACCACAGGTGGCATTGCCCGAGTCCTCGTAGATGCCGAGATGGAAACCATGAGCATGGGCGTAGTCAGCCAGCCACGGGATGCCATGAGGGAACTTGGTCGTATCCCACTGAAGTGACCCGTTGGCAGCTCGGTTGTGGAGCATCCAGCAGTCGTCTAGGTTGAGGCGGTTATAGCCCGCATCGAGAAGACCGGTCTTTACCATGGCCTGGGCGGTATCCGTAAAGAGAGTTTCGTTAAGATCGCACTCGAACCGGGCCCAATTGTTGAAACCCATCGGCGGAGTCGGCAGCAGCTTTGGGTCTTCCACTGAGGCGTGGACGGGGAGCCATGGGAGCATTAGGACACTCGCCATGAACGCCGGTGTGACCCAGCTGGTGGTCGATGATGTTCTCATCGTGCGTTGGTCTCCTTGGGATGCAATTGATAACGGATGTTGTTTACAAAGCAATTGGAAAAAAAGAAAAAGAAATCGCGACTCTCAAGGTATCTTATACCAATCGGAGAAGTACTCTCCAATGAGGAAACACGGACCGAGGGGGCAGTACCCCGGCAGAAGAGGGGAAAGTCATTTATACACGACTCCTCGCATACTGCAAGAATGTTTGCTTGTCCGGTTCCCCGCACCGGAGATGTACCTGTAGATCGACGAGATCATACGTCGCTAAGTAAGAGTGGTATTCTTGAATTGCGACGGTGGTATCGTCGATAAGGCCGTTAATTAAATCTTTAAACGTGTCCGCCAGGGCCAGCACGAAAGACGCAAGTTCTATCGTCGATCAGGTCCGATCAGCAGCATTTGCTAGCAGATCGGTACTGGGGCCCTGTGAGGTACTTGGAGGTACTTCAGCCAGAGAGCAGAGTAACGTAGTTCTGGAGGTACCTTGGGGGTTTTCAGGCCCGGGAGTTAGTTATTCATCATTAACTTGTTAGTGGCCTCATGCTGTTATCGCTGTGCACATTTCTCAGTTCTCGTCGTTGCCCCAGCGCCACGGGGCCTGGTTGCCCGGAGCCGCTCTTGGACAGCTTGAGCTTGCTCAAGTATAAGCACATCGCACGTTATCCTTTATGATCATTGATATCGATAAGCCCGTAGGCTCTGCAGGATGAAGTTGGCTGGATAGACATGTTCCCATTGGAACTTATATGTATATGGCCTGCCCGCTACTTGGGGCGGGGCAGGGGAGGCCCGAGAATGCTTAGCCCTGGCAGAATTCGGGTTGGCGATCGACCTCAGTCCACTGGCCCACCAGGTTCCAGTTCTATTTGCGACCCCGAACAGGCAAGACAAAAAGCTTGACAGAATCCGATTTTCATGGGGGAGGGTTATAGAACAGTATTTGGTGGATGGTGATTGCATCTTTGGCAATGACTTTGTCCCAATTTGTTTCCCTCAAGATTCCTTCCTATTGGGGACCAGCTGGAAGTGGCTTGAGACGGATGGATCACATTCGGAACGGCCGAGTGGAGCTTGGCCCTGGGCAGCTTTGGAACCTGGATGTTCCTAGGGGCAGTGGGAGGCCAACGAGGAGGCCAAATACGGTGCTCGAGTGGCTGAAGGCCGCCGGACAAACCGACTAGGCGGCATTTGCAGCGTGGCACAGCCATCTCCCAGCGCTGTGGTTAGTAGCCCACACACATGATGCATGCAAGATACGCCAGAAAGAGGCCCGCAGGCGATGTAAGTTCGACTACTTCAGCTGAACCAGGACTGGACTCCGGGGTACCGGGACTCCATTCGTCCTGATCCCTGGCGAGCAATTGGGGGTTCCTGGTTCGAAAAGATCTCTGGATTCCTAGCTGGGTTGAATATTTGGATCTCGGCCATGTTTCCCGCGTCTGGGCTGAGCGAGTGGGAGTCCTTGGTTCTTGGTTGGTCTGGTTGGATCAAATGGAAGTGGAGCCGTGCCGAAAAAAGGGCCTTGGGCCCAGCGGTTTTTCGTCGCCAGGTTCGTGGGTTTGGCTGGCTGGTCGGCGGGGGGAAAAGCGGCGATCAAGTGAGACGGAGAGTTGCCGTGGGCGTGGACTTGGACTTTTGGGGACGACTTCATTGAAATAAAGTCCCGGCCTTTCCCTCGTGACTTGAGGCCGTTCAGCAGTTCTGAATCTACGACCTCACGAACCCAAGACCCTAGGCCAGCATGCCCCCCACTGATGCCAAAACAAAGCTCCGCCCGCAACAATCCTGTCTAAAATGTCGCGAGCGCAAAGTGAAGGTATTTGCTACCCGCTATGACTGGTCTACGATCCCAATGCCTCCCGATCTTTCTCAATTTCGCATCCGATCCCATGCCGCATTCCATGCAGCACCCCACCAATACATAATCCGTCTTCCCCTCGTCCCCTCATGAAAAAGCAAAGACAAGCTTGGACACCTGCCAATTCCACTCCTCAAACAGCATTCCTTCTCTCCTATTCATCGCTAACAACAAGCCTCTCCTGCTAGTGCGACCGCTCTATCCCCTGCCATGCCTGCATCGTCCGTGGGCTTGAGGCTGAATGCACTTACCTGACTTCCCCCGAAGACCGCGCCCATATCAGCCAAGCGGAGATTATCGACCGCCTCCGCCGCGAAGTTGCCCAGCTGCGTGATCAACTAGGCCAGGCTTCGCGACGCCCGAGCCCCGGCGCGCGCAGTGCCAGCGACCGCAGCGCGTACCGGCGCCCTGAGTACGCGGGCTCGACGGGCTCCGCGGAGCATGGGGACGCGGTAGGAGGAGGGGGGCAGAGTTGGTCCGGATCCTCACCGTCGTCGACGACGACGACAGTGGCCGGGTCATTGGCGGTGACGAGCCCCGGTAGTACGGGTAGCGAGAGCGGCGCCGGGTCTGGATGTTTGGGGCGAGGGCAGTCGCCGTATCAAGCGTCGCTGGGGTATCCGGTATCTACAGCGGCGTTTGGAGGTGCACCGATGGCGGGTCCGGGTTTGGGTGAGTCCGGGTCGGCATTTGGGAATTGTAAGTGCGTTTGGTTCGGGAAGGACTTTGGGACCTTGCTCCAGACATGTCCGCTGGCACTTCCTTCTTCTATCATATGTCGTCCTGCCTAGTACTGACGGGTTTTGTTTCAGATCCCATCGACAATGCAACGGCCGCGCAACGTCCTGCAGACAGCATCCCGGCCTTTGTGGGCCACATGCCTGCTCCGATCTCTATGCACGGACTACCGCAACAGCCGCAATTGTCGCATCTATACGGAGCCGGGGACGGGATGAGCCCCGGCTATGATGGAAGCATTGTGCATCCCTACATGCTCGATTACGGGAATTCAAGTCTAAACACCGATCTGAACATGTATCCAAATCTGAACCTTAACCGGGAGGACCACGCGCGCATCGTGGCCGATCACGACGCGGCCCATGCTTACCAGCACCCACATCAGCAGACGTGGGGCGCCGATCCAGCAGTACCAATGGGCCAGCATTTCGCAGCGGTGCAGCAAGCGTATCCTTACCCAGACGCAACGTATTATTCCACATCTATCGATACGAACCATCATCACAACAACTTCGCCCCCGCAGATCCGAGCAACGATTCTTCCGGGCCATCCTCACACACCCCACCTCTCGGTCCAAACCAAACTCACATCCTCAACCCAAATCATGCTCCATTGCAGACAGAAGCACCTTTAGCCCAGACCCTAACGGCCCAGATTTCGAAATCCTGGAAGGGGGCCGACAAGCGGGATCTTCTGGAGACAATCCTCGAAACCATTGGCACCTGCGACGAGGAGCGCGTCGCACAGGTCGTTCAGGTCGTGCGCACGAGTCATACACCCGAGGAAGCCGTCTCGGGCATCTGCCACGTCCTGGGCATCGGGAGTGGACAGCCGTCGCCCACTTGAATGCGGCGGGATGTTTGATTCTGGCTCTGATTCTGATTCTTAGCGTTGGCGATGATTCAATGAGCGGAATGCGGAATTGCATATTGCGGGCTGGTCCCGTCATTCGGTGCCGGAGGGAGTTTTGATTTTAAGGGGGGACTGTGCCCCCATTTCGCGTTTCGGAAACTGTCGCTGGCCTGGCAGCTCCTATGATGTTCATGACCGTTGATGTTCATGCCCACGCTCACGATCCCATACTAGATTTCGGTAGACCGTTAGATTCATGTGGCGAGGAGGGAAACTTCGATAGACCCCGTCGTCTAGTAAGCAAAGGCCATGGTTTGTCGTGGTTGAGTCCATATTCGAATATCCATTCCATCTTCCACTTCCTCCCATTTTTTATGCCTGGCTTCGATTTTTGCGGACCGTAATTAGGAAAATGGTCTAGTACAGAACTATATGTCTGTATGCGTAAGTGTGACAGGGGTGATAATCATCACGTCGCCTTTTAGTCGTCATGCTGGGTGAAATCGGGAATCCAACGCCCGATTCTCGAGAATGTGTACCGCCGGACACCCGTGGAAAAACAAGCGGGACTCGAAACCCTGATTCGTCTCAGGACGTCTAGCTATGGCCATTCGGCTCGTCCAGCGGTTTCTGGCCATAGACAAAATGGAAGAGCACGTAGAGATGAAACCTAGAGCTCACCAACTCTGCGCGCACCTTGTCCATATACTCCTGGGCGTCCTGGAAAGAGAAGCCCAAGATCCGAGTGAACAAAGCAAGCGTATACGGCTCGACCACCTCAAGAATGGTGATTCTGCCCACGCGTCCAATCTCCTTGAGACGTTGGTTTTTGGCCCACCCGCCGACGGGACACTATTGCTTGTCAGTCAGGAGCCGGTACATCACAAGCACTGGGAACCTCCAAAAGGCTAGGAATCGAACCTTGTAAATATCATCCGAGACGTTGACGAAGCCCTGCTCCCTCATCCACTGCGACACTACAGGCGCCACATTCATCGGCTTTCCGAATTGTTTACTCGCCTGGTTCAGCTTGGTTTGCCACTCCATAATAGAAGTTGCACGTTCGTGAGTGCCATCGTCGGAGAGCACAATAGCCTCAAATTCCTGGGCCTCAAACCAGCCGCCGGGCTTAAGATGTTGGAATGACTGGCGTAGCAGCCTAGGCCAATCGCCGATGCCGCCACCCATGCTGCGGGCGTGGATATAGTCGAAAGGCTCGGTGGGTGAGAAGGTCCAATCGCTCTCAGCGTCATCAATGAAGAAGCGGCAGTTGTGTGGGGCCCAGGATGGCTGAATTGGGCTCAGGTCCGTACCAATTACTACGGCGTCTGGGAAGTCCTCGGCCATCTCGATGGCCCATTCGCCGGTGCCAGTGCCGACATCGAGGATACGATTCGGGGGTTCCGGCGAACGCGTGATGGGCGCACGATGAAGGTCACCCCCCGAGAGGAGCTTGAATAGGTGGTGCATCAGGGCGAGGCGTTCTTGCTCTTCCTCGTCATTAGGGAAAGGATATTGGCCGTGGCGATAGGCATGATAGCGGCGGCCATTTTCGTAGCTGTAGTCGCGAACGGAAGATGCAAAAGACAGATTGGAACCCACGAGGGATTGGGTATCAAAGAGTGAGTCGTCATCGCTGGTCTTGAAAGGGAAAAAAGGAAATGTTAGACTGAACTTGGAAAAATCTTGGACTTTGTAAAAAGAAAAAGCAGGACATAGAAAAGTGGGTAAAAATAATGAGAAAGGGGCGGAGAAGGGCAAGTGAAGAAAGGTAAAGATCTATGGCAGTCAGGATACAAATCGCGAATGCAGCGAAGTTGCAAGTGCGGAGAGTGACGCCGTGTGGGCGTTTTCAGGCATTCAGCCCGAGGAGGGGTCGCGTGGCAAAAGAACAGGCCACAAAAGCGAAGGAACGAGAGTGAGCTTCTGATGTTGCAGCGGTATCGTCATACCAGAGTGTGGAAGAACAAGATTTACGTGACATCGCAACCCCACGCACCGAGAAACATCAAAAAAGGGTGCTACAAAGGCAGAGTGGAAAAGAAGTACAGCCAGATCACTTACATCGATTTGAATCCGCTCGAAGGGATTTGGTTGAGACATGTGTGTGTCTATCAGAGGTGACGACCGAGGTGGAGGGGGAGGGGGAGGAGAAAGGTGGTGAGCGGAGTGGCGGGAGGAACCCTCGGTGTTGAGAGTCGAGGGAGGAAGATGAGCGAGCGAGGTGACGGAAAGAAGAAGGTTCCCGCAGTGATGACGAAGGGGAAAGAAAAGGTTGAAGCTATCCCGGTAGAGAAAACAAGGGCGAGAGGGAGGGAAAAAGGTCAGAGCGTCTTTGTCCTGGGACTAACCGCCAGAACGGCAAAACAATTCAACACCAGTCGAGTGGGCAATACCGAGAGAGAGGATACTGGGAACCCGGACGGGCGGGCCTGGAAGGTGATCCATCACACGGGGACTGAGGGAGGGGGAGACTCAGCGACGAGACCAGCGTATTCCAATCGGAACCCATCAGCATTCCTCTTCAGAAAAGTATCAATGCAGACGACATGGGTATTGGGGGAGACCAGGGTGTCCCATCACGGAAGCCCCCGCAACTTGGAACCTCCCGAGGGGCTGGGTTTCCTCACCCATGTCGGGCACTAGTCCCGTTCTCCCGGCGGGAAGGGGGATGGTGGGTGTCGATTATAGAATGGGAGATAAAAAAAAAAGGCGACTTGGTCGGTGCAGGATTCTGGCGGCCCGCTGAGAATCCCTAGAAATTCAAAGTACATGATCGTGCTAGTGAGCCGGCGTCAGCCTGTCAGCACATGGATAATCGAGACGAGCAACAGGAGAGGATAGAGGTATACCCTAGCCCCTCAGGCTCTCGTCGCAATGCTTTGTAATGTCGACTTGCAGGCCATCCCTGCCTTCGAACTGATTTGGGACCAGTGCGTCGGGCTCGCGTCCCCACATCGACGGGGTTTGACCTGGTTGGTTGGTTGGTAGAGTTGGGTTGAAAAGGTATTGCGGTCTGCGAAGCGGCGAAGAGGGGCTGGACGCAACGTGACTCGGTCGGCCCCGTGACTGGGGCCGATGCATGATTCAAGGGGGAAAAGTGCGATCCATCTGATAACTGGACTTTACTTTCACGAGCTTTATAGTCTTTCTTTCTTATATGTTTATAATCGAATCTGTGCGATAGTTTCCTTCTTCTACGTTCTTGCGGCAATTCTGGATCCTCCCAGGAATTTACCAGGGGTTCAAATGCAGAGCCATGCTGTACGCTTCCCGCAGCCTGTGACCCCGGGTCAAAGCCTCCAAGCATCCATGGGTGGGTGCGGGAACGGATCCACCTAAGCAAGGACCTTGGGAATCCTGCAACTTGATTGACTGGAACAAACAGTCGGGGTCTGCGTAATGGAGTCGACTAGCGAAAACCCATGCCTCTTGACAGCGCATAGCATAAGCATAAACGCTGGATTTAGTGAGGCCCGGGACGATCCCGACATATACCGAAAGAATGTCAAACATGTGTATGGCTGTATGTACTACGATAGTATCTCGAGAAGTCATTTCACCAAGAGAACGTGTTCTCTTTCAGAACAAATGTGAAATGGAGAAGCAATTTGAAGAGATTCAGATACTCTCTATTGAATATATGGTGCGATGGGACATGGGAAGAAAAGACGACCAAAGTGTGAGAGATAGAGAAGGAAGGAGACGGCCGCAAACGAAGGTCAGTCACCGCTCGTATCAGGCTCTATCCCAAGCTCTGCAGCTTGCCCTGCTCATCCGCGGTCAACGCGCCAAATAGTTCCGCAAATGCTGGTTGTTGAGATGCCCGTCGGAAAAAATCGACCAGGAATGCCTGGGTTTCATCATCCCGCCGCCGCACTCCAAACACGCCCTCCGATCCGCCCTCTCCGAAACTCATCAGCTGTTGTTTAGTCATGCCCAATCCGAGATCCAGAATCTGTCCCGGAACATCCTCCCAGTCGTCGTCGCCATCGTCACTGGCAGCATCATCCAGAGCTGCGGCCTGCGCGGCATCCATCGCCGCGTTGCCGGATGCTGCAGACAGCTCCTCCACCAGCACCTTGACGATCTTCAATGGCGCTGGCACAGTCGTGAAGCGGTCTGGATTGGCGCGCGCCTGTGAGCGTGTCTTAATGCGGCCCGTGTCCTGGATGATCAGGTCGCCCTTGACGGGAACTTCGGCCAGGCGGGGGTCTGCGAGTTCATACAGGCGGGCGAGCGCGAAGATATTTTGCTTGATTTCGTCATAGCCGGCGAAGTTGACTGAGTTCTCAAGCCACTTGCTTAGCACAACAACCAATCCACTCTGTCCGCCTAGGTTCACCTGCGCCAGGAAGTCGACCACTTCTCGGGCGCTGATCAGAGTGAGTCGTGCGAACACTAGGATCAGACTCTGGATGAATTGAGCCTGTTGTGCCGTTGCTAGTCGCTGAGCTACGGCTTGCAGAAGCTGAGGAAGATACGGCCCCAGGCGCTCGGAGCCTGCGCGTTCCACTAATTCGGCGGCCAGCTGGCCAACTTCGGTCGCCGCGTTGTCGTCCACGGCCGGGCCCAGAAGGCGGTCGATAATCACCAGCACTACCTCAATCGCTTCCTTGCCAGACTGGGGATCCCGCCAGGCCAAAAACTGTGCAAAGTCATGGGAAAGCATGTGGCGCACTGCCTCAGTCGCGGGCCGAATCAGCTCGGCCTCGTCCGAGTCCAGCAGTAAACGGTTGAGCTTGGGCATAACAGTCTCGACAAAGCCAGCAGGCATGGGCTCCAGGCTGCGCTCCGCTAGGGCCCGGAGCAGGTCCGCGGCAAAGTTAGTCAAAGCGTTTTCCTCAGTCAGATTTCCAACGTCAATGGCGCCCATCAGGCTCGGGAGAACCCTCTCGCAAAGGCGCATGTATGCATCGGGTCCATTCTCGGCGATTTGATCCACGATATCCTCGAAGGCTTCGGTGACAGTCAGAGTCAGCTGGAAGTTCTCGGCACCGCTGCTGGCAATATTGAAGAGCACATCGATCGCAATGGATGACAGAACCACTGAGGGGTCAGTCTTGATGGTGTCGCGGAGGGTTTCCGCTAGTGTCACTTTGAGATCGTCACATTCGGCATCTTCGCGCAGGTCGTGCGCGGATACAAAATCGGAGATGGCTGAAATCACTGTGACCTGGAATGGACGAGCCACGTTCGCCGGCAGGGACGGCAGAAGATCTTGCAACACTCGGATACAAGCAACCCTAACTACTTCGGCGGGATCTTCGGCAATTGCCTTCAGCGCAGCCTCCAAGTAGGATGTGGTAGTCTGCTGGAATGCCTCGCCGGCAACCTTGGCTAGGGATCCGGCCACAAGATAGCCGCGTGCACGCAAAAGCTCCTGCTCCTGCTGCATAGCGTACTGAACAAACTGGGTGAAATGATTCGCGAGATCGGGGGATATTTGTTGGTCGTCCTCAGCAAACTCGCGTAGCAGGGAGTTGAGGATATAGAGGGCTGCCTCGCGGGGTTTCCAACTAAACACATGCCAGAAGTTAGACTTAATTCGAAGAAGGGTTTGAAAAGACAGCTGGAAAATGAGGAGAAGACAAAGTTACAACATACGAGACAGAGGCATCGGTGAAAAGAGTATTCATATAGGTCAGAACGCCTTCGGCGGCCTTCTCCCGCAGCCAGTCAGCGACTTTGATGGCCAAATCGCCACTGCAGGTTCGGGGGGTATAATTGGCAGTAACTGATGTCTCTTCTGATAGGAAAAGATTCACATCGATCTCCCATAGACCCTCTTCTTCAGTGGTAATCTGTGCATACGAACTAGCGAGCTTCATGAGCTCTGGCAACCAGCTCTTCGCACTTGCAGCACCCTCGGCATTCTGTAATTCTTTTTGCAATTCTGCTTTGACTGGGGGTGCTTTAAGTAGAGTTTGGATAAGGTCTAATTCCTCCAGCACGAGGAAGTCGAGCGAGTACGGCAGGCCGTCCACATCTTCCAGGCGGGCCTGGCGTTCATCCTCAAGATAGAAATTTTGATAAACGGGGAGGACATTGGTCAGCTCCGTCCACACAGTTGAGAAGTAGGCCGGGCTCTGGGCAGTCAGGAGGGTCGGGAAGACCATGCGGATCTTCATGAGAGTCTAGCGGGAGTAGAAGTTCATGTTAATAGGCAATCCTAATGGAATGGGAGCCCCACGTATGCTCAATCCTACCTTGACGATTTGGAGCTTCAGCGCAATGCTTCCGCGCCATTGTGATGCAACCTCGCCTTGCTTGTTAGCCTCTTCTTCGCTAGGTGGCTGAGGCAGAGGCGCTTTCAGAATCTCCACAAAGAATGGTGACCACCCGCCTAGCAACTCATCCACGAACTGTTTAATGGCAACCTTATGTTGCTCCAGAACCATCTCGAGAGTGTCGAAGCAAGAACGGAAAGCTGCCACGGCCAGGGCTCGCAGGATCGGCCGCCGCGTTTGGGATGTAGCCACGGCGAAGAGAGGAGGAGACAAGATCGCGGGCAACATTGAAAAACTGCTCCTCGCCGAACCCGGTGTCAACCAGATCCAGAAGCACTTTCAAGGCGCCGTGCAGCGCGCTGTCACTGGTCGCAGCGTCATTGATGATATGCAGCAGCGAAGGCAGAAGCTCTGGCCAGTCATCGGGGAAGTCTGCGCTCGCGATCTTGCTGACCGCATAGCTGGCCGACGCCTTGACCTTACGCTCGGGTGTCTCAACCGTTGTAGCAAGCTCGAGAAGTGCGCGGCGAATCTGTGCCTTGTTGGCGTCGTTGACGAGGATCTGGCCCTTGAACTCGTCGAGGTTGGGCGACCAGGTGGCAGCAATGAAGGTGCGCAAGACGGAGAGGGATGATTGACGCAAGTTGACAGGGACAGATTCGTGGGAGGCAATGGCAGTGAGGGAAATGGGGAATGATTCGTTCGAATAGAGCTGTTGCAGTTTGGCTTCCGCGGTCTTTCTCGTGTCCGCCTGGGGCGACTGTGTGTCGGCCAGGAGCGTGAGAAGTTCCTGCTCCATTGCGGGCTAAGAGCGGGGCTGTATGTTGTCAATTAGCCACCAGCAGGGTTGATGGAGAGGGATGGAGAGGGATGGGAGAGAAAGAGGCCCGTCTTCAACGAAGATAGAGATCAATAAGTTTTGCGCGCGGGCGCGATAAGGGGACGTTAAGCGCTGGGAGGGGCAGAGGCGGTCAATCCGAGCGATTCGCCGCGATCCATCGAAGGGGCCATGTTGGTGTAGGGTGTAAGAGCAGCAATTGATTGAGCATGGACCTCATCAATTCTTTTCACTTCTCTTTGTATCAGTTTCTATCTCTAAATGGACACTATTTACTCTATCCGCTCTGATAGGCCCTTGTTTGAAGCCGCGGGGTGGTTTCTGGTGCTCTAGAATGTACCTCACCGACATGACAGAGACCATCTTATATACAAAGTACACTACAGATCAAATGGTATGAATTTTTCATAGCTGAAAGCTTTGTCTTGAGCTGTTTCACACATTGAGCGTCTCTGAGTCACCGGACGTCGTGCCTCGAACGGAGTCTGAACCATTATTCATCGTAGGTCCCATTTTTAGGTCAATGAGACGGTCTACAGACTAGCCGATCGAAGTGATCTGCACTCATTCAGGGGCCAAGAGATGGCCGGTGCGAGTAATATGACTTTCATCAAGATTGACCATAGGATCTACGATGTACATGATGAAAAAAAACCCCCAGAGTCTGCTGATCTTGGTACATGCTATAATTCACTGTCATATCTCACTTGCCGTTGGCTGTCGAGTTTTTGCTTACTGTATTCTGCCATGGCCGCTAGCTCCAGTGATGACGAGTCAGTAATACTCTCAGAGGCTGGTCATACTGATGGGAGGCCACGGCATCCCCGAGGCTTCTCAAAGTTCTCTAAGATTGCTCTAGTGATAGCGATTTAAGACGACACTGAAGCATCAAATGAAAATCACATGACCGTGGCATCGATACCGAATTTGTATCGTATACAGCTAGGTATTTTGTTATGCACTTTAGATCTGTTTTTCACAATATACTAATTGTATCTTTTTTTGTGAAACATTCCAGAGAACTCATAGATAGGACGGAAAAGGCTAAACCCGGACCAACACACACCTTCTGAATAGGGCCGTGTATCAGATCATGGAGCAATGGGGCGAGGGAGGGGGGGGCTTTCGCCTGTTTGATGCACGAGGCATAATTTCAAATGCTTGTCAAACCAACTGAAAACGTGTCACGCCGCAGCAAGGCGTGTCCAGTCTGGGGATTCATACTCTATGTGGCCATGCGGAGACTGATGGCGTAGAAAGTACGTTTCATGAATTCCGCCATGTATAGTCCAACGGAGTATTGAGACTCTTGAGGGCTCCCTTGAGTCAGGCAGCTAGTTCGCGACTGACAATGAGTAAGACCGACAAATGACAGATTAACAGAACCCCAGATCAGATGGCTGCCTGTCAGAGATAAATTGGGGCTTCGAAAATGACCCATTCCCTCTGCCACCGCATACTGGTCTGACCGAGTGGATCGTGATCTTTCGGAAAGGAAGCCCCAAGGCCCACCAGGCTCAAACTTCTAGTTAGCCGAGACAGTTGACTGGGGAGGTCCATTGATGGTCTTGAACATTGGAGTTATTCACGTCTTGATTATTATTCTTCTTCTTCTTCTTCTTCTTCTTCTTCTTCTTCTTCTTCTTATTAGTCTGATAATAATTTTCTCAATATATATATAGATCTATAGATCTTTATCTCATATGTGTGTATTTTGGGCATTTACTCTTGGTACCTGATGCCTTTTGGCTCTGTCGAAGCAGAGAAGCTGAATTGGGATTCAAGCCTGTATCGCGAAGTGTATCGACACAGCTATGAATCATTCGAAATTTTGAGAGGGGATAGTGGGACGAGAAAGAAGGGACGGAAAACGGACTGGCCCCTCCATCTCCATGATCACCGGCGAAAGACGGCCGACGATCATTGCTAAATCGTTGGTGGCGGCGGTGACCGTCATACAATAGAAACCCATGGAAGATGACGATTGATAATCCAAGGGGCACGGAAGTGAAATCCTCGCTGCAGGGCCGACTCAATCACGAAGCCCATGGCTACCCGGCAGACGGGGGGGGGGGGGGAAAGGGAAGCCTGGGGGATCCTATCCAGGTGCAGCGGCCGCCACTGCCGTCAGAGCTGGAAGATCATCGGGGCCTGTAAAGAAAGGGCGGACTGTCGGAGGGAAAGACCTGTAACGCAGCGTCCAAGGTCAAATGGGGCCCGGAGGCCATCCGCGGCGCCTCAATGGCCCAGGGGCCCTTACCGACGCGGTACGGGTGTGTTCCCGGTACCACGTACTGTCCTGTCCCCCCCACCAAGACTCTCTTTTCCCCCCAAACTTCCCGCGACCTCTCCGGCCTTCAACGTAAATCGCGGTCAATACCGCCATCCTCCGAAATCGACCCGTGTTCTGGGGTCGCGCGCATTGGGAACTACAGATCTCTACCGTACCCCGTCGCGCCCTAGATAACTCTTATCGACGATTGTGAGGATGGCCTTCTTCCACTCTAAACGGTCCAGGCTGACAATTGAGCCCTGCGAACAATCGAAACCCATGATAGCCTGAGATAGTGAGGAGGCTTGGGTTACGCAATGGGATGGATTGGGCAGAGCGACAGGCGGGTATATACGGAGCCTTACTGCGTCCAGTTACTAGTGTTCCTGTCCTCCAGGAGGAGCGGCGGCGGGGACGGAGAATTCGGCAACCTCAGAGGCTCAGAGGTTCCTAGTGGAGTCGGACACAAGAGAAAAAAGGCTGTGGTATCCAGGTACACACACTACAGAGTCCGCCGACCGAACAATACAGAAGCGGTGGCTTGAGATTTCTACGATCGATACGGTTCCATCTCCCCCTTGTAGCACCTGGGGTTTTTTTCTTTTTTCTTTTTCTTTTTCTTTTTCTTTTCTTTTTTTTCTTTTCTATTTTTTTCCTATTTTTATTATTTTTGTATCCGGCTCTATATGCAGATTCGGATTTGACATCTTTGTTTCTATACCTCGCGATAGGAATGACGTGCCTCTTTTCCCTCTGTGCTGGCTCCAGACCGATCAACTGATACTACGCGGCGTCGTTGGCCCCGGGCGTTGGGTGGCAGATAAGCTTACATCCACAAAGCATGGGCTTCGGGCGTGGCTTGCTGCTCGACTATACCCCGTCAGTTCTTGCAGCGCTCCCAAGGTTGAGCTGTGCTTAGCCTGGGCGGATTCTATGGTTCCCTGGCTCCGTTTGGCTGGCGCATTTTGTGTTGCTGTTCCACCTCTCTGCGGCACGCTTTCTACCCAACGTCCTTCATCTGGCTTTTTCTTTCCCGCTTGCGATGATCGCCCCTCTCCTCAGTCCCATCATCCCACCGAACTAGCTCGGTGGGGAAGAAAAAAAAGAGGCAAAAAGGGCAAAATCCTGTGCGGTCGGTGCACCCTCATAAAAATATGGTACCCTATTTACCTGGACATTAATGCTTCCTTCTCGGACCCTTTCATCTTTGGGAAACCATTTTCCCTTTCTGGTTGATTGGAACTATGTATCTAGATGATATACTTGGATTGGAAACAAAGAACCGACATCCCCATCGATACGGTGATAGAATTAAATGCACTCCATATGGCACATCCTTGCGAGAGCCTTGTAGAAGAAAAACCAAAGACGGTCGTGGTGAAGCACAGGGTGGGAGCCCAAAAAGCAGCAAAGCGAGGTTCTGCAGGGCCAACCCATGACGCAACCACGTGACGGGAACCGTGACTTCCACTGCCCGTCGCCTTTTCCACTCCTGCTTTTCCCCTCGAAGCCACCGGGGTACAACCGTGAACTCACCTCCACGCATCCATTTTATCTTGGTGTCTTTCCGGCACGACACCTTCGCTCTTCTCGACCGCACTTCAGGCCCCTCGACCGACCGAGCGGCCCCTTCTCGCCAGGGTTTCACCATTCCCCCCTCCTTCCTCTCGCTTTACGCCCCTCCTCGCCCTCTCTCCCCTCTCTGTCCAAAAAGACGACTTCTTAGAAAGTGATACGCTCGTTGTGGGACTGGAGGCTCAGCACTACGGATTATATTGTCAACCCTCCCTCATGCTCTGAGGTTCTGCATTCTATCGTTCTGTCCACCCAAGCGTATGTATTGCCGTTTTCCCTCCTAATAAATACCAATTCCGACCCCCTCTCCGTCCCCCCCCCCTCTCCACCGCCTTATATCAACACACACACTACTACTCTTTACCATCACCACCACCACCAAAAGTCCCTTCTCCCCACCATCCCCTCTTCCCCCCCCCCTCCATCACTTCACTCCAGGATTCTTGCATTCGGACTCTCGCTGCCCCACCGCTTGGAATTCTATCACACATTTTCGCGACCCGTAACGTTGACCGGCGTTGGCGTCGGAAAAAGCGGCCCCAAAAAAACCTTGATATCATCATCACCAGCCTGATCCCCTCCACCCACCACCACCACCACCACGATCTTCGCGTTGACCGATGAATTTAGAAAGGCAGAGCGATGATTAGCTTCAGGGTGGAACATCATTCAGATTCTTCGAGACTCCGTCAAGATCACCCTTACCGTGGAAACGACCTTGGATCGTTCGACGGCAATGCCAATGGCCAGTGAGACCATTAGTACCACCACCATGACCACTTTCTCCGCCCCGGTCCCTGCTACCAGATCGCTGCCCACCGATCAGTCAGCGTTATCGGCTTCCTTCACCAGCTTTCTCACCGTCTCGGTTCACCAAATACTTTTCTTGCGCTCCGTTTATCCGCGCGCCACTTTCCTCCCAGTGCGGGCATATAATTATCCCGTCCGACAATCCCGCCACCCCAAAGTGTGTGACTATATCAATGATGCGTCCATTGCAGTCGGGACAGAGATCTTGAAAGGCACAATCACCGCAGTCAGTATTATCATTTCATCTCTCCGCACAAACCAGCCCCTCGAAAGATATGCCTTTGATCTGTCGGGCTTTCCCCGTGTTCCAGCTGGAGAGGTGAATACCAAATTTGAAGGCAGAAATGAAGATTCATCCAGTCCAGGTGCGCCGGGGGGCCCCGCGCCGACCTCGGTCGACCTTGAGGCCCAATTCCGAGCCTGTCTGGCTCGGCTGGCATCGGCCTGCGCCCGATTGACCCCGCTGCCACGAGATGACGAATTCAGCTTCACCGTATGCATCGAAGTGCGTGAGGATGCCTTGCCTCCGGCGGGCACCACCAATGAAGAACAAACATGGATTGTGGCCGAACCGGGCAAGGTGCACCTACGATCCTGCACCGCCCCCTACTCCGTCTCCAAAGTACGGAATGGCGAGCCCCAACAGCAACAGCAGCCGCCGCCTCACCCACCCTCGAATGGCCGGGCGAAAACAGTACCCGTACGACGTGTGGAAGCAGGGGAACTACGGCTAGAGTTGTGGGTGGAGGAAGCACGGCAGAAATTTAATGAACCGGTGGACTTGGACTCAGAGCAGCCGCCTTGAACAAACCTTTCCTGCACAAGAAAAAAAATTGGGAGATATATATGTGTCAAGCCTGGTTTTGGGGATATGTTATTCGTCTGTTTTTACCTGTCCACACCCCACTCATCCCAGTCTCATTCTCGATTTAGCGTGACCAATGATCGAACATACATGATGGACAAGGAAATTTGGAATTGCCGTCCGCAAGAAAAGGGCGCAAATATATAAAACGGGGAGCGGACAATTTTTGGGACTCGCATGGCATTTACTTACATAGATCAGGTTCATATCTTTCCTTTTTGTGACTCCTTTTTTTTATATTCCTTGCCAGCTTTTCACCCTTTTTTTTTCTTTTTTTCTCTGGTCTCAATTTTGATCCTTCTACCTTCTTCACGTTCCTTCTTTTTACCCTCCTTTCTCACCTCACCCTATTTTCCCACACAAATTTCACGTTGGCGAAAGTTTCTCCCATCTATTGCATCTCCTCGTGCTGATCACTGGGTTTTGACCCTACTCGCTGATCTTTTTTTTTTGCTGCGGTCCGGCCTTTTCATTTCCATACCATTTACTTTTTTTGTATTTCTTTCGTCTCCTTTGTTGGAATTTTTTCAACTACATGATTCTCTTTTTTCTTAGCCAATCCAGTTATCTAGCAACTAACTAGTTTCCGAATGTCTTCACGCTTCTGGACTTTCTTTGCACGCTTCTGTTTTCTGTTTTGGTTTCATTTGATCCATTGTGCCTTTCTTTCCCCTCTTTTCTTCCACCCTTTGCTGTCACCATGAATTTTGTGGACTGTTGTGTTTGGAACTGGGTGTCAGATGGCCAAGTAACGTTCCTGCATCCTTTTCATGATTTCTTGTTGGTTGATGTTTTACCTAGCCTCTATTGGTGTCCGACCAAGACTCAAAAAGGGACAGGCTGATGCAAAATTATAGGACATCCTGCATTGGCTTTGTAAGTATTGTATAGCTCTGACATATATGCGGTATAGGTAATGGATCTTGTTGTGAGAAAGACTTATGCATACAGAAACTGAGAGCTCACTTCACACGATATGCAATATTGGTCGTAAGCATTATCCCGATGAACTAAAATACCGACTGCAGCAACGAGAACGTGCAGGGATGGGATGGGTGTATACTAGACTTGAAGAGGCAAATATTTCTTCACTAAGATAGAAACGCAACAGCTTATACCCCTCATGGACTAGGGAAGAAGTGACGTCGACCTCATTGAACCTCAAATGATTGGGCACAACCATGTTTTAGATGCGATGGGATTTGGGTTTTGTACCTGCTTGGGACATATGACTAATTCAGGCCAAATAGACAATACCGTTGCTTCTTGAAGTATTATATTACATTAATTACCCCACTTTCAGTCTAGAAGCTATCAATTTGTAAATTAACCCTTCATTATCGGTGCGTAAAAGACGTGCACCAAAGATGAGTGTATAAGTAGTTTACCAGTAAATACTTGTATTGCACTATGTTTCAAAATGATAGGTTTCAACCAATAAGCTGAAAGCTATAAAATACAAGGGAACCGTAGGATGAATGAAATGCTTTATATAGATGGGGTTTGGTTGGAGTATAACCGTATAGGATATTTGGGAATTCTTACTTCACACTAGGTTGAGTTACAGAAAATTTGAAGTGTAGCTCTTTGTGGAGATTGACGCCTTAGGGATATATAAACATACCCTTGGCAGTCTACATACCCCAACATAGCCTGCATATACGAGGACCTGCGCCCAATCGTTACGGAGACCCTTAAGAGCGCTCACAAGAATCTTGTTTTTGATTGGTCTTCATTTTCTTAGCTCACAACCGGCTTCACCGAACCTTTTTTTTTTTTTTTTTCTCTATCAGCTGGAGTTTGTCTTCCTCTTTCTTCTCAACGACTCGACATTCATTGGGAGACGACTAGAAAAGCTATTGGTAAATCGTAACGGATATAGGCAGCTGTTTCACTTCAATCACCTTTATGTTGGTCTTTTTTTTTTTGATTCTGCCCTTTGAACCTTCCAGTCTAGATCAATATCCATAACCTTTATTATTTACCTGCATCATGCTGCTCTTGATTTTTCTTTATCAGAGAGCAGGTATAAGAGGCATGTCCGTAAGTCTCTACCTCCATCACCATGAATTACGACCTTAAGGAACCTAGCAGAAATCTGTCATTTCCTCTAGCCCTTGACAATGGATCGATCACCAGCCTCACAGCATTCAACCATGTCGCAACCAGGCTCTTCACCCATCTCTAGATCCTCCATGCTGGATAGCCAGATTCGTCGCAAACATGTTGGTAACGGCTCCTCTCCAAGAATTCCTTCAATGTGGAGAAACCCAACCCCCCACGACCAATATCCAGCCTATCGGCCCCTGCCTGCCTCATTGATAGCAGGCAGAACGCTGACCGAGCAACCCCAAGAGCTTGATGGTCGACCAATTCCTCAGACCAGTGCTCAGTATCACGCTGAGCCCGAGCGTTTCCAATGGCAACCTGAGCAGCAAGCGTCGGGCCCAGGTATACCGGCCGGCTATGTGCTGGTTCCGCAGTGCATTGGTCAGTGGCAGTCAGCCTACTTCCCAACCCCGGATGGCCAGTACCAAGTCCGGGTTGTGTCATACCTGGAAGCCCTCATCCCCATCGCCCCAGGGCAGGCGCAGCAGCCCCCGGAGTCTTGATATCTGCGTACTTTTTGATATTTGCATTCATATAGAATATTCTTTACATTTGTTTTCGTGTTTTGTCTAATTAAACCTGCTGAATTTTGTAAAGAACTGATGTTCAAGGCGTAGACTCCACTATATTTTGGGCCAAGCACTGCAGTCTTAGCTGTTTGTAAGGGTTCGTCTCGGCTGAAAGTTTTCCGATTTGATACCATGGTTTTGTGTCAGTCTCCTTGGTGGCGGAACAGGCCAAGCTTACTTACTGCTAGGATGGGAGAGAGAAAAAGAGAGATAGAGTGAGAGGAAAAGAGAAAAGTATAGGAACAGTAGTAAAACGGTGTCTTTGGTAAAGCGTGGATCCATCCACCTGCGCTGCAAACCCAGTAGGCGCATGGTGTATTATTCTTCCCTTCTAGTATTTCTATTCAAATCATAATTTCTCATCCGTTTCCCAGATCCGGACGGTCATATCATCAGCCGTCGACACCACAAGTTTTCCATCTAGGGAGAAGGCCATGGCACGCTCCCAGCCCGAATACCCTAGCGTGCTGCACGTGGAACCCGTACTGGTGTTCCAGAGTCGAATTGTTGAATCATCTGATGTGGTCGCGAGTAACGTGCCGTCTGGCGAGAAGACCACATCTTTTACCCAGCTTGTATGTCCCTCGAGGACTTTGCAGAGCGTGCCGGTTCGCCATAGCCGCGCCGTGCGGTCTTTGGAGCCCGATGCCACCAGAGTCCCGTCCGGCGAGAACGACACGGCCCGCACGTAGTCGGAGTGGCCTTCTAGTAGGCCGCAGGAAGCGCCGCTGTCCACGTCCCAGAGCCGGGCCGTGCAGTCGTCCGACGCGGACACCAGGAGCTTGCCGTCGGGCGAGAACTTGACGATCCGCACCCAGCCTGTATGGCCGCGGAAGATCTTCAGCGTAGAGCCGGTGCGAACGTCCCACAGGCGGACGGTGCGGTCATCCGAGGCCGAGGCGATGAGCTGGCCGTCGGGTGAAAAGGCGGCGGACCGTACGCAGCCGGAGTGGCCTTGGAAGACACGGGAGACGACGCCTGTGCCGATTTCCCACAGGCGGACGATCATGTCATCGGAGGCCGAAGCCACCCGGGTGCTGTCCGGGGAGAAGGCTACGGCTCTGACAGGGCCGGAGTGCCCTTTAAAGACGCGGTGGAGGGAGCCCGTCGCAGTGCCCCAGACTCTGACAGTGGTGTCGTTCGAGGCCGACGCTGCCATGGTGCCATCTGGGGAGAGGGCCACATCCCAGACCCAACCAGAGTGGCCCTCCAGGGTTCGGCGCGGCACTAGCTTGACATCTGGAGAGTTGGTGGTCGGAGTCTGCATTGGTGGCGGCAGTGACCCCCCTTTTCCTCGTTTGGGGGGAGGTCAACCCTCGTGGCCTGGTTGGGGGGCCCGCCAGACAGGGAGAAATTGTTCAAGAACACTTGGATAGAGTTGGTATTCTTCCCCGAGAGTTTATTCTGCAGCTTGTTTCAGCGGGGGGAGAGGTGATGCTCGCTGACGAAGAACATCCGAACATCCCACCTCCCACTGGCGCGCCCGCATAGAGTCCCTCCGCGCCGATGTCATCAGCGATTATGTAACGAACACCCCGTGACCCGATCATGCCCTACACCTGACCAGATCACCTGACCATTCGGCAGCCCTCTTACGTCAGTCGAAGTGGTGACTTCCAAATCACTGGCACTTGGTCCGTGAGCCAGCTAGGTGAATTCACCATTGGCGGCCGTTTCCTTTGGATTGAAGGCCCACCGACCACGCGAGAGCCGCTTTCTATCGCTTGCCCTCGGCCCGGTTGACAAAGAGAAACCGCAGAAGTGCTGAGTGTTCCAGGTTTCGCGTGCGGAGTGACAACCCCGGCCCGGATCGTGATGGAGAACGCCGACGAGAATGGGTGCTTGCAGGCGGGGTGATAGGCGCAGACTGTTGAGTATCGGAATCGGTTGGCGTGTTGGTGTCACCTATCAGGAGCCATTCTAGCGTCTCCAACGGACCAGAGGATCCGGCCGTGATAGCAGACCGTCGGAGACCCGTGGATGGACGTTGTTCGGCGGTGATCCACTCGGAATGCTTTAACCCCGGATTCTTTTTAAAGCTCGGTTTTTTTCCCTCTTCTCCTTCACCTGGTCTTCCTTCCATTCAACCTCTTGCACTGGCATCGGTGGACGGCGGAGACCTAGTCCGGGATTTTGACAGCTTGACATCTACTTCGGTTCCTCAGCAGCCGCAGCCTCGAATTTTATCTTTCTCTGCTTTTCCTCAACTTTATACCTGGGAACGAATTCCGATTGTCTTATTTCTAGTTGACTCCGCTATTATTCTTTATTCCATCTGCGGGGGTTCACAAATAACCAGCGGAACAAGTTCAAGGCCCCCACCATAACCCCACGGGATTGAAGATTGCCGTTTGCAGAGCAGCAACGACCGCTTAACACGGTCCCTCTCTAACAAGAGATCCACCAACTTTGTAGCTTTCCCCCTGGACACCCACGATGATTGCCGCAGAAGTCCCATCATCCCTACCAGCGGGAGACTCGCCAGATCTCATTTTGGTCCCCGCCACTCCAGAAGAGCGTCTGGCCACAATCCGGCTTAACAGTATCGCCTGGCAAGGCCCCCTGAGCCTCAACGAGTACATTGCCCGTGAAAATCACCTCTACGACCAGCGCCTGACCCGCGACGGTCTGACGTGCTGGGTCCTGGTCGACGGCACCGAACCCGCAGGCGAACGCACGATCCTCAGCTCCTGCGAGTCCTACCAGAAAAAGGCGCTACTCGCGCACGGCGGCCGCGTCGAGGATGTTGCCACCCACGGCGTGGGCAGCGTCTACTGCCGGCCTGAGTTCCGGGGCAAGGGTTATGCGAAACGCATGCTGGAGGAACTGAGCCGGCAGCTGGATACTTGGCGCATGGAAAAGGAGCCACGGGGCCGGGCGCTGTTCACCGTTCTGTTTTCGGATATCGGGAAGTCGTTCTATGCCCAGTTTGGCTGGAGGCCTTTCTTGTCATCGCATCTGGCGCTGCCGGCGCGGGCAAAGGACGCTGAGGCGAATGGAGATGGGCAGAGTAAAGTGAGAGATCTGCTGGCCCAGGATGTGGAGACGGCTATGTGCAGTGAGGCTGTCATCGCCAAGGAGCGCGAGCAGATGCGCTTGGCGTCGCAGGATTCGATCGTCGCGAAGGTTGCCATCTTACCGGACTTTGACCACTTTGTCTGGCACTGGGCTCGAGAGGACTTCTTTGTGGAGAATAAGTTGCCAAATCGTCCACTGCCGATGGTCAAGGGGGCGGGCAACGATGATGCCCGCGTGTATTGCACCTGGAACCGCAATTTTGCCGAAACGCCCGAAGACAATGTTTTGTATATTTTGAGGTGGGTCTACGATGACCCGACATCCCCGGAGGAGGAGCAAGTACTAGTCCAGGCGATGGCTTGCCTATTACGCCGGGCTCAACAGGAGGCCCATGAATGGGGTCTGAGCCATGTCGAGTTTTGGAATCCGACGCCACTCTTGCACAAGGCTGTGACATTGTTAGATCCCGAGGCTCAGATCGTGCATCGCGAGAAGAGTAGCATTTGTAGCCTGCGCTGGTCCGGCGAGGAGCAAGGGTTGGGCAAGGAGGTGGACTGGTTCCTGAACGAGAAATTTGCTTGGTGCTGATGCATGATATGGACATATCTTTCGGGTAATCTTTTCTCGGATAATTAATTTCTCCAACTTGAGAATCTGCTTCCAGTGTGCAGGGTTTGCATGAAATTGAGTAGCATGTAGGTTCGTCAACTGTCAAACAATTTGATCTTAGTTGACGTGTAAATCGAACATGAATTTGCTGTTGAGATGAATTTGCAATTCATCTTCTTTCAACCGGACGAAGGCGACTTCCACTAGCATTGATACGTGTGGATAGATAGAACGGTGCCATCGATCAAAGAAGGCTCTTGGTGAATCTTCATCAGCGGCGCTTTGAATTCTTGAGCAATTCATGCCAGTTTCTGGTAGTTTTGGCCTTGGCTGCAGCAGCTGGCGCAGCAGTCGATGCTTTCGCAGTTTGTAGTCTCTGCGATGGATCCACAAAACAAATCGACGTAGGATCAGCGTTTTGGTATGAGCCTTCTGGAAGTTTTGACATTGCAGCTTCTTCTCTCCACGACTCCGGTAGGTAATCCTTCCACGCACGAAGGAATTCACTTCGCCCGATAGAAGACGATGTAGTGGGAGCAGTAGCAGCCAAATAGGTCTCTCCCACCCATCTAATACACTCAGTCTTATCAAAGCTTGCCCCTTTATAATGTAATCATTAGGAATAGGCGCTCGAAAATAAAGTCACACAAGCATGACTTACACTTAATCTCGTCAGTCAATGGCGGTCGCTGGTCCGCTGCACACAATCTTCGCACGATTGCCTCAAGTAATTGTTGTGGGAAAGGTTGTGGTAGAGTATCATCGTCATCCAGCACAGACTTCCAAAGATCTACAACAAGAAATTGCTTCTCTAGATCGATTCCCTGCAAGATGGTGCCCTCCGTCAACCGTCTCCAAACGTTCAGCCGCATCTTCGCCGAGGGCCGCCAGCACATTTTCTGCTTCTTATCCACGAAAGCGCAGATCTCCGTCCACCCTGCTTCACATTGCGCTGCAGACACTGGGATGTCGGCACAAACCTGGTTTCTCAGGGCGCGCATCTCGGCAGGGCCCATGGCAACATCTTCAATGCCGGAGTCGTCCATGGAAACATCCTCATCATCGTCCCCATTTTGCGGGTCATACAATGCTAGGCTTTTCTCAAGGAATAAAGCGGCCGAGAAACCGACTGGCGGGACGTGCAATTCGAGGGTCGAGCTACATTTCGCAATCGCGGTCACAGCTTCGTCGGGGAGATTCAATCCGCCGCTTTCACCGGCCTCTTCTTCAATAACCTTGATATCAGCGCGCGAGATTTCGCCGAGGCTTGGCCGGAGAATATGGAGAGAATTTGAGGACTGCACTTGGCGAATACGATAAGTTTGAGTTGGCGTGCAGAGGTTGACATATTCTTGGTTACTGGGATCGGCCACCGCGAGTGCCAGGGCCGCGGAGGGAGATTTAAGTTCGAGACTAGGAAGTTGAAACATGGTCAGCCTTTGATTTCAAAGCGTCATAGATCTTAAGTGGCATAGGTTCTCCAGGTTCCTGGCATCGATTGTTGCGGGTATGAAGAAGATGCTCACTTACACAGGTGCATTCGGGGAGGACAAGAGCTCTTCCAATTCCGGTGGCAATTCTAGGAGTCTAAAACCCTGCTGTGGGAGGGTATTTGTAAAAAGAATGCTTCGTGAATCCTGAGTCGCCATTGGGACGAGCGAATGACTGAAGATGCTCTGCTGGGGAAGGTTGGTGGGATGCCGAAGAAGACGCGCGGGACGCGGTGGACGCGCAGGAGGAGTGCACGGACCACCGTTTAATGAGGCCAGCCGATCCGGCATACAGCGATGTGCATCTACAATGATGACCGAAGGCGACACACTAATCAGAAAAAAGAAACTCAAGTCACAGACTACAACATGGGGAAGTTTGATTCTCATTACTACCTAATCGTCGGTGGTCATCTCTAATTTGCTCTCAGACAGGATATCTGCAAACAAACCATTAAACAATACTAGTGCAAAAAACGGGATAGCCCCCTCATGGCTGTATGCGTTGATAGTTGGCCATGATTATCAGAAGGCTGCGCCACCGCATTGATACGTTACACAAACCGATTCAAGGGTACTAGAGCAACGGGGTCCCCGATTTGAGAAGCACGATTGCCTTGCAGATCGTTCCGCCACCGACTGAGCTACGACTACGGCCACAACGCCCTGGAATTGACAGATCTTAATGAATAATTGACCTTGTTCCCACCTAAATAGATGAGATTGAACCATATTTGGCTATGTGGAAAGTTTGAACTCTCCACTATATCGAATATACTATTCAGATAATATTTCGGACCAGTTTACCACAAAAATTCTTGTCAAGCAGCGTAATGATAAGTAAGAGCTGTGTCTATTGAATGTTATGTTATTGAATGAGGAGTATCAGCCGCTATGAGAGAGTTCATTAAGTTTCCCTTAAATATTCATTGCATGATGGGGTCATACTAGCTGAGCAATCCTGTTTCAAGTGTAGGTTTATAATTTCTTTTTCTCACTTCGAACACATTCAACTCCCGTGGAATATGGCTGCATGACTTGAAATCTATGATTTAGTATTGAATAATCATATCACTCTCAACCCCTTGTGGTGACTCTCTCAGGCTACGGTCGAAAGATGGGAGACGTGGCCAAGAATGCGCTTCTCTGAGCCGAATGCATAGATTGCTTCTGCTGATTGACATGCGTGCTGCTGTGCGATATAGTATCTAGGCAACATGATTTGTTGTGTGGCGATCTTATTGAATCGTATCTACCAATAATCTACATGCTTCCCCCGGGAAGATGTGATAATATGTGCCAAAAAGCATTTGAATCTGGTTCTGGGCTTCAACCAAGCATCCACAGGCTGTGGTGCAACCCACGGCAAATGTGTAGATGTCTCATTGCCTTTGTAGGCGGCTTCAAGTATATTTGAGAAAGATAATCCCAGCCATATATTGAATTGAGGCATGGGATATTTTGATCCCAAAACAACCTTTTCTGTCCTGATGTTATTTACTCAATTATACCCTCCAAAAAGATGAAACCATCCGGAAGTATGTCGACAGAAAAAGGACAGCAACCTATTGGCCCAAAGATGGTACTGGAAAAGAACAATGAAGGCTCCAAAAGCAACACAGCATTGGTTGGCGATGCCCCTCAGGCTTTGACGCCTGCCAATTGGGAGGGCGAGGAAAAGTCCACGGGCAGCGACACAGTCGATTTCGAGTCGACAGAAGCTCTGAACGAGTATTCACAGGGAATTACCCTGATCATGGTCATTATGGCTCTGCTTTTGGGAGTATTTCTAGTTTCGCTCGACTTGGTAGGTGTTTCGTGTATGATGGAAGGAAAAACAAACTAACCGGTAGACCACGACTGCAATTCCCCGAATCACGGACACTTTTCACAGCGTTGACCAGGTATCATGGTACGGTTCTGCCTTGTTCATGACAGCGGGTGGCTTCCAGCCCACTTGGGGCAAGTTCTATAAATATTTCCCACTTAAAGCAGCATTTGTCCTCTCGTTGTTTATATTCGGACTCGGTAGCCTCATTTCCGCAGTGGCCGCGACCTCTCCAACATTGTGAGTATTAAACCCATAGCCAACTCTCAGAACTGGTGGACAACGGGCGGTTGCTAATCAGGATTCCCACCTAGTATCATCGGCCGCGCAGTTGGTGGTGTGGGGACGGCGGGAGTCTTCTCGGGTTCATATACTATCATCGGATTCTCAGTGGACCCGCAGATGCGCCCAATGATTACAGGGCTCATCGGTGCGGCCTTCTGCCTCGCATCTGCCGTAGGACCTCCTGCTGGCGGTGCCTTGGCTGATCATGTCACATGGCGCTGGTGCTTCTACATCAACCTGCCCATCGTCGGTTTTTGTATCCTGATCTTCTTGCTCTTCTTCCGGACTACGAAAGTCATGGAACCAGCTGAAGGTACAATAAAAGAGAAAATTATCAATATGGACCCTGTTGGAACAATACTGGTGATAGGTGCCCTGCTCTCCTTTCTGCTGGCCATGCAGTATGGCGGTCAGACCAAGTCATGGTCTTCAAGTACCGTGATTGGCTTGCTTGTTGGCTTTGGACTTTTATTGATAGTCTTTGTGGCATGGGAGTACTTGCAGGGAGAGCGGGCTATACTAATACTACGGCTGATGAAGTCCCGTGCCGTGTGGGTGAACATGACCTATAGTTTCCTTGCGACTGGTGCATTCTCCATCGTTTCCTTCTATCTGTCAATTTACTTCCAAAGTGTTCAGGGTGTCAGCGCAACAGACTCGGGCGTACGAGTCCTGCCGCTAATTTTAATGATCAGTTTGGCTATGATCGTCTCGGGCGCAATTATCTCATGGACACGCGTTGCGACCCCAGTCCTTGCCCCAGCGGCGGCTCTCACAGTCGTCGCATCGGGTCTCTTATACACCCTCGAGATGGAGACGAGTGCACAAAAATGGATTGGCTATCAACTCCTTGGAGGCGCCGGCTGGGGTGCCGGCTTCCAAATTCCAATCATCGTAGCCCAGAGCAGTGTGAATATTAACGACCTAGCGCCCGCCACGGTCATGATCCTATGTATGAATTTATCAGACCCTTTATCTCCCCAAGCTACTCGCGTGGTAACTAACAGGTACCCTGACCAGTTTTCCAAACCATTGGAGGCTCGTTCTTCATCGCAGCAGCGCAAGCAGGCTTCGCAAATCAGCTCCCGCTGCAACTATCCCACACGGCTCCGAGCATCAACCCAGCCGTTGTGGTTGCGACTGGTGTAACCGAACTTCGCACTGTATTCGACAAAGAGCATATCTCTGGAATCCTTCTCGCGTATATGGCCAGCATCCGTATCACGTTCCTCATCGCGATGGGCGGCGCTGGCGCCGCTCTCATCTTCAGCCTGTTCAGCAGCTGGCATCGGCTCGATGCTAAAGCCTTAGCAAATGCCATGGGTTGATTGTGGAACTGAACGAAGTAAAATAGTTATAAAATGTCAGACATGAAAGTCATGGATATTGCTAGCTGAGGAATCTAGCAGCGTTTCTGGGAATGGTTTGCGCTTTTATATGCCCGGTTTATATCTTATCTCTTATTTATTGGAGACATACAAAAGACAGACATCATGGGGCTTTCATACTACCTTTCTTATGTTTGATCTGAAAGCATCTTAGCAGTGTGCCCAAAACAACAATCAACAAAAGACTTCCCGTACCGATTCGCTCTGTTCCTAGAAATCCTTGGGACAACAATTATACCGATCAGAGACAATCTGTCCTGATATGCCGAGAAATCGGCCTACAGCTTTACAAGGAAATTGAGGTTGAAAAAGACGGAAATCTTCAAAAATTCTTTTGGAGTACCGTAGTGCTTGCTCCCATATCACGCCTTCTAGAATGCTATCTAATACACGATGGAAAGAAAGATAAAACCAATGACAGAGGTCATATACAAGGTTGGAGAATAGGAAAAAGACTGAGGGAAAAAAGGGGCCGCAGCCTTTGCTTCTGCGTGATTTGAAAGCCAAAACTTCAACATGTCAGCCTTCGTGGCGGAGTGAAGTGTCACTGTATACCAGGCGAAGATATCTGATGAGCAAAAAAGGGACTGGGAGTGACGAAAAGCGGATCAACTCGTTGGCTTAGGGAGTTGTAGAAGCAATTTGGGTATGCAGAGGAGCGAAAGTCCAGCCAGCTGGATCTTCATGAGCGAAAGTGTTTGGTGTCTTGGAAACAGTATGAGCATGGATATCCCGTTAGCGAGGACCGCACAAGTGGTCTACTTCTTGGAGGAGCCCTTTCCAGAATCCTTTTCAGGCTGAGAAGCGGAGCCTTCGCTAGAGCCCTTGGCGGGGGTCTGGGGTTTAGATCGGCTGTTTTCTTTCTGTTGAGCAAGCTCACGCTCGCGTTCTTCTTTTTCGAGAGCCTGGCGCTCCAACTCCATCTCTTCCATGTGGCGCAGGTCGTCAACACTTGGCTCATACAAGTGCCAGATAGTGTAATGCGGCAATCCAATGACGGAGAACTTCATTCGTTTGGCCATCTGAAATAAGGTGTCAGTAATTAGCGGTGGTGAGAGAGAGAGACGGTTTAACACGGAAATGACTCACCTTGCCAAAGCCTTCTGTTTCAGCATGCTTCTCGAAGCTAAAGGCAGGGAAGTGAACGCCGGCTCGGAACACACGAGCTTTTGCCAGAATACTGACACCGCCAATGCCATCCAATTCCATCTCCATATCTGGGTCTCCGTAGGGATCACGGAGATAGGCCAGATGAGGCCGCCAGGTTGCATATTCGGCATATCCCTCCACGATGACAGCGTCCTCATCCAGGGTCTCAGCGAGTGCAAGAGCTGTTTCTGATTCTTGCCAAGAGTTCAAATCGTATGGTTGCTCTCCACCAAGCCAATCTGGAAGCGGTCTCCACACATCTACAGGGATTGTCAGTATATTTTCTCATAACCATGTAACAGAGCCATTTATTATGACGTACTCGGGACAGTCACGTCCTTGTTGTGTCGCATGAGATCCTCGATGATCGTAAACGGCGCCGTCTCCACGTCTGCGTCTCTCCAGTAGACCCAGCTGTGGGTGGGCCGGAGTGTCGCGCTCAGCAACCAGTTCCTGGCTTGAGCCATCAGCTTCCGCCGGCTCGCCTGCGCCTCGAAGCCATGTCGACTCTCCACATCCTGCTGCACCTTCTGGCCAAAGTCCTTCTGAATCACGGAAATCTCGCCAAAGGACATTTTGGGGTCGGGATCGTTCTGCACTTCCTGTAACATGCGCGAGAGCATGCCGAGGGTGTCATCGCGTGAGTCCGATACCAAGAAGGCCAGGTCAATCAGATTGTGCGGGTAGGTAAGGTTGCGCAAGTGCGAGAAGAACATGGGCAGGTGGGAGGAGGCGTCTCGCAGCGGGGTAAGCATGAGCACACGCTCCCCACGCTCCCAGCCCTTCTCGGTGCCTTGCACTTCGGATAGGTCATAGTAGCGGACGGTTTGCAGTTGGAGGTCTTCAGAGGGATGGAGGAGGCCCAAGGAAATGGTCGGGAGGATGGCGGCGCGCCAAGATGGGAAGATGAAAGTCACTAGGAGGAGGGTGACCACACCGAGGAGGATTAAGCGTTGGAAGAGTTGTCGGCGGCGGCGAAGGGCAGGTTGGGATCGAGGTTGGAAACTGGTTTGAGAGGGCTAGATGTTAGTGACCGATTTCATTGATGGGGTGTGCCCATTTTCTCTGTTCCTCTTCGGGCCGATCGGCCACTGTAATGGCGGCAGACAACCCATGAACGGCAAGAGGAGCACGCGCGGCCTTTGGTTCTCAACATACCGATTGGGAGAGATCGAGAAGGCGGAACCCCGGGGGTAGGCCGAGGAGCCCTTCGGAAAGGCGTTATGCCTGTTCATTGCTGAAAGGACCGCAGCATTGAGGTAGAAGAAAAACGTCGAATGGAGGCGAGAACCCAGCGACAGCTCGTGGATCTCGAAGAAGCCAGCTTCGAGACCCGCCGGCGAATTCAGGCGGTGGCTGAAGGGGAGTGGGGAGGAATGAAGGGGGGGGGAGAAATAGAGGGTTGACGATTGCGGGAACAAGAAGACGAGACAAGCGCGGTCTGAGGAAGAAGAGAAAAAGAAGAAGAAGAAGCAGAAGTGAGGCGAATTAAACAAGGGCAAAAGAAAGAAATTGCAAGCGAGTCGAAGATCAAAGAGAAGGAGAAGTACAAAGGCAGAAGCGGAGGAGATGAGGTTCCAGCCGGTGGTCCACGTTCCACGTTCCCAGTTCCAAACACACTCGCGCACCGAATCCGGGCGGCCGCTTGCAGCCACTTCGATTGCCGATTCATCTGACAGATAACGCCTCTCCCGGGCTTGATCCTTTTCATAGATTGGGCCGTACTTTGTCGACGGGACAGGGATTCGTAGAACCCGATTGGCGAGTTGACTACCTACAGCTGGCCTCTTGGCTCTCGAACACTGGTAACTGGTATATAGCCACCGAGGTTCATCTAGTCCCGTTACACAGAGACTCCATCCCATCCGACTACACCTCATCCCATGCGAATGTATGACATCCTACGATCCTACTCAAAAAGGACTGACGAGTCCGACTAGACTCTGGACTGCACCGGCACTGAAGGGAGGACAGAGGTAGAACAGAGGTATCACGAAGCGTATCTAGGGTATATGTGCCCCTTGTCCCCACCCCGCAGAAACAAACTGGCCCACCACGATCAAGGGTAGCTGGACACCGTCTCAACCGTGTCAACAGGTCGTCGGCGTGGAGCTGATTGACACCGGTGATCCTTTCGCCCGACAGCCCGCTTCCACCTGGTGCATCATTTGCACGAGCAGCGACTCCATGCGTGCGCCGTCGCGCAGCGTCGCCAGGACGGATGCGGCCTCGTACTCACTATCGAGGATAAAGTAGCGTTCGCCGGGATCCACCGTCCGCCGGAAAGCGACTTTGGCGATCGCCTTGGCTGGAACATTGGCCTTGTTGATCGAACTTCGCGATACCATCCGCAGGATCGGTCGGAGACCCGACCGTGTTTGATGTGCGACTCTGACCGACAGGGGCGCCCCAGTACGGAGGTGACTCTGGCCGGCCATGCCACCGGGGTCGAGCGTGAAGATATCCAGCGAGATGTTGTCGGTCTTGTCACGAGGGGAGAAATGGTCAGCAAAAGAAAAAACATGACCAGGGTCACGACTGGCTGGTCGCAGGGGCCGGGGACCAGGGAGGTTCGTATTGTTGATGCAGGTTGCGATCGGGGCCGAACTTACGCTGGCCAGACTGCGTCGCAATGCATATAACGCAACGCTGGCGAGGAGCTTGCTGCTTCCGAAGCGAACATTGCCTTCCTTTGCACTCAACACCGTCCCTGGAGGCCGGGTATCGCGGCCTTGGTTGTGGTCGAAGTAGTCCAGTCGTCCATAGGACGAGGCCGCACATCCGATGTTGATCACCTTCGCGCCTCCGTCGGGGCTTCCGTCGCCAGCGCGGAAGGCCTCGAGTAAGCCGACAGTCAGAAAGAATGGTGCGACGCAATTCGTTTGATAGACAGGGTCATAGCCGTCTAGGGTGAGCTCGTCGATCGTGTATGAGGCAATCGCCGCAGAGTGGATGAGATCGGCCACGGGGGGGATTCCCTCCTCCGAACACGCTCCACCGTCCGTTCGCTGAAGTGGAGGACCGATTGAAGGTCATTTAAGTCAAGGCGGAGGACTTCGATCGAGCGCGGGCCGATCAGGCGGATCCGGGAGATCAATTGGCGGACATCATCGCCCTGGGGATTTCGGGCCGTCAAGAGGAGATGGGTGAATGGCTGCGTCTTCGCGATAGCCACTGCGATCTCAGATCCCAACAGCCCATTACCCCCGGTAATGATCACGGTACCGGTGAGGGACCGTCCCATGTTTTTAGTGTTCTTGCGAACTTTTCGTGGCGTCGAGTAATTTTGATTATCGTCTTCTCGCAAGGTACTAAGCCAAACCACAGTGGGTTCAGTTGGTCAAACTCGCATTCTGAGGCGAACGGCGGTGAAATATAGAGATGGGGAAAAATAAGAAGAATCACAAGAGATTCTAGGAATCAGAAGCTCTAAGCTAACGTGATAGACCCAACAGGAGAGAGTAGAGAGGAGGAAAAAAACAAGAAAGGACCACCCCAGTTGAATCATGCATTCGCTGACCAAGACGGACTATAAACGGCATCGTGGAACTGTAGATCGGCCTGCCCCAACCTCCTCACCGTCGGCCGAGCCAATGGATTTAATGAACCTGGAGCGATGTCACTTTCGGCATGTCTCAGCTCACGGCCTCAGCCGTATTTTTTCCAGAAGCCCAAAAGACGACAGAGTGGATCAATCAGACGCAGACACAGGCGGACACAGGCGACGTGCTGCGTTAGTGCTTTAGTGCCGAGACAGCGAGAGGGTCGGGGCGGGAAGAAACGAAAGAAATAAAAACATCTCAGGGAATGACGTGGTGAAATGTTGTCTCCATGAGAATTCCAAGAATTAGAAATTCGGCGATACCACGCATGTTTGCATTCTGAAATCGTTATACTCTCCTGCCAGATGGTGTAAATAGAGACAACTATGCCCATCAAGCCAAACCCGGAGATCCAGTCGATCCGGCTCTCATGCATACGAACATGAATCGTGGATGGATCGGCCCCCAAGATTGGTCTAGCGAGAGTTCGCGCGCTCGGCGGCCACAGTGGGACTGCTCGACTGGAGACTGGTCCATGCCCTTGTCTTTAGACCGGTTGATCTCAAGCGATCTAGTCACGGTTTGACACATCAGCAGCCGAGCCACAATTGAAGACGCTCCCGGAGGCCCGGGCCTGGCATGTTTCTTTTTCTCCCGACTTGCGCAGCCGGTAGTGGCGTCTGACAACGAGATTCTTAAAGGGTTTCATTCAGCTATTCCCCTGCCTAGCCTGACAGTGTGGATTGTCTCGGTTTTTTTCTCCTGACTACGACCAGAAATCAAACGCTATAGAGGGGAAAAATTACGTAGAATAGCAAGGGGCCATAACACACTGGGTGTGGGGCCACGAGAAAACCACCGGTGTTCCACGGCTCGATTAATCCAAATAGTTAAATTCCGAAGAGTTTCGGAAGTTCCTCTGTAAGAAGCGATGTACCCCAGATGGAATGGATTTGGTGGCGGAATCTATAGCTCACGGCAGAAATTTTCGAAGTAGGATGGAATCTAGGGCTGGCTAGCAAATCCCGGAGGTTCTATTTTTTGGCTAGTCTGGCTAGCCCTAGTGTCGAAATTCTTCTGGTCATCAACGAGTATGGTCAGACTCTGCGTATTCCTGGGGATCTCAAACAATATAGTTTTGTATGGTGGCTTCTAGTTTTTCAGGTTTACCGCTCGGGTAGACCCTGGGGATCGACAGAATGGTGGATCTACATGAATACAAAGCGGGCGGGCTTTCTGGTCCAGAAATTCCATGCCCACTATTCGTACAGTGAAGGTGAGTTTAAAGCGACCAGACTGTCCCCACCCCCGCTCTCCAGATTACAGAGACAAGAAAACGATCGGACAAGTGCTTAGAATGACACCCAATCTGATAATGAATTCAGAAAAAACAGCACATAGAAATCAAGAGCTTAAAGTCGCCAAGGAATTATGTTTGTCACTTAAGCAGAAATGTCCACCAGAATCTTGACATGTTTATCTTTCTCATTGATGAGGGCTTCAAATCCTTTCTTCACTATTTCATCCATCTGGATTTTACTGGTTATCATTGACCGAGGCGCAATTTGGCCTGCAAGCGTGGACGTCAGCGATTGATCAATTAAGCATAAGAATTGTCACATACCGGAAGCAATCGCTTCAATTACGGCCTCAAAGTCCTCATCATCATAAACTACCGCACCCGCAACATGCTTCTCTCCCAGAACAATCGCAAAGGCATCGATAACGGGCTTTTTCTCCCATAACGATAAAATGACCGTCGTTCCACGAACTCGGATGCCAGACATAGCAGTATCAAGACCTGCCTGTACGCCGGAGCACTCAAAGGCCACGGATGCACCGCGGAAATCTCCGGTGATATCTCGGATCTCAGTGACCACATCCACCTCCAAAGGGTTGAGAATGTGCGAGCCCCCAAAGGCAAGAGCAAATTCCCGCCGCTTCTGAGAAACTTCGACTACAATGATCTTGTTGATACCTTGCGCTTTCAGCACTTGCACAACAGCAAGTCCAATAGGACCAGCCCCGACGACCAGAGCTATGCCATCTTCCTGTAGTGGACTGCGGCTAACTGCATGCCATGCGACGGATAGCGGCTCCACCAATGCTTTGGAGCATTAATAAAGGTCGAACATTTTGAAGATTGAGAGCATGGTGTTTTGACGTACCTCCAATATCTAAGGGGATAGATTCAGGCAGTCGAATCACATGCTTTCTATCCACAACAACATAATCAGATAGGCCACCGGCGCTTCCTAAAACCTGTTAGCACAATAAGACCCATTGAATGAAGACACAGGACAGGAAACAGCTTTTATTTCAAGCCCCCGACTTTCAAAACTCACCACTATATCCGATAAAACCCAGGCTATCACAGCAATTTGCTCTTCCCATTAAACATCGTCGACACGTCCCATCACCCAGGTTTGGCTTGATAGCAACCAGATCGCCCACTTTCAGATCGACTATCTCGGATCCAATTTCCTCAATTGTTCCGCTGAATTCATGTCCTAGGGTGGTAGGAAGCTTCTCTCCGGTGACAGGGTGCGGCTTCTGGGGCACCGCATGAGGACCGCCGATGAATTCATGTAGGTCTGTCATGAATTAGCCTCGATGTACTCCCAAAAAAGCACATTTGAACTATACCACTTCCGCAAATACCGACAAATGCGGGCTTGACCTTCAGAGGCGGAAAAATGAATGACTGTGAGTAGCTAAAATATGGCAAAAAGAGACTGTTACAGAGAAGAAGTACCTACTTTTATCTGCCCGCTACCACAAACTGGCTCTGGAATCTCATCAAGCCGAACATCACCCCTTCCGTGAAATCGAACAGCTCGCATGGCATACCAGAATTCGGCTTTTGTTAGGATATGATCAGAGGAAGCAAGAAGAGATATTTACACCCTCAAAAGGCGGAAGACATGTCCTCTGAAGCCGTGAAGCCTTGAGCTAGGAAATTACCCGAGAGTTAGCTTTGTGTAACCATATCCGAGGTCGGGGAAAGCACCCCCGCCTCCCCGCAAACCCCGTGGGGTAACACGGGATAGAAAAAGGTGACCCGCTCTGAATTGCGGAATGTACCCGTTTCCATTTGTTTACATGATCTGAAGATATTATAGAATGGTTATATTCGGGAAATAGTCAAGCGGCATGCGGAGCGACAGGTGCCGAGTGACATTCTGAAGAGTTCAACTTCCTTTCCATAGTCTGTGGATGATAACGTGATGAATGGGTTGCATGGATGGTTGAACAAGATTAACTACTAATCCCCTGTTAAGCACATTACTTGATTGATTACAAACTCAAGCCACAAGGTCGGAGTCGATTTTCCTGCCGCAGTATACGTCCGCCGATGGCCATTGCAGCACATTAGTCAGTCTGCGACCACCTGCATAGGTACCCTTCCTTCTGACGTGGCTGTTTGTCAATTACCTAGACTTTCAGCCAGCCAATGTATCCTAGAGTCTTCTGAAAGAGAAACCCACTGATGTAATGTTATTGAATATTAGCCCGACCGCCCTAGGCATCTGAATAGCAGCTCAAGAGGGGACTCTTTCTATCTCACCCTTGATTAATATTAGTTATATTTTCAGACTTCATTTTCAGGATGACTGGGTCTTTGTTTATCTTGCAATTATCTTACAAGAGACCAATAGGACGTACAGTTGAGTGGTTAGCATCAAGGGTTCGTAGTGAAAGTCCGCAGAAAAATTCAGTCCGAATGAGCACTCATGAAACTGTAAAATCAGCGAAGCTGATACGAGACAAGAATATAATAGTGCCTGAAAATAGTATTTTAGACCTTGAAAATTCTAAACTTTCAATTGTCCATAATGTACTCCACAGAGAAGACTCAAATTTGTGAGAGCTAGATTCAGTTGAAGTCCCAATTTCTCAGGCTTGTCCTTCCCCGCATTTCATGTCCTTATTTCGGTAGTTCAGGTAAATCAAGCACGGCCCTTACCGAGGGTATATCGGCTTCAGAGTTCAAACAGCCCCTCTTGCTCCTTATTATTTCTCACAAAGCAATTCGGAATAGCAATATGATCGTGCGACCTGTCTTTAGGCCAGACAATTTAATAGTTCGCGTCTACGAACCTCCGTAAATACGGACTCGTCAACAATATTGAAATATGAAATTTGCCACATGAAGGATAGCTTGATAAGATGGCTCTTCATGACTCGAAGAACAGCATGACCACCCCTGCTCCCTCAAAGCATATTTCAGGCGTTTCGCCAAATGCTGTACTACCAGGAACTTGTTGAAAGTTAATTCTGACTTCGTAACGGACTCCTACATGGAAGCACAAATCTTAGCTCTTGCGCACATGTATCTTGCGAACATCATGTTATCAAAGATGGAGGTTGGTGAAAGTGCGGGTAAACTAAGCTAGACTGTTGTTGAAGACGGACGGACCAGCGGATGCGCTGAAAAAAAGTCACGACTATCAAGGGAGCGTCTACCGTAGCTAGAGTCAATTTTGATAAAATAGTCAGTTTTGGACTTGAACATAACTGATTTACTGTTCTTGGACTCTTGAGATTATCTAGTCGGAACACCTCCATCATTGGCGCATCAGCACAGATAAACTATCTATTGAGATACCCAGAGCTGGCTCTAAACTTTAAGATATTTGACAATGTTGTCTTGAGTGTGCTGGTTTATAGATCATAACACCTCCGCATGAACGGCAGCTGGTTTCGGTTCTTTATCATGGATGCCAGTGTTCTCATCCAATGCCTCTCTGGCAATTTTCTCGCGATCCTCTTCGTTGGCATCATACCAGTGAGACACCACATTTTCTGCATCGCCAAATAAAGCACCTATCTCTTCCAATGTCCGGCCCTTGGTCTCTGGGAAGAGGAGATAAATGGCGGTTATATAAAACAGAGAAGGAACAATCAATACAAGGTAGAATCTCCACCCAATCGTGTTGAGAGCCACTGGCGCAGCAACCAAGGTAACTTCGGAGGTAAGGTAGAAGGCGCTGAGACCGATTGCGACTCCCTGGGCCCGGAGGTGATTAGGGAATATTTCGGCGACGTACACAAACTGTGTCGCATCCATAAAAAAACACCACCAAAAGATAAATAAGAAGGTAAAAAAGACAGTTGCCCTGAGGCCAGGCATATCATTAGTTCCCAAATATTGAGCCGATAGCGCACAGAGGAATATCGTAGATATAGTGCAACCAGTAGATCCGATCAGCAAACATGTTCGCCGGCCGACGCGATCCAAGTAGAAAGCAGTCCAGGTGTTGCCGACGAGGGTAAAGGTCGTCCAGCAAGCGTTAAGCAAGAGTGGGGTTCCACCAGTCATACCAAGATAGCTGTATATCAGCACACCGTAGTTGGCAATAACGTAACAACCCAAAAATTGGTTACCAGCCATAAGAAGGACTGCTGTAAAAGCGCGTCGACGATTGGAGGAGGTCCGGAAGATTTCGAATCGCCGCATTGTCATCGACCGATCATGCTCAAACTGTCTCTCGATCAGGATGAACTCTTGTTTGGCTCTCGTGTCATCCAGATCATCTGGTGTTTTGTGCAAGCGTTTAACAATTTCGAACGATTCATCATGACGGCCTTGTTGCAGTAACCAGCGAGGAGAAAATGGAATCAATGAACTCCCCGCGAGAACAATCAAGGGAAAGGTGACTTGGAAGGCCAGCGGGAATCGCCAGGCAAAGTTTGCGTAGGGGCTAGTTGCTTTCATATAATAACATGCGAATCCAAGCCATCCTGCCAACGCATATCCAACGGCATACATAATTCCAGTGACGCAGACCATTGCGCCGCGACTCTCAGCAGTTGAGACCTCAGCCTGGTATATCGGCACAATACAAGCCAAGACAGCCGCACCCATACCTGCGACAAAACGACCCGCAAGGAACATTCCCATGTTGACTGAGCCTGAGCACAATGTACCTCCAATAATCAATATGACGCATCCGAATTGCATAGTTCGCTTGCGGCCAAAGTAATCCGCAGTCCAGGCTTGTCCTAAACATCCTAAAATCGCACCAGCTGAGTTTATACCGTTGAGGGCGCCAATCATGTTCGTAGTGTGTGCATATCCTGGCTGGCCCTCAGCGGGCAATTGGAAGTATGTATAGAAACTCGGTTGCCCGACGGTCGACCCGATAATTGCCAGGCCATAAGCACTTGCAATTGTGCCAATAGCCACGAAGACCACGACGCAAAGGTTGTAGGTATTCACAACGACTTTGTGAAGCATTTCGCAATTTTGGAAGAAATGCGACGCTTGATATTATGTGCTGGGTTTATGGGAGATTTTCTTTGTGGCTTATGGACGAGTAGTGGGAGTGATGCAAAGCTGAAAACTATTTTAGTACTTTATCGTTAACAACCCAGGAAATATCTAGGCCAATTAGACTATAATTGATCCATATCATTGCCGTTTACGGCCACACTGCCGGCCTAAAGTCCGACCAGATTGGATATCCGAGGAACAGTTGACAGATCAAAAGATTAATATGAGCATAGCCGAAGCTCGGGTTGATATGTGTTGCTGATCTTTCAGAAGTTCCCAGCATCCCAGCATTATCCACCCTCGGCACACAAGAAGACCGGTTACTGAGAGCTCAACCCCGCAGTTTGACGACATAGATCAGCAATTGTCTTGCGGGGATGTGGGGTATGGGTCTACTCGTGATATCCGCTAAGACCGTAACATATTAGGAGAATTCTACGTAGATTTAGTGGTGGCCTGGGCAAAATCCCACTAGGCTAAAAAGAGTCATCAAGAATTTTGGATCGCAATAGAAGTCTTGCTTGCGGCTTCTGAAGTATTATCATGATCAAGCTTTATGATCACGCTAGATGACGTGCGGTAGTCAATCCTGAGATACGAAAAGCCTCCCTTTCAGAAGAATTCAAAGCCAAATATCGCCCTCTAGAAACGGCGAAAAGCGGATGGAGGCGGTGGAAAGGCATTGAATCAAAGGGATGGGTCGAGGAGCAGAATATCCACGGGCAGAAGATGACAATATCTAGTAGATAAGGAGTGTCCTGGCACCCTGCGTGGAATTTCCATATTGCGGGCATCCCTTATGTAGATGGTCACTACGATGAAACGACTTAAAAATAGACATAGCCAATTCATATTCATTAGAGACCAGCTCAAAAATATCTCGGATGTCAGGAGGGCTTCACTTGCTCTTCCGAGTGAGAAGCCCCTTCAAAGCCTCAGTTTCACCTTCTAGCTTTGAGACCTTGAGTCTCAACTCATCGCGCTCTCTCCTGATACTTTCCAATTCATCTTCTAGACTCTTCATCCGGTCAACTCGTCTCTGGCGACATCTGCGAGCTGCGAGGGTGTTCAACCTGCGTTTTTCAACGCGGGATGAGTCCACACGGCTCAAGACTTCATCACTCTGTGATGTGGCGGGACTGGATAGAGATGTCGACGCGGAACTAGGAATCTGAGAAATAGGGGAAGCATAATAATTCTCATCTGTGGCAATGTTATTAGACTATGGAGTGTACTTAACCAGGGCAAAATGCACGATGACCAATTCTCACCTTGTGAATTAGATGAGCTAGGAAGGAGAGAAGTGTGAAGTGTTGGGGGCTCATTGGATCCTGAATCCGAAAGCGAAGTGAATGTAGAAGGCATGCCATATTCCATGTTGTTGACGGTTGAATGGACGCCACCAACATTGGCAGAATATGATACAGGATGGCCGACAGGTAAAAGGTTCCAGTCGGAACAGGCGAAGGACAGATCTGGCTCTGCCCAAAGATCCGGCTCTTGAGCAAATGATTCAAAGGAATGGTTGTAAGGAAGGGTCGTCGGAATACATCCCGCCGGCGACGCCAGAGAAAGGAGCGTAGAATTTTCGGAAAACTGAGAGAAACTAGACCATGGAAGGTGATTCCCATGGAGGTTTGATGGCGGGTCGGTGTTGTTGTGGTTGCCAGAAGACGACGAAGGTCTGCTTAGCGGCCGCGGCGCTGCAAGAAGTGGCGTCTGGCATGACTGGATAGCTCAACCGGGCCTAGGCGGGCCCGTAGCGCGTTTTTCTGGGTGACGGAGAAGAAAGGGAAGTCCCAATCAGACTTGAAGAGTTTGAAGTTGGACTCGGTCACAGAGGCCCGAGGAGTAGTGTCCTGAGGAAGGAAGAAGGGGATCGCGCGAGATATACCCGGCGGGGGCGCAGGGTTACGTGCAACTCGGTTGACCGCCCGAAGGCTCAGGCCGCCACCGGACCCTCCGTGAGCTCCGTTTGATTGGCGTTTGAGGCAAGACTCATCGTGACTCATTTTAGCGTGTGTCCAGCTGGCCTATCATGCACAAGAGAAACTATAATCGATTTCATAGTGGAGCCACATGTCGTGCATCGAAAGAAACTGCGAGGCCGAAGACCAAGGGTTCTGGAGAACTTTTAATGAGATATGGGCCGGCGTCGTAAATCGAAAATTCAATTCTGGGGTTGATCCGTGGCTATGGAGCTGAGGATATGCGTATCTGGCTCATTCCAGCGGTAGTATGTAACACAATGGTTATAGCTATCAGGGCAGTGTGCGTACTAGTCACAGCCCGTCTCTACACTGCCACAATGTTCCAAGATAGGATGAGACACACTTTAGGTGTGAGATAGCTAGACCCATACGAATTCTAAGCGGTCGATCTCATGCAAACCAATCCTATGGTATTTACAATGTGGCTTTTTCGTGCATACTCGACACGTACATGCAGGGAATTTTGTTCCAATACATGTATCAATAAATGACCGGATGGGTCGAAACCCGTTTGGCAGCGGTCTATTTAACACATATAATATCCGAAAAAAATCTTTCTGTAAGCCGAATTGAAGGCTGTCGTCTCTAGTGAACTAGGGGCTAATTCTGACTATCGCTGGTTTCTTCATACCACCCTGCCCATTTACGAAACGAGGTAAAGCATATTTACTGACTTTTAAAAATGTCTGAGCTGTGATAGATCAATAATTAGAGCTTTCTTGAATAGAAAGGATCTAGACCTAAACTATCAGCACTGAATTGACTTTCAGCACCCATTGAAAGCGAATTCTTCCTCGTCATTATGTCCTCACGTGACCATATATATTTTGGGCAACAGAAATGAACAAAGTCATTTAGACCAACAACACATCTCAAGAGGTTCTATTGGAGGTCATAATCCAACAATATCGAGGGCTGAACATGAAATATACTGCTTCCGTCTCTTAAATAAAGCAGAGTATGGTATTTTCAGTAGCTCAACACCCCCAGCAGCCTGGTGCTCCAATAGTCAGCTGAGTCATCAATATTGGCCCCGGCGCCGCAGAAAAAAAAAGGGACACGATGAGCGTGAGAATGGAAGGAAAAGGACGAGAAGTCCTATATATCAATTCCTCCAATCAGTCCCCGATCCCAATATCCCTGGGATCATCGTCAAGTTGACGTTCTTCAGGTGTGCGAGCCTATTGCGGGCCCGAAGCACAACCCCGCGGGTCCAGTCATTGACACATCTCCGTGCCCCTCTTCGAATTTCTTTTCTTTCATCCCCTCCACGCGCATTCACCATGGCGACCGCAGCTACCCCCGAGTCCTCCCTCCTCTCTCTCCTCTACCGCTCGTACCCGGCCGCCATCTCTTCCGATGCCACTGAGCCCGATTACCTCCACGCCTCCTCCAAGATCTTCCCACAGGTGAACTTTGGCGAGGCAGACGATGCAGACATCAAGCAATGGCTGAACGCTGTCTCCGGCTTCAAGGCTGCCCAGGCCAAGGACGATAAGCCTGTCATTGACAGCATCCTGGCTCAGCTGAACACCCACCTGGCCTCCCGCACTACCCTGCTCGGCGCGAAGCCCTCGGTTGCCGATGTTGCCGTGTATGCTCTTATCGCTCCTCTGGTCGAGAAGTGGTCCCCCGAGGAGCGTACTGGCGAGAAGGGTTATCACCATATTGTGCGCCACATCGACTTTGTCCAGAACTCCAAGCTCTTCTCTCTGCAGATCCCAGAGGAGGAGAAAGTCGTCATCGATGTGAACGACGTCAAGTTCGTTCCCAAGCCCGTCGATCCCAAAGAGGAGAAGGAGCGCAAGAAGCGCGAGAAGGCTAATGCCCAGAACCCTGATGCTACTGCTGAGAAGCCCCTCGTTGTGGGTAAGGGTAAGCCCGAAAACACTGCGGAGGCTGCCGCTGCCGCTGCCGCTGGCCCGCCCAAGACCAACAAGAAGGAGAAGAAGGAGAAGAAGGAGAAGGCCCCCAAGCCTGCGCCTGCTCCCGCTGCTCCTCCTTCGCCCTCTCTGATCGATCTGCGTGTTGGCCATATTCTGCGCGCGATCAACCACCCTAACGCCGACTCGCTGTATGTCTCCACTATCGACTGTGGTGATGCCCCCGGTAGCGACAACACCTCCCTGGATGAGGAGACTGGCAAGACTGTCCGTACCGTTTGCTCCGGTCTGAACGGCTTGGTTCCTCTTGCTGAGATGCAGGGCCGCAAGATTGTGGCTGTCTGCAACCTGAAGCCCGTCACCATGCGTGGTATCAAGTCCGCTGCGATGGTTCTAGCTGCCTCTCCCCGTGTTGAGGAGGGCGGTGACTCTCACGCCGGCCCCGTCGAGCTTGTCAACCCCCCAGCGGATGCTCCTGCTGGTGAGCGTATCACCTTCCAGGGTTGGTCAGAGGGCCAGCCTGAGAAGCAACTCAACCCCAAGAAGAAGGTCTGGGAGACGTTCCAGCCTGGCTTCACCACCACTGAGGATCTCGAGGTTGCCTTTGATAGCAGCGCCGTCCCTGTTGCCAAGGAGCAGGAGGGTAAGCCTGCAATCGGCAAGCTGGTCACTGCCTCAGGCGTTGTGTGTACAGTCAAGAGCCTTAAGAATGCTACTGTGCGGTAAAAATTTGGAGTCACTACGAACACCACAAAATAAACTTTATCAATTGCATACCCATGAGAATATGAAAAGAAATAGCAACAAACATCTACAATCCCTCCATTTTTAGCTTATTAATAAAGACTCAATTTCTTTTAGATACATATGACCATGGATATTAATTATTTCAGACCGACAGCGCATTTGAGAAGGATGTCTGCTTCTATGAAACAAATCTACAACAGCCGCAAACCGATCCTCTGTCACGTTCAACCGACTAGGATTAACCTCGAAAAATCTCCACAATATCTCTTAATGCATATCATGACGGCGACGCGAAACCTAGAGATGGTCCACGTTGATCGAAGACCACAAACAGCGCTTTGAGGAACACATCACCGAAGATTTGCAGACTCGAACCCGAGTTTGACTGGATGCCACCATAGCACACTGTCACACATAACGGTTAGCCTGGTGTTGAAACTATGCCATGCCACGCAAGAAGAAAGACGAGAAGAAAACACTCACCCGTGTCACCAGTAGTCTTATTTGTCCCAACTTCTGCAAAATTGATGAGTGATCCTGGGATGGTAGCTTGATACTTGTCGCCCAGCGCAACAGTCAGACTGGGCAGATCTGCCGCGCAAGGATAGATGTAACCCGCAACGCTGCTGGAGTAGGCGGCGCTTGTAACTTCGCTGTAGTATGCCTCAGCAACCTCGGGACTGACCAGCATCAGCGAAGTTCCCGTGTCGACGATGGCATTAGGAATATCGGTGACTTCATGTAAAGCCCCGGAGCCGACGGCGTAATACCCAGCCTTGAACTGCCAAAATCCATTGGACGAGTCAACGGTGACATTAACGAGGGTACCAGTGTACTTGCTTTCATCGATCTTGCCGAATTCATACTCGCCAACGCTGTCGCTGCGGAGCCGGGCTGTCAGGACGGGCTCCTCCAGGTCTGAGGCGATGTTGTCAAAGAAGGTCTTCTGGGGGCCAGGGTCGAAGGTGTTGATGGATGAGAAGCCGAGGCCGACGAGGCCGTTGGAGTAAGTGTCTTCGATGAAAGACTCTGACACAGATGTGGGAAGGCCGAATGTTTGGCCGGTGACCGTTGCACCGCCAATGTCGACAGTATCTTTGCCCAGTCCGCCAGATGCAGAGGACGAATCACCGTATGAGATCTTGAAAGAGCCCCCGCTTACTTTCTTAAAGGTGGTGGAGCTGCTTGGGTCGTAGACTGTGCGACCTTGGATTGTTGATTCTGGGAGCTCGGTGTTCATCACCCACCTATGATCGGCGTTAGTCTTTTTCAACAGAACAGGCCATATTGGGAAAAGCTCCTCAAAACTATCTATTGGGGAAGCATACATATCAGAAGATCCAGTATCGAAATCCATCGTGATCGTTTGACCTCCAATTGTTACCGGCGACACAAACTCTACATCACTTTGTACCGATGTCGCACTGACAGCGCCGGTCTGATCAGGCTCCGTGGTGGCCGAGTTTTGGTTTGTGGACACAGCGCTAGTCTTGATTTCAAATGGTTCGAAGTCATCTAGCTCAATGCCGGTGAAATTGGTTGATGCAATGCCAAATTTGCGGTACGCTTTGCGCAGTGCGTGTGGTCCATGGGCAACATAGTCGTTGCGCTTAACGCGTTCAACTTGAAAAGATCGTTTTCTTCGCTGGGGGTGAAGGGAGGTCGGTGCTGCAAGAGTGTCGATGCTCAAGGAAAGCAAAAGTGCAAGAGAAAGGAAGAGACGCATCTTGTTTGATCTGCACCTCCGGAGCGCCGATCTGGTCCAGCCGAAGAATATCAAGATTGGAGCAAAAAGGAGAGACTGATTAATAAGGGAACCAAACAAGCCTCCAGGGCCTGTTGAAACCAAGAGATTGTTGTGTTATCTCAAAATCAAATAATAGAGGATGTCCAAGACAATGGCTTGCAAATGAAGGTAAACAAGGCAGCAGCCCCAGCTTCCAGAAGCCAGCAGGCAGAGAATGAAGCCGAAGAAGAAAAACAGAAAAGCAAAAAACGAGACAAGAAGCTCTGGTCAACGAATGAGACACAGCTTCATCTATTTTATCAAAAAAGGAGAAAAGCTCGACAATCCCTTGTGGGACGGGGAGTTCGCAGATCTATAAAAGAGACAAAGAGGAGGCGCAAGTCCACTTCGAGACAACAACCCGCCATACAAACCCTCACACAGGGAAAACATGATCAAAAGGGCAAAGGCGTACGTAGTGTGCGCGAAGTAGTACGTTTCTGATCTCTTGCCACTATATTCAAACCACCTATCACGGCTACTCCTGCAGAGTCAAGCCCTTGGCTTTACTGGGCACGCTTCCTGGTAGGCGGCTCGACCTGTGGGCGTGAGAGCTGTCACGGCGTTCATCCTCTCAGGGGTAAAGCCCCGAGGAGCGCGTAGTTTAGGTCCTGAGCAGGTCATTTGTCTGTTACGACGCCAGAGCTTAGGCGTCTTATGTCGGTGGAGCACCTCCTGGGCGCATTGGGGTTGACAGGTGAGACCATGGACTCCTCCCACTGATGCTCGTCGCTTCTGGTCGGCCGGTTTGGAGTCCGTGCCCGTATGTAGGTACTTGATCCTGAAACAACAAGTGGCGGGTACGCGGCCAATCACTAAGCGGAGATGCCTTGCCCCTTGAAACAGTGGGGAGTATGGAGATCAATGAGCGGTCACCGTGATGCCTCATTATGATTGATCAGGCGTAGCTGTTTGAAAATATCTTGGTATTAAACTTATTGGCCATGATTGTAGAAGCTATGTATTAAGTGCTGCCGAGCTGGGTCCACCGGGGATATCTTAGTCATGTTGGAATGAAGTACAGAGAACGAGGTTGGCGCTGGTGCGCCCGTCGCCCCCAACAAAAATTGTCGAGGGGGTGTTCACAATCAAAGTTGGCCCGGGTAGCTCTGCATCATGACAATCAAAAGAAGACATTCTGATTTCATGAGAAGTGAAGGGGGGAAAAGGGCCATTTGATCGTGATGCAGAATGACAAGAACAAAACGAGCCTTGCCAATGAGCTTCACTTTTTTTTTATCTTGTATTTCTTGACACCCGGATTTCACTCATTTGGGGTGAGCTATTATTGTATCAAAGATCTTTCCAGAGCAAGATCGACGAATTTCTACCAATCTTAGCCTATTGGGACCCGTTCATGTTTCTTTTAGGCGCAAAAAATAAATATTCCATTTCTGGTAGTAATGTTGGAATATCGCTATTATAGAGTACTGGACCCCAACTAATCCAAGTTTTTACGCTGTAAACGGCGAATCTGTGAATAAACTAGGAGCCTGTCAGGACGCAAGTCGTTGAAGGGCAGAAGTATGCTATTCGAGGGCCATATTATCCCAAGAAGTGCCGTATGGCAGGGAGATAACGGGAAACCTCGATTCGATAGTGGTCTATGATCCAAAAGCAGATATGAAATCCCCACCGCACTGGGAAATCGAAGACAATCCATCGAAAGAAGAGACGGACCCGGTTCCCACGAGTCATAAGGTGCATGTTATCGCAGTAGTCGTGAATTTCAGACGCTTCTAGCCTCCAATTCATGGGTGAGTTGAAGTACACTTCCGTGGCCCACCAGAAGGGTTGTAGATACAACTTGGTCTCGATTTTTAGGGACAGGGATCTTCAGATAAGTAACTAGACTTAGGTTTAATATAAAATATACTGAAGATAATAGTCTTAGATTCTAAATATTGTAGTGGGAAAATGGCCGACGATGGGTAATCTTGGGTGATCTCTGATTGGAGGATATCTTTCCTGGCACACAGTCTTCACAGAATATAGCTTGCATCTCTGATAGGGAGAGAATGGACTTTTACACATCTTTCGCTGAAGTAGCGTCTGTTTTCTCTCTGAGAGGCTTCTTTCCATCGTGGTGGGGTGTGGTTTATTGGCTTGTTCACTGCTCCATCTCATCCTGCCTGCATTCGCAGGCTTGCCGTAGAGCGCCCTGGTTCAATATCTATATTGTTATAGAACAACCAAATGTATAATACTAGTAGTAAAATAGCTTCGATTCTTTAAAGAATCAATATACAACTATACGAAATCCGGTGAAAAACGGATCCTAATATTCGATAATTATAGTTCCTATCTTATATTTGAATTTCCAAATGTTTATGGAATGTGAAGATCAAATCCAACTTACACATATTACTGTGGTAATATTACTGAGGGTGCTTTTCATAAATTTCTCAATCTCAAACTGCCTCACAGTGACCTTTTAGAATATCATATTAGACAAATATTACTATTTCTGTATATCTGAAATTCATGGATTCGTTGCTATCTAGTAATGTAATTCTTATTTTCTGAAACCTTTATCCTGAACTTTCGTTTCTAATACGTTTTCGCTATAGTGAATCATCAGGGGAACTTATGTATAGTGGCTTATGTTATTGTTGCGAAGAGTCGCGGGGAAATCTTCATATAAACTTTCAGGAGCCTATGGTATTTCGAAAAACCAGAGTTCTGTTTTCAACCATTTTGATGGCCACGTGCAAGAAAGAAACGTTCAGGCATAAATGAGGCAACAACTTTCAGCATCCCCCTGGGCCCAGAATACGGCTCAGTAGGGTGTCAAAAAAAAGTTCAGTAGGATCCTTGTGCCAAGAATCACGCCCTGGGCCAGAATACGGCTCAGTGGGCGCCCAGTGAAAGTTCAGTAGGCGGCGACTGCCAAGAATCACGTATGTCTTGAAATATGTCGTATCTAGGTTAATCACATTCCTAAACTAAAGTGTTTTTATTTATACTATACAGTCGCTATATGGATTTCTCTTATATACTATCATCTTCTATCAAGCTATTTACCTTAGCAGGTAATAACTAAGTACGAATCTAGCTAGTACCGCTACCGGCTATCAAAAATCGAAGATCTTATTAATACACGACTAATTCTTTCTATATATATTCTAAAATAGCCCTATTACTAAAAAACTAGTATATAATTAGTAAATCACCTTATCTTTAAGAGAAAAGTGAGTGTTATATCTTCTACTATATCAGGTAGTTCCAGCTCTGTTTTTGACCTATAGCTTACGTACTACACGTATACGGACTTTTTTCAGCTTAAAATCGTTAATTTTCACCTTATTTTACCTCCTATCTAGCCCTAGACAGTTTCTAGGCTCGAGTCAAGGGTATGTTAGTTAGTATAGCGACTTACATACTTGAAAACATTCGTTATATAACGCGGTAAGAAAACTATGTAAAAACAGGGTTTCGGGTAAGGTATGCAGTAAGAGGAAGAAGGTAAGGTAAGGTAAGAGATAGGGGCGAAAGAAAAGGTCAGGCAATAATCAGGCGCCAACTTTTAGCGCCGCCTACTGAGCGCTCAGTGGGCGCCCACTGAACCGTAGTCACCCACTGGGCCAGTGGAGGCGGTATTTGCTCACCGAGCGCTCAGTAGGCCCTGGTGAGCCGTACAGTAGTCGTGAAATGGATTGATCTGCAAAGAAGTGCTTAAAACTTCTCTTTCAGGTTGGCAATTCTTTATCGGGTATGTCGAACCCCGCCAGTAGCGCTTCCGATGGGTCTTTCCCCACTATGGCAACATTTTGGGATCTCTCCAGTTCGTCTATGTACGGGGGTATGGGGAAGTATGACGAAATCTGGGATTTAACAAAGGAAAATCGAGTACATCAGAGATTTTCAGCCGTACGGATCCGAAGACATATAAATCTGGTATATATATACCTTGGGCCTTTGGCGCGTGATCTCCGATTCCTATCCACATAGCGACTATTGTTTCCTCGCACCAGCTATGCACTACCTTGTGGTCCTAACCGTGGTATGGACGCTGGTCGTTCATACCATTGCCAAAAGCGTGGATCAGAGTAAACTCTTGTCATTTTCCGAAAAGCCACGCGTGTTTATTTTGTCGGATATCTCAAATGAGCCAGACGACCAGGAGTCGTTGACACGATATCTACTTTACTCAAACCAATTCCAGACCGAGGGAATTGTCGCAGTAACATCGACTTGGTTACAAGATGAAACCCACCCAGAAGATATGCTATCTGTCATCAATGCATATGGAAATGTTACAGAAAATCTAAACCGACACGCCCCTCTAGACGCTCCGTATCCGTCTGGCGATCATATTCGCGGTCTTTTACGCACTGGACCTGCAGTGAGTAACATGGAGCAGCCTCGGACTTTCTGTAATAAGATTTTCTAATCGATTTGAAGACGTATGGTATGAAAGCCGTCGGCAAAAACATGACCTTGAGCTCGGGTAGCAAGCTATTACTCGAGCGGCTCCGAAGCCAATCCGACCAGCCATTGTGGGTTCTCGCTTGGGGAGGAACCAATGTTCTTGCACAGGTGCTTTATAAAATGGATCAAGTATACTCGCCAACCGAGACTGCAGCTCTTCGATCCAAGCTTCGCGTCTACGCTATTTCCGATCAAGATGATACCGGTGCCTGGATTCGCCAGCAATATCCTGATGTTTTCTACATTGCTTCCACCCATGGCTGGAATCAGTATGGTCTTGCTGCCTGGGTTGGCATTTCTGGAGAAAAGTACTATGGTGTGGATGAGGGCGGTCCCGATTTCTCGAAGGTCACACATCAATGGTTGCGCAAAAACATTCAGATCGGAGCCTATGGCGAAACCGCCTATCCGAATTATAAGTATATTATGGAAGGCGACACTCCGACATTTTTGTATCTCATTCAAAATGGCCTTGGTAACGCTGAGAATCCAGATTATGGCTCGTGGGGTGGCCGATATATGAAGGTCAATCCGTCAACGGTTCTCAATTTCAATCACTATGCAGATGCCGCGGACCGTGTGATTGGCATGAATAATGAGACTTACATCTCAAGTCATGCGACGATCTGGAGGTGGAGAGATGCTTTCCAAAATGACTTCGCGGCACGTATTCAGTGGTCCCTCCCTGAAAACGACAGCAAGGCGAACCATCATCCAGTTATTACAATCAATGGGAGCAGTGGATTGGTCCCGGTGAACCTGACTGTTGCTGCTGGATCTACTGTGATATTCAACGCTACTGAAACTCAAGATCCCGACGGAGATGATCTCTCCTTCCGCTGGTTTCAGTATAAGGAGCCCGGTACTAATGATTGGAATGTTGCTGACAAGGTTCCTCAATTGAATGTGACTACTTCGAAGAGTGGGAAACTTGCACATGTGCACATCCCGGCCGTGCAGGAAAGCTGCAATGGAGAGGGATTTAATCCTTCAGGATGCTGGCTACTTCATCTGATTCTAGAAGTGAAAGATAATGGGGTGCATCCATTGACAAGTTATCGAAGGGTGCTCTTGCAGACAACGAATGCTACGCAGACATCGATTTAAAGAAGACCCTGCAGATTCATTTATATTCCAATCAAAATACTATTTAATTGCGTCAAATGGAAGCAAGGTGTGGCTTTAAAATGATCATATTGATGTGCATTCTCATAAATGTGTCGTGTAATTCATGGTATCAATCAAATTCTATGCCCAAACGCCAGGAAGCTGGACCCCATCCAAAATGCATGCAATGCGCTATAAAGGAAAAGCGACGGAGCGCCGGAACGTGACTCTCATCCGACCAGATCTTCCGGTAAAACATCCTCGGGATTCTCTCCGACGGCCTCTCCCACTGCCCGGACGACTCGCTTGATAGCCTTGGATGCTGGACTATCGGGGAAATTATCCACAAAACTCTCACCGTAATCGCACGCCATACCAACGCGGGGGTCTAGGGGCACCGACCCAAGGAAAGGAATGTCCATCTTCTTAGCCAATCGACGTCCTCCGCCAGTTGTTTTGCGGAAGATTTGGGACTCGTGTGTACAGTTAGGGCAGACGAACCCAGACATGTTCTCGACCAGACCAAGAATCTTGATGCCAGCCTTGCGGCAGAAGTCGATTTCTTTGCGGACGTCCAGCAAGGACACCTCCTGCGGGGTGGTCACTACAACCGCGCCGTCAACTCCAGATTCCTTGAGGAGGGAATTCACCGAGAGATGTTCGTCCGAAGTGCCGGGTGGGGTATCCACAATCAGGTAGTCAAGCTCGCCCCAATCCACATCCTTTAGAAACTGCTTGATCAAACCATTCTTCTTTGGTCCACGCCAAATAACCGCATCGTCGCGATTTGGCAGCATGAACTGCACACTCATAGCGCCAAGGTTGTCTGTCACCCACACCGGACTCCAGCCAGCATTGCTCACGTGGATCGTCTCGCTCTCCACGCCCATCATCTTTGGAATCGACGGTCCGCAAATATCAGTGTCCATGACGCCAACAGTCGAGTCTGGGTTCGCAGCGAAGCCATGTGCCAGCAGCGTGGTGAAGGTAGATTTGCCGACTCCTCCTTTGCCCGAAAGGACCAAAATCTTGTGTCGAATTTGGGAGAGGCGTTCAGTGATGATTGGGATGTCGGGGTCGGGGCCTTTGGGCGCGGATGCGCAGATCTGTTGATTGGGACAGCCAGCGCAGGCATCGCCTTGGCCTGCCTGCTCAGATTCAGGGCCTGGGCAGTGTTCTGGGATATCTATTAGCTAGGTACACGCGTGTATTCCTCGATGGCAGTACATGCCTGGCTCCGGGGCCACCAAATTTGTCGGCGCCCGTTTAGCAGGCGCGACAAGGGATGCCTGGACTGCCGGCTCTTCCACGTATGGCGCCATGGCTGTTTGATGTCTGAAATGTAGATCGGCTGGCAACCGTACGTGAAAACAGTAGAGGAAATTCTTCTGAGTCAAAATGAAAGTCCCTGGTCGGTGGCGGCGAACTGTGCTTGATAAGCGGAGATGACTAACGGCACTCCGGCGATTGGCGGGGTTGCGGTCTCGGAGCGCATTTCGGCCAGTCAGAGGGGAAACCGATTGTTCAGGCCGATGGCTTGTCAATACGACTGGGTGAGACTAAACTGTGTATCTGTAGACTGCAAAGACATAATTTGAAGCTGATCTAAATTGGTTTACCAAAGTATATACAGGAGAGTTCCCTCTGCAGGATATACCGGCAAATCGGGTGGTATTAATACCAACTATGGCGAACTTGCCCCCGGCAGTTTCCAAATGAATGCTTATAAGCAAAAGCGCTATTCTGCAGACTTGGTGAAATTTCCGATCTTGCACAAAAAATAATTAGTCTTGCATATATAGCTGTGTAGGTAAGCTTACAAAGTTTCGATTTTGTTCAAGTTCACCTAATTCGCATATCGAGATGGATATCTGAGGAAGCACTTGAGCGCCCTTTGGTTCCATCGTGGGCGCGCATTTCCTAGACAGCCGTTCCAAAACGTGCGAATATTGTTTACATACTTTTTAGAGGCCTGCTCCGAACTGAGTAAAGCGCTTTGCTCTCATTTTGCTCAGGTTGTCATAGAGGCCTGTGCGTGAAACTTTGATGTCTCCACCAGCATTTTTGCGCAGAAATTTACAAGGTACCTTTATCCAAATGACTGGATCTAGTAAGCTTTCTTATGATGTGATTCAAGAAAACAAGATAATTCGGCGGTATATCGATGCCTCATCTGACCAGGTCTCAAAGTGTCATATTGATCCCACATCGACCACCTCTGATCTTACTTGGCTAAGAAATACAGCTAAAATACTAGAGTGGGAGTTGTTATTCTTCTATTTCATTTTTTTTACCCTCTCCCAGCTGACACGGACTTTCGCTCCCTTTGATTTGACCGAATGTATAAATTCTTGAAAGAAACGATGGAAAATAGTACATATCTGGATTGATAGTCTTCTGTCTAGTAATTTATCACGATGGACCAAATCAAGCTTTACTAGCATGCCTAGTCTTAGGCTGGTATGAGACAAAGTGCACAGTCCGCACAGTGGGTAAAATAATAATAATACGGCCTTCAAGCTAAATCGTGGCATCTAATGAGAAAAAAAGTACAAAATGATAGCCACCCACCCACTCGTACTATCAATTTAGGCATTACTATTTTGCATTCAAAACCGAAAGTTGTATTATTTTTCTGAAACAGCGAATCTGCTATCTCAGACACAGGCAGGTCCGTGTGAGAACCACGTGGCTTTTTAAATTTGAAATCACCGTCGTAAATTTCGCCATAAGATAGCTTGGGTAGTATTGGGAAGTTGACGATCCTGAGAATAGATGCAAGAGAGACAATTTAGCTAGAATAATGATAAAAAGGAAAGTTCAACGCGGCCGGGACGGAAAGTAGTAAGCTGTTTAGGTCTTGATGATTAGGTGAGAAATAGCCCGTGTCGGCAAATCCCGCGCCTTCTGTTCCAAATGTCTCAGATGGGAGGACAATAAAAGGGTCAACCCCATTTGTTTTGCATCAATATCAATTTGCAGTCTATTTGTCAATCCGATTTCAATCTTTGGTTCTTCATATTGAGAACATACAATCTTCAAAATGGCTCTTTCGGCATGCAATCTCGTGTCAAACCCTTCTTTCGAATCTGGAGTTCTCTTTCCCTGGGTACCATCCGCGGTAAATGTGGCCCAGGTGAGCAATGGTACATCTGCGTACACTGGTGACTACTATCTGTGAGATATATGTGTTCTATTCTCGGAATCTTGAGTGAAGGACTTACATTCTGGCAGGAATTTGCAAACCGCCGTCGGAAATCGTGGCAACACAATTTCGCAATCTCTGGATCATCTCGTCCGCGATAAGAGATATAATTTCTCCGCATTTGTTCAAGTGCCATCACCCTCGGGCTCTGAATACTGTTCAGTTTATGTTTATATGGGTAAAAACGCAACTACCGGCCAAGTTGCTTCAACCCAGATACTCAACTTTGGAGAGTGGACCTCTATTACTGGGACATATGTGTCAAGACGCTCGGAAGACCGTTTGAATATAGTTGCAGCCTGTGACTCAGAAGATTCCTCTGTAACAGGTCGTGTATGGATAGATGATGTCATCTTTTCTAGGAGTTCATCTTGCGGTTCTTCTTGATTTGATTCATATCGAAGAGTGGATTACCGTTTACCATCTAATTATTAATAGCCAATAGCATGATGTTATACGGAGTAATCTCACCTCTGTAGTTTTTGATCAATTTTGATCTTTTCCCCTGTGATAAATACATATGTTTAGTTTCTAATTAATCTTGTTATACGCTGACTTCTCAGATTTCAGAATATTGTACTGGTCAGACCTGAGGCTATGTGCTTACGTCTGGATTTTCGTCTACTACTACCAGCGTTTGACCTCAGGACCAGAATGGATTGATTTAAATGGCCCAGAGGATGTTTGCTATCAATCTCAGGGGGTCTTAAAAGCCCCACATTATGGTGACAGCCGTCTGATATTCGTGGATGTCGAGATTGCTCCAGTATATGACCTTCTGTTAGCCACTACGGATTACCTTCCCGCTAGTCTGGGGTTAGCCATGAGATCCATGACATTACTTAGGGCCTTTATGATACAATATACATTGTTGTCGACCTACAACGATGAAGTTTTGAGAACACATTTAGTTCAAAAATATGCGGGTGTTGAAATTTCACAAAAACTAACAAGCCTATTTTAATTCCAGGCTATACAAAAGATTGTCGCAACATCTGTGCCGGTCCCAGTAATTCAATACGGTGTAGCAGATTAAAGTCTCCCAAGAAATTTCTATATCAAGAGCTTTAGCCATCATATCGCAACGAACAAGGATCTGCCAGCAATTTTCTAGGAATGACGCCAGCTTTTCCTGGTTAGCGGGATGAAGGGGATCGTGTGGTACTGGCAGCATTCTCTTTGGTTCGTAATCCGCAAAATCCATGATCTTCAGAACAAGCTCTCCAGGAAGATGACCTTTATTGGAAAGAATCTCCTGTACAGAAATTATGTCGAGAAAGTGCGGCTGGTACTGAATTGATGCATTTTCAAAAAATAGAAACTCATTAATTTGCATTAGTCCATAGGGGTTTTCCAGAGAAGTTTGGCCGAACCTCCGAGCCAATTCCTCTTCGGTGAACCCGTGTTTCTCGTCTGGCTTCATAGGGATATCATCGTCAAACTGATCCGGATCAATGCCGAAGAAATGGCGAAAGTATTGAAAAACAGCTTCTGAATACACAGGAGCCGTTGATTCCCGGAGCATTTGTTGGTAAAACTTGGTCTGGCGGTAGTCAGTCTGGTCAGATCGGCCTGCTTTTGAATCCCACGTCTCGGGGAAGCAGTATGCCACATTTAGGCAAAGATAAACATGTAACGCTTCCTGATATAAGACATCCCATCCCATCGTTTCAAACTATTTAACTTAGCAAAGTATCTTAAAAAAAATTAGCAAGCATTTGACCACATACATTGCACGTACACTCCGCCATATTCTGCCAAGAAGCTAATCCCACTCGCTCATGGGCACATGCGCGGAGAATTGGCTCCATCTCCCCATGCAGAATCAACGTCTTGACAACTTCAAGGTTAAAGAAGCCTTTCCCATTGACTTCGTCGAACTTGTGACAGTCGTTGTACTCATGGAAACGAAAAAATGCCTTGGCCTTCCTCATGCTAGGAGGCACTGTGGAGCAGTGATCTGCTGCTCTATTATGGTCTGCGCATACCCACGTCTCCCATCGTCCCGCCGATGCTTTCCAGGACCTCACATCTGGCTCAATCTTTCGAAGCATCTCATCTGTGATAAGAACATCGTCTGGATCAGGGCAGGGGTAGCTCTTAGAGTATTTCGTGCGTTCCCTTTGCGACGCTTCTTTGATAGCCTCTGCGAATAGCCGGCAGAACAACCTGATATTTTCGGCGCGAGTCTCTTTTGGATCGTTGATGTCAGGATATAAATTTGTTACTTTGCACTTGCAATCATTGGAGATCCAGCGTAGATGAGAGACCAAGAGGTCCCATGGGATCTTTTCTGGCTGGTGTGTCATGTCTTGTGTAAAAGTCAACTTTTCAGCAACAGACTGTGATTCTGCGAAAATTTTTCAAAGTTGGGTTGGGTTGTTCAAAGATCATAGTACGCTAAATTGACACTTAAGTAAGGGTTCGCACATGGGTTTCTTGGTCGGTGGCCATTTTGGGTGCTCACTATCTCTTGGCAAGTGGGGGCCGTCAGTATTTCGAGTCATCGTCTCGTGAGCCTCGTTGGGGCCGGATCTTTCATCGGCCTGACATAAAAGTTTGCATGAAAGGCCTATGTACTTTGCCTGCTTATAATAGTTAGTAATCATCCATGGACCACTATGGCGAAGTGTTGTAGTATTCAATGGGACATTTCTTGCCTAGCTTTGTTCATATTGTTCAATTCTATATATCTAAGACCACAATTTTTTGCTCTTAAGGCAATCACTAATTGAACAATAGTATTTTAATTCAGAATGATTTTATTTCCAGATTCAAAATCAGGTAGAAATGGTTGAACTTTGAGATGTGCGGCCCAAAAACTATATGCAATGGGATTCGCTAGATTGAATATACGTACTATCTGCGTTTCCATTCTTTCAGCATGGTATCCGTCAATCGGATCATTGAGCGGATTTTCTGCATTGTGATGAATTTCTGAGATAGACTATGAACAACCTAAGTCGCAATATGCTGCCCAGAGCCATAGGACCTCTGATCCTTGTCTAGGTTTATCAGGATTGGCGGGGTAGCCCTCACTCAACGAGGGGCAGTGCTCCACCAGTGCCAGGTACCAATTTTTTCTTCCTGGTCCTGTCAGAACTTAAGCAGCCGTCGAAATCTTGATTCTGCCGCCTCCAGTGCATGATGATCCTGGTCGACCGGTGGGACAGGCCTGGTGCACCGATGCACTTGGTGCATTGATGCACCAAAGGTGAGACGAGAAGCGGGGGTTTTGAGCTACGGTCCGATGGGCAAATGATATCATTGGCTTCCAGACCTGGTGGCCTGTCCCTCTCACCTGTTGCTGCATGAGGGCAGTGCATATGATGCATGATGAAGATGCATTTTTATTATCAACCCCCCCCTGCACACCATTGCTCAGCATCGACTGTCAGTTGAACTTCTCTTGCGATTCAGCCAGCGGAGGCTAACGACACCCAGATGACTTTGTGTTAGTGGACCCTGTTACGTCGGAGAGCAGAAGGGTGCCAAATATGTTGTGGACCCTCCCCGCCGTCCATTTTCTCCGGCCAACTCATCTCTGCTGCAGGTTTCGCATGGCCTCGCAACTGTAACCAACATGAAGGCCCGTGTCGCATACTGATCGATGCTATTAGTTCGCAGCCAGGTCGTCCGTGCAGTTGAAGGTGGAGGGGATGCACAAACCTCGCGGGTCGTGCTGGCATCCGCATTTGCCGCTGCGCATCCCCCGGGAATGAGCCCCACCGTGCTCATCGTGGAAGCGTGGGAGAAACCGACGTGTAACCCGTCCTGCCGACTGCACAAATCGGCCAACGGCGAATTGGCGTGGAGCGCTGGTCGCAAAGGCCCGGACACCTAGGAACCACCTGCCACGGGCATTTAGCATCCATTTCGCCTGTGCTCTCGGTAGTTGCTCCCTCATGTCGTCTCGGATGGGCTTAGTGTGTCCGGGAATGCGATGGAACCCGTTTCTTTCCTGTTCCGCTCCATTCGCTCCATTCGGGGCCCGCAGGCGCTAAGTTTGCTGCTCCTATAGAGTCGTTAGCCTCGAGTTCCACTCTCATCCAATTCCTAGCGTATAAATACGCTGTCCTCTCTGCTCTGAGAACTTTTTTTGACTTGGCCCTTGACACCCCTGCAGCCCTAACGCGACACCCTAAACCCAAGATCAAAAAAATCTGGCCAACTAATCTCGGGTGTAGGTATAGTAGACGTGGTGGGTGGATGCAAACAGGGCAATTGTTGTCAGCAGAACCCACTGTCACATGCAACTGTCGTCACTGACCGCGCCCCAACAATTCCCTTCTTCCTCAACAACATCATGGACCAGGGCCGTTCAACAGGTGCCCAGCAGCCCGACGGGCTACGAGAGAGAATAATTTCGTACCCTGATTCAACTGGGGGTCGCGATGCTCTGGCTGCTACCGGGGAAGTAGAGCTCAAGGACGCCGCTGGCAAGGACAAGAAGACCTTTGGTCGGACACCAGATGGAACAGGTATGTGTCTACGTGTTGTCACTTGGATGTACTCTCTGCGAAAATATAACTGGAAGGATCTGGATCGCAACCCCTGCAAAACGCTGCTTGATCTTTCTGGTTTACCTGCACGCGATTGAGCGATCTCTTCCCCCCCCCCTTCCGTCCAGTCCCTTGCTATTGTGGAGCTTCCCCGCTAATTCGGAATCCGTCCCAAACGATAGTCTTCACCGTGCCACAAACCCATGACATGGTCTCGCAGCTCCTGTCGCCATCTGAACCGAAAAATATAGGAGATTTGGTCGTGATCGCTCTGCTTGGCATCCACATCCTGCTCCTCTGGGCTCTTCCCTCCAGTTTCAAGGTGCCGGTCTTCGCCGTGGTTTACCTGTTCTGGCGAGCAGCCTATAATGGAGGAATTGGATGGCTGTTGCACAACCAATCGCATCACAAGACCTTGATCCGATGGGCAGAAAAGACGAAGATTTTCGTTAACCCGGCCAAGGGGGACAACCCACACCCGGCGCTGTACAATTGGATCAAGCGGGAGCTAGAGACAAAGATTCCGCAGGATTATTCGTTTGAAAGTGCTCCCCTTGAATACAACACATGGCTTGTCTTTAGGCGTCTAGTGGACTTGATCCTGATGTGTGACTTCACCTCCTACTGTCTCTTTGCGATAGCCTGTGGTCACCTCCCGGTGGACGAGAGTATACTCATGACCGCCCTCCGATGGATGGCTGGCATCGTTCTTGTGCTTTTTAACCTTTGGGTCAAGCTAGACGCCCATCGAGTAGTCAAGGACTATGCCTGGTACTGGGGCGATTTTTTCTATCTCATCGACCAGGAGTTAACCTTCGACGGCGTCTTTGAGATGGCACCGCATCCCATGTACTCGGTCGGATATGCAGGCTACTACGGCATATCACTGATGGCTGCCAGCTATAAAGTGCTGTTTATCTCTATCATTGCCCATGCAGCACAATTCGCGTTCTTGGTCCTCGTTGAGAACCCGCACATTGACAAGACTTATAACCCGCCTCCTCCCCGCAAGCGATCAGTCTGTGTCGACTCCACTAGCAGCCTCCCAACCGATCTGGACACTCCGACCGCGCCTACTCCATCCGAAGACCTGGCTCCCAACGCAACCTCCTCGTACTCGGCCAAGCCGCCTCCATCGGTCCACAACCTCCTCGGGCTGCATAATTTGGACTTGTATAGAACCACGGATTCATCCATCATGCTCGTCCAGCTACTTGTATTTGCAGTCACCGCATTGACCCCGTCCACGCTGCGGTATCAGCTTCTCTTCGTGGTCAATGCCGTTGTGTGGCGGGTGTGGTACTCTGTAGGAATTGGGTTCCTGCTCAATAACCAGTCCAACAGCAAGGCCTGGACCCGGCATTTCCTCAAATTTGGTGAAACCCCGCAGGAGGCGTGGAACCAGTGGAAGGGTACCTACCATCTCAGTATGATTATGTGTTACGCCAGTTTCATCGCTGCAGCGTGGAAGATGTACACCTTCCCAGCCGACTGGGGCTATGGCCTAGTGCTGTTCCGACATGTTCTGGGCGCTGGTCTGATTAGCCTGCAACTCTGGACCTCTATCAGTATCTATGAGTCTCTTGGTGAATTTGGATGGTTCTATGGCGATTTCTTTTTCGACGAGTCACCCAAGCTCACATATGATGGTATTTACCGTTTCCTCAATAACCCCGAGCGCGTCCTCGGTCTTGCGGGTGTCTGGGGCGCGGTTCTCATCACGAGTAGCGGTGCTGTCACCTTCCTAGCTTTATTGAGTCATATCCTGAGCTTGGCTTTTATCCAGTTCGTGGAGCGCCCTCACATGCAGAAGCTTTATGGCCGCAGTCTTCGTCAGGATGGCGGCGTCGTCAAGAATCTCAAGAAGTCTCTGCCGCCGTCTCTAAAGCAGCTGCACGGAAGTGTCGACAAGATGTTTGATGATTCTTTCGAGTTTATCGAGGAGCTTCTCGATAATGCGCGTCCCAAGCTTGCTGCTGGTGTAAACACCTTTGTCAAAGATACTACTGCTCTTTTCCAAAAGTATCCTGCTCGCGTTACCATCTCTCGCATCGATGCCGAACTAGCTGGCCTCGATCTTTCCGACTATTCCTTATCGGTCGAGGGAACAGATGCCCAGTCGTTCGATGAGAGCGAACAAGGCAAAGGCCGTGAGGGTGCCAACGCACGCATGCCGCTGGACCGTAGAGGTGACCTGAAGAATTTGACTTTCGAATACGGCGCTCCGATCAAGGTCAAATGGACTGCGCCCCTCAATCATAGCAAGAAGGATTGGATTGGTATCTACCGTGTCACCGACAATACCTCGCGCGAGGTCAGCCGCGTGTCATCTCAGGGTCGCTGGGTTGCTACCAACGAAGGCTTCTATGACAACATGACTTGTGAAAGGGGCATTATCTCCAGTGACGTGGTTGTTCGGTCCCCTGAGCAAAAGGGCCGCGATGGGCACGACCTTGCCTCCGGCGAGATTATTTTCACTGGTGACAAGCTTTTCTGGACGCAGGGTGTCTTCGAGCTACGCTACCACCACAACGGCTTGCACAACGTAATGGCTATATCGAGACCCTTTGAGATCCGCATCCGCCGCTTTCACGAAGATGACACTTTCGCAGACGTTGATGGCATTGTTCAAATGGCCGTTGAGCAAGCCCTCCTACCCGTTGTTCGCAACTGCTTTGACCGGGATCCTGAGATTGCGCCGGAAACTGCAGACGAACAGTTTGGCAGTCTTGTCGAGAGGGATGGCAAGTTCGCCAAGCGTGTTGTATTTGCCGTCCATCAAATGTGAGTTTCTATTCGCGTCCCTCTATGTATCTCTATCTTCCCCTCTAACGGCCAGGTATAGGTTCGGAGTCGAGCTGGCGCCCGAAGTTGTCAAAGCAGACGGCAATGTTCTGAATCTCGCGTGGAGGATATGTAATGCTAAGAAGGTTCTCGTAAGTGTTTTCGTTGTCTATCTCCTAATTAATCACAGAGCCTTGTTTGTCCTGACTCGATCTCACAGGCCCCCTATAGTATGACCCGATCGAACGGTACCAGTACGCCGATCGAAGGGAAGGAGTAAGGATGATCGAAGGCGTCATGATCTCGTTGTGAATCATCCAACCACGACTGGCCACACTGACTGGGTAGAGGACAGTGCTGCTTTAGAACACGAGGCTATTGGTTTTTGATATGCTGACCCTAGAAACGACCACTCGAGTCGATTTGCCCCGCAAGAAAGAGAAGAAAAAAAGGGAGTGGTAGGGCTTTGTTTCTTTTTTTTTTGCTTTGAGCTGTTAATTCCCTGAGTGTTTAGAAGGCTGGCTGGGTGGTTAGATTACTCTCGAAAAATCTTTTTCCCTCCGATGGTCAATTCGTTGTTGTGCCTGTTTGAGGATCCGGGGAGTACACGGGTTTGACTTTTTTTTTCGCTTCTTGACCATGTTTTCTCTTCCTTTAAACTCCTTCAGTATATAGCTTATGTATCAATTCAATTACTTGCTAAGTGAATTGTGGAAGGCAAAAAAACATTCAAAAATTGGGATATGAGAAATTTTAAATTTAAAAATAATTAATGATTATTAGAGCATTTATTAAACTGCAGACATAATCAGCAAGAGTCTCATACAGAGAATTATGATTCCAGAGATGGAGGCATGTCCACGAAGCAAAAAAAGCATGCAGGGGATAATTTATCAGTTAAGCCAGTTTAACTCATCCCATCCCCTGTCAACCGCCTGAGCCCGACTGTCACCCAAGACGGACAAGCAGCCGAACCCAGTTGGGCAACACAAGTCAGACATAGCAGAGCCAAGCTGAGCCAGCAGAACCAGGCGTTGACTGAGCCTATGAACACCGGTGCTCCACAACCTTCCTCCCTCTGCGTCTCGAAGGATACAAGAGGTCCGGTATAAGGGAGGCGGGAACAAAGATCGACGCCTGGGCGCAAAGGCACCACTGTCCAGAATGGATGCGTATCCGAGGGGCGGTTCCAGAGATCGTTGAATGGATTGACTAGGTGTCATCATAAAAAGGGAAGTGTGCACGGTTAAAAAAAAAAGGTTACGCGTCCGTACCTTTACGATCTAGTAAACCCAACTGGGCAAGGAGCAAGCAGGAGCTGCGATGACTAAGAAACACCTTTTTTGTTGTCAGCAGAAAGTCTTAGAAGAGATAAATAGATCAAGACAGCGACAGGTTGTGAATAGCATCAGAAGGTTTTGGTAATGGTATTTGGTTATCTTCAAGATTTTTGCAGAAGCAGAACTGAAAAATTTTTCTCATCACGCTAGGGGGCTCTTGGGTGGATTTTTTTTTAAAAAAAAAAAAAAAAATGGCTTACCTTTTGGCAAGCTCCAGCACCACTTCGGTAGCTAGGTCAGTGAGCTCCATTCAGGTCCTGTCTTGATTCATAGTCAGTCTCAATTCTTGGACTGATCACGTTGAAAAAAAAATGAACAAGTTTTTTAAAAGGGGTGTCATTCAGATGGTAGTGCATGTTGTTCTTGGCCCATTGATTGGTCGCCGAACAGAAAATTTTGGAAATTTTCCTCATGTAGACAGGCAGCGGGAAGTGTGCTGTGCAAAGCAAAAGCAATTTGGTACTTACAATTAGTAGAAGTAGAGACAGTAAATCAAGCCTGTAATGGAAAGCAACCCTTTCGTCATTAGAAAGGGTGCTAATGCAAACCGTAAACAACACGGAAGAGTGTGGAAGAAGAAGAAAAGCAAAAGGGCGAGGAGAAGAAATAAGGGCGAAAAACCCAAGGCGGTCGGCAATCACGAGCCCTGGAGGTGGGGACCAGGTGCAAACCTGCCAAACACTTAAGATTTCCGTTTTTGGGCCTGACCATTGTCAACGTCTTTCAACCTATCCTTCAAGATGATGGCTGACAGGAGACGAGTCAATGGCCCCCCCGGGGGCACAAGGCCGGTGGTTTTTGCATCTACTGCTCAATCTGGCACTGGAGCTGCAGAACGTCCTCGACGCCAGCGACAGCCTACCGACCTGAGGAAAATCTGTAAGGCACATGAAGCTCATTTCGCAAATGTTGATGGCCCTCGCTGATTCTAATTATGTTAGTTCTTAAAACTGGTCTCATTCCTACTGCCTCTGGCTCTTCATACCTTGAATTTGAACCGTCTGCTTCTCTCGCTGCTGCGCGCCAACCCCAAGTCTCTGATTCCTCCGTCCTCTGCTCTCAAGCTTGCCTGCACAGTTCATGGTCCCAAGCCACTGCCCCGTTCTGCTGCGTTCTCTCCAAACATTGTCTTGACCACCCATGTCAAATATGCGCCGTTTGCAGCTCGCAAGCGCAAGGGTCATATTCGTGACTCCAATGAACGCGACCTCGGCGTTCACCTTGAGACTGCCCTGCGTGGCGCTATCATTGCCGAGCGCTGGCCAAAGAGTGGGCTCGATATCACTATTACTATCCTTGAAGCAGAGGATGATCGTTGGTGGGCAGATACACCAGATTCTCATGACGCCTCGTGGGGCATGATGAATGTTCTCGCTGGGTGCATCACTGCTGCTTCAGCGGCCATTGCGGATGCGCATATTGATTGTCTTGACCTCGTAGCCGGTGGTGTCGCAGCCCTGGTGTCGGATAGCTCGGACGGTTCTGGGGTGGGATCTTCTGGCCCCAAGCTCATGCTGGATACCGACCCGGCCGAACATTGTTCGATCATGTCTGCTTGCGTTGTTGCATACATGCCTACACGGGATGAAATTTCAGAGCTTTGGCTAAAAGGTGATAGCTCCAAGGCTTCTTTAGAAGACGGCGATGCTCGATCTGGGCATGAAGCGTTGGTAGATGGCGCCGTTGATGCTGCTAGGGGTGCCCACACTGTCTTGACGCAGGCTGTCAGAGAGTCCCTTTTGCGAACTGTTGGTCAATCATAATGCCTCAAGCTGTTACTCCTTTAATGAAGAAACGAAACTCTCAATATAAAATCGAGTCACGTGATTTCATGAAGCCCTCGAGGCGGGCGTTCATGAAGCAATTCCATAAGATCCATATATTTTTTGGCAGGTGTATTCTTTTATGCATGCATGTCAATATGGGGTTGTAAATTCTCTAGATCATTCGCCCACTCGGAAAATCCCCTCATTGTTGTCTCTACCCTCCCCCTTCTTCCTCTCACTTCTCTCCACGCACCTCTTCCCTCCCCCCATTTCCTCTCGCACGTCACAACTTATTCCACGCACTGATATTGTACGGCGCACGTACTGAAAACATCAATCTAAAGCCATCAAACAAATCTGTACGTGATGCATTTATCTTCACCTCTTCACCCCGGATTGGGGGTTTTGTCTGATTTCATTCCGCTGATTTGAGGTCACTATGTAGCTACAAAATCTCATATCCTCAATGGACGCGGCTAAGGGCAACGATCTTCTCATGGACTTGGGATCGCCCATGGACCTGGACCCACCCAAGAGGCCTCAGCGCTCATCCAGTGACGAAGAACCTCCCAAGAGGCTGCGGGCCTCAGAAGTCAAGAAAAAGCAGCCTGTGCAGCCTGATCTTGAAAAGCTCCGTGTCATCAATCCTCGGGTTCCTGAGGATATCATGTTTCTCTATGTCTGTATGAAGAACAACGGGGGCGATGTGGTATGTACACCAGCTATGAAATTTGCACCTCCGGTCCTTAGGGTCTTTGTGATGATGATCATGAACATGATCCACTCTCTCGTCAGTTTCATATCACTCCTGGGTAATCTGTGAACGTTAATCTTTGGTGCCTACAGGTTGACTTCAGGGCCGTCGCTACCGTGTTTGGAATCTCAGTTAAGAGTGCCAAACAGAAATTCCGAAAGATGCGCTCGCTCTGCGAGAATACCACCATGGATATCGCTGATACCTGTGACCCGGACACTCCTATCCAGAGGGATTCGTCTGAGGAGGGGTCTTTCCCAAGCTCATTTTGTGATTGAACTGAAACTTTCTGCACTGCCTTGTATCTATGGAATGCGAGGGCATTCCAGTGAATAGATTATTCATTATTCTTCACAAATGAACGTGAGACCAAAGAAAAATTGCTGTACTCCCCATCCCCCCCTTATCTTGTCTCAATCACCGTGAATTTGAATTTGTAAAGTGACGCCAAAATCAAGCTTTGTCCTCTTGCAAACAGCCAATTAAGATGTGTTTCTCAATATTGAAGGTTTTGGCGGTGTATATGTGGAAGCCTTCCTTGTATGCCGTTGCCTGAAAAACACAAATCGGCTTTTGGGCATATTATAAAAGCAAATATTTTATCCTCACCTCCCTTTCTTTCCACGCACTTTCTCATCAACCAACAACACCTCTCTTCAGGACACACAAAATCCTTCATCAGCACACGCATATTCTCTGTTTGTCTATAACCCCTGTTAAACATACCTCTTTTTTTTATTTCTGATCATGAAAACAAATTCAATGGTCCAGGAGATCCATCAGAATGAGCTCTACTCCCGATAAGCTCGACGATAACCAGGACGTGCCATCGTTTATGGGCATGCAGCAAGGTGGCCCCCTTCGTGACAGCAAAAAGGTAATTCGAGATGAAACGAACCTGCTGCTTCTCTGGGTTGGTTTCAACCTTGAAGGGCGAAAAGTGAGTTCATCCACACTTTCCCAGTGAACTTTGATATCATCCCTTCGTTCTTTGTATTCTACGATAACTGACGATAACTGATATTTTGCTAATTTGATCGGGATGAACAGCCCGACAAGGATGCCATTGGAAAAGTGCTTGGCATTAGCCCGGTTGCAGCTGAAGGACGTCTGCTCAAAATAAAGCGTCGAATGAGAGCTATGTGTAAGGAGAGTGACGACTACCGATCCCAGGAGGCGAGGAAGAACAAGGGCAAGAAGAGAAAGCAGGACATTAAGCAGGAAATTGGCGAGGATGAGGATGAAGAATTGCAAGCTACTGGTGAAGATGAAGCTTGAAGTGCCCATCCGCACCGAAGCTGGACTCAATCATGTTGATACGTCACAGATTTCTCTGCTAGTCGATTCTCGAAAGAGTGCGCCCAGTGCTGTGGTTTTGACTCTCAGAACATGCTTGTAGCCAGAAGATATCTCCAATGAACATGACTAAACACAAGGCTTTGTTTGGTAATCTCTCTTATGCAAGGTATGCATGTACTGACTGTTGGTGGATTGAGTCACTGGTCAAACGCTGGAGACTCTGAGCTATATAAACCTTACCCAGCACACAAAATCCCGACACTCATTATACGTTCTGTCGCAACCAAGTTTGTCCATTCCATCCTTGAAATTTTACCTCATTCTACTTTTTGACAGAAATCTCGAGTACTGAAGACTCAAAAATGCCCAGCCTTTCGTTTACCCAGGTCTCTAATATCCCCCTGAGGCCATTCCTCAAGCCTCTTAGTTCAACTGACAACCTTGGTTTGCTCTGGGCATGCCTTCTCAGTGAACATAAAAACACAGTATATATACAACTCTTTCCACTGAAGTGCCATTTATTCTGACATTGATTCTTTTTCCAGATCAACTGGAAGGCTGTGGCAGAATGCTGTGGGATCACCCCTGAAGCTGCCAGAAGCCGCTTCAAACGTTTCCAAAAGCGCATGGTCAGCGTTGAGGGCGAATATGAAGAGCCCAAGCGCAAGCGGTCAAGAAAAACAACTCCACAGGGACCTTCTGAGATCAATGAAGAGCCCCAAGAGCGCGAGATGGAACAGATCAAGGATGCTGTGACCGAGGACTTCATCAAGGAGGATGAGGATGAGGCTTGAAGGATGCATGAGGATATATGAGCATGCAGATACACAAGCATGCTGGGGTAATGTGCAGTCAACTTTGAAACCGGATACCAGACGCTTGGCTACGTTTCTGTGAGCATGGTTCCCGGAAATACACCCACATTTTCTGAGAAGCTGGATCGATAGAGTATCTACAAAATTATGACCCGGTGGACACCTACATGTTGGCCGATTCGAAAATAGTTACTATTGGCGCCTTCTCTGAGTCTCAAAAAAAGTGAATGGGCTGTAATTGATCCTAGAGTCTTCCAATTCTTCTTCAGAAAGCTAGACGTGATCGGTATGGGCTAAGATGATCGTAAAAATCTTTTAAGAATTGTGACCGGCATTTAATATTCAGAATAGCAGTCACGAGTCTAGCTGCCACAATAACAACTACTTGATAGCATATGCGAGATATTACAATACTTACTCGATTGAATAACCATTCAGAGTGATTGAGCGTCCTGAGATCAACTCGAAGGATTTTTGAATGAGACGTTTATATAAATCCGCAGTTTAGGTCTCTCGCCTTCCTCCACATCCTCGTCACCAACTTATCTTGCTCTTTCTCATTCTATTCCTCCCTGACTTAATCTTCTTTCCTCCATACGATCCCAACTTCATTTTTCGTACCAGTACAAAATTGTGTCAGCATCGTTCATCATACCGGTCAGTCTCTACCCTCCCCCTTCTATGTTCTTCCATGAAGAGATTTCTATACGAGCACTCAGCAAAGCATCCGCTGATACTTTAAATGATGTCAGAAACCCGATTGCCACCATGGCTGCCAACAAGGTGCAAAAGTCTAAGCCTGCTACCAAGCACTCGGCCACGGCAAAACCGACTTTGAACATGAAACTGTTTCTTCTGGTGTGGGAACACCTCGAAGTCCACGGTGGCCCCGTAAGTGACTGCAACTTCCATCCATGATAATCTGCATATCACGCTCATTTTATTTTTCAATACAGGCCAATCACCGTGAAGTGGCGGACCGAATGGGAATTCCGTTGAGCACCGCGAAGGCTCGATTCCGAAAAGTGCGCGATCTGGTCGAGCATGTCGAGGATTACGGCGAAGGAGACGTGGGTACCGAGCAGTCTGACGTTGCCGAATTCGGTAATTCAGTCAACAAGAAGACCGTGAGGCGAACTCCAAAGAAGTCCACAGCCCCGAAAACTGAGAACAAGGGCGATACCGAGGATGCTTACGATTCCAAAGCTGAAGGGTCGTAAGTTTGCATATCCAGGCACAATTCTATTTTTCACCTGTGACAGCTTCCTAGGAGACGACTCAAATTTTGATTTCTCAATCGAGCCAAGAATGGTGCCAAAGTCGATTTGCAGGCGGTTGATAGTGGGTTACAAAGACTTTTTTTTGCCATTTCCTGGAAATGGAGTACAAAGCTTCTTGCTCTTGCGGAAATCTACACATGTTCCATGATTTTTTTCGTGTCTCAAAGTTGGCCCGGATGGTGATCATTGATATTTGATTTCAACAATATCGCACTCATATTCTAAACATGTACTTTCTGGTCATTGCTGAATTATCACTTTTCAGAATACAGAATCTACACATTAAACTCATCTCCTAGATTATTCCATTCAATTAGAGTGACATGTTACTTCGGCTGCTATCATACCTATCTATCACTGAGACCTGCTCTTCCGTACCACCATTCCCTTGCGAGTGGCCCATTTTCCCACTAGCGTCATGCTTTTGAATGGTGAAATCCGGTCGTTTGGTTGTTCTCATGCAAATCGACCTTGAGACTGATGTTGGTTGAGGCCCTACTTCCTCCCCTAACCATCTCGTTCAATCCTTCCTTCCGTTGCTTACCGAGCCATATCAGACCCACAATCTTGCATTAAGCACACGTGCCTACAGTTCGTTGTACTTGGCTTCACAGTCTTCGTCTTCCCCGGGTCTTGTCTTTTTGCAGCTAATGACAGAGCGTTCAGTTAGACCTTCCATTCTGACATCACCATGCCAGCCAAAGTGAACAAGCCCAAGGCCAGTCCTCGGAAGAATGTCGATCGGGCCCAAGCGTCAAATGACGCCAATCTCCTGCTGATGTGGGCTTGCTACAGCAATAATGGTGGTGGTGCAGTAAGTATATCGATTTTGGGCTTCCTGGATCAAATGTCACCCTGACCCATGTGCTCCTTGCTCTTTATGGACGACACAGATTGCTATTCGTGCGAGTCGCATCTCTCTGTTCATCCATCTTCCGCTCATGTTCACATGAATTCACATGGTGTTGAATTTACTAACGGGGTTTTCTCTCTCTCGTTAAGATTGACTGGGCTGCGGTTTGTGAGTCGCTGAACATCACTCAAACTGCGGCCAAGACTCGTTACCACCGGCTCCGAACCCGCATGATTGCTCTAATGGAGGCCCGCAAGGTGGAAGACACATCCGAAGAGGCTCCCAGAGCACCTGAGGAGCAAGCTGTGGCTGAAGATTCTGAAACTCGTCATGCGGAAAGTGATGAGGCACAAGGATGAAGGTAATAGGCAAACTTGACATAACTGCAAGGTGTTGGAAAGGCGTTTTTATCCCATTTTTTCACTTTCTGGTCTTTATTTCTTCGGTTGATTGACCATGGAATGGTTGAGGGACCCAATCATTATGATCTGGATCTCAACTCCATGAATAGGGCATTCGATGGGTTCTCGAGGGTTTCATTTCCTAGGCACGGGCATAACCACCAGCCATAGTTCTTTGTGAGAGGCTTTCTAGCTTGCATTGTTTCCTCATTTTTTTTCACATGGAATCGGTTCTATCCATTTTTCCAGTCATCTTTGTTTGCTCCGTCTTCGGACATTTAAATCTGCGAAGTATTTGGAACGGTCGCACAATCTGCGTGTCGCCTGCAGGAAGCACACCAGGCACACCGGGCACACGAGGAACCCCAAGTCAAGTAAAATTAGCTTTAGCGATCGGAGACAAATGCAGGCTGAAGGGCCATTTTTCCGGTGCAGCGAGCCAGTTCTTGACTTGTGACTGAGTGGAGAGCGCATGGTGATTTCCTATCACGGTATTCAGCCCGCGATCTAGATCCTCTCCGCAGATTGTCTCACGCCATCACAGTTACACACAGATAGGCTCGTGTCGAGAACAATCACATTAACATTGCATGGCCCCGTCTATAAAGTTTCTACATCGAATTTGCTCATGGTGGTGGTGTTGGGACCGCCCTCCCCAGGCCCGACGATCGTAGCCGCAAAGACCCGTTCGCGACCCATCCTCATCGGAATCGATCGATCGAGAGAAAGAAAAAGGCCATTTTAGCACGAGATTGGGGTGAGATTTGGTGGATCAAATTGGTATTCAGGGGCAAACAGGGGGGGGGAACAGGAAGGAACCGGGAACTACACGCCAGTCCAGATCTTCTAGATTTATCGTCCTTGGGATTGAAGTCCAGAATCATATTCCAGATGTGTCTCCCAACATCGCATAATTAGTAGAATACAGTATAGTTCGCTTGATGGAGTCAACGAGGTCTAGAGGACGGGCGACCGACTCCAGACTCGGGTCACTGAACAACAACGGTCAACCTGTCAGGGGAACACCTGATCTTCGTCAACGCTCGACCTCCTTCCCCGCTCCAGACACCTATTGGATTTCAAAGTCTTCCGGATAGCGGACCAATTGATCAATCGATGTATTCCGATGCCAGTTAGCGTCCTTTGTACTCCGGATGGGGTACGACGTACTCGGTACTCGGTTCTCAATGACCCCTGAGTGTCTTCTGTTCCCCTCGTGACGCCCAAAGGAGACGGGGGAACCGCGGCTGAGATACGTCGTCCCAGGTCTATTTCTGGTTGCATCTCCACCAACTAAGCCCAATGGACCGATAGGGGCCCAAAAATGGGCGACTCCAGGAGACGCTCTCTCTGCCCATCCTCACATCTGAAATTGCACATCCCGGGTCCCTGCGCCCGTCATTTCTTTGTTCCCGCCTCGTTCCTTCGCCTGAAGCCCCCTGGCCCGAGGCGGCGGTCCAGCTCCAGTGGCTCCAGGCAGTCGGAATCATCCAACCAACCCAATTTTGGCACTCGGTTCACAGGCTCGTCCCGCTAAGGAACGCGATGGCCCCACGCGGTGGGCTGTCGATCCTTTCATCACACCAATCGTCAGCCAGGCGGAAATTGGGAACTCCATCACGCTGCCCAGTTCCATCTCCATTCCCCTCGGCCCTCTCCCTCCTTGTCGGTGGATTCAGGAAGGCAGCCATTCGGATGCACAGGGCGGGTTGCTTTGGAGGGGCATCTATTCCGGTCCGTCGGCCGCGGACATGTCTAGCATCACCATGGCCATTGCGTGTCCACTGTGCGCGATCCTGTCAAATAGGGATCAAATCCCGAGCCATCAAGAGACTAAGAATCACGCAGAGATTCCGTTCCCGCGCGGGCTATTTTTCCATGTTAGCCCTGACATAGAAACGTCCTGTCAAGGGTGGACCCCCCGAGCTCGAACTAGAGCGGAAGTTCTAAGCTTACAGCCTATGATGCGCCCTGGACGTTTAACTCCGGAGAAAGGTTCTGTTAGCTGCATATGTTTGACCCCCTCAATGGCTCCGATGGCCCAGGATGGTCCGTGAAGGCAGGCCCGCTCAGCGGGCGATGCCCGAGAGAATCGCCTCAAGATGGTCAACGACGAAAAGTCAAAAGGCCAAAAAAAAAGAAAAAAGAAAAGAAAAAAAAAAAAAAATCAAACCTTCGTATCGGCGACACACGACACCGTCGAGTCCGTTTAAGTTCACGCAGGCCAGGTTGGAGCGACAGCCGTCAAGACTGACCCCCGTCGGATGGAGCACTCTTAATTTCTTAGCGTTCGAACCGTCGTGCCGCATCGGCCTGGCCCCATCTGTGCCCACGGCGACGGATCATGGAGAAGACCGGGTCATTGTGCCCCCCTAATCCAGGCACTCGAAATGGTGTTGGGATCTGCACGCCGGCCTCTTGACAAGGCAAGTCTCCGCTGCCTGGTCCCTCATGTGTCTTGACTTTCCTTGCTCTTCTTCTCTTTCTTCTCCATCATGGCCCGTTGGGATAACACTTGATACCGTATGACGGTTTCGAATATCTCGAGAGCTTCAATGTTGCCATGACTCCGCCTGTTTGAGTTCTTCACGGCGGCCACCGGTCTAGTCGCACTCCACTTCAATTTATTTTAGATTGAAGTTTTTTTTCCCTCACTGTCTCTCGACGTCACTTTTGGAGCCGCCTCGTGCGCCTCTGATTCTTTGGCTTCGGGTTCTCATTCAGCTCGTGGAACGAATAAAAGGCTCTATTGTCAATATGGTAGCCTTGAAAAAGCTATTTCAAGCAGAGCGCTCACCCTCGCGACCATCAACGAGTCCGGGATTGGGTGGAAGCGATTCAGAGGGGCCCTACTTCAGTGCCCTCGAGCCTGGCTTTCTGGCTCCTGGTCCTCCGTCACCTGCGCTTCCCTCGCCAGGTCTAAGAGCTTTCAAGGCGCACGACGTGGCGCATCACTTTGACCAGATTGAAAAGCAGTTTGAAGATCTAGACCAACATCTAGCCGAACGTCCATCATCCTCACAATCCCAATATCCTCCCGCGATACCGGGCCGCCCAGCTATCCCTAAGGATCCCAATGCGCGACATGTTGACCTGTTGGATGCATTGCGCTTCCCAGATACTGATCCTCCCAAAATCATATCTCCCCCTACCAGTCCATACAACGAGGATGTCGCGGAACGGAACATGACCAGATTTCTTCGTATACAATATCGAAGTGGCATAGCAGGCGCACGCTTATTATCCGCTCTATATCAGGAAGATGTGGCTGACCGAAATATTGCAAAATATAATGCGCCATCGCGCTCCTTATCTGCGTTAAGCTGCCGGTCGTCTCCTCCTGCGCCTGGACGGGTACGCAACCTGAGTCCGGATGGCCAGAAGCGTGGCCCACGGAAACACAACTGGACATCAGATGGAGATTTGCGCAACCGTTCTGCCTCTCCAGACGACGCTTCAAATGCTTCGTCGCGAGCCTCACAGTCTAGCAGCCTCCTTCGGCAGCAAAATTCTGCGCCGAGCTTGTCCGCTGAGGACGGCCAGGAACAGGCACAGCCCCCTGTTATCCAACGCCTTGGTGTTCCCCCGGCCTACAAACAAGGCAAGCGATGGAGCAATACCCCATTGCCAGATAGTCCCACGCTTCCTCCTCCCTTAAGCGATGACAATAGTGCAAATGGCGAGACTGCGGAAAGCCTTCCAGAATTACAACCTCCGACCCCGGCTGCCCGCATATCGTCTTTGACACCCAAGTCTCTGTCCCCGCCTCCTTCCGCTGGATCCACGTCGCGGAAGAATGTGCGAGACCTATCAATCAACACACAACTGGCCGCCCAAGGCCGGCCGAAGATTGCACATAAAGCAATACAACCACCCACTCCCTCAACCCTCGAAATGAAGCGAGCTCCTAGTATCGCTGAGGTCATGCATAGCCCTGTTCCTGCGCCTAGCCCTGTTCAGCCTTCCCCACGTTTCAAGGTTTCCGAAATGATGGATCTATTCAACAAAGCATATTTGTCAACACAGGCTACAAGCCCTCATCCCACTTATGAGAGTCTACAGGATGCAATTGTCCGTGAAATTAACTCGCATGAGGCATTTAAGCGTGTTCCTGTTCCTACTGCCGGACCACCCTTTACCCCATCTCCTACACAGGCAACTTTCAATCATGAACACCCTGGTTTGAACCGCAGCGCTTCTGCTGGATCGATCTCCAAGATCATCAGAAAGGGATCCTTCAAGAAGCACAGAAGAAATGCCGAATCTCGACAGAGCATTTCCACTAGTGTTCCATCAAAGAGCTACGACCGACTTTTTCGCCGTGTATCCCCATCTCCTGCTCGCCGGAGACACACCGATGCCCCTGCCCCATCCCCAGGCTTACTGGCAGACATTAGGCAGTCACAGGAAACTGGCGGATCAGCGGGTGAGCAGCTCACATACATGGACGTGCTCTACCGTGCTAGCAACGACAAGCCTGGCACCTCCAGCTCTAAAACCACGCCGAACTCGCATAAGCGTGGTCGCTCTGAGTCTGTCAGCAACCTGTCTACGATTATCTATACCAACTCAGAAAGACCAAACACCCCGGGTGCCGTCTACTGTATGCAAGCGCACTCAACTCCCTCCAAGGACAGCCGCAGCAGCCTTTCTCCTGAGGACAGCGACGACGACATCATCCATCTCCCAAGTGTAACTGTGCAACCCCCGCGTGTTCAAATTGAGGGAGTGGATGAAAACAACGTCCGCTATGTCATCGACTCTGCCACCGCCACCGACGCGCAAAGGCTCATGGGCTGGCCGCAGCGCATGCGCCGCGCCAATTCCCCTCAGCCGACCTGCGAAAACAGTCTCTCCCCATTGTCCCGCGCCAGGATACAGCTGCGCGGAACACGCTCTGTCGAGACATACTAGATGATTGAATTTGATATCCTGCGTGTCTTTTCACCTTCTGGGAATGATCTTGAATTCTTCTCGCATGATAATGATGCTCTCATGATACCTGCCACACTCGAAAAAAAAAGCCATGCGGTCCCCCTTCAGTGTCTGTTTCTTATCTTTAGCGATTCTGGAAATCCTTGACTTGAAGCGTTTGGTCTCAATCACAATTTTTTATACTCTCCTTATTCCCCTTTCTTCCCATCTCAAACACTCCTCTTGACTCTCTAATCTCTACTATCTACTCGGGCTTCCATCCTGGCCGGCGCGCCCTCTTACTGTCCCTCAACCATTTCCTTGTCCGTCATATCTCCCGACTTCTACATCGACTCAACCTAGTCCATCATCTCTCCTGTTTCCTTGATTCCTCGTTGTCTACCATACTCATGGCCAAAGCGTACCTTGTTTAATTTTCATTTTTCGGCCTTGTCTAACTACTCTAACTACTCCAGACATATATTCTTGAAGGTGCATCTCTTTGGAAGGCGTTGTTGTCAAATATATCAATACTGTATTATACTCAAGAGCGCGACGGCTATTTGTCCGCTATTCTTCCTATTAGCACATATATATATTGGTATTTGTCGCCATATACCTTCCCACGCAGCCGTATTAGAATAGCTTCAGCGGGTGCTTGCGGCCCAAAGTCATCTCATTAATTCCGGCGAAGACTGCCATCAAAGGTCCAGTATGCAATGCACGAAACACGAGCTCCAGTGCCCATAACCGGTTTCTAACTGTTCATGGAATGCAGGCGATGAGAAGATGATGTGTTAATCAACTTCGGACGAGCGGTTGAACAAGGTTTATTTCCCGGCAAAGCAAATGCACTTCGTGCTGATACACCGGCCTCGACGACAACACAGGTTTCTGCCATACGGGAACACTAAAGTCCCATGAGTCTATAGATTTATCATACTCATGGAACAAGGATTATCAGGCACTCAGAGTAGTATTATCTTTCTATAATATTTTTAGAGATAGGATGAATGACGCTCTACTCGTTCAGAGAATAGATTTAACCACCAAATAAAAGCAATGTGTATCATGAAATATCGGTTGAGAGGTTATTATAGAGAAAGGCTATGTATAAGTGACCTGAGAAATTTCGATGGCGAAGCATTTAATATAATTATTTTTGGATAAAGTATTTACTTCAACAAAAGAAAAAAGGCAAGAAGTTAATTCTCAACGCCTATTCTCAAGGAGATCAAAGCTGAGTGGAGGGCTTTTCAAGTGATATACCAACACTTTTCATGGGTTATTTGAATTATAGTTACCCATCTATATTAGTAAATACTTGTTCCTATCATATACAGAAGTCTTTATAAGTAATATTGATTCACATGAAGGTAGGACTGTTACGTCAAGTTATATTGGTATTTATAGTTAAAATAAACAGCTAATCATAGTGGCATGATTTTTAAGAGCCTTCTCTTCCTCAAATAAGATTTTGTCTTGAGGGCATTTATTTCTACTTGCTTTCAGCTGTCTTCGCAGCGCTGTTCGACTTGGCGGGCTGATTATTATCAGCGGGGTTTTGTGCGGTATGGTCACGAACGGCCGAAGGGCAGCGGCACCCGAAATCGTTGCGTCGCTGGAATTCTGGCCCGTCTTGATGGTATTCAATGAGCGCTGGGCAAGTAAAAGTCAAGTAAGCTGGGTCTCAAAGGCAAAGTCGGAGGACAAGCGGATTTGGAGGGTCTGACTATGGAAAAGTGGGATGTTATCTGCGACACCGCTTTGGGTGCGGCAGAACTTTTAGCGTGAGCGTCTCTCCAAAACCCCCCGTCCCAGCCAGCAGAGCTCTGCCATCGCACTTGAAAGCCCTGTTTTTTTCGATCTAATCGCCATGGCAGGCATCTTCGAGGCGCCGCGGAATGCGGACACTCTTTGTGAGTTTGAATCTTCGGATGATGATTACAGTGGACTAACGCAGCTCGCACACAGTCTTGGGTGGGCAGAAAATCACCGGTGCCGATGTCCGGGAGCAGAATGGTATGTTCCTGAGCGATGAACCCCTGGAGACTCAATTCGATTTCACTGACAGGCTGCAGTTCTCGCAACCCAGGCCATTTCCAATGTTATCAAGAGTTCATTCGGTCCCTCCGGGCTGGATAAGATGATGGTGGACGACATAGGGGTATGGGAACACCAGAGTACCCCGCAGAGCTATCCGACAGCTTCTAACTCCCTTCTGTGATGATAGGACGTGACTGTGACAAATGATGGCGCTACAATTCTGTCCTTGCTGGATATCGAGCACCCTGCGGGCAAGATCCTCGTCGACTTGGCCCAGCAGCAGGACAAGGAGGTATGGCTACAACTTTTCTGGGCATTTATTTTTTTGTGAGACTAATCTTGGGGAAAAAAAGGTCGGTGATGGTACAACCTCGGTTGTCCTGATCGCCGCGGAGCTTCTGCGGAGAGGAAACGAGCTGATGAAGAACCGGATACACCCTACGACTATCATCAACGGATACCGTCTCGCGTTGCGAGAAGCTGTCAAGTACATGAACGAGAACGTGACGACAAAGGTGGAAAACTTGGGCAAGGACAGCTTGATCAACATTGCGAAGACTTCGATGTCTAGCAAGATCATTGGTGCCGACTCCGATTTCTTCGCGAACATGTGCGTGGATGCGATGCTGCAGGTGAAGTCAACAAACCAGCGGGGCGAGGTCAAATACCCGGTTAAGGCCGTCAACCTTCTCAAGGCACACGGAAAGAGCGGCACTGAGTCTGTCCTTGTTCACGGCTATGCTCTGAACTGCACTGTGGCCTCGCAGGCCATGAAGACCCGCATTACTGATGCCAAGATTGCCTGTCTTGATATGAACCTGCAGAAGGAGCGGATGAAGCTCGGTGTGCAGATCACTGTGGATGACCCCGATCAGCTTGAGAAGATCCGTGAGCGTGAGGCTGGTATTGTCCTGGAGCGAGTTGAGATGATCCTGAAGTCAGGTGCCAATGTTGTCCTGACCACTAAGGGCATCGACGACATGGTGCTCAAGCTTTTCGTCGAAAAAGGTGCCATGGCTGTTCGCCGCTGCAAGAAGGAGGATCTTCGCCGCATTGCCAAGGCCACTGGTGCCACCCTTGTCAGCACTCTGTCTGATCTGAATGGTGACGAGAAGTTCGAGACATCATATCTGGGTCATGCCGAGGAGGTTGTGCAAGAGCGCATTTCCGATGACGAGTGTATCCTCGTCAAGGGCACTAAGGTCCATACCTCCGCCTCAATTATCTTGCGCGGCCCCAACGAGTTCAGTCTGGATGAGATGGAGCGTTCTGTTCACGACTCTCTCTGCGCTATCAAGCGGACTCTGGAAAGTGGCACCATCGTTCCTGGCGGTGGTGCTGTCGAGACTGCACTCCACATCTACCTGGAGGAATTTGCCGTCACAGTGGTATGTATTCCTTTCTAATCACCTGTGGTTTTCGTTCTAATGATATTTCTAGGGCTCTCGCGAGCAACTTGCTATTGGCGAATTTGCGCAGTCCCTTCTTGTTATCCCCAAGACTCTGGCTGTTAACGCGGCCAAGGATTCATCCGAGCTGGTCGCCCAACTCCGTGTCCGCCACGCTCTGTCACAGCGAGTGCAAGATGGTGATGCTAACGAGGAGGAGAAGGCTATCGCCAAGAAGAAGACCTACCGCAACTATGGTTTGGATCTGATGAAGGGACGTGTTCATGACACTCTGAAGGCTGGTGTTCTGGAGCCCAGCATGAGCAAGATCAAGCAGCTCAAGAGTGCTGTTGAGGCTTGCATTGCCATCATGCGCATTGACACGATGATCAAGCTGGACCCCGAGCAGAAGCAAGATGACGGCCACGGCCACTAAATGGATCTGCTGTTTGATTACCCCACGGTTTTTATTAAAAAAAAAGGCAGTAATTGGATGTTACATAGAAATGAAAAGCAGTGTAGGACGGAGTAATTCCTGCTGCTTCTGCATATGAACAAATTCATCAAATGGATATCTACTGTAAAATAGTGATATAAAAGCCTAAGGCTTAGGAACCACGCTTCTCGGCCATCAATCGGCGATACTCCTCAACAATATTCCTTCGCTCCTCGGCCAAGTCCTCTCGTCGTTTCAAACTGCCAACAGCATTTGGCACATTGGCGACATCAACCCTGGCCCCTCCCCGAACCTTGAAAATCTCCCTTGGCTTTTTCAACTCCGGAGGTGCTTGTGCGAAATCAAAAGGATTCTTCTGTCTTTCCTTGTCTCGCTTCTTCAGCTTCGCCCAAGGGTCGGGGTCGTCGTCGCCGGTATCCGCAGTGCCACCGGAGTTGCCAGCCTTCTTCTTTGGAACGGTGCCCTTCTTCTTAGCCTTGCCACCTCGTGCCTCTGCTTCCCACTCCTTCCACAGCTCCAATTGGTCCTCCATCTCAGCAGCCCGTTCTTCACGCTCAGCCTGCTCGTGTTCCCGAATCCTAGCCTCCTCTTCACGCCAGCCCGCTTGCAATCGTCGCAGATGCTTTTCATGCTTGGTCATCTTATGCTCACGCACTTTGGGTGCACCCGGATTTTGCGACTTGGTCATTGCCGAAAGCGGGAGTTCGCGGTCAACGCGCGCCGCAAAATCTGACAGCCTCTCCCCGGGGAGAATTTTAGGCATCTCTTTCTTGGCCTCTGCAGTGCTCGACTCCGACTGCTGGGGCTTGGCTTGAGTAGGCCTCTTGGATGACTCGTTTTGGTCATTGGCGGGGTCGCGCTTTCGTTTCTTGTTGTCCTGCTTCTTCTCGCCAGTCTCCAGTCCAGACGGCGCCCGTTTCCCGGTCGTTTGGTACTGCATTAGGCGCCGGAAGGCCTTCGGGGTGTCATCTTCCAGATCGCCCTTGCGGCGACTGACGGCAGGGCCAGGCTGGGTCTTTTTATTGGTTTGTTGCTGGGGTTTCTTCCCATTCTTCGACTTGGCTTGCTGGTCGCGCACCGGCAGTGACTTGGCGATCACCGAGGGTGGTAGTTCGAAGTGGCTGATAAGGAGATAAAATGTTAGATAACAGATGCAGGGCATTCCATTATGGGGTCAGAACATACGATTCATCCCTTTCACGTCTCTTGTGCTTGTGAGGCATCGTGTGGTACTTTGAGTGCGGAGGTTACGATCTGGTGGAACTTTTTCTCGGGGAAGAAACTTTATCGCCCAATCACTAGCTTATCGCCGCCCGCCTCGTCGTTCCCATTAGCATAGTATCTTCTGCAATGAATTTTCCCTACTCAGGTACAATACATAGTTTTTGGATTGTCTATTTTATATATATATATATATACATAAGACGTGGAAACTTTCTATGTACTTTCTGGGTTCAATTATAAAGAGAACCCTCTACAATGTCTTCTCCCCGAGATGATCGATAAATAAATATGCTCGTCCATTCGGGGCGTACACCATCAAGTATACGTATATACAACGAATATCAATCATATGCCGTTCGAGAGCACATTATGGTAGGATCATACCATATTTTAGTGGCGTAGACCCTTCTTAGGTACAATCTCTTCTCTAAGGAACGTACCGGAAACCTATGTAGACCTTTGAAAAGGGATATGTTTGACTCGATAATGACCCAGGAACAGGACGCTTAGCACATGTTTTAGACATATTGATGGCCACAGTTTATGGCCATTTTCACCTCTTTACTCCTATTTTCTACTTTGTAATATATTTACAGAGCTCCTACACTGCGCGGGGGCTCTCAATCAAAGCCTCCATTCTAGGCGTATATACGTTTGCGCTCTGCGGTTGAATGTTAATCTTTTTTCAGCAGGAAGTATTAGACCATACAGCATTTGGCAAACGAAAACAGACTTCGTAAATGATAAGATGTATGGGATAACCCATTACCCAAGCCCGACGATAAGACGGCAGAACTCCCCGAGAAATGCAACAGAAATGCAGACGAGTATGCGACGCTATGTAAAGCAAAAACAGATGCCCACGCCAACGCCAGAAGAATGCCCACGCCAAACAACACCATGAAATCAAACACCAGGAAAATGCCAAACAAACGAATAAAAAAAGATGCCTCAGAAATCATTCATCTTCATCGTCATATGAATCTTTCGTAGCAGCCCAGCCGCACTGCCAGCCACGACCCTCGACATTGCTGCTGCTTCGAAGCTCACGAGCTTCGGGTCCTTCGCGCCAGCACCGGGCACTGTAATCATCACTGACGCTGATGAGCTCTCCATCAACAGTCCATGAAACCCCTGTGACTTCCTTCTGGTGTCCTTCAACCAGAGGCGTTCCGGACTGATAAATTGGGATGGTATCTTCAAGACGACCAGACAAGCCAACCCCAGAGTTCGTGCGGCGAAGTCCTGAACGGGTAGTGAAGAGGGAAGTTCGGGTGGGGAGATCATCGGCTGAAGTCTTCATGGGAGATTGTAGGAAGCGCTCATCTGTCGGGAAAAGAATGGGACAGTGGTCACTGCTGCCAACGGCCAACATCTCTGCACGATCATTGGATGCCTTACGCATGGCGAGTTTGACATAAAAGGAAGAGACCTGAAGTCGAGGGTGACGGAAGCCGTACAAGGGCCCCAGCCCCTCTTTATCAGAGCCACCGGAGCGTCGTGGGCGGACATGATTGAGAGAAAGCTCAGGTGCATGCCCAAGCACTAGATGAGACGTCGAGTAGGCGTACACAGTACCGTCTCGGCAAAGGGTATAGAGTCTTGAGCCATCACCACCGAAGGCCATGGACGTCAAGCCAAAGCGTCGATACTTGATATGGCTATCGGGTTCGCGTGTTGTTGATAAAGGAAGAACAGGCCGACCACGGCGGTTGTTGTGAGCAGTCCGCAAATCCCACAGCCGAACACTCGCGCTCGCCTCGGATGCTGTAACGAACAAATTTTCCTGACCAGGAGGAAGGAAGGCTAGCGTAGTAACGGTGATATCGGAACGCCCGAAGGGAGGAGGTTCGGTCTTGTCCAGGGCAGGTTTTTGAGGGGTGGTATATGCATGAGCGCCGTGGATTGTGTTGAGAACTTGAGGATAGGTCATCTTTGGGGGTGCCGCGGTGGTAGAAGGATCTATGTCAGACTCGAGCGAGCATCTGACTTGCAACGAAGGACGCTCAAATCCTTTGCACCGTAGATCCCAAATATTAACGTTACCATCTCGACTACATGTTGCCAGGACTTTGTTGTTGGCAGCAGGCTGGAACTGAACTCGCTTAACGGAGGATACATGATTTGACAAGCAATGAATAGGGCGTTGAGTAGTCATGTCGATGATCAAAGAAGTCTGATCGCCCGATGCCGTCGCTAGAAGCATGTCATCGGATGAGAACTCGAGATCCATGATCGAGTTCATGTGTGGACGAAACCCCAGGTAAGCACTCGAAAACCCTCTGTCATCGTCCTTGGAGGAGTCTAGCAATCGAATTCCACCCTCTTCGTCTCCAACTGCCACCAAGGAATTGGCTTTAAATAATTGTCAGGCCCCATTCACGTCAACTGCCGCGAGGGCTCGGCGTAGGGCACTTACTGTTGCACGAAACATTGCAAAACGGTAGTGCCAATGATCCTTCATTGGCATAGCTGGCACACGAGTGACGGTCTTCCGGTCGTGAATGGAACTCAGAGGTAAGATCTTGCCAGCCTATGAAAATTGTTAATCACGAACTCGTTTCCGTCAATGAGAGAGCAACAAACCAGCTCCAGCAGTGGATCTGATAGTTAAGCGATTGGCACGCGAGCCCTGTAATGTTCGCATGAACAAGGATCCGGAAGTTTGCAATGATCGTGATCGGCTGACTGGCGAGACTGGTCGGCGCTTGGGAAGACTCGAGGGTGTTATTGCTGTTGCGCCACAACGTCCTCTCGGACCCAGGTTGGCCACATCAATATCGCGGATAGTCGCTTTCTGATCCACTTCGTCATCCACCGGGGACCGCACACGAACTTTTTTCAATGGCGACGACTGCAGCGGAGACACTGCCGACGAGAACGAATGCTTCCTTTTCCTGCTCGGGGTGCGAATGAAATCCTCGGGCAAGCCATCATAAGGATTTCTTGCGCTGCCCGCCTTGGACGTTCTCGTAAAGGCGGGACTGAGGCGGTTGACGGCTGGTGAGGTCAAGGCCCGGAGAGCCTGGCGACTTGTCTTGACACTACTCCCATTGTTTCCACTGTCCAGCAGAGATCGTGGCGTGAAAAAGCGGCGGAAGGACCGAGGGGTGACGGTTGGTGGCTTTCGGGGTCGTCGCCCACCGCCAGCTTCAGATGCGACAGAAGGTGGGGAGGAGGGTATTTCTTGGGATGAGGGAGGGAAGATGGGCTCTGATCGAGGAGGCTCAGGAAGACCAGAAAAACGGTCCATTGTGTGAGCTCAAGCGACGGAGAGGAGAAGGCCTGGGGCGGGAGACATTGGGGGTGAAAAGATTTGGCCCAAGGGGGTAAGATGGAAGCGGGTCGTAGTCGTGTTGCGCGCATCGGACGTGACGCGGAGCGTGGTTCGGGCATTTGACACCTGAACTCAGCCCATTCAGGCATCCCAGCCATCATGGCCGATCAAATTTATAGCAAGTTCCAATAAGTCCCAATTAGTCATTCTAGCTTGCAAGTTTCCCTATTTCTATTTGTCTTATGACGATAATTTCCTTTTCTGGGAGCTAGTCGTTGCCGTATATCGTTATACTAGATATTAATTGCTGGCTTGGACAGCGCGTTGGGCTGCGTGCTAACAAGACCAGTCCGCGCATGGCACCTTCTATATCCTCTGAACTCCGCAAAAACTTAGATGACTGATTAAAATACATGATACGTACTGGCAAATAAGGAGTAGTTTATCAATCTATTAGTGAGTTGAGAATTGGACATTAATCTCAGTGCCAGCATTCGAACGCCTCGGTTTTGACCCGGTTTTCAGGCCCGATGTGGAGAACCTAGAGCAACACATTTTATTCTACCTTTAAGCAATAGCCCTTGATTCGATGACATAGCTTATATGTACCCAGCCATTTATAAGGCTGGCTTAAGTGTAAATTGACTGTGAGTAGTCCTTTGCTGTACCACAATCCTCTTGCGCCGTCTTCGGAGAGTATAGTTAGTTAACAATATCGTGCATTCAACCATCAAAGGAAGAATTGGAGAAATTATCATGATAGACTGATTCTGCAACAATATGAAAGTTCAGCGATCATGCTGTTCATAAAAATGACATTATTTCTCACCTTTCTACTTATCATTGATGATCTCCGCAAACCTGATGGCGAGTGAGAAATTCTATGGGCGAATACCGACCCGAAATGTATACAACGCAGTCGGTAAAGAAGTTCAGGTTAAATATCCGGTAATCATAAAATTTTTTTCCTAGTGGCATAGTCGTCTCATCTCTATTTGACTCTGTTCTGTGGTATGCCAGCGTTCATACCTCGTGTGCTCAGAAGTTGTTTGCCTCGTCCGTTTTCTTTGACGGGCGGTCCCACTGAGCCTACACCGCCCCCGATTCTGCCATGCAGTATCGGGTTTTTCGATTTTTTTTTTCTTTGCGATAAAACGAGATTCCTCAACTGTGCACGAATCGGTTTTGCCTACCAACAATGGCGCCGATCAAGCGCAAGGGGAACGCCCCCGAAGAAACGGCTACTCGTCAGCCGCAAAAAGCGCGCCAAGGTCGGCGCAGAGGAACCCAAGAAAGAGTCCAAGCCAAAGGAGACCGCTCCGAAAGCTTCGGAGCTCTCTGTTCTACGTGACGACGAGCCTTCCTTCCCTCGTGGAGGTGGCAGCGTCCTAACGCCTCTGGAGCGCAAACAAATTCAAATTCAAGCGACCAAGGATGTTCTATTCGAACAGAAGAGTTCGAGGAAGCCCGCCCGTGAGGCTAATAACGACAACGACGAGGACGACGACGAAGACGACGAAATGGACATGGAAGATGCAGACACCAAGACCCCCGCCAAAAAGTCTCGGAAGAAGAAGTCCAAGGGAAAGAAGTCTGAGGATAAGGGAGAAACTGAGAAACAGGTCCGCATCGAGGGTCTCAGCTACAAGGTACGTATCGAAGCAAGGAAAAGTCTGTCGAGAATCTCACCTAACATTGACAGCGTATCGTACCCGGATCTATGATTCTTGGCCAAGTCTCAAGCATCAACGCTCATGACATCACTCTTTCGCTGCCCAACAACCTCGTCGGTTATGTCCCTCTTACAGCTGTCTCTAAAAGCCTCGACGACAGAATCGAGAAGCTGCTCAGTGAAGAGAATGACGATGAAGATGAGGATGGCTCCGATGATGATATTTTTGACCTCAAAGACCACTTCTATATTGGCCAGTACCTTCGCGCCTATGTCGTTTCCACTGGAACCGAAGTCTCTGAGGCTGGCGCCCGCAGCAAGAAGCGCATTGAATTGTCAGTCGACCCCAGACAAGCAAACACCGGAATCTCAAAATCAGATCTGGTGGCAGATCTGGCCGTCCAGGCTTCGGTTGTCAGTGTTGAGGACCATGGTTTGGTCATGGATCTTGGCATTGAGGGCTCAGAGCTGAAGGGTTTCATGTCTTCCAAGGAAGTCGACCCCCGCGTGGACTACTCTACCATCAAGGAGGGCTCGGTTTTCCTTTGCATGGTTACTGGCCAGAATGCCAGTGGCAACGTGATCAAACTCTCTGCCAAACTCCAGTCCGCTGCCTCCATCAAGAACAACCACTTCCTCAGCGCTGCGCCTACGATCAACTCATTCCTCCCTGGTGTTGCTGCTGAGATTCTTTTAACTGAAGTTACTGCTCACGGCATGGCTGGAAAGATCATGGGAATGCTCGACACTGTAGTCGACATTGTCCAATCTGGCGCCGATGATGGAAAACTTGACCTGGAGCGCAAGTTTAAGATTGGAGCTAAGATCAAAGGTCGCATTGTTTCAACATTTCCCTCTGCTGAGCCATTCAAGATTGGTTTCTCAATGCTGGATCACGTTTTGAAATTATCTTCTGATGCCGACGGCCCTGGTTCCTCCTCCGACGCCCCGGCCATCTCTGCCATCGTCCCTGAGGTCACCGTTGTCAAGGTTGATCCCGGTATGGGAGTCTACGTTCAGATTGGAGAATCTAAGAGCATTGGTTTCGTCCACATCTCTAGACTTTCGGACGGCAAGGTTGAATCTATCTCCTCCGACACCGGCTCCTTCAAGGTTGGCTCCACTCACGAAGCTCGAGTTGTCGGCTACAACATGATCGACAACCTTTACCTGCTCTCTTTTGAGAAGACAATTCTTGAGCAGCCTTTCCTTCGCCTAGAGGATGTTACAGTCGGTGCTATTGTAAAGGGCAAGGTTGAAAAGCTTTTGATCGGCCCTACTGGTATGGATGGTCTGATTGTTAGCCTTGCCGACGGTATTACTGGCCTCGTGCCATCCATGCATTTTGCAGACACACCACTCCAATTCCCCGAAAAGAAGTTCCGTGAGGGCTTGAAGATCTCAAGCAGGATCTTGTCTGTCGACCTTCAGAAGCGCCAGATTCGCTTGACCCTGAAAAAGAGCTTGCTGAACAGCGAATCTGCAATTTGGAAAGACTACAAGGACATTACCGCCGGGGCCCAGTCCCCTGGTACTATTGTCAACTTGCAGACTCACGGTGCTGTTGTTCAATTTTATGGCACCGTCCGTGGTTTCCTTCCTGTTTCCGAGATGAGTGAAGCCTACATCCAGGACCCTGCCCAGCATTTTCGCCTGGGTCAGGTGGTCAATGTGCACGCTCTTAGCGTGGACGCCGCTCAGGGACGCCTTGCTGTTTCTTGCAAGGATCCCTCGACTTTTACTGAGAAGTATCGCAAGGCCTTTGAGGACATGAAACCTGGTCTCCTTGTTTCCGGAACCGTCTTTGAGAAGACCAACGATGATGCGCTTCTAAAGCTTGATGACTCTGGCCTTGTCGCCCGCCTTGATGTCCAGCATGTCATCGACGGCTCCCCATCCAAGCAGACCTCGACCTTGTCTAAAATCCGTGTTGGCCAGAAGCTGAATGACCTTCTGGTTGTCGATATCCAGCGCGCTCACCGTCTCATCCGTGTCTCTGGCAGAGCCAGCCTGAAGAAGGCCGCTAAGCAGGGAGCAATGCCATGCACTTTCGAAGATGTCAAGGAGGGCGCCACAGTTACTGGTTTTATTCGCAACATCACCCCGGCTGGACTCTTCGCTGAGTTCTTGGGTGGTCTGACCGGTCTTATCCCTAAACGTCTTATCGAGGACGCAAATCTTGCTCAACCTCAGTTTGGAACTTCGAAGGGACAAACAGTCTCGGCGACAGTGCACTCTGTCGACCCTGATTTCCAGAGATTCTTTCTGAGCCAAAAGGCCTCAGAGGTCACCCATGAGGGCCCCAAGAAAACCAAGACTTCTGTCCAAAATGATAATGTCCTTGCCAACCCGGTTGACGAGGGTCTCAAGACTATCTCCGATCTGACCTTCGGCCGAGTTGTCAAGTGTAAGGTTGTCTCTGTTAGATCGACCCAGGTAAATGTCCAGCTGGCAGACAATATTCAGGGACGTATTGATGTCTCGGAGATATTCGACAAATGGGAGGACCTCAAGGACCGCAAGCAGCCCCTGCGTTTTTTCAAGGCCAAGCAGGTGCTATCCGCCAAAATTCTCGGCGTCCACGATGCTCGCAACCACAAATTCCTTCCCATCTCCCACCGCAGTGGCAAGTACCCTGTGTTCGAGCTTTCTCTGAAGCCCAGCTTCGTCAAGGCTGCCAATCCCGAGCCTCTCAACATGGAGCAGGTTAAGGTCGGATCTTCCTGGATGGGCTTTGTCAACAACGTTGCTGATGACTGTCTCTGGATCAACCTGTCTCCAAATGTGCGCGGCAGACTGCGCTTTATTGATGCGTCGGACGACCTTTCCCTCCTGACAGATGTCGACAAGAACTTCCCCATCGGCTCAGCCCTGAAGGTTCAAGTCACTGCCGTCGACGCTGACAGGGGCCACTTGGATCTTTCTGCTAAGCAGGGCTTTGACAAGCTCTCCTTCGGCGATGTCTCCGTGGGCATGATCCTGCCCGGCCGAGTAACCAAGGTCACTGAGAAGCAGGTGATCATGCAACTTGGTGAAGCTCTTGTCGGTGCCGTCAACCTTATTGACATGGCCGACGACTATTCCAAGGCCAACCCTACCGTGCACAACAAGAACGAGGTTCTGCGTGCCTGCGTTATCGCTGTCGACAAGGCGCACAAAAAGATCTTCCTGTCTCTCCGTCCTTCCCGTGTTCTCAGCTCCTCGATGCCCGTGCAGGACCGCGAGATCTCTTCCATCGCGCAGCTCAAGCCCAACGATGTCGTCCGTGGCTTCGTCAAGCGCGTTGCTGATGCTGGTCTCTTCGTGGGTGTCGGCCATGATGTCACTGCCTACGTCCGTGTTTCCGACCTGTCCGACTCTTATCTCAAGGAGTGGAAGGACTCTTTCCAGCCCGACCAGCTGGTCAAGGGCAAGGTCACCTTTGTTGATGCGGAGCAGGGCAAGCTGCAGATGAGCTTGAAGGATTCCGTCCTTGACCCTAACTACAAGGCCCCGGTCACTCTTCGAGACTTCAAGCTCGGCCAGGTGGTTACTGGTAAGATCCGTAAGGTTGAGGAATTCGGTGCTTTTATCGTCATTGATGGCTCTGCCAATGTCAGCGGTCTCTGCCACCGTAGTGAGATGGCTGAGAAGCGTGTCGAGGATGCGCGTACCCTTTATGATGAGGGTGATGCTGTCAAGGCCAAGATTATCAAGATTGACAGCAAGGCTGGTAAGATCTCGTTCTCGCTCAAGGCTTCTCACTTCCAGAATGAAGAAGAGGAAGATGACGACGAGGATATGAGCGATGCTGGTGCTGGCGGTGTCGAGCTTGAAGGTGGTGAGAGCGGTGACGAGGACGATGACGACGTCTCTATGGGTGGGGTTGACATCGAGGAAGAGAGCGAGGAAGAAGAGGAAGAGGACAGTGATGATGATGCGTCCATGAAGGGCGCTTCTAAGGAGGGTGGCCTTGGTGCTAGCGGCTTCGACTGGAGCGGCAATTTCCAGGGTGATAACGAGGCAGCTGAGTCGGACAGCGACGAAGAGGACTCGAAACAGAAAAAGAAGAAGAACCGCAAGCCCGAGATCCAGGTCGATCGGACAGGCGAGCTAGATGCCAACGGCCCGCAGACCGTCGCTGACTACGAGCGACTGCTTCTGGGCGAGCCCGACTCTTCACTACTGTGGCTGCAGTACATGGCGTTCCAGCTTGAACTTGGCGAGACCGAAAAGGCTCGCACCATTGCCGAGCGTGCCTTGCACACCATCACCATGGGTCAGGACGCCGAGAAGCTGAATATCTGGGTCGCGCTGCTGAACTTAGAGAACACCTACGGCGACGACGACAGCTTGGAAGAGATTTTCAAGCGGGCGTGCCAGTACAATGACCCCCAAGAGATCTACGACCGCATGATCAGTATCTACATCCAATCCGGAAAGAACGAGGTATGTGATATTTCACAGAATTCAGGACTTCGCCCAATAACCCCCCCCCCCAAGATCGAGTTGAGTGCTAACGATTCCTTCAGAAAGCGGATGAACTCTTCCAGACTGCCATGAAGAAGAAGATCTCTACCCAGTCCCCCAAGTTCTTCCTTAACTACGCCAGCTTCCTGTTCGACACGATGGCCGCGCCCGAGCGCGCCCGCGCTCTGCTCCCGCGTGCTCTGCAGTCGCTCCCGACGCACACACACGTCGAGACGACTTCCAAGTTTGGTCAGCTGGAGTTCCGCTCCGCCAACGGAGACGCCGAGCGGGGTCGCACTGTTTTCGAAGGCCTGTTGTCCTCGTTCCCCAAGCGCATTGACCTGTGGAACGTGCTTCTGGATCTGGAGATCAAGGCTGGCGACGCGGATCAGGTCCGCCGCTTGTTTGAGCGGGTGCTGGGATTGCAGCGCAAGAAGGGTGCTGTCCAGGTGGATGCCAGCAAGAAGGTCAAGCCTAAGCAGGCGCGCTTCCTATTCAAGAAGTGGCTCGCTTTTGAGGAGAAGCTGGCGGTCGAGAACAATGATGAGAAGATGGTCGAGGAGATCAAGGCGCGTGCGGCGGCCTACGTCAAGTCCCTGCAGGAGGACGAGGAGTAGAGTACACAACTCTCTCCTCTCTGTTTCTCCAACCTGATTTCTGAACTCTTCTTTTTTCTTCATTTTGGCTTTTGTTTTTTTAAAAAAAAGAACGGGTCCGTGTTTTGTGCTATTGTGGAACCCGTGGGTGTTTGGGACCATTGCATTCGTTGTATATAAAGCGCTACCACGCAGATCATCTATGAATCTTTTCTATTTCCAAATTTTTCATTCATTCATCCTGCTTTCTCTACCTCAAAAGGGTAAGTTTTCCCCCTTGGTGTCTCTCGGCCCACCCGCTCTGATCTAAGGACCTTACAACATGCTAGTGGTTCTGCAGAGACCAACGATCATCAGACGGGGGAGCAGGCCTATCCGAGGCCAGATTTCTGGCATGCACTGGCAATTTCCTTGGCAGCGTTCCTGATACTTGGTTGGATCGGGGTCTTAGAGGCCCTGGCAAATGTTGGACCCAATATCGGCAAACCAGCAGCAGCCAACCTCAAGTTAAGTCTAACTTTAGCCTTGTCTGTTCAGTTCCTGTGCGGCCGCTCCTCGTCCTCATTGGCTGACCGCCCGAATAAGATGCGGGCGTTCCACTCCGGGAGATCCAATCATTAGCGTCATCTCTACAACATGGTTAGAATGTCTGGACGCAACAGTATTTGCCGGAAAAGTGGCACTGACAAGAAGATGATCGTGGAGGGCATGAGGGGACTCTGATAGTGAAGTGACATGCAGGTATAACCAGGGCTGCCCCTCTCCATGGTGGTCTCCTGCTCTCTTCCACCTCGCTCGACATCACCCCGAGGAGCCTACTCGCCGAGCAATGGTGGTTTCCATCCAGCACCAGCATGGGCAAGGCACTGCCACGTCCGAGTGCCTCCTTGAAGTGCCGTTCGAGGCGTACACGGACTCGCCAGAATGGAGCACCGACCATGCCCGCAAGGGCCCTACTATGAGGACCGAGGCTGTTCCCCACGGCCCAGTGGGGCGCAACGCATGGCGTCCGTTGCTGAGCTTCATTCCTTTCGCATCTGCCTGGCACCGAGCCACTGTTGACGAGGACGCTCTTCCGCTGCTGTCGGAGGATCTTCCAAAGAACAGGAAGCGTTCGTGCCGTCCTAGGCTCCAGCGTTTGCCGGTGTATGGGCTGTTTGGCCTCTTCATGATGCTGTGAGTCGCCTGGCCCCTCCCGCGAGCAGGTGGAAGACGTTCCGTAGCGAAGAGGATCTGGAGAGAGTGCAATGCTGACCAGGTCTGTCTAGCGGCATCATCCAGTTCATCTCGATCGCCTGCGGCATCGTTCTATCTTTCTTTCCGAACGAATACGATCGCGCGGCGCGGTCCTGGATGCAAGACGACCTCACCCAGCATGGCGACGACATCCGCCACTGGCCCACTGATATCTCACGCGATATCGTTCCTGCGAATTGCCACTCGCACAACGACTATTGGCGCCGCATCCCGCTCTTCTCAGCGCTACAGGCGGGTTGCACCGGAGTCGAGGCCGACGTTTGGCTGTTCGACGACGAACTGTACGTCGGCCACACTACGCATGCCCTGACGAAACGCCGCACCCTGCGCTCCCTGTATGTTGACCCGCTGGTCCAGCTGCTTGACCTCCAGAACCCAATCACTTCTTTCCAGCGAACAGTCGATCGCCCGCCACACGGCGTCTTCGACACCGACCCGGGCCAGACCCTTATCCTGCTGATCGACTTTAAGACTGACGGCGCAACCACTTGGCCCGTTGTCGTCAAGCATCTGGCCCCGCTGCGTGAGCGTGGCTACCTGACCTATTTCAACGGCCGTGACCTGATCCCCGGCCCCGTCACCGTCGTTGGCACGGGCAACACGCCCTTCGATCTGGTCACCGCGAACACCAGCTACCGGGACATCTTCTTCGACGCGCCGCTCGATAAGCTAATCGGCGACGAAGGACTAGGCCGTGGTCATGCATCAGCGTACAAACTCAGCCAGCGCTCCACGGGCCTGGGGCAGGGTCTATCTGGCATGCCGGACACGATCACCGCGAATACCTTCAATGTGACGAACAGCTACTATGCGTCCGTATCTTTCAAGAGCGCCGTTGGCTTCCCTGGCCTTTCCACTTCACGTCGCACCAGATGGAACTGATCCGCACCCAGATCCGCGTCGCCCACCGCCATGGTCTAAAAGTGCGCTATTGGTCGGTGCCGAGCTGGCCGCGCAGCTTGCGGAATCATATCTGGCGCATCCTTGTGCAGGAGGGCGTGGATATGCTGAACGTGGATGACCTTGTTGCTGCGACGAAAGGGGACTGGAGGATTCGAATCTTGGATTGGTGGTGGTAAAATGGCCGGGGATGATGATGATGATGATGATGGAGGATAGCAACCGACAAGGGTTTTGTTATTTACGACCAGGCGTTTATCGGTGGGAATTTTTTCTCTTCCTTTTTGCATGACTCAGATATGATACCTTTTCTTCCGTCTGGATAGATTTTATACGCTTTTTTGTTACATACTCGCTAGAAATTTGGCACATGGCTCTGAATTTGAAGAGGCGCTTTGAACTCAATTAATTTGTGCAGTCAAAATTTTTTGGGTGACTGTCATGCAAGGATACAGTAGTCCTAGTAAGGCGATTTGGTTTTTGAACGAAGATGCAGTGCCTCTGTCTGCCCGAGGTTCCAATGGATGCTTTCCAAACAGCCAAATCACATGCAAGATGCTAAATAACAGACATAATCAAGGGGAAAAAAGGAATTAACACAGGATCTGACCCACGCGGGCCCAGAAGATAGATAGAGATGCCCATGTGGGCCCTAGGGGGTATCATCGGGTTGAAGCGTGCTGCAGGGAGAACGCCCTAAGGCTCCTCAGCACGCGAATGCAGGGTGTTGAAAGAAAAACAAGTTGATCAGAGGCAGAAGAGCGCTTCCTCGCCAAATTCACGCGCGATACTACCCTCCTCGCGGAGCAGTCCGCCGAGCCAGTGCTTCGCGGTCTCGAAGTCCTTCGCGCCGAACTTAACCAGGACGAAGCCGGCACGCACGCGGGCGGCTGTCCACGTCACATCACCTTTGGTGCTGAGCGAGGGCTCAGGTGCGGATTCAGAGGCGGACCAATTCCGGCTGCCGATGCGCGGCTGTGAGTTGAATTGGTGCATGAGGTAGGCGCCGAGGCTGTCGAACACCGGGCCCGACAAAATCAGCGTGCCGACCACACCGTGGGGTCGAGTACGTTCTTGGATGACGTTCAATGGCACCAGACCGGCCAGCGGTGGTGGCGTGTCGGCGCGGCTGGAGTGGCTATTTAAACCGCCACCCTCGATGTCGTCAATGTCAGAGTCTGACTCATTCAAGTCCTCAGACTCATCGTCCAGAATCACTGAATCTCGAAGGAGTAAGCGGCTCTTGCCGGTCTTCTCGTCGGTGGCCCAGACTTCGTTGCGGCCGCGCCAAAACCGGAAGTCCCAGTTCTCGCCGCGTGAGGTTCGACCTTGCGTGACCCAGTCCAGGACACAGAGACTGCTGCGCTGGTCACCCTTGGCAGTGGCATCGACCGTGAATGTTTGTACCTGAGCGTACCGGCTGTTCTTGTAGGGCACAGACGGATCTGGCAGGTAGCACAGGGCAGCTTGACGACCAATCCGCACATCTAGTGATTGCTGGCTCATATCTGACAGATGGTCGTTGGCGGGCATCTTCTTGCGGTGGCCCTTGATCACACTCAGACCATTGTCTGAGGTAGGATCGGTCTTGAAGATCTTGGTGCTGCCCTGCGGAGTGGTCACCACCATTCGCGTTCGGGATTCAAGCTTGATCGACACCTCGATGTGATCACCTGGCAGTAGGCCACCACCATAGGTGAGAAGGTAGAGATGTACCGGCCGTGAGGGGCAGGATTCGGAAAGAGTCGAGGGATCTGGGCTGGGGACGAAGCCGGGAGCTCGGGGGACCAGCTTTAAAGGGTATTTATAGGTGAGAGTGGTGAGAGTTGGGTTATTCGGAGGGAGGAGAGAGAGGACGACGTTGCCCTGGCCCGGCTTCGCAATGGAAGACTCAAAGGGCGAGCGAATTGGCATGACTGGTTGTCGCATGGTGACGGTGATGTGACTGTTTTTTTTTTGAGTCTAGGCGGTCTGGTGGCCGAAGGAGAAGAGGGAACGAGAAGAAGTGGGCCGGCAGATGGTTTATCAAGGCAGGAGGGGCGGGACGAGGAATGGGCCAAGCAACACTGGCAATGTATGAATGTCGCGATCAGTTAGGGCGAGTCAGACAAGTGGATAAAACGCTGTAGCATGATGTGCTTCTGCAGAGACCGAGTTTTTATTTTACCCCGGAATCTTGGGATGCTGGGGCTGTGACTGGGTATATAATTTTAGCCCTGCGCACGCTGGGGCAATGATGGCATTCATTAGTCAATGGCGGAACCCGCTCGGCCGCTGAGAGGGGATCACTGGTCGGTTGTGGTGGCCCCGTCGAGGCCAGCTATCCATGGACGGAGGCACTATGTGTCAAGCGGGGGCGCAATGGGGGAATCTCATGACTTGTTGGCTCCGTGAGACCGAGCAAGCGTGGGCGAGAGTGGTGAAAGGGGAGTTTCTATGACACACAAGATCCATGGATCTTCGCACTAGAGGTCTCGGCCATGTCGTTTGTCATTCGGCGCGGGACTTGGCGCTGTACCTCCGTGTTGGGGACCGGGGACATCGTGACCCCTCGTGACCAGGCCGAGATCACATGACTATGGGTCACGGGACAGTCACGGGATCGACCCGGGGCCCGCCGGGATGAAGTAAGCAATCTGAACCGTCAACCTGTTTGGGCAAAGGGACATCCAAGTGGAGCACGTGATCTAGACGCCCTATTCATTAGGCTTCAAGGCTGCAAGGCTGCAAGGCACAAAAGGTGTTCAGGTGTCAAGGTGTCCAGGTGTTTCGCCGCTCAGGCACTCAGTCGCGTCTGCACCTCCTTTACGCTTCCTCGAAAGACCCCCGCTCTTTTGATTCAATCGGGCTCTGTTTCTATTTGGCGCGATCGATTCACTCTCCACAACCAACTTAATTGAATTGATCGGCCCCAACCCATTAGAACATCCGGCAGCTCAATTCAGATCACTGCCCTTTCCCTGGCGTGCCTATTCGCCAGATCCTGTTTGCTGCCGTTGCACGGCGCGTTCCACGGGGCGCGTTTGGACCTAACGTACGGCGTTCCCGCACTTCCACCAGCGCCCTCGACCCTGCCATTCTGACTGACCTCTCTGAGGACCATTGCAGTCGCGAGATTCCCAATCTCACAGTTCTCTTCCACAATGGAAGTTGATAGCCCCAACAGCCCGTCCACGCCCGCCGAGGATCGACGGAAATCGGGTCGCATGACGCGGCGGCCCGAGGTCTTCTCACAAAGCACACACTCCACTACCGACGCAAATTCCAGCGGGAAGCGCAAACGGGGCGAGGCGCCTGATCAGTCGGATGTGGACGACGAAGGGTCAGAATCGGATAGCGAAGACGTGGACGATGATGAGACAGACGAGGAAGAGTTAAGAGAAAAGCGACGCGCCGCCCGCAAGACCGGCACCAAGAAGTCTACAAAGAAGGGATCGCACGCGGCAAAGAAGCCCAAGGTCACTGGAAATGGGGTGGGCAAACAGCTGGCCTTTAGACCCGCTCTCAACGGGCGACTCCCCGCGTCGCGTCCCCGTAAGCCGAAGGTTCGGCCCAGCCTGGCAGCAGGAGAACGTGGATTATATGGTGAGTGGAATTACTTAGTGCCCCTTAAAAGTCAAAGGTCAATAAAACCTAAGTCTAACCAATTCATTTTAGCGGAGGTCTTTGGGAAGAGCAACAACGCCGACGCCGCCGCCGCACAGTGGTTGAGTCAATATCAGCGGAACGCCGCGCAAGCAATGCGTGACTTGGTGAATTTCTTCCTTCGTTGCACTGGCTCGGAGCTGGAGGTGAGCCACGAGGAGGTGGAAGATATTGATCATGCCCCCGACCGCATCCGAGATTTCCAGAACGTCTACCAGAGCCAAGGCATCACAGACTATCCTCTGATATCCCGCGTGAAGAAATACAGAGCATTCCAAACAGTCCTGGAGGAGTTCATTGGCGCAATAATCCAGACGTTCCACCACTCTTCGTTACTGTACACCGACGAGGCGCTTCTAGAAAATATTCAGATCTGGATCTCATCCATGTCAACGGCCAACTGCCGGCCATTTCGGCATACGGCCGCTGTTATTTCGCTGTCGATCACTACGACCTTGTGCGATATTGCGCGTGAAGTGATGGCAACCGTGACAACATCACGCAAACAGCTCGAGAGCGAAAAGAAGAAAAAGACTGTCAACAAGGGCCGGGTAGAAGTCATCCAGACAGCTGTTAGCGACGGAGAACACAAACTCGAGCTTTTAGATGAGTTCTTACAAGATGGATTTGACACGGTCTTTGTCCACCGCTACCGAGACGTCGACCCAACAATTCGTGCCGAGTGCTTGATAGCTTTGGGTCGGTGGGTGAATGCATACCGAGAGGTGTTTTTCGAAACTCAGTACATTCGATACTTTGGCTGGACTCTTTCGGACACTGTCGCCAATACGCGTTTGACTGCATTGATGCAATTACTACCTCTTTACGAGAATAAGGACAATATCGGCGTTCTTCACTCTTTTACGGATCGCTTCCGCCCGCGTATTGTGGAGATAGCGACACACGACACCGAGATCAATGTGCGCGTGGCCGCGATTGAGCTCTTGAATCACTTGCGGGAAGGTGGCTTGCTGGAGCCCGATGATATTGACGCAATTGGCCGCTTGGTGTTCGATGTCGACCCTCGCATCCGGAAGGCGGCGGGTCAATTCTTCGTTTCTAATGTTCAGGATGCATTCGAATCAACAACTGAGGAAGTTGGCGATGAGATGAATGAAATGTTCGCTGATGATGACGAGGATGATTTCGAAACACCCAAGCGCTCATGGATCAAGTTCAAGACCCTGGTAGATATCTTCCAGGCTTACGATGACCAGGAAGACGAATCAGAAGAAAAGCCGGCTACAACACGGGATGTGCTCTCAGGAACCCCGACAAGTTCACGTTTCGTTCTGGCAACGGAGGCTATTTATCCTTACATGGAAGAACTTTCTCAATGGCAGTCTTTGGCGGGGTATCTCCTCTATGATCACTCACAAATCGTCGATGAGCCAGAAGAAGATGATACTGTAGCAGTCGTCCGCACGCTGTACAAGATGCAGGAAGGACAGGAATCCATCCTTCTAGAAATCCTTGGTGCTGCAGTCAAGCTACGAGTACTTGATGTCGCCAAGTCCGACATTGACAGGCGCGGCCGCAAAGTCAAGGCCCTGACCGCCAAGATCCCTGAGCTTCAGGAGGAAATTTCCCACAACCTTGCTCAGATTATCCCACAGCTCTTGAATAAATTCGGATCCGCCCCCGAAGCAGCATCTGCTGTTTTACGACTGGAGCATTTTGTGGACCTCGATACCATCCAAGACTTGCAAAAGGATGCCACCGCCTACTCCTCTTTGCTCAACGATATCAACAAGCAGTTCTTAACTCATTCGGATCAGGATGTCCTGGCCGAGGCGAGCGTGGCCTTCTTACACGCCAAGAGCTCTGATGAGATGCGAGAAGCGCTCGAGGGCAAGGTCCAAGAGCTCTGGGATGACATGGTGGAGACACTGAGTGCCTTGTCCCGCAAGAAGGCTGTTCAAACTGGCGGCTCAATCTCCGATCCAACTCTCACAGATCTCACCAACACCGTAACACGTGTATCCAATCTCGCTGCTATCGCAGACTGCACATCTATTTTGGAGACAGTACCTAAGCCTCGTTCAAAGTCTAAGAAAGACGGTCTCGAGGCTCCATTCAATACACTCCTCAACCTTACTGAGCGTGGTCTTCTTCAGCTGGATGGGGACGAGGATGTTGCACGGACGGAGACAGAACTGGTCGCCAATAGTATCCGTTCACTGCTTTTCTATTTCATGTGGAAGGTTCAGGCACTAACAGCAGCCTTGAATACTGGCAAGGCCTCCTTTAACACATCTTATTTCGAGGCGCTCACAAAAAGTCGTGAGTCGTTTAGTGGGGCACTTCTCGAAATCATGGAGAAGCGAACCGGGCTTGATGATTTGCGGTTCACAGCGACGACAACTTACCTGGACCTGCAGACCCTTTTCAGCACTCTTCGCAATGTGGGCCAGGGCGTTGGCAACGATGAAGATGTGATTTTCCAGTCTCAGAATCTCGTCCACGAAGTCTCGACTGAAGCCCAAGCTCTCATCTCGAAGATCCATGGCATTGCCGAGCGCACCTTTGCTAAGAAGTCCAAGTTGGATCTCGAGCCTGCGGAAGATGATGACCCCGCTTCTGACGATGAGCCGGAGGATGACGAGGCGAGTGACTCCGAGGATGAGAGTGTGGTCACTGAGCGCCTTCGTGGCAGCATGGTAGCCGAACAACGCTTGTGTGAGCTGACTGGGAAACTTGTGCTTGCCATCATTGGTCGCATTGTCGATGCATCTGGTTCGAAACGAGGTAATTTCAAGAAACGGCTACTTCGCAATAAGAATGATCTCGGCCAGAACTACCGCGAAGTCTTGTCATACTTAGAAGAGCGCAAACCACGCAGTGCGCCTCGCAGTAAAGGCAAACAGCCCGCTAAGGGGCCTGTTGCCGAAGCACAGGCACCTCTAATAGGAGGAAAAGACTTCAAATCGGCCGAGCGTGTTGAGGATGATGAAGATGAAGGTGAGCACGCCGCTCCTATGGAAGAGGATGATGAAGCAGACTTGCGTGCACGCGGTCTCATTGAGGAGGACATTGACCGCGAGCACGATGAAAACGAAGAAATGGAAGATCAGGCGCCTGAGTCCGATGAGGATGAAGTGATGGGTGATTGAGAATCCTCCGTCATTTCTATTTACACCCATACGGAAGGGAATTGTGATTTGCGTCTGAGCCCTTGATTTGCTTTTCTTTGTTCCTTTTCTCTTTAATATTTCCGATGTCTAAACTTTTATTGTCCAATGTTCTCTTCTGAGATCGATCTGTATGCTATGAATATCCTTCCCATGCCACCTGTGCTATTGTACTATACCGCCTGGTTTCACGTAAATGTTTTGAAAAAGTTGAACCGGTTATCCAAGGATCCGTTTATTAAGGAAAGAAATGTAATGTTCGTTTTACAACGATGTGTATACTAAACTCTACTCACCTGCTGGTGTGAAATCCCTATTTACATTACCCATTTTCTTCCAGAACGAAATCTGTGTGGCAAGTGTATACTATAACTTGCACTTTAAGTACTAAAGGATATTCGATTGTTTCTCCAAACCTCTAATGCCAAGAGTCAGTTTGGCTTACTGGGAAATACCCCGGAATATGGGGTTACAGGAATTTACAGAATGTTTGTATTACTTTACTCGATGGGACCCCGAGTTATATCCTCCCGACATTCATATCCCGTTATCTTCTTCCTGAGATTTTCTTTCTCTTATCGCCAAATTTGAAACCTGTGGTGAGAATATAACTATCCTATCTTGTAAACAGAGACCATGTCCACCCACAATACGTCATCATTTCTTAACATCATGCTCGAAGGCGCCTACGTAAGGGACACGGGACGATCAGTCAAAATCATCTCGAGATAGTATATCGCCGTTCAGAAAACAGTACAAAGAGATGGTTTGACGGACAATTGAAATCTGTTGATAATAGTGATTTATGGAGTAGAAAATGCAGTGGATGCAATTGAAAAGCCGCCTGTAGCGGGCACCCTGCTGGATATGAGAAGAGATAGTTCTACGATACAAAGAGGGAGTTCAAGGGAGAAAAGAGTAGTTGAGATTTCCGTGTATCTGGAATGCTTTGTTCAGTTACTCTGCAAGGCAAGTGTCCCTAGGCATTCAAAATAGTTCATAATTCAGACTTCACCGCGTGCAGTATCATGACAAAATGGGGAGTTTATACTGGATAATTGAAACGGATAAGAGAAAAAAAAAGATTCTTCTTGAGGTAACGAAAGTCTATAGTCAAGCCCAGTGCAACTCAAACCTGAAATGCTATGTTCATAACCCATTTTGATGCCCGGGCAGGAAACCTGCCGTTTCAATTCTAAACTAATGATGTGGTATCATAGAAGCTGAATGGATCTGAGAAAAAGTGAATCTTCGTATAAAAGGTCATGCATCAGACACCAGGAGATGTCGTAGCAGTAGCGTCAGATGTAGCTCCCTCCAAAGATTCTCCAACCAGGCCATGTTTGGGGTCCGCAAAATTGACTAGACCGACACCCGTGACGAGAACAGTGCTCGTCACTTTGGTGGTCTTGCGAGGATCCTTGGGTTCGTCGTCGTCAACACCAATCTCCGGGGGCACAGTGCCATGACCAAAGACGACCTCCTCGCTCTTGGGGACAGGCTCCCAGTCGGGTACTTCTCTGGGGCCATCCATACCAAGCGGGGGCAAACCCCACGATGGCATCGGACTGCGGTATGCCCAGTCACCATCACGGTCCGCGTAGGCGACAGCGTGGAGGAAGAGGCCCAGTTCATGGGCACCGGGGTCAGTGTAAAGCTCCGTGCCACAGACATCGCACATTTTACCTGAGAGGCGCTCGCCTTTGCGCTTTTCGTAGGCTTCCGCGGCGGCCAACTGTTCCCGAGACATGATCTCGGCGAGGATGGCAGGGTCGGTGCCCGGGGGGACATCCGGCGCGGCGGTCAAGTGAGTACGGTAAGACACTGTGTCGGCTGTTTCGGTCTTGCCCATACGGTGGAGACGCTCCATTATTTCCTCATCGCGGTCTCCGGTGACCTCATTGCGCCCGAGATCCGGCCCGAACACGCGCCGATTCGAGTAGATGGGGTCGTTCGTGATCGGATGGCCCAGGAACTGGAGGTGAACACGGATTTGGTGAGTCCGCCCGGTCAAAGGAAAACAGTGAACAATGCTATATCCCTCAGTCTCGTTAGATAGGGCGGGAGGCGGGGTTGTTGCGCCGGTAGCAGCGTGACGTTCCGCCGAAGCGAACGCCGCTTGGGGAGGGTAATAAGCAAGACGGCGGAACTTGGTGGTCGCCGTTTTACCCGTCGCACGCACACGGTTAAGACCCAGCTTCGGGCTGACTTGCATGATAGGTTGATCGCAAACCACGACGCCATCGGGGAACTTGCCCTTGACTCGTGCCAGGTACTCCTTGCGCACAGATCGCTCTGCCAGTTTAGTCGCCATCTTTTCCGCTCCCTTGGGGTGTTTTCCGATGAACATGATTCCGGAGGTCAGTCTGTCCAGCCGATTACATGGCCGTGGGAGCCATCCAGACCCACGCTCGGCGCGGAGGATCTCAACCACGGAGTTGTAGTGGTATCGACCGGCAGAATGCACCGGTACTCCGGCAGGCTTGTCAATGACTATTAAGTCATCATCTTCGTGGATGATTCCAATGGGAAGGGCAGTCACTGGGGGCTCGTGGCGATGGCAAGTGTGTGACACGACCTGACCGTTCTTGATGACTGTGTCCCGGCCTGCAGCCTTGCCATTGACGGCCACGAGACCTTTATCCAGAGCGGATCGCTAGTTTTCGTTAGCCAAAAACCAACAAACTTGAAAATAATTCAATCAATTCTCATACATAGTAATCTGGGGCTCGGTCACGGAATTCGGAGGTGAAAATGTCCTCCAGAGTACGACCCCGCCATCGCTCTTTGCAGTGAGTATTATAAGTATAATGGTAGGGTTTCACGCGACGAAATCCATTCTCCAGATAATAAGGAGCCGGCCAGGGGTCACAGGGTGTAACAACAACATCGGGGGGTTGTTCAAATGAGTCTGGAGGGGGCACCTTGAGGGCGGTGTCGACGTTGACGAGGGCCATGCAGGGCGGCGGGGGCAGAGGATATTTGCCTCGCCGCAAGAGATAGGCCGTAATTCGAGGTGAGGGAGCCAGGGAGGATGGCAATGAGTGATGGAGTGAGTTTCAGGCACGGAGGCAGTTGGAGGAGTGGTGGCGGACAGCAGAGTTTGGGCAGAAAAAAAATTGGAGATTGCGACGATAAGGCCAGGCACGGCTCGATCGTGGAGGTGGATCACGACCCCGCGGAAAGCACCAGCCGTCCTCATCGTCTCGATAATCCCATTCTAGTCAGTTTCTGGCTCATATACATTCTCTCTCTCTCTCGGATCTCTTAGCTCAGCCTGCTAAATCTAGATCAAATGAAAGTGGTCATGTGGCTTACCTAATCACCAGTCGACCTCGGTTGTCCGTCGCCGCGGCAGTGGAGATGCCGCATTGCAGGCGACTATCACTGCGATAAACACGCTGGACCTTCTCGACAGGAGACTCTATCTTTCTTTACTTAACAGAAGAGGCCCAGTGGGCATACTTGAGAAACAAGATGGCCCCTCCAGAGTATGAGGCCAAGAAGCATCGCACACGCCGCGACTATGGTTACCACCAAGTCCACCAGACTCGATGGTACGAGATTCTTGGCAGCCAATTTCCTCCATTGATCCATTCTTTCTAATGTGGATGATCAGGTTTGACAATGACATGTACGCGCACTTGAACAATACCGTCTATACTGCTCTCTTCGACACCATTGCAAACACATACCTGATCGAACACTGCGGCGTGAACCCCTTCAGCGTGAACAACCCCACCCCCAAGAGCGCTGATGGAAAACCGTCCATCCTGAATGCGGGCACCGATCAAATTGGGCTTATTGCCTCGACACACTGCGACTTCTTTGGCTCCGTGGCATTCCCAGATCTCCTGGAGGTGGGGCTACGTGTCGCTAGGCTTAGCAAGTCCAGCGTTACCTGGGAAATCGGGATTTTCCGTAAAGGCGAGGAAGACGTGAAGATGGTTGGGACGTATACACATGTCTTTGTCCTGAGAGAGACCATGCGCACTGGTAAAAATGGCATGGAGCCCCGAGTGCGCCAGGGACTCGAGAAGCTGCTGAGCCCACCGGAGGCAAAGCTGTGATACTGGTAGATCCCTTCCGGCCCAATGCTGCTGTACATATCTTCTTTGAGTGATACCAATTACAGATCAATGGCGACCTTTGCCAATACTATGTAGTATTGTTTTGATAGTGATAGATCCGGTCTAGCTATCCTATATGCACGCTAATACTATTATACCCGTTTATCATACCCTTCTTGTCGTGAAAGACTAAATTTCCTTGTTTCTTAACAGTAATAGACTAGGGCACTCCCTTTCAAGAGTTCCAAAAGGCAGTTAGATAGAAGATATAACGGCTAGAAGAGAAAAATCGTATACTTTGAGATGAACTTTTTGAGAAGAGAAATACTGAAAGACGGAGGAGGAACTCTCCTAGGAAAGACAAAATTGTATTTTAGAGTGCAAGATATTTTATTTAAAACTAGACCGCTAGGTGCTCATTCTATATAGGTATATAGTCTGTAGGTTATATGCTGGAAATCTTAGAACAACGCAGAAGTCTCCTATCCGCTGAGCATTAATCACCGCATATATCTGACACTACCCTTTTGCGGGATAAAGCGGGCGCCTAAAAGAGCAGCCTAGTAGGAAGCAGAATGGGAGATGCGACCAGGCAAAATAAAAGGTTCTATTATCAAACTTACGCCTCGTCAGTCAAAGCGGTTACGAGATCAGTGGTTTGTAGTGTTAAATCCCTTTTAACCTTTATTTGTGCTCAGTTGTAAGCCAGCACATCTCCCTAGGTTACAAATCCTGCCTTTATTTCAATGAAACACGGAAGACGTGTTTTCGCGTTGCTTTCTCCACTTAACTGCTTTTGGTTGGATGGGCAGCTGATGGCTATTATCACGTAGAGGAGCGAGAACAGCTACGCGCTGTCTACACGCTCACCTAGAGCTCAATATTCCAGAGACCGGATTTGCCACATGAGAATAAATATGGTCTTTTGCCTGTTCAAAAATTGACAAAGAATGCTCGACGTTTGGCAGGGGTCTGTTTTCCAGGGTTAAGAGTTATAGTCACGACAAATACGTTTTCTGAGTGTTGCCAGTCAACCCTTCCATATTCTCAAGGCTCGTTGTAATACGTGCTGCTGTACGGGAGTGCCGTCAGGATCAAGACTATCAGCAAACGGGTCAGGTCTTTCCCTATTTAAGTTCGTGTTGTTTGAATAATTGTCCTCAGCCGTTCCCAAAGCGTTGTCGACCCAAAATTTCTATCTTTTTGATGACACCCTGAATGTGATTGTCGCTGACACCAGAGAATCTACCAATATTGGCCAAGAGAAAATGCAGAGGTCAGAGTTTCGTCCTTTATGCGAACCTGTCCTTATAGGTGTATTCGATCGCTACTCGACCTCGAAAACATTGACAGCAGCGCAAGTAACGTGAGTAAAATATTTTCATCGCAACAGAAAAGGCTGGTGCTGTCAGAATCAGGTCCACTTTCTTACATATGCGGACGTTAAAAGGTAATTCTAACAGTTTCAGTAACTCGGTCTGCATCTCAGTCATTCGTCCTTCGTTCTCGGTGTAAGGTTGCTGATCACGCCTACCATATGAACGCTCTTGCCATGAGAAGGAGCTATGATGGCCCTCGTCGCGACAAACATCTCTGATGATGGCTTCGAAAGGGGAAAATTGCGACCGGTTGTACGACCGCTCTCGCCCCAGAGGGACTGACATATTGTAGTAACGAACACCCAACGAGCCACAATTTTTGGCGCGTAAGCCGGACAGTCTGTCCAATTTTCCCAGACATCTTTCATGGTAGCTTAAAGATCATGTATTCCATCTGTCCAAATCATGTTTCCTCTAAAGTGTCAGTATCATGTGCCAGTGCCCGCCTTCCGGTGCTGCCTCCCGGGGGCCACAGAACGGTTTTTTTTTTCTTCAAAAGGGGCGAAAGCCATGCGCTAGCGCCGCCCCCCGACGTTGTCTGGGTGGGAGCATGGTTCTGGGACAAGGATAGCCGGTACCGTCGAAGCTCCCGACAGCGAGAGCAGGCTTGGTATCGACTGGACTACCAAGGATGGGCGCACCGAGAACATAACACCCGCTTCTCCGAAGCAGGAGTCAGGAGCAGGGCATTGAAGGAATAAGGAACATTCCACGGCGCGCAGCGACCAGGTTCATGGAAGCAGGGCGAGGTTATGTATCCAGCAGAAACGGAGGGAAGGCCAGCTGCGGACGCGCAAGGCCACATGCGGCTCGTCAGGCCGCAGAGCAGGAGGGAAGACCCCGGGGTCGAGCACAGACTGTTTCCATAGGCCCGCAAGCGATGCGAGACGGCAACGACGAGATGGATCATCTATGGAGCAGGACCACGAGCACGCGCAACCGGCCCCAAGCACGCGAATCGCGACCCACATGTCACATCCTCACGTTGGGGGGGGGGGGGGGGGGGGTGGAGGTCACATGGGGTGCAACAATCTATATAAAAGTCTTATGTGGCGGGAGGTTTGATCACCCCGTAGGTCACTAAGCCTGATCACTAGTTGAAATCTCCCTTTAGGGTCCCTTAGGCCTAGGGCCTGATAGATATACCTGACTGCACGTAACCTTGGGCTAACATACTGCCCCTGGAGTCTTTTGTCAAGAAGGAAGACCGCATAATACAGGCAAGACCCACATCTCCCCGTGTGCGTCAGGTTGTTACAGGGATACTCGGAACCCAGCGCCGTAACGCGCTAGACAGCGAGGTATCTAGCGCGAGGTAGGGGATATTCAACATTCCCACGCCTACACACTGCAGTGGGGAAATGGCCAACACTAGGGAGGTCTCTGATTGGAGGATATCTTTCTAGTACACAGTCTTTACAGGATGTAGCTTCGCATCTCCGATAGAAAAAGAAACCATTCACACTCTCTTCGCTTCATCTGTTTCTGCTTTCCTTCTGGGAGGCTTCCTCTATCGTGGTGTGTGGTGATTTGTTTGTCTGTTCGCCGACCTATCTCATCCTGCCTGCATTCTCAGGCTTGCCGTAGAGCGCTCTGGTTCAACACTTAGATAGTTCAATCACCTAATATATCACTATATTGAGCATCTCGTTCCATTGGATCCTAGATTTCCTAGCCGATACCGCATCCTACTATGTTGACACCTTTTGTTGGCTCGTGTCGATCCGTAATATGTAGCTATAATACATATCCCTAAGAGTAATAAGCGCCTTCCGAATATTTATACCTGGATAAATATAGAAAGTGATTATGTTCTTAGAACTGTTACTGAGCAGGCGATGCTATTCTGGGTGAATATCCGTTGTATCGATAAATAGAACTTTTATCCAATAATAGAGCATTGATTTCATATTTAGTAATGTATGAATAAGGAAATCATAATATATTGATGACGACGCTATTTTCTGACACTGTCTTCTGAAAATATTTATACCGCTCCATATCTTTCAATTTCTTTCCCCATATCTCTAGATCAGCCTCCAAGGTCAACAGCTTCTCTAGAGAATAGTTCACGCATCCGTCAATACTCAATCCTTCCCATTACACTATGACTCAGTCTCGTCAAAACGCTCCGCAAGATGGTCTTGTTTTAGAACATCCAACACGTAGTGTTTGGATCTACAGGCCAGGCTCTATCAACAGGCGAGGCCCTACCACCAGGCCAGAACATATCTACTTCTCCACCTTGAGAATAGTTATGTGCAAAAATACTGACCCAGAGATATCACGGCCTGTCAAGCTTGTGCGCGTACCGTCTCGCCCCGACGACGAGTTTCTAGAATTCTTTGGAATATGGAAGGAAGGTCTCGATTTAGGTTGGATTTTGAACGAATATCATCAGAGTGGCTTCAAGGGCGACTCAGCAAAAGCCTGGCTGGATAAATTGGTGGAAGATGGCTTGGTAGTCCCTCAACCGCATATGCAGGAGATCCATGCTGCATTTTGGAATTCAAGATTTGGTGCGATAACTCGGCGTCATTGAAGAAAAGAATTGGATGATTGCAAGACTTGGTCTATAATCGCTCCATTATGTATCCGCTTCTAACAAATAGCTGAATAGCAAAATTCCGTCCATTTTCAAACAATAGATTTCAATTCCTTGAAGGCTTTTCTCGTCCTTGCGCAGCGCCTAGATACCTATATATAAAATGCAAATGTACGTACTCCAAATTGCCCCCACTGCAATGGGCAATAATCAGAAAAATGAACCCGAGCACTTGCGACTTTTCCGGGTGATACAAGCGATTTTCTTTCGATATCAATAATAATAAAGGGATCGCAACTCCCAACAGAGATTATTTTGATGGAACATAATACGTTCGAAACAGGTTTTTAGAAAGCCATATAGGTACTTACATTGCAACCCAAATCAGGAATAACTGTGTATTGTATGAGGCTTGCTCTACCATATAATATACTGCTTTCTATGCTTTCAAAGCCCTCGGTATCAAGAATGAAAATTTGTGAAAACCCAAGACTGTAAAGTGTTAGAGAGACCTTTACTAATTATTTTTAATAGATTTTCTCTTCCTTCAATACCTACTTAGCAAGTTAGAAGTGGCGAATAATTCGACAAATAGCCGACCTAAATACATGTCTGAGTAACAAATTTGACAAACGCGTGCCGATATACTTGCAATTACAGAAATTTACAATCTCAAGTATCGATATTTATGGGCCAAATAGAGCCAGACGCTAAATTGAACGAACATTCAACGTAGGAAATTTTCAATATTTAGATATTATTTTCAGCGAGTACTTAAAATCACGTTGTAACTAATGATGCAGATATTGACCGCTTTGGAGACTGGCAGTGGCCAAGAAAAGACGGCCATAGATTTTAACGAGCTTGGCGTCTTCTCTGCCAGGCACAGAGAGTTCTTGGTGCAAACGAAAAGTCCCAACCTGAACGATCTGATACACGAGGAGTGATGTGTCGCTGTCACGTTAATCCACTCCGATCGGTCCCTCAACAATATCGAAGGCCGACTGGGGGATGGCCAGGTGCTGGACTCCTTCAACGGCGAGTACTTCGGCTGCCCTGGCCCGGGAAATGGGCAGGCTTCGAGAAACTTTGAGTTTCATTGCCTTAGGAATTGTGGAAGACGTCGGTACGCGAAAGAGAGATGCGAGGAGTTGTGAAGATGACAGCTGTGAATTCAAGTGCACAACCGTTGCCACTCATTCATGATGTGGGTAGGTAATCATGATCTGCAGCCAGTCAGCACCAATTATCTACCTGGAGAGCTGGATGCATTTCTCTCAGGAAGGATGTATTTTCGGTGGGAAAATTGGGCTTGCTCAGATTTGTAGCTACGATGGCGGCTGGAACTTCGTCAGTTCGAGTCTTGTTCGCGGGGAATGTTGGACTATGAAGAGATGCAGTTAATACTTCAAAAAAAATTGTAATTGACCGTGGCATGGTAGGTGTCAACCTCAAAACCTACTCACCTATATATCACGATAATCTGAGTTTGGTTTCACTTTAGCAAAATGAGTGTGTGTTTCTTCTTGTTGTAACACTTAGCACATACGACCACAGAGTGCGGAAAATTGGGGTTCTCTGACAGAATGGCACTATCGGTGGCTAACTACTGGGTGCAACTACGTTACTGCCAACCAACCTTCTCAGCATCGCGACTTCCTCAAAATTAAGAGATTTGTTGATTGACAACCCTCTGTTTGCGCTCGTAGGCTCTCTCTCTTTTCCTCTCCAACGTCTTCGTACGCAGCATACCAAATTTTTGCTGACCATTTTGATGTCTTTTTTTCAGAGGTCCCCCCGCCGTGGTGGCGTTGACCGAGCGAGAGAAGAGAAAGCTGAGTGATCGGTCCTTGCATGCACTATAGTGCCCTAATCTTTGTTTACTCCAATAGAGAAATCCGACGGATCTCTTCTAGAGCCCATTTTTTTCAAGGTGCAGAGTCCTCATCGAGCGGGTCTGTGGCGACAGGACCGGACGTTGAGTCTCGAATCCGACAAGTTGGCGACACCCTGGATGTCTACCGACAGCTATTCAGGATCGAATCGGCGTCGCCAGATGACGACTTTATGCTGAGCGGGCCAGCCGGCACCAGCAGTGTGATCGACGAAATAGAGACGATAGAGAAGGCTCTGCGACAACTGAAATTCCTCCTTCGGTATGGAGACTATGCCGGCCGCGTTTGGAAGTGTCTTCAGCTCGCCTCACGACGTACCCCAAATCCTTTGCCATCATCTGTGGTCACTGTCAATTCTAGCCTCGAGACGGACCGTCTTGATGGAGGTCATCAGATCTTCTGCACTCTCCAAGGATCCGTAAAGGCTCTTCGGAAAGATGGCTGGAGTGACCTTGATACAGCTGCAGCAATGGAGGTAATCAAAGCTTACGCGACTCGAAACCAAGTCTGCCACCGTGAGAGCAAGACCAAGGAACAACTCCGTAAGGATTGCTCTGAGCTCGCCAGTCTCTTGCCTGGTGATTGGGTGACCAGTCACGGGGCTTGGGTACGTAGTGTCAACTTGTGGGATCGTGCTGAAGAGCGGTTAGCTCAGGAGCTTGCTCCTGCTACTACTGATACGAGCCTCACTCGTTTCTGCGCCAACGCACTGAGTCGACACTCCATTTCCGAAAAACGGGAGTTCCAACAGGTCCTCATGGCGGGCTTATTCCATTCGGAGCTTGAGCATCTTTGTGATGGAGGGGAACAAAAACCGCACACGCCTCACCGGACCCTGAGAGGCGGTAAGGTCCGATCCGTTTCCCTATGTGCTTCGCAAGCGTGAGTCGACCTCGTCTCCGCCGTAGTCTCTCTCGCGAAAGCAGCAACGCCCATCGGAGAAGTGATCAGTCCCGAGGTAGGAATTCAGTAGGTAAGTGATCAGGGTAAGTATGAGGTATGTATGCCCCTTATTTTGGTTTTTCTCCTGTATCTTTTATTTGTATCTTTACCCCAGCGAAGAGCTCGCACCTCAATGTGGTGCTGGGATCTAGTAGTCCTGCTTAGGATAAAGCTAAGACGAGCTCATTGTAGTTAGAATATTTAGACATATAGCTCCATTGAAGATAGTACTCTCCATCTGTTGTCTAAAGTGTCCCTGGCGTGAATGTTAATTGTCGTTGTTTACAAAGTTCATCCATTCTCGAGTACTAAAAGCAGAGCTCAACAATCTGTAATTCTCTGGATTTGTAAAAAAGGTCGCCACAGAGTCATTGAAGATGATTCGTTCATTACCTCTATTGGAGAATGCGAGTGTGTCCCTGCTTCTCCCTCCTACATAGCCTGAGATGAACAGATTCATGTCCTCGACACCACTTCGTTTTGTCATGTCTCCAAACATCTATAACCTTAGGACCTCGTTGATTTTTAACACCAATCGATGCCCTTGAATTTCCCTTTACGGCTTAGTATCCTAACATCTCCGTGCGAAATCTAAAGAGATTTCTCGATTGTAGCAGAATTTATGGAGCATCCCGATCTCTCCGTGCGAGATCTTTCCACATTGTGCGTTGCCCATTGCCAGATTGAATGTACGGATCCGAGCATAGGCCCTTCGAATGGAGCTAGTCTTGGATGCAAGACCGGTGGGATTCGGCGCTCTATCGGAACCCGCAGTAGTAATCTGACGGAGCTTAATCGTGAAAACCTGAACGAACTTGATCTGAATTTGGCTTGAATTGGCTTGGGTTACATGTTGGACCCATGGTGGCAGTTGGCACTTATGAGAACTACCTTCACTGCTTCTCTAGGCGCCGGTTCACTTTGTGCGCCCGTTCCCAAAGTACTTGCTTTTCTCGTCTTTCTTCCATTCCTTCTGAACTCACCACACATAAAATACACTGCCTTCAGATGCTTAATGACATCTTCATCAATATTGATCATGTCGCTTCGTGTTAATGAGCCCCAAAAGATCTGGGTACGCAGTCCACTCGGAGAATTTCGTATATCGCCTATTAAAATTCGCTTCATAACCTGGGAATTTGTCTTCAGCAATATCCGCCAAGCTCCCACGTTAAACCCAGCACCAAATCCGTTATCCATCATGAGCTCTAGCTCGACTTTGCATCTCGAAGTCTCTAATCACCTATACAGAGACCTCAGTCTCCACATTCTCATCCACACCCGTTGCCTTCGATGGGGAGTCCTGACGGTCAAATCCCCAAAGCTCGGTATCCAATGTCTCGTGACATTCACGACGATTTAAGTGCCAAAGACCGTCTACGCGTCTTCCCGTACCGAGTATCTCTCCCCGTGGGCCAAGGTATGCGGCGCGCGATAAGTGATAATTTCGATACGGCGCGCGATAATAACAATCGGGGAGGGTAAGATCATTTCTGCATCTTCTTCTCCCCTCCCGCCCATCCTCCGTCTTCCCAAACGCATTATCACCCTTTATTTCCAGGGTGATTGTGGCCCAGTCGCTCCTTTCGTCATCCGTTCTCTCGGTCGGGTTCCCTTTGCGGACCCTTTCGCCTGCTCTTTACCCGCACTGCCCAGCGGGTATCATAATCGGAATACTTCATTCACATCTCATCCGAACCGATTCTCGAGTTTATCTGCAGATTCCCGAAATTATAGTGAGCATTGATGCACCATAATTTCGTGGTGACGGCGGTAGGATTTGTGTGAGACAAAAGGCCAACCAACTTGTCGATATTTTTCATGATCTAGCATGGATATCTCATGTTCGGGTCGTGTTAGTAGGACAGTGGATTATTGAAAAACTTCCACTACGAGGATGCATTCCATTGAGTTACTACGAAATTCGGGAACGAAAATCCGCGATTGATAACCGCCTTATTTTTGACTGCGATAGTGTGATAATACCATTCACTCGACTTGCGAACTGGGACTACAGCATACCTCCTAATCTACTGCAATACTTTCAACAGATGAGAGACTCGAATCCTCATTTGTGTACGAATTCAGACAGCATGGCCCGAACAACGTTCCTCCATATAGTTATTTATCTGAAGCGGAAACTCAGGAAATTCCGGGATGGCGCCTGGTTTATCGGCGAGTCATCGATCACGAGCTCGACACAGCCAGTAGCAGTGATGATCCTGCGTCCTCAAGGGCGAGAGAGCTCACTACTGGTACAAATCTGATGATAAGTGGGATTCCGAGTACAAACAGAAGCTTTGGAAAGACTTATAACGGACTTCGGTGCCATCATGATGGTCGATCCCGAGCTGAATGCCACACGAGACCGATTTTAGATGCTAATAAGGTGTCACGACATTGCATATAAGCACTTCGCCAAGCTATCGCCTTGGTCTGAGAGCTGTCCTCTCTCACTTACTTGGGATCCTGATGCGATTCGCAATAAATGGCCGTTGGGTCAATTCTTGGGACATTTTCCGTGTACTAGGCGAGGGAGTATTGGTAACGATGGCCTACAACGTAGGGTATTTTCCTCGCGTTTCAATCGATACATAACCAAGGTGCCACACTGTCGCGAAATCTGGGGGCCCTTGGAATGGCGGGGAGCATCCGCTTACAACTTTATGCCCAAGAGCCTCATCGAGCCGAGAGTGTGCCCCCAATGTCAAATTTTGAATGCTATTTGTCAATGGTGCCAAAGGTTTGATGTAAATGGATTGTGTCCGTTATGTGGGGAGAAGACCCGTTCTCTCTCATGCAATTTTGAGTCGAGAAGGAAGACTGGATAATACCGCCGAGACCCACATATCTCCATGTGCGTCAGTTAGCTCATTACAGGGATATTCGATTCCCTACGTGTTTTGTGTGGTATTCCGGGTATACTCGGAACCCAGCGCCGTAATGCGCTAGACAGCGAGGGAGAGGATATTCAACATTACCCGCCTACACACTCAGATAGTTAGACATCATCAAATTGAGCATCGCGTTCGATGGGATCCCAGCTTCCCTAGCCGATACCGTCCTACTATATTGAAACCTTGGAATGTTGCGAAGTATTTGGTCTTTACCATGTTTTTAGCAGCTCCCGATGAATATGTTGAACTATTCCTCTTAGGACCCAGGCCGCCACCAAAAGGAACCGCTCACTTAAACTACATCTTACTAGGACATGAATGTTGTCGGATCTTCCAAATTGAGTTCCGCACTTTTCATGTGTTCCAGATTGACTGCCTTTCTCCCAAATTATAAATGTGCTTTCTTCCCTTCACTTTCTTCCGCTTACCTCGCGCTCACTTCGGTCGTCTGCGGCTCGCCGCCCTAACCCCCCGGCCACTCAGGCGGCTTCGGGCGGTAGTTCACCTACCTAAATACTCTTCTACCTAGCAGGGTGAAGACTACGATCATAATACGTACTATAAGAAGGGAAAGTCTACACGGTAGGGAAATTAGCCTTTAGCGGCTTTATCTACCTATTAAACTCCCTCTTCTACTTTCTCCTATATCTCCTATATCTCCTATCCTACCTACTATCAATCCTTTAAATTAAGTTAACCGAGATAACAAAGCTTATTAGATAAAACTACGAGAGTATATTACTGGAAAGCTAGAAAACTATAAAAAAATACTTAAGAATCTTAGCAATACTTTAAAAATAGATACTTATAGGTTAGTGTGGGCTAGGTAAGGAAGAGAGACAGTTAACTAACTAGTGTATTCTGGTAGTTAGGAAAGTTAATCCTCGCCCCCTTATAGGAGTATACTATGCTCCGTGAGCTTAATAGGGCGGGGTAATTCTACTGCGTTACAGTGACAAATCACTACTGATCTGAAGTAATTCCCTAACACGCCTGTTGAGAACCCGGTCTCATTTCAAGGTAGAGTCTGGGACGAAGTTTCAAATAAACTCAGGGCTGGTTTCGTAAAACGGAAAGCCGCGGTACCCACAGGCAACTTTTTACTATACTTCCCGGAACGAGTGTTGCCACCTTGACTCTTCAATTGTTTGTCAAACCCTCTGGAATAAGGTGTACTGGCGCAAATCGTGAGTGTTCAAGGATTAGTGGGGTAGTAAAAGAAACCCGAAATAATCTAGTTTCGTTTGTATCGTGATTGCTTTGTTCGTACCAAGGGATTTACAACCCTCCAGTAATCGGCTTTTTCAATCCTTCACTTCCTACTGGTATAAGCAAGGACACTCCGTGGTTGTCGAGAGAAGAAGGAAAGGTGCATAGGTGGTTAGCGTGGTGATGGGAAGTGGGGTCGGAGCAGACCTTTGACCGACCTTGGTATTTTGGCGAGGCAGCGTTTCGAGCGTTCTAGATCAACCGATTTGCCGCTCAACACACAGTCACTAACTGAAGACGAGCGTCATAGATTATTTTCAAAAGTATAAGATGGGTCTTCCCGTATCTATAGATCTGCACATTTAGGAAGTTACTCCATATTATAAATTATTTCAACAAGAGAAACACCACCAAGACATGTCTCTCCTCCAGAATAAGATTTTTTTCGCTCTGGCGATTTCACTACTCCTCGTTACCGTTACGGCAGCTCCACTAAGTAGTATCGGTATCCTCGAGATTGTCAAGTGCTGCAACGCTCTATTTCCTGCGGACCAGCGTATAAAATGTTATATAGGTGGGATACAAGGTAAACTGCCGTGTGGGGTGTGAACTGAAGCAAAAATGAAATGTTAGTTTAGTGTCGCTGTTATAATCTCTGGTGTGAGCTAATGAGTTTGAAACTATATAGAATTTAAGAAACACAAATCATAGGTCTTTGAGAGTGGGATAATTCAAGGACGCCGAGGAAAAGGAGTCAGAATGTTGTTAGGACTTCTCATTTAATTGTGTGGGTGACTAAAATCTAAAATCTTCGTTGTGGTGGAAGGCGGTTGAAAATTCCGAGTATAGCAACAATTATGAAAAATTAGCTCTCGCACTCTCGTCTCATTTTATCAATCCTATTTTGTCCTAAGGGCAGCTATTTTACATATTTATCCAATGGTAGATTCTGTTTCCACTCACACACAGACTAAAACACTCAAGGCTCATTATCAAAAAGACGACTTTTTTCAAACATGACACCGGTGTTCAACCTCTTGATCTTAATATTCTCCTTCTCCGCACCTGTAATTTCTCCGTCTGCAGTCTACCACACTGAAAATTGGTGCTTTGACAGTGGTGATACGCAATTTATTCCATGATAGCACTAATATAGGTACTAGATCTAGCGAAAAGTGAAGGCGAGCTACTAAGGAAATAAACTCTGTTGATTCATTTGTGGTTGCAAATTATCGACCTGCAATCGATCAACTAGGGAGATAGGATAAGTGAAAAGGCGGGTTTGATCCGGAGCCTCGGTGAAAGAACAGTCCAGCCTGAGTACTCCCTGCGCTAGCACGGGATTACGCCGCTGAGCTTCTAAGTTCTTCTCCACCTAATAAGCCTGAATCATTTGGCCGATCGAAGAAAATAATATCACCAAACTGGATACACTCATCCGACACCAGACGCTCCCCGGTCTCACTGGCTTTATCAACTCTATCTACTAAATCGATCTCGATAAACTATACGGCTTTGAGGATTCCAGGTCCCGAGTGACAAGAACTTCAGAGATTACACTATCGTCGATGATGGGCGATGATGGACAGGTGGATTAACTGATGGTCGCAGAGCGTGGTTACTTCCTTCGGATTTGAGAGATTTACTTGGGCCCTTGGATACGGCTAGTCCATAGGAATCATATCATATAAGCAGTCTAGAAAAGCCATATTGTGAGTGGGAAAACGTCCTTACATTGACCAATCAACATGTCAGTGTTCGATTTCAATGAAGAGGCAAAGGCATTTGGCAAGCTCAGCTCTCAGAGGAGTTACTCCCTGTCGATGTCTGATACGAGATGTTCTCTTAATATCCGCGAGCCAGAGAGCAAGTGACAATGCACTTCATCAGCCAACTTTTCCTGGATCTTTTGGATTAGCTCCACTCACACTGGATCCTCCAGCTCCGCGGTAAAACTGGGGCCATGGTCGTCGAGATTCATATGCTCTTCGTTCGGACTCATGGTGAAATGAATATGGAGGCTGATAGAGTATAATTGATAGGTTTTGATGAGCGGAACAGCGGGATGGAGTGGCAAACGAACAAAGGGGAAAAGTGCGGAGTCTAGGGATTAGATATCGGCCCTTATTGTATACGATACGAGATCGCTTGATTATGGACAGCCTATCTCGTTTGAATATTTGCCCTAAGCACCCAGCACCGCCTCTGGGGAAATCGTCAAGATGCTCTTTTTGAGTAGCCAGTTTCCCCTTCCGAGACAGTATACATGAATTTTGCCCAGAAGCATGTCGTTGCAATACACTCATTTAGAGTTATGGACTGGCTCCTCTTCTCCACAATGGTGGTCCACCAGGTAATCGACCAGAAACAGGAAGTACACAGCATCCTGGTATGTAATATCTCGTAAATCTGCAGATTTTCGTTTGCTACGTTTTAGCGCGTGTAAGTTTGCTCTCGCTAGAAGTCACGGCTTCAGATACGGCACATGATGGCAGATAAACTGTTTCAGATTTCGCAGAAAGGAGATATGACTACTTCTATGGACATGTATATGCCAGTTATGGACGGATTCCAAGAGACACGTGCCATTTGCGTCATTGGACAAACTTGAAATATTTGCGTTCCGGCTAAAATCACTGCTTTTGATAGACTCGGTAGCCTGTGCAATGAGTCCCAGGTACTCGACTCGGGAGTGGATCTGTTTCCTAGGAAACCCATCTTTTCTAAGGAAAAATTACGCCTGGTCGACGAAGGTAAATTGGAATGTTAAAATAAAATATAGCTATTGAACTGGGGTAAGGCTACACCTGTCTGCGACCCAGGTCCAGCCTCTAGGGAATAATAGGAATGCTAGGGAAAAGACATAGGAATATAAAGAAGAGAAGGTGTCTGATTATCTGCTGCTGCGAGCGGGGTAGTCTTATATACATCAATCCTGAGTCATCCTGCAGACCGCCATTTCCCCACTACACTCTATAATAATTTTGATATCTGATTCATAAAATTACTCGAGGAGTGTGAAGACTGACAGTATAAACCAGGTTCTATTCAATTATCATGGTGGTAGGCATATACGAAGTAGAAAATCAACATGTACCAGAAAGTCAATATAAAATGATACGGAAAGAAAACCTTCGATTCAGGAGTGTAATTAAGTAGGATACCAATATATTTCAAGGATGCACGTGATTCTTAGTGTAGGACCCAACTAGGTTTGTGTCGCAGCCTACTGAGCTGTGTTCTTTCTCTTCATCCTCTAGCTCTTTCTGCGATCATCAACTAGAAAAATATCTCACAAATATTCTAATCTCCTAGTTTTTCAATTTACACCACACAGAGTGAAGAAACGAAGGAGACAAAATGACCGAAAAGCTGTCGATTCTTTGTTTCGGGAACTCCCTTACAGCAGGCTTCCATTCCTACGGGCTTGAATTTCATCCATACGCACAAAAACTTGTAGAGACCATCAAGAACGAGTTCCCGGGGCTAGAGGTACAAGCAACTGTGGCGGGACAATCCGGCGATCTGGTGGTATCTCCTCCAGGGGCATTCCTGTCACGGATCGAGATGAAATGCGACCGTACAAAGTATGACTGGGTTGTTTTTCTTGGCGGGACTAAGTGAGGTTTCCACGTTCTATACCTATCCCAAGTGTTATATGTTTGCTAATTCGCTTTTTCCTTGCCGATAACCAGTGATCTGGGGTATGGATATCAGCCTGATAAGATCTATTCTGCTATCCAGAAGTCCTGGAACGTCGCCCTTGAAACAGGTGCCAAAGTACTCGCTTTGACTATTCCTGAATGTAAAGCTCGTATCGGCTCTCTTGATGAGAGACGGTCGAAGCTAAATTCGTATATTCTTGCACACCAAGCTGAAGGATTGTGAGTTTCATGAATTTTAGATTTCGTGAAACCGTACTAAACTTAGGATAGCCACGCATTTGACCTACACAGAAGAATACCTTATCATTCTGCGTCGCCTGAATTCCAGGAAAATATGTTCGATGATGGCCTCCACTTGACGCCGGCTGGATATGATTTTATGGGCACAATCATAGCCGAGCATCTTGTGAGCCTACTTAACGCGCAAATGGAGGATAAAGATGACAAGGAAGGATAGGAGGAGAAATTGAAAGTGGCAGGGGAAGACAGGGGGAAGGCCGTGGACAAGGAAGCCTGATATTTCTAGATGATGTAGTGGGGAAGTGGCATATAGGCATGAGCTAGCACTGTGACATGAGATGTGATATATAAGGCCTACCTCGCTGTTTTCAGCAACTCAGACATCCATTTCTCTTCTACACTATCCCTAGGTGTCCTCTCTTTCTCTTCCACAACCCCTAGAAGCGAGCCTGGTTCGCAGACAGCGACCGTCTCTGTTCCCAGTTCAATGCTTATACTCATATACTACCAGGATAATAGTTGCCTGAATATCAAAGTTGGAGCTATACAAATGATAATAGATCTCATACGTTACATGATTTGAAAATGATCATCATGGAGATGCCTTTAACAGGAGAAACATGGTTGGATAGTTCAGAGAAATACGAGACTGGGGCGTGATACATAGCACGCAGGTTCAACAGAACGTATCTTGGGGAACTTTTTAGATATCCGAGGTCGAATGCCGTGGTGAATAATGACCGTATTCAATCAAAGTTGTTGTGATCTCTCCTGTGCCGTGAATATCGGAGATGGTGCCGATAATAGCAAATCTACTTTCTCTGCGCGCAAAAGCATGCCATTGGTTAATTCCGCCCAAAGCCCCATCATAGTTGTATAACCCCGCAAAGACTTCACGATGTATAAATATGGTGATGTTTCTCTTCAATTTAATTAAAGCATCTACGTCAAAATCATATCACAACAATGACCGTGTCCACCTGGCAAGACAAGGCTGCCGTTAAGCGGGCCGAGGCTGAGGCCAAAATTCCATCTGAATTGCGGTTATCACCAGAAGTATTACAAATGCTACAAAATAACCATGGCTATGTTCTCAATATACCATCCACATGTGGCCATCTTAGTGCCGCTGAGAATTGTGATCACTAAACTATCTGATGCAAGTATCTTTCTTGACAAGCTGGCTGCCCGGGAACTAAATGTTGCGACAGCCTTTTGCAAACGTGCTGCTATTGCCCAGCAATTGACATCGTGTCTTACAGCCTGAAGGAAACATTTAACGTCGCAGGCGTTCATTCTTCACTGGGGTTTTTCTCCTTTCTTGGATCATCAACCAGTCAAGCATGATTCACCCTTGGCGGCCCTTGTGCTCAAAGCTGGCGCAGTGGTCTATGCCAAGACCAATGTTCTGCCAACTATGATGACAGCCGACTCGCAAAACAATGTTTTTGGTCGTGTTTTAAACCCTTGGTAGCAGTGGGGGTAAAGGTGCGGTGATTGCACTTGGAGGGTCAATAATTGGAGTTGGTACAGACACTGCTGGGTCAATTCGTATCCCCGCACTATGCTGTGGTATGATTGGCTTCACACCAAGTATTGGCCACGTTCCGTATGGGGATCAGACAAGTGCCTCCCGATCCGGTATGACTGGTATTGCTCCAGTAGCAGGTCCTCTCTGTCACTCAATACTGATGCAGAAATGCTCTTGCATGTCATGCTTGATGCCCCGAGTGATGACATGAACGATTCGACCTTAGGCTTTCCCTGGATATAGCCCAAGGAGACTCCTCCGCAGACTTTGACGATCGGTGTTCTGCCAGAAGACTCCAAGATTCCATTGCATCCGAACGTGCAACATTCTCTTCAACTAGCAGTGAAGAAATTGGCTGATGCGGGCCATAAAATCATTGACTTGTCTGGTCAGATTGCTTTTGTGAATACCGCATCCGATCTCTCTTTCAACTTCTTCAGAATCGATCCAGATCAGACCTCAGGTGTAGCACATACGTAATGGTGTGTAAATCTCTTATCCCATCATTGAAATACACCTATGATCTTGAGGGATAGTCTAAACCAATAAGTCTGTCTGGGTTGTTTGACATGAAAGCGGCTAGGGCGGACATCACAGCGCGCATGCGCAGAGTGTACCTGGACAACAAGCTAGATGTCATTATCGGACCCGGTACCAGAGCACCGCAGTCCCTCATGACACCTACGGAGTCCCAGCATACACGGTTCTTGTGAACTTGATTGACGTATGTATATGAGCTTCGTATATGAGCTTCCATTTTAATATTGCATCTGCTAACCCGCACCCAGAGCCTGGCTTGTGTCCTTCCGTCTGGGAAGTCCAATGGAACAACCAGTGCGGAATTTGTCCGCGACTTCACCTATATCCCACCTTGTAAGCCCCCAATCTTTCCTGGTGACAACACGGTTGCTAGAAATTTTAGATTTACCCAAAGAGGTTGAGGGAGCACCCTGTCATATGCAGTTTATTGGCCGCCGACAGAAAGATGAAATTCTGACACAGCACGCACGTGTTATTGAGAGAGTTTTGACTGAATGATAAATTGTCTGGCGGTCTAACCTAGTGGTATTCTTCTAAATTCTTCCAGGATCTGAAGTGTTATTCATAGATGACTTTAAGAATATGATATCACAAAGATGACAACGATCACCCTGCTTGGAACGAAACAGGTTATGTTCACGGGGAAGGTTTCTCAACCTAGATCAATAAAAACCCAATATCAATATTCAAATCCTTGCAATTGGTGGAAGAGCATGAGCAACGAGGGTGATGTTGAACATTCCCAGCACAGAAGAAGTGGACATAGCCGATTCGGCTGTGAATTTCCGCCATGAACTTCAAGGCCCACCAAATCTAACTAGGACGTAAAATCAAAGCTAGTGAGTCTAGACAGAACGCAAGTCCCTTGATAAGAAATTGAATTATCACCAATATCCGCAGCAAGAGATCCTAGGGTTCCACTGGCTTTAGGGCACGTTTCAGCATCTTGAGTCGCTCCAACACTCAGCGAGAGAGAGGGGCGGTTGGCGGTGGGGGGAGGGGTTGGGGCCGCATGTTACAGTAGTTTGGAGTCGCTTGCCTTTATTGGACGATTGTGGTGGCCTCGGCATTATACGGATTCCTTTTCCGGTTGTTGACAGCACAACGCGCATCGGCCATCAAGTTGAGCAATAGGGCTCAAGTCAGAAATATCCCATCGCTCTTATTAGAATAACACGTGAACCCCATTGGCAATACTTCATATGGTTGCACGAACACGCGATGCGCTAAAGTGCGGGGCTACCCGAAAAGTGGTTCGTCTTGAGTTAATCGGCGATCTATACGTCGCCCGAACACCACTTGGATCTGAAAGGATCCATCTATCCAATTCCACTCTAAAGCCACCATCGTCATATGACGTAAATTCCTACATAATGAATAACTCCACACACTATCTTTTATTGTCTTACACCGCTCCCACACCCCCCACCCCTTCAGGTTGTGAAGGGTTGTGAAGGGTTGGGAGGGGGAAGGGGGAAAGGGGTGCGGTATAAGACACTAATAGTATTTTGACGGCAGTGTTGGATAGGGAAGCGAAAAATAGGGTAGTAGCCAAATGTGACAAAATAGGTGTTGGAACTATCGCTCACCGCTGCTCGAACCGAACCCCACAGATTTACAGGAAGTCCCGAATCCAAGACCTGTAACGTGATGCGCTCAGTTGCGGAATTTGCACTTCACTTGTACATAGACATAAACCATTACGTATCTTGCTGAAGATCTATTCAGAGGGCAACAAGATCTAATTGGCACAATAACAGCTGTGCCTGCCCCGAAAAGGCCAGCGTGGGCTTGGCGTGAGCGTTGTTGCAAAAGCTGGTGCGACCACCTCATCATCAAACAACTTTGCGCAATCATCTTCCTCGGGTGAAAGCCGCATGCACGTTGCCTACTTGGTAAGGCTGAAACCCCCCGATTATTTGACCAGCTCTAATCCGTTTCTTAGTTCCCTCGTGTCGAGTTCTACTTCGAAGTTGAGGATCTCGAATTAACTGAAGAATGCAAGCAGCTCTTGGAGCTAATCCGAAATACTAAAGCCAAGAAGGAAGACGCTGATAGCTTCTTCCGCAAATTCGGTTACTTACTAGGTACACTCTACTTTCGCATGAACTAAAATTTATACCCTAGGACACGTCTTTGTCCCGCATGTTCAGCTTGGAGGTCGTCTTTACTCCGTCGAGACTACTTCTAGCATCGCCGGAGCCAGCACTGAAGAGAAGGCGTCTGCTCTCAAGGCCGCTGCTAGCGCTTCAGTCTCTGGATGGGGCTTCCAGGCATCTGTTAGCGCCAGTCATGAGACTATCAAGGGCGAGAAAACTGAGAAGTCTCAAAGCAGCTCGAATCACTCGATCACCTGGCATGCCGATGGCGGTGATACACTGCTATGCAACAAGTAGGTTACCCGCTGCTATTAATCATCATTTTGGATATATTTGGCCTGATAACAGCTTTCTAGTCCCCCTGCTTGGTGCCCTACTGTGCACTCCTATTACAACTGGAGGGTGATGAATGTGAGTCAGCAACATTAATAGCTCATTTAATGGGTTATGTGCTAACCCTCGCAACAAATCGGCATGGTCGATATTGTGCAACTCATCGGCCAAATGAAGGGGTAGTCAGATATCTCCAGGCGCTTTGAACAGATCTACTTTGAGAGAGTTCAGTTCAGGATTTGCAAGTGGGATTCCACCAATGCCGAGGCGAAGCCCTACCTTGGGATGGTGAATAATGGTCAGTATGATGAGTCTTTTCCATATGGATACAGCGCAACTAACAACACAACAGAGCAACTCATTGAACGGCCAGAAGGCGGAGGTGGGAACTTCTCAAGGCGTGCCAAGCGCCATATATTGAACAAGTCCCATTCTGGGGAAGAGCATATGAAAGCCGGTCTTGAAGTGCTCGCGATGAGAAACAAGCTAGTCTGGGAAGGAAGTACAGGATTAACACCTCGGGTAAACACTCCTTTCTTCTACTTTGAGGAAATTTCCCAGTTCATGATATACTAACAACATTGCAGTTCAAGTATGGAATCCAATACCCATTGCGCCTTTTTGGCGACAGCTTGGTTTACGGAGTTCGTCGGACTACTCAAGAAGAGCAATACCAAAAAGAGAATGTTGTGTATGCCGGTCTCGATGAAGAACCAAATGTTCTTGTTGAGTTCAGGAAGATTGGCGATGATAAAGCGTTCGAATGAGCCTGACACAAATGGATCCCATGATCTCATCCGTGTGGACTTCTATGACATGACAACTAAAAAGTACATTGTCTGGCTACAGAATGACGGCGGGATTGCTAAGCTGAATACCACCACAGCTGTGGTGGAGGGAGAGCGACAGTTCAAGTTTTTCTACGTCTAAGTGGTTGAGAAACGAGAGTATGGATACGAGCATATTTATTAGCGCACTCGCTCTGTGCATGCAGTCTTCATTCCTAGGGTGAGATTGTTTCAGATATACATTGGGACAATATGTATAGATGTTAACCACTTTGAATATCAATTTTCCTACCTAGCACTTCACTATTCCGCACGATACATGACTCATGTGTGGTGCGAGTGGCTCACTTTATGAATAGCCAACTAGACATGGTTTATGCAAATGCATGGTCTTGGGACGTTGATATTTTGGTATTGATGACTAGATTCGGACGAGGACTAGCCATTGGAGATGTGCGGCATTCGTGATGAGCAAGTATTTAAATGTGGTCAATGCCGATACAGAGTGACCAACTGATTTTCTTTCGCTCGTTGCTTCTATTCTGTCGAGAAAGCCGCATAATACAGGCGAGACCCACATATTCCCATTTGCGTCAGATAATTATAGGGACGCTCGATTTACTATATATTTTGTATAGTATTCCGGTAGACTCGGAACCCAACGCCATAACGCGTTAGACAGCGAGGGAGAGGATATTCAATATTCCCCGCCTACACATTCAACTGCTATATTGACAGAAAATACAGCACCCCTTTGCGTGTGTTGTATCCTAACATCGTAGGCTGTCAGGGCGGTGAACTAGGCCGGTCCATGGTAAAAAAAAAAAAAAAAAAAACACTAAACCCTCCAAGTCCACTAGGATAGGGGCTACAACAGGGCTTGGACCCCTCGCTACCTAGTGTCGGAATTAAAAGTCGCAGGGGTCCTGGTGCGCCCGCCCTAGCGCATCTTTCGCGGGGGCCGTGAGTACAAATAAGCAGGACCATTCTAGTGCCCGCCCCTGATAAAAAATAAATACTTCCCCCGGTTTGTCTTATATATTTCCTTACCTACGCTCGTTACCATGAGGGTCACTCCTTTCGGGGCCTCTATCGCTCTATTAGTTCCACGGGCTCTAGCGATATCTGCTACGCCCACTACCTCTACCGCCGCGGCAGCAAGCTGTACAGCCTCCCTCATCACCAAGCTCTGCAGCTACCCGGAACCTGGCGCAGACTTTGCCGTCGCCAGTGACGGCACGGCCTTCTGCTGGGACTACTGTAACGCCAACCCTCCCTGTAGCTTTGTTATCTTCAATGCCGGCAACCCTAACACGGGCACCGGCACTTGCTGGCTGTACCCGGGTGAAACCTACGATGCGAGTGAAGGCAGTTCGAACTGCAGCAATCCTACCCTGTCCGTCTACAGCCAGCCCGTATGTCCGAATGGGAGCGCAACAACCACTACTGGCGCCTGCACCGCCACCGCGACTCCCTCTGCTATTGCCTCGGTCTGCGGGTACCCGGCGCCTAGTGACTGCTTCGATAATTGTGTTGCCAGTACGGGCGCATCGAGCTGCTTGAGTCAATGTGCAAAGGCCGATTCCTGCAGCTACGTTGTCTTTAACCCACACAATGATGACAACTCGCCGTATGCCTCAGGCACTTGCTGGATCTATCCGAACGGCACATTCAACGCTGCGTCTGCATCCACTTGCAGTGGCGATCCTGAGCAGTTTGTGTATAATAATGTGTGTCCCAAGCCATCATCTTCGTCGTCCTCCATTTCATCATCTGCTACCGAAAGCTCTAGTGGCACTGCAGACACTAATTTGGGCTCCACCGCTAGCAATGCTACCGGCTCAACAACTAGCAGCAAGAATTCTGCACCTTCGGGCCTTTCGCTCACTAATCCGTTAGCTATAGGCGGGGCTATGTTAATATGGCAGGCACTTTAAAAATATCTTTGTATGTATTAGTTGTTTGTTCAGCTGAACAAGCAATTGGGAACGATGTTTCAATTATTAATTAGTTTCGTATGATGTCACTTCTCCTCGTGTATCTCTCGTTATTGTGGAGGGTATGTTAACGTTTCCTTACGATCCGTTGCTGTCAGCACATTAGCCAAGTATTCCCACGTCAGAAGCCCTTTCCCGGTAATACGGCAAGAATGAATGGACCTGATTTGTTTTCTATTCTTTGAAGAATTTGTTGGGTATTTTGGTGTTCCTAGAGCGTCAATTTGTTTATTTTCCAATTCGACTATGACGGGAAGGGACTGATAGGAGAGACCCGCGCGTCCTCGGCCTTCCTAAACCTGGTTATATAAGCTAATCAAAGCTATCATGAGTGTCTCATAGAAGTTATAAGGTTCGTACACTTGGGTTGGAATATGCATATGCATCTAACCGAACTGCACAAGAATCGTGGATGCCGATCGCTTGATGATCCCTATCAGATTAGATAATCTTGTCCCAATCTAGTTAACGTGTTTCACTAGTGAGTCGCCACCACTAGTGAGTCGCCACCCTCACCACCTACTACTTTTTGAAAACACTATTTTTCCACCAAAACGCCATATATTTAATTCAACTATTTACTAGGGCACCGAGTAATCTTATGCCCTATATTCCCACATCCAGAACATTGAAATACACGCTTAGTAGTAGGCCTAGAGACCTTAGTAGGCTGCTGAGGAAGCTCTGCATCATCGTTTTGAATAGCTTCAACGCTTGCTGGCAACGTTGAATCTAGAGATATAGATTCGCCGACCGTAGGATCTTGCTGCCTAGATATCTGGCGATTAGACCGTGTGCGTTTTTGACGCTTCTTCTCGTTGAATCTATATAGTTGCCGAATCTCTTCCGCTTGTAAAACAGTGTTGTGAAACGCTAGTTCAGCACCTTTGATTAATTGATCTAGCGCTCTCTCTGTAGGGCTTCCTGGCGACTGTGAGCGCCTATATAGTAGAGCTTTGATAGATGAAGCTTGCTTGCTAAGCTGCTTAATCGTATGTGGCGTAGTAGGCACGAAAGCGCTACTCCTACTACTAGGCCTACTAGTAGTAGGTGTAGGTGTTCGAAGCGATATATTAAGCTTCGATAGGACTCGGTCGGCATCTAGCGGAACTAGGCCGGCGCTGGCGAAGCTTGATTGTATAGTGCTAGGTAGGAAGGCTTCCTGGCGTGCTAGGGTATAGGATTCTAGGAAGTCGAGCTTGTCGATATGGTTATATCCTAGGCGAGCTTAGGCCTCGATTAAGCGACCGTATGAGCGCTTTAGGATAGCAAAACATCCTATATCTAGCGGCTGTAGAAGATGTGACGAATGCGGCGGTATACAGAGTGGTATAACGTTATTTTGCTAGCAGATTTGGTCGAATTGTAGTGTTAGATAGCTTCCATGACCGTCTAATATTAACAAGCGATATTTGCCTTGCGTACGACTAGTAGTCGCTAGAATAAAGAGCTTTTCTAGCCAGCGTAGGCCTATATCGTCGGTAGTCCAACCGTTCGGTGATACTTCGATTCGCTAGTCTTTCGGTAGGTTATCAAACCAGCTAGCAATATAAACCTTCCCTTTGAATACTATACACGGCGGAAGCGAGTAGCCGGTTGCCGATATAGATTCAATTGCTGTTACCTACTCCCGATTTCTAGGTTGTAGTAGAGGCTTCCGACCGTATAGATCCTTCCGTGTAACGATTCTAGTAGTAGATATCAAGCCTATTGCAAAGCCTGTTTCATCAAAGTTATAGATATCGTTAGGAAGGATCCCGTTTTTATTAATCGTACGCTCTACTAGCCTAAACCTCGCGCGTAGGCTAGTAGGATCTTCGTTTTGTGCACGTTGATAGTCGTAGCGCCTAGAGAATCGTGTGCAACTCTAGTCGACGTTTAATATAGCGTGTTACCCAATAAGTTCCAATAGAAGAAGGCTGTTTATCACCACGCGTTGCTAGTAGAAGATTTGCTATATCTTTAATATGCGAAGGCCTAGGGGAAGCTCCACGCGTATCTAGTGATAGGACCTACTGGCAAAGCGAATCTTCTTCTTCTTCTATAAGCTTATTCAAAGATGATCGTTTTTCCTGCTGATTTGGCACGCCATTGATTCGTGTCTGTAGTGTAGAGCGGGGCACATTGAAAACCGCTGCTGCTTTGCGTATAGATAGGGTTTTATCCTTTTGAATAGCGGCAATTGCTAATAGGATCCTACCCTCCCTATCTGGTGATTTTGAGCGTTTTTCAGAACGTTTTGGTGGCATGGTGGATAGTGGAAGATAGTAGGTGGAAGATAGAAGACGCGTTTTGGATGGGGTGGCCAGCTCGCTAGTGTGGCCAGCTCGCTAGTGAATTACGTTAACTAGTGGCACATCATGATGTATTCAGTATATCAACTCATGACTGAGAATTAACCATTCGCATTCAAGCAGGAAATTTATAGGACCTAGGTCTGAGAAGATAAATTTATACAGGAGTCTAGTCTTTTAATCATCATCCACGCACCACAGGCCCATAAAATGACACGGCTCAAGGCATGATCATACCAGGATAATAGCCCTCAAGGCCTCATCTCATCCTAGTTAGCCATTCTCAAAAATAATGTGTCTAACCAACAGTGCCCATCTATACAACGAAGAATCCCAGGACGTTCCATCGCTTCCAGGCCTTGCCGCGCTGTGACAGTTCGCTCGTGGACCGCATGGACATGGCCCAGCCGTCTTGGAATACGGCGATCAAACTTCACATATGCATCATCATAATGGGCACATTTTAGAACATGGGGACGAGGGCGATCCAGAACCAGTAGTCGATCGGGCCACGATCGAGGTTGCGGAAGAAGTTGTGGATGGAGTGAAGGCGACACGAATGCCGACATTGTATGGGTTGAAATAGGCAAAGCACTTGCCTGTGATCAAGTCATATAGAATTTAGGCGAGTTCCAGGGTAGGGCTGGCTTCGTGCTTGACGGCATCCCTGAAGAACAGAGGGTTTTTGAGGAGGGAAACAATGGGCCACTGGAAGGCATGATTGGGCGAGGAAATGAGTGAATATCAGAGAAGAACCGGTACTTCACTAGATGAAAATTATGGAATGAATCATGGAAGATCAATAATTGAACCTTGAAGAGATTCAGTTCGAATATGGGATTTTTCTCTTTGTTATAGATGATAGTGTTGAGAGGAAAGATACCGTTAATACGGCGAGGTTCCACATATTCCGCCATGCGTCCTGATATTACGGGAATAGTCAATTTCCTGGTTGTTTTATATGGTATCCCTGATATACTGGGGAATCAGCGCCATAAAAGGCTAGTCAACGAGGCGTGGGATATGTAACCCTCCCTGCCAGCAAGAACAGATAATTAAACATCTGAGCATTGAGCATCACGTTCCATTGAATCCCAAATTTACAAGCCTGGGCATGTTTTCGCTATATTGAAAGATAAGATTAAAGATAAATAATGACGGTTATCACTTCATGTGTACGTTTCGGATCTGAACCAACCTCGAATGTTATCATTTATCTCAGCTGTTCCGTAACAATTATTTCTATAAAAGGGGTTTCGAGCCTATACTCTATTATTTTTATAATATATACTCTAGAGAATAAATATGGCTAATAAGAAGCCTAGCCAGAGAATATTTGATCTTAGATTTGCAATATTTTCAATCAGCTAGCTAAGGTCTTTGAAGTTCTTAGTGATATAAGTATCTATAATCTCCCTTAGGGCCGTACTCTTCATCCTATATATTAATTTATTTTGCTATTGGAATTAGAATTGTTGCGCTAATAATTCAATGGAAATTATATAATATGTACAACCGTTCTCATGCTAAATACAAGTGTCGCCCAAACCATCGCTTGCTTCAATTTTGAATCCCGACTGCCGTTCACAACTAACAGCTAATACTTAACCACCACACACAGCCAACAACTATTACCCAAACACAGGAGTGCCTGGCCATTTATAGTCAAAGCAAAGATATACCAGTATCACATCATTATATTAGTTGAATACAATATTTTCAAGACCTGAATCTACAACCCCTAGTAGTGTCTATAAAGTCCAATAAAACACGATAAGCACAGAGAAATGAATAAAGTTAACCGAAACAGGTTCTTGGTCATATAATATATATGCTACAAGAAGAAAAAAAGAAAAGAGAAACTTTTGATAATCAGGCAACAGAAAGACGCTTGAACGCTTCTCAGAAATGCAACATAAGCGCTAACCGGTACGTGTTGGGAATCATTGCCAATATGACATGGAGCGCAAAGGTGGAGGATAACACTCGGCATGGAAGTAGCCAGTTCAACTAGCAAAGTTTTCAATCCAACTTGCCCGCGATGATGCTACTGCATCGAGAAACGTTGGCACTCGTAGGGGGAGAAACGCCACGGCGCAAAGTCTCACCATCCTCTTCAAGCCACCACTTGGGGTAAGGTCCGGGGATGAAGCGACCTTGAGAATCCCAGCCAGCGACCCAATGGACGCCGTCGTCGAGGAGGAAGAAGCGCAGCTGCTCAGGCTGGGCGCCTTTGTGCAGCGAAGCCGAGAACCAGCGGCAGCGCTCTTCAAGTTCGGACTCGAACATGTAGCGGTGGAGGATGCGACAGTAGACCAGAGCGGCAGGGACTTTTTCCTCATGGTCGCATCCGTCACGCTGGACGAGATGCCAGCCACGACTCGGGAAGAACTTGTAAGTTCCCGGGACAGGAGTCTCCCAGTGTTGCTCGCGATTGACGGCGCCGTCAATGCGCTCGCCTCGGGAAAACCAGTAGGTCGGGCAGCAGAGGGTGCGTATGCACAGGAAGAGGTTGGGGGCCATAATGGATAAGATAGAGTTGACGATATTATGTGCAAGGGACAAGTGAGGTCTGCTGGGGTCTTGGTCTTATCTGAAGGCCAGGAAGAAACAGGGTGATCGATGGATAGTAGGAATCAGGAGCGGGTATTATAAACAGCGCTGAAATGCAGAAAAGTCGACGGGACGGGACCGGGCTATAAGTGGACGTCCATGGTGATGAGGTTTTGAGATCAATCAGTCGAGATCGAGGGTTCGAAAAAGAAAGGAGAATGGATTCCTTCGGCTTTCACAGAAGCTCGGTGAAGGTTCCAAGGCCACCTAAGGGGGGGATGAGCGGTTCTCTTATCACAAAGGAATGAGTGAGAAGACGACTGCAGCAGGCACGGGCTGGGATTAGAGACCAGGAGTGGCTGAGAATATCCAATGGCACCAGGATTCAGAAGAGGTCGCGTTATCGTTGCGGTGAAGAGCCAGTTCAACTTCCCCGGGTTGTGAAACACTGCTTTTCGGGTCGGGAAGGGCCGTGATAAGCTTGCAGCTAGCCTCGGGTGGCAGGAATAGCTTTGACCCTGGGATGCAAAGCTGGGGAGAGTAAGAACAAGTCCGGTCCAAGGTGAATTAGGATCTGGACGGTGGACTGGAACGATTGGGGGGTCAGAGTCGGGCTGCTCAGGAATCGGCAACACGCAGACACAGTCGCGTCAGAGAGCCGGTGTTATTGCTCAGCGCGGGCGCATGCTAGAGGGAAAGCATTTGACTGGAGGAATAGTGCCATGGCGATTTGCATTGACCGCGGAGGGAGGATATTATAGGGAAGGGTGGAGAGGTGGGAATGAAAACCGGGAATAAGTAAGCGCACGCAGCCTCGCTGGAGAAGGATGGGGCGGTCTGGAAAGGTCTCCTCGCCACGGACCCATCAGCCTTTCCCGCATGGAGTTATAATGTGAAGAAATAATCATGATTGGAATAAAATTTATAACAGATCTCTTTGGCTGTTGGCGCTATAGCTCTTCTAGACTCCGCTCTTTGGGTCGAAGCACAGGTGTGATCGCTGATATTTTCTCCTGGTGGAGTCTTCTTCCCGAGCCTTGGCGCGCCAATCCCCTGGTTCGCGGCATTTTTTCTTCTGTATAGAGTTTAGGCTGCGAGGTTTTTTTGAAAGATGAGGTAGGGGGCGATTGAGGGTTTCGGCCAGGTTGAAGTGGTCTTCCATCGCCCCCTTTGGGGGTTCGCTAGCGATCTGGCTGTCCAGACCTGCCCTCGAGGCCATAGCGAAGTATAAAGATCATCGGTCTCGCCGTTTCACAAACCTGCACACCGGGCGCTTGGCATCTGCACCCTATGAAACTCTCGGCAAGCCGCATCTGTGTTCTCCGGTCTCAAAGGACATGAAGACTAGTGGCGCGGCGCTCGTGGTTTTTTTCAGCCTTATGTGCAGGCTGTTAAGGACCGGGGTTCCAAACACAGCCCTCCCAGCCGTCTGACACATCCTATCTAATTTGACTTTCGGCAGCGTCGAGCCTCTCCCGGGCTGCTCTATTGGGATCGTGCTCGCCATCGCCTAATTATTATTAGCCATCATTCAGCTCCTTGGCATACGGGCAGGATCGGAATACTTCGTCGGTTCAGACGCCTCCCTTTCTGGAAACCTGATTGCGTCGTAGAATATATTTTTTGAATGAAAACGTATGCGCTTGAATGAACTTGTTGACCGCAGTATCTTTCTCTACCAAGTTTTACAATACTACACTCGAAGCAGCTGCGAAAGAACAGAGCTGCGAAAGAAAACACAGAACCACTAAACATCGTTTCCGTCTTCTCGAGTTCGATGATTGGTGAAACCAAAGCTGTAAGACTTCAGTAGGTAATCACGGGTAATGGTCGGCCTATTCAAAGGCTTCATTTGCAGAGGGCATGAATAGGAAACTAGCGTCCAAGCCTCTCGTTATTTAACGCACGATCGTTCTCGGCATTGGATTGCTAATTGAACATCACTGCTAAACCATGGAATCCTTGGCAGGATACATACCTTAAGGAGGACCGGATAAGTATAATTGAATTACAGGGTCCTGTCGATGGTAATCCATTTCTTCCCTCTTGCAGGTCAAGTATGGCCAACAGTGGGAGTATACCATTCTCGGGCGAAGAGAGTACCCCCAGGAACTACCAAATGGCCCTCAACCGCGCCATGAATGAGGGGGGTTATCAGTATTTCCAAGGCCTAAGAATATAGAGAGCATAGCAAATATTAACTTACACTAAAGCGGATAGTTTCTTGCTAGCAAGAAGTTTGACCCCATAGGATAATCGATCCGCGGCAATAGACCATCTCCGACCGATAAAAAGTTGGCGCTGTAACTTTTCGTGATTGCGTTGCCTAACCTCCTCGCTTAGAATTTTCCATTCTTCTCCATACAGTCGATGAAGAATGACATCACAAAGGTCTCTATTGGTAAGGGATACCACATCTTTACCGAGCTTACTTTGTCTATATTGGGAGTATAGATGGAAGTACGCCATTTCCAAAGGGAATTGATCCAATCGTCTCATTTTTAAGCATGCCAAGGCGATTAGGAGCCGCAAAAACTCGATCGAATGCCGAATTATGTTCATCTTCTTCTATGCAGTTGTCTCGCCAGCGAAGATATTGATCTCGGATTAACGTAATTTGATCGTTCCGGAAAAGATCACTCCTCTGTAAATACAAAACTTCTGCTCACCAGAGTTCAAGAACTATATGCTTCGGTATTGGGCTTGGGTTTGTGAACCATGCTCAAAGCTACTGGTACTTCAAAGGCTCTAGAGGCATTTTCTTGATGACCGAGTATATTGCCTGACTCTTCGACTGATGAGGGTGTACTGTGATCTCGAGAAAGGCTTTGAAGAACAGTATAGAGAGAAGGATCCGTATTATGGCGGATTTCGGAGTTTTTTTGATAGCATTTCACCTTGATAGAGTCTCTTCGATGGCTAATGAAAACACGCCGGTACCAAGAGGCTTTCATGGCATTTTGTCGACTACGTAACACCGAGCTCATTGCTGCCAGGGATCTTGTAAGCACTTGTTCAAAATACTGAAACCCTATCTTAAGTGTAGTGTTGATCTTTTCTAGTTTTACGCACATTGTCAGGTTATGACCGAGAGAGATGCCTTTTCAGGTAAATCCCTTTCACTTCGTATCTGGGAACTTTTCACGGTCCCACGTCTTCGTCGTGTAACGATTTCGAGTTCTATAATTGTCATATCGCAACAGTTCTCAAGTATCAGTGCAATGAGTTTCTATTCGTCAACAATATTTTCAGAGGCTGGTTATTCTCCACGAGACTGCTTGCTTGCGTCTCTAGGTTTTGGTCTGACGATGTTCATATTTGCATTTCCCGCAGTCTGGACGATGCACATATTTGGACGTCGCAACCTCCTACTGTTCACTTTTGTTAACATGGCTTGGTGTCTCCTGGTAGCAGGTTGTTGCTTTTTGATCCCATCAGACTCCACTGCTTGGATCCCACTTGTTGCCTTCTTCGTATATCTATTTTCGGCCCTCTATGGACCAGGTGTGTCGGATGTTATCGCAATGAAACTTGATGTACTAGCTAACTCATGCAGGAATTAGGCCCATTCCATCGATCTTAAGTGAAGCCTTCCCGCTTTTACATCGTGAGCTCGGTGCTTCATTTACGATTTGCGTCAATAATGCCGTCGGCAGCGCCCTTAGCCTATGTTTCCCGTCACTGTTAACCACGATCACACCAACGGGAGGTGAGCTTCGACCCATAATCAACTCGCTTGAATATTTCTTAACTGATTGAATCACTAGCATTTGGATACTATGGCGCATTGACCATACTCGCTTTCATCACTATTTTTCTGGTGGTTCCTGAGACAATGTAAGGGTCTCCCAGTTTTTGGGATTCAAACCACGGATATTTAATACCATCTACAGGTAATGGACCCTCGAAGAGCTCGACTACATTTTTGGGATACCAATCTATCGACACGCTCAATACCAATTCAGAACGTGGTTGCCATGCTTTGTTCGGCGTTATATTTTTCTTCGGCGGTCTGCCAAGTTGGAGCCACTGTATCGGCTGGAGGGCCTTTAGCTGAGCTCTATACTGTGGTGCTATAACAGGCAAAGCTGGTATTCAAAATCTCACGTTGCAGTGTTCAATCCTAGTAGCGGTGACAGTATATCCTCAACAAACCAATCCACATTACTAATCATTGGCTGAAGCAATGCACTTTGACTCATGAACCAAAGCCTGCCATTCTGTGGATCCTGCGGCAAAAAGACATTTTGCCGAGCGATTCGATCTCAGCGCCTCCAATTTGTAACGCCATTTGCTCATAAATAGCCACCGCTCAGAAGTTAATTTGGGATTTGGGTGAAAATAGAAATAAAGTCTTTGGTCTCAGACACTATTCCAATCGAATTTCATTCATTCATTCATTCATTGCTTTTGCGACATGTCACTCACTTACACAACACTTCCGCTTCAAGTGCAGGGTGTCAACCTCGAGCTGTCTACTATCTACAGTCTGAACTCGAAGCCGCCCATTCTCTTTCTTCATGGTTTTGGGTCCTGTAAGGAGGATCTAGCAGATTTGGTGATCCACCCAGCCCTCCAAGACTATGGATTTATTGCGTTCGACGCCCCTGGCTGTGGCCATTCCACAAGCGATAAGCTCGACGCCACCGACATCCCGTTCCTGGTCGCCACCACGGAAGCCGTTCTGGCCCACTTCAAAATCACACAGTTCCATCTCATGGGTCATTCTATGGGAGGTCTGACTGCTCTTCAGTTGGCCCACCGTCATCCAGAACAGGTGCTCAGCTTTGTAGATATCAAGGGCAACCTCGCCCCGGAAGATTGTTTCCTAAGTCGGCAGATCTTCACCTTCTCCTCGGAGGACCCCGAGGCATTTCTGGACGAGTTTATTGATCGGACACGCAAATCTAAATCTTTGGCTAGTCCCTTATATGCGAGTACTCTCCGCGCACGGGTCTGCGCCGGCGCCGTGCGAGCCATTTTTGAGTCCATGGTGCAGATGTCAGATGATGAGGATCTGCTGGGTATGTTCATCGGACTGCCCTTTCCGAAGATGTTCATGTTCGGAGAGGAGAACCGTGAGCTGTCATATCTTGGACGGCTGAAGAAGGAGGGAGTGGAGTTGGCGCTGATTCCTGAGAGCGGGCATTTCCCAATGTACTCGAATCCCGTGGAGATGTATCGTCGGATTGCGGTCTTTTTACACAACTTGAGATAGATAACATAGAAAAAATAGGGATCATAGACACAATGCACATAGCTGCAACCAATGTTACCAATATGCTCACGCGCTTCATGTTATTTGTTACTAGATCTGATGATGAATCTGCTTCAGTGAACAAAGAGCCCCCTGGTAGGCAGATAGCCATATGCATGTTATGATCTCAAGGCTAGACCGAGATCTATACCTTTGTGGAGAGTCCCAAAATCTCCATTTCCACCATGATCCCCAGATGATCTGTCACCCATGGCTTCTCGAACCCGAGCTCGACAATCTCCTTAGATTCCTCTTCTTCTTCCACCAGGATATCTTCTCCGAATCTCTCAAATTTTGTCGGCCTGAAAGATCCGCAATAAAATACCTTGTCCATCCGTGAACAGCCAAACTGCTGCCGTAACTTTGTGGCCGCCTGCTGGCCCCACGTATAACCCTCTTCGGTGTCCTCTTTCCCGCCCAGCTGCAGGAAAACATCCTTCAGGCCATTACTTCCATCCACATGCAACGTCCGATCCGCTGGTTGGATCGCGTTAAAATCCCCAGCAACGAGCGCGGCATGCACGGACTCATCGTGGAGATAACCTGCGATAAGCTGCATCTGGAACGGCCGGAAGGGGGGTTCAAAGGCCATGGACTCGAGGTGGGTATTGCATACGCGGACCTTCTTGCGGTCGGACCCGACCGATAGATCCATGAAGAGTGCATCGCGATCCATGCGTGTCTTGGAGTAGTGTACACGAAAGGTGGCCGTGATAGGAAGACGAGAGTCAACGAGGATCACGGTACCATAGTGGGTCGTAGCCCAGTTCGTGTGATCGAGATCGCTGATATGAAATCGCTCTCTGACCCACGGAGTAGTGGCAATGGTGACCAAGTCAAACGGTCGGCACTCCTGGAGGAATATTACGAGACCTGTGTCCGACGAGAGATATTTTGAGCTCACAAGGGACTCGAGGTGAGCCAGGGCAGCCTTCATGCGAGACTCAGCGAAAGGCAGCATAAAGTCGATATTCCAGCTGTAGACAGCAATTTTCGTAAGCCATGTTTTATTCTCAGCCGGGCAGTATTCTTGGCCAGATGGTGACTTTCGTATCCAAGAAGATGTGGTTGCATCAAAGGCATAGTAAGACTGCGGATGGGGCTGATCAGGCTCCCATGATACCGAGGTCTTTCTCAAGACTGTAGTGTCTTGAATGGCCTGAGCAATGAGAGCGTCCATGTTATTAAAGTATCGCTTGAGTTAATTGAATAGAAACATCAGTATGCTAGTAATCTGAAGATATGGACTGAGGAAGTCTGGAACAGAACAAAGTTGAAGCTTCGGTCAAACTCGGATGTCGACGTTGTCAACCCCGCCCATTGGAGGCTGGGATTGACACGTCTGCGCCGGTCTCGAATAACTGCAAGCCTAGGACCAACACCCAGCGCGATGGGATAGGAGGCAAGATTTCATTGATTTATTAATCCCCAAATTCTTCCATTATCTATATTTGCCATATGGGTTTAAATATGGTATCCACTATCCAGATACACCAAAGCTGGCAAAATGCTTACTCTAGAATGCAACGAAAGAAGCATAGTGTGTGTAATTACTATCTCTCTATCTGTAGAACTTATAACTATATAATTTGTATCTGTACCAGGGTCAAATAGGGTGAAGTTGCCTGGACTCTTTTTATTTCATAGCGCATTTATAGTGGGCTGTATTTTTTCCTCGAAAGTTTAAATTTTTCTCACCTAATATCGACCAAACATCACCAAAGTTGAGTCAAATATTGTAGAATAGTGTTGTTTCTTTATTCTATGAAAGCATAGTTTCAGCATGGAGTAATTATTAGTTCAGTCACGAATAATCATCGATCGGTGCACGGAGTTAACAATAAGCCACTCCCATTTCATCCGAGAAGTCATCTCTTCTTGACTTTCTCTCTATCAAATCATCATGATCTTGGATCAACCCTCCCATTTGTTACCTAGAAAGACATTCAACTGCTTTCCGAGGTGAGACTTGCCTCCCTTTTCATTGAAATGACTTCTCATGCGCGGGAAGCTTGTTATCATCTATTTTGACTTCAATTTGGAGTGTGTTGGGAGATTTCTTTGACCCTGGTGCAATTTTCACCTGCTTCTTCCAATCGATTGGCTGCTTCGCGTGCGTTTTGGAGTGCCTCAACCGATGCAAGATACTGTGGGTTTTCATTCCCATAAGTTTGCTGTGGAATTTCAACATGTTGAAGAGGTTTAATTGCTTCCTCGATTCTTTGAAAGCGCGTTTGCAAGGTCCCATTGTGATCGAATACATTCTGGGTGCTGTTCATCATGATAACGGGTTCTTACCATAGCGACTTGTTGCAAGATTCCAATAGCTTTTTCTAGGTTGCCACTCTGCAGGAACTCACAAGCTATTTCATGTTGCATTTGTAGTCACGGAAATGGTGTTATCAGTTGCGCTTTTTGATCAATCCAAGGCGTGTCGCAGGCTCTTCTCCGCCATCTGTCCATTCCGTATCTATACATGTACAAGCTCTGTGCACAGGATGAAAAGAGTATAGTGTTTGCTTCCAACTTTATTCATATGTATCTTGAGAGCCGGTCGTAGGAGATTAATTGCCTTCGATGGCTGAGCATTTTGAAGGTAGGTTTTCGCAAGGATAACCAGAGATGACATGTCTGTGTGACGCTGCTTATCAAATTCAGTCTTCTTTGTTGAAGTTGTGTCGAGTAGAAGTCAGATAGCATGTTTGCTTTGGCCATTATTCAAGTAGGCTTTTGCGAAATCATTTTGTGATTCAATATAGACTTTATGTCGCGGATAGGGCATCTTCTTGCTAGCATGGTGGGTGTCAGATAACGCGTAGAAACGTGGTTCTCGGTTGGGTGGACCACTCGCTAGTGAATTACGTTAACGTATTTCACTATCCCGTGACGCACACTAGCCAGCTGTTAGGGAATAACTACTTGTACAGGTTTCAACACCTTCCCACATAACCAAGGCAAAGGCGATGGATCACATTACAACATACGGTCTGACGTGGCCCATATGTAACAGAGGTAAGCAAAGGCTACAGGGGAGAGGGGTTCACGAATCCCTAATAGAAGGGCACCGAACCCTTAGGGCCTTGTGGGTTATACATAAATTGAGGATTATGGAGAGATCCATGATAGCAAGAAACAGTGTTTTGCTTTCCTTAATTGACGTTTATCTTCCTACCTAGTCGACAGGCTTTCTACCCTGTACAAGTAGTTATTCCCTAACAGATTCTATAAAGATCCCGTTGCCTTTAAAGATAAACTCGGGTTCTAACTGCTACCCGTCGGCAGCTATATACTCGATAGACGTAATATTTTCGCCTTAGTCTAGCTAAGGAAGGTCTACTATCTTTCTACTAGTAGTAGTAGTAGTAGTAGTAGATATAACGTTTCTAGACCTTCCTTCGCCTAGTTGAAAGCCGTATTTATTAAAGTTATAGACTAGACGTGTAGGTGTAGTCTTCTTGATAGTTTAGGCTAGTAGATCGTACTAATGCTGTAATGCTGCTAGATCCTCTGCTAGAATTCGCTTTGGCTCCTTCGTATACTGCTTAGTAGGCCCTAATTGAAGATGTTTAGGAAGCCTATTAATAAAGCGATACGCCTACATCTTGCTAACCGACGGCTTCCCGACGCGTTAGCATACACGATTCGCCTACGCTTCTAGTATCCTAGGAGTGATAGGCATATAGCAATCGTTTATATATTGAATCCAGCGAATCAAAGCCTCTTCTTGATAGGCTTCTAGAGCGTTCCTAGCACTGTGTTTAGCAGTATTAGATACTGTTTTCTTTTTAACACGGTCGTGTAGTGTACGCCTAGGAACACCAAATTCACGTGCTAAACGCGCGATATTTAGCTTCGCAACGCGTGATACTGCTAGGCAGTCCTCTGCCATACGAGATTCATCAAATTTAGGCATATTAGATGGTATTGTTGGATAGGGAGGCAAAAAATAGGGTAGTAGAAAAAAATGGCAGCCTCATGTGGTTGGCGCACCCACAACCCGGAGGGGTTGGGGGCGGTGTAAGGCACTAATAGTGAAACACGTTACGTTAGATCGTGCTTATTAAGATTCTTACTCAGCCCGGTGTTGGGGAACCCGAGTCATCTCTAATCTCAGGCTGACTCCTCACTCAAAACTAACCCTGTCTTTCTCCTTTTCAATGGTTCTTTCTTCTTAAATTTTAACTGCTGGTCTTCTAAATATCAACTATCAAGCATCACGAACCTTAAATACCTTCTTATGTTGCGCAGTCTAAGTCGCCCCTTTTCCTTGCCACGGGTTAAAAGGAGTCCTCCGGCACGCCGAATACATCAAATCACCACGAATTTCGTTACCCGCGATAAAGAAGGCAATTTGACCACCGATAGGGTCCCTGTGTTTATCGGGAAGAACCCCACAGATGCCTTCGTGAATATTGAGACTACTGTTGGACAATCGTTCCGTGATAGTAGACCGAATACCTCAGAATATTTCGAGACTCAAGAGCGATGTAAAATATTATTTTACCACGCCACACAACACTTTGGTTTTGGTGAAATACCCTTACTCCTATATTACTTATATAGATTTTGCTGACATTTATAAATCAGAACCAGCGAGCTACCCTCGACTATATCTTCCAAGTCAACTTCCTCGCCAATCAGACTCGAATATTAGTCCCGCAACTCTTTGGCTATATGGGGCAACACATCAGATTACCCTGGATGGAACACCCGACGGTCAGAGCTAGTATCTTACTTCTACGATTTTGAAACTAATATCTACATAGCTGAATTCGCCGAGAGAACCGGGGTTTCTTTGAAAAGACTAAAGCCGATCCTTGATAGCCTAGCGCATATGTAACCAAGTCAGGTTATATGTGAAAAAACGAATGTTATATTCTCCTCTCTACTCACAACCTGAAAGATTGAATGTCAAGTCTATTTCCTAGTATCGCCTTTGTTTCGGGCTGCGAAGAAACACAATGCACTTGTCTACCTTCCACGGCTATATAAACATATATATCCATCAATGAAAAGAAGAATTCCAAGAGACAATCCGATCCTTGACAGCGCCGCTTTTTGATCTCAACGTGAACAATATCAAGGTGCTATGATCCACATACTTTCCAAGTCTCGAAAGAAGCTAGTATATTGCTAGCGATCTGTTCACATCTTTTGCGCTTGCGCTCTGTAAACGGCAGACAGCTTATCGGCATTGATTTTATTGGTAACAAGATTAAGGTGAGCGGCCTTAATGGCCTGATTATTCTTGTCCATGAACTGATAGCCATTGAGATTCAGGAATGCATCAGCTGCGAGCAAAGCGGTACGCTTGTTCGCATCTGCGAATGGGTGATTCAGCATCAAGCTAGAGGACAGAGATGCTGCCAGCTTGAAAATGTCCTTTTCGCCCCCGAAGTGATTCTTGTTCCCCGGTGCGTTGACCGAAGATTCAAGCATAGCTATCTGGGTAGCCTTACCCCCGGGGATAAGCGTTTGGTGAAGCTTGACAACCTCAACGACGGTCAAGAATCTAATTGGAGCAGCGGCCATTTTGAATTTGTAGAAGGATAGAAGAGATTTTATGGAAGTTCAGTATAGCAGGAAACTGTGAATGACGATATCTGATGATTGAATATCTAATTCTTCCTGAAATACACTCCTTATATAGATACCGGGTCTCTAAAAAAAGAAAACAACGTCAGCGCTTCAGACTATAATTTATTCACTTATGATTCCTATCGTGGCAGTTACTGCTTCCTCTTATAAGAGTTGTAAACGAACGATCGTTGAAGCCGACCTTACTACCAACTAGAATACCACTAGACCAAAAGTCCAAAATAGAGAGCAGGCAGATGGACTGAGTGATTGGTAGGCCGCGAGAATTCAATGCTATGCTACCAACATATCAGTTATGCGGGTCTTATCGACTTCAGAACTTCAAGTTGGGTGCTAAGGGGACGATAATCACACCATCGTCTCAATCAAGGTGTGTCCTCCCTTGCCTACTAAGTAGCATCTCCCACTTGAAAATCTATTATTTGACCACCATCAGTACGGAGCCAAAGAGCTACTGGCATGAGTCACAAGTAAACGTTGACTTGGGCATGAGGCTGAAAGGATTCTATGTGACTATGGATCATCCACGACCGAAGCGCCCGCCGAATCAAACCCACATAGCGCCTCTCCACTACAACAGACAGGCGCTCGCACGGTTGGAACATGGTAAAAACTGATTGGTCAAGAAGAAGTAAAATTCGCGTAGTGTAGCGCCTCTGATATTAGCGCCTGGGGCGGGATCACATTTTTTAAAACTGATCTAGTGTGACGTATACAGCCACATTGTCAGGACTTTGACCCCCTTCACAGCATCATGAATTTGTGACATAATTTCAGTCTAGACGCCGACAATCATTGACATTTTCGCCTATTTATGGATTCCTGATGGTGGTGCCATGTCCTCACAGTTTACCATATGACCAACAAATATGACGTTGCATCTGGCTTGAAGGCGGTTAACTGCTCAAGTTGGTATTGTGATTTATCCAGGTCTTAGTTTGAGACTGCCTACGAATTCAACGAAGCGAATTTCATCCCTTAGTCTTATCATTTTTTTCCTCTCCTTCCCTCTCCTTCCCCATATCACCTTCCTCAACCCCACAGACCAAAAAAAACCGAAACGACAGCACCTCAAGAAATGAAACCTAGTCACGATTTCATGTACATCACAATGCTCTCATAATATAGATGTGGCATTTGTAAATACCCCCTACCTATTTCTCAGGCTCGGCTTTGGGCTTTTCCTCCTCTTTGATGTCACCTCGGCCTCATCCGCAGGTTTCTTTGTGTCCTCCCATCGGCTCCTCTTCCTCGTCTGCGAGTCATTCGCTGTAGTACCGCCGCAGGAACGTCTCGAATTTGGCATACTCCACCTTCACGTCCTTGAGGGTCTTGGCAATGTTCATGAGACAAGTCTCCTCGGACAACTTGCCACTACCGTTCTCATCCGGGCCGTTGCCGAAGTGCCGAATCTTTTTGCATCCATCCCGGCCGTGGTCGAGGCCCGGGGTTGCTGATGAGCCCTTCGGGAAGTGTTCTAGGTGAGAAAGATCCTTCAGATCCTTTTTATCACTGCGGGTGGAGGGGGTTAGACTCTCTTTTGTGGAGGCTGTTGTATTTCTGATTCACTCATTCGAGATGAGATGTCCTGGGAGCTAGGATGACACTTTGCCTGAAGTATAGCTAGGCTTTTTTTGCTCCGATTCACGAGTAAAATGGTCCAATAGCAGTTACAAGACCACAAAAGAGAAAAGTTTGCAATAGTACAGATCCGAGCTGTGGCTACGGTCTCCTACTCGGCGTCATCCCCAAAGCTGTTAACGGAATTAGACGGAGTTACGGGCAACGGATTTAAAGGCGGCGATGCGATGCTAGTGATATCCTGCTGAGAATGGTTGTTGATAGCAGTGAAAATGTCAGGATACTCGAGTCCAACCACCTTCTCTCGTGCATCCAACGCCAATCACTGCATCACTTCTGCCTCTTCGTGCATTCCTCGAAGCCGTAGATACCATCTGTGATTGAAGCAAATCGTAGCCACATGCAGTCAATCTTCTTCATGCTCGTCAGATATCGACTTCATTACCTTTCTCACATGCGGAAGCAGCCTTTGAAGCTCACTCCATCTCTCGTAATGTTCAATGGGAAACATTTAGGCCATTATGACCAATGGCTACCACAATATCGTTGAGGCGCGGAAGGAATGCGACATGACGTTCATGAAACAAGACCCCACGCGGAAAAAAGGTGGAAATCCAGGGATAAGCTGCTTCAAAATCGGTAGAGAAGCGTAAGGCTGAGCAGAATGTTCAAGTATGATATATGAGCGGTTATTGTTTAATTTTAGATTCATAGACTCGCTCGGCACGTTAGGATTTTCTGAGTTTCTGCTGTATCAATTGTACGCAAGTCAACCTCACAGCCTCGATTTCCAATGAGAGATATTCGAGCGCCTTATTATCAGCAACTTTGCTATTGGCTCGGCACTTTGACTGGACTTGTTATCGGTATCAGTTTGCTGATCATGATATTTCCCGGCCTATTTAAAGTGATGAGGGAATGGAAGCTTGCGATAGGCCATCGGTCACTTTGGGAAAAGAGTCCACAACAAAGAGCAGAAGGCCATGTGTCACAAGAAAATAGTGGATTACATGACATTGCTGTATTTTAGATTTATTGGTACAGTTTTTGAGTTACTTTTGAATTGCGACTTGAATGAGGCCCTGTTTAACGCGGCTTCCTCTGGTTACAGACTTGGCCTATACCATCAAATCTTGAGACCAGAAGCATTGAATCTCCATACGGAATTTCACCACCCGGTTGAATCTATATCTGAAGAGTACTGAACCTACCTAGGTCGTGATAATTGATGTCTGTTGATCTATCTGCCAGGCTCAAACAATCGCTGCGTGTTTAACAATCAGAGTTGGTTCCTGCAAGTCTGTCGACAATAGTGATCTTGTATCCATAATTTGCCCAAAAATAGCGGCTTTAACCGTTGAACACCAAGAGAAAATTTTAATACTGTCCGTTAACCAAAATTTCAGAACCCTAAGCAAAATTTTCATAGGGTGATTACGATGGGAAATACCATTCTTGACCATTCATCGCGTTTAGGCTACCTAGGCTGCCGTAGGATCCTCAATACCCGCGGGTATCCTCATATCCTCGCCTGAAATTAATAAGGATATCTATAAGTTTTTAAATAGGATAAACCTACTAAGCCTTATAACTCTTCGAGTTATATATTATTTATATTATTATTTTAGTAGTTTCTAGATACTCCCTCTATAATTCTTATCTTCTCTAGGCTAATAGGAAGTAAATACTTTATTTAGTTTTAGGAATAAATAGTAAATTAGCCATAGTGTTCTTAATTCAACTACATAGTTTTAAATTCAAGCTTTATTTTATATAATAATGTCATATGATATTGCAACATGAGGCTATTCCCAACTACACGCCTCAGGTGTCAGTTAGACACCTTATCGGTCAGGCTCCGTCATGACAGCCCCACTTCTCCCCAACATGGATGCATGACCTACAAGGCCCTGAGGGTTCGGTGCCCTTCCATTAGGGATTCATGAACCCCTCTTCCCTGTAGCCTTTGCTTACCTCTGTTACATATAGGCCACGTCAGACCGCATGTTGTAATGTGATCCATCGCCTTTGCCTTGGTTATGTGGGAAGGTGTTGAAACCTGTACATAAATTGAGGATTATGGAGAGATCCATGATAGCAAGAAACAGTGTTTTGCTTTCCTTACTTGACGTTTATCTTCCTACCTAGTCGACAGGCTTTCTACCCTGTACAAGTAGTTATTCTCTAACAAATAATCTATTATAAATATATCTAAAACCCTATAGGTAATTTTGACTATTTTGAAATCTAATCTAATTATAGCAATAAACTTATTCTATCTAGATTTCCAAGCACACCGCCATTTAAAACCACGTAATATGACTGGTACCGGCATATTGCAGGTGTTTACCTCCCCCAATCCAAAGAGATTATAAGATTCCATGAGATTTGACTCCGTAATTATTAAGCAACAACATTCATAACGAATTTGACCATCGCGTCTCTTCCATCAGCCTTCATTAATGCCTCTGTATGCATAGCGCCAAGTACATGTTTTCTAGAAACTTGCAGATTGAGCTCCTTGCATCTTAATTCCAATTGACCGGCCACATAGGGCGGGATGACTTCATCATTTTCAGCAGACAGGATGAGTATAGCAGGGATAAATGGCGATTGAGATTGTGGGCTAAGCCGGTGACTTTGCTGGTCTCTCCAGTCAGATAGCTCTTTCAGGGCAGTAGCATTGCACCAGGTATTCCACGAAAATGGCCACAAGTATCGATATGGAAGCCATTTCTGAGGGTATAAGCTGATAAGCATGTCTCTGATATTAGAAGTTGGCGCTTCCATGATCAATCCAGATATTGGTGCGAGATTAGCACTTTTCTCAACACTTCTAATGTGTCGGCAAGAGAGATATGTGGGAAGCGCAGAGCTTGCGACGGCCGATCCGAGGCTGTGCCCCCAAAGAATAATTTGGAGATCAGTGTCCGGCTTTGAGTAAGTTTCGGACACCCATTTCAAGAATGCTTGGGCATCCATCTCAATACCCGATTGAGTTGCACGGCCCGAGGATGTCCAATAGCCACGATACGACAAAGCGAGTATTTTGAAGCTAGTCGCGTCAAGTGATGCCACCGGTTTTGACATTGTCGAAATCGTCCTTAAAACTTGTGATAGAAGTGGTAGACGGAGGGGGTTGACCCCCCATTCCCTTGGAAATAACAAATTACAACCAATCTTTTTTTTGGGTCCGAAGGAAGTGATTTGGTACTATCCCCAACCGGAATACTTCCCTCGCAGACGGTTAATTTGGTGCCATCGAGGCTGCGGATTTTCTTTTCTTCCCATCGAATCGGTCTGCATTCAGCCTCGTATTCAGATATTTTATCTGATCGGGAAAATGGCGGAAGCCAGGAAAGATATAGGAGTTTGTTTTGCAAAACAATGATCCAGAAACATTTCCAGGTCCAGAGGCCGACAAGAAGCCCGAAGAAAATGGCCGGTGGGACCAAGATGGGCGGTATAAACCCAGTCAAGAGTGTACGGGATTTTGGAATGCGATTTAAAGTAGCGATCTTTCCATGTTGACTAACGTCGACTCTTTTTCTTGTGACGCTGTGGAAATAGTGGTGGGAAGCATCCAGGAAAGCAGGGCGGATGGCTCTGATGCCAACTTTGTCGCTACTACAGCGCACAATACGCCGGAGACTTGATCTTCTCAGCATCCAGCATGGGAAATTTGAAGTTCTTCAACGCATTGTGAATAGTCCAAGGGACAGCGATGGAGGAAACGAAGTTGAAAGAATCGGACTTCCCATTGGACGTGGTCGGAGTTCGGGACTCAGTGACAAGCAAGTCACATGATCTGTTCTCAATACGGACTCTAATGATGGAAAATCTATCGTCACTTGGTTAATAGAATTCTAAGGATGAACAAGTTCAATTCTAGCAAATTCCGTTGTATCTGGTCTACTGTAATATCATGATCGAAGAAGGGAGATGTCCATATCCAGAATAGAATGAAAACCCACACGAAAATGCAGAACCCCGTAACGCCTTCTATGTCGCAGTAGCATAAGAAAACTCGATAGGCTTGTTTACTGAGCTGCGCACTGCGCTGGCTCATCCTCGTCTTCATCATCATCCACCCACGCGGAACCACCTTGCGCATCCCGAGCACCAAATTCTTCCATATTACCATTGGGGTCGTACTCGACCTCATCCACGGTGGTTGCAGTAATCGGTGCCTGGGGATTAGGCAGGATCTCTTGAAGATTCTGCAGGATTTCGGGTGTGGGCTTCCAGTTCTCTTCCGGAAACTTTATATCCACAGCAAGGTACAAATCACCTCGTGCGTCGCTGCGCTTGATCGGCATACCCTCACCGGGGACCTTGAGGATTTGGCCCGGGGAAAGGACCTTGCCAGCGGGGTGCTTGATCTCAATTCCACGCCCATCCAAATGCTTAAGAACAACTCGTGAGAAACCAGTTAGGGCCTCAGCTAGGGTGATCTCGATAGCAGCCCGCAAGTCAGAGCCTGCGCGGTCAAAAACCGGGTGCTCCTCCTGAACCAGCTTGAAAACGATATCGCCTGGCTCCTGATCTGGCACCTGGTCTGCCTCGCCTTCGAGAATGATCTTCTCTCCCTCGCTGTGTCTAGCTGTGAGTACAATCATCAGAGCATAGGGTATGGGCGTGGAGCTTACCGTGAGCCAGGAGCAATATAAATTTCCAGCATCTTCTTTTCCTCGTTGGTCCGCTGTCCCTTGCACTTCTTACACTTGTCCTTGGGGCTGAAAAACTGGCCCTGTCCATTGCACACGGAGCAGGAGCGAGTCTGCTTGGTGAGAAACTGTCCCATCTGGGTAATTACCTCCTCGACTCCATGACCATCACAGGTCGAGCACTTCTTGGCCTTCGCCTTCTCCTTGCCACCCTTGCCCTTGCAAAGACTGCAAATAACGTTCTTGGTGCTGGCAAACTTCACGGTTTTGCCCTTGTAAAGATCCTCCAGGCTGACTTCCCAGTCCTGTTCCTCATTTCGACTTCTCCGGGGCCGTCCACCCCCAGGCATACCACCCATGCCTGGCATTCCGCCCATACCAGGCATTCCGCCCATCCCGCCCATCCCGCCGAACATTTGGGCCAGGAGATCATCTATATCAGGCCCACCGCCCATTCCGCCCATTCCAGGTTCGCCGGCGCCATTAAATGCGGACATGCCATGTGTATCATAGATGTGGCGCTTCTGTTCATCAAAGAGAATTTCGTAGGCCTTCTGCACATTTATGAACTTGGCTTCAGCAGCAGGGCGCTCCTCCTCCGGGACTTTATCAGGGTGATTGGCAAGTGCAGCCTATGTTATATATATTCATTAGTATCCGGCATATTGTGGAGCGAGAGGTGCTTAGATTACCTTCTTGTAGGCTGTCTTGATTTCATCTTTGCTTGCGCCTCGGTGGACTTCTAGGACCTCTGTCATGGGAAGGCCTTGTCAGCGTTGTATTCTTTCATTTTGTCGTCACAGCACAATCACATACCGTAGAGGTCGATTTCAACTTCAGCCACTACAGTTCCAGTTAGTAAAACCGGGGGCGATGGAAGTTTCGGCCACCACCGACAGGGAAGAGAACATACTGAGTGCGGGTCTTGTCTAGATGGGAATAATGTGAAGCAAAAATGTAGGATGCAAAAGACGTCGCAGTGGTCCGCGAGACAAAAACAGTCAAAGGACGACGAAAAGCGCAACACGAGGGGGAAGTGCGATGGTGTTGATGCAACGGAGTTTCGCAGCCGAAATTTTGTCGGAGAGTCGCGCGGAGCTGCCGAACCTCCGCAGAAAAACTGCATCCAACCGGACCACTTTGCAAACATTCCCATCAGGCCCCAATCCAGGCTCCAGGTTTGCCCATTATGAGGAGTTCATACTCAGGGCTCTTTGCCCGGCGATCATGGACCTGTATTCAATGCAGAAAATGCTCCTCCTCGGCGGGCGCAAATGTTCGCAAACAAAAGACCAAGCTCCCCGACGCCCCTGCGCGCACGCGTTTTGCGCCCTCACCGACTGGATACCTCCATCTGGGGTCTCTACGGACGGCATTATTCAACTACCTGCTTGCTAAAAGAACTGGAGGCCAGTTTCTGCTCCGCATTGAAGATACCGATCAGGTGAGTGTGGGGTGATCTGGCAGGTGGGAATGGCTACTGACAGGCACAGAAACGAACGATTCCGGATGCCGAGCAGCGACTCTATGATGATTTGCAATGGGCAGGACTGCAATGGGATGAAGGTAGGATAAATGGGCTATGGATACGCAGAGTTTCCGAATAAGCTAACCCTTCCGCGACAGGCCCTGTTGTTGGCGGGCCATACGGACCTTACAGACAAGTAAGGCATTGCTCCCTTTTCTAATCAAAATCCCACTAACAATCCATCATCACAGTCCGATAGAAATGCTATCTACCGATCCCACGCCGACGACTTGATCTCGAACGGTCATGCTTACCGTTGTTTCTGCTCATCCGACCGTCTCGACTCCTTCGCGCGCCATCGAAGTCAAGCGGGTTTGCCTCCGGGATACGATAGGAAATGCGCTGGGATCTCCTCGGAAGAGTCCGAGGACCGAGCATCGAAGGGCGAGGCCCACGTTGTTCGGCTGAAGGTGGAAGGATACCCCATGTTCAATGATTTGGTTTACGGCAAGACCGGCCAAAATAAGCCCAACAACAGCAAACTGGACTTCATCGACCGAGTCTATGATGATCCAATTTTGGTAAAATCTGATGGGCATCCTACATATCATCTGGCAAATGTGGTGGATGACCATTGTATGAAGATCACCCATGTTATCCGGGGAACAGTAAGTCCTTCTTCATACTCCGATAATTGAAGACCTATTACTAATGTTTAACAGGAATGGATGCCCTCAACACCGATGCATATGGCCTTGTACAATGCGTTCAAGTGGACACCACCACAGTTTGGCCATGTTCCTCTGCTGGTCGACAAGAATGGGCAGAAATTAAGCAAGCGAAACGCCGACATCGACTTGTCATCGTTCAAGGACAAGCAGGGAATTTTCCCTGCCACGCTAGTCAACTTCGCTGCACTTCTGGGCTGGTCTCATTCCCAGAAATCCGATGTGTTCAATTTAGAAGAGCTCGAGCAGATTGTAAGTTCTCCCACTCGCGGCAGACCCAGTCGACTCACTAATGCCATCCTCAGTTCAACCTCAAGATCACTCGTGGCAACACTGTTGTCGCCTTCGAGAAACTCTGGTTCCTCCAGAAAGCCCATGCACAGCGCTTCGCAGCTAATAGTGGCCCACAATTTGATGAGATGGTCAACAGGACTTGCGCTATCGTGAAAGAAACTCACCCAGAAGAGAAACTGTACAACTCACCACCACTACCTATCAAGTAAAATAACCCTCCTTTACTAACATCAACATAGAGTCGCAATTCTCCAAGGCCGCACTCTCTCGGATTATATAACCCCACTCCTGCGCGCAGACGCCAAATCCTATACAACTGCCGAAGAATTTCTTGAGCGCAACTCTACTTTCTTCACTACCCACCTCGACCGCGTCCCATATACATTCACCAATTCCACTTCCCCTGAGCTCCCGACGGTACCTATGCAAGCGCTGCACACCGCAGCCGCCGCATTGACCCTCGTTCCCCCAGCCCACTGGGCCGTTGAGACGCACCGTTTTAACATCACTTCTTATGACGGCTCCGACTCGGTCACTCTTCCCGAGGAAAGGAGTAGTACGCCTATCGCCACTGACAAGGTGTTTAAGAAAGAGCTGTATCACTACCTCCGCTGGGCGCTGTCTGCGTCTGCCCCTGGGCCCGGAATCCCTGAAACGATGGAGATTCTGGGGCGCGAGGAGACACTGCGCCGGATCCAGGATGCGAAGAAACTGACGCAGTCTCTTGTGCCGCAGGTGGGACGACGGGTTCCCAAGACTTCTGCGGAGAAGCAGATGGAGGAGGATCGGAGTTGGATGGGGTCTTTGGCTCCTAGGAAATGACCGGGAAAGAATGCCAAGGACAGATAAAGGCGACAGTGTATGATACTATGGGACGTCCATGTATAAATAGTTGTAGTTGCAGAAGTGCGGAGCATATAAACAACGGCCAGCATATATACTTATTATCTGAAATTCAAATTACCAACGCAGTATTACGCTCCTCTCAAATATTTGGAGAAGTTGAGTTTGAGGAAAATTTCCAGTTCAGAAGATGATATTATCAGCAAATACTACACAACGGAAACACTGTACTGCGCTAGAGCCGAACGCACAGGGGAAAAATTAAACGCAAGATAAAAAAAAAAAAAGAATCCTGACTCCAGAGGCCGTAGGAGATCAGGGGAATAGTAAAGGAACCATGAGCACCGAACCGAGGACAAAAAAACCATAAGACAAAAAGAGATAGAGCAGATAACACCATGCCACCATCAGAAAACAAAGAAAAGAAGAATTGTCAAAAGAAGAGGATAATTAGAAAAAAAAACACGTCCATCGCGATGGAACGCAGTCCGTCTGGAACAAGAATCGAGCAACAGCCAGGACAAAAGAAGCCACCTTGAAAGCGACGGACTTGATAAACATCAACAGATGAAATAGAAGAAAGAATGAACAGGAATGACATGGCGAACTCATAATTTTGAACACAGAAGCGAAAAGAAACAAGTGGGAATCGGCGAGAGGAGGAGAAATTGTGTGCGGGAAAGACACCAGCCCAAAGGCGACTGGATAGGGGAAGGAATCTGAAAAAGCAAAAGCTCAGTCATTAAATGGATCGTCGAAGTCCGTCATGAACCATGAGCCATGAGCCATGCAGAAGTCCAGTCATGGGATCGTCAGTGAAACCAAACGATTGCATAACCACAGCTCAAAATCTGATGCGCCGGGGAAATAGCAGAACAAAGTTCGGGAAACGGAAAGATGCAATAAGCGCCAGGCGCTTAGGGCGGGAGAATATCGTATTGACTTTTAGGAGGAATCAGTAAGACTCAAAATCATCGGTCCACTCCGTGTCACTGCCGGCGACACGGAGGACCTGGCCTGGATGTGGCCCGTCAGGGCTCACGCTGCGAATTCCCTTGGCCTTCTTTCCGTAAAGATCCATATTATCATCTGGCGCGAATCGCTTGCCATGAGCAGCTCGCAATTTGGAGTAGTAGACGTCGCTGGCATCAACCTCAGACTCAGAGGCATCATCGAAAGTCTCCCAGTTCTCTGAACCGGAAGTGGCAGTGTTGACAGTCGAAGAGTTGGAAGCATTGGAGGGTTGACGGAGAGCTGGTGGAGGCGGGGCATGCTGCAAATATGGGTTGGCGCGAGGATACCCTTGCATAGAAGAGTTCAAGGATGACATTGAGGAGTGAGAGGAATGAGAGAATCCCGTCGACCGAGAGTTAGACATGACAGAGGCACTCATAAAAGAGCGCTGACGATCGTCATACACGTCTTCAGGGCTGACAGGCCGGACGAAGGCAGTAGACATGGCGCTATTGCAGCGCGGGATCTCGCGCGGGACATCTAGGGAGTAGCTGCTGCGCTCCTTGGACTCCACGGTCAAGGCACGCATTCTAGGTGGCGGTCCTCGGGGCGGAGGCATCTTGCCATTGATAGTGCTGACCGAGTAGGCACCCGGACCAGTGCGACGATCAGGCGAATTGTTACCGTGCGGCATGTTGCTTAATGGCGCACGAGCAGGAAGTTTCGAAGGGGACTTCGCACCGGCTCTAGATCCAGAATAACCGATGGTGTTAGGCTTCACAGGTCTGCTACCCGTGGGAGTCTTGGTGGCAGAGCGAGGAGGAGGCGGACCTCGCATAGAGCTACCAGGACGAGAGACCGGCTGCTGTCTGATAACGCTGGCCCTGCTAGTGGACGGGGGGGCAGAAGGAGTCTTCGAGCGAGGAGGCGCTTTGTTGACGGCAGGAGTCAAGCTGTCAAGGTATCGGTCACCATGAACCAAGAAAGGTCGACCAAACTCATCTTCCCAGTGCTCGAGTTCCTTACGCAACTCAACTTCGACCTTAGGGAGCTCCTTTGCAATCCTCTTACGCAACTTCTCTTCGCGTAGCAGCTTGCCAGGATCCCGCTTTTCGCCCTTTCCGCGACCCATGAGACGGGAAGCATCTTGACTCGAGGCTGTGAGTGCCTCACGGTCACTTAAAAGGCTGCGGTGCTTCTCGATCATTTCCAGGGTAGGGGCTCGCTGCTCCTTTAGAGTCTCGAGTCTGGAGATTTCGGCCTCGTGGGCTTCAAGCAAGGCGTCGCTGCACACATCAGAGAACGCAGGGGTGAAGTCAAGCATTTCCTCTTCTGAGAAGTAAAGACTGTCCCAGAGCTCCTGCAGACGGCAGCGAGCATCCTCGACGAACAAGTGCATGTTCTGTCTCTTCAACTCGTTGAGGCGAGTCAGCTCCTCTTCAAATTCGTTGATAGTGCGGAGACCGCAGCCACGGTTGGCAGAAAGGAATGCTTTACGATCCTTCTCTTCAACTCCGAATCGCTCCCAAAGGCTCTCCACGGAGGCCCGGAGTTCCTTGATCTTACGTTCGCGGCCCTTCTTCTCATCGAGGAGCTTGTCACGCTTGGCCATCAAGTTGCCCAGGTCAGTCTCGTGCAGTCCAAGCTGCTCTGGTGACTCGCGATAGTTCTTTACAATGTTGGGATCGGTTTGCACCTGAGGGGTTCCAAGCTCAGCCCAAAGCTTAATGATCTCCTCGGATGTGTTTTGGACATAAGCAACACGACGGTGATACTCCTCATAGACGCGGGAGAATTCCGAGTCCAGGGAAGTGACATATGCAGGTGAAAGATCGAAGCTTGGGGGAATTGTTGATCCGGGGGCAGTGGGGGGTAGTTCGATTATCAGGAAAGAGGACTCGAGGTGAGACGAATATGATTCAAGGGCGTCGACAAGTTCTAGCGATTGTCAGCACATTGGTATTTAAGGGGAGGTACACTTGATCGATCTCACTCTTAACTTGCTCGAAGCGCTCCCGGTGCAGTTTGCTCATGGCGTCGTTCTTCTCGCGCAGGAAGGCAATACACCGGTTAAGCGGATAGGTGATGCGAAGATCATCGCGACTCAGCTCGTATTGTCCATTAGCTTGTTCATCTCCCAAGGACGCCTCTAGTTGTTGAATGGTTGTTATGAGGCGCTGGGCTTCCTGTGTCATCTGCTCTTTTTCTCTGCAATGGATGCGATGAGCTTTGATCCTGTCACGAAGAGTGTGTTTATGGTGGCCACTTACTCATCAACAAGTTTGAGATGGTTATTTAATGTTTCTGACAGAGCGCTGAAAAGCTAAAGATTTCATTAGCGCTCATTTAAATCATGGCAACACGTTCGATCCTACCCCTGCTTCGCGGGACTCGCGCTCATGAGCGGGGACGCCAATTTCATCGAAAATGCCATGCAGCTGCTCAACGATATTGTTGACCTGGGTGGTCAAGTAACTTGTGTCAACGGCCATGACTGCTTGAGACCCTGCTATGAGCGGCGCAATTATTGAATCTGAATATCAAGGAGAGTGAATCACTCCAACGACAGGATGTCGACTCTGCGACAGCGGTGCCGAAGGAATCCAAACACAGAGCCCAGCGCGTGGGGTGGCCAACACACGATGCCAAACAATGGAAAGCGAAACGAAGGTGGGTTGCGAGAGTGGTCAGTTCAGAGACATGAAAAGCGGAGGATGGAGACTTGGGGGGTGTTTATGAGGGGAGGGAGAGAACAGGGCGGGACCGATGATGATAACAGGTTCATCTTGCAAAGCCCCAATGTTTGGGGCCGATCGTCTCCATGGGCAACCGCTGACTCATCCGGGCCCTCGATCTGACCGCCCACAGTTCTGCCTCAATCTGCCCCACCGCTTCTCTCCGCGTTCATTGCTGTCGACGACAAGCTACCTTAGCACTCCCCACCAAATAGCTTTCTCAGCGTTTCGATCCCCACGAATTCATGACATCTCTTCCTAAGTACTCCAACACCTCATATCAACGTTTCACCCACCACAATGCAGGCTGCACAGCAGTCCTGGGGTTCGTTTCCCCCACCATCTTGACAACAAAACAGCAGTTTAACTCGAGATAAACCTAACTATCTACATCAGAACTCGAGAACTCCATCAGCGTCTTCGACCCTCAGCGCGATGCCCTCTATGAATACAATGAAGCCACCCAAAAGGCCCTGAACGACGAGAAACCCTGGGCCAAAGATCCATACTACTTCAAATCCGTTCGCATATCCGCAACAGCGTTATTGAAAATGGTGATGCACGCCCGGTCCGGCGGAGCCCTGGAAGTCATGGGCCTGATGCAAGGGTACATCCTACCAAACACATTCGTCGTAACAGATGCCTTTCGGCTGCCTGTCGAGGGGACAGAGACGCGCGTGAATGCGCAGGATGAAGCGAACGAATACATGGTGTCGTATCTACAGTCATGCCGGGACGCGGGCCGGATGGAAAACGCGGTGGGCTGGTACCACAGCCACCCCGGGTACGGGTGCTGGCTTTCCGGTATCGATGTGTCGACGCAGCAGACGCAGCAGATGACGGGGCCGTTCGTGGCGGTTGTGATCGACCCAGAGCGTACGATCTCGGCGGGCCGCGTTGAGATCGGCGCATTCCGCACTTTCCCAATGAACTATACCCCGCCAAAGGAGGCACACGAGGACGATGAGTACCAGACCATTCCGCTGGGCAAAGCGGAGGACTTTGGCGCCCATGCAAATCAATACTACTCCCTCGAAACCACCCATTTCAAGAGCACCCTGGATACCGAGATCATGTCTCTCCTCTGGAACAAGTACTGGGTTGCTACCCTCAGTCAGAGCCCATTATTCACATCCCGCGATTTCAGCAGCAAGCAAATGATGGATCTCAGCGAGAAGATGCGCAAGGCGTCGCGAGGAATTGAGAACAGTGGACCGCGGGGTCCTACCATGAACCTCAAAGACCAGCAGTTAGATAAGGTCGTGCGGGGCGGGCAACGGATTGTGTCGGAGGAAGTCAAGGGGCTCCTGGCCTCCGAGGTGAAAAGAAAGCTCTTCCAAGATATTGGCGGCCAGACCGCTCCCGCAACCTAAAGTGCATCTAGATTCTAGGCCCCGGCAAGGAGGCTGGTCTTCATTGCATACCATCTACCTACCTAGATATTGATACGACTGTCACGCTTCCTTTACCGCTCTTTTGTAACTCTTTCATCAATTTACTTGTGCCTGGATTCGGCGTCTCTGGCGCTTGGCGAGTCAAGCCTTGACGATCTTGGCGTGGCTGCGGCATCTCCCGGACCACTCCTTGTCCTGTTATTGCTGTTTCTGTGGGTCACATTCAGATAAGCAGAAGTGATACATCACAGCCATAGAACTTGCATCTGAACTGCGCTAGCTACATATGACCAAATGATTTCAAATACTTCTGAGGGTGACCCTGGCATGAAGTGGATTAGCTGATAGATACGATTTAGCATAATAGATCGATAAACAGAATTAACTCTTGATCCGGCAGGCATGGATTTTTCCAGTTGATAACCAGGTGGTATTGAAACAATAGATACAGAAGAAAACGGAACAGAATCAAACAGTCTGCTCCGAAGAATACAGTGAAAATAAAGTCCATCCGGCATGAACTGAGGTCTCAAATCGTAACAGATCATTAAGAAGATGGCGTCCAGACATTAGCCCTTTGGAAAATATGGCTCACCTCACTCCAGCGATAACAAGAAGGGATATGTGGGAACAGACAAAAAGACAAAGAGCCAAAAATGAGATAGGAGATCAAGTCGGGAGTGAAGTCGACGTGTCCCTTGAAAAAAATGTACACCGAACCTATAGCCAGTATGTGTGATGGTTCAAAAGTGAGTACACGGGGAAAGGGATCAGGTAATGGGCACCAGCGAGGTCGGACTAGGCGTTCCGAGGCCAATGCCAGGAAATGGCAGAATTGATCCCGGCCCCACAAAAATTCTATATCGGAGAATAGGTATATCGAATGCGAGATGTGAGGGTATCGCTGTACTAGCAAGGGTATGCATGAGAAATGACTGCTGCAAAGGGGGTCGTGTGAGCAGTCAGGATGATTCGTAGATGGAGGGGGAGTACCACCAAACCCCACCACATCGCGGGGCACGAGAAAGTAGGTACTGTATGAGAAGGAAGATGCATCGTCTTGGTGCCTATTCGGGATAGAAAAAGGCCCGGCGGATGCACCGGTGATCGATGATTCCAAGGAAATTGAGCTCGTGCGGGGACTAGGATGCGTTGGGCACGGTCGCATGGCCCGGCGATCCCCAAAGAGGGGGCGTATCGAACCCTGCTAGTCCCAGGATGGTGAGACGAGAAGATGCCAGTGTCGGCATGCATCGTATGGCCGGTGGCTTTGATTGGCGCGATTCTAGCGCATTTCTTTGGGGGCGAAGGGGCATCTGCGATCTTCGGATGGGGACGCGCGCCCGTAGGTGCAGCTTCAACAGGGGTGTCTCCGCCACCCGGCTTACAGGAAACCGGATTCGGAGAGCAATCTACGGGTTGAAACGTCAAATGTGGTTAGTCTCAATTTCCACAAGCATTCAAAGCGCATCCTTCTTGAAAAAGTTGGAAATATGATGGTCAAATTTGGGTATCGCCGAAAGAGCCAGACACCATGCCCGAAAAAGAAAAAAAAAATCAAACAAAGAAACATGAAAAAGGTGCTGCATGACAGATCACCGGAGAATTGCGACGGTAGTCGCAAAAAGCAAGGAATTCTTGTCTCTGCTTGTAGCTTCTGCATACCTTGCAATCTTCTCGTCTTCGCGCTCCCGGGGTTCGATCTCGAGACTTCGGTCGTACATGTCATGAACATCGCCGGCGGCTTGCAGGTTGCTGAGAATGTAGTCCTGGAGCTCGGGGACGGGTTGAAGGAGATATGGCACGTTCTGATACTGTTGGATATCCCGGATGACCTCCGCGGTCTTGGCTCGCTTGTTGAAGTTGATTAGTTCCGACGGGGTAAGCGACGGAATACCGTCCTCAATGAAGGTCAGATCCGTGAGATAGACACCTAACAAGTATGAGTTCTAAAGCCCAGGAACGGTGGAGAGAGAAGAAGACTTCAATCAACACCATAATGGTATTTGTGGTCACGAATCATACCAAAAAATGGAATACACGGAGGGTTTGCAAGATGCAGGGTCTCGCGGTACTCGCCGAAGTTCTTGGTGCTGGCCATCAGACGGCGCATCTGTTCCAGGATGGCGGAGGTGCGGCCACTGACCTGGCCCCATGTTCGGCCCAGCCGATGAATGGGCGCAGTGCCAAGAGCTGAGATAATGGATGTCAATGTGGAATAATTATTGAGGACGCGACATTTCTGTATGATCCGATTAGTCTTGAATCAAGATTGCAAAATGGACGAGGGGAGTAAACTACATCGGCAACGTTTACGAAATGCTTAATGACCACAACACGCTTTTTGACATCACTTTGAGTCAAGATCATTTCCGCGACCCAGTTAGTCAACTGGTTGGAGTGCAGAATCAAGGCCTTGACGTTGGAAGCCGGCTCCGGCTCATCGGGGCCAACCTTCTTCTGCCAGGTCTTGTTCAAGCACTCAGTAGGTCGAATCTTAGAGTAGAGGCGCGACTCAATGATGGTCAGCTGCCGAGCAAACTCCGTTGGATCGATGTCAAGGAACTTGAGCTTCTTCATATTCTTTGGGGTAATTGGCGGCGGCGCGGCAGTGTTCTGGGTTGGAACAAGACGCTTAACAGAGATATCCTGGCCCCGGAGACGCTGTTCAATGACAGCGAGCAAGGTAGGAGCACCCGGGGTCTTGGTGGTGGCAATGGAATCCTTGGTGAATGCGTGCACACGACGCAAGAGATCCATATTGATCTCATCGTTAGGCTCCATCCAGAAATTGTCGAACCAACTCTTAAGGATATTTACCACACGGAAGCGGATTGGCTTCTGTTTGCGATCGATCCACATTTGCATATCATCGGAGTTCAAGCCGAATGGTGGCTGGATATTGAACCGTTGCACGAGCATCTCGAAGAGTTCAGAGGCAGAGGTAAATGAGCGGTATGTGAGAAGGAAGGTATTGTTAAATGATGCATCGAGCTTGTCGTGACGTGTGAGGTGTTCAACCAGACCAGATAGGGTTCCGCACTTAAGAATTGGTACATCACCCTTCGTATCATAGAAGACTTCACCCTCATGGTCCATTTTCAAAAACCATGGGGTCTCTTCTGGTTCTCTTACAGGCTCGCGGATAGGCTCGCGAGTAATGGCGGCGGGTGGTGCTTGGCCAAAAAATCTCTGAGCCTTGTCCATGTTGCGACGAACCTTGTTGTTTTCCTTGCCCAGGGCATAGGAAGACGGGATGCCAATTGACTCTGTGGCAATCTTCGCTTGGGATTCACCCCGGCTATGAACGGTCTTGTTAAGGGACTCATCCGCCTCTTCCAAACGGCTGTCGGCTCGAGGATTAGATGACTGATCCTCGGGGATCTGTTCCAGAAGAAGTGATAGAGAGAACCCGATTTGCGAGACATAGTTTTCCAGCTGTTTAGCTACACTGCGCACGGCAGTCACTCGGTCAATCAGAGAATCGCCGCGAAGTTCAGCCCATTCATCCGCTAGAGGGGCAGAGACGCCCTGGCAGCTCAAAATGAAATCGCCAATGCCATCATAAACCCGCTGCTTCTGCAAGCTGAAGTCAACCAATTGAGGGTTCTGAAAACTGGTTCCCAGGGGTACAAGGTTGATCGATTCCACCGTGGAGATCCACGGGCGGAACTGTTCAACAACCTTGATAGCAGCCGCTGAGATCGCATCGGCAAACTCGCCATGCTCTGCGACAGTAATAATGTTCTGGTCAAGCGACAATCGCTCCTCCAAACGACGAATACTGCCCACGAAGGACCGTCTAAGAACGTCGATATGATCTAGCAAGGCCGAGTCCAAGGAGACCGAGGGCTCATTTCGCGAATCACCACCCTCGGGGACAAGGAAGGATGTGGGGCCAGATGCATTCAAAGACACACCGTTATTCTGCCAGCTGCCACCACAAGAGCTTCCGCTGACGAAACCAGGGACAATACGGTGAATATTGTCCCCGCGCTGCTGTCGCGCAACCTCCACATAGCCATAGACTCCTTGCATCACCCCATCTGCCTCCTGCAGGCATTTATTGACCGAGTCGGAACCTGGCCAATCAGCGGCAGCGATATGGGATGAAAGGACCAATTTGGAAAACTTAGACATCATATCTCGGAAGTGAGGATACAACGCCTTATTGGTGGAGATGATGGACGGGTTGCCTGAATGATTATCCGTTGTATCGGATCCAGCAGCCAGAAGCATCCGCAGGTGATCAGAGATATCTTCGGCCTTTCTCACATATTCAGACTGTTCTCCAGAGAAGAGGGTTTGGCGATACGCTTCCACGGCGTAGCGCATGTTATCGACCAGAAGGGGCCAGGTAATGGGCGGGGCGAAACCATCGTCAACGAAATGTAGGGGGGTATTGGATGAAATCGACGATCTGGAAAAGCTTTCGGCGATGGACGTATTGGCGCTGGTTGTGGCGCCACTGTTGTATGTCGTCTGACTCTTAGTCACGGGAGGAGGTTTCATTTCCTTGGCAGGGGGGTAGAGGGAGTCCATGGAGGTGGCGGGAGATACGCCATCCATGAAGGACTGGCGGCGACGAGACATCGAGTCATGCGAAGCCAGCATCAAAGATTCTCCCTCCGCCTCGGATGCGGAACCGTCATACTCATCCTCGTCCCGCTCAAACCCGCGGGCCATCAGTTCAGGAGGTGGCCGAGTTTGATCGGGGACGAAAAAGTTGGTCCGGTCGCGAGGGCCGACTTCGTTGGTCAACGTTGGGTTTTCAAACGGTAGCTCCATGGTCGAGTACCCGGTCAGTGTATTGAAGTAGAATAACCGGCCATCCGGGGTCGCCTGCGGAATCCAGAAAGCCGCCTCTTCTTGCTCCTTTGGTACGGGAATGCCCTCGATGGGCAGGATCGGTTGTGAGTCGCGCGGGTTACCCTCGGAGTCCAAATCCTCCTCTTCTTCGTGTCCGTTGGCGTAGTCCTCCTCCAGTCCGGAGTCGGCGCTGAGGTCTCCATCTTCGTGGCCATGCGTCAGGTGCTCGCCAAAGTCATCCATCTCCGTGATGATCGTACAGTAGTTGCTGGGGAACCAGCCGCGTACGTTATCGATCACACCATCCCACCACCCAGTTTCCAACTGGTTCAGGACCTGAATGATGTCTCCGCGGCGAAAGCTGAGGCTGGTATGGTCATCGGCGTCATAATCATACATGGCCCGCACGAACAGCGCCGGCGGTTCGGGGCTGACCGCATATCCTGTTGCCATCTTTTTCTTGGGGGAAGAATCCCAGCGATCCGGGTGCGAGATACTCGTCCCCCGGCCGCGATGGCGAGTGGCGGCGGTGGGGGTGGTGGCCTGTTCGTCGGTGTACTCGAAAGCGGTCGCGAAAGCCCCGGCCTTGGAGGCCAATGCGGAATCAGTCTCGACAGCCAAATCTGCCGCGCGGTAATCCAACATGGAGTGTCACTCGCAGGGAGAAGCGAGAGAGAAAGAGAGAGACACTCGTTTCACGGTTGGGAGGGGAGGGGAGAGGAAGAGGGAAGGGGGAATAAAGGTTGTGCTCAGTGACCCCCGTGGCTCATGGCCTTTAGGGGAGGAATATTTGACGGTACTTTGGAGGTGTGAGAGAGGGGGCGGGTGGGTAATTTTGCAACCCACTTTCCGGGGGGGGGTTGAAGTCTGGTAGGGGACAAGACACCAGAACAAGACTCTTCAAATCACAGTTCTGGAGGTATGTTGAGCCTGACCGAGGAGAATATCAGAGGATGAACGTAGATCTCCATCCGTTTCCAGGGAGAAGGAGGGAGGGAGTCTGGGAGAGGGGGGACGAATGAGACGATCAAAGCGCCTGCTCTGTTGAGGTTGAGCGTCGCGGAGTGTCCTTGAGGCCTGAGGCCGGAGTCCGGCGTTCTGGTCTGTATGGCTTGTATGGCTTGTATGGCGGTATAGTGGTATGGTCGTACGGCGGTATGGGCCCGTACTCGTGTCAAAAACACCCAGAGCGGGCATCTCATGACCTTGGCCAATCATACAAGGCGTGGAGAATCCAACCGTCAGAGGCTGGTAATAGATTACATGCGGTGACATCGGGGTACAGTGAGAATCGGGGAATCGGGTCTGGTCTACGGTAGACGATCCAGGCCTTGCTGTCCCGTATTCGCGTACCGTAAACTGGATACAACGAGGCTCCGGAGCTCCTGACAATCAAGAACCCAATTAATCAATAGTTCGCCCTTTTCGTCCATTTCTCTCCTTCTCTTCCCCGGAACGATCAATCATCGACACTTTGTCAAGCGTGAGATCGACAAGATTCCTCCAATAGGCACCGAGCATAAGTAAAACAGCCCACGGCGAACACCCGAAGGAGCAGTTCTTCATCCTTCATCCTGCCTGCAGGTGGTCCTTCTGAACTGACATCTACCTGCTACCCAATGACAAACCAAGGACCGCAGAGCCGTTATCCACTTGTCTGACGGGTACCACCGCAGGTACCAACCGTACGGAGGACAACACCAGGCAGGTTTCCTCGTCACCCTCGACTCCTCTGTACTCCATTCGCGGAAAGCTCCCATTATTCCCTTCGATCGGCCGTGGCACGTTCGCGCGCTCACTACGGACTTTGGAGTATACTGATCATGACATGGGAAATTCAGCTCTGACGGCCCAGGTGTGACGGCTTCTCTTTGCTTGCCCGGTTACCGTCATGTGCCCCCCTCCCCCACGCCCAGGCAACCCGGGGGAGGGGTTGATCAAGTCGGTGCGCGGGCATTTTTGTGATCATACCATTTGATCATACGTCCTTGTATGCTCTATCACAACTCCAAAGCCATGAAACAGAACCAAAAATTCAGACCCGAAAGGCGTATGTGCGTGTTTCTTACGCCGGGTTTCATTTCGCGACAAGACCGCGTCCCGGGTGGACCAGCCGCGGCTCCCGCTGATGTGACACCGGTGTGGGCACGTCGCGCGTGAACTTTCTTCGATCTCGCCGCCAGTTGTGATCCAATAAGATATTTAAAGTGCGATACTTCGTCCTGGATGATCCGTATTTCAATTGAACCAATCGAACTACTTGATGGGCGGCCTGGGGAGTCGAGGATTTCAGGGACAATCCCGGCCCACGACGCGGCAAGAGACCTTACCACTACCCCCGGAGTATCGATGGTGGTTGGGGTTGACGAGCAGACTGACGCGATGCAGCGGCGTGGACCACTCGGGGCGTTTTCCAAATCTCTTGGCCTCCTGGTTCCTGCAATTCCTGTTCTTCTCAAGACATCCAATTACACAGGCAGTAACCCGCATAACAGCAGGCCAGAAGAGAGTGTGAAACCCCACCCCCGAGTATGACTGCAGATGGCCCCTCTACACATCCCTGTCCAGCCCGTGGACGGGTCATTGGCAGAATCTCGGATAATATTCTCACGATCCCCCTGTTCCAGTTCCAAACAACGGTCTTGAATCGTGGTCTTTGTTGTTATTGCCTTTAATCGTTTTGAGTTTCTAGTTATGTTTTCCCTGCCTGCAACAATAGCCAATCGCACCATGAAAACAGCGCAGGGTTATGGAGTAAAAAGGGGGGAGGGGAAGCTCCCACCCAGCACCAGAACCATTCTAGAAGGCCCAGTGATTGCACATTCCCCATGTGGCTTGCCTAGCTTCCGCTCCAGGCCGAGCCTCGGGGGCGAGCTTATGAATGCATGGGAGCTGCTGACGTTCCTACCGTTGACAGTGGCTGCAGACGCAGATGAGACCACGCGGCGAAGGCACCAAGGGCGTCGGAAGCGCAGTGGCGGTGCCCATTGTCCGACCGGCCATTGTCTCTTGAACTCGACCATGTTGGGGGGGCTCGTGCTTCGAATCCTGGTCTGCAATATGAACCGGCGCGATGCGACGTGGTAATCAGGCCATTGCTCGGGCTCTTGCTCGATGACATCGATCTAGGCGTACGCGGAAAAAACAAAAGTATGCATGTATGCCCTGTAGTCAGAGAACGTCACCAGCGGTAGCATATATGGATATAGTATTAGAAGTAATAACAGTATTAGAATACATCTTAGAATACATCCCATATACCCCGTCTTGTGTCGTGACGGTAACATGTACGGAGAACTCCGTAAGACAGATGCGATACGACTAAGAAGCCAGGCTGATATTGGGGAGTCGGCATTTCACTTCCGGGCCTCTCGGGAACAGGGGAAGAAAAAAACGATGATTCAATTGAGTTTTGGTTTACTTCGGAGGTTCTTCCAAGTTGACTCGCCCGCGCGACCTACAGTATAACTTCGACAAGCCTCCAATCTCCGAAAACCTAGTTTTGCCCCATGTCCATCCTGCATATGCCTCCCATCCTGCCGTTGGGAAGGAGCACTCTGCGTAATGATGACGGTGACTGAGGCCAAACCTCCTCCTGCAAACGTTCCACTCTATGCAAAACCGTTTGGGTACCCAGCAACGAGGAAAGAGTCTGGCGAACCCGACGGAGGGGGACCAGCTCCACCCATGTGGGCGGGGCCAGTTAGCCCTCGTGGGAATCCTTTAGCCTACGCGATTGGAGACGGGCGCCGGCTGCGAGTCCGCGGAGAAAGCAGCAGGGGAAGGACGACAGCTAATCACCGTCTAGGGGATATCTAGAAGTTCTGGATGGGTGGGATTGGGAGGCGAGTTCTTGAAAACCACCATAGTGCCTGTAGATCAGCGAGATGATCGCTCTTGCCAGGGAACGGAGAGTTTGGGTTTATTGGAATTGGGGCATGTGAACGCGACGGGAGCTCAAGTTCAATAGAACGGAACTCTCTGTTGGAGCTAGAGCTCATGGGTGAGCTCATAGTTCGGGTTCAGCATGTGGGAGGTGTCTTGACTTGCAATTGATTGAATGTTGGCTTGATGCTGGTTCTTGAACTGGCTAAGGCCCATTCTCGGCACCTTGAAGTATATCAATTGCTGGAACCGTATAGTGCTTCCACAACAATGCCTGCTCAAACTCCGTACGTGTAAGATGCCAAGCTCCTGAACATTCCATCGCATGCTATCTCTTATACAGTGAACATGCAGCGATTGGCTATAGGAAATTGAGGTTGAATTAAACGGTTGTTGGATGGTGTCCAGATCCATGGAACTGGTGATGTTCCACACCGACCGCCCGTGGGACTCTAGGTCGAGGATCTGGTCCCATATTTGAACATGTATCCGTATGTGTAGATCCACGGGGCAGGTGATCCCGTCGGAGATGTGCTCTCATGGAGGAGACTTTCCGATTCACGAAGGCGAGGAATACCTATATAGGCTATGTGGGTATGTTCTCTGCACGGTTCGAAAGTATGTATATACATATATGTACACATTACCTATGAATTCGATTACAATAGACCCGAGATATATTCTGACAGGATCGAATTGAACCGAGCATGCAATTTGACCAAATCAATGCAGACGATGATGAGATATATATATTCTCTTTTCTTTGAAGCCGGAATTCAAATTCTTCTCTACAAGCATCTATAAGAATATAGTCATTGAGTATGACAGATGAAACTCGATACATAGGCCATTCATTTATCTTTTTTTCAATATACTGTCTCGAGCGACCAACGTCCCTTCCACATGCCTTGTACGGAGCGTCCGTGGCTCTTCTCCATACTACAGCAATCGACAGATTCGATTATCTCGAGATACACTTACCGAGGAAGACATAATAGACCCCGCCATAGAGTCCATATATGCCATCTTCAACTAAGAAACCACATAAGAATTGCCCATGAACGACGTAGTACCTCAGTAACAGCCAGACGGAAGCCCACGAGCGACCATCAGCCTCGCCCGAGGTCCCGACGCAGGAACAAGTGAACGGGGAGCGGAGACAGAATCCTGCCAGTGGCTTCCAATCATCGAGGGTCCGGGGCGGACTGGACCAGCGTGCCGGGACGATGATCAGGATCATCGCCCAGCCCCCTTTTTCTTGCGTTTCCTCTTTTTCAGTTCCTTTGATGGCGGCGTCTTCGATTCTGCGATCCCAAAAAACGGTATCCGGTATCGACGGGCCTCGTGTCGCTCGTCTCAAACCCTCACCTCTCCACCCAGTCCCCACCCACACCTCATCCCCGTTCTCATCCTTCGCATCCTCCTCGACCTTCTCTCTCCCTTCTGCCCCCCCCACTCGCTGACTCCGTTTAGCCCGCCAGCTCCTCAAGAACCCACTCTCACTCCCAAACAAATCCTAGTCAAACGCCCCCCTCCCCCCTCCCTCTACCACTTAAACAAAACCCTCGACAACCGGTGTCAGACGTTGAACCTCACGAAGCTTTCCTAGCAACGCCGTCCGCCCCTCCCTCCTCCAAACAGCCCAGGCTACGAAGTCCAGTTGGCTACCAAACACCCCCACCTCCTTCGAGAAAATTCGGCGGTCCGACTCCCCCGGCGCGGGGCGTTTGGAACAGATGGAAACATCGCAGCCGCCCCTCTCCTCCCTTTCATGGTGGAAAGCTAATAATTCACCATCGGCAATGGCCACTGGAGCCCCCGTCTTCCAATGACGATGCGAACGGACCGGAGCCTCCGGTGCTCCCGACTGCAGCTGCCCGCTCGATCCCGTATATCCCCTGCATCGGATGAAGAAGGGGGCGGTCCTCGATTTATTTTCCATTCCGTATTCCCGTATTGGAGGAGTCGTGTTTACATACCGGAGTTGGAGGCTTTGGCGCGGACGCGCTTTGGGGGTAGGGGCTGGAGTAGTCCCCCCTACACAGTCTATAGGCCTATAGTTTTGTAGTCTTACTATGTCTCAAGCCCGTACGTATCTATATGGCGCAGATATCACACAGCCCTTGGGTGAACTAGTGCAATTGGGTCCGATGTGTTGAGGCTTATCTGCGCTGGTCTCCGTTCTTCATCAGGTCTCGGGAATCAGAAGAAGAAAGGAGAGTGTATAAGACACGGGACGCGAGGGAACGGACAAAGTCGCGAACCAAGATCTGGGCCGAGATCGCGGGAGCGAACCACGGGTGGCCCTTCCCCAGATGGTCCAGTCTACCGTCCTCCAAAAGGGAGTATACTCCGTCCACGAAACCGGGTTGGAGGTGAAGGCGAACACTCCAAAGAGGAATTGATTTTCGAGAATTCACATAGTGCGTAGCATTTTCAATAGACCCTGTGAGATGAGCTTTGAATTTGGAGAAGGCCCCCCCCCAAGGGCTGCTCCCAACGGGGGAGGGGGAAACTGTGGGTATCTACAGACTGAACTATCGGTGTGCAGAGTGGCCGGTTGTGTATGTCTCTCAAGGTCCATCTTGAAATTCAATGGTGCTCCGGGACGCTGTTCCCGAGCTGAGGACAGGGCCTCTGTTTGTCGCGGGACGGCACATAGGGCAAACCGGGTGGGTTATGGAAGCTATAGCGCGGTGGTCCTGCCAAGTATGAACGGAGGATGCCGGACGAAAGGGCCTGGGGCCCATCGAAGATGAAACAGGTGAGATCAGAGTTCGCGACTTCAAGGAGCTTCCAGAGCAACCGGGGGCCTACGAAGGGGGGGGGGAGAATGCCACCCACCCACGATTCGGTGCACACCCGTACGTAAGGGAGCCCTCGTTCACTGGTGGAAACGCTCGCTCATCTCGGAGGTCTTACTCTTCCCAGACCCAGCCCTTAGCGAAACTGTAAAGAGATAGCGCGCACAATGGATCTTCAAAGGTGGCGAAAATTTCAAAATTCAAACCGTCCAAAGGGCCCGCTTCATCAACGCCTTCTTTCACTGGCGTCCCACCCGCACGCGGGGAGGAGGGGGAAAAGATCGTTGCGCCAGAGAGCAGTCACTAGCCGGTGTGACCGTGTATATTGGCGGTGAAGCACAGATGAGCAGAAGCGAGTCCGTCGCCGACGATGCGACGGCGCGATATATACCCTCACCGACATCTGGCCAGGCACGATGGCCCAGCCCGTGGTCGGTCAAAATTCCAGACCGGCCTGGTGTCGGTGGAGCGCACAAGGCGCTCTCTTAGCCTAGGCCCCAAGGAAAGTTGTCGGGACGATAGGCGTGTCGACCCTCCACCCCCAGCCAAGCCCTCGACTGCCGGTGGCCCTTAGCTCAGGGGCCGGCGCCGGGGAAGCTGTTCCTGAGAATTCTTGCCACGGCACTGGTGAGGCGTGGTGGAGTCGGACGGGGAGCTGCACTGGCGGGGAGGGGCTTGATTCGTAACTGGGCTGATAGTGCTCGATCCCTTTTGCAGATCCATTCATTGGGCCGCCCTGAGACCTGTGGGTGATGGTCAGTTTGGGGAGGAGGGGGGGGGGAAGGACGATTCGGACCTGGCGTCCTGATCCTGATAGTGTTACGTATTGACCACCATGGAATGGAATGGGAGCGGAGAATGGGTTTCCTCCTGTCCCCTCCCCCGCCAAAGGGATTGGGAATGGTGGATCGGCTTTGAATATTGGACTCCATCCCCCATCGATCTACTGAACGATGAAAGGAAGGGAGGAGGAGGGGGAGGGGGATCAACTTGGTCGTTGGGACATGCAAGGACGCGAGAGGCCGTGGGCGGTGAAGTCACCGCTCTCGCCTGCGCCGCGTCGTCATTTTTCGAGGTTCCTGCTTGGGTCGAGAACGTTAGGAACGGGGACGGTCCGCTGCATCGGAAAGTGGATCGAGGAAATCCTGGCTCCAAAGGTCCCAAATCAGAGTCCTTCTCCTGCTTTGCTGACGTCCGGAACCATCGCTAGTCTCTTCGTTGAGAGGCTCGCTCCTCGCTAGAAGAGGCACCCTGGTTCACCGCTCATACTTTCGTGCTCCGTCTTCCGTTGAGAGCATCCAGGGCAGAGAGAAGGTTCGAAGATTCGAGGCTCGGCTGCAGGAACCTCGGGGGATTTGCTTTGCCTTGCCGCTGCTTCATCCCAGGTGCCAGGTGAGACCTATCGGTATGATGTGCCGGATGTGCTTTTGTCTCGTCAATCCCAGATGATTCAGCGTCCCTGCGATGGGATACAAGCCCCATTCTACCTATCGCAGATGGACAGCGTGAATCTGATAGGTACTTTGGGACCTCCGGACCTCCGGCCAGCTCCCTTTCCGCAAACTCGATAGACCAGCATCAAGGGATCGACCCCTGCTGAGCCGTCCGGGACTGAACCCACTCGACTATCCAATCCCCTCCCCACTCCGGTGGAGCGCGTCGCCAGACGCGTTTCCCAAGTAACCGCGTCGACCCTCTCCGCGTCCTGGATCTTCGGGCTTCAATGCTGCCGTGCCCCACGGAGGGGCATGCCAGGAATTCGCCAATCCTACCATTCCGACGCGCTGGATCTCGTACTTTCGCCATTCTCTTTGCGACGCTCCATGGCCGTGTTCTGTGCCTTTTTGCGGTGTATCCGGTGCCAGCTCACTTTTTTTTTTTTCTCCTTGGGACCCCCCCCTTTCGTGACTTCCGGAGTGGACCCCGAGAAGTCCACGCGTTGCCGATAGAGAGAATGGGAAAGACACGGGATCCTCACGCTTCGCTAGTTCAGACTCCGACAGGGACTCGATATGTATGCTGTTTGATCCAGACTGGGAAGGGAGGAATCGGATCCAGGATTCCCAGGGAGGGGCGGATCACTACATCCCGTCCCATCGACGGAGTCTTCTATCCTGCATGTCTGTCCCGCACGACGTGGACGGAGTGGACGGAGTGGACGAAGTACTCTCTATCCGGAGTACAGAAAGTACAGAATACACAATACAGAATACAGAATACAGATAGATATGTACACCAGATATCCGAACGCACCCTGTCTAGCCCTCGAGAGACACAGAATGGACCCCCAATCGCAGGCAAACTTGCCCAGAACAAGAAAGAGTAGGTCCGCATCAGATGATGGTATCGCGAATCCAGCCCCGATTCGCATCGCCCATGCAGATCACCCTGCAGCCAGGCAGCTGATGTCGCGAGGCCCTCTGCATGGTCCCGGTTGGACGTCCCATCTGTACAGACAACAGGGCTGTCGCGCTGTGGCCACGATTGCTTTCCTACGTAACACGGCCCATGATGATAATTTTTTGGGGGCTGCCGTGGGACCGGTTGTCAGGTCGCGACCACCCTTGGCCCCCCCACTGACTCGTGACATGGCAGACGAACGCCATGAGCGTGGCACAGTCGAAACCGCCACAGAGCGGGGCCTTCTTCTGCTTCTCCCCTCCTCCCTAGCCCGGGCCTGAGCAGCAAAGATGCAGGTTCTGGACCAGTCAGGCTGACGGGTTGGTTCCCCCCCCCCTCTCCCTCCGGCCAGGTCCCTCGTCCCTCACCCTGGAGGTCTGTTTAAGGGGGAGAGCCCGACCTATCGATTTAAGGGGTGCCTACACTCCCGCTGGACGGGGGAGCTGAGACGCCCAACGGTGGCTGTGGCGCTGGGGTCAGACACTTGTCGCCCCTCCCTCTCATCAGACTGATCAAGGTCGAGATCCGATGTATATCGTTTTGAGGCGAGGAGGGGGTGGAGGGGGTGGATAGGTCCACGAACTACGTCAAGACGGCTCGCGGTGGTACGATGGGGGGGTTTTGTTGACAATACAGGGATCGACCCTCCCACCGACACGCATCGATGATTTCACCGAGCCGATCGAGGTCGAGCCTTTCCTTCTTCGTGGGGCTGCTTCATTGGAGAGTGGGATCGAACCAGTTCACGCCGTTCTGCTGCCTTCCGCAGGACAAAGGACAACGGAGTCTGTTCATACTGACTCCATTCGTCCGTCGGTTGGGCATAGGATCTTTCTCCCTTGAGCTTCTGGTATAGACATCCCAATTTTACGATCTCCACCTAATGGCGGTGACATCGTCGGCCGCCATGCTCGATGCGCACAGTCGTTGAATCCTCCGTGGGTGGTCTAGTTGATTGGCGACTCCATCTCATGGGACTTTGCTCCCGCCATAGTCGCGATTCCTTTCCCTCCCTCACTTCCCGGAGTTCGACGGTCGGCTCCGGGCTCCTCTCGTCCAATCATGGCCCTGGCGGGGTCTCATCCCTGCCTCATTCCCAACCTGCCCGAGGGCCCGGGGTCTGAGTCGGAACTGTGTCACGATGCAACCTCCTCCCCGATCCGCCCGAGGGAGCCAATCTGGGATCCTGTCGATCCTCGCGGGCCAGGAGGAGACGGCGGCGCTGGGCCGATCAGGAGGGTATGCTTGGTTCTCCTGACAGGCTGAAGAGGGGTAGCGGAGGCGCGACCGCGAACCATGGTTGCGACCGGACGACAATGGCGGGGTAATTCAAGATCTTAGGGGAATATATGCATTGAGAGATCGCGTATGATGGGTTTATGTACCGTCTATTAGGGCTGGGGTGGGATGGGATGGATACTTGATGTATAGATGTATAGATGATGTATAAAACAAGATTGATAGAATGTTCCCTATTCGATCGATCGCGTCGAATGTATCACGTACGACCGCGCGAGAGACACGTAAAAGCGGGACCAGGTCAGAATCCTGCGCGACAGAGGACACTGTTTACTGTCGACGGGGGACATTGTCGTCCCCTCCAACGCGAGCATGGAGAAAGGGGGCTTAGGGGGGGGGGGGGGAGAGGGGCGCTCGATATCGCTGTTGTCGGACTTGGGCTGATCCACTGGAAGCTGGTCTGCCACGATCGAACTCGCCTCACATGCCAGCCACAATCCTCCGGCCCTGACGAGACCCGTTGCTCCCTTGATCCTTTTTGGCTGGTTTCTTTTCTTTTCTTTATTTCTCTTTCGGGGGTTGTCGAGTTGGGGATCTTCCTATTTTCTTATTTTCTTATTTCGTTTCTTCTTTCCATTTGGGCGCTTTTAACTTTTTCTATTTTCTAATTTCATTAATTTTTTTTCATTAATTTTATTTTTCTCCCTTTGTCTCCTGTATTCAGGTCGGCGTTGCGTTTGATCTATGCCGGGCTCTCCTGTCTCGGGATTCGGAATACTGCATTTTTTTTTGGCTGTCTTTGCTTTTTGATGTTTGTTTTTGTTTGATGTCGTTTGCCATGGACCTCACGGTCATTGCCTGGACTCCACGAGGGGCATCGAGGGGGGCCAGGGACTCCCCCTCGCGGTGGACAATGGTCAGGGTCTCATTCTATCTGCCCCTCTAGACCTCGTCCGTGGCCGTTGCTTCGGCTGCGACTATCAACATCCATTAGGCTATCGGGTGGTCCTTCGGGCGCGTCCCGGTGGACATCCAGTTGCACATCCAGTAGGAAGGCGTAGAAGATAGCGGCTGACTAGGAAGGGAACAACCGTCCGGTCCCGACGTGATGGAAAGGGAGTCCAAAAGGACGCCATGTGGGCACCGCCTAATTTTCGATCGGGACGGTGATTTGCGTCCTGGCATTATTACGACGTGTCGATTCTGTACGGTAAAAGGGGGGCACAACAGTCACGGCCAGTGGGAAGGGCGGGAGTGGGCATAGGAACTGAAAGTGCGTGGCCGGAACGAGGGACAGGAGGGGTGGACAGCGAAAGAGGGGGGGGCTGGGGACTCGCAGGGCCGTTCGACAGCTGCCCAGCGCGGCTTCGACTGGCTCCCACTCGGTCAATCCGGTTCTTCACTGAAGTCCCCCCCCCTCTCGCTCCAGTCCCGCCCTCGCCCCTCGTAGTCCTCGTAGTAAGCGATGCTTGGGCCCACGCCCTCTCCCCCTCCCTTCGCTCACTCACTTTCGGCCCTGCGGTCTGTCCTGCCCCCCCCCCCCCCAAAACTCGTTCCTAAATTCCTCTTTTCTCCTCATCCACACTTCCCCCCCTCTTCTTTTCTTCTCTTCCCCTCCCACTTCAACACCTTATCTTCCCTCCCCTCCCCCTCCTCCCCCCCTCCTTTCGCGGTGCTTTAACACTCATCCGCCATTCTTTTCCATTCATTTTTCTCCTTATCTTGAACCTTGGTCTTTGTCACCGTCCGGGCTGGACTCCCACTTTCGCCGCTGACCACCCCCCTCTCGACTCCCAAACCCCCCTCCTCGACCTTTTCCACCCGATTCCCCACCCACAAGGAATGATCAGACTTCCCAACGAACTTCTGTCGTCGACACGCCTCCAAAACCGGTGCGAGCTCACCCAAGGGACCATACCCTCGTCCATTTCGCGCCTCGCCTGAGACCGAGTCGATCCGGCCGATCATCCACCCTTATGGCTCCTTCAGCTCCCGGAACCGCCAGCAACTCGCCGGCCAAGAAGACCTCAGCTCCCGAAAAGAAGTACAAGTGTCAATTTTGCAATCGCGCCTTCAGCCGCAGTGAACACCGCAGCCGACATGAACGCTCTCGTAAGTCTGCCCAATGCGCGGGTCATACCGATGCCTCATCCCCTTCCCCTTCCCCTCCAGTATTTCCACTGCGTGAAAGCCACGAAATAGAATTGGAAACGGACACATCGAAAGAGAGATCGCAGAAAGAAGGCTAACCGAAAATCATGTAGACACCAAGGAACGGCCCTTCAAGTGTTTGAAATGTCGGAGTACCTTCGTTCGTCGTGACCTTCTCCTGCGTCACGACCGAACGGTCCACGCCAAAGATGGCGGTATCCCCCTGGTGGCAGAAGGTCGCCGACGCGGTGGCAACGGAGGGGTTCAAAAATCCACTCCCGCACCCCCCTCCAAGCCCTCAATCACGATCGATCCGGCGACCCTGGAGCAGATCGAGGCAAGCAGTGATGGTATGGTCGACCTTGAAACAGCAGCCATGTTGATGACAGATTTCCAACATAAGGCTGCAGCAGCGGTGACGGGCCAGGCCTCCGAGCGATCTGAGTCTCTTTCCCCGGGACGCGGGTCCTTCGAGCCCTACCTGTCGGGCAACGCCACTTTGCCCCAGATGCCCTGGGACACGCTTGTGTCCCCCGCCGATTCCGGCTCGATGCCCCCCCTTGGTCGATCGCCATGGCCCCGTCGGAGACGTCCTCCTGTCCAACTCGCTGCCCATGTCCGGCAATTCAACCCCGAATGCCTTGTCCCCGTATCCCTCAATGACCGGACCCGTCAGTCCCGTCAACTACCGTCGGTCCCCGGGACCCAGCCAGGCATTAACCCTTCCCAAGGCCCCTCAATTGGCGGATGAGATGGAGCGCAACCTGGTGCTCGAACGGGTGCAGGCCGCAGACAGTCTAGGCGCGCTGCCAGACAACTTCCAGATCCCGGGTCTGTTGGCCCTGAACCGGTACCTGTCTACGTACTTTAACTTGTACCACCCTCACTTGCCCTTCCTCCACCAGCAGTCCTTCAATCCGGCGTCCGCCCCGACCCCGCTTCTGCTGGCAGTTCTGTCGATCGGTGCTCTGTACACCTTCGAGCGCGACCACGCTTTCATGCTCCATGTGGGCTCCAAGGTGCTGGTGAACCAGTTCCTGCAGCACAAGGAAAACTTCGACTCTCGCAAGTGTCCCTTGTGGTTGATGCAAAGCACTTTGCTCAACATGGTCTTCGAGAGCTGGAGCGGCGATCCCAAGGGCTTGGAGTGGACTTGCTCCATCAAGAGTCTTCTAGCCAACATGGTTGCCGGCAACCGGTACCAGCTCAAGGTCCGTACCGAGGCCCGCCAAAGCCCGCAGCCATCGCGTGAAGAGTGGATCGAGGACGAGTCGTGCCGCCGTACCTACTTCGCCGTGTACATCTTTTTCGGCATGTTGACGTTGACTTTCAACCATACGCCGGCAATGAGCTTCGACGAGTTCGATAACCTGGAGCTTCCGTCATCGGAGTCTCTCTGGAACTTGGACGCCACTGATGAGGAGAGCTGGCGCCGGAGCGTTGCTTCCGCCAGCACCATGACCGTTCGCGAAGCTCACGACTTCCTGTTCCAGGGCGAGCAGACTCGCTACAGCGCCTTTGCCACTCGCGTGCTCATCAACGCTCTGTTCTTGCAGGTGTGGAACCACAAGCGCAGCTTCGAGGCGCTGCAAGACGTGGTGACCGAGTACAAGCTCCGCTTGGCCCTTGAGACCTGGGAGAGCTCCCTGGAGGTGTGCGAGCCCGAGACCATTGTGGTTCCCCTCAGCACCCCTCAGAAGGGTCACCCCCTCATCTTCAATTCGATGGCGGTCTACCGCAACACGCGCGCTCGCCTGGAAGTTGACCTGAAGTCCATCCAGGAGGCCATGCGCTATCATTCCTCCTATGAGGTTGCTGCCGCTATGACCGTTGCTCGCGAGAAGGTCAAGCGCTCGCAGGAGATGAACAAGGTTGTCCAGCAGTGCTTTGAATGCATCGAGATTGCCGCCATTCAGGGCATCAACTGGGTGGCCAAGACCTCCGCCACCAACTGGAGTGTCGAGCACCCGCTCTGCGGTCTGGATCTGATGGTCATCCTAAGTCTCTGGCTCTACCGCCTGGAACATGACGATGAGCCCGCGACTGAGGCAGAATTGGCCATCTACAACAAGGTGCGCAACCTGTTTGATGATGATGCTATCGACGCCTTTGGCAAACTCAGCTCTACCGTCGCCCGTGTTTGGGGTAATATCCTTGACGGCGTGGTTGTCTGGGGGTAAGTTTTTTTTTTTTTTTTGTTTTTGCTCCCTCTTCGGATCTCCGGCTGGTTTCTTTAGACCTTCTTTGCTAACATCTAATCACAGCATCACCAAGTTGATGGGCGAGTCATTCAAGCTGCACTCCCAGGCCCTTGTCGGCTACGAAGACTCTCTTCGCGTCGCCAAGGATCAGCCGATCCACGCCGTGCCCACAAAGTCGCTTGCCAGCGTCGGCACGGCTTATTAATTGTCGACCACTTTCCTTGACTACAACCGTCTATTTTTTTCACTTCTTTCTATCGGTCACCTTCGACTCCTTCGGGTTTCTCGTTTTTCTTACTCTCATTATCTGGACGCTTTCATTGGGACACATGGGAAATATCAGGAATGTTTAATGCCAGTGGGCTAGGCGGGGTGTTTTTGGCTTTTGGAAATACCTCTTCGCCGTCGCGACGCTCGTGTGGTGATTCCTGACTTTTTCTGCTTTATTCTGGGTTGCATCGTCTGTTTTCTTTCCTTTTCTCTTTCCTCCCGATTCTGCTTTTGCACCAGGGAGTCCGGTGTGGTGTTCTTTGCGCTTTTTTTGGGCTATCCCCTCTTCGACACCTGGCTGGTCCTGTGTGTTCTTCTCGCACTCGATGGAGTTCTCTTTATCATCTTGTCTTGCGCTTGCGGACCTCTAGCCCCTAATAGTGCCCTCCGTCCACCATCGTCTTTGATCTTTTGATACCTTTTGCTCGTTTTCCCATTTATCATTTCTCATCCTGATATCGTTTCGCGTGTTGTGTCTTTGTGCTTGATCTTGCGTCGTGTTTACTCGCCGTCTCTACTTCGTGTGGCCGACATTGGGAGGCGGAAAGGGAGAAATATCCTTTTTCTCTCTCCTTTTGCCTCTCGAATTTGGCCGCTTGTATTTGATGTTTAATTGCATGTTTGATCTGCGTGTGTTATGCCCCCGCCTCTACTCTTGCCATTTGCTTGTTTTTTTTTTGGTTTGATTTACGTGTCTCGATTTGATTTTATTTTTTCTCCTCTCAGCATTCTGGTTCGCGCATTTTGTCTTCGCTTGCACATGTTTATTTGATGGCCCTTTTTTTTTCTTTTTATTTTACCTACTTTTCCATGTACTATACGTAATCGATGAATACAATATCTTGGCGGGGACAAACTTGACTTCTTCCCTCTGTAGTTCCAGTGTGGTAGTGCTTGTGCCGGACGTCGTGTTGAATGCCTTCTGCTCCCCGAGCATAACTGAAAACTGCATATTTGCTCCTCTATACTTGACGTATCTCTCCCGTCCTCTCTCGCAGCTGTGAATCAACTATCAATCTCTCTGTATCCATCACAGTTCCCCTGCCCCTTCCCGGCGTCCCCCCTCTTCACATTGATCCAAGCGAGTCCAGGTCTTCAGTCAAGTTTTCTTCATATATGTATGCTCTCTACTTTACCCAACCCTCCTAAAGTGTAACCCTGAAGAAAAAAAAAAGACGAAGAAATAAAACCCAGAAGCTATCATTCATCCGAAATATACCAAAGCCCCTCTCAAGCCCCTTTCTACTTCCCAATCGCCACAAACAACCGATCCCCAATATCCCCAAGCCCCGGCACGATCATGCCCCGCTCATTGACTTCGCCATCCACGCCCCCAACCCAAATCTGCACGCCCCCCTCCCAACACGCTGCCACACGCTCCACCCCCGTCCGCGACCCCAACACGCTGATCACCAGGACGCGGTCCACGCCCCAGTCACGCAGCGTCTGGATCGCCGCGTCGGCGGTCGCCCCCGTCGCGATGACTGGGTCTAGGAGCACGGCCAGCGAGGCCGCGGCCGTGTTGGTCGTGGCGGAGAGGGAGGCGGGCGAGGCGGGCGAGAGTGCGGATTGGTGAAAGGGGAGGTTGTTGTAGTACTCGACGGGCTGGAGGGTGGTGCTCTCGCGGAAGAGCCCGAGGTGGTAGATTGGGACGGCAGTCGGGAGGAGTGCGTTGATGGCTGGGGGGTGTGGGTGTTAGATGGTGATTGTGTAGACTTGTGGTAGGTTGGAGCATTTGAGTTGGAAGGAGAGAGGGACAGAGAGAGAGAGAGAGAGAGAGAGAGAAAGAGAGAAAGAGAGTACCGTCTACCATGCCCAGGCCGGATCGGAGGATCGGGACGAGGGCCAGGTCCGCGGGAGTGATGCCTTGCGTGTCGTAGTCGACGCCGAGCGGGGTGCGGTCCTGTGTGGGGGAGAGGGGGGTGGTTCAGCAGGGTGGGGGGTTGAGGAGGGAAGAGACGGGGGCTGGCAGGGGAGGTACCGTGCCGGTCTTGGTGGTTTGGAGGCCGGTGGCGAAGGCCTCGACGCCCAGAATGGAGGTGATCTCTTCAACAAGGGCTCTTGTCTCACGAGGGGTGGTGTGTTCCGAGCGAAGCTGGGAGAGCTTGGCTTGCAAGCAGGGATGGGAGGAGACGTGGACGTTGGCGGGGAGGGGTGGGAGGGACATAATGGGAAGAGGGGAGAGGGGGAGTGATTGAGAGAGGAGGGGGAGAGCAAGAGAGGCAAATATAGAGGTCTAGAAAGCTGAAAGCTGAAAGCCGAGAAGAATGAGAATGGATGAGATCGTGAACCAGGCTGTTGGAGCGGGGGAAGAAGCGGTGTTCTTATCTGGTGACTTTTAACCTTATCACTTTGGTTTCCCCCGCTCAACAGTCCTGCAGCCGCTGGTCGGAGCTTAAGATAGTCTGGACGTGCAATGATTGATGGAAAGGGGCCGACTCCGTCAGATCTGAGGATCTGGAGTCGGTTTCGAGATTAGTTGGGTCTTGAAGATCTATGGCAGAGTATTTCCCCTGACGCGGCATTCCTGCTGAACAAGATAGACGATCTTCCCACCATGAGCAACCGGATCACCAGCTAAGAGTAATCGCCATGAATCCATATATTCAGTCCTCATATAGACGACATACTCTATACGCGTCGTGCAAAGGCGCCTCTATACTGCCATATCGCCGAGGCGTTGTTGACGATCTTAGATCGCTATCGCATTCTTATCGGCTCCACCGCAAACCCACTTTTTTTTGGATTCCACTTTAGCCTCCCCCAAACTCCAACCTCACCTCACCTGGCGTCTCCCTTCCTGTTCCCGCTCGCCCTATGGCGTACCACACATCCACGGATATTGTGGGGAGCAATCCCGCCTGTCTCGAGGACCCCGAAAAAGATGGCGACTTCGCATTGTCCGAGACTCGCGCGCCGCAACCAGTCTGTGCGGACCCATCCCAACGACAGCTTTGGGACACCGCGGAGCTCCCTGCAGAAGCCACCGCGCCAGCCACCACACCAGCACCTATAACGACCTCTCCCTCACGTTCCCCTACAGTCAGCCTCTCCAAACATGCGACCCAGTTCTATACGATCTCCTACCTCATCCTCTTCGCTCTCCTCGGCACCCTCGCCCGCCTCGGCCTCCAAGCCCTCACCTACTACAGCGGCGCGCCCGTCGTCACTGGTGTCCTCTGGGCCAACGTCACCGGCTGTCTGATCATGGGCTTCCTCGTCGAAGACAAGAACCTCTTCCGCGAAGAATGGGGCGCCAGACCACCCTCCCCACCACCCCCAAAACACTCCGCCGAGGCCGCTACCCTCGCCAAGAACCACAAGGCCGTCAAGAAGACCATCCCGCTCTACATCGGCCTGACCACCGGCTTCTGCGGCTGCTGCACCAGCTTCTCCAGCTTCATGCGCGACGTCTTCCTGGCCCTCGCCAATGCCCTGCCCGACCCCTCCCTCCCCGCGGGTACGGCCATCGCTTCCCGCAACGGCGGCCACAGCTTCATGGCCCTCGTCGCCATCATCATCCTCACCGTCTCCCTCAGCCTCTCCGCCCTCCTAGTCGGCGCTCACCTCGCCCTCGGCCTCGCCCGCTTCACCCCCACCGTGCCCTTCGCCTTCACGCGCCGCGTCGTCGATCCGTTCGTCGCGGCCCTCGCCTGGGGCTGCTGGCTCGGCGCCGTGTTCCTCGCCATTTGGCCGCCCGATCGCGGCGCGGACCGTGAGACGTGGCGCGGGCGCGCGGTGTTCGCGCTCGTCTTCGCGCCGCTGGGCTGTCTGTTGCGATTCTTCGTGTCGCTGCGCTGGAACGCGCGCGTGCCCGCGTTCCCGCTGGGCACCTTCGCGGTCAACGTCTTCGGCACGCTGATCGAGGGCATGTGCTACGACCTACAGCATGTCGCCGGTCTGGGCGGCCTGGTCGGCTGTCAGGTGCTGCAAGGGGTCATGGATGGGTTCTGCGGGAGCACGACGACGGTCAGCACGTGGGTGGCCGAGTTGAACGGCCTCTCGAGGCGGCGCCATGCATACGTGTATGGCGGCGTGAGCGTGGGCGTCGGGTTGGCGGTGTTGGTTGTCGTGATGGGGTCGTTGCTGTGGACGCGCGGGTTTGCGGATCCTGTGTGTGGGTGAGAGCGATGCAGGAAGAAAGAAACCACGCAAGAAAGTAAGACAGAAAAGAAGCCTCGCGGATATATTGGTTCTACGTGTGGATCTGGGATCTGGGATCTGTACGGTACATGATATGTAAAACTTATGATGTAAACTTTTAGCCTATACCCTATCTAATGAATAATGATCACTATATAATAACTATACAAGACTCCGAGGCGTGGACAGTCGTATGCACTCAAATGCTCGTACAGCTCTGTGCCCTAACTCCCAAAAAAGAAGAAATCCCTGGTATCATAAATCCAAAAAAAAAAAAAAAAAAAAAAAAAACACTACCTCGCAACGCCGGACGTACCCCCTTCGTCCTCGATCGTCCACACACACACATACACACTACGCCATTCCTCAATTCTCAATCGCCTATCCCTCAAGCTAACAATTAACTCTCCTCCCCCTTCCTTCGATCACAGAATTCCTCCACCCCGCTGCACTGGTAACTCCGCCCGATCCCCCACCCTCTTCTCAAAAACGCGTGAGCGGCCCTCCGTCCTCATCGGGCCAAAGTCCGGCCCGGCATGGACCAAGCTCCGCGACGCCGCATGAGCGTGGAACGCCTTGCGGCGGGCGAGATCTTGGGCAAGGGCACGGCGCTGGACGGCTGGAGGTGGGGAGAAGGAGAGGAGGGGGTTCGGGTTAGCCATTTCATTTGCAAGGGACGGGCTGCAGGAGGGGGAAGACGTACAGCGCCAGATCAGCGAGTATACACCCATGGTGACGGCGCAGGCGCCGAGGAAGCCGAACATGATGCCCAGCTCGCGGCCCAGCGAGGATGCCGGTGTGTAAGGTGGGTACTGGGTCATCGCTGGGCGGGGATGGAGGGTCGGAATTCGGAATTGTCTGTTATTTTGGTGGGGGGAGAGGAGAGGAGAGGTAGGATTCTGAGAACGGGGCTGAGGTATGAAGATCGGGTTCTGGTTATGGAGATATAATGGGTTCCTTGGTCTCTTCTTCTGGTCTGGGATGGATGGAAGGATGGATGATTCCGTCGATCTGTACAAACCCCGGCGGATGCCAAGTCAGTGTAGAGGGGCTTTGGGAGGGGAGGGAGGGGGAAGGATTGGAGTTGATGCCGTTGAGCGAGAGGGTTGGCGGGGCGGAGTCACAGTTTCAGCCCCGGTGGACAAGGTTTAGATCTGCAAGATGATGTTGTGGGATGCAGAAGCTTGGGGGCCGAGCAGGGCTTGGGGATGGCGGTCTGTGCCGATGTTTGTCCGAGAAGGTTGGACGGGGAATTGCGCGGGAGAGAGAGGAAGAGACTGGGGCTGGCAGGTGGCAGTTGGATGTGAAGGTAAGAGGCAGATGGAGCAGAGAGAGAGAGAGAGAGAGAGAGGAAACGGTCAGGTTGGATTCGCCCACAAGTCCAGGATCGAGGAGATCGACACTCGCAAATCGAGCCGATCCAGTACGGCACCAATCCCCGCAATTTGGGGGCTTGAAGACAGAACGGAAGGGGAAAAAACACAGAAGTAAGGTATATCATCGATTGGGATCTCTGGTATATACACACATTAAATATCAAAAAAAGGAATTCCCATCAATCGCCCCTGGTCAACAAGTTCTAGTCAACAAATCGTCTTGTTCCAGATAGTAGTCGTTCCCATTTCTGTACATGGGCTTCCAGGAACCGAATAGAAAACCCCTGCTGGGTATCATGTACAACATGCAAGCTCTATACTCCCCCGCCAGGGCTCGCGCGCACCGTCTGTCCAAAGACCAGACCAGACGGGGTGGACCGCGGGCAGGGGATATGCAAAGACGGTGCTCGAAAACGAATCAATCCTCATGGGCCCGGGACAAATGAGGCACAAGAAGGGTAATCGGAAGAAGATGAGCAAAGAGAGAAAAAAAAAAAAAAAAAAAAAAAGGTCACAATAAAAGGTAACGCAGACCGTCCCGGGCCATGGATGCAGAGAAAAAAAAATAATAAGTAGAGGAAGAAATATGAGGGAACTCGGTAGAGGTCCAAAAAAAATCGCTGAAGATCGCACACAACAATCGCAGTATTGGTCGAGAAGAGAAAATATTAGGCGCACCGGATTAAGAGGTCGAGGGGCGCAAGGAAGGGCGTGAAGGGCGAGAGAAGTTACATGTCCACGGGAGAGGGTAAAATAAGGACACGCCAAAAAGAAGAGGTAGGTATTCAGGATTGCAGGTCGGATCAAAGGTTCAGTCGGGGGGCGCGTGTTCACATATCGGGTCGGAGAAACGGAGGCGAATCGATGAAGTCGATCGCACATTCAGAAGGCACGTTTGATGAAGCGGGTCACCCCAGCATGACGGCCGCCAGAGCGGTACAGGTCAAACCAATTGCCATGCCAATCCACGGCGTCTGGCCCAGACTGCCTTCGCTGCTGACCTGAAGAACATGTCGCGCACCGCGTTTCGCCAGGGTGGACGACTCGGCCGGGTCCACGGGGAGTGGGTTGCGCGGGACCATGTCCGGTATTGATGCGGCGGGGGGAACGGTGTGCAAGCGGGTTCGAGTTCGAGGGCAGGTTTGCGACCACGCGGTCGAGACTGGCGAGAGGGACGGGGTCGGCCAGCACCATGGCGGGTGCCAGAGCGGCGAGCAAGTAGGATGGCTTCATGATTTGAATGCGAGATCAGAAGCCAGAGTGGGAGGCCGTGGTGAGCGTGGACCAGGTCTGTTTATTTTTATTTTATTTTATTTTTGCAGGTCGTTGGGAGGCACCTTGAGTCGAGTGCGCGCGAAACAAGCAACGCCAAGGGCTCAAGGGTGTCGTGCGGGTCGTGAGTGGATGAGAAGTAGTTGGCGAGGCAACAAGGTGCGGCGAGGCGGGGGACGCGACAGGTGCAGAGAGCGCGAGGAGAGGAGAGGGAGGAGAGGGAGGAGAGAGAGGAAAGAGAGGAAGAAAGGTTGGAAGGTGGAAGGTGGAAGTTGCAAGTTAGAGAGTGGAGAGGGGGAGGAGGGTCGAGGGTCGCGAGTGGATGGCGGTTTGCAGCCAAAAAAAAAAAAAAAAAAAAAAAAGGGTGGAAGGGGGAGAAAATAGGGGGCCGAAAGACTAATGAGCTGCACCCGCACCAGCACCAACCACCACCGAGCCGCACGTTTCCCGGAGCGCCACGTCAGGGGGAGTCTCGCAATTCAATATTCAGCATGCGGTCGAGGGCGAGGGCGAGGACTCGCAGGGGTGAAGTTCTTCGTTCTTCGTTCTTCGTTCTTCGTTCTTCGTTTTTCGGTTTTCGGTTTTCGAGTTGGTCCGGCTGGTTTCGCCAGATGCGAGTCCCAAAAACATGGACAGGAACCACTGAAGCAACTCAGGGCGGGCCGGGTTCATTGGACGAGCCACGGGTCGAGGCAGTCAGGGACTCGCGGTGGAGACACTTTATATTTGGCGCGACGTCCATTGGCGCTGGCCGGGCTTGGCGCGCCCCTCGACGCGGCCCCGCGCGGTCCAGGCCAATGATCGTGCGCTGCCTATCACTTTCCTTGCTTTGCGGGCGTGGGATGCACTAGATGAAGTCACAGCACGTCAGTCGAGAACCTCGAGCTGGCTCGAATCTCCCACCCGCCCCGAGATAGAGCGATGGACCCGTATACAGGACCTATGCAACCCACGCAACCCGTGCAACCCATGCAACCTATCGAAGCGACAGAGTCCACAGAACCGACAGAACCTACGGAACCAACAGAGCCTGCATCGACGGAACTATTGAGCACGCCACAAGGGGTCAAGCCCCCGCGGAATCACATCATATCGGCAGCCATCGTCCAATAGTGCCTGGCCCTCGCCTGCCAGTCATCGAACGATTCTCCCGCCTCCGGACAGGACGCAGGTACTCTCCTATCCTCTCCTGTCCTCTCCTGTCCTCTCCTGTCCTCTCCGATCCTCTCCTCCTACTCTCCAAACCCAACCCACCCCAACCCACCCCAACCCGGCATCCTCAGCCGTTTCAAATAGTCGTGTCTTGGCGGTTTCCGATATATTTGAGATGGGCGGAATCCTCAGGACGGAGTGCGGGTAGCGCCCACAACCCCCGTTGCAGATCATTGAAAGCGACGATCGAAGCTGCTTTTAGGGCCTGCAAGTGGTGAGACGCCCAAGGCGTCGGACCCTAGTTTTGCAGGCTGCCATCTCCTGATGTCGCCCGGCAGCTTCGCCCCAAGTCACCGCGACCCCCGTCCGGAACTCCATCCACCACGGCAGATTATAATAGGTCCTCGCGGCGAGCGCGGACGCGAGTCGAATGGCTTTGGACTGGATTCATTTATGAGCTGGGGATTTGATCTTGATAGTCTATATCAGGACGGATATATTATATATATATATATATATATCTCCGAGTCCGAGGTTCTTATGGCCCTCCTATCGTCGTAGATAATTACCTGATCGACGGGGAGCCCGTGAGGTGGTTCCTCGTTCTTGAATGTCGAATACAACTAGTACCAGCACATTATCTCCGCCGTCTCTATTCTAGTTCGTCCCAGTTGTGGTGATATCAAACAAGCAGTGCATACAAATTGGGGAGTTGAATGGCCCCTCGCACATCTCCTCCGCCAGGGGTAACATCTAGAAACCAATCCGCAAGGAGCCGTGATGGATATACAAGCGCATCTCGAACAGGGATCAAAAAGGCTGGTCGTTCCCGGTATGGATGGTAACCCCCTGAGCCCACCACCACGCAAAGACAACTACATCAGTGACCAAGGAACAGCTTCGTTTTGGTAATTGAGATTGATAGAAATCAGACCCGGATCTTGTTTGAATGGGCTATCCATTTTCGTATCTACAATTGCAAACCTCAAGCTCAACTCAAAGCTCAACAAGACTCCGGGGATTGGGGGAAGGAAGAAGGGTTACAGAACAAAAGAAAGAGAACAAAAATAAAAAAGTAAAAAGGGAATGAAGACACAAAAGCCCTTATGTTAACATTAACACCCGTAGACCTAGAAACGCCCCCTTTAAAACAGAGAAATCTAATGAGCCATGCCCCAAGCCATCACAGCATCTGGTCCCAGTTCGGCATCACTGTGAACTTCCCGCAGAGTTCGCCCATCGACCAGACCCGCTGCTCGTCCTCCTTCGGTGCCCGGCCTTCCACCTCCGGCTCGGGGCTTGACACGATCAGGGCCTCCTGTACAAAGTCCACTGTGGTCGCCCGGTCTAACTCGAAGCTGATGCCGCCCCAGTCCAGCGTCACCCGCCCGGACTTGTGTACGTTGAGCTTGCCCACCCGACCGGCCGGCAGGGCCCAGTCCGTCGCCGCTGTGATGACCTTCGGTGTTTCGGGCGGGCCGTCGAGGTCGTGAACGTTGTCTTCGGGCTTGACCTCGCCTGGGGAGGGGGAGGGGTTTCGTTCGGCAGGGGTAGTGGTGGTGGTGTTGGTGGTAGCAGTAGACCCGGAAAGCGTAAGATTGGGGGTCATCGGGGGAAATTGCATGAGGAAAAGTTGGCCCAGAAGCTTCTGGTTGGTATTATCTTCTTCTTCTTGCTGCTCGGCATCGCCATCGTTATCGGTCTTTTCGACCGCCGCTTCGGGCTCGCCCTCGGTCGTGGGCTGGACATCCGGATCGGCGTCGACGGTGCCCTTCTCGCCCACTGGCTCTTGCTCTTCTTCATAGGAAAGCAGGTTGCGGACGTGATCCAGGTCCTCCAGGTGTCGGTCATACTCGTCAATTTCCTCCTTCGTCCGCAGCAGCTCGCGCGGGTCTCGCGCAGGAACGACCTCGGGTGACGCCGACTCCACCATTTCGACGTCGGCGTCCTTCTGCTGAGGACTCGGCAGCTTCCGGCGCACGCGGACCTTCTGCGTCGGCAAGAACCCATCATCATCGTGCGGTACCACATCCACCATAGGGGTGTCGTCGTCGACCGGCTCTGCCTTCACGCGCGGCTCCGCCTGTGCTGCCTCTGCAGCCTTCTGCTGCGCTGCCTCTGCGGCCTTAGCTTTCTCTTTCTCCTGACGAATCTCCGCAGACTTGTTGGAGCTCGACTCCATATTGACGCTGACGACCCGCTCCTCATGTTCAAGACGAAGCACCCGCACCGGCCGCAAGCCTTCCCGCGACCGGATAGGCATCTTGCCCTTGATATCACGACTCTCCTCGTCGTCCTCGTCGTCGCCCAGCTCGATATTATCAATCGCAATGCGCACCATCGAGCTATCCTCATCCGAGTCGTCGTCAAATCCATGGCTACCGCTCTCTCCATCCCGCATCATCATCCGTCCGGCCGTCGATGACCCGCCACGCCCACCACGCTTCGCACCGCCGAGTCCAGACCCGAACGGCCCATGTGCGCCCATCATCCCAGCCGGCCCGCCGCGGCCTCGGAACGCGCCTCGCCCACCTCGCCCGCCGCGCCCGCGCTTGATCGCCGCGGCCTCGCGCAGCCGCTCGCTATTCCGCTCCTCCTCGAGCTTCCGCATGGCCTCACGCTCAGCCTCGCTGCGGCGCACCACCGCCTTGGGCTTGTACTTCATCGGCACAGGCTTGGCAGGCTCACCGGCTAGTGCAGAGGGCGGCCGCGCCGCGGAGGGGGTGATGCTGCCCGGGGCTCGGCGGGTTTTGAGGGACTGCAGGCGTTGCGCGGGGGGCCGGCCCGGACCCGGACCTGGCGTGGCGCTCTGCGGGGTGGAAGCAGCGCCGGCCGCTGGTGTAGATTCAGAGTCATTGGGTTGCCGGGGCGCGGTAGTCCGCCGGGGAGCTGCTTTGGGGGGCATGGCTGAGCTTTTTGAGGTACGCGGGCAAGACGCCGTTGGCGTCCCGCGATTTTCAGTGGGCAGAAGTAGAAGAGGCCGTGGAAAGCTCCGTACGGGGTCACTGTGATCCTGGTACTAATGTCGTAGTGAGCTGGAGGTGTTGAGCAGCGGCTGGTAGGTGCAAGAATAAAGAAAGGTACAGAGTAGATGTGCAATGACTGTAGCAAAAAAGTTACGCTCATCTTTGATTCAAAAATACTGCGGGGCCTTTCTGCCGCCACCGACCGCCGTCGAGATCACGTGATTTGAACTCTGCTGGTGGCGCAGGATTCGAAGGAGGAGCTATTTTGTGCTGCCGGTTTTGACAAGAAGATAGGATTTTAAAATAGGTAAAACTTCAGTTGATTCCCAAACTGCTCGTGAGAAACGGAAAACAAAAAAACCCATAGCGTCTTATACAGCTTGTGCCAGTCCCATTGCCCGCCTCCACCCTGGTACCACCGGAAGTATATATTTCCCACTACATCCTGGCGCGGCAGTGCCTCCACCAATGCCATCCACGCACAAAAACAGGAGGCAAAAAAAAAACAACCGACAGGAAAAAAGACAGATAGGGGACCAGTAGCATTGAGTCTGAAAGAGTGAATGGAAAATGACAAGAGAAGAAAAGAGAGATAAAACCCTTAACACGAGGACGCCGAAGAGAAGAGCACAAGACATCAGATCAACCCATTGGACTTTGTATAATCGGAATCGAGACGGTCGGTGTAGAAGCCGGAAAGGGAATGTGATATGGTGAAGTTGGTGTCATAGAAAGGAATGTAGAATCCCCAATCCGCGAAACCTTGGAAGATGGATAAGGAGCGAGAAGATGAGTAAGTCAGGGAGAGTAAGAGGAAGAGGGCAGATCAATGAGGTGTGTGCGTGCTAGTATGCCAGCGCATTTGAAGATCGCAGTCTCCTACGGGACCAAAACGAAGACAGAGGGAGAAATCGGGCGGCGCTGAGGAATCTGTCCAGGATAGGAGACAGGACGGAAAAGGATAGACGTATTGTATCGTCTCGGAGACGCCACAACTAGCGCTTGCGCTTCTTATTCTTGTCATCCATCGCCACTTCATCCAGAGGGGTACCTGGCATTGGCGGTATCTCATATTCTTCCTGTGCTGAGTCCGAGGTCTTCTTGACTGGAACGCCCATGTGGCGCCCATACCGTCCCTTCCGACCATTGCCTTCATCTTCGCTGATGCACCCTTCAATGCCAATGCCAGCATCTTTGCAACGGCCACAAGGGCGCTGACGATCACAGCCCTTCTTGCTCTTGCGGCAGCGTTGGCATCGGGGCTTAGTAGACAGATCTTCTTCGTCGGCACCGAGCTGGTGCTGGAAGTTGACCGAGCCATTAGACACCTTGCGCGCGGAGCTGGGGCTGAGAGGCGGGACAGGTCCCAAGGTAGGCTTGTCCGAGGGTTTGCGAGCGGTAGCAAGAGCGCTTTTACTCTTGTTTAATTTAGGCAAAGGCTTGGGGGCACGGGACTTGGCTGACATAGGACGGTTCTTTGGCTTCTTAGCCTTGGGCGCAAACTCCTTATACAAGATGTCGTCTTCGCCCTCACTCTTGATGCCGTCCTCAATTCCATCAGAGCTGTGGTCGCTGCTATCCGCGCTAGGCAGGATGTCATCAAGACGCTTGTGTTGACGCTTGATGTGGCCCGGAGGAAGAATGGGGCTTGAATCAAGTCTGCGACGAGCAGGAAGATCATCCTCATCCTCACTCATTTCCTCACCGTCGCTGGTGGCGCCCGTCGATGATGCGGCATCAGCAACGCCGCTAAAGGCATCATCAAGCGTTGAAGCAGATGTGCGGCCGTGGGAGAAATTGGACGCATCACCTAGACGGATCAGCTGCATTGCGACATCCTCATCCGAGATGCAGCTTGCGATGGTGGGATCGGGAGTCGGCAAAATGCCACTCCCACTAATGCGCGGAGCGGAATTGCTATACGGTACGCGATGTGCGTGGTCAGGGACGACCGGTGTCGCATACACAGGAGTGCGACCCGATTGTGCCCCGTATTCGCTGTGACCATAGCTTTGCGGCGACGGCAACGCTTGCTGGTAGTTGTATGGGCGGTGGGTGGGGCGGGCAAAGGGTGAGCCAGCACCTTCCTGACCAACCGATCGGCGTTGAGGAGAGATGGAGGAGGTTGAGGTGGTGAGGGGGACTTGGGGAGGAGCAAAGAGGGGGAGTTCCTAGAAAGAGGAAGAAAGGAAAGGTCTTAGCAAAGAGGATAGAAAAGACAAGAAGCGAAGCGAGAGAGGGATAAGGAGGGACGAAAAGTGAAATCCTGAAGCGCAAGGGGACATTGACTCACCGAGCTGTCGAACTTGGGACGTTTACGACGACCATCTTGTAGTATGTTCTCCATGCTGATTTCTGAGCTTGCAAATGTGTCGCCGCGGGCCTTGCGACTGTAAGTGGATTCAGTGTCACTCATGCCAGGTTCCTCGTCTGGATACCCGGCATGACTGGAGCCCCGGCTTTTCAGGCCATTGCGAGAACTCTGCTTGTGCTGGGAGGCGCTACGCAGACTCCGATTCGACGGCGACGTACTGCGCTTCCTTGCGAGCCGAGAGGATGGGCGCGATGGTTGTTCCATCATTGGCGAAACACCATCAGCCATCTGGAATGGTTCACCCAGGCTAGGGCGCTTGCGCTCAGCAGAGAAACCGCCATAGAAGTGATCCCCAAACGGTTGAATTGGGATTACTCTGACGTACACAGTCATGTTGTTCTTCAAGTTCTCGTACCTTGCGATGAGGGTGGTCCCATGTTCATCTTCGAAGCTCACCCCACTGGCGGTGCCATCGTAGATCCCATAGAAATTTTTGACCGTAGTGACGATCGAGTCTGTGGTGTCATGGGGGTATATTTGAACGCGCATCGGAATGCGGGCTCGAACCTTGGAGTTCTCATCCAGCAGGAGCTCGAAAGCGACGTTCTTGGGTACAGGACTCTTCAGCGACAGGTCGCGAGAGGAGACCTCTGCCAGAACCGGCGGCTCTGGCAGGCCAGCGAGCCCGTCATGCTGGACCGCTTGCATACTGAGCAGATCCAGGATGGGAAAAGAGAGGCCTCGATTGCTGTACCGAAGACTGGATCAACCCACTGCTTGTGTGTGATGGAAAGGGAATTGGGAGAACGGGGGCTCCATGACCGGGGAAAGAGGAAGAGTGCGAGTTGTGCTGAGGCAGAGGAAGAGGGGTAAAATTTCCATCAAACCTACCACAGTTATATGAATCAAGCAAGGTTGGTAGGTGGATGGACCACCCCCGAGGTTGATAAGGTGGGAAACGGTGTTCGATGCAGGGCTTTTTTTCGATGGGGATGGAGGAGGGGAATCTGGCTGTCGCAAGAACCGAGAACGAGCCGGGACGAGGGCAGTCGTCGGCAACCTGGGGAGAACCCCAACCAAGTCAGCACAATGCAATCCGAAAGGGTTGGAATTAACAGCAGGATGGATTGAGGGGTCTTGAGGATGGAAGGATGGATCGATGGACGTTCGACTCGCCGAGTCCGTCCGACCTGGGGTGTAGGCATTGGGGGCATTGGGGGCAAGCGAGAGCAGACTCGGAAGAGGATGGAGAGCAGTATCGACGTACCTAGCACAGACCAAACTGCCTAATATCGAGTCGCAGGGACCGGAGATGTCCACAACAGGGTGACGGGAGGGTCGATGGGTGGTTGACGAGGGTGGTGGACGAGGGGGATTGTCGTTCTCTCTACGAAGCGCTTGGGGCTATGTCAGCGGTGGCCCAGTAGCCGAGAGCGAGGAACGGAGCCAGGCTCGAACAGAGGCTGGAATGGAGTCGGGGAGGGAGGAAAAGGATAGAGGATACCGAAGGCGGGGATAAGCACAAGAGAGAGGTGGTCGATGGGTTGGATGGAAGAAGGTTGAGTGGGTGCGTACGATGTGGTTTCACCTAAGAGAAAACGGTCTTGGGTCGGTGACATGGCGATTTGCGCTTCCGGCGCCCGGTCCAGCAGCCCAGCATCACATTCCCGCTGCGACTTTGCCCTCCCCCAGCACGTAAGAATGAACTACAGATCCATCTAGACATCTATCGGTAGACTGCGATCGATTTGATTTCTATAGATAGTACAAACGAGACCGTCCCTTTCCCCTAATCCTCGCCTCCCCCTCCGCCTACAGGTTGTTTCGCAATGCGCATTCGCTGTCGCAACCCGGATATCCCCATTGCGCCGAGCATTTTGTCTAACCACCCGGGGACCGATTCGATACAAATCGGATTCGAATTCTTCTGGCGAGGGGAACGGAAGGTTTACGGCTTTGTCTTGCAGTGGATAGTGCCCACCACATCGCTGGAGCGGCGCACAAAGCAGGTACCTGGTCGCCCCTTTCGAATGACCTCAACGGATCGACGTAACTCGAAATGCATGGGTCAATGGAGGAGCGTCATGTCTTGTCATCCCCAGGACCGAAGAAAAGAGGACTACGTAGGGACTAGGACTAGGAGAAGTCGATGAAGGCCCTCTTTGTGGCCTTGCGACAATCCCTGTCGCACATGGACGATAGGGACGAGTATGGATATCCAAATCCCTTTGGCTTGTCGCATGCCAAGTTTGTCACGCAAAATGGAGCCACTACGATATCGCGACACCCCTCCGAGGACCTGGAAAGCGGAAAAATCACCAGGCGCGGGGGTGGACGCAGAGTACAGGGTGTGGTGAGTCCGGGAGGGAAGCGTCGAGAGGGGAAGATGGAGGATTGGCCGCGCGCCAAAAGCCTCCCCCCAAGTCAAATCCCAATCCCAATCCAAGACCTTCCTGTTTGTGCCCGGATGCATGAAGGAAAAATCGCAAAGCGCAAATCGCATGACCGATGCTCATCACAGAGTGTTGCTCATGATCTGCGCCGGCTGAGTTTACCCCTCCTCGGGACCGACGTAGTCTAGGGAAAAAATAATTAAGGGATTGGCGGGAAACGGCTGAAAGGTTACAGAGCATTCTCCCTAGAACCTTGCAGGCGGGAAAAGAGTCTAAGGTAATGGGGGATGCCAGTCTCGCAGGGTCCTCGGGAAAGAAAAGCACTCCAGCCTGGAATTTGGGGGGGTTTTGCCTTTGGGCTTGATGGCGGGGACTACAAGTGACCGGGATAGGACGAGAGGTGAGGCCGAGTTCTAGGCTGGGTTGGGGGACCCAGTGAAAGAAAGGCGACCAGCGCAGATGAGGGTGGTGCAGGAACGATCATTGCAAGGCGATTGAATGGCTCCGAAGGGCTGAGAAGTGCCGGGCGGAACGTGCGTTACGACATGGCTTGTCCGGACTGTCTAGACCGACAAATTGTTTCTGTTTTGTTCTTCTGTTGTTAGATCCTCATCCGCACCTTTTGCACCCAAAGAAAGGACGGTTTCGGGATGGGCAGGGAGAATGATCGAGAGCCAGTCGCCTGACGGGTAGACCCCGCATTCTCGGTCGAGGCCTCGGAGCGGGAACTCACGATGCCCAACTTGTCGCAATGATGAGCGAGTTCGGATGTGCTTCGGCTGAGGAGCCACACGTTTACCGCTCGATCCGGTGCGAGCGGTGTGGGTCACGTGGATCCGCGTGCTAGCGCGTCCGGCGCTAATAATCGGTGGGGAGGGCGATTGCACCCACCCCCAACATGATGAAACCCTGAAAAGGATCGGGATAGAAAGCAAAAGCCCAGTGGCACGATGAAAAGTATGTTTTGAGCGAAATTTCTGGCTTAGGGGAAGGTGAAATATCAAGAGGTGAAAATGGGGGGGCCGAGGGAGACGTGACGATAAGGCCACCACGTCATAGATAAGCTGATAAGCTTATCTTGGCACACGGCACCTTAGATAAGCCATACAAACAATGCAAACTCGCAATGCCGTATCGTACTGTCACGTGGGGAGTGCATTCCTGTCGCTCGCCCCTGCATTTCTTTGCTGTTGGTCGTCGCGAGAAACACGTCTGATTCTTCTCATCTCTTCTAGCACCAACACCGTGCATGGGTTTACCATTATCAGTCCTTTGAATGGTAGAAACCCGTGCAGAAAAGTCACAGTGGAATATCAACCGGTTTCTTGTTTCCCCCAGCGACCAACTGGACCACCCGTAACGACCGTGTCACGGGATCTCACTGGTTCCTGCACGAGACCCGCGGGTCCGCAGTGTTTGTTTTGCTCCCCTCGGCCAATCAGCCGTGGCGGGTCCACATCGACTCTCATCCTCAACTGAGCAAAACGTAAACAACTCCCTCTCTCCATCTTTCTTCGACGACGTGATTCTCGGCCACTTTTTAGGCAACAGTCAACATGGATGCGAAGGTACGTGGATGGAATGCAATTCTTGCTTGAGGTGTGACGATGTCGACCTGATCGATTGGTGGCGATTGAGTCCGATCTAGGGTCGTGCCTGGCTTTTGCCTGTCAACGACTGACTACTTAATGATCACGAACCTTTATCCACCTGAATTACCAATACTAACAAGATGCTCCAGCCACAGCGTATTCGCGTTCGCGGCGACGAAAATGTGCCGCCTTCCTTGCATGCCACCAAAGCTATTCATCAGCGCAACAAGTCCACCCCGGCCCTCAACCTCGCTGCCCAGGGCGCGAAGAATGGGGCCCGGCGAGCCTTTGGTGATGTGAGCAACGTAAAGACTATTCGTGATGACTCGGTATTGCCTGGCAAGCCAGCAGCGCAGGCGGACTACAACAAACCCGCCCTTTCACAACCGGCCCAACGTCCGATGTCAGTGTCTGGCATCAAGGGCCTGCTGAGCAATGTAACTGCAAAACCAGTCAACCCTGCCGGCAAAGCCCAACCCGCTGCCAGAACTACTAAGCGTAACAATGTGGTCTTCCGCGATCAGTTAGAACCCGTTGTCGAAAAGGCGCCATCCAAGGAAGTCATCACCACCCAGGCTGTTCGTTGCGAAGAACGGCCTGCCGAAGCACCTGTCTCAAAGAATGTGGATAAGGATGAGTCGGAGTCGGAGCAGGAGTACTTTGACACTCTGCCAGAGGAGTCTGCTGCAGTCGTTGAAGCAAGCAACGCTGGTTTCAGTAATTGGCGTGAAATGCTTCCCCAACTGTCGGAGCCCAGCAAGGCTCCCTCTTCTGCCCCAGCACTCGAGAAACCCCGCGCGCTTCCTGCACCTCCCCACCGTGCTAGCTTGCCAGAGGTTCACCCTGAATATCAGCGCCGAGACACCACTGGCCCTGCAGTTTCAGAGTGTGAAGAGTGGGAAGATGAAGAATCAGCGCGGGGATACCCTTCCCGCACTGACAACACCACCGGTGGCACTACCACTGTAATTTATCCGAAGACTACTGCCGTAACCAAGCGTGAGTTACAGCAAGCAAAGACTATTGTGGAAGCCTCGCAGACAGAGGAGGAGATAATGGAGGATTTCTATGATGCAAGCATGGTGGCTGAATACAGCAACGAGATCTTCCTTCACTTGCGGACCAAGGAGGTACGTCTCTGACCCAGGAACGAAATGAGCGATTCACCAAGCTCAAAGCTCACTGACTATAACAGATTGCTATGCTACCGGTAGCCGATTACATGGCTAATCAGGCTGAGATTCAGTGGTCCATGCGCTCTGTCCTGATGGATTGGTTAGTGCAGGTCCACTTCCGATTCGCCTTGCTTCCTGAGACTCTCTTCCTCTGTGTCAATTACATTGACCGATTTCTCTCACATAAAATCGTCTCGCTGGGCAAGCTCCAGCTGGTTGGAGCCACTGCGATCTTCATTGCCGCCAAATATGAAGAGATCACTGCTCCATCAGTTGGTGAGATTTTCTACATGGTTGATGGTGGTTACACTGTGGATGAGATTCTGAAAGCTGAGCGCTTCATGTTGAATATTCTCAACTTTGACCTCGGCTGGCCGGGCCCCATGAGCTTTCTGCGCCGCATTAGTAAGGCGGATGACTATGATCTCGAGACCCGGACTGTCGCCAAATATTTCCTCGAGCTCACGATCATGGATGAGCGCTTCGTCAGCACGCCTCCTAGCTTCGCCGCTGCCGGAGCTCACTGCCTGGCTCGTTTGATGCTGCAGAAGGGTTGCTGGGTATGTAACTTTCCCAAACTCACATATTTTCAGTTCTGTTGCTAACATGTATACTGCTAGACCCCGGCTCATGCCTTCTACAGTGGTTATCTCTATGACCAGCTGATCCCGGTGATGTCGACCATGCTGGAGTGCTGTGAGGACCCTCAACGTCATCACCAAGCAATCTATGAGAAATACTCAGACCGTCGCTTCAAACGTGCCTCTTTGTATGTTGAGGCTGAAATGAAGCGTGGTTTCAATCTCTCACGACCGACCAACCTCAAAAACGCGGACCGTCTGGACGGCCTCGCCAATTATTGAGTTACGTTCATGAGTTCGGGGGACTCCCCGTTCTCTTTCCGTGCGCTATGCCGCGAGAACACATTCTCTACCATGTTTTCATTTCCTCCCGTTAATTTCACCGCGTTACTTTCTGGGATCAAGAGTGGTCTTCGGAGTGAATGGGGAAATCGGATATCGCCTGGCGTTTGTGCTTTGATTTTTCTTATTTCTTGCTCCGATCAAGCCCTTTTCTTCTTTTTCTTCTTCTCCCCCCTACCATTATGACCTCGGGATGGGATGACTTGACGCCATTTTCCGGACACGAGGAGTTTATTAACAGGTCGGACGGCGTTTCGCACATGGTCTACTTTTCATTCGGCGTCTCCTAATCTTCTTTCTTCTCCCTCTATTTTTTTCTGACTCACGATACATACCTCTTTCCTTTCCCCAATTATGAGCCTTTTTCGCATTTCTCAGTTTACTGACCTCGCTCGTCCGAGCTGGTTGCCCTAATGACGGTCCTTTTCTTTCTGCTACTTGCTGTTTGTTTATTTCCCCCGGACCAGAGCACCGTTTGTTTGAGTCGCATATCGCATGATACACTGCCTGTCCCTTGAGCGTACCGTTGCTTTTATTGCTAGGTGATGCCTATTGCTACGCAGATATTGCATATGGACATAGCTTTAGGGAAAAACAATTATGGTGGCAGTAAATCTTGATTCCATTACTCGGAACATCAAAATTTTGTATTCCGTCTATTAAGGCCTTAGCACAACGCTCTTTTTGAGTTCAAAGTTGTCTTCAAAGCGTAAACTTTCTCACCTCAGTGGACCCAACCAAGGCACGAAACCCAACCCGAATTCTAAAGTCTATCTAAAACCAACCGCTTTATCCAAGACTGGCCGTAGGAACGGCCGTTAGCCACTATATCATATACGCTTATCCAATGCCAATTACAAGCTCTATCACTGATCTAGCCCGTTGAACTCAATCAGTCTCTTCACAGCTTCAATTACTTTGTCGCCCGTGCCTGCGGCAGGCCCCAGCGTCGGGTTATCGATGCGTGCCTGCAGTGACTCGTCGAGCATTGTGCGCAGCCGTGACACGAGCACGCCAATCCGGGCCCATCCGCGTAGTCGGAGCCAGCCGTCTACAAGCAGACCGCGACCCATGGTGTCAAGGGTAATGGAGCCGCAGAAGAGGAGGAGGGAGTAGGCATTGAAGGCTAGAGACAGGGGTTGGGTAGTTAGTTACACAAACAGCAAGGGGAATGTGGCATGGTGGAGTGTGGACTTACGGGTCAGATCTCGGATGAAGGTCTTGCTCGTCGCCATTTTCGTGAAATAGGCCATGTACGCTACCGAGCTGGGGTAACCCTGGGCCGAGAACAGGATCGAGCTGGGATGGATGAACACCCGGCCATTCTCTTGATTGAAGTACTTGATGGTGCGAGCGTCCGGGTCGACTTCAACTGTGCCGGTCACCGAGCTGGCGAACTTCTTGTCCGGGAATGAAATCTGCGCCACTTGCGGTTGGAACGCGCCTGCGATTAGCGCACGAAGAAGATTCTTGTTGGAGGCGTTGCGGTTCAGTGCGCTTGTCGTGTCCGTGTAATCGACGGGCAAGATGCCGGCGTCCTTGAGGGAGGTGATAAATTGTGCGCGGTTGGAGGAGATGTCACGCAGGGTTTGGTGGGAGAGAAAATTGGCACCACACCACGACTGAGTCTGCCAGTAGCCCTGGGAGCGGGCTAGCTCGGACCAGGCCTGATAGGCGCATAGATCTGTAAGGAGGTCGCCGTCACCGGGGCGGGAGAAGGTGGCTTTTGCGGCATCAGCTTCGTCGCGTTTTTCACGTGGGGATACGAATGGGCTCTTGACGGTGAGAATGGCGGCGATGGTGAGGCAGGACTCCATGCAGCCGAAAATCGAGCCGTATATCATTAATTTTGCACAGCGCAAATCGGCTGGGATCATGGAGAGATATCGACCCAGGGCTGTTAGTCGGCTGTGATCTAGGGCTCCAACACGGTGAAGGAAGGTTAGAGCGCCCTCGACGGCAATGCTTTCTGGCGGAGTGATGGTGTTTGCTAGGAACATAGCGACGTCGTCAATCCCCTTCATCGACTTCACGGACAGACAAAGCTGTTCTAATGGGACGCGTCGGATTTCAGGATCCGGGCGAGCGGCCATGTTAGACTCGGCTTTGCGGGTGTACAATTTGTAACAGGTGCCTGCGCGGACACGACCTGCACGACCACGGCGCTGTTTGCATGCTGCTTGTGATGCCCAGACTTCCTGGAGACGGACCATATTGTCCTTGGGATCATAGCTGGTTTCTTTAACACGGCCGGTATCAATTACAGCAACCACATCCTCAATGGTGATGGAGGTTTCAGCGACATTTGTCGCAGCAATGACCTTTCGCTTGCCTTTCGGCGGGCTTTGGAATACACGCCGTTGCTCAGCTGGGAGGAGAGAGGCATGAAGTGGCAGTGGGTAGGCATTCGGAATCCTTTTGACGGCAGTCAAACATCTTTCGATCTCCATGGTACCCGGTAAGAAGATCAAAATGCCGCCTGGCTGATCACCAAGTTTTGCATCGATGTATCGAACAGTAGACGCGATCAGCTCATAGTTGATACCCATCCCAATGCTACGAAGAGCTTTGCCCAGAGACTCTTCGCCACGCGGAGCGTCGTCGTCTTCAAAGTCTTCATTCAACTCCGGAGCGAAGCCGGTGTTTCGGATGACATCGTCCAAGTAGTAATCTTCCACAGGAAATGTACGTCCGGGGATGTTGACCAGACCAACTGACTTGCGCCCGCCAAAGTAGTTCATGAAGATTTCGGCATCCAGTGTGGCGGACATCAGAATGACCTTCAAATCCTTGCGGTGACGTAGAACATCTCGTAATAGGGCCAGCAGGAAGTCCGTATCAAGACTTCGTTCGTGGACTTCATCAACCACCACGTGCGAAACATCGGCCAGGGAACTGGCAACATTGCCATCTGCATCACCACCGGACTGAATTCTGCGGAGAAGGACACCAGTTGTCACGAATGTGATCTTAGTAGCACCATGTTTGACCTTCGACTCGCCACGGATGATATAGCCAACTTCGTCACCTACAGACGAGCACCGCTCATCGCTCACACGGTCAGCCAGACCTAGGGCTGAGATCCGGCGAGGCTGTGTACAAATGATGTTCGCGGCGCCTCCAAGTCCACGCTTGATCATATCGTCGAGGACAAACTGCACGGATTGCGTACTTTTACCGCTACCAGTTTCACCCGAGATAATCGTGACTTGATGGGAGTTGACTGTTTCGATAATAGCTTCTTGAGTATTCCACGCTGGGAGCGATTGTCGTTTCCGGGACATCTCAATTTGTGCCGTACTTGCTTGCTTCGCTTCCCAGGCCTCTCGAATTGTCATGCTCTGTGGCGAGTTTGCTTTCCAATCAATACCTCTCCGCTGCTTGCGGCTAGAGCGCACAGGCATCTCTAGAGTTTCCGCCGCCACAGAAGCTGTTACAGTAGAGATATCCCGCAGTCTACCTGGATTCTCCATAATATGGGGCAGATTGACTTCTAGCCAATCCAGAATGTTGAAGATCATAGGCTCCCCAGAGAAGCTTTCTTCGGCATATTGCACTGCTTGACGAATGGCGCTGAGGCGTATATATGCCGGAATACCCTTAGCTTGAATTGAGATGACTGGAGGGGCAGTAGGGTAATGATTCGACGGCTCTTGAAAGCGGAACACAGCATTTTCTGGGATCTCGGGGGCCTCGCTCTTGATCTCGCATACTCGAGGAGAAACACGAGAATAGCGTTCGCCGAAGATAGCCTCCAGAGTATCTTGCTCCTCGGCCCAAGCTCCCGCATCGCCTTCGGGGATGTCAATAGAGGCGAAGGCCGATCCATGGGCTAATGTTCCTTGTAGATACTCGGCTGCGGCTAATTCGTCGCCCTTCTTGCTATCCACCACTTGGGAGCAGAGATCAACGGGATAACCAATCGACGCCAGTCGCTTGATCTTAGCTTCTCGGGCTAGATCCCCAGCTGCGAGACTGACACCAGCCGAATATCCCTCGGGCAGACTCCATGGAGGCAGATCATCTTCAGGGACATAGATCAACAGCCACTCCAGCACTTCCTCTCGGTCTTTGCACTCTACCACAGCCTCCTCGACGTGACTGCGGCGGAACCCAAGACGAGAGAATTCTTCCACAATAGCGCTCTTTTCTTTCTGTGGAATCTCGATCCCATAAGGATTCCAGACCGTATGCTGCCGCAATAGGCTTTCGATCTCGCGCCGTATACGAGTTCCCATGTCCACCTTCGGCGCCTGCGACCAGACCCGCTTGCCCTTATTATCACCTCCACCTAAGCCTAGATCTGTCGCAGAAACCTTCTCCTTTGCTTGAGCCTTTTCGCGCTCTACTTTCTTCTTTTCCAGGTCAGCGGCTGCACTTTCACGCTCCTGCTTTGCCAGAAACGGATCTGCTTCGTACATCCAACCCTTGCCCTCCTTTGTCTCTGCTACCTTGATTTGGGCGAACTCCTCCTTCCAAAGCTGCTTATAGGTAGGCGGAAGCATCATGTGCAAGTTGCGCATATTGCACACTCGGAACAGACCGAATGCGGCGGCGAAATGTCTGGCTTCAAGGGCAGTTGCTTGCGCGGCCAGGTGCTTATGCGACGGGGGCAATTTCATGGGCGGAAGAACGATCAATTCTCTCGTCTTGGGATCGACTTTTTTCAGGGTCACCGCGGACACAAAGCCGTCGCGAGATTGAGTCTGGATATTGGCGCAATTCATCTATCAGCATATGTCCAGGAAATGGCGATAGCGCCGGAGGGTAGTGCTCGTGTGCATTCAATTACCATGCTATACTCCGGCTTCTCCCACTTTTGCTTCTGGCAATGCTCCGACAGCATATTGACTGGCAGTTTGCCTGTCCATGATGCGCCGCCAATCATCTCCTTCACGGTCGGCTTCTTGGGCTCCTCCGTGGCGGCCGGCTTCTTCTCCGCGGCTTTCTCCGCAGCAGCTTTTGCCTGCTTGGTGCCAGGTTTGGGTCCGGACCCAGCGCCTGCGGAGGCTTTCTTTTGGGACCCATTGTCTGTGTAGTTGACGCAGCTCAAAGGAGACCGAGACTGGGCATTTGCAGTGATCTTTTGGGCTTTTCGGCCAATTGTCCCGCACTAAACCGCATTGGGCGAATTGCGGGGAGATACGCCCTCGAGAGTTTGGCGACTACGCTTGTTCTTGCAGCAGTTTCGATCTCTGCTTTACCGTCTGATTGATCGGTGTTTATCACCATATATCATATTCATGTGATATTATATCTCCTGTTCTTGCCAATATTGGTCGAGATGGAGCAAAACAATGCCCAGACAGGGACGTCCAGAGCTCCCTCGGAGGGACACACGAGGACATCCGAGAAGAGAAATGCGTGTGGGATAGCTTCCAATTTCTCTATCACACCTTGAAATATGACCTGGCTAATCAATTGATTCACTAGTTACCGAGCTCCTATCATCTCGTGATAAGCAGCCAAAGCACGAGAGCAACAGCTCAACAAATACCAGCGCGCGACAAGGCAGTAGAGCTGCCTCGGGAGGTCGAGAAGGGCTAAACCCCTACATCGTGAAGCCTGAATCATTTCCACCAAATGTGGTTATATACCACAGTGAAGACTTTGTCGCAATCCATGACATGTTCCCGAAGTCGTCCCTACATCTGCTCCTTCTCCCACGCGACCAGGCCAAAACCCGGCTCCATCCATTCGATGCGTTTGAGGATCCTGAATTTCTAGCAAAGGTTAGATTTCAAACACAGAAGCTCCGGGCCCTAGCTGCGGGAGAGCTACGCCGGAAATATGGGAAGGATTCTGCGCAAGAGCAAAAGAGACAGGCAGCCTTAAATGCGGATCCACCACCGGACGAGCTGCCAGCCGGGAGAGACTGGGACAAAGAGATCATGTGCGGAGTGCATGCTGTTCCGTCAATGAACCACTTGCATGTGCATGTTATTGCAGTGGACCGGTACAGTGATCGGCTCAAACATCGGAAGCACTACAACAGTTTTTCGACGCCTTTCTTCGTGCCCATTGAAGACTTTCCCTTGGCCCCAGAAGATGTGCGGCGGCATCCCACACGTGAAGGATATCTCAAAAGAGATTTTGAATGTTGGCGCTGTGGAAAAAGTTTCGGAAACCGGTTTGTTGAGCTGAAAAAGCATCTCGAACAGGAGTTTAAGGAGTGGAAAAAGTTGTAGCATACTGGCAGACCTAATTGTGCAGGCCACTACGTCCACAAATGCACTCCGTTTCATCCTCAATCCCTATTTGAATCACCTTGTCGGACCGGCAGCGAAATACCATGCTCCCTCGATGTCATCTAGATCTTTTTAGGCCAACTAAAGCTCCTGACTCCGTCTCTCCTCGTCGCTTTCAAAAGCTCAAGAAATATAATCTTGTCGTAGAGTCAGTTCCTGGATCATTTTGAAGGATATGCTCATATTGTCCCGGGCAGTCGTATACATTGTGATGGTTCTTAATTGGCAGCTCACTGACGGCCCAGTACTAAGATTACAAATAGAAAGATAGCAATTTGTAGCTTTAAGAATGAATCTTTTGGCACCAATCAGACAGGTTCTAACATTCTATATGCCAATCGAACCCTCCAAAGTCTTCAATTATTCTTCAGAGATGCTATATCGGGCCAATTTGTTTTTGCTGTAAATGTACATGCCTCCGGTGCCATAGGGAGCAAAAGGCGAAAGCGTGCATTCCCAGCACACATCACATCCATGTTCCCTTTGCTACACCAGACAGAATTTCAGACACAAGCCTTGTGGCTTCTTGTACAACCCATCTTCCCCTTCTGAGATTCTTGTCGCATGCTGGTCTACTGACGGGCCTTGGACTTGCCGGCGCCCTTGACCTTCCGGGCCTCCGGACGGTTGATGTGGTGGGCGGGGATCCAGTCTGCGTTATAAGTGGTAGCGGAGGCGACGGCGGGGCTGGGGCTCTCCTCGACGGGCTCGCGCTTAGCAGGAGTCTTCTTCTCGCCAGTCTTACCACCCTTGCGCTTCTGGGGGAAGTAGGGAGCGACCCAGACAGTGTAGAAGAAGTAGACAACGCCGACAAAGCAGGATAGGAGGAAGAAGTAGAGGAAAATGCTGCCAAAACATAGTCAGTTAAAAGGCTCAATGGAAGTTTTTCTTTTTTGGAGAGGGGGTATTGTACTCACATCTGGGGATCGAAGAAGCTGGTCTCGGGTTCCACCACGCTCACAGTGCCATTGAAGGCCTGAACGGTGAAGAATTGACCCTCGCTGTCCGACAGAATCGCCGCAATGTTCAGGCGGAGATCCTGGGGGTGCATCTCGGTGGCAAAGCTGTAGCTGATGCTCTCTTTCTGACCCGCAGGAATTTCGACACCATAGCGGGTAGCAGTCAGGTTGCGAAGCGGCTTGCTCTGCTCGTCAAGACTCCACAGGCTACCACCGACAAAGTTCACGGTGACGGGATGGGGCTCATCATTGGTGACAGCGATCAGCGCCTGGGTCGGGTGACCATTGACGAGCTTCACGCCAAAGATCTCAGAGGCCGGGAACGAAGCCTCCGCCTTGACAGCAAGGGTAGGTGCCTCAGCCTCCGCGACCTTCTCAGCATCCTGTTTCAGGTGGAAAAATGTTCACGTTAGTCAATTGGCTTTTCTCCACGGTCCGAGACACATGCGATTGAGCGAGACCACGCGCAGAAGGGAGACCAAACTTACAGCCGCAAAGCCGGTGCCAACGAAGGCCTGGAGAGAGAGGAGTGCCAGAGAGAGGAATCCAAAGCGAGTCATGTTGAGAGCAGGGAGGACACGGTGAGATGAGGGAAGGGACAACAGAGAAGAGACCAGTAGGGGTGATCACACGTTGCAATTTAGGTAGGTCCACTTCGCGGTACCGGGGAAGCTGACTCAGCATCGCGTCCTATCGCCCTTTGGAGATTGATTTTTTTTTTTTTGGAAGAACAAAAAGACAGTCCTAAAACAAGACGTTACTCCACCAGGCAGGTGTGGATATCTGCATACAAGAACGCCTAACCGTTTTGTTTAAGCGTCATTTCTCTTCCAGAGAGTTAACCGCCGTGTAGATCGCGCCACAGCGCTTGCCGACTTTATGGAATTTCTCTGAAGAACCGAAACGCCCAGGTCACATCGCTTTCAAACGCACGCCTTCTCTCCCTCTTTCCCTCTTTTCCTCTTCCAAAATTCCTTTTTCACCTGAACCAACAATCAGAAACCATGGAATCCTCACCTTATCTCGATCGATATCGCCAGATTGGCGCGCTAGACCAGCAGAAGAATCAGTTAATCGAGGTAGCTCTCTTACTCCCTTTTGTGCACTGTCCAGGAGCTAATGGAATACGCGCCACCCTAGGAACTTCTGCAACGAGTAACCGATCTAGAGGCTTCTTTCCAGCAAGAAAAGCTTGACCATGAACGTGAAACCCGTTTCAATCGTGATATTCAGCTACACGAGATGGAGCTGATGCAGCAGATATCGCAGATCAAGACTATTATGGTGAGCGCGGTGATGTGTAATCACTTCTTGGAGCATGTGCTGATACGTGCCGGGTCTTTTACAGGACCGCGAACCTTTCGTCGTCGTGATGTTAGATGGAGAGGGCGTGATCTTTAAGGATGAATTCCTGCAGGCAGGAGAAGAGGGCGGCCAAAATGCTGCCGAGCAGCTTCATACGGCTATCCTCGCGTACCTGGCGACAAGTCTCCCGACCATCAATGCGCCCAAGATAATGACCAAAATTTATTTGAATGTGAAATGCTTCGGGGAGCAATGTGTTCGTGCGGGGCTCATTTCAGAGCCCGTAGCGATTCATGACTTCATTCGCGGCTTCAATGAAACCACATCCTTTTCGGAGATCGTGGATATCGGGTCAGGGAAGAATAAGGCTCATGATAAGATACAAGGTTTGTCCATTTTCTTGATCGGCTTGCGCCGACAGTATCAGAGAAGGGTCGGCTAATCTTGTGATCATTTGCGTAGAGACGTTCCAAGTCTTTCTATACAATTGCCACTGCCACCAGATTTTCATCGGTTGCCCCTCAAATATTGAATATGCACAATTTCTTGACGAAGTATCTAAAGATTGTGACCTAACCGGGCGCATCTCCCTGGTGGAAGGTCTCACCTTTGAAAAAGAGCTGGACACGGTGAAGAACTCATATCGCATTGCCAAATTTCCTGAAGTGTTCCGTTCAGCCAGATTGGCGCCAAATTGGGCGGCCCCTTGGAAGAGTGCTCTTCCCTCCCGCTCCTTGCTTACTCCTTCCCCTTCTCGGCAATTCTCGAACCTTTCCAACCCACCGACATTGTCACGCACTTCTACAAATACGAGTGTCTCCGGAACCGCGCTGTCAGCCTCCACCCCCAATCTTCCTATTGGAGGATCTCCCGATTTCCAGATTGTTCGAACCAAAGTGCCCGGATCAGCTCCCCTCAAGGCCGTGGAGCGGAACAAGTACGGACAGCGTGTGGACCGGCTTGACTTTAAGACCATTCCTCGTGATGAACTGAATCGATTAAAGAAGTTGAAACTATGCAATTATCACTTCTTACTTGGCGAATGCCCCAACGAGGAAAACTGTTACCATGATCACGACCGGAAGCTGACGCGGCAAGAACTCCATATTCTGTCTGCTATCGCTCGCATGACTCCTTGTCGTTTTGGCTTGGAATGCGATGACCCAGAGTGTATCTATGGTCACCGTTGCCCACAGAGTGAGCCCGGCAAAAAGACCTGCTTCCGTGGCGACACCTGTCGCTTTGAGCCCGTGGCTCATGGCATCGATACGAACATTGTCAAAGTGACAAAAATTTAGACTCATACATCGTGTGCTCATTCATCTCTTAAATATGTGTTTTTTGGGCAATTGTTTATCTAGAGAAAATTGCCTTTGCGTCTGTCTCATATTGTGAAATGGCGTCCTGCTTCTATTCGGTGTGACTGGAGCATAATCGGGTTAATTCCTTCTCTAATTTACGATGTGGGACAAGGAGGGAGTTGCATATCTCATGCATTTTGGTTTTCTTCTTCTATCATTGTTACACAGAGACGACTGACCCGACCCCTTCATTTGTATAGGGAAGTCGCGTCTGACCCAGAGGGTTCTGCATGCTTCTTTCCGAGCCACAAACGAGCTGTCCTTTTTTCTCAGGGAGTTGCAAGGATGGCGTACTGGTGGGACTTGATGGTCACGGAGAATTTTTACTTATTAACGATCAATGGTCAGCGAGGGTTTCAGGTTCTGGGGTGTTGACAGGCTTGTCGGATCCAAATTACCATATTTATCTTCATGCACCATGAACGTCTGTTCAAAATGGAACTTAGTTTAACTAGAACTGATTTGAAGAATTAAGTTATGTTTGATATTGATCATTTATGAAAAAAACCTTGGAACATAACTCCAAATATGCTAGGCCTTGTTTATGCCCCCTGCCAACGCCATTGAATCTATGTTCGAACTAACGCTACAGAATCATGAGTGGATTGTAGTCCCAAACATAGCAAATCTCCTCTCCCATCCGAAGCAGTCCGGTAACATGCATAACTCCTCTTTGGCCCCATCAACTTGCATCGCATCTGGGTCTCTTGAATGAGAACAACGCACACCATACTCCTTGATGCAACAGATGAATGGTAGTGAGGAGGGCTTGGGCGGAACCCAGATACTTCTATTTGCCTGAGTAGCATCATGATCTCGTTTACGCTCCTCGAGATCACCCCAAAGGATAAAAAGCTTCTCCCGAAGTTCAGCCAGCCTCCTTGGATGGACACGTAGACTAGAGAAATGAGCGATCAGCAATTTTATACCTGAGATGAGGTGCCAATGGGCAACAGAATAGCTTACTCTGCCGGGTCAAGGCTCAGTAAATGTACACCTTCTGCACCGGTGACAAAAAGCTTCATTTGTGCCCGAGCCTGATTCTTCGAGATGACCGGATCTGTGCCTTCAACAAGAAGACAAAAGCGCCATTCCCACTCCATGCGTTGGGCACTTGGGGCATTCTCATCATCATGTCCCGTGACGATGGAATCCATGGGGACTTGCACGGCAAAGTCTTCCAGGTTCGGTGGGAAATAGTCTACTACACGGGCCTGTAGCCGGTAGCAGACATTTTGAAAAGGGAGTTGGTAGGATATTCCACCTGGTAGAGTATTGACGTGGGATTCACCTGAAAGAATATCATTTACAGATCGGACAGGGACATCATAGGACCGAGTTTTGACTATTGAAACCCTTGTCAGCTTTCTGCTGTCCTTCTGAAGCGTTGGTTAGTAGGCTGACTTACTGTTCTCATTTGTTTTTGTTCGTGATTTCGTCACTGATATTTTATTTTGTCCCTCTTCAACTTTCTCCTCTTTCTTCCTCTGTTGATTCTTTTTCTTTTTCTCGGCTTTCTTGGGGTCCATGCTAGGCTTGCCGTGAATTTTCCAATACTCCTTCCGCCGCTCCGTCAACGCTCGAGAGCGATCGTTATAGTCGTTAGAGATGATGCGGATATGGACTTTCTCTGGATACCGTTTGTCCTCATGCACAGCAGCCTCTATGCCATTGCCACGCCCCGGTTTGACATGCGAATAAGTGATGAGAACGAGCTCGTCGCCTTTGAGCCGCTCTCGAGCGAAGTTGGCGTGTGGTTCCCATAGGGTGACTTGAATTGACATCTGGCCCCAGGGACCGGGCCAGTCCTTCTTTTTTCGAGAAAGATAGTCATACGTGTCCCCTTCGGAGCCTATGTCTTCGTCATCTTTTTTGATATCTATCAGGGCGGGGTTTGTAGTATAGTCTGTAAGATAAATGATGCATCTATCGCTATTGTAAGTGTTGATTTTCACTACTTGCCCAAGCAATTGAGTTAATTGACCGGGCTGAAGATCCTCAATGAGAGACAGTGGAAGGTATCCAGGCTTAGGCTTTGGGGCAACAAAGGCTTGGACCACTTGAGGGGATTCGCGAGGCGCAGGTGATAAAACGGCGGGTTGAGCACATCCGGTAGCGCCATCCAACAGCATTAAAGCCGCTCGTTTCTCTAGTTGCTTGAGCGGGAAAGGGATGGGACCCGTGGTGATTGAAGGGCCTGAGCTCGGATCTGATTCCGAGCGAAAGATTGCCCAGGGAACTCGGTCGTGTTGAGATGCAACCCCCGTCAGCTTATTCTTGAACATGCTCACCTGGGGAATCAAGGTCAATACGTGCTGTGCACGGAGAAGACGAGTTTATTTTCAATACATACTCGAATATTTCGAAGCAAGATTACATCGTTTATCTGGACGGCAGGCAGAGCGCTGATATTGTCGTTGAAATATTTGATTTTCAATCCCCCATACCAGGTTTCCTTGTCGAAATGACAATCCTTGATGGTAAAAGTAACACACATTGACGAGCCTCTGGTTCGAATAGGCGGTAAGGTGTCCACGACAACACCGATGGTGCTGATATGCTGGCGCCGAGCACACGCTGTGGAAACGTCTACCAGCTCAGTCGAGGCCATGATCAACGGAACTCTACCGGAGACTTGCAAGAAGAAGAAAAAGTTCCAGCGATGGCCGGGTCTCTGGACGTCGATGACTGCCAACCAAAGACAAATGGGTTCGAGAGAAAGACCCGAAGTACTGAGTATAGATAGCTCTCTGGGAGGTGGCAAGCCTTCAATAGATGTCCATTCTCACTCGATCGGACCTTGGGGCACGGCCGGTCAGGAAAAGATCATATTACCGAGAACAATTAATAATCTTCGCGAATCTTTCTTCGATCTCAATTTTGATCGTGAACGGTAGAAACACAGTTGGTGGCCGGGTTTTTCCTGACGCGTAAATAAAGAAATGATGGGGGAGGCGTCACATGATTTCCCCTCCTTGCACACACGAATCCTTTCTTCTTCTTCATCCTTCCCCCACATCCTCCCTTTTCTCTCATCACCAGCGCGCCCATCACCATCATTTTTGATATTCTTGAAATTTGAGGCGCGCTTTCTCTACTTCGTTACCATCACTATGGCGGATCGTTACATTCCCGAACACCGTCGGACGCAGTTCAAGGCGAAGAACCAGTTCCGCCCCGATGAGCTCCGCCGCCGCCGTGAAGAACAGCAGGTCGAGATCCGAAAGCAAAAGCGTGAGGAGAACCTCGCCAAGCGACGTGGTATTCAGACTCGGGATGGAGGAATTGGTGTCGGTGGCGGCATGGCCGCTGCCACCGAAAGCGATGACGAGGCTAGTGCTATTGAGAGCGAGGTAGGTTTTTCTATCACTTTTTTTCTTCGCCCCTGTGCTTCTGGTCCCCCGGGCTTGCTTTTACTTCCTATCCTGCTGCTTGGCCGGGAGTGCATCGCTTTGCTCTTCCCTCTCCCTGCCGGTTGCCGTTCAGCCCACTCGCTCTTTGTTTTTATGATGCGATCATCAACACGGAATTTTTTTTCACCGCCCTGTTGCCATGGGGCCAACCCCTCCAACACGGCCCATTACTACGCACGACCCCACTATGCGAGATAGCGGACCAGCAAAACCACAATAAAAAAAAATATAGAGGCCATAAGCTAACACGATGGAATTTTGTCTAGCTCAATGTCGAACTTCCCCAGATGGTGAAGGGTGTCTTCTCCGACCAGGTTGAGGAGCAGATCCAAGCCACCACTAAGTTCCGCAAGTTGCTGTCCAAGGAGCGCAACCCTCCCATCGAGCGCGTTATTGAGACCGGAGTCGTCAGCCGCTTCGTTGAATTCCTTCGCTCCCCCCACACCCTGGTCCAGTTTGAGTCTGCGTGGGCTCTCACCAACATCGCCTCCGGTTCTGCCCAGCAGACCCAGGTTGTCATTGAGGCTGGTGCTGTGCCCATTTTCGTGGAGCTCCTCAGCAGCCCCGAGCCCGATGTCCGCGAGCAGGCTGTTTGGGCGCTCGGTAACATTGCTGGTGACAGCCCCCACTGCCGTGATTTCGTTCTGGGCGCCGGTGCCCTGCGCCCCTTGCTCAACCTGATTAACGATGGCCGGAAGCTGAGCATGTTGCGCAACGCCACCTGGACCCTCAGCAACTTCTGCCGTGGCAAGACCCCCCAGCCTGATTGGAACACCGTATGTCCTTATCCCCCTCCACTTCTCCGTGATGGATAGGATCTTTTTTTTTTCTAACTTGGAAATTAGATTGCCCCCGCTCTTCCCGTTCTTGCCAAGCTCATTTATATGTTGGATGATGAGGTTTTGATTGATGCTTGCTGGGCCATCTCGTATCTTTCAGATGGCGCCAACGACAAGATCCAGGCTGTTATTGAGGCTGGCATCCCTCGACGCCTAGTTGAGCTTCTCATGCACGCCTCCACTTCTGTTCAGACACCCGCTCTCCGCTCCGTTGGTAACATTGTTACCGGTGATGATGTCCAGACCCAAGTCATCATCAATTGCGGTTCCCTTCCTGCCCTGCTTTCTCTCCTGAGTTCTACCAAGGATGGTATCCGCAAGGAGGCTTGCTGGACCATCTCCAACATCACCGCTGGTAACTCCAGCCAAATCCAAGCCGTCATTGACGCTGGTATTATTGCTCCTCTCATCAACCTGTTGGCCAACGGTGACTTCAAGACCCGCAAGGAGGCTTGCTGGGCTATCTCCAACGCCACCTCTGGTGGTCTCCAGAAGCCCGATCAGATCCGCTACCTTGTCTCCCAAGGCTGCATCAAGCCTCTGTGTGACCTGCTTGCTTGCCCCGACAACAAGATCATCCAGGTCGCTCTTGATGGTCTTGAGAACATTCTCAAGGTCGGCGATATGGACAAGGAGGCTGGCCAGGGCGAGGCCCGCGTCAACCGCTATGCTCTGTTTATCGAGGAGGCTGGCGGCATGGAGAAGATCCACGACTGTCAAAACAACGCCAATGAGGAGATTTACATGAAGGCCTACAACATTATCGAGAAGTACTTCTCTGATGAGGATGAAGCCGCTGGTGAGATTGATGAGCTGGCCCCCCAGCAGACCCAGGCCGGTTTCACCCTTGGCACTGGCCAACAGCAACCCGCTGGCGGATTCAACTTCGCCAACGGTGGTGACTCTATGGATATGTAAATGGTGTATATTTCCAGCCCTCTTATCCATTATCACCTTACGCCTGTTGTCCTTTGCAATTTGCTTGCGACTCGCCCTCCCCGCAATTTGACCAAGTGGCAATCGACATCACCGCTAAAGAAGAGGTGTCGATCTGCAGAGCCTTCCTTTTGGACCCTGCACACTGTCTCGGTTTCTCCCCCTATATCCCGCCTGAAATAGCCACCGACTCGCAGGTGTCAGTAATCAGCCGGGTATGGGATCTTGTCTATTCCCTCTCTACCTCCCCGTACCCTCGGCTCTTGTGACGATTTTCATTTCCTCACTCTCTGGTTCTCCACCCCCCCCCCCCCCCCCCCCCTTTGATTCACGATAAACAAGATTCACCGTCATGTAACCCCTCCCCACCCCCTTTTAGCATCCTCATACACAGGCGTATTTGTTTGCAGGATCGGTTCTCCTCTTTATGTTAATGCCACCTCGATTTCCAATTTCTTGTTCTCCCCCTCAATTAGGATCTTGGTCCCCTAAGAAGTTTAAGAAGGTTGCCCTCGCTTGGCTGATCTCGGGGTTTGTTTGTTAGTGGTCTTCCACTCTGAGAACAAACATGATTTAGATCAGTGTTCATTCTAGAGTTGGTTGGTCTTGCTGATGCTCTGGCAACAACTCCGGATGAAAATGAGTTTATTTTCGATCATGCTTCATTCGGTAGTTTCTTTCGTAACTTTCCACAAATTAAAATGTCAACAGTATGCTCTTTAGTTTTATATAGTACTGTTCTTAACCGGCCATGGGTCTTAGAGGGTCTTGTGCATAGTACTGAGGTCTGACCTAAGACTGCAGTGATGTTTAATTAAGTGTTTGATCCCCTTGATAACCGACTCTTTCACTTTTCTACTGCCTACTAATACATAGTAGGGAACGACCAACCCTTTGTGAAGTGGACCAGGAGGGCTTCTATGCACCTGGGCATTGAGACGTCCTCAGGAAAACAAAAAAAGCTCTCGCACACATTTATATCAATGAGAAGAATTTCCAGAATACCACAATCCAGCAACCCATGGAACAGGCCAAATCTCTTGAAAAATAAGTCCAACCTCACAGCTATCAATATGTCCAATTTGTTTGGGCATCTCTATGGCAGACAGAGACTGCATACCACCAGTATCCACTCAGGCGCCATCACCGCGAGCATTTCGCATAATCTGCTCAAGATTAAGCTCTTAGAGCAGGGCGTGGCTACCACTACTTCGTAAAGAGTAAAAAAAGAAAGGATCTAGGCGAGTGTACTATATATTCCCTACTATCAAATCCTAATCCTAATAAATTGAATATACTCTATATAGGAAGGTTCTAGGCAGCTAAACACAGGCGTGTATTTACGTATTATCCGGTTTAGTGGGGCTCGATAGCTATCGGCCTATATAGCCTGACCTTGGCGGCGCTGATAACTTTTTTGTTCTAGGTCCCGGTCTTACTACTTCGGAAATAGCCTGCTCCGAGTTATCGAAAGCAGTACTAGTTCTTCCAGTATTTACAAAATCTAGTAGGGCCACGAACAGTTTCCGCAGGTACCGTTCACCCGATGCCGCAACCTATAATTACAGTAATTTTCTCGATCTACTAGAGATACACCCAAGCAAAGAGAGAAGAGACTTTCCTAGTGAATTAGGATTAGCGCGGCTTGGGTGGAGCGCTGAGAAAGAAGGCGTATGTTAAAGGCCGAATTGGGTAATCCGTTTTCGAATTCTACTATATACTAGTATCTCTGGAGGGCGTCCCAGTCTGTTGCGTGAAGCCCATGAGTGATCGTTTCGATCTGGATACAAAACTCTCATCCAAGCAACGACTAAAGCATGAGGTCCATCGAACATAATATCATCGATACCGTTCACACGACCTTGGCCTTCCGATTTAACCCAGCCCTCAGTGGCTGTGACCATAACGAGGTCGGGAACCCGCAAATACCCAAACGAGACATCCAAGATGTGGCTATTCACGAGATATCTAGTCGCGAGCAGCAGTTTACACATGACCTAGCAGGCTATCAGTTCATACATCATAAGTCTGAAGTTCTCGATCTCGATCTCAAAGACGATGAAGTAGTCCCTTCGAAGTATTACGACGAAGCTCCCAGTCTCGTGAAGGTCATGTCAGATTCTGGCTTGCGATTCTTTGAGCATAACGCTAATTCCAGTACAGGACAGGGCCTAGCTTTGCTCAGTTGCTACATGCACTTCCTTCGGACCTCGAATTAAGATAGTCGGCCAAAGATCGACAAATTCATCATCCCCCCAGCACATGCCGTCCATGTCGACTGCAGTTATAACGACGCCCCGGAGTACATACGCACCTTGCCAGAGCGACCTCCAGACTGGGAACGTGTCTCTCGATTCCGATGGGCAAGCTTCAGCTGCTGGCGACCGGTGAACAGGGTGACCCGTGGTGCACTTTGCGTTGGAGACAAGAGGACTATCCCAGACAGTGACTTGATAGATGGCAGTACTGATATGCCCGTGGATGGTCGGCAAAGGAGGGCGGGTTTTTTGTTTTCGGTCAACCACAACTCCGCGCACAGGTACTGTTACAAGAAAGAGATGGAACCAGAGGATGTGCTTTGGATCAAACTTTACGATAGTAAGACTGATGGAAGAGCGAGGTGTTCACCGCATTCGTGAGTTCATCTAGTCTCAATCTGCAAAGTCGATGCTGACGGGTCTGTTGCAGGGCATTCAACACGGCCGATGACTATGGTGAGGCCAGACAGAGTATTGAGACCAGATGCATAGTTGTATGGGAGGACGAATCGTTGCACTAGGATGGAAAGAAAAGCTCCGAGGCTTTGCTAGCTATGATCCAATTTGTCCTGTATGTCTATCGGCAAATGGTTGCGTAGAGACACACCCTATTAAGTCGATTAAACCCCCAGCCAGGGCTAACTATACCCGGCAGGGCCCGGGACCCTGACAAGCAAGCTGGAATGCGTATCTCTCACCTTGAGACGACAGTACCTAAGAATCCTTGTCGGTATCAATCTATGCTGATCTGTGGTATTAGGTTGTCTTGGACTCCCACGTCTAGCACAACGCGCCGGGGTGATGGAGTGGCAAATGGGCTGGGCAGTGCACGATATCCCGCCACGGATTGGGCTTGGAGAACGCTCGGGACGGGAAATCATACGAATGTATACCAATGCGATGTCAGCCAAGTAAAGCCAGAGCCCCGAGTTTGCCCACCACCATGATCATCATTATGATCATAGTCGCGGTCATAACAGAAGATTGACATAAACAGACTATTTCCAGGGATCTGCATGGACCCTTTTGTTCGGGATCAAGGGGTTTTGTGTCAAGAGAATCTAACAAAACACTCGCCAAGAAGGGCCGTATGACATCACAGGCCTCTTACGTCAGGTACTTCCATCCCGCCCAAAAATGTATGAGAGCGGAAGTACCCGTTGCCTCCCGTCGTTTCCGGACTAAAAAAACTCGCTTTTCTTAGAAACCGCTTGTTCGTCTCGCTTTTCCGCTTGTCGACAATTTGTTTTCTTCTTCCCAAATCCTCGAGCCGGGATTGCCAGTCTCCAGTTTTCCGTCATGTCCTAACGGCCGACTATTCCGTCCTCCATCCCGCCCCGTTACTCGTCCTCCCGCTTGGCGTCGTATAAACAGACCGCTCCCCTGAACAACCCACATCCGACTCCGGTACCTCCGTTGCGCGGTTCGCCGCCATCGCCACGCTCATGGAAGAAGGAACTGGCCCTCTACCCTCCGAGCCTCCCCCCTCTCCCCTACTCGCTACACACCCGCAAGAAGGCTATCGCTTTTTTCTGGATCCTGTTTGTCGTCGATACCCTAGGCCAGCCGCTGGTGCTGTATTGGGCGCTATGGTACGCCACGGATTTGTCGCATAACTTGGGTAGGGTTCAAGTCGGAAACGAGTCGAATTAGTTTCAACAGCTAATCTTGTACTGCAGTGTTTTCAATTGTGACGGCATGCTTGGGAGGTATCTCCGTCTTCGAATACTTCTATCGCCTACACAATCTATTTCGGAAAAACTCTCGCGCTCGCCCTCTCAACGCTCGGAAGTCATGGGTACGATCTTCTTCGCGAATTCACAAGACAAATGAGCGCTCGCTAATAGATTGCTCCCTAGCTGGACTTCTTCCACATCAATTTCACGATCGTATGGCTCATTTTGGCTGTCGAGCTTATCGTGTATGTTTGTTGATTTATCTCCACGTAGACTGACCAGCTAAGCTAACCGATACACAGTGGAACTGTCCCTGAGGAACCTTATGGTAGGGTTTTCGGATACTCTTATCATATTAGCTATTCCCAGCTGACCATTTCATTAGTGCGCCTTGTGGCTATGGTTCTACCAACTGTCATGTTCTATTTTGGCTTCGTCCATCTCACGCTCGATATTCTGCGCATGGCCGGATTCAAAGCGCCCTTCCGAATCTCCTCCACTCCCAAAGGGTCTGTTATGCCGACCGCATTATATGCTCTCATCGAGGATGTCGTGGCAGTTGACGGAGGAGGCGGTCAGATGTACCGATATGCGCTCCGAACGCGCTACCTCTCTAGCCCTTACTTCCGCCGAATGCTTTTCGAGATGAACTGCTTCTGGAGCGGTGGGTCCATAATCTGCGCCGCCGCCATCACCGCAGTTATCTTCACCGTTTCGGAACCCGTTGCGTACACGGTAAGTTGATGCATGTGGAAGACTCCCGGAAGATGCAGATTTGGGCTGACGTCATGTTACTAGCTGGGCTGGTCCCTGCCATTCGCCTGGGCCGGTATATGGACCTTGATCACCATCCCTTGGGTCCAAAGTGATCTTCGTCGTGAGAAGAAAGCGTGGGCCGAGAATCGTGGCCAGGGCGGCATTCCTTGGACGGACGACATTACGGCGCCGACCGCACGCACACGATTCGAATCTGTTCAAGAACGCTTTCCCAACCTCCTTCCGTGGGTGCGAGAGAAACAGAGCGCCCCGTCAACGCCCTCCGCAGATGGCGTCGTCATGAACAAAAACCCCGAAAGCTTGCCCGATGATATCCACGACGGCGCTGCCGAATCAGTCGGGCGCGCCTCCGACGCCGCACCTGACGGTGCTGACGATGCGCCAGCAGGTCCTGATACTTCGACCCATACACCTGACGCTGCTCTGACAGGCACTCCCAACCATTCCTCCGAGATGCCGTCAACACAAATAAACTGACCTATATTGTAATTTTCCATGATTTGACGACACATCTTCTCTACCTTAAACGGGCTCAATGAAGCCGCAACTTTCTCCATTGAGAGATCTTTGTTCAATTTGATTTGCACAGCAAGATGAAGACTTCCTTTCAATTTGATTTTTGTTTTCGTAACAAATTATAGACTCGGTGGGCTTTGGTTTGATATTGGCAATGTACTTTTGAATAGCAGCTTCCTTGTCTGTGTATATAGATACCCTTTGATCTCGAGCAAAAAACAAGTGGATTATAGTCATCCAAGGTGTCTTGTCACCTAAGTGTGTTCTGTGGTCTCTGTAGTCTTGCGATTCATATCTTGGTCTCACCAATGCCAACGCTACTAAGCTAGAAGCTACATACATGGTGTGGCCTTCTCCCGGGGCTTTAGCGCTACTCTCCGAGCAACTTTCCTCAACGCCCGAGGTAGTAGATCCAAATACATCCCAAGGGCTTTTTATCTCGTTCACTCGAGGCAAGCAACCCCTTTCAACTCAGTCCAAGCTAAATGCAAATTTGAAGCGGAAGGAATATACAGAGCCTGCACCCAGGAACCAAAAAAAAAATAAATACAAGAGAAGAGAAATATCAGATATCAGGTTTGCCAAAAAAACAACCGCAGCTCCACCGAAGCCGCGGCAGGGAAGAAAGGTAGTTCGAATTATGAAAGCGAAGATAAAGTAAGAAAGAAGAGAAAAAAAGAACCACCACTCCATCTATGCATGCAAAACCGAAATACAATATATAAAGCTGCAGGAAAGAAGAAAACGAGAGACATTTTCTTTTCCGGTAGCCACAAGCCCAAGAATAGATAAAAGAAATAAAAGAAAAGGGCACCAAAATCACGGGTTAACGCCTATATACGGCCCCGCTGCACATAGAGGGTATCTAAGAAGGAATGCGGGGCCTGGGGGATTCGAGGGTGCGGAGAATGCTTTACATGAAGGGAAGGGTGACCGGAGGTTGAAGGTCACGGAAGGAGGATGGAGAGGATGGAAGAAATTAAGTATCGAGGTGGGAGGGGTAGGGTTGAAATTTCACGAGGTGTGATGTGATGATCATCACTTGCGGTTCATCAGCTTGCGGCCAAAGTTGCGGATGGTTCGCTTGTGGCTGGTTTAATGCCCATTCGTTAGCATTCTGGTACCGAGTAGCCTAGTTCCAAAAAGGTTCATACCTATCATCCTGTTCGTCCCCATTGGCTGCGGTGATGGTGGTAACAGTATTACCAGAAGTCATGGGTCGGACAGGTGCATTGACAAAGCGGCGAGATTCCTAGATGAACATCAATTAGTATGTAGGCTGATGTCGAGAATACTCAAAGAACTCACCTCCCAGCGAGAGTCCACGTCCACTTCACTTGCAGACCGAGAATCGCTAATTGGGGGATCATATTCTTGCGGGTCACGCATGTCCGAGCTGAGAGACACTGATCGAGCTAACGGTGAGGCATTCGACTGCATAGACTTGCGCGAGCGAGACTCAGAGTACTCGCTGTTCGAGTCAAAGCTATTCAGACTTGAGGCTTGGCTCCGCTCAGAAGGAAGGTTGCTCGCACTAGGCAGAAGCTGAGACGAGGATGCTAGTTCGCGATAACGCTTCTGCTGTTGTTTCGAAGGACGGTGATGCGAGAATTTGTTGCCGAGAATGGCTGGCGCATGAGAAATAAGAGCCTTGATAACGTCCTTCTTCAAGCGTAAGGCAAGATCGAGGTTCGACCATGTCTTGTTGCCATACTCTAGAACGGGAAGACGGAAGACAAACCCGTGGAGATCCTCGAGGTTGTGTTCGCCTTTTCCTTTGTAGCTCATGCAGAGAACCACATCATGCACCTTGACACGGGCCAAGGTCATGTAGTTGGAGGCTCGGGACATCATTTGCGACAAGTCATCGGTAGGCTCCTTTGACTTATCGCGGCCCTTGCTTAGACCGAACTTCTTCTTTTCCTCGGTGCTTGTACTAGATAAAGATCTGTCCGTAGGCTGCTTCGACAACATGCGGATGCTATCCACAGATCGCTTCTTTGTCAAAGCACCAGTAGTCGAAGGCCGGGGCAGCCCTCTAGTGTTTTCGGGTACTCCCAAACGGCTGGTGTTGCTCCGGTGGATAGGAGTCATGGCCAGACCCTTGAGATGAGTCGAACGTCGACTGGACTTGCTCTCCTCAGAAAGAGACAGAGTTGGCTGAAGTCTCAGTTCAATCGACCCAGGGCCCTTGGTTCCTTGCAAGTCTTCCATTGAGACGTTGTCATCGTCAGTGCGCAACGATTGGGTCATTGGTGAGTTGTTACTTGATATATCACCTTCATCGTCTTCGTCATCGGAAGCATCGATTGGCTTCATGTTCTTAATCATGAAAGGAGAGAAACCGCCACTTTCAAAGGCCCCAGAGCCCATATTCGGGAAAATGTACTCAAACAGCCTTTGCCCAAGTTCCCGCTCCAGTTGAATCTTGAGCGGAAACAGCGATACCTCGAAATTGTCGACCACAGGGATACCGGCGACAGCCTCGAGCATATGCCATTTAACGCGGAGAATGCAATCATCCAAAGGACGCGGCTGGTCGAGATACGGTGCAATGATCTGAGGATAGATAGCATCAGGAAGGAGGTTTAGGCCACTCAAGTTCTCAACAGCGACGAGATTGTGGTTGGAGCCGTCGGAATTGTCGGTCCGTTCATACTGGGCATTCTTGAGCTGAAACTCGACCAGCGGGGCAGAGGCCTCCTTCATCAAATGCCAGACAACCTCTGACGCGGAAATACTCCATCGCAGGACTCCATTTGTCTTGGAAGAGCTAGGGTCGGCTCGTCTTTGGGAAGTTGTAATAGCTTTCATCATGAAGAAGAGCTCATCCTCACATTGAGATAAGTCACGCTCAAGAGTCAACCGATCTTCCCAGCCCTCCTTATCCAGGTATTTGGCATTTATCTGGAAATATTCTTTGATCTCCTCCAGCTGTCGAATACGTGCTTGTAACTTGAACACCGCTTCGGGGGCGCCACGAAGATCGCTGAAATCGGAGGTGAGCATAATCTTCTCCAAGCGCTCATTGCGGACCTTTTCGAGCGGTTCACTGTAGAGCATGAGGTCCAAGACGATGATGTACATGGAGTAGTACTCGGCAGAATCACAGATGGCACGGAAATGGGGGAAGTCGACGCTGATTTGATCGATTCGGGTTTCGTCACCTCCAGGGTGTGGGCCTTGGTGGCCCTTGGCTACCTCCTCGTTGTACTTCAGACGAAGGTTGTTGTACTTGTCATATCGGAGAGTAGCAGAGGTCTTCTGAACGATACGCGAGAATCCAAATGGGTTGAGCTCAAAGTCGAACATGGCCTCCAGGGTCAACCAAGGAGGCCACGCAGATCCCGGTGCATTGCCGTACTTGTTGCCAGCATAGAACTGCAAGTTCGCCATGAGATTCTTCTGCGTTGCAACAAAGAACTGGGCCCCGTCCATCTCGAGAGAAAAGCGCCGTTGGACTAAGCCGCTGACATCGTCCGAAACACGCTCCTTATCCATAATTGACACAACCTTGAGCTCCATGCCTTTAGCGGCCACCAGCAAGACGGACTTGCGGTTCTTTTCACTCAAAAGCTGGATCTGAGGTGCAATAAGACGCAAGTAATAACTGTTCTGGGGCGTGAACTCTGGGGCGATATTTTCGCTGGAGTCGTCAGATTTTGTAGGTGACGGGTTATTTGAATCGGAAGCCTCAGACTCCTCGGCGTTCACAAAGCGCTTGGCATCGTTCAGCAACTGCTCAATGCGGTCCTCAACATTCTCATCATCATTGTCGCTGCGTGTCTGTGATTTGGACATCTTCGGGTTCTTTCTTTTGTTCTTGTTCTGTTCTTCCACGATGTCAAGGATGAATTTGACCGCACGTCGAGACATGTAATAAACGAAACCACGACGCTGGCTGACTTGGTGGCTGTAGCGCAAAATGATATTCCGGAGAGAGTTGTTCCACTTCAATTGCACATTGTGAATCATGAAGCGATTGTTAAAGTCGCTGGAGAAGTCATCGGCGGCAGAAGAATACAGCCCGTCGAGGCCAGACGTACGCCCGTCGGCAGTCGAATCCCCATCCTGACCCATTCGGGATGAGGTTTCACTCTCAGCAATGTTAATGTTCGACTTGGCACTGGTGGGAGTCCGTTCCTCGCGGGCCAGGTGCCTTTCAAGCCGTTGCAATGTGGACGTCAAGAACCTCCGTCGTCTCGCAAGAGAGTCGGCCTGGCGACGATAGACTTCATGCTGATCCTTGAGGCTTGCGTCATCGTCAACATCATTCATCAACTTCAACTCTTGCTCGCCAATGGTACGCTCGTAATTCCGGATTTGAGCTTCGACTGTAGCGAGGCGGTCTTTAGTCAATTCGATTTGAACACGGCGCGGATCATTGGTTTCAGACATGACACAATCATGAGTAGGTTCGTTTCCAAAAGTACTATAGCCTGTTTCTTCGGATCCAATTTCCCCATGATCAGTTTGGCGGAAGTAAGTGAATCGCGGAGTGAAGGCAAGCGGGAGAATCTGGGTTCGGGGGTTTGACTCTTGAGGGAGAATCCAATCCGGCTCCACAAAATCATCCATATCAATCCAGTCCAAGTTCTGGTCAGGAATGGTGAATCTTGATAGATCAACAGAAGGCACAGGTTGCTGGAAAGAAGAGATGATATCATCACGGTTCTTCTCAATGTCCTCGGCTGTCGTGCCTTCGATACTGGCAGAGACGGCTCGGAAGTCAGCAGATTGCAAGTCAATCAAAGCCTGATTGATACGCATTGCGCTTGTCTTAGTCTGCTTAGAACGGCCTCGAGTCTGCGTCTTTATTTGTTCGCGACGCTGGTGAATATCGAGCTTGAGGCTGTCAAGCCGCACCTTGAGACCTGTAGCAGTGACAACATTCTCTTCATAGTCCTCACGGTCCTTATGCTTGTACATGTGTGCCACAAATAGAGGAGCGAGTAGAAGTTTATACTTGACAGTTGCCAGGTGACGATTGAACTTCTTGCTCGTTTTAGTGATTCCAGGGAAGAGGGGACCTTGGCGAACAGGAAGAGACATGACGCCGGAAAACAGAGACCACCAGTTGAAGAAATGGGTGAAGAATCGAGGAGTCAAGTGTGTCGTGTTGTAACTTGAAGAAGGCTGAATATCATCAACAGTCCAGTTTCGGCTCTGCGGTGCAATGACCGACACAGACAGGTGAATATGATCACTGCGGAAGCCACGGAATGCGTCGTAGTTTGCACGCTCTTCCGGGTCAACAAACTTTGGGTTCTTGAGGACGACATCGTAGTGAGGCTTAAATGCAAACGATCGCGAGTCGGCATCAACATCGCGTTCAAAGACCAGACCAGTGGCCCATTTGACATCGCCTGAGAGTTTCATGACAACCTTCTTGAAGTGTGCAGCATTCTTCTGTTCACTAGATGCAGAACTGCTCTCCATTTCTTCCATATTAATTTCATTCGCCCATCGAGCCTCGGCACTGTAGTCAGGTATTGCCAGCACATATTCACCACTTGTCACACTCATGAACTCCATTGGATCGTCACTCGTGTGGATTTCCCACTTGACATCTCTTCGCCAGCACATAACGAAACCACTTCCAAAGCCAGTCACCACATATGGATCGCGTGAACCTTTGAGGCGCAAGTGGACATCACCATCTTCCTTCCAAAGAACTTGAATTCGGGAATGAAAACTAAGACGAATCTTGTCCCAGAAGCCGACACGCTCGGACGGATCAATTTCGGGTTTGGTGAAGCCTTCAATGATCTTCATCATGTCCTGGATCACTGGCTGGTACGAAACTCCCCATGAGATGCTTGTTGGTAAGCTGGTATTGATCTCGAAAACAGGGTCGGAGTACGTCTTCACGGGTGTCACAGACCGCCAGACCTTGATATTGAATGGATCACTGTGAGAACCGTCGGGTAATTCAGTCGGCGGAACAAGTTCCACCTCAACCTGTCTCGCCGACTCATGGTCCCTGAATTCTTCAGCGATAACAAAATTTGTGCGCAGTGACCAACTAGGAAGCCTGGGAGATTGCCCCGGGCGCAATGCTGGAATATGAAGTAGATCAAGAGGATAGTCGCGCAGATTGACCCGTGCTTCGCCCATTTCCAAGTTGAAGCTCATTGGAAGCAGCAAGCCATACTTCATGGACATAGGCATTCCTTTACCGATTCGATTGAGGAATGTAGGATAGTCATCGAGCGGGAAGGATGGTTTGTCGATAACCAGATTCACATCGCTGATCAGCGCAGACATGAGACCCGGCCGGTTTGGAATGGCAAGGATAGTCTCAGTCTCTTTCACGTCCTCAGGGGGCTCATCTGCACCAGAAAACAGATTCCGCACCTCTTTGATAGACGTGCCCTGGAACTTGAGAGCAGAGTCGATCTTCTCCTTCCATACCTGAGCATTGTGCTGCTGAAGTCGGTTCCAGGCTGCATCAGTAGAAATTTTGTACTCGGAAGATAGACATGTCGCTCCCTCAGTGTCATATCGAAACTTGCGACCACGGCCACGGGTTTGCTCATCTTTTCTCGGACGTGTGTCTGCGCTTTGGCTTCGGCGGGTATCTTGGCTAGTACGTTCGCTGCGCAGAGTTCGGTTGCTTGATTTGGCTCGTAGGCGGGATGATGCGCGCTTCTGGTCTGTCTCCTTGATCTTGGAGGCTTTCAAGTAGAAAGCTTCCTCTCGGGCCAAGCGCTGGGCCTGTTCAATCAAACCAGTCCGATAGATGCAGCCCAATTTCCATTCGAAAGCGTCATCCTCCAGTTCAAAGAGCAAGGCTTTGCTGCGAAGCGAGATCCTTGGGACCTTCTTCGGCTCCTCGGGCTCCCGAACAGAAACAAATTCTCTAGATCTGTTTTTGAAACGATGGGCGAGCTGTTTAAATGCTTTTGAGGTATTAATCAAATTGTCGAAGATACGATGCATCACCATATGGTGAGGAACGCCCAACCGAATGAAATCCGCCCATAAGTCAATAGATCTCTCCTCGTGGAAATTAGCGCCTTGTTTCAGCTTCATTTTGCGGAAATCAAGCCGAACATTGTTCATGCTACCAATTCTGGCCCAAACGCCTTTCAGCTTGGGCGCTTCCGAGTGCAAGCGAACAAGATTGGCCTTGATATGAGGGGTGGAAAGTCGTTGAGAACCACCCGCCAGACCGTAGATCTGAACCATCATCTGAGGATCGTTTGGTAGGCTGGCCTTAAGTTGGACGAGGGTGGCTTTCACATCTACTGTTATAAGCTCATTCTTTGGAGATGATGGAGAGTATGGAGGCGGTGGCATTGAAATGCTCGCCGAGCTTTTTGGCTTGCTGGCGCCAGGGGTCCGGTCCTGAGGTAGGGGTGTAAGCACATCTTGGATGACTGAGACGGCAACGCCCAAGCAATAGAAACGATACAGAGAATATTGAAGGTATATTCCCTTAAAGACGGAGTTCACGTGAAGAACTGGGCCAAGGCGGTCACTATGGGTACTCAGAGCAATCTCAAAACGAGGTAGAGAGAAGAAAGGCTCCGGTTCCAGATAGTCATCGGATTCAATGACAAAGCCATCGAAGCCACGGGCATGCAAAGCGAGTCTTCTCCCATCTGTGGCACCACGTCTCGTGTTCTTAGGAGGCGAGGTTGGCGTGAAACGGAAAGGCGACTCATCGCCGATTGTAGAGTGGCTCGAAGTACGACGCCTGGCAATACTCCCAACACTGTGTTCTGTTTTCTGGGCTTTATACTCTGCATTCCAGGATTGCAACTGCAAAGAAACGCCACGAGATATTTCAGAGACGGGTTTATCAACTCCTGCAATCTCCACACTGAATCCAGTTGCTTCAAAGGAAAATTGAAGAAGCCATGGGGGTATTTTTCTCAGAGGGCTCGATTTGCGTTCGTTAAATGCCATTGGTGCCCTCTTCTGTGGCTGCAAATGGGTCCGGAATTGCTCAAGGACTTCACGAATGCCACGATTGACGTCTCCATTGATCATGTGAACAGAGCAATCATTCAAATTACCTGAAGCAATGACACAAACCTCGGGGCTTGCGTTCAGGTGGCACTTCAGTTCCAAGTTCTCTGTTGTGAGGAGGTTGTGTTTGTCCCCAGCAGGGGTCTGGTAATAAAACTTGTGAGATGCCACCCGATAGACAGAGGAAAGAGAGTAGTGGGCGCCGCCCTCAGACGAGTGAGAAGATTCGACATCTAGTGAGATAGAAGATATGGAGGAGATCAAGAGGTTGTAGTCATCAGGAGTACCGGACTCTTTTTCAATAGGTAGAACAAATCGAATGACAGGTTCGGGAACGGAAAGTTTGATGCTGGCCTTTGGAAGTAAACGGGAGATGAGATGATGATTATCGCGTTTTTTCACGCGAGGGGAAGATGCCCGCGCCTGCGCCAACTTCAACAAGCGGGATACATGTTTAGGCTGCATGTCGAGCGATGGCGATGTGATGACCAAATTGGCAAAAAGCACATTGGAATTTCGCTCTTCTGGGTTCTCCTCCTCAAATCCACTGACGGTCTTGGATGGAAGAGTAGTTTTGATCGTTGTTGTAGCCATGGGAACATAGAGAATGTTGTTGGTTTCACCAGAGTCATCGTCCAAGCTGACAGACAAGGAAATTGCCGCAAGTAATGCTTGGTGGGCAATGTCGTTGCGTTGGAAGTACATGCGATGCTCCGGGCTCTTCTGATCCATGCGGTGAAGATCAATTCCAAGCTCATGGGATACCACATTCAGATAAACGGGATGTTGGCCGGCAGACAAGGACTCAAGGCCCCGTGATAGCCGGAAGAAACTCAGAGCAACCTGGATTTCCTGGATACCACGAAGTAAAGAGCTCGCGAACTCCTTCGAATCGGCCACAGTCTGCACGATAGAGTCGTCTCGGCTGCCAGGCTTGTCCAATTCCTCCACAAAGTCTGCGAACGACATCTCATCGTCAGTCTCATTGAGCACGGGGATTTTCGAGAGCTTCTGGGAAGACTTGAGGCGTTGAAGTAACGTGTGTAGGTCATCGTACGGAATGTGAAGTCGTCCAATCTTGAGTGCGATTGACGCATCCCTGAGGCCATCGAGGTCTTTATAGAGCAAGCCGTGGATGTTGACACCAACGTTATCCAAGAGCTCGGTTGGTTCTCGACCCTCCACCGCGAGCAGGACATTTTGAACATTCATAATCCACTCGGCGGGGCGTTGCTCACGGGACATATCTTTCTTGCGACGAAAAAGTTTGCCCCTTTCCACCATCTTACTCCGGGTATCCACTGAAAGTGCGAGCGAGCCAACTTGAATCTGGCCCGCATCAAGGAAGTGGATGGTGGTATTGATAGCGGAGAGATCAACCAGGGCCAGCCAGTTGATTTGTCGGTGCAGCCGCTTCAGGCGTTCTTTGATGCTTGTCAATGTCCTCCATGTTTTGCTGCGTGCGATAGACGATTCCGGTGTGGCAGGACCTTTGGAGGGGGTTCCCGGGCTCCCCGGGCTACCTGGACTCCGCGGGCTCCCCAAGTCCGGCGATCCGAGTAAGTCTCGTGATGGCTCACTCTTCCCTTTCGACAAAGCAGCTGTATCCAACGTGATTTTCAAGTCCGTCAGGCGGATGCTGATCCACGTCGGTTGCGCGAAGGACGGCGGATGTAGCGAGAACCCAAGCCCGCGAATTTCAATCTGGAGACCTTCCTTCGGAGCATATGCGATGCGGCGGAGCGAAAAGTAGCCGATGCGCTGGATCGAGATTCCGGTGGCAATTCGAACAATCGCAAAGACGAAGAAGGACGAGAGATACAGTAGGAGGAAGCCGACGAGGATCGAGGTCGGATTGAAGAGAGTCATGACGACGTGCGATCAGCAGGGGCTGATCTGTCGAACAAAGGCGCACAGCACACCGAACATCGAGCGAATCACCAGCACAGTCAATTGTGTCGATCACTAAAAGTACTTTCAGGTCCCAGTCTTTTCAATCCTCCCTCGTATTGGGAGGAGGCGCGAGGGGTGAGGAAGCAGGCCGAAGTCTGGGCCAGTCTGTCGAGCACGATAGGGACGACCACACGATGTCACGAATCCCCGACCTCAGAAAAGTGGGGGTTCGAGGGTCCTCAAGTCCAGATTGTTAGTTGAACGAGCACCGCACACCTTGCCAGGCACCAGAGCCGAGCGAATGAACCATGGGGGGTGTGGGTTGGAGAGGTCGAAGTGCCGTGTCGTGGAGATCTGGAGAAGCCAGATTCATGGTTCGGACGCGCCGGAGAAACCACTGGGAGCGGAACGCTAATCTGCCACCCAAACCGGCTTTTCTCGGCGCCCGTCAGTCTGGAACCTTTTGACACTTCTTATCGCCCATTTACTTCGTAAGTCATGCCGGAATACTACGGTGACTACAGCCTCTCTGGACTTTCCCTCCGGATCCCTGCTCTCGCTTCGTTCGGCCGAAATTCTTCCTTCCAGCAAGGACTCGTGTGCTGAGGCTCCAAAATGATTTCACTGTGCAGGAATTACCGTGGGGCCTTTTCATGGCTTGTGATCGGCGTTCCATAATTCGACCCCCTATTTGCTTCCCTTCCACGCTAGAAGGAAATACGTCAAACGGAAATGAGTCGAAATAGTCGGAATAATAATAATACATAGTCTCGCTTCTTGGTATCATACAAATATACAAAACGGCGCCATGTTTGGCGCTAACAGGCGTCTGCTGCCCTAGGTATGCCAATCTGACACACTTAGCTAGAACAATTCCCCGAGCAAAGTCCTCATCAGAAACAAGGAGGGGCAATACAGCGACGAAAAAAAAGTGTCAGCGCTATGCTGTCCGTGCACTGCATCCAGGCCTCCCCCTCCCCTCCATTGCCCAGACGGTCGGGAGGCAGTGTCGTACTGGAGTTTCCAGCGTGCAAGACCATAGAGCGTGATGATTCCTTGACACAGCATGGATCATTTTGCTGGGGAAGTGGAAGATACAGGCGCTGGTCGGGTCTTCTCGAGCTCCTCAATCTTCTCATCTAAAAGCGCAATCTCCGCCTCGACACTGAGCAATTTCTCGCTCAACATCCCGCGATACTCCTGATCGGAGAGATGTCGAAGTGGAATCCACTTGGATTCGGCCACTCGTTGCCCAAATGGCTTCGAAGGGTGCTGGGCCCAGTCCATCTGCCAGGCATCGAGACGATTAAAGGCACTTTGGCCACCGTAGCCGAGGAGGGAGAAAATAACCAAACCTGGCACTAGTCGACCTCCTAGAGATAAAAAAGTGAATGAGCCTGGGTTTCAAGCACCCTCGACACAGACTTGCGAGGGGTTGCGGTACATACCCATGAGCCGGGTTACCACGCCGCCGGAGAGGCCACCGCAGAGGGCGCTAACATAGGCCCGCTCCGACGGGGATGGTTGATCTTGGAAGTGAATCTTGATAATGTTGCTTCGAAGCCCTGGGATACCATGTCAAAACAAGCCGGTCTGTCAGTAAAATGTTGGGATGAGGTACATACACCAGAATGTTGAACCACATGCAAACCAGTGGATGCCGCATGACAGCGAATGAACCACTGGGTTGGGGGATCGGAGCACCCCCGCCACGCCGCCATAGATTAAGCCCGCCGCACCTGGATGCAACCGGTAAGCAATACATTGGAGGTGGGATTCGAATTTGGGTTCGAGATGGCCTCAAGACATCAAAGCCTCAAGACCTCCAAACGTCGGGGAAGGATATACGAACCACTCAGGGCACCCACTTTGGCCGCCGCCAACAGCGGATCGCCCGCGGCCGTGGCATTGGGCCAACTGTTTCCGCTCATATTGCGAACGGACCGAACGAAGCTGAAGCTTTCCCTGTGTCGACCATTACAGATTTGAAGAATCGCGGCCGCGTGGAAGACGAAGAATACGGTCACGTGTATGTTTCCTTATGTAATCGTGTCTCTCCACGGTCCCGGACCAGGGCGTCCCATGCTTTCATAGCATTCGATCATGACCTCACAAGGGGAGATCTATCACATTCAAATTCGAGGAATGGCTTTGGGGCACTCTCTTGTTTTGGGTGCAGATTGGCTGGACTTGGTATAAGCATGTATACATAGAATGTTGCAGAGATCAGATCTCCCGTTCGGGCCCCCAATCTATATATATTGAATACTCCATCCCACGACAGAGCCTCCCTCCATTTTTATCCTCGCACATTCACAAATAAAAATACCCCAATAGGAGAGAGGTGATTACCATTTCGAAATACCATTTACCCTATCTCCATGTGGATCTGATCATAGGCTTTAAGTTCCGTCCTCCTCGGATTGGGTGCATTATTAGAGAAGCAATGATGATCGACTACCATATATTCCACTATACCCGGTCAGGAACAGCCAGTCGGCTTGCGACTGGTGGTCTCTCCCCTGGGTTAACGACAAGAAGCCGGGTCAGGACAAAGAGTACTTTGGAAGTGACTCTATGACGCTGTCTCCGAGAGATGATCGAGGATGGATCTAGGCCCCTGCTAGAGAAAGAACCCCAATCACCATCGGAGCCCAAGGGCGAGCGCCCGGAGAGGGCTTCTTAAGCGTTAAGCGGAGGGACCCACCGCAGGGACCAGGTGGAATTTCAAAGGGAGATCTGCCTGGACACGCATCAGCAGGGCGGCTCCAAGGAACATAGATAAATCACAACAGGTTCGTTATGACCGGACATTCTCGAGTCGCGACCGACAAGACCCCGGAGGTGAACGAACTGGTCCGATGCGCCGACTCGGACATTTGGGGAAGGGTGGTCGGTGCCCTGATTGGACTAGCGGCACCACTAAAAATTATCACGGATTAACTAACCCGGCCACTTCGTGCAGTCCCGATTGCCGACTTCCCCTCTACCAACTTTTCCACGGTGGAGTTTTTATCTGCAGGCCTTGACCCTCTTGACCATTCTGACGACTCGCACCACCTTGAGCAGACTCCTGGCCTTTCCCCTAGGTGTCTCCGATTTTTTCGTCTTTTCCCTCCCTCCTAAACCTTCTGTGTGAGAAGCGCGCACAAGTCCCGTTGGCGCGTTTCCTGCCCTCTTTCAACCGCAATCATGGGTGAGTAGATGGCGCTCCTCACTGCTCGGTCTATGGAGGAGATTTGAAGGGACCTTGTTTACTCAATATACTCTGTCGATAATGGTTGAACCTGACTGACTTTTCCTCTCCCACCAAGCGCCCTCTAAACAAAAGGCCCAGAAGATGTCCATTGGGGACTTCTTGGCCGACGATAGTGAGTGATGGATGATGCAGAATGAGATCGGTGGATACTAACCGCACCAAAAGGCCTCGGCTCCTGGGCTGATGAGATGGAGGATATGCCCGTTCCAGGTATGCCCCCCCTCCTCCCTCCCAATCCAGATTCCCCGCTATTGTACTGGCCACAGCAGTTACTGACCAAATTTCACAGCTGGTATGTCATGCGCAATCCAATTTTATCCCATAGACCCTCGACGACGACAAGGAATTTGCTCATGAGTCCGAATAGTGCCCTCTGGTCCCAGCTTCGGGGACCGTCGCCCTCCTCCCATGAGTGGCATGGGGTTCAACGGTGGTTTCGGTATGGCATTCTATATCTCATGAATACGGGTATAAATCCCGCGACAACAAGATCTGACAGACGCGACTTAGAACCCCGTGAGACCCGTGGTGGATATGCCGTCCGCGAGCCCCTCGCCCTTCCCACCGAGCCTCCGTTCACTGCACACGTTGGCAATCTGTCCTTCGAAGCGACCGCCGATGATATTTCCGATCTGTTTGCTGGGTGTGGCGTGACCAATGTCCGCATTGTGGAGGACAAGTTGACCAAGGCCCCCAAGGGTTTTGGCTACGTTGAATTCGAGACCGTCGATGGTTTGCAGAAGGCCCTCGATCTGTCCGGTACCACCCTCCAGGGCCGGACCATCCGTACCAGCGTTGCTGAGCCTCGTAAGTGTCCAAATATCTTATTTGCTTCTGTACTGTGTCATTAATCCCAATACAGCCAAGGAGTCCTCCCGCGCTGATTTCCGTGAGATGGATTGGACCCGCCGCGGACCTCTTCCCCCTCCCCCAGAGCGTCGTGTGCCTGACCGTTCCAGCTTTGGCCGCAACATGGATGCTGCCTCCGATGCTGGGAGCGAGCGCGGTGGTCGCCGCAACAACTTTGAAGGTGATGGAAAGTTCCGTGACTTCGGTAACTGGGAGCGCAAAGGCCCTCTTTCCCCCCCCCGCTGGCCCTCCCCGCGAGGGCGGCCGCCCTCGCAACAACGACGGCCCCGGCTCATCCGGCTTCCGACGAAGCTCCCCTGGCTGGGGTGAGGGACGCTCGCAGGATGGCTCCCGCCCCCCGCGCCCCGAGCGCACTCCTACCGCCGCCGAGATGGACAACCAGTGGCGCTCGAAAATGCGCCCCGACCAGCCCGCCGCTCCCAAGGAGTCCAGCAGCCCCACTTCTCCTGTTGCTCCCGCTACTCGCCCGAAGTTGAATCTCGCAAAGCGTACCGTCTCCGATGCCGTGTCCAGCCCAGCGTCCTCCGGAGGCGACTCGAAGGCCAGCCCCTTCGGCGCTGCCCGCCCCATCGATACCGCTACCCGTGAGCGTGAAGTAGAGGAAAAGCGCCAGCTTGCTATTCGCCAAAAGAAGGAGGCCGATGATAAGGCGAAGGCTGAGAAGCCGGAGAAGACCGAGAAATCCGAGAAGTCCGAGAAGCCTAAGAACACCAAGGAGCCCTCGAAGGAGCACAAGCCCGGCATGGATTCCAACAAGGATGCTATTGAGCCTCCTCGTGGTGGTGGTAACTTTGAGATCCTCCGGCGGGCCGGTGGGGATGAGAGCGGCATGGCTGCTGACAAGGAGCCCGAGGAGACCGCCGCTTCTACTGCGGCCACCGAGGAGCCGGCCAAGGAGTCGGCCACTAATGGCAGCTGGAGAGCCGCGGAGACCGCTGATGATAATGACGGATGGAGTACTGTGGACACAACGAAGAAGCGCGGCCGCCGTGGTGGTCGTTTTTAATAGACGGATCGATACCCTGAAGCAACCTTCCGCTTTACGCCCTTGACTTGTGGTCTGGCCGAACAGATGCGCCTGAGAAGGGCCGCGCACGCTGATGATTTCTTCCCATCGCCACTTCAGGCCAGAATATCTTCAGGATGACGGTCTCGATTCTTGGTTTCCGCGTTGTTTGCCATGAGCATGATTCCCCATCTGTCTTCACGAGTGCTTGACGACGGTAGCTGTTATGTCTTGAACTTCCCTCTCCATCTTCACCCTTTCTCTGTTGTCTCTGGTTCCATGATCTTCTCCCACCCTTTTTTTGTCTCTATCGGGCTAGATTTTCCCGATATACATCTAGTCCTCGCTCTGATGATTTGGCAGTCTGAAAAGTTTCTTCCGCCTTTATTTTCTGTTTGTTCTCTTTGATGTCTTGTCGCTGTTCGCTATCTAGCTACTATTCCCATGCGAGTGACTCGAGTGATTTGCCCATGACCATTACAGCCGACGCGAAATGAAGATTACCTGAACTTTTCCACTTCTCTTCTTATTGTTTCCTTGTGATTGACTCTCTAAATGGTTTCGTTATTTCGCCTCTGCCTACCCCCTGTTCCGAGCCTCATGCTCGACGCCAGAGTCAGGATTTCAAGAGCCCTGGTCATCTTTCTTCGGAGTATCCTCACGGCTGCTCCTGATCTCGTCTGTCAAGCAATGCATCTGCAGAAAACATTCCATAAGAGTCGAGGCAATCATCTTTGGCATTGTCTCTTAACTCTTCGTCGATGATGATGATGAATCCGTGGTGTTTTGCTCTCGGGCTCTTGTCTCCTCTCTTGCCCCCACTCCCCCTCTGTCTCGGTCAATTCCTGTGCATGGCGCCGAACCAGAGCTGTGCATCTGTGTCTCTCGTCATTTCGCTCCACCCGCACAAGTAATGATGGAAACTATGCCTCGCCCTCCTCCAGTATAGATTGAAATGCAGTCTTCATTGACAGTTTACTCGCCATTGTGCTCAAAGCGTACAAGCAAGAAGTGTGGCAACTAGTCTAAAAATCAATACCTAGACCGGTCTTTGAAAAAAACCCTAAAAGCTAACTTGATTCCTATATGAAAGGAGCATGGGAGCCGTTTCGCCATCGTTTTGGAACAATACATGAAGATCCATTCAAAAGAAATGTGCGCCGCATTAACCATGATGATTTGGCCACTATTTTTTGTACATAAAAAAGTATACGTGTCATCCCGCCTTTTTTTTTTTTTTCCTTGGTGTGCTCCTTTTTTTTGTGGAGCAAAGGACGAAAGCACAGGGGGCACACGGGTGGTACGTAAAGTTAATACATTGACTCCTTTGCTCGTGTGTACACTGCGGCAGTATATTTTCCGTACATCGCATAATAATGATCTTGCTTGGTTCTTTTTCGTCGAATGCTAGTAATCACACCCAGATGAGGCCCCTGCCGGACTACTGAACCTTACATCGGTCCCCCCCCGCAAATACGGCTATGATGCTAATGATAATCATTTTCTTTTCCAGGGGTAGGAATATCAGGGAGCGCTTAATGTAGACATTGGCTAAGTCAATATCTCGGCAAGGGCGTTATAAATAGTATAGTTAGGTCTCGCCGAGGGTCTTTGTCAATGCAGTTCGGCACATCCACAAGCAATACGTAAATATGGGAGGATGGCCGAGGGCCACGGGGAGGCTGGGGCGTGGGGAACCGTTGCGGTACACCAAATCATCACATCCCGCGCTTGCACCGAGAATCCAAAGTGAAATGTTAATAGTCAACGAACAACAAGAAAAAAAAAGAAGAAAAACCATAAATGTTGGTATTATGAACCTAAAAATATCTGTCAAAAATTAGAGCACCGAAAAGACGAGAAGACGAGGGTGTCAAACAGGGTGAGACAAGCCAAATAGTCGCCGGCCCCCCGACGCCCATTGGGCGCCCAATAGACCGGTGGCGCAGTCTGGAGTTGATGAACCCCTTCACAGGCCCAACCCAGCAATGGAAATGAGTCGTGTTTCACGATCCTCCCGCACCCCATTCTCCTCATAATCCTCGCTACCCGCATTACCCTTGTCGCCCTCTGATTCCGATCACGCTCTCTCTTCTCTACAGGCCCTCCAGTACGGCTGTTCTCGATCTCGGCGCTACAAGTACTTGGACGATCTTCGGGGTCAAACCCTCATGTTGTCATGTCCGCTACGACCACGACGCTCACGTCCACCACTCTTGTCGGAGCGCCCTCCGCGATGACGCATGTCACGACTCTCTCAGAAAAGCAGTGTCCAACATGCGGAGGATATGAATCGCATGATGCCGCGGAGTCTCACCGTCGGATCCAGGAGTTGGAGGGGCACATCCAGGAGTTGACCGAGCGTGCTGCAATTACCGGTAAGCCAAAGCCCTGACGCCCCGTCGCTTTCTCCCCGACAAGAGAGCGCATTTCGCACGTCTGAGGCCGTACGCCCAGCGCTCTGCCTGTTATTGATCCAGAGCAACCCGCTGACCGACTCTTGCAGCCGGCAAGCTCGCCGACTACGAAGACGAACTGCACCGACTGCGCTCGGCGCAACCCGCCTACGATACCCCCCGCAACAGCGCATCGCGGCCGCCCTCGTCCTCGCACGGCGAACGAACCCTCGCCCCGAGCACTCTCCCCGTATCCTCGCCCTCTGCCTCGTCCCAGACCTCCACGCAAACCCATCACAGCCGTCTCTCAACCCTCACCTCGCTCCTCCCCTACCGCCGCGGCAGCGCCAACCCAGCAACATCGCAGACCGTACTTGCACCCACCACCCCCACCGCCCCGATCCACCCAGCCCAGCCGCAGTCCTCCCCCGCAAGCAGTGACAACACCTCTGAGCTGCAGGATGCGCTGACCCGTGAGCAGGGCCTGCGCAAAGCCGCCGAGACGCAGCTGTCGCAGGCCAGCACGGAGCTGGAGGAGCTGACGGTGCAGTTGTTCAGCCAGGCCAACGAGATGGTCGCGCAGGAGCGCAAGGCCCGTGCTAAGCTGGAAGAGCGGGTGGCCGTGCTCGAGCGGCGTGACATTGAGAAGCGCAGCCGGCTGGAGAGGCTGGAGAAGTCGATGGCGCGGGTGGAGCGGCTGAAGGCGCTGGTGAATTCATAGAGCTTGGCTTTTCTGGGGCCTCACATCTATAATCCCTTTTCCTTCCCGGAGGGTATTTGGTTTAATTGCGTTATGACTGGCATGATTGGGTTTCTTTTTTGTTTATTCTTTTCGTCTCATGATCGATATGAGTTTTAGGCGCCTTCGGAGGGATTGGTTTTTGTGATTCCCGCCTTGCATGTATGTTTAACTGTCCGTTTATCTTTCCCGGACTTGGGTTTTGTCGGCGCAATCGGCATGGGTTAATGGGTATATGTCTGCCATCGGACACTAATGGCAGACGAAGTCTCTTCTTTTTCGTGTCCTCAATTCTGTACTCAATGGGTACTTAGCTGGTTATCTGAGGCTTATGTCATGAGCAATCGAGTTGATTGAGTTTTCCGTCCAGTGTTAATGCAAAGATAATGACTCCAATCAAAGAAAGTTGGACGTGGAAGAATGGAGGATGCGAGAAGGCAAAGTAGCTCGTGGCGTGCATCGCATTTTCACTGTGTAGTTCTTGCGTCATACATGGGCTAAATGTGCGCCTAGCTTTCCATGGGGAGCCTGTGAACCAGGCCTTTTCAGCGGCAATATTACCTATGCAGCTATAGAGAGTAGTCTCCAGTCCATTGGCGTAGCCACGAATCGTAGCCTTGTAGCCGAAAATTTAGGCATGCCGAAGCTCGGCAGCCGATCAGCCGGGGGTTGGAGGTTGGACCTTCCCAGGCCCGCGAGGTGGACTCTCGGTCTAGGTGGCTAGTGGGCTGTTTAAGAACCCCACCCGGACCCTGCAGCTGCTGCATGACATTTGCTAGAGGCGACTCCCTTGCCAGTGTACCCGGCTACAATACTCTCTTTGATTCCCTCTAAGTATCTTGGACAGATCGAAAGGATGTCTGTTGGTGTCGCTATCGTTGGAAGCGGTGCGTATTCTTGTTTGACCTATGCCTGGTTATTGTTTGACAGCAGTCTGGACTAATAAATATATTTGCCTTATCACAGGCCATTTTGCCAAAGAGCAGCACTTGGTATGCCCCATATACTGACAATATGCGCATACAGTATTCAATGCAACCAAAGCTGATGATCCTGATAGCCTGCCGTGCAAAGCGCGACCAACCTGGAACTCAAAGCCATCTATTCACGTTCCTTGAAGTCGGCGGAAGCTCTCGCGGGCGGTGATTCTTCTGTCGACCTTTACTCGGACGACTCCGGCTCTGACAAGTCTTTTGCTGATCTACTAGCGCGGACAGACATCGGGGCTGTGATCATTGCGTATGTTTTCCCAATGGCTCTATGGGGCAATTGACCCATCTATGGAATCATGAATCTCGGTCCGGTCTGGATTCGAACTGACAGCGCATCTAGTCTTCCCATTCTCGTTCAACCGGAATTCATCAAGCAGGCTCTCCTGGCTGGCAAGCATGTCTTGTCTGAAAAGCCCATTGCGAAGGATGTCGCCACAGCCCAGGACCTTCTGCAATGGTACCGAACTAATATTGACACCACCAAGTTCTTCTGGGCGGTCGGCGAGAACTACCGATATTTGACCAAGTTTCTCTTTGCAGCCGAAAAGGTGCGGGAGATGGGTAAGATCCGCCATTTCCGAGCCAATGTCCATAGCCTGGTGAAGCCGGATAACAAGTATTACTGTACGTGACCTGAAACCTGGAACCGTGCCAAGGGATAAATAGAACAGTACGCTGACCAAGGCTTGAAGTGACTGCCTGGCGGAAGACACCAGAGTACCAGGGAGGATTCCTGTTAGACGGTGGAGTGCATATGATTGCCGGATTGCGTATGATTCTGGGCTCGACCGAGCCGATCACAGCAGTCTCGGCGCAATCGCAACAGCAACAGTCCTATCTGCCACCCGTTGACACTGTAGATGCCGTGGTTCAAACAAGATCTGGCGCCAAGGGCCTCGTTTCCCTCTCCTGGGGCTCGCCATTCAGCGACAACATCTTCGAATTTGCCTGCGAAAAGGGTGTGGTGACTATGCACTTTGACGGGGTGACCGTCAACGGTGTAGATCACCACATTGCGTTTGATGGCAAGGGTGTTGTCCCCGAGGTCGCTGAATTTGCCGATGCCATTGTAAATGGACGGCCTGTCGAGAAGAGGCAGTCCCCAGAGGAGGCATTGGCAGACCTAGAGGTGTTGGAGCAGATGTTGCAAAGCGGAGAGAAGGAAGGAGAGAGAGTGAAGCTACACTTGCAGGGTTAATGGGTGCCACCCAAACTGAGCTGGGCTGTAAACATCGTACTACGATCCTTACAGGTGATAGAGTTCCACATGTACCACTTTACAGTTTCTTTAATTTCTGTACTTTGATAATGCTTCCTGGCTCGTACTGCATTTAGCAAATCCAGGCTGATTGTATACAACGGCGGGTATCCCGAATAGGTAGTCTTGGCAGGGCTCTCCCGTGATAAGCCCTACGCTGACATAAGACACCAGTAGTTTCGCTTAGGTCGCTCAAAGCGCACTAGTGTGGGTCGCCCACTGGCCCGCGAAGCCAGCGTGAAGTTTTCGAGATTGATTTCGCTCCGACTCGACAACTCTCGAACGCCCGGCGAGACCCTACAACACCGCCAAAGTGAGTTTTATCATTCTGTGTCTCTAGTTCTTCACTTTGCCAGAATACTGACGGTCCTTCTTTTTTCAAGATGGTCTCCGCGAAGAAGCACATCCCCATCGTCAAGAAGCGTATGTTCCCGATCACCAGACCTCATTTATCCCCGGAAGAACCTGGATTGCGTCGCTCTTCGCCCTGCCAACGAAACCAAACGAACACATCCCCGAGAAGGAAGAGGAGGAAATTTAATTGGAATTGCACGAGTGTTGGACAGCCAATTTGGTATCTCGAAAAACCGGTCGAAGGGCGATAGCGAATCCACGGGCATCGACCATACATTTTCACCGATATCACACACGACCAAGATGGAATTGAAGGACTGACATCGACCGCTATAGGCACCAACCGCTTCAACCGCCACCAGTCGGACCGCTTCAAGTGTGTCGCTCCCTCGTGGCGCAAGCCCAAGGGTATTGACAATGCCGTCCGCCGTCGCTTCAAGGGCCAGATTGCCATGCCCTCTGTACGATTCCACACGACTCCTCAAAAAATCTGTCAAACTTGCCCCGCTAATATATCCGGGATTGAATAGATCGGCTATGGCTCCAACAAGAAGACCCGCCACATGATGCCCTCCGGCCACAAGGCTTTCCTCGTCCACAACCCCAAGGATGTTGAGCTCCTCCTCATGCACAACCGCACCTACGCTGCTGAGTACGTTCTGATTCCTCACCCGCTCGCGACCTGGAAAAAAAGAAGAAAAAGAAGAAAAATCTATTGCCAGATTGCGTGGAAACTGTTTGGGCACGACAGTACTAACTTTCGCTCTCTAGGATCGCCCACGCTGTCTCTTCCCGCAAGCGTGTCGACATCATCGCTAAGGCCAAGGCTCTCGGTGTCAAGGTCACCAACGCTAAGGGCCGTGTCACCACTGAGGCCTAAATGGACTGAACCCAAAAAAGTTCTGTTTCGTTTTTTTTCGGTGGGGCATTGCGGAGCACGAGAGGGTCGGGGTTTTTGTACGGTCGTGATACTATCTCTCTGGCGATAACGAATTTCAAGGATTGTGCATGGAATCCCATGTGCGGCTCGTGCTTGGTCATTGTGCTGGGCGTCGAGCGAGAGAACTATATTCTCTGAAATGATAAACAAAATTTCAAAGCCTTTCTTCTGGCGAGCCTCTAGGATGCACTTTGTGTATTAATGTTACGTACGTTTAAAGAGGACGACGCCTGTAGATCTGCATTTTGATCTGCAAAATATCGTAGATTGGACAGATGAAGGACGCCAACCTCGACAATTTTCTCATCGGCCTATATTGTCACATACGCTGTAATAATGATCGAACGATCATCATTTGAAGTATGGAGGATGTAGTTACCGCTCAGATATACAAAAAATGTATGTATTTTGATTTGATACCCATTCGACTCGAGTACAAGCTCTCCCTAAGAGACATTATGTGCCGAGTCGGCATGACGTTCCAGCCGCAACCCTCCACCTTTAAACCATCTATAGCCCTAATGGCCTATCGGTAATTCTGACCCTCGAACGTTCTGTGCCATCAATTTGCGGCACAAAGTGGTGCCTATTCCTGCTCAAAAAGACTGGTTACTTTGAATGAGACTCATCGTCAGACCCACTGCACATCGCCTACAATAGGGGGCCCCTCGTGGCGGGCATTGGTGACACCGTGAGCGAATCAAGCAGGCAACGGGCAATAGAACCAGACTGGGCACCTCCGAACGTTCACAAAAACCAGTTGCAATCACGATGCCAGACCCGGTTCCAGCGGATGGTCAAATGGTTACCTTGGACACTGAAACAAGCAACCAGGATGTGCAGCTAACATTACTTGGTCGAGCATAGTGGTGCCACTTTCCAAGGCCTGGGCCAATGCCTGCAGCCTCAAACCGGCCAGCCCGCCCCGAAACAAGCCCCACGGCATCCCCAGGAGCTCTCTTCGCCGACCGGTTTGAACTTGAGGATGTTCTCCTGGGGTTGCCGGTCGGGATCTTATATCGACCTTCTGGAACATAGAGGGCAAGAGCCTTCCGTTCTTCCCTGTTGATAATCACTATTCGGGCTCGCTCTGGCTACCATGGCCGTCTTCCCGGCTCGGTATGGCCGATGGGTGCCTATTTTAGCCCCAATGAGTCTGATGATTCTCATCCTCCACCTGAATTCCACCTTTAGGTCACAGGTCTCCCCGGTCATCATCGATCCGGCCGCCTACCCTATCGAATCCAACGAAACCGATTCTTCATCGGCCGATACAACACCGCAACCATGCCCCTCACTTCCAGGCATTGAGGATGTCCTAGTTGTGTTGAAGACCGGCATTACCGAAGCACAGGAGAAAGTGCCCGTCCATCTCCGCACCACGCTGCGCTGCATACCGCATAAATTGATCGTCTCGGATTTCGAGGAAGATATCGATGGCATCCAAACACACGATGTCTTGCGCAATACCAGTGAATTACTGCTAGCTAATAATGACTTCGCCATATACAATCGTGCCCGCGCAGGTGGCCGCGCTGCCCTGCTCCAACAGGATCATAATAAAGTCGCCAATGGAGCCTCTGGCATGACCCAGAACCCGGGCTGGAAGCTAGATAAATGGAAGTTCCTGCCCATGGTCCAAGAAGCACGGGCCTATCGTCCCGATGCTCAGTGGTACTTCTTCATTGAGGCCGATACCTATCCATTCTGGCCGAACCTGCTGGCCTGGCTCGAGCACTTCGACCCGCAGGAGAAGTTATACCTTGGAAACCAGATGCAGATCGGTGCGACTATTTTTGCGCACGGCGGGTCCGGCTTTGTACTGTCTCATGCGGCGATGCATTCGGTGGCAGATTCCTACACCCGACAACTTGAGCATTGGCACCATATTACGGATCAGCAGTGGGCAGGCGATTGTGTGCTAGGCATGGCACTCGCAGAGAACGGAATCGACCTGACATGGTCCTGGCCCCATGTTACCAAGGAATCCGTGTGGGAACAAGATGCTCTTGGCGAGGCCTTCAACAAAGAGCAGTGGTGCTACCCTCCTACTACGTTCCACCATATGACACCCCCGGATATTGAGCTACTATGGAAATTTGACCTAGCGTGGCACTCAAAGGTACGCCTTTTCCCCACCGCATAACCTGCGCTTCCCAGAACGACGGGTTTATGTTCTACTCACACCTACTACTTAGGAGAACCATACCACTCTCACATACAGCGATATATTTCGCAAAATCATACGCCCCACACTCACGCACCATATTGTCGAGAACTGGAACAATTTCGCCCCGGAGGAAATCGAGCACGAAGGCGAAAATACCATTAGCAAACCCCAAAACATCTATCAATGCGCTGAGCGGTGCGCCATGATGCCAGGCTGTATACAGTATCGAGTTGATGCCAAGGGCAAATGCTATAGCTCAGCATGGGCTGTCCGCGGACATGCCGACAACGGCGTTCAGTCCGGCACGATGATGTGGCGTGTGGATGCTGCTATGGAGAAAAAGGGCAAATGCCATTGGCCGGAGTGGGTAAAGCACTGATGGGCTTGATGGTTGGTTGTTTCTCATGATAAATCTTGGCTTTTCTTTGGGCATGTATAGACTGTTGGTAGACTGGGGCGTCGGATTTTGCATTGGGATTGATGATTGATCAAAGCACTATTTCTTTCTTTTTATATTTACCTCCCAGAACTTGCAGAGGGCTCCCAGTGTAGACCAAGCCGGCATTGACCTTTTGAAAGAATTATCCAGTATGTATATCGGTCAAGCCGAAATTGAGATGAACTATCTTATGCACATTCAAGAGCACCTACGCAGAGAATTCACACAGGTCTCATTGGTCAGTTATCAAGGCGCCTAGAAGTTAGTTTACAACTGCCAACAAGGATGGCCCTCAAGATTCTTTTAGCTTTTATTCATGAAGAGACTACCTGTTAGCATAATTCAGTCTAATTTTCAATTAGATAATGAATCGAAGCTTGAACCATTTGAGGATTAGCCTTGGTAAAAGATGATGTGAGCAAATGGTTAGAAAAGGGTTCCAATTTATTTGACTGAATTTATAAATTGAAACTTCGAGCGAAAGGTACGTTGAAAAAAGCTCACTGCCCTACAGAAAAGCACCTTCCACCGGTACTTCGCTGGGGCTACAGAGGAGAGTTTCTCCCAGCTCTATCTCGATCATCAGATAAGCTTGTTTCGTCTGGGCTCTTGACAAAGAAAGGCTCCTGGATTCATAACCGTGACGGTTATATTTGAGGCCAGGGGATTCTGGAATTAAGTATTCTGTCAATCAAACTCATTGCATGGCTGAGATCAAATGAATCTACTTCCTCGAGTCTTCGTAGGGGTGAGTAGCCGAAGAAGCGACTTCAATAAAAAGCACTACGCTAGCCCCATTCACTCCCATCCTCCCTCACAAAATTGCCCTTTTTATCCCATCAATATAGCACGGGCGTCATTATTGCAACTATTTATTGAGTTCATGGACTTCGTGCTGTCGTAATACTTCTATGCTCCGTATTGCTAGAAATTTGAACATCATGATTGGTTTACGTAAATTTGTGACCAGGGACATAACTTACTATGCTGTCCCCAGCCCTAGCTGTGATAACGTGCAATCTCAACACCTTTGAAGAAATTGGGTGGAATATTGAAGCTATCTATATGACACAGGATGGGCCCATGCATCTCTCTGGTCAGTGCTCTGAATCTTTTGACGCAAAACTTCCTGATCTTTGCATGCTTGTCTCGACTGTCTCTGGCTGATGGGGGGGGGGGGGGGGGGGGCAGCAGCCTTATTGTTAATAGCTTTGTCGTGCTATCAAGGAAATAGGATGGTACTGCTGCCCAGACCCTTATTGTATACCTCATGGAAATCGGCACTGTGCTCTCATGTCAATCTCTCTGGACTGCAGAGCGCGGCTGCTGTCACCACTGGTCTCATCTTGGCGGGAGCCTTCTCCGAATCAAGATTGTAGCGTATGTGTCATCTAATTGGGCTACCAATAGATTCCCTAACTATTATGCTCAAACTCATAATAATGCCCTTAGTGCATCCTCTTCAACCAATGAAATGGAAGAAATGCTAAGGAGTTAAACCAGAGCATTCCCGCACTTCATATGGCTCCTAGGAGAGAGGGAAGGGGCAAAGCAAACCTTGCGGAATTGGCTGGGCTTCATCCTCCTTACTTGCAGTCCGATGTGCTTGATCTTTCCCATGCAATGAAGAAGCTCCGAATACCAATAATTTAATCCCAATGCCGCCAGTGTCTTCCGCAGATTCACTGCTACTGGCGTACCTTTCTTTTACGGGCAGTCTGTCGTTGCTTGGCCGCTCCTTCCAATACAGGTATATAACCACTCTTTTGCTGTATGCCAGCAAGGAAATTCAAATGAATGATTCTATAGGATCTAATTTTTGTTCTTGTTTGTTCATTCTCCAACCTCTCGATCCTCCCCCCATCGAATTCCTTGTGCAACTCGTGATCCTAGAATCCAGGTTCGAATCATCTTACCCCAGCAATAGAGCGGAATCCACATGACCAAGACAGCGGCGCAGATACCAGCCAGGCACCCGAATGAGTTCACATAACCAGCCGAATCAATCCAAGGATTTGTGTAAAATGATAAAAGAAAACCAAAAGCAGCTGTATGTGTCAGTCATACTGGAATATCTGATATCTGAAAGAACATTTTATCATGAACAACGACATACCTTTGAAGCTCAATTGAGATACAACGACCTCGCCGGCGATTGGTCGATGGGCGTCGATCGCATAGACAAGTACAATATTGCTAACCTGCGTGATAACGAACCCCACTAATTTAGATTAGTACTGAAATGCTTTGATCTTGGAGTATATCGGACACCCACAAAATCCCAGGCCCAGAACAGGAACCATCCAGTGTAATGAATAGTGTATACCAACTCCATATAAAACTAGTGCCAAAGGCGCTAGTATCATGGATATCATGATTGTAGGAAGTCGCATTTCTGGCTCACGGATACCCGATTGACGCTGAGTCAACTTGTCTGCGATTTTGTCGGATAGCCAACCACCACCATAAATTCCGGTGAGAGCACCGATCAGGACTGCAACATAAGTGAGACCGCACTCCCAGGTTGAAAATTCGTAGACCTCAGTGAAAGCTGTTGCGTAGTTCGAGCTGATTGCAACAAATGCACCTATACTAACCGACATACTCAGAGTACCATAAAGAACAGATGGAATCATAAGGAGGGGGAGAGGGCGCCAGAAGAGCGTGAACAGCGACTCTGTCGTGTACACAGAGCTGAAAAGATGGAGCTGCTGAGCCCATGTTTTTTTCAAAGGCACTGGAAATTCGGCATGAACTGTTTCGGGTTCCTTCGAGGTTGATCCAGGCGTTGGCTCAGGCGCTGATTCAGGCGTACCAAAACGACTCGAATAATCTCTTTGATAAGCTGTCTCAGGCATGGTGAAAAAGACGATAATTACCAAAAGCCAAATGAGACCAGTGGCAAGAAAATATACAACGCGCCAGCTTTGATGAATAGTCATTAAGCCGGAAAGTATAATTCCACCTGCGATACCACAAGAGAGGGCGGCTGAGTAGAAGCTATTTCTTATTAGTTGATGACCCAGACAATGAATCATATAAGGGCATGATACCTCATTATTAGACCACGCTCATGAAGAAAGAATGTATCTGCAATTGTTAAAGGGGCGACACATTCAGCAGAACCTCCCGCAAATCCCAGGATAAGTCGGGCGGCCAAGGCATTGGAATAGTCTGTAGCCAGGCCAGCCCAAAGAGAACATCCGCCATAAAGTAGGAATGAAAATATATAGACTGGACGACGGCCGTACTTCAAGATGAGTGGCATGTAGAACAGGTTTGACATGCCTTGTACAAACGCTGTGCCACTGAAAAGATATGATGCCTTGGCCAGAGCGGCTGACCAGCCAGGGTCAGTTGGTAAGACGCCAAAAATATCATGAACAATGTTCGCCATATCAACACTGGGGCCCGCAGCAAGGAACTGTGCCAAGAAAATCGCAGCACAAGAGATAATCGCAATATAGATCCGGAATGCTCTCGACCTGCCAACAGATGAGAATCAATGAGAATCAACGATGATACTTGGAACGAGTAATCTTCTCTCCATACCAATTAAGAGGATCGTTTGGATCACGCGAAGGCTTTGGAATGAGAATTAAGTCATTGGTCGTGGGATGCCGAAGCTGAACGCTTCCTAATTTATTCACATGATCGAATTTCAAATTGTTCTCGCGCACGTCCCTAAATTGGTCAACGGAGCTTGGATGCCCAATTTCGTTACTATCCAGAGAGGCAGCAGGGGGTTTTCGCAAGACTTGATGGTGCGTTGGACTTGGAGGGCGTTTCGTTGTTTGAAAATCAGAGAGCCCCCGAGCTATATAGGGTACAACATTTTCTCCCTGGATCATTGCTCTGGGGGTGTGGGGTGTGGCGACGCAAGATTAGTGGGAACAGACCGACTAGATAATGCGGGGTGTCTAATTTTTACCCAATAGTCAATCTTTTCCTAGTGGTAGCTGCCACTAAGAGAGAGCTGTTGGCAAAGAGGATTGTTGTGAATTAACTTTTCGGCTCGCAATCTGACAAGGTTGTCCACATCCCGAATTGACTAGCGCAAGTTGTATTTAAGAGATCGGCGAAACCTAGTCCTTACGATCGGCAGAGCAGTAAATTTGAACTACCCAGTATATCAAGGTCGTCAACGCCAAAGACTACAAGGCACTGCTTGGATTGTATCATCCCGACGTTCGTCTTGTCATCCGGACGCTGTAATCGGCACTCTATACGGCTCAGATGGAATCAAGAAACATTACTCGGTCGTACAAAACTCAGCGAAAGAAACTGCTGTTGCGATATTTGTCATGATTGATTGAACGGACGTCTCGTTCTGTATGGAAACCTATTTGTATACGAAGCCAACCGAAAATGCTGTCTATGGATACAAGGTGCAGAAAGGCGATATGATTCGAGTCAAAGTAGGGGCAATTTACGATATGAAGGATTGGCAACCAACTGATGCATATTCATTGTAATAGTCTTAAGGATTAGATGCTTGGGCGCGTTGACGTGGAAAGGTTGATAGAGGAATATTTGAGACGGGCTGATGCGGATGTTGGAAGGGAACGGATTTCGGTATCAGCAAAAACGGAATCTTGGCCATTGCTAGACACGTTTTTACATGAGATATTCATACTACGTTAGACAGAATTGATTTTGTTTTCACCAGAAATTGACACAGACAATACGACTTGCCTCATCCACCATATCATTCGTACAAGTAGTTTAGAAGCACTTAGTTCAATCCGTCACATCGTGTTTGACCTGAAGGCTGGGTAGGCTGAGCGGGTATCACCACATGCGTTGTCTCTGTTTTGTGCTTGAATAGGCGCTCGATTTTCGTGGTCAAAATTCCCCCTCCTTGTAATACCAGAACATATCCACATACGGCAACATAGACATAAATCCAGTGATTCTGTTCCCCCCGGATAATCAAATAATTCATTATATGGGGTTTTCGACGCGCCCAGGAGTGCAACGGTGAGAATATGGAAAAGCACAATATTTGGTGTCTAAGATCCACACTCCAACCGCATTTGGGAAAAAGGGCATTCTGTAATTATGAATAGTGGAGCAAATGTGGTCCTGGTATACATCTAGCAATTCCCTTGCCGAGGTGGGCGCCCTTTGCTTTCCGGCCGGCTTCTATAGTAGTCTGATCGACCCGGATGTCTCAAAATAAAGGAGGAGTGCGCGGGCCACCGGGTTGTGGGGTCAATAAAACATCTCTAGTATTTCTCATAACACATAATACCTCATTGGTATCTTCTCCGGGCTTCAAGCTTTGTATAAGAACCCTATGGGCTCAGGGCGTCGACTCTGTGAACTTTTCTAGATAGTAATATTGTGTATCGGCGACCACAGCCACGTTATCAGGATAGCATGTCACTCAGGTTCCCATAATCATAAGAGATCCTTGACAATCATTTACTTTTCTGAGCACTGCCGTGGGATTGGGTGCGGTTGTCCTTCCCTTGGCGGACCGTAGTCATCTTTGAACTTTTGGCACAACTTTATTTTCCTTCCCGATGTGCTCTCTCCTTCTTTGCTTCCTAAAATTCTCGAAAAACCCAAGAAGATTCTGTCCGACACGAAAGGAACGGAATGATGAAACTGCCACTGCCCCTAAATAATCAGACACGAGCCACCCGTTCATGTGGCTGTCTGCAGCTGAAGTTACGCTCGCCTTCATCATCTTGCGAGCCACTGTCGACACCGCACGCCGATGCCTGTAAGTGAGATTGAGAATGGAAATATTAGCTAAATCTATTGCAGATACCCAAGAGAGACCCTTCCGATATACTGATTGTATCAAGTGCTTTGCGCGAGTGTAACCCTCGGCCTGCATTGTCATGTAGTGAGCCATCTTCTGGCCGGATTTTGGGTGAAATTCAATTGTCTAATTAATGATTCGAATCATCGTGTTCCTCTCCTGGATCTTATGGGACCCCTCAACTAGATTTTATTTGCTTCAAGAGTTCGGGATTGGTTTCAAAGTCGCTCAAAGAATGGGTATCATTTGGGCCAAGCCGGCCGGATATTTCCAGTGGTTTCTACCACGAAGCTACTCGGCTTAGATGTATTGGAAACATAGCTAGGATAATAAAAAAATACTCCCGAAAAGCCTATGGCTATCACGACGTAAATGATAAAATACTGCCTCTACTTTGTTTTTTTTTTGGGATGTTCAAAATCCCTAGAGTATTCAAAATAGTCATGAAATATGGCATCTGACATATATAGCAGAAGAATCCTGACTTATTCGGTGTAACTATGGGTTCATTTGATCTGCCAACCGAAAATTCCACCTGGACCACACTGCATCGTCGTTTCTGATGAGAGTTAGTATTCTAAGTCTAGCTGCCTGAGAAGAGGGGCACCAAATGTACTAATATCACGTGATTGAAATGCCGCCCAGCCGTTCGATTTCAAGTGACGCACGTTCGAAACGGAGTTTTCGCTTTCCAATTTCCTCTCTCGCCACGCCGTTCCCTCTTCTTCCCACCACCATCTCCCCTGATTTGATCCATTTTTCATAAAATTATGGAATCGGCATGGCTCCCAGCTTACAGGAACTGATCGAATTTTTGCTGAACGAGGTCGCCCTCTGCGGCAACCAAGGTACGTATAGCTTGACCTCCGAGACCCACTTTTCCCAGTACAATCTATAAGTTTCTGCACCTCGTCTGTCACCAGAGACCACAAATTGATTTTATTGATTGATCCTCGAGAGAAAATTTCATGAAGTTGCCTTTAAATTGAGCGTTCTTCTGCAATGCCGCGCTCTGTTTCTTCTTGTCGGCTGGGCACATTCCATATGTCCCGATTCGGCAATCTCAGACGCGGCGTGGGGATACAAAGCTACGATAGAATATAGAGCTGACCTTTCTGCAGGCGCGACCTTGTCAGAAATTTTAAAAGCAATTGAAAGTTTCTATTCCAGCTCTTCTCATGATTCTACCCAAAGTCGCCAGAGGGTCGATCGTCGCTTTAAAGCTAAGGTTTGGTCATGGCTCACGCGCCATCCTGAGGTGTCTGTGGGGGAGAGCAATCAATGGAACCATCTTAGCCTTGATGAGGTGGAGCATGAAGATGGTCAAGTGGAGCAAGCATTAGAAGCTTCAACTGGCCAAGAAAAAGCTTCTCCCACGTCGACTTCCTCACACATTCGCGTCTTTGTCTCGAGAGAAAGAACCTGGTACGCGGTCTCTGGTCACGAGCCGGATGAAGGTAAAGTTCCGGCCAGCGAATTTGCCTTGCTTTCCATCATTGCTTCACACAAATCCGATGGTGTGGTGCAAACAGACTTGGTGAGACTCAGTGGTCAGGACAAGCGGTCTGTCCCCAAACGAACGGACGCACTCCACAGAAAGGGCTATATCGAGAAACGATCCATTCAGGTCAGAGCTGCCCGAACCAGTCTCTGTATACATAGCCGTTTTATGAAACAAAGCTCCAGCGATAGAAATACCTCCGCTGCCCAAAATGCAGGTCACGAGCGCGTGATGATTGATTTTCATGCTTTTACCCAGAAGCTGTTTGAGATCCTCAAAGAACACCATATTGTGACTCGTGATGATCTGAAAAGGATGTTAGGGTTCGAGGACCCCTGGCGATGGCGAATCTTGTCTCGCGCACTTCGCAAGTTTGAACGGATCGGTGTCCTGAAACGTGTGAAGGCTGCATCACAATACAAACTGATGCATGCCTGTGTAATGCTCATTCGCGATCCTACAGAGCGCGATTTGGAGAAGTTTCATGATGTTACCGGCGAACTGAATGCAAGTGCGGATGATCAAGCGGATCTGGACGAAGACATAGAGGCCGATGCCGTGGGGAAGAACGCGTCTGGTGCAGACGAGGGAAGATTTAAGATTGAACAAGAAAAGACGGTCGTCGATGTTGGGCGCGCAGTTCCATCTTGGACACCGGATCGTCCTCTTGGGAACCAAATTTTTGATGTTGTGGCTGCCTCTGGGACTATAGGAGTCACGAACCTGGTAAGTCTTGTTATTCATAATTTGAATCTACTTCTTCTCTAAGAAGACCATATGTTTCATAGGAAATAAATCGTCTTCTCTTCGGAAGCTACTATCGCAGACCATCCGAATGTATTCTCCATCGGTTAGTCGACTGCTGGCAGCTCTCTCAACCGCCTCACCTGCGGCACCTTGCCATCGTCCGTGACACGGCAATCGAAAAGACTGTTTTCTATTACATACACTATTCAGCAGATAACTTTGCAAAACTTGTGGAGAGTGGCCAGTCGTTGTGGGAGGCTGTCGAATATCCAGCTCAAAAGACCAAGGCGGCTAGCATCCAGATTCCCGCTGTTGATGCCACTGCGCAGTTTGACCAGCTTGGGTTCCCACAGACAGGCGTTTCAAAGGGATTATTCAAGAACGGTAATGGAAGCCTATTTGAATCCCTTGCAGTTTGCAGGCCTTCAAACTATCTGCTGTCTAGCAGTGACCCTGTGCCTGTTCGACTCCCTGATGGCCGGTTTGGTATGTTCTCTTTTTCTCTGGCTCCAAATTCCCAGCGTTTCCTGGGTCATAGCTTACAAAGTCATCTAGTTATTGAAGCTAGTACCAAGGGCCAACCCGGCGTTGTTTTACGGTTCTCAACTCCCAACCGCCCGAGCCGAGGTCGCCCAAAGGGAGCTTTAGGCGGCACCTCTGGAAGACCATCAAAACTGTCCAAATTAGACAGAGGATCTCCTGAAAGCCAGGGGATTGAGGATATCGAAGAAGTTGCAAGGCAACTTCCAGCTCACCTAGTATTCTCGACAACTCCTCGGGTACCCAAGTACACAAGGAGGGATAAGGTAAAGGCTTCAGGATTACCCGAGAAGGAAATGTTCGAAGCGTTAGGGATGGATGAAACGTGGACAGAATACAATGTTCTTGTAAATGACATCCCTAATCCTGGTGTCTACGTTACTCCTATTGGGAAGCGAAGACCAGCAGGGAAGAAGCAAGGCCGGCCCAGCCGAAGCCGCATCGCAGTTTTCAAATCACCCAAACTCGCTTCATTCCCGTGGTTCGCTGAAGGGCAAGATATTCTTAATGATGAAGAGCAGGACCCGACGCCAGAAACTCCTATGATGTCCACTCACAATCTTGACGTTTCCTCCCTGCCTGCAGAGCCCAGTTCTCAAGGATTCATCGCCGTCAACCCGTCTCCAGACATCCAAGTCACCCCCGTACCTTCAAGAGGGCGAAAACGTCGCGGGGCTTATCCGGAAGCCACGGATTCTCCTACTTCAGTTTCCGGTTCAACTGAACAACCTAGACGCAGCGGCAGGGGAAGGGCTAAACAACCACGCCTTGAAGATTCCAATGAAGACGAGATCGAGCCACTTACAATTGATTCTGAGATTGAAGTGCGTGAAAGCATTGAGCAGAATAAGGCTATAAGCGAAATTTCAACAGGTCTTACGAAGAGTTCTGCTGTGCATCATCTGAACCCGAAGGAAAATCAAGGAATATCACCCAAAAGACGTCGAATTGGATCTCCAGGGGAACCTGTTACTCCACGGACATCTCTTCCCTCTGATTCTGGAAAGCTAGGTACATCCGGCACGCCGGAGCCAATATCGCAGGAAATGCAGACACCATCATTGCAGAATGAGTTTGCGAAGTCCAAAACACCTGTCATCCGCAGCACACCTAGGCAAACGTCAATTGAAGTTGTTCGCTCATCAGATAGAGGTGGCTCAATCAGTCTTCTTCGAAGGAAAATCCTTATGGAGATCATTGAAAAGGCTGGCGGTGCTTATCCCTCCGGAACTGAGTTATGGTATCCATTTGCAACCTTTTGGTTCAAAGAAAAATATAAGGAGAAGCCCGACATGAGAACGGTCAGAACTGCAGTCAAGAATCTGGTTGATGCTGGCAAGCTTCGACAACTTACCTTCAGCGGCAAGGACAGTAAAGGGGTCATGGTCACCAAAACGATCCTCGCCAAGCCTGGGATGTCGCCGGATGACCCTCTCATAATGAAGATGAGGCAGAAGCTTCTTACAAGCGTTGATCCAAGGGTTTCATATTCGCCTAATATTGTGCTTGACCCCGGTCTTACCAAATCTGGCGGTAGAACAGGGCTTCAGAAGACCACGCTTCCTCTAGTCAAGGGTGCTACTGTTCAGTTGCAGAAGAAACCTGTTCGCGTACTTAGAGAAGAAAAGAGGGTGGAGCGAAGGATCCAAAGAGATTTGCTCAAGAAGCTGGATGATGAGTTTGGAAATCCAATGGATTATGGATCATCAGGATCTAAACGTCTGCTGGGAATTCGGCGTCCTCGCGAGCCGGGACTTATGATGGGCTCTCAGACAGCGATTTTCCGGCCCCAGGCTACTATGTCTCAGCCTCAAACTACGATCGCTCGGCCCCGGGGAAGACCAAGCAAGGATGGAGGATTCTCTCGTATGACGAAGACAATGACTACAATTGGCCCATATGCCATGTTGATGCACCCAAAGCAGGTCTTCCACCCAAGTTCCGGTACCTTTGCTACGTTTGGTGCTGCTAGGAAGCCAAGGACTATCACGAGAAAACTTCCTGGCAGCCTTGCAGACTCTGTCCATGAACTGGCTGAGCTTGCGCGTCAGGCCAAAAATCCATCCAAAACCTCTGATAAAATTCTCAGGTGGGAGCTTGGGCATGAAGAGATGTTCGATGCAATCCTTGACGATCACCCATACATTGATCAAACAGTCCGAGATGAATTTGTTCATGCACCAATCGAAGGGGAAATCCGCTTTGATTTCGATCAGCCGGCTCCGGTGCCTCGCACACCGCGATCGATAATGCGGACTCGCACAGCGTCTACTCATCGCCATTTGCTACCGAAGACAGCTGTGTCCGATGATTCGACATTATCAGCCTATACGTCTCAATTCAGGACTTCGGGAGCTCTCAAAGAACGCCGGGTTGATAGATTTAACACTTCGATCTCTGCTCAGAGCATACTCCAGGCAGACTCCTCACGCCAAACTCGCCGACGAAATGTGGTGCCCCTCGACCGAGCTCTGTACCGCAAGATCATGGTTGCCATTGTTGCTGTTCGTGTTCTCGCGGGCGGCACAGAGGGAAGGTTGATCGATTGGGATTTGGTATCAGCTGCGTTCCCAAAACATGACGCGATGTTCATTCAAGAACGGGCCAGAGCAATCCTGAACAAAAGTCGATTGCAAATCGTGGGCATGCAGCGTGACTTCCAAGAACTTTTCCTCGCGGCTTATGCAAAAAATAAAGTGCCGCAAATCGATTATTCGCGCCTGGAACAATACAACTGGCCCGCCGTGGTGGAATGGGCAAATTTCGAACTGGAGTTTACGACGTCCGAACAGGCACCACTCCTCCCTGCTACTCGTGAAGAATTTGACAGCATCTTTGAACTTCGCCCTGAGCCTGTTTCCTCAGGTGATGAACTCTACACCCAGACAACGGGTATCACCGTTCTTCACAAGCGTGACTTGATGGCTCGTATTCCATTCGCCGCTTCAATTGATTCGCCAGAGAATCAAGGATTGCGAAAGGCAGACCTCGCTCGCCTGGAGGTTGTCAAGACCTGGGTCCGTTCAAATGTCGCCGCTCCAGAGGAAACCTACGATTCTCAACGAGCCAGCGACGCCCTTCGACCGTTCGGAGATCAACTCCTCGAGTCTGCCTTGCAATCTTTATCAACGGCCCGCGTCATTGGTCATGCGAACAAAGGTCGCGTTCAGCCTGGCCGCAATTATGACATTACGGACCACCTCCTTTCACAACTTAACCGCAAACGTGGCATCGACTGTAGCATCCTCAAGCGCGCCACCTACTATAAGTCGTCCGTCCTAGACCCGCTGCTGCAGACCACGGGATCACTTGACATCCAGTATCTCGCCGAGGACGGCGATATCCTTGCCATCATCAACCTCGCTGTGAGTGGCCATGTTGAGCTGCGCCCCCGCGACGCGCCACGCGAGCGGTTTGGCTTCACCGATTCCAACTACCTAACCCGTATGGTCGACAAAAACTGCTTCCGCTTCCCCATCCAGGTTCGCCCATCCACTTCGTACGTCTACGGTAACCCTGTCCAAGTATCCATCGAAAATATCAAACCCCCGCTACCCCCGCCCTCCGAGGACCTTAAGCTCCCGCCCAAGATTCCGCTCTGGTTTGATATCCACGGCTTCCTGATTACCCAGCTATGGGAAATGGCCATCGCCTCCGTGCTGGGTTGTGTCTCTATCCGCCAGGGCCTAAGCGCGGAGGGCATTGCCGGCATGCTCAAGCCCGCTTTGGGACCGTGGGAGGTGGAACTGCTGCTGGGCTGGCTGGCTGAAGTCGGTGTTGTGCGTCGGCAGGGCAGCGGGGAGAACACCGGCTGGATGGTGCTCGAGAAATGGTGGATGGTGCTGGTGCAGAAGGACCAGGCGCTTGGACTGCCTGGGGCTACGAATGATGTTGATGGCGATACGGTTATGGCGTGAAAGAGATTAATTGGCTTAGATCTGATTGCACCGAGATGTCGTCGAATGATGGCTCTGATGCCCCCCGGCATTATTCAACGGGTCTTGACTCTCCTTAACGGTTGTTCATCCCTTACTCGAGTCCTGGATCTATTTTCGCCTCGAACCTACTACCATTGACTGCAGCACTGAGGACAGTCTAGGTGCTATTGGAGTTACCGTGCCATTTGGCGCAGCAATATCCCGAAGAGAAGGACATTTCAGGAACTGCCAGGCGTTGTTTACAATTGTTGACTTATTGTTTTGACAACGGGGTTTTGGGTTGCAAGGATGAAATGATTTAATAACCGGAAACAATGGAATTCGAACAGAATAACAGAATAAAGAGAATCGCTCAGTTTGTGTGGTATCCTGTAAACTAATCAACGAACATATAACCCCCTGGGTCTGCAAACGCCACGCCGTTGTATATCAGCATGTACCATGTAAAAACAGAAAAAAAAACGAGTGCCGAAAAGACCTGCTTCTCGCGCAGATATATAAATATATGTATCTAGACTTTCTGTCTAGAGGTCGTCGACCCCAACTACCCGCCGCGTAATCAGCAGGATCAGCGCGATGACAATGCCAACAATGATTCGGTCAAGCCAGGCGCTGCTTGCCGGCTCTGGTGATATATCTGTAGTTGGAGCTGGGATTCGAGTTGTTGGTGTTGGGCGCGGACGGACGTCAGACTGAGCGGCTGATGGAGCTGTTGCGGCTTGTGTGGAGGTCGATACAGCCGCCGGCGAAGCACTTGACGCAACGGGTTCTGAATTCACAATCATAGCAACTGGCGCTTGGGGTGGAGCGACTGGCACCTCCTGGACCGGGGATTGTTGAGTCTCAGTAGCACTGTGCGCGGGGGTATCTGGATTGGTATTCGCATCCGCATCCGCAACCTGCGCATTCTCCCCACCAGCCGCGGGAGTAGACCCGTCCTCCACGCCTTCAACGTCGACTACGACGCCCTTCTCTCGACACAAATCCCACCAGCGCTGCATGGCCTCGTGGTTCGAACCGCCGCACTCGCGACATGTCCAGCTGCGGCTTAGCCGCGCATACTCGCGGCGCACCTCGGGACTGCCCTCCATGCCGCCGACTTGGCCTTTCGCCTCGGCGCCCATGATCTCAGAGCGGATGGCGAGCAGCGCGGTGCGCACACCCCATGCGGGCTGCCATGTTTCCTCGTGGTGCCCTGAAATGCTGAGGCAGATCTCGCGGTTGACCTCGAAGCGGCCAGAGGGGGTGAGGAAGCGGAAGGACGGGGGGCGCAGGGGGTAGGTGGGCGGGAAAGTGATGCGGCCGTGGTAGAGGCCAGTCGCGTACGGGGTTGGGCTGGGAGGGCCGGCGAGAGTGAAGTGCCAGTCGTGCAGATTGTCCGTTGTTGGGTGTGCGGTGAAGTAGGGTGAGGGGCTTTTGTGGAGGTCACTGGATTCTTTGAGGAGGCGGCGTGTGGAGGGAGATGTCATTGTGGGAGAGCTGGACAGAGAACTTTGGGGGTGTTTTGGGGGGAGGGAGAGGGAGTTGAAATGACGATGAAGTATGGAAGGTGGAGAGGATAAGATCGCCGATTACACGATAAGTGTGATTAGATGGATAGCAGCCAGGCAGCGAGGCACCCACGAAGTGCAAGGGGCGGAAAATTCGAGCACAAAGCACACAGGATATATAGCTGATAAATTGTCAAGAGAAGGTGAAAGGATCAAATATACAATCAAGTCATATTTTTGCTCAATGAAATACTCATACAAACATAAAACAAATAAATATCCAGCAAGAAAATGCCAACTTGGCCTGATCGCCTTATCGCTTATCGCCTTACGCCCAGCTATGCAATGGTAAAACGTCACATACCGCGCGTCGAGTCCTTAATGTGTTTTCATCTCTTTAATCCCAATCGCGCCATTCGTCTGTCTCTCGCTGGGCATTGTGTTCGCCTCTTTGTCGTCCATCTTCTGGATCAAGGAGTCTATGCTCGTCAATGCCATCTTCGAAGTCACTGTCGCCGGGTCGAGGACGCGGGGAGTTCGGCGCAAGAGTCTGCAAGGACACACTCGTGGGCGGCCGATCGGGTGGACCCTCACGGGCACGGTGGTGATTCCAAGCCTGCGGCTGCGGTTGGGATGGGAATTCCTGGGAATTTCCCGCATCGCCGATCCAGCTTTGGCTATTATTCATATTGCGCGTGTATAGATCACGGTAATACTGCTGCTCGTTGGAGTGATCCTGTTCACGTCGCAAACGAAGTCCCTCGCGGGCTTCCAGGAAGCGGGTGCTGGCTTCCCAGCGCCAACCATCACCGGTCGTTGTACAAACAGGAACAGGCCAGAGAAGAGGTCGCTCGCCGAAGAGGTGGAGAAGATTGCGCCTCCACCCCAGATCAAATGCACTCGGCATCTTTTCGCTATCTTGGTCGTTTAGGTACTCCTGGTATCGATCCCGCTCACGCTGGCGCTCAATTTCAGCGTAGGAACGGGAAAGCGCTTGTTGTGCAGGTGTGAGATTCTGGGTACCGGAGGCCAGGGATGGACCTTGTCCCGGCGGATAGGGTGCAGGAGAGAGCCGTTCCTCCCCCTTCTTCGGCGCGAGTCACGCCTGGGATGGCATTGGCGTGGGCGTCGAGTATCTGGTTACCGTAATCTTGCAGTCGATGGGCGAGGCTCTCGTTATTTGAGTCGACAAGGCCATTACTATGCCCATTCTGGTCGAGGCGCGGTCTCTCCAGCGCTTTGCGCAGCGGCGAAACATATCGGGTCTTTTCCAGGCACTCAATGGTCGTCACGCCACGTACGGCCAAGCTGATATGCCACGCAGTGAACCCGGAGAGCACTAGACCAATAATACCGCCAAGAATAGCCAACAAAACCACGTTGACTGGCAGGTAGGTATCCATGTAGCGGGTATCATTCAGAATCTCCGTCCACGTCCACACGGCCGCAACAGCAAAGCAAACCCAGCAGAATAGTGAGGTATAGATGAGGAAGAGGAGAAACGCCTTATAGTTATACAGGCCAACACACGTCGCCAGCCAAGGGCAGTGGTGGTCCATCTTCAAGACACAGCGCTTGCATGTAGAACAGTGATGCGCGCGATCAGGCTTCGGACACTGGCACTTCTTGCAATACCGCGATCCACCCGATGAGTTGACAGTATAGGAGGTGAACTCCGGGTATTCAGTGACCGGGAGGGCACTGTAGTTGTGGCGGTCATTGCCGCGGCGGGTCGTCAACGGCGAACCGGGGTCGGTGAAGACGGCGACGGTGTAGCTGGCGTTGAGACAGCCGTACAGTAAAAGAGCGAGCAGGGTACTGGGTAAACCTATTCATTTTGCACCAGCCCAAGTTAGCTGATGTGATCCCTTCCATGGTTGATCTAATTCATCCGCATGCAATGCACCAAGCTCGGCGCTTTTTTCTTGACGGGATATCGACATACCGATCCAGGCACTCCGGTGCTCTTGAAAGCCGATGCTGACTGCCACATAAACAGCCCATGTCGTCAATCCATACACAAAAACAAGAGGAAAACAGCTGGCCGCGGCGCAACAGAGCCGCTCGCAGCGGAGCGCCCACGCACGCGGGCGCCGCTTCGGCCAGGTCGGGGAGGTTGGGCGGGACGAGGCCAGGGTGGCCATGGTTGATGCTTATCGGCCAAGCGAGGGAGGGTCGATGTACATCGGGATGAAAGGAGTGCTGATTCCTCAGTGCTAAGTCTGCATGACCGAGGAACGAAACGGTGGTGGGTGGTGGAGGTGGACGTGAACGCGATGCGGCTGGGCCGGAGCAAGCACGGAGTAGTTAGGCCGGCCGAACTACCCTTAATACGGGGATCGCTGAGCCAACCGGGGGATTGCGTAAGCCCGCGGAGCCTTTACTGTTACTCAGCCACGGGGGCTGAGCCACGATATTTTTAGCGGGGCTTTGTAGGGCGGGGAACAACGCCGTCAGTGTGGAATTTAAAACTTATTATGACTTCATATGGATTGGCTCATCGTAAAAACATGGAAGTCATCCTCGGTTCGTTTTAATAGCCTATATATGCTGTGCAATTTCCTGACAGGCCAGTGAGCTGGTGATACAAACCAGCCCTACTGTTGTGGCATAGACAAAAGTAGCACGAATTACGCGAGGACCAAGGGCTGAATATCAAATCAGGACCTTGGCTTTGCCCAAGTAATTTGATATTTGAAGTCATAGTCAATGTCTTTTAGGAGGGTGCGCCCCCGGAAGCAGAGCGAATCCTGGATTTGTACATTTCATGCAAGAATGTTCTATTTACAGATGACATTGTCCCCTCATTTAGGATCCAGAGTAACGCCAATGAAAATTATGGAAAGACATAAGAGAAGGCCAAAATCGACAACCCCGTTATGTTGACGTGGTGGTAGATGAAGATTGCAGCGTGTCCTGGTCGCACCAGTCCTTAACAGGCTAATGGGAAAATAAGTTAGCACTTTGCGGGGGCAAATATCGAGACCAGGGCATAAGTGGGACTCACCAGGCAACTCAGGCGGTAGCACCATGAGCAGTTCGAAGACGGGTATTTGTAGAAATCAACAATCAACATAATGAAGGCAACGAGTACCGCAACCAATGCACCGGCGCGCACCAGCCACCACGCCCACCACAGCGGCTTGCGGCCTTTGAAGAACGCAAGGGGGCCCTTCGGCCCATTCTCCTCACCGGAAGCAGAGACCATGTTGCCCTTACCCTTGAAGAAGTCCATGAATGAGGTAGTCTTCTTCCTGTCTACCTTATCGGCGCCCGCGGCACCGCTCATGGCTAGATAGGGCTGCCGCGCCAACCCAATCCGCTCACGTAGTGCATTGGGCGAGCGCATCAGGGAAAGACCCATAGCGAGTCCCATAATGAAACCGCCAATGTGGGAGAAGTTGTCTAGGCCTGGAAGCAGGCCCAGCACAAACGAGACGGCGACTCCGAGGAGCATGATGATCAGCTCTATCCACGGCGACTCACGTTGTGGCCAGTCGTAAAGCAGATCAAGCAGGAAGAGGGCGAGAATACCGAACAGTGCGCCGGAGCAGCCGGTACTCGGCTCCAGCTGCGAGGCATAATTTCCACCAAACACGTATCCAAAGATCCCACTGGCGAAATACGTCAGGGTGAAACGCCACATCCCAACCATCCGCTCCATATCCGCTGCCATCGTCAATTGCACCAGCAGGTTGAAACCGATATGGATGAAACCACCGTGCAGGAAAATGGGGACGATGAACCGGAACCACTGGTTGGGCGCGGGCTTATCATCCAACGAGCCACCGGGATGGGGATTCGGTACACCACCAAAAGCACAGAGATCGGAGAGTGTGCAGTCGTACGTGCTCGAGGTTGTGTTGGGGCACGGCCAATCGATAACCTCCGTGGCGTTTTGGACGCCAGGGATATTCTTCATGCAGGGGTCATACCGAGCGCCCATGTAGATCTGGATGTAGGGCGAGGGGCCGATCATAGGGTTGAACGAGGGGTGAATCTCAATTGGCGATCCGGTCAAGGTCCCTATAGAACGAACGAAGCATCGGTGTTAATTGAGGGTAGGGAACTTGGGACGACGAATACTGGGCAGGCACATCCGAAACTTACCACTCTTCACCAACTCCACAATAAAGACAATCACTTGAGCGAGCGTCAAAGTCCAAACTACCCACGCGGGCTTCTTCCGGAAGAATCCCTTCTTCTTGAGATTGCCATTGCGATCCACTCCTCGATCCTCCAAGGCTCCCGGGGAGGGAGGCGGATAATTGGTCTGCTGGTGCATCCATTCTGGATTATTGCCATATGGGGCCTGTGTCTTCAGGGGGATGTTCTCGGCGTAATGGTCGCCATCTGTCACTCGACCCGCGGTCGCGTATGCTCCGTTTTCTGATTGAAATGAATGTTGGCTCTCCCGGTTGTGATAGGGGGTGGAAGGGTCGTCCTGATGGCTGATTTGGCTCACGGGGCTGTGACTGGTGAAGCCGGCGCCAGTGTTTGTGGTCGGCAGGTGGTTCGACCGCCCGTCCGCGACTTGATCGTAGCTGGGCGGACTGGGGATGTTGGTGTGATAGTATTCGTTGGCCGCCATGCTGGGCGCCTGCCGAGGTTGTGGGATTGGAGGGTGGGAGAGCGGGCGATCGGGGCGATCGGGGGTGTTGAAGGGAGGAAGAAAGTCGTCCTCAAGGCGATTCTTGTCAGACTAGAGAGGGGAGGTGGAGAGAGGCGACTATGAAGGATTGAAGAGTCGAAAGGGTCAAATGGTTGGAGAGGGTGGAGAGGTTGAAAGAGAGCGGAGGCTATCAACAAAAGAGGAACAAGGGTCAGGCAGTCACATTTGAGCAGTTATTTTTGGGTGGATCGTCACAGCAGTCAACACAGCCGCGCGGCGGGTTGGCTGCGTTGGACGCGGCCCAGGCTTGGCTCCAGGATGTGGCCGTTGGAAACCCGAAACAACGTAAAACAAGCAGCGGCCGCGCTCCACTATGGAGTCCAAATTGACTATGCCCTTTTCTCGACTTGACCTAGCCTTTCCAATCGATCCCACTCCGTTCATATCCCTCGATCCGTCGATCTTACACCGCTGTCCTCGAAGAGGGTGGCCGCGACGCACGCACCCTCAGCCGCAGTGCCAAGCGCGCGCGATCGCGGTCTTCCCAGTCTAGTGACTGCGCCACGACGAACTATAGAATTGTTTGTCATGGAGCACAGGAAGGGCTAGGGCCCGAGAGGCCTACGAGTTGCACAGAAATTACCGGACGAAACACGTAATATACAAGAATTGTTGCCATGCCCATTTGACATTAGGTATTAGAGTGAGTAGCAATAAGATTGACAAGCAGGTTTTCCTTCCCCGAATCAATGTGGGTGGCGGGTAGTCAAGCTGTTACGTCGGGCCCAGCGTCGGGTCGTGGTGCTCATGTTCGTGTCGTCGACCGTCGGGGCTGATGAAGACCCAAGCGATGCGCATCATTAAAGGATCGCAGAGGGCGAGGTATCGTGTCGCAGAACGAATGTGGTATGTCCTTTTGGTCCGCCAACGCCAGAGTATATCTCCCCGAAGGAGCGGAGTAAACCTCTCAAAAAGAACAAAAAAAAAAAGGCAAAGTCAAAAACCGGACCAAACATGTCAACCAAAGAAAGCATCGAGTCGATTAGACGCGAGCATGCGTATGCGCAAAAAACAAGATGAGTAGAAAATCGACTAGTTCTTGAACTGGCAAGGACTATAGTCGAAGCTCCCTTCCTCAAAGAGTCCCAAGCAGTGTACATCCCTCCTCAAGCGGACTCGATGCCAAGAGAGAAAGAGGGAGGGCGATAATATGCTGGTATATATACAAAGAGGTGGCGCTCGTCCTAGGAAATATGGTGGACACCGGCGACTGTTAGGAGGCCATGGCTTGCTCGGCGACCGAGGTGGGTGAGATGGGATTGCCGTGGTGATCGAGGATTCCCAACACGGCGCCGACCTCTTCGCCGCTGTGACCGGTCAACAGCCATACGAGACGGCTGAGCTTGCTGTAGAGCAAGGACGGGAAGTAGAGCAGCAGCGCCCACAATAGTAGGCTCATGACAACCATGACGAAGGTATTGGCGACGAGCTTCTCGCTGGGAGTCATCACATAAAGGCCAAAGGTGACCTCGTAGCGGTAGTACTCGAGCCGTACGCGATCGATGAAGCGCTGGAATGGGTTGCGCCGCTGATTCCGTAGGGCCGTCGCGCTGGTGTTCATACTCGAGGAGTACTTGCTAATCAGCTCGTCCACGGCGGCCGGCGTATGGGAGATATGGGCGGAAGGAGTATAGAAGGACTGCATCTCGGTCGCCATGGTAGCCTGGGGCGAGCTCGCCAACCGCGAAGGCGATAAGCACGCGATGACGGGGAGGACTCGGTGCAGAGAGGACTGTTCGTATTCGTAATCACCGTTCGATAGTTGTATTTGATTCCCGGGAGGGCGGAGGATGGGGTGATTTTTGGGGTTCTTCTTCTTAAGGTCTGGGGACACTACTCGGTGTCTGCTGTCCGTCCAGAGAGATGACGCGCAGCGGAGTTCCCCGGAGGACTGGATAGTGTCAAGAATTTGGACCAGGTCGAAGTCTCCCTGCGCTGAGGGTTCCGGATGCAGGCGGAAGTGCACAGGCCGGTAATACTGAATGATCGACACTCTGGGGCAGCCACCGGAACAGGAACCGAGAAATGGAAGCTCGGACCCAGTCGTCGCGAAACAACCAATACGGTATGCAACGTCAAGTCACGAGAGAGAAAGAGAGGAATAGTCAATGCAGGGTGCAGAGTCGAGAGATGGAAGGGAGAGTATGAACGAATGGGAGGAAGAAGCCACTTAGAAGAGTTTTGGGGCAGGAAACAGGAAAACAAGGCAAACGAAGTCGGAGTTGTCGGCACACGATTTCTAGTCGGAGTATTCAGCCCAATCCAGCCTGGAGCAGCTTCGGTTGGATCGGTCCGAGTCTGATCACGCTGCAGAATGGTATTTATTACAGATATGCAGAATGCAGACGAGTTCAAGGCCGCCCGGTAGTGCTGTCTACGTGGCATGGCTACTATATAGATCGATATAGATTGATCGCAACTTGTGATCCCTTTTAATGCATGGAACTTCCCTCTCGTTTTTCGAGTCGGGATAGTTCATGAATTGAGTCTGTAGGGCTAGAAAGCGGATCGCCCGGGAGTTCCCAGGCACAAACCTTGGAACTCTTCGGCCCGCTGAGTCAGAGGCCCGAGTTCTTCACGGACACGCGATGACGAGCCCTTGATTAGTATGTTTATGGTTATGCTGGTACACCTGCTTCCGAACTATACCATCCAAAAGCCCAGATCACCGATCATGCCTCTCCCACTGCATTATTTCCCTCTTGCTATCATCTATCTTGAGTCCCTCACCATGGACTCGGTTGAACCCCACCGAATTCCCTTCCCGGTCGCACCAGCCACGCGGGTTCTGCAGGGCGGTGGGCTGCCGTGGGTGACATCACCGGCGCTCCCCCGCGCTTCCAACACGGCACAACACTCGTCAACAACCACCATCGCGACCATTCTTCCATCAACCTTCTCCAAAGATGGACAACGAGGACCCACTGGTGCAGGCCCTGCCGCCTGCAACTGATTATCTCACTTATCTTACCCTCCTCGAATACCAGCTCACCCCCAAACGTTTGCCGCTGCTGCACCGTTTGCTGCAGGATGAGAAGCTTACAACCAACATCGGCTGGGACCTGGTCAACCTCCTCCTGCCCATGCTTCCAGCCTCTACAGAATGCCTACATGATGTAGCCCGCCTGGGAAACCCTCGGGAAGTCATCCTGCGGGTGTCAGAGGCATTGATGAGGCTTCAGCCGGAGGATGAGGACGAGGACGAGGATGAGCCCTGCGCAGAGAAGACTTCCACCAATGCCGCCAAGCCTCTCCCCAAACATATTTTGCAGTTCAACTGCCTGCTTGCGATGCTGTCGGTCCTCCATGGTCGGATTCAAACAAAGGCCCCCAGCCGCTTTATCGCGACCTCCCTGCAGGCCGCGCTCGAGGCCTACGAGGCAATGCCGTGCGACGAAACAACCCTCGCCTTCCTTGAGTTTTTCCGTGATGTGTCTCCCAGCAAACGCCCAGCACCCCCTCCCAGAGCCCTCAGTGAATCCAGCGTTCTCCGAGTTTCAGAAGCCTCAGCCCCCGATCCAGAAGCCGAAACACCGGTGTCGCCGTCACCCACCAAGGATAACGAAACACAACTGCTCCATCGTTTCATCCAGTTTGGCCTTCTGGAGCTGCTCAAATCCTACCTGCTCAGCTTTTCCGGGCCCCTGGACCCGGGAATGTCATGGACGCTGCGCATGCAAGAACATTTACATCCAAATCTGCGACTGCCGACACAGTCGCTGACGGATGCCTTCTCAAACATCGAGGAGTTGAAAGAGCGGGATATGATTATGGGGAAGATTGTGGTATGTTTTGTGGAATCATCTGATCTCTGATCGATATAAAAAATAAGTGGAGACCATCTCACGAATCTAACGTTATCTAGGCCCTAGCTCGCGATGTGGGGGTGGACAGCAACGAGCTTCTTTCAATCGTCTCCAAATCATCTGACACGCAACCCCCACCTTTGGATTTTGAAGAGCCCCCCAAAACTGCCAGTGATATTCCTCTTGAACGTCATGGCTCACTTCTACTCCTGGCTGCGCGCCGCCGGCACCACACTTTTTGCATCCGCCAACTCTATGCCCTCGCTGTCGGTTTTCCCGGATCTTGCACAGATCTTCTCTAACTTCTTGGGAGAGCCGACCAACCTCGACGAAACTACTTCTGGGCAACCTCAGGTGCTACTCGATGCCCTGCAGGCGTTGGCTGTCTTTGCCATGCAAGGACCCATCAAACCACCAGCCAGCGAGATTGAGTTCAAGGATTTTGTGGTTACATTAACGGCCTGCACCGCCCGTCAGACCCATGCTATTGCCCGACAAATTCCTGAAGCCGTGGTACGAAGCCACCCGGACCCAAAAACCCGGTTTAAGATTATTCGGACAATTTTGGAGCAGGACCAGCTTCTCCCAGTCCGGGATAGCGCTATCTCATGGCTGAGAGAAGAACTCCTCGGCGTCGATTCATGCAACACCGTCTTCCACGATCCGCTCTGGTTCTGGTCCATCTTTCCAATGCTACTTCCACCCATCGATGTCGACTTTGAGACAAAACATCTCGTCCAAAGCTGGGTTCGTTTCACCCAGACCAGAGGCCCATCCCTCCATTCCACCTTAAACCTCTACTACCTCCTGCTCTCTTCAAACAAACTTCGGGATAGTCTGCAGCTTGAGAAGACCGCAAAGTATTTCCGTTCACAAGTTCTATCTCCGCTCCGGGAGTTGTTCCGCGCCATCGAGGGCGACCTCACCTCCAAAGGCGGCGACGGTCTCATCGAAGCTGCAGTCGGGGAGGAGATGTGCCAGGCAGGCATTGCACGATCGGTTGGACTGATCGGACTCACATTGGACCAGATTGAGGAGGTGTCTGACGAGCATTTCGGGACGGATGAGACTGATTTGCAGGTATATTCGGACCAGGATGAGGCTTTGGTGGCGGATATTAGGAAGAAGACGGACAGTTTGAGTCCGGCGTAGTCCTGGACACCGGCACGACTAGTCTTTGAACTCTTTTTTGTACACTCCTTTTTCTAGATTTTCTGTCATTCATCACAAGGGCGGGCCCTTGTTATTGATCGTTCAAAAATTGCGCATATCATGAACTGATTCTTTCCGACACAAAGTTGCTGTTCATAGAGCACACGACAAACTTTTATCTATGCGAATCTTCGATTTTCAGTATGTAAAGAGGCGGGTTTTATTCAAGTATTCAAGCAAGGGCGTCAATCGTCTCCAAATCGAGGCTTCTCTCCAAAGATAGAATACTGCCAGTACTCTGTTGACTGTTGAACAAAAACCCAAATTCTGCTTCTACGAGCACTGTCGGACGATACTTTAGAGGTAGCTGAAGTATATTCTGCCCTTTGTTTATAATCAATATACTATCGGCACTTATATTATAACTTGAGTAACTACTATCGCAGGGCCAAGCCCACTCGCTATTAAATATAGCCGTGCTGGCGAGAGATAGTAGGTTACAAGCTCTAAGCTCTATAGATACCCGGAAATTTATTTTCAGGGTCGAATAAACTTAAATATAAACCTACTAATAAATAATGTATACAGGCGATTATCAGAAGTGGTATCCTAGATCTTAACTATCTTATCATTAGAGTCTAATCCAAGTCACTAGCTATTATTCAAGGATACTACTAAGTTCACATACTGATTATAGCCGTCAAGAGTCTATGGAAAAGGACTTTAAACTATTCTAACTTTTAGCTTACTATATGTCTATTTTAGTTCTTAATTATGGCCATTTAATTAGGCTACTAGACGGTTTAAGCACGAGACTAGAGTAATATACCTATATCATAGTAATCTTGATAAACGAAATTACAAAATGTATATGATTCAGAAAAATGAAGTCTGCAGATTATGCGAAAAGCGCCGCCAGGAACCTTGTTCCCGGACGATCTACCATGTGACTTTTACTTTCCTCACCAAGCTGCATAGCAAGTACCCCTTCCGCAGGTCATACTCTATGAGGTGTTTCCTTGACTAAGGCAACATGGTCGTGAATGACATTGGCGCGTTGTATGATTATCGATGAACTCCCCTGAGCTTGAAAGCGAATGGCAAAGGCCCCTTGTACGGTCTATGTTATGTTGCTGTTGCTGTCAAATATCCTTATATTCATCCAATGTCCAATTATTCTTGAACCGTGTTGACCCTGTTCAAATGGGCTCTTTTCATTGTTTTCCAGCAGGAACATCGAGGGTAATGATAGGCAATGGGCCCAGCCAGTAGAAGAGTGCCAATTGCGATTATCCAACCCGCCGCAGTGAAACCATCCCCCATCCTATTAAAGTGGACCGTCCAGTATATGCCAATAGCATTTCCAGCAATATTCAATAACATCAAGAAAAACAGAACAAAACAAGTTCGGAACCGGACAGATGATGAGACTTTAGTGGATAGTAATGTAGTATTAGAGTCAAGATTCTTTACTTGCTCAAGGTGGACTCGGAGCTCTTGAATTTCCTTTCGAATTTCAACTCGCAGATTGTCAATTTCCCTTCGAAGATCGTCATGGTCCTCTTGAGTAGGTTGTCGTTGCTTGTCTCATTAGATAAGTTCTTGCAGCCATGCGTGTAACCAAGATAATATCTTACTCGAAATTCAGAAGAAACAAAGCCTTTGTTGAAACCAACTTGGAAGCCAGAATTATGTCGTCCAGCAAATGACGTTGTGGAAGCCATGTCTACGGCACGAAAGACTTTGGCTGACATTCAGGGGGAACGTGCGGGGTGCAGCTTCTTAAGTACACCAGCATCGTACTAGTCCCGCCATCACGTTTTGTCTCATTCGCTGCTCAGTAAATGTATTTTTTTAACGTAAGGTGTGGACTGATATGAATCCTAGTTAAGGGACAAGAATGCCATTTATAAGAGTAAATAACCTTTGTAGAAGAATTATGAAAAATTTTTGGCATCGACGTTCCACCTTCGGGATACGGGTCGTAAAAGAGATTTGGAGATTCCAGAGTTGCCATCCTACTGGCTCCATTGTCAGTTAGTCGGCCTGACCTGACTGAAATCAAGGTCATCCCATCAACTTCTTTGGCCGATAGAGCGAATGTTTCTAAGAAATTATATGGACTTTCCGGGACCCATCTTGTAAATTTACGCGGGTAACTAGTGTAACATTCAAAGCAGAGAGTAATCATTCAGCGCTCCTTATTTAGTTAGGTCATTGCGGCTCGCGCAATTATTAGTTAAGTTGCGCTAAGGCCTTGGTCAGTGGGTCTCGAAAAGAGTGATGAAGTCGGTCAAGCCGATATCGAGAATGACTATACCATATCGAATAAAACCCTCGGGAAGCTTGTCATCTAGCCTGTTTGCCCTCCCGCTCGGATAGCTAAAGCAGCTTATAAATTTCTGTTTGGGTAGAGGATAAGGGCTCTGAACGTCCTAGGAGTATCGGCTAGTAGCGGGCGGAACTTATATTCTGAGGGTAGCGTGTATTCGTAATATCCTGGAGCGGGAGCGTATTGCGAATCCGAGTCCGAAGGATCGAGATATTAGGCGTAGTATCCATCACCCTAGGAGCGGTTAATATCGTTATCAATTTCCTATTACATCGAACTTAAGTATATATTAGTTATCTAACGTTCAACAGAGGGGGACAAAGGAATCCAGTATTTGTAGGGTATGTAAGTTGGCTATTGCGAATAATATTTCTATCCTTTCAGTATTGAATTTAACTGTATCTTCACTCGTCCACTATCTTAGCAGAACAATGAACGTTGAGGATTGAAGGTAGAGGAATGTGCGTAGTGTGTAGCTAGACAACCGATGGAATCTCCTGCCAGCTAGATTATTTAGATTATTTACCTTGTTTACGGGTGAGTGCTTCTAGGTAGGGCATGATCTATAAAATCAAAATAAGATAGCCATTTTTATGCTACTATTTATTATTGTACGACGATACTACCAAGAGTGTGGGTTAGGGGTAGGCTAATCGCCAAAGGAGGAGCGTCGAGCAAAATAGGATTCGACGAAGAATTGAAGTGCAAAGAGGTGAAACTGATTTCGAGCGCATCTGTTCATTACTGAGTCAGAGCAGACTACGACTGGGTTCGTCAATATGGGAAGAATTCATCGCAAATGTATGGAGCATCAGGAGAACTATATTGAAGCCGCTTCAGACATTTTTGCATGTAGATTCCGATTGAGATGAAAATGGCATAATAGTTGGCTTGGTACTCAGATCACTGTTGGATAAAAGCATTCCTCTATCAAATCCCCGTTTACGGACGGACCTAACTCATATTTCGAGGTTGCACTTTGTTTTCCGAGGGATATTCGCAAGCAAATCAATTGGCTCCTCAGGGCGAAGTCACGTGACAATACCAATAGGGCCAGTGAGTCATCCCACGCGCGGGCAACTCTAAGGAAAAATCTATTTTCCGACCCGGTCGCAGTACTAATCGTCTCCGACGTCGGGAGGGGCAAGCTCTTGGGAAACTTTCTATTGCGAGTGTCACGTTCAAGCGCTGCCATTCGAACCTCATGGCGACCAATACTGGAAGTGTGACTCCTAATGAGTCTCAACAATATCTGTCTACCCGCGGTGGTGACTACGGCGTACGCCAATCTCTATACTATGGCCTTCTATAATAAGCCACAGGCTAATTTATTGCAGCTCTCTTTCGAGAACGTCGTGCTGAAGGGTCTTGCTGCGGATGGAGGTCTATTCTTGCCACATGAGGTTCCTAGCGCAAGCGATTGGGTATGTGTTCAAAAACGGAAAACCATTATCAAAGCCCCACTTTGGACTTCATTGGCGATCATGAAGGCATTGGAAGCTAAACGGTGTACTATAGCGGAGCTGGAAAGATCTCACCTACCCAGAACTAGCCCTCAAGATCTTCAGCCTCTACATTTCTCCCTCCGAGATCCCGACCGATGAATTGAAAGCCATCATTGACCGGAGCTATTCCACCTTCCGCGCCGAGGACATCACTCCATTGGCCCACCTCCAGGACGATAATCTCTACATTCTTGAGCTCTTCCACGGACCCAGCTATTCTTTCAAAGATTGTACGGTCTTTCATAATGCCGCACTGCAATTACCGGGCGTTTATAGCTGACACCTTCAGGTGCCTTACAATTCTTGGGCAATCTTTTCGAATACTTCCTAGTACGGAAGAACAAAGGCAAAGAGGCAAAAGGTTCGGAAACGCACAGATCATCGTCGACTCACTTATTGTCTACGTGAGATAGAGTCTCCGAACAAACTAACTGGGTAACAGACAAGCACCATTTGACAGTCATTGGTGCCACTAGTGGTGACGTATGTATTTCTTGACCTCTGTTTATTAGGCGAGGAACTTGGGCTAACACAATTATAGACTGGTTCCGCCGCAATCTACGGTCTCCGGGGCAAGAAGGATGTCACTGTCACTATTTTGCACCCTAAGGGCCGTATCAGCCCTATCCAAGAAGTGCAGATGACCACCTGCACGGAAGCAAATGTTCACAATCTGGCTGTCAAGGGAACTTTTGACGATTGCCAGGTAATTATCAAATTTTGATCCAAAAATCTGGAGTAAGTCTAATGATTTTTGCAGGATATTGTCAAGGCGCTTTTTGGTGATGCCGATACGAACCAGAGCGTGAAGCTGGGTGCTGTGAACTCCATCAACTTTGCCAGAATCCTCGCCCAGATTGCCTTCTACTTCTATGCCTATTTCTCCCTGGTGAGAAAGTCACCTTCGTTTAACCTTGGAGATAAGGTTCGATTTGTGACTCCTACTGGCAATTTCGGCAACATCCTTGCCGGTTACTTTGCGCATAAGATGGGTCTTCCCGTTGATAAGCTGGTCGTTGCCACCAATGAGTAAGTTGCTAGATTTTATCTCCGTTCCCGACTTGGCTTCCGGAATTTTACTGATTTGGAAAGAAATGATATCCTCCATCGGTTCTGGACTACCGGCCGTTACGAGAAGCACCCTGCTGAGGAGAGCCAGGCTGCTGGCAAGCCTGACGCCTGTAAGGAGACTTATAGCCCTGCTATGGATATCTTGGTTTCCAGTAACTTCGAGAGACTTTTGTGGTTCCTGGCTAAAGGTATGCGGAGCTCGACTTGCTGATATACGAGGTCCATACTAATTATTTGCAGAGAATGCTCTGGCCAATGGTCTGGATAGCCGCGCTAGCAAAAAGCAGGCTAGTGAGAACATCGTGGCCTGGTATCAGTCATTGAAGTCATCAGGCGGTTTCGGACCGATCAACCAGGATATGCTGGCCAATGGCCGACAGATCTTCGAGAGTGACCGCGTGAGTGACCCGGAGACCGCGGCCACTATCAAGTCGTGCTATCAAGAGACTAAGTATGTCCTTGATCCTCACTCTGCCGTCGGAATCACCGTCGCCAAGCGATCACTTGCCCGCACCAACGGCGCCGCCCATCACATCTCGCTTTCCACGGCTCACCCGGCGAAGTTCTCTGACGTGGTCACCTCGGCCTTGAAGGATGAGGCTGGCTTTGATTTCGACACCCAGGTTCTTCCCGATGAGCTCAAAGCCCTTTTGCAAAAGGAGTCTCGCGTCAACACCGTGGAAAACTCATGGGAGGCAGTCCGCGACATCCTCAAAAGCCAGGTGGCAGAAGATGTGAAGGCTGATATCTAGGAATTTCATCTGCTTTTAGAATAAGGAGGAGCAGTGCTTTAGTGTAATTAGATAGGATCGCGAGACCATGAAAAGCTGATCGAGATTAAACCCATTTGGCCTGATTCTGGGTCGCAAAACTCAATTTCATAATTCGACTGCCCCAACCCATCGTAAGTCTTGCCACCGTTTCCTCGGCTAGCTCTGCCTAATTATGACCCGCGACGAGGCGAAGAGTATACTACTGGCTTGGCGTCGACTTGATTGGCGCTGGGCGGAGTGGGGCGGACCCTGTTGCCTAAGGCTGCCTGCTTGGGGGAGGAACAAAACAGCTCTATTGATACTAGTACATCCAATTTTATCCTACTTAAATGACATTGCTTTCCACCGATAATTTCCCAGAATCAGAACCTCATCTGCCAAAATACTATCAGCTCCTGCAATAGTATACATCTGCTGTTGATTGTTACGAGCCTGGCAATATGGCTTATTCACTACCCTCACTGCCGGCAAAGCATGCCGACTTAGTGGAATATATCAACGCCAATCCAGAGACATTTATTCAAAATATAATCAAACCCTACAATGACTTCGACGCGGTTGCCAGAAAAATATTTGCACAAGATCCATCACACCCATTGGTGAAAGACAATCACGCCAATATTGTTCCTCTCTACACAGACGCCGGCGCTACAGACATCCGTATTCGGGCTCGAGATCTGACCACGGAGACTGCAGAGCAAAAGGAAAAATACATCCTGACTCTTCCTGATGAAATCCGTCGCCCAAGTGGCTCTACCGCGACCGTGTCTTCGCTAGCTGAGTTCCAGAACAATTTCGCTCTCTTCACAGAAGCGGCCCTAAGTGATCTGGACTGGAGCAATGTGGTGGCGGCTGGTAGTGCTGTGGTGACCTCTCTGCTTCCTGTACCCGACAAATATCGCAATTCAAAGCGAGGTCTTCGACAATACTACCATGAGAAATTTGCCCCAGCATCTGATGTTGATCTATTTCTGTACGGATTGACTGAGGAGCAGGCCATTGAGAAAATCAAGCAGATCGAGAACAAAATCCGCAACACAATCTTGTATGAAACGACGACTATTCGCACAAAGAACACAATTACTATTGTCTCACAGTACCCTACACGACATGTCCAGATAGTCTTGCGTATCTACAAATCAATAGCCGAGATTCTTACCGGCTTCGATGTGGATTGTTCATGTGCTGCGTATGACGGTCAACAGGTTTACGCGTCACCTCGCGCAATTGCCTCATACATCACCCAGATAAACCAGATTGATCTGACTCGACGCTCCCCATCATACGAGAACAGACTCTCAAAGTACTCTCACCGCGGATTTGAAATTTTCTGGCCTGCCCTTGACCGATCGAAAGTTGACCCTGTAAGAGATCCCCTATCCTATGGGAACATGGGGTTGAGAGACTAACAAATACGATAGACAATTTTTGAAAGGAGCTTCATGAGGACTGAAGGTCTCGCACGGCTATTGGTTCTCGAAAAGCTTCCAAAGACTGGCGACAGAGACAGCTATCTTACGAAGCGACGCGAAGAGCGCGGTCGACCTCCTCTAAGCCTTTATCTACGACGTCGTCAAGGAAAGGCCTTGCATGGCAATATTAAAGATGATTGGGAGGACGAAGTGCCTGATTGGCAAGAAAATGATCAAATCTCAGATTATCACACCTTTGTAAGAGCTTTGTCCTTATTTTTCAACGGGTTGAGCATGAACTAACGAAGTGACAGACCATTCCTTATGGGCGCAGGTTCAATGCAAAGAAAATCGAGAAGCTACTGTATACAAAGGACTTATTACTCAATGCTCAGTGGAATCAACCCAAGGACCGTGAAGTGTATCTTCACCGCCACCCTGCATTCTTTGGCGAAGCAGAGCATGTGGTTGGTGACTGCTGTGGCTATTGCCCTATACCAGTCACCGAGGAAGAGCAGAAGATTGCTGAAGAGGAAAGCAAGACCTTTATTTCTGGGAGTGTGACCTTCATCAAAGACGACCCTGGTCGGCAGGAAATTGGCAGCTTCAATCCAATTACCGAGACTGATTGGACAGGTAAGGACAAGTAGTAAATGAGCATACGGATTGACAGAAAATCTAACCATACGTTGCAGCAATGGCCTATACCGGTCGAACCGAATTACTCTGCCAAGCAATCGTGTCGCATGATCTCGAGGCTGTCAAGAAATTCTTTACTCAGTGCACCTGGGATCCAGATCGTCGTGATTACACTGGACGTACACCCCTGCAGCTGGCTTGTATCTCATCCACTCCGGAGATCGTTCAATTCCTTGTAGATCAAGGCGCCAGACTAATTGCGAGGATGGCGGATGGAAAGACGGCATTGCACCTGGCTGCTGCACGAGGCAATGCCGAAATTGTTCGCATCTTGCTGAAGAAGAGCAATGAGAATGAAGAGGAAGAGCACCAAAAAATGGCGTCAGTGAAATATAGTCAATCTCAAGATGATGGCGAGGGTGGCAATGATAAAGATGACACATCGCATACCTCTGCGTCATATGTCAAGCTGGACGAAGATGGAGACGAAGAGCTACCCCCGACCCATGACACTATCGAAGAAAATGAAATGGACCCGGATATATATGATATCAACGTGGTCGCATGGGATAGTCTGGCCTCCCCTTTGCATCTCGCCATTTTACACGGCCACACGAAAACCGTCCGGGAACTTGTTGGCTCGTTTGGCGCAGATGTCTTGATGCCGATCAAGATCACAGACAACCACAGAAACAAGCCATGGGCTGCAATTCTAACGCTGGTACTTGTACTTGCTCTTCCATTGGATAAGGCGAAGGAGATGTGTCAAACGTTGCTTGAGCTCGGTGCTTCATCAAACCAGGCTGACCTCAACCACTGGACCCCAATCCACTACATTGCTCAATCCAACTACAGTGATCTGCTGGATGTCTATTTGGAACATGATGGGCCTGCTTTGCAGCGTGCGATCAACCACATGGCTGCGTCAGGCTCAGCGTGGTCAAACAGCATGGTATTTTGCTCCCCACTAGTGAATGCTCTGACTGCAAAGAATCATATCGCGGCAGAAAAACTGCTTCAAATGGGTGCAACTGCTTCGTTTGAAGTCGACGATTGTTGGAAAACCGCCAAAGCTCAAATGGCCAATGAAATGCGCTATCATAAAGAAGAGCCATGGGGAGAGAGAGGGCCTAAGCAGCCTATTCTCTTCGCCGTTGAAAACGATATGCCTCTGGTTGCGATTGATCTACTTCGCCGTGGAGTGAATCCCAACAGCGAATGGAAGACAAAGTACAGCGATGGCGAAGCGGTACTTGACCGAACAAGACATGCTCTAAAAGAAATGCGAACGTTCTTGAAAAATGGTCCTTCAAAGGCAAACATATACAATTCTTATCACCAGACTGAGTTTGAAAAGACCGATGATGAGTATATGGCCGACTTCCCAAAAGGAAGCTATAAGAGATTTGTTATCAAGCACAAATTGGAGATTGCAAGACAGAACAACCGGAAGTTCCAGGAACAGGAAGATCGTCGGAAGGGTTCTGTGGACCAGCCTGGCCTCCCCGAGAAAAAAGATGCAATTACTGAATTGGTGAAAAACTACGAATTACTTGAGACAGAGCTGTTGTCAAGAAATGCAGTTACCTACGCGGAGCTTCATCCCGATGAAACAAAGAAATCCGAGCAATCCACTCAACGGAGAAGGCATCAAGAAAAGAACAAGATCACCACTTTCGAAGCCAAATTTTTCCATCTTTCGAGATCTCGGACTACTGAGGCATCTCGAAAGGGATATGTGCAACTGTATGTTGACTTTTATAAACTAGGAAAGATACACAAACACTGACTTTGTCTGAACAGGTTCGAGGCTGCATGGGATGGCGATATTGACACAATCAAAGCTCTGACGATCGACATGTGGGGACCAGAAAAGGATCAGCCACCCCTAGAAATCTCATTGTGTGATGACCTGGGCTCTTGCTGTTTGTCAATTTCTGTTCTACGTGGTCATCTACGCGCAGCGAAGATCATTCTTCAGATACTTCAGGCCCAGTACAAAGTGAAGAAGTCTCAGACTCAGGTGCGATTTGAACTTGATCTGGAAGGTGCTTCTTCAGATGACGAGGCCCTGCCTATCGTCGGCCATGCTGTGGACGACCAATTTACCTATGAGAATATCGGTGAACTTGCTATTCAGGTCGAAAGTAAAGTTTCACCTCTGATGGCCTTAAAGCAAGAATGCGGAGCGTTTCGCTTCCTGGAGGCCGAACCTGCCGATAATGAGTTTAAGAAGGTGCCTACAGACAGGAATAGTGGCTATAGGTATATCAGGATTAGCACTGTCTTCAAATATGCAATCTTCAAGAACGACCTCGCTTTGCTGGACTGGCTCATCAAGGCTGCGCAGGATTGTACAGCGCGAGACCAGGAAAACAAATCTCCGTTTATGTTGTCTCAAGAGGAGTTTCAGCTTGCAATTGCTTTAGGTCATACCGAGTGCATTGCTAGACTCATTCAAGCCACCGCTGCTGGCCTCCCGCTCACCAAGATGGGCGAAGCCTCAGGGGTCGAGAGTCGAGAGGAGCCCCAGTATTACCAAGGTCTTTCGATTCGGGGCAAGAAGCGCAAGGACTGGGTAGAGGCTGCACGACCTGGTCACAACAGTTCTATGTCTAAAGATTCTGGCCGTCCCCCTCTACTCATCTCCGCAACGCAAGGCAAGCTCGCCAGTACTGAGTGGTTCCTTAGCACCGCGCCCAGTCGCCACTACCTAAACTATGTCAATGGGCATATGGAGCACGAGACAATCCAGCGACTTGCCCGATCTGAGATCGGACTGGATGCTTCAGTCATGAAATGGCTTCAAGATCGAAGTGAGTACCGGATCTGGCGAATTTAAACAATATGAAGATATAGACTAACCGAATGAATAGATGAGCTTGTGCTTCATTGCGCAGTGATGTCTCATGAATGTGAGGAATCGGAAAAGCTGGTTCAGTACTTGGTCGACCACCACCCCGAGTGTCTAGAAGTACGATCATCAGAAGGACATACTCCACTCTCTCTGGCATTCTCTATCCGTCGACACAGTTTTGCACGAATATTGATCCAGGCTGGAGCCAACCAAGCAGTTCGCGATTCCCAAGGCAACAACCTTCTTCACTTGCTGTTAGTATCCGATCGCAGAAGTGAAGCTTGCAAAGATCCAGAAATTGTCACAAAATTTGTGGAGCTGCTGGATAAAGACCTCGTTACAGGAATGTTAACAGAGCGTTCTGGTGGCGAAAACTCAAGAACACCTTTTGCTCGCTGGCTGCACACATGCCAAGACATATATTTTTGTTATCAAGATTTCTCAGCCAAAGAATGCGCAATTGCTTCCACCGCCAAAGTTACAAAGAGTATCCTCAAACTTGGTGAACCCACTAACCAGAAGTTTTTGGAACTTCTCGACGGTGCTGGCAATACCCCGGTCCATGATACGATCAGGAAATGCCTCCCTCATATTCTTGAAGCCATTTTGGATTGTCGCCCGGATCTCCTGTACCGAGAAAATGCAACGGGCAATACGCCACTTGAAATGGCTGTTGACGCTTGGGTGAATCGGAATACCCTCACACCGCTCAAGACTTGCTTCAAAAGCATCGGAAGTCATGGCCATGAGTGGAAAAATGCGGTAGAGCGTGACTCTAAGCAATTCTGCAAAGACCAAGATACAAGGACGCGGGAAGAGATCATGATGCAAGTCTGTCAGCAACGGGCACAGCGGAACCCTGGGAAGAGAAGACTGGTCACTCTTTTTGAAGCTAATGAGGTAGCAAAAAGACTCGCAGTGAAGAAGTCGCGTGCTGAAGAGGAGGTCGATTATTGCTGTTACGATGAAGAGGATGAGAATGCAGACAAGCTTGACGAAGTGGAACTATGGGGACCGGCTGCTCTGTGTTGGTAGGGCATCATACTTGTGACTATGAGTCATATTCTGATCTTTTGTTTATTCTTGATGAACCGAATAAAAAATATTATGTTTTTGTGATATATGCGGTCATAATGCAGACCCACCCCCCAATGATGTGCTAAATGACTTCCACCCGGTATAGTAATGTTTCGCCAGCGTGTATGCCCAATAATTCCCCTCTGCCTTGATGGTCTCGTTGCTTCTCTTATGAATAACTTCCTTCTCCTCTCCCTTTAGTTCTGTTCAAGCCTTTTAACCTCTCCTCCTTCAACTCGTAGGAATCGTTGTAATTTTAATAACAATATAAAATCTATCTAATAGTATGCAATATACTGCGAAAGAATTTGTACGATATTTGTAGCATAGAGCCGGATCTGTAACTAAACTGGGATTTGGACGAGGGTATTTCAGGATAGGGCTGGAAAAAGCAACCAGTGATTGTATGCGGCGGGGATCTGTTTTCGAATATGGCAGTGTATGCTAAGGAGAATCATGATCCTCTATATAGTTGAAACTGCTTTTTAGCATAAGTTCTTTACCCTTCGAGAAAAGATCGGACTCTATCAGAAACGTATTTTGGTTTATTCTAGGAATCAAGACTGAAGAGCGTCATGTGACAGTGTCAGAAGATGTAAAGGTGATGTTATTGGTTCTGTCTAAGCCTAGCTAAGAAGGTGCTGAGGGTCAGGTGACCCCAGCTTAGAGGATAACACGTCAGGTCGAATTGAATTCGAAAACTATTGTATTAAATTCCTGCAACTGTCATGATGAATATCAAAGTAAGAAAAGAAAAGACAGGAATCCCGAATCATGATCCCCCGGCGCACAAAAAAACCCATTGGAACCCACACCTTCATCCACTAGCAAAAGGCAAAGCCATCGGCATTTTTGGAAAGCATTTTGTGCATCTCTCAATAGGCAGCTGCAGGAAAATGAAAACATTGCTCGAATCTATCTTCTTGACGGATTATCTCCTATTTCACCAGATCGTCCACATAAATCAGTGCGTAACAGCTTCTCCTTCTCCAAAGACCCTGTTTCCACCATTTGTCCACAGCATTGAGACCGATATGGCATTGTTGAAGGATGAGGCGAGTCGGATCGAGGAAACAAGAGAAATATTGGATGGAGATGAGGAAACCCGTCAAAGTCTGGGAAAGAATGAACTGGACATCGACGACTATAGCAAATAGTTGGTTGATCATGTATTGAGTGATGATTTTTTTTAAACCATGGATAGGCTTATACAGCAGAAGAGGCGTGAGTCATATGTTTTGTGGATTTTTATTTTGTATAGCATGGACCTGGCCAGTGTGCCAGATCAAGTCATGATGGTGCAACCGGTGGGCGGTTCGGGGGCGTTTATGTAAAATATTTACATGACAACGCAGCCACCACCGGGAGAAGCTGTGAATAGGTGGGTTAGAAAAGAACTTTAGCTTTTCAAGATAGGAAAATTGGAAAGTGAATGTTTAACACACCCTTAATAACGACGGTCTGCACGGGAGCCATTGCGAATGATTGGTTTGCTTTGAAAAAGCGGAAGGATGAATGTGAGTTGTTTTTGGAATTTGGAAGGATGCGGGTGGAGAGAAGAAGAGGACGGTTGAAGATGGAGATATTTATGCTTCAATCATTGACTAGAGATGTTCTGAGATCCTACTCGAGACCAAGGGAGGAGGATAAAGAGCGATTGAAGCTAAGAAGCCGAGAATAGTGCCTGGCGTGGCCTAGAGTGAAAATCTGGACATGATCCGTCTGGGATGTAAAGTGCCTGACTGGTATTGTTCTCGTCCTCGGAGAGGAGCCTCTCACATTGTTGTCCGGTAGAAAAGTGTATGTGGCTGCCTTCTAGACCTACGGTGCTTCTCTCAGGGTCTTTGTCAGGTCAACTTGTGAGCAAGTTATTGGAAAAAACCGATGCTTTCAAAGACTCGGGACTTATGTTAAGGAGCATAAACCGACCCAGTCATAGCAAATATTAATATTGTTCCCGGAAGAACAATACTAAGATCTCTGAGGGGAAGAGTGGGCTTTCCGTTGCTTCAAAGAAATGCCTTTCAGGCCGGAGCGCCCTGTGGCTTTAGGGGCCGTTGAGAACTGGGGAGGCTCTTTATTTTCAGTACCTGTCAATCGAACAACAATATTAAGTGACAGGCAACGGTACGCAGCAGAGGGAGCAATAATATCTCCGAAAAGCATCATTTTGATGCAGAAGAGGTGAAGTCAGAGGAAAAGGCGTGGGGAAGTTTGCTACAACAAAGAGACTTGACATCGGGAATTAAATTAATTACCGACACAACAACTCAATCTGGCCTTGACGGGAAACATGCTGCAGCGTTCGGGGTTCTCCTCAGATCCAGGATTACACGGCAAAAGGAAATAATTATAAAGCAAAAGTAACGGCGAAACTCGCTAACCAATTTAGCTTGAAATTATACAAAAAATGGCGCAAAATCGGGTCAACTCGTTGCATCATGACAGGGCATTTCAGCCTAGGTGTAAAGCGGTTCCGTCAGGTCGTTCAGCGTCAAGCCCTCCTTCGCAATATCCTCCTCACACAAGAACATGAGCGGCATCTCGACAAGATTGCCCTTCACCTGGCTCAGCAGCTCCTTAACCTGTTTTGCGCCCTCCGCACCAGGGGCGAAATCGTCCCGCACGACATGGCCCCACTGGTACCGCGCCGGTCGGTGGAATCCCTCCTTGCCTTCGGCATCCCGGTCCGCGCCGTGGAAGTAGTACTCATAGAATTCCTTGTACGTGGCCCAGTTGCGGACACAGTCGTCGGGAACAGCGTGGAAGACCTTGCGGAAAACCTCGGTGTTGGTGCGGGCGCGAGAGTTCCAGAGGCTCTGGAGCGTGTCGGAGAGCGGGTCGGCGACGACCTTGCTCTCTGGGCAGTCCAGATCGAACTGATTGGGCACACCAACGGGCTCATAGTTGGCGTTAGGCCGCTTGTAGTCTTGTGGGGGCAACAGACCCAGGTGCTTGCGGCACAATTCCCGGCGCAGAGACGCAGCGAACCGACTAGCCATCCAGGGCTTTCCGTTCATGCTAGACTGGACCGGGGTGTAGTCCTCAATGATGACGGCGATCTCGGAATCGTGGTCGCCTAACTGGGAACGATCGTTGAGGTTTGCGGAGCCGCAGATGACAATTCGGTCATCGGCAATCATCACCTGTTCCAATATTAGAATAAACAGAGGTAGTAAAGAATATCAGTCAAACAAACCTTGGAGTGCACATAGAGCTCCTCGCTCACAAAAGCGTCAATCTCAGCATCGGGGTGGCCGTCCCATGGGACATTGCGAATGTCCTCTCCACCTAGCATGTAGCATGATGCAACAGTGTCCCAACGATCAGAACCGGTGCCCTTGGTTCCCTGGGTCTGATGCTGAGCGGCCTGTTGGTACTGCGGGTATGGAGCAGAAGTGTCGAAGGCACTGCGTGTAGCACTGGGTGCACCACCGGGGGGCCCTTGCACATAGCCTCCAGGGCCTGCAACCTGCTGATCGTACTGTCTACGAGCATCTTCATAGGAAACACCGCTTTCCAGCTCGATCGCAGAGACCATGCTACCGTTCTTGATGCGATCGTAGTTCCGCAGATTGTAGAATCGGATATAATCCATTGGGTTGAAACCTTCCTTGGCGATCAGTTCGTAGATACTGTTTCCGCCGCGGTTGATGGAGTTGTACTGGAATTCCATGATAGCGCGGGTACCCAGGGTCTCATCATCACGCAAGTCACCAGCAAAGCAAGGCACAGAAGGCATCACAACAATGATCTTGTACTTCTCTCCAGCACGGGCGGCGCGCAGTATACGCTCAACAATGGCTGCACCAATCTTGTTCTTCACTGGGTGCTGTGAGTCGCCCGTCGCGGTGATAAAGAATTGGTTCTCGATGTACACGAAATGTTGGCTGTTCTTGATAATCGCAACGTACGCGTCCTGAATTGAATGCTCAAGGGGGCTTCCATTACTCCATTTAGCACAGCTGCGGACGATCTGACAGGACATATTTCCGCGGCTCTGGGACGTCGGCCGTCCGTAGGTGGTCAGACGATCTTGGTACTGATGGATCTGCCCAGCCAACTCGCCACGTAACTGGTTCCCATACTGACTGATATTTTGTCGCAATCCACGAGTTCCAAGGCCTCGTTCATGATCACCTCCATATACATGATCACCAAGTCCGCGAGTAGCAGAGTGAGATGCCTCCTGGCTAGGTGGAGGTGGATAGTAAGGAGTCTGGCTTTGTGGCTGACCCTGCGGTACAGGACTTCCAGAGACATGTGTAGGAGGTGGTGCGTAATAAGAAGCCTGGGTCTGCTGGTCGTGCTGCTGCTGGCCATACTGCTGGGGTTGATAGGACTGGGTTGACGACGACTGGCTCGGAGGGGGGCCAGGGGGAGGAGGCGGGAAGGAATCACCAGTGTACGAATACTGGTGCGAGCTCTGGCTAGGGGCTGGGGATTGACTAGGAAGTGGCTGATAGCTCTGAGTGTTTCCAGGATTATATGAAGAAGCGGTGTTATACTGCTGTTGCGGCTGACTATGCCCATGAGTGCCCTGAATTGGAGTGGATGACTGGCTAGCAGAGCCTTGGGCCGCATTTGGTTGATAAGCCTGGTACGATGACTGGGTGGGCTGTTGCTGATTTTGCTGAAGGCTAGCAGACGTCTGCACAGGGGGAGGCAGGTAGGATGGAGCAGCAGCTGGCTGTGAATGTTGAGAACCCTGCCATTGAGGGGGAGGTGTTCCCGTTTGCTGCTGCTGTGGCTGGGTCGACGGCTGGGGTGAAGCACCGGCCTGTGATGGGTTGTTCTGCTGCTGTGTACTGTGTTGGCCTGTCGACGAGGGAGGGCGTCCGAAGAGTGCGAGGGGTGTGTATCTTGTGTCTCGGCGAACCTTATACTTTCCCTCGTAAATGAAGTTCCAACGTTCAACGAAATGACGACGGAGGTCTTCCACGACAGCACCATGCAGACTGATTGAGATATCAGACCAGCCCATGCGAGACATAGTTTTCCGATCGAGCTGGTTATTCTCCCAGTGCGAGACATCCTGGAAGTCGAGGACACGTGAGTTGTTGAAATCCTGCCCAGGGAATACGGTTTCATTGATATCGGATGGGTGCAAGTCTGCGATTGAATGCTGATTGGTGTCCCAACGACCGAAGCACATATCCAGACCGCCCATGAAGGCAACTTGACCGTCGACGAGGCAGAGCTTCTCGTGGTGGGCCCAGTAGAGAATCACATCATCGTTCATGCCGTACAGACCTTTCAAAGTGTCCTTAGACATTTTTGACAGACTGGCGGAGTCAAGTGACAAATTCTGAAGAGACGATGTGATGGACGACGCCAGCTCCTGGCGGTCAGGGAGATGATCGGGGTGACGAAAGACCGAGATATTCGGATGAAGATTCTCCAGTGTATGCTTAGTATGAGCCGAGGATAGCGTCAGGGCCTGAGTCACCTCCTTATAGACGATGACATTGACGCGCACCCCACGCTGAGCGGCGGCTTGGAGCATGCGGTCCAGCCGATACTGCTCATTCTTCGTCGGTGGTCGTCTGAGATAGAGTTCTGGAGACAGCCACCCTGCGATAAATCGGTTAAACTCCATTGCAACGCCGAAAAGAGAGCAGATATAACCCGTCCTACTTACAGTCCAGGATCCAGATCGACTCTCGCGCCGTTTCCAGGGCTCTCGAGACGGCCCAGAAATAACTGCAACCATCCACATACCACTTCACATCATTTTGCTCTCTCGGGGGAGCAAAGCTGCCAAAGCGATGCTCAGTAGTGGGCTTGCTGGCACCATACTGGGCATAGGCCTGTGGATCGATGGCTGTGCCAACCTTGGTTGCGAACTCGGAGCCAAAATCAGTGACGGCTCCTTGAATCTTACCCAGGAAGCCCGAAAGTTTGTCTTCCTTGGGCGGGCGACCGTGTCCCTGATATTCCGATTGCTGGTATGGCTGCTGATATGGTTGTGACTGGTCGCCAGCGCCATGGCTGTATCCATATGGGGCTTGACTCTGGTTCTGGTCGCTTTGATGTGTGGATGACTGGGATTCCGAGTCAGATCACAGTAGTCATGTGGTTGGATCTATGAGGGATGGACAATATGGGAAAGATACATACCCCCGGACCGTAACTCTGGCTCGATGGCTTAGAGGAACCTTGATGGCTTTTGTAGGTGTCGCGGAACTTCTTAAAGGTGTCGCCGAGACTGCGGGAGCCGTCGGAGCCCCGCTCTGACTCGTGGTAACGGCCGTAGGCCAGATCGTCGTTCTGTTGAGACATGACTGCCACTGCCAGTCAAGAGGAAATGAAGGAACAGAGGGAAGATAGTGAGAAAACTACGGAGAGAAAGAAAAGAAATAAATCAGCTGAGCATCGGCTGCCTAGAAGCGGGGGCGGTTTTGAGAGCTCGGAAGCCCCGCTGCCCAGCCACGATGGAAACGTGGCTGTGTCGCAATGGATTTAGATGACGAGGAAGGTTCTGGTAGAGTAGGCGCAACAGCAGGCAAAGGTCTTTGCCTGTATTCGTATATCCATAGTCGTCCGATCGGTATCTGACTGGTATGATCCACGCCGAAGTTCCATGTTCCGGTTGTTTACATAGATGCATGATGATGCAACGTATACGCCGTGCCCCCTGATGCGTACCCCCCAGGCCTGTGGGTGTCCGGGGCGACTTGGAATTGAACCAAGATTCTACTTTCAGACGCTCATATAACCAAGTACACAATTTCTTGGGCTGTACACTGTATATCGCCCTCTGCTCGTGCATTGTTATTATGGGCGCTACGCATCATCCCATGCCCGCGACAACCATGTGGCCGGCTTCCGCGTGGATCGGCAGCCCAAAGTCCCGCTCCACCCGTCACTGGGCACATCACATGACCTGGATCCGCCTTCGGTGTTCAATCATGCCACATACTAAATAACAAAACAAACACCATTACCCGCGAAAATGGATATACGTACAACCACAAGCCACCCTCGAAAGAAGAAGACAAATAAGGGGGAAATTCTAAAAAAAAAAAAAAAAAAAAAAAGACTTTTGGGTGATACTCCATGTGACCTCCTCCAAAATCCTCAAAAACAGAGATCTACCTCAGGATCAATCAAGGTCATGATGATGAGCCATAACAACCCGATTACCGGGGCGCCTTTCCCCGCCAGCTCTCCTTTTTTGAATTTCTTTGCTTTGTCTTATTTTTCCTAACTCCTCACTTCGTCGAACTAGAATGCTGTGAATTCTCTGTAGAAACTATCTGTATGACTAACACGCAATTTTGGGAATTTTTGACGGGAATTGGATCGACAGGCCAGAAACGCTTCAGCTCAGTTAAGCTTATTGGACGGGTCTCGGAACTCCCCGCACGTTGTTATCTCGTCGCGACCGCTTGGCGTTCGAGGTCACATTAGCCCCGCGCCGAGAGACGCTGAATGAATCGTACACTGGTTGAAGGCCATCTTCCAATGACTCTTCCAGTCTTTCTCAATCATATATAGCACCGAACAAGCCAGCGTCACCATCATGTCTCTTGCAACTCTTGATGTACTCCCTCTTCCGTCCATCTCCATCTCGATTACGTAGGACTGACAATACCTGAATCTTACCAGGCTTACCAGCACCCCTATCTACCTGCCGCCTCCGATACCCTCTTTCAGGCCAAGTCCACCAAGAAGCTTAGTTTCGAGCAGATTGCCCAGCATATCGGCCGCAACGAAGTCGCGACCGCCGCCATTTTCTATGGTCAGGCCAAGGCCTCACCAGAGGATACCGAGAAGCTGGCCGAACTCCTCGGCATTGACCTAGGGTTACTCACGCAGCAGCTCGATGGCTTCCCTGACCGAGGGAGATCGGTAGAAATGCCGCCCAAGGAACCACTGATCTATCGACTCTATGAGATTGTTCAGAACTATGGATATGCATACAAGGCAGTGCTGAATGAGAAATTCGGGGATGGCATTATGAGTGCCATCTCGTTCTCGACAAAAGTGGAAAAGGAGACAGACGAGGATGGGAATCACTGGGCGGTGATTACACTACGAGGCAAATGGTCAGTATCCCCCATACACCTTACAACTGATGCCCTGAAAAAAGTAGGATTATGTCTTGTTGACGGGGGTGGATATTTATTAGGCTACCCTTTTCGCGGTTCTAGTGGATACAGAATCGGTATCCTCGCAGAATAGTGGGCAGGGTTATGAAACATATATCCGTATTGGCTGTATCGAATTGACCCATCCATATGTGATGAATTGCAGGGGTTAATGATGTACCTGGTTGTTGCTAGAAATCGGCGCTAGTCTGCTTCTTGACACCCATGACAAGAGTTGTTTTCCTATCAAGCACTTTCATCCTCCTTCCCTTTTCTCACCTTGATTTTGTAGCTCATTCTCTTGACCACGCCTTTACCACTTATCTCATCTACTGAGCAACTTGCTTGCTTACCCGTTCAGGCTCAAAAATGTCGGCTTATCACAAATCATCCAAGCTGCCGTGCCTGTTTGAGTCCTGCCCGCGGGTTTTTGACAATGAGGCAGAGATGAAACAGCACATCCAAAACACTCCTGATCATATAATTTGTTGTGGAGAACGTTTTTCAAGTGAGCAGGAGCATTTTATTCACCGGATTCTGAGCGTGGAACATTTCACATGTCCCATCTGCAAGCTTGAGTTCCAAACAGACGGCGGTCTGGCATTTCACATTAAGAAGGTCAGTGCTGTTATTTCCAGTTGAAGAGCTGATATAGGGGCGTTGACATCGATGGCCCCAGCTGGAAACTGTCTTCAATAACATAGTGCCACTCATATAGACCCATCCTCCTACCAATGACGTCGCCTGCAACGGTTGTGGAAACATCTTCTCTTATGCCACCGGTTTGGTGCAACATATCGAGTCTGACCAATGCAAGGAAATCTCCCCCTCGGGTTTCAAAAAGACCTGGCTCGTCGACTAGCTCATCAACTGCAGCCTCTGGTCACTTCGCACGGTAAAGCCAAACTATTCCCTTGGACAAAATCATGGTCAGCCACTAATTATCTGAAAGATGGCAGCCCCAGGCTCAGCCATGAAGCACTAGCTACCCTGGAGAACCAGCTCCGACACATATCCTCTCATCATCAACAGAACTCAACCGTCAAAAGTACCAGCGGCTCTGTAAACCATGGCCCTAGTCCACCTCTGTACATGGCCCAACCCGGTGCTGCCAATGTCCCCCTGGCGCCCAATGATCTCATTACATTCGACGAGGACTGCGTTAAGAATCCCAGATATTTCGTATCCTTCCCACCAAAGAGCCCAGCTTCACTTAAGACAATCTATACAAATAACCAACCGCAGACCGCAGACTGCTTCTGGGATTTCGAATCTCGCCGCTACGTCTGCCCATGCAGCTTCAGCACCACAAACTGGCACAACTTCGAGACTCACATCTCGGGACACCCACACCAAAGCGCGCTCCAAGAAGGGAGCATTTCATCAAAGCGCCAGAAGCCCCAGTGCGTCGATAAATTACCCTTGCAATCTCCTCACGCTCTACCACTACCTTTCAATTCCAAGATGCCTTCTTCCCATGCTATACCAAGCCCATCATTCCCCGTCATGTGCTCTCTAACCAGATTCAGGTGCAAATTTTGCCTCAAGACCTTCTTCTCCTACGCCGCTCTCGTCGGACACCTCGAATTGGGTCCCACTCGGTGCGCCAAGAAGCAGCCCAGCGCTGTAGCCGCCGCTATTACTCAGATCACGGCTGGGGTCCGCCGCGCCCCTGGCCAGGTGCCCCTTGGCCCGGGTGATCTTCCGAGCCCGGCGTCAGTCCAGGCCCACGCGCAGGCCATGGTAGATCAGTGGAAGTGGCGCGATATGTCGCAGGTGGCCGGGGCAGAGGAAGAGGAGAAGGAGTTGGACTGGCGGGCGAGAGATCCAAGGCGGGAGAACGCTTCTTTTTGGTAGGAATATGGTTTTCCGTTTGAAGAAAAATGGATAGGTAAAGAAAAGCGGAGAGGTGTAAGGGGAAATGGCCTGGTTTCTTCTAGTATATACTCCAGCTTTTAATCCCTTTTATTTCCTCCCATTTCTTTTCAATCTCCGGATCTTTGCTACCGCGTCTGGTTTAGAAACATCATCACGCTCAGCGTAGGGGCCAGAATTTAACAAGTATACTTGACTAGAGAGCGATGAAGAATGTCAGTAATATAAAATTGGATTGCTTCGCTAGAGGTTATTCTGAAACGTGGTCCCTTTGCGAGTCAAGAGCCATGAAAGGCCGGGGTGCATGAAAGGTTGCAAGAAACGCATAGCATGAGGGATATCTCGTATATGGCAACCAGAACAAATAGAACGCAGGCCAAAGTGAATGAAGAACGTTAAAATTTACTCCTTTTTGTCTCTATAGGAGGCAGAGGCCACCCGCTTATACAGCTAGCACTTGCTACCAGCCCACCGTCACAATGTGCTGAAATAGTACTCTGATTACCAAACTGACCTTGCCTTCTCAATTTTCCTTCATTTTGAATTAATACCCGGAGTCTTTTTTTTCAAGTAAGAGCCCGATGATTTCCTGTTATTTATTTTATTACTAATCAAGTCAATGTGTAATCAACTAATGGGTCTACTTATTCTATACAAGTTCGTTGGCAAATCAATAATACGGCTGCAATTGTAATCGCCCTAGATATGAAAAATAAAGATACTAAACTCTCAATCTTTGATTGAAAAGTTAAAAAAAGAGCTTAATCCCTGCGCACACATTTAGAAAAGAAACAGCGAATTCAAGCCCCAGCTATCACATTGTGTTAGACTTCAAGGTTCCTTATCCATGTTCAATTGAATGCTTCATATCCAGCAGCTTCTTTTCAATCAAACTGAACTCCGTACTTAGGTCGTAATTTTTTCCATCATCATCCTGGTAGGGCTTTAGTATGTCGTTGTTGTTGTCGTTGTCGTCAGCTAATTTATAAAACCTAGCAAGCTTACCAATGCCCACCACGCCGAACATGGGGAGCAACAGGCTGCCCTGTTTGTTGTGGGTCCGGACCATAAATCGAGCTAGCTGGTTTTTGGCGCTTTCCCAAGAGCTTTCGGCGGGCACACCCGTTTGGCTTCGAGAAGGCCTTTTATTCTCGATAATTATGGCCTTGCATCGCTGGCCATTTCGAATAATTGTAAGACTTACGTTCGCCCTGCTTTGAGATGTTGGGTTTGAATAATCTTCTCGCTGATGTAGATAACCTTCATGCCAGGGAAAGAGTATGGTCATGAGCCGCAGCCATAGATGGTCGATGGTAGCCTCACGACAGAGTGATTGACTATTTCGTGCAAATATGATTGCACTCCGCTATCTGTAGCGGCAGACTACAAGAAATCTTAGTTTTGGAGCGAAGAAATTATTACGAGGACTCACTGCCATGATGGTATTTCGGATGTGAATGATGGTTGTTATTGTGGAAGGTATCGAGGCAAGAGATATTCGCGAAAACATAATATGTTATGATGATATTGTCAGACTTTGATTTTCGATATATCTGATCAGGAAGGGGGTCAAAATCGAGGAGGGTGTCAAGCTCGAGGAAGGAGTGTCAAGCTCGAGGAAGGAGTGTCAAGCTCGAGGAAGAAGTGTCAAGCTCGAGGAAGGAGTGCCAAAGTCGAATGTGTTAGAGTTGATAAGAATACATTCGAGGATTTTAGATTAGAAGATACGGATGTGGACAGTATTATTTAATGGTTTTATTCTCGAGATATATAACCTAATATTCAAGATTTAGAGGTAGATCGAGCTATTGGTGGTCAAGATATCTGAGTCAAGGCGGATAATAGAGCCGAGGATATTAGGTTCGAGGGTATGGATGTAGACAGTGTTAATATCGAAGGTAATAATCTTTAATGACTCGATATTTGAGATATAAAAGTGGGGAGTATTAGTGTGCATAGAAGATACTAATATGGATACTCGAGCTTTTGATGCTCAAGATATTTGAGTGGAGGAGGATGTTAGAATCGAGGATGCTGATAATGTTGATAGTGTTGATGTCAAACGTGATTGAAATCATGTTTGAAGATCCGATATTTATAATGTTGATATTCAAGATACAGATGTCTATGTTAAGATATAGAGTCCCTCCACCCCTAGCGTAGTCTTTGACAGTCGCTATCCAAATGATTTGACCTGACCTAGATGCAATATCGTCGAATCTTTAGAAGCGAAAAATCGATAGAGCGCTAGTGTATGCAATAAAATACAGGATTTGCTCACTCCTCTGTTTCACTTATGTAGGAAATCTTCTCGGACGAGCTCGATTATAGGAATTCGATCAATTTAATCAAAACTTAGATGTTAAATAAGTATCTCGGTCTTACTGAGTAATATACCCTTCTCTTTGATACCTCAGTCTATCTATTTCTATTCTGAGTATATATGAGAAGTATAGCAATGTGATAACACAGCCTATTTTCTTTCTTTTTCTTCGGAGAAAAACACACTCAGAGGTAGGATAAAAGGAATCTTGTAAACGGCAATCGAGCCTATGGTCAAAATCCCGAGAAACTTCACCTGGCCCTTCGTAAAAGAATGACTCTGACTAGCAATTCAAAACAAAGGAAATTTAGGAAAGATAAAGTCCCACAGCTTTCAGTAGCCAGTAGCTTCAAACACAGAGCTAGCAAATAGTGCATTGACCGAAAGAACTGCACCATTATGTTACTGATTATCACGGTAATAATGGCCTAGGGAGCTGAGCCTAGTGCAAGAGCTATCACCTTATAATCCTGTCCAATATTAGCACCATTTGGTGATGATGATGATGATGATGATGTAAAAAATCGTTATATTATTTGCAGATGTTACTCACCCAAAAGTCTCCCGAAAAGGACACAATACCCGATCTTGTATTCAGTCGAGTCACATGTGACTTGGATTTGTTGAATTTCTCTTTGCCTACCCATTTGTAGTGTATGGTATCAGACTTTGTTGTAACTGCCCGTATAGCACGTATAGTTGGAATAATAAAATCATTATCTCTTCCCACCCGGAAATCAAAACCCGTCAACGTTCCGCCACAAAGATCAACCATGGCCTTTTTCCCTGGTATTTGATAGCCGAAGGATGTTACGTGCTCACCGGATTCATGAATAAAATCAATTCCCGTTATGAATGTGTCAATTCTTTCAGTAAAGACAGAAACAGCAATTTTTATAACTGGATGAGCCAGAGAAATTGTGTGAGATCGCTGAATATGCCTTTGATGCTGGCATACAGAACAGCGAGGCTCTCTAGACGCAGAGACATCTTGCAAGTGCTTTAAATGCATCGGGACGCTGTCGTGGCTTGCCTTTGTCTCGGTAGTCATTGTCCAGCGTAAATTCTGGGGTCGTATATTTTCATCTGGTAGAACAAGGCCCGATGCTTCTGTAATCAGAACGATGCCCCTGATCCGCTCATTTCTGAGCCACTGTCTCCTAAAATCTCTCGCCGTATGATTCCTTTTCACTATGTTATGAGTGCAGCGATAAATTAGTCTCCAATCTTTGCAACCCATCTCTGTCAAGAAACTCAGGAAACCTCGTTCGCCAAGTACATCAAATCTCGTTTTCCAGAACTGCTGGCTTTCAAATAGAAGTGCCATAGCTTTTGATGAAAGCCTAAGACTGAGAAAATCGACAGTAGGGAGATATTGAGAAATTTCAATTCGGATCTCGGGCGAAAGCAACAGGAATGGATCGAAACCAGATGCTGTGCAATTCGTAATGTTGACTTTGAGCGCTGTAGGGTTCGGTAAAGCATTTCGGGCCGTGCGTATTTGAAGATCTCGCCTGAGGCCATCGTATCCTGGTCCTTTGCCTGCTGGAAGATCGTAACGGCCCATTGCTTGATCCCCGAAGTCAGCAACCTATGATTATGATGTAGTAATTCTCTATAAAATAAACATACTGGAGTGAAACTCTGAGCCCATGACATACCACCATCTGTCTTTCATGATATTGAGGTTTGGTGTTTGGTCAAAATGTTTCATCAAAGCTTTCCAACAAAGATCATGAGCGAACCACGTAGACCCCATAGTTCCTGTAGCTTGATCAAAATTCGACAGATCATATGAGCTGGAAACTTGATCAAAATATACCGGCGTTCTGAACCTATGGAAGGTTTCAACTAAGTTGAAGATTTATGTTAGTTCCGCATTTCAAAATATTTAGTTTCTCAGGTTCAACAACAAAACTGACAGTATCGTAAGCTTTTTTTTGGATCCTGGTAGTGGCAAAGTACACAACGAGTTGTAATCCACGGGCCCATATTTAAAGTTGACCTGTTGCTGGACAGTCTGTAATTGATGCTCTTATATCTCTCGGACTCTATTTCTGCAGGAAGGAGAAAATTTCAAACTGTACTTGCATTCACAGTAGCATGGAACCAATGAGCTTATATAAGTTATTCTCAAATTTGAATCTACTAGTCATGGCTACATCATCCAGTCAAAGTTCAGGTCAAAATGCAAGTCGAGATTCTAGTGCCAGTCCTAGTCGAAGTCCAGTCGAAGTCCAAAATCTAAAAGTGGTCTCAACTAATTATTTTGAAGTATTGTATTTAGGAGGTATTTTAGAAGGGAAATATTCAGTTACCTCTAACATATTTATATCGCTGTGATATCAAAGACACAGCAAAAGTATTTGCGCTTGCCTAGCCCCATATCTTACCGCCAGACTCACCGCCTAAAAAAAACCGCAGTAGGAAACACGCTAATTTCCAATGTAAGCATGGAGTGTATGTTGTCAATATAGTAGGATGCGGTATCGGCTAGGAAAGCTAGGATCCAATGGAACGAGATGCTCAATATAGTGATGTATTGGGTGACTGAACTATCTAAATGTGTGGGCGGGGGAATGTTGAATATCCCCTACCTGGCTGTCTAGCGTGTTACGGCGCTGGGTTCCGAGTATACCCGGGAAACCATACAAAACACGTAGCAAATCGAGTATCCCTGTAATATCCTGACTCGCATGGAGATATGTGGGTCTCGCCCGTATTATGCAGTCTTCCTTCTTGACATGTGTCAAGCCGATATAAACAGGGTTTCAGTTTACATATACTAGACCTCTTAGGTGTCATGATGAGCTGCGTCCTCCGTAAACATGTTGATCATGTAAAGCCCCTATTTTCTCACCTTTCCTACTAGATAGTGATGGGATGGAAGACTGCACAATACGGCTAAGACTCACATACAGTGACACAGCAAAAGTATTTGCGCTTCCTTAGCCCCACACCCCTACCGCCTTAACCACCGCCTACTAAAAACGCGCAGTAGGAAACACGCTAGGATTCAACACGCGCATACACATGCTATGTTTCCCCTATTTTATTTCCTACTACTACTACTACTACTACTACTACTACTACTACTACTACTACTACTACTACTACTACTACTACTACTACTACTACCACTACTATGGCGCGATCAACCGAGCTTACACCTACTATTCGGGAGCGTATCTGCGAATTGCATGCTATTGGATGGGGCCCTACCCATATTCGAAAGACACGATATCCTTGGATACCACTTTCTACTATTCGCTATACAATAAAGAAGGAGACAGAGCGCCGGTCTGGTGTATCTAAGCCACGCTCTGGTCGCCCTAAAAAGCTTACAGAAACGGATAGTCAACGTATCCTTACTACTATTGTTGAGAACCCAAAAGTTACACAAAAAGATCTTCTTGCATCAGTATCTAATAAGGTTAAATATGACTCTATTAGACGGCTTCTAAACGCTCATAATATGCGAAAATAGCGATGCAGCTGGCGTCCCTATCTTACCGAGGAACACGCTCAAAAACGACTCCGCTGGGCACTTACATATCAACACTTTACACCAGAGGATTAGGGCCGTGTTTTCTGGTCCGACGAATGCACAGTTGAACGAGGAATTGGAATGCAACGAGAGTGGACTTTTACACGTCCAAAGGATCAACCAAGAGAGGGTCAATGCCAGGGTTTACCGCATCGTGGAAAGCAAGTTAAGCAGATGTTTTGGGCTGCATTTTCAGGTGCAGAACGAAAGACTGGCTTAATTCCACTATTCGGAGATCCTAACTCTCAACGTGGCGGCGTTAATCGCTTTGTTATCGAGCAGTTATATCGCCGTATCCTACCAACATTACTTATATACGAAGATTCAATATTCCAGCATGATAATGCTCCTACACATACAGCAGTTGTTGTACGAGAAGCCTTAGCAGAACTAGGGATTCAGGTTATGGATTGGCCTCCTCACTCGCCAGATTTAAATCCAATTGAAAATCTTTGGGCGTTACTAAAGAAGGAAATCTATAAGATTCGACCTGATCTAATACATATGCCAAATAATGATACAACTAAGGCTATTCTAGTGGAAACAGCGCAGCAGGCGTGGGAAGCATTAGATATTCAGCATCTTAGGCATCTCGCAGAGACTATGCCAAATAGGGTTGCAGCGATTTTAGAGAGCCAAGGGTGGTATACACCCTACTAGATAGCTACTATATAGTAGTAGTAGTGTTGAATGGAAATTGGAAGTTTTTGGCTGGCAGAATATTATGTAATATAGGGGGTGTGGGGCTAAGGAAGCGCAAATACTTTTGCTGTGTCACTGTATCCCTGTGTACGTCAGATTGTTACAGGAATACTCGATTTACTGCATATCTTGTATGATATCCTGGATAGACTCGGAATACAGCGCCATAACGCGCTAGGCAGCGAGGCAGGGGATATTCAACATCCCCCGCCCATACACTTAGATAATCAGTCATAAAAGATATCATCACATTGAGCATCTCATTCCATTGGATCCCAGCTTTCCTAGCCGATACCGTATCCTACTTTATTGACAGATAGTAGTGGTGATGCTGAACAGGAAATAGAAGTTTTTGACTAGCAGAATGTTATGGGATGTGGGGCCACAAGAGCGCAAATACTTTTGTTGCGTCACTGTCAGTTATTCTAAGTACCTTATTTCTAGCAGAATCCTTAATCGCCCTTTAGGGTCTAGGTGATTAGCTGTAGTGCGCCTATATTTAGCACCCCGGAGGCATGGTCCGTAACAATCACTACTACCAGGTCCTAAGAAGAATCAAGATACAGCATTTGAAAGAGCAGTGGAAGCGCGCTAGGAAGGTAAAATCTTCTTGATAAACACTACTGGGATGCGTTAATAGATAGGGAAAAAAGCAAAAATTATGCATTAGTGTATGGCTATATGTTTGGGCGTAGCACACCCATAACACGGAAAGCGGCGTGGGTGGGCGGAGACACTGCTAGCTCGACTCTCGTGTAACATTTGTTTTTCTTTCAGATAATATCACGCATCCACTGGTAAATCCATTTAATGCATGATATTTCCATGGGCGATATACTAGCAGTGTCTCCGCCCACCACCGCTTCCGCGTTGCAGGTGTGCCACGCACAGATTCAACATTTTTCCTACTCCTCTATTTTCTGCTTCTCTGTCCAATATCACTATCTAAATATGCATAAAATCGATGAATCTCGTATAGCTGAGGCCTGTCTAGCAGCATCACGCGTGGAGAAGCCAAATATTGCGCGTTTGGCGCGCGGATTTGGTGTTAATCGATACACTCTATAATCGAATCAAAAAAGGGAGCAGGGCCTTATATAGCTAAACTTAATGCTAAACACGCTCTTGAAGCTTACTCAGAAGAAGCTTTAATTCGCTAGATTCAATATATAAACGACTGCTATATATCTATCACTCCTACTATATCTGGGTCCTAGGCTGTCAATGCGTAAGCGTAAAGTTTCTACCTACGTATTCCCTTCTCCAGACTCGCTATTCATTAAATGTAACGATTCTTCTTCCAAGTCTTGCGCTTGTGTGACGTATTGCTTTTCTCTCCTTGCTCCTTTCTCCAGACCCGCTATTCAATAACGGTCGAGATATGATGAAGATATGGGGGCGGCTATTATTCAGATCCTTAGAATGTTTCTGCCAACAATATTATCACGAACCCTATTCTCACGAATCCTATTCCTAGTTAAAAGTCCCTACATAGGCATTTATAGACGTCCCAAAAAATCCTTAGATCGTAGTTCTATTCATCTACCTCATGGGCGGCCACTACTTGATCTATGTGTGCCAAAATCGTTAGTCTATTCTGTCCATCTCTCCAATTTTCGGTTCTTAGATCACTACGTTCTCGTTTATTATTGTCGGGATACTGGGTTGTGTTCATCAAGTCTCGGTCTACGCTCTGAAACAGTCCTAGATTACGCACTTAGCCATCATTCCTAGTCTTTTATACCGGATGACTTTTCTCAGGCCTGGCTTTGAATCGTCATTCGAATAAAAGCTACGCAGAGTGTCACAAGTGCTATACTACAACTGGATTGTTAAAGCATATAAATTTATCCATGACAGACTCGATTTGATTGTTGAAAAGAGGCGGCGAACCCCAGAAAGGACACAAAGACACAAATAAATTGAAAATCAAAGAGATAGAAACCCAACTCAGTAGTACAATGGCAAATATGTCTCTAGGATCCATCTCGGGCTGTGACTCATGAGAATCTTTCCGTCATTGTCCAAATCGATACATTTCCTCTGAATCAATATAGGAAGCCAGTCTGAAAACAAAATATGGGATGTGAGAGCTCTGTGATCGGTCAGATCGCTCCAATAATGCATGAGTCCCGGATATATATGATCCTTTCCTCCGAAGAATTCTGCATAAGCACCGGGGTAAGGTGGAAACCCTTCGTCTCGCCGATCAGCTTTTCTAAAGTCGACCGGTTGCAGGTATGTATCCCAGTTTTTATATTTTTCCGCCGTAACAGTGCCGATCCGAATGCGCGAGTGAAGTATTGTATGTGCAGGGCGGCGAAAGCCAACAGGTCTTTGACACCATTTGACTTTACGTGATTGCATTGGGACGATTGCACAAACTCCCGGCTCATAGCAGTCAGGGATATGTAAGACGTTAAAAAGGGTGCCGCTCCCTTCCTCTGGCATGTCTTCTACAAACAACAGTAATTCAGCCCGCCCAGTATCTCCCAGTCGAAGTCGAATTATATAGACCCTGAATCCCCTCTTACTCGCTTGCTTTGGCTCGGAGCCCTTGGGCGCAATTTCATACTTATTCTCCAGTTCTGAGATCGGAAGGGGGATATCTCGTCGCTGGCGGGCTAATCTCTCTCCGATAGTTCCATGTCGACTGATTGCTTCAACTTCACGCAGGAACTTTGAGTACTCCCCAGCATCATTCTCATTCGCGCTTTGGCTTTGCCCCTGACTTTCGTCCTGTGAACCCGTCGAGAAATCCCAATTGGGTGGAACTTGGTCTTTGGAAAGGCCATAAACCTGCCCGTCTACACCGATCATCCGGGACACCGCGACTTGGTGTGTTGCAGAGATCTGCGCGTCTCCGCGTTCAGGAACTAGTGCCGTGGAGGAATTGGAAGTTGATTGTGATGGCGTTTTCACCTGCACGATGGCGCGTGAGGCATCCTCGATGATATTCACCTCAGGTGTGCTAAAATGAACAGCGAGGTTCTGGCAGTCCGCTAGAAACTTTTGATATTGCGGGTTTTTTCCATTACTTGTAGCCCCAGTGGAAGGGTGCTTTTGTACCTTCTGGATCAGTTGGCCTGGGATCACGATGCCGTAACCTCCCATCAAGATCATCTTCATTTTGGTGCTGGGAAATTTCAGCGTCTGATATATGATCCCCAAGTTTGAAGATCTGGTGGAAACATCTGGATCGGAAGCGCTCATGGATGAGGGTCTCCCTCCGAGCATGACAAGTTCAGAGTTGGTAGGCGGGTTGACTTCAGTTTGGGATTGCTGTGCCGACGCTGTATGTGCGTGTGTGCTCCTTCTGGATCCGGACATTCCTCGACGAGCATTCGTGCGTGCATCATCACGGCCTGGATCCTTGTGTGAACGTTGTGACTGTTGCGCTCCTTTGTTGATTTTTGGCCAGAGGTAGATTCTGATTGGTGCACTTTTGGGAAGTGCTTTTGGCTTGGGTTTCGCGGCATCTTCGCTGGATGACTTCAACTCATCTGCTTTTTGATTTTTGGCATCTTTGCTGGATGCTTTCTTGTCATCTCCCTTGGAACTTTTCGGCCCAGGTGCTGTTTGTGCAGTAGTCCTTGGTGGGTCCCGAGTTGACACCCCGAGTGACACTTTCGCGCTTCTGCCTCCCAGGTCGAAAAGGTCGCGCGCTTTTGGAGGCGGCATTCTGTCAAGGACACAAGGGCCTTCGAGGAAATCTCCACTCAAGGTAAGAAGGGATCCAGTCGGTGGATTGTGTGCTAGGGTGAGGATGAGCGATTTATGATGAGGAAATGCATGGTGACATCTATATATGTGTTTCTGGCAATTTAAATTCAACGAGTCAGATGGATATGGTCTGAGTATTCTTCGCATTCAACCTCAAGTTTCTATGAATAGTCAGAGCCGTACCCCCAATAGAAGGGACATGAAACGTGGCCCTGGCGCGAGCGAGACTTCGCGCTTCGAAGGATGAAGGCAGGGCATATGAATGGAAACATGGGAAGCTCCACTACCGCCTCCCAGCAACGCTCCGGGCTTGATGTGTCTCGGGGGGAAGGAGGGCAGTGGTTAGTGGGTACTATTACGAAGATGGAGTTCGTAGCGCAGGACTGAGACGGGGCTGGTGAATTGATTCCGTATTTCTTCATTCATTGATGAAGACCCAGAAGAAAGCAATAGAGTCCAAGATTAATTATGCATATAAATAGGATCATTTTATCTCTCCTATGAAACCTCGTTACCTCCAATTGAGCGCGCCCCCAGCTTCCGCTAATACATGTAGGGAAAGAAAAGCGATGTGGGTCAGGCTGGTGTTGGGAAAAGAAAACGCGCTTGGATGCGCGAGACGCCCTTGAAGCCCCGCAGACTATCCTCTTCTCAAATGCTATTTATAGAATAGACGGTGCCAAACCCGCCTATTTAGCAAAGGCCCGACTAGTTATGATGATACAAGGATTGTCTGCGTGGTCTAATTATTACTAGTTGTCGTAGTACTGTAGGCATCGCTTGTTCTTGACTATGTCATCCTTATGAAAACAGAATCATATGACAATTAGTAAGCTAGAAATAAATAAAAATCTTACGGGGGGTTTAGGACGGAATCTATTACAGACTTCCACGCATATGGCTGGCGTGGAGGGCCTCGACTACATCAGCCCTGTCCGCGGGGCCTTGGAATTCCCTTCTTTGGTTCATGGTACAGATCGAGTACAGCATAGAGCATGCAGCTTGCGGGATACAGAACGGTGTTGTCCCGACTGTAGTTCCGCCGTAATATACGAGCGAGCAAATTCTGGGAATTCAAATAGGAAAAGTAGGGGCTCCTAATCCCCCATCGATCGATTAAACAGCCCTCAATATCATTATGGGTCGCATAATATTCATCATTCGAAACGACGTTAATCAATTTGTCAGTAAAAGAAAGCTGGGAGACGTTGGGTCCGCAGGGCGCTATACATCCTAAGAGCCCCGTTAACCCCTTAAGCGCTAGCCTTCGGTCAAGCTTCGTCATTCGCAAATCCCGCGATGCTGGACTCACTACGCCAACCCCCTGCTTCCTGATCTCTCCGATATTCTCCAATCACTGCCGTCTAAGGTAGTCCCTAAGAAATCGCCAGTCCATGGCGGCACAAGGTCCATAAAGTGAAGAATGTCATTCTCGTCAATATCAAAAAAGCCTAGTATGGAGTAAACCCGGCGAAGTGAGGCGGTGCGACAGCAATGTGGGCGAGAGTCGGTAGAACAAGAAGTTGAAGTGGCGCAAATGGGGGGACTCTCTATTCAAGCGAGCAAATTGAATCGTTTCTACGAGAGAGAATGCTCTTCTCTCCTTCTCTCCTCTCCTAACGAAGTAGTGGATATCACTGATACAAGGAATGATCAATATCACATGACCTGCGCGGGTGGTCGGTCTCGCACGCCGCAAATTTTGGATTCTGCCGAGATTCGACCACTCTCGAGCCACTTGCACCAGAGCAAAAAGACATGAGCACATGGATTAGTGCATTCAAATCCTCGGCCATTGAAAATCATTCTTCTATATCCCATAATTAAGATTTTTAACAACCAAATCTCCGAATCTCTACCTACGAAACCTCCCAACATGGCCACGCCAGACCAAACCACCGCCATGGAAACTCAAGCCCGCCGAGAAGCCGACTACGAGCGCTTCAAGACCTACACCGCATACACTTTTCTCGTCGCCTCCCCGATCCTTATTGCCCTCCCACCTCGCAAACTGGACCACCTCACGGTCCTGCTCGCCAGCGCCTTCGCCATCTCCGCCAACCACATAACCCGCGAACAGACTGGTCGCAGCATCGTCGATCGGCTTGAGGCCCGCATCGCCCGCCCCAATATCATGCGCGAGCTGCCCAGCGAGCGCGCCGAGGAAATTCAGCGACGGTTGCGGGCAGCGCGCGATGCGCAGATTCGTGATGCCCAAGCGAGTGCGTCTGGGCGGGTCAGCGAGGAGGTGGAAAAGCTCCGGGCGCGGCAAGTGCAGGAGCAGGGCGTGGCGCAGCGTGTGTGGATGGGCGGGGAGAAGGATGGGTGGATGGAGGAGCGCTTGAAGAAGGAGCAGGAGGCGCTGGATGAGGGCAAGGGGTATGGTGATCTGATCTATGAGCATATCTGGGAGGTGTGGAATTGGGGCAAGAAGCAGGAAGAGGATGAGGACTGATTGAGGGGCATTGATATTTGCATTGCTATGCTCCATCTTTGCCTCGACGCGGTCTCACAGATCTACGCTAATCGCATTTATGTTCGGTAAATGCCGAAGATCTGATATCAGATTGCCTCGAGACCTGTCATCCTTTACTTCAACCATTCTTTTCGACTTCACTGCATATATCCTTGTGTTCGATGATCCGACACTCGCCTTTGTTCTTCCTGGAGCACCATCTCTGTCTTTTTTTGGTTTTCAGTGTTCTCTCATCAGCATTGGGGCCGGCGTTTGGTTAATGTCCTTGTCTCCGCTTCTGTCTTTCTCTGTCTCACTATATCTTCCTCCACTCTATGGAAACTCCCTCGCCACAAAACCGAGTTGAAACAATGTACAATATCAAAAGTCATTACGGCCACTATGCCTTGTGACTGCCATTTACAAACATCCACCCGTATCATATCTTGTATGCGAAAATCAGATCGATCGATCATTAAACGAGAATTTTCACGCACCGAAACACTCTGTCGACGTCTTAATGGACCAATGTATTCCGGGTGGTCCTCAATAACTTATATTTCGATCCTCTCCGGAGATAACTTAGAGTATAATCATGCACATTATAGCAAATGACAAGACTAAGGATTCTGATAATATGGTCTTCTAGACATGTTTTGAGATTGCAGCTCTCTGGATATAAGTTAAACTACGCTGGAGGGTTCAGAAAGTGATAGTGAACGAGAGCCATGCCACAATAATTTAGTGGGACATATAATTAGTCCTTCAAGGTCGAGCAAAGTCAATCTACACATTTTATCCTTTTCGATCATCGTTGATACAAAATACTATATGAGGCACATTCTGAGAAGTGATGAAAAATAGTCATATTCTCCTTATGATACAGATGACAGGAACAATGCATATTGAAAAAAAAAAAAAAAAAAAGAGAAACGACACCATTTTGAGCACCATGATACAAGAAGGGTACAAATATTAATCTCAGTCACCCAGTAAACTGGTTGTGGCTGGCACGACGAAGCGCAAGAGAACTTCCATAAAGCTATGACGCTCCACAGAAAAGTCCCTACACAGTGATTCGATATGCGTCATATTCAAGCATTCAAGCCAATCTTCGACTTGTTTCAGGGAAGCAGCGCAGATGTAACGAGTGGTGCATGTAATGAAGGTGATACAATGATAACGATGCGAGCTTATTGCCATCAAGAGAAATAAAAAGGTATGTCAACAATCTCAAGCACAGCGCTAGTTGCCGTGAAGCTGGGATAGCCCGCCTGGAGCCATGACTCCCCAGGCAAAACTTTCCAAGCTCAGATTGAGACAGTAAATGTTCTTTATCATATATCGAAATGAAACGAAATGTGCACATGATCAATCACAGGCGCCCGACACATAGAAGAGAAATACAATACATACTAACATGAAACAATGTGTATATCCAGGTGTTGATATATACAGGAGCCCCTCATTTGAGCCGTGGCTGTCGTGTGGATGTGCCACAAGGTTCCGGGGAAAAGTCCTCGCAGCTCCTGGATGATTGTAGCACGTCGAGGTGAAAACCCGGACCAGGTCCCTGTAGTAAATAAATACATGCCATCCCCTCTTACATTCTTGTAATTCTGATCTCCGTCACCTGGTCACTCATGTTTCTTAGCATCCCCAAGTTGGTGAGCCCACGGTGCAATTGACTGTGGAGTTTGCCATTTGACAATACGGTTGTTTTCTTCTTTCATGATTCATCTTGTCATTAGCTGGCTAGATTCAGTTTCAATCCACGACACCGTGGGCTTCAATATAATTTGTGGCTTTCTCAGTGGTAAGGCTGTTTCTCAGATCCAATCGTGGTTCATAGAATATTGATACATAACAGAGGCCTATGACGTATCAGTAAAATTAGAGCTCATCCGGGAAGACGAGAATGGACGGAGCTCACAATTTCTTGCATGCGAAAAGCTCCTTCTGCAATGTTTTGCATCTTCTGTCGTGCTTGCCAGTCCGCATGCAGAGTGGAATTATGCCGGGGACCGTAACCAATGGGTTGCGGATAGGCGTAGCACTGCGGGAAGTAACCTTCCAGAGGAGGCGCGTCAATCATTTCAACGTTATCCAGATAATACTGTTGCGAGCTTTTAGAGACTGTTATCAAAGCGATTGGAATTAGAATTCAGAGCACTTACATCGTCGCCATCTATATCCATATCTTGGAAATCATCATAAGGGAAAGGTTGGGAATATGGGCCTAGATCTTGCTGGGTCTGAATTTGCTGGCCATTCTGGTTGTTCCTCATGTTCTTCTTTTTTCGCTTCTTGTGCTGGTTATCGTTATTCTCGATATTGTTGCCATTTTTGTTCCATTTATGATTGTGATTGTTCCGATTATTGCTCTTGACCCAGTCATTGCTGTTGATCCGAAATCTTTTCTTACTAGGGTTCCGATTATTGTTGTTATCATTCCAGTTATTATCCCTATTTCGAATGTTGATATTCAGATTGTTGTTGTTATTATCAATTTGGCTGTAACTCCGAATATTATTGTTATTTCGAGTGTTATTTTTGTTCCATTTATTTTGGTTGGTGTGCTGGTTGTAGTTCCGATGATTGTTATTATTTTGACCGTTATCGTTGTTCCAGTTATTTTGGTTATTCTGCTTGCTTTGCTTTTTGTTCCAATTATTGTTGCTGTTCTGGCTGAAACCCTGATGATTGTCGTTCTTTTTCCAATCGTTGTTTTGATTTTTATTTTGACGGCTCAGGCTGTTCTGATTGTTCATATTGCCATTTGGGTTTGGTCTTTTGTACCTGTTCTGTTGCGAACCACCATTCGGTCTATTGTTTCGGTGTCCTGGGCCGTTTGTGGGTTGGTTTTTTTGAGGGAAACCGGCCTGTTGATTATTGGCAGGACCATTTTGCCCGCCGAAAGATGCAGTGTGTTTGATTTCTTGAAACATCTTTGCTTGGTAACGAGCAATGTGGGTGAAATTCCACTGCCCAGCACTCGCGAACCTGTTGAACGTCTCGAAACCAGAGGGATCTAACTGCCTTCTCCCAAGAGCCGGATTTCCACTTCAGGGTCTCTTCCACGTTTCTATTTTTGGGATATCAGGAAAAGAAGCAAATGAAAGATTTTGAATCCTTTTTGAGGTTAAAATTGAACAATTTTGTACGCAAGAAATTCCCTCAAGTTAGCAGTCAGAGCCCTACAAGTCCGACCACTTGAAGATGGCGTTGGGACCCTGGCACACTGGTTTGAGCTGTCAAGGTGAGTCGCTGGGTTGTTTCCCTGTGGGTGAAATGCAAGACCGACGGTATGTGGGCAAAGAGTGTGGGTACAGCAAAGAACGACCATATATATTTTCTGAGCAATGTGGATAGTGACAGTGAAGGGTTGGGAGCGAGGCCCGGCCCCTGCAAGCAGAGATGGAAAGAGGAGAAAAGGATTTTTGGAGAGAAGGGAATTTGGGAAAATTTGTAGCCCCTGGGCTCCGATCTTCAAGATTCCTGGGGATAAAATATGTCAGTTTATTGTCAGAGGCGCTGGGTGAGGGCTGATCGGGCATAGGCGTGTCCGAAACTGGGAAGGTATCAATGTCAAAAGCTGGTATGACCGAGGAAACAAGGCCTCAACAGGGCCTGGAAGTCCGATTTGGGACCGGAGAGATGGGGGGATAAAGTTCAGGGACGCTCAAGAGGTAGAAACCCTAATTTGGCATCGGAGAGACGCTTGCATGAAGATCCACCAGATTGCGTTGTCCAGTCCCAATATTGATGCGAAACTGATGCCCGAAAAGGTCAGATAATCGTGATCTTTCAACAAGAGAAATAGTTAAATGAATTTAGCGGAATGTGCAACTGTGATGCAGTTAAAAGATCTCAAAACGGTGGTACGAGACAGCTCACCATTAAAGCAAGTTGCAGCTGAGTGAAATTTTTGAACAACGGGTTGAAGCGATAATGTTTATACTGGCTTTCGATCGATGTGTGTGGGATGCGAATAGACAGGTCGACGATTATTCTTATATAGAGAGGTGTACACGTTTCTTTACTAGTGATCTTCTCCGAATCAAAGTTTCAAAGAAATTTCAAGCAGTCAAAAGATTCTATTTTTGAACATAATGAGACCTGGTCCCGTCGCCATTCTGTGAAAGAATGGGATAGTTAGGAAGAATAAACAATTCACAAGGAGCCTCTTAAAAAGAGAATACTGTGTTCGATGGAAGTTCCGAACGATGAAACCAGAAGTAAAATGATGGGAGGGACAACAAACAACCAACAAAGAGCGAGCCGAAGCGGATGTGTCAGAAGTTCAGAAATGATTCAACAAAGCGAAAGCGATGAAGTTATTCCGTAAGGCTGGAACCATCACTTTTCTTTATCTTTCAATCGACCGGCATAATCTGCGCCGTTTACTACGTGAGAAGTTTGGAGGGTAAAGATTTTCCGAATATGATCGAAGCCTAGCCATGGAAAGCCTCGGAAGGCAGTAGAATGAGCAATGTAAAGAGTATTTGAGAACTGAAACATGATTCAAACTATGGCCATAGGACCATGTTTTCTTGATTAACTCTGTCAAATTGGGACTGTGCTTTAGCTACATGGATTGGTAGTAGTAAAGACTTTTTGCAGGGGTGGATGATTTTTACTTTCATAGGTGAGCTTCAGACTACCAAGAAATTGCAGAGTATTCAAATAGTTGCAATGCTATAGACCTCGTGTGATTCAGGGTATGTCTGGGCGCTTTTTCTTGGGCCGTTGGCCCGCGGGTGATGTGCTCTCGGTGGACAGGAGGCTCTCCCGCTTTCTTTTCTTGGAATTTTTCTTCCGCCGAAGCTCTTCTTTGATTCGGAGCCGTCGTTGGACTTCCTCTGAAATGTCTTCTGTTTCATGGGACCCACTGGTGGGTGTATTGGATGTATTTTCTGGGCCGACGCCTGGCTGAGAGGTTATGTCGCGCTTTCGCTTGGGTGCCCGCGCATCCGAGGACGGTTCTCTTGAATCGACTATAGAGACGTCTTTTTTCTGTCCGTTCTTGATCGCTTACGCCTTGTATTGGTCTCGGTATCTGTTGATTGCGTGGTGGAGGCCGGCTCTCCGTTCACTCTGGAGCCCGAAGATGACGCAAGCGGCGTATTGAAAGCATGATCGGTAGGTTTATCTGCAAAGAAGAGGTTATTTCCTTCTTTGTTACTGGCTGGATTCAAGGGTATTGTAAGAGGAGTAAAGTGTCACAATATTGAGAAGAAATCTCGTCGACATACTGTTTAGCTAGAAGAAAGGTGTCAATCGCGATTTCCTGACAAGCCAGCAGAGCAAGAATGACAAACCATATGTTTTCGCATCATTTTTGATTGATTTATCGACTGGATAGTCTTGGTCACCATGGCCGACACCGTTCGAAACGCCTCACAGTCCGTCGCAACATGGCATTTCACTGAATCCAGTAGCTCAAGATGGGATTGAAGGACGGTCTCGTGTTGCGTGAAGACCTAGAATTAGATTCAAAGTTCGTCAGATACAGTCACTGTATGAAAATACACTCGGTCAGGGTAGCAAGTCCCCGCCTCACGAGCATTCTTTCTCCATTTTCCTCTCGCCGTGTTCCTGAGGGGAGGCAGTGGAAAACACACCTCTGCCCATGGAATAGTCCCGCTATTTAAAGGGAAGCTGGAGGTTATCCCGCTGTCATTGGGTCCTCCAGTTCTGCCAGTTGCATCCATTTTGAATTGCAGGCCCGGAGGCGTGATTTGCGAAAGGCGAAGAAGGAGCTTTCAAGGATCGGCGGGGACGGAGCTACTCCGCGCCAAGAGATCTGCGATGACTAAATCGGGTGAAGCCTTTTGGTTAGCCAACAGCTCCTTTGTCTTGCCGAAAGCCCCTCAACCCAAGACAAAGCACTCGCTGCAACGAATCATTTTCTCCCAGACATGCTGATATGAGAATCCAAAATATCGTCTCATCGACACCAAAAATGACAGCATCTGGCGCCAGAAACTGCCGCCTTGCTACCCGCAACTTTAAACGGCAGCTCGAATAGCTTGGGTGCTTCCACAACATAAACACAATTTCGAAAAACCCAGCGGAGTATTATATGCAGTTTACCAGACCCGAAACTGTAGCTTACTTGATCTCCGAGGCTGTATCGGCTATATGAGGATTAATCACTCTTCGTACTCAAGCATGCGGGGTATGGGGACTCAAAACAAACAACGTCCTAGTACCATGCCTTCATGGTGATAGACGTAGAAATTTATTGAGAGTGTTGCAGACTTATCATAAGCTCGAATAGATTGTGTTCCTATAGACCGACCACCCAAAATCCTTGAATGTCAGAACGCATGTCGCGCCGTCCAGGCCGGATAGTAGCCGAGGTACAGTAACGCACTAGCAAACAAAGCCGTGCCGGTGGCCGCAAAACGGAAACCCAAGTTTATATAAGATTGACATGGTAGAGTGCGAGATTGGTACGTGATCCTGTTCATGATAGGGGATTTCTGTTAAAAGGATGCCCCCGCAGGCTCAAGACTAGATACTCAGATTGCCTCCTTCCTTGCCTTCCAACCAACTAGTCCACCAATTTTGGATCACTTTCCATTCTGACATACTGGAATATGCCATCTCCTCAATTTTTTCTATGTGGTATGGAGTTCCATACAAAAGTCGGGACTGAATCAGCAATAGAATAGACTTTTCCCCAACTCATCATCAAAAGTCAATAATGACACAGACGCATCAGGCCTTAGCGTGGATGCTACGTAGGTATCCAGTGTATACTACTGTATACTACACATCGTATCGGCGCCTCTAGATAATCCGCACTTCTAGAATCTGGAAATCACCCTTTTAGAACTTTGGAACGCCTAATATCAATTAATTCAAACCTTGTCAGCCTAAGACCGATTTGATAACCGGATACAGTTAGTACCATATGCAGGGCGTGCGGGCCGATCTCCACATTGCCCTTCTGTTCTCTCGCTTTGCATACCTTTCTCAGCCTCGCGAATTGGCTGTTCTTGGACTACCTTTTTTAGCCTACAACAAAATTATCGAACGACGGGCTCATAGTTCGCGACGGATGTCTTTATAGGAAAGCATTGCGACTCCTACCATATCTATGGCGATCGGAAATCAATTCGTATGAATCCTGATTTTTTGCTTACTAGGCATCAATCTAGGCCCAATAAAGATGACATTGCTTGGCTTTCGCGACAAGTATTTATATCTCAACTTTGCCTGGGCTTCTAAGCTATAACTTCTATCAGAAATCACTTCTAAACGACCAAAACTAGAGTTGAGGAGTCAAAGCCAGCAGGTACTTTGACATTCTTTGGTCATTGACGTCAACTATGCGCATCCTCGCCGTTGCTTTCTTGGGCTGTCAATTTTTTCAGTCAACGGTATGTACTCTACACGCGATTTTATCTATATGGAACATTGAATAAAACGTCTATCAATTACTCTGACTGACATGTTGCGTCTGAACCAGCTCGCCCAAGTTGACAATAACTCCTCTGCCATCTTCCAGTTGAGCAGTGATTCGGAGTTTGCGTTCGTTTTAGAGACGATTTTGTCTCTCAGCAATTATGGTGGCGCGTCGACAGGGGAGGTCCTGCGTGCTGCCAGTCAGATTGCTCCCGGTAACTTTGAGAGCTGGTACAAAGAATTCAAGTTCCTTGGTGATGCTATCCACGCGAAAGCATCTGCCCTCGACACTTCCCGCTTCCCTGTCTCAGCTCGCGAAGCCTATTTCCGGTCGTCTACGTATTACAGGAATGCGCCGTTCTTTCTTCACCAGAATGCCAGTGACCAACGAATCAATGAGGTCGGAGCTCTGGCTGTGGAGGACTTCAATAAAGCCGCGGCACTGCTTTCCTTGCCGGTCGAGAACTTGAATGTCCCAGCCTTGAGTCCCAGTGTCCCGGGCGACAAATTCTATGTGCCTGCGAGATTTTTCAAGGCACAGCAAGGTAACCAAAGGTTACCTACCATCATTCTCGGTACAGGATACGACGCGGCACAGGAGGATTTGTACCATGAGCTAGGAGTCTCAATCCTCGAGCGAGGCTGGAACGTGATTACCTACGAAGGACCCGGCCAGCCTACTGTCCTGCGTGATCAAAAGCTAGGGTTCATCCCAGATTGGTGGAATGTTGTGTCACCCATAGTGGATTACCTGGAGACTCGCAAGGATGTCGAAACGGATTATGTCGCTCTCGTGGGGGTTTCCTTTGGCGGCCAGCTTGCTCCATTGGCTGCCTCTCGGGAACATCGTCTTTCGGCTGTATTATGTATCGACGGCATAAACGACCTGTACGGTCGTTATAGAGAGACACTCCCAACGTCTCTTATTGAACTTTACGAAAAAGGAAATTACGCTGCCTTCGACAAAGAGCTCTTAGAAGTGGAGGAGAGCAGTTCCACGGATACTTCAACACGGTGGGGTATCGCACAGTCCTTGTTCAGTTTCAACACCACCAGCCCCTCTGTATGGTGGGGACATTTGTCTAAATTTTCAGTCAATGATACTATGCTTAGCAATATTTCTTGTCCTGTGTTCATCGGCGAAGGTGAGAACGACAGTCTCGCCCCCGGCCAGGCTGCACATATGGCCAACGTAATCGGAAATAAAGCCACCTATAACCTCTTCCGTACTGATCTCGGTGCGGGTGAGCACTGTCAGATGGGTGCCGAGGCACAGTTGGCTCAAGTTACAATGGATTGGCTTACTGATACTTGGGACCATGTTTCTTTGCCAAAGAATCTTACCAGTGTTGTCGATTAAGAAGGATATGTTGGCTCCAGCGCGACGAACTTGTCAATAGGTACATTATACAGTTGTATCTAGATAATTGTTCATATATGCGTTGTCGAAGACAGATACGGCATCAGTAGAGAGTTAGAATGATACAAATCACCTGTTCATAGATCAGGGCTACTTTTGGCAACCTTGGGACTATGCATATGAAGTCATCATCGTAGTACATACCAAGTCGACACATGACTAATTCTTTGCTTTAGGAAATTTAGGCTTCCCGGTAATGTTGCAAGTCCTTCGTAATTCAGTGCATAGTAGTGAATATTCTCACAACGTTCTTTAGTTCTGCATATTTCGATGGATCCCGTAAGTCTGGGTCTACCATATTCTCCACACCACAGACCATGGGGTATGATACTGAAAGGTAGACAATTTGGGGTTATTATTCTAACAATAATAGCGTACAGCTGTCTAGTTCACTCCTGTATGCAGACCAAATCATCCCTGGGTATCTAGTCTAATGCAAGTCCCGTCGTGGAGTATCAAATATACGTATGTCCAGTAAGAAAATATTTTGAGGACCGGTTTCCGTGGATCGACCACATTCTGTAAATCTTTTTAAGATACCACGGGGGACATTAAAGTAAGCAACTACCTTGGTTACTGAAACATTTGGGAGATCCCAAACTATATATTAAATCAAGACCGGAGTGTCCCGGACCGTCCGAGCTTTCCAGATCTAGTAGTGCTTTGGCCAATGTTCCTATCTAAGGTGAATTGGTTGAAAAGCATGGATATATCACTGTCCATGTTGTCTGATATTTTCGGGCGTTGGGAGCCGACAATTCTACAATAATGGCGACCATTTCAGATCTCGCTGCGCCTGTGGAAATGAACTATTCGACACGAGAGAGATTGATACGGAAATAAAAAAAGCCATGGCGTCGTTTTACAATCCAAATATCAGGGTTGTCTTCTGTAAAATAGTGTTGTACAGGCTCGAAACTCTTCAAAACGCCATTAAAGAAACACGCCAAGAACCGCCACGTCGCCGACGTTTCAGATGCTCCGCAAGCTAAACCCATATATGATCAAATTAAAGCGTGCTCACCAAGCTCCAGCATCGAAATCGAATCTAGACAGCTCTTTTTGCGAATCCTCGACATCTTTCTTCGCCTTCATGCGCATATAGAAGATGGGGCAGTCGCGGGAGGAGCAGATAACCTCACAGTGAAGACTACCTTGGCATCGCTGGCACTGGGTCCACAGACGTCCGAAGCGGACCTCCAAGTCAGAGACCTTAGTCAAGGCCTTCGTATACAATTCACCAATGCGGGGCCGGCAGTTGGAGCAGACCGCACCAGCCATCTCCTCCTTGCCAGACAATGGCTTTTTGCAGCCCATGCAGGTCTGAGTGCGCTTGGTGAACTTCATCAGCCCACCTAAGCTGGGCGCAGCCACCGAGATGGAGCGGGTGTGCTCGCCCGTCAGAAGCTGATTGGCCTTTTTCTCACCAAGAATAGGCTCGAAGATACGACCAAGCGGGTTCGCAAGCTGGTTGTCCAGATAATACTTTGTATCGATGGGAATATTGTTCTCCAGCACGAAGATAGGGTCCTCGGCCCGCTCATAGCCCTTCGAGTTTGCAGCACCCTTGATCATGACATAAGCGACACGATCACCCAACGCAGGTGCAGAGCCGGCATCACGCTTGGCCATACGTTTCGCAAGCTCGACGTGCGCTTGTTTGGCTGCGTATTCCTTCTGAGAAAGAGCCTTGGTGATAACAAGCTTCGACATATCAACTTTGTTCTGCAGCAAGTCGGCGATGGTTGCTTTGACATATCTGAGAGTCGGCGTGAGTTATGTTTTCATGAAAAGAAACAAAATCACTGAACTTACTCTTGAGCAGCATCCGGATCTCGGTCAATAAGAATCTTGTTCAGAACAGTTTCAATAACGTTCTGGACAAGCAAGCAGTTATCTCGTCGCACAGTCTCGATACCCTTGGTGTCCATCTTGTCATGTTTCTTGGGATTTGTCCAGTAAAGTCCTGCATAACGCTTTTTGTTGATTAGGAGATACGGGAAGTAGACTTTCTCGAACTCGAGCTTGATGGGTTTGATGAATTTGGATGAGACGTAGTCAGCTGCCTCCTGCCCAAGCTTCATCGCTTCCTCCAGCTCAGTAACGCCAAATTTGACCATAACAGAATCAGTATCACCGTAGATGACTTGTGCATCATGGGAATATCCGTTTGCAATCGTGTAGCGCGCTTCCACTTCCTGCTTGGTCTTTTCAATCATCTGACGGCCATAACTCGTCGTACTACTGGCGATGGGAAGACAGGGCAGTTTGCCGACAGTAGCGCCAGTCAGACCATATACGCTGTTTGCGCTGATCTTCAGCGCAAGCTGTCGACCGTTCAGGACAGCCTTTTTGAATGGATCGGTCTCGACTGCAAGTTCCTTCTTTGCGCGCTTTCGTGCGCCCAGTAGTTCCTCTAGAATCTGAGAGAGAAGACCTTTGCGAACTTTGGAGGTGCAGAACATATCCCCATTTGGTGTCACAATATAGTCTTCATCTTTCTTGAGCCCGAGCTTTTCCACGCTGTTCTTGTTGAGGAGGGTGGTGTAACAAAGGTTGTGAGCCTGAATAATAGACGGATACAGGGATGCGAAATCAAGGGTTGCAATAGGGACACCATAGTAACCACGTTTCGGCTCAATAACAGTGGCACCCTCGTAGTCTTGTTCATCCTGTGACTTGGAATTGGGAATAACAAGTTGCTGCTCAAGAGCCTTGCGGAAAAGCTGGCTAATGAATTTGACCTGCTGGCCGCGAGACAACAGGTAATTGAATGGTACACCCGTGACTCTGGCCATTTCGGTATAGTTCACCAAACACATCAATTTGTCCATTAATCTCTGTGGAAGATATGCATCCTTCAAACAGTATACCGCCAATCGGCGGCGGGAGTCCGGGGTCCCATTAAATAGTTCGGTAATCATAGTGTGATGGACATCTTCCTTTTGCTCGCCCAGAAATTCGTATGAAACGGAGTTGAGGGTGTAACTTCGAAGTTGGTGATCTCTTTGAACGAGCTGGAGAAGATCCAGTTGAATTCTGCCATTGGTATTGGTGGCTTTGGTTTCTCTGTTGCCCATCTGCTTGCTGGAAAAATTTGCCTCCTTGGCTTCAGATTTCTTTCCCTTCAATCTGGTCCAGAAAGGAAAATCCTTGCACTTCAAATGTTTTGCACGGTCAAGAAGGTATGGAAAATCGAAATTGGCAATGTTGTATCCGATGATGACATCTGGATCGACCCTTTGAAGAAAATCAGTCCAAGCGTCGAGCATGCGTTCCTCCTTCTCGAATTCTAAAATCTGTGTATTCACAATCAGGCTACATGTGTCTAAACAAAACACATTTCGAACGAAAGGTTTCGATTCTCCATAGCGAGTGACAACACTGGCGATCTGAATAACCGGGTCCACGTTGGGCTCCGGAAATATTCCTTGACGACCAGCGCATTCGATATCGAAAGACAGGATGCGCAATGGTGCCATCTTCGCCCATTCCCCGACTGGTGCGTGGGCAATCATATCACGGTAGTCAATAATTGCTTCGATTTGGCAGGTCGACTGCTTTTCATTCTCCGGTAGGAGACGATATTTGCCGGCTTTTGCCTCCACCCAGGACATGCCATGGAGGCCAGTATCAATCATGAATCGCAAGAGGTATTGAATATTGTCGAATGTGAGGATTCCATCCGAGTTGCCCCATAGACCTTTATAATTCATAGATCCACTGCCTGTTTCAAGTTGCCCACGTACCCTGGCGAAAAATTTCGGGTCGGTCACGGTGATCTTTAAGTACCAACTTTTTTGATTGCCCTGAAAACCATAAATGTTCTCGCGTAGCACAATTTGGACCGATTGGATGACTGGAATGCTTTGGGCGAGCTTGGTTTCGAGAAAGGCTCGGTAAGGATCACAATCCTCTTTGGTGAAACCGACGGGAGCGGCAATATAGAGATAATGTTGGAATCCAGTCACATTGAGCATGACAGATTGACCGGCCTTTGCAAAGATTGTTAGATTTGATCTCGTTCTCGTCGATAGCGGCCGCCAGGGTACGGCCGGGTCCGACTTACCTCAGTAACGCCAAAGAGCTGAACGGCCATTCTGTCGCCAGGAAGCCTGCCTTCTTCCGCATCGATCTGCTGGAAACAGATATTCTCTTTCGTGGGGTCGAATGCACCCAGCGGCGGGCGCTCCCATTGTTGGTCTTTCTCCGCATTATTTTGTTTCAAGTCTCCAATGTCTTGCGTCAGTTTCTCCAGGACCTCCTCTTCAAATTGGCTCTTTTGTGGCTGACTCGAGCCAAATCCCTTTCGCGGGAGACTTTGTGAGGGAGGCTTGAGTTGCGATGCTTCATTGTCCAGCTTCCGCTTCTTGAGCGCGGTGGGGGACACGATATTCGCGCGAGTATTATTAGTTGCATCGCCCAACACCCGTTTCTGGGGCATGATCGCTTCAGGCATGATGGTGGTGCATTCGCTGTCAGGATCATTCACCCTCCAGATCCGGTTGCAAGCGCGTGGGATGAAAGCGAGGAGAGCGAGTTGGGCGGACAACTAGCAGAAAGTCGTGCCGAAGTCGCGCCCTTGACGTGACGCTACTTTACGCGTGAATGGTCACATGAAGATAAGATAAGCACGACTGGCCAATTGTGTGAGGTGTGTTTAGGTTGGTGATACGTTCACATTGCAGCTTAAGCTGCAGCGTAATATGTATTGTTCGTCTTTCAAAGAACAACAAAATGGTCTCCGAGATTTTCTAACAACCTTCGCTCGCTACTTTGGAAAGTTCTCTGGCAATTTCTCATTCCTGCTCCTGCGACATCATCATACCTGTCATGGCGGCGCTCTCCGAGGTTGGTTCCGCCGGCAGAAAATGATGACTGGGCTGCTCTATTTTCGCCTCTGGCGGCTACGCGCATCGCCTTCCCAACTCTTCTTTTTCACCTTTTTGTGTCGACCATAACTTCATAGTTTGTTTTGGATTTTACATGAAGCTCCCTTGACCTATATGATTGATTTCATTTTGAGGATTGAGTCTCCAGCATTGGCCTGCATCACGCGCCCTGCCGGAGACATTTAGAATCGAATGGAAACTGGAAACGTGGGTCACAACTCCTGTCTCGCTCTAAGGGAGGACTTCTCTTTTGACTGGCATCATTTGAGACAAGTCCAGCGTGGCATCTCCAGTCAACATAAAGTCTTCTTCCATTTCTGAACACTTTTGCTCTTCTACAATTCACGCTGGCTGCTGCCAATCACTCCTACTCTCTCTCAGTGCCTACCTCGTCATATCTATAAAAGGCAATCTTGCACGCCAGAATATTCCCATGCAAGCCACATTCCGGATCCCCCCAGCAACTTAAATTCAAGCTCGATTCAGCTCCAGCAGTGCTTACATGGAACACCCTTGATCTTTGAAGTCTCGACTTCCTTTGCTCGGCCTACCAGGCATCCAACTATCCAATAATCAGCATGTCAATGTTCAGGTCTGCTGCGGAAGTATCTTCGTCGGATTCTGAATCGGATTCCGACAGCAGCGATCAGGATCAATTGCAACCTTCTCCACCAGCGAGGGGTACCAGCACCCGTTCTCAGCGTCTTGGCCAGCTCAATGTATCTGATCAGCCGCAACGCGAACTTGACTCTGGCAGCGAACTCGGAACATCTACTTCAGTGGAAGATGTCGCCACCTTGTCACAAGATCCACTTGAGCATCATAGAGAATTTATGACGTCTGCTCTTCTGGAATTCTATTGTCAGAGTCGGGCTGCAGAAATTCTCAATGCCCAAGATGAAACCGGCCGAAAATTCACGCGGCAGTGTCCAGAGGCAAAATACCTTGGGTCACAACTGTACAAGTCGAAGTCACAGTTCCTCGCGACTCACGGCGTCTTATCAAACGGTATTGACAAGGACGAGTTTGGCGCCGCACGGCAAAGCTACCGAGATAACTTAGATCTGCTCGGGCGTGCTTTCTTTAAGGATATGAATTTGAATGAATCCAACCCCCATTCCCCGGTTGAAAGCGGAGAAGAAATGGCTTTGGTTACGCGGACCTTTCGAGGCGAACCGGGGAGTAGCGCCGGCAATTCTGCCGTGCAGTTCTGGCAGAACGAAGGTCAAGAGATGACCTTCCGCAAACACTTTTCCACAATTGACCACTTAGAATTTCCCAGGGCTATGCTTATGGGACCGGGGAATCTGCCTAATCAATCTCGCCCGCTTTTTGGAAGTTCTCCAGTCAGCATGCCCCTTTTTAATTCGCCCTCGATGCCACCGTATAACCATGGGTCCCGCTACTCGGCCGAATTTAATGAACTCAAGATTCTGGGACGCGGATCTTTTGGCGAAGTTTATCACGTCATGAACCATATGGATGGTCAGGAGTATGCCGTCAAGAAAATCCCTCTGAGCCAGCGACGTCTAGATCAACTCCAATATGGCAACACGAATCAGCTAGAAGCCATCATGATGGAGATTCGGACTCTGGCCCGACTTGAGCATCCCAATATCGTTCGATATTATGCTGCTTGGGCGGAGCAAGTGCATGTTATGACTCGGCTTCCTTTTGAATTTCCAACACGAGCTGGGGAAGAATCCTCGCAGGTGTCCATGACAAATGACGGGATCACCAACGAATTCGATTCTAGCATGGGTGTTGTGTTCGAGCACTCCCAAATTTCTCTTGCAGATTCCAATAAGACCTCGCCAATTAATGACCAAGGATTCCCCAATATATCACGATGGGATAGCCGTGCAACGTCGTCCTCTCATCGCTCCAAGCAGAGCTCTAGGAGTGCACTTGACAACGATGAAGACATTGAATCTATCCCCCGCCATTCTGGGTCATTATCCTATGGGCAAACCTCCACATTCGGAGGGTCGGATGATATATTCACGGACGGGATGAGTCAGGATCAGTCGAAGCTTCGAATCCAACGACAATACCGACCTGGCCAGCAACAGCCAGCCGTCATCCTTCATATTCAGATGTCACTTCATCCAATTTCACTCAGTTCCTATTTGAACCCTCAAGTGACAACCCAGGATGACGATGGCTGTTCTCCTCCTCGGCGTCATTGTTTTCATCTGATTCCTTCTTTGAAGCTGATGCTGGAAATCATCTCTGGTGTTGAATATCTTCACTCCAAAAAAATTGTACACCGGGATTTGAAACCGGCCAACATCTTTTTGTGCGCTCCCGAAAAGCATGCCTTGCAGGTCTGTCCTTCATGCAGCTCGGACTCCATCTCTTCAGCCCAATTCTCTCGACCTCGTATTGGGGACTTCGGACTTGTTGCAGATATTTCGCGTCTTGAGGCTCCTGAAAATGGTATCATGACACCATATCACGAAGGTCCCAAAATACAACGAGTCGTAGGAACCGAGTTCTACCGCCCTCCTGTCAACATGAACGGGTCAGATGCCTTGGGCTATTTTGACCAGTATACCATTGATGAAAAGCTCGACGTTTATGCGCTGGGTGTGATCCTCTTCGAACTGATCTACCGTCTGAACACCAAGATGGAGCGACAATTCGTACTGAACGATCTCACCCGCTCTATCTCGTTTCCCAGCGACTTCGCTAACAAGATCGACCAAGGAAACGCTCGGTGGGACTCTGGAATTTCGGTCGCCGAGACTTTGATGGCCTGTATTCGAGAAATGTTGACTCCCAAGTCTCGCCAACGCTGGACTTGTCAAGAGGTCAAGGATAATTTACGCCCCATCTATAAATTCATGAAGCGCCAGCAGGAGAAGAGTGAATAAGTCCTGACAAAGTGAAGGAACTTGGCGGCTCTTGATTTATGATTTTCTTTTTTTTTGTATTTTTCTATGATTCATAGCATGTCTATACCCCAAGCATAAAGCAATGCATCTCCTCTCAATTGATCGGCGCAGATTCGCTCGGGCCTCGGCCTGGTCGTGCTTCCCTTCTTCACAGGCGCGACCGAGTCCATCCCCCGCATTCAAATACCCGCAACTCTCGTACAACATTATAGCCATGTAAACCCTCGAACCGAACAATTGCGCTGCTAGAAATCTCCTTGGTCGCAGTTACAACATCACTGTTATGGCGCGCTTGCTTCGTGCACCAACTGCTCCCTACGCTGAGTCTCTCCTACCCCAGCTCGACGTTCGCAACCCCTACTACACCGACCTGCATCACAAACTTCGTGCCTGGGTGCGAGATTACGTCGACACAAACATCGCACCCTATGCGCAGGAATGGGAAGCCGCAGGTCAAGTACCTGAGGAGGTACGACGACGTCATTGCGAGCTCGGATTTAGCATCGTCCACCCCCTTACAACAGAGGAGAATACAGCCGGTCTGGCATTGCCGGGCAATGTGCCTCGCGAAAAATGGGACACCTGGTGCTCGCTCATTTTGTCGGACGAGCTTACGCGCGTGGGATATGTGGGCGTCATTTGGGGCCTCGGTGGAGGCAATGGAATCGGGTGTCCGCCGATTGCGAAGTTCGGCACGCCTGAGCAGCAGAAGCGCTGGCTGCCTGGAGTCGCAAGGGGAGATATCAGGTTCTGTTTAGGCATCACAGAGCCAGATGGTGAGAGACTTTTATCTTCTCATATGATGTGAATCGCGTAAATGCTGCGTGCTAACATTAATTCGGGGGCTCTAAGCTGGCTCAGATGTCGCTAATATCAAGACGACTGCCAAGCGGGACGGTAACCACTACATCGTGAACGGCGCAAAAAAGTGGATTACGAATGGTCTCTGGGCCGATTATTGCACGGCTGCAGTGCGCACTGGTGGTCCTGGAAGGTCGGGAATTAGCTTGCTTGTGATTCCCTTGAAAGCTGAAGGCGTTACTCGACGTCGGATGTTCAACTCTGGCGTAAATGCCAGTGGTGCGACTTTCTCTCTTTCTCAGTGAACTGCGTCTAGATGAGCTAATAGGGTAACAGGCTCTACCTTCATCGAGCTAGACGATGTGCGCGTCTCAGATGAAAACCTGATTGGGGAGGAAAACAAGGGATTCCCTCTGATCATGTCAAGTAAGTCTGCGTGCCGTCACTTAGATAATTGGAATCTGACTCCCTTTGAGACTTCAATCCAGAGCGTCTAGCATTGGCATGTGCCTCTTTGAGACTCGCTCGCGTCTGTGCCGAAGATGCCTTCAACTACGCAATTCAGCGCGAGACATTCGGGTCACCTTTGATCCAGAAGCAGGCAATCCAATCCAAGATCTTCAAGTTCGGATTGATGATTGAGCCGGCCTATGCCTTCATGGAACAGCTTGTGAATATTCTCGAGCTGACCAAAGATCAGCCTGTGGACGATGTTAAGATTGGCGGGATGACTGCTTTATTGAAGGTTATGTCCACGCGGGCTTTGGAAAAGAGCGTGCGGGAGGCACAGCAGATCCTCGGAGGGGCTGGGTATAACAAGGCAGGTAAGGGCGCACGAATTGAACAAATTAGCCGGGACGCCCGAGTGCATGTTGTTGGCGGAGGCAGTGAAGAGATCATGATGGGGTTGGCTCTACAAGAAGAAACCAAGGCTCTGAGGACACGACGAAAGGCTCTTGAAAAAAGAAAGCAGTCCAAGATCTAAACCACGTCTCCGAACCTACGATTTCTGGTGGGCCTTTCTTCATTCCGGAATTCTTCGAACAATTGCTTTAATATACTGAGAGAACATAGTGTAGGCGAGTTTGCTTGGATGAACCTGCTACATACAAATTTCGAAGAGCACTGGCTCTATCCCGGGCAAAGCTTAAACAGCGTTGTAGTACGGAATGATTTGACTGTGTATGGGATCTACGCATGTATTTTGGGAATATGACCCCCCAAAATCGAGGGGACATTCAGAATCATTGAACAAACGTCTATATATACTTAAAATGGCAGCAATACCTAACATCAATTATCAGTAACAAGTTCAACGTCTTGTTAATGCTACAGAACCATCACACTAGGGTACCTATTCTCTCTATGAAGACTAACCCAACTATGTACCTGGTGTATTCGAGCAGGCGGAGTTGGGAAAGGCGTTCAGGCCTCAGGCACCAACATCTGTCCGACGTCACGCATGTGGGGAACCTGGGAGCTTCCTCCGCGCTTGTGAGCCAAGCGTCAACACACCAAACGGCTTCCTTGTGCGAAGCGATGGAGAGCTTCGATGATGTGACTCTGATCGGCCCGGTGTCTGATCCCTCTGCTCTTGAGGACCATGACGAGCATCTTCTCCCTACCAACAATGATACCAAGATACGGAAGCCCGCAGATGCGGAATCGACAGAGCCGGGCACTCCCACTTCAAACCGGTCGCTGACTACGAGCCGAGCTCCCCAGATCGAGCCAGCTACCAGTAACCTCACTGGAGAGCCGTCGATTTCTTCTGATTTCCCTATAGAAGAGGATGATGAAGAACCCCGCGTGGCCACATCCTTCGAGCGGGAGGCATCACTCCCTTCAACGCAGAAAAACCGATCAGGTCTGGACGTGGAAGAGGAGGGTATTAACCGCATTCATAAATTTACGCTGTATGAGACTGCAACTCGGTTCTATATGGTTGGTATCAATCTTGCAGAGACACGCTTTCGCATCCTCAAAATCGACCGGACGTCAGAGTCGGGCGAGCTGAGTATCACCGAGGACGATATGATTTACAGCAAGAGGGAGATGGTCCAGCTGCTGGATGCAATCGACGATGGCAATAAGATTTCGGGAGGCTTAAAGCAGAAGTGCAGTGCGTGGGCATTACTCGGTTTTATTCGATTCACAGGAGCCTATTACATGCTTCTCGTTACCAAAAGAAGTCAGGTCGCGATGGTTGGAGGCCACAACGTTTACCAAATCGATGAGACCGAGCTTATCTCTTTGACCACCTCTGAATCTTCCAAGATGAAGCCCGAGAAACAGTCGGAAGAGGACAGATACAAGGCGATTTTGAACAACCTCGATCTTACTCGGTCCTTCTACTTCAGTTATTCCTACGATATTACCCGGTCACTGCAGCATAATATCTGCCGGGAACGAAAAGCTCACCAAGATGGCCTCCCTCGAAGCTTGTCCCAAGACTACAATACGATGTTCGTTTGGAACCATCACCTGCTTGCCCCTGCCGTGGATGCTCTTAAGCATCCCTACGAGTGGTGCCTCCCTGTGATCCATGGATATGTAGACCAGTCTAAAATGAGCGTTTACGGGCGGGTGGTCTACATCACGGTAATTGCACGTCGCTCCAGGTTCTTCGCAGGAGCACGATTTCTCAAGCGTGGTGCCAATGACCTGGGATACGTGGCGAATGATGTGGAGACTGAACAGATCGTGTCTGAACAGACTACAACTTCATTTCATTCCGCTGGACCGGAACTGCATGCGAACCCTAATTACACCTCGTATGTCCAACATCGAGGAAGTATACCCCTATACTGGACGCAAGAAAACACTGGTGTATCACCCAAGCCAGACATTGAGCTGAATCTGGTTGACCCATTCTATTCAGCTGCGGCATTGCATTTTGATAATCTTTTCGAGCGATATGGAGCCCCAATATACATCCTGAATCTCGTCAAATCCAGAGAACGAACTCCAAGAGAGTCGAAGCTCCTCAAGGAATTCACCAACGCTGTCACCTACTTGAATCAATTCCTGCCTGAGGATAAAAAGCTCGTCTACAAGGCATGGGATATGAGTCGTGCAGCAAAAAGTCGGGATCAAGACGTGATACAGACGCTGGAGGGAATCGCAGGCGATATTATACCAAAGACAGGATTTTTCAAGAATGGCTCGGATATCGAATCCGGCCTTCGGCTCCAGAATGGCATCGCACGAACGAACTGCATTGATTGCTTGGATCGCACGAACGCTGCACAATTTGTGATTGGTAAACGTGCGCTCGGCCATCAGCTCCATGCCCTTGGTGTAATTGATGAAACAACCGTTGAATACGACACCGATGCGGTCAATCTTTTCACCAACATGTGGCATGACCACGGAGACACCATTGCCATTCAGTATGGAGGCTCTCATTTGGTCAATACAATGGCCACTTACCGCAAAATCAATCAATGGAGCAGTCACTCCCGCGACATGGTCGAGAGTTTCAAGCGATACTATAATAACTCCTTCCTCGACGCACAGCGTCAAGAAGCATACAACCTTTTCCTGGGAAACTACATTTTCTCGCAGGGGGCTCCCATGTTGTGGGATCTTTCGACTGATTATTATCTGCATCACGCAGATCCTCGTTCATACCTAGAGAAAAAACGCCCAAATTACATATCCTGGTACACACCGGAATATCTGAAAGAGCGAGAGATGCCTGCCCTCCCAATTCGCCCGAATGAATCGCTTTCACATTTTGACGACTACTGGCTAGAATACTACCGTCCTCTAGCGCTATCTACGATGTCCAAAATCTTTTCTTACAAGATGAATTCCACGCTTCGCTATCTACCTGCCTTCCGCCCTGGGCAACCAGCCCCTGATCTCAGTCCTTTCGTGCCTCGTATTCCCGCAGAACAAGCTCAACGTGACCGTGCGCCTCAACGGAGCGTCAAAATCCAGGTGCCATCGGAAATGCATGGAAAGCAATCGGACGCAGCTCCGTCTCCTGCGGAGGATACTCAAATTTGGACCCATCAACCTCCATCTTCATCCAAGCACCCACCCCCGGCAGGAATTATCAAAGAGCCTACTTTTGAAATGGGCCAGGCATCGCGCATCCCTCCTATTAATGCTCCGATGTCATCAACTCCTAGCAAAGCACAAATTGCGCAGTGGACTCTAGGACAACTTGTGACAGACTCATTGAATCCTTCAGTCACAGCGACCGAGGCAGAAGAATATGAGCGTTACATCAACCATCCTCTAAAAGTCCCGCTAGTCGTGACATCTGAAGAGGAAGCCACCGCCACATCTTTACGCGAGGATGGCCCGAACTCTGACCTACACGAATATGTCAACAAATGTAAAATTGAAGATGCTGCCCTTGAAGCTCACGCGGAGGCAAACATGGCTGATTATGCTGAATTCTTGAACGTCTCGGAGGAAGGTCTCACCGTGGTCGGTGAAGACTACCAAAAAAAGCGGTACAAGCGATATCGCCAGTGGCTACGTGGGAAAAGCCTTTTCAAACAACGCGTTGACGTGTGATGATCTCATTTCTATCTCTTCTATTTGTTTAATTAGCGAATATAGTTTGAAAATGATACCCCCTATCGTCTTATAATTATTCTGACTATGGAAAATCCTACTCAGCTTTCCGTCAAATGTAGCAGCAGCATTACTAGATTTAAGAAAGCAAAGCAATTGTGACTTGCATTCCGGAAAGACTCAAACGATTTCAGACTTCACATTGGCAAAAAGCAGGACCTCTAACTCGTTGTCTGCATTAACGAGGGCCTTCAGTTCCTGCTCCAAGCTGTCCTTTGCTAGCAATTGGTCCGCATCTGGCTTGTCATTTTGAACAGCAACGGGGTTTTGTAGGGCGTGCTTCAGCGCCAATGCTGCACTCTGCAGCTCACGGCTCAAATCCACCAATTTCGTCGCTGACTCCGATTTTTCCTTCCTCTCACTAGCAACAGTGAGCCAACAGGCACAGAGTGCGCCCAGAATCTCACCACGCCATCTCCAAATTCGGGGATGGGCGTTCAGGACAATAAGCTTTGTGGTTGATGCCGCGGCAAGGAGAAGAGGCAGATGGGCTGCCCCAAAGGGATTGGAAAGGGTGGTGTAGAGAACTGGCACAAGGTCTTGGAGATACTTCGTTGTGTGGATGCCAATATTCTCAACGAATATACCGATCAATTCTAGGAGGTATGTTGAAAGTTGAGGATAGGGAAAGGTAGCGGAGGTGGAGATGGCAGCGGGTGTCGAGGAGCTAATGTGATGGAAAGATGATATGAGATTCGATCGGAGAATGTTGGTGAGTTTGGAAGAAAATGTTTCCTTTTCCCTTTCGAGTAGCTCTTTAGATTTCTTGGGCGTAGGCATGTGATATGCGGTCTTATATAATGAAAGCAATGCTGGGTAAGCGGCCCCTAACAACATGAGCGAGCTGTCTTCCGGCGTAATGGTAGGCAATGAAAGGAGGCAAGGTGTGATTGCATCTTCAAAGACCGAGGTAAGATTCGTCCGGGTCAGAATGTCCGAACCACTTTTGTTAATAGACTCCAGTATTTGGCTGAATATCTCACAGCCCAATCTCTTGAACGCGACATTGTTGTCGTCTATCAAAGCGAGCATGGCTGGCACAAGCAGAGGGAAATGTCGCTCTAAATGTACCTTATCAACGGGCTAAAAGTGTGTTAGCTAGTCCAATATACAAGAACTTTGTCTGGGCAAATAATTACCTTATATTGTGAGACAATCCAGTACAGCACTCTTGTGGCATAAATGTCCCTATTTTTCCAGGGCTTGCTCTCGTCATCTAAGGTGCTTCCGTCAAAACGAGTTAAAGGCACCGGATGAAGGTTCTTGCGACCTTCATTCGTGATAGCTGGGTTTTCGGTCTTGGTAAACAGCGGTTTGATTTTTTCTTTGAGAACCCGCTCGATGGTATTCCAGGCACCGGTTTGGAATGTCACACTGAGATACATTGATGCATTGTCGAGACTGTCAGTCGTGGTCCACGGGTCATTCTCGGACGAGAAGCTAGCTACTGCCAGAACAACGTCTGGAGAAGATACTAAAGACCGATCTGGCAGTCCATCAGGAACTTTGGATGTAAGTTGTAAGATAAGTTGGATCGCTAACACTGATCTGAAGCGACTTTCATCTTGCGATTTGCATATTCCTCAAGGGCAGTTAGTTCGGGCGCTCCGATATGTCCTAATAGAAAAGCACACCTTTCGTGACCTCGATACTTTCATCAAAGGCCGTTACGAATTCGGACGATGGCAATGCAACTTCACTTGCCCACTGAAAGAGATTACAGACGGCCTGGACTTCGTTTTGGTCCAACTTCCTCGGGCCGCTTTCATCAGGTAGGAGTGGGCTCCAGCAGTCGATGAAGCAGCAAGCAGTACATAGATTCACGCAGACCTAGCTTGATAGTTAATACATTGACATTAAATCTGTCAATGCTGGCGGAAAGCAGACATACATCCATATGAGTTGTGCCATCATGAGAGGCCAGGTCGTCCCACAATTCACGTAGTCCATTTTTTGCGGTGGCATCGAAAGCCGCGGAGAGAAATTCAGGTGACACAGAAGGATTTTTTTGAAGAGCCTCACGAGCCTCTCTCCTTAGTTTATCCATAATGGATTCGATATGGTTGTTCCACAATGTAAAGAGAAGTGATGGATTCTTGAATCTGGTAAATTTGATTTTCTAAATGCCCCGCGTCACTTGACTTTCACAACCCCAACTCTTTGCGGCGCCGCGAAATCTCCGCCAACGCGGCTTCTTTATCGGTATCGGGATGCAACAACTGCCATTCAACCGCCATCGTCGTTGCTTTGCTCATCCATGGTCCTTTTTTGGCCCCCAGGCTTTGCATGATGTCGGCGCCATTTACGATAGGTTTCAACTCAGTTACGCCGTCCAGGTCATTTTCTACAATATACGTAAGGAATCGGTCATACTCTCGGGTCACTATGTGCTTCCATTAGCATCACATGGTCATCTTGCATGAAAGAGACTGAGATACGAGTCTTACCATCCACGAAATTTCGTCCCTTCATAATTTCCTGGAGTATGGCCAAGAGAACACAAAGTCGCCAGTCCTTACCCCAGGCTCGGATACGGAGTCCAATTTGTTGTCGAATTTCGGCAGCCGTACCTTGGAACGTCTGGGAAAGGCACTCGATAATATCGGCAAAGCTCAGGGTTGTGTCGCGAAGGATGTTTAAGGTTTTATTATCGGCACGGAGGCTATCCCGGCCAATCTCCACTGGGCGAGTAGGAGCAGGCTTTCCTTTAGGGCCCTTTGAAGTCCTTGTAGGAACGGAAGTCCATGGAGCGAATGCGGCGATCATCCATCCATAGTAAGCGGCCAAGTCGTCCTGGAGCAGTATTCGACGAATGCGCTCAAGTATGGCCAAGACGTCCTCATCGTCATCTGCATCGGGGTGTAGCAATCGGGCAAGAGCATTGTAGGCTAGAGGCCAAGTTGAGGTATCTGCAGTGACATCATCTTGGTGATTGGCAAAGATCGTTGGATAGAGTCCGAGTCGATCGATTAAATGCAAAGCACCGCGCGGGTCAGGGCCTAAAAAGATCATTAATTAGGAGATGGCAAAGCTGTGTGGAGTTTAATGACTGGGACCTACCATGAAGCATTTTGTCCAGCTCGGTTAGAACGCGTTCCTTGCTAATTTTGAGTTTGAGTGCGATACTGATATCTTCATTCTGCATGGCCGCCTCTGTTTCCGGGTCGATTTGGTATCCAAGCCGACTTGCAAAGCGAATCAATCGCAGTACACGAAGCGGATCATCCTTAAATGTCTGATATGGCTCGAGTGGTGTTCGAATGATCTTCTTTTTCATATCTTCCAACCCACGCTCTGTAAGGTCCTCTAGTTTTGACTGGTTGAGATTGTAGAAAAGCGCGTTTATCGTGGCATCCCGCCGTAGCGCATCCTCAACGGCGGTTCCGAACTCCATCTGCGGGTTCCTACTTTCTTCCGAGTATGTCTCTTTGCGCAAGTTGACTAGGTCGATGTCCATGCCGAAGATCTTTGTCGTCACAGTCTCAAGATGCTTTGATTTCTCTGGATTGGCCTCGATCTTGTGAAGGCTCACAACAGCATCACTCTTTTCTCCATCTGGAAGGCTCTGTTTGTATTTCTCCAACACCCCGGGCTCATCCAGATATTTCTTGAGTGCCATGCCGAAATGGTAGCCTGTCATGCTGCTGATCCCTACGTCGATATCATGACTGTCAACCCCGAGGAGCTTGTCTCGAACCCAGCCGCCGGTAAAGCGCAGCACAGTTTCCGGAGAGTTGGAAGAAACAGTACCCTCCTCAGCAGGCTTATTATCATGAATATGGTGTGCGACGTCTAGAAGGAGGGTTCGCAGTGTGCTCTCAATCGGCGTGAGTTGTATGGTGGGGTGGGAAAGATTCATGTCTTCGGGGCTTGCTCTCAGCTCAACACAGGTCGAAACACGTTGTCTTTTGCTTGGTCTTTCAGACCGGTCCAACTCAGGCTCGTCTCTGAGCATGAAAGGACTTCTAGTGCTTGAGCAAGGTCGAAGGGGGAGCTGTGGGGAGCTGCGTGGTGAATGTATCCGAAAGGTTGATCTTCCGACTGTGCGGGCAAGTGGAGATTTGGTTGACAAGAAGCGAGAGGCCTTGGGTAAAGACCTTGTATAGCGCAAGCTAGGCATCAATGACAGCCATTGAGTCACAGCGCTGGTTAAGACGTAGATTCAAACAAAGGTGACTCAAAAGATTCAAAGAGCTAATCGGCGATAAGATGCGGCCTCACGTGGTTGCATCACCACCCGCGCAATCTCCCAATGCGCCCGAACTAGGAGATCTACACTTTCAAGGCCTAGTCTGCTCTGCCAATTTCTCTGTTGAACTGTATCCAAAGTCAGATTCATCCTTGCGGACATTAATCATCGTGCATTATCAGCGTCTGTCTTTTCTGCCATCCTCCTCTAACCGTCATTTGGGGTTGTCTCTTTCTCCAACAACAAAACACCGAACCGCAGCCCGATCCTGCCACGCCGCCCTCTTGTCTGAGAACGAAGCACATCCGGCTTTGATTTCCCTGTCGATGGGGTACACCAATTCTCATAACTAGCTTCAAAGTTTGCAAATATTAAGCGTCGTCGATGACATCGCCTGGCGATGCTACTCCGGTGAAACCTCCGCCGTCTTTCTCCCCCGGCACCGCGCGAGGCGCATCCGACTCGAGATACCCGGATGAGCATAATCAAACTCCCTCCATAGGTGCCGAGGTGGCAGAGCCACATTCAGGGTCTTCTCCCACCCCACCGCTATCGACCCCGACCGCGGAGTTGCCAATCCGAACAGACTCTCGATCTGCCAGGTCGTCCACCCCGCAATTGGCTCGGTCATCGCTCGGTTCCCCCTTTGATGGTCGATTCGATGGGTCCGAAGATATCAGGTCGTTAATCATACGCGCATTTTCTCCGACTGTCGCCGTCTATGCGTCCGAAGACACCGATGAGCTGGTGAGGAATAAGGGGTTTAAAGGGGGCTTTTGGGAGCTACTTCGGCCATTTGGGGAGACGGTACCAGGGAAAGTGGTCATTCGAGATAGCATCGGATCAAGTCGAGCGTGGGAGGACTATGGAGTCCGCTTTGTGGATTTCAAAACCTTTGGCCGGTTGCCTGCCGTTGGAGGAGCTGAACGACCTTCGCCACTGGCCCAGATGGAGGAAGTCCTGGAGAAACAATTGGAATCTGCAGATAATCCACTGGACGGCCCCTTGTCCTCGAAGGAAGTGTTAGGGTTTCCCGCAACCACGCCTCTGGCGAAGATATTCCTGAGGCAACTGCTCTCAGCTACACCAGCAGCTCCCCATGAAACGTTCAGCCACCCCGTAGCCAGTGTCATCACGATCAGCTCACGCAATGGGTCTCCCTTGGAGGCATTGCGGCAGCTGTATGCGGAGAGCAGCACTGGCGACCGGCGTCTACCTGAATGGGTTCAGCAAGAGTACCTTCGATATTACGTGTTGGTTCACGACGAGGAGCGTGATGATATCACTGAATCTACCAAACTATACGACCAGATGAAAAGGCACTTTGGACTACATTGCCACCTGTTGAGACTCCGGAGCAGCCAGTGCGTGGTAACGGATGACGATAGTGTTCAAGTTCCTCAATGTGAATGGCTGTCGCCTCAAGAACGGCTGTCTGGAGTTGGGGAGGCAGGTTCGTATCATGAACTTCCTCCATATTTTTACTGAGCTAACCGCCGGGCAGAGACGTTGGTGGACCTTGGAACAGACGGCACTCCATATCTTTTTGACTCTGATGCTAGCGCTATCAGAACCTTCGTTCGTGAGCTGATTGTACAGTCGGTAATTCCATTCATGGAAAATCGCGTAGCGGTGTGGAACGACCAAGTGGCTTCCCGAAGACGTGGTATCAGTGGTCGGTTTATGTCGATGTCCCGACGGTGGGCCGGCTTTGGATCCAGCTCGCGATCTGGCATTGGCGGCTCTTCCAGTGGGAACAGTGGCAATTACGATCCCGAGCATCATTTTTATCCCCAAGATTCCCCTGAAGCTATTCTACGGAAAATGGCCGACTTTGCATTTATGCTTCGAGATTGGAAGCTCTCCGCTTCAACGTATGAGATGATCCGATCGGATTTTGGAAACGACAAAGCCTGGAAATACCATGCTGGAGCCCATGAAATGTGCGCCGTGAGCATGTTATTGAACCCTCTCGCAATGTCTGCCAAAATCAAGCTTGAAAGCGTTGACCAGATGTTTGAGACCGCCTGCTATTCCTATCTAACGCGGTGTTCAGACGCCCCCCACGCTCTGCGATGCCTGTCTCTCGGCGTCGAACTTCTGAAATCCAGAGGTGGATCTGCCACAGAGAGCGCAGCCAGATGGGCCATGCGGGTCATGGACTTTGGCTTAGTTGGCTCACTGGGCCAAATTCTGTTCATGGAGCGAGTGGCTGCTTGTTATGCTTCCAAAACTCCAGCCGGGGGAGCCAAATGGGGTGCACGCCGCCGGAAAGCGGGTATGTGGAGCATATTTGCTGCAGATCAATGGCTAAAGGCGGGGAGACCTAATCTTGCTTCGGCGTGTCTCGAAGAGGCCGAGCGTCTCTATGCTGATGTGTTGGAGGCGGATGGGACGTTCCCGATGCCAGAGATGCAGAGCTTCGTTGAAAACCTACGCCATGCTGTGAAGGTCGAGTATCTTCAAGCGAGAGGATTTGACACACGCGATGAGCCTGTATCAGAAGACCTAGTCGGCACTGAAGAGATCAGTGAAAAACTTGACAAGCGTCATCATCGTCGCTCTCTGATTGGGCTTCCCGCGCAACTGGATGCCGGGCACCTCGCCATGATCCCGGGTGCCAGGGACCCTGAAAATACGCCGAGTGATGACTTTGAACGAGCCTAGGCCATGAAACTTCACCTTCCCATCCCATCTTATATGAATAGATCTACATTTTCGTCCATCATAACTAAAATTATCATCCCTTGCTTGTCATGGCTGCCCAACTTTCTTATGTAGATAATCGGTCACGTGTGCTTATCGATAAAGCTGCCCGGTTCATGCGGGCGCATGTTGACAGCAAGTGGACTCCCGTCCGCAACTTTCTGGCTCAAACAACGACGCAACAGCCTGTTGGCAGTCTATGAGCTGCAAAGTCTCTTACGCTCGTTTTTTAAACCTCAAAGCTTTGGGTTATACAAGTGTGGAATCATTACTGTTCTGTAAACTCGCCCACTATGAGCGAGCTTCTGAACTACATCCTCAACCATGAGGATGCATTTCGAAGGTACAATGTTGAGCCCCTCCAGTTCTTTCAACAAATAGTCTTTCAAACATATTAGCTAGACGGCTAATACTTGCAACCGACTTTGTAGGAACCGACTCCCATCACTCTACTCAGACTTCACGCTGCAGAAGAAAACAAATCCTGATGGCTACGCCGTGAACATCGCCGCGTGGGAACAAGCTCTCAACAGAGCCGCCAGGCGGGGTTATACATCTTCGCGCGGTGTACGCGTACGCTCGAGCTCAATTCTGTCACATGAAGGTACAGCACCTAAACGAAAGAAAACCGATCACCTTATTATTCGCACAGATGAGTCGCTCCTGCGAGACTTGGAGCTCCCTGAGTGGGGCAGACCTGTTGCGCTTGGCGCGGTTTTTGTATGTCACAATCGAATTAAATTGCTATTTGCTATAGAATATCAGCAGTCTGATTATTTGTCTTCAGGATGAAGCTATGAGAAAGCACACTATGGTCCCATTGCCAGCATATAAAGCGAGTGCGGCGAGTCTCCAGAAGAGCCAGTGGAAGCTGATTGACCCCGGAGCGCTGAGTCCATGGAATGTCATGAGTTGGGGAGTTCGACAACTGAAGGGACTGGTGGTAGGCTCGGATGGAGTGCCTTCGCCGAGGTTGCAGGTCCAAGAGTTAGTTTTGGTGGACAATTTGCAGGTATGCCTTCTGTCGCCCAGATTCATACGTACACCACATTTGTACTGACCGTCAACGTGTCTGATATAGGAAGCAGCAGATTTGGTCGTGAAGAAAGCCACGGGTGGAAATCCGACTAAGTTGGACCTCATATTTACCAAAGAAAGCTTTGTTGAAGAATTTGCCACTATATTACATGCTGCGACTGAACTGTCAGACGGAGATTTTGATATTCTTTTGGTCTTTCTATCCCGCGACAGCGGCGCCATCGCGTACGATGGTAAGGTATGTGGTATTATAAACATGACTGGTATATATCGATAGTAACTGGCAGTCATCAGACCATCAAGTTCAAGTCAAAAGACGAACCGGCACAAATAACACAGCAAGATGCCACTATCGCCTCTATTAAAACTTTAATCACAACGATATCGAAGCAGGTTAAGAATCTAGAGGATAAAGCCGCGGAATTGACGGCATCTGCAAAGACCGCACTGACCAACAAGAACCGTATTTCGGCACTATCCGCGGTCAAGTCCAAGAAAATGGTGGAGCATAATCTCCAACAGCGACTGAATACGCTCATACAGCTTGAGGACGTTTACGCCAAGATCGAGCAAGCTGCCGGGCAGGTGGAGATTGTGCAGGTGATGGAGGCAAGCACCGGCGTGCTCCGTGGCATGCACGCTCAGATCGGTGGCGCAGAGCGTGTTGAGGATGTGGTGGAGGAGCTTCGTGAGGAGATGTCTAAGGTCGATGAGATTGGAACAATCATGAATGAGGCCGGTCCCATCATCGACGATGGTGAAATCGACGAGGAGCTAGAGGCTCTGGAGAGAAGCGACATGGAAGCACGGGAGCGGAACGAGGCGGAGGAAACTCGAAAGAAGCTTGCCGAGCTAAACAGCATCAAACAAGCCTCGGATGAGGCTGCTCGCCAAGCAAAGAGTGAGGAAGATGTCGACACCCAGCTTGCGGAGAGCATTGGCAGACTGTCCAACATGTCTGTCGAAGATCGCCAATTGCCAGCAAATTAGATGTTTCTACGCACATCACCCATCTTTGAGGTCATTGATTGCAGCTGCTGGCCATCTGTGACAGGTTGATAGTCTATAGTCACCTAGACGGGTTGCTGGCGACAGGAGAATCTGGGTCTGAGTTGATTTCAATTGGGCCTCCATTCACATTGCGGAAATCTGCTGGCGATATTGGTTGTTTGCTGCTGGACTCACTGGCTCCCAAGTCCGCAGAAGCTCCTTGAATGGTGGATCTTACTTGGGCATCACTCTTCTTACGAGCATTTGCAATGAGACGCTTAAAATCAGTTTCATGGTTTGCAGACCACTGAGCTGCATCGAAATCTTTCGCCATCACCGTATTGTTCGCCACGAAAGGAGATGGTGTCGCTGCATGACCACCCTGCGTCCGCTCCCACACATCAAGCTCACGCAATAGATCCGACTTGGATTTTGGGTTCTTGGAATCGCAATTTGCATTCCATAGGTTCATCCACTCTGTGTGACGCTTCTGTAAAAGCTGCCGACTCCCCCAGTTGGGAATACCCAGATCACGAAGCTTTTTGCGCAAAAGAACATCTTTCAAGAGTGAATAATTTATGGCCGGTAGCCTTTCCAGTATTTTCGTGGGGGAAGTGGGGGCTCGGCGTGGTTGTGACTGTAAAGATCTAGAAGAGGATTTAATTAGATATCTGAATGTACCAAATATGTAATCCATTCCACATACCCAAAGGCGGATTGCTTCGGTGGTGCTGGTGCTGAATTTCCAGTGCAAGTATCGAGGTGGGCGAAGACAGCTTCATGCTTCATCCTTCGCTGACATATGGGGCAAGCAACCATGCCGTCATCTGCAATAAATATGATTAGATTTCCAACCCGCGAGGTCATAGTAGAGATAAATTAAACGGCCTACCAGGTGCAAAGTCCTCATCTTGGCTATCCTCAATAACCTCCGGTGCCTCATCTATTTCCGCTATATCCTGGACATCCAATTTTACCCGCTGTGACCTTGTACGAATGCGTTGAGAGCTGCGCTCTGCCAACTCAATAGCCTCCTCCACTTGGTCTCCATGGTCTATCTTTCTTTTTTTTGGCTCGGGATGCCGACTTTGTTCCTCTCCCGATGCAAGACGTGCGGCCTCCTTCTTGGCCAGTGCAAGTGTAGGTTGACGTGCGGTTTGAAAGGCCTCTAGAATTTCTTGTACCAGCCAGTTGCGACGAAGTTTCAATTCCTGGTCACCGGATCGGCAAGTCGGGCATTTCCCCTCGGTACTGAGGCATCGGCGAATGCAAAGGGAGCAAAAGGTATGGCTGCACGAGGTAATTACCGGATTGTCAAAGAAGTCTTTGCAGACCTGGCAGCGTAAACTGGATTCAAGTGGCGCAAGTAGGGATAGCGGCGTGTCCAGCCAGTCCGTGGAGTCAGGTAGGTCAAATGACTGCTCCATATAGGTTTCAGCGCAGTCGTGCGCAGATGAAGGCTCAGCAACGATTGGAAGGTGAGATTACGTCCTTGTTTGCATCGAGAGGAAGACGGCGAAGGGTGGAGTCCCGGGGTGCCAAGATTGCTGACTGATACGCGTAGAGTGGTTTGGCACGCGTCAAGCAACTTCAAGTTGCAGACCGCAAACATTATGGATTCAAAAACGTACCTGGCTGAGAATGTGCTTAACGAGCAGCGCACGGTGAGAATCAAATTGCGTTTAAGTTGGCCTGACCTCAGAATCTGATAGCTTACAGGTCACTTATCGCGCGTTGAGTCGAGCTCTCAAGGTCCACGCGAACAGGGCTAAGCAGTGAGTGGCGTACTTCGAGCTACGTTGATCGCACAGCTACTGACACTCTATATATCAATTCAGACTGCTTTTTGAGTTCCACAGGAATGAAAATGCCAAAAAATCGCACAGCGTCCATGCAACATATGTCATTTCAGGAGTGCAAAAACCACCAGCGTCGCTTGCGATCAACGGTCATGCGCGAGACGAAGACGAGATCATGCAAAGCAGTCCCTATTTGCCAAGCTCAATGCCGAATGAGCAAAATGGCGAAGACTCAACTCTCACTACCTCGATTATTTTGGCTCGGGAGGAGGACATGGAAGGTAGGTCCGCCAGCTGCGTCCCTTGTCAAATTGCTCTGCTGATACTAGAGGGTGACTCGCAAAGCTGCAAAATGTACATTTGAAACTATTGTGTCCATCCATGTCTACAGTATTCAGGCGACTGTACTTCAGGATCTCAATGCCTTGACCGACGTATGCCGAGAAGTTGCGACTACGTATGCGCAAGACGACCCGCTAGAATGTGGTCAGAAATGGGGGATGATTCAGAATCGCAACGTCAAGGTCAGTTTTCCACTTCGCTTGTATGATCTCGATATGACTTATAGCCCTCTCAGCGGAGAACTGGAGCTCGACCTCCCCCTCCGGCCGCTCCAGCGCCGAAGGCGCAGGCTGTGTCAACCGTGCCTTCCAAACGCCCCCTACAAATGGACGCATCTGGCACGAACTCAGAGACCAAAAGTCAGGACTCGAATCCGGCCACCGCCTCTCAGTTGTCAAACAAGTCCACCGACAAGGCAGCACCCGCGAAGCGCGAGAAGAATAGCCTCTTTAGCTCTTTTGCCAAAACCAAACCGCCGAAGCCGAAGCCAAGTACTCCCGTAGAATCGGTGAGTAAAAGCATATCATGATTTATTAGCCCAATTGTTGATATTTGAGTATAGGTCACTCCAAATGGACCGGAGGATGGTGAGTAAAACCCCCAATTAAAATCAACTTTACCAGCTAATGATTTGCAGTTGTTCTCGATGATGCTTCTGATGATGAGCAAGAAGAACTATTCCCAGATAACAGCAATCAAGCGTCCATGGCCAACCGCGAAACTAAGAAGGAGCGGGAAGAGAAACTCAGAAAGATGATGGAAGACGACGACGCAGATGGTACAGGCCCCTGCGCTAGTGCGTTCCAAAGTTTACGAGTATATGCCAGCCGCTAACTCCGTTCCAGATGAGGAAATGCCTGATGCCGATGAGGAAGAACCTGTACGAGAGACGACTCCTGTCGAGCAACCACCACCATCGAAGCCCGTCGAGCTCAAAGAGGAGGTCACCGTACAAGGTGGACGCCGACGTGGTAAACGCCAAGTCATGAAGAAGCGAACAGTCAAGGATGAGGAAGGGTACCTGGGTAAGTCCGCGTCATGCCCCTTCCACCCCATACTGCATGTCCCCGATATTAATTAGCCGATACAGTCACTCGGGAGGAACCGAGCTGGGAATCTTTCTCCGAAGATGAGCCGGCTTCAAAGAAAAAACCTGCCGTGAATGTCGCGAAGAGCAAGGGAGGTAAGACTGGGCAAGGCAGCATCATGTCATTCTTCGGAAAAAAGTGATAAGAGGGCCCCCAGAATTGTAGACTAGAGATTAATAAATGCCGATCCATCTCGCATTGTATTTTTCCGGTCGCATGGAGCCGATCGTATACGCATGGAAGTTGTCTGGCGGAGTTTGTATGCGGCTTGTATGGAGCGGCGAGGGCGCACCAAGTAAAAAACGCCGATCGCTTCTCCGCATTTGCAGTGGAGATGGTGCAACGGTCCCCTTGGACAATGCTGGACGATGTTACCTTGTGCCCGCTATTCCCCGAGACTTGAGAGAGGTGGGATGTTGAAATGTCGAGATGCGTCTAGAGCTGGTGAAATCCACCCTATCCTCGTCACGATGCACGAGTCGACTGTATACTCCGGGTTTTGTGGTGGAGGAATGCGCATCCCTGCCTGGTTGTGATCGGCATGAGCTCTGCCTCATCCCCTCATTGTGTTCTTCTTCCTTTTTTATTTATCCGCGGGTCGTTCTGAGGACGTGCTACTCTCTTCCTCAACCCATTCACCATGTCTCTCTCTACTTTGCTGGTGGGTGCGCTGTTGACCTTGCAGGTGAATGCTCTCCCGGGACGCGATTCCCCTGCAATCTTGCGCCGAGCATGTCCTGATTACACTTCATATGCCTCGACGCCGCAGTAAGTGCCCCTTCTCGGCTCAACTGGAGCATTTCACAGACTGACACCATTCTAGCGGCCCATATAGCGGAGGTCCATTGAACCTACCCTACCAACGCCCCGCCGAAGCGTGCCGTACGTTCTCGTCGCCTTCAGTGGAGAAGGTCATTGAAGATATGACCTCGCGTCTGGTTGACAAGGACCTTGCGCAGCTCTTCCGTAATGCCTTTCCAAATACTCTGGACACAACCATTCGGTGGCACCAGAATGGCACAACGGCGACTTCCAGCCGCCGTAGCAGGCGGGATACGGCCCAGTGGACCGGCGCGCAGACATTCATTGTGACGGGCGACATCAACGCAGAGTGGCTGCGTGACTCGACTAACCAGCTGACTAACTACCAGGCATTGGCGAAAAAGGACAAGAGCTTGTACAACCTCATCCTGGGAGCCATCAACACCCAGGCTGAGTTTGTCATTCAATCTCCCTACTGCAATGCCTTCCAGGCTCCATCTGCAAGCGGCATTCGGCCCGAGAACAACACTCAAGTTGACACTGTCCACCCCACCTATGAGAAATCATTCGTGTATGAGTGCAAATATGAACTAGACTCTTTGGCTCACTTTTTGCTGCTGGGAACCGAATTCCACGCCAACACTGGCTCGACTGAGTTCTTGACCGATCGCTGGTTCAAAGCACTCCAGACCGTGCTTGACGTGATTGACGCCCAATCACAACCAACATTCAATTCCAAGAATCAGTTTGTGACGAATCAATATACTTTTCAACGCGAAACCACCATTGGCACGGAGACTTTGAACCTCCAGGGCGTCGGCAATCCGCTCAATAGCGACACGGGTCTGATCCGTAGCGCTTTCCGACCCAGTGATGATGCCACTATCTTGGGTTATTTCATCCCGCCAAATGCCATGATGTCTGTGCAGCTCCAGAAGATTGCCGGAGTCCTCAAGGCTGCCGGTGGGCACGATGATTTGGTCGAAGAGCTTCAAGAACGGGGTCAGAAACTTGCTAAGGCAGTTAAGGAGCATGGTATTGTGAGCCACGCCAAGTACGGCGAAGTGTATGCTTTCGAGGTTGACGGCTATGGCTCACGTATCCTCATGGATGATGCAAATATACCTTCCCTCCTGTCTCTGCCCTACCTTGGCTTCCTCGATCGCAGTGATGAAGTGTACCAGAACACCCGCCAGATGATCACCGACAAGGCCGGTAACCCATACTATCTGGAGGGTCCAGCTTTTCATGGTATTGGTGGTCCTCATAGTAAGTTTCGAATTCTCTAATGGCCGAAATCATTGAAATATGTACTCACCTTAGTCCATCCAGTTGGTCTTCAGAATGCCTGGCCGATGTCCCTCCTAATGCAGGCGCTCACTTCCGACAACGACACCGAAATTATTGAGTCAATAAACCTCGTCCGAAACTCGAGCTTGCTCGGTCTGGTGCACGAGTCTATTAGTGTCACCAATATTAAAGACTACACTCGCCCGTGGTTCTCCTGGGCCAACTCCGTATTTTCGCAGACCCTCCTCAAGATTGCGGAGGAGAGACCGCACCTTATATTCGGGGCTAATGCTGAACCTTATACTATTTCGTAAATGGGACCATGGAAGGCCACGAGCCCAGACTCTTGTGAATAACTATTACCAAATGACACATCCATTATTATCTTGCGCTCCATTACTGCTACTGCTGTTATGCCAGCGTGCTACACCCTTTCTTCTTATCGGATAGAGATTGATGAAGATAGCATGAGGGCTGGTGATCTTTTCCTTTTGAAATGATCTGCAGCAGCCCTACTCAACGACAAGATTGTGAGGACCGCTCGCGCACTTGAAGAGGACATAGCTCCCGGATTCTCACTCGAAAAAGCTCGGGACTGCAAGGTGATGAGTCCAATGCAAGGGAGATTGGGGGAACTGACCAAAGAACCTTGGATCTTTATAGAATGGTCATTCAATGGGGTACTAGCTCAACTTGCATGAGCGGATCCTCGTCCCGTTCCAAAGCTCCTAGGTTCGGGGATCACAAGGCGCCCTGCACCCTCGTCCGAGCATCCGTCGTCCCATATCGGCGATGGACCAACAACAACACGAGTATCGTCACTTGGTGGGTTTCAGATAAAAGTAGTCATAGCTTCCCACCATGATGATAGGCCGGCATGGCCCACCTGCTGGAAGATTATAGGACAATCCGCCGCCCTGCGGTCGATCTTTACCCATTGGCCGAGAGCACAATCCGGGATCAAGCTGCAGCAACACATATTCCAGATCCCTTAGGAGCCGATTCCGGGTCCTTGGTATGCCTGCAGACTCTTTCTGAGTCTGTAATTGTTTTGCTCGTCTACAATGTTTCAATGCGGAAAACATGAGAATAGAAGAGAGGGTTAGCGCTTTTTACAGCAGAGTCATTCAAAACCATGTGAATGACTTTACATTCTCTGCACGAGTTCGGGGGCTGGGAGACCCAGCACTGAAACAATTCCTGTCGGAATTAGCAGTTATGAGTCGAAGCGAGGTTGCCTAGCAATTGTGGCTCTTCCATGGCCAGATGTTTTACCTATCCAATGCCCGATCACGACGATCTATTCGAGCTTCGCGCTAAGGGCCGGGGTAAATCCCGGTTAGTCCAGGTGGATCAAGGTGTCCAGGCCATCCAGGGGACTTCATGCTGCCTGACTCCTGCATATGCATGGCGTAATGGATGATCTCTCTCAGCCTCATCTGATTTCGAGAACTCCACTTGCGCCAGTTGCATTTGGACAGTGCACGCAGTCGGTCGCTCTAGGCTATTGATTGTCATTCCTATTGGCCTGACTCCAACTAACCCTTTCTCCACTGCGGACGGGGAATGCCGTTCCCCTCCCCCGCGTACAGTCCGTGAGATGTTTATCTCGGTCCTGTGGAGAGGCTCTCGAAGAACGTCAGCGAAAATCTCAATAAAGGGGGACTTTTTTTTATATTGCAACCTGCTCCCTGAAAACCACATTGCAATTTTTCACCCGACCCCAAGTCATTCCAACTGCACACCAGATAGCACTCCAATTGTCTTTTTTCCCTCTCACCATGGCGTCGTCTTCACGCAAAATCAACCCAGATGGTCTTAATCTTCATTCTAGTCAGGATGATTGGACATATCCCTGGCTTCCTATTGGAACCACATCCCCTTCCATTTTGATGGGAGGACAGTGTGGTTCGCCTCCAAATCTTCCGCTGCAAACTCCCCTTCAGCATCCTTCTACTCCGCATAGATCAACCCCTACAGCGAATCACCCGCCAATCTACGGGCCTCGATCTATCCCTTGGGGAAGTACTATCAGCCCAACACAAGGCCCCAGCCTTTCTTCCAGTCCTCAGAACTATCAGTGGATGCATTATGAAGGCAGCCCCCAGTCTCAAGAAAGCCTACCATACAGCCAATCCTTCAGCTCTCCAACAGGACCACCAAACTCTAGCTCCGAGGATCGCATCGTCGGTGAAAGCCAGGTCTCCCATGGATGCTGCCACACACGGAATTCCGAGTACGTTGAATTGTGCGAAGTCAATTCTGACCTCACTAACGTTCTCGTCCGTTTAGTAAGAGTCCGACTATCCAGTTCAAATGTGCCTGGGAAGGATGCAACTATACAGGAACTTTCACCCGTGAGTCATGTCTTTGGCGACACATCAAATCCACCCACGTTCTGCCGGATATTTTCAAATGCTCCGATCCCCAATGCAACAAAACCTTTGGCCGGAAGGATAAGTTGCAAAGTCACATGCGACAGGCTCATATGAAGCATGCAAGTCATTGCCATTCCTGCTGTAATGATGGGTCTAGGTGAGTGGTTTATTCCGTACTTGTTCTAGTTACCACTTGGCGTTCAATTTTCATGGATTGTATGGAGGTTATCTCTCGGGCTTTGGTGTTTTCTCTACGGTAAATCGGATGGAGTAACAATTGGACTTTCTTTCTTTTACTGTTGTAGTTCGTGATATCTACACTCAATATCTGAATCTTATCATACCGCTCATCACAATGGTAACCACTTTGATCATTCCTGTCCACCCCATGCACCGAAGTTCACTTCATTTTTTCCTAGCACGCTTTACATAGCTTGGGGGCTTCAATGTTTTTTTCCCTCGGCCCAAGATGAACTTTTCGTTCATTGGGGTATGTGATCAGAAAATATCAAGTTTTGTTAAACCGTCAAACGAAGTCAATAAGTAATAAGTAAGTTCAGACAGTTTGACGCAGCTATTACCCTTGTTTCACTCTAATATTGTCAAGCCTCATGCTGCACAATGTGACTCTTTCCCTCTTGCAAATATCCGTAGGGTATCTTGAATTTGCAAGACTGGACGCGTAGCACTCCTCCGGGCTCCCAAGGTTAGGTCACCGTACGACCAAAACAGCCAACTGTACAACAGTCCCCTCAAAGGGGAAACAGCAGGCCTATTATTATTTCCTCTCGGGGACTATATTTTAAAAGTCTATCTATATAATTTGGGCCCGGTCATTGTCACACAACACAGTCTATTTCATCAGTGAACATTATCCACCCAATTTATATACAGTAACTTCCAATCGGTGGGTAAAGCAGTAATCCCCAAAGCAGCAACTTAATTAACAGCGGCGAAAGACTTGTTATATCATTCAACAGAACTTCCACCCGACAGCATATGCTTTGATAATTCCAAATTACAGGAATTGGATGAAATGCTTCACTACGCATGCCTCGGGAGAAGTACATAAACTAATTCCATCACACTTCCAGTTTTCGTCTAACACCACCTACCCTTTGGAGAAACTGTCTCCCTGTTCCAGACAAGCCTACAATTTTCAATGATGACAGTCACTTTTTTCTTCTCAACATCTCTTCTATTTTGTCTCTGGGCGACTACGAGTGTTAATGCTACTGTCTTGCGCTACAAGACCCCGATCCCCCAAAATGCTCAAATTGTGGACACAAAGCCCAGATTGGCTGAAATCCAGAGGGCTCACTCAGGTACACTGCTGTTTATTGAGAATGGAGGTTATTACTTAAAGTACCCTGAGAGCGGTGAAGTTCTGGCAGTGTCCTCCGATATATTGAGCGTCGAACTGGACAGATCACACATCTTTCTATCTCGCACGCTGGCTACAGAAGGATATCACGAAGAGGCCATCGAGATCATGAAGAAGCTTGGTGAAAACGGAGCAGATGTGTTCATGAGCGAGAATGACGACCAGGCTATGCAAGTAGATTGTTGCGGTCATTCCAAGGAATGTAATAATGCCCATTGCAACACTCCAGGTCTACCTGGAAAATGCCTTCAGCATAGGGGATGTTCTATCTGTACTCCTCTGCTAAGATGTATTTAAGAGATATATTTGATCAAAAATCGCCCAGCATATAGTATGCCCGGTCAGCACAAAACGCATTTTCACTCCACATTGGCTCTTAGCACTCTACCGCCGATATCAACTATTGAAACAATATAAATATCGTGAAAACTTGGAAGTAATTGTATTTCAATCTTATAGTTGAAGCCATACGCGCCTATTGAAGCGTGAACAAATTGTCGTTGGACATGTGCAATTTGATCAATTGGAAAACGAGGTAACATCATAGAATGGCGAGTCACACAAATTACATATCGTAACTTTCATATCTCTCATAACGCTTTCTCCTATTCTCTTTCAAACCCAACTAGAATGTCAACACTAGGACTCTGAATCTTGTGGTTGTCAAGGGTTGTCCACCGCGCTAGCAAGTCTCCCATATCGCATGGCAGCAAGAGAGTTTCGGAAAATGTCTGCTTTTGAGTATCATCCTCATCAAAATGGCTTGGCATCCCGCTCTCCTGAGCAATGTGATCGAGCATAGATGTATTCCCTTGTGATTCATTCTCAAGATGATCATATTCTTTATCATCGCTCTTGGTCGTGGTACTAGCGAGCTCACCCTGCTTAGAGCCGCTACTACCATCACACCAGAATCCAGAAAAGCCAGTGCGAAAGCTATAGCCACCACTTCCATAGCCACTATTACCCCAGACACCATTGCCATAGCCACCAAACCCCTGTGGTTCCGCATTATATCCACCCCTACCTTGGAAACCGAAACTAGGCATAGAAGAACGGTCAAAGGCGAAATCAACACGGATAACCCGCCCATCGAACCTGGAGATTCCATTTATTAACACTATTACTGAAAAGAAAAAGAGTTTTTTTCTTACTCGGCATTGTTCATTCCAGCCTGTGCTGCGTGCGCCTCGGCAGCACTGGCAAAGCGTACGAAACCAAAGCCGCGGCTTCGCAGAGTTGCACCGTCTTTGACGACGATCTATATAAAGATTAGCTGGCTAATTATAATGTGGCGATAAAGACGGGAAAGACACACAGCTTCCTCAACTTGGCCGAACTTTTTGAAACCCTCGCGTAGAGTTTCATCGGTTGTATGCCAAGAAAGACCACTGGATTATGCCGGCCGAAACGCTAGTCAATTTCTCCTCGAAACGGGATTTGAGCATTTTTAGGTATGATGCACGTACTGAACAAACAATCTTAATTCTGTAGCTTGGATCTCCTTACGCTTGAACTCGCCGCCGGGCTTGGGCGTCTCATCTATCGAGACATTATCACCTAATTTGATGATATGAGCACTGATGTGTTGAACTTGTCCTCGCATTTTCAATGGATGTTGCTTACTAAAGGTATGAACAACTCCCTGTTCATATGAAGAATCAGTGATTGAGCCTGTACTCTCGTTTTCTTGCTCGCTATCAATCTCAGTCAAGTTCAAGACAAAGAGAAATATGAGGTATACGTACGCAAAGAGCAAGTAATCGATCTGGATTGAGGGACCGTGTTCCGCTTGAAATCGCGCCATTTCCCCGACGTGGATATTTCACACACCATCTTTGATTCTCACGTGGCGGCTCTCCTTAAGCTTGCTCCTGGAAGAGTCAATTTCGTGAAGCATACTTTGGATAAGGTTTTTGTATTCCTTGAGATCGGTGGGTTCATTTCTCTTCATGGCTCTATGGATTCCGATTTGAGCTTCACTCTCATTCGTAGATTTAAATTGCCATTCTGAAGTTTGTTCCTTGAATGAGGGTTGGTGTGAGTTGGGATGCTTCTGCTGATTAGTGAACCTATCAGTCCCAACGTGGGCGGAGTCTCTGCTTGTAGTCTCTGTTAAGAGAGATTGAGAAGCTTCTGTAGCCACATCTGGCTGGCGTGGCTTGTGGCTGTCATTCCTTTTGTCCTCCAATAGGATTTGTATTAAGCCACGTTGCTCTAGGAGTAGGTTTGGAACATTGTTGCTGTTCGAACTTATGAATAAGTCGTCATTGTATAGGGTGGGGGAACAGGCTGACATACCTGCGAATCTGCCCCGCATACAGAATCACGTTAAGCAAGAGCAGCATCGTCGACTTCAGCCTCTCCAATTTGGTCCTTAAACGATCCAGGCTCGGCTCAAGCACTACTAGGCGAAACTTCCCAGTGACTTGCTGAAAGCGACTTTTTTCAGGCTGCTCATTATTCCCAATCATATTCTGGATCTGTTTAAACACGTCCCGACATTGATGCATGACACTGCCCAAAGTTCGCAATACCTCATCTGAACAGAGCTTGCATGACTCCTCCTCTTTCAAGTTGTCTCCCAGCTCTCGCAAAATGGCGCTAACGAGTGCAATCTCGTTTGACAAAAGCTGAACAAATTCGTTGGCATTTTTGACCCGTCGGTAGAAGGAGAAAGTCTGGATGGATAATTTGGTGCCCAAGTCTGCGACTTGTATGATACTGGCTGCGATACCGAGGGCTTCTATTCCAGACATGACGACACTACAATGGCAGCGAGTTACCAACAGCGCAACAAAGGTGTTGATTAGGTATGGGGGAGTGGAAGAGGATTGAGGAGAAGAGCTCCCCTCACAACGGGCCCAATGTCAGCGCTTCAACATGCAGATCCTCACGTGAGGGCATCTACATTCATGAGGTCTGCTCTGCATTTCCTCGCGCTTCAAGCCATTAATGCGTCGAATAAACAGCCAAACCTCCCAATGTGAAGAACAATCTGAGATGAGGATGTTAAATACGTTTCAAACTTAATGAGTGGAGGGCCCACCTCAAGCTGCGGACATACCCAATTTGAGGGACTGATGTACATAATGTAATGAGGAAACAGCCTACAATTTACAATAGGCTGGACCTGATTTAGGCTGGACCTGATTGGACGTCATCTACAGCGGACTATTGTTTCCAAATATCGTCTCACATCTCAGATAGAAAGAAACATAACTTCTACAAACTCTTTTCCTCAGAAAGCATCTGTTTTCTCTTTGGGAACCTGCTAGACCCTCATCGCTTCACGTGTGAATGGCACTTGGGGAATTTTTTCTGAGGGTGAAGTTCTAGGCTTGTGAGTTTGTCATTTACATCTTGATAACATCTGGGAAATGGGTCATTCAGCGGTATCGATGGCACTCACGCACACTAGCTCTTCAGATCCAAGCCTACCTCGTGGGAGTCTTACCACCTGCATATCTAGATATTCCTCAGCCTCTATATAGATAAAACCTCAAATGATTGAGGTATTCACATAACGTTACATTCCTGACAGACTCGCATATTCTTGACAAAATCTCTCGTATAATCAGTCATACCCTTCATGGATTATTGATATATCATTCCGTAGTTGGTAATTTTTTTATCAGGGTTCCATTGTTAAATTCCATGCTGTGATTTCAGTAAGGTTTTATTGTGATCTGAAGAGGAAATGAAAAGCATCGGCAAATAATAAAACGACTCCGATATGTCATCGGCCATCGCTGCAAATATCTCCACAACTGGTATCCACATATCTCAAGGAAAAAGTATAAACTTGCAACACACTTATCGCCAAAGGGCAAATCACAATTAAATGGGCGAAGGAGAAAGGTAAAATAAACGTGGCTTGACTTGACAGAATGGGACAAAGGTTCAAATAAGCTTGTTTTTAGTGTCCGCGAAAGCGGGAGGATCTTCACCACGTTCTTGTATCACCGTAGAATGCACATTGCGAATGTGACATCCTAGCTTGTCTCTTCTTCCAAAAGATCTTGTGCAAGAAGGACATTTAAATAGTCCTTGGTTAAGATGCTTGCTTTTGATGTGTCGCCAGAGGGAAGTCTGGCGTGTGAAGGTGCCGGTATAGGTGCAGTTGATCCACTCACAGTACAGCATCGAGGGTGTTTCTCTACTGAAGGGAATAATGTTGCTTGTTAGCAAAGGATGCAAAGGCGTGGAAAAAGACATACCCAGACTTGAGTGGCTGATGAAGGTGATCTATGTGGTTTGGAAAGGAGATGCGATCATTAGATATGCCCTGAGGTTGTCTTTCTATATTTGAATCAAAGACATAATCAAGAAAAGCATCGATTGAACGGTCCATATTGTTTATGTCAGATTCGACAGGCCGGGGGCGCATAGCCATGTCGCTAGGCGGAGCGGGGGTGGCACCGAATGGAATCTGAGTTGACTCGGACGCAACCACAATGCCGGGTACAGGCTGTACTTCTGACAATTGTAGAGGCAACTGCCGAGGAAGGCAGGTTGCAGGAGCATCGTTTGTTGCTGACGGCGAGGAAAAGAATTCCGTCGGAGACGGTAGCAAACTTGGGTCATCGCGTGACAATATTGATTGCCGACCACGTCTTCCCCGCTGCGGGACACGCCGGGCCCAATTCAAATACTGCATCGGTAGGACAGGACTGGCGGGGGCCTTCAAAGCAAAATTATGAGTGCTATACGACAGAAATGATAAGAAAATGTGCGGACGAAGGGAAGAGGAGGATAGGCCACTACTCAAGCGACAGAGGGACACCGTCTATATATGCGAAGCTGGGTGTAGTAATTGAAATATCTGGCCTTAATTCTCCGTAGGCTACTGCACTCATAATTAGTGATAATGTATTGATCCGAATTTTGCAGGACTCATTATATCTGCTAGGCAGTCTCGGGGAGGTTCTTCCAGCGGTGAAGGCCACTACTTCACCCTTCCCAAGTGGGTCGAGACCTCATGTTTGCCCGGCGAAGCAGGATGGCTGGAACGGCTCGAATCCAAATGCCGATTCCGATTTGGCCTGTGTTGATCACGACTCGATACAAAGGTCATATATCTATCTCCAGTACCTTGTTCAGATCGAGATAACCTACTTCTTCTGCAGATTCCCTTGGTTGATCTGAGCTGCAGAGAGCCCCGGGTACCCGGATAGTAATCAACTAAGGACGCCGACAGACCCAGAGCACCGGGATAGCAATTGGTATTCTCGTGACTGAATAGATGCTTCTCGCCGATTACCCTGTATGAAGAGACCAATCGATCGATCATACAGAACATGTCAAAACAGGAAGCCGGATTCCGTGACGAAGCTCCCCGGATCGGCTTTACACCCGCTGAAAGCGCCGATTACAAAGGGAATGAGGGCTCGGATCTCAAGAGCCCTTGCATTTGATTCATCAGGTTTGGGCCAGACCCGTATGGATCCGGGAGCATAGGGGGCTGTGGATCACTGTCACTCGTGCCCGATTGATCTCTCGCGCGAACTGTGGGTACCTTTGTGATCTATCATTTATTTTCTTCCCCGTGGCGAGTTGTCAGGCCTCGAAATATCTTGAGTGCTGCGAAAATGGGTAAGGAATACACACCCCCTCCACGATGCTTGTAACTACGAGCTATCACCTCGGGGATGTGGGCAATGCCAGCGGCCCAAGGCGCTTTTTCGGAAACATGTTGCCCGTGGAGCCTTGGAATCACCCTTTGAAGACTGTATACTTGGTACTCGGCACTTGGTACTTGGTACTTTTGCTTCTCATGAGAAAATGAGGCGCACGATGTGGGAATTAAGGCGATGAATTCTCGTGATCCGGCTGCTTTCGCCAAAAAAAAGTACTACCTCCAGTGGGACTTTTCATACCGGTTCGTACTTCCACTCGCGCTTGCATGAACCTCGCCCGCAAGGTCGGACCTTTGGATTGCGAACAAGGCAAATGCTCGGATCTCGTCCGATCCTTCCTAACCCCTGCTGACACGTCCGCGTGCATGGCCAGTTGCTTGGCGCAGCCTCGGTTACCACTGCGTCGCTTCTGGTTGCAGCTTGCTAAATGTTTGCTTCACTTGGCAGAGCGTCATACCCAATAACCCTGAGATATCCCTGACTCTGGGCTGGTAGGCGACGTGTACCTGATGGATTGGACCACCCAAACCCCGATGACAACCCCGGCGAAAATTTGAAGAGTTGGTTACCAACTTGGCATGCAATATCTACTTTTTCGAACCAAAATTTCGACTGGGTAAAAAAAGTATCTTCATAACGTCATGGGCTTGCGGATCACTTGCCCCAGATGTCAATGCCGAAGGCTTGAATGAAACTGACTTTTGGGGGCTCCAAAAAAGCAGTTACCGATCCCTTACACCTATTCATCTATTCATCTTGAGAAAAAGCAAAACGGATATGGCCTGACCAAAAATTTCACAGGGATAATTCGTAATTCAAGGTGACAGGAGGGAAGAAGAAAACTAATAACGCCGGTGAACCCCGACCGCGACATGCAGCAAAAACGCGAATACAGACTCATATTCAAATCCCGCATCCACGCCTTCATCCTTATGCCCCATCATCAGAGAATGTATGTTTCGTTGCGGTTCATAGTTTCCTAGAGGTATCGTTGCTATGGAACGATAGAGCGTTGCTGTCGTCCCGGTCGTGGGGGGGTAGAGAAAGAGGGAAGCAGCGGGTAAGAAAGGGATATGGGCCAGAGAGTCATCGATTAAAAGAGGTGCCATAAAACATTTCCAGCCAAGAAATCGACTGATAATTGTTCAGGTAGAACTTGACAGGTGTTGTCTGATTTCCGAGCCGGACCGTGGTATAGCAAGACCCTAACCGAGCGATGTTAGAAAGAAAGTACAAATAAAATCAAAAAGAGTGAACAAGATTCATCAGGAACCCAGAGCGCAGAAGTTTTTTCTCTTCTGTGCAGCGCCCGAGCGCAAGCCTCTCTCGCCACAGAGAGGGTCTATAATAAGAGCGAAGAAGACCGAGGCTATTTGCCAGAGTCTTTGTGAGCCTTGCTCATATGGGTCGTGCGCTTATCGCTTCGCCCAAAGACTCGATCGCAATTCTTGCATTTCTGGTCATGGGGAATATGCACATCTTGGATGTGCCTCCAAAGGCTCGACTTGCGGCTAAAGCCACCATCGTACCGGCAACCTTCCCACTTGCAAAAGAACGGGCAGTTCTGGGTTGACCTAGAAAATGCGGATGTGAGAATCAATACTCCAACTCAATAGGAAATGAAGAGAGTTCATCATACTCTAAGCTTGGGCCTTCATGAGGGTTGGATACCGTATGGGTTGACGATCGACGGACTTCAGGGCTTGTGCGAGAGGACTCGCGCGGCGCTGGGACTAGCATCGGATGCTGGTAGATCGCGGGGTTGTCCGCTGATCCAGGGTCATGGACCGTTGCTGCAAAGTTTGTGGTATTATAGGCCTGGTTTGAGAATGGCAACCCCGGGCTAGTAACTGGGGAGAAATCGGTGGTGCTGAGATCGTCCCATGGACTGGTTGGTGCCGGGGACGGCCCTGGTGGCGCCTGGGAATAGATGACCGGGGGCGACTGGTGGTAGAGATTCTGGTAGTAGGGGCTCTGCCCATGGATCACACAGGTATCTTGAGCCGAATAGCTAACCAGAGGGGGTGACAGCCCCGGTCCAGGTACCGCCGAATAATAATAGGTCCCCATGGGCTGTTGATCCTGGGAGGACCGGCGGTTACTGCGGCTTGGATTGACATTGGAGGAAGCCATGGTGAGAAAATCCCGTGCAGACTTAGAAAAGAGTAAAGCGTGTCCGCAAGAGGGGGTAGGTCGCGGCTTTTGCTTCTTGTGTGAAGAAGAAAAAAACCAACACAGAATCGACGACTCCGAAGTGACTTTTTATGTATTCCTAACCTAGGTTGAGAGCTGGGCCTCTTGCACCAGCTCACCGAGTCTCCCTAGAATGCCACTGCACCCTCTGAGCCCATGGGAGGCGGAGTATTACATCTTTCAAGTAGTCAATAATTTCTGAGTGGTCCATTGGGGGTAATGGGAGAGAGGGCGAATCGACCTCCTTCGACACCCGTGGGAGCATTGGTGCTGCGGCGGATAATTCACCCACGAGTCACCGACCCACTGCATGTAATGATGATGACTGGGGATATTCCATAGGCTGGGGCTCATTATACAATTCATGATGTACAGGGGGAGAAAAGCAAGGTAGCTGGTGGAGATTGGCAGGCCAGGGCGTGGAGATTGACGCATACTGCACCAAATCGCCCTTTCGAACGAGCCCAGCCATGACGCTGCACACCCATGGAAAGAAGGATTCTTCACCTGGCAACTACTGGCTAAGCCCCATGATCAGGGCGCATAGAGGATATGTTATAATACCAAAATGATGGCTTACCGTCTAGAAAAATGCCTCTTCATTCCAGAATATTCTCCCCAACATTCTTCATACATCTTAAGTAAACCCCGTTTCAACCAGCTATCTGTTCAAAGTTCCATTATTGAAACAGGACACCCTTCAAACACCGTGGTTATGGTTCGGATTTGGATTGGAAGAAAATGGCACGACACCCACGATCGAACCCGGGGGCACCCAATGGGATCAGGTAGAACCAAGCATACTGGTTTCTGATCCTGAGCAAACGAGAGCCCACTTTGCGCTTCGAGTATCGAGCTCTGCTCCTAAAAAGTCAGATGGCCACCACCCGCACGCTCGGCTCGGATCGTACCTCCTCCATTTAGCCCTTAACCCACTTTGGCGCCCTGGCAATTTCCGATCTGTCGATCTTTTCTAGTCTGAATTTGGACTTGGTTCTGTGCTCCGTGCACTTTCTCTTTTCCGTGCCCCCCTCTTCCCCTTCAAATCCCGACTGCGACATGAGTCCCTGATTAGAAGCTGGCCGAACGAACCTCAATATCTGCTATCACATCTTTCCACCCAGGCCATACGGGTGGCATCGAGGCAACCACAAAGCCTCCACAGCCTCAACGGGTGAAAAACGACAGCCAGGACCAGCACAGCCACTGAAAGCCATAGTTGTCAACGGAAATGGCCTTTGCCGGAACAGAGGACAAGCCAGGCCACCTGCCAGCAGTGGATCTGGATCGGAATGGCTTTGTGAGTGTGAACGCCGGCGCTCGTCCACGGGTACTTGGGCGGGCGCTTGGGCGGGCGTACCTTACAATAGCCCTAAGGTGATCTGTTTTGGCCACCCCCGGAGAAAAGAAGGTTTTCAGTCTCCACTCCAAAAGATCAAAACAAGCCAAGAATAAGCAAGTTCTGGTATCATTCTGGAATAAGGAGTGGCGCCTTCTTCCTGAACATCCGAGAGGTTGTCTTATGAGAGCTCGCTAGTTACCTGATCTACTACCAGTAAGTTCCCACTTAGATCACCGCACATCACCGCACATAACCTCAAATCACCTCACTTCACCTCACTTCACCTCACTTCACCTCACTTCACTCCACATCCGTAGATTATGATGAGCTGTGGGATATGTGATATGTTCAGAGACTTACCTGGTCCTCACTACCCTGCCACCACCGCTCTAGCACCCGCGTAGCCCATTCCCTTAAGCCCTCGGACGCTTGGGATTGCCCGGTGGAGAAAAGGGGTGCGGTGCGGGGCGACCCTCTCACCCGAAGTTTAGCGCCATCCATCTGGCAGCACTTCGATAAGTGCCAATCAACTGGCGGGCAGCAATTGGGTGAGGAAAAGGGGTGAAGGGGAGTGTTCTTGTTCGTAAGTTGCAGGCGAAAACTGAGGCGGGGTGAACTGGTGGCATTATTCATGTAAAGAGATGCTCCCGCCCCGGAGAAGTCAGTTTCTAGGCCGGAACTGGGTTCCAGCCGCCCTCCTTAATTGCCAGTAAGGACGAACGTACCCCACAGTTCATCCCGCAATCTTAGTCCAGCTTAGTTCCGCCTTAATATACTTCGACATCTCAGGACTCTTCTCATAGAAAGACCATGGATACACCAGTTATTCTTCATATATCCATAGTCAAATAGTAACAAAAGAAAGTACCTCAATAACATGATGGGAGTAGGAGGGCCTTGTATACATCATTCCCTTTGGTGGTGCAATCACTCATCAGAAGTCGATTCACTAAAAAGACGAATTTATTCTTGGTGGAATTTGGTCCGAGCCAGGCACCGTCAAATCATGTAGAGTCTCAAAAGAAACTAACTTTCTGGGGTCTCTATGTGCGAGGTAAAGGTAAAATGACAGTAACAAGATGAGCCCATGAGCCAGCGATGGAAACAGGCGAATTTCTTTTTGGCTGCAAAATTTCCTCAAAACTGTACTATTGCCTGCTCCCAGTTTGTTTCCCTCTAATTGTCGAAGAAATCCGATTGATGCCTTCAGTCAGATGATATCAGTGTGATGAACCAATCGCAAATGCTCCCGGTATTTATCTCGTCTGCCAAAGAGTTTGTTGCAAAGATGGCACTTGAAAGAATTCGGATAAAGATGCGTCGCCTTGATATGGCGCCAAAGAGATCCTTCACGCGAGAATTCGCCAGCATAAGAGCACCCTATCCAGCCACATCGGAGGGCACCAGCTTCAGTTGCTCTATCGAAATTGATACGTTAGTTAACGCCCCTATTTTGTTTCATCGGCCAATTCAAACCTAAGTTCAATTTCTCGAGACGAGTTTTGGTGCTCTGTGGGGTGACCAGGTCCTTCCAGCATTGACGTATCCATAGGCAGACTCGGGTCAGGCACAGGAGGTGAGAATGTCGAATGAGAGACACTCGATGGATGATCGTCTTGGTAGACGTGTGGACTAGAGAGAAACGTCTCTTCCGAAGTTTCAGAGCTTTTCGCGGCATCTCTGGGATTTTCTGTGGGCTTCCTCGACCTGGATAGTATTGGCGTCGGGGTGCAGAAGATATATCTCTCAAAAGGAGAACCCTCTGTGGGTGCATGTGCGGTGGATAGATGATGAGCATAGGCCGATATTTGTAGGGGGGTAGTGCCAGAGGCCAACAGAGCTTCACATAACAGGAAGCAAGCAGGACACATAGCTTCAGGCAGCCCCTCACACATATGGTCCATTCTCTGAACCGAAGAGTTTGACATATCAGACAAGGGAAAAGAGAGAAATGAGGTTTTAAATTTCAAAGAGCAAAAAGAGAGAAAAATAGCATTGGAGGCGCTGTGAAAGGCTTGAGATTGAACAGGAATTGGAGGGTGCTGTAGGTCCTAAATACTTGCACGGCGGAAAACAGGGTGCGCACTAGATGGGCCAAAACATGTCATCTGGGGTGAAATACGCAATGATTCTTTGCAATTCCACATCTTTTGATAATTTCTGCATCTCGACTGTGCTCTCCTTTTTAGCCATTCCTGCTGGTAAGCAGCTTGCTTGTATTTTAAAGGGCCAACGCACACATTCCAATTGGATCTTGGCTCTGTCAGATGCATGAAAGTGGAGCAAAGAGAGCAAAGAGGAGATTGAAAAGGGGCTGACCGTGCTGATGATCCCGAGGTGGCTGCCAGACGGGGGCGATCTAGCGTCGGGGAAAGATAAAAGATTCCGGTCATCGACGGGGTCAACAATCAAGCAAAAGTACTGTTCGGGTTACAGCATTATTACTGACGCCCGGTAGATTGTGAAATTGAGTATTCAGCCGGAATCCATGTCCTCCTATTTTTTTTTCCTGGGCCGTCGCCTGCCTTCCATGCCAGTGAACCAGTCAAATTATCCTTCCGTCCGGGTTGTCGCTGAGTCTCTTAGGCCAGCATTATCCAGCGTTCTCACATCAATTTTCTTTTCTCATACATAATTGATAAATGGAACAAAAAACCTATCAACCGATTTTTGGGTTTTCAGAAAATCGAGAATATCAAACAGAAATAGAAACTAAAATAATGACCTCAAAGTAGCACCGAATTCATGCCAGCAAGCATTGGAAGGGAAAAAATGAAAAGAAAAGAATAAAAATAGAAGAGTCAAGACACCGACCGATAATTTCACGCCTCCCGCACGAAACCACTTGTGTGCAGCAGTCGGGAGTGGTCCTGGAACTTATCCTTTCGACCAAATGTCCTTGTGCAAATGGCGCATTTGTATTCATCCGGTGCAAGAAATTTCGATTTGATGTGCCGCCAAAGTGAGAGTTTGCGAGAGAATCTTCCAGTATAGGAACGCCCCGACCAGCTACGCTCATATGCCTCTGTATTTTTTATTCGAGAAACCGCTCTGGAAACGACCATATGGTGCGAACAAGACGACAGAGAAGCGGGTTCGTATTGACGTTCTTCATGGAGGATCCGGTTTGACTGACATAGGTTAGAATTGCCTTGGCTAACACTGTCACTGCTCACATTTTTTCTAGATGAAAGCACAGTGAGAGCAGGAGGATTAGTGTCCCGTTGATTTAAACCTGCTGAATGTGCCACCATTGAGTGACCTTTTCCAGTATATTTAAATGCCGGGTTCCTTTTAGGATATTGATTGGCGGTTGGGGGTTCAATGAGGCATTGAGCGTCTGTATATGATGGAACACAGTAAATGGGCCACTTTGATTGTCTGGGTCCATAGTATAACAAATATGTGCAAATCAAAGGCTATTTATCTATTTTGTGATGAGTTCCAAGAGTGTTTGGGGAGCTTCAGCTTAGGAAATGAGGCTAGTGGCTGCTTTTTCAATCGACATAAAGTTAGTGAAATGAGACTACTTATATAACAGTGCCAGAACGAAAATGTGCTATCAATTTGCTAGACCTTAATTATTATATATTCATTCCAGAGATCTAGCATAGCACCTAATATTTTGACGCCATCAAGTGTAGGGCTTTAAGTTGAAGTAAGCAACCAGAGTAGTGGGGTTTTGGTGGTCAGGCTTATCCCATTTAAGCACTGGATTTGCTGGAATGACCCACTCCCTCTTCGTAGATCACTGATTCAGACAATTTAATCTCCTTGACCCCGCTGTCTAGGTAGGATCTTACACTGGACTAGTCAGCATGTAGACCTTTCCGGATGATCTGTAGCAGTTACTGCCTGAGTTATGGCGGCGGGCGCTCCAACGTGGCAGTGACGATGCAGGCATGGGCTTCCACGATAAGTTGGCCCCCGAAGACCAATCTAGCCCGACAAGACGTAAACATCTCACGACTGAAGGTTCGCCAGGGTGATTTTGTTGGAGTGTCATGACATCAAGCTGAGGCTATTTCGTCACATCTGTTCTGAGAGCCACGCCTCTGCTAGACCCCAATACTTGAATATCCATAGCCCATTGTACAAGCCAAGTCCACTGGCAGTCAACACACGTTTTTGATGGTGAGAAAAAAATGCATAAAACCACTGTGCTCACATCCACACTATTTCTCCCTTCCACGGTTCGAGTTCCCAAGAGAAAAGTCATCAAGAGTAAAGAGCTCTCAAGGAGTGCAGAGGCTTCGAAATATATTAAAAAAAATCAATCGTCAATATGCACATAAGAAAGAGACCGTTCAATAGCCTGTCCCGCGATTGATCCTTGAGATCCCTTCGTCCACGCCACCAAACACCCAGTCATTCAAGGGGGCAAAAAGAAGAAGAAAAAGCAATACCCCAGCGATAAAAGCCATCGGTGAGAAAGAGTGAGAAGTCGGCAAAGAGACAGAATATTAATGAAAAATATAGGCATCCAACCAAGTAACGAATGAGAGAAAGTTGTATAGATATGGAAGACATGATAGAAAGAGAAAGGGGGACATAATATTGAAGAAGAAAATTCCCCTCGTCGCGGCTGGTGAGAGCAGCCGATGTTCAGGTAAGCCCTAACATTTTGTCAATTGTCAATTGACTATTCTTTAGCGCAAAGGCTTTAGTAAGAGCAAAATGACCGAAATCATTGCTGGCGGGGGTATTCGAAACTCGAGTGAAGAACTCGGATGTGTTCTTGCAGCTTGTCCTTTCGTCCGAAGGCCCTCTTGCAGTTTGAAATGGGGCATTTGTAAGTGCCAGGGGCAACATGGGTAGATCGAAGATGCCGCATTAGGGCAGATGCGCATGAAAACCGACCGGTGTAAGTACACCCTTCCCAGCCACATTTGATGTCACTTGCGCCATTTCTGGGATTGGGTGCATTCGTCAGCAACGTAGAGGTGGGCTGTTTGGTTCGAAGTATTCAAAGTATTGAAGAAACGTACTCGGCATTTGCAAAGTGACGAACGTGACGAGATATTTGGCCAACAGCACGAACTTGAGTGTTTCTCGCTGCGGCGAGAGAGCCTTCTGTAGATGGACCAGAAGATGGCAGACTAGACTGTTGTCTCTTGAGTACCTCAACGCTATCACCTTTTGACCAATGTGAGTTCACGGCAGCATTGGCTTCACGGAGACATGCACCTGCGGTTTCCTTGGAGACCATCCGATCAAAAGGGTTCAAATCTGGCATATGGAAATCCTGGGGTATATTGTGGCCATCCATCCATGGTCTGTGGCTCTGGCTCCAAACGGCAGTATCCTGGGAAATCAATTGACCAGGCTGGGCAGCCCGCAAACCATACTGATTGAGTAAGGTTTGCATCCAGTCATTACACTCATCATCCTGGACATTATTGGCAGGTAATAGATCTTGATCCACGTGGTACAATGTAGACGGATCTCTAAAAAACCTGTTGTCGTTCATCACGGATTTATTAGTCGCCCTGGGCTTTCAGGCGACAAGCAACCTAGATTGCTAATATTACAGTTGGCCAATGATAGAATGGTTATTGAATTGGGGGCAGACGAAGGTCCACGATGCGAAATCAAAAGATGGAAAAGATGGAAAAGAGATAGAGAAAAAAACCACGAATGCCTGGAGACGATGGAGGTTTAGGAAGAAGTTGGCGCTTTTTAAGCCAGTTGTCTTCTCTGCGAGGGCCAGAGTGCACAGCAATTTGAGGACGCAGGCGCAGCCCCGACTAACTCTCAACACAGCCAATGGATTCTCATGTATCGTGGATTGGGCGTGTAGAAATCCCAGTAGCCTTTAGCCGAGGAATCATTTCCACTCTCCGCTGGAGGTGTGCATGTTTGGCTGTTGATTCCATCAAATGATCGTTGGAATCTTTCCGTTTTCAAGCATGGGTCAGTACCTAGCCACAATGCCCCCACAGGCTTGCGGTCGGGCATACACGCATGCAACTCGGATCGAGTTGCGAGGGAAGAAGGCGTGAGCGTCAGCAATACCCGGGTGATGGCGGGGCGGCCTATGAGGAGCAGGGACTCTCGTCACACAGTCTTTCTTCAGCTGAATATAAGTATAGGGAACCATTAACAATTAGAACTCTTAGAAACTAGATTTGTTTAATGGCTCCAAAAGTATCTCGCAAATTGCGGGGTCTATTCTATAGCTATAGTGCACTTTTCCCCCATGTACACTGGCTGGGATGCCCGAATTGTCCGCCATTGAGTGGTGACTGTCGACTTTCACCTGGGTGAAAACAAAAACAAAATGATTGATCATTGGCCATGTTATAATCGCAGGCTGCATGTGAGGATCCTGATGTTTGGCATTCATGCCTTCTTCCCCTAAGGCCAACTTCCCTGGAAAAATAAAAAACACACAGACCGAAAGTCAACCTCCCATACAAGAATGCAGTATGGACATATACAAACCCTTTGGCTTATTGTCCCAAGGCCTATTAGGATTCAAACACGTATGTTTCATGACATTATGCAAACTGAAAATGCGCCCCGGCTTCCCCTTCATCCATATGCACTCTACCACGCCCGTGTGGAGGTCCGACCGCCCCCTAAGCCAGCGAAGTTGGAGTGCCCGAAATGAGGCAGTCCCTTTTTCCCTAGGGCGGCGACTGTAAGCCCCCGTATGCCTTGCAGCCTAAACATTTTATTATCACCTCTGTCCTGAGGCATTTCGTTCTTTCTTTTGCCCACCAGATATGGCCACTCCGGAAGTTCAGAGGTTTATCTCTGGCTTTCACGGCTGAGTCGGTCCCGACCTTATATATGCCGAAATACTTGGTACTTAATTATGTCTTAAATATTCCTTCTCCAATTGCTGTTGTAATATTATGCTCGTAATGTGTGCAGGATTTCTATCATAAAATGACGGAAGAAAAAGCCTAGATGTATAGTATTTCCATCTCAGAGTCTTGAAAAAAAAAAAAAGTGAAAGTCCATAATAAATCTCGTACCATTCACGTACGCTTAGTTTATGAATCATAAGAACGCCAGATATTAAGCCAAATATTTGCCACGTGCTGGCTGCCCCAACATGACCACGTACTATTTCATCATCCAAGCATGGCCACGCAAATTAATAAAAACAAACTTATTCTATTGTTTGCCTGGAGGATGAGATTTGATATTCAGTATGCTCAATGAAATGACTCCCTTCGGTACCTCAGGTAGTGATTCGACACTGTGGCGAGGAAGATTATGTAGAATGTGCTACAGTAGCAAGTAAAGATATGTCACTAGAACACTGTCTTAGTAAATTCAATTGCGATAGTTATCTATTTTCATGGTCTTTTCTCTCTTCTCATAGCATCGGGCTCTTGGGAATATAACCCATAAGAGGCATTCACACAAGATACACTCTGCTTCCAAGCAGTCAGCACAGATATAAAAATCAAAACACTGCTTCCACCGATAATACGAGCTTACAACAACGAATAACCTGCAAAATATATCACAAGCGCTTGGTGATAGTTCAGAAGGAAGAGGAGACAAAATTCTTTTCAATCTCATCGCTTGAGAGTTGCATTAATAGCCATCCAACCATATGACATTGAGATGGCCATGCTCTGGTGGCGCATGTAGAGGTATGCATCTGCCATTTCTGGAAGCTTCACGATCTCCTCCATTTTTGAATGCTCCTTCATGGAAGATGTCCACCAGCTACAGTCTGAGGAAAATCCACCCTGAACCTGTTTCGATGCAAATTCGATGCATGGGTTTAAAAATCTAGCTTTGAATCTCCCCAGAAAAAAATAGTGTAGAGGTAGGCTGCCGCCTAATGAATGAAGAAATCTCATTGTTGGCGGCTTGTCCAGATGCTGCTCCAGAATCAAGTTTGGTATATGTAGTATAAAGATACAGTATATGCGAAGTAATATGTGCAGAATGCAGAATCAATCAGATCAAGACCCGCCGTAAGCCCTCGGTTCCACCGAGTACTCGCCGTCCTGTAACAGGACACCTTCCTTTGCCACTTTCCCACTTCCCCCACGCTTGCGGGATGCTTTCTCGGCGGAATCATCAGCATCCAAGGACTTCTTAATAGTTTCGTCCTCGCCAGTGATCTCCTCTTCCCAAGGCGCTCCCGCACCCTCCCCGTTCATGAAATCTAATTGGCGTTGGTGTTCACCATTAAGCCAATGGAAAATACACACATAGCAGAATACATAGCCTGTTTGGCAAGCAGTGGGGTTCACGAGTTGGTTCAGACAGACAGGGCAGGTATTGGCGCTGGAAGTTTCGGCCGGTGGCAGAGGGACAGTGAAAATCGGGAGATAGGAACTTGCAGAAATAGGAGGCTGATGGCGACGGGGCGATTTGAGGGCAGACTTCAAATCTCCGGATGACTTCTTCTCTTGCTCCGCTTGCTTCTTCTTCTCCTCCTTCTCCTCCTGGCCGGATTTCCGTCGCTCGGCTGGATCGGTCAGGCCCGATACGACAGGGGCGGGCAGGTCCAGAACTTCGGTAGCTTTCCGAGCCAATTGACGGGAGAAATCACTTGCATGCCACCACTCCAGGAACTTCAGGGCGAAGATCGAGGCGGGAAGGAAGTAGCGGAGAGATGTGAGGAGCTGTGGGGAGAGGTTCTGGGGGCTCAAGAGGCCCATCAGGCCAGAGCCCGGTCGCTGGGAGCGTCCACCACTGGGTGCTGGCTTTGGGTCCAAAACCTCAGCAATAGCACGGTGATCTGCGGCTCCAAGACGGCGAATTCGTGAGCCAATGAGCCAAAGGAAAGGCGATGAGTATTTGGTATTATCGAATAGGTAGGCGAGATTAAAGACGAGAATAGAGAAGTAGTATGCCGCGTTTACAGATGGGTATACATTGCGCAAAAACCACTTATAGTAGTGAAAGATTCGCTGCCGGATAGTCGGGTTGTGAGGCAGGTCGTCGCTTGGGTGATATCGTGGCCCGCCGCCCATAACCAGGGCCGCCTGCGGCGCGGCGTGGATGTCGTATCCTTCGTCAAGTTTGCGCTTTAAATATGGGATTCCGACCATCACCAACAGGTTTTTCCACACGTCTGTCGAGTGCAGTTTGAGGGCGTCGCGCACGGGGCCGCCGGCGCCGACCTGGGCGCGTGGAATCTCCCCATTCTTAGTGCGAAGAACTCGCTCCCGCTTCAGCGAGTAGAAGTTCTCTGTGAATGATCCGCCAAAGGTACGTAGGTAATATCGCTCGACGACAAGCGAGAGGAGGGCGTAGACCTCATCGTAGGAATTAAGAATCCGGAGGAGGTAGCGAGGGTGGCGGTGTGTTGCGACCGCAAGGAGGTAGCGGAGCGATGGGGGTAGGAGATCGGAGAGCTGTTGTTCCGCGAGAAGTTCTTATTTCCAGCAATGCGATGGTCAGCGACTGAGAGTCATTTACTGGAGGGGGTTCCCCGGATTCTGGGAGATGGGCTCCATTTCCCCCTCCCCCCGCAAGAGCATCCGCAGAGGGGCGACCACAAGGAGATGGACTCACCGAAGAGCGACGGCTTGTGCTCGTCGAACTCCTGTTGAAGACTAGGTAGGTACTCCATTGTGAGGAGCACCGGTCATCCTCAAGGCGTCGATGGACGGTAGGAAGGGAGGAGGTGGAAGTGCCCGTTCGCCGGGTTCGGATGATGCCGAGGCTCAACCACCTCGGCTTATGTACTCACGGCCGAGGACTCGACCTAACTACACATGCTGGACCACCAGCCCTGCCAAAATGTCAATCTGGGCTCATTTTGGGCCTGGAAATATGCAAAACGCATCACCATTACAAAACTTGCTCGAAAGTAAACAGTAACTAAATCTTCCAGGCGGAGTCGAACCCTCGACCTTGGACCTCGCTGTCGTCATACGAAGATTATATTTTGAATAGCCTCAAATCATGGCTCAGAGCAACCCGATTATCAAAGAGGGACAAAAGACCCCAAAGATCATGAAGAGTCATGTGAAAAAAGAATTCCCCAGATTGAGGAGTGGTGCACCTCAATGTACGTCAAGCAGACTTCTCAACAGAGGGCGTCCCCCCGAAGATAGGCCCCAAGATGCCAGAGGCCTCGTCGCGCGATCGCCCCCGAGCCCAGCAATTTCTGCACATGACTGGATGGTGGATGTACGCGTTCCGACCAGGCCACAGGGGGAATTTGGTTGACAGTAAGACTTGTGCGTGGGTGTTATACGAGTGGGAGCACACGAGGAAGGTGCGTAGTGGGCTGCTGCCCTCCACTCCTGGAGTGAGAGGTATGATGATATGATGTATGATAGACGACGATACACGGGGTATGCAGTACGGAGCATCAAGTATAGAGTCCCAATTATCATCCAATATCATACTGGTATAGCCAGAAGCACGGCTGGAAAACATGGATAGGCTGGTAGAATAATGGGATGATCGAAGGATCAAATTTCGAGGAATACAAACCTCTTGAATCTTAGTGATACAATATATGCAGATTATAATACATCATGTTCTTTTGCTGGGTTTGTTTCTGCCTCCCAAACACCATCAAACGCTCGGCCGGGCCAGGGCAGCTTGGCATCGACGCCAAAGTTCCAGGAAAAAACTCCAATTCTCCTCCTGTGTGCGGTCCTGGATATTCGGATCCGCCACCAGAAGACAATGCATGATCGATGTGACCAAAGGCCCTTTCAGTTCAATCACAGGCGATTCGCGGTCCATCATAGGCACCCACATCGAAAGGCAGTCGCGGGCACGGCCTTCTTCTCCAAGATCCGCATGTAGTTGGAACAGCTGGCGGTAGTCTTCAGGAGTCCGCTGAGCACCTTTGAGGGGTAATTGTCGCCACAGCCGCCAGAAGCCATCATAATCTTCACACTGGAACTGAGTCACCATCAACCGGCGAGCTTCTTCGACATCGAATTCGACCTCCGCGGCGGATACGATCTTGGAGAGTCGTGTCAACATCTGTCGCTGAGCAGGGGTCCACGCCTTTCCACTTGTAGCTAAAGTGGGGATGTCAGAGTCCAAGGCGCCCGGTTGTGAGGGGGAGGTCGTTGGCGGTTCTCTTGGTGTATCAACAACGCCGTACAGCATATTGAACACTTTGAAGTTCAGGATAGGGACGCCACGAAGACTGAGACGATCGAGAACCTGCAATGCAAGCTCGATGTCACCTTCCGGAAGATAGTTCACGGCCTGATTTTGCTGGTCTTTTGTTGTCCGCGGCGTCAAAAGAGCTCCAACAGTCTCGAACGCGAGACTATCTTCCAGATCGACGCCAGCACGAAGGAGATCCGTGAATTCACGCAGCAGATCATCCTTGGTATATGATGGATGCTGCCGGGAGACTGCAATGGAGTAAAGTTCCAAGCGCAGGGTGGCCATGTCTCCCGCGGAAATATCGTCAGGCAATCCGTTGTATAGAAGTTGCAAGAAAAGGGTGGAGTTATGGTCATCAGGGCCAGTGCCAAGTTCGTTCCGGGCACTTTCATGGGAAAGTGATTTCAACATGGTAAGTAGGGAGTCTGTGCTTATTCCGACGCCAGGGCCCGGGTTACCGGCGGATGTATCAGCCAATGCAGCAGCTAGGCTGGATGAGTTCGCGGAATGGGCTGAGGCATGCATGCCTCTCCTCTGCCCACCGGGTTTAGCGCCGCCGCCGAAAAAAGATTGCTAGTAGACGGCGACTCGGCTGTAGGTACTGGCTCAGTACCATATTGAAGTCTCTGCTGCTCGGCCCGTTCCAAAGTCGCGTTCCAAAGGCCATCCAGGTCTAGGTCCGCTCTTTTCTCCTCAGTAAAAATCTGAACTACCACAGTGGTACCCGTGTTAAGTTGACCGAATCCTTCAAATCCAGCTTCGTTCAGATCCATCTTCGGCGCCTCTTTGTCCACCACGCCCGCATTCACACAAATCCAGCCCGTAGTAATCCCATCGTCCTTCTCGTCAACCATTCTCCCAGCATGAGCAGCTGCGCGCGCTCGCTTGGCTTTTCGTCGAAGCTTGATCTTGAGCTCATTGCGGCCGAGTAATCCGTCAGCATAAGGGGCGAGTTTAAATTGGCTCCGAAGCCACCGACACAGGCGATCCGCGGCAACATTGAGGTGCTTCCCACTGCGAGCTGTTCCAACGATCATGATGACATTGGCGCCCAATGCAGCCGGTATTTCGAGCCCGCGCAAATCAAAGAGCTTCATATCATCCAGACCAAGGTCTTTATATGTGTATTCAAGAAGGATCGGCAACATTTGAGGCGCATTCTCGGGGATCTTTGGGATATGATCACCTGTCACAGGCCGTTTCTCGTCCGTTGGCGTCTCCTCTTGCAAATACCAGGGAATATGGGATGGATTTGCCGAGACATTTGACTCCGACACTGCAGAAGACTCTTCCGCCGGCGACAAGTTTAGGTCTGGTTGCTGCGATACAGGGGGGCGATCAGACCGCAGCGGACCGGCCGCGGAGAAAGCCCTGTGGTTGAGACGAGAACGAAGGGGAAAGGCTTGTCGGGGTATAGGCATGCCTGAGATGGCAAGGAAAGAACGGAATACCTCATTCCGACAGGATTGGCACACGGCCCCTCTTAAAAGAGCTCTGCTCATGGCGACGCGATGGCTGTACCGGCGTACGAATTGACGAAGATGATCGCAGGCTGGCCGATGTAAAAGTGGGTCCTGGAACTTAGTAATCGAAAGTTCTCCAATCCAAACAGTGCAAACTATGACTCAGCAACAAAAAGATTTCCAAATGAGGCGGGGCAAAACTTATCTTTTTTCGAGGATCAGTCTTCGTCTCCCAGACTCGTTCGGTCTTTCGTGGTTTACGGTATAGATCCGGCCAATATGTCGATGGATCTGGATGCCCCGGTCCCTATGGCTCCCATGATGGGGATGCAGCAGGAGCAGACTATAAATGCGACGTGAGTTCTTATCGCGGGGTCATCTGGTGCATTGATAAAAGTGAAGTGCATACTAAGTCTCTTTACAGTATTCTCTGCTGCAACTGTGGTGTCGCCATTGATGGAACTACTTCTGCTGGAGCCCTGTGTCCCGATTGCGTGAGACTTACCGTCGACGTCTCCGAAGGTATTCAACGCGAAGCGACCCTCCACACATGCAAAGATTGCGAGCGATGGCTGCAACCCCCGAATAGCTGGGTTGTCGCATCTCCCGAGTCGAAAGAGCTTCTCGCTATTTGTCTCCGCCGTCTCCGTGGCCTCAACCGTGTCCGTATTGTGGATGCCAGTTTCATCTGGACCGAACCGCACTCTCGTCGCATCAAGGTCAAGATCACAATCCAGCAGGAGAGTATGCAAGGCACCATTATTCAACAAACATTCGAGGTGGAATACTTTGTGGCCACTCAGCAATGTACTGATTGTCAGAAATCATGTAAGTTCAAATTCTGAGAAGCCGGGCTTAGTCGAAGACTGACCACTGATTATCTACTCTTTAGATACCCATAATACCTGGAGAGCGATGGTTTCCGTTCGTCAGCGTGTCAATCACAAGCGGACTTTCTTGTTTCTCGAGCAGGTATGTAGCAATCTCTTCATCTTGGAATTTTTTATTCCTCTGTCGATGGCGATGCTAATATATATGTTCGAATAGCAAATGTTGAGGAACAAGGTTCATAGTGATGTGGTCAACCTCAAGGAGGTCAACATCGGATCAGGAGGTCAGTCACCAATTCTGCGCACCCCCTTCTTTGGATTCATATATCAGACGATACCAGAAAACTAAAAATTGATCAGGTGGTGGTCTGGACTTCTTCTTCGCCGCAAAGAATTCGGCAGAGCGTGTTCAGGAGTTCGTCTCTGCCGTTGTACCGTGCAAGATGAAGCGATCTCAGGAACTCATCTCGGAGGACACTCATTCCGGAAAGAAGTCGTACAAATGGACTGTAAGTTGAAACGCCCTGCCTTTTTCTTGAGGGCTGAAAGCTAAGATGATATAGATTTCATTGGAAATTGTTCCTATCTGCCGTGACGACCTGGTCTGCATGCCAATGAAGCTGGCCCGCCAGCTGGGCAACGTCTCACCCTTGACTCTCTGCCATCGTATCGGTACTGCCATCACCTTGATGGACCCACAGACTCTGCAAATTGCAAGTGTCCCCAACGATACCTACTGGCGCTCGCCCTTCAAGTCTCTTGCCGATGTCACTTCCTTGAAGGAGTATGTTATCATGGACATTGAGCCGGTTGGCAAGTCTAACGGCCGCTTTTTCCTTGCCGAAGCCACCGTTGCGCGCGCGTCTGATCTCGGAACCAATGACACTACTTTCTTCGTCCGCACTCACCTTGGTGGTATTCTGCATGTTGGCGATTCCGCGCTCGGCTATGACTTGACTCATACCAATTTCAACGATGACAATTTCGCAGAAATGGAGAGCAACCACCAGCACGGCTCGACGATCCCTGATGTTATCCTAGTCAAGAAGTATTATGCTCGCAAGAAGAAGCCCAAGAACCGCGCATGGCGTCTCAAGCGCATGGCTCGCGAGTACGAGGAGGAGGCTCTCGCCGGTGCCGGTGGGGCTCGTCGCAAGGGCGAAGAGCAGGACCGGCTCGAAGCCGACTTCGAAATGTTCCTGCGTGATGTGGAGGAGGACCAAGAGCTACGTGAGACCCTGGACTTGTACAAGGTCCGCAAGAACCCTACTGCCGATCATGAGATGGATGAAGACAGCGGTAGTGATGATGAAGTGCCGAAGATCAACATGGACGAGCTGCTTGATGACTTTGACGACTTGAACATGGATGATGAATGAGCTTTCTACACCTTGAAGTGATATCCTTGACGATCATGGCTGGCGTTTGATCCTTTTTTTTCTCTTTCTTGTGCACTGTCTCATTGGGTTTCTTTGGACATAAAAAAAGTTTTTAAGGAAATAGATCTAAGTGTTCATAGCATGCAAATGTGATAAAAAAGATACTTCATTGTCACAAAAATGGATGGAAAACTATTAGCACATGTGAGAATTTCGCCAAAGATGTCAAAAAATGTAAATGTAAGAAAAAAGGAAGATACTAGAAGATCTTCCCAAGCACCCTCTTTGCATCCTCTCCGACAATGCCCCCTTCCTTCTTCGCAGCGACAACTTCGTTCTGCACGAAGCGCCTCCGCAACGGGGCAGGCAGCTTCGGCTCCAACGTATCTTCCGCGCCCGCCTCAGCCTTACGCTTCCGCTTCTCTTCGTTCTTCTTAGCAATTCCATCTGCAACACGGCCAGCCTCGACACCGGCCAAGAAGACCTTCTCCTCCTTTCGACTTCGCTCATCTTCGATGCGCATGCGATGGGTCCTCTCTGCAGTCTCCCTCCGGATTTGTTCCGTCAAATCGTCCCAGCTATAACCTTTTAGGTACTTCATATTCCATAAATCGTCGCGATAATAGCCGCGCTTGGGTCCGTTGATCGTGGTCGCATTCAGAGTTTCGGCCGCAATCTTGGCAGTGCGTTTGGAGGCAAATTGAACCCAGCCATCGGTGAATAGTTGTCGTTTATTATTGCGTTTCCGTGGGGCTGAGCTCCCAGGGACATGAGGTGATAGGAAGACCTTCGTAATTGGACCGAAACTTCGCTTTTCCAACAGGCTGACCAGCGCTTTCGGTTTGAGGTAAGGAGGCAGTGAGGAGAAATAAACAACTCCTGGCTTCAGCTTTTTCCCGGATTTCTTGGTCGTCTTCTTTTCTTTGGTGCTGGGTTTGGCGGTTTTTGTCACGTCCAAGTATGCGCCACCATCTGCATCTAGACCTTCGTCTTCATCCTCGTCCTCATCATTGTCGTCCGACTTCGGTACTTTGCGACCCTTGCCCTTGATACCGGCTTTAGTGACCTGGTCCTGCACTTCCTCGTCTTCGGAGTCGTCGTCATTGGAAAGACCGAAGAAGTCCTGTGCTGTGTCTGCGGTCCTCCGCCGCTTCACTGCGCGTCCTTTACTCTTCGACACATTTTCCTCGGAATCGTAGCCACGGTCGTTGGCCTCATCATCGCTGGAATGAAGATCTAGAATTTCTGTATGTTTGCGAGTCGTCATTTTGTAGGAAGAGGGGGGTTCATCGAGAGAAAAATTGAAGAGTCGGCGAGCGTCAAGTGTTGGAGTTGCTTTTTTTTGAAGTGGATCCACATGGTCCGTGCGCTACATCCGATCCCCCGTGTCTCCAAATCGTTAAAGAACAGATGTAGTTCTATTATATTCTTATTTTCATAAATGCCCATTTTGATTTTGTCACTCAAATCATTATTAAGTTCTTCTCAATACGCCTCGGTATCTCTAAGATGTTGTAAATACTTGTCCAGAGAGCAAATAAATCTAAACTTTCATTTTACTACTAACAGCATTTCTAGCAAACATCAGATACTCAAGAGATCATTCTTTTCTTTCATACTGATCCCTCCATATATGAATAACAACATATTCTCTTATCCCTATTCAGCAGTATCTGAGAGTATCGTGGATATAAGGCAGAGTTGAGCCTCCAACGCCATTCCTTAAATTCCTTTGCGTAAATTCATAGACTTACAGTTGAAGAGTCATGTATCAACCTAATATTATGAATTCGCGACTAAAAAACGGCCCAAAATATACGCAACTTTGCGGTTACGCTTGCTTTTAAGTGGCGAGACTGAACTTAATACTAATTCAGGTCCCTGTTTGATGTTTAGTAGACTCCGCAGTAACACTACTCCAAAATCTTGGGTTGGGCTTTCTCTGAATGACCTTCTTCTGAAACCATAATTCTATAAGGTTTGGGGCTCTTCTAATAAATTATTGGCCCGGATTCTGATGATATAGTATTTAAATTCTACGCTAATTGCTGACAGTTTCCATGATCCAGAATTGTCTAACGGAGATGGCGGAGGATGGAGAAAGAGGCCGGCCACTCTTTGTCTGCCGTAAGCGGCCGTTATATGCTGCCAATTATCAGGCCGATATGGTTAAGCCTAGTAAGGGTTTGCAGTATTTATATTTGGCCCCACAACTACTCAACTACTCGGTCATACATGTGACTGTTTGCGGAAGGCCTGCATCATCCTGATCATCCCCAACCGCTTGGGATTGATAGCGTTTCAACGGCGCCGGCAACAAGCCGGCCGGAAAAGATATACTATGAGCGAGGATACCTTCAAGATTTCCAAGGTTTCAGGAGTCTCTTAAGAGCTCAATACTAGGAACGAGATGAACAAGGAGGAAAGAAGGAAAAGATGTGCGGTCTTCCGGGTTAGTTTTATCTTCACACGAGCCAACCCAAGCTCTTCTAATGCTAAACAGACAGGAATAAATGTCCACTTCAAATACCCAAGCAACGCCGACGGTGGGAATCACAAAAGAGATGCCAATGTGAGCATCCAAAACGAGAATAATGCGTTCTATCGCCGAAACACGCATACACGAGATGCAGGAAAGGGGATATATGTAAGAAGGAAAGAAAAGGCACCAATACAATGACAGATGAAAGAGACCCAGGGAGGTTGAGGAGAGATCCCTAGATACCCAACGACCACTTCAACCGCTCATAGACGAAGAATGCGGTCGCGGCCATCGGAACGACCTTGATGTACCCGATCGTCAAACCAACCCAAAACCCGCGGAAGCCCCTCTCAAGCCAGATCTTGTGACCGGTCTCTATGATGCCAAGCCGGCGGCCATCGCCAACGGCCCCGCCGACCTGCATCCGCCGGCGGATCACCTCTAGCGGGTATGATGATGTTTGTGACACGAGGCCCGCGACAGCGCCAGAGAATAGTTCGGCGGCGGCAGTCAGCTGCGGCTGTCGGGAGCCCTTCTTGGGCTTCGATTCGGAGGCCGGAATGGTGGTATAATGTGCTACAGCGGGCATGCGGAGCCAGTCGCCAACGGTGTCATGTGTGAGGAAAGAAATGCCAGCGTAAGGAAGCATGCCGAGAATTGTAGGGCCAAATCCACGGTAGAAGTTGGCGATGCCAGAGTGTGGAATCGCTTTGTTGGCTGTAGCGGAGATGGTTGTAGCTGCAGCAACGGTGGTAGAGGCCGGCTGGGTGCCTGCGGCGATCGCCGAGCCTGTCGATGGAGGCACAACGCGCTCATGGTAGATCTGGCGGCAAATATCGGTCAAGGACGACCGTGATGATCGTTTTGTCTCGAATGCGAGGCGAACGCGTACGAGCTCGAGGGGGTAGGTGAAAAAAACTGAGGTGGTGCCGGCTAAGCTGCCAGATATTAAGCGGCGGATGGAGGTCTCTTTATCGGGGGTCGGGATCACGACAGCGCGGATCTGCTCGTAGGCGAGGAATTTGATGGAGGCGTAGGGGAAGATACGGAGGAGTGTGGCCGAATGGCCCTTAAACAGGCCCTTGGCGCCCTCGAAACGCTTGATGTCGCGGATGGCAAGCGCCAGGCCGGCCCAGCTGCCACTGTATTTGGCAAATTGCGGATTTTGTGCTTGAAAAAGAATCTTGACACGGTCAAGAGGACCTACAACGGTTTTGGCCTGTTCCAAGTCTCAACATCAGTCGCTCTGGTCTCGATCTCACTTGCCGCCTTCGTCTTCGAATTTTTTTTCATTTTGGGCGCAGCACACTTACCGCACAGCCGGCCAACCCTCCAGCCAGGCCACTTCGTAATACATAATCCCAATTCCTTTTTTGGGCAGTGGCTCTGGTATCGGTTGTCTTCTGCTCCTCCGCGGTGCCACCGGTGATGGGGCCCGGCGGCGATCTGCTATGGGCGATCCCACTCATCTGAGAGTCGAACGAAGACTCCGCGCTTTGAGAATAACGAGGGCGTGACTGTGCGCGAAGGTCAAGTTGCGCATGATCTGGAAACCCAGTTGACATGGGAGAGAAGGGGGGCGAGGAAGAACGGTCTTGTGTGGCCGAGGCGCACCCGGGGAGAAAAAGAGGGTCTGGGGATTTAACGGTTCCCCTCGTGATCACTCGGCGATAATCTGGCAGAACAGTTTCGGGCTACCGGAGACTCGTCGGGATGGTGGACGGGCCCTGCAGTGCTTGGTCGGAACAGGGATCTATCTTGTCTGGAATGTTCGCGCAAGCTTGCAGCACTGAATGAGGAGTGTCTGAAAGGCAAAGAGTGTAGAGGAAGTGTTGTTTCTTATTCCTCGCTGACGTCGGTTTGCCATGGGTTCGGCGTACAGGCTGACATGCCGATACCAGCCGCCCCCCGCGTGTAGCCGGCGGATTACGGTACCATTACCGTTCCGAGTGGCCAAACGAGTCCCGAGCCGGCGAATTGTCAGCGTTCGTTTGGCGTAGCCGAGTCCGTGGTAGTCCGCCCCTCGGGTGAGAGATCGATATTTCGACCGTTGAGACCGTTAGGACCGAGATCAGAGAGGGGCTCGAGTATGGCTCACTCTATCAGTCTTCTACGCTATTCGGATCCCGGGTAAGCGGACATGGTTGTCTCGGTGGATCAGTATATAGTTGTGGCTTATACAACGCCCCTTTGCAGAGCAGGACTCAACACTACAGGTAGTATAGTACACAATCATCCACTCTATGTGCTTCCTTTTTCTATCTGATTTCTTCGCCACACAAATAGTTGAAAATGCCACCGCCGACTCCTCCAAAGATGCTGAGAATTGTATACAGGATCACCTCCCTCCGGTCCCCGACAAAATAGTACACAAAACAAAATCGTGGTCGCGTGAGCTGGTGGAACAGGAAAACATAAAATAAAGACTGGCGATATCGGGCTGGAGATCACCCTCGGCGCGATCCCCGCCGGGTCAAAGGCTTACCCCGCGTGGCCCGGGTCCCCCGCGTATCGTCGGCGTTCCGCTTGGTGCGTTTAGCCGGCCGCTCGGGGTCGACATGGAGCTGGCCGTTCTCGCTGAGTGCGGTCATGTTTTTCCATCGTAGACAGCGGAGGCGGTGTTCGTTGACGTCCACATATGTCTTGTTGCGAGTGGTCACACGCTTAGTGGGCAGCTCCTCTGACTCGGCCCGTTCGGCGGTCTCGGTCAGGTAGTCGTGGCGGTTCTTCATGTACTTCACAATGGTTTTGTGTTGCAACTGGAGCTCTTTCAAGAGCTTGGACTCGCGATTACCCCGCGAGTCGAGCCAGTCGATCAGCTGCTCGATCGCCTCGGGATCTTCGTAGTAGCCCCATTCGCGAGCATCCGCCACATGCGTCGGGCCTTCTTCATTCTTCTTGCGCTCGGCCGGCGTCGTCTGGAAATGCTTCTGATACTGCTTGCGCTGCTCATCGGTCAGATCGATGAATCCCGCTCGCTCCATCTCGTCGGGGCCCTGGACCCAGAGGCGGCCGTTCGCGTACTGCGCCTCCGCAGTCGAGCTGTCGGGCATGCCGGCGTGGGGCATCGCATTGCGCTCAAACCACCAGTACCGATTGCAAAAACGATCCAGTCCGAGGCATCGGGTTCGCGGGCAGTCGGCCTCTCGCAAGTCATTATCCACAATTTCGATCTTCTCCTCAATTTTCTCAATCTTCGCCTTCTGATCTTCGATTTTCTTGAGGACCCGTTGATATTGCTTGGATCCCTTGGGCTGTTTGGCTAGCTGCTCTTTTCGCTCCCGCTCCTCTTCTTGCTTGCGCTTCCGCTCGGCAACACGGTCCGCGCCGCCACGGAGCGCGCGAGGGCGAGGAGTATCCTCATCTTCGGTATCCATAATCATCTCAGAATCACCTTCTAGGCCAGTCATCTTTGAGTCATCGAGACCATCAAGTTCGGGCACAGGAGTCGGCGATTTCTCGGTTTTTTCGGGTTCGGGTTGAAGCGCCTTGCGTTCCTGGTTCAATTGGCGTAGTTCACTCAGTCTGGTGTCAAAAATTAGATGTTAGCGAATAAAAGTGTCTTAGCGATCGCAGAACCAATGAAGATCTTCAACTTACGCTGCTTTACGCGCTTTCTGGTGCTCAATCTTCACCTTGCGGAACTCCGTCATCTGAACACTGCATTCTTCCATATAATTCCGAATGGCTTTCGTCTCCAAACTCAGCATACAGATCATTTGAAGAGCCTTGACACGCATGTTGATATCGAGGGTACGGTACTGCTCCCGCGCGGTCTTCTGTGTAGCAGGCTCATCCAAGGGTGCGAGGTACTTGAGGATGTCATTGCAAGTCTGTTGAAGACGAGGGCGAACGGACAACTGATGGAGGAGACCAATCATGACCAATTCCCATCCACCGTTGCGGAAGTCACGTCGGCGTAGACGGTCGATCCACCCGTAGGTTTCGAACATCTCTGCCGCACGATGGATCCGTTCATCTTCAGGAGTTTCCTCTATTTGTGCTTTCAGGCTCTCAGCCTCTTTTTTGGCCAGGCTTCCGCGGGTGGTCATTCTGGTCGCGAGACTCGGCTCCTCCTCCTCCCCATCTTCCTCGTCCTCATCCTCGTCTTCCTCGCCATCCTCCTCGGAGTCAGACTCGGAATCTTCGGACGGAAAATCGGGAAGAGAGATCTGAACAGCGCCACCATTGTCATCAGAGTTCACCAGTTTTTTCAAAATGGCACAATGCATCTCCACAAACAACTCGCAGTCCATCTCCTCCGATGAAAACCGCATAGCTTGGATGAAGTCGTCGAACGTGAACGAATCCAGCTGGAACACCTCACAATACACGTTGAGTGTGTCCCAGGTTTCGAGAAGCAATCCAACTGATTCGGTTTCCAGATCATCCGGCAAGAGGTCCTCGGCTCCTTCGTCATCTGTTTCCCCCATAATCAGGAATTTCAAGGTAGGGCGATGATCCTTGTCCCGATTGGGAGCAAGTTCCAAATCCTCCATGGGATATTTGACCGGTGGTGGTGACGGTGCTTGGGACTCGGACTTGATAACAACTGAGGGCTGTGCGTTCTTCTTGTCGCCGGCCAGCGGCGGCTTGCTCGGTCGAGGCGGATTTCCGGGTGAGAGAAAAGAGGGATTACCGTTCAGCGATCGCTGATACTCTTGAAACTGCGCATCTCGTGATTTTGCCAGCTCCTGCGCGGAAACTTTTGCTTTCTGGCCCTTGACGGCAGGCTTCAGTTCAGGCAGCTGTTGAGAGGAGAAGAAGCCAAAGAAGCCGTCTTGATCTGCCTTCTTCATTGCCTTCTTTTCCGCCACTTTTGCACCATACTGCAGATGCTTGGGGACCTCTGTGGAAATCTTGTACTCCTCCGCGACCGACGGCTTCACCAGCCAAGGCGCGCCGGTCCAGGACTCTCGCGTAACATTGTTTTTGATAAAACCGCGCAACATCAACTTGGTAAAAGATTTTCGATCCCGAGTGATATGATCTTGATCTAGCAAGGCTTCTTCGTTAGGTCGGTCGGAGATCTTGACGAGATATCTCGCATATGCGGGAGTTTTGATGGTTCCATCGGCATATAGTTGTTCAGCGAAATTGGCCTTGTCCCGGATTGTTCCATGTAGCCTAGTGCTATCTTCCAAGAGAATAAGCACCGGTTCCCCTGGGTAGAAGTCCGACTTGAATTCCTAGTCATGGTTACAAATCCATTCAAAAACGTGTTAAAGCATTCATCTAGGCGTTTTGCTCACTTCATAAACTTCATCCACTATAGTATTGAATGCAATTGTCAGTCATAGGTCCCTCGTTCTGTACACTTGCAGCAAAGTGACATACCCAAGCTATCCACTCTTGACACAGTCGAAAATTGAATTCGGCGTAGGATCGGTTCCTTCAAAGCCTCGGGAAAGCTATTATTGACTTCTCGCGATTCCTCCAACTAGTACCATCATCAGCACCCGGCAATCCATAGCCAATTTGAATGTTGTGGAGGCTCCCATACTTCGCTGCGAAGGGCTTCAAAAAAGTTCATTCCCGAATGGCCGGTGATCTCGCAAATAAATCGGCGTTGTTTATAAAAGTCCATCCGCTGAAGATACGGCTCATAGCTCGTGAAGACCTCATTGGTCTCCGGAATAACCCAGACCTATATTTTTAAGAACGTCAACCAAATTGTTTGCGCCACGACTTATCGGGTGAGTAGCGTACCTCGGAGCTATCATCTTCGATGACGGGTCGCGGAAGGTATTGGACCGGTTTGCGCTTGAAAAGGACCTGGGCGACGGTGAGTTTTCGCGCTTTTTTTGTGCCCATTTCCATCGCGGCGACGTGTATGCCGCGTTGGTGACCTCCACAGACAGCACTATTGGAGGAAGACAAGGTCGCGTACCATTATCCTTTATATAATTTGCGGACACGCGCTAGTCTACCAGAGACTACCGCGAACGGACTCAAACATGAACCTGGTCGAAACACGCGACGCCGTTAGCTTTTGGGCGTGATAGGCGACATTTTATACTTGGCATGACCGCGATAACATCAATAGTAGACAAGAAGACAAGGGAAGCAAGAGTCCCGATAAGCTGAACAAGGCGGGTGATCAAGAACATGGGACGGCACTTCGCGGAGGTTGCGAAGCGACATGAACCGGGCCTCACGTGGAGTCGACAAGAAGTAAATCATGGACTCACCGGGAGAAACGCGCGAGAGAAAGATTTGAGTCCAGCACAATTGCTCGGGCTGCAAGGAGGGTGGGGGAAGTTGGACGGGTGGACAGGAGACGCGCAAGAGGAAGAGAATTGAAGGGGAGAAGAAGGCCCCAGAACGAGAAAGCAGTCGACGGTCGATCAACCGCGCCGTTCGGCGGCGGATGCTGATTGGCGGAGAGGAGGAGCAGCGGAAGCCAAAGGCAGAAAACCGCCGCTTTCCTCGGCGAGCCTTTGGGCGACCCTCCTTTTTCGGCCGCGCTGCTTCGTGCCCGGGCCCGTCGGATGCGCCCCCTATGCCCTCTATAGTGGGCCCGTATTTATACTTGTTCGACTCGTTGAGCCTCGGAGAATTGAGTGAGCAGAGCAAAATCTCTTTTCAATGAGACAGAGAAGAAATATACCCTCATTATTGGCCCGTTCATCCGGCTCCTGCTTCACCCACCTGGCCGCAATCAAAACAATCCAGACCAAATGCCTCACAAGTAGAATATTTCTCCCGCCACCATCTATTTTAGTTTCTGTTTCATGTAATTCGCTTCATTTTTGTGCTTGCACTCCTCTTACAGACTTTCGGCATTCCTTTTCATCAGTCTACATTCTATATAGAAAAATGAAATCTATCCTTCTACAAAGATCGTTATAGCTTGCCCGTTGAAGCTTCATCAAGTTCCATCAGAATGCGTAAATAGCTAATGGTTCCAAGCATCTTCAAACTAGTACCTTAGGTACCCAGACGAATAACTGTTAATACTCTTACTCAACCCTTGTTTTTATGAAAATTTCTCAGGGTGCTGATCAACCTGCGAGTGTACCTTGGCATCATCGCCCATACCGCTGTTCAAATGAATCGCAGTCCCCAAATTACCTCTGTCGAGAGGTCAATCGTTTATTTTACGTAGTCTTCAAGCCTAATGATCCCTTCGTGTATCTTGTGACTTCCAAAAGTTCGTAGACTTGGCTTCATAAGGGTCAGGATCCAAGATTTCTTGGAGTTTCCTCCATCCTCCATAGAAAGCCCAAGTAGAAGTATATGCTAAGACAGAGATACTATATTATTGACTTCTCTCAATATTCGCCAAAACCACACTTCGGCTATTTTCATCCCTCCTCCCTCTCTCCACAACACAGGTACATAGTCTCTTCGACTCTTGGTTGGAAGCATATAATGGAGTTGTAGTAGAATGATGAGTTGAAAAAGAAAATGAAACACAAGTTGAAGAAGCAGGTAAACATGGTGTAAGAAAAAGTATCATAAGGCAGGCAGGTGCGGAGGGATGAAGGAATGCAGTAGAAATCCCCTCTGGAAAGCTCTGCATAATTTGACAGCGTGAAACAGTTTATCTTGGCCTCCTGGTGATTTTTTAATGTTTGTCAATTGCTATTATTGATTAGAAGAGACTCACTTGGTCTTTCATTTTATGTCAAAATCCTGAACGAGGAGATTTCTAAAGTGGGGTTTCAGGGCCTTCTTGCATATCATAAGTGTTTGTTCTATTCCCACATCGCCTTTTGAATCATTCCTTCCTTCCATTTGTCATAATAAAACTGTCCTCTGGCTCTCACAGTTCAGGTTTGAAAGCCTTTTCGTAAAACAGAGCTGCCTGGAAAGCGACGATCTTTGGATTTGATTAGATCCCAAGTTCCTACGCATGGAAGGTTTGACATGTGAAGCATCACAAGTACAGAATATCCTTGATCAATATGGAAAACCAAACGTTTGCCACTTTTACTTGGCTATGTTCATTCCTGGCATAAAATCACGTCCTTGATTGAAAACAATATGGCAGCGTCTAGTCCAAGGAGAGCCAAATCGTCAGAAATATATTATGGCCGGTCGAGTTCCCACCGTTGCCATACAAACAAAAACAAGATAATATTTTGACACTCTTAGACCGAATACATCACAATCAAGCCATTTAAACAGGCCAGACCAAATTCTCACCCTCATGTTACACACTCGATTGATATCCAGCCTGCATCTCGCAGGCGGCACGCTGCATGGATTCCCAGGGTGGGCCTAGCCGCTTTGGGCCTCGTGCAGAATAGACTCTGTGGTTATTGTGGGGTGGGCCCACGTGGTCCACCAAACAGTGCAAACAGCGTACGTCACCACCTGCGCGCAGCGCGGACCCCCCCAGCAACAACAATGGGTGATTATGGGGTGCAACTTGCAATTTGTAGAAACACATCCTGTAGCAAAATGGTCTATTCTTTTTCTTTTTTTTGTAAATAAATTTTGCTACTGATACATATTACGTGGTAAAATAGACCACCATAAATCCAATCCAGCTGCCCACAACTCCTAACGCGGAATAGCTGCTCATAAACATCAGGGGCAGGAACTGTAGGCGCTCAAATCCGAAGATAACCTGGTGGAGCAATGAGGAGTAGACAATGAGCGGTATCGCGATTGTGATGTAAAGAAGTGCGAATCGGTCAAAGATGAAAACCCGGGGTCGTTCAGGCACGGGCGCAATCCGATCGAAGATAAACAGGAACATGATCAGCCAGAAGATCGTATATACGGTCTTGAGGGGGGAACTCGGCTGCAGTGAAAAGCAGCGGAAACAGTGATACATATCCAGCGACAGCAAGGGGTCGGAAGGCACTGAAATGGCGACGGTCTTTGAGGGCAATCAGGCTGAACGGGATAATGATGAGGAGGACTGCCTTCTCATGGACATGCCAGCCGAAGAGAAACGAGGCATAGCCACATAGCGTAATTGCGCCCACAAATGTGTCCCAGTCGGGATTTCGCCACAACTTCACCAAGGGGACTAGCTGGAAGATGAAAGTAAGGAGGAAGGTCTGTCCAGAGGTGATTTCGGGCAGAATGGCAAAAGAAGTGTCTCCCACCAGCCCTCGTGTAACACTATTCAGAGCCTCTCGGTTCACAGGCAGACCAAGACGCGGAGCAACTAGGGGTAAATTAGCAAATAATAGACAGATTTAGCGACCCAACTCGAGAGAACTAACGTGGAATCAAAGCGCGGTCCGCAAATGAATAGATCGCCCAGAAATTGGGTGCCCAGTACGCATGGCACAATCCCCTTGAGAACGGGAAAAGTCGAGACTTCAATTGCAGTAGTTGATTCGCGAAGGGCCAGAAAGCAATGGCAAAAACACCCAGCACACAGACACTAAGCTTGATAATGTTCAGAAAGCGTGGGCGCAGAAAATTTTTTGGGTCGAGGCAGTATGCGCGTAGCAGGTACACAAAATAGGCAAGAGACAAGTAGAGGTAAATATGCTTGAGGCAGAGCAGAGCGGCGAAAAGAAATCCACTAGACAGGAGGTTCTTGCGAGCCAGAACAATCGACAAGATCAGAATGCCATACAAAAACCCATTATATTGGAAATGGATGTGATCGATGATGAAGAGGCCTGGTGAGAGGAGGATCGAGAGGCTAGCAACATGCGCGGTTTGTCTATTTGGCAGCGGAACAGACTTGATGAATCTAAGTCCAAAACAAACCGAATGTCAGCATAATTCAGCGCGAGGGATATCCTGCATAAGTCGATGTTTACATACCGGCCTAGCGCATAGACCAGGACCAATTCAGAGAGAATCACGGTGAACCTCTGGAAGTAAACAGTCTGCCAGGAATCATAACCTAGGTTCTTCACTTCCAACATGGCCGGATCCACAAGCGCAGCCACTTGCGACATCAGCCATTCGAAGGCCGCGAAGAATGGAGGGTAATCAAGAGTCCATTCGGAGGTTTTCTAGTGTGACGGTTAGGCGCGCCCCGGGCTGAAACTCCTCCAGGTGCAACCAACCTCGAAGTACCACTCCTGGATCGGAAGAGAGTGTGTGATGGCCAGCCAGTTGCGATGAACTTCGAAATCTGTCGATTTGCTGTCCACAAACAAGGTTAGAATAACACGCCGAACCAATCGTATTTTCAGTGCCGGAATGGGCCTTACTATGCCGGAAAAAGCAACACCTTGACGGCGGCTGCCACAATGGCACTCTGTGCCAATGATGGGTACAGCTCGGCCATGGCTGCAGCGGCGCTTCTGTCAAGTTGATTGCGGGATGGAGGGCGTGAGTGGGCGGGAAGAAGATCTCTCCGCAGTCACGTGTGCGGCGTGCGGAGATCGGCCTAGTCAGGTGCTAGTTGCAGTCAGGAGCAGAGCTAAGACCGCTAAGGCCAGCGTATCAACAGCAATTCCTCCGCATGGACTTCTCGGACGTCGGCATCCGCCACACGATTCTCAACAGTATCCAGCTGCACCACTTTTTCGACGTCTCTCCCTCTGCGGCAGCCGTTGCGAAAGAAGCTCGTCTGTGCGTGATTGCCATTGTGGTTGGGTGGATTACGACTCGCATCATTGCCAGCCTGTGCGAGTCCGACAAACCGTGCGATTGTGACCGAAGGGGCTCCAATCGTTCGAATTGTTCTAGTGCCGATTAGACTGGTTCCTGGGTCATTGGGTCTCTTTCAGCACGAATTGTTTATACGAAGCTGAATAAGGGCGACCAAGCAATCGCTTTTTTTGTTGTTGCTATACCCGAACGAAGTGTTGTTGTACATTAAGGGCCGCCATAATGAGGACTTTCGCGTCGCTTGCTTTGCTCGCCGCTGGAGCCTCTGCTCAAATGATTGAGAGCGCTAGCTTTGGATATGGTAGAACGTACGCGCCCAGCTCTCTCGCGTGTTCATTGTTCCTTCTATGGTCACTAAAAAGATCGACAGGATTTCGCCCAACCGAGACTCAGTTCCGGGATGGAACGTCCGCGGGGAAGGCCATGATCCGTCTTTTGTGAGTTTAATCCATCGTATCTTTCTTGATATGAACCCGTGGACCCATCTGACTCTCCGCTAGCTCTCTGATAAACTCATCCTGACCCCTCCCTACCCAGGTAACACTCGGGGATCGGCCTGGGCACATGAACCGTACGTGATCGTCCTGTTCTAACTCGTCGTCCGATATCCTAATCAATGTGCAGTATCACCCAACAAGAATGGACCGCAGAATTCCAATTCCGTGCCAGTGGCCCCGAACGAGCAGGCGGCATCCTTCAATTGTGGTATACCAAGGACGGGGAGTACCGTGTCGGCACTTCGAGCATATATACTGTTGGACAGTTTGATGGTTTTGCGCTTGTGATTGATACCCACGGAGGACGAGTATGTCATGATGGCTTATTGAGATAGTGGATGTCTACTGACGAAATATACAGGGCGGAAGCGTTCGCGGATTCCTCAATGACGGAACCACAAACTATAAGAGCCACCCCAGCGTTGATAGCCTGGCTTTCGGACATTGCGACTATTCTTATCGTAACTTGGGCCGCCCCTCGGTGGTGAAGCTGAAGCACACCAACTCTCTTTTGGAGGTGACCGTTGATGACAAGATCTGTTTCTCAACCAACAAGGTACGTAACAGTTATGACATTTGGTACGGGCTTGGTTGCTAACACCCAACAGGTTGCCCTTCCCGCCGGCAACACCTTTGGTATCACTGCTGCCACTCCGGAGAACCCAGACTCCTTTGAGGTGTTCAAATTCGTGCTGGAATCTGCTGCTGGCCAAGGTCAGACCATCCCCTCGAACCAGGGTAGTACCCCACAGCAGCAGCAGCAAGAGCAGCAACCGATTGTGAACCAGGACCAGAAGCCCCCAGCGGTTCGCGACAGCGGCAGCGCTATCTTTGATGCTGGCATCACTGCCCAGTTTGTCGATCTCGGTGGTCGGATTCAGCTCCAAAACAAAGCCATCAACACTATCCTCCAAGATGTTCGCGGCCTGGCTGGCAAGAGCGAAGCCAATCACCAAGAGCTCCTCCAAAAAGCTGCCACCAAGGATCAAGTGACATCTCTCGATGCCCGCCTTCAGAACATTGAACGCCTGCTCCAGAGCATCCAGCGCGACTTGGAGGGCAAGGACTACAGCAGCCGCTTCAACCAACTCCATGATACTCTGCGCTCGTCGCACCTTAGCCTGACCGAGAACATTCAGGGCCACCTACTGAGCGGCAAGTATTTCTTCCTGCGCCAATTCTACAAACTTCCAACTAATATGTTCTTGTCTTCCTAGTCATCACTGCATCTACCCCACGCATGGGCTTCTTCATCTTCCTGGTCATCGCTTTCCAGGTCCTCCTCGCCGTCTCATACGTCGTCTACAAGCGCCGCCGCGCCAACATGCCCAAGAAGTTTCTCTGAAACCACTTTCCACATCCTCATCCCAATTTTCCCCGTTCCGTCCCCCCGGGATTCCACGTTGCGCCCTGTCTGCATGTCTTGGAGGTGTTTGTGGACGTTACTCCCTTTCTTGCATGTCGTTTATTAGCTCTGATGTCCTTCCAAGGCGCTCGGCCTGCACGCTGTTTCGGATCTTTCATGTTCATGTAGAGTACGAATTTGACTTTTACTGTTTACGATGCCAACTGATTCCGGCTCTTTTCCTCTCCCGTATAATCTATAGAAGTTCTTAACATACGAGATTTACCGACAGGAGAATCGATTGATCAAACGAACAGAAAATATCCATTTGGGCCCATGCTAATCGTACACTTGAGATTCTTCGAGTCTGTGAATGCGCCGTCCTATGCTCATGACAACATTGCAGAATCCAAAAAAACAGCCAGAACAGAAAAAGGGCGAAAACACGACAAATGCAAAAAAAGCAGAACGCAGAAAGCAAAGCAACCAAAGCAACCCGGGCCCCCGGGGTATGATCCTTGTTCAGACAGCTCGAAGAAAGGGATGAAGAAACCAGATTAATAAAAGAGATGAAGAAGCCGTCAAACCACGAAACCGATTTGGGGGGGGGGGATTCAAAAGAAGATGAAGATCAGAAGAAAAGAATTCTGGAAGGGGACGAGCCCGCCTCGTAGAAAAAGAGAAACGCCACTGTCCATTGCTATGGGGAAGCAAGATGGTCTTTGTACGGTGCTAATGCCGAGTTCGCTGAATCAGAGAAGGAAATGGTCAGGGTTTGAGAGGAAAGAGATTTGGGGGTGCGGGGTGTTTTTGCCCCCGATTTGCAACACCTTTTCCAAAGGCCGTGGCCGTGTCTGTCGGCCACGTCCGCGGATGTTGGAGGGTATATCTGATGGGCTTCTGAGCGAAGTGCGTATGCTTTGTTTAAAGAGGGGCGCTCATCGTATAATGACGTTTCTGCGCCCGCTCGTCCTCGCTGGCAGATACTTCGGACCCTGCGCGGGGTCGCTTCTTCTTGGTGGGTTTGGACGTAGAGCGAGTCCCTATTTCTTTGTCAGGGTCAGCAGCCTGGGAATTCCGGGTAGTCCGGGTCCGCGGCTTGGGAGATCTTGGAGATCGTCGAACGGGAGAGGGTGAAGGGTGACGAGGATCCAAGCTCGCGGATTCTCCCGGGACAGAGGCAGCTTGGATGGCTGGGGAGGATGCGGCGATTGTGGTCATTTTCTCGAGCGCGGGAGTAGCAGACACAAAAGCATTTGGAGATTCTTTGGCAACGGTCGGGTTATCGGCCTTGGGGCCGGATTCGTTGTTTGAAGAGGAAGTTGAGCCCGGAGGGTCATTGTGACCGACTACAGGGTCAGCATCGCCCTTGGAAAGTCCGATGAGAGTAGAAGCAGCAGAGTATTCATCACCCGTCACTTTGCCAGATTTGATGTTGTCAATCATGCCATGGATGCTGGGAACAAGATCTGCGATGAGCTTAGCTGCCTGAGGTCCGTCGCCCAGACGTTCCTCGGCCATCATCTTGGTCATGTCGATGCATACGTTGGCAACAGCCCCATAGAATTCAGATTCACGGTGGCGGGTATCGTTCTTGACATGGGAGATAAAGTCCATAACCATATCTCCAGCCGGAAGAAGATCGCGCTGCTGGCGGAAGGCCTCGTGGAAGGTGCTCTCATTGACATCATCATAGGGTGCTGGCTCATTATCAATAGCAGCCAAGCCATCCTTGGGACGCCGCACCCGGCGCTCTTGAGGACGACCATCAACCATCTTGACCTTCACAAACTCATCCGGCCGGACATGGTTGGGGCACATCCACCCGTTGAAAGGGTTAGGGGGAGCCGCGCGGGGCGGGTCCAGGCAGTCCAGGTGGAAGCGGCAGGGACAGTAGTCGCAACGGATGATTGGACGATCTCCACTAGAGGATCGGCCACACTTGGTGCAAAGGATGACATGCCCGTTGTCCATCAGCTTCAGCAGGTTCGCATCGTTGTACGCCGGAGTTGAGCCAGGCGTCTTGGGAGGCTTAGTCAGACGCGGTATGTGGGGAACGGGCATGTAATAGCGCTGGTTCTTCAGGTCGGTCGGGTTGTGAGGGTCATACTGGACGGCCTCTCCAACCCCCACAAAGTACTCCTTGATATTCGCCGGGGGTGAGAATTCAGTCTTGCGCTTCTTGTGGCGCCCGTACGCGATCACCGTGGTGAGGCTATTGCGCACACCGCAGCGTGGACAATACCACTCACCCTTGGGGGGATTCTTTGGGTCAACTGCAGGTTCTACGCATTTGAAGTGGAATGCGTTTTCACACGTATCGCAGCAGAGCAGGTTGCCTCCCTGATTACAGGTGTAGCAGTTGTCCATATTCTCAGGCGGCTCGCTGTAAAAGCAATCACACAGTTAGTTCAGACCAACAGAAAATCATCAGGAAAGGCAAAGGAAGTTCAGAACATACATAGAATTTGGCATCTTTCGGCGGACATAGCCAGTGCTCCAATCATTCTCGCGATCAGAGTAGCACTCATTCGATGCATCAGACTCGGCAGAGATGGTGGTATCAATAGAATAGGACCGAGCGCGCTTGCCCAAGACAGGGGTGGGGGGTCTTCTGCAATGCTGGCTGCTTGGCTTTAGCGGCCTGGCGCTGGCGACCCTTCCCCCTCATCGTCGGCCGTTCTCTGAGGACTTGCTGAGAATCGGGGAGAGCAGAGACTGAAGGGGAAGTGGCCAGATCCCCAACAGCTTCGGCACCAGCAGCTTCTGACTGCTGGCTTTGGGTGGACGATGGATGATCGACGTCAGATGTTGTCCGTGTGGGACGAACAGAGCTGTGTCGGGCGAGAACGGCTTCAGGTTCGGCTTCCTTGGAAAAGTGTGAACGTTTTTCACGCAAAGTCTCATCCAGCGTGGGATCTGCCTCCCACTCACGGCGACGCTTAAAAGAGTTTTCGTTGACTCTGCACGGCTTTTTAGGCCGTTTGAGAGGTGCAGTGTTGGATTTGCCGTTCATAAAGGCTTCCTCCAGTTTAGGCCCAGACGTGTCACGGTAGATATCAGCAGTCTTAAAAGTGCGGCCTAGCTGCTCGATTTCAACGGACTTGGCTGATGATAGGCTGGAGTCACTAGCTGAGTTGTTGCGAGTGAGAGTTGCGGGGCGGCGTGTTAGGAACGCTTTGTACCATACCGCAGCATCCTCCACCGAATGGCGCAGCATTGTTTTCAAAGCAAGCTCCAGGCTGTGATCGGTGTCATCGCAGCCAATGTTGTTGATTAATGAGAGCTTGAAGTCATCCCCGTCGATGTCTGACCAGTAGTAAACGAGGCTCAGGGCCACGTCGTCGTCCCCAAGGCTGTGAGAGTGAGAGATAGCCAGTTCAACCACTTGCTTCAGCTGAGTGACATCGTACTTGCTAGATGTCGGTACAGGCAACGCGTTCAAAGCAGCAATGTAGTCGCGGTTAACGGGCTTCTCAGTTTCGGAGGTCAGCCCCTCCATCACCGCCGTGGCAGGAGGCGTATGAGCTCCGCCCAAAGGGGTTTCACTGTTGAGCACAGTGAGTTGTGTATGGGGGGCAGTCAAGGCTGGGTCAGACATGGTTCCATCTAGAGCGCCGTCAACTGGGGAGCCGATGAGGGAAATTGAAGCGTTTGTAGTCTGGGCTCCAACGGCCTCAGAAACGGGGGTTGCAAGATTTGTGTCCAGCGCATCGTCCATGCTCACTACCATCTCTTTCTCCCCCCCACAACGTCTTCAACAGAGTCCTCCCGGGCAACCGAGTTCTCAAACCCACTCATGGGGTCATCGCCGTCGTCGACGGCACGCGGTGTCGCTTCATCCGCGACCGGAGTGATAGGCGTATCGGTGGTGTTGCCACCACCGATGTCGACATGCGCCGTCGCCAGCTTCTTCAGCTTGGCGGCATTCTTGACGGGGGGAGTGAGCCCCACGCTCTTGTAATCCGCAGCCGTCGGATACTGGCCGATCGGCTTCATGGTCTTGAGGGTTGTATTCTCCACGGGCGTGGAGAAGCTGACGGGGTCCGCCCAGGTTGGGCGCGCGCGTGCACGGGCTGGTTCTTCCCATGCAGTCTGGAGAGACTGCGCGACGGGCGGGTTCACGGGCGCATTGCCCGGCGGAGTCGTTTCGGCGCGTGTCGAACGCGGGTTCTTCTTCTGAAGCTTGCGAGGCTTCACGGGTTCCGCGGGTTGAGAATTGCCCCGGCGGACGGAGGACCGAGTAAAGTACCCCATCGCGGTAGGCGGAACCGCCCTGTCTAGGGTTAGTGCCGAGTGCCACGCCAACCCTAACTGGCCTGCATTCCTACCACCACCAGACCAGCCGCGCAACACCAGATCAAACTTACACGCTGGGGTCCTTGCTGAAGCTTTCTTGGTGTAAACTGTTGTAGCAGAAGAAAGATGTCAGCGATGTTTAATTTGAAAGTCACAGCAATTAGATCAATGCGACGGCGCTCCGAGACATCAGATCATTCTGACATCTTGAAGACACCTTGGGTTTAAAACAGGCAGATAAGGTAGGAAAAAAGGTAAGCTCAAGTCCACCTATGTACCTCTGTTGAAGAAATTGTGGGCATGCGAGATGCAACACACCCAGCATGAGCTGGATGTGTGTGTTTGTGAGTGTCGACTCACGTCGACAGGAAACGGAATGACTGAGCAGAAGAGGAGAGGAAAGAGGATGAGAAGTGAGCGTTGGAGGGGCTTAAATAGGCGTGCGGGGTGATGGGAGAGATGAAAGAGCGTCCAAATGAGGATGTCAATAGTGTATTTGTTTCTGATGACAGGCTACTCGTCTAGGCCGCGACGTGGTGGTGCATGGACACAATACAAGGCATTATCTCAAGGCCCACCACAACTCCAAGGCATTCTCTCTACCTGTACATGCCTAGTTTCAAGTGAGTGAAGGCAGAAGACATCTTGATAGGCTATAGAATACTTGTTCTAGAATCTTTTTGGATGCCCAAGGTTCCAGAAGTTGGCCTTGAGGCCTCAATTGACTTCAATGTAGAGATCTTCAATCAGAACCAAGGCTACGATGAATATGACTACCTCCTGTAGGCCACTAAAAGAACTGAATATATGATGATTGGATGGACATGGGCAAAGAGGAGGGGGATGGGGTTGGAGAATATCTCGTTCTGGGCAGAACAGTCCTCGGGATTGTCTACTCTATGAACCGACCGTGTCTTCCCTCCGGAGGCAAGACAGCTCCGTGAGACTTTCTACATCTTTGAGAAGAAGGACGAGCTGACATCTCCATTTGGCGCCTAGCTTCTTTTCTGCCCCTACTGCTAATTACATGACAGAAGTGCCAGAAAGATGCCCTAGGGCTTTTTGGCTGATATAGCGTCGAATCGGTTCGATCGATATAAGAAGCCTCAAGGAGCAGGCACTGTCGGCCCTCTCCTGCATACATAGTTTAGGCATTGCCTGGTTTTTGTCCTTTTCACAGCAAGAAAATTCATATAACCCAGGATGGGGAAAATCGTTATTGGATATCTTTTTAGTTTTTGTTGAGTTTGCAGGAGTCTCCAGCGTGTAGATCAGAGTGTATTGCACATGAATCAGACAATGAACATGGTGTCTAATGCATTTACTCGTCACCGCCGGTAGTCTTCTTCTTCTTGTTCTTGTTCTTCTTGTTGCCGGTGGAACGGGCCAGGGGCTGCTCCAGAATCTTGAGGATCTCCTCATCCTCAATCTTCTTGTCGGACTTGAACTGCTCGACATCAATAGTACCGGGGGCAGCCAGCTTGGTGATACCGTTCTTGGTGATAGCTAGGAAATTATTAGCCATGTCTGTCGATAGAAAAACCAGTAATTTTTTTTAGATCATAACATACCGATGGTCGTCAGCAGACGAGAAACGGGGGAACCGTCAGCCTCACCAGCGGGCTCGTACGAGCGCAGGACGCCACCACGAACACACTCGACAACACCGACCTTGGCGGCCTTCTCGTCATCCAGCTGGCGCAAACTGAAGGGGAAGGTGCCGAACTTCTTGACAACCTCAGACAGAGTCTGGCGGGAGCTGGGACGCTTCAGGATGTAGGTAGTGGTGGTACGGCGGTGCAGGGTAGCACGGTGGTCGAGGGACTTGACTTTGCCGGAGCCCAAGCTGAGGCCGACCTCAACACCCCAGACCTCGCCAACCTCGGGGGTACCGTCACCACGGACTCCATCGCCGGGAGACAGAATGATCTTCTTGGTACCCTCGATCTCGTTGCGGTCAAACAGCCAGCTGGTGGTGTTCTCAACGATCTTGCAGTCGTAGGTCTTGGCAACCTTCTCCAGAAGAGTGGAGATCTGAGCCTGGGTCGGGGCCTTCTGGGCAGCAGCCTTGGCCTTCTCCTCGTCGGTACCCTGGGCCAACAGACCCGGGGGGACCATCAGACGGAGCAGAAGCTCGTTGGCGTAGTGAGTAGCGAGGACAAGGTCAGCCTCGCGGCCAGTCACAACGTCCTTAGCGGCATCCTTCTTGGCAATGACGATCATGTCACAGACAATGGTACCGAAGCCATCGATCTGGGCACCGAGCTGGATCTTGACGAGCTCGCCGGCCTTGAGAGTGGTCTCAGCCTCGGCGGCATCGGACACCAGAGGAGTGTAGGGAGTCACATAGGAGCTAGGCGAGACGGTGGTCGGGTGAGAAATACCTGACCGGCCAATGGAGTTAGTATGAAATGGATTTGGGCAAAGCTATGCCGGAAGAGATGGGACTAACCCTTGGCGATCTTCTTGCCCTTGTAAACCTTGGCGATCTCCTCATCGAGGAGAGCATCACCCTTCTGGCAGATCTCAACGATCTTCTCGCCCTCCAGGCACAGAGCTAGTAGACAACAGGTTAGAAACGTATGCAGTCTAGGGAAATAGCCGTGAAAAACGGAGGAGCAATAGCGTACCAGTGACGGCCTCGAGAACCTTGTGCGAAATCTGCGCAGCGGTCTTGTACTTGGTCAAGGTGTCAGGGTTGTTGAGGGTATAGTCTGGAGCAAATAAACAAAATGATTAGCTTGGAGGAACCAGCCCAAACAAGAAGGTCTAGAGATGCGGCCTGAACATCCGTGAAGCTCAGGACCTTCATCCGGCAACCGACGCCCACAAAACGTCAGAGCTTTCGCGGGACGGCACAGTGCGTTTACATACCAACCTCGGGTGCTTGTGTCTCCGCCATTGTGGATGGAATTGGCCTCCCGGAAGATAGTGAGGATTGGGTTTGTGCAGGTGGGTGTGAGTAGCAGCTTCTGAATCCGCAGGAAGCTGGAGAGGAATGGATCAAGAGCAAGTCGTGTGCAGCGAACGAGAGAGCGTTTAGCGGTGGTGGGGTTGGTGCCGTTGCCGCCCGAATTGTCAGGCGCCCACTGGCTCACTAGGGTTACGGCCGGCCAAGACGTCATTGGTCTCGTCACAGCCTCGAGTCGGTTGAGAGAGCGGCTGTATACCCCGCAATGAATGATGTGTCAAGAAACCTTTTGGCGGGAGCTTCTCTCCAAAGTCTCGTGAGCTTGGAGACTGCAGGGATGTGTCGGTCGTGGTGGTTGCCCTCCAATCACCCTCGTCCCCTCTTCGCCTTGTAAGATCCCCTCACTTCATGCTTCTTGGATCGTCCCAAGATCGCAACCTGCTAACATAGGACAAAACGTGTCTTGTTTCAGATTTGACCTGTTCTGCACTTTACGGTGCCGCTGTGATAGAGGTGATTAAGGATGCGATCCACTCCAGCGCTTACGGTCCGAGTTTTGACCCATAATATCCGATATGCTACCAACTTTCCTTTCAAGGGGGAGCAGCCATGGGCACAACGCAGGCAGTTGTTACTAAACGAGCTTGAGTATCATACGCGTCATGTAAGCGGTAGTTTTATTTGTTTGCAGGAGGTCCTTCATCGACAACTTGAGGATATTCGCGCAGGACTCAACCCAAGCCTGGGCTTCTCGGCGCCGACCTGGGCCTATATTGGAGTCGGACGAGACGATGGGCACCAAGCGGGCGAATATTCCCCGGTCTTCTACCAACCATCTGTCTGGGATCTCCAACATTGGGAGACTGTCTGGCTCTCTGAGACTCCCTCGAAGCCCTCGAAGAGCTGGGATGCGGCCTCGATCCGCATTGTCACCATCGGCGTCTTCACGCATCGGGAACATGGCAATACTGTGCTCGCTATGAACACACACTTGGATGACCAGGGATCACGTTCTCGTTTGGAAGCGGCTCGGATCATACGTGCCAAGATCCATGAGTATCAAAAGGGTGAATTCGGAGGCTTGATCTCCGCTGCTTTTCTAGCGGGAGACCTGAACAGTGAGGAGGACCAGGAGGCCTATTCTGATCTGACAGGCTCAGGAATCCTACAAGACACGTATAAACAGGTCGATGCATCTCGGCAATATGGGAATCATAACACATTCACTGGGTTTGGATATGGAAAAGCACCTCCGAAGCGAATCGATTATGTGCTTCTAGCCCCTGCTGGTAGTCAAAAGTGGCGAGTGGATGGCTACTCTGTTCTCCCCAACCGCTTCGATGATGGAGTCTTTAACTCAGATCACTGCGCTGTCGTGGCCGATCTCACCCTTGTAGGCTAATCCACCGTGCTTCACCACCCTTTCGAAATAAGCCAGATCGAGTCAGCTGTGTTGTGGATATCACATACGCCTATCGGGATCCGATTCCAAAGTATATGGGCAGAAGATGGTGCTGTTGAATAAATGCATTTTCTGATACCTGTATTCATCTATTCTTCGGATAGTTTATACCAGGCTGAAGGGTTCACTTGTAGAACCACCTCCGCCGAGTCATTAGCTACAAACCCCCGAGCCTACAAACTTATCGCAGTTTGATATACCGTATACCTGTTTCGATTGCAGTATAATGTTAGCATTCAATCAATATTTCTTGCTGCACGTGGAGAGCTGTCCTGCCCATCACGGTGATATACTTCGAGTTTCACTTGTGTTACTCGGGGTCGATTCGATATTCAGGCCTCATTAACAAGGCATAAACACAGCAGCCTACCCAGATCACATGATACAAGCAAGCCGTCGAACCAGCCCTGGAGCCGGTGTAATTCGCAGGCCAAAATTAGCAAAGAAGTTAATATTGGGCTGTAATTCTTTCTCGTATCGTAAGTTTGATACTTTTAATCTGATCGTCCCTGCCTGGAGGTGCGCATAGATAGGGGCACCGAGGACTGTCCTTGTGCCCGGGAGCGGACATCTCGTAATCCTGTCTCTCCTTTGAACTTCGCTCACACACACCCGCGACTCCAGCGAACAGGCACACCCACGCCGCCACCCACACCCCATCGCCCAGGAGAAACCGATCTTGTCTCGGTATTCAAAGTCACTGGTCGGCTAATATCTTCCAATCCGACCCCGATCCCATCGGATTCTCCTTGGACTACTGGCATTGCCCGTGTGAAACAGAACGAGAGAGCGCGCACCTGGCCTCACCAACCCCCTTCGACTGTGGTATGTTCCCATTGCCCATTTACTTGAAATAAGACGCCTGTTCCAATTCGATTCCTTTCCACTGTCTTTCCACTCCGCGCAGCTCGAGCTCGTCCCTTTCGTGGCGTCTTCGGAGACATGCGACCGTCGCGACACGTCCGTCGTTCGGCTTCACGGTCAACGAGCTGGGCTGCGCAATCGCGCCAATGAGGCCTGGCGGAGGAGTCAATGACTTAGTACCATTAAACTGACCTAGATCCAATTGCGCCTTAGATATCATCCAATAATGCGGCCGTAATTGTTCTGACCTCTATCCCTACCGCGTTGAGTGCCGCACCTTAATCGATCTCCATTGCGAGTGAATACCCGACATCCACCCTCTATTTACATAAGTTGGCCATGCCATCTCCGGAATTGAAAACTGGCTCGCCACCCTCCCAACACTCTCCTACAGGCTCCCAGCCGGGTGTCCAGAACGGCACCGGCACGTCTGATATCGGGGGTGTCAACTCTCTGAACCCTGGAATAAACGCAACCGCCAATGGTGCCTTGCCTGATACCATCGCTGGAGGAAAACAAGACGCCCAAGCTAAGATGACTGCATCAAGCGCCGATGGTGCCAACGACGCCAATGGAACCCCCCAGTCGAACGGTACAAACGGATCCGCACAAAGTCGCAAGCGCTCTCGTGATGGGTCTGTGATTCCATCCGGTGAGGTCTCGGGTCCAATGGCCGTGAGGACGCGTGAAACACCTGTTGATAAGATCTTGCTGGAACAATATGTCAATCGTGAATTTCAATACTCAGCTGCCGTGGCTTGGCAAAACCCAACCCAGGAGTTGCAGCACCAGAAGCGGGCAGAACGCGATTTTCTATTAGCAATCCGTCGTGAGAATCAAGGGAATCCAGCAGCACTGTTTGGGGTTGGCTACGAGGGGTTTGGAAACCCGCGCACAGATCTGCGAAATCAACACCCACAATTATTGTATCCGTCCAACCGACGTCGGCCTGGGAACCGGAAAACTCGGGAATTGAGAATCTCTCGGCGGGATATGAAGGTGCAAAATGAGCAGATTGAGGACCTGGTGCCAATTCGCCTGGATATCGATTGGGAGAAGATCAAGATTCGAGACACTTTCACCTGGAATCTCCACGACCGCGTTGTGTCACCGGATCTATTCGCCGAGAAACTGGTGGAGGATCTTGGCCTTTCGCTAGAGACATCCGCTCCGCTGATGCGCATGATCTCGCAGAGTATCCAGGAGCAGTTGATGGATTATTATCCTCAGATCTTCATACACGAGGATCCCCTTGATCCTCACTTACCGTACGCCGCGTACCGGAATGACGAGATGCGTATTCTGGTCAAATTGAATATCACCATTGGTCAGCACACCCTTATTGACCAATTCGAGTGGGACATCAACGATCCACAAAATTCACCGGAAGAATTCGCCTTGCGCATGACTGATGACCTTTCTCTCTCTGGCGAATTTACCACCGCGATTGCTCACTCAATTCGGGAACAATCTCAACTCTTCACTAAATCTCTTTATATCGTTGCCCATCCGTTCGATGGCCGACCCATTGAAGATCCCGATCTCAACGCCTCTTTTCTCCCTACTCCTGTATCTTCAGCATTCCGACCTTTCCAAGCGGCCAAGGAACACACTCCATATCTTTACGAATTAAACGAGGCCGATCTCGAGCGTACCGAGATTTCTATATCGCGTGAGCAGCGTCGCCAGAAACGATCTATCAATCGGCGAGGTGGCCCCGCTCTCCCAGACTTGAAGGATCGACAACGCACGATTCGAACCTTGATTGTTTCTTCCGTCATTCCTAACTCTGCAGAGTCTTTTGACGAAAGCAATGTCATCAAGCGATCCGGCTCTGGTCGTCGCCGCGGAGCTGTTGGCACCCGTGGAGACGACGAATCCGATGATTTTGAAAGCGATGACTCGGATGAAGGATCACCAGCCATTGGCCCGCACCTTTCTCAAGGCACTGCCCGTACACGGGGCATGAGAGGAGCGGCCACGGCCGCTCACGCCGCTCTGCGTGCTAGCATGGGACAATCTGCAACTCCGGAGCCAGTTCTGCAGGAGCCCGTCCGGTTGTCTTCCCGACGACAGCAACTGCGTGAAGAGAGTGTGGAGGAATCCGAGAAGTTGATCGTCAAGTTCAAGATATCCCGAGACAAACTGGCAGATCTACGAAGTGGGAAACGCATCTTCGACCCGGCACAAGCTGCCGCACGCGCCATGGCGCCCCCTTCCGACAAGCAATCTCGACTACACCACCCGCCGCGACCTCAGCAAACCGGAGCCGTCGATGCACCGAACCCACCCCAGCAGGGGGTCCCAGGTGTGAGTAGATATTGAACTGTTCTTTCAATTTCGTGGCCCATGGCTGACCCATGCGTGTGCGTTCTCAGCCTCCTCCGCCTACTTGGCTTCAGGCTGGTCTAAACCGGCTTAAGCAATCCCACCCCAATGATTCATTTGAAGGTGTAATGCGTTATTCTGCTGTCGATTTGGAAACCCTCGCTCCAGTCTCCAACACGAGCAATCTTCAAGCCGGACAGAAGATCAAATATCAATACCTCCCCCCGTATTCGCTGTCATGACTGTCCCGGAAAGCTGTACACCCCCGGTCCCGGTATGACAGTCGACAACTTTGAAGTCCATCTTCGCAACCGTCAGCACAAGGAGCGTGTGGAAGAGAGATTGGTGAAGACTGGCGGCGGTGTTCCTGTCAACCCTGATGTAAGCGGCAGCGCCAGTGCAAGTCCAGCTCCAGGTGCTGTGACCTCAGCCAGCGCCAGCCCTGCCTTGGGTGCGGCTCCAATCCCAGGCGCTTCACCATCGCCGGCAACAGGACCCCAGTCATAATTCATATAGCGCCTTGACGAATTCATGACGATGGCGTCCTGCATGTACGAGATCCTCCGAATGTGAAATCTCTTCCCTTGAATGGCTTGTGCTCCTTTTTCTTTTGACTCCGTTTCTTTTGGTATACCGAAGGATCTCTCTCTCTTCCGCTTTCAACCGCCACTCCTTCTCTTCCCTCCCCCTTCACTATTCTTGTCATGTTGTATAGGATTTTTGAGTCTGCAGCGGCAGAGCGAATCGAATTCGTGCTTTTTCTGTGTTACGAATGGCGCTAGATGCGTTTTCCACCCAGCTTGTTTTATTAATCCTTTATCTGCGTTTCGCGCCCATGTGTAATAAAGTTGTGGGGGACGGTAGGCTTCCAGTAAATACATGCGTTTTCAACCGCATCATCTTTCGTGAGCTTTTTGGATTCAGCAAGTTATAGAACTTGGCGTACACATCACGCTCGTATACTACACCGATGTCCCTGGCGCGATGCTTATCAAATATCCCAAAGTCGGGGTGTCCTTGATAGACACATGCACCCCTTTATGCGCGGTGGAACTACTACCTGAACACTATTTCAATGCCTCAGGCCTTCATGGGTGGACATCAAGAGACTGATACGAGCATTGGCTGCCATGATGAGAATTCAAAGATTATCGTACATCGAAATACCACTGCTAGACTCTTTACGATCGAGCAGAGGCTTGCAAGCATATATTTCTCAGCGGTCTCATGAACTGGGGCAGATCTGCCTCTTCTATGAGACTATTTTGCAATAGGATCAAGTGGGCAAGGGTTGTCAGGACTAGTTTTCAAATGACAATCTTCAGAATTCAGGTTTATCTATCGAAATGCCTTTGATAGATTAGCTTGCGAGAACGGCAAATGTTGGTCGCCGCCATTGCTATATGCCATAGAAGCACACTCCTGCCAGGGAAGCTGGCAAGGAGGCAAGTGGGAGGTTTACATCAATAAACACATGGTGTCCTGCCTGGATAGACCACGAATTACTACTACGCAGTTGTTTCTTGCCTGGCTCTCTGGGATAAGCCGGGGGCAATATTTCAAAGGAACAGACATTCTTCAGTAATTCAATCATGATTTCACGGATCGCACCTCAAGGCTGAAAATAGTTTTGACATACAGATGATATTTAACTTGCGCTAAAGATAAGCAGCAGCATTTATTGCATACACTCATGAAGCAACAACATAGACTTAGCAGGCTGATGTAAAGCATGAAAGACAGATTGGGTATACATCTCGAATTGTCGTCGACTGCGAGAAAAACAACACAAGACAGAGATATGAATATGAAAGACAGAAAGTGTCATGTCCCAGTACAGCAGAGAAAGATAACAATGGAGAGCAGATCGGATCGGGCAAGCGAAAACAGTGGCGACATCCGGTATATTTGAACTGAAAAGCTTTCATTTATCCTCGACGAGAAGAACGACGTGTGGGCAAAGTGGTTGTGACAGGCTTCTTTGCACGGCTGCTGCTCTTCTGCTCGGATGCCTTGGCGCCTCGCTTGGGGGGCACCGGGGGCGAATTTTCCTTCTCGCTGGTCTCGTCCTCGGCCTTCTCTTCGCCTTGGTCCTCAGCATCTTTATCGCTCTCCTGCATTTCTTCGTCGGAATCCTCCTCGTCATCTTCTTCGACCTCTTGAGCATTATTCCACTGTTCCATTTCCATGTCATCCTCGTCACTGTCCTTGTCAGCATAGCTGACACCCTTGTTCCCGGTGCCTCGGCTGCTGCGCCTGCGGGCAGATGACGAGGTGGGCTTCTCATCCCCAGAGGCATCGGACGGCCATTCATCATCACCAGTACGCTTCCGTCTGGATGATGACTTGTTTGACACACCAACAGAGGACGTAGACTTGCGGGGACGACGAACAGACTTGTCTGTTTCTCGACGGGCCTTCTTCGATGCAGACGAATTTCCATTCGCACCGGTGGATTCTGGCTTGCGCTTCTTGACAGAGGCACCCTGTCCACCATGAGACGAGCCCTTGGACTTCATCGCGCTCCGTACAACACGGTCCAGAAGATCATCCATTTCATCGGGAAGGAAGTTCTTGTCTGCAACATCCTGTGCCTCGCGGTGGCTGTTCATAGAAGCAAAAAGTGAGCTGGGAACACCCATCTTTCCGGGATAAGTTTGTAAGAGGTTGGTAGCCCCACTGCTGCCGCCTCCGAATTTATGTTGTTGAGAGTAGATGTCGGCGAACCGTCGTATGGTGGCCTGGGCCAAGTCGGATAATGTGTGGAGGCGTGTGGAGATCTCGTCAGACTTGGTAATTCCATCACGAAATTGCTTGACGCGTTGAGCAACATGGAATATCAGAGATAGGTTGTGCTCGTTGGCCACGGCGGAAAGATAGTAGATGATGTATTGAGAGAAGTCGCTCAAGTCACCGAGCTTGGTTGACTGGTCCAAATCATCAGATGGATAATCAGGGTGGTATGCAAGCAGTGACAAAAGACGTGGGAAGATTAACTCCATCACCATCGTTTGTTCTGTCCGCTTTCCACTTGCTTGAGCTTGTTGTGAGTAATATGCAGCTCTTGATCGTAGCCATGTCGATGTGCTCTCCTTTAAGGCTCTACTAGGCTCAAAAGCGAGCAAGCAGGTGATGATGTACCACCGATGGCTCAAGTGAGACTGTTGGACAAGCTTTTTCTTGAGGTGGCTGATAAATGCACTCCGCACCTGAAGAAGGCGGTCTTGAGCCATCAGAGCAATGGAGTTGAAGTTTTCTGGAGTCAGCAACTGATCGCAGAGAACGCTAGAGGAACACAACTTGACAATAGACTTGGCAGCAAGGAGACGAAGACGTGATTTCTGAGCCTCAGGAGTGTCTTTTTTCTTAGACAATTCACCTTCACCAGCAACCAGTTTATTTAAGGTATCATAAACGGGCTCAGCATGCGCACGGAAGTCTGTCTCACTATCCGACCCATTCTCGGCTCTGAGCCGATTGACAATGATCTTCAAAGCCCATTCCTTGGCTTGGGTCTCTTCATCAGTGGTCTCAGACCAGCTGTAACCTGGGTCTTGCTCTGGAGCACGGTTGGTCAAAAGAATCTGATTGATGGCAATAGAAATGATGGCATCGCTTTCATCATCTGCTTCTCTAGGAGCAAGCAAGTTTAATTGTGATAAAGCGGCAAGTCGAGTGAGGAAGTGGTCGGATCCATATGTCCACTTCTTGACGCATTTCTGGACTAGATCTTTTGCATACATCTCTTTCCGGTCGGCGGTGGCCATGAGAATCGAGACAGCATGTTTGGCAGAATGCGGTGAAGAGCTGTACAAAGCATAATTTGCGAGTGCTTGCAAGAATTTACGCTCCTTTGGAAGTTTCGCGGGGAGTTTCTTGGCAAATCCGGCACAAGCTTTGAGAATCTCTTCCGTGCTAGCATCACCAGGCGAGTTGGCCTTTGGAGCTTGAGATTCGAGATCTCTGCACATTTCCTGAACCTGGGCCTCCAAGACTTCGGGATTCTGAGTTGATATTCGCTTCAACATTTCTTGCGCCGCATTGGCCAGCCCATTTTCATCTGTCCGAGATAGACTCATGATTGCCGGGATGTGACTCCGGTTGAAAACCAGAGAGGCACAACGGTATAGTAGTGGAGTGATGGTTTCGAGCAGTGGAGAGTTATTGGCATTTTGTACTCGTCGCTGGAGTTCCTTGATAGCCTTAATTACCGTGCGGTAGTCGCTAACAGCGGTCATAGCAAAGCGGATCAACTGGTAACTACGCCTGTCATGGACCTTAGCAAACTTCCATAAATCCGCAGATGCACGAGAGGCATCAGGAAAGGTTTTGGACAACGAGTCGATGACTTTCAAGAGATGAGCCTTGACTTGATCTTCATCCTTATCAACGACACCACCCTAAAAATTCATATCAGGTCAGCCAAAATGAACATGAGCTGTCGATAGAGACGGCTTGCAGTGCTTACATTGTACTTCTCACACGCCTCCAGGTAGTACGTCATGGCAGTCCTCATAGATATTTGACGAGTGAGCATGACAAAAAACACCTGTCGGGCCTTTTCGTCCAAGCCACGAAGCAGTGTCAGAATCCGTCGAACGCGAATCTTATCAACATCAGTTTCTTGATCAGCTTCAGAAGCCGCATTTTCCTTCTGCTTCTGTGATTGGTTCGAGCTAGAACGAGAAAGTTTGGACTTGACGGGTGGGTAATTAAGCGGGAGCAGAGTCTCAAACAGCACTCGGTCAATCAACATATGGACCTCCTGGTCGTTGGTATAGAAAGCGTCAAATATCTTAGACGGAGCATCCTTCAAGAGAGATACCACGGGCTCTGTGTTCTGCTCAATGTCCCCGGCAGCCACCGCCCACATACGAGCCAAGATTTTCATAGCATGCTCACGAACTTGAGGCTTGCGATCTTTGACTCGCTCTGCAAGAACGGCAAGCAATGAATTCTCCGTGGAGCAACCGCCCTTCATGCCCAGCTTATGAACAATATGGGACAGACCAAATTGGCCAACAGTATCGACGGCGGCGACGCGAACCTTCTCATCGGCATCCCGAAGCATTGAAGATAGACTGTCAACGAGAGATTGCTCTTCAGTCTCACTGAGACCTGAACCCCCGGCAGAAGTCAACAGAATTCGCCCCACGACTGTAACCCAAGCAGCGCGAACCGAGGGAGTCTTATCTAGTCGCCGGCTGAGAAAAGCCTCATAGGCTGAGCCATGCACTTGAGAGAAAGGTTTCGGAGACACTGGTGTGAGAAGAGCATTGGGCTGCGTGATGGTCTGCGCATATTCCACTAGTGTTACAAGCGGATATGCCGCCGGGTCCATAGGTGGTGGTGGTGGAGGCCCAGCTACACCAATACCCGCCGCAAGATCTCCGATAGTCTGGGTAGCCAGCAGCCGCAGAGCTACGGATTCTGCAGACAACTCAGCCTCTACCTGCGGAATAACATTCTGCAAGACCTCGGGGCAAGCGCGCCAAAGTTCTCGTATCAATCGATGCGCCTTGCTTAAGTCCTTGATATCCTCTCCCTCCTCATCCGAGTCGTCAAGATTCGGCTTTCGAGCGCCGGGCTTGGACCCGTTGGCCTGGCCGGCAGGGGCAGAAGCGTCGATGATCACGTTGTTGAAGTACTGACTGATGTGACTGGTCATTCGCTCTGGGCAGGCCTGGCAAATTGACTTCGCCATGTCGTAGGCCGGAGGGTAATCCTTCAGCAAAAGAGTCTCCTGCTTGGCGTCCAACGGTGTATCGGGACGTTTGCCCTTCTTGGAGTTATCCAAAACACGAGGGTCAACCCGTAGGAATTGAGCCACGATCGTATCAACCACCTCAGGAGCCAGGACTGGAGTTTCATCGATTACCGTAACGAGTAGTCGAGTCATGTCGAACTCGACTCCCTTGGCCACCTCCTCGCCGGTGGAGGCCTTCGATGACCCCGAAACTATATCAAAGCAGCTAGCGAAGAGAGGGACAATCAACGAATCCGGATGATCCAGATCTGTCATGAGGACGATACTCTTGACTTCAGCAAGCGAGGCCAAGACATAGATGTGTTGCGCATTGTAAGCGTTGGACGGGTCCGCAAGTGCGGGGATGATGGAGGTGATAATGCATGTGAAGATATCCTGTTTCATCAATTCCTTGCAGTCAGCGCACATCCCACTCAATCTACACGATTGAAGTGATCTTCAAGATGTCATTATAATTGACCGGTCAATCGTACCTTGAGCTGATTCCTGGTGAACGGCGCATCAGGTGCGCAGAGTCGCAAGACATCGACAATGGAGCATGCGGCCCAGGCCCTCACTCCCTTATCCTTGTGCGCGAGAAGATGGGCACTAGCAAGCTCTTGGGAAACCTTGCGCAGGGACTCTTTATCGATTTCTTCCTGTTCCAGTTTGCGCAGTTCTTGGGAGAGCGTTTGCAGACGTTCAAGGAGATCTGCGATGGGAATGGCGGCGCGCCCCACGCGCCACGAGAGGGGCTGACTGAAGGACAGACTGCGAAGACCAGTCTCATCCTCTGCCTCGTCGGCGGGACCTTGGCGAGTGCGCGAAGGCATGGTGATAGCAGCCGCGCTCACATGGGGTAAGGGAAGAGGGAGGGACGCGGTGCGAAAAGGGTTTAGAGTGGAGGTTGACCGCCCGGAGACGCGTCGCACGGGATCGCGTCTACCCTACCGACCGGGTGGATTCCCTTGCGCTTGCGGGAGAGCTTCTCGCTCTCTGCCCAAATGGAAGAATAAAGAATACATTGGATTTTTGTTGAGTGGTATTGTAAATCTAGCATGAATATCCTACATTGAGAGAGAAAGAAATTGATTCCAGAGTTCGGTGACGGTACAGTGGACGATACGAATCGGGATCAGACAAGATTGTACTGAAAGCTATTCATGGCAACCTAATTCCCTAGCGAGTACTCCGTACCTCATAGGTACCATGTACAAGCTGGTACTCGCTACAACAAACCAAGGACCAGAATCATATATAGATAGAAGAATAGATCAATACTGCTGGATGCAATCGACCGTGTGTGTCCATTCGAAAGCCCGAGGTCCAAAATACCAATGTCGCTCCCCACGGTTAGAAAGACACCATTTGGACAAATTCGGGTCTTGGCTAGAAAAACAAGGACGATGATGTTGTTGGGCCGAACAGATTATATAGGAGATGATCGATTAATTGAAGATCTGCGCCTGTAGATTGATCGCTGGTATGATTATGATGGTTTGTTCCATGGGTTCGTACATTGATCTGCAGTGGCCTCCATATAGTTAGGGTTTTGCATAGCGTGAGTCTGACCAGCTGGAGCTCGTCTTTGGGATGTTCAGAGTGTTTCAGGTTTATTTAGTGCAATCCGAGCTGTCAGGATCAGATAGTCGGACGTAAGAGCTGTATTCCTTTAACTCCTTGTTGTCGGGATTCAAGGCCACAGCATGTGCCCGAGTTCGCTCCCTTTCGGCCTTCAGCCCACGCGAGGCCCGGGAGCCCGAGCCGCCTGCCGACCATTTTCATGAGTTGACACGAGTCAACTCATGCAATGCACCTAATTGAGCTGGATTCGCGCAGGCCTTTTAGGGTTTGTACACTTTGCATGCTCCATGAAATTGCAAACCATGTCATGGTGGCACTCAACGCCCAAGTTCTCGCTTAGGACTGGGCTCTTTTTTTGCCGACGCCTCAGTAATCACGCTCGCTCGCTCGCGTCTTCGGATATTAGATCCTCCATACACTTACTCCACTTACGGATCTAGCAACAAAGGTGGAGATGCATATGGTTCTTGCCCCAAATCGTTTGTAGTTCTAGCCAACAGGATGCGTCCTCCGGGGACGCTGGGCTTGTGTCGGCCTGGGTATCCTGGTCATCTTCATGCAAGGCCTCAACTACATCATCGACGTCTACATGATGTTCGCTAACTCGGCCATCGCCGCCAACACTCTCATCCGGTCCATCGCCGGTGGTGCATTCCCCCTCTTCGCAAACCAAATGTACCAAAACTTGGGTGTCAACTGGGAGTCGAGTTTGCTGGGCTTCATTACGGCTGCTATGATTCCCGTCCCCATCTTGTTCTCCGTCTATGGTGCTAAGATTCGGGTGATGAGTGGCTTTCTCCCAAGTTCTAAACGCTGTATAATATTCGACGAGTCCGTGTTGAAATATCCTGGGCATGAATTTTGATGGTTTTGTTTTCCTTATTTTAGTGACAGCTGCATTGTTTGCGTTTTATACCCTTTATGTACCTGCTATTGCATCCCCATGTTTGAGGGGCCTTTATTACAAGTTTAGAAAAGAATACATTAAAGCTGGCACGTCTCAAAATTGAATGCTTGGAGCCGCTAATGTCCAAAGGACAATCCCATCAAGGTCCAACTTAAGGCATGATAGATAGCCCGTATACAGGATTTCCTGTTGATGAGCAGCAGCATCCCTGATGGAAGAGTAGCGTATGCTGGTGAAGCTAACTCTTGGACACCGTGTAGCCCATCCCAGACGTAGGTCATATCCAGAATCTCTTCAATCGCTCGTGCTGCAATTACTATATCTTGGCTAGCCGAGATCACATCCCGAAGCGGACAAAACAGTTACGCCCGGAAGCCCTGCCGAAAGTCCACCGGCACGTGCTAGGGAGGTGCTCTAGAAACTTACTAGGGAAGAGGGAAAATAAGTTTAAAATATAAGAGATTGCTCCACTTGTATGGCTATTATGGCACACGGTGAGAAGGTAAAGGACCGGCATGATCAAATCAACAGAAAGGGACCGGCGTTCCGTTTCTTAAAGCAAGCCCTTCAACTATCACAAAAAAAAAACGATCTACCCATGATGGATCTTCAAGCGTAAGAAAAACACTCTGCCAAAGCTGTTCGAGTGGCCCAGTGTTAAAAACAAAGTGAAAAAGCACAAATCATCAACCCGGAGTGGAAATTAAAGAACCCATTTAATCATAGAGGCTGTCATCATTGCCGGCTTCGCCGAACGTGTCGTTCGGGATCTCGCCGGACGAGGGGAAGCGGAAGAAACTGCTGCCTCCAGAGTTCTTCAGGCTCTGCGCGAAGGCCTCGTAGCGGCGGATCTCGACATCGCTAACCGAGCGGCGGGCAGACTTCATGGCCTCCTCGAAGTGGGCACGAGTGAGCTCGGGAACGGGGTCTTCCTCCTCGACGTCATCGTCGCCCATGGTAACATCCTCACCGGCAGCCTCACGGGCCTTGGTGCGCTCGATGTCGGCAGAAATGGCCTCCTTGATGGCGAGCTTAACAGCACGCTGGGTCACGAAGCCAAGATCGGCACCGGAGAAGCCGTGAGTCTTGCTGGCAATGAAGGACAGGTCGACATCCGAGGCGACAGGAGTCTTACGGAGCTGAGCCTTGAGGATACCCTCACGAGACTCCTGATCGGGCAGAGGAACGTAAACCAGAGTGTCGAGACGACCGGGACGGACCAGGGCGGCATCCAGCTGCTCAGGCCGGTTGGTAGCACCAATGACGAAAACATTCTTCTTGGAGGTCATACCGTCCATCTCTGTAAATATGATTAGCAAATCAACCATCAAGCATTATTAAGGGGGTGGAATGAGTTTGAAACTCACCAGTCAGGAGCTGGTTGACAACACGGTCGGAGGCGCCGCCGGCATCACCAACGGAACCACCGCGGGACTTGGCGATGGAGTCCAACTCATCAAGGAAGACAACGCAGGGAGCAGCCGCACGAGCCTTGTCGAAGATATCGCGGATGTTGCTCTCCGACTCACCGAACCACATGCTCAGAAGCTCAGGACCCTTGACAGAGATGAAGTTGGCAGCACACTCGTTGGCGACAGCCTTGGCCAACATGGTCTTACCAGTACCAGGAGGACCGTAGAAGAGCACACCCCGAGAAGGCGAGAGACCAAACTTCTGGAACTTTTCGGGGTGATCCACGGGGTATTGGACGCTCTCGATAAGCTCGCGCTTGACCTCCTCCAAGCCACCAATGTCGTCCCATCGGACGTTGGGAACCTCGACAACGGCGACCTCGCGAAGAGCAGAGGGATTGGAAACGCCCAGGGCGTAGCGGAAGTTCTCCATGGTAACACCAAGGGAGTCAAGGACCTCAGCATCGATGGTGTCCTCATCGAGATCAATCAGATCCATCTTCTCACGAATCTGCTGCATGGCAGCCTCGGAACACAAAGAGGCCAGATCAGAGCCGACGTAACCGTGAGTTTCGGCGGCGATGGTCTCCAGGTCGACATCCTCACCCAGCTTCATGTTCTTGGTGTGGATCTGCATAATTTCCAGACGGCCAGTGGGGTCAGGAATTCCAATGTCAACCTCACGATCGAAACGGCCGAAACGACGGAGAGCAGGGTCAATGGAGTTGGGGCGGTTGGTGGCGGCCATAACCACAACGTTGGAGCGGGCCTTCATGCCGTCCATGAGAGTGAGCAGCTGGGAGACAACACGGCGCTCAACCTCACCGTTGGTCTTCTCACGCTTGGGGGCGATTGAATCAATTTCATCAATGAAAATGATGGCGGGAGAGTTCTTCTCGGCCTCCTCGAAGGCCTTGCGGAGGTTGGACTCGGATTCACCGGCCATCTTGGACATAATCTCGGGACCGTTGATGAGGAAGAAGAAAGCACCAGTCTCGTTGGCAACGGCACGAGCCATCAAGGTCTTACCGGTACCCGGAGGACCGTACATCAGGATACCACGAGGAGGCTTGATACCAATGGACTTGAACAATTGGGGGTGACGGAGAGGTAACTCGACCAGTTCACGAATCTGAGCCATCTGTTTCCGGCATCCACCGATATCGTCATAGCCCACCTCGTTCAAATTACCCTCCTCATCCTCTCGTTGGATCGGCTCGCCCTCACAGTGGATAATTGTGTCTTGTGCGACAATGCCATACTCTGGCGGGTCGACCTCTACTACCTTGAACTCTACTTGTCTCATGCCACCTCGTACTGTGAACAGGTCACCCTGGCGTACTGGGCGGTAGGCCTCGCGGAAGTAGGGGGCAAGGTAGACATCGAAGAGCGAACCGGTCAGACCCTCGATGGTATCGGCAATGGGCAGGACGGCAATGCGCTTAGCCTAAATGATTCGAAGGGCATGATTAGTACATGAAATCCTGAGTCAAAAAACGAAGGCTCGGCAAACATACATATTTAATATCGGGGCAAGGGTGAACAGTGATAATATCACCGTGCTTGACACGGAGGTTATGGCGCACAACACGATTAATACGAGCAGATCCATCATCGAGGTCATCGTCGGCGAGAACAATCAGCACGGTGTCCTTGCGCTTCTTGCCCTTAACCAGAACAGTATCACCGCGGAAGAGTTGAAGGGTTTCCATGGTGTTGTTGGAAAGAGCGATAACCGAGTTATCATCGTTAACGGCATCGGTCACGCTGTTACGGATGAGCTGTCAGTTTCCTGTTCCGTAGCATCTCACTTCATCGAAACGGAGGGGTTCCTTACATCAATGAGTTGGGCTTCTTCTTCTTCTTGAGGATGGCAGTAGAAGTGTCGAGCTCCTGTAGATAGACTGTCAGCTTCTTTGTCTTCAAATGCCCGGAGTGGGTCAAGGGTGGTTGAGGTTCGGCCTGACCTCCTTCTTCTCGGCGCCAGAGGCATCCCTGCGGAGAGTTTTGTCAGTAAAAGCCGGCTCATTCAGATAGTCGCGCGAGGGACATACTGGAGGTGAACCCTCTTCTTCTCGTGGGTGTGATCCGGCTCCGCAGACATCGTGAAGGATCTGAGGTGTGTGACGTTGATGGGAACCGAGCTTGGAGAGCGGCAAAGGTCAGAGTGTCCACTACCAAGCAGATCAGCTCGATCTAGTGAACCAAGAAAATAGAGAAAATAGAGCGAAGATGGAGATGGTGAAAGGGAGAAACGGCCAGAGAGAAGACCTGACAGCAATGGAGGAGGGAGATGAGAGGTGTTGAGCTTCCCAGGTACCCGTTGTTCAAGTGACGATACAAGCACGGATGACTTAAGCTCGTAAGATTATGTCAGCCAGTCGTCCGCCACCAGCGAATCTGATGGAAGTTGGTCGATCCGGGGCGGCCTTGATGCCTGGATGCCTGACATGATCGTCAATCATCTCCACGAACGAGCTAGAGAACTAGTTCGATAAACAAGTCTTGGGGTAGGCCAAGCAGGAGGCTTCAACAGAAGCTTGTTCGACAAGGAGTGTGGATGCTCACGGGAGATTTATATTAGTCTTGCCTCGCATTCCCTCAGTCCTGATATAGAATGTATTAAGTGCCAACCATGATATCGTTGCTGGCCAGGGACTTGAGATGTTTCCTATTTCTTGGAAGCAATGTGGTCGTAGCATTTCTCATCCAATCGATACCCCTCAAATGATTGTCCTTCAGACAAGGTTGCCCCTTACTGCACTCTCTCGGCCAGCCTGATGCCTATAAGACCTGTCAACGTTGGAATCGGTAAGTGTTCATCTTGTATGTCGTTATTCTCTGCGTAACAAGATAAAGGTAGTATTTTCAGATATCTGAAAGGTTATCTCCTTGAGGTCATGGTTTGAATGTCGATTTATAAGGGAGAACAGGTCGCATGGTACGTATATATATTCTGCTTTTTTCGTCCCTGTACACTTTACGTACGTGGGCTACTTGTTCAGCCAACAGACTGAACTTGGAATGAAAATATATCAAAATAGCCCGCTGGTAATCTAAGTGAACCCCTTAGCAAATATGCAAGGATATTGGCCGATAATGACGTGAATGGAAGGCCGTCAGTGCTTAATTGCCTGCTTAGCATCCTTATGGACCTGTCCACATGCCGAAGAAAGATAAAGAGAGAAAAAGAAAACCATCCATGATAGAGCAGTAGAATCAAGAAAACCAGCGAGCGATTGATGATGAGATCAGTCTATCAATTGAACCCCGGGCTTTGAAGTTCCTGTGTGCTGTGGTAAAAGTCATTGGTCTCGAATTGGGACTCTTCCGCCCCACAACAATCCTCATGTCCCGAAGCCAACCAACTCTGTTTTATCTAGATGCGTGAAAAGAGTCGTAATGACCATATCTGTTATAAATCTTCGGGACAAACAAATGGCTGTACAGAGTATATCCTCCAGACCCCCCATTCTGCCCACTCAACCTCTTCGTGCATTCCCCAGTCCCGTCAACAACCCCACCGGGCCCTATCGGGTAAAGATACCCTTTTCAACCGCCAACCTCTCCACATCCGCCAACCAGTCCTCGCGCCGCCCCAGCGGCGTCTCAGGGTAGAGCCTCTTGTCGTCCGGGGTGACCTGGATCCATGGTGGAGGCACAGCGAGACAGCACTCGTGTTCGAATTAGGCCAAGTCCTCGCGAGCAATGATCGCGATCTGCCTCCTCGAACCCGGCGATTTGCTCCGGCTGCAGCTCGGGGACTCCACTACTTCGGGACAGGCAGGAGATCTCGGCGAGAATGGTCCAGTGATGTGTTGGAGGTGGTCTTTGGTGGGGGATTGGGGAGAGACAGGTCGGTCTCGATGTAGATGGCTTTGTAGTTGCGCTCGTTGTGGTGGAAAAACTCGACGATGTAGATCAGGTAGGAGGGCATGGTTGTGTCTTGACAGGAGATGACCGGGTTCAATGGTGTCAATAGAATGACAGATTTGAAGATGTTTGCTATGGGCGAGGTGGAGCTAAGGTTGAGACTTGCTAAGCGCCGGCTGGGGGCAATTTGATTCTATGGTCTTCTTGTCTCGCTGTAAACGCCAATCTACCAAAGACGCGAGAATTATTGATATTCAAACGGCGATAGAGGACATTTCGCCTTTGCCTATATTACTATTTGGATCAAGAGTATTTAGAACTTTCATTGTATGGGAATAAAAAACAAAATGGTATATTCAGACACATGGATATGAAATGGAAGATTCAAAGATAAACAGAGACGAGGAAGAAATGGAACGAAAGTAGAAGGAGGGGAAGAGGAGCAGCTATGCCTTGGCCGTGGCTGCCCAGTGGTCATGTAGACTCCACGCCCCTGCCATGAAACTGATTAGCCCGGTCAGGCTTTCCGGGATGCCGATTCCTTTCTCCAGGCACCAGTGGATGCACAGAGGAGCCCAGATAGTGTTGTTGAGCAGACTCTTGCGCCACGATCGGACCTCCATGCGCAACTCCTGGATCTCCTCCGTCTTGGTCTCCTTGGTTTCAATATTGTTGGCGGCCGCTTTTTGCGCCGCGATGCGTCTTTTCCGTAGCACGTGCTGGCGCCATAGCACGAAGAATTCAAAGAAAATATGTCCAAACCATCCGCGGGTGCTCCAGATGTACCATTTATCGATACCGCCGTATCTGTCGACGAACCGTTTTGATACGACACCCTTGGAAGCGAGGTACGCCACGTTTTCCAGTAGCTGGTAGATGACATTGGAGAAGACCTGTAAGAGAGTAAGGGCGTGAATGACGGGGTCGGCAGGTGGCGATTTGAGCGTAGCTGAGCCCCAGACCCATAAAGGGAGCAGTCCGAACAGGCGCAGGTTGTAACGAGTCTCCGAGGCGAGATTCGATAGTGCTTCCCACTTCGAGCCTGATGACGGGGTGGGTTTGCTGCTTTGTAAAGAGGCACGGCCTCTCAGCCGTGCGAGGAGACCTAGTCGGGTTTGAAATGCAATCCACGGTGCCGAGGCGCACAGATGATGCATCATTGAAGCGACATAGTTTACCGTCGCAAGCACTCGTTCTTGTCCATCGGCCGTAGATAGGAGCCTGGAAATTCGGTCAGGAAGGCGTTTACCAAGCGACAACCACGTCCGGGCAACATAGCAAGGTCGGGAATTGGCCAGAAAAAGCATATGGGGCAGCGATGCTCACATATCTAACCGGCGAATAGTCACATCTGTCGCCGTCAAGGCCGCCATCACCTGTCGCGGTGTAGTCGATTTCCCCGCGGCAGCTTCGCTCGTCCCCACATGCTGAACGTTATCCTTTGCTGCGTTGGAGGGGTCAGGAGGGTGGTCGGGGTCCGCCATGGTCATGTCGGTGCAGGGAGAGAGAGGGTCAGGAGGACCAACGTCTCAAATTTTAAACGAGAAGAAGATGAATACAAAAAAAAACACGCGGCGGGACCTTATCAGAACGGAAATCCCGCGCTCCTTTGACTTGACCGCGGAACCGAGGCTCGTCGGAACTGGGCTTTGGCTGGGGCGGACAAGGTTAGGCTTGCCCGACTCGGCGGCCGCCTTTCACGCGGGTTCCGGGGGACTCCACTCGATGGATACTGCCCCATCATGGTGAACGTGCTCGTTGATCGTCTCATATCTTTGCTTGCATTCTTGCCGTATTAATAATGATGTCTGTGCTGCATAGCTGGTCTTTCCGGACGTAGATTTGTTCGCGTGCAGCGCATGCAGCGGCGCCGATACGCATCCTGGTAGACAGGATCGACTTCCCCCCTGACTCGCACGACTGCTCGTAATCTCCCCCTTTTTTTCCGATGACTGAGAGCCTAATACTCCGAGTAGGTGTATGTGAGGGCAAATAATCCAAGTTCCCCTCACAATCTATCATCGGGATGCATCAAATCATCCTCGGTTCCACCTCTGCTTGATGATCACTTAGTGATCACTCAGGTTGGAGATTACCTGTTTCTGCAGCATGGATATGGTTTCGGGACCCTCGGAATCTTGGATCATCGCTCGAAGCTTACTGGGAGGCCCAGTGGATGCAGACGCGGGCTCTTTGTCGAGATGCTGCTGCGTCAGCATCGTCGGAGAGCGTGAGGCGTCGCGTGTCAACCAAAGGAAGTCATTATCCACTTGATCTGGCTCTCCTCTGAGAGTTAGCAAGCTCATATTCGCTACAACCCTATCCTGCAGCTCTTCTGCGGGTGGTGTGTTGTAAAAAAATTCACATCTTCTCGAGATCGACAGCAAGCAGTCGCTTCCTCCGTTGCTGCTAGAAAGAAAACATCTTCTCATTACTGGAAGCGATGCTCAGTCATGGTCCGCAGCTTTGAGGCATCGGAAATGGGACGGCGCAGGTATTCCGGGATTCGGGGCGGTTCGGTGTATGGCTCGTTCGCAATGGCATCAATGCTTCCCCAGGCACATTCCTCTAGGCCAGGCTCGCAGTTACCGCAAGCCTGCAGGCGACATGTTGCGCTCCTTTGCTTCTTTACCAAAGGTACGCTGATGGTGGTGCCGCCTTGGCTGCTGCGCCTAAGAGCCTCTCTGCTGAGCCAATTTGCCAAACTTCCCGAATTATCAATCGATTCTCTTTCCGAATGTTGCGCAACAGATCTTCGTGCCCTTTTTGCAAAGGTCAAAACCTTCATTTTCTGGTCCAGCAGCTTCTGGACTTGCTCATTGGTGTACTCGCCAGCTGCGATTCCTTTCTGGACCCATGGTGCCAGGATGCTGAGATCTTCCTGTATAGGTTCAGCAGCAGGATCGAACGGCGAAAAGTCCGCTGTATCTGCAGTACAGACGTAAAGAAATCGAACTGTTCTATGACAGACCCTGCACCAGAACCTGGTGAGCAAGCCGAAGCATCGCAACACGGTCTCGTGGCTGCAGAAATAGCCTGGTCGAGGGCTATAGCGGGCTTCTCGACATGCGAGTGGGCTTTCTTCAGAGCCAACAGGCACACAGTGTTGATGGGCCGACAAAGTCATTTCGCCTGACTGGCAAGAGTGCTGAGGAAGATCTGAACAAACTTTAGTCGCTTCAAAGAGCTGTGGACTGTTAAAAATTTCAAATTTCTGATCGAGCCGATCAGAATCCTGGTCGTTCATGGCCTGTGAGTTGCCCATGCTGCTCTATAGTGGCTGGTCCTTGATACTCGTTTGAAGACCAGAGATCGTTGACTGGATTCAATAGTTGGACCACATGGTCCAAGTTCAATGTGAAATCGTCGTTGCTTGAAGAAACTTGCTTTATCAGAGAAGGTCCTGGAAGAGAGAGAAGATCATGAGAAGGAGGGGTTTCGTTCTGATGTTGGAGTGGACGAGAAGGGTGACTTCTTAGTTCAGCACGCAGCTGATTTCGGCAAGTCCTGCAGCCAGATATTCAGAATCCGGGAGGCTTCTACCATCCCCAATACTTTTCTTTTTTTCACATGATTCCACCCGTCGCCAGCCAAACTATGACTACATTGTGACAATGATCAATTGTAGTATCTCATCAAACATCGGAAAGGCTTGCTGGCAAGCAGACGTTTTGCAAACACCAGGGCCATGATGATTTCCCTGACTAGGCAGGGGGTGTTCTGGACCACTGTCCCTGATCTTCAAAAAATACCCCACTGGATATCCTGGTGGCTCCTGATTGACTGTTGGATTTCATACCGAGAATACATCGCGCTCCTTGCCGTCGTCAAAGTTCTCATCATTGTTGCTAACTGGGGTGGTCGAGTTCATATCCGACTCTCACCATTCCTCGCCATGAACTTCGTCCTCATCATCTTGGGGGTCGACAACGTCCTAAACCCCATCTTCGCCCACAGCTGGATCATGCTGCTCACAACTCAGGTCCGCATCTATGAATTGAGGGTCATCGCTCTCATCATGATCGCTGGAATAGACTGGGAGCTGGGTTCCCCGACCTAACACCCGTATGGTTATGTCCTGAGACCCAGACTGCCCTGCTGGGGAGTAGGATGGGAGATCACTGCTGTCGAAGCTAAGAAGATCTAGGCCCGGGAGTCTGCCTTCTATGCTCGTTATCTGAGCAATCCATGCCGCCATTTGCTGCACCTCGTTCTGCTCTTCGCCTGGGGGCATGAGTCCAGGGAGTATAGGCATATTGATCTCCGTTGCCACAAGACAGGCATACCGATGAGGATCAGCGTCAGCCATCGCCACTAACTCATCTGGCCGAAGGTCGCGGCTGGGATGGCTGGCTCGGCCGGGAGGGATGATTCCTGCAGCCACCGCATCCTCATGCTCGTTGACCTCCCGCATATGCTCGAGGAGGCTGATAATGTCGGCTCGCGAATGGCCCATTCCCGGAAATGTGGAACGGTCGTCGCCATTCTGCTCTTCGGTGGCAGGGAGATTTGTGGGTGCAGTCATGAAGCTCTCGTCGTCCCCAGAGCCGTCGGTGGAGGCTTGCATGTCATGCAGGGGGTCCTCAGCCCCCGCCGCTGTAGGTCCATTGGCAGCTTCGGATGGGAAAAGGTCATCAACGACCTCACCAGCGAGGAAAGGCTGTGTTGGTCGAGCCCGAACTCGGGCCGACTCCTGTACCTCACTATATGGAGGAGGAGAAGACATGTTGGTATGCACACCGGCGAAGTGCCGCTGCATGAAAACGCAACAAGAGACTTGAAAAGGGAGCCTTCAATAGGCTCGACGAAGCGATTGGGGTGGGTGATAGTGTGGAGGGGGCACGGTGGGTGGGTGCGAGAACGAGGATGAGAACAATGATGAGATCGCTCATGTTTTCTTGTGCAGAAGTGTGCACGCACCTTGACGACTCAGCAGCAATATGGCGCACCAAGCCTCTCCACCCTGTCAAGAAGAGCTTCCAGGGCCAAGTACATTGGTGCCTCTGGCTTCAAGCTAGCCGCCATGTCTACAGTGGTTCCCGATGTCCCCGTGGCTTTTAAGCATCCCCGCCAGTATATGGGCTATCCATTCCACATAGACCGCTGACTAGCTTCACAAAGCCGCTGCCTTGTCTTTTAACTTATGTTTCAGGCGATTGAATTAATATGCAAAATGATGTATGGTCACAAAGGTCAAACGCCGGGTTTGATAGACCATTACCTGGACTGGGTTCTTGGCAGTAGGATTTGCCTTTCTATAAGCTATATTGTGACTGAAGTACATAGTAAGATGGGGCCAGGTGAGTCAAAATGATTCTGGGGGTCAGGTAGATGTCTCCTTCGTTAATGTAGGCAGTTTGCCGGTGCTTGCGCAAGACTGATCTCGGCGGCGGAATTCCTGGCATAACGCACCCCGGCGGTTTTGGTGGGCGGAAAATGATCGGATGGAAACAGAGAAGCTGCTGGATGCAGGAATACATGCTACAATCGGTGTTGTGTAGCTGAAAGTGAAGAAAGGAGCCGGGCATGAACTAGTGGAGCGCGGTAGATATGCAGAAAGTTGATATAGTTGTAGTGGGTCAACTTGGGCAAAAAGTCTCTTAATAGAAGGTCTCTCTCAGAGAAAGTGAGCACTAGGGATCAATATAGAGAGCAAACTCAGATTATCTAGAGGTTGGAATCGCTAATGAATGAGATAAATACCATCCAAAAATGATGGTGATTGAGATATGAGGAAATTCACTTTCTATTCACTCTGAAATCCGTTTGCACTGCTCTGGCTTGTCATCCGCACTCTCGAGAAAAGCGGATACGGGGGAGTGCGGGTGTCCGGCCGTCAAAACGGATACGACGGGGGAATAGGAGCGAATCAACCATGAAAAGGTGCGTGTGTGTGTGGAGGGGGAGGGGGGGGGGGTGGGTGTCATTTTGCGGAATGGCCATAGCAGAACCAATGATGGAGTCTATTCCTACTGGTTTTTGCCCGACGTGGATGGAGAACAGCCGAGTATGAAAGGATGAAAGAGTATGAGGAGTATAAGGAGCATAAGGGAAAGATAGGGGAGATCTTACAGGCCATTTCTGCCAGAGCAGGGGTTCCCCAGGAAATAAAAAACCATAAAACCATAAAACCATAAAACCATAAAACCATAAAACCGCAAAACCACAAAACCACAATATTCCACTTCTTGCTCGTCTGCCATGGGCATGCTACAAGTCGTGTTCATGATCGGGCAGGAGGTGGCCATCGTGTCGGGGGGTTCCGATGGCCTCCGCCAATGGAGCCATGGATCTCGCCGGGGACAGCCCCATCGTGCATCTGCCGACCAGAGCGACCGGGCCCTGCCCAGATCCCCCATATATAGGCGTTTTTGGCCCTCTTGATGGGCTGTGTGCCCTTGTTTCGACCTCGTCCATCCTGTGGTGCTGTCACTTGGTCCTTTGCTCCTTCGAGGCTGGTCTTGGGTGTCTCTGTTATCTCTCTCATCTCATCGGCATCGTCTGCATCAGCTGTGTCCGGTACGTTGTCAGATTGGCAGATTAGCAGATTGGCCGGGAGACGCGCCTCGGTTGTCCTCCAGCCGGTGGCTCGGCCGGTCCCCCCCAAACCCGCCGTCTGCCCCAAACACCCAAAACACCCCCAAACATCCCCCTCGGGCCTCCAACCTCCATAAACAAAACAACCTCCCGCTCCACCTTCTTCCTCCTCCTCCCACCTTCCTCGTTGGGTATTGTTGCTTGACTTCTTCACGCCTTCTGGACGGGTCATTAACTCTCGCTTTCTGTGACAGGCGCATCCGCTTCTCGACTCCCAGCCCCTCGGCCCCGATTCTCTAAGTCATCATGTCTGTCAAGTTCCAGGAGGAGACCATTCGCGCGGTCACCGGCGGCAAGTCGGAGGATCTCGCGCACCGCGTCGGTGAGCGATTGACCGGTGGAAAGACCCAGACGGGTTATCTGGCGGTATGTACAAGTCGGGCGACACAATGACCAGCATATATCCCCAGTCCCCAGTATTCCCCAGCCGCCCGCTCCTCCCCCTCTCAAGCTGGTCGCCATGTCGCCGTGTCACCGACACCCCGACAGCAGAATCAAACCAAGCTGTCTACGCCTAGAACGTGTCGCTAATTCCCGAGGAATGGATCGTCATAGGCCTACCTCCGCCAGCTCCAGCAGAACCCGCTGCGCACCAAGATGCTTACCTCTGGTGTCCTCTCCGGTCTGCAAGAGCTCCTCGCCTCGTGGCTCGCCCATGATGTCGGCAAGCACGGCCACTACTTCAGCTCGCGCATCCCGAAGATGTCGCTGTACGGCATGTTCGTGGCCGCGCCGCTGGGTCACGTCCTGATTGGCATTCTCCAGAAGATCTTCGCCGGTCGCACCAGCCTGAAGGCCAAGATCCTCCAGATCCTCTTCAGCAACTTGATCGTACGTCTCTCCTTCCTCTCTTGCCCCTTCCGATCCCGACCGGAGACTCATTTCGCGCGTTTTCGTCCCTTTTAGATCTCCCCCATCCAGAACAGCGTTTACCTGTGCTCAATGGCTATCATCGCCGGCGCGCGCACCTTCCACCAGGTTCGCGCTACCGTCAAGGCCGGCTTCATGCCCGTCATGAAGGTCAGCTGGGTCACCTCCCCGCTCGCCCTGGCTTTCGCACAGAAGTTCTTGCCTGAGCACACCTGGGTGCCTTTCTTCAACATCGTCGGTTTCTTCATCGGCACCTACGTCAACACCCACACCAAGAAGAAGCGCCTCGAAGCCCTGCGCAAGGTAGGACCTTCCCCCTCCTCATCCCGTCCTAAAGAGGACCCCGGCTGACATATCCTATAGCGCTACGACCAGCGCCGTGACCCCGCATACGAGAAGCGCGACTACCCTTAAATAGACCCCGTTGCGCCTGTAGATGAGCTCCCGGTGGTGGACAAGCTACCCGCGCCGGCCGCCCCCATTGCTCCCGCGATCCGCCTTGTTGATCTCATCTGCAAATCCCCCCCCCCCCCTCCCCGATTCCCCTTTCTTTTGTATCTCACGTCTTGATCCTTGGTGTTTTGAAGAACATCCTATGTACACATGCCCTCTCACATCCTGCATCGTTGGATACGCCAGATATCTTTCTCCCCTGATGTTTATTTTTTCAATCTTACGACGAATGCCCTTCCCCCAATATACAAACCCCTTCCACCGGTCCCCCAGATCGTGGAGATCAGATACATAGGCTAGATCTCTGGGAATCCGCCCGCAACTCTACTAGGCATTGGCTACACTGGAAGTTATGTCCATTTCCCTCTCGGTGTAGATAGAAACCGAAGAAATGCAGCTTTGTTCCTGTACCACTATTTGGACCCGCCGTGCACCCGCAGAATTGCTCGATGCATGGCGTCTTGACCTAGTGATTGACCGAACTCCCCTCCCTCGGCAGTCAAGGAGCGAATGCTCCCATGCAGTACTGTAGATGTAGATATCGCCCCAGAGCGAGCCTCTCAACGCCCACTTCCTCCTTCCCACCACCTTCCTGGCGCCATCGGCCATAGAGATGCCCGCATAACTCACCCAGCGCTTCCAAAAGCTCCCTCTTCACTCGACCTCCATTTCATTCCCCCTCTTCGCCTGCACAAACGCCACGAAATCGTCCAGCGCCCCAGGCCACGCCCCATCCGCACTCCACCACCCGAACTGTTCATCCTCACGCGTCTTGCGCATGAATACTTCCGTCTGCTCCCACAGGTCCTTGTTGACGGGCTTCTTGCCCCGACCCTCGAGGAACTCGAGCCACCAGTCCAGCCAGGGCGTCGAGTCCGTGTTCCACGACGCTCCGCCCCGGTCCGCTGTAAAGAACAGCTGCCACTGGTCCGATGCAATCTCGAACTGCAGGTTGCGCTGGCCTTGCATCCGCAACAGCGGGAACGAGTACCGGTATACCCGCCGGAAGAGCTCGGGGTCTGACGGGATCCGGGTGCGCAAGGTTTTGATGTAGCTGCGCATTTTGTCAATGGTGTCGCACCTGGGACCGGGGGTTAGTTCGCGCTGGGGATGATGCGAGGGGAAGACTTGAAAAAGGGAAGAAGGGTGACGGACTGTGCGTGCCGCCAGCCGGCTATGAACTCGTCGCGTCGGAACTCGCCCATTGTGGGTGTTTTGCATAGCTCGAGTACACCGAGGCACGCTACTTCATCTAGCTTAACGCCGATATCTGTCAGGAACTGCATGGCCCCGTCGAGGCCGATGGTATCCGGGTCGGCGGGCGTGTCATCTGCGTCTCTAGGTTAGTCCTGTGCGGGAGAATTGGAAGAAAGGCACTCACCGCAGTATTTGTCGAAAATAGAGCTGAGTGATTTCCGCAACGGGCTGCGACCGCTGCTTGTAAAGTCTGTGAAGTATCTGTCGCGGGCGGAGTTATATCAGCAAGATTCTTTGGTGGAGGTTTGCCTCAGACCATGTATGCTAAGTAGATGTAACGAAGATGCTCGACCGACGCTTGGCGATGAACAGAGCAGTGGATTTGGGTTGTCATCCCCTTGTATACCACAGAGGTTATGTTATGTTCTTGCCGCTAAATGCCAACCTGGATAACCCTGATTGCAAAGCGGAGCGCCACCTGGAAACAAGGCATTCCAGAACAAAGACGCCAGGATAGCCACGTGCATGCTTAAATAGCCCGAGGAATGCAGGAGAAGATCGAATAATATGAGACTCACGCATTCGCCGCCCGTTCAACGTCCCAAAGTGCATTTTTGAGGAACTATATCGGATGATCAGTCTGGAGCTTTGCGCGCGACGGGACTGACAATCAGACTCTGGAACGGTAGTGGCATAGAACACATTCGCCGAGCGCAGAATCATGGAGCTCATACCTTCACAGCTACACTATCCTTGGCTTCAGTTAGAGCCACAAATTGAGAGATGGCTGTTTTCTGCGTCCCTGTGTAAGGTGGCATGGTGGGGTTGTGATATTGCTGCCCCGCTACTCAAGCTAGGTCGAAATGAGCAGGAGAAGTGGCAAATGGGATCTTAAATGGGGTAAATAAAGGGAAAGAATTAAAGACAGGAGATGTCATCCAGGATGGAGAGGTTTTCTCTGGAACAAGCCCAGCTTAACGATCTGATGATGGGCACTGTCTGCGGGCACCGCTGGGACGGAGATGACTAAGCACTTTATGCCTGAGGCCTGAAAATGTGTAAATCGGAGCAGCCGAGGGCCAATTCGAAGGACTTGTTCAAATACGCCGCCGAATTAACCACGATGAATCAGATGAGAATCGGCATAAACTCGGGAACTTGCACATACTGTCGACATACCATGCTGCAATATGGAAGCCCCAACTTTGATCTCTACGAAGATAAGGTAAAATAAACCAAGGTTGCGTAAGGACCCTGATCAAACAGGACATGAAATTCATATCAAAGCAGTCAAAGGACTTTTGTATAATGTAACATAGATACACTCCATAAACTCCAATCCCAGATCGAGTATGCGAACGTGCAGTATCCCTTCCAGCCGCCCAGAATTCCCGCTCAGGTCGTGAACATCGAGTCTTCCTGTTACATCTTAGTAAATGCTGTGATATATAAGGGACGTTATGGTCACCCACCTCACGCAGGTATTCACCGCAATCGCCCTGGCGCGCCAAAAATATCGCAGTCGGTTCCAACTTCTTGAGCTCGGCTGTTGACCGCAGCGTGACGCCGAAGCCGAGGGGTGTGTCATCCATGCTGAATACAATAACGCCCGAATTTGCGGGAGTCTCTTCCGAGATACGGCCGACATGGGCCTTGACAACGTTTCCTCCGTATAAGAACTATAAGACAAGTAAATAAAATGCCACCACCGGGACATACGGAGGGAGATGTGGGGAAGAGGGAAACCAACAGGCATCTCGCCATTCTGCTTGATGTAGAGCTTGGATCTGGCGTGAGGAGCAATGACGGCTAAAGCCGTAATATGCAGTCTGAACTTTCCGGTCTTGGTAAATTTGCCCATAAGCTGCATATAACATTAGCTAGTCTGTTTCTTGTGCGTCGTGTGCGGACGACTACTCACAGTGCCAATGGACAGCAAATTTGCGCGCGGGATAGCAGAGGCGAGGTTTGCCTGGGTCAGGCTGCAATAAAACACTCGATCTCTTTGTAGGCGAAAGACCATTTGGTCAGATTGACCTTCTCCAGAAGGTCCGGCGATCAGAGTCTTGAGCTCGCTGCCGCAATAGTTTGCGAGCTTCGTGAAGAGCGTCCTATCCACAATGAGTTTCCAAGTAACAACGGTATTGAGGATGTCTGACGAACCGAGTCTCTTCTTCAGTGAGTTGACGCATTGTGAAAATATTAGGCGATCGTAACCGGGAGGGATAAAAGTTGAAGTTCGCGCGATATGCTTCCTTGAGATCGGGAGGCTGCGGTCTCGGTGGGGGGCGTCAATGATTCGGTGCTGGAGGGCTTCTTGACGAATGCAATTGACAATCCGGTATTGGTTCTCAAGCGTTTGGTCGGCTCACGAATCCAGGTTCTTGACGAGGGTCGCGCAGTCGTTCCTGGGGTTCCTGATCTCGCGAAGAAAAAAGTCAAGTGGAGCCGCAGAAAAGTGGAAGCTTTGGGTCTTGGCGGCAGAAAAAAAGTTCGGGACCGCGTTCGGTGCCCGCAGACCCTGCAATTCTTCAACGTTCACAACAATATCGCAGCAACCACAATGGCTCGCGGACCGAATGCAAAGCGGAGGCGGCTGAGCCCTCCTGATGACAGGAAAAGTGCGAAGTCCCAGAAAGATGCCGAGTTATACGGCCAAGAAGACGAATGGGACGTCGAGCAGGACTACGAGCGCCGGCCGCGCAAAACCACCAAAAAGTCCGAAGAACGCACCCGTTTGCCCATTAAGACCTCCGAGGGCTTTGTTCACGCTGTCGAGGATCAGGAAAATGCTGCCGAGGAGACCGATAGTTTTCTCGGAACCGACGACGACGACGATGAGGGTAGCGGGGAGGATGAGGAGATGGAGGAAGTGGAGGAGAAAAAGCCCAAGATTCCGATAAAGGTGCAAATCATGCAAGCCAAAGAGGACCTAGCTCGGATTGCTACCTTGATCAACGAGGACCCCGAGGAGCATATCGCGCTCTTCAAGACTATGGCTGAGATGGTGGATAATCCCGACTCGCCTGTCACCGTGAAGAAGCTTGCCCTGGCATCGCAGGCAGCGGTCTACAAGGATGTCATCCCCGGATACCGTATTCGTCCTCTTAGCGAAGAAGACATGACCGCGAAAGTTTCGAAGGATGTGCGCAAGCTTCGAAATTTCGAACAGTCGCTGGTTTCAGGATACAAGAACTATGTCCACAAATTGTCTGTGCTGGCGAAGCCAGGCAGGACCCAAGTTGACCCTGGTCTCAAGAGCCTCGCAATTAATTGCGCCTGCAGTATGCTTGAAGCGGTGCCGCATTTCAACTTCCGCGGCGAGTTGCTGAAGATTATCGTAAATCGACTTGCAAGGAAGCAAGTGGACGCCGATGTGACCAAGTGTCGCGAGACTTTGGAGGACATCTTCTCCAAGGACGCCGATGGAATGGTCTCCCTCGAGGCAGTCCGTTTGCTTTCCAAGATGATCAAGGCGCGAGAATTCCGTATTCACGAGAGCGTCTTGGATACTTTCCTCTATCTCCGCCTACTCAGCGATTTTTCAAGAAAGGCCTCCCAAAACCGAGTCGACCGAGAAGAACGCGCGGATGATATGCCTCATGGCAAGAAGCAAAAACAAAAGCGCGAGTTTCGAACAAAGCGAGAGCGAAAAGTGGAGAAAGAGCGCAAGGTTGTCGAGAAAGATATGAGGGTTGCGGATGCATTAGTGTCTCACGAGGAACGAGACAAAAACCAAGCCGAGACTTTGAAACTTGTCTTCGGTGTCTACTTCCGCATCCTAAAGCACCGTATTCCCAACCTCATGGGCCCTGTCCTTGAGGGCCTGGCGAAATATGCCCACCTCATCAATCAAGACTTCTTCGGTGACCTCCTGGAAGCTCTAAAAGATCTAATTGGTCACGCCGAACGTGACGAACTTCGCGACGAAATCTCAGACAACGAGGAGGACCAAGATAATGAACGAGATGTCGCGTCCGAAGCTAGCGCTCGTGATGCTCGCCGCGAGACTCTGCTCTGCACCATCACTGCCTTTGCCTTGCTTTCGGGACAGGATGCTAGCAAGGCCGCATCGACTTTGCATCTGGACCTGAGCTTCTTCGTCAAGCACCTCTACCGATCCCTCTATGCCCTTTCCACTAACGCCGATGTTGAGTTTAACCCTAACACCTCACTCCGCCTGCCTGACCCCAGTGCTGCTGGGGACGATGATGATGAACCTTACCGATACAAACCGAGAAACAGGGTCAACTTCCAAACCCCCATGGTTTTGCTCCTTCGCTGTTTGCAATCGACCCTGATATCTCGTGCGCACGGCCTCCCCCCACCTGTCCGACTAGCCAGTTTCTCAAAACGCCTCATGACCACGTCACTCCAGTTGCCTGAGAAATCTGCGATTGCTACTTTGTCCCTGATGAACCAGGTCTCCAAGCATCATGGTCGCCGCATCTCACCTCTGTGGCACTCCGACGAACGCAAAGGTGACGGCGTGTTTAATGCATACGCAACTGATGTTGAGGCTACAAATGTCTTTGCAGGATCCGTGTGGGAAGGCGAGTTGCTGCGCCAGCATTATTGCCCGCAAGTACGTGACGCAGCGCTCAATATCGAGAAGTTGGTTACTGCGCAGAAATAAGCGTATTTTTGTGAATATATAGCATATTTAGTGTGCGATGCATGTTCAAGATCTGTTGTAAATGGGAAAAGCGATTTTTTTGATTTGAATTAAGATGACCGATTAGATATTCAGACAGTTTAATTTTACATGTCACGTTATCACCGGCAGATCCATGCCGTTTCCAACTTGGATCCTCGTCAATGATCTTACGTGAAAACCTGGTAAATCAACGATCCTGCTGCCCTACATCGTGACTTCGCCTGCCCTGTTCTCGTATCTCTCACACGTCTCGAACCATGACTCCGTGGCATCCCCCATAGTGTACAGGATTGGAGGGGTAACCCAGTATGGTCACCGCAGGTAGAACAGCATTTTTGAATCACATAGCTCCGGGAATCAACACTCGATGCAGCGAGTCAGCGGACTTCGCTTCTTCCAGAGACGCGATCCCAATCTGGACTCTCCTCGTCTGCGTCACCAAGGAGAGGATTCTGCATATCTTCAATGGATTGGCGAATCGCGACGGAGTCGCGGATGCAAGCCTCAGGATGATCATGATAAACATCAGGAGCGAGAAATTCTGTGGTAGAAGGCTTGTTGTCAGGAGAGCAAGTAGGAGTAGAAGCAGGAGAGACAGGCTTGACGCCAGCCTGCTTTGCTCCATTGTCTTTGATTTCACCACCTTTGTTCGAACTAGCACTCTCCGAATGCCGTTGGGCGGATGCGGGAGACGATGGCGACCCGTCATCCATTGGGGCTTTCTGCACGGGGTTTCGAAATGCAGGGTGAACAACACTCACCATCGCAAGATTGCCTTGCATGGCGCGGATTATTGGAACCGGAATGGGGGGGACGGGCGGCGTGGACGAGCGCGAACTGCCATTATCTGGAGTTGGGGCATCCTTCAGACGACGGCTGTATGCCCAGGAGAACTTGCCTGTGCTGCTGGCAGAACTGTCGCTAGGATTGCGACGGCGGCGGAGACCAAAGACATTCCATTTCTTCGACTCTTCGTTCGTGCTGCCTTGTTCTTCTGATTCGAGCACTGTAGGTGCAGTGTCTCTCATGCTTTTTCGAAGACCTCTCTTCGTGAAAGATACACTGCGCGGGAAGACAATTCCTGACTTCGCTAGTGCAGTGGTCACAACTCTACTTCGAGCTGGAGATGTTGGAACAGAGTGAGGACCAGAAGGAGCAAGAAGATCAGCTTGCTTGATCAAGGGCTCGGCGCTAGCAGTACTTGACTCACTTTGTCGCTGCTGGGTCTGAGGAATAGCCTGGGGAGCAGTTGAGAAAGGAGGGATTGAAATAGAGGCCTCTCGCTGATTCTTTAGATAGGCGATTTCATTCTCGATTTCTGCATTCTTTTGGTGCTGGTAGTCGATGAACTTTTGATTATCATCAGATGAATGCTTGGCGATCAAGTTTTCAGTCTTTTGATTTAGTTCTTCATAGGAGCGAGCCAATGACCGCACTTCAGCTTGTAGTTCGTCCATGACTCTCATTTCGAAGACATTGAGTCGCCGCTCCATAACGCCAATCTCCAGCCGGATATCCAACTGGAACTTCATCATCTCCCGCGAGATTTCATACTGGCGAGAATGAAGATCTGAGTTGGCGCGTGACAAATCTCCGATGCCTTCAATCTGGTTCTTGAGTTGATCGCCGATCCAGCTTGAGAGTTCTTCCAGTTTCTTGTTCAGGCTGGTCGTTCCGGAATCAGCCTGTCGCTGAATAGATCGCACCATGTCAACAATGTTATCGACATGCGTTGCGGTGCTGCGGTTGCGGATCTCTGCGGAAATGGGTTTGTCTAGGGGCAAATTGGCCTTATCAAGGCGCTCACTGAAAGAAGACATGTAATTTGGCAGGGACGTCACAGGAGGCTCATTTTCGGCATAGGCAGTTGGAGATTGGCGCTTCGGCGTGGACCGAGTGCTTGAAGACGGCGCTGGTGAAGGAGAGAATCCTTCCAGCCACGCCTTTGGAAGGTACTTGACTTTACCGGTCCCCTCTGTGAGGTCAGAAGCGTTGGGAGGGGAATACCCGGTTGGAGGGTAATCTGGTGCAGTGGTGTGCAATACAGGCGGGATTTGCTTCCTACAGGGAGTCTCAGGACTGGAACGCGTCACAACAATGTCTGGCTGATTGCTTCCAACCGAGATTCGTCGTTCAGTCTTGCTAGAAGTTCCAGTCGTGTCTTTGCTAGCCATGGGATCGGGGACAATCCTGCGTTGACTGCCCCAGCTGCCGGGACGACGACTGCTTAATGCTCTAGAAGGTGCCAACCCCCCTGGGAATAGGATAAAGCTCCTAGGGGAGGGACCGGGATCCTGGTGGGCGCAGGAGCGATCTGCGAAATTGACATGGTGGACGCAAGGCTTGCTGGAGAGGGTCTCTTTAACTCAATGGGCTTTGAATCAATAGCGGAGGCTTTATGCTTGAAACCAAAGCTACTTTGAGGAGATGATATAGCACCAATAGTAGTTTGGCGATGAAGGTGACCTCTAGGAACCTCAGTAGCGGGTAAACCAGGAATGGAAACCCTGCCCTCATCTTGAGTAGCCTCTTTGCGCAAGTCTTTGAAACTGAGCTTCGATTTGATGATTTCCAAACGTGACTTTTTCTTTCCATCACCTGGAGATGGAGGCTCGGGGATAGGTATTTCCTTGGCAGGACAGGGTTCTGATATGACACGCTTCTTCAGAAGATGAGGCCCGATGGTTTCTTCTCCAAGAGCTGTGATTTCCTCGCCGGAATCAAGTTGAGAATGGCGGGGTTTCGGCATTGGAAGTGCAAGCTCCTCATTGTAATCTAGCCCAGACGACAGCTTGCGAGACATGCTGGGTCTGAGCGTATCCTCGATTGGACTGTCTGGGTTCGAGCTCCCTGGAAGTGGTACGGGTCAGTGAACAAGAAGATCAGAAGCCCGTATTTATTTAATAGATAGAGAGCATATCTAGGAATGGCTTGTTTTGGTTTCTTACCAGTGCTCTTGCGAGGAAGCTTGCTGTGCTCGATCCCACGGGCCTTCATGACGGCAAAGGCGTTACCTGGATGTCCTATCTTATCGCTCAGATCAAGGCCAAGCTCTGACAGACGTGTTGTGGATGACTTAGAGCCAGGGGTTCTGGGTTCACCAGAGTAGGCTGGAAGGTTGCCGTGGGAGGTTGTATTCGGGCTACCCGCGGTCTTCTGGGTTTCTGAAATGTGAGCGGAAGCCTCCATTTCAAATAGAGTGTGATAGATAGACAAATATTGCAGGGGAGAGCAAACAGGTTATTCGATACTTGAGACAGATGGGAGGAGAGATGAAAGGTCAAGGAGAAATGGATGAGGTGATTGAGAGAAGGGGAAATGTGATGACTGACTTGGTGATGGCAAGGGCACCTATTGTTAGCAGCAGCTTGGGTCTAGATGAGAGAAGAAGGGTTCACCCACTTTGAGACTGCAACTACATTTGAGAAACAAACTGAAAACTGGTCATATCCATTCATTAACTTATCGTAAAGGGGCCTCATTAAATACATCTTGGCGACACTGGACGATGCTTCGACGATTTCAAGTGGAAACATGCCCGGCTCGCCAACATGAGAGGGACAAAAGGAAATCATAAATCCATAAAAAAGGGCAAGGAAACAAATCCACGCAAAGATGAAGCATCCCAAAGGGCGACATCAGCATAACAAAATCCCGAGAGAAAAAAAAAGGAAACTCGTAAACAATACAGGGGAATCAATAGCGGAGAGAAAACAGTCTGATAACTTTTGTGCAAAGTGAATCTTGTCGCGTTCCTCAGACTTGCTGTGTGCAGTAGCGAGGGGGAGACACGGTTTCTCAACGACCTAAGGCGCGGAAGAGCAGTATCGCAAGAGGCACTGCGGCAATGGCAATCCAAAACAGGGTCCTGATGAAAGCCATGTTAGTAACCGCGAAAGCGACACTCCGTGCTATGGGGAAATCGGTAATGTAGATACGTCCCGCTCTCCACGTGCAGCATCAAGGAGCGAGGGAACGATGAGGGTGTAGTTCAGCACAATCTTATTTCGCGTTCTTACCGCGACGGCGGAAAGGTGCAAAGATAGAACCGAAGAACCCCACAAAGACCGTGCGCAGGAATGCCTTGAGCCAGTTGTCATGTGTACTATTCAGAGAAACAGCAGTCACTGACCGGTTCTGGCTCACAGGACGAGCCTCCTCTTCTTCATTTGAGTTATCGGCGGCATGATCAGGACTAAGTTGAGCGGCCGAAGTCTCAACGGGTTTCTGGCTAGACTCTTGGGTAGGCTCAGCCTCGGTCTCTACGCGGGCTCGCTTGTCATCGGTCTGCTCCACCACGGCAGTGGTCAATTGGTCTGTAGATGGCTGGTTGAGCTTGCGGAGCAAGGCTTCACGATCGCCTGCAAGCGCTGCGAGAACTGGATCAGCTTCGAAGGACGGCATGGACGCGTTTTGCGAAAGAGCGAATGGCAACGGCTTACAGTCTTCGGGCTGTGTTTCCGCAACAGGTGCCTTGCTCTCGGTCTTGTCATCGGCAGGCCCGTCGTGCACAGCAGGAGCCGGAGTTGACTCAGACTCGTGTAGTAACCCAGACGACACACTGACAGCAGCGACACCAGCGGCCGCAGCGGCCGCTCCGGCAGCGAGAATTCCGGGAGTCAGAACGCTGTCCTTGGCAGCTTCATCCTCGGCATCCCGAGGGGCCTCCTCAGCCTTTTCCTCTGGCTGAGCAGAGGCTTCAGGAGCTTCTTCCACAGCCTGCTTAACAACAGGATCCTCTTCTTCTGCAGCCGGCGCCTCATTAGTCTCGGCCGGCTCTTCAATTTGAGCAGCAGGCTGAGGCTCTTCTACAGAGGCAGTCGGCTCCTCAACTGGTGCCGGAGTCGCGACATCTTCGGAAGTCTCTTCAATGGGGCCAGCCCCGACAACGGGGGCGGCCTCCTCGACAACCGGAGTAGCCTCGACAACAGGGGCGGCCTCCTCGACAACAGGAGTAGACTCCTCGGCAACGGGAGTAGCCTCTTCGACAACGGGGGCGGCCTCCTCGACAACCGGAGTAGCCTCGACAACAGGGGCGGCCTCCTCGACAACGGATGTAGCCTCTTCGACAACGGGGGCGGCCTCCTCGACAATAGGAGCGGCCTCCTCGACAACAGGAGTAGACTCCTCGGCAACGGGAGTAGCCTCTTCGACAACGGGGGCGGCCTCCTCGACAACCGGAGTAGCCTCGACAACAGGGGCGGCCTCCTCGACAACAGGAGTAAACTCCTCGGCAACAGGAGTAGACTCCTCGGCAGCGGCAGTAGCCTCGACAACAGGGGCGGCCTCCTCGACAACGGAAGTAGCCTCTTCGACAACGGGGGCGGCCTCCTCGACAATAGGAGCGGCCTCCTCAGGAGCAGCCTCGACAACAGGGGCGGCCTCGACAACAGGGGCGGCCTCGACAACAGGGGCGGCCTTTTCGACAACAGGAGCGGCCTCCTCCACTGGCGCCGGAGTCTCAATATCTTTGGAAGTCTCTTCAACGGAAGCAGCCTCGACAACGGGAGCAGCCTCCTCGACAACGGGAGCAGCCTCCTCGACAACGGGAGCAGCCTCCTCGACAACGGGAGCAGCCTCCTCGACAACGGGAGCAGCCTCTTCGACAACGGGGGCGGCCTCTTCAACAATGGGAGTAGCCTCCTCAACAGGAGTAGCCTCAACAGGAGTGGTCTCTTCAGGGATCTCCTCAATAGGTTCCTCTGCGGAGAGCTCTGGGGTAGCCTCGACAACTTCACTCTCCTGGGCGACAGTGGAATCAGCAGTGGTCTCGACAATAACTTCCTCAGCAGCATGCTCCTCGGTCGGGGCAGATTTTTCAACAGCAGGGCCAGTCTGCTCAGCAGCAACAGCCTCTGTCACCGCAGGCTCTTCGCGGGTGGAATCTTCCTGAACCTCTTCCTTAGGAGCGGTAGCCTCAGCAAGTTCCTCCATCTTAGGCTCGGATACCTCCTGAGCAGTGGGTTCATCGGCAATGACAGCGACAGGTGCTTCCTCCTTGAGAGATTCCTCTACGGCTGGTTGTTCCTCGACCTTAGGGGTCTCCTCTTGAGCGGATTCATCGGCCTTGGAGATCTCAGCAGCAGGTTGTTCTGCAAGAGCCTGCTCCTCGGGAGTGGCCTCAATGGGGGCAGGCGCAGTCTCCTCCACTTTCTCGGCAATCAGAACTTCAGAAGCAGGCTCTGCGGTGGTGGAGGGCTCTTCGGCATGCTGCTCAACAGTGGCGGCCTCAGGAGTAACGTCTTCTTCAGGCTTGGTCTCCTCAACAGTAGCCTCAACGGGGTCCTCCATAGTGATAGGGGCCTCGGTAGCAGCCTCAGGAACAGCGACAGGCTCCGCATTCTCTTCCTTCTCAACAGCCGTGACCTCGGATTCCGCAATAGGAGTTTCCTCAACCGCAGGAGAGGGATCCGTAGCAGTAGACTCGATAGCAACAGGTTCGGTCTCAGTCACCTTCTCCTCAGTAGATGCCTCAACGACCTGCTCAGCCTCCTCGGTAGTCTTCTCAGCGGTGGCGGGCTCATCAGCATCGACTTTGATGGGTTGCTCGGCGGGAATAGACTCAGAAGCAACAGGGGCAGCCTCGAGCTCCTTCTCTTCGGTGTGATCCGCGACGTTCTTCTTCTCGGGTTCTTCGACACTCTTTTCGTTGGAAATAGGCTCCTCGACCGCGACTTCGACAGGCTTCTTGACGACCTCCTCAGTGACGGGCTCGGCGGTTGATTCTTCGTCAACTTGCTCGGCTTGGGGAACATCCAGAGACTCATCTTGGCTCACTTCCTGAGCAGACTCTGCGACAACAGTCTCCTCTGCCTTAGGCACCGCATCTTCAGTAGTAGCAGTAGGTTCGGTGGTTTCAAGGACGGGCGCGGCCTCCTTGGCTTCAGGCTCTTGCTCGGGCTGCTCAACAACCGGCACTCCAGCAGCAGGCTCCTCGGAAATGACAGCTTCAGTAGCCACATGCTCTTCGACCTTCTCCTCAGTGGAGACGGATTCGCTCGCCTCCTTAGCGGGCTCGGAGATTTCCTCGGTGGTCTCCTGGGGGGCAGTCTCCTCGGCTACAGGCTCCTGGGAGGTAGGCTGCTCTGAAACCTGTTCGGTAGCAGGAGATTCGGCTTCAACCTGAGCGGCGGGCTTTTCCTCAACCAGTTCCTTAGGAGCCTCAACGTCTTCCACCTCGGCAGCAGGCTCTTCCTGAGACTTAACCTTAGTTTCCTCAGTTGAAGTCTGCTCAACAACAGATTCATTCTTAGGCTCCTCGGCGATAGTCTCTACAGCAGGAGCTTCCTCCGCAATCGCCTCCTCTGGCTTAGCCGCATCGACAGTAGTAGACTCGGGGGCTTCGACGGTTTCCGGGGCTGTTTCTGTCTTCTCGCTGGTGGTAGACTCAGGAACAACCTCTTCGGCCACCGTCTGCTGGGCGGCCTCAGAGGGCTTAGACTCTTCGACGGCGGGCTCGGGAGAAGATTCCTCGGTAACCGCAGGCGCAGCCTCAGACTTTTCTTCAGTTGAGGGTGCTTCTGTAGCAGGCTCAAGGGTAGGTTCTTCTGCTACGACTGATGTTGGCTCGGATTTCTCCTCGCTCAAAGCGGCCTCCGCAGGGGCATCTTCCTTTACAAACCCGGAGGATGTAGAATCCTCCAGGACCGGTTCAGCAGGCTCCTCGGTAGTGGGGGCTGTCTGCTCTGGCTCCTTTGCAAGAGCAGACTCGGCGGCGGGCTCTTCGACCTTTGTCTCTTCAGTTGCCTCCTTTGTAGCTTCCGCGGTCACATCGGAATCCTTCGGCTCGTCGCCCGTTTCAGCTAGTTCAACTGTCTCGGTCTCTGGCGCAGAGGGGACCTCAGTGGCCTCAGCAGGTTGCTCAACTTCGGCGGCGGCATCGGATGGATTTTTCTCGGGAATTTCGGTCGACTCGGACGTCTCGTTGGCGATATGGTTATCCTCCGCCTTCACATCGGTCTCCGTCGCAATAGTCTCCGTTGTCTTTTCGTCCTGAGCAGCTTCGAGCTCCGTCTCTACAGCAGGGGATTCGGCTGTGGGCTCGATAACCGTCTCTGACTTCTCGTCTTTGGAGTCGTTCTCTTCGGGCTTTTCAGAAGCGGCCTCGGGCTCTGGGGTAGATTCGGAATTTTCTTCAGCGGGCTGAGACTCGGCAGGCTTTTCGCTGTCGGCGATCGATGCCACACTCTCCTTCTTGGCCTTCTTCTTCTTATTCTTTTTGGCCTTCTTCTTCTGTGCCGCAGTCAGAGGGGTTTCGGGCTCGGCTTCGGGCTCGGCCTCCTCGCTGGTGGCAGTGGGCTTCTCGTCTAGGACGATGGGGGTGGTTTGCACTGGCTCAACCGAGACAGGATCCTTAGGGAGTGTCTCCTCCGAGACTATAGAAAACGAAAAAAAAAATCGTGTTAGAATCTTGCTGGTCCGGCATTGGTCGCCTATGTAAAAGAACATGGCGCTGAAAAATGACATCTCAGCCGAGGGTTCTGCACTTACCATTCTGGATTGCCGCAGTAGCCATAGATATGGTTCGTCAAATCGTAACAGGTCGTGAATTACAAAGGATGAGGGTAATGGGAAAAGAGGAGTAACAAAGCACGGGATTCGCAATTTGACCAGCAAAGTAGATGAACGCAGGATCCAACAAGGTAGCTGTACACAAAACGCAGAATTGCTCGCAGAGCCGGGGGGGGAGAGATGGAGTTGGTAGTGGAGAGTAGGGGAGTTGGAGGTGAGATATGATCGATATTAAGTGAGGAGGAGAGAAAAAGAAGAAAAGAGCGACAGCGAGCAATAAAAAAAACATCTGCCGATGCCCAACTGGACCGTCATGTACTACGACTTTGCAACGCTCCCACCACCAGCCAATACGACCACTCCCAGTCCACTTCAACGCTAGCAAATCCCTCGGTCGACTCCATTTTACTCTGCTCCATTACTCCATTGCTCCATTGCTCCATTCCGGATTACTACGGCACATATAACCGCAAGCTACCCAGCTCTGTCGCTCTTGCTCGGTTCTTTCTCGCTCTCGCGTCTACAACCATCAGATGCACTAGTGCGCTAGTGACGGTGGAGACCAGTTGTCACAGTGACCGGCTCGTGCTATGCTCCAAACGTCTCAAGGGCCCTTGGCTAGTTCAGGCCAATCCTCCCTCTTGCCCGTTTTTTGCCTGGCGATGGGCCGTAGAGGCCCAATGGCCGTTGGCGTTTTGGGCCCTCCCGTTCGGACTCCACTGGCCAACATGCGGTGAAGCTGGTCCGCCGAGGTCCTTTGCGATGGTCTGTGAGTTGCTGTGATGCATGGCTGATCCTCGCATTTAGGCTTTGGGACTGACAAAAGACCAAAGGATGCGAGCAACTCCGACATTCCTCCCCACGACAGAAATAGGGGTGTGCGACCACCGGGATCGCTCTGTGGCACTTGTCCCTGCCAGGAGCATTCTGCTTTCTTGATAAGTCGTGTCGCACGACGGATCGCGAACCTCCTGCATCATCATGGCCCCGCGAGAGCTTTCCGAGAGAAAAAAATTCGGGTGGAGACGCATTGGCGCTAGTTGCGCAGGCCCCGTCGACGGCCTCGGGCAACCAGTCACGACCAAGCGAGACCATCCAGTGCTGATAACCCTGGCGCCAATAGGGATTCGCGGCCCAAAGGCTGTCCTCTCCACCTGTCAACTGCTTGACTCACTTTTGAGCATCACCTGAGGATATCCGGGCGACCATGATGCCATCCGCACGGCACGAGAGTTGATCGATGGCTTTGCGCAAGAAAAGAGAACGAGCTTAAACTCAATCCGGCGGGATGAAGAGGCGCAAGCCCCAAACCAGAAGAACCACAACAAACAGCCAAGCCGAAAAATCTTGCAAAAGGTCGACAACCCATCCAAGCTGGAGCCGCCCAAGGTTCCTGGCCTGCTCCAATGGGGCCCGAATCCATGGAACCAAGGCACCCATAGCTAGGCATATGACATACGGGCGCAATTCCCTAATTGTTCCGTAAGAAGTGTTTCAAGTTCATACCGAAGCGATTGGGCCCGAATTGCTACCCAGAATCTTTATTTATGATGACCCCTAGGCATCTGTAGTGATCAGGCGAAAAAGCATGGCGATGGAAAGGTCATGTGACCACCGAAGTATATGTGCATTGGGACACAATTAGCCTGAAGAATATGTTAAAAAAAAAGCCCATTGAAAATCATGTTGGTCTGGAGAAAGGATGTGGCGGAACTCCGTACTCGATCCCCGGAAGTCGACTTATACCTGAATGACCCACACGGTGATCATGCATCAGCCCAGATGTTTGTTTGGATCATGCGACAACGCATCAATCGTGCGATGACTCCACCAATCGCGGGGAACAACACCTAGGCTGCTCGAGCTGACCAGCGGACGCTATGATTACCATTATCAAGGCACGGTAACAATGGCATTTAGCGCAAAAGTGTTGTGCAAAGAAAACTCTTCCTCGCTATGACTCATTCAGGGCTTTTGATGTTCCTGTTGCAGTACCTGCGAATGACGGATTACGGAACAAGTTGCGAAAACTGCACTTGGAGTTCTGATGTCAATTCAGAAAGAACTCATTTATATTTGCGGTTGGAGTCAACGGATGAAACGGAAGGCCCTTTCGAAGGCATTTTGAGCGAAACCGCCGAGGGAAAGTCGACAAGGAAAGAGGGCATTCGGCTATACACCGCGTTTCTATTATATACGGCGGGCGGAGAGCTGAATATCAGCCTGACTCGCACCCAGTCTGTGCTTCATCTGCAAAGAAGTCTAATGATCCACTGCTCGCAAACATGGCTCCACGCGCAGCTCCCCGGGCAACCGATCCTTGTCTTGGAGTCTCGTTCGATACGAAAAACACTATTCATCAAAGAAAACTACGATTCACACACACAGCACGAATAATCAGCTGTCATAGTTCAATATGATAATGATACGGAGTATGCAGAGTGTATGTACACCGAAAATATACGTAATATAAACGTTAGTTATGAGTGAGATTTCCATAACCAATTTACTAGCAGCTTGCTTGAACCTTAACCACCTGAGATTGCGCAGTGTTCGATCCAAGGGCTTTAACCATTACATAAGTCCCTTCTGATACGATTCGGATCTCCGTCTCAAACCCATTATGTAGTGCAGCAGCCACTCGATGCAAATTGTTCTTCTTGCTGCCCATGTGGACTTCCCAGGACTTTACATCGGTCGCTCCATTCCAGCTTGCATACACCCGCACCTGCGCCGTCCCCGTTGCTGTCTGCGCAGCACATGCGTACGCACTCGGGATTGTGGTCGGCCAGCCTTTCCAAGCTGCACGTAATGCACGATAGGACATCATAAGGTTGTCATAGCCAAATCGTGCGCGCATGACCACGCGCCCTGCTTCGTCGTACTCTTCGAGTTGAGGGATTGCACCATGGCCCAGGAGGACGTGTTCATTCGCGAGATCTTGATAGCTTCCCTGTGACACGGCATAGACCATATGGTCTGCATCCCATAGTCGCCGATTGAGAGAGACAGTCTTCGTGTCCAGATCTAGGTCAAGGAGGAGTCCGGTGGTGGCAGCCGTTCCTTTTGAGAAGGGTGCATTATCGTTGTTATGCATGTGAAGGGTTACTGTATTGTTGATCTGCGACTCGATCCTTACATCATGCTGGAAGCAGAATGTTGTGCCGAGCGCGAGCTTGAAATCGCCACCCGTTTGTCCCTATCACGGCCTAGGTTAGTATTCTAGCATTCATGTGCTCGACAATGGCAATCATTGCCACAGACATACATTGAGGGTCCATTTAATCTTGCCAGTGGAATCGATGGCATAGACACTGCAGAATCCATGCAACGATACAATATACTCATCCCCGAATCTCATTACAGAATTGAGATGTGCAAAGTCCCACGGATCACTTTGGTTGTGACCCGAGCCATCAAGAGGGGTGGCCGAATTCGTTATGGCAAGATTATCCAGCGCACTCCAATAAAAAAGTACATCGTTGCTCTTGATGTCAATTTCATAGAATAGGCTATCATGAATCCAGCCGTCTTGAGGCCCACCCACGCTTCGGAGATCTGCTTGGGTCGCATTGAATGCCGTGACGAGGATTGAGCCTCGGTCAGTGATTAAATCTTCATGGAGGTCAATATAGGACGGGAATTGTGACTCCAAAGCAGTTTTAAAATTGTATTTTCCATCTGGCAGCGAGACTTTGTATATTTCACTGTACTCCTGGTTTAGGATATGAATGGACCCGTATCCGAATCCTAGGGTGCTGATCACACCGCTCCCAAAATGTCAATACAGGATTGCCATGGAGAGTTTGCGGTTGGAATCCAGATGTATGACCCGATTCGCCGTGCCACACCAGTTCACCGTCATCAGTGTATATGGCAGGGAAACCTTGGTCCCTGAGGACGTCTGTAATAGTGAGAAAGATGAAGCCTGGCTCTGTTTTTCCATTCTTTGTCACGTTCATCACTGGTGGCTGAACCGATGAACTCTTAAAGGACTGGACGGGCCATTCTGATGCTGCCGCCACCAAAGATGCAAAAAGCCATACTCCATGCATCAACATTGTGTGGAGCTCTGAATCGTTGTAATTATGAAGCAAAGACTATGACAGACGCAAAATCACGTCGAGAAGGCCGTCCCAGTCTCGCCCTTGGCTTGTTAACTATGTTACGCAACCTCGCAGCATCTTCACTCTTTTATAGCAGCGGACTCTCTATGAGCCATTGAAATGGGACAAGCTTCCTTTTCCTAATTACTGAAAATTCTAAGCGAGATTGAGTAAACGGCTTCCCCGATATGGAAGTAATCGTAGCCGATGTTTGAGTTGTGGGAGGACCGGCAGTTCCAGAGTGTAGATTAGACAGGTGGCGCCCAGGAATTTCCAATATTGGGTTAGCTACATAAAGTGAACCGAAAGCGCGGGAAACAAATTGCAGGATCAGGAATCGACGTCTCCGCAATATTTCGGAATATCCCTGGGATCTGGGGAAAACGTGGAGTATGCGGGGAAATTAGTGGTCGGATTATCCGTGGACTCATTCGTAGTGAGATCGGATTACCCAGGTTCATCCACATCGGATTCCCCAGGGTCCTCCACATCGGATGGCCCCCAGCCGCCAAGAAAACTAGATCCCATGATATTCCCCGCCAAAAGATCGCGCAGCAAAAGCTTAACATGCCAAATAGCGAGGCAGCTACATAAGATGAGAGAGTGCAGCTGTTTCAACAAGAAGATAAGACTTGAAAATGATTAAAGAGATCGTGTGCATGTTTAATGCCCTAGTTCACTGCCGACCATATCACCACATAGAAATGCCGTCGTCTCCGGCTCGGGCACTCTATAGGAAAGCTGAATGTTTGCATCAAGTTATTATGACCTGGAAGTAGCATTCACATGATTGGGGTCTCAAGGGAATTTCAGCGGGCGAGAAAAAGGTCCAGAAATCAGGATGAGAGGCCCTGGATCTGGCTTATCTTGACGAAAATAAGCTTCTGTAGTATGAGAACGATAGGTCGATAGATGACGAAAGCGAGGAGGTTGAAGAGTTTGTTCAAGTCGGTATGTTAACGAGTTTGACACAATTTTCCTCCATTGCTGTTGCAGCTTCGTGAATTACATTGACAAGCTTTGAATAAGACTTGCCATCATAATAATTTTGAAGTTAAACCTTGCCATAGCTCACTTGTATTTCTGACAGTGACTTCTTTCGATTTCCACCCTAGCAAACGACGCATATGAAGCTTTACTTTAACACAACCCCCATCATAGCCAAAAGGCCAATAGGAGATCCCTTCAGTGGTCTGCATTCATGGATGGTATCACTGGCCATGAGGGAGTGATGTCAACTCAGGTGATAGCCCCAACTTAGTTGCATCCTCAAGTACCTTTATTTCTGGTAGTTATTTTGAGCGATTTGAACTCGTCTCGACAGGATCGGTAGTTCCAAGCGCCCTCTTGATCTTCCATCTAGCAGAGTAATCAGTCTCACCCTAATCCCGACAGAGGACCTGATCTCACTCCCCGGCGAAGTTGGTAAGGATGTCTAAGAAATGGACCTCGGGGGCATCAACTCACGATATTATTCACCACGGCTCTGGCTAATAATACATATTGGAAAAGTTCGGAGAGCTGTTCAAAAGCCTGGGGGCCAGATCGCGGCCATATGCTTATGTTGAGTGGGTCGCAATCCCCAGGCCCCCTGGGGCCTCCCATGTCCTGGGTAGACAACCTTGCCTCTTTTTCATCTTGAAACAATGCACATTTTACGTTCCACTTCCCCTTGGTCCATGATTCGGTTTCATTTCTCCATAGAACATGAGTCAAGATCAAAAATTATGAGAATCTATTCGGTCCTTCTATTTATATTCGCATGAATCCAACATGGGTGGCAGTGGAGGCTAATGGGATCCTTGGCAGAACCGCTGTTGGTATTACCCGTTTTGTACCCTGAACAGAACAATAATCTTCGGAAATTTTTACGTTTCTATTTTTACAGCATTAAAAGACAATCCAGGCCCACCCCCGATGATCAGCGGTGTTTTATTCCACGATACGGTTCAAATCTTCTCCGACCTAAGCGTAAACATGATTGACTTCAAACTGACTGGTATATTTTGCACTAGGATTTGTATCCTCATTTTCGCACTCACGTCGTCTCTCTCTCAAGCTGCGCTTACACCAAGTCGTTCTAACGATGATCCTGCAAACAGTTCTGACCTTGCTCCTAGAGAAATCATATCGTATATCTGCGAGAAGAATCTAATCATCCAGACTACCAGTTTCATTTTGTACAATAATCTCTGGGGAGAAGATTATGCCTCTACTGGGTCTCAGTGCACTTATCTGAATTACGAGGGTCAAGACTCAATCTCCTGGCAGACAGCTTGGACCTGGGAAGGGGGCGACGCATATGTTAAGAGCTATGCAAATGCAGTTCTAGATATTGATGCAACACAGTTGAGCGCAATCTCCAGTCTGAAATCCACCTGGGGATGGAGGTAAATGGAGCTTTCTTGCTTGGTTCAACCTCGGGCTGACAATCCTTAGTTATTCTGGCAATAACATTGTTGGAGATGTTTCGTATGATGCATTTCTGTCATCCCAGGCTTCCACCACCGCATCCCATGACTATGAAATCATGATTTGGCTGGCTTCCTATGGAGGGGCACAGCCTATTGGTTATAGTGCAGGTTCGATTGCGTCAGTCACAATCAGTGGTATTGTTTGGAACTTGTATAACGGAACAAACGACGGCTGGAAAGTTTTCAGCTTTGTGGCAAGCGAGACAATAGCCTACTATTCCGGGGATATTCACGACTTCTTCAAGTATCTCATCGATAATCAAAATGTACCCGATTCTTACTATCTACAGACTATCGGAGCTGGCACAGAGCCTTTCACAGGCTCAGATGCCTGGTTTACTGTTTCGCCTTATACGATCAGTCTGAATTAATGGGTCTTGGATGAGAATTGAAGCTTCGTATTTTGGTAGTTCCTTGAATCTAACGCGTTTAATTTCATTTTCACCTTCCACTTTCATAACTCGCGTACCCAAGTCTCTCCAGTTGATTTGATTCCAAAAGTGGAATGTTCTTCTTCGCTAATGCACTTGTACCCCTCAGAGGTGTAGAGTCGACGAGCTGAGGTCAATATTTTATTCGTCCATAGCTCGATTCGCTTGTAGCCGGCCTCCCTGGCGAAGGCCTCGCATTGCTGCACCAAAGCACGGCCGACACCGAGGCCACGAGCGCTTGGCTCCACTAACAACAAGCGGAGCTTGGCTGTAGATTCTTTCGATGAGTGCTTCACAATCATGACACATCCGAGAAATTCGCCCGCCTTTTCTGCAACCCAGCAACGTTCTAAGTCGGGGTCATATTGATTGATGAAGTCCGCAGCGATGCCGGCAACTAGCGCTTCAAAGCGTTCATCCCAGCCAAACTCCTTGTAATAAAGTAGACCATGTCTGTGGATGATCCACCCTATATCTCCTGGTTGATGGGTGCGAAGAATGAATGGAGGATCAGAAATTTGATTGGCGCTTCCCATCGCGTTGAAGGATCGCAGACACACAGGCCGAAGAAAATCAGAACGTGAATATTTGTTTGGGGTCAAAAATGAAGCACAATCGTGAATTGGGTTGACGAGAATCAAATAAGTAGTATTGCGATTAAATTTTCAGAAATTTCTCGAAATTTCCATGTCATCCGGAGGGCGCGAGGCGCTTAGCGGCGGGAAATTATTACCGTTATCTCACTCGCGAGTGGCGCACCCCACAACGTACATATTTTTGAAGAACCCTTTTTCCACCACAATTATAGATATTTGATTCAACCTAACTACTTGGACACTGGTTAATCTTATGCCCTATAATATTACATCCAGGGCACCGAAAAACGCGCCTGGGTGTAGGCTCAGCGCCTATAGTAGGCTGCTGGCAAGCTCTGTAGCATCATTTGGGATATTTTAAACACGCGCTGGCAACGTTGAATCTATATTTCTAGAGTACTCCATCCTAAGATAATTACAAAAATAGCTATCATAAGATGCGAGTGCATTTGGTATTATAGAGGGCAAGTGGCTTCGGGTGGGAACTAAGGGAATGATAGAAAGATGTGATACATAAGACTACCCTGCTGTCCATAGCAACTCAGATACCCTTTCTCTTCTATTACTATCCTAGGTATTCTCTCTTTTTCTTCTGCAGCGCCTAGAGGCGTTCCTGGTTCGCAGCCAGCAAGCATCTCTGACCCCAGTTCACTATGTAAAGAAGGGAGGTGTTATTATATTTTTGTTGTATATAAACCGTGATATCTGTCAGGGTTTATTTTTTATCATATTCCTTTCACGACATGCCTACTCGATTAAATGAACTATTCTCATTCCATTTGTTCGGATTTGATTCCTTGCTGCATAGTTGAAAGATTTTTCCCGTAATTCTAGATACACATGTTGAGCGTCTGACTCCACAACTCTCCATAACCAATTCCCATCTGATTCTAGATACGACGGCGAACCCGGCGGATGTTAAGTTTTCCTGGCCCGTCATCCTCATCCTCAAAGCAAGAACGAGTACGGGGATTCGACAGACGAGATCGACGAGCGACCGGAGAGGGAGATTTCACAGTGCTATCAGGCAATATCAGTTGAAGAAGGTGATCAGCGGCTTCCTTGAGCGAGTCGCCGAGGAGACCGATTTCTGTGAGTCTTTTCGCGGCCTGATCCATCTGAGAGTGAACGTCCATCAGGAAAGTCATCGGGGCTGAGACGTTTAACCCATTGTAACTCTTAGGGGTCTTGACAGGGTTCGGACGGGGGGGAGGAGCCAATGGAGTCGTATGGACAGGCATAGAAACGTGGCGGCTGGGAGTCGGGGTACCAAATATCTCGTTTAGTGCGGCTTCAGCGGCTTCAGCGGTCGATGAAGGTAGGGGGCTAAGCTCAAACTTGGGAACAGGAGAGGAGAATATTCGGACAGGGGTGGAGACCCCATGAACAGGGGTAGAAGCTCCACGGTCAGGAGTAGAGAGAGAAGATATTCCACGAAAAGGTGAAGAGAATGCAGCAAAGGTATTCTCATCGCCCATGCCCTCGGGTGCCAGCGTAGATGCGACAGACTCGGAGATGGGCGCCATGGGCTCCTTTACTGGCCCCAAAACCGCATAGCCTTCAGGATAGGGAACACCATTCTGCATGTATTTTTCACGTTCAAACCTGCACCATTGCAGCCAATTCTTTTGCTCCTCTCGGTAGGATGTCGGAAGGTCTCGCCCATTCATGTAGCCACGCCAGTGCTCGATCAGCTCGTCGAGTAGTTCATCAGACAGATACCGAACAGCTTGGTAGTCAGACTCCAATGCAACGCGCCAATAGGGAGGTCTAACACGCATGCTGGAATGTCCCGAGGTATAAAAGACCGCTGGGTAGGTGCGTTTTTCGTTTGGGTCATTGCGACGCATAACATCCCGAAGCTCGGCGTCCGGAACATTGCTACGCTCGCCCACATAGGATTTGCGAGGAGTCATTCTGTCCGAAAAGGGAGATCCTTGAGAGGGAGGAGGTGTGCTCATGATGGGCTTGATATCGGCTGTGTCAGCGAGTATTTGTATAGCATCATGAATCTATGCTTCTCACCGGATATGGGCACGATTAGGCACGTAGAGTAGGTAGACAACAATACGTAGGCGTCGGTTCGATCGACTTAATAGGCTCGGTTGTTGCCTGAGAACATCAATCAGTTTTAGGTATCATTGTCAACAAAAGAAATCAAAAAGGAGAACTTTGAACTCGTATACTCACACAGCTAGGACAGGGGAAGGTGGAAGCCTCGATGTGGTTGGAAGTGGGTGGTAAACAAAAGAAAGCAATAATGATAAGATCAAAGATAGAATCTGATAGATGGGGCTAGGAATACATGCAGTGAGTAGATGTAAACAAACGACGGTTTGGGACCAGGCTGCTCTTCAAGAGTGAGAGAAATGTCGGCAAGGATGACGCGCAGGAAGGCAATAACCATATCGCTTTCAACCGCCTTTGATCAAGTAACAAAACAAGCAGACGAGTTCTTTCTGCTGAGATAGATTTCTTTTTATTTTTATGGTTGACCTTTTCTGGTTGACCTGGTTTCTTTCGGCCTTTTTGGATGCCCGGCTCCTGGCATGCAGATAATGGTCTTATCAGTTTTCTCCGAGATCGCGACCGTTCCTTGATGACACGACCGTCTCCCCATTATGAAGTATTAAAATTCTTCTCTTGCTGATCACCAGCGCCGCTTCTCCGGCATTTGAAAAGGGTTCAGATTTCCCTCATATAGATCTCCAGGATCCAAACAGAAGTCGAGCTGTTTCAACAAAGCTGATATCTCAAGTACCTCATATGATGCGAGCTTCGGCTTTACATCTCTTGCTTCGGCTTCCCCCTGATTGAATAGCTACCATGAGAGTGGCTCTTCAAGGTCATACAACCTGTAAACTCTCCTATATTACCGTCTACGGATAGATTTATCACATAGGTTCGGTACTACGAGGGTCTCGAACTTGGAGATTGGACACATGAGCATGTTCATCAAAGGCAGCTCTGCAACTTGAATGTATTTCCATGGACTCTCCACCTTTGTAACAGCATCGGACTCCTTATTTGTCTCCATTAACTCCAGTTCATGTTCTTTTGCGCCTACTGGACATCCTTATTCCGTAAATCGGAGAACCAAGCTGTCGATTGCATTGCCAAGAAGGACCTGTTACCCCATCCTCAGACTCGGCATCTCGACACACGATGAAAACGAAGTCCGTAACATAGAGATTTGATCTCTCATTCCAATTTTGCAGTTTCGCTTTCAACCTGACAACTTGACTCCAAAAGACGAGGGTCAATTGTCTTTGGCCACTCATTCTCATTCCAGCCTACTGTTTGACTTGGTCCACGGGGCCATCCGGCGGATCTGGTTGCATCGCAGTCTTGTACTGCGAATGAATAGGGAAAATCATTGACGGAGACTGTCGGGTTGTTGAGAATTGGATCATTCAGGATGGCTTTAACCCTTTCAGATTGTCCGTCCAGTTCTGGTTGAAGCTCGCGAAGCCAGTCTCCGATGTGCCGCATGAGCTTGATGTAATACTCAGCCATCTGGTTCGACTCGTTTTCCAGCGCCTGGAGCCTCTTCTTGATGAGAAGGCATCCCACTGGGTCATGCTGGGTGAATCGAGCACGGATGCAGTCGATTCGCCGTTTCAGATCCGCCACGCCGCGGAGGTACGGACGGATCTCGTGGACTGTAACCTGGCCAATACTATGGAGCATGGCAGGCACTGTTGAATGTAAACTCTGGACCGCTGCACGCGTAATCTCGATCTCCTGTGTGAGCCATTGGGTCATTGTCTGATCCGTCCTGCAGGGGATTTCCATTTTGCTCAAGAGGCTTTGCTGGTGTGGTATTTGGGTTGTTCTGTGCGAACTGCTAATTCCGAATTTGAATCGAGATCGAGATCAAGGTTGGCGGGAAGTTTGAGAAACAGATGGGAACGTTACTGAGAGAAGTGGCTTCAGAAATAGCTTTTCTCATATCAAGGAAGAACCTATCTGTGTCGCAAGTCGTTCGAGATGACAACCCTGTGAGAAGCTTATAGGACTTGATAACTTGCTAATCTAGTGCAAGCCTTGAAAAGCGTCCATAGAGAAAGAGATCGAGGATAACTCACGCCTCACTTCTAGATTCTAATCTTGCCCAATACAAATGACTCGTTTCCACGGTATACCGGTCCCATTTCCTTTTTCGGAGCACGATGTCAGTATGTCTGATTTCCAGAATCCTCTTCCCCCATTCACTCTTATGCCAAGTCCACAACACCATGCTATCATTCCGTATTGAAGAAAACAAGAGTAGAGAGTGAAGGCCGTTATTTGTACAAGCACCATTCTACTGCTCCGCAGAGAAACAGACGTTGGAAGATGCCATGTTAAAAGCTAAAAGAGGAGCTGTACCAACAATTCGACTTGGTACAGGAGCTATTGAGGACCGAAGGAATGAGAGCGAAATGAGGGTCAAAGAACTCACACGTCAGTGAGACCACAAAGGGGCTACATGCCAGCTCCGTTCTTGAATTGCAGGGGGGAAAAAGACTCCCAATGTCCATGGTATTCATTCAGGACGAAAGCCGCCCATGGTATTTGTCTATACAGCTAAAAAAACTCCTCAACTACTCTTATCATCTACAAGAGAGACCCCTCTTCGCCGTGAAACAAGGCCCACGGGCGAAGACTACTCGCTTCGGTTGGCCAAGCTGCTTTCACCCAATCCAGATGGGGAGAGTCAGGCACTGAGCCAGAATGAACTCAAAGCACGCTATGCCTGTTGAGACTAGCAAACAAGTGGATCTCTCATCAAGGAACAAGATCTGGGGAAGCTCATCTCCAGATTGAAAGTGGCACTACTGCACGGTCGTTCTCGACGAATTGGTGCTGGGGATGGACAGACAAACGCCCCCATTGTGGCTTTGGTGGTGAAGAGTAGGGCACGGCAGGGCAGATGCCCCCGGACACAAATGGGGCCCCCATTTCCTGAGCGCGTATTGATCAAGGTGCCGTCTGCATGGCCATAACTAACGATCCATTACTCCATACCTCCATTACCACTGATGTTTGGAGAACGGCAAATGCCAAGAAAATTGGTTATTAGTCCTCGCTCCCAAGTATGCAGCCTGCACCTGTCCCTTGTACTTGCGGTACATGCCCATCCCTATTCTGACCTGCCGTGCATGAATAATGTCCTGCCGGTTTGCGTGCCTCGCATACCTGGGATCGACTCGGCACCTTCGGGCCCTCGTGGAAGCCCACGCCGGCCATGATTCGTCTGCGGCATCGGAAAAAGCACGAGAGCTCCCATTCCGCAACAGAGGACTCCATACGCCCGTACACAAATAACCCAGGGTGGTTTGAATACGTGTTTACTGTGTACGTTTTGAAAAGACTGGCTCAGTGGTTTCCAAAGAAACAGCCGCTTTCTCTCTCTTGCGCTCTGCGTAAGCTGGGTCAGAGTTGGAAAGTTACGGCAAGAATCCTTTCCAAAGACCGCGTGTCTGCTGAATTTCACGGCTCCGAATATGTATGTACTCTGTACCTGACGCCGCAGCTGATACATCCCCCTGTATCCTGAAGATGGGGCGTCTTGTACGGAGTCTAAGGTCCACCAGCCCCATCGAGTGGATTCCGGTCGTCACCCTCGAGACAGGTGAAGCCGAAGCTCCGTAGTCGGGGGGGGGACGAGGCTGACTGTGTGAGGCCCGCGCTGCATCAATCCCAGACAGTATGGCCATGGCAGGTATCTCCTGTACGAGATTTCGTGCTCTCGTAGTCTAGCATATGAATAGTCTCCTCTATATTAGGACTCTGGTACCTCGAGCACCTCGAGTACTGCAGTCCTGGTGAGTAGAGCGGATGCCAGCTGGCGCCAAGCCAATCCCTTCTCGCATGACCTCACGGCGGGTCGATGATGCTTTGATGAGTCGTCTGGTATTGTGTATTACCGTGACCCGAGAACGCCCGACACAGTTCAGGACGGGGTTTCGATACGAATGCGTCTTGTTTCCAAGCCGCTCCCCATCCAGACGTGGAATCGACCCTATATAAAGTCACCAGCAGCCCCAACACTTTTATTCCCCCCTTTGGTCGTCTCTCGTCAACACCGGACACCACCCGTCGTTGCCCTTCCTGCCTGTCTACCGTGCCAGCAGGGGAGGGCCTGTTCGCCAACGGTCCCGGCTTAACCCTGCGATCGAGCTTATGTGGGTCCCGCCAAGCTCCTGCGATCAGCCGAAGCTGCAGCCGGCGCAAATTTTCCTACGGAATGGCGCAGAGCCTCCGGACCCCTTTCGGAGCACTGCGCTGGCCTGCGCCTACTCACTCGTGGGCTCCGACATGGTTTGTTTGGTGTGATGTGAATCGTCTCGTCGAGCTCGTTCGATAAGACCGCATTTTGTCCCGGCGGTCACCAGGTTGGGGGGAACCGGAAGGGGCCCAGGTTTGGCTGGGGGTGATAGTCGGGTTCTGGCGGGTCGGGAATCCAGTCTGGTGGAGGCCGAGGGAAGCGAGGACACGAACCCGTAATTTTTCCTTTTTTTTCCATTTCTTTTTTTTCGTTTCTCGTTATTTTACGGGTGTCGTTATCTACTACAGCATTCTTCGGGTCTTTTATTATTTGTACCTGTGGCTCGCAGCGTTTTGAGGGAAATTATAAAGGCTATCGGGGATCCCCCCCCCCCGATTGCAGGTTCATGCACTATGAGTGCATAAGCGTGGCCTAAGGGGCAGGGGGGAATCACCTCAAGGTTATGACCCGAACCGAGGCCGAGGGATGAAACAAACCATCGAAGAAAAAAAACAAAGTAAGATACAGGTCGACCAATACATTGTATAGGGGGAAAGGGAGGGACGCAGAGAGATGAGAACTATCAATCGGGTGCCGGATCCGGTCCCAGTCAAACTTACCTGGCGACGAAAGGAGACGAAAAGAGACCACTCGGTGAAGTGTGTTCCCGAGGAAAGGGGAGCCAGCGAATCCACCGGGACCCTCCTTTCAGCCGACCAAGTGGGTGTTTCGGGCGGGTTGGTGACCCAGTGACTCTGTAGTTGGTGGATCTGGAATCCGACTCGGCCCGGTTTGGGCGACGCCGGGAAGACATCCAGAAACACTTTCTGGGTTCGTGAGGCCCGACTGGACTATGATTGGTGGACAGGAATACTAGTGCCGGTGGATCGGGTGGATCGACCCACTCAATTGGAACCGCGCTGATGATCCACTGCAGGGAGGGATCGAAAATTTTTGACTGGGAGCTTGTCTTGCGGCCAGAGACGTATCCATCCGCACGTCCAGAGGGTGAGACTACATATAGTCTGTCCTCGGGACTTCGTATGCAGGGGGAAAAGGATCAAGTATCCCATGTTATAGGTCGCAATCATCCATGCCAATGATATCAAAAAAAGGTTGTCTTAGGGGAAAATCAATCAGGGAAAATCGGCCCTGGTGGATCCGCGTCAGGATCACAGCAGCGGCCAGCACCCGAACGAACCCGACCAGCCTCTCTATCGCCTGTCCTCTCTGTGGAAGAGACCAGCACACGAGAGAGATATCACAGGGGGGGGGGAGGGACGGTATCCGAAAGTAATGAAATTCAATACCGCGGTCTGAACAGGCCGGAAGTGAAAAACAATGAAACGAAACCCGCATTCCTCGGACCCGCTGATACCTGCGTTCGAGTCTTGTCGACACAATATAGAGTATGTATGGCGGACGGCGGACTCCTCCTTCCCTGGTACGCCCGTACTCCCCCGTAAGCTTCCCGTACGTCTCATACTGGTCGTCCTCCTCGTACGCCTCGTACCAGCCTGTATCATGCAGTGTCATGGTCATGACGCCGTTCAGCGCATTTCGCAGGGCCCCAAATACCCATCATACGCTCCAGCATGGCCCCGGTACCGTTCCCGTACGGCCAGCACAGGAAAGTAGGGCTTTTCACACGCGCACTAGCCTCGACTGGGAGGCGGACGGGCGAAAATTGTGCCGTAGAGTATTTATGTCCTGGGCAGGCCTTCTTCCGTAGTTTCCCAGCTTTTTCTCCCTGAAAAGTTCCCTTTCCACTCCTCAAAACTCCTCTCTTTCACACCCACAACCACCAACATCCTCCTATCACCCATCACAATGGCCTCCCGTGTCTTCGCCCAGCGCCTGGCTTCCACCATGGCCCAGACCTCCAAGGTCGCCCGCCCCGCTGCCCGCTTCCAGCTCAACGCTGCCACCAAGCGCACCTTCACCTCCCAGAAGGCCCCCGTCGCCACCTTCGCCGCCCCCAAGCGTGCCTCTCCCACCCTCCTCCAGGCCAACGCCCGCCAGGCTTTCCAGACCGCCGCTCGCCGCCAGTACTCCTCTGAGGTCGCCACCGCCATGGTCGAGGTCTCCAAGAACCTGGGTATGGGTTCCGCCGCCATCGGTCTCGGTGGTGCCGGTATCGGTATCGGTCTCGTCTTCGCCGCTCTGCTCATGAGCGTTTCCCGCAACCCTGCTCTGCGTGGCCAGCTCTTCTCCTACGCCATTCTGGGTTTCGCCTTCGTCGAGGCCATGGGTCTGTTCGACCTGATGGTTGCCATGATGTGCAAGTACGTTTAAGCGTTTGAAATCGGAGGCCCGTTTTGAGGATCAAAGCGGAAGCAAAAAGAAAACCTTCGGATAGACTTTTCTTTTCTACTTTCCTTTGTCCGCCGGGGAGGGTATTTGGTCGTGATGTATTACCATGTACTACTTTTCAGCGTCATCTACAACACCTTTTTCTTTATGTACATATAGAGTCTTTATATGGCCCACCCCATCCCAACTTCCAAAGAGCCAAACCAAAACTCTGTGTGTTGAGAGTTCTCTCTCGAGAGGCTGTGTATCACCACCAAATTTCTCCTCCCCTTTTTTCTTCTTCTCTTCCTCTCTCTTCCTAATCCCGTGTGTGAAACCGGTTTTCTGGAGTGTTTTCGTTACTTTTGATTGTGTTTTTCTTTTGGCTATCTACGACTCTCTTTTGTCTCGAACCTCCAATTCCTCCCTCTCGCTCCCTCGCTTTCCCCACGGGGGAGGCCGCGTAGGAGAACAAGGGAAGGGACCGCTCTGCGCATAGGAATCCGTAAACTCCATAAATCACGTCACACCCTCTCTAGTCCCTGGTCAGCTGTCACCAAGCTTCCACCTCTCCTGTCCGGGGGAAAGGAGAGCCTAGTCATTGCGATCCGACGAGTGCTCCATGTTCTTCGATGTGCCAGGCCCTTGCCAGCGTCGAGGATAGGCCAACTTTCCTCAACCGCCTACGCAACGGATCCGCGCCATTGACCCTCAATGCCTCGCCAGCGGATTCTCCATCTCTCGCTGCGTCGATTGACCTACCGAACCCCAGCACCTGGCTGTTGGCGGTTGCGCTGCGTCGAGCTCGAATCTCCCTCTCTCTCTCCCCGGCAACCCTCCCCCAACGCAAAAACTCGCACTAGCTCCGGGACCTCGGGGAAGCGCCCTGCCGCCGGGTCCGGCTGAGTCATCCACATGACATCAACGAATGCACTCTAGGCGCGCTACATTTGGGAGGGGGACTGGTGCCCTTACTGGGGTTCGGCTGTGTAGAGGGAACTATAGTCCACCGTGTGTCTGATGTTCTGTGTGTCTTGACTGAGAGTGTGGTGTATGGCTGGTCCTGGGGCAGAGGGTTCTCTGTCGGACTTGACGGGTGTTGGGTCTTTTCAAGTCAGGGTGGGTCAGAGTGCCGCGCGGATTCCTCACAAAGCCACAAAGCTCAGGTGGTCTGGCCCGGGCATGATATGCGGACTGCCTTTGGGGGTAGCGATGAGGGAGATGTTGTTAGATGACGTGACGTGAATTGTAGTATATGTGCTCGTTCCTATAGGGGTTATTTGGTCTAGGTCAGGACTTGAACGGATCATTCTGTTCTGCTGGGGGTGTGCAAGGCGATGTAGGGCATATCCAAAATATATAACGAGAAGTATCACTACACACCATATGTAGTGCACCCTCCCCCCCTTTGCCCCCAATTGACCATACTCTACGGAGGAACACCCAAGTAATGAGATACAGGCGTAGGCCTAATAAAAGGTGCACTGTCGGAACCAGATACGGAAAAAGCCCCCACGTCTCACACGAAACACGGAGTCAAATGTGGGATGCACTAAAGCGAAATGAAGTTTCATCACATAAACATGAATCCAGGGGGAGGAGGAGGGGGGGAAAGGCAAAATAAAGGCAACAGTCGACTCCAACCATGCCACACGACTCGCTTGCTCAAATGCAGGGGCAAAAAAAATATCAAGGTATCAAGATGTCGACAGACAAGGAAACGAAAAGCATATAGACCAGAGGGGAAGGGGGTAAAGGCTGCTGAAAACAAACCAGGAGAGCGCCTTTAGCACTCCCCATACTCGAATCCCCTCCCTCTTCTCCCTTTCCAACAACAACCACATCCCCAAAAAAGAAGACCAAATAGTTCACATGAAGATCAAAAAAAAGAGAGGAAGAAAGAAAGAAGAGAACTCTTCAAGAGTGCGCTCGTAGCCTAGAAAATCTCCAGATCTTCAAACTCAACAAGCAACCCATCCGTCGGGCCAGCCGCAGATGCGCCTTCCAGCGGCATTCCATGCATGGCATCCCACATTGTCTCGCCGCGGCCCAGACTGGTCGGCCGGCTGGCATACACGCCGACGTGCACGAACTTGTCCTCGACGCCGTAGAAGAACCAGGTGACCTCGCGCAGCTTTTTCCATGTGCTGCCGACGGCGCCGGGAGTCATGGCGTACGGCGAAGCCGAGGGTACCTGGTACCAGATCCAGAGGGCGTGGCCGATGCGCTCAAGCTTGATGCGCAGCGAGTGCACGGCAGCGCCGGCCGTCGTCACTAGCGGCGAGAGGCACCAGTCGGCGCCGTCGGCGGTCGCGCTGACAGACGATGCGTTCACGGTGCCGCAGGAGAACTCCATACCGGCTTTCACCCATTTGCAGGGCGGGTGGGCACCGGGCCGGCGGCCGGCTGGGAGCGCTGGCGCGTCCGAGGCAAAGGCCTGCGGCGCGGCCCCGGCGAAGATTACCAGGCCGCCTTGGTCCCATTCCTTTTCCCAGTCTGCGCTGACGGTGACTTCGGCGACGACGAAGGGGTGCCGGAGGGAGGTAAAGACGATTGGGGCGGTGGAGGTGTCGCCGTTGGGGGGCTTGCGCCATAGATCCGTGTTAGGTCCGGCTGTGAGGGTGAAGTATTCCATACATTGGGGAAGGGCGAAATCAGATGGCAGGTTTAGGGCTGTGAAGGATGAGCCGTCTGGAGGCATCTTGGGCTATGCAGTCCGATCTGTCTCTCCGGGGAAGGATTTGGCTCCGTTTGCTTCTTGTTGTCTCCGGGCGTTTTGGTTTCCCAGGGTGTTTGGCGGGTTTCGTCGTTTGCGGTTCCAATGAAATAGGATTCAATCAATAGGCTCAATTGGCAGAGTGACACGGGTGTCCAAACGCTATATAAATGCGTTAGTGCGGGACTGAAACCGACACTGGGGTTCCTATGGCTTGGGTATCGTACTTGAGGAGACAGAGCACTTAACGTTCTCTGCAGATCATCGGATGGGTCGAGACACCAGGGAAGGAGGCGAGGGGGGAGGGGGGCGTCACAGCATTTAGAGTTTTCCGAAATATAGATCCAGTCCGTGGGTTTGCAAAGCTAGGCAAACAATTTTCTTCACGATCGTCCGCAGGAAAACTTTGTTGGGATCTGATCTCTGAACTGCAGTTGAGAAGTGCTGTTGCGGGTTTAGGCGGATGCTCCGAATGCGGCGGCGCAAAGCATCGAGGAAACACGACGCAAAAAGTAATCCAAATGCCCCCCAAAAATCTAGAAAAGGAAAAGAAGGGGGTGAACAAGAAGCCCGTAGGTGCAGATTAAAATTCCGGAGGCTAGAACTCTCCAAGATGGGTTTCACGGGGTAAATAGGGCGAGCCCAAGAAACAACTCAAAAGTCCGAGAAATAATAAAAAAGAAAGGAATTCAGGGTATCATGTCCACTATACTATTTATATGGACTTAGGCTTGCCTCACTTTTCTTCGGTCTCTCCACAACGCCTCAGGGGGAGAGGGGGGCGGCCCTTTCTAGGCGTCATTCATCCATGAATCAGTTGGCCTGGGACAAGGACCGCAAGGCCCGCCGAGCGAACCCGCCATTGATGGCCAAACACCAACGGTAACGATGTAGCGAGACTAACAACAACCAACGCAGCGCATAACATCACGGACCCCAAAGGGGAACCACTGCGGATACCCGAGAAGCTGGGATACCACCAAGAAAGGAAGAAACAGAAAAAGGTAAAAAAAAAAAAAAAACAAAGCTAGAACCTCGGAGGAGCTAGCCACGCTAGCAAGGAACAACGAGCGGCACACAGGACACAGCACGCAGCAAGCAACGAGCAACGAGCAATGAACGATGACTGGGAAGATTGCTGGGCCACTGGGAATCACCTCTCCAGCGCGACGTGCGACGTGCTTGTTCGCGTCGGCGCTGCGGACCAGTTCGCAAGTGGCGGGTCATCATGCATCCCCCGGAGAATCCATCACGTTGTGACGGGCTGGCGATCTACGGAGCCACCGGGGTGGGTTTGCTCCGATGGGCAACACCCAGGATATCGGGTACCTCTCTGTCCAGACACGAGATGATCCAATCCTCCGGGACCAGCATTCATAGGAGGGGAGTCGAGGGGAGAGAAGCCCGGAGGGTCTCTGGCAGGACCGCGGGGAGCTGAAACGAGGGGCAAAAAAAAATAAACAAGACCACTAGGCGATTCGGTCAACGAGAAGCGAAGGAATCGAAGTTGACAGACTTTGGCTGTGCGCTGCTGCTGAGCTACCTCCCCGTGCGACGTGGTCAAGGTCGCCTTTGTGGGTCGAATGGATGCAGTGGATTGATCAGAGGAAGTGCGGTATAGTTCTGGATCTGTTCCAAGACGATCGATCGGGACGAAGCATGGCGAACATGCGGCCTGCTGGCGGCGTCAGTGTCTGGGCTGATCCGCTATGGGTTTCGTGCTAGACCTCGATCGGACCCAAGTGACTATAGTACCCATGATTGGCATGCAGTCTATACGATCCATCGAGTTATTGTTTCGTGCCATCTACGAAGTTGATTATCGGGGAAGTACCCTCTATACTTGTATCTTTCTATGTTCCAGGGGTGAGGCCACCTCTACCCGGCTGAGCTCAGAAAGTCCAGCGACCCAAAAGAAATATCCGAGACGATACTCACACAGGAGTTCAATAATGAAAAATAATGAGATAATTAAAATCGGCCTTAATATTGACCATATGAGGCTAGGATCTTCCTTGCTCGGCGAGAATAGTCAGTGGTAGCGCTGGTGTGATTCTGACAGCTGGCCTTGGGGAACCTTGGTCTACTCATTCGCTAGGGTTGATTGGTGGTTCTTGCATGACACCCTGAGGGTCCTGGATTCCGCGTTGGGGGGGGGGGGGTTCGGCGTTGTCCTGCGCTTCTGCGCTTCGGTGGCTCAGTGGAGAACACTTTCTCTTCAGCTGCTGCCGGGCTGGTGGCGGTGGTGCGACTCAGCCACGGTGTCGCTTGTTTGGCTGCTCTCCACCGCTGCGGCCGGCTGAAGAAGGCAATCGACAGTAGGAGTTCTCCGTCGCACGGAGTCCATGGAAATGGATCAGCGATTATAATCCAGACCACGAAGGCTTGCGGCGGATGCCCCGTGTCGGACATGCCGAGGTGCCTTTTTCTCCCCTTTTGTTTACTTGGACGACTTTCGTTTAAAGAGTACGGAGTACTCCGTGTACGGAGATGCGGACATGCAGAGTATACTTCGTCGAGTATCGCCCCTTTTTCTTTCGGTCCTAGCCCGAGGCATGAAATTAGGGCTGACTTGGGAAGCTCATCAGAAAAAAAAAAGAGGCGGCCAAGCTGTCTTCTCCCTGCCAGGTCACGAGTACTGCTGGAGAAGGAAAAGATGGACGCGGGTAGTCCCTCCCGCGCCAGTAGGATGATACGCGCTCCTAATTATAGAACTTCGTGTGTCGCTCCGACCGGTTTCCTAGCAACCTTAGTTGGTTCGGCTCGTGAACCATCAACGCCGGTGTCTTCTTTCCCAAGTGATATGTTTTCTTTATCGTGAAGGTTGATGGTGCGATCTTCGGATCGTAAAGATGAGTTGGCACTGTCTGTGCCACTTCGGGTCCAAGCGAATCAGTCATGCCGGTCCGCTTTGACGAGCCACTGGTGCAGATGCGTGAGGTCTGGTTGATGCTCACTTCCCTACTGGGAAAAGCGAGTCCTGGTGGTCTATTTTGACAGGCTTTATATACGGTGCACCATAGCCTACTATATGGAAAATCTTTGACTCCAGGGTTCTGTCCCAATCGATGTGATATAATCCTTCTAGAGATGATGGAAAGATGATGGAAAGATGATAGAAACCACGGGCCACACGGGTTGCTTTGCAGCCCAACGATTGCTTGACTTTCTGACAATGCTTTTTGGGGGCCAAAGTCGGTGTTTAGCGTTAAGAAAAAGGGGGGTGCACCCGGAGAAAGCATGCAAGGCTCCCGAATCCACCAAACCACTAATTCGCCTTTTAACGCTCGTTGGCGTTCGTATCGTTGGCGCCGTCTGCCCTAAACACTCCTCCAATCCCCGTCTGAACCAATGAGCACCCGCGGCTTTCGCCTCAGACCCGGGCGGAGCCTCGTATTTCAGGGTCCAGGTGCCTCTAGACTTGGCGATGAAGAGTTATTTCTTAAATCCTGCCTAAGTCGCAATCTCTCAATCATGATCTGAACTGAGTTCTTGTTTCTCTCCGCGTGCGGCACGCATACCGCTGTTTCTATATACGCGCGCCCGGACAATCGCCTTTCCTGTCTGCCGGCAAAGCGAAAATTTTCAGTCAAGCTCTATTTTGCTTGACGATTCGAATTAGCTCTCCACCTAAGAGCCACTCGCGCATCCAACGAAAATGTCTCCACGTCGAGGATCCGGGTCTAGTAGCTATGGCTACTACTATGGCTACGACAATCCTTGGGCCGAAGAGATTCAGTTCTCGATGGATTCGCTGCTGTCAAAATCGCTTTTTATCGCTGGGTTTGCCTTTGACGTGTTAACGGTGCTGGCTTTGATCTGCTTCCTTGTCTGGGCATGCATTGTTCGTAATCATCGAGGACAGATGAGGGGTGTGGTAATCACGATCATCACCTGGCTACTGTGGGTACTACAAATTAGTCCTATCACTTTCGCACGTCTACGAGTGGACTAGAACTCGACAAGAAGGGATTTCAGGACTAACGCGACCTCACTGTCTAGGGCGGTTATTTGCGCTGTCATCTACGAGATCTTTTACCTTGCAGAAGCCACTATCACTCAGTACTACGTGATAGATTTGATGCTCAATGAGTTCTTCTTCCTTCTTGGCAGCTGTTTGCTCTTCTTCGTTTACTACCACCTCATCAATGGCATGCTGGACCGCCTTACCGACTCTGGCAAGCCTTATGCGGCGGTGGCTGTAATTCATTGGGTGGTTATAGGCCTTGTGTCCTTGATCTCGCTTGCAACTTGGGCCATGTACGTTGCATATCAGGTACAGTATGTCAACAATGGCTACACCGGAGCCCTGCGACAATCCTACCCGAAGCTAGAGAGTGCCCGTGCCATCATTTACTGGCTCCTATCCTTGGAAATCCTGGCCTGGGTCATCTTCGTAACTGTGAAGGCAGGCTCCCACCGGTTTACTTCAAGAGTGAGTGCGCATAGTGACATCAGTATGAATTTCACTAGAAGTTTTCAAACTGTTGACCTTGTTTCACAGCTACCCGTCATCGCCCTCACCGTCAGCAGTCTCTTCTGGATGGCACTGAACATGATGTATGCAATTGTGTTCATTCGCTACACGCTGGAGGATACCGTCAGGACCACACCAAAATATCTCAGCACCGTCGAGTCCGTCTGTCAATTTTTCTTCATCGTGGCCATTTTCACTGGCATTCTTTTCTGTTGCATGAACTGGCGTAAGGTCGATGATCGCCAGGACAAGCCTTCACTCCCGGCGCAACACCCGTACCAGACCTACCAGACATACCAGCAGCAGTACCCGGCCCAGCCACAACAGCCTCTTTACCAACACCCCTATCAACAACCCTATCAACCACCCTATCAACAACCCTATCAACAACAGCACATATATCCGCATCCCCAGCAACAACCTCAGGCGAAGGCTTAGAAAAAGTGGCCAAAGGGTACAAGATTTGACGTGGAGCCTATCAGAAATGAGCGCCGGCTCTACGGAGGTGTCTCGACTTTCAACTGTTCTAACCCATCGATCCTGAGATCAGTAATGGCAAGCTTGGAAAGGCCATGACCGCATTGTGCTATTTGTCGAAAACGATATATTTGTCTCATTTCTTGACGATGTTCTTGCATGAAATACCCATTTTTTTTGATGTTCATACTCCCGAATAATACCCCTTATCGCATGATTGATTGATTGAAATTATGATGTACCTTTTGATTTGCACTTATTGTGTCCTTATGCAATAGCACCCAAACGCCAAAACGCCAGAGTGTAGAGAGAGTATATAATAGTACCAATGTAAATTTTTGCGTTCTTTGAAGGAAGATCACTCGTCTTGAAACAATATCATCCCAGGCCCACATGTTATCTGGATTGCTCCTTACATCTCTCTTCATCGCCCATCCCGAAGTCTTGGCATCTCCGCACAGGCGGTGGCGGACCGACGATAACATCATAGCTCATCGATCTCCCAACAACCTCCCCGTTTCAATCATAAATACCCAAGACCAAGATTCGGTATGGTTTGTGGAAAATGCCAGAAAAAACTCAAGACAACCGAGCTTGCCACACCCGGCGTCAAGCGGAAGAATGATATGTACTATGGCTCGCCATCCACCACTGTGGGCGGGCCGTCGAAATCCAAACCTACCCTTGGCGCGACTGGCATTGGCAAGGTATGTATTATATCTCCCTCATGCTCCGGTATTAGAGTATACATGACATCTATGGCAGATGTGGATGCTGATCAGACTGTGTACAGAGTAAACTGCTCGGCGCAAAGGCAAAGAATCCCTATGCGGCATATTCGTCGTCGTGCGAGTCGTGCAAGACCAAGACTGAGCAGGGCAGGAAGTATTGCCAGCGTTGCGCGTATCAAAAGAACGGTATGAATTCTAGAGCACTTGCTCCTGGCTCAAGATAGGATTGCGCTAATTTTTGTTCAGCATGCGCATTGTGTGGCAAGAACCTAGCTGGCAGGACGACTACTGACAAGCCCATTGTCCAGGGACAGAAGTTCAATATGAAATGATGAGCTTTGGCGAATGTTTGTTATTTGATTCATATACTTAGGACTAAAGCCACGGCATGGCATTCTAGAGTTATGGGGGCCTGTGTGAGATGTGCAAAATAATGATTTTGATTGACAGTACAGTGAGATAAAAAAATAGGGAAAGCAAATATCTAGTTATACATGGCATGCGCAGTAAGAGTATATGCAGTGCGTCGCCAAACACGCTTCGCTTCATTGCCGGGAATCAAATCTCTATTCCCTGGTAGGACAACCAACACCCGACAGCGGCACGCAGATTCTATGCGTTCCTCGCTGTTCATACATCCTGCCTCTCGTCCCCAACAATAATGGCATTCATCGATTGTCAGAACAATGCAAGGAATCCAGAATATGACACAGAAGGCTCAATCTACCGATCGGCGAGCATGTTCTTAATGTAGCTGTAGTATTGAGGCAGCACGTATTGCGGGATCTCATCCTTGGACAGCCACTTGAAATCCTTCAGGTTCTGGTTGCTAGAGGACAGATCAGCCTGACCAGCCATGATGCGGGACTTCATGAAGAAAGTCTTCTCGCCGTGGAGTTCGGAGCCAGTGGCCTTATCGACGTGGGGTTTGCGGTTGGTGTAAACGTGATGACCGGCGGGATGAAAGCCAACCATCCAGGTGTTCATGTGGACACCAGCAGACTGGGATAAGGTACGCTCGGCGGCCTAGTGAGATTAGAAGAATAGGATGTTAGTGAGCCCTGAACTATTACATCTCGCTCGGATGCTCTTTGACGGCAGTCTCACCTCACGCAGGGTCTCATCCCCCTCGATGGGCGAGCTGGGGAACTTCCAGTAGCCCTCCTTCGACTGGACCAGCAAATACAGAGTCCGCGGTAGCAATCTGTTCAAACTCTTGTGATCGCCCTTCTTGTCGGCCTCCGTCACCCGCGCGAACGGCCGCGGGATCTCTTCCTTCTTGCTAGTATCCTGGGATGTGGCATTGGCCGTGGACTCGGCATCCTGCACTAATGCTTCGACCTGGTGCTCTGGCTCAGATTCTTTCGCGCCAAGAACGAGCTCGTCGTTCCATGCATCGCTAGCGTATGCGTTGTAGTTACCGATGTCGCGTGCTGGTGTCCGGCGCTCCTTGATCTTGTTCTTCCAGTCGACATCTGCTGGTGTACCACGTTTGTAGTAGAAGTACTTGGTGAAAGGGAGTGCCAGACGCTCGTTCAGACGCTTCTGGTAGAAGTAGTAGGCTTTCTCGAACGGCTCGAGGTCGCGGGTAATCTGAGGAGGACGGGAGAGAACCACACCGGCATTGATGGTGTATTTGGGCCCGACGACAGGAAATGTGGTATCGGTGGTCTTCGGATCGGTGGTAGCGGCAGCTGCAGAAGCATAATTGCGGCGACCCAGAGTCTCTTGACAGCTTCTGCAAACGCCGGAGTCGAGCCTTGAGGGTCCTGTTCAATCGGGGGATCATCAGCACCAGACACAACCAAGAATCCTGTCAAAAAAACCAAAACATACGCATCAGCGACGCTATGCGCCGAGCACCATTGGATCCTGTCGACATTGCGGCGATGTGGACAATGGCGTCGTGTTGTCTGGTCTCGCCGGTGACCCTTTGCTTTCCGAGAAAAGTTCCAGCAGATGGTCACGTTTGCACTAGTCCAGAATGGGACTAGTGAACAATTGCCCGCTTTAAAACTCCATCGCGTCCTGCTCTCCTCTTCTTTTTTCTCTTCTTCAGGCACCCATTTCCTTATCGTCACTGCGTTCAGATTTTCCCACGGCCAGTCGATCATTAAGCGGTGCTCAGATCGATTTGCGGCTATTTTTCGCTAGCGGTACCTTCTTTTAATCCAAGGTGTACTGTTAGATAGCTGTCGCGAACACTCCGCACCGTCATTTCCATGTTGCTCAGCGTGGATAATTCGTCTCTTTGCTTCTCATGTCCTTTATTTCAGTCAAGAAAAAAAATAATAATAGAAACATTTCATTCTATCGCTCTGTTCATCTTCAAATAGCATTAACCACGTGGAGTCTCGTTGGCGCCTCGGGATGAAACTAATTGGCATCGCTCATTAGCGTTCCTCCGAGGCGAATCACCTTTTCTGCGGTCCCAAACACCCGCAATCGGTTTCCGTAGACTTCCCAAAACTCTGTCCCGAGGCGAGGGACCAGCAGTCCATGGCGAATCATGCTGGCGATCTCATCTGAGCCATTGTCCTCCAGGACCATCCGTGACAGGTTTTGAGTGCGTGGAGTTGGGGGACTAGTGTTCTCTCCTTCATCTTCAGTATCAAAGAAATCCTGAAACCTGTTCCTAGACGAGTTTGACATGCGTGGACGGCAGTTGGGGAACAGCTCTCGCACAGCAGCGGCTGGGGTTGGATTGTTCACCAGCCCGATCTCCATATCTTCCAACCTGCCTCGCTTTCCCTTGGGCATCTTGCCATGTTCGGCCCCGCTTGAAAGCTGTGCAGACAACTTGATGAAGGCGATCGCGGCTAGCATGCTATCATAGCCCGCTTCATGGATGCTCGTCTTATACAGATATTTCGAGTGGATAGTATCGATGTCTAAGCATTATGCCTGTCTGTGAGTGCCAGCCCCGGCAGAGCCAAAACAAAGCAAGCACAAACAAACTTACCGATTCTGGGGCAGGATAGCTTTGCTAGACTTTTGTTTAGCTCTTCCAGTGAGGATGTCGGACTCATGGCGTCGGAATTCTGCGTTGCTAGGTACTTGGTGTCGGCTAACATCGGGAATACAGTATGAACCAGATCCATGAATTCTGTGATGGTGGCTGGCAATGGACCTAGAAAGCACTTGTAGAAGAAAACCAGGTCGGTGAAGCAGTTATGCCCAACCAACACGGGCCGGTTTTCTTTGAGGCGCTCCTTCAGTCGGTCTGAGAGGTCAGTCAGAGTGAAGCCAGGGTTCTTGAGTTTGGCCATTAAATCCTTGAATGTCTGCGGTTCAAGATCAGTCAAATCCCCGCCCACTAGAGCCTCTGTGATCCATCTGAAGCCGACATGCTTTCGCACGCGGTTACTGATTGCCTTCATCCTCTCAGCCTTCTCCACTTCGTCACGCGCGGGGTCAGACAGTTCGATATAAATGAAAGCCGGCCTTCTTCGTGACTTGAGATTTGGATATTCAGTGTTGACTAAGTGATGAACGAGCCACTTTTGCATATTATTCAAGACCTTCGGCAGGGTCTTCTTCCCATGCAAAGAAGGCAGAGGGAAACTTGGAGGAATATTGATGGAACGGCTCCGCTTCTGCAAATAAATTAGCTTCTTCTAGAGGAACATCTGCCATTAATGACCCATACTTGATCTTGAGCCAACCAGTTGTCAAGTTCGCGCCGAACTGCCTGGAGGAAGTCGATGGATTCTGGATTGTCCAACTCTAAGCCTCGGGTGTCCACTGTATCGTGTGGATTACACTTTTTAATTCCTTGCTCCATCGCTTCTTCTTCTTCTCGTCGGGACAGATAGCGCACTCCGTCACGGTACAACGAGTTCAGATCAAACCGGTTGTTCATGAGGAATTCCGTTGCTAAAAAGCATTGGTCAGTCCTTCCGCTCAGCAGAAGAGATGTTGTATAACCACAGCAACATACCCCAGCCATTGAAAGTACAGTCACGGTTGATATCCAGGTCGCGATTCAGAAGCGGATTGAGATTGATGTTGTAAGGCTTAAGGACATAGCCTGCAGACGAAGTTTAGTTCGGAACTAAGGCTATTCGATGTCACGAGCATCTTGAAAAGTGACTGTACCGTTCTTTGGATCCTCTCGGCAGATAGTCAGGCCAACCTGTAGGATCTGATACTTTTCCGCGGCGGCTTTGGTCTCCTCGTATCGTTGCTGAAGCGTTTGAGTCCTTGCACCTTGAGAGCTTGGAGCTAGGGCAATGCCTGAGAGCTCGAGATCCAGGGCAACGAAGCAGCTCGCTGAAATCTCGTTCAATACCCAGGGAAGATAGCTGCTGAAACTTTGTGAAGTGATCTCCATGACGAAATAGGTAGGTGAGGGAGCGGTTGATCGATTCGAATGAGGCTGAATGAAGCAAGTGCTTAGGGTTGACTGGATGAAATCAGAGTTGGGCCCTGCTCTCTCTTCAGACCGAAGTCTGTTCACTTCTTCGTCACTGTCGTCCTTAAATGATGGCGAGGGTTATCCTGCGGTAAAGACCAAAGGGAGGTTCAGATGAAAGTCAGAACGAGCGAAGGATATTGGATGTGGTCCAGGTAGGCGCCTTATTGACCGGTTGCGCGAGGATGTCGGAAGTATGGAAGGCAACAACCAGAGAGCAATCAGCGATTTTGATTCGATATGGTCCATTGACTTATGATTCTTTTTGTTACGTTAAATTTCGAATTAACTAGGTATTTTCGGATGCTGTCTATATCCCATCCCGGCTCATGATTCTCTTCCCGATGGCTATTATATTGGTCTCACATGGCACCGATAGAGCCAGCTGTGGATACAGCGGAGACTGTGAGGGATCACCATCCCAAGGTTTCATAGACAAAAGTCAGACCCAAACAGACATTCAGTTGTCGGCAGGAAATAAGACTGGAATTGTAGACCACTATTGTGGGCTCTCATGGACTCCCATGGGCTCCGTGAACACAGGTCCATGTCGGGGAACGGCGATCCCGTGACCAACCCCGGACTTGGGCGAGCCGAGGGAAAACGACAGCCGATCGCAGCCCCAGGTCCCGAACTCATCGTCTCCTTGTTCATGGCCACTTTCTCTCCTCTTCTCTCTTTGTGACAAGCCTGAAAAGGAATTGCTTCTGCCTCATTATATGCTCCGGCTTGATTCTATGCCCCTGGCACGCAATGGCTGACGGAATGTCGTCCCACACCCAGTTCTCCTCCCCGTCCGCCGCCTCCACCTCCCCCACGAAGCTCTGCTCCAAGACTTACAAGAAAGCTTCCCAACTCTACCTTACACGACGTCTTCCGGAATCGCTTGATACTCTCCAACCTATCATTACAGTCTCGCCCTCGCAGGATGAGCAAATCACCAACGGCGAGCATTCTCCCGCCGTTGCGCCGATCGCCACTGCCCCCAGCACGTGGAGGATTAAGGTGTGGAATCTCTACATCACGCTCCTGAGCGCAATAGTAGACCTGAGTGCGGAAGAGGGAAAGAGCCAGTTCGGCCAAAAAGAGTGGAAAGGAATTGCGACACAAGTGCGCGAAGGTGGAATATGGGACACTGTCGTCGAGGTCGGGTATCAGGGCCGGGAAGGCTCCGTGGACGCAGAGGTCGTCTATAACTTGTGAGTTGGCTTTTTTATTCAGTTGAGTGGTGTTGTAAACGCGTGTCTAACTGCCTCGTTACCTCTGCTCACAGGGCAACTTTACTCTTGACCCACTCCTCCTCGCAGGCGCTCAATCAACAGCGACTCGAAACTTACCTGTCTTCTTATGGACAGCCCAATCTCGACCTGACAGACCGGCTTCAAGATGCATCAAATGGATTCCAGCATCACCGGATCTCCGCCACGAGCGGTACTGATACCCCGAAAGACCTGGCAGCTCGGGTGCGGATCATCGAGTTGTTTACTCTGCACGTTCTCCCGCGGAATGAAGAATGGGAATATGCGACGGAGTTTGTCAATATGAGCGAGGTTCTAGATGAGGAACGCAAAGACCTGTTTCTTCAGACGTTGGAAAGTCTGAGGGAAGAAAAGGAACGGGGCGAGATCCGAGCCGCAGAACTGCAGCGTCAGAAAGACGCCGAGCTGGAGCGACAACACGAGGATCAGCGTCGGCAAGCGGAAGAGGAGGCGGCTGCTGCTGCGCGCCCGCAAGCCAACGGCCATAAGCGCAATACTAGTGAAGTCGACTACGGGATTGAGAAGGGTAGCCCTCGTACACCCAAGTGCAAGGGCTCTAAATCGTCGGACAAGTCGCCAAACAGCAAGCCGAGTACACGGACAGCGCTCCCCCCTCGTTGTCGAAGAACACAAAGAAGCAAGTCAAGTCAGAGCCGCGATCTAGCCAGCCTCGTGCAGTGGCAAACGCCCTTCGAAACCTTATCAAACATATAATTCAGAGCGTATCCGCAAACCCGATGTCAATAGCGCGCACCCTGTTCTTCATCATCGGCATTCTGATGGCCATGAGCCGCCAGGATGTGCGCGAGCGAGTTCGCCGGATCACGGGCTCTGCTTGGCAGAAGGTGAAGGGCACTGTTGGCATGGGGGTGAAGGTCAGCTACATCTGAGATGTCAGTTGGCTACACGGACTTTCGTTTTTTTCTATGTTTTTTTCTTCTCCCGCTTTGAACATTGCATGACCTATCGTGTAGATCCCCCCTTAAATATGGATACTCCCCAATGGCTTCCCTGTCAATCGATGTCATATATACATTTCTTTCCACTGTGATTCTTTTGTCTATGTATTTTATAAGAAATATGTACCACATTTTTTTCACGAGAAGCTTTGACTTTATTTGGTCCAAACATGACCTCTATGATGTTCTTGCTGGATAGGTCTTCACCACAGCAGATATCCTGCGCTCTTTCATCAATCAAGCAATAACCCTGACAATGCATTATTCGGCCAATCGCTCATTCCACTTGCGATCAAACACATTGAGAGACCGTTGGGCTAAAAGACTTTCGTCAGCACTCGTGAAATAACGCCTGCGATGCTAACAACATACCCGATGGAACAACATCCAGGGCCTTGATCGAGACGTTCAATGGCTGGTTGAGCATGTAAATTGCAGCCTTGGCAATATCGTCCGCACACAAAGGCCTGAGATATAATTAACCTAGTGCTCAGTCGCTTTGAACTCTTCCATGAACTTACTCGTATCCTTCAAAAAATGACTCGTACATCTGCTTATCGTGCCCGACCCGTTGCGAATGGAAATTCGTCACAACGCATCCAGGCCGCAAAGCCAGAACCTTGATATTAGTGCCAACCAGTTCATTTCGAAGAGCGTTAGTGAAAGCTTCTTGTGCGGCCTTGTTGGAATGATAGACCGCCTCGCCGGGGAATGGAGGAACTTCTAGACCTGTGACGGAGGTGATGTTCAAAATAGTCCCCGCTTGGCGGGATAGCATGCTTTGGTTCAAGACGGAGTGCGTGACAAACATTGGGCCGTTGACGTTGGTGGAGTTCATAGCCTGAATGTCACTGATTTTCAGGTTGTGGAAGACATTCGGGGCACCGAGTGCAAGGCCAGCCTGTCAAGGAAGATGTTAGGATGTATTTCTCGTTGAGTAGGTGTTTGATCAATGAGTATATGTACATTGTTGATCAGAATGTCAATGCCACCCATTTCCTGGACCGAGGACCTGACAGCAGAATCCACAGCCTCATAATCCCCAATATCTACACCGCGGTAGATAAATTTGAGATCAGGATATTGCTTGGAGAGGTCGTCTTTGAGCCTAGCTAGCTTATCCTAAGAAAACGAATTAGAATATCCTCATTGGTAATCGCGAAGGCTCGCATATTGGAGTGGCGTGAACTAGTTTACCTCGGAGCGAGATACAAGAATAATGTTTGCACCAGACTTGGCAAGCGCTCTAGCGATTGATTCGCCAATGCCCATGGATGCTCCAGTCTATTTGTCGTAGTCAGTCTTATCGGCTTTAAGGTGCAATAGAAGGGAGCTGCTTCGTTTACCAAGAGCGCAATTTGGCCGCTTAATGACATTTTGATTAATAAAACTAAATATCCTTGACCTGTATCAATTAATGTGTGAATACACAGGTGGGAAGAAGGAGATTCTTATGTCCACTTGAGGTCTCCCTTGTCAATGATCTGATTACCAAGCAACATTCTATCATCATCGGATGGTGTCCGACGTCATTGCGCGTGGATCCAATCTACAGTACCCCACTCCCGCACAGAACTGGCTGTTATTTTCTAAAAGAAAATAGACTGTTCGCGTTCATTTGAAAGATAAAAATCAATTAATATAGTAAGTAATTAAATCACAGACTATGGAAGATTAAAACCCATGGGTGAGTCTATTGAATACATAGTGTCCACTATTAGATCTCCACAGCAGCAGAAGTGCCCAAGATCTTGCTACCCTTGCGAGCTGCGACCTTGATATACTTCGCATTAATTCCGTCAAGGCTGGCATGGGTCTCAAAGCCCCTACGCTGGTAGCTTCCCAGCAGAATTGTCTGGTTGGTGGCAGCCAGAGACGGTACTGAGTAGATGGCCCAGTTATCGTACTCAGTAGCACCATTCCAGCTCATGTACACAACAGGAGTGTCCGAGGACTTTTCAACATAGACAGCTGGATTCCAGAAGGGAGTAGCAGTCCATGGGAACCGGAAAGCACGGTAGGACTCAGCGGCCCCAAGTGCTCCGAACTGACCGGAGAAAACAACTTCACCCTTGGGGTTGAATTCCTTGACAATGCTAGAAGAACCGTAACCCATGAACATGTTGGAGTCATAGCCAGCTTCGCCCAGGAACTGGAAGCTACCCTGGGTCTTAGTGTAGACCGCATCGTTAGGATCCGAGACATTGTACATCAGCGAAGCTACATGGGTTATCAAATCAACTTCGAATACCATGCCAGTAGTCTCGCTGTCAGTCTCAGTGAGGGTGTTGGCGTTATTGAATAAGCTGAGAACCAGACTCTCGTCAGTCTCATTGTATACGCGGATATGGTGCTGCCACGAGAAGCTCAGGTCCGAGCCAAAGAAGTCGCCAGTGCCATCGTTGCCGCCCTAAATTGAGAGATTTGGTTTAGTAAATAGTTAATTTGTTTACTCGGAAGGCGTGTACTTACCGAGAGCTGCCAGCGGACAGTACCGTCTTTGTTTAAGTAGAAAGCAGACCAATAGAAGCGAAGAGAAACTATATAGCCATCGTTGGTAGGCATGATCGAGTTCATGTGGTAGCAGTCCCAAGGCGACTCGCGAGATACGCCAGACTGAACAGCATGTCGAGAGTCTGACAGAGGAATCTGGTCCTGGTGATCGAGAGCGCTCCAGGAGAACACAATCTTGTTGGTGACAATATCAATTTCATAGAAGTGGCTGACAGTCATCCACTGGTTAGCCTCGCCACCGGCAGAAGTCAGGTCGTGCTGGGTGACATTGATAGCGGAGACAAGGATGGTATTCCGAGGGGTAATGTAGTGCTCGTGGACATCTATATAAGAATCCTTCTCCTTGCCGTCGGCAGTGACGAAGTGATCATTAAGGGTAATGGTGTGTATCTCCTTATAGGTCTTGTCGAGAATATGGACCTTGCCGTAGCCGTAGCCACCGCTAACCTGAACCTCTCCAGACCAGAAAACAATCACATCCTCGCCGAAGAGCTTTTGCACTTTGAAATCCATAGTAGCCTCTTCAGGACCCTGGTAGATCATGTGGCCATCGTTGTCATAGATGGTGATTGCAGTGCCGGCAGTATTCTCGTTGCGAATAGGAATGAAGATGAGACCAGGATCAACGCCATCAGTCTTGGTAATGGAGACCTGCGGCGGCTCCCAAGGACCAGTTTTGTATGTGGTTTTGCCCCAAGCTGCATCGGACGCGGCCCCGAGGGACAACAGGGAGGCTCCAATGGCGGACAGGAAAGTGCCCCGCATTTTGGCGAGGCGTTAGAGAAAGTATATGACAAGAAAGAAGAGAAGTGACAAAATTAACGTTAAAATTGCGCGATATCAAAAAAGAGCGACTGGAGTAAAGGGGGTATGTACAAAGAGTTGAGACTGTTAGGGGGATCCGGCAGTTCCTTAATGGAAACTATATGGGACCATGCCTAAAATCAGAAAGCTCATCACTTCCTATCATGGATAACGGAGCAAGGGTTTGACTTCTTTTTGGTGGGATCACTTATTTCACCGTCAATCGACAGCGAGCCAAGTTTTGTCCCAGATTGGGCTAAGCTGAAGCCTACCCGGGGATAGGGCAAAGGCTCAGGTCCGCTATCATTCGAGAACCCCACCCATTCTAAGGAAAAAGTTACCCTTAGGGGCGTAAGCCGGCGGGCATACCGGCAACTGACAATCCAGGGTTTGAGCCTAGCTTTCTTGGAATTATGTTTCGATGGATGGCAGTGGATGACTCAGGTGTTCACGGATATAACTCGCCTATTCCGCGTGGAGCTCATGTATTCAAAAATCTTCAGATGGGACCAAGGGTAAAAAAACACTACTATACTCCATAGTTACCCATGAAGTCAGATCGGGTCACGGCGAAAAGCCGATTTCTCCACCATAGACTTCTTGGCGAACCGTAGATCCTAATATGTTGCCTCGTGCTGTTACGATTTGAGACGGATGGAGCCTTCTTTTATTCCTTCGGGTAACATCCACGTTCTCACTGAATCATGGGCTGGATTGTGTTGCGTTTGAAAGTTAGCGATCCGGGCAATGGGATCTGGTGGTTCACCTATTGTAGGAAATGCATTAAAGAGAGAGGGCTCCAAGAATCACCGCCAAAAGATTTGATTTGGTACGTGACGGAGCGTTTTAAGCATTCAATAGACTCACATATGGATTTATACAGCCTTGAGGGATAATATGATGAAATAGTCCAGTTCGTTCCAGCGCTTTGGGTCCGATCTTTGAATACAGATTATAGTGTATGTATTTTGTACGAGTTTTCTTCCGCCCGATGTGGAGATCTTACCCTCACGTTGGGACTTCACTAAAGTGAATAATGAATTATCAGATAAGTTGATCGGCACTAATAGTCCCTAATTTGGATCCACTTACGGGATAGAGCTCCGCCGAGTGGATGAGAGACGGCTGGAAGCTCGGCTAATCGGCTAAGCACTCTTTGCTGTATGTAGAAGAATATTCTACGGAGCACTGAAAAATGAAATACAACTTTCTAGAAGCTTTTAAGCTTTTTGCATGGGCAGAGCCAGCGTAACTTATGGAGTGGATATAGCAGGTGTGCATGGGCCTATGCCAAGCCTGACATATGCACCCCAGAAAGTACTAACTACAGTAGTACTGGCATCCAGCATTTTGTCAGAACCTACACTTCGAATTTATCTGAACTTTTGGCCAGGCTATTCCACATGATATCATTGGTGTTGTTTTCCTGACAGCTTTCGCATTATTCTGTTTGCCGAAAATTGTGTTCATAACCATAAATAAAAGGAGATCATGGATCCTCTTGCAATTCGTTAGACGTACCGCATTTCATTCTCATACGGAATGGATTCAGATTATATAATTATTCAGCGCTGATCCTGAATTACACCTCCATGGCTCTCTGCGGTCCTCTCGGCCACGCCAATCTCAATATCTTCTTGTCCGTTCTGGCCCGGATCCTCTTTCTCGGCTATCCGAGCATGCCATAAACGAAAGAGCTGCACAAAAAATTGGGCAACGCAGATCTGCTCGGTAGTATACAATAAGACTGGCACTGATGTCTTTGCCTTGGTGTAAAGGTCCACCGGAGCCCACATGGCATACAAAAGAGGCAATCCAAGGGCAGTGCTTTTCGCTGGGGAACAGAAACAGACGGCTATGGTTTCCTCTGGGGGCATGCGCTTCAGGATGGGTTCGAACCACCGGTGATGAGCAAGGAACTTCGGAGGCCGTGAGCTGAAGAAGGAAATGATAGTCAGGGCAATGTACAGGGCGATATTGAAAAGCACCACGAAGATAATGCTTTGGGCTGAGAGACTCTGAAGGGCCCCCGTTGCGAAGCAAGAAGAAAAGGTGGTCCTAATGGTTGAGTTAATCGAAGCTTACTTGTATACTTTTATGCAGCTATTCAAATGGCCATGCGGGGCACCTACCAGATCAACAACAACATACAAGCAGTCGATAGCTTTGCCAAGCGTGTCTTCTGGAGCACCCACGCCGTCCGCTCGGGCCAGGTCCATCGAATAATTTGACCCACAAAGAGTGGCAGCAGGACGCTGAGACCGAGCTGCTGGAAGACATTCTTGTACATGCTGCTCAGGCTCCCGCCACCATATCTCCATGTGTCAAATTCGGCTGACTTGGGCAACAGCGTGACTGTCCAAACTGCGGTGATGAAAGGCCCGAGGACATTGGCTAGGAGGACCTCGACGAGTGCCGCCGCATCGTCCCCTCCCGCAGCCCTCGTCATGACCACATTCGAGGCAATCGTGGTGGGAATACAGGCTGTCAGTATATACCCTGCCAACACGGCACGGTCGATGTGCCCAGCTGGGTCGGCAGCCAAAATAATGTGCACCACCGCCAGAACCAGGGCCGGGATAAACAGAAACGAGATCACTTGCACTAGTAGATGCAGCCGCCAGTTCATGAACTGCTTGAACAGCTTCTGGCGGGGGATACTGAGACCGGAAATGAGGAAGATGATCGCGATCACCCCGTATAGCACACTGTATTCGCTCCGGATTACACCGTCGGTTTTGGCAATATCAGGAAAGAAGTATGCCAGCACACAGGCAACACCCATGCCGATTAACAGCCATTGCCGAAGGATCAGGAGCGACACGCGCTTTGTGGCGGCCAGCCACCGGTCAAGGCGCCAGCGGGGAGTCGCATCTGCTACGATCGGAGATTCCTCCATGGTGATTCTCTAGGGGCACATGGGCGTTCAGAAGGGGCAAGGATATTGAAGCCTTTGCAAGTCTCTATCATGAGGTACTTATCGCACTTTTGAGCGGTGAATTGGGGGGTTTTTTTTAGTGCAAAAATCACGCGGTCGGAGCTAGTCCGATCAGCGCGGACTTCCATAACGGCGATTCCTTCAACCGCAGACCATCATCGTGGAGACGCAATGAATCCCTTGCGATACTTCAGAAAGCTTCGGAATATACTTCGCCTGTGCGGTAGAAGACTACGGTCGCTGCCAAGATGTCTGCTCCGGCTCCCCGGACTCACGAGGAGGGGCGAGAACGCCGAAGTCGGGTACCCGACCTTGGCTGGCCGACAGTCGGGATGGCGCCGGGCAGCATGTGAAGTGGCTAGAGCACATGCGCTATGATGCAACCAATGCAGAGAGAGAGGGAGCCGCTCAAGCAGACACACGGCGTATACGGAGTAGAAGGCAGGAGGATCGTTAGATCAACCGCGTTCGACGCAGACCCCTGGCCAGTCTCCCCAGATCCCATGACCCATGGTGTAGGCCTCGGAGTTCCTTGCACTTCTCCGAATATGGGTAAAACATTCAACCGCCGCGTTTTTCCGGGCCAAGTGTGAGTCCCAGCACCGAAACCCTGCCCGCACCGCCTACGGAGCAGACCCGGCGTCCATACAACCACCTCAACTAACCGCCCCGGATTCCCGTCAGATGACCTGGGCCACCGTCGCAAAAGAGATCCAGGGTGTCTTGAGGTCGACTCTGGGCCGCTTTCGGATCCAGCATTGGTCGGATCGAATGACCTAGGCTGGCGCCAGGCCTATAACCAAGTGAACCAAGTGAACCTCGGCTGAGAGGAGCTCTCGAGCTGGCCCGAAATCTCCCGGGAAGAACAGCATGTCCAAGGGGCGGAATCCGCTGCGGTTTGCGGACCAGCGAGTTTGCGGTTCCTCAATCGCGTGCTGGGTCGCCCCGGAGTAATCTAGTCCTCCAGTCTTCTAGAGCCTGGAGGGGAGATCAGTGCCCCGAAGCTCTCGTAGAAAGGGGGAAAATGGGGATAGGGAATCCGATTGCCCATCCCATCTTCGTCATACATAGGCCAATGTAGAAAGGGAACAATCACAAGCCGTCCCCTTTGACTTTTAAGGTCTGTTCATCTACATAGATCATCCTATGACGACAGTGACAGCCCAACTCAAAAGCCTGCAAGCATGTGAAGTCAGATCATTTGGAGATCTGGGGGGGCAATGGCGGTGCCGCAGTCCAGGGCCGTGGGGACAAGAGTCATCCGCCCTTGTTCCCGAAGGCCTCGGGATTGTTGGGGAGCTGCTTCGATCGGAAGAACAGACTGCCTTAAATTAACACTGCCGACCCTCGGCTGGTTCATATTCGATCGATTTTTTCTCTTTGATTCCTCTCTCTTTATTCTGATTTTGAGTAAGATTGTGGACAACTGTGCTCGTTGCTTGTCTCGGGACTTTCGTGCGCGGCAAAACCATATACACTTCCGCTCGTCCAGCTTCCTCCGCTTCCCCGTCATCGTTGTTCCCTCTCCCCCGCAAGGTTTGGACCGCCACTCGGACCGAATTGAATCATCGGCTCTTTCTTAAAGGCAAAAAAAAAAAAAACGTTCAGAGCCAAATCTCTACTCATTGACATCTCTGTCCACCGACCTTTTTCGTTTTTCTCGGTCAACGCGATCTATAGTCTGCCATCCTAGCTTCGGCTTCTATCCCGGGATTGTATACTTCCGACTCCCTCCGCATTTCGCTACTTCGGCTCTTCCCCTAAACGACAAATCGGGTCCACCCTTTTTGCCCCGGCAATTGACCTCCCTTTATTGGTGGTCATCTTAAAGCAAAACTTAGCAAATTCAATCTTCTGGAAGTGAATTGATTTTGGGTCGCCTTGGGTGTGAACACGCAACTTTTGGACCATAGAAAAACCATCCGATTGAAATCATGTCTGCCAAAACAGCCAACGGCAATGGGAGGAAGAGGGCCTCTCCCGCCGTCAACTTGATTGGTAGATAATCCCCGGAATCGTGAGAAAGAGGAGAGCGCTCAATGCTAATGATGTTCTCCCATAACAGCCGGTGGTGGTGCCGGTATGATGGAAGCTCTTGTCTGCCACCCTCTGGATACTATCAAGGTCCGCATGCAGCTCTCGCGGAGAGCGACCGCCCCCGGTGTAAGTGCTACCAGGACGACTACTCATACCATACGTTCTGAGGCCCGTTCACTAATCACCTATCTGCACAGGCCAAGCCCCGTGGCTTTGTGGCCACCGGTGCGGAGATTGTGCGTCGTGAGACTGCCCTCGGTCTATACAAGGGTCTCGGCGCCGTGCTGGGAGGTATTATTCCGAAGATGGCCATTCGATTCACCTCCTACGAGTCGTACAAAGGAGCTCTGGCGGATGAGGATGGCAACGTGACCAGCAAGGCCACTTTCCTAGGTAAGTCATGGTCAAACCAACGACTGCCGGTTAATTCCCTCCGCAATCTCTTTCCCAGTTCGCTAATTCCGTTCGTCCAGCTGGTCTCGCTGCGGGTGTGACCGAAGCCGTGGCCGTCGTCAACCCCATGGAAGTCGTCAAGATTCGTCTGCAAGCACAGCACCACAGTTTGGCCGATCCCCTTGACACTCCCAAGTACCGCAGTGCGCCCCACGCCCTGTTCACCGTGATCAAAGAAGAAGGCTTCAGTGCTTTGTACCGTGGTGTCTCCTTGACGGCCCTGCGACAAGGAACCAACCAGGCCGCCAATTTCACCGCATACACCGAGCTCAAGGCCGCGCTTCAGCGCGCCCAGCCCGAGTACAGTAACTCCCAGCTGCCCTCCTACCAGACCACCCTCATCGGTCTCATCTCCGGTGCCGTCGGCCCCTTCTCCAACGCCCCCATCGATACCATCAAGACTCGTCTCCAAAAAACCCGCGCCGAGCCCGGCCAGTCTGCCGTTACTCGTATCCTGGTGATCGCGAAGGACATGTTCAAGACCGAGGGTGCCCGCGCCTTCTACAAGGGTATCACTCCCCGTGTGATGCGTGTGGCTCCTGGCCAGGCCGTCACTTTCACAGTGTATGAGTTCCTCAAGGGCAAGCTTGAAAAGTCCAATTGGGCTTTCGTCGGCGGTTCATTTGAGGAGTAAAAAAAAGTGTCTCAAGGGTTTTGGTTTGTGTGGAAAGCATGTGATACCATACCAGAGCATGATGGGCGTTGCGTTTCCTCTTTTTTTTTGGTCGTTTTCTAGCGCGGGCAATTTGAACGCCTGCAAGGCCTGTGCCGTTCAGAAGCAAGCTGGTCGGAACTGGTCCTGTACATATTCGCTTTTTTTTTTCTCTTTCTTTCCTTCTTGGTTATAGTGTATACCACATTGTTGGATCAACCAGTGTTTAGCGTGCTGTAAGTTTAGTCCGAGCAATTATCGTAGTCAAGTATGATCAAGTCACCAGTCAATAGAGATTGTATCAGCGACGTCCATATTTGAAACACTTTTCAAGTGTCTGGTGTTCTGAAAGTATCGAGAATGCCGTGGTAAATGGAAATGGGGATGTTGTCGGAGAAGATAGAGACTCAAACCGCATGCCAGGCCACCTCCGCCCCTCATTCACCGCTCCCCTCTTTCTCTCTCCGTAAACAATCCCCCAATCAACCATCAGGCCCCGGAACGTGAGACATCATGCAGTCGGGAATCTCAGGTAAGTTGAACCAACCCAAAGTTATTAACCTCGTCCTTCTATCCAACCATTGGTTATGCCTCCCTTCTCCCGCGCTGACTGCAATGTCTAGTCTCCGCGGAGCTCCAAGATGCCTTTAGTCGCTTCAGCTCCGACACCTCCAGCTTCTGTCTCCCAGTAACCATCACAGCGGAGAGCCTGACGCCGCTGTCCCCGATTTCCTTCGCAGGCGCCTCGGTCGGCGAAGAGGCCTTCTTCGCCTCGCTGCCCCAGATCTCTTCGATCCTGCAGCCCAAGACCCCGCTCTACCTGCTGCTTCGCCGTCCGACCGCCGCGGCATCCTCGCTCATCGCTCTCACCTATATCCCATCCAATGCACCCGTCCGGCCGAAGATGCTCTTCGCCTCTACCCGCTCGACGCTGGTTCGCGAGCTGGGCACCGAGAAGTTCGCTTCAACGGTGTTCGCCACTGAAGAGGAGGAGATCGTGGGGCGGGAGGCCTGGCGTGAGCGCGACGACACCAGCAGAGGCGTTGGGCGGGAAGAACTGATGGGCGAGAAAGAGCGTGAGTTGGAGGCCGTGCGCAGAGCGGAGGCAGAGGCTCGCAATGGCACGCCACAGAGGGATATCGGGATTGGGGGCACTTTTGGCCCGGGCTCAGGATCGGGCATGAGAGTGTCGATGCCGGTCGATGATGCGGCGAAGAGGGCTCTGAAGGAGCTGCAGGAGGGCGGCCTGGTGCAGCTGGTATGCAAGCTCGTCCTACGCTCAACTATTTCACACTCTACATGGTCTTTACGGGGATCCACGTAAGGGGGAGACTGGTGAGAGAATTCATTTGGATTGTAGATGCTAATTTCTGGTTTTCTGATGCAGACCGTTGATATTCCCACGGAGACCATTACTCTCGCCGACGCCAAGTCCGATGTTGACGCTGGCTCCGTTGCCACCCACATCTCTTCCTCTTCACCCCGCTATTCCTTCTACCATTATCCTGGCACAGACGTTGTCGTGTTTGTGTATACTTGTCCCACCGGATCATCGATCAGGGAGCGCATGCTGCATGCCAGCTCGCGGAGAAATGCCATCTCGGTCGCCGAGGGCGAGGGGCTCAAGATCTTGAAGAAGGTATGGATATGCACCACATCGGGCCCGGCAAGGGCGTGGAAGACAGACACTAACGCTCGTGGATGATAGATTGAGGCCTCAGGCCCAGACGAAATCACTGGAGATCGGCTGAAGGAAGAAGTTCACCCGCCACAGGATCAGGGTACTGCGCGAGGATTCGCTCGTCCGAGACGTCCGGGTCGGTAAATGCCGTTTTGATTGATGAGAAGCGTCACAAGCACACGTATTTATAACAGCATTATATAGCCCTGCCAACCATCATGAGACCCGAATGGAGCCCGCGTGCTATAGGTTGAATGCGTAGAATGGCACACCTTCGTTGGCTATTAGGCTGAAAGGGCTGAAAACACTTAAGAGCAAAAAGACCACAAGGCCCGCGCGTACCTCACCTCCACCCAGGTGCATCGAGCACACCCAGCCAGCCACGGAGGAGAGAGCGCAGGCCGCGATCAATTATTTCGAAAACTTTTCTTCTGGTAGAACAAGTCTGTCCGCGAACTGCCCAGATTAATAATCTTCGGACACCCGTCGCGATCCTTCTCCAGACGCGTGCATTCGAAGCAGTAGAAGGCGTCACTGATGCCCTCGCCACCGCAGACAATGCACTTGTTCTGGTAGTTGCCGAACGAGCACTCGTCGCAGATTCTCACCAGGGTGGTTGGGCGCACGTAGGAATCGCACACGGGGCATTTGCCATCGCACTTGTCGCAGAGCCGGCCGATGGAGATACCGGGCTGCTTGCGGCACATGACGAGATCGGGGTGATGGCGAGACATGGTGTATGAGAGTGTTTGATGAGGTGAGGAGGAGAAACCGGAGGAGGGAGAGGTGAGGAGGGAGAGGTGAGGAGGGAGAGGTGAGGAGGGAGCTATGTTAGGGATGCGTGGAGAGAAGAAAAGAGGCCGGCGGAGGTTTGGCCGGGTCCGTGCACGTGCCACCACGAAAGCAAATGGCGGCACGCGAACTACAGTAGCAGTATACTTCTCGTTTGACCCGTAGTATTTAGTCTACCTTGCAAGCAGACCGCCTAACAGTCTATCAGTGGCCACTTCCCCTTCGCGCTCTTTTAGCCTTGATACATCATCCCCTTGCTAAACCTGGCGGCCTTCGCTCCCTCGATCGACTGCAATGTCTGAGGTACTCAGCAATTCCACATACGAGCTGATATTTAAGAATTACCATGACTGGAGTGCCCACCGTCCATCGCACACTCTGACATTTCGTAATAACGGATTGTGTTGGTGGTTAAAAGTCTCTGTGGAAGGATCTCTTCCAACAACGATAACAACTTTGGGGTATCTGCGGCGCCGCTCGACTTTCCGAGAGTTTCTTGAAAGGATTGACTTTAGTCAAATGCAGCTTTAAGACAACACCATGTCAAGCATTATCTTGAATTTGACTGAGGAGAGCCACCATTCGCTCCCAATCCAGGCTGCATCTCACAATACTGAAAATTTCTATATCGCTGCGTCTCATCGAATACGTTGCATAAGTGAGGAAGATCCAAATCGAGTCATATATCCTCCTATTTATCAAATCCAGTATCTCCGAACCTTTGATGCGAATTGTCTGTAGATAGATGAATTCATCGCCCCCACTGTATCTACTGTCATTGTTGAGCAGACAAAGTATGCTTACAAGACTATCGACCGGCCTATCTACGAACCCAGAGACACACAAGATATCTTGCGCGAGATCCATACACTCGCCCAATTTCACGGACAGCCAAATATTGCACAAATAGTCGGCCTTGTGGTATCCGAAAATCCATACCAAACAAATCCATTGAACAATATGCCTCAAGTGATTAGAGGTTTTCTTCTTGAGTACTATCCTGGAGGATCACTAGAGCGAGTCGCCAGTGAGGGGACACCCACAAGTGATCTTTCGCAACTAAGATGGGCTATACAGGTGGGAAGAGCATTAAGACAGTTGCATGAAAAGAAAAAAATCATCTTGATGTGAAACCTTCGAATATTGTTCTGGATGCTGAAGGAACTGCTTTTCTTATCGATATTAGCGGGGTCGGTTCTTATACGTGGGAGTGGCTCTCACCGGAGATGAGATTGTTCCTTGAACAGAACGATGAACAGACACCTGCTGACGCCCAACTATGTGCGCGAATTGCGACAGATTCTTGGGCGTATGGCCGGCTACTATCAGTTATTGCGAAGGGAAGTTGCCCTGGTCTTGTACGTGAGAAACTGCGAGACATTTCTAATAGTTTGACAAAGGCGGAATCAGAGGCTCGTATCAGTCTAAGTGCAGCGCTAGCAGACCTGGAAACAAGCTGGGAAAAAGCCTCACTATAGGCAGATAGTGACCTGTTTGTCAGTTGATTACTACTAAAATAGAAGCAAGTCTACATATAATCAAGTAATTATTCCAGCTTATGCATCATAATTGAGATATTACTCCAATACGTAGTGTAGTGGGGAAACAGCCTACGGTAGGCTGGATCTGATTGGACGCTATATTCCCAGTACACATTCTTTACAGTCCTAACTTCATCACCTAGAGAGATCCGAATGTAACTCTAACACTCTCTATATATCAAACAGCATCTGCTTCCTCTCTGGGAGACTGTTCTCCAACGTGGTGTATGGTGGTTTGGTGCAAGTAGAAACAATATACTACGACTGAGAGGGATTTTCTCGGCACATTGAAGACAAAAAATGCACTTCGGACAGCAAAACTCTTCTATGTACTTGCTCATAAGAAGCGGGTAGACTTCACTGGTTGATCAATGTATTTTACCTCGCATTGCTTCGGATCCTAGAGGGATCCGCTTTGCTATTTCGAGCCGTATTAGGAGTTATGGCTACGATGGGTATTTTCAGCTATGATCCCCAATGCCATGCTGGTGACAACATACGTAACTTGAACTTATTTAACAAGATGCTTTCCTCGACCTGAAGCTAAACTCCATTGGCTTAGTCATCAGCGTCGGCGGCCCGCAAAGGTCGCAAATGAACTTCAAACTTAAGATTAGCCGCGGCTGACTAAACTGCCACCGAGCTGTCTTGGGGTCGAGTCAACTCTGCCTACTACCACCCATCTCACGCCATCCGTATTTCAGGACACTATGTCCGAAGGGTAAGGCAAATTTCTTTGGCACAATTTGTGCTCCATTATGTACAAATAAACTTGCTGACACCAGGTCTTTCCCGCTGTACAGGACACTTGCATCGGCAGTCGCCGTGCCAGAACAAGATAATCTACGCCAATCCCCTGAGTTCCCTACAAAACGACGAAGATCCTCAGCGACTGATCACGATTCGAAGCGTCGTCGGTTCAGTAATGAAGGCGATCTCTCTCCGCATTCCCAGCACAGGCAGCTGTCGCCACCGGCGTCGGCAGCGCCTGAAAAGCCCACCGAGCGTAAACCAGCGCGACAAGGACGAGAAGATGAACGTCGGCGGGGACAACGCCTGTTCGGCGCTCTGCTGGGCACACTCTCACAGCGCGGATCGAACTCACCGGCGCAAAAGCGACGCGCAGATATTGAGAAGAGGCAGCAAGATAAGCTGAAGTCGCAGGCGGAGGAGTATGATGGATTGAGAAAGCGCCGGAAAGAGCGTCGGGAATTGATCCGCAAAAAAGAGAAACCTTTCTATGAACGTGAGGCGGTAAGCTATTCCCATTTTATCGCGATAGAATTGTTCCAAAGTACTAATATCAACGACGATGCAGATGCGCACGCGTCATTCGAATTTGATCGCCATGGCCCATTTTCTGAAGACGAGTACTGAACCCGTCCTAGTATGTACTAATCCATTCACAATCCTTTGAATAATATTCGTGTCGCGAAAATCACTAACATCTGTGACGCAAAGTATTACAAGCCGTGGCAACTACGATCCGGCGATGAAGCAGTGATTCGAGAACAGATCGAAGAAACCGAAGCGAGAATCGCTCGTGAAGTTGCCGAATTTGAGGCCCAGTATCCGTCCGAAGCCTTTGTGCCCGAAAAATTAGAGCCCATCGCAAAAGAGCAACAACCGGTAGGGCATGAAGAGGAATCAAGAAATGCGCAGCAACAGGCTGAATCCACTACCGAGCCAGCCTCCGCTCCGAACCCCGAAAAGACTTCAGCCGAGACCATCAGTGCCGCAGAAATACATGGAAGCAAGGAACAAGGTTTGGAGCAGGCTCCATCTGATGTGGCTTCCCGTGATGAGCAAGAAATTGCCGGCCACGACCATGATGCACATCGCGCCCATGACGATGATGGAGGGGAAGTGGAAGAGGATAACGAGGATACTGTCATTTATTAGCGATCATATATCTAGCTTATTTTTCATGATATCATGCCCATCTGTATTATGTGATCTAACTTGTGCTTATCAATCTGTGATGCAACATCACCGTTGAGAGGCCGCAGCTTCACAGCCGAGGCATCTCGACGGGGAGGGGGTCCCTCGGTTTCCCACACGTCCCGCCCACCTCGACACATAGCCAGTGCCAATGGATTATTTCAATTCTTCAGAATATTTGTCTTCTTCTCCACAGAGCGCTGGTGCCGTTTATAGGGTCTTTATTCTTGGTTAAATAGTATCCAACTATTCACGTGACGATTGGGGTGATATTCTCCTCGACATTTATATATAGCAGTTTCACGAGACTTCAGGCCACCATCATTTGATCTTGATTACCCCACTCTTTCAAAGAGACACATCGACGAACGTTACCCAGACTCATACTAGCTTCTGGAAGCACCAAAAGATACCATTCAGCATTACCATGTCAGTCGATAAGATCCGAGTGTCAGGCGACGCGCGCATTGAGTACAAATCCGTGACACTTAATGGGCATAAATACGGTTCGTATGTCTGAGACTACCTCAGACATTTAACAGGTCAAAATCGGATAAAAAAGAAGTCGTTCATTTCTGACTCTTCATGTGTGACGCTCAGGTTATCTTCTCAGTCAACCACAATCGGGCAAATGCCGAGCTACCATCTTCCTGGTAAGGCCAACTGACACACTCCAGCCCCTCAGTGCCGTGTAGTCAATGGCAAGTGACTATCATCTAGATCCATGGCTTCCCAGATATATCCATGGGATGGCGCTACCAAATCCCCATGCTGGTAGACATGGGGCTCAAGGTCGTCGCTCCCGATTGCCTGGGATACGGCCGCACTGTAAGTGGAGCCCTGCGACGCCACAGAACCTTTAAACAAAAATCCCTGGAGAACCTAGTATAACACATAGTCAGGATGCACCCGATGATTACGCGCCATACTCTCACAAACGATGTGCTGATGATATCAAAGCCCTCGCCTCTCAGCTTGGCGAAACAAAAATCATCTTAGGCGGGCACGACTGGTAAGAAAAACCTCTCTTCCTGAAAGATCTAAGGTCCTGGATTGAACACTGATTGTCAAAGGGGTGCTGCCTTTGCCTACCGTATCGCCCTCTGGTATCCGGAACTAATCAGCCATCTGTTCACGGTCTGCGTCCCCTATGCACGGCCACAAGCACAGTTTCTTTCTATCGAGGAGCTTGTGCGTACCGCGGCCCCACATTTCACATACCAACTGCAGTTTGCAAGTGGGGACCTGGAGAAGGTCATACGCTCCAAGGGCGAGATCAAACAATTTTTGAGCTCGTTGTATGGTGGGCGTACGGCGAAGGGCGAGTTCGGCTTCGATGCTGAAAAGGGTGTTCTATTGGATAGGCTGTCTGACTTGAAGCCGTCACGGTTGCTGAGTGAAGAGGTATGAAGCAACATTTCGAAGTAAATTATGCTCTGCGCAGGCTGCCTTTCGACTAACAAAATGAAGGAGCTCGAGTATTACTCGACTGAATTTGCTAGGAATGGGATCCATGGTCCATGTATGTTGCCTATTTTTCGTTTCTTTTTTCTTCTCTTCCATGGCGACTTGATTAATGAAATCGTATAGTGAATTGGTACCGGACCCGCAAGGTTAATCACGATGAAGAGCTGGAGATTCTTGATCGCACAATCACCATCCCCGTGCTTTTTATCCAGGCATTGAGGGATCAGTCTCTCCCACCCCACCTGGGTAAATCGATGGCCAAGCACATTTCGAACTTGACCTTGAAGCAAGTGAATACTGCACACTGGGCGTTGTGGGAGAAGCCCGAAGAGGTCAATAGCATTCTTGCGACCTGGCTGAAAGACGTTGTTTTTGCGGAAGGCCGACTTGGAAAGCTTTGATTGGATGGTTCATTATATATGTATGTTACTGCGCGTATCTATTGAAACCAAATTGTGTTGAGGCAATCTAAGCAAAGTTTTCGAGCTAGAGGACTATCTACCCTGCTTTAAACAATATGGAAGATGAATATTGGGGTTCGTTAAGACATAAAAAAAGAAGTCACCCTTCGGAACAGAGGGAAAAAAGCATATATAGCCAGACTTAAAAAGCAACCACCCCCTTTTTTTGGCCAAAACCTTGCAGACTTGATGAGAAAGAGTGTTCGGGAATCAATACTGGAAGGTCTTAGTGTCAATTTTGCACCCAACTTTATCGATACGGTCAACAAAGTCTTGACCCAAAGTTGCCGAGGTGACAATGCCACCACGCGAGACCTTCTTCACCTTCTCCTCCTCATCAAGAATGACCATGGCAGCCTCAGCAAGCAGCAGGCCGGTAAGCACGTACATGCTGCCCTCGAAAGTGAACTTGCCAAAGACGCGCTTGGGAGCGGGAACATCCTGATCCGCTTTTGCGACAGCATGATACTCAAGGCGGTCATGCTGCGAGGCCTGCGTGGTGGGGCCCTGACCAGGTTGGTAGATAAATCGACGCAAGAGTGTGCGCACGGGAGGAATGGCCAGAAGGGAAATACCGATTAAGAAGCCAACGTGAACGAGCACACCGAGAAAGGAGTTGCGTACGTGTAAAAATTGACGGAAGTAGAAGCGATTTCCGTAGAGTTCTGGCATTAAAGTGCTGCTCCGGTGCACAGTGGTGATGTCTACCATGGCAGACGGGGAAGTCGTCACCGTACCCAGATCTCGGATCCACCGTGCACCGAAGAGCTTGTGGATAATCGATTCGCGTGGAATATCCTTAGGCGGGGTTGATGCTGCCAGCGAGAAAGGTGTCATCGATTTGACCAACTCCGAGGACGGGAGCCAATCGAAGATGCTCAGAACGGTGTTTAAGGTGCCGCCGCTAGGACCAGATGATCTATGGCAATCAAATTTAGAGCGAGGACCTCAAATTTGAATGTCGAGATACTTACTTGAGCTCCTTAATACAGCAATCAATCTCCCGCGTCTGGGAGGCGAGCTCCTCCCGGACGTGCTTGACAAGGGCAAAGGCCAGCATGTCGGCTGGGACACTTTCAACTCCAACCGAGGGAATGATCTGGACGTGGTAAGCATGCCATAGATTTTAGTCCATCACATCGCGACTTACAATGGCGCCATTATTTTTCGCTGTTTCATGATACTTGTCCACGATCACCTTAACCCATGGGGTCTCTCCGGTTCTGCAAAGGTTAGCGCGTACGTCCCTGGGTTTAAACGTGAGAGGGGGAAACATACGCATCCACATAATGAGTTCCATGAGATGCGCAAGCTTCCACCACTGGCGTTGAGTACAAGTGATACGGGCCGACACAGTTGATGATGAGCCTTGTCTTCTGTGCCAGTTCGGTCAAGTCGGCTGAATTGAGTTGGACCTCAAGGACATCTATGAGTGGTGCAAGTTGGGTAATGCAAGTTAGACGTATTCATAATTGGGAGCTAGAGGTGAGGACCACATAGAAGCGTAATAGAATGGCTTCATACCTGGTTGAAGTCGATCTTGGTTCAGTGTTTCGAGCTCCTGGACAATGGGGTCCATTTTTGCTGCTGAACGGCCCGCAATGGCCCATTTCAGATTGGTAGGATGGTTCTTCACGATATGGTCCGCACAAAATCTACCGGTGTAACCGGTGGGACCTAGGAGGACCAGATCATACTGTCTGTTGGAGGACATTGTTGAGTGAATGGATCTGCGAAGTTTTGCAGAGGTAGTTCCACTGAAGGGGGGAATCAAGCTCGGCGATCACAAGCTCCTCGGTCCGGTGGTCAGGGGTGGTAGAGGAAGGAGGGATTGGGGTTCACAGACGAGCGAAGGAGAACAAGAATGATTTAGGCTCTCACTCCGGAATCTCTAGCAGGATACACAGCTGAGACGCCCCTCGGCACTTAATATTTTTGCAGTCGAGATATTGATCGAGCCGCGGGAGCTTCCACGTGACCGGATAGTTCAGTTGCGCCGACGGACGATTTAGAGCTTGTTTGGAGAGGACGTGCACCCTTGATTGGGTGGAAGCTCGGATTTGAGATAGAACTGCAATGGTCTATTTATTTTTACAGCAGGGTCTGGATGGGAACGACCGTATAAATTAACACTCCTCCTTTATGGAAATTCAGAAATCTCCACAATGAGCATCAAATCATGGACTCTCCAACCAATCAACGTCCGAGTCATCCTTCAGGATCATGACGTTTCGAAGGAAAAGGGACCGCACTGAATCAGATGCAAATGGGACAAACAAGTTGGCGCTTGACGAATATTAAGTAATCCAGGAGGATGAGACCGCACGATGACATAATCCACCATGGAGCGATCACCTAAGCCATCAGGTGACCACACTACGCCAAGGCCCTGTGCCCTAAGCGAGCCCACCCACAACCACTCTTCTAAAGCCTCTTTTCGATCTCCTCGCTATCCATCTTCACCCTCAACAGCCGCACTGAAGCCAAGATGACCAAGCGCACCAAGAGTATGTTGCGACCCTACAATTAATCCCGACAAATGTTCACAATTTGTTCCCCCCGTTCTTGTCGCTAATTGTCTTCCACAGAGGTCGGTATCACCGGTAAATACGGTACCAGGTATGCTCAACGCCCATGATTCCTCGACCACACCCCTCGGAACGACCGTGATCCCTTCCAACGAGACACGACCAGCCCGACCAGAAGATCCGATTATTGACCACCCTCTTTTTTCAACAGATATGGTGCCTCCCTGCGTAAGCAGGTGAAGAAGATGGAAATCACCCAGCACGCCCGCTACGTCTGCACTTTCTGCGGCAAGAACACTGTTAAGCGCAAGGCTGTTGGTATCTGGGAGTGCAAGGGCTGCAACAAGACCGTCGCCGGTGGCGCCTACACCGTCTCGTAAGTCGCCTTCAGGTCCTGAAAATCAAACCATGAGTTCGATTGTGCAAGGAGAGGAGGAAGAAACCAAGGACACTCCATCGCGGCACGAGCCAGATCTGGACTCGCGGAACTTTATCAGTGATCAGCTGCTAATCATAGACTTGTTTGACAGGACCCCCGCCGCCGCTGCCACCCGCTCCACCATCCGTCGTCTCCGTGAGATCGCTGAGGTTTAAACGGGATAAATGTGGTTTCCTTTCTCTCTTCTACGGTTACGTCTGAATACCAAAAAAATGAAAACTTCGGAATCTTGAGGATTTTGCATGATCACGTTTCTCCCCCTTCTACCGTATAACCCGACGAGAACCGTCGCGCCTGAATGCCGTCCATCATCAGAACCCAGATGGCAAAAATTAGTTACGACTCGGAGCAGATAGACGCATCCACCCATTTCAAGTGTCTCGGGTTCAGCTATGTCTCTCGCTTGTGATAATCCCGTTCACATGTGAGGGCAACATGGTTCTTCGACGGTCTGTCAGTGTTCATGGCCGGCCCATCCATCTATCCCGGGTCGGCACCGGGCAATAAACGTAGATTTCACCCAAAACATTCCACGCGCAACTGCCCGACTATCTGTGATGTTGGTTCAAAGACACCCAACTTCTCTGATCTCAAGTCCTGCATCCTTGATTTTCCATCTCCCGGTTCCTCGCATTGGCCCGCTTTCCTGCAGGGACGCCCAGCGAGGTCGCCGCTCCAACGAACAATACTCCACATACCACCAGGGCTACGTACCCGCATGACTCAGATCAACTTCAGCCGATCAGGGCTCCAAAGGTCCTTCAGGGATGGGAATTCTCGTATAATAGATTTCTAGCGAAGTACCCACTCTGGCCATCATTATCGAGCCCGGGTTGTAGACTAGTGTGAACCGGCGCTTCCACCCCTCCAACGTATGAATCGGCGCCTACAGCAAGGGCGTAGGCTACCACCGAACCCCCCTCCACAAGATCGAGACGGTCGGGGCCTCTCAGTCCTTGTGAATCACCGGAACACTCAGCATCATGAACATAATTTTCCGTGCCATCTTATTCGCATGCGCTGGCGGGTGATTCGCCTCTGTCACGTTGCCGCCCTGTTTTGCGTTAGACTGGAAATCCGGCCCACCTTCAAAAGGCCCGGCTTCTTCTCCACCTTGCACTTCTCTCTACACATCCCTCCTTCTCTTCTCCACCCACCACTCTTTATATGCTTCATGCCGCGTCTCAGTCGTTCCTCTCCTGGTTTTCACTCTGTCCATGTCCGACACCTGCATTGTCTGTTTAGGAGACCTTGGCGAAAGCGCCAGTGATCCCCTCGCCGTCGAGCCCGTGCCAAGACCCGATACTTTCGATCATGCTGACTCGACGGGGAAGGCTCCTGTAACCCAGGAGGACGAGGATCCAGGCCAGATTGCCCAGTTGCTTCCTTGCGGTCATATTTTGCACAATAATTGTCTGAAGCCCTGGGTCGAACGGGCGAACAGTTGTCCGATATGTCGGCGCAATTTCAATATGGTCGAGTTGAGTGACCATCCGGGAGGTATGCACAAAGCGCCTCCCTTGCACTAGTCTGGGGATTTTGGTTGAGATAGATCTTGGGTTTATGTACGATGATACTGGATGCTAACGATCCCGTTTTTGCCATACAGGTCCTGTGACGTCGTCCTATGCCGTTCAAGATCGGACTCAGGTCGCCGACATCGATCCATCGATGATCATCGAATATGCGGAAGATGATCTCGCTGACTTCCATCCCTGCACAATATGTGGTCAGTCAGATAATGAAGACGTCCTTCTGCTTTGCGACGGCTGTGATGCGCCGTCCCATCTGTACTGTGTTGGCTTAGATGCGATCCCCCCGGCTCTTGGTTCTGTGACCAATGTGAGACTCAACGTACTCTGGGATCAGCTGCAGAGCATATTTCCCGACCTCGGCCTTCCCGTTCGAACTCCCGGCGAACTCGCCGTACACGGGGCCAGCAACGTCAGCACCAGAGCAGGAACCAAATCAATTCCCTCCACTGGGCCCGAGTCTGGCAGTCTGTGTGGGACCATTTGAATCTCGACTTAGATTTTCCGTTCGACGACGAGCGATCAGCCGAGCGTCTTGCCCAGGAACGCCGCCGCGAAGAGGCTAACCAGCGCGAGTTTCGCGCATGGCAGCGGCGCTTCGAGGTCGCAGAGCAGCAAGGCGGTGGAAGTCGATTTAGAGACACTGCTTCCCTCTTTGACATCCATCCCGCTCGACCATCACGGCCTCGTGTACCCCGAGAACCGACTCCAGAACCAGAGTCCTTGGAAGAAATGCGAGCATGGAACGCATTTGAACGTGCTCGAGAAATCGAAAATAACCCCAATGCAGCTCGGAAGCGCAAAGAGCCGACATTATCTCCCTCTCCCGAGCCGACAGAGCCCGAACGGAAACTCAAGCGACCCCGTACGAGGAGACCCCAAGAGCTCGCTGCGATGGCTCAACAAAATGGAGAATCTTCAAGAGCGGCAAGTTTAATAGCAAGTGCGAATGCGAGTGCAAACCCAAACACCAACACCAACATCAATGCGGACGCAAGATTGAACGGGGAAACCATCGGCGAACCAAGTTTTCTGTCATCTTTGTTGAAGGAGGTGGAAGAAGCATCGAACACAGACCGCACAGCTTCTCATGGACCATCGGCTCCCACATCTATTGCTCCTACTGACCATGCAACACCCGGACCATCATCGCCGTCCATATCTCCTGTTTCCTCCCGTCATTCTTCTCCCCGGTTATCATCTATCACTCCACCTCCCTTGTCTCGTAACCGACCTATCTCCCCTCTACAACTCTCTTCTCCCGTCGAACCATCAACTCCTCCATTTTCTCCCGAGGTTTCCTTCTCCGGGAGCCCATCATCCCCTTCAATAACCATTGAGAATTCATCTCTCCAGCCCGAGAGAGCCCGTCCACGCTCCCGCATACCTCAGAAGGCGCTTCAAACAGCATCTTCTCGATCGTCAGATTCATCCCCTAGCCGTGCGGGTCCATCCCTGGCGGTGAAATCCGACATCCAGAAGATGGTTGGTACCGCCTTGAAACCCCACTATCGCGAAAAGACAATCACCAAAGAGCAATATACCGAGATCAACCGAAACATCTCTCGCAGGCTTTACGAGCGAGCTGGAACTGCAGAGTCGCTCGAAGCGGACTCCCGCGCGAACCTACAAAGGGCTGCAAAATTCGAAGTGATGAAAACCATCGGTGCCCTACGACACAAGCCCAAGGACAAACAGAAACAGCCTGTGTTGTCTACAGACTCAGACGGCGATTTATAATGAATGCTATGACATGACCCTCTCTTCACTGTTTCTCGTCGGCATTTTCATGGCGTTTATTTCTCAGCAGGTCTCCGAACAGATCTTCAGGCGTTTTGTTTCGAGATGGTCTTCATTGAAATGGCGTTTGTTTCGATATCATATCGGAGACGGAGTCTTGGTTCACCTAACGGAACATTTGCATGGGATCCTTGTTTTTGTCTCACATGCCCCTGGCAACGGCGACTTAGGATAGGATAGGTGTTAGTTTTCTCTGAAGTTGATTCTTCATAAATTCATAGTACTCTATTTCAATACTCATCTAAGCATGTGCTTTGAAAAATTACGTAGTAAAGTATACATAGATTTTGTATCTCAGTAAAAGGACCTCTGTTGAAATTCTGCCTACTGGAAACGAGCGATAAGAACACACTCATAATAGTCATACGCGCATGTAGATGATGTAATTTCCTTCTTATGTCCTCTCTCACCACAATGCCATCCCTGCATCATCACTACTACTGATTTGGCACAATGAAGCGAGCTTATCTTAGCACTATGTAAGCGTATGTGTGAGTTTCATACGAGCGACATTCATAAGGGGTATCTCTATACAGTGATATTAACGCTTCGATACACGATCATCAAGTAATAGGTGGTATGGGACTGAGCATGTTTGATTAAAAGCCTTTGTTCTGCCAATGTAAGTTCTCCTTACTCAATTCCAATGCTTTATATTACGACATTGCGAGCCCGAAAGAAGAAAACGACCATTTGAAGAGCTTTGTGAAGAATTTATTTGATATCATTGGTCTGCTCAATCACACATGGCCAACGAAAACTGGTAACGAGGCAATGGAAATTCTGAATGATTATGCGATATCAAATACATTTACCGACTATTTGGAAAATGTCAAAGAGTGTGAATGGCCACTCGATGCTAATAAACTGGCATATACAAGTCCTAAATTATAGAATATACCTAAATTGCGGATTCTGGAAGCAGGAGAAATTAGTCTACTTCAACAAGCTCTGATTTTCGTATGGTGGCTTAGACATACCGTCTTATCAGTCATGTCATCTTGATATGCATGCTCATACCCCTCGGATATTCCTGATTCGTCGCGCTTCCGATTCTCCCACACGCAGACAAATCTGTAGATCAAGACCGTGATCCCCGCTGCGAATGATGTCACGACTACAGTAATAAAGCCCGGTACATATCGAGGTGCATCATTCTCTTCATACACCAGCGGGCCCGTGAAGTTTCCTGGATTTTTTTCCTGATGAGAATCCATTTCTTTACAGCTATGCTAAGTATAAAATGGTTCAAATACTCACCAAGACAATACCCAATATATAGACCGGATGAAGCAATCGAACGCTTTGTGTAACCAGCAATGTTGGCTATCTGTAGTCCCATGAGAACTGCGTATCCGCCTCCGATAGCAGGAAGAATGTAGCATGCGAAGAGCAAGCCGCCTGTTGCATCAAGAGGCAAAGCAACAAGCATTATGGCAGCCAGGGTTGTTATCATCTGTGCCGTGAAGACAATCCAGGAGCGAATGCCTTTCTCAGAATAGCGATACGCTAGATATGGTCCAACGAGCTGATATGTTCCGCCGAGGAAACCCTGCGGCATGACCAGCAGCAGGGAATTGAGAGTGTTGAATCCAAAGGAGTTAATAATGATAGGGATGAAAGTGGAAATGGGCCCATTAGCGATCATGCTCAGGAAAGCAGTGAGAAAGATAAGCCAGAATTTGAGATCTCCAAGAAGTTCGTACACTTGACCCTTCTTGTAGTGCGTATTGCGCACGCCAGAGTTGTTCATTCGCAAACGAGCGACAGCAATATACCGTTGACGCTCGCTAAAACCACGAGCGCGAATTGGATCTGAGGGAAGAAGAAAGACTAGAACAATCCCCCATATAATGGTGACGGCTCCTGCAACAAGATACATGTACTTCCATGGCGATAGCGAGCCAGTAATGTGGCCAAGGCCGTAGTTTATTAAGGGGGAGAAGATGGAGACATAGCCGGTACAGCTGTACCATATTCTATGAAAAGGTCAGACAGCGATAAGAAAGGAAAGATACCGGGGTAGCCTACCCCATACGTAGCGCTTGCTCATTCTTTTTGTACCAGCCACCCTGTGTTTTCGAAGTTAGAGGGTAACAATGACTCAAGCTTCATATTCTCACATACCACAATAAGCATAAACATGGGGCTTATACCACTCTCCAGCATGCCCAAAAAAAATCTCTGGGTATATAATGCCTGATAGTTGAAGCAAACTGGAGTCAAAATCAAGCAGGTGCCCCAGAGTGTAATGATGATCGAGGCAACGCGCTCAATTGGGAATCTCTGGGCCAGCATCACCGCAGGATATGTCCCAACAATGAACCCCAGATAGAGGATCGCGGCAGAGAAAGAATAGCGATTTCCAATATCTAGTTCCAAATCCGACCGAAGGCCGAAAAGTGCCTAGAAAAGGTCAACATAAAACTGCCTTGCGCTCTGCATTTTTGTGTTGGATACCATACTGCTTGTGAGAACATCGCTTTATCATAATACTGTAACCCATAGGTCACGCATAAAATAGGCATCAAGCGCCAGTCAACTCGACGAACAAGCTTTTTTTCCTCCTCATCCGTCCATGTCTCATCTCCATTATAGTTGGCCAGTACCTTGATTGCTTCATCATTGTGAACAGTATCGAGAGTCTTGGCTTTCTCAACTTCCGGTAAGTTCGAGTTGGAGCTTTTCACACCATCTGAGATGAAATCATCGTGTACCTTTTCAGAGCTCGACATTTTGGCAGGCTGATCATGTAGCCAAGGCAAGAACCGCAAGAGGTAGAAAAATCAAGGAGAAGCGGAAGAACTTTTCCTCTGGGACATTAAACAGAAGAAAGATCTCGGCAGACAGTACTTTGCCCAGAAAGGTCGAGATTCACTTCATAACCTCAAAGCCGAGTGTATTTCAAGCTTGCTACTCACTTCGGCTTGTATGCGGAATGTATGTGGAACACATGCCGACCCATTTTACCCCGGAACTTTACCCCGGAATTTTGGAACCGCCAATCCGGGGGTGGGGATCATGCCCATGTGTTAGGATATTACGATATCTCCCGGTTCTCACGGTAAAAATGATAGATATCTGCATACAATATATGAGAAGAATCTTGAAAGTGTCGACAATAACCGAAGAAATATGGTGGGCGTATAGTCGAAGTGCCGAAAGTCAAATCATAGTACGTGGAGTGCCGTAACATTGCCGGTATCAAGCGAAACAACTTATAACAGAGGCGCCAAGTGAAAAAAGGGGGGCATTGAGGGGCTGAATTCTGTCCTTAGTTTGGATCGCAATTCAAATAGTTGAATGACAAAAAAAACTCACTCCTTCTCGAATGATAGGCATAGGACTTCGAAGATGGTTGAGTCACCACTGTTCAACGTCCCTCCAGGGGGAGAAATCACCGTCAAGCTCATCAATACTGTCAACTTTGGGCCCGCGCAGTTACATAGATTCATGGCTCCTCCTGTCCCCGGAATGGATACACATCCAAGCAATCCTTCCTTCTCTTTTCTTCTGGAACACCATACAGGCAGAAAACTTGTCTTCGACCTTGGCATTCGTAAAGACTATGAGAATTACGCACCGAAGATTGCAGAATATATCCCAACAACAAAATACGACATCCAAGTATCAAAGAATGTCATTGATGTTCTCAAAGAGGCTGGGATAGATGGCGCCGTCGTGGAGGCAGTAATTTGGAGGTACAGCAAAATCCTTTCTCCGGCTCAGGCTCTACATCATGCTGACTAGATATCCAAAGTCATTGGCACTGGGATCACATTGGCGATCCATCAACCTTCCCATCTACAACGGATCTAGTAGTTGGCCCTGGATTTAAAGACGCTATGCTTCCAGGTGCACCCGCAAACCCAGAAGCACCTTTCAAAGAATCTGATTATGAGTAAGTTTTTCATTCGAGAATTCTTGAAGATACACCCTTCTCCTAGGACTGAAACGGAATTTCAATCGCAGAGGAAGAGTCCTGAGAGAAATCTCTTTTGAAGAATCGCAATGTCTAAAGATAGGACGTTTCCGAGCGTATGATTACTTTGAAGATGGATCATTTTATCTTCTCGATAGTCCAGGCCACGCCATTGGCCATCTATGCGGCCTTGCCCGAACAACAACAAGCCCTGACACATTTATCCTATTAGGAGGTGATGTTTGTCACTATGGTGGCATATTTCGTCCCTCTCAATATTTGCCAGTTCCTGAGTCTATCCATCCTCACCCCTGCAATCCAGATAGTAATGCCTCCTTTTGTCCCGGTGGGGCATTTGAGGAGTTACAACGATCGCGGGGTAGAGGTGTGAATGACCCGCTTTTCACTCCGAAATTTGGCCATGACATTCCTCAAATCATTGAAACGATAGGAAAATTGCAGGAAGCAGATTGCCAGGATAATATATTCGTCATTATAGCACACGATGCAACTGTAAGAGACGTGGTCGACCAATTCCCTCTGAGTCTCAATGAATGGAAGGCGAGGGGGTGGGGGAAAGATCTCAAATGGCGGTTCTTACGGGATGCCGAGTCCTACTGGAAAACGAAAGGGGTACTATGAGCTCTACATGAGCCATAAAACAAACCGAAAACTATAATTCTGTTTCAAAGATTAGCTGTATACAGTGTTGTGTTAAAGGGTATGCTTAAGCGTCATTTCAAGCATTTTTAACAACCACATAATCATATCAAAAGTATTCTTTGTTTTCCAATATTAAGACTCATAGAAGCCAGATATGGGTCACATTTCATCAATTATAAATTACCGAATAAACCTTGACAGATAAGAGCGCTAATATCTCGCATCAGGAAAAAGGAAGTAGCGATTTGGGGTACACATACGTACGTCCATCCGCTCTAACCAATCGGTAAGGGTAACGGATAATCTCCGAGAACACTTAAAATTACATGGCTCGGTACAATTGGCCCTCTCGGCTTCATACAAGTGCATACCGGCTGTGGAGGTGGCGTTCCCTAGACCCGCCAATTTATGCGAGATTCGGCTGTACGGCATGATCACCAAGAGAAATGTGCAACAATGAGCTTAGGACAGATTGCTGATAAACACGACCATGGAAGATTTTCAAACTGAAGAGAGATTTGAGAGTGTTTCCAAACACTTAGAACTAATAACCCTGCTTCTGTCATTCTTTCTTCATTACATCAAGAGACTCATCAAGGTCCACACATTAAGATGGGCAGTGTCGAGGAACCTAGCTTTAGCCAGAAGAATGAAGGCCTCGACTACGATGTTTTGATTATCGGCGCCGGTCTCTCTGGAATATACAGTCTGTATCGGATGCATCAGTTAGGCCTAAGGACAAAAGTCTTAGAGGCTGGTGGAGGAGTGGGGGGAACATGGTACTGGAACCGTTACCCAGGTGCACGATTCGACTCAGAAAGCTATTCGTACAACTTCTCCTTCTCACAAGAGCTCCTGAATGAGTGGAACTGGTCAGAGCACTTTGCATCGCAGCCAGAAACACTACGGTATTGCGAGTTTGTTTGCGACAAATTCGATCTCCGTCGGGACATGCAATTCGACACTCGAGTCACGTCTGCACATTTTCAAGATGACACAAATTCATGGCGCGTCACAGACAATTGTGGCCGTCAGTATACATCGCGATTTTTGGTCACCTGCATCGGCATCTTGAATAATTATACCATGCCCAATATCCCAGGAGTCGCAAATTTTAGAGGGGAAGCGTGCCACACTGCACGATGGCCGCGGGAGCCAGTCGATTTCACCAACAAAAGAGTAGCCGTGATCGGTACCGGTGCGACAGGAATCCAAACCATCCAAGAGATTGCCAAAAAGGTTGGCCATCTCACAGTGTTCCAGCGAACTCCTAACTGGAGTTTACCTCTGCGAAATGGACCTATTAGCGCAGAAGAGATGGAGGAAATTCGTTCTCAATACCCAGAAATCTTTCGAAAGTGCTCGGAAACATGGTCCTGTTTCATGCATGTCTCTGATACGCGTAACACACTCGAAGTCAGTCCTGAAGAGAGGGAGCAGTTCTGGGAGGAACTTTATGAAAAGCGAGGCTTTGCTAAGTGGCTCGGAAACTTTGGCAACATCAATACGAATAAAGAGGCGAACGATCTATTCAGCGACTTTGTGGCAAATAAAATTCGCCAGCGTGTTCATGACCCTGTTACCGCCGAAATCCTTATCCCAAAGTGCCACGGATTTGGTACCAAGAGAGTGCCCCTGGAGTCCGGCTACTTCGAGGCTTATAACCAGCCGAACGTACGACTCGTGGATGTCAAGGCAAATCCAATTGAAAGCATCACGGAAACTGGAATCCGTACCCGAGACGAGTCCTTTGATTTTGACATTATCATCTACGCCACAGGATTTGATGCCGTTACTGGATCTTTCACAGCTATCGATTTCAGAGGTACAGGAGGGGTTAAATTGTCTGATAGATGGGCAGATGGTCCACGGACATTCCTCGGTTTATTTGTTGAAAGCTTTCCAAATATGATGATGGTAATGGGGCCTCATCAGATGTTTGGAAATATACCGCGGAGTGTCGAATATGCGGTCGGCTGGGTGTCGCGTTTTATCGAATACTGTCGCGATAATGGTATCACATTTGCGGAAACAACACGACAAAATGTCCTCGACTGGACTGAGCATGTGCACAATTGTGCCGAGGGCCTTTTGGCCAATGACGTTGATTCATGGATGACCGGAGTCAACAAAAACTTGGCGCATAAACAAAAACGCATTATTGCAAGATATCAGGGTCCAGCACCGGGTTATCGAAAGCTTGCCGAGGGTGTGGTTTCAAGGGAGTATAATGACCTGAAGTTGTCCAGACTATAATTCGATTATTCAGAGCTTGAACAGCCAATCAAACAGTGGTACTACTCAGATGAATCCAGTGTTCAGAGCGTATTATAGAAGCATTATATGAACAAAGGCGGTATTTGATTTTCTCCGTTGGAAATAATAGTATGTAATTTACAAGTAATTACTGTCTGATGAAGCTGGTTCATTGATCCCAGTGCCTGGGGATATTACATAAAGAGATTGACTTCCGATAGGGTGTCGCATGGCTCAAATAGGTCCTGAAACTGAAGCATAGTATTGGTGAAAATATCGTTATCGAAAAACAGCTCTTCTGTAGGCGGTACCAGGAGTCGACTAGCAACTTCACTTGTTTCAGGAGTGGCAAATGGAAAATAAGCAGTCCAATCGATGCCGTCCGACATTTCCATGTACCCAGTTCCGTCACCAACTCCTAGTTCGGGGCCCGAAGGACGATCCACATCTTCCAGGTCAGAGTTGCCTGCGCTTGGACGTATACGTTCGAATCCTGAGTAGAAGACTCCAGCAGTGGGCCACATTTTTCGTAGCTGATCAACCGCTAAAGTAAGAATATCAAGGTCTTCATTGGCAAACTTTGCTAAGCTTTCGATTCGGAGCGCCTGTAACAGGGCAATAAATGCTGTACCACAATACCAACCTGTAATGGCCATGAGAAACCTCGTGTCTCCTCGAGACAAAATATCTCGCATCAAACGGGCCGTACAGGTAGCTGCCAATATTGCGGGCGGGTAGACTTGTGGAAGCGGTTGTGTAGAGGAAGATCGTTTGAGATGGATGATAATAATCACAGCGAGGTAAGGTAGGTGGAGTTGATGGACATTTCTATTGAAACGGGTTGTCCGGTCCAAATTGATTGGTAGTTGAAGATGCGATGGGAGCGATTGTACCCAGTGTACGAGTTCACGGGCTAGGCTCGCAGGAAATAGGAACGATGCAGAGTCGTTTGTACGGGCAAGATATTTGGCAACCTTGCCTATGATTGCACATAGACGTACCCAATATATAAAAATCTCTCCCCCTTCTTTATCTTGCGGATTAGGAAAATCTTCTAGCGTTGGCTCGGAGAGTGTGCAGTCATCGGGGTCGATAACGCATGGTTTGCTTTGGCAAAGGGCAGTTAGGCGTTCCCGAGCAAAAGCCGTCCACCAGATGCGACGGCGCAAGCTGAGGTCGATCTGTTGCCGAAGTGGATGTTCGAGAGCGGGCTCTCGATAAATACCAAGCTGTTGGCAATGCCGAATAACTACTGATGTCCACCACCAGGACGAGTGTCGGTGGAGGATTGTTGGTGGGCGTGGACTCCACCAATAGAACAGTGAGATGGCTTTTAGAGATGTCATAACGTCTGATTCCTCGTCGTTGTAGAAACTTTTCCGTGCTCGATCATAGTATACGGCTGGGCCATCATGTAGAATCATTGGCGGTTGAATATGACTGCCAACTACTGCTAGTGCGTTAACTAGTAAAGGTGATCGTGATAGTTCATCAAAGATGATACTTCGATCTAGAACAGGACACCAAGGATGACAATACTCAAAATATGTTTCTGCAAAGCTCTGTTGCAGATCTGGATTAGGAAGGCTGGGGACGTCTGGAAGTCTTTCAGCGAGAAGACGTTCCTGGTCTCTTGCATTTGTTTGCAGTTCCGGAAGGAAGACATGGCCGACTGGATAGCTGTCATTATGTTCTGAATGATCCTCTGTTCGCTGAGTAGCAGGTGAATCGTTGGATACTGTGGGAATGTTTCTGTTCTGATTTTCGCAACTCAATGTTTTAGAAACACCATGGCTGATTGGTGACCACCCGTCAAGCCCACTGTTCCCAGTGACCTCACTTTGTACAGTCGCAAGGGACACCCCTTGAAGGATATTCCCTGAGAATCCCAGCTGGTCATTATCATCACTAAAAGTTGTATTGTGGCGGGTAGTGTTGCAGTCATCCTGAGAGGTCACATTCGGTATTTGGGTGCTATCCTTTCTCGATAGACTCTGGTATGAAGAGCCAGTTCGACCACTGGAGTTGCTATCGGGGGGTGTCAAGGCAGGCGCGGTGGCTACTGAAGGTCGACCTCGACGAGATGGCCGCGTTCTATACATCAAAGTTAATGAATAAATTGGGAGCTGTCAAAAGTTGTTGATGGTTGGATTAAAAAAGAGAGCTGTCATACCGGCAGTCTTTACCAGTAGCTGCACATTTTGTGCAATTTTTATATCCCTGGCCCCCTCGGGATTGTAGGTCGCAGCGAATCTAGTGCTGTTACAATTTTGGTCAAAGCCAGAGTAGATGACTGACAAACATACCTTCTTGCTGTGACATGCTATGCAAGCGAGCTCCGCTCGCTTTCTCTTCGGCTGTTGCCCCGTGAACTGGAGCCAGAGAGGTGCTGCCATTTTTAATGCAGGACCTGCAGGTTAGTTCGGGTGATCTCAGCAGGGAAGGCTTTTCTACTTGGATCTTGACAGAAAGAGCGCGATCAAGAATACCGCGTGAAATGCATCTAATGCGTTCAGCTGGCATAATGCGGGGAACCCTTGGCTTCTCCGCAAAACCCATCGGCTATTTAGCCTACTCTACAGAGTACCCCACCCACCCCTATGCCTTGCACCCGGGGTGTCTTCCTTATCATTCTACACCAGCTAGTTTGAAGGGAAAAAAACATGTATAAAATAACGCACTATATTCATTATTGTGAGAACATTGTCAAACCCCCTGATTTGGCATCAAATCCAGCCGATAAGTCCAGTGGTGACAGTTGACTCAATATGCTCTCACGCTATCGGTAGATTACCGGCTGTACGAAGCCGGTATGACAAGCAGCCGCTACTTGATCTAGCTGCTTATTAGTGTTGTATTGTTTTGAGAGATCAAGTTTCGGCTATCGGTAGAGACGGCGTGATATGGGCAAATCTGGTCATATTTTGTGACTGATGCTATGCCGCGAGCCGAAATGGACACTGGGATTATTTTCTCGAAAGCTTGATATGAACTCTTGTTGATCTCTGTACAGCTAGTTATAAAGCGTGAAGTTGCCTGATTCGATGGTTCAACCTCTTCTTCTCTCATCCTAGATCCCAGAAAGCATTCTGGCACATATTTCTCTCGCATCGCCAAAATGACCGCCCCTGTTTTAGAGCCTATTGATGGCGCAGTTCCGGGAGCCCCAGGTGTGATTGAGTTAAATGGGACATCAAAGACTAACGGAATTCACTCGTTGTACCAAGCCAAAATGGCTGCGACTCTTGAAACCGAGATCAATGGAGACCAGGTACCAAAGGATTGTTCCATTCCACTCAACACGGATTATGCCTATAAGCCACGCAAATTACGAGTTGTGACTATTGGGGCTGGATTCTCAGGTCTTTTGATGGCTCATAAAATCCAGCATCGTCATCCTGAACTTCAAGAATTTGTGCAGCACACCATTTACGAGGCAAGGGGCGATGTTGGTGGCACTTGGCTGATCAACACGTACCCAGGGTGTCAGTGTGATGTCCCCAGCCACATTTACGCATTCCCATTTGACCCAAATCCAAACTGGAGTCGATTTTACTCCAGCGCTGGTGAGATTCAAGACTATATCAAGCATACGGTCCAGAAATGGAATCTTGATAGGGATCTTGAACTGAATACGAAGGTGGTGGGCGCATATTGGGAGGAGGATTCCGGACGTTGGAGGTTGATTGTTGAGAAGGAAGGAAATCAGCGCGTTGAGTATTGTGACCTGTTGATATCTGCGCAGGGTGTTCTCGTGTATTTCTCTCTTTTGATTCTCCTCACGTTCAGTCCTGTCCGGCTAATATGCAAGTATAGTCACCATTCGTGGCCTGACATTCCTGGCCTCCATGATTTCAAGGGTCACATCACTCACTCTGCACACTGGGATCATAGCTATGACTACTCCAATAAGCGCATTGCGGTTATAGGAAATGGGTCATCTGGAATTCAAATCACGCCGCAGATGGCCAAGTTACCCGGAACTGAGGTGGTCAATTTCATGCGCAGCCCAGCATGGGTGTATTATCGTGTCCCACCATCCAAACATCTAGGGAGAGATGTCGAGGATGCTAATCCCGCATATTCAGAAGAAGAAAGGCAACGGTTTCAGGATCCAGAAGAGCATAAAGAGTATCGAAAAGGCATTATCTCTCGAACCAATAAAGCTTTCCGCTTGGTAAGTGTTGATTCAATGCGAAATACTGAGCACGATCTGACGAACATTAAAGTTTATCAAAGGCGAAAACAACGAAGAGGCTTGCAAGTTTGGGGCGCAACAAATGGCAGAAAAGTTGAAGTACAACCCAGATCTTTGCGAGAAGCTGATTCCAAAATGGGAAGTTGGATGTCGTCGGGTAACCCCAGGCCCTGGTTATTTGGAAGCTTTTGCGAACCCCAATTGCAAGCTGAGCAACAGTCCTATAACGAAGATTACAGAAAGTGCGGTACACACCGCAGACGGAAATATCTTCGAGTGCGATGTCGGTATGTGACTTTGGAATATCCTAGGCCTATATTGTGTGGTGTGCTCATAAAGTCTAGTCATCTGTGCAACAGGATTTGATGTGTCTCATCGCCCTCATTACCCGATAGTGGGCCAAGATGGAGTGAATCTTGCTGAAAAATGGGCCGATGAGCCTGAGTCCTACATCTCTGTCGCAACATCCAAGTTTCCGAATTATTTTATCATGATGGGTCCCAATTGTCTGGGTGGACATGGATCTCTAGTGGAATCGCTCAATTGGACAGGAGACTACTTCGTCAAATGGATTAAGAAGATCGCGACTGAGGATATCAAGTATGTTGTTCCAAAGCGTTCTGCCGAGGAGGCATTTGTCAAATATGGAGATGAAGTGCACAAGACTTTGGTATGGACAGGCGGCTGTAAAAGCTGGTATAAGCGCAACCGAGTCGACGGCCGTGTCACGGCATTATTCGGTGGCAGTGCGATACTCTTTCAGCGAATGATTAGTGATCTTCGTCCGGAGGACTTTGAGATTGAGCATAACAGTCCCAATATGTTCAGATTTATGGGGAATGGATTCACAGAGTATGAGATGGAGGAAGGAAACGATCTTTCTTTTTACGTAGAAGTTGCAGATAAAGCTCCTTCCGCGCTTTCTTAGATTGTGTCGCAACACTTTCTATGTTACTGATGTCACCGCATATTCTCCTTCAAACGATACCCCACGGAAATACGTCTGTCACCTATTGAGCCATAAGATATACTTTTAGAAATATTGTAACTAAGCAGATTTCCATCTTCGGGGCATACTCGGGGGTAACAATGTATGGAGCTACTTACGTCGAATTATTCACTAATGACCTGGTTGAAATTCGTTGAACTGATGATCTTCATAGTCGGCGAATTTGTGGTGGTTTACGGGAGAAACTTCGGAGAGCCTGGGTGATTCTGATTGGATGCCGAATAGGTTGGAGCATGCGAAACAACGAGCACCGCGGGGACAACCCATATATCCGGCAGGGGGGACATATGATTCTTGGCAGGAAAGTGAGAGGCAATTTCATGAAGTTATTGGCAGTTATGGCTTCATCCTAATAGCGCAAGGGCCGAAGATACGGCGATTAATAGCCGCGAAGAGGTCATTGCCTCCCAGCTATTAATATGAGGAGATTTCATGAATTCCCATAAGACAAGCCAGTTTTCAAATCCCTTTAAGCAAAGTTGATCACAACCATGAAGTTCAAAACTTTTGTATTTGGCGTGGCACTTGGTGCCTGTATTTCCCAGGCACGAAGCGAAACTCTTACAGTGGAAATGATAGAAAAACTGGGAAATAACAGCCTGTTTACACGTTGGCGACCGACGTCTCATTTCCTGGCCCCAGCAGGATGGATGAATGTATGTACCGGCGTGAAGACAATAAACTAAACTTTTCAATCACAGGCGTAGAATTTGACTATTGATCAGGATCCTTGTGCTCCTATGTATGATCCTGCACGGGGTCTCTACCACTTGCACTACCAGTTCCATCCAAATCATGTTAGCTGGGGTATGTTTTCTTTTCCCACTTGAGGATATAACAAAATATTGACAAAATTCCATGCAGGAAATGTATCCTGGGGACACGCCACGTCCCCCGATCTCATAGAATGGACCGATGTCGACCATTTCCTCGATAATGGCGTGCCTGCCTGGAAAGACTTGGAAGCACAATCGATTGGTACTACCAACTTGACCAGCCAACACAGGCCATCTTTATACAACCATTTAGCAATATTTTCTGGTAGCGGTCAACCGGTCAATCTTTCCGGTGGAATTGATGGAACAATTCTGGCTTTTTACACAGGCGCTTCACAGTTGCCAACTGCATGGAATACACCCTATTTCCCTGGAACTGAGAGTCAAGCGCTAGCATACTCGACCGATGGAGGAATTTCATGGAGTCACTATGAGAATAACCCTATCTTGTCTGACCCGCCTGGAAATTGGAATATAACGGGCTGGCGAGATCCATCCTTCTTTCCGTGGAAAGAGATGGATATGCTTCTCAAAAAGACAGAACCTCATTGGTATGCTGTGTTTGGCTCTGGCATTCGGGAAGTTGGCCCTCGAATCCCCTTTTATACTGCTCCAGCCTCGGATCTTACCAATTGGACTTTCATGGGAGCTCTATGGGAGCCAGAAAAAAACAGTTCCTTAGGCTCGCTGAAGGAGACCGGCTCCTACGGTTTTAATTTTGAGCTTTCCAATTTCTTCTCTATAGGCGACCGTTACTTTGTGACTATGGGCGCTGAAGGAGGTAATGTGAGCTTCCATCAACAGAAATGGTCTTTGTGGAACGAAGGAATTCTGTCCGTCCGCAAGAATGGAAGTATAGCCTTCCAACCTGTTTCTGGCGGTGCGAGTGATTGGGGTCTTCTGTATGCCGTAAGAATCAATTTATTTCCAATCACAGTGATCAAAAAGTGGCTGAAATCAACGTTACAGATTTCCTCGTTCAATGACACCAAAAACAACCGCCGTATCCAATGGGGTTGGGCACAGGAAGACATGAATGACTTTGGTATTACCCAGCAGGGTTTCCAAGGAGCATTTTCATTGCCTCGAGAAATATTTATCAAGGAGACTGCAAACGTCATCCACGATTCTACACGCACGGTCCTCGGAAATTCTCGCTATGTGCAAAATCCTAATGGCTCCTGGACTGCGAGCACCCTTGGTGTTCGCCCAGCCGCAGATGTTGTCAAGGGTCTTCGACGCAGCGCAAAGCATACAAAGTATGCATGTGGTCAAAAGAAGTGTAATACAGACCAGATTGTGTTGCCAAGAAATCTCACAAAATCCTACCAGTTCTCAGTGAGCATCAAACACATGACAGGCATGACGGGAGTTACGATTTGTGCTTCCCCTGATGGCGAGGAGTACACAAACGTTTATTTTGATCCTTCGGAAAACAGCATAGTTGTCGACCGCACACACTCTTCCCTGATCAGTATGTTCGCAAATTCATCTCATATTGGGTATTTCAAACCCCATAAAATCTGGAGTGCGAGCGACAAACCGAGTATGGAAGAGATTCAGATGGACATTTTCGTCGATGGATCTTTAATCGAGGTATATGTCAACGATCGTTTCGCACTTACCAGTCGAATCTATCCCAGTAGAGAGGATAGCAACGGCATTGCTTTATTCACGGGCCCTGATGCCCATGTTGAATATTCAAGAGTCGAAATTTGGGATGGTTTACTCAATGTCTGGCCAGATAGGCCCCAAAATAGCAGTTCTCTGCTCGTTTTTGATACACCGGCTGAAACAGGGAACTATACTTGGTGGACTGGTAATTAAGATACAGATTTCATAATATGGTATTCCAAAACATGGTGGTGAGAGGGCCATAAGCGGAACAGTTCTTGAGGTCTATATACGGACACCCAATTCTTTCTCAAGAGCCCCCTTTTGGAGAAGTTCAATAAACAACAGTTATTATAGAACCAGAAAAAGCAATCCACTCAGTTAATCTTCGGTATTCGAGATTCTTTCTCCAAATTTGACGAAAGCCTTCTCTCTAGAACATGGTATTACCATCTCACATGACCTGATGCAGTTCAATGCACATCGAGTTATTTTTCATTATTTTTCTCATCAAAGCAGATGCATAAGGCGGCGATCAATGCCGCATCAACGCCAGGTGCCACGATGACGGCATAGGACTGCTGGCCAAATAGAAAATCACGACCGCTAAGCAACTTCCGGTCAATTCGGGCCACTGGTTGGTTATTGCTCTCATCGATAATTTCGGCACTATGATCCATCATGCTTCCTTTCATGAAAAGAGTCACAGCATTGCCGTTGCTATCATTGAAAGTGGCAGTCGCCTTGGAGCCGATAACTGATGCAGTCAGTAAAGCTTCGGATTACGGAACTCGTAAAATCAGAGGGAGAGAACACTAGACATACGTGAGTGGCTATTCTTCACCTCGGCAATTTTGTTCTGATTGGGGTCTTTGATCGCATAGGTCGTATGGATATGCAAATGCTCCTTGGTGATGTCAAACAGGTGATTGCCATTGGCGTCCTCGACCTTCTTGCGATCAGAAAGTGACACCCAAGCTCCAGCTACTTTCAAAAGAAGCTGCCCATTGTCTAATTTGATATCGAAGCTGTCACCCGAAATAGAGAGAACTTTCTCTTTCAATATTAATGCCTGGGTCTGGTTTGATATAAATCGAGGGAAAAGGGCGATGGGTTTGGGGACAGGGTCGAGGGAATGATGGCCCGCGATATCCATAATGATGAATGGATTAAGATGAAGCTTCCTCGGAATTAAAAGACTGACTAGTTAGTATTTAACAAAGATTCTGAAAGAACGCGGGGCTGTACGAGGCTGAAGCTCTTCCAGATAGGCGATCGCATCACGTGATACACCGTACAGGCTGATCGTCATCATTCTGGACATGTCATCTTACGCGCGAAGTCTGTTTCGGGAAGTCAGTGCGATTGGGAAGGCTGGAATAATTTTAGCACAGATATATTTATTGTGAAGTTTAGTGAGATACTAATGCCGTTTATTGCCAAATGGTCATCGAAATAGCCCCCACATTCCCTATATACAGTTGCCCAAAAGTCGGAGATTGACAACGCACGGATCTGGGGTATGTCGGTTTTGGTTGTCTGTAATAGCAGCATACTCTTGAGACAAAACTTTTAGCCAAAAGGCCTTCCGGCGCGGGGAGGGGGGCTGGCTGGCAGTTCTAGATTCGACTTCTAAGCTTTCGGGACTGTGTTCTCTTTTTGACTTGATCTCAGTCTCTGAATTCCCGCCAACATTTAGTAAGTGAGCCTCGCGAGAAGCCTCGCGAGATAGCTTTAAAAGAATAGCGGCGACCTATGAATATAAAAGCATTTCATCAAAGAGATTTTTCGTCCAATAAATTATGACTACATAAAACTTATTTATTCGTAGTAAGGAAGTGGCCACAGCTTTCGTAGGGTTGGTTATGTCCTTTTTGTGATGCTCGGGTACTGCTCTATGCGGGGCAGCCGTGGTATCGGTTGTCCTTTTTTGGTGCTAGCGTGAGGAGGCAAATCAACTTAAAAGAAGTTTCATGATAGATGTACTTACGTTTTCATTCATTTTTTTGACATGAGAGACCTGCTCCTTTTATTGGATTAGAAAATACTCAAGCTATTATCACATCTTCCTCACCCTGATTCTCCACCTCAAACGCTCATTTCTAGCTCCTTTTGCTTGCGACTAATGATTTGAATGAGATAAATGCGTAAAAATGGAAGATCTCGCCCGCCCAATCAAGATGCACGCTTGGAGGAAACATAAAGGGAATACTGAGCCAGTAAGTTGATTCATGAAATGATTACGGTAGTAACCACTGAAATCAATTCTTGCAGGTTTGGGAAGAGGTACTTGTGCCACCAACACCGGCAGACGGCTTTCTGGTCAAGCTGCTGGCCTCGGGGGGTATGTAGCATCTCTGAAATCTCAAATCCAAATGCATAACATGTTGTCATCAATAGTCTGCCACAGCGACCAGCCACTACTAGAAGTCGAAGACCGACCGAACTTCAATGAAAAATATATATTGGTGAGAAACGAGATGGATATTCCATACATACCTCGGTACTAAGTCGACTGATGTTCATTTTCCAGGGACATGAAGGATGTGGTGAAATCATTGAAATTGGAGACGATGTGAAAGATCCTTGTTTCAGATTGGTGAGAGAAGGCCTTATCCATATCAGCTGTCCCTCAGGAATTTCATGAAGCTAATTCACTATGTTCAGGGAAGTCGTATAGCACTTTTGGCGGTTCCGGGATGTGGTTTAGATGATTGCTCCGAGTGCTCGAGAGATCTTCCACAGCTTTGTTCACAGGGCACAAGACACGGTATAGGACAAGACGGATTTTATGCCGAATATGTCACTGTGAATATTCGAGCGGCTATCCCATTACCAGAAGGTAAATCGTCGTTGATGATCAAAGAAGATGAAATCAGTGACTTAAGTTCAACGCAGGAATCTCCCCTGCGGTGGCTGCTGTTGCTACAGATGCTGTCACCACTGCTTACCATGGAATCACTCGTCGTGCCGAGGTCAAAAAAGAGGAAACAACCTTTCTTTTCGGGCTTGGTGGTCTTGGATTCAATGCACTTCAGATAGTCCGAGCTATTGGTGCCAGAGTAATCGTATCCGATCTACGACAAGAAAAGCTGGACGCGGCACTTGAATTAGGGGTTCCACAGGAAGACATTGTCCCCGCTGGAAAACCCATTCAAGAATTTTTGAAAGATAAAAGGCTCGAAGGCAAAATCGATACGGTATTAGATTTTGTTGGAAAGCATCAAACATTTCAAGATGCGCAAAATATCGGTAAGCCCGTTTCGTTGGCTTTGAAGAGATTTAGAACGGCCGAGCTAATGCCAGATAGTGCGACCAGGAGGAAAGATACTTTGCGTTGGAACTTTGGACCGTACAAATGAACTTGACATGAAGACGGGAATCCGGAAGAGACTGAGTATCATTTTCACTTACGGTGGACAATACCGCGATCTGGTGGAGGTGCTGGACCTGATTGCGAAGAGAGTCATTCAACCGCAGGTGGAAATAGGAAGACTTCGAGATTTTCCAAAGGTTCTGAAAGATTTGGGAGATGGCAAGGTGAAGGACAGAGTGGCATTAGTGTCCGACTTGGTTCTATAGAGAAGCGCTGCTCTCTAGGATGTCGTGGATAGCTTCTTTCCATAATTTGACGAAATGTTCTTAGTTTAGCATCATGCGCGATCATAATAATATTTTATCCATTTACACTTGCACTCTTTGTCATTCCAATTCCGACAGCTGCAGTTGTCCCTGCATCAACTGGAAGTATCACTCCCGTCATCCATCGGGCATGGGGGCCTGCGAGAAACACCACTGCCCCAGCGCAATCCCAGCCGGTTCCTTCAGTACCGAGAAGACTTCGCTTACGGCGAGCCTCTCTTGCCTCTTCGCTCATCCCCTTCCCATACATCATAGGCGTATAAAGCATCTGTTGTTTAGTTAGCTTTGATTCCATAATGATAGACCGCAAGAACTCACTCCAGGACACACGCAGTTGACCCTAATCCCATCCGTAGCATGATGGGCCGCCATGGCACGAGTCAGATTGACAACAGCCCCCTTTGCTGTTGGATAAAGTAAATGTGGCGTGCCCCCTTTGAGACCGGCCACACTGCCCATATTCACAATACTGCCTTTGATCTCGCCGCTGTTGCGTGTCATGACTGGGATGGCGTATTTGCTCATCTGCACCATGCTGGAAACATTGATTTCCATGCTTTTCGCCCACTGTGCCATATCCACTTCGACGGCTGTTCCTGGTGCGCCACCAACGCCAACGTTGTTCACCAAAATATCGATACGACCAAAGTTTCCCACTGCAAATTGAACTATAGATTCACAGCTCGCTTCTGAGGTAACGTCTGCTTGGAAAGCAAGAGCACGCCCTCGTCCAGATTTGGATGTAATCATATTGACGGTCTTGTTTGCCCAGATCAGATTGAGATCCACGCAAATAACGTCACAACCGTCATCTGCCAATAGAATTGCAATTGCCCGTCCATTGCCAATTCCATCGTCCAAACAACCTGCACCCGTTACAATGGCGACTTTTCCATGTAGTGAGCGGGATGGTGGGTGTGCCGATATGCCGGGATCCATGGTTGATTAAACTTCAACCACCGAGGAGTTGGATTGCAAGTAAACCCGCATGGTTTCGCTTAAAATACGACATATAAGTGGCTTGTGGATTCCCTCATCAGTCCCATCACCGTGAAAGCCGAAGTTGTCATCTCGGCCAGGTATGCGGGGTACCCCAGAAGGTGATAGCCGAGCCGAGGGTGTCGAGGTGAGCGCGAGGGGAGATTGTTGTAGTTGAATTTGTGTTCAATTTGTCCTCCTCACATCCACCACAAACAACTTCGACCACTCTCTTGTCTGCTCCATTCTCTGTGTATTTTGTCCTAAACATCTCATAGATCCCTGATAAAATGGCCGATTTCTCTGAATTCACCGGCCCAAGCGATGACTGGGTCGCCCTAGAGCCCACTATCCCGACCCCGCCCAAACTTTCCGTCGAGGAATTGAAGCGAACAGTCAACCAGGGCCGCGAGGAGCTGGCGGCGAAAGCGATGATCGGCCAATGTACGTAGATAGAAAATGTCAGTGCCAATGGTTTGTCTCGCGATATGTCCCAGATCGCGTTTGGTGGATCTTCTCTCCATTGCTCTCTATTCAAAACTCGAACTAACAGTTGCGTGAAATAGGCCTAGCATCCGAAATCAAAACACAGGATTTGAGTATCACAACCCGTGACGGAGAATCACTTGAAGCACGTAGTTACCGCCCTTCTGGCATTCCTTCCTCCGAAAAACTGCCTGTATATGTTCATCTCCATGGGGGAGGTTATCTGTTTGGAACGCTGTCCTCCGAAGACGCAATCTGTGCCCGGATTGTGGCTTCTCGCGTGGAGAAGGGCAGCCCCGTCGTTGTATTCAACGTCAATTACCGCCACACTCCAGAATATCGCTATCCAACTGCATGGGATGATGTCGAAGATGCCTTTATCTGGCTCCATGAACACATTGGCGAGATCGGTGGTCTTGCGGACCAGGTTGTGGTTGGCGGAATTTCTGCCGGCGCCCAGCTGACGGCTTCATTGACACTGGCTCAGATCCATGGCGATAATAAGCAACTTGCCGCATGTCCCAGGATCAGAGGCCAGGTTCTGATGATTCCATGTGTTGTGCAGATGCAATATTATGCACCGCGCCAGGACCTACTTAGTAGTCCGGAGGTGTCGAGCTTAGTGCAGTGTGCTGAAGCACCTATCCTGCCAATATCTCGAATCCAGCTGTTCATGTCACTGCTAGGGCTCGATGAAGTCCCGGATGCTGGCCGTGATCTTCGTATGAATCCGGGCAACGCAACTGCAAGCGAAGTCAAAGAGCTTCCGCCGACTACATTTGGCATTGCGGGCAATGATCCCCTGCGTGATGAGGGTCTCTTCTACGGAAAATTGCTCAGTGAGAACGGGTGAGTCAAATCCTATCATCCAATCATATGTACCTACGCCGATTGTATTCTCTTAGTGTTCCAACCAACGTCCATGTTTTCCGCGGCGTACCCCACGGTTTCAGGCGATACGGTGACAAATTGTCCGCCAGTAAAAAATGGGACCAAGTCATGAGTGACGGCATTTCCTGGGCGTTGAGCAATCCGTCCCCAGAACCCTTCGAAATCAATTCAGATTAGATAATCCACTCAGTGATTTTTAAATAAAAAGAATAACGAAGATTGAGAGTACATGCATTTTATACTCTGATTTATACTTAATCATCTTAGCGAAATACGGACACATGGTTTTGGAAGAATACCATGAATGTTCCAATCAATGGATGCTCCTGATGGGACAGTCCTGGAAAAGACCGAAGAAGCCAATCATCTTGAAATTGGGTCATGGCTCCAAGTCTGCCATTTGTAACTGCAAGATTTACTGTTCTTGCCCGGGCTGTCAGGTAGAAAGTATCCGTGTCGGCATTGCCCATGATAAACATCGCCGAAACCAGGTACTCTTCAGATTACTGTAGTGAAGCACCAAACGTTTCTTCCAAATCTTCAACCCCCTTGAAATGCGACTGGGAAACATCGCCGCACGATATTTGATCTTCAGCCGATGAGGGTGCTGATATGCAAATTGTGAATGAACTGACCTCCACTGCTGAATTTTAAACGAAGGAACATATGACGTCGATACGGTTGAACAGTGACTGGACTTCCTCAGCCATCGACAATAAGATCTCATCATATCGAAGTTCTGTATTTTTGAGCACTTTGCATACTCGACTGGAAAATATCAAATAACCAATGGAAAAATATGGAACAAGGGCTCCAGGACGATGCATGCATGTCAAATTTCTCGAATTGTGGCCGTCGCTCAAAGGCTCTCCCGTGAGCTCTCATGAATGATAATGACAAATTGGAGAGCTTTGAGTACGAAGTTTTCGCGCAGAACTTAGGAAACATAAAAAGCGGCTATTGGTTGATCATGCCCATGCCGGTGTGTTTTCAAGACAGCTCAATGAGTCGTTTACATGGGGATCTGTTCCCATCTGTGATTTCCACATATATCGCAGGAATATGGGTGACAATAGGACGTGTAGATAACCAAAAGCGCCCTCGGACATAGTTTGGCGTTGTTTCACGGAGTAAACCCGTCAGAGTTGCGCCGCAGTTGATATAGCTCCATAAGACGGACAGAACAGAGTATCATTATGAAGCTCTAGGATCTAGCAAATTCTCTAAAGGATGAATATTTTGAGAGAGGTGAAACAAATTTACTGCTTTGGGAAGATAATTGATCATTTATTCACTTGATGATGGACCGTAATGAAAACTCTGTGTTTCGTGCCTATTCAAAAGGTTCACTTCCTGACAATTCTAGCCATCGCTGACTTGTAACATGAATCAGTTCTTTTGAGCACCCTCTGGGGTCCTTCCTTTGCCCCATCCGGGCTCCCATTTATCCTCAATTATTCTAAGCTGAACTTCCTGGGTACGTTGAAAATACCCATCCTCAATATGGTCATCCATGCCTACATCCATGAACCCTTCTTTTGCGACCGACTGTGGTGTAACCATAAGAGAGTGCCCTAAAAGAGTTAGCAATATTCTATTCAAAGGCCACACCATACGATTTTGCCGTTTTACCATTGATTGTTCGATCGGTCGCTAGCCTCATCATACATTTAGCGACGTCATCTTGAGGCGCAAACTCAACACCCTTGGAGATTAGCTGTGCTTCGTATTCAGCCGAGCGAATGGCACTCTTGATATAACTAGGACTAAATCAGTTCCAGAGCCATATACCCCTTTTACGAGCTGTTTGTACCATGGAGCAACATAGTTGATTCGAATACCCTGTTCATGGGAGTTGCGCCTCGCAGTTCGCATCAGGCCACGAAGCCCATACTTACTGCTCGTGTACTGCCAGTTTGCCTGTATTTAAAAGCTAAGAATCTTTTGATCATCTTCTGGTGTGCTTTATTTTACTCACAGGGGAGTCAATCCAAGCCACCATACTGCCTGTAATTATAAAGCAACGATCTCGATCTTCGGTGTCGGGCTGCTTGCGAAAGTAGTGAACAGCCAACTTCCAGGTGTACATCGTTCCAATCAGATTTACATTCACAATATTGAGCTCTGGCTTCACTGGAGGAGAATATGGGTCTATTTAAAAAGTTAGTCGTAGACCTGGTGGTATCAAAAAAGGCTGATATCTGCACCATCGAGCGGCCATAAATCATCGCCATGTGCACGACTGATACCGGCGTTTGCAATCACAATATCACAGCTGTGATGGGGAGAATTTGAAATTGCGGCTTCAAACATTGATACCTGATCTTCCCAGGACGTGATATTGCATCTCACAAATTGGGCATTCCTATCCATTCTTAGTAACCATCGACCACAATTGTCAGGAACGGGGCGAACGAACGGGCTCAGTTCCTCCGCAATTTTGCTTCCTCTAGTTTCATCCATGTCTGCGATTGTTACAAAAGCCCTGAATTTGAGACAAATGCTCTATCAGCCAAAAGAGCAAAACCACTGATGTGATCAAGTGTACCCTTCTGCGGCGAATGCGCGCGCGATTGTCTCTCCCATGCCATTTGCACCTTTGCCCGTAGTCAGAAGTTTTCTTTTCTTAACCAGAGTAGTATTTTAACATACCACCGGTCACAATAACACTCTTGCCCTTTAATATCCTTTTTTTGGGTGGAACCGTGCAGTCCACCGGACCAGTATATTCATAACGTGGCAGCTGAGGCATGCTGGCGATAATTCAATGCTATTTCTCCAAAATGGCCGTTTTGAATTCGATAGAGAAATTTGTAATCAATGCAGAAGTGATACATTTCATGTACTTCAGCGAAAACCTTATCTTTATCTCCACTGTCACCCCGCGTTCTTCCCCGCGTTTTAGCCGAGAGGAGACGACTATGTCGGCTATCCTAATATAGTAAGCCGGTTTAACTGAGAACAACATGAAGCCGACCTTCCAATCAAACTTTTGACTAACTTGCAAATAAGGATGAGTTATGTATTCCTGCTGAATCGTGACTCATCCTTAAGATAACTTATATCTTGGACGAGGCAATTTCAAATGCGGCAAGTTTGGTACTCATACTTGAAAATGTCTTCCATATCATCACGCGTCAATGAATAGCCACATCTGGTGATATCCAGATAGAGTCTCGTTACACTCAAATATTTCCATGGTTGACTAGCTTATAAAAGAGCAGTAGGTTTTGCCGTAGAACTAATGACCATGAGATTTTTCGACTTCTCTATAGCAGCAGCTTTAAGCCGGAGATGCGCAGAAATTAATATAATCTCGATGGAGGATATTCAATATTTATGTTTCCTCGTTTAAGAACGCCGGAAATAAAAACACCCAGATAGAACAGATATACTAGGATGCGCAAAATCCGAACAGATCAATTCGAGGGCTGCGGCGAGGAATTTGCATGTAAGTCGAATATTCAATCTAGCTGTTATAAACAGTCACGGAAATATGGGCTCAATTTTCTTTCGGTAATTATGGCAATTAATAGTACCATGGGTTGTGTCCGAAACAACCTAGGGAGCAAAGGATAGAATTTTCATTGCCGAGAATAAAAAGGCTTTCGTTTGAAAGAATACCATCCGGCACCTAAGAATATGAAAACCTTTATATCAGCCTAGAATAATGGAATATCCTTTCGTGCATTGTCCTTTACTTCATATAATTCATTGTCTAGGCCTGGGGCTGTTCGACTAAAACGGAGCTTCAAATACAATGGTAATTGCGGCGAGTCAGTGAAAGAACCCGGGGCGTCTGGTCGTATATCCGAATCTGCTTACTGGCCCGGTTCAAGGATTGTTTGTCGCACAATGAAAACCAAAGGTTTAATCATATTTTGAGTGATTAAATTATGCGTAATAATAAAGAAACACTTGAGAGGATTATAAAAGCCCCCCCCCTTAATAGTTGATAATCGACATTTTCGACCATCATTAACACATTTGTATAAATCTGTGTAGTTGGAAGGTTAAGTTTGTCAAAGATTTCTTAGCTACAAGCCTAATCATGGACTCCCATCTTACCTTTTTTCGATTACGAAAAGAAATCGATGAATGGTTTCTGGAGATAGACTCAGCTATAAACAATGATGAAACTAGCGAAGCGATAGCTGAATTAGAAACTTTCACAACTAGATTCCAGGCTATGGTGGACTACTTGGGCAAGAACCTAGATGTTTTCTTAGGCGACACCGAAAATCTTGGCTGCTGGGTGGAGAAATTGAGCGCTATGTGTTATGCTATAAGTGTAATTTGTATGGCACTTCGCAAGAAAACTCCTGTACAACGTGCCTTTGCTAAAGAAGTTTTGAACATGATCAGGCGTCACGTCATGCGGCTCTGATCCCATTGTCATGAATTTGTCATTGATGAAATCGCCGATACAAACGATGGCCACATTTTGGAAGACACCAAAAGAATAGACGATATGTGCATTGATCGTCTCAGTGAAATGTGGGAGTATTTGTGCGTTGCGTTCAATGCTTCCCACGATTGTGTATGCATGAACCCCAATGAGAGCTCTCAGTTCCTCATCGAAGACTCTCAGTCGCAAAACTATTTGAATCTGTGGCTGCACTATATCTTAAGCGGGCAGCTCACCTCAAGCTGATGCAGAAAATTTTACATGCTGAATGGGAAGTGACTTGGTGAGTTCCACTGTCTTTCGCCAATTTGTCGGGAATTTCTTTTTTTTTGGTTTGTTTTTGATCGTTATCTCTTTTTAGTCTTTTTGTCTTTTGCCAGAATTCCACATTTTTCTTCAATTCTCATCTCAATAGAAACCAATGGCACGTTGAATAATATTTCTTTGTAATACCATACACAATCTCCGAATACTCTCCATGTCGCAGTTCCTTCAAACTGAATGTTAACCCACTCTTATATTGGAACAGGCATTGGCAATAGCCTCTTACTTCACAACACAAGAAATGTCTCTCTAGGCCCTGTCTTTGCACCTTGAGTTAGTCCTGGCGTGAATACTTGACCCTACAAATTGTAATTTTAACCTGGTCTTCAACTCTGGATCTCCTTTGATTTTCAGAACGCCACCAGCGTACTTGATGAGCATTAAGAAGCTGGATCCGAAGGCCAAAGGGAGCGCAGCGTATTTTCAATCTTTTGATGCTTTAGCAATAAGAGAATCACTGAATTGGACAGTCCACTAGATTCTATCAAAGAAGGATTGGTAGGATGAGTGGGTAACCCCCCACTCGTTTGTTTACATTGACAAAGCGCCTTGAAAGCATCCATTAATCAAAATTTCACATGACGAATATCGAGTAGAATTGATACAGACGTTCATAATGGCACTGGTGGTGATCTGAGCTCCGTAGATGGTAGGCAAATCTATTCTTGGGTCGATTCAGACGAGGAATTCCCCTTGTCCGCAGTATCGTCACTCTCCGTCTCGAGCTTCTCGGTTTTCCCGGGCTTCTCATTTTTCTCGGACTTCTCGTTTTTCTCGGGCTCTGCAGCCTTGGTATCAACTGCAGGCTGTTATGATATCAGTTACTACTGAAGTCGGTATGTAAGGGGAGAAAAAGAAAAAGAAAACAGTGACTGACCTCACTGACGGAGTCCTGAGATGCCACATTCTTCGGCTGCTCATTTCCTACCTCCTGCTCAGGGTTTGATTTCTCTGCATGCTTCTCGTCTTGCTTCTGCTCAGAGGCTTGAGATTCCTTATTGTCCTCCTTTGGCTTTTCCAGTGCTTCAGCAGTCGGCTTTTCCTCACCAGCCACGGGATCTGCGGGCCGGGCTGTTTCCTGCTCGGCTTGAGAGGCGTCTTGCTCTTCGTCGATGGCGCTCTTGTGCTCAGCAGCGTGTTCGTCGTCGTGAGAATCGCCATGTGGTTTGGACGAGGTGGATGGAAGCAGATAAAAAACCATCGGCCCTGTCACTGCCAATGACCCGAGAAGCCTAGCCCGCAAAGACGATAGGTTAATCGGAAGCCTTCAATGCGTTCAGCGGTTCACCTTTGAATCGGAAACATACCACGGTAAATCACTGCTTTTGTGCTCCTCATATCCCTTTCCACTGGCATAGAATCGCCGACCAAGAAGCTGTGTCGTCCGTCGAGCAACAGGCACAGCACGGAGATACGGGGCGACATTGGTCACACGCAACACCGAGCGATGGACAAAGGCCATTGTGGTGCGAATGGAAGAGGAGGTATAGAGAATCGAGTAGGTATGATAGGGCGAAGGAAAGGGAGGGAGATATCTGCAGAGTTTTTTTCAGTTTCCCAGTAACTTGGCACTGTCCCCTCAGAGGCCACTGAGCAAGTCACTCTCCAACTTTCCGGCATCGTAAGACCGTCCCAGCCGCCTCCGATGGTCTGTGCGCGTGAGCGCCAGTGATGTAATGGTCCAGTCAGGTCAGGGGGGTTCATTGGGATACTGCCCTATGGCCATTGAGCGAAGAGTGCCCCCTGAGTCTAGTGCTTGGATGAAGCAGAACCATAAACCGGGACTGCCTTGTACGCATATATGTTCAACCTTCGAGTAAGCGTGTGGATGGAGTCGAAGAAGTCAACAGCTGGGAATCGGTGGGCGCTCCCGCGTATCAGATTAGATCGGCCCACTCCACTAAAGTCACTTCTTTTGGAAACCAGCAGTGACTGCGTGGTTAGCTATAGTCATGAGATAGACCGAGATCGTTATCAGAGACCATTTCACGGAGCTCTGGAAATGACAAGACCATGTGCAGACTATGCATCGGCAATTGGTGTTCGATATCTACAGACTACTACAACCATTCTTGTACACCGTGTAAGGCACCAATTAATAGGCCTCAGGCACAAAGGCACAAGCCTCGGTTGGTGCCTCAGGCCTGAGCACCCCACGTTTCGCGGTTGATCGCGCGCCGCAAGCACCGAACAGCACCTCCCCCACTTCAAGCTTTCTTCTTTTAGCTCTCCCTTCTCCTCTTTGCCATCACATCCCCACCCACATTTTCAACCAAACCATGGCGGATCGACAGGCTACCCTGCAGGGCATCCTCAGCTTGCTAAACAAGCTGGATGATCCCGATGCGGATTTGCGATACATGTCACTCAATGACCTGTTCAACATATTGAGCAGCTCCAACTCTAATTTCCTCTCGAGCGATAGCCGCTCATCCACCAAGCTAGCAGAGGGCTTGCTAAAGGCTTTGGACGATCAACATGGCGAGGTGCAAAACCAGGCGCTAAAATGGTATGTAACCCATCAGTCCCTCGCGGATAGCCACCATGACGCATGCCCATCGCTGATCACGAACCCTCGGTAGTCTTGGTCCTTTGGCCACCCGACTCCCATTCGAATCGCTGGTTCCTCTTTTGGAGAGGTTGAGTAACCTGACTGCATCACCAACGATCGATACATCTGTCCCCAACACCGCCCTTCGGGTCATAGTCGACATGCTCCCTCGCCCTCAAGCGGGCCAGCCAGCACCTCCCAACACGGTCACCGCTTACAACGCCCTCTCCAAAGTCTTGATCCCGAGACTGACCGGTCCGACTCAGTCAGTCTCTGGTAGACGTGGCTCTTTTGTCTCAGGAATGCTGGAGAAAGATCCATCCAAAGGCTTCAGCAGCGACGCAATCGACGTGCTCATCAAGGTTGTCACATGTTTTGGGCCCCTACTTCAAGAGCATGAGCTGTCTGCTCTCCAAGAGCCGGTCATGGCTATCATTGACAACGATACCGCGGGTACTGTGGTTACAAAGCGTGCCCTCGCAGCCATCTCAGCTCTGGTCCTTTACTTCTCCGATAGTCAACTAAATGCCTTCGTCAAACGCCTCACCGAGAGCCTCTCTTCGCCGAACACATCAACTGTGCGCCGACGACATTTGATTGCAACCATTGGTGCTATCGCCCGAACAGCCCCGGCCAAATTCGGTCCCCATTTGAACAGCCTGGTTCCGTTTGTGTTCTCGGCTGTTGGGGAGGAGGATCTGGTGCAGGTGAACTAGGATGGCTTCCCACTCTATCTGATCTACATGCAGAACAAGCCTTTACCCAATGGTTGATTTTTCACAACCTCCGATGGAAAAACCACTTACTCTATGCCGGAGCCCAGACCCCACCTGTCTGCATGTTATGTAAACACGCGTCCTTGACAGATTCCCTCATCCCGGCAGCATATGGGACTACTCGAACATACTGGATTGGGGTTTTTCAAGAGGTATCAAAACCCTCCAGGATTCTGAGGATATTCAGTATGACAGATTTTCACGATACCCACGTTGACTTCTCCTTTCTATTTCATCCTGTTTAATATCTCGCCTTATCTATCACACTCTCACTACTAGGACATGATTTTCAATTCCTCTGCATTCCATGGAGTTTCAATGAAAGGACCTGAAAAGCTCCGGGCAGACCTCCATCAGACCTTCCTCGCTGTGGCTTTAGAATATCTGCATTACCTTAGAAACCCATCAATGTGATTTCGATACTGGACACTTTCCATCGCCACTTCCCGCCCGAATGCGTATTGCGCCTTCCTAAATTTACTGCCACATTGCGAGTTTGACCTTCATTTCTCTCGTTCCCCAATTCTTCTTGTCCGTCCTTCACATCTCACTTTTCTTGCTTGCACAGCGGGTCATCCATTTAATATTATCTCCCATTTACCCCCTTCATCGATTAGCCTGATTAGCCTTCATGATGCGTGCATCACTACTCTGTTTCCTAGTTGCTCTTCTAGCTGGGTTAACTTGGGGACATCTCACAATTGCCATGGAGCATCCGGTGACTGTGGGTGTGACTGCTTCGGCCATCCAAGAACAATGTCAAGCTGACGCGACCCAACAACCTGAATCCAAGCAGACTGAAGCACAGCTTCAACCAGCCTTGGGCAATGAACAATCCGAGGATGTACAGCCGCACCTTCGTCGTGGTTTATCACAGCAACTTCGTGGAATTACTCAACAACTCGACTACAAATGTGGTCCCAAATGGGGAAAATGCCCTAGTGGCACTTGTTGCTCGAGTGCAGGTGAGTTCAATATCAAAAGTCCATGTTCGCATTCTCTAACCGGGGTCGGGACCAGGTTTCTGTGGCACAACTACCGCTCATTGTCGTTCTCCGGATTGTATGATTGACTTTGGCCACTGTGATGCTCACAAATCACCCAAGGGCTTCCCCACCAAAGACATCCTTCGACCTCACATTGGTCAGGTTCCGTATGGCCCTCAACAGATTCGGTCATGTCTAGTTCCCGGAACGGTTGCTTTGACATTCGATGACGGCCCAACTCGTTATACGGGAGATCTTCTCGACTTACTTGATCGCTATGAGGCCCCAGCAACTTTCTTTGTCACCGGTATCAATAATGGAAAAGGGCCAATTGACGATACTTCCTTGCCTTGGGCGGAGCTGATTGAGCGTATGATGATCAGTGGCCACCAAGTTGCGAGTCATACTTGGTCGCATGAGGACCTCAGCAAGGTCACTCCCCAACAACGTCGTGAGCAAATGGAGAAGAACGAAGCTGCATTGAGAAACATCATCGGCAGCTTCCCGACATACATGAGACCACCATACTCGAACTGTATTCCCGGTTCTGGCTGTCGTCAGGATATGGGTGATATGGGTTACCATATCATTCTGTACGATATCGACACGGACGATTACAAAAACGACAGTCCATATTTGATCCAACGTTCCAAGGATATTTTCGATCAAGCACTTTCTCGCGGAAACCCTGCCACAAAGTCCTGGTTGGTAATTGCTCACGATGCCCATGAGCAAACTGTTCACAATCTTACAGAACACATGTTGAAGACAATGATCAGACTTGGATATCGTCCTGTTACTGTTGGAGACTGTCTTAGAGACGCACGAGACAATTGGTACCGCAGGGATATCCGCTGGCGTGGCCATCGAAACAACAAGAAGCAGAAGGGACCAAAGAAGCATGGAAAGCAACTTCCAACTCAACAGATCTCCGCCGACGGCACATGCGGGACGAACTATACCTGCCTCGGATCCCCCTTTGGACTATGTTGTGGCAGCACAAATCTTTGCGGAAATACCACAACTCATTGTGGTCTTGGTTGCATAAAGGAAGCTGGCTATTGTGCTGTGCAAGTTCCTTCCAATGGAGATGCCTGGGACCCCAGTTTTCCCGGCAAAAAGAGCGGCAAATCAGAAGCAAATTCAAATCTCCGAACGGTTGGCAGCGCAGCTCTGACGTCTTTGGTGTTGGCCTTGATTGTGGCTATGTGGATGTGATTGATTCCTGAATGGCCCATTATTTGGGCTGATTACGGCGTTTTCTTGTCTTTTCGTCAAGCTCAAAAGCTTTTCACCTTATATTTTTACTTACGTACCTTGGCTTTAGGCCTCTCATTCCTTGCTTTGAGAGTACTTATCTTGATTGGGATTGCTGGCTGAATTGAATAGTCTCTTAGTACAAAATCAGATTCCTGACATCGACTGTCTTTATCCCAGATCCGTAATAAATACCATCCTTCCAATCCGAGGTGTGACCTCATCATCGAAGGAAAAGCTGATAATTCTCGAAGATTTAACCTCTACAAGAAGCAAATGCGTCGGTGGAGGGAACCTTCAAGAAAAAAACATATGAACTATAGATATGGAAAACCATATTGCCGATAAACACAGAACTCCACACCAGATGGGAGGAAACCCACATAAATGCAACAAACGCAGGGGTATAATGATATCGAAAAGAGGAAGAGCTAGCATAAACCCACAGCAAAAGGGAGTCAACGTTTGCACTAAGCAACTAAGACCAGTTTTACTTCCGGACAACCTTGAGCAAAGGCGCAATGCGCGCCCGTTTACTCAACCCTACCCGGTACGGCACTTTGCTCGTCGACGAGATAGGACTATGCTTTGCCGGACCTTTGTGAGGCCCTTTGCTAGGCGCTGGGTCGTTTCCTTTCCCGTCCGCACGCTGGGGTGTTTGAGGGACGGCTTCGCTTGCGATTATGTTGGATGATGTGTCAGCTGGCTGTAGAGACTGATCTGTAGATTCGATAGGCACGGTGTCTTCTCTTTGAGGGTCTGTAGTGGCGCTGGCGGGATCATCGGCTGCAATAGTGTTGTAGGAAATGGAAGTCTCGGCCTCTACAGTTTGCTGCCGTTCGCCCGGCTTCGGTTCAGCTTCAGCAGCGAGTTCCTCTGTAGTCTTCTTGCGTTTTCGTCCGCGCTTCTTCGGTAGTGAGACTTCGCTGGGTTCAACGACCGGGATAGTCGGGGTAGCTTGAGTGTTATTGGCTTCCACTGAAAGAGGTTCGGTGTCGACCCATATCACATCGTCACCGACATCGGGCTCGCGCGGCTTGTCGAGTACCACAGAGGCTGTTTTGCTTCTCTTAACCTTTTTCTTCCTAGGTGCCTTTTCAGCTGCCTCTGGGCCTTCAGCTATTGATGTGTTTTTGCGAGAGTTCGCGCCAAGGGCAACAGGAAGCACAACCATAAGACCTTTTTTTGTTTCGTCATTGACTTGATTATTTCCTGTCAAGCTTCCATTCTCTGGACTCCCAGTCGAATCTCCCTTAGAAATTACTGTTCCAGGTTCCTTGGGGGGTCGTCCTGATCGTCGCTTTTCCGGGAATTTGACTGGTTCAGACACGGATTCTTGAAGAATGGCCAGTTCGTCTTCTTCATCATCCTCTGGCAGAAACTGTTTTTTCGGACGACCACGCTTCTTCAGAGTAGAAACTTCTACCGCCACGGCGGGCAAAGAAAGCTCGTCATGGGTGCTTTGTGGAGAATGGCGCGGCGACATCAGACTAGAGCTGGCATTATCGCTCTTTGATCTACTTATTCCAGTGGATAAGTTAGAGGACATGGGCTCCGTGTCATGTGGAGACCATGTCGTCGATTGCATGGATTTGGAGCGCGGGCCTTTCTTCGGCTGGCTGACATATACGCCATCGACTGGTTGTAAAGAGGTTGAAAATCTGATTGCCTGTTCGACAGCAGCATCGCCCGGAGGTTCAATGTTATTCGATGTCGCAGGTGTACTGTACCCGCACGCGTTTGCCTGTAGCGGCGCAATTATCTGCGTCGGCTCGTTTGGCGCATCATGTGCAGGTCGAGTGTAAGCAAAATTGTCTATCACAGTTGCAGCTTCCAAGTGATACCCATACGTTGAAGTTGTAGGGAACGAGCAAGGTTGAGAGATTTCGCTCGGGTATGCTGTAGCCGTGGAAGGAAGAAGAGGGCCAGCAGTGGACGCATCGTCGTCGAGAAGCCGCCTTTGCGCAAGCCCAATTTCTGTCATCATAGCCCCTGAATCCGGTCATGTTAGCAGGTATCTCTAGGATCATGCATAGGGGGCAGTCATGGGAGACAACCGTTGATCGACTCCGACGCACCAATTGATCCATTGCCGCCCTCATTGGTCGAGGGAATCCATCGTTCCTCTCGGCGCTGTTGCGACAATGTTGTTTCATTCTGCGACATATCCTGGGACTGCAAGAATTTATCGAAGTTAATTCCTAGTTGTGGCTCATGGTCGATATCTGTGGCAGCTGAGTGCTCAATCGGGTAGTTTGCTTGGTGCTCAGTGACATGGTAGTCAAGTTGGTCGTGCAGTTGTCGCTTTGGAGACTCGTGCTCAGTCTGTGCACCGGCAGGGGAGGGAGCCTCTTCCTCTATAAAGATCTCCTCATCATCGGAGTCCTGAATGACTCGATCCCGGCTCATTTGGGGCGATGTCGCGAGTGCACGTTCGTGAAAAGGCGGGCTTATCGACGCGTTGGAAGAGGAGCGCGGCCACGTGATGATAAGAGGATAAAAGTATACTAATACAGTAAAGTGGACAAATCCAGGATTTAAGAGGCTGAACGATCATAGAAAGAAAATCTAATTCAAATGCAGTAAAGGACGTGCGCTACTAACATTGAAAACTCGGTACCTGGAGGACCAGAATATCTAAGGGGAATGAACAAGGCTTATGCACATGCGATTAAGAAACAATGGGAGGACAGAATGGGCCACATCAAACACCGTCCGGAAGCGAAAAAAAAATCAACGCCGAATTCATCCACAAAACACTAAGGACTGAAGATTCGGTAATCCTCGGTTATGAAACACCGGAGAAGCCGATATGTCCAGAATAATACAATAATTTGATTGAAACCAGTGCATTCAAATGCAACAACAAGAGGGATCATACAAGGCACGGCCGCGAGTCATTGGGTATCTTCAAGCGACATAGACAGATGCATGAATGAAATGAAGTGGAAGCTCGGGCTCACAAAACCCCCCGGGAAGGTTGATTTGTGCTTGACGCCCACTTTCAAAACCGGCGCTAGGGGGTGCCGAGCCAGGAGCTGGGTATGTTGAGTTGTCTGGATGAATCTTTCGTAACATGAACATAGGCTTTCGTCCTTCTTTTTCAAGCTGCTTGAATAGCAGAAGAGGCTTCTCATCCAGCGCTAAGCATCGTTCTTGGTCTCCATAGACAATGTAGAGTGCATACAACTTAGGGTCGGAATGAATATTGTACTTTTTGAGTGCAGCAGGTAGCACCTTGTAGCAGGGATCATCCCAAGACACACGGAATGATTTGAATATCTCCACACTAGAGGGCTCACCAGTAGCCCGTGACTCTGCTCGTGCTCCAGAAGACGGCGTCTCTGTGCGGGAGGTCGGCTGTTGGGTGCTCTGGGGAGTAAGTCGGTCAGCGCGAGAGGAAGCTCTCGGTGGAATATCCTCTCCATGATCATGCGCAACGCGACTAGCGCTGCCAGGTTGGGAATATGATCGTGGATTGAGGGTTTGGTGCGATGTCGTATGTGCGTTGGGTGATGTTGGTGAGGGCGCCCCAGGTGAATGCTGAAGCCCCCCGTTATTCATTGAAGCGGATAGGTGGGTAGAAGCCGCTGTCGCCGCTGCCGATGGGTCCAAGTTCTGAGAATCATGGTAGTTCCGGTTTTCATAGATCGAGGGGGGAATGTGTGTGGGTGAATTATTCTTCGGAGTCGTGCCTCCAGTATATGTCCGCTTTGACAGGACACGAGCCAGTTTAGAAGTTGAAGAGTTGTCAACGAGAGTAAGTTGCGAAGGCGAGGTAATAGTAGCGCTATCGTGATAGGAATCGGATGGATTTCCTATCAAAGATGGGGGAGGTAAAGGCTGGGATCTGTCTTTGGCTATTTTGATAATAGGGAGAATTTCTTCCCTTAATCGCCGGTAATCGTCGGACAAACGGCGCAATTCAGCCTCAACGGAGAAGAGCTTTTCATCCCTTCGCTGAATGGACTGAATAAGCCGGGCCAAATCATCTTGTGTCGCGTTCTCATTCATGCTTTGATCCGCCGCTGTGGTCGGGATTAGAACTGTGGTTTGAAAGCAGGAGAGGGGAGCATACAGAGCGGTATGTAGTGATCCACATCAAGAGGGATATGTTGTCGGATCTTGATCTCGTAGACACTCTTCAGGATAGTTAAGCGATGGCCAACACTATTAATTCCCATCTCTTTGAGCTCCTCGTGCTTCAATGCAACCAGCGCCTCGCCTACAATCCCGTTCTCTGCAATCAACGCCGTCAGTCAACGATCCGTATGAACTAGCACATGATGCCACATACCGCGAAAGGATCCACAGTATTGTAGGAGGCCAAGCGACGTTAAAAAATCCACGCATTCATCTACCGACCATTCTGAAATGATCGTCCGTGGGGTACGCGGGCCTTCGCTCCCAAATTTTGTCGGGGTATGCTCGGAGGAGGGGATGTCGGAATCGGTGGGTGAAGCATCGGAATCCGTTTGAAGCTGTGGTGAGGTGATGACACTGCGTTCGTATTCGTCGTCCGCGTCAGAGTCCGCATGGTACAGAGACGTCTGGAGGGCCATGATGCCGGAGAAGGTTTCAGGGTGTGGGAGGTGCGAAACACCAGAGGGGATATGTGTGCACCGGCACCACCGCCCAAGCGGAGCGAAATGCGGGCTGGTGACTCTGGCAGGAGGACTGATTCTTGGTGGTGGTGCGACGAATAAATCCGGTCTGGCTTCTGAGAACCCACGGCGGCTAGAAACGGCACGTTGGGCGTGCTCAAAGATATCAAAGAGGCGTATGCCAGGGCAAAGGGTGTATCAGAATGGAGAGAAGAGATAGACAACCGTCCTTCCTAGTGTGTCGGGGCGAGTTTCGTTTGTCGCCTGACCCCTTATGACGATAGGCGCCGGTGGATGAAGCCGTAAGTTGACGCGGGAGGCAGAGCGGGGAAGCTTGTCCAATGGCGGGCGGCAATGTCTTTGGCACTGGAAACACTTGGAGGCAAGCGAACAGGGGGTCCGGTGGTAAAAGTGTGCTCTTTTTCGGGCTGAGCTGTTGGAGGCGAGAGCGATTGGCAACACTGCAGCTCTAGTGGACGACGCTGAGCATTGTAACTGGGACGAATCACCAGCATGCACGTGACTGGGTCTGGACTCGGAGGCGCTTCAACTCTTTCCCGAATGGTCGTGTTGACACCTTGTATGGGTTCGATGTTGACGATGGACTCGGTCATGCAAAACGTGATGAAGGGCTTTGTGAGTGAGAGATTGCCATCTTGGTTACACAGAAAGTGACACTTCCATTTAGAAGTCTACCTGCGACCACTCAAAGTTTTCCCCAGACCAGGATCTTCGTGTTGTCTTAGATCTTTCCAGATGGTCCAAGCCAAATAAATAAAGTCCAGAAAACGTGCCAGTGGCCAGTATTCCCCACCCATCTCAGCCTCAGCCCCATTGTCACACAGTATGGTGGTTGTTGACGATCAATTTTGTCTGACTGTGGACTGCTGAGTATATAGTTCGATTGAGTTCAATGGGAACCTAAAGGTCGGCACTTAAGAGACCAGGACGGAGACTAAACTAAGACTAAGACCAGACAAATCACGGATGTATCTTGTATCTCGAATTGTTCGGACTAGGAAAAATCCTCACTCCAAGTTATTTCTTCACACAACAACAACCTATGATAAGGGTAGGGAATTACAAAGTAGAGGCGACCCAAACCTGCATACCAACTTTCCTCCTCTTGTACCTCCAATCCTGAGATGGTAAAGTCTAGTTGATACAAGATGAGAAAGCCAATTTTCTACGGTGCTAGAATCTATATCTTTGACAAGTATACAGATCCCGAAGAGCGGGCGGGCGGGCGAACACGGCACTCAATGTTTGCGAGAAAAAAGATCGATTTCTATCATATTTTCTTACCCAGCTTGATATTTTATCACTCTGCCAATGGAAGATACTCAAAGGCCACAACAGTTCACATTACATGTAGAGTCTCCTTGCCCCCTCCATCATATTGATATCGAATAAATCGTATTGCACTATCCTGCACGGATATTCACCGCCCACCATCAGAGCCTGTACTCAACGCCGATTGGACCTTGCATGGGCTTCCGATCGGGAGAGCGATTGAATCTTCCTTCTTCCATGTCAATTGATCACAGCAGCTCTTCCTTTGTGCATGCTGGTCCTGTTCCTCTGTGCAATGGGTATATTTCTCTAACCCGGTGTCTATTTTTCTTGGCCGACCCTGTTCCCTCCTTCCGACTCGCCGACACGCCGACACCCTCCAGTAAGTCCAGTTTATCCCGGACTCCCGACTTCCGCTTCCAGTGACTCGTTTTGCGCCTGGGTGAACGCGACTCAAAAGCACATCCTGAAACGTCAATCAGGTGGGTTTTGGCCATCTGCATTTTACTAGCAGCCTTGTTGCGCCTTCTTCTCATGCTGCATGGACCTGGTCACTTCAGCGCTAACCGGGATCGCCGCATTGACAGGCCGGACCGCGGAACCATCGTCATTCTCCAATATCCACTTTTTCGCGCGCTGGATCTGACTTTGCTCCAGCACTACCAGTTAATCCTAATCTGTCTCTTTTCACAAAAGTGTTTACTCCAGGGGCCGGTCCCCTTTCCACCTGTTGAATTGTATCGCGACGGCCTCCTCAACTGGTCCCGGCGCATGCGACGGACTGCAACCCTCCACCCACCGAAACCGATCGTTGGGACCAGATAACTCGACTGGAGAGATACTCTAGGGAATTATCCAAGTACGGGAAACAAGAAGAAAGCTCTCCTCTCACACCTGACACTCTGCCTCGTTCTCGCGTCCAGGCTTATTTGTTCGCTGCTCGACGCCCCGCCAGCCTCCCCCTCCACCATGCCATCCTCCACCCCCTCCGCCGGAGCCTCCTCCACCCCCGATGCCCTCGAATCCGACCTCCTTACCAAACTTTCTGCTACATCTGCACTGGAGGATTTGCAAGAGAACCTGCTCGGCTCGCTCCACCGCATGGGTTGGACCGAACGGGTCACAAGTCTCGCAACTGAGCTCCTCCGCGCCGGACGCTGCGAGACCTTCGACGATGTCATGGAGGCAATAGTTGCCTCTGCTGAGGGCAGGTCACATCCCGCGTTGGGCTCCAAAAATGCAGAACAGAACGGCGACGCCACTCCCAATGGCTCCAAGGAGTCCAGATCCAATGGAACGAAGAAGGGCGGAGGCGGTAGCAGTTCGGATAATAAACCATGGGACCCGCTGAAATACATCGAAGAGGTCGACGTGCGTATTCCTGAAAACGTGGTAGACGAGGGTGTTCGTGGCCTGAAGGACATACTGCGTGAGATGGTCGACCTCGAAGATGAGAATACCCCAAACGGAGAGAAGAAATAACGAGCTTTCCCATGCCGGGAAGGTGCTGAAGATATGAATCTGCATGGCGGTGATTCCCTTTTTTTGCCTTTCGTTTTTGTTTTTCTTTTTGGTTTTTTTTGCGGAGTACTTGAAATGGGTTCGGAAATGGCTTCGGCATCGGATCTGGCATGTATCCCATCTACGATCCCTGGGTTTGCGTGCATGATGGGCGCTCTCGCATCGGAATGAATAGACAATTGCATTGCGCCGGGGATATTGCAACCCCGAAAATGACATGGTGCTCTTTTATCACAATAGTGTAGTGCCGATAAACGACAATGCACTCGCTTCATGTTATGCAGCCTTCGTTTGATAGCTGCCCGTAGAAAGTAAGCAGTGAACACACTCTACAGCTATATCAACCCTTCGCAATAGTACCGAACTTTTGAAGGTCAAGTATGTCTAAGTAAGAGGAGACTAAACTGGCTGAGATGCCTGCTTGATGAAAAGAACACATTGGTCCATTTCGAAATCAATCATTTCATCCAAGTTGGCTATACATGAATGCAGGCTACGAGAGTTTCTTCAGATATTCCTTGTTTCTAAAATGGCTTTGCTGCTGATCTGCCATGGTTTCAGCATCTCGTTTGAAATTTGACCAGGTAGTTAATGCAGTATATAAAGCATCATTTGACTCATTGAAACATCAAAATATTCTATCATAGCTGAAAAGAAAACATCTTATAAGAAAGTAAGATATCCTCAGGATTTGCAAATTTCCAAATTCATTGGCATTCAGAAAATGTTACACTAACATCTAGCGCAGAGCACATCGTCAGATCCGTTGAGAACACCGAATCTGTGACTTGAATGCCCTTGAAGATGTCACTGTAGCATTGATCTATTGGGAATTTGATTTCCGGGTGCGGGGTTTGGTGCTCTAAGCTCGATTAACCAGGAACAAGCATATCCGAACCAACAGGAAAGCTGGACGATGCTGCAATATAAAAAATCTTCAAACAAGCGTTGCACCCGATTAAACCCTAAAGAGGGGCCTTAGCCACACTAGTCTATTAGTATAAGACTTTTGCCACGACTTGAGAACAGACGAACTGTTAATCACGACAGAGAGAGGCTGCAATGATCTTAAAACTTTTTCTGTTAGCATGTTGGCTTCTGCGCACAGCACACGCGATCGCGCCATTCAGTTATAATAACGAGACATTTCTTCTCCATGGAAAACCTTTCCAGATTATTGGCGGTCAAATGGATCCACAGCGAATTCCTAACGAACTCTGGGATGATCGTCTGGCCAAGGCACGTGCAATGGGATTAAATACGATCTTTTCTTATATTTATTGGGACCAGCTTGAACCCTCGAAAGGTTCGTGGGAAAACAGTGGCAACAACGATATTGCTCGGTACTTCAGAACCGCCCAAGACCATGGGTTGAATGTGGTCCTACGACCAGGGCCTTACATCTGTGGCGAACATGAATGGGGAGGGTTCCCTGCCTGGCTGAGCGAAGTGCCTGGGATGGTTGTTCGCACAAATAACAATGCTTTCCTCGAAGCCTCCCGGTCGTACATGCACAATCTCGCGGGAGATTTGAAGCAACTTACTATCTTAAATGGAGGCCCCATCCTTATGGTCCAAGTTGAGAATGAATACGGGTCCTACGGAAGCAATCACCAATACATAGCGGCCCTACGAGACATTCTGAAAGACGCATTTGGCGATGTGGTCCTTTATACCAATGATGGCGGCACTCGGTCTATGCTTGAAGGTGGCCAAATTTCGGGCGCTTTAGCTGAGACCGACGGTGACCCCAAGACGGGCTTTAGTGCACGCGACAAGTATGTTACTGACTCTAGTAGCCTTGGTCCTCAACTCGATGGGGAGTACTATATTACCTGGCTTGATCAGTGGGCAAGTAATAATTCTTATCAGACGGATTCCGGAGACACCGAAAAGATTCAAAGCATTCAGTCCGATCTTGATTGGATTCTAAAAAGGAATGCTTCATTTAACATATATATGTTCCATGGCGGAACCAACTGGGGATTTCAAAATGGTGCCGATTGGGGTGATGCATTAGAGCCGATCACTACCAGCTATGACTATGGTGCACCTCTTGATGAAAGTGGGCGACCAAACGATATCTATCAAGCTCTTCGTCGAACAATCGGTGACTACATTGGAGTCGACGGCATACCCTCTGTTCCGGCCGACAAACCCTTGATCAAGATCCCTGATATTCAGCTTACACCCATTGGGAAATTGTTTGATTCACTCCCAAAACCAATCATAAAACAATATCCTGTCAATATGGAAGCAGTTGGCCAGTCAGTAGGACTGATTCTCTACCGGCATATAGCCACATCTTCTGTTAGCGGCATTGTGCAGCCTGGTGACGCTCCCCGAGACCGAGTTCTCGTGTATGTCAACGGTCAGCGTGTTGGCGTAATTGATAACACCTATGCGGCACCAAGCTCTGTTCAACTGTCCGTGAAGAAAGGTGATGTTCTAGACCTTTTGATTGAGAATATGGGTCGTGTCAATTACGGATCAAAGATAGTGGATCAGCGCAAGGGAGTTGTTGGAAATATCACAGTCGGTGGTGATGTTCTAGCCAATTGGCAGATGTACCCCCTCCCACTTAGTGCACCCCCAAGCTCAGAACCTACCTACACGATGACTACGCCTTCAACAGGTTCCGGACCGGTTTTTTATGGAGGTGCATTTGATGTGGACACTATTGGTGATACTTTCTTGGAGCTTCCAGGATGGACCAAGGGCGTTGTCTGGGTCAATGGTATTAACCTAGGCCGATATTGGACTGTTGGCCCACAGCAGACCCTCTACTTACCAGGTTGCTATCTCCAAAAAAGCGAAAACAAGATTAATATTCTGGCTTTGGAGCCCACAGGCAATGAAGGCTATGTTCGTGGTATAACTACGCGAAAGTGGGGGAATAATATGGATCCCGACGCTCCTTGAAAGTTGCCCATAGATATTTCACAGACTAATGAGAGTTTCCTGTTAAGAGAATAAGTTTCTGAGCAAAGGTACACACAAAGATTTCTACAAGCTCTGGTGGTAAGGCTGCAGTTCCAGGCTCATTGAGTGGCTCTAGAACTACATGCTCGCACATGTGTTGACCCCGGAGAACCGGGGAGGTATACGTATGTATCCGAATGGATCAATTATCCAGGTGATGTTCCAAGGTTGCACTTAGCGATCTTGACCACATCAATTACCTGTCATGCGGACAGACTTCCCCTCCCGTACATGACATATCCTGACGGTATGTAACTTCTGTAGCCAGTAGTCTAGAATACGTGTACTCTGACATCACTACAACGTTCTCATCTCTAATGTGTGCTTTTCCATAAAATAATGTGCCACTCATTCCATAAACACTAAATTCACTACAAAGGTGATGGATACAGGAAAAAAGAAGTATTAAAGGTGAATAAACTTCGCTCGACATATTCTCTTAGGATCGACCAGTAATGTCCAAACATGTATTGGTCAGCCCATATACAAGAAATTCTGTCGTAGGTTTTCCCTACTCACAATAATGCCATCCAGAGATCCTATATTAAGGCCCGCATCTTTGAACCGTGATCGTTAAACAGAGATTGAGGGATTTTATCATACACGAACTCGCCAGGAATAGCGGGTTCAATTAGACCGGCCATGAAGGAGTTGAGGTTGGGCAGGCTATTGCTTGCAATAAGAGTGTAAAAATTGCCACTGTTCCAGATCATGTAGCAGTGACTGAAGAAAGAGCGAATGGTTTTGGCCATATCTTCGAGCATCACCTCGTTCGGATTCATGGATGTGAGAACCTCTTTGCTCTTTGCCAGGACAGCATCGCGACTAAAATAGCGACTCTTGTAACCATAATCTTTCTGCTGCTCGCGCCGCTGGTATTCCTCCTCGTCCGGGTGTCTGAACTTTTCTAGGAAAAGAAATAAACCATTCTCCTTCAGATGCTGCGATACGAATTCAATCTGATCCATTCGATTCGCTGAGTACATCTGAAAGGTGGTGTCTTCCAGAATGATATCAAAGCCAGCAGTGAATTTTCTCAAGTCATCACGGGTTTGCATCACCTCTTTAGTGAGATGATGAAACGGGCCAACGAAAAATGAAGCATTCGGAGGATCTCCGTGAGCAAGAAAGGCTTGATGATTCTCAACAGTCGGACTACATGCTAGACCTTCAATGCGCCCATCTGCCAGCTCCCCAAGTACACGGGCCATGGTGCCCTCGGCACTTCCCAGGGTATACAGATTGAGCGATCCTGGTTTTGTTTGAGTGTACTGGAGGATGGCATATGTGAGTCTGCAGTCGTCCTCGAGTCTATAGGGAATGCTGCCAAAGTAGTGTTGATCAAAGGGTCCTCCACGCTGTGCGAAGAGATCGACTACTCTGTCCATCTGTTCATCGGCAAGCAGCAATCGTTTATCTGCCTGTATTTTCTTCACGGGCCTGTTCGAGCGACCGGCAGCAGTGGAGGAAAAGAAATTGGCCAGGTTGGTCAAACGGGGAGCGCTTTCGCACTCCTCAATAAATGAGGTGTTAACCTTAGTCATGGCTGTAGTTGGGAGGGACAGGATGAAGATATGGTGAATTTGGCAAGTAACATAACCCGAACCCCTTTTTCGAGTGAGAAATTGCGGGTAATATACCTACTCTCAACTCGTGACAAGGTTTGAAGTGAATTGTGCGGATGGGCTATTCCGTATCCGACAATATTAGGCATCGGCCTCTGAATTGAGGATGTTGCCATGCAGATAGATGCCTCCATTCATGACGCGGTGAAGATCTTTACTTGGCCCAGCACCTCAGGCTGCTTTTTCTTCTGGGGGTTATCCTTTACGAGCTGGCACTCCACTTTACTTCCAGTCAGCCACAACTCTCGGCAACTGAGGACCTGAATCGTACGTTCTTGCAGCTGTAGTGAATAAGATGAACATGGAGTAGTATAGCGAGGCCTAAGGTTCAGCTGAATGGGGCGGGGCCGGGCCGAAGTGGGCCCGTTCGACAAGTATCAATCGCCAATTCGCCCTGACCGCAACAGCGTTTCTCCAAAACACTCGTATCAGAACTCGCGATTTGCATCGTGGGACCTGGATCGGGAAATCTGCATCGTATCCTTGGCTATGAAAAGATCCACTCGCGGTTTGCATAGTGGGACCTGGATTGGAAAATCTGCGTCGTATCCTTGGCTATGAAAAAATCCACTCGTATGCAGCGAGCAACTTCATAATCGAATTGCCTCACCCATTATATCTCAACAGGGAGCTGTATCTTGGACTATATTTTGAGGTAAATATCAAACTAGATACGGTTGCACCTGTCTGCGAACCAGGTCCAGCCTCTAGGGATAGGGAGGGTGCTAGGGAAGAGACATAGGAATATAAAGAAGAGAAGGTATCTGATTATCTGCCCTCTGCGAGCGGGGTAGTCTCAGATACATCAATTCTGAGGCATTTTGCAGACCGCTATTTCCCCACTACAATATGACGTCTTAGGCAAGATTTTTAAATAAAATTCCGGATATGCAACAAGAGGCATTTTTCTGAGGAGTCTAAGTTTTAGACCTTTGACAAAACTTCTAAAAAATTCGAGATATGTTTGGAGGGAAATTCGCAGATCCCTACCTAGGTAAGTAAGATTATTCACGTGGAGGGTCAGGAACAAGATTTGACCATAAATATCAATGAGATCTATCAATACTGTATATACAGCCTGCCACTAGTAATTGTATTAGTAATTGGTAATGTTACGCAACCACACTTAAGACTTTTAATAGGAATGAAGTGCAGAACAGTGATATCTCCAGCCTCGTCTAATTTAAATATCCGGGCCAGCTTTGGCGCTCTTCCGTGCTGAAGAATTTCATTGATCTTGCTCTCTTGATCTTGAAGTAATCACAATTGTGTTCTATTTTTCCTTCGAGCCTATAAGACTTGAAAACCATATCTGAGAATGCCCAAAAGCTTCATCACAAAGGTTCAATCGCCTGTGCGACACAGCCTTACCCTTCCAACGGACTTGAATCCATCACCAAGCTCAAATCCCTCGATCATCAATGATGCATTAAACGTGCGACTTAAGGTGTTCGTGGGTGGTCAAAACACCGATCCTGCGGATGAAATCGACGGTGATGACGCTCGCAGCTGGCATTGGGTTACTTATGACAATGAGGACCCTCAGAACCCGATTCCAGTCGCAACCATCCGATTGATCCCACCGCCACAAGTCCCATATGAGAGTCTTCTAGATTCTAACCAAGGAAGAAGGGCAGAATGGCCGAAATATGACCTGTTCAATGAGCCGTCCATCAGACTTGGACGGCTGGCGTGTCTAGAGGAGTATCGGGGATACGGCCTGGGCAAAGGTGCAATCCAGGGGGCGCTATACTGGGCAAGAGAACATCCGACCGAGATCAATTTGGCTTTACTAGACAACTTGCGCGAAGTTGGTGGTGATGAGCGCACGCTACCTGGCGGGAAGTGGTCTGGTTTGGTGCTTGCACATGCGCAGGCACATCGAGAAGCGATGTATGCGCGACTTGGGTTTGTTACCTATGGGCAGTTAGGAGTTTGGGAAGGCTTTGAACATGCTGGCATGTCATTGCGACTCGATGTAAAGAGAGAATCGCACCTGTAAATGCACAAATGAAAGATCCTTGCCAAATCCGCCACCTTTAGGTTACCCCTGAGCTGTCCATCAGTTCCATGAAGCATGTCACCAGCTGCCAGCGGTCGGCAGAGCAAGGGATAATTAGTATGTAAATATGGGAAATATTGCATAATTCGGATTTTGCACATGTTCCCTTGATCATTACACTTATTTGTAACTTGATGTAAAGCCACAAGAGTACTTGCAGTGGTGACCAACTTTAGAGCCCAATTTATTAGCTCGCGACACCGCTTATCCACTTAGTTCACTTTGTGACTCCACGAGGTATGGCGTTATTTTCGAGACAATCAATTCGTACACGAGCGGAGCGATGGCTGATTTCAAAAATGCCGTAAGACTGCGCTTTGGGCAATATGCGTAGTCTAAACCATATCCTAAGCGGACAGCATCCACTCAAACTTATTCTGTTTAGATCTACACTACATTTTACCATATCTGAATCGTACACTGCGCTAAAAGGTGGGTCAGAATCTTGGCATGTTAGAACCCGGAACAAAATCATCCACAAGAAATGTAGATCTGTTCTGATCTCAGCTGCTCCTCAAATTTCTCCACTTTATTCCAAGATCTGCAGTCTCTCGGATCGCGATGCATTGTCTTCTCCTTCGGCTTTGAGATCTATAGCTCCAATTGAACAAATGGCAATTTCGGTTTCGTAATGGGTTGACAAATATATAAAGGACTACGGTGGAGGGCGGGGGAATAAGTGAAGGGGTTGCTTTGGCTACCTAGGTAGACGCTGTTGGTCAGATGAAAGCCTCAAATAACTGATTCAATTACCCACCATTATCCTACCTTTTCAGCAGGTGCAGATTGGTCATCGCCCAAAAATTACTTTTTCACATTTCTCTTGCAAGGTTTCAGAAGATGATGTATCTCATATTGTTTGTCTTCGGCTTGATCTTATACTATCTCATTCTCTATCCCCTCTACCTCTCCCCATTGGCGAACATCCCGAGTGCAAATCCACTGGCACCTCTGACCAGTCTCTGGATCCAATGGCAACGTTTTCACAATCGAGAAGTCCCGACTTTTGAAGCTGCATTCCAGAGTAAAGGACCAATTGTTCGGATTGGCCCTAATGAAGTTGCATTGAACACAATTGATGCTGTGAGGACAGTTCATGGGTATGGCCCCAATAACTATACCAAGCCTGCCTGGTACAGCGTCTTTCAGCATCTGGAGTAAGGTTCACCTCCAAACTCATAATGGAAGTTTAAAAATAATAATTTTTGCCCCAACAGCTGTCTCAATTCCTTCTCATCTCTGACCAGAGATCACAACGTCAGACGACACCGCATCAGCAGCGTTTATACCAAACCATTCGTCCAGGGCTCGGAACATGTCAAGAATTTGCTCAGTGAGGTTCTTCTGGGACGACTTCTTCCCCTGCTCGACTCTCATGCTCAAACGGGTCAACCGGTGGAGGTTCTGACGACCGGTTTTGCCTACAGTTTGGATTTTGTGTCGGCCTGGCTGTTTGGTTTCCCCCAGGGTACAAACTTCCTAGCGGACACTAAAGCCCGCGACCAATGGCTTGAAATGTATGCGAATGTTTACTCTAGCCCAATGTACTGGCTTCAGGAGTACCCTAAAGCCGTTTCCTGGCTGTCGAAGATTGGCATCCATATTGTACCTAAGAGCTACTTCCGAGACTGCCAAAAATTTGACTCATGGGTTGTTCCACGAGTACAAGCCTGTGAAAGACGTTTCTCGGAGGCCAATGTATGGGAATCACAAGGTTATCCTGTCGTCTACGCGCAGCTGAGATCGGCTATGGCATCGGAGCAGGCATCGAAGTCTGCGGAAAAGTTCTCTCCATCCGAAAGCCAGATTCGTGAGCTTGGAAGTGAGTGCTTAGACCACATGGTGGCTACTCGCGATACATTCGGTTTGTTTTCAGATAGAAAGTGCAGATTTTGCAAGAAAACCATTTTAATCAGGATCATAGGCGTCGTTCTGTCGTATATTCTGCTCTATATTTCCCGCCACCCAGCCGAACAGAACCGACTGCGTGAGGAGCTGAGATTAGCCCAACAAAGGGCACAAAATTCGGGTCAATCCTTCCTCTCCGCGACTTCTCTTGAGGCTCTTCCTTTTCTAAATGCCGTCCTCAAAGAATCTATCCGTCTCCGCGGCAATGTTCCCACTTCGAACCCCCGTATTGTATCAGCGTCCGCGCCAGTCCAATTGGGGCCCTACAAAAATATTTCGGGGGTTAGAGTGAGTGCCTTGGCCTGGTGTCTGCACCGGAATGAGGAGATTTTTCCCGATGCTGAGAGCTGGGTGCCTGATCGATGGATGGTAAATCCGTCAACCAAGATGGACGCCACGGAGCAGGATAAGTGGTTTTGGGCATTTGGGAGCGGCAGCCGTCGGTGCCTTGGCCAGAATTTGGCTATGGAAGGTACATTTATTTGCCCTCTTTCTTCATTCACTTTTCCATTTTCTGACAGCAAAAAGTGTTGCGATTCACGGTGGCTGCTATTTACAGCGAATTCGAAACACACATCTATGATGAGTCCAAATTTATCAACGAAGATAGGTTTGTGACTGGCAAGGGAGGGGAAAGACTGGATTTAACATTCAAACGTGTTGCCAGCACTGCATGATAAAACTATATAGAGCCAACAACCCATAGAGAGGAATTTATCAGTACTTTGATGCGGATAATTTTCTGGATTACTGAACCATATCTTGGGGGCCTCATTTCCCAAAGGCTCAAAGCAGCCACTACAATGAGCATATGTGATTTAAGTTCCGGAAGCGGTTTGACGTGAACCCGCAATCTTCCAAAATGTTGGCAGAGTAAAAAAATCTTCAACGACTTAAAACAGACTTATGACAATAGTGAGCTTCGGGATTGCATTTACGGGTACATTTTCTCTGTGGCCTGAATCGGGGGAACCATTACTAGGGGTACTCGTGTGCTCTTGGATAGACCTTTACGCGGCTCATGAGCCCCCATAGATATCCATGGATATCCATACCAATCTATAATGCAAATCAGGACATTATGAACATCTTGGATAGATTTCGATTATTATTTTACTTTCTAAAAAAACCAAAAACCTAATAGAATTATTAAGTAGCCTATGATTAGAAAAGTAGGTTATTGCTTTTTGAATCTTCTAGGTAGCTTTAAGCTGTTATAATTCCTAATCAAAGTTAAGATGGAATTATGCGATTACAAAGATAATAAACGGTAACATATAACCACCTTTCTATATATTAATGAGCATGAATTCAAAAAAAAACACGTCTTAATAACACTGAATTTAAATTATCAATAATGTAGATTCATAATATTTACTCTAAAAGACCTTAACAAATCAAATTATATTAACAATTTATTGATTAAAATTAACAAAACTTCTTTCTTTATAATCTTATTCATTAAGTTTTAAGACTATAATCAGATTTCCATGAATAGAGGTTTCAGGTCCAACTTTGTAATCGCAACCTACTTACTAAAGCTTATAGGCCTAAGTTCATATTCAAAGCTAGACCAAGAAATACCTGAATGTATAATTTATTATACCCCACTCAATTAAGGTTAGATAAGTACCGATCAATATTCTCATTACTGATGGATTTCCCTCTAATTATACGGTGCTACGGAGGAATTTGCGGACCCTGGTTTCCAGGTTTCCAGCCCAGTGCGCATGCGGACTGTTGCCCGCAATAGAGAGCCAATCAACAACGATTGGAATGAACAGACTCAGAAGATCAAATATAGAGTAAAAGGAAACAGCAGAAACGAAAGAAGGGGAAACAGCGCCCCCGCGGTCCCAGTTCCACCCGCGGTAGTCATCGGCGCCTTACAAAGGGCCTCAACCCACATCATACACCGTCTGTGGCTTTTGAGGTTGTCAAAATAGCTTTCAAGTAGATTCGGCAAAGCTCTTTGCCACAGCTGCCCCTGTAGGGAGGATTAGTATTATGTACGATCTTGAACCCCATTGGACGCCTTGTCGTGCGATCGTCAAGGAACTTACCTCTTTAGGCGATAACGGACCATCCAGCCTAATTGGGGCCATGCGTGGATCGTTGGCGTGTGCAATACCTAAGTAAACGATGTCTCGTTAACCAAATTTCATTGAAATCTATGCCATCAAAAAGTTATTTAATGGTCCTTTGTCGCAGTCCAAGGGAATAGAGAACTTTCTATTATCAAACTATTCTATCATTTGGGAAACTTCATTTTCTACAAAGCTCTGCAAAGCGACTCAGTTTTTTATCATGGCAGCCAGTATTGAAGTAACTCTAGGGCAACTCAAAATAGCCTTTCTCGATAAAATGGTGACACCCGATATTGTGGCCGAATATGAAGCAGCGGTGGCGCGCCCATGGTCTCAGACGTGCTGGACTCCGGCCGCTGGCTACGTGTACCTCAATAGCGCAGAGGACCTCAGGAATGCGCTGGATATTGTTAAGAAGACAGGATCCAAGTTCACTATCCGGGCCACTGGCCACAATCCCAATATGGGACTGAGCAGTGCCGATCAAAAAACCATCGTGTTCGATATCCGTCATATTCAACATAAAGAGCTGGGCTCGGATGGGCTCGCTCGAGTCGGATCGGGTAGCACCTGGGGTGAGGTATATGCCTGGTTGGAGGAACATAAATTGTCAGCTATTGGAGGTCGAGACCAGCAAGTTGGACTAGGAGGCTTTCTCCTTGGAGGTATTTATGTTTTATGATTCCGAATACTACATCTGTAAGGCCTGACGGCTGATGTCAATTCAAGGTGGTATGGGGGCGTTACCAAACTTATATGGGCTCGGAACAGATGGCATCAAAAACTTTGAAGTGAGTCAATATGCTTTATGACGTACATATTGGTCTTTTTCACAATGCTTATAGGCTATTCCCTAGATTCTTTTGGCTGATGGACGACTGGTAAACGCGAATGCAAGAGATAATGCCGATCTATATCGCGCCCTGAAGGGCGGCGGTTCCAACTTTGGTATATAAAACACTGGAAAATGAAAATTCTATCTACATTTTCTGATTCTGTCTGAAAATTCAGGTATTGTGACACGATTCGATCTCGAAACACACCCTCTGATCAACGTCCAATACACGATCAAGCTCTACAACCCGGAGGACTATATTGGAATTAACAAGGCAACAATAGCTGTTCAGGAGGCTATGGAAACCGACCCTAAGATTGGCTTATTTACCAATTTTAACAATGGCTTTGTTGCCGTGGGCTTGCTTTACGCAGACACCCCCTCTGAGCCTCTTCCAGCTTTCGAGCCCTTTCATAGTCTAACAAGCCTGATCAATACCGTGATACCGAAAACTAATGGCACTCTCTTGTCACTAGCCCAGGCCATGGGTCATGCGCAAGAATCCAAGAAGTGCGTATGCTAAAGAGAATGCGGTATGCTCTCTTGCTGTTTCGTGTGGCCGCTAAAACGTATAACAGGCGAACCATCTCCACCGTAACAACCAAGGTCTCTCAGGAACTGTATGAAGGAGTTTATAAACTCTGGACTGATATTTGCAAAACTCTTTCTTCCGACTGTGTGTTACATTACACGATCCAACCAATTGGAAAGGCCGGCATACAGGCAGGAAAGGACCGTGGGGAGAATATTATGGGGCTGGAGAGCGTATCTCAGTGCTGTAAGCACATCCCGTGTTCTTGGATCTGTGATAATATTCGTAATATATAAATATCGAGTTTGGAGACATAAATGCTGACTAAATGGCATAGGGTGGGTGTTTACCATCGAGTGGCTTGGGGAAAACAACGACGCCGTTGCACAAAGAGCAGTTGATCTCATGGGCGAGGGGGTACGGTCTCTAGCCAAACGGAAAGGCCTTCTGCTTGAATTTATAAGCATGACCTTTGCCACAGCCTCTCAGAAAGTCTTAGGTAGCTATGGCGCCGATAACATCCGACTGATGGAAGATGTTGCGGCCAAGTATGACCCAGAGGGCATTTTCCAGAATTTGCAGCACAACGGTTTCTTCTTGTGCAATAACATCTAGGCTCCCTAGTTATTTTCATAGTCATGATGGCTCTTTGATTTACCTCTGTTCATGATATTGTTGGTTTTTCTTTACATTTACAGTGCTGAGTAGAGATCCATGGTCTATAGTGGCGTAGGATTTGGTAAATGGCTGACGAACCCCTCCTTCTCATAACTCTTTCATTGACCACTCATTGTACAAGATCTTGTAGAAAGCCGTCGACAGGTCCCGACTGTTCCATTGAAATTCCATCTGAAGCTATCTCAGAACCCCCTTTGGTATTTCCCTCCAACCTTCTCAGCCAACCGTTCAAGAGTGATGTCAAAGAATTGGAACATTTTTCTCCAATTGCCTGAGTCGTCCCAAAGAACGATTTTAAGTGCGCCTGCTCCTAGTATTCGGGTGAAAAAGGGCCTAGCAAGGTGACTAGCTCTCCTACATGGACCCGGTCATCAAAATTCCATTGAGATTTCTTTTACCCTTGATACGAAATCGGGAGTTAACTCCAGTATATCCAAGACTATATATTGAAACGCCAGGAGTTTCCAGCCAAGGACGATTTATTCGCTTTCACTCCCAATAATGGCGATACTCAAATGTCCACTTGATAATTCTTGTGAAATTTCAACATCAATCACTTCAGAGGCTCTAAAACGATTTGGCATAATATCATCATTATGCTCTTCGTCACCTGACCGATTCTCCCCACAATCAGTGAATCATAATCACGAATCAGCCCATTGTACAGAGTATAAAATTTTATTTGGTCAACTGTCAAATTGTGAATACTTACTTTCTATCCCAAAGGCCTGCGCCAGGTGACTATTTACATATCCCGAAAACATTTTCTACACGTTGGAATCATGCTGATCACCCTTCAGACACACTCGATCTCATCTTTTACAAGCCGTCAAAAGTACAACAAAGAAGTTTCACATGGAGATCATTGATATATTCGTCTCAACCACATCAGCATCAGCCCGGCGTCGAAAAAAGTCACCAATGACAAAAGAAAGCATCAAGAAAAGGGGTTAGCGATAAACACAGGGGAAGAATTAGAATCAGAAATGAGGGCTGTACATGAATCAAACAAAAACGAAAAGCCTCACATCACCCCCACATAGTAAGTAGTCTGTCCTGTTCCAAATGCACCGTACCAGCACAATCGAAAAGAAGCACAAAATCAGCAGCACGCCAGCGTTCCTTTAGTTTACCTCCCAAACAAGAGAGATAGAGAGTAGAATATTGACACGTGCTGAAAATGTAGTATCATGGTATGTCGTGTTGCAAATTAAGCATAAACACCATGCCTCATGCCTATGCCCAGGTCGTCCAATTTCCTTCCATCAATGTGTAATTATAAACAGAGCGTAGCCTGACTTTCCCAAGAGGCTTTCCATATATGGAGTCGGTCACAGAGACACAGACAAGAGTGAAAAAAATGTATAAAGAACAAGAGGTTGGGAATGGGCTTGTTTTCCCAGGGGCCGGTATTATTAATATTTTGGAGCTCCGCTGGATTACATCCCACGCAAAGAGAGGCATGTTTTTTAAGCCTTCTTGCTGCGAGTCCGCGGGCCGCGGGTCTCGGGCGCAGGCTCGCCGTTGACGAAGACTTCAGGTGTCTGGTTCTCCTTGGCAACGCCAGTGGCTAGTGTAGCTTTGGAGTCCACTTCATTCTGCAGCTCTTCTTCCGAATCTTCGTCATCGCTGCGCTCATCCTTGCGAACGCTGTTGAAGACGTAGTTGGCGAGGATGCGTAGGATAAGGAAGAGCCAGAACAGGTTGACCGCCTGGAGACTGGCCAGCAGACCGAAAGTGATGTACTGACTGATCCAGCATTTGTATTGTTGAGTCTCCCAGTTCAGCTCGAAAGGACCAACAGTGCGGAACTCGGTCAGGACGGCCCAGAGGATCTTCAGGTTCAGATAGTGGCGCAGGTAGATCCACATGCCAACGAACATCCCGAAGTACGGTGCGACAATGATAGAGTCGAGGTAATTCAGAGTCTTGGAGGTCTATATTCAAATCCGTTAGAATTCTTGAACTCGAAGGGGGCATGCCATCCATCATCTCATTTCATTGCATAAAACTTACGGCCAGGAAAAAGTCCGACACGTCATGGGTAATGTAGACGGCGATACCCATGTGGGTGAAGTGGAAGCGGTAACTGAGACCGATGAGAGCCAAGGTGATGATATGGTGGCCGACCAGCTCCTTGAAGTCCTTGCGGGGCTTTTCAAGCTGCAGCAGGAGCACAATGGCTTGCTGGGCCCAGTAACTCGCCTCGAGCAGATAATACGCCTTGAAGATGGCCACGTGCTCCCGGTGCGGGAAGCCCTCGAACATCGCAGTGGTGTTGAAGTACCAAATATCGGACTGCTTCATGACGTATAACCCAAAGGGTCCGAAGATGCCGAAGTAGATGGCAGTGTAGACCTGCTCCATGAAGCGGGCGGTCTTGCCGCGGCCGCGGATGCCGCACCAAACCGCCAGCGGACGGATCATCTGCTGCATGATGAACTCGCGCGTGAACGATAGAACGACCGTGTAGAAAGCCACGAAGGCGATGTCCTTTTCGCCCTTGCCATACATAATGGGTCCGCCGGGGGTCTTGGGGGGTTGCGGGTAGGAAAGGAAGATGGCGCTGTGCATGGGGTTGGACGGGCTTGGATTCACGGCATAGAGCGATAGCAAGAAGACGAGGATGAGTAGCGGCAGCAGCCAAGTGTACTTGAGACAGGTGTCGGCGAACCGGTGGAGGAGCGAGCGATTGCGGCGACGCTTCGAGTGTGTCTTGCCGGCGGATTTGTCGGCGATACGGGATTCGAATTGCTGTGTTCGCATGTCGTCAATACTTGCGCGGCCCTCCACGTTTTTGGGCCGGGCTCAATATTCAAAAATGCTGCTGGCCCGCGAGAAAGGATACGTACCTTGTTCAAATCCGGCGATGTGGGTTCAATGGGACTCACTTCGTTCATCGTGGACATCGCGGGCGCGCTGGTGTCGCCGCGGATGTCCACGCCGAGTTGTGACCGACCGCGCGGACGAACCATCGCGAGCAGTTTCGTTATGTGCCGATGAGGGGAGTCGGGAGGATTTTGAGGATGAGCTCTTCGAGTGGACAACGCACTGAGAGAGGTGTCGAGGGTCCACGACTTCAATGCGATCGGCACGGAGTTTCCCAGCGAAGGTCAAGTTGGCCTCTCACGTGCAATGCGGACCACGAGTGTGAGAACAGCAGCGCGGGATGCAGAACGGGGAGGGTCGGAGGGAAAGAGAGAGAGAGAGAGAGATAAACGAGAAGAACGAGAGTTCAGCAGTAGGAGACGATCCTCGAACTGGAAAAGAAAACGAAGAATCCGCCGGTGGAGCTTGGGTGGCTAGTTCCGTCCACTCTACGTTCAATGCTCTACGTTCAATGGCTCCTCCGAAGTTCGCGGTGGAATGGATTCCCGGTGGGTTCAATGGTGACCTTCGGTGGCTGCTGCTTCTGTCCAGATTGAGCGAGCCCTCTACCTGTTCCAGTTGCTATGATGCTGCCTTCTCGTCCTCTGTTCTACTCTGTTCCCCTTAAAAAAAAGCTCCACTCCACTCCGTCCTCGGCCAACGCGGGCGGATCGCCCTGGCACCGGGATTCCTTGGCATCGGTGGATGCACCATCACATCGATCGTGAATGGCCGGGCGGCTCCATCCGGGTTATTCTTCTCAATATGTATTCTGTTCTCTATTTCCAAACGGCCCGCCAGATTGCCAATGCGATTGCGGTGCTCCGTACGAGGTCAAAGCAAACTTAATCGGCAACTCGTTGGACGGTTCGGGGTACACAGCCAGGAGTCGGGCCCTGAAGACTGTCCCCAGCATCCAGCGATGGCCATTCCCAATTTTCCACCGAGTCCGACGTTATTGGAGGATCGGAAAAGAGACGAGGACGGGCAATTCTGCCACTACGTTATCTGAAGCAGTATACATTATGACTATTCCACAGGGCTTTTGGGCGGCTGACTATATAGAGTAGTCCCTGAGACGCGGTCAAATTCTGTGGATTGCCTTTTAGGTTTAGCTTTGCCGTCGTTGGATTGGCGCTTAAATACCTTGTTGCCGATTCTCTCTATCGCCATCTATGAACTGAGCACTCCTCCGTACTCCATAGCCTTCCGCGCTTGAGATAAAAGAGCCGATCTCGTCCATCCAACTTGACCCTTTTTTTTCTTCCCTTCAGTTGCCTTTTTCCCCTCTTATTTCTCCCATTCCCTTTGCCTGCTGTATCGTAAATGATTGGTCGTCCCGTTTGGAACACTCGCTGTACAAAGGTATTTCCCCCTACTAGTCGCGCCGTGCCCATGTGGGCTCAAACAATTGGTGTGCATATTGCTTTTGTGCTGGCCATTAGTGTTTGGCGGAATAAGGATCGTGGTCCATCTGATCAGACTGAGAGTTTGTCTCGGAAAAGAGACAAAACGTGGGGGCTTCTGAGCTCTAATCATGTATGACGTGGCTGACTGCCGCATTCTAGCTGCTAATAGATTTAAATTATATAGGAAGGCTTTTAGCGGCCGAACTTTTGGGGGATGTAAAGCTTGGGCTGTTTCCCCAATCGAAGAGCGTCAATTTATCTCCACGAGGCAGGGACTCAAGCATTGGCGAGTAGGTCATGTTCATTCGCCTCGATATCTTGCAGGTTCAAGATGGATTTGATGGAAGAGATTCCAGTGTAGTCACTCCAGAGACCCTAACATCCACTGATGCGTAAAACCTGTTTCGGTGACTCTTGGATCAACCCAATGCCTTGACGATTCCTGCCGCCTTTTGACTCACAGCTTAAAGACAGTTCGACTACATAAAAATCAACCACCTCAAGGCGTAAAGATCGTCGCCAACCCCTAGCGGTACGCTGAGAGTCTCTTTCAAGATTAACAGGATATGAAGACCACTAGTAATAGTCATGGGGAAATATTAGAAGAATAAGTATCATGCCCTATATTTTCAACCTTAAGTCTTTTTATACATGGAATCATCTAAGCATGCCAAATGCCCTGATCTCCTCTTAACTCAATAAATCAAATAAAGCATCATGAGAGGAGATAGGTTGCTCCTGAAATGACACTCTCAGCACCAGAACCCAGTCCTTGTGCTTAGGCAGTGTCCTCGGCGTGGGTAGCGACGGTCTTCGCGCCCGCCAGCTTCTCACCCAGAACTTCGACATCGCCACGCTCCGCCGCCATAGTGCGTTTGGTATCGTGGCGAGTCTTCCAGGCCGGGGTACCAATATACGGAATGCCGTGGGGATCCTCGAAGATCTGCTCGGTCTCCTCCAGAGTCTTGCCAGCAGTCTCGGGGAACATAAAGAAGACGTGAATCCACATGGCGGTGAGGAACACACCGAAGATGATGTAGGTCTGCCAGCGAATGTTGGCGAAGGCCACAGGGGTAAAGAGGCCGAGCGCGGTGTTGAAAGCCCAGTTACCAGAGGTCGCCAGCGAGACGGCCTTGCCACGAACACGGAGAGGGTATAGCTCGGGGGGATATACCCACGACACGGGACCCCATGTGGGAGCGTACGAGGCGACGAAAAGGTAGGTACAGGCAATCAAACCCTTGGCCGGGGCACCGGACAGACGCATCGACTCCTCAGCAACACCATCGATACCGCCGATAACAACCTCACCGTAGCTGGCCATAATACCGCCATTGGCATACATGAAGATCATCATCAAGGCAGCACCGATCAGCAAAGTAGGGCGACGACCCCAGCGGTCAACCCAGATCAAGGCTGGGACAGTCATGATCACATTGATAATATACTGAATGGAGGAAGCAAGCAGGTTGGAGTTGCCACTGTAGCCAGCCATGCTGAACACGTAGGTGATGTAGTACATCATGACGTTCATACCAGTCAGCTGAGACCAGATCTGGCACCACAGACCGATCATGGTACGGTTGATCATCTTGGGGGTGAACAGCTCAAGGTAGCTGACATCGGCGTTGCGACGCTCAAACTCGCACATCTCGCCAATCTCCTGCATCTCAGCCTGGACAAAGGGACTGTTGGGATCTCCCTTGCCATGGACCAGAGTCAGAACTTCCTTGGCCTCCTCCCAGCGGTCATGACGAGCCAGCCAGCGAGGAGACTCAGGTAGAATCATCATTCCGAAGAAGAGTAGGATCGCAGGAACCATCTGAACACCCCAGGGAATACGGAAGACCGCTTGGCTGTAGGTGGTGGCCGTGTCGCCACCGATATAGGAGCAGCCGAATGAGATACTATCAAAACAATCGATGATTAGTCGTCCGCACGGTATGTATATAGACATATAGAAAGAATGTCTGGGATGCAGTATCACATACTAGTACATGATCAGAATACCCCAGGTAATCGCCCACTGCTGAGAACCGACAAGACGCCCACGCTTGGAGGGCGGCGAGAGCTCGGAGATATAAACGGGGACCTGAGCAGATTCAATACCGACCGACAATCCGTTGATGACACGTCCAGCAATGAGCATGCCCATGTTTTGCGAGGCACAAATGATGGCGGAGCCGATAACCCTGCACAGGGAACCGAATGTTAGTCACTGTTCGACTCGTAAAACAAGAAAAAAAGTATAGGCCGCTCGAGCCTGAAGCTGTTACGGCCATATGGATTGAGTACATACCAAATACAGCATCCAACCATGATTGCGTATTTGCGACCAAGGCGATCCGAGATAAAACCAGAAATCAAAGCACCAAGCCACGAACCAGCGGGCATGGCAGCCGTCACACCACCCTGGGCCAACGAGCTGAGACCCGAGCATTTTTCATCATCTGTGAAGGGAGGGCCCAAGGGGCCATGGTTGAAGTAGCACTTGTAGGCAGTAGTGCCGAGAATCGCAGACATCGACGAGATATCGAAACCGAAGAGTCCGCCTCCAATGACGGAGACGGCCGCGATCACATAGATGTTCCCTACGACGAACATGATGACGGTAGGGAAGACCTATCTATCACAGAGACACGATGACACAGGGATAGACAAGACACCCGGGATGGGAAAGATGGGGAAGAAAAAGAAAAGAGAGAAAAAAAATCCCACGTCCTACAAGCCTCGAGGCTGGCGCCGGAAAAGGGGAGTCTTTAAATAATAAATTGGCGATCTACATCGATAGGTGAAATTTTCAAGGAAAACAGCCAACAACTAGCAGCCTTGACATTCTCTGCCCTCCATAGACAGGCTCTCCCCGTGGGTGGATGCCGAATGCCGGGGCCGAAACCATTGCGAGACAGGAATCCACTCGGAAACCACAGACAGGGTAATGTTGGGAAAAAAAAAAAAAGAGATAATCTATTTTTTTTTCTGGTAAAGCTCATTTCGGGTAATCTCGAGGAAGAAAGTATTATTAGCTTCCAGCGAAACGATCGAGTGACAAACGTATAGAAAGCGAGTGCAACGTTCCCAGGCGCCGCCAAGACCCTGTTCGCGACCCCAGGGGGAAGTAAAGAAGCTTATTGGTGGACAAATCCTAGAAAGGGTCCACCTAGTATTTTCTGATTGGTGCAATGTGGCCGATCGCTGAAAGGATCCGGGGAATCGGCCACGCGAGCAACTGGTCTAGATCGAATCCAGCATGGCGCCGTACGGAATTCGCCAGTGGGCGTCGATGCCGCATTCGGTCGGCTTGTCTCCTGGTCGGCATCACCAGGATGCCGTGTTCGGCAGCAGGAGTGTACTAACACATCAACATAAGACGGGCCGCTTATATAGATAGCGCCGGTATTCAAATCCGAGGAAGTTTGGAATTCTAGACGATCATCGCGAGTAGAGAATGAGATACCGTATGGAAAAGACAGAAACCGGGGAACTCCCCGCCCATCATGCCATCTACAGCCAACCTTGTCGGCTCATCGCGAATGTAACCCGACTCGGCATCGAACAAGCAGCAAACCAACGGGTCGGCACCAAGTCGAACTCCTGCCAGCGCTTTAAGGGCATGGGCGTATCGCCGCCCGAGATTTTTCGCTCTGGCTGTAATTTATTTTTTTGGGTGGTGCCCACAATATACAATTAACCGGCAGTGAGCCCACTTGGTCTCACGCACGAAAAATCTCTACTGGGTCTGGAGACCAATCCGGGGCCCCAACTACGGGCATTTACCCAGAACGGGACGACCTGGCACGGCTTCACTCGGTCCTGAAGAGTCCTCACTGGCCGGTGCTCGCCGAGGTGGAGTCTCGGGAACGGCCTTTGGGGCTTGTTGGCCTGCTGGACGGCCTTTGCTTTCACGTTGGTCACTCATGACGGGCCCGAATCGTACCGTGTGGCTCCCTGGCAGGACCATAGATTCTCCTTGTTATAGTTGTTTTTACTCCTAACTCTCAGCTCGCAGGTTGGTACCTGTTCATTGATGGATGTGGCGTAAACGAGAAAGCCATCCCGTCCGGGAAGACCCTGACGACCCTGGCCCGATTACTCACTTGGCTTTCCATGGAACCGGCCAGTTACCACACAGTCTGGCCTACTTCCAAAGCCTGGTGGTCTCCGCAGGCTGAAGCTGTCTCGTAGCTGAATGTTTCTGCGCGCTTTTCATAAGCGATGTGGGTCCGTCTTCCATCTGAGCGTGTCGTTTGTCTCGGAAGGGCGAGAAAACAGGGATCGCAGAGGGAAAGGTGCAGATGGCTAGTTCAGGGTTTGGACGCTCCTTCTCCTCATTTTCTCCTCATGTTGTTCCCCGGGTCTCCCCGCCTCCAGTCAAGATAGCATCTGCGGAGCAGTCGGGGTCACCGTGGCCGCATTCGTACACCGGGAAGCCGTTCCCCAGACCGAAAGCTCGGCCTCTCCACAATCCACATGGAACAACGAGAAGCGGGGAGTTGTCCCTGGGTATGGAAATTGAAGGAGTGTTCCTATACCGCTTCCAACAATCCTCTCTTTTTCCTCCCGGAACTCATCGGGCCAGGGCGAAAGCCCTTAGGACAATCCGGTAAACTTTGACGCCAATGGCCAGCACGGACCCTAACCTGCCCATTAACTCCGGGAATAGCACGCCACTATGGCGTCCGGACCCCTGTAACTGCGCACTCGGCCTGATGTAATGGCTGCTGTCTAGGCGCAGACAAGCCTTCTTCTGCGGTTGAGGCTTTTTTGGAGTCCAGCGGGTCCGAGTCTTAGGACATCGCAACATGACGCTGTGGCCGGCACGCCATTGCGCTAGCGCGTCAATTGTACGCCTCCGCGTCATCCAAGTGCACGGTGGCCGAAAGAAGCCCCCACCGGAAATTGAATGGTTTCACATTCAGGAACTCAGGGTCGAACCGTTCTTGACTTTATGGTAGGAAAAAAAGTCGTCCTGTTGCCGGATGGCCGAACCCGCAATGCCGGACTCTCGGGCCAGACACTATTGACAAATTCGGGGAAAGAAAAAGGATTGAACTCTCCACATCCAAGAAATATTACTGATTCAAATCGGTTGCATATCTTGAACAAGCTGAGTATCCTGATTAATTTCAGTGCATGAGCAGGTCATTGGTCTCTTTTATTCTTACCTCTTCTCGGGTTGGTCCAGCCAGTTTGGCATGCTCATTCCAATTTCTCGATAAACCTCTGACTGCCAGAGAATCTTATTCTTTGGGTCTCCTGATAGGCATATTTCTAATCCGAATTTCAGCCATCAACTTAGGATTTGGGAAACGATGTTGAAGAGTCTAGACCACACCGAGACCATAAATCATCTGTAGCCTAAACTCCAACATTGTATGAATTTTCGAGTTAGGACTTATTTGAATATGTGTTGATGAAAAGCAACACACTGGCAACAATCAAATGACTAGGCTTCAAAATTTTAACTCTTGTAAGGATACTATTTTGTAGGGATAATGGCCAATTGAGTATGCAAGGAAATACAGGTACAGATAACGAAGCAGGATCTTTATTGAATTGGGAAGGGATTCGATTCAGAGACAGGGGTTTTCCTATTGTCTGATATCTGATGATTGTTCACATTAGCAGGGGCAGATGATGAATAATGATGGGATAGGGACACTGAGCGAACTCGTATGCTTCACAGGATATATTGTTTTTCCGTTATCTAAATTCAAGCGACTCTTCTTCTAGGGGGTTTCCAGACGCTAGAAGAGGAGCAGGGAAACTTAATGATGGCTCATGAATAAGCTGAGGCCAGCAGGATATACTATGACTATGGTGACACAGTATAGTATTATATGGTCATATACTATAGAATGCAAAGCATATTCTACCATGATGACACGGGTTTCTGAACCACGGAATTAACATTGCCTACCTTAGTACAAGCATCATTTCAAAGTCTCTGGTCTTTAGGAACAAGTCTATTATGTTTGGTGCAACAATATGTGACACCATTCACGTGTGTTACCTTTTTTTGGGCACACTTCAAGATCAGACCGGCTCGGCGAGTACTACAGTCAGGCTTTAGAATATTAGTTTCAGAATCTGCTATAGAGTCCAAAATTCGACCAGTATCGGTACGACGTATGTTCGTAAGAACATTACTCGGTACCAGCGTGGTATCCCAACATTACATGGATATTCAGCTTATGAACACGAACATTTGAGAGCCGTTGGCAAATATCTATATCGATATGCGGTCCTGTACTGCTACTGTGGGTACAATGTGGAATATTTCACTAATCCTGCGTGATCTGACATTCACTACGGGTTGTCTACTTTTTTCGGCATGCCGCCAGCGGCAATGGAAACCGAAACGATGCTAGCAATGAAGACATAACGTTTCTCTGCGGTGTTCAGCCCAGTAACGAGTAAAGTATTGGTTCAATTTGAGACCATTTTCCCTGGTTACTACAGTGAACGGGCTACTGATATTCATTATCAGTTATTAGAATCTTCTAGTGATGATTAATAGCTAACTCCTATTTAGTATGGAACGAGGGCCAAGCCTAAAAGAAGCTTTGCTGGCCTGAACCTAATCTACGACACTCGATCTTCTTATGTTGATCAGTTTTTTTGTGACCAGGATCTTATTACCGAAGTCGGCAAAAACATCCCAAACTTTTCAGATACTCAAAACCTCGCCCTCAACAAGAAGAAAGATGGCATAATGGATACCGAGATTGACACTGCTGACCCCTTCAGGGATATTTTTACCTTGAAGAAAGCGCTTCTAATGGCATTTTTGCGTGGATTCAAAGGATAAGCTTGAGACCAGCCTGCTCCGTGCACTCTCTTACATTATCTTACTACAGGTGTAAAGAACAATGTGTACACCATTCAGATTCATCTCGTTTTTTACCCAAATTATTCCGTTAAGCTATTTTCTAACCAATATACTTAATCAGATTAAGATGACTTACCTTCCATCAAGAAAATTTTATTTCAAAATCCGGCTATTCTGTGGTTAGCATTCTTTCGATGATATGAAAAACCTGTGTCAGTTGTAATCAATTAGTGTGAGGGTTTTCGCTTGACTTTGTTGTCGCTAGTCACCGAGCCCATTTGGGTCAATTAATATACAAGCTACCAAAATGAGAACCATCCACTAAGCAGGAGAATCATTAATTCTTGGTTCATTGATTAAGTGTCTCGGGAGGCTGGAAAGTTCTATGTACGTAGGATATCCAATGAGTATGATTGAATTGAAAAGAACGGGAACTTGAAGTACTATGGAACCAGATATATATCTTATGTAATGAATATGCCATGCATTCGCAAACAGGGAATCATGTATGAAACATGGCTAGGTATCGATAACGCCAGGGAACCCATGAAAAAGAGCATATAAAGAGCAAGAACACAAAGGACGACATGTAGCTGTCACTACCGTACCAACTCCCACTCGGCAACATAAGCCCAAGCCATACCGACCCGCCCTACTTGGGACTGGTACTCCTGGACAGTGACTCCTCGACAATCCTTCCGGTCGCCCAAACTGGTCAGAACAGCCAGAGAGAGCTTCTGACCCGGGGCACCTAGCATACGCGCCTCCGGCACATCAACATACCACAACTCGCCGCCGCCACTGGGGCCTGAGCCAGGCACGTGCGTGAATGGGAGACGATCATCTTTGCGGCCGTCTACTCCGTGTATCATCAATAAGAACAGGCCCGGCTTCTGGCGGCTGTGCTGCGCGAGCGTCCAGTGTTCACATAGCAACCCGAATTGAAAGCGGATCGGGCCAGGGGTATTATATAAAGAGATACGGCCACTGGCTGGGGAGACAGTTTTGCGGCCAATGCTATGCTTATCGGCATCGCCGAAGAATTTGATTGGGGGCAGGCCCGAGGGCATGTCCGGGTTAGTCGTGATATATTCTTCCCAGGATATCTGGCGGCCGTCATCGCGGAAGAAATGGTCTTTATTGCCCGGAAAGTGTTTGAGGCCGAATTCATCGTTCGAGATAGTGAACATGTGCGGTTCAAAGCGTTGGATGTATGGCTGGCCATGACCGTTAACGGCACCGGCACCCCAGCATGGGTCGATTAACTTCCATCTTCCGCCGTCTATTTTCACTGCGTTCCAGGCATGGCCGGCATTATAGGGTGGGACCGAGGCACCGGGGGCCAGAGGCTCGTATCCGAATCCTTTGCCATGACCTGATATTACGATCGCTTCTAGTCCGGCCTTAGTGGCCAATGCGACAAAGAGAGCCGCGTATCCCTCACACACTGCTAGTCCAGTTGCAAGCGTACTAGCCGGCGTTGAGGGCTTGACGCAGTTATTGAAAAACGAGTACACGTCATATTGAACATTGTGATGTAGCCAGGTGAAAATGACTCGTGCCTTGTCGGTCAATGATGGGAAAGGCGCAGTCAACTCGTTCGCTAGCCATCCCAGATCTTGACTTGGAAGCGTGGCACGTGGATACTGAGCGGCGCGAGTATCTGGGCCCGAAAAGTCTCGACACACCAAACACTCGGTGGTAGAGGGCTGCTCAGAAGGACTGGCAGAGGGAACAGATGCGTGAAACCGGGGCTTTGTTGCATTTAATCTAGAAAGATCCGGGCGTGATCCGTGCGGAATAGGCGGGGGTCCGCCGTTCTGGGTCGGTGTGCTACTGGGTCGCGCAGGAATACTTGGGCTCTTGTTCGATATGCCGAACCCAGACTGTCGGGCATCATTAATAGCGGAGTCAGTCGAAGGAGGAGGCAACCGGCGAATGGGGAGGCTAGGTCTGAAGTCCTCATCTGTTCCATTTGCCTCATTCGTATGAGCCTCCACTCCCCCAGATGGCCGGCGGGGTGGTAGTTGGGGGGTGGAGAGAGACGTGTCCGACCGACCAGATGTACGGGTAGGCAAGCTAGGGCGAGATGGTGTAGAAGAAGAGGATGTAGACGAAGAGGATGGCGCTTTCCCACGCAGAGTATTGATCTTGGAAGTCAAGCCACTCATGCGTGATTTGGATTCTGGCCGTGGAGGCTCAATTTCTGTAAGGTCTTCCTTTGGACGCCGGGGAGGCAGTTTAGGTAGATCAGCATCGCCCCAAGCTGGCGCTTTGATCCGGCTGTTACCATTCGAGTTGAGAGATGTAGTTGAAGCCCCGCGCCCTACACTCGTAGCGGCGGTCGATTGCGACGCGTCGGACAGGGTCGATTCCTGCGAAGGCCGCCGTAATGGCTCTGTAGGTCTTCGAGGCGGCAATGCAGGCCGTGCTTCCGGACGAGTGGGAGGTTCTGGACGAGACGGAAGCTCTGGACGCGCTGGAGGGGGAGGGGGGTCGGGCGATCTGATCGGCGTGTAGGTAAGGGCGGAGGGGGCTTTTTAGCTTTCAAATCAGGCTTTGGAGACAGTGTCGGTGGAGGTCGCGGGGTTAGACTTTGGATCTGATCATCTGTAGGCTCATTGCTTATTGCTGCGCTGTCCAGAACAGACCCAGTGACGTTGTATGAGGGCGGGTTGTTGGCGGACTTGCTTCGCTCGGTCACAGGGCGGAATGGCGACGGGTCTGTGCCGGACTGCGCTGCCTGGGCTTGCTTTAGAGCAGCAATACGCTGCTGGATGGAACCGAGCTGTGGTTCTTCCGCCATGATGTTTGTCGTCGTCGTCGAGGGGAAGATGTCCACGGCCGCCAAAATGCTGACGAGAATTTAAAAGACAGACAAGGCCTGTAGACGCTGTTTCATTCCCCAGTGCTGCTTAAGTGGCTTGGCGGGGGCCGAAGCGCAGCTCCGTGGGATTTGAAATCACCAGAGTCGCAACAATGCAGGGTATGAGAGAAACTGCAGCCAAAAAGCCAAAGCAGGACACGGTTGACCGGTGGATGAAGTCCAAATTGCAGTGGACGCGGCTCAAGTTGAGGGGCCGACTCGGGTTGGGGGCGATTCCGCCTCGCGGGGGACCATGGGTCAGCACCGTCAGGATCGGGGTTCAGCAGGTACCAGGGACCGTGACCCCGAGTCAACAAACATCATTCGATATAGTTGATCAGATCCAGATGTCGTGTGATTAATCTATTTCGATTCTACATGATATGTGGGAGAAAGAATGTAAATTGTGAAGCTTTATTTCCAGCATGTCGCCCTCCACCGTTCAGACTCCCAAACGCCTTGAGGCGGCTAGAGGAGCCCCCGTCTAGGGAAAGACAAGAACATAAGAGAGAAAGAGAAACCTAGGTACGTGCGGATGAATGGATGTGAAGCATCCCACAGTAGAACAAGAGAGAACAATGCACATAAAGAAGTGAGAGGCCGAGTCGCAAGGACGAAGCATTCCAGAACATTGGGTTGCTATAAAGAGCTCACCCAGTCGCATCTAGAAGCTTAGAACGCGATAATTGACCCTAAAATAAAAGGGGAATACATCACGGGGAGAAAGGAAAAAAAAGAAATCACCACAAAGATAGGGTGGCCGCGAGGACCAGGAGTCAGGATCGATCGATCGTCAACAGCATCACATCATCCCAATGTACATAATCGTCAAGGCGGGCCAAGGAAAAATATCTTCGAGCGACCACCCTAAACATTCTTGTACAGCAAAAGAGGCTCGCCCACATTCTCAATTTCGGGAATGGTGCACTTCAAGTCAAATGCCTTGGCCAAAACGATTTTAAAGATCTAAGAAAGGTGAGTAAGCAAAATAAGAACGTGTGACAGAACAGACACGACAAACCTTCTGAACATTAATGCTATGGCTGGTGCTGCTGAAGATTAGACTGGCCTTCATCGCCTTGGCAAATCGCTTCGCCTGTTAAGGAAGTCAGCATGCCGTAGGATGTTGAAGGGAGGCAGGCAGATGGAGAAAAGAAGTACCTGGAGAGAAATTTCCTCTTGGTCCTCACGAGGAAAGTTCACGAAGTGATCGTATTTGGTGCCAACCAAGAAAGGAATGGCGGTTTTGTTAAACCCCCGACCTTGGCGATACCATTCCTTAATGGAGTTCAAAGTGCTCTTACGGGTAAGGTCGAACATGAATAAGATGGCAACCGCGTCATTGCAGACCAATGGTAGCATGTTGACAAATTCACGTTGGCCGCCAAGATCCCAGATGGAGAAAGTGATCTCGGTGTTGCGGATGGAAATAGTTTTCTCCATAAAGTTCACACCTACAGTTGGCATTCGGTCTGATTAGAGCGAGACCTTGACCAGATTCTGGGGAACTTGCTGGAAGCCACCTACCTAGGGTCTGGATATAGTCCTCATCCCAGCTTCCCTCTACGTATTTGACCATCAGGCTAGTCTTGCCGATTTGGGCATCTCCTACCATGCCAACTTTGATGACAACGCTGTTCTTGGACGCCTGTGCAGGCTGTCGCTGAGCGGCGTCCGTCGGCGGTTGGGGCAGTTGAGATGGGGCATGTCGCTCTGGTCCACTAGAGAATCCAGAGCCAGGGCGGGAGGCCGGTGGCAGTTGAGGTTGCTGGTGATTAATGGAGGGAGAGGAATTGAGACGAGTCGCGGCGTCGGCATCGGGAGGAGCGTATTCGGGAGCAGAGTGGTGGAAGTCGGTCGAGCGAGAGTGGTAGTGCGCCTTGGAATCGCTGTTGTAGCCGTTATCGAGGCCAACGCGACCCGTGTGAGGCTCAGCAGGTAGTGGCTGCTCTATGTTGACACTGACAGGAGCCAGCGCCGGCTGTTCCAGAGGGCCAGGTTCAGATGGGACGACTTCCTGAGCAGGCGGCGCTTCCGACGCCTGGAGCTCTTCTGCCGGGAGTTGCTGCGGCTCTGCAACAGCAGGGACCTCGGAGACAGGCTGCTGTAGCGGATCCATGGTTGACTGCAAAGGGTTGGTCGTTTAGAGGAGAGAAATTTCGACGGGCAACCTGTTCGATGCGTATCACGGTTAGTGCCCTGCGGGGAAAGGAGACCCTTGCGTGATATGTCACCAACCAGTTCCCGGGGGCTTTTCGAGTGGCAATGATGTCCAATCAATGGCTATCTAGGGTGATAATTCTCCTAGAACACTCGACGAAGCCAGAGATTTGACGCAGAGCTCCTCACTCGATGGTGATTCCGAGCAAAAGGATCGGGGTTCGGTGTAAACAGTGGTCAGGCGAGAGTCGGAGGAAATTGCACCCGGGGAGCAGTAAGGAGAAAAGAGAGGCAGACGTCAGCAGAGCAAACGAGGGCAGTCAAACGCAGGAAGAACGATTGAGAGCATTCGCGCCCGTCCAGTCTCGACCAGGCCAGTCTGGTTGTTCAGCTGGTGTTGACCAACTGCGGGAACTGCGGGATCTGCGCTAGTCCACGATTGGCTTAGTGCGTTGCCCGCGCTGGCGCCCAAAATTTCCTGAAAAAGTTCTTATCGGCCCTTCCCCTCCATTCCTACGTTCACCATCCGCCGGCGTGTACGCTGTCATTATGTCTAAGAGATCTGCGGATGCGACCGACGAGCAGTCGGCGGCGCTCAAGGCCGGCGAGCGCCCAATGGTCGATGCCCCCGCGGACGAAGTGGGGGAGTTCGAGGACGAGTTCGAGGATGAGTTCGAGAGCGAGGACGAGATCTTGGAGGCCGGTGTCGACGGTCGTCCCGATGCAGAGCGTGAGGAGGAAGAGCGAGGTAGGTTTACGACCTGTGGAATTTCTCCGCCGTATCATGAAAACATGTGTCTAATTTCAATTTGCCTTGGGGAAATGTACAGAAGCTATGGAGGTCGACAAGCAGACTTTTATTCCTGGCCGGACAAAATTGGCACCCGGCGAGACATTGTCCCCCGATCCCTCAACCTACGACATGCTGCACACCCTCAGCACGCCCTGGCCGTGCCTGTCTTTCGATATCGTGCGCGATACTCTGGGTGACAACCGCAAGACGTTCCCCGCGACTGTCTATGCTGTTGCCGGTACCCAGGCAGAGGGCTCCCGAGCCAAGGACAACGAGCTGATGGTGCTCAAGATGAGTGGTCTCAGCAAGATGGAGCGGGAAGGCGAGGACTCCGACGAAGAGTCAGATTCCGACGACGACATGGGCGAGCCAATTCTCGAACACAAGTCTATCCCCTTGGGCTCGACAACCAACCGCATTCGCTGCCACCAAACGCCCTCTCAATCGGCGGACTACTCGAAACCCCCTCAGACACTCACTGCGACTATGCTTGAGAATTCCCAGGTTCTCATCCACGATGTTACTGCCCACCTTTCCAGCTTCGATGTACCTGGCACCATCCTCCCTCCTTCCGCCTCAAAGCCTCTTTCTACTCTCCGCATGCACAAATCCGAAGGTTACGCCCTGGATTGGTCTCCTCTTCAACCCCTCGGCAAACTCCTGACTGGTGACAACGATGGTCTGATCTATGTGACCACTCGCACCGAGGGCGGTGGCTGGGTGACCGACACTCGACCGTTCACTGGCCACCAGTCGTCCGTGGAAGAGCTGCAGTGGTCTCCGAATGAGAAGAACGTGTTCGCATCCGCGAGCAGTGACGGTAGTGTGAAGGTTTGGGATGTGCGATCCAAGTCCCGCAAGCCTGCCGTGGACGTGCAGATCTCCAAGACCGATGTCAATGTCATGAGCTGGTCCAACCAGACCTTCCACCTACTGGCCACTGGCGCTGATGATGGACAGTGGGCCGTTTGGGACTTGCGCCATTGGAAGCCCAACGCGGCGGGCCGGATCACTGCCTCCCCTGTCGCCTCGTTTGACTTCCACAAGGAGCCCGTCACAAGCATTGAATGGCACCCAACTGACGACAGCGTGGTCGCTGTGGGATCGGCTGATAACACTGTCACTCTATGGGATCTCGCTGTCGAGCTGGATGATGAGGAGAGCCGACAGGCGGGCATTGCGGACATCCCGCCGCAGCTGCTCTTCGTTCACTACATGGAATCTGTCAAGGAGGTGCATTGGCAAGCTCAGATGCCGGGCACTCTGATGGCGACCGGCGGCAATGGCTTCAGGTATGTACATGACACGAGTTTTTGGGACTCTTTGGAATGCTCGTACAAGACTTCGTACTAATCTCTTTTCTTCACTCTACTTTATAGTGTCTTCAAAACTATCAGTGTCTAGTGCAGCTAGACTAAGCACACTTCCAAGCACCCCCTAAAACCAAACACCAAACCACCAAATCTCAGACGAAAAAAGTCTTAAAAAAGTATTTATGCGTGATGTCCTGCCCATATACCATTCGAGTACAGTGGAGTCCTACTCGTCTACATTGGTTCTGGAGTTGAAGCCTGTCCTGTCCCCCCGATGATCCCTGGTGGCAGGGCCCTGAACAAAATAGTTTCCTCTACACCTGTGTCGGTGTTTCTTTTTTGTCTCTTCCATTTACCGGCGCCGAGTAGATAGACGAGATAGACATGCATTTTGCCCACGAGAAATTTTATTTCATTACATTGAATTTACATTGATCTATCCAATCTCAATTCCTCCAATCGTATGCTAACATCGAAGTGTCTCCCGACACTCGGCTCTCTACAGGGAGAAGAAATCTGGCTCCCAATGCCAATATCGCGGAACGTAAGGGGAGTTAATTCCGCCCAACGCACTCAGCCGAGGCGCAGCGACTTTGTCATGAAGAGAGAGAGGGGCAGCTGCAAATGCACATCATGTTTCTGCTGCTAGTGCGGATAGGTCGGGGGTCCTAGCTGTCGAGAAGGAAGGGCCAACGGGGCATAGATGGCACCCTGACTGGACGGATGACGATGGGCTGGAGAGGACCTTACGTCGATGTGCATACAAGCCCAGCGGGCGTGGGAATGTGCATGGTAAGCATACTGAAATCTAGTACGACGATGGCGCGGCACAAGGTACTCCGGGCAATGTACCGATTTTGAATTTCTGGCCGTGGACCATCATACGCCCACGCGCTGCGCTATGTACGGCGATAGGACTAGAAGGTATGGGTATAGTTGTTCGTGATACGGAGCGCCTTCGTGGCGTCTACTATAGATAGCAAGATTGCCACGGCCCCACAGATATTGACCCTCCAAGTACATGGAGAGTATGTGTGAAAAAGTGAAATAATCAGACAATACAGAATAGTCCGATGTACGAGCAAGAGATGCTGGGGGCGCTGCTGCAGCCAAGAGGGCACGAAAAGAAGGTCGTGACGCTTGTCCCGAGTAGGTTTACCGCGGAGCACCTGACTTCGGGACGGAGGTACCTACAGTAGGCTGTACAGTAGCTGGTCCTCTTCCAGGCTCTGGATTCCTGTACCAGATCACCAATGCGTTCTGTAGGATGTGCCCATCCTGCTTGTCTCGGGCCCGTGCTGGGCCCGACTCGGGTGCGACCGTGCATCTTGGCCTTAGTCGATTTGAGCATCCTGCACGGCCGTCGAGCTTTGCGGTGGATACGGCTGCATAGACTTTGCGACGGGCTGGACGATCGGGGTCAAGGTACCTCGCTCGCTCCTTTTCAGCTTGGGCTTGGCAAAGCAATCTGTGGTGAGGCGAATGAGGTGCGTGGATGTTGTCCTAGTCACTGTGACTTGCTTGGTGCATCTAATGCTTTTTTTCATTTCGACGTTGTCTTTCGATTTAGATGTTTGTGTGACGGTGCGTCGAATAAGGGCCGTGGCAATGTGGAATTCATGTATGTTTTATGCAGGAGTACGAGTATCCACTTTGGCCTCGAGTTACGATAACGAAGTGAAGAGGGATTTGTCAGTGGAGGCGTTTAAGAGTTTCGTCGGAGTGGATGGCGAGCACGGTGGAGGTGGAGTTGTGCCCGCGATGTATGACATGCATGGAATTCGGGGTCCTTCGTTAAGTATAGTGGAATACAGTGCACTGATCAAATGGATCTTGCAACGCGGCGACCGTCAGAAACAAGACCCTATACAGCGCCATGTCTTGTCCGGGGGTATTGCAAGTCGGACAAATTCTCGGTTAGACGTGTGTTGCCAATCCCCGGAACAATTCCAGATCGTGTACGTTAGCGTTCAGACCTGCCAGGGAGAGCTGGAAGTAAGCAGTTTAGATAACCAGAGATCAGAGATCAGGAGGATAGACAATGCAAGGTACGTTCAGACGACGAAGCGGTATGGTTTTTTTCTTTCTATATTTACACCATGAGGTATCTTCTGTTGACTCCTTGGACTTGAACTGGGATTGGAGAAAAATAAAAATAATAATGATAATTATAACAAACAAACAACCCGACCGATCCTTATTATTCGGCCGTTGTAGTTGTAGTTTCGCCGTTGTCGCAACGGTGCTCAGTCTCTGACTCGTCCTGGTGGTACAAGGTGGACGCTCTGCAACGAGAGCCAATACCCATATCCGGGAAAAAGGCTACATGCCTTCTCCTATGCGCAATCGTGGCGGGACTGGTTGATTACCGCTAATGCACGTCGCAGAAATGGGTCAATCACATCAGATCTAGCCGCTCTCGCCGTCGCCTGCACGTTCCGTGATCCTGCACTACGAAGAAAGTACAATTCGCGGTGCGGCAGGCTAAACCCCTTTCTAGCGGTCGGTATTTCTCCGGTGAATCTCGCCGATGATAGCTGTACACCAATACCCTCGCGTTGCAGGAGTACTTCTATTACTACTAGCTCTACTGTCAGATTACCCAGCCTCGAGGCGCGGAGCTGTTCAATAATCAGTAATCCATCCGGTTGAGACAGCTGAAAGGTATTTTCCACGCAAACCTGACCAATAACGTGAAAACTCAGAATAAAAAAGGACCAAGTACTGGGCCTTATAAATACATCGTGCTTATATAGCTATCCACTTTGGTCTTCAGAGACTGATAGCACTACTTTAATGCGTGCTCTTATCGGAAGATGTCGCGATAACCCGCTGTATCGGCTCCATTGGGACACCGAGTACTCCGTACTCTGTAAAAGGTACTACGTAAAGTATACCCGTAATCAATGCCGAGATATCCATTTGTTACCATGTAATGACGTTTACCATGTAACAATACAGACGTACAACCTAAACACAGATCAAACTGCAAAGCAAGTACTATAAGTCTCATCCTAAATATAAGTTCTTCACTGATTTGATACGGTAGCTTCCTGCTACTGTAGACTTCTCAGCGGACCTTCGGGAGCGTAGATCCACTCCAACCCACCCAGCAGTGTTGCGCTCGCCACCACTTCGGGGACGATCATGGCTTGGAAGAGGGAAAGCCCTCGTTTCTCCCAGGGCCCGAACAGCGGACGCTCTCAATTGGTCCGTTTTTTTGACTCTTGCACCCTCGATGGTCCGAGCCTGCGACGTGCGTTTGGGATCGTCGTCGCAGGTGCTCTCCGAGTCGGGTGCTCGGGTGCTCGGGTGCTCGCATTCAGGCTAGAACTCTGCTGCACTGCATGTCGCAGTGCATTACATAGAGTCTCTCCGACGCTACCCTTCTCGAGTGCGAGAGTCATTGTACCTGCCATAGGGGGTGACATACATGCGACAATCATCTGTCACGGAAGGCGATGATCAGCTACGAAATTTGCCGCCCGGCTTTTGTTCTAGCCGGCGATCGTGTTAGTATGTGCCACATCGCATCGGATAACCATCTTACCCGCACAAGGAAATTCCGCGTTCGGTGGCCATTCACGTTAAGGCCAATGGTACTCTGGATCAGAGAATCGGCTCCGTTTTCCCCTTTTCTTTGCGGGTAGCATGGCTGGGCTTATCCGTAAGAGCTCCACTCGAACGTGGCTGGACAAATTCGAATCGACATGATTCGTGCCTGCAGCGCGCGCGTTTCAAATTGACTATATTCGACTTGGGTGATCGCAACATTAGGTCTCCAGATCTCGGTTCAGAGACAGTGCATGGTGTTGTCAAGCGAGATGGCCGATACACCATCTCGGCCCAGGGTGGCGTGGAGAGACTAGAACTAGATGAATGGGAACAGGGGGTGATGACGGGTGCAAAATCGCCAGCTGGATTGATAATCGGATCCCATATCATGCTGAACGACCAGCAGCAGGGCTCCATTCCTGTCTGACACGATCCAGTGGCCGCCTTCAGAACCCACTCTTCCCTGGCATCAATCCACCTTCAGCGGGCGAAGGTCCGCTCAGCTTCCGAAAGGCTGTCAAAAGTGGATCGCAAAGCGATGACGCAGTTGAGACTGGCGAATCCTAGAGCCTCAAGACCAATGGTGCATCAATGCAGCTCCTGTACATGTTCTGTGGTACAGAAATCCCGGCCGACAAAGGATGAGAGCTCGGATTGCCTTCCTTGAGCCATTGAAATACGTACGGGCTGCATTATCGGCAGGTAGGGAATGAACTGTCTGCAGTGAAATAATCGAGTCCTTTTTTTACTGGCCTGCAAGATTAGTCGATGCCGGGCCGGGCCAATAGATTGCCTGCCCTACGCCTTGTGGGTGCTTTCTTCAACACAGCCCACGCTCCGGGGCATCTAGAATGTCAGGTACTTTAGGCTGTCTCTTCCGAGCGATCCAATCGCTCGATCGAGATGCGGATTACTGATTTAACATAAGATTAGAACAACCAGACAACACATACAATCCAGGGAGAAAACGGCCTGAAGTCCGATTCTCCGATGCAGAAAGTACTCCGCGGGCTAAGGATTAATGTCCGAGCCGTACGCCCAGCGCCCTAACGATTAACATCCCGCGCGCCATCGGCAGACTTGATGCCATCGTGCACAAGCGGTGCGGGCACAGGCCACCGAATGATCAAGCCCCTTGCACCGTCGGGGGATGCCCGTTTAAGCGGGCTTTTGTTGCGCGATTCAAACACTGTCTCTTGGGGGGAGGGCCGTAGAAGCGTGGTGGACGCCTCGTGCCAAAGCCAAGGTTTCATGGCTTGTAATTTATCCTGCAGCCAGGATCGCTGGGCAGGCTCGGTCGCATAGGCGGGAGATGCTCTGTAGGGCGCATTCCGTAGCCTCGTCCGTACTCTGGGGCCTCCCTGGCTCTGCTTCCCCCACGATCACCCGCAAAGCGCGGTTACGCAATAACGTTGCGGGCATGGGAGCCTTTCTTGTTCCTGTTTCTGATTCTGACTCTCGGGCGGCTTTCCCCCGACGATGCCGGTGATGGCCGTCTGGAGGGGGATAGTTGTGGTTTATCCGCAAGGGGCTGCTGACGGGTGACCTTGTGGCGCTATTTTGCTCGCCCTGGATGTCGAAGAGGTCGAGTGCGAGAGGAACGAGCAATTGACTTCAGCTGAGATGGCCGGACCTGGGGCAGAGGAACCGCATTATTTGCATGGTTGTCTAGGCCATCCAGCCTTGATTACCCCCGGTGAATCTTATGTGATCTTTGGGAAATTTGTAAAAGGGTTTCCCGCTCTATTACCCCATGTACATCCTCCATACCTATTTTCCTCGCCCAGGTCGTTCACGTTTAGATGAGAAACAAGAAAACGGTCTGCGTCACGGTCATTCAATAGACTGTGTGTGGTTGGCCCGGTCCATGGGATGTAGTACACGCAATGCCTTGCCGGGTTAACAACGTCGAACAAGCCTCCCAGCGCTTCTCCAGCGATATGCTTCTATTGATCGACTGTCTCAAAAGGGCAGTAACTCACTAATCAATTACATTAATTGAGGGTGTCAGGTGGTCGACGCAAGCCTTCGACCGAAACTCAATCCGGTGCACCAAAGTCCAACCCTGCAGAGAAGCCAATCTCAAAGAGCTACACTGCTTTGATTATATTATTGGAGGATATTGATTTAACATTGTTCTCATTGACTATGCCGTCATCCGCTATACGCCGGCTCATAATCCACCATTGTGATGGTCGTCCGGCCTGGATGTTGACCCATCAAGGCCACCACTCTTGGCCGGTGTGTCAAGATGATGGCTCTTCTCTGTTCTCCATTCTGCATCCCCAGTCATTTGCGACTACTGCCCCATTTCAACCCTGGCTCGGCACCTTGAGTTGGAGCCCACCTCCCGCCCCACGATCATCCTACCTGCCGCAGGAGCTGTCGGAGCTATGTGGGAAGCGTGGCTGATCGTGCGGGCATTCTATTTGTCGCTCGCCCTCCCCCTTGAGTCATCTCGGGTCACCTGCAGCTTTTCTCAGACTCGCCTTCGTCGAGTGCACTAGTCAGATTTAGCGGCGCATGGGCTGGTCTGGGGATTCTGCAAACGAGATGTCCGTGCGACTGAGGATTTTCCTCCAGAAACAATGGACAGTGTCCACAGTACACAGTACGGAGTACATCCGTCCTGCCATGCGATGGGAGTCGAATTGTTCAACAAATCCGACTCTGTATCTCTATGTATCGCGCTTCGTGGTTAGGTAAAGACTCGAAGTATGCGCGTTTTGTCGCAACCCCAGTATACAGATCCTCTGTCGTTTTCGGTTTCAGAGAAGGACTTTTGTCTCGACCACTAAAACAGAGATGCAGATTGCGAGTAGATTGACCCCGAAGACAAACAGAAATAGGCCCTTCCCTTTGGTCTCGATTGCTCCGCCGACATCCGAGACCCCTTGTTTTTCTCCTGTCTCGTTTTCTTGGTTTCTTTTTTGGCCCTTTCCTTTTTGTTTTCGCCTCCGTACAGAAGGATGCGATGGGTCCAGGATTCTGGGAATGGCCGAATCATGGGTGATCGTCGCGCGGCCCAATCCTCAACGGGCTTCTCAACCCCCAGAGCCAACCCCAGATCCAGCCGCATCAGCCCACTAAGGGACACCGATCCGGCGACGGAAGGGAGAGAAGCGGGGATGAGAGGCGCGCCAATGGCACCTCGCGCTCGCCTACTCGTCTCAATCCGTGCAACCAAACCTACGTCGTGGCTGCAACGTGCGTCGGCGAAGTCTAAGATGGTTTAACCGACGGGCGGGCAAGGGATTCTAGAAAGTTTGGGTGCCTAGCAAACCAGCCACGGCGCATGACGCAGGAAGTGTCGGAGGACTGAGAGTATGAAGCTAGGCCTAGAGGTTGGATGGGATCATTTTCTGGACTTTCTGTGCCTCCTGATGGAAACTGTCTAGAAGTCGTACTGCAATACCAGTTAATGAACGTTGTATGGGGCCGATTGGTCTTTATGTTGGATGTATAAGTGACACCTCAGACTCAGTAATACACGCGCATCCGTCTCCCTCCATCTCACTTGAGATCCTGGTTCGGTACGGTCATCATCCGGGGAAACCCCAGGTTGAGTGATCCCGTGGTGGTACATTCCATCCCTTGACGCTGGTTGTCCGTACATCGGCTCCCAGAACTATAGGAAACCACAGCCGGGCTGTACAACTGTTTCCCGCATTCATCGCCCTTTGGTGGTGTCACCTCTGTCTCGTCTTTCGCGTTGAATCCGGCCACTTTCGCCACATCTTAACCAAGGGCACACCACCATGTGCCCGCCCGACAAGGAACCGGGGACGATGCGCGCATGGCACGCCCAATGATGGCGGGACGAGCTACACCACTCCGAGACCGTCCAACCTTGACTCCCTCGCACATCCCCCACACGAACCGTGTGTCTAGCCCGCCGCGGTTTTCCCCCACAAAAAATGGCGCATGAGCCCTCCCGCTTCTCTTATTTGGGTGATTTTGGGGCCTTTTGCGGATCCTTCCGCCCTTAAGAGCTCCGCCCCAGCCTCGGTGGATCTCAATGGGTACCTGGCCACCTCATCGACGGAACCCGCCGTCCTGTTGGCAGATGATTGTGAGATGACTATGGGATTCTGTAAGAAAATGTGGTGAGATCAAAGGAGTTTCTTCGGTAGCATAGGATTTCTTTTTTTTCTCTCCCTTCTTGTCTTTCTGTGTCATTGGTTTTATTGGTGAGGAAGGTATGGGGCGGCAGATGTGCGGCCTCGGGCGTCTTGGTCCCCCGTCGTTGCTCCTTTGCGACCGTTTCGCGCCGATCGGAGGCCCGGTCACGAGGCTGGTTTGATTATAATCGCCCTCGTATTAACTTGGTTGCATGCCAATCTCAGGTATTGACTCTGTTATCATGTCGTTACTAACTAACTAGTTTTGTGATGGTGTGCACAGGACATCAAGTGGGAATCGGCTGATTGGCCGGATTATTGCCGATGGGGTGCTGGCTTGGTCGAAAAGCAAAAAAGGACCAAAAACAATGCCTACATCCCAACCTTTTGTAGTATATACGAAGGAGAGAATATACGACATACCGAGCAGGATGGAATTTCATCAATCTTCCTCGTTCGTTCCGGGACCTGAAGTTTAATGGGCAAGGATGTGTGGGTTCTCCCGGGGTTCTACGAATGATCGCTCGACACGAGGCCCGACTTGTTCTGTTCTTGGTCTGTTCTGATTCGCCCTGGCATCGAAGCAGCATGGCGTCTAGAAAGTGTGACGCTGGGTTTTGCTTTTCGGAGTTGGGAACTTATCCATCGCCTCGGGTTTGGATGGGGATGGGGATAGGCAGTATGAGGATAGTCCATCGCCCCGTCGTCCCGTGCATTCTGACTATTAGTATTATTAGCATTACAGAAACTATAGTAAATGGATTCATATAGCTCACCTTCCTTTCCTGGTCGTTTCCTGTATAGTCCGTACTCTCCATACACTCCGTACACAATCCTCTCAGTCTCGACCAACTACGCCCTGAAAACCGCATTCTCGGTCGGCGGCCTTCCTCCGTCCCGTATCGCGCCCTTTCTTTGCGTCCCCTTCTTATCAGAGGTATCGTCTCCACTGTTTCAGCTAAAACCTGGGAAAGCGGGCCTTTTTCCTGGCCCAGGCGGGACCCGTCGCAAGTGTCGAAACACCCCCCGGAGTCACCAGGGAAGACCACGGATACGGGGAGGCCCAGCAGCGACTAGCGCGTCGTGGCCAGCGAGCAAGCAGCAACGCAGTGACGCCACTCACTCCCAACCAGGCAACTGCATGGAGCGGGCCCGGCGTGGCTCCGATGATTGGCCGCCAATGAGGCTGGACGATACTCCCAGCCCCAGGAACTGGTGGGCGCCCGGTCTTTGCGTCGTTCTGGCTCTCCTGCTGCTGGCTTTAGGTCGGTTGAACGGTCCCAGGGCCAGTGCGTGGCGGGAAGATTCCGGGCTAGGCCGATTCTAGTAGGGTGCTGGGCCCATCAAGGTCCATCCAGGCCCATCATTCGACTCTGGGAATGATTTTAGTGGGGGTGGATTCTAGGATTCAGGATTCTGGGGGGGGGGGGGGAGGGAAGAAGTCATTGGGTCAGGAATGAGGTGATTGGCGGTTGCGAGGTCTCGATAATTCGTGGGCCGGTCATTGGCGCCTCAGGCCTGGCACTGGGGCCCACTCGGGTCTATGGCTGTCGTTGCCAGTCTTGCTGGGCGTGGCCTGTAGCGCGTCCAGTGCGTGGAAGCCTGGTAACACTTCTAGAGTCCCAGAGATCCTGTACCGTTGAGAATGGCGACTGGACACTCGAAACTCCAGACTCGTAATACGCTGAAGTGGTTCAGCCGGTAAGGGACTGCATACTTCGGATATGTAGGCTGTACGGAGGAGAGAAGATGGCTTCGACCCGTCTGAATCCGAGTCGAATAAGAGGGTTGCCAGTATTTGCGAGCCCCAACGTCGTCGGTATCGTCGGTATCGTCGGTATCTCTCAGTATCTCTCGGTATTGTCAGGTAACCGCCGGACGACGGTCCTCCCTCTATTGCCACGGACTCCCTACAGCCCACGCTTCAGGGACTCGACGCAGAAACCAGCCAAAGCGCACCAACCACGTCCGACTCGCCAGCAAACAACCTCTCCAATCATACGCAGTCCGGCGGTATCCACCGTATCGCAGCCACTTTCGTACCGAGATACCGACCTACCGACATACCGCAGGTACCGTCCACGAGGTAAGGCATACAGAGTCCATACAGACTCCATACGGTCATTTGCTCGACCTTCCCCCAGCACGAACTAAACTACTTACTGCGACCAAACGCTACTACTGCTCCGAAGGCAATTTCACATCCTCAACTCTGCAACTTCATTCTTCTTCCTACACTTCCCTTCCCTTTTCTCCTCCATCCCCCTTCGCTCCTCCCCTTCACCCTTGCTTCACCATTACTTCGCTGCCGCGGCGCCGTTGATCTACCTGAGCTGCAATTGCCCGCAATCTCGGTTATCTCCGGCTGATTCAACTGCGCATGCTCCGAGCGGACCGTTGAAGTTGTTCGTGACAGAGACACGAGGACTTTGGAACCATCCCGACGACCTTCAGTTTTCGATGGAGACAAGCGAAACCGTGAACATCTCGATCTGAACTCGCCTCTGCGCCCCGTAAGTCTTGTCGCATCTCGTTCCACGCGGTCGCTTGACACCCCCCCCCCCCCCCCCCCCCACCCCGGTTGCCTTGCTGATGCTTCCCGGACCTCCGTCCTTCCCCAAAAGACGTTGGCATCCATATTTCTCCCAATCTTCTATCCACCGGCCGCAGGTCCTCATATCCTGTCTTATCATCCCCCGATATTTCTTGTGAATTCGAGTGGCCGTGTTGCGAGACCCCGACTTCCCGGCTCCCCACGAAGTCCACGTCCACCCCTTATCGATAGACCGGCGGTAGCATTGCTTTCCCTTCCCCATCGCTCCATCTGGTGGGTCCTGGTCCGCTTCCCCGGCACACGTTGCGATAAGCCTCGCTCGTTACCCTGGATCTCCCGGGGGACCAACGACAACGCTGCGCAATTTCCCTCTGGACAATTCTTCAATCCCCCCTAAAATACCCAGAAAAAAAAAGGAGCATGCTAACCTGATGTCATTCCGACCGGAACAGTCGTTGATGCGACCCTTCATATTGTAAATTTATCCCTCAGAAACGCTCCGGCATCCAACGCTTGCCTACGTCGATCGTTACTCCCGGCAAGAGTGACGAATACCTCTCATTTCGATAAAGATCCTTTCTCTTCTATTACGCAATCCTCAGATTCTTTTACCTCAAAAGAATCGCATTCAGTGCGAGTGCTTCCACATTTATTTTCCCAATTTCTGCCCCGACAACCTCGGCGGTTCTTCTGGTTCGTGGGGGAGTTGGCTTGAATTTCTAGGATGCTATTAGATGCTATGGTCGCCCAAGAACAAAGCCGTAGCCCCAAAGTGGTGGATCTTGCCAGTATCAAAGAAATCCCTGGAGATATGCCTGGTAAGTGATCTCGCTAGTCCCAATCGATTCGCCCCAGAAGGGTTGCCCATGGATTCTGAACTGTTCTTGCTATCGGTAGCTCCGATGAAGGAGAAAAAGCAGGCCGAGACTAATGGTCTGGCCGCTGCAAATGGTATCCCTCCCCCCAAGACAGACAAGCCGCGCCCGCACATCTGTACCACTTGCAGCCGGTCATTTGCACGTTTGGAACACTTGAAGCGCCATGAGCGCTCTCATACGAAAGAGAAGCCATTCGAGTGTCCCGATTGTCAACGATGCTTCGCCCGCCGCGATTTGCTGCTTCGACACCAGCAAAAACTCCACATGACCACAACCCCATCCTCCCGCCCTAGAAATGGTCGTCGAGAGAGTACGGGCGCGGCCGGGAGCGCGGCTCCCAATCGGGTGCGCAAGAACTCCATTGCTAACAGCTCTTCGATGCGTCCTCGGGCCAATACCATCAGCCATATTGGAGGATCGGCCTTGGGCCTGCCAGATGGTAGTAACCCGTCCTCAGCGCCCAACCAGTCAGGTCACGCTTATCACCCTAGTCTTGGATCTTCATCACTGGGCTCTAGTTTGGACTACAGGGGCTTTAGCTCTGGTCATCCGCCGGTAAACGGTCTGGCCAAGTTAGAAACGTCGGGGCTCCCGATGGACGTGTCCGGTGGACTCCGCACCGCACCCGTGTACGGGAGCTTCGATATGGGTATTGATGGTATGCTGATGGGTCATGGCAGCACCATCAATCCAGCACAATTACACTTTGCAGGTTCCCCACAGGGCTTTGGTGACTCCCCCTCCTCCCCGTTTGGCCACACTACCCATGGCCTGCACCCCGCTACGGACCCCATGATGGACGAGGACATGAACTTTGACTGGATGAATGGGTTTGATGCCGCTGTGGCACTAGGGAATGGTAATGACTCAGTCATTGACGAGTCTTCGCCCTCGGCGATGAGTACGGGCAGCCAGAGTGGCATCAGCGAGGCCATGCTGGACGGCCCGAACCGCATCCCCATCTCCAACGGATGGCACAACCCCTTCCCTGCGCATACCGTGGCCTCAGCCAACCAATTTGCGATCGATTTCTCACCGACAACGCTAAACGAATTGGGGATCCCGCCGGAGACCGTATCGCCCAAGTCACTGATGGCCCAGAATCCGTTTGCTGAGTCCTACGCCACGCCTCCGTCCATGACCTCGGTCGGCCAGCCCATCATGGGGGGACATTCGCAGAGTATGTTTTCATCCTCTATGGCAACAAACGGAGAATCTCCTAATCCTCTCAACGTTCCTTTCCCGAATAGTGCCCTACGAAGTCAACATTCCCCAGTCTCAACGGATACCTTTACAGACTCCACACGACAGGCTCTACTAGCGAGCATGTCGCAACCCACTGGCTTCAATCACCGCAAGTATTCTCAGCCCGCAAGCGGTCTTCTGAATAGTCGAGAGCTATTCGCCCGCTCCACTGGCTTCAACACCTCCGGTCAATTACCCAGCACTTCGGATATGCAGCGTTACATTTCCGCCTACATAACTTATTTTCATCCGCACTTACCATTTCTTCACATCCCTACTCTCAACTTCCAGGCCCCTGAATATACGAGCAATCTGCGCACGCCCAGTGGACATCTCAACCTGAGCTCCACGGGCGTCGCCGGGGGCGGGGGTTGCCTAATCCTGTCGATGGCCGCCATTGGTGCCTTGTACGAGTATGATGCTGCTGCTTCCAAGGATCTTTTCGAGGCCGCAAAGAAGATGATTCAACTATATCTCGAAGAACGACGAAAAGCCGATATGTCGGCCGCACTGAGCCGTTCAAATTCTCCTAGAGACAACTCTGTCCATAATACCCCGCTCTGGCTAGTTCAGGCAATGCTGTTAAATGTCATTTATGGCCATACCTGTGGGGACAAGACATCCGCAGATATTGCCAGCACCCACTGCGCCGCGCTGGTCAGTCTCGCTCGGGCTGCGGAACTGACGCACCACCTGGATCCGAAGAACCTCCCACAAGATCATCTCACCATGGGACTTTCTACGTCTGACCCCGCGGACACAGAGAACTGGATGTCTTCTTCGTTTGGTCAGCCCAAAGAACGCCGGGATTGGTTGAACTGGAAAATTGTTGAAGAGCGGAAGCGGACGCTCTTCGCTATTTTTGTTCTCTCCAGCTTCCTCGTCTCAGCATACAACCATGCCCCCGCTCTCACAAACTCCGAGATTCGTCTTGACTTGCCCTGTGAAGAAGATCTATGGGCTGCTGAATCGCCCCAGGCATGGAAGAAGATGTGCGGTCAAACCTCGTCGAAGAAGAGCGTTGCCTTCTCGACAGCTCTGACCTCGCTTCTTACTGCCAGCCAACGCGAGCAGCAGAACCAGTCTTCGAACCTTTTCTTCAGCGGAAACAGTGATGATCTAAATACCGCCGAAAACCGACCAAGTACTTTTGGGTGCCTGGTGCTCATCTATTCGTTGCACAACTATATTTGGGAAACCCGCCAAAGGCACATGGGTCGGCAATGGACCGCACAAGAGACCGAAGCTATGCAATCCCATATCGAACCGGCGTTGAGGGCTTGGCAAGCCGCCTGGGCAAGTAATCCCGTTCACAGTCTGGAGCGGCCGAATCCATTCGGCGCTGGGCCTCTCTCTGCAGATAGCATTCCTCTGCTTGATTTGGCGTATGTTCGGTTATTTGTCAACCTGGGCCGATGCAAGGAGGCCTTTTGGCAACGCGATTGGAACGGCATGGCGGACGAGCTTGCCCGAGGCACCGAGGTTTTCCAGCAAGGTGACACCACTTTGAACGACTTGGTGGACCCCTCACTCACCGGTGCCTTGGATGCTCGGAGGGAATCAATCAATGATCTGGGTGTTGGAGACCTAGCTATCTCCAAGACCCCGACTCAAGACCAGCCGATGCAGTCCCTTTCAAGTGTTTACAAAATCGGACAATCCAAGCGGGAGAAGCATCTGCGCAAAGCTGCCTTCTACGCTGCTGACTCGATCTCCATGTCCGACCGACTTGGCAACACCTTCGCCGAGTTCTCATCCCGGGAACTTCCCATCCAATGCGCGATGTGTGCTTTTGACTGTGCCCAGGTCCTTGCCGAGTGGATTACGACCGTTCAAGAACGCGTTGGTCCCTACCTGGGTATCCTCGGTCGTGACGACATCGATCTGACTCAGGTCCCGGGTGTCATGCTGCTCGAAGACGAAGACTGCAAGCTTGTGGAGAAAATCAAGGAGATTCTCAACAGCATTGAGACAAAGATGCAACGCCAGATGCAGAATAGCAATTCCATGTCGGCGCTGATGACCATGCAACGGCTACCAAGTGTGGTAGAGGGAGGATACGGCTGTAAAATATTGATTGCCACGGCGAGCCTCCTGGACCGGGCTGCCGTTTGGCCAGTGACGAAATTGATGGCCCGTTCGCTTGAAGCCCAGGCGATGCGGATGAAAGAGCGCGCAGAGCACTCGCACTCGCCCTCTGCTATGATGACTTCTTAATTACGATCTGCTACCATGTTTTGGAATCATTGTGTGATGTTGCCAATTGTTCTTTTTATCTGACCCTTTTTTTCTTGTCATTTCATCTGATCACGTTCCTCGTCTCCGTTGTGCCTTGCGCATGACCGATATGTCATGAACAAAAACATCCCGAGGCAGCTCACGAACACTTCTCACTCTCGTCCCCCCTCGAGAACGCCATCTTCTCCAGTCTTATCTTCATCCTGTGTTCAGTGCTTTACCTTTTCCTTTTCCCCCCTGAGACCCTACTTCGATATCGATACGATACCCCGATCGAATCTGTCATAGACGAATGCCATGCCATGCCATCCTGTTTTTTGTTTTCATCTGCTGATTTGTACGCTTTCCCCCGCACACTGCTAGCGCTGGTATCTATGAACCAATATATCCACGCGGTGCTGTGTACCCTCATCTTATCATAGTTGTGGAACACGTTGGCCTTCTCATGTCCGCCTTTTTCTTGATGAGGGTTTGGGTTGTTGTATTCGTTTGTACTGGGAATTCTTTTTCATATATCTTTTCTTCCTCTTGATCGGCTTTTTTCCCTGTCCGTCCCGTGTTTAATTATGCAGCTTTCTACTTTCATGTGAATATGAATCCACCTTGGACTTGATCGGTTTTTTATATAGTAGTTTTTTTATGTTATGGTCCTGTAAAATCCGACGAGTTGGTTGATAGTTCGACAAAGTCATTCCAGAAATTTGTATACACCGTGTTAAAGTATTCGCATAATCCAAGACTCTCAGAAGCTCAAAACAGGATATTAATCCCTTCCTCTAACCTTTAACCTGGGTTGGCACTTCTTTTTAAATCTTGCAACATTCAGGTAACGACTACTTCTCACTGTGATGCTCCCTCCGACCAGTGCCAGTTACATAATCTTCCCCCCAACGTTCGTTGCTGGGGCACCTTCACGCGTTAAGTGCTTCTCGCGTTAGGCGCCAACCTCCACCCTACAACTTCTCACGCTTTTCAAAATCCAACTAGCAATGACGATAAACCCAACCCGGGGTTCCTCCTCAGCTGCCTTGTTGCAGAGCTCGACTGCCGCAGCCCCAACTCCCCTTTTCGCCGGAGTTTACCTCGATGCCCTACCCGCGACCCGTCTCGCCGCTCAGCCTCGAGACACGCGAGCCTCCAGCAAACAGCAATGACGGCCTCGATCTATTAGGATCTGACGACGAACTTGATGATACAGCTCGCGCTGCAAAACGCCAAAGAATCGAGAAGCTGGCCGAGTCGTATCTCCAGGGACGCCCGCTGTTCATTCTTTCTGCTTCTCTCCACGGGCCATTTGATAAAGACTGGAAGAACCCATGGAAGAAAAATCGGAAGGTCCAAAAAACGGACGCTCCTGGGAAGAAACGGACCAACGTGACATCCCGGAACTCTGGCCCCGTAATACAAGAGACAGACCCGCAGCGGCCGAAGTATCGCGAAGATCTGCCAAACACATCTCGGTCTCGGTCTGGAGCCACACCATCGTCTCCTACGACGCGAGCACTTGAAGTCACATCCTCTGTCACCCCTCGGTCAGCGCATAAGAGACCACTGCATATAGCGACCCGCGGCGAAGGAAATCCAATTTCCGCTCGCTCGTTGAAAAGGCCTAAAGAACCAAGCTCATTGAAATCGACTGGCCCGTCGTTCGCAAGGGCTGGGCCAGCAGACTGGCTGAAGAAGGATCGGAAGCGCATGGATTTCCAGCGTTTCGAACCACCCAGTTCTCCGACCCTGAAAGTCGCAAATCGTCAAGCAGAACACAAAGCTCGTTGCAACGTATCGCCTGCTATCGAAGTTCGGTTGCCAATATCACCGACACCTCTGCGGACTCTGAAACCTGCTCCTAATCCTATTCGTCAAGATGCTGACTCTGCAACTGACAAATCACCGCTGACGACTCGATCAGCAGTGCAGCAAAGCGAGCAGGAAGGTGAGAATCCCGGCGAGCCGCAAGTGGGGGATCAACCTTCTTCGGAGAAGTTCTCGCCAAAGCCAGATATGTATGCGCCACCATCTTTCCGCGTAGTTTCTTCGACATCTCAGTTGCCTCGTTTTGAGTATCGACACCGGCACCTTGAGAATTCCAGTCTTCGGGCAGAGTCGAACTCTCCTTCTCGGGCTATGCCCGCGAACGCGGTATCCCCTAATGAGGCCACCGCTCAGAAAAACCACAATGCAGCCGCCGCTGTATCAGCACCATCCATGCAGGACAAAGATGGAGATACAGTTGTTCCTGATGTCCTAGAAGACCCAAGGGCGCAACCGTCGGAAAAAAAGGGAACCGTGAACGACGGGCCTAGTCGTCCATCGGAAGATCTCAGATTTGCGGGCGTAACTGGCGAACTGAATGCTGCAGATACAGAACCGCAGCCATCGACGGAACAAAATACCTACGAAAGCTTGCCATCTGCGCAAAAGGTCATGAAACCTCTAGGCATTTCTGACCGGATACAATCTCTACATTCAACCACCATGCCGAAGGCTATTGCCGATAACACCGCAGAAGGCAACTCGGACACCCAGCTTTCGACGCAAGCTGCCTTGCTCCACGCGCAACGTTCATTCCAGGAAGATTTGGATAGCCCAGAGCCTGATATCGGAAGGATGGATCTGGAGGACTCGGTCTTGGGTCCCGGGGAGGAATCACTTTTGGCTCGTGAAACCCCGTGTAACAATCTTATTCGTCACGAGCCGGTTGCGTCTCAGGGCCTAAATTTGTTCGACAAGGACCGGATCCAGGGCATGAGTACACAGTGCCTGGTCGATGCCGTGACCCCATTCACTTTCAGTACAGGCAAAAAACCCAAGGCTTTCCGTGACCTCTCCTCGGAGTTACAAGAACACAAGAAAGGAAAGGCGGTCATAGAGAAAGGCCTATCTTCTCCCTCCCCCTGCATTCCCTCGCCATGTTCAGATCATGGTTACCACACAGCAGAGCCCACTGTCAGCCATCAAGCTTTGAATGCGCCTTTCCGGGCTCCCGATCCGACATGTACCCACCAATCCACCAATCAAGCAACACCCCTACTCTTCAGCCTGGGTGAATCAACCTCGACAACCGCTCAAGACGGCCAGGGTCCCCTACCGGGCTTCAATCTGAGCCAGACCATCGACGACGTCGGTAGCTGGTTGCGAGAGGGCTTCGATTTCATGAAAGATATTTAGCCCTCAAGCTGGCCTGGAACCGCCACCTCGCCGCCCGACTAGGGCGGATCTCTTTGGATTTGGATATATCGAGATGAATGTCGGAGATACCTACAGTCTGCAGCATACTTTTAGCGATGACTGATCTAGAAGTTCTTCAATTTTTTTATTTCATTGGGCTTTGTACATAGATCATGCGATGATGATTATGAAACCTAGAATATACTACGAGAAGAAATATATTATTTGTAACATGAAAAGAGGACTGGCTATTGATTGAGGTCGATTTTAGATTGAGTTGGAAACATATCAAAATCATTGAAGTTATTCGAATTAATATAAGCTCGGTCATTCCTTTCATGATCGACTAAGCATATCCGTGTTTATAGTTGCTTCGTCCCGAGTTCCCGAGTTCAAGAGCTGGACCGCGCGCACGGGCCCACATCCCGCTTCGAACCTCTTGGGACCGCTCCGTCGGCAGCTCTGGATTGTCCCCATCCATTTATGGCCAGCAGTCCAAATGGCCCTGACATCAGTATGAAATTTCTTCTTGGCTTTAGCATACTTGCAGCTCGAAAATGTCACTAACAGGCGCCATAGTGGAAAGCGTTCAACTTCATCGACGTCGGTCCTGTCAAGCTACCAGAGGACAGCTCCGCGCTCTTCGGTGTAAGGCCATCGATCCCACCTCCTACTTCCCCAACTCCTTCACTGACCGTTCGCTCACGATGCCTTCTTTAGAGTGACCTCGCAAGCCTCTGCACCGGATCGGCCAACCTTTTCCTCGGTACTGTCGATGGTTTCGTCCACATCGTCACCTCGTCCTTCCGAGTTGCGCGGTCGTTCAAAGCTCACGATGCGGGGTCAATTACACATATGAAACAGATCAACGGGACATCGCTCCTGGTGACACTTGCAGAGGACTTGTCCAATGAGCCTGTGTTGAAAGTCTGGGCGTTGGATACGGAAACGAAAGGCGGTGCTCCGAAGTGCCTCTCGACGGTATCCGTGCAGAATGCTAGGCGGCAATTTCCCGTGAGTGGCCTCTACCCTACGGGCGTGAAGAATGCATATTAATAAAAAGATTCAATAGGTTTCTGCCTTTGCGGCCCTGGACGATCTCTCGCAGGTGGCGGTTGGTTTCGCGAACGGATCAGTGACGATCATCCGCGGCGATTTGATTCATGATCGCGGCGCGCGCCAACGTATTGTGTTTGAATCGGAGGAGCCGATTACGGGCCTTGAAACACAGAGTGGTGCCGTCACTGTGCTCTACATTTCCACGACAAACCGCATGCTGACCCTGGTTATCGCGGGCCGAGGACAAGGCCAGCCTGCTCGAATCTTGGAGGACACGGGCTGTGGGTTGGGTTGCATGACGCTGGATAATGAGTCTGGGGATATCCTTATTGCGAGAGAGGATGCGGTCTACACATATGGCCCCCGAGGTCGGGGCCCGAGCTATGCGTTCGAAAGCCCGAAGACATCCATCAAGGCCTTTCGGGATTACGTCGCCCTGGTCTGTCCGCCGAAGGCAGGGTCAGCACGAACTGATCCGTTACGAAACTACGGAGTGAGCCCCGCGGATGAAATTTTTGGCACGACCACGTTTACACTTCTTGATACCGATCTGAAGTTTATCGCGCATAGCGAGTCCTTGGTATCACCGATGAAACATATCTTCATGGAGTGGGGTGACTTATTCCTGCTGACCACAGACGGGAAGGTACGTACCTGCGCCTGACGATTCTCTGTTGTAGTTCTTAATTCTCGGTCAGGTGTTTCGGTATCGGGAGAAGACTCTACAGCAACGACTAGAGATACTCTATGAACGCAATCTTTACATACTGGCTATCAATCTTGCACAAAAGATTGGCATCAATCCCCTGCAGCAGAATGCCATCTACCGCAAATACGGAGACTTTTTGTACCAGCGCGGTGACTATGACACTGCAATGCAGCAGTATTTGCGGGCTATCGACAATACCGAACCTTCACAGGTTATTCGCAAGGTCGGTGTGCCCTGTTGGATAGCGTCAGTGTCCCTGCTAATTTGAAACATAGTATTTGGACACCCAACGGATCCATAACTTGATCGAATACCTTGAAGAACTACACGATCATGGTCGTGCGACAGTTGATCACACGACCCTTCTCTTAAACTGTTACGCCAAGCTGAAAGATACTAGTAAACTAGACTCGTTCATTAAAGCCCCTGGTGAGCTCAAATTTGACCTGGAGACTGCTATTGCGATGTGTCGCCAGGGGGGTTACTACGAGCAAGCGGCCTATCTTGCTACAAAGCATGGGGAAAATGACATGGTTGTCGATATTTTGATCGAAGATTCAAAGAATTATGCCGAGGCTGTGGAGTATATTTGGCGGTTAGATCCGGATGTGGTATGTCGAAGCCACCTTTTTTCTTCTCAATTCGGTGCCCACAACAAGCTAATATCTTACAGGCTTATCACAATTTGATGAAATATGCCCGAGTCTTGTTGAATCATTGCTCTGAACGTACTACTGAGCTCTTCAAAGAATATTATACCGGGAAGTATTACCCTCGTACCAAGGTCGAGCAATCTACAGAATCTCAGGCACAACCGAGCGCAGTGCAAGGTCTGGCTGGTCTTCTACCTCTCCGATATGTGACTGGAGGCTCTGGCACAGAGACCCAAAATCTGGAGACTCCCGCTTCCCAGGAAGAGAACACCGCCAACCCACCCCCAAATTATGAGGTCCCAAAACCGCGAACAGCATTTTCTGCATTCGTGGATCACCCGCAAGAGTTCATTGGTTTTCTTGAAACGCTTGTGCAACAACCAGAACTCAAGGAAGAAGCTAAAGTTGACCTCTTCACGACGTTGTTCGAGATGTATCTCGATACAGCAAAAGGAAAGAAAGATGCAACGCAGAAACAAGAATGGGAAAATAAAGCGAAGAGGCTCATTGAAGGCAAAGATGTGAGGACATCTGCAATCCAAATGAAATACCCCTTCAGTCCCAGCTAAACTTTTTCTTTCTTCTAGATTCCAATCTCTACTTCTAATGTCCTCCTTCTTTCCGACCTCTCCAACTTCCGAGAAGGCTCCACGCTTGTGCGTGAGCAAGAAGGCCTGCGTCTCGACATATTCCGCTCATTTACCTCCGCCAAAGATACACAAGGCGCCATTCAAGCCCTGAAACGCTATGGCCCCGACGAGCCCCAGCTCTATGTTGATGCCTTGACGTACTTTGCCTCAAGCCCTCAGATCCTTGAAGAGGCAGGGGACGAGCTAGACGTGGTCTTACGTCGCATCAACGATGATGGTCTTCTCTCCCCACTACAGGTCATTCAGGCACTCAGTAACAACGCTGTGGTGACCATGGGCAGGGTGAAGAAGTACCTCAGCGATAACATCGACCGAGAACGGAAAGAAATATCCACTGTATGACCATCAATTGCTTAGTATCCATAATCTCTGATTAAAGCTGACTTCCGTTTCTAGAACCGCCGCCTCATCTCGAGCTACAAGTCCGAAACAGCTGCCAAACAAGAAGAACTCAAGAACCTCGCAACTCAGCCCATTGTCTTCCAGTCCCGCCGCTGCCAATCCTGCGGCGGCACCCTTGACCTTCCTACAGTTCACTTCCTGTGCAGACATTCTTTCCATGAACGTTGTCTGAATCGTATTGACGACGAGGCCCAGTGTCCTGTCTGTGCGCCGACAAACTCGACGCTCCGGGCTATTCGCCAACGCCAGGTCGACTCGGCAGAACAGCACGATCTGTTCAAGGCAGAGTTGTCACGCTCACGGGATCGATTTGGCGTTGTGAGTGAGTTCTTTGGGAGAGGCGTCATGAGGTCGCAAACTACAATGGAGAGTTGAGATGAGTCGATCGAATTGTATATATAAAGTTGTTCGGCTAGACTGGAGCCCGTGTTTTATTGGACCTCTCCATTTTCTCCATTTTGTTTTTGTATTTTGCTTGTTTCGTTTGATACCTCCACTTTCGATCTTGATTGATACTCTATTTACTTTATTGAATAAGCAATGGGACGGGCCCTTGTACTCTACGTTCTATCCATGGTAGAATTTCCAATCATAACCACAAGCCACAAGTAACGGCGCTTGATAGAATATTCACAAATTTCAAATGCATTGTATGGATGATCGCGCTCTGCTCTAGCAATAACCAAAACTATCATACCACAGGGCAAGAAGAAAGAAACGTTGCATGTCGAACAATCGCAGATCGCTTAACTTGTTATGTCCCAAGAGCAAGGTTTACTATGCACAAGCAATGGAAAGAGAAGAGAAAAAAAGGAAACCCAAAATACAGGCCTAGTAGCAAAGACCCTTCCAGGAAATCATGCAAATAACATAACAGGGCGGGCTTTAGTTGTCCACCAATGAGGAAATGTACTGGGGGGAGAGTGTGCGAGTGAGATATAACTGATGGGCAGTGAAGCTTCATATCTCATGCCCATCTTAGATGTCGCGTCCCTTTTCGCCTCCCCAAGAGACGCGAGGCCGGTGACCGCGAGTAAAATTTCCTGAACCCGAGCCGGAAGCAGATGTCGATGACTGGTCATTGCTAGGGCTTGATTGATCAGACGGCTTGCGCGTTTCAGCAAACTGGATCTTGCTTGAGGGCTGGCGAGGTTCGCCGTCGTCGCTGTCTGAGTCGACAGCGGCGTCGTCTTCCGAGTCGGAGGAGTCGTCGGCATGGATCTCGCCCAGAGCGGCAAGACGGCGGCGGCGTTCGGCCGGGGTCTCCCCGGTCTCGTCATCGGCCTGGCGAGGAGGAGCTGCGAGACCGGCAGCTTGGCGGAGACGCGAGGGCGGAATGCGCTCAGTGCCATCGTCGTCGGAATCACGGCGGCGGCGGTCACGAGTATGGGGCGCAGGACTGAGGTTGCTACGGCGCTCATGGGCTGATGAACCACGGGTGAACTTGGCCAAGGAAGAGGCGACGTTGGGAGTTGGTATGTCGCGCTCATCGCCGGACTCGTCCTCGTCGCTGATGTCGCTGTCGGTGACAGATTCGGATTCCAGGTCTTCATCTGCCTCCGGGATGGCATCAGAGGCGCCAGTGGAGGCCGTAGCCAGAGCAGCAACAGATGAGCGGCGTTCTTGTTTTTCTTCCTTCTTCGCGTCGTCAATCGCAGCTTCCTTGACCGGAGCCGGGGCATCGGTCTGCTGCACCACATCACGGCGGGTTTTAGCGTCCATGCCCTTGATCTGCTGGAAGAACTCCTGCTTGGTCATGCGGCGACCCTTCTGTCCAATACCGCGGGTATCAACCTCTTGGCTCTGGGCCAGGGTGAAACGCAGACCATCATCCGTAGCCCAGTCGTCAGTCTCAGTGCGTGGCGCAGGCTTCTTTTTCTGCCCGTCTTGAGGAGATTGACCTTCGTCTTCCATGCCGAACCACGTACCCATGCGCTTGAGTCCGGTACGGAGGGGCGCCTGCGAAGAGGGGCCAGCCTGGGTCTCAGGTTTGGGTGTCTTTTCATTGGAGGGGATAGTGTACTTCTTGATCACTTCACCATCCTCATCTTCAACGATAATAGTGTTACCAAACTGATACGCATGTGCAGAGCGGGCCTTAGGCTTCTCGCCTGCTTCGGGCTTGGGTTTGGGTTTGGGCTTGGGCTCTTCCTTGGTCTTGTCTTTTCCGAAGCCGGTCCAGTCAGCCCAACGCTTGCGAGCCTTTTCGTACGGCTGGCCGACCTTCTCGTCGACAGTCTGTTTGATCTCTTCGCCTTCATCCTTTTCGTGGGGTTTGCCTCGAGCTTCCGCAAACTCCCCAGATTGGTCGGCCTTGAGTCTCTGGCGCTGTTTTTCGATGTGTCTAGCTTGCTCTTCAGGTGTCAAGTTGCTTGTATCTTCGGTTTTGAGCACATTTCCCTCTTCGTCTTCGATGATCATGTTGTGACCTTCTTGGTACACTTCCAGCTGAGGCTCAGCGCCGAGACGGCCCAGCTCAACAGTCGGGGCAGATGCTCCTCGTTCTTCAGTGTCACGCTCTTCCGAATCCTCTTTCCTCTCACCAAGTTCGCTTTCAGTTCGTCGAGCGGGCATGATGGCCGACTGACTAATTGGACCACCGGCGCCATCATTGCGGCGCTTGCGGCGCTTTCGCTGTCGGAGAGACTTGCGGGTTGCACTGTGGACGCTTTGGGATTCGTCATCCTCGTCTCGCACCCGACGCAGGAAGTTGCCAGGCAAGCCAATGGGCGGCAAGGTGCCTGGAGGATATTCGGGGAGTTTCTCCTCCGAAGAGGCGTCAAATTCATCCGCCTTGCGGAAAGACATGGATCCTTTAGCCAATGACTGCACCCGAGGTAGACGATTCATCCATGAAGGACCCTCCTCGTTAGCCTGGGTATAGGACAGAGTGATGGTCAAGGTATTGATGCGCTTTCCCAGGGTGAACACAGCGATTGAAGAGCCGTGGACTAGAATGGATGAGATGACCATGAAGGTTGTAATGGGCCAAATAAGCCGAACTATATAGTAATCACTCGTTCCAGCTACAGGGAGTTCACTTTCAGAAAGAGGCTGGGTGCTGTCCGTCTCCAATTCAGCTCGAGCCAAAATTGCGGCAAAGATAGCACCGACACCAATGGGCCCAAAATGCCCGGCGAAAAGAGCCTCGCGCCAAGTTTTGACATCTGGTATAATCGGTTTCAATAGGAGCATGATGGGAATGCGCCGGAAGAAGATGACCAATATTGCAATCACAACCAATCTCCAAGGAACCAGGCCGAGATCAGGGGCATTGAAATCTTCCCAGGGCACGATCGCTCCGAAGTAGACAAAGTACGCCAAGTTGAGCAGCAAGTCGATGACGTTGGAGACGTGTGATTCTTCGGTCTTTTCTGTGAACCAGCCATCATTACTGAAGCCAACACCGCATGAGAATCCAATCAGGAGGTCATCCATGCCTAGCAGACTGCCCGACCCAGCACAGAAGACTGCCAGAACGAAATAGAACACTAGGAAACTTTCTCGATCGATGAGGCCTTTGCGTTCAGCAAACTTAATTGCATGTCGCGCGAGATATCCGATGACGAATCCGAAGATGGCCCCGAAGATACACTCGTACAGGATGGTCACACAGAACCAATTCAGGGACACCTCGCCGGCATTGGGTCGGTAGCGCAGGATGTAGAATGAAAGGTAGATGAATGGGAAAGCCATGCCATCGTTACAACCGGACTCGGCGGACAAGATGTCACGTAAATGCTTGGGAACTCGTTTGGCAAACTTGCCCTTACCGACGACTGAGGACGCCAAGACCGGATCGGTAGCCGTCACGCAGGCAGCACATACCAGACTCTCCAACCAGTTCAGTGGCGGCACCATCCACCAGATAAACAGGCTGGTGACCAGCCAGCCCCAGGTCATCACTGGAACTAGCAGCAGCACGACCGACTTCCAGTGACGCTCCATGTAGGACTTCGGCAATTCGACGCCGACGGCAAAACATTGAACGACGAGCACAATGCGAGAACACTCCAGGGTGATCTTGTCGACATTGCCCCATTCATGCGGATTGAAGAGATTGGCGGCATGTGGGCCGAAGATGATTCCGCAGAGGGTGGCGACCGTGGCCTCGCCGATGTAGAGCTTCTCCTTCACAAAGAGCGAGCACAGCATGAACAGGCCCGTGAACCCGCCAAGGATCATGTACGCCAGATGCGGCTTATCAATGTCAAGATGGTCCCACGCCATGATGTAGTGGAGACCACCGCAGCAGTCTCAAAAGCGATTACCCCTGTCCGATGGAATTGAAGGAGGGAGAGAAGAACTAAGTTTGATTGTTTGCGCGCCGGGGGGAAGGTGTACAGAGTTCCTCCCGTCTCGTCTGCGGCCTATGGGGAGATACTCCGTTTTCGAACCGCCGCAATCAATTACCAGTGATGGATTTCCGCCTTGAACGTCGTTGGTCCGCGTAGCTCCTCATGCCTTGTGGGGGTGGAAGCCGCGGCAGGAGAGCGAAGATGTTGTTGGAGCCTGGTAGGGCTGAGTCCGAGGAGTCGCCGCGGGGAAGGAAACAGTAGCAGGCCAGCACACGGCTTCGACTATCGGAATCTCCGGCTGTTCAGACGCAGGGTTTTGCCTGACCTGTCCGAGCGTCGAGGCGAGAGGAGCGGAGATGAGGAGCGATTCGCGGTTGGTGAGACACTCGGTGGCTGGGGCTGGGGCGGGGGTTGGGGAGGGATCAAAGAGGTCGATTCCAGCGAAGCAGTCGCCTGCAGAAAGTAGTGAAAGGGAAGAAAAAAGAAAAAGGCGACGATGAAAACCGGGCAACCGAGTCTTGGAGAACTCTTGGCCGTTTGATCGAGCGAGCGATTGCGCGCTTGGGCGAGATTTGCCCAGAAACGAAGGTCTTGGAACGGGCGGGATTCGTCAGCCGAGACTTTAGCGCCCCACCGGGCCAGGCGGAACGAGTCTTGGCTAACGGCGGAGAGACAGGAACGGCCACGTTGGGAGGATGGACGGAGTGGGAGGCAAAATAAAGGATTGTCTAGTTGAAAAAAGCAATCTATGAGTCTATCCAAGGGCATTGAGGGGACAAGAAAGAAAATCACTAAACGGATGCAGGGCCCGAGACCCAGTTTATAGAAGCATGAGGCACGGGCTGGGCGATCGCCGTACATGACCGTACGCTTCCGGCCAAAGTCCCGGCGCTCGCCAGCCCTGCGAGCCGCCAAGATCGGATGGTCAGCGCCGCCATGATTGGGGCCGATGGCCCCCCCTTCGGGCCTCCACTTACGGCGCCCCAGTGGGGTTTCTGGAGTCAGGGCCCTATGAGAGAACGCCACTAGCCAAAATACACCAACAACTTATACCGCAACACACGCTTCGGCCCGCGAATATACAAGGATACAAAGTACACCACGGCTGTACAGACAAATGTGATTTCCTTTGGACTTTATTGGCCACGCTGGATCGGTCTCAGTGTGCACGTTATACATCGAGCAAATTACTAACAGGCCGACCGAGTCTCTTCGGATTGGCAGATGCCAGAGTATAATTTGCATAAAAGGGAAAGAAAAATAATAAGAAAAAAAGCAAAGAGAAGATCGGGGAAGAGACGGTCGCACTTTCATACATACAACAGAACAATGAGGGGGAATTGGGAATTGGGGACTTGAAAAAAAAATCGAGAAAGGGAGGAAATAACAAGCGCAAAGGGCGGTAAATCCAGACAGACAAAATGAGGCGCCCGAGGGACCACGTAGTGGTTTCAGGCGGATTGTAAACATCAATGAGGACCGGTGATACAAAAGAGCATATTGGGTCGAAAGCCTTTCCGGCCCGCCGTCATTATCTCCAACGAGGACATATCGGAGAATATACGGATATGTGTGTATGGAGAAAACAAAAGCAAATATGGATTCCAGACCTTCCTCAATGGCGTCCCCCGCGCATTTCGCGCGTACGTGGGGGAGAGGGCAAGGGAGAATGGGGCAAAAATGAAAGAGCCCAACATGGAGGGCCGGGATCTAGTCCCTTGGCGCAAGAATGTGCAACCATGCCGGTAGGGCCCAGAAGCTTCTTTTATTCCCCGGTCGGCATCCCCTCGACTTCATCACTGAGCCGCCGCCAATTGTCCGCATGCAATTCAGAATACTTAACACGCTCCTGACTCCAGTCCTGGTGCAACCGGCTGATGTGGTACTGGCTCTGCTGGAAATGGACCAGTTCATCACGGATACACTCCTGGATGAACACCCCGCGGGCATGTTGCTGCACAATCGATTCCTTGTCCTGCAGGAAGACCGGGGTTAGTGCTCGTTTATACGGGGAAGATGGGCTGCAAAGTCTAGCCCCGTGTGGGGGAGGTGGGGTGGTACCTTGAAAATGGCATCCTCCACTTTTTCAATCTCCCCGGGCTTGACAGTGCCCGACGGTCGTGTTCGCAATTCCTGCAGCTTCCGCTCATTGGTCTCAATGCGCCGTTCCAATTGCGGGATATTGTTCCGCGCGTACCGGTCCCGCCGATCAAACATCTCGCGGACACTGACCAGGCAGTCCCGTTGTCGCTTGAGGTCTTCCAACACGCCTTCGGTCCAGGCCCGGGCCTCATCCTCTAACAGACTTTGGCTAGCAGAGAGATGTCGGGCAGTGGCGGTAATGCCGGTATTCACGGATAAAATGTCATTAGTGTCGATGGCATATGTGTCCTTCGTAACCTCAGTAAGCGACTGCAAGGCCAGAGAGAATCGCAAATGATCAGCGGCCAAGCCATCATTTCGTTTGGCTAATCGTTCGACCAGAGTGCAGAGATTGATATAGATTTCGGCGGATCGCTTCACACCGCTACGGACAGTGTCGAAGGTCTCGGTAAGTGTTGGGGGTAGTGAGTCTTCTAGATCAGGAGGAAGGGCCCGACCAGCAAATTCATCTTGAACCGAGATAGTCGCCTGTTTGCGCCACACTGAGAGTTCCTAAGTGAAAGATCAGCGGGTTAGGGCTCCCTCCGAAGAATCTCCCCTCACTCAACAAAGCAGATAGGACTAACCGTAGGCACAGTCAGGAACATTACCACAAGCTGCTCCTGGCCCAGCACGGGGTGTCGAACAAGGGAATTGGTAAACCTAATGAGTCCACGGCGGCGTTTCTCCAGAAAAGAATTCGAATCCGCTGACAGGTGAGTACCATTCACTTAAAACACAGGTGAGTAAGCAATTTGGAGGCGCTTCAGCCATTGTAGGACGTACCTGCGACCCGCTTCGGAGGGAGAAGAGGCAATTGGCGGAAGGGAAATCGTTTTTGGAGACAATCCAGAAGCCAGACAAAATCGCTATACCGGCGAACAACAGTACTGCCACGCCGGGTAGACTTGACTTCATAATTCCGATGTTGGAACATAAACATCCCCTCCTTCTCGGGAAGAAGGTTGATTGAAACGGTTTCTTCAACTTGTGGGTTGGTTGTTCTGGAGATGCCTAGCGATCTTCGGCGTGGCGCAACATCTCCAGGATCATCGCCGGGGGGACCAAAGCCACCGAGAGCTGGGCGAGGTCCAGCCCCAAATCCAGCTTCTTCAGTAGGCGTGCCAACATGATTTCCTCCCCATCCTGAACCAGAGCTACTAGGAGGCGCCCCTTCGGTCCGGCCATTACTCTGTCCCTGTTGAACTGCCTCCTCCTGGATCCTCTCTTCCACTAACTTTGTGCTGGCTGACCAGGCATTCGTCGTGGAGCGCATGCTTCCATAACCGTTGATTATACGTTGTTCGGAGCTCAAGGGTTCATGATTATGATTCCGATGCAATTCCGGACTTCCCCAAGGATCGGATTCAGGCCCGCCCAAAGACTCTCTCCTCGATTGCCTAAACCGCCCAGAATTTGGCTCCTGCAATGGTGATTGTTGAGACGGAGGTGTAATAGGTCGCTCATGTGTGGCGCCAGAGGAAGTGTTGTTCGAGGTTCGCAATCGGTCAAGGAAGCCGCTGTGGGGTTGAGGGAGCTCTACCGGTGGATGTGTGTCAGAAAGGGGTCGTGAGCGATAAGACGAGCCAAACCATAATCTGAAGAAGATTACGTTGAACTTTTGATTTCCGATGCTATGTTCACTTACTCTTGCGGTGGTCATCGACCGAGTCAAAGGATAGATCCTCTCCCTGCTGCGCAAGCCCAACCAATGCCAGCAAAACATTAAATTCGCTGCGACCCAATCCACTCAAGCTCTCGTGATCTCCGGAGACAACCAGATTCAAGATCTTACCCTGATCCGATGCGGTAAGACCACTGCTCGAGAGGATCTCCCGGATCGACGTCAGACCGACACCGGACCCGACCCGATCCCCGCTATTCAGGATCAGATCATATGCATCAATGTAGCTCTCCGGTACATCGGTGGCGGGAAGTAGGGTCCGGACCAGGTCGCGCCGCGCGGATCGTTTCGCAGTGTTATTCTGCGGGTTCCAGGGGGAGGAGGAGCTGTCGTCACCGGTGTCATCTGCGAAAAGCGACGAAGAGCCGGCGGGTTCGTCTGCGAAGAGTGACGACTTTGACCGATGAGCGGAGGTTGCCGAGGGCTCCTCGGGTGATGTACCAAAGAGGGACATCTGGAGTCCGCCGTGGATCTGAATGTGCGAGGAGGAGGATGTGGATGAGAGGTATTGGAGAGGTGGAGGTGATTACAGGCTGCAATGACGAATGTGCTTGACGATCAAGCGGAGCTCGGCGGTCGGAGGTGGCTGGGGTCGTCGCACAAGGTCCAAGCTTGCGGCTAGAGATCAGGTTGTCACATCAAGCCACACAACAGTCGCACAGGGCCAACATATAATGAGTGGGCCACCGCGCCTCAATTTGATCAAGAAGAAAGAAAGGAATAAAATCGAGGCAGACCTTGGAGGTTGATACGGCATGGAAGCCGGGGAGATAACGGGGATTGGTTTCCCCATGCCAGGCCGAGAACAATGTCACCACACGTCCCATAGAGTCTTGAGCTTCCCGTTCTTCGATGTCAAGGGATTTTCACATTTACTTTGGCGATGATCAAAGCGTTTCTTAATTTAATATATATTTGCACACCTAGATCAAACTTGATATTATTTTTGAAACCGTCGCGAATCACCGCATCGTTTTTATTATACTCCTTCGTACACGATCCCAGGTGTATTATCTCAATAGACACACAGGACACAGGATCGACTTGACAGAATACGTTGCTTCAATCGCATGTTCAGTGTCAATGAAGGCATACTCTTGCAATTCCAACGTATTTGCGACTCAAAATAGACTATTTTAACTGGATTCGCACTATGTCAGCCAGTAGACATCAGTCGTGGTAGCCGACTAATGTTTTTGTCCGATAGGCATGCCCAAGCCTATCTTTTGAAGAAATCCACCCGGCCAATTTAATCTTTTTGGAGGATAAAAGGTAAAGTAGCCTTTATAGCACTCTGTTGGGCGTTTATGTCCGAACTAACAGCTCCTATGTCTCTATCAACGCGTCGCCAGACATTTAAAGTGCCTTGTCCAGTTTCTCTACGCCAATACTGTTTACAAGAGACGCATGGCAAATGAAATACTAACCAATTCTCTAATCACAAGACGTGATTCGGGGGCTATATGTTTTATCTTTACTTCACCCTTATTTCCCCTCTTAATACCATCAGTACTACTACTACTACTACTACTACTACTACTACTACTGCCTGCCGAGGCCATGGCCGCGATGGAGACAAGAGAGATGAAACTTGCGGCGCGCATTGTGTGAAAAATAAATTGAAATGGAATTGAGTAGAGGTTTATTTTTGGCACCAGTTGGAACGGTCTCTACTAGCTATTTATTTCTACTCTCTCGGGCCAGAACGATCATTCTCATATTCAGTAATGGTCTTCGATAAAACAGATGCCTTCTATATGTCAGGATCTGTGGGCAATATTTGGCCCCCTACTCATGGTGTGTTGGTTGGATCATGTGTTCTTGAATCCTTCGGTGACGGTGCCCTTTCAACTCTTCGGTTGTAGTGGTCGCCGATCAGGGGCGACCTGAACCTCCGGGGAGAGGTTATTTTGGCTTGAGAGGACTCTAAGCATAATCTGGAAACATGGAACACTTTTTTAACAATCATTAATTCGGTTCGTATTTCTTGTGGCCAAATTGAGCCGCATGGGCTTGGGTGCTTGATAAGTTGAGGATCTTCAGCCCCTGGAAAGCGCCACAAACATGGCCAGCTGAATAACGGCGCTACTTAAAGCCCACTTAATCGCTGATCTCAATCCATGTTAGACTCTGCCAGTTTCAGACAAGGCCGGCATCTTGGCGACAAGGATAGTGAACTGCCCGCGGGATACTCCCAACAGATGGGGGCATTCTATAGAAGTGAAGCTTTAAACTTACCGAGCGAAAGGTACCAATTAATTGCTATCAGAGCCACTGTCAAGGAAATCCAGAGATCCTAGGAGGTTGGGATTGAGGAGTAAAGCAGCAGCAAGTATGAGCTCGATGAACTCGGTTGATGATCCTGAGGGATGATTTCCATTGGTTCCAGAGGTGGCCTGGGAGTATCGGGCAGCCGGTTCCCACCAGTCTTCACAAATCTCTGTTTGACTTGCTTATTTCATTCTAAGTTTGAAACCTTTATCCATCGCCCGTTGTTTTTCTTCACGTTGTCCCATCAATTGATATTATCAGCGGTATCGATGTGATACTTCTGATCTCCTTATCTTCCGCGTTTACATCGGCTGCTATATAGATCACAATGCTCGGAAGCAAAAGTATACTGTGTGTTGCACATGGATAGAAAGAAATAAAGCTAACAATTGAAAACGCATTCGCGCCAAGATAATTGTGTGTGCTAATAATATCTGCGAACCCTGAGGATAGTTTGTCATGAAAAGTAACTCTACTCTTGCACAAGATTGGTGGGTGAATCATCGAAAAAGATAAAGTTGACCAATCGCCTCGGAAGGACCTTGGGCATAGTAGGCCAAGACCATGGAAGCTCGGAACGCGCGAGATATTTGCTGACTCGCTGCTCAAATTAATCATACTTTCGAGATCAGCAGAGGTATGAGAATGAACCGGCATGGAAATCCATTGCTCTCCATAATCAGGTCGGATGCCCATCCCGAAATCCCCATGGTCCATACAGTATGCGACGTGCAGGGTCCCCGCAGAAGGTGGGACAAACGCGCCACTGATGGAGGTCCCAACCGATACTCATCCGCTGGGTCGGCAGAGTCCTCCGAAGTCCATGTGTATCTTGTAGAGATATGAGCTCGGTGAATTTAAATATCAGAGGCTGATAGGAATTTGATCTTGAATTATACACAAGTCACATCAGTTGCCATTACCTCTGACCAAAAATTGGCCATGCGTCCTACAACAATCACCCGCGTGGTTGGTCTGCGTCGTCCACAGTTCCTTAGGAACCATGGAGTTGCACATCGGGCGCTTACCATGCTACACCCTCCCAAGTTCGAAAATGAGAAAATGGTAAGGTAATCGAGATAAACTTCTATCCACAGTTGCTGACAACCCCCCGAAAGCTCGATTACGCCAAGGGATCCCCCGAAAGAGCCGAGTTGACCAAGACAATCAAGAATATGAAGGAGGGGTTCCCGATCAATATTCCTCTACAAATCAATGGCATCGAGGTACGAGACGAATTGAGTTCTCCTGTTCATGGCTGTTTCTTTTGTTATGGGGGGTTCGACAGCTCGTCATGAAAGCAGTTTCTAAAATCCTGCCCTGAAAATTAGATCGAAACAAAGAATTCAAGAATTCAATTGAATCCTTCAAAACACAGTGAAATTGTTGCGAACTACGCGTCTGCCACACCGGAGCAAGTCAATGCTGCGATCGATGCAGCTCTGGAGGCAAAACCCGCCTGGGAGGGCATGCCTTTTGAGGACCGCGCAGCTATATTCCTACGAGCAAGTGAGCTAATCTCTGGGAAGTACCGGTCACAGCTCGTTGCTGCAACAATGCTGGGCCAGGGGAAGAATATTTGGCAAGCCGAGATTGATGCATCGGCAGAAACAGTCGACTTTTTCCGCTATTATGTTCAAGAGGCATGGGCGCTGTACTCTCAACAGCCAAAAGTCCACCTGGATGGACATTGGAATAAGATGGAATACCGTCCTTTGGAAGGTTTCACCTATGCGATTGCTCCATTCAACTTCACTGCTCTGGGCGCCACGCTCGTTGGACCCTCTGCACTTCTGGGCAATGTTACCATATGGAAGCCTTCAGATTCTGCACTGCATGCTAGCTGGTTGTTATACAAGATTCTCCTGGAAGCTGGTCTTCCAAAGAATGTCATTCAGTTCCTTCCCGGTGATGCTGAACAGATAACTAACACTGTCTTGAAACGGCCGGAATTTGGGGCTCTCACATTCATTGGATCTACCGCTACCTTCAAGGGGATTCAGAAGAAAATCGGCGACGGCATCGGACAGGGCATCTATAACTCTTATCCACGTGTCGTCGGAGAGACTGGCGGCAAGAATTGGGGCGTTGTGCATCCATCTGCGGATGTTAAAAGCGCTGCCCTGAACACTATCCGCGCTGCATTCGAGTACCAAGGCCAGAAATGCTCCGCCAACTCGCGGGTCTACGTGGCGGAATCAGTGTGGTCTGAGTTCCAAAAGATTCTTGTGAAAGAAACATCTGCTCTGAAGGTGGGAAATGTTGAAGACTATGGAAACTTCGTTAATCCAGTGATTCATGAGCGTTCCTTCGACAAACTCAACACCTTCATCGAGAATGCCAAGTCTGACTCGGATTTGGAACTTGTTGTGGGAGGCAAAGCTTCCAAAAAGGAAGGTTTCTATGTGCACCCTACCGTATACCGTACATATAATCCACGTCATGAGCTCATGTCCACTGAGTTGTTTGGTCCTATCCTTGGTGTATATGTCTATCCAGACGGCGAATGGGAAGAGACACTAAAGCTCATTGACACTACCTCCCGCTATGGACTTACTGGAAGTATCTTTGCAAACGACCCTTATGCTAGCCGTCAAGCACAGACAATACTGAAGCATGCGGCTGGTATGCTCTACCTGAACACCAAGTGCACCGGTTCTACAGTGGCCCAACAGCCATTTGGCGGCAGTCGTGATTCAGGTACAAATGACAAAACCGGCACTATGGCTCACCTCCAGCGTTTTGTCAGCACTCGCACTATCAAGGAGGAATTTGTTCCACTACAAAAGGTTGAATATCCTTCAAATGAAGTTTGAGGGTTCCCTGTAAGAGTGTTTGAGTCAACCTACATAGTCTGTTTTACAATTCCAACTAGAAAGTTATGATTCAGGGAACCATATTGCTGAAAACATGTTTAATTTTATTTTATTGTGTGTATTGGATCATTGAATGGACACTTTCTATACGTGTATCAAAGCCTGCTCACTAGGTGCACGAATCTTTCTGGTAATTAATAGGAACAGACAAACATTCTTGTGGCTTTGACCTTTTATCTGCAGTAATCTACAGTAGGAAATGCACTAGTGAACTTATCATTGCATTCTAGACGGAAGTGGCAATGGTAGAAGAGATATGTTTGGCTGGTATGGAGTTGATGCAACCTGAACAACACATCAAGCGCACAAACTAGCCTTAGCACAAGCCTGAGGGGCAGGGTCTGGTCGCTTCCTGGGGAGAGGTTAGATAACGGAAACCTTGAATGACAAGTTCTCTGGGTAGTGGAGGTCTTGCTCCGATACCCACTCTCACCATCGGAGGGCTAATCCGACCATTGTCGGGTGACCGGTATGTAGCATATCGGCTAAGCATAGCGAGTACTGCTCAAAAGCTAGCATGATCTAGAGCAGTAGTCTTATATAGATCATGTCTGGCCATCATGACTCAGGATAGAGGCAGAGAATTGGCAACTACCTTTACTGTCCTGACTTTTGAGGTGCAAAGTGGTATCAAACATGATTTCTCGATATTCTACCACCCTCCATCGTGTTTCACAAAAGCCCCGCATCGCCTTCACGCATACGAATGTCTTCAAGAGGCACCGGTCGACTAAGCAGCGCTTCCATGGAGTCGCTACGCTGCCCCCGATGAAGCCCTACCCGGAGGTTTCATCTATGGCTAGGCTACCAACAAGTTTGGTGGTGAGGTCTTTGATACTGACATCTTTGATGTCATCAAAACTGTTATTGAAGCCTGCTCTGGCAATTTTGAACGTCGTCACAAACTCGAAATCGCCGTTCCTAAACCCAGACAAAAACCCCGTTCTAAACAAACTTCTTCGATGGACGGTATACAATCACTTCTGTGCAGGCACAAACCGTGAGGAGGTCTCAAAAACAGTGGCAAGGATTAAGAAAATTGGATACCAAGGGGTTATTCTTGGATATTCCAGGGAAATTGTGGTCGATCCAAATGAAAAGCTTGCCCTTGATGAGTCAAACGTCACAACCTATAGCGACAAGTGCTATCAAATCGTCGAGGAATGGAAAAAAGGAACACTAGAGACTCTACGGATGATCGGACAAGGTGACTTCCTTGCAGTGAAGTATGCCACTCCTCTTCCCATTTGCCAAAAAATCATTTACTAAGCTTCTGATTCACAGACTCACTGGTGCTGGACCAGTGGCCCTTGATTCAATGGCAGAGGGAAAACCCCTTCCAGAGGTCATAGAGAAGGCTATAGATGAGATTTGCACTGCGGCACAAAGGCAGGGGTCGCGTGTCTGGTTGGATGCCGAGCAACAAGTTTTACAACATGGTCTCGATAACTGGGCAATAGAAATTATGCGAAAACATAACAAGTCTGAAGCTCCTTTGGTATACAACACCATTCAAGCATATTTGAAAGGATCCAAGATGAACTTCGATCGCCATGTCACTCTTGCTTCTCAGGAAGGTTGGGCACTGGGGATCAAGTTGGTCCGAGGTGCATACATCGAGCATGAAACACGGTCTCTAATTCATGACACCAAAGAAGATACTGATCGATCATATGATCTTATCGCAGATGCTATGTTGTGCAAAAAAATGCCTGATGATGCTCAAGATCTAAACTTCCCCAGTGCCGCTCTTTTCCTGGCCACCCATAACGCCACAAGTGCTGCAAATGCAATTTCTACCCACCAGTCCCGCCTGCTAGCCCAAACTCCTACCGTCCTACTTGAGTGTGGACAGATTCAGGGTATGGCAGATGAGCTGAGCTGTCAGTTGGTGGAAAATTATGAGCGAGCAATGAGAGAATCAAACGACAAAAACGCATTTGTACCAAAGGCCTTCAAATGCATGGCTTGGGGCTCCGTTTCAGAGTGTATGCAATACCTTCACCGTCGAGCGATTGAGAACAAGGGGGCTGTTGAGCGCACACAACATATGATCACAGCATTGAGACAAGAGCTACGCCGAAGAATTCTTGGATGATTTTGATGATCCTTCAATTTATGAGAAAAAATGACGTTGGAGAGGAGTATATTACGAAGGGAAACCGCGCCAAGAAACTTTTCACACCTATCATGAACTATGTAGACAGGTAACCAAAGGCCGTGGATGAAATACTCTACGAAAACTTGAGGAGAGTGTCAATCACAGCCATAAGACACTGGTTCAAATAAATATGATTTCTGCTCGTAGATTCTATCAAAATGGGAAAGTGGAAGAAAAGTCTCTCAGTCATCATAGCAGGCTGCCTATAAGCTCCAAATATCCCTTCCTGTCCATTGCTTCGATCCACGTTTTCATCGACGAGCCTGCAGGGATCGAGTTGCTACGTAGTAATTCAAGGAAAACAGTACGAACTGTATACTGGGTACCCCGTCTCACATTCGCAATATGGCGTATCATCATTGAGGGCGGCTCAGTCCCGGGCAGAATTTCAATCAATTTGGGACGTCTTGCATTCGCATCCCAGATCATACAGACCTTTTCATCCACAAATGTAAACCATGTTTCCTCAAGGTTAGTCATGATCTTGAAGCAGGGTTGGTCAGTCATGCTTTGTTGCATCATTATTCGCTGAGCATTTTGTGCCAATGGCTGGGTTCGAGGGCGTTGCTGAGCCATGGCGTAAAAGATGATGATAATATATTAGTTCTTTGGGAAAAGCAGCTGTTGATCTTGAGCGTTGATAGAAGATTGTGAGAAATGAAAGGAGCTGGAAGATGTCAAACCCTTTAAATATGTCTCCTGGACAGCCCAGCTGTAGCTTGATGATACTATTAATGATGAACTAGAGCGCTCTACGCAAGCCTGACAGGGAGAGATGGATCACAAGCCAACAAACAACCACACACCACGATGGAGAAAAGCCTCACTGAGGGTAGACAGATACTGTCTGAGCGAAAGAGTGTAGAAGTGATATTTTTTTCCTATTATAGATGAGCTATATTTGTAAAGACCGTAGAATATGAATGTATCCTCTAATCAGAGATCACCCATCGTAGGCCTTTTCCCCGCCACATAGATTATGGTTATTTTTAGGGAAAAGTGCACCCCACTAGCTAAATCTGGAGTAATAAATAAATATTCATTCTCTGGTTTCAGAGTCCATTGTGGTCGACAAGAGACTAACAAGCTCGCCCACCAGTAGGTACACCTCTTCCGGCAATACCACCACAAATAGGTATGAGGTAAGTAGAGACTCGGTTCTAAAAATATCTCGCATGTCGCTCTGTATTCTCCTATATTAAGATCTAAAGACGAGGGATTCGTCCTAGACCCCCAACCCAACAGCTGTGACCATCGTTTCTGTTGGGTCGGGTGATCCGCACTGGGCCGTGTCATATACACTCGAGAGGATAAGCCGTGTTTCAACAAGCGAAGTACCAAATACCCCCCGGATAAGCCATACATCATCGAAAAAAATGACGTATCTGTTGGATTTTTTTCTACAGAACTCAACCAACCACTTCTGAATATTCAAGAGAACTCCCCATCACACTCGTGTTGGCTGCAGTGCCCCGGAAAAAATCCACCCTTTCGTCGTCCTTGGAGACCCTCCCTTCGAGAGGATAAAAATTGTGACTATAATTACTTCAGGGGTAAGGGCTAGCTACGTCTTTTTAAGCGATCCCCCTGAATACTGTGTTGAGTCCTCGTGGTCGATCTCATTCCGGGCGTATGATCTAGACACAGCCCGGTTCCATTACGTCATCCCTATAGCTTAGCTTATCTCGTACCTCCCTCACCAGAATGGAACTTCATCTTCGTTCTGCTCACGATTTTAGCTCAACTAATCATGGGAGGCTAAGTTAAGTTATCGACGCTTATCTTATCTAGAGTCCGGTGTTGCTTATCAGCGCGATCGGGCTTATCGAAGGTCGGAAGGCTGTCCCGAAAATTCGGGCCTTCGCTCTTACCCCGCAACAGACAAACCAGTTGATATCGGAGGCATACCCCGGTTGATCGCGGATGCTCTTTACCATCGCTTGGTTTGGCTCCTCAATCCGATATGCCCGCAACAACCAGCAAATCAAAAACCAAAAAATGCCAGCGGGCGTAAGTCTTCTGGAAATTGCCCTCGGAAAAGCTATTTCTAAACAGTAATGCAAGATGTGTACGATGTCGGGGTATGAAGGTGAAGTGCTCCGGATCTTATCCATGCGTCAGATGCACCCGTAAAAAGCAACATTGTGATTTTCCTGCGGAGGATGTGCGGATCTCAGTGTCAGGGCGGTAAATTGTTGCCTGCGATTCGCTCGCATTACACTGTTCTTTTGACCAACCGCTAATTCATTGTATAGCTATCTTCGTCAATTAGAAGACCATTTATTTAAGAGTACCGGGTCTCTACGCCACATAGATACCTCACATCGAAGGGTCACGTCTCCTTATGCAGGGGAGAATAACGTTGATAACGTTGATCCTCCTTCACCCAGCTCGCCGTCTATTATTTTGGGAGACGACGAGGTCCGATGGAGAGAAATAACACGGGGTAGGCTCATGTAATTGGTTCCGAAAAAAATACACAGCGGTGCTGATTAACCTTGGTTCAAGGGCTTGATCCTACTCTTCACGCAACACATACGCCGCACGTACAAGAAACAGAAGCCGTTGGAGATCCGGATATTGAGCAAGATGGTCGTAGATCACGATTTTCCCGAAATCCTCTTGTTGATAAAGATCCACCTTTTGCTCAAACACCCGATGGGCGTTTTTGTAAGCCTCTCCTAAAGATGGCCCTGGTCTATCCTGCTAACCGAAAATGCAGGGTATATGGGCCCAACATCATCTTGGTCATTCTGTCGGCGTGTTCTCCGCCTTATTGGGAGACGTGTCCCAGAATCAAATTGTCCTCCAGACCCTTGGCACTTAGATGGAATGGCATTTAAGCTTCAATGGAGACCCGTACCCCTAGATGAGGTACCTGATGTTTCAAATTTACCACCTCTGGATTATGCGCTGTTCTTGTTCAATACTGTCAAGTTCTATTTTGGATTTTTATCATTTATGATTGAAGAAGACGCGTATCTTCGAGATTTGCACGAGTTTTACAAAGATCCCATTGCCAAAGCATCTTCCTCGAGATATTGGTATGTTCAATATCTTCTAGTGCTGGCTTTTGGGAAAGCGTTTCTCACGCAGAAGAATCCTTCTGGAATCCCTCCGGGTCATCAATATGCCTCGAGGGCGATGGCTCTTCTTCCAGATTTATCAGGCATGCATGAAGACCCTCTGACGTGCATTCAGGCATTAAGCCTCGGTGCGGTATATCTGCAGTCTGTCGATATGCGCCGCGCTGCTTTTCAACATGTGAGTAAAGGTCGACCCCTGATGACCATTCATTCTATTAATAATCTTAGTAGATAGGACAAGCGTTGCGAGGATGCATTATAGAGGGTATTCATCGACATGTTCCCGAAGAACTCGGTGGACCAGAATTGTCTCGTCGCTGTCGAACGATCTTTTGGGTTGTATATATGCTTGACCGAGAATTTTCAGCTCTTATCGGTGCCCCAAGTTCAATTCGAGATGAAGACATTACAGTCCGGCTGCCAGCAGACGTTGAAGGATCCGTGGAGCACATTAATTTAACATTACATGTTCGACTTTCCCGACTGATGTCTCAAATTTTGACAAGTACGCTTGAACTTCCGGGATAGCTGACCCTCTGGCTAACATCACCTTTTCCAGCGGTTTACGGAGTTGGTGATGAGTTTAATGGGTCACTCATCCGAAATACGCAATCCATTTTACACCGGATGGCAGAGTTATCCCAGGATCTCACCGCATTCCTCAACACCCATTTCCATGGATTGATTGGCAGGGCGTCGAAGATGGCGATCAGACTCATGCTAGCTCATCATCATGTGAGATTTCTATTCATTCAGGTTTTATTTTATGAATTTTAATACCCAGCTTAGTGTATTGTTCTCACAACAAGACCTCTGGTCATGTGTGCTTTGAATATGCACATTGAGCGCACCGAGAGGAACACTTCTCAAAGCATATCATTGTCTCCCCCCGTGGCATCTCTTCTGCAGTGTTGTGCCGATTCGGCTCAAACGATCCTTCAGACCCTTCAGACCTTATCCGATGATGATTTGATTGGTATGCGATTGATGCCACATAACTCAACCCACACAGATTGACTGATCATAAATTGGTAGATGCATTTCTGCCATTTCAAGTCGAAGATGCTTCTTCATCTGCCTTTGTTCTCTATCTTATTCGAGCAATTGCGCCTTCTTTGATCCATAATGATACTTGGTTTGATCATTTGGAATGTGTGCTTGATAAATTGATTGCAAAAGGGAACTTAGCTGCGCCACTTCGACGACAAGAACTCAGACAGCTAGAGCAAATATTAGCACCTTTGACACCCAAGTCTAGCAGCAACCGGTCTATTCCAACTGTCATGAATCAAGACTCCCAAGTAGGTGAGGATTCATACAGTTTGGAACATGTCGATGTGGATGATGGCTTTGAATGGGATCTTCTAGGACTCAATTCATCAGTTAGCCTACCCCCGCAGGAGCTCTTAGATCTTGCAGATCAACTAGATGTGGAAACTATTATGCGATCTGTGAATTCCTGTGTGGGATAAGCCATTTTAGGACCGAAATGAACATTCTTTTAGTACCGAACTCTTGTTCTCTGTTAGGACTGACGCTATTCTATCACCTCAACTTTAGACAATATTGGTAAAGAAGCTTCTGTTGCATGTGCCGCGTTCCAAAGCTCCCACTCTGTTTCGCTCATCTGAACAGTCATGTCGAATCCACATGAACTAATAATTGGATAAACTTCCTGGCACCATATGAAATTCTCCTTGTTTCCACAATCGATGAAAGACTTCGATGCTTGTGATATTGCAAAGAGAGTGACTTGCCCTGTCGACATTCGGGTTGAGGGCTGCATACAGTAGGCTACAGACCGACAAATCTCGCTCGCATAGAACAGCATATCTGCAGGATCTGGCTCTCTTAGAAGAATATTCTCGGCCTGATAAATCACACGCCGTGTCACTAGTGATACCACCCAAAAGAGGAGGTATATTTTCGCTGTTTCCATGCTTTCGAATTTGAATGGGTCAAGCCGAGGATCTAACGGTAAAAGGCCAGTGTCATGTTCCAGGGCACCTCTACGACAAGGAGAAGGCCCGTCTTTAAGATTTTTGGCTGATCCATTAAGCCAATTCTGGAGAACTTTCCCAACAAAAACACAGCGTCGCAACAGGCGTTGTAATGGTGCCTTATAGGTAATCTCGGGATTGCGCGATTGTTGCTCGGCGATCTTCTCAAGTTCCATCTGCAGAGAAGCACAATCGGGAACTATTGCAAAAAGCTCATCTAGAGAACTTTCTTTTGCTCTCAGAGTCAAACAGCTATAGTCCACTTCTGATCTATACGGCGTGTTGATGAGGAAATATGTCTGCTGGGTTAGGAAAGTACTTTCAAACAAGCTGCAGCTCATAGACTTACAGTTGCCCATTTTTGCCTGGTCAACATTGCGTTGAAGAGAGAACGATCACAGTGAATATTGTAGTTGTAGTGTTTCAACATGGCAGTGGCTCCCTGGATGTGGGCCAAGCAATTTCTCATTGCAGCATTACCATTCTGCATGGTCTATAAAATTCTTGTCAGAGCGCAGCGATCACGACAGTCTGGGTCAATGAACATACTTCGTACGTATGAAACACAATGACTGTGTACAGCAATTCTGGCGTTGGTGAGCAATTTTGCTGTAACATACGTGCCATCTTGTTCATGGCACTGTTGTAGATCTCAACGCCATGGCGTGCCAATTGGCAATCGTTTGTCCTCTTGGCTAAGAATACAGATGCTAACGCAACAACTGATCGATCCAGCAGTTCTGAATTGCCTGATAGACTAGGGAATTGGGCCATCAAAAGATACCAGTTGTCATCTCTGCCGCTTAAATGCGTTTTATGCGCGAAGAAATTATCCATATACGTTGAAAACAGCTGGGTGCGAATGACAGCGTTTGTTTCCAGGTTGGTCGGTAATACCGTCCGTTCTTTAATCCTAATTTGTCGCGAAACAGGCCGTCTGACTTCGCCATGATGCGATCGCCGAGTGACGATCGTGTGGCAGAGAATATTCCGGGTTGTGTCGTACCCCGGACAAGGGATGCCCTTCTTCATGCACTTGGCACATTCTGGCTTTCCAAGATCGCACTAAACAAGGCTTTTAGCATTTTTAGCCACTTTGGATAAAGGAGTCGATTCATATACCCCAATTTTGCGCTTCCGGCAGTTATTGCATCCAAGGGACTGATAAGGCGTTCCACCCATCTTTTACGATGGAAATTGTCCTTATCCTCGCCAATAGCAGGCTATAACGCCTTGTCTCTCTTTTGGTGTCTCTGTACTGCCTCTTTGCATTAATCTCTCTATCCCAGGTGCCAAGTGTGCTCGTCGACTAGAGTTGAGTTGATCGTCAATAGGCTGCGGGGCCTACAGGGTACAGTTGTAGGAACGATCTGATCAACGGGTATTATATAAGCTCCTTGATGTCACACCATCGATCATCAAGGGATAATACAGATATCGATTTATGTGGACAGCTGGCTTCAAATAAGCGAAATTATAATCTACGGTCTTGGACCCATGCATTGAAAAAAGAGGTGGTGAAGAAGGGGCTAGGGTTGGGGGCCGAACAAGAAAGTTAGCTAGCCAAGCAGTAAATGAATGATGGATTGGGCCAAGCTTTTTTAGGCCATGTTCTACAAGAGGCAAATGAAGATCACTGTATTATTCAAGGGGTGCAATATTGATTATCAGCACCCCAGAGTCTATGTATCAGGGAAATGGCGGTCTGCAGGATGAATCAGGATTGATGTATATAAGACTACCCCGCTCCCAGAGGGCAGGCAATCGGACACCTCTTCTGTATATCCGTATGCCTCCTCCCTTTCATTCCTATTATCCCCTAGAGGATGGATCTGGTTTGCAGATAGGTGCAACCTTGCCCTAGTTTAGCAGAAGGATTTTCCATCATATAGCTAATATATAAGCACCATACTAGCCTTGTTTTCCTTCTAGTAGCATAGCATCGGGCTGTTCAAGATGATTCTTGAACAAATTTAGGAACATTACTGCTTCCCGCCCATTGATAATGCGATGATCATAAGTGAGAGCAATGTACATCATCTAATTTTGATGATTTGGATAGTTAGCATTTCTAGAGATGGAAGCCCGTCGTTTTGACCCGGAAGAATCTTACTGGTCGGATTTCAACTTGACCATTAACAGCCACAGGTCGATTTTAAATTCCATAAGTTCCTAAGACTGCGGTCTGGGACATATTGATGATTGGGGTACCGAATAAAGATCCCCAAATACCGCTGTTACTGATTGTAAAGCTTCCACCTACCAAATCATCCAGCGTAAGCTTTCCGTCTCGCGCCTTTTTGATACAGTTAGCCTCACCGATCATGTTTTTGCTTTCTTATGGAAATCATTCCGCTAATCACCTTGGCAACGAGCTGTGACATCCCCCTCTCAATCTCTACAATGTTCATAGACTCGATGTTTCGAAGCACGGGCGTCACAAGGCCCTTCGGAATTGATGCTGCAACACTCAAGTCGACATAGTCTCGATATATAATAGTATCACCATGTCCAAGGGACGAGTTTACGGCAGGAATCTTTTTCAAGGCAAGGACGGATGCTTTTGCCATAATGCCCATGAAGCCGAGTTTAATGCCGTGCTTCTCCTGCACCCTGTCCTTGTACCCCTCCCGCAATTGGATGACTTTGGACATGTCAACTTCGTTGAATGTTGTCAAAAACGCAGCATTTTCCTGCGATTGCTTCAAATGCTGTGCCGTCTTTTGACGTATCCGAGTCATTTTCACCTGCAGAGAGATTGATATCGTCAACATGGATTCAAAAAGTCTGACTCAGGGAAAAATTTCTCTCGGAGAAGGATATTCTTACTCTGTTCTCTCTCCGGCTAGGTTTACTTATCATAGAATCCATCTCGGTATCTGAAGTTACGACAGAGGATCTTGGTTGGGTCTCGGGCTGTGGGACCGCTGGGACTTCAGAAATCGGCACTTCACGCTGTGATATTGGCGGTGGGCCGGTAGTATGGCTATATTCTTCCACGTATGGCTCAGGGAAATGATTAGGCGAGCGGCTTAGTCTCCCCTCGCTGCTTTCTTGAATCTTCTCTGCTCCAGATTGCTCTCCTCCGGGTACGAGTTCCGCAATGGCCTGGTCAACGGTAACGGTATCACCTTCGGCAACAAGCAAGTGTTGAATGACTCCTGCATACGGAGCATTCACTGAAACATCAATCTTGTCAGTCTCGATGATGGCTATCTCCTCATCCTGTTTAATAGGCTCGCCAGCCTTCTTGGTAAACTGAGTAAGAGTTCCCTCGGTGATGGATTCGGCCATTATGGGAACGCGCACGATGGTGGGGGAGTCATATTGTGAGCCTGACACCGTAAATGAACGCGAAAACAATGGAGCATAATTTTTGCTCAACTCCTTATTACTAGCAGCGGGGTCTCTAGTTCTTGGGTTTATCGACCGGCGTATTCCATACTGTCGCGTCGCCTGAGAAATCCGAAAAGTGCCTGCTGCTCGGAAAGCCGAAGTAGAAAAGCAGCGAACACCCATCATGCACCAAAGAGACTGCTATTCCAAGATATCCAGTGCCGGAAAGAAAGATGAAATCTCGTTCAAGAGAAGTTTCAGAGAAATGCCTATCGTCTCTCTCTGAGTCCTTTTCAATGGTTTCCAGCAAAGCTTTCGGCTCAATGATCCGTACTTCGGCGTCTTGTCAGGTCGCCGACTTGTGAAAACAAGTGACCGATTAGACCCCAGGCTCTTATTTCGTCGCATTGCTTTATGACCCCTGCTTTGAGTGCCTGGTCGATAATCACATCTCTGTGACTACTTGAGACTATATACATTTGAGAGCTTTCGCGAGATGCAAATCCTTCCCTGAACTCCATAGAAAATTATATCTTTTTGTCAAAGGTGAAAATATAACATTTGCTAGCCATTTAAATTCACTCCTCCGAACTCCTGCCTTGATTCAGGCAATGAGGAAACATAATACGAAATGGAGCAAGAGAGTGTATTCTTACATCATCTTGCCTAAGTTGGCTGTGTCTTATGATACAATTGTTTCGTGAATATAGTTCATTTAGTCACAACTTTGCTTATATAAATTATTGAATGGTGGCATAATATAAGCTCTCCCATGAGTCTATCTCCCCAGAGCCTGGTTGGAACCATCAAGATTCGACTCAAATATAGACTGAACATGAAAATGACCCATCTGGTACAGAGCCTGCTGCCACTCTGTGCACCCAGTGCCCTGTACCCAGTAGTAATTGATATCATCAGAAAACCACCTTTCTCTGCGGGATGATGCCTTATCGCCTCCTTCCAAGGCAGCTCGGCTGGCACGAGTTGTCCGCATGCGTTTTCCACCAATTCCTTCTTCTTGTGACCAGATCGCGAACAGACCATCTCGATATTGTTTTAAGCGACCATCAAATACCATGATGGATCGAACATACGGGGCAATGTCTTCGGTGATAGGCGCGAGGCTATTTTCAAATGAAGGAGCGTGCCGACCGCTGGCAGGCATATAATATGGTGCTCGCATTAGAGGCTCAAAAACTTTGCGGTACCCAGGTAGGGAAGATGGGAGAATGTTTCGACGGGCAGCAGACTTTGCCCAGCCATTGAAGATACGTGTAGCACCAGCGATTTCCACATTTTCCGTGCTAGGGCGGAAGACTCGAGAAATGAAAGCGTCGAACGTGATGCCAATGGACTCGGTTAGCAAGGGGTACTCGGGTTGCAGATCAGCTTGCAGAAGAGGATAGGCGTCAATGTAGTTAGACCGGTGAGACTCTGGAAGTGGCGGAGCAGAACGATCCACAATGTCCTAGTTTCATGTAAGCTTTGGTGCCTAGGTTTTATGTCACTCGACTCACCTTAGACATTTCCATCGGACATCCGGTGCAAAGAATGTCCAGTACACTCCGCGTCTCGAGATAGTCGGCTTCTTGACTTAGTATGTCGAGTTTTTCTAGTTTCGACATCGAATTGTATTGGTCGGGAAGCAGCGATTCCGCCACACTTGCTCCCGCTGCGTCCTCTGCGTCTTGAATGCTGAGTCTCCACCAGTGAAAAGTGTTCTCTAATGCTTCTGTTTCTTTTGGCAGCGACTCCTTGTCCAAGAATGTGTCACGGTTAAACCAACCCATGTAGGACTCGTAGGTATTCAGGCTAAGAACTCGCAGCCTTTCACTATTTTGGTCCACGTTTGCTCCAGGCGGCCAAATGGGAAGGATCCAGTCTAATCCAGCTTTTTGACTTCCAACAGCCATTTGACACCAAAAATTTAAGTCCATGAGCGATCGCCGAATATCCATGCCGGACGCATTATAGAGCTTACTAACTGCGTTTCGCTTCAACACATGGCCTTCATTTGCAGCAACAAGAAGTAGGTAGTCGAGAGCAAGGTCAGGAGGTGGCTTTTGATATCGCAAAATGGCGTGTAGGGACATGTCCTGAATTGGAACAAGGCTTTCATCGTTGCAAGTGATAACGATTGGTCGCTTGGACTGACTGATTAGTGTCAAAACACCAGTCCAGAATTGTCGGTCTTCCTCGAAGAGAATATCAACTTCTTCAAGTAGAATCAGAGACTGTTTTTGCTCGCGAGTACGCTTAGCCTCAGTTTCCGGTAGGGGGCTTGGCGTTAGCTTTTTCTCTGGCTTGATATTCTTTGAAGGTTGGCCCGTAAAGAAGCTGAATAGCTTATTTTGCTTGGCATCGTCAACAGCAGGTGGATCTCGGGTCTTGCAAGATGGATCATCGTTTTCGTTGAGAAGGTGAACCAGATGATTCTGTGTCATGTCTCCAACCCTCTCAAGCATGTCTCGGGCACTTCGGCGACTACCAGAATTGATCTCAAAAACCTCAAAATCCAGCTCCTTCGCGATCGCATAAACAGATGCGGTTTTTCCACAGCCAGGAGGACCACTCAGAAGTATAGCGTTAGTCATCCGGCCTTTGTCACTTCCTTGATGAGCATGCATGGCAATGTCTCCTGACCGTACAACAGTCCTTTGTGATGATGACACAGTAACCTCTCCAGCCAATTCATCGTCTGATCCAGATAGATTGTCCATCTCCGAAGCTTCCTCTTCACTCGAGACAATGAATCCATCAAGTTTCTCCGTGTTTTTTCGCTTTTTCTTGCGTTTCTTGTCGTTTTTGGTATTTGATTTGGCGCCTTCTTTGGATTTACCTGTATCGACTGCGGTAATTTTGAGATGCTGTAGCCAATCCCTCAGGACTTGAATTTCACGGCCAACTTGAAGCACGTCTTCCGTCATCTTAGGAGAATATTTATGGACCCAGAGCTGCGATTCGTATTTCCCGCAGTCAAACGCTGAAACAGATGTAAGCAAAGTAGAGTAGAGTCTCTTGATAATTGGGCAGGAAGGCGTCCTAGAGGGTTGATGACTGGGCAAACACCAGGACATTTGACTGTCAATCGCGGCTTGCAAAACTCGACCACTAGCAGTATGTCGTCCTGGCAAGCGAAGACTTGTTTTGTCATTATGAAGTAACTGCAAAGATAATTGAGCCGTCTTTCTTGCGTGAGCGGTACTAGTTAGCAGGATGTTTTCCTGATCTGTCACGATAATAGAGGCTGTCTTGGATTTCTTGCGGTCGCTGCCGAGGAGACTGGAGATGGGAAGTGTTTTGGGAGAATCAATTGACCTGATGTGTACAAGATCTTTGGGTGGCCATAATGGATCAATCAGTTCCGCGAATTTGTTAGTACGACGAGCAAACATAGAGGATTGTCCAATTGTCTGTATTTCCCGCTTTGTTTCCAGGGTGCCTGACTGAGGTTGTTTCATAGGTCGCTTGGAATCCAAAATCGGTGGAGCTGTTTGGCTGTCGCCAGCTGTCACATTGTCAAGTTCTTTCTGGGAAACCTTCTTCAGAAAGAATGGATGTGTCGGTTTATCAGTGGCAACATCCTGAACAGGGCGACGTGGTGGAGCAGCAGGTTTGACATTTTTCCTACTACCAAGTATGTCTTCTATCAACTGGCCCAAATTTCGTTCAGACCTAGGATTGTACTTGAGAGAGACCAATTTGCTTTCAACCTTGCGGGCGCGGCCTCGCTTGCTGCTTCCTCGATTTTGGGAAACATTGCCCGGGGAATCGATTGGCGGGGAACTGAGCAATCGCCCGTTAGGATTCAGTTTCAGGATTTTTCTTTGCATGTCATTCGCGTCTTCTTGTCCTTTTTGGTCCGTGAATTTTGGCTGCTCTGTCGGAGCAGCAGCATTGATCTGTGATTCGAGGGACCCGCATGGAGATGGATGAGCCATAGTTCCCGTACTGGTGCCTGTAGATATAGCGTTCGAGGTTGTTTCAGAGAGAGATTTCATTCCCAGCCAGCTTGACAACCCTGCCTGAAGAGGTTGGTCGTGTTCGGATTGTTTGGTTCGTTCAGTCTTGCGTCTCTTCCGCCGTCCAGCGTTGGGATCTTCATCCGGACTTAACGGTACAGCTACACGAGGCATTGCGGAGTCTGAAGCACATGGTGTTGAAGTCTCGGTTTCGAGGTGTGAGTTTGTCACGGAGTTTTCCAACGGAAGAGTATTCGGCGTGGGTTCGTTATTTCCGGGAGGCGGCACAGGTGTACTTGCTAGGGAAGAGGTAGGTTTTGGCGAGGGTACAAATTCTAAGAACCAATGTAATTGTAAGTAGCCATTGATTGAATGGTTAATTGTTAAGATCATCTCACCTTGTCGGAAGAAAGGATGAACTATGGACTGTTCACCCTGCCCCATAGCGGTAGGTGGTTTGGATACGACGGTATCCATATGATGAACAACCTGGAGGCTCATGAAGAAGGTGCCATCACGTTCGATCGTAAATTTAATAGATCAAAGGTCACTGGCAGGTGATTTCAGGCCTCCGATTCCCAGAGATGCAGAGTTGAAGTGGAACGTCGTTATCGCAGTTATCAAGCCCAACACGTCCGACGCGCCTTTCGCGTCCCATCGGCTTATGTCATCCTGATTCCGTCACCTGGACTCGACCCACGTTAAGTGGTACGCTAGAACTATTTGGGTTTAGAATGGCAGACTCCCGGGCCGTTGTTATCCCGAAAATTTTTCAGATTATCCGGCAAGACGTTTTGTAGCTTCATCGATTCACATTGTTGAAGGGAGAGGATTGAAGGACTTTCAGGCTCTTCAAAGATTTGATTTTGCCTGTCATGGATCTGCAATCTCCTTCAATCTTGGCGCAATTGCCTCGCCCTCTTCATGCTTCCACAGGCAAGACTCATATCGGCGATGTGCACAGTCTTGCCGATGCCAAAAAGCGCAAGCGCTATGAAGTCGCCGTCGCTGTTGATGGAGAGGCAGTCAACATCTACAATGTATGACTCTACACTGTAACACGGACATTTCAAACATTTTTGATGATATGAACTAACTATCTTTTGTCTTTTCTTTTTAGATTCAAACACCCAAACTAGTTACTAGCTACGCCGTTCCTCCGCAGTCGACTTTCTCTTGCCGGCCTTGTTCTGTACGCCGAAAGCTGGTGAAAAATTCGCTAGTGAAAAGACAAACATACACCGCTTCAACGAAGCCTGATCACCAGATCAAGTGTTTCCTCGAGGAGATTGGAAATGGCTCAAGCGCGCCTGTTATTTCTTCGTCGACCGCCACCATTACGGACTCCAAGAGCCCAACCGCATTCGTGGGCATTATTCCATTTAGCGTCGATGGCGATGACGAAGTCAATCCTTTTGATATTCTTGCTGTGCATCAGGATGGTCGGGTGCGCAGGTTTTCTTCAGACTTGAAAACTCAGCGTTGGAGTATTCAGCACTCGGAGATCGCCAAAGTTTGCGCGACCCATGCTGTTCATTCTTGTTTCTTGATCGATCTCGAAGATGCAAAGAAGGGTCTTTTCAGGAGAAGACAAGATCTGGCTGCGCTTGCTTTGGGAGATTCGACAGCTGGGGCTGACGAACCATCGGTTTTGCTCATTGTATCCCAACCCAAGACCGCAGACACAATTGCATTGGAGAATGTGAATGTCCAAATATTCTCTGTGCCTGCTAACTCCAATGCTGGAATCCACGCTCTCGAAGAAAGCCAGCGCTTGCGGCACCTACAAACGATCCAGATCCCTGCCCTTCCCGGACTTGGCCAAATCAACACTCATGGCCTGCAATGGAGTTTCCACTCGGGATCTGCAGGGCTTCAGCTCTCATTTGAAGCCGGATTTGTCAATGTCGACTTATCACAGTATTCCCCTTGTGTTACTTCGCAGTTTGTTCAGAATGAACGTTTCTCCTCCGTCATGCGTATTTCACCCCAGTGTGTGATTGGCGCCACTCAGTCTTTGGTGGCTGTATACGACACACAATACCAATCCGTCCAGCGCAGTATCACTATCGGAGACATTCTCCCAGGAGCCGGGTCAAATGCAAATGGACCCACGACTTTCATCAGCTATTTCGCAAAGCTTGGAATTGCGGTCGCGACCAAGGGTAACACTCTCATTGGATTTGATTTGACCTCCCTACACAACCATTGCGGACAGTCCCTCAAGCGTTCCCGAGATGGTCTCCTTATTGATGCCATTGGAAGAGGTATCGGGGCGTCTGCTGCACAATGGGACAGCCTGGCATCTCTGCCAATCACCTCTCCGGAGCAGGCGGAGAAGTGGAATATATTGACCAAGACTGTGAACGCGGCCACTAAATCCAAGGATAGCAAGCTGTTTGACAAGGCAGTTCTCGATTATTTTGGCTCCGTTGAGGCTCCCGGCTTACTTCCTACGCGCAAACAATATGTCAACTCCGAGTCTACTCTGTTCTTGCTGTCGAAGATCTTCGCCGTCGAAGACTCTGTGGTCAACGACAGGATCTCCGCGTCCTCATCATCTCAGTTGCGAGTTATTCTGTGGCCATCAGCTACCTGTGACTGGCTCATTCAATTGGGTCATCTATCGGTGGACAACATTGAAATTGCTTTGCGTCGCGCTTGCAAGCCCCGTATCCTCCAGTCCCTTCCCACTGGATCTTTTGTTCAGGCCCTTATCAATTTCGATCCCTCTCTGAAGCATGTTAATAGTGTTCTCGGCGGCCCCGCTGTGATCTCTTCTGATGAGTTGGCCTATGCGTTGAAATACTTTCTCAGCCAGGCGCGCTCGCATTCTAGCGCTTTGGAAGAGACAGCTCGGGCTATCACCAATGGTGATATTGCTACACCCACCCAAGAACTCACTCGTCACCTGGGAGATGAAGCTCTTACCTTGAAGGATATCTTCACGGGTCTCAACACATGTTTGCGAAGCATTCACTCGCATCCGATTCCTTCCGTTGTCCGATCTCTCAGGTCCAATTTGTCCCAGCCCGAACTGATCTCCATGGTTCACCACTTACGCCTATCTCTTGCCACTGGTGGCTACACTTCCCGTTTCACCGAAAATCCTCCCACCCCAATCACCATCGACCAGATCACGCCTAGCCTCTCTCTTAATGCCATCACCGACCTAATTACTGCTTCCGTAGATGCTGTCGGTCCCTCCGGTTGGATATCTGCTCTGCCCAGTGTAGATGATCTCGATGACTCTGACTCAGCCATCGCTGCGGCTAGTCGCGAAATGGAGCTGATCGCTGACATGAAGTCCGAGATCTCTGCCGCCCTTGCGGGTGTGGAGGAAGCGACCTATCTGAAGGGCATTCTTCGCGAATACCTCCGTTTCTCCGACCAAGTGACGACCCCATCTGTTACAAGCACGGATGTCCTCACCGCGATTGATGAGAATGCCACACCGGCACCCTCTCATTTAGTTCGCCACGAGAAGCTCAATGGGGCTGATTTGATGGTCTTTACCCGCCCTGGCGAAGGTGAAGATGGCTATGATGCGGATGCTAGTGGCAAGATGCTTCCGCTTTCCTTGAAACCTTCTTCGACAGATGTCTCGCTCACCAAGATCAAGAAGTCCACCGGTGAGACCAAGACACGGACCAACCGTGAGATTGGTTATCTCCGCCGCAAGGCCGTCGGCAAGTACTCCTTTGAGAGACTTCTCATCTAGAGTCTATATTCCAGGCGAATAATGTTTTCCACTTCTTTTTTCTTTTTCATGTGTCATATTGCAGCCCAACATTTTACGGACCTGGGTACCATAGGAGTTAGCATCGACGGACAAAAAATTACCATTTCAATGTACGAATTTTGCAGGATGTGTTCTTCTGGTCTTTTCTTTTTTCGGTTTTTTGTTTTGAGAGAGATTTCAATTTTAAAAGGAATCTCCAACGCTTCGAAGGCTAAGGTTCAGTTTTTCATCAATCAAAAGGAATGAGTAATCGATTCGCTAGACGAGAGATATGATGGAAGAATGGCGGATACCGAGAAAATATATAATAACGGTGAGCCTCCATTCAGATTGAAAATACGTATATAGAATCGCGATCATCAGAAAGCCCCTACGCCCCATATATGATTTCTGTTCATCAAGCTTCCTTCAAATATCAAACCGCTGAATTGAAGGAGATTTATATGAATACATTGGAAGGAGCCCTGGGCATCTTGACTGGATTTATACTTCATGCTGTGGAAGATTCAGTCTCTCTACATAGTGACTTTCAAAAGAACCCATATGCAATTCCATGGGTAATCCAAATCCGTTCTTTCTTCTTTTCCTTCAGGGCCCGTGAACCTTGCTTGAAATATCGGTCAAGGATCTAGGGCGATCGGGCTGGGGTGGGACTGGGACAGCACATCGGCCACTGGCAGCACAGCCAATCGGACTATTGGGTTTTGGGATTCGAGGCTAAGACTATGGGTTACTAGCAAATGATTTTTGACGTCTGGTTCACAGTAGAATCCAAATAGGCCAATGTCAGGATCCTGCCCGGACACACAGTATCGTTGGCGAAATGGCAATAATGAGACCAGCAACGGGGGGTTGTAAGCGTGTTTTGGGTTGTGGGCGGGCAAATAAACAAGGAGCTCAGCTCCAGTGGAGCTGAAGTGCCCGCGCCAACCTCCGCACTCATCTATCCACCGTTCTTCTCCCATCCTCCACTTTCCAGTAATCACGACTGAATTTACCCCCATGTCGACCTGGACTGACCAGACCTGGTGTTTTCTTTTGTCTCATTGGAGCGTGAGCCGACCGACGTGACGCGCGCCCGCCGCGGCCGCATCATAACAACTCGAAACACGAAAAATGGGCGACGAACCATGGCTCGACAGTCTGTCCGACGACTGGCCCTCAGTGCCGGCCACGCCTACGACTCCAGGCCCGTCAGTTGCTCCCTCGCCACGACCGAGTGTCAGCGTGCAGAGCTCGCCCAGTCGCATTCCAGTGCCTGCCCGCCGATCCGTGGAACAACAATCACCGGCCGACTTGAAGAAGGTGACCCGGCCATGTCATTTCATTAAAAGAGAACCGCCCACCCCAAAGACGCCCCGAACTCCCAAAACCCCCTCGAAACCACGGTCGCCGACCCCCGCAAAATCCAAAACAAACACCCCGAAGCCCGCATCCTCACCCAAGCCCACGCCCACATCGAAATCGTCCAAGTCCGCGAAGCCTCCAAAGCGCGGCAGCCCGAAGCCCACCCCCGGGGTGATGGCGGCGGCCAGAAAACTGCCCCAGGGGGACACGCGGTCTCCGCTGCGGTCAGTTTCCAATGTCTCCAGTCAAACTAGCTACCAGAGCGAGGGTACGGTCCAGATTAAACCCAAGAAAGATACCGGGGAGGGCTCGACCACTCCCGAATGGCGGAAGCGCCTGGTACGCGGCGAGATCCCAGCCGAAGACCAACGAGACTTGTTCGCACCAATGGGACTCGAGAGCGTATTCAAACCTCCAAGCCCGTCGACGCAGCAGGACTCGATCCCATTCAGCAAGCAGGATGACCAACCGTGGGATTTTACGGACGCGACGTCCCGCCCGGCGAGCGCGCTGCGCGGGGACCAAGAACAAACTGACGCTCAGGGCGAAGAGCCTGAGCGTGCTCAGGACGAATATTCTGACACGGGGATGGAATCACCGTTAGGGACAGTCAATCGGCCCCTCTGGACCGAGAAACAACACCGCGACGAGGAGTTTGACCCCGAAGCGCATTCACAAGATGGTGGAACCGATGTACGAACGGCGAGTGGACTGGAAGACCTTCGCAACGAGGGCATCACGCCCATCACATTTACGCGACCGAATACTCTGGAAGGAGGCGCCACCTCTGAAGTCATCAAGTCTGCTCTCAAGCAAGTCACAAACAAGCTGGAAAGCCTGTCCGTGGACCAGGACAGTCGTCCGGATTCCCCTGCGAGCGATAGCTTCCTTTTCTACAACCAGCACCAGACCCTCCACTATAACCACAGTGACCCTCCGCCCGATGGCTCTCCGCGCGGCGAAGACAGCCTACTGGATGTGACCAGTCACTCACTCCCTCAAGACCTGTCAATGGGCACCATCGATTTCAGCCGCCGTGGCCCCAGTCGCTCTTTCCTCAAGCGCTTCTCTCCCTCCCCATTTCCTTCTTATCGCAAGTCTCCCGCGAACCTCGCCAACAACAAAATTCGAAACTCTCCCCTTTTCAGTCGCTCACAGAGCAACGGATCTCCCCCATTGCCTCGTCCATCCTCCTCCCATGTTCGCCCGTCCACGTCCGGGGATGCTGAATCAAAGCAAGGAACAATGCCTTCGTCCGGGAGCCCATTGAAGCTGTTCGGCGAACATGACACTTTCACGAACAACAGGCTGCTGCGGCGCATGAGCCAATTCGAAGAGACATTTGAGGATGGATCGGATCATGACGAACCACCGTCACCATCAGAGGAGGCGCGTCGAAAGGGAGAAAACCGCAGTTTCTTGAATGTCCGACACGAGCCATTGAGTGAGATATCATCCCGGCTCAACGAACGGTTGGCCTCTCGAAACGTACAGCGCCCTCGGCTGAATCGATTTGGAGACGGGGAGTTGGATAAATTCGACTTTTCTGATGCAAGTCCCTATGAGCGTCAGCTAGTCTATGATGAAGTACAAGGATTTGGGTCTCGACCATCCTCTCGCAAGTTTTCGTCAAGCCGCCAACAGTACTTGCGTCGTGGATCACAGCAGGACTCTCTCCGGTATGCGAGATCGTCAAGCTCTGGGTTTACTCGAAAGCCGTCGGCGTGGACTCGACAAAGTTACTTCGACCACATGCGCGATGGCACCTGGTCCTCTCGCGTCCACAGGAAAGAGAACGTGGGCTTTCCCGAAACCAAGAGGGTTCCCAAAGCACCTGGCATGGATCCAACTCCGAAACGACGCCGCACAATTTTGCGTGATGAGAGCGCCGAGCCTGATCACCCCCATGCTAATAGTGACTCCCTCCAAAATTTGGTGACAGCATGTCTTTGCTGCAAAGAAGTCTGATGCAGCATGGTGTCCAGCTTGAGAATGGTGACTACCTCGCCCCGCCCGGCGTTTCACAGTCTATGCTGCGCCCAAGAACGCCGACACCGAGTCAAATACGGTCCATACATGGATCGAAGATTCTATCCAGAAGGGATTATTCTGAATCCAACTTCGATGAACGTGACTATTCCGACTCGTTTTCTATTGAAGGAGACGTGCCCCTGGTCATGATCACAGGCACTAGTGATTCATCTCGTAAAGGGTCGATTACCACGCAAGATTATCTCAATGAGGCGACAAAGATTATGGATCTAATTCGAGCGAAAGGCCGAACAGCACCTGGCTCTGGATTGGCGAGTGTGCAGGAGTCTGATCCGGATAGCGATGAGGGCGATCTTAGCTACGAAGACGAATCCACAAGAGAAGCATTCTCCCGTCCGCCCAGCCGCGAAGGAACCACCGATCTTCGCAAGCAGCGCGAACCGAAGGAGTTGAACCCGCAAATTTTGAGCTATCTCAAGAAATACCAAGAAAAAGATGACTTGGAGTTCGGTGCCAATGAGTCAGTCATGTCCTTGAATATCAATTCTTCGGGCAGACAGTCCAATGCCGAAGGTCTCTTGAAGCCAGATCCTGAGCGAACGGGGGGATTGGCCCCTGAAGAGAGGAAACGAAAGCCCAGCGGTCCTATCGATGACATCGCCGAGAGCATTGCGCATGACCTGATGACCATCAATACTCAGATGTCGGGATTTAGTATTCAGTCAATACCCACCGGGTCCTCGCAGAATTCGCAGGCCAAGGGAATGTTGTCTTCAGATCTGGTGTCGCATTTAATTCCCGAGCAAGTCAACGGCTTCGTCTATGATCGTTCGAAGAATCAGTGGGTGAAGGGCGATGCCGACCAACCAGTTCGTAAACCTCTACACCAGGACGATACCGATGATCCCTTTCAAGATATTCCGGATTTAAGCGTGGATGAACTGCAAGAAATGATGCGAACCCACGGTCCCAACTCTCCTGTGAAAGTCACAGCTGCCGATGCAAATAGATATCAAAACACTCCTCCGCCTCAAGGTGCAGGCACATCTCCAGCGAAAGCGAATCCTCGACCTCACACAAGGGATGGTGAACGATCGACAAATGCAAGTTCTGTGCATTCGAGGACTACTCGGTTCACTTCCAGCGTTCCCAATTCGGGAACCCGCGCTACCTCATGGGGTACTGAGGAAACTCGTGAAACAAATGAAGCTGGAAACAGGCTTCCCACACCTGGCACTCCAGCGATGGCAGGTCAGCCTCGAATAAAAAAGTCTCGGGTCGCCACAATCACCTTCTCTTCGCCGCTTGTCTCCCATGTCGCATACAGGGAAGATCCCGATGCCTCCGAACCTCAACTGGATACCGAAAATCCTACAACAGACGATCCTTCCTGTGAAGGCGTCCAGAACCAGCGCTCCTCTGCATCTCCTTCAAGACGTGAAACTTCTATTGGAGGCCAACCATTCGTTCGACGCCCTGTTTCAAGAATAGATGAACGAAATGAGGAAGGCACTGAAGATCTTAGCCTTATTCAAAGGGATAAGTCCCTGGCGCTTCAACAGACTCTTAACGGAAATGCTGCAGAACAGTCTTTAATTCCTCTCCGTTCAGATGAACAGGAAACCAACTATAGTTTTCATTTGAGCCCACTTCCAGAGTTTTCTGTGAATCAACCAGACCACCCCCTGAATCTTGAAATGAGCTATGTGGCCCAGCGCACACACCCCACTTCTTTACGGCAAGTCCATGGGACCTTTGCCCTGGCCACAGAAGACATGATCAAACACATCACCGATGTTGAGCCTTATGAGCCGTACTGGGAGCATGTGCGTCGCCTTGTGCTACGCCAGAAAGGCTTGATCACCTTACATAAACTGAGCGATTTTTGTCCACGCCTCGAGGATTTGGATGTCTCTGATAATGACATTGGGCAGCTGAGCGGTGTTCCTGCCGGCCTCAGAACACTCAAAATCCCAAGGAATTGCCTTTCTAATCTCACGTCATGGAGCCACTTAACTAATCTTCAATACTTGGACATTTCCGGAAATGACATAGAGAGTCTGGATGGCTTCTCTAGTCTCATTCACCTTCGAGAATTAAAGGCAAATGACAACCAAATTCGCAATATCGATGGTGTTCTCGATCTCAATGGGCTGCTGAGCCTGAAACTCAGCAATAACTCCTTGACCGCCATCGACTTCGAGGGGACTGAACTGTGAGATAGGCCCGAAATTACTTGGCAATACAACGCTAATTATGATCTAGGACTCGACTCCGCGATCTTGACTTAAGTCATAATTGCTTATCATCTGTTAGGAACGTGGACTGGCTCCCATCGCTTGCGACTCTTGATCTCAGCGCCAACCAGATCCCTCAGTTCGAATCTTCGGGCTCGCTGATCAGTCTCCGCGCCTTAAAGCTTTCTGGAAATTGCCTAGAAACCCTTGATCTAAAGCATTTTTCATCTGTCAACTTGCTTTACCTTGATCAAAATTATCTTTCAACCATCACGGGTCTCGAGCATTGCCACAATATGGAGGTCCTCTCCGTGAGAGAACAGAGCCCAGCCACGGAAAATGATCCAAATTTTGCACTGGACATTGATTTAGGCCATGTCAAAGACATCCGAAAGGTGTTCTTGTCATCCAACAAACTCTCTCGAAACTGCCTCTCACCCTCTGCCTCGTTGTTACGCCTTCAGCTTCTTGATATCGCAGCCTGCACCTTGAATGCTCTTCCCAATGAATTTGCAGCGAGATTTCCTAATCTGAAGGTTTTGAATATGAACTTCAACTCGGTCAAGGAACTAGAGCCACTAGTTGGCATGAACTGTTTGGCCAGACTGACGGTAGCTGGAAACCGGCTTGCAAGAATGCGACGTGTCTGCCAAATTTTGAGTCGCCTTGGCCGTACCGGAAAGGGAAATCCATGCTCTCTTCGCAAGCTTGACATCCGTGGCAATCCGCTCACCGTGGGCTTCTACCCCCGGCTCTTACAGGGAACGGATCCATTCCAGATCGCAAGAAATTGAAGGACCAAGAAAATGCAGTCGTACAGCAAGAAGAGAAAGATCTGTCTGACGCCCTTGCTGACCTTGATCGGGACGAGAGAGTCACTCAGACTGTCACCTGGGATGACAGTGCTAAGGGGGATCGAGAAATTGAGGTCAACGACCCTTTCACTCTCCCGCCTGCTGATCCCCGCGCCGACGAGAGATATCTCAACCATCTGGATCGTGCCACTCGACTTCGCCGAAGAGTCTTAGAGCTTCTTCTCTACGCTGGCACGAGTGGTTCGCTCCACATGCTTGATGGGCTGGAGCTTCAACCTTCCCTGGGAGAGAACTCCCCCGACATGGGACACGCGTGGGCGAAATTGGAGGAATTGGGTGTTCTGCGCAGGAAAGCCATTACGGACAAAACTTAACCATGCACTGCTGTTTACTGCATTTTCACATACGGGATGGAATGCGGAGGAGGAAATTTGATTTCAGCATCATTGCCAGCGTGCATCTTCGGACTTGCTTTCTTCTTTTCATTTCTTAATAGGGCTCTTCTTGGGGTGGGCCTATATGTCTGGTGTTCGGTGTCTGCGCACATACAATATGCATGATCGCATTCCTGGAGTTTGATTTTCCGGTCGCACATTATACATCGCAGGTCGGTGGATTATAGCGACAGCACATTCTCAGCTGAATTTACAATATCATTTTTTTCTTCTTGAAACCTCGTCACGAACTCTGCGATTGTAGATGGAAGGAGCGTATCAAATCCGTGAATATGACCGAGTAAACAAAGCACCCGAACCCGAAGACTTTCGTGAAGTATTTTGGCTCCCTGAGCCCCGCCCTCATTAAAATACTTTGACCACCTTGAATCTCCGGTTTGATGATTTCACCGCCATTATTACATTATTATCGTCGTCCCTAGTGGTGGTGGTGGTAGTTAGAAATGGCAGTGAGAGGAAAGAGACGATAGGATAGACCGCCAACAGCGTCTTGTGTAGAGAAGTATTAGGATGCACCCTACCACACCATTCTAGTAGGAAGTAGTGGCGGTGAGAAAATGGTGCATTGAGAGGAAACTGAATACTTCATGGGTGGTCATTGTGGACGAAGTCAACGGAGGGGAAGTTAGGCCGTGGCTTTAAGCCCGGGCCAAGTCAACAGAGCCTCAGCTTGATCAACAATACTCATTCCTAGATTGGCAAGAGATTAGACAAATGCGAAGACGCACTCGCGGTAATTTCGGTATTTAAAAAATTACTTCGTTTTAATGTTTGCTCAGTCTTGGGCACAACCGCGAAGGACAGAAATATTGAAGCTCATTCCACTCTTTTCATGTATATACAACGACACTGGAGCGGGTCTTCTTGGTTTATTCTCCTCACCTTGCGGGGCATAATTGCGGTGCCTCATAGAGAATCTAAGCGTCGACCTGTGGTCCTCGAGACTTTTAGGCAACCAGGGATCAGAAAGAGCACAATGGTTCGCTGGTCTTGTTTTCTTCCCCACCACCCCCTTGTCATTCGTACCCCCAAACCCGACACAGTGGAAAGTAGAGCGGACCGTGAGGCCCGATGTTCTGGCTCCCGGACCAGACTCGGCCCCGCGAATCTGGGTGCTGGGATGGGGATGATGATTGCTTCACTCCCATTGCTCGCGGAGCCCGGGAGCCATGCACGCTGGACATGGCTATGCATAAGCGTGTTTCGTCGACGAGGGGGCTGCGCGAAGGATGGTGTACTTCCGGAGGAGAGCAAAGTTCTGTTCCCTCAAGGCCTCTCTATCTGAATTTTGCAGATTTTGCGAATTTTCCCCTTTTTATTTCCAAGTCCCGACAAAATGTCTGATCTGTCTTCTTCATTTACATGCATCCTTCCATGGTTGCCCAGTCCTGTGGGTGATGTGGCCTTCGCACACATATAAGGAACTTTCCGCAACACGAAGATAATGCGTTGGAACATGATGAATGGCCCCCAGAAAAACATCCCAAAATGTCTTTCTATTTATTTGCGTCTTTTAGCTCTGTCATCTTCACTATCACTGCTATTGTGTGGTGGTTAACCAAACGGTCCCCACCCCTACCACCAATTCCTAGTCATACCGTGACAGTGACGGTGTGTGAGCCGCGAGAGAAGCCTTAGAGTGACACGAACAGCAAAGACTGACAAAGAAAATACCTTCAGATTGAGAGAGACCCAGAAAATATAATACGGCAGCACCCTAGCACCAAGGGTCTGCGACATCGCCGGCCTTTCGAATGTCAGTTGAAAGTCGACAACTCCCGAATCTCCGAACCTTCTCCCTGACTCGAAACAGTCCATAACGAATAGGTCCGATCCATAATCAGCATCTGCTATAATCGAGAACATACCATAGATATATTGCTATTGCAAGAGAAATTCATATGGAGAGGTGATCGTCATGGAGTTGTGATATCAACACTAGCCTTGGAAAAATACAAAGTTATGGGTCCGGACATATGTCACTGGCTCCTCATCGCTCTATACCATAGGAGACCAATCTTATACTGAAAATATTCTCCCATGCTTCATCTAATCCTTGAACCGAAACAACTAGACTATTATTAAGAGATAGAGCAGATCATGACATTTAAGACGTGGAGGGCACAGTGAGGAGTTGGGAGGGAAAGCTTCAGCAACAATATACAAGGCACACAGGAGTAAGCTTAATGATTAAGTTCAGCAGCCTCGGAAACACACCGCGGATTCGAAGCGAGGGGGGACGAGTTTTAAAAAGCAGTTGTCCTACGCATGAATAAAAATGTCACGACACGCCAGAAGTTCAAATTGAAGCATAAACTTCTAGAATATCCGCCGGAAATTGCAAGAATGTCAAACTAGTCAATAGAAACCAGCTTATCAAGTTGGCTTGGCGCTTATCTAATGAAGGAAAGTCTTGCGCGACACGCTCCATTCCTAAACGCAGAGTCTTGACCTATTTTTGTGCACAAAAATAATGTTCCAGGGGAAAATTAAATTGAAGTCATATTAAAATAGAGCAAAGAATAAAAGAATATATAGGTGAGAAAGAAAGTGAGTTCATAATTCAAACACCCAAATAGTTGTTTGAGCCTCGCTGTGAGTACAATCAAAAGTGGACAGCTCATTTGCCCTGGACAAGAAGCTGTTTCTCCTTTTTAATCTGTTTGATGACTTCTATGTCCACTTTCAATACGTTCGCCACAGTATCTGCAGGCGTCAAAGCAAGCCACTGGGCCAAAGAGATATCAGCCACGCGGTCACTTTTGTATAGCTCAATCCAAATGAGTTTCTCTGTCTCAGACGTGTTCTCGATGTAATGACCTTTGAGAAATGAGTCAGAATTGGTTGATTAAATCAATGGACAGAGTTGAGATCTTACCGCTGTTGTCTGGGAACACAGCAGTGTCTCCGGCAGTAAAGTCGAAGGTGCGTGCTTTTGAGTCGCCAATGAAGACAGTGGCACGGGCATTCCCTTGGTGAAAGTACAGCCACTCCTCGGCCTGATTACATTCAAAAATTAGCATTCATCTTTGTAGGTGGGAATATTAGAGGACCTACGTTAGGATGCCAGTGAAGCTCGCGGAGGCCTTTGGGTTCAAGCTCAACAATAGCTGCAGCGAGAGTTTTTGAAATCGGGAAGTTGGTAGAATCAATCTTGCGAAAAGTTCCGCCATGGCCAGGGACAGGCTCGGAGGGATGCTGGTATGTGTGGTAAACATATGAACTATTGCCCTTTAGAGTACCTTCAGGTGCCTTGTTAACATCTGCGCTGACGGTGCCGTTGAGAATGTATGGAAACTTCGATGGGACTTTGCTAAAAACAGCAGGATCAACACCAAAGTTCTTAGCAAGAACTTCCGTTGGTGTGTGGGCGATCCAATCGTCAACCATGAATGTAGTTCTGTCTGTTTAGTTTACCAACTGGCAACTTCGTGTGGGGTAAATGCTTACCCAATCTTCTCGAAATCACCATCATCGAACGCAAGCAAGTATTCATTCTCGTCATCTAGTCCTTGGACGTTGTGGGCAACACCTTTGGGAAAGTACCAGATGTCACCCGTTTCAAGCTTCTCGGTTGTGAATCCACCATTCTCATCAACCCCGGTAAGGAGAAGAGATCCGTTATATAAAAAGCCCCATTCTGCCTAAATAGAATTTGAGCATGAAATACAAAGCCGGAATTTCTACCAGCCAATACATACTGTTCTGTGCCAGTGAAGCTCACGAATAGCGCCTTTCTTAAGATGTTGTTGTGCTCCCGCGATATCATGGCTCTGTGGAAGATCCTGAATCACCTGCTCTCGAGACCAACCGCCAGGGAAAAGCCTGGTCTGCGATTGGGAGAAACTCCACTTGACGTTCGGCACGAAACCATTGTCAGTGGTTGGGGTGCGAAGTTGGTCAGGATTCTGAAGGTCGACAGGCCTGTTGGTACCACCTAACGGTATTTTGTTTGGAATTAGTATCCAACAAAGAGGATAGGAGCCTCTTGGAAATACCTAGCAACGGTGCTCCCCTGCCATTTTCAGGATTGATTGGCTGGCCATTTTCAGGGTTCGATCGTTTAATGTTCTTGGGGCCAGCAAAGACGGAACCAGAAAGAAGCCCAATAAGGAGGAGACCCTGGTATAGCATTGTGAAATTGAACAAGACGTCGTTTTTCTGCGAAAGAGAAATCCCTGGGGAATGATTTGGCGATTTACGTCGGTGACTGGTCCTGGCAGTCTCTTATATAACCACACATTCCCCGAATTTGCACCATAATTCCGGGGCCCAAGTGGCGCCTCAGCTGTTTGACAATATTGATGATAACAGATTCAATAAATATCGCGATATTTCACGCAGGCTCACAGCATGTCTGCACAGGCTGCACTCCCGCGAAGCAAAATGATGTGACCCGGACGCCATCAATTAATTTCCAGCCCGCGCGATAGCCTAAGAAAAAGAGCCATCAAAATCTTCCCATAGTCCAGGGGATCAGTTCTTGAATTGGGAAAGTTAAAATTTGATACATGGATAGCAACATCCTTGGCATATTGGCGAAATCGGCGAGGCCTCACCCGTGCTCCTGCACCCCATGGGGAAATGTCAGCGCCGATCCAGGACCCTGACAAGCCTCTTTGATGAGACCCTGAAATTTGATTACTTTCTTGAAGGGGGAAGAATATTCATTCTGCATTCGATCACCTCACCTACTCCATGATTCAGTGGTTCCATAAACCTTGGCGAACCCTTGGCACTCGTGGATCGTCCTCACCTCGCATTAGAAGGTTCACGCGGTATCAAAACTAAGCTTTAGTGGTTTGCTGTTGGCATGATGGCATCGAATTGGAATCTAGCTGGTGGTATTTTGATTGAGTTTCGCTTCAAGTAATTGTCGTCGTGTTTTCGTTTTCGGTACTTGAGAGGCTCTGGATATCTCCTGCTATATAACATCATAATGGAATAACAAAGCTGGGAACATATGCTCAATATCATAGATTTGTCGTCCGTGCTAGGCATTTTGATTGGAAGCAGGGGACTGCATTCGGACGAAATTTTAATTTCCTGTTCCTCTTTTTCCTACAGGAGATTCCCGCCCCTCGACTGGGGTTCGGGCATTGATTTGATCACGACATCTCATCCGCATTAGCTTGGCTTGGCTCTGCATGAAGTAAAGAACTATAGGAATGCATTAATGCAAACTACACTCAGCTCATGGTTATTCTTCTCGTGTTGACGGAAATTGGAATTCGCCATTTCGCAGATCAAGTTCGCCTTGAGAAGCCTGGACAGACTCATTGTGACCAAGATGGACCAGTAGCGTGCCCAGGATCAGATCAAGAGAAAACAAGGAAAATGAAAGCAAATGTGAAAGAAGTAAAAGAGGCAGGGAGAGTAAGGAAATCTATATAAACACCCGTATTTCTCTCGAATCTGCTCATTCCGACAGCTGCGTTAATTTCTCGGTGCTTCTATTTGTCTGGTCAGCCTATCCGCCCACAATGCGATCTTCATTTGCTTTCATTGCATACCTCCTGACCATTGCGGAGTCTTTGTCTCTTCCGCCTCTCATTCCATTGATTCCCGGAGTGACAGAGCCTCTTACTGAGAACGCCCCCCCTTGCCCATCCTGCAAGTTCCGACTCCACCCTTGGAGAGTCCTCCCTTCACTCCCAGTGATATCAAGCCCAAGAAAATTGGCTACTTCTGGACCGGATCTGCGGACAAGGAGCACAAGGACTTTCTCGCGACTTATAGCTTGGATGATGTGAGTTTAGACATAAAGTTTCGGTATCATTTCTGTACTCACCTATTAAAGGATACATTTGGTACCCTCCTATGGGTAACTGATGTGCCTTCTAGTGGCAACGACCCTCACCATTTAGGTCCTTCTCTCGATGGAAAGACCTTGTTTGGTGGTGGATTGCTATCATTATTGAAGACACAGGTATAAATATTGTTCGAGATCCTGATGAAAATGCATATTTCTGATTATATAACATAGGACACCGGCTTTTATTTTGATACCTCGGACCCCTACCGCCCAAAGTTTCTGAAAAGTAATCGTGCTCTCCTCTCTTCAATTGCTGACGAGGTCCGCGCAAAGCCAGATGGTGGCTTCTTCATTACATACATGGGATCCGCAGTGGGCACTTCCCCCGGCCGTCTTATCGAGACAGACGCAAATTTTGACATTATTCACGAGTGGCCAGAAGATGTAGAGGGTACTCTTAATATCCTGGGAGAGCAATTTTCTCCTCATGGTCTGAGCATTGACTGGAAGAACAAGCTCATTCTGACTTCTGACTTCGTGGAGCCAATCACCATCCTCAAGCCTAGTTTGGGTGTGCGCCATGCCAATACTCTGCGCCTCTGGGATCTCGACAGTCGCAAGATAATCAACACTCTGACTATCCCTGACGTGAGTTCATCCTGTGCCCTTCAAGTAAATGTGCTGAAAATTGATCTATCTTCAAGGGTGGTGGTATCCAAGATGTCAAGTTCATTCCCGGTCACCCTGAAGCTGCTGCCATTGCTACCGCTGTGCACCTTGGTCAAGTTTGGGTCATCTACCCGCTTCGAAAAGATGCGAATGGCAAGCAAGGCGTCATTGAAGAGCTTTATGATTTAGGACCTAAGGCCCGTGACGTTGTTGCTATCTAGTATGTTGTCCGCATAAAACTCGGAAGTATCAATGAATCTAATAGTACCCTTCTACAGTACCGATATCAGCCAAGATGGCCGCTTCTTGTACCTGACACTAACTACCGCAAACCACATTGCCGCACTTGATATCAGTGACCTGAGCAACGTCAAGCGTCTAGATGACCCGGATGAGGATCAACCTACCGTTGGACCCCACTATATTAAAGTGACTCCTGATCAAAAGCACCTGGTCGTCACCGATTACTTCGTTCAGACCGGCGAGATCGGTATCATCAACACCCCGGCCGATTTCAAAGCCCTTTACATCGACCTGAATGAAGACGGTAGCTTGAGCTTCGACAGGTATATTGATTTTAGCAAGGAATTTGCTAATCGTGGCGGCGCAAAACCTCACTCCAGTGTCGTCTTTGATTTGACCGATCCGGAAAACCCCTACTACTACTAGGTATAAACTGAGATGGTAGTAGAATATTATTGGATAGCGACAAGAAAGAGGACGCAAAGTTGATTTATAGTTAACATTCGTGGGCCTTGACAAAATCTTGTGCTCTTTCATTACACACCAACGCTGGAGAAAGGTTCATGGTGTGCTTAATATGGCTGACTTTCACGCTATTTTAATATGATCTAAATTTTTAGGGTATACAGGATCCTACAAAAACAGTAACTATGCTTCTAGGCCTATCAAACGTAATCGGTAAGCCAAGAGAGCTAAATCAGTAGAAGTCGTAAAGAATCTCGGAATGTCTGGTCAACTTATTGAAGAAACCCTTCGCTTGTAGAAATGTCCCCTTTCCGTACCCTGATTCCGTCGATGATCTTGTTTTTGATCTTCCCATTGACCTTGACCTTTGACATTTAATTTGTTTGATATGGCCACTTTGATGCATCCTATCTACATCGGGCTTCATGGGCGCTAAAGTAGAGCTAGGGGCTGGAGTTTGATTGAAGAAACCTCAAGAGAACACTTGATTAGATTAGTCAAATGTGCTTACATCTTTACCTGGCTTTCTTTTGACCTCTTTTATCCCTTTTCTGAATTATACGGGTATGCATACCCTGAGAACTTGGAGGTCTTGTCATTCTCCCAGAATTAACAACCTCATCACTACTCCAAACCAGCTAGCCTGAAAATTTGATCATAATCAGTCAGTTGAAAATTATTCATTCTTTTTACTTTCGGTTTGTATTGTTGGCCACAGGAGATAATGAAAGAAAAATCGTGATTCAGATTATGGTATGGAAGCGTGGGGGTACGGTCGCTTGTTTTAGCCATATCCTAATCATTCTGGCTAAATCTCTGGAAAAATCACGGGGGTTAACTTGGCAGCCAAAACCAGGCACTTTAGACTCGACCAAGCGTGTTATCGCCGACGCCAATAGGCGGAAGAAGGCTTGTATTGCGCCGCCTGCTAGCGCAGAATTGTACAAGGCGAAAGGCGTCTTATAGGTGGGTCGCAGGGTGTTGGTACGTTTTTGTATTGATGACTGCGGGGCTGTCCAAGTGTCGGCCCCTGGCAGCAATTTGAAGTCCGAGGATCTTGGGAGCTATAGAGGAGGTGCGGGTATTTCAGGTTGCTTGGATCTTGTTAAATGAATCATGGTGAAGTTGAATGTTTCTCCGAGGATCTTTCGGGTCAAAAAAAAAACAGAAATTCGTGTCGTTCCTCTCTCACAAACAAGGTTACCTTACCAATACGGTATCCTTCAAGAGAAAAGTCGGCTATCGAGTATGATGGATTCCGGCAAAATAAGAAAACGGGCTTGTTACAAGCTTCAAACACGGGCCTCGGGTTCTCACGGCCGCCCGTTCTATGCAGCAAGAAGATGTGCGATTTAGCCTACGGGAAGCTTCTCCACATCCCCGGACTCGTGTGGGGGCCAGTCATCTGGGGTAATGCCGGCCAGCCTTGCATACCATCACAAGCGTATAAAGGCTGAGACACACTTCCTTGCTGGCTGAGATCGGTCCAGGCCGAGAATCTGTCTCACTTATCAACCCCTTTGTAAAGGTTGATACCATACAGGGTGATATTCCATTTGGCTGGCCACTCGATTCCTGAATTCCATCAGGCATCATGTCTCACGAGCCTAAGCCCGAAGTTGAGCATGCCGCAGAGGTCGAGGTATCGGCCGATGTGGCGGGCTGGGTTGGCCTCGCCGAGGATGCTCGAAATGCGACGACCGAAGAGCATAATATGACGATCATGAAAGCAGTCAAGATGTACCCTAAGGCCTGTCTGTGGTCCATGGTTGTGTCGCTGGTCGTGATCATGGATGGATACGACACGGCATTAATGGGCTCTTTCTTCGGTTTTCCCTCCCTTTCAAAAGCAATTCGGCATACCTGTTGGCGATGGATCATACCAACTTGAAGCCAAATGGCAAACTGCGCTCGGTCTCGCCAGCCCCCTTGGGAATATTGTTGGCATTTACATCAACGCGATGGTCACTGAGCGATGGGGTCATAAGAAAGCTGTCCTGGGAAGTCTTGTATTCCTCACTGGCGTCCTCTTCATACCCTTTTTCTCCAAGACGGTCGAGGTACTCTTTGCGGGCCAACTACTCTGTGGCATAGCGTGGGGCGTTTTTACCACTTTGGCGCCCGCCTATGCCTCCGAGGTTGCTCCGGTTGCCCTTCGTGCCTATCTGGAAACATTCGTCGTTCTGTGTTGGGGAATCGGCCAGTTGATTTCATACGCGCTGATTTACACTCAAACTCACCGCACAGACGAATGGAGCTGGCGAATTCCTTTGGGTGTTCAGTGGGCTTGGGTAGTCATCATTATTCCGCTCATTCTCTTTGCACCCGAGTCTCCCTGGTGGCTGGTACGCCATGGGCGTATAGCCGAGGCCGAAAAATCGGTCAAGAGGCTTTCTTCACGGTCGGCCAATTATGAGACTCATGTGAAACAAGCCGTTGCATTGATGGTCGAGACCACGAACATTGAGAAAGCCATGACAGAAGGAGCTTCCTTTATTGACTGTTTTCGAGGATCAAACCTGTGGCGCACCGAGATTAGTTGCCTTATCTGGGCTTCCCAAGCTCTATGCGGGTTCGCCATCAGCAACTATGCCACCTACTTCTACGAACAGGCCGGACTGCCCACTACGAATGCATACAAGATGACTGTCGGACAAGGTGGGATCCATTTTGCGTGCAATCTCCTCTCTGTGCTTGTTACCAATCGTTTCGGCCGACGCGCTATTGCTCTGACTGGATATGCCGGCATGACCTTTGCAATGCTCCTCCTCGGCTTCCTCGCCCTTGCCCACCAAACTACAGGGCTTGGTTATGGTCAGGCAGTCATGTTCTTGGTCTGGTATTGCACCTACCAGCTCACTATCGGACCCACCGCGTTCATTGTTGTCGGAGAAATCTCTTCGACTCGACTGCGCTCCAAGACTATCTCTCTTGCACGAAATGCCTATAACGTAGCCAACATTTTCAGTGCCACCGTAGCACCATACACCCTCAACCCAACAGAAGGAAATCTAAAGGGCAAAGCCGGTTTTTTGGCTGCAGCATTTTCTCTCCTGTGTCTGTTATGGGGCTACTTCCGTATTCCTGAAAGCAAAGGTCGGACCTACGAGGAGTTGGATATTTTGTTCTCGAGGAATTTGAAGGCTCGCGAATTCAAGAACGCGTCTGTGGATGAAGTGGATGTCAATCAAGTTGTCAAGCAGGCCAATTGAGCCGATGCAAAGCCTGATTGACTATGTCTGTGTTGTTGTTTCTTGTTCCTATACTGCCGATCTAAACTAGCGACCTGATGTGAAATTGCCAGAGATATTTCTTCTAATTGTTGTTTGATTAACCTCCCACTTTGCATTTAATAAAGTAGAAATTATCCCGTGTTTTCGCTACCCATTTAGCCGGACATTGAATGAGATTTAGCTGACTGGACTAGCGCCGATTGCGTGCCCGTTATAGTATAAGGCCGAGGTGTTCCGAAAATACTCCAATGCCCTGACATCTCCAAAAATTATAGCACCGAAGAATCATGAAACTGCCTCTGTCTGATGATGAACATTGGGTGCATACATGGACAAGTATGCCCATGATTCTAGCACCCGCCGATCTTCCGTCTAAAAATTTCGTATGCAAATCACAGCTGGTCAGATAAGGCTGAACGGAGCTAATCATTGTTGTCCCTTGCGAGTAGATTGAGGAAAAAATCGCCTTTACCGACTCGACTCTTCGCCAAACAGCCCGCATATCGACAGGAACAGAGAAATTTCTACGGATCCGGTTATCAAACCTCTTCGGGACCGAACCTCTCACTGTTACGAAAACAACGCTTGCTCTCACGGCTGGTAATCAATCTGGGACATCGGCAATTGAACCCCGCACTCTCCAAAAGGTCACCTTCAATGGCTATGAATCTACAACTATCCCGGGCGGTGCGCAAGTCGTCTCTGATCCAGTTGATTTTGGATTCTCTATAGCCCCACGACAGGCTCTTAGTATCAGTATTTTCATCGAATCTGGCCAACAATTCGACTCTATTACCTCTCACCCGGGTAGTCGGACGACTTCATATCTCACGAAAGGAGTCCATGTCGCCGAGGATGACTTCAATAATCTTGCTGTCGAGCAGGCAGACCATTGGTAAACGCTGAAATGAAATGAGCTTCGGAGAAATCATGAGAGCCAGCGATTCTGACACCGCACTAGGTACTACATCAGCGGCATCGAAGCTCTTGTCCCACGGAATACGCAGGCCTTTGCGCTGCTCGGCGACAGCATAACAGATGGCCGGGGCAGCACTACGAACGGAGACACGCGGTAATAAACGCATTCCTCACTCGGTGAGATCTCAACAAAAAAAGGCACTGCTAATTAACGGTGCGGGGTGATCGAAATAGCTGGCCGGATTTCTTCTTCCAACAACTCCTTGCCCGCTCGCCCAGCCCATCAAATCCTATATCAATTGTCAACCAGGCAGCAGGTGGCAACCGTGTCCTCGCCGATGGCCTCGGTCCCAGCGTGCTTAGCCGGTTGGATAGAGATATCCTTTCCCTCTCAGGCGTCCGATTCGTCCTCATATTCACCGGTATAAACGATATTGGCAAAGCGCCTGCTGACCCCACTAGCCAACAGATTCTCAGTGAGCAACTAATTGCCGGATACATGCAACTCATCACTCGGCTACGGGCGCACGGATTATGTGCTTTCGGGGCTACACTGACACCCTTTTGTCTTCGTGATGGAACTGACCCTTCGTCGTATTCCCACCCTCAGCGAGAGGCTACAAGGCAGACAGTGAACCAGTGGATCAGGACAAGTGGGATATATGATACAGTCGTTGATTTTGATGCAGTTCTACGCGATCCTGAAGATTGTTCTTTACTAAGGGCGGAGTTTGATTCTGGGGATGGGATACATCCTAATAATAGGGCGTTCATGGCTATGGCGACCGCATTTGGTATCAGCTTCGAGGAGTCGAAGAATGGAGCAGAGACATAATCATAGGTGTTATGTCATGAACACATATACATCTTCAGATGGCAATATGAGATTTTTTGGGAAGTGTGGTGCTATTTACAAGATATTTATAAATTTTCAAGCCCAAGAAGATTTCAGTACCAAGATAGACCATCGAGTAACCCAGCCAATACAATGAACAGCCAAAATAGCATCATCTAGTTGTTAGACACTAAAGAGAGCATGGAACGAGCAGGAATAGCCCCTGCAACCTTCCCTCCCTTTTGTACAACTAGTGAAGATAGAGACAGCAGGTCGTTTTCATTGTCGGTAAGATATGGCCGCACATGGGTCCCCTTTTTGAGGCCCGGGATTTGAAGTTCAAAGTCGTACGCCAATGTACCATTGTTGATCAACTGAGCCGCCACCACGCCGTCGGTGTTTACGAAAGCACTAGTTGTGATGTCTGGTTGAGAACTGGAAGAGAGGACTCGCCGAGCACCGGGCCGCACGAATTTGCTGAACTGAGCAAAGGCCCAGAATCTCTTGGACGGAATCACCTCATTGTTAATCATATTTATCAGGCCACTGTTGGTGGTCGAGTTTTCGGCACCGATCCAGTACAGGAATGCGCTGACATTGGCATCCGTGAAGGCGACTTGAATGCGACGAGCCCACGTCAAACCTTCGCCTTCGGCACCATTCTCGTAAAAGGTGTAGGGCGTAAATTGACCGGTCAAATCAGCCCACTCAGACTCCCAGACCTTCAAATCGGTGTCAAGTTCGAATGAAGGGGCACCGTCGTAGCCATGCCCCGTGATAACGGACAGATGGTTGATGGCCGGATCAGGACCAGCGTGGAGCCCTGGCATCATTTCGGCCTGGAGTTCCCAGCCCATGCCATCACAGCAGGTGAGCTTGACATCAATCCCCGCCTTCTTGATGGTTCGAGACAAGACCCGGATGAAGTCTGCGGCTTGAGTGCCATTCGATAGCATACCAGCATAGGAAGGAGCCAATTGGGGCTCATTGAGGAAGCCCAGATGGGTCACCTCAACACCGGACTGTCTATAAAACCGAATGTACTGGACAAGGTAGTTCGCATAGGCCTGCATCCAGTTTCCTGAGGCACAGGAGGTATCCGTCACACCGCAGAGGTAGCCACCATTATTCTCGTCGAGGTTGGTCTTCATGTAGCCCGGAGCACTCCAGGCGTTGGCGTATAGAGACGAAAGCCCGCGCGCGTAGGCATTCTCAGCCAATGGAAATTGGGCACTATCATATTCATCCCATACATATTTGGGCTTAGACGATGGGGAGCCAGGGCTGAAAGGCTCGATTGAGTTCATAAAGTTGCTTGCTGATGAATTGCTGGAGCCGATACCATTTCTAAGGATGGTGAAACCCGCTCCGATAGTCTTGTCGAAAAGAAGATTCAACACCAGTGTTTGATTGACTGCAGGCAACCCATATTTACCAAATACATCTTCGGCACGTTGGAAAGCTTGCGAGCAGCCAAATCCATCAACTTCTTGATACTTGGTGTTCGTGTCAACCGTCACTGTCGCTGATTCAAGGTGTCGTGGAGATCCTTCTACAAGGTGCCCCAAAGCAAATGCAAGAAGAAACTTGTCTGTGATGTGCATTTTGGCCGCTTTTCAGGTAGATATCGATGCTCGCCTAGTCCATATGATGGAACATGAAAAATGGAGAACGATTGATATACCTTATATTATTTATCTAATTGGGAAAAAGAAACAATGAGATTAAGCATATGCACGCCGGGTAGGGTACCTCAGGTACTCCGGCTGAAAGGGCCGCCGGCCGCGTCGGAGCTTCCCCCATTTAGCCGTTCACTTCATTAACCCAATTAGCTGCCTTGCAGAAGCTAATGCTTCGTGAAGTTTTGGTTATTGGTTGCTAGTAAGTCCCAAGAGCTACCCCGCGTTTTTGTAAACAGTACTCGGCTGAATAGCCCCGAAAATAACCCGGTCGAGCGGCAATGGCAGATGCCGTTCCCCAAATGCCGAGTCTCTCCTGATAATTGAATATCGCATGACACGATGCCCGTCATCATGCAAAATTTACCAATGAGTGGCTGTGGGAGTCGTGACCTAGGTGAGGCCAGATGCCTCCAACTATTTAGTTTAGATATCTTACGATACAGCTAGGTGGGCTTTTACAGGTAATGCGCGTGGAAAATGATAGGATTTTCGAAACAAGGTCGAAGAAGACGCATAATCATACGCAAAAACCGTTAAGCAGGGATTTCTTCTTCGAATATTGAAACTAGGTTCATAATACCAAACAGCTTTTATACATAAACAAACTATATATTTGTGAATCACGGCGAGCTTCAATCTATATTCCAGACCACAGTGAAGGACGATAAAAACTAGAAAAACATGACTCTGGAGTATTCCAGCAAGCAATCACAAATCTACTAATCTATGATACCTTCTGGTAAAAATGAGACATAGTCTACCGGGGCACGCTCAGCCCCGTCTGGTCTCCCAACGATGCGCAGTCGATCCCCGTTATTCACTGTCACACCTTTGAAGGTGATTCGTGTCGCTGAATGGCCATCAACAAGATCCGAGAAATCATGTCCCAGGTGCTTCTCCAAATCTCCAGCCCATGCACCAATGAGGCGGTCATTCAGAAAGATTTGATACTGCGAAGTTCCGCCCAGATGATCGTAATAGTTGATCGCGACATCATATAGACCCGAAGGGAAGGTAACTACAGTCTGGGCAGTTGCGGATTGCACTCCAGGGACCGCCACGATTGCTTGGTTGCCAGATGCTGCCTCAAATGGCGTCACGGATACCGCTTCATACCCCTCCAGTTCCATCGCCTCTGCCTCGATCCGCCATGGGTGATTACCTACCCGGCCCTGTTCATCCGCAATCCCACATTTCACATTGTAGAACGTATTCACCGAGTCCCGCCAAACGAGCGCATGGCCCGCCTGGAATCGCAACCGAAACAGTACATGGTTGAAACGCGCATCATCGATCAACCCGCGCAGTGTCTCCCACTGTTCCGGGAATGTTTGCGCCACACGCGCGCCGTCGTAATGCGCATCGTAGAAATGTTGAATTACTGTCTTCCCGGACTTCAAGACGTGTGTATAGGGCACATGATGAAACCAGAGTAGGAGCTCGTCGGGAGTCGTCTCAATCTTCTCGAACTGCGCCGCAATAGCGGGTGGATATTGCCCCGCGTTGCCAGTACCGGTAGCTACAGTACGATCCATGCCGAGCGCGTGTGCATCGGCTCGCGTCCACTGGCCCCATCCATTGCCGTCGTGGGCGGCGGGTGAAGGCCCAAAGTGGCACGTCTTGACGATATCGCAGAGCGTCTGGATGCCGAGATTGCCGCTGTAGTCTTCATATGTGCGCCAGGATTTCATTGAAATGCTAGTGATGATGGACTCGATGGTTTTGTTGAGGCCGAAGGTTAGGCGCGACCAGTCTCTGATGACATCCACCTCGTCGCTCTGTGGATTCCACGTGTAACGGCCATACGCATAGAGATTAGACATGGCGAGGTGGCTTCCAAGCCAAGTTGGGTCATTTCCGACATTGACGACCGCAGCATAGCCGGCCCGAGACCAGTTGAAACGTTCACCAGAGACGATGTCGCGCACAAGTGATGGTTTGTTATCAATTTGGAAGTCAAAATCAAGTATTGTGCGCCACAGAGGGGGGAGATAGACAACGTGGTCTTGTTGGCCGAGATACTCCTGTGCAACTTGAAGCTCGAGGATGATAGGTGTCTTGCGGAGATGGCCAAGAAGAGGAGACGGTGGTTCACGAATCTGGAAGTCAATGGGGCCGTACTTGATCTGCACAATTACATTGTCTTCAAATTCAGTGTCAAGCCCTTCAAAGTACTCCACTGCCGCATTTGCCCTGTCATTTTTCCAGTTCGACTCATCGAGATGGTGGTTATACACGAAGGCTCGGTACATAACGATTCCGTCGCCGTGTTTCTGGAGGGCTCGAGCAAAGAGATTGGCGCCATCAGCTAGGGTGCGGCCGTAGGTTAGCGGGCCTGGTTGGCCTTCAGAATTTGCCTTAATGAGATAGCCCAGCATATCTGGAACATGCTGGTACAGCCTAGTTGTCATGTCGTCCCACCAGGCGATCACGCTGGGGTCAAGAGGATCAGAGGTGGGCAGGCCACCGAGGCCTTTCGGGGTGTCAAAGTACAGTGCAACGCCAATACGCACACCCCACGGCCTCATTATGTCGGCAATTCGAGTAAGGCCCTTCATGTTTGTGGGATTGAAAAGTTTGGCGTCGGAGTTGACATTGTTGACGATTATGCCATTGAGACGAACAGATGCCAGGAGGCGCGCATATTGGCCGGCACGGGTCAAGTCATCAACCACGTACCCGTCCTTGAAGTAAATCGATGGCCCTGCATAGCCTCGTTCGATGGACCCATCAAGGTTATCCCACTCATTCACCCATCGGATTGGCGCACTAGGACTGGACGCATGAAGCTCTGGTAATGGTTCATTCCGGGACAGGAGCATGAGAAATTCGAATGCGCCGTACAGCGCACCACGTTCATTTTGGCCAAGAATATTCGTAGCTACTCCATGCTTGCAGCTGATATACATGCCGTCCTCCTTGAGGCTAGGGATGTCATGTACGTTACCCCCCACAGTTGCCCATTTTTCGATTGTTCCCACGATAATGGAAGACTGCGCTTCTGCCGCTGGGAAGTCCGTCTGAAGAATGACGTCTTGACCGAGAATCTTAGACAGACCTAATTGCAGCTCCTTTCCAGCCGTGTATACTGGACTACTCTCGTCATCTGTAAGAGCGATAATGTGCGAGTATCGAGGGTACTGATTGGTGATCTCGGCAGGGAGGGCGGCATATCGCAGCCAGGCCTCAAGGCCAGTCTCGTCTGGAAGCATATCGAGGAGTGGTCGCGGTGATGCCTCAAATGCTAAGTGACAAGAAAGCTTGTAAGCTTTTGTTGAAACATGCGAATGTTGACTTGCAGTTCATTGAAATGTGACAGGCTTTTGAGACTTGGCACATCGACCCCACGATCTAGCTCGTGATAACCTCCATGTGTTGTTTAGGCTAATTGGAAATGCAGGACACGAATTTTCCCGGTGTTTCCCCAGGGTAGCTCTTCAACTAATCTCGAATCCGTGATATATTCCACCAATTAAGATATGCTACATGACGCATGAGTGCTCATAGGCGTTTGGACTGAGATTCAAATCTGTGTCGTGATTTCAATTGCCGATGTGGGCTCAAGGCGCGGAGACCCCAAGTATGAGTGGGATGGATGTATTCTTTGGCTTCCGTGGGGGTTGGAAAGTTGGACTTACCCGTAAATTCCTTACTTACGCAACACTGAAGAAGATGGGGTGTTGATGAAAGTTACTGCTTCTAGGAGTATTTGAAGTTACTCAAGTGGTCTGAGAATACGCGCGCCAGTATTCGCAGCAATATATCTAGTCAATCAGACGCTTTTCACGCCACTTATCCCGTCGTAAAGATCCAACAAAGACTCAATACTTTTTTTCCTGAATAATCAATCTGAGAAGATGTTGAAATTCATATTTAAATGAATCGAGATGTGGAGATTGTCTCTTAATACGATATCAATCTATCTATCGATCCCGACCCATAACCCTTTATTCCAGTGTACTGTGTTCTGGAGCACAACGGAACAAGAGCAATGAGTTCCTTCATGCCTTTTATATTTTCAAAATGATGGCTGGATAGGTGTTCAAGAAGCTAGACAGAGTCATTATGATCCAACCAAACCAAATCAGACATGCCAGCAACTCTCACCTCAAAGCTATCTGTTTTAAACGTTGATCTACTGTAGCTTGCAGTGAATGATATGTATATTTGATAAGGAAATAAACCTCGGAAGATGTCATCGAAGTATCCGTACTTCTACATGCAAGAATTTCTGGCTGTGTATCAAACACCTAGCTATTATTCCTCTATTACTGGATAATTGGCCGGCCACCGCGACATTTGGTAGGGAGCCAAAGAGAAATCAAAGCGAGGACTCGCAATGGGCTTGGAATTTTTCAAACATCGGTCGAAATATCGTTCACAGCGGTTTTCTGAGGGCTTTTCCGATCAATTTGAGGCCTCTGCCCGGGACTACTGCTGCTCTCAGCAAAATCCGAATCGTTTGTATCTTTCCCACCGACTTCTTCCCCTTCCAAGGTCTCCTGGAACGCCTCGCGTTTTGGTAACAGATACCGCACATCGATATAGCGCAAAAGGCAAGTCATGATAATGACCAGAACCAATAGCGCCAGCGCTGATTGCCAGCCGTATCGGTAGTACGGTGCCTGGGAAGTTGGCCATACCAGCACTTGTGACCAAGCTGAGATAGCGTAGTAGCCTGCCACAGAGACTCCGACGACCAGTGAGCGAGCTTCTGGGTCTTGGGGAATCAAATCCGAGAGCCATGCAAAGATAAGTGGCGCAGTACCAAGACATATGTATGAAATGAAATACGACGCATACGCGCCTGATAGTGGGACGGTAGACGGATGGGACGTCCAAATACTCATGATGATGCAAGGGATGATGCCGATAACCCCTTGAGCAACAATTAATGTCCAACGCGTACGCAGGAAATCAGAAAGCAGCGCCCAAATCCACACAAACACAACATTGATGGCGGATCCTCCGATCGGAATCGCATTCACTTCTGAGACTGACCAGCGCGCGCTTCCGTCGGGGCGCTTGAGGGATTTCAGGAACAGCGAGAAGTAAACATAACCATATGTCCCGAGGACGGTTGCAATATATAAGACCGCAATGAAATAGACCACCCAGCCAGAGAATGTGCGTTTAACTCCCGCCCATGACATCTTCTTCGGCTCGGCACGACCGTTTCGCGCGAGTCGCTCCATGGAAAGTTCAGCATGCACCTTCTTGAACCAAAAGGCACGGGGATTGGGACGATTGGGTAAGTCAGGAATCATAAAGAAGCCCGCAAATCCCCAAACGACTGTGATAATCGCATTTATGACGAACAGCCATCGCCAGCCAGCCAGGCCTCCGTGGCCATCCAGCGTATCTGAAATGGCTGCCTGCAAAGCTCCTGACATCATCTGGCCTACGGCTTGACAGGAATGGTAGAAACCCATCCGCTTGGCCAGCTCGGTTGGGGTATACCAGTACACTTGAATTGGTCAGAAACAGCTCGTAAACGTATCGAGTTTGGGGTTTATGAGGGCGAATGGACGCCTCAAGTCCCACAGGAGGCTCACTCACTGAACAACGTCATCATGCCGGGCCAGGCACTGCTTTCGCAAAGGCCTAGAAAGACTCGCAATACGTAGACCTGCTTGGCATGACTTGTCATGGCGATTAGGCCGGTGAGCATTCCCCACAGAATTTCTAATCCCGGTAACCAGAAGCTCGGCCGAACATAGGTTAAAATGACTTGCGATGGGATCAGCATCACACAGTAGGCGGCATTGAAATAAGTTGTAAATCTGCAAGAAATTAGACGATGGTGACACAAGAAAATTTAATTGAAATAAAAATGAGAAAAGAAATAGAAGCTTTCCACCTGACTGACTCACAGATTTAGTTCATTGCCCTGTAGGTTGAGATCTTCCTTCATGCCGGAAACATAAGCATTGTTAATGTTTTGCTGGTCTAGATATTTGATCACTAAAGACTAGTCAGTTGGGTTTTAAATTTGTAGGGCATTCAGTCAGTACACACCTTGAGATAGACAGCCAAAGGTCAACAGAAACGTGTCCAGGCGGCGGACGAGCGCCCGCTCGTCTGCCGTCCGCACATAGTTGCCATCTGGAGATGCACGCCTGAACGGGTTGGACAAGACCATGTTCCCTGGAATCAACAGGATACTGGCGAACAGTAAGGGGAGAAGGATGGGAACGGAATGAATAAGAAGGAATCCGAGGAGCTCCTCGTGACCATCACACAAAAGATAACGAGCTTCTTTCGATAAGCTCCAGCCTCCTGGGCTTCGGGTGGCAGCCACCGTATAGTTGACCAAGAAGGACTGGCAGCAGGGAAGCTACCACGGAACCAGTTGGCGTCTCCGAGTCTGTACCTCCTCTGTCTCGTACTGCAGCCGGCCGATCGAAGGGCGTCTTGTGATAAGAAGCTCAAGACCCCACGCCCAACCATACCAATCATAGGCTTTCATTGCGCAGACCGGCGCAACCTCGGAGTGGCTCCGGTGAACGGGCCATGCCGTCGTTTGGCTAGCTTGATTTACCCCGCCTGGGGGATCGCGCTAATTGATTTCGTCGGGCAATCATGGTCTTTCGCTGGCTTTTGGTGCAGGTCGAGGCGAAGTTGCGCCCGGTGCCAAGTACTCACGCAAACGACTCGCGAGATGGATGTGCTCCAGCTAGATAGCGCTAGGTAGAATCTGGGTTCCCGCTGGCGGAAGAGCCCGCGCGGACTGACTGACGTTCGATAGCTTGATAAAAACTGGCCGAGCCAGGATAAGAGTCTCATCTGCTGAACAGACTAGATCGCGGTTGAATACGAGCGAAGTCGGAGAAGAGGCAGAGTTCACGAGTTGACTCCCCGCATCGCAAACTACTGCTCCATCGTTGGTGGGCAGTTAGCGGTGCGCGGAACACGCCGCACGACAATAATAAAGATAGATCCGAGCACTCTTCTCATTGTCCTTCTCTTGTTGTAATTAATCAGTACTGCCCTCTATCTCCTCGCACTTCCATGACGGTCTTAGAGAGCCCCAGGCAGGGATCCAGCAGGAGCCTGCCGATCCAGGGCCCTTGCCTGAGCTACTGGCAGCGCACCACTCGGACTTTTCCTCATTTATTCGCCAACAGGAACAAGGAGGTGCCTGCCGGTTCCAAGTATGTCATCATTGGTTCTGGGATTTCAGGTGGCCTCGCCGCATTCGAATTACTCGAAGCCGGAGTCAAAGGCGACGACGTGATCATTCTGGAGGCGCGTGAAGCTGCCAGCGGGGCGAGTTCACGGAATGCGGGCCATGTCCGACCAGGTCGGTATTGATCTATATAGATTCCAAATATGTACATGTCGGACTGACCGACTTTCTATTACCTGCCAGATGCATTTCGAGGGTTCAATGCCTATACCAAAGTCCATGGTACAGAGCAAGCGTTGAAGATCATCGCCAACGAACGACTCGTCTTGGAAAAAGTGGATCAGTTCGTGAAGACGCATAACGTGCCATGCGACTTTAACTTGACCACCACCTTCGATATCTGCATGACACCCGAGTTTGCTAAATACGAAGCCGAGAGTCTCGAGCAATACAAGCAGGCGGGGGGTGACATATCACACATCAAAGTCTACGAAGGCGATGAAGCGCGGGCAAGGATCCCCGATGCGGTTGCCGCGTATGAATGGCCCGCGGGATCGAGTCATCCCGCAAAGCTAACACAATTCTTGTTACAGTCGGTTATCGAGAGGGGTGCTCGGTTAATCACCTTCTGTCCGGCCAGCGAGGTGAAGCCCAGTAGTAAAACTGATAATGGCGCTAATCTGTGGGACGTTCATACCCCGCGTGGAATCATTACGTGTGAGAAGATCATCCATTGCACCAATGCGCACGCTGCCCTTTTGCTACCCGAGTTGGACAACTATATCCGGCCCAATCGGGCCCAGGCGCACTCGCTAGTTCCTACCCCAGGTCTAGCCGCAGAGAATGCTCTGCAGAGCACCTTTTCCCTTCGATATAGCCTCTACCACTTCTACTCTCTAATCCAACGCAAGGACGACGGCACTCTTGTGCTAGGTGTGTCTCGCTCAAATCCGACGCTCAGCCCAGAGACAACGGCTAGTCGCTTCAGCACCGACGACTCATCCTTTAATCAGGAGATAGCAGTGGATGCTATGCGTAGTCTGGGAAGAATATTCCCTGATTTCCAAGCAGACGCCCAACACACCATGCATGGCGAAGGGCTAGACCACTCTTGGACTGGTATCATTGCGATGACGACGGATTCGGTCCCTTTTGTCGGCCCGATTGATTCTTTACCGGGCCAGTATATCTGCGCAGGGTTCAATGGACATGGTAGGCTCAGCCCTCATTCAATATTTAACACTCCGTACTAAAAGTTGGAATAGGCATGGCCCGTATCTTTACGTGTGCCCCGGGTGTGGTGAAGCTTGTCCTTGGGCATGAATGGAAGGAGACGGGCTTGCCTGAATGCTTTCAATTCAGTCAAGAGCGACTGAATCGGCTATCTCGTGGAGATCTTCCCTCTATCTGGTAACATATCGATGCTTGAATAGAATTGCAATCTATTAGATCTGAATGCGTTCATTTACGCCAGAATTATTATTACATCAGTAGAAATCATTTAATCAGGTGATATATGGAAATTGTGACTAGTCGGTCCTCTGTTCACCGACTAGAAAGCTGCTGACCAACCTGGTCATCTCATTCGACAATAAATTGCCGTTCAAGAACAATTTGCCCAGGTGGGTTGCGCTCTCGATCTGGTGAATCACTGCCTCCAACGACAGTGACAGGTTCAATGATATCCCAGCTACTCTCAGTACCATTTGCATGTCTTTTAAACGGCTTCAGCCCCCTGTCGTGGGCGGAAGAGCCTCCGCCAACGGTACTCAAATGATGGCTGTCAGATGAGGACAACTTCTCTGTTCCTCTGACCTTGCGCCACAGGAACTTGACAAGTGGCAAATACGAAACGAGGCAAGCGGCAATGAGATACATCCCGACTTCTATCAGAGACCATAGTATCAACAGGGCTGCAGACCAAGTGTTGTCCACGACTGCATTAGTGGTAGATATCTTAGCTAAGGCAATAAGGCCAGAGATAAGACCACTACACCCGATCCGCGGCCATTAGTAGTTATTTTTGGACAATTCAGGAGAATCAATAAAGAAGTATATTTACTCACAGACTGCCCGAGAGGAATGTGATCACCAAACCGATTTTCAGTCGCGTTCTTGATTGCAAGCGAACAATATGCGGAATAGGCAATATCAACATTGCGACGTCGGAAATAATGTTGACAATACGTGAATACCGAAAGAAAGCATTGATGTTGAAACAGTGCTCTGCTATGTCTCCAGTCCACAAGGCGTCGAGCGGTCTGCAGATGGCAAAACCTGCCGCGACGTTGGCGGCCGCGTTGGTGGCTATGAGTATGCCAGTAGCATAGCAGATAATTCGTGACACTCTATGAATGGAGAATAGCGAGATATAGAGACTGAGGATGGCAAACTTTGGCCAAATCACCGATAACGAATAGATGAAGACGATTGCGAGAAGAAACTTGGCCCAGTTCACCATCATATGCGGGTCGATTGCGACCACTCGCGCTTGATGTAAACCAACACCGCCATATTTGACATCTCCTAAAAAGAAAGAATGGTCAGCTTGGCAGAGGGGAATGTTTTTTTCGCAGATTGTAAGTTCAGGCTTCACCTACCTATGGCAACTCCAATAAATGCCATGTAAAAGGCCCAGCCAAGTAAGATAAAGATGTCTTCGCGATGCAATCCAACCTCTCCGATTCGCCGGGAGACAAATCTTAATATTACAATAGTTGTACTCGCGGCCATAAAAAGTATGGCAATCGATATAAGCATCGGCTGCCGAGACTCGTTGAGATAGGCCTGCGAATACGAAGTAGTTTCATCAGCCATCTTTAACGATCCCAGTCTTGGATACCATCGCTGTCGAAACTTGAAGATTGGATGTCCAAATAAGAGTTGTATGAGTGTGAAAAGTCTGACCTGTGCCCCTATTTTTTGGCAGATGTATTTGGTGCTGACGGGTCCATTTTGATCTCCGCTGACGCCAAGTACAATCAAGTCACAGTCCCAGGTAGGATGAAATCAGAGTCAACGTTGTGCTGCATGCAGGCTGAAATCCCGAGATCTAATCCTGTTGTCTTCTGTCTGTGTGAGAGAGTCCCTTTCCACGGCGGGAGGGGATGGTGGTACGCCAGCAGCCCTTTGCTATAATTACTCCAGTGACGCTCAGTTCGTGATAAATCCGCTCAACCTTGTTTATTTCGAACTGCCTGGACACAGGTGCGTACAAATGGATCAAGTGTGGCATGCGGCCTGGGGGTGGCATCCATCGGTCAGACTGACGTTGTACAACCCGACTGGGCCGGTTTCCAATGCCCAATTATTTTTCTTTGCCCCCCTCCATCTTCTTAAAAAACAAATAACGAGCCTCCAACTGATTAACTTCAGTCTTTGATTGTTTCCCGGAGACCGGTTTTCTTCAAAGGGGTTTTAAATTACAGGCAACGACCCTACTCAGCATCTCGATTTTCTCGATTTTTCCGCCCGACAACAGTCGACCTGGTGAAAGTCAGGTAAGATCCAGCCCGAGTCTCCTTCACAGCCTGGTCCAGGGTTTCCTTCAACATCTGTACTGTTTTTTCGTCGGTCGTCTTATTTCTGCTAAGAACCTCTGGGGCCAGCATGCCGCACTCGTGAAATGCTAACGCCAGATGGGAAGGTGCCTCCTTCTCGTCAAACTGAACATCAACAAGGCCATGTTCTGCAAATAGTTTTGGTAGACTGGGAAGCCAAGATGAGCGCATTCGGTCATCGTTTCCCTGGAAAAGTTCCATTAACTTCGTCTGGGCAACGATTTCAATTCCCGGTCTGAGAATTTCAAGTCGAATGGAGGAAACATCAATGTCGGTCCATTGAAGATATCCACCTGGTTCTGTTATGAGGGGGAAATAAGAATCATGAGATTGTGAGCGCTCGGGTGACAAAGGTAGAGCCACGTACTAAGGAGTTTGAGGAGATTGTCGATGGCTGCCTTAACCTCCGATTCCCGAAGAACAAACGCGAAGAAGCGGATATGGACTATATCGTATACTCCGATTAGATGCTCGGGCACGTCTTCTTTGATGTTCCAGTAGTGTAAGCTGAAGTTGGACGGAAGCATCTCTGGTAAAGGTGCAGCATCGAATGAGATATCTAGCGCATCTAGACGGGCCGACTTGGGCAGAGTCGTAGACAAGTCCGTAAGCCATATTCTGTCGCAAGTCAACAAAGATCTTCCGGTCCCATAAAGCAGCACACCGTACCCTGTACCTGTGCCAACATCCGCAATTCTCAAGTCTTTATTTGTGATCGGGATCGAGGGATGGATGTGGTAACCGAAAAGCTGAACGGTGAGATAGTGCTGGAGATTGATTCTATGGATTCCAGTCATCAGCATTTTAAGATGAAGGCTCACTCAGTCCGGGTGTAAGTACCGGTTGTTGTCCAGGTAATCTCTGGTAAACACATAGTCTGTCGAAGCCATCTTTGCCTTTTTTCGAGGTAGTGCTTGGTGAGTCGAGTGATTGGAAATGAGGAACAAGATCAAGGGGTAACTGAGAGGACGGAGAAAAGAGAGAGCCAAGTTCTTTGAAATTGAATTTGGTCGACCCGTTGAATAATCACGGCCCCGAAACAAAGTAGTTAAGGAAAGCACTACAGCAGTTTGACCGCCCCGCTTCGGCAGCAGACAGAAGTGCTGGCCCAGACTGGCGCCACCTCTGGGTCTCACCTAAACAATACCCTAGTCTTGAAGGTAATCAACAGTCACCTCTCAGGAAAGCTGAGGGTTTAGGGGCGTTTGGATCCCAATACTCTCTGGAACCCCTGTCAAGCATGCCTCGTCGTTGATCATATGAGTGCCACTAACAGAACTACTTTTGAAATGACTCTTGATAGATTGTGATGTACGAAAATAGATACAAATTCCACATAAATTTATGATAAAATACCCGATATAGACCTTGATCCGACATGGTGATTAGAAAGCCAAATTGACAAATTTTGAAAGACGGCTGTCGATCGTCCCCATAACCCAATAATGAGGCTGACGCTCATAGGCCCGTTCTATGGTCCGCGTAGCCGGGCTTATGGGGAAAACGGTGTCTTCGAGTGGAGTAGATGAGCAGATGGCCCCTGGCTGACCGGTGCGAGTTTCCTGCCTGTCAGATGCTTTACATCATACAATGCAGGTGAGAGGTCATCAGCCCCTCAGCGATTGAACAGTGAAAACAGCTTTCTTTTATCCCCTCCTATTCTGCAAGACAGAAAGTAGGCATTTTCCCGTCGATCTCAGCAGGCAGCCTTGAATTATCAATTTTCTTTGCCGCTATCCCATCGCCATCGTCGCTGTCTCTGAGCAAATAGGATTATCACTTTGGTGGTCTCGGAAAAGCTTAAGGCTCCTATATTCCCATAGCCTATTCAAATCTGAAGTCTAGAGCATACGAAAACAATAATTAATTATTTCCTCCTCATAGTCATCACAGATGCTTTTATAGACCTAAATATCTGGTTCTTCTGGACTCTTCAAAAAGCGAATTTCTTCTCCATAGCCCTCACGTTTTCTGTCCAGTTTAGCGGTTCTCTTTCAATCCCCTCAGATCCGCAGTTCCACGAAACAAAAACATACTATAGGTAATATTGCTTTTTGTATGCATACTAGATGAATCGAACCCTTTTTTTGGTCATCGAGCACGGCTGGAACTTCGACTCAGGCAATCTCGCCTATTAGAATGCGTCGTACAGTCCCATGCAGGTGACTGCGAGACGGACGAGGATGTGGCGTTCCGCCCGGTCATATCATGAAATAGTCAGACATATAGAAATCAGGACTCCTGCAGGTATGACTGTTTTGCTGCCGGGGGGGGTTAACTCAATTGTTAGATTGCGGAAGGGTCTTCGATCAGCTCTGTCAGCGTTCCGCTGGGGGTTGGCCTTGCCAACGGTTGTTAATGAAGGTTCAGTCTCCGTGTAACTTGAAGGTGGCGGATCAAAGAATCCAAGCTGACAATTCTATCATAGGAAAGAGGATATAGAACACCCATTAGATAGCAAAAAGCAAGGCATCCCGAGGAGGGGTATCAGAAAGACAACGCTGCGGCTTAACATTTTGCTTGCCTCGTAGGAAGAGGTAAAGGTTTTCTCTGCCTTGAGCAAGGCAACGTAATGGCTGACGAGGCCAGTTTATAGGGTGGAAATACCTCGCAATAACTGATCTTGTTCACGAAAATTTCATGGGCTGACTCAAAAGCTAATATCGCCACAAATATCAAATCAATACAATCTACCTAGATGATCAAGATCGGGCGGGCAGTACCCAGCATCACATAATATCCACAACGGAGTCACTCGAGACTCCGGTTACTTGAAAATGTCACACGGACTATCTGCAATAGTCGAGTCTCGACTATGGGACAGCAATGTAACATTGTTTCGCATAAAGCAACACCTTTTCACACTCTGGCTCTTCACGGTTACCGACATTGAAACGGTCATCCTCCCTTGTACTGTTCTAGGGATTTCAAATATTCTTGCTCAGTCACCGGTCATTCTTGACGAGTGGCTTCATATTTTCAAACGAACTTTGACAGTCGTTATTTGGTTGTGGGTCAACCTGGTCCCCCTCACTATCAGCAACCAGCGCGGTCCTGCTTCCATCCTTGAGGATAGTGCCAATAAGCCCTGGCGACCGTTGCCCAGCAGAAGAATTACACCACATCAGGCAAAGCGTGTCATGTTGGCTTTTTATGTTGTATCTCAGATATATAGTCGCATGTACAGCGGTGGAGGGCTTCAAAGCTTCGGCCTCGCGATTTTAGGAACCTGGTACAATCGCTTCGAAGGTGGCGAGCACCATCCTCTGCTGCGAAACTTTATCAACGCTCTGGGGTATTTGTGTTTTACCTCTGGGGTTGTGGAAATTGCATTGGGTGATACTAAGCATCAACATCACCGATCCTTGGACTCAGGGGAATATATCGGCCATATGGATTCTCCGAAGCTATGGCCTGCAGTTATCACAGGTATCATTGTATCGACAATGCACATTCAGGACATGTATGATCAGGAAGGAGATGCATTGAGGGGCCGTAAGACACTTCCGCTAGTCATTGGTGATAAAGCTACTCGTCGGAGCCTTGCAATTGCCATGGTTCTTTGGGGAATAATTTGTCCAATATTGGCACAAGTTGAAGACTTGGTATTTTTGGCTAGTTGCTTGCTGACATTTTCCATTGCATTTCGAACATTGACATGGAGGGATCCTGCAAGTGACAAAATCACTTATCGGGTGTGGAATATATGGGCGTCACTGGTGTTCATTATGCCGTTGTTGGGTGTACAGAAACAACCGACGACGTGATGGTCGGAATGTAGAGCTCATCCTATCTTCGCAGGCGCTAGAATACATTTTCTTTTAATGACTACAGAAACTTTACCTTCTGTTCTACTATTAGTTAGATATGCTACATTTATATAGAACAACGAGAGTTTCGCCGACCGTTCAAAAGATGGTGTCATAGTCATCAGACCACTTTGTGCCGTCAAACGAAGCTCGCTAACTAATAGGGCTACCCGATGAATTTGATCCATTATTCAATTCCAGCATATTTAATTCAGTTCATCCCTCTTTGCATGTCATAAAAAGGCTCCCACAACCTTAAGTGGAACTGCTATGCTTGCTCAACTACTGCTCCGATATCGGCCATCCGCCTAGGCGAATCACGATGTACATGATCTCCAGAATCGGCGCTTTATTTAACACCAGGATAGAAAAATTAGCAAGTTCAGATATCGTGTAGACTCAATGACGAGATGTCTAGAACGATATGATTCACACGACTGGCTCCGCAATGGAACTTGAATAGAGGAGGTCCCGATATCGGCACCATGTACATGACGTCCCGGATACCTTCGGTAGTATATAAACTGGAATACCTGCGATTGCAACAAGACGAATACACAAATCCTTTCTATTCCAAGTTTGCTATCAGGACCAAAACACTCGTTTTCAATCTTCGGATCTTCATATTTTATCCTTTTCCCTGGCCCTATCTAATACAACGCGAAACACAGCATGGCCGCCAAGACAGAATCAGCAACATACACCCATGGCCACCACGCCTCGGTTGTGCGCTCACACAGCTGGCGCACCGCTAAAAACTCAGTTGGCTTCCTGCTGCCTCATATTAAGCCAGATATGAAGATTCTGGACATCGGCTGCGGCCCGGGTACCATCACAGTCGATCTCGCAACATACGTGCCGCAAGGGCACATCACTGGCCTGGAGCGGGCTGGCTCGATCTTGACGCAGGCGCGGGCTAACGCTCAAGCCAAAGGTGTGACCAATATCGATTTTGTCGAGGGTGATGCGAACGGCCTGTCCTATGCGGATAACACCTTCGATATCGTCTTCTGCCACCAGGTGCTTCAACATGTCGGTGATCCAGTCGGCATGCTCAAAGAAATGAAGCGTGTTACGAAGACGGGGGGTATTGTCGCTGCACGGGAGGCAGACTATGGCGTGTTCGTGTGGTATCCGGAGCTTCCTGGGCTGAAGGAGTGGCAGGACCTGTATGATCGGGTAGCGCGGCGGAATGGTGGCGAGCCGAATGCGGGGCGAGTACTTCACGCATGGGCGCGGAAAGCAGGCTTTGCAGATGTGAACTGCAGCTGTACAATGTGGTGCTATGCGGACAAGGGAGATGTGAGCTGGTGGAGCGATTCGTGGGTTGAACGGGCAGTGGCGTCGTCGTTTGCAACAACAGCATTAGAGCATGGGCTTGCGACGAAAGAGGATTTAGAGAGGATTTCTGAGACATGGAGGGTGTGGGGGGAGGATGAAGATGCCTGGATTTCAATTCCAAGTGCAGAGATTTTGTGCTATAAATAATAGCGATGAGATTGAATGGGAGCTTAATGGTAGTGGTTTCAAAGAATCAATCAGTACGACTAAATCTGGATATGATAATTTTGGTAGAGAAGCAACGCTTGCTCGGTTTCATTCTCTAGTGGATGTCAATAATCCCGATCTCTCTAGTATACAAAATGAAAGTCTTGGCTCCAGATGAACCAGATAATATGCACCTGCTCCCAATGTTCAATGTACGCGAAAACGCCCGGCTCGTTTAAAAAAAAAAACAATGGATAGATTCTGACTCCATTTAGATCAGGATATGACCGAACTTATTCCTCGGACAAATCATACTTCCGGCTCGAATTCATAACGACGCCAATTTTCTGTAACCCACCATTTGGTGACGTGGGCAGCCTCAATAATCCAGTTCACGGCTTCTTCGCCGTGTTCGTTGCCCACCGCCTCCAGGAGAGGAGGCAAGCTGAATGACTGAAGGGTATGAAGCTCAAGCGGATCGATATCCACGTTTGAAAATCTCCACTCGACATCAGGCACGAGGGGAACAATCAGACGGTATGGCTTAGGTGCCGAGCGCAGAGCAAGCCAGGTGGCTCCGGTGTTCATGACTGTATACTGCCAGTCGAGTTTGCCATCTTTCTCGGGGACGAGATCGCGAATCATTGATTGCCCCTCGTAGAGAGGAAGAAGGTCCTTGATGGCGGTGGTCGCCTGCTGATCCAGGGAGCCGGACTCCACGAGAAGGTCAAGAATCGTAGGCAGAATTTGCATCGATGTGACACGACCGTCTATGTTGATCGGAGGTAAATGTGGATGGGAAAAGACCAGCGGGACATGAAAGTTTGAGATATGGGGGTTATCATATGGAGTCACTCCGCCATCCTCGATGAGAGAGATGCCGCTATTGATCATGTTAGTTAGAAAAATTGGATGAAAAGTAGAAGGGATAAAATAACTTACTGATCACCGACCATTACGACGAGTGTTTCATCGGCAACCCCAGTCTCTTCAAGGACCTCCATGACCTCCCCAAGCCATCGATCTGCGACGCCAATTGTGTTCAAATACCGGTTGATGTTCTTGTTCTTAAATATGTTATGGGAAATGAGTTCCTCATATTCGTCACCTTTGGGCATATCCCACGGATGGTGGGTCTGGCCCGTGAGATGAGTGAGGAAAATGCGCTCATGATGCTTTTCAGCGTGTTGTAGAGCGTCTCGGAAGTATGAACGCAGCTCGTGTTCAGGATAGCCCCAAAAGTTGAATTTCTCTGGGGCCTGCTTTGGGTTCTTTTTCCAGGCCTCCGTAATCTTGAGATCTGTCACCTTATCATCGAATCCCAAAGCTGGTAACAGAAGATCTTGGTTGTCATAATTGTCGGTAATACTCTGCATAAAGGTCGAATGCCATGGCCATGTAGTGTAGTCGTTGGTCTTTGCTTCAGAGGAGGTGTTAGATAGCGAGTTGAGGGCATTGAAGATCTGCGGCATGCATGGTTCGTAAATGTGGTGCAGATATTCGCGGTTAAAGTCCACCACCAGAGGCGCGATGCCACAGACACTAGCCAAAATACTCTTCAAAGTAAAGGTGTCTCCGGTATAGGCATCTGTCGCGTACAGACCTCCACGGGGCTTCCATGAGGTATCGCTATGCGGCCAGCCCGCTGGGGTTCCAGTCAATATCTCCGCATTTCGAGTCAAGTTAGCAAGGCGCTCTTCAACCTCCTCCGGGATATTACCGTCATATGACTCCTGGATTAGCTCGCCAAGATGAGATTCCTTTCGGAGAGGGAAGACATCAAACCGAGTACTTTCCAGCTTCAGTAAGAAGACATGCTTAATTTTGACATTTCCACCTTTGAGCGCATCGCGCAAAGGTCCCAACAGCTCTCGATCAAGGTTGGAGATTTTAAGAGGATCATGATTAGGATGGTAATGCAAAGATTGATTTTCTTTGCCTTCTTCATACCAGTCTCTGAACCCTGGCAGCTTTTTTTCTGGGAGCCAATCAAAGCTCAGGGGCATGGTGAGAGCAGTGTGGTTGTACAGCCAGCTAAAATCACCAGGGAGGCCAGGTGGAAGATCAACCGACGAATAAATGGTCTTCTGCGGAGGCTTTTCGAAGGGGGTGATGATGACAGTTTGTGAAAGGAATGAATACGCGGTATCTGATGGCCGAATGACACGCAGTATGAGGAGCAAGACCACCGAGCAAGTTGCAATGATACGAAGCAACAGTGAAGGCTGGGTTTTATCCGATGGCTGCTTGAGCTGTTCCACTGGATCTTGCAATCCGAGCATCGCATCTGATTCATCATTCTCCTCCTCCCAATCTTTGTCTGCGACAGCATCATAGGTTGGCAGCAAAGAAGTGGATTTGGACTTCCAGCAGCGAAACATAGGTTCTATGGCGAACTTCAAACATCGAACTATTGCGCGCACTCCGTTGTATAAATAAGGCGTCACTAGCCACATTGCCGCCCCAAAAAGAACCTCCACAATGACGATTCCAGTCAATCCGGTCAATAGGGTCTTAATCGAGGCTGCATCGCGATGGAAATAGTGTGCTTGTCGCCAGTGGATTTCCGCGCCGGTTTGAATGTAAAAAGAGATATTGGCCGCTGCGAGGGCTGAGATCATTAAACTAGACACCGCTTGAACTTCAGTATACACTCTCCATGATCCCTTTGCAAGGTTTGATTTTCGGTCCCTGTTCGGCTCTCAACTTACCTGGTGGGGATTATCAGTAGAGCTGCCACCACGCGAAGCCATTTTCGATGAAGCTTCTGGCAGAGGATCTGCGCAATCACAATACAGGCGATATCTTGAACAAAGAAAGTCGGGCCCCAGAGCAGAAAGCGACCGAGGGCCAGGGAGTTGAGATGGGAATAGATATGAAGCAATTTGGCAGATACCGCACCGATGAAGAGCAGCGAGAACCAGTACTTGCGCGAGGCCGGCCAATAGACGTCAAACCATAATGCCGGGGATAATAACCATTGGGGACCTTTCCACGCCATTATGCGAGAGAGTTATGGGCTCCGCGCGAAGATCTGATGTGCTTCTCATGTAAACCGGAAGCTGTCACACTTCATCTCCCGTCTCAGGATGAAACCAGAACAACAGGGTCCAAACAACCGACGGGGGAGCAAGAGAGAAACAGAATGGCCCAGGGTGCGAGCGAGGTGTCCAAATGAAAGCCAGCACCATAGAAAACAAATCAAATTAGTCCAAAATTCAAGAAAGTAAGCGGATACGAGCCCCCTTCCCCGAGCGCATAGAAAAAAAGACCGAAGTGACAGACCCCAAATGTCGTTGGCCCGTTGGTTGGTTCCATCGTAATCGTAACCAGTTACAGGAGAATTGCGGCCCTACGAGGAGAAAAATACCCCATGGAATATTAATAGCATACCCAAAGCAGTAAGCTCCATACGGCTCTCCCATTTCCTTCCCCTGTTTCTGTTATGGGTCGTCGAACCATCCCCACTCAAGGCGCCTACGGGACCGCACTCGACTCCGTTCTCCAGTCTTGAGAGTTTCTGTGGCCACCACCATACACGATGATTCGAGTCCATGATGGTCCATCGATATATCGATATTAAATATACGATATTCAATATTCCCAGAAATCTTGCGCTTCCTGCCCGATTCCGTTCGCGAATCGGCTTGAATGGTGGGTGGAATAGCGGATCCGCTAACGGGGAAAAGGGACCCTCGGGCATTAGTTCAAGTAGGGCTCGCTGCTGACTGAGTTTCTCCAAGCTTGGCGGAGGCCGAGTGATTCCTCGCTTTGGCGACATTTAACGCCCGCCCAACAGCATCCTGTCCTTACAATGAAATCACAACCAACCGATCAGTTGGGAGTTAGGCCTAGACCATTACTCTGCTCAGTGGTTTTACAGACCCTGCACATCCTCCCCACCCCCCTCTCCTCCAGGCGCACACGGCCAATTCCCCGAATCAGCTACGGCATGGTACAGCCGCTTACTTTCCCTCCTCGGAAGACGCCACGCCCCACATTGTGTCTCTGGATGGTGCTCCGAGGTTCAGCCAACATGAAACCGGTAGAAAAATCAGCGGGAACCAGCATCTCATCGCGTGACAGGGATCTGCAATCTTACGGGCAGCCCCCTTGTCCACCAGTATGACCTCGCCGCAAATTTTGGCCCCCCCTCCCCCTTTTTTTCTCTGCATCTTCTCTAAAAAGATGCCAATCACCTCTCTCCACGAGGCTGAATATTCCCCACATCTATCCGCGGGTTCACAGAATTAAGCTTGTACCCTGAAAATGCGCATCCGAGGCTGACGGACACATCACCACGAAGATCTCCTGTGCCATGGCACAATATCGAGGTATCGGGATATTTGGTGGTGCGGGGATTGCTGTCTTCAATTATGCCAGTGTTCACCCAAGGGTAATACTGAGGTCGTACTGGAGGTGAAGACTAGTCGATAACTCTGTCAAATCCGACCTTTTTTCGCTGCATTCGAGTTCGCCCTATACTTGCATACCTGTTCCGGATGGGCCAATCATGTGAATCACGGGTGGATATGAGGCATTTCCATCGGCGCGCCTTTCATTTGCCCATTAGGCTGCCAAATTAGGGCTGACCCAGCAAGAATCTTTCACGATTTGCGAGGCATTGGATCGTGGAAGCCTGGCACCCTGATTCGGCCTGCGCTTTTCTCGTTGACTTCATGAACCCGCAGCAAAGACAGGACTTCTTTTGTATCCCAATGAATCCTACTCATCGATGTGTTGGACCTCGATCTTCAGAAGGGCTTACGAACTGCTTCCCGTCTGGCTCATAGGACGCCTAACGGGGCTCTAAGAACCAACTTTTTTCAGAAGCGCGCCCCGATCAAAGATGCTGATTTGATCGCTGTATCACGTCACTTTCGCCCTCTGCAGGCATAGCTCAGCGGTGATTCGCTCCCCATACCGGACCAGAGAGTACAACCAACAATGTAGCCCCTTCAAGCTGAAGGCTAAAAATATCCCTACGCCATTGAATCGAAATAAGACTCGACGGTGATATTTCTTAAGGTTTGGACCCTGCATCAATTCCGCCCCATCATTGCCCCGAAAACAGAATCACCGTCCGCTCCGTGCCATGATAGAGCTACCTGCCTACTAACTTAATTCAATAGTGAGTCGCGCACCCCATCCAAAACACGCTTCCTGTCATGATATTTGATACATGAAGCTATCCCCACTTTATGCCTTAGGTGTCTAAGTCATGCTTTAACTCCCAGGCTCCAAACTGCCACCCCCACTGCTACCTGACAGGGTCACATGACCCCTTAGACCCTGGTATGTCGGTTCCCCTTCACCAGCATGTCGCCTACCCCTCTCCCACGCAACCATGGCGTGGCCCTGTGATCCCAGACCACCCTGTCTGTCAGATATGATGCATCACTTTGATTCATACAGTGGCAGGATATCCCACATATATTGAGTATGGGAGAAGGCGTTCAGGATAGCAAGAAGCAGTTTTTGAATAATCCAACTTAGTGTTCATTCCCGTACCTAATCGACAGGCTATTTACCCTGCAAGTAGATTATTTATAACAAAAACTAGTACTATAGAAATATCCCTTAAAGGCGGTAAGGTTAAGCAGAATCTTCCCGCGCTCTACACTCTGCGGTCACGAACATTAAAAAATGATTCAAATTTTTGACTACTCTTTTTCTAATGACTACTAGGTCTAGAGAGCTAAAGTGTTATACATAGATAGCTCTATATAGAGTTTAGAATATTCATAATTTAAGATTCCTTAGAAAGGGAGAAGATAAAAAGAGGATAATTTTCTAGTCAGCTATCTAGCAGATTGGTTGGATAGGATCCCCTAGTAGGGCGTAATAGCCGACTAGGTCGCTGCAGTCGCACGGAGCCTTGACTATATATAGGACGCACGGACAAAAAGTGTGGAAAAATCGACCATTCCCGAGAGGATACTATAGATTTTGGGGCTATACGAGCGCAAATACTTTTGAAATGTCGCTATATTACGATTTTCTAAAGCGGAACAAGGTGCGATTATATAGTATTTTAGCCAACACCTATAATTATACCGATATATTTCCCTATATTAGAGGCGTGTAGTGCAAGTTCTAGAGGACAAGTATTGTGCTATTTTTATCACTCGAATGATAAAATAAATTCTCTCGATGAACGCCCCGTCTCTAGGGAACAAATATAACAACTTGAAGATACTAACAACAAAACGGTTATCAAATTCCACTACAATAGCAGCAACGTAACCAATCGTCCTTGAAGAATAAACAAACGAGATGGCAGACAATTCAAAAAGACCAAGAATCAATATACCAGCACAAGTGATAGGTGTGTACTGGGATTTTGTGAATTTATTTGGAGTAGACTTTGCATTTGACCTCCCATGGGAAGACATAGTGCATCGAATGCTCCAGAGAGGCGGAAGCTGGAACTCCAATGAAGAAACGGCGAGTCTAGAGGAATTTGAGTTTTGGTTTGATGCGAACATCGCGAATAATACTTGCCCACCCCTGGCCCAAAGAATATCGACCAGTGAAGAGCGCGCTAGATCACAAGAGCGCGGCAGATCACATTCCAGTGGTCCGACTCCAGGTCCTTCTAGCAAGAAACGCAAATACGTCCCTCGTACTCAATCTGATGGTGAAATTTTCTGTCAAGGCTGTAACCTAGGGTTTTCTCGTGTATACGAGCTAAAAAGACACAAAGAAAGCAGCTGCCCCTTCAACAATCATCAGAAAGTGCCGTGCCCCAATTGCGCGACTGAATTTGCTCGCAAGGATGGCCTGCAGCGGCACCAGAAAAAGTTCCACCCCAGTGGTTAGAGTCTATTCAATCATATCCATCAGTACTTTCCATCTTATCCAGCGATGCTCAATCAGACCTTAGCCCAGGCTTCTCCATGTACTAGGAAGCTTCAGCCTGGGCCATGTCACGCGTTGTAGGATTTCACGGGAAGACACCGTTGCTGTTGGAAGTCAACCCGCCCCCTTCCACACGGCGCCAATTTTGCGCAGCCAATGCACCGTCCATTTCAGTCAGGCATGTGGCACGGTCAAGGGATTGGGGTTTGCAAGGCAGAATCTCAGGGTTTTCCAGTCATCTAGCTCTCTCCATCAGAAGCGCCATGTTGTGGGCCCTTTCTACATGTGGATCCTGGACGTTGCAAGATGGAGGATACTGTCAGCTATTGGCGTAGGCTTAGGCCCGCCAAATGATCCTACTCGGTGGAAGTACTACCCATGCATATAAAAGGGAGAATGGGATCTAAAGAACTGGTTCGCTAACTAATAGTACGGGAGAAAACATCAAATTTGGCAATAAATGATTTTGTTTTCATTCAGGGTCATAAGCCATCGCATCTATCTCGTAGGAAAACCACCCATCCGTGGGAAACGGAAGAAAAAATATTCAGGGGGCCATACTTTTGCACGCCGTGCGAGCGCCACCTCAGATCTCAGAATCCAAGCTCTGGAATTGTTGTGCGAAAGTCTTCCGCACAAATTCCATGTATCCCTTCCACTTGTGCAGCTCGGCTGAGGCCTCGGCACCCGGGAAAGTCTTGCTAAGCTCCTTAGTAACTTTGAGGATACCTAGCGAGGCCTCCTGTGCTTTCTCGAGCTCTTGTTTGACGGCATTGTCCTTCGGCTTGAAGGATAAGACAGTGGTGTAACGCTCAGAGAAGGCGTCGAGGCGGCGCTCGGTTTCCGCCGGCACGATACTCATTAGCTTCGAGGTCATGAGGTTGCAAATGGCACGAATGTCTTGCTCGTCTTCAATGCCTGCGACGACGCGATCAAAAATGTCCGCAGTGTGCGTGTACACGAACGAGGTGTCCAGGGAAGCATAGAGAGTTTCGTAGGCACTCTGTGAGGTAAAAATTAGCATGGAATATAAAATGAATCGATGACAGGGAGTGTATTGTTACCTTGCGTAGGTCCAGTCCGTCATCGACCTTGTGCTTGAATGGACCCATTTGGACCTCGCGGATCAGCTCTGGCTTAACCTGGGTGTCTCCAAATACAGAGGGTAGAAGTTCATCCAGAGAGTGGAGGAGCAGGTTCATTTTGTTGTGAATGGCAGAGTTGAGGGTCGTCAACGCAAGACGATGGTTAGCTAGATTCTTATCACCAAGCATCGCAGTCAAGAGAGGTAGTATCAGAGGTCGAAGAACATCGTTGTAGGCATCGCTCGAGTCGGCAAGGGTGTAACGGAAGGCGGAGATGACTACGCCGCGAATGACCGCATCCGAGTTAGACAGATGGTCCTGGAAGTGCGGAATATAGGCCACGGGATCAATGAGGGCTAATCGGCCAACACATTCAGCACCCACGGCACGGTTATCTTCCTCTTGTGAAACAAGAATAAGGGCTTGCCACAACTTCAGCGCAGAGGGGGCAAGCTCAGGACGAACAACCTCAGAGTGCTGCAGAAGCTCACGCACCGAGTGCAGCAGCAGATAGCTCTGGGGATTGGCCGGAGTGAGACCGTTGAGGATAACTGGTAAATAGGCTTTAATATTACCTGCAGCCGCGTTCCCGAGGGCGGTAGCAGCAGCAAGACGCACATGATCAGAAGGTGAGTCGAAGTGGGCGATGAAAATATCCGGAACAAGCGAGCACTCTGCACCCATTCGTAGTCCTATTTCACCCAGAATGGCGAGAGCAAGGCACTTACGACTGTCATCCCTGGCGGTTCTCAACTCGGTGGAGAAATCATCCATTGTAACACCGAGTTTGGGTCCACCATGGACAAGGAGGGTTCCAATGGCACGGCCGACAACGGAGGAGTCCCCGGTGATGCCAACATTTTGGAGGAGATTACGCATCAGTTCAGCGCCAGCTCCTTCTTCTCCAATCACCTTCACAAGAAGGAGCAGCGCCTTCAAGACAGTGCCCACCAAAGGCTGTTTGACGATAGAACAGATTGATGTAATGAGAGACTCGTTCACCAAAGACTTAGAGTTTCCTGGAACTAGCTTGGCAATGATGATAAGCGTAGGAGTAAGGAGATGGAAGTCGGGGGCTGACAGTAGGGGAAGAAGAGAATTCTCCAAACTGGTCATCGTGGCAGGACTGAGGTGAGCTCTGGTGTTGGAGTTCATGGCTACGCTGCGTAGGGCCTCTAGGCAAGAGCCTCGTAATGCCCGATCCGATTTGCGTAGGTTGGATCCGAGCTCCGAGGTAACGTCGTTGACCCAGTCGCTGGTCACATCTTCCTTGCGACATGCAAGAACAACGACGTCATCAATAGCACGAACAGCTGCCAGTCGGGTGGTTTCATTCTTAACGCGATCAAGCAGAATTGCCAAACCCTTTGAACGGCGGTCGGTAGAAAGATACTCGACCCCTCTCTGTCCCGATGTACGTGCCAGAATTACACCAAAAACATGGATGGCCCGCTGGCGAACCTCCAAGTCAGCGCTGGTGTCAGTGATACGGGCCAGGACAACTTCATAAAGCTTCTCTAGTTGCTTGGCTACCTCTGGCGCGTTGGACGTCACACGAGGAGGGCTCAGAGCCTTCACGACCTGCTCCACGGCACCTAGCGCCTCGCTGCTGACTTTGTAATTACGCTCATTGACAGCGCCAACAACTCCTGGGACCAGGGCAATCAGGAATGGCAGAAGAGCATCAGAGAGATGTGTTTCAGCAATGGCCGAAATGAGACTTAGAGTCTCGATCTGTAGAGTGCCAGCGCTGACAGCAGCGCCGGAGTGGGCAGCGGAGCTGCCTGTGAGAGATGAAGTTTTAAGGGCATCCGCGATCAGGTCTTCGATTTGTTGAAGGTGATCGGCCAGACCACCGTAGCGAATCAGCGAAAGACTCTTCAGTAAAACAATGGTGGCCTGGCGAAGGGGCATTGAAGCCTGCTTCCACACTTTCAACAGACTTTGGACGATCAAGGGTACGGACCGGGCCAGGTCTGCCTGAGGACCAGACTTGGGAGAAGAGGGAAAGACGGGGGAATCGATGGCCGATGATGTTCCCACGCCTGGCTCGAAGTCCACCATGCTGGCATCGCTGTCTTGCCGACGTCGCTTGCGAGAGTTCTTGGAACCCCCCACGGACTCCAGGAAGCCGTTCGAGGTGAGCACGACCGAGCCTTCGCTAGTCTTTCGTACCAGAGCCGTCAGGGTCGAGACGACCTCCAGCTTGACGCTTTCTTCACGTTCGCGGCTTATGCGGGAGATCAAAGCGGGAGCGATCTGCTGGTAGAGGGTGGAGTCCTCCAGAGCACGGCTGTGGCTGTAGGTGCCGATCAGGCTATAGAGCAACTTGGCAGCACAGCGCCGGACTTTCCAGCTCATGTCATCAATATCGCTGTATCCACCTTCTTCTTCAAAGTCTTCAAACTCGTCGTCGTCGAGGTCGGGTTCTTCGGTAGCATCGTCTTCGCTGCCGTCATCCTGAGTGCCTCCCATCTCCTCGTCATCTTCCATTTCAGCGACATTGGGATCGTATTTCAAAAATCTCAGGGCGGCTCGGCTGGTATTGGCAAGATAGGGCTGCATTTGTTGGTTGCACGAGCTGATCAATGCCTCCAACGTGACTAGAGCCGTCTCGCGGAGCTCATCCGCCTGAGGGTCATGCTCCTCCTCATGAGAATAGACCGACATGGTGGGTAGGAGGCCAGCGGCAGACGGAGGCACGATATCACAGGTGAAACAGGCGTTGTAATTTCGTGAGGTCAGATTGGCGAGAGAGAAGAGGAGAACAACAAGCTGGAGCTGTTGAGCTGTTGAGCTGTTTGGCTGTTGAGCTCGTTTCACCCCGCGGAGGGCCCGGAATTAGGTTCGGCCGGGGTCCGGGGAATATAGAGGTTCACTGCAAAAAGTCGAACAGGTCGAGCGACGGTTGCGCACTTTTTTTCGAGGCGAGGAGAGCCTGTAGCCCCCCTTGCTTGCGTGCCTTGGCTCGTTTCTTGCTGTTTGCGTTCTCCGCAGTCTTGACAGGTGGAGGAGGTGCGGCGACCGCGTGTAGAGTTTGCGGAGTCGGCGCGGATGTCTCTGCGGAAAGCGCAGGAAGGGCAGGACTAGGCGATGCCGTGTCTGTCGGGGTTCGAGACGACGCCTTGGATGTTTGTTTTGAGAGGTTCCTCTTGCGCGGATGGACCATGCGTTGGTTGCAACGCAGACACTTGTAGACCGTCGCGCCAGACAAGGGTTGGGGTTTAGATGTCGCGAGTCTTCGGTTTTTTGGTTTGATCTCCGTGACTTGCGTCCATTGAGACTGTCTAAGACTACCACATCCACCGCAATGCTTCTTCTGCTGTCGCACATTCAAAGACTTCAATTCCTCGTGGAGAATTCGCGTTTGCGTCCCGAGCAAATACGCCGCCGTAGACGGGCTCTGCACCCTCATCAACTCCGCTGCGTCGCTCAAAAAGCGTAATTGGGCAGATTCGGGAGGGGCCATTGGATTAGAACTGGATCTAGGCCGATACAAAGGTACACGGAACAAGTAGACAAGGGGCCAAGGGGACGAGGAGTCAGGGTCGCCGAAGGAAGGAGTTGCAAAGTTGCTAAGTTGCTCAGTCGCGAGTATCGCGATTGTCATCCGCCCGACCTTTTTTTTTTTGGTGGGCCGACGACCGACAGCTTCACTCAACTCACCTCACTTCAAGGCGCCTAGGTCTCTCCCACCTCCCACGACAAGTTTCACTTGAAAGAGTCGCCTGTTTCCTTTTTCTTTCTTTCTATCCCTTGAGACTGGCCTTGAACATTCACAAATCTTCAACTAGTCCTTCCATCCGGTGTGCTTCTAACCCCTCGAGCCACAAATCCGCATTGCCAGAATCAGTCTCGCCAAGTGATCAATTCACTTTGCTTTCACCACCGCAATGTCTGAAATCGACGGCATTCGCGTAGTTACGGTGGGCTGCGTAAGTGATCGTCCCTGTTCCACATTGGTCTAACTTTTCTCTCTCTCGCATGACTGCATGAGACTTTCCTTGCTGACTCAACCTTATAGGGCCATGGGAGCCTGGGCTTGATTTACGACCAGGTCGATAAGGTCGCGGTCGAGCAGGGCTGGGACACCGTCGATTGTGTCATCATCGGCGGAGACTTCCAGGTTGGTTTCATCTGGACCCTCGTTCCGTCGAAATCAACATAGAGCTGACTGATTTCCAGGCGCTGCGCAATGCCAACGATGCCGCCTGTATCTCTGTCCCCGCCAAGTGGAAGAAGATGGGTGACTTCAAAGACTACTACGAGGGCCAACGGGTGGCCCCGTACTTGACCATATTCTGCGGCGGGAACCATGAAGCTAGCAACTTCCTCTTTGAGCTGTACTATGGTGGTTGGGTCGCGACTAATATCTACTACCTCGGCGCAGCAAATGTTATTCGCCTCGGAGATCTGCGCATCTCTGGAATGTCCGGGATCTGGAAAGGCTACGACTATCGGAAGCCTCACTTTGAACGACTTCCATACAACCATGACGACCTGCATAGCATCTACCACTTGCGCGAACTCGATGTCCGCAAGCTCCTGCAGATTCGTACTCAGATTGACGTCGGTTTGTCCCACGACTGGCCTCGGGGGATCGAGTATTCGGGGAACTTCAACCAGCTCTTCGCGCGCAAGAGAGGCTTTCGCGAGGATTCTGAGCACGGCCGACTAGGTAATGTTGCGGCCCGCGAGGTCTTGGATCGCCTGCGTCCTCCGTACTGGTTCTCCGCTCATCTGCATGTCAAATTTGCGGCCGCCATGGCCCACGATGGAGTGTCCCTCCGCAAGGTCGACGGCCTGAACCAACAAATCCCGACTTGGAGTGTTGAAATAGATCCCGAGAGCATCCCAAGTGGATCTGGCCTGTCGCTCGATCCCTCCAGAAGTCCCCCGCCTGAATTTACCACCAACGAAATTCGCTTTGCTGAGGGGGCCCAGGAAGATCGTACTTCCGCATGGCAGTACTTTGCCAGTGGTGCCGCGCATCAGACAGAGCAGAAACATTTCAAAGCTGAGAACAAGGCCTTCGTGGAAATGCTCCATAACATGAAAGACCCTCCAACTACTAATGCTCCCGAGACTTCACCGACAGGAGGTGATGTGCTGACTGCTACAAACAACGACGAGATCAACCTTGACTCGGACAGTGATTCGGACAAGGGCTCGCCTTCGAACACCACGACTCCTGTCAAGCCACCTAAGGCCGCAAAGACGGAGGCCATGGTTCTCGATGGTGCTAATGATATCAAGACTCCCGAGAAACCGCTCATTGAAGAGGCTCTTCCAGACAGCTTGCGTACCAAGCTACCTGCTAGCTTTGCTCGCGGCCCTACTTCCATTCGCACCTCTTCTACCCCCAGTAACAACCGCCGCAAGAAGATCATCCCTGAAGCCATCACCAACAAGCTGACGAAGTTCCTGGCGTTGGATAAGCCTTGCAATCGTGATGATTACGTTCAGCCCATGATGATCAAGCCTTTAAGTTCCCAGGGAGACGCCACAATCAAAGGTCCCCTACGTCTCTCATATGACAAAGAGTGGCTTGCTATCACTCGTGTCTTCGCCAGTGATCTGGTTCTCGGGGACCCTGCGGCTGAGGTCCCACCTGACCTAGGCGAGGCTTCGTACCTTGCTCGCATCCTCGAGGAGGAGGCATGGGTGGAGGAGAACATTGTGCAGCGCGGTTTGATGGAAATTCCCCACAACTTCCAGTGCAGTGCGCCTAAATTTGACCCAAATGTCGATCCCGCTAGCTCGGACCAGCCCAAGGAGTACAGCAACATCCAGACTAGTGAATTCTGTGAGCTGTTGCAAATCGAAAATAAATTCGACATCCCTGATTCCGAGCGCTTGGCCCGGATGACCGCTGGACCTCGCCATGATGGCCCTGGCTTTAGCTCCCGTGGCGGTCGTGGAGGTGCCGGCCGCGGTAGTGGTCGTGGCGGTCGCGGTGGTCGCAGTGGTCGCGGTGGTCGCGGTGGTCGCCGTTATTAGGTGCTCCACAACGCTCAACTCAGATGGGGTTCATGTCCATGATACGCTCGTCACTATGTTTTTCATGAGAGTTCTTTCTTTGCTTCTTCATATCTTCTCTGGGCTGACGTCTGGAGTTCATGGTTCAGCTTCATTGTTACTAGGAGTGCTAATTATCTCCAATGTCTTATTCTTGATTATTATTTTTCTTCCTATCTCTGTGTTTTCGTTGCGTTTGTGCGGATATTTTGGACTGACTCTCACTTGATGGATGGACGCAAGGCATTAAGCGAAATGTGTAAATTTCAACTTTGTTGTTCTTGCTAACCAGAAGATGGGTGGCCATTTTGACATATTCACAAAACTTGCGGAACTTGTTTGTCTTCTATTTCCAGACCAACTTGTACTGATACCCGGCCTTTAAGAACATTCATATACATTTGACTCCTTCTAATGTACTTCCAAATCACAACCTCGCAACTTGAATTTAAGTACAAGGTGCTACTCTATCTCCTCAATCCGCGGTCTCCTCTCAGCACTCGGCTGAGCCATAGGGTCAACATCCAGCCCGGCGATTCGATCACCAAGTTCCAATCGCGGCTGACTTTCATCTCCATGGGCACCAATTCCCCACATTAAGGATTTCTCCATCCAAGCCTCAAGGCTCTCGATCAGAGCACGTAGGTGCCCCCGCACAATACTGTCTGTCTCAATACTCTCGACGAATCCCAGGGTACGCACCATGGATGGAATATGCCCAATAGTGGACGGACCGCGCGTGCTTGGATTCTGCGGGTTTTGAATCGAGCCCGAGCCGTCATCTGTGAGCGAGAAGCCAAATCCAACATCCTTTCCGTTGCGCTGCTCCCTGGTGCTGTCGAGTGCCTTGAGGATATCTAGAATCAGAACGACGCTTGCGCGGCGAAGAATTGCACTTTCCGGGGAGGGCTCAAGTGTCAGTGTTGACAGCGCTAAATCTACTGCCGATGAAACGATAGTAGGGCCGAGGCCGATGATATTCGTTTGAACTGCTGAAGCTAGAATGGAGAGTGCTGACGTGCGAACGCGAAGGTCATCGGGCACCTCGTCAGTCGAGGCACCAGCTGCCCAGGCGGCAATAATATTGGCAGCGTACGCCTTTTGTTCCGGGGACTCGTCTTCCGAGTCGTCATCTCCTCCGACTTCATCTTCGATGTTTTCGGGTTGTTTGATGGATGGAATATCTGGGATAGACCATCCTGCTGGCATCTTGGGCTCTCTTTGCTTCCGTTGTTCGCGCTCTTTTCTCCGCCGCTCCTTCTCCTCGTCATGCTTGCGGGTTTGTTGAGTCTGGGGTTTGTGCCCGCGTCGCCCAGCGACTGAGACCATGCCTTCTCCTAAAATCCCGGCAGTCTCGCCAGTCAATGCTTCACCTAGGTCTTGAACTGTGCGTAGCAATGACTCTCCGATCTTAAGACGTTGATCTAGCGTCCTTTGTTCACTTTTGTCGGCATAATTGTCGACAAGTGTCTTGACCACGGTTCGTGGATGGCGCGACGCAAGAGTTCCAATGAGTTTGATTGCGTTGAGATAGATGAACTCCTCATTGGCTGTGGACTCTGATACATCCATAACGATGGAAAGAAGCAGCGTCAGAGTGGAAGGGATATCCAGCACAGGCGACGCATCCAGAATCAGCTTGGATAGCATTGAGAACCCCTCAGCTTGAACGGGGGAAGCTCCGAGTTGAGATTTGTTAATGCTTGACGATGTTTTTCGATGTCTGCGACGTGTGGTGGAGGTGGTTTTAGATCATCGTGCTCCGGCGATACTAGCTGAATTTCCATCAGCATGGACGATGTAGTTGCTGGTTTCGATAATTCATTAGGCAGGAGGGGAATGAGTTGATCAAGGTCATGTTTGATGGATTCTAAGAGTGACTTGGTCTCGGGAGAGAGCGCAAATTCAGGGGATGCAATAACAGTGGACAACAGACTAAACGCCGTCGACAGGGACTCCTGTGCGTCTCCGTGGTCCGTATCCACCGAGTCCACCTCCTCCTCTGGTACAATGTTTGCCAGGGAGGTCAGGGAGACTTTGCCCCTCTTCTGCTCCTGTTTTTCTGTTTCCTTTCTGCTACGAGCATGCAGCTCTCCGTCGATCAATTGTTTGATGAGTTCTAGCACTCGCAATGGGCGTCGTGACAAAGTATCTTTGAAGGTATTGAGTAGCTTCTCAGCAACTTTGGCAGAGACCAGTTTTTGCATGATATCCTCGCTTTCGCCAAGTTTCTGTGTTTTCTTTTGTTTGCCAGCTTGATCTGATTCCTGGGAATGCACAAGCCAAGACTGGCTCACATAGAGGAAGATATCACCCGTACGCTCCTCTGCGCTCGGGTCAGAACCCAGAAGTTTGACAAAAAGGTCTGTTCGGCCTTGCAGGGAATCGATCAGTCCAATTAGATTCGACTGGTTGCTGCTTTGGTTCTTTCGCTTTTGCAGTACTATTTCTCGCTGAGGATCTGTACCGTATGTCCAGGAAAATCCACCATCCCAAAGTAAGTTGTCGACCAGCTTCTTGAGAGGTTGAATTCCAACAGAGATACTGAAGTATGTCAGAAGCAGCTCCATGGCTTTGTCATGAAATTTTGCCAGTTGATGCTCTTGGGAATAACAAGCCAGACCCCACAGGGGAAGCAAGACGGGATAGACGACACGCTTTACAAGTCCTGGGTTGGGATGCTGCAAAGCCAGGCTGCGCAGCCTGTCCAGTGCGAGACCCACAATATCACTATTGACAATTGTATTCGGGGACAAAGGATTCTCGCTTTTGATCGGCATGTGTCCCTGGTTTTCAGAGTGAAGCGTCATCCATTTCCAGGTCGAATCGTTGAGCTCAGCGGTTAGAACCCCGAAGGCCGGTTCAACAAATATCGAGTGACCAATGGTACCCGGGGCTCCGTATGAGCGCTTTCCCAGAATACCATTTCCAATCACATAGGATGAAGTTTTCTTCAAGTCTGGGTCGTCTCCATCAAGTAACTCCAGTAGTTGAGCGCCGGTGTTTGTAAAATAGGACTCCGGATCAATACCCTGCGGAACTGATGAAAGAAGCTTCGATATTTGCATAATGGCCTGCACGGTAAAATGAGGTCCATTTGATGGCTCATTCCGGGCTTCTTGTCCGAGTGATGGTGCAAATTGGGATACAATGAACATGATTGTCTGCAAGACACCACCAGGACGAAGTGGAACATGGGATAAATGACTAGACACACTGGACTTGAACCATGCAACTGTATCTGCCTGTAGAAAACTCGATAGTGTGGGTAAAAGAACCGCACTCGGCGTCCTGTCATTATCAGCGCAATGTCAAACACCACTTGGCTTGAAGACATACTCATCAATAAGTCTAGAAAACTCTTTTTGGTAAATTATCCGATCATCAGAGTAGTGAAGGTGTGGGTTGAAGGCAAGGTCGGCTGCACCGCTAATAAGGTCGCTCAATATGCGGCCCCGGATAACAGGCTGTATACTTGGCCTATCATCCAGCGTGATGTTCAGTAGAACTCTCATGATACATTCTAGGAGAGCTTCATTATGGGGCACAGAGCTATGGGTGACTTGAGTCTGTTTAGCGATCACACCAGCCGGTAGCACCGAAATGACTCTTTGCTGCAGTGGAATGCCAACTCCCGACGACAGCGACGGATAAATTCCTTCGAGAGAGATCAAATCTAATATTGCGTGTAGCATTCTGCGTCGCTTTGCATCCTCGAGTGATGGCTCTTCATTTTCCTGTTGCAGTTGCTGCACCGTATCAGGGTCCTCTACTGGGGCGACAAAGGCGACATGGATATGGCTCAAGATATCCAATGCCTTCTTGATGACCGCCACTCTTCGAGCATCATCTGACACAATCGAGGGATCAACTTGATAATTCAAGATCTCCAGCAACGACTGCCCTTGCAACTTCTGGATTTCCTCTAAATTCAGTTAGTTTTAGATTTTATATAACGGAATATATGGGATCTGCATGCCTCGATTAAGCACAGGATTTAAGAAGCTGTTGGCAGCGCTAAACGCATCGCGGATTCCTTTCAGATCTCCCATCATGAGGAACAGGAAATTTTTATTGCCGCTTAGTCCATGATCAAGAGCCTATTGAGCTTCAAAATTTCCAAATAGCTCTCATTCCGTCTGGAGGCGAAGAGGTGGGCTTGGTCTTGGCGCCCATCTGCTTACGAGATGCAGTTAAATTGATTGTTAGGTAATACGCGTTTGTCACGTGATTTTGCGTCACGCTGGCAGACTGTTGATGCCAAACAACACAATCGACGGGAATGCCTCTTCCTTTCCTCAGCTGCGTTCGTCTTATTCAACTCCCTTCAACACGTCCAGGAAACACAAATTCGTGATGGCCATGGCTGTTAAACTGGTCTTCGGGAATCGGGTCTTTTCAGAAAGCCGCCATTCGCCCGAAGTATTGTTTCTACGCGTGAAGAGACTTGCATCGCGTCTTATCCTGAGTGTGGAGCCACCAAGTTTCTTGCCTATTGAGGCACCCAGTGTACAGCTTTCCTCTCCTGGACCCAGCTGCTTGATAGCTGGGACCTAACCCTAAACCCTACCCAGTCGGATACGTTACGACATCAGTTTCACGGGATATGCATGCCGAGCCTTATGAATAGTTGAATCGGTCTATGGTGGACCGAGGAGGCGAAAGTTGCTCGACTTGTCCAGAGCCTCTCCAGGCACACAAAACGGTTTACTATGCAGAGCCGACAGTGGCCACGCGTCGGTTTACCTATGCTGGACGTTGCATGCTGGTCACAAGCGGATGATTGTCCTGTGCTTTCAACAACAGGGATTCTCGAGAGAAATGGCGGGTGGAGCACGTCAGGCACCTCGGTATTGAGGCTGTCTCTGGGAGGCATCAAACAGACAGTGCGACAGGCCGAGATCTGATGCGATGTTCCAGCATTGAAAAACCTAGGGCACCACCTGGTTTGGCTCAGAGATTCGGCGCCTAGAACACAACAGATTCCATTACACACAGCCATGTCATCGTCAATCAGAAGAATCCTCTCGTGGGAATCAATTTTATCGCTCCGAAGCTGTCCAGGTAGTTTTCATGGATAAAGCTGTCGCGAGGTTCTACTGTATTGTTCTGTTGGCATGACTTTTTGATGCTAATCAAAGTCTCTGGTCTGTTGTCATGTTCCGGCCGGCAATGTTTCTTCCCATTCCAGTACGGTGTTTTTGATCTGGATCGGCTGTGTTTGTTCTTGAATTCTGTCAGCAGAATACTGTCTGCCGTCCCGAACGTACTCCTACGATGGGGATACCTGGATATCCGGCCCCTGTCTTTCACCTCTCGTCCCTTTTTCTTGTTCAATGGCTTTGAGCCAGCTAGGCATCTCGAGTCACGGTATCATCCACCGACTTGACTTCCTTCGGAAGATCCGGGCCGCCTGTGTCAACCATCTCTTTGCGATACAGCTTGCGAATTGATCGATGGGCGCCGACTACCTTACAGTGACTTTTTCTGTCCATTGCTCCTTCCCTCGGGGAGATGAAAGCGATTTTTTCAGGACGTTGTTTGTTCGCTTTTTTCATGCCATCCTATCACACGCTCGGTTTGATGTGGAGAGGAAACAAAAACTTGTCCCAGAGAGCACACTGTACTACACACAAGAGACTGGCTCCACGTTCCTGACGAGCTGCTATGCAGTATCTGGCGGGTAGACCATCCTGAGGAGATGAAAGCTTTCAGGCTCGGTTTGATTGGTTTAATCCGTCATTGCCCGATCTCGATTTTTTCTTTCTTCCTCGTGCCGAGAGGTCGAATAATTCGAATAGCGTTCACTGACTGCATTTCGTCACTTAGCATTCCTCAACCCCCATTTGTCTCGCTCGAGGGCTTGTCCAACCTTACTCAATTGATCATACCTGTTCAGGCTGGGTGTTGTGGTGTTTCATTCCTTCGTGTCCTTTCTTCGCAGGTTTTATCATCCAAACAACTTTGATCGTGTGTTTCTGCCGGTTTCAGTCCATGGCTTGTCGCAAGAAGTCGATGTGGGACCTCTCTCGAGTGAGGATCAAAGCTTTGGCTTGTCTATGTCACGTTCTGTTGCTATGTACTTTCTGCTGGGCCTCATGGTCCTGGTCAGTCTGGGTGGATCCGAGAGAGCTCGAAGAGGAAATAACTGCACACTCCTTTCTGTCAATGAATTGGTAATGGATCACTGGGATCTGGACCTTTTGTGGGATTTTGAGACGGTGGGAGCGGAATGATATGACAAGATTGCTACAGTGGACAGCCGCTTTCTCTACTTTGGTGGAGATAGCGGCCTTTTTTTTCTTTTATAAGTGCCCCTTCAGAGAACTCTATATCGAGCTACGGCTAACTACTATTCCAAGGTTTCCCTCCCGTGGTTCTACCGACAGACAGATCAAGCTCTAATGCCTTATTTATTCGTTATGAGCCTCGTCGGGGGCAACAGTGAGAGTTTTTTATGAGCTTCCTCCGCCTCCAGCCGCTTTGATATGTGCTGGAGAGGTTTCTTGTTTTCTGTCCGAGCGTGGCTACGAGTGCTTGTCATGTAACATTCCCGGATTATTACAGGATGCCTGGTATTCTGAAACTTTGATGATTTCTTTGCAAAACTTTCATTTTGTAGTTGCCTAAGAATGTTCTCTATGGAACTGTGAACTACATTTCTGGTCTCCATGTTTCTCAATTGTCCTTGTAGAAGTCATGAAAAGGCGTATTGACCAAGTCCGCTATGTATTCCTCGCCATATATAAGCTAGAACTCTCAATTGGGATATGAAGATTTCTATCCTCGAGAGTGTCATTGCAATTATTCGCTCTCCGCCCCTCGTTCGAGATCGTCACAAGGTGCAGAACAGTGGAGTGATAGCTGTGGTCAAATAGCATGATGCTGGCGAAGACATTTTCTGGTCAAAGACAGGCCCACTTGGCTACCCTATCAGTGACTCAGCTGTGCTTTCGGATGATCTACTTTAGCAAAGTTTTGAAAACAAAGTTTCGAACTCTGAGAAAGTGGTGTCTAGATAATGTTTGTGGCTGTTCGGCTTGGTCGTGGAGAATATGTGAGACCACATAGCCGAAGTCATGGCGAAAGGTAGTGTCCAGGAATTCACTTCGCGAACGGGTTTGCATGGATCGTGACACGGTCGATGCGAAGTGGTTCGAATGCATCACCCTCTTTGGGCTGAGAAACCTTGCCCTTCTTGTCAACCTTGATGTTGGCTTTCTCCAATTTCGCAAGAACATCGCCACCTTCATCCTGAGCGGTCAAATTCAAGACCTTGCCGAACACAGTACTTGCACCGTCTAGGTGCGGCGCTGGGGCAAAAGTAATGAAGAATTGACTTCCGTTGATTGTATCTCCAGTTGCATTCTGCGAGCCCGGAGCAGTCCTGTCCTTGACTGGGCGTGATGCCATTGAAAGAATACCACGCGCGTTATGTCGGAGAGCCGGGATATGGATCTCTTGGTTCATTGCAGAGGGATAATAAATAGACGTGCCGCCTTTCGGTATTTCATGCGAGAGCATCGGTTTTGTAGAGTCCAAGGACTTCGCAGCTGGGCCCAGAGAGATATCACCGCCTTGAATCATGAATCCGGGAATGAGACGGTGAAATGGTGTTTCATTGTATGCGCCGCATGCGCAAAGTGCCAGGAAGTTCTCAGCAGTCTGGGGAACTGCTTCACAAAATAGCTCAACCTTCAGGTCGCCTTGAGTCGTATGGAGCTGCACACACAAAGTAGTTAGCATATTGCAGAGATGAGATATCCTCGGTTAATTAGCCCAGACTTACCGTGACGGACATCTTTCGTAGACTCAATTTAATTCGGGGGTAATGAGAAAGCAATGGTTAGAAGAAAGGGAAGTTGACTGATGCGGGCAACCTCGATATCCCGCTTAGTCATTTCTTGTGCCGGGTGGCGCCCTGGAATGGTGTCCCCGAATTGTTTACGGCCCTTGCACAACCTGAATTCCGGGACAAGGAGCTCTGCTGTCTCGCGGATATCGTGTTCCTCGGCGTTAAATTTCAAGTTTTTTCTCGTGCGGTAACTGCGGGGTTCTCCGATCTCTAGATCCAAGCGCAATACATCCCTTTGTCCCAGCTTGCCAACTTAGCCTCGAGGCGCACCACTAGCCAGCCATGAACAACCGACCAGTCGAGCAAGCTTTGGGTATTCTAGTTCCTACTCACGCCAATGACCTACCGCAAGAGCTTCTCAGCTTGGCTTTGAGTCTGGTTGCACAGTCTCGAAGCTTCTCAGCCAGCTTGAAGCCCGAGGAGGAGATCGCTCGCCCATATGCCTGTGCAGAAATCGCCTGCAAGAGGTACGTCACCAGTTTTTAACCTGTGTTTTGCCTAATAACTTTCTTCGGTCCTCGTTCTAATTATATCCGGCGATCTGAACAGGCTAAGTCGAGCCCTCCAGCTGCCTCCATTACTTGGTCATCCTCCATGTCCTCCGCGCGTATACAAGAAGCTCTATGCCTACCTCGACAAGTCTCTCTTAGCTAGCTCAGCAGGCATCAAACGATCATCTAGTGACTCAGTATCTGGCACACCATCCCGAACTGGTACATTCCAGACAACGCCGACCAAAGCATCTGGCGTTGGAAATACTCCTTCTCGGGCGGCGCCTACCCCCCGGGTTATTCAGAATACACCATCGAAGTCTACGCCCTTGAAGCGGAGTGTCAGTATCACGAATAAGTTTGATTCGCCGTCTAAATCGGCTCGAAAAACTACAGCTGGCCAATCCAATGGCCTTGCTAACGCAACCATCATCCCCGATGCCCCTGCATGGGTCATGACAGCAATCCGAACAGTGTGTAAAACGCTTTCGACACCTGCTCCACGCACCAACACCTGGTCCCGGCCTCCAATTTCACGGACCTTACCTCCTCATATTTTTGCCGGTGTCTCGTCGATCCTATATTTGACGGCGAGCATGTCGAATGATGAAGAAGGCATGGATGAAGAAACCTTGGATTTCTTAGATCCAATCGTCTCCATTCAGGCCAATGAGGCTGATTTCAAGGACCTTGTGTATGCGATGGTGGTTGCCGTTTATTTCCTTGTTCTGGCCCGTCGACGAAGCCCGGCGCCTTCAGCAGACGGGGAAGAGTCGAATACCGAAACTCAGAAAATGGATAAGAAGACATTCACAGAGATGCGGCAAACAGCATTGACCAGTCTTGGCCTTCCCAACGATCGGCACCATCGTGATGATGTCGACCAGTGGATTGCTCTGATTATGGAACAGAACTGGGCAGCCACGCAAGAGTGGTTCGAGAATATCCCGCTTGCTGGTGAACTACACGGTGAAGATGAAGAGGGGAACTCATATCGTGATCTTGACGAGGAGGATGCGGCTTTCCGTGGCGTGAAGTTACCGAAGCGCAATGATAGCGCCAGTGGAACTGGATCTCGCTCTGGGCAAGCTAGTCGGCCTATTCATGGCGGCCTGCTGCCTGGTCTTGGTACCATGATGCAAGACCGAGTAGACTGGCTGAGCGAAGACCGGCGAGAAGATTTTCTGGAATGGAAGGCGGACATCTTGGCCCGTATGGAGGGTGGCCAGAACAGAGCAGGTCGTGTCACTGCATGAATCGGCGACCAAAGAGCGTTCTCACAATAGATGTGAAAGATGTTAGGAATAGAATTGATACCCTTTTGAAATATGAATACAATTCAATCATAGCATATGCCGAATTGGAAGCACGTCAACTGTTGCCAACAAAAATGGTCTATAAATAAAGTGTCTATCAACCAGCATAATGTCTATCCTTCATGTCCAGTAGAAAACCATCCCTTTTAGCCTCCCATGCCGGGCTTCCGGGGCCATATTTTGCTGATGAAAATGCGTGCCTATCAAAAACTTGTTCGTCCTGCCAAAGCCCTCGCCGACGCCATAAAATGACCAAGTGCACCTCAATACCAAATGCTGCGAGTGCGATGATGCGGAATGCTCTCGTTCTTCTCTTGCTCCAAATTCTTCATAGTATCATACAAGAAGAAATCAATGAGGATTGCGTTTATTCCGTGAGTCTTATGCGATAGCTCCTTGCTGTCAGGCTTCGAAACACCCTTCTTACCCGCCGTTTTGACTTCTGGGTGTCGTCTCTCAATTTCACGTCTGATCAGCTCGACACACCAAATGCTTGCTCCACGAAGTTCAACTTCCCAGCTAGAGCCGGGTGTTATGATTTTCAAATCCCGGATGTGGGATTCCAGGGGCGGTGAATAGCGGAGACAGCCAAGTTGATGAAGCATCTGAGGAATACGATAGTCTAGAAGCAAATTGTTAGATAGAGGTTCCCAAGAAGCGTCTTGGATGGCATCCGATATTCTGGTTAATTCTCACCTGCAAACATGGTGATTTTATCGATATCGTTGAACTCGCCAAAATCTTCTCCGTTAAAGCAGGCCCATAGGTCCGCTACCAGGATCTGGGCCCGCTTGTGCAAACGTACTCGCTTGCTGTTGAAGACTCTTTCATCTCGGAAACAGTCGAAGTTCTCTGTGAGCAGATTCACAAGGCCAGCAGCCGAGAAATTGGCACTGTCGATGCAGTTTACAAAGCTGCCACCGAATTCCTAGCAGATCATTAGCATCAGGAAGTCGTGCAGAGACCTGTTCGGTGGGAATTACATGGCAAAGAATATCACCGGCCTCACGCAAGCATTGCACTCGCTCTTGGAATAAAGGAATTTCCTCTTCAGTTGCAGAGCGAAATACATGCCTGAGCACTTCCTCGGTGCATGCCTCCTCATTTACCCAGAAGTCAGGGGTTGTGATTGGGATATCTGTGCAGACCCAAGGTCAGTCCTCATCTAACACGTCATCTGAGAAATGGGGAAGAATTGGGCTGGTATATAATCCAAACAGACCTTCGTCAAGGGCCCTTTGCAGCGCGGCTACCAGGCTCCAGTATCCCGTCCATCTCTTTCCACGATACTCGATACAGAAGCGCTTGGACGGGTCTTTCTCCTCCGACCAGAAGCTGAAATTCAGGAGATCCATGGTAAAAATGAAATCTACTGTACTCTCATCCTTTGTCTTCGGATGCAGCTCATGCTCCGACCAGGTCTGCGTGGAGTAAGCCTTCTTCTGCATCAGACGCCAAATAGTTTCGGCCGCTTCCTTCGTCGCCCCTGAATCAAGAGCCACATCAATGGCATTGTCGAAAATATATTGTGCCCCCTCCAGGACTCTTGTTTCTGGGGGAAGATCTTTGCCAGCCTTTCCACCTAGACCAAGGTGCTGCCGAAGCAGTTCCAGCAGCTCCGGGTCCGCTTCATCGTCCGAACCTGCCTCTACCGTCTCGTGCCTTCGCGGAGGAATCGGCTCCAGTGATGGCATAGTCACTATCTGGGAATACTCGAATGCTCAGAAGTGAGAAATGAAGAAAACAATGCCTTGCAGTGGATGTTTCCCCTATATCGCAAGTTCCGCCGGACCAGCCTTAGGGGTGTGCGACAGGGACGAGATGCAGGACCAAGCCTGTCAGGGTTGCTCCCACCCACTTCGATGCGAATAGATGTGAAGCTTGTTGGGGTCTCGGGGCTCGTATCTATACAATCCCGACTCTCTTAGCATGCACAATGTCTCACCGATGGGGTTTTCTTTCTCGCCACGGGGAATTTTCAGTGGCTTTGGATCCAGAGACCATGGTTATGTAAGCAGGGGCAAGCCGCCGATTTAAGTCCCAATGAAAATCGATTGGTGATTGCGAAGACCTTGGGGTCCGTCGGGTGGAGGATATGAGTTCTCGAGGCATGATGAGGATATGGTGGATCTAATTGCCATCTATGCTATTCCGTGGGCATTGGTAGAGCAGTGGTTGCTGGGATCATACTGCATCAATCATCATGTGGTTTCTAACTATATTTCTCCACGGCTGCTCGTATCTAACAAGAAACCCAAGCAGAAGCCAATGCGAGCCAAAACCAAACTTATAATGTGAGCTATCTACATCCAGAAGAGGGCAAGGACCCCTCAAAAAAATAGGCTTCATTTGTCGCTCCCAGATAGCATTAGCAAACGTACAAAAAGGTGTGATGCAGGGTGCATGTACCTTGCCGTAAAAAGCATGAGATCCAGTAGCATACAGAATATGTAAGCACTTTCCGCTAGAAGAAAGCTTGTCACACTAGACAAATACAGTATGTTAGGATGGGTGACGGGCAATGGAGGTAATCAATCAAGATATATAGGTTCAGCGCCAAAAGAAGAGGTGAAAGTCAGCACGAAGACCGATCCAAAAGGCTGCACTGTCGATCGCGCGGCTCCCGCTCTGCCGCTCTGCCGTCATCGACCGTCCGGACCTCACTTGGACTTCGCCTCGGCCTCTGCTTCCGGGTCTTACGCGCCGCCCTACTTTACACCCCTCTTCCCACCACCACTCCTTATTTTCTTTGATCCCTCTGAGAAATGATTTCATAGATCTACGGAACTCTCAGAACCCCATTGCGATCATCATATCTTTGCGCCCACCCACCATGCGAGCCAGTTCTATCAAGCGCTCCCTCGGAGTTGACCTGACCAACAGCATCAAGGAGGTATGGATATGACAGTTTTGGCAATGATACTCTTGGAAATAACTCTATTGAATGCGATTGTATGCTGACATCCTCTCTTCGCCCCTGACTAGTCGCGCGTTCTTCTTGTTGGCGCTGGTGGTATCGGCTGTGAGCTCCTCAAGAACCTCGTCCTCACCGGCTTCGGCGAAATCCATATCGTTGATCTTGATACTATCGACCTGAGCAATCTAAATCGCCAGTTTCTCTTCCGACATGAACATATCAAGAAGCCGAAAGCTTTGGTACGCCTTCAGAACCCCCCGGCAGAGCTCCATCGTCTCCTCCCTTGCCCGCCTACCGTTGCGCTCTTTGCGCCGTCCCCGTTGAAAACCAGGAACGAAGTCTGTCGGGTATTTAGATATGACGCTGACAACTGATAGGTAGCGAAAGAAGTTGCGCATAGATTTCAACCCAGCGTGAGGCTTGAAGCCCACCACGCAGACATCACGGAAAGCCGATTCAATGTCGATTGGTTCAAGAGTTTCAACATCGTCTTCAATGCCCTAGACAATCTAGCAGCTCGTCGCCATGTGAACCGCATGTGCCTCGCGGCTAGTGTGCCATTGGTGGAGAGTGGAACAACTGGATTCAATGGCCAAGTACAGGTTATTGAAAAGGTGAGCCACCCAGACGCGCAGAGGGCCGGCCTTTCAGATAACGGCAAGCTGATTCAAAGATTTCAGGGAACAACCGAGTGTTATGACTGCAACGAAAAGGAGACACCGAAGTCGTTTCCCATTTGCACCATTCGCAGCAACCCCTCCCAGCCCATCCACTGCATTGTATGGGCCAAAAGCTACTTGATCCCGTATGAACCCCAACAATTACCCGCTCCCCACTCTTACTAACGAAACCTCAGGGAGCTTTTTGGCAAGGGAGAGGAGTCCGACATACTTGATAATACTGAAACTGCGGAGAATGGTCAGCTCACCCCTGTTACAACACAGCCCAAGATTCACAGCGAAATATCATGCTGACATCCGAGTAGCGGAAGAAATTGCTGAACTTCGAAAAGAGGCAGAGGCTCTGAAGGAGATCCGAGAATCGATGGGGTCGGACGAATTTTCCAGAAAAGTTTTTGAGAAAGTCTTTAAAACGGATATCGAGAGGTTGCGCGAAGCAGAAGATATGTGGAAGGAACGTAAAGCGCCAGATATCTTAGATTATGATACACTTTCTGAGGCATCAAAGGCCCTCGAACCTTTGGTTTCCATCCAAGACCAAAGAGAGTGGACGATAGAGGAGGACTTTGTGGTATTCAAGGACAGGTTGGTGACTTTTCTCTCTTTTGAATTCTGCGCATCTAACTGGTAGTTAGTCTGAAGCGCCTGAGTGCGCGCCTCAAGGAACTTAAAGACAAGAAGTCCCCAGAAGACCCCGAGCCAGTATTGACCTTTGACAAGGATGATGTTGACACCTTGGATTTTGTCACTGCGACAGCTAACCTACGAGCCACTGCATTCCACTTGAATCCTAAGTCAAAATTCGACACAAAACGTGAGTCAGAGCATGTCCATGAATACATACAGAAACTAAACAATCGCAATCTGTAGAGATGGCTGGAAACATTATCCCAGCTATTGCGACGACAAATGCTATGACAGCAGGCCTATGTGTTCTCCAGGCATTCAAAGTGCTCCAAAATGACCTCGCGAATGCGAAAATGGTAAGGACTCCTGTTGCTTGCTCACATCTAGTTCCTGGAAGCTAAGTATGGATGGCATTCACAGGTTTTCCTCGAAAGATCGGGAGCCCGTGCAATCAACTCTGACTCTCTAGATCCACCCAAACCAGACTGCCCGGTATGCTCACCTGTGTTCGCTCGGATTACAGTCGACCTGCAACGCGCAACTCTCCAGGATGTTGTCGAAGGTGTGCTTCGATCTGAGTTGGGTTATGGCGAAGAACTGTCTATCATAAGGGGCACGCATTTGATCTTCGATCCCGACATGGAAGACGAGCTCCCTAAGAAACTTTCCGACCTCAATATTGGCCACGAGACTTTTCTCACAATCATCGATGACGACGATGTGGGTAAGGCTCCCCGTGTCAACCTGGAGCTTGTGGTCATGGAACAGTAAGTTGTAACACTGTGGCACTACTTCGACATGGATCCTGGTACTGATCTCATCCAACAGAACCGAACCTTCCTCTGAAGAATCAGCTGTGGTCTCGCTCCAACAGGTTCTCGATATTCCGCGAAAGTCGAAGAAGCCCGAAGCGACAAGCTCAGAGGAAACAACAGCAGCCAATGGAACGGCAGTCACCGGGAAACGTAAGCGTGAGGGCGAGGATGAACCGTTAACGAATGGCCACATCTCTAAGAAGGTTGTTGGAGAATCATCGATTAATGGCAAAGGCGACGATACTGAGCCAATTGTTCTGGATGACGATGGCACCATTTTGATTGACGACTAGATTTGACTGACTACAGCGTGGTGATGTGGCTGGTTGGGATTGTTTTTTTCACGAGAAGACTACAGATCTGGAAGCACATGATTTTCTTTTTATCAACGTTTTTTATGTATCATATGGCATCAAGCCAAACGACTTTTGAATTGAACCTATCAACAAAATTTTTCTTTCACAATTTTCCATTTTCGCTTTGAGGGAAGATTTATAAAATGGAGAACGGGAATAGAGTGATGAAAATACAAGTGTACAGTTGATACTCCGGTTGATGCACCTGGCAGAGTCCAAACGAAGACGCTGCCTTCAGTTGCTGTGTAAATGATACAGAAAAAAGAAAGGAGACTTAGACTGCACTTAGTCCCCCGTCGAGGTTCAGAATGCAGTTGTTGGCATACTCGTTCTGGGCTAGAAAGACTGCTGCATCCGCAATCTCACTTGGATCGCCGAATCGTTGCAGGGGAATCATGGCTTTAAGCTTTTCAGCCTCCCCTGGTGTAAAATCTGAGCCAGTGTTAATGGACATTCATATTTCTTGGAAGTTAGAAAGAAGCCTGGACTCACCAGCAATCATTGGCGTTTCAATATACCCTGGAACAATTGCATTGGAGCGAATGACCACGTCCTTCATTGATGCGGAGGCTTCAACTGCCAAGGATCGTGTTAGGCCCAAGAGGCCAGCTTTTGATGCCGCGTATGGCACCGCACCAGTTCCAGCCTTAAGTGCAAGTAGAGAGGAAATGTTGATGATGCACTTTGAAGAGGCTGGATTGATGGCAGATGAGACCTTTTTATTACGGATTCGACTTCTAATTGCCGCACGCATCAAGGCCCGTGAGGTCAGCATCGCGCCTTCAAGGTTTGTGCGGAGAATCCGAGAGATATCGGCCAATTCAGCCTTAGGAAGAATGCTAGAAACTGAGATTCCGGCAGCATTGACCAGGACATCAACATTTGTCTACAGTATATTGCTCTATTAGCTCAGATTTGTCTTTCAAATTGGTATATAGAAGGCTGAAGTGGCTTACCATCTCCTTTTCCAGTTCACGCATCCACGCGCCTGCTTCTGCGACATCCCCAACAAGAAGCCGGACTTTGTCTGACACAGCTGTTGCCTCATTTCTATTTGAAGACCCACCGTGGGAGTTTGAAAGTTTGGTAGCCGCTAATTGGAGCCGTTGCTCTGACCTGCCAACCAGAATGATTGTTGATGCGCCTTCTTGCAGGAACCTTTCAGCGATGGCGAAGCCGATGCCAGATGTGCCACCGGTGACCATGCATGTTCGCCCTGATAGCCGGTTTGCTGACTGAAAAGATGGAAAGGAGTTATCTCTGTGCGATTGGGTAGAGGACAAGCATCTTCGGACTCTGCTTGCTGTAGAGCCGCCAAGGTATCTTCCGAGGTCACTGGTCGGCCGGGAGTGAATGAGGGGCGACGCGCCAGCTTGCAGACGGGCCCATGGGACAAACAAATTCACCATGATTAAAAATGATTCACATCGACTGCTCTGAATTATTTCTTACTATTCACGGTAAATGGATTAGAAGAATGGTCGCTCTCTCAACCTTGTGCTGCGCTGGAAAACATCGAGCCGTACCTCTGCTTATCGGTTATCGGCATCCGTGCACGGACCCGCTCCCTTCATCTTCTGCCCGCAGTCCATCTGGCTTTGCCCTCCTCGCGACACACGCGATACGTCCATCATGGCCCAGTCCACGCCGTCGGAATATGTGACTCTGGTATCATGTGATGGGTTTGAGTTCATCTTACCCCGCAGTGCTGCCTGCATTTCTGGCACCATCCGCCGCATGCTGGACCCGTCAAGTACGTACCTCTCTGGATCCAGAGCTAGACGACTCAGGCTTTGCTAATGCCTTTGCCCGACAATAGGTAAATTTTCCGAGGCAATCACAGGTCGATGTGTTTTGGAAAACTTAACGTGAGTTTTTCTATGTTGCAAGCAATGCACACTTCTAGAACCTATATTCCTCGCATCTTGTCTATGTTTTGCGACTGACCTGGTTCTCACCCCCAACAGAGGCGTCGTCCTTGAGAAAGTCTGCGAATATTTCCTGTACAACGAGAAGCACAAAGAGCAAACTAATGTGGCTGATATGGATATCCCACCGGAGTTATGTTTGGAGCTCTTGATGGCAGCCGATTATCTTGACACTTGATCACGCGAGGTGTGAATCCCACAATCAATTTCCGGAGTCAGAATTGAGACTCACACAAGAACCTCCTATAGTTCCTGCTTCCTATATATCTCTTGCTATGATTTACGGCGCAATGACATAGGCAAAAGACCTTGACAATGAATTTACACGGAGTTATGGGCCCGTTCGAACGGATGTTCAGATGGGTAGGGTTGCAGCGATTTCATACATGCATGTTTTATTGGAAAATTTTACTTACTGGGACCCAATTCCTGGTTATTTTAAGTCTTTTTTAAGGTCCAGCACTGACAGACCATCCAAGCATCATACATTCGACCTGATGGATCTCCGTGGACGAATGAGTCTAAAATGGATGGCAAACTAATATCTTATGCCCTGGTGACAATTCTCCTGCTTCAACTTCCAAGAGCAGGGGGGTTATTCCGATGGGATACATTATCTTATGCCGTAAAAAAGGTGACGGTAGCACTGCTGCCTCGGGAAGCGATCGGCTCGCGCCGCCCTGAGCTGCATGAAATCGGCCTACCTATAATATATCTTAACAAGGCAAAATGCCATCGAACGTGAAATAAGAATGATTCCTTCTTAGGTCCTGCCTTCCTCTGACCAGCAAATTGTACACGGGGCGCGCAATGAATATTACCCTTTCGAAAATGACTTCTGAACTGTATAGAATTATATGTTGAGTTTGAGACCATTTCTGTTCAATGATGCCCATGTTCGTGGAACTGGACTCTCAGAGTCTATTAGACCAGCGAAATACTTTATTTGAATGTGCAAGTAAGCGCGATTGTTCCTAGCATTGGCCCATGATGATGTTCGATCTTGTCAACGTCTTGAATTAAAAGAGCTTCGCTTGTTGCCTATTTCTGGTGTTCCTGGGATTGAAGGCCAAAATATGACGCTCCGCTATTATGTTCGCTTTTCAAAATACAGTTGTGGTTGAGTTGTCTACTATGTAAAGCTCAATGTGTCCTAGGCTGGTTTAATGCCAGAATGTTGTACTTTATTCTACCAGACCCCATTGCCAACACTAATCATGGCTTACCAGCCTAGCCACACTGTTAAAAATCTCCTACCCCCAAAAACAGTCTAGAATTACTAATATTCGCTTGATGATGGTAAAAACCGACAGTACAATATTGAAGAGAACCAACACTTTCCAGGCAATGAAACAATATTTATACATATAGTATGTACATGATCTCAAGGGATATAAAATGCCTCATTCCAACAAAATCAAGCGAAAGAGGACCTTGTAATCACTGTCCAGCATTGTAGCGTGCGTTGGAACTTCCCCAAATGGGTGAGAGATGAGCTCTGGCAGTTCCAGTTTTCAAATTTTGCCAAAGTCCAGAGATATAGTTTTCACGTGGGCCGTCTTGGGTCCATACAAAGGAGGGTACTGGATCTGTCGGATCCTTTGTAACACACAAAGAAAGACAAGTAGTTGGAGGAGCTGTTTGGAGTGATTCCGAGCTCGATATATTCCTCAATGGGGTCACAATATCCTGATTCTGCAGGCAGCAACCTTGATCCCTTATCAGTTTCGAACGGCTTTTCCCCGCGATGGCATGCAAGGTGTTGATGGCAGCGTCCGATGCAATGATGCAGGATAAATCCCTCGTGATAAAAGTCTCATTTGGTTGGATATGCAATCGGAAGGATATGTGAGCAAGCATCGGCTCATCGTGGTTGAGCATTGGGTGTGAACTAGCATCCGAGCTTTCGGTCCAGAAATTTTCCAAATTGGACACGAAATTCCCAGTCACCTGAATATAACATTGAAGATTAAATAGTCCTAGTAGTTTAATTGCATTGTTACCAATATTCTGGGAGTATGGGCCAGAAATCGACAAAAATGCAAGAAGTTCTTCTGTTGACTCCGGCAACGTAAGGTGATGAAACGAGAAACAGACCTCATTCACTTTACGAATGACTGAATCTTCTTCGAGAGGTGAAGGGATTGGATCCATATCCCAGTCAAAAGCTAAACCTCCTGGCATAGGGGGTATTAGTGGAGATGCTGCAGGGGAATTGATGGTCACTACATTGGTATCGTCCTCTGGGTCATCTATAATCTCGAGAGTGTCCTCTTCGCCAAGGAACCCTCCCAATCGAGATTTTGCATCCGACCAGTCTTCGCCGTCGGTATCACTCTCATCTAGAGTATTGAATGGGGTAACAGACATGCAATATATAACTTCCTTTAAGTAAATGTCCGCAGCCCAGTCGCAAATCATGTCAACTATCAGAAACAGTTGCAATGCACAATCTGCCCGGCGAATATCACCACTCCAAAGTTGGATGATTCTCTATATGAATGTCAGACGTTTCGCAATCAAATTGGTCATAGTACATACTACTCCTCCGCTGTAAGAGGGAATACAGCCATGGATTTTCCAATCCTCGCCTCTGAAGGCCAAAAACCATACCAATGGATGGAAGTTCACTCCTTCCTTCGGTTTTGATATCTGTTTCTGGAAATTCACCAGTTTTCTGATTGGAAAAGCCGTTTGTTTCTCTATCCCAGAGAAGTCAGAGCAATACTCCCCTGACTTTGCCTCAAGGATAAGGAAAGGGAACAAGACATGATCATCAGTGTCCAGTGGGGAGCAAGAAATTCCTGCTGAGGTTTCCAAAGCATGGCTTAATGGAGAATTCTCTCCTTTCAAAAGCCCGAGAACATAATCCGGGTTTCTCCTTCCATCTGCGGGGATCGACGGGTCTGATATGCTTGGCTCGTGTATTCCTGCGAATATCCTGCGACCATCTGAATAAGGAGACTGGTGAATATGGATAGTGAGCATGCCATCTCATCAAGTCTAAGACATAAAGCTGCAGCAATAGATTCACCTGTATTTCATGGCCAAATTCATTGCCGTTGCAGTTGCACATTGACCTGCTAGATCGTAAATGGGAAAGTTCAGATACAGCCCTTTGGCACACAGGCTGAGCTTGGAAATCAGCTTTCCATTGACGTCCTTTACACCGGAAACTGGTTTAACACTCTGTTAGGCTGATTATGGCCATAAATGAACACTTAACCACGCACCAAAACAGGTCTTCCTTGAAGCGTTTTAAAACCAATCTTTCTGTCGCACTCCTCCAGTCCCGCTCATTTGCACGTATTTTACGACATTGAACAGCCTCATCCATTAGTTCATTCGTGTCTCGGATGATTTTGTTCATCTGAACCCATCTTTGTGCCCCTTCACACAGTTTCATCTTGCAATAGTATTCTTCGTAGTTCACTCTTTCGATTTGGCGAATGATTGTAAAAAGAGAAACATATTGGGCAGGCCATTTGTCAGCACGCAGTGGGCCTTCGAAGCAGATATTGTGTTTTGCTATCAAATCCCGAGCTTCTTTCTTGGTCTGCTTTCTTCTTCGTCCGGGCCTATTCTCCATGAGTAATTGGTGGATGTGAGTCCCGTGTAGAGCGGTGAAGTGGAAAAAAAGTTGAAAGGATTTTTATCAGAAGAACTGGTATTATATATGGCATATGGGACTGACCAGTTCTTGAGCTAATGTAAGGGGTTACAGCCATGCGTTAATTTTCAGCCATGCTGCAGTGTACTTTGGTAGTCTGCCTTGCGTTCCCAAATGTCTTCAGGGTTCTATTTACTAGAAATCCCGTACGTCCCAAGAAGAATATTATCCGTGACTGGACGTATTAGATGGCAACCATACGTTATTCGAATCTTGCTTTCCCTCCAAGACTGGAGTAGCCAACTGGAAATTCAGAATAGCCATTTGCTCTGTCACGATAGATGAACATTTTGGAAGTCCTGTTTACATGGAGCGGCCCCCAATATGCTGTGGGGCGAAGCTAGGCAGTGCCCTATCAGCTGGACTTGCTGCGCACCATTAAGAGGCCGCGACTAGCCACCTGGAGATAGATTGCAGGGATAAATGTAACTAAATAAGGGTGGACACGTCTTTGTCTGTTTCAAACCATGTTAGGCAAAAATGTATGGACAGTAAGCGTTCGTTATTATTTGGAATAATGAGATACATGCCCCACTTATCTCGCCGCCAGTTGGCAGCACGTTCGGTAGGTATCTTGGTATTTAAAAGATCTGGCAGCGAATCTGGTAGGCGATCTGCTATAGAGGAAACCAAATCACTGTTTTTGGTGTTCTGAATGTTTAGGAGAGTGGTCCTGCGTGGAGCTACAAAAGGCTAGTAGTTCCTGCTCAGGAGCAATCCCGGATCATCCAGGGAGTACACGGAATTACTGGGTCAAATATCACGTGGCAATTCGATGCGGAAATTCTGGTAGAAAGGACGCCTCTGTTGGTAGTAACTGTAGCCGTTTTTGGCACAAGATTTACCGATTCCAAGCGATGTGGTGAAATAAGCAAATTTGTTATAGGCAAATATATGTTGTTATCTTTGTGCTAAGCTTATCGTAGAATAGAATGGTGTTAGCATGATCCAATACGCGGCCAATGAGTGGAGCGGTCAGAACTAAAATACCAATGACCACAGTCTTTGCAGACCTTCGGGACTACCGGTGTGCCTTTCAAGAGTTGCCAGCTATTGAAAAGACCCTTAATCTCATGGTGAACCCGCAGCAACTATCCGCGCTTCAGTAGAAGTCACTCCAATTTCCCCGGTCTATATGCTGACTCAGCCGGAAGGGGAACCCGCTCGCCAGTGGACGGTTCCTCCCAACTCTACTCTCCTTCGATGGACTCTTCGCAGGAGCTGAGCTCACTGTGATATCCAGGTTTAATGCCAACTCCTGGCTTTTTCTACGATACTGACCACTTCGTTTGCTCTCGTTGAACGCGAGTGCGGTGGTGCGGGGCCCCTCCCCATTGCATCTTCCCCGGATCCCAGATCGGACCCTCGATAGCGGTCACCGATAGAGGAACAACTGACGCCCAATATGACCGGGGTCCTTGGCCCTTCCTCCATGCCGAGCACGTCTGCTGCACCTTTTGCTCAGAACATAAATAACACCGTTTCCGCAACTTCCGTCACCGCGTTGATCCCTTCCCCACGCGAACTATTCACACTTCCCTTCCGTGTCCTCAATCAAGCCGAAAACTTCGCATTCAACACTATTCCCCGACATATTGCGCGACTAGCAGGAGTTCATGATCTTACTATGAGTCTCTGGAGCGGAAGAGCGCCTGCCGCAGGTGAGCCTGGGCTGGCAGGACATGCGGTGGCGGCAGCATCGCAGGCGGCAGCGAATGCGGCGGGCGAAAGGGGTTGCACAAGCTGCTGGGACTGGAGATAGCTGGTATGTAACTGAGTTTCTGCAGACCATACGGAAGGTTGGGGGATTTTTTGGGTACTTGACTAGTGTATGGTCATTTGCATGCCTGATGGAGGTGAGTACACTCTGCTCTTAGGGTGCATCCGCATATTGCTGAAGAAGAACAGGCTTTAATTCTCAACCGAATCACTATCTACGCATCTACCCGGCGGCACCTACGACTCGGTTGGGAGAGGCGACTAGCGTTACGCATCATACCGATCCTGTTATTCGTCTCCCAGATCATGACGCTGTTGCGCGGAATTCGATGTCAGACGTCTCCCGCTTACCCTGAAATGCGATACGGAAAGCCTGGAAAAGCCCTGATATTCGACTATGCCAGTGGCGGAGGTGCTCTTCATTCGTTGAGCTCAAGACTCATGCCATGGGAATCTGACGCGCAAGCCTGCAGCTCTGTGAAAATGGGTCGTGCCTTCGGCAGCTCGGATGTCCCTTTTGGCTCTTTTTCGCTACTCTGGCCAGTATTCCTAATGCTCTGTCTAAGCCATTTTGTTGAGACACTTTCCTGCGCTCTTCAGGGCCGTCCCGTGATGACAGAGACTGGTATGTCAATATTTGAACACTCTCTTGCTTTTGCAGAGGCAGAGTCCATGATCGGGAAGTCGATCGGGCTTGGGTTATTCGGGCTACCAAAACAAAGTCCTCTCGGCGAAGGAGGATCTGGGGAAGGCTCAAGTTCCGCCTTGAAGCTTCTCACTAGGGCGCAGGTCCTAGAACGAATGAACGTCACCCCAGAACTGCTACTCATCGTCCTGCTCTCCTGTTGCAATAGTCTTTCCTCACATATTCTTGATGTTTTTGGAAAGCAGAGTCGGTATCGCCTTTTCAACACGGCTCTATGGGGTATTGGCTTTATGGCTGCTATGTCATGGGGCTTGGAGAGCGGCCCACCTGTGAGTACCGAGACGGGTGTTCTGAAATTTCCAACGGTCTGCATAGTTGGTTTCATCCCCCACCTTCTGGTTCTACTCGGAATTATAATTTGCCTTACGATCTATGGATTGGCACTGGTTATCACCGCCTTCTCGATGCCCTTTGAAGAAAATCAACCTGTTTCGCTTCGGGAACGATTCATGCTGGCTCATGAAAACATGCAAGGTTCCAACCAGATTCGCAATATCCGTGTCAATAGACATGAAGACTTCTATACGACTTTGCTTCGTATTGGATACGTTGCTCTGACAGCGGCCAGCGAGGCGGTATTCTTGAATGAAGGCAAGGCAGTCATTGCGAGACAGATGACTTGGCTGGAGAAGGACAGGCTTGCAGAAATTGAAGCCTCTCGGCAGAGAAACTCGTCTTATGGAAACTGGCCAAATCAATCTGATACGCCTTCCTTCGAAGCCGTGGGCTATGGTAGTTTCGACTTGCCTGAACAACTCGAAACATGGGAGAGTGGATACGGCCGAGAAAAGAAGATTGAGAAGCCGAAGAATGGTTCCAGGGCAGCGCGACCGCAAGCTGAACTTGGCGGGGTGGGTGCAGTTCGAGCATCAGTCAGGTTATGGCATGGCCTGTCATTCTTTCGCGCGATATTTTGGCTTATTCTGCGGTGGACTGCGTTCGGATTCAGTCGAGTCCTTGATCGACTGGGAATCAACTATCGTCCACAGTGGCTGAAACGGCTGTCCAGAAAGCGCAAAGACAAAGCGGCACTCAAGAAAACTCTGCCATCTGGATCAGTTGACTTTTGGGTTCTCACTGATGATGGAGAACTCGAGTTACCTGAGGACTATGAGTTTGATGTCGAGCTAGAAATGCGGAAGCGGGAACGTTCAGGCAGACTCGACTGGGAAGGCACTGATGAACGGCGACTCGATGACAAGCTATACACCTGGTGGAAGATCGGAGGATCATGGGGCAACCAAGATCACACCGCTGACTACAACCCTCCTATAGAGGAGGATGATGATACCACGAGTGTTTTGTCCATGTCCACCAATGTCTCTGAATCTGAATGGGAAGATTATCCCTCAGAAGGTCGCCGCACGCCCACACAGTCCAACCCATTCCCAGCCTTCTCCCGAGAAGGCTCGCCTCTTCAGGACTCATTCATGGATATCAGCAGCTTTGCTCGACTTCTTGATCCCCAGGATCGTGAAAGTCGAGAAGAAGCCCGTATCCTTGCTGCGCACCTTAACCCGAGCCAAGACTTAGGTCGCATCATGACTCGAAGTCGATACCAGCAGCAGGTTGAAAAAGACAGATCCCGAGTTCTTCTATCTTCTCGCCTCCACCATCACGCCGCTACGCAGCTCAGCAACGATAAACGCAAACCGTCGGCCGAGGAAGAGAGTGAGATGCTTGAGCGACTTATCCTTTCACGTCGGGCCGAAATGTCTGCCAGCTCCGACCCCAACACGTGGGAATCCGGAGCCACAGGCCTAGGTCCAAACGGACCTCCATGTGTGGTTTGCCAAACAAACCCACGGTCGATTATCACCTGGCCGTGCCGTTGCCTGTGCATCTGCGAGGACTGCCGTGTTAGCCTTGCTATGAATAATTTCGGTAGTTGTGTGACCTGTCGGCAGGATGTTGGCGGCTTCATGCGATTATGGGTTCCATGATTGACAGTGTTGATACGTATTGCTTCTTTTCTCTTTCCTCTCGTTTATTTTCTACATTCAGTTCTATAAGATATCCGCATTGACAGCGTGTAATATATTGCATTTACATTTTTTTGGGAGAATCGGGCTTGGATAACCTTATAGAGTTCGTGGCTGGTGGCTCAAGTCCCATCGAGACCTACATGCTAGTCTTGAGTTCCTGCACAAATTCATCACAATTTCTAAACTTCGATTCAATCAAGACTGCTGAACATTCATAGCACCTTGGTGCTGCTTTCTGCCAATTCTCCGTCCAGTTCCACCCTACCTGGTAATTGAATAATGTGTGCTAAAAATGCAAATAGTTTGAGTACAATATTATCTTGCCAATGTAATAACCATCAAGATTGAAAATTACAACCCATTACTCTCTAACTAGAGGAAGGTATACAGCTTGCCACATCTGTATTTGAATCCACTCTCGGAGCTCATTGGCATCATGAGGGATACCTTCCTCCTGGGCTAGTCCTTCATCCACAGCACACTTGATTACCCCAGCAGCAATCTCGACACTGATTTCTCGCACATCTTCCACATCGGGCAAGAGGGGCCGATTAGGATCCTCCAGCGCAGGTGATCGAGCTTTAAGTGCTTCCACAGCGGCGACAAGCATCTTCTTGGAAACCAAACGGCTTCGAGATAGGACAGCTCCGAGGCCAATTCCAGGGAAGCAGGTTGAGTTGTTGCATTCCGCTGACCAAGATTTATGTGTCATGATTAGTTGAGGGCTGGAATTAGTCAAAAACTACTTCGGAAATAATGCTCACCAATCTCGTACGTTGCACCCCCATACTCAACAGGAGGAAAAGGACTGCCAGTTGCAACGAGGCATTTTCCTCCGGTCCATTCATATATATCCTGCGGCTGGGCTTCATGAAGACGAGTTGGGTTACTTAGCGGGAAAACGATAGGCCTTTCAACATGTTTGGTCATTTCTCGAATTATCTCCTCTGTAAATGCCTTAGGTCGAGTTGATGTCCCAATCAGAACATGAGGCTTGACCTGCTCAACAACAGAAAGGAGATCATGTTGTTTCCCTGATGGCCACTCGGCATCGTCTCTTGCAAAAGATGCCTGGGCTGGTGTTAATTCTGCTCCGTGGGACCTGAGCAGGAGGCCGGGTTTATCGAGGCACCTGCATGTTGCACATGGGTTAAGATTTGAAAATATGTCAAAGGATGGTCATTCATTAAGCCATACCATATTTGTTTTGAGGCGTCGGACTTAGGTTTGTGAGTCTCTGTCGCTATGGTATCGGCGATCTGATCGGCAATACCAGTTCCAGCTGTTCCTGAGCCATAAATGACCACGCGGACGTCGTCCAAATTTACCTGGCTGACGTGCAGGGCGGCCATCATCGCAGCCAGAGTCACACAGCCAGTGCCCTGAATATCATCATTAAAACAGGGGATCTGAGACTGGTATCGGTCCAGAATTCTTCGTGCGTTTCCAAGGCCAAAGTCCTCACTGACTTGATTAGTAGAGTGTAAACCACTATTTTGCTGCCTTTCGTGGGTACTCACAAATGAATATAGGCTTTGGGAAATCGCTTTCTAGCAGCCTGGACAAAATTATCCACGAAATGGTCGTATTCCTCGCCCCGAACTCGACGCTGTCGCAGCCCAAGATAGAGTTCATCGTTGAGCAACTCCTCATTCTGTAGATAAAATTCAGCCCGGGGATCCTGTCAGTTGTGAAATTTCCGAGATTATATACATTTGTTCCGCAATCCAGGACAACCGGTAGCTGTCGAGCTGGATGAATTCCAGCACAAAGGGTGGTTATCACTAGCTTGGCGACAGAAATGAGGATTGCTCCGACTCCGTGGTCACCAATCCCAAGAATCTATTCTCCACATTCAGCATTGTCCGTCTAAATTTTCATCACAAAACATACCTCCTCCCCATCACTAACCACAATGTAATCGATATCTTCTGCATTGCCAAAGTTCGAAAGAGACTTGTCCATGGAGTCTTCATCTCGAATATTGAGAAAGCATCCCTCGGGCTTTCGAAAGAGCCGTGAATAATTCTGAATAGCGTCTCCCTCAGTGGGGGTGTAGATAATGCTGAACATTTCTTTGAGGTGAGTTTGTAGAAGCTGGTCGAATGAGCCGGTCAAAATTCAAACCTCCTCTGATCTCCTCTTTGTTTGACACGGACCTTGTAGTAGAGCACCTCATTCTGTGCCTTCATACTAGCCATGAATGTGTTCTTGGCCAGGTCGTTGTCGCGGCTGATATACTGCTGGTAGGCACGCTCAACTTGTTCATCGAGGGTCTGAATATTAGGTGGAAGCAGACCATGTAGTTTGAAAACAGTGCGCTCGTTCTCTGGGAAGGCAGATCCTTTATTGAATTGAGAAGACTGGAGCAGTAGTGGCCCCTGCTCGAATTGAGCATCATGAAGGAGATACTGATATATGGCAGGATTAGGCACTCACCTCAAACGGGCATTCCAAGGGTCCTGAGAATGCTCGACGCAACATTTTGAACTGAGATGTAGGAGTCGCCATGGTTCTAATAATCGTACCACAGTGCAGGGAGACGTTATCTGAGCGGGGGTGTAGATAAGGCTGTTCGTTGTAGCTACCAGCGTCTGGGTTCTCTTTGAGACGCAGGTTGTATAGCAGAGCAGCGTAGATGGAAGAAGAAAAACCACCGATTCAGGGCGAGAGGAAAAGAGGAATCTCACTGGCAGGGCTCTCGAGAGATAACGAAAAGCTTGGTAGTTGACTCGGCGAATTCGATGCTGATGTCATTTGGCGCATGGTTACGCGGTGGGGCGCCACATTCGTCCTGCATTCTTATCCGTACTACGAAGCTCCAAAACAATACGCAGCATCCCAACCACCTGATGTCCTTTGTTGTAGAGATTATAAATTAGTAGAGAGCGGAAGGCGATAGTAGAATCGACAGGTGAAAAGGATAGAGAAATTGTGTATATACGCTTCATAAAAGCCTTGCGGTAAACCAGATAATCAAAATCAACAGGCTATGCATTTCTTTTGACATCGAATTCGTACACTCGGTATCTATAGATTTGCATATATCTGTATATTTGTGAGAGCTTCTCTTGATTTTATGTCACATGTTATAATATTCTAGACCCCTAGACCTGACCAGCATCTATCATGGATTGTCCAGTGTGGGTGCTTTATTGAATAAGAGAATTTATTATGGTCGATTGTCAAAAACACCTTCATCTCCAATGTATCACATAAAAAATTCTTTCACCCTTCTTTCAAACCAAACTAGGTCATCTTTGTTTATCATCCTCACAAAGCTTCCTCTGTGTTTTCTCCTTCCTCCACCTCTCTCCCACGCTCTCTCCAGCCAACACAAATTCAACAGACCGAATCGTCTCATATTCATAAAATGGCATTCCGAATGACATGCACAAGCTGGCGAACGCTCTCAGATCTCCCAGTTGAGCTTTTGTTGATGATTTCTGAGTACCTGGACTACATCTGTGACCTCAACTCCATGACACAGGTCAGTCGTCGTGTTCACCAGGTACTCGCCCCTCACCTGGATGCGCAACTCAGAGGCAATCACCGCTTTTGCTCAAACATATGGCTCCAAAATGCGGCTGAAAAAGGAAATGTGCATGGCGTACGCAGAGTAATGGAAGCCAGAGGTGATATCTACGAGAAATACGGCATGTCAAACGAATCGTTGATTTGCGCAGCAGAGAATGGCCACAGTGACTTAGTTGCTATATTGGTCAACTACGGTCTTGAGCCTGATGCACCGTTTTCTCAGTGGCAAGGATCAGCCTGTCGCCCAGCTGGAAAGAATCTTGACTGTTCCTATTTAATTCAACCTTTGATTGCGGCATGTAGAACTGGACAGTTGGCAGTTGTTGAAATTTTGATCGGCTATGTGATCAACCTGAAGGACCCTCAAGCCACAGCCGGGCTTGGGGTGTGTCTGGAACAGGCCGTTCAAAACGATCACATATCGGTAATGGAACTCCTCCTGAAAGAGGGATGTGATCCCAATGTGAAAGACTTTTTGGGGCGGAATGCGCTCAGCCAAGCTGCCAAAAAGGACCTGAGTCTCGTCAAAAGGCTTATGGAGGCCGGTGCAGACCCCTTCTTTCCACGATGGGCATCCAGCCTCTTTTCTCCGCTCCTGGTTGCGTTGCAAGTTGGTAATTTGCCCGTCATTGAATACTTGCTGGAAAAAGGGCTCAAGTCAAAACGACGACGAATTCCGTGGGGAAACATCTGTCGTGACTTTTACGAAACAGCAGAAACCCATCCTAGAGCTGCTGAGCTCCTTCTAAAGTTCATCAATATCGAAAGGGCCATGAAAGGCAGACCAAAGGCGATCAGGAGGTATTTCATAGAGGGAGTTGTGGCTGGTGGCTTTTTGCCTTCTATGAAGACGATCCTCCATGATTACCATCTTAAAGACAGCGAGAAATGGCTTTGCCTCATCAAGGCGATTGAGAAGCGGCAAATCCCAATGCTCAACCTGCTTCTTGAAAACGGCGTTAGACCACCATCGAGAGAAAAAATCTTGGTCCGCGCCGTAAGCAGCGGCTCGACCGAGGTGGTGAAACTGCTACTCCTTGTCGTGAACAAGTCCATGGCCCAACACGACTACTCTGCGGCCCTTCTATCGGCCGTTAAATCAAGAAATCTATCAATGACTCGGTTACTTTTGAAGCACAGAACAGAAACCGCTTCGGTATTCGGTGTTCTGGGTCCCTTTCTTGAAGCAGTCAGTTCCGAAGATCTACCAATGGCGCGGTTGTTTTTAACCTGGGGACTAAGTATCAAGTCACTCGAGTCACTCGACGATTACTCAAGCGCCGTTCTCAAGGCAGTTCACTCTGGAGATCTACCGATGGTGCGGCTCTTGGTGAAGCACGGGCTCCAGATTGAGTCCATTCAGATGCGCCGGTCACTATCTTTAACGTTCAGTGCCATTGCAGGGGGGTCAGGGATGTTGAAACTTTTGATGAAAAAGGGAATTTCTCTCAAACTGGCTGATAGTACAAATTTAAAGGTAATTGAGACGGCCTTGTGGAAAATTGATGTTGCTGGCCTGAAAATATTTCTGGAAGCAGGCATGAACGCAAATTCCTGGTCAACTATCAACTACTTGGGTAACAATGGCGCAGAATCTCTGCCATATGTCGCAATTGTTGCAACCCTCGAAGAACAAAGTGTTGCCGAAGGAGCTGTTGATCTTTTGCTTGAACATGGAGCAGCTATTGATGGGTTTGGCCCTCCTGAGACCTTCGGGAATGCTCCAAAGAAAACAGCACTTATGAAATTAGCTTGCAGCTCGGACCATACGAAAAACGCTCGGGCGATGAAGTGCCGCGCGGCTAAACTTCTTTTGCGAAAAGGCGCAGATCCTTTCTCTGCTGACATCAATGGAAACACAGCTTTCAGATTGGCTGTGAAGAATGGGTTTTTGGGTATGATCAAGGTCTATTTAGAATTCTTCGATGAGCAGAACGTCCCATTTGAGAAATTTCAGGATGACATATGGGCTGGTGTGAACCGCAGTCTACCGTGTCTGAAGGGCCAGCTGTCGTTGTTCTTTTCAGAAACCTCCCGATTTCTCTATCGTCATTACTGGAGGAAGGTCCACCCATGTCCAGAGGAGCGATGACGATGAAATATCTGTGAATGGAGCTTGAAAGAATGCAGTGTGCATTCTGGAGCATTTTTGAATTTTGTATTTGGTTCGAATCTGGTCTTTATTACAAATCCTTAAACCTTTGCCCGCCAGTATCATTAAGTCGTGGGCCCAGTTCATTCAGAATTAAAAAACACAGACATATCCGAGCCCCGTCGCTGCAAGTTTCCCAGCAAAGGATATCACATAAGTAGGACCCATAGCTAGAAGGACGTGCATGAGCCTTGTATACTTCCCACATTTCCAAAGGCGTGGGTGAGTCCGATAGCAGCCGCTCGTTTAGCTGGTGACCGGGGAATGGCATGGGAGATCCATGCAAGAGCTAGAAACCGGAGACGTAGCCGATTAAATAATAAAAAAAGCATCCATTCATATCACCCATTGAAGTTACTCATTTGTCATCAAACACAGTGAAACATATCGCGGGGCAGTCGTTGCTGCTGTCATAGCGATAAAGTAGCCGACGATGCACGAAGCGGAAGTAGTGAAAGAAAATCCCTTCCTTGTCTGGTCTGCGTGGTACATATTGAAAAACGATATAATTACAGCAAATACCCAGAGAGAACCCGTGAGTAGACGCGTCATGGTGATACCATAGCCCAGAGCCTCTTTCAAGCCATGTTAGTTATATCTCAGGGAGTTCTTGTTCAAAGAGTCTACATCAAAACAAAGAACATAAACCTCTCGAATGAATCTGATATATTAAGCGTATCTCAACTAAGCGTATCTCAACTATACATAAACTCGCACCAGAGGAAACAAACCCCATCAAAGTATCTCTTGGACCAATCCAGGTCAGGCATCATTTCTTTCCGTTCCAAGAACTCTAGCAAAGAGAGAAAAGAAATCTTGAGAGAAAAGATACCAGACTAGATACCAAAGACACAGACAGAGAGACCCGCCCCAATGGCACCATTAAGGGTAAGCTAGCTATATTTACAGGATATAAGCAGCGGCAGCAGCAACGGCCGCAACACCAGCCAGGTTGCCCTTGGCGGCGACGGCAGCGCCGGTCCAGACAGCGGTGGAGGTGCCGGAGGCGCCGCCGCTGGTCTTGGTGACGAGTGGGGTGGAGGTACCCGCCGGGGTAGACGAGCCGGCGCTGGAGCTGCCGGTGGGAACGGAAGTACCAGTCGCGGAGGCGGTGGTGGTGGCGGGGGTGGAAGACTCAGAGCTGCTGCTGCCGCTGCTGGAGGCGGAGGAGGAGGCGCTGCTGCTAGCGCTGCTGCTAGCGCTGCTCTCGGAGGTGGTAGTCTCAATTGGGGGAACGGAGATGGGGTGGCCAGCGGCAGAGCACTGAGAGACGACGACGTTGGAGACGGCTGTTCACAGAGAATGATTAGAATACATAGAGGCAGTTGAGGGTGTTGTAGACAGGTAGGTTTATGTGTAGTTGACGATGGGATAGTGGGTAAGGAGTAGTTTAGCGGTGGGAGGCGGAGACGGATTACATACAGATCTGGTCGGCAACGTCGCAGGCCTTCTCAACGCAAGGAGTCACGCTGCTGACAAGCTCAGTCTTCTGGCAGTGGCAGGCGAAGTCGGTCAGGTCCGAGCAACCATCACTGGTCAGGGCCGAAACGAAGCAGTTGAGCTAAGAGGAGGGTTAGTGAAACAAATTCCGGAGAAACAAATTCCGGAGAATAAAACTATGGTGATAGTTGCTCCCGAAGTTTGTCTGACGGGTTACACCATGCATCATGTGCACATTGTATATCGCGAGGAACATGAAGATATCTTACCGAGCAAGTGGGGACGTCGGGCAGCTGAGCATTGGCCAGGCCGGCAGCAACGAGGGCAATCAGGGTGGTGGAGAACTTCATGGTGACTGATTGAAGGCTGATAAATGAATAACAACGTTGATGATATAGATGCGTGCCGGAAACGACAGTCGAAGACTAATATAACGAGTGGGTTGACAACGGGGAGAAGCAAGAAGCCGAGTGTATGGGACGGAGGTCCCCTTTTTATAAGCTTCAGTGCGAGATACTCTATACTTCCCGTGCGAGAGAGGGAGGGGGGAGGATCATCTCTGCTCGTCCAATCTCTCCTCCCCATTAAACCCTCAGGGTCGTACCCACGCCCCATCACATGTTGTTGCTGAACCCTGACAGTATCGAGACGGGTCCCCGGCCGCGGTTGACTCAGAATCCTTCTCCGTCCGCCACTGGGAATCGACTGATGGAGTTAGTCCAATTTCCTTTCATTTACAGGGCTAGGGTCTTGGTCCCTCCTCCGGATGCTCGTGTGTGGGGCCAAGCCCCGATGGCGACGCCGGACCCTGGTCCAGTTTCAGGCGAGAGGAGGCGTTTGTGAGTAGACATGGCTGATTTGGGTTTAGTGGTCCAGTGTTTTGGGCTTGAGGGTCCCGTTCAGGATCTATGTTTGGCTGTGGAGACCCCGGGCCCTGCCGAATCCAGGCTAGACGAGGGACCACCAAGTGAAAAAAAACTTGGGGTTTGGAGCAGACATAGGCGATCTTGGCTCACTAATTTGGTAGGCTCTAGGCCCAGTTGCCCCTTCTGGGCGCCCCGTTACACGACCAGGATTTGGAGGAGGGTCGAGGAGAGTACATATCAAGGTACATGTCATTTCCAGCCGGCCGAGCATTAGTGGCTACGGGTATGAGGCCAGAAAATCGAGTGGCGGTCAAACGATGGGAGACTATAGGGAGTTTACGCTATAGAGATTTGAACATCTAGGAAGAGCTGAAAAGAGCGGTAGCATGTAGCACCACGCAGTTACGTGCAGCCGCGGATGCAGATCTCCACTGCTACAACACCCGGTAACATAATCTCCCTGCCTAGTGTGCGGTATCTCGACCAGAAGCTAGTATCGCTCCCAGGTGCGGGAGATTATTGTGATGCGTTATGGGATGTGATGCATGTTTGTGTAGTAGTATTTTAAGTGTTGGTACGGATTCAAATTGCCTGGTGAGCGATGTGAGTCCGGCAGGCGATGCCAGAAGGCGGTTACAAGACATAGAATACAGCACTAGGATGGCGTGAACTCCACAGAATGACGCGGGTGATTCTCGGCGTCCCTGCGCGAGGAAACAGGACTCTGTCCACAGGGAAACGAAAGAACCAAAAGCAGGACCGGGGATCGAGTATCGTTCCAAGACGCTTCCAAGACCTCCAAGATTGTTCTCTATTTCCCACGCCAAGCCAGTCTTGTTCAGTAAACCAATTACCCTAAAGGGTGCAGAAAATGGGTAAACACGGGGGCACCAGCCTCTTCCCTCCCCCCCAAGGTAATCCAGAGCAACAGTCAATGTGTACAGTGGTGTGCAGTCATGTACACCGTACAGTATATCTGGTACTGCGCGGCACAGGCCGAAAGGTAAATCCGGGGAAGCCCACATACGCTAGGACGTGGAAGGTAACATCCAAGTCATGTTAGTCGCATCCCGCTTGTCCCGATCCAGGGCGTGAGCCGACGCGCCAGCCTGAGCCCACCCGTAACTTGATCAATCGAGACGAAGATAGAAATAGGAATGGGAGTATAGCCAAAAGAAAAGAAAAAATAATAATAACAAAAATACAATGAGTCAATGAGGAGAATGCAACTGAATAATAAAATGAGAAATACGCAATACGAGATGGGCAACAGAGTAGGTCGCACACGCCTCGGACAGGGATCGACGCATAGGATTGCGAAGGACCGCTTCCAGAATCCTCCAGAGACGGGTGACGGAGGACGCGTGCTGTCAAGGATTATTACTGGCTGGGCTGTTGCGAGAGGCAAAAGACACAGAAGCAGAAAAGATCCCCACTACTCCGCATCCGACCCCACGATTGGCGGGGAGGGGCGAGCATTAAACCCGCCTCCGCGATTTCGAAGCTCGAGTCTCCTTGTGGGCAAAGCCAATTTCTTCGTTCGGGAATTCGGGACTCATCACTAGTCAGGAACGAGGGGGAATGGACGACGAGGAATCGATCTCAGAATTAATATCCTATACGCATTATACGATGTACTTTGTACTACTGGTGGGAAGGTATTACAAGGCTTTGGTGCCTGGCCATCTTGAACTAGACTGACCGGGGGATTTTCGCCATGTTCCTTTGCCCATTTTCGACGACAGACATGACCGGCATAAACAAGGCCGAGAAGCAAACGAAAATTGATAGTGAACGAGAGAGAGAGAGCGAGAGATTTTTTTTTAAAAAAAAAAAACAAGGAGCAGGCGAAGGGGTCGCGTAGAATCCCAGGCCAATGTCCCCGGGCTTGGGAGATAACTGAAACTAGCTCAATTGGGTGTGGCCAGATTAAAGTCGGCGTCTTGGTATGGTGGATGGGAGGTGAACTTCCCACTTTCGCATGTCCCTTCTCCGACTGTCTGTATCCTCTGTATCCTGTGTAATCAGATGTGAGACCCAATCCTTTCCAAGGTTAGCTCGTTCCCGGCCACCAGAGCTCGAGAGCCCAAGCGATCTGCCCTTCGATCGGAGGGCCCCGTACCTGCATCGTTGGGCCACGCTCCTCGTCGGCTAGATACATTCCGAAGTCCGAGGCCGTGATCCTACAGACCATTGAGTCTAGTGTTTGTGTCCGGCGCACATCCTTCGTAAAGTTTCCAGGGTTGGTGTTTTGTAGTAACCTTGAGGGAGGGGGAGGGGGAGGAGGCGAGTCAAGCTGCAGGAGGAGGGACACAAGCCCGGCTTCCCCCTCTTGCCTCTCCTCTGTCATGCTAGGAACCATGGTGGCGTCGGAGGGATGTCGGCGCTGTCAAAATCCGCGGAGGATGATGACGGTGGTACCTCTGGCAGCACCGGATATCCAGTGGATCCGAGAGAAAGTGAGACATGGTGGCGTCCTGGCGGAGGTCCCCATCCATGCCCCGGTACTCTCGTTCGCCTGTTGGCGCTCTGGCTTTGGCGACGAGAGGACTCCACACTCATCTGTAGGGCACTTGGGCGTACCAGTTGGTGGAGGATCAGGAACAGAAAGCAGCGACGATCACATGGGGCCGTGGATGACCTGGTGCGGTGGAGTTCTCTTCTCCTAGCGCGAACGTTCAGACCCGAGGAATCCATCGCGGGCACCCTGGATTGGGTTTAGATCTAAACGCCTCTCAGGGTGTTTAATATATGCCAGGTAATCTCCATTAATCTTTCAGGGTCGAGAAGGGTCGAATGGCTGGTCGAATGGCTGACCATCCCAGTCAGGGTTGTTGGCCCTCACGTGCAATACGTTCGGCCCAGCCGAGTCCAAGTTTGGTCCATGGGAAATTCAGGGATTATGGAACAGATTGTGGGGACGCGGAATCCGGGGTATACGGCAACACGAGGGAGTCGGGGAAGGTCGCGACAGTTGAAACAGACCAGCCACTCGATGAACAGACGACGGGCCGCTGACCCAAGGAGGCCGGACCAATTTTGATATGAATGCTGGTCATGGCTTCTCTTTCAAATATATCCTAGGAAATCACCCACGTCCATCTCATCCAAAAGCATCCAGAAGCATTTTGAACAGTGGGCCCTTTCGGGAGCAAACTCCGTTGCCTACTTCGGGACTAGACTATGTAACGCCAGGACGCGCTATCACATCCTACATACACTAAAAACACACATTTCTTTGGCTTGGGGAGGCCCGTTCAAGGTAAATCGTTAATTATAGTTTGAAATCTCATCTCCGGTCGAAGATCACTCGTCGCTAAAAACAAACAAACCTACCAAGGTTGCGGTTATGATCTCCCTATGTATCTATGACAGGGTCCCAGCGCTAGATGTCCCTAGCATTCGGATCAGGGTAAACCAAAAGGAAATGAAGGATCCTCACAACTCAAAATTCACGACCCCTTTTTCAGGTCTGATCATCAGCTCGAGCCCTGATGGACCCCAGAGACCAAGACTGACATTGGCTGGCATCGGGAATGGCAATGCGATCAAATTGATATCGCGACCTCGGCCAAATCCATGTCAGATGTCGTCAGAAATCACCTATTCCTGTCCCATGCTCTCTGCCCGTGATATCATGCACCATGGAGGGAGCGCCCGATGAACCTCGGACTCAAGCCTCCCAAGGGGGAGACCACGAAGTGAGAGTAGAGCAGATGGGAAGAATAGGAATCTAGGTTGTTCAATTGATCTCAGCACGGCCATTACGGCGTCCACGTTCATATGCGTGTTCATTCATATTCTCATGACTATTAATACTATACAATCCTCCCAAAACAACGCCCGCTCATACCTCAAAAAAGAAAGCATAACAACAGACAAGAAAAGTGAAGCACGGGGGAGTTCGGACATTGAGGCCGGTCCGGTCCAAGACAGAAACGACAGAAACCCCATTTGCCTTTTGGGAGGGGGGGTCTCTCAATTCACTATGAGAGCAGCTCATCCACATGGGCCCGCTCGTTCACGTTCTGTTCCTTCAAAAGAACGGCGAGGACCTCGAGGGGCGGGTGGAGGTTCAGCGTGTTGGCCCGCCGCCAGCGCTTGTGCCGGGCGATGCCGATGCAGGGCTAGATGGAAAAGAAGTCATTAGCATCTTATAAGCGTGCTGTAGGTAGAGGGGGGAGTAAGTGGGGAGGGTAGGAGAGCGGTGGGCGAAGAACCCCATCCTCGCGACATGAGTAGTGAAGAGGGAGGGAAGGATACTGGGGAGGACAATGACATACTCCATATTGACTGGACAGATCAAAATGGCGAAGGATCTTCTCTTCCAGGTCGAGGTCCTGCTGGTGGACTAATTCAAGCTGTCAGCCAGATTGCCCGATGCGGCGAAATTGAAGTTATTCGAGAATCTCCACTCACTTCGAGGGGCCTTCCGGCTCTTTTCCTGTTGTTCCCAATAACTCTGGATGTCTTTTTGGCTCATCCGCAGAGCCCGCTGCTCTTCCGCCGAGGATGGGACCTCTTGTCGGGCCACGGCTGCCTGCTGCCGGACCACCAGCTCCGCCACATGGGGTTTCGAGGGTTCGGCATCAGCCAAAAGTTGTTGTGGCTCCGGGGTGCCCCATTCCGATTGATCAGAGGGTACTACTGCTGGGGAATCGGCCTTCTTGGCCTTGTGGAGGGTGGTCGGGGTACTTGTCGGCTTGGTGATGCGGGACTGGGTGCCGAACGAAAGGGTCGATTGGGATGCGCCGGCGGCGCGGCGACGGGGGGCATTCTGCAAGGATCAGAAGGAGAATGCGACTATTTGTGAGAGGCCAGGCGAGGCGAGGCGAGCAACCGTCGGGGAGAGAGAGATCGGTGGACAGAAATGATTTGGTCGTGAAGTGGTTGTCGGAGGAGGGATCGGGATGGGGTGGAGATGGCTCGATCGGGCGGTTGGACGTTGCGCCTGGCAACCCGGAACCGGCGCTGGGTTCGGATGTATACTTCGATCCTTTTACGATCAGCGGACAATAGCATTATCGTCCTATACATTGTATACTCTGGATATACACTGATAGGCAACTCATTTCCTATTCTCTATCACCATTTAGCTCTTGCGATCCTCATCCCGAGATTCTGATATAGTCCTCATGTCCTGTCGTGTCCTATCGTGTTCAGCTTGTTCAGCCCGGACGGTGGCTGGTCGGGCCATTATTGGACCAGCTCACGAGGCCCCCAACCCCGATGACGATATCCAGGCCATTCACGGCCATGAGTGACGGGGGACACGAGAGCAGGGGTCCGCAATCGAGCATCGAGGAAATATACTTGCTAGACCGCGCTGTCCAATTTTATATAGAGCGCTAGAGGCTAGATATCCCCTCGGCGTTCGAGTGTATTCTCCCGCGCTATCAACTCTTCTCTCCTCATCTACAGCAGTTCGAGAAACTGATCCACTCCCCCCAACATGATGCAATCGCGCCGCCAGTTAAGCGCTGGTGCTCGCTAAGAAGTCGGAATCTGGGGGGGGGGGCTGGTTCGGTTTCCCCAGGGAAGCTGGCCTTCAGCTCGTGGCCTCGCCTAAAACCGATCTGACTATCACTTTCCCCTTCGACACCGCATCCACCTTCATCCACCCTTTCTGCTTCCCTCCCCTAACTTCCCTTCTGCCCCCACATCCACTAACGATCAACAACCACCACCTGTACCATCTTCTCCTCCTCCTCATAGTCCTCCTCCTCCTCCTCCTCCTCTTCCTCATCCTCTCCCTCATCCGCCCCCTTAGCGCCAGTCTCGGCTCGAGGGCCGCTTCCCCTCTTCCCGCTGAGCTCTCCGGGCCCATATGAACCTGATCCGTGCGATAGGGTCCCGGAGGTCGCAGATTCCCCACAACTTCCCTGCGCCCCCTCCGCTGCCCATGGTGGTGCGGACTCGGTTCGATCAAGATGGCCGCCTTTGTGCGCGTTTCAGGCCCGGCAAATGGCAATTTTCTCATCGGATACCCTGGCATCTCGGCCACAATGGTAAGCGCCGTCTGCAAAGTCCCCTCCCCTCTCCCTCTGGTCCCCTCCAGTTCCGCTCCGCCCGACATGGCGGGACAACTTCCCCTGGCAGCTTCACGGGGAAACAGGGTCGCTGTGACGGATCGTCGACTGACCGCTCGATTTTTATGCAGCCCCGAATCGAAGGTAAGGTCGAGATTCGTCCGAGTGTCGGCATCTCGGCCCCAGTCAACGTCTCCCTCGTCACCATATCCCTTCTCCGGCGCGAGACCATTCACCCCTCGGCGGATTCCGTCACCAAAAAGCGCCTTGCTCCTCCCCGCAAAGAAATTACAGATATAGTCGGCAAGGAGATGCTGCTCTTTCGCTGCCCCGCGGGCAAGGAATATGAGGAGGTCATCGCCATGGACCTGCCCTTTGTCCTTTTCATCCCATTTGGGCGCGGCGGCCGAGATGCCTCACGTCGGGTACCACCAGCGAGTCTCCAGCTCCCCAGCCGAACCGCGGAAACCTACTACGAAATGCTGGTCATGGTCCAGCAAGGACAATCCGACCAACGAAAATATACCTTCCCCGTTCCCATCGCCCGTTACGATACCCTCTCCACCTTTGGCATGTATAACCGCCCCGAGTCCGCAGAACGGGTCTCGGACCACCTCGTCACACTTGCAATCTCCCTACCGCGATGGTCCTACGGTCCCTTGGACCCAGTCAGCGTCTATGTGAAATTATCACCCAATCAGGACTGGATGGGGAAGGCTCGCAAAGTCACCATCAACAAGATTACTATCGGCATCGACGAAGAAATCATCTACAACCACGAGGGCGACGAGCCCCAGCGCAAGGTCAAGAATCTGGCCAAGAAAACAGACACTATTGGCGTCAAATTACCCCAATCAGGCTATCTCACGAATCTGGGATTGGTGTTTCCCGCGAAGGATATGCGAGACTCAGAGGGGATCTTGCCACGCAGTCGAGCCGCTTTCCCCATGTACGGGGTGAGCGGTTTTACAACTACCGCGAGCCTTTATAAAATTGAGTATTATCTGACAGTGCGGGTAAGTTTTGGCCCTTCTTACCTCCCCTCTTCTGGCAAACTACTGTGATTGGTAGGCTTTGTGAGTCGGCGATTAACATTGAATGTCAAAAGGCTCATCTAACGTCCGCACGGGACATTACCATACGACAACCGATTGTAGTCTGCCCGCTGGACCATGCGGGTTGCAAAGAAGAGATGGAAGCCATCGAACAAGCGGCGCGCGATGCCGCCCACGTCAACCCAGATAATCCAATGCTTCCTCTTCCATCTATCGTGCGACCCAACGATCCCAATGCTCTTAGTCACCTCGGTGTTGCTATGGTTGGGAACCAAAAGAAGCCACTGATCGACTGACCCTGGGTCCACCGTTTTTATCCTATTGTACTCACTTTGAACCACACGATACCTACCCTCACAATACCACACAAGCTGAGGGCCAAATACTTTCTTCTTTCAACCCCCATCTGCCGACACTGCCAGCCGGTTAGATTTGACCGGTAAAGGCCCACGGTACCGCAAAGGCAAAGGTGCCCCCGCTACGGCGCCTATCTTCGCCCCCAGGGCGGATCCAGCGACCCACACATCTCATGTCATGTCATGTCTTATGAATTGCATAGAGCTCGGAGTTTCTTGCATGGCAGTTCTGGAAGCTTGTTCATTCTAGCAGAGGGGGACGAGGTGTTCGGTGCACGGAGGTGGCTTTTCTATGTACCTTTTTTTGGAAGTCTCGGGGGTTTCATGAGGCATTGACAGGCATTTTCACGTCCGATAGGGACAAAACCTGCACTTTTTCCCATCTCTCCACCCCTTTTTGGCCCTTCCCCTAGCCGGCATACTTGGTTTTTGCCCTTGGTTATGCAATGCGTTGAAAGAGCCAAGGCTCTTCTCTTTTCCCATTCGGCTTCTTTGCTTGATCTTGAATTTTGAATACGTGTCTATGATAGTACCCCGGTAGACTCAATGTAAATTCCTAATTCGCATATCCATATCCCAGTACTTCTTTTTGCCTTCGCTGTGCATAATTATTTGTGAGGTGTGGACCAATGGCTCAATGAACGGAGTGATATTTTGTGTGAATAGCCATTTCACTACGGAGCTGCTTTGAAGTCATTGTGAACATGCAATTTCAAGTTGGAAGATTGTCCAATTTTGATACTGCGCTATATTAGTCAAGCGCATTCGTCATATCCATCAATATGTTAGGTAACAGGCGATTAACAAGGTTGGTATTTAACTCCCACCAATCTCCAAAAACCCCATAGCAACGCTCAATGCATCTGGATCAACCATCTGAGCTTGGTCATCTTGATTTTTCCCGCTCTCAATCTCTTGTAGGCATTCTTTCAGGATACTGAGGATGGCCTGATACTGTGTCGAGGACGGGCCGAATGTACTGAGCGCGTTCTCGAGGTTGTTCGATATCTGCCGGGCTTGATTAGCCTCAGTTTCGCCATAGTTGTGCTCTAGAAATATCTACCTTCCGAAGCATCTCATTGTAATCCGTCTTATGGGCCATGTTTGACCCGGCGGGGGTATATTGATGTGGGCGAGTAATGACAAGAGGAGGCGGCCCCCACCGCGGAGAAACCGAGACGGCGCTTATCGATAAGCCCCCGATTTTCTCGCGACGTCCTCATCGTTGCGACTGGCACGCGCCATTGTTCTCCTCCAGCAAAGTCTACACTGCACACGATGGCTGACGCAGATGAGGACACCATCCGTGGTCCCTCGACTGGAGCATCCCAGGCCGATGTTGATTTGTCTGACGAAACTCAAGATTTTCGCCTCCTCAATCAACTGAACACTCTCAACTTGTACGTTCGGAGTTGGGCTTGCAATGATATAATATCGGACCCTATCAAGCTTCTCTTAGCTATTGTTTCCGAAAGCTGACGGAAGCTTTTTTCTAGCCTCACCGACTCAACATCCACTGGTCTACCTCGCCGGGGCGAAAAGGACTTCGAACCCAATCCCACCGAGTTTCAAGCCGATGTCCTCTCCGCCTCTCGCCAGGCCATGCACAATGCGCTCTCGCACCCCCGCTTGCACAATCCCAAATCTCAAGTCGTGGCCTACTATGCGCCCGATGGACCAGCTCCTCCACCGAACGTAGACCCTTCGCAGGCAGATATTCACCTACCTGGCGGCAAGGGCGCCAGAATCTCTCCAGCTGCATGTGTTTGTGCGCCTCGCCCGAAGGGCCAGTTCTTTCAGAATGTTGGGCAAGCGGACCGATGGAATCGGGTCTGGCTTCTACCGGAAGAAGCTCTCTACTACCTTGAGCGAGGCACTTTAGATATTCGCTGGCCCACCTCCATTACGGGATCCGCAGATGAGAATGGCGACAGTGAAGAAAATGGGTTATCGATCCCGATGAGTCTTCAGGCAGCATACGCGACTTTCCTTGGTCGAGCTGGCCTGACGCTGGAGCGGTATTCTGTCTATACCGGATTAAAGCGTCTCGGTTATACAATTGTTCGTGCGCCGGGATGGGATGATTTTGAGGGGGACAACTCGACAAATGAGTCCAGAAAGGACGCATACACCGAACCCCAACATCGGGGTCCAGGTCTTGCAGGTGTTTTCAGCCGGCTATTTGATTGGATCCGCGATCCTCTGTCTACCTCGTCCACGGTGGCTGGCCCAGTCGTTGGATGTGGCATTCATCGCGATTTCGGTGGGTCTCCCTTGCATTCTCTCGCCCTGTCTTTCTGTCCTGCCAAGCCTAACATAGCTGTCTCCTAGCCGATGTATACCGCAGACTTGCCATAGTCCCCTGGTACGACCCAACTCTCGCAACAGAAAGAGATCCCCTCGATACTATCGCGCCCTTCCGTGTCGTCTTTCACGTCTATAAACCCTCAAGCCAGATTAAAAAATCCGCCCTTCCTCCCCCAGACTTTCGTATCGCCGTCGTCAATGCCCGTGAACAAACATCCATTCCTACTCTCCCCCAGCTAGGCGCTCTCCTCGAAAGCACCCCATTAGATCCCCCGCGCGGTGAGAAAATGGAGCGAATGCTGTACATGCGCCTGCGGCATGGGTACCGCAACGTTATTCTAGCAGTGGTGGACCAAGGCGTCGTGAGTTATCTACGCATTGCGGACTCTGCATTCGGAAAGGAGAAACTCTATAACGTTAAGCATAACACATCCGGCCAGAAGCGGAACTATCGTGGGAAAAAGCGATGATCAATGCCGATAGCAAGATCATCAGAGTTCAATTAAATGGAGGTTGCTGGGGCTTGTCTCATAACGCTGCATGGACTTGCCTCTGTGGTGGATAGGCTTCGCAAGTCGAATTGGACGAGGGAAGTACACTTAAATGAGCTCCTTCGATCTGCATCATCTACGTGACTTCTTGGAAACAACTGCTCGTGGATGGGACTTGAGGGATCACTAGTCACTGAACTAGGATATACACTGTATTAAACCCTGTCAATTCTAAGTGAGAGTTGGCATGGGACCGAAGAGATGGATTTAGGCGCTACATGTCAAACTCCATGCCTTGCTGGGAATGGTTATGGATTCCAGTTATGCAAAGCTAGTCTTTCTACCGCGTCGTGTGGCATTCTGCCATCGACATCACATCATAAAGTCATAATAGCCTCTTGAGCTAAAGATCTTCCTTTTCACAGCCTGTACATCTCACTCCGGCTTCGTGCCCCGTCGAACACGCAGGTGTTATCCAGCGGAACATACTGCCTCGTAAGAACCTTGAGCGCTTCCTGTGCCACCAACCCACCCGTCAGAGACGAGATGTTATGCAGCTCGCCACTCTCCGCGCGTCGCAGTTCCTGGATAGCGCGGTCAATGCTTTCGAGGGTCTCTTGGTCGAGGGGCGTTGGGTCGTCGCGGGTCAGGAGAGCCAAGATGCGTTCAGTGTGGCTTGCCCACAGCGCCTCGTCATCCACTGACCGCTGTCCTCCCTGCTGGCCGCTGTTTTGAACCTCGTCCACGACCGCGTCGAGAACCTGCGTGGCAATGAACACCGAGATCAACGATTCAGGCATCCCCAACTGCGCCATTCCGAATTGACTACGAATCGTTGCCAGCGTCTCAGCATCGCAGCCCTCTCGGAGATGTGGGAGCGGCCGCCCCCGCACGACCTTGATATGCGCCGCGTTTTTGCAGAACACCTCGATCTCACGTTCCAGGATCTGCGGCGCCGCACGCCCAAGTTGAGTCTCCAGCTGCCGCACTGTAGCACTGACCTCCTTCACGTCCTGCCGCGCCTTGTCCTTGTAGATATTCTGCAGCGCCACATAATCGGCCGACTGGGCCTTCATGTCCGGCAGTGAGCCTGGTAGCGGCAACACTCCGTGTACAGTGTAGAACAAATTGATCGCCGACGCGATGACCCAGAAATCAGCCGACCGCGCCGTCAGCGTCTTGCACTGTTCCATCTCGAAGATTTCCCGGATCGAGCTGCGCAGGCTGAATGGGCTGACCGTTTTCAATACCGCCGCCACCGCCTCATCGAAATTCTCCTCGCCGCCTTCTGGATTGTCGGTTCGCGCCTGCGAGCGCACAAACTCGCGAAATGCGGTCTTCTCTTTGTAGTTGCTGGGCGACATGCCCTCGTGTGTTTGCTTCCACTCCTCCAGGAAGCGCAGCAGCAGCAGGATATAGGGTACATGGCCGTGGACATGGTCGTCCATGCTATTCAGGTCGCCCATGCTGGCGGCTGCGGCCGCAAGTTCTGGCCATGGGTTCAGGAGGCGCAGGTCTTGGGTTGTTTCGGGATCAGGGTGTGTTTCGACGATGGGGAACTCGGCGTCTAGTTGAAGCGAGAAGGTCGAGTAGAATCCAACTGAGTGTATGTACAGCACAGGAACGCCCAGCTGTTGGGCCTGTTGACGGAGTATGTCCAGCGAGGAGCATTTCGTCGGGCCGGAAATGATCACCAATTTGTGGCGGGGAAGGAAGTCCGAATCCTGCAGAAGATCCGAAATGTGCTGGAAAAACCGTGTTAGCGTTAATCACGGTTGGGGTTGTTGAGAATAGAGAGGATCGATGTACCTTGGCATAGTAGTATCCCTGTACATCGGGATTCAATTCGCGCAGCAGACGACATGTCTCTTCGGCGCGCGACTTGCCCATGGACTCCTCTTCCAAAAAGAAGTTCACTCCCAAGTCTTCTTCCGTGACAATTGCCGGATCAACAATGGTGAATCCCCCGATACCCGGCAAAACCAGGTTCTTGAGGGCCTCGACGCCGACGACGCCCGAGACACCGGTGCTGCTGGAGCCCAGCGGGCCGTCGGAGTTGACCAGCAGTACGCGCGAGTCTTCTAGCGCTTGCTGACCTGTGGCCGCCCACAACCGCAGCTGTCGATCATACTTGCGCTCCTTGGAGGTTGGCCCTGCCAGGGTCGCGGAGAAGGACTCGGCCATGGCTTTGGTAGCGGTTTGATAAAGCGGATAGAGCTCGAGTGCGGGGAAGAGGGGAGGAGCGTGAGGGGGTCAGAATTCAGGGCCGTTCAGAGCATCAGCACAACCGTGTGTGCACTTGCTTTTTCGAGTTTCCGGCCGCTTTTGTCCACTAGACTATTGGTTTTCTGGGCTCTTTGGGGATGGGACAAGCCCTACGCGCTGTCGTTGTGTCGTTGATGCCCTGCGCTACATTTGACTAAGCGGGCGGCAATCGATTTACATTGGTCGCCTGATCGGCAAGGCGTGCACTCAGAGCCTCGTCTTGGTCCGATGTACAATCATTAGCGATCACAATGATCGATGCTTCTGAGAAGAGATGCAGCATAATTGACAGCTATAAAATATTGCCATAATTGACAATAGAGTGATCCAAAAATTCAATCAGTCAATCAATTGAGTCAATTCATTGGGTGAAGCTTTACCGCTGCTTGATGCTAACGTCCACAAGCCCGTCTTCAGAACAGCAGGTATGCAGCGAATACAGGAATGAATGGGCGTGACTATTTCATGCTTGAAATATTCTTGGGGTTCTCAGAAAACCACAAGAGCACAATATTGATTTACTGATTATTTGGTTAAGATACCGTCCGCAACATCAACATTGTATACCTATGTATCCGCTCTTTCGTACCATTCTAAATTTAAACTGACAGCAATGCCTTCTGCGTAGTATTTCATATATCGTACAGGTTTGATCCAAAGGGGTTTGAAAGTACGGGGTGTGGGTTTCCGCCGGGTCAGATCCCTTCCTTGCTTGGATCGCTCAATTTTCTAGCTGTGTATGTAGCCTGGAAGAGGGCTACTATATAATCAGCTGAGCAGAGCCGGTGCACAATGCTATATGTATTTCATCATCAAGTTTTCTGATTCTTTTTCAGTTTCTACCCAGCCGATCCTCCGAGGTACTCCGATACGAATAAGAAATTTTGACTCCAAGTGGTATTGGTATTGACTATGTTTCCTAGACGCTGGTAGCCAATCGCGGGTTCAGACATGGTTATACATTCTTTACTCGGTTACTTTCTCAATAAATGCTCCACATTTTTGCTTTTTATTTTAATGTCTCGATTGGCCATGGGCTGTGTTGTCCAATCCCCACCTGGCCCCCCTCGACCCCATTGCAGATCATTCAATAGTTTAAATATTGATGCAGTGTAACTGTGCCACGATCCGCACCCACCGCATTGTTTTCACGGGAGCTTGGGTTCCGCGGGTCTGAGCATTCCCATATATAATACGGCCGTCAGTTCTATCTAGACGAGTTTCTCAATTCACTTCCAAGTTCCATTGTCTCATACATATATCCACTTTTCGTGTCATAACCTAAGCTTTCAACCCCATACAAAATGAAGTCCAGTGCTATCTTTGGCTTCTTGGCGATGCTCTGCAGCCAAGCACTGTCTCAGGAATTTGACGGAACTTATACCATTGCTTCAGCCGGAACCTCGTTGTATCTCGCAGATGAAGCTGGCGAGATTATTCTCGAGGACAAAGACCCTCAGTCCTGGTTCTTCATCGAAGCGGAGACCGACAAATATGCGATTGTGAACAATGAAACAAATCAGTATATCAACTGCAACACGGCCGAGAATCAGCTTTGTATTTCCTCCGAGGTTGCGCAGCTCTTCCAGCCAGACAAGATCTCCGATGGTATCTATACTTTCTTGGATCCTGAGTCTCAGTTGCTCCTGCATCGAACTTCAGATAATCACCTGGATCTCTCGCGTCCATCTCCCACCAATGACGAGTCCTTCGAGGTGACACAGATTTAATGTGAGTCACTTGTTGATTGTTACAGTGCAAATATTCTTTATCTGACTCGTTATGATTCACTTCAGGTGGATTTTCCGTCAAGTCAGTCTTCTCATGGGGAGAGAACGAGGAAGGCTCAATTTTACTGAGCCCGGGCATAAAGTCCATTCTCTTCGCACATTTTGCATATGTGATACTTATCAAAATCCTTGTGAACTACTCAATATTCACAATATCTTTGTTAGGACAGAGGTACTCGTTCTTAAAAACTTAATTCAACTTCAATGATTTTCTGATCTCTTCTCTTATCGCATAAATTTACCTGACAAGGAGCCCAATCATGTTGGCGATGTAGCAAAATTCCATCAATTTCTCGTCTAATTTCACAGTGTACTCAATCCAGATCAGAATCAAAGTTGCCTTAAACTACCTTAGTCCAGATGAATGAAATTAAGGAAATTATCTAGAAAAACTGTCTAGAGATTTTCTAGGGCTTTAATAACCTGTTGAACCAGAGTATAGATATTGGCTGATTTCAACCAACCGAGATTAATTAGGTATATTAAGATGTAACTTGAAGTTTCAGGTTCTTTAAAAGACAGGTTATGACCAAACCGGCTCCCGACAGGCAGGTATAAAGTAGCCAAACATACCAAATACCCTCATTAACAATGCGGAGAACCGCATTTTTTTCATCAGTGGGCAGATTTTTCGTTAGGCTAGAAGTGGCTGTAGATGCAGCAGTGATCTCTGCAGCTAGGGAAGACCCCACCGCCGCAGCCAAGGCATTCTCGTGAAGTTGTACCCCGTGGTTATAAATGACCGTTCCGATAACCACTGAGATTGAAGCAGCCATTTGTCTAACAAGGGAAAAGGCTGCAGTGGCTGTACTCATTTCTGAGGGGTCGACATTTGCCTGAAGTGCAATGAGGGTGGCTTGGAAATTTGGACCCAGTCCAACGCCGGCAATCATTTGATACAGGACGATGCGAGCCCACGAGTGATACGGCTTCAGATCTAGGTAAAGACCATACCCGAGAGTGGTGAAAAACATACCAAAGATGATCACCTCGCGGAACCGTCCCGTTGCTCGCATATACCATCCAGCTAGGCCTGATGATGCCGCGAGTGCCCCGACCAAGGGCAAAAGCAAAACTCCGCTCATGATGGAACTTTCCAGGAGGATATTCTGGAAATATACTGGCAAGTAAAAGCACCCACCAATGAAGACCGCGCCGTGAAAGAAGTTCACCAAGAGGAGAATGATGTTCTGCCAGCTGTTGAACACGGCTGGCGGAATGATGGGCACAGGAGAGAACCACTCATTTACCCCAAATAGGATCAGAGCCACAATCCCAAAGACGATCAAGCAAATCACGGTAGCTGACGCCCAGGGATACTGGTCACCTCCGAATTCGAGTCCAATGAGGAGCATGAGAATTGCGCCGATGAGAAGGCAGATACCAGTCCAATCGATAGCGGCCAAGCCGTCCCGCAAAGACTTCCGATTCGAGTCCACCCTCAGGAAGAAGACGAGGAATAATAATGCCACGCCGCCCACTGGCACTAGATTGGGAGGCGAAATTTATCAGTTCTGCGTGGATAAGGATATAAGGAAATAAAGACCCACGGTTGATATAAAAGCACCATCGCCAAGTCACATAGGAGGTAAAAGCACCACCGATGACCGGACCTACAGCTCCCGCGATAGCCCAGGTCGCACCAAAAATGCCTAGATAAGCCGCCCGGCGTTGTACGTCGAACAAGTCTGAGACGCAGACATTGGCAAGGACGGTGATGCCGCCGCTTCCCACTCCTTGCAATGTACGGCCGGCAATTAACATGGAGACATGAATTGCCAGTCCACAAATTAAACTTCCGCCAAGGAACAGCACGATGGAGAGAGTAAGAATAGGCTTTCGGCCCCAGATATCACTAACTCGACCCCATAGGGCGACAAATGATGCGTTGGCCAGTAAATAGGCCGAGGCGATCCACGCATATGCCGAGTCGGAAGCGTTGAAGTCGGCAATGATCTTGGGCAATGCGGTGGAGACGATCGTCTTTTTTTTCTCCCCCTTAGCCTTTTCGTCTTCAAACACATTATTCAGATTCAAGATAGGCAGACTTACGATATCCAGTGCAGCGAGAAACACATTGAGCTATTTCAATCAGAAGCGAAAAGAAAATGAACGTTAGCGATTTGCGCGATGAACCTGTCTCTTCAAATGCAAATCTTACTCCGAGCCCTAAAAGGATGATCGCCACTCGTTGTTTGCCCGAGCCGCCTTGGGCCGTCACTTCTTCAGGAATAATGCCGGCCTCGGCAGATTTCGTCAGTGCCGGCGTTGTAGACTGGTTCTCTCCATCTGGAAGGTCCATCGGGGAATCCCCCTTGCCGGAAGACATAGGGTCGGCAGGCGGGGAGAGTAGGGGATGAAGGAAAAGAAAAGGAGACGAGAGACGATGAAGAGAATGACCACCCACATTCCCCCTGAACCCCAGACGATAAATACCGAGGCGTCCTAACAAGAACTATCATATCGAAGCGGGAATGGAATCAGCCGCTAAAAACCCGCTCTCGTTCGAAGCGAGACCGATCGAGACGAATCCAGACGAATCGAGGGGACGCGATCGAGGGATCGAGGAAATGACGTCAGCTCCCGCATCCACATGGCAAGTCCCGGAATAGCAGCAGAGGAGGCAACCAACGAGAGCACGCGAATGTAAATGCAAACTCTGGACGGTCCATTTCAGAAGAAAGGAGCAGCGCATTGGCCAATCCTTTTTTTTTTTTGAAGTAGTTTCAAACGATTCCAAGACTGCCTTACCGTCACTACCACCGCTTACTCCTATGACTACCACCACCACCATCACCCCTCTTCACCTTCCTCCCCTCTACCTTCTTTATACTCATTGCCACCTTCCAGTCCTATAATTTGCTTGATATGTATAAATAATGCAATAGAGAATAAGATAGAATGACTGAGGCTGGTGTAATTTCTGTTCCTCGATCTAGTAAATCACAGTGCTGATATTATAATGTATATGCCGGGAAACCCCCTTCCCCCCCCCTTTAATGCATCTTCACTCTCAAAAAACATCGAACTTGTTGGTACTGAACGAGATCAAGCTCATGATTTAGCAGCTGGCAACGCTAGGGACGTTCTGGCAGCTACCATAGCTCTTGCCGCCGCTGACCTTCACGCTGCTCCAAGTCCAGTCCGAGCATCCACTGCTGCCGCAGACAATGACAACATTGTACCCGCTGGAGGCAACAGCCCCAGAACCAGAGATGTTCTTGATAGTGAGGTCGGTGATGGGCACGCCGCTAGTTGGGTCGCCCTTGAGATCACCACCCTTATAGTTCTGCTCGATCAGGATACCGTATCTAGAAACTACGGTTAGTCTAACTCAAGGTGGTTCGGTTCGGCTATAGAAGGACAGACTTAGAAATGGAAGAAAGGGTGATTCCAGAGTAGGTAACGCCCTTGATAGTGCCGGTGGTGTCCTCAGTTGCCTTGATACGAATGCCTAGACAATACCAGTGAGCTGTAATCCCGATAGTAACATAGATGAGACAGAATCTGTTGCTCTTACCGTTAGTGGACTTTTGAACAGTAGAGTCCTTAAAGGTAACGGTGTCGACGGTGTTGTCAGAGCGACCACCAACGCTGCCAATAGAGAGGCCGTGGCCACCAGAGCAGAGGCCACCACTGAAGGTAATATCCTAGTGAGTGGGTTAGTCTCGAGATCTTGAATAGACTTGTTTAAGCGAGACATCTGTCTTACGGTTCCAGAATTGACGGCAACGCAGTCATCCTGGTTATACACTTTGGCACCGGTGATGACCACGTTGCTGCTGGACCCAATATCGAAGCCATCGGTGTTATGGCCACCATTGGAATCTCCGTCACTGTTGTCGATAGTCATGTCTGTAATCGTCAACCCATCACAGCCGTTAATGCTCACGGCCTGGACAGGAGTGTTCTCAATATAGAGATCGGTGATCGTGGACGAGGTCAGACTGTGGGCGGCGAAGAACTTGGGCTTGGTCTTTCCACCGTTAGACCCCTCGCTATCCCACCAGCGCGCACCATCCGGGTTGAGCTTGGCACCACTGGCACCCTTAATGGTGATGTCGTTGCCCTTAATCTGCAAGAGGGGGCCATCCCACTCCTTGTAGCCCCAGGTAGTTTCACCTTCAAAGATAACCTATGTGACATTCATAAGCCCGACCCGAATGCAAGACATAAAGGGATAGTTTCGTGCGCGCGTGAGCTTACATGGGTACCGTCATTGAGCTTGCTGAGATCGAGAGTGGTGCCAGAAGGAACGGCCACATCGGAAAGAATGATAGTCGAGCAAGACTTCTGCGAAGCGCTAGCTGACGAGGCACCCTTGGAGCCGGAGAAGGTGCAGGTGGTGGCCCGCTTGTCCAGGCTGGGGGCAGCAGTGATGGCAGGCTCAGCGACAGGAGTGGCCACGGCACAAGCCGCCAGAGCTCCAAGAGCGAAATATCCGAGCAATTTAGACATTGTGATTGTCAAGAGAATCTTGAGACGATTGAGAAGCCGTTTATGAGTTCCATCTTTGTCGGTGAGGGAAGCAGTCGCTCTTTATATGACCCAGATTGCTCGAAAGAAGCTGGCAATATGAACGTCTCCGGACATTGTTCCTTAACAGGATGAGAAATCCAGGGTTTCTATGCGAACCCACATGTCGCCCCATTGGCCCTCGCTGGTTCTCTTCCAATAAGCATTGCTCATCCTGGCGGGTGTTCGGCGTCACTGGAACTAAATTGCTCGCGTGGAGCAACGGAAAAATGAAGGGGAGCCGGAGCTCGACTCGGTCGGGCAATGGTGAAGCTCTAAGAGGAGGATAATTGTGGTTCCAGTCAAACAAGAGCAAACGAGGAGTAGGAGAATCTTCGGCATTCAAGGTTTCACCGTGTCTTTACAGGCGCGCCAAGGCTCCGGGTCAAGGCCCACCCTACAGCCAAAATAACCGTTGTCTCGGAATTATTTGAATGCAGGGTGAAAGATGGCGTGGAAACGGTCCACCCTTGTCCCTTTTACCCTTGGTGGATTTCATTTATTTTAAATAAGACCCCTGTTATCTTCAGGAACAGGCGATAGCCCTACCCAGTCGCTTTGAGTAGCTTGTTTTCCATTTTGCCCTGACCAGGGCTGAGAGGGGGGCATACTAGTTCACCAGTTCAAGTTTCAGCCATATACATTGGTATCCGCCGCTTCCGTACACTATATTCTGGATCCATGTATGTGTGCGTGTGTGTGTGTCTGTCTGTATGTGCGCGCGCATACGTGTTTAACAAAATGTTGAAGCTAGAATCTACCATTAGACCTCCCCAAACTACCAAGTAAACAGAAGCTCCCGAATTGCACCAGGAGCTCGTAGCTAAAATCTGACAGAAACAAACCCACCAACCACAGCATTCAATGTCTGCCACAGAGAAAGCCTAATTTTGAGAGGATATTCTGTTGCCTGGAGATCACCCTTGATGATCACTTGTTTTTCCGGGGTGGAGACTGGCCGCTAGTGTCTCGACATCGTCCCAAACAGCTGGGAGAGTTTCATGACGGGTTCCAGGCTCTTCTGTCTAATTACTGGCTTTGGTGTTTATAATAAATTTGCTGTTCTTTTCAAAAATCGCACGTGTTGTGGAGTCGAAAAGCTTAGAAGGACTAACTTGATAACCAGTTAGTCGATGGCAAAAAGCTTACTGATTTTCAACCCTTGATTCAGTCGAAGTCTTGACTGAAGCTCTGTTCTGGGTATTTAGGGCAATGGCTTCAAGAAAAGTAAACAAACTTATTGATCTCCCCCCACCTTCCCCAAAGGTATGCCAGATCGTTGTCATTGTCACCCTGAATACTGTAGCCGTCCAATCCGTACCAGTCCACCGAATCGAAAGGAACATGAGTACATTATAGGAGACCTATTTTTCTCTCCTCAGACAAAAAGCCAAGTCTTCTTGGAAGCAATAATCATTATTTATATCATGCTATCCAGGGCATCCGTTCATACTCCCAAATGACTCGGCGCTTCAACCTGCCCTGATGGTCTTGCTGGTCTTGTGCGGCGCGTAGTGTTACCCTGGGCTGCAGGGCCCAAAGAACCCCACTGCCCGCTATCCGGTTGGTTCGCCAAGTGTGAGCATCCCACTAAATCACCTTTTACCGGGGGATGCGAACACATTGGCCTGTGGGCAGGGTTGGGTTTCTATACTGACCAGCGACACGGAAAGGGCCGCCTGGTGCACGGGTCGCATCAGGGAGGGGGGATCGACACCGTTCAATTGAGCATCAGAATTCTCTAAGAGAAGACCTTTGATGTGTCTAGCTTCTTGGTCTGAAGAATGTAGCTTGTCGCATTGTATTGAAATGGACGAAGAAGACGGAGATGAACCATCGGATCTTTAAGAACTTCCCAGAGTAGTAAGTAGTACACGGCGTCCAGCAGCCAGCATTCCACACGGCGTGCAGGGCTCCGAGCTCTCAGAGAAGAACCCCCCACATGGATATTAACAACGCCAATGACGCCAGCGCGCAATCACGCAGCCGGGGATTGCCTACTGCGCCAACTTGCAGTCCCGAAAAAACGAAGCATAATTGTCATTTGACGTGCCTCTATGATTCCCCGACTTTTCTGCTCGCCGCTCCGCCTCCCTCGATCTCTTCCGTTTCTCTCTCCCCGCATTCATCTCCTACCCACCCCTCCATTCTTCCCACCCCTCCCCCGCTACCAATCAACCATGGCCGACGCCGTTGAAGCTGCCAAGCGCGCTGCCGCAAAGACTGCGGTTGAAAACCACTACCCCAAGGATGCGAAGTGGGTGGGCATTGGCAGCGGCACCACCATCGTCTACGTTGTCGAGGCCATTAAGGGCCTTGGTGTCGACACCTCCGCCACCCGCTACGTGCCCACTGGCTACCAGTCCCGCCAACTGATCCTTGGTGCGGGCCTGACCGCTGTGGAATTTGATGCCATTCCCGAGGGCGTCGTGCTGGACGTCGCCTTCGACGGCGCGGACGAGGTGGACGATGACCTCAACTGCATCAAGGGCGGCGGCGCATGCCTGTTCCAAGAGAAGCTTGTTGCCATGCAGGCGAAGCAATTTATCTGTGTTGCCGGTAAGGCCTCAATCAATTCTGGCTTTTCTCTCCTCAATCAACCCTTCGGTTATCAGACAATCAAGATCTCTCCCTGCTAATGCATGAAACTCCGCTCCCCATCCAGACTCTCGCAAGCTCCAGTCCCGCCTCCTCACCAATTGGAAGTACATTCCGATCGAGGTCGCTCCGATGGCCGTCTACCGTGTCCAGCGCAAGCTCAAGGAACTCGGTGCCATCGACCCAGTCGTCCGCCTCAACAAGGAAATCAAGCAGGGCCCGCTCAAGACCGACCAGGACTTTTTCCTTATCGACGCACCCTTCGCGCCCCTCCTGACCCAGGCCGACATTGCCGCCGGCAAGGACGGCTCTGGCAAGAACGGCGTCTGGGAGGTAAACCAGCTGGCGCGGGAGATCAAGCAGATCGCCGGTGTGCTGGAGGTTGGCATCTTCTCCGGCCTGACCGGTCCCCAGGCCACCGCGGCTGGCGGCGCTGGCGGCCAGCGACCCGTCGCGGCGTACTTCGGTATGCCGGATGGATCCGTGCAGGTGCGCCACGCATCCGCTTAAGCGTCGCGTCGCCGTTACGGTTTGGGCATGAGTAGGTAATTGGCTCGGCTGCTTGGTCCTGAGGTCTTTTTTTTGTTTCGGATTTGATGCAGCGTGTATGACGTATATATATAAAGATGATACCAAGATGCGTGTCCCTGAATTAGACGGGACTAGAAATAAAGAGATTATCGCTACTTTCGGCGGTTTATGTGATGTTTCTCTTTTCCTCTTTCCATGGCTTTTTCTGTCTTTACGATAGGCAGAGCAAAGTATTATACTTTAGAGCGTTGGAGTCATTATAGTTAGTGTCTGATATCAAAAAGAGCCTCCCTAGCCATATTCCTAACTAGCAGATGAACCCATCATCAGAAGGCCTGTTTTTTTGGTTCTATTTCGCACTCTTTGCCTTAGCCTCATTCTCGCCAAGTTCCTTGACAAAGATCTTCACCACACCCTCGGGCACATCGTCCTTGCCGTCCTCGAAGCCCGGACTGATGGCAATGGCCAGATACTTTCCGTTGCCGCTGAATGCTAGAGCTGCCACGCTGGATGGGAACTTCTGGTACTGGCGGATACGACGCTTGGAGATACCATCCCATAGCGCGACAACGCCGTCTCCGCCACCGGACACAAATGTGCCGTACACGGGGTGGAAGGCCAGGGCATTGACGGGGTAGACAACGTCAACGCCATCCTCCGCTGTCTGACGATGACACTTGAAAGCGTATTTGCGGGCCTGCGATTCCGGGGACGGGTCGAACCACTCAACCGCGACACGGCCCTCGATGCTGGAGGAGGCGTATCCTGCATCGTCGGGCATGCATGCGACACACCGCGTCATGAACTTCAGACTGCTTTCACGCCGTTGCCAGGGCTCAATCTCGACCTTATTGCCATCTGTGGTGGCGCCGTCTGCCTGTGCAGTGAGGAGGGCTAGCGCCTTCAGATCGTAGATGTGCAGGGACCGTGATGCCATGGCAACGACCAGCTTGGTGGCGGTAAGGGACAGCGAGAAGGGTTTCGAGGGGAGGGGGATGACGGCGGGTATGGAGTCGGCATTGGTACCGGCATCGGGGCGGTGCACATGGAGCGTAGAATCCCACGAACCCGAGATGATGATGTTGTGCTCGGGACTGTAAACCACGCTGCGCACGCCGGCTTCGTGGCTGCTCAGAACGACCTGTTCCGACGTGTTGAGATCAATTCTGTGCCGTGTTAGTATTCCATTGCGCCGACGATGTAAACTTCGAGCTACTACAGAGTCTCTGCGCAAGTGACTCACTTCCGAACATCCCAATCCAACCCGGCGGTATAGATCTCGTTCTCATTCGCACCAAAACAAACGTCCAGGACCGGGGCCCGATGTTCGAATTTCTGGAGCAACTTCCCCTCGCCTACAGCACCATTCTCATCACGAAGATCGTACAGATAAACGTTCTTGTCCCATGACGAGGCAACAATGCGCGTCGAGTCGGGGTCGGGGGAGAACTTCAAAGCCGAGATAGCATCCGTGGGCGGCGACGCCACGGTAAATTGATCTGTGGTAAGGAACGAAAGTCAGCCATGAACCATTCTGTCCAATCGCAAGAGAACGCAACTCACTTGACGACATCCTGCGTTTAGTAGGCAAGGCGGTGATGTTGAGCGCGGCCATTGGCATAGCTCCTTGAGGGCCTTTTCTGCCCATCGCTACCGCCATCGCATTCCCCGCGCTTCTTTGATAAGGGAAAAAAAAGGGCCCGACAACTGACCAGGACAACGTCCCACACTCTCGCCGGATCTATCTCCCACTGCACAGTCCCAGAATGCCCTTCGCGCAGCTGGTTATTGGCCCTCCTGGCGCGGGCAAGTCTACCTATTGCAATGGCATGCACCAGTTCCTGGGTGCCATCGGCCGGAAATGCTCCGTCGTCAACCTGGACCCCGCCAACGACAAGACCTCCTACCCGTGCGCGCTGGACGTGCGCGACCTGGTAACCCTGGAGGAGATTATGGACGAAGATAAGCTAGGGCCGAATGGAGCGACATTATATGCGTTGGAAGAGCTAGAAGAGAACTATTCGTGGTTGGAAGAAGGGCTGAAGGAGCTAGGAGGTTTGTCATTTGAATATCTTCTAATTCTGGAGTCTAATCCAGACCCTGGTTGACAAAGTTGACACAGATGACTACGTCTTATTTGACTGCCCCGGTCAAGTCGAGCTCTTCACGCACCATTCATCATTACGGAATATCTTCTTCCAGATTCAAAAGCTGGGCTACCGGGTTCGTCATTCCTTAAGCCTGTCCACCCCCCTCCCCCAAAAAGCAATGCCGCTGAAAAGTCACTCCTCTCATATACAGTTAATCGTCATCCACCTCATTGATTCGTACACCCTCACCCTTCCCTCAATGTACATTTCCGCGCTCCTCCTCTCTCTCCGCGCAATGCTGCAACTCGACCTACCGCACCTGAACGTGCTCACCAAAATTGACAACCTCTCCAACTACACCAACCTCCCTTTCAACCTAGACTTCTACACAGAAGTTCAAGATCTAAATTACCTCCTCCCCCACCTGGAAGCCGAGTCCTCGCGTCTGGCAAACACCAAATTCAGCGCCCTGAACACCGCGATCATCGATCTGGTCGAGGAGTTCGGACTCGTCGCGTTCGAGACGCTGGCCGTCGAGGACAAGAAAAGCATGATGACCTTGCTGCGGGCGATCGACCGCGCCTCAGGATACGCCTTTGGCCCCGCCGAGGGCGCCAACGACACCGTTTGGCAGGTCGCCGTGCGAGAAGGAATGGGCATCACGGATGTACGGGACGTGCAGGAGCGCTGGATCGACTCGAAGGATGAGTACGATGCTATGGAGCGAGCGGAGCTCGAGGAGGAGGCGAGGATGCGAGATGCGGCGAGTCAAGCTGCAATGGGGGTGGATCCTGGAAATGCAGACGAGGACGCCGACGATGAAGAATGGGCTAAGTGGGACGGACCGCTGCCGGATAGCGGGGTGACTGTGAAACGCAAGTCATGATCCAGTTTTTTTTTTTTTTTTTTTTAAAAAAAAAAGAAAAAATCGTTCATTTATGTTCCTTGCATGGGACAAATGTATTATATCGCAAATGCATTGGTAGGGGTTTTGGAGGGGGTATCATAATTGTACAGTGTCCAGGCCAGTCCCTGAGGGCGAGGCCCTCAGCGTTAGGAGCCGGAGCGTATAGATCCTTAATCTTTCAAGCTTCGTCATCGGTGGGCATGCCCTCATCCTCACTTTCGTCCATCACACTATCCATGACCGAAACGGTCTCTTTCCCACTGATCAAATCGCCTAATACGCCTTTCTCTTCCATGCCCCGCACGCGCACGATCTCTCTCCGCGCGCGGCGGATGGCTTCCTCTTCTGCTTTCCGCATTGTCCCCGATACGCGTAGGACGCGGAACACGCACGGCCGCTCACGACCACCGTTGGGACGTCGCTGTGCCGTGCCTGGACCTGGCTCTGTGATGGCGGGCACGTGGGACATATAGGTGAGCGCAGACCAAACGAGACGGAATGATGCGCGCGGACAGCGGATGATGGCTGTGGATGTGGCGGGGGAGAGGTACTTGACTGAAGCACAGAATAAAAAAAATGAGATTAGTTTCAATGGCATGGAAGCTGCAGTATGATTGCTTTTTATGATTCGGGGGGAAGAGGATTGGTCGATGTGTAGGATCGAAAATGATGCTATGAGAGCACGAACCGTGAATTCCAGATGCCGAGGCACCGCCGAGCTTGCCAACGCCCCAGTCTCCATACATCTCACCGACTTCCTCGCGCACCATCTTAGCAAGGAGGCCTGGAGTCAGCGCGTTGGAGGTTGGGGAATGGATGGCTAGTTGGGTGGCTTGGGGGCCTGTTGAGGACGGGGATTTGGAGGATGGCCATGTCGATTGGTCTGGATAGAGGATGTCCAGAAGAAGGTAACGGTTCTTGAGGCGGACCATGTTGGGGAATTGAGGAATGAAGAGGGCAGCAGTTGAGTCTCGAGATGGAGAAAAAGAAGTTCGCGGGTCTCCAGCAATCCAACGATACGCGATAACCGATAAGAGATAAGGATTTTAAACATGCTGTTATCGTAAATCTTTCTAAAAGCGGAGAGGGGCACGAGGGCAAAGCATCTATGCAGGTTCAAGGGAACAGTTTGCTACTGGGATCAATACTTGGAAAGGTAAAGCAAGTCATCATGCAAGAGGGCACGTTCATTAGGTCCCCAGGGAGGTCTAGTCATCTAAACAAATTAAGAAACAAAATCCGTAAGTCGGGCATAGCACCGTTTTTGTCCATCCGAGAAGAGCCAGCGTTTTAAGCAGATCGCTCCTCCCGGCGAGACCCCGGTTCAGAAACCCACATACAGCGGGTGCAGAAAACATGGGATACACGCAAAGACTGCTGAGAGAAACAATCGAAAACCAAAAAGGGGATTCAACCCATCCAAACTCCACCGTCAAGAAACCTCAATATATGCGCGGGAGGGGTTGCTCAAAGACGGTCTGTATGCCACCAGCGGGACGGCGCTGCAAATCATATCATGTTGGGGGGGAAAGAGAGAAGAAACGAAATCACAGGTTGACCTCCACACGGCCCTCAGCACCACCCTTCTGCAGGGTGGGCAGAAGGTAGGTGATGTCATCCCAAGGGTGACGGTACAGGCCGGTGCGCAGGCGCTTCTGGTCGAGGTAGTGGGCAATGAGACCGATGGAACGACCCAGCACAAACAGACCGTTGAGGACACCCATGCGCATGTAGTCCTCGACCTCCTCGGCGGAGAAGGCGCCGCAGTGGCGGAGCAGGTCAACGAAGCAGACAGCAACACAGCCGTCAACGTTCAGGATCAGGTTGTCCTTCTTGGAGGTGGTGACGGTCTCGACCGCAATGGCGTAGTCGAGGAGCTTGGTGGAGGGGAAGTGCTTCTTGACGAACTCCTTGACCAGCTCAACACGCAGATCGGGGTTGTTGCGGGACTTGACCTTGTGGCCAATACCGGGGATCAGCTTGTTCTCCTTGCGCATGATGTCGACGAAGTCACGGGGAGAGAGACCCTTGTCGAAGGCCTTGGTGAACTCCTCAGCGGCGCCGTCCAGCGCACCACCGAAACGAGAACCAATGGTCAGGAGACCGGAGACGAGAGCGGAGATCAGGTCCTTGCCGGCACGAGTGGTGATGATGGTGTTCATGGCACCAGACACAGCGGGACCGTGGTCAGCAGTGAGCATGAGAACCATCTCCAGGAACTTGCTAGCGTAGGTAGGGAGGCGGCGGCGGAACCACAGCAGAGACATGACACCACCAATGCCGATATCCTCACGGAAGACATCGGAGATGGGCATACCAGCGTACAGAAGCTCCTGGCCACGGTCGTCGGAGATGGTGGAAATGAAAGCAGCGGGCTTGCGAACGAGACCCAGCTCCTGAGCCCAGGAGTAGTCAATGGGGATCTTGGGGACAACGGGCTCGGGGGCGGGGGTGATGGTGCCCTTCTTGACCTCAGCATCGTACACCTCCTTCAGGATCTGGGGGAGATCCTCGAAGGTCTCGGGAACGTGGATACCAGCCTCACGCATGGCCTTGTTCTTGTAGACGGCGGTCTCCAGCTGGGAGTTAGCGGAGGCACCGGCGTGGCCGAATTGCACCTCGGTCTTGAACATGCTGGCGCAAGTGCCGATAGCCCAGGCAACAATGGGCTTGGTGATAGTGCCGTTCTTGACAGCCTCGATCACACGGTACTCCTCAACACCACCGACCTCGCCGAGGAGGACGAGGATCTTGCACTCAGGCTCGTTCTGGTAGCGGAGCATGTGGTCGATGAAGGTGGTACCGGGGTAACGGTCACCACCAATGGCAACACCCTCGTAAACACCGTCGGTGTTCTGGGAGATGATGTTGTTGAGCTCGTTAGACATACCACCGGACTTGGAGACGTAACCGACGGAACCCTTGCGGTACAGCTTGGAGGCAACGATGTTGTCCATCATACCACCGGTGTTACCGATCTTGTACGCACCGGGCTTGATACCACCGACAGTGGCGGGACCAATGATGGTAATGCCCTTCTCCTTGGCAGTGACGAGGATCTCACGAGCGCGCTATGGAAACCAACACCATTAGTCTTTCTGGCCCTTTTCTTCGAGATCATCTTCATCTCACGGCAGCCTCGTGCTCGCCCTGTCACGATGGCTGCCGTCTGAACCGGGAGTCAAAACTTACACGCTCGGGGACACCCTCCGCGATGATGGCAATGGAGCGGACCTGGGGGCAGTTCATCAACTCCATGGTGGATGAGTAGACGGAGCGGGAGGAGGCGAAGTTGACGACGGTGTCGACATCGGGGTGCTTGGCCATGGCCTTCTCGACATCCTGGTAGACGGGAAGGAGGGTCTCGCTGGTACCCCAGTACATCTTGCTGACGAACTGGCCGCCGAAGGTGTAGATGATACCAGCCACGGAGGGGGTGGAACGCTTGCAGATGAAGTCAAAGTCGAGCATGCCCTGCACGGCTCGGGGTTGCATGCCACTGTGATCCGCAAGTTAGATTCCCCGGGTTCAGATTGGCTTTCGAAGATGGATGGCCCCCCAGGCCGCTGCTGGGGGAGGAGATTCACTTACTATACGAAGCATCGGGTCTTGTTGTGGAAGAGGGCGTGGGTGAGGGGAGAGAGGACACGGCTGGGAGGATTGAAGCGGGTGATGTTGTCGTTGGCATTCTGGACGCCGTTGCCGGCGACGGGGAGAGAAGTGGAGGGCATGATGATTAACTAGAATTGACGAATGTCAATAATCAACGGGCCCGATCTTGTGGCAGTTTCACGCTATGCCGACCTCTTTGAGGTTGCTGGGGGGAGGGGACAAGTGGGCGGAGTGGTAGAAAGAAGGCAGTCGGCGAATTAAGCGGACGGAGTAGGGATGACAGAATGGGATGCGATCGAGGGAAAGAGGAGAGGAGAGACTCACGTATGTGGTAGAATCGCCCAAAAGGAGAGGAGAATGAGGAGTAGAAGAAGAAGGAGAGATCGCGGAAGGTCGACAGGGAGAGAGAAAAATCCGCGGGGCCAGAGGACTCGCAGATACGGTGTACAGCTCCGTCTGGCGGGGGGGGGGGGGGGACGAGGGGGTACGGTATTGGTATGGAAATTACCAGGACGGGGCGACGGCGTTGGTGGGACCAGCTCAACAACTCGATCGGTCCCCAAAGTACCGGGTACCCGCGAGACCGACCCACAGCAGCCGTGAACGGCTTGACTGTGAGACGATGTACTGTACTCTGGACTCCGTCCTCGGCGACGGTGGGTTGGTGGGATGGTGGGATGGGGGATTGGATGCTGCTCTGACGATCATTCTATTTCCACTATTTTCTCTGATTTCACCAATTTCTGCTGTCTATCTGCGGCCTGTGAATTGTTTGCTGATCCAATTATGTCTCGCTGACTTGGAACATTCGATGTCCCCGACGAGCATTCTGTAGGATTCTATAGATCCATTTGATCCATTTCGGTGACTGTCGCGGGCCTGGCCCAGGCTTATGCTTGACCGCCGGTTGCGATGATCCGCTCCCTGAGGAAGTCACGCCAGGGAAGCAGTCTCGAATAGAATCTCCTTCAGCCCACTCGCCGGCTTATCCCATTTCGATTTGCCCGGGACAGTTTGGCCCTCGGGGAACCTCCTCCGACATACGCAGGGTCATATTGCCCATGTGCCAACCCAATGCACTCGCCAACAGGGGTCGGGACAAGCATGATACGCTTGAACATGCAGCAAATCTACTCCGTAGACTCCGGATACGCTCCTATACATGACTACGATATGGACAATTCGATTGTCCCGTTTATGCCCTTCTGGTGGGTTTAGGGTTTCTCTTTTGATAGAGATATGCCAGTCAGGACCACATTTGTAGTTCTCAACCCAATATATCCAGACTATGTACTCGATCTGTGACTCCTGTGCCTCTGCTTTTCAAAGTATAAGAACTACGGTATAGATCGGAGACCGGCGTCGGCCTGGTAGGTGGACCTCGGTCAGCTCAGTAGCTCCTCGTGGCACACGATACATAGCGGACGGCGTACAGAGTCCAGATGAAGGGCGGAGGACAGAGCAGACTCAACAGAAAAGCCCACCAGAGATAGAAATAAATCCAATAAAAAAAAAAAAAAAAAAAAAAAAAAAAAAAAGTCGGGAGCCGAAAGGAGCAGGAACCGGTAAGACGGAAGACACAGAGCTACACCGTAGCTTTGAGTATGTTCCCCCTCCAAACCCAATTGCCAAACGTCCCGTATCGTCATGACGATACCTGCCCCAACGGCGGGCCCCCAGTCACCCAAGCCCCCCCCCAAAAGCCCCTCGAAGCTCCCCCCCCAACCCAAAAAAAACCACCCGCGAAAACCAGCGGAACAGCCCACCTCAACAGTGGAGTGCCCGCCCTCCCTTGTACGCTGTAATCTCCAGCACAACTTTTTTTTTTGTTACGTCCTGGTCCCTCCCCCTCCAATCCCCAATCCCCGACGTCCAAAACCTCTCCTCCTTCTTGCTCCTCCCTCATAACTCCCTCTTTTCCATCCTCTCACCACCCCCTCCCCCCCTCCATTAACATCACCACATCCTCACACACATCATGTCCGCCAAGTCCATTCTCGAGGCCGATGGCAAGGCCATCCTGAACTACCACCTCACCCGCGCTCCGGTCATCAAGCCCACCCCTCTGCCTGCCTCCGCCACACACAACCCGCCTCCTCGTCTTGCATCCCTCCACTTCCCCGATGACAAGGCCGTCAAGGACGTCCTGGACCAGGCTGAGGTCACCTACCCGTGGCTCCTCACTGCCGGTGCCAAGTTCGTCGCCAAACCCGATCAATTGATCAAGCGTCGGGGCAAGTCCGGCCTCCTCGCCCTGAACAAGACCTGGGCTGAGGCCCGCGCGTGGATTGAGGCCCGCGCCACCAAGGATGTCCAGGTTGAGACCGTCACCGGTGTCCTGCGCCAGTTCCTGGTCGAGCCCTTCGTCCCCCACAGCCAGGAGTGCGAGTACTACATCAACATCAACTCCGTCCGTGAGGTAAGACAAGACCACCCCTCCCACACCCCCCGCAATGCTCGGGACCTTCTCCAAGACGTCCAATGGCATATCCTCCCACCCAACTTGGAACCCCTTGCTAATTTCTCGCTTTCTCCTATCTAGGGTGACTGGATCCTCTTCACCCACGAGGGTGGTGTCGACGTCGGTGATGTCGATGCGAAGGCTGAGAAGCTCCTCATCCCCGTCCAGCTCAAGAACTTCCCCTCCAATGATGAGATTGCCGCCGCTCTGCTGAGCAAGGTGCCCAAGGGCATTCACAACGTCCTCGTGGACTTCATCTCCCGCCTCTATGCCGTCTACGTCGACTGCCAGTTCACCTACCTGGAGATCAACCCGCTGGTGGTCATCCCCAACGCCGATGCCACCTCCGCCGACGTCCACTTCCTCGATCTGGCTGCCAAGCTCGACCAGACCGCCGAGTTCGAGTGCGGCACCAAGTGGGCGGTTGCCCGCAGCCCCGCTGCCCTGGGTCTGCCCACCCTCGCCACCCCGGCCGATGGCAAGGTCAACATCGACGCTGGTCCGCCGATGGAGTTCCCCGCCCCCTTCGGCCGTGAGCTGAGCAAGGAGGAGAAGTTCATCTCCGACATGGACGCCAAGACCGGTGCCTCCCTCAAGCTGACTGTCCTGAACGCCAACGGCCGTGTCTGGACCCTCGTCGCTGGTGGTGGTGCTTCCGTTGTCTACGCCGATGCCATTGCCTCCGCCGGCTTCGTCTCCGAGCTGGCCAACTACGGCGAGTACTCCGGTGCTCCCAGCGAGTCTCAAACCTACCAGTACGCTAAGACCGTGCTGGATCTGATGCTGCGCGCCCCCATGCACCCCGAGGGCAAGGTCCTCTTCATTGGTGGTGGTATTGCCAACTTCACCAACGTCGCCTCCACCTTCAAGGGTGTCATCCGCGCCATCCGCGAGGTTGCCCCCGTCCTCAACGAGCACAAGGTCCAGATCTGGGTCCGCCGTGCTGGCCCCAACTACCAGGAGGGTCTGAAGAACATCAAGGCCGTCGGCATCGAGCTCGGCCTGGACATGCACGTCTACGGCCCCGAGATGCACGTCTCTGGCATCGTGCCCCTTGCTCTGCAGGGCAAGAAGACCGATGTTAAGGAATTCGGCGCATAAATGACCTACTGAATTTGTTTTCCAATGTTCTCTTATTTTTTTTATTTTTTATTTTCTGCAGCGTCAACTCCGTTGCATGGGTTTGTGGTATAATGCATGGCATGATATGAAATTTGCGGGGCTCGCCTTGGGGGATTTAGGTATCGAAGCCGTTGGGGCCTGAGAGCCTTTGCTTCGGTTTTCTGACTTTCTTCCCTTGGACTGGTCCTGTTTTGCTGGTCGTGGGTATGGCGTTTCAGTTCCCGCCCGGACGAAAAGACCGGATGCTTGGTGCCCGACGTACATGATTAGATTTCCTTTTTATGTTTTTTTCACCTTCCCGGGGGATTTAGATCGTGATGATCCCATCGGATAATATCTCAAAGTGATGATACGAGTGTTCTGTTTTCCTGTGCGTGTAGAGATGCCAGCCCTGTCTGCGTCAGTCTAATGGTCCTCTTGTCTCGGTCCCTTCTATGGACTTGGTATTTCCCTCGGTCTGTTCATATGATTTTTCGTAAGGAGTAATTAGGAGAGAGAAAGAAAAAGAAGAGAGCTATAAAAGGCTCAAGGGCTGCGATTCATGGTTAGAGAGGAGGAAGTGTATCGTGCCTGTGCCCCAGATGGGAGTCACTGACCCCAGTATATGACCACGTGACCAAAAATACAGAATATAATACGGACTCCACACAAGCTCCAAGAGGGACCCCTCTATACCCCAGATTAACAGGGGGGAAAGCTTCGGCCCGTCGATCTGGATCGTCAGGAACGGGCCTCCTGGCGTTCATAAGGTAGGGACCGTGCTGGAGCTGGGCTATTTGGGCGGGCGGCAGTGTTGCCGAGGGTGGCAGGGGGACGCGCTTCCGCTGCCCCGAGATAGCGGCCCGCGGGCGAGCGGGAGTCAGGCGTGGTCCATACCGTTTGCGGATGGGTGGACCATGAAAGGACCTATCGCAGTTGAGGATGATGAATGGCAATAGGATAGTAAAGAGACAGCGAAGAGACAATATATAGGAATTGGGACGAATGGGATTATTGGGTATTGGATTTCTGAACTAATGGGAAGGAGTATATAGGGACGGTTGGAGCCAGTTACGGATGTGAATCTGGAGTACTGTGATGTAGATATCCATCGGTTATCAGATAAACATTGATGGGGGTACGCTGATGAGTACATTAGAGATATGCCCGAACTATGTTCGCGGACAATTCTCCTCGAACTGTATGTTTGAGAGGGGAAAAAGGGTTTTGTGACAGTCTTCTGTTGGAAAGATGATAAGTCTTGAGACACGGTGTATGAAGGACTGCAATAGAGATTTTCCGAGGACCATAGCACAGCATGAATGAAGGTTGTTGTCCCATAGGCCGATCCAGAAAACACATTCTTGAATTTTATTGATAAGCAGTAGTTTCAAATAGCGCTTTCCTGCCCAAGGTAATCTATGAATCTGAACAAAGTCACACAGCGATGAAACTTAAGCACACCAGATAGAGAAACTGGATTGACACAGCCTATGGAGAACGTTACGGTAACCATATTATCTACCAAATCTTGCCAGGATTTCATCTTCTGAGGGTAGCTGAGATAGCGCAGTGGACGACCGGGGCGGATGAGGAAGCCGAGTGCGGTGCTGCGGGTTCGTAGGGGTTTTGGCTGGACGGTTCGCAATCAGCATAACGGTCTACCTTTGCTGGGAAATAGATAGCCCTTTACCACTTCGAATGTTCAGGACAGGTCGCCCTGCTGGCGGCGGCATTATTCCAAAATCTAGTGTTTGCCTCCTCGACTTTCTCGAACTGCCAGTGGCGCTCCGTTGGTATCTATGAAGTTGCTCAACACCCTCGGGGCTGACAGGAAAGGAGACAGCTTGTGGACCACATGCCAAGGGAGCTGCTGGCATTGATAAGGAAACCGATGGTGGTATCGACCTTGCCGGCCTGCTTTGAGGTACGAGGGTATTCAATGTCTGCGATACGTTCTCGGAGGCGGCAGACTGCATTCGCGATTTCATAGCCCTCGCCTTGAGCAAATTGTAGAGATTGGTCATTTGTGTGAGCTTCTTCGACTTGTCGCGATAAAGGTCGATCAGTTCCTGGTTCTTTTTTGAACCTGTTCTTGCGCGATTTGCATGTCTGTTTCAGCCCTCAAACGTCAGTAGGAAGGCCACTTATCGTCCCAACCGATTTGGAACGAACCAGAAACTTTGTTGTGTAGAGTTGAGATCTCAGAATTCGCATTATGAATGACCTTGTCCATCTGTGTGCTCAAGCCGGTGTACTTTTCCGCGAGGCTCTTCCCAAGGAATTCCTGATAGAATCTTCATGATCCAATTAGCGAAAGGATTACACTGCCGATTATGACAAAGGCACCCACATTTCCTGTGTGCTTTGGTATGCCCAAAAGCCCAAAGCACGGCCGGCACACTCCATGATGGTATTTGGGTCAAGACCACTCAGCACACTTGTCTTGTAATCTTCTGTTGGATTCAGAACAGTCGAAACAGCATCGTCGGGGTTCAAGAGAGCTGCTTGACAAGCAGGGCATCGTCGATCATTCGCTGTAGGGTGTGAAAGCCCGAGACCGTCCGCACATCCGAGACAGAAGATATGCCTGGCGCTATCAGTGCCGTCCTATTCCTAGTTGAAGCAGATGCAGCTTACGAGCATGTTGTCACCACTGCTCTTTCTTTCAGCTGGGCCCGGCACTTGAGCGAGTTACATCGTAGATGGAAATCCATGGAGTCGATGTAGAGGGAGCAAATGATGAAGAGGTTGAAAATGCTGGAGGTCACCTGAGGCCGAGACTTCTTCACCTCACCTCTCGAAAGCAAAAAGCATCAAAATTATGGAATCTTGGTCTAGTTTTCTCACAACGCCTGGATATCAAACAGAAAAATTGCACAAGAAAACCCGCTAAAAAAAGAATGCATTACCCTGTGCATCACGCCGCGTCGATGTCATCTTTTCTTCGAACTCCTTCCCGGGCTCGTACTCATTCCAGAGACTGGCAGGGTAGATGTGCTTGTTCTTTTCATACCAACGGCGATCTACGACCTTGGTCTCCGTGGCATCATTGTCCGCCCCTTCTAACTTCTCATCGTTGGGTCGGTATAGAGGCTCATCGCTTGGATTTTCTGGTGCCGGCTTATTGGAATATTCAAAGAGCAGACCCCCGTTGCGAGAGTAGTTGGGTACTCGGTTGGCAATAAAATAATAGAATTCGTAGTGCTGGTTGCGAATTAGTATCAAATACACCGGATCCAACAGAATCGCATTTGGTAAACTCACATGTGGGACAATGATATCACCTTTGACCAGCATAAGGTCATCGACACTGACTCGAGCCCATTCCCGACGATTATCTTTCCGCGCCTTCGCAGCCCCATTGGCACCACGCACTCCAAGTTCGGCACCGACCTTGCGGCAACGGTCGAGGAACAGCCAGACCGGGTCACCCTTCTTAACCTTGACTGACCCAGCAGGTATGTTCGTCCCGTCAAAAAACACGAATGGGATAGAAATCTCCGTATTCTTAACAGCTTCCTGCATCGCCAGGAATTCCTTGCGCAGTGTTTCGCGAGCCTGTGCCTCAGCTTCCACTGCGGCCTTAGTCATCGCTTTGGGAGGTGGTCGTGCATGCGGATTCGCCTTCATGCGCACAGCTGCTGATGTCGCGCTCTCTTCAATCGGTGTCTTTGACCCGGATCGGGATATGCTTGAATCGCGTGGAGTCGCAGCGGACTCTTCCCCGGTATCATCATTATCGTCGCCAAAAGAAAGCTTGCTTTTAGCTAGTTGTTTCTTCTTCTTCTTTTTAGGAGGGGCGTCACTTTTGGGTGTTGATGACCTATTGTTCTTCGATCAGCTCGGTCTCGTTGGAAGCACAAAATCCGGCCCTTCGAGAACTTACCCGTCAGTCACTTCGCCGGCAGAAGGAGTTGCACTTCTTGAATTACCAGATGCCAGTCTGCCTAGAGACTTGTCATGCGCCTCGCGCTCCTTATGCTCCAAGACTTCGGCGCGCCGTTTGCGAAAATCGGACAGATGCACAAGACCGACAGTTTGCGACTTGAGCATTTCCTCGGCCGACACACTTTGGCCCGTAAAGGACCGGGGTGTGGAGGTTTGACTTTCTCGCTCAGAAGAGGCCATTTTTGCCTATCGAATAATGACCACTGCTGAGCATAAATTCAGGTTCAGATTGGTAGGAAGGATTTTGTCGGAGCTCCGCATCGCTGACGTCTTTGCGCAATTGTCACGTGATTGTGCTTTGCAGATTGAGATGCTTCAGGGGGGACAACAATACATGTTCACCAAGAAGCAATAAAAATATTGAGAAGAACCAAATGCCATTTTTTGGTGCTAGGATGTTAGCATAGTTTTGATTCAAAGTTATATTCCCTGTGTCAAGTGAGGATGCATGTCATATCGTCTTTGTCGAGCCATATGTACTCCGGGTCTCAAGCTAAGATATATCGCGTGGTTGCCTCTGATGTTTTCGTCCAAGGTGACTCTTTGGTGGAAACATTCAGAATAAGAGATCAGCCTACATCAAATGCTCACCATGTTACCTAATTTATTCTTTAAATTCAAAACTTCAACCTAGGTATGCCTTGATGTGAGACTTGGCGGGCCCATGCAAGCGGAGTGCAAACACTCCAAACCCGGCTCCATTCAATCAACTCGCGGAGCATCTCGATCTCAATATTTCGCGTTTCTGAAACAAAAGTCCAGAAGCTGAAAGCAAATAATCATGGAGGACGAAGAAGACGATTTTTATGATCCCACCGACTCGGTCCCAACTGACCAGGTTCAGCAAAATGCCTATCTTGCAGCCCCGGGCCAAGCACACGATGGCAACGAGGAGGAAGAAGAAGAAGAAGAAGAGGAAATAGAGGTCGAGGACGACGACGTGAGATCGTGATCCATTGACAGATTTGATTATGTACTGACTTCCTCCAGGACGATTTCAATATTATAACAGAGACACCTGCAGATGCGCCTCCTCCAGAAGTGTAAGTGGACCTTCATCTATTCTTCCAACACGTTGTTAGAGCAGTTTGGGCTGATCTTCAAAGCTCGCACCCACGCCATGTGACCTTGCGACAAGAGCCTCAGAGACCATCCTCAGCGGACTCTTCGGTCGTTTCGAAATCTGCGACTCCGATCACTACTCCTCACCTGGATGTTCCTACTCCCGTCTCCGCGAGCGCCGCTCCCCCTGCCGCCCGCCCTACCGTCCCACAAAAACCAGGCTCTTCATACCCAGCTATTCACACATCAACCATTGATATCAATGGCAATCCTGTACACCCTACGAGTGGGAAACCGATCATGTCATCTGACATGGACAACGATTTCCCAACAGACGATAAGCCCTGGCGACGCCCCGGTTCCGATATCTCGGACTATTTTAACTATGGTTTCGATGAGTTTACATGGGCCAGCTACTGCCTGAAGCAGCAAGAAGTGCGCAAGGATGTTGGTGACCAAAAGAAACAAATGGATGAAATGCAATCCTTCCTCGGCATGGGTATGCCTGGGATGCCGAGTGCTCCAGCAGGCCCCGGAGCACCTGGCAATGCCCCCCAAGCGATGCCCGGGATGCCCGGGATGCCCGATATGTCTCCAGATATGATGCAGGGTATGCTTGCGGCTATGATGGCACAGGGACTTGACCCATCCTCCATGGACCCGATGTCTTTTATGCAGCATGCGCAATCGATGATGGGAGGACAGCCGGGCGCTGCACCCCAAGGTCAACCCGCCTTTGCTCCCCAGGGGCAAGCCCAAGGGTTTGGACAAGGAGGACAGGGCCAGATGGGATATGGAGGCTACGAACAACGCGGGAATTATGGCGGAGGCCGAGGACGTGGAAGGAGATGGTAATTCTTTACTCCCGTGATCGCTTTGAATTTTGCGTCCGGATGAAATATTTGGATATCGCGGCGTTTTTTTGTACCCGGAAATGAGAATTTATGTTGAGGCAATCTGCTTCTAGAGCATTCCTTGTAGCTGAGGGTAGCTCCGGTCCGGGGGAACGGAGCTATGCAGTCCGAATATGACCTCGAATAGGAGGTGTGAAACAATTTTGGCCTATGGGAGGCAATGCAGTAGAGTGAAGCAGGTTCAAGCCTTTTACGACGAGTATCAATTGGAATCAAGCCTAATAATATTCCCGTAGAAATTGGGGAGACCAATCGCGAGTACCCGAGAGTCGGCGCGGTTGGCCCTCGGGAGTCAAGCTTGCGGGTCTTGGCATTCTGGAAATTTCTCGCCGCAAAGTCCAGATCTTCCCCCGGACACTTCCCTCTTCCCTTCTCCATCCCACTCACATCCCCAACTTCTTGGCTTCAAGACTCCAAACTCCATCACAATGGTAAGTTGGCATGATGGTCTTTTATTCCTGCCTTCATGTAGCTCTTTTTCGGCTGCAAATCCGCATCAGTCTCCCTTTCTAGCTCTGCTATCGACTTTTTTCCCTTACCCCAATTTAGCCCATCTTTCAACCTTTTCATTCTCGGTGCATGATACTGATGTTCTCTGCGATAGTCTGTCCTTCGCAATATCAAGAGCCTTGCTCCCCTTCTGGACCGCGTCCTGGTCCAGCGCATTAAGCCCGAGACCAAGACCGCCTCCGGCATCTTCCTCCCTGAGAGCAGCGTCAAGGAGCAGAACGAGGCTAAGGTCCTCGCTGTCGGCCCCGGTGCCATTGACCGCGATGGAAAGCGTATCCCCATGGGTGTCTCCGCTGGTGACAAGGTTCTGATTCCTCAGGTATGTCATCCCCGATTAACCTTCCGAGCTCTTCCACCGCGTCGCATGGATCACCCTGCATACGACGTTGACCGTAAAATACACACCACCATGTTGTATCATATTCTGCCAGTCAAAAAACCGTCAATATAAGTGCCGTACGATTTAAGTATGATGCTAATTGAAATTTCGAAACAGTTCGGTGGCAGCCCCATCAAGGTCGGCGAGGAGGAGTACACCCTGTACCGGGACTCTGAGTATGTTCACCATTCAGTCAAATTCGACAACTCCCGATCTCCACAAGCTCTGCTAACCACTATACGCAGGATTCTGGCTAAGATTAACGAGTAAATGGGTTGACAACACATATTGTCATCTCATGTCGTCTTTCTGCTGTCGTTGTTTTGTGCCTTCTGTCGTTCGGGCCGGCTGTAAAATTGCTAGCTTGACAATGGGAGGCATAAGCTGTGTACTATACCAAAGCGAAGTCGCGAGCTCGAACACTTTCGACGATCTCAGGAACGAAAACTAAAATTTTTAAATAATGTCCGGGTTATCAGTATGTAGGACTGTCCGAGAACTTGTCTCAGACCACATTCTGGTTATTCGGCTCCTTTTGCATACTGAGTTTTTGAAGCGCTGGATTGGCCTTGGGTCTTGCATGTCTTTGTTCATTGTATTTTTAAAACCAAATCGCAATTCGTGCCCCTGAGTGACATGCTGGGGTGGCGGTTGAGTATCTCAATATGATCATCTCCTCTCACAGATCCAAACACATTTTATCTTTGAAATTATCCTTCAAAGAAACAAGATTTCCAAGAAAATGACAGAAAAGGCATCTTAAAAAGGTAGGTACATAGATTCTCCGTAACAGCTCATGCATATCTGGATATTTGCATCGAGTGATTTTAATATAGACGGTAGAACATTTAGTTTCCACGTGAGGAAACCGGCAAGTCATAGAGGCAGCTCATCTCTTGAACGCTGTTTAAGACTGGAAATTCATAGAGTAGCCGCCGGTTTTGGGGTCTTGAACAAACTTAAAGTTGTCTGTTGACAGACCAAATGGTTTCAATATACCATTGCCCAACTAGGAAGATTAGTCTTAAGGTCTCCGGCAGCTAGCGGGACTCAGGATTTATTCGACTTACGTCCTTCATCTTTGACATCATTTCGCCCACCTCCTTTTCTCGCGCCTCTTTGATCCTATCGGGCAGCTCTCGGAGCGCCCGCTGTACTATTCGTTTTTCGTCCGGCGGAAGATTTTCCATAGATGAGAGAGATTGGTAGTCCTCCATGGCACCCTGCAGGTTTGCCCAGCCGTTCATTTGAGACTTGGCTTTCGCACGTCGCATGAGAGATTTGGCCCGAATCCGCATGACATTGGTGCGCTGCTCATCCGATTCCTTTAAACGCTTGAGCTCTGTCTCCTCCGATTGTGCGTCATCGCCTGATATTTCGACCACGGCATCGTTGCCTGAAGTATTCAGTTTCTTCGAATCCTTTGGATTCTCGGGTTGGGAAGGGATTATCTTGTCGAGACGATCGAGGGATGCAGTTGCCGAGTCAACGGCTGCTTTCCAATCTTCCAATTTCAAATAGCATGCGGCAATGTTACTTCGCAAAACTGCGACATCGTAGTCAAGATAATTCGGGCAGCACGAGAGGGCTCTGTCGTAGGAAGAGATGGCCTGGTCATAACACGCCGAGCTGAACAGTTTATTCGCTTCTGCTTTGATGTTGTGAGTTTCCTTCACCAACTCCTATTTAAAACACCAGTAAGCACTGTCTCAGCATCCTTGGGGAGCTTTAATATTATTCTGGGCGATTGACTCCAACTTACAGCCTCTTCCTCCGCAGGGAACCGGGCATCATGAAACACTTCCTCGTCACTCTCAGCCCCAGTGTCAGTTGGAGCGGCCGAATTTCCATGTCTTGGGACAGGTTTCTGATCGCTCACATCCGCCATCTTGCGAATAGTCCGACTGAGAAAATAGAAGGACAGTCGGTGTTGGCCAAACCGGATCACGGGATTCACGATAAGCACCCCGCGCCAAATGTGCTTATCGCACCCCAAAGCCTTGTCTTCCCGCTCTGTTTAAACCGTGAAAAGACAAGAATTCAAGATGGTGAATGAAAAGGAGTAAGTCAATGTCCTTGACTGCATTTTCCTACATGCAATTGACAATGTGGAAGACGTCCCCGTATTCGGGCATGTCTGTTTGACATGGATGGCTTGCTCATCGACTCTGAAGACAAGTACACCCAGATCACAAATGAGGTGCTTCAAATGTATGGCAAGCCCACTCTTCCCTGGTCCATTAAGGCACAGCTCCAAGGCCGCCCGCAGCCTGAGGTATGATATCAGCTGTCTATCTGGGTATCTGGAGTTAGATACTTACGATCTATACAGGCTAGCAAAATCTTCCATGACTGGGCTCAGCTGCCTATCACACCTGAAGAAACCGCGGTTAAACAGGCTTCCCTCCAGGCCAAGTACTTCCCGCAGTGCCAGGCACTTCCCGGGGTCCCTAATCTCTTGGCATCTCTTGTGTCGACACAGTCTACCGACCAGCCAGTTCATATCGCATTGGCAACCTCCTCGCACAGTAAGAATTTCAAGCTGAAGACCCAACACATGCGGGATCTGTTTGCCGCATTTCCTGAGGTTCACCGGGTTCTCGGTGATGATCCCCGTATTGGCAAGGGTCGTGGCAAACCGCTGCCGGATATTTACTTGCTGGCTCTGGAAACCATTAACGCGGACTTGCGCAGCAAGGGCCAAACAGAGGTCAAGCCGGAAGAGTGCCTTGTATTTGAGGATGCAGTTCCTGGCGTCGAGGCCGGGCGTCGTGCAGGCATGCAAGTTGTCTGGTGCCCTCATCCTGGTCTCCTAGAGACCTATAAGGGCCGCGAGGATGAAGTTCTCGCTGGTCGGACGGGCGAGCACAAGGAAGAGGAGAAGTCTGCTCCTGAAAAGGAGGCCGAAGAGCTACAAGCTTGGCGTATCAATGGGGCCGGAAAGCCTGGCGACATTGGAGATGGATTCGGTCAGATTCTCAAGACACTAGAAAACTTCCCTTATGAGCGTTACGGAATTCGTCTACCCTGAGATCAAGTTACAGGGCGAATTATAAACAATAGATGTTTGTTTCATCACGGATTCAAAACACATTCCAGAATAAGTTCATCTTCGGAGAAAGATAGCATTTATTTTGCCAGAGATTAAGACCTTGATTAGATCAAGCGTAAAAAAAAAACAAAGACAAAAACCAAAAAATCAAGTATTGTTTTTATTAGTCTCATGCGGTTCTACTTAACTCCGTTCTGCGGTCTCTCTTGGACTTGTTCCACTCCCTTCAGATCCTTCTAGGAACGGCATTGACCATACTTTTAGGCTATTGTCAGCCTGATTGATAGCGTTGCGATCATTATTGTGGTCGTCTAATGAATCATCAGTAACAAAATGTCGTTGGCCTGAACACGTCGCGACAACACTCCCCATGGGATGAAAAACAGTGCTCGCAACAGCATCTATAATATGTTAACACTGCTATATATCTATTAGTGGTGTAGGTCATGGAGAACATACCCTCGTGAACTTTGAACTCCCAACTCGGATCCTGACCTCCAGCAGCATAAATAGGGTCCTTCCATACCCTCATGATACCATCCGTACCTCCCGCCCAGACCTCATGAGAGCCATCTGTGCCCGAGGGCACCACATCGATCTGCATGCGTTGGTTTGTCATAGCCTTTCGCCCTCGCAAGTAGCCGAGCATCTGCCCAGTAACCCGAACATCGTAAACCAGGACACCGTCGCTTTTACGCTCTGCGATATAAAGGTAGCGACCACATGGACTCCACGTGAGTTGGGTGACCCCCCGGCCGCCGATGTCACGGTTGGCATCGGTCTTAGCCACGCTAAAGGTGCCGAGCAGTTCTCCTGATCCATTGCTGCTATACAACGCAACGTGTCTGGTGAATGTGCCAGCGGCTAGAACGCCATCTCCTGTTGGATTGACAGCCAGCGCCGAAACAATGCCTTTCATGCCGACCCCGCCACCCACAATCTGCTTGCGCTTGCTGGGGATAGTGGGCATCCAGGAGACGGGTCCATCTGTTCCTGGGCGTGAGACATCAAATAAACAAATCAGGCTATCAGAGCCCGTAAGGAAGTGAGTTCCGCCCAGGGTAGACGGATATATCATGGAATGAGGGGTCATGAATGCCTCGGTGGTGGGGTTGACCAAAGAGTAACTGGCTACAGAGACTGGGGTAAGAGTCGAAGATAATCGGATAGGATGGTCCCGAACTGATGAGAGGAAAAGAGTAGTGGACGGATCTTGTAGATTGTAGAACGGGTAGATAGCTGTGGCATACGTCGGTTCTGCTGATGGAAGCGTTGAGTATGGCGAAAGTTGATGCGGAGGCTTGTCCAACAGATCCGGGGGCCTTTATCATGAGTGAGAATCCAATCCAGGTAATTGAAGGAATTACTTACAGAATGAAGGATCTTATATATTGGTCTGATGAGTTCGCCAATAGTGTGGTACCGTCTGGGGTCCATTCAACGCTCCTGAAGTAAGGCTGCTTGGGTATCTCGGACAATTGATCATCTTGTGCGGTAGTAGATGCCACGCAAATTGGCTTCCAGTCATTGGTATCGACGTGAGGCATATTTGATAATGCAGAGCCAGTGAACGGCTTGCCAAGTCTATACTCGGCGGATTCAATCAAGTAGCTTGAACATCACAAGGAATAGTGGGAATCGATGAGGACCGTTAAGGTAGGCACAGCCCGCAGAGGTATCTTGTAGTGGATAATTATCCCTGAGACATCAGGAAAAGATAACTAAAAGTATCGTCTTGTTCTTTTCCCGAGTCGTTCGAGGTTTTTTGTAGCTTTTTATCGTGGTGGAAGGACGACGGCACTAGGGAGATCTAGGATACTAGCTCCGAAGCATCGCACAGCAACGGCAAAATTAACCTATGAACGAGATCCTGCTCGTACGTAAGACGGAACTTCAGCCATCAATAAGGCTATTTTGTCGGGTTCATTTCGCATACTCTGTAGTCCTGGAACGCGGGAGAAGCGCGCGGCCGGCGTCGGAAAAACCACGGCCGGCACTCTCAAATCTTATCGGCGGCGATCTTTGTTGTTGCCAGACGGCGCATTACAGTCCTGCATTCCAATTGCCAGGGACCATGTTTGCTCCCAAAACCTCCGCGCCGACTACGGGCGGTCTGTCAATCAACACCACCCCATCGAATCCATTGTTGTGAGTCCTCGTCCCCTCCCCTCAGCAACCTGGTTCCGGGCCTGGCCTCGTCCCCTCCATGACAAGTTTGGAAGCTCTCACAAACTCTCGTTCGACCGGGTCCATCAATTTCTTCTTATTGGGACTTAAGATATTTGTGCTAGCCAATGGAGGCTTGATAGGCTGCTTGCGATAGAGCAGATGGCTGAAGCAAGTACCGGAGGTGCATGCTTAGCCACGTTTGACCTGTCATCCAGTCAGTGTGGCTGGACGATTCGGGATTTTCAGGGACAGCGGGATGCTGAGATATGCCCAATACTCTCTGGATTGGCGAAGCTAACATACCATTTTTTCCACCCTCAGCGGAGGCTCTAGCACCCAAACAACTTCTACGGCTGCTCCGGGAGCAACGGGCACCACCACAGGCGGTCTATTCGGTAACACGAGCTCGACATCGCAGGCTAAACCGACAGGAGGTCTTTTTGGAGGCTTGGGTGGTGGTTCTACACAACAACCACAAGCTACTGGATCTAACATGCTCGGAACTGCAGCAAATCAGCAACAGAGCGGAGCCACAGGAGGCGGCTTGTTTGGTGGCTCAACAACCACGGCGACTACACAACCCCAGTCAGGCGGTCTTTTTGGTTCTAGCACTACTCAATCTGGGACATCCGGGGCAACGGGAGGTGGTCTTTTCGGAGGAGGACTGGGTGCGACTTCGACTGCACAGTCCCAGGCAAAGCCCAGTGCTTTTGGTGGCCTCGGTACCTCAACTACTGGAGGTCTGTTGTAAGTGAAGAAGCGCATTTACCCTGAGCCCTATATCTGAGTATCTGGGACTAATGACTTCGATGATAATAGTGGCGGCGGCGCCCAGACCACTCAACAACCTCAACAGCAACAACCCCCAAAGCCCACACTTTCGTTGTTCGGCAACCAAAGTACAACTCAGACCCAGCCATCATTACAGCAGAACACGACGACAGGGACCGTCGTTCAAGGCGTGAAGGTTGATGTCAGCAATCTCCTCCCCACGACGAAGTTTGAAAGCTGCGCCGATGAGATTCGCAACCATATTGAGATCATCGATAACTACATCCTGAATCAGATGAAAGTGTGCCACGAAGTTGCGGACATGCTTCCGACCATTGAGAAGCAGGGCTCCACGATCCCCAATGATGTGGAGTTTGTGCAGGGAAAGTTGGAAACCATGCAGCATGCGCTAGAGAACGATGCCGGTGATATCGATCAACTTCGCAGCCTGGTGATGCGGGATGCAGCGGAAGCCCAGGTTGCGTTCCGTGCCATTGATACCCTGAAGCTGCCTCTGCAATATCAATCTGCGGGAGGCGGTGGCTGGTGGTCCACCCAAAACCAGAAGGTTCCAGACCGACACTCGATGCGCTCGGCTCGCAAGAATACCCTGGCCCTGCCCGATGACGTGGAGGGTGATCCGTCCACCGCTACTAGTGTCAATGGTGTCCCGGTCAATTTGGTGGACTACTTCTCGCAAAGGTCGGATGAGATGGGCACCGTCCTGGATCGCTACAAGGGCAACCTCAAGGAGATCGAGGACCACCTACACAGCGTGGAACTCACGCTGAACCGCCAGATTAGTGAGTTCGTCAGCTCCAAGTCCCGCGATGGTGCCGGTGCGGGAACTCCTAAGTCGGCCGTGAATGATCTGGCTGCTGTACTTGGGGATGTCGAGGCCGGTATCATGGGAGTTGCTTCTCGATTGGGCAGCGTTTCGGAGCAGGTTCAGGAGGTATCTCTTGGACCTCTGTCTGGTGGAGATGGTCGACTCGGGATCAATTAAGAGAGCTCGAGGATCGGATGATTTCATTGAACCTGTACACTAATGCAATAGGCGGGCCTTGGAGTATGCGCAGGACCAGCCGAACCACGATACCTCTTTTTCTTACCTTTCTCTTGTCAGAACGTATACAATCTAACTGGGTGCATAAACCCGAAGACTATTGAGAATCCTGCATCCTCAAGCCATCTTCGCTACTGCGTCTGATGTCTTATTTACTAGTTCAGTCAATACGGAGGAGTATTAGAAGGAGGGCAACATGAGAGTATAAACTTGGCTAACAACGCTGTAAATGACGTATTTTGATTCCCTCATTCAAGGTGATTGATATGAAACACTTGCAAAACCCCAGAATGCTAGACCACGCCACCCCAACGTCTCCGGCAGACAGAGACGAGGAACTAGAACCTCGACTCAACCGGATCTCCGGGGCGATCCATGCGACTGGAGGTCCCAGAGCCAATGTGACGGCGCCAACGGACCAGAGCTCCCAAAAGTCCGCCACTCTTGCGTGATCGCCGATTAGCGCGCTAACTTGCCGCTGCTAAAAACAACCTCCACTCGTATCCCCGATCATCAAACACTATCTCCCCACCGGGAACATGCTCGACCATGCTTCCCCCGAGGCCGCGTCTGCAGATGCCCCCCTGAGCCCCGGAGAGTACAAGTTTGAAACAGCGGTGAATCTTGAAATCATGATCCTCATTTTCCCAGGGGCTTCAAGAACCCCCAGCGATTCGGCAGAGATGGCAAAACTTGCCTTCAACGTCAGCACAATGGCGTGATCAACCCCCCTAGCCGCTGTCTGGGGAACCACCGGGAACGAACGGGAACGAACCGGACTCTTGTTGCGGATCCATTCTTGCTTTCGTCACTGGCGAACCATGAAGTCTCAATACCCTGTCTCTCCGCTCTCGACTTCCTATTTTGTGGTTCTCCTGGTCGCCGCTGAAATGATGGGCTGGCCCGATGGCGCGATTGCTTCAAGTCTGGGAATCACGCAAGATCTTCAACAGCACAGGAGCTATCTGGGGTTGAGTCATGGCCTATTGGGTTCCGCGGGAGCTTGATTTCCCCCGTTCCCAGTTTGACCAAGGCGTGCCCCATTCTTATAAAAAGGCCAGCGCCTCATCTAAACTTTGTTCGACACTTTGATCTTGAAACCACGGATTCCACGCTGCAGTCTCGCTCCACACTTATTCTCTAGTTGAAGCCAAACTGCTCGACATGGCACCGTCACTAGAAGTACCCATCGCACCCTCGCCTGTGGGAAACATCATCATCCCCACAAAGGAGGTTGCCGGCAACAACAAGTTTGGCTATGTCCCTGGCCGGACAACCGTGGAACAACACACCAACTATGCCCACGAAGACCTATTGCCTACATTCCCTGACATCCACTGGGAGCCGTTGGAATATACCCCCTACCAGGATCGAGGGCTCCGGGGGGACCCGAAATTCCGCAACTTATTACAAGATGCCACAGCCGTGTTCGACTATAACCCCAAAATTGGAACTGAGATTCATGGTGTGGATCTGTCAAAGCTTACAGGCGCTCAAAAGGACGACTTGGCTCGTCTGATCGCCTACCGAGGGGTAGTGTTTTTCCGGGCTCAGAAGAACTTTGATATTGAAGCCCAACGAGAACTGGGACGACACTTTGGGAAACTGCACAAGGTCAGTCGGGATCACAATAGTGAAGCAATGTATCGCAAATGCTAATACCGCCTAGCATGCTACCACTTCCGTACCTCGAAAGAAGGGGCTCGAGGATGTGCATGTTGTCTACTCCGCGGACAATGCTGGGGATAACCGTGCTTTGTTCAGCCCAAGTTTTCTTTGGCATTCTGATGTACGTTTTCTTGTCTAGGATAATCAATATCATCGTCAACCGCCTGCTAATGTTCTCGGATAGGTGACATATGAAGAGCAACCACCATCTTATACCTCTCTCAAGCTGCTCACTGGCCCTCCCACCGGGGGTGGTGGCGATACCCTCTGGTCTTCGCAATACGCTGCCTATGACATTCTCTCTCCCTTTATGCAAACCTATCTCAAGGGCTTGAGTGCCCTCCATTCAGCCGATATGCAGGCCAATGATTCTCGAGCGATTGGGCGGCCAGTTCGAAGGGATCCTGTTACCAATGAGCACCCGCTCATTCGAACCAACCCAGTCACTGGTTGGAATGCATTATTCTTCAACCCGGGATTTGTGACTAAGATCATTGGCATCCCCAAAGCAGAGAGTGATGCAATCATTCGCTACCTCACGGATGTGGTTGCAACCACTCAGGAGATGCATGCTCGTTTCCAGTGGGGCAAGGATGACGTCGCCCTCTGGGACAATCGGACAACAGTAAGTGCAACTAAGAGTTGAAGCTTAATATCCTTGCCTTACTGACTGGACATAGACTCACAGCGCTTCCTATGGCTTTTCACCACACCGCCGACATGCTGTTCGCGTGGCATGCCAAGCTGAACGGCCTGTCCTGGAGGCGTCGGGTAAATCCCAAGAAGAAGAGCTTTGTGCCTTGTATGGTCTGCCGGCAGTCAACAAGGATGGTTCCCGGCAATCAAACTACAACGATTGAGGCAACTTACGAAGGATATTATGTTGACCATGTCAAAAGCAGGCTTTGTGGATTGATAATACATTAGCATTTCATATTTGGTATACAGAATTAGTGGAATCAAAGGCGTTGGATAATTCCATTATGATAAAATGGTCTGATTGTAATAAGCGCCCTGCTCACCATTCTTGAAAAAGGGGTTCTAAATGATTTTCCAAGTATATTTTTGCCGGAAGCACCTTTCTTGACTATCGAAGCTTCCTTATGACCCGAGCATCTTGGCAAATAGGCATACGTCTACCAAATAGGCGAAGCAAGATCCTCGTGAGTGGACAAAGATACCTTCCATGTCTGCTGTTGTTTCGGTGGTAGGCGGAGCTGTTCATTGTTTACCAGCAGGTATTTTAAGAGTTGGTGTCTCACTGAAAACTGAGTATGCAATTATTTCATGGGCATAATAATCACCGAACTTCGCGCCAGGTAGCTGTTTCAATGCTCCCACATCAGATGCGCAAGCAAATATGCCTCAGTTTCATATCAAAAATCAATAGCTCAAGAACGATCAAGAACGCCAGACAAATCAAAAAGCATTGCCAACGGAGACCCACCCTCCCGCCTCGCGTCATCCGTGAAACAATGTTGAAGTCAAATTCTCATTGCTGAGCACCCTTCTTGGTGGTCCTGCCTGTCGTGGTCGACAGGACCACGCTTCCCCTGCATAAAGACAGGCGATTGTGGCACCTGAAGGGAGTCGAGAGATTTGAGAGCTTACCCATGCTGGGCTGATTTGGCTAGGACTCTCCTGCCTGCGCTGATTTGGGTTGACTTCCGGGCATTGACCTTCTTGTTCGATTCTACCCGTTTCAACGCCCCGACGGGGTCGTCGGCAAGCTTATTGATGTAGGTGCTGTCAAGGGCATGCTTGCAGATTGACTTGGACCGCTGGAGGAATATGAACGTCAAGAAAGTTCAAATATTAATAATTTTGTTGTGTTTCGCTCTGAACTTGCCTTCAAGACGCGGTGCATGTTGTCGAATCGCTCGCGGAATGTCCCCACTGGCTTCCCTTTACCTTCCGCAGTTAACGGACCGCCACCCTTGTGTCGATAGATCATTGCTCCCTGTTTGGCATATGAGAATGTGAGGATCAGAATCATGAGGAAGGGAACAAAAGGAGTGGGTACACTAACTAGAATTTCCCAGCAAACGGCCTCGATGGTAGCTTCAGTGTATTGATCCTTCTTAAACTTTTTTATCACCTTCAGCGAATCCTCGGCCTCATCTGTGCTCTCCATTGCTTGGACCAAGATGGAAACCAGGGTTGCCTCATGGTTTGCGAATTGTGGAATGGTGTTGTCCTGGGGAAGCATCATGACCTGGCGCTGGCTCTCTCGCACTTCTTCCAAAGACCTAAAGATGGTATTCGCTGGCATCTGAAGAGCGATGTCATGGATAAGCCAGTAGTTGATTAAACCTGAGTTTGTCGCAGTAGAAGCCTGGAAATCTAAATCCCCATCTAGGACCGCCGTAGTATCGGATGCCAGGCATATGTTGTCAATGACAGGCTCACAATCTAGAGAAGACGTGTGGACTCCAGGGTTTCGTACGACTCCAGTGACAAGATCATCGATTTCAGCCCTCTCCATATCATCTGGAGTAGTCTGGCCGAATATGGCACTGGAAAGGTTGCTCAAAGCGTCGGATGCGAAGAGAACAGAATCCAAAACACCCGGATCATCCCAGTTCCCAGATGTTGGATTAGCCATCTTAAAAAGGGCGAGACCAATCAAGAGATGATTTAATATCAAACAAAATGAGTTGTAAGATCAAAGTGATTGATATAAGAGATATCAAGATTTGTGGTCAGAGGAAAGGTTGTGAGAGGAGAGGAGGAAAGATGCTAATGGACGAATGCTTAAATGCCTCCATTTCAGGGGTGAAGTAAAGATACATAGAATTTAGCCATTGAGAATATTGGAAAATTACAGAGGATTTAGGAATTCTGGAAGGAGAGAATGAAAATATTGTCTAGAGGGTGTCTCTTGATTGATATTTTCGCACTCAAAGGCTCACTGCTATCTTCTATGGAGTTCTGGGGGTTCGCCTGCCTAATAAAACGCGACATTTTGCCTTTGCCTAAATAGATATTAAATGGGTCAGTAATTCAATTTGCCCTGTGTTCATGTGAATGAGTGGGCGGCTGGCAGGTGAAGGACAAGGAATTGTGGCCTTACAGGGAGCCCACGTGCCTTACTATGTTAGGAGATCGACAAAGTTAAGCTTATTTTTATACCCTGAAATTCTCATTGTCTTCCGATATATTTTTCTCTTTCATTCTCTACTTGACCAACCCTCTGCCTTCAGCTTCTTTTCACCCTTTTTGGCTTCAAGATTGAACTGAATACATACATATATTTTTCTAAATATTTCGGCTTCACTCTGCAGAAACAATACCATCTCGCTGTTTTCTGGCCCAGGCTTGATCTTGATCATCAGTGTGAACATAGTGTCTCCCTAGAATGTGGCACACGAAAATCTAGATGTAGTGGATAGATATAGCAGACAAAGCGAAAAATCCTTGATCTCCAGAAGAAGCCTGACACCAGACAAGATCAGATCATGGGCTTGTCCACAAGACCAATATGCAGTAAATGTCAATTTAGAGGTCAAGGCAGTAAATAGTCTTAAGATGATGAAAAACTAGCCAAATGACGTTGATTGCATTAGATGGTTGTTTGAATCCAACGAACATTTCAAAATAGTCGACAACTTCTAAATGAGCGGAGGAAGACAGGAAAAGGAAGAAAGGGGAACGACGATGATCCCAGGCTTGAGGTGCTTGCTATTATTGTCATGCGCGATTTTGGCAGCCAGTTCCGGCTCATGATACTTTCAGTTGAATATTCCTGAGCTCTCACTCGATATGCGCAGTACGGATATAGATAGAGAGCTAGAGACCCACTAGATCAAACAAATATGTCATTTGGTACTACTCCCGTTCAATTTATTAGCCCCGGCAGTTGTTTATCCGAGAAACGCGGAAATCCCCCATAGCTCAACCCCGCGGCCCCCACCCCCACCAAAGTAGTAGCGCAGGTACAAGAAGACAGCTGCCTATTTAAGGTGTGAAGACCCGCCGATTTTGAAAGAATGGCTAGCTACGGGAACGCCTGCATGGTATGCAAAGCACTCCTGTCGAAGTGAAACCACGTGTTGGAATTACTTTCGAGGCAAACACAACGTTATCAGAACCATGGCGACGACTTTGCAAACAAGTACCCTGGGTCAAATTCGCGGAAAGAGTGGCGACGGTGTCACTCAGTACTTAGGTATCAAATATGCGAACTTAAAAAATAGATTTGCAGATGCAGAGTTGATCGAGTCGAGAGGTTCTGGCACTCTTGATGGGACTAGAGACGGGTGAGTTTACCCTCTCTGTGGTATGCAGAACCGAGATTGACGAGTATAGGCCCACAGCACTGTCGCATCCTATCGGATGTGAGCGTGAATTGGGGCATGTCCAGCACTCTCTACCCGAAAAAGAACTGTATCAGTCAGATCTCGATTGTTTGAATTTGAATATTGCTGTACCTTCAGATACTACCCCGTCTTCGAAGCTCCCAGTTCTTTTTTTCATTCATGGAGGTGGCCTATTCGTCGGAGCAAATTCGTGGCCACAATATGATCTTACACGCTTGGTCAAATTATCGAAGGACAGGAGCCTGCCTACAGTTGTGGTAGCTATTAAGTATGAGAACAACGATTCATTTCCTAGTTTACTTGTGTCTAACTTCCCTCCAGTTATCGTCTAGGGGCCGCGGGGTTTCTGACTTCTGAGGAGCTCCGCAATGCAGGTTACAAGGCAAACAATGGTCTTCGCGATCAGCGGGTAGCTTTGGAATGGGTCCGGAAAAATATTGTTGACTTTGGCGGAGACCCTGACAACATCACAGTTGGGGGAATGAGCGCTGGGGCGGGTAAGGCTTGAAGAAACCGTTTGAACGGTATTTTTCCACGGGTCTCTATCTGACTGGTAATAGCGTCGGTGACTTACCACTTGCAATCCTCCAAACCGCTTTTCAAACGTGCAATTGCTATGAGTGGTACTTCGCTACTTACGAAGGCACTTCCGTACGAATTGCACGAGGAAAACTATAAGAGAGCAGTTGCTGCATTAGATTTAACAGATGCTACAGCCGAAGAGCGAGTAAAGGCTTTACTAGAGATGCCTGGGCAAAAGTTGATTGCTAAGCTCCCTCCATCTGTGTTTCAGGCTCCCGCTCTCGACAATGATATTGTCTATCCTGGGGTCACGTACACCAAGCTTGCCGAAATGGATTCAAATACTCTTCCTGGAAAGAGCTGGTGCCAAGACTTGCTGGTTGGAAATGCCGAAGTTGATGTACGTCTCCCGACACTTCCCAAGCCATTAACTAATCGACGTGTTCCCCAGGCGAGTATCTTCGAATATATGGCACCGAAAATGAAGAACAATTGCGCTAGGCGCTTCGTTTCCGCGATCAATGAAGCTCTTGCGTCATACCCCCAGATAGCAGAACGCATTCTGCAAGCGTATGATATTACCGAAGACAGCCCCGATGAGAACGCAATTATGGCTGTTCTGACATATTTTACGGACATTGTCTTCCATGCGCCGGCGCTTACCTACGCTCAAGGCTGGAGAGGAAATGCATACGTGTACTACTTCAATGAGGGCAACCCCTGGGATGGGCCGTGGAAGAATCGCGCGAATCACATCTTGGATGTAACATACTTCTTCCAGAATTTCCGGGAGTTCTTGACGACAGAACAGCAAGCAGTTTGTACGGTCTTTGCCGAGGACTTCTTCAAATTCTGTCATGGGATTGCTCCGTGGCCAGCCATCACCCCTGGCAAGATCAAGACTGGGTTCTCCGCGCGAATTTATGGACCTAGCCGAAGCGGAATTACTGCTAATGTTTCCTCTCAGGCATTTGGCGGTGAAACTTTGCGTAGAAGTGTTCTTTTCGACTGCGCCTCTGTTGTCCCGCTAGATGAATTAGCGAGAGTGTTTGTTATATTCCAGACCACTTGATCATGATTATTTTGTCGGCCCCAGAATCTGCATTGTTCAGGTCCCTAGGCAAGGTATTTGGACCTTCCATTGCCCCTTTCTTGGCAATTAGGTGTTAATTCTAAAATTGAAGTATTCGAGAATGTGAAGCTTCTTAATAGAAAGCGGATCGATCTCCCATAGCCTCGGGACTGTATTTGATTAGTTATAGTACCGAGATCCCTACCCGTATCATGAATAATCCAACCGAGGGATCTTTAAGACCGAGCAACTAATCAACCGAGATAACTGTTTACAGCGAATCTTAATCTGGTTCCATCGGGATCGGATTTCCCCAGGATCCGGGGGTTCTATAGGCGGGGGCAGCTGCGGAGTGGGGTACCCGCGTCCATCGGCACTCACGGGCGGCAAACCGCTGTCATGACTGCTCATCCATATTACGTTGGACATCACATAAGACGCAGTATCAACTTGGCGTGTGGTGTCGCATTGTGAGCTTGATTTATTAAAACTGATAACAATACGTACCGCCCCTTTCCTTTCTCAACGGCGTTCGTGCTCCTTAGTTTCTCAACCCCTGGAACAAACCCGCCCTTTTCACCTTTTCATCACTATGCCAGCCAAGATTTATCGGTCACCATTTCCCAATCTTGAGATCGAATCCATCGATTTACTTTCTTACCTTTTCTCAAATCCTGAAAATACACCTCTGGACCGCCCCTTGTACATCGATGCACTGTCAGAGAAACACTACACGTTCGGGGATGTCATTCAACGGACCAAGTCCTTGTCCAACGGCCTGAAGCAGGCGTTTGGCTTGAAAGCAGACGAGGTAGTCGCTTTATTCAGCCCTAACTCAATCGAATACCCCATCGCCTGCCATTCGATCATCGGCGCAGGGGGATTCTCGCCCCGACCAGCGCCGCCTTGACGGCGCCGGAGCTGAATGCTCAACTCATAACGAGCAGGGCGCGCTTGATCATTGCCCACTCTTCGTTGCTCGCAATAGCCCAGAAGGCAGTGGAAGGTACCTTCGTTGAGAAGGTTATCCTTCTAGATGGTGCCTCACCTATCAATGGCCAGCCCACTTGCGAGTATCTTGGCAGCACGTTCGCTCCCGTACCCCTCGCAGCTATTCAACCTTCGGAGGCTGCCAAGAAAATTGCATTTATTTGCTTTTCTTCGGGCACATCCGGTCCATCCAAGGGTGTCATCACCACGCATCAAAATCTCACATCGAACTTGCAACAATGGCGCGCTCATATGTTGGACAGCGGCCTGCCCTCGCAGCGGGTTCAGAGACGTACCGCAATCGCTTTCTTGCCATTCAGTCACATCTACGGCCTCAATCTTTTCATGTGCCAATGTTTAGTTTGGGGGACTTCGGTAGTTGTTATGCCGAAGTTTGATCTGGACACCTATCTCGGCTGCGTTCAGAAATACCGACCGGACGAACTTGCATTGGTGCCACCAATTGCACTCATGATCGTGAAGGATGAGCGTACATCCAAATATGATCTGACAAGTGTTAAGCGAATCATGTCTGCGGCAGCACCTCTTACAAATGAGCTTGCCTCTGCTTTGGAGGCGAAGTTTCGAAAGGTGTGGAAAACTGAGGTCTTCTGTACCCAGTCCTGGGGTCTTACAGAGACCTCGCCGATGGCTACTGCGATTCCGAATGATCGCATGGATAAGAGGGATTCAGGAGTCGGTTGTATCACCTACAACATGGAATTTCGCTTCGTTGACCCCGATACAATGGAAGATGCTGCTATAAATCCAGACGGGTCCACAAAACCCGCTGAGATCTGGTGTCGTGGTCCCAATGTGACTCAAGGCTATTATAATAACGAGGAGGCAACCAACAGCGCTTTCTACGTTGATACTGATGGGACTAGGTGGTTCCGAACCGGTGACATCGCAACTATGGACAAGGAGGGCTATATTGCCATCCAAGATCGTATTAAGGAGATGATAAAATACAAGGGATTGCAAGTCATTCCTAGCGAGCTGGAAGGCAAGCTGATCGACCACCCTGATATTGAAGATGCAGGCGTTGTTGGAGTATGGGTGGAGGATCGAGCGACCGAGCTTCCTTTGGCCTTTGTTGTTCTGAGTCGCCAGGCAAAGGGTCGAGATCTCAAAACGGTTTTAGACGGGGTTCATTCGTGGCTGAACACGAAGATCGCCAACCATAAACGATTGCGCGGCGGTATCCGTGTTGTCGACCAGATTCCAAAGAGCCCTAGTGGGAAGATTTTGCGACGACAGCTCAAGGAACTTCTCAAAAACACTAAGCCTATGGCTAAACTCTGATGTTGTGAAAAGTGTATGGGTAATAACTAGTTTTATAATGGATTTACGATAGTCTAACACTCTCCAACATAAGTACTATCTTCCTCCCAAGTTCGGTGTGTTGGAATTTCTCTCGGTTACAAAATAGCATCCAGTCTCATCCTTCCACACAGCCCCATAGTGCTGTCATAAAAACTTCAAGTTAAGAAACGAGCTTTGGGTTGGATTGATGAGCAATCAGAGAAGTAGTTGGTACTAGTAACGTTCAGGGACCACGTTTTTCTCCGGGACCCGCGGGTCCCGGAGATGTTCCCGGACCTGACTTTAGTTCCGTCTCTGCAAGATTCTTCGCTTTCGCGCAGCGACAATATCGGAGGTTTTATTCTTCTCTTTTTTTTAAAAAAAAGAACAATGACCCAAAAATGACGCATTGCTCTATATTGGCGATTTAATTTCTCTCCATCGCACACTATAGGCCCGGTGAAATCATCATAAACCCTGCATAACTGGTCCACGTGGATGTAAGACCCGCAACCAACTTGCATTCTTGTACGACGATGGGGTCGCTCAACAGCCTATGGCCGCGTCTTGGCAGCCAGAAACCTGTTCGACCGAAATTCTTGGAGCTCAGGTCCGCGAGATGGTTCATTCTGTTCACAGTTTCTTTTGCTGCTTGCACGGTAAGTGGGTGCTGAGGTTTAGGGGTTGGTGCTGCCAAATTAATAGCTAATTGTGCCTCTATCATAGGATATCTTCTTATATGGCCTGGTATGTTGCTGATAAACTATGCCCTTTGGTTAATTTAAGCATGGACCTTGTGTATCTAACGATCTTCATAGATCGTTCCTGTGACACCTACAGCCTTAGAGCGAAGAGTTGGGTTGACAGAGGATCAAGGTAAGCTCTTTTGCCGTGACACAAGGATGACAATCTAAAAGTTTTTTTCAATTACAGTCCAATCGTGGACCTCAATTTTGCTGGCCTTGTATTCAGCTGCATTGCTCGCGTCCTCTCGTACGTTTCCTCTCCAAACACTGCTCTACTATTTCATCCCACTAACTTCTTTGGCAGCGGTGGTCGGATATTTAGCTGATCGAGCTGAGTCCCGACGATGGCCTTTCCTAATTGGCCTGGCTGCGCTGGCTGCTGCAACAGCTTTACTTTGCGTCGGAACCAACCTCGGTTTGTGGATTGCCGGTCGTCTATTCCAAGGTGCCACCGCCGCCGTGGTTTGGACAGTCGGGATCGCGCTTTTAGTTGACACCGTTGGCAAAGAAGGGCTTGGACAGGCAATTGGATATGTTTCCATGTCACTAAGCTTAGGTACACTTGCTGGGCCTCTCTTGGGAGGTGTACTTTATGAACATGGAGGATATTATTCAGTCTTCGGTCTTGCCTTTGGTTTTATTGGCATCGACATCTTCCTTCGATTGGTTTTGATTGAAAAGCGACATGCTGCACGATGGCTGGCATCAGAAACGAGACCATTGTCATCTGTTCAGCGGAGTGGAGAAAAGAGCTCACTGGCTACTACGTCAAATCCACCAGTATTAGCGTCGATCGATGACATGCCATATGAGAATCAAGAAAAGCCATCTAAAAGGAGAAGAAATCCCTTCGGGCAGATTCTCATCCTCCTGAGCTCCTCTCGCCTTGTTGTATCGCTCTGGGGGTACTTTGTCATATCTTTGGTCCTTACCTCTTTTGACAGCGTCCTCCCACTCTTTGTACAGGAGACATTTCGTTGGGAACAGACAGGCCAAGGCCTGATATTCATTGCATTGATCGTGCCGCATATTAGCGATCCAATCACAGGCTATATTATCGACCGATATCCGCGAACCCCACGTTACCTCGTCGCAGGAGCATTTATTTGCTCTGTTCCATTAGCGGTGCTTCTACGACTTGTTACAGACAATTCAATGCATCATAAGATCATTTTGTGTGCTTTGCTCTCTATGCTTGGACTCTGTATGGCAGTCGCAATGCCCCCATTGGTCGCAGAAGTTTTCCACGCTGTAAAAGAGAAGGAAGATCAGTCGCCTGAAATATTTGGTGCAGGTGGTGCAATGGCTTTGGCCTTTGGATTATCGAACATGGGTTTTGCCGCTGGCAGTCTCATCGGGCCTTTCTTCGCTGGGTTTATCCGTCAGAATGCCGGTTGGAGTACCATGGGCTGGGCGATGGGTCTTATTGCTGGTGTTTCTGCTATTCCATCGTTTTTCTTTCTTGGTGGTTGGATTGGAAGAGAACAGCAATTGAGTGATCCTGAACAGACAATATCGAGTTGAATTTAGTTCAATACCTGTTGAAGTCTTTTGCACATACACGGCGAAACCATCATTACTAGCACACCTTTGCATGTAAAATGGTGCACATTTTAGCTCAATTAGATAAAATTGGTTGATTTTAAAATGTATTACAAACAACATATATGAATGGATATACGTATATAAGTGTCTTCATTTTGAAAGGGCCAGCTAGGTGTCATTCCCCAGCTGAGCTCTGGGGAGCAACTGGTCGCATTTTTTATGAATCGTGAGACGGTTAAGAAAGATTAATTCAGCCGAAAATGTCATCTTTCGGAAAATCATCTATGCCAAAAATGAAAAGAGATATGTTCTGAAGTCGACGAAAACAAGGATATAATTTATCGCCTCAAGTACAATAGTGTCCTAGTAGTCGCAGCTCGCTCGTGTCCAAAGCTCACCAGTGAAGTACCTTTTAGAGTGTGATTGAAATGATTCAAACCACTTCAGGAAAGATCGCAAATATGTTAATTTCTACTCTTTAGGCCTGGTCAGCAGATAGAACAGTCTAGCACTAATTTATTAACCCCTCCAGCTTTCCTACACCCGTTCCTTCCAGCCGACGGAAAACTAAGATGCCCCCACAAAGTGGGTTCCCCGCAGGAGCCCCACGGGACGTAAGTGGGAAGTTTTGGCTTGGGACCACGATCGGTCTGGGGCCATGGTGGACAGTTCGGGAATTGAGGCAGATAATATTAGCCGTGCTAAGGTGCGCCATATAATTGGTCTCTTTGCTCACCACTGTTCGTACTTCATGACTGTTATTCACTCACCAATTACAGTCTTCATTTTTAATGACCATGGCAGCACCAGAAATCCAACATAAGGCTCTGAATGCCACTTTCCAGGGCATTCAGCGCAATGATGAGAATGTAGCAGTTCATCATTTTTTAGGTATTAAGTATGCCCGAGTGCCAGCCCGGTTTGAGAGGGCGGTGCCCGTAGAAGATTTTGAGGAGGCTGTTGTTGATGCCACAAAATATGGGTTTGTTATCCTTTTTTTCTAAAATTGCAGACTTGAAGTTGTCTCCATCATGGATTCTGTCCTGTACTGATATTTCATGCAGACCGCGATGTCCGCAAGTTGATGTGGATGTACGCCATTTACTTCGGGTTCCCGAGGACTTCAAAGTCGCACCGGAGCTAGAGGATGAATTTGAATGCCTGAATCTTGAAATTTGTTGTCCTCCAGTATCGGAAGGTACAGAGCCGTTGCCCGTACTGGTGTGGATTCATGGCGGCTCTCAGGTCATTACATTCTGTTCTGCTGCTTCTAAGATCTGCGGTAAGTTTTGCAGGACTTAACGAGCGTATGCACCTGCTGATGGAAAAAAAGACCCGTACAAAATCGTGGCAGATTCTATCAAAGCTGACAAACCTATCATCTTTGTGTCTATTAACTATCGTCTAAATATATTCGCATTTGGAGATGGCAAAGAGAAGAATCTTGCGTTGAAAGATCAGCGACTTGGTATCGATTGGGTGCGCAAGAACATCGCAGAGTTTGGCGGTGATCCAGTAAGCAAATTTTTGCCCTTTTGGCATGACTTGAACTAATGTCTGGGCAATAGCAAAATATTACCTTGTCCGGTGAGAGTGCTGGAGCTATCTACACCCACGCTCATCTCATTACCGGGCCGCCCGTCAAACGAGCAGTTCTGGCATCGGGTACATTGTACCTGTCCTCGCCAATGCCGGTGGCGGTCGGCGATGCGCTTATCGAGAAATTGGAATCCAAGGTTCAAGATAAGGGCCAGGCTTCCCTGAGAGCATCAACTGTTCCTGTTCTTCTCGAGGCTTTGAAAGAGTGCAACGTCAATACGATGTTTATACAGGATGAACCTGAGTTGGAAAACTGGCAAACCCGGCCAGAACAAGTGGAGGAGCTTATGATTGGCGACACAGAATACGAAGTATGTCAAGATCATTCCCATAGCGGAGGTAACTTTTCTAATTTGGATTGCAGTCGGTCATCTGGCGCAATGGAATTGAACAGTGGGACGGTGAAACTCTTGCTGCAGCATTCCAAAACGATGCTCAATGGGGCGAGACACTTCGCAAGCTGTACCAAGTTGTTGCTGATCGTCCGACTGCTGCCAAGCTAGGTGTTTTAGATATGATCAATGATACACGATATACACTTCCTGTAGAAGTTGTCGCGGACAAGCTCCAGACACTCAAAAAGCAGGTCTACAAGTATGTCGTGGATCAGCCAAATCCTTGGCAGGCATCGAGCCGTGCTCATCATGCCGTTGATCTTCTCTTCCTCTTTGAGGGTGCTGATCTATCTTTCAATCCGCCTGCACAATTTGTAGGCCGGGAAATGCGCAAACTTTGGATTCGTTTTGTGTCCGGAGAAGCTCCATGGTCTCCTAGCCATCGTTTTGCCTTCGGACCCCTTGGCGAGTGCAAAGAGATCAACGAGGCACAGTTTACTGCTCGCAGGCGAGTCGAGCATTGCAAAATTCTCAGGGCCGCGGGAACCTCTGTTTACCTACCTATCCTTGCTCCACTGATGGCTGGGCGCATCAGTCTGCTCAATTAAAGTATTCTCTATAGTAACATAGCTGCGATAGAGCCATACTAGTACAAAACTCGCCAGAAAGCGCTATCTATTCCATCCAATGCTGAGTCTAGTCCTACCAAATGTAGGAAGGGGAAAACTTCCCAGCATCGTATGACCTATCATGTGTCAGGAATTGAATTGCCTTCCTTGATCCTCGTCTACAATCCGGTCTGTTGCTAGAGCTATTGCGGCCGATCCACTTACCATTGATGAATACAAAATCCTAGAACCTGTGCTCGGCAGTTGTTTACTATAGTGACTCCCGTTGCCGCTGCTTTTGCTGAGATTATTGTAGATTGTTACGACCCACCGATGACAAGAACAGCCCGTCTCGATCCGGGGGCTCACATTTTTTGCGGCCGGTGGATCGTAGTGAAACAGCGCAAGTGCACTGTTGTTAACTGTGCCTCCCCACGCATCACCGCCTCCACCGTTACTCAGACCTGACTCATGTGGGGTCACCGCCGCCCGCGAATCCAGTCTTCCTGGATTTTGGAGGCTGCTCGGTCCCCACAATGCCTCTGCACGAATCGTAATCGACTGCTCCGGGGAGGTCGGCAAAGCGAGGTTCCTGTGAGATGCCGATATCTATACAAAGTTGCTGGTCCGAGGCTGGTCACCACTAAATTGGGCACAGTTTGCGCCGCCTGCCGCTCAGCTGATGCCTGCACCAGTGCGATGACGATGCGCTTTAGACCCTTCAATTGTTCGCCACGGCCTTACTTTGGTCCCGCCCAGGCGTCGTTTACGAGCATGTGTCTTGTCTGGGCGTCAAGGGGCCGTGACCCCACAGCCTGGAGTCGACCGACGCTGTTGCGGAGGATTATATAGAAGCGATCACTCCCAGGTGGTTTAGTTTACCTGTGCATTATGAGCATCTAAAATATCTTGCTTTCTTTTCCTTTTTGTTTTCGCCGCCTTGGGCCCTCAGCCGTGTTATCAAAGTATGCCTACCATGCCGTCGACAAGTTCCCTTTCCGATCCCCAGGAATACCAGAAGATCTTCCATTGGGCCGAGACACAGAAAGATGGAGCTATTCCTTCCTTCTCAACGAGACGGAATGATCCTTATAAGGTATGACTATCAAGTCTTCCTCCCTGAGCGGCCGTTCTACCTTGCTAACACTTGCCCCAGTACCAAGCCGGGTTTGGCAACGCGTATGTCTGAGCAAATCACGTCCAGCAATTCAACTAGCTGATGTAGTGTTTAGCTTCGAATCAGAGGCTGTTCCTGGCATAATTCCACATGGTCAGAATAGTCCTCGAAATGTTCGCTTTGGCCTGTACGCTGAGCAAATCACTGCCACGGCCTTTGTCGCTCCGCGACACGCAAACAAGAAGGCCTGGCTGTACCGCGCCCGCCCAGCCGTGGCACACCAAGGCTTCGTATGTCCTTGATAGGAGACACCTATCACAGCTAGTTATGAAATGCTGACGCTTTCATAGACGGAGATGCCAGACAATAAGGACACCGAGTGTAACTTTTTGCCATTAAACCCTCGCATTCATGTTTCTCCCACACAACTCGCATGGCATCCGTTTGATATCCCAGAGACCGAGGAGGTCGACTTCATCTCAGGCTTGAAAACTATTGCTGGCTCTGGCGATCCCACACTACGGGAAGGCCTAGCGACTCATGTCTATGTTGCCAATACTAGCATGAAAAAGAAAGCATTCGTGAACTCGGACGGCGAGTTTCTCATTGTTCCGCAGCAAGGTGCTCTGGATATCCAGACTGAATTCGGCCCCCTCTTTGTCCAGCCCGGAGAGATTGTAGTCATTCAGCGTGGTCTGCGCTTCCGTGTTGAACTTCCCGATGGGCCTTCGCGTGGCTATATCCTTGAAGTCTGGGGGACCTGCTTTGAACTGCCAGAGCTCGGCCCCTTGGGAGCCAATGGTCTAGCAAACGCGCGGGATTTCTTGAGCCCGGTCGCCCACTATGAAATTGCTCAAGAACCTTGGGAGATCGTGTACAAACTTGGTGGGAAGTTCTTCAAGAGTACACAAAATCACAGTCCGTTTGACGTAGTGGCTTGGCACGGCAACTATGTGGGTGAAATAGCCTTTGACCTTGGAGGGATAGGCGGAAGCTAACTTCCATATCAGGTCCCATATAAGTACGACCTGACCAAATTCGTCAATGTCGGCTCTATTTCCGTAGACCACATTGACCCATCTATCTTCTGCGTCCTCACGGCCAAGTCGCGAGATCTGACTGCCCCCTTGGCTGATCTTCTTACCTTTTCTCCACGCTGGGACGTTGCCTCTCGTACGCCCTCCTTCATGCCCCTCTCCAAAAAGAATTTCGTCTCCTAACACATATCTTTTAGATACATACCGCCCTCCATACTACCATCGCAATGTTGCGTCCGAGCTGATGGGCCTTATCTATGGTGAATATGGTGGCCGCTCTGACTCCTTCAAGCCCGGCAGCGTATCCTTTGAATGTGGCAGTATGTATACACCGTATTAAATCCTCAACTCTGTTATAAATGCTTATAATTTGATATACAGTGGTTCCTCATGGCGTGGCATATGAGGAATTCAAGGCGGCCAGCGATAGTGTACCGCCAGTGATGCAGATCTCGGAAGCCTCGGTCGCGTTCATGTTTGAGTCCAGTCGGCCTTTCACCATCACAGACTATGCGTGGAATAGTACGAAGAAGCACGAACATGAGCCGAAAATGTGGGATAATCTCGTCGACCACTTTTCTGCCCATGCGAAGGAGATAGAAGAGATCTTGTCTCAGAAAGCAAAGGGCTTGGCTTTATCATAAGACGGCATCCGTAAATCCGATGAGTCGGAGAATTCTGTTATGCATTCAGATCGAAACGGTCCGCGAAATCGAGTCTTATACTCAATTCTTTTCTAATTGAATCTTTTGGCTACCTAGCCACCATTTATGTTTGAGTTCACCTTCCATAGGTCATTTGGAGGGTTTCATAGCTATTTATATTTAAGCAGACAACGATGTGGAACTGTCATATGGAGAGCAGGCCAACAGCAAACCGAATGTACCATTTTGAGTATTCCTTGGACAGAGAGATTAACTAATGAAACCACTGCACTTTTCTTTTCATCGACATGTTGCATCTGGTTCAGGGAGTCGGGAATTCCTAATGCCGGATTAAATGCGAAATTAACCGCCGATGATACCATATACACTAGGGCCGCTAGATTTACTGGTTCATTTTGTGCCTCTCAAACTTTTGTATGTTTTAATGATGAAACAATTTCCTACCGGCAAGAATCAATATTGATTCGCCAGGCATGTAGCCTTCTCTGCCAGATATTGAAAAACATGCGGTTTCCGCTCTTGTTGCAAAACGGCTTCTGTTTCCCAATTAGGAACTTAACTGCACAGTGAGGTGCAGCGGCTTGATAGTGGAATTCATCATTCTGGCTGAGCAGATATGCCGCGTCAAAACAGCCGGGGGAGCCTTCTTAGTTTAATATGAGAAAAGTCAAGATGGAGATTTGCGCGATCAAGTTTGAAAACGAGATCGGGGAAGTCGGCGGTTCGGCCTCCGTTTGCACCAGGTCGGAGAGCGAAACGCCGCCCTCGCCCCTCTCTCCTGGCGCTCGTCCACTCAGCCCATTCGTCAACATTGACTTCCTGCCCGAGTCAGCGTGCCAAAAATGACAGTACCCTCAGACTTCGGAAACTTTGCACGAAGCTCTTGGTGGAACTTTGAACCCAGAACCAGTGACTCGTCATGTTGATCTGCCCTAGCTGTCCTCGCGCAGCTTCGGCCTCCGTCCCTGCGTCAATGTGCCCGATGCCAAGGAGAGACTCGAGGACAGGGGCTGTATATAGACCTGGCACTTGCTGATTATCACACCTGTGCTGAGTGTCGACCTCACGATATCGATCTAACGAGGACCCTTTTCCTCTCGAACTTTCATCACGATGGGTGGCCCCTACGCCCCTCAAATTGCCCAACTGGGTGGCCGCCCAACAGTCGACGTGGATGTCCCCATCTGCTCGATTTTCCTTGCTCTCTTTCTCGCCTGCGGCATCTGCCATATGACGATCTTTCGTCGAAATCTCGCTAGGGGTCACAAGTTTATCCCCTCTGCGGTTACCTTTGGTTTTTGCATGTCGCGGGTCGTCGCAAATGTCATGCGCATCACCTGGGCTTGTTATCCGAACAATATCCGCGTCGCTCTCGCCTCACAGATTTTCGTCGCGGCCGGCGTTTTGCTCCTATTCATCCTGAACCTGCTCTATGCGCAACGGATGCTGCGTGCTGCATTCCAAACATTTGGCTGGTCAAGAGGGGTCTCCTGGGCATTCAAGGTGCTGTATATACTGGTACTTCTAACCATTATCATGATCATCACGGTTGTCATTCAAAGCATGTACACTCTCAACGCAAACACCCACCGCATTGATCGCGACATCCAGCTCTACGGCGTTACCTACTTCGCCATTGTTTCTTTCCTTCCTCTCCCGATCGTGGCCCTCATGCTGCTCTTCGTACAAGAGAAACACGTTGCCCCTTTTGGCTCGGGATCCTGGCGCTCAAAGGCTCTCATCGTCCTTACGGCCGGAACTCTTCTATGTCTGGGTGCCTCGTTCCGTGCTGGCACAACTTGGATGGCTCCCCGGCCGATTACCGACCCGCCGCGCTATATGCACAAGGCTTGTTTCTATGTGTTCGACTTCGGAATTGACATATTGGTCGTGATTATCTTCCTGTTTGGTCGTGTCGATAAGCGCTTCCATGTGCCGAACGGTAGCTCCAAGGTGCGACACTACCGGGGCGAGCAGGACATTCAGAAGAACCAACTCCACGATCAGACTCAAGGTCTTGATACCAACCAGGCACCGCAAGATGTGGAGAATAGTAGTACCGAGGGAATCCCTTATGCTTCTCGTCAAGACGAGAAGATTAGTACTTGAAATTTGGCTATTGATTTGCATTGTATATCACTCTGGAGGCCTTAATAACGCCCGCTTGCATTTTTCAGGTGTGATATCTTAATACGAAAATAGAATTCCCTTCTCTTTTGTAATTTGGATTTCAAATCTTTTAGAACGAAAATTAATTCGAGAAAGCTGAGCTGGAAGGTGGTCTTACGTTTCGCAGCGCTTTTTGGAACACCGTCTTGGTAACGTGAATATTAGTAAAACTACATTAGCAGTGGTAGTGTTCCGTACATCTATCAGAGTATTTTCTCGTGGCTCGGACTTCAACAGCCGCACGGCATTATTACGGAGAACTTTTGTTCAATCACCAGTAAACACACTGCTGAATGGGTCAAAATATTCAAAGATAGTTCCGCGTCTCGCAAAAAGGGTCTTTTATTTTCATGATTGGTATCAACAGACGGCCAGGCATCAAACCATACAAAATTAAGTCGGCAGCGAGGGCCTTGTTCGTATGCATCCTCCTTGCCGCGCTAGCCCAGTAGCCTCCTGAAGGACAACAATGAAATCTATCACAGGAAATAGTCTGGCGTACGCCTCGATACCATGGGTTCTCCCGCTCGGGGGCAAGGGTCAAATTGTAGACTGGAGGTCGACAGAGCGGGTTAGCATAGCGCAAATGCGACGGGGTATATGGGTCAACGCACAATGTGTACTTCAAATGCTCGTCAATCTCCATAATGGCGGCCTGGTTGCCGCAGCGGTAACAGTAATTGGGTGCTGTATGCCAGAGTTAGTAAATTGTGAACGTTGGTCCAAGAACTCGAGACAAGGTCGACAACGAAAAAAAACAAGGTGGTCTTACCCGAGAAGATGGTCACCACATTGCGGTCCTGTGACCAGTTATATCCCTCCATCACCAGTTGATGTGCCCGTGCAACCAGAGTCAAGCCGTTGTTATGGTTGAATGCTTCCGAAATGTCCTGTCCGAAGGTGTATCCCGCACCACGAGGCGAGATTCCCCAGCCGCAGCGGTCATCGGGATCACTCCAAAGAAGATCACACATGGGTCCTTCATGCGGGACTTCTTGAATGCGATCCAAAGAGCGAATATTGTCGAGGGTATCGATGGACGGGCTCAGCCCGCCGTGCAGGCAGAAGATCTGATTTTCAATGAGAGCAGTGAGGGGAAGGTAATCGAAAAGGTCGGTGAAATATTTCCAGACGTTGGCGTTGCCATATTTGCGGAGGCACTCGTCGTAGAAGCCATACACCTGGGTGATTTGGCGGGATTCGTGGTTGCCACGGAGAATGGTGATACGCTGGGGGTAGCGGATCTTCAGGCAAACCAGGAGGGTAACAGTCTCGACGGAATAGTATCCTCGGTCAACATAGTCGCCTGTAAGATGGAAGCGTCGTGGGGTTAGAAATTGCTGGTTGAGCACATCACAACAAGCTTGGGTCACCGAGCCCCACTAGCTCGCCCCGACCGAGGGACAAAGGGTTCTCCAACATACCCATGAAGAGATAGTTTGTATCCGGGTTAGGACCGCCGATACGGAAGAGCTCCATTAGGTCATGGAACTGGCCATGTATATCACCGCACACCGTCACAGGGCATTTCTGACGGATGAACGTCAGCGGCGCGCTCCTGCGGGCGAGAATCCCGACCGGAGTGGACAAGAACAATAACATACCACTGGTTGCACGTTTGATTCCTCCTGCAACACTTCTCTTGCCTATAATGCAGAAAATTCATCAATTCCCGGTCCTTCTCGGGTTCCAGCGAGACACCCACCCGATCGCACAGCCGCCGCACATCTTCCTCCGCTAGTTGCTTGCACGTCATCAAACTTTCGATCCAGCCATCTAGGGTCGGTATAGAGCCCGGGTCGCTTGTGGGCGAGAGATGGTGTGGCTCAGGCGACCGTGCGGTATCAATTTCCATGTTGTTATCCATGGTGGTCACAGCTGGCGAAGACAGGGAGGAGGGGCCAGCTGGGGGGGAGAGGAGGGGCGGTCTCGTGAGAAACGAACACCGACTTTTCGTCCAGGGGTCGTAAGAACAGAGAGGGATGTAGAGGTGGGAATCAGAGGGATGGCAATTCAGTAAACACGGTGGCTGTTTCCCCAAGAACAACTCGAGGGACGTAAGATCGAGGGGGGGGGAAAGGGGTGGAGGGGAACAGGGAAAGGGAGAAGAGATGGGAGATGCGGGAAGGTCAGGTTTGGAGGTGAGTTTGCGCCACACCACACCAGCCACACCGCCCGGCACCACCGAATGGGACTATACGCGCTGCTGCTATTTTGGTCCTGCGGCCCGATGGACAGAGCTCAGAGGACGTGATCTGGTTAGGCCTTCGCTTGGTATAAGCAGCTCCATTCCCGACCTACTTTTGCAAGTAAGACACTAGATATCTCTCAACTATATACCCTCGGTCTTTTTCATCAACAATGTATTCAAAAATGAACAACATGATTCGTCAAATTTCCCCGTGCTTTCTGGCCGATTCGGGAGCTTCCTTTCTGGCCCGTGCTTGCAAAGCAGAAATGCGGGGTTAAGTCAGTGATGATTGACTCAGGCGGCGCAGTATAAACTCGCATCTATTCTTCTCCTGTCAAGATTCTTCGTCTTGAATGCTCTCGTACCACTCATACTATGCCTCTTTATGATATTGAACATGTTTGCTCTCTGAGCTTCGCCGAACAAGAGCATCTAGCCATCGCGTTGACGAATCTACATGCGATCCGGTTCAATACACCTCGATGCTTTGTGAATGTCCGATTTACCGATGTCAGTAATCAAGTGGTTTTCCGGGGGGGAAGCTACGCAGATATAATCGCATCATCATTCGAACGCGCGTCGGAGACAACCGAACCAATGAGATTTACATCGACCACTGCAAAGCAGTAGTCTCTGAATGGGAACGGACAATGGGCGCAAGTGCTGAAAGAAGTCTTCGCACGGTTTGGGTTATGGGGGCATTGACAACGGCATTGGAGGCTGGCATTGCCCGACCAAAGGTATGTGTGCCTACTTCTCTCGAGTGGCAGTTTCTGCCGCATCGTATATTCTATTTCGCATGATCCAGCTTCTGATTACAATTCCAGACGGGAGAAGAGCAGGAATGGCTGATTACCAACCGATCCACATTCGAAGAGTTGGCTAAGCAAGGTGACGAAGACTTCATCGACTTACTTGAAGAGCTGGATGCACAATAGCGCGAGGCCTGCCTCTTTGTCTCATTAGAAAGCCAGAGAATCCAGTACTGGTCATCGAAGAATCCTACAGATAGATCTACGCACTAGATTCGACTCGAGAAAGAGTCTAAGCTCCTATTTAGCAGATAGAAATACACGGCCCGGTAGGCAAGGATGAACAGCTGCATCGGGGATATCAAATGATATACACAAGGGGAACAACATGAACGTAAAAGTGTTCCGACGGAGGAAATAACGAAGTCGTAGGCATCATAATTCGTTTCAATTTAAAACATCTTTCAGCTTCAAGCTAGCTTTGAAAGCCCATGTCATGCATTTAGATAATACCGCCGCCGAAGCCCCCTCCAAATCCACCAAGACCGCCGCTACCGGGTCCGTGACCACGACCAAACGGAGGGGCCCCGGGCCCAGGAGGATCATAGCGTGCCCCTGGAGGTGCCCGTGGGTCATACCCCCCGCTGCTGCCACTACCCCCAAAGAGAGGATCATCAAACGTCGGATGCATACCGCCGCCAGATCCAACGCCGGGGCCCATCGAACCGCGAAGAGGATCATTAGGGCCAAGTCCTGCAGGATAGAGGTCTCGATCTCCAATAGTATACGGGTTACGACCTCCGGGGAAACCTGGGGCCTGACCACGCGGGGGTCGATTAATTTCAAACTCGTCTTCGAATCCTGGTGGAGCAAAGTCTCCAGGTGGGTTAGGCTGGCGCGGCGCAGCAGCTAAGGGGTCGTCAAACGGGTATGGCCGGGCAGGTTGGGGGAGCGAGTCATCACGGAGAGGATCACGAAGAGGGTCGTGGGGTCGTGATTCCTGCAGTGGCTCTCGGGAAACGGGCGCCTGAGTAGGATCCTCAAAATCTTCTCTGGATAATCTTGGAGCAATATTCTGAAGAATATTGGTATCAAACAATCCAACCAAGCTTTCCAGCTTTTCTTGGTCTATGTAGACATCTTGCAGTGAGCCTACAAGGTTTTCTGTATTTGCAAGTGGGAGGGCAGATTCGGAAATGTAATCGTTAACGGAAAGCTCAAACGAGCTTGTACGGTCATCATCGACGGCCAGCGCGAAGACCACAGCTTTGTTGCCGAGCCTGCTCACTTTGAGAAAATATTGCGAAGTGGTTTGTGTATGGGTATATCGAAAGGCGAAAGTTGTGTTAGCATTCCACTCGATGGGGAGGGCGGGGTTTTCTGTGGGCGATTCTGATATACAATGAGCCATCACGAATCTTTGAGAAAATGGTGGGAAATGACAAACCGATCTTGTGATCCTCCCCGAGCCCAACCAGTTTGAAACCCGCCACAGCCATGCGCGCATGGCAGATCAGCGCAACAGCCTCAAAAGGTGTTTTGAGACTCGGCGGGCCATCGCGAAGAGCATGCGCCGCGAGGCCCAGGAGGTGGTTTGGTCCTAGTGTATTCATACTAGTCATGATGATAGAATCTGTTGAAAGTATTGGCAATTTTTCTGTAAAGAACACTGATTGAAAGAGAGGTGTAGAGTGTTTTGTTCATAAGATCAAGATGAGGCAGCAGGCGATGATGTACGCCGTAGCTGCTCAGTAAGCTTGGCTAAGCCTATTTAGGTTAGACTAAGTCGGCGGCTCCGCAAGCTAGCCCGATTCAAGTGAATGACATGTGCAAGTGCCCAAATCGAGGCGCAGCAAACGGTTGCTTGTCACAAAAAAAGTACTCCGCGCCTTAAATGAAGGGAGATGATGATCGATAATGTAGCGTACATACACTGGCTAAATAATTCATGAACTAGAAAAATATTCTACATGGGGAACGCTACAGCATTGCCTTGGGGAACTTCTTCATCGCCTGGCGCACGCCCAGATCGGCCAGAATCTCCTCGGTCCCGCCTAGGATAGCGTCGAATTTGTAGGTGCGATGGAACATCTCAATGACCTTGCCCATACCTGTCTGAGTAAGGCCCCGTCCACCAAAGATGTTAGTTGAGTGGTCTGCGATCTCCTGCGCAGCGCGCGTGGCGTGCGACTTGAGGAGACCGATCGGACCTCCCAGGTGCAGAGATTGTTGGGCGTACGACATGTTGCACATCTGATAGGCGATAGACTCCAGCCAGGCTTGGTTGGACTCTGTCAAAGAGATCATACGGGCGAGCCTAGAGTTAAGACTTCGTCAGCATCACTGGGTTTGGATCATAGGAGGCTGGGGAAGGACTCACTTCTGACGGATCGCTGGTTGTTCGACCAGCGACTTGCCAAAGACGATGCGCTGGTTGCACCATTTCAGACATTCCTCAACGATTGTCATCGACATACGAACCACTGCGGCGGTCATCATAAATCGCTCGTGGTTGAAGTTGCTCATGATCACAATGAATCCCTTGTGCTCCTCGCCAAGCAAGTTCTGGACCGGGACCTTGACGTTCTCGAACTGCACAAATGCGGTCGCAGCGGCTGTAGAGTAGGATGTCTTGATCTGCTTGGTCTCAACACCCTCGCCGCGTGGAATCAGGAGTACGGAGAAGCCCTTTTCAGTTCGACATCCGGTGACAAAATAGTCGGCGAACATGCCGTTGGTAATCCATTTCCTAAGCAACGTTAGCATCAAAGCGCAAACGATCAACCAAGTACGAGAAAGGGTGGTCGTTGGCCGGAGAGAAGGAATATATAATAGGATACGTACTTGGTACCGTTGACGATGTAGTATTTCCCATCGGGGGTTTTCTCGGCGGTGGTCTTGAGGCCCGCCACATCGGAGCCCGCGAAGGCCTCGGTGATGGCCAGACACATCTTCTTCTGGCCCGACAGAACCTCGGCGTTGAGGCGCTCCTTGAGCGCGGGATCCCGCAACCACTGCTGGACCGCCGTGAGGGAGATAGCCATACCGGCCATGTTCCCATCCTGGAAGCCACGCGCATTCGCCCGCACCAACTCTTGTGTGACAATCAGGTCGTGCAAATAATCGAATTCCTTCCCGTCCACCACACCCCCGAGCAACGAGCGACCGTGCAGGTGCTTTCCGGGACCTAATCGCATCGCCAGAATGTTCGTCTCTGCCATGCGATCGATCAACTCCTGGCTGATATATGTGCCGTCTCTCTCCTTCTCCTGTGCCTCTGGTGTCACATATCGGTCTGTGAACTCGCGGATGGCCTTCTGCAACCGACGGTGGCTGTCTTTGTAGTAGGGGCTCTTGAACTGCGGGCGCAGCCACATAGGCTCGGCGTAGGGGACAGGGCTCACGGCGCCTGGTTTGGGCTCGATGACTTCAGGTTTCTCGCCTTCGATGGTGCCGATACACAGCTGGTCGCGATATTTCTCGAGGACCTCTTGCCGGTGCAGGTTGTAGAATTCCGCGGTGGCATCCTGGCCAGCAACTTGGGCGAGCACGACGCTGCCACCGGGGTGGGCGTCCACGAAGTCAGTCAGGTCATAGACGCGGTGGTCGATGATACACCAGAGGGAGTCATCGGTGTTGTGCTTGGCCACCTCCGCACGAGTAAGGGTTTGAGCAGACATGGTGTATGGGATGTGAGGGTGTGGGGAGAGTAGGAGAGGGGAGATCCGTGGGCCACCCTCAAGTACGAGCCATCATACCATCCATGTAGAGGATAGTACCCCGGATTTCGCAACTCGCCAATCATGGCGCGTTTGATTTCCAACCGAGGGCCGAGGACAGGTGAGGTAATCCGTGCAATTCTGAAATGTGGACAGGGTGCCATCGCGGCCAGAGGACTTGCCGAGGCTTATTGATCGCTGTGCTTCGGGGCGCTTGACATGGCTGGCGAATGACACGCCTTGCAATGGTCATTTCATGCAAGCTTGTGACCCACTTGCCCTTTTTATCGCTGCTCAAACGAAAATGATGATCGCCACACCAACAACAATGGAAATACACCGTATTATCTGATTTGGACCGATGGTTTTAAGGCGAAAGAGCCAGTTTAGGATTGATAACCAGAGTGCATGAAATGGGTCTCGGAATTCAGCGGATTTTTAGCCTTCCCGTTCCCCCGCTGATCGATTAGTTATAGTGACAGTTATAGAATCAGGTGGATGATACGCACATCTTATATGAACTTGATAGTGTCTGCGAGTGAAATCGCCAGTTGATGTTTCCTCATCAAACTCAAAAAAAAAGCAGGTGATCAAAAGAATAGGATACCATCTGTGCTATGACCCGGGCATAAGCTCAAGGTATTCAAGTTAATTAGAATGTTCTCAAGTGGGCGGGATGTTGCATATTGGTTCATGCTTGGAACACCTCATGCTCATCCCAAGCCAACCATCCAGCATCCTCAATACAGCCAATATATTCGCATTCCATCTCGTTACCCTCGAGGACGGAAGGCTCAACTCACAGCCCGACCGTTCCGTCACTCACTTCTTACCCCGGTCCATAGGCTTCTAGGAAGCGTTTGCGCGGATCCAAATGGCCTCTATTCCGTCGACCGATAAATTCCATATGCTGCAGGCCTTAAAAATAAAGGAACTGCACCTTCTTATTATAGTTTCAGGCCTGCTAGAGTTATCTACGGTTAGCCCGCGACTACCTCATATTCCGTAGCAGCTACAGAGAATCGACTTTTTCTCTAATGGCGGAATGTATAGAGGAATCTGTGAGTCCTCGCGGTATTCGATGGCTTCTCCTTCTCGATAGAATACTATAAAAAGCATATAGGGAAACGGGTATTCCTGCAAATGGGTTCTCTGCAGTATTTTATGCTATTCCTTCTAGATAGCTATGCGTAACTCCGTTAGACCAGATCATAGCAAAATCCTCGGCTCAATAATCGTGGAGGAAGAGCGAATTCTCATCACTGGTTACATACTAAAAAGACCCTAGGGCGTCGACCAGTATGTGTCATAGCCGAAGTGATCTAGAAGAGCTACGACACCGATTCAACATCAATAGAATTACTATCATAGTTGAAGAATATTATTAAGGGTTTTTAATTGATAGAATCAATAGCTCTTTCTGAGACTTGAGCAAGAAATCTTAAGTTCTTCTGATGAATGAGTATCCCGATACCCCCTGTCTTCCTATTGCTACGATGAAACTAGTTTCAGAGACGTTCTAGCTGGTTGTTCCCTTAAAGTAACATGCTTATGGTGATTCGACAATTCGCCGCGGGGTGCGCCCCTGGTGCAAGCGAAGGTGTTATGTGTCAAGATGATGTTCTTATTCCCTCCGTAGAGGTCATGATAGTTAAGCTAAGCTACTGACGTAAGCAAGCTGTGATGGTAACAGCCCCCTCCATTATTCCTTATCCTTTCTGATTAGCTTTTTCTTGGCTTTTGCCGCCTTCAATTCTTTCCATGTTCTCTGCTGTTCTTCTTTCTTCTTTACCTATTGTAGTGGGGAAAGGGGCTACGATAGGTGGCCTCTGATTGAAGGGCACATTTCATAGTACACAGTCATTACAGATATAGCTTCACATCTCCGATAGGCCGAAATATCGCTTCTACACTATTTTCGCTCAATCAGTATCTATTTCCTCTTAAGGAGGCCTCCTTCCATCATGGTGTGTGGTTGTTCGTTGGCTTGTTCGTTGATTCATCTCATCCTGCCTGCATGTTAGGCTAGAGCACCCTAGTTCATAAGCTAGCTTTCCAGAACTAAGTCTTGACAGATATCGCTAGGGATATCATCGTGACCAGCAAGGCTCTCCCACCACCATTAATATACTCAATGAGTCGTTTTAGGTGTGGGGCTCTTAGTTTGTTATCTGCTGGGTCCTCTCAGCACTAATCAGACTTAGGTCGGCATGAACGAGCTAGGAACTCCGTGCAGGCCCCGCACGGCCTCATTATCAATATTCAATCACAGATCCCGACCCTTGGATTCGCAAGATACGGGGTTTGAAAAATGCGGGATTCAAATCCCGCACTCTCAAGATGCAGCCCCATGATAGCCGAGTACTGGTCCTGAGGGGAAGATATAAGATCAGGATTTATTTAATGAACAAAGGGGACCTCATCCTTTATTTCAGACCATATCGAACCTATCCCAGTCATGCCTGCAAGGAATGTGCGTGTTGCCGTTACACAGGCGGAGCCAGCTTGGCTGGACCTTGCGGCTGGCGTCACTAAAACCTGCGATCTGATTGCGCAGGCCGCAAATAACAAGGCGGAGCTGATTGCATTTCCCGAATGTTGGATTCCAGGCTATCCGTGCTGGATTTGGTAGGTCTGGGTCTCAGATTTACTCCTAATTCTTTACTAATAGCCTGCCAATCTTTTAAAAGGAGTCGACATTTAGACGTTGAGCTGAATATAGCTTATGTCAAAAATTCTCTTCGCCTAGAGTCCCCTGAGATGAAGCAAATTCAATTGGCTGCAAAAGCCAATTCCATTGCAGTTTCGCTCGGATTCTCGGAAAATGATAACAATTCGATCTACATCGCGCAGGTGATGATCGGACCCGATGGACAAATCATGTCACATCGTCGTAAGATGAAGCCCACTCACATGGAGCGCACGATATTTGGCGATGCTTCAGGTGAATGCTTTGCAAGTGTGACGGAGCTCCCCTTTGCCCGAGTTGGTGCCCTATCTTGCTGGGAGCATATCCAGCCACTACTGAAGTATCATACAATCTCACAAAGAGAGGATATTCATGTCGCTGCCTGGCCGAGCTTGACTCCTCATTCGGGAGGGTCAGACTTGTGGTCTATGTCCGCTGAGGGTAAATTGCCTCCTGTTAGTAGTAAGGCTAGAAGCTGATTCAATATGAAGGTTGTCGTAGTCTATCGCAGACCTACGCCATTGAGTCGCAAAGCTTCGTCCTTCATTGCACTGCCTTGATAACTGAGGTGGGTGTTGAAAAAATGAAAACCTCAGGTGGAGCGTTGATGTCTACCCCCGGAGGAGGCAGTTCCGCCATCTTCGGGCCTGATGGAAGGAGATTGACGGAGCCGGTGGACAGTACAACCGAAACTATTATATACAGTGATCTTGACCTAGATCATATTGTTGCGACAAAGCTCTTTGCAGATGCCACGGGTCACTATAGTCGTCCGGATCTCATGTGGCTGAATGTGTGTAGACAGGTGAAGAAGATGGTGCGTGAGAATGACAGGATGAGCCAAACTGAAGAGACTCGCGAGCTACAGGTGGGTAGTAACTAAAACTCGGCTTATAAATAATTCAGATTTGGTATACGAGAAGCAATCAAATATTTTACACATTTTCTGGTTGGGTAAAATGGCTAGTTTCCAATGTCCCAAGACAGATCGTCATTAAATTGTAAAAGTTGAGATAATAATGAATATTCCTAATGAATTACTGTTAGTATCGCTCATCTCTTGTATTTCGAAATCGAAATATCCAGGTTGTGTCTAGATTGAAGAGACCATGGATTTCAACCAGAGCTTGCATTGACGCGAAGATGAGGCTTATTGTGCAATACGACAACCGATTCGGGTTGAGCGGCTCGAATGCAGGGAACGCAACATTCTTAATGAATGGGATAGTACGTATTTTGTCTGGTCTATGAGCTACCTGGCATCTTGTAGGAAATTGAGGCTATTTAATGGAATTTTTGATCACTTAAAAAACATAATGATCAGCCCATTGTCCCTCATTCCAGGAACGCCGATCGCTATAGATTGTTATGAAGGACTTATCAAGCCTGCACAACTTGCGAAGAAAATCAAGTCTTCATTAAGGTCTCCGATGTGAGTCAGCAGCATGTCACAGTAGCAACTCTTACGAAAGCCCTTAACGAGAGTGAATCCCGAGTTAATCAAATGCAAAGATAAATGTAAGTGATCTAAGGGCTATGTACAAATATTTAAGACCCAAAGCCAGATATCCCCTGATTGAACCTATAATTTGCGTCCAGCGCTTGTCTGCGTCGGGTTCGATCTTATCTCCTTCATCGCCTCTTCCACTAGCCACAAACACACTGGCTGTACATCACTTCCGATGCGCCAACTTCCCAGTAGAACACCTTTCTGGCCAAGTATTTCGCTTGCGCGTTCCCAGCGTCGCCTCCAGAGTTCTTCCCGTTTGTTTGGAAGGGGAGATGGCGGCAGGTTAGCGTCATTTGTGCCGTAGGTGTTAGTCCGCCTAAGAGACTGGCTGGATGCAGGGCTTCGTAATCCAGGAGAGGGTGCACCAGTGAAATTCAGACGCTCTGTGGCGTAGTTGAGAGCTGCTTGAGCGGCAGCTCCGGCGGCCGCAGGGTATGATTGTTTTGTGGCAGATGCTGGGCGGGGAGTGGTTGCTACGCTAGATGCAGGACTATTGACCGAGGATGCTGTATTCGAACGCCGAGGGGGCGGGGGCGGTGGAGGCTTGGAACGAAACGCCAACCCTCTTTCGTGGCTCTCGTTTGCAAAGGATTCGGTATAGCTGCGAGAAACAGGAGACGGCTCAAGATCAATCAACGAATCGGTCTTCGCCATAGATGTCCGCCGTGGCGGCAAAGGAGGGACCGGCTTGCGACGAATTGAATCTGCCTTCGAAGCTTGCGTATCCACGGCCTCAAGTCCAGCGATACCTGCAGCAGCAGGTATGGTGCGTAGAGAAGATGGTTTCGAAGGTATTGTGGGTGGAACTCGTGGCTTTGTTGCATTAGGAATCTCAGGTGCCACCTCTAATTGATCTTCGTCCCGCAAATCAATCAAATCTCCATTATCAAAGCTCTTCGAATCATTGCCCGGAGGAGGCCGCAGCTCTCGGGGTCGTCGAGGCGGAAGTGCAGGTCTTTTGGCAAAGGAATCAGCATGGTCCAATGGCTGTGGCATGCTTTGACTGCGGGCAGCTGTCGTGTCCAAATGACTATTAGATGGTTCAAAGAATGGCTTGTCATCTGCGGTAGTAACATCACGGATAAAGATTCCTAGAATCCTGCCGGGATTGGCCAGAACGATATCGGTATATACCTCCAGGTCAGCCTCGCCGCTATCGCCAACAAGAATGAATTTGCGTTCAGGAAAGTCTCGCAGGATCTGTTCCAGATTCCCTCGCTTGCGCTCTGCAGTCGGTTCGAAAATTCCCTGCAGCATGCCCGTATATTGCTTTAGGTGAAAGGAGCCAGGAGGTAATCCAACCAGCTTAAAGTATCGTTCCAGCAATGGATACAATTGCCATGGGGCATTAGAGACATAATGTATTTCCACGCCTTGCTTAGCTACTTGGGTGTACCACTCGCTGACTCCGTCGACAGTCAACTCCGATAACTCCCGGACGAAGGTGTTACGGAACATTTCCTTGGCACCGCTGGCAATGGCAGAGTGTTTCACAGTGTCATCAATATCGCTGATCAAACTGATACCAATCGGTTCAATGATCTCGATTGGTTTCGCTGCGGAAAGATCCTCTGATGCAAGTACCCTGATGTGGGTCGGTACAAACGGCATTGCTGCGCGGATATTAAAATGCCCCGATTCGTCTGTCAAGAGGTTGCGTGACTCGCTTTCCTCTTCATTGAAAAAGAAGATCGTCACCGGCATTCCTGCCATGGGGTTTGTTAAAAATGGCCGCAGGCGCTCCATTAAATGCGCGTTGGCCATGGAAATCTCATCTTTGGTCATCGCCACAGCTTGACTTGTACTTGTTCTTGTGCGGTCTCCTTTGGAATTCTTCCAGGCTTGGTCGGCATCTTTCTCTGCGGTTTCGACTAGGGTCTGCATTTGTTTATCCACATATTCATCCTCGCCTTTGTTCGGCACTCGGTCGGCACCATCCTCGGCGGATGCGCCAGATGGGGTCGGAATGCCGCTCAAAGTTCGAGCCAGCTTGACCATGAGGCGGTGCTTCCGGTTCATGGGGCCTCGGCTGGGTGCATAGACCCAGCCGCGCACGTCAATATCAACGACGGCACTCTCAAGGGGGGATCGTCCCAGCTGTCTCCCAGAGGATTACTCTCTTCCGATATTCCGCGGTATTCATCGATAGTCTGCGACCACGAATCACGACGTTCTCGGGTCCGAGTATCGACCTTCTTTCTGGGTATTAATCGCCTCGCATAGCTGGGAAATAACACCATTTCCTCATCGCCCGATCGCGCAATCTCCACGTCGGGGAAGGCACCAGGTGTGTGGTAGTAGTCTTCCTGCGAGTCGGTGCGCTGGCTGGTCCATCGCGACGCATACGCCTGGCCCACCTCATTTGCGGCCCTGAGCCACTCGTAGGCCTTTTTGCGACGGCTTCCCGGTGCACCAGCTCCGTCGCCACTGTTCACACCCCATGGTGATGATTGTGCCATGAGGCCTTTCGCAGCATTTTTCGCCCCGCTGGGGGGTTCTCCTTTGGCCGCTCCTGCACGTCTCGGGATCCAGTGGCTGCTACCGGATAGACCACTTCTCCCGCCCTTCAGCAGCAGGCGTCGCCGGGGGCCAAGGAAATAGGCAGCAAGGCCTCTACCGAACCTGCGATTGCGCGCGGCGAGTCGCGCCTGTCGCTTGAGGATGGCACGGTAGAGTCTCGCTTGTGCTCTGTGCCGAAGGGCGGGGAGAGTCTCGTAGCGGAAATTCCAGACACGATTTTGGGCACGTCGAGTTACAAGAGGACCCACGAGGACACGAAGAAGGGTTGAAAGTTTGTTGGGCTTGGGATCACGACGGAAGAGAGGATGGGATGTGGAGAAAAGGCCAGCTAAGGGTGGGTGCCCGGAGAGGAAAGATCTTGGCCGGAGAAGAGACCAGCGAAAATGCGATTTAGGAGCCAGGATTCCTTGGTTGGGAAAGGAGGCTGGTTGGTGATGGTGGCTCTGTCCGAGGACACGGCTGCCCTGCGGCTCGTGCGAGTAAAGATAGGCTAAATGACCGCGAAAAGAAAAGAAAAGAGTTAGTAGGGATCCAGGAATGGCCTGAGGGAGATTGTGGTAGCCACCTCAAGAAAAGCAAATGCGATAGGGCTAAGCGCTAAGAATATGCATGGAGGCATAAGCCGATGAGGTCGATGGAGCGGAGTGCTGGTCTGGGGGAGGGGGAACACATGAACAGATCTCGGGCATGACGCCAGCCTGTTTTATCCCGCACAACGCGGGATTCAGGCCAAACCACCACAACCTATGACCCCGGGCTGCAGCATTCAGATATCTGATGGGTATTTATTTCCATGCTTTCCTGTCAGTGATGGCTGAAAATTCACTTTGTTTGGTATCTGCTTAGAGCACGCAGAAAATGCCAACTCGGCGTTTACTCTACCACTAGGTAGTATGATTATCAGTACCCTCTCTATCAGTGGCAGGACTGCCCAACAACCCCGGTACCTCGCAGACAAATACTCATAGTTCAATCACTCATGACAAAATATTCACCCTAGTTATAAACTGTGCTTGGATTTCAATTTTGGTGCTGAGATAGTAAAATCCAGTAACGAAGCTCCAATCTTCCTCCTGGATCTTGGTATGAAAAAATGCATTGTCATCTGCATAAGACAGTCATCACGTCATTTCACAATGTTACGCCAATCGTATATGGACTATGTCGATTAGCTGCCGGTCCCAGCCTCCAGGCCTCGTGAACTACTTCGATACCGGTTCTCATGATTTTTGTTCCGTGTTTTCCACTCTCCCACACCACTGGCGAAAGCGATACTGAAGCTGGGGCTCAAAAATCTCTCTAGCACCTACAAATGCGGGCCAAAACAAATGGAGCGGTAAGGATTGGTCTCTGCGCTCAGCTCTTCAATAGCTTCAATGCTTTCCAGAACTGCTCAACCGTACTCTCGCAGATACAGGTTGCTCATGAATCGCACAGTCTGGGAGAAGGATATTGAAAGAGCATTGAGGAAAGCTCTTACTTGATGATAAATTATGGTCGCATTGATTCCATTCCTAGAAACCTCGTATGGGTGGCGCCGTTCTTCAAATAGCCAATCCATGATCTTCTGTCCGACTTAATCGCATACTTGGCTCAAACTTTTGGGAATAAAGCCTTTCTCTGCACTGATACTGTGGCTTTCCACCTTCTTAATTTTTCCAATTGATTTTTTGGGAGAAATAGCAGGCTCTGGGGTATGCCGTAGATGCATTTGTATGAAGACATCGTGAATTCCAGCTTTTCTGTCCACATAGAACCCCCTGCCGTAGGCACCATAGATGAAGAATTTTCATTCTCATCAACAAACATTTTCGTGTTCAAGACGACAAATCAATGCAAATGGCCAAGTCGGCGGTAGTGATTAGAGTGCAATGAATGCTGCCGGCTTTATGGTTCACAGCACTAGTGACCGTGCCCGACCAGGCATCCACGCGGCTTTCCATACACACTCCCCGGCAAAAAAAGTTCGATTTACCTTTGCGATCTCCACATACCTATTATCAGCCAAGGCACATACAAATTTTGAGAATCGTCTTTACTATATTAAAAATTTGCCTAGTCCCACATATTCAAGGTTCCGCTAAGGCTGCCACGCCAGGGTGCCAGGAAAACCCAATCAGCATAGGAATTGGATCTATCACAATATTGCAGAAAGGGACTCTCATACTCCAAAAAGGCTGAATTTTGACTATGAATTTCAAAAGGTATGAGAGGCTTCGAAAATGATCATATTTAACAGTTTATCTCTTCATCGTCATTCAATCAAAGAACTTTGAATGGACTATCTTCGAAGTCAGATCATTTAATTCATCTTTGGAGTTCAATTTGCAAGTCTGCATCGATATGTTTGCAGCAAGTCGTGAACAAGATACGCTATACGGCCAGGCTTCACCTGAACTGATCTCAGTCTCAATCCATAAAGTAGATCTCTATCTGCTTGATGTAGATTTGAAATCAATTCGAACACTCTAGTTTCTTCAAGTTTGATGATACCCCAATTGACTGGCTTGAACGTTTTTTAATGGGATTGGATAGAACCAGATGTCTAATTGCACATAAGTAGGGTGTGCTGCCTCCAATAGAATACTTGAAGCAACATACAATGCAGAATTGAGTTTTCGTTAAATCAAAAATACTCATTAAGAGGCAAGTTAGTGCTAATCAACTCAGCCACTATCAGATGAGGTACAGTATCGGGAAAAGTATGTACCTCCCACAACAACAGCACCATCACCATGAGCAACTCAGATAGGCGGACAATTTCAGGAACTGAGGAGTACGTAATCAAATCATCAAAGGCTATCAATCTCACCCAACATCCACTGAACATGACGATATGACACTCGACCTTGATCTGAAGCTTGTCGGTGGCCTGCCTGGAAAGTTTCCGCAAACATCAGGCCCCGTTCATAATGTTGAATACCCATGAGTCCCTGTGGACCATCGAGACCACCGTATCCATCTTGTGCATCAAAAATTGCAGACCATTGTAAATCAGGCATTTCAATGTTAATAGGAGTTGCAGGACGAGTCTGAAAGCCCAATTCACCATTCCAGGTCATATTCTGGATTGCCAGTAGCGTTCCGTTCGTGATAACCAAATAATCCCAGTCTCCATTTGAAATTAGGACCCGGTTCGTTGCCTCTATGATGCGGGGAAGAACACCTTCTGTAGGATTCAGAGAAGTATCGTATTGCTGCTCAGGCCCTGGGTTATCACCCACAAAGACGCTCTCGGAGCTGCATAGCTCCCACTGAACACTTTCAGGCGCATGAAGAGCCTTTTTAACATCCGTTCGATTGAAATAAGTTGTAGGAGCCGGTTCATATGCAAGATCTGTAGGAAATCCCAAGACATCCCATAGCAGAGGACATGTTTGACTAACCCTATAGGGACTCCAACATGGATTTGGATCATAGGCTTCGTAGTAGATCATGTTATAAATATCGCAGACGGAATAATTTATATATTTGGCTGGCTGTACCTCAGAGGCTGGATAAGTGAAATACTTGTCGAAGTACGCTTCGTAGCCGCACTCTTCGTAGGTAGACTGCAATTCTTTCATGAAAGAGCTATTAAAGTTGAATAGCTCCGAATGTTGCTGAACAAATGGATAAGCAGGGAGTTCCGCTTGAATCCAATCCCACTGGCCAATGCATGCATCATACATTAAAGCCCCTAAATTATTAATAAGAACCTGTTCCAACCCTGGAGAATAACTCCTTGAAAATATAGATTTATCAAGTTCGACTGACCACTGAGATCAAAATGTTCGGTATCGTTTTTATCAAGCATAGCAGCAGATATGTAAGGAACATAGCGGCCCGCATAGCTCTCGCCGGACATGAAAATTCGAAAGTTTCTTATATTGTATAGTTTTTGAAATTGTGTTAGGAAGTGGACGAAATCAACTGCAATATCCTGTTCATCTTTTGCAGTTGGAGTGCCGACTGAGAACCCGGTCCCAACTGGCTGGTCGACCCTAGGCACATTGAAAATTCTCGTTAATCCAAAAGCTTAATATTAAAATTGGAAGAACTTACCATAGCATATTGGTCAAGTTCACCCATGCATATTCATTGACGACTGGCTTGTAAGTACCTGGTTGCCAAGTAAAGCGCCCGTTCTCTTGCAAGAAACCTTGCATTGAACTACAGCCTGGTCCACCGCTAAGCCATATTGTGAGGTCGTCACTTGGCTCTCCGATCTTCGGCTGGAAAATATAAAAGAGAGAAGCATTCTCACGGACTGGTATAGACCCCGAGTACATCTCGCCTAAGTCAAAATGGACATCAGGCAGGCTTTCAACCAAGTGCGCTATAGATGAGTCAATAGATTTAGCTGAGACCACCTGGTCCGTGGTAAAGGCTTTTTCCAAGACATAGCACATACGCTGCGTAATTTCATTCAGAAATCGGTAATCAGATCTACTGATGTTCTCTGATACTCGAGAATGACCCGATCTAGTTGCTTGCGCGTCTTTGAACAGTATCAGAGTCACTGCAACTGCTGTTGCGAGAGATCGACCGAACATTTTCAGCGTCGCCGTCTGCACCTTAGAGAACGGGTCTTAGGAAGAACAGCCCACAACACTGCCAGATCTGAAAAGAGCAGTTCTTATAGTCCCAAATTCTAGATGCCTATTCTTCAATTCGAGGGGTTCCTCCTTTTCGAGGTAAGAATGGATACCATTTGTAATTTTGTATTTTCTTGTAATTTTGTAATTTCTTAAAAATTATAATATCTAATCTGATAATCAATAACATAGAAGACCCTGTGTGGGGCGATGTGGGCTTTCTAGTCGGTCCGCTCAGGACATGTCCTCCCGTCTTTTTCGGGGTTCAAAAATTAATTTGAGCAAAAGTCTCATCACAAGCCCAGGGGCTGAGGATTACTCTGGCATTGTTATAGGAGCTTTATGATTTTCTGGGTTTCAATGGACAGGATATAGTCAGATCAAGGAAAGTTCGTCTTAATGATCAAGATCATTTTCATGCTTCATTGTCTCAATTCCAGAGTATGTCGCTTTAACATGGTTGAAGGCTTGCGCGTCCTTTCGGCAGTTACGATGAGTTTCCGAATATTGCAGGTACCCGCTACGCCTAGATCCATTTGTGATTCGTCTTTGCTGCCGTTTCCTGCCGGACCCATGAAAAAGCTAACCAACAGCTCCACTCCAAGACATGAAAGGAGTTCCTCTCTGATGACAAAATATGAATAATCTTTCTGTTACCATTTCGACACAAGTAGTGTGCTTGATTGGCCAAGATATTATGGGGCTTTTGACTACACCAATTCTGGCAATTTTCTTAGGGCTTGCTAGCAAAGGCATTTTCGGCTATGTCTGACCAGTACGAAATACACTTTAGTATTACGCCAAATTTGGGAGAATAGATTTGGACTCTCTCATCAGTTGTTTCATATGTCCAATCATAAATTTCCGTTATTGGTTCCCGTTGTACTATATCTTAGTGTTTGACGAACTCCCCCCTGGTGAAGACGCTGGTGTTAGGAACGGAACTTCCAAAGCTAACCGAGAAGCGGAGGAAGAGGAATACGGAAACAAGCTGTGCATACAGCAGCATGAACATCATTGAACGAAGCAGGATCTAATCCTGCTGGCTCAGGATGATGGAGATGCAGGGGAATGGTGCAGTGGGGTATATACATACAGCATCTAGTAGTGCCGATGCTGTATGCGACCGAGGTGCCGGTCGGAATGAGAAGATGTCTACTTCATGCGGGCGTTGTTTACGGGTTTATGGCGGTTTTGGACTGATTTTTGCACTACTTTCGGGCATTTTCTATGGCATCGTGCCGTTTTCCTTTGCATTTGTCATTTATTTTGCACAGCCGGCATTGGATTAGCTCTTGTTTCCGCCGGAGGAAATACCTACATAGCCATTCCGCCATAAGTTAGGCTGCATTAGGTTAATAGAGTTATTGATTGATTGAACTCCACCTCTCCCCCCCCTCCACGACCCGGAAGGGTTGGGAGGGGGACACATTATCTCGGGTCGTGGGGGCGCCACACACTATTGTCAAATTCTCTCTGCGTAGAATCGGCATGGTGATGTTCCATGCACTTTCTTCCACTGCTTCCGAGGCTTCTTCTCTGTATCAGCTTCTTTAACAGCTCCCTTAGCAACTTAATGGTTAAACTGCCTAAGAGAGGACCCCTATCTTGCCAAGTGGGGATTTCACTTAACGCCTTGTGATTGGACGATGTAGTGGGTTTTTAGCTTCCATACTCTTGCGAAATGTGTAGGAAAAATTCAGAGGCTAGTGTGTGGCGTACCCAGAACCCAGGAGGCCCGGTGGGGGAAGGTGTAAGGCACATATAGCGGGTACAAACATCCTCTCCGGCAGTGTTACGCCATGACTTGAGCCCGTAGTAGCGCCACCACATGTGATTCTCAGTTTGATCTGATGAGAATTATATTTCATGATTCACTAGCACTAGCGTGTCATTTTAGGGGTAGGAGGAGCTGATAAAACTGGGTTTGGAAAAATGAGATCGATAGACCCATCACCAGAGATGGTTTGCTTTCCGGGCGGCCTTGTGTGCGAGTAGAAAAAGGGAGAGGTATTTTCACATTTTTCTAAAATGAACTGGATGGTCAAATTGATCTGTATTTTCTACTTCCTGTGGAATATACCTTATATTTCGATAGAAGTACTTCTAGGGTATGAAAAAGAGGGCACCTGTATGCTCTGAGACAATACTCCCCACGTGAGTAGGACCACGCAGGCCAGACAGCCACAAGCCACTGCAGGGGTATCGAGAGCCAATGAAGCCTAATGGTGCATAAATAACCTGTATTTCTCGTTATAACTTATGATTTATAACTAAAAAGATCACCTGTCTATCACCATGCACTTGGCTAGTGTACCACGAACCGACACATGAATAAAATTGCATTAGAGAATAAATTGATCTCAGACATAATTCTTGACTTTATGTAGCATGACTTTTGTTCAGCTAAAGCCCACGCACGGGGGTCCGGATTCCCGGGATACAGTCGGGACAAGTCCTTTCATCTTATCTGATTTGGTCATTTTTGGCTCACGGAGCCGACATTCTGTTATAATCGGCTCTTGTATTGTCCCAGGAATATTATATTATACAGCCACCACATCTCTCAGTATCCTAAAACTGCTGTCATATGAGTTTGGAGCTTTTTAAAGCTCTATTCTTCACCGTGCATGGCCCCCAATCCCTTCCCAACTTTGATATTGGCACGATATCCCCTCATCTAGACTTATTATATTTTATTCGCCGAAATTAATAGGACCGTAAGAAAAGATACAGTTCCCCCTGAAACTTTTCTCCAAAAGGGCTACGCATTGAATATAAATAGAAAGGCAGTTTGGAATCTCTTTGATCGTCCACAAAAGTTCAAGTTTTTAACATAGAAGTTTCTACTGATCAACCACTGTGAGTTTGACTCTATTCTAGAGAAGAAATTTTCTGCTAAATATATGGGATTAAGTTTTTTATCATGCTTATTACGACACATATGCCGCTGGCCATATTGACTTTGTCAATGAATGCTTGGGCTTTTGACACCTTGCTTACGTTCCCGAGTCTGATCACAGTTGAAAACCGTACAATGAACGAGATCTACAAAGCTGCACTGGCTGAGGGAGGCATCGTCACCGCCTGGATGGGTGGTGACGAAAGTGACCAGCAAGATAGTCTGAAATCTTCCTTTGAAGCAGCTTACCCAGGTGTCATTCTCCATGTCACTGTGGATTTGTCTAAATATATTGACTCCAGGATTGATTTTCAACTGTCTCAGGGAAATTTGATTGTCGATACAGTTGCGATACAGACCCTACAAGATTTTCCAAGATGGGTAAAAGAAGGCGCGTCGGAGTTGTATCAGCCGTTAGGTTTTGATAAGGTTTACGAAGAGTTCAAGGATCCTGAGGGGGCTTACTATCCATTTGCGGCTGGCAGATGGCAGATAATTTGGAACACAGGCAAGCTAGGGAAGAACACCGTCTTGAAGGACTACACCGATTTTCTGAAGCCTGAATTTAAAGGCAAGATGGTGCTTACATACCCTAACGATGATGATGCCGTCTTGTACTGCTTTGATCTCATGTCAGTCGTTTCTATCGTGCAGTTCACAACCTCTCCCCCTTTCCCATCCAGCGAGCGAATCGTAAGACGTTCTTTATTTTGAATCTCATTTTACTAACAAACTTCATAGTCTTAAAACATATGGTGCCTCTTTTCTTGAGGACCTTATCGCTAATGAGCCCAAATGGGTTCGCGGCACCGCCACTCCAACTACCTTGATCAACGATGCCAACAGTACCTATGCCATGACTTTCACTGCTGGAATTGGCCTTTTTTCGACAGCCAACTCTAGCATTAAGTCCACCTATCCCACTTCTGAATTCATGACCGGTGTTCAAACTGTCGCCATATTCAAGGATGCTCCACATCCTGAAACTGCCAAGCTATTCCACAACTACCTGCTCAGCAAGGACTATCAGAGCAATCCTGCTTCATGGAGCTTTCGGAGGGATATTCAGGCGCCTTCTGGTTACCCGAGGTTGATAACCCAGAATGGAACAAAATCCGACTGCTTTCACTCGATTTATGAATGATCGTGAGAGCGTGGAGAGATTGCGGCTGTGGTTTGAAGACAGACTGGGCACTCCACAGGGATTGAGCCCGCTGATCAACATTTATGTACAATATTGGTGTATGTCTAGAGTCACGATAGTGAATATCCCAGTAGGTATAATTTTCTATTCGCGAAAATCAGGTTTCAATCTAACACGACCGGCTAGTTTAAAGTGGTCTTGCTATATGCATGGGTTATATGGGGAATGTTGAAGCCCAGGAGCACAGCTGACCCATTGGAAATAAAATTCGTAGCCGATATTGAAGTGGGGGAATGGCGGTCTGCAGCTTCACTCAGGGTTGATGTTTTAAGATAACCCCGCTCGCGAAGGACAGACAATCAAACACCTTCTCTTCTATATACTCCTATGTCTCCTCTCTAGCACTCCTACTATCCCCATAGGCTGGACCTTGTACACAGACAGCTCTAGCCTTTCCCCCAGTTCAATACCTATACAAAGGACTTTGTTCATCGGTTATCAATGTGATGGCCTCGTTACAATAGTTCACGTCTTACACTCTTTTAAGTATTTGTCTATTCTGAGGGGGATTTCAAACAAAAAATTCTGCACCTCCCTATATATAGGATAGATTAAGACAGGAACACCCGAGTTAATTGCTCTAGTTGTCGTCGAACTATAGTAACGGGTAGTGGGCCGATCAAAATAATATCAAAATGACCGACTATACGATTATCTTGAAGAACTATTGAGATAACTTTGAGAAAGAGCTGACAAAATCATGTCTGAAACTACATCGATATACAATATGACGAAGTGGAGTTGATAACTCAACCAACCTGGCTTGCAAAAAGGTTGTGGGGGGCGGGTGTCGCGCCAGGCAAAGTATGAGGATATATTACTAGTCCAACAGAGATATTTTCCCGTATTTTGCGCGGGTAAACTCAGTCTGACCTGTATCTGTTGAGTAAATCGGACTACATACGCGCTTTCAAGGAGACGAAGGATGCGTATGAGAACCACACTCCAGTTGGTCGTCTTGGGAATCCTGTGTTATTGAAGGCTCATCTACACTTTTCAAGCAAATAATCCCAAACTTTTCAAATTTAACCCGCGTATCTGATTTTCATTTCACATGTGGTCATTGATGGTCACTACCTGGTTTATGATATATTTTCTAGCTCGGTCGAATATAGAAGCTCCGTTTAATACTTACCTTATGATAAGAACAATCTCCGTTCCTTGATTCGCACCATATTTATACTCTAGATATGCCGTTATTAGTAGTATATTCTATTGCTAAACGTTGATTAGGGGTAAGCTCACCTTTTAACTTGGCTTTCTAGCGTTTTCTAATAAAGAATCTACTATAGAGGTGTTGTGAAGGGAAGAGAAGAATTTAGAGTAGGTAGTTACGTATTATAGTAATAAATGTAGGGTCTGTAAAATCTTTTAAATTGGTATCTATTATGGAGATCCTGAAATGAGACGAAGTCACATTCAGATCCGCATCATGAAGGCCTTGTGCGAGTGTCAGGGCCCTCCAAACTGACCATTCCGGGACCGCTTGTGAACTTGTGGACACCATCTTCGAGGACTATCCACTAGTAGCTGTGACTTTAGGGGGTTCTTTGTTTCAACGCCCGATCTGGTCTTCAGAGTGAAGTCTGGCAAATACAGGGCAAGAACGCGAACGCGTCATCTCTTCTTTCAGAAATGGACTACCCAAGAACATCATTACAGGCAATAGTATACTCTGTATTCAAACTATGTACAAGAGGCAAGAGGATTAGGAAGCTGAATATATTCTTGCCAATATATGCTCAGAACCGATCAAATCTATGAGCTATCCTCCGCATAGTTGACTTTTTTTGCGCGACTACTCCGCCGAGTTGAGGTCTGAGTGGCGACAGTATCCATCTCGACAGATAGACTACTGATCTCATCTGATTCTGGTGTAGACTCGATTTCTGAAGCCTTGCGCTTCGCCGAAGACTTAGTTGACGATGGTGTGCGGCGACCTGAGGCCTTGGTTGGTTTCTTTATTGGTGTTTCAAGAGCGCCATTTGTGGAATCAGGATCGATTTTGATCTTCGAGGGGCTAGTCTTCGCTGGACTTGCACGAGCTTTAGGCTTGACAACCTTTTTGCGGGACGAAGCCATTCTTCCATGCCCCGCGGCCAGTAGACCCTTCGTTCCGGGCCTCCCATGCCAACCTCATCATCGGGGATGATCCGAGGTGGTGGAACAGACCCCTCAAGGTCGACAAAGCCACCGTTCTTTTTCGATTTGCGTGGCGGTTTGAAAGGCGTGTTTTCGTCCGTTCGTGTATATGGGATGATGTCATTGAAAAGATCATAGCCAGGTAACTTGAATGTTCGCATCAATTCAAACACAGCCTGCTCCTTGTCCTTGGCCTCGATCATCAGGTCCATTGTAGGAATGCAAGGAGGCAGGGTAGCCACGCGATCACTATGTTTGCGACGCTGGTGAAGCGTGATAGCCGCAGAAACTGGTTCGGAATAGTGCATCTTCTGAGTAATATTCTTTCGTGACCATGTAGCTGCAATGCGATCGTAGAGTGGAATGATATCCTGCGTTCCCTCCCGGAGCTCATTGGCATCAAACATGATATTATGGTGGTGATAATCCAGTACCAGGGGAATATTTAGTTCCTCGCAGATAGGGAGCAGATCATGAACAGTCCAGCTGACGTCGTCATTTTCAAGAACCAATCGATTCTTCACATCGTTCGATAATTGAGCGTAGTTCGCACGAAACCGGTCCAGCGTGGCCGCCTTGTCGCCAAAGACTCCACCCATATGCAAAATCATGACAGCATCACGATCTTGTTGCGGGGGAAGCTTGAGTAGCTGAAGCATCTCAGAATGATACGCGAGGTCGCGGTAAGAGCTCTCTACCACCTCTCTTTTGGGGGATCCCAATTGTGTAAACTGCCCCGGATGGACTGACACCCGGTGGCCGAGTTCTGCAATTACCAGGCCTGCATCGGCGAGGACATCGGAGGCAAACGGTGCTAGTTTATATCCAAACTCCTTGTGACTGGCAAATGGAAACATTTCACTGCTCAATCGCATGAACTTGATACCGTATTTGTCGTTCCAGCGTATCAACTTCACCAAATCACGCGCATTAGCTAATCCAAGAGACTCAACAAACGCCTGGCCTCGCGCTATATCGGCTGGCTGATCACGGTCTGGTCGATTCTTGGTTGGATGCGCGGGTTGATCTGGATATTGAAGAGGATGCCGATTCTCTAGAATGGAAGCAATGCGACAGGTACGAGAGCAGAACACCGGAGGGGTTGAGTTGCGAAGGTAAGTATTCAAGCAAGCCTGGGCGCACGTTAGCTCCGGGGTCTAGTGGCGCATAAGTGATCTGTAATGCAATCGAGGACAACCCACATATCCTAATCGCCCCTTCCAGGGTAGAGGGAGGTAATTACTATGTACCGGTGGTGGTCGTCCGAGGGCTTCTTTCAGCTCCGCCGCGTCCACCGGGACATCCTCGTCGGATTCTGGATCCAAAGAAGCGAGCGCCCGTCCAGCGGGCGGAGTGGCATCCCCATTGAGGATATCGATGGGCTTTGTGTTGGCCTCCTGTGTGCGTGTGGCCATTTTCAAAGCTTCCGGTTCTAGTGAGGATTTGATGTCGCGTGGGAAGTATTGGGTCTGTGTGCCAGGAGATGATGCGACGAGCTTGGCGGAATAGCTGGCAAATTGCGCCGTACTCCGGGGACTGTATAAATGGAGGCGCGAAACCGGTCGCGCTACATGACGAACATGACCCAGAACCGCGATGGGCGATCTGGCGTTCGCCACGGCAATCGATCGATCGATCCTCAGTGACGAGGGGTGGCGACCCACAGGGCTAGGCCTTGGAAAGCAGGCATGCTGGGCAGGCAGAGTGCGCAGTAGCCCAAAGGAACGACACATCCAGCGAGCTCCTCAGCCTCTGGGGAGGATTTGAGAAATTGAAGGAGTAGTGGGGAGGCAGGTTACAAGGGGAGGGGGTTTACGGCAGCGCAATGACGCGCTAATCGCGACAGCGCGACGCATCGCGGGAGCTCACCAACTCCGCTTCGCTCTACAGGGCCCGCTCCAAAGTAGACTGTGGAGGTACTCCAGACAGACTTAAGTTTGTTGCTGGGGCTGAGACAAACGAGGATTGTTGATGCAAAACGCTTTTAAATACCTTGCCCCTGGCGCGCCGCTTCAATCGCTGGGATTGGCTACATTCGCAGCACAGCTTCGGCCTCGGGACGTCATAGTCGTCGTTGTCTGGCCACGAAATTCGAAGTCTAACTGGCGGCGATGAGCAATATGAAGTCGACTAATCCAGCTGGCAGAGACCTTGATGCCATCACTGGATCAGTTATATCAGACCAATAAAACGCAAGACCCTTCCTCGTCAAAGTGGTTTCTGATTCCTGAAATGTGGCATGTAGGGGGCAACAGGGGTTCGCAACAGAGCGCGAGAGGTTTTCGGTCTGGGCTGATCCAAATGGTGGCTGGATTCCGCTCCGTTGGTCTGGATCTCTTTTCAATACAGTAATTCACTCATTGCTATAGGACGATACAGCGGGAGTTGAGATAGGTCTAGACGCTAGACGAAGACTAGAAATAGGACGAGGAACGAAAGATGGAATTGCAGAGGAGAAAATTGGAGGCGAAGCAACAATCATGGATATAGTGTTGATGCCATAATATCACGATTAAATTCCCCGGCAACGGATCTAGCGGAGAATTATGTCGAGACGGAATGAAGGCACTTGATGGAGGCTTTCATATTTTCGCGATATACGTGTAAGCATTACCAACGGGCCCCTGCATAGACTGCTCGAAATAGTCACGGCATGGTCATGCTCGGCGAATGAACAGACTGGTCTCTCATTTCTCCCGTGGGCCCCAGCGGGCCAGCGGGGAGAGTTCTTGTCGTCCAGAGATTCGCATTGATGTCAAAAACACCGACGGCGAAGGCTAAGAGATGGTGCGCGCATCAACCTTCGAGCCATCTAGGCGGATAGAAGCTGAAGAGGGAAAAAGTTGCAACATGGGCATATAGGGCGTGCATGACAATATATCCAGCTAGGTTACCTCATCTGCGCAATGATTGTGAATGGTGAGTGGGGGCAAGAACGACTGGATACCAGCATTCTTCACGTTGCGAGGTCACAACACTAGGTCGACAACATGGTGGGCTTGGATCGCGATATGATGGCATCCCTCATTCCTATGAACAACACTGGAGAATGCCGGGAACCAGTGGGCATTTATTTATACTTGGCGCATTCAGGTTCTTTCCCAATCTTTCAACCGTCTGTCCCTCTCAAGAACAAGACAAGCATTTTAGCCCTGGTGGTTGAGTCCTTGCTTACAGACTGTTGACCCTCTGATATACTCCGGCGATTTACCCCATTGACCCATTGTTTGTAAGTGATATATCGTGTCTTCGAGGGTAATGGTTAAACATGCTAATTGCCTGAAAAGCACATACCTTTTTCTTCGGTCTACACTGTGCAAGATGAAGGGAATCGCTCTGCTCAGCAGCTTGTTGGCGGCCACTGCATCTGCACACATGCAGATGGCCAAACCATATCCCATTCGCAGTCCTCTGAACAAGGACTCGGATGGCAAGAAGGACTACTCATATACCAACCCGCTGCAGTCCTCTGGAAGTGACTACCCTTGCAAAGGCTATGCGAATGATCCCTTCGACTCGCAGGCGACCTATCAACAGGGCAAGGAGTACGAGATGGAGCTGGATGGCAGCGCCACTCACGACGGGGGCTCGTGTCAACTTGCACTGACCTATGATCAAGGTAAAACGTTCAAGGTCATTGAGTCCATGCTGGGAGACTGCCCCATCGCCAAGAAGTACAGCTTCACAGTCCCCTCCGATGCTCCCTCGGGCGAAGCCCTATTGGCTTGGACTTGGTTCAACAAGGTCGGCAACCGAGAGATGTACATGAACTGTGCCATGGTCACCATTGGTGGCAGCGATGCTCGCGATTCTGGCAATGCAACTGAGTCTAACTCGCCCAAGGTCAGCGAGCACAAGAAGCTCTCGCATGAGAAGCAGATGTCCGAGGACAAGATGGAGCATATGAACCACCCGCCCATGGAGCACACCAACAAGCAGCGCGACATGACGGGCACCGCTGATAGCACCAATCTTATGGGTCAGAGCAAGATGACTGCCTTCGACAGCCTCCCCGATCTCTTCGTCGCCAACGTCGATCAGGCTGGCAAGTGTGTGACCATCGAGGGTGCTGCCGTGGACTTCCCTATCCCGGGCGACGCTGTCATTGGCAAGATCGATGGCAAGGACAAGGGCTACAAGTGCACTGGCGAAGCTCCCTTCCTCCCCGCCAGCAGTGATAGCAGCGACTCGGAGTCGACCAAGTCGACCAAGACCTCCAAGTCCTCCAAGTCCTCCAAGTCGAGCAAGAACAACAACACCACTCGCACCGTTAACACCAACACCCAGTCCATGTCCATGTCCATGTCTAAGATCGCCTCTGCTTTTGGTACCCCGACCGCAGACCCCCGTGTCCTGTCCAACTTGGGCACCCAGGCCACGACCAACAATGCTTTCTCCAACTACGTTGGTGAGTGGAGCTGTGTCTCCGGTGAGATTCTGTGCTCGCCCGATGGGTTCTCTTGGGCCATGTGCTCTAACAGCCGTCCCATTTACATGGGTCCCGTTGCTGCTGGCATGCTGTGTCGCTTCGGTGCTATGGTCACTGCCGGCTGGTAAATTGCTTAGTGTTTACTCCCCTTGACCTTCCCGTCAATCCTCTTCGACAGAGAAGATATCCTGGATGGCTCCCCTCGACTGGGTCGACTGAGTTCAATCATTTCTTCTACTTCTGCCTTTTTCCCTTTCATGTGTTGTTTGGCCTTTGTTGCCAGCTGGTGTTTGGTGTCGGAGTTTTAATTCCCGTCTTTATTCCTTTTCGCAAATTTGGTGACGCCCAAGTCGACTGACTGTTGACTCTGATGCCCCTTATGTTGATTTGTATTTCTAATGATTGTCCACAGCTCTGCTTGGTTTCCCGCATGTGCTTCATGTCTTTTGGTGTTGGGTTGGCGCTGTGGGTGAAGACATGTAGTCGATGTTGTATGTTTTGTAGTATTAGAAACAATGAAATAAAGCTCTTCTGAAATTTACTTCCATCATCTTCGCGCGAATATCTTTTCTAGGATAACTTCATCTTTTTATTTCCCCTTATTTTATTTTCCGGCGAAATATTCAAATGTCAGCATATACAATCTTTAATTTTTGATCACATATTTCAGAACAAATGATTATCTGAGGAGCCTATCAATGCAAGTCCTGTCTCCCTGTACAATATGCATGTACTTTTCCTGCTCTGGTCGATCAGTCAGTCTGTCTGCTGTGGATGCGTAGCAGGATATATTCTTGCTCTTTCAAACAGAAAGGTCGCTCATTTAGATGCAAAAACTCTTCTCATTACTCTTGATCGTCTGGCTGCTTGTTCTCGTCTTGGGGCTCCGGTAAATATCGCGAGACAAACGACAGCCCGGAAGCCAGCACAAGCATAAGAATCCAAATAGCATAGCCCCCGCTAGTTGAGATCGCGCGCCTAGCGCAAACAGGGTGGTGAAAAGGGCCGGGCAGAACGCTCTCAAAGCACTAACACCGGTCAAGGCCAGTGCGTTAAGCGTGCCCAGGACTCTTGGCGAGGGTGAGACATCATTGATGGCCAGCTGTATCGCCGTAAAGCTCATGCTGACTCCGCAACCGACGGCCAGCATCACCGGTAGAATGACCCAGAATGCTCTTGCAGATTCTTCGGTCCCCATGCGCAGGAGGATATTTCCGAAAGGACAGGCCAGGAAGAATATGGGATATGCAAATGCACAAAGGCGGATCACTCCCTTGGTCCCAATCTTCTGCTGTAGTGGAGGGAAGATCAGAAGAAGCCAGGCCGCTTGGGAAGCACCGTTCAACCCCATCATCAAGGAAATCTGCATCGGTGTAAAGCCATAACCGCCAAGGCTGACAGGGGTGAACCAAAAAACGGGTATTATGGCTGTGTAGGCAAAAGCGAGCATCATGATGTGCCCATACGTGTACAGGACTGTGGCAACTCCGGGTGCTTTCAAAAGCTGCCATGTCGAGAGATCCTCGTCTAGAGACAAGGTGTCCGAAGCAACCTCACTGTCATCTCTGGGTGTTGTTGGCTTCTTGCTCTTCTTCTTCAGCGTTTCCTCCACGAAGAAGGCGCTAGATATGGCAGCAGTCGCACCCACAAGACCGATCACTATGCTCGAAAGTGCATAGGGGTAGTTCTCGAAGAACGGGATGCCTCCAAAGATCCCCGGGTACTGCTGTGCCGGCTCAGCAAGAGCACCGCCCAATAGAGGCCCCAGGAAAATTCCCAGATTTCCGCTAAAGGCAAACCAGCTGAATGCCCGGGCCTGAGTCTTGGGTGTGCTGTGCTCCGCGACCATCGTCCGGATGGTAACGATGGTCCCCGCAAAGACACCAGCAAGACAACGGAACATGATCATCTGCGCTATGGTCTTTGCTAGGCCGAAGAGGCCCGTCGCTAGAGCCACGCCGAATAACGAGGAGACCAGCACGGGCTTCCGCCCGACACGATCGGATGCGAGGCCCCAGAACATCATGACGACAGCCTGGGTCAGGGAGAACAAGGATTCGATGAGTCCACTGTAGAATCCGACATCTGAGTCCGGAACGCTTCCATTATTTTGTACCATCTGGTTGACGTAGGGAAAGATGGAGAAGAAGGCCAGAGGCTCTATCACCCTGGCATAGCAGAGCAGCAGCACCTGGACTTTGGGTAGAGGCGCTTCTTCCTTGTCACCATTGGTGTAGCTATTCAGAGGTCCTGATGTGCGCACATCTGTTAAGAGAGCTGTGGTTTCATTTACATGGTCACTTTGCTCGCCAAGCACGAGACCCGGATTGAAGAGACCCGGGTTGAAGTGAGGCGTCTCTCGACCAGGATGGTCTTGGTCTCTGCCCTTAATGCTGGCAACCATATCTAGAAATGGCGAGTTCCCCAGTATGCCGTCCTAGATCAAATGTGTAGGCGACCTGTCCCACCGGATGGTTACTTTTCTACGATGGAATTGCGGGAACAATGTGGAGGCGAGTGAGTGCCGGAGTTATGTTAGCCCGAAGGCTCCTATTAGACTCGTCAGCGCCGACTCGGCGGTCGCTGGTCTAGACACCATCTACGCTTGCAAGGGATTGGAGGTTGGAAGATATCACGGGCATTAAGACGGTGGCACTTTGAACGGTTCAGAAATTCCATTGAATATTAGCATTATGTTCTCTGTGCGAAGCATGTGAGCTCCGCCTGTCTAGGTGTGATAAACCTGGTCCCTCGAAGATAATATACATTCAATCTTCATAGCAAAAAAGAAGCCTGGTATCTTAACTCCTCTCAAAAAGGGTTGGTAAATGGGTCGTACAGTCATCGCTGGGTTTGGAGGTCCCGCGCAATCAGTACCAGTCAGAATCTCAACCCCAAGAAAAAGATGAGTCCCGCAAGGAGCCATCGATCAGTCGCCTTTGGGGTTTCGTTTCATATGGTATTTTAACTCATGCGCAAATGTTTTAGTAGTTGCCAGTGTAAGCAGAGCTACCATAGCCATAGCCATTTTGCACAGCTGTGGGGTTACCGTTGTCGGTCGCATTCTTGTTCTTACCCCACGAGCCGAACCAATTCTTCTCGTTCTTGGTCTCGGCACCAGTTTCGACGTCAAGGGGGGTGGGGTGACCGGGCAGGGCATCGGCAGCACCGCTGGCCTCGGGAGTGTTCTTCTTACGGCTGAACCATTTGCGACCAGTGCCGTAGGTATAGCCGTTGGCCGGGGAGGGGCCGAAGCGCTTCTCGCGCTTGTGGTGGCGGGCCATGAGGACCTGGAAAATAATGGAGATCAAGAAGAAGAAGCTGTCAATTTCGTAAGTAAGACGTATCGATTACTCTCAGGGTGGCATGGGTATACTCACATTCCGATCACGGAGACAGCAAAGGTAACCTTCTCGAGCTTGCAGGCCATGCCGTAAGACAAATTGGCCTTTGAATCCTCGTTCGCATTGCCAGTACCGAGGGGAGTGTTCACGGTGCCAGTGCACTTTTGAGTGCCATTGCGAGTCATGACCGCGATCGCGATCATGGCACCCGTGAAGCAGACATCGAGCACCACAGCGATAAAGGCGAAGAAAGATACTCCGCCCAGGCAGCAGACCAAGATAGCACCGAGAAGACTGTATAGACAGGCTGCACCAGAAAGACCTTCGACAGCCTTCAACCAGGTGGCGATGGTCTGATCATGTCTGGAGAGGATGGCGAGATAGTAAGAGAAGATGCCGAGGATGACGGCCGCGTCGAGGAATTGCAGCACGCGAATCGCGAGACCGCAGAAGCGTAGGATGACACCGCCGGCTCCCATAGTGGTTTGATGAGATGAAGGGGGAAAGATATTGCAGTGGACCACCGTTGAATGGAGGGTGTTGCAAAAGGGTTTTGAGGGCGAGCGAGCGAGGCAGCAGGATTCCCGCTTATAACGTGGACCCTAGCCACCAGACGCAATTGTTGAAGATCAGTGGATGCGGGTCCCAGCGATCCCTGGTGCAGGGTTTCTGAATGGGCTTCGCGGGGGTCTACGCCACAAAGCAACAGAGGCACGACAGGCACTGATGACCCGCTGATGTCACTTGGAGCAAAAGCAGCCCTTGGCACCGTGTTAGAACATTGTTTGATTTGGCATGTTGACGGAAAGCCTGGTCCACTTTGCCGCATCAGGGAGTGGGTCGCCATCTGATTTGCTTGCCGAGTAACGCCGCCACCGCATGTGACGAAAAGTGGGGAGACTGGAAAAGTCGGACAAGAAAACAAAAAAGATTCACTAGTGGCTCTAGGTCCTGATCCCCAGCCACCTGCGCAAGGTCGCCTCGGCGACAAGGACTGCGGTAAGGTTGTGGAAGGACTAAATTTGGGGAGGCGGGACTAACTATGAATAGTACTCGGGTAGCTAAATAGTAGGATGGAGTACACCTCCTAACTTCGCCCTCTGTCGATCTACTGTCCTTTTGAGTAGTCACTAAGGTTCTTAGTGCTGATGACATATATCCAGGGCCTCGTTATATGTAGACACCTTGAGTGGGGTCGATAGGATGATTGTATGCAGGGCACAAATGGGTCGCAAGGTCCAAGTGGGAACAGGATAGAGTGAAGAGTGATGCCTGTGGGAAGGTGGATGAGCTACAGCAACATACCACACTCCATGGAGCTTCCAGCCAGGCGGTATGCAATGGGCCGAACACGGATACAACGTGCCATGCATATATAGAGATTAAGGGGATTGTTAAGATGAAATTGACCATGATTGGCTTTCCCTCGTTGGCTTTTCCTCGAGGGTGTTTGTATGAGTCCTCTTGTGTGTAGTGCATACATTCTGTGCCACTCTTTCCCAGACGCCGTACAGTACCAAATTTCACACTTGAAGCTGTTTTTCCAAGTCTATTAGCAGATAACGCTATTCTTTACTAGGAAACCAACGCTTCGAATTACACCTTGATTTTTGTAGGGCAACACGTATAATATTTTCAGCCCCATTCATTGAATCAAAAAGGCAAGGAGTCCATTCATTTGACGTCAAATCCAAGTCATCAGTGCGAACTACTACTTTTGGCTTTGAGGCCGTCGGTGGCTGACTCATACTGAAAATTCATATGACCCTCGATATTCTAAGTCGGCTTGTTTCTTGCGTTCGATTTTGCTCTCTCTCGCGGGCGACACGGAGGCGAGTAAGCTCACCATCTAATTATCAATGTAGAGGGCGAAATGCGTCGCTTCGAACGTATTTATGATGTCGTTGAACCTGTCGAGGAGTACCGCGCCGGAGGCTATCACCCGGTTCACCTGGATGACACTTTTCACCAGAGGTATCAAGTTGTTGGAAAATGGGCATTTGGCCAGTTCTCTACAGTTTGGCTTGCCAAAGACACAAGGTATATTCGATTTGCTCTACCTTTATTCAAGTCCCATGACTGCCAAGCTTACGCCTTTCTCCTCTAGACTTCAAAGATATGTGACGCTAAAGATTCTTAAAGCCGATGTTTCAAGTTGTAGTCAAGAGCTTTGCATTCTCCTTCATCTATCAAAAACGAATACGAATTCTCCGGGCCGAAATAATGTTTTGCAATTATTAGACTATTTTGAGCATAGGGGCCCCAACGGCTTGCACCTTTGTCTGGTTTTTCCATTCATGAATTCTGATGGTCAAGCAATGACTGTTCCAGAACGGCCGCGCGACTCATATTATGTTCGTGAGGTTTCGAAACAAATTCTACAGGGGTTAAACTTTCTTCATGATCAGGGTTTGATTCATGGGGGTTAGTATCTCGGGCGACGAAAGCTTAAATTTATTAATGCTGATACTTGGTAGACCTCCAGCCGGCTAATATACTTTTCACTGTGAACTCTGAGTCGTCAAGCAAAATATTGACCGAGCCTGAACTCACCTATGTTCAATGGCTCCCTGGAATTGAAGATGATAATAGTGCACCACGGTATCTGGTGACCTCGCAACGTCCCCGCGGAATGTTAGACGACGTAGCGTTCTCAGCGCTTATAGTCAAAATTGGTGATATGGGCGGAGGTCTGGCCTTCTCTTTACTCTTCGAGGCTATATTTTATTGACTGTCACAATAGCTCTATGGAATATACAGGATATTGCTTCCCCTGTAACGCCTGTGGCTTTGAGAGCACCCGAGTTACTACTCCAATATCCTTGGAATCAGAAGGTGGATATATGGGCTTTGGGCTGTCTGGTAAGTCTTTCATCCTTGCTATTTATGATTATCTAAGCTTCGAGTGCAGATATTTCAACTCACTACAAACGAAGCGCTCTTCCCGTTAGAATGTTTTGGTTGCACTAAAGATGAAGTTAACGGGATTTTGCGATCTCTCATGAATGATTTCTTCGATGGTGGCATTTCAAGATTCACTATGCATATTCGTGGGAAAATACCGGCTGATTTTGGCCAGGATGAATCGGAGAATCTTGTCGACTTTCTTTGGGCAATGTTACAAGAATGTGCAGAAGCTCGAAAATCAGCCGCCGAGCTTCTCAACCACCCATTCATCGTTGACTGATAGTGCTCTCCGTAAAAATTGCCAATACTATTTGGAGAATTTTTGTCTTGATATTTGGTTTTGTATTTCAACGATTAGGGTGCTAGTGACAAGGAAAATTAAGGTTTCGTGTAAAAAAGTGGTGACACCAGCTTTAGGACACACTTCAACCCGAAAAAAATAAATGCCATCCCAAAAAAATGGACTCGCGGGGAATCGAACCCCGGACCACCCCCATGCTAAGGGGGTATTATACCACTAAACCACAAGCCCAGTTGTATACACGTGACGGGAGAATTAAGCTATAAGACTCACTTGACATTGAACTCAGGTATTGATCAATGGGCGAGACGGATGTTTAGCAACGAATATTCTGGGGGGGGGGGGTATTTGGCCCATGCAATAAAATGCAACTTATGGTATCTAGTAATTAAAAACTAAAGGTTACTAATTCTGATTGCATACTCGGTTCTCTTTTGTTCGGATTTTCAATTATTGTCGTGAAAGGGCTTTCTATGTCTTACCACGGACAGACACATATATATCATCATCTAAAGTTGTCTCCCACATGATGGGTGAGTCCGGCCCAGGGCTTGTGTGAGATCCTGCCGTTTCTCCCCGGCTCATATATTGATCTTTTCCAAAGCTGGAATGAGGACCGCACCGTCGCCGGGAAGATAGCCGGTTGAATGCCGCAAGTGTTGCCTCAGCTCCTCATTATTGGCACACCTGACAGCGTTGGCCCACCACGCATAGCGCCAGATACTATGGCATCCAATACGAGAGATATTAGAGAAATCACCAGAATACTCTTTACAATCATTGAATATACCTCGAGACGAACAGTGTTCGGGGGTTGATTATTCATATCTTCGACGTCGAAAGCCCGATATAAGGCTTCCATTAATACCGACCCCTCGAGAAAGATATACTATCAAGCAGTATAAATTCCTTTAACCCATGGCTTTGAACAAGTAAGAAAGTTAATAATCCCAGATCCTAGCCAAACGGACTGATAGAAACATTACTATATAATAAAGTGAGCACGTCCTTTTTTTCCCGACAAGTGATAGCTGTGATACTCATTATTCAGCATGTATGCACGGACCTGGTCCTGTAGTGTAGTGGTTTAGCACATTAGGTTTTGATTAAGATCTATTAATTCCTATTGACCCCGGTTCGAATCCGGGCAGGACCTTTATTTTTTTTCTGTATTTCATATCGATAATATCTATTTTTCTCTCATGTTTTCCGATTACGATCGGCGAAGAGGACATACTTTCGCAATTTACGAGGTAAGTTCAGATTCAAATTAGTATGATGACATGTTCATTATAATACTATCTGTGAAAGCGGTATCTCATAGCTGGTCCTGTAGTGTAGTGGTTTAGCACATTAGGTTTTGATTGATTTCTATTACTTCCTATTGACCCCGGTTCGAATCCGGGCAGGACCTTCTTTTTTCTTTTTCTTTACAACATTTTGTTTATTCTGTCCTGTTTTTTATTTGAATCTTATTGTAGTGCATTTGCATTTCAATCTCTTATTATATCAAATAGAGCCATATTAGTACCTCCTTTTTCTTTGTCTCTTTTTTGGAATTAAGATATTACCCAACAAGAGACTTAGCAAATTGTAGCATTCCTATTTCTAATAACAGCCACACATATTTTACGAATCACTTCTACTGACTCACTACACCAAGTTATTTGTCAGAAACAGACAAAGTAATAAAGTTCATGATTCAACACCCGATCAATGTTACAATATCCCAATTACGAAGTGAAAGACCAAACATTCAACCTCGCCTTTTTGCTCATCATTGTCCATCATTGACCTCCATCATCTTACAGAAAGCAGAGATCCATATGCCCAGACTGATTGCCTTAATACCTGACCATTAGCTTCATAAATAATTTCTTATTTATCTAGTAGCAATTTAATCCTGTCTCTCAAATTCATCCTCGCCCACTGCAGAAGGCTGCAACACCAACAAAATATCTCTTATAAAACCTGGCGACATACAGAAACTCCGCCGGCCCATGGAACTGATTACAGAACACAGAAAACTAAAGGCAAAGGGGCATTAAATTGTCATATAATAACCATCCATCAGGAGTTACCCGGTCATTTCCAGATGCCGAGCTGAGAAAATTTCCGCCAACCAAAGCCTCCAGGCAGGTTGACACAGGGAGATATTCCCACCATCTTGAGCTTCGAGGAGCCAGCCCCGAGAGAAACGATAGCCATCATTCAAGATGTCCCCTGGCGTTGTTGCTCCGCAAATGCGTTGAGGATTGAGTCTAGGCCCTCGTTCCGACGGGCAAGCAGCATCACGTCCGAGACGTTGACCGTCGATCGCCCAGCATGCCTGAATCCACGTTGCGTCGATTAGATCTAGTTTTCAGACAACAATTTGGACTTTTATTGAAGACAGAAACAATTTGACATGGGAGTGACAAAGTAGAAAGGACCGTTGAGGAGTGAGCTCACCTAGCAAACGACTCGAGGTCCTGGCTAACTGTCTCTAGTGGATTGTCAATCGTGCGTCGCTCAAGATCACCTCGCTAACAATCTGGAAAACGTTGGAGCAGATTAAATATCGCACTACATACCAATCTGTGCCCATACCATCTCCGTCAAAGCGCCAATGAACTGAGGCGTCGCGTTGACACCCAGTTTAATAGTCTCCTCGTCCACAATCTTGCCGATGGACAACCAGAGAGCGGATTTGAGGCGCTATCACGAGAGGTTGCATTAGTACACGGGAAAACCCAAGCCGCAGGACAGCACTCCAACTCACCTCCTCTAACCCGGCTTCTTCAACTTGTGCCATGTTGCTTTGCAATGGAGATTGCTCTGTCTCGGGCGCGTCCCATAGACAACACGGCTGGTGATTGGCCACCCACGCGTGCCGGAAGAACTGTTGATCCGAAGCGCAGATCGCGCCTTCCGCTTTTGAACATTTCTGGCGCTTTCCAAAAGGGTCCGGCTTTTTTTCTGCGTGATTTAATTCTGAGGACGAGGCCTTTCTGAACTGGGGACCGTCTTTCTCCCTGCATCGTTGCACGCCTCTTGAGCCCTCGTTGTCTTTTTTTTCTTTTTCTACTACTAGATTTTGAACCACGAATTGAACCGATTGGTACATTTGAACCTATCCGCAGCCACCCGCGACCTCCAACATCCCCGCCACCAGAAAACACAAGACCTCGTCGCGGACACTCAAACACACTTATATTATACACAAAAAACCAAATCATGGCCGATGTGGATTTTAGTGAACGCGCTGCCGATGCGGCGAGCGACTTCTTCTACCAGATCTTTGGCGTTGTGGACACCGGTGTGAGACGTCTGTGCAAAAACACCTACGCCTCCTTCGCAGAGGTCAGCGGAAAGCGGTGGACAAAGGTCATCCTCAGTGTGATTTTCTACATAATCGTCCGGCCCTACATCGAGAAGTTTTTCAAGTACCTGCACGACCGCGAGCGCAAGAAGGAGAAAGAGAAGAAGGAGAAGGAGAGGGCCGCACTGGGCGGGAGGAAGGCCAAGACGTCGGCCAATTCCCTGCGTGGCGGCGAGTCCGGCAAGGTTCTCGGCGAGGTTGAGAACACGGATGATGAGGTCGAGGAAGGAGAGGAGGATGAGCTGGCCCAGGCCAGTGGTGTGCCGGAGTGGAACAAGATGGCCCGCCGCCGCCAGAAGAAGTACTTGAAGAACTTGGAGAAGGGCCAGCGGGCGGAGAAGCTGTCGGAGGACCAGATCATGGAGTTGCTGGATTGGAGTGACTCCGAGCATGAGCCTACCAAGACGGCCGAATAAGTCACGGGTTGAGATATTTGGCTTTCTCTTCGGCCGTCTCGTGGCTGATTCGAGGGAGCCTTTTTTTTTGGGTGGAGCAGTTCTATAGACGGGCACGGTGTTCGTTGCTAATGTGTACTTTAATTTTCCATCTTGTTATTAGAACCCTCCGTCGACTGACTTGCAATGCCGGGCATGCGTCTGGAGATGTATAACTCAAATGAATACCCCTGGTGAAGGATGCGAAAGATGCAAACGTTCTACCGTCTACTTGTTATAGCTCTGATAACCATCCCATGCACTCAAAATTCTGTCGATGCCTAGGATGAGAGACGAAACATGGAGGAAGTAAATGGGAGAATGCTCCAAGAAGCCTTGTTTTGCTAACCCAATCCTCTGTGTATTTGTAGATCATAAGCGTACCCACGTGAAATGAACTTCATACTCGCATGCTAGAGCCAGAATCCGCGTCCAATCTTCCCTTCCGTAGACATAATCCAAGGGAAGAATCAAACTCAATGGCAAACTCAATGAAGTCGCCGCAACGCTTCAATCATGCCCTTGACGGCCTGTACATCACCCGAGCCTACCTCGGTGACAATTTCCTCCTGGAGGACGGATTCGCAATCCAGAAATTTCTCAATAAGCTCGCCGTCGACGAAACGGAATGGTTTATCAGAAGAGCGAGTCAGCGTGCGGAAGGCGCGAAATTTGTCGAACGACAGGTCACCGAGAGAATCGACTCGGCTGGCGATGGCGGTTTGAAGTCTCATGAGGAAATCTTGATGCTCGGGGTTGATGAGCGCAAAGAGAAAGATTGAACCTTCGACCTATAATACGGATTAGATATTCAAGCACGTCGACAAAAAGAATGAAGGGAGACAGAGGAAAACGTACTGTCGCTACGAACGCCCGCGGAGTCACGGTTAGGCTGGCGAGTTGTTGGATATAGATCGGACGGATGCGATTGACCATCTCTCCCAATGAGATCTCACTCGTGGGGACAAGCCGGTGTCGATCTTGTTCCGTGACACCGTTCGTGTTCCGAGATAGGACGATCAGGTTGCCCTCGGCTTCGCTGAGAAGAAGCGTGTCATCGCTGACAGAGGCGACGGCCGTACTCCATACAGTTTGATAGTGGCGGCCGATTTCCTCAAGCGAGTCGTTGACACCATCCTTGCCCTGGACATATCTGACAATGCAGACACTCTTCATGAGGTCAGCGACGACAATCAAGTCGCCGACTACAGTCACGTCGATCGGCGCCGTCGACGTGCGGTAGCTAGCTAGTTTCTCGATCTTCATAGAGCCGAAATTATTGTTGTTCACCTTGTAAACGACAACCTATCAGGTACGAGTCAGTACGATCATCATCGGGATCCTGAAGACAAAACTTGTGCCAGTTTGAAGAACTCACAGTTTTCACCAGTGCGGCAATAATCCTGTCGCCCATCATGGCCAACGCTCGGCACGCGCCTTTCACAGGCAGCTCAGCAACTTGGGTCAACTTGCGCCCATGATCCACTTCAAGGACCAAAATCCGCCCGCGGATTGACCCTTCTCGGTCCTCATCCAAATATGCTGTGCCAACAACCCAACGATCCTTGGTCACTTCTTTACCCGTCTCATCCTTCCCAGCCGGGAACTCTGCACGAATCACGCTCTCAATAAGCTCGTCCTGGTGGAGTTCTAACACATCCAAGCGACGGAACATGATCTCATCGGCGAGCACGAAATGGCTTTTCACAATTTCAGCACCGTCCTCGAGCTTGCGGTCGATTGTGCCGAGTCCAAACGCTTTCTCGGAAGGGGAGTATGCCACACGTCGCACTGTAGACCCCATTGGCAGGGTCTGAATCTGGGTTGTGCGCTCCTTATCCACAAGGGCAATCTTGAGTTCGCGGGACGTGGCCACGGCAATGGACTCGGGGTACGCTTCTGCGTTCAAGTGGCATATGCGAGACGCGCCTTCGGAGTTCACGGCCGAGTATATAATCCGTCCCTCAGACCCATAGATCAGACTCGGGTTCTCGCACGTCGCGAAAACGTTATAAAGTCCGTCGCCACGGGGCAATTTCTTGAATGTAGGTTGTTCCGAACCTAAAATGAGCTTCATCATATCGGCTAAAACGTATGTCTCGGGGTTCAATGAGAATGTAGTGACACTGCCATCGGCCATGGAGACGAAAAGAGTAGGTGGGCTATCTGCAAGGACATCGGCCACCAGGACGGAACGAGGGAATGCCTCTCCTCTTGGCCCCAGTGATTGGCTTTGGAGCTCAGAGAGGTCATTGAGCCCCAGGATAGACACCTTGGCGGACTGCGGGAAGCCGGCGATACAAACGCCCGCCGGCTTCGATGGGACAGTTACGCCCGAGATTTGTTGGTCCGCACCAAGGTCCTTTTGTGTGATAAGCTGCGCATTGCTCTGGATATCAAAGGATGCAAGGACCTGCCCGCCAACGACAAGTACCAAGTTGTCATCGTTGGCTGAAGCAGCCGTGATCGTCTTTTGGATTGGAGGTGTCCATTCAAACGTGACCATGCCACCTTCAAGGTCTGCAATCAGCGCCCTCTTCTCTGTGACTTGCAAAATTCGACCTCCCGGTAAGTTGCCGGCGAGAAGAGTATTTTCGGCGAGAGAAAGGCCTAGGAAGTCGTCTAACTCTTCGACTTCTCCGTCGGGACTGAAGCGAAACACTCGTGTTTCGTCGACGAAAGTCACTAGCAGCGTGTCGAGGAAGCTACCCGTGCTCTGAGCCTGTAGTCCCCATAGATCTGTAATATGATTCATTTCGCCCAATATCCCTAATTCCTCCATACCCACGCCACTTCGAACGCTTCGTAGAGTTCCGTCATCAAAAGCTCCAGAACCAGTCACGATCCGAGCCTGGCCAGTTGAGAACTCATGCGTTTGAACATCACTGGTCCGGTCACCCAAGTCCATCAGGGTGAAATCTAGGATGGGCGCAATGTTGGACAGGGTCTGAATAATCTCAAAGGTGCCATTGCTGATTCGTAGAACCTGAGAATCCCCTTGATGAGATCCGACAAACAGCACTCCGCCGCCTAGATAGACTAGCACCGTGGCCCGGGACGTACTGCCCAGGTAGTCCAATTTCCAGTCCTCGACATTGCCCTCGCTGTTTAGCACAAACATCAAGAAGAACAAGCGTCCGTAGTCGTCGGCCAGAAGCCAGCGCTGACTGTCGACTTTCTCCCAAGCCACGAAAACAGTGGCCTCGTCAAGATCCCGTGAAATCATATCGTTGGCATTATCATCGATGTATTTGATAGATGTCTCTCCCAAGACAATAAGACCGCCTGAAAGTCCCAATAGTTAGCATGTATCGGCATAATGGATCAAAAATGCGATACGATAAAACGAGGGATGGAAGAAAAGCATACCTAGCGGAGCCGGGATAGGGATCAAATGTGAAGACCCCAAATCCAGCTCATGAGCAAAGACACCTCCCTCCAGTTTCTTCTCCTGGACCTCTTTGAAAGTTGCATCTGCGGGATTACTCGACGTCGCCCGGCTATACTCTAACTCGCGAATGCGTAGTCGCACTTTCTTCTGGTTATCTTCGTATAACAGCGCCAGCCACGGCTGATTCGACCCGGAATGTAAGAATGCCGACGACCGAACGAACAGCTCGTCGATCCGCGACGCAGTCGGCTCGCCCAGCTCCCCGACCTGGGGCGCGTCCGATTGCAGCGCCGCCTGCGAAACCCGGCCTTTCCGCTTCGTCGGCTCCACGATAGGTATCACCACAATCACGCCCTCGTAGACCTCCAATGTCATGAACCGCCCGCTCGGGTCGACTAGGCACCGCGGGTCGCTCTGCGATTCGCGCGATGACGGTTCCGCAATGTCCACGTAGCTGCGAGCGGTCTGGACTTGCCGTGTCTCGGGGTCCCAGGCTAAAGTGAAGTAATTGTACTGGTCTGTGCCGACGAAGAGATGATCGGTCAGTGAGTGGGCCGGCGCTGGCAGCCGCGCCAGCATCGTGATCTGTGCATAAAGCGCGCGGCTTTCCGCTAATGATAGACCATCTGGGGTTAGAGTGTAGAACTCCAGTCGGTTTGCTTTTCTGGAAGATGAAGAATGCCTATTAGTGATTTGTGGATCTCTCTTTTGTATATAGGGGAGTCGGAAGGGACTCCAAGTCATGGGAGCCAGGTTTGAACGATCGCGGCAACCACTCACGCAACAACCAGACAGTCTTCCTCCGCATTCATGAAGTTCAGCTTCACCGCATGGCGGATGCCACTGGCTCGGTGTATGGGTACTACATAGGCCATGGTGGTAAACTCGGGGTCTGGAGGCGGGCAATTCGTTCACGCAGGGCGGGAGCTTGCGCTCTGGTTATCGAGGGACTATTGCGGGGATAGAGAGTGTGTGATTCGACGGGGGCCTGATTCTTCGAGACCAAGCGGGTAGCGGGTTGGTCAATCAGGTCTCAGGTTGTCGATGGCACATTTCCTCGAGAGATGCCGACGGTTCTTGGTTTTTCTGCCCCTCTCAGCTGCGGCGAGAGAAAGATCGGAGTTGGGGAGGGAGGTTTGCCGGGCGGTGCCAATGACGACGTTTAAGTCCGCGCTTACAGCCGAAAACAGGCTGGACCACCTGTCTAGATTCGATGCTCAAACAGCGCCAGTGAAACAATACGACAATGATGGTGAGGTTAATATAGCTATGTATTCCCCAAATGAATTACACAATAAATAAATGTTGTCTTTTGGTTGTGCTCGGCTCGACCACCTCAGCCACCTTCAGGCCATGTACAATATAAATAAGATAATGGTTGAAAGAAGACTGAAAAAGGATTGGAGACATACTCTGTATATAAATATATGCTAGCAAAGACAATTCAATTTCAATTATTGGATATTACCCTAGTAAGAATGATATTTTTCAGGATGTTATTAAATTCTTTTGTAATTTTCAAACCAAGTCTAGCTCAACTGTTATCATGCCCCGCCCGAGCAGAAACGCTGCAAGAGCTTCCACGAAAAAGGAAGAAAGGGAAAAGAAGGGGAAAAAAAGTCCGCAACTTGGGTTGAGAAAGTGACAATCAAAGGAAGTGGATGAAATGAGGATAGGAAATGCTGCGCATAGACCAAGCCGCCAACAAGAATAGAAAAGGGGGACTATTCAACAAAACAGGGCCGAGAATATATATGCGGAATCATCTAGACGTGAATGTAAATGGCAGGATGAAAAAGGAATATGATAAATGAGAAATGAGAAAGCAGCAAATCATCAATCATGACCAAACGTCCTCCTGGTAGCTGCCGCTGCTGCGCATGTGCTTGACCATCTCCTCGCCCTTCTCCGCGGGCATACCGCGCTGCTCGGCGATGATGTGGCCAAGCACCAGGTTGACCTCCCGGGCCATGTTGGCGGCGTCACCACACACGTAGAAGTTGGCCTTTTGCTTCAGCAGCTCACTGACCAGCTGGGCGTTCTCTTTCAGACGGTGCTGAACGTAGACCTTCTGCGTACCCTCACGCGAGAAAGCAGTGATGATCTTCAGAGAGTCACCCATCTGCTCCTGATAGGTCTAAATCAAGTAATTGAAGTCAGTATATCGGATCAAAGGCGGATTCGAATCATGCAGATGAATAGCGAGAGAAGTATCATACCTTGAACTCATCCTGGTACAGGAAATCCTCGTCACGCTTACGGCAGCCGAAGAACAGAACAGTGGTGCCGACCTTCTCGCCCTTGGCGGCCTGGGCAGCACGTTCCTGAATGAAACCACGGAATGGAGCAACGCCGGTACCGGGACCAACCATGATGACGGGCTTAGATGGGTCGGAGGGCAACTTGAAGTTGGAGTGGCGGACGTGAACGGGGACATGGATACCATCGTACTTGTTGCGAGGGCCGGTGATTGAGTAGGTCAGACCGTGGGGATCCGGAGAAGGATCTCCATTTTGCTTCTGCTTGAGGGCCAGGAGGTAGTTGGTAGTGACACCCTTGACCATGTGCGAGGCACCTGGGAGGCGAACGGACTCGACGACAGCAGTGATACTGATCTTGTCCTTCTGAACCGCAGACGAAGACGAGATAGAGTAGTACCGGGGCTGGAGCTTGTTGAGGCCCTCAATCAGGAGCGAGAACGGAACGGCGCTGAAGGTCTCGGAGGTGATGCTCTGGAGCGCCTGGGCGATGTTGAAGCACTGATTGGTGATCTTCTCGTGGAAATAATCCTTGTCGTTACCCAGGCGAACAATCTCCGCCTTGCTCGCCTCATCGGGAGCAAAGGCAGCGAGGGTTGAGACAAACTGTCGGGAGACGGGAGCACAGACTTCCATGTAGTAGCGGACGGCAGCATCGTAGGTAGTCGGGGTCGGAATGGGAACCCTGGCAGTGACATCAATACCCTTGACGTTGATAACAGCGTCGCGCTTGTCCTCCAAGCCAAACACTTGCAGGAAGCGATCGACCTCGGCACCGGCGTTGGTGGGCCAAACAGCGATGTGGTCACCGGTCTGGTAGCTGAGATTGCTACCAGCGATGCTGATTTCCATGTGCAGGCAGTTGCGGTCCTTGACGGTGAACAGCTCGTGGGATTCGACAATCGGGGCAATGTACGGGTTGTGGGCGGAGAAGGGACCCTTGGCACGACCCTCGCGGTGGGCGGCGGTGGGCTCTCCCAGATAGACGGACTCATCCTCGGGCGACTTTTCGTCGTCCTCGGTGACGGAAAAGACAGGTTCGTAGACCGCCTCACGCTCCTGCAGACCCATGGCGTCGGTCAAGGCGGCCCACATGGGCTCCTTCCAGGCGAGGAAGTCCTCCTCCATAGTGCCGGCACCGTCGTCACCCTCACCGGCGGAGCCAATGCGCTGGGCACCCATCTTAGTGAGGGCGGCGTCAACCTGACGGACCATAGCGTTGTAGTGTTCATAGGTGTTGTTACCCAGACCGAATGCGACATACTTAAGGGAGGACAGCGGCTGATCGTCGGCGGAGGCGCCACTCTCAAAGGCCACGTCGTCTCCGGTGAAGAACTGGTAGAATTCAACGGCGTTGTCCGTCGGCTCACCCTCACCATAGGTGGCCAGCACGAAGAAGGCGACCTTGTCGTCAGGGAACTTGTCCAGGTTCTCGTAGTCGTAGTCCTCGATGTCGGCGACCATGGTCTTGAGACCAAAGCGCTGCGAACCTTCCTTGGCGAGACGCGAGGCATAGTCCTCGGCGGTACCAGTCTGCGAGCCGTAGAAGATGACACAGTTCTTGCCGGTCTCATCCATCTTTTCCACGATATCACGGGTCTTGCCACTCTTGGCGGCCCCGTTCAGGGCGGAGGCGGAAGAGGCATAGGGGTCTTTGGGAACGGCCCAGTAGGTGCCCTTGGTGAAGTAGGCAATGCTACCCACCAGCAGGACGATCAGGACGACCAGGTCCAACGTATCGAGTTGCGCCATGGCGGTTGGGTTGGAACAGTCACGGGTGAGGAGGGGAGGAGAGGAGAGGAGAGGAGAGGAAGAGAGACGGCGGCCGTCGGCGGGCGACAGCGGTGGAGCGCGGGCGGAGACAATCGACCGTGCCGGGTCGTCTCAGCCGGGTCGTCTCAACGAGGGGAGAAAATTCCACGGCGCAGAATCTCCCGAAACAGACAAAACCTCCGGATGCTCCTCACAAGACGGATCTCAAGTTCGTTCTAGAATTGCTTTCTGAGGCTTCCAGATAATGTCCAGCAGATGATGCGAATGGGACAGTCCCTACAACGAGACAAACAAAACCCACGAGGCCAAGTGGTCTGACCCCGACTATCACGGGCTTCCGGTCGGACAAAAGTGGAGTCGCCTTCACCTGCCGAGCAAATAACACTTTACCGCGCCTTGAGAGAAACAAGGGGAGGTTTGGAAGGGGGAAGAGAATCAGACAAATGGAGAAACCAACAGGCGCAATCAAATTGAGAGAGGATATAAACAGAAGAGGGTGCGAAGACGGGAGGAGAAAAAGTGCAACTGTCGGAATATACGAGTTCTCCAGCCCTACTACATGTAGTATGGAGTATGTCCCGTCCGGAGGTATAGAGCCTGCCAGATGAAAAAAAAAAAAAGAAAAGAAAAGAAAAGGAAAAAGGTCGAACCGAATGAACCACCAGAACAGAAAGAAGATCGGAATTTCCCAAAAAGACGGAACCTGACAGCGTCCCCGTCCTTTTATATATCGATGGCCTTGTCGTCTAGCGCGATCCGGTCCCGTTTACCGTGGAGGGCTCAAAGCAGCAGAACTCTCCGATCGCCCTCGGCTGGGCGTTTTCAAGCTCCGTGGGGCCGGAAAGCGATCTCGGTCAGTGGCAGACGCGGCCTGGGGGAGGAAGGCAATAGCACAATCGCATTAATTGGACAACCGGACGGACCTGGGGGATGTTTTTGGCAGGACGATGAGACTACGAATCAGGGTGCCGGACCAGCCACATCCCCAGACCCTCGACCCCGTCACGCTCCCGTTGGGCCCCCAATGACCCTCCCCCAAGCCCTCAATCCCTCGGGTAAAGCGCCCATTCGGCAGGCCCGCCCGGGAGATCGAACTGTTCACTCACGCCCGATGTTGAGACCGCTGTGAATTGTAATCTGTAGCTGTACTTTGTCCTCCGTACCAACAAAGTACGTAACACTGGATCCCCGACTATCCCGACTATCCCGACCATCCCGACCATCCCACTATGCCACAAATCCCACGAGGCAACTCTGCTATTATGCTATTATGCTATTACACTACGGCATACGCGACTCTTCGGTACCGACCCCAGAAGACTCTGCCCGACTTGCCACCTTGCCACCCCCGGAACCAGAACCAGCCGCCAGGATTTGAGGGCTTCCGACAGAGAAGGTATTGTATCAATGCGAGATCAACTGTGGGATACTGAGGACGGAACCCACAACGTACCCCTTCGTCATGGGAGCCCCGCCGAACCCGGGCTCTGCCAGTTGCACGCGAACGATAGGGAAGCGAGTATAGCGGACAGTTAGATCTGAACGGAGTCTGCTCCGCCCTCCGGACCCAAAGTACCCAGGGCACCCAGGGCACCCAGCAAGAACCCCCGTCCATCCTCGACGGGGACTGCGTATCCCCGCGCTTCCTCTTCCGCGCCCGACCGATTTCCAGCTGGTCAGTCGGGAGAGAGTGCGGGTCAGTTCCGCGGCGCGCGGCTCTCTGGTCTCTCTCGTCGCCCATCATAGGGAGTCAGATCAGGAACCCAGTGATACAGATTCGACAGGTACATATAAGTCATGAACTATATAGGTCCCAGTCAAATCCTGCTCTCACAAGATCTTGTCCATCGAACTGCCCACAATCAGCCCCTTCTCTCTCCCTGTGGGCAGACGTTGTAGGCATTGTATATGCAGGAAACCTGGTCGTGTCTCAACTAGGCACGACGAATTCTTTGATTCGAACTTTGATTCTGTTGTTCTGTGATAGAAATTCTCGGTTTTCTTGGATTCTTGGAGGACCGTTGACGATCGTAGTGGAGGAGGAGGACGAAGAAGAAAGACCACCGAGTCAGTGACGGGAAGCACGCGACAGTGACCATCCGGCCCGGATCCGCCGGTGGGGAAAGCCCAAAGAGCAGCAGCTCAAAAAGTGGCATCGGGTTCTTTGGGCTGGAACCTCTTCGTCTTTTGAGTCCTCTGGATCACCGACGAAAAGACCAAATCGAGAGTCCACGTCAATGGAAGATGCCCGTGGATCTCTTCTCGCTGGGGAGCCGACGTTCGATGTCTTGTCTTGCAATAACATCATCGATTCTTAGGCTATAGGACTCCAGATGGGGGACCGATGATCATCGGTCCTTTTTTTTTTTTTCTTTTCTTTTCTCTTTCTCTTAGATCCAGGGGACTTCTCGCTGCAGCCGCCGTCAAAAATCTGCCGAGTGCCAGATGGGAGCTCTTCCTAATAAGCATGGGTGACATCCCTGCGACCGATCTATATCCTGGCATTCTGGGGCGTGCCACATCTTCATGAAGTGCTATCTCTGTCATATGAGGAAGTCGAAAGCCTGAATCAACAGAGCATGGACTATTCCACCGACGCTCCACGAGTGGCTTGTATCTTCCCACCATGGGGTTCACGTTTCACGAGGAGAGCCCGGCCATTCGCAGCACGAGAAATCAAAAGAAGCCCTCAGGCGAGCTGCCGTTGAACAGGCCGCCATCACCTTGTTTTTGCCACTCGCGTAGCTTTTGCGTCGCGGAGCCGAGAAGATATATATAGAAAACCAGATCCGTACCTTGCATAAATGAATCTTGTCAGACGAGGAGAAAAATGGAAGGAGGATCTCTACCTGAAGCGTCCCTTCTCGATTGTCCGGTTTGTCTACAGAGTAAAATGAGAGTAGAAGTCGTTCGCCTTCAGTGCTTTGGGCGTCTTGTTAGCCACGCCTGGTCTCCAACTGTAGCCCACAAATCAATCCGGTCTTGTTGGAAGTCTCGAGGAAACATTCAATAGGGTGGATAGAGTGGATTGAAATGGGAAATATTCCATAGGCGAGCCAGCTCATCCTGTCCATCGACTCGTCTCGCTCGGATCTGGAGGTGGCCATCCATCGCGCAAGGAGGAAAAAGTGGTTCCCCGTGCGCCCCGAATCAACATCCCAAGCTTGCCATCCACCTCCAATCCAACAACCTTCACGTTCTCCTCTCCCACATCACCCCTCCCACCCCCTTTTCTTCTTTTTCTTTTTCTTTTTCTTTTTTTTTTTTTTACCCTTTCTTACCGGGACATGGATTGATGATGCATTGCTGACTGCCTCCTGCTGACACTTTTGACACGGCAGCCTGCATGAGGTTTATCCCGCAATGACTCGTTGACTGGTCGCAACGCCAGTAAGTGTATCCCCAATCAGGTGCCTCCTTCAGCCCCTCGAGTCGCGGCGTGCCCTCGGTATACGACCTGGCCAAGCCCTCTCCGTCTTTGAATTAAAAGCGCAACGGGTCGTACCCCTTTCGCTGACTGGCTCTTCGGGATAGTGGCATCTCATCCGGCCAAACCTGCTGGCCCCGGCCAGCAATCGACGCTGCCCCTCATCCCTGACGACCTCAAGTCTGCGTCGCACCACAACCTCGCGTCCCCTTCGGAGCGCCGCGGTGGCTCGCGAACTGCCCAGTCTACTCCAATGCACAGTCGTGAGTCCTCCACGGTCCGTGGACGAGCTGCCGACCCTTCCGCCCTAGCCCCGACCTCCCTCCAAACCCGCCGTGGCCATTCGGGCTCGAAAAGTCCAGATGTCTCCTCGGCCAGCCGACCGGCCGGATATGACGTGGGATTGGAAAGACGACCGTCCAACTCTTACGGTCACCACCGCCAGACCTCCATCGTCCATGGCATGCAGCACTCCCGCAACCCCAGCATGGCCGGCTCCACCGCCTCCACCAGTCCCTTGAGCCCGGAGCTGATCGCGTCGCTGGGTCGTGGTGGATTCGACGAGGCCACCCTCCCGACCAAACTGGACCAGCTCGACTCGCATTCGAATTATTCGAGTCCGGCCACGATGACGGCAAGCCACGGACTGGCCGGCACGCTGAGTACGATCGAGGACAACGATACCGAGGAGGCCAAGATGGGGAGCCCGGCGAGTGTCGTGCATAAACGTATGAACTCCGGAGGGAAAGGCGCCGGAGCGACGGGGCGACGAGATCGATCGCATAGTCGCTCACATTCGAAACATCATTCGGAATCGAAGACGGTGGGCGAGTATGCGTTGCACCATTTGTTCAACTCGGTAAGAAGGAATACAAACATTACATCCTGGCCACCCGTAGAGAGATACACCAAGAAAGGTCGCTAACTATGGAGCCTTCCGATCATCATAGTTCGTGGGACAAGCGGATAGCAAAATCAATCAGGCGATCGTGAAATTGGGCGAGTCAGAAGCTCCGGTGGAGGAGGTTTGCGGACCGGGAGCAGACCCCAACTTCGACCAGTTGATTTCGGCCTTGGGTCATATCGCGAGACAGAAACCTAAACCGTTGATTGATACGATTATGTTGTGGCGAAAGGGCAAGGGAGATGCAGCAAGTACCGCAAGACACATGACAAACGACCTGGTACGTCACCCCCGCATGGAGCTTGATCGCTCAGGCTACCATATCAGATAAAGCGAGGCAAGAACTTTCTTTTTTACTAACGACAATTATGTCCCACTGTAGCCGAAACCGATGTTGACGGAAAATGGTGTGCTCATGCGTCGCAACACCGAACCAACTCAGGCTCCCGGGGACCAAACGCCTACTGATCGATTGCAACAGCCAACACCATTCCTCGGCCGTCACGACGATATTGCCTTGGTTGAACGTCGGGCTACTGTTTCAGTGTACTTGGTTTGCAGAGTTCTGATTGAAATCTTTAATCAGAGCAATCTTGCTTCAATCACACTTGACATGGCAGACCGTCTGGAAGACATTGTGTTTGGCCAGATCAAGACAGTTGATCCAGATCAGATTTCCGCCTCCCCTCTGCGCATGGCCAACTGGAGAATCTACGGCCAACTCTTGGGCATCATGAGTGAACAGAATTTTACCAGCGTCGCCAATCGTTTCCTTGCAGAGCTTGAAAAGTATCAAAAAGATGAGGCGGCCCGCGGTCCTTCTCGTGATGGCGATGCGAAATCCGAGCTTCTCATTCTGGGTATGAGATATTTGCGCCTTCCCACTAGTCCCGAAGGCTGGCCTAAAGCTTGTGACTTTATGCGGTCTATGGCTCGATTGTTTGTCAATGCTCACGGTCAAAAGATCAAGCAAGCGTATTGCTACGTGATCGAAAAACTTCTTCTTCCCGTGGCTGCAAACCCGATCGCTGACCTCTCACTTCCTCGATGGAAGGAGTTTTTGGATCTGGTGCAGCCGCGTCTGGCGCAACTTCTCACGAAGCCTCGTCACTGGGCTGCCTCTTTTTCTTTGAATGTGTTGCTGCTATGCATCTCTAGTAAGGAGACGTTTTCCTCTCAATGGTTATCGATGATATCGAGTTTGCCAGCCAAGTTAAAAGACCGTCCAACCCGTGCTCCAGCTCTCCAGGCCATCTGCCGCCTTGTCTGGACCTACTTTTTCCGCTACTCGGACTCCCCCACCACAACATTGCGCAAGGTAGAGGAAGTAGCAAAGATTGCACTGCCCACTGGAAGACGGACATACCTCAGCGCAGAGCCGGCCTTTGCGGACCCGCTGATCCAGTTGATTCGAATGATTGGATTCAAGCACCCGGACGTTTGCTTCCGCAGTATTATTTTCCCCTTGATCAACTCCGACCTGTTCTTATCGGGCCGCGAGTTGAAGATAGAACAGATGGAGCCCGAGAAGATGGTTATTGGAATTCGTGCCTTCTTGGCTACCATGTCTGATCTAGAGACGAGCGATCAACTTTGCCCTCCTTTCCCGACTGGCTCTTTGCCAAACCCATTTATGGACATCCCAGCACCTATTAATTTCCATCGACCTCAATTACTTGCAGAACCTAAAGTCGGAGCTGCGTCCCAAAAGACTGTCCCGTCTTCGCCGTGCCCGGTCAACATCTCAAGGTTGAGTGATAATGTCAAGGAATATTATCTTCGTTTCTGCGAAGTGCTTGGAAAAATCACAATCCTGTGCGACAATACATTTGGCGGACAGGCAGTCTTGGACGAAAAGTTTGGCGGAACAACACCTAAAACACCTATTACAGAAGCATTTGGCTTTGGAAGACGTGATGACCATTTAAGTACTTTGGACCAAAAGCAAGGGTTCTATGACCTTCTTCATGTCGCAGTCCAAGCCCTGCCGCGCTGTCTTTCTGATCATATCCCCTTCAATTCTCTGATCAACCTTCTCTGTACCGGCACTGCCCATGTCCAATCCAACATCGCTACCTCCTCAGCCGAATCGCTCAAGGCTATCGCCAGACAGTCCCATGCCCAGCAAGTCACCATTGGATTTGCAAGATTCATCTTCAACTTTGATGCCCGGTACTCGACAATGTCTGACGAGGGAATGCTCGGCCCAGGCCATATTGAATCTACACTGAGACTGTATGTTGAGCTGCTGCGAATTTGGATTGATGAGATCAAGCAGAAAACCAAGGAGGCGGCGTCAGACCAACTAGAAAAATCTACTTCTGGCAGTCGAGCCCTGCACCTTGACTTGTCAAGTGTTCTTGCCCATGTGGAGGAAATCGAGTCTCATGGCCTCTTCTTTCTCTGCTCGCAGTCTCGACGAGTTCGGGCCTTTGCTATCAACGTTTTACGACTCATCACCGAGTTCGACAGCGCACTCGGGAAGGAGAACACACGGATTATTCAGATTCTCGAAGCTGACTCCCAACAGATCTTGGATTTGAATGACGAACATCTCACAGTTGCTGAGAGGAGTCGGATTCAGAAGGGAAAAAGACGCAGTGCATCACAGAATACTCTCATTGAGCTATGCAGCAGCGAAGTTTCCTATGATTCAACACTCTGGGCTAAAGTATTCCCGAACATTATTCGTGTCAGTTTCGAGGCTTGCCCTTTTGCTGTGACTCTTGGTCGAGAGATTGTCTGCGGCCGCCTGGTCCAGATGCATAAGATGATTACATCGCTTGCTGAACGTACGAGGCATCCTCAATACTCCCCGGTAGACGTTTACCAGAGCCGACCTCTGGGTCGAAGCAACATGACGGCGGAAATTTTGGTCGAGCAATGGAAGCTGTACCTGGTCATGGCCTGCACTACTGTCACCAGTGTTGGAGCGCAGTCCCAGAGCCAGCTGGCGAATGCGCAGCACGCTCGTAAGGCCTCGAAGGGAGCACAGTCCTCGGACAAGATTAGCTCCGCTCGGAGTCTGTTTGCGTTCGTTATACCTCTACTCGGTGCTGAACGAGATTCGATCCGGAACGCCATTGTGGTGGCACTCGGCGCTATCCACAAGAATCTCTACCGTACTCTTTTGGAATCACTGCGGTATGCAGTCACGACCTGTGACGAGGAGGCCAAAATTCGCATTGGGACACACCACCGCACTCCCAGCAGTCCCCAAAGAAATCGAAACACAGACAGACTGCGCACTGAAGTGACGCACGTCTACAAGCTCACGTCTCATTTCCTGCGGGAGCCAGAAGTCTACAATGACGATTGGATTGTCAATAACCTCATCACGTACGCAAAAGACATACGGATATTTTTGAGCGACTCCGAGGTCCAGAACGATTGGGAGTTCCAACGATTGCGCTTTCACTACTGTGGCCTGATGGAAGAACTTTTCGAGGGGGTCAATCGTACCAAAGATCCCTCCCGATGGATTCCATTTGAATCCCGCAAGTCCGCCTTTTCCCTTATGGAGGACTGGTGCGGGTATTCGCCCAACCAAGCCCAGATCTCCGAGAGAGAAGAGAATATGCGCAAACTTGCCATGGCCCAGCCGCACGAGGGTGGAGAAATGAGAAATACCGCCGCAGCTATGGAGATTGAGAAAAGAAATCTTCGCGCAGCGGCCCTCAGTGCGATGGCTTCTCTTTGCGTAAGTACTCATATTTATCACTTTTTATGATTGAGGTTGTTTGAACCCCCTATCACTGACCTAATCAACTTCTAGGCTGGCCCGATTAGTATCACAACGGAAAGTGGGTCTGTACTCCAATTCGATGTCGGACGCATGCTGTCGTGGATTGATATTATTTTCAACACTATCAGTGACAAGTGGCATACGATTGGCCGTCGGGCACTGAAAAATCTCATTATCCATAATAAGGAGCATTCATACCTGATGGAGCGGTCTATTGAGATGTGCTATGTGACCGAACGTCCCAAATCTCTGGAGAGTTACTTTGAGGTTGTCACTGAGGTGCTTATCGAGCATCCAGACTATCCACTTCGCTTCTGGAGGATCTTAGGCGCAGTGCTGGTCACACTTGGCAGTGAGAAGCGTGAGATCCGTATGAAATCAGCCAAGCTGCTTCGCAGGCTGGAAGAGCGTCAACAGAAGGATTCGCGGCTTCAGGACTTTGATATAAGCATTTCCGATAAGACAACTGCGGTATACAAACTTGCCCAGTTTGAGACGTCCAAACGCCTTGCGAACCAACACGCTGATTTGGCGTTCACCCTGTTCTCGGAGTTCTCGCTGCATTTTCGTAATCTGCGCGCAGATAGCCAGCGGAATATGGTTGCTGCTATATTACCCTGGGTTCAGATGATGGAGCTGCAAGTGGATCCGAATGGCGGCCCAACAGCTCGATCGTACATGCTTTTGGCGAATCTTTTCGAAATCACAATCCGTTGCAGCACTGTGCTTCCGAACCAAGTACAAGCCCTGTGGCAAGCGTTGGCAACGGGGCCTCATGGTGGCAATGTGCAACTAGTTCTCGACTTTATCATCAGCCTCTGCTTGGAACGCAAAGAACAAAACTTCGTTGACTATGCTAAGCAGATTGTTGTCTTCTTGGCGGGGACTCCGGCTGGGTCAAAAGTGATCGAGTTCTTCCTTCTGCAAGTGGTACCTAAGAATATGGTGCAGGAGCGCAAAGATGTGACCTTACCACCCCCGGATATCAAGACGCTGCCATATGTTGCTGACCTCGGCACTGTGCTACCAGTGGGTAACAAGCAGGCTGGTCTCTCGCTTGGACAGGTAGCGCTCATTTTTCTGGTGGATCTCATGGTGGCTCCCGTCACTCTGGTTTTGAGTGATGTGATTAAACTTCTTCATGTCGTACTTATCCTCTGGGATCACTATACTGTCACCGTTCAAGAGCAAGCGCGAGAAATGTTGGTCCATCTGATCCATGAGCTGGTTGCTGCCAAGTTGGAGGATGATGCTCCCGCGGAGGCTCGGCAGTCCATGGAAGACTTTGTGGAGTCAATTCGCAAGAGTGACCCTGCAGTGGTCTGGGAGTATGAAGAAAACCAGAGGAAAGAGGAGGAGGCAGATGATCGACGCGTGCCTCCATCTATGGCCACGGTGACGCGTGATGTGGTCAAATTTCTCAGTTTTGCTTATGAAGGCGTTGGCGATCTATTGGCGAAAGAGGCGCTGAACTGGGCGACCTCTTGCCCTGTTCGCCACCTTGCCTGCCGCTCGTTCCAGATCTTCCGGTGTATCTCGACCTCATTAGACTCGCGAATGCTGGCGGACATGTTGGCTCGCCTGTCCAATACGATTGCGGACGAGGAGACCGACTATCAAACTTTCTCTATGGAGATTTTGACCACTCTGAAGATCATCATCGGTTCATTAGCACCAGTGGATCTCTTGCACTACCCCCAGTTGTTCTGGACAACGTGCGCTTGTCTTAATACAATCCACGAGAGCGAATTTATTGAGAGTCTTGGCATGCTGGAGAAATTCCTCGACAGAATTGACCTCGCCGATCCTGTTGTGGTTCAACAGCTTATTGAGGGCCAGCCTCCTAAGTGGGAGGGTGGCTTTGACGGCCTCCAAGATCTTGTCTTCAAGGGTCTCAAGTCGTCTGACTCATTCAGTCGCACCTTGGACGTACTTCATCGCCTGAGTGGTTTGCCAAACAACGACCTCATTGGAGATGGGACTCGACAGCTGTTCACTATTCTGGCGAACCTGCCGTCTTTCCTTGAAAGCTTCGAACAGGGGTTTACAGATCCGAAGCCTATTATGCATGCTAGCTTGCTGGCGCGTGTTGCGGAACATGAACATTGCCCTCGTCTCGCTGCTTCGCTATTTGGCTTCGCCAATCAGCAATACAAGACGGAGGGTGTCTTCCTGGACCATATTATTACCGAAATCAAGTCTTACTATTTCCCGCAACTCGATTTCCAGTGCTTAATCTTCCTGATGGGCCTTCTCACCAACACAAGCGATTGGTTCCGTGTCAAGACCATGAAGATACTGTGTGTCTTGATTCCCGAGGTCGACATGCGTCGGAACGAGGTCACCTGCCACGGCCCGGACTTAATTTCTCCATTGCTGCGACTTCTGCAGACCAACCTGTGCCCCCAGGCTTTGGAGGTGCTTGACAATATCATGACTGTCTCTGGTAACCCTATGGAGCGCCATCATCTGCGCATGAGTATGGCCTCGGCGACTTCGTCTCGTGCCATTCGCAAAGAATACGAGCGGATCCAGAGCTTGTATGGTATTCCCGAGGAAACAGGATGGTCAGTTCCTATGCCTGCGACACAGTCCACCATGACTCGCAGCAACGTCCATGCTGTCTTCTACACGTGCGCCGAGGCCGACGACATGAACGCACAGGATACGATGACACCTGATGTGGAGTTCCATGCCGACGAGTACAAGGACTCTTTCTTCCCTATGCGGGCGGACACGATGAAATCCATCGACACGCAGACTGATGGCAACATGGGCGATATTGTCCAGAAGCTGGACAGCCTCGACGACTTCTTTGAGGAGACCGAGTCGAGTGTTCCCAGTCTCAATTCCGTCGCTCCGTCGATGCTACGTGGCTTCACTGGAAGTTATGTTGACACAAATGCCCACCTCTACGACCAGCAGACCGCACCAATCCTACGCAAGTCGCTTGCTCGAACCGGCTCTTCCTCTTCTTTCCATAACGGGCTTGCTGAATCTCGTCCAACCAATTTCCGCTTTGACGGGCCTGGAATGCCCTCTCCTGTGACCCATAGCCATAGCCATAATCCTTCTCAAAACCTCCAACCTCTCCGTCCGGTTTCACACACTCGCTCCGTCACTTCTCCTGCCAACAACCTCTTTGTTCACACCCAGCAGCCAGTGCCGCACCATGCTCCCTCTGTGGGCCTGCATGAGTTTGCCTTCCTTTCCGACGACGAAATCGACGAGGCTCATTCGGACCTAGACGAGCGCCCGGTTGGCAAGAGACCAATCCACCCTCCTTTGCCGCCCATGATTCGCAGTGCGACTGATGGCTCTCACTCTCTCGAGTCTATGATCCGCAGCGGCATGCGACGACTCACCGGCGGGGCAGCCAATAACCGAGAGAAAGAACGCCAACGCGATCTCCTTCGCGCCCAACATCGTGCCATGGTTCAAACCGCAAATTCACCCCGGGTACCAAAAGTGCCCGAGGAGTACCTCGCCGGACCGACTAGCCACCCAACATCTCCACGGTCATAAGTCACGTCGGTATTTCCGAGGGGATGATAGAATTCTCCATCCATCTTTGCCGCCATCTTCTCATCATTTTTTTTCTTTCCCATTTTTCCATCTTCTCTTCTGCTGTATTCTCAGCCTGGGCATTTCTCGAGCGTTTGGCATATCCGACACCATGATCATACCCTTTTCGCCTGTGTTGCCTCCCTGCGTTGATCTTTGTGATGCGTTGCTTTTTTGTCGCGTTGATCTGTTTCTATCTGAATTTGGATCAAGATTTGCTTGTATATTATCACTACATGGCCATTGGGAAGATACGTTCGAGGGCGTTCTTTGATACTAGGATCATACTTCGAATCTGACATGGAAGTTTCCTTCATTTGACAATGTGCCATACAATCAATTCCCGTGACCTGTAGTTTCCCCATATCCAAGCGGACAATATCGCTGCACGTGATCTCCCCCACCCTCCACGGGTTTCCCCGCAGTTTCGACCGTATTCGCTCCCCCTGGCATTTCGGAAAGCCACGGCCCTGCGGAGGATGGCCATCCGAGGTGTGAACGACCTGTTTAAATACCCTTGAATACCCCAGTCATCCAACCCTCTTGGTCGCTTGCGCGTTCTTCATTACTCCTAATGCTCTGCTATCTTCTATAAACCCTCTCACCACATCCTTCCTCTATCTCCCTTTCCCACTGGTACGCATGATGAGTGTCCGATCCGCGTCTTCTCTCCCCAGGGCGGCTCACCTCCACACTCGGGCCAGTCGCCGACGCTGGCCGTCTGCTATTAGCTCGGCAAGGTCAGCCCGAGAATTCTCAACTACCCTCCAACGCGACGCAACATGGGGATTTATCGGATTGGGGCAAATGGGTACGTATGGATGAACTTGGTGGCTATTCGCCCCTTGTTTCGCTGTGTTTCGTAGTGTCGAGAATGGCATGAATCCCCCTGGCTTATTCCGTCAACTCATGTCGACCGACAGGCTACCACATGGCCAAGAACCTGCGCGCCAAGATCCCCGCATCCGATATCCTCATCGTGCGCGACGTCAACGAGGAGGCATCGAAGCGCTTTGTTGCGGAAGCCGAGGAAGGTCGAGTCGAGATCGCCGAGAATGCGCGCGAAGTCGCAGAGAAGTCGGTGAGTGATGTGTTTTGAATCTCGACCAACCCAGTGTGGCTTCATGCTGTACCCTGTACCCCAGCCCGGCGTGATCCACGGCCCCACACAAACTACGCACGCTAAGCCGTGCTCGTTTCCGGATGATGTCAATGCTAACTGTGGGTCGTTTGCGTTTGTGATGAATAGACCGTAATGGTCACCAGCCTTCCCGAGTCGCAGCATGTTATCGAGGTATTCCACTCGATCCTGAAACATGGCGATCTTCCACCGTTGGAGCAGGAACGTTTATTCATTGATACCTCGACCATTGATCCGGTGACCTCAAAGGATATCGCCAATGCCATTCACACAACTCGAACTGGCCGATTTGTTGACGCCCCAGTTTCAGGAGGTGTCGTTGGTGCGCGTGCTGGTACCCTTTCATTCATGTTCGGTGCATCTTCGCAGACAGGGCAGCTACTAGACCGCGTGCGAGGTGTTCTCACTCTGATGGGTAAGAAAGCCTGGCATCTCGGTGAACCCGGCTCGGGTGTTTCTGGTAAGCTCGCCAACAACTATATGCTAGCCATCAATAATATTGCGACGGCCGAGGCGATGAATCTGGGGATCCGATGGGGCCTAGACCCCAAGGCCCTCGCTGAGATGATCAATTCTTCTACTGGCCGCTGCTGGCCGTCAGAGGTCAACAACCCAGTCCCAGGCGTGGTGGAGACTGCTCCGGCGTCCCGTGGGTACGAGGGTGGATTTGGGGTTAGCCTCATGAATAAGGATCTTCGTCTGGCCCTCGCTGCAGCTGAGAAATCCGGTACTCCTCTGGCATTGGGAAGCCAGGCACGCGAAGTGTATAATGCCGTCGAACAGCTTCACCGGGGCAAGGACTTCTCAGTGGTTTATCAGTGGTTGCAGGGCAAGTCTGAACCTCAATAGTCTCTGTAACATCTGTCTTCACTGCTTCTCAAGCCTTTGGCGTTTACCGAAATATCCTCCCACTCCTTCACCTCCCTCTTTTCGCTGGGCTATAGATATTTTCTCGGGGATCGGGAAGAGTTGCAGCAGTTTTAAGTTGTCTATCAATGGAATACGTTTGGACTTGATCTGATACATTCTGCCATCTGGTGACTGACCGGCTGCACCGTAGATCTCCTGTATGGTTGAGCAGGTACTATCCGTGACTTCTCAAGTACATTGAACCCTAACGAAGGGCCTTAGCCTCACTAGTCTATTATTCAGATAGTCAACAGTTTCTTCTTTCTACCATCACAACAAACTGCTATGAGGCTGAGTTCAAGGAGGGAGGCTAGCCTGAGCCGAATTTATGGCCCATCATCAGATATTTCAACTTACAAAGCATAGAGTAATGCTGGCGATGACCTTCCAGTCCAATGCAAAATGTGTCATGATGTAGTTCGACAGCCTGGCGCTTGTTTTGGTAATGTCGTCGATGTATGAGTCCATATTGGCGAGACCAACTGCTATGGCTGCTGTTACAGTCGCATGTATCAGGAGTCAATCACGATAAAGATATTTGATTTTCTGACAAAACTACAATTCACGGAGGGACTGTGCTTCACTCCGATATGGAGGGCTTCGGTTGCTTCCATTCTGGAAGTTCCGACCCTCTCTCACACACTCATCGAAAAGTAAACAAAGCTTCAGTCCAGGATTGAAAACTCAATTGGTCGATCTCCTGACAGCATATTGACGATCGCCCCCGTGAAAAGGTCTATGAAATGGACCCACGGTGATCAATCACTTCATTACTTATCGTTGGGCACCGGTCACGCAATCTTTTCAACCCTTGGCGGTAATAATGAATTGGGATTGGGCGCCGCCATATGGTCTAAAAATACCTCAATATCCAACATGTTCTTAGTTGCGCCGCGGAACTCCTCAAGCAAAGCTCCAAGCTTAACATTATCATCAACAACGCAGCTGTGGGTCCACTAAGATTGATTTCTCTTTTGAAATCGCCATCTGACCCTCTTATATAGGTGATGAACACTCCGGAGGGTCGGACTAAGGATGGATTTGAACTTCAATTTGGGACGAATCACCTATCACATTTTCTGCTCTTCTACCTAGTCAAAGATACCCTATTTGAAACTGCACGCTGATCGCCAGACTTCCATTCCCGTGTTGTCAGTTATCGTCGGCGGCCCATCCCTACAGCCCTATTTGTTTGAAGAATGTCAATTTTGAAGGGAACTATAACGGCTGGCTGGCGTATGGATCTAGTAAGACAGTTAACATCTATATGACTACCCAGATCGAGCGCTTATATGGAGCGCAAGGCCTTCGTGGTTCAGTGTCCACCCCGGGGCTTTCTTGAGTCCCAACCTCCAGAAACATTCCCAGGAGGAGATGGTTGCAGTGATGGAGGACGAGCGCGCTGAAGCATAATTGTCAAGTCTTAGCCAGGCCTATGCAACCACGGTCTATGGCGCAGTGTCGAGGAAACTGGAAGGGAAAGGCGGTCTATACTTGAAAGAGGCATCGGTGGCTATCCATCCGACACCTTCGGATGGAAATGCACTTAGGCAAAGGAAGAGAAACTATGGGAGCCGAGGAAATCCTGGATTGGGGTCGAGTAGGAAATGAGCCTTATTCCATTCTGTTTCATTTGCGGGGGTTGCCAAATCTAGGACTCTTATCCCGTTATCTTCGAATGGATCTGGTATAGCAAAATGATCTCATCGCATCTGGGTGCAAACGTAGACTTAGTCCGCCAGAGAGCTTTCACTTGCGTGTCTATTAAGGGGTGTAAGATGACTGCTATGAATGGCCTTCATGATTATGAATTGCATTGGGATAAGTGGGCTCATCAATATCACTGATGACACAAACATCGCTGAAACCAATCTCTGGGACATGATGGGTCGATTTCAATTGAGCAGGAAGCTATCTAATTTGCGTGGCGGCATTGCATTCGAGCCCTGAGCGCCGATTTTTGACCATTTCGAGCCGACGGGTCGAGTAACACTCAAATTGGGAGATTGATTTTCTATGAAGCTTTCATTACACTCCCTAGTCTAAAATCGGCTATATTTGAAGTGGTTACAACCTGAGGATGGTAATCATATCAGTATCGGAACCTACAAGATTGAGAATAGAGAAGCTTGTTTTCCGTAATTTTTAAATTGATAGCCAGTCTCATAAATACGTGCCAGAAGCTAAGATCGTTCTTATTCGACAGTTTTACCGGAGAACTCGATCAAGGAAGCAACCGCGAAGATATAGGGGACATTCAGTCTAATACGGCTGATGTACACGAAGCTCTCCTAGGGCACCACGATACTCTGCAGAAATTCCTCCTCAGTTTTGCTAGGAGTTCATCGAGCTCCGGGATGGACAAGAGTTCTATTCTCGTAGTATTGAAATACCCTCTCTGGACAATTCTTTCAAAACTTCGAGAAATTCGTCTCAATCAAGCGATAGTTCCAGTTCCACCCCTAATGTCCTCCTACCCTTATTGGATTGAATATATCAGACTGCAATTCGTCCGTGTTTCTGCTAGTCGCCAGCCGTCAATTGCTGTAGTCGCGGTAGTCATTCTACGCGCGAGAACACGCCTTTCTTCACCTCGTTGTTCTCTGCTTACAGATGCTCTTCCACTATCATTGCCTGTCTTTTTGATCTCATTCTCTTCCATCCTTCCCACCACAGGTTCCAGTCCGCAAAGTTTCCCTTTTCATCATTATCGTCATTGAATCTCCGCGTCAAGCGCGGGAGGCGTCAAGTACGCACCTTCCTCTCACGAACCCAGACCACGGCACTTTCCTCCTGGTCGTCTTGTAACCCGCTTGCGCTTTCTCTCCATCTCCCTTTTCTTTCGTCCCTTTTTTTCAACTCTTCTTTTCACTTCGTTGCCCCACTCTCCATTCTCAATCCATCCTTCTCCATTGCCATCCCTCCCCGACTGGTTCTGCTTTCATAGAATTCCTCTCATCCGGGTTCAATCGAGCTGGCTCATGGTACTGTTCCCCAGCGTCCTTCTGTCCGTACTCAACTCTATCACTCTCACTCTCTAACTGCACGAGTTGACACAAGACTCAGCTCTTTGCATAGCCCTATGTGCGTTCTCCATTACCCTCTCATTTTGATTGTGATTGGAGGGTTTTCTTTTTCTGCTGAGTGAAATGAAATGCTGACAACCGTATTCAAAGCTCACAAGTCGTGCCATTTGCGTATATAACGCTTCAAAAATTCCAAGGCTGGTTATATTGTTTTGTGTCCTTGCATCTCATTCTTTGAGGCAGAACTTACTGACAATCGTCTTGATCCAAGCCCTCAATTGTTCCCAGAATGCACCCTCAGGGCTCTCAGAACACGAGCTCCTCCAGTTCAAGCCAGGTTCCTAATGGCTTGCCGCAATTTCACCATGATCCTCGGACGCCCTATGGATCTGGATATTCCCAAGCGACAAATACATCGGGTCGTGATGGAAACGGTCCTGTGCCCCAGGTATATCCCAATCTGAGTTACCAAAGTCACCGAACCAAATTCGGCTCAAAAGCCACCACCCCGGTCACCATGAACACAAATTTGGACTGGTCGGCTGCCAATCGCGCTTCATACATTCTATTGCCCAGCCCGACTACCTTCAGTAGCCTGTCGCCCGTCTCGCCTTTTGTACCCAACACAGTCCCGGGCCAGGCTGATCAAATGGGCCAGTTCTCCTATTTGTCTCCAAGTGTTTATCCAAACCTCAATTCTATGCTACCTGGAACGTATTCGTGGCCATATTTCATGAACTACGATATGCAGGATATGTCGAACACCAAGCAAACTGCGTGGACCGCAACGGACGGGCAGAAGATGTCTCAAAACGAGAATGGGAACCAGATGCAGTACTTCCCAACGTTTGTTTCTAACGTGGATGGTGCCGGTCTATCTGGGTACTCTTACGGGGGCATGTTTCCTCAGCTCGGTGCTCTTTCCCTGCCATTTCAGATGATGAAGACAACCAATGGGTATGTTGTTCAGGATATGGAGGCTTTGACCCAGCAAGATCCTCCAATTCCTCGTGCAGTGCCCGCCATGTGGACAAATCCATCAGAGCTGACACTTGCGAAATGCCTGGAAAACCGAGAGGGTATCACCAATGTCTACATTCGAGGCTTTCTTCCCGAGACCACAGACGATATGTTACATGCCTACGCTGCTCGTTTTGGACAAATTGAGCGCTGTAAAGCCATTGTGGACCTTGATACTGGTCTTTGCAAAGGGTGCAAATTCTTCCCTCTTATCGCTTGGGTTGACCATCGCTAACCCGTCTTCTACAGTTTCGGATTCGTCCAGTATTTCAACTTCGAATCCTGTGAAAATTGCATCCGTGGCTTTTTTTATCTCGGTTATCAGGCTAGCTTCGCTCAGAAGTCTCGCAATTCTCGCCTCAAGGATCTGGAGGACAAAACATCCACCAATGTATATTGCACCAACATCCCGATCGACTGGACTGAAGCAGTAAGTGACAAGATATTTGACTATTCCCCGTATATTTTCAATTTTCGCCTAAGAGAAATCTTTCAAATTCAGGACCTACGCCGTCACTTCGAGCCTTACCGTGTGGTTTCGGAGAAGATCAGTCGCGACGAGAAGACGGGCGTGAGCAAGGAAGTGGGCTTCGCTCGGTAAGAAGACGAACAATTCAAGATTTATGACCCTGTAAATTGGACTAAGACAGAGTCGGTTCAGCTTCGAAACTCGTGAAATTGCCGAGAGGGTGTTGGCCGAGTTCCACAATGCCCCCGTAAATGAGAATGGCGTGAAGTTGCTCCTGCGATTCGCGGACACCAAGGCCCAAAAGATGCTGAAACAGCAGAGTAACGAGCGTCGTGCATACCGTGCTGGGGAATACAATTATTCAGTGGAAGTTGTGCAGGGCTCGACCCCTTCACCTTCGCTGCAGCGTCTTCAACAGACGAGTGCTCACATTACACCTAACTCACAGGGTAGCTTCATCTCCCCCGGTGGAATTGGTTCCATGAATTCTAACTGGACTCCTGCAACCTCTATATCGCCCACGTACGTTGATTTCGACCAAAACAACCCTCTTCAACTCCTTTCTCCTTGCTGACAAGTTACCACAGATATGCGTTAATGAAGAAGCCTGTCAACAATGCGCGCCAGGGTTCGTTCTCATCCCGCAGCCTGAATGCCCTGGAACACACTCCCGTGTATCGCGGTCGAGAATTCGCAAACCGCCGTTCTTTCACAGACCTATCTGGGTCATCAAAGACGGCTCGTCCCGAGTCTCCCATCGAGCCTCGCTCATACATGTCGAGTCCTCGGAAGGAGAATATCAAGGCTGGTTCGATGTCGCCAATTCCCTCACGGATGGAGATTGTTGTTTCTACTCCCCGATCATGCACCTAATTAGTCGTCTATGGGCAATGAGAGATGAGGTTCGAGTAAGGGGCTGGCTGGAAAGTGGAGGTTATGCTCCGATTTTGATTCGTGACATGCGTTATTGTTTACAGAATGTACTTCGATGTATGCTTGCGATTCATGTTTCTTCTTTACAAGTGCTCTTATTTTCTCTTCGGCTGCTACGTTTTCACGGTTACACTTCGATTGTGTTTCGTGACTTTGCTGCTTAGTTGTCTCATGTCTTCGATCCACATCTCTTACGGTCTCTTTACTCGGGTTGCACGGCGGCACCGGCGGCACCCTTCTGTTCTTCTGATGTCTTTTCGGGAAGTTACTGGGGAAAAGCATGTCTTCTTTTTGCGGTATGTGTTCGGGATGCATGTTTTTTTTCCTTTTTCGCAGCTTGCTTGAAAACGCTCTCGCCAAGGTTTGCGTAGTCTAAAATATGATATATTCCACCAAAGGAAAACAACCTGAACCATCAAAGAAAACAAATAGATGAATAAAACGGCCAATGATGCGCACGAGCACATAAAATGCAGTCTATGGAAACAATTGACCATCGGAACAAAAGAAAGGCAAAAAGAGGAAGGAGCCGATCTATACATGAAGCTTCTCCAGCGACGCGGCCCTCATCACCATCAGTACCAGCATGAGCACTTTGAATCTCTAAACAAATTTCTCCCTGGTGTCCATGACGACACGTGACACACCGAGGCTCAATTCCGCCCCAGTCTCTCCTCCAAATCCTCCGTAAGCTGATACGCCGGCAAATACCGGCCGTCTTCACCGTCCACCTCCAACCGCGGGTTAGGATGCGTATCCGACGTGCCCCCCAAGCTAGTGTAGCCCATGTCGTAGAGTGAGCAGTAAGTCAGTCCCAGGTGCCGAATAAACGCCCAGATTTCCGTATAGTGCCAGTCGATGACCGGGTGGATGCGCATGAAATCCGGCCATCCGTGGTCCGTCCGGTCGAAATGCGTCAGTTGGGCACCGTGCGGATCTGTCCGTCGAGTGCCGACGAAGATCGCCCGGATGCCCGGGTGCCGCGTCAGGTAGTCCTCAAAGCTGGAGCGGAGAGTTGTGTGGGGCGGGTCAGTGGTGTATTTCGTGATCGAGAGGTGGTAAGCTTGGGCGGAGGTGCGGACGAAGTCTTCAACGGCGGGGAAAGGGTCTGGCGGGAGGGCGTAGATCGAGGGGATATCGGAGATAGAGAAAGAAGTGGTGGCGGCAGCGGAGGAGGAGGATGATGATGATGTAAAAGTTCCATTTTTGGTTGGGTTTGGCGTTGTTGATGCCGTTGAGGGTGTATCTTGAGCGGCACGGGGTGTGAATTGTGCGTCACTGGCGTGGGGATGGAGGCCCGCGAGGAAGAGGATCAGCAGGACTAGACAGTCCTTGCCTCCGTTGTAGGAGAGCGACAGCTCCGAGAACTGGTACTGGGCCAGGGCTTGGGCGACGACGTCCAGCGAGATGCGAGTCTGGCGCTGGACTGCGGCGAGGAGCGAGTCGGGTGGGTGTGACTCGGCGAGGAAGGCTTGGACGCGGGCGTGGATGCGTGCGATCACCTCCGGCAGAGGAGGAATGGGATCATGGAAATCGTGACGACCAGGCTGATCGATACCATTGCTGGGAGCTTGAGGATGAGCGGATCCGTTCTGATTCTGGTTCTGGTTTCCGGTCATGGTCGGCTTGGATGTCGCGATCTGGTCAACCCCGCGTTCGGGAGTCGGAGCCGCGGGGAACGGGCGCAGATGATCTTGAGCGCACGTCACCCCGGGCGCGGGCGGCTCAGCCGGTCGCTCTCCAGGCACGACAGGCTCGGGCATGATACTCGGGCTGCGCGGGGGTCGCTGGGTTCTCTGGAGGGACTTTGCAGGAGGACAGTTGAGGTTCAGGCGGGGGAGAGTAGCGTCGGAATGGACAAGTGGGGGGGGAGGATTGGAGGATCGGAGCGTCGCTGACGATTGGTCCTCACCAATCAATGAGACCCGTCAACGACCGACGCTATACCGACCAGATAGTTTCGGCCAGTTGAATTGCCTGCTCTTTGGTAATTGTGAAACCCGAGCAATCCTGGCCAGGCTCCTCGCTCTTTCGGGTGAGCTCTTTATAGGAGAAGAAGAAACGGTTCGGGTTCGCTGCTCCAACTTTGCTCGAAGTGAGAGAAGCGTCTCTCACAATCTTCATATATTGTGTACAAGCCGGCTGCTCGGGGTTCTTCGGGTTGTATTTCCATTTCTTGAAATCGATTGAGCCAGGCTTGATTTTGATTGAGAGAACTACCTGGACGTTTCGCTCGGATTGACAGATCCAGAACCGAACATCGTCCATGAGGCTTGATTGGGATTCTGTCTTCGCGACTTCAACAACCAGGCTTGGCCACCTATTCTGGTCGTCTCGGGGTTGCCAGGCACCATCGGGTTTCTTGGTTCGTGTATTCAAAGGATAATTTGCTGTTCCGCACGCTCTGAGTAGATTCCGTTCGTGTTGTGGGGCCCATCGAGTAAGAAGCTGTCCGAACTCCCAAGCAGTGGTAGCGTGCTGAAAGCCTTCAGGCATAATGTTGATCGTTTGCGAGTCATAGTCATAGGTTTTCCAGTTCCCCAAGGTCGTGCGATATTCGCGCTTGTCAAAATAAAGTTGGAAGGCGCGTTCAGTAACATGATCGAAAGTAATCATCCCTGCCTCTTTATACTCCTCGCAGATCCGGACACAGGACTCGACTCCTTGAAAACGAAACATCATGAGGGCTATGTGGGCTTGGAAAGATTGTGGCCAAGACCGGGGAGGCGTTTGTGCGGATATCCAGCATTGGCGGTTGGAGAAGAGTTCGCTGGAAGAGCTAGGAGGCCCGCAAAAGAAGATGCCATACGCATGTTGACCGCCAGACAGGGCGACTCTACGGGACTACAACCGGGCATGAGTTCCGAAGAGAATGGCAATCAAGTATCAAAGCCAGCTACGGGCCCAGGCGGACCGGGGATTCATTCAAGCCGTGCAAGCTAAAGAGGCAGTTAAGAGCCAAGGTACTAAAGGGAACTTCTCTCTCCACCGAAACCATTGAACGCCGGGAAAATGAGAGAAAACAGCGCGAAACGCAACATGCGCTCTGAACGCTTTGAACCAGCATGCAAAGATTTGCCAACTTGCCATCCGAGTCGGCTTCATCCAAGCACCTTCAGCTTTTTCTTTTTCTTCTTGTCCTCGCCACCCGGTTTGCGGCCCTTTTGCCAGTCCCGCCAGCTGCCAATGCGCTCCTCACGGGTATCTTCCCAGGCCTTATCCTGATCGCGCTTGCGCTTGCGAGCTTCCAGCTCTTCCTCCTCCTTTTGTCTCTCGCGACCTTCCTCCTGCAACCGGGCCTTGGCTTGGCGACGTCGCCGGGCTTCTTCCTCCAACAGCACATGAATGGTCTTCTTGCGCCATTCCACCTTGAATTCCTCGGTTTTCAACTCCGGGGAGTCCAATGTGTACTTATGCTCGCGGATCAGGAGCCGCCGGGCATCAGCGATACATTCATCCAGGTACGTCCGTTGCTTTTCGTCGAGGAGAGCGGTCTGGGCCTTTTTCAGCCGGTCAAAGGCATCGGGCGCCGCTGGGTTCTTGGTCTTATCCGGGTGGATCAGGAGGGATTTCTTGCGGTACTGAATTTTAATGTCCTTCTCGGTAACACCGGGTTGAAGATCTAACACAGAATAGCTAATGATCCAGTCAGTGGCACCGGCATTGGGGGAAGGAGGCCTGATTGAGTTGGGGTCGTAGACTTACGCATCGAGAGCAAATGCGTTGCGGATCCGGTCAATCTCCGCATCCTAGAATCGCCTGTTAGCGAACTCACCCGAGCATCGTAGGGGCAAATCATCTGACCTTTGTAAATTCAGAGGCCTCACGCTCGAGCGAGTCGAAGATATCCTGGTCCAAGTCGTCGTCTGCCATGAGGGGTATAAACAAAAGAGTGCAATGCGATCGCAGGCGCAATTCCGGTCGAAAGATAAGCCCGCTTATCGGGCACGCTGAGTCAGCACAGAAAAAAAGTCGCGGTTAAACAGCCGTCGATTTGACGATAAGAAAAGCAAAGCTCGCCAAACCTGCACTCGAATATGGCTCCGGCTCGAACATCGCGGGGCAAAGCCCCCAAGCCGAAGCATGACTCTAGCAGAACTCTCAAACGCAAGCGCGGCGAGGATGAGCTGTCCACGCTCGCGCAACGAGTCGAGGATCTCGATCTGAAGGCTTCCGTCAAGGCTTTCTCCGACCTGCCTCTCTCCGGTCCTACGGCGCAGGGTCTGACAGCCTCCCACTACAAGACTCTGACGGATATTCAATCTCGCGCCATCACCTACGCCCTCAAGGGCCGTGACATTTTGGGTGCTGCCAAAACCGGCAGCGGCAAGACTCTGGCTTTCTTAGTTCCCGTCCTAGAGAACCTGTACCGCCGACAATGGACCGAATACGATGGATTGGGTGCGCTCATTCTCTCTCCGACTCGTGAACTCGCTATCCAGATCTTCGAGGTGCTGCGCAAGGTTGGACGGTACCATGCCTTTTCCGCTGGGCTGGTAATCGGAGGGAAAAGTTTGCGCGAGGAACAAGAGCGACTGGGACGAATGAACATCTTGGTCTGCACTCCGGGCCGCATGCTGCAGCATCTCGATCAGACGGCTATGTTTGAGACCAACAACCTACAGCTACTGGTACTGGATGAGGCGGACCGGATCCTGGATATGGGCTTTCAGAAAACCGTGGATGCTATTATCGACCACCTCCCCAAGCAGCGCCAGACCATGCTATTCAGTGCCACTCAGACGAAGAAGGTGTCGGATCTGGCTCGGTTGAGCTTGCAGGATCCCGAGTATGTGAGTGTCCACGAGGCCGCCGCATCGGCCACACCCGCCACCCTCCAACAACACTATACCATCACCCCGCTGGCATCGAAGCTCGATACGCTCTGGAGCTTCATTCGCAGCAACCTGAAGTCAAAGACTGTCGTTTTCTTGTCCTCTGGCAAGCAAGTTCGATTTGTCTTTGAGTCGTTCCGACACATGCAGCCCGGTATCCCGTTGATGCATTTGCACGGCAAGCAAAAGCAGGGAGGTCGTCTCGACATCACCACCAAGTTCTCTCAGGCTCAACATGCAGTTCTTTTTGCCACCGATGTTGCCGCCCGTGGTCTTGATTTTCCGGCTGTCGACTGGGTCATTCAAATGGATTGCCCCGAAGATGCCGACACATACATTCACCGAGTCGGACGAACTGCCCGTTATGAGCGTGTTGGTCGCGCGGTGCTTTTCCTTGACGCGAGTGAGGAAAAGGGTATGCTCAAACGACTGGAGCAGAAGAAGGTGCCCATTGAAAAGATCAACATCAAAGCCAATAAGCAACAGAGCATCAAGAATCAACTACAAAACATGTGTTTCAAAGACCCGGAGCTCAAATATCTGGGCCAGAAGGCCTTCATATCCTACGTCAAGTCGATCTACGTGCAAAAGGACAAGGAGACATTCAATCTAAAGGAGCTCAAGCTGGAGGATTTCGCGGCCAGCATGGGTCTCCCTGGTGCGCCGCGTATCAAGTTCATTAAGGGCGACGATACGAAGGAACGCAAGAATGCATCCTGGAAAATGGCACACCTGTCCAGCGATGACGACTCGGATGCCGATAATGCCGAGAAGAAGGATAAGAAGGACGAGAACCAGGTCCGCACCCGTTATGACCGTATGTTTGAACGACGAAATCAAGATGTGTTGGCCGAGCACTACTCGAAGCTCATTAACGATGACGGTACCATGGTTGCCACAAGCACGGGCAATGGTGCTGGAGAAGATGCCGATGAGGATGACGATTTCCTGTCTGTTAAGCGCCGTTTTGCTGCCGGCGATGCCGAACTTGGCCAAGGTGACTCTGAAGGAGAGGACTCAGATGCTGAGAAGGAGACGAAGGAGACTAAGTTTGTCAAAATCGATGGTGGCCAGGATCCCTTGGTCATTGACTCGAAGCGTCGCGAGAAGCTCCTCAAATCCAAGAAGAAGCTCCTCAAATTCAAGGGCAAAGGTACAAAACTGGTGTACGACGAGGATGGAAATGCTCACGAGTTGTACGAGATGGAGGACGAGGAGCACTTCAAAGCCCGCGGCGACGCCGATGCCCAGCGCGCGGAGTTCTTGGCTGGCGAAACCGAGCGCACCCGCCGTGCCGACTTGGAGGACAAGGAGGTGGCGCGAGAGAAGCGTCGCGAGAAGAAGGAGAAGCGGAAGGCACGCGAACGTGCGCTGGCCGAGGAGGAGGCCGAGGAAGAGGCTGGTGTACAGGGGCTCCCCTATGTGCCTTTCGAAATCCCGGGTTCGGACTCTGCCTCCGAAGCCGAGGAGAGAGAGGCCCCGCGACCCAGCAAGAAACAGCGTGTCTCGTTTGCCGAGCCGGACGACAGCAGCGACGACGAGGCTGCTCGCAAAAAGCGCAAGGGGAAGAGCAAGGCCGCCAGTGCCGCTGCACAGCCTCAGATCGAGACTTTGGCGGATCTGGAAGCGCTGGCGAGTGGCCTTTTGGGCTGATGTGCATATGCTACCTATTCCTTCTAGGATGGGAGATTACGTGGGCGTCAATGCTTTTTTCCCCTCTTGTTTATTTATTTATTTTCCATATTTCACCATGTGCTAGCGAAGTTTTCCCAAAAAGCATTGATCGAATTGATTCCAGCAGAGTACATAGTCAAATATCCAGCCTGCATATTAAGACTTCCAGTATCTTCAATGTTGAATATAGAAATATTCGACCAATGAGTAAAATAGAAAACATAGATCCTGGTCATTGATAATCTAGAAATGTTTCAGCGACTTCGAGGTTGTCGTCAAATGGCGATAAGCTTAAGCCCGGCCGTTCCGGTGGCGACGTTCAGATAGGCTCCGTTTCAGGTTCTGCAGCCGCATCTTAAAACACCACCAGCGCACTAAGCTTTCCCTTCCCGAATACTAAAATTTCTAGCATCCGAGGAATGCTTCTCCTTAAGCATGATGTAGAGTCTTATTTCATCCGGGATTGATTAACTCCAAGATTAGCATCCGAGCCAATGTTCATCTACCGAGCGAACCCACGAATCACCCGTTTTACGACGCAAAGTGGAGCCGCCGCAATTTTTTTCATGTCATCGCGTGCGGATCCTACCGTCCAGTCATCGTCGACCTCAAGCACGCAATCGCAAAAAGTGCGCCCTGGTCAGTTCTGTTTTTGCAAAGATCACCCAGGATGTCTTTCCTTCTTTTATTCTATTCCCTGAAGCTTCTGCTTGGCTGTTTGGAGAACTATCCGAACTGTCCGAACTGTCATACACTCGGAGATCCGGGGAAGCCACGTGCAGGTCACGAGACTTAGGGCTAGGTGAGTTTGAGCGGGCGCCGATTTGGAAACGCGGAGGTTGATATCGAGCAGGTTGATTATCAGTTGCCCGTGGCTCTGGTTCAATTTTCTAAAACAATCAAAAAGAAATACAGAGGCACACACTTAAAAAGTGCTGATCAGGCCTCTCGGTCTGCATTACGCTACACGATGGCTGCTGTCTCTGATCCCGAGAAGTATGCCTCCGACAAGGCTCCTCAGGACTATGTTGGCGATGTCTCTGCGACTCCCTTTGTCAACGCCGACAAGCTCGCACGCCGCCTATCAGGCCGCCAGGTCCAGATGATAGCTATCGGTGGTACCATCGGCACCGGCTTGTTCCTGGGTACGGGCAAGTCTCTTGCTACAGGCGGTCCGGCGTCCACCCTCATCGCCTATGCTATCTGCGGTGGAATCGTCTTCGTGACCATGCTCTGCCTGGGAGAGATGGCCGCCTTCATGCCCGTTGCTGGCTCATTTTGCACATATGCGGGGTGAGTGGCGACAATCCCCCCTTTTCGCACGTCCGACGTTACATCCGTCTGGTTCTGCGCCCGACGCCTAGCTTGGCACGCCGTTGGCTAACCTTTATATTGTTTAGACGCTTCGTCGATGATGCCTTAGGTTTTGCCTTGACCTGGAATTACTGGTTCAATGATGCTGTTTCCACTGCTTCGGATATTATTGCCTTACAGTTGCTGCTGGAATACTGGACCGAGAATTTCCCAGGCTGGGCGATTAGCTTGATTTTCTTGGTCGTGGTCATCGGGCTGAACATTTTGTCCGTCCGTGTCTATGGCGAAGTATGTTGAAACTATGGCGCAATTTTTCTTTCTTTCTTGGCTTGGCGCTGACCAGAATTTGAAATTAGGTAGAATATTGGCTGAGTTTGCTCAAAGTGATTACGATTGTGGTATGTTATCTGTGCCCTAAGTCCCAGACAGGCACGCAGCGCTAACCAGGTTCTAGATCTTCATTATCATCGGCATTGTCGTCAACTGTGGCGGCAACACCGATCACGAGTATATTGGAGGTAAATACTGGCATATCGGAGATGCACCTTTTGTCGGCGGCATTGGTGGATTTGCCTCCGTCTTCGTCACAGCCTCCTTCGCCTAGTATGTCCAAATTAGCTACGTTCCCTTATGATCGCCATTTGTTCTTCTTTCTAACTTTCCTTTAGTGGCGGCACCGAATCTATTGCCATCACGGCCGGTGAAACAAAGAACCCAACAAAGACCATGCCTCGAGTTGTCCGCAATGTGTTCTGGCGGATTGTACTCTTCTACCTGCTTTCCATTCTCCTGATTGGCCTGAATGTGCCCTACAACTACCCTGACCTGTCGACTGGGGACACCGCCACAAGTCCGTTCACCATCGTGTTTAAAATGGTCGGTAGCAATGTGGCAGGCAGTTTCATCAACGCAGTGATCATGACATCCGTAATCTCTGCCGCCAACCATGCCCTGTTCGCCGGATCCCGTCTACTGTATACCCTCGCTGTCGATGGCTACGCGCCTAGTTTCTTCGGCAACTTGAACCGCTTCTCTGTTCCTTGGGTCGCCGTGCTGGCCACCTCCGTCATCAGCGGCCTGTGCTTTGGCGCGAGCTACATCGGCGCTGGCCAGCTTTGGTCCTGGCTGCAGAACATTGTCGGCGTCTCTAATCAGCTCTCCTGGATCTGCATTGGCCTCGCCTCGCTCCGCTTCCGCGGCGCCATCCGCTCCCAGGGCCTGGAGCACCTTCTTCCATTCAAGAACTGGACCTACCCCTACGGTCCTATCTTCGCAGTCGGACTGAACATTGTCCTAGTCCTCGTCCAGGGTTGGAGCTGCTTCAGCCCGCACTTCAAGCGCGTCGACTTCGTCTCGCTCTACATCGAAATCCCGATCATGATCGTCATGTTCCTCGCGTGGAAGCTCATCAAGCGCACGCACTTCGTACGTAAATCCGAGATGGATCTCCGCACGGATCGATATGACGGCGGCCAGGACGATAACAATTATCCCGAAGAGGTTGCACTCGAGACAAAACGGAAGGGCATTGTTGGCAAGCTACAGCGCATTGGACAATGGCTGTTCCTCTAGTTTTCATTTGGTAGTTTTTGTTTTCCTTTTTCTTCAAGATACCTCTCAGCTTACTTCATATGTTCTGCATGTGCATCGCTATTAATTTATATATTTTCACGAGCTTAGTCGCCTTGGCTGTTTCTAAGTGAATTCAAATATGCATTGATCCATCAAAATCCCTTTTTGCATCCATTTTGTGCAATTATATAAAACTCAACTTTAGTCTAGGAGAGTATTTGAGATCCTCGAAAATGTTCCATAGTGGTGTACACAGGGTACAAAAGGTCCTCCCGCACTATCGCTGCATTTTGAACAGAAACCCCCGATTGGAATACATGTGGGGTAAGGTCTAGGGAGAGAGAGAGATAGAGAGAAATGTGTGATGGGTGGCGATAAGAAGGGGAAGAAAAAAAAGGAAATGGAGGAAAATGAGAAAAAGCGATACGAGACCGCCCCCTTCCCACTCCGCGTAACGCCGTGCCATGTCTTGAAAACCATAACTGTAGGGGTACTCGCGAGAAGAGATATCTGAAAATAAGCGGAATAGAACGGAAACAAATTGACATAAGAAATGTTCTCTCTTGCATGGATACCTGTCGCATCCAATTCAAAGTGAGACACCGAGAGAGAGGGAGCGGGGAAAGAGAACCAAAACAACACGACGGCCAAACCAAAACAAGGGACAGAGTAATAGGGAACAGGACGAAAACGGATTAACGTGACGCTGTTGTTCTGTAGCTTCACAAAACAAGCCGGGATATCGGGATTTTTGACGTCCTCAAAAGAGCAAAGCAAACAGACATTGAAGGGCACCACGAAAGAAAACATGAGAAACGTAACGAGATACTCAGAAATCAAGACTGATGAGTTCTGCCCGTACCGAAAACGCAAAGGCGAAAAGAAATCGAAAGGGGGTATCTCACTCCTTGTAGACCCTGCTACAAGGGCGGCAGATTATACAATACAAGGTGAGCCTCCGGGGCAGCTGGCCTGAGAAAAATATCTGCCAAAAAAAAGACATGCCAAACAGGTTGGAAGACAAAAGATGAATATTTCTCGTCGATAGATGGACTTCGGATCAGATCAGCCGTTGACCATGTCATCAAGGGCCATCTTGCGCCGCTTGATGGGGCGCGGCTCTTGGGTGTCTGCCTCAGTCGTCGCAGGGTTTATAGTTGTCCGTGTCAAAGCCGGCGAAGAATGCGCAATAGAGACCGGCGATGGCAGATCAATAGGACCGAGATGCCGGGGAATTGGGTCGAGAGGACCTGTTGTCGAGGATGAACGTTGGTGAGTAGGCGAGTGCGAGAAGACAGAACCCAAGGGTCTTTGTAGTTGGATCGGAGATCGTGGCTCTCTGAAGTTGTCGTCCCGGCTGCCGGAGCTCCAGGATGCAGGGTATGGGTCACTCAGACGATGTGCATGCTGCGGATGTGGAGGCGGGCCAGGGACAGGGCTGGCAGTGGCTTGATGGATAGGCGGTAATCTAACGGGGGATTCTAGATAGGGTTCTCGTGGTCCATGAGGCATCCGAGGATCGGTGAGCGTTTGGTGTATCGTGTTGCTTGGGGCCTCTGCGTAGTGTAAATAGGCCATCCCCCCCGGAAGCTGGGGCTGCGGAGGCGATGTTGGTGGCGGCAATCCTGGTCCATATGGTGGGAACCGTCTTTCCATTCCCGGTGGCATATTTCCCGGCTTGATTACAGGGTTGAACCCGCTGGCCATTGGGACAAAAGCGGGTGGCGGATGTGCCGGCACTGCATACGTTGGCGGTCCAGATGAAGAGAACGGTCGTCGTCCGCCTGGGCCAGGCATTGATGGTGATGGATCCATCGGTCGAGTCAATGGAAACACAGATGCCGACCACCGGTGCGATTGAGCTCCCGGTACTCGCATTGAGGCACCCGCAGGTCCTGGTTCGCCGAGTCCTTGAAGATCCGTCATCGGCCGTAGCTCGCGTGACGATGTTGTCCGGTGCATAATAGTTCTATGAGGGGGCGCATTTGGATGGACTTCGGCTGGCACTGCCGGATTATCGGCATGTGTCGAATAAGAACGGAGAGAAGAATCTTCTGCTTTCAATGGTGGCCGCCCACGCTTCTTGTGTGTGACATCCACACACGATGACTGTTTAAATAACAATATTAGCGCCAATATGAAAGCTGTATAGTATCAAATGGTAAAAACTCACGGCCTTCCCAGCAAGAACACATCGTCGACATGGTCTTGCCGGATCACATCCCAAGTGTTTTTTCTTACAGTTGACGCAGGCGGACGCGACATGAGCCTTGGTCCGGCGAGTTGATTTTTGCGTCAATGAGCGGGGCGAGGGCCCTGCCACGGATGAATCCAGACCTGGGAACGATACATATGGAGCAGCTCCTGGTGGCAGTCGTGGAGAGCCGGCTAAAAATGCTGACGGTGCTGGGCCGAGAGGATCGCCATACCTTGGGGTCGAGACGTGCGCTGGTAACGGTTCATTCAGCACCAGTGGGTGTGAAGGGGGCAGTGAACTTGGTCCTGGGATAGTCGTCGTCGCAGTACTTGTTATAGGAAAAGGTGTGGGAGCAGCAACCGCTCCAGCGGCAGTGACCGCCGAGACGGCGGTCACTGCCGGCGAAGATACCGGAGGATATCCCAGCTCAGGCTTGAGGTCTCTGGACGTCACCGTGGGCTCTTCGGCCGGCGGCGAGCCAGACATAGATTGACGGCGAAAAGGAGCCCGGGGACTGCACCCTCGAGCATTGGTAGACCAAGATCGATTCAACGGAAGCCGCTCTGGGCCCGAGTTGAACCGGGGCTGTCCGAACTGGGCGGTGGTGAGGCTCGGTGGGTGAAGCACGAGTGGTTGCATCGGGCGTCAGACAGGCAATGAACAGGGCGGGGGGCAAACCAAACGACCAAAAAAGAAAAAAAAAAGGAAAGGTACGGCCCAGATTGTTCAATGGGGATTCGGCGACTAGAGAGGACCGCGGGTTGTACTATCTGCAGTTGAGAGCAGCATATCTGGTGGATGGATCACTGGGTGGCGATTCCCGGAACAAAAAGGAAAACTAGGAGGGGATCAATCGGTGTAAGCTCGGGACTAAGGGTCTTGAGGGATGTAGGACGAGCAGAGGGAGGTGGTAGGTCAAACAGGGGAGCCAATGGGGAAGGATGAAGTATAAGGACGTCGGTATGAAGTATGGGGAAGTATGAAGGGGAGAAGAAAGGCAGTGGCCACGGCAGCGGTGTAGAAGCCGCGGCGGCTAGTAGAGGACAGGAGTGTAGGGGAACGAAAGAAGAGAGGATCAGAGCCTGGCAGCCTAGGACCCTAGGAACCCAGGAGTATAGGAGGGGAGAGAGAGAGAGAGAGAGAGAGAGAGAGGAGAGTGGAGGAGTGTCGCAGCCAATGCCGACCACTAGGAGAGCTGGCGTGGAAAATAATCACCACGATAATCACAGAACAGTCGAAGACAAAAAGGGAAGAAAAATTCCCAAAAAGGCCAAGAAACAGGGTCAAATCTCTCCAAACAATGAACGAGAAGTCAATATTCAGGCATCACCAAGCCCTCTCGCTCCTCTTAGGGCTCTTCACGGACTCCCTCCACACCCCCAAGCTTATAATCCGTGGATAGAGCAAATCCGCTATTGGAGGAGTCAGAGAATAGACTGCATCGATCAGCGGGGGATTTCCAGATGATGACAGCAGGGTTACCCATAGCCGCGCATGTCTTTCCCGTCCTAGGGCGATTTATTGCAGGATGGCGGTCGATCATCGAGCTAGGATCAGGTTGCAGCGACGCAAGTGTCAAAGCCACCTCCTCACGCCTTACTTGTGTCTTTGATGGGCCAGGGCCCACGTTCCATGCACTTGGGATTGGTAGATGCCGACGGGCTGAAAAACCGAGCATCTCCCAGCCCCTCCACTCTCCCAGATTGAGTGTGCGTGATGTTTATAAGGGGGGGGAAAAAGGCTCCTTCTCAGGACATCGACTTGAAGGATGGAGGATAGAGAAGGGTATAGAGGGGAGGAGATATGAAGTTTAGACAGGGGGATATATGGACCATGTTCGAAGCAAAAGACAAAAAGACAAAAAGCCAGAAAGATCAAACGGTGTGAACTATACATACCGGATTGATAGTGAGACCTGGCGTTGCTCCTCTGTCGGCTTTTTTTTTTGTCTTTTTTTTTTTCTTTCTCTTTTATTTTCAATTTTTCTTCCCTTTCACCTGGCGAAGGAAGAGGCCGTGGGAATCAGATGAATTATCCACCCTGTGTCCGTGGAATCTCTCTTAGGGACTAATTGTTCCGTGATTTGGCGGTCGATGTGCCAGAATCCCTGACCGATAGCTTCGAAGAGCTAGTAGCTTTCCAGGTAGCTTAACTTGGTGTGGAGGGGCGGGGATAGCAGGGAAGGGAGAAGTAAAAGAGAAGGGGCCAGAAGCAGCCCTCAGAACTAAAAAAGCAACCACAATCCCCCAAAGCCGGATGGATGGTTTCTTTTCCGTTTTCTCTCTCGTGGCACACCCGACCTGCGGGCTTCTAGGCTTATACAAGGGAGCTTTGAGAGGGGAGTGGAAAGAGAAAGAGACAGAAGTCAAGTGGGCAGCGGGTCCTGGGTCTTAGGGCAGTGGAAAAGTAGTGGTCAGTGCAGACGAGACTAGTAGCTGATAGACTTGATCTCCGTCATGGTAGATCTTCGAAATAATGGAGGGGGTGGATCTCAAAGAAGAATGATCATAGGATTTTTTTGGGAGATTCTTTATTGTATTTTATTTTATTGCCTGAATTTCCCGAACAGTCCTAAGCCCAACGGTAGGTACAGTCTACCGGAGGAGAAGGGGGAGGGTGGGGGGGCTAAAGTAGGGGGGAGGGGGAGGCAAATGCCTCGGTGGTTCTTCTGGAGAGACGAGATTTGGGGGGGGGGGGCGAAGGGAGAAGGGTTATCCATTGTCTGCAGGTTTTTGGGGAAAATCCTCAATTTCTCCCCTACATCCTTCTTGGATGGCTTTTATCCCGAATTATGGGAATATAGTAGACCCCAACTCGGAAAGAGACCCAAACTGAGGAACCTCGCACGGCGATCCAGCATGGACCGAGCCGCCCATTCACGGCAACCGGGGAACTACTGGGTTCTCTGGCTGGGGTGGCTTGCATTAGACGGGGAACGAGTCGCTGTCAGTGACACCCCGTGTTAGGGCCCGCGTCTGGTTCGGATACAGTAGAAGCGTCAGAGGATTTCAAGGGCGCATTGAATAAATCGGCATTCGAAAAAAAAATAAAGCAGGAAATAAATTAATGAAATAAAATGCAAAATGGAAAGACCAAGGTACGGAATCGAATCCCATCACATCCGCCCCAACGATATACTGTATGTCCGTCTCGATGTACTCCGTATACTGTACCAACTAGTGCCCTTCTACCAGAGGATGATTGGAATCAGCGCATTGAATAGGGCAATTTGTCAATCGAGCAGCCCAGACGGGGGGACTCCGTAATAATAGTAATAAAAATAAATAAAAATAAAAAGCAGGATGGGACTGGGACTTGTACTAGGCACGAAGGAAATAAAATCCAGCTTGGAGCCTTTTTCGGAGGAAAAGAATTCGAATGAAACAAGATCCTCAGAAAACAATAACATCACCATTGTGGAAATACTCCAATAAAAATGATTTTTGGGGCTGATTTCTGATTTGACGAGCGAAAGCAAGTACATGAGGTGGTGGGGGGGGTGGGAAGGCCCCCCCCCCCCCCCAATGCCAATCACGCCCGAGAAGCAAGGCGAACGATTGACGGATCGACGTCGGCGCCCGCGGCCATTGCCAATAGTCGGACTCGGCAAGGAAGTGCACATTCCGTTTGACATGCACAAAGTCCATGCATTTTCCTCGTCATCCTGCGAAAGGGGGGCTTGCACATCATGAGAACTGTCACGAACCATGCTCCTGTGTATTCTTTTTCTGTACATATATAACCCAGATGGTTGTTTGGTTGTACGGTTTGTTACAATGAGCCCCCAGGATGACATATCGACACAATATGCTGCCATCGGGAATATCGCGGACACAGATTCGCGACGAGTGAGATGGCCAGATGCCGAAAAGAAAAGGAAAGTAAAGCCATCCTTCATGATATCCACAAAAGCAACCTGTTAGGCTCGTCTGTAAATTGCAACCCACATCGTTTGGGGAGGACGAAGGGGAGCACCGAATACTCGTATCTATGTGCTTCCATCCTCCGTACTTTCGAGTCGGAGTATAGCTATCGGGTGGAGGAAAGGAGGTTCGGATCGAGAGAGATCAGGCCAACCATCGCTCGACAATCGGCGTACGGACCTTTTGGGGTCGGATTGGAAGGGACGTGTAAAGACAAAAAGCTCGTATTATTCCGGATGGTCGGTCGGAGCTGCATTGGACTTTTTCCTGGAGATATATCCGCACGCTAGACCAACTGTCGGTGGCATATCATGGGGAATACCTGGGATTTTTTATCAGTGCAAAGAGGGGAAAAAAGATCCGTGTTCCAGGTATTTTTTTCTGCGCTGTCCATTCGCGACTCTCGTTGCCTCTCTTGATTATTGAGTTTTCCACCTTATTTGGGGCTCCACTGAAAACCGCTAGATTGCAGTTCTAGTGGATTGCTGGAGGGTTCTGGGAGAACCCCAAGCTTTTCCACTACCCAAGTCCTTCGACGCTCCCGCCAATTAGGGAGGAAAAAGAAAATGGGAAAAAAAGGGGAGGGGGAAAAGAGAGAGCACGCAAATAACCAACCCACGGCGTCGGGTTGCGCCCGGACGAGAACTAAACGGTGAGTTGAATCACTGGCAGCCTGGTTGGCGTCCCTGCATTCTCTGTGATCTGGACTCAGTAGGTTCGCCGTGGTGGGTTCTGCTCCTGGTGTCGTCGCTCCGCATCTGGGTTCGGCGACGTCTGGAAATATTACAGGGTATGATATAGTATCTACATTGCTGCATGATGAGAGAGTGGTGATCATTCCGTAAGGGCTGGGTCCCTTGTTTCTGGTGAGACAGCAACAGGTGTTCGCCGATGCCACGCCCCGGAAGAACATGGACACGGTCGCGAACCCCTCGAACAAGCCCTCGCTCCCATGGGTGTTGTTATTCTCCGCAGTGGAGATCCTCAAGGAACGGGTCGTCCCCACTTGGGCATTGGGCACCGTATGACCGAGTTGATCCTCCGTAAATTTGGGAGGATGCGATGATTTTCTCTTATTCTCCGTCGTACGAGAAGGGGTTACTGTTACAATCAAGGCCGAGCTATGGAGTTGCAGAGAGAAGGCATCCGGGCTTATTTTGCTGAATCGTCCACCGAGGGGCTATAGGGTGGTGGAAAGCCAAAGAGGGAAGAAGAGTCTCACGGCAGATGGTTGACCCATGGGCCATGACCGATGGTCCGGGCAGCTGCAGGAAGGGGGTTTTGGGGTTGGGGAGGAAATTCGGCTCAGGGCAAGAGGGGGTCGAAGGAGCCGGCACTTCTTGGGGGCTTTTCTCCTGAGGGTCCTTGTTTGGGGAGGGAGAGGTCTTGGTCTTAGAATTGGGGTGCCTCATGCTCGCGCCTAAATTAGATCGACAGCCCATGGAAATAGTTCGCGACGACAAGTGATACCAATGACGACAACTAGGGGAGTCCCTCCATTCAGGGCGGAAGGGTGGGTTCCTGTTGTGAGACCCGGTCGCACCTCGTACACCCGGGGAAAAGGGTGGGATAAGGAACATCCAGAATCCTGGAGTTCCGTAGGCCCTTCATGGTTGTATATGGAGAAGAGAGGGATGCAGCGGGGGGCAAAGGGGGACGGGCGGGGGACAGACGGGAACAGGATCATCAAAATCCCCCTTGAGGTTGCGCAGGGTCTCGCAAAGCGGCCTTCGAACGACAGCGTCGTGTTCTTTGCCTTCTTTATTTTCCGGGGGCCGACGGCGGCATTGAGCAACCGCATTGAACAACTAGATGTGGCGGCAGCCGCAGCCTTTGGTGGGCGATCATCTTGACTCGAGCGCGTGCGCATTGCTCATCCCTGGCTTCAGGCGTCTCGGGTTTCTGGCCCTTCCAGCTGCAGGGAAAATCCAACCCACGTCATCGGGTGATTGACAGGCGGACCGGACCAATGATGGGAGATGGAGAAGAGCAGAGAGGGGCCAAGGGCAAGGAGGAGCTGCCGAGGGGCTCGAGAACGGTGAAGATACCGGACCTTCACAGTGGAATCATGGGATGGCGTTGTCCAGGCCACCTGAGCCACCTGAAAGGGAGCAGCAGCAGCAGCAGCAGCAGCAGCAGAGCAATAGGAGCCGTGGGTCGCAGCGACAGCAATCACACATAACAGCCGCAGAGGTGCTTGCAGGAGCCAAGGCGTATTACCGTGAGCCAGTCCGAAAGAGGAGGGTGGTGGAACATGCGGCACGCGGAGCAGTAAGGGGTCTGTCACCCCGTTCATGCACGATCGACCAGTGGGAACTCAACGCGATTCAATAGTCCCAAAGCGCGATGGATTTCAATAGCGCGAACCACTCATGTCGATAATTCGCGAGGTTTGGTTGGTCCGAGTCGGTCAGGTGTGCTTAGTCAGACTGCACACTCAAGCTCAAGGACTCAGCAGTCGTGACTCGTTCCTCGGTAATTCCAGCCAGCAACTGCTTTATGATTATTTTTCTTCTTATCAAAAGCCCAATCATCGAGGAAAAGCGCAAACTGTGTAATCGTTTGGAGCTTAGCCAATCAGGGACAACCTGGCTCGCCCCGCTCAATCGCGCTGCCTGGAGTCTATCCCGAGCGAAGTACGACGGCCGACAGCAGAGTAAACGAAGGACTCTCCGTCCACTACTCATTCGGCGTATTCACGCCGAGGCGGACTAGCCTCCTACGGCAACTAATTGAGAAAAACCTCAATACCAACCAGTGGGGTCAAATGTATCTAGCTTGCAATGATTCGGTCTCCGAGCTAAACTCATTCCTGCCTGGTGGACACCCATGATTTGTTAATCTGTCAATGACCATCGATTTTTCGCCCGAGTTGATCCCCCCTTTCTCTGGCCGAAGCCGCGGATCCGTCAACGGATAATTCGCCGACGAGCTAAAGCTAGTCCCTTAGCTCTTTGAAACTAAAGGGAAGGGATGTGGAGGAATTGACCAGCCGGGGATTATTGGTATTATTCCGCTCTATTGCCTCGTGGGTTTAGAGCGCCTGGACCCGGCCGGTTTTCTGTCAATTAAATCCCATCACCCGAGGCTGGAACCTCATCTGACGATCGTTGCGCATGTGCGTGATAACGCGACAGTCTATATTCCGTCGATCCGGTACATAGCATAGGCATGTCTTTATCCTGCACGGCCCCCGGAGGGGACGGAGTATAGACCTAGACCATCCTATAACTCTCCGAAGGCAATAAATCCAACGATCCTCTGACCCATCCGTTTTCCAACGGTGTTTTCTGGCGATCCGAGGCCGGAGATCATTGTGCAATTGGACTCCCTTTCTCGTCTATTCGGTGCTGGAACGTTGGAGGCGTGACTGAAAGGGAGGCTCGATAGCACTATCTAGTGGCCCAGTTGCGAATCTGGCCTTATAAAACCATTCACGACTAGCCGGGCAGCAAGGACCGACCCTCTGACGAAGGTAAGTTGTCGGCTAATCAACTTCATCCACGAAGGGTTCACTAATACTGCTCCGTGTGGCCTGACCGGTTCAGGCTCACTCGATCATGCGCGGCTTGCACTGTTCGGAGTTATCTCTATACCTAGATGCAACGAGCACTCCTATACATCATCATTACTCCACACTTTAGATTTGAGAGCAGAGGAAGCTCGGCAGGTCAAACAATAGTCACAAAGTTCTGTGGGTCCATTGATCTTACGAGGGAAGGAGGGCCCCCCGGGCCGGGGGGGGGGGCTGGATAAATCAGTAATAGCGGCGCTCACAATGTCAATAATTGGTATCTAATGCAGAGACAGAGAGAAATGACCTCGAGAGCTCTGAAGAGAGAGCAAAAAGTAGTAGATAGCAGATATACACAAGCCTCCAAACCCAAACTCCTTTTTGAAGATTGCCAAAGGATTTGAGGTGTGCAATGCAGTAATGTATGTGGTAATAGATAAAAGGTACCTCCTGCGACACCCCCATACACATCTTCCTAGACATAGCCTCCTTTAATGTTTCTTCTTCGACGGCCGGGCGTTCTTCTCGCGTCGCCTCTGCTGCAGCTTCCGCGCCTTCCGAATATCGTCTGTCGAGCGAATCTCGCTCTTCCCGCGCGCCGCCGCACCACCTGCCTGTCCCTGCACGCGTTCCCGAGCCGCGTCGTTCTTCTTCTTCATCTTCTCGTAGTCCCCTCGTAGCGGGTCGGCCCGCTTGGGTGCTTGCTGTTTGTTGTGCCGGAATCGCCCACCACCGTGTCGGTTGCCAGGTACCCCAGTACCAGTAGAGAGCCCAGGCGTCTCGGCTTCGCCGACGCGTGGCAGGTTGCTCATCCGCTTACCCTTCTTCCAGTTTTGGAAGCGGCCACTGCGGAAGCTGGCAGCGATCTTGGCACCGCTCTCGCCGCGGACAAGACGCTCGCCCTTGGATCCGTCTTCGTCGTTCTGTCGCGCGACGTACTTCTTGTGTCGCTTGTCCCATCTCATGATGGAGCGCGGCTCGCCAAAGGCCTTTTGCCCTTCGTCGCCGGTCAAGTCCATCGTCGCGGTGCGGGAGGCTGCTGTGAAGTTCGAGTTTGTACCGGAGTGGACTCCGTAGGCGCGGTCCTCGGCACTGTTGTGGTTGGCCGGTGTATAGCCCATGAAGTAGTCCGGATTCTGGAATGATGTGGCTGAGACACCGTTCGGCTCTTGGGTGTTGTTCTTGGATTGGTTGTAGGATGAGAAAGCGACCTCCAAATCCTCCTCGGATGCCATGGACATATTGTCCCCTGCCTCCTCGGGAATATCGTCGTCTTCATTCAAGACATCTTCATCATCGACCGAAGCCCGGCCACTGAGGCCTAGCTCGGCTTGTTCAGCCTGCTCCTTGGCGTGGGCTCGCTGTTTTTTCTTATCCACCGTAGTGCGAAGTCGCTTGATTGTGTTCATGGCGGCGTCATCACCTTCAGTCTTAGCGGCCTTGCCAGCACGCCGGTTTTGAACCTCGAAGATAGTTTCGCTGGGTCGGAACCCACCGATGCGAGCTAACATTTTGTCACGCTCGGCCTCCAGCTGGCTTGTTTCATCGTTGAAAAGAGGATGGATTGTAGACCAGTCTTCGGTGGCTGTGACCTTCTTCGCGCGTTTCGCGCTCTCCAAGGATGCGGCATTTCGAGTGCGCATGTAGAGCTTTTCACCTCGGACAGATACTTGGCGTTGCGATTCAATATCCGTCGCTTCTTCCAGGACTTTATTAACCCATTCACAGCTCCGAGACAGAGAATCGCGGGGAATAGAGCCCACAACCACATCCTCGGCGTAGTTGACGTTGCCGTCATACTGATGACCAAGAACCAACCTTCGGCCAAGGAAGAGCTGAAGATCAAGTAGATAGGGTGCATCGGAGTCACGGACCAGGCTGTAACTCCATCCTTGCCGGCCGGCACGGGCAGTTCGGCCGACACGGTGGACGAAGATCTTTGGCTGCGAAGGGAAATCGTAGTTAATGACGTTGGCAAGAATGGGAATATCAATACCACGAGCGGCAACATCAGTCACAACGAGGATGTTGGAAATGCCCTGTCTAAAATTCTGGACTTGGATCTTACGTGCCGTCTGATCCAGAGAACCGTATACGTAGGAGGTGGCAAAGCCCGCTTCAATCAGAAGAGCGTAGAGGTAGTCGACGTGGTGCTTCGTCGCAGCGAAAACAATAGTCGAATGTTTGGTAGGGGATTCCTTGTGGTTTCCAGCCTTTTCCACCTCTGATCGTTTGCGTTTCTTGAACTTGGGATTTGAGCTCTCCTCTTTGAACCTTTTCGAGACTTCTGTGGGACCAGTGGGCATTTTGATGACTTCGTGTAGAATGTGAAGCAAAGCACCCTCCTTATCAGACGATTTAACCGAAAAGAAAGCGTTTTGAAGATCAGGAGAGATTTTGCTTTCGGTATCAAGACGAACCAGACTTGGCTCTTCAAGACCAGCACGCGCAAACTCCACGAGAGATTTGGGAAGTGTAGCGGAAAAGAGGAGGGTTTGCCGAGTGGAAGGAAGTCCGTGAAGAATTTCTGTCAGTTGCGCAGCAAAACCCATTTCGAACAGGCGATCGGCCTCGTCGAAAACAACATATCGAATACTCGACAGATCCAGGTCCATCTCGACCTTCAAATGCAGGAAACGACCCGGGGTTGCAATCACGATGTCAGGGTTGCCCGCCATCATGCCAAACTGATCTTCCAAACTGTCACCACCGACGAGAAGCACTGCCCGCAGATCAGTTCCACGTCCCATTTCCTTGACCACCTTCAATGTCTGCAATGCCAACTCTCGCGACGGGGACATAATCAGACCACGAGCGCCAAAGGTCGAACTGTGGCTCTTTAATTTCTCGATCATGGGAATAACAAATGCCGCAGTCTTTCCGGAACCGGTACGAGCCATACCGACCACATCTTTATCGTCCATAATCACGGGGATCGTCTTGCGCTGAATAGGAGTCGGGACCGAGAAACCCTTGCGAGCGATGGCCTTGAGCAAGTTCGCATTCAGACCCATAGCCTGAAAACCTCCTCCCTTCTTCACAGTCCGACCCTTGAGATTCGCTCCTTTTCGGTTGGCCGATGCCTGCTGGTTTGCGATAAAGGTCTCATCGTCGTCGTCATCGGCGCCGAGGAAATCGAGGTTTTGTCCAGGATTCGGCGCTTTACGGGGCGCTGAGCCGCCGGCGCCTGTGTCAGAATCGCTATCATTTTGAAAAAGGGCGCTGGTAATGTCGAACTCGTTCTCCGACAGCGCTGGTGAGGCGGCGCGGTGAGGCATTGTGGTGGTGTATAGAAAATCTTGAGGCGATAACGCCGATCCAAAGGCGGGAAAGAAAAGATAGGGAAACGTCAGACTACCTAGTCCATCAATCAATCAAGAAAGAAAAGGGCTGGCAGAATGAGACAAAAGCAGAATTCCCTTCGATTCAATCACCCGACCGAGACCACGCTTGAAAAATGCTCCAAGCAGGTGGTTTTCCCTGTCGAGACCGCACCTCGTCGCAAAAAAAAATCAAAGGAAGCCGCAAAGCGGTGAGTCCCGGATCAACCATCGCCCGCATGCAAACAGAACAAACATATCCCCGACGCGTTCGACACGCTCCAAATCGAGTAAAATGATTTTACGACTCACAAAGCTCATATCACACGCGCATCATGGGTAGGTGGCTGATTATTGAACTTCACCTCATCCTCAACTCACCATTCTCTTTGCTCCAGATGGTGGATACAATTATAACTCCTACGGCGGTCAAGGTGGTGGCGGCGGTGGCTTCATGCCTGGCGAGATGAACAGCCCATCAGGAGGGAAGGTGAGAGACGGATGAGATTCTAGACGTGGACCATGGCCACTAACATAACCCCAGGGCGGTGACCGTGATAATAAGACCCTTCGTCCCGTCACAGTGAAGCAAATTGCCGATGCCTCCCAGCCATACCCCGAAGCCAACTACCAGGTCGACGGCGCAGATGTCGTCAACGTGCTGTTTGTCGGCCAGGTGCGCAACATCAGCTCGCAAAGCACCAACATTACATACAAGATTGATGATGGCACCGGCGAGATCGAGGTTAAGAAGTGGGTCGACTCGGCCACTGCTGACAGCATGGATACCGACGAAAGCAAGGCCCCAGGTGATAGCAAGAGTGAGGTCCAGCTAAACGGGTATGCCCGTGTCTTCGGTGCCATCAAATCATTCGGTAATAAGCGGTACATTGGCGCACACAGTGTTCGCCCTCTGCAAGATATCAACGAATTGCACTGCCACATTCTCGAAGCAACGGTCGTGCATCTTTTCTTCACTCGGGGACCCCCTGGCGACGCTAATGCAGTAGCCCACGCTGGAGCTGGCGGTGATGCAGTTATGGGTGGCGCCGATGACTATGGAGCGGGCCAAAACAAGGCTCTCTTGTCCATGTCACCCCTAGCGAAGAAAATCTACCAACTGTTAAAGACCGAGCCTCAGGATGATACGGGCCTGCACATGCAGCAGATCGCCACGAAACTGAACACCCCGGCGATGGATGTCGCCCGTGCTGGAGAGGAATTGCTGGGAGCGGGTGTGATTTTCTCGACTATGGACGAGCAAACATGGGCTATCCTCGAATATTAGATACCACCCCGACGTGCTAGCACAGGTGTTAGTATGAAAGGGCCATTGTTTCTCTTAATCCGATTTAGAAGGAATTCGCGTCTTTAAATGATATCATGATTCATCTTTATTTTCCTTGACTCCCACAGGAAATTGCCCAGAGTGCAATCTGATCTAAGGCTCTAAAAAGCAGACATCCTCTCTAGACTAGGAAAAAAAAAGAAAATCCCAAATTGCCAGATGCGAAACAGGATGAAAGCTGCAAACCTCCCATATTGACGCTTTTATTCATGAAAGTTGATTCCACATATATGATCGCATAACCCCAAACGTGCAACCACAAAGGGGACAAAAGATCAAATCAACTCATTCCGTTGTTGAGCCTCCTCGACCGAACGTTCCCAACTGATGCGACTGATGAAAATCACTTCTGTGATCGAAACCAGAAGAAGGGCAATGGCAACACCTGTCCAAAGACCCTCAACCCCCCAGTCAAACTTGAACGTCAGTCCCATACTGATAGGCATGGCAACAGCATAGTAGCAGAACAATTGGATATAGCCGCCAATCTCTTGGCGACCCAAGCCACGTAGAATTCCATTGCAATTTGCGGCAAGTGCGTCGAATAGCTGGAACGCAGCGCACAGGGGAAGAACCTGCGCAACAATTTCGATGACTTCGGCGTCGGAGCTGAACAGCATGGGAATGTAGGAGCGCAAGCTTGAAAGAAGGACCATGTTGAACAAGCCAACGATGACGGCCCCACAAAAGCTGACCTTGGCCGACGTCTTGGCCGCATCCGCCAATGTCGCGCCAATCAGGTTCGCAACTCGCGTGCTGCCCGCGATGGACAACGGGAATGGAATTTGCCAGGTAATGCTAGAGATAGTTGAGAGAATAGATTGAGCTGCCAACGCGGATGTGCCCAGGTAGCTCGATGCCAGCGTCAGCACCTCAAAGGCAAGACATTCTGCCTCCACCATGATCAGGCCAGGTAGAGCAAGGCGGATCATTGGACCCCAGTTATCGAAGGCTCGACGGGTGAAACCGCACCAGCATTCAGAGCCAACGGCGAAGTAGATGTAGGAGAATAGACAAATTGGAAGGAGATTTTCCGTAATTGCCACGGCGATGGGTGCACCAATGAAGCCCCATTGGAGTTTCTAGGGTAGAAAATTAGCGGATTGCACGAAAGCAACGAAAAATAAAAAAGAAGCAAAAGCACCACGAAGGCGATTTTTCAAAGACAGTCACCTACCCAAACAAAATACCAATTCATGAATGCATTTAACGGTGCACACACAAGAAGCACCCACAGTGATACCGAGAACTTGCCCTGAGCCTGGAGATACCGCTTGCCACTCTCAAAGCATGCATAGCCCGGGGTTCCCAGAAGAGCAACTCTGAGATACAAGCCAGCCATCTCGGCAACTCTCTCTTCGGGAACGATCTTCTTGAGAATGGGCTCTGAGAAGAACCAGAGTAGGGCGATAGGTATGGTCACCAGCCACAAGAAGTAAATCATCCGCAGCATCTGTAGACCAACCAGCTTCTTCTTGCCAGACCCATACGCCTGGGCGCAGAGGGTGTCCAGGCTCGTCGACAATCCTGAGTACACGGCGTTACCCGTGATGCTCACAGTCATACTGGCCAGACTGACAGCGCCAAGCTCTTCCTTGCCCAAATGGCCAATAGTGAATATACTCGCCACCGTCAGGGAGTACTGCAGGAGAAAAGTGACCATCAGCGGGGCTGAATATCGGCCGATCACCTTTGCTTCCCGTTTCCAGGTCGTGTTGATCAGCCCGGCTATCACCGCTTCCTCCCATTTCCGATCGATCTCCTCTGGGCCTAAGTCATTGTCTCCCGGAGAGCCTGACCCCAGCAGGGCTGTCGTCTCCGTATTCTGTTCCCCGGAGCTCTGGATCGTGCCGTATGGTTTCGACGCACTGCCATGGGCCGAGGTTCCCGAGAAGAGGCCGCTCAGTTTATGCTGCAGGCCCGTCCGGTGTTCCGTCGCGATCACCTTGTTATCACTCAGTAGATGTCGCTCCTCTTCGATCGCTTGCTCGCGCTCCTCTTGAGTCAGCGGCTGGTAACTCCCGTTAGCGGGGAGCACGGTGGCATGATTCACGTTGGTGAAGTAGGACGGCCGGCGATAGGACCCTGCTAGCGAATGTGGGTTGGTTCCGGCATGGCTGCTGATGGGACGAACGGTTGAAGACTCAGAGGCATCGTCGGGGGTAATGGACTCGTCGTCGGCATAGTGAGCAAGATCGCGGGCAATCGCGCTCGCGGCGATCGGCGAGCTGGAGGTGAACGACCGGCTGAACGGGCTCTGATGCCCCGCCGATTCCGCCGACAACATATTGCGGGGCGCCATGGTGAAAGAGGCGCTGTGGGGGAGGGCGAGAGGGAGAGGAAGGTGTAGAGGAGAGAATGGAGCTCACTGCTCTATCAGCAACATGGTCCTCGGCGGGGAAGAAGATAGCACTCTGCTACGAAACTCTCCAGAGATAAGAGCGAGAGAGAAAGAGGAAGTTGGAAGCTTTAGCGGGCGGAAGACTGGGTTTGGGACCCGGTGGAGCCAGCCAACAAGTGGAGAAAACGGTGCGTCTCGGCGAGTCGGAGCTGTTGATTGGAAGTAGGGGGAAGCCCATTAAGTTCTGTAGACTGGGACACGGACGTCTGGGCTAGTTAGTTGGCGCCGACATTGCTCGGTGCTCACCGTGCCCACGCCTGAAAACATACCGATTAACGATTGCTTTATACTTCATGCGCGGCGAGGTTGTACAGCGACGTTCCAGGAATGTTTAAATCTTATTAATATCGGGAAGGTGGGGAGACAACGCACCTATTGGAAGAACGCGTCCTCAGCACTGTGTTATCTGGTATTCTAATCTTTTCCATATTCTCCTACATGATAAGACAATAGAATGTCTTGTTAGTTTCTCCGTGGGCGAGGGGTGGGTCTTGCGAGCTTCTCCAGATGAATGATTCACCTCAACCTTGTTGATCGGCGACTGCAAGTGACATCACCGCATGCGGCCGGTCACCTGACCTGTACCTCGAATGGACAAAGCCGCCAACTCGCCGACTCGCCGACGCTCTTCTCCAGCTTCAGGAGATTGAAGCCAAAGGAACACCACCATATCATGCCCGCTATGGCCCCGTCGGCCATGTCTACCAGCGACTGCACGCCCCGACGTTATAACCCGCTCGTCAACCCCACGCATTCGAAGCCGGCCCTAGTCGAGGAGTAAGTCTAAACAATGATCCCCGGTGGATCCTGCACAGTTCCGCCCAGGAACCCACTCGTTCCTGGCTCATGGTCAGGATCCTAATTTGCTAAACATCTTCCCCGACCTCCTTGGCATGCCTTCCTTCTCATCTGCCCCGGGATTTTGTCAGGTCGCGTGGAAAGGGAACTGTGGCATGGTCCACAATGGCCTCGACCATGCGTCGCCTCCCCCACATTCCACAACGCCTTCCCCATGTTACGCGAATGCTAACAAAACGCAACCTACTTAACCCGCAGGCATATCGAGGACCAGCGACATATCCTCTTCTCACGACCCCTCCTGGGCGCTTTGCTCTTCGAAAACACCACCTCCGATGCCCGTGATCACTGTGCCAACGAGCGCACCTTCCTCTCATGGCTGCGCCTATCCATGTATCTCGCGATCGTGTCACTCGCCATCATTATCTCGTTCCATTTCCGCGAACAGCCCTCCGTACTGGAACGGCGCATGGCCCTCCCCTTGGGCATCATCTTCTGGCTTCTCAGCTTGACCTGTCTGGCGAACGGGTTCTTTAACTATGCCCGTACTGTCATGAAGTATAGCCGCAAGGCGGCCCTCGTCCAGAGTGGCTGGAAAACCCAGGTGGTATTCACGGTGGTTGGCACCGTGATTCTGGGCAGCTGCATTCTGTTCTTGTCGACGGATCGCCAGCAGTGATGAATCTGCCTCTTCTTTCCTCCTTTTTTATGTGACTCAAAGCGTTGCATTGCATTGCATATTCATGTCGCGGCTTTTTCTCCCCTCTTTCTTTTTCGATGCATTGAGATATCCAATTTCCAAATTCAGCTGCTTGGTTTGAAATCCCTAGCTCTAGACACAAGAAAGCTATAATGTTCAAGGCTTTTTGCAAAAATCTGACCAAGGTGAAATTTCTATCCGACTGTATATACGCCAATGGTGTGCAGATCGGGGGATGGAGAAGGGGGGGGGGGGGGGGGGGGGGGGGGGGGGGGAAGAAAAAGGAAACCGAAATAAAGAGGTATCGCAAGATGGGGCATGCATTGAAACTGTGCAAATGAAAATGGATGGAAAGCTCCCTAGAAAAGTGAGGGTTTCAAATACGCTGTATGGTGTGATCTCCCTTTCCAATCTCACATCCGGCGGATTTGGGTCTCGCCCTTGTACTTGTCCAGGGCAGGGGTGCCCAAGTGGCTCCACCACTCAAACAGCATGGAGTTGCAGATCAGCTTGAACCAAGGCGTGAACGTCAGACCGGGCTGCTCGAACATGGCCTTTAGCTCATCGGCCGAAACGTATTTGGTATCCCGCACCTCGTTCGGGCTGGGCTCTAGGTCAACATCTGCCTGGATGAAGAGGATATAGTCGACTGCAGAAAGAAAATTGGAGGTCAGAAATTGATCTCAACGAGGTGATTATGTCAATCCATCAGAATGACACATGCTACATACCCTCATGCTCTCCCCACTTGCCATCGCTGGGGGCCTTGTAGTGAATCCGAGTGAAGAACTCAAATTTGTCCAATGGCACCTGCTCGGCCTTGATGCCGAGTTCGTGGTGCAGCTTCCGCTGCGCGGCCCGCTTCACCCCCAAGACGGCAGCATCAAGCTCGGCACCAGTCTCACCGGGAATGCCCAATGGGTGCGAGCAGCAAGTGTTGGTCCACATATCAGGGAACGTGATCTTCTCGGTGGCGCGCTGTTGGAGCAGAAGGCGGTTGTTGGAGTCGAACAAGAAGACGGAAAAGGCACGGTGAAGAAGACCCTTGTCGATGTTGGTCATCAGATGGCCTGGAAGAATAGAGGATCACATAATGAGTACTTGTGTCTTTTGAATTGGCATATTACCCCGCCTTGCCACGATCTCACTCTAGTGAGTCGTGGCGAGGAAAGCATTGCGCAGAGAACTTACAGGCCTTCTTGCTGGCGCTGCCAATCGGACGGTCATCGTTGTCCAGAACAATGCAAACTTCGTCCATGAGGCGAACCTGTTCCTCATCGTAGCCCTCAAGCTCAGAACCCGGTTGCGCAGTATTGCCAGCGGCGGTGGGAAGGACATCCCGGGCTAGTGAGGTGTCAACCTCGGGGAAAAGAATGGCAACATTCTCCGCCGTGATCTCAGGTGGGCTGGTGATGGTCACAGTAGCGCTCATTTTGAAAGATATCGACCGTCAATGAGAGGAAGTAAGCGAACAGATGGTGCTTACCCCTCGAGATAAAAGAACGCGGGCGGTGACTTTGAAAGCGGCACTTGGCCAGAAGCGGTAACGATCGGCAGATCGACCCCAGTCTCACGCGGGGCGTCGGCGCTGACCTACACTCCGTGGACACCTCTGTGAACCCGTTCCCTCAAAGTTCGAAGTAGATAATAAAAGATACAGGCTCAATGAAATTTCCCATATCAAGAACATCTCTGAACATCCTTGAGCGACTTCCAATATCATGGAGTTGATCATACGCGGCATGATTATGAGCTCCTAGCCTCCTTTGGACCCGACAAATGATAGTTACACAGTGCAACAGCCCACATGTCACAGCATGCGCTACATGGTACCACTCGGAATGATAAAATATCCTATGACTCCGCACGAGGCGACTAGGTTGTTCTACAGCTTGCTCGATGATGTGTGATTGACGACCAAGTCGATGCATCAAGACCTAATTATTGACTACCTTGCCTAGTATGAAATCGCTCGGATGCATGTCACTTCAGCTCCAGCTGGCTGAGCTTATGCAACTCATCAATCTCTTCGGGCCCTAGTAGCCCCAGTCCCTCCCGCCGCGTTGGTGCGTTCTCGTCAAAAACGGGCTTCTCCGCCAGGGACGTCACTCGCGTGCCATGTCGAGGCTGGGAGCCCTCATAGTCCCAGCTAGCATTATGGATAGTGATTCTGTCCGACAGTACCCAACGCGTCAATAGATCCGTTTCCTCGGGCTCAGAGCAGGTGAAGTAGGAGATCTGTTCGCACTCACCTGTTATCCCACAACGCACTGGTCCGTGGGCTCCATTTGAAGCGAACCTGGATATCCGGGTTCTTTTCGTACACATCGTACAGGTACCCCAGGATCACATCACTTTCTGCCTTGTCCAGGCCCACGATGCGCACGGTCATGGCCCGGTTGACCCACAGGGCCTTCCACCCCGTGGCTGGATGCACACGCACGAGGGGGTGTTCACGCTCGACATATTTAGGCCCAGCCTCGGGGTTCTGGCGATCGAGGTACGGATGTGCGGACCGGTAGAGGGCGGTTTTGCCATCAATGAACTTCCGGAATAGTGGCGACAGCTTCTCGTATGCGGCATATCCACTTGCCCAGAGGGTGTCGCCCCCGACTGTGGGCACGGTATCATTGTGGAGGTGAGTGACGCCTGCAGGCTGTCGCTCGTGGACCAAGTCGGTGTGCCATCGGGAGGAGCCACCTGGTCGACGGAAGCTGGCGGGGGTTTCGGTGGCTTGGAGCGCCGGCCAGATCACTGAGACTCCGGGGACACCGGGCACCTGCGGTACTTGGGGCTGAACGGGCAGAACAACCATCAAGTTGCTCGGTTAGTGACGGAGAATCCTTTGCACGTAGGATGGAATTGTGGGTTCTGGAAAACGGAGACGGGCATTTCCAGGAGCGCTTGATGGTCATACATGGATTTCAATCTCCCCAAAGTACTCGCCCAGCGCCTTTTGCTGCTGGGGTGAAATGTCCTGATCCCGGAAGAAGACCACACTTCGTTCGGCGATGAGTAGGCCCAGCTCATCTTTCTGCTGGTCTGTCAGGTCTTTGAGCTGCAGTCCTACGATCTCCGTGCCGATATGCCGAGTTAGTGGAATGACTTCGGTGGCAGCTGACAGCAAAGCTTTCTTCTCGGGGTCAGCTCGAGTTCCGGGGTCGATATGAGCCCGGTCATAGTTGCGCACGTTGTACACGTCGTCAAGATAGAGTGGTCGGGAGGGTCGGTACGGATAGCCGTCACTCAGGTCGATCCCGGCGGCTTCGAGGCGCACCCGCGCGGAATCGGGTAGTCCTAGGGTGTCTTTTCGTGGGGGCGCAACGTCAATAATACGGGGATCGATTGCAACTGGTGCCATGACGGTGGAGGAGGAGGAGGTGGTGATGATGAACTGGGCTTCTCCAAAATTCCACTGGCTTCCCTATGTTGTATTTATAGTAGATGCGTGTGGCCATAAATCTCGAGAACATCTTTCCCCTCCGGCGATTTCCCCGCCCTGGGCTCTGGGGTATCATGGATCTGTCTGGTTGACTCGGAAATCCTGAATCACGAAGAATGCGAGAGGCTGAGAGGGGAAGAGGGGAAGAGGGCGTCGGACGATGTGAAGAGCACCTCATCGCTGTGCCCCATGGCGCCTTCAGAACACGACTCGCGAACCAAACCACAATTGCCAATGCCTCGTCCTTCCCCTCCCAAGGCTTGCGGGATGGTTCGTCTTGTCCCAATAAGAGCCATGCGATTGGTATCGCCCCTCGTTCGTCCACCAATCTCATGTACTGAAGAGGCCCGGGCCGTCTCACCAAACGGGGCTACGCCTCGGGCATCTCTCGTCACCCACCATAATGACGCCAAAGAGGATTTCTAATCCTCTGCGAGTTTGCCGATGGATCCGACTCTAGTGGCCATTCGGACTTGGCTTCATTGTGGACCAGTCGAGATGGCGAAATCGTGGCCTGAGAATGCTTCATTCGGGGAGCGGAGTCTTGTCGGAACGGTCTCGAATAGCAAGGTGCTCATAAAGGGCCGCGCGACTAAAGACCACCGCGAATGATGGATCTCATTGCGATCGAATTACTGCCATCATGCCCGAGAAAAGCATCCAACGCGTCGCCGTGATCGGGGCCGGCATCAGCGGGGTGGTTAGCGCGGGTCATCTGTTGGCTGCGGGACTCAACGTCACGGTCTTTGAACGCAGTCGAGCCGCGGGTGGAGTTTGGTAGGAGCTCTTTTCTCTTTTGATCTTCCCTCTCTCTACTCGGTGTCTTCAATATTCTGGCATTGGCCGATCAAAGTTGACAGAGGTGTTGATCTTGGATCATCCACAGGCTTTATGATAAACGACTCCCGATCGAAAACCAATATCCATGTACAACGCCATCGGAGGCCGATAATTATGGCCCGGATGATCGTGAGCGGAGGGAAAAACAATATCTGATCCATGCTCCCCCAGGGTCAGTCAAACGAGACCGTGCAGACAAGTCCCAGGATCAAAGCTGATCTCATATGTTAGGCCTTGTTATGAGAGTCTGACCAACAATGTTTCGACTCCATTACTACGCACGAAACTCAATGCTTGGCCCAATGGCACGCCTCCATATGTCCTTCATCACGTCCTCAAAGACTACATCCAGGATACCTCCAAGAAAGCAGGGGTAGAGGCGGTCACCATCTACGGTGCACTTGTGACCAAAGTTTCGAAACAGGAGCCCGACTGGGAAGTCGCCTGGAGCTTGCTGCATAATGACCCTACGACGGGCGAGGTGGTGAAGCAGCAGAGGTCAGCGGTAAGCAAGCCTGATCGAAGCCAGGTGGTGAACCGTATTGACTGGGGCTTAGCGGTTTGATGCAATCGTGGTGGCATCCGGCCATTACCACACGCCGCTCATCCCTGATATCCCCGGTCTAGCGGAGGCGAAGGCACAGTGGCCCTCCAGAATAACACATTCGAAATCCTTTCGAAACGCGCGAGGGTTTGAAGGAAAGGTACGTTCCTCCTTAATATCCAAACTTCTTCACAACCCTCCAAAACCCCCTCCCTCCCCAACTTGGGATCGACTCTGTACATTATGGATACTGACTTCTGCGTTTTACCAGAATGTACTCTTGATTGGGGGTGGAGTATCCTCGGTTGACATCGCCCGGGAACTCAATCCCGTCGCCCAAAACATCTACCAGAGTACTCGGCGCGGCCCATTTGATATCCCTGCCAGCGCCCTGCCAGCCAAGGCCACAAGAACCGAGCAAGTTGTTTCGTTTCAAAAGGCTGCTGAGCAGGATTCAGGACTACACTTGCCCCTGACAGCGCATCTCCAGTCGGGCGAGACCTTGACCGGCATCGATCACATTGTCCTCTGCACGGGATACCAGATGGTTCTCCCATTCCTTCCGCAATACACCCGGACGGATACATTCAATTGTGAGATAGATGAGACGACGATTGTGACAGATGGGACGCAATTCCATCATCTGTATCGGGACATGTTTTACATTCCCGACCCGACCCTAGCCTTTGTCGGGGTGTCGTTCCATGTGTCGACCTTTACGCTGTTTGAGTTCCAGGCCATTGCCGTGGCTGCCTTCTTTTCGGGAGCAGCTCAGCTTCCATCTACTGAGAGCATGCGGTCCGAGTATCAAGAGCAGCTCGCTCTCAAGGGTCCCGGGCGAAGCTTTCATTCCCTCAAAGGCCACGAGGAAGCTTATGTCCACCAGATCATCGAGTGGGTCAATGCTGGACGAGCCGCCCAGGGCCTACCGGCAATCGAAGGACATACGGCTTCTTGGCTGGAAGAAAAGAAGGTTCACGCCGAACGGCTCGCTTTGATTTTCCAGGGGCTCATTCCGTACGGGAACACTCCCGAGCCCGTTCCCGTGGAGATCGCCGCGGCTGCATAGGCCTCGTCGGGGAGGCTCGATCGAGTTGGCTCTTAGCTTTTAGTATTTCCTTGATAGACAAGGTCATTCCAACCTGAACGCACAGCTACGTAATTGAACGTTCTATTACATAAAACACATCTCCCGGGACTGCTATTGTAGCCACAAGTCATGGCTCTGCTTTTTACAATCCTATCACTTGTACTGCTTATCACCCGGCATGATTTATCGAACTTCCCACATTTTCTGAATCCGACCGTACACTCTGACCCAGCATATGATGGCCTCAACGAGTAAACACAGTCATTGACCTGTGCTTGTTGAGGCACCCCGGCACACCATCGGTGCGGGCGATTGCGAACACCCTCGTTCACGATCCCAACCTCGGACACGCCCCGACGTTGTTCATCCACACCAGAGGTTGGTTGATTCTCGCAGGAATGGCGCAAACACCGGCCATTGTCATTCGATCCTTCTGATACTCTAGTCCCTCAATGTGCCCCCGATCCTGACGAGACTCGTCTCTCTCCCCGGCCACAGATTGTATCCGTCCACCTTCGACAGCAATCAACCCCCGCTTTCTAGTGCATGGGCACATCAATCTAGACAATCACGTCATGGTATGCAGTCCATTGCGCAGGTTGAGACGCGGCAAGATACCCAATTTACGATAACATGCTTCCGCTGAGCGTCTTCCGGCCCTGAGACCGACATGTAAGAATGCTCCTCCCTCCGCATATATTAGAAGGGGACTAGAAAGGGAACAAATTTCAACCCCAAGAAGTGTCCAATAATCAAGATTGACGGGAATCTCATGATGGCAGTGCCCTCTCGTGCCGAGGAAGCAATTGACAACAGATCGGCAGCGGGTGTCCAGAGATCCCCCAAGCGGAAATGGACCAGTTATATCTGGGATACATTCGATAAATCTCCAGAGGAGCGTCGGCTGCTTTTCAAGTTGGATTCAGCCATCTTGACGTTCGCCTCGCTGGGTATGTCTCGCTCCGATCACTAGGAACAGTAAGGACGCTGACCCGGCATTGGCTCGGAATAGGCTATTTTATCAAGTACCTCGATCAAACCAACATCAACAATGCCTTTGTATCTGGAATGTATGCCACCATCCTATCTAGATAACGCGGAGATCAAGAAGGCAGGAAATTTATGTGGAAAAAAATGGAAAAGTCGGACACTGACGATTCGGCACCCGCCATGCAGGAAAGAAGATCTCGGGCTCTACGGCAATCAACTTAATTACATGCAGACCTGCTGGACGGTTGGCTATGTAATTGGCGAGATTCCCAGTAACATCCTTTTGACTCGAGTTCGACCGAGATACTGGATTCCTGCGGCTGAGGTATTCTTCTTCCCATCGGGTGAGGAAAATTGATCGCTAACACAGTCGTTTTTCGGTTTCCGAAGCTTCTCTGGACAATCCTCACCTTCTCTTTGGCAAGATGCAATACCGCGACTCAATTTTATGTTCTCAGATTCTTCATTGGTAGGTGGTACTGGTGGTATCATGGCCCTTGGTCTTCCTTTCTTTCTGACTAGCATGTGTGAAAAGGTCTCGCCGAAAGCACTTTTTACCCCGGAATGCAGTACATCATCGGTTCGTGGTATCGAAAAGACGAGCTCGCAAAACGGTCCTGCATCTTTCACACTAGCAGCGGTATTGCGAGCATGTTCTCCGGTTACCTCATGGATGCGGTGTATCGGCTGGGGGGCCGAGGGGGGTTCAAGGGATGGCAATGGTAAGAATAAATTCTGATGAGACCGGAATTCTGGAGTGAAACAGCTTTCATTGATCGTTTACCCATGATAGGCTCTTCTTGATCGACGGAGTCATATCGCTTCCGGTGGCCATCAGTGGGTTCTTCGTGTTGCCCGACGTGCCAGAGATCTCAAATCCATGGTATCTCAGTAAGGAGGTATGTGGAGCTCAAGTGAGGGAAGGTACATCGAAGCAATACTGATATCTGTGAGCTTTCCTTCTATAGGAAGTTGCCCTGGCACAAAAGCGTATGCATTTGGAAGGCCGAAAGGATCGAGGGCCGTTCACCAGGTCGAAAATCAAGAAAATTTTCTCCTCGTGGCATATTTATCTATTGACCTTGCTCTACGTGTGAGTTTAGAAAAAGATCATGTTTAAATTGGCATCCATATTGACGCTCTTTTTCCAGGCTCTTCAATAACGGCGCCGCCGGCAGTCAGCCAGTATTCCAACAGTGAGTTTAAGAATTGGAAGATATGCACAAGGAAGCATTAACAACTGGTCACAGGTACCTGAAAGACTCGAAGGACCCGGTCTATTCTGTTGGGCAAATCAATTCATATCCTACCACGACCTATGCGGTTCAGGTTGTAACAACATTAGCTTATGCTTGTGAGTTAGGCTCCGGATATTGCTTTAGACTGCGAAGATTGAGAATATTCTGACACAAAGTTCAGGGTCGTCGGATACATATCTCAATGGGAGGCGCTGGCCACCGATTATTTTCGGTGCAGTAAGTAACCGTTATTATCACAGGAAAGCTTTGATTCTAAGACAACTGTTTAGGTGGTTAATATCATTAGCTATGTCTCGCTGGCGGTATGGGATATTCCAACCGGATGGAAATGGACTTGTTTTATTATCAGTGGAGCTGGGTTTGGCTTAAGTGGCCTGTGCATGGCGTGAGTTCATCCTGTGATTCATATTCATATCCCCTGATACTAACCTGAAGTACAATAGCTGGGCTCACGAGATCTGCTCTGAAGACAATGAAGAGCGGTCCCTCGTCATTGCAAGTATGAATGAGATGGCATACGTCCTTCAAGCATGGCTTCCACTTCTGGTATGGCAACAGGTTGATGCGCCGGAGTACCAAAAGGGTTTTATCACAGTGTCTTGTATATCAGTAGCTCTCATAATCACGACTTTTGTGGTTCGGCATCTAGACCACCGAGAAAGAGCAAACAAATTGTATGCGCTCCCCCTTTGGTCTGATGGGCTTTGAGTCATTTTTTTTTGGGAATTTCAAAGACGCTAATATTTTCCTAGTGACCAAACTCGACAAGGCGAAGGAACCGACGATGACCTCTCAGAATCACCTGTTATTACGCCAGTAGATGCGAAGTCGGCAAAGGTCTAGAGGGCTTATATCCGTACACATATGGCCGATTCATATGTGGCAATGCTATTGTATATATAGGCATCATCACTGTCTGTAGAGAAAGACAAGCGAATCTTATGGATGATGCTATCATGTCTGGTTCCATCTAATTTTATATCAGAGCTGGCCATGCTCAGTGATCGAGACTTTTCTACTTGAGTGCATCGTACTATACCTTTATGGACAGCATCGATCAAGGCTGCAATGACGCTTGCCTGCAGACCCTTGATTTTCAATCACTTCGTTTGACAGATATGAAACAGTCGGCTCCCGTCGTGGTTCTAATACCAAGTGCGTCAACGTAAGGCACCCAATATAGGTGGACACAATGGCTCACAAAAGCTGGTCTGGAAATTGATTGATAAGAAAACTAATTTTATCCATCTTTGGCGTATGTCTTTCAACTCAAGTCGCGACTGGAGCTATGCCTGATTGTTTGTCACATTTTCTCTCTCCTTTTCTCCTATTCGCCTAAGAATGAGCCAATCCGACGGGATTAACGTATGTATTTTGATTTTCTGAAACTATGCCGGGCGCTTACTTTGATGCCCTGTGCCTGCGATTTTGAAACCAATGTGATATATACTAGAAAGTCGGTTTCCCTCCTGCCAATTCCTGGAATCACTCCTGTGCTCAACAAAGAATAAGGGAACGCCATTTCCTGATCTAGTAGAAGCCATGAATATCAGCGGTTGCCGAAAATAGCATAAGCAGAGGGAGGATATGCAAACCCCTGAATGCACGCCGTTGCAAGAGCCGACAATGCTATGAAGGAGGTCGGGACTAGGCGCTTCGCTTTCTCTTCCCCCTTTTTCCGGGGTGATTGCTTGTAGCGAGTCGTGAATCATGCCATAATATTCATCTCTTTAATTAACCGGAAATCAATATGCGGAAAGGGAAATACCGTCAATAATTATCATTATGAAGCTCTACCCGATCCACATCTGCTTCCATGTCCCTCAACCGGTCATAGTCTTATCCCCTATCACTTCTTGTCAATCGAGAAAAGAATCGCGATGCGGCGCACTTTCCTCGAAAATTTGTGCTGATAAATTCCTACCTGACTACCATGAGTCCCGTGTGGATTTGGAGATAACTGATGCTTATCATCGCAAATTTAATCTCCACCAAAATTTTAGTGCCAGTGACTGCAGTGCTCTTTTCCTATATTGGCTATTCGGATTTATCCGCCTTCAGGGGCAAACCAGGAAAATGCGATCTAGGAACCACTCTCCCCACTCCATCTTCTTTGGCACATGCATTAAAAAGTAAGGTACGCGCTGGAAATCAGGGGGTGGTTCTCAGGCGCTTACGGCTTCTACTTTTCGGTATTACTTATACTAGATTCGATCGCAAACATTTTCGCCGGGGGGGGGTTCAACCCCAATATTACTTCTGCACACTGTTTTCATTTGGTTACGTGGATGAGTGGAGAGAGCGAGAGTCCAAGGGGAAATCTTTGGGTCCAATGTACCTTCGGGCCCAAAATCGTTGTTCGAGGCCATGGAATTCGGACCCCACGCGGACTAAACCAGAGGGTCTTTAAATTCCAATCCATCTTTTCTTTGTTCTCGGCACATGGGCGCTAAAAGATACCACGACGACTGGGGTCGGATTAGTGGAAGCCAGGGTATGAAACATTGTGTTCTACTCCAAGTTCTCACTGCAAAAATGAAGAATCTGGTCCCTGGGAAAGCGGTGTGTAAACTGATAATCAAAGAGTTGGTTCTCTTATAGGGAGGCAAGGCCGAAAAGGTGGCTCGGACCAGGTGCTATGATTCGGCACATCTCTGGGGGAAAAGAATTAAGGCCATTCACCGCTATTACTTCACAGGACTTTTTTCTTTTTCAAAAGACAGATCCCAAAACGTCGATCTTCAGCTGGTCTGCCTCGGGTATCTCTTGTCCGTATTCGGCGTGGTTGGCGTTCGTTTCTAACACACGACATGAAACCAAGATCCAGACTGCTCAGAGTAGACTAGGCAACACAACGAGCTAATCAATAAAAATAAATAGACATTAATTACGGCTGTGATGTTGATTAATCTAGCTACTAGGAGCAGTCTAAAGGAATCGACCCAAAGAAGAGAAAATATGGGGCAAATAGGCATTCCGACATGCAAACTCAAGGCTCTCGTTAGAACATTGACTTCAACCATCTCGAATGTGGAAAGTCAGTCCAAGCAGATTGAACAATCAGTGAACACTCCAAAAAGCAAATCCATTATATCACCATTGTGATATCATGCTTGCTTTTACGGAATCCGGGTTCATAAGAATAACACGGCCATAGAATTTGAGGTACTAAAACAGAATGACATGTGAAAAAAATGTATTCAACGCAATAATTGCACAATAATAAACGACAAAGGCATCCCCAATGCATCATGGCTAGAAAAACACAGAAACAAAAAGAAAGAAGAAAGAAAAAGTCAATTCGAATCAATATGCAATTCCAACACAATCCCAAGGATCCCAAGGGGGGCAAAAAGTTGGGTCCAGCCCAAATGCTATGCGAGTTTAGGTGATCTTTCAAGGCTACCACAAACAATGATAGAAGCTAGGTGTAATCAAATCAGATGGATATCTTTCCTTTAATGATCTGTCCAGCAGATCTTATGATCATCGGGAAACCGACGGAGAGGTCAGCGTCTCAGGCTTGAACGTTGATGCTTGCGAGGCCTTCTATGTGGCCCGGGGGGTCTAGAGGGGTCGGTGTCTTGAGACAGTCGAAGTGGAGGGTTGTGCGCCTCTCTAGGTCTCTCAGGGCACTTTGAGTGATGTCTGGACATTTCACACGAATTAGTGAACTCAGAGCCAAGAAGTGTTGACTGCATTCCCAATGCGTCTTACCTGGTTAATTTATCCCCGCGGTCAAAGCGAAGAGCACACCATTCACAACTATGCTTTCGTATTCCAAGGTGAACCTGAAAAAAGTTTTTCTTAGTATAATGCTTCCCGGTCCCCATCCCCCAGAAATGCTTTACTTACGCTTCCAAAGTGTCTTTTGAGATCAGCCTTTCGTTTGAAGTGCTTGGTGCATCGCTCACAAGAAAAGGTTCGTTGAAAAGCTGGGTCATGCTTATTTCTGTGGTGTTCAAGACGGTTAGAGCGTCTGGTAAACGTTAAGCCACAAATATGGCAGACCAGCCCATCGTCAATATATGGAGTTGTGATTGTCTTTTGGGGTTTGGAGTCCGCTCTATCAAGTGAAGAATCTTCCGGCGCAGTCTCGATCTTTATTGACATAGGGCTTGGTGGTTGATGCCCCGGGGGCTGGTCCTCTTCATCACTCTCGCTCTTTGGTGTTGTGAGACATGGGGATACGCTGGTAGTCTTCAAAGTGGGCGGACGAGGCTGGGGGGGCCTTTTCACCGGATAAAATCCCTGGTTCCATTGATCCTCTCCTGCACAGTTATTCGACTGCGATATCTGCTGCAGCGGCGTTGTCGGACCTGAAACTGGCGTCGTGGTCCACACACCCCGCATCCCAGCTATCTGGCTGGGAAATAATTGGTGACCAGCACCAACATCCATAGCCGAGGTATAATCGTGAGATGCGCTCCCTACTTGTGAGCCATACAGGCTGAGTGGGGTATGCGACGGTGGAGAGTACCCGTAGAATCCATAGCATGTTCTCCCGCCGAAGTTCCCACCCCCAACAGGCACGTTCAGGAAGCCGCTGGTGACGGCAAGATTGTTTGGAACGCTAGGGCTCACGCAGAAGGAAGTATTGTCCGAAAATCCTCTCGCGTTGTTGTACGAAGTATATAGAGGGCCCCGTCCACCCATAGATATACCCAGTCCGACCGTTGGGGCGAAGCTTCTTCCATGCGTTGTCGGGGACCTTGGAGGTGGATAGGTAGGCGTTGGACCGAGAGAGGAAGCTTCTTCTGGCAAAGGGGATATCATAGAGGATGACCGACAGCCCGAATTCGATCTCCCCTTCATGATGTGAGCTGCAGGGTAAAACAGTAATCAGTATAATGAGACAAGTAAAATAATAAAACAATAAGGTATATAGATGATCAAAGTAAGGGCCCTCCCCAAAACAATTAAGTCCGCCAGAGTAAATCTATATCGAAGAGGGTCTAGGGGAATCAAGACGGCGCCAAGTATATATACCAGATTACACACCAGAAGGGATGCGCCAATGCCTAGAACTGTTGGTAGCCGTTAGCCGCATAGTTGGGCTGTGGCTGAGGGGGAACGGTGAAGAACGGCGCAGGACCAATTTGGAGGCAAATCGGGTACCGCATGAGGACGGGAGGCTTGAGGAACCAAATTGACAAGAGTTCCAGGCAAGGCAGACTTCACTGTAAAGGGACAAGCAGGTGGAGAGACGTGGAAGGGGAAGACTAACGGGTTGGGGCTGTTCGGAAACCAGATCGAAGGCAGCCCCGGGATGCATGGACCAGTCCCCAGTGGCCCAGGCGTTTAGCGCCAGACGGGCAAAGGGATCTCCGAAGACTGATATTTCCAGCCCAGGGATTGAAGTGATATGTGATGAGAGTTGCTGCAGGGCTCGTTTCCTTTGGCGCCGCAATGCTCTCACCCCTTACGGCTCATTGGATCGGGCACAGGATAGAACACGAGAAATCCTGATGCCACCTAGCAAGGCGTATAGAAAAGGGCAGAAGCCAGAAACTAGAAACCAGAAACAATAGGCTACGGCTACGGTATCACACCCGGGCCAATGCAGGTTGGAGTCACAAAAACAAGGGCCATACACCTCGATTTCAAGAATAAACAATACAACGGCGGCTGCAATCTGCGGAACTGGGAAAGGCTAACCATCCGTTGAGTCACCGCCAGAATGGTCTGTCCAACAGCGTCGCGTCCCATGCAGAGAGATTAGCCAAACAAAGGGCCCGGTTGAGCCCGAGATTCTGGATCCGGGCAGCGACGCTGCACGCACAAGTTAGCGATTGCTACCCAGCGGTCTTCTCAGCCGTATATTCAGCCGCAGACCATGAACGGAGGAGCATGGGAATGGAAGAGACGAAAAGAGAGAGAGAGAGAGAGAGAGAGAGAGAGAGAGAGAGAGAGAGAGGAATAGGAGACCGGGTCTAGACGATACGAAAGGAACGTTCATTCCGTCCGGGCAATGGAGAACTGAGAAGACTAAACATGATCTACAGGGAAGGCGCGACCATCGCGTCCACCCGTAATAATAATTGTCTGCGGGTCCGTCCGAGCCCACTTGGCTTTCATGTACAAAATCTAGTGCAAAGTCTGTCGGCCTGTCTGCAGCTACTCCACAGGGAACCCCACGGGATTTGGACTCATCATTCTAGAACGGGATTTAGAGGTTTCTGATTTCGAGGCCGTGTCAAAAAGTGCCTTGTTGAGAGCCCAAAACAACAAGATAGAATGAAACATTTCTCCAGAAAAACAAAACAAGGGAAAAGCGAGGGCGCTAGACAATACCCCCTGAATCACTTTAGTTCTTTCTTCCCCCCTCCTCTATGGCGATGTCTTGACCGGGTGAACAGTGAACCATGCACGCTGGATGTCAGAGTGGCTGCTCCCCGAAGAGTACTAGTAATGCGGTCCGTGCTAGGTGGCCGGTGCGTGGTTCTAAGCATCGGCCCCCATTCTCCTAAAGGAGAGAAAAGAAAAAGAAAATCAACTATCCGGTTTCCCCTCCCCCTTTCCTTGCCTGGGAGTGCTGGGCAATAGGATCACCAGCCACTTCATTCAGCCCTGCGATGTTGTTGCGAGTCCGGTGGTTCCAGTGGCGACGCGCTCCATTTGTGCTCGAAGCTGTTCCACAGCGTTCAGGATCTCGATGAGTTGTATTTGTTCCCCCGGTGGTGCTAGGCTTGATTCGCCTACTTTGGAATGATCCACACGAGGCCGCTCCGGCCCGGTACCCATACGATATGTGTCTACGACGGAAGGTTGCTGCGGACTCTGACATTGAGTGCGACTCAGTTCGCGCGGAGAAGTCCCAGGGCTTCGTCCTGTGGAGACTGGAGGAAGGCAGGTGGTAGTTGGTTGGCGGAGAGGCCGTCGGCTAGACTCGTAGGCCCAGAGGAGCATGACAAATGGAAGATGTGTCGCGCGCAGCAGGACGATGCGCACGCGACGAACGGTTCCTGCCGATAGGAAAAGTCGCAGGGGACGAATGCACAGGAGAGGAATCAAGTTCTATGGTCCGTGTGAGCATCAAGTTCCAGAATGAAGCCCATATGGATCCTTCAACTGCCAAGCAATTGCAGGCGCTAACCTACCAAGGGTGGCATGAAATACGTCAAACGTCGCGAATTGCTACTCTCCAACACATAGATGGATAATCTGAATAAGATTGTCAGCGCAGGATTTCCCATGTATATTTTTTTTCCAATACAAAGGAAAGAATGATAAAGGAAAAAAAGGGTGGGGAAGAGGGGAGATCTAGACTCACTGGAAAAGGTACTCCTCGCGTGCATGTAGCATGACCTACGAATACGTTGGCCGCAAAAAGCATCAGCAAATGATCCATCGGAGAATGACCTCAAGGTAACCCACCCCTTCGAGACTCATGCTCATCAAACTAATCAGCGATGATAGGAGCAGGATGTTGGTCATGGACACGAAAATCAACCTGGCGAACAACCCTTCTCGTCAGTATAGTTCAAAGGGGCGGGCGTGGATGTAATTGCGGGGCGGTGTTCTCAAGCAGCCGCCACTTCAACTCAACACCACAACACCAGAAATAGAAACCGGGAATCAACACCCGCAGTCACTACTGCAGCAAAGCATCACGTTGCGCCAGGCGAAACGTGATTTTTCTAGCATGCGCCATGTGCAGTTCGCTGTGGCGCAATGACATCAAACCGAAAGACTTACATCAAACCGTAGCCGAAGATCGGGGAGATCTAAAATTTTAGCGCGTCAGTCAACTAAACGCGAGAGCCAACCATTTTGCCAATGGTCGGACATGCTACCACCGGCGCTGCACGACAGCCGCTCATGCAGGAGACTTACCTCGTGCGCGGTGTCCTAATATCCAACCAATTCAGCCACTGTCAGTCACATGAAACCTAAATACCTAAAATATGTGAGGTATGAACACCCACCAGGCCGAGTGCGCCCGATCTGCCTCTGCGGTTAGCCCGGGTCTATACTATTCAAGAGGATTTCCTTCACCGCATACCCAAAGAACACTTTCACTAGCAGCCACGACATTTCTTTGAGAGAGAGGCGGTCACGGGCCAGCATGGTAAACGTGGTAAGGAACCCTGGACAGATCCACCGTGTCAGAACTCTGCTTCATATCGAGTGGGGGCTGTGCACCTAAAAACACTCCTGTATAGTGCCCTTCTTACCAATATACAAAACCACGACCACAGGTAAAAACCGGAAAAAAGCTTTGGTCTAGGAGAAACCGTAGAAAAATCAGCCTTGAAAACCTTCCCTGCAGATCCGTTTCAACATGAGACCATACCATCTCTTTCAATACGGGGATCTGGTCCGGGCTAACATTAGCACGGATCTTAGATGGTCTGTTTGCCCAGGACACAGTTAATTCTGGGGCCTAACTCACTAGACTACCGAAGTAGGAGTTCAAGCTAACGAGTGAACAGATGCTGTGGCGGTAGAATCTTTTTGTCAGTCTTGGCTAGCTGAGGCTGAGACATCCCATATCAGGCAGGAGGTCATCATACCGAGGTACTAAAAACAAGGCCTCAAGCGAGAGAATATCGAATGAGATGTCGAGTATCATACTATCGCTCTTGGCCAGCCCAATCACCCCTGATTGTCTCCCATCAGCTTTTTCGTTTCTTTTCACTCGCAGTGGCTCAATCATCGCAAGGCAGAATTTGAGGCCAGGGGGGTTGTTCAGCTTACTAGCAATGATAAATGCAAATCCTACTCCAATGATGCCCATATTCCAAAGGCTCCAGAAATCCATCTGGTAGAATAGCACCCCAGCATCCACAATTCCACTCAGCTCATCATAGGCAAACGCGGCAATCCAAACGTCCAAGAAAGCTTCAAAAAACCCAATCCCTGTTTCCTTTCTCTCCACAAGAACGGCATAGTAGAGAAACAAGAAGGAAAGGAAGAAGCCTGCTTCGAACATCTTTCGGTAAAGAGGTACCCGCAAGCGTGAGTACGGATCTGCAGTTCTGAATGGGGTAGGTAAGCATTCTATCGAGAGAAGAATGGTCAACCAATCAAGAAAATTGTTACATCAATGACTCACTTTCGGTTGAATATATGCGGCTTTTTGGTCGAATGAACGGTAAGTGAGTCCCAGAACACAATCTCTCCGCGCCAAATATCGTTGACCACCCGCTGGACAACCTTTTGGCTTAGAAACCTCATGGCCTTGGCGATACCCGCAACCTCCAGTGCATTTAACCCGGCAAATCGAGAATATCTTGAGAGGTCATAATCTTGCGGTTGTGCAGTTTGAATACTTGAATATCCGAAACCTATACGGTTTAATGAGCTCTGCTTACCAAGGTCGGAGTTCCGTGATGAGATTGAATCGCCTGGTAATAGCGGCGCCGATTCCCTATCTCCGGAGGATGAATATCCCGAGTTGTACCCTGTTTCAAATGGATTTGCGGAATTACGCCGAGGGTTCGGGAGCTCCTCCAGAAGGAACTCAATGGTTTCATGTTGGTTGAGATGGCACAGAAATTGCCAAGCGACAAATTCGCAGGCATAGCCGCGGCTCTCATTAAGACCCCAATCATCCTCAGCTGCATTTGAAAACTCCCATTTTAGAATCCTAGACCATGTGAGCTTAAAATAAGTACACTCAATTTGGTTTCTGGGACTCTTACATCAAGGCGATGATGATAAATGGATTATGGCTATCTTCTGCCAAGGCATGTACTAGCTGCCTGAGACGATGCCCTCGAGACTCATGTCGCATCTGTTCAAATGAGAATGCGATATCGCCAATGGCTGTACTAATAAAGCTACGAAGGAAATCAGACGAAGATCCAAGTTTGAAGCAAAAAGAGAGGAATACTGGGAGAGCTTCGGGATCACAGAAAGCAGAGGCTCATCTGTGTCAATTATGGGGATTTCAACATGATCCTTAGTCTCCGATTCCATCGTAGATGGTCGACCTGAGGTGGATGTGTTGGGGCGCTGGGCCCGTACTGAAGCTGTTGTTTTTATGTATTAGAAATAGAGCCAGAGGGTATCAAAAAATCATAGCCTACCGAAATGCATCCAGAAAAAATTGGCGCCCAAGTGCGCAAAGAATGTTGGATCTCTCAAGGCGATGTCTCCTACCCCCTTGGCATGCAGCTCCCCTTGAATACTGCCCTAGTACTCTGTATCTGTCCCGGTTATGGTTCAACAATCTCCAAGCTAGCACCAGCCGGGCCACATGGTTGCAAGAAGTAAGAAGAAGCAAAGGAGTTCTCAATAGAATAATCAGTCAGGTTCTGGACCCTCTGTTCCTCCTCAGATAATTTTCATCGAATCAAAGAAGCAATCACACCAACCAAATGCCAACACACGCTGTGGATAACGGCTTCACCGCCCTTCGGCCCCATCACGTGCATCAGCGTCAAGTGACCTCACAGTCCCGACTTATCAACTTATCGTTGACTTATCGCGCCTCTAAACATCAACCATTCTCCCCCACAACCTGGAGATGAGCGCTCGACATTATGGGCCAAGGCTACTCCCTCACCACCCTTTCAGCGGGGTCTGCGGGGATCGATGTACCAGAGCTCTCCGATTTGGTATATGAGAAGTCTATGGGTGGGGGCAGATTCATGAAGAGCATCCGAGCCAGGCAACAAAATGGCCTGGTCTTTGTTAAGTTGATCATGAAGCCGTATTCGACGATGCAGCTGGAACCATATGTTAAAGCAATAATTCGTGAGTTGTTTTTCAGTTACAGATATTATTTGGTCGGCATTAATCACTCCAGCAGGCGAACGCAAGCTCTTGACAGACGTCCCGAATGCATTGAGCTATGAGAGGGTTCAGGAGACTAGTACCAGTGGGTATTTGGTCCGTCAGTACATCCATAGCTCCCTCTACGATAGGATGAGGTATGTCTCTCGACACTATTCGTAGTCACCCTTCACAACTGACAATTTTACAGCACCCGGCCATTCCTAGAAAACATTGAGAAGAAATGGATCGCCTTCCAGCTGTTATGTGCATTGCGGGATTGTCATGCCCAAGATGTTTTTCACGGTGATATCAAGACCGAAAACATTCTCGTCACATCATGGAATTGGCTCTATCTTTCCGACTTTTCTTCCTCTTTCAAGCCAACTTTTCTCCCAGAGGATAACCCAGCGGACTTTTCTTTCTACTTTGATATCTCAGGTAGGCGGACTTGCTATTTAGCCCCTGAACGATTCCTAGTCACTGGAGAAGAGCCAGGCAACCGTCATGTCAACTGGGCCATGGACATTTTCAGCGCGGGTTGTGTGATTGCAGAGCTATTTCTGGAGTCGCCAATCTTTACCCTGAGTCAAATGTACAAGTACCGAAAGGGCGAATATAGCCCAGAGCACAGCCAGCTTTCAAAGATCGATGATCTAGAAATCCGAGAGCTCATCCTACATATGATTCAACTGGAACCAGAGTCTCGGTACTCTGCCGAAGAGTACCTCAACTTCTGGAAGAACAAAGCATTTCCTGAATACTTCTACAACTTTCTGCATCAATACATGTCTCTTATGACTGACCCAACCTCTGGAAGGACAAAGGTGGACACGGAAACAGCCAACCGAGGTGAGACAGACGAACGCATCGAACGGGTCGGCTTGGACTTTGACAAGATATCCTACTTCCTTGGTATCTCGCCGAATTCGTCTGTGGAAAATACCTCTCGTCCGATTGCCGCCTCTCGACTTACCGGCAACATTCTCCCAGTGAAACTTGATTTGCCCGAGGGTGATAAGAATCAAGTCTCAGTCGCCTCTTCTCGACCACAGTCTGAGGAAGGCGTTTTGATCTTCTTGAGTTTGATAGTGTCTAACCTACGAACAACATCAAAAGCCTCGGCTCGTGTAAAAGCCTGTGATATTCTGCTTGCCTTTGCAGAGAGGCTTTCGGACGAGGCAAAGCTTGACCGTGTGCTTCCGTATATCATGGTTCTTTTGACTGATCGTGCCGATGCTGTTAAAGTGGCAGCGATCCGCACTTTGACGCAATTACTGGAGATGGTTCACGTAGTCTCTCCTGTGAACGCCTATTTATTCTCTGAATACATTTTCCCGCGCCTGCAACCGTTCATTATCTCTCCTAAGAGCAATCCGAGCCCGATGGTTCGCGCCGCATATGCCTCGTGCATCGCATCATTAGCACAGTCATCTTTGCGGTTTTTGGATATGATTCAAGCATTGCGGTCGGATATTCGTTTAACCTCTCTCATTCCAGTCGGTTCTGAACCACGGTGGACTGAGGATGCTACCTATCATAATCTCTATGATGTGGCTCGAGTCGATCTTCTGGAGTACTTTGAAGTGCATACCAAGGCGCTTCTAACTGACACGGACATATCGGTTCGCCGGGCCTTTTTGGGCTCGGTGTCCAGCCTCTGTGTATTTTTTGGCCACGTGAAAGCCAACGAGGTCATATTAAGTCACCTGAATACTTATCTCAATGATCGAGATTGGATCTTAAAGTGCGCCTTCTTTGAGACTGTAGTTGGCGTCGCCGCATATGTCGGAAGCACCAGCTTGGAGCAGTATATTCTGCCTCTCATGGTCCCATCCATGACCGAGCCCGAAGAATTTATCGTGGAGAAGGTGATTCGCTCTCTTGCATCTATGGCTGATCTCGGGCTATTTCAACGGTCCACAACATGGGATCTCCTCCATATTGTCATTGGATTCGTAGTCCATCCAAATATCTGGATTCGTGAAGCCACAGTTAACCTAGTGGTGAAATCCGCAAAATTTCTCTCAGTCGCGGACATTTATTCCATACTCACCCCTCTCATCAGTCCATTTCTCAGGGTTAAAATCATGAATTTCTCAGAAGGAGATCTCCTTGATGCTCTCAAACGACCCATGTCACGAACCATTTACGATATGGCGTTTCTTTGGGCTTCCAAAGCCGAGAGGGGAATATTTTGGAGATCTGCCAGTCGTGATGTTTTCACTCTCTCTGAGCCTGGAAGTCAGAGCCTTCGTGTAGGGCGAAGTTTCAGCCCGTCGTTAAGCTCACAGCCCAGAAACGATGAGGATGAACAGTGGTTATCTCGAATGCGAAATCTTGGGATGACGTCAGAGGATGAATTCAAGTTTCTCGCCCTTAAAGACTATATTTGGAGAGTCTCCCAGCGGCAAACGAGAGGGGCTAGTGGTGATTCTACTCTGGCATTGAACGACATTATTAGTTTGACACAACATGGCGTCACCCCTCAAACTGTGTTCTTCGATAAGAACCTGAATGAAAAGTCACGGAATACATCATTGGATAGAAACACCAGTCGCAGTCGTACTCCTCTCGATGATCAAAGACCAAGGACTATCGCAGATGCATTGCTCGATGCATCGACGACTATTGAGCGCGCGGGGAGCGGTTCACGGAAACACCTTCGGACACGAAGTCAGCTTCACAAGAAAATCGAAATTCCACATGCGCCTCCAGGCCGCCTAGAAAACATTGGAGTGGATTCTTCTTCTACTTCTCCTGCAGCATCCTCTCCTGCAGCAGGCCCGGGATCCCGTCCATTGTCTCCGCCGAGCTCAGATATTGACCGCACCGCCGGTCTTCCCGGTCGTCGGCTAAGTTCTGGCCAAGAGAGCTCCTCAACAACCCCTGCTAATGCGGACACCTTATCATTAAGAGGTCATCCCGATCACGTTCGACGAAAATCCAGCGCTATCAATCTTCTTGGTCGCAATGAAACGGCAAAGGCGTACGCTGAAACGAGCACAAGCTCCGCAAATGCATTTGGAAAGGTAGATGCACCCGTCCAGAGGGGAGGAACGCCTCAACCATCCGCTCTCTCTCACGCGTATGAACGCAAACCCATTCAGGCTGTCGCAGCCTCTCGACGCTATCGAGCAAATCATTCATATGCGGGCGATGATCCCGTGGTTTTGCGACTCTTGGACAACGTCTTTGCGGAGAATTACCCCACAGATCTGTTCGACCTAGGGCCTTATGTGAAAGAGCTAGATCCTAAATTACCTATTCTCAAGCCTAACACGCAAGATATCAACCAACTTTGGAAACCCGAAGGGAACCTAGTGGCTACCTTTGGCGAACACAGTGCGCCTGTGAATCGGATCGCTGTGCCACCCGATCACTCGTTTTTCGTGACTGCCTCTGATGACAGCTCAGTAAAGATCTGGGACACTACTCGTCTAGAACGGAATTTGACCCCCCGGTCCCGCCAAACTCATCGCCATGCACCAGGCGCTCGGATCAAGGCATTGACATTTGTCGAGAACACCTATACTTTTGTCAGTGGCGCAACGGACGGTAGCATTCATGCTGTCAGAGTGGACTACCAAAAGGTCAATGAAACCGCTCGCTATGGGAAGCTTCAGCTGGTTCGCGAGTATCAACTGCCCACAAGCGAAAGTGGATTACAGGAGTATCCAGTCTGGATGGAACATTTTCGAGATGAGGGCCAATCGACCCTACTTATTGCGACCAACACATGCCGAATCCTTGCGCTGGACATGAAGACTATGCTACCGATTTACTCTCTAGAGAACCCAGTGCACCACGGAACACCGACCACCTTCTGTTGTGACCGACGACATACCTGGCTGCTCGTCGGCACAACCCATGGGATTCTCGATTTGTGGGATCTTCGATTTCGTGTCCGATTGAAGGCTTGGGGTGTTCCAGGATGGGGGTCTATTCATCGAGTCCAGCTCCACCCTATCAAATCACGCGGACGCTGGGTTTGTGTTTCCAGCAGCGGTAGCCACGGAAATGAGATCACTGTGTGGGATATTGAAAAGTTTCGCTGCCGTGAGGTCTACCGGGCTGTCTCGTCAAATATCCAGGAGGGCCCCACCTCCAATGGAGCCGCGACTGCCCATCATCGCAGCTCCCGGCCTTCCGCCAATACCCGTCCGCATCGTGTCAGTGCAAGGGATTTCGAGGCGTGGCCTGTAGATGAAGACCGGCCAGAGGGCATGCTGAGCCGTTTTGCTACTGCCAGTCCCGCCGCAGCGGGCATTGAAGCAGGCCCTGGTCCTAATGGCTCTTCAGCTCCCCCGAATAATCCATCCAGTGATCGCATGGGCACTTGGGCGTTCGTCGGGGGCCTCAATCCCCCCAACGAAGACAAACCGTCCTCCAACAGTAGCAGTAAATTCGGATTCCTCGTCTCTGCGGGGAGCGACCGCAAAATTCGCTTCTGGGACCTAGCCCGCCCGGAAGGATCATTGATTGTGAGCGGATTAGACACTGTTTCGAACGGGCAGGCCACGGGCAAGCCACACTACGAGGTCACCCAGCCAAGCCCCAATCTGATTGTTGCCACCGAACACCTGTCCCGCGCCTCGAATACCGGGAGCGCGGCGGCGACTGCAGGCTCGAAGAAGAGCGGCGCCAGTTCACGGCCACCCCGCACCACCGTGATTAGCCTCCAGCAGCAGATGCTTCTCAAGAGCCATTTGGATATTATTCAGGATGTCGCGGTGCTGCGACAGCCGTATGGGATGATTGTGAGTGTGGATCGCGCTGGCATGGTGTATGTGTTCAAATGAGCGGATCGAGTTCTTTATTTTTCATCCCCCTCTGCAGTCGATAATCGAAGATACCCATCCTATGTTTGTGTTGTTGTACTCTACCAGAAGACTGTATTGCCCCTTAATTGGAATAGAGGGCCTTTAGCCCCCATGATCTTACGCATCTATCATTACTCTGGTCTTCTGCAGCAGTAACGAATACAAGTTAAGCCGTTCCATTGGATGGATGACCCGATAGTCATGATGAATCGCAATATATCGATGTCAGTTGTGCAAAGGACCCCAAGTCATACCTAATATATATAGGTGTAGATATAGATCGTTATATATTTGTCGGTACTTCGGCTCTTCCTGTCACCCGAGGGTTAGAATTTGTGTTACGCATTGGCCCGGTCTCACCAACCAAGCCATGCAGAATGAGAATGAGACACGGTCCATATACCAGCCACCGTAAGGATCTATTTCCCTCTTCAATCACCGTGCTTTTTGATATTGACTTTTCGTACTCCGTACTCCATTGACAATGTCGTCCTACAGTATCCTACAGTAGGTCTATTGTCTCGCGACACGCCATGTCCCGCGCTTTGCACTTTTCAAGGGTGGGGAACCAGGGTACCTGGTCGCATGTCACCGGTACCTCGGATAGTATGGGGTGCGCCGTGTATCGGCAGTAGCGCCAACCTCTTCTGCAGGTACTGGGTGGATTCGTGTACGTCGTGGGCACCGAGGGCGAGCTGGACTGGTGGGGCCCAAACCCACCGAGGCGAAACAGTGGTGGATGGATCGAGTGGTTGATCGGCGGCTCCGACGGTTCCAAACCAGGATAGACCCAGAGCAAGGAATGGGGGGGAGGGTGTGTGTGTGTGTGTTTTGCCTTTTCCTTCTCGTAAGCACATACTTTTTGGAGGCTCGTCCCCGGCTTCGTTCTGTGCCGGTTCCCCCTGCAGGTCCAACGCAAGCAAGATGCACGGCTGCATTCCTCTACGAGACGATTGGGCCTGGACAGCAGAGATCTGCCCTCAGGGTGCTCGGGACAAAGTAGTCGGGTTCATAATAATGATCGCAATATTGATATTATGAACATCTAGACTCGACTCTCCATGCACTCAGTCCTCGGTCCCGTATATACTCCATGCACTTTCCATGTACTCTCTATGTAGGATGCGCATGCAGTGCGTGTCCGGCAGCACTTGTATGATCCAGAACTTCCCCCATCCCCGTTCCACGGTCTGGATTCTCGATCTGGTGGGTGACTCTGGGAGCTGATGAGGGGAGAGAGGGGCGTACCAGTTCATTCCTGTCCCGCGGTGGTATCCCACACGCGAATGACAGGCCGCCATTGAGACAAGGTTAGCCCAAATCAAGGAGATTAGCCCCGATGAGCGAAAGGGGAGGGGGAGAGGATCTCCATTGAGAACTTCCTGAGTCGGCTCGGTAGATTTTGACGTCGTGACCAAGTTCGGTGGAGTCGAGCGGGTTTACGAAAGAGACCAGACGAAAAGAGGGGGGGACATGTAGAGTCTAGATGGCCGGGGTTATAGGATATCGGGTATAGGATTTACTATTCAGAGCACGGAACCCCTTTTTCTTTGCCCGCGTAGAAAGGGGAGAAACAGAACCCTAGGATGAAGAGCGGGCTGGTCATCGATTATAAGAGTATAAGCAACATACGCGGGACTCAGAATCGTCGGCCATCTTGTCCTGGAGGGCCCACCGACCACACAGACACACAGACCATCGATACGGAACCTCGGACCTGCTGCTGCGACTGGGGATGAGGCGGGCCCCAGGGGTTAAACTCGGGCTCCAGCCAGTCAGACCGTCCCAATCCGCCGTGAGACGGGAACACAACCCTGGAAACGCCGGGAACGCTGGGAACGCTGGAAACACTGGGAAGCTTCGGCCCCAGGAACCATGGGCCATCGCGTCCCTGACGTTCTTGTGCTTTCGTTTCATCGAATCCTTCTAGGCTGTCTAGGCTCGAAAAGGATCTCGATCGGCAACAAACCAGAGATCTCGCCCGATCGGACACGACCAAGTTGTGGCCAGAGTTGAAGAGTGGAAAAGAGTGGAAATTTGCAGGCGACCAGGGAGTTGGTAGATCTCGTGCTCGCCAGCACCAGAATGGGCCCACGGAAACGGTCTGTCAGACTTTGAATAATTTGAGAGATTTTGCAGAGTACTCGTCTGATTTGAAATATCTTCAATTGATCAACTCGGAATGATGGGCGGGCTTCCCCTGGTCGCTCCTCGCGGCTCGCAGGCGAGACATGTACCCCGAACGGCGCGGACGGTACCAGAGAGTATGGAGGACGGTATAGGCATGGACAGAGTACTGGAGGAGAGACGGGGAGGATCGTCCAACAATCACGGATCATAAAGCGTCAATACTAGGGAATACAGAAACATATAATACAATTCTAATGGTTCAGGACCTGCAGTGACTCGGTCGCACCGGGATGCGTTGACCGTGCATGCTCCATATCCCCCTCGAAGGTGCAACCCTGTAACGTGGTCGATGTGCTCTGCAATTCGAATACTGGATGCATCTGAACATCTGGATTAGACTAGCGATGGCTCAAGATCAAGAAAAAAAGGAGATTTCAGAAAGAGACTTTCGAGATCCATCGCATTGCAGCAGGAGCATGTTGATCCCGACAATCCCGCCGGACGAAAGACCAAAGATCTTGGGTTGGCCGACCGTTGAGATTGATTCAGGTGGCAAAGCAAGCTGCTCTAGAAGAACCTTCCCGACTCCGAGCACAGAGTCTCAAAGGGTCCGATTGGGGAGTCGGGCTCAATCTGACCTATCGATTGTTCCTGGGCATCTGGGGGGAGAAACCTCGTCTCAAACTACTGGGAAGAGAGAGGGAGACAGACAGACAGACAGACAGAGAGAGAGAGAGAGAGAGAGAGAGAGAGAGCACGGCCAAGCGGCGGTCAACCGTTTGCGTGGATGAAACGCGCTCCCCGTGCTGTTGCAGCCCTGCAGGGTTTGGATATATCAAGTGGCTAACGGAGGGGGAAATATGCATCACAACGAACAGACCAGCGCGTTTCCAAGTGACCATCCACTTCATCGCGGAGGGTGTCCACGCAGGACGCAGGACGAAGTATATCCTCCGACTGGCTTTCCTGCCGAACGATGAATAACACCGGCCATGCAGTCGACCTCCGGCGTTATTGTTACGATTCCTGTTTATTTATGTTTTATTTCTATTTTATTTTTGAGCCTGCCTCGACATTTTCACCGCAAGAAGCATATATAATAAATGACCCGCTCTGGGCGCCGTGAGGTTTGTGGTTTTCAATTCGGTCCCCAACTGCCTTGTCCCCCTGCACCCAGCAAGGTTGCTCGCACCGACAGAAACGCAGAAACGCTCACCAGCGCCAGCCCCTGACTTGGGGACCGGGAGTAATTCCAATTTCCAAAATCTCCGCAACACTTCGCTCCGCCGGAATCCTCATTTAATTAACGGACCGGGCCCAAGTGGGGACGCCTAGTCCGGCTCGCGCGGTTCAAGTGGTTCGTCGAGTCCCGAACGAACCCCCTTTGGCCTTAGCTTCGGTCCAGCTACTTTGCCTCCTATTCCGTCTTCCTGGCTTGTCCCCTCCCCCTAATCTCGTCTCTCGAAGTCTCGCCAATCCTTGAACCCTTCTCTTTCTCTCCTTCCCATTCAATCGCCAATTTCCTAGATTGTAGAGCGTGGCCTGTGTGGACAAACCTGTCCATCCACTCGATCATTGCTCGCAATCTTCATATGGCCCCGGGTGCCTCTCATCGAGTTTGAGTCAAGATATTGGAGTCTCACCCGGCGTCGCTCTCTCAACCTCCTCAGAACTAACCCGCTACTCACTCAATTGTCCCTCTCTTGTGCCTCCCAGCCTCGTTCGTTATACGCCCACGCCCGATCCTTGAGTTGTCCAAACAAGCCCTCACCGTCTCTTGTGAAGGGTCCACATTCCTCGACCTGATTCCGAGGTATATACTTCCCGACGATATATCAACCACACCAACCCACCCAACCACATCCGACACAATGGGACCGTCTCTGCGAGACCACGGCTCCTTTGTCCGGCCATCCACCCGGGATCGGCCCGCGACTCGCGGCGAAGGGGAAAATTCGCTGGTCGTCCCTAGCCGCACGTCGTCGCTTCACTCCCGGATCACCCAGCCCATCCCGTCCACACTCAACATCAAGCCCGCGCAACGGACCCCGAAAACACTCACGCATGCATACATGGTCTGTGGTGTTGGCCGCGAGCCCTCCCAGTGGGTGAAGGCTCCGACGCCCGAGCAGGGCAAGATTGGTCATATGAAAGGTGCCGTGGGTCAATTTTGGCTCCCCGAGATCCTGGGTAGCAGCCCCCGCCTAGAACAGGATAATGAAATTGCACGAGCTCTGCACTCGGCCATGAGAGTAAGTCCATCAATCTGCATTGCCGGGGGAACTCCATCCCAAAGCGTGTTACGTCTTTCAACGACGATGGAGTACGACAATCCTGTGGAAAAAGACGAAACAAAAAGAAACGAATGATATCGCAAGAGCGGGTAGACTAATTCTTTCTTCGACAGGCTTGTTTCCCTCATGATGTTGAGATTTGCACTGGCAAGAGCCAGCCCCACTGCGCCCATCATGCATTTGTCCTTCAGCAGGACTCATCTCACACTCTGTACGGTATCGCGCTGCGCGTTTGGTCCCGTGCCGACGAGAAGCGCGCCGAGACCATCCGCGAGCTGCGCAAGAAAACCGAGCCCGACTTTTACGACAACCCTGATGAGACATATTGGATCCCCTACTGCCTGAGTTTCCTGTCCCGATATCCCCTGTATGATTTGCTGGGTGATTACCTCCGCGGGATGTGGATTCATTGGAACAAGGCGACCAACCTCTTCCACGCTGAGGAGGTCTCCCGTATCCTCAGCTTCCCGGCTCCTCGCCTGAACGACCTGGTCCGCATTGACATGAAAGACTATGCTCTTTGCTACCAATTCCCCTCGTCTCCGACCGGCTTCCAAAACTTCTCCATGTGGCCCCTTTTCAACTGTTTGTCTATTCCGAACATCGTTGGCGTGATCGAGGCTGCCGTTTCGCCGACCCGTCGTATTATCTTTGTCTCCCACTACCCGGCCATGCTGACCGTGGCCGCCGAGACCATCCGTTACTGCGTGCGTGTCTATGAGTGGAGTGGTCTTTATGTGCCTGTTGTGCACGCCCGCCATGTCAAGGAGCTGGTCCAGGAGCCGGGCCCTTACATTCTGGGTATCACTGCCGAATGTCGCACGCTATTCAATGCCCCCTCCGACGCGTTGGTCGTTGACCTGGACCGCAACTTCGTGTTGACCTCGAGCCCACCCAATGTCCTCAACCAGGGCCAGCGTACCAAGTTTATTAACCGTCTGACCCAGGCCCTCAATGGCGATGTCTCGCCCTCCGGTGTCCCAACTCACCTTCGCTCCGCCTACGCTGGCGGCAAGCTGATCCCTGCCGGTCAGATTATCGTCATGCGTGGTGAGGTTGAGAGCGTTCAGGATCCCAACTGGTGGAACCAGGATGCTGTTATGGGCGTGATGGATCACGTCTGTGAGAAGCTCGGCCGCAACACCGGCATGAAGGCCATCTTTGGTGGATCCGTCAAGAAGCCCCTGATGACCAAGGTCTCGATGCGTCATCTCAACGAGATTGTTCGCGAGCGTAACCAATACTCTCGCGATGCTATGGAGGCCTGGCAGGATTTCATCAACCTCAAGGGCCGCATGGATACCGAGCTCAGCAAGGTTACCAAGCGCAACAACTTCCTTGTCGAGGAGCTCGAGACCTGGAAGCAGCAATTTCTCAAGTTCCAGGCCTTTGCTGAACAACTCACCAAGGAGACCTCGGAGCTCAAGGTTAAGATCGAGAACCACAAGCGCGAGAACCGTCGCCTTACCGGTCTTATCGACCAGCAGAAGGACGACGTTGCCCGTCTTACCCTGCGCCTGTCCGGCACTGAGAAGCAGCGTGACGACGCTCTGGAGGCTCTGGTTCTTCAGCAGGAGATTGCCGAAGAGCTTGAGCGTGAGCGCAAGCGTAATCAGAAGGAGATCTCTGCCCTTACTCACACTAACACGACGCTGTCTCGCCAGCGCGATGATGCCCAGCGCGTAGTCTTGCACCTTCGCAGCCTGATCAACGGCCAGAGCCACCACATGGAGCACATTGTCCGCTCTATTGGCAGCAGCTCTGAGATTACTGAGATTGTCGAGCAGGGTTACGAAGACGCCCCCGAAGAGTCGACGAATGGAGAGGAGCGCTTGGAGCCTGTGAAGGAAACGAAGGCCTGGAGCAAGGAGAGCACCAGCAACGGTCACAAGTCAACTGCGGTAAATGATATGAGCCCCGAGCTAGAACAGCACCTGCTGAACCTCGGCAAGGATCACAAGACCCTTGCGCGTTTGAGCATCACCGATGTCGCGGACCGTTACCTCCGCGACAAGACGGATGCCATCGCCGACATTATTCGCAGCATTAGTGAACAGTGCGCCGCCGCCGTCGAGGGCCTCCACCTGGCCCAAGATGCCGAGCATGAGGAGGCTGAGGCCAACTCGAAGTCGGTCGCCCACCAAAATGGCGACCGTCTTGGCTCGGACTATGAGGGCCAGGAGGAGGGCCGTACGACCCGTGCCACTAGCGAAATGAGCGACGTCGACAACAATTCGCTTCATCCCGATAACCGCCACTCGAGCATTCCGCCTACCCCCGACCTTGTGCACAACCGATCCAGTACTTCCATGTCCATGGTGAGCAGCTCGACTTTCCCTGAGCGGTCAAGCCAGCAGTACGGACCTGGTGACATTCCAACCCGCATCGTGGAGGACGATGATGAGCACGCCCATGAGACTGAGGGTATGGATGATCAGGCTACCGAGACTGGTACTCTGTCTAAGCAGGCTAGCGAAGATCTCATGCGGCCTCAGACCGCACGGGTGATCTCGTAATTTCTTTTGTTCACCCTTCGACCAGCCTGAGGACGATTTGCAACGTTTGACCTGAGATGATCTTGTTTTATCAATTTTCTGGCATCTTCTTGCTTATATTGGCGTGGTAGCTTTTGCTCTCCTTTTCTTGACATCCTCCTTCTCTCCTCCCCCTTATCTTCATCTGACTGGTGCCGTGGACCCAACACGCAAAACACCCGTTCTGGTTGTCCGGCGTAGTCGTTTCTCTACTTTGCTTTCGCTTCGTCGTGTCGATTTTTGATACTCCCTTATATCCATCCGGCTTTTATCCGTCTTCCTTGTCCATCGGTTAACAACCTTTTGTTCCCCTTGGCGGTTTATTATTTTTTTTCCCTTCCTATGCACCTTTCGCCCTGGAGATATTGTTATTATCTATTTGTCTACCCGTGCCTTCTGAGTTGGAACGGCTTGCCTCCTGTTTTACTGCTTTTCGCTCCTTATCTTGCGCCTGAGGCCTTGACCGCCGCTGCTTTGATAGATCTCAGCGTGAGAGAGTACTCGACTCTGCACCGACCACCTGCAACCAAACGAAATTGCAGTTGCAATCTTTCCTTGCTGTCTATTCTGTCTGAAGATTTTCCTTTATCTTCCCTTTTCTCTTTTGTGTCTGCAGTGATCGAACGGGACTCGATCACTATATGGGAAGATCCATCCCACTCTGCTGTATTTAAAAATGGATTCTGTTAATTGGTTCTATACGTTCTTGATCTCTTCGTAAAAAGTCATGGTTTCGGTCTTTAGGAATAATTGTAGGGATAACTGCTTCGTCAAAGATATTGTGAGTATGGACTTGATTGATCCGTGCACCCGAAAGTGCAGATTTGAACTATGTACACTACAATGCAGGAAGGCAATAGGACTATGCCAACTTGCCAGGAACCACCGGGTGCCCCGCACTCAAACCCCCACAGACAGCCCATGCCTGACCGTTGACGTAGCTGCTCTCATCGCTGCCCAGGAACAATGCCACACGTGCAACCTCATCAGCAACAGCGCCACGTTGCAGGGGGTTCAGCTGACCAATCTTGCGCTGAGTGCCACGTTTCCGAGCATGATCAAAGACGGCTTGTGTCATGCCGGTCTCGATCAGGCCAGGGCAAATGGCATTGATACGGATACCAGTACCAGCCAGCTGGTACGAGCAGGTCTGGGCAATAGAAACCACGGCAGCCTTGGAGGCAGAGTAGTCAGTTGAGCCTGCATTGGACCGAAGGCCAGCTACCGAGGCGGTACAGATGATTGAACCGCTTGAGTACGGCTTTGCTTCCGAGGTTACTTTCATAGCCGGGGCAGCGTGCTTGGCGGCCAGGAAAACACTACAAACAGGAACTATTGAGCATCAATTCTCAGCTGGAAGGGACCAAAACTCACCCTAAAGCATTTGTCTTCATTGTGTTCATGAAGCCATCGCCATCGATTTCAGTGAAGATTTTCGGCTGTCCAACAATGCCAGCATTGGCAAAGAAAATGTCCAGTCGGCCATACTTTGCCATGACATCGTCGATGACCGCTACCACCGACTTCTCATCGCCTGCATCAAATTGGCGCACGTGGACATCTACCCCTGGGTATAGAGACTCTATCTCACGTTTGTGAGTGGCAAGGTGACTATCATTGTAGTCGCAGATGTACACTGCCTTGGCACCGTTGTTTGCGAATTGGTGTGCACTGGCACGTCCGATTCCATTAGGAGAATTGGCTCCTATAGCATCATAAGTATCATCACCATAAATAATGTCCGGGATCATTACCAGTCACAATGACAACCTTGTCCTTTGCCCGGCTATCGATCTATTAGTGTCTAACCTCGGCATTGGGTCTTTATTCTAGATTGTCACAATGGCAAATGGTTGAAGTTCAACTTACGGGCCAGCAGAATCTCCAGCAATATGGCGAATCTTGGGGATATCTTCAAACGTGCCCTCGTCAGGAATGCCCTCAACTAGCTGCTTGCTGAGGGCCTGGAGGCGTTGTCGTGCAGCGGCAGATGACATTATGTGGGTGCGGTGCAGACGTAGCACAAATAAGCAATTGAAGGTTTAATATAATACTTAACACACCACGCTGGAATTTCACACTGCAGTGGATTTCCTACGCAATTTGTCGACGAGGACCCCGGCAAATAAATAGGAAGGAACTGGCCAAATCGCGCCTTCCCCACTCGGTTATGCGGAGAGCCGAGGCCCAGATGGGTCACGTTACTCCTTACTTCAATCCTTACCGCCCTACTCACGTGACCATAGAGACCTCACATATCACGTGAGATAGGTCACGTCATGTGCCGCTGCTTGTTTTGGGCGCCAAAGAGCCTCAGCTGGTCTTTGAGCGTGTATTAGCACGACTCTGAAGCTGTGTCTTTTGGCTCTGGTGGTAGTGCAGCATCTCATTAACTGTGCCTGAAGCAAAACCAGGGCCCAATCTCCCTTCATTCCGCAGGTCCACTCAAGATCGCCCAGGATCGCCAAGCAAACGCGATAGTCCAAAAAAAGGCACAGCGAAGCAAACCGAGACAACAGGGTCCCAGCAGGGATTCTCTCGATCTGACTTTCTCTGGCATTTCTCCCACCCATATTGACTCACCAAAGCATTCATGAAGTCCGCAATCACCTATCCCGACTCCTATGCCATTCACAAGTCGTTGAGTCATGTCGGAGCCCGATATTTCACCCCAACGGCGGTCCTCATCCCAGGCATCCTCCGCATCCAACAGGAGTCAGAAGGCTAGGACACTTCGTGCCAAAACTCAAAAGCGCCATTCGGGCTCGTCTCATGTCACTACGGACCTGACCTCCTTCCCTTCGCTTTCGCCACCCGACCGCTCCACTGCCCTAAACAGAGGCTTGACCAATATATTGATGACAGGTGGTGATGGTGAAGAGGAGACTGGTTATGAGAGAAGTGAAGTCAGCCGTGGGCGCAGGGCCACCCTTGCCCGACTGACAACCGGCGTGTCTCATGCCTCGGGTCGGGCAGCTCTTTTCGCCGATTCGGTCTCGACACATGATGTTCCTGGGGCCCTGCATCTGGCAGACGACGCTCATATTGAGCGAGTAATCGCAAATACAGGGCCAGTGAAGATTGTGAGACAGTTTGCGCGCGATCTTGCTCAGCGAGATGCTGAGATTTCCACGTTACGGCAACGTGCCGATGCGAGAGAGCGAGAGTTGAAGAGGATGCTTCGAGAGGTGTCGGTGTCAAATCAAGATATTGAGCGGCGTCTGTACCAACTAGAGAATTCTCCCGAAGACCGCAATTCTGACGGAGAAAGCAGCACCAATAGTGATCATGCTGGGCTCAATGGCCTCATGTCCCAGGCTATGACAGATGCCGTGGGGTCTCCGCTTGATGAGGAGCTTCGTGAGACTTCATCTGATCTCCAAGCTACCATTCGTGCTGGACAGCGGCCGGAGAGTGAGAATCGAATTGCTGCCGGATCAAGTACTGAATCGAGTAACAACCGCAAAAGACAGGGCTCGATGCGAGGATGGCAGGACTACTTCTTTGGCTCTACCAATGCCAGCCGGAAGACAAGTCGTGCGAGCAGTATTATGAGCGATATGCGAGAAATTGAAGAGGAAGACGGCGGAGACCGTGCTCGAGTGCCGAGCAACCCTTCGGTCCGACGGAAAGCTCTTGATGATCAGCTGTTCCAGCCACCAGGAGCCTCAGCAACTGAGATATTGAACCGGCGCATCGCCAGTGGCTCTGCAAATGGTGATGATTCAAGCATTCATTCCCGGAAATCTTCGCGCTCAATGGGCTCCTGGACAATCAAATTATTTGCCGGTAATTCACAGTCAAAAGACGCTAGTGATTCCGAGACCAATCGCAACAGAACACCATCCGACAATCAAGACAAGTCAGCTGCATCGACATTGTCTGGGACTGCCAGTTCCAAAGGAGGAATGTCCGCTGTGGCTGCGTTGAAAAGAATCAACAGCAATTCAAATGTTCCCGCTACGGCAGGGCGCAACTTTAGTGGCGGTGGTACAGTCAAAATTAACCCGCCAGCTACTCGAAGGCTCCCGGCAGGAAGTGTTTCACAGGGTACAGGCGCTGAAGTTACCGATCGGAGCTCAACTAATCTTGGCCCCGTTGAAATGGATGCGATCTTGCCTGTCGAATCTCGACCACCCACGCTTGCGCCAACTTACAATAATACTCAGTCGGGCGAATTTCTCACTGATAGATTTGGTTTCATCTATGACCAGCGCCGGAAGAAACGTCAGAGAGAAGCCACTGCATCAAAGGGCCATAGATCAAAGTTGAGCATTGCCGAGACTTTGGGGAACCTTCGCAGTGACTCATCAGATGTTGAGGATGACCATCAGATCAGCCCAAAGCCTCAAGAAACAGATGTCGCAACCGCAGGCTCTCCTACCGTATCTCCCGATGACCCTGAAAGTGAAGTCGTTGGATTGCGCCGTTGGCAGGACTATCTTAAGATACCATCTCGCCCGACAGAGCTTCTGTCTCATACCCCTTCAGCAGCTCCTATCATTTCACTCATGACGGCAGGTGAGAGCCGCCCACATAGTTCATCTGTCTCTGTTGATAAAGGAGGTACACTTTCGGTGGGCTCAAGCGCACAACCATTCGCATCCACCTCTACTGTAACGGCCGATCGCCCCGAGTTTGCTGGAAACAACACAGAGGAACATCCTCCTACCGCATCCACCAAGAGCAACCCTTCTGAAACCGAGCCGGTCAAGCTTCTACTGGAGCAGCTCACGGAACTTCACGATACCCTACAGCGTGACCGGACCGTGAGGTGGAATGAGTTCCTTCGCAAAGTCCGTGCAGAGCGCCGCAAGGAGGGCGAAGCCGCCGCGGCGGCGGCATCTTCAGATCGATCAGTTCCCGCCGTTGATACCCCCGAAGCCTCCCTTGCCGACGGCGAGGTCATTGGCATTGCCGGCCTGGGAAATAAAGGCAAGGTTGGCCGTGCCAAATGGCGGGAATTTCGGTCTCTTGTTCTTGGTGGCATTCCTGTTGCTCTCCGTGCCAAGGTCTGGTCGGAGTGCAGCGGTGCCTCTGCAATGCGGATTCCTGGCTACTACAAAGACCTCGTGCACGGCATTGGTGGTACCGAGCCAGACTCGTCAGTTGTGGTGCAGATCGACATGGACATTCGTCGTACACTCACCGATAATGTGTTCTTCCGCAAAGGGCCCGGTGTTAACAAACTTAGGGAAGTGCTACTTGCATATTCTCGTCGCAATGCTGAAGTTGGATATTGCCAGGGCATGAACCTTATTGCAGCGTCGCTATTGCTTATTATGCCCACAGCCGAAGATGCATTCTGGATACTGACCTCTATGATTGAAATCATTTTGCCGCAGCATTACTATGATCATGGACTCCACGCTTCTCGTGCTGATCAGATCGTATTGCGACAGTACATTTCGGAACTTCTACCAAAACTGTCGGCACATCTGGATGACCTGGGTATTGAATTAGAAGCACTCACCTTCCAGTGGTTCCTGTCTGTCTTCACCGACTGCCTCTCTGCGGAAGCATTATATCGCGTGTGGGATGTAGTCCTCTGTCTTAACGTGTCTAGCACCGCGACCAATGGCTCTGCGCAAGCAGCGACCTCCTCGGCGTCCAGCGTCAAGGATCACATCGACAGGCCTGTGTCTGTCTCCGAAGAAGTTTCGTCTGGCAGTGGAGGCGGAAGTACATTCCTCTTCCAGGTTGCCCTCGCTCTTCTTAAACTCAACGAACCGCAACTTCTCACGACCTGCTCGACCCCGGCTGCTTTGTACACGTACATCAACCATCAAATGACCAACCATGCCATTAGCATTGATGGTCTCATTCAAGCCAGTGAAGCACTGCGCAACATGGTCCGTCGAGAAGATGTGATCGTCCGCCGAGCAGCCGCTCTGCAAGAATTAAACCCATGATTTGGGCAGGTGCTGCTCAAATCGACCCTCTCCAGTTTCCTTGGATCTCTTTCGCAATAAAAGGATATCAATGGTAAACCGGCGTCGTTCCTTTCTTATTTTCTTTTCCATTTAGAACCTCGCGACGATGCCGATACGACTACGAGCATTGGGCATGGAGTTTGGCTATTTCGTTTCCAATGATACCTATTTTTTTTATCACTCTTCTCATTCACTGGCGCTTGTTTTGAATCTTTTCATTTCCACTTGGCGCGGAGTCATTCCCTTTTACACATCAGTCATGCATTAAACATACATACCCCTGACTTTACCCTGGCTTCTTGCTCTTGGATCTCAGTCCAAATAACATTTCTATCTATCTGGGTGCTCCCCATTATACCGGATAATTTCCATGCTCGTAGTTGCAAGTGTTTGGAATAGGCAAACGCAGTGACTGACTGCAACGTCACGAAATGAATAAACTTACGCGAAGGCATGCATGCTCTTTACTCCATAGTATTTCTGGTATCCAGAATTATTTATATGCCCCCGACAGAGAATCGGCTCCAGCTCCGGATCCGAGCTCCGTATACCATGAACACAATAGGGGAAACCATGATTACTGCCGAAAGACCGGCTAACAGCGTTGCCGACCAATTTATTTTCAGGGTATCGTACATCGGTCCTTCAAAAAGGGGGAAGGTGGCACTCACAAGCGACCGCATCAGAACATGAATCGAGATTGCCGATACCGTGTTGGCCAGGTATACATCTACAATATACACGACACCGCTTATGAAGATGATCTGTAGCGCCAGTCCGACGAAAAAGCAGGAGATCACTTGCACCATCCAGTGCGCATTTCCAGACCAACCGAACCAGAGCAGTGCCGGTGGAAGGATGACGGCACCGAGGATCATTGGCGGCAGTCGATGCTCAGGAGCAATTCGCGCAGATGGCAGTACATTCGGCGTCTTGGCCTTCTCTGTAGCCACCCATCGACTCTTGTACCAGGTCATGGTGAACAGGGAGGAGAGCCCAAAAGCTGTCAAGAGACCCAGCCCGACCGAGATGAATGGTAATGTGGCCGCGGGCCTGCTCCAGCCACGAGCTTGAAACGCTTTCGGGAACAGTTGGTAGGACAGATAGAGTGTGCCGTATACCAAGGTGAGGTATACAGTCATGACGATCAAAATGGGCTCCTGGAAGAACATGCGCACAGGTTTTGTGCAATACTTTTGCAGTAGCACGCCGGGATCCAGCGAGGCCAATTCAGCTTGTGCACGCAGATTGGGGTTACCAGTTTCACGACGGAGCCGGGCTGCACGCCGCATGAGAATGCGATTGTGGGAGGACTCATGCAACAAAAACAGGCATTGCACTCCAGCAGCAGCGCAGATTATGAGAGTCACCCACGCCGTCCATCGCCAACCGTATCGGTTCACAATATAGGCCCCGGCAATCGGGGCGATGACGGAGCCGAGATTCATGATCGACGCAGACAAGCCGATGGCAACTCCGCGAGTGATCGGGCCGAAGATATCGGCCAGGATGCCTGAGCCGACAGCTAATCCTCCGCTACCCAACATCCCAGCCAGGAAGCGGGACACCAAGATTGTCGCGACATTCGGTGCCAGCGCTAAGGGAATCTGGAAGATGGCACAGCCAGCCAGGGCGACGCTGAGGACGGGAGCGCTGCCCACGACTTCGGCCGTGGGCGCAAAGACAAGCGGGCCTGTGGCGAAACCACCAATGAAGAGGGCCACGCCGAGTGACATGACTTCCTGAGACACTCCATACTCGGCTGCGGTCACGTCGGCCGCCGCCCCGAAGATGCTGGATGCAAATGCAATCGCGAAGACGACGGCTAGCGGCGCGGACGACCGAAGGAGTTTCGTACGTCTGGGCCAGTTCTGCGGATTCTCGGAGTCGTTCGCTCCGTTCCAAGTAACTATCTCAAAACCCGATTCGCTCTCTCTTGGGGTGAAGTTGGATTCGTTCGGTGTGGAAATCCCATATGGGATCGCAACTAAGTTGACAGTTGTTTGGTCTAATTGCTTGGCCCCGTCTGGGGATTCTTTTGAGACCAATTCCATTGTGGGTGAAAAAGAATACTCCCTTTGCCATTTGGGAACTCGAGAGCATATAAATGGATCCTAACTTTTTTGCCGATGACCTGGCGATCGGCGAGTGACAATGTGTATCAACGAGGTCCACTGATCATCTGCGGATCCCTCCGAGCGTCCTGGAAAGCGATGCGTGGCCTGGCATGCGCATACGTGGATGTCTGGGTATTGGTATGTTTCGTGGTATGAAACCTGGATGCCGTCTTGCAGATGAATTGATGCAGGAGGTGCTCAAACGAGAAAGGCATTTCTTTCGATTGCTAGGCAGGTTTGAAAATTATAAGTAGCGGCCTTTGAAAGTTCGGCGAGATGACCGAAGTGGAACCAGGAATAGGGACCGAGACCAACTCTGATCGGCCCCGTTGATTCATGCCTGATCCGCTTTCTTGGAACAAGGCTGATGGCATTTCGACTGCTTATCTGAATGTTCTCTTGTAAGGGATAGCATCTGCCGCAGGTACAAAGAGTCACCATGGTTAGTCTCAGCGAACCAACTACATCAACCCCTTGATATTAACGCGTCGGTAAAACCCGACATGGTGAGGAGTGGGAAGAGTGAAAGGAGAAAGTACAGGAATAGAAATAGGAGTAAACATAGAAAAGGAGGTATTTTAGCTGGCCTGGTGACTCGTATAGCCGACTATCATGAACGGGTCTGTGATCAAAACGAGAGCAAAGAATTTTGTAATTCCACGCTATACTAAAGCGAAAAGGGAAAGACAGAATATCAGATAGACTTGGTAATCTATCCCAATTGCTTCACTTCAAATGTCATGGCGTTTCATGTAGGTAGGTATGAATAGTAACGCATTCCCGATGGTCCCTGCCGCTACATCACCTAAATGCGTGGAAGGGATCGATCCCACCTCCCGCGAAAGCTTGAAGGTTATTTTAATTGAGCAGAATATCAAGAACTGTTGTTTCAGTAACTGTAGCCCCTCTGTTGGATCAATTCTCGATCCGAGGAATCCGGTCTCAGGAATCGATTTCACTTGCGTTTTGGCAAATTGCTGCAACGGAGGAGAGATCAAAAGTATCCAAGGGGGCATATGCAGGTATAAATCCAGCTTGACATCCACTTCACTCTCCTTCAAGGCCTAGCTTTTCATGAACCCATAATGGCGGAGAATGTCCATGCCCGGGGCCTGAACATAGGACGGCAGCAGGTCACAACAAGGGAATTCTAAATGCAGAGGTCACGCACACGGTCCTCGATGTTACGCAGGCCGGTGGGGAAGTTGCATCGCGGTACGAGGCAGGCCCTGCATCGGAGGGAAGAGGAACTGGTAAGCAGAATGGGCCAGAAGCTGCTTACCACCGGACGCGGACCTGGGAGTCGCAGAGAGACCACTCCCTCCAACCCCAATGTCAGCGTTGGATCTGACGAATTCTGAGGAATATTGCCGGATCTTAGTGGAATACGAATTCCAGAGCATGTCATGGATCTAGAACCTTGAGAAACACAAGACCTGGCTGTTCCCTCAACTGGGCCCATCCTGGATCCAGAATCGACCATTAATATCCAGCATTGAGGTGAGATCAATGGAGTCCATGCTCGGTCGTACACCCATTTCCAGCACGTCGCGTGCCACTGCCTTGATCTGACGCATGATGGATTGTGAAATAGCCCAGGTTCGAGCCAAGGACTTGAAAACACCAATCGTCAAGACGATCCGGTCGCGGCTCGGGTCGGGCATTTGACCTGCCTTGACAGAACAAGCCGCCAATTGGACAATTGAGCTGAGTGTCAGGGCACAAATAAAGAAAGGTGTGTGTCGCTCAACGGGTAATCGAATGGCGGCCAAAGAAGACAACTCACTGGCCGCCTTGACGGCCTTCATGGCATGGGCATGGTGCGAAAATGCGGGGACACTGATTGGGCCGTGGTGGCCACAAATAACCTCTGAGGCGACGGCCGGGGATGATAGCAAATCGGACCGAGGGAAGTTGAGATAGATTGAGGCGCCGTTGACGATCATTGTAGCCTGGAACATGATTTCGTTCACTGATCCATCGGGTCGCATAAGCTCCGCTTTGGATTCTGGGAGATGATGAAACCAGCTGGCAATTCGAGCATCGATCGCTTCAACATGGTCCTGCTGGCCCTCTGTCATTTCCTGCGTGGCCACGACTCGGCCGAGAATGCGTACCGCTTCAATGCGATACGAATAAGACGAGAAGTCCCGTTCCTCATCGGCAAAGACGCGTTCGTCGAATTGGGCAATCGTCGGCGGTGGTGGTGGGGTGAGACCGTCCTGATAGATTCGTTCCTCGCAGGGAAGCGGGACCTCGGGCGTCACCAGATTCGTGCGATATATTGATTGTACCCCTAGGGCCGTCAACATGCCCTCGATGATAAACAACTCCCACCACGTGCGGCGTAGGCATTCTGCCCGGATCGGATCACCGTTGCTGGCGGTCTCGGGGTACGTCGCCTGGTTCAATCCCAGCTCAAAGGCTAGATCAACCGCCGCGGCCAGACATTCGCCTGCTTCCGCCCGCTCATTGCGCGAATGCAGAACTATGGCGAGCAGGAGAAGCGCCTGGACCTTCTCCACCGCCGGAGGTTGGTCGCGGACCGCGGCGACGACGGCGGGACGGTAGGTTTCGCTCGACGCTGCTGGGGTGAAGTGAGACGCAATGAATTTCATCACCTGCTCGAGGTACGGCGGGAGGTGGGCGGGGGAGAGTAGTCGCAGCGGGGGCAGGATGGGATGGGCGGCGTGGAAGTAGGTGTAATAGATATCGAGGAGGTAACCGTCGCCTCCGACTGAGGAGGAGGAATCTGGGGTCATGGGGCCCGTCGCGGCGCGGGCGGGCGATGGCGCCATGGCCAGCGACGGGTCATTCATATTCGTGCCCGGGGTGGGAGACCCGGAGGAGGTAATTGTCATAGCGGCCGCCGTGGGTGCATAGTGAAAGCCGGCTTGGAGATGATTCCAGTTGACGGGGATGTCGAGCATCCCCGCCACCGGCTCCATGGGGAGTAATTGGTCTGGAGTATCGGGCTCGGCGCGGCGCTTCTTCTGCGGGCCCTTGTAGCCGCGGCGCGACTTGATGTACTGACACTCGGCACCCGAGGCTGCGCAACGACGACAGACCGGGGTCTGACCATCGCACTTGAGATGCTTGTGGCGGCATAAGAGACATGCGAGGAGGGAAGGGCCGGCGGGTTTGGCGGACCCGGGGGAGATGAGCGGGGCCTGCGGTTCAGTCATGGCGGAGACAGGCGCATGGAGCTGGTGTAGGTGGCGGAGAGGGAGGTGCAATAATCTTCTAGGTCGAGAATGCTGCAAATGGGTTCGCTATGAAATTGAGACGAAGCTTGGAAAAAAAAAAAAAAAAAAAGGGGGCGAAGATTGGTGGAAGAGGTGCAGGAGGACAGTGGCAGGACTGCGGGAACACGGGACGGGGACGAGGGAAAAAAAAGGTGCCGGGCGGGGAGAGCCAGTCGGTTTGTCGGCCGCGGGAGGTCCGGTCCGTTTGGGGAGTGCCAGGCATGTTGACAACTTGACACCCTCCACCAGGTCAATCAGTGAGTCAATGGCTTTGGGACGGATTTAAATTCCAGACACTGAGAGCCAGCGAACGTGCTTTCTCTGCAGTTATCGTCAAGTCAGAGCAGTCGACATCAGTCTGTTTTGACTGCCTGGTAAGCTCTTCGAAGGTGATGGTGAACAGCGCCCCAGTGACTTGCAGGGACTCCATTGTGGGCGTTGGGTCGCTCGTGACCGTCATTTCCCCGGCGCTGCGATACCCATTCCGTGGATCGGATTTCCATTTCTCAATCAGAATTCTCGACGGTCTGATGAAAATCGTGATCACCACCTCGACTTGCAGATCTCCTTGTCGGGCTTGAGCCAGCCAAAAACACACATCCATCATCAATTGATGGCGTGTTTCCGTCTTGGCACACTCCAGAACAAGACTCGGGGGGCCCGACTTTTGTTGGACTGGGTACCAGGACTGATCTGGGCTCTTCACCTTTCGCGGGATTTCAAATCCAGCATCGACGCCCGCTCGAAGTACTTGTCGTTCATGGTGTGGAGGCCATCGGGCAACCAATTCCGCAAATCTCCCTCCAGCGGACGCGTGCTCAATGGATGGAATCATCAGGAGCCGGAGCGTGTGCGTGTCATAATCGAAGCTTTTACAAGATCCCAAGATCCCATGCTCGGAATGGAGGAAGTATGTTTCGAAGGTGCGTTGGTCAACATCGGTGAAAGTCATCATCGCATCCGCGCCTTCCTTTCCTGCCCGGGTGATCTCCTGCTCGCAAATCGCGATACAAGATCGGATTCCTTGAAAACGAGGCATCAGAACAGAGAACTCCGGAAGAGAGAGGGTGCGAGACCCGGGTGCTTCCAGTGCTGGACGACGAATAGATGTGTAGATGTGTAGAGGTGTAGAGGTGTTGAGGTGTAGTTGCGTTGTCGAGTAGTCAAGTCGGTCCTCACGGGCTCTGGACGACAAGCGCCTGGTGTGGACATCTCTCCCCGTCATGATGATCCGTGCACATTCGGCTTCCTGTTCCGCATCCTGTTGCGCTGCCTCTTGCTCTATTACTCTTTCAACCGTGGTCATTTCCCCACGCTTGTCTCGCCTGGCGCGCTTCCGCTCCCGCGGCTCCACTCCGTCGTTCCGGCCAGATCGACCATCTGCCCTGCCAGCGCCATCTCTTTCTCTCTCTCCCTCTAAGCCGCCTCGTCGCTCTCATCCCCCCAGAGTCCAGTCTCATCAATTCCACCAATTCCTCCAATTTCACGACGTCCACTCCATCCACTACGTTCATCACGTCCACCATGATTTCCGACGGCGATCTTTACCGACTGGCCATCTTCCTCGGCTCCTGTGCGATGATGATGATTGTCCTCTACCACTTCCTCGATGTGAACGCCCGCGAAGACCAGTCGCCCGCGCCCGCCGGGAAACCCACCCGAACGCCCACCGAATCCACATCCTCCGAGAGTGCAGGCACCTCGGCTCCCGCGGCCGCCAAAGCAAATTGAATGTCCCTGCCGGAGAGGAACTGGGGGCAGGAGGGGAGTGCGAAGAAGGGAAAAGGGAGAGGGAAGAGAGGATAAGTTCACCGTTGAAGGAGGGTGAATATGGATGCAGAACGGGAACATTCAGCCCGTGGCGCAGGGGCCCATGCAACCGTGGTCCCAACAGAGGAAAAGAGATATGCGACAGGAAAAGAGATATGCGACCCCAATGGATCAGGACGCAAAATGCAGTACACAAGTCATCAAGGGGTCGGGGGATCCAAATGTCAATGAGTGGATGTGAGGGGCACATGTATCATCAATACCCAATCGGCATGCCCTGGCGGGCTTTCGTTTTAATTTAGCTGGCTTCAATTTCATATTTTATGTGGTGTTTGGACAACACCATTCGTACGATCCTTTTCTACCATACTAGAGTGGATGACTCCACACAGAGACTCAATCTCAGCCAATGGCTATCAGATTTAGTGCAGGGACACAGCGGAGTTCGATTGGATTCCGACATGTGCCAAGATGGAATTGAAATTGCCAAGCAGCACATCCCAGGGGGCCACTAGTATGACAAGTTCTACCTTCATGGAGAGCGTCATGGGCTGAAATCAACAAGACATGTAGAGCATAAACAACGGGGGTATCACAAAGCTCAGGCCAGGCCCTCATATTCCCATCCAGTTCCGCCTAAACAATCATCTCCATATCGGGAGTGTATGCCTGATCCAGGTGGTGACTGGAAGCCTGTCGACCGGGGTTCGACAGGGCGAAATCATGGTGGTTGGACTCAGGGCCAATCTCTTCATTCCAACGAGTGCCCCCATCTTTCATGATACTGGCCTTCTGCTTGGAGGTCTGGACACCGTGAACCCGACTGAAAGTCTTGAGCGTGTCACGATCAGCAGGGAGTGTCATGGTCCCGGGGCGGGCGGTCCGGCTCAAAGGATTGAGCGGAGGTGGAGTAGATGAATTGTTTGCCGTTACTGATGGGACGCCATAGCCAATTAGACAACATCTCTTTTTCCTTGTTTGGGGGTGGATCATCACGACTTCACCACAAGGGTACATAAATCATAAATGCAAGTCATGAGAGGGCAAGTGGGAGGCGAGCAATTCAAGGTCCTTACCAGGTGCAGACACAACGGGGCCATCGCCAAGTGCCCAAGCCATGGGGCTAATGTGGGCCCGATAGATATGATCAATCATATCCGCGGCTGCTCGAGGAGTACTGTCTTGACAGCCCTGCCAAGCACAGACAATGTGATGTGGAATATGCACCTTGATCACGTGGGCTTTGATCGCTGCCAGGTTATGCAGTTCCGACCGACAATCGGTCCATTTGCAAGGGAAGACTTGGTATTCCGTAACAGGTCGGTCTGCTACCGGTCCCGGGGGGATCGCCACCTCAATAAGGTTGGCAGAATCCCTCTTCGGACGGCCAGGCTTCTTCTTAGGCGCCATTCTGTTGTGGGGCGATGGAGGAATGACAACCTGGGGCTGTGTAGGGCCGGCGGGAGTTGGAGTTTGTTGGGAAGCTTTGAGGCGGGAAGTCGGGGGTAAATTTGACCCGTTGGAGATGGAATTACAACTGACAGCGGGTAAGTTTACCGGCGCTGGTCTTACGTGCGTCGGCTGGACCTGAGATAAGCGGCCTTGAGGTGACCGAGACTCAGGTCGCCGGTCCTCAAATGGATCTGTCTCAGATGTATCTGCTGGAGCTTGCTTTGTTTGTGCTGGCGCAGATGATGCAAGCACGGATTCCGGTGTTGGTTCTGATATCGGGGCAGGCGGAGATAAAGGTGCGGGCACAGAGCTTGAGTGGGTCGGCGTGCGGCAAATAGGTGAGACAGACGGCACGATATGAGACAACCACGGCGGAATAGGTGAGTACGTGGTCGAGGCTGATATGGCGGTGTCGCGTGGACGGGAATGGTAGGGCGGAGGTTTGAATGGCAAAGTCCCCGATGAGGTGAGACGAGGTTTTGGAGCTGGAGTCGTAATCTCTGCAGGCGCGGTGTTAACGGGGTGCGCTTCGGGGCGCGGCAAGCTCGTTGTGGGGCCATCACGTGGTACCACCGGGTCGATCAGATCGTCCCAGCGCAAGGTTGCCAGATCTGTTGAATAGTCCACACAACCAAGATTCTTGCGCAGGATCTCCAAGTGCTGGTTCAGGAACCGCTCAGTGGGATGCCGATCGGCAATGATCAAAATATCTCGAGCAATAGTCGAAGGGTCGTAAGATATCTTGACAGCGGCGTGAGAGGGATCAAGCCGCTGGGCAAGATCGCTCCGTAAGGAGACCCAGTGGCGATGCGGAGATTTATGTACGTATTGCTCTAATTTCAATGAGCTCCGCTGTTTAGTTCTAGATTGCTTGGTCCCATCATGCAGCTTGCGCACTTTGGCAGGGGGTTGCATGGAAACAGGAGTAATTGAGTCCGCGGACGTGCCAAGGCCAACGGCCGAGGATGAAGGGCCGTTTGAACTCAGTGGGAGTTTATGGGCACTGGCTGGACCACCAACATAAAAGTCAGATCGCAATGGAGCCCCTGAACCGAGTGAAATGGAAGAGACGCTAGAGAACTGCGTTGAAGAGGGCACTGTTGCACGTGTTCCTTGATGGGCCGTAGGGGCCATATGTCCCTCGGAATCAAGGGCTGAATTGAGCGACGCATCTGGAACCGGGCTGTAAGAAATAGGTGGGGAATAGAATTTCCACGGCTGAACGTGTCGCACAGCTGATTCACCTTGGGGACGGGAAGTTTTTGGATTGTGAGGCCTTCCCAGTGGCGAAGGCAAATTTCCAGGACGTACGCTTCTAGGACGGGGGACTGTGAAATAACCGATTGGAGGACATCTGCGTGAGGGATCAGGAGCCAAGTAATTCGACGAGGTTGTTGCATTTTTCGGTATAGACAACCTTGGGGAGACTTGGGCTACCTCCCGGGAAGGTGCTTGATGAGAGGCCGAGATCTCCGAGGACAATGTGGGATTGGAGGAGGATAGGATTTGCGCTGTGGAGATTGGCACCGATGACTCCGAGGAGGAAGCCAATACAGAAACCGGCCAGGCTTGGTGTGTCGACTCTTGCCTTTGTTTCTTCAAATTCTGTGGCTGTGACAACGCTGCTGACGTAGTCTCGGAAGAATGGGTAGAATGCGCCCTTGCATACTGCTCTTGCTTTAGGCCTTCTCGGTATTGTGGTTGAAATTGTGGTTGAGGTTGCTGTTGCGGCCGAGTTGTTTGTATTGGAGGATGACAGGAATCCCATTGTTGCGGTAACTTCCATAGTGGTTGTTGATATTGCTGGTGTTGGTGTTGATTTCCCGGCGGAGGACTAGAATGCATACGAGAACGGAATAAAGTCTGGTTCATTTTGCCTGTCGAGGGCGAATAAGAAGATTGATTTCCTTGGCTGGACGGCGTAGTCTGTCCATGAGAATATCCCGATTGTCGATTGTGCAAATATGCCGCGGGGGAATTCGCGCCGCATCGGCCATTGACGGATGCATCTCCATGCCATGGCCCTGTCCGTGCCTGCCATGGCTGCCAGTCCATTCAGGTTGAGTAGATGACAAGAGACTTTGATACGAGTCAAGTTCGTTTATCTTACCGCCCATATCGCAACTGAGCTGCCTGGCTGATGGCTCCTGCCGATCACGACAGATTGAGCTTGATGGCGCAGGACGAGAAAAAAAACAAAGTTGTCTTGTGCCGTCGCGCCCGAAAATGCGTTGCTTGCATGGTCATCCGCCAGCAGCCAGATGAGTTTTGAATTTGCACAGCCAGCCTACAGGCTTGCGATGTTTCCAGTGCAGAGACAAGATGCCAAAGCCGTTCGTCGCGTTCTGATCGCCGTTCGTCGCGTTCTGATAGGCGCACTTCCGCGTCACCAATTCCGCGGGCGGAGAGAAAGCGCTGGCATTAAAGCGGGTCATGAAATGGGAACTTGGTACTAGCGTGGTCATGTGATATACCGCCCTGTCGCGCTAAAAAGAAATCTTTGGACTGGAGAATTTCCCACCTTTCCAAGCCACATCGGTCCAGGTCCATTTGCAATCAATTGATTAAATGACGATCATTTCAATGAACCGGAAACCCAATATGACCTACACAGGTGCCTCGGCTAATCATTCCATCTAATCCAAGTTCTCCAAGTTCGCACGACTCCCACAGCCAGGCCATGATCCTGAGCAAATCCAGGCACAGTTTATCAGAATACTGAAGCTTGAATTTCGATTCTCCGGCCATTTGACTTGGGCCTATTCCTAAGGGAGATTTATTTGAAATCATGTCACTAATTCTTTTTGCCTTTCCCCCCATGCATTTCCCATTGACTCCTCGTTCATTTGAGACATATTCTTGTTTTATTAGATCTCTGAACGTGTTCGCCCGATTATCTCCTCGTCAATCCCGTTTCGGCGGACTATGATGGTTGAAGAGGTAAACAACTGGCGTAGAAGAAATTGCAGAATCAGGTTCACTGGTCAAAAGACCAGCTGGTTTTGTCTCACTTGCAGACCGACACTGATGCCATATGGCTCGGATGACGTGGGTTTGATAGTGTAGGTACATCCATTGCCTTGTAGATCAACCGATAGGCAGACCCGGACTCCACTGTCTGGTCTCCTTGATATATGAATTATTGAAATTTAGTCTCAGAAAATCAAGCTTTTCAGTCAATCATCCAAAGACAGATCCAAATGATTACTTCGTAGACAGGTTCTAAAAGCCTTTTTGCTCCTCCCCCTATGCTCCCGTTGCATGATTAGATCAAGACCATGAAAAGCCTACATTCCATTTATCACTGATTGCAACCACCATGGACGATACATAGATTCAAAGATCCATCAGGCAGACTTCTTCAGTTCAAACTGCACCTGAGCTAACCGTCCCGAAGTTAGAAACGAAGGCTGCTAAATGAATGGCCGTCATCTTGACATCTTTCCATTCCCCACCTTGCTCTTGCTCAAAATAGTCTGTTTTACCATTCTTTTTCTTGGAGATTGACTTAGATAGTATTGCACCTAGAAAGCAAAAAGTAAATACTGAAGATTTGAGCTTAATGTACAGAAGAAGAATGCCAACGATGAAGCAGCCCCAAAAAAAAGAAACCGAACGAATACCATATATCATAACTCATCAGAGCTAAGGAATCAAACGAAAAAAAGAGTAATGGAAGGGAAATAGACGTTGCAGGGAAGCCAGAATTATGCTCGCTGGAAAAACTCGAGGTGGCAATCGCTCATGGGTCAAGTGGTAGACCGAATTCACTCGGACGTCTTGTGGCCAACACACTTGGACCATGCAGGGAGTCCACAGCCCATGCCGATAAACAGGTACAGCAAGAATACCACCACTACGCCAAGCAGGACCATCAGTTTGATGTTCTTCCACCACATCCGCCGCCGCAGGCCACGACTGCGGATTCGGAAGTCATGAGCACTGCCGCCCAGGCGGTCTGTCTTGTCAACTAGAAGATCGATTCGTTCTCCACGCTCAAGTACTCGCTCAATATTTTCTGTCATGATATCGCGGACGCTATCGATCTCACGGCGCGCTGTAGCAAGCGAGTCAGCTGGTGGTGCCGTGTTATACGTCTGGAGGAGAGAACGGAGCTCCGTATTGAAGGCTGCGCAGCCGTAAGCTGGAAGCGTAGAGAAATCGGTGCTGGAGGGCGGGTAGGTCGAAAGAAACTTCCGCTTCATTTCAAGGAGATAGGCAAAGGGGATACGACGGCCCTGCTCTGCGGAGGCCACGACTATGAAACTCAGGGGGGCGTAGGAACTGAGCTCTGAGCGACTGCTCTGGTCATCAGCCGGGCCGCCCGTTGGCGAGTCGGCGATGTAGTGAACGAAGAGCCGTTCATGGGTATAGGTTAACTTCTGGGACTTGTCATGGGATATTTTTGGGAGGATGATTGATGCGAGAGAAGATGCCGCAGTGGACGAAGTGCCGGGAGATGAGTGTTCGGCCAAGATTGTGGTACGATGCGCGATGCAGGAGCTAATATTGATCGATTCATGGTTAGATCTCTTGATTCCGGACGGCCATGATTTGATACTCACTAGAGCAAGAAGCTCGGGGACTTGGAAGAAGATGCCATAGCTGATTCAGTCCACGGCCACCGGAGCGGAGACGAGAAATTCAGATCCAGTCCAGGAGCCAACGATGAGGGGAAGTTGGCTGAAGCAGTTCCATAGCTTCGGCCAGTTGGGGGTGAATCCCGCTTAGTCATGTCATACCGTACCTTGCCTATTCGGGAAGTATATCGATCTGCTGGTCTAAATTGTACGCTTCGATTGTGTTATTCTCCCAAAGGGATCAAAGCATGGATATCTGAGATACTTATCACTGCTTAAATGATTTGCTAAATAGGAATTCCATGGCGAGGCATGGTGGTAATTCTGATTAGTGCCCGGAAGTATCATTAGAAGAGAATAAGTTGGTTTTTTCTTTTCAAGCTGTCTCAGATTATAAGGATCAGAGTTATTCTAGGTTATGTATCATTCCTACAAAAGAAAAGGAATTGAGATCACATGTTTTTGTGCCCTAACCATTTTATTGTCATATCTCATTATTCATTCAGAAGAAAAGAGCAGAAAAAGTGCCAACCGTCAAAAAAACACCAGTCAACCAAAGGACATATCAAAGTTATTTACGCGGGATTAACCAGCTCAAAATCAGGAAAATTGTCATCCTCATCGGAGTCTGGCTCGGGATGTTCCATGTCAATGTCGGATAGATTTAGAGAATCCATCACCACTGTGCTTGCGCCATCGCTCTCTTCGCCCTCGTATCCAATATTATCACCCAAGTCGATCGACTCTCCGGTTGCAGCTTGGTCGTCCTGCACACTGAATATGTCTGAATAGCTCTGAGATATATGGTCCTCATTCTCGTTCGCATCCGGTGTCTCTTCTAAGGAATCTACCGACATGAGATCTGAAGCATGAGAATACGTGGCGTGATGAGAGGCGCCATGGATGGTACTCTGCGAGTCGCTTGGATCAATATCACTGAAAGAGGTATCCGTGGAGGCAACGCTGCCTGTGTGCACGGAAGGACCTGGTGCAGAGAAGCCACCGGCATCCAATAGAGGAATATCGTGGTCTGCGAAGACTCCGCCGGTTCCATCGTCATTGCCGCCGGCCCATAGAGGCAAGAAACAGAGCTGGTTATTTGTCAAGCAGGTGAGGATATCTGTGGCATCCATTTGAATTGATGGAGATTCAGGCGAAAAATATACCTTCCGCGCGAAATCATTCACATGTTTTGATACCTGAACAAGGAAGGTATCCAAGTCGAAGAATCGCATTCGCAGACTGGTCGGAATGAGATCAGCACCCCAGAGTGTTCCCGAAGAATCCAAGCTGGGGCTTGTGGATTGTTGATCTGGTGGTGTGGTATCGAAGAATGGTTTGATAATGTCGGGTAGAGAAGGATCGTCATTGGCAGCTTGGATTGAGTTCAGAGTAAAAGGGTTGTCGTTTGAGCTCTCTGTCAAAGCTTCTAGGTCTGCTTCAGTCGGTGAAGATGCAAGATTACGGAAGTTCAGTGTCAGCGGCTTGCTATGCAAAGTATTGGGGGTGTCAGAGGGCCCGGGTGAAGCTTGAGGGGCTGGGTTAGATGTACGACTTCCATCCACGAGTTGTATCTTGACATCGCGTGAGCTTGAAATCACTGGGGCGGGTATTTTTGATCGAGTCCCTAAAACTGCGTTGAAGAAGCGAGTTTGTTGAATAATCCATTTCTTGGTAATGCGGCGAATTTCAGCGTGCTCTTGGCCTGAGAAGTTGGAAATATGCCGGCCAACTTCTGCGATAGAAGCGTGAGAACATTCTTGTAGATTATTTGGGGGCTTAGTAAAGTGCACGCTCAGGAGACGTTGCCAAAATCTTCTGCTCAAAATCCGTTGAAGAATAAAACCTGGATGGAACGTGCGATGGTCCTCTTGATCGCTTTCCGCAGATGCTACCGAATTCCAGGTTCGCTGTGGATCACCATTTGAGCATAGAATACCATAGATATGGTATCGGATATAAACTTCCAGCGAGGTGACGAACTGGTGTACCATCTTCTGATCGGCCGGGTAGGCAAAGCAATGCTGGGTAATCTGCCCAAACTCCTCAATTTCCGCCAGCCATTTCATACCAGTCCCCGTCAGATACAAAAAATGGCCGATGGTTTCGTCAAGGAAACTTTTGCTCGCATATTCAATTCGCTGCACTTCAGTGTCGTCCAAAAAGTCTGCGATACGGTTCTGAGTGTAGGCCTGCGCATATCCTTTGCGAGGCTGGAGCGCCGCCGATTGGACTAGATATCGAAGAGCTTCGTCTCCGACTAGGCATACAAATGCATCCTGACAAAGAGTCGGAGTTTTGATCTCACAAGCAACTCGGTAGGCAATCTCGGGGTGCATTTCAATGAAATGAGTGTTGGTTGAGTGGTACAGCCAGGAGATGATGTACCCACTCACAACGGGGATCGTTGCCACCTTGAATAGTTTTGCGACGGCAAAGAAGGTCCAGAACTTGCATGGAGTGTCCAGCGTTACGTTTAACCCCTCCAAAACATGGAGGATATGTTCGATTCCTTCGCGATGACGTTTGCCCGAGTATTCGACCGGTAATCCAGCCTGCGAATGCCGGTCTAGTTCCGTGGGATGAAGATGGCATTCCTCTTGCTCCTCGGCAATATCAGTCTCTTCCTGAACTTCCTGAATCTGAAGCTGTTCTTCATCCGCAAGGCTCTCGTCATTCACCAAGGAAGCGGCTTCGGGCTGCCGTTCGTCTTGGCCTCCCACGCAGGGTGATGGTAGCTTCCATCTACGCTTTTGCAGTGCCCAGGTTCGAATGCCCATGGGACAGGAGACTTCGGTCAGAATGATAATCGCATCGTCCTCCAGAGTCGGGGGAGTCAGATCGATCACATATTTGAATCCCTGAGGGAGCCGATCAGCAAAGCCTCGCTGTCTTCGCACTCGATTCTGAGATCGGGGATTGAACAGCTTTGCGAAATACGGTGAACCAGTCTCAAGTAGCGTCTGACTTCGCACTCGGAGTGGGATCGTTTGAGCCAGCAGGTGATTCTTGATGCGATCCTCGGGGGCGGGATCGATGAACACCAGCGTATCTGCATTGTCGAGCAGTAGGAGGGGTAGCATGGATTTGGCCTGCGCATCGCCCGAATGAGTTGATGAGTCTGTCTCCATTGAGGCTTCAGACTCTTGCGGGGAGGGGTTGTAGTTCATTTCCTCCCATGGAGAGACGCGAAGAGGATACGGAAAGAGACCTGATGCCATGGTGAAATGCAATCCAGTGGACTCCAGTCCATGCCAACGGGTACTTTGACTCCACGATAGGAATATTGACAAGGAAGAGGAGCAGGATGAAGGTAAAGAAAAGGAGGGGAGAGGCAGAAAAGCCAGCGTTTGCCGGGACATATGTTTCGGGAAACCAAGCAGCCAAGCCGCACAGGACGGCCGAGAGCAGCGCGAGAGAGGCTGAGTGCAGGCTGGCGGATGAGGCTCAACACAGATGCACCGACTATGCCCACTACTGCCACGGCTTCTGCCTCCTCCTCCTCCTCCTCCTCCTTTCTTCCTTGTCTCCTTTTCCTCCTGTTCCTCCTCTTCCTCTCTGTGATCCTCGATGACTCCGATGATGCTCTATTCTGCTGCCTGGCACTCTGACTGTCAGCCGCCGCCCCATAGCGCGACTTGGGCGTCTCTATTAATATTCTTGGGCGGGATTGTCGGCCAACCCCGCCCCGATCGACATGGATTTGGGTGGCTCGATCATTGGTCACATTGTGACCATGCAGGACAAGGTGGCGTGTACAGGTATATATAAAAGAGAGAGACGTGTAAAGTACAGCACATATCTACGGATGGGTCCCGCCCTCTTGGTCCACCGAGTGGGTCGGTATTCGACATCCAGAGCATCGAGTAGATGAGATCTAATATATAATAAGTACCAACATTGTTGGTACATATTGTAGGTAAATGGAGCCTTGGGGCGTGACTCCTTTGGAAGCAACACTCTTATGTACGTCTTTGTACATAACTTTATTGAATGACCGGCGTCCAATACGCATTCATAGAGAGAGAGGGGAAGCATCAGATAGTGGAAAGACAAATGCTGTAGTTGGTATCTGTGGAAGCAAGAGAATCAAATGTCCGCGCCATGTGTATAGACTCAAGAAACAAAATGCCACCCCGTGCCGTTCACTGTACAAAGGCGTGTATCAATGTACAAAAAGATCAAAAATGCGAGAAAGAGAACCCCTTAAAAGAAAAAAGCAATCTAGCCCCCAGATCCCAAAGGTCAATACAATTATCCGGAGGGTTGCGCATCATCGCCGTTTTATGGATCCGGGCGTTTCCCATCACGACCAGTCCGGCTTTCCTCCGAGTTGGGTCTGCGTTTCTTCAAGTTTGTTTCCTTCTTCTCCACCCGCTTCTTCTTCTCGCGTACCACCGCCCGAAGTTCATCAGGCTGGCTGCGGCTGCGGCTGCGGCTGGAGCCATGTCGGAGATCCTTCACCTCCTTGATTACCTCCCGGAATCCTTCTTCGATGTTATTCATTCGGGCCAAGACCAGCTTGCTGAGCATGTCTTGAGTCTGACTCGGTACATCGCGACGGAGTCCTCCCGTGGCAAAGGCCACCTGGGTGTTGAAGCTAGATGGCACAGCACCTGCAAAAGCCCCGGTCACCGCTTTATTGTCCCCGAGGTCCGAGCCGAGATCAAACAGAAGGGACCGCTGCGGACGGGCGGAAGTGGGCCGATCGGACATGTAGAGCCCATCAAGCTCGGGAACAGACATCGGATTTAACCCCAGAGAGGCGTTCCGCGCCAGGGCTGCAGTAAGCGGGGGGTACCTCTTCATCGTGCTTTGATCCACTGAAGTGGATACAACGGGCAGTTGATCATCCTCGGAGTCGCTCTTAGTTCGGAAAGGACTCGCTTGACCTTCAGAGCCAAGGTCGGGTGATCCAATAGGATTGTAGAGCATGGTGGCACCGGAAATATTTCGATGATGCTTCGGACGGCGCGTGGGACTACCACGGCGGGAAATGATTCTGGCCGTTGACGGGCGAGAACTATAGAACTTGGGGGTCGTCTTCTCGGTACCTCCGACAGGATTAGCGTTATCACTGATAGACCCCTTATCGGAGATTTTGTCATTAAAGTCATTATCATCACTGGTCAGCTCATCATCTCCCTCCATGTCGGTATGCTGGGAGAGCTGTCGAGTCCGTGTCGGGGATTTAAAGTCGCGGCGACGTCGGAAAGCCGGACTAGCAATATGGCTGACTCGATCTTCGGGATTGGATGCGACTGAACGGGTTGTCTCGGTAAAGTTTCGGCCATGTCCCGTCAGTGTTTTGCGGAAAGGGAATCGAAGCCGTCGAACCGGCATCTCGAGACGATCAGCCACTGAATCTTCGTCGTCCGGAGTATGAGCTGGACCAGAGCCAATCTCTTGCATCCAGTCTTTGATGACGTTATTATTCTCCTGTTTACGAACGCTGCTCAGCCCACGCATTCGATCATCACTGAAAGGCCGCCGAAACACCTCTTCTAGCGCTTGGTCCTTTTGATATGTTGCCACCGACGGTTCACGCACAAGCCGATGTGCGTGGCTACTGAACGCATGAAAGCGACTTGGATGCCAATTCTGCGCACGGCTGGGTAATTCAGGACGTCGTGTTGTCTCAACGAGATCCATAGGCTCCACGACTTGGCTGCTGAGTATTGTCTTCTCATACAAGCAGATTGTGAACAAGATTGGCATATGAGTGATCTTGATGATGGTGCGGTTCAAACGGATGAATTGGCGGAAAGGCATCATGTACCGAAATGGGGTGACAAGCCAGGCGATGATATTTGTGGGCGCCACATAGGAGAAAAGAGCATCCGACTTAACCATCGAGATAGTATTGACGGCAAACAGGAACTGATGCTCCTGATTGGCATTCTGAACAATTCTCATGAAAGAATTGGTGAGTACCGTAATGAGGATGGTGACCACCACAAAATGGCAAATGAAAAGAAAGATCGTCAAGATAATTCTTCCCAGCAGATTATACTCATCCCACATTGCCCATGCAGTAGGCGTAAATCCCATCAACATTTGAAATAATCCGTAGGCGACGGTCTTTGGAGAATTATCATTGCCAAAAGACAAGAATGCGACGAAGAAGCCGCTGCAGGCAATGATGATTAAAACAAAAACCGCAATCAAATCAGATGCCATGATGCGAAATGCAATCAGAAGCTGCGAGAAATAACGATAGTGATCCAGAATCGAAAATAAGCGAGGAAACAGGAGGACCGCATTGGCAGCGAGCACATCATATGCTTGATTGGCCATTTGCCGGTTTCGTGGATATGTCAAGAAAGCACCATAGATGCGGAGACAGTAATAACAGAAAAGCAACAGCAGAATTCCCAAATCGAAGAGATTCCAGAAGCTCATAAGATAGAGACTAAATCCCTGTTCGTTAAAACCTACAATCTCGTCCAGCATAAACCCAGCACTCCAGAACCAGAATATGACTTCCAGAGAGGTGATCTGCCGGCTACGCTGTTCGAGGACCGCCAGAAAGAGGCCCAGGAGGACAGCGAAGGAGAGAGTGGACAGAAATTGTCGATACCGTGGTACTCGTAATCTGGAAAGCTTGAATAAGGACGCCTCGCGGGGGTTGTACAGGGTCACCGAGCGCCGGAATGACGCTTGCCCGGAGGATGGCAGTGGGAGTCCATGAGGATCTGCGGACGTCCCGTAGTCCCGTTCCGCCAACGCGGGTCGATGGACACGTCGATGAAGGTTATCAGCCGTAGAATGGAAAACGATGGTTCCTGCCCAGATCGCCTCTAATTGCTGCACCACGACGGGATGGGCAAGAAATCGTTTCGCCTGCGCTCGAATTGCGACCTCAAGACAGGAAACTCGCGCAGTCCCTGCCAATCGCTTTCCAGACGGACGAGAAGCCCAAGTTGTGGTGGAGTCCTGTCCCTGGAGAGGATAGAATTCATAGGACAGGGCATCGATCAACTCTCGTGTGGTGTATTCTCGTAGCAACTTGATGGCGAGCAACTCGCTGACCATCGCTCGGGTCTGGCTGGCGCCGCTATTGCCCGGGTTGGAATGGATTTCTTTTTCGAATTGCAGACAGTTTGCCATCAAGGCATAGAGTGTGGCACGTGAAAAGTGTGCAGACATGATCTTCTGCTGAATCGGTTTGACCAAGAACTGAGACACCTGCGGCGACCGCAGTTGGTCCCACGTCAGGGTGGTTTCACATCGGGAGGCGATCAACGGGCGAATGGCATGGGTTAGCTCATAGACGGGGAGGGAATCTGCCTCAGCCAGATGATTTGGTCAGCATGAATCGCCTCTGAGGTATACTCTGCTCCTGGTCCCAGAATCCACAAACATGTCGCAGCCTGTCGAGGTATGGAAGATGAGAGAATGAACCTACCCAAATGCGAAGCCGAGAAAATGGGCAGGAGGGGACTCGATTCCAGCTGAGCTTGATCCTCATCGTCCTCCTCTTCATGCCCTCCCCAGTTTTCCTCCATATCTTCGTCAATCTCCTCGAGCTCGGGCGCGTCTTCGTCCTCCGGGTCTCCACCCGGTCGCCCTCGCGCTGGCCCGCGTCGCCGAGCCGCTCCAAACCATGGCGACGAGCTCTGATCGGGGCCAAAGGGGGAGGAAAAGGACATTTGATCCAACTGCCCGCGCCGCCCTTTCGGACGGAGCAGAGAAGCTAGCATGGTTGGCGTTCGACTAGGAGCATCGAGCACGAGGTCGAGGCGGTCGGGGATTTCGGTTAGCGCATCGCGACCGGAAGCAAGTGACCAAAAAAAGTGGGTAAGGTCCAGCAGGCCCAGCAGGTTCAGCAGGCTCGGTAGCTGCAGAAGGCAGGGAAGTTAACATTCATGCACGTAGAATAGAGTACAAGAAACTGGTTTGTTGGTCACATTGACCAACTGGGCCGGGAGGGATTGACCGAGGGTATCACGATCAATGGTCGCCCTAGCATACTTGGAGCTCTCACGGACTGGGGGGTGGGAAGGGACCAGGATGGAGGGATCGATGGGTCTTGTTTCGTCGGCGGCGTTAAGTTCGGCAGTCGACTTTAGTCGCTGTAGTCGCTCCAGTCACTCTTCTCACTGGTCCTTCGCCGGCCCTCGCGCGCTCCGCACGTCATTGCGCAGGCGCACGGGACCGCGCAATGATGTATGCAGAATGTAGGTATCTCTTACCTAGGAAGGATCATGGTCAGATGCGGGCTATGCACTCGGTCGCCCATATCTTCGATACGCAAATGCTTATGATTGTGTCTTACGTTGTCGACGGTGCGACATACGTTTATCTCATGTTTCAAGTCCCAATCAAACAAACTGTCCTTCAGGAGGAGAAATTAGCATTTGTCGAGGATCAGAATGTCGGCATGAGAATCAAATAAATCACTGCGACTACAACGGTCGGACGTTACATGTGACGTCTGTCAATGCCAGCGAGCAAAAATGATGCCGTCCTAGAGCTAAATATGCACATGTTGTTCCTCTCTATCCGTGGAAGAGAGCGGACCTATGTCCATGTAGCTATGGCTGTATTTTAGACATGCGATACGAGAGTTGTAATTTTCCAAGTTTAGAACGTAGACAATAAAAGGATGAATCACACTCGGGGATAGATATTCTAAGTCCATCAATCCCTCCCAATCTGCCTTCCATCTCCCCGTCTTGAGAATGCTGGGAGGTGCTGAGCGCTCTTCTATGAAATGGGCCACCGCAATCCAAAATGAGACCGCAATATAACGAAGCCGAGATCGCTCGGGTATGCTGGCAAGCCCAATATCTTCGTTTTGACAGTGTATTATGGTAACCCCGAAGACGAAACGAACCTCAGTCATCATCAGAAGTAGCTTTGGGTAAGGCCGCGCCGCCATCCGACAAAATGTACCCATTTTTTTGAAGCGCCTTCCTCAATTCTGCTCTCATGAAATCCATGGCTGTGTGGCCATTGGCATTTTTAATGTGCGGATCGGCTCCATGCTCGAGCAGAAGCTGGACATTTTCCACCAATCCACTCCTCGCTGCAAAGTGTAACGGGGTGGCTCCGAACACGTACTGCCTATTTAGCAACGAGTCAAATGAATCAGAGGAGTCGCTCTGGCTGGCAGCATCACTGAAGCCAGCACGCGAATCATTGTCGGAATCATTGTCGGAATCATTGTGGGAATCATTGTCGGATCTCTGATGGCCAGGGGTGGAGGTGTTGTCATCATTTTCACTATTTCTTGAATCTTCATCGTCACTAGATCCACTCGGGTCTCTTCCACTGGCTGAAGTAGTGTTGGCCTTCGATGACCTGATTTCAAGAGATGAACTTTCAGACTCATTGATGCTCCACCGGTCTTCGGCAGTATCTTGATTCTCCATTCGAACGTACTTTGATGATTTTTGGAGCTGGAAATTGACATCTGCAGTTTCCGAGTCAAGAAGCATCTGTAAGAATGACAGGTCGTCGGTTCTGGTTCTAGCTGCAGAATGGAGGACAGAAATCTCTATCGGGTAACTTTCATCCTTCACACCAAAACAAACATCAGCCCCGGAGCGGAGCAACAGTTGGAGTATCTCTTTGTATGAAGCTTCATCTTCTTCACTGACTGCTTGATTTGAAACGCACATCACGAATGCTGCGAAGAGCGGTGTTAGCGAACTATGTGGGGGAAAGTTTATCTCGGCTCCACGTTCGATCAGATATTTAACCATTTCGAGATCACCGCCAACTGCAGCCATCGCTAGAGGGGTTCCCGAAAATGGCTTGACTTCAATACTTCCGCCTCCGTCGGAAACATCATCGTACCACGGTTCCTCCCATTCATACGCATTGATGTCTGCGTTAGCTTTTAAGAGAAGCTCCACGGCTCTTTGGGAGCTCTGGACAGCGCGCGCAAGGGGCGTCGCCCCCGGCCATCAGGCTTGTTTGGGTCTTCGCCATGTTCCAGAAGGGAGGCAAGAACATTCGGAAAATCGAATTGCGCAGCAATATTCAAACTTGTCGTCGTCAAAGGGGCATGATTCTCGTCCGAGCGTTGGTGTATGGTATACCATGTTCTGAATGCCGGTGTATTCGCGCTGCAGAGGGACAACATCGACGGCATCCATTGTTGATCATTATCTAGTTCAGCAACGCGACAGTGGTTCATCCAATTCATTGCGGCATACCCTAGGAATGGATTATCCTTGACATATTCAGAAATTTTCTTGTGAGGTTCATCAACATCGTCATTGTCGTCATCATCACCATCATCATTTATGGTGAGTGGGAATTTGGAAAAATGAGTGAAAGAAAGCAGAGTGATGCATATCTTTGCGAGTAATGTTTCCGAATCTAGCCGACTGAAACTGTGTTTCCAAGTCTCACTGGTTTGATCCATATCGTCATCCTTCATCAGAAATTCCTTGGCCGTTTGGTGAATGAGAAAGATGGAGCCATTGTTGATGGTCACGAAAAGACCACAAACATTTTTAATTCTCATTTCAAAGGCGTCTGACCTTTCAATTCCAATTTCCTCATATGAGTGATATTCAAAATCATTTGCAAGAGCAGTGGCTATTTTCATATCATCAACCGCCAAAGGCTCCCTAGCTGCTAGAATGATATGCAGGAGCTGCCTTGCAAGGTCTGGGTGGCGGCATCTCTTTAGGATCGCATCGTAAGCATCAATCAAACTTCGCGGCAAGGCTGAGATGATCTTTTTCAGTTCTCGTTTATTGGCTGGTCGTTCACTGAGGCGAATCTCCTCCATTATCAGGCTTAGCCACAGATATGTCCTATTGTCCACTGCATGTAATTCCTTAAGCAGGTATTTTGTTGCCTGTTCGTCAAACCCCCTTTCAGCAGCAAGCTTTGGGATTTTGGCATCAATGACCACATCAATCTCTTTCTTGATCTTTGCGGACTCATGATCTCCTGATAAGTGAATTGTAGGGGCTTCCTTCATGAGGTCATGAAATTGCGAGTGAATATGGGAATAAGGACGGCTAGTTAGAAGGAACTTCAACTTGGGCCGGCCATTAATCTTGGAACCGTCCTTAGCCTCGCGGTAGAATTTGGTTATTGTTTCAATTAAAAGGAATCGATCGTCGTCATTGCATTCATCGAGGGCATCTAGTATGCACACAACTTGTCCGACAGCGGGATCGGCAGCTGCTTTGCAGAGGATATCAAACATCTCATCAAATAAGTGTAATAGCTCCTTTCCATTCAAATAATAAGCCATGAGAGCATGTTGGACCAGGGATGGCAACGCCGAGAAAAGTTGATGCAAAATTGCGCTAATTGCGCTAATAGCTTTTCTCTGGTAAGGTGAAATGTCTTTGAAGAAGAAATAACAGACTGCAGACTGCTTCTGATGGCTCAAGGTAGCCAGGCCCTCATCAATGATTGTCTTTGCTAAAACGGATTTACCCGAGCCAGGCTTAGCAGATAGCCAAAGAAGATCAGGCCCTTCGTTCTCTCGCCAATCAAGAAATTTGTCATTCTCCAGGAACCATTTCCCGGTTTCCAAAACCCTTTTTGACGTTCTGTTTTTCTGATTCTCGTACGGATTCGATTGTCGAAAAAGCTGTACACACTTGCGCTCCTCGTCGGTCTGACGCCAAGTAGATTGCATAATGGCCTGCTGCTCAATGTCACTGGTCATTTTCTTCAAATCTTGTTGAATTCCCTGCAGACCGAGTTGCATGTTGTGCTCACTGGCGTGCAGAGCTTTCTCAATCTGCTCACGACTCAAATCTTGAGCGAGCTCCGTGCATTTTGCCTCAAGAGTCTTGATTCGACTGGTTAGGCTCATCCAGTCATCAGCTTTGAGAACATCTCGTCCGTAACGATTAGCCCAAGTGTTGGAATGCTGTCGCACAAATCGGATCTGGAACTCGAGGATAGTCTTATAAAGACCCACTGCTGTATCCTCAAAGTCTTTGACAAGCTCTATACTATCAGGCTGATAGGTCTCCCGAGTTAACCCAGAGTTTCCTTGTCTGATAAGTCTCTCCATAACCCTCAATCTGCGCACCGCAAAGGGTATAGCCTCAAGGCCCTCATAGGCAGCCGACCTCTGTTCTGATGGATTCAGAAGAAACTAAGATGCAAGTCAAAGACATGATCGGACATTCCTGATCAGTCACCGGGACATACCGGCAAGAAAATGCACACTCCAGCCCACGCTAGTGCGGCGTGTGGCTCAGTACTGACAGCTGAGGCTACGAAATCCTTGGCTGCAACCACAATCTTGACAGCTTTGTCAAACTGATCCCTGACGTCCACGAACTTGCCACCAATATTGACTTTCCAGTGTGTTAGATCGACTTCTTCGACCTTGCGCGTTGCTATTTCCCGTAGCTGCTTCTCACGTTGATAAGACCCGGCAGGCGCTAAATACCGGTAGCGTCAGACGGGTAATTTTGTGGCAGGAATCTTATAATCTCACCTAGATGATTACAGGTTGAATCGCCATTTCCTCCCTCCTGATATAACAAGATCTCTTCGTATTTTTCCTTCAGTTTTGAGTCTTCTCTGCCGAGGATCGCGTACGCCTCATCCCATAAGTCCCGGGGCGTGTGGTCATCAGAAGCAACTCTAATATCGGAACTACAAGTACCCAATTGTACATGATTACTGGGCGCAGTTGATATGCTATCTTTTTCGTCGGTCTGTACTGTCAATGGTGATGATGATGGTGACGGCGATAGTGAGGTAGGCGTCCCTTTTCCATGAGAGGAACGCAAGCTCTTGAAGAGGGTTCTTATGCCCATCGCAGAAATGTGTATGTTGCCCTGGGGAGATCTAGAATAGAACCCCGGGCCTCAACAATGGATACATAATATCTCGAGGAGAAAGATTCGGCGGGGTATCAGCCTTTTCATTCGTCTGACACCCCTAATTTAGCGGTCTTGGCGCCTCGATTACCGCTTTACTGACTATTTCATCGGCCATTTGGTCTCGGTACATCAGACATTCCGGAAACAAATCGCAAATACTAGCTCGCAAATATCAACTGACGATGTTTTCGAAAGAGTCTGGGCTTTGCAATTATCGGGATTTGTGCTGCATTCCCTATAATGCTATACTTGCACTGGTAGCAATAATGACATATTAGCGCTTCGACGCTTTTGCAAGTTGAAAGAACCTCCCACAATTCTCTGAGAATACTGGTGTTCAAGTTATCTGAATCTTTGAGGACAAAGGCAGGTCTAAAATATACGATCACCATGTTCCATCCAACCCCTCAACCCCTCAGGATTCTCCCTCTCCAATCATATCACTTAATAATGGACTGTAGAGCATGATAATATCGGCAAGGCGAGACTATCGCACCTTATCAGTTCACCGCCTGCAAGTGGTGCAGTCTCAATTGATGCAGGGAGGGGCAGAATTACGGAGAGGGAAATGAGAGGGAAAAAGAGAGAAAGCACCCATTGCAGGTTTGAATGAGCTAAATAGACCCTTCAATTCAATCGAACCTGGCTCAATGGCTTAATGATGCTCCACCAAGGAGCTAATTTTTTTTGCTGCTCAACCAGCGATCATCGTCATGGAAAACTCTGAGGCGGTGAGCCGCTCCCACCTCCGGAACCGGTGGGCCCTCGGAGGCACGAAAATTTTATTCTGCCACACTCGATCTCTTCTTCCTTTTTTCATATCTCAGCTCTTGCAGCTGCATCTCTCTTCTCTCTAATACCCCCCCCCCTCCCCCCTCCACAGCCCCCCAAAAAAGGAAAAAATCACACACCAAATCTCTGCAAAAGAACAAAATTGTCCAGAAAACTTCTGCTGGCGGATGCTGAGCTAGAGTGACCCTGCACTCGCCCAGATTCGTCCTCGAGAGGACTTGTCCCCTCATTTCTTCCCCCTCCAACTGCAATGTCCAAGCCAGTTTCCAACGAGGAAACTTCCTTGCCTCTGAGTCCGCAAGCGGGCGGCGCTGTGGCTTACACCAACACCAAGGACTTGCTTCCCACAATGGATGCTGTCAATGGCGCTGTGATCACCCCGGCCTCCATCCCTGTCCGGGGTGGCAGTGATCGCCTGGTCGCCCTCGAGCTGGAGGATGGCACCGTCTACCAGGGTTACAACTTCGGTGCGGAGAAGAGCGTGGCGGGTGAATTGGTCTTCCAGACCGGTATGGTCGGCTACCCCGAGTCGATCACCGACCCCTCATACCGCGGCCAGATTCTGGTCATCACTTTTCCCCTCGTCGGTAACTACGGTGTCCCGTCGCGGGAGCAGATCGATGACCTGCTCAAGCTGCCTACCTACTTTGAGTCGAATCAAATCCACGTTGCGGCGCTGGTGGTGGCAACCTACGCTGGCGAGGATTTCTCACACTTCTTGGCTCAGTCCTCCCTGGGCGAGTGGCTCAAGGAGCAGGGCGTCCCCGCCATGCACGGCGTCGACACCCGTGCGCTGACCAAGCGCATTCGCCAGAAGGGTAGCATGCTGGGCCGTATGCTCCTCCGGAAGGCCGGTGATGCCGACGCTACTGGTATCGAGGGTGCCGAATGGAAGTCCCACTTCGAGGAAATCGAGTGGGTGGATCCGAACACTAAGAACCTCGTCGATGAGGGTGAGTCATCCTGGATATTGATGAACTACTATTTGCGACGAAACAATACAGGATGAAGAATTGATTCTAACTCCATAATTTCTCTGATGCAGTCTCCATCCGCGAGCCCAAGCTTTACACTCCCCCGCAGATGTTGCTCTCAAGCACCCCTCGGGCCGTGGGGTTCGAGTTCTCTGCTTGGATGTTGGTATGAAATACAACCAGCTTCGCTGCTTGCTCAACCGTGGTGTTGAGGTCATGGTCGTGCCCTGGGACTATGATTTCCCTAAGCTGGCTGGCAAGGACTACGATGGTCTCTTCGTGTCCAACGGTCCCGGTGACCCAGCTACTCTGACCACTACCATTAATAACCTCGCCATGACTTTGAAGGATGCTCGTACCCCCGTCTTCGGTATCTGTCTGGGTCACCAGCTGATTGCCCGTTCCGTGGGCGCCACCACTACCAAGATGAAGTTCGGTAACCGTGGCCACAACATCCCTTGCACTAGCATGATCTCGGGCAAATGTCATATTACCTCGCAGAACCACGGTTTTGCTGTCGATGCTTCCAGCTTGCAGGATGGCTGGGAGGAGCTCTTCGTCAACGCCAATGATGGTAGCAACGAGGGTATCCGCCACACCTCCCGTCCCTTCTTCAGTGTCCAGTTCCATCCCGAGAGCACTCCCGGTCCCCGTGATACCGAGTACCTGTTTGATGTCTTCATCAACACCATTCAGAGCACCATTGCTTCTTCTGAGGCTCTGAACAAGCCCGTCGAGTTCCCCGGTGGCATCAAGGCTGAGAACGTCAAGGCCGCCCCTCGTGTTTCTGTGAAGAAGGTTCTGGTTCTCGGCAGTGGTGGTCTGAGCATTGGACAGGCTGGCGAGTTCGATTACTCTGGCAGTCAGGCCATCAAGGCTCTCAAGGAAGAAGGCATCTACACTATCCTGATCAACCCTAACATTGCCACGATCCAGACCTCCAAGGGTCTGGCCGACAAGGTCTACTTCCTTCCTGTCAATGCCGACTTTGTTCGCAAGGTCATCAAGCACGAGCGTCCCGATGCTATCTACGTCACTTTCGGTGGTCAGACTGCTCTTCAGGTTGGTATCCAGCTCAAGGATGAGTTCGAGGCTCTTGGTGTTAAGGTTCTGGGCACTCCCATTGATACTATCATCACCACCGAAGACCGTGAATTGTTCGCGCGCAGCATGGACTCCATCAACGAGAAGTGTGCCAAGTCTGCTTCTGCCTCGACCCTCGAAGAGTCATTGAGGGTTGTGGAGGACATCGGATTCCCGGTCATTGTCCGTGCTGCCTACGCTCTGGGCGGTCTTGGCAGTGGTTTCGCCGACAACATGGACCAGCTGAAGGAGCTTTGCACGAAGGCTCTTGCTGTGTCCCCGCAGGTCCTGATTGAGCGCAGTATGAAGGGCTGGAAGGAGATTGAGTACGAAGTTGTCCGTGATGCCCAAGACAACTGTATCACTGTCTGCAACATGGAGAACTTCGATCCTCTTGGTATTCACACTGGTGATTCTATTGTCGTTGCCCCCTCGCAGACTCTTTCCGATGAGGACTACAATATGCTGCGTACCACTGCCGTTAACGTTATTCGCCACCTTGGCGTTGTCGGTGAGTGTAACATTCAGTACGCTCTGAACCCCTTCTCGAAGGAGTACTGCATTATCGAGGTCAATGCTCGTCTGTCTCGTTCATCTGCCCTTGCCTCCAAGGCTACTGGTTACCCGCTTGCCTTCATCGCTGCCAAGCTTGGCCTGGGCATTCCTCTTAACGAGATTAAGAACTCTGTTACCAAATCCACTTGTGCATGCTTCGAGCCCTCCCTCGACTACTGCGTCGTTAAGATTCCTCGCTGGGATCTGAAGAAGTTCACCCGTGTCTCCACTCAACTTGGCTCTTCCATGAAGTCCGTCGGTGAGGTTATGAGCATAGGTAGAACTTTCGAGGAAGCTATTCAAAAGGCCATTCGATCGGTTGATTTCCATAACCTCGGTTTTAACGCGACCGATGCTCTTATGTCTATCACTCATGAGCTTCAGACTCCTTCCGACCAGCGTTTGTTCGCCATTGCCAACGCTATGGCTGCTGGCTACACTGTCGATGATATCTGGAAGCTGACAAACATCGACAAATGGTTCCTCAGCCGGCTGAAGGGTCTGAGCGACTTTGGCAAGTCTATGAGTGCTTTCAATGCCACAACCGTGCCTGTTCCGATGATCCGCCAGGCTAAGCAGCTTGGTTTCTCTGATCGTCAACTTGCCAACTTCCTGAGCTCTAACGAGCTGGCTGTGCGCCGTAAGCGTGTCGAGGCCGGTATCACTCCCATCGTTAAGCAAATCGATACCGTCGCTGCGGAATTCCCGGCTGTTACCAACTACCTTTATCTGACCTACAACGCTTCGGAGCATGATCTGACCTTCGACGACCACGGTATTATGGTTCTGGGATCTGGTGTTTACCGCATTGGTTCTTCCGTCGAGTTCGATTGGTGTTCCGTGCGCACCATCCGCACTCTGCGCGAGCAGGGTCACAAGACCATCATGGTTAACTACAACCCTGAGACTGTCAGTACCGACTACGATGAAGCCGACCGTCTGTATTTCGAGAACATCAACCTCGAAACTGTCCTCGATATCTATCAGCTGGAAACCTCTAGCGGCGTGGTTATTTCCATGGGTGGCCAAACCCCTAACAACATTGCTTTGCCCCTGCACCGCTTGAACGTCAACATTCTTGGTACTTCTCCCGAGATGATTGACAGCGCCGAGAACCGCTACAAGTTCTCGCGCATGCTTGACCGTATTGACGTGGACCAGCCTGCCTGGAAGGAGCTGACCAGCATTGACGAGGCTCGTGAGTTCTGCGACAAGGTCGGCTACCCTGTTCTTGTGCGTCCCTCGTATGTGCTTTCTGGTGCTGCCATGAACACAGTGTACTCCGAGCACGACCTGGCCAACTACCTGAACCAGGCTGCGGATGTTTCCCGGGAGCACCCCGTTGTCATCACCAAGTACATTGAGAACGCGAAAGAGATTGAGATGGACGCTGTCGCCCGCAACGGTGTTATGGTTGGCCACTTCATTTCCGAGCACGTTGAGAACGCTGGTGTCCACTCTGGTGATGCTACTCTCATTCTGCCCCCTCAGGATCTCAGCGCCGAGACTGTGCGTCGCATCGAGGAGGCTACCCGCAAGATTGGTAATGCTCTGAATGTCACCGGTCCTTACAACATTCAGTTCATTGCCAAGGACAACGATATCAAGGTCATCGAGTGCAACGTTCGTGCTTCGCGTTCGTTCCCCTTCGTCTCCAAGGTCATGGGTGTCGACCTGATCGAGATGGCTACCAAGGCCATGATCGGCATTCCCTTCACCGAGTATCCCCCCGTCAAGGTTCCAAAGGACTATGTCGGTGTCAAGGTCCCGCAATTCTCCTTCTCCCGTCTCTCTGGTGCCGATCCTGTCCTAGGTGTTGAGATGGCCTCCACTGGCGAGGTCGCTTCTTTCGGTCGTGACAAGTATGAGGCCTATCTGAAGGCTCTGCTGTCTACCGGCTTCCGCCTGCCCAAGCGCAACATCCTATTCTCTATTGGTTCTTACAAGGAGAAGTTGGAGATGCTGCCCTCGATCCAGAAGCTGCACAATCTTGGCTACAACCTGTTCGCCACCTCTGGTACTGCCGATTTCCTCAAGGAGAACGGTGTCCCGGTCAAGTACCTTGAGATCCTGCCTGGTCAGGAGGATGACATCAAGTCTGAGTACTCTCTTACTCAGCACTTATCCAACAACCTCATTGATCTGTATATCAACTTGCCATCCAGCAACCGCTTCCGCCGACCGGCCAACTACATGTCTAAGGGTTACCAGACCCGTCGTATGGCCGTGGACTACCAGACTCCTCTGGTCACCAACGTCAAGAACGCGAAGATCCTGATTGAGGCTATTGCTCGCCACTATCCCTTGAACATCCAGACCTCTGATTTCCAGACCAGCCACCGGACTGTGGTTCTCCCGGGTCTGATCAACATTGCTGCTTTCGTCCCGGGTCTTGCCACTCCTGGCTCCAAGGACTTTGAGCAGGTTACCAAGGCTTCCATCGCAGCTGGCTTTAGCATGATCCGTGTGATGCCTGTCGGTGTTGACAGCTCGATCACCGAAGCCAGTGACCTGAAGGCTGTTCAGCTGAACGCCCAGGACCAGTCGTACTGTGACTTTAACCTCTCCGTTGCTGCCACTGCCACCAACTCAGATCAGATCGTCCAGGTGACTAGTGAGGTTGGCTCTCTCTTCATCCCCTTCAACCACCTGTCTGGCAACATCAACCAGGTGGCCACTGTGACCAACCACTTCGGAGCCTGGCCCTCGAGCAAGCCTTTGATCACCGATGCCAAGGGCACTGACCTTGCCTCGATTCTGTTGCTGGCGAGCCTTCACAGCCGCAACATTCATGTCATGAGCGTGACCACCAAGGAGGATATCAACCTTATTGCTCTCAGCAAGGAGAAGGGACTGAAGGTTACCTGTGATGTCTCCATCTTCGGCCTGTTCCTGTCTCGTGAGGACTACCCGGCTTGCGGCTCTCTGCCCTCTGCTGAGGACCAGAAGGCTTTGTGGGACCATATGAGCACCATCGACGTCTTCTCTATTGGCAGCATCCCCTTCCAGCTGGCCGGCAAGGAGGCCTCCCCCGAGGTCGGCATTGCCGAGTCCCTCCCGCTGCTCTTCACTGCTGTAGCAGAGGGTCGCCTGACTATTGAGGACATCACTGCTCGTCTCTACGACAACCCCAAGAAGATCTTCGAGCTGCACGATCAGGCTGATGCCTCTCTTGAAATCGAGGTTGACCGGCCTTACGTGTTCCAGAGTCCCCGCGGTGCTTGGTCTCCTTTCAACGGCAAGGTCATGCGCGGCTCCGTTCAGCGTGTCGTCTTCCAGGGCAAGACTTCTTGCCTTGACGGCCAGCTTTCCAAGGATGCCAGCAAGGGCACTGATATGTCCTCCCACCGCATTATCCCTACATCCCCTGTGCAGAAGCCCACTACCCCCATGGTTCGCCCTGAGAGCGCACTTGACCGCCAGCTGTCTGTTTCCGGTACTCCTGGCCGTCACGCTCGTGCTCGCGCTCTGGATGCCTCTGTTCCAGTCGGCGAGCTTGGACCACCCCTGTATGGTCTTTCCGGTCAGGCCTCGTCCCCGCTGTATGAGATGCTTTCGCGCTCTCCTTTCCGTCAGAAGCATATCCTGTCCGTGAGCCAGTTTACTCGCGCGGATCTTCACCTGCTTTTCACTGTCGCTCAGGAGATGCGTCTTGGTGTTCAGCGCCAGGGCGTCCTTGATCTCCTCAAGGGTCGTGTTCTGTGCACTCTCTTCTACGAGCCTTCGACGCGCACCTCAGCTTCCTTTGATGCGGCTATGCAGCGCCTCGGTGGTCGTGTTATTCCGATCGCCACCGAGCACTCTTCCACCCAGAAGGGCGAGACTCTCCAGGATACCATCCGCACTCTCGGCTGCTACGCTGATGCCGTGGTCCTGCGTCACCCCAACTCCAACAGCACCGAGGTTGCGGCCAAGTTCTCCCCCGTGCCTGTCATCAACGGTGGCAACGGATCCGTTGAGCACCCCACTCAGGCCTTCCTAGACCTGTTCACCATCCGTGAGGAGCTCGGCACCGTCACCGGCCTGACCATCACTTTCACTGGTGATCTCAAGTATGGTCGCCCTGTGCACTCCCTGATCAAGCTGCTCCAGTTCTACGACGTCCGCGTGCAGCTGGTCTCCCCCAAGGAGCTGGCTTTGCCTGAGGAGATCCGTCAGCAGCTGAAGGCGTCTGGCCAGCTGATCAGCGAGTCCGAGGAGCTGACCCCGGAAATTGTTGCCCGCTCGGATGTCCTGTACTCCACTCGTGTGCAGAAGGAGCGCTTCTCCGACCTCGCCCAGTACGAGCGTCTGAAGAACAGCTTCATCATTGACAACTCTCTGCTCAAGCACGCCAAGAGCCACATGGTTGTCATGCACCCTCTACCTCGTAACGCCGAGGTGGCCGAGGAGGTCGATTTCGATCAGCGGGCTGCCTACTTCCGCCAGGTAAGATCCAAACCTATGATTCTCCCCCCGTCCTTGAATTTAACTGACCCTTTATTACAGATGCGATATGGCTTGTACTGCCGCATGGCGCTGCTAGCCCTGGTCTTGGCTCCTTAATTGTCTTTTTGCTTCATTTACCGTCCTATCCGATCTTACCCTTTCTGAGACCGGGTTTAAAAGCGCGCCATTCGATGTTCCATCACGCAAGACATGTCTTTCATTGTTTCCTGTTTTGACTTGAAAAGTTTCTCCGTTCTGTCAGGATATCTTTCCGTAGATGCAGCCGATAGAACGCGAGCTGTATAGATTAGACAATCTCCGTTTCATGAACCTGATGACTCCGTGCTATGTATGTCTGTATATTATGTGGTTTATTATGTGTGTTATGTGTCATGTGTTATGTTTTATGCGTTATGTGCGTGATGTGCGTTATGTGTGTGTTGTGTTTGTGTGGCGTGTGTTGCGTTCGGTTGATTTTTTGGGTGGTTTGGCTTGTTTTTAGGTGTTGCATTCGGGGTTCTCTGGGCATTTGATGGTTCTTTTTCCTTTTCTTTTCTGCTTTATACCAGCTGATTACCAATTTATTTACTCTTTTTGCCTTGGAAATTTGCCTCTTCTCTCCCCCTTTGGTTGCTGTTCAAGTTTTTATGTGTGAAGATAAAGTGGGTCCGGCCAATTCCGGCCAACGGGCACATTCACGGCGAGTGGAGTCTCAAAAGTGGTGGTCTCCATACACAATGCTATTGCTACTAATGTTGTAAAACTCCAAGGCGCTTGCAGTCAGTTCGCTTAATGACTCAAATTGAGAATGTCAATCTTTAGTGACTCAATCTTATCTTTGATGGCTATTTCTATCCTCTTATCCGGGTTTATTCTTGCTCTTGGTCGTTCCGACCTATCGCGGCGACGTTGTCACATATTGCTCGCTTGTAATTTATGTCTATATCAGATCCAAGATTGAGGATATCACAGCTAGGCACAGTTCGTACCCTTTATTCTATGGTTTCCATCTTTTTCTCGTCAGAAGACGTCCAAATTCGGTATGATATTACTAAATGCGAGACAAACACCACATCTTTGCAGCAGAAGCGGATTCTCGCGCTCATTTCCCAATTGTCTATAGAGTATTGCGCGTGTAATCCCATTATAAAATGTACAAACTTGGGAATTTCTCAAATATCTCGCCAGATATCAATTGACCAGACTATCGCCGGGCCATGGAGGCAAAGTCACCCGCATCTGGTAAACTCTCGTCAACGAATCCAAATTTCCTATACAAGGACGCCCCGGCAGTAGACGCATCCACATATACGCCTACCCCATCCTGGTCAGCAAGTTCACAGCCCCATTTTACCAGCATAGACCCGAGTCCTTGACGCTGGTAGTCGGGATGGGTTCCCAGCGTATCTAGATCTGACAGTAGAGTTAGTACGAGGTCTAGTGGAATGAGACTTTCCATCCTCGGCAACATCAAGCTCTACATACAGTAATGCTTTCTATCGCCCATCACCCGACGTCTTTCATCATCTGCTCGCTGGAAGAAAGCTTCACAGGCTGCACCAGGCATGTCCTCATGCCAAGGTGGGTACCGACGTCCTCGATCGTCTAGATTCGAAGTGTCCCATTTAGCAAAGGCGACTATCCGCGGTCGGCCCTGCGAGTCGGCAGATTGTGGGTCGACAATCTTAATATACCGCTGGAAGTGTTTGTTTTGAAGGTCACTACGATGGGCATCCTCCAACCACTGATGCACTCCGGAGGTGTCGGGCCAGAGATACCGAGGACCCGGGTCTGTGAATGCGGCGAACCAAAGGTCCGTGATCGCCGAAACATCCTCGAGAGTTGCAACCTCCAATTTCAAGGTCTTCTCGGAGGATGCCATCTTCAAGGAAGAGTTGGAGTGTTGTGAACGCTGGTTTCAATACCTCAGCTTGCGGGGTTGGTTCTGGTTTGAGATGGGCTTGCACGCTAATCCCCTTCCAGCATGTCAGCGACTGCCAGCTCTGAGAACAGACCCGGAATAGGATTATTGCGGAGAAACACAAGTGAGACTGGACACTAGATAGGAATATGAGAGATCCCTATGGCGTCTGAAAATTATTTGTTTTCTCGGAATTCTCATGGGATGGCTTGCTGGTTAGATTTGACCACTTCATATGAAGAGTATCTGGGTTAATGAAGAGTTTGCCTCCTCATTTGGTGAATATATGAAATATGGATATGTCATCTCCTTGTGTCAATTGCTCTCGAGTCACATCCAAGCTCAAATCGGCCACCAGGGACTAGTTAATCACAAAGTTATGCATCACAAAAAAACGAGTGAAAGGTCACTTCAAAGTGCTAGTAATTGGCAACATTTGTTCACTGGAGATTCATGAAATCAGCTAGGAATCATCTCATCGTTTAGTATGAGCAGCGAGAACAGATCGAACGAAAATGCCACGTAGATTGCCCTTGGCACGCCCTAGGAAATTGGTCATGTAGGCATTCTCGATTTGGCCTCTATTATCGTCTCGCAATTCACGGTACCACGTAGTATATTACCGAGGGTCTTGGGGTTTTTGAGAAAAAACATACCCAATTCATTGTCGCATCGACAGTGAACCATCCGAAATTCAATAACATTATAGATTCAATACACCAACTTGAATCCACTTCCCACGTGCCATCGGTGACTTGAAGTGTGCTCGCTCCCATCGGCCCGATGGTGTGATTCCACCGCCCAATTGCTCAGCGTCCACGAGTCACTGTTATTTGCTACCAAGCACACTTAAGTTTCTCGGCCGGGAAATGATATAATACAAATGCAAAGAGCGGAGAAGTAGGGTGCACCGGGCATATCGCGTGAAGCATGCTGTAAATGGTGTGCTTCATGATTTAAAGTTTGATAAAGAAGAGCAGTTATTATTGTTATTGTTGTCATTGCCCCAGAATTACATTACTCCCAAAGCATCCGTTTAATGGTTTTTTAAGATTGACCATGTCGATTCTCGTCGAGAAAAGCGACGTAAGCCCCGATAGCGAGCCCAAATCGAGCAGCCCAGGTAGTACATCCGCTGAGAGTGTTGGCATCAATGAAAGCTCACTGTTGAGGAAATTGGATTATCGTCTACTTCCACCACTGACGCTACTCTATCTTCTCTCATTTTTGGATCGCAGCAATGGTACACAATGGGTTTAATGTTTGCTATAGGGCAGATACTAATTGATCGGTATAGTTGGCAATGCACGTCTCGAAGGAATGACCACGGATATTAAAATGAGTATGTATTTGAGCACTTGGAGGTAGCATTGTGGAAGCTAATCTTGTCTGTTTGGGTAGCTGGTGATCAGTATCTAACCGGTCTCACGCTATATTTTGTGGGATATGTCCTGTTCGAGGTTCCAGCGAATACAGTGTTGAAGCTCAGCACCCCCCGTATATGGCTCCCGACGTTGACTCTCCTTTGGGGTGTGGTAGCGACACTCCTAGGGGTAGTACAAAACTATCCTGGTTATCTTGCCTCTCGATTCTTTCTCGGTGTGGCAGAGAGTGGGCTCTTCCCGGGAGTCGTCTATTATATCTCGATGTGGTACAAGCGAAATGAGCAACATTATCGAGTGGCTCTCTTTTTCTCTGCCGCGTCATTAGCTGGAGCGTTTGGTGGGATTCTTGCATGGGCGATAGCCCATATGGATGGAGTTGGTGGGTTAGGAGGCTGGCGGTGGATTTTCATCCTCGTGGGTTTGCGACTGTTCGACTTTGCAAGGATAATGCAACCTCACTGACCCTGTTTTTGCTATATATCAGGAGGGTCTTTTGACAATTTTTGTCTCTGTCATAGCCTATTTCTGGGTGTATGACTACCCAGCGACGGCCAAATTCCTTTCTGAAGAAGAACGAGAGTTCATCCAATTCCGCCTGAAGAATGACAATGATTCTACTCGGAATGAAAAGTTTTCATGGGCGGCAGTCTTCGATGCTTTCAAAGATCCGATGGTCTGGCTTTATGGTCTCGGCTTCCATTCTCTTAGCTTGCCACTCTACACACTTTCTTTGTTCTTGGTTCGTTTGTTCCTTACACCGTCCATATCATTCGCATTACTTACGATCAACTCCAGCCTACCATCATTAAAGAGCTGGGGTACTCTGCTGCAGAGGCGCAGCTACTGACAGTTCCGCCGTATGCCATTGCCACAATCATGACGATTGGGGTGGCTGTGCTATCTGAAAAATGGAAGCGCCGAGCGCCCTTTATCATAGGCTCGTCCACTATCGCCTGCATTGGATATATTATTCTACTCACTGGTCGCCGCGCAGGAGTATCATATGTTGGCACTATTTTTGCAGCGGCAGGTATCTATCCTGGTGTGGCCATTGTTTTGTCTTGGCCAGCTAACAATGTCTCGGGTCAAACAAAACGCTGTATTGCCAATGCAATGCAGATATCAATTGGAAATCTAGGTGCGGTGCTTGGAACACAGTTATACCGCACTGAAACCAGCCCACGGTTCTATCTCGGGCATTCATTTGCTCTCGGGTATTTAGTCGCTAATACCATTATTGTTAGCATTTCGTGGCTGGTGCTTAAACGAGCAAATTCTCGGAAAGCAATCGTGAGGGATCGCGAGGGGCTCAGGCCTTTGATGGGTGATATTGGCGATGCGGAAGGCGAATTCTTGGGTGACCGTGATCCTCGTTGGGTCTTCCAAACCTGAGATCGGGTAGTCATTATATTTCATACTATTTTTTGGATTGCTGCCACTGATAAGGTGAAGCTATCCAATCAAGTCTAGTGCTTTGACTATGCACAATGTTATTGAGAAATTCTCGACGTAAGATATCAGAATCAGGACTTATACTTGTAGATGCCAAGAATCGCTCTCGAAAGAAGACAGGTTTTTGACTCTGAAAATGGCATGTTCCACCAATTCAAGCCAAGGTTGCAGCACTCTGTATCCATATTTCCCTCTCCATTTTATAGAATCTTTATTCGGGTTCGTTTTGGGCTGTCAAGTACATTCATTTCTTTCCGAAGAGGTTATTTGTATGATAGGTCGTCTATAATCAATACACAATATAGTATCATAAACCTGACCAATATAAGCCAAATTCCCAGGCAACCATGACTCCGTCTATTGAATTTCATTGGTCGATTTCACATCGCTGTCAGCTGTTGTATGGCCAGTATTTCTGGACCAGAATCTTCTTGTTGACTTTTCCCATGGCATTGCGCTCTATAGTTTCCACGGGTTTCAAAACACTTGGCACCTTGTATGATGCCATCTCATTTTTGAGCACGGCACGTAATTCTGGAAGTTCCATTTGCAGTCCCTGGAAATAATTCATTAGGAAAGAGATACAATTTTGGCCGTGTACACAGGGGTGGTAGCATACCTCACGAAATCGAACCACTGCAGCAACTCTCTCTCCCCATTCTGCATCCTTGAGTCCAACAACAGCCACCTCTTGTATATGATCTACTGCCAGCATTTTGCGCTCAACTTCGAGCGCAGAAATTTTGTAGCCTCCTGATTTGATAATATCAACAGACGCACGACCTTGAATGAAGTAAGCGCCAGTTGAGTCTCGGATGGCACAGTCGCCAGTCTTGAACCATCCGTCCTCAGTGAACTCTGATTTTGTGGCTTCAGGCTTCCGCCAGTACTCCCGAAACACGTTGAGACCCTTGATTTCGATCATGCCATCTGAATCGGCCTCCTCAATGACTCGACCGGTTTCCTTTTCGGTTAAACGCACATCGACCCCAGGTAATGGCCAGCCAACGCTGCCATCGATCCGTTTCTCAACATCCAGGCCACAACTGAGCGCCATGCCAATCTCGGTCATACCGTACCGCTCAAGCAGAACCTGACCGGTAATCTCGGCAAATCTGGCCTTTATGGGAGTGGGCAATGCAGCAGACCCACTTACTACCAGACGCAGAGCCTCTGCTCCCGCTCTTGCCGCCTCTTCTTGGTCTGTGCCACTGATATGAGCATCAAAGAAGTCATTGAGACGAGAATAAATAGTGGGTACTGCCATGAACATAGTTGAGGAGCCTCGATCCTGCCAACGCTCCCAGATGACTTTTGGATCGAATTTGGGATGCATTTCCACAGCAGCACCACTCAGCAGGCAAGCAGTGAGACCATTGATAATGCCGTGGATGTGGTGTAGTGGCAGCACATGAATGAGGTGATCAGAAGAGTTATACCTCCAAGCCTTAACGAGGCAACTTGCTTGGAACGTAATGGTCTCATGTGTGGAGACGCAACCTTTGGGGTTCGACGTGGTACCACTTGTATAGATGATCAGAGCTCTCCGGTCAAGCGGAAAGGGCGAAGCGAAAGTAGGCAGTGATGGTGTATTGTTCCTTGTAAATGGATCAAGACCCAAGAAGGGAATTCCGGCTGCGCATTGTTCGCGAAGTGCTGGCGCAACTTTATCAAACTCCGGGTGAATAATAACAAGGGATGGATCCGAGTCTCCGATAGTATAGAGTAGCTCCTTGACAGGGTGAGATGTGCCTGGTACCGTATTAGCATCCCATGAACCAGGAGACATGGGCCAGTATAGGAATTTCTCTTACAAAGAGGCACACAGACTCCGCCGGCAGCCCATATCGCCCAACTCGTAGCCACGTAGTCGTAACCCTGCGGGCAAAGGAAAGCCACACGTTGTTCGTTCAAGTCTCCCGAGGCCGTTGACCCCAATGCCTCAATAATATGTTTTCTCAGTGTAGCAGCATCTTGAAGAATTTGTGTGAATGTAAATGACTGTTGCTTAGTTGCATCAATGATCGCGATCTTCTCAGGATCAGTTTGCGCATGTTGCTGCGCCGCTATGAAGAGCGGCAACAAAGGGAGGGGCATTAAGTGGGGAGGGAGGGGTTATGAGCGATACAAAATCCCTCGCGAACAGAGATATCAATGGTCCAACCTAGAGAAGAGGATAATTAGGGTGTTTTAATGGGAAGTATCCAATAAGCAGATGTGCAGATGTGCAGGTTTGGAGGCATTTGCAGGAGACAAGTCCGCTTTGGTTCTCGGTGCCCAGAAGTAGGAGCCGCGCGAGATCGGCCTCGAGATCGGCCTCCGATGAATTTACCCGGTGGAGAAGGTCTTTTCAGAGCTGAGGTTGTGACTGAATGACATCTTGGATCAAGAGGACTTGAATTAAAATTTCAAACACTATTCAAATGCTTTAGTCGCTAACAATTTATGAAGGAGAGCCGTTTATGAAATCTGCAGAATTAAGTGTTTATATCCGTATTTCGTTCCTTGAGAGGCCCTCACGTATGCAACCATACACCCAGCAAGATATAGCAACATATAGTGGAGTTTTCAGCGTACTTTTGTTTATATTCAAGAACGACAATCATTCTGAACCAATTCATAAGTCCTCTAGAAATACCGACCATTCTTCAAATTATATAAAATTTCCCAAGCCCTTTCCCTCCCTCTTCAAGGTACACGTGACTCTCGTTAACGCCGTCAATCTCCGCCCGAAAGTTCGCTGCTCCGAGGCTACTCAACAGTCTGTTCACGCTGTTCGGAGGTCGAACTCTCGCGCAATGCTGCCTCGAACAACGCTCCGGGCCCGGGTCCCTAGATTGGTGTACATTCAGTCCACTCGTTTGACGTCCAGGCTGCCTCTGATTCGCATCGAAAAAGGCACATTCTATAAGCAGTATCCCACCGACTCCGATACCGCGACCAACCCGCCGCTATATCCGAACTTCAGTTTCATTCTCCCCTCTGGCGTACCTGGCTCGGAGAAAAAAATCATTTCAAAGCCTTCTTTGCAACACTGGGCTGTAATTGGTCCATCCGGGCGAACAGATCTGCTGGACATCCTGCGTGGCCAGCATATCTCGATCCCGCCCGACGCTCGATCGTATCCCTACCTCCGCTCCAAGAAACTCGCGAAGAAGGACCCCCAATTGCGCGATGTTAGCAATGCCATTCGATATATTGGATTTAGTGGGGAGGGTTCGAACGCCATTGGAGGCACCCGCGGCGCGTACCTAAGTGCCCGCTACGAGAGTCATCGCGAGGAAACTGATTGGACGGTGGAACAATTCCTTCGTGGGCAAACCTCGCTGAATCCGATGGAAGGAGAAGAAAAAGGAACGATATATGATGAAGCCTTGTTCAGGGATGTTGTCGTCGACCTTCATCTGGAGCCGCTGCTCGACATGCCTGTGGCTAACCTCAGCAACGGTCAAACCCGGCGAGCGCGGATTGCCAAGGCTCTTCTGAGGAAGCCAGAGCTATTACTTTTGGATGAGCCTTTCAGTAAGTCATTGTACTGCAAGCGCCTAAGCCAGTCCGTCGGTTGATAGTGAATGATCGATAACTAACTTTATTCGTAGTGGGACTGGATCCGGCCACAGTTCGAAGCATTTCAAGTTTACTTCATCGTCTGGCTGAGAAATGTGCTCCAAGACTGGTTCTTGCCCTTCGTCCCCAGGATCCTGTACCAGAGTGGATCACACACTTAATACTTGTCGGCAATTCGCACAGAGTCATTGCGCAGGACACAAAGGTGAAAGTCCAACACGCCATCGCAATTTGGCAACGATTTGGATTCGACTCTGACGTGAAAAATCCTGAAAAACGAATCATTGACCGCGCCAGAGTTCATTGGGCAAATGGCAATCTAGATGAGCATCTGCTCCAGGACTTGACTTCCCACCAGCCTCAAAAGGCTTCCAGTACAATAACAGCTTCTCTGAGCGGGGAGGTGTTGGTGGAGATGGAAGGAGTTCGTGTCCAGTACGGCGAGAAGGCAGTGCTGGGAGACTGGAAGCAAGAAGTAAATGCCGAAACCAAAGACGGCCTACATTGGTCGGTCCGCCGAGGCCAACGCTGGGCCATCCTTGGCTCCAATGGCTCGGGGAAAACAACCCTTCTTTCATTAATCACCTCGGACCATCCGCAGACATATGCGTTGCCTATAAAACTTTTTGGTCGATCTCGTCTTCCCGAAGCGAGCAAGCCGGGAATATCCATTTTTGAGTTACAATCTCGACTGGGTCACTCTTCCCCAGAGATCCATGCTTTTTCCCACGCCAGTTGACAATACGGGAGGCCCTCGAGTCAGCCTTTGCGGAGACATTTCTTTCGAAACCAAAACTCAACCACGAGCGCGACCTCGATGTGAGTGCCGCCCTGCGGTTTTTCAAACCCGAACTGGACTTGAATGCCGCTGAAGATCTGCCAAAGGTGTCTACCGATACCAAAATCTTCCCTAAACTGGCTCCTAAACTGGCTCCCTCCAAGCCAGTAGATTCAGACGCGCGCAAGCGACGCTCCAAAACCTCTCCCTATTTACCATTAGACCATGAAATTGAATACGCCGATCATGTTCGATTTGGTCAGCTCAGCACGGCACAGCAGCGTATCGTGTTGTTTCTTCGTGCTCTGATCCATAAGCCGGATATTGTCATTCTGGATGAAGCCTTCTCGGGGTTGACGGCCACTCAGCGCGATAAGTGCCTGCGGTTCCTTGAGGAAGGCGAAGGCGAGAAAGGAAGTGATCATCCTCGGCATCAGGGACTATCGGAAGATCAAGCCCTCGTTATCATCAGTCATGTCAAGGAGGAGATCCCTGATAGTGTTAGATTCTACATGCGACTTCCCTCAAAACCCGAAGATGGCTCGGAGGCACTGGATTTCCGCTGTGGGATGCTCAAAGATACTACTGTTCTGCGCGACGCCGAGACCTGGAACCTGGTGTGGTCCTCGCCCTCGCAATTTTCCCAAGAGAGCTGTCAAACAGCCGCCACAACTCACGCCTCGGATGTGGACGACCAAAATGATGCTGCAAAGCTTGGGTATTATACCATATAGAGAATATCTTTAGCGCTGCGTGGTGGGCGAAGCTCAGGCAATCTGTAGGGAATTAATAGAATCTCAAGATGTAAAATAAATATAAATAGAGATAATTGTACAAAAAATCACCTATACTTACGCTAAACAAGCACGAGGCACCAGGAGGGTTGAGAGAACCTCGAAGATAAGAAAAATTAAGTCCACTACGGTGGGTTTTACAGGTACAAATATCACGCTATGAGGTGGATAGAGAGTGTAAAAGGTTTTTCGAATTTCCATCGAGGCCAAGTAGATAACGAGGAGTATTGCGTATCTAAAAAATCACCAATTAATCTCTCTCATTATATATGAGACAGAAAAAATTGAGGCGACAGAGAATCGAACTCCGAGTCTTCTGGATTTCCCGTCAGCGGACTTCAAAGACCACGGCACTGGAATCAGACGCGTTACTAAAGTGGGATGTTAGTATTATTGCCAATATGATTGTGGGTGAATTTGTGGAAACTAACCCATTGCGCCACCACCCCTTGCGATTACGAGCCGGGTGTCGTTTTCCCATTCTGAGATTGACAGTCCCCACTTTCGGGAAAGAGGAAGAAATTTCAAACGAGAAAAAAAATTAAATGAGGCGACAGAGAATCGAACTCCGAGTCTTCTGGATGTCCCGATGTAATCTCAAAGAGATCACATGCTGGAATCAGACGCGTTACCATTGCGCCACCACCCCATGAGTGATTAAAACCAGATTTTTTTTAATTCAACAGGCTTCGCGTCAACAACGCTTGAGTTCGCTCGTATCATCTGATGACCCCATAGCTTTTAGTTTGATATGTTTAGTTTGATATGTTGTCATTTCCCTAAAGAGAAGAGAAAGAAAAAAATCAGGAGCGTCAAAGATTTCGGACATTCCTCTCTTCTAGTTAGACAAATCGATAGGTAAATTGACAGAAAAATAGAGACAGAAAACGAGTGAAGGCTAATATTTTTAATCCAGATGTAGTTTGAAGACGCTATATTTCATCCGATATGCGACTGGGTTTGATACGATAGAGCCAAAGCATCTTGAATAGGATTAGTAGGCTTGTTCGATTCATTGAATCTATATAGATGTGATCTAATGGCAGGTCAATGAGGACGCAACTCAGCTTCATATCACGGGCTTGATTTCCATTTTTAGGGCAGATGAGTTGCTTTTCATGATTCTGCCACAACCCAGCAATTATCATAATCTGCACGTTATCCAAAGTATGGAATTTGTCACTTTCAGAAGATTCGATTTTCTTGTTTGACAAGACTGCCGTGTAGATATGGAAAGGTGGAGTAAGACGCCGCCATCTCCAAATTCACTTCTTTCCAACCACCATCGCTTTCTACAGCTTTCGTCAATATGGACTCCGTATCTTGATTCATTCGGCAGTCCCCAATGAAAAAAGCCCAGCCCAAAAGCATATATATCTGCTGGAAGAGCCGGGATATCAGAGACCCTTTGGCAGTCTTCCATGGATTGGCGACGTGCTCACAAATCAACATCTTCCCTCCTGGGTGGAGAAGTCGGTATAAGTCCAAAACAGCCGTGTTTGCGTCATTCATGCTGCACAGTGTGCGAACACAAATTATGGTATCAAATACAGTGTCCCCAGGTTTCCACGACTGAATAAATCCACCTCGGATCAGCTCAGTAGTCAATGCATTGGCGTCTGCACCTGCCGCCAGGATGTGGTATTTATCCTGCATTTGATGGTGATCGACTTGGATCTGAAGCTTGTAGTGGAGCTCTTCGCATGGTTCCGCACCGTACACTCGGTTGATCATGTCGGATTTGAGTAACGACATTTGACTGCCACTGCCAGGACCGACCTCCAACACCACCCCAGTGGCCTGTGATAAAAGGGGCGGGAGTAGCCCGGCCGATAGCGAAGGGGGCCCACCAGGAGGCTTGGGGGCTATGATGATGTTAATAGCACGTTTTCATATCGTCTTTTGGGGAAAGTCATCTTACCGGAAAATTCCAGCCAGAGGGAAGAGAATGCGGTTCCCCTGATTTTCTGCCATTGCGTGCCTGAGAGAGGCAGATCACCTTTTGCAATCGCTAAAAGTAATGTTTTCAGATAGTCTATTTAGATCAGGAGATATGTTAACTATGATCCATGTCAAAGCTAAGGGCACTTACGATACACGGCAGACTTCAGCATAAATATAGGCTCTATAAGAGACCAAAGCCATTCCGATCTCAAGGATGACATTTTCTGAGGGGATAAATGAAAAAGAGGAAGAGGAAGAAGAAGCGAATTTTTTATAATGTCAAAAGAGCATACAACTTTCTATAAGGAAAAGAGCTAGCAAGAATGATGATTTCGCGGGACAGCGGGAAAGCGGGAAAGAGGGGGTTCCACCCGTAAGGTTCCACGCCTCTTCTTCAAAGCCCGATTCGGCGAATGATAGTCCTTGGATTTCCAGCATAATTATGAGGATTTTATGATTATATGTATTTAAATAAATCAATAGTAAATTTACAATAGACAATACTTGTTTAGACGACAGATCCCTGCCCCTGGAACTCACTGAGTTTTGCAGTTGAATCAATCCTTCGCCTGGTCTCTTCCTGGACTTCTCGAACAATATCGGCAGCACTATTCATCTTCTTCACCATGCCAACCCCGGTTCCAGCCCAAACACTGCCCATGTCCTCCGTTTTGAGATCCTCACTATTGACTCCATTCATCGCCGCATGTAGCCAGAGCCGAATATTTTGTATACTCATCCCGCCAGTATATTGATCGTATACTTTGTTTCGAAGGCACCGCCCATCATATATCATGGGCCAGAAGTTAGGGCCCCAAATTTCATCAAACACCCGAGACCTTGCCGTCGTCTGCCCTCCATCCGAAGCTGCTAGGATCGCGTTCCGATATATCTGGGGGATATGGGTTTCCGGTGCCGCGAGAAAGCGTGTTCCCATCACCACACCCGATGCGCCGAGTGTGAGGGCTGCCGCACATCCTCTTCCGTCAACTATCCCCCCGGCAGCAATCAGGGGGATCTCAGAGATTTCATGGTCCTGGAGAACATCTGCTACCTCTGGGAGGAGAGTCAAGACGCTAGCGCCATTGGAGTGTCCATGCCCTCCGGCATCGCCTCCCTGAATCACCAGGGCATCAGGACGACATGCTTGGGCGGCTTCAATCGCTGCTTGCACACTTCCCAGTTGAATCCAGACTCTAGTGTCGGGTGATGCCTGCCGGATTCGCTCAGTCCACTGCTTGAGCTCAGCCGTACTGGCAAAGGAAAGCCAGGCCACCACTGGTTTGTATGTCGTAAAGAGTCGCATCCATGCCTCAATGGGGGATCCAAAGACTATCACTCCAAGTCCAACGGGGAGCTGTTGGGAATTATCAAGAGTGGCCATTACATCTCTCAGCCCATGCCGAACGATATCCAGCTGACTGGATAACTCTCTCATGTCATCCAAAAATCCAATTTGACCCAGTCCCCCAGCGCGAGTAACGGCGATCGCCAATTCACTGGTGGCTGCACCACTCATGGGAGCATTGGCGATTAGTGGGGCCTGAGTCCATGGCAGGTAGTTCTTAAGCGACTTGTAAAGCGGCATGAGATCTCTAAATCCAATAAGTATTTGTGATTAGAAGAATACAAAATACGGGGCCAATTATAGCCAATTGGTATTTATATGCCAAACATTAAAACCATGAAAGTATCGAAGCATCACGTAAGGTTCTACATCAAGCATCAAAGGCCGAGTGGCAAAAGTAGACACGGTAATTGGCTGCCGCGGACAATCTATGGCACAATCGAGCGAATTGAGCAGCTTCGGCAGCTTCGGCTCGGCATTTGATATCAACGGTCCTTCAAAGCCTCTTCGTCATTTTCATCCAGAGCTCAGCTTAGAAGCCAAACAGAGATGACATGGTTTCAACTAGAATGGCAACTACAACAACTACTACTTCTACACTCCCACCCCCACCAATAATAATTACTAAGAATGTGTCTGGTTTAATAGAGAGATCATTACGATAGGAAATGACAATTGATCATGTTGGAACTATCCTTGAATTGTAGATTCACTAAATCGTGGGGGGCTGCGGCGCAGACAATTGGCCTGGTTGGACGGTACGAGACCCATCCTCCCCCTGGTCCTCCAGCCCGCGCGCCACCAAGTCCGTAAAGTCGACGCCGACCTCGGTCAACAAGGCGGCATGCTCATGAACGATGTCCAAGCACTTTTGCCAGACAGAGGTACCACGCTGAACACTACTGAGTTGGCGGCTAAGTAAGGCATTAAACCCATCAAGATGAGACTTCGCCCAGCGAATGCAGGAGCTCGTCATCACACTCGGGAAACACTGCTGGTAGATGCTGATAGTGTTCTTTATAAGGGTGAAGTAAACGAAAGATATCTGGAAGATGTAGAGGGGGAGATCACCCTCGAAAACACAGGCTCTGCGTACATCCTCGAGTCAATAAATAATTTCCTTGAATGCGTGAATGGTGAATGGACGTCCGTCACTTACCGGGTACGTTTCGCAATGACATCTGACCGGGCCTTGAGGTATGTTTCGCGCGCTTGGTCTTCGAATCCAAGACGGCTGAGCCAGCTGACATTGGTTTTGGTCGCGGATGGGAACGAGTGTGTGTCCACTAGCGACCGTGAGAGCATACCCGCGAGACGGGTTGCGCGCCCGTCGACCTTGACATTGATCACCTCCTGGGCAATTGAATTGCCTTTCAATCCCTTTGCAAGTTTTCGAAGCCGCTCAATGCTGGAAACCGCAGCCTCAAAATGTTGGAGCGCGATGTCGATGTCCAGCTCGTCAACTTGCCCTTCTACCCAGCGAAGATTCTGCTGTTTGCCATCGACGTCGATTCGCAAATCGGATTTGTCGCGAGGAGAATCTCCGAGGTCAAACGGCTCGGCCTTTTGTGAGTAGGATAAATGTCTCCCAGCGAGATATCCATACGCCTCCAAGGGTTTGCTGGCAGCCTCGGTCTCCGATCGCAACGTGCGCCGGAGGTCTTCCACTGTTTTCCTAAATGTCGCCAGGAGTTCGTTCTTCGTGGATGTATCGCGTTTGTCCTGCCGATAGGTGAACGGCTTAGAGCCAACACGGATACTGATTGCGTTTCCAATGCCACGGTCCAAAGCCTCTTCCCGAGCGGCGCCAGTCCCCAGATTGGCCGCCAAGTCGATCATATCAATGTCTTGTAACGGCCAGCATTCCTCGGCCACGAGTTTGGTCGGGACTGGGCCGCGGTGGTTCGGGTGATTCTGGTCAACCCGCTTGCGCTTCTTGGCAGCAACCAGCAGGTGATCGTTCAATAGGACGATGTGTACTGGCCGTTTCGGCTTCCAGGTCGCCGAGTCCAGCTCGGCCCAGTTGCCCGTTTCTAAGACGATATGACGGCCAGGCACCGCTGGCAGGAACTTTTGGGACCCTTCGACGGTCTTCCACAGCGTCTGTAGTTGAACGCTCCACATGCTTTCCAGGTTGGCGACGGAGCTGCGGTTGGTATTGCGCTTGGGGAAGTGATCGTCCACCGGCGACATTGGATTCGGCGTATTACCAACGGTTGTTTGCCCGAGTGCGGTGGTAAGTTCTGACATGAGGGTACGCAGGGTCCGCATCTCATCCTTCAGCTTCTCGGCCTCTTTACTGATCTTGATAAATTGAGTTCGGTTCTGGTAGACATTCTGTTGTAGATCGGTCGATGTCCGGTTCTTCACTTTTCGAAGACTTTGCTGATAACTTTGGATCTCCTCCTCCGACGCGTTGGCAAGGAGCCCGGCAACATCTGAGGGGGAAGAGGGGGAACTCGTCAACATTTGTCCTCGGGGTAGGTGGTGAGTAAACTGGTCCACATACATCGTTCCACGGGGAGACTCGGATCTCGCAATGCCTTTAAGTCCACCTCGGGGGAAATTGATGTGCCGTCCGCTGGCGAAGGTTGTCCCTGCGTTGCGGCTGGAGCTCCTAAGCCACTAAATCCTCCCTGGGCTTGAGGCGGAAGAGCGGGGACAGGAGGAGCGCTGACATCGAACTCCGGGGCGGCATTGAATCGAGTTGAGTATCGTCGCTTGACTAAATCGGAAGTAGCATCACTCTGGGGAGCCCGTTCTCGGCCCACGGAGATGGCACTTTGACCGGCATCGGGAGCTCTGGTGTTGGCGGGCAAGGGGCCGGAGATCGGCTTGGGGGCACTAATCTGGGGGCGTTGGCGGCGAGACTTGCTCCGCAAGGTCAAGCCTCGGCCTTCCATGATGCAACAAGGGCGATTGACGACGCTGGGCAGCTGAACAGCTGGGGAGGGGAGAACTGGGGGTGGGAAGGGTTCCGAAGTGACGATCGACCCAAGTCGAAAGTCGGGCTGGGGAGAACCCGAAGCGGAATAGCGTAGAGCACGTTACCTTGGGCGAGAACTATACAACACGAACATAGAACCTGTATATTCCAGGATCGAGGGCCAATGAGGAGGTTTTGAAAAGATTGTTTCGGGGTCAGCCAGTTCTCATTTCATTCAGTGGTTTCTTCTAGTTGCATTGGTATCGGGTGTTGATTCGATAGCCAGAGAGCTCGTTCGCGGGTAACGTGTTCATTATGCGCTGATATATTATTCCTCCATATGTAGGAGGTACAGCATACACGGATACTTTGACATGCCATTTGCCAGGGGTTTCTGCTATGCCCCAGATTCTAGATATACATGGAATATATTTTCCCCCCTTCATATTTTTGTTCAAATATGAATACCCTGTTCGCTCGTTCCCGTCGGCCTGACGTCGTCTTCGCTCGAGCGGGAGAGAAAGGCCGACGGAAGAACGTAAATCCCCTTCAAATTTATCGTTCCCCAAACACCCGAGCTCATCGCCGCTTCACGTCCTCCGCCTTCCTCCCCCTCTCCCGAATCGCTTGTATCGTGGTTTCAGGTCGCGTCTTTCAATTCATTTCCTCCATAACCTTTCCTTTAAAATGCGCACATCTGTTCTGGTGGCCGTGTCGGCCGGCACCGTTATCACCGGCTTGCTCGGTAAGGACTTCCCGTCATCCCAGTCCTGCGATCATGCTAGGCAAGCCTTGAATTTCATAGCCTAACTTTTTTATTTCCGGGTCTGTAACAGCCTATGCCGCGTACTTTGACCACAAGCGACAGACCGATCCCGAATTCCGCAAGTCCCTCAAGCGGAACAACCGCAAGCTCGCCAAGGCTGTGAAGGAAGAGGCGGAGGCCCAGGGTGCTGCTCAGCGCGAAGCCATTAAGGCGGCTGTGCAGCAGGCCAAGGATGAAGGCTTCCCGGCCGATCTGGAGGAGAAGGAGTCCTACTTCATGAACCAGGTCGCCAAGGGTGAAGGGCTGTGTGCCGAGGGTAGGTTCAACCGGGGCAGATGACACCAAATGAAAGAATCCCAACTAACCTTCCGTTTCTTGTGTTAGGCTCCGACCAGATCGAAGCGGCCCTTGCTTTCTACAAGGCCCTCAAGGTGTACCCACAGCCTAAGGATCTGATCTCGATCTATGACAAGACTGTCCCCAAGGAAGTCTTGGAGATCCTGGCCGAGATGGTTGCCATGGACTCCGGTCTGAAGTTGGGCTCGTTCACGGGCGAGAGCAGCCCGGCCGACAACCACGGTGTCGAGTAAACCGAGCCACCGATAGTATAAAGTCGTTCTTGGGGGAACGTTTTCTTTGCCCTTGGCCCGCCTTTTGCCTGTAACTTCCTTCCCTTCTTCATCCTCTTCTCATCTTTCTCATCCTCCTTTTCTCACACCCTCTGCATCCGCCTTCCCCCCCCCCCTCACGATGGTGTCCACTCTCCACTACACCGCTTCTGCTTTTGTTCCTTGTTCTGCCTGAACTGTGTATATGTATTGGGGTCGTCTTGGCCCAGGCCGGCGTGGGCATTTGTGGCCTTGGTATTTCTCGGCGCCATGGCTTTTTATTTCCTTTGCCCCTTTTCGAAACCCCATGCCGCCCACCCTTTGATTTCTGTATGTTCCGGGCTTTCTTTTTCTCTGTTCTGCATTATGGGCATGAAGGAGAGAGAGAGGGGGTGATATACAGTCTGTATTTTAGAGCAAATGAAAGGCGATTAAAAATCCCATCTTTGGTATCACCCACTCCGCCTACGCGAACATCACTATATTGATTGGCCCTCATCCTGGTCTAAATCCTGATCCGAATGATTCTAGGATCCCATTGGGTCCATCCTCCCCTTTTATTGGCCCACGGGCCCTGAGGATCCGCTTCTCACGATGTGAAACCGCGCGAAAATACCGGACAGACGCAGTGAGATCATCGATGGACCCCTGACGGGCCATTCAGGGGCCCTCCTGGGCCTTGAGGGCCCCACTGGGCGGCACCAAAGTCCAGGGCCCAGCGACCCCCAGTGACCCCCAGCACCCCCGAGGGCTCCCCCAAGAGGCCCCCCAGGGCATCCCAGAACCCCGAAGCGGTCCCTGACTGGGCCCTTTGACCCTGGCGCGATCCACTTTAGCCCGCCCACATTGGCGTCTATGCCTGAATGTTTCGAAGGTTCCAATGGCCCTGATGTTCCCCGCTGATCCTTGGGATTTTCTCGTGTCTCCTTTTTATTCAAGAGCTTCTCCCCCTTCTGCCTCAGCTTCGGCCTCATCCTGCAATTCTGCGTGCTTTTGCTTCGGCAACCTTGGTTGCCCCGACGTTCTTTCCTGCGCATCGCGCTGCCACTCTTTCTCCATTTCGCGATTTGTCTCTCCTTTTCCTCTCTAACGTGACTATCGGGATCTATTCGATAATCTGGCTCCTCGACAATTTGATTACTACCGGAACAATCCTGATTATCTTGGCTCTTTGTTCCATCGCATCTGATCCGCAACCTTCAAGATGTTCGCTGTAGGTGACACCCCGACACGATGCGCTGCAACGCCAAGCCCTAATGAAAGCTTCTGACGCTGACATCTTAAACCCCAGTCCTACGGTCGTCTTCTCACAGCCATTTGTGCCCTCGCCGGTTCTGCCGCGGCCGTGACTCCTCTGAAGGTCCAAGGCAAGGACTTTGTCAACACCAAGACTGGTGATCGTTTCCAGATCATTGGCGTCGAGTACGAAATCCTTCGCGTCCAACCAACTCAAAATATTGGGCTTTCCATATATCTCTTATGGCAAACCCCTAGCCCTCTTTGACAGACTAGTAGCTAACTTGCGCAATAGCTACCAGCCTGGTGGCTCATCTGGTTTCAGCAAGAAGGCCGATCCGTTGAGCGACCCTGATGTTTGCCTGCGTGACGCTGCCCTGATGCAGCGCCTAGGTGTAAGTCCATACTCTATCAATGTTTCAATACCTGGGGCGTCTTGATAGCGATCAATCAATTAAGAGAGAGACCTCGCGACTCATAAAACTTGACTTAGATCAATACCATTCGGGTTTACAACCTGGAGCCCTCCCTGGATCACAACAAGTGCGCCTCGATCTTCAATGCTGCCGGCATCTACATGATTCTCGATGTTAACTCCCCACTGGCCAATGGTGCGCTGGATCGCACTGCCCCCTGGACGACCTACACCCCTGCATACTACCAACAGGTGTTTGGTGTGATCGAGGCATTCAAGGAGTTCCCCAATATCCTCGGCTTCTTCGCCGGAAACGAGGTGATCAATGAGGATGCCACTCGTCTGGCTCCCGCCTATGTCCGTGCTGTCGTGCGGGACATGAAGGATTACATCGCGAAAAACGCAGACCGGACTATCCCCGTCGGCTACTCCGCCGCCGATGTCCGTGATATCCTGATGGATACCGCCCACTATTTCGAGTGCGAGCTCAAGAACTCCACCAGCTCTCGTGCCGACTTCTTCGGTTTGAACTCATACTCCTGGTGCGGCAAGGCGACCTACACCTCCAGCGGCTATGATGTTCTGACCGATGACTTCTCTAACGCCACCTTGCCCGTTTTCTTCTCCGAGTATGGCTGCAACGACGTCAAGCCCCGTGTTTTCACCGAGGTTCAGGCCTTGTACGGTGAGGAGATGACCCAGGCCTTCTCTGGTGGCCTGGTGTATGAGTGGACCCAGGAGGCCAACGAGTACGGCCTGATCAAGAGCAACTCTAACGGAACCGTGACCACTCTTATCGACTACGACAACCTGCTCTCGCAATTTAGCAAATTGGACATGGACCGCATCTCCTCCAGCAACACCTCTCAAACTAGCGTCGACCCCGAGACCTGCAGTCCCTCTCTCATCACATCTTCCGACTTCTATAATGCCTGGAATCTACCTGAAGCCCCGTCCAAGGTCTCTGACTATATCAAGAACGGTCTTCCTGCTAGCATCAAGCCTTCGGGCTCTCTGGTCTCCGTGACCGCTACCACTCTCTCCGAAAAGGTTTACGACTACACTGGCAAGGAGATCACCAATGTCCAGTTCAAGGTTCTCTCCAACGACGAGTCCAACTCACCCTCCTCCACTGGCACTGGCACCTCTAGCTCTTCTTCGTCGTCCTCCTCGGGTACCTCCACCAGCACAAACGCAGCGTCTTCGCTGAACGGTGCTCCATCTATTGCCCTGGGCGGCCTCAGCGGTGTCTTCATGTTGCTTGCGTCTTTGTTGTAATTGATCATGGCAATTAATCTTCAATTGGTTTGGTAAACACGCAGAGTCTTTGTGACACCCGTGCTTTTGTGACTATTGCTGTGTTGCTCAACCTTTCTCGAGTCCCGACCGATGCTTCTCCTGAACGGAGGGATTTTCTTCTTGTGACTTACTTATTTGCTTCTCTGCATATGCTTCATTCTGTTGGTAGACCAGCGGATGATGTCTCTTTGTTCTTTGTTTGACAGTGTTCGACAGTTGCCGCTGTGACGAGTCAATGCCAACGTTTATTTTTCATTGTGATACCTCTGCATTATCTCTGTATTATCAATCGATGAGGCCCAAATAAGCTTCCCAAGCTTCTAGGCTAGTCATGAACCCCCCCTCAATTATTCATCACACCGAAAAATGACCCCATTCCGAAGTGTAATGCAGATGAAGTCTCAAATTCTATAAGGATTGAAACCTAGAAAAAGCACTCAAAACACAAGATAGGATTTGTCCTGGAGATAGTTGGTCCTTGACTGCTGATTCTGTGGTTCTCCTGACCTCAGTATTCCAGTTTGCTAGTCATGATGTAGAAACTATTGTGAGGAGGAAGAGCCATCTACGTAAATCTTCATGGTTTCATTAATAATGCTAGAGATTTTGTGGGAGGGTAATGCGTCAGAATCGCATGAATGCAAAATACAACGCTCGAAAGTTCTCATAAAGACCGTCCGCTCAGCGCCGACGTCTCGAACTAGAACTAGCCATTGGCTCAAAAGCATCATCATCATCGTCATCATCATCAATGCCATCGCTTATCACGCTCGTATTACGAGTCGATCGACTAGGTCGTGATGAACGAGTGGCACTGGCACTGGCTTGGGAGCCAGCGAAACTCAAAGTAGTCTGTGTTGGTTTCGTGCCTCGGGCAGCTGTTCGGTGTGTAGCAGTTCCAACCACAGTCGTCGACGACGGGGCTGGTGATGCTGTAGTGCGTCCAACTCGACTCCGAGTGGTGGTCGTTGCGACAGCCTTACGTCCCCTCGAAGCTGCTGTTTTACGCGGTTGTTTGACGAACAAAGCCTGGGAGTCGTCGTCGTCGTCATCCAGCATGATGACATCGTCTGATTCCTCGTCCGAAGCAGCTTGCTTCTTTCGCCCCTTTGTCGTAGAGGGAGCTTTTGCTGTTCGGGAAGTGGGAGCCGCCTCACGACCGGTACCGCGACCACGACCTCGGCCACGCGTGGTGCCACCTGCAGTGCGACTTCGTCCTGGCGCGGAGCCGTCATCCCCTCCAGCTTCTTCCTCAGCTGGATCGCCACCCTCATTATCAGAATGAATGAGAGCACCCGGTTGATCCTCCCACTCGCCATCAAATTCAGAATCCCATCCATCCGGTCTTGGCTTGAAGCGTTTCTTCCCGCGCGTGCGTTTCTTGACACCTTTATTAAATAGATCTTCCATCTGCCCACGATACTTCTCCATCGCAGTCACAAGGGAGCTTTGAGCTCTCTCTTCATCACCTAGATCATCTTCGTCGCGATCGAGATTCATCAGGTGCTTGACCTGACTCTCCAGCGATTCATTGACAAACATTTCCATTGCATGCTTGTCATCTTTATCAATGAATTGCGTTACCGCGTCCCCAAAGGAATTCTGAGGAAGAATGCTCAGGGATTGTGATGCGAGAAACTCTTTTACTAGTTGCTCCACCTTAACAGTATCCAGGGCAGCCAGATGCGAAGTAGCCGCATCATCGGAACTCTGATCGGTCTTTCGTGAAGAAGTCCCGGTTTTTTTTTTCCGATGAAATTGCACGACATCATTGACATTGGCCACCTTTCCGACAAATCGATTTGAAAATCGCTGTGGGTTTTCACAGTCAAAGCTGCCACCTTCAGCGGTGGAAATCTCGACACGAAGGCGAACAAGAGGTAAAGGAGCTTCCAACACTTCATCATCCTCGTCATCGTCCAATACACCATTGGTTTCTCGCCACTCTGCATTCGCTTCTTCTATCAATTCCTCAACGATTGACATGAGGAAACGGGTCACCTCCGTTCGGTTGTTCTCCTTCCGAGCAAACTTTTGTGCCTCCTTTTGTTCGGATAGCACGATTTCGCGCATCACGAAGGGGCGAACCGTTTTCAAGCGAATCGGTTCGCACTTGAAATCTCGACCCGTAATACTCACGATCGACACCCGTTTTGGAACGGCCTCACCCGGGACTAGTGACGTTGCGACCGATGATCCAGGTTGCATAACGTGGAATTTGGTGATAGGGTTCAATTTCGGGTCAATCAAACACTCGTGTTCGTGTCCCCAAACCACCAGATCCATGAACTCGGGCAAGAAGTTCTCAGGCAAATATCCAGTCTCAGTGTATGCGTGATGATTTTGATGGACGGACATCAAGTTGAACCAATCATCCTTATGAACGGATGGCTGATAGAACTTGACTTTGCCGTCTCGAAAGGTGCGAAACAAGCGTTCATCTCGAACGTTGCTCATTCCGTACAGGGCCAATTTCGTTTGGCCTTTCTGAAGCAGCACAGGCTTGATTTCGATATTATCTGACTCCGGGGTTCGCCCGTAGTAGTTCAATAGGCCAGAGACCTGTAGTAGATCCAGAGCGGCGAGATGGCCTTCGCCTGAAGGGTCGTCATGGTTGCCGTGGATAGAGAAAATTGGGATCGCAATATTCATATCTAGGTCTTCGTAGTTGACATGGTTGAAGGCTCCTCGGAAGGTTTCGCTTGCATCGCTGAGCATCTCCAACTCGCACGGCTTGTCACCGAAGCAGTTCATTCGGATGGAACGCATCACCTGATACATGGACTTGCGCGAAGGCTTATTCTCATGAAAGAGATCTCCCGCAAGTAATACCATGTCCACATCATGTTCTTTCGCTAGACACATGACTTCATGGAAGCTTTTCCAGCTGTCATCTCCCCTAATGGGATCTCGTTCATTGTATCCGACATGGTTGTCGGTAGAAACAAGGATGCGGATGGTCTCCGCTTCTGTGAATAGTTATCAGGATATATTGTTCGTTGTAAATGATAAAATTCATTGCAAAAACCTTACCATTAGCACTTGGCATACTGTTTGGAGATCGATCGTTGGCCGCACGCCCGGGGTTCAGCTACTTGTTTAGAAGATGGTCCTCGACAGCTGGCCTGGGAAAAGCTGCTTCAATAGCCAGGCGCAGGTCAAAATAAACCACTGGAAGACCCAATAATATCTCAACCGACACAACTGACCCAAACGACAACTCCTGGTGTGTCGCAACGGGCCACAAAGAGACGGTTTAACGCGGACGTGCAGCGGGTCGCGCTATCACGTGAGACATCGCGCGTGAAAGCGGCCATGCGGCAATAATCCAGCTGCTCGTCGTCGGCGAAAGATGCCAGTGAGAAGAACCGTCCACGAAGATGAACGAGCTGACGACTGATATGCTCAACATTATCAATGTAATCAATGTAAGAATTTGCCCAGAAAAGACGTCAAGTATCGCTGAAGCGACAGTATCTGATGTGATTTGACTCGCGATAAGCTGATAGACTGATAAGACCGGATAAGCAAATTGCGGCGCGGCAGAACCGCACGTTCCCAGCGCCGTCTGAGTATTCTGCTACATGGCCGCTTTGCATCGCCTTCCGACCTCCGCTCTTCTCCCGTTGCGCGCCAATTCTCTCCTTTTCCCTCCGCATCGCATTCAAACCCCACGCTTCCCACCCCTCTTCTGCATTCTTCTTGTCTCGACTGATCCAGGTTTCTGCACTGGCTCAGTCGCTTCTGTTCCTCAGATCTCTTCTCAGACCTTTTTATGCAATCCGAGCCCTCTGCCGTTCCTCAATATACACCTGCCGTTGACTCATCTCAAGCCAACCTCCACCCCACCCAGCATGGAAATGATCTCAATGATGGCCCAGTCTCTGGTTCCCTCGACCAAGAGGAGATCGGAGACCAGTCGGTCCTTGAGTCTCCTGTACTGGGGGCAATCCGCGCGTCCGTGAACGAGGACCGCAGCACCCCGCTAACCTCTCCAGCCCGACGAGTGATCCAGCATGAAAATGCGGGAATTCCAGGGAAGAGGATGGCAGAACTCAACTTGCAAGTGGTTGCATCTAATGGCCAGTCAAACCTGCCTCTGGAGGCTCTTCCAAATGGTATGCTCTGATCTAAGAGTCTCATTCAACTTAGAAGCATTCAACTAACAACTCTCAACAGAGGTTCTCACCCATATACTTTCGCATTTGCCTCCTCAGTCTCTTTCGGCGATCACGCAGGTTTCCCGCCGGTTTCATGCATTGGTCACAACTCCTCATGCTTGGAGAATTGCATTTTCTCGTTTCTTCGCTGGCCCTCAGGCCATGGCACATGGGCGGCGCGACCCCGCGGACCAGGAGGATCTGATGTCGGATCGGCGATATTTCGCAAGGCTGACTGCTCTGGCGTCTTGGCGCAGTGAGTACATTCTGCGTACCCGGCTGATGCGCTCGTTATCTCGAGGCAAACCGGCTCAGTTCTCACCCTCCAAGAAACATGGAACTGTGAGGTCGGCAAACGCCCGCAACGGCAGCGCCGTGGTGACCTACACCTCGCAATTGCTGTTGCCGGTGAGTCATCTTCATGGCTCATTCAATACGGGGAACAGAGAGCCGACCTTCATTCACGGCGCCGCGGAACAAGGCCTTGCCTCTGCCAGTGACCCGTCGGCAGTCAAGATCAGTAACTGGGGATTATCGGATCACCAAATGTTTCGACATTTCGCCGATATTTTCCCAGGCGATGCGCCATATGGTCTCGGCGCAGGAGAAATGATTGGTGTGCCTAATTCGATGGATGTCAGTCAGCCCTACGGCATGATTTATGGCGAAGGTTGTCCCAACGGCCGCAGTTACTTCATTTCAACAACGGAGCAGCGAGGCCGTTTCCTTCTCCCCTCAGAGCTGGGCTCCCATCCCAACTTAGGCATTCCCGCCGTCAGCATGATCACAAATGCAATTTGTTCAGTCTGGATTGCCAAGTCCTCTTCGATCCTCAAGACAACTGGTGGGCTTATGGCAATGATGACCGGTTCTTCTACTGGTATTTTGTCGGCTTATTCACTAGGGTCTCATCCCACTTACGAAAAGCGATTTGAGCCAGGTCAGGCGACTGCCAAGTGGGTTCTCAGCCCTGGTGTTCCCATCATTGGCATTGCTGTGGATGGCCAATATTCTCTCAAGCGCCATTCACAACAACGTATATGGGCAGTCGCTCTCAACGCACTTGGAGAAATATACTACCTCACCGATCTCCCACGGCAGCCGAACATTCCATCTACTGCGAAGTTAAATGCTGAACAACTAGATGAGCTAGCCTGGAAAACTGGTAGAAGCGTGCGCTGGGAGCTTTTGGAACTGAGTAGACGGAAGGCTCGCCCAGACATATTCAGTCATGAGCCTGTTGATGGGAGCTATAGTCCGCGATCCTCATCGGATTCCATGGAACTTGATCCTACCCAGATTTGCGCCGAGACTAAGGAAATTGAAAAGTTCCTTTTGTTCAAACCGAAACACTTTCGCAATGTTTGCGAAGGGTGGAACATGCGATGTGACCTCCATGTTGATTTTGCTGGTGATGATGCGCGAGGCGCAGGCGAGTCTGTGCTCGTCATTGCTCGTGGAGGCGGAGACCCGGAAAATGCCTCGATCCGACGATATCTTCGTACTGCCTCGACGTCTGGCCTGAGTTCTTCAGCCTCTACACCTCAATTTGGGCATGAAAAAACTTTCAAGTCTCTCTTCGGTGGTCCAGTCCATATCTCGAACCCAACATCTGCTGACAGTCTTCCGCCGTCTCGCTCCTCAACTCGATCGGTAGACCTCATGCGCGAAGCCAAGAATGAATGGCGTGTTTCGAATTTTACGTTTGGCGAGAAGAAGTCCGTGGAGATTACTACGACTGCATTGGACAATTCTACCTTTGCTACCCTCCTGGCAGATGAGGACCCTCTTTTGACACTTTCAGGAACCTCGTTCTCCTCGGCCACAGCTTCGCCGATGCTGCCGCATATGGCACAGCCCCGGTCGACTCTTGAGGTCCCTGGTCAACGTGCAAGATACTTGGCAGTCGGCACAAACTCTGGCATGGTCTATGTTTGGGATATCCGTGCCCTTGCGGCGCAACACGCTGACGCCATTAATTCGATTTCTCCGCTGCAAATCATTCAGACTGAATCCCCGCAGATCTCTTGTGTGGCCTTGACATCGTTATACCTTGTGCATGGAGGAAATGATGGTCTTGTCCAAGCTTGGGATCCGCTAGCCTCATCCACACGTCCGATTCGTACTATCAATTCGCGGTTTTCGACTCGAGCGCGTCGTCGCTTAGTGCAGGCGGAGGCTACTATGTTAGGCGTGGGCAATAACTATTTTGCCACAGGAGCCATCAGTCTGGACCCAGATCCAACCTCGCTCCGCGGAATGGTATCGCTGGGCTCGCACCTTCGTTACTGGTCTTATAGCTCCTCTGCGGTGGATCAGTACAAGAGCAATAAGCGCCGAGTACGTCGCTCTTTGCGGGGCAGCAATGGCGCTGCAGATGGCCAGCGCTTCACCAGTAGTGGCCGAGGTTTGATCCAGGACTTTATCGAAGATGAGCGCATCGAACTTGAACGTCAGCAGATCGCAGACTCGAAAGAGCGGGCGCATCTGAGTGCGCGCTTTGGGGTTGACCTTCTTGGGCCTGATATCGATGAGGAACAACTTCTGGCTTATGCCCAGCTGCTCAGTGAGGAAGCGTACATGGGCGATACCGCAAAGCGTGGTGACCAGACGGCCATAGCTAGTTCTGTTGTCAGTACTTCGCCCAGCGATGTGGCCGGGCCGAGCTCCTTTGGGGTGGGTGACGTTTCCTCTTCATCGTCTCCTTACCAGGATCCTTCCGATGAAAATGTGGACGATGATATCGCCGAGGCGATTCGACTCAGTCTCCTTGACGAGAAAGCTACCACCCCACCAATCGACCTGACGCCATCCATTCCCATCAAGTATGCCAAGGGATTGCGACAACCTCGCCATACATCTAAGGATGGAGAGGCAGAAGGCAGCCAACGGCAGGAGATGGATGATCTCGAATTTGCCATCCAGCTCAGTTTGGCCGAGGAGAAAAGTCGGGACTCCGGTAATGGCGAAGAGTGGGAGGAGTTCCCAACACTGGCGCCAGGTCCGCTATCCTCTTCCGTGTCCTCTGGTAAGGGCAAAGGAAAGGCGAAAGCTGTTTAGAAGCCGAGGTTTATGGGATTCTGTTTGAGATTTTAAGTTTCATGGTTTAGTTTCGTAACCTGGTCGACTTTCATATGGGAGGGTTTTTTGATTTAACATCTATAAATAAAGCCTATCATTCGAGTTTTGACGTAAATATCATCGTTATCATGAGCTCCTGTTCCACTCTTTTAATTGACCCTCAACCTGCCAACTTCCTGCTCAGCTCCAACTGACTTCCATCCGAGGATGATCCCCGTTCTTTTCATTTGTGTCATAAACTGTTCCTAGAATTGTTTTATATCTTCAACCTCTGCTTTGAGAAATGTTGTGGTTCAATTCCCTGATTTGAATACGTAAATTTATCCATGTTCTATGATACTCGAGTCAGACTGTCACTGTTCGGGCTTTGTGAGTTCGCCAAGATGCCACCAGTCAAACCCAGTGAGTTGGTTAATACGGCTTTGTGATGGGAACTGACTATCTCAGTTCGCTCAGGAGCGTACTTGAAGCCCACTCCTTGAGCAAAAGCGGCGAAAGGGTGAGCACTACAATTCAAGGGGCCCGCTAAGGGGCTCTAGACAATCTACGGTGCTTATGCATAATTGGCCCGTTTTATCAGATGCTTTTTATGTGGAGAAGAGCGGGCAACCCCGCAATTTCAAAGAAGCCGAGCTGCCTCGGTCCTACTCCAAACTAAGTTGCAGGCCAATGCTTCTCAACGGTCAATTCTCTGGGAGAAGATATAGGATGCGTTTTCATACCTCAAAGTCCTAACAAGGCCGACATTGATTGTAATAGCATGGCATTCACCGGTCGTCCCATTCGTATTGCAGGCAGGTTTCATTCATCACGACCCTCCTGTGGCGCAATGACATTAACACTCCGCAGGCGCCTCGGGCTCTGCTTCAGATCGCCGTCATGCAATTGCTGAGTTTGCGCACCACTACCCGACCGACCCAGTCGATGTCATTATCGCCGACTTCATGAGCGAATTCAATATGGCCACGGCTGCTGGTCGGCGGGTGGACCAAACAACAGCTGTTGGCGCGACTGCGTCGCCGGCATACGACCTATCATTTCTAGAGGCGTTAGCCCCAGCCTTGGAGGATCTGGCCAAGTATGGCATCAAGCTAGCAGTCAATGCCGGTGTCACCGATACAAAGGGCCTCTACGAAGTGGTGATCAAAATGGTCCAGGCGAAAGGATTAGACCTGAAGGTTCATGCTCATTCTCAGACCCCGTACATTCATTAGACACAATGAGCTCTTTTATGCTAAACTCTAGATCTCTGAATAGGTAGCCTGGGTTTCGGGAGATGAAGTGCTGCCCACTATTCAAGGTTCATTGAAAGCCGGCCAGTCCGAGTTCCGGAACATCTACACGGGCGAAAAGCTGACCGACTGGTCCTTCGAGCCCATCTTTGCCCAGTGCTACTTAGGTGGATTGGGTATTGCGGCGGCATTGGCCGGGGGCGCCGATATTGTGCTCTGCGGGCGAGTCTCCGATGCATCGCCTGTCATTGGAGCTGCATATTGGTACCATAACTGGAAACGCAGCGAGCTTGACAAGCTGGCCAACGCTTTTGTCGCTGGTCATCTCATCGAATGTAGCAATTACGTCTGTGGAGGCAACTTCACGGGGTTCAAGGCTCTGGAACAGAATGGGGATGGCTGGGCCAACATTGGATATCCCATCGCCGAGATTTCGGCGGAGGGAGACGTGGTGATCACCAAGCAAGCACATGTAACTGGTGGCGCGGTTACTGTCGACACCTGCACGTCTCAGCTTCTCTACGAGATTCAGGGACCGTGGTACTATAACTCCGACGTCACCGCCATCCTCGATGGCATCCACTTCGAGCAGCGCGGTATCAATCGGGTTGCCGTTCATGGCGTTCGATCTGGGCCTCCCCCACCCACAACCAAGGTGGGCATCACCGCTCGGGGTGGCTTCCAAGCGGAGGTATGGTGGTTCTTGACGGGCCTCGATGTTGAATCCAAAGCACGCATGATGGAGACGCAGGTCCGCCGTCTGCTGGCTCCGTATGCCGATCGGTTTACGTCTCTCAAGTTCGACCTCCTGGGGTCACCGTTGGCAGATACTGCAGATCAAAATCGTGCGACTGCTCCTCTCCGTATTGTGGCTCAGGCGCGACATGCGGAGGATCTGGCGCCCATCCGCTTCCTGAAACCCATCACGGACAACATGATGCAGGGCTACCCGGGTGCGACTTGCCACCTGGATGTGCGACAGGGGTTTCCCCGTGCCGTCTTCGAATACTATGTGACTCTCTTACCCCAGAGTTCTGTGCGGCATCGAGTCCATTTGCCATGGAAGCCCACGGCTAGTACGCAGGTCCTGGAGATCTCCCCGCCTCCCACCGCGAAGATCTACCCGTCCCAACAGCCCTCACAGGCTGTCACTCACAGTGATCAGCCGGTCGATCTCGCTCGTGACTTTGGTCCAACGGTCCGGGGGCCCCTGGGATGGATTGTTCACGCTCGTTCTGGCGATAAGGGATCGGACGCCAATTGCGGCCTCTGGGTCCGACATCGCGATGAATATCTCTGGCTGCGGACGCTGTTGTCAGTTGATACTGCACGCCGGCTGCTGGGCAAGCCCAATCCTGCTGCAACGGTGATGGGAGACATTGACCGGTTCGAGCTGCCTGGTCTACAGGCCGTCCATTTCCTCTTCAAGAACCACCTGGACCGTGGCGTGGGGGTGACGACCACGGTGGACTTTCTGGGGAAGAATGTGGCGGAATTTCTGAGAAGCCGGCACGTCGATCTTCCTGTTCGGTTTCTGAATCGGGGCAAGCTGTAGATGGATCGCATCGGGGGTGTATAGCGGAGGGGTGGAGGGAGGCTAGTATCATGTACCTGTACCTGTACCGTGACTTGATTGCTCCTTTGTCCCCCTTGTAAGCTGGGAGGAACGCCTCAATACGTGGCTGCATGAGAGTTGTTTTAATTTGGTTTCATCCAGTATACGGCAGTATCGTAAGGCGTGTATAACCTCGGTCTGTGCAGGAGGAGGAGTCGGCCGTCGGCAAGGGAGTATACGAAGTAGCGCCCTCCTACGACTCGGAAGACTTCCAAGATTGCTACATTATCGTATCCGTATTCATCAGCTCGATATGTTGAGTGCAGACTCCACCACCTTTCTACAATGATCCTTTATGAACTTGAATTTTTGCAATTGTAAACCAGGATCATGCCAACCTCTCGGGGGGACTCTCCCTCTTCGCGGAGGAGGTCTTCCGTTTCCGCACCGACCTTTTGTTTTTTTTGGTACCTCCCGGCCCTATGCAGAGACTAGAATGAGTCCTCGAGCCTAGCTTACTCCAACGAAATCAATTATCAATCGAAGAAGGTTTCTAGAGGAGGAAGAAGAAGGAGGGGGGGGGGGGGGGGGGGGGGGGCGAACCCCGCATCCCCGACTCAAGTCAGCACGCATATTGCCTAATGCGGGAGTAAATCAGAGTCTCCTCGGCCCAGTCCACCAGAGGTTTGAGTGGTTCGTTTTTTGATGATTTGATCGTTTGATTGCTTTCGAGATATCTATATCTTTTTTTCCCTCTATTTTCCGTGCTATTTTCTCACTCCCTCCCCTTTCTTGAACTTTGCTTGTTTGATTTCTATGCTGGCTCATTCGTCTTTGTTTTGCTATCGGGATTGGGATTGGGATGGGGATTTGTTTTCTCGGCCGAGGGGGTCTTTGTCGTCGCGTCGGTCTGAGGGTCTTCGTCTTGTGGTGGACCGGACGAGTGGAGGCCGAGTAAATACAGTATATCCCGACACACCAAATGGCGGTTGTTGTGATCCCGCGACGGCTTGATCCTATGCCCTAGCAACGGGGACCTCGCGCATCCTCGATGCCTCGATGCCTCGGTGTCTCTCTGCCTCTCTGTCTCTCTGCCTCTGCTCGTCCTCTGGACGGAATATGGGGATTCCCGAGGTCTTCCCGTCTCCACCGCGAGTAACCGGGCAGACATTCGCCCGCTCGGCGAGTTATCATCATTCTGATGTACCCGTTCCACTTCGCCACGGTTTGACGCGCCCCTCTTTCTCTCTCTGCTGCTGCTTGTTCTCTCCCGGCAGCCTCGAGCGCAGGATCCCAGATTGATCGACACCCCTCGGCCCAACTCAAAGCGAATCCCGTGTGCAGGCTACAGGAGCCTGATCCACTCTTTGTTGATGGTGCTCTTCTCTCTTGCAGTAATAGAAGTACAACAGGACCAAGATAGAATCACACCAGCCCTCTCTTCTGTCGAACATAGGGGAAAAAAAAAAAAAAAAAAGACTAGAAAAATACTAGAAAAAGGAATCTACGAAGCGCAATAGTTGAAAAGAAAAAAAAAAAGTAACAATATTTACAATTCGCACCGAGAAGAGGGGGAGGGGGGAAATGAGCGCAGAGACTCGAGGGAGGGGCATTCGGACAAGGTACCGGGATGGTACTTAGGGCCGCGCCCAGGGTGTGCGAGGCCCCGCCGGTACCCGCGCGGTCGTTGAGCCCCGCTGTCCGTACGTATCGATACGGCTGACCCAAAAATACCGTGTCGAACCCCCGCATGCAACTAATGTACCTCATGCAACCACCGCAGCTAAACTCGGCTGCAGAAGACCACTAGGCGACTAGACGACCAAGACGACCAAGACGACCAGGACAGTGGTAAGAGAGACCCCGTAGTCCCTCCCCCTCCCCCGGCTCCATTGGAGGATGGGAGGACGAAAGGGGTCTCGGATCCACCGAGCATCAGTCATCCGAAATCGAAGGGGAAGCTCTCGTGGACCCGAACTCTGGGACCCGTGGGAAGAGGGGAATCTGTGACTTATAAAAGAATAACCTCCCCCGCCCAAGCTGTCCCCTTCGCCTCTTCTTCCCTCCCCCTTGCCTCCATTTTTCTCTGTACATTCCATCATCATGGCTCTGTCCACTACGATCAAGACCCCCAATGTCTCTTATGAGCAGCCTCTGGGCCTGTAGGTGACCACCCTCCCCTCATTCCACTCCAATCCCCCCCCCCCCCCTCTCCCCGGCTACCCGCCCAGTTCCCCTCCCTCCGCAAATCGAGAAAGACTGGTGTCTAATCGGGCGCTGTACCATTTGCCCAGGTTCATCAACAACGAGTTCGTCAAGGGTGTCGAGGGCAAGACCTTCGAGACCATCAACCCCACCGACGAGAAGGTGATCGTCGCCGTCCATGAGGCCACCGAGAAGGATGTCGACATCGCTGTCAAGGCCGCCCGCGCAGCCTTCGAGGGTGTCTGGCACGATGTGACCCCTCCAACCGGGGTCGCATGCTCATGAAGCTCGCCGATCTGTTCGAGCGGGATATGGAGATCCTCGCCTCCATTGAGGCTCTCGACAACGGCAAGGCCGTCACCATGGCCAAGGTCGACGTCGCCAACGCCGCCGGCTGCCTCCGTTACTACGGTGGCTGGGCCGACAAGATCACCGGCCAGACCATCGACACCAACACCGAGACCCTCATTTACACCCGTCACGAGCCCGTCGGCGTCTGTGGCCAGATCATTCCCTGGAACTTCCCCATTCTGATGTGGGCCTGGAAGATTGGCCCGGCCATCGCTGCCGGTAACACCATCGTCATGAAGACCGCCGAGCAGACCCCGCTCTCGGCTCTTTATGCCTCCAAACTCATTGTCGAGGCCGGCTTCCCTGCCGGTGTCATCAACGTCATCTCCGGCTTCGGTCGTGTCGCCGGTGCCGCCATCTCCAGCCACATGGACATCGATAAGGTCGCCTTCACTGGTTCCACCCTGGTCGGCCGGACCATCCTGCAGGCCGCAGCCAAGAGTAACCTGAAGAAGGTCACCCTCGAGTTGGGTGGCAAGTCCCCGAACATTGTCTTCGACGACGCCGATATTGATAACGCCATCTCCTGGTCCAACTTCGGTATCTTCTTCAACCACGGCCAGTGCTGCTGCGCCGGTTCCCGCCTGCTGGTCCAGGAGGGCATCTACGACAAGTTCATTGCCCGCTTCAAGGAGCGTGCGGCCAAGAACCAGCTGGGCAACCCCTTCGCTCAGGATACCTTCCAGGGTCCCCAGGTCTCCCAGCTCCAGTTTGATCGGATCATGGAGTACATTGACCACGGTAAGAAGGAGGGCGCCACCGTCGCGCTGGGTGGTGAGCGCCACGGTACCGAGGGCTACTTCATCCAGCCCACCATCTTCACCGATGTCACTCCCGACATGAAGATTGCCCAGGAGGAGATCTTTGGTCCCGTCATTGCCGTCACCAAGTTCAAGGATGAGGCTGAGGCCATCAAGATTGGCAACAGCACCAGCTACGGTAGGTCCTAGCACCATGATGCCTGAAATTCATGAAACCCTTACTGATCATCTGTGTTCTTCCTTTCTCTTTCAGGTCTTGCTGCTGCCGTTCACACCACGAACGTCAACACCGCCATCCGCGTGTCCAACGCCCTCAAGGCTGGGTAAGTTTTGCTCCTCACGTGGGATGGTCCTGGACTTTTGACACTAATTATGCGTGTCCCGTTATAGTACTGTCTGGATCAACACCTACAACCTGCTCTCCTACCAGGCTCCCTTCGGTGGCTTCAAGGAGTCCGGTCTCGGCCGTGAGCTTGGATCCTATGCCCTGGAGAACTACACCCAGGTCAAGACTGTGCACTACCGCCTGGGCGATGCTCTGTTCGCGTAAGCCAACAATGCAGAAATGGGGGTGGGAATATCAAAAAAGGCAAAGGAACATACTCAGGCAATGAAATGATGAAGCGAATGAAATCTGTTATTTTGATTTGTATATAATCAAAATTGTACCAATTTTGAAGTCTCTGGTCTCTGGGTCGTACTACCTGGATTTTCTTATCTTCCTCTTTCTTCCTCTTTCTCTTAAAATTCCGTTCTATTAGAATGCTCTTTTCTCTTTCCTTCCCATTCTCTGGTCAATCGCGGGGTCCCTCCACGGTTGGCGGGGCAGCCGCGTCACGTCAATACTCGTGTACCGTCCCCAGCCCTGTTCTCCCCGTCCGTTCGGTCTATCTACACACGAGGGGGCGCAGGCACGCGTCGACTGCCGGTTCCACGTCTCCTCCCTGATCTCGTCTGGGACTGGTCTGCGAGATGCCACAAAGCGTCCGGCCGTGGTCGCGAGTTGTGTTCGCGGGCGAATGCATCCCGTCTCGGGATGCATTCGCCCGAGCTGCCCCGGTGGATCCCTGGCGGGGGCGTTTCGATCCGGGACGCTCGCGGTTGACGGGGGATTGGCAACACTACTAATCATCGACCCCCAAGTTTCTAGAAATTCGCAATCGGTGGAATCTTACTGGTTTTGACTTCTTCTGGTATGATGTACGGGGTATCGTCCGGAATGTTCGGATCAGAAAATGGTTCATGAGCTGGTTGGACAGCGCCAGTACCTGCACCTTAAAAGTGGGTCGGTGGATACACGTAGTCTGGTCCGTACGACATACTAGCACCTAACTTTATATACTATTTGGTATGATGTGGCTTGACCAACTAGTATAGCCAAACCCAAATTTGGACTCGAATTTCATGACTTCGATATTTCCAAGTTCTCATGTACAATATTTACCATTCCTGAATTCTTATTTCCATGTCAATACAGTCTTACGCGGCCGCACCCACAGTGATCCCATTGGGCAATTCTAGGCCAATGGGCAGGCCACAGATGAATTGGTCGCTGTACCGCGTCCCGCGCTTTGCCGCCAGCTTCTCCTCCACGTCGCGATACATGTCGTATCTACAGGCAGTCAGCATTCTGATTCTGATGGGGAGGGGAACCAGATCTGGGAGGTAAGGGTGAAGCGGGAGAAACGGGGAAGAGGGAGGAGGGGCACTAACGAGTTCATCTCCTCGATGGTCAAGACCTTCTTCGGATCTTCGACCTTATAAGTGGGGGTATCCTTGTTGACGGAAAATCCTAGCGAGCGAGAGTATGTCAGTATTGAAGAGGGGGTTTCCACCGATGATCATTGTTTTTCTTTTTCTTTTTCTTTTTCTTCCTTGGACATACCGATTCTCTCATTGATGTTGTAGGCAGCCTTCGCGGCGGCAGCTTGCACTCGAGTCGCTCGTGGCAAGCGCACCTCCTCATACACGGCTAGGGACTCTGCGATGTCGCCATTGAAGTATTTCTTTTGGAACAGGATGCCGAGCGCGGCGGCATCCTCGATCGCCATACAGGCACCCTGGCTTTGGTGTGGCATCATGGGATGGCCGGCATCCCCCAACAGACAGACGTTGGCCTGGTGAATATATGGATATGGGTCATGCACCCACAGCCGCCAGGGCTGGATCTCCTGACCGATCGCAAGATGCTGGAGGACCTGGCGGTCAAGCTGGGGGTAGGGCTTCAGCAGTTCCTCGACGGGGCGGCTCTCGGCTCCCCATGCTTGGGTGGAGTAGTCACCCTGGTCACGGGGGAAGAAGCAGTAGTAGGAGAGCAGCTTGCCGCCGTTGCAGGGTGAGAGCACGATCTTGTCCCATTTGCCTTCTTGGCCACCCCAGTATTCGAGGGCACTGTCCTGGGAATAATCGACCAGCCCCAGCTTGACGGCTTCGTCGGTGCTGACGTTGGCATGCAAGCAGCTAGACTCCGACGGACGCTTTGCTGGATTAATGCCGAGAATGCCTCGGACGGCGGAACCGATGCCATCGGCGCCGACGATGAGATCGTGCTGTGCCGTCACGCCGTTTTCAAAGGTGATGGTGCTGGTTGCGAGATCGATGTTGCGGCACTAGATGTGATGTCAGCCGGGTTTTGTATTCCTTCCCCCTCTTCTTCTTCTTCTTCTTCTTCTTCTTCTGATATGGACTCATTTGGAGAGGCATACTCGGTGGTTCACGATTAACTTGGCGGGAGTTCCCTCGCCGTCTGCGCCCAGCGCCGAGTCCTTCAACATGGAGTGCATATACTGGCGATGGAACATGTTGTACACATATCCCCAGCGCTTCTCATAATCATCTAAATCATAGACACTGACGGGCTCGCCCGTCTTCCAGTCGCGGTTGATCAGCTTCTTCAACACCACCGGGTCGCCCTTAGCGACATCCACGCCCCATTCATGCAACCAGCGAGTACCGTTCGCCGCGCAGGACACTGAGGCCCCAACTTCGCCGGCGAAATCCGACTTCTCGTAGATAGTCACGTCATGACCGGCACGACGCAGGGCGATGGCGACCGACATACCGCCGATGCCACCACCGATGACGCCGACACTGATACGTCTCCAACCCGACATGGTCCTTGGTTTTGGAGCTTGGGTTTGTTTGAAATGAGAGAGGGGGGGAAGGAGAAGAAGAAGCTGAGAGATAGATGAGGGGGTCCTGAACGCCTCTCTCCAACCCCATTTATATCGTGTTATCTCTCACTCTTGTCTTCCCCAAAGTGCCAGATCCGCTGGGCCGCTGGGCGGGCCGCGCACCCGCTTATCGTCGGGTCGGGGAAGTGGAGACAAAGTATAATCAATCATCGACGCTAAAATCGTATCGCCTTCTAAACACTCCGATAGTTTAGTAACTATGAATACTATAGATACTCTAGTCCATCTGGCTGGCCATAGGCGTCGAGTGAGACGTTTTGGAAGCCCAAGCAGTAGCAACATCAGATCAAATCACCAGCCATGTCTATGCCAATAGAGAACAAAATAAAAGGAAAGGGAAAGGCCAGAGGTGATGAGAGAATCGCCATCCGCAGTCTTCCGTGTCGGTGTCGGATTACTTCACCCTTCGATCTATTTGACAACAAAGCATTGTCTTCTCAAATAATGCAGTCGATAGAGGGTCGACCCAAAAATTGTGCCCATTATCTGGCCTAATGTGTCTCGTCTCATTCAGTCTCACAATGGAATAGCCTCGATGAAAGACCGTTGTCCTCCACAAAGAAATCGATCTCAATCAAATTATATGTCATTCACAGTCTTTGTGACTGAGGAATCGAGTATCTATTTAAGTAATCGCCTCGCAATATTTAAGTAATCGCCTCGCAAGCTTTGCTGATACTGGGCACCTCACCAAGATTCCAATTGACAGTCTGGGGGTCCGACTATACCACTGTCAACACATTTCCCCTGAAAGATACCTCCAGCATCTTGTAAGTACCGGGACAGTCGTCCGAATCATCGAAAATGAGTCGGACTCCGAGGTATTACGTTAACTTCTTTCTCCAGCCCAAGCTCAACCTATTGCTTGATATCGACCTCCTTGTGGCCCTGAAATGTTTGCTCGGGAATGAAAGCACAACCGTTACTGTTGATCCACCCAGCCTCAGCTCCTCTCCGATTTTTCTATCCATTCATCTGCCCCCAATCGACCTGATGCGCTTTCGCGGGGAGTACGTAGTCTCGGAGTCTAATATTGTGGCCTGGACGGACGGGCTTCTTCAGACATGGATTTGGCGCTTGCCTTCCGAGGGGTTACCGTTCGACCGCGACACGCTCTTCGACTTAACGAGCCCCTGTGTCATAGACATTTCCTTGCATGAGGTTCCAATCTGATACTTTCTCTCCTTCTGCGGTCTGCTTTCGTCAAACTTGTTGCTGATTCCTTGGTGACTTTCTCGTGGGGTCCGCTTCATCATGAAAGGACGCCAGTGCGCCCCTTAATATCCAGTCGTTCTTGATCCAGTCTAAGTGTCCATCTCTTCAGATCCAAATATCAGGATATCCAGTAGTAGAGTAAAACAGATGCTTCGTAGCCAATTGACTTCGATGGAGTCACTCTATCGCGAGATCGGTTCAACTACCTCAGGATCGAGGTCTAGCATGACCAATACCTCCAAAAGGAGACCAGGGTAATACAAATTCAGTAGGAAGTCTCCATTGCAAAAAGAATCATGGCATATATTCATCCATCCGTATCGGACATAACCAGAGAAAAGTCGTACACTCTCCATAGAATCCTTTTATAGCACAGACGAGCCGGGCTCGGTAAACGGGAAACTATCCCACAAGGGCAGTTCCATACCTTCCCAGTCGAGAAACGCACTATCCGTTATCGGAGGGGTGACCGTGGCCGATCCGTTATCGTGAGCAGGGAGCCATGGGTAAAAGGCGCCGCCTTGTGCAAGAAGAGAACTCGTCATATCGTCGCGACCACCATCCTCCATTCGAGGAGTCGGCGTGGCCTCACTTAAGCTGAAAATCCGACTTACATACTGGCTGCGTCTGTGTCGCGCCTGAGCTGACAGACGTTGGCGTTGCTGGGAGACGGCAGCTTCAAGCAGCGTAAGAATCTCAAAATAGTGAGCGGCTTGTGCAGACTGGCGGGCCAGCATGCGAAGGATCACCAAGGCACCAGTGAAAGCCCCGTCAATCTCGGCGTCGACATCGCGGTGGGAAAACATTGAAAACCCCAGGACCAGGGCTGCCGCAAACACAAAGGCCCTAATGGCCGATGGTTAATATGTCATGACGAGGTAGAAAATTCCGATCCACAAAGAAGAAGACTTACTTTAAGAGAGCCATTTGCTGAAGCAGCAGCCCGGATTGGTGAACTTCCAAACAAGTTTGGAGCATATAGACTGCCGAGTCAATACAGGCAACGGCGAGCCTTGAGTGCGCGGGGTCCTCCTCTAGGGCCTCGCTCACAACCCCTGTCGAGAGACTTTGGTGCAATCGGGCCAGGCGAACACTCAAAGTGGAGATTAGGAACGGTCGAGTAACCAAAATCACAGCGAAATGGTAAGAACAGGCCACATGCATATTGCCGATGATGCGTTCCTGTACGATCTCACGATCTTCATCTTCGGTGACCGCGGTTCGCAGAGACTCCGGCAAATCACCACTCCAGCGGGTCAGTTTAGCCAAGAGTGAATTCGCCGTTTCGATCGACGCTGATTTTTCACTATACAGCCGACTGACGATTTCATCCAGAATCAACGACAAGCGATAGGACGCGACTAGGCTCAATACCGTGGGGTTGGATGTGATTCGGTCCAGATCTTTTCGGCTCTCAGGCAAGAGCCCGACTGTGGCGGCTGGTCGGCCGAGGATCGAGCTCGCCAGGAGATCGATCACACAAAGGCTCATCCATAGCCTTGACCTAATTCGAATCTGTCAATTTTGTCACTCCTGTATGATTATTGGAAGCTATGGAAAGGACACCTTTCTTGTTGTTCGTTCTCATTCAATGACTCCGATGAATCTGCATGGAGCCCCAAGGCAACAGCCGACCGAGCGGCGACGCCCAGGTACATGAAAGAGGCATTTCGGCGGCAGGCACCAAACATGTAGAATGACATGAGCAGAAAGACCCGAACCAAATCCAAGCTGGGATCCTCCAGGAAGTTGGCAAAGGTCCTCTGCTGGCCCCGGGTGAAGAAGAATCGCTCGATTCTGTCCATCTCAGGGTCCTTGGGGCACGACTGGGCGCCGATGGCAATCATGAGATCTGGAATTGCCGCGTGAGTCTTCTCTCGATCTGTTTGGGGGTCTTCTGGGTCGGAAAGAAGTGCGTCTGGATTGTATCCTAGATCCAAGAACCCGCTGGTCTAGTCGATGGTTGGTAAGTGCTCAATCCCCTCCCTTCGTCCACTATGTCGTCCATCGGGTCAGGGCCGCCTTACCACTGTACGAAACCTTTGCAGGAACCGGCTCTTTTGCTCTGAGTCGCAACAGTCTTCTGAGAAGTTTGGTGAGTCATGGTGGGCTTCGGTCTCAAGCATATCTTCACTCTTGAAATTATGGGAGAACTGTGACGGTCCAATATGTTGTGTGACGGTTTCCCGAAGCAATTGGAGAAACGACAGGGACGCGGCCTTGCCGACATAGACTATGTACTCAGGGTTAGCCACGTCCACAGTCGGACGTGTTATACGAGGTCTTAGTCATTCGATTCCATACCTCGCTCTCCTTGGAGATTTCGCAACATGCGCGGATGGGTCCGATGCGTTGCCTCGGGGGAGCGGGAACCCGCTTCGAGCGATTGTTCGACGGAGCGACCATGGGGACTGGTCTCATGGATGCTGGTCGGCGGCGGGCTCTGAAAATTTGTTGAAGCCTCGCCCCATGACGACCTCGTGGCCGCGGGGATAGTATCTGTTGCTTGACAAGTGGCAGAGGGGTGGCGGCTCCGACTCTCGCCTGCGACCAATTTGAACGGCATACAGGTGCGGCCCTGGCCCTTGTGGATGCAACTGGTGCAGGGGAAAGAGCCGCTGCATCGCTTCTTGGAGGCGCGACATGCTGTACAGGCAGTGTTGGCCCGTAGGCGATTTGCGGGCAAGACCTTCGGACGCCCCATGATGGAGGAGAAGACGAGAATCCGGGGTCGGGGTCTCGAGCCATCCGTGATCGTAAGTGCCCCGCAGGTGAAGTGGAGATTGGACACGATAACGATCGGCGGTGCTCGGCCCGAAACCCCATCAACAACCCCAGGCTGTGCTCATGCGAGGTTCCGAAGATGGCACCTGTGAAGGATGTTGCGATAAGGGGTCCCGGACACATTTTAATTCTGTGTTTCTTTCTTGCATCCCAGGTGTGGGGATTCCTTCGACTGCATGCCCGTAATTTCACCGTTGCATACATCCTTACACTGGGTTCCGAAGTCGGAAGGGGATCCGATAGCGCCAACACTGAACATTGGACAGCCCACCAAAGAGAGCAGAATATTGTCGGACAAGCATGATGATGCAGAAACGAGGGGATTGGGTGATAGATCGATGTCCTCTAGGGGGTTGGGGGGTGGCAATACTATGCTAGAAGGTGTCTTGGGTACATCATTCGACCAAACGTGAATATCTCTGTGCATCTTGTATATAAATAGAGAGAGAGGGGGATATATATATACACTCCCTATCCAAAAGTCTGTGCATGCGACCCACTTTTGGCTTCCACCATCAAATATATATATCTATTACACTACACACCACACCACCATCTTTCTAGATATATATTTCTAATAAAAAAGTTAAATTCGGGTAGGGTTAGACTCGCTTATCAACCACTGATATTTTGTATAATAACCACGTGCTAGACGCACAGCCCTAAAACGTCGCTTAACACTCAATATCAATGTATCTATCTTCCTCTATTCTAATGCCTTCCAAGCTTCTATAATACAAGCTTTGAAATAACGCCAATCCTGCTCAGACTTTCCCATATCAACAAGCTCTGGATGCAATTCGAAAAGCTTCAATTTTAACCACCTCCAGACAGGTTCTATCGGGTTCAAATCAGGTAAGTGTAGAGGCCAATCCTCTACCCAAATACCGTGTGTTTCAAACCACTCTTGTGTTAGCTTTGCAACATAAATCCTAGCGTTATCTTGTTGAAAGATCTTACTAGGCGTATAGATAGGCACTAGACCTTTTTCCAACGCTAAAATATAGGAATTCGCTGTATAACCTCGCCGTTGCCGCCCGGATTCATCAACCCGCTCATCCCGCTCCATAACTACTAATTCCGACCTTCCACCAAGCTATATAGCCCCCCAAACTATTTGACTAATATCTTTAACGTGTATAGTCTTATTAACTAGGTCGTTTCGGAAGCTTTCAGACCTAAATCGCTAACACTATCTAGGGCCAAGATTCGTTGTTCGTTCAATAGAGCACTCGTCGGAAAAGATCCAATTTTCAATCTCAATATATCGATTTCTTCTAGCATAACATAATCGTTTAGCAGCAAGACCTTTCGAGATAGGAATCTTACATTTAGCAAGGCGTTTAAATATAGCAAAGTGCTTCAAAATCCGTCGAATAGTCGTTTTAGAGATAGCAATAGGCATACACGCAGCTAGTTGTTTATAGGTCCAGAACGGGTGTCGACGAGCTTGCAAATATAAATATTTACAATCTCTAGTAGTAAGCTTTCTAGGCCTACCAGACCTAGGCGCTGATTCAAACGTTGTAGAATTTTGGTAGCGTTGAAGCGTACTATAGATTGTGCGAATTGAACAGCTAAACTCCTTTGCTAGTTTAACACGCGATATACCCTGATTGGCAGCATATACAATACTCTGACGTTGCGAAGGGGTAAGCTCACCATTTCTCTTTCGATTACCACCAAAATTAGCGTTGTCGGGTTCCATGGGTGGTTAAAGAAGAGAAAAAAAAAGATAGGGAGGTGGTTGTTAGAGCAATGAAAAGTGGGGCATGCACAGACTTTTGGCCCCTATTGTATATTGATATATAGGCACTGTTGAGAGTTGGGCTGTTCTGTCTAGAGAAATGAATGTACAATTACTAACTATCCCGGTCTCGCGGTAGATACCTACTGAAATTCGATACCCTTACGAAGCCACGGAAGTTTCCTGGACGCGAATCTATCTCAGTCCCCATGTTGGTGATCCTGATCCAATTGTGCATAGAACCTATACATGTATCTCGACCTAGTAGACGTACAGCCCGAATCTTGGTCTTGTTGGATTAATTAATTAATTAATTAATTCATTCTTTGAAAATTGACAAAGATCGTTTTCATCGATATGAAACGTCACACGACAGAGTCGGTGATTGGTCTTCTGGAATTTACGGAGTACATTCTTCCCCTGGTCTGACCGATCTGGGAATGGACGGAGTATACCCGTACCTATTCCAGGTCGAGGATTGAGACGAAGTTCGGCATGCCGAGAACACCAAGGCTCGGCCAAGTTCCGTTGCGCAGACCCGCATCTTCTGCTCTCGCTTGTGCAAGTGGGCAAAGAGTCCGAAAAGGGAGACGGTGTGAATAAGGGAATGCAGGGAAGCGAGAATCAAGAGAGCCGGGAGGGACTGCATTGGCCATTACCTGGCCCCTGCACAAAGCGAGAGGAGTTCTATGTCGGCCTAGCCAATCCAAAGTCGACAGGCGCAGCAGAAATTTTTCGCAGCAGTCGAAATTTTCGAGCTTTTTCGTCCCATCGGGTCCACAGACCACCCACTGATTGGCGGAATGCGGCGACCGCCCCACCGAAACAGGTAAACCACACGTAAAAGACGGGCAAAAAGTGCAAACGCCCAGCGCCGCTCGGTTAGTCGTTAGAGCCGGCGGCGGTGAGTCTGCGTGTATAAAAGGGCCCGCGACCCCGAACCTCTTTCTCTTCTTCAAGCGACTTTACGTATGTTCTCTCCTCCCCATACCTTTCCAAACCAGCCTCACCAGAATCTCTTCGGATTCTCGAGAGCCTGGGGAACAGGTTCTTGCCGGTGAAACCAGATGCTAACCGATCTTCTCTTGACAGTTCAAAGAATCACTTTAGAGTAAACGTCCCAATTCTAAGCTCTTTAAAAGAGCCACAGAATCTCCACCCTTGCTGATGACTACTATGTCCTCGATGCCCTAAAGTGAAACCATTTGGACTCCCGCCTCGACTGTCACGCGTGCTGCTTGCAGTGTCTGCGTTTCGGTCCAGGGAGTGGTGATGATCTTGGCCTGGTCTCGACGTCTTGACTTCGGTCGGTCGGTCCTGGTGGGTGTCGAGGAGGTCTGAAAGGTGCTCTTCACATCTCTTTTTGTTTTCTTCCCTTTAATGTCGGGGGATGACGATCACAGAAAGAGAAGTAATTGAAGAGTGTCAAGTGGGTGATCTGTTGGCTCCTTCTGAGTTAAGAATCAAGATATACACAATGAAATGAATTTTATACAAACTTGTTTTCCATATCTTTGTGTAAGCTCGTAGTTGTCTTCGGAAACCCTTGCTCAATTGGAAGCTTGATGGACGTGGGTTTTTTGAACACTGGTTAGATTTCATGTTTCATCCGACCGGATTGAGGATCCTGCCAGTGTGAGTCCTTGGTAGCCACTACGCATTGATCGGGCCCGCGTTCAGGTCCAATCTGACCGAGACGAAGGGTATCATGCACGGGCTTTCATTGGGCATGTGCCGCGGACGTCTGATGTTAAAAGTGCTAAAATGCTAAGCTGGCGCTACTTCTCCGATCCGTTCTTCTCCGTCGGAGTTGCAGGCGCACCACCGCCCTTCGACCCTTCACCTCCTCCGGCTCCCTTCGGTCCCTTGTTGCGTCCGCGGCCGCCTCGAGGACCCCGAGAAGATCCTCCAGATCCTCCAGATCCTCCGGCTCCGCCGCCGCCACCGCTCCCATTTCCTTCGCTGTTACCACTCTTGGTTTTGCCGCCCGTCGCGGACGCGCCGTCTCCTCCTCGTCCGCCCTTCTTCGACTTCTCCCCACCCGGATTGGCCTTGCGTTCCAGCACCACGACCTGGCTCTGGGCGACCGAGACAGGACTGGCAGCCATGGCCTTCTGCAATCCGTCCGGCTCGGCGAAGTCCACATACCCAAATCCTTTCTTCTTATCAATCTCCACCTTGGTCACGGCGCCAAACGCGGCGAACGCGGTTTCCAACAGCGCCTCGGTCACTCCCTGAGAGGGATTCGCGTGTTTGAGGAACGCCTGGGTGGCGGTTGGGGTCGCGGAGGCAGCGGCGGTCTTGTTCTTCGCGTTCTTGCTGGACTTGGCGGGGGGTTGGATGTCACCGGCGACGACGTGGTGTTGGGAGCTCGCGAGACTGGTGATTGAGAATCTCCTCCATCCCTCGCTTTGGAAGCATTGACGGCGCCCTTGGCGGACTTGGAACTAGCTTCCCTTTTTGCTGCTCTCCGTAGTGACCGGAGACTCATGTGGACTCTCATTTTTGGGGGAGCCGGTATCGTTGGCTCCGCCTTTGCCCCTTCGTCGACCTCCGGAGGTGGTCAGTCCCAGGTCTCGCTGCAAGATCTTGGCCGCCGCGGTCACATTGCCTCGTTCCCTCTTGCGCTCGGAGGCCATGGTGGAGGGAGTATCTTTCGCAGTATTCGTGCCGCTCCCCTTTCCGCTCTTCGTAGTTGTAGTTCCACTAGCTTGCTTGGACGCCTTGCTGGATTCCTTGCTTGTCTTTTCGCCCTTGCCTTTTCTCTCCGAAGCAGATCCAGAAGCCGACTCCTTATCGGGTCGCTGTAGAAGCTTTTTGGCCTGAACCTTCTCCTGTTTTGATTCCTTTTCGGCTCGCTTAGAGGACTTGGAGAATCCACTCTCTTTGGCTTTGCTTGCCTTCTTGTCCTTGATGAACTGCACCAGAGGTGTCATCACCACCGCCTCTTTCTTCTCCTCAGGCTCAAGTAGGTCCACAGTGGTCGGTTTGGCAATGGGTTGCGTCAGGCTTTCGAGGAAGGCAATGAAATCGGGATCTTGATCAATGGTGCCCTGGCGGGCATCTTTGCGAACACGACTGCCAGGGGTCTTGGCGTATGGCGCAAACTCCAAGCTGGGAGGGCCAAGGAGAACCGGATCATGCGTCGTATTACGGGCATCCTGGAATGAGGCCTGTCGCACTTGGTCCGACAGCGGCCCGACTTGCTCGCTGGAAACCACATGCAGGTAGGCTCGGGATGGACGAGAGGGTTTGGCAGGACTGGGAAAGAGAGAAGCCCATCGATCAGTTGGAAGTCAATTGAAATTGAGTGGAGGGGAAGAAGCATTTCTCTCTTACTCCTTCGAAACCTTGCCTGGCTTGTATTGGAGCCAGTCAACCTTGCCCGCACCCACCCGCCATTCCTCGCCGAGGGCGGCTTCAAACTCAGCTTGAGTGAGCCCTGGGGGCAAGCGGCGCACAAGAAGCTTCAAGCGCGGCGTCGGGGGCTTAGGAGCCTTTTTCGTGGGTGCAGATGAAATCGATTTTTGGGTGGCTGCTGCAGGAATCTGGAGCACACCGGCGGTGGGCTTGCCCGCCGCTGGCTGAGTCATGATGAGCTGGTTTGTTGGAAGTGCGCACCTTCTCTGTTGATATATGAAGGAACAAAGATTAATGAGGCTGTGATAAAGAAGATGGATGGGTTTTACCCTTCGCAATGCTGTGGAGGCCCCCGTCCAGGTCAACCCTTTGCTGCGGAGTTTCTGTGAATCGAGCGGGGCCTGCGCTGACTCAGCGAAGCTTCACTGGCTGCCGGTTAACTAACAATTGTAGCACCAGATTCAAAAATATTTCAAGCTTCAAGAGGCTAATTACAGTGGGTGAGAAGTGAAACCCCTCCCAAGAATAAAAAAAGGCAGGCGGTAAATCAGGATTGATATATAATTTGATTCGAAATTCTTTTATCATAGTTGGCTGATTTGTAGTACTGGCATAGCAAGCAGAGGACAGGCCCGAGTAACGCAAAAGGCTCCGAGGGTACTACAAGCCAAATCTATATTTAAAATATGTCTTGGCAGCCAGGACTAGCCTTATAATTGACAGGATAATCTGTTGCTCGACTTGGGGAAAAGGCATGGCGGCGAGGTGCCAATCAAACGGGATAGGAACAAGCAATACCTGCTACCACCCAGAAGGGATTCATCGTCGGTAGTGATGTGGACATTCTCAACTTGCAGTCGCCGCCGAATGCCGTCCGAAAAAAATTCGGGATGAGTCGTGATGGACATGAATTGAAAGACGGAGGCATGATAATCTTATGATGTAGGGGCAGCAGCAGCAGCAGCCTCGAGGGCTTGGGCCCTAGCTTCAGCCCGAGTGCGGCCCTTGCGATAAACACGTTCGTCATTGGGATCAAATCCGCCACGGCCCCAGGTTGCCCACTCTTCTGTTTCACGCATATAGTCCTCCGGAGTGAAAGGAGTGCCATCTACCTTCTCCTTCTCCAGCAGGTCGAAGAAACGATCGTAGTCGATTCGGGTGTGCCACTTGTTATTCACATAGAACCGCTCCGAAGCAATCAACACACAGCAGCTATGCGCATGCTCAGCAGCAATTCCATACTTCAGACCCCGACGCTTCAGTTCCTTGTCCAGGGCAATGACAAATGTGGTGACTTCTTCATAGAATGGCACATTCTGCATGGTCAAACCAACACCAGCACTTGTGCTGGTTCCACAGAAGGTCACACCCTTGATCTCGATCAGACCTGGCAAGGCCTTCTCGACCAAGTTAGCATATCCAATAACTTCATCATCCAGATTGAACCCCTTGACGAGGGTCAGTCGGAAAACAGTACGTTGAATATGGCGCTTTTCTCGTAGAATGTCCAGACAGCGCTGAAATCGCTCCCAGAAGTCGCGGTGTAGGGGACGGTCAATCTTTTTCAAAGTTTCACGGTTGCTAGCGTCGATAGAAACATAGAGCTGAGTGACACGGTGCAATGCCTCGAGCTGATCGGGGTGCTGGGCATTGCAAACAAGGAAGCTGGAGATGCGCTCGTCGTGCAACATGTCCAGAAAACGGTTGATGTGAGGGTAGAAAATGGGCTCGCCGACCAGACTCAAGGCACAGTGGCGAATTCGCATTGCTTCAGCGAAGCGCTCAGCTCGAACACCGGGCACACCCTTCATCATCTTGATCTTCTTGTAATGACCCGCCTTGACGCCGTCAAAGATCAGCTCAGGAGAATCGACCTTCCATCGCCAGGTCGTCCCGACAGGGTTCGTGCCGTGGCGCCAGCAAAAGACACATTTGTTGCTACAAGACAGCGACGGAGTCGCCTCCATGCAGAGATGGGATCGGATGCCGTAGAAAGAATACTTGTAGCAGGAACCACGGCCACGGAGAGCAGACTTGGTCCACCGGCAGATCTTCACACCGGAATGTGAGCCAACAATCGTGTACCCTTGCTTGGTCAAGGCGGCATAGGTCGGGGAGGTCGTGGGGACCATTTCCTTAGCTGCTGGCTCCGCGGACACAGCTTTGCCTACGGTGGTGAAGTCCACCGGGATGGGACCAGCGGAATCGCCGTTCATCTTGATGTCTTCCAAGTCCACCATCGTCTGGCCATTTTTCTTGCCCTCTGAAGACTCGTTCTCATCGTCCAAATCCTCCTCATCGCTCTCTAGTGCATCACCGCTACCGGGAACTCCCTCGCCAAGGCCGCCATTCTGCACAATATCGAATAGTGTATCCTGGAGCCCAGAGGACCATTCCTTCAACGCCGTCTCCGCATCTGACTTCACATCACCCATGCCCATGGGGTAGGCACGCTTGCGGCCTGTGAGTTTCGCCATCCACCGATCGATCTCTGCTGCCTGGGAGCAGAAGCCTTCCTCTTCCGTTGGCCATTCGACCTTGTCACCAAACCCGAAGACGGAATAGCCTGCCAACTGGGAGAGGGGCGCGGTGTCAATTCGGAAATCATGATGAGTTTCCTCGAGATGGCCCAGGAAAGTATTGAGAATGCTGTCAACGTTGTACGTGGGAACTAGAATACAGTACAAATAGCGAGTACCGGGCGAGGTGGTGGGTGGCTGGGGGATGCTTGTAAAAAACTCGTCGAACTCGACCTCGGCCAGATCCTGGATCTGCGGGGGAAAGAGTCCCCGTTCCCGGTCTTGAGAATCGACTTGCTTCTGAGATGCCGCGCGCAATTCTTCCAAAAGGGTCTTCGCATATCGTTCAGTGGTGGTGGTCAAGGAGGCAAAGAAGATGATCGGCTGGATGAAGGTGGTGGGATGACCCTCCTCGGCGGATGCACGGCGGCCGGCAATGGTCTTGACTGGCTTCTTGCCCTGAACACGCTTGGGCCCCGAGGAGGTCTTTGAGAGTGAGCTATTTTGAATGGGCCTGGTGGTGGCCGGGGTCGCAACGGGGCCCTGCTTCTCAGTCGGAGCCGGGATTTTCTGCGCCTTTTCGGGGGATTGGGTGCGCGGTGACGACGGGATCGAAGCGGAAGCCAAGGTTTTCGATCGCGCTTGAATCTTGCGATAGGTACGAAAGGCGATAAATAATGTGGAGAAAGCAATGAGGAGAGGAAGACGATAGGCATGCCACACAGCTAGCAGGTCTGCGGGGGAGAGGGGACACGGTTAGAAGCGCCACTGGAAAAATCCTTGACAGCAGGTTGGAGTAACATACTGTCAGTCACGGTGGGCGTGCCCGCCATGGTCGCACAATTCCTGGAGATTTCTCCAGAGGTCGATTCGTGAGGCAGTCGAGACGGAAAAGATAATCTCGTGAGGGTTGAAAAGAAGGGAAGTTTGAAAAAGGATGAAATGTGGTGAAGTGGAGACGCGATCGAGTAATGACCGGCTCGGGATTCGTCAGTGGAGGTTGGTTCATTTTGGTTCCGCCAACGAGAAAGGATCAAATAGGATTGATAAGAGAATGAGCGCTTATTTCTATCGAGTTTCTTCCTGTCTGCTTTTGCCTCGCTAGTTTTCAGCAATAGTGAAATGGTTGTGTTCTTGTCCAACCCGGGTCTTTTTGGTTGGATGCAACTCCCCCACCGCTACAACGGAGAAGAGCTGGATGTTCTGTCATTTAGTCCCCATGAATTGATTGATTCTCAACAGGGAGTACATCATAGATAACCCAGAGGATCGATTGGATGGAAGATAGGAGAAAGTGGAGAGTAAGAAGTTGATGCTATGTGCTGGCAGTGATCTATAGAGTCGATGCCATTCCAAGCCCTTTACGCCAATGGAAAACCGGCATTGGAAGCCATTCGGAGAGTATTAGAGAGTCGGATCCCCCGATGGCCCTTTTATGCCCTCGCCTCCCTTCATTCTCCCTTTTGACAACCTGTGCTTCTTCTATTCATGAGATCGGACCCTCGACTTACCCTGACCTGATCTGACCTTATCTGACCTGATCTGATCGCTGTATCGCCCACTAGACGGGTTATCGCCGTTATCGATAGCGCAATCGTCTCCTTCCCCAACTTCTCGATTGCCCACCGCCGTGCTTCTCTGCTTCACCAAAGGAACAAAGCGAAAGGAATCAGGCACAGATTCTTTATCTGATGGATGAGAAAGTCGTTATGCAAGCCTCGTATAACGAGGCTTCGGGGTTCAAGGGCCCGGAGAGTGCCTCGACCCCCAAGCGGCCCTCTGTTCGGAGCTGGGCCCTGTTGGTATTGGGGATGATTGCCGGAAGCTGGTTTCTATGGCCGCGCGACTGTCGCCACGCTCGCATGCTCACCATTGAGGACCGAGTGCATCAAATTCTGTCCAAAATTCCACTGATTGGTACGATGTTGTAGCGTAATATGGCTGTGATATTGGTGGGTTCATGCCGACTGACCTCGCTGGCAGATGGCCATGATGACTTCCCCTTTCTCATCCGAGAGGACTTCCACCGCCACATCAATGCTCCGAACTTTACGGAGTCGTTCATTCATGGCACCCTCCCTGGGCACGTCGATCTCCCTCGACTGCAGCAAGGTCGCGTGGGCGGAACCTTCTGGAGCGTCTTCGTGCCATGTCCTGCGGACTGGACTGACTTTTCGGATGAGAATTACGCAGAGAGTGAGTAGCACGTAATATCTCCGTGCGGATAAGCTTGAAAACTAACACACCCATCAGGTGTTCGGATGACGGTGGAGCAGGTTGATCTCATGTCCCGGATTCAACGGGCCTACCCAGATATCTTCTCTGCCCCGCCGAACGGCACCACGGCTCTCCAAGCGTTCAAGGAAGGCAAGATCATCTCACCATACGGTATTGAGGGGCTGCAATCAATTGGCAACTCCTTGGCCCACCTGCGCATGTTCTACGACTTGGGTGTGTCCTATGCGACCCTCACACACAACTGTCATAACAAGTACGCCGATGCGGCTCTAGTGGAACAGCCGAATGGGGGCCTCCGAAAAGCAACGCCGCTCTGGCACGGAGTCAGCCCAGCTGGCCAACAGCTGGTCTTGGAGATGAACCGACTGGGTATGATCATTGATCTGGCCCACGTGAGCGCGAACACAATGCGCGATGTGCTGGGGGCGGGCAAGACTGACTGGGCGGGCAGCCGTGCCCCGGTCATTTTCAGTCACAGCTCAGCGTTTGCTCTCTGTCCGCACCCTCGCAACGTTCCAGATGATATTCTGGAACTGGTGCGGCAACGAAACTCGATCGTGATGGTCAATTTTGCCCCCGATTTCATCTCCTGTCGAGCTTCCGATCGGGAGGATGGGCTGCCGGAGGTGGACCAGGAGCATGCGACCCTCGCGCGGGTTGCGGATCACATCATGCATATTGGCACTGTGGCCGGATTTGACCACGTTGGCCTCGGTAGTGACTTTGATGGGATTCCTACCGTTCCCGCCGGTCTAGAGGATGTGTCGAAGTTTCCGGACCTGATCGCGGAGCTTTTACGTCGCGGCCTAAGCGATGAGGATGCCGGGAAGGTGGCGGGAGGCAACCTGCTGCGCGTCTGGAAGGATATTGACGAGGTGGCTCTACATATGCAGGCTGCTGGTGTTCTACCCGTCGAGGATTGAAAGAGAAATAGGGGAGGAGGAGGAGGAGTAGGAGGAGGGATTCAATCGAGCCGTAGCCGCTTCCCGCTCCGTAGACCTAGGGACTCATTCTGCAATTGATGCATTCCATTGACATTTCTATCATGCTCTCCATCATATTCCACCTCAATCTCTGGACCGCATAACATCCGCAACTACTTTGATCACAGCGTAGCTGTCCTCCCCTGGCGTTGTCTAAATAGATCAAATGCGCGAAGAATGTTGGGTCCCTGATGCGCGAACGCTGCAACGGAGCGTGGCAGAGAATATTTGCCCTCTGAGGAAAGTAGTGAAAGTTGAATCTCTTCTTCAAGTGCCCAATTGAAAGCTTGATGTTCGGCTGCATCCAGCTTCACAGGGATCTCGTCTCTGGAGACTAAATGTGTCTTGGCATCGGGGCCTTGGCGACTGGCCTCATGAACCTCCACCAGAAACGAGTATTTGGCGATGCGCAGCTTCTCTCCAGTGCCACGGACATGATTCCAGCTATCCACTGCTACTAGCTCGGCGATATGCGAAACGTGGAGTCCGGTCTCTTCGAGAACCTCGCGCGCCACTCCATCCAGGAGAGTCTCGTCTTCGCCCGGCTCGGTTGCACCCCCGGGACCTTCCCAGCAGCCGCCCATTGTGTCAGTGAGAGCCCGCTGCAGTAGCAAGATTCGGGGAGCCCCGGCATCAGATACGGCGTGTGTTGAGACGAGATAGCCACCCACGCCGAGACTGTCGAACTCCGGCCGCGCGGCCAAAAAGTCAGCGAGCGGAGCCTTGAAGTAGCTGAGATGCGGGGCAACTGTATATGGCAGCGCCATTGGAGATGATGGAACGAGGGGGAGTGGAGTTGGTATGGCAATTTTGGTGAGGTGGTCGGGGGTTGTTTTTGCGAGTGAGTCGGTTAGTTGGCTTGACGAGATCACGGGGACTCCATCTTGCCCTACAATCAGGACGAAAAGATCGTGTAGACTGGCAATTCTGCAGAGCGGAAAGGGGCAAATCGAATAAACAAAATACGAAAATAACAAAACAACTAACGCAGAAAATGGCAAGCCCTATAGATCTTCCGATCGGCAATGCAGACCCGACCCCGATGTCAAGCAGCACCGCAAAAGAGTCCACGATATCAGATCGTGAAACTCATCCGAATCGGAAGCCGATCCACTCACCAGCTTCGATCAAACTCATATTGGTCTTGATTTTGCGGGGCTGCGGGGGATCGCCAGTAGACTTGGCCAGTGAGAGCTTCCCCCACACGATCTCCGACATTTTCGGACTCGGATTCGAGGGAGCGATGGGCACGACAGGCACGATGGAAGACCCAGCATCCAATCTTCTATATAAAGAGACTGGCGTCCAAGATGCGGCCATGACTATCTCAAGCTCTCCAACTCTCGCTGCGCTTCTCATTTTCGTGAATCCGTTCTCTTGGCCACCATGCCCGGCACGCTGCCCTCCGAGGACCATGTGGACGTCTTGATCGTCGGCGCTGGGCCTGCAGGCCTAATGCTGACCAACTGGCTGAGTCGCTCTGATGTTAAAACAAAGATACTAGATAAATGAGGAACCAAGGTGAGATATCCGGAGATTGGAACTGCTTCTGAGAAATTTCTGAAGAGCCCTCTGCTCAAGTGGTCAACATGCCATCGTACCTCGTCAACTACTAATCCATGCCCCCTCTTATATCTTCAGGCCGACGGCCTTCAATACCGCACGCTGGAGATCCTCGACTCTTTTGATCTGGCCCAGAAGGCATGGTGCGAGTCGAACCATGTGATCGAGATCTGTCTCTGGAATCCGGAATCCGGATGAGTAGGGCCACCTCCGCAGGTCAGACCAAATTCCCGATACTATCCCAGATATCAGCCGATTTCAACAGGTTATGCTGCATCAAGGTCGGATCGAGCGCCTCTTCCTGGACTCCATCCGCGAGCATGGGAACATGGTCGTGGAACGGGGGGTGCTTCCGACGTCCTTGGACCTCGATGAAGACAAGATGGCTGATTTCAACGACTATCCAATTCAAGTCACTTTGCGGACCTTATCGGATTAACAAGCTTCTCCTCCACAACAACAACAGCATCATCAAAGTGCCGACGGACAGGAAGAAGCCGTCAGCGATGGGCTGTTTCGCAGCAACTTGGCCGCGGACGACACGGATGACCTGATTCGATCGACCAAGGCGCAGGCTCCCGCCGACCAGGTCGAGTCCATCAAGGCCAAGTTTTTCGTCGGCTGTGACGGAGCACACTCCTGGGTCCGTCGTCAGCTGGGATTACACCTAGAGGGAGAACCGACCGATTATATCTGGGGCGTCCTGGACATTGTGCCGATAACCAGTTTCCCCGACATCCGACAGCGCTGTGCGACTCACTCGACTACTGAAGGTCGTGTGATGGTGATACTGTGAGAGAACAAGTTGGTCCGGCTGTATATTCAGCTCCAGACTGCCGAGCATGCACAGACGGGAGGAAAGGCAGATCGATCTTGGATTACCCCGAAAATCATCCTTGAATTTGCCCAACGGATCCTTCATCCATATAAACTGGACTATTCATATTGTGACTGGTGGACGGCCTACTAGATTGACCAACGGGTAGGCGACAGCTTCTTGTGAGAGCGCGTGTTTCTGGCAGGTGATGCGGTCCATACGCACTCCCCGAAAGCTGGCCAGGGAATGAATGTGAGCATGCAAGATAGTAAGTGATGCTTGAAAGTCTTATTCTATGCAGCCCTTGATGATACGTTAGCTTAGCCTATAATTTGGGATGGAAACTAGCCTATAATCTGGGATGGAAACTGGCCCATGTTGTGAAAGGATATAGCGATGGGTCAATCCTCAAAACCTATGAATCCGAGCGACGAAAAATTGAACAAGATCTGATTACCTTCGACCACCGCTTCTCCCGGCATTTCTCAGGGCGCCCGGCCAAGGATATCATGGATGAAAAAGGGGTCAGTATGGAAGAATTCAAGGCTGCCTTTGAGAAAGGAAATGAATTTGCGAGTGGGATCAGTAGGTGGTCCATTCCCATTGTACCAATTGGGGTCTGCAAGCTAAAATCCCCCTTAGCGGTTAAATACGAAGCAAGTGTTCTTGTTGCGAAAGAGAGAGATTCGGCTGAGGCAAAAAGCAGTACTACTATCACCAGCGAACCTCACTTGGCAACTGGAGTTGATATCGGAAAGCGAATGCCGAGCTTCAAAGTGCTGAATTAATCCGGCGCAAGATCATGGCATCTTCAGGAGTTATTGAAGAGCAATGGGCGCTGGCGAATTCTCATCTTTCCCGGCCAACTGACACAGAGTCAGAATATGCAACGCATGGAAATATTGGTCGCCAAACTAGGCGCTCCAACCTCATCTCTTCGCCGATTTACCCCCGTCGGACGGGCTGATCGAAGTTTTGACCATTCAGGCTGGGCGGAGAAAGAGCATCGAACTCCTGGACCTACCAGAGCTGTTTCACCCCTATAGTGAAACAATGGGTTGGGATTATTGGAAAGTCTTTGTGGACGATGGATCTTACTATGAGGGCCATGGCAATGCCTATGCCAATTACGGGATTGACCCTGTTCAAGGTGCCAGTCTTATTATGCGCCCCGATCAGTATATGAGTTGGGTCGGGGAGGTTGATGAATATGATGTAATGGATATGTTTTTCACCGGATTTATGAAGCCTTAAGGCGTTGCCAAGTAGTAGAAAATTATTATATGTTCTTCATTACGCTTTTATTGTGAGATCAGAGGAGCACAAGCACAGGGGCATGTCTATTGTTACGAATCTCCTTTAAATCATCTTCTTAGCCGATCCATTTGCCACTTACACATACTTCTTGACCAGATTCACAATCTCGGATTCAGTCCACTGGGACACTCCCACAATTTCATTATCCACCTTGGTGAAATGAGTGCCGTATTTGCCCCCGAAGATGGCTCGCCGGATCAGATTGCGAGCAAAAGTCGGGATATCAGGAGGGGACTGCTGGAGCGCCTCATATGCCTGTTTCTCCAGATCTTCAGTCTTCACCGGCGTTCGTTCAAGCTGATCGCCTTTCCCTGACCAGTTCAGCAACTGATTTTGTGTCACGTTGGCCTCTGCGACATAGATATGTCGGTTTTTAGTCTGTTCCGGCCGCTTGAGCACCCCGACTACAGCCCGACCGATGCCCCTAAGCGTGGTTGTACTGAAGGGCACATCTCCACCATCATAGACCGCAGTTGATGGTCCCTTTAAGTTCACGATGAAGCCTTTCTCGAGACCCCAATCGAAGAAAGGACCTGTAATTACCGCGGTATAACTGAGCGTGCTGCCAGGCGTCGCCAACTCCTGTAGCCGCTGGATCACTGCGACCTTATCTCCAAAAACAGGCAGTTGACTTGTCGCCGAATTTGATGTATCACAGCCAAACTCCGAGGGTATGAATCTTTGGATCCCAGCAGCAACGGCAGCCTCGATGACCCGCAAGTGAACGTCCCTCGAGACTGGACCTGTTGGCAAGACATTGATGAAGGCATCCTGGCCTCTCAGAGCCGCTACCAGTGAATCAAGTGAGTTGTAATCGACCACCTGCACTTGGACTCGCGGGTCTAATTGATGGGAGGAGGAGCGACTCAAAACTGTGAGTTGGAAGCCAGCCTCGAGCAGGCCGTTAACAATAGCCGGGCCAAGATTACCAGTGCCCTGTGATCATGAATAGATGTATGAGTGGATAGTAGAGAGAATGATAAATAGAGATCAACATACTCCTGCCACAGCCACTCGGGTGATTGCCATGATAGAACTTTATAGGGGTTGAACTTCTAAGGCTTGCTTAGACTGAACGGGGATAGTGGAGATGGAGATAAGATTGGGAGATAAGATCTTGGATGCCCGAAGAATCAGGTAAATAAAGCTTAGAGCACGAACTTACAGCTGCCGACGTTACCACCTTTATGTACTCGCGTCTGCTGGGCTATTGCCGGCCCTTAACTCTCCGTCTGAATCACCTCATCGAGGAAGATTATTGATCATGGCGGAATTACCCCCGGAGCTGACAAACACTTTGTAAAACTCCCCGAAATCCTGATGGCGCAATCTATCCAGCAGTAACAGCAGAAGCAGAAGATTGACTTCCGACGCATGCGCAAAGGGAAATGGAATCGACTTCTACATTAAATGGGCGGCGTTTTGGGGATCCATTCCCCGTGGGGCATTGAGACGACTTCTATTGCATCCAAATATCTCAAGTCGCGGGCTTGATGCCCCGGCTAGTGAATTCAATACGTGGCCTCTTTATCTACCGAATTGAGTCCCGATATGATTGCTGTTCTCGGACATTATCTTCCGACAGTTGGAATGTCCCAGTCTCTCTTCTCCCCCCATTGAAGCCCTCTGGCGCAGAGGCTTCTAGGCCGCAGGAGCGGATTTTCTGCTTTCCTTTCTGCGTTCCCTGAGATCGACTTTGTGACCACAACGTTCTGATAAGGTAAATTAAATACCTTCGCCCTCCGCAGACCACAAACAAGAATTATCTAAAGCCTGTAAATGCGGCGAAGATGCTGAACTCGGGAGGCCCGCCGATTCGGCCCCACCTATCACTGCGTGCAAAGCGGTTCTCGCTCTTTTCTTGGAGCTCCGATCATTTCAGCAGATATTGTGCCGCAAAAAGGAGCTTTTCTCAAAGGGAAATAAGCAAACAGAAGCTGAACTTTATCCAGCTGAAAGTACTAGTCCACTGGCCTACGAGACCTTTATTTTGTGATACAAGCCGTGTACCATGACGTCAGATCAAGTTCCTCTAGGCAAACCATATAAATCGTTAATTTTCACGTGTATTGCTTATTCAAGGTGTGCCAATATATTTGAAGTGCTGGTGGAAGATCACGGAGGAAATATCACTGCACTACTCGGAATTGAGTGGACACGGAAGCCAGAAGCTTGCGTTGGTGATCAGAGAGCCCCGGGCAACGATGACTTAGCGTCAAAGCCTACTATCTCTTTGTGCATGTATCGCTTTGGTCAGCTTTGAATTCTCTGACGACAGGTTCAATTTGGCGGTTTAGTAATCGCTGCTCAATACATAAGCGGGAGCTTGCATTAGGTGCGAGTCAGAGAGCGAAGAGCGAGATTGAGCAGCTGATGATAATGGGTAGTAGAATATCGAGGCGAATTGGGAGCTAGCGATCTCTCGTGTCGGCGATTTTGTTCCATTCTATAACCTGGTGGTCCGTGGTATAGGGGGAGCACTTGAAAAAGGGGCTTTTCTAACACCGAACGGGGCCCGAGAGAGTCATGGCGTACTCTTGAAAGAGAATAGCACTTGGGTTGGCGTGGCTCTTCAAGCTCTGTACTTATCTTTTTTGGTCGCCTATTTTACCAAGACTTTGCAAGGCAGTCGGCTTCCCTGTCGCTTAGATCTGCAGAACCGGGAACGCCATGGTCGCGGGTCGCATGGGGAGAATCTCCACATGGGGAGCGGTTTGCTCACAGAGCCGGAGAAACGCATGCTCCTATTGGTCTGGAGGAGGCTGCTATGAGGAGACGCCACCCTCAACACCACAAGCTGAAAATAAGCCGACACCAAACACGGACTTCATGGAGAAAGCTGAACTCGCCAAAATAGTCGGGCGCTGGAGGTGTCCTCATGTGGAGGGTTCGTCTGCGTGGCGACCTGAGGCGGAACTAAGGGCTAGACTTCGACAGGTTCGCATATGCAGTATACGATGTCCCCAAAGGGGGTTCTAGAGCGAGAAGTTCCCTGAAAAAGTCAAACAGGGCAACCTTCTGGACATAGATAAATAGAGACATCGTAGCGCCCATAAATGAGTCGCGCACCTTGAATTTCATTTCTTCCTGTATTATCGCCACGAGCGGCGCATTTTGTCCAATGGAGTTTCCTCACGATGCAGAGCACCTCGAAATCCAAAAGAGACATCTCGGTGACAAAAGCTCAGCATCCCAGCCCAAACGTATCATCATCTGCTGTGATGGTACCTGGCAGTCGGCGGTCTCAGGAGAAAAGAATGTGCCCTCTAATGTCACCCGTCTCTGTCGTGCTATAACCCCCGTCGGGACTGATACCAGTGGGAAGAAATGGCAGCAGACTGTATGGTACGATTCCGGAGTTGGCACCACTTCCCTCGCCCTCGGTACGGCCATTGAGGGTGCTACGGGGCAAGGGTTGGAGGGAAATGTTATTGAGGCATACAACTTCTGCGTCTTGAACTATAATGTTGGCGACCAGATCATGATCTTTGGATTTTCGCGCGGCGCTTATACTGCCCGTACCATTGCTGGTGTCATCACGGATATCGGACTTTGCAAGAAAAAGGACCTCAACAAGTTCCCTGAACTTTGGACGCTATACAAGGCCTTCAAAGTCAATCCTCAAAATCAAGGCAAGCGATTCTTCCACAGCGAGCAATGGTTCAAATGGTTATGGGGTATGGCCGATGTGGCCCAAGGTGCCGGTGACGACAAGAAAAAGAATTCATTGTCACGAAGGGTAACCATGGGAAGCTATCTCCAGGAAAAGACTGGGCCACACAGGATGTGGAATGGGCCCAGGATGGTTCAAGAAACGTGGAGGTAGTTGGTGTTTATGACACCGTGGGTGCTATTGGCATGCCGGAGATTGGGGGGTTCAAAATTCCCCAATGGATGCTTTTCTGGCAAGAGAAACCGGGCTGGCATAATGTCGGACTGTCAACCCGTAAGTCAAGATCCCAAGGATTTGAAGTCTTCCAGGGTAAGCCATTTCCTAACATTACGCATAGATATCAAGCACGCCTTCCAAGCCCTTGCTATCGATGAAAGGCGAAAGGCGTTTGAGCCCACCATATTCTACGTACCCCCTAAGCCAGAAACCAATCTGGAGAAGGAGATGCAAGACAGGGTGAATCAGGCAAGGGCAAACTGGCAGCAGAAATTTGAAGAGGCACAAGAGGTGAAGAAAGGGATCAAGGGAGAGCGTCCAACAGATGCCGCTGTCAACAAGGCCGCCGCGCAAGCCAACGAGGCTGCGTTGGATTGGAACACAGCCTTCCGACAGCTAATCAACCACCGGGACAAATTACAGCCTGCGACAAAGCTGGCGCAGGTTTGGTTTCCAGGTTACCACATCAATATTGGTGGCGGCTCAACATCTACGATGGAGAACCGGGGTAATATGGAGGAAATGTCCAACATTGCGTATGCCTGGATGTTGGATCAAGTCAAGAAACATCTGTCACTGGACGAAGAACAAACCATCGAAGAATATCAGCTACGTGAAGAAATCTTCACCATGAATAACGAGAAGCGTGACGCGTGGAACAAGATGACTGCCGAAGAATCTTGGGGAGCATGGGCCTGGCGCCAGTCGTCACAGATAGCTTCGGCTGTTGTCCACCCACGCACACCTGGTCCGGAGCCACCCTTTAAAAAGCGCCGGTCTTATGATTGGGGGGCTGGTCCAATGGACGATAGCTTCACCAAGATGTACTGGCCAAATGGGGAACATATTCGCATTCCTGGTCGTTACGCTTTCAAGAATGGCCAGCGTAAGGACCCTCTTGGCGAAACATTCGAATACATCCACCCTGTCGTTCAATACAGAATTGATCGAACACAACAGATGAAGAAGGCGGGTGAGGATGTCATGGAATATACGCCCAGGGGACCAAAATTTAATCGTCGATTGGTGGTGGATAAAGACAGCAAGAAGCCTTTTTATGTATGGGATTTGGAGTATTCCTTTGACCCCGACCCCATCACAATGCGCGAATGGAGACTGGGTAGTTCGGATTGTTACGAACGAAAAGCCATTGTCTGTGAAGCAGCCCGCGAGTGGGTTGGAAAGATGGACAAGACCCTCAAGACCACAACAACTGGAATCTAATAACTAGCCTATTCGGCGATTGAACATGGAGCATTGTTATTAGGGTCCGATGGGAGAATATCGCATATCGCAGTCCAATTTTGACCATCAGCCATGCCCTAGAATGACTCCAAAGATGTTCCATCTATACTTCTGGACTTCACGTTCAAGATTCTTAAATCAGCACAGGTATTTATCGTGCGTTGCTATCTGTGACGCGAATGAGCCACGGATCTCCCGCGGGGAGAGCATATCGTCTTTACAGTTACATTCTGCAATGTTATACAGTTTGATTTTTTTGAGTAATGATAGTATAGTATTATGGATATCACGCTATAGCCAGTTCAACTCATAGATGTAAAAGTCAGAATGATTCATAGGATAGCGTATACTGCATGACATCTACCAGCATACTTTACATAGAATCAGCGTCGGGGAGCGATTCTTTTGGGAGAAACCCGGGCTGAGAATTTGATATCCAGAGCCGGCCAAAGAGCATAGTGAGGCATACTTCTATTGGGTACGTGAGAGATGCAGTCAAATATAGATAGGGAATATGTACAGAAAATACAATCATTTTTATCTCATAGCCGGCTCCCAAAAAGGCTGGAGCCCTGAGATTCCGTCTCCGGGCCTCTACCATGCCTGGTTAGCTTGCTTGCGTGATGGATACCGGGGGTGCAACCAACCTACGCTTGTGGCTTGAGGAATCCACGGAAGAACTTGCCAATCTCATTATAGTCATTGATGTCAATCAATGCGGAAACGTCTGTCACCCGGTCGCTGGTCAATCCAATTTTCTCAAAAAAATTCACGGGACAGATACTCACATTGATCTGGGCGAACGAGAATCAGAGCACCTCTTGCAGGGCTGATTCCAAGGCACTCATAAGCCTGGCCATGGCCCTTGTTATAGCTGTCATCATCGTAGTAAATCTTGTGTAAATCTGCGGCTGGTTAGTTTCCTACATAAAAGCGCTTTCGCATCATGTAAGCGTACCTCTGGTCCGATTCTTGCCCGCGACTGGGTAGAAGCACTCTGGGATATTTTCTAGCTCAACATCATGACGTTTGCCATGCCCAATGATGATGGTCTCAATCAGACTATCCGAGTCCTGAGACTTGGGCGTGAAAGTCTGAATAGGACCGTCGTAGGATGACAAATACTCTCCGAGCTGGAGTTTTGTTAGCAAGAGGAATTGTGGCCTGGTTTTTTTTTTGGCTCAATATAACAAAAGCAGTCGTACCTTGTTCAATTTGATCTGGTTTTCTGAAACAGTCAGATCACCCACGAATGCCATGACTCTCCATCGCCCATCCGACTTAAGAGCCTTCATCAACTGGAGAGGCTTGGAGTCACAAAATCGGACCACTTGAGCACTCGGCAAGCGCATACCGACCACGACATTGGACGCTAACTGCGTCGACTCCAAGGAGGTTGTGATCGGAGATACATCATACTTAGCTGTTAGGCCAGCTGTGTATTTTCCTGATTGGATGAATCCTTCCTGAAATTCAGCGGGGCTAGTTTGAGCCCCAGAGGAAAAGAGCTTGGAGAAGTAGCGATCAAAGTTGATCAAATCAATCGCCGTTTTCCTCCGCTCCAGTACGTAAGTCTCAAGTAGGGAAGGGTGTGCCAGACCAGTCAGGACTTCACCGAGCTTCCAACCGATGTTGTACCCGTCCTGCAGACTGACATTCATTCCCTGGCCAGCTTTGGGTGAGTGGGTATGGCAAGCGTCACCTGCGAGGAAAACGCGATGATCCTTGTGGAAATGATCGGCATGACGCTGGCCAATTGAATAGGCTGACCACCAGACGGTCTCGACAAAGTCAACTTGATACGGCTGGAAGATGCTCTGTGCCTGACGCTGGAGATTCTCCAAAGTCACCTCTTTCGGGTTAGTTCCCGAAGCCAGTTCAATATAGAACCGGGTGAGGTTGTTGCTGTCGCCCTCGCGGGGAATAATCAGGATATTTCCTGCATTGGATCGAATGGTAGACTTTTTGCGAATATCAGGGAAGTTCGTTCGTGGCACCATATCCATGACGCCCCAGACGGCATCGCTGCTGTCGCCGACCATCTTATACCCCAAGGATTTGCGGACCACGCTATGCGCACCATCGCAAGCCTAGATACGGAGTTAGGCAAACCATATAAAGTAATGCATAAAACTCAGAAAACAGGGGTACTCACCAATGCATATTTGGCAGCAAATGTCTCTGTCTTGCCATTCTTCTCTGCAGTGACGGTGACGGGATAAGCTGTGGGATCCGGGGCAGAGGTGCTATCCACTTGAACGGACGTGACGTTGTATCCGTAGTCAATTTTTTGATCGTTATACTTTTGCATCAGCTCAATAAGGAGTCCGTTGATGCGGGCCTGGTTTAGAATGACATGCGGTTGGTGCGATAATCCAGGTTGAGTGTCTGCAGTGCGGCCAGTCCGCTTAATAGCGCCAGTGCCGTTATCTGCCCAAAAATTGACTTCCAGAACATGATATGCTTCTCGTAGGAGCTCTTCACCAATGCCAAAGCTCTCGAAAATCTCGACTGTACGGCACTGCACGCCGTCCGCCTGTCCCATCTCCATCGGACTATCACGGCGCTCCAGGACCTTGCATCGGATGCCATAGCGCGCCAGCCAAGTGGCCGCACATAGACCGGCTGAGCCACTACCACAGATGAGCACGTCGACTTTTTCCATCTTTGCTTCAGTTGGCGATACACATTACTTGTCCGTGCGCTTTCCCCGCGGGGTTTTAGGGTTTTATGGCGGCCCCGGGATTAGACCCGAGAGCTTCGGGATGACTTCCGGGCCGGCCGGGCGGCGGCTGTTGGTAGCGCCGCTACAAAGATTTAACGCCTCGGTAGCTATTGGTTCGGGGAATCGGACCCAGTCCAGTGCCGTAATACCCTTCAGTCGTTATGCCGTGCAGGGACTCCGGATTTCTGAGCCCGTAGGGTCGGGGACTCGGGGAAATGAAACTGGAGTCGGGACTCCGGGACATACGAGATTCAGTTTCTCCCACGCTTGAAACCCGGAGTGGACGTCATTATTATGCAGACGGAACCATTGATTGATTCAAAACGAAAAGTGGTATAGACATGGTATTCGTCTCTAAAATCATTATGTATGCTTGTCATCTCCCCAATCATTGAACTAAATTGAGACCCAACCGAATATAAACGCCGGCGCCCGTGCAAAGTTTGCAAAACATGTTACAGGAAATACTCGCTACGGCCAGGCCGCGAGGTGGGCATGTGTCGCTGATCATCGCTGACAGCACTGAATAGCTTGAAGGTTGGTTTCAGGTCATCTTCGATCTCACAGACGGAGGCCAGGTTGCCACACCGATAGCAGTAATTCGGCGCACTCCACACGGTGACGACATTTTGATTGGTAAAATGATATTTGTAGCCCTCATTCACCAGCTGGTGAGCACGGGCAATCAAGGAGAGGTCATTTACATGGCAGAACTCATCGGCTACGCGGTCACCGAACAGCCAGCCTAATGTGAGGGGAAGGATCAGCGTCAAAGTTTCGATTAAAGGGGCAAGATAGGCGTGATTTGTTTTGGGTTAGCTCACCAGCTCCGCGAGGGCTAACCGCCCATGTTTCCACATCATCTGGATCAGACCAGACCAGGTCACAGAATGCACCCTCATGGGGAATCTCCTGGGCCCGCGCGACGACGCGCACCTGGTCGAGAGTTCGAATCTCAGGGCTCAATCCACCATGCACACAAAGCACCTTGCCGTCGATGATGGCGCCCAGCGTCATAAAATCGAAAACCTGGCAGCAGGCCTTCCACACCGAGGCACTGCCATATTTCTGGAAACATTCTTCATAAAAGCCGTAGACTTGGGTGATTTGGCGGGATTCGTGGTTACCTCGGACAAGAGTTACTCGATCCGGATATCTAGGGAACCCATCATATTAGTATTGTTTGGTTCATCGCGTACACCAAAGACATCCCGGTCGGACATCCTGGGTCGGAGAAGGCCGACACTACATACTTGGCCTTGAGACACAACAAGAGCGTTAGCGTTTCCAAGCTAAAGTATCCCCGATCCACATAGTCTCCTAAGAAGACAAAGTTGCGGTTCAGTTGGACATCATTGGATCCTGGACTGGCTGGCCGGCTTTGAGAGTTGGTGTTTGCGTCGTCCGCACCCTCCTCATCATCCTCCATGTTCGCGTTGGGGCTCGGGCCGCGTAACTTCTTCCGAACCTTCGGATCGGTAATGGTCGAGGGAGGTTCGATATCTGCGGAGGTAATGACCGACGGGGAAGTTTGGGGGGCATCGAGTTCAGTACCATCAGGCATGCCGCCAGAAACGCGAAAAAGCTCGAGGAGATCGTAAAACTGGCCGTGAATATCACCACAGATGGTGACCGGGGTAGAAACGGGCTGAATATTGGATTCTAGCTATTCCGTTAGGGTCTGAAACTGAGGGAAAAGATGGGTCCAGGATATTCTGAGGCTAATTCTGTGAAGGGAGGAGAGTGACGAGGTTCTGGAAGGAGTTGAGGCAGTCTTCATGTCTTCTACTTACCTTCCATCATGTATTCCTTGACAATCTCACACAACTGCTTCATATGGGCCTCCGACAGATACTTGCAGTTCTTGGCTGCCTCAAGCCACTCATCAGGGCCCGCATTGCGTCTCAATTTAGCGGGTCCCGGGGACGGGACCTTGCTGTCAGTCATGGCGAATGTGAGAGGTGAATCCTGTAATGGGAGGGAAGTTGGAGGCGGGGCGTCGGTTTTGGGGAACTGCGCGGATGGCGGGCCTCGGGCGCCGCACTGGACTTACTCAACTGACGGGGTCACAAGTGGCCGGGACTACATGACTTCACCCTCCAGAGGCTAGATTCCAGATGACTTTGCACCAAGACCCTGTAATACTATCTGATCCAGGGCACCATTGAGTGAATTTCCGTTATCTTGCAAACCCATACATTCACTTATATAGCGTAGACAGAAATTTCGAGTAATCTGGGGCGTGACGCCTGCCCGGCACGTGAGGCACATGAGGTTTTATAGTTTGTGGATTTCAATTTGGAAATGCTCTATTGAGACAAGTATCAGCCAGATCATGCCCTTTTATTCAAGTGCCTTGGTCTAATTAGCATACTGTTCATGTAAATGGATTGGTGAATCGCAAACAGCCTCCTCTGACACGGGTGCGTTTGCCTGCTCGACATAAAATATATATAATGGAAACCACGGTACATGGATTTATTAAGACGATTAGGTCAAATTACTGCAATCTTGAACTACATAATAATTTGTTCATCAAATACATCAATCGTTTCGCTATGTAACTCAATTTTTACTTTCAAATAAGAACCCAAACCTTTCGCCAGCTCATCAATCTATGTGCGCATTTGGTTCCACATAGTCAATGCAAAATTAACCATCAATCTTACCCAGGAACTCAGTGACAACCTCCGCGAAGGCCTCGGGCTGCTCCACCATCGGCAAGTGACCAGCCTTGTCAATGATCTTCAGCTCCGCATCACCGGCCAGGTCTGCCGCCATCTTCTGCATTGTCTGAGGTAGGACACCATCGTTAGCGCCGGCCACGAACAGACCCGGCACGGTGGCCGCCGCCATGCGCTCGCGGATGTCGTAGGCACAGAGTGCCTGGACGCTGTGGGCGAAGCCCTTCAGGCTGTTGGTGCGCACGGCCTCTTTGACCGGCGCCAGGACCTCGGGCTGGGTCTCGTACGACTCCGGGACGAACCAGCGTCGGGTCGTGATCTCGGCCAGCTGCTCGCCCACAATGGGCTCCTGGGTCGTCGGGTCAGTCGAACCCTCCTGCTCAGCCATCGACACCCGGTCAGCCCAGGCCTTGCGGTTGGACTCGGGGGCGGATGAGTTGGTGTCGCAGGCGATGAAAGCGGCAATCCGCTCCGGGAAGAGGAGCGCGGTGTTGAGCACAGTCACACCACCCAGACTGACACCGATCAAGCGGGCGTCCTTGGGCGGCACCCGGAGTGCATCCAGGAGGGTGACCAGGTCGGAGGCCAGCAGGTCGATGTTGACGGGCTGCTCGCCGCTGGCCGCGCGACGGCCGCGGGTCAGGTAGCGGAGCACGCGATAGCGCTGATTCTGCGGGCGAGCAAAGAAAGAGTCGACGAAGCGATCCCAGATGTTCCAGTTGACCAGAATGGAGTTGCTGAGCACCACCACGGGAGCGTGGGGGTCGGTGCTACCTTCCAAGCGGTAGGGGATCTCGACGCCGTCCTTGGTGGTTACAAACGACTCAACCGCCGGGCGGGTGGTGGTGGATGGAAGGGTGCGGGTGCGGCCATCGTTCGACGACCAAGGCCCAAGACAATCGGGTTGGGCTAGGGACGAGAGCTCACGCGGGGCCGGGCCAAAGGTGTAATACCACTGGTAGACCCGGCGTCTCTTGGAAGTGACGACGGTCTCCTGAAGACGCTGACGCCAGGGGGTGTTCATGGCGGCCTGGTGCACCTCGCCGCCCAGTCCATTGACGGGGGCATACTCATGGAGTGCCAGGCACTCCCGCGGAGCAGCGGAGTCAATGGCGGCCGTTACGAAAAGACGGCTGCGGCGCCAGCCGGGCACACGCGAGAGCATCTCAAAGTGTTCCTCGCGGTACCAGCGGTCATGCTCGGCCTGCTTCTCGGGGTCGGGGTGGGTGGCAGTGGTCACTGCGACGAGGACGCTCCCGCGGGTCTCGGCATCGGTGTCGGCTCGATCCTCGAGCGGGCGGAAGTCCGGGGAGCTTCGCTCATCCACCAGGTCGTATAGCAGACGCCCCACGTCAATCTGCGCCATAGTATTCTTCTCTCGCTGAGTCTTGATGAGGTCGGTGCGGAGATCTAGGTAGGTCTTGCGGGTCAATTCGTCCATGTCGGTGATATCGTACAGCGCCACGTACTCGGGCTGTTCGCCGTCGGTTGCACGGAAGCGGAAGCCATTGGTGACGAAGGGAAGACGGAGACGCAGTGGGCCATGCTCAGTGTTGTACCAGTCATGAAATTGCGTGTCCGGCAGCGAGCCCTTGGGCTGCATGGTCACATAGAGAAGGCCGGGAGTAGGCATGATGCGTGGCGGGGGTGGAGGTCGATGGGTCTAAGATGAGTATAGAGGGGTATAGATGCTCTCGCGACTCTCGAGAAAAAAAATAGGAAACGGATATCAAACGGCGACCCGGAACACAAAGAACCAAGACAAAGAGAGAGCAAAGAGAAGAAGAAGAGTAGAAAAGGGCCCTGCTGGAGTCGCCGTCATCGTCGACGTTGGCTGGGTCGGCAGTGCCCCTCACCCGAACGGAAGAAAGCAAAGCGCACCCGACGTAAACTGCCGACGCTTGGCTTCGTCTTTTTTTGTTTTTAATTTTTTTCTTTTGCCAGAATATGCTGCCATGCGTTCTACGATGCTCTAAACACTGCAGCCATTACGGTTTACAGCGTGACATTATCTGGATATATGGAGTGTAATTATGACGCCCATATAATTTTCTCCCAAAAAAGAACCCCGCATAGATAGAGCACTAAATCTATAGAATCTATAGCATCGTGGGGTAAATCGCTTTTTAAGTCATGTTATGTCCGTACATATAATATAGCTATACTATATCAAGGATATATCTTTATCTCTTCACATATAGGTATGTTCTTCGTCTATTCATGACACGTTTTTCTTTTCTTTTATTTCCTTCTCTTCTTTTCTTTTTCCTTAGAAGTTTTCTCGTTTAATCATACCAGATGGCGTTCATGCCAAAGCCCTGCTCTGGAATGTCCACGCGGGCCACGCGGGCCAGCTTCTCGTCGTGCCAGCGGTACATCTCGACAAAACCCAGCTGGTCGTCGCACAGCGCCAACCACTCATCGCTAAAGTCGCAGGGGCTGACCGCGTTGGAATGACCGCCACTGGTCGAGGTGGGGTTGATGAAGAGCTGGCGCTCAATCTCGCCGGAGGGGCCTAGCTTGAACGCCGTGATGTAGCCGGTGACATCGAAGTGGTTGGACCGGGTGGTCGCAAACAGATACTCACCACTGCGGGTCGTGAAGGTCACGTCGCCGCGGTATTTGTTGCGTGGCGGAAGACCTAGCAATTATCACCATCATTAGCCCTCGCACATACAACTTCTCTTCATCTTCTTCCTCCTCTAAGAAACTACTGACCAGGCGGGAGGAGCGGGTAGGTGATATGGGTAAACACCGGCTTGTGGGTGCGCTCGTCAATTACGTAGACAGCCAGACGGTTGCCCGCCTCCATCAGCGCATATAGATACTTGCCGCTGGGGTGCATCTCGACCCAACGAGGGTGGTCACCGGCATCAGGGGCCTCCAGGCAGTCGACCAGGGTCAATTGACCCGTCTCCGCATCCTTCTTATGTGTCCAGATCTTGTTGGCCTGGAGATCTGCGGAGTAGAGGTAGGTCTCGGTGGGGTCGAACACCATACCGTGAATTCCGGTGTTGGGGTCGTACTCATAATTCTGGACATTGGCGTCAAGAGCTCCGTCCGGCTTGACCGAGAAGACGTTCCCGTACCCGGCGTACTTGTAGAAGGGGTTGCCATAGACATTGAAGGGGGGCTTATGGGCCGCGAGCACGAAGATGGCGCGGGTGTTGGTGTCCGCGCTCGGGGCGAGAGCTACATTGAGGTTGTTAGTGGGGGCGCGATCTAGCTAAATTTGAGGTGCCAATGGCAATTGTCGCCTTTGGCAGATCAAAAGAAAACAGGAGATATTTGTCCTCAATTGCTTTAAGAGAGTGCTTAGGAGGAGTAGGACCATAACGTACGATGACCGGCAACCGGGTGCGATGCTTGGTGCACGATCTCGGTCGGGCTGTGGACAGCGAAGCTGTTCCACTTTTTCATGGCGGCGCCATAGATGGCCTTCTTGTCGTGGGAAAAGGTCATCCACGAGATGGGTTCGGCCTCGGGAATGTCGGTCTTTTTGACCAGGTCCAAGGTGAGGGCCTCATCGTCGAATTGGACAGTGTAGATGCGCCCGGGGGCGGTCCACGTCCCGACCATCAGATGGTGCTTCATGGCGGCGGCAGGGGAATGGGAGAAGGATCGTAGCGATCGTGGGAAGAGAGGCTGACAGAAGGAGGCCCTGAGCGAGAGCGCTGAACGGATCATACGATGCGCGGAGTAAAGCAAAGCTCAAGCAGAACTCCCGAGTTGAGGATACAGAATATAGACGCCCGCACCAAAGTCTTATCCAGGGTGGGAGTGCGGGGAGCCGGCAGCGAGAGGCGGCACGCATCCGTCAGATGCGTTTTGCCATGCCCAGTCGGGGGTGGCCATAATCGCAAAGGCTCAAACCCGGGGGATGGGTCCGTTCTAGCACGAATCACAGCGGGTCTGAATGGGCTGATCCAGAGGAAACTTGCGGTTGGCACAACCAGCAGGGACTCGGGAGCGTCGGGATGGTGGCGACGCCGAACGCGGCATTGGGAACAACACAATCCCGAAAGCGCGGGAGTTGGGCGGTGACTGGCTGCCGGGCAGTTTCACTCGCGGGGGCCAGTCCAGCCAGGTCACTTTGCAATGGGCGCCGCATACACTCGGTACTTCCACCCCGTTACTTTTTTTTTTTTGCCCCCGGGAGCCTCCGCGGTTGATTGCCGCCACGACGGTCCGGGGACGAGAAAAGCGATTATGCACAGCTGCTTTCCGGGGTAAATTGCCAGAGCCAGAATTGCCTTTGCGCATGAATCACTACCAGGCCTGAATTATAAAAAGGTCCTGCGTCGCCCGCTCTTTCTCATCCCCCCCCACTCCACTTCTATACTTCATATCTTATACTTCCCTCATACCTCCTCTATATCCCAACACACCTATCGTCGCCATGGCTGCTCAGAACTCTCGCTTCGACCCCACCTTCACTGACCAGGTGGTCAACGCCATGGGTCCCAAGACCCCCGAGCGTGCTCGCGTTCTCTTGGGTGCTCTCATCCGTCACATCCACGACTTCGCCCGTGAGGTCGAGCTGACCCCCGCCGAGTGGATGATGGGCGTTGAGTTCATCAACTCTATCGGTCAGATCAGCACTCCCATTCGTAACGAGGGTCACCGCTGCTGCGACGTCATCGGCCTCGAGTCGCTCGTCGATGAGATTGCCAACAAGATCGTGACCGAGCAGGGCCTGTCTCCCACCTCCAACGTCATTCTGGGCCCCTTCTGGTCTCCCAACGCTCCCTTCCGTGCTCTGGGCGATAGCATCATCCAGGATCCTCTGGACAACGGCCGGGTCACCTACATGCACGGTCGTCTGACTGACATGGAGACCGGCAAGCCCATCGTCGGCGCCGTCCTCGATATCTGGCAGGCGTCCGCCAATGCCCAGTACGACTTCCAGGATCCCAACCAGAGCGAGAACAACCTGCGTGGCAAGTTCCGCTCCAACGAGAATGGCGAGTTCTACTGGTACTGCTACCACCCCACTGCCTACTCGTTGCCTACCGACGGCCCTGCCGGTGTCCTGCTCAACCTGATGGACCGCTCCCCCATGCGCCCCGCGCACATCCACTTGATGATCACCCACCCCGAATACGCCACCGTCATCAACCAGATCTACCCCAGCACCGACCCCCACCTTAAGATCGATTCCGTCTTTGCCGTCAAGGATGACCTGGTTGTTGACTTCAAGCCCAAGACTGACGACCCCAAGGCCGAGCTCGACCTGACCTACAACGTCACCATGGCCAAGAAGGAGCACCACCCCAACCCCAACTCCGCTCCCCCCAAGTCCTCCTTCGAGCGTTCGATGGCCACCAAGCTGTGAATTTCCCCACGGAGCACCGCAGTGAACACGATCCCGGACCCTCAAAAAACCTGAAGGCCGTGAGATGAGATTTGGAAATCTTGCATTGCATTTGGATTTAGCGTTTTATTGATTTTTTTTTTTGTCTTTTTGACTATTGTTCCCTCTTATTATGGTTCAACTCGTGTACGCTATCTAAAACCCATCAGATAAGATGACATGATGAATGCGCATATATGTACCGAAACCTGATCCAACCTTCTGCCACGAATTCCCAGAAAAACCATCTGTAGCAATAGAGCAATAGACGCCTCAAGGAGAGGCTCTTGAACGCACGCGACAGTAGGCGATCCTAACCCCATTTGTCTTCTCCTAACTAGTTGCGTAGTAGTGACTGGAGATCGGGGTCGTGCCGTTGATTGCGAAACCCTTGCATATGGAACCCTGCAAATCTTCAGTTTCATCCAATCAGGATGCTTAAAAATATGCTTATTTTGCTACCTAGTGAAGTCTCGTTTGACAAGAACAAAGGAGAGTAATGGTATGGTAGGAGTAGAGGAGGTATTGAATGGGTTCTAAGTACTCCCTACTTCAATTTGGACTTCAAATTAGATGTCTACAGTTCGAGGGCTTTCAATCTCGGTCTTCCGTGAACATCATATATCTACTATCTTCATTCGAGCACTAATAAGAGGCGACCTATTGGTGACTATCTCCTTGCAGTCTTTATCGAGGAACGAGTCCATGCGTGTTGGGCTTCCTACAGTCGCATAGCGATCTATCCTTCGAGCGGAGAGCCTCGGCTATCGAGTGAGATGCGCCGTCATGATGCATGCTCTTCGCCGGTCACTTTACACCGAAGACCTTCGTTGGGATTAGCAGCTTCAAGCTATGATTCCTGCGGGCCCGAGGGCAATTCGCTTTCTCGCCCCGGCATTTCGCAGAGCATCCTTAAGAAAGTTTCGGCAGCGCCCACAAGCCGGAGAAAAGCTCCCCCACACATGCGGGTAAGTATTTTCCCGCATTCTAACGGTCGTCGGCAGCGACGACACCCGCGTTCGGTTGTGGCGATCCTCCATGATGCCGCTCTGGGGAAGAGGATTTGGACTAGGACTTGGGCTAGGATCAGAGCTAAGAGAGCATGTTATATGCAGCACAACCACACTGAATGCCTGTGAACCAGAGAAGCGATGTGTATGCCTGAAAATTGGTGTAACGAGTCTATATGGTCAATGTGCCTCATGAGGACACAAGGGGAAAGAAACATCAAAGGATCACTAACAAGAAGGGTATCATACTCTTCAAAGGTGCTGTCATACCCAAAGAGCTTCAAGTGGCTTGAGTCGGGTCTGATATGGAGAGGGATTTCCGGGGAATGCTGGAAAGTATTCAGCTCGTTGATACTTGAAGTCGCGTATTATCGATTGATATTTAATATTCAATCAAGCTTCTTGAATCTCGAACCCACGAGGAGCAAAATTAGCAGCAATTTGCCCATCGATATCTCATCTTCAGTGTAGCTTTCAATGCTATGATTGTCATTGTTGGGTACAACTGCGTCAGATGCTGCCTATGTCTTGTCTGGAGGTTCGCGAGAATAGCCATCATGAAATGTCACAAGATGTCGCATGTCAAGGGACTGTGCAAATATAATGAGAAAAGCCTGGGATGGGGACCGAGCATCCCCTTTATACGGAGTGGGACTGCACTAGACGGGGAGGCCGTGAAGAGCACCCACCCTCCCCAAGGGCCAGAAGAGGGGACTACATCATCCCCACAGATGATTTTGGACAAAGTGGAGTCATTTTCCAGAGTTTCCATTTATGCCCACATGTGGTCTCGATAGAAGATGGAGAGTGTGGCGATGTCAGGGGCTAGCGGATACGTGATGAGATAATGGCTCTTGAGTGCCGGTTCGCCCAGTATGACTTGGATCGATGGCCCGAAGTGTATGGAGTAGAGATCTCTAAATGAAGGAAACCCGCGCAGGAGGGAATGGTGTGACGATACCAAGCGACAGCTCAAATAATATCCGAATTCGGCACGGGCTCTGAAACTGAGGGTTCTCGGCAGGAAATGATGGTCAGCATGACGGCCTTGAGTTTCCTGCACCCCATCCATTGCAGATTATATTATAGTTCTTATTTTAGCGCCTAGTTAATCTACCTGCTGCGACGTGGCTCGGGCTTGGGCTCACCAGTTTTCATTTCCGTGAATCGCTACGCACGGACATGATTCCCGCCAGTCACAGTCGTCTTTAGCGTGATGGGGGTGTCATCCGGGGGGTCATCGGCGTTTTGTCTGAGTGGGCGGATCTTCTTCACGTCCCGCCCTGCCATCTTCTGCGCCTTGACAGCACGCTCCGTTGTTCCGCAAACCAGTTGTAGAACAAGCGGCAGAGAACGATCAACCATGATCAGCATGATTCCGAAATCTGAAAGATCTCATTGCTTGGCTCTTTCTAATCTAGATGTTCTGTGAGTCTGCACAGAGTGTAAGAAGAGTATTGGAGTATTTTTGAGGAATCAACATGTGCAGCCTGCAACTCCGCCAACGTAGCCCTGATCTTCGTATTCAAATCTGTTACGAGGCACCAAAATGCACGCACTACATCATTCCGAGGATTAATTTAACAGGGTTGGGAACAGAGGAAGAGCATGGGGCAGCCACGCACCCCTGAAGGGACCTCGGTAATGCGAGGTGGCTTACACCTGCGGAGCGCCCTCCGCATGGCGTTGCTCTGCATCCATGTTTTTACACATGTCATCAAGTATAAGAGACCGCCACAGGGGCTACGCTAGACCCGGGGAAGGCTCTGTCGCTTAGGGGGCGTTTCTGAAGCCCCGGATAATTAGCGAATGATTCCTACTAGTGGCTGAATAGTGCGGGCAGTGCCTGCAGGGGAGGACGACAATGCCGAATCCGAAGGATCGGAGGAAGACAGGACGGAAATGCGGGGATGCGGGGTCGGGGTCTTCTCGAGATTATTTCCAGAAATCAGGGGAGAAGAGGAATAGAATGATCAAATTAAAGTGCATGGGAAGCTACTAAGATGAGCAAAGAAAAAGAGAAAATTCAATTGAAACAAAACTTCTACCAAAGACCAAGTAGGAACAATAGGAAACGACTGTGTGCGCGGGTCTTCACCCTGTTACTCTCTCTTTCCTTTCATCCAACCTTTCATTTCTTTAGACCAAATATCATCATTCCATTTCCCTCACGCTCTCGCTTATTCTACAGGCACTGAGAGTAGTAATCGTTCTGCTTGGTGCAAGTATACCCGCTGGCGCAGGTAGTTGCCCCAGTCCAGCCAATACCGCCACACTGCGCCCAGTGGGCCGCACCCGTGCTGCTCGACCCAGAGGATGTGGTTGTCGAGGTGGAGGTGGTCTTGGTAGTCGAGGTGGTCGAGGTGGTCTTGGTAGTCGAGGTAGTCGAGGTTGTCGATCCAGAGCCGGAAGAGCTAGAGCTGAATGTCGAGCCCAGCGGGCCAAACTTGATGTTCGAGTAGATGACATAGGAATCGGCATCCTCCGTCTCGATGGTGTCTGGGTCACCCGATGAGATATCGCAAGTGCCTCGCTTGGCGCCCGGGGTCGTGGATGAGGCATCAGTTGGGTAGGTGCTGTCCAACCAAAGCATGTTGGCATAATGATCATCCCACAGACTCATGACTAGAACCATGCCTTCTGCAAGACCGGCGCTCATTCCCGACATGCCACCATGCTCGCTGAATACGTCCGTATCACCAAAAGCAGTCTTTTGTGCTGTGCAAAACGAGGAGGTGATGGAGTTTCCGCTCACTCCGCTGATCGTGGATGCCGAGTTGGGGATGACCTTGCCATTCTGGACGTAAAAGCGCTTGATCTCGGACAAAGTGCCAGACGAAGTACCATCGTCTGTGATGAACTGTGTCACAACGGTAAAGGTAGAAGAGGTATCGACAATCTCTCCGGATCCATAGAACGTGGTGTTACCCATTCGGTAAGGGTTGAAATCACATCCGTCCGGGTCACAAGTGCCACCGTAGCGATCGCTGCTATATGTACCTCCACAGCCATCCGTTTCGCACATGGTCTGTGTCGGGGTATCACATGGGTGGGGAGTATAGGCATTGGAGATAGAATTGGCCTCCCAGACATCCATTTCGGCGCAGCAGGAGCCATGATTCCCAATGCCAGAGTTGACGTCAGTGGATGAAGGCTCCCAGCCCTCCACGTTGGCTTGGCCATTGATAAACTTCAGGTCGCGAGGGCACTGGGAATCACAATAACCCGTTCCGTATTTGGCGCCGGCCTTGTTGGTAGAATAGCGGGACATGCCGCCGTCAGCGTCCATGTTGACGAAATACAAGGCACCATTGAGACCACACGGAAGATGGGAGACATCGACATCAAAGGTGAACTCCTGGTTCAAAAGGTCGAAGGTCTGGTAAGTAGTGTCATCCTGCAGCAGGTACAGACGAGACCCGATATTCTTGTTCGAGGACTGCGTGACAAAGTTCAGGCGCAGCTGATTGCCACTTGTCGTCACACCATAAGTGCTACTGTAATCGGCGCCATCGAGGGCGCAGTTGGCTGCGCAAGTCACATCATCCGGGCAGAGAGTCGCATCCCATGTTTGCCCAGTATAGCAGTTGGTGGAGCTACTGGTGGAGTGCACCCAACGCCAGTTTGCATCAATGACCACCTTGCCACTCTGCGATGTGCAGCTGCCGCTACTGGTGCATTTGGACCAGGTCAGCGAGGGGTGAGTCTCTGTCGTATAGGTGCCGACTTGCTGGGCGTTTGCAATACCCAGAAAGGCAGACAAAAGAAGGGCAGTTTTATAAATTTGGTAAGAGATGGCCGCAGTCATCTTGGGCCAAATTCAATCCGTCTCAACTTTGTGAATTTAAAGAAAGAGAAATATGAGGAGACCGGTTGGAACTTTTTGCTTGATGAAAAAAAATTGAAGACTTGGTTGTGTCGAACACTTTATATACTACTCTCTTCACCAAACAAGCCGGAAGAGTATGCAACAGAGGGCTTGTAGATACAGACGCTACACGGCGGAACGGTCCGCTTGGCCGTCCTGGCCATTCTTCAGATACTTCCCAAAGGAGCCAGGGACAATCGTACTCCGAGGACACGGAGGAAATGCCTGGCACCCGAAGGGAATGGCCTGGAGGCGAAATGAAAAGTGACCGCCTGCAGTGGGGCTCATCTCCCCATGTTTCGGAGAAGAGGCCGTGAAGAAGTCCGTTCTGCATGATGGCATGAATGCCACCCTCCCCTGGAAAATAATTAGATTTCTGGGGCAGAAGCCAACTATGCCATTTTTGACCAGGAACTGGGCGGCTAAATGCTCAGTATCCCGGAGGAGTATCGTACCGGATCCCGCCGCAATGGCCAAAAGTCAACCCCGATTAAGCCAGCATACTCTGTCCGTGACAAGCTGGTCACAGGGTAGATTCCGGATTCTGCAGGCAGAAGTCGGCAATTATACCCTGGCTGCGTCGTTGAGGTGCAGGGGTCCTTTGCATTAGTGCGATTGGGGTAAGAGATGGGGTTGGAGAGGGGAACATCAGAGCGCCTATTCTGAGGGACTACCCAACTTGAAGAACCATTCAGGTACCGGAATGCCGAAGATGATGTTCAACCTCATAGACGAGCCCTAGGAGTTCTGGCCAGACAAAAGTGATACCAGCCAATGAATAAGTACAGCAAGAAGGGCCATCTACAATGCTGCAGTCGTCGGGCCCTAGTTGTGTTCAAAGTAGGTTAATAGGGTTAAAGTGCCCGCGTGGAGCCGATCGGATGACTCATCGCCGCGATCGGCGTCGTCGTGGAAAGTGGGATTTTTGGTTTCGACTCCGACACGGTGATTTCCCTGTTATTGTGCGCTATCTTGTGTTCCCCACGGATTCAACACCCGTTTCTCTTCTGCGCAATTTCAACATGGCTTCCAGCTTCATCCTCACCCTCTCGGGCCCCGACCGCCCCGGAATTGTCCACGCCGTCACGGCCTTCCTCGTCCAGCACAACCTCAATATAGTTGATTCCTCCCAATTCGGTGATGCCACCTCCAAGCGCTTCTTCATGCGCGTGCGCTTTGCGCCGGCAGCCGAAAGTACCGAGGAGCCGGAGTTGGAAAAGCTGTGCGCTGCATTCGAGTCCACTGCGCAGTCCTTTTCTATGGACTTCGAGATCCACCCCACCACCCAGAAGCCCCGCGTGCTGATCATGGTCTCCAAGATTGGCCACTGCCTTAACGACCTGCTCTTCCGCCAGTCTACCGGACAGCTGAACATTGAGGTGCCTCTGATCATCTCCAACCACCCCGACTTCGCGACCCTCGCTGCGACCTACAACATCCCTTTCCACCACCTTCCCGTCACCGCTGACACCAAGGCGCAGCAGGAGGCTCAGATCCTGGAGCTGGTGCGCGAGCACAATATCGATCTTATTGTCCTAGCCCGCTACATGCAGGTTTTGTCACCGACTCTGTGTGAGGCCATGTCTGGCCGTATCATCAACATCCACCACAGCTTCTTGCCTTCTTTCAAAGGTGCCAAGCCCTACCACCAGGCTTATGACCGTGGCGTCAAGATTATTGGAGCCACCGCCCACTTTGTCACCAGTGACCTTGATGAAGGCCCCATTATTGAGCAAAATGTCGTTCGGGTCAATCACGGCATGAGTCCCAAGGAGCTTACCCATGCCGGAAGTAATGTCGAGAGCAATGTGCTGGCCACCGCGGTGAAGTTTGTCACTGAGCGGCGGGTACTGCTGAATGGACACAAGACCGTTGTCTTTGACTAAAAGATCTCCGTCAGCCCTCCCAATCTCTCCTTATGGCTATGGCAGTGGCAACTCATCCAGTCACACTGCCTTTTCCACAGCGACTCTTTACTCCTTTGTGATACCTTTCAATGGATCCCAGAAGTATATAGATATTGATGAAGCGCAAGGAAAGTAAAATTTAGGAAAAGAGAAGCAAAATAGACCAAATAAAATCATGATCTCTAGGGCCTGGTCATCCTACACTGACCAAAAATATTGCCCCTAAAGATATACTATAGTACCAGAATGCCTTGGGTTTCCAACATTTAGTAGGATAGCCCATTGCTCGTTCATTGGGACTTAGGTCTATTTGATATTTCGCTACCTGATCATTCCTGACCCTCTTGGGCCCTCTTGGGCCAATTCAGTTGTAGTACAAATGTACCATCCAACAGTGAATATATGGTGCCTGTGGAATGGAATCACGCATGCATCGCTGAAATGAAAGAGAGCAATGAATTTTTCAGATTCCAAAGAATATATCATTGCGATAGCAGCGTTCTTAATTTGACTGTGCCAATCTTGACTGGAAATGGCAACAGTGCTCATGATGTCAAGGCTCCGGCTGATCCCGCGGGAGTATATGGATTTGAGCGACAAATACTCGTGACGCGGAAGTCCAGAGATCTCTCCATTGACTGTAGTCCAAGTGTTGAGCTTTATTCTGTGCATCACTATGAATTCTTGCCTATTATAAAGTATAGATGTTTCTTTCAAAACCGCAAAACATAAAAGTCAAAAGGAGCGAAATTGGTATGTACAGTAATATTGACTCTCAGAAATTGCCATCGAGTTGCTAGCGTCTTCAAAGCAACCAAGTCACCGAAGAAAAGACTTAAGCAAATATTTGTAAAGAGACAATATCCATCTAGGCGATCTAAAAGAACCCCACAGGTAAACCAGATGACCTATTGATCCACTCGCAGAATTTGCATCAAAAATGTAGCCCGTGAAACTGTCTCCACACCCCCACGCAACAGGCATTCTTTTCATCTGTACTTTCCCCCGCATTGCTTGGCTCCCAACACTCCTCCAATTTCTCAACCGGTATAATGAACACTCTGGCACCCCCGCCCAAGCTCACTCACCTCTTTACTCTGCGATGTGCAGTGGATTCACCGATGGAGATTGGCCACGGTCCCTATGGGCGGCGGCGCTGCGTGCCGATAATGTCCGGCACTGTGCGGGGGCCATTCCTCAACGGGGAGGTTGTGCCCGGAGGCGCAGATTTTATGTATGTTCGAAGCCGTGGAAGATCTGGAAAGATGCTGATATTCTTCAATGCATCCAGGATTGTGGAGGAGGATCAAACCACGCATGTGAATACCAACTACGTCATCAAGAGCGACGACGGCGCATTTCTGTACATTCGGTAAGAAGCAATTTTTTGGCCCCTAATGGGTAGCTTGATCCCAAACTTTTCCATGGGCTCGAACATTGTTCCGGATGATAGATAGAATTAACACAGGAGTAGGACAGAGGGAACTCGTGCAGGCCCTCCGGAGGTGCTCAAGGCCTTGATGGAAGGAGGCCCGGTGGATCCCAGCCAGTATTGGTTCCATCTGCATGTCAAGATCGAAACGGGTGATGAGAAATATCGGTGGATGAACGATCGAGTCATTGTCGGACGGGCGACCAGGGCAAAGGGCGAAGTCGCCTACGATGCCTATTTCCTGGAAAACAATCCATGAAAAACAATAGCTAATCAATCATCATTGGACGCGTGGGCGCATACATATTAAAGTCTATAGAAATTATGACTAGATATACAGAAATTCACAGGTATACTTTATTGCGGATGGAACCGTTGAAGGAGCAAATCGGCGAGATTCACGTAACAGCCCTGGTTCACGTCCTGCTGGACTAGGATATCATCGGCCACCTCGTTCGCCCACACGTATTCCGAATGGAAGTCGCGCAGTTCAAAAAGACGTTGACGAAGCCACACCTGGTGGCTAGTATCACCGGTCTCGATGATTGCCATCAAGAGCGGCCAATGGAGCCGACGCAGCAGCCGTGGGTCGGATGCGAATTGTTTCTGAGCAATATCTACGATCCCGGCCGTTGCTTGTCGGTGAATGGCGGCCGGCGGGCTTTCCACGCAGAGGAGTCGACGATGGAGCAGAATCTGAGCGTAGAACGTGCATACGGCCATAAAGATGGTGTTGAGCGTGCGCCGGGCCGAGACAGTGCCGGCGTATCTCGCTGTGATGAACAAATCGGAGTATTTCTATGAGATCAACAGTCAGAATTACAGCCACAGCGAAGGATGGGCCGACTGGTGGTGGGCTCCCAAAATTTATCAAGATAGAAGACGTACCTCACGAATGGATAGGATCTCTCGGAAAAGCGACTCGGCCGATTCAGATCCAGCCCCCGAGTCCACAAGCACTCTCCAAGTTCGATAGCGCATAACAAAGCCAGAATGTAGTAGCTCGAGGGCTCGGTAGTTTTCAATGTCGTCCAACACCTCTTGATCGGGATACTTTTCACCCCAAAAACACCGGCCCCATAGACGGGCACATCGATGTAGATGATCAGGATGCAATGCTGGATTGTTGGATTGCATGACATAGTCGTATAATGACTCGGTCAAGCCCATGGGTCGGCAGCTAGCGTCGATGTATCTACAATTTGATAAGCGTGGAATTCCAGGACAACTTTGTCGGGCGCGTGAGGAAGGCGGCGAGGGAGCCGAACATGGCGCCAAAGGGGGAAGATGTGGTAACAGTGATGTGGCGGTGAAGTACTTACAAGATCCAGAGGAGAAACTGTTCAGAGATGAAGGAGACTCTGGAACTAGTGGTAGTCTCTTCCGAGGATGCGTTGTTCGGAGATTTCTCAGGCGTCAAAAGGACATCGTTCACGTCCTTAAGGCGGAATAGTTGGGGATGGGACTCGATGAGGGATCGGACTCCATGAAGATGTAATTGGAGATGCCGGACGGAGTGACCAAATTGCCATTCATAAGTGACCATAAGAAACATGGTGGCAAAGATGGTCTCCAGCTCCGCGACCGAGACGTGCCGCCGGGGAGTCTCGAGCAACTGCCGGAATTCCTTGACCGCCAGGCTGTAGTGATATCTACCATGATCTTCTGCTGTGGGACGGCCGGGGGATCGCACGACCAATCCATGCCGGTGCATATCACTAGCGGACAACGCCAGGATCATGCGCATGATCACCTTGTTGGTGGCCGCGGGGCCTTGATATAGATAGCACAAGCTGCTCCAGTGCCATCCTTTCATATAATAGTAGACGATGGAGGAGGAAGGGAAATATTGAAAGTATTTTTGATCATGTTCGGTTAGCGTGAGGGAATTGGCGCAAGCGACTTCTGTGACACTCAATGGCGGGTAGAGCGGAGTCGGGATTCGGGCCGGGGGAGGAATGGCCGGATAGAATGGGGCGATTGGGGGCGTCTCCAGGACGATCGCGTCGCCTGGCCAGGAGACGGGGGAGAGACCGGCGACCAGAGCCTCTGGGGCGATATCCACCACCTCGCCAGCGTCCGGCGCTGGCCAGATGAGCTGATCCGGGCCAGAGGTTGGCGCGGGTTGGAGATGTCGGATCTGACCACTGCGACCGCGCTTCACGGGCACCCCCCACTCACAGTTCAGGCGTAGGTTCACGCAGCGGTTGCAAACGGGACGTTCTTCGCCGCATTTCACCTTGCGCCGGCGGCAAGTACTGCAGCCTGATGGGTGGAAGTAATGATCCGGTCAGTTAGATGTTCATGCACAGGTCTCTCGGCATTTGAAGCAAGCCAAAAAGAGCCAGAAGGCAGAGCAAAGAGCAACAACGAACCATTCTTCGAGCGCGGCGCGTTCCTTCCGGACATGAAGATTCAAGCGAAACCCCCGCCTCTCAATGAGTCTCGCGATGTTTCAATCGGTAGACATGAGGGGAGCGACTGACAGGATCAGAATCGCAGAAAACGTGGGGCGGAGGGTGCGGGAGATGGCAGAAGAGAGAAAAACTGGAGAGCCTCCGATGACGCGGGGGTTTCGGCTGGTCTGTGCACGGGTTGATAAGGCACACGATAATCAATAAGCCAATTGGCATATTGAGTCAGCATATTGATTCCAAGGAGCGGGACGGGTATTTCACTATGTCAGTGAAGACAATATGAACGGTTCCACCCCTAGGCTCTGCCCAAGTTGACGTATTTGATATCTGATTTCAATCGAGTGGCGGATCCGAGATGTAAAAGCGTGGCTTCCTGAGATGGCTAGGGATAAAGAAATTGGCGAAGTAGAGTTAGAAAAAGGCTAATCATGGAACGTGATCATTACGACGCCCTCATTGTGATTGCTGACAAGGAAGCCAGTCTTGTATCTTTTTTTTTCTTTTCTGAAAGCAAGATTCAGAGAGTATTGCGAGCGGGAAATTCAATATAAACTTTATTAACATAGATCGGAGACACCTAGAAAGCATATATTTCCAGGATCATCCAACTGACCTGTATACTGAGATCCTCATGAAGCTAGTTCTGGTTTCTATTAATCGAGCCTATACTTTATGGACTGATAATACGCCATGATCGAATCCATTGTCAGCAACTTAACCATCGTAATCTCCCCTAGCATAGGGTAATGACCCCGGTCGGCCTGAGGCTCATCCTGAGGCTCATCCATATAGTGTATAGTGTAATATTTAACCGGGGTACTAATCGAATTTCGAAAGTCAGCCTTTTTAATGGGCGGCAAATTCGCCATAATAATAGCATAATGACTAACAGGCCACACCTTCGCCCTTGATCAAGAGCTTAGGTCTGATCCTTTAAATTGAATTACGAAAATACGGGTTTAGTCATCATCATCCCTTTTTAGGGCATAGGAGAAACCGCAATGTTGGTTTTCGGTTTATGGGATGATGATTGGTTCATCGCCAGGAATGTTCCGCCCTGACATCACCAGTATGATCAGGGATGATCGCATCACATCGGGGTTCTGGATACAATAAAAAGGTAGTTATCTCCGGGGTTTTGACTATGTTGCAATTAAGCTACCCACTTTTCCATTTCATCCCAAAATGCCAGAGTCACGCACGAAGAAAAAAGTGGCAATCATAGGAGCCGGAGCCGCGGGCATGGTATGTATAAATGAGTGAATAAGTATGGAAAAATTAGAACAGGACTAAAGTATACTATTCAGTCCTGCGCTTCTGCACTGGTAGCTCACCCGGACCGCTTCGAGGTCACAATCATCGATATTGAATCTCATGCAGGCGGTCAAGCGACATCAATTTCCTTGGATGAAACCAAGTATGGCGCCAGTTGGTTGAACGACGGTGTCCAAGGCGGATCGGCCATATTTCGACACACTTTTCGCTTGTTTCGCCGGTACAATTATGAACCTCATCCGGTCAAACTTCAGGTATCCTTTGGCAAAGGACGTGATGATTTTTGGACGAACGTTTTCCCCAGTCCGCTGGTAGATCGACATTCTCATGAAATCAAGAAACTCGGCCGTGTTTTGAAATGGATCAAGTACTTGATGCCAATTCTCGGCATTATTCCAGTCAGATTGATTCTTCGTCTGTTCTTCTTCAGCGACGACTTCAGTAATAAGATGGTTCTACCTCTTCTTGCTTTGTTCCTTGGCACGGGAAATCAAACCCCAAATGTGCCGAGCGTACTGCTTGAGCGGTTGTTCGATGACCCCCAGATGAAGCTGTGGGAATATGATCCAGATACATTGTTGCCAAACCTCCCAATGATGTACACATTTCCTAATCTGGGTAACTTCTACAAGGACTGGATAACAGATTTGGAGTCAAAGGGGGTTAGAAGCCGATTTCACTCTTCAGTCACTGTTCTGGAACGCAGCAAAAAAAGTATTGTATTGAAATTGATGTCTCAAGACAATAGCAGAACGCAGCAGCAGGAAGGGGAATGCTCAATCGAGACATTCGATGAACTTGTTCTTTGCTGTCCTGCAGACGAGGCAAGAAGACTTCTTGATGGACATGCCACATGGCGCGAGAAATACGTTCTCAACGGTGTGAAATTCTTTGATGATATTACGATAACCCATTCGGATTCCAAGTACTTTCAGCAGATATTCGAAGCTCAATTTCACCCAACACTATGTGCACAGCCCTCAACCAGGAAGAGGGAGGACCAGATCTCGTTTGCGGAGCAGCAACCTCTTTGCCAAAAGGACGGTTGGTTGGGATTTCGTCCAATGTATTTCACCCACTCCTTTGCTTCTGCCCCACAGAATATTGAAATGGGTTTTGATGTATCTACCTATCAACACCAATTCCGCAACAGACTTGGAGTAGGCGAGCCTTCCAGACCACTGGACAAGCATGTCTTCCAGACTATATACTTAAATGATCAAGATAAGGAATTGTGGACCTGGAATGAAATAGATGCTTCGAAAATTATCTCTCGCAAATGGTGGCATCAGTTTGGGCATCGGTGGCAGCATTACCTACGGGTGGTACCCGGACTGATGTTTATCAACGGCAAGAACCACACGCTTTATGCGGGGAGTTGGACGATGGTGGTGAGTACCACTTTGAACTATCTCATGAATGCGATCCTGACCCATAGGATATAGAATATGCACGAAATTGCCTGCATCTCGGGCATTGCAGCTGCACATCAGCTAGGTGCAACATATGAACCTTTTGATGACTTTGCTGAGGACTTCTTCGCAAAATATTTGCTGGTTTGTCATGGGACACGATACAAACGAAACAAGGAAAAGCATATTTAAAATGACCGAAAGTTTTCCAAGTGATTCTGTTCATTGAATCGCAGATATCTAAAGAAGATACCGGAAACTCTCTATCTCATGATCTGTCTTATTGGAGAATTCATCTTGTAACTCCTCTGCCTCAGTCAACTGCCTTGGCGATCCAAAGAGCCGATCTCGTCGCCGATTTTCCCATGTGTAGTACACATATAAACAAATCAAGAAGAACATTCCAAAAGCCAAGCCTGACATAGCTGCTTTGATGCCGGTCTAGTTTTCCATTAGCCATCGAAGTACTGTCATGAGTCAACAAAAGGAAAGGTTCAACTCACAGGGTATCCTGGCTTCTCTGAAGGGAGGAAGAATTGAGGACCAACAATGTTGCCGACACAATACGCTACAAACATCAAGCCGCTCACTGTACTTTTTTTGGTGAACCCGGCAACATTCGAACTGATGATGCTCAGAGAGAGTGGTATATTGGCAGCAAATACAGCACCCAGGCATAGACCTGTCATCCGTCCTGCACGGTCATCATCATCCAGTTTCCAGATGAGAATCATCCCAATCATCGATACAGCTGTATTCAATATCATCATGAGAATTCGGGTTTGACGGAAGAAGGTTGCAAAACCAGATGTCAAAACCAGAAATACCAGTTGTGCTGCTCCCATTGGCATCTGGATAAGAAGAGACTTGAGATTGGAAAACCCAAAGCCGGCAATGATGATGGAAGAAAAGCTGGTGATACCACCATTGCAAAGGTTGACGCATAGAGTGTACAGAACCAGGAACCAGGTTTGAGGATCTTTGATGGCCATGAAAGCCTGCCCCCATTTAAATTTACCCACATCCATGACTCCTGTCTTGTTCTTGAGTGTTCGTTGAAGGGCGATGGTCTTCTCAGCTTGGTTAAAGAATATAACCTTCACTGGAGAGTCGGGTAGGAAGGCTAAAAGGACAAATCCGTATCCAGACGTGACCGCACCGAGAATGAGGAACAGCAGCTGCCAGTTCGTCACATTGTTATTGTGAATCAATCCGATTCCGTACGCAACAAGGCCACCAATAATACTGGCAATCGAGTTTCCAACAAACCAGGCAGCCTGTCGTGCCGGCTGCTCTTCTCGCTTGTAAAACATGCCGGTAATAAGGGCAAAACCAGGAGCAATGGAGGCCTCTCCCACACCAAGGAAGAATCTCGCAGCCATCAATCCACTGAAGGAGGTACAAGCGGCATGGCACATGAGGATTCCTCCCCAAAGGAAGACTGCCAGACTCAGGTACTTGCCCAGTGGGAGTTTCACGATGAGATAGGAACTTGGCCAGCTCCAGGCAAAATATCCGAAATAGAAGATGGCGGACGCCCAATTATACTCAGTTCCTTTCAAATTCTAGAGAATAGTATGTTGTCAGCCATTGTATCCTTGTACCTTTGCTTAAAACAACAAGGCGGTATATAGGGCGGCATACGAGGTCTTCTGTGAGATTGAAAAGGGTTGACTGGCTGAGTGCCAGTTTGTCCATATATTGAAGCATATAGCAGAATCCCATTAGGGGTATTAAACTGAAATAATGATATGAGTGGTGCACTTTTAGGGACACCTGGGGATGACATACAACAAGTCCAGCTTCCAGAGAACTCTTCGTTCCATTTCTGGCGTGGCGGCAGTTTCGAGAACTTGTCCAAAATCAACATCACGAGCGACAGGGTTGGATCCCACTTTCAGCATGTCCAAATCGAGAGGAGGATGACCTCCGGCAGGAGGATGCTCCTTTTCCATGATAGTATACTGGTGCGAACACTTGGCCGATATAATCTGTTTGCAGATAATAATCCAATGGAAGTTGAAATTCGTTCACTTGACCAAGAAATACGGTTGATTTGAAATCGAGAGAGGAATCCCGCATGTTCGAAAGCTTCTAGATTATATGTTCTCCGGGGAAAAGGGGAGGGGGCGAAACACTTGCGCTAAGCCCGACCCAAGAAGGTGGCGATAGGCGGAATACAGGAAACGTGGAGACCGCACCGCACCCGAAAGGCTCAGTATCTTCTTTGCTGAGCCTGTAGATACACGGATCTCAGAGAGACCAACGTCGAAAATCCTCTTGTGATTCGACTTACCCGCTTTCTCGTTAGTCACGAGTCACGGCAACATGAGAACGATAACAGAGACGATATGGGAATGATCCGATATCCCACGAACGGTCTACGATATCGGCAATCAAAGACCTCACGAAGCAAGCGCATGTGCCGAATTCGATATCCAGGCGCCTTGGCCTCGAGGCTGAGTGTCGATGTAGCCTCGAGATAACCTTGCAAAGCACCAATCGCCAGGGAAGCGCATCCGAGATTAGGGTACATCGGCAGTTCAGCCAATGGGGAGGCCCGTCGGTAATCAGCACCCCCGGCCGTTTGGTCGGCAATCCACACCGATTATCATTTGCCGACGCGCGGGGATACAGCCATTGACCGAACGTGATTAGCATCTGCAGGTCCGCCATGCGCTCATCACGCCTACCCCACAGATTCAAATGGAGGAATCGTGGGGAGGAGGATCCACCACTGCTTTGCCGAGCGGGAAGTCCAATTTTGCTATCAAGGAAAGCAACGAACTTTGTACTCCGTCCGGAGAAGATGGGTTCTATTCCGAACACAGAAGCCCTGACAGGTGGATCGTCGGCAAAGCACTCCCCACTGGAACGGGGAAGGCGTTGGAGATTGGCGAGGAGATAGGATGCCTCGGATGCGACGTCGCAAGGGTCCCCCTCGCCATAGCCGCTGGCGTTAAATATACTCGACGCGCCCAATTGCTCAATGGAGGAGCCGAAAATCGAACGGACCGAATCACTGCGATCACATTTCTTGTGAGATACCCGAAAATGACCGTTTCACCTATTGAGATCGACGACATCCGAGCTGCAGTGGATGCGGCTCTCGAGACCCTGCAGGAATCGTTACGGAGTCTAAATCGTGAGGTATAGTCGCCCTAATATACAGTTTTCAATGTTAACCTAGAAACTGCAACCTTACACGTTCTAGAATTCTGACGAAATATTCTCTCTAGATCTGGTCCAACCCCGAACTCGCCTACAAAGAACATCGTGCGCACGATACGATTTGTGACTTCCTAGAGGCGCAAGGCTTCACAGTCACTCGACATGCCTATGGTCTGGAAACCTCCTTCGAAGCACTGAGTGGGTCCGGGGGGCGTTTAATTAACTTCAATGCCGAATACGATGCGCTGCCAGGGATTGGACATGCCTGTGGCCATAACCTGATCGCCACAAGCAGCATTGCGGCTTTCCTCGCTTTGTCTTTGATCCTTAAGAAGTATGGCCTCCCAGGGCGGACTCAGTTGCTCGGGACCCCCGCGGAGGAAAATGGAGGTGGAAAGGCAGTTCTTATCGACGCTGGGGCCTATAAGAACGTAGACATCTCTCTCATGGCGTATGTTCATCTCGAATGTCCACTCAATAATTCTTCCATATGGTCTCTGACAAGCGTTTTTCTAGCCATTCGGGACCTAAGAAGCTCTTCCCGGAGCAGGGGGACTCCGAAGGCATTGCCGGAACCCTGATGAACGCTCGCAAGAACATTCATTGCGAATTCACGGGAAAGAGTGCCCACGCAGGAGGCAATCCGTGGGATGGGGTCAACGCATTGGATGCCTTGGTCACATCATACAATAATGTTGCTGTGTTACGACAGCAACTTTTACCTGATCAACGCATTCACTGTGCGTTCATGGATACTCCCAAGGTGGCCAACGTGATTCCGGCGTATACAAAGGCCTTTTGGCAAGTTCGAAGTCCATCCCTCAAGGGTTTGAACATCCTAATCACCAAAGTGCGCAAGTGCATCGAAGCTGGCGCGTTAGCCACGGGATGTGAAGTTCATATCGAAGAGTACGATGCTGATTTCCACATTGTCTGCCTTAAAACTTTGTTGGAGCACGCTCACTAACCCGGTCGCTCATCTTTGATGGGCTTACAGAAACGAACTTTATACGGACGTACGATTAAACGATACTCTTTGCGAGCGATATCAGATTCACATGGGTGCGTATGGTCGCAAAGTGCTCAAGCGACATGACAAGGTTATGACAGGATCCTCCGATATTGGTAAGAAATTCTCTTTCCATTTCAATAGAGATAGATGAGTGGAACACGATCTAAATTCCCGGTTTAGGTAATGTCAGTTATGTGACCCCGACTCTTCATACCATGTTTGGGATCCCAACCTCCGAAAAAAGCTTCCCTCATCATCCTACATTTACAGCGGCAGCTGGGACCGATGAAGCTCATGAGGAAGCAGTGGTTGTCGGCAAGTCGCTTGCATTGATCGGGTGGGAGATGATCACCGACGATGCGCTCTATGAGACGGCCTTCAAGCAATGGAAGGAAGAAATCTCGCGAGATGATTAGCTTCTCGATGTAATGATAATTTATACCCTTTATAAAACTAAAAATTACTAGTATAAACCAAGTGACCGCACTGTAGATCGGATTCTCGATGCTATGGACCTCCGTCGCTTATGTCCTCATGGCTGAAGCGAGGACACAGAAGGATAGAAAATTTCCACTACCGCTGCCACAATAGCAACGACCACCTCTTTAATCGACTCAAACTTGAAAGCCGTCTCGTTCGCGCTGGTCACCCTGGCATCAAATTCTATCGGGGAAACGTCTTCCCTCACTACTCTTTCAACCTTTTCTTTATCGGGAACCAGCACACCTTGCGAACGAATAGCAGCCGGTGGGACACCCCCTGACAAACCAAGGGGAGTCGCCGCGGGAAGCTCCTGTTGAGCAAATTGAACCTCACAACCGCTAGCGGACATTCTCCTATCCCCCGCGAAGCCAGTTCCTAGCTTCGACACGATCCCAACATCATTTTTCGTCTTTTTCCTTGTTGTCGTCTTCGTCTACTACTCCTCTTGGTGTATGATTTCGTCCAAGCAACCTCCACTTCGCATCGCCCCGAGAAGCTCTGATGCAACTGAGCTGGTCAAAGTTATAAGAGTGCCCGCACCCATGAGTGGAAACTACATGAGAGCTCCCCACACTGGATCCTACATGGTAGAAGGCTGAGAACTCCAGTATCGGTCTATTTACTAGTTTCTGATTGGAAAACACGAGGGGTAAGCCATAATAGTACTATGCTTCGCTAGCTTAGACTGATCCAAAAAACCCCTGCCACTCGACCAACTGGCCTTGTGACTGGCAATGTCCAGACGTTAGGGCGGTGTTGCCTGCGTGAAAATCTAGGAAATCTTCGCTTCTCATCACCTTTCATGAAATCACTGCTCTCTTTTTTATGCAAAATCCTTCTCGCAATCATATCTCGAGTGCGGGGATACGGCTACTCTTAGTAATTCCCGTTAACCACAGCCTCCTTGGTGTTGGCGAGTGACAGAGCTTAGGTTATCAATGCAGAAGAGGGATTCCGACGTCTCAGATTTATTGTGCATATGGTGAAGGTAACGCAGTTTGCTTGAGAGGCCGAGCTTGCTAGCAATCTTTCGGGTATCAGGCGAATTGCGATCCAAGTCAAGGGTCTCGGAGCATCATAAACAGCACTGAAACTCGATGACATCTGCATCTCAGCAAAATGAGAGTACAAGAGGAATCTCTGCCACAGAAGATGATCACTTTATGAGGTCCAGAGAGACTCTAGAATCATGCGGTACTGCTCATCATCTAACCTAATCGTTCTTCAACGGGCGCCACGCCGGCACCACAGGATTCGTGCTGACAGTGAAAGATGTGGTAGACCTTCGAAGTGCCACCCTTTCCCCTCCCGGCAATACGCCTCGTGCGCTGCGACCGGCAACGCCGTGGCAAAAGGCCTAGTCCGCCTGTAACCTTCCCGTTTCTCAACTTCCCATCCTCAATCTGCTCATCACCGTTGGTACGATCGCAGAGTGCCACATTCAAACCAGTGGCTGGCATAGATGAATTTATTGGACGATACTACCCTCAGACACGATGACTAGCACCGTCATCGATCTTTTGTTCCAGACTCATTTTTTATCCTATTCCTTTTCAATACATAATTGCAGCATCGAGCTTATTGAGTCTCAACTAAGAGTAGTTCGCCTGACTACTCTCTCTCTCTCTCACTTACATTTCACGGTGAAAATATCAAATCATTTCTTTGAATATGGGGGAAATTGGAGATGATTCGGCTTTTTCGCAGTGGAGGCCGTTATACAACTCAGATTTTTTTTCTGAAGACATAGCCCAGCTCTTACGCCTCCGGCTCCCAGGAATTGAGTATCATCGCTGGCACGATTCATTTAATCTCGATATGAAGAAAAGTCTACCAATCAATTTGAAGGAATGGGATAAAGACAGGAGGATGGGCAGAGTTCCGAAGGGGTGAGACCAGAGCTAATGGATTAGAAACAATCTCGGGATCTACTGTCACCTTTGAGCGGAGATGGGCCCCCAAGTAAACAGGTTACCATACCTCTGCCCCGTAATTCTCTTTACAATGACAGAGTGCACCACTCAGTGGTAGCTAATTGCTAGCTGAGGCTTCTAGGCTTTCAGGAGTAAAGTCAACCTTGCCGGAATGAGCAACCGGCTTTACGGAGCGTATTTCATACTGTTATCAAGCGAGTTTTATTGTCCGTATACACTGAACATTGTCATCCAAAAAGGAAAATTTGGATCCAAAAAATAGGAAGAATGTGCAGAAGGAACACATGATTATAAAAAGGCAGATTCGATTGGTTCACAATTGATGTTAATCAAAATGGTGATGCTTTCCGCAAGAGTATAGATCATACCCAAATGCGTTACGACCCGAAAAGACACGGGAACAGATGTCTGTCGTGGTCGAGGTTTAAAAATCATGCAAGTATATAAGCCTCTAAATTCAATACTATTACCATGGAAACTATGACCCAAGTGCGCGCCACAGGCTGGAAAATAGACTGTGAAGGAAGTGGAGAAAGACGGTGATCTAGTCACATGACCTTGTGTCGGTGGCATCTCGCGGATCAGCGCCTTCAAGTAAAACTCTTTTTGCCCTCGAGCATGGCAACGCGGAGGACGCATACTAAGATCACCGGTGCCCCGGACTACAATGATCCGGAATTCTGGAATCACCGGTTTGCGACCGGTCGAGATGCCTGTGAATGGCTCAATTCGGGCGAAGCACTGATTGATATCGTCTTGTCTAATTTGGAGCACAAACCTGGTTTTGAAGGTTCAACTCCCCGCGTCTTGCATTTGGGCCCAGGTATCTCGCAACTCGGCGTGAGGTTACGAGATGCCTGCCATGAGCGCCAGTGGGCTGGAAATGGCATAGTTGTTGGTTCCCTCCCCCATCCCATCCTGTCATCACAGCCGCTGCGATGCTGTGGTGAACGTGGACGAACCTTCAATTTCTTCGTACAGCCTTCTTGCTTACACTGTTTCTGCTCACAGAATGCTGATTTCTCCTTCGAAGCGGTCCGATTGGGAAGAGAGGCCGAACGCAACCACCCCCCCGCCAAGGCCATGCATTGGCATCAAACCGACCTGCTCTCGTGGGCGGACGTCGCTGCGCTTTCTTGCTTCGCCCCCTTCGATGTGATCCTTGACAAAAGCACCAGTGACGCAATCGCTACTTTCGATGACCAGACTTTCTCGGCATCAGCCGATCATTCGCAGGTGTCTCCAGTTGTCCAAGAGATTCTTTCCAGAGACGTCACGGTCGCAATGTCCCCAGTCGAATTACTTGCCTTACATCTTGTGCCATTGACACGTAAGGAAACAACCTGGATTGCTTTATCTTACTCTACCATCCGATTTGATAATCTCCCTCTCCTGGCAGAGTATTGGACATTGCGATCTCGCACGGCTTTGAAAGCACCACCTGGTCTCGTATCTTCCTCCGCTTATGCCCCCGAGGTATACCACTGGATATATATACTAGACCGAAAGTAACTATAAAAACGCGGTCTTCACAGAAACAGGTGCCTATACATAGCGTTATTACCCAAGCTGCGATAATGCAATGGAACTGGTAGAAGCAAATCATATGTGGACCTCCAAACAGGGAAGACCAGGAACCCCGGCGGAAGTCAGATAGATAAAATTGGTGATATATTACGCAACTTCTACTGTTTCCTCGAACGCCAAGGACGTTGGTTGAAGTGACGAACGGCATGGACAAACATACATCCAAAATCGAGGGACCGCACCCTGCTTGTTGCGGATCAAAAATCGGCAATTTATCTTGGGCTAATTTACAACTTGAACTTCCTATTGGGATTTCGCTACCAAGGATCTAGCCGATTTCAGGAAACTCAAATCTTTATTTGATCCGCCTCAAATTAAGACATAATTTCGAATCCGACCAGCACACCCTTTGGTGTTCATGTCCCACTCCCCGGACTTTCACTGTCTCGGTCATTGCTTCTAGCAGTTCAAGTTGATGGCTATTATTCGTCGGTCAATTCACCCGTGTGCATAGGTTCGGGGGTGCTACAGACTTACCGTTAGCGTACAGAGCGTATGTGTCCGCGTTGTTCACGGCCTCGCTGCTTCCCAATGCGGTCGCCGCCGCATATCCATAACCTAGGTCGTCGGTCCCAGGACTATAGACACCAGGAGCATGAGTGAATTCATGCAAGGTGGTGGTTGCCTGATCTTGGCTGTGACAAGAATTGGTCAAGGCTGGCAGATCGGAGTAATAAAGGTCACAGTTGGCGATCACATTCAAAGAGGGCAACGTATACGCCAAAACATTGGTCTCGCAGTAGCCATATTCATCGGAGCAGAAATACTGCGTCGATCCAGAGTTTGTCGACTGAGCTTCCTTTGCGACGGCCTTCAGCCGAGCCGCTACATCCTGGCGAGTTGAGCTGCTGGTGGTCCTGAAATATTCATTAAATTTGGTAGCGGAGCCGGATAGGGCCGCCTCTGCTGCAGCATTAGCCAGAGAGACCGTGTTGCTCAGAGCCTTTTTCAAAGCGGCCTTGCGGCTCGAGTCACTACAGCTCTCTTGCGTACGACGGCCAAGAGGCTTGATGGCCTTGGCCACCCGGGACGCTTTGTCTGCATCAACGTCGATCTTCAGGTCATTTGAATGGTACGGCAAATACCCAGAAACGGCACCGCCGTTAACAAGGGGAACCAGGCCATTAGATCGCAAAGTCACTGCGCCACCATGGGACAGAGTATTGGTGGCTGCAATGTCAAATTCATCCTCAAGAGCCTCTCCGGCGGCGAGTGTTGTGAGAGCCTCAGACGTGAGCCCCTGAAGCTTGAACCGACGCTTGATGCCTTCAAACATGACCTCATTCTCTGAGTAACGTTAGACCACGAGATGATCACTACACCAAGTAATTGAATGTATACCGTCTTGATAAACTGTCACCTTCTTGACCGGAGCACTGTCATGGAAAAAGTTCAAATGGACAAAAGTCACTTCCTCCGCACCGGTGTTTTTGACCACTGCTTTGATACGGGTGTCACTGATTTGGCTTAACGTGACATCTAAACCCGAGCGCTCATCTCCCTCCACGGGATAAGCGCATGCGTGACGTGCAATGGCTAGCACAACCGCCGAGAAGACTGTAAAGAGCATGGTGGATGTCGATGGAGATTACTGGATACAGCTGGGTAATGTTTGATCTTCTTGCACAAAAGTGGTTGCAATCTTGTCAGTATTTTGAGAAATGATTGAACTATGATGTGAATGTCCCGAATCATTGCGGGCAATGTACGTAGATTTATAGGCCCTGAGCCGACTTCGTCCTCTACGTTATTTGCAAGAGATATCACCGACTCTCCTAGAACTTTGCCCATTGCATACTCGCACATAACAGTGATCGCCTAGCAGAATATCCGAAGAAAGAAGGTGGTATTTTCTCCTGCTTCATCTTTTCAATTTATCACCTGTCCGCGGCAGGGTGAAAATTGAAGAGAGACTCATGACTGGGCATAGATATCCGTTTCCAGATGCCAGTCTGATTGCCTCAATATTCTTCTAGGGTAAGGGCAGCCTTAGCACTGCTTGGCCCGGCGGAGGTCCGCTTCATCTACTACTTTCCCGTTGTCAAAAATGTAGCCAGAGATGTCTCAAGGCCTGTGAAACCCGATGGGCATGTGCTTTCTTTCTGTGATTGGCTTTCTCATGGGGTCGTCCGCAACACCAAGATTCGACGATGTAACGGCTCGTAACCCGTTCAGAATGGAAGAGAGGAGTATAGATCAGTCCTGGTTCTGCAGACATATCCTTATGATCAGGGGATTTTTCCACTTGTTGCGATTGGTTCCAAAACTGACTTGTATCAGATTCAATCTTCTGGTCGATGCTGTGCCCCGGACGAGGCTTGCCAAGGCCTTGGACCCTGCATTTGTCGCCGGAGTCCGATGCCAAGATACCACCCAAGACTTGCCCAAGACCTTACTAAGTCTTCAGTGCAGATGGATTGCTTGATCTCAGCCATCCGTTGGAGGCATCGAATCCTAGCCCAGAATTGGCAGGATAGAAAGCGTCTCAGGCACGGCTCCGAGTATCATGTAATGTACCTCGATACCTCGACCCTGCCAAGTTTACAGACAGCGGGAGGGGAAGGTTGCACGCTAAGAGTCGTAGCCTAATTTTGACTTATTTGCACAAACTCAAAGTTTTGTTGATGTCGGTGATTGGATGATTGGATACAAGATGGCAAGGCAAGAAGAGGGCGAGGCTCATTTTGCCGTATATGAGGTAAATCCATAGTTAGCCCAGTTCAACTTGAACTCATGTGGTTTTAATCTGGTCCGATTATCAGAGCCCTTAAAAAGACTTGTTCTCACTTTCCTTTTGCTGCTCAGCTTGTTCTGCTCCACGCTCAGCCAGTCACTTGCCTAATCTCGGGTTTAGTCATTGCCAAACGTCTTTTCTTTTCGTGATCCTTCTCTTTCTGCCACCAATGCACTCTTAGAACACGAGCTCGTCTCAGGAAAGAAAAGAGCCCATCATCAACATATGGTCGCTATCTACATCTCCTATGAATAATATGCAGCCGGGCCTCGGGCTTCAAGTCAATCTAGCTGTTCGGATGCCAACTATCCAAGCCGAATCAATTTCTACTATACCTATCGAGGTATCTGTTCACAACGCCGCCAGTGTGCCTATTTCTCTGTTGAAATGGGGTAGCCCCCTGGATAACCGGGCAGAAGTATTGGGCATTTTCGAGGTTTTTGATCTTGACGATGAGAAGAATCTACCGATGGAGACGGTAAAGATAGCGCGCAAGCTCCCAGCATCTGTAGATGATTTGCTGGAAATTTGCGCCGGTCAGACTTTGCGCAAGCTAGTGAATCTTCAAGGATTGCATCTCAAGGAAGGCCACCAGTACTCTATCCAGGCAAAAGGAATATGGCATGCGATTTGGGAGGAGCACCTGGAAAATGTTACTGTATCCCAACTACAAAACCTTATTGGGGCACAGCGCAGAGAGTTTCGAACGAATGTTGTGGTAATGAAGGTCCAGCGGCCGGCATTTTTTTAATTGGTGGTCCTGTCACCACTGTGAGCATGCTTCCGATAATCTTTTTTCTATGCCGAATAAGTAATCGAATTGGCTCAATTGAGTCCATTTTGACGTGGTCAGAACACATTTTGCACAATGCAAGCAATTCAAGTGCATTCTGTCCCACCTCGACTGACAAATGCAGAAGCATAGCTATAAATTGATGTAAAGGCGCTGATTCGGTCATGCTACTTGAGACAGACCAAGGAGCAATATTATTCATATTTTAGAATCAAGTTGGTATGGAATATACTCATTCACCAAAAGAGGACGCCCTGCGTGTATTCCGGGTGCTACTTAACGGCGGCATAGCAATAATCCCAGTCAGTGTTGGTTATGGGATAGTCGCGACTACCGGAGAAGCTCTTGATCGAATATTTGTCGCCAAGCAGCGCGAACCGCGCAAGCGCCACGCCATGATTGGGAATTTTACGCTGCACCAAGAGCTCCATGATCTTTCCGGAGATGCAGCAGATATCGTCAGGTTTATAGTGAAAGACATGAACCTTCCAATAGGAGTCGTTGCCCCTTATCGCTCAGAGCATGCTATAATTCGCAAGCTACACCCAAGTATATTGAATCGGAGTTCTTTGAATGGTACAATGGCGATGTTGCTGAATGGAGGGCCATTTCAGGAGGAGCTTTCTAGACTTGCAACAGATGCAGAGCTTCCGCTGTTAGGCTCCTCGGCTAACTTGTCGGGAAAAGGAACAAAAGTCACCGTGGAAGACATAGAACCCGAAGTCAAAGATGTCGCAGATATCGTTGTTGATTACGGAAGATCGAGATATTGTGATCCTCGCCCTTCATCGACTATGATTGACTTTCAAAACATGGAAGTATTACGCTTTGGAGCTTGCTATGACGATATAAGAGATTCCTTGTTGCGAAATTACGGAATTGATTTGCCAAACGATCCTGGCCGAGAAAATTGTTTTCCAGACAAGTATCAAGACAGAACTAATGATCGGACATGAAACTCCGGAAATCTGATAATGAAAAGATTTCTTTAATTCTTTCCTAGAAGAAAATGAGAGCTAGATCGATATTTATTATCGTTATTTTAAAGAGACCTTTTATTCCATCATTGATCACAAAATGGAAGCTCCTCTAGACGAGCCAGCATAGGAAAGTTCTTAGTAGAACAGTACATGTGTATTTAAATATATCTCGAGTTACATCGGGTATTGATACATATTCTTTGTTCTTCTATAGTAATAGGTAGAGTACACTACATAAATTGAACTAAATCAAACTCCAAAGAAAAAATTGGTTGTAGGATGGAGATAATTTAGATAATTATAATAGCTTCAGTGCTCGAGCCTATGTTCACAACCTATGCCTATGTCATTCTGATATAGGCAATTCGCTACCCCAATTGAGATTTTCCTCTGTAGTATATTTATCTTCATCCGATTCAATTTATTCCGATAAAAGACGCTTGAAGAGAAGGCAATTTATCATCTCAGAAGAGGAAGACCTTTTAGACGATCTGTCAAAAGTAAGCTTCGCGTGGTTGAAGTTCGTTGCAGAAAAGACTTCCGAACGTCAAACCCTACAACGCATGCTGTGAGTGGCACCGGAAATAAACTCGGGTTTCTCGGCATTCGGGGGGTCGAAGATTGATTCTGTCCCCATCTTAGGGCTACGGGTGCTTTGGAAAGTCAAAACCAAATAGACGTAGATTGAGTAACTAAAGAATAAAGAACCAGACAACTGCAGACACTATTTGTCAAGAGGAGAAATCGAGGCAGGAGCGAAAATGCAAAAGCCTGAAAAGCTAGATATCAAGACTCAAACATGAAGAATCATTTCCTATTCTGTGAAGAATGAGATTTGTACGAAATCTCATCAAGTTCATTGGAACTTTATCAGAAGATAGTTGGCACGTTCCTTAGATATACTCCACAGTGACAGTGTCATCGGTGACAGAGGTGGAAGTGAGAACCTCGCCATCTTGCTCAATGTCAATAATCGTTGCAGATGAAGGGCCAACAGTGGATCCGTTCTCAGTAGCCTCAGCACCGGTGAAGGTGACAGTTCCAAAGTTAGCAAATGGAACGAGAGAGTCGTCGGACTCAAAATCCTCAACGATCCACTCGGCATTATATTCACACAGATCGCCCTGCACATTTCCACTGAAGGTGTGAGTCACGGACTTTCCAGTCGAGACATTCTCAACAGTGGCCGTGCCAGCAGTATCCGATGTGGCGTCAACAGTGACCTTGATGGTGTTCCCAGCGGAGATGGTGATGCCGCTGAAATCATAGGCATAGTCAGGATACCACTCATACCACGCATCATATGACACGGAGCTACCCTGAACACAGAAATCGATACCGGTTTGAAGAATAGCGGTATCGCAGGTATCCCCGTCGATACCAACCCACGCAGAGGCACAGTACTCCTTTTTGGAAGACCCACCACTGGGGACCTCAGGAGTGGGAACGGTAAAGGAAGCCGTAACAGCCGTATACTTGGTACCGATTAATACAGCACCTGCCCAATTGGAGCTGTATTCCTCCTGCGAGGTTTCGTTAAGGTGGAGAACCTCGTTTGTTCCGGACTTGTAGGGCGGGTGGCTGGCTCTGTTGGCGCGCGCAGCACGACGGGCCAGGTGACGAGCTTGACGTTTTTCAGTCAGAGGAGCTCCGATGGCAATAGAAGCCAGGAGGGTGGTGCTGAGAATGGCAGAAGAGAACTTCATGGCTGAAATGGCACAATGGGAGAGGTGTGTTTGGTGAATAGAGCAAGAGACAAAGCAAGGCTTCTGCGAGAGGATGGCGTAAAGAAGAGATTCTTGAGAATAAGATGGATGAAAGAAGAGATTCTTGAGAATAGGATGGATAAAATAAGCTTTATATACAAGTTTCCAGTCCGCCAAGATCAGATAGATGGTATGATGACCAAACACCAGAATGGCGACTACTCCAAAGCGTTGTCAGCCCAATATCGAAGATCCACGCACCGTGGAAATAAATTAGCGATGCAACATTGTTGATAGCGGTGGATGACGATAGGCTGCCGGAAGAACAGCAATCAAGCATATCCGGCTTTCTCTGAAGCCGTCGGAGACCGATAGATTTCGCGAGCTAGTATCTCGGGCGATGTACCGTGAGTCCGCATGTAGAGAGCGGCACAGAGACCATATAGAGATGGCTCACATGGTGAAGCCATCAGGATCGAGTTAGCTTGGGGTAGGACCATAAAAGAACAAATTATGACACTGGGAAGCATATGTGAAATATGGCATCTGGGTAAGCAGGTGAATATCATCACTCAGAATCGATGGCAGACGCGACATATCCCGTGGTTGTTGAACTGCGATGTAGTCTTAAACCAAAACCTCGATGGGTGGGTTTGAATGGTCCAACAGATATCGAGAGGCCATGCTTGCAGGAGTGGCTCTCTTCCAATGATCCGCCAAGGATGACTTGCACGTAGCAAGACCTCCATGTTGATTTAGATCCCCCACATTTGTCTAGGCACATCGCGTCCACTACGCGCCACTTTGGGCGCCACCATGGCTTCATGCAAACGGGACTATAGCAGTCTGGGCTCGGAGGTCCGACGGGGGAATAGAGGCCCGATAAGAGTGCTTTTGATTTGGAGACTTCCAATTGAGCCAGTCCGGGATGACGCATAATCCAGGAATTGACCATTTTCAGATTGATTAAGGTCAAAAAGGTAAGGATCAGCAGTTTGACGAAGAGGCATGTGTGTAAATGTATTCGATAAGGACTTCCGATGCAATGTTACTGTGGCGCCGAGGCTAAGCTGTTCTTGGTGAGCCACGGCATGTTGCTAGGGCTAAGCTTTCGACAAGCAACAATGCCGAGGACGGTGCGGGAATCCATATGGCAGAGAAGTCCCAAATATGAAGCACTATGCCGTGCATGTGTACTTAATCGTTTCCAAATTGCCACTGCGCGTTCAGATCGGACTATGACCAAGGTGGCTGACCGACATGCCCCTGGAGGGCGTTGATTTGGTATTGCAGGAGAGCACTGACTTGCGACCAGGCTTCGAGCACTGTACATCAGATTTACTTTCTATAGAATGAGAAAGGAAAAATTTAGACTGTTTCTGCACGAGGATGAGATTGGACGCCACGAGTCACTTGGTGTGGGCAAATCCGCATACACTAACTCGGTTCGAAGCCCGCACTCGAGTCCCACATCCCGAGTCCGGTGGCAGGGCCAGCAGCGGTGGTGGTGAAGGGGGAAGTGGGGGGAGGGCTTCATGAGGGACCACAAATCATGATGCCTGACGCAGTATATTAGGGTGGCCTGCAGCTGCGAATGCCAAACGCCCTGTCCGACCTGGACTCATTTTCAAGCGGATCAAGCGGCCCTAACTGGGCCGGTGGGGTGCGGGTGGTCTGTGTCACGAGCCAAGCCTGGACTGACGATTGCATGCAGATAACACTTTGGGGTGGGACTTGTAATATCGGAGAGAAGAGGGGATGATTGGAAAAGGCGAGAAACACACGGAGAGAAGAGAATTAGCGGAGTAACCGGCTACAAAGCCAGGGTTATTCAAGTGGATCGGTGGACAAATAGATGTTGACTGAAAAGAACTCAGGGGTGAGTCTGTGTAGCCCGTGATGAGGTTGCATAGTGCTAGACCGGCGCTTCGTAGGCTTTCACAATGCCTGGGCCACCGAGCAAGAAATCAGACACTAAAATGACCGCGAGATGATCACCCATGCTATGAAAGGGTAAATGCAGGATATTTCTTATTCCCCGCATGCACATGGTGCAGGAAGCGCAGTAGATTTGATGCGTGAAGCGATAAGACATTAATTAGGCAATTGCTCTCTCGCCTTCTTCGTGGTGAACAAGGTAATATGAAGCAGAAGAAAGAGATCATGTTTGCCTTGAACAATATGCCGAGGGGTGGCACCAGCTATACCTTCTCCACGCCAACGTACAGGGAGGAGAGAGGCTGTCTATTTGCCGGCATGGAACAATCCAGCAAACGGAAAGATTGAAATTAGTCTCTGACCCAGGTGTCACGGAATTGAGTTAGAGGCAAGAGATAGATTGAATTTTATCTAGTCGAAGGAATTATATTGAAGGAATGAAATAAAAGAGAAGAGAGCCAGGTTATACAAGGATGGTGGGTCTGGCAGGTGAATCCCTGACCTGCAAATGTTTTCTTTCAGGCCCAGAGATGACCGTGCAGACTAGCTGCGAGTCAAGGATGAAGCCTTGATCGGAGTTCTTGCACATTTTGCTTAGAACGCTCTTGCACGCTCTATGTACAGCAAGATTCCCCGATGTCCGTCCCAGCAAGTCATTATCTTCCAAGCTAATCTGCCGAAAGAAAGAGTGCCGCGTTGAAAGCGGTCTTTCTACCAACATCGTCCAATAAATGGACGATATTGAAATTTTCTAGTCGTGGAATAAAAACTGCCATAAACTGGCGTCTGAAAAGTGATCCCGTAAGATTTTTCGTTCCGTCAAGCTGCCAGGACTTGTCGATCACAGATTTCGCGATATCAAAGGCCCTTAAAAGCCGATCTTGTGATCCAGTGACACCCCGTGATCAGGGAGATAGTACACACAGTTAGACTACGGCGATATCCAACAAAGCATCATTTTCGGCTAATTTAAGAACTAGTAAAACGACAATAAGTGGATGGCAGACTTAGGAGTGGGGAGCTTAGCTTGTCAACACTTGACTAATAGTTGATAAAGATCTGGATATTCTTGCCTAAGAGCACGAAAGACTGAAATACTACTGTCTAGTACATGAGATTGATTCGAGAAATGAGCAATTTCTCCCTATTTATGACATGATGATCTTGGACGAATATCGGGAAACCAGGACCTTTTGTTTCATCATGGTCGGTAATCTAAGGTAGCATTCCCATCGGAAGATCCTAGGTTTAATCCGATGATAAGACGATGTTTTACTAGGCCAATATACTCGGTTAAGGTTCACAATTATCGAAACTGGGCAAATTACTCCGTGCCCTGTATAAGTCATGGAGAATTGAAATATCTTTTCCTACAGGTGTTGTGATTCATTTTTACACCTAAATAACAGGGAATGACAATTCAGCAAAAAAATTCTCGCTATGCATGATTTGAGTGGAAGAGATTCGTTTTCCGGGAGATTTGATCCGCATACACGTGGACTGGGTGATTGCCTCCGAGACTTCTTGGGCTGTGTGTGACCTAACTACTACCTCATGTACGTGGAATTTCAAATGCTAATAACCATGTTAAAGGAAATGAAGAGAGCATATAATCAGCTGGGAAAACCTGTTATCGTTCGCAATGACCGATTTTGGCTTGCAGGTGATCATGTCGTAAATCCTAGAGTTGAAGATCTGCCTCAAGTCAAAAACTTGATTGATACAAGTAACCGTGCCAAGTATGTTTTCAAAATAATATATTATCAAGGAATGAATGTGTGCCATATCCTCAATACAGCTTAGCTTTCATATTGGATTATTTGACGCAGGTATAGTATACCATTCTCCATACTGAGTTTTACAGGGAGCATGCCCAAACAGGAATGGTTGTAATAGGTTCCGATTCTCATACATTTTCATCTGGAAAGTTAGGATGTATTACGATTGGTCTTGGTGCCGCGGATGTTACTCTGCCACTGGTCACTGGGGAAACGTGGTTCAAGATACCCGAAGCTATTAATATCCGTCTAATTGGATGTCCAGGGCCTGGCATAGGTGGAAAGGATCTTATATTCTACATTTTACAGTAACTAAAAAGAAACCCTGTAACTCTGTAGCTTCACAGAGAATTGTCGAATTTACTGAGCCAGGGCTCAAGTGCTTATCATGCAATGCCGGATTTACAATTTTTAACATGACAACCGTTCGTATCTGTTTAGTGTGGGGAGCTATTCTGTTTATCGGGGGCGGGTGAGCTGGCTGACTGGACTTAGAGCTTGGCGGCGTCACTGCCATATTTGTGCCAGACCATGTCACAAAGGATTCTACCCAGAAAAGAAATTTAATATGTCATAAACTCTGCATCAGCTCTTTCAAGCTTGATGATGACGCTCAATATGTGGAAACCTACGAATTAGATCTAAGCAACGTCCGATCATTCCTAGCCAGGTAACCAAAGCCAGACGATGTCACTCCTATATTAGAACATAAAGAATTGAAGCTGGATGGATGCTTCATTGGCCCTGGTACAACTGCAGAGGATGTTCCCCGCGCCCTCGTCCTTGAATAAGGGTTGCAAAGCGAAAAGTGACCACTGAAAAAAGGTAAAAAAAGGTCGACCCAGGATCTACACCAATTATGCATAAATTAAACCTGCTAGGGCTTGTTGAAATGTATGAAATGTCGGAATTCCACATCGGTATTCCTGGGTGCAGTTACTGCGTGGGCATGTCGGCTGACCAAGCTGCTCCAGGAGAGGTTTGGTTGTCCTCTTAGAGACATAAATTTGGTAATCGCATGGAAAGAAGTACATACAGATCATTTAACTTTCTATAAAGAGAGTTTGCGGACTGAGAAAATACAGGGTCCATTGGGCACCTAAGTTCTGCCGCCGCAGTAGGTGCATCATCATTCGAACCGAAATTGACAGATACCCACGAACTGTTAAGCTTAATCAACTTAACCGGGGGGACAAGAATAAATGATGAAATGCACAGACGACAATCGCTCATTGCAGTGATGAGATTCTAAATGTTGAGCTTAGTGGGACTTCAGAATTATCACCGGACGGGGAGGGCTGTCCAGATGGCTTCGATCTACCTTTCCTACAACGCCCTTCAGACTATCCTTAGAAAATCGTGATCAAAGGCATGGCTCAACTTCTTGGTAATTTAATTGATACAGATGCGGTTAAAAACAGGTCAATGATTTACATTTCTCGAAAAGAGCAAAGACTGATGATATTGAAGCTTGCCCTGCTGAATATTTGGTCGCAATGGCTGAAAATCTTATGATTGGGCTGCAATTTTTGGAATCAACAAGTCCTGACTTCAGGGATTAAGCTCGAAGGGACTCCAACATTGAAGTAGCTGGGAAGGGCTTTGAGTGCGGTTCATCTCACGAACAGACGGTCATGGCACTTCTTGGTTCGTTATCCGGGAATTCCACTCCGACCTTCAAAGATGATTCATAAATTTATAGTTTTTTATTACATACAGGCTGTAGTGTTCAATGTATTATTGCAAAATCTTTCGCCTTTATCTTTCAGCTCAATATGCTTACATTGAGCTTATTCGGTATAAAAATGGAGCACGAACAGTTCTATGATGCCGTCACAGATGGGAGTGAAACTTTGATTTACTAATCAGGAATACAATTGAGATACATGGCAAAGAATTCGAATTCCAATTAAGTCAAGTGAAAAAAGAACTTTTCGATCTAGGTGGCATCGTCTCTACTTTTCATTGTTTTGGAAGCAGATTATTTGAGGCTATGTTAGTTCTCAAGGCATCAGGACATAAGATCAATAACTCTGGAATACCTCGGTCACATGCAGATCTCCAGTGGTAGGATGACAAGAAAGTGGATCTTGTACGAGACTTCCGGGTTTCCAGTTCGCATATTTGCCAGGATGAAGTACTGTGAGGTATGATCTTTATGGCTTTACGGATCTTGTTCACTAGTTCTGCTACTAGCTATGGACAAATTATGAATCCAAATTCTAGGTTGCCCAACTGCTCGTAGCAAATACCCGTTTTAATAGCGACCCGTACCAAGCAAGATACGAGTCATGCTTGATTGAATAACCTCCCTTCAAAGTGGCTAGGCCATTTTGAATTCACTGCAGTCATTTACTTTGTTCTCATATTGGCCAAACTACATAGGGGTTTATATGACTACATAGGATTCTCGAAGCTTTATTACCCTCTAGGCCGCCTTTCTGAGGCTTTCAAGGCCGCATAGTCATTTGTCGGAGTTAGTGACCCATGATCTACGGATGATGGTATGGACACAAATGGTGACTTGTCACCATATGCATATGGCGTGTATCGGATGAGGTGACATTGGCACCTATTAAGAAGATACAATGACTATTAGATGAGAGCCTCGAGGGATATAGATATTACTAGTAGACTCCTAAGTAGGAGCAATGTTTTATTGCTTGATTCGCTTTTGCTAGAAATTAGGATAACGGACAAAGTGATGAACAATGAATAAGCCCATTACTCGATCAAATTTGTGAATAATAGGCGCTAATTTATGGCTTTGCCGTCTGCTTCCCGCGGAAAGTCAAAAACGAAATGGAACGCACCGAAGCTAGCGGTACTACAAGGCCGTGGATTGATCTGAGGTATGAATTCCCAATCTGACCTTGCTTTAGCCGACAGCCGATGATATTCCCAACTCGGTGGGGAAGAACGGGGTCAATGGAAAATAACTCACACCAGAGTGCTTGGCTGCCAGGCATGGGGTAGCAATAACCTGTCGACCACAATTTGCGATCGGCATGACCAGCCATATAGACGAATCATTCTGTAATCGCTCTATTATTCCGTTGTCGAGATAACTACAGATGAGTCAGAAAAATGCAGAGTATTATAATATCATGTGAAAGTCCTAACTATCATGCTATATTTTTAAAAGACTCTGACGGCCATCGCACCGATAGACAATTTTCCCGCCTCGCCATGCTTTGGTGTTGTTCTGCGGGGTAAGGAGTAATCGCCCAGTGTTCTTCCCGATGTCGGCACAGATGGTGCCTGGGCCCCTGCTATCCAGGTTCTTTTCTGTTTCAACCCCAGTTTAGGGATCATCTGCTGCTTTCTCCATATCTGGAAGAGGCCTTGCCTCATAAGGAATTTCTTGCCATGTCTCACTTGTTGCAGCAATGGGACTAAGTCGTGCAAGCAACCAGTACACTGCGCCTGACACAATGAATCCAGAAAAATAATTGATATCGTAAATGTATCTTGCCCCAGCGGGAACTTGAACACCCACAGCTCCAGCAAATCCAACAATGTTGACGAGAATGCCGCAAAGATAAGCAGAATAGCCATGCCATGAAACTCCCAGCATACCATAATAGGACCCATCCTTGGAAGGATTGTATAGCTGTTGAATATCAAGATAGCCTTTGCGGACCAAGTAGTAATCACTCGCCATTACCCCCGCAATTGCCGATAAAAAGACTGAGTATGCCGAGAGGTACAATGTGAATTTGCTAGATGACGCCACTAATGTCCACTATTTGAGCGAGATTAGTAACAATCGAACAAAAATGTTTTAGGGATGCTCAAGGACACACGGGACACATCGCGAGACCAATGGCAGCGCAAAGGTATCCTCCTCTTCGAATAGTGCAAAATCTTGGAAGAAGGGCAGTCAAGTTGGTACCAGCAGAGACCGAGTTTGCAGCAATATTTGTTCCCAGTTGTGCTAGAGCAAATCCGCTTGCAATAACGAATATGCCAAATCTTTCAGCTGAGCTTGCCCCCTTAGAAACATGCCCAAGAGGGTGAGTGGATTCCACACTGGTTGGTGAAATATCACACTAGAGGAAGAGGATACAATTATGCCAATAAACGATGTCACTGCAAAGCCTACTGGAATCGTTATGAGCTGAGGCCACAACGCATCTGAAGGCTTGCGTGCATATCTTGCAAAATCGGGGTTATTTATGATCAGGGCTGCGAAATTAGCAATGCAATTCATGATGCTCTTCACAAACACCCAGGCCAGAGCACTCCCATGTACAGTATTTGATTGGGTGATGATGGGACCTAGTCCATGTGCACGACAGATCGCCCATGCAAAGAACGCAATTGCACATGCCGGGGAGAAGTATGCCTTTATTGTAAAAAGATGCCGGATTTTATATATGGGAAACCATAGGGCCGGCAAAGAGAGCATCCAAAAAAGGAAAAAGCTCACAAACTGCTTAGTGCTAACACCCGCTCCGGCAGGCATTGTGTTCGGCAAAACTTTGTAATCTGGCCAAATAGCCTCGATCATGAGAGTGACACATTCGCCTACGGAGACTGTTGGTTAGAGAATAACAACCAGTTCGGAAGAATTTGAATGCAAGCCTTACCTCCAAGATATGTCTATGCCACACTGTATTAGAGTAATCAAATTTGGTTGAAGTTTTGCGAAGAATTATTTCATACCTGTACCCCGTACCATATGACTGCCATTGCTGCCCGATTTAAGATGGGCCAAAATGATCCCCAGATTCCAAATGAAGCTCTATTTGTTACTGCAAAGGGAATCCGATAAATTGCAGCAATTCGACCCATGACACAAACAAACATCGCTGCGATGGTATAGCCAATCCAAACACAAAGCCAAGATTGCCACCAAGATAGGCCATCAACGATCATAGATGATGAGATCATCCACGTGTTCTTGTGGAATATAAGTTAAAAGATTGATGATATAATGTTACTCGTTTACGGTCATCTTTCAGTGAACCTACCACGTTCAGCGAGTCGGCGATCCAAAAAGCCACAAAATTGAGCCATTTCCACTGTCTTCTTTCGTGTTCAACTAAAAGTGCAAACCATTGTAAGCAATCGTTTCCTAAAGACCAACAGTGATTCTTTCAATTTGAAGGGCCTTGAGTCTCATATGAAGAAAGGTGTCCATTCACACAGGGGTTGTTCATCAAGAAGGGAAAAAGAAGGGACAAAGGGCATATTCACCTGGTTGAAGATCCTCATTCGTGAGCATCAGTTGAGCGGTGGAAAGCCCCGGATCGGTGGGGACTTGTATCAATCGAAGCCAATGCATTGAGGGAGCCTCGATTAGGTCTTTTTAAACAAAAATTATACTATTCTGAGCGACGGAACTCTTGATTTGATGTCTGAGAATCTTGGAATAATGGCCACAGGCTATATGAAGGTCCTTCTCCCAGGAGTAACGAAGCGATACTCATTTGGAATTATATACTCCACAGGGGTGCTCCAAAGGAAGAGTAGCCTGTATTTTAGATCATAATTCGTCCAGTGGAGCTCTTCTCATCAGCAAATGCCGTGTTTTTCGGACGCCTACCCCGCATTTGCTCCATTCTCCGACCATGTCCCCGCAGTGTTGATCATTGTCCTCGGTTTCTACATGATTTCATACCCCCCGCAAATCCCAATTCCATTAGCTAAGATATTTTTACCATCGACGACATCGGGGGTATAATCAATACATTTGACTAACTAGAAATCGAGGCGAATTGGGTTTAGGAATTTTTTAAAAATCAATATATGGTGCGCGATATTCCTGTACATCACAAAATGTTGAGTATCACTTTGGTCATTTCCATAAAATTGCATATTTTCTCCAAACAGGGGCTGGTTTTCACTATAACAAGAGATTACTTTTCGATGATAATGGTGATGGTACTTGTAATTGACCCAACATCGTGATTTCGCAGAGCTGTGAATAACTCCGTGAGGGAGAAGAAAGAAACACGGACAAAGGATATAGGAAAAAAGTGTGAGTCCAAAGGTCTGCAGCATAAAGTATGAGGCATAGATGTGGTGAATTGGAGTTTTCCGTGAGACTAATACTTATCACAGGAAGGCTAGGATGATTCAAGAAATCTATTGCCATCAATATAGCGCCAGATTCGACAATCGCTCTTAAATACTAGTGTCAATATATATGAGACTGAGCCTGGAGAAAAGGTCACATGTACTCAAGGAAGGATAATTGTATTACGTATTATCGATAGTTTTGTTTTTAATTTGTATTGGGTGCTTAAAATAAGAATTCAATTTGAAGGTAAAGGAGTAATAAAAATAGAGATTTCGTTCGACTCAAGTTGCACAGAGGGAATAACCATGTAAAATATTGTACATTCTACAATTTTTGTGTTCGGATCCGTAGGATGTAGGGAAGGTAAATTCAAAGAAAGTTTAGTAATCCGAAAAAGATTGATTGGCTTGGTGTGTATCTAGAAGCTACAAGTTTCAACTTCCAAGTCACTAGCATTGTCTGTATCTCCAATATAATTTCTGGGCATGATTTGCATATTCACTCCTCTTTCAAATACCTAAGCATTGCATTTGACCACAGCATTGGTCAAGTCGACTGGGATTGCCGCTCCAGGATTGCCATCCAAGTCAAAGTAGGTGTGTTGAGCCGTCAGAGTAGTGACCGTCGCACCGTTGTTCTTCAAGACACAGCTAATTGTTTGCGGGAAAGCCGTTAACTGAACTGAAGTGGCCTTGACATGGCCATTAGATCCCACAGACGTGGTACCAAAGAGGGTCAAAATGCTCTTGTCGGCCCCAGAAGCTGCAAATTGCACACCGGCATAGGCTCCCGTTTGATCATTTGAAAGAGCCAATGTCACGCTCTTGGCCTGGCGAGCATCTAGTGGGGCGGCAGAGGTATATGCCACAAGAAGGGAGGAAAGCGGAATGAGGAACCTCATACTGTCTTTGAGAATGGTTTAAGAATGTAGTATTGAAAGAATCGGGTTTGTGTAGATGTTCGAGGTAACAAGAGGCTCTGAGTCTTGGGAAACTGGTTTGAAAATTGAGAATCAAATGAGAAAAGGAGATCCTTTTATAACATTTACTTGCTAGTATTTTGAGTTCAATAATACGAATGGGAAAATAAACAAAATCACCTTCAGATCATTCCTCTATAGACAGGCCCCCAGCTGACTACTGGGTCTTAGATCTTATGACCTTTTAAAAATATTTTTAGCCAAGACAGAGGGTAACGGAAATCAGATATTTCACTGCCACCACATAATAGTACTAACTTGGATACACGGGGTATCTGCAGAGATTACGGAATATGTGGTGCCGTGTGCTTCCATGTTGAGTGGCTTTAAATTACAACTATAGCCAGTATGAAGTTCCTTTTTCATAGCATTTCAAGCTACAGATAATATTGAGAGAAAGCACTATAGCTAGAACTTCGACGTGATAGAGACATTGACAAATATTCGCGATCGACTTTTAGTAGCAATCTTTTAGGTTCCTCAAATCTCTGTTGGCCTAATGCCAAGGTCAGCCAACAGGGTGACCCCTGTATCAAACGATCGAGTATATATATTCTCTTTCCTAGATAGCCAAGGTATTATTACAAGATTGTGTCGTATTTTCAATTTGGCTATTGACTTGGACCTTTCTCACACTTGGGTACGAAGGGATTCCTGTATTCTAGTCTGTATACCAACGCTAATGATATATTTCGTATTTCTCATTTTGAAAAGAAGAGCAAAGTCATGCAACCCCAAAGCTCTAAAAAATTTGCTTTCGAGTGAATCTTGGCATCTAATGAGAACAACATGATAATATGTTTAAGACGTCGAAGTATAGCCACTGTATTAGGCTGATGTTTTTGACAACATGAAAAATCTCGACACGAAGCTGCATCTCGTATTCAATTTGGCATGTCTTACAATCCGAGTCATGTGAGTGGCTTGAAGAGACACCAAGCCATGTGTACAATAGACACAATCAAAACCAAATAGTATTATCATATGCGGCAATTTTAGGCGTCTAGGGCCTGGTTTATGATTTCGGCGGGAGCCCAATTCCTCCGTACATAGAAAGAACTGAAACGCGGAGAGGACGAAAAATTCAAGAGAAATAATATACTTCTGTTTCAGATCAAAGTCTTGTTTGTGATCTAGTTTGAAGTTCGTTCGTTTTGACGGCCTGTAAAGCCACTCGTCAAGTTCACCCCAGATAGTAAAACCCCTCAAATACAAAATGGAGTGAGAGCTTATTCAACAACCCGGAATCCTTTTCATTAATTGCTTATGCGAGTTTCAGCCTCTTTACCTGCTAATCCGGTAGGTAACTTCCTAGGGTCAATGGTCAGGGTGCCAAGATGGCGGGGTTGGACGCCCTGTAAGCCACGTGTTTGTGCCGCCATGATCAAGGGCCTGAGTCAATGTCTTAGATTTACTAAGTCCAACCAGATATTTGATATTCGGGAGTATGTGAACAAAAGCGTTGGACATGGATTATTTCATGAAAGTTCTCATGATAAACGGATATCTTGGAAGACAGTGCGCTTTGGAAGAAAGAAATTGAAAGATGATCGAACCATAAGTAAATACAATTTTTCTAATGATACTGACTCGGTATAACGAAATAATTATCCAAATATATAAACCCTTTTGTTTCTGTTTAACCAATGCTGTATTGCCCCTCAGGCGACCTACGAAGCATCATCAAGGATTCTCTCAGCTTCTCAACCTCCTTCTTTTCAACGACTTCACTGGATGTCTTCAACGCACTTGAATGAAAGACATGCGCGTTTGTACCTTTCAGTAACGCCTGAATATTTGTTGATCTGACTCCTCCTCCAACAATAATATCTGGCACCGGGATACCTGTCCGAGCTAGTTGTCTGAAGAGGTGATCCTGCTTTGACGCAAGGGTAGCCAACTTGTCGACGCAATCAATGGCCTTGTCACTAGATGGACCCCCATTGGTAAGGATCGCAGCAAACCCACATTCGGTGATTTGTGAGAATGCGGCGTCCCAACATGACTCGGGGATGCAATCAAATGCACGGTGGAAAGTGCACGGTTTTCCACCTGCCAGCTGAACAAGCTGTTTGTTTCTGCTGACGTCAACCCACGACAGTGCATGTTGCTTCCCATCTTCTGGTATTTTGTTCAAAATGCCGAAAACAAAGCCATCTGCCCCTAGGATCTTGGCGGATTCCAGAGTTCTTTTCATGATTTCAAATTCAGATTCACTGTACCAAAAATTCTCAGACTGTGGACGAATCATAACGTAAACAGGAAGTGCCACTCGGGCTTTGACGGCTTGGAGAGTTGCAGCATCAGGCGAGAGACCGCCGGCTGTGTAGTCTTGGCACAGCCTCACATTAAGTCAGCCTGAATGTAGAACAGCATTTAGGATAGATCTTCATAGCAGAGCTCAATTAAGACCAGTAAAGAGCTTTCATCCTACAAAAGTAACGTCTGCAAGCCGCGATCCTAGGGAGAACTCACTCAATGCGATCCGCACCACCGTCACTGGCATTGACGGCTGACTCTAAGTTGAAGCATGCAATTTCCAGCAAAGGCTGGCAAATTTTGCCATAACTCTCCATCTTCAGTCAATGAATTGGTTGTTTAAAAGAAAGGGCTTGACGAACTCCCCGGTGCATGGACTGGTAACAGAGTGCAGGCGAAAAGGAAAACAAGGAGGGGTGGGCTACCATTTGTGTGGGGAATCTTGTAGCCAAGCCTTCTTTACTAGTCGATTACGGCCACCGGCGACCGAGCTTTTTTGACCGAACAGTTGACCTCAGAGTGTGCAATCTGGGTGCAAGTATAGCCATGAATTTTGACAAAGCCCCCAGTTGAACAGCTTTGCATGTAAAACTGAGACACGGTAGTATTACTTCCTATCTTCTTCTTACGAAGCAGGTAATCTCCAATAAAATTAATCAAAGAATTCAAATCAGTCCTAATTACTGAACTACGGTCAGAGATGCTCGCTGCCTGCGTACTAGGAACGCCTCTGAGGTGTTGTGAAAGACAAAGAGAGAACACCTTGGGATATTAGTAAAGAAAATGGCTGTCTGAGTTGCTATAGACAGCAGGGTGGCCCTTATTTATGACATCTTATTATCACACCGCTAGTTCCCGTCCGGAGCCATTTCCTCGCTGCACTATTGTGATACTGAGATATCTGAGACACGCTTGAATACTACTGATTCTGAATGTTCTCTAATATAATGGATTTCACGGGTAAGTGAGAACCAGAAAGAGGGTAGATGCAAGGAGAATTTTTGCTCCCTGTTCTGAGTCTGTATTATAATTTACAGAAACTTACCCTCAGTTTCCTCCTTTTCCTTTTTCTAACAACTATAAAGCTAGTTATGCGTAATTTGTCAAATGTCATCCCAAAGGAGGCCCGCTTATCAGTGAAGAAGGGCCTTATTAGTTTTAACTGAACGCCAAAAAATCCAAGTATTCTGATTGGATACGCATGTAAAGTTTGATTACGAAAGAGGTGCCTAGCGGGTTTGGAGTCTACCCTAAATTTGTCGGCTTTTTTTAGCTCGGGATATAGAAAAATAATATGAGAACGATAGGCAATATTGGAAGCAAAACTCGTGAGAACTTATTCTAATTATTGAATGAAGGATACCATTGTCTACAATTCCCTCCAATGAATGCAGCGGTGTGGGAGAAGATAAACGCTTTTGGCGAATGTTGACTGACCTCGAATTTAGTTTCCCACTTTTTTACCAATAGTTGATTCAATCTCCGTGGTGAGCTGCTCTTCAATGATCTCCGTATCAATCATCTTTTTACCATGGCGGATGACATCAATATCAGAGACGGAGGAATGTTTCTGCCCTTCGAATAACTCATCAACCTTTTCCAAGGGTCATCCCTTTCGTCTCAACCCAGTAGTAAGCCTATTCATTGTTATGAATACAACTCAATTTGAACTTTTTTAATAGGGCTCGCTTACAATTAGGCCAAAAGTAATGATATCCCATGACGCATTGATCATATACATTTTCCAGCCAATGTTTCCAAGGCAAATTGGCATGATGAATGTGAAGACCGACCTGACAGAGAAACTGTGAGATGGAAAATTTCCCCAAGACTTGAAATTGTACGTACGCAAAAGCATTCAAGACAAAATATGAAAGGGCACACTATTCGCACGAATGGAGTAATTGAGAACCTCGGATGGGTAAAGATAGAGTAATGGTGTCCAAGCGATTGAATAAGAGCCCTGAAAAAGGAACATTACCGCGACATTACCATAAATGAGGCCATTCGAGGCCTTCTGAGGATCAGAAGCGTAGATCTTTGATAGACCACCCATAGTGAAAAGACATCCTATGAGGGCCCCCTGCGATAGAAGTGCAGTGGGCTTGCGGCCCCACTTAGCTGCGAGGTGCGTGCCAACTAAACAGCAGACTAGGCACCAGATGTTCAAAACCACATTCTGATATATCAGTTATACAGTGGACAATGAACAACAGATAGCAACGTACTGCCTTGAGTTGATCATTCGTATTCGTAATTCCAGCTGTGTCCAGCTCTGAACCGAAGTAATAGGATGCAATGATGTTACCCGCGATGCAAGAAAAAGGACCTGGCGAAATTCCCACAAGAAGTCTCTTGCGTGTGGTTGAGTTTTCGAATATCTCAGTGGGCGTCATTATATGCCCATTTTCTTCCTCCCATTTTATCGTATCGATAATTCCCTTGAAAATTGCAATTACAATTGGGTTTGTCAGATTGCCATCGACATTGGTTTGTGCGACTGAAAGACGGGCTTCTTGGTAGTGCCCATGGCGGACAAGCCAGCGGGGAGATTCAGGGCTGAAGGAAGCCAATACCTGGTGCCTTTGTGGCTTTTATTGTTTCAGAGACTCATATGAATGGCAGAGTCAAAATGCAGAGCATTGAGAAAATCCCCTGTATCAGAGATGGGGCGCACCATGCCCGGGTTGATTGCCATTGGCCGGTTGCAAGTGTAACACCAGCTGCAACAAGGGCACCGACACTACGTCTTCTCAGAATTAGTGAACTTGAAAGTGCCAAAGAGCAGACCAACTAATAAAAATCATTAAATTAAGTAAACCAACGCCCCAGGCCCTCCAGCGATTTGGAAAGACTTCTGAGAGATAAACACCTCCTGCGATTCCACTGATGGCGCTCCCAAACCCAAGGACTATTCTGGCAACCACAAACATCGCGATATTCTGAGACGCTGTCTGAAGGATAATCCCAACAATTGTCATGCAGGATCCCCAGAATATTGCCGGGCGGCGACCAAGTCGATCCGTTAGAATACCTGAAATTAAGGGACCGAGGAATCCACCTATAAAGACAGACGAAGCGTTGAGCCCAGTGGTTGCCTCGTTCAACTTGAAGTAATCGGTGTATGATGGTAATATGTTAAGCCAATTGAGCATTGATCTATCGTAGCCGCCCGTCTTCACGCGTAAGTTCTTGAATAGCATACATAATTGATAACCCCCACTCACAGCAGATTGGACAATAGACGAAACTAGGAGAAGGACGCAAAGGGGGGTTGTCGACTCGGGAACCCATGCCGGTAACCATGTCCCAGTGATTGTCTTTTGAAGCATCTTCGGAGAAAGATATCTTCAAGTTCAGGGAGGCATTTTGTGATATGTCTAACTAGATGCTTTTTTAATATCTGAAGACAGAATTTATTTGCAACCATTGTTATTCACTCCACACAGCAAATGCTGAGAGGAGGGCTTCATTACTAGTGAGCCGATCAGTGGGCTAAGCATGACCAGATAAAGAAATACAATTTCTGACTGGCTAAGCTACTGGGACATTCCAAAGGGGACCGGCTTCCCCGCCCCCTCGAACTCCGTATCTAGTGAACCAGGGCGCTCTACGGCGAGCCTACAATGCAGGCAGGATGAGATGGCTCAACGAACAAGCCAACAATTCAGACCACACCATGGTGGAAGGAAGCCTCTCGAGGAGGAAACAGATGCTGCTGCAGCGAAAGATGTCTAGAAGTTGATTCTCTTCCTATCGGAGATGCGAAGCTCTATCGTAAAGACTGTGGTCCAGGAAAGATATCCTCCAATCAGAGATCACCTATCGTTGGCCAATTCCCCACTACACAGTTCCCTTAAGTGACATCGGTATCATTGCGGTGCATCTCAATCTATTATCTCAATGCTTCAATTTGTTGACGATAGATACCTTTTCTGTACATATCGATCTTTTGACTCCCTTCTCAGGGTGGCGTGTATCCGACTGGGAGGAAGGAAAAGAGATTCAACGAAGCAGCAGTGGAATGCCTGTTGCGATTCAAATCGAATCTGATTCGGTTTTAGACCGGCATTAGAAGCCAACGTTGCATGGCTACGTAGGGCATACTGGAAACTAAGCTGCAAAGCTTATCAATTCAAGTGTAACCCTGATTTCTCATACCGGGCTTTTCTGGATTTTAGAAAAGAATTTGAAGGCGGAAATAGGGAGTGAGGGCGGGGAAGTACTAGTAAACTCAAGATTGCAGTCTCTTACTCTCATCTCACCAGACGAGCTCGGAGTTCAACATGGATACGACGTTCCAGCAACCAGTTATAGCAATTGCGGGACTGGCATGTGAGACCTCCACCCTTTCCCCAGCTCGAACACCTGCTGTGGCTTTTCACCCCAAGCGTGGCCCAGAGATCTTCGAGAAATACGCTTTTCTTCAGGCTGGAACACCCCTGGGAGATGGTGCTACCTGGCGCGGCGCTCTTATTGGCCATGCTTTGCCAAGCGGCATTGTGGTTCGAGAAGCCTTTGAACAGCTCGCAAATGAGATTGTGAATCGACTTACAGTGATTTGTAGCTGTACTATCATTCACGGTTTGTGGTTTGATATTCATGGAGCAATGTGTGTTGAAGGTCTAGAGGATGTTGAGACCGAACTTCTTCGGCGAATCCGTCGCGTCATTGGTCCTCAAGTCATCATATCGGCATCAATGGACCTACATGGCAACGTCTCTCGACAGCTAGTACACCAAATAGACCTGATCACTTGCTATCGTATGGCGCCGCACGAATATACAATGGAGACCAAACAGCGGGCATGTCGAAACCTAGTCGATATCCTGCTGTCCCGAGTGGGCGGCCCAAGCCGGCCATTGAAGGCGTGGGTCCCTATTCCAATTTTGCTACCTGGGGAGCAGACATCAACTTGCCTTGAGCCAGCGAAAGGCCTATATGCACTGTTGCCCGAGGTGGAATCACTTCCCGGCATATTGGATGCAGCTATCTGGGTCGGCTATGCCTGGGCAGATGAGCCCCGTAACCATGCAGCAGTGGTCGTTACTGGTTGGAATGCGGAGATAATTTCTCTGAAGGCTTATGAACTTGCCGCTCACTTCTGGAACGCCAGAGAGCTTTTTGATTTCGTTGCACCTACTGGATCGCTGGGGGAATGCATTGACGCCGCTCTGAAATCAGCCCAGCGCCCTTTCTTTATATCTGACTCCGGTGACAATCCAACCGCCGGGGGCGCCGGATATGTGACTTGGACCATTTCGAAAGTCTTATCTCGATCAGAATTTCAACATGAAGCGGGGCCGAGCGTGATATATGCAAGTATCCCCGGTCCACAGGCCATTGAGGTCATTCTCCGAGCCGGGATAGGTACGACGGTCACAGTGACCGCCGGTGCACAGGTAGATAAAGTCCATACTAGACCTCTTACTATGACAGGACGAGTCCACTCAATCAGAGAAGGTGATCAGGACGCCGCTGTTGAGTCCGTACTCCAGGTCGGCAGCGTCTTCGTCATAATTACAAAGCTCAGAAAGCCGTACCACTGCGAGAATGACTTTACTGCACTTAGTCTTCAACCCCGTTCTGCCGACATGGTTATTTTTAAGATTGGATATCTGGAGCCCGAGCTTTCAACATGGCAGCGGATTGGATGCTTGCGCTGACCCCTGGGGGAGTCGATCAAGATCTGCCGCGGCTGGGACGCACGCATCCGCCGCCCGATGTGGGCTTTCGACAAGACCTTCCCGATTGCCCTGGACCTCACGCCACAACTGATTCCCTTTTCCAACGAGTCTCTTTGAGGATCACACTCAGGTAATCCAGCTTTGGGCCCTCTTGTACTGCATGTGGCGCACGGCGGTGTGCTCAGAGCGGGTATATGTCCTTTCCATTGACGGCCTTCGTAGGTACCACGAGCAGGGCTACCATGATATCCTCTCACATAAGAACTTGCCGCGAATTATATACCTGGAGCCATATTTCAATGTCAAATCCAATTCTGCCCAAGGGTCATCGCTCGTCGTGAGGTTCCGCCTAACAGAGGCCGACCGTATTGTACACGCCCGCTAAAGACCATAATCATCTTTGGAAAGTCATAGGTAGAGCAACTTAGGCAGCATGGCAATTTTTCAAAAAGGTCCATGAACACTTTTGAAGATTTCTGGTGACTTTTGGTGCTACTCGGATGTCTGGCTTGAGATTAACATGGGCCACCGCGATATATTTGAAAAGGGATGAACGATTTGCTGCTAGTGAAGGGCTCGATGTTATTTGCGAATGATTCTGTAGTACCTTAGCTAGAAGCATCTCTTTTATTCGTAATTGGCTTTTATACGGAAGACAAGAAACATATCGGATCTAGTTTATACAATGAAAGCCTCACCGGGATTCCTGTTCTTCCAAACCCTCAGACAACCAGACAGCCAGGCAAGAACTAGAGCAATGTTCATTGGCCAACAGACACACGGTGAACGACGGCAGAATATGCGGGCTCATTGCGCCTTCAGATCTTCACGTCATTCTTTTCTGGACATGTTTCTCATTCTCATCATTCTCATTCTCATCATTGCCAAATCCTAGCTGGCATGCCCATTGTCTGGACAAAAACTATGCCAGCCACGCAAGTCTCCATGATTGACCCGCTTGTCATTCTCCCGCCCGAAGTTGTCCTCCGCATCTTGGAATTCGCCCCGGTCGCTGACGTCGCGGCTTTGACGGCAGTCTCCAAAGCATGGCACCAATTCATCGATCTCACACATCAACAAGCCATCTATGCCTCCGAGTCGAAGACACTTCGCCCCCCACAAGTTGGCCGAGATATATCCTTCCTGTCTGAATCGCATAGCTTTTCCAATTTTTTCAAAGGGACGGCGTCATGGAAGGACCTATGCAGGCGTCAGACGGTCCTCGCCCGCAACTGGTCCCATACGTGTCCAGAAAGCCAGGAATCGGTGCTGCAGGTCGGAAACGATCCAATCTGGCGATTTCGACCGGACTTTAAACGTCGGTTCTTCGTGTCCACCTCCCACGCGGGCGGTCTGAACGTCACGGACATGGACTCCGGGCGCATCCTCTGGCGTCTCCCCTCCTCCCTAGACCATGGCAAAGGCGGAGTCCGGCCCTATGCCCATCTGGAGTACCAGGACGGAATGGCAGTGTTCGATCGGACAGGCGACGCCGTTGAGGTTTGGCAGGCGGATCTAGAAGGTCTATCACGTGGAGAATTTCGGAGGATCGCCGTGTTGAATCATGATTGCCAGACAAGAGGCTTTCAACTATCTCACTGGACTCTGTGTGTCGTTTCAAATCAAGGACAAGGTTTTGTGTATGATATGACGCAGCGGCCTCCAAAACTGACCACGCATCTCAAGATCGAACCTGACGCGGTGGGTCACTTAGATCAGACTGAGGATACCGTGATTTACTCCATGGGTCCCCGAGGATATGACGCCTACGACAAGAGATCGGGTGGATTTTTAGGAACCCTGCAGCCATCACACTGTAAAGCAAAATATCACATCCGTCACCCGGTCACGACGTCCCCATCAGCGGCTGCCGCGTTGGCCGGTGCCGCTCGTCGGAGCTCTCACCGGTTTTCCCATTCAACGCAATCTCGAAGAGACCACCTCATGCCGATCCAGATTGAGCAGGGCCCTCTACCTGCCCCGGTTGATCCTGAACATGTTTGGCACGGAGAAGACGAATGGGGAGCGGGTATGCTGGATGGCGATCTCTTTGTGGGATTCTCCAGAGCTGGCCGAATCTTCATATGTTCAGACTGGCGCAAGGCTCTGCGTGACCGGAACCATCTGATAGAATGCAGTTCTCTACTTGAGTGTGAATCAGATGGCTCTGGCTTTGATCTTGGTGGCTGGTTAGCTGTTCGAAATCACCGCGTCATGTTTGAGATACAAGACAGGATCTATGTCGTCGGGCTCAATGACGAGAACAACCTTACCTATATGAATACTTCTAATCGCGCATCATACTCTCTCCTGACAAGTTCCGCGCCCCAGCTCGCCGTCCCCGTAAGTTTCATGACTTTGTGCGACGATGCAATCTTAACCACTTTTACTGTTCGTATCATTCCCCAGTCATATTCCACTTCATACTTTCAGAGGGCTGATTTTTGGCTCACTAGACCCTTGGATGGCGCCAATCGCTTTCAGATATTCCTGGGGACACCACTCCACTTCGATTTCCAAACCCTGAACGCATCTTTCCTACGAAAACCATCCGCGTCCTTAGTTTGGCACCCAATCACTCGAAGTCTCAATTCCCAGCTACATCATTGGACGATCTGACTCGGCACCGAACTCCAAGTAGTCGCGAAACATCACACGGCCTACCCGAAGATTATCAGTCAACCGAGGAAATGTGGCACTCCGAGGCGAGTCTACTACAACTGGTTGATCTTCTCGGGGATGATTTAGCAGCGCAGGAGGATGAACTTGACAATCAACAGGAATGGCCATAAACGGAATCTATTCGTCCTATCTCCCGAAGATCATATCGGTATTCGTGGGCGATCGGCAATCTCTTTTTCAACGGCAAATCGGTACTAAAGGCCCTCGCTGAGATCGTCTTCTTATGGCTAACATTTGACTTTCGATCTGGTCTCCAAACTAACTTCGGTCCAGGCAATTCCACAGCAACAGCTCAGTGAGTTTTGGCAAGGAATCCACATCACCGAGGACCAGAACTTTTCACCTATGACCCTGAACTTCAAAGTCATTTTTGAAACCAAACGTCTTCCGTTTCTAGAAATTGAACCATATGCATTTGCAAGTATCAGAACCTCCTTCGACACCTGACGGTAAGAATGCAGCAAAAACACAAATGGCAAAGAAGACGGGAAAGAACTAGTATTCAGATATTCTCACTACAAATTAGTGCGCGGCTAGGTAGGTAGTTTGCATTGTCATTATTATACTAGTTGTCTCTGGTTTGGCCTCGGTCCCATCGACCTCTCGGAATTCATTTGACCAACTTAGCTGTTGCTGCTCAACAGTGAATCATCTAGTAGGAAGCTCGCTCATCTCTGTCAAATGAAAATGAAGTTCTCATCTAGTAGAGTATGTAGCTCTCGTGAGATATGTATTTACCATTTTCATCTCTATTCCACTGGCGCTCTTTGGCCGACCGTCCTGGACTATCCCTGGTGGACCAATGGATCTACCCGAGGATACACCAACCACCCCTTGCAGTTTAAACATTGTGCTCAAGCTCCATACGGCTGATTTGCCTTCCGACCAGACGTCATTTAGGTCCAGTGGGTCATCTAACAGCGATATCAACTTTCATGGTGTATCGTTCGTGATGTTGCGGTGATAGCGACGTTATCTGTGAAATGGCCTGCGCGTGATGCCTATGGTCGGTTTCTTGTTCATCGGGTCCTATTTATCTCTCGACTAGATAGACAGGGACCTAGATCAAAGTCGTTGAGCTTCTGACTTAAACACCATGGCTCCTCAAATCTATGGATGGCAGGGAGGGATGGCAGCGTGTCCAGAGTAGAGGGTCTCATTCGGGACAGCAGTCTAGATTGTTTGAAGGCAAAACAAAGTAGACGAGGTCAGCTTCACGGGCGACAACAAATTTGCATTAAAAAACAGCTGTTGCACCCAGAGTGCAATCCCTTATTGCTTCTCATCCCCCTGTCGGCGTTGCGCCCACGTTGGTGATGCTTGGCCACATTCCGAAATTACCTGATATGGCAAAAATGCGGCGACACCGTGAACACCCCACTTTGTATGGTGGCGACCCTCTCGCCGTCGCATGCGGCCCATTGTAATGAGGAGACACCGCTCCAGACATCCCGATGATCTTTGATTCTTGCACGATACACAAGGTTTTGTACTTGGATGGTGTTTTTCATGCGGGGAAGCCAGTGGCCGTGCGGAGCTGCTGGTATGGGTCTCTTCCAACGCCGAGAGGGCAAGTTCATAAATAAACCGGATCACAGGCAGTCTCGAATCCCCATCTCAATTGTAGGAAGTAAACGTCTTCACTGCTGCGCCGCACCTTCTCTTCAATATATTGCGTCCGTTGCAAGCACTGCCGTCGTGTTATCAGATAACAAACGATTACCTCACTCCAGACCTCCGAACTATGTCGTACGGGGACCGCCGTGTTAAACTTGCCCTGTTCGGCCTCGGCCGTTTGGGAGTCCTTCGAGCCCGTATCCTTGCCTTCCAGCAGCCTCGGATCGAACTCATCGCGGTCTGCGATACGAAGCTGGGCACGGACAAATGGGCTGCAGAGAATCTGCCATCGTCTGTCAAATACTTCTCAGACCCTCAAGAGTGCTTGAAGAACAGTGGCGCCGAGGCCCTGCTTGTGTGTACAGCAACCGCGACCCATGCGCCCTTGATATTACAGGCCATCGATCTAGGTTTGCATGTCATGTGTGAAAAACCCATCTCCGTGGACATCGCTACGACGAAGGCAGTGGTCGAGAAGTCTGCTTCTCGGCCTGACCTCATATTCCTCATCCCTTTCACCCGCCGATGTAATTAACACAAAGTCCCGCACCATACAGAGTTCAGAGGCTGACTAGTGCCAGATGAGAAGTCATATCGCCAGGCCAAGGCCCTCGTCGATCATGGAGCCCTGGGTGATATCCATGCTGTGGAGACAACTGGTATTGATCAAGCAGATCCCAACGGTATCACATGAATCGCCCCCCTCCCCTTCTTCTCTCCCCAGAGCTAGCCATTGTCTTCTACATACGCCGTTTGACTGATTATCTCGATTGTAGCTTTTTTTGTGTCGTTTTCTGAACAGTCTGGCGGCATCTTTCTTGATTTCGGCATTCACACAGTCAGTCCCAGAAGTTCTCTCTCCTTTACGATCCAATATAGTGACACCATAATAGGTTGACGCCGGACGATATCTGCTGGATGTCAAATCTGGTCTCTCCAATCCCAAGAAGCAAGTAAATAGAGTCATTGCCTTTGGCCAGCTTGCTGTTTATGAGGACTTGGCCAAGTATGGCGACGCCGACAACGCGTGGGGCTTGGTGGAATTCGCCAATGGCAAGATTTTGAAGACGTACCTCGGTCGCACACTCACCAGTGGCTTTGAGGACACGACTAGATTGTGTGGTACCAAAGGCCATTCGATTATCAGCGCTCATTCGAATGTTGAGATTCGAGACGCACTGGGTATAAGGACACAATCCGTGCCTGATGCCTTCACTCGCTTCGAAGAGACATTCCTGACCGATCTTGCCGAGTTTGCTGATGCAGTGCTCGACGGTAAACCCTTGACTTGTCAACCGGAGGATGCGTTCGAGGCGGGCAAGATCTGCGCTGCTCTACAATACTCATTCCGCAGGGGTGTGCCCGTATACTTTGATGATCATGGTTTGCCCATAATGGACTGAATTATTCAGTAATTACGAGGGTGGATCGATAGAAAGGAAATGGACATAGAATCAGTAGATTGAATATCAAATTTGACGGTGCCCATAAACGCTTTATACTATGTTTCCCTGCTTCAAGTACTTCAAGTGCCCTTCAATTCAAAATTGGCGGCGGTATAGCCATTGCGGAGTTCTCTGTTTGTTGTTGAGCCTCAAAGCTCTGTTTGAAGGGAAAATATTCAAATTGAAACGCCAAATCAACAATCAGCACCGCTGAGTAAATCTTGATGGTTTAGGTTGCCCCAGCAAATGATCAGGTTCTAAATCTCCTCTCTATTATCGGTGCGAGACTGCCAATTCTACCACCAAATTCCGCCACCGGTGCATTAAGCAGTCAGATGCGAACGCGCAGAGTTATGCCGCCGAGTGATATATCCAGAAATAGCAAGTCGTGCAAAATCTCGTGGGGGCCAGTGACAGGTATGTAAATGACGAAAGGTCCATCGCGGGAGCTGCGGAATGTCTGGGATTTCTAGCCATGTGCTTGGAGACCAAATACGGTTAACTGCGGCGGGACCTACCCGATGCGGAGATTGTAGTTGAGCAGCCTCATCTTGCTGCGGTGGTATATAACTAGATATAAATTGTATGAATGGATCATTTTCCCATTGCTAAAGAAGAACATATATCAAGAAATTTGAAGCCTTCACATTGTTGTAAGAGCGGACTTTGAAAATCGCCTAGGAGACAAACTTCTCAGCATCTTTCCGGTCACATCACGAGCAAGATGGCACCTTACGTTCAAGAACCTCCTGGCGACGATTCTGTTTCCAAGACTGATTTCCACTCTAAAATTGTGACGCCCAACCACCAGCCAGCCCTCAAACCCGTCGCGGATGACTTTATGTACGACTTCAGATATAACCATAGTCTTCCGACCACCGACATCCTAGGCATTACGATCCCTACTGATTGTGACGCCCGGAAGGAGGCTGAGGGTATCGTAACATGCATTTCTACAGCCACATCAGAGGGAGACGCAAAATCCTTCGCTGAGTTGTTCCTAGACTATGGTTAGATATTCATGTCATACATACAGTCAAAATCTCCAACCTGGCTGACCCAGGATCTACAGGCGTTTGGCGCGACAAGCTCTCATTTACTTGGGACTTCCGCACCTTTAACTTTAAAGAGACCATTCTAAAAGCTGCTACAGATCTTTTTACCCAGACTACGGCTAGAAATTTCAAATTTCTCGAGCCTGCACCTTCGGTATCTCGGCCTTACCCCGACTTTGCTCAATTGCAATTTGCTGTCTCCTTCGAAACTGAAATTGTCCTTTCTTCGGCCGTTATCAATGCAGTCCTTACTCAAAATGGCTGGCGGATTTATACTATGCATACAGTTGCGGAGAGTCTCAAAGGCTTTCCTGAACAGGCTGTACCAGATGGCCATATGACTGGTATCACCAGCTGGGAGAGACAGCGGTCGGACGCTATCAACTCTGTTGATCCTGAGGTGTTGATCATTGGAGGTGGTCAAAAGTGAGAACCCATGTATTCGGATAAGCCTTAAGATATTATTCTAAACTATTTCTTCTAGCGGTCTAGCCATGGCAGCACGATTGAAAGCTCTCGGCATGGAAAACTTGATCATCGAACGTACTGACGAAATTGGAGATATCTGGAAGGACCGTTATGAATACCTTTCACTACATTTCCCCCATTGGCCTGATGCCCTTCCATACTTTAAATATCCTGAACGCTGGCCCACATATACTCCGGCTCAGAAGCAAGGTTTATATATGAAATGGTATGCCTCCGCTCTCGAGCTCAACGTCTGGAACAGATCAGAAATTGTGAAAGCCGAGCAGGACGCCGAGAGTAGGTGGACCATCGTGATCAACAAAGAGGGAAAAGAGGTCCGTACACTGCATCCAACGCACCTCATTATGGCAACATCACTGTGTGGTGTTCCTTCAATCCCGGTTGTGCCTGGTATGGCTGAATTCAGGGGCGTGATCCGTCACTCTAGCGCCCATAAGAGTGCCCGGGAATTCCTCGGAAAGAGGGTCTGCGTCGTTGGCACTTCATCCTCAGGCTTTGATACAGCATACGAGTGTGCCCGCCTAGGTATTGATGTCACTCTGCTTCAGCGATCGCCGACTTATATTATGTCTTTAACCCATTCTGTTCCGCGAATGCTTGGAGGTTATGCGCCCGATACAAATGGCAGGTTTCCAAATATCGAAATACAGGATCGTTTCATGTTCTCTACACCAACTGGACCAGGCGAGGAACTCGCTAGGCGCACCGCCAAGGACCTCGAGGAACTCGACAGACCTTTGCTTGAAGCTCTCAACGCTCGTGGCTTGCGAACATGGCGCGGTCAGCGCGACACTGGAAATTTTACGCTTGGTCAGACACGCAATGGTGGTTTCTATTTCGATGCCGGTGCCTGCAAGGAAATCATCAATGGAAAAATTAAGGTAGAGGCAGGGTTCATCGAGAAGTTCACCGAAGATAAAGTGATGTTGAACGGCGGCCGAGAGAAGAAATTTGACCTAGTTGTCTTTGCCACGGGGTTTTCGAACACTATCGACTCTATTAAAGCCACTCTCGGCGAGGAAATTGCTGGCAAATGCGGTCCTATCTGGGGCATTGACGAGGAAGGAGAGTACAAGACCGCCTATAAAGAGACGGGGGTGCCTAATATGTGGATCATGGTTGGATTTCTTCCAATGACCCGCTATGCCTCCAAGTTACTGGCTTTACGATTGAAGGCTCTCAAGGAGGGCATTTCTCCATTACCCTACAAGCTATAGGTCACATACGTCAGATATATTGATGACATTTTTCCCAAATAGATGAGACATAAGAATACCAGACTTTTAATTACATAGTCAAGAGATCTGGAGAGCATAGAAGAGATATGAGGTTGTAAGCAGATGTGCTGCGATGCTTATTGTTATTGCCTCCCTTGTTCAAAACTGTTGATAAGTGAAATAGCTTCAAAAACAGATGTACCTTTCCCGAGAGCTTTCTACCTCCTGAAAACCGCTTCGTAGACCCTAGTTTATTTGATTATGAAGAAACGTGGTACCTAGAGTACCTTCGTTCTCGCTGGAAAGAAGATAGAAGCACTGGACATAATAAGTTCACTGTCTATAATATATTATCCGTCTTCCTTCCTTGAACTCTTGGTCTCGATAACATTACATCACTAATAGACCGTGGTTTTTATTTTGCACCTACACCGAAAGCCATATATGGCATGCTGAAATCTGTGCTTCGGACTCGGATCTTAAGCATGGCTTGACTTCGTTCAAAGTGGATCGCTAGTGTATGAGTCTTTGAGACTTGGGAACATTCGTAATCCATTATGTAGTTGCAACGCGCGAAGGCCTTGGTGAGGTAGAATTGAATGTAGTAAAGTAATAATTTAAATTAAGGCTGACACCACATAAATTGACGCATCCTTGTGACGATCAACTTGCAAAAGAACAGAATCAGAATATTTTATGTTTTTTCAAGAATGTGGAATAGGCTCAAAAACCAGAGTCCAGCAACGAATATATTACTTATTATATAACATGAATCCGTTTTCAAGAAGACCTATCAATAGATTAGCGAGCCTCTATCAACGTTGCTCAAGACAATGAGACGCTAGAACTGGGGCCAAGCGGTGCTCGAAAAGACTGTTACCGTGGCAGTAGTCGTGATTTCTCAATATACTATGACGATACATAGGATCCGAATTCGTCATTTTCACGCCTTCTCCGTGATGTTCGATAAGCGTGTGTGTTATACATGCGATTACTATCCGAAGTTGACCCAAATAGCATCAATTATTATACATTTGGTTGTTCCATAACAGGGTAAGTACGAGAGATAAGTACCAGGGATAACTAGTACGGGTAAGTAGTGGGCTTTATATTTAGTGTCTTTTTGTCCTAAGAGATTAGTATTCCCAAGAAAGAATTCCCACTAGAAAACCGAGACTTCCTAATCCCTCCACTATATAATTCTCTTTACCTTAGAAATCTATACTAGTAGCGCGTCTCTATCTAGATATTCATTTTTAAATCCTATAAATTGAGTTAGATGTTCCTAGAAAATTGGACTTCCGCAATGCTAATATCTGGTTCAAGAATCTAAGAGACATTCTACTTCCCAGACACTAGGCAAAACGATATAAATACCGAGCACGCAAATATTCGAAGAATTCAGGATATGAGAGATGTATTGTGATCAGATACAGGCTTATATCTTGAGTTTGACGATATAATCGCGGCTAGCTGTGAGAAAGCGAAACCAGATTGAAGTACATTCAAGTTCAATAATAGCATTTGTTGTCAAAAAAAACATCTTTATTCTATGATAAGAATATCTTCCCCGTCTGCGAATATTGATCTCTGATGAATGATTGCGAGAACCATGATCCAAACCGCTGCCATTTACTGGATGTACCAGTCATCGAAACCGAGATCCCACCCAAATAGAGGCGTATTGACACGTCTAGCGTTTCCTTGTGCAGCCAGGCCATTCAGCCTATCCATGTCCTCGCAAGAGAGAGATGTAATTTTAATGTTGCTCACAATCCGACTGCCTTTAATAGACTTGGGAAGTACAACAACGCCCCTAGTGACATGGTAGCTAATGAGTACCGTGGCTGGTGAAACATCATTCTTCTTAGCTATTTCCTGAATTATAGGGTCAGACATCAGGGGAGCGCCTAGAGACAACGTAGTTAGCCGATGTCATGTCACGGAAAACATTTAACGCATGTTGGAGCGCTGACCTTCGGAACCAAGTGGTGAATACGCCTCGAGGAGAATCCCGTGCCTGTCGCACCAGTCCTTCAATGCGTGCTGAGGAAGAAAAGGGTGTGACTCGACCTGATTGACAGCAGGGACCACGGTCCACTTCCTTTTCAGCTCCTCTAGATAAGGAATTGACCAGTTAGCCAAACCAATTGCTCTCACCTTCCCTGCCTTGTAAATCTCCTCCATTTGGCGCCAAGTTTCACTCTGGTCCCAAGATCGATCGACGGATCGTGTGCCATCGGGATTGACTGGCAGAAGCGCGCTGGTCTCATTCTGTGCGGAACAAATTAGATCACGAATTTCCATAGATAAAAGAAAAAAGTGTAAAGGCCTACAGGAACAAGTCGGACAGGCCAGTGGATGAGCTAATTCTCGCGTTAACAGAGCTGTCAGTAGCGGTTCCATGCCTGTCCAAGGAACAAGAGAGGAGATTTACATAGAGATCGAGGTAATCCACGCCCAAAGCGTCAAGTGTTTTTTGAAGACCTTCTTTAACGTTGGCCTGGTGGGTGTTCCACAATTTGCTGGTGATAAAAAGCTTCTCGCGAGGGACATTACTATCTTTGATACCCTGGCCAACTTCATGCTCATTTCCTAGGTATGCTATTAGACCTGAGAACTTATTGCGCTTTTGGTTTGCTGCAACAGACCATATATCCTGCAATTTATTAGGAAATACTATTCTTTGCAAAAGGGGCAATGTGATCTTACAATGCTGCGTCGATGTGACTATATCCGTTCTGGAGAGCAAACGAAACGGCTTGGCGTACCTGACCTGGCTCAGATTTCCAAGTACCTGTTTTGAATGTCAACTCAAAGAGCTATTGTTCGCAGGTGCTGCTGCTGTACCGAGGCCCACGGCAGGGATTTGAGTGCCGGTGTTGAGTCTGAAATGTGTCGAGAGTGCCATATTGCTTGAAAGAGGGAACAATGATGTCGCAACGTCTAGGTGTATAGACTACACTTTCATGGAAGATGATGGATTATGCAGGATGGGAGCGGAAGTGATGAGAAATGACCTCTTTCTATAGCAGAGAAAGGCTTGGTCTGGGTCAATGTCAAACGAATCATATCACATGGCCCGAACTCGGATACAGACAGTTCGTTCCCCAGAGACATTTTGGATGGGCGTGACACAAAAGACATTGTCGACCGACTTTTTCTGAGCCCCACACGATGCCTCTTTTACTGAGTAGCGTAATAAGTGGGCGTTTAACTTCCTGATTTGGGCCTTACGGTCGGAACTCAACTCGCCGAAACCTTCCAAATGAAGTAATATTTGACAATGAGCAATGTAACGGAGAAAGGGCGACTAGAGTTATTTGTCGAGATGGAGGACTGCATAATACCCCTAAGACCCACTACTCCCCGTGTGCACCAGATTGTCATAGGGATACTCGATTTATTGCATGTTTTAATGTTCCCCCGCCTACACACTGAAGTGGGGAAATGGCCTCTCAGGCTACCATCACTAGTGTTGACTAGTGACGGCGCAGCCACTAAGTGTAATTTTTCTAAAGCTGGCCATTTGAGCTTCATTACTAGGCATGGTTTGAATTGGTCTCTGCTCTGCGTTTGAGATGGTCGTGGGTTCACTGCTCAGATTTCCTGATCTGTCAGAATATTCACCCATCTAGGTAGTGAACCAGGGCGCTCAGCGGCAAGCCTGAGAATGCAGGCAGGATGATATAGCTTCAACAAACCAGCAAACAAACCACCACATACCACAATGGAGGAAGCCTCCCCTATAGGAAGCAGAAGCAGATAGAGCGAAGAGAGTGTAAGAGTTGATTCTTCTCCCTATTGGAGATCTGAAGCTATATCCTGTAAGGACTGTGTACTGGAAAGATATCCTCCAATTAGAGATCCCCCTTGTAGGCCATTTCCCCACTACAGTAGCTTTCACTACTATTCATAGAAGCAAATCCCCGGTAAACTCTTTCCTTGCGGTCTGCTCCGTCTGCAGACATAATGCGTTGTGTGTCTCCGGCTTCCGTTACTAACATCAAAGAATCTGCATTGCATATTGCATACGGATATTGGTAATAGAATGAAGAGATCGCTTATACAAATGCCTGTCGATGTGACAATTCATTGATCGCCTCATTTAAACCAGTATACCGAGGCAGGTATCATCATCATCATCATCATCATCATTATCATTTCCACAAAGATGAATCTCGCCAGCTCCCTTTTCCATGCCATAGGCTTTGAAGTTTTGGGGTGCTGAGTCTTCGCGATACGTGGAGAATTGTCGAGTAGCAACGTACTGCTCAAACATACGATGGAGCTCCTCGAAAGGGGCATCTTTCCTCTCCTAAGTCCTTACTGATATGGCCTGTTTTTCTTGACCACCCTTCAATCATGGAAGAGGCTTTATTCCCATTCCTTTCATTGGAATACAGTCGATCCTCTTTGTCAAATCCACGCTACGCGATCTTTCTCAGCATGAGCATGTCTGAGGTCAAGGCGATCATGAGTTTATTCCATATGACATCCAACTTCTGGTGTCCTACAATCAGCCGTAATGATTGCAGCTCTTTAGAAATGAGCATTTCATATGAGAACCTGGAGCCCATTTTTCAGTCATGCCTTGCATTGTTAATCATGGCCCTGGGGTGTGTTGGGGCTTCGTTGATAGACGAAAGCGTCTTTGTCATTGAATCTTAGGGGCTTAGACAGGAAGTCGCGGGGTGGTTCCATGCTGTAACGAAGATGTTGCATTTGGCGCGGATTGAATTGAGTGTCGAGTTATGTCAATGTCTTTTATTTACCGGGTAAGACCAAAACTTGAGGCCATCCTTACGACCGAGAACGAAGCTCGTAAGTATAACGACTAGGCTTTATTTCTTTTTCCTTCAAACGCCACTGCATACATGATCCTATGTCAATAGCGCAGCGACTCGGTGCCGCTTTCTCCTTTTCTGCCCCTTCAATAATCCAGAGCGTGATGATTGAGAGAACATCATTCGAGTATTCTGGTTATGATTGTGTTAGAAAGGTAAGCCGCTAGAAGACTGACTTCATTTGAATCAACCTCTCGTCCGAAAAAGTAACTACATTTCAGAATTGCACTACCCACGACAATACTGCCACGCCGATATCGAGTCCATCATTTCTTTTCCGGGTAAATCCCATGCCCATGAAGTCGTTGAAGAAGAAAGAAAATCCACGTTTTACCTTTTCGTGTCCATGGCGCTCCGTCGCCTCCTAAATAGAGCTCACTATATGATGTATGACCGTGAATTGGTCTCCAGATTCACTCAGATCACTTTCATTCTGCAAGCCAAGAGCTGGCACGTCATTTGCAAGACTAGCATCGAGCTCTACCTCTCAATTTGCAATTTCCGGATAGCATGGAAACTGCGGATGACCCCCATGCTGAGTACCTTAGACAGTGGTATCTGAGCTGCCAAAGCGTGAATTACTGACCTTACGTGGATTGGGCAACCGCCAATCCATCGTGGGGTCTCAATAACAAAGTACGTGCTTTTGATTGGTGCCAAATTGCTCTTGATAGGCCATGCTCATTGTCGTAAGTTTCAAGTTTAAAAGAGGACGTGGGCCAGACCGCTTACTGCTTCATTGTTTAGCTTCAGACTTGCAACGACAATGTTGACTATCATGGGTGGCTTCTGCCACCCACAGTTGTTGATTAAGCTATGTCAAACCACACTTTTGGAGCTGGGGCGAGACCTGAACCTGCTTCTTGGGCGATGGATATTGATCCATGGGTCCTTCCCTTCACCTGGTGTGGGAAGGTCCTTGAGAATGGTTCTGAAAGCACAGATTTTTTTCGAAAGCATAAGAGCAGACAGAAGAGTGCTTACCTTCCGAAGTTCTCCCGGGTTTTCGTGGACAGGAATTTGAAATAAGGTTGAAAGGTCCACCTAACCAGGGCGTAGAGCTTCAACATTTGGAAACGTCAAGACAAGAACTTCTTGGCTCCTGAGACGCTACCTCTGCTGCTTCAGGGTAAATCAGCTCCTCGAAAGTTGAATTTCAACACCTGGTGAGACCATGCGATATGACATTTGAAAGCTCCTCGAATATTAGTCACCCCACACTGTCGTTTCTCCCCCTTCTTCCTTATTGCAACTGTCGCTGGATATTAATTTGGCTGGAGAGTGTTTCTTTGATGAAAACTCCGGCTTGTCGAGACCAGCCAGAACCATTCCCGCGGGGGTCGGCCTGTGAGCACTTTTCTGACTATATTCACTTATACCCTCTGCCATGGCTGGTAGATTCTCAGTAGAGCGTGCGGATGGCGGACTTGCCGCTGTACCTTCCGTGTCGTTGTGGAAAACGAAGATGTCATCCTGCTCATCCACCGGCTGTGGATTGGGTTAGCAAGCTAGGTAGATCCGCACTGGATATTCTATGGGAAGTGAGGCCGGAGTGACGCCTGAACTGGCTGATCCGGCTCGCTGGAGGCTGTAACCGGAAGGCACAGTCGACTTTGTTCCTGGCAATTGACACGTTTTTCACTCTCGTACTCGTGGGATACTGGATAGATAGATATTGTCGGACTTTCAACCGGTGAGACATTTCGTCGAAGCGGGAGGGGTAAATTTACGAGGAGCTAGGCCCTTATTGTTGTGCGGGAGACGGAAAAGCTGAGGCTGGTAAAGTATTTAATGATTTATATAGTGTTCTCGTCGGTCCGCCAGTCGCCCAGCACCCCAGCACACGTCACCGATCAAGATCTGGTCTTTCCGAGGCGTTAGTCGACTTCGGGAGTATCAATGAACTGGTCTATATAGCCTCATCAACTCCATTGGTGTTTTGACTCAGATGCGGAATCCGACGGGTACGGTGAGGATGTCGCGAACGAAGGATACGAGAAAGGCGATAGTGCCGTCGGCGGCCTGGCATCGAAGAGCCGAACCTCCATTGAGGTCTTGTTAACCGCTCCGCCAGTCGAGAGTAGAGGTTCCTGCTGTTCGCGATGAATTTCATGTCCGGGGCAGACTCTGCGAAGATGGGCTCAGGGATCTTCAGAGTGGAGGTAATCATTGTGGTGGCGGCGGTTGTCGGACTCCTTTTGTCACGGAATGAGGCAGATCAATAATTGTAAATATGTCCGTATAGAGCTGCGGAGTAGAACGGTTCTTTTTATCTTCATATCTTTATGTGGCCTCATAGGGCTGGTCTGGATCCGCAGGGGACGCCCGTGGGAGTAATTCGGCCCTACGATATACGCTCTCCTTCAGTGGAGCCTCCCGCCGCCAAGCGCTCCCGCCCCTGCCGCAGGGTCCTGAGTGCCACCGCCACAGGCTCGATGTCGGTGGGCCTCCCGCATCTCTCACCAAACTTCGGTGTTTTTCGGGTAGATCCGTCTCGGCCCGTCGGTTATGCTTAGTGGTCGTGATACCCACCTCGAGTCCAGTTCCACCAAACAGTTCTATCGACGCGTACATGCTCGATCTTATGAGCAAAAGATCCTCCTACATAATCGAATGTTTACAGTGAGCCACGTCACGGAAACAGCCCTTCTTACCATTTACTTACCCATTTTTCGCTCTGTCCTTTTCTTTTTATTTTCGGGAGGATCGCGAGGCATAGCCGGGTCGAGAAACTTTGAAACACCATTTTGCTAGATCCAATCGTTTACAGCTGCGTCTTCCCGGGGGGTCTCAGATGACATTTGTGAGCTGAAATACTCGATGTGTGGGGCATTTCTACTTCAGAGGCCGTGAGCGAGATAGAAGCAGTACACAATCTGCTTCAAGGCAGCGCTGAAGATTGGTGGTTGACCATCAGTACGGCCATGAATCAATTCTCGAGTATTCCGAGCGTAGGAACCATACCCACAAAAAATTGAAGAAGCTCAGTGTGGGTGAAGTCCGAAATATGAAACCGGTGAGAAAATCATGTGAGTTCATGTGATGACTCATTTCCTATGGGTTGGTCTGTGCCCGTCAACATGGCGGATTTTCGTTGTTGTCCTTACGACTCCCACTCGTCACCTCCACCTGCATTTCGTAACTGCGCTGTGCGTCGGCAGTCATCTTTTTTTTTTTTCCTTGGCTGCGTCTTTTCCCTGGGTACTCATCAGAATGCTTCATTCTGCGCCCGCAACACGCTCGTGGAGGAATGTCTCCACCAGCCGTGGCCTTAGGATCCATGGTAAACCTCTCTCAATACACCGCTCCGTCCTCAAGCCCTCGTTCAATATACGGAATCATATAACCACGGCCAATGCCATCTCTGGGTAAGTTCTTGCAGTGCATCTTTTGTCTGAATCTGACTGTCACCGCCCGGAAATCATTCCCTGTGAGAATGGGTATGCTGATGGACAACCCAGGAATGAACGAGAGAAGCCCAGCCCGTCCTTCAGTGTAGCCACGGCAAAGGAGGTGCAACCTCTTATCAATCCTTCTCATGGAGAGAGAGATGAATCGTACGTGGGCCGTCTCTCGTTGCCATTCATGCCTTGCTATTAACCGAGGCTCATTTAGGTTCATTGGAATGACCGGAGGTGCTATATTCCATGAAATGATGAAACGGCACCGTGTCACGAATATTTGTACGCTTCGACCAACTCCCTTTACATGCATATCACGCTGAGATAATAACCCAACCTAGTCGGCTACCCCGGTGGGGCCATTCTTCCCGTATTTGATGCCATCTACAACTCGAAGAACTTTGACTTCGTGCTCTCAAAACACGAGCAGGGGGCCGGACATATGGCAGAGGGATATGCCCGCGTGTCTGGAAAACCGGGGGTGGTCTTGGTGACAAGTGGCCCCGGTGCGACCAACGTAGTAACACCAATGGCCGACGCGTTGGCGGATGGAGTTCCTATGGTGGTATTTTGCGGCCAGGTTGCCACGACTGCAATTGGCAGTGACGCTTTTCAGGAGGCAGACATGGTTGGAATCTCCCAATCGTGTACCAAATGGAATGTCATGGTGAATAGCGTGATCGAATTACCGAGACGAATCAACGAAGCCTTTGAAATTGCCACAAGTGGCAGGCCTGGCCCGGTGCTTGTGGACCTTCCTAAAGATGTCACAGGGGGCATCTGCGAGGAAGCTGCTCCCACAGACTTAACTCTTCCTCCATCCGCTAGTAGCGCAGCACGCCAGGCCCTCGATCTGAACAGGCGACAGTTGGATCAATCTATTGCACGCGTGGCTAATCTCATCAACAATGCCCAATGTCCAGTTATCTTCGCTGGCCACGGTGTCAACCGCTCAGAGGGCGGACCTGAGCTGCTTAAGACTCTCGCCGACAAGGCATCTATTCCAGTTACCACTTCCCTCCACGGCCTTGGAGCATTTGACGAACTCGACGAAAAGTCGCTGCACATGTTAGGGATGCATGGTTCCGCATATGCAAATATGACGATACAGAATGCCGACCTAATCATCGCTCTAGGAGGCCGATTTGACGACCGGGTGACCTGCAATGTTGCGAAATTTGCCCCGAAGGCGCATAAGGCCGCAAAAGAAGGACGTGGTGGTATTGTTCATTTTGAAATCATGCCGAAAAATATCAATAAGGTCGTCCAGGCCACCGAGGCAGTTGAGGGTGATGTGGGAGCCAATCTACGACTCTTGATACCTCAAGTCAAAACGAAGTCGATGTCCGAGCGTAAGGCCTGGTTCGACCGGATCAACGAGTGGAAGAGAAAATGGCCTTTCGATGACTTTGAGAAGGCTGAACGATCTGGATTAATCAAACCGCAGACAGTAATTTCAGAACTGAGCGACCTAACGGCGGGTCGGAAAGATCAAACGTATATCACCACAGGCGTTGGCCAGCACCAGATGTGGGTCGCGCAGCATTTTCGCTGGAGACATCCACGCACCATGATTTCGTCGGGCGGTCTCGGAACGATGGGATTTGGCTTGCCTGCCGCTATCGGAGCTAGTGTTGCGAAGCCGGATGCCCTTGTTATTGATATAGACGGTGACGCATCGCTTGCCATGAGCCTGACCGAGATGTCCACTGCCTCGCAGTTTAATATTCCTGTAAAGATCATCGTGCTGAACAACGAAGAGCAGGGCATGATTACACAATGGCAGAACCTCTTTTACGAAGATCGATACTCCCACTGCCACATTCTGAACCCAGACTTCGTGAAAGTTGCCGAAGCCATGAGATTCCAGGCCCGGAGGGTTGAAAAGCCAGATGAGGTTCGTGACAGCCTTAAGTGGCTGATCAATACCAATGGACCAGCGCTTCTTGAGGTTGTAACCGACAAGAAGGTGCCCGTGCTGCCGCTGGTCCCTGGCGGATCGGGTTTAGACGAATTTATCTCATGGGATAGTGGTATGTTTTCGTGAATTTTTATCAACAAACTTTGGCTGACACAGATGTCGGAATAGCAAAAGATAAGGCAAGAAGAGAATTAATGCGACAGCGCACGTCCGGGATTCATGGGTAAATTACGCCATTTGCCATTATAGTGTCATTTGTACTAGCAAGTTGGTTTGATTTTAAATTATTTCCCACCGCGGGACTAATACCAGGAGATTGTCGAAGGTTTGCTTTCTCCGGATAAGTCATGTCAAGAAGTTATGGCCTCCAGTTGTGCTTTGTTTTCACCGTCTTGAACAAGCAAGTTATATTGAGGATGGCACGGAATCAGCATTCATTATTCCTATGATAAAGTACACTTGTATATGCCATTGGGGACTGGTGTATTTTGCTTTTGTTTGGAAATTGTTTGTATTGCAGGGAATTGTGAAGAACATCACTCTCACGGGGCAGTCTTCTTGGATTTTACCTTCCTATCTCCCTGTTAGCCCTACTTTGCCCATACGGATCTCCGCCGGTCTATTTCAATTATTTTCCACGAGGTTAGAGGAGGTTCTTGATAGTCGTCTTACAGAGATATAGGATTGGCTTGATTTACCCGGCTACATCGAAAAAGTCCACAACCTTTGATACCCCATATTGTATGCCAAATGACGCAATATACAAAGCCAGGGAGCCTCAGTCACTGCCAAAGCGCCCGGTTCCTAGACGCCAAGTACAATCACCAATTATCAGACTAGGTTTCTCTCTATTAGAGATGCCAATTGTTCGAATCTTAAGAGAGCTATTAAGGAGACTAATATAGAGGAGAAGCTTTTTGAGAAGCAGCAGAAGAAAGCCGTATAGAATCTCAGAGCCACTTGATATTCCCCCAGTATATCTAGGAGATTTGTGTTTGCGCAACTGCGCTTTCGATAGAGCTTTGGTGAGCTATTTTGACGGACAAGGAACTGAATAAATTATGCTTGTATACAAAGACAATAACAATTTAATAGGACATTGGTGAAATAGTGACAAATGTCGATGCCAGGAAGTCCGTTAGATGCGTCATTACTAAAGTTCGCAGTTTTCCGGTCATTATTCCCTTACCGATGGGTTAAGAGAGATTATCTATATGTTTTAAATTTTCAGATAGGAAGATTGAACATATACGATTTAACTCAAATGAGTGCCTGAGTCAACATCCTCTACAGCGCTAACAGTTCCCATTTCCTCATCCAGTTGTCGTTTTTTCCCATTGGGATTGCCGGTACCTGCCATTCCAATTGGAGGATCATTCAGCTCGGCGGTGACACTAGAAGTTTGAGCTACCTCTTCATCGGCATATCTATCTGTTTGATTCCTTTCAATGATCTGCTGAGCAGATGCGTATGCCTGAAAAACCTCCTGTAAAAGAGGTGAAATGTCCGCATTTGAGTCGTGACTGGGGCCGTATCTTAATAGGGCCTCCCTTTCTTGAATGACTTCTGAGACCTTGCTAATTTCAATCATATTTCGTCGTAGTCGCTCTGGAAGCCCTCTTCCTTTCAGCAATGCTAACAGTCCGGCGATAGAAGTATTGAAAGCTCCTAGAATTGTTATAGCCAACATATGTTTGTCGCCTGATGGCCCTAAAGCGGTAATCGTTGCACCGATTATTATTTGTGTGATTGTGATCAAGTTAAAAACAATGCTGATAAGTTGATATTGGACACTCAGATATCTCTCCTTTTGAATTAACTTCTTCCGCATATCAGCTGTAGCGGTATGATAAATTGTATAGAGCTGTGGCTCATTACATGGAATTTGAGGGCTTGATCGATAAGATTCGGACATTGTATATCATGTGTGGCTGAATGTCTTTCCAAGAGTGATTTGAGCGTAGGACGGTGTTAATCCTATACTGGTGAAAAGCTGTACGGCCATGACTGCCACAAAACTTCCCTATATTCTGCTCGCTCTCAAATATTGAGAGTGCGCGATGATTCAGTACCCTTGGGGCATCAAATGGTTTCTCGGTTCTTAGAATTCTAGACTCGACGAGACGTTGCCACGAAATGTAATTTGCAGTCCATCAATATCTTGGCACTAAAAGTAGACTGGGACTTCACTGTTGCGGGTATTGGCCCGTCTTGATATCATTTTCAAATTTTTTGCGGATCACGGTTTCCTTGGTTGTCTCCGAAGGCTATCAAACAATGGATGGTTAGCCGTTTGCATCCACATACATAGTTCAACGGGATTTATTGTTGCGTAACGAAAACCATCGGCGGGATCGTCATGGGCAATTAAGCCAGACCTCGCACGTATTCTGCCATGGTAGTCTAATTTACCTCGTGCCGTTAGAGTTGAATCTATCTGAATCTGGAAGTCACCTCATTCTCGTAAAGGGTGGGGAAGCCAAGGCCCGCAGCTTCCGCAGCTTTCCGCCTACTGCCCAGGCGAGGCGTTAAGGTTTTCAAAATGGGCAAACAAAATTTAGTGGAGTTCTGCGACCGACGGTTTCATGAATTACGTTTGGTGTTTCATTGTTCTTAGGGCCCACTTCCAATCCAAGTCTTTGTCGCCTGTTGTTAGGGGTGTTGATGTTTTAGGGTTTAGTAGATCCAAATTCGCCCCTCACACTGCCGTTTGACTGGTAAAATGAATTTGCAAGCGACCTGGCCCGCCCCATGAACACGTAGGAAAAGGACCTCTAGTAGAGTTACGTCGTTGAAATGTATTATGTTCGTGTCAGCGATAACCTGGTCATGAAATTAATTTAGGTTACATTTCATGTTCTCAAAATTACTATTATCCATGCTCATCTTCACTCTACTAGACCTCACTACGGCTTTTCAACGTCCAAGGACACTGCCGCTAGATATATTCCAATGAACATACTGCAAACTACATCGTCATTATGAGAGCAACATGATGTGGAGTACTATATAATTGGTTGCCCAGGGCCTCTAGGCTGTTTATGATCGATTATGAACTTCTAATAAGAATCAGCGCTATCAACTCAATGCCCCAAGAAGGCTCGCTTGCTATGCGGCCGGCTGACGCTTCTAAGAGTCTTGATTACCTTATCTTACCTACCATCTGAACTGACAAGTACTTCACAGCTAGTAGCGAATAGCTATCAAAATAGGGTAATCGTGAAGTGACACGGCTTTGATGATATCATGGTTGACCTAGTGACTCTAAACCTAGTGCTTTAAGCTATCACGTTTGCCAAACTTCAAGGTCATCTAAACCAATCAACTCCTCGGAAATGAGAATCTTGAAACCTAATGTAGACTAGTTTACCACCAAGCACAATATGAGTCTGGGTGATCTGATGCTGGATAAAGGTTAGGTGGATCACTTGATCGGTTGCATTCGATAACCCTACAATATGACTGTGCTTATTATTAATATTTTAGATCTAGAATAAATCCTCTTGACGTTCTAGCCTCTTACAGATTTTGATTCTCCCTTCGTTTTCTACAAAGCAGAGCAAAGCTGAAGCGCGAATTGGGTCTAGAACGACCGGATGCATCATCTTGGTATTCAAGAGAAACTATCGGCGCGTATTTTTGAACTTTATAGTCGTAAGTCACGCATAAATAGTGGCTTGATGACCGAGAGGCCAGTAGAGGAACATTCAAAAATTATCATATTTTACATCTCAATTATAACTTGCCAAAATGAATGCCACCACTGGCCTTCGCATTGAGAACTGCGGACAGGACACCTACCTTGTGGGTTATTGTATGGACGATCACCAACACTGGAACCCAAGCAGATTGAGGTTGGATGGCTGTCTTGGAGATAATGGAGGTAGGCGAAGGATTTTGGTTGATATATCCTGATTGACAATACCCTAGGACGTTTTCAATGGGGTGGACAGGAGTTTACGGAGCGTGCCAGAAACATCTCATTCAATCCTGAAGAGGGTGGTAGCCGTGTTCCAGTTCTACGAGCTGAGTTGCAGGATGATGCAGGCCGCTTTTTACCAGGAGATGTAAATTTGGCCGAGAGAATAAACAATCGAAATGGCTACCTACAGTTTTCTTGGTGGGTCCTTGTTTTGAAACTGATTGACAGCATTGAATCACAAGATCTAACTATTAAATTGTCTAGATTGATCTATTATAAGTCTCTTCAACGCAGGTTCTCCAAATTGAGTCACAAATCTATTCAAGTTTGTAACCTTTAATTCGATACAATTTGTCTATGCCGTCGAATACACCTAAACTCTCACCATAAATTTCAAATTCGACGCACGCTATGATTCACTAAACCTATCCCGTAGGAAGTATGAAGTGTAGTCAGCATACTCTTTGGTAGAACTTTTGGGGTTATCTCGAGTGTATGGAGAAGCTAGCGCTGAAATATCCATACTCTTTAATCTCGGATAATGACAACAGTTAGAATTCAACTAGCAACAGTATAAAAGATCCGGTAAGTTATTAAATAGCTCCAAAATTCACTAGTCACTTTTTTCTAGGATTCAACCACTCAAGCGCTAAATCTAACTTCTAAAATATCTCGAGAATCAAAACATGAGCATTCAGAGGAGTGGTCCTGCAGGACCGATGGGGCACAAAGCTAAGAACAGGTGACAATACCTCGGACTGGTCCCTTGGTTGTCATTAACGAGTAAGACGTGGCAGCGGCTGAGCTCATGAGACTAGTGGGACTAGGCATGTGGGTATGTGGGTGCGTGGGAGAGGCAGGTGGAAATCGAGCTCTGGTGATTCAGATCTGCCAATATACAGCAATGCAGTCTGCTAATGGTTTGAAGGACTGGGGAAAAGTTCTTAGAGTGGACAGAGGAAGACATCAGTATTGACGAAGTCTTTACTGGCGTCTCCCTGGACTGATTTACTGTTATAGAATAACTAAATGTACAATACTTGATGTTTTCTCGGCCGGCTTCGGGTACGAATCGTATGCATGACGATATATCTACAATGGCGTTAGAAAGTTTTTCTCGACCCTAGATTTCATTGCTATAACAACCCCTCGCTTTATTTTTTTTCCTTCCTTCTATAATCCTAATATACTAGATAGCCTAGCAGAATCTGCTACAAAACGAAGAAGAAAAGGTAAGCTTGCCCCTAAACATTATTTAGTAATAGAATATACGTATAATAGTGTTCAAAAGTATTTCCTGATCCCTACTTTCACTACCCTAATATTAAATATATATATCTGTTACACTATATACTACACTTCTATCTTTCTAGATATTGCAGTGGGGAAATGGCCAACGATAGGTGATCTCTGATTGGAGGATATCTTTCCTAGTACACAGTTTTTACAGGATATAGCGTCGCATCTCCGATAGGGAGAAAATCAACTATCACACGGTCTTCGCTTCATCTGCTTCTGCTATCCCTTTTGGGAGGCTTCCTCCTTCGTGGTGCGGTGTGATTTGTTGGCTTGTTCGCTGAGCCATCTCATCCTGCCTGCATTCTCAGGCTTGCCGTAGAGCGCTCTGGTTCACTGGCTAACGCAGAATGGTGTGTCTCGTATGTACCTATCTCTGTCTTCAACGATCGTATCTCCCAATCGTAGCATTGCCGCATCGCTGGGGTCTTACACAGGCTCTGATCTATAAAGATAGATCGAAGACGTTGTCCAGTCGAGACCGCCTAGTCAGTCAATAGCACCCGAAGCAAGTACTGAGGTCTCCTCCTAGTTGTGAGTTTGTCCTTATATTAAGCTGATGAAATAACCAAAGGTAGTCTCAAGCAATAAGGAATGAATTGAACGCGAAGAACTAAATACATGATGCGATAACGAGCGTCCTTGTATATCCAGCTCTTAGTGTTCTTGGTCCACAGTTGGGTATACCACCCAATATAGTATCCCCCAGCCTTGAGGTGTAACCAGAGGCTTTTTGTATTAGTTATTTCTAACAGGAGAGCCAGCGATATGTTGGGAGTAGTTGTGAAGGGCTAAACACAGAATCCTTTCGATAATAAGATGACCATCCAATGATGGAATTCTCAGACAGGACCACCTTTCCTAGTATCCCAGTTCAAGCCCAAACTCCGTATTCTGCTCTAAAGCCAGATGTGCTTATTGTGTTCGAGAAATTCTTGCAAATTGCGAGGTGGTACCCCAGTTAATTCCTCAATCACATGATTCACCCGATCTTCTAGATTGGTTTTGACGAAATCTTCATCCATTTCCACTGTTGACTTCGCATAGGTTGAATCCATCCCTGTGCCCTCTAGATGTTTAAGAAATTCGTCGGGTGGCAAGTTAACATGGCTAATTTTATGACCCAGTATCTTGGAAAGACTCTCAGCTACCTGTATATTGTTTGAAAAGTTTGTAAGTTGATATTAACAACAGAAAAGGCTTTGGAAGAAACGAGATCAGACTGACCTCATCATACGAGAGCGATTCTGGTCCCAGAATTAGGTGGTCCGTGTTATGCGGCTGTTTGTCCGTCAAGCTTCGAAATGCAACTCGAGCTATATCATCCGCAGAGACAAACGGTATTTTTCCATCTCCCGAAGAGGTATAAATGGCTCTTTGATTTTTAATGCTGTCGATTATCCGAGTTTCTTCCGAGAAATTCTCTAGTAATTTCAAGAGAAGAGAGGTGAGACACTGGAAAGACTTAAGCTCGAATAGTATTTGAACGTACCCATAAACCAGGTGGGCCTCAATACCGTCCAGTCTAAATATCCTTGCAAAGACTCGAGATACGCATGAACCTGGCCCATGTACTGCCCACCATTTTCAAGGACGCTAGCGCTCATGAGAACCATACGTTTCACACCCTTTGTACGAGCGAGATCGATGAAATTGATAATCAGCGACATGTTGTCGATATTGTAACTTGGAACTATGTAGACAGCCGAGACCGGGTCTAATTGACTTGCTAGTGCCTGGTTAAAGGGATTTCCATATGTATTCTCATCTTCCCAGTCAAAGTGTGCCTGCTTGTAGGGACATGCAAGTGAAAAGGTCCGAGAAGCAATGATAAATGGGATACGTGAGCTGTCGAGGAGGTGGGCAAGACGGATGGATGTTTTACCTCGCCCACCAAGCACGAGGATGGTCATTTTGCAAGGTTGAAGTCAACGTAAATGCTGGGGCAAGGAACAGTCGAGAGGTTGATATATAGGATTAAATATAGATTGCCTCATTATGGTAGCGGACGAAACTTGACATTGCTAAGGTTACACATCGGCGAAGGCTACCCAGTAGCGTACTAAAGTATCCAAACAAAGGTTAAGTCATGCATGTAATAATTTCTGTCGAAGTTTGGGTACTTATAGCGTACTTAGAAAAAAGTAATCTCTGAATCACGGTAAATTCTCTATGTCCCGTCGCCGTAGAACAGCTTTCTGGCATGAATGGTTATTGAAATCAAAACTAAAAATACAGCACTTCGTGCTTATTCATGGAAATAGTATCGCGAAATCGATAGCTGAATCTAAACGTTAAACTTGGGGCAATATTAAAACCAATGGAACATTTTTGTAACTCCTAAGACTGTGTAAATTAGTATATTGTTTAAAACAAAATATCATTGAAATACTCAATAGAGATATAAACTGCTTATGTTTTATGGGTGGAGCTGGACAAAACTTTGTTGAGGATAGTTTAAAAGAACTTCGGGAGTTTCGCCTAAATAGAAGACATTTTAATCCATTTTTATTCTATTGCCAATCATGCTGGCGTTTCAAGAAATAAAGCGATATTCCATATATGATCAATTTGTTCTTTTGGGTAAAGATTCAATCTAATGCAGCTCAAATATAGCAAGGGGAAGTCTTGAAACATAGACTTCAATTTACGGGTATCTAGTCAAATCAAATTAAATTAAACAAATATTGTCCAAATATCTTCTCTCGGGGCGCAAATAAGTACTATACTGAAGTAACACATGCACCAAGACCCGTCTCCGCGGCAGGGTACAACAGAAAAATACTCACATAACATATGACTGATCGGTGGTATATTTGCATAGTTTAGTGATAATTATCATAAAATATTGAAAGTAGCGTAATGTGAGGGGTAATATCAAAACCCTTACACGACATATAATTATAGCTTTCCTTAAAAGCTTTCCTCAAATCGAATTTTACGTTGTGAAGCTTACTTAGGGGGTGTAATATACGCAAGACTGTCTCTATGCTTTAATCAATGATCAGCCTGAACCTAGTAATGTGGACTAATAAACTATCGAGGTATTAGATTCTTGTACTACACTTCCGTTAGCACCGTGAGGTGCACTTTAGAAAAGCAAAAAAAAAAAAAAAGAAAATGCAGTGAAATCCACGGCTAAGAAGAAAGATCCAATAGGTTTTAAAACATAAACACCGCAATATCTATCTACTTCCTTCAGTAACTTCTGGAATAGACCGGAATTCGCTCAATGACCTGAAGTTCCTGAACCTAGTATATTGCTCTCAGAGCAGAAGGTATACGTCCGACCACCTTGAAAAGCTTGCAAAAATTTGAGTTTCACTGACGCAAGTTCACCAAATAGTATCTATCATGTCGAAACAAATTCCTGCCAGCGAATATGAAGCAGTCGTTGCAACAGTGAACCTTTTCATCGAGGGCATGAAAAAGTCGGACTATTCCATTCTCTCTAAAGCCTTTCGTGACACGGCGCGAGTTTACGCACATATCTATGGAACTTGGACAGAAGCCAACAAGGACCTCCTGAATGAGATGTTAAAGAGCTACCCGAAGCTTCCGAACTTCAACCACAACCTGAGCGTGATCAGCATGTCACCGACTGTGGCTGTCGTCAGAATTGAGATGGACTACGAGGATACTTTCAATCCATACACAGATTTCATGACGGTGGCCAAGGTGGAAGGAAAATGGCAGATTGTGACAAAGGTTTCATGCGAGTACGAGCGATGATCTTACGTTGCTTGGATACTTTCAATGGCTCTGTTCAAAGAGACCGCATTTCGTACTATATACCTTACTAGATGTCGCTTTGATCGCATAACTCCCATGGGACATACTTCCATTCAATCCTTATGACCTTTGAATAAAATTCTATAATCTATATGCAGACGCCAACTGTTGTAATTTAGAGAAATCATTGATTATTATCATTGGGAGGCAAACATGAAGCTATAAATATAACGAGAAGATCAAGTTGATTTCCAATCAGCTTGGTTCTTCATATAGGCACTTCGGTATTAATTCCGATGGCTCGGCTTAGCTCTTGATCTGCATCATGCTTAGCTCTCACAAGTTTACTCAAATCGTTACCCCCGATATGAAAGTTTATTGAATACTCTAGAGAGCTTCAATATAGTTTCCATTTTTCTATTCTAACCATTGCTACACTGGCACCGACGGAGACAAATGAGATATTTTTGGCACAAATGGGGCACCTGCGGTCTCAAGACCGGTGACATAGGCCTCGTTGATGGAAGTCTACAGCGCCTTGAGGGCTGCACGCGTGCACGCGGGCCCGTGGCACTCCTTGTATACTAGGAGAAAATATAGCTATCGACAAGGATACGTGGTAAATACACGAGGGATTCTGCAGTGAGAGGGAAAGAATTGTTGCGGAAAGATCCCGGCTCTCTCTCGAAACGACGATATTTTCGAGAGAGGGGATATCCAAGTGGTAATTTTGTGCGATGTCCAGCACGGAATATTGGGGCCCGACGCAAGGGGTTCTCGTGCAACAATCCCGAATAGAACCCATCATCTTCTAAGCTTGGCATACTCATTAGGCCGCTCGGTAAGCCCAATTAATCGTGTTGAGCCTATTCACTATAATTTATTTAATTAGATATCTTAGAAAGTATCAAACTTTCCTACTATTCAATTTGGTGTTTACCCACTCGCAGTTTCCTAACTATAGAGATAATTCCTAGCCATAGAACGCACTACACATAATGACCAGTATTGGATTAGTAGATTTATTGGGTATGATATAATGTATTCATGTCCCAAATGAGTAAAATACAATAAAATTTTCTCTTTTTTTTTCCTTTTTCAACCAAAAGAATGGAAAGAATTCAAAAAAGAAATAATGATATGGAAGGGGCTCGCTAGATCAATCTCCCGTTTGTATCCAAGCACAGCGTGAGGTGGCGTGGCACAGATAATTTGTAATTATATTTCAAGCTACTGGAAACTGGTCTGGTGTTTCACCGTAATGACATGAAAGATACCAGAGAGCCAATTTAACGTTAATAGGAAGGTTAACTCATTTATTATTCACTATGACAATCGGTGTTGATAGCTGTGCTACGTGAGTAGTTTTCAGCTGAAGTTTGATGATCAAATCAGTTAGCCTTGTATATTTTAAATGCAAATACACACACATTCTTTTACTAAAACTCATCTTCCGATCGCTATCAAGGATCAGTTAAGCTTAAGCCTCATTCCGCAGGGATTCAAAAATCAGGACTTAAAAAATGGCCATTGCAATTGCAGGCTCAGGGCCTGTCGGGAAAACTATTATTGAAGCTTTTCTGGAGAATTCAAAATACAAAAGCGAATTAATTCTTCTCACGCGTGTAAGAGCTCCAATTTATCTTGAGAAATCCGTACTGACAGCCTCAGAAATACCAGGAGACATCACCTTTAGACCAGATACAACAAATTCCTGTCAATTACAGCGATGTCGCTGCACTTGCTGCCCAGCTTGAAGAGCATAACGTGCACACGGTAGTCTGTGCTATTGGAATTTTGACCCAAGAGGCAAGCCAAGCACAAATAAATCTCATTCAAGCTGCGGATCTTTCCACCACCACCAAACGATTTATACCCAGTGAATATTCATACATTCAATCTGAAGAGTAAAAATAACATCGTCTTTTGGGATTTGCGTGTCAATGCCTTCAAACTAACCTCAGGGATAGGATCCGCCACATATCTCCCGATGCAGTTCAACTCTTTATTGACGGAACTCGGGCCATAGAAAGTTCAAACTTACAGTATACTCGAGTGATCCCAGGTTTCTTCATGGACTATTGGGGTATGCCAAATATTCGTACCAATATGGTACCGTTCACTTACGCAATTGATATCCTCAACGCCCGCGCTATCATTCCAGGTGATGGAAACAACGTAATTACCATGACATATACATACGATATGGCCAGATTCATTGTGAAATTGCTCGATCTAGAGGAGTGGCCTGAATTTAGCTTTATCGGAGGAGACGACATAACGTTCAATCAACTGTTGGACATTGCCCAGGAACTCCGTGGTGAGTCTATTCCTGAACGATATAGCGATTTCATTTTTCATTTTTTTCATCTTCTAACACCTCTCCCATTTTTAGGAACTAAGTTCGACGTTACTTATGATAGTTTGGACCGAGTCAGAAACAACGAGGCCACCCCTCTTCCTCAACCTGAAGGGTTTGATTATGGACCGGAATTCAATAAGTGGGTAACTGGTTATATGAGCCACGTCATTACCAACGATGGTATCAAGTTGCCAAAGGAAAATCGCCTCAATGATATCTTCCCTGATATTCATCCAATTTCCATGAAAGAATTTTTGATCAAGGCTTGGAAGCGTGATTGATGTTTGTTGTCTCCCCTTTGTACGACAGTCGCGGTATATCTCTGACAGATGTTGCAAAGGCAGATTTTGAATGTTCTGTAACTTCGGGTATTATTTCGCAATCTCAAAAATCAAGAGAGAGAGAAAGAGAGGCATATATTATACTCCGCTTATTAGCTCCTACTGTGCCTCTTCCGGAGTCTCTTATAGCTGTCACAAATAAGTTATTAAATATACAATGGTGTTCAAAAGTTTTTCCCAACCCTACTTTTTATTGCTATGATAAACCCCCACCCAATTTTTTTTTCTTTCCTTCTATCACACTAATATAATAGATTACATAGCAGAAGTTACTAGGAAACAGAAAAATAAAGGTGAGCTTACCCTTAGCAACGTTTAGCAATAGTATAATAGCGTTCAAAAGTATTTACCGGTCTCTACTTTCACTACCCTAATATTAAATATATATTTCTGTTACACCATATACTACACTACTATCTTTCTAGCTACATATTTCTAGTAAGAAAATTTAAATTCGGGTAGGGTTAGACTCGCTTAGTAACTACTAATATTTTATATAATAACCCTTAGCCCTCTATATAGCTTCTAATCTTCTTCCTACCCCTAAAATTAACCTATCTGTCATATGATATTGCAACATGAGGCTATTCCTAACTTTGTGCCTCAGGTGTCAGTTCGACACCTTACCGGTTAGGCTTCGTTATGACAGCCCTACTTCTCCCTAACATAGATGTATGACCTACTAAGGCCCTAAGGGTTCGGTGCCCTTCTATGAGGGATTCGTAAACCCCTCTTTCCTATAGATTTTGCTTACCTCTGTTATATATAGGCTGCGTGAGACTGTATATTATAATATGATCTATCGTCCTTGTTTTAGTTATATAGGAAAGTGTTGAAGCCTGTACATAAATTGAGGATTATAGAGAGATCTATGATAGCAAGAAATAGTGTTTTGCTTTCTATACTTGACGTTTATCTTCCTACCTAGTCGACAGGCTTTCTACCCTGTACAAGTAGTTATTCTCTAACAGGTTACAACCTGAGGATGCCAATTACATCAGTATCGGAACCTGCGTGGTTGTCAAATTGATAGCCTATCGATTAAAAGTCTCACAAATGCGTGCCAGAATCTGAAGTTGTTCACATTCGACAGCTTTGCCGGAGAAATCGATCAATAAAGCGACTACGAAGATATAGGTGACATCCAATTCAATGATGCCGATATGTACGAAGCTCTTCTAGAGCACAAGGACATTCTGGAGACATTACTCCTAAGTTTCGGCAGGAATTTCATCAACCTCAGGGATTGGCAAGATTCCCATCCTCTTAGTATTGAAATACGCTCTCTACGCAATTTTCAGAAACTTTGAGACATTCGTCTCGATCAAGCGATAGTTCCCGTCTACTCCCAATTGCCTCCTTCACTTACCAGATTGACTATCTCAGGCTGCAATTCCTCTGTTATCGATCTAGTTCAGAATATCACAAATGATTGCAAGGGGGATTGTAACCGCACTTTGTGGACTTTTTGTCGACTTTGAAAATTTGGCTGTCGATATCAGACAACTTGTCCCTGGTCAATCTATTTCAGCATATCAGACCCAGGAACAAGCGGAGCAGACTCTTGCGAACTTGTTCATAGGAAATAAAGTTTATTTCCGGACAAGGGAGTACGGATATCCTAGTGTAACTGAGGCTATTATTGGTGAAGATTAGAGATTCTCTTGATTATACCCATCACGATGAGCCTGCCTATAACTCCGGTAGCCAGGAAACCATAAACAGACTTGGGGGATATACGACAGCGGGGTTGATTTGATAGTCGACTTTCTGGATATTTCATACATCGCTCTATTCTGGGGAATCATTTTGAACTCCTATCTCCATTTACGAAGAATCCTCTACCAGGACACCATTAGAACGTTATGATGAAGAATAGGAAACGGATGATAGCGAATGGAGGGTGCAAGAGAAGAGCCCTATCGAAAGAATAGCATCCATCAAAATTCGACCACTTTGATCTGAGCTTTAGCGTAATAATGGGACAGTCGAAACACTCTTTGCTAGGATAGGATCATTGTGTACGGAGTAGTGGTATAATAATAAGTTACATGGTACAAACTTTGCCCATGAGCGTTGCCAAGGTAACTAGATCTTCAACACGTGACATTTCGAGTGAACCTACGGGGAGGGGCTCGGAGCTCGACTTTGAAATTTGACCGTCTTGATTTCTCCTTCTGATTATTATCAGCTACGCATGTGAATATAAGTACCATCAAACCTTCAATTTTGACTCCAAAGCCCCGGTGATCGTGCAATTCAGATCTTCGAGCTCTCGGGATATCCAAAGGAAAGATTATCCGATTGACTGTTGCATAATTCCCAGAGAACAGAAGTTTGAAGGGCAATCGACAATGCAGTACGCTCTATATAGACTTGCATGACCTGGTCAGGACCGACTCTGTGCAACTTTGGAGACAGCAGACAAACGTGCATATGTGCTGGTGCGCGCACCGAGGCCGGTTCATCTAAAGGGATTGACCCGGCGATACGAATACTGGTTAGGAAGGCCGATATGATTTGATGCTGACAATTCGCCTGTTAATTCGAGATGGCCTCGCAAGTTCCAGTATAGTTATCGTCAGCGCAGTGGCCGGCGTGGTATTCAAACTGAAGGGTTTTAGTCTCGGACGAATGGCACCGATATTATTTGTGAAGATACTCCAAATTGCCTCGTTTCAGCGTAAGACAAGCTTCGATATGGTTTCTAGTGTTGACAGGTTTTACTCATTCTGGTTTGATCACTTCGTTTAGTGTTTGATCCCAAGGTCAATTCACAATCACCCAAGGCCTAAAAAACCGCGGAGAGAAGACGCGTCAAAGTATATCCGACTTCTTTCTTGGATTTCTCGAATCTAAGAAAACACTCCATAGCTCGCTTACGTGAATTAGAAGTTGAATATACTAGCTGCTGGTCAACCTCCTTACCACTCATCTGATTATTGAGAGTTCTTCAAACAGTAAGTACGGTCATCTTCATTAAATGCTAGCAGCTAGACAAATTTTGGATACGCATCCTAATATTTAAAGAGACCGAAATACAGTTCATTCAGGGAAGCAAGGAGAGGAACACTAGTAAACGGATGTCTTGAATATCGATAGCAGGCGATTCAGCAAATACGCTGCCAGATTGATGCTAGTTCTAACGGATACCGCTATGGAAGCTACCGAGCGAGCATTTCCGGTTCCAGATTCTGAGCTAGACAAAATCTTGAAATTACATCCCTTGTCTGCAGCCCGTCATGGCATGTTTCTCGGAATACGGTCAGATTTCTACGCTTTGGACCTAGGCCACGGCAACTGACAAGGGCGGAAAGAGACATCACGAGTCACTCGGTGCCTGTGAAAACCTGGCGGCGTGATAGACATTCATCACTATCTTGGAAAACTCTGCGGCGAATTTCACTTTTGGATTTTTCATTCCTGTACGTGGAATTCATTCCTGCCGAAAATCGAAATTTGTTCAAACCCATTTGATAGGAAACGTAGCTAGCAAGCTCCTAATTAATGTTAATGATGCCTAGCAAACCTGTGGAGGTGTGGGCGAGAGGATTCGTAGGGATAAGGTTTTAATGATAGAAGACAGGTAAACAGACGTTTATGGGTATCTTAGAGCAAACTTTTTGGAGGGTATTGTGGAGAAAATATATCCGCTATCTGTTATTGTTTTTCACGAAATAAAGTTCTGACCTTGACTCTCTATTAACAACATTTATAGATACGTAATTGTTAAATATTAACCCTAATGCAATATGGAATATGATTAAAGATCGCCGTAACTGGTTTCCGACCATTCATCATCACTGTTGTCCTCGTCCTCGCCCTCACTTAATTTCTTTTCTGATCGTTCACGATTCTGTCGAAATCGCTCTATCGCTGCTCTAGTCTCTTTTTCGACGACGTCACGTCGTACACCGCACTGCCAACCATCGACATGATCTGGGAGATGCACTGTCATATTCGCTAGCTCATCAATCTGACAGTTCGGAAGGGGATCGGTAACCAGCAGCTTGATGATGAGGTGAGTCTGTTTACGAGCTGTATCATTGAGACGTTTGATAATCTTTTCGACTTCGTGCGTATTGCCTGACAGCCGTGAGAGCGAGTCCAGGATTAGAATTACTACCTGTCTCTCTGGCAGTAAAATCAGAATCTCCTCTAAAAGTCGCATGGCGCGTCCCGGCTTTTCTCGGACTCTGCTCGGGCGAAATTCTCTCTTCGTCAGCACTGATGCCAGGTTCACATCCAGATTTTCCTCCAGAATGAAATGGACGAGCTGGCCAATCAGACAATGCAGAATATCGATGGGACACTCAAGAGAAGATGGATTGGTAGTAAGCCTTCGACTGCCACAGAAGAAAGACATGACCGCCCAGCGGCAATGTGCAGTGCTGCTAGATTTCATCAATAGGACAAGCATAGCACTCGTCGCCGAAATGGGATTTATTAGGTTATCCGGAGCTGTCTCGGCAGTAATTTCCAGGGTGCTAGACTGGACACTGCCGAGCCAGCTCCCGAGACTTGGATCATTCAGAAGGTACTGCATCTGATCCTGCTCGTCGATGTCAAACCCGCCCATTTGGCTCAGGTTGTCGACTACTTGTGCATCAGAAGCGGGATCGTAATTTGGAAAAGCCGCCATCCAAGCATCAACTTGACGTTTGTTCTCGGACAGTAGAAAGTAGGGCGGCGGTGGTGTAAATACCGCCTCCTTTTCGTATGAAAGACTGGGCTCAAATCGCCCCGAAAAAATAGTGCCTATGTTTTCCTTGTTCACTGCAGTGTGAATGACACATCTATTAGAATGCCCATAGCAAAAGATTTGGATTAGATTCAAAGGTGTTAATTGCGTTACCTGTGCCATCTATTGCGCTGAATTGGGGACAGCTCGCGAATAGACGGTATAAAACATTGTAAAGGGTTATCTCCATCTGCTTCTCATTCGGATGATTGTGTTGACCCCTTTGGAGAACTTCTTCAATCGTTTTCTCGATTTTCCCCATGCTCGAAAGAGGGAGGAATTCTTCAATTGCCTTCTCAACTCTTCCTATGCTCGAAATGGTATCATTTGTATAACCTGTCAATGACAAAAGTGTGAGCCTGAAATGCAATTTGGTGTTTGTTAAGCAAAATTAGGGCGGGGTATGCTGTTACCATCTAGTCTTCGCTCCAAGATGTCAACCTTATTATTCAATCGTATATTGCCCTCTTCAATTCTTCCCATCCGAATTTGCGCACATATGTCGGCTTCGCTCAGGTATTCAGCAACGGCCTCATCCATATTTTTAAGTGTTTTTGGTATATCGGGCGCGTCGCTCCCGAACTTGCTCAGTACCTTGTCTGTTGCTAAGATTAACACCTTGCTACAATTCCGCTTGAGAGCAACCGAATCGACCGTAAAGGTAAAGACCGACCTTTGTTGCTCCTTGACAGTCGGTCCAGTATGCTGTGGAGCACCATAATGATCCGTAGCAACACCTGATCTTTGCAAGCATGCAGCTTCAGCGATTCAACATGCACCTCGCTTAATCGTTGAACTGCATTTAACTTCTTCGGGATATCCGCCAGAGCTGCATGGATACTGTTGCGCAAAGATTCATGCTCCTCCAGAGCCTAGGGGAAAAAATCAGTGAGCGGCGAAACTACGCAATCCTCTTTGATTCCGATGATGAGCAAACCTACCGTCAACACTAAGGTAAAGCCGGCTGCAATGGCCGGACCGTATGTTGGGACTATGTTCACGAGATTCTTCACGACATCTTTCTGTTTTACTGCCGCCCCTGTACATTTCCGGATGAATTGCCTACAGATCCGAAGGTTTTCATTTCCGGGGCCCTCATCACGGATAAGGTGACCCGTCAGTTGTAGCATATAGTTCATGTCCCAGGCATCCAAGTCTCGAATTTGATAGAGGTCCAGTTGCTTCATAATGCTTTTCTTACGTCGCATTTGGATGACGAGTTCTTGAAGCCTCTTCCATAGCTCTCGCAATTGCCTTTGGGAGGCTTGGTAATACTCCTCTTGGCTGGAAAAGAAGCGAAAAGCGATTAGATGTGAGAATCAAGAGCATATCCTCGGTTTACGAGCAAGAAGGGGGGGAGAGAACTCAAAATCAACTTGGTAAGGGGCTGAATTTACTTTGGAACCTGCTCCTTTCCGACAAAGGCGTCAAAAGCACTCACAAACTGTGGCCGAGTACCTTGACGCTGTTCTCCGGAGCTGGAGAAATGCTCCAAGAATGAAGGCCCCGCTCGAGTCTCCGTAAATTCGGCGGCGCAATTAGAGAGTACAGGAGACATCACTGCGGATGTTTAGGAGGTCGTAGATACTCAAAACTCGATCCTCTTCCAGGCCCTTCAGATCGTGTTTTAAAATGGAATGATCCGAGTTTAACAAGTTGAGGATAAAGAATAAAGACCCTCAGTGCTGCCGGGCGCGAAGGAAGAGGAGGGGGGGGGGGTGGTTGTCGGTTAGAGAACGGACACGTCCGCGTACTCCACTAAATAGCTAGACTGGTGGAAGGACCGATCGCCGCTTGGGTTTCTATTTTAGCGATTGCCGCTAATGCCCGACCTGGCACGAACGGGCGAACTCTGCATTAGTTTGGTTTCAAGACAGGGGATCCGGAGGGGCTTTCTTTGGGCGACTTGGGGGCTCGCGCATGATAAGCGGATTTAGTTCCCTCGATAGTAGGGCGCTAAGAGTGTAGCTGCATATTCCGAGGCGCGCGACAACCTTCAAAACGAGCTGTAATGGGTATAGCATAGAAAAATGCACTAGGGCCAGGAAGTTCGGTACTTCTGCAACGACGGGGTCACTGGGCTCCGCAATTTCGTCCGTGTGGACTAAAGCTCTGCAAAGCGCCGCCTATAAACCTGTGCCGCTGGATGGTCGACATAACTGTGCCGGCAAAGACTTCTCTACCCCCCCCCCCCCCCCCCCCAGATTTCCCAAATCACGGCAGGCATCTCAATCATTACCACTTGGCATTGTTTAACTGTGTTCTTCTTCGACGTCGACTGTACCGACGGAGTGATGAGCCATGACTTCCATGACTGTAACTCAGCCTCAACCTTCGGACGTCACCGCGGCTTCCTCTGTGAATACGGAAGACTGCATAGCCATGAACAAAGAAACAATTTCAACACCCGAGAAAGCAATTAATGAGAGCGGTGATGAGCTGGCAAGCGAAGACACGAGTACCAAAGATGCCACTGATGTTCCTGTGACGCCTGATGAAGAGACCGCGGGAGAGAAGGCTACAAGCGCCGATTCACCCTCAAAGAATGCTCAGAGCCCAGAAGAGCAGGACCTTCATCAGACATACCGCAAATTAATCAACGAAGTTGACCGATTCTACTTCCTTCCGGAAGACCAGTCCAAAGAAAACCTCGCAAACGGCATGGATGTGGCGCAGGTCCTCTTGAAATACCTACACTCGGTTGAAAGTCGTATGGCAGACCTCACCAAGCGTATCGGAACTGGGCAAGAGGACAAGAAGCAGGCGAATGAAGCAGAACAGGGGGTTCCTCCATCGCTCTCTTATCATTTCTTCCATGCGGATCGAGAGTTCAATCTCGACGGGGAGCTGGTCGGTAAAAACGATCGAATTTTAGCCCACTCGAACAACCAAGAGCCCCATACTCTCATCCGGGCCGTTTACTCATGGGCCGACAGCATAGCAAAGAACCCTCCTAACCTACCCGACGGGGAGCCCCCTCGTCCTGAGCATATCAATTTAATTGCACTGGGAATCTTCTCGGAGCCAATTGCCAAGTTCTTCGAGAAAGAGTTGGGTTTTGACAGTGTGTCCCATAATGTGGTACGCATTGGAGTTCCATTCCGACCTCTTCTTCGAAACTTGCAAGCCATTGAAAAGCACGCTGAGATGCTTCAGAAACGTTTCGCGTAAGTTTTGTCTGATCTTTGTAGTTTCTCCGCGTAAGAGATTAAGGGTCGACGCTGACAAACCTGTGGAATAATTAGCCCCAAGGAAACCCAGGATAGAGAAGATGCAGAGACTGCTAGCAAAGCGCAGCAGGAACAACAGGAGCAAGGGCAAAAGCAACAGATATCCGAGGCTAATGATATCTTGCCCTTCGCGGAGAGCCCCGGATTGGAGCCGATAGTAGAAGAATCCTATAACCAGGAAGAGGCCCTCGGACAATTCCAACTACTTTTGGAATTTGTAAACAATTACCTGAGCAGGCAGGTCAATCTTTATCACAGACTGAGCACTGGATATGGAGAAAAAGTCGCTTTCCCAGATCTTTGGATGCTCTTCGATACGGGGTCCACTATTTTCTGTCCGTCGCAGGAAGGTGGTGTCAAAGTTCATCCCGGTGGATACGAGGAGGAAATTCACACCACCCAGAGAAGGCATCTGCCGCAAGTGTATCGTGTGTCGGCCACCTCAGGAGGTATTCCTTTTTCCAAGAGCTTGGTCCCAAGGTATCGTGCATCGCAATCAGACTTTGATTATAACCAGGACATTGGCGAGGCATTGTTGCAACCCGACAAGCTCGGCTTGACAAAGTTGCTTAGTTTGAAAAGTCCTAATATGTCGTACTCTCGGAGACCCATTCACAACTATTCGCCACTTCACGTGATGTGCTTCTACATTGACTTTGATGGAGCCAACTTCGGTACAGTGACCGAAATCTTCGTTTTCAAACCTTACGAAGGAGAGACCGATATCAAAGGCCTGCAGGCATATCCATTGCAGTATCTGCAAGCAGGAGGGGTTCAGTCTCCAGGGGGAATTGACAATATATCGAAGGTCGGCAGTTCAATTTCGACCGATGCTCTCATCGAGCGCGGTCGAAAGTTCATCGACGTGACAGCAGTTACTCATATGTCCTATGATGGTCTCACTGTTGGAACGACACGGGAAGAGGTACGTCACAATGTAGAGATATTCCAAAGGAGAATTTGGACCTGGAGTTTAACCACTCTTGAGCAGATCAACAGCGAGATCATGATTGACTTCCGAACTGCACTGGACGAATATCGCGAATCTTTTCGCGGTTCTAAGGCTGTGGTCCCGCAATTCGCTGCATTGACAGCCTTCTGGCCGTGTCCAGCCACGGGGGAGTTCTACGAGTATTACTCCTGCACAGATGGTGTCTGGGGTGATATAGGAAATATCTCGGAGCTCTACCCTAGTTACCAAAAGAGGCAACGACAGGAGATGGAGTCCAAGATCAAGACTCTAATGGAAGAGTCGGGGTTCGAGAAAATGCATCACGCAAAAGACTTTGAGAGCCTGAAAGAGTACATGGAGAAAAATGATCTCATTCAACTTCTCCCTGGTGTGGTGCCAGGATATGCACTGCGAAATCGAAGATGGGGTAAATTTCAATCAAAAAATATCTTGCGGATCGATACTGACTCAGAGGTATAATAGTTCAACTTGATTTAAATCGACTGCGGTATATTAAGGCTGAGGATGGGTGGAATCGTCTTGTCCTACCTAAGGGCCATCGCGAGATCGTTCAGGCGATGGTCGAGACTCACGCTAGGGGCTCCAGGTCTTCGGTCGATAGCCGAGACGACAAAATGGAAATGGATCTTGTACATGGAAAAGGTATTTGCTGATACTCCCCACCGGGTAAACTGGACCAACTCGTTCCACTGACATTGAAATCTGTTTCCACCTGCAGGTAAGGGTTGCATCATTCTCCTTCACGGCGACCCAGGAGTTGGGAAGACATCGACGGCCGGTAAGCAATTGTATTACTTGAGAAAAAGCTTTCAATTCTGCTCTGAATCTGACACAAAAGCTGTAAGAATGCGTGGCTTCGTACACTAAGCGACCTTTATACCCGATCACCTGTGGTATGTACATGTGATAATTCTTCTAGTTCCGTGCAGATATACTAAACTTGCACTAGGCGACATCGGTTATGTTCCTGAGGCTGTCGAAAAGAACATGGAAGAGCACTTCAAGTTAGCCCGTAGATGGGGTTGTGTTCTTCTTCTCGACGAAGCGGATGTGTTTCTTGCTAAGCGTACTGTAAGTGCAAAGATATCTGCGTCAGTTTCAATTCCACTGAACAGCAATAAACAGAAAAATGACGTCAAACGAAACGGACTGGTGTCTGGTAAGCATCCCATTGTTTCATTCCGATGTTGCTCTTGCAGCCGTGTACATCGTGTGTTTCTAAGACTCGTAACGCAGTGTTTCTGAGGATTCTTGAGTACTACACTGGTATTCTCTTTCTTACCACCAATCGCGTCGGTGCCATTGACGACGCCTTCCGGTCACGACTCCATCTGACTCTGTATTATCCCAAACTGGACAAAAAACAAACTATTAGAATCTGGAAGACCAATCTCAAGCGCATTGAGTCGAATAACGAACAGCGGAAAAGCAATGGGCAATCCAGAATTGAATATGACAAGCGGAAGATCATCAAGTGGACGGAGCAAAATTGGGACGTCATGAGGTGGAACGGCCGACAGATCCGCAATGCCTTCCAGACAGCTATTGCGCTTGCCGAATTCAAAGCGGGGCAATCATTGAAGAAAGAATTGACATCTACGCCTCAGATACCGACTCTGCATCCAGACCTTTTCAAACTCATTGCCGAGGCATCTCTTCAGTTTAGCGATTATCTTCAGCAGACGCACGGCGGAGATGAAGAATACACTGCTGCTAGGGATCAAACCCGCGCCCCGGACTATGTACCTAGGAAGAAAGCAGTCATCAAGGACTTGGAGGACTCAGACGAAAGCAGCTCTGAATCGTCTTCTTCGTCCTCGTCGTCTTTGGATGAAAGCGACACCAACACTCTGGATTCCAGTACTAATTCCAGCAATTATTCGGGTTCAGACTCAGATGAGCTGAGCCGACCCACCAAAAAGGATAAGTCGAGGCATAAAGAAAAGATATCGGAGCCAGCGAAAGATAAGACACGGAAGGAAAGGAAAAAGAAAGACCGCAAGGAGAGGGAAAAATTGGAGAAAAAGAAGGCAAAGAAAGACCGGGAAGATCTATGAGGGCCTATGATCTTTTGACTCTTGTGAGCACCCCGTGATGAAGTTTGGGCAGATATTCGAAGTACATGTAACGCGAGTGTTGTAAAGCTTGCCGGAAATTAAGAAAGATCCAAGGGCGACCATGCCATGAGCTCTTGAAACAGGAATATCGGGCGCTCACTCGGCAAGAAATGGCAGACATGTACTCCATGGTATCTCAATTCCCAAGCACAATTTTGGCGACAATATATTCACTGCACTAGACAATCATATCGCGCATTGGAGACCCCCAGAGCTTTAGCGAGGGGGGAGAAGTTGTTGAGGAGAAACGACAAGCCTATGCTAGAGGGGAACCCTAAAAGCCCTACCAGCTCGAATATTTACCACTCCCTATTTCCCTCTGGCATAGGGTTCTGCAGATTCGTAAGATTAGCCTCAGAGCGTTGGATTCTGGAGTTGTGAAATATTACATTTAGTATAGTGTTTTGGGGGTGATCCGGACAGCCTGGTGATCCACTCGGGCGGGAATTACGTTATATGATCGGATGACTAATCTGTGTCTCGATCGACATACATTAATTCCTAATTAGGAAGTTATCCAACAGCATGACTGTAGGTTTACGCTTCCCTCCCCTTCCGGTCCCCCACCTCGTCTACCGAAGATTTCCTCCCGTAGGCCGCTGAAGGTAGGGCATGCGAGAAGGATGCGGCGGACCGATTGTGTCGCTCGTCCGCATTGGCAATCTCTGTTTGGTACATCCGGCATTCCTCTCTAGTAGAAGTATTGGCGGAGTTCTATCTTGCCAGTGCGCATTTGGACGATTATCGTGCTCAGGGCTCTATGTCGGTCCTGATGCACCCTTAAAACCTTCTTTGTTGATATTGGTGTTAGTTTATATAGCTTTCAGCCATGATAGCTTGATCTCCGGTCGTTTTCCTATCGGGTATTCACAAGTTCTTAGGTCCTTCTCTTTACGGCCGACTCTATAGTCTTGAGGTAGTCAAGCCTAGGCGCTGTATTATCAGTTATAACTTCTACTACTCTGCCTTAGTGGCCCTAGATCCGTCACTATCCTGTTACCTCTTTTGCTATCTAGTCTGTATGCTCGTTTCCCTCGACACCTATGTGCGCGGGTATATAGCGGAAATGAAGGTTCAATCCCGCCTTGCGCCCTTTGTTCAGCGCTATTATAATAGCTTCTAGGATGTACTGTCCTGACTGACTACCCGGATCTTTTAGTGCTTAAAGCATAGACTGGTTATCTGTGAAGATGACCGCGTGTTGCATTTGGCGCTAGACAATAATTCACTAGGGCTAGCAGGAACCCCTGTAGTTCCGCGACGTATATCGTTGACTCCGATTCTTGCCCTATATACGATAGGCGCGATATCTGATATTTCGGGCATATTGCGGCTGCTCCTACTGTATTATCGATCCTACTACTGTCAGTGTAGAGAGCTATAGGGTGCGGTACGCGGTTCAGTGTGGTTTGGTGTGTTTCTATCGCGGTCTCTACGTCCCTGTCGGTTATTACGTCTAGGGAGACCTAGAAATTTTCTAGGAAATCAACGTGACCGGAACGGAATGTTGTATTGCCTACTGTTGCTTGCCTATACGGTACGAAGGGATACTACGGGTGAGGCGAGAGGTGATGCACTACAGCTAAAATACAATAAAACTTGGTTGAATCCGGGATGATTTCAAATTAAAGAGGAACTAGTTACTGTATTTAGAAAAAGAGAAGGGTCTAGTAGCCCGGGGAGGAGCTAAAAAATACTCTACCTCGGCTCTTTCGTGACTTAGTTTTCTATAAATTACGCGCTAGACCACTAAACTTATTATCTTCTATACACCTCGCTATGTAGCTAATTCCACTCTCCTAGGACAACCACTTTCAGTCGCTGATCAAGGAGACCAACGATGATCTGGTGAGTTGAACAATCGCCTGAATTGTGGAGTCTTCACTGTGCGTTCTTCTGACGTTTACTTGCTCAAATAGCAAATAGATCCAACTGCAACTGCGGTACGAGAACCATCGAGTTAGTCGGAACAAGCAGCAAAGCGAGAAGATTCTAGCTGAGATCTCGTCTGAATAATATTGTAGCGGAAGCTCCCCGACATTTTCATCGTCGATTGGCGCGGAGCGCTCTAGCTCCGGCGTATACGATATACCATGTACTTAAGTAACCAAGCCCATCTTCAGATCCCTAGTCCTCGAACCACAACATCATTGCACCAGTTCAACACATCCAACACCTCTTCCTTAGCATGCCAAGCGTCGTTGTAAGCTGAGCTGAGTGTCAAAATCCCTTTCCAAGTGTCCAAGAACACCCCAAGTCCTGTTCCCAGCTCCTCTCCAGTAATCCAGGGATGGTCGACACTGAAACGTCCATAGTTGTGCTGTATGACCTTGTCGAGCACACCTATACTTGAAATGGAAGCTGACGGTGTCTCATTGCGCGGCAGAATTACGGGAGGCTCACTATCCGGGTAAGGCAATGTGCCCATTGCCCAGTAGGCTTGGACAAGTTTAATGTGCTCTTGATTGTCACGGATATCGATGTAGTAGTCACGAACATGCTTAGCAACGCGAAGGAATGTCTGCTGGCCAATCACAGTTTTCTTGGGAGCTCCCAGAGCAGGGACAGTGAGGTCGATAGCGAGGGACTTTCCAGAGACAGAGTGGTACACCGAGGCTGGGTGAGCCGATGTGCTGTAGGGGGCCTTGCAATGATGGCGCTCGTTGATCAAGGAGTAGTTGATATATCGCACTGTTCGCTCTGTTTTTTTTCGGTCCTGGAGATCTCCAACTGCTAGTGCAATTGCCGCATGGTATGCATGTGTAACGCTCAGCCCGAGACTCCGACATTTTTCCAATAGCTTCGCCGTTGTATTTGCGGGGACTGTAATCGCAACACGTTGGTGTTTTCCGGGAAGCGCAATGTGCTGTTGGAATGGTATGCTGGCTATTTCAATGCTCTTTTTTAACTGGGAGTTGTGCGCAAGAATTTCAAGCATGTGCTCTTCGCGCTCAGGGGTCAAGGCGGCTGGTATATCGGCTGCCACACGTAAGGGCGGGCTGAGATTCGTCCACTCATCTCCAAATTCAGGTAATGCACTGCCAGGCTGCTCATACTCCTCCGCAGCTGCAGCAAAAAGTTTATCGAAAAGAAGCAAGGTGCCCATGCCATCGATGATGTCATGATGCGAGCGGAAGACAAGATCGGCGCGGAGAGTTTGGTCGCTTGTTGCGGGGGCCTTGACCAGGAACAGCGTTGGCAAAGCAGGCACTGGGGGATCCGAGTTGCACCAGTCAAGGCCCGACATCCGCTCTGGTACAACTTGGAAGGTAGTATCAGCCCATTGGTGCAGAACTGCGCTGTTAGGGAAGGTCTCTTAGACCTTCTTGTATTTCTTCTCGGCTGAGTCGTATTGAACCCTGGAGCCAATGGTCGGGTGGTTGTATCGAAGGCGAATCCAGGCGTTCCTCAACGCTGCCTCAACCGCTTCTTCAACGTTCTCTAAGGCGGCACCTGGTGGTACCGGGATGGAAAAGCTAATAAACCCAGTCATGGCAAAGAAGACTCGTCCTGTTCCTTCATAGCCTTTCGCCAGAGCAGTGTAGAATTCCTCCACCTCGTCGATATCCCTCTCCCAGCGAGCGGGATGGGTACGCCGCCATTCAAAACGAGTGTATGCAGAGCTCGACATGGCGGATGTCCTTCAGAATCTTGCGGATGGAATGTAAGGGGGCTGTGCGATCGCTTGTTGTTGATCAGGCTGCCCGCTCTGTTGCTTTTCAATGTCACTGGACACTTCTGGAAAAGGCCAACTTCGGAGCCTCGGCCCGTCTTGCCACGAAAAGTGTGTCTTGGGTGGGCCCCAAAGGCGAATGACCTGCGGACGGAGCCCCCTCCGCCAGCGACGAACGGGGTCTACCTCACCTGCCTCATTAGGTATATCAACCAGCGCCCCACTTGTCCAGCGATCGGTTCACCACCAATCAGCAAGCCACGCAGAAATCTACCCCGGATCCACGTTATTGATGAATTCTCCCGAAGTTTAGCCGCCTACGAGCAATCCGTAAAGTGGTCGAGCATGCATCTGGAAGGGTTAGAAGAGCCCAATTAACCACGGCCGACTTGGCCGTGACTTTCTGGCCAGACCCAGTGAGTTAAGAACGAAGTCTCTAATCACAAATAGCACTCAAACTAGTTCATTATAAGTACTAGTTGGCCTTGCATGTGAGCTCCGTGGTGTCTGTCAGCACAATGGAGTCGATAGATGTGGCAGAACCGGAGGGCCCTCAGCCGCCCAAACTCGGGCTCAAGCTCACGAGTACTGGGTTGGCCTTCTTCGTGGCTGGTATCAATGATGGAAGCTTGGGACCGTTAATTCCCCGAATCCGTGAGGCGTGGCACATTTCTGAGGATAAAGTCGCTATCCTGTACGTGATGTTACCACTACCTTGATTGAGTACTGATCACCCAGCGTAGATATGCCGCGACCTTCTGCGGCTGGCTTGTGACCGCGCTCACCAACAGCTTTCTGTCGCAATACCTTGATCTCGGTATTTTCCTCACGATTGGGGCAGTCCTACAGATATTATCCCAGCTTCTCAGGGCCTGGGTTCCTCCGCTTCCCCTCTTCGCCATCACTTTCTTCCTCGCGAGTCTCGGCCAGGCATTCCAGGACACGCACGCTAATACATTCGTCGCATCTATCAAGACGAGCCATCGTGGGCTGGCATTTATTCATGCCATGTATATGGCAGGCTGTCTCGTATCGCCTTTTGTCGCGACAGCAATATCTTCCGCTGGCCCATTCAGTCAATGGAATCTCTTTTATATCCTGCCACTCGGACTTGGAGTCGCCAACTTGGCCCTTGCCCTGTATGCATTCCGCGACGTACTCGGGTTCAAGCGCGTGTCTGGGGAAACCGAGCAAGACGTACAATCACGGACCCGGAACGCCGTAGAAAACATGCAGAAGATCATGGCCTCACCTAGTGTGTGGGTCTTGAGTTTGTATTTCTTTTTCTTTCTCGGTGCGGTTATCACCGCTGGCAGTATGTGTCGCCCTTCCCAGTTCTGGTCTTAGCAGGAACAGGAAGAGCTGACTGACTTCTCAGGCTGGACTGTGGAATATCTGATTCAAGTCCGTGGCGGCGACCCCGATAACATGGGCTATGTTGCCGCGGGACTTTCTGGGGGAGGCTTACTGGGACGTTTGATATTAGCCGAGCCCACCTATCGCTTTGGGGAGCGTCGAATGATTCTCCTCTATGTGCTCCTCTGTCTTGCCCTGGAGCTCGTTTTCTGGCTGTATGCTCCCACCTGGCTATAATCGTCGTGGTGAACATGGCTAAACCAAATTAGAGTCCCTCACATTATCACTGCCGCCGTTGCGATCAGTCTTTTTGGTTTCTTTTCCGGCCCATTCCTTGCCAGGGTAAGGTCTAATCCCTGAAATAATTATGGGTTGGCTAATGTCAGAAGGGCGTGTCTGTAGCCTTTAAACTCATTGCAGCCGATATCCGATCATCTGCTCTCGGTGAGTAACCTCAAGCTTTTTCCCAGACCAAACTGTGTCACCACTGAGACAGCCCAGCCTTCATTTTTGTCCTTGGCCAGGTTGGAGGGTCTCTCTTCCCGGCCATTACAGGAAGTATTGCATCGCACAGTGGAGTTGCAGTCCTCCAACCTATGCTTGTTGGATTGCTGGGAGTTACCGGGGTGACGTGGTTCCTACTGCCCAAAACTACAGCCCATGAGGATTAGGGTTTGGAGAGAGAATCTATGATTTTGGTATCTGTCCGCGTGCGTTGCAACCTTCTCCAAGAGACCTAACCTACTGTCCAGGGGTTGGAAAAGTAGATAGCATAGTTTGTATATATGTCTGTAAATAGAGGCCTGTTACACACAGGCTCTAAGGCACAATGGAGGATTCTAGTAATTAAAAGCTAAATTCTAAGGCCTCTGTCTATTAGCACCACCAATGTTATTACCTCCTCCGCCTCCTAAATATTGAACCAGGGCGCTCAGTGGCAAGCCTGAGAATGCAGGCAGGATGAGATAGCTCAGCGAACTAGCGTGACTACGGCTCAGCAGGACCCTACTGAACTCTTAGTAGGGTCCTTAGGGAATTTCTGCCTGATTTCTGCCTGAACGTTTACCACCCCACTGAGCTTTTTTACCTTACCTTACCTTCCTCTTACTACTGTAGTGGGGAAATGGCCTACAAAGGGGGATCTCTAATTGGAGGATATCTTTCCGGTACACAGTCCTTACAGGATATAGCCTCAGTTCTCCAATAGGGAGATATATGAACTCTTACACTCTCTTTGCTCTATCTGCTTCTGCTTCCTATAGGGGAGGCTTCCTCCACTGTGGTGTGTGGTGGTTTGTATGCTGGTTTGTTGAGGCTATATCATCCTGCCTGCATTCTCAGGCTTGCCGCTGAGCGCCCTGGTTCACTACATACCTCACCCGAACCCCCGTTTTTACACCGTTTTCTTACAGCCCTGTAGCATGACGAATGTTTTTAAGCATGTAAGTCGCTATACTAACTAGCATACCCTTAACTCGAGCCTAGAAACTATCTACGTGTTACAGACCCTACCCCTAGGGTGCTAAATATGGACACGCCTAAACTAATCAGTTCAGTAATAAGGCGGTTAGAAGAGATTCTGCTAGGAATCTATCAAGAGGCTTAGGCTATAACACCTAAGGTCACGTGACGTCTAGTCTATTCAACGGAACGGACCTGTCCGTTAATAGGAAAGGTCCTATCGAGGAAACGGAAGAGCTAGATATATAAGGACACTCGTTTACCTATTTATTGTCATATAATATTGCAACATGAAGCTATTCCCAACTTCACGCCTTAGGTGTCAACTCGACACCTTATCGGTCAGGCTTCGTCATGACAGCCCCACTTCTCCCTAACAAGGATGCATGACCTACAAGACCCTAAGGGTTCGGTGCCCTTCCATTAGGGATTCGTGAACCCCTCTTCTCTGTAGCCTTTGCTTATCTCTGACATATAGGGGCCACGTCAGACCGCATATTATAATGTGATCCATTATCTTTGCTTGGTTATATAGGAAAAGTGTTGAAGCTTGTACATAAATTAAGGATTATAGAGAGATCCATGATAGCAAGAAACAGTGTTTTGCTTTCCTTACTTGACGTTTATCTTCCTACCTAGTCGACAGGCTTTCTACCCTGTACAAGTAGTTACTCCCTAACACTTATATTTAGTTCTTCGCGTTGATTTATATATTATTACTTATAGTTACACTTGAGACTTGCTAATCGACTATCTTTAGCAACTTAGATACTTCTATAGTATAATATAAGGATATACCCTATAACTAGGAGGAACACTTAGTATTTATTATATAACCAATTCGTCAACTAACTAGGCGCCCTTCAACTATATATATCTTCGGTCTACTCTATAGATCCGAGCCCGTATAAGGCTAGAGTAGGTAATAGTACGATTAGGAGATAGATCGTCGGAGCTTACGAGAGAGGTATATTACGATAACGCATATTTTACGTTAACTAGTTAGTACCGCGTAACACTAGTTAGGATACAAAATCCCTATTTCAGCTACGCTTGCCGCTGCTATCGTTGATATAGCCTCAAAGCTGGTATTAAACGATAGAGCGCGAAGTTATGTGTATTTTGAACTAGGTCTGGAGATCCTAGGACCTCTAGTTGACGAGATATCGCAAGAATTCTATTCTTCTAAGAGATAGTTACCGCGTTACTATGAATAGTAATTGTTAGGTATTGATTAGTAGCTTCTCCTATAGTCGCCAATATTAGTTTTCAACCGCTATTCCTACGCCCGCCTAGAACTAACAACTACTTAGTTACCACAAGTAGCCTAGTCTAGAGCTGACAAGTATATATTCCTACGCCCGCCTAGAACTAATAACTACTTAGTTACTACAAGTAGCCTAGTCTAGAGCTGACAAGTATATATTCCTACGCCCGCCTAGAACTAACAACTACTTAGTTACCACAAGTAGCCTAGTCTAGAGCTGACAAGTATATATTCCTACGCCCGCCTAGAACCAACAACTACTTAGTTACCACAAGTAGCCTAGTCTAGAGCTGACAAGTATATATTCCTACGCCCGCCTAGAACCAACAACTACTTAGTTACCACAAGTAGCCTAGTCTAGAGCTGACAAGTATATATTCCTACGCCCGCCTAGAACCAACAACTACTTAGTTACCACAAGTAGCCTAGTCTAGAGCTGACAAGTATATATTCCTACGCCCGCCTAGAACCAACAACTACTTAGTTACTACAAGTAGCCTAGTCTATAGCTGACAAGTATATACTCCTACGCCCGCCTAGAACCAACAACTACTTAGTTACTATAAGTAGCCTAGTCTATAGCTGACAAGTATATACTCCTACGCCCGCCTAGAGCTAACAACTACTAAGTATATTACTATAAGTAATATCTTAATATAGAGACTATTGTAAGCGTGGTTAAGGAACTTTTACTATATATATTGCAAGAAGCCTCCTCTAAATAGATATCTATATTTATCTTGATTTCTTTAATTCATAGAGCATTAAAGCAATTTAAATAGGACTTTATATATTACGACAATAACGAAGAGCTCTGCTGAATCAAAAGCGGCGCTACTATCAAACCTTAGGTATCAATATGTGGAAATGAAGGATAGCGGGCTCAAGTATATATCCACTTTTGATTCTTAGGACTAACTAGGAAAATATCTTTCGCACATACATCGACCAAAGCCGATATTATGCCTATATGAAAATTGCGGCAAGATATATTATTATCAGACTATATATGGAAAACATATTATGGAGATCCATATGGGAGAGTGGCGATAATCCGTATAGCTGTGGAATCGCCTACTAGGGAGGAATTCTATCGGTCAGGGAATTCTATCGGCCAGGGAATCTATTATTCAGGGAATCTATTGTTCAGGGAATCTATCGTTCAGGGAATCTATCGGTCAGCGAAATCTGGTGTATAGTCTCTACAGTGCTATTTTACTCTTACCAGTAAGATCGAGAAAGAGTACTCTTTTAATAGAGTAGCCTTAATTTACTATTCCCTTCTCCCTCCCTATTATCCTATTATATAATAATAGAACGTAATCGCTAGGCTAAACTTAGTAGCTTTAGTTAGCCTTCGTAAGCTGTTAAGAAAATTCGTAGTGTTAGAGAATTACTACTTATAGAAATTAGGGAGGATCTGATTTCTAGGAGGAAAGAAGCCTAGATTTTAAACCTATAAGAAGAGATAGGATAAAAGGTCTGTACCGCGTTTATTTACATTCTAAATTGCCGCCCTAGTGTTATAGAACCTACCCTAGGGTGCTAAAAATAGACACGCCTAAACTAATTAGTTTAGCAATAAGGCGGTTAGGATAGACTCCGCCGGGAGCCTATAGAGAGACTTAGGCAATAACACCTAACGTTACGTGATATTATAGCTAGAGCTATGATCGGAACATAGCCTAGGATATAAAGGACTAGATATATAAGGACGCTTATTTACCTACTATAGTATTCCCTCGGGAATAGTATACTATTATATACTTTTCGTCTATACGCCCTATAGTAAAGGCTCTAGGCGACTATAGCGACCTATTAGGATATTACGCTCTACTAGTAGGTCCCTACTAGCTAATCCGGTACTACCCCTAAAACCTATAATATAATCTATTATCTATCCTCTATCGCGCTCGATATTAGGAGGCGAAAAAGTAAAGCGTATTTAATACGCGACTAGACGCGTTTAGATAGTAGATTAGTAGGGAATATCCTCTCTATTTAACTATCGATATACTTTTATAATCCGGTGTATATAGATGCTTATATACGGGAGTTTCTGCTAGCAATTACCGCCTTTTATATACTATATCTACTATAACCTTACTAGTTTCTAATATTATACAACTTCCACCTAACGTCCGGACTATATATAGTAGCAAACTGTTACGCGCTACTAACTAGTTAACGTAATATATGCGTTATTATAACGTACCTCTCTCGTGATCTCCGATAATCTATCTCGCAATCGTACTATTGCCTGCTCTAGCCTTACACGGGCTCGGATCTATAGAGTAGACCGAAGACGTATATAGTTGAAGGGCGCCTAGTTAGTCGACCTAGTAGTTATATAATAACTACTAAGTGTTCCTCCTAGTTAGAGTATATCCTTATATTATACCGTGAAGGTATTACGTCTCTTAAAGATAGTCGAATATTAAGTTCAATTTGTAAGTAACAAATATAGCTCGTAGTAATAATAGGTAAATTAACGCGAAGAACTAAATATATATAGGTGAATAAGTGTCCTTATATATCTAATCCTTCCGTTATTCTAATAGGACCTTTCCTATTAACGGTTAGGTCCGTTCCGTTGAACGGAACGGATTATCACGTGATCCTATACTTAGGTGTTATAGCCTAAGCATCTCGATAGATTATTCGGCAGAATCTATCTAACCGCCTTGTTGCTGAACTGATTAGTTCAGGCGAGTCCATAATTAGCATCCTAGGGGGTGGGTCTGTAACACAAACCTAAACTAGGGCAATCTTCTACGGTTGTCCCTTAGGGGGAATAGAAAGCCTAGTTTCGTAAGGCTTCTAACCCTCTAAAAAAAGGTCCTCCCGGACGTAAGCGCTACTAACGGTATCTGATAGGAAACCTATGCTCTATCTAAGGGATCCTGATCAAATCCCTCGCGACCGAAGCCCCTAGGTTAGACT